CCTGTTATAACCAGGGAATAGATCAACCTGGTAGCTGACAGAAGTTCTGTACTTCAATGTAAGCAGCATATATTGGTATAGGAACTTGGTACTAACCTGTACTTCAATGTAAGCAGCAAAGAGATGCTGAGAAGTGAAGTACAGGGAAAAGCGGAGCTGTGGGAAAACAGCTCCTTATAAGGAAACAGGCAAAGCGCCCAAAGCGAAGTAGAAACTACAAAGTAGAAGTGGCATTGGGTGGAAGGATGAATAGGAAGAGTTAGAGGATGGGGATGGTATGTATGGATAGCTTAGGTGAAGGGGATGTCAGAAATGTATAGAAGGAGAGAAGTAAGAAGGTGGAACGTCACAGAAGTTGAATATCTCTAACAGAGGGGTCAAGACTTGCACTTCCAGCGAACTCAGAGGTCTCCCCGGATGAAGATGGCTCATCCTTAGCAGCATGGGCCTTCTGGGGATGCTTCCTACCACCCTGCTGATGCTCCTGACGCTTCTCCTGGGCAGATTTCGTAGCAGCAACCTTGGCTTCGTGAAAGCGGAAGCAGGAGTTGATGGAATGACCTGGGACGGAGCAGAAGGCACAAGTGGAGGTAGAGGCCGATGCAGAGAGTGCTGAAGTGGCAGGGGAAGCCTAGACTTGACACAGCACTGCTGGGTGATGTCCTCAGTGATGAAGGCCTGCAGCAGAGTGTCTTTGTTCAGCGTAGAGGCAATCTGGATAGAGGTGGTGAGGTTGTTGTACTCATCTGGGAGAGCACGAAGCATAGCCATGCATGCAAGCTCGTCATCCAGATCCTCGATGGTAAAGCCCTTGGGTCGAAGATTTTTGATCCTGGTCATGATCTGGTCGATCTGATGGACAGATTGGCCAGGGATTTATCCTCCACTTCTGGGTGGCAAGGAGGTCGTCATAGGCATTGAAGCGAGCACCTGGGTGCTGCTGGAGGTGCACAGAGGCGAGTTTGGTCCACATGGCAACAGGATCATCATCGATTCCAACCAGGTGCTGTCTCTGATCCAGTTCCACAAGGAGGAAGAGCTCACCAGATGCTTTTTCAGCTCTGACATCCCATGCATCCATAGCAGCCTGCTCAGCCACACTAACAGCCTTCTTATTGGCTGCCTCAGGCCTCTTTTCCTTCCCAATTACCAATCTCCATAACCCCTTATGCTTCAGGGTAGCTCAACTTCTCCAGACCACTGGAGGTAGTTGCCAGAGGTCAGGAGCTTGATCTTTAGGTAAGCAGAGTCCTCAGACATGGTGAAAGTGGCCAAAAGGGCAAGAATGCGATGTTGGAGAGGAAGTAGTAGATGGATCAAGATGGATGTTGGTAGATGGGGGCTTTAGAGGGTGCTAAAGAAGATGAGACTAAAAGCAAGAGTGGATGGCAAGAATTGCAGTCAGGGGAGGCTGGAAAGCGAGCAGATGAAGCAGATGTAGGCAAATCTAGGCAGAGATTAGAAGCCGGGGCCCATAACCTGGTAGCTGACAGAAGTTCTGTACTTCGATGTAAGCAGCATATATTGGTATAGGAACTTAGTACTAACCTGTACTTCAATGTAAGCAGCAAAGAGATGCTGGAAAGCGAAGTACAGGGAAAAGTGGAGCTGTGAGAACACAGCTCCTTATTAGGAAACAGGCAAAGCGCCCAAAGTGAAGCAGAAACTACAAAGTAGAAGTGGCATTGGGTGGAAGGATGAATAGAAAGAGTTAGAGGATGGAGATGGTATGTATGGATAGCTTAGGTGAAGGAGATGTCAGAATGTATAAAAGAGGACAAGTAAGAAGGTGAAATATCACAGAAGTTGAATATCTCTAACATGATTTGCCTTCAATCATAGAAGGGCTGACATAACAACCTGATGGCAGACAAATAAAAGTGTATATTTGAAGTCTCTGGGCATCCAGACAGATGGACCAGTCAGGAGCACAGCAAGTGTTAGGTTCAGATCTTGGTGAGGCAGAGGCAGAATAGAGCAGAATAGAGCAACAGATTGTGAAAATATTATGGCATTGCCGCACATATGTCATTGCCCCTTTTGCAGTTTGATAACACAGATATCATGTCAGTAAATAGCAACCAATATTTTTTCAATAAAAGTGAGAGCAGTGAGTTCAGGAGGAACCTCTCCCAACCAGATTCCATTAGTGAGGGCTTCACGAGGAAGGTCTCTGATACTGAGAGAATGCCACAAGCATCACAAGTGTCAATCCAAGATTGTCCATTAACCTCGGAACACCCATCATTGTACAATATTAGTCCAGATAAGAAATCTCCTTCAGCTCATAATGTAATGATAGCAACCTCCTTACTATGACATCAAGCATGCTCAAATTAACAGAATCATGCTGATAACTTTTCAGTTCACCCGCAATGATCAAATGAGCACAAATGGCGCATGAGAATTCTGATACCTGAGAAGGGTGCATACTATCACACCAATCTCAGATAAAAGTGGCCTGTTGACAAGTATCAGAAGTGACAGGAGGGAATGATACCACCAAGGCCACATTCATAGGTATTGGACATGCATTAGTTCAGGAAGAAACAGTGATATCAGGAGCGAATATGTACAGTAGTACAGGAATTGTCTTAGATCAAAAGATATAGCATACATTATTGCACGAGACTCTGCAATGATGTGTCTTCAAATAGGCTGTAATATCTTCAGTCATATGAACAAGCTGTCCCAGTTTGAGATTGTGGGCAGCTGCAACTAAGTACAGACAAGGGGCCGGAAACATGTCAGTGATGGAGGCAAGAGGAATACTATAATAACACAGTTGGGAAGATTTGAGAGTGACCATGGCCCATTTGCAGAGCCCTTAAAATATGTAGTATATAGAGAGCTGTGGTATGGCACCACTGATGTATAATTGACCCATCAACCAATCAAAGAGGACGGTAGTTGTATGATGCCTCTCATCAACAGGGAGCATATTGATAGGGACCTTATAAAAGATAGAATAGACTGGCAGACAACTAAGATGATAATAATGTAGACATAAGATATGGCAGAAGACTTCAAGGTGACAGTTGTCTTTAGAAATATGGATGCCATGCAAGCGTAGAAGCTGTCGCAGAGACTGTAAGGTAGCTAATCACTCAACACACCTAGAGGGATTGATAAAGCAACAACATCATTGCATCTACCAAAGGTGGCAGTTACCTGAGATAAGCTCATCTGATCAATATAATGCATTCAATCAGAAGCATCAAAAGTGGTAGTGATACCAAAAATATACTGGAACAATGCCAGACTACTGTACAAGTGCTATACATCAATCACAGGCCCGCTGCCAATGGACTAACAAATTTTACAGTGATGATCATCATCACAAGGAACAGTCAAAGCAGAGCAATCTCTGCACTCAATCAAGGATACTGTGAAAGCACAAATAAGTAAACCCAAACATGACTGACAGAGAATAAATTGATCACCCAAGAATGTGATAGTATGCAACAGAATGGTATATATATAATCACAGAACTGAAAAATATAAGAAGCCATCTCAGATAGCTGCAGCTGGTGGCAGCAAGTGATAGAGAAGGAGAGGGTGGACAAAGGATGGAGTCATTGGAGTATAACTGAAATCAGATACCGTGTATGAGAATATACCAGATAAAGATAAAAGGCATTGCAAAAGGCAAGGCTGGCTACAAATAAAGGCATGTGATCAGTTCAGCCTCCTATTTTGTCAACTCCAGGAGTGAGAAATACTGATTCTAGTATCATTAGAAATAGAAGAAGAGTTTCTAAATCTTAAATCTGAAAAGAGAATATCTATCTCTCTTCTAGATATAAACTGCTATCAAAATATAGTATTTTGTCCTCTACTGACTTATTATTAATCCTTAAGACTTGGCAGCTCTACTTATAGTAAGAGAAGTTGCTGACTCACTATCTGCAACAATCTACAATGCTGTCAATTCTCAATACTATAAATTAGCAGATTTTATAGACTCAATGTGATGTATCTATTTGAAGTCTGCTTTACATCTAGAACTCACTATAAATGCTATAGAAAGGTATTCAATGATGAAGAAAATCTGATTATTTTCTTCCTGAGCTTATCAAAAAAGTGTTGAAATAAGTGAGATTATTTATAGCATTATCTTATACTTTTATCATACTTAAAAGGCAGACTTTATTGATAATTTGTTATATAGAAAAATAGATTATACTAGTAATTAAATTAAATTAAAATCAAAAGAGTAAGTTATTATAACTATTTTATTATTAATATAATTTATCTTTTCTATATAATAAATTATAAATAGAGTCTGCCTTTTAAATATGATAAAAGTATAAGATAATGCTATAAATAATCTCACTTATTTCAACACTTTTTTGATAAGCTCAGTAAGAAAATAATCAGATTTTTTTCATCATTCTTTTACTAGCAAATAAGGATAGAAAATATAGGCCATTTTTTTTTATATTTTTGTCAAAAAAAGCCCAGTTTATACTCAATAAATATTAAAAGAGTTTATAAGTTATTATAACTATAGTACTACTCTATACAAGCCTTCATCTAAGCTTACTTTGCTTCTATAGCACTAATGCTAATAATGATAATTGAAAGAAGAGCTGCCTCTTAATCTTTGTCTTCTCTGATATTCTCTTTCTCTTTCTCTTTTTCTTTTTCTCCTTTTTTTTCTTTTTTTTTCTCTCTATAAGTATCTGCTACTAGTTAATCTCAATATAATGATAAAATATAGATATTTGAATACTTGATTACAGTCTTTAAAGTATAGTGATAAGAATTGAAAACCTTGCAAATTATTAATATATTATGTAGTCTACAAACTTTTATATAATGGAGTGATAAAATATATAAATATTCTGATAATCTATATTTTAGCTCTGTTTTTCTATTATACCAAATTTTTTAAATACAAAAAGGTATCTACTAAGATTATGAGTAATTGTATATATAGCTATAAGCAATATATTTGTTTATAGTTATATTGTAAATTAGATAAAGTCATTGTTCTATTCAATTAATATATTTATAAGATTTTGTATACAAGCAAAACAAAAAATTTCAATAACAAAAAAGCACTTAATTCTAAGTTCCAAGTCTCAGCTGCCATGCATAACTAAGTATCATAAATCAAACCTGCTTGCATGTTTATTTATTATATAACTAAAGCTTACAAGCATGTTTTCTATATTACCTTGTTTAATGACAGAGTTTACCTCTTATAAAGTAAATGTGCCTGCTTGTTGATTATCTCTGCTTCTTGAGTATCAGGAAATCCAATATTCCAATAGCCAGGTGGAGTCTGGGGTATTTTCCACTGATTGCGATGTCGAGAGATTTGATGCTTATGCTGCTGAATACTTCTCTCCTGAGAATTCACTTTATCAAGCTTTGGCTTGGTAGGTGTCCGCCATGGAGGAGGCATAAGTCTTGGGGGAAGAGGACCTATAGCCTCATAGTACTATAAGAGAAGAGAGTTGGTCAGTCACCATCATAGTGAAAGATGTTGAACATACATCATGACAACATTCACAATCTGAAGCATGAAGCTGCTTGCGGTACTGCCGGCTATTGATGAACTCAGGCGATCTAAAGAAGATCGTCATTCAGATGTTTATTCAGTCTTAAAGTCAGTCTTACTCAGTTATTGCCATTTTATTGGCGATTGGCGGACTAGATAATCTGCGAGGCTTGTGACTTGGGAAGACGGCGGGTGGATCTTCAAGGTCTGCTTGGGAATGCAATGGACTGTCCTGTAATGGAAATGGAAGAGCATTACTGTGTTCGGGCGAAAGCTTGAGAGGTACTCGGGGCGGCGAATGATGAGAGTTAATGACTGAGGGGTATCAATTGCATTACTCGCGACATAAAAGATACAAACCTACACAAATTGGCATTCTCATCTTCCGCGTCGTTCGTTGATTGTTCCAATATGCGCCGGACTTTCAGTAATCGAGAGGGAGATGGTGTGGCCATTCCCTTCGAAGCATTCGGTGACCGTGCCTCTTCTTCGTTCGCCAACCATTTCTTGAAGTTCCTCCATTTGCGATAGTGTTCTTGATACCGCCGAGTGGCTTGCTCTTTCTCATGGAGCAGATCGTTGTATTGTTGGCGCAAAAGGCGCAGTTCTCGTTCCGCATCTTCGATATTGGAGTCTTGGTCCGCAACAACACTGAATAAAGTGATAGGACGTGAGTAACTATTCAAGAATAGATGAAAGGGTGACGCACATTGGATTCTCTTTAATTTCCCCCACTCGTAAACTAGCTCCCCCAGAACCTGCGGCACGCTGTAACATCTTCTTGAGTCGAATATTATCGGAGCGAGCCTCCTCCAACGCGCGCATAAGTCGAGCATTCTCGCGTTTGACATCGTCTAGAGCCTGAACGATAGGATCGATCTCTCCGCGAGTTAAACGGTTCAATTGAAGCTGATGCTTGAGTTCATTGCGCAATCGATCCACCTCGCAGACGCCTATGAAACAGTTAGTTTTCGTAAACAAGTCGACTGTTTAGGAGTCACCTGCAGAAGAGGCATTCATAACTTGCAGAGGAGGTGGTGGTGGATGGGGTCCAAGGTCTTTGTCGCGTCTGTCACATGATCGTGTCACTAGCCTCGTTACATGCCCTCTTCCTCCACTAGCTTTCTTTATACTCCATCCTGTCTGACGTTCACAAATTAGTCTGCTCTGCACCGTTGTAACTCTATCTTGCTTTCGTGGTGTCATCTCTTCCTCTCTATCATCCCAAAGGATCACCGCGTGTAGTCACTACTTCATGGATCACTCGCACACAGCCTCATCATCCTCAGTCCCGCGGAGACCAGATTTGAAGAAGAAGCTTGTTGTTGTCGGTGATGGTGCGCAGGTTACTCCTTCGACCTCCCGTGTATTTTGAGACAGAGGCTGCAAAGGTGGCTGCGGAAAGACCTGCCTTCTTATTGTTTATGCCGAGAATCGGTTTCCAGAGGTACCGTAGATCACTTGATATAGGCTTCCACATTGACTCTTCATTCAGGCCTATATTCCTACGGTGTTCGAGAACTATGTTACGCTGGTCCAATTCGAGGGACGATTGGTCGAACTCGCACTCTGGGATACTGCTGGTCAGGAAGAGTACGATCGCCTACGACCTCTGAGTTACCCAGAAAGCGATGTTATCCTCATCGTATTCTCCATTGATTTCCCTGTGAGCCTTGCCAATGTTCAGGATAAAGTGGGTATCGCATTTGTTATATTGTGCAGACTTGCTAAGTGTGTCACTCAGTGGTATCCGGAAGTAGCCCATTTCTGTGAGGGCACGCCGCTTATACTCGTAGGAACGAAGACGGATCTTCGAAGAGATGAGCAGACGCGTCGGATGCTTAGTGCTCAGGGTCAGACAACTGTGACAGCAGAGCGCGGTGCTGCGGTTGCGAGAGAGATCGGTGCCAAATACATAGAATGTTCGGCCAAGACTGGGGATGGCGTGCAAGATGTCTTTGGATTAGCCCTAAGAGAGAGCATGCGAGGAAAATGGGGCAAGATGGTCAAACAACGGCGATGCGTTGTTACATAGTGGCGATGGGGATAGGTTGTAGCTTGGCGTAGGCGATTTATTTTGACATATATACCAGTCCTGTGCTTTATTGTCGCATCTGCGTAGACTATTATTTGTGGTATATTTTGATACCCAGGTCATTGTGATCAACAGGCGAGAGAATAAACGGTCTGAACATCCTTACAGTGGAACATCCTGGTAAGTTTCCGTCACATATATTATGTAAGATGATTTACATGCAGTAGATCCGTAGGAGAATCTGCTTTCGGAATACGGTCTTGCTACTGATAATACCTGCAAACCCCAGCCGAACTCGAATGGATCCAACTACTCTTACGACGGGTGATCTGGCCCATGTCGACGATGCTCTTGAAGATGCTCAACAATCGAAAGATCTCCTTTCTGTCCAGCCACCGCCGGCCATGTTCGGTGCAGGCGGCCCCATGTCTGTTCTGTTCTTCACAACCTCAGATCCCAATGACATATCTTGAATCCGATACAGGCTGAAACAGTTTGACCAGTCCAGTGCTGCAAGTAGAATGGCTTCACAGGCTGCGACGCCTCCACGATCTGTTGTAGGGATCGGCAACAAGGGTGAGACAATCTCTGCACTATGTCCTCCTGGTGTGACCCCTGATATGTGCCAGTTGCTAAACCCGACTATTCCGAGGCAAAGATTGTATTGGCGATGGTATGTTGACCAGCGCAGAACTCGTTACGACAATCCATGGCTAACATTTCCCTTCACTCGATGCTAGGTGGGGTTACCTGCCCGTGGTAAATCCTACTTGAGCAACAAGCTCATGCGATACCTGAAAGTTTGGAATTTTCTTCATCCTTCGACGCACCCTATGCTAACTTGATCCAGTGGTTGGAATATAGCGTGAAGGTTGGTTTCATTGGCCAGAGTCATTGTGTGTATTGTCATGCAATGGAATTCAGGTCTTCAACGTCGGCCAGTTACGACGCTCTCGAGCGCGACAAAAAGCCCAACAGTTTGTTGGATTTACTCCCCTAACTTTCCTGAGTCATTGATGTGTCACATCTTATGCAGGAGCGGTCAGCGGGAAGACCACACGGCGCAGTACTTCAGCCATGATAACGTCGAAGCTACCAGGCTCCGAGATCAGTTAGCGACCGACAGCCTGGAGATGTTGATTCAATGGCTTCATGACGGTGGAAACGTGGGAATCCATGGTGAAATGAAGCACTCACAGTCATCCTCCGCGTACAGCTGACGATTTTACCCTGCAGACGCTACAAATAGTACTCGAAGTCGAAGGTGAGCCTAATAACACGTTTGTGTCAACCAACCATGTGTTAAAACATATGCAGAGCAAAGATTGAAGAACGCGTATCCAAGGAGAAAGGTTTTGTGACCATATTTCTGGAGTCTGTCTGCGACGATCCAGCCATCATCGCAGCCAATGTCGCTCTCAAAGTCAGCTATGGTGACCCTGACTACAAGGACATGTCTCGAGAGGAAGCCAAACAGGATTTCCTACGACGAATTCGAGAGTATGAGGCCGTCTACGAAACCATCACGGAACCGCATTTATCCTATCTCCGAATAATAAATGTTGGCAATCAAGTCACAGTCTGCAGAATTAACGGATATCTTCAGAGTCGTATAGCCTTCTACCTGATGAACCTTCACCTCAAGCCCAGAAGCATATTCTTTTCGCGAGTGAGTTGTCTTACAGAGCGTGTGCCTTCCACATGTGTTAAATGCGTCAATTTGCAGCATGGTGAGAGTCAATACAACGTTGAAGGAAAGATTGGCGGTGATTCGTCGTTGTCGGAGCGAGGCTCGCATTATGCCCGAGCACTCCCGGCTTTGATTACAGACAACATCGGTGATGCTCCTCTGACGGTGTGTGGATGAATTGTATTACAAGATCGGCAATAGGTAGTTGATAGGCAACTGGCAGGTGTGGACTTCAACCCTTCAACGAACAATCCAAACTGTCCAACACTTACCGTACAATAAACTGACATGGAAGTCCTTGGATGAACTCGATGCCGGTGTTTGTGATGGCATGACTTACGAAGAGATTGAGGTTCGCCACCTATGTCACTTTCATGATGCCCCAATACTTACGGATCATTCTCCCATAGCAAGCATATCCAGAAGACTTTGCCAATCGAGATGAAGACAAATTCAATTATCGTTACAGAGGTTTGTCCTTCTCTATCACGAGTGTACCCAGCTAACAGTGATTTTCAGGAGGAGAATCATATCGCGACGTGGTCGTGCGACTTGAGCCGGTTATCATGGAATTAGAACGTCAAGAGAACATCTTAATCATTGGACACCAGGTTCGTTACGCGTCGGCTCGGGAAACTTTGCGCTGACCCTCATGATCCCCAGGCTATCCTCCGCTGTCTGTCAGTGTACCCAGACTACTCATTCTGCTACGTTTCTCTGACCACTACAATAGGTATGCATATTTCCACAACCTTCCCCACGCAGATCTACCGTATATCAAAATTCCGCTCCATACTGTCATCAAGTTGACACCCAAAGCCTACGGTTGTGACGAAGAGAGGTGAGAAGACCGAGACAGTGTGGCTTTCTCATGTTCATTGTCTGGCCTCCAGGTACACACTTCCCATTGGCGCAGTTGATACACACAGACCGAAGCCTGGAACGGTGCAGCCAAAGGTTCCTGTGTTCGCTGGCCGGGAATACTTTAATGAGGAATGAAGAGTGCTTATATCGACATCGCGTCATGGTAGTCGATCAGGTGTGTATCAAATGATACAGAGAGGTATATCAGCACAATACAATCAGACCAATGTGGAATCTATTCCATCTGATAATGCCTATGATAAAGCAACTCCAGCAGATCGCTCATCCAGGAACTTGACATCGTGAATTGTTTCAATGGTGAGGGATATGTTTTGATGATCTGAGGCCTGGTTCAACCAGAGCCATTTGCTGCCGGCGTGATACTTCACAACAGGACCCCAGCCGCGGCCAAGGTCATCATTCGGATCTGACCAGCCTTTCCACTCATGATATCTCTCTGTATTCAAACAATTGCTATACGGTTATAAGTTAAGTTTCTTTGTCGCCCACATAAGACATTACTCACAAATGCACTAGCTTGGGAAGAATTACATGGCCTTGTTCAGCAGTTCCAACGGTATGGACCTGCCTCGCACGCTCATCCGTTTCCGATATGTCATCATCACCGAGTGATGTGCCATACATGGTGACGAGACAGCTGGATACCTCCCAGTCATAGCTGAGATGTTCTAGTATGTCCGGTCTATGGCTGACGATTGCCCACCAATAGCCTTGATCTCCCAGTTTTACCCCCTCGTAATGGCCACTGGGACCAGGTGGACCGTACATAGCTTGGAAGGCGGAAGGGCCGATAGGGGTGACACCCAATCCGTCCTCTCGGTACAAACTGGAATCCATGAGTCGCAGCTCGCGAAGCCTCTCCAGATTGAGAAGCATTACACATGAGCATATGTTGCTCGCGAAGTTCCATTCGGGCTCGTTTTGATCTCCGTGAGTGGGTAATGAAACGGCGATCTGGGGTGGCAACGTATCAAATCTGCGCCACAGTAACACTGGATCACTGATGAAGAAGGCATCTGTATCAACAAAGATAGATTTCTTCACTGTCTCTGGGAGAACTTCATGGATGAACAGCTTCAGTAAACCAGCTGTAATAGATGTATGGTCAAACAGGATACATGTCCATTATAGAGAACTTACGCAGTCCTGCGGAGTGGTCGGACGCTATAGCACCTTCCCTCCCGATGCGCGCACGGATGCTCGACAGGGGCATATCGTAGAACTTGACGACAACATTCTGACGAGGACGTTTAACCAGTAAGAGTCGGCGTTCAAGATAGGTTTTCGCCTCCTCGTCGCAGAGAATATGAAACTCCACTGGTTGGGAGGAATACATCAGGATTGACTAAAACATGAGCATGAGGTAAGTAATCATCTCTGAGCGGGCTCAACATACCTTCATCAATATCGCGCCTTCGCTTGCAGAATCAAAAGAGAACATGATCAGTGAAAAAATGACGGGATTGGACATGGTCATTGAGGAATTGACGGGTAGATTCGGAATGTGCTCCATCGTTGATGGACCATGCGTTGGTGGAACGACATCCAAAGTGACAGTAACGTCCTCAGACGAAGATGACCGTGGTGTTTGACGGACATATGTGAACAGAAGGAAAAAGGGGAGAGTGACGGCAACAAGAGCAGCAAATGCCACGACGCGCTTAACTAGGGGTGACCGTCGATTGTGTGCTTTCATACGAATCCGCCAAGGTGATTCAGGAGGCTCGTCGAGAAATGGCGTGGAATCGTTGTGAACCATTGTGGTAGTATGGGTATAAGGAGCGACGTGGAGAATAGATATGTTAGAAAGGAAGGACTCGCGATAGAGCGAGGGATGTCCAGAGCCTGTGGATGTCGGAAGAGAGAGGGGCGGAGGCAGAGTTTGTGTTTCGATCACTCTTGTTGAACCCATCGGCAAGATAACGGATAGTTTTTGCAGTCGATCGGAATATTATTGTTGATACTACTGTTGGATTGTAATTTCCGTGGAAGAATCCACTCGTCGTAAGGCAGCAGAATTGCACCATACCAACAGAAGCCGCTAAGCGAGGTTATATACGTCTACGATCCAATACTATGTCATACTCGAGCCGATCTAAGTAGAACAAGCTAGAGTTATCCTTAGAGCTGAGAACGGTCTTATAACGTTTCTCATGATCAGCATTTTGACTGATCGTGTTCAGTAGCAATCAACTTCCTTAGACGCACACGGCCACGGTCTGCTCTCTCAGCATTGCCTAGGAGCACTCTTGCCTTTCGCGAGTTGGAAGCGTGACAATCCCTATCAATATTCTATCACACATTAGCCTGCCTTCTCCGCACCTCGCATTGTTCTATCGGAGATTTTGGCCGTCGCAGGCGCGTCACATTGAGGTCATGTCTGCATCTTCTAGCCGTGCCACTATACCTTCGAGTACGTGTGTATTTGCCTGCTTTTCCTAGCAGCCAGCTCACATCCAGCTTGCTGGCTAGGAGCGTCCTTGAAGCGTACCGCTGAACACCTTGACGATGCTCCTACTGCATCCAAGGTCACGAAAGGTACGTCCTGTCCAGTGTGAGAATGAAGTCCCTGAGACGTCTTGCGTAGTGTTCCCTATTTTCTCTAAACCCAGCCCTTCTACATTCCGATGGGCCAAATTTCTGGGTCCTTCGGGATCCTGTCTCCATGGCATGAACTTGGAACCCAAACCTTCGACGAAAGTGGCTGCCTTTGATCTAGACGGCTGCCTTATTGAATCATCGATCGGCAAAAAGCAGGATGCATTGAATCCCTTCAAGTGGTGGAGACCAATTGTTCCTAGCAGCCTGAAGGAACTTCACAACGAAGGGTTGGTCTCTGAGATCACACGTGTTTCCGTCATCTAACGTCGTCGCTTTCAGCTTTGCAATAGTAATACTCACCAACCAGGCACTACGTGGGGCAACTGCCATTGCGAATTGGAAGAAGAAGATTCCTACCATTGCTGACGCTGTCTGTTTTTCAGTAGACTTACGTCTTACCGAACCTGACCATTGTGTAGCTCTCAGATGTACCATTCAATATCTTCGCAGCTACCGCGAAAGATGGCTTCCGTAAGCCGATGCCCGGTATGTGGTATGGGCTGGAGGAACTTTTCCTTCGAGATGGTGTCTCGATAGGTAAGATCTACATTCGTTCAAATGCAGTGTTCATCGTTGAGCGCAGCAGACAGGGAAGCATCGTTCTTCGTTGGAGACGCCGCAGGTCGAGCCGCAGATCATGCTGCCACGGATAGAAAGTTCGCTCTAAATGTGGGCATAAGGTTTTCGACTCCAGAGGTGTGTTTATCGCCACGTTCCGATTTAGTTCACTCACTGTACACCCAGGAGTACTTCCTCAAACTCCCACAAGCTCCGTACAAAGTGACTGGATTCCACGTCTCATCACTGCCAACCAATCGTGCGTAGGTGTTATGGCTGCTTGCTTTACTGTTACTGACCCCTTGGTTCAGTCCCTTTATATACACCCACTGCAACTCCACTTTTACCATCATCACCCAAATCCACCCCAGAAATTGTCGTGTTTGTTGGCTTTCCTTCCCTGGGGAAGACTTCCTTTTACAGACGACACTTCGAGCCTTCTGGATACGTTCACGTTAACCAAGATACCCTCAAGAGTAGAGACAAGTGCATCAAAGCTGTTGAAATTGCCGTCCAGGATGGACGAAGTTGCGTTGTCGGTGAGTGTATATATCGCTTTTTAGTGGGTTTGCTCATCGTTGCGCTATGACAAGACAATACTAACCGGGACGCGGTAACGAGGAAGCATTATGTAGATATTGCTAAGCGACACAAGATACATATTCGGTCAGAGTCCTCGGTGTTATTTGCATGATGAAGCTAACGAACCTCGTACAGATGTATCCTTTTTGACGGGAGCATAGAACTCGCTTGGCACAATAACCTCTACCGTGCATTCAACATGCCGCCATCATCACTAGCGCAGCAGGTAACATTTCGTAACTTCTCTTTCGTTCAGACCTGGTTAATGCTCGCGTATGAACAGACCAAGCGCGAGCTGCTTCCATACTCTGCACTCGCAGACTTCCGATCGAAGTATGAAGAGCCCCATTTGTCAGAAGGATTCAAAGAGATCAAGAAAGTCAATTGGGTTTTCAGCGGTTCGGAGGAAGAGAGAAGACGATGGAGCATGTGGTTGCAAATAGACGGGAAATAATCTTGTGGGCCAGGATTCAGTTTGTCACTGCTCCCGTATACGTTATGATTTCTCTGCTCTGCTTGCGGTGTAACGGAACTAGTCATGCGGGTATCGTAGTCGATCTTCACTCTTCGGTCTTTTTCAGTCCACTCAGGTCTCTTGTTCCTCTGGAATGATTCTGTTGTCAGTCTAGTGGAAATTCACACCAATATAATGCACGTACGCAACAGGCACGCCGAGAATATCTAAGGCATCAATGCGAGTGACATCGTCCCCTCCATTTGTTGCCACAAATATCTGAGTAGGCAATCTGTAAGACAGTCAAGAAGGTCTTCAAACGCAGACCACGTACATGAAGACTGTTCACTGTCTGGAAGCGTACAAATCTGAGCGAGATTGGCTTGCCCTCTTCAACTTGTTCCTCAGTTAATTCAAAGATCTGGGCAGCTTCCGGTTCTGTTGCGTCCTCTACGTCCTCAAAACCCAGTGATTCCTTATTGATGAAGAGTTTGATCGTCTTCGGAGCCTGTTCTAGGTTGCTGCTTTGTATGACTATTGAGCGTACACGAACAGTTTGGTTGAACTGTGTAGATTTTCAGATGACGACACTGGCCAGGAGATTCATGAAACGCACCGGAATATTTAGTAGCAGTTGTTCATCTGCATCGCTGAGTAGGTACGTAGAGCTAGAAGTGTTCTTGGACTTGGAAGAAAGCAAGGCCTTGAGAGTGTGCTCTCCTTCCTCGTTCAAGCAGTTAAGTTGTGGGGTGTCGAGGAACTCCAACAAAGATTTCTACATATCATATCAGACACTTCGCACTCCTTCTCAGTTAACAGAATATTTAAGCTCACATCACCAGTCTCCTCTGGCATGACAAGCAATGTTTAAACGTTCAGTTGGTCGTTGAGGTATGAGCAGTGTTCAAGAAATGTAGCACCTTCAGATTTGGGGGGAGCAATCGAGTCGATCACTGTATGATCGCTAATGGTTTAAACAGCCCAATAACATAATGAAAGACTCCCAAGAGAAACTATGTACGATGCAGACACGAAAACAGGATTAGACAGCGCAGCAGCGACCGAGCGAAAAGTTTAAGAGGGTATGTATGTATCAGCGAATTTCCAACTACATAATCACGCATTCATCCTTCGCATCTTGACGGGTTGGCCGTGCGGTATTAGTCCGTTTATTTCCAGACCGCTTCATTTCTGTCAGACGGTTCATAGCACGCTTGTTGCCTTGCGCTGGAGGGAAAGAGGCGATTGTTAGTAAATTTCTGTATGGCAAAAGGTGGACATTCGATGACATACCAGCTGCTCGCATGTACCAACGCTTAGCGAACTCAATATCTTGCTTCACGCCAATACCGACTTCAGCATAGTAACCGACGGCGTACTCAGCCTTACTAAGAGCTTTGTTCGCTGCTCGTCTCGCCCAAAGGTAGGCTTCAGAATCACTCTGTTTCAACACCCCTTCACTACCAGTCAGGTACCAACCGCTGAGAGCCAGCTCAGCTTCCGAATGACCCTTCTCCGCTGCCTTCGTGTACCATGCAATAGACCGCCTGGGATCGACGGGACATGTCAGAGCCCCATACTCATAGCATTGGCCAAGCTTATACTGTGAGTGGGTATATCCAAGGTGGCCAGCTCGAGTATACAAGTCCTTAGCGTAAGCTGGATCGAATGGGACGACCTGAGACTGAGGGTTCTCATACAGCATTGCCAATTCATGCAAAGCATGGGGGTTCTCTTCGTCGGCCTGCTCGGCTGCCCGCTTGAGCCACCCTACAGCCTCACGCGGATTTGGCTGCTCTCCTAAAGACCCCCGTAGAAGAATGACGCCAAGCTTATACATTGCAGCTGTGTCTCCAAGTGACGCCGCTTTGCGATAAAACGCAGCAGCTCGCTGAGGTTCCCTCCTGGTACCAGCACCGATCTCGTTGCAGACAGCAACACGGTACGAGGCTGCAGGGTGATTCTGTTTCGCCGCCTGGAGATATAAATGGTACGCCCGCTCGTGATCAACTTGTAGACCCAACATTCCCGTTCCATGACAATTTGCGAGGAAGAACTGAGCCTCATCGTAAGCGTCGCCTTGAGTAGCTAATCGTCGGATCACCTTGAGAGATTCACTGATTAGTGAGTCCCGTAACTTCTTCACCGCACGTTGGTCCTTCGCATCAGAACCAATCTTCTTCGCAGCATCGATGAGGTACTTGGCGTATAAGAAATGTGCCTCCGGGTCCGGATCGTCTTTGATACGCTGACGGTACTGGTCGATGTATTCCTTGGTAAATGGCGGCGCGCTCAAGTCGATAGCCTTCGTCTTATGCGTACGAAGTGAAACTAAGTCTGTTGTACCCTGTCTGTTCAAGGGGGGTCTTGAGTCTATTTCTCTTTCCTCGGATATCGATGACGCGTTCGTCGGGGCTCTCATGAGGGAGGATGACGAAGATCCCGGGTGCATGGGTGCCATACCTGGTGGAACGGAGCCTGGCGGCATGTATTGAGACGGTTGATGGTATGGAGATTGAGACATGGCACTACTTGGTCTTGCGGGAGGAAGGAATTGTTGTGGATGCGAAGCCATTGGTGAATATTGTAGAGAATGTGACGGTGCACGTTGCACGCCGTTGGGAATAGCAGCCCCCGGCGGTGGTCCCATTCCGAGCACATCAGATGCTGCAAGGTATAAAGGGTTATACTCCCGTACTGGGGGCAGAGGCTGGACTGAGGTAGGGGGATAACCGTACGGACGCTGGTTTTGGTAACCGACTGGCGGACCGTATCCAGGCTGCGGCCCAGCGTGTGGTCCGGGAGGATATGGACCACCGTTGGGACCATTGGGAATATTTGGAGGATAATGTCCGAACCGCTCGTCCTGAGAATATGCACTGGTACGATCCGTTTCAGCAACAGATTGATCATAGCCCCACGAATCATGTGCACTGGCATAGCTGCTATGGGTACTCCTGCTTGAATGGACCGATGTCACGTCCGAAGGGCGCATCCGTGGTTGAGAAGGTGACACGGGGGATTGAGTAGATGAATTTTGTCTTGGAGAATCATCTATACGCAATGCGCTGATGTCCTCAATGGCAGCTGTGAGTTGATACGGTGGAGGAGGGGGAGCATCATCGACAGGCGAACTCTGACCCTGATCTTGGATGTGATGACTATGTGAACTCCCTCGACGAGCATCTATATCATTCAAAGATCCCTGTAAGCTTAGTTATAGCTGGTCGTAGCCCTGCATGGCGTACCGTTGTGTTGAGTCGGCTGTCCGTAATCCTCCGCGGGTTCCTCAGTGTACGCCAATCCCACGTCTCCGTATGCGCTGGTTATCGCATCTGTTACTGAATCAACCGTCGATTGTCGCGATTGCAAAGCTTCATGAGAAGATGAAGGAGTCGAAGTAGACATTGTTGCCGTTGCAGCAATCTGGTAGTTAACTGAGAACCAGGGTTCGCGGGAAGCTACGTCTGCTCCTCGTGTGTGGATCAAGATGCCAACAGATGCCAACCTACTTTGGGGAGACCACGAAAAGAAAGAGCGTCACCAAGAGAGCACGACAGCAGCAGCACAGGGCAAAAACGAGCCCGAGTTGAGATGGAGGAGGAAGAGCAATAACGAAGATCAGAGGAAAAGACTAATAAGGATAAGCGCACTAGAGTACTACAACAACCTGCCCAAAACCACATGAAATACAAAAAGTCATTACCGCGCTCCCTCAATCTCCATGGCCACCGTTGGAGGTTCGCCCTCATCCTTCTCACTATCCCTCTTACCATTCAGGTTCACTGAGGGCGGCGGTGTCGAGGACGGTGATGCGTGAGGCGATATTGATGGCACTGGTTGCTTTGGCTCATCCCAGACCCAATCTTCCGTTATCCTCTCAATCCGTTGTCGCTCCAGCCCCTTTGCCGTTCTCCGTACCTTCACCACCATATTCTTCCGCCGCTTGACTGTGACGCCCTCGTCGGCATCAGGATCGTCCTCTAGGTCCGTACCGGCTGCCCACACATCCAAGCCTTCACTGTCATCCATCTTCTTTCTCTTCAATGTCCTTGACTCCTCTTCCGTCGGTAAGACCGTCACTTTGTCCCAAATCCTAGGCTTGAAGTTCTTGAATAACAAATGTTTTTCTTCATCTTCATCAACGCTGCGTTTCCGCTTCTCTCCGACACTCGCAACAGAGCTTATAGCGGTAGTCTTACCTTTACGTCGATGGCTCGATTCGTCGTCGCTAGTGTACCCTGTGGCAAACTTCACTCGCCAACGAAGCTCTCTGGCCATAGCCGCCGGATCCTTCACACGATCCGAAGGTACCTGTTCCTTGGCTTCCCTCCTGGCCTGTTCCGTACCTCGCTCTATAGCTCGAGCTTCCGATACAAGGAACTCGGCCAGTGCCTCAACTGATTCAAGGACCCGTGGGGAAAACTCCTCTTTGGCCTTCAGATCACGTAGGTATTTCTCGCCAGTGTACCAGCAGAGCCTGCGATGTATAAGTCATCGAGAAAAGAATATTCAATATATGAAGCAGACCTTGAAAAGAAGGGGTAGCGGAATTTCTTTGGAACATGAGTCGATATCTCAATCTCACGTACCCTGAGTTCTAAAGGAGTATTTAGTCAATAGAAGTCGATGCCAAAAATCAGTGATAACATACGAGTTGCCACGTTATAGGAGTGGAGGAAGTTGCCTCCGATGACTACCGTGTCCCTTGGTGTGTACTGTTGTGAGCCATGCGAGATTAGAGCCGGTGCAGTATTTCATCGTGGAGATCACATACCACAGCATGTATCCATCCGGTGGGTATGATCATGGTATTCCCCCCCTGCAATTCCACCTTATAGACATCATCGACCATATCGCCCAACCACGAATGGTTCTGCATTTCAGTTCCTGACCATCGCTCATAAGCAGCCAAGTTGGAGGGAGTAGGACGAATGAAATAGAACACCTGGGAACCATTAACCACCAACAAACGTACAATCTGCCTCCTGGGGACTTACCTTTTCCCCGTGTAAGATGTGATAGTACACAGAGGAACCGGCAAAGTCGATGTGCCAATCCTACGCAAATAAATGAGTCAACGGCAAGATGTGAATGAGGGGAAAACTTGCTGTCCAGGCTTTTTCTACACCCATCAAACAGTAAAGCTGCACTTTTGGGTAGGAGTGTCCACGACCCTTCTTGGTAATAGGCCAGAACTTCTCCACCCAATCAACCTCTCGTACTAGTCGCGGAGGAAGTATTTTATCCGCCAATGAAGTTCCGGATATCTCAAGTGATATAACGTTGCGAATTTTGTCCCGCTTCTCGGGTTCTGTGTCGACGTATTCGGCCCACTTCTCGAGAGTCCACCCTGGCAGGTTCGATTGCGTGGAAACATCTGTAGATGTTTATCAGTCTCAACTGAAAGAGATACATTCTCGAATAAACCCACCTATTACTTCTACTGGCGTGTCCTCGCCGATGATTTCCGCAATCTCATCCACGGTAATGTCACTGGGCGGCATTTTCATGCCTAAACCTTCAGCGGAATCAATGATGATAGGCTCTGTAAGAGCCGTATCATCATGCTCCAACCACTCCAGTGTGACTTCGCTTCCCTTCATGTGCTTGAATGAATGGGGCTTGATTTCCTTCCCTTGCATCATGCGAAGCCACCTGTAGAGCGGTGTCAGGAAATGGATATGGAAACATGTTGAAACGCACCTGCCAGGGTCAGCTTCCTGTCCTGCATGAAGTCCGGCATAATCCCGTTGCGTCTTCTTTCTAGAGGACTTCCGTGCGGGAGGTTTCATGGTAATGACTCGCTTGGTATCAGCGTCCAGGCAAGGCCGGCAGTACCTGTAACGAGGAACAATGTCAGCCAATGTCATACACTATCGGAAGAGAATATACGCTGCGCACCACTTGTCGATAACTTCCAAATCTCCTTTACCCACACATCGCCAATGAAACCAAGTTCTGCACGCATCACACCTCACCCAACTCTCCTGTCCAGCATCCTTCTCCTCTTGCGTCTGGTCATCCGCACATGCGGGGCATTTCTCATCGTCTTGACGAGAAGGGTCGGGTTGAGCGGAATGAGCGCCGTTCTCAGTGGGAGTAGGTGAAGCTGGTGAAGCACCGTCTGCAGCCTCTTCCGGTGATCCTGCATTAGCAATATTGCTAGAGCGGCCACTACGTCGCCGAGCACGAGCCATTGCAGACTACAGCTTTACGAAACCGATGTTCTCGCTTGGGAAGTACTCGACGATAAATAACCTCCGGGTGCTCTGGAGCCCCTCTGACTTGATTCTTGTCTTGGCAGCCGACTGGTAAGAAGGTGAGATATGGGCGCCTCCATTTCCATTTACCACAGCGCCTTACGTCAGCAAACGTGTCCGAAAAACTCGGATTGAGTTCACTGAACATTGACCATCACAACCAAGTCTAGAGTAAAATGACGCAAATTCTTACAATACAGCATGATATCTGTAATGGTACACATTGATTGCTTCTCTTCTATGATTCGCTTCGTTGTTCAACTTACTTCTCGCTCAGCTCAGCAACACCAGGCAGGGTCTGGAAATACTTTTAGTGACAACGTAAAAGGCAGCCAAATCTCCTGAGCACGCACCTTGCCCTCGAGGAGCTCGAGACTAGCACCTCCGCCAGTGCTGACGTGGCTAAGCTTGTCCTCCGCCCCATACTGAGCAACAACGGTGGCGGTATCTCCACCACCGACGATGACGGTCGCACCCTTCTGAGCCGCCTCGATGGTAGCGTCAAGCAAGGACTTGGAGCCTTCGGCGAACTTGGGGAACTCAAAAACACCAGGAGGTCTGCCAGTCGTTAGATGCAGGGCCAAAAGAAAAGGGTAAGCGTATAACTCACCCGTTCCAGAGGATGGTCTTTGCCTCCAAGACAGTTTGGCGGAAGAGTTCCTGACTTTTGGGGCCAGAATCGAGACCCATCCAACCATCAGGAATACCTTCGGCGTCAGTAGCAACGCCGGTCTTCATTCTATGTCAGTACATAGCCCCACCCGAAGACGCGAGTTTATTCACCGTAGCATCCTTGTCGAACTTGTCAGCAGTAACAAAGTCAACAGGGAAGACGACTTTGATGTTCTTCTGCTTGGCCTTCTCTATGAGGGCAGCGACCTTTTCTGCACCGGCTTTGTCAAAGAGTGAGTTACCGATCTGGTAACAACGGTTCAATAACCGACCAGCTATAAGGCGAAGGAAACCCTTACGGGAATGTTGTCAAGAGTCTTCTTGAAGGTAAAGGCCATTCCTCCGCAGATGATCAAGGAGTCGACCTATTCTTTTGCTCCGAATGAGGCTGAGATTAATAACGACTCCGTGACATACCTTGTCCAACATATTCTCAATCAACTGGATCTTGTCGGAAACCTTGGCACCACCAAGGATAGCCAAGAACGGCCGCTCGGGGTGCTCAAGGGCCTTCGCGAAGTACTCCAGCTCCTTCTTCATGAGGAAACCAGCCGCACGTTGAGGAAGCTTGACTCCCACCATACTTGAGTGTGCACGGTGAGCAGTTCCGAAAGCATCGTTGACATAAACATCACCGAGCTTGGTGAGTCCTTCCCTGAATGCGGCAACCTTGGCGGGGTCAGCCTTGATCTTTTTGCCATCTTTGTCCTTGGTCGAGCCTTCTTCCTCAATGTGGAAACGCAGGTTCTCGAGAAGAATGACGGAACCCGGAGCAGCTTCTTTAACGGTCTTCTCTACCTCTGGGCCGACAGACTCGTGAACGAAGGTAACAGACTTGCCCAGGTGCTTCTCGACCTCCTTAGCGACAAGTTCGAGTGAGTACTTGGGAACGACCTTTCCGTCTGGTCGGCCCAAGTGTGACATCAAGATGACCTTGGACGCGCCTGCCCCAAGGCGCCTTCAGCATGACGTTAGGAACCTCAGGCATAGTGTATCGTACCATTGTCAAGAGCGTATTTGATAGTAGGCAATGCTGCTACGATACGCTGCAGGTAATCCGTTAATATATGCGGGTAGTCCGTATTCTTAGGCAACTGAGGACTCACGGCGGGGTTAGTGACCTTACCCTCCTGGATGGGGACATTGAAGTCAACTCGGATGAGAACACGCTTCCCTTTGAGATCGAGGTCTGTGATAGCAAGCTTATTGGAGAGAGACATGATGTTGTTGTGTTACAAGTAATAGACTACCGGGTGAGGGGAGGAAGAGGAGAGGGGTTTGCTTGGAGGTAGTTATATAGAAAAGCGTTCGGGAAGATTCCGATGCACGATCGATGGCGATAGGTTGGCTGGGGCACCCTCCTGCCTCCCGACCAGTTCATATGGATAATATACAAACGTTGCTCTCCTATTCATGGTCTATTCGTTCACTCTAGCCTGCAGCTAGAGTCTTTGACGAGGAGTGCTTGGATCCGCCTCGTCCGCGTTCTGAATTCAATCGCGATCGTAGAGGGGCTCGGCAATCACCTCTTTCCACAAGCCGTCGGAAGCGGTGAAGTTCATTTCATTCTTACAGACGACTCTAATGTCGCACAAGCAGGACGAGTCAGGCCCAAACTCTCTGGGGCTTGATCTTCAAAGCCTGAGCATCGATGACCAAAAGGACAAGCTTCCAGAGACAGAGCTAAAGCAAGAAACAAAATCCTCTTCCGATGCAGGTGTGAAGGAAGATGTTCCCCCTGCCGATCAAGCAGCTGGTGAGGCGTCGCCAGAAGAGAAGACAGACCAGGTTGAGCCTAGGAGTCCTGCAGGAAAGGAGAAGAAGAAGCCATACGTGAACCCGGATCGGGTGAAGACCGGTGGTGCTCAGCGAGTGAGTACATTAGGTTCCCTAGGTCAACATCTCTTAAGTTCGCGCTAGGATAAACTCACAGATGAGGAATTGACCGAACGCATGGCACGTATTAGAGAACAGAATGAACGGATAAAACAACGTAGAGAGGTGCGTCCAATGCCTCATTTTATTCCTGTACCACTGATTACAAGGCCGATCATTACAGGACGTCAAGAAGGATGAAGATGAATTCAAGAAAATGCAGGAGGCAGAACGGCAGAAGGCTGCGAAGACCAAGAAGGTTCAGGAGCATATAAATCGCACGCGGGAGCAGAATGCTCGTCGGAAGTTGGACAAGGTATGTTTACTGACTGCAGGTGTTTCGGCATATCTACTCACCGTCTTCTGCTATGGTAGATCCAAAATAGAGAATGGGATGCAGGGAAACCAGGTGGCAGTTGGAAAGACTCGAAATCGTCTACGGAGAATGGCGAAGCGGATGCGAACAGACCCCCTGCCGCCAAGATTGGAATTCGAGGTGTCGTTCGTGGCGGAGGTGCAGGAAGGGGGCGCGGACGCGGCGCACCTCCAGAAAGAAACACAGCTCCTGCTGAGAATACCGAAACTGCAGCTGGTCCAACAAGTCCTCCTGCAGCCACGGCAGAGAGCTGATCGTCACTATGCTTGTTTGAATTTACCCGTTCGTCCTGCTTTGTTTGAACCGTGCTATCAATCTTCCCATATGTACTTGTTCCTTATACGTACGACACAGACTATTACTTTGAATCTTGCCAATCACTCTAATCTACTACAGACTGCTGTCATTTGTCGTGAACCTTTACTCGTCGGAGAAATTACCTTATTGGGACTTTGAAATGCAGTGCCAAGATTTGATTAAGTCGCTTTTGCTTGAGCCGCTCTCCGTACTTCCACCTCTTGTTTGCGCAACGGTCTGGTTATTGAGACTATCATGGGTCGTGGTGTACTTCTTACGTCAAATTTGCCTCAGCTGCAAAACCTGATCAAACGCGACCCTGTCGCGTACCAGGAAGAATTTCTTCAGCAGTGGAACCACTATAACAGCGTTCGCCAAATCTTCCAGACTAATCCAGATGAGGAGGCTCAGCATTTCAGAGAGTTGGTGACGTTCATTGCTCAGGTATGACTCTGCGTTATCATCCTCAGTAAAACATCCACCTACCTCGTTCTCTAGGTCGCTCAATGCTATCCAAAGCAAACGAAGGATTTCCCTTCACAGCTATCCTCTTTACTCCTTCAGAGTTATGGTACTCTCTCGCCGGACACACGCAAAACTCTCGTTCAAAATCTTGTTATGCTGAGAAACAAGGATGTCATTACGTCTATCGAGTGTGTACCTTTTGGTTTGTACCCTCTCCTTTATAGTCTTATTTATTCCTTAGGCTTCTCAAGTCTCTATTCCCCCTCCTTCCGCGAACGACATCTTCTCCTCTCCGGTCATTCATTCGCAAAACTATTCTTTCCGATATCCGCACTGCCAACATCAGGACGAAGAACCATAAACTGAACCGTGCAGTCCAGACCATGCTATTCGGAATGGTTGAGAGAGGGATGGAGGCTGAAGTTGTAGGCGACAAGGGAAAAGCAAAGGCGAATTCGGGTAATGGTCATGAAGGCGAGGAGGCTATGTGGGCTATTGTTCTGACCAAGGAGCTCTGGAAGAAAGGCATCTGGTATGTTCGCAATATTTTTCATCATATTTTGCTACTTATATTTGGGGTTGCGTATGAAGGAATGATGCAAAGACGGTATCCATTGTAGCACTTGGGTGTCAACATCCTGTTGTCAAAGTGCAGAGCGCATCCGTACATTTCTTCCTCGGCGCCGATGAAGACGACGAGGACAGTGATGATGATGAAGACGTACGTGAATCGTTGCTTGATCGTAAAGCCTAACTCAGTATATGTCTCTGAAGACACCGGATGTCAGGTCACTTCATCACCGCAGAGAAATTAACAAGAAGACGCGAAGTGGTGACAAGAAGTTGCAAAAGCGACTCAACCATCTTAAATCTGTACGTTTCCTCCCTTGCTCAAGCAGGAATTTCCATTTATAAGTTTAAATAGAAACAAAAGAAGAAGTCTAACTTGATACCGACCAATTTTCCTGCCATCCAATTGCTTAACGATCCCCAAACATTCGCCGAGAAGCTTTACGATATCCTCAACCGTTACGACAAACGTTTCTCACTTGACCACAAAATCCTCATAATGCAGCTGCTTTCCCGAGTCATGGGTTCTCACAAGCTTTGTGTTCTAGGCTTCTACACTTACATCATGAAGTACCTTACATACCACCAACTGCGTATCCCAGCGATCCTTGTCGCTCTCGCGCAGTCTGTACACGACTTCACTCCACCAGACGCTCTTCTTCCGACGGTCACGAAGATCGCACAGGAATTTGTTCATCCTGGTGTTGGGAGCGAAGTCATTGCAGCAGGTATTAACGCAATTCGTGAAATTTGTCGAAGACAGCCCTGGGCTATGGAAGAGGACCTCTTAGGTGACCTTATTGAGTACAGGAAGAGTAGAGACAAGGCTGTCACTGCGGCTGCGCGTGGTTTGCTACAGCTATTCCGTGATGTCAATCCGGGATTGCTCAAGAGACGGGAGCGGGTATGTTTCCAAACCACTTCTAGGTCGCAAAGGATATATACTAACCTCGATTTACAGGGCAAGGAAGCCAGTATGGGCCTGACCAAGGGCGTCAAGCCTTTCGGCCATGGCAAAGAAGCAGCCGTCGACATCGAGGGCCTTTCGCTTCTCGAAGACCATCTCAAACAGCTCAGAACAGAGGAAGGGATCGAGGATGGAGTCTTCGATGAGGATGATGAAGGCGCTTGGGAGGGCTGGGATGTCAACTCTGACTCCGATGAATCTTCCGACGGGTGGATCGAAGTGGAGTCCGATGGCGACAACTTGGTAGTAAGCGATAGCGAAGACGAGGATGGCTCAAAGAAACGCAAAGGGAAGCAGAACGAAACGGAAGGTGATGTCGATGTGAAGATGGGTGAGGAGAAGGAGAGTACAGAGGATGCAACGACGCGGATATCAACTCTTGCTACAACCAAGGTATGGACTGCCCTGTTATATACTTGCCGCGCCCATACTAATCTATTCACAGATTCTCACACCTGCCGACTTCGCTATGCTCAACGATCTACGGCTAAAGGCGGTTACAGAAGCGGTCGAGAAAGGTGGTGGATCTGCAACCAAGCGGAAACTGGCTACGTTGGAAGCGAACAGGAAAATTCTCGCTCAACACGGAACTGAAGAAACCTTCATTTCAGAAAATGATATCCTAGGACCCAAAAAGAAGGCCAAGGCCGATTATGCGGAGCGTATCGCGTCCATCGAGAAGGGTCGCGAGGGGCGAGAGAAATTCGGTTCGTTGAAGGGCAAAAAGAACAAGGCCACGCCAAGCAGTTCGACCAACAAGGAGAAAACGAGGAACAAGCCCATAATGATGATCATCGCTAGCGGAGCCGTTCGTGGTAAGAAAAAGGCATCATTGAGGCAGAAGCAGCGGAAGTTGCGAGCACATATCGACAAGTCAAAAAAGTCTCATCACTGATACCCCATTCTCTTTCATTTGATGCGGGTCTATCGTACAGTACATGTTCTGTCTAGATGCACCAATCAGTAATATGATGACCATGGTACTAGTGTCGTCTTATTCTATCTGGCCCTTAGCTAGTCGCTGAGACAACTCGAAACCAGCTGCGAAGTGACCAAGCCTTGCGTCAACAGTGTAGCCTTTCCTCTCATATTCTACGAGGTGCAACTTGTCATGAGCACATTAGAAGATATACAAAGATCATCCTTTCTCACCTCTGAACTCCTCTGAAAGTTTGCAAATCTCTACCACTCTCTTTACGATGAACTCTCCCGCATCCAATTTCTGGGGGAAGGTTTCGAGCTTATCCGGGAATGGCACGTCCACGGTGACGAGTTTCATGTTGGCATTCGTCATGCCTGGACTGACGATTAGTGGTTCCTGAAGTAACAAGTCATGAAATCGATGAGTGAACATCAACTGACCGGGATCACTGACAAGCAAGGTGGTAGATTGGAGAACTTTCTTTCCCTTGTAACCAGTCTCTTCTTCAAGTTCTCGGATAGCTGCTTCTTCTGGTGTTTCATTCTCATCTATGAGACCTTGAGAGAAAATGCTCAATGTCAGGACTAGCGATCTTCTTATCATATTGTATAATCTGACCTGCTGGAAGTTCTGCGGGGATTGATGCTCAGTGTTATCCATATGACATCTTGATTCCTACTCACCGACAACGTACTTGCCGACAGACGGCCTGAACTGTTCGATGATTACGGTGGAAGTGGGAAACGTGTTCTTCTCGGAACGCAAGATAGCTAAGATAGCGACGGCTGTTCACAGATAGGTATCTAGTAAGCTCAAGACGATTTAAGGGAGGTTCATCACGTATTACCATCTATACCGGATGGACCTCGAGTTGTCCGTTCAGCAGATTCCCAGACTCTCTAAGACTGGAATCAGACATTGTAAATGTCCACATAAGAAGCAGAGTACAATACCTCCCTGCCCTCAGGGTCACGCCATCTCAGCTTCTTCAAGGTCACCCACCTACTCTAGGCTGAAGTCACGAACAGTGGGGAAGGTAGGAGAGGCACTCACTTGGCCTCCGAAGGAGAAAGATCTTCGGAAGATAAAACCTTAGGGGTTCCAGACATTCTACTCCTGGTGCTTATAGATCTATAGATGATAGTTCGACAACGAAGAGGCAAATAATGAGAACGAAATGTGGACGAACACGTTCTGAATGCAAAGGTCATGGATGAACTTCTCGAGTCTTGTTCCTGATCTACTTGTCGATCAGTAACAATACGTCATTTGATCCCATTCACGACGACATATCCAGATTTAAGGTTCGTGTTCTACAAACACGAACTTTATAAACCACTACGAAGCAAGACATAAAATGTGCACATGAAATAGCGTAGGTAACACTCTATCGTACAACAAACACTCAGTATCCGCCATCCCTCTCGTCTGCACCACGGTGTGAGGCCATCTGTCTCCGCTGTGTATCTTCCAGCTTTGGACAATTCGAGATACCGTGTCCAAGACCTGAGGAGAAACTGTCAGGATAAATTCATAGTATTCCAAAAAGAGATAGATACGTACCTCCACAAACGGGACATCCCTTGAGTGAGCCACCTTGAGCAGCACGAGGATCGTCGATGCTCTGTAGGAAAGGTGGAACCCTACAAGTGCAACGTAAGTAAAAAGTCACCAACAAAACAAACCGGCAACTTCAAAACGCACTTTTGGCCTGCCTCGATTAAGAGATACTTCAGATCAAGTAACGTCTGCTCCGGGGTATTCATGTTCACGAAGGTTGTTGCAATACCAGTCTTTCCGCTACGGCCCGTACGTCCAATCTGATGCACGTAGTCCTCGATCTCCTTGGGCATAGAAAAGATGATAACATGCTGAATGTCGTTAAAGTCCAGACCCTTCGATGCAACACTAGACGCGACCATGACATCCTTGGCCCCAGACTTGAAAGACTTGATCGCATACTGACGCTCCTCCTGGGCTAAATTGTTTGAGAAACATCAGCAGTGGAGAAAGAGCAAAGCAACAGTTACACCTACTCTTCGATCCGTGAATCGCGACGGCTTCAACACCCTTCAGGAGAAGATACTCTTGAATATCTGCAAAAGTTTCAGCAAAAGCACGAAGAATATATCGTGATTACTCGCCATCGACTTCGTTCTTGTTCTCGCTGAAGATGATAACAGGCGGTGGTGTCTTCTGAAGGCACTCCAAAAGGTACACCATCTTAGCTTCCTGCTTGACATATTCGACGACCTGAAGCACATCCAAGTTGGCGGCACCCGCACGTCCAACGTTCACGAGCACCGGTTTCACAAGTGATTGCTGAGCAAAATCTTGAATCTTCCGTGGCATAGTAGCCGAAAACAGAAGAGTTTGTCGTTGACGCTATTGCGATGTTAGCATATACGAACTGTGCAATAGAAAGTATTACATACCTTGAAGAAACTCATAATATTTCGCACGTCATCCTCGAAACCCAGGTCAATCATTCGATCCGCCTCGTCCATGCACAGATATTTGCAGTTGTCGAACGTGAAACGCTTCTTCTCGAGCATATCAATCAAACGACCAGGTGTCGCCACAACGATATGAAGACCCTTATTCAGCACATGACTTTGCTCTCCCATGGCGATACCACCGATGCACAACAGGGTATTGAGTTGCGGGTATTGTCCGTCCTTCGCAAGAGCAGCGGTCCATGTCAAGACATTCTCATATGTCTGGGTAGCCAACTCTCGTGAAGGGCAGAGGACGACACCAACAGGACCTTCGCCTCGGATGAATGGTAGTTTAGACTCTTCCTCGAGAGCGAACATGATAAGTGGTAGACAGAATGCCAGGGTCTTGCCTGACCCTGTGAACGCAATGCCGATCATATCACGTCCTGAGAAACTGTAGGGTGAGCGTTAGGAAAAGTAACGGTTGAGGAGGGGAAGCACAACGCACGCTGTGGGTATGCCTTGAAGCTGAATAGGTGTTGGTGTAGTTATTCGCTTCGATTTGAGGAATTTGACCATTTGCTCCGGAATTTTCATATCCTACAAGGTGCTCAGTCTACGTGGAAGGCTTAACGATGAGGGTACGCACCGTGAAATTCTCTATCGGCGGTGGCAGGTCTTCACCCTCAATAATGATATGGTACTTTTCACGAAGTCGTCGATGTTCTTCATCTGATCGTTCACGAACAAATCGTGGAGGTCGCCATCTAAGCGAACTTGTCAGCATCGATAATGTAAGACATGGGTTGTGTATAAAACGCACGTAGACTGTAAAGGTTCCATGTATTGCACACCCTTAGCCAACTCCAGGTCGGATGCTAACTTACGACGACTCGCAATGGCCGCAAGGATTTCAGCATCTTGTTCTTCAGCCTTCTCAATGTTGGTTTTCTTCGCGTCTATGTTGTGCAAGTCAGTAAGTCCACCCATGAATAAACTCGAACAACCACATACCTTCCGCAGCCCTCTTGTCATGCACTTCTTGAGCCTCCATCAGCAGCGTCCTCTGTTTCCTCTCCTTCTCCCTCCTGCGTTCCTCCTCTCTTTCTTCATCTTCCCGCTCCTCCTGTTCTTGTTGTAGACGTTTCGACTTGTCCTTGTCTGTGCTGGCTCCCCAGGAAGTCAGCTTTGCCAACTTGGCTTCTCTCCGTTGAGCAACTGGGATGTAGGGCTGAAAGTCATCGCCATCGTAGTCGAGCTTATACACAGGGGACGGAGACCGTTCAACACGTCGGCGTTTCTGGGGAAGTTCCATGAAAAGACAAGTAAAGTGGAGGTGAGTGTAACTGTAAGAGGGTAAATCCTGGTGTACACTCGATCAATCGCAGTAAGCAGCCGCGGCTCTCCGGCCCGGTGCTGTCCGGCTATGCCTGAATTTTGAGAGCATGTGGGTGAACACAAGTTGATTGATATACCCACCGGAGTATACCCATCTCAGTCTTTAAACGGTCATGTATCTCTCTTACCAACGTTCCTTCACTCCCCTCTCGTCCCCTTTTAAACTGAGTTCCAGCCATGTCAAAGAGCCAGTTTGACCCTGCTACGCACCCTCATCGTAGATGTATGGTTTGCTCGTCCAGAGACTGATCGCGATCGCTTACAATGTTTCAGTCAATCCCTTGACGAACGAGCACGTTCTTGTCTCGCCGCACCGCAATAAGAGGCCTTGGTTAGGCCAAGTCGAGCCTCCGCAACCCTCTAACCTACCCCAGTATGATCCGAATTGTTATTTGTGTCCGGGAAACACTCGTGCAGGAGGCCGAAAGACCGATATATACAATGATACTCTGATATTCGAGAACGACTTTGCCGCGGTTCTCCCTCCTCCGGGTCCCGCTGCTCCTTCGGCTCCCCACCCACTCCTGCAGACGGAACCCGTCCAAGGAGGCTGTGATGTACTCATCTTCCATCCGAGGCATGATCTTACGCTTGCCAGATTGTCATTGCCGGACATAAGGAAGGTAATAGACGAATGGTGCAAGATATACCTTCAGAGAGGTCGTGAGGAGGGAATCGCATATGTCCAAATATTCGAAGTACGTCTTCGCTTCGATCATACACATCTATGCACAATATTCAGCTCAGATAGAACAAAGGTGCCATGATGGGCTGCTCAAACCCACATCCACACGGGCAAGTCTGGTCGCTTTCTATCGTTCCGACACTCCCGGCCACGGAAATAAAGAATTTGAAGAATTATGCCTTGACGACGACTTTAGAATCATCGGCTCCACGAGGTCCATACGGCCGAGCCTGCATGTTATGTGAATATGTACACTTCGAAGTCGGAGTGGAGTCTGAGTCTGGTCGCGTTGTTACCAAGAACGAGCATTGGGTTGCATTGGTTCCTTGGTGGGCTGTCTGGCCATTTGAGATCTTGCGTACGAATCTTTAGCTCTTCCGCCAGAGTTACATGTGATTCATGGTATTGATGTTTTACCTTAGCAGTTCTCCCCTATAAGCGTCATATTTCCTCGATCACTTCTCTGACCGACGAGGGGAAAGATTCATTTGCCCAGATTTTATCTACCGTAACCAAGCGCTACGATAACCTATTTGCCTGCTCTTTTGCCTATTCCATGGGTATCCACCAACGCCCTCTTCCCCGTCCAGAAGGTTCGGAGGGGGAAGATGAAGACGACGTCGCACACCTGCACCTTCACTTCGCTCCGCCTTTACTGCGAAGTGCCAGCGTCCGGAAGTTCTTGGTTGGGTACGTCCCGTCTGCAAATGAAACATGCGTCGTATCGTTGAATGCTGGAGTTGCTTAGTTTTGAGCTTATGGCTGAGCCTCAGCGGGACCTCACCCCAGAGCAGGCTGCGCAACGTCTACGGTCGTGTTCTGACGTTCATTATCTGGACGTCGACTGAAGGCAGCCAATGGCATCGTGTTTCGACCATGGCTTGGCAATTGATGGTAGGCCTTGCGGTGAGGTCAAGCCGATGTAGAATGCGGATATTAAATCGTGTATGTTGTAAGATTATAAATAGATAGTGTCTGAATGCAACGAAAGTTTACAGCTTGATGAGTAGCGGAGAGATCGATAAAGATAAATCTCGATGCAGTGGGCGCCAGGGGGAAAGAAATTGATGAACCTATTGTCCAAGCATTCGTGCTCCTCCAGGGGCTCCTGTTTGTGCGATAACCCTCCCGAGTCACCTCAAGCCTCATTTCCAGCTTATATCCTCCTACCCCCTTCCCCCATGCCCTCCTTCATCCCTCCGTTTCACCAAAACTTGAGGATTATACCCAAACCTCTAAATTAATGACCTCTACGACCTTTATGACTCTGTCGATCATTGCCAAAGGCCGAACTCTACTCAAACGCTTTTCTTCTAAACGCTCCCTTGCCCGTTTGCTATCCACATTCCTATGCTGTCTTGCAGTCGTTGTCCCACCCTTTTCCCGCATCGGCGGGAATAATGCGTTCCTGGTCCTGTCTCTCAAGGAAATGGTGTTCTCTGTCCAGGAAAACTTGGCCCAACAATTGGAGTTCACTATTTTGAATATTATGGGTGCACTGATAGGCGTTGGCTTGTCAACGTTGGCCAAGTATATAGCCTCTCTATACCCTGAGAATTCCGTTAATGGACGAGCCACTTGTGCGGTATTCCTTATCATCATCAGTTTCTTTGGTCAGTCTGTTGCTTTATACACTTGCTCATATGTTCTGCTCACGGGTTAGTTTCTGTATCACATTAGCCGGGTTTATTAAGAGTCGACTTCCCCGCCTCCAGCTTTCGACGCGCATATCATGCTTTGTTTCTGTCTGGCTACTTACCGCGAACATAGGTATTCCGTCCGTGAGTATATGCGGTTATATGACTTCCATTCAAGTAAATTGAAAGTATGCCATAGCAAGTCTTGATAGACTCTGGTCGCTTCCTATGGATAGCTCTCACAGCCGCGGTCCTCTGTCTCGTCTCTTTGATTATTGTAATGGTATTTATCCGTTGGGCCACTACGAACTTCGAGCAAGAGGTCGCCACTACATTCGCTCTCTTACACCAGTCCTTGTCTCTTGCCCTGACTCTATCATTCTCCCCTGGACCCACTTCAATTACCGATCGTGAAGATTATCGTGCCTTACACCAACAGTTGCTCACGATATGTATCAAGTTGAACGAAAGTTATTCACAAGCAGCATTTGAATTTCGTGTTGGTCGTCTCAGCTGTACGTAGTCACACAGTGTTTCAGTTAATCTGGACCAAGTTTGTTTGACATCATCCTATATAGTACGGTCTATCCGACCACTGGTAGGCATCATTGAGCATCTCCGTCGAGAATTAGCCTGGGGGATGTCTCTAGCAACAGACCTGGAGTCAATTAAATCCGGCAGCAGACGTGGCAGCAGACCAGGCAGTCGACCTGGTAGTCGACCTGGGAGCAGGCCTCCGTCGCGGCCAGGAACGCCGACCCAAAGCTCACTCACTCATGCCATAGGTCCCCAAGCCCTCTCACTAGGCGACGCGCTTCTCAGTGCCATGAAATGCGTAGAGTCTACCATTTTACTAGTGTTTCAGAGATCGAGCGCACTTCCACCCCCTTCGGACGCAACTCCTATCATTATGGATAAACGCGGGCATTGGATAGCCGCACAGTTACAAGCCATTCACGAAGTCGATGAGAGCCTGGTTGCCGCGCGCGATCAGGCCAGGGAGCTCCTCAGAATGATCTTTGGGGACTTTCATATGGCTGAACGGGTAGCCCAGAATAAAGTACACACTCACAAAGAGAGTTATCACGGTAGTCTGGCCACCATTGCGCTTCTGCAGGTCGGTACAATCGAATTCTTTCTCTGAAACTACTTTCTGATTTGTCTCACTTATTAGATGGCACAAGAGATGCGTCATGCATTGCGTGTGGCTGAGAACCTACTTCTCCTCTACAACGAGCCTCATTCACGTATCTGGTTACCTCGTTTGTCTCTCTCTTGGCTCGGTGTACCACCTCGTCCCCTTATAGCTGAAGATGTCGCACCTCCCCCTCCAATGCCCGACTCCTCCGCCAACAGTGTGTTCGAAGGAGAAACGTGTGTATCGCGATCAGAACGCAAGCAAGGTGTTGCCGAGCAGCGTTTTGCTCTCGGTCGGATGCGTTCGATTGAGCTGGAAGAGCAGCTCGGCGAAGGAGAAAAGGCGAAACGAAGACTTAGCGACCTTGTGACGTACACCTCAACCTTCTTCATGTGGCTTTGGTCCAACGACACTACGTTGCAACTGCGGATTCGCCTATGGTCTTTCCATCGATCACTCAAGGGGTCCAGCCACCTCCGACATGCTCTGAAAAACGCTGTAGGCGTTGCCCTTCTTACATTCCCTGCCTTCATGCCAGCTGAATCTCATGGTAAGCAGTACCGTATGGACATCGCTACCCTTGTACTGACGTGAATTGGAAGCTCAGGTCATCAATGGTGGCAATCCGTCCGTGGACAATGGATGACTATCAGGTATGTCTGTACTGGTCAAGATGGAGTGCTGTCATTCCTAAGGATGTCTCCCGGATCAGTTACCTTTGGGTCCTTGAAACTAATACGGGAGCAACTTGGAGAACTGGTTACCTCCGAATTGTGAGTGTATAGTCTGTCATTTGACTCGAACGGCGTAGGGCTGACGATTGAATAGTTGGGCACTATTCTCGGTGCTACTTATGCATATGTTGTATGTATCTCTTGGACAGTGCTTGCCTGCTTGAAATTCTGACTGTCGCTCAATAGATATGGGCTATATGTCGTACGAATCCATATGGCTTAGTAGTCATGGTCACGGTAAGCTAGTATTATCTACAGTCTGATAGAGTCCTTAGACTGTTCCATAGGCTGCAGACGTACCTATAACATGGCTTATCACAAGAATGTCATTAGGTCCACTGGCAGTCCCGCTGTATGTTCTCATGAAAGCCTTTTGCATACGTTGCACTCATTTTGTTGATAGTTCAATCACTCTGCCACCTATCGCCTTCGCACAATACACTACGGGAGATCTCTCGATATCAGTGATACGTGAGTAAAGCTCAGTCCTTTCAGCGCTCCCTCGCTGAAGCGACTTCTCTAGGCCTTGCTATCTTGCGAGCACTCCTGATCGGTATAGGTATAATAGCAGCGTTACTCATGAACAGTCTAGTATTTCCCCGTCACTGCCGCGTATGTTGTAATTAGTCGCTCATGCAGTTTGAGAATTTCACTGACCTTTGTCTCTAGGTACTCTTTCTTTCGGATACCAGTCGTGCTTTGGCTTTGCTCAGCAATTTATATCTCACACTTAGCCAGTAGGTTTCATGCCAATGTTTGGAGTCGTTCATGTTGGGTTGACCGAACTGCGTTGCCAGTGAAATGTTCCAGGCCAAGCACTCTTTTGCTTGCGACGAACGCCGCAAAATGCTGAAGATGGAGCTCGGAATTCGCAATTCGGTATATCGCCTGTCGGCTTTCATCGTCACCATGAATAGCGAATTTGGCCTTTTACCAGTAGGTAGACCATACGAAGTAATCGGAAGTCATATTCATATTTATCTCCCCCCACAGAAACCACTGCGTCACTATCGCAGCGTAGTCACGGTGATTCAGAAGGTCTTGGATTTATTGACAGGGTTGCGCAAGATTCGAGAAAACATTCCTCGCAAAGAAGCAGTATCGGACGTCTTTCGTGAACGACGTGAATTCGTACAGTCATTCCTCGTTTCTACTCCACTCGCATTGCTAACCCGAATACAGATGTCATGCGTTTGTATCACGTTGTTTGCTTGCCAACACGCTTTTCGAACTCGCGAGCCTCTGCCTCAATTTCTTCCGTCAGCCCGACATGCGTTCGAATCCTTGGAGAGTCACATATATGATTCGCTGCTTCGAGCTCGTGAGGAAGATCCTCACGCAATGGGTCTTTCATTGGTGTATGCCTTCGCCGAGCAAGAAGTTATGCGGAACATGGTCAACGCGCTGGAAGATTTATTGGAACTGACAGGTCGACTTTTCGGAGCATCCACTTGGTTGCAGGATTCTGCATGGACAATGTCTACTGATCAAGAGGGAGGTAGTCACGGATGGTATAGTACTTTTGAATGGGAAGAGGAGTAGGTGTATCAAAATAGACATGCGAACAATCGCAATTTGGGTTTTTTTCTTCCCTTCTGTTAAATATATAGATGGTCTGTTCCATAGAGCTTGATCGACATACATTCTAGAGTCTCCAAGAAAGGGCGGTACTATACACTATGTACATTATAACTACAGTGATGATGGTATAGAATATCTAGATTGCGAAGTGATGCAAGCAAAGTCAAGATGGAGGTAAGAAAATGTACGCCAAGTCTAAGGGCCCTTGAAGTTGAAACGAGAATGCAAGTCCGCAACAAGATTGACAGCATGGTGCGCTGGTCTGCCAGGGGAGCTTAACGATGAGTGCCTCAATCGAACGTTATAAAACTATAGGTTTTACTTTGCCAATTCATCGCGCTGCATCCTGTATGTAATGCAGATGTGCTGGAATTTCTGGGCAACAGTTTTATCCAAAGCCTTCCAGTCCGCGCCCATGGACTTCAGGGTTTGGGTGAAACTTGAAGCATCTGTACATACTAAATTAGCTACCTGAACAGTCTATTGTAGGTTCAAGTTTGAACGCACCATTAGGCATGAGAACGCTTAGCATATGCAAAGTATTGTCATCCAACAGGTCAGATACATGATCAGATCCATCGTTACGAACGATCTGGCACAAGCGAGATCAGTGTGGTACGATACAGACAGCGATGCAGCACCTACAATGTCTCGCAGTTCCAAGAGCTCTTTGAGGCACCGTTCCTCAATCTTGTCTTCGTTGTTCAACACTGGCCGTGAGGGACCTGCCTCCTGCGATTGCTCATCATCGATTTCTATTGGGTCTTCATCCAATATAGTCGAACGCCTGACGGGCTCCCGGGCTCCACGACCGCTTACGCGGGGAACAGTGTTTTGCGCCTTGATCACCTCTCCGAAGTCGTCATCATCATCGTCAATCTCAATGATGTCGTCGTCCTCAACGAAATCGTCATCTTCCCCGTCAGACGCAGATGGCTTTTGTTGCGTGCTAGCGACCGATGGCGCGGCCACGGAAATGCTCTCGTTCCGCCCATGACTAGATATAGGAGGACGACGCCTCTCGGAAATAGGTGCACCGTTCTTACGCGGCCGTTTGAAGAGCATAATCAGCTTCTCGTCCTTACCAGGAAAACCTGCGGCTCTTCGAGTGACCTGTACAGAAAACATGAGTGCGAAAAAAGGGCGAAATATCGAATATATCATACCACTAATTTGGAATGGGTAAACTTGTCATGGCTGCCGTAGGCAACCAGTTCGAAATACCCACGGGCAAATAAGTGGTTGATAAGCCGCTCGACTTGAGTAACCGGAAGTTTTTGACCTGCACCATAATGCGGCTGATTTTGGAACATGATAGAGTCTTTAGCCTTGCTTCCACGATAAACTTTGGTTAGTAACGTCTTGTTCACGATAGTGGTCTTTGTCATGTTGTGAGCGAGAGCGAGCACGTCCTTCGCGGATGAAGTCATGTCTTCTTCGTATACTTCAGATGAGGTGTCACAGCAATTGTCACATTGCTTATTACAGTCGCGTGGATCGAAGTTCTGTCCAAAGTAGCTTAATACCTGAGCTCGACGGCATTCGACGTTGTTAGAGCCGTATTCCAGGACACGACGGTATTCATCCTCTTGGTGATCCTTGAACTCTTCATCGCCGTCGCCTTCGCGGATACGTCTGAAGATGATATGCATGCCGCTAAAGCTGAAAACTGCACGGATGGACATAATCAGCATATGGTTCATTGTTGTGGAAATTATTCTTACACATGAGACAGTCAGAAGGTTTACCGTCCCTGCCTGCTCGTCCAGTTTCTTGGTAGTAACTGTTTCAACGTTGTTACCAACAGCGAACCTCCAAGCGAATCAATGTACGTACCTATCCAAGGATGACGGAACATCGCTATGTATGACAAAGCGAACTACGGGAACGTGAATAATTGAGTAATGCAGGGACATCATCTATGAGAACATACCATCGGGTTTGTCGATGCCCATGCCAAAAGCAATCTACGACAGGAGGTCAGACTAAGACATTGGATTTAGAGCATCCGAAGTATACCGTTGCAACGACGACTTTGCAGATCCCACGTTGCCACTCATTTTGTACTTTGGTCTTGTCGCGAGAATCCAGCTTTGCATGGTAATGCTTAGCAGAGATGCCATACTGGTCTCGTAAGACCTTTGCCATCTCCTCTGTTCTGTCTCGACTCTGACAATAGATAATACCAGTGTGGCCACGATGTTTAGTGTTGATGAAGTTGGCAATCTCGCCCCAAACGTTCTTGACTTTGTCACGGACATCGTAGAACAGGTTCGGCCTATTAAAAGAGTCGGTTACTCGTACGGGATTACGCATGCCGAGAATAGAGACAAGATCTTTCTGGACGTTGGTTGTCGCAGTGGCGGTGAGCGCCATAATCGGGACGGTTGGATATTTTTCGCGCAAGCATGACAAGTTACTGTACTGAGTCCAGACGGCGCAGGTGAATAGCAGGAGACATCGCAGCAGGTCAGAACTTACTGCAGGACGGAACTCTCTTCCCCACTTGGCGATACAATGCGCCTCGTCGACGACAAATCTCGCCAATTGCTGAGACTGGTATAAGTCATCCAAGATAGAACGCAGCGTACTACTCATCTGCAATCTTTCGGGCGTGATATAGAGCAGACACGATGAGCCATTTTGGGACCGGAGCTTTCGATATCCACTCGATACATCTTCGTCTGGTATTTCAGCGCGATGGAAGGCGATTACATCGATATTCTTCGCCCTCAAGGCATTGATTTGATCCTCCATCAGCGCAATAAGAGGACCGATAACTACAGTCATCCCTTTCGTAGATCCTGAGCGACAAAGAGCAGGCAGCTGGAAACATAAACTCTTTCCTCCGCCAGTAGGTACTAGAACAAGCACGTCACGACCGGATAGAGCTGCCGTGATAGCTTCAAGTTGTTTAGGCCGGAAGGAATCCAGTCTGAATACGTTCCGCAGTATTCGCTTCATTTCCGGATAGTAAGCCGACTTTGCAGGATCATCACTAAGCGTGCTGGCTTGAAGTTCGGTGCGTGAAAGTGGAGGTGGTGTTGGCAATGGTCCAGCAACGACGACCGAACTGACAGTAGAAGGCGGCTTCGCAAGCAAGGATAACGCATCGTTTGTGAAGACATCAGGAGGCAGTTCATCGATGTCATTCCAGAACTGACTCTCATCATCTTCATCAACTATGACGGTAGATTCCTCGCTGATAAGTGGTGCTCTCAGCGGTTCGTCAGACGATGATACGGATGCCATAGTGGAAGATGATGCAGTTTGTACTAGCGGCAAAGCAGGCAACGGCGGTAGCTCCATCGCACGAGGAGCGGCTACATTCTTTGCCCAAGAGGGTGCCGGTAACGTAGGCATCTCGTTTGACTTCTTTGCGTTTTGTACGGCTCGCACGCAGTCAATTCGATCTTGTACCAGTTGCCTGCATGATGAAAATATGAGTACGAACTTTAGTTGTCAATTAAATTACTCACAGCATCCGACGAATGAGAGCCCTCGTTTGCCGACAACGTCCTTCATTGAGATATCGTTCCATGACTTCCATCATATCATTCTTAAGGTCAAGATCGCAAGCATATTCCTCTTGGAGATCTTGAGCCTGTGCCTGCAGTGCGAATATGAGTACGGGAAGATGAATAAAATCCAAGACTCATACATACTTCCAGAAGGTCAGAGTATTCAAGTGGCAGTGCACGATCTTCATGGCGACTGCAAGGTGGGGTCTTAGGACATGCGCCGGTGGCATTTCTTGACTTCGACTTCGTTGGCGTGGAAAACGGTGAGCGACTTGAAGCTCTGGCCTTACCCTTGTTCTTGGACGGATTGAAGAAGTTCTCCTTCTGAAAACTATGGTTAGGTTTGAAACGTTTGGGCGAGCCTGTCGTTTCGCCAATACGAATTGGATCTGGAGAAGGACGTTTAGCTGGGATCGCTGAGCGACTACCAGAAGCTGGTGTAGATTCATTAGACGAGATCTGGATGATATGTGGACTGATGTCCACAACGGTGGATCGAGCTGCAGATTGTACAGACTGCGGTTTTGTCCTGCCGAACCCTGGAGTGGAGAATGATGGGCGAGAGGATGGCACTTTGGGCACTGCAAACAATAAGTGTTAATACAAGAATGCAGAGATTCTCGCTTACCCGCAACATTGCTACTCGGCGTGGATGCTGGCTTGAATTTCGATACCTATACAATACAAATATCTGCACATGTTATCACAGAGAGAAACTATAAATCCGTGCCTTGCGCTGTCCGGGTGCTGGTGAAGCGGGAGCAAGAGAGGACATCCCGTTCTCCTGCCGTCGACGCAGGACATCTTCGAGATTGTTCTTAGGCCCAGACATTCCGCTACGCAATCATGAAATGCCGTCGGCACGAGTGTTGCGAATACTAAGTTAGCAGCCAGGCCTGGGTTTCGCAGGCTGGAGTCTAAGAGGTCGGTGTTGTCGTCGAAGAGGAAAGGGTCCTCGTCGCTGCCGTAACAGGCATGGACGAGGTGCGAAAGCGCCCAAGAGACGCAGGAGACGCGTCGGTCACATGACCGTACATATTATGTAAGCGAGTATGTCGCGTCGGTGGCTGCTCCGACAAGCTCAAGCGCGACTCCTCCTGCTCTCTTCATCTGACTCTGCGCTGGCCTGACACATGCTGATATGGCGGGACAGTACTGGTTCCCGTCTATGTCCGTTTCAGAGATTGTCGAGGCATTCTCTGGCTGGGGTTTGTCTGTGAGCCCCCAGAATGTCGTCCACCCATCGTCGGACTTTGTCACCAAAATCTACACCGCATGTCTCCAACAAGTGACGAGCATCACTGAGGAGGAACTGCAACGACCAACTCAAGCGGCTTCAAATATCCTTGACATTTCGGTTTGTCTCTGATCACCTCAGATTGTTATTGTGCCTCTGATGTTCACTAAAGGAAATTTATACAACGGCCCTTGCACATAATTTTTTTCTAATGCATCTGTATGTACGAACCGAAACTGCACCAATTGATGAAGTTCACTTAGTCTTGCTTTAGACAACGCTTTGCTCGTGCAGCTAAAATCATGGATTTCAGTGCAAAGGACCTTGCCTTCCCGGAACCAGATCGCACGCGTTCGATATTCTCTGCCTTCATTAATCTTGTCAAGTTCTCAGAACAATGTGAGGGCTTTATTGGTGGTCTCCGCAACCAATCCGCGTCTGTAACGAAAGAACGGGACCAGACTGTTGAGAAGCGTGCTGAGGCAGAAAGAAGGGTAGCAACAATCAAGTCGGTTACGAATTTTCTCATCTTTATCGCATTCTTGATTGAGTCTCAATTACACAGAGCAAAGCTAGCTGAAGACGAGCCAAATTGTGAAATGTACCGGAAGGAGAATGACAAGATCACCGCGCACCTGATTTCGTGCAGGGATAAACAGCTTGGTCTCTTGGATGATGTCAAGACACTCAAACAAGAGAAGTCAGCTCACATACAGCGCAAGGTTGCTCTGTTTCTCCTGCTTCATGCTTAATTCGAAGGTTAATCTGACTTGTAGGAAGCCGTCCACGCTGAAACCGACGCACTCACGGAGAACATCGGTCGCGTACGTTCTCGTATCGTCCAGTCTCCCGACAGGATCAAGCGTAGCATTATCACCATGGGTTCTACGGCAGCTGAAGACAAGAGGACTGTGACTATGAATGAAGCAAAGATTCGGGACTTGCAGGCTAAGATCAATGCCCTCCTGAACATCGAGAAGGTCTGTTTGAGCCATTGGGCTGTTTGTCATGGGAGACTGACACGGAATCATCCAGGACGTCCGGTCTTGTGTCGAGGGCCTTCGCACAATTGAGAAGGAAATGCATGCATTAGACGAAAGTAAGAAAGAACTCGGGGACTTCAAAGAGCAGCTGAGTAAAAGGACTGCTGAGTTCAATGACCTGACCTCCAAGCGTGATGTGAGTTGCAATTGACTGTTTCCGCTGAATTCTAACACCATAAGTATATTTTGATTTAGCGTGCACATATGCAACTGTCGAAAGCTGAAGAGAAGATGGCTCGTGCTCAGAAACACGCTACAGACAAACGCACTGCCAGCCAACAGACCCTCGAGCGGCTGAAACACGACTATGAGGAAATGGCACACGAAAGGCAAGACAACGACAAACATGTTGAGCAGATGCGTCTTCAGGCTGACGAGATCGAGCGCGAGGTGTGCAATCTTTGAAGTCTTCAGACATCTCTCTTATTTGTCTTTTTTTTCCCCTTAGATGGCGGAACATCTAAAGCGAAGTCAAGCAGAGCTGAACGAACTACTCACGGAGTACTGGACGCTAAGGCATGCTACTGGTGTGTACCTCCTCTCTTACCACCGACCCCTCATTCTGATCCCATGCAGAGGTGTATATGGAAACACTAGCCAATAAGCTCGGCATGCAAGTGACAAGCACATAGCCTGCTTGCCCCATCTCTATATCACTACTATTATCTGTATTGTAGCATACCTTATACCCAGAACATGTATGTATCAATGACCGACAGCCACTCAAGCACCAACTCTGCTGTATACTGATTCATCGAACATCAAACGAAAGCCATTTACGATTTCTTAGATGTTGAGAAAACAGCCTGCAATGCTCGAAGTTCTCATTTATGTACGTGTTCAAAGACCTTCATCTAGTGCCGCTGTTGCCGCTCACCTATGTTAAGATTTCAGAAATGTTAACAAGACTTAGAACTTGATTATAGGGAACGCCTGTCTTCCGAGAGTCTACTAGATGCTGGAAGCAAGCCTACAACCATGCCGCGCTGCGCAATTGGATTATGACCCGGCGTCCTTGAATACTGTATTAACTTCGACTCGGACTCTATACCTGCTAGATAACGTTGTACTTTGGAGCTACGGAATGGACTCTCATAGATAGTATTGCATTATTCGTGTATACAACGCACGGTACCAATGCAGGCGTACTTTATGCTCAATGATGGATGAAGTGCCAAGTTCGCGTAGGGTGAATTGCAGATGTCGTGATCGATCGAGATATGTAGTTAGTGCATGCTGACTCGCCGCTCAAGCGTTTTCACCATTGAGCTTGGCTTTACTCTCTTCAGGCTGGCTGCTCTTTCCTCCAAGTTAGCGGGAAGCCGCGACTCTGGCATACAATGGTCCCCGCATGTCGAGCCGTACGGAACCTCGTCCGTCATACGAGATTGACCAAGTCATGTAATTATGGTCCATCTTGCGTGGCTCATCCCCACAGGCCCGCCAGCCATTCTACCGCCTCGTCAGGTATTTTCTCTCCACCGGGCTCCTCTGATTCACCATCCGCTGCAGAGATCGCCCCTCTTCTAGCCGAGTTCGTGTCACATCCACCAATGCCGCTGAATCTCTCCACGCTACTCTCCTTGGGACGCCCACCTACACCTGAGTCTCTCTTACAATCTGTGAATTATGTTCTCTCGGAAGTGCCTCGTCTGTTTGGTCTTCGAGTTCGCAATCTCGAGGCACTTCCGTTTATTGTCGGAATGAATCCATTCATTGCACGAATGCTGGCCGGGCATCGACGGAGTTTCTATCTTTTGGCGAAGCACCCTCCTGTGACGTCTGTAGAGGAGAACGCCCAGTTCACTCGGCAGCTGGAAGCTCTGGTACAGTCACATGTAAATGACATACCTGTCATGGCCAAGGGGTGAGTGTGCATATTGTCTTCCCTGTATCCTTAAGGACCACCCTGCATTTCGAATCACGCGTACAGAGACTGAGAGAATAACTCAGATATATGCTCTAGCTTCCAGGAGTGCTCGCGTTATTTGTCTTCTGACGAAATTTCGGATTTCCTCGACTCTGCGATCCGGAATCGTATTTCTGTACGGCTCATTGCTGAACAACATATTGCTCTATCTCGGACAATCGAGACTCCAAAGCAGTATCACGACGACCACGTCGGTATCGTACACATGAAATGCTCGCCGAAGGATATGATTCGAATGTGTGGTTCATTCGTTCGTGACCTATCTGAGGCAACTCTGGGTGCTAGTCCCGAAATCATCATTGATGGTGACGTTGACGCTACTTTTGCGTGAGTCCACTCTTCATTATCCTGTTTTATGAGCAGCTTTATGACGCAATGCGACGCGTTAGGTACATTCCTGTTCATCTCGAGTATATCCTGACCGAAATCCTCAAGAACTCATTCCGAGCCGCGGTCGAGCGGCACTACAAAAGCGGCAGCGCCCATCCCATTCCACCTGTCCTCATCACCATCTCGCCTCCGCAAAAACCCTACGCCACCCAACAACACCTCCCTTCCTTCCTGAGTATGCGCATACGTGACCAAGGCGGAGGTGTCCCGGAAGCCAATCTATCTCAAATATTCTCGTACTCATTTACGACTGCCGGCCGAAACTCAGAGTACTATGTCAATGATGAGGATAATGGCAGTGGCGGAGGACCATATGCGGCGCAGCATGTTGGTGGGAGCGCGGCTATTAGTGAGAGTATGAATGGAGCTGGGTTATTTGGTGAGATGGTCGGAAGGGGCGTGCAGCTTGGAATGGGGACTATTGCGGGTTTGGGCTATGGGCTTCCGATGAGTCGGTTGTACGCCAGGTGCGTTCTCCTACGACGGGTTCAAGATTGAAGCTAATTTTTAACTCATAGGTACTTCGGCGGTTCATTAGACTTCGTGTCGCTCGATGGATGGGGAAGCGACGTCTTTTTGAAGCTGAGGTCATTAGATGATGCAGAAGATATCGAGATCGGTTGACAGGTTGTTATCAGACAGTCAGCATTAGAGTAACTTACAACAGGCAGACCCATCCCGCACTGGTATCTATTCCGAGAGAGATATGTGTAATGGCATTACTGTAAGCTTTGCAGAGGGACGCTGATGAATGCGATCGTGAAAGTGATGTGCAAGAAAAGACAAAAACAACCAGCAACGAAAGAACGAGAAGATAAAACAACTAATCATGCACAGAAAAGAAGAGAGCAAATCAAGTAGCGGCTGTTCCGCAGCCGAGTGAAATACACTTGGGAACAGGGGTATGCGACAACTAACTATCTGGACGTGAGGAATAGGAGACTCGCTAGCGTGTCGAGAGCATCGTCATTTGCCCGAGGATATAAGATAAATAGTAGTGCGGAGTTCGTCAGTTGATGTCGTTACTTTGCGGCCTGTACGATGTGGGAGGAAGGTTAGGACGTCTTCCCAGTTGTGACTTGAAGAGTTCACGTACCAAGGATCTGCTAGAATGATATGAGGCCGGCTGAGCCTGTGAAGATCTATATGATCGCGAGCCAGAGCCAAGTGATATATGAGCAGTGTTCGAAGTGCTCGGGGTCGTAGGAATAGCGCCTGTCCCAAGACGTGTAGTTCGAGCAGTGAGCGGCGTCGGAGCACTAATAAGTGACTTCTTGGGGGTCTCAAGAATCTGCTTGCTGCTCCGGCTGCTGGTGAAGCTGGAAGTCGTAGACTGCAGTAACGACTTTGCAGTACTGCTCGGAGTAGGGCTCGAAACTTTCGCAGGCTTTTTACCAGATGTGACGAATGGATGCCGCAAGGCAGCCTGTGGCTTCATCCGTCGCTCCGGGTCCCACACCAGACACTTGGAGATGAAATCAAGGAAGAGCTCATCGTCACATCGGAGGACTTGAGCAAGGGACTTGGTGCCGGGGCGCCTTCGTCTACCTTTAGAGTTCACAACCGGTCGGGGAGCCCCAGTTGTATCTGCAAGATAACAATCAGTGACGGCAAGAAGATCCACACGAAGAAAACATGCGTACCGAAGAACAGTCGTTTCCGTGAGCTTCGATTGATGAACTCCTTGTCTGGAACACCGAGAACTTCCATGATGCACGAGAGCTGCTCTTGTTCGTTCTCGCCAGGGAAGATGGGAAAGCCGGTATAAAGTTCCGCAAGGATGCAACCTAAACTCCACATGTCGATCGCCATGTGGTAGTTCATGCCTAGAATAACTTCCGGTGACCGGTAGAAACGACTTTGGATGTACGTATAGACTAAAAAGGTGACCATGTCAGCAGATGAATGCTTAGCCCTATACAATTAAACTCACTCTTCTCATGCTCGAAACAACTACTGCCAAAGTCAATGACCTTGATCGCACTCTTCGCTGGATGCCGCAGGAGAACGTTCTATATACAGAAAGATTGTCAGATTCGAAATGACGACACGGAAATTAATTGCACGCACCTCAGGCTTCAAGTCACAATGCACAATCCTATGATGTCTCATCAGAGCCAGCGATTGGAGCATCTGACTCGTGAACCGGCGGATAAGAGCTGTTGTAAATCCAACGAATCCGTTCGCCTTGATCAGTTCGTACAAGTTGATGCTCAGAAGCTCCATTGCAATGCAAAGATGGCCACGGAAGTAAAAGTGTTCAGTCATCTTGATGACATGGTGTTTCTCTTCCTGATCCTATACAAGAAGTCAGTATCCAAACCAGAAAATCATTGTAACAATGCCACCGACCCATTTGCGCAAGCTGTCGAGTATCTTGATCTCAACGAGAGCCTGATGATGGAACCTCTTCTTGTTGCGAATGATCTTGATGGCGACAGACTCTCCGGTGCAATGATCACGACAATGCAAGACTTGACCGAACGAGCCCTTGCCAAGGGTGTCGATCACCTCATAACGGAATGCCAAATGATCGTGGGGGACGACCAGATAGTCGCCTCGCTCATCGTCGTAGCCATGGTTGTTTGTCGAGTTGTCTAGGGTGGCCAAGTTCTTCTTGCTGTTCGCCCCAATATAGTACACTGACTGATATTCCTGGATCTCCTTGCATTCGTACTCCGAAAGGTACTTGGCCTGAGAGCTCTTGAATATAGCTGTATATAAAAAGGAGTAAGCACGAATAGACGAAAAAGTAGCGTACAACTCACCGGCTGGAGACAGGGGAGAAACCGGACGGATGGGTTCTGGGAAACGTAACATTTCGTCCAATTCATGCTGGCTCACACCGTTAGCAAGCTTCTTGGCTTGTTGTCTCCTGATATATTGCATCATTTCCTCGTCACCAAGCATCTCTTCTTCGTCAATGGGGCTAGGAGCAGGAGAAGGTGTTGACAACGATTGTCGGCTTGAAGACGGGGACGCCATAGCCTGACTAAGACTTTGTGATGAAGAACTTGCCCCGCGTGCAGTCGGCAGAGACATCTTTGGACTCAAGAGCTTCAATCCCTTTGATGGCGACAGAGCAGAGAACCGATGACTAGACTGTGTCTGCGTTTCAGGAGGAGGGTTGACGGAAATAGAGGCCACCGAGCCAGTCGATGACTTGCGTAACCCACTGAATGAGATCGACTCGCGATTGCTCTTGCGGGTTACACCTCCGTTGAGAGTAGCAGAAGAAGAATTAGAAACTTGACGAGGAACACGAGAAGCTGTCGTAGAAGGAGAAGCCCGTACGGAATGTCGCTGACTGGACGTAGCACCTGCCTTTGACGCTGCGGCACCAGTGCCATTCTCAAGGACGCCGAATTCGTTCATTGGCTCGTTCGTCGCAGCAGGCGAGGCGTCACGAGACGTAGGAATCCCAGAGCTCGATCCAATGAGCGTACTCGTTCGGCGGTTGCTCTTCAGAGTGGGCGAGTTCGTTGCCGAGGACCGACTAGAAATACGAGGTATCTTCGTAGGCGTCTCCTTTGACAGGGCAGACGATACGTTCAGCGATGACGACGGAGGGGCGTCCTTCGGTTCTCGCATACTACCATGTGAAATCGAGCCAACACTGGGAGAACCTGCAATGGTGGGTAGCTGATGTCGACTTCGTAGCGACGAGTCAGACTGCTTCTGCATTGAGCTCACAGTCTGAGCAGTAACGCGCGACGACGACGCCTTGGGCATGCTCTGATTCGACGAGAGCGAAGACGATGAGCCGGATTTGAGACTGGCGACCCTCTGGGCCGTGACTGGTGGCAGAGCAGAGATCTGCATGGGAGGTAAGGCCACAGGTTCCGCAGGCTTTTTCGGCTGAGCAGAAGACACAGTCTGTGTGGCCAAATGACTAGTCAGAACAAAGATCGACAACGTGGAAAATGACAAAGAGGCCATACCTTGCCTCTCTTCCGCCCCATCAAGACTGATATCCTACTCTCGCTACGATCTCTTTCGTCTTTCTTCGACTTGTCCTTGTCTCTTGAGAGTGGATCCCTACCGTGTTTCGCGTCGCTCTTCTCCTTGTCTGAGTGTAAACTTCTCCTGGAGCTGGAACCCTTTAGTAATGAAGGAAGACCAAGACTAAGTACCGACTTCTTCTGAACAGATCCAGGCACTGAAACCGAAGAGGACGAAACGTTTCCAACATCCTTTGGAGGGGAACGACTAGGATAGGCACGAAGGTGCGTGCCATGAGAATGCTGATTGGGTCCCGCCAAGTTTGTAGGTGAAAGAGAAGACGAGTTTGCGCTGTTTGGAGGATGCTGCATCGATTGGGATGACGAACGTCGGAAGAATGGGATCGATGACGGAGTGAGCCGTTTAGTCGACGGGCCTCGTCGGACAGAAGAAGCAGGGCTAAGGGGTTGACTGTAGATCGGCGCTGAAGCTGTCAAGTTAGTACTTGCGCTCGATGCAGTCTCTGAACGACTGGGAACAAAACGTTCGGGAGTCTTGGACGTCGTAATGGGCGGAGGTGCAGAAGCCGGTGGCGAGATCGGGCCTTTGACAGATCCAATAGACGACATCGAGGCTAATGACGAAGCAGATGCCATAGCATCAACATTAATAGGCGACCAATCCTCGCTACTCCGTTTGGACGCCGTAGGAACAACAGGGGAAAGCGGCTGATCCTTCGAACTTGACTTGCGCAGACTTTGTCCAAAGGAGAGAGCCCGAGATGACCTAGGTGACGCCGCATCCACATTCATAGAAGAAATCGATGGAGATTTGGAAAGCTTGCCAAGTGCGTTCGAGAAGCTCCATTTCTTCGAAGGCGTCTTGTGAGGAGTCGTTGAGGATGTCGGCGTTGAAGGTTGGTGCACAGAAAGCGAGCGCTGCTTGGAAGGCGTGTGCGGAAATGCGACTGGTTCCAACGTGGGCACAACACGATCGCGACTAGTATTCTCGCGTGGCTTCTGCTCTCTGTCCGAGTCTTTCTGTTTCTCATTCTCCTTGTCTTCACTGGGCTCGGTGACGGTCAGTTGAACACTACCTGCTGTAGATGGAGGCTTGTACGAGGATATGTCTTTAGGCAATGGTGGTACAGGCGGAACAATGTTATCCTCGGTCGCGTCGGTAGAAGCGATGGCAGCAGCACGGTCCCGGATATTGGCAGCATCGGTGGAGATGCTGGAGATGTCACTTCCAGCACTATTCCTCCTATTCTTGCTCAGGGATTGTCTGTGTGACTGCGCAGAAACAGAGGTAACACTGGTAGCATTAGACAAAGAAGCAGAGTCCCGTGAGCTGGTAGTGGGCGTGCTCGTATAAGTAGTAGATCCACCAGAGCTGCGCTTCGGGGTGAAGCTAGATCGCGCGCTGGCGCTCCCAGTCTTTTTCGTGGTCTTCTCGAATGACGGCGAGCTTGATGAATGAGTTTCACCACTCGCAGAGGCAGTGACGGAAGCAGTAGCTTGTTCACCATCGATTTGATCTTCGGCAATGCCCAATCCAGCGTACTTCTGCGACACACTTGGGAAGTCTTTTCCCTTCTCCTTACCAACCAAACTAGCGTGTGCACTGATGCGTCGACTTGCACGACGATTTTGCGTGCTATCCGGAGTTGACACAATTGCTTCGCGAGTCGTAGAGTTCTTAACGGGCGTCCCAGGTCGGCTCGAACTCCCGACTCTACTATGTCCACCGATACTGGAACGTGCGCGTGCGCTTCTTCCGGTCAAGCCGTCGAGTTTGCGCAAAGCTTCAGCTGTAGCTTGGTCGTCAAGATCAGACCAGCCTTCCTGCGTGCCGCGCAAGAGCGAATGGGCGACGCTGGCTGCCTGCGGTTGTTGAGAGTCTCGTGGGGAGGTATGCAGAGCAGACGCATTATTACCGTTGGAATCTCTGTGGCGCAAGAACTGCTGGATAGAGGATGAAGAAGGTGAAGGAGGAAGGTGAGAAAAGTCTGCGGTGTGCACGCGACGCGAGTGCAAATTCTCGCCATGATTAGATGAGGAAGAGCTAGCAGATGTCTGTCTCGTATGCTTTACGTTGACAGATAGCGTATCACGTCTTCTTTCTTTTGCCTTGTCGCGAGGCGTTGTAGCAGAAGGTATACCTACACCCAAACTTCTGTGTCTCCGGACCGCAGTTTTATCCTTCTCCTTGGGCGTATTCGTGGTCCCCGTCACCGATTTCGGGAGGACAGAACCAGTATTGTCCATTTCAAACTCTTCTGAAGTTCTTTTTCGCGCACGGTGAGTAGGAGAAACGAAAGACGTTGGTGGCGAACCAACGACTTCACTGGATATACTGGCGGACTCGGCAAGCTTGATTGGTTTCCTCTCCGGCGTCGCGAATTGCGCAGCCTCTGACGCAGGAGAGTCAACTAGCTTTGGATGGCGAGGATACAGGATCTCCTCGCCGCCACTTTCACTAGCCATGGAATGTCTGTTGCGAAGGGATGGTGGAACTAATGGTACATCCAAATCCTGGCGCGGCCGCTTAGCAACGGTACACTAGAAGGCGAGAAGTACTAATGAATACGTACCTCGATCTCTTCGTCATCTTCGCCGTCAATTGCCTCGATTGTCCAAGGACTATCAGGCATGTCTTTTTCGTACTCTCCTGATGCGGGTACCTGTACCGAGTCGTCCTCCTCTTCCACTTCGTCTACTCGCTCATCCACATCTACCTCATGATGATGTTGTCGTTCGCTCCGCGTCCAGCGAGGAGTGGCCAACTCGCCCACTCCGACCAAACCTCGGCGATCAATCGAGGCAGGATCCTTTCCGGGCGTAACAGGGTCGTGCAGAGTGCTCATGTCGGGCGTCTTTGGTAGTAGGGCGTTCGTTGGCAGAGGCGGAACAGGAGACTCTGGCGGGGTGCTCATGCCGAAATAATAAGGATCGAGAGAGGACGTTGCGGATGGAGAGCGCGGTTGTTCATGGTCTGTCGCTGTGAGTTGATCGCGGTTTATTGTGGCTGGTTCTTCTGCATGCGATACGTGTAATCGTGGCTGTAGAGCGATTGAGCGTAAGATGAATACGGACGAAACATGGCAGATAGAAGGATACATGCCTGGAGTGTGTCAAGGACGCGATTGCGATCATAACGAACGTCTCCATCGGAAGCAGCCTTTGGATCTGGAAACTCGAGCGCAGGGGGTCTTTCTCTCCTCTTTGAGCGGGATTTGTCGATGGACGATGGGCCGATGCGAGGAGATGGCGGAGCAGACATGAGCGAAGTAGACTAAGGAGCGAAAGAGGAAAGGAGAGACAAGATGACAAGGCGGGAGCGCAGGATGGAGAGATTAGATGTGGACGACGTTTCGGGCAAGAACGAGAGATACAAGTTGGAGAATGATGAGTCGAGCACCTGGAGCGATGGCTTAGGTGCTGGCGGTGTTGAGAGCGGCCTCAGACCTGCATCTAGAGGACGAGGAGGGACATTTCGCAGCAGCGTCGACCACCCTCTGCGTTTCTCCTCGTGCCCGCCTGTTTGGTCGTGTTTGCTCGCGGTGGCACAGGCCTTGTTCAGTGCACTCAGTTCAGTGGTCTCGGAGGCTCTCATTCTCTCAGGGTGTTCTCAGCTGTCAATGCGTTCTCGGTCTCTCAGGGTGTCTCAATTACAGTTACAATTTGAATCTATAGAGCTGAATTGCAAAGCGAGTGCCAAAGACGGTGACAGGTCGCTACAGGCAGGTACACGTAAATAGGGAGCAGGAGAAGAGATGGCGGAGGGATGCCGTACAGGGGAGGCGGACATTGTGGGGAAGAGGCGAGGGAGGTGCCACCAAGCTGGCACTGGCAGTCGGATGCCAGTCGGATGCCAGTCCAGCCGTCGAGCTGCTCTCCTCAGGCTGTCACCGCCCAGTGGGTGCCGGAGTGCCGGGCGGAAGTTGAAGATTACAAAGCCCGCGTTACGTCAAAGGAAGCGGGCGTGCAGGGTTTATATTGGGGCTCCGCGCTGGGCAGACTTTGTTTTCTTCGTCTCCCGCCCCGCCCGCCACTTTGAGTCGGAGCACGCCTCCCCAGCCAGCTCAGCGAACGTCGGCACCGCTTCACATAGTGAGTGTGACCTCTTCCTCATCGTCGATCACGTTGACCTCGCCTCTCATGCAGCCCTCCCGCCCCCCGCCCCTCTCCCGCCCTACACCCCCTCCTCCTGCCATACTAGTTTGCCTTGCTTCTCGGCACGTGTGCGAACGTCCTAGGTAAGGCGTCAACCGCCTCATTTAGACCGTCGTTCCCTTAACCTCCTCCCGCCATCGTTACAGTCAGCTGCCACTCCAGAGTCGATCACAACCTTCCCCATCCCGACTTCATGGCGGACGCCAACCCCGATAGCGACGGGCAGCAGCAGCAACCCGCCGCGACTCCACCGCCGCCGTCCTCCGATACGATCACTCCTTCGATGACCGTTCACCCCGTCAACTCTGGCGGAGGCGTCACCACGACTTTCAGTGGCATGCCGATGCACATGTATCCCTTCCCACCGGGTATGGTCAACAACAATGCTCCTCGTACCAAGCGCAGGCAGGTCAAGAACGCCTGCACCAACTGCCAGAAGGCCTGCAAGAAGTGCGACGATGCTCGCCCTTGCCTCCGCTGCGTCAAGTACGGCATAGCGGAGGAGTGCATTGACTCCCAGCGTAAGGAACGCCAGAAAGGGATCAAGCGAGGGCCTTACAAGAAGCGCGATGGAAAATGTGAGTATACTGTCCTCGTGTTCGTGTGCGTTCCCACCGTATCTGACACTTGGAATGCTTCTCTCTCCGCCGCCCCTCCGCTTCAGCCAACACTGTCGAGCAGCAGCTCGACGTGTCGGTGCAGCCGGCTCCGAACCAGTTGCCGGCTGCTTCAACTGCGGCTCCCGCTGGGGTACCTCAAGCAATGCCCTACATGCCCTTCCCCGGCTTCATGCAGTACCCAGCCGGGATGGCTCCTGCTAACATGAAGCCTGGTGAGATGCCCTTTATCATGCCGCAGATTGTCTTCGCGCCCCTTCCGGGTCCTATGCAAGACGGTGAGACCACTGCGTACCCGCAGGCTCAGTTCTTGCCGATCGCTTTTGCAGGATACCCTCATTATCCCCCTCCTCTCATGCTCCCTCAACCTGCTCATGGGAGGCCCGACGGGCAGATGATGATGATGCCGCCCTATGGGTATCAGCAGCAATACATGAAGAGTCCGACGCGCGAGATGTCCAACGAGGTGGGTCCTCAGGGTATGGATCCCAGTTCCCCTCGTCGCGACCCTCGTATGGACCACGGTCGCATGACCGAGGGCATGTCTGGCTCTCACCTCAACGGCGGTGGCAGGGACTAATCGCATCAGTACGTATTCTGTCATTGCTTGCAACGTTCCAACGTGCTCTGACGTTCTCACTCAGATTCTGGATAACCCGTGTATCATCAACTCGAACATAACTTCTCCCTATAGTTCTCTCTGGTGCGATCTCTTTGCTGTGTACGATAGTGTTGGATGCTGTCTATGCCCTCCCTTTTGCCTGTCTCCATATATTCCCCCCTTCTTGTTTTCGTCTCGCGTTTCGTCATTGTTGTTGTGTCTGTACTATCATCTCTGGACTTGAATATCAGTTGTGTGCTCTGTTGTCTGTTACCCTTACTTCGGATATGTGATCGTGAAGTCTGTTTTACTGATAACGCTGAATTTCGGCGGTCATGGTGTTGTCGGCGATGAGGATCCGTGGATGACGGAGTTTCTGCAATACCTGGAGCTCCGCGTAGGAGGGCTGCACTCTCATGTACGCGCCTTGGGCGCGAAGTAACGGACAAATACATCATAGTAACGTTAGCAAAACAGCAGTGGACATAGTATGTACATGAGGGGTATGTAAGGTGTGGGATATAGTCCAGAAGCAATATATCTACATATAAATGAAACAGGAAGCAAGAACGTAGATATCTCGATGATTCTCCAAAGCATGCGAAAACAGAAAACAACCCCGACATATCCAAAAAAGCATTGACACCATACTCATGAGGTGACATCCATGGCCTCATCCGGGCTCGGCTTGGGGGTAGCCTCCCTAGCCCTCTCAATCGTAACCATCCTCTGCACAACGACATCCATCGTCGGCCTATCAGCAGGGTTCGTCTGCCAACACAACTCCATCAACGCCCAAACCTCATCCGTCACCCACCTACTAGCATCCGGACCCACCTCAGGCCTTCCCGGTCTCATCTTCTCCCCAATCACCTTATGAATGACTTGAGCATCTCTCTTGAGTTTGGCAAAAGGCATTACGGTACTGAAACATTCGAACATGGTCATACCGAAAGAATAAACGTCGCAGGCCATTGTGGGAGAGTCGACTAAGCCTTCGATCACTTCTGGGGCTAGCCATCGAGCTGAACCTTGTTTGGTGAGGGTGGCGGAGGCGGATTGTTCGGTCACGTCTTCGACGAGTTTGGACATGCCGAAGTCGCAGATGAGGGCTTCTGCTTCGGCGGAAACGAGGATGTTTGACTGATAGGAAGGGGAAAGGAGGGGTGATTAGAAGATGTCTGAGAAGAGAAGAATGAAAGTCGGTACTGACACATTTCACTATGGATCGATCAGTACTGTATACATGAGGATAGATGGACCGCACGTACTGTTCCCATGCACTACCCCCTGTTCGTGAAGATACGCCAGACCTTGGACTGCTCCAGTCAACTGACAACTTAAGTTAGCTACACGACCTATGTTAAAACGACAACTATAGAGGTACGCACTAGATGATGTCGATCTGCGTCCTCATGCTTCTTCACGAACCTGGCTACCCCGTCAGTTTACGACAGAAAGTGTCATGTCAAACAACATACTCAAGAATGTTCCCGTTATCTTGCCATGGCGACACCATGTGCAAGAAGTTTCCAATATCCGTGACGAGCCCCAAAAACGATAGGATATGCGGATTCGAAAGTTTTGACCAAACTTTCAATTCTCGCTCAAAACGCTGGAAGAAAGCCAATGTAACACTTTCCCATCATTCCATTTGACATGAGATGAGGACTTACACGTCCTGCTTTGGTTGCTGTAGCTCTTACACCTCGTAATGCCTTCAGAGCAACCTACAAACGATTACCGTAAGTCAGTTCTGCTATGTTAGCCATGCCCGGTGCACATACCTTCGTCTCACCAAGCCACCAACCTATCCAAACGTCGCTATACGTCCCTCCAGCGACCGGGATATCTCCATCACGTATTACCTCACCATCGAGATGTTTCACCGTTGGGGGTATACCCATCCGTTTATAGAGTTCTGTCAATCCGTGTTGTATTTGAAGGTATTCGGGGGTATATGTAGGTTTCGGAGCAGACGTCCCTCCATCAGCGTTGATCGTCTTGGGTTGAGCTGGGAGTTGTTCACGTATGAATCGCAAATGCTGAGAGACTGCTTAATATAGTGAAAACACATATAGACAGCAATACTTGCTCTCTGGCCTTCCTCCATTAGTGGAATAGCTATCTCTTGTCCTACTCTCTCCAGCTGTCGGACTTCATCTGCGGCTTGGGCGGGACTAGTGGCAAAACGAGTGAGAAACTCTTCGACAGTTCTATGTGTGATGGTGACATTGGCCTCCACTCGTTCCTGGACGGTTTGTATTGTGATTAAAGAATGCATCTGCGATATGAAGAAGTTTGTCAAGCTACAAGGGAAGTATACAAAATAGGCTCACTTGGAACTTGCTTATCGTGGTATCTATGTCACTGTTGGCATTCTTGATCTGCTCTGCGATCTTGGCATCCTGCACTGTGGACAATGCACCGGTTGTTAAAAGAGAAGTGAATAACAATCTATTTTCCTTACAAAATGCGCGGACGCGACCGAGCTGCGCCCAACGCTGCATTCTAGTGTGAACCTTCAGGAGGATACTATCATGCTATGAGTATTCGTATATGGGCAAGACCACTGAGCACTGCCACACCTCTCCATTTCGTCTGCATAAACGCGAAGGTCCGATTCCTTCAATCGAGGACCTTGTTCCTCGAACACCTGGAGAAGCTGGCCAGCCTTGTTCCCTAACCTCTTGCATTCGTGCTGGTGGAGGGACGAGTCAGTTCATTCCGCGGATGATCAGAAACATCGGCAAACCCACTCTATGCGCAATGACCTTCTCAGCACTATCTTGGATACCCTTCACTAGTCCTGCAGCACCTCCAATATAGGGTACGCCAAAGTCGCCTGCTATCTGAGCCGCGCCCAGAATGGGCTTGATGATCTGGTTAGCCATGGGACGGGGTCAAAGCAGCATCGCAGAAAGCGAGGAATACAAGGAGGGGGAAGCTGTGAACACTGGTAGATGGATTGACAGGCAACTGACCGAGTTGGGCGGTAGAATCCCCAGCCTCGTGTAAAGAGCATCTTTCATACATAACGCCTCTCAGCTCAAGATGACTGATCACAGGATTTTATTGTATCCAAGATACAGCAGACAGAGACACCCTCGTAGATACACAGTGAGCAGCGGATATAATAGAGCATACAGACAGTTGGAACTAATCTGGAGATGGCAGTCCTCCGATGTTGGCATTTTGAATATATGGGCGTCTACACTTCTTGACAAATCCGTGCACGATCGTGTCTCGACTTGTGCGGCACCGCTTCCTCTGCTCTTTCTCTGTCTCTTAATCGCGTCTTCAAGCTTGCCTTGATTAGTACAAGATTTCTATAATGCCACGGAAAGGAACAAAACGCCGCCGTTCTGTAGCGTTTCCCGAAGTCCAGGAATCCAATGCTGCTGAAGTAGATTCCAGTCCGGAGAAGCCTATTGACATTACCGACGATGCAGAAGACGCACAGAATCAAAATGACAATGCTGCTGAAGATAACAATGAGGACTGCGACTCTGGAAATACTGAGAAGGAACAGGAGATATGGGACACGTTCAGAGAGGAGTACTTTGAAGGTATGCTCAGCATTGTATCCTGTATGCATATAACATTGATTATTCTCTCATGTGATTCATGGCAGTACTTGAGCAGCTGCCTCTTTCCCTACATCGTTCATATGCTCTCATACTCGAGTTGGACCAACAAGTACACGGTATATTGCCTCCTCTATTATCTCGTGTTCGGTACTCAACTTCGTTTGCTAAAGACTACACTGGCATTCTACAAACTGCTTTACGAAAGTATATCACCAAACGCAATGCTATAGCCGCTAAATTCCAGAAACAGCCCAAGCCGTCCATAAGTGAACAGGTCGCGCGAGTCCCTGAACCCGCACCAGATGCTGCATTGGCTCAGGAATCGGCAGACGGTGGTGCTGGTCCCTTAGAACATACCGATAACGCTCGTGCCGCAAGTCAAGTACGTCAGCCGTCAGTACCGCCACCTCTAGAGGAACCACCCGAGAACACGCGCGAACTACTGACGACGATAGCGCGAACATCCGAAGGGGTCGTCCGAGCCTCGAGCGAGAAAGTCAATGTAGCCAGACACGCATATGACCTCGTAAGTCGAGTGCTCTTCCTGCCAAGCGTTCTGCGTTAACTTCACATTTATGCCAAGGTAGATTGATAGATACATTCGAGATTTAGATCGTGCTATCAAGGAGGAAGAAACCTCTTTATCTGTTGGCCTTCGTCCGGGCACTCACCCTGCCTCTATAATCTTGCCAGAAGTTGTTGTGCCCTCGCTCAAAGGTGCACGAGCTCCACGCCTCACACAGACACCTGTACCTGAAGAGCTTCAACCCGAAATCCCAGCTCTCGCTGCTGAAGCACCCAAAGAGCCAGAACCAACGCCGATCGTGGTCGAGGAGACGACTTCAGTCGAACCGACATCAGTTCCTCCACCTGCCCTGCTGAAGCGTAAAATTAGGACCTCAAAGAGAGTAGCAGAGGCAGCTGTAGCTGAGGGAAGGGGAAGGAGTTTGGAGAAACCGCCTGAAGAAAAAGAACCGACGGCAGCACCCGTGACGAGGAGTTTGAAGTTGACGGTGCCCCCTTTGGCATCGGTGGCTCCACAAATTGAGTTACCTACTGATCCAAATGAACCGAGATACTGCTATTGTAATCAGGTTTCTTATGGACAGGTAAGTAGCTATTTGAACTGTCACATATAGCGTTGTATTAACTGTTTGATGTAGATGATCGCGTGTGATAATGAAGAAGACTGTAAAATCGAATGGGTACGTTCCTTCATATCCTTGAGTCGGCATGTATTGAGACATGTTTGCCAGTTTCATTTGGGATGTGTGGGCGTCACTCGTCCACCGAAGGGAAAGTGGTACTGTCGCGATTGCGCCCCACGGTTCCAGCACTCAAAAAAGAAATCGCGATGAGAATGCAAGTGGGAGTCTCTGCAGTTTTCTTTTGGTTTATCATTTATGTTGGGACGGACCATTGTATTACTATAGCCAACGTCGAGACGGACGTCTCAGTAACATTCACACTTTAGCATGTTGAGCCTTGGAACAGATACTTAGAATGAAAACGATCAGACCACTTAACTTCAAGAAGGCATAATGCCTAGAACGATTGTTAATCGCTGGAAGCTGGGTCAGGCACAAAGTAACTCGTGTATTCGTAGTATGCAGGATATACAATAAGCACGGAGCCAGTCGATGAGAGTCCTGTTGGTGACTCTAAAGTGAAGGAGTGGATTGCCAGGCATGGGAGAGGGAGAAAGCAAGTCGACATGTAGAGTCTTACAGTTGTGACATGGATATGGGTAATGACCGACATCGGTGGATGCAGACAGTTTCGCTATTTCGACTTGGACGTCTCGTTCACCGTTGTTTGATTGTCAAAAAGTGCAAAAGTAGAACCCGCGGCTGCAAATCGGGCTCGTATCATGTTGGCCTTAGCCTCGCTTCGCGGTTTAATGTCGCATTCATACGGGTTTGGTCCCAACGTTAAATCCTATAAGACAGTCAATTAGACCCATGCACAGCAGTGATATATCTTACGAGTGTATTATTGTCCAGGTCAATCGCAATGGGTTCTCCTGTGACAGAATCTTTGGGGACATTGAAGTTGAACGCCCATAGAAAGTTCATGACATTGAGGATCTGATGGAGTTTTAGTTGGGTGCTGATACCAGAATCATGAAGACATACGATTGAGTTGTTGGCTAGATGCATACCCGGACAAATCCGCTTATAACAAAGAATGAAAATCCATGCACGGTATAACGACAGAGTATAGACTTACCCTGCCCGCGCCAAAACCATAGTCGTTTCGCAACCCTGTTGTGTCCACTCCGGGCTTGGTGCCATATTCTGACCTCATATAGCGATCGGGCAAGAATTCGTTCGGATTCTCGAAATAATCCTCATGGCGATAGATTCCCCCTGCTCTTAGGTATATATCTTAATCAAACATACCCGATTGATGAGCTACTCACAAACATTGAGCAAAATAGTGGAGTCTTTAGGAATGACGAAGTTGCCGATCTAAAGAGCGATCTTTCAGTCTGCTACAGAACTGGACAATGAAAATGGTTCCTAACACGTTCGTCAACTGTATTTGTGTGCGGTATGGCAAGTGGCGCTGTTGGACGGAAGCGATGGACCTATGCAAATATCCGGATGGTGAGCCGCACGTGCATCTGCGAGTAGCGTACATGGGCTGACCTCGTTGATAACAGCCTTCAGAAAAGGTAAGCTGTCTATATCGTCGACCTCCGGAGTGCGACTGGATCCAATGACACTGTCGATCTCTTGCTGCGCCCGTGCTTGAACATCTGAATACGTAGCCATGCATGCAACAAAGAATCGCAGGTAGACAGCGGTAGTATCTGCACCGGCAACCATGAGAGTACCAATCAGATACCTGTATGTACGAATCAATCCTATTGCAAAGGAGGACTTTCAGGGAAGATAATCACTTACGCAATTTTCTCATAGTCAAGGCCATACTCTTCTTGGTGATCCAGAACATCCTCAATAAAACAGCCATTCCGTTTCTCGTTGTCGACGCGGTCAATACAAAGGTCCAGAAGACCAAAATAAAGTCTGCGTTGCAGAGCTCGAACTTCACGAGCCTGTGCCTTCCATGGTGCCCATCTTTCGGGGATGTATCTCAATATTGGAATCAGCTCGATTGGGGGAGTTCCGCCTGGCTTAACAAGATCCCCGATTAGACGCATGTCGTTGTCTATATCTTCGACTATGCTGTCATCGTATCGTGGGCAATGTATACCCACTACGACAGATAATATAACGGATGCCGAATACCTGTAGATATGCGTATAAAAGTTCTGCGTGGCAAATACGTCAGGTTAAACTACACACAAGGAGAGGGATCTACCTGTGGATTTTCCAGAAAGTCATACATAAGTTGAGTGGCTTCCGCATGTTGAATGGGCAGGTGCCTCATGCAAGCCTCCCCACTGAGAGCATCACGAACTGTTCGCCGAAGAGCCTTCCATGTCGGGCCTGGTATGTACGACGGGGATGAGGTGAATACACCCATGTTGTTGTTAGTTTGATTAGTAAGTACTCACCATAATCCACGAGTACCAAATCTACAGCATCTCCGTATATCAACTCGACCCCATACATATATGGACGGCCTGACATGGTAGAGCCCCGCAAGTCGATACATTCACGAACTGCTCTGGGACTGGAAACGACCACCACCGTCTTGGGGCCAAGTTTGAGCTGTTGAATTCAATGGTTGATAAATACGAGCGAGAAGTCAGAGCATCTATGCCCACATACCGAATAAATGTCTCCATAGGCCTTGGCCCATTCCGTTAATCTAATAATGTTCTATCAGTCCAGACTATCGACTGGCAGTTGAGAAAGGACGGACATACTTGAGATAGGGATGTACAGTCGGGAAAATATCAAGGTTACCGATGATGGCGACTGTTGGAGGTCCTGGAGGGAGGTCTTGCTCTCTACTACCAACTTTACGTAAACGGTAAGATATCCACAGGAGAAAAATGAAGAGCAGGCCAATTGCTTCTGTAGTCATGTCCGCTGGACAAGCTCAGGGATAAGCAGTAGGTACGAAGCCTTACAGCTAGTTTGGCGTTGTTATAGTAAGGCCTTGATCCAGTGTTCGCTATAACATCTTCTGTAACGTAATACTTCATCCCCATTAGGACTACTCAGTTCCTGCATTCAGTTCGAACAGCCGCCTAGATATCATATGGTGCCATTGACGGGAGCCACCAAACAATGCAAGAGCTCTTGCGTCAATGGGCTCTCGTCAACTCCGTGAATTCACGCATCAGTCACGTCACCGGAAAGATAGGTGGTGTTCCTGCGTTTCCGTAGGCTCGAGGGAGGACTCCGAATTAAACCCCAAGCATTGAGGAGAGCAGCTATGGTGGGTCGGTTGCGAGTTAGAACGGCTGGACGCGAGACCAAACTTGACAGCGTTGTATCCTATTAAGGCAATAAGGACGCGAAGGCATGGTGAGGTGTCCACGTGCTGATGATGCAGGGCATATGGGATATGTAGGGTTTAATGGGTTGTCGGTGAAAGCAAAAGAAATGCATTGTATAGAGGGGTATCGATGTATCAGTGGAACAGAGATGATACGAGAGTAAGAGACAGAGACAGAGAGGGAGGAGAAATCTGCAATGGGTATCATGGAGATTCTGCGTTCGGGATGGTTGAGATGAAGCTGACCGTCTTCGCGGCGCCCAGCGCCTCAGAAGACAGACGAAGGGAAGGCCGATGGGTGACAACGAAAGTCAGATAACTGGCAGCGAGACAATGAACTTGGAAATACTTCAAACAGTCGGCGGCAGTTAGGCGAAGATCAGTAGACCAAGCAATAAGGGTCCGAATGGCTTCAAGAGTACAAGATGCATTGACATCGATGCGCTCCTGATGGCTACGTGGTTAATATGTCCCTTGACGACACACGACCTCGAAAGACGTACCTTGCCAGACTCATCGCCTGAAGTTATCATCATCATCGTCCTCCTCTTCGTCACACATTGTGAAGAAGAGCGATAGTGCTTTGTGATGGTTACACAGTGTGAAGTTGGTTGACGACAGAGTGACTGCAGTAGTTAATTAGCCCCTAGTTGAATTATATCAAGGGTCTGTGAGGCTGACGGAAAGCGGCGAGCTCGCTCAGTCTGCATTTCAATGGACTGGCGCAACCCCAGTTAAGCCCGTGGATATTGGAATGGAGTTTCTGGAGAGCATAAAGTGTATAGTGTCCTGGGCGCCCTACAGATCGATGACTGTCAAGAACATCAGCAGAAGACTTGCATGAAAGAATAACGGATACAACCAAACAGCCCGACTTCAAGCTTCAAGCTTTAGGCTCTCCAACATAAAGCGAACTCGAATCATGACAAAGGCGTGAATAATAGATGGATCTACAATACTACAAGCCCAGAATCTAGTTATACACCTGGTACAGAGGACTGAAAACAAAAACACGTCAGTAAATAAAATCATCGGCATATCGTAAAACTGAATGGACACGTACGTGGAGGAGAACTTCGTTCCCTGACGCACTACCTTCTCCACAGCATCCAAGAAATCTCTCTCTGTCGCTACTTTCCGTCGTGCCCGGATGGCGAACATACCGGCCTCAGTAGCAACTGACCTTAGCTCGGCGCCAGTGGTATTGGGGCATAACCGAGCAATCAGGTCGAAACGGATGTCTCGTTCGACGCTCATACTAACAACATGCTGTAAGCGAAATCCAGCCGTAAGGCATACATGATAACGTACCTCCTCGCGTGAATACGAAGAATATGTGCGCGACCCTCGTTATCTGGAAGAGAGAACTCCACACGTCGGTCTAGTCGTCCCGGACGCAACAATGCAGGGTCAAGAGTATCTGGCCTACATAATGCATAAGCGGATCACTGACGATAAGAATATATAGCAAACATACCTGTTGGTCGCCATGAGGACCTTGATGTTTCCTCTGGGGTCGAATCCATCAAGCTGGTTGATCAACTCCAACATCGTTCTCTGAACTTCATTGTCACCACCAGCACCATCATCAAATCGAGCACCACCGATAGCGTCGATTTCATCAAAGAAGATGATGCACGCCTTCTTACTCCGTGCCATCTCGAATAGTTCTCGGACCATCCTAGCACCCTCACCGACGTACTTCTGAACAAGCTCGGAACCAATGACACGAATGAAGGTTGCATCTGTTCGGTTGGCTACCGCTCTGGCGCACAGGGTCTTTCCGGTACCTGGTGGGCCGTAAAGCAGGATACCCTTTGGTGGGTCGATACCTAGCTTGACGAAGCGTTCCGGCTATAGGGATGTTTGCATAAACATACAACCAACGAGGATGCATGTGTAAAGGTCACTTACTGATAGTAGAGGAGTCTCGACGACTTCACGAAGTTTCTCGATCTGTTCCTTGCAACCACCAATGTCCGAATACGTGACGTCCGGCTTCTCTTCGACTTGCATCATAGTCACAGAGGCGTCGATTTTCGGTGGCAGCGGGATTTGAATCTGGTATTTCGTCCGATCCACGCTACATGTTCGCATAAGTCACTGAGCATCAACGCCAATACAAAGCAGCGATACTCACCCTACTCGCATACCCTCCTCAATATCCGCTGAAGCTACTCGTTCACCCAGACCCACAACAAACTTCGCGATTTGTTTGATATTGATAACGTATTTGTCCTGCTCGTCGGCACCCTTCTGGCCTTGTGCTGCACCAGCGGGGTTAAGTGCACGAGCAGCAGCGGCAAGTTTGGGGTCTACGGGGATGATCTTCGTACACCGCGCTACCTGAAGAGGATGTTCTTCATTCATACGTGAGCGATCGGCTGGAAGGTCCCAGAGATTAGGTGATGCAAGACCAGTGTCTGATTCCTTGACACCTTTAGAGACAGACAAATGGAATGAGTACGAGGGTGGACTGCGATGTGTGCGGTGGCGTACCAAGCTTCTCATTTATCCGTTTCTGCACTTCGTTTATGTCATTTTCCGCCTTCTTTAGCCTGCCGGCATATGGGCCTTGACCCTATGAGTTGCGTAAGCGTCTTGCTCATAAGTGCAAGTGAAATGTATACGAACGTATGTCTTGAGAATCTGAATGTCACTGTCGTCGAGAGCTTTACGTCATGTTAGAAAGCTTATGTTTTGTTTGTCATGCAGACCTACCTTTGACCTCCTTCTCGTCCTTGTCGTCAGTCTTCTTGTCCCCTGCACAGAGTATGAGTGCATGATCAACGAGTGTGTAAACAGTAGCAAAACGTACACTTCTCCCAGTCTCTGTCAGATGCAAGTCAGTAATCTGTGCAATTACTGAATAAGAAAGGACATACGATTTCGGTGCCATTGTGTGTGGTGGTGGTTAAGTAGTAAGGTGTGCAAGTGTAAAGCACGCGTACGCGTCACTCTTTCTGCTGACGCGCCCGTTTTCCTTTTTGGGCTGTTGGCGCATATGAGCAGCAGCGACGCTGTAATTGCACTGTCTCTCTGTCTCTAACCACCATGGCAGGCGCACTCGCAAACGCAAAGAAGGACCTCCCCAAAGTTAGAGATGAGGAGCACGAATCCAGGTTTGGCCAGGTTTTTGGTGTATCTGGTCCTGTCGTCATCGCCGAGAACATGAATGGTTGTGCTATGTATGAGCTTGTCCGTGTTGGACATGATGAGCTCGTAGGAGGTACGGCCCAGCAGTGAAACATAGATCATGGAAACTGAACTTGTTGAGTAGAGGTCATCCGAATTGATGCCGATAAGGCGACCATCCAGGTTTATGAGGAGACTTCCGGTGTTACTGTCGGCGATCCTGTCCTTAGGACAGGCAAGCCACTGAGTGTGGAACTTGGACCCGGTATACCTGTTTACAGAGAATTATGCGCGTCTTTACTCAATACTGGACAGGTCTGATGAGTAACATCGTCGATGGAATTCAGCGTCCGCTCCGAGTACGTCGACTATTCAGTCAAGCCACGCACCCTTCACTAAATATACTTGCACCAGTCTATCCAAGAGCTTTCAAAGTCGATATATATCCCTCGCGGTATCAACACCGAAGCTCTCGATCGTAATCTGCAATGGGACTTTAACCCTGTCAACTTCAAGGTATTTAGTTTCCGCACTTCAATTAGACTGTTCCACTCTTTTGGTCTTGTCCCCTCTCATCCTGAGAGGAAATGCCTCGTTGGCAGCGGAGAACGAACGACCTGCACAGACGACGCTGCAGTCGAACAATACGAAATCTTTCATGCAGACGATGCGGTGCCAGGTATTCGATTCTCGACGCTGTTGGGACACTCAGCATTCCTGCTGACCAGACAGGACGAGACACTTTAGAATTGAACAGTTCCAACAGTTTATGTGCTCTGCGTCTACTGATACATCTCATTCTGGTAGGTTGGCGATCACATTGCAGGAGGTGACATCTTTGGCCGCGTATACGAGAACTCGCTAGTCGACAACCACAAGGTGATGCTTTCACCAAGAGCCCTGGGTACAATCACTCGTGTCGCTGAGAAGGGTAGCTATGCCGTCAATGTACGTGCATGCTAAATAATGTACTTTTCAAGTCCTCATATACACCCTGCTTTCAGGACATCGTGCTGGAAACCGAGTTCGAGGGTCGGACAACGAAACACACTATGATGCAAGTCTGGCCCGTCCGAGCACCTCGACCTGTCACTGAAAAGCATACTGCTGACCACCCATTACTCACTGGCCAACGTATCCTCGACGCCCTCTTCCCGTACGTATGGTATAGTCAGTCATGCAAGACCCGACTGATCAACACCACGATAGTTGTGTACAGGGTGGAACCACTGCTATTCCTGGTGCTTTTGGTTGTGGCAAGACGGTCATTTCACAAGCTATTTCCAAGTACTCTAACAGTGACATTATGATTTACGTCGGATGTGGTGAGCGAGGAAACGAGGTATGTTCGCTATACAAGGTCACCGATCGTTGACTGACTTGCACCAGATGGCCGAAGTATTGATGGATGTAAGTGTTTCCATTCGTCTAATCCCATCGTAGGCTCCTAAGCATACGCCCTAGTTCCCTGAATTAACCATGGAAGTCGGCGACCGTCAAGAACCCATCATGAAGCGTACCACTCTCGTTGCCAACACCTCCAACATGCCTGTCGCCGCCCGAGAAGCATCCATCTACACCGGTATCACCCTTGCAGAGTACTTCCGTGACCAAGGAAACAATGTCGCTATGATGGCTGACTCGACTTCACGTTGGGCTGAAGCCCTGCGTGAAATCTCAGGTCGTTTAGCTGAGATGCCGGCGGACTCGGGTTATCCTGCTTATCTTGGTACCAAATTGGCTGGATTCTATGAGCGTGCCGGTAAGGTCACTTGCTTAGGAAACCCAGTCCGTCAGGGTACCGTCTCTATCGTTGGCGCGTCAGTACACCATTTACTAGTTCTATTTCCGAGTGGCATATCTGATGCGAACTCGAACACAGTGTTTCGCCGCCGGGTGGCGACTTCTCAGATCCTGTGACCGCTGCTACACTCGGTATCGTGCAGGTGTTCTGGGGTTTGGATAAAAAGCTTGCCCAACGAAAGCACTTCCCATCTGTGAACTGGAGCTTGTCTTATTCCAAATACACCAAGATCTTGGAGCCACACTATGAGGCAACTGAACCGGGATTTGTCGAGCTTCGTACACGTACCAAGGAGATCCTACAAAAGGAAGAAGACCTCGCAGAAATCGTGCAGCTGGTCGGAAAGAGTGCACTCGGCGAGAGTGACAAGATCACTCTCGAGGTGGCGCGAATGTTGAAGGATGATTTCTTACAGCAGAACGGTATGAGCGAGTACGATCGCTTCTGCCCATTCTACAAGACCAGTGCGATGTTGCGGAACTTCGTGACGTTCCATGACCTGGCGTTAAAGGCTGTCGGACAAGGGGACCTCACGTTCGCAAGGATCAGGGAGTCCGCAGGTGATGTCATGTACAAACTCTCCCAGATGAAGTTCGAGGTGCGTGTTATCGCTATTTATCGTAGGATGTTTGATTGTGGCTCACACTATACGCATGTGCGCAGTCGCCGACTCAAGGTAAGGATGAGATGAAGACGAAGATGGACGCACTATACAACGAGATCCAAGAGAAGTTCCGGCAGTTGGTAGAATAAACGAGTAACGTATACCCGCGACAACCTTTGTTTGCATTGTATGTCCTGGACCTTTTTTCTTCACTGCAATTCTATATCTGCAGTTTCCGCTTCCAGCGTTTCCAGCAGGGTTTTGTCTGAGGGCGATGCATATGACGTCACGGCTTTCGATTCTTTCGTCTTCAGTTGTTCTATCGCTTGTCGAGCTGCTACGAATGCGAATCCCTCCACACGGATGTGTCTGTGTTGTCTGCCTTCATATTGACACGACTATTTATTAGGCTGAATATCAAGATATTCTCAAAGCTGAATATGTGCCTTTCAATCAGCTGCGGAGCGAGCATTCGGCCCCTAGCCTTAGACTCTCCTAGCCCCTCCAGAGCGGTCAGCACGCATCATCATTCCGCAGTGGAATCAGGCAAACTGATGACGTTTGCACGGCTTCAAGGCTCTGCATATAAACATTAACACTCGGATTACCCCTTGCTTCCACCCTTCTGTCTTCCACAGATGTTAATTCGAAAGCTTGCAGCAGTCGCCGTCGTCCTTGGTCAATCATCGTGGTCCTTCGCACAGGGCCATGTTGAGCCGGATGAGTTCTTTGAACCTCTTGGAGGCTCTGGGTTACAATGGAGCGTCCAGTTAGACGATGTTTGGGCTAAGAGACCCGAACCACCTCATTGGCCACCTCCTCATGGGCCGCCTCATGAACCACCCCACCCGCCGCCTAATGTCGAAAACAAGACCATATATCAGGCATTGAAAGATGATGACAGGCATGGCCAATGTCATTGTCATTCGGGTGCACGAACTCACTTATATGATACTAGATTTTCTCGTCTATTCAAAATCGTCAACTTCGCGGACGATATTGCCTCGATTTTGGATGATCCCAAGGCTAGGTGAGAACCATCTTGCTGTTCGTCCTTCTCCGAGATTTAACACATCTCCCTTCAGTTTGACGTTCTTCGCTCCTCCTAACCGAGCACTTCGTCCACCCAAGCACCACCATCACCATCATCACCATGACAAAGAGCTTGACTGGGGATATATGATTGAACGCGCTGCAGAGCCTTCTACTGACCTGCTCGAGGATATACCCCTTCTCGAAGCCATTGCCGACACTCATCAGCTTGACAAGGATCATGACGAAGACAAGAAGAAGGAAATATTCAAGAAGATTGTCACGGCTATCCTATCGTACCACATCCTTCCGACATCGTTTCTGGCTGACGACTTGGCAAAGAATTCGACCTTCGCTACGCACTTGACATTGCCTGATAGTTCTCTTGACGGGAAGCCTCAACGCATCCGGGTTTCAGCAATCCCCAGGCTCATCTTCCCTCCGGGTCTTGCGGTCAACTTACGTTCAAGGATTATTGTAGCTGATGTGAAGGCTGCGAATGGTTCGTTATGATCGTCTTTCTTCCCATTGGTTCTATGCTGAGGTACAACGGGATAAGGTGTCATCCATGTCGTCAACCACCCTATATTCCCTCCATCATCTATTTTCCAGACTCTGTTCTTCTTCTCAGACGTCTTTTCAATCTTCGTAAGCACACACTCGATCTCTTTTTTCCCATTTCCTGACGCTGCTTCTTTACACAGACTTCGGCGGTCCAGCGCGTTGGTTTAGGCGATGCTATCGAGTGGCGTTACGTTCCCGGAAAAGACGGAAGCAAGGGAAGCGTGCAAGGTTCACCATCAACCACTGTCTTCGTTCCCACCAACAAGGCCTTCGCAACGCTGCCTAAGAAACTTAAAACCTTCCTGTTCTCACCTTTCGGCGAACACGTGTTGAAGAAGCTTATTCAATTTCATATTGTCCCCGAACTCATTGTGCACAGTGGTATGTCTGTCTGGATTCTTTGCTAAAGTGCATGACGCTAACTCAATTCTTCAGACTGGATTCATAACGCAACTGACTCTCTCTCGGTCGCGTCTTCCGCTGATCTGGATCTCCATGAGGCTTTACAATATGCTAGGTTCGGCAAGATGGGCCTTCACCACACGAAGAAATCATCCCACGAACGTCGTCATGCTAGGGGCCAAGGCAAAAGCGATGAAGCGATCTCGCCTGCCAAATGTGGCCACCTTCAACCTCCTCACATCCCTCACCCTGAACCCGTCTACGCTGTGAACCTCACCTTGCCCACTCTCCTCGCTAATCACACACTCTACGTCAACATCGCTCAATATGAGTGGCGACTCCCCTTGCCTCCACACAAGAGTACGTATCATACGAAGGTTGTGGCTCATGGTGTGAATGTTGGTTTTGCGGATGGCGTAGCGAGGAATGGCGCATTGCATATCATTGATCGGGTTCTGAACCCGAGAAAGGATAACGATCACCACCACCACGATGATAAGGAGAAGGCATCTGGGGTGGATGAATGGGACGGTTGGGAAGACTGGTTGATCAAATGGGCGGATGAGAACTAGGTCGAGTTTCACGGTGTATTGTCATGAATGTCTGTGTATAGTAAACGACGAGAGTCAAATTATTATCATCTCCGTACGGGACGTCTGCAATTGCAAAATGAGCGTGTTCTTCGACGTATTCTGAGATCAACAGTGTACAGTACATTAATCCCTGGTTTTGCTATTGTATAGAGTCAATTCTTTTTGGATGTACCTACAGAAGCTAGAACGTCCAAAGGGTCTTCAGTCTCCTCACTCGCCCTCACTCTACCTTTCTCCTCACTCGCCATCACTCTACCTTCTCGCTGTCGCTTTCCACATCTAACGAGGTCCCAATAGTGTTCCTCGAAGCCTCCCTTGACATTTTCCTGGCCTCCCACTCGTGTCCATGTTCAGCTCGTCTTTGCATCTTCCGATGAAATCGAGTAGCGACGTGTGCTTTCCATTCTTTGCCTTCCTCGATTAAGACTGGTTGTTGCGGATTGACCGTGCAGACAGGGCAAACAATCTTTCGTCGCGCGTTTAGGACTGCTGTTGGACTATCAAAGTTAATGAGAGAGGTGAACTATGATTATAGACGATTGGGAAATATAGGATGATGCGAACCTGACATCCTTCTCGGGCAGCGAAAGTAATGAAGCAGCAGTGTCAGACACTGATAGAGGGTCTAACAGATCTCGTTCCTCTAGAAAGTCTGAGACCTCATTATTAGACACGATGTGATGATATACTACAACCAGACATACCACGAGTGATCCGTTCAGCAATATCATGTATATTTTCCTTCCAAGAACTCAAGTCTGCACAATACGTTTCAGCAAGGTACGGTAAAGTCCTACGCAGTGTACTTACCCGTAGCGTCCAATAAATATGTAGGAACCACAGGTAACTTGCCAATCTCCCGCATAGCAGCATTTGCACTATATGCAGCAGGTAACAACTTATTCCTTAACCAACTGACTTGCTTCTTCGCATATTGACGAGTGGAAATCTTCATACGGCCGACAGCTGACTCATAAGCTTTAGTTTTCTCCTGTCCTTCGGGCATAGAGAGATATTGCGAAAATTCCTTGAAACCTGATCACACAAGTAGTCAACCAAGTTGTGCTGAGCTACAATGAGTAGAAGAGACGGAAGAAGCCTACCTATGGACTGGTATAGGCCAAGTGTATAGTCGAACTGAGGCGAGTCTGTATCTGATCCAGGACCGTACGTCTGCTCTTCAGGTGGTGATTTGGCAATATCTATGAGTTCTTGAACTTCCTTGAGGAGCCCTCGCTACTGTCCATATGCGCCATATGTCAGACAATTGACTTCGGGCTTTACTTCATCTTGATGCACACACACCTGAATCATGTTATCAACACGTGCATCCAAACGAGGAAATAGAATATCTGGTTTAGCGTATAACCAGAAAAGCAAAGAGCGATATCTGAGTACGACGCAGTCAACATCAAACATTCAGATAGGAAAGAAAGGTATCGACTCTGACCTCGGAGGTTCATTAACTTGATTCTGTTCAGATACAACCTCACTTCCAAGCCTCCCACTTTCCTTGATAACATTCAAACTTCTCAAGACCTTCCTACTGTCCTTCCAATGCCATCTCTGCGCCATTTGCGGGTCAAGTGACCCTAATAATGAATATAATGCAGAGGCGGACTCGGAATCAACAGAATCTGAGGGCAGCTGTTTTGGAAGATTGTTGTAAAGGTCCAGGAACTTCGGAGGGAGGCAATTGACAGCTGCTGCAAGAGTTTCGGACATGGGAGCAGATGGTCGTTTGTCCGTATCATCTAGTTTATCGAGGGAGGCGAGACGGTTCGGAAAGATGAGGTGTTGAATCCAGTAAGATGTACCACCAACGATAATAGGAATTTGATTTCGTCTATGTGTCTCCTCGATCTATCGAAGTCGAATATGAGACTCAACTTCACTATGATTTGAGGCGTAAAATAGAATATAAGACACACCACTTGTATCGCATCTCTCACCCACTGTCCAACAACATACTGTTCCCCTGGTTTCTTAAACCCCATCAAGAGATGTTCGACCCCGGCCTGTTCTTCTGGTGGAACTTTGTTCGTGATTATGTCCATACCGGCATAGACTTGCATAGCGTCTGCATTGATGATTCTTGCCCCATTATAGCCATGGGTGCTATGGGATGTCTGCAGCTGTAAAGAAAGTGCAAGTTCGATGGCGAGTTTGGATTTTCCGACACCTGTTGTGCCGCATATTGCTATGAGAGGTCGGAGAGACATGAGGAAGAGAATTGGGCGCCTACGACTTTATATTTCCTCTCCTCCAGCAGCTCACTGGCACCGGGTGTAGAGTCAGTAGTTGATCGGGTTCTTGGACAACCACTTCAGTCCTAGAGCTTTTCTTCTTCTTGTATCTAAGGGCCTCCGGTCTCTTCATTCGCACACCGCCAGCAGCTTCAACCATGTCATTAGCTCGTGCGGCCACCAGTCGCGTCCGACTATTCAACCTCACACCAGCAGCCAACTCGCAACACGCCGTACGTCGTGCTTCTCCCTTGTCATATAATCGACTGATCAACCTTTGTCTTATTATCTATCTAGCAAAAACGTCTTGGTCGTGGTCAAGGGTCAGGCCGAGGCGGAACCTCTGGTCGAGGTCATAATGGTCAAAAGTCACGGTCAGGCAATGGCAAACCCAAAGCTGGTTTCGAGGGTGGTCAGACACCCATCATCAAGTTGTTTCCTAAGCGTGGATTTGTCAACCCGTGCGTAACATATACTGCCATTCAGATATGTTTGCTAAATGACGTGTGTAATATGGAAACAGGAATGCGAAGGTCTACGCAGCTGTAAACCTTGACAGGATCCAACACTGGATTGACCAAGGCCGCCTCTCATGTTCTCCGGAAAATCCCATCACTGCAAAGGAGTTATTTCTCAGTGGATGTATCCATGACGTCCATGACGGGATCAAGCTTCTAGGCGATGTGCGAGTTCTTCATGTTTTCAAATGCGTGCTAGTGCGTATCAGTGCTGATATATTCATGTTTTTCTGTCTCTTTAGGGCGGAAGTGCTTTAAAGGCACCTATACATATAACCCCGTCACGAGCTTCAAAGTCTGCTATCCGTGCGGTTGAGAAACTTGGGGGATCTGTGTTCTGCAAGTATTACAACCCTCTCGCGCTTCGCGATTGCGTGAAGGGCAATACCGAGCGAACGCAAGCTGCGCCTACGAAGCGCAACGACATTCGTAAGTCTTACACTCGCATCATCACCCTTTAGGTCGTAGTGTGTCACTCATGCGCTGCTTGTAGTTTGGTATACTTCATGGAAAAACCGGGGCTACCTTTCACCAGAAGCTCTCAGCAAGATGCCAGTAGTCGAAGACCGATGGAAAGAATTGTCAAAGCAATTCCTTATGTACAAGGAGCAGGGTATTGAGCAGCAAAAATAGTCGCATTTGTGCTCGTGTATAATACAGTACATCACTCCTCTAATGCCTCAGTGTGTTGTCGTCTCCATACGATCAGGCGAGATACTACGAGAACGAGAACGATAAGGTGATGGTACATTACTATTACTAACGCCGTTGACTCTGTCTGGTGAAATACTCCGACTGCGAGACCGATATGGGGATCCAGCAAGGGACCGTGAGCGACTGCGCGAAACATACCGAGAGCCCATATCTGAGACGACGCTTCGAGAACGACTTCGGCCTCTGCCAATACTTTCGTCGGTTACATCACTTCGACTTGGGCTTGGGCCTCGACTTCGACTGGGGCTTCTGCTGGGGCTACGGCTCCTGTCACTCTCTTCTTTGCCCTCCATGGCGTCAAGAAGTCGACTCTTCCTAGGACCTATCTCACCTGTATCTTCGAGGACGTCCCGCTTAGTAATACGTGGCAGGATGATGTCGCACGCCCGCTCTTCATTCAAAAGCTCGTCGACGAACTCATCCATGAACGTTAGTGTAAAGCCACCTGAGAAGTGTTTTGGAGTCAGTTTGGAAAGAGGAAGAGAGGATAAAAGCACTGACTCATGTCTCGCTTTCGGATTTTGCGGTAATCTTTGAGCAATGGTTCGAGTATCTCATACACCTCTGCCGCTCGAAAGGTCATTCGTATGTACATGGCAGCCAGTGCACGTAGATATCTGTGACGGAAGGTTAGATGTATCAAGGAAGCAGAGGGCAGAATACTTACTTGAATTCGTCTGCTTGCAGGTACTCCAATAGAATCTCCTTTTCTGGCTGAATTTGAAGGAGTTTCAAGAGGAGACACATGAACTCTGTTGGTTTCTGGTTGCCATAGACACCACCAATAGCTTTGAGCTCGATGGCCTTGTCTATGAGGGTTTCAGCTGTATGACAATAGTTTAGAGTTAGCACAGATGAGGAAATGAATGTGGCGCACCTGTAAGGGCGAAACAGTGTTCTTTCCAGTAGGTAGACTCATAGACACGGTTGCGAATAACGGCTTCAACTAGATGCTACAGAATATGAGACACGCTCTGCATAGTTGGAGGATAACGTACCTGAGGATTCTTGCCGTGGATGGCGAATGCGCCTCGGACGGTAGTGTTGGCCATGGCGGTTGGGGAGAGAGGTTGTTTGTGCGTGTTAGAAATCAAAGCGTTTGCCTAGTTTGGAAAGATCGGCCGACTGTTCGCCGATCACTACTCCCGGTTACTTGGTTCTTGCCCGTCGTTCTCACTACAATTACACGAGCTGACCCAAATCCGGTCTTCCGCTGTGTACTTATCTCGGCTAGCATCTGCCATTGTGCTCAGGGTTCACAATTCAGACTTCTCGAATCCCGATGGACTTCTCTTGCTGTGCGGTTCATCGTTCAAGAGGTAGGCTGCTTCCGCTGTCCAGAACTATCAGCTGGGCATGGGAGGCGATGTCTTGTTCTATTCGTGCGTAATCCTCTCGCCTGTCGGAGTTGGTACATACTACCACAGTCTCGTCTTCCGTTGCCCACATATGTATCAATATGTATGATTGTCGTTCCCAATTCAGTATAGCACTTCCATAGATCTTTCCTTCATCACAGCATGCTCAAGTCACGCCTCACATTCCTGGCTAATCGCACATCGATGTGACCTGATCATCATTTCACTACGTTCGTGGAAACATCGTGCCCAGCCAAATCTGTTTAACTAGTCCAGGTCCATAACTGACGCTCTACCAACCGTCCAACTTATGGTATTCTGACTCGCGAAGATAGCAACCGAAGCCCAAACTGGGCCGTCGGAAGGTGAAATTTTTCTTCCCTTTGTTCTTGAGCCTCGTGCTTCCTTTTTATCCGAGTGGCACAACGGCCCATTGACCCATTGATCCCTTTGTGCTCCAGGTTTAAAAGGCCCCTCCTCTGGTCCCCGTCCCCTCACCCTTCTTTCCCTCCTTCCACCACCACCCCCCTTCTGCCTTCTTCCCTTACTATGCTCTCTGCGACTGAGCTGCCCTCTTGTCGATGTATAGTATGTTACTCCCATGCTGTGACATTTGCCACTCGTCGCCTCACACCTTCTCACTGTTTCTAGCCACTCATCAACGTCTTCTACCCTCGGCCGTAAGCCTCGACGACTTCTACGCCACATTTATCCAAGGTCAGTAATATGTTTAATAGCGGTCAATAATATATACTCACTTACGCCACATCCTACGCCACACTTCGAGTCTGTGGGCATCCCTCAGGTCCGCCGTCTCTGCCTTGTTTCTCTTGTTTCTCTGCTGTCCCTCTACTTGCCCGCCGTGAGACGTTGTGCCGTAGTGCCAACCAATCGCTACTGGCATAGTTAGCGTGAGTGAGGCTAAGGTGCGCCACACCCTTGTTGCATTTAATATATCCTCATCTAACACTTACCTCCCAGGCAGTTTTACATGTCCGTAAGGTGTCCGACTCAACATCAACGTCAAACAAGTCTTCCGACACCGCGACATAAGTGGACTTCCCCACCAACGTTCGTCAAGATACCTCTAGACCTCAAGAGTCGACGACGAGGTCGAGCCTCAAGACCGTTGGTGTGTCTTTGGTTATGTGGGACGAGTGCCGGCTCATCAAGTGAATCCGGTGGCGTGGTGTCTCGCGAGAACATGCATACTTGTGCGGTTGGGCAACCGTCGCGTCTCCCTAACTCGCTCTGGTGAGAGCGAGTGCGCAGCGCGACAGTAGGAGGCGTCCCCTCCCACGGGCCTCGCCCACCCGCGTCGCGCAGGGCGTCCTAACCCTTTGCAGCTGTCTTTCTTCCTCCTCAAGCTCCCGGAGCTCAAGACCATCAAGACGGGCCCATCAAGACTGAAGAGGACTAGGCGACCCGTGGAGGGTTTGGGTGGCTCCTTCCCTCCACATTCCGGAAGACCTCGAGGCCTATGTCGAGGTCTGCGTAGCGGGTACATGCGTTCATATGGTGCAAGATTCACGCTGCATGCAGTTGTGCAAACTTCCCATGCACGGGTCTAGCCAACCCGCGTACCTGCAGGGCGCACTCTCTGGCGACGGCGCTCTCTGGTCTTGCGTTTTCTTGGGCGACGGTTTCTCTAGGCGACATCTCTGGCGACACTGTGGCTGGCGGCACTCTGGGGCGACACTCTGGGGCGACATTTCTCTGGCGACACCCTCTGGCGACATCTCTCTGGGCTTGTTTGGCTTGTATCTTCTCCTCTGCTCTGGTGTCTTGGCTCTGGCTCTGGCTCACGGTCGACATACTGGTCAAGGTTCAAGCCATCATCAAGAGGGGTTCGAGAGTCGAATACGACATCCAATACTTCGGACGGTAAGTCTTCCCGTACATTCTCCCTTGATTACTATCTGACGAACATTACTTTCTAGCTATCGGGTCGGTCAGGTTTCTAGCTTGCTGGTCTGGTCTCTCTAGTGCTCTAGCTCGGTCTCTCTGGTGCTCTGGCTCGGTCTCTCTAGTGCTCTGGCTTGCTCGCTCTTTCGGTCTTCCTCTCGGTATGTTCGCCGCTCGTCCATAGGTACGTCCTCAGGGTTCGGGAGTCGAAAGCTCGGGATTTTCCTTATCTGGCGAGTCTCAAACTTTGCCGTTCCGTTTACTCAGACACTAATTTTCTTGTCTGCTAGATATAGACTTTTCCGCTGACATTTAGAACGGAGCAGAGCACCAAGCTCTAGTGGAAGACATCTCATCCGAGATGTATTACGCTGAGTTTCTCGCCTCTCACATTCATATGTTTTGCTGACCAACGACGGGGCGTGTACGTCCCCGTAAGTGCCCTTTACCTTCCTGCCATACTGAATGTGTGCTTACGTCCCTCTACCTTTTTCGCAGGTCTTATTCGTGGTAGATAGTCGTAGTTGTACTATGTATTATAAACATGATAATCGAATTCTGTCATCGTTTTCATCATCGTCATACTATCACATATGTGAACTCTGAGCATCGTGAAACCCTTTCAATTAGAATCCAACTTCACGTCTGTGCAGTCAACTGAGTCTTTCCAAAGAGAGGCATGAGGTGCAGCTGCACCGGCTCTGCCAATTCCGTTGGCGCATCATAATCCACCGAGAACACGCTCACAGATGTTTGACATCCGGCACTAATAGGTGTTTCACCTGGAAAACAGCCGGATCAGGGATCATTTGAAGCGACGTAATAGAGAGACACGTAGATAAGGAGATCGGGCTTACCAGGAAGAATGGGTGAACCGCTGTGTACAGTGTTCAACCCTGGCGCGATACTGGGGAGCAGATAGGGCTCAGTAAATGTATTGAAAATTGAATGGAGAGATGGTCGAGTACGCACAAGTCGGCGAATTGAGGGAATCCTGTAGTAGCGTTGATAGATACTTTATCGATGGTTGCTCCACCGGTCATTCGGGTGAGAGTAAACGGAGGCTGAACGGAAATTAGAACATGTGCATCGAGAAGGATATATTATTATCTTGATACTTACTGCAGAGCAATTGCTACCAGGACCGAATATCGGAAAGTTCACTCTAAATAACGTATTTAAGTAATCAGTCAGGATTGCTATGTGTGATGGAGAATATACCCAAGTCCGACCCCGAGAGGGAGAAGACGCGAGACTCCATCGAAGCCACTAGCAAGCGCAGCAACCAAGTTAGCGCTGAGCTGAGTAGTGACGTTATGAAGTCAATATCGTCTTAAGGCATGGCTCAAAGGGACTGCTTACACGTCCAGCAATGTTAGCGGGGTCATCGGCCTGACCGGTGTTAGTGGTGAATGAACGGTGCGTGCTGTTGCCAGCTGAAAGAGCAATTGCCGGAACCTAGAAGGAGAAAGAACATGTCTCTCAACTCACACTCGCTAAAGGCTCTCAATGAACTCACGCCTCTCTCTATCGATGCATATGCCGCCCCGATGGTGCCACTGAGCGTATACAAGAATGGACCGTTATTTTGGCCTTCGTTAGGACCAGAGACCTTCGGAGGATCGTTTGAGGATAACGGGAGAAGTGATTTAAAAAGAGAATATGACGCACGACGAGGTTAATCGTTTTGTTGTCCCAGAATTGTGGAATCACAACGTCCAATGCAAACAAAGCCTGTAGAAAGTCAGATGAGAACATGCTAGAACGACAATGGACATACCGTCGCCGCGGGTGTACCATTGAAATAGACTGCACGTGATTAATATCAGCGTCATGAGGGAAGTATGAGAAATAGATGAGATGTACAGATATTTGGATCATCAACAGCCTTCCCGAAGAACGGTGCACCAACAGGAATACTGCCGAATTCTCCACCAGGAGCGGTGATGTTTACAGTAGGGAAGACAACTGTTCCTCCCTTGCCTGACTGTTGCACTGCCGGTCTATATCGTCTTATAAGTCGCGACCAAAATGAATGGAAAACGTTGAAACGCACCCTACGAGGATCACGTCATGTCCATCAGACTTCAACGCGGAGTAAGTTGCGCTGAAGGATACATCGCGGTGAGCGCAATATGGATAGGACCGAGGTGAGGACATACCGAACGTTTGCGGATGCCCAGCTATCATCATTCGTGAGCAAGATGTTCAATGCTGAGACCGAGGTCACAAGGACGGCGACCGTGAGCGCCATCCAGGAGAGTTTGACAGCGGACATAGTGCAGCGTAGAAGCGACGCAAAGGGTGAACCTTGAGTGGATTCCGGCGAAACCTACTGCTGATGTGGGCTGGCTTTTATACATTGACGCGTCGTTCATAACGCTCGTACGTCGCTGTCAATGACCTTTGCGTAATGGCGTGAATTGAGGTACGGGTGCACATGCTTCTGCAAGCGAGGTTCGCAAGATTGAGGTAGGTGGGAAGGAATTACATTCATTTGGGTGAGGCCAGAACGAATCGGACACTTCATGCGACGCACGTTCTTGCAAAAACGGTGATGTAGACGCGGACTGCAATACATAATTGTTCTGGCTCAAAGCACCTATAAGATGTCCTAATAATAGGACTCTTTGGGTCCTGTCAGTCAATATCGGGCATCCTCTTTACTTGATGCTCACTACGTACCTTAGAACGCGAAGCAGCGGAACTTGAGCAGCATCGTGCGATGGGCTGTTCGTCCGAATAACTGCTCTCATTTGCCATCTGTGGCTCTGCAGCTGTTGCTCCTCTGTCAAGGTGATGATGATCAACGGCACGAACGCTGCCACAAAACGTTCTTCGGCTCTGCCTTTCACTTCAGTGTCCTAACAAGTCCGTACCAAATCCCCTACCTCTTCACCATACTTCGATGTCCGCCATGCATCTGGGGGTGACGCTTGTCATTGGGAGATGAAGACTACTCGGTGTATGACAAGCGTCACACAGTGCATGTTACACGTACATGCGTGTCTCGCATAGAACATGTTTCTGCAAGTATTGGGTGGATAATGGTGGTGAGTCCATTGGACGTTCGATCTTCAGCTCAATGCGCAACATGAGCTCTTCAATGTGTTAGCACTGAGTACTGAGCAATGCTCATGCGTGGCCGCCGCCAAGAGCTTGTTGAGGTACACTCCGACTGCATAGCTCGATTCGGAACCCCGGTTATCATCTCAACTTACGCACTTGAGGGCTTCCTCCCGATGGCCATAGCGTCTTGGATTGTTGGACCATTCACAGGCTTCAAACGGCGTCAATTTCCCTGACGCAGAGTAACCGGACACAACTTTCACGCCTCAAAACAGTATCTCCTCTATACGGCGTTGTTCTCGAGGTGGCTGGTAACCACAACCCGAAAAGACCCGTAGTCTTCCGGTTGAGTGTTAACCAACATCCTAATCTACTACTCAGCCTCAGGTGAAGTTTACTATGGGACAGGCCTTATTCAACTTGCTATTAATTACACGTCGCGATGTTGACAGGTGATGTCGCAAAGTCGTGTAGAGTTATGGGAATTCCAGCCTGCCGCCGGCGTGTCTTGGATATACAAGAACTCTGATTATTCTACTAGGCGTAATATACCAGCGAACACACAGATCTCTCAACATGGACCCTGGCCTATGTGCCACACCATTGAAACATCAGTTTCATCTCACTGGCCATACGCCCCTGAACAGTCACCAAGGTAGCTTTGTCAGGATCCTTTAGGTTGCACTGTATGACCATATACCCTTTGGCATCTACCACAGCGTGAAGACCTAGAAGCTAAATCCGCCAGGTCATTGCTGACAGTGAATACTACCTTTGGTCTGTTTTCTGGCACGGGGCTCTCGGTTGACAATGCTCTGGTGAGGTTCCAATTCTCTTTGTTCAAGTTACTCTGACTGTCAAATGTTCACCATCCTGCGATGGTATTCTGAGGTGTGTACCATTCAGAGTACTTCATTTCGCACTTCTTGCATTTTTCTTTCATGAATAGCTTCGTCCACATGTCATTACAAGATTATCGTCGAGATGACTTTGTTGTTTAGGGAGCGGCCCTGCGTGTGGCGCATAGCATTGCTCACTCCCTCTTTGTAACCCTTCGTCTCCTCCAATCGAGTTCTGTTTTTTATATGCCAGACTGATATGTCTTCCTTTCATCTAGTATGAATTGAGGTGCATTACTTTTGGAAAGCGGTCTAAAAAATATTGCAGAATGATTCCGTAGCGATACATATGTGAAAAGCCCGTTGTCGCTCAGTTAGGCGTCCATATATCGGCGTGTGCATGTAAATAGTGGTGAATGTGATGTAGATATAAAGTTGCAATGCAAGGCGAGCCGACCGTCGTTGACCAGAACCGTCACCTACCGAGGTTGGATGTGTCTCTCATCTTGACGCACGCCAGAGCTTTCTCATTTTACCTGTCTTTTCTTCTTTAACTCTGACCATAACCTAGGAGCACTCTAGTAAGACGAAGGTCCCGTTCTCCAAATGACATCCGTGGAGGGTGTGCCAGCCTGCCTGTTGACGACCGTCCCTGTCGTACAACCTCCGCACCTGGAGGGCGACCCGAGCCTTGCCACGGAAATACTTCCGGGTCCCCCCTCGTTGCAATCTATCCAGCAAGGTCTAGCTCGCAAAGATCACAAAAAGTTAGGACCAGCCTTTTCGTACTTGCCTGTCTCTGATCCGGGCACCACGTACGGGGGGCATATGGTAACTCCAATGACTACCGCTCCCAACGAGGTCGACGGACCTCGCAGGAAGCGAGCGAGACTGGATAAGACGTGCGTGTCCCTCTCTCTACGTTGTTTCGACTGCTGACGCCTTGTTCCCCCCTCTCCCATACGGTGTGCTTACGCGGTTGTTTTCGGGTCGCCTCATGTCGGGGTTATTGTCCCTCTCGCTCTCACCTCACAGTTCTGCTACTAGTAGGGCGCAACGTGCCTCTGCTCGCAATCTCACGGCGCTGGGCGCACCAGAAGCATCTATACCTCTCGAATCGGTGGCATCCACTTCACAGCTCATTCCTGATTCTGACCCCCTCGCTCCTGGTCCTGATTCTGACGATGCTATGATGTCTGGCTCAAACTCGGTACCTCCTGGTGAAGAAGTTGGGTATAATGCGTCGAACGCACGGGCGAGGAGGGAAAAGGGAAAAGATAAGGAGAGGGATTCTGGAGTGAGGGTGAAAGACGAGCCTGTGGCGTTTGCCCTGCAGTCTTTTGAGCCATCCCCTGCTCTTGTAAGTGCCACGCAACTCACAGGAATGCTGATGATCATGCCTATATCCTGCAGCCCAACGAAGATCACTGTTCGGCGTGCCGATCTTTTGGATCCTTAGTTTACTGCGATGGTTGCCCAAGGGCTTATCATTTGTGGTGTCTTAATCCTCCTATGGAAGCCTCTGACTTACCAGAAGGCGATTCTCGATGGTTTTGTCCCGCCTGTATACGTCGTCAGGTGTGTCTGAGCTGTCATTGTTCTATGAAATTGATACTGATTTTGAACAGAATCCGCCTCCAAAGCCTCTTGCATCCCTGAAATTTATGGCCCCTCTTATCACTCATGTTCAAACCATCCTTCCTTCCGAGTATCAATTGCCCTTAGATATCCGGACGTTCTTCAAAGACGGTAAGTCATTGTTGAGTTGGTTTTCTACACAAGCGGTGGGCTGAAAGTTTGGCTTCCAGTCGGCACTAGTAGTAGAGGAACATATGTTGACACCTCCGAAATCAAACCTCCTCGTCTCAAGTGCGTCAGCTTGGTTGTTCATGAGTGTTATTTCGCTAATGGTTCCACAGTCGTCATGGCCAACTTGAAGATCGTGAACCTTACCGTTTGAAGGATAGAAATGGCGAGCCGATTCTGTGTTTCAAATGCGGCACCTCCGCTCTTCCTCGGGGTGTGGCAGCAGCAGCTCCAGCGGCCAAACGGGCAAGGAGGTCGACTAGCGCTCTTGCTAGCAATTCCGAGAGCAGCGGGCGTATGATCATTAGCTGCGACTACTGTCATCTCAATTGGCACTTAGATTGCCTGGATCCTCCCTTATCTTACATGCCTCCTTGGGGTAGAAAGTGGATGTGTCCTAATCATGCCGAACAGATTCTTGTGAGTTGTTTCAGTTCTTCTCCTGCTATCGAGTGTTTGGTGGTTGACTCTGTATGTGACTTGCAGAAACTTAAGAAGCGTATCCCTCGTCAATCCCAGCCTATTGAGGTGACGAAACCAGGGCAATTCAACAATGGCAACATTGAGATCATACATCCAGAGCTTTCCCCAATCGTGCAAAGCAAAGTGGCTGTCGATGAAGTGCTGATCAATGGAAGACGATATCGAGTGCCAGAAAGAGTCATAACTATGGACTTCTGGAATAAGGCCAATGGCAAAGGGGAAGAGATAGAAGTCGAGTCTGAAGTGTGAGTCCATAGTCTACCCTTTGTTATCTGCCATTTTACTCAATGATTTACAGTGATCATGAAATGAGCAGCGGTCTGTCTTCGCCACTGACGGAGCTCAGCTCGCTATCAGAAATCGAAGAGACACCTCAACCGTCTGTCCCGAAAGTAGGATTGTTCGATATGGACGAGCTGAAAGCAGCGCTTGTAAGTACCTTGCGTTGTCTCGATGATCGCAGCCTCTGATTCCCTTTTTCTATTAGTTCCTTTGTCACCTACAAAACCAAACTGCGACGTCAAGCACTGAGTCGGCTAAACACACTAAAGATACCGAGCTTGACGTCTCAGAACGAGACATGAGGGCAAAGACGAAGGATGGCCCTCTCCTCGAATCGAAGGTCACCCCGCTTGCTAACGGTATCTCGAAAGTATGTCCCATTCCACTTCAATCACTTATCGACCGCAACGTTAATTCATGCGCACGCAGGGCGAACAATCGCTGTCTAAACGCCAATCAAGAGCAAGTTCAGCCAGGGTCGCCTCTACGAAAGTTTCCAAGATTTTGACCCCGCAACCAGCTGCAACTGGAACAAGGTCGAGGTCCAAACGACCAGCAGTTGTAGAACAGTCAGACGATCCTATAGAAGATGTTCCGCCGTCCTTCTCTGTGCCTGTACTGCGAGGATCACGTTCGAAATCTCATCATCAGGATGCCTTCCCTGCCTCTCTGTCCCTCCCTTCACGTAATGGTGTCGATGGCGCCGAATCGATATCAGGGGGTCCTCAACAAACCGCATCTACTCCTACAGAAGAACCATCCTCTAGCCGAACGTCTACAAGGCCAAAGAGGACACGCCAGGCTCCCCGTAAGACGCCTATTCCTGTCACGGGTGTTCATCCTTCTTCCCGCATGAATGGTACAGCGAGTGAATCCGATGGTGACACTCCAAAGCGTTCACCGGATCCGGTGGAAGAGCAAGCACCTGTGGCGTCCAGCTCCCGCCCAAAGCCGTTACCCTCCCAGCCTGCTCAGCCTCCAAGGAAGCGTGGGCGGCCCAAGGGTTCCACCACGAAGCCAGTTACCTCTGCGCCCGGAAAGAACGCCGTTCCTACCACTCCTTCCGTGCCAGTGAAGACAGATCCTGGTGTAACGACCACGCCATCGTTGAAGATTCGTCTGCCTCGTTTAGGGAGCCTCAACCAGCAGACGAACGTTGCGCCAGCTGTTTCCAACGATATTGAGATCGCGGGTCCTTCCAGTCCGCCAAGCGGTCGCCGCAAGAGTAAGAGAGCGGGACAAGGCACTCGCGTTCACCAACGATCACATCCACGGCAAACCTCTTCATCGAGGACTTCTGCTACAGACGTTCCTTTGTCAGTCCAGCCTGATTCTATCTTGCAGTCGAGTTAGACTTTAGTATTTCGATGCATAGATGATTGTAGCGGTTATCGATTGAGAAGTAGTAGATATACATGTACTGTGTCACACATGCGAGTACAATATCGCCTGTAATATTCCAACTCTAGTACTTCTTTTTGTCTTCACGTCGTGACGCATAGAGTTTTACTCAAGACCGTTGATCGATTTTGACGGCCAGCGTGCATCCAGAAATGGCATCAGACCAAGTTGTCGCTAGAATATTACATTGACCACCATCTGTTTGGTGAAACACACCTTTTTTATTTACTACTTACCATATCATCAACCCGCTGGAATCCGAACGGCCAAATGTCTTCTCTGCAGAGGGCTATCGATGAATGGTTGCGTTTGGATAAGGTAGGTTTGGTGCCTCCGGATCACTGCTGTGCTGTTTGTTCACCAAGCCTATCAAGAATGAGACCACACGTCGCGAAGTAGAGGATCTCTTGGCTAAAGGAGACTACGCAGAACTTGAAAAGCGCATGGGGTACAGTTCAGTTTCTATTTACCGTTCACATGGTAATTCGAGTTATCAATAGTTCTCGAATCGAATTTGGGACAGCTGGTATGTAACAATACTGCCGCTTTCCCTGACCTGTTGTAAAACACAGGTTTCCTAGGTCTTAGAGGGAGAATGGAAGCCGGATGGGCTCGAATGAATGATCTCATTGTGATTCAAGCATCGCAAGTACGCGTAGACTGACATTCTTAGGTGTACTCGAGTACTCTTACTCGAACTGATTTCCCCTTTTATAGGGTCTTTGTGCATATGTACTGCAGAATGTGCCAGATGCTGCAACTCGCGGAATTGTGATTGGCCATGATCATCGACACAACTCAGAACGATGGGCGAAACTCACAGCAGCGACTTTCGTTGCTAATGGCGTGCATGTATATTTGCATCTCGGACTAGTCCATACACCTCTGTGAGTAATGACGATTCAAATAAACAGAGTTGTTACTTGACATTCTGCGCGGCGAATCAAAAGAGTACCCTTCAGTGTTCGCAGATTACGTGCCGCATGTGGTGTAGTGATAACAGGTAAGTGAGATAATCCCATTGCTGACGTGGAGAGGTTATTGAACGACATCATCTCCAGCCAGTCATAACCCAAAGGTACGTCAGACTGGCCTTATATGAAGATTAAGCTAACGAATCGCGCGTAGCAAGACAACGGTTACAAGGTGAATTGAGACTGTTTCTCACACGACCAACTTGACAACCCATTACCTCTAGGTCTACTGGGAGAACGCCGTCCAGGTTTGTCGTGGATATGAATACAATAAACTTACAGGCGATTGACAACTTCACTCAGATAATCGGGCCACATGATAAAGGTATCGCTGCGTCGATCAAGGCTAACTTTGAACCGCAAAATTGGGACGTCTCCATCCTGAATACCTCCCCGCTGTGCCTCGATCGCACCTCCGAGATGACCCAGGAATATTACACCGCTTTAGCATTCCTCAGTCATACAAGGTTTATTTGGTTAATACGCCACAGATGGACAAGACTGACGTAGACAACGTACTGTAGATCACTCAATGCCAGCTCTTCAATCAAATTTGTCAATACTTCGATGCATGGCGTGAGCCATGTGTTCGTTTGCAAAGCCTTCCATGACTTTGGTTTCCAGTCTTTCCTTCCTGTACTGGAACAAATGCAACCGGACCCAGAATTCCCAACTGTAAAATTCCCAAATCCTGAAGAGAAAGGTATAGATCTAGGATGGTCTTAATACCTGGCGACTGACTCCGTTCCTTCATTGATAGGGGCTTTGGTGAGAGGCTTGATGGGGTTGACTTCAAACGAACATTGACATCTCGTAGGATCTAGCTATGGAGGTTGCGAACAGAGAAAAAGCAAGCTATGTGCTGGCGCAAGATCCCGATGCCGACCGCTTTTCGGCAGCAGAACGAAGGTATGCTAACTTCCTGCAGCATTTTGCCATTATGACTGAGTCTCGAGACAGGCCAGATGGATCATGGGTCACTTTCACCGGCGACCAGTTGGGCGCACTCTTTGCTATCTCGGTACTTGACAGTTACAAATCGTCTGGGAAACCACTCAGTAACTGCCCTCGTATATGCACGTGTACACCAAATTTCTGATCGTCCCTTCCCTATAGGTAAATTGGCTATGGTCGCTTCAACGGTTAGCTCCAAGATGCTTGAAGCAATTGCAGCAGCAGAGGGCTTCAGATTTGTGGAGTGTCTTACTGGTGAAACGCTTCCACATGCTTATGATTTGTCATGAAATGACCAGTACACAGGTTTTAAATTCATCGGCAATACTGCACTGGATCTTGTTCATCAGGGGTTCGAGGTACCATTTGGATACGAAGAAGCTATTGGATACATGTTTGGTGAGGAAATTCGAGACAAAGATGGTGTTGCGGCTACTGTACGTGCACCACTCGTGCATGATTGGTGGTCAACCTCTGATATCTATGTAGATGATGTTCGCGGAACTTGTCACTCGTCTACGTGAGGAGGGAAAGACCGCGAGCTCGAACTTGCAGGAATTATATCAAAGGTGAACATCCAAGTTTCACAGAGTAGTAGGAAGACTGACTATGGTCCCAAAGATATGGCTATTTCCAGGTACGTGCTCATCAGCAATCAATACTCAGGTGTTCAATGTGCTTTTCATTTTTAATACCCAGACAAGCAACAGCTACTTCGTTTGCAATGATCCTCCAACCATTGATCGTATATTCACAAGGCTGCGCAACTACGATGGCAAGGTGTGAAAGTCCTCAGCCTCAAGATACCCAGTACTCACTGCTTCACATGCAGGGGTTGCCCCCGAAGCCAAGTTACCCTTCTAGCATTGCTGACCTAACTATCATCGCTGTTCGGGATCTTACAATTGGTTACGACAGTTCCAATCCTCCTACGTATAAGCCCACATTGCCATTGTCTTCTGGACATATGGTACAATTTAGAGCGGAGAACCCAAATGATGGCACCAAGATATCTTTGACGATCAGGACTAGTGGAACCGAACCCAAGGTAATTCCGTTGGATTCATTTCGTGACAAGTATTCTGACCAAACGACCTGCAGATCAAGTATTATCTGGAGGGGAGTGGCAAAGACGCAGCCTCCGTAGGAGCGCTATTACCCAGAGTGGTTGCTGAGCTCGCTGAAGAATGGATGGAGGCGAGCAAGTATGGTCTCGGAACGCCGTAAAGCAATATGGAATTGTAATGATACACAACTTGAAGGTAGATCTATTCGATACATGGAAGGAAGTGGGCGAATTAGGTGAGTCTTGCAAGCCGCCGTTCATCAAATGCTTTTGCCTGTTCCCAGATATCGATAGTGAGTTCAGGCCGATGCATCGAAAGCGTGTACAATCTACATTGCATGATAATCAGACAAGTCAAAAGTGTATGAGAATGCGTGTAAGCTCACTTTGCTACCGTCATTCTGCGAATAAGATCCTCAGATGTCACGGCTTTATTTTGTTGCCTTTCAATGACGAAGTCTTGCTGAATATACTATCAAATATGGTGGTTCAACACGATTGCCTTGGTGACGTTTTTTAAGAGTTGCTCACCTCAGAAGTGGCTTCGCTGACATGCACTTTGCCACGTTGTGCTGCCACTACGAGATCTCGGAACGCATCCAGACGATCCGTCGAGGGCAACTTCATATCTTCAGCCGATTTGTACAAGTTCGTAATGTCCATTGCGGTCAACGACTCAGGCTTGAAAGGAATAACGAGATCAGTCTGCAGATATGCACGGTTAGGTGAATATGGAAGAATTGAAGTGGAGAACAACAACTCGCCTTGAAGAAGGCACTCTTGCGTCCCTCACTAAGGACAATACAACTGATGTCCGTAGGGAAAGAAAATTGGCTGAACGGGAAACTATATGCCAGGGACTGTGAGGACAGCACTTCTTGCAGGGCATGTACATTCATGAGTCCTAAGGATAGTTTGAATGCTCAATCAAATATTTGCATACTAGTAGATGCTACCAACCTCGTTCTTGAAGCTTGCCTTCACTCACTCCGCCCTCGGTGACCAAGAGTACGCTGCCTTTAGGTAGTTGCAGTGCACCTGCATATAGGTCCTCGTCTTTACTCTCCGGTACGAAAGGTACAGTGTTGAGGTACGGTAGAGACAGGGGCAGGGTCTCCGTAAGTGGTAGGATCTCGCAAAGAACATGAAATAAGGCAGGATGATAGACTGGTGGCAGAGATTGGTTGGACGCCTCAGACGGAGAGGCAATTGCAGGGACAGCTGGTGAGGGGAAGTGAGACAGTGTGAGGGATGGCTGAAGCAGAGAAGGGTTCCGAGATTGTCTGCAGACTATGTCAGTCTAGATGCAAGCTTGGGAACGAATTGTGATCATACACTCGTGCAATGCTCATGAGCAGTATCCACTCCGCTGCATCACGATCTCCACCTAAGGCCTCTTGGGCTATCCAGTTCAAGAGCTGGTCCCGAACTTGCATAACGTCTGGGGAAGTAGTTGTAGAAGGTTCATCAGACGTGTTGGAAGATGGATATGATCTTGTAACGGATGAGTAGTCGTCCGGTGAAATGAATAGAACATGCAGGGTAGGTACTTCAATCTGATCGCTGAACTCGGTGTTCCGCCTAGACAAGCTTTCAGATACCAATGCAGAGAAACAACTGATAATCAAAAAACTTACGGTTCAGAAGACAATATACCCACAAAAGTAACTACATCAGTGGATTTGAAGCTTTCTGCAGCGCGACCATCGTAGATCTTTGCAAAATGTTTGAGGGAGTGAGCGATGGAACGAATAGATAATGGTACGCACTTTCACTTTGACGCCTATGTGTGGTGTATTCGGTAGAGGGCCCTTGTGCAGGCATGTAGGTTGATGAGGAATTGTGGAGGTCGAGGGCCCTGGAAAAGGTTTTATCATCCAGTTATTTCATGCCCCACATGAAGAACTTGTCTACCAGCTTCTGATCCATCCAATTCATTTGAACTCCAAGCTGATTCGCCTGGCACGCTGATAGCCCAGAGGACAGTGCATTCTCGGAGATTGTCATATTCTACTGAGTCGTGGCGCGCGTCATCTTCTTGAGATTGTGGTTCTATACCCCAACCTCCGATTGTTCCGTTCTGGTATTTCTCGAGGTACATTTCGGCGGACGAAGATGTATCTTGAACCATAGCACGGAATCGAACCAGGGAGCGATCTGGGTAAGACTCTGGTGGATGTCGTACGTTGAGCGGAGGTATCTACAGCAAACACTTATTGAAGTAAATGAAAACGCGTGAAATGCTATAAATACCTCTTTGAATGCATCTGACGAATGGAAAACGCGACAAAAGTGCGCTGCAACTACTGCAGGGAAATCGTCGCGTGATGTTGCGGTCGTGTAAAGTTCCTTGAGTTCTTCCGTTGGATCACGGAGGGCATCCGCACGAAAAGCAGAAACCATGATTTTGACGTTATGATTTAAAGGATGGCTCAAATGTCGTGAATGATTGCGGCTGGGAAAAGGAGGACGCGACAGTCAAACGCGTAAATTACAGGCGCGTGAAAGAGGCGCTCAAAGCCACAGACGCGTTTCCTCAGGAACGAGGAAAAGCAAGGTCGCATTCTGAGTATGTGAGAATCAAAGTCATGCAGTACATTAATCCAAAAAGTGGGAATATGTGCCAACTAAGTGGGGGTATCCATCTCGTGCAATCCAATAGTGTAACCAAACCAAAAATCTACAGCCAACGGCGTGGTCATCGTCTCAGGATTTGTCCAAGCTGATTGGTTTCGTCAGTTACAACGTATTCTCTCGTTAAGATGTGATATCTTACGTTTCTTCGTTGTTGTGGTAGCCATGCAGTAGGCCCTGGACGCTGTTGTGGATGATTGCCCAAATGGTGTCGAGCAGACGTCACCCCCAACTCATGCATCGCACTCATCATCAAGACAAACTCTCGGTCATACCGTTTACTCATGTCACTCATGAGTCGCTAATGTTGTACGATGAGTAAAAAATGCCTCGAATAATCGCAGTATACCTTACCTGTTGCCGAGCAAGATCCTCTTCTAAGATCTTGATTTGTGACTTGTAGCTATTTTCCGCTTCCTCGAAGGCACCAGGTGCAACTCCTTTCTTCGTTTGCTCCTCTTTGAACAATTTGTCCTGTTGTTTGATAAACTGTCCTCAAATTCAGTATAGTGTAGGTAAGTAATTGAAGCGATCACACCTGTCGAGCTTTGTTCAGCTTCTCTTGAGCAGTCTTGTATTGCTCCTGGAGTTGAATGTTCTCTTCGTGCATCTTCAGCATGCGATTCTTAATGTCCTCAGGAACATCCTTCCCAGAGAGAGAAGCACGCAGATCGCTGTGAACGAAATAAGCCCCTCAGCCCCCCTCGATGTATGGTAGTATTGCACTGTACCCGATAGCACGTTCTCTCTGAAGCATACGATCTCTTTGATCAAGGCCCTCGCTCTGCAGGTTAACCTTCTCTAATAGCAGTCCATTGATCTGCTCAAGCTGCATCTTGTTCTTGTCCGAGAGCTCCTTGATTTGCTCGAGTAACTGTCCAACTTCTGCTTCTAGACCAGCCTTGTCTTCATTGACAGACTCTCGCAGCGTCGCAAGGATGTCCAGCTGGTCCTTGTTGACTAAATTCACTATATAAAATGTAAGAGGAACGTCTTCATCTTCACGCAAAATAAGCATCGAACATACAGTCTGATTTCGCGATCGTCAGCTCCTTGCTCTGTGCCTCGAATCGGACCTCAAGCTCAGTGTGCGCTTTGCGTAAGGCATCCAGTTGATCAACCGTCTCGTTCAGCCGTTGTCGCAGAGCAATGGCTGCTTCGGCGCTGCAAAGGAATATGAACAACGCAACAAACTGAATAGCCCCACTATACACTTACCCGTCGCCCATGGACTTGCCACTCCTGATCTCCTCCAAGTCATTCTGCAAGACCAATTTTTCCCTATGAGCAGCAAGGTAATCTGCCTCATACCTAGCCTTCATCCTATTCGCATCCTCGAGCAAATTCTCCAATACCAGGACCCGACTTGAGTCAACTTCGTTCTTCTTTACCGCCCCTAGCTCGCGCTGCAGTTTCCTGACTTGCAGTTTGAGATCGGTCATCGTTGTACCAGTCAACGCCGAATCAAGCTCTCCACCAAGACCGTGCACCTCATCTTCATCGTCTTCGTCCATATCCCGCGGTGGAACATGCTCAGGTCCAAGGAGTTCAGCTTCGGTCAGCTCTGCCATATTACCCTGAGGCTCGGCATTCGAGACAACCCTTCTTGAAGCGGCAGTCGGTCTAGTCGACATGAGCTCGAGTTCGCGTACTCTCTCTTGGTAAAGCTCTAAAGTCTCGGAGTCTCGCTGACGCTCTTCTACAGCAACCTTGAGTTTCGACTTCGTTTGCTCCAACTCAAATCGAAGGGCATCGAGCTCTTTGCTTCGAGAAGAAGACTTTGTCTCCAATTCCGCGATTTGGGTTTTGTAGGATTCCATCAACGGTTTGAAGGCAGCGACTTTGCGGTACTCTTCCTCTAGCGAGGCATTCTTATCGACCAGGTCGGCATTTTGGCTCTCTAGAGCCTATTCTAGAACAATTAGACAGAAATGGCGTAACCAGAGTCATGGAGACTTACGCGGACATGCTGCCTGAGATCAGCACCTTCCTGCAGCTTCTTCTTATACTTCTCCATGACGTTCTCCGTCTTTTGAAGCTTGTCAGCGGTATGTCGATACCTGTCCAGCATCAGTGACATAGTCTCCGCTTGACCGAGCACGTCCGACTCACTCATCTAGCTGATCTTTGAGCCGAACGGCCTCATCGGCCTTGACCTGTAGTTCATCGACTTTCCTTGTGAGATCGGTGACAAGCGCAGTATGCTTGTCAAGTTCGGCCTCAGCCATGGCAAGGTTCTCTTCACTCTTCTGGCTGAAACACTCCTCACAATAAGCAGTTTGAGCAGGAGATACAGCAGAGGATCATGGACTTACAGCTCACTTCTTAGACGGTCAATCTCAGCTCGCATGAGAGCGTCATTACGACTGTCCGGTTTTCGGTTCTCCACGTCACGCTGAGCTTGTCGGAGCTGAGCAAGGGTCTCTTCCTTCTCGGAGAGTGCGTCGTCCAAGCTTGACTGAAGTGTGCGATGTTCCTCCATGAGTGTCTGGTAGACCTTCTCCAGTGTTTCCTTCTCAGAAAGAATACGACTCCGCTCCGACTGAAGCTGGTAATAATGATCATCCCTAGAATAAACAGACGATCCAGCAGAAGAAGAGTGTATAGCGAGGAACACGCACTCAGTCATACTAGTCTCTCCGGTATGTGTCTCACCCGAGGCCTTCACTTTCGCCATAACCTGAAGCATCGTAATCACATATCACCGACGTAACTTAACGGTAACATTACTTACCTGCTCAATGGCCTTCATGAGGGAATGTTGCTCACTTTCCGAAAGTTTAGTTATCCTCTCGATGATTGCCTTGTTTCCTTCACATTGCACTGCAATTGCAATGGTAAGACGACACATAATGAGAGTCGCGCTGACATTCTGGTCCTTGGCGATGGCTTGCAGGTCTGGCACGTCCAGCGCGCTTGTATGTTGGTGAAGGATGTCAGAAAAGTATTGGGTCATGAGCCGGTAGAGCCGTTTCAGAGAACTGAATCGTAACACCCAGTTCTCTGAGGGCTGGGCCGACGGGCGAGTGGCCTGACGGAAGTATTCTGCGTCGCTGCGTACGCGATGAATGCCGTCAATGTTATGATAGCACCAGCAGGGCAACAACGCACATTACAGACAGAACCTCAAACAGAGCTGCACCATCGGAAAGATCAGCAACAGTTGTTACTGGTCTTGTGAGATCGAATGTGGCGAAGAACGAAAAGAATGCGCTGAGTTCTTTCCGCTGTGCGTCCGACATGGCAGGTGTCTAGGGCTGCCAACTGGACTGTTTCTTATCTGCTGTTCCTGGATAATAAGCAAGTCGTGAGTTAGTCGTGAGATAGATCCACGTCTCAACACCCTTCCAACGCTCTACGGAGACAAGTGTGCTGGATGTATGGGTGGTGATCGTGGAGGAGGTGCAAACCACACTTTCCTCACATGTGCAACCTCTTCCAGTAACCACCACATCCATTTCTGCCCTCGCGACAAACCTCGCTTCTTCGTTACTAACTCTGGTCTATACCAAGCTCTTCGGGGTCGTAGAACATTTATACAACCGACCATGTCTTCAAGACGGGTCATCGATGGAAGTGTCCTGGAAGGTGGCGGACAGATCCTCCGTAACTCCATAGCTCTTGCCGCTTTGCTACAGAAACCAGTCATCATCCAAAATATCCGAGCAAACAGAAAACCTCCGGGACTGAAACCTCAGCATGCAGCCGGTGCGACGGGCTAATGACCTGCTCTCCACCTTGACTGAACTTATCTAGTGCAGGTCTCAGCCTCGCCGCTGACATTTCATCTGCTACTTTGGTTGGGTGCGCCATGAATTCGACTACTATCGAGTTTAACCCTAGACCTATCAACGTTGCGAACTTGTACTCGGCCGATCCGGGGACTGCAGGTTCAACAACTCTCCTTCTCCAGATCGCTCTGCCTTGCCTAGTCTTTTCTTCAACACCCACTATATCAGATCTCACCCTACGTGGAGGCACAAATGCTGCGAACGCCCCTCAGATAGACTACACTGAGCATGTATTTTTACCCTTCTTGAGGCGATACTTTCACTTAGATCCCCACCTGACAATTCGCAAACGAGGCTATTATCCGAAAGGCGGCGGAGAGATACATTTTTCTATGCCTACTATTCATGGTCCTTTACCTGTGGTTACTCTCACTGAACGAGGTTCTGTGAAGTCCATCTCTGGCAAGGCGTATGTAGCAGGTCTCCCTCGCAGCGTAGCGGAACAAATGCGTACCGCAGCCATATCTGACCTTATTTCCTCTGGAATTGATCCTGCTTGCATCAATGTGTCCGCAGTACGTGAGAAGCGTGAAGACGCAGTTGGAAGTGGTTCTGGCATTGTTCTGTGGGCGGAAACAGACAATGGCTGCATATTCGGAGGAAGCGCATTGGGACGGAAGAACAAAGATGCATCCCAAGTAGGTCAAGAGGCTGCAGCTGAATTATCCCGGAATCTCGCCCACGGTGGTTGCGTAGACGAGCATCTGCAGGTGTGTATCTGTTGTGCCAGCACCATCTTCTTCTGTACTTACGATGATGTTGTAATGTTCAGGATCAGATTATCATTTTCCTTGCTCTTGCAGAAGGGAAGTCTATAGTCAAGACGGGCCCTGTGACATTACATACTAGGTATGAGATTCGGCTGGAGTATTGTTACCTATCGTATTCACTCACCTGCCTCCTGCAGGACGGCAATCTGGGTTGCAGAGCAACTGACTGATGCACAATTTGAGGTGCTGGAAGATGAAACAAGCTCGACTGCGTTAATTTCTTGCATCGGCATCGGATTCCGCAGTGATACACATTGATTCGTACTGCATAACTTGCGAATGTCGATGACCTCGGATGCGAAGTTAGAATGCGCGCGGGTCTAACTGCCTTAAAAAATCGGCGTGAAAACGCCTCCAATCATGATATACCTCGAGGATAAAGTTAAACGATACGTCAAGCACAATGTGTAGAGTTCCTTCTTCCATTATACCAATCCTCCTGAACGACGTAATACAATAGAGTAGAGTCTGATAAATACATACAATGCACAGCGAATGTCCTTCATTGACGATTCCATGACAGCAGTGACATATCCCCCAATTTCCTACGGGGAAAAGTTGATGTGAGAAGATGAATAAGTTGGGACAGCCATAAATACCGACCTTGGCTTGATCATATGTCTAATCGTACCCAGAACAGCGAGAAGGACGAATAAGGCAGCCGTAGCAACGTACGCCCAGCCCAAGAAAGGATTCTTGCCACCTATCCACGACACTGTGGAGATGACGACAGCTTTGCGTCCCTTGAACGATCGCACAGGATAGTCTATATGGATGAAATGTCAACACCAATGACTCAATACGGGAAGTGCGCCTCAACGTACTCAGGTTAGCAATTATTTGATATCTGCCCCTCGGCAGTGGATCATTATCATTACGACCCCATAGCTTTGTGAATGTAGGCAAACCCGCTGTTCGCATCCAGTTCTGGAAGTGCTGGTCCTCCTTGAGATTAGGAGGTGGGTTGTCCTCAGTATAATTGTTCGGGAATCTGAGAGCCCAATTCGGCGGAGGGACAATCTCGTCAAGGTTATAATCAGGGGCAACGGCATATTTATCGGCCTCTCCTGGCCAAGCAATTCCTGACTCGGAGAATGTGTAAGTCGTAGCAGAATCAGTCGTCAAGTTGAGCGGTGAATACGTGTCTGGTTGTGGTGAAAGATGATTTAGAGAAATGTCGAGTAGGACGCATTGATCAACACCTACCGTTGAAGACAGAGTTGGCGATCAGCCCACAAGGATAGACTGCTTTGCCATTAATGACATCAAGAGGCTTGCAGTCTCCGCCCGACAGGGTTCCTACGCTAACATGATTGCCCTTGAGTTGATCCGAATTCAAGCTCTTCACGTATCGTCGATGGTTTTGATAGAAGTTCGTGAGCTTGTAGTATAGGAACACAGTGGGATCAAGGTCAATGGGGACATCGAATTGGATGTAACATTGTTGACGTTCGGCGATGGGGACATTGGAGTCGTCTGAGCGATTCAGGAAAGCAAACTGTGGTGTCGTGAAGGGTGCGTCTGTTGAGCCCGACTTGAGCCGGTAGTTGAAGTCACTCATATCACTGAACTGCAACTGGTCGGCTGATGGCGACGGTGTCAAGGTTTCGCAATCTGTGTAGTCGAATGTCATTTCGGAAACCTAAGGAATTGTGTATGAGACATTGTGATAACGTGGACTGTAATTATTGCATACCTTTCCACTCCCCCATATCAACAATGCACCTATAGGTGCGAAGATAAGTCCAATGACGAAGAAGGTGGGTAGTACAGTCTTCGGAGTGAAGATCGGCTGCCATGCCTTCAAACGTTGCTGCTTGAAAGCGGTATCTGAAAGACGTCAGGTACATAACTGCCGAGCTGCTGTTTCATGTTAGAGCTTACTGGCAGGCCTCCTCCAACTGCCCTTCTCTTTCTTTACTGCATTATTGTTGTTCCCATCGCTATCCTCTTTCTTGCGGCGGAAGAGGCCCATGGTGGTCGTAGAGGGGGATGGGCACAGAGAACCAGCTCAGTGTACGGGTGCAAGTTCTGTAACCGTCCATTGGTCATTGCCGTCCCCCTTGCATTGCCTATGCTCGCTTACGTAATCGAACACTGCCGAAACTCTCAGATCGGGTTTGAAGAAAACCGTGACTGCCATATGTTGTATACTTAAGCTTGCTGCGCACTAGTCGCCCTTTGAACCCAAGGCCATGCAATTGTCAAGATATGCGATAGAAGTACATGCCGAAAATCCCAAGCGCCCAAGACCAGAATCAGAGAAAGAGCGCAATCATTGATCATTCTCGATAAATACTCAATAGCACTAGCGAACAGAAGGCTAGCATCGAGGCAAAGACATAGAACACCCTACCCTCTTTCGAGGCATCCCCATGTGCGAGAAGGTTCCGAAGGGGCAAAAAGACCAGCCCGACCAAGAAATTTGCAATCCCTACATGCACCCAGTGTTAGCGACCACTAAGGCAGGAGAGTCAAGCTGTGACGCACAATTTAGAGATAGTCCAACTGACGACAGTGCAGAAACGGCCTAAATATGAAATTGCACGATCAGGAGGAGACAGGAGAATTCAAAACTGAGAACTCACATGAGGTGGCGAAACCTCAGGTATCATCACAAAAGGTACTGGTCCAATACCAATGGCAAAGGACCTAAACACGCTAGTCAGTCTCATGCTCTTTCTGTGATAGTATAAGTGACATACGCTATGAATGTGATAATCGTCAGAGAGGCCAGAGTTACATATCCCGAGTCAAGTCCGAATCCGACTCCCCATAGAGATATAAGAGCTCCGATCGCTGAAAGTGACAGCAGTTTCTTGCGCCCGATTCGCTATTTGCTATTCAGTATCAATCAGCTTGAGATCGTCACAGCATTCGCTCACCTCAATCAAGAAGATGGGCGGGAATGTCATGATAACGTTCACGATAGTAATCCCCAAGGAGACATACGGACCAAAGTCAGGCAATGCTTTCGAGAGAATGTCATTGCTATAGTAGAGAACTGCATTCAAGTTAGATTTATCATCTTAGAACGAGATGTTTCATCGTACCAGCATTGACACCTGAGAGTTGCTGGCAGAGCATTGAGAAACAGGCAATCATGAGAGGTGTCCGTAAGTTCGAAGCCTTGAGCAGTTGAGGAACTGTGATAGCATCATCTCGGCCCTTATGCTTCTGGTCTTCGACATCACTGGCGGAATGCTCCAGCAACGGATCAGCAACGGACTCGTCGTTATCTGAAGCAACATAGTGCGATTAGTTTAAGCAGCATTGCATGATGATAGTGTGCACCTTCTTGTCTCGCAATGACAGGTGCAGTTGCACCCCAAAGCCTGTGCGCTACCACGGCACCCTGTTTAGTCATCTTGTGTCTGGCTAGATACGTCGGGGATTCCACCATCCAGAGCCCCAGTATGAGCTGAACAGCAGAGAGGAAGGATGATGCTACCAACACCCAGCGCCACGTACGAGTTGTGGCAAGGCGAAGACCCATGGCTTGCGTGGTCATGATACCAATGACAATGGCGAATTGGGTTAGGACGCCTAGGGCGAAGTTAGGTGAATGCATGATATGGTCAAGATCAGTTGCACAGACCCACTGCCCCCTTGATCTTGGATGGTGCAATCTCGGACAAGAATATTGGACCAACACAGAGTCCAAACCCAGCCCCAATACCCACAAGCACCCTATCATCGTCACTTCAGACGTGTATTCATCCATGTATGATATGTTTTGAACGTACCTCCCAAGAAGAAGAAGCGGAAGGCCGGAGGCAATACTCATGCAAGCACTACCTATAACGAACATAGTCGAACTCACTTCCACGGTACCCTTCCTCCCAAATCGGTCCATGAGGACGTTGGCGAATAAGCTGCCTAGCAAGCCTCCAATCGTGTATACGGATGTAACAACGGAGAATGTCGCATCTGACATTGGTATACAGATGGGTAGTGCAGGCAATGGGGCCCCAGAATCGTCCACAACTCGACATGTAAGTACCGCTTGAATTTGGTTCAAAGCAGATATGTGGTAACCATACTGCGTAACATAAGTGAGCCATGCCCAGAAGAAACATACTGTCTCAATACCTAAGTCCAGGAGTTACTGTGAGACTATACACATGCAACACAGCCGTCGAAACGAACCTGGAAAGACACTACTAAGATCCAAATGCATCCACACCAACCAAATGGTGTGAACCGCCTCGAGTCATGACCAAGCATTTAGCAACAAAATATGCAATTGGAATGCAATGGCGGTCGATGGCTAAGGAGATACACAAGGTCGAACGTCGCGAACAAGGACTTGTTGGAAAGGAGAAAGCCAGTTGAATTGCAGCACTGACGTCCTCGTCGTTCATATACTGCTGGGATGATAGCCTTTTTCCTAAATAAGGCTTGTTTGCGTATCTTTGTGCATGTGGACAACTTCCCATTCCGCTTACCCGGGCTGCCGCCGTTCCTAAGTATTCCACACTTCGACTTGTCACTCCAAACGAACTACTGCGAGGATCCTGAGTAGAATGCCTAGATGATACCTCTACCTGCACACCTCTATGACTCGTCAAACTATGCAAATTTCACTTGGCAACGGATCTACGAAGCACTAGGACTGGTCGCAAGTTGCTGGACTTCGTCGACATTAACTTCTAAATTTTTCATTACATTGTTAGGCTGTTGTGAAAGCCATAGCTCTTTGCATCTACTTGAGTATGGCTTTAACAGCAGAATGTGATTACACCACAAGCACTTATCAATGCCAGGTTGGTAGGACCTTTGACGGTATCAGATACCGTATTTCTAAATGTATGATTCGTCTGAACTGCTTCGATTCTATGCAGCCCACGTGACTCCTGCACACCAAACGTCGTCGTTGCGTTATGGTGTGCATCGTGTCCCGAACATTTCCCTCGCCCATAAAAAGCAACTTGCGCAAACCTATGCTTGTCGTAGCTCGCGAGGGCTACGCATTCCGCAAGGAATAAATAAAAAAACAGATTGCTATCTCAATTGGTTTCTCACGACATTATGCACCTCGTGGATCTCGGTTTGGGTCTCCATATACACTACACTTCTTTCTTCTTGTACTCTCTACGGGTTGAACTAACAATCCGACGTACCTTTTGACCGCTATCTCTTGAGCAAGGCAGAAGTACGCTGTGCCTGATGATACCTGCCAAGCGACTTGAAGTGCGTATCGCGAATTTCAAGATGTCATAGAGAAGGAGGAAACGGTACGTATAGATATGGCGCACAGTTAGATATAGGCTAAGCGGCCTCCGTGGGAAGTAAAGAAGTCATCTGAAGATGCAGTAAGTTCATGAGGTCATGCCTAGTTCAGATACCTCTGTCGGAGGCAGAGAAAGCTAAAGAACACTGTGTATATGCGTTCGAAGCAGACATGATATCACTTGGGAGCACGAGAAAGGTATGATAACGGCAGCACTCAATAACTGCAGACTCTGGGTCAGCCGAAATATCTTTGTCCTATGCGTTGAGCGGCTGTGAGGCGAAGAACGTCAATATGGTGCACCTGTATCACAGAGGTTAAGGGATGGTTAATGGAATACCTAGGGTATCAAAGAGCATGATCATCATTCAAAATGTCTGTTAGTACTCCCAATCTAATCTTGCCACCTCCATCAAGATAGCCCAAGCCTGGCCTTCAGCTGCTGTCCCAGGTTTATCAAATGTCGGACTCCCGCAGACATCACGAACGAACCCCAATGTATCCGTTTTCTTTATAGCCGCCTCTCTCAACTGCCCGGCCAGCGCTGCCCATCTGTCCGTTTGCTCCTTTGAGACATCAGGCAGATGAAGCGCATCGCGAATGTGAGGCGGTGTATGTAAATGCAGGTGGAGGAGACGATAAAGTGAATATGAAAGTTGTTGCGAGAGGTTTGTTTCAACGAAAGAAGAAGGGTCATCCAGTACGTCATGAAAGAGGCCATCCGGACGAATGTGGTGCAAACATGCTTTGAGCGTATGTGTGAGAAGGTCGTAACATCTCTTCAGACGATCTGCCACCTCAGTATTGAGGAGGATATCTTTCAATTGTTCATTTCCCGGTAGAAGAGAAGAGACCAATGTCCTAAATATACGAATGATACCTCCGCATACCCAACCATTTCCCACACCCCAAAAGCCTTTCCGTTGGAACTTGCGCTCGGTCAAGTCGTAGATGTGTGACCATTCCCCGTCAGATGACTGGAGTGCGGTTGCAGCAAGAATGACTTGTTGAATCGCCATACGCAGGAGTGAGGGTGGGTCGTATTGAGGATTAGGATGTTGCGTATAGTACACGGCCGCAGCGGCCAGGAAGGGTGGGAGCATGTACACTGTATCTGACCAAATTTGTAGGGCATCAATCCTATGAGAGAGAAGAAGATCATCTTGTGAAGGATTCCTATTAACGATTTGTTCAACAACAGCGCGAGGGCAAGTTTTGAGTACATAGTCAAGCATGCGCTCAACAGCACTAATAAGTCGGTTGAAATCAACCTCAGTAGGGAACTTGCGGAGCAGATAGTAGAGAGTTTCCCCGATGCAGGTGGGGTCTGCTGCACCAGGGTCAGAGGTACCATCACCATTCAAAGCGACAGCTAATCTCCCATCGTCGGCCTGGCGCACGATCGCATCGTGAACGAAGCCGTGAAGATAGGGCAAGAGGTCAGGAAGTCCGTGATCAGAAGGTAGTGTGTGTTGAGTATAGGTTTCAAGTAAAGCTTGGGACGCGATGCCCTGTTCCCAAGAGGAACGTTGGGTAGACAATAAAGGAGGAAGTAAAAAAGCAATTCTCGACATCACCAGTGTTCTTGGCAGAGATCTGGCTGATCGACCGACATCGGACACAGATATAAGCATTACCACGCTTGCCAGAAACGGAAAGGCTTCTTGATGGGAAACATTCACGTTGAATTGCACGTACTTAGCAGTGACTATCATTCATGATCTGTAGGCTGCATGGGAGTTGGCCAGTTATCATAGCACTTGGATATGTACTAACGTTGGCGGTCTCTATCATGGCCGAAGCTGAACCGCAGCACGCGTTCGATCTTAGGATCCCTCACAAAGGAAACGAGACTCGCTGGACGGTCTCAATCTCAGACGAATGGGATGCAAGTAGAAATTCACTAATCCTGAGGGATTTTGCTTTTTAACTTGACTGGCTCCACCAGGTTCTAGGACCGTTTCCTATCCACGCACGTGAACAGCACTTTCTCTCCCCCTCGTTCCCAATCGACCGTAAGAGTCTCGAACTTCACTTATCCGGCTATACCCTGATCTTTATAGTTTCACGGGTGGTTGACCTTTCCCTTCGCTATCCATCCTCCTACGCAGATGGAGGCTCCGTAGGATGGACCAAAGCCACATCTTCTAACGGCAATCTGGCCGTCTCCTTCCCGGACGTAAGGCTCGTGATAACCCCGACTGTGCCTATGATACAAATTAACAATTTGCCTCAGATGGGATTCGCTTCGGCGTACAGAAGGGTGGGCGGCGTTGCAGCACCACAGTCTTCTGCGAACCGCCATAGTTATCCAACCCCTTTTATCAGGGTCGACCGATGAGACCTTAAGCTCGCCAAGACTATCGGTCTCAATGCTACAGGGATCTCTTTTCACCATCACGCCCTCTTCTCCAAATCTCAATTTTACGCCAAAATGGTATGCTGGGAATATATATGCCATGGGTGCTTCTCTACCCCAAGCTGTGAGCCTGCCAGAACCACCTTCTCCAACAGAGCCTACCGTGTATCATCTCTTCTTGAGCGGAGATTATGAGGTATGACAAGTCTATTATGTATTACTTCAATCTTGACCGGGTCTCCGCGCTTTGCAGATCAGGCTGTTTGGAGACCCGAAAGCTCGAGGCAGCGATGTACCAGAATTACAAATCAGCTATACTGTCGAGATAGAACACCCTCGAGAGGCTCTGACAGTACAACCCACTCATCATGTCGTACCTGACTTCGTAGACGGGTGGGCTTTTGGGGATGCCTTTGGTATTGGTCTTCGCAGTGTGGATGGCTGGTGGACAGTCACTGATGCCAAGATCCACAATGAAGAGTTCGAGTTGCCCACTCCGACGGCTCTGCATGACACAAGCAGCTTACACGATTATCAGGTACTTCCCCTCCGGCCAAGCAGGTTAGCACCGACACAGACTCGCATTATACCATTACGCTTTACCCAGAAGAAACCGCTATGTGCATCTGAACTTCACTTGGAACTCTCTGCCACATCCCACACTGGAGTTTCCCTTACAATCCATGTTACCCTCCATGTCAAACAGCAGACGCAATGGAACTCTACCCGCTCCTCACCAATCAAGGCCACGTACTTCTTCGCGGGTTCGATGCCTACGGGATTCCTTGTCACACCTCCTAAAGAACAGAAAAATGGGCAATTGAGAACCCCTCTTCTCGCTTTACGTTAGTAGAATGTCTTGCTTCTCACCGTAAATATCGGTGGTAGCTGACTCTTATATTCAGACGGCGCGGGGGTCGACATCTTTGCTCAAGATTTCTGGCCCCAAGCTCTCCCTCGACAGCAATACAGCTGGATTATCATGCCCATTGGACGAACGAGCTGGGTGCGTTGACTTCCCTCGCGAGTCCATCTCTTTTTCCCGATCGCTCATGTTATATTTCAGGGATTGGATTGGCACGGTCCGAGTGCTGAAGATGCGTGGTCAACTGTAGATGCATTATTCCAAATACTCCAAGGGCATCACCGATGGCATCCGTGGCGTATTGCAAACAATTCACGTGTCGTGCTTCTGGGACACTCAAATGGAGGACAGGGAACGTGGTACATGGCATCTCGTCATCCAGATCGAGTCGTAGCAGGTGCGTCCGAGATCTATACGAGGTTCAAGAATAATAAGTTAACTGTGGCTCTCATGGGGAATGTAGCCGTGCCTGCCGCTGCATACATAAAGTCGCAGGCATATATACCCCTCACGCTATCAAGGTGACGAAACACAGACTATGCCGTTTCGGTTACTGACTAGCATTCAATACAGGTCTGCTCATTATATGGATCCGTCCCTTCGATCTATTCTCGAGTCTTCGCTGACTCCTGACGATAACGACCTCTTCATCTCAAACCTCGCAGGCACGCCTGTACTCGCCGTTCATGGGTGAGGACTACATATATTTCTCGCATGCTCATTCTTGATACAGTATCAATATTCCTCTAGAGGTGATGATGAGAATGTTCCTGTGTGGCATACTCGTGAGGCCGTTAGTGTCTTCAAGACGTGGTATCCTGATGCGAATATTACGTATGTCTATTTCATCACTCATCATTCTGAGATGCTTGAATTTGCCTCAGGTTTAAGGAAGATGCTGGAGAGAGTCATTGGTACCCTACTGTATTTGACAATGACGAAGTCCAGGATTTCATTCGCAGCGCTGTAAAGCAAGCCAACCCCGCGGATGCATCATCTCTGCATTCGGCCTCGCAGTTCACTCTAACGGTTGCTGTTCCAAGAGAAAGTGGATCACTCAACGGATGGAGAATTCTCCAATTGAGGACTCCAGGACGGCATGTCTCTTCATCGCCTGTTGTTACAGCCTAGCCGTGGTCTGACTGAGTTTTACAGTCTCGGTCGGCTCACTGTGGAGGTCAGCAGTGAGTCTGTGTCCGTGAAGACTCAGAATGTGGCAGCATTCTCTATCAAGTGGTCAACTTCATTTTTCGACACTTTTATCATCGACGACTCTGAAGTCAACGTAGACTTCGCTGGTGAGGGTACCCAACTTAGCTTTGTCTATAACAGTCATAGATGGCAGGTGCGCATTTTCATGGCACACTTGAAACGATTTCTACGTTCGGGCTGACGGACTTGATCTTGGCTTTGGAACGATAGGTATTGCATTCACAGAATCTTCTCATTCAATTCTCGGGCCGCATGTACAACATTTTCGCAACGGCTGGACCTCTTACTATTATAATCCCCAACAATTCGTCTTCTGTACAGTCGGCTGCTGCGCGTTTGGCTCATGACCTAGATACATACCACAAACTTGACGCGGAAATTGTGTACGCTGAAGCTGCCGTCCGGCAGTTGACGGCTGGCAGTCTGAGCCAGGGGAACTTGATCTTACTCGGTGGGGCTTCAAACACCTTCACTCATCGTTTGCTTGCCGCCAAGCACACTGTTTTCAGTATGAATGGTGAATATATCCGTATACGCGGAAAACCGGTTGATCCAACATTCGCGACGTTGTTCCTTCATCCCCATTCCACCAATCCTGCAGGGCTTGTTTTGATTTCGTTTACAAGCAACGACAGTGCCTTGGAGAGAGCAATGCGACTGTTCCCAATGCGCACGGGCATTACTCTTCCTGACTGGATAATGGTCAGTGATTTGACGGATTCCATAGGAAGTGGAGGCGTCCAAGCTGCCGGGTACGTTCGACAGTTCCTCACCTACATTTGACTGAGCTCTTTCTCAGGGTCTGGAAAAACAACTGGACGTGGAACGAGCCGATGTCATTCATTCATGCATTCTAGATTATAACAACTGGTATTAGGAGTAATACATTGGGATATACAGAACACAGTTAGGATAAGCAGTAGTTGGATGCGTAAAACCCGGCCGTAAGCAAAGTTCGGATGGCTACGTATACCTTTTGGAACACGGGGAATGCGAGGTCATATTACAATACAAATGCGATGAGGAGAGGACAGATCCCAAAAGAGAAAAAGAACAAGAGGATATATAGAACAGATAGCGACGTCGATAGCGGTAACAGTCTACGGGAAAATTGATTTGGCCACCTGTCATGCGATGTCAGTGGCGACTTTCCGTTTCCATTGCTTGGACACCTACGGAGTCGAGGAGGAAGGAAACCTCGGGGGCGAGATGAATGAAATCCTGGTTCCAGAAGTCATACTTGGGGTTACGGAGGAGTTCGACGAAGGTGACCAAGGCACCCCAAGGGTGAGGCCGATAAACAAGGAAACGTTCCAAGAGGATTCTCGTCATCACTTCCCTGAAACGATCGACCTTGACTTCGTAGAACAGGTGCAGCATCAAGGAGCTGAACCAGTGGGTGTGAGCGTTGGGGTAACGCAAATGCAAAACCATTGCGCTGAGGAGATGATGTTGCCCTACAGGAATAACAAAGTCAGTCTAGATCGCAGCTACTACATTGTTGCGGCACATACCTTCTGTGTCAAGGTTGCTGGCAAGATATTGCAAAGCAACAGCCCCGGGATCGCTGGGAACAAAGAGGACGCTGCCGCTGCGAGCCTTGGCCTGGGCGACGGAGGAGACACCGATATACATAACCAGCGAATTGATCAGGGAAAGGTTGTATGTCTCCGATGAGTCGTTCACAGCAGGCAGGCGTAGGCGATCCTTGAGCGAAGGAAGGAAAGACGGTGACCCGCGACCAAGAAGATACTGGTCTAGATAGGCTCGCAACTCGCCGGTCTTCAGGATGGAGGAGAAATCGGAAAGGATAGGGGGTATAGGACCCATTTCTGTGATGGACTCAAATTTTAGATCGCGGAGGTGTGGATCTGGCAGCATGACACTAGGAGGGAATGCACTGAGGACTACGTTGCGCAATTGGATGCAACGCTGGGGGATAGCGTCACAGAGCGTGAAGTAGTATTCGCTAAGGAATTCAGGGAAATCATGCAGAAGGACAAGAAGTAAGCGCAGAGATCCTCGATAGAGGTCTCTCGATGCCGGCTGCAAATCAGCTGCCTTCAAGAAAGGCGAAAGGAATTTGAAGAGGGAGATAAGTAGCCTGTGGAACGCGGACCAGCCCTATTAAAACTGTTAGCCCTACTGTATATCGCGAAGTACAAGAATATTACGGACCTCTCGATTCTCTGAAAGCAGTAGCTTCGGCATGAATAGTCTGTGGGAGATGAGACTCATCCATGAAAAGGCGAAACCTGGGAAATAAGTGGGCTGCAGCGAGCTAAAAGTATCGCTGTAAAAAAATTGGTTCAGACCAATGCCTAATGTGATTATGATGGAAGGACATACCCCATAGCGAGGAGAAGCTGGAAGTATACGCTTCCGAGACTGGATTCGATGGAATGAAGATCATTCAACAAGCTCGAGAAGAACCTGAAGAAAGGCTTCTGCTGGAATGCAGGACCTTGCTCTTCATGCATGTTCGCCAAGACAAGGACGATGATGGAGAGGATCTTGGTGAAGTAGTGAACCTTCGCATGATCATTGTTCACGCCAGAGGCATCCCCATGGTACTTGATGATGTAGACGATCAAGCGGGACATTGCATCTAAGGCCTGGAAAGCAAATCCGAATTCTCCGGCATCGACACACTTGAGATAACTATTGATGCTGGATTCCGCGCAGACCCGGAAGAAGAATGACGACACGTCTTCAGCTTTCAAAATGCCTTGCTTCGTCAACGAATTGATAAAGGGAACAAAAGATTTTTCGGGGGAGTGAGAGCGCTGGAATATGTTAACCCATTGTTGGAACCAGATGAAAAGTTTCTCTCTGAGCTGTTCAGTCTCGGGCTTCACGGACAGTCGTCCTGGAACTGTATCCGGGACAGCCTGTGCTATTGGCCTTCGTACACCTCGCAAATCGTCGAGCAACCTATGAACCCTACAAAGAATCTGTGAGAATGAAAACGAAAAGCGGAAAGGAGGAAAACATACTCTTCATTCGCCTTTCCGGCTTGCGCCAATTGTGTCAGGACCTCAAGTGTGTAGGCGAATGATCCTTGAGAAGCGATAGGCGGGTCGCTAGATAAGCATTCTCGGATGAGACCAGCTGCGAAATTGAGAAGAATGGGTCTGGGATCAGCAAGGAGCAACTTCGCTAGCTGCTGATCTTCCTGCGTGATATTGACGAGACCACTCCTCATTAATGTCACGGTCACAGGTACATTCAGCTTGCGCTGTGCAGATCGTGGTCAAAAGCTGTCGTCTGAGTTAAGGGTGATACAGGGACTTACCTCATCCTCCGCATAGATCAACCAGGTAATCGCCTCTTTGGCAACGTCCTCGAAGTTGTTGCACAATTGGTCCAACAGAGCGGCGTAGATTTCGCGGCCCATTTGTGTGGGGGTCTTATACAAGAGCTGAACGATCTTCTGCGACATCAGTAGTGGAGTACGGTGGCGATCCATCGAATCCGTGGCGAGATATAAAATCTGGCGAACGAGATTTCGAATCTCATGCGTCGGGGGCAGAGAAGCGAGAGATTGCACAGGAAGTTGTGACATGACAGCCTCCAAATTCTTGGTCATAGCCTAAAATAATGAATATAAGCTGGGTTGCTCGCACCTCGCCAGACATTACTCACGTTAAAGCGGTCCATGGCTTCTTGGTGGGTCAAGAAGGCCTGGCTGCCAGCCAAAGCCTGTTCTGGTCCGGGAGAGGACGCGTAGATAGAAGACGGGAGATGCTCGTTACGGCCGTAAGACACCGTGGAACCCGGTCTACTAGCGACCATCCTGCGCTTGATATCTAAGCCTGATAGAGAATGAGTAACATAGCATGCAAATTATACTAAAAACAACCAACCGAAATCTTCATATACTACAGCTTGTTGCGGCTGAACGCCAGAAGGCTTGAGACGCAAAGGATCTGGCAATGAATTGGCAAAGGGTGAATGGGTGACCGAGGGGTCCCAGAAAGGTTGACCAGGCCGCGTCTATCAACATATACGTGAGCGAAGAGGTCTAAGAAGTATGGTACTGTTTACTCACCTCGCGATGTCGCCGGCGAATTTCGAAGGCAGAGGCGAATCCTTCATCCACATCAAGAAGAGCACGATCCATAGCAGCCTTCTCAACGGCTTGGCAGGCAAGGTCCAAGTTGTCTTGAACGAGTACGGTGAAAACCTGATCGGGAACCATTTGCTACAATTGACAAGCTGAAGTCAATATCAGCAGGCGAACTTGGGCATGCATCACATACCTCGTTGAATCCATATTCCGTCAAGTAATGTCGGATGTGACCGCCGAGGTTGCTCTTTAAAGGCTCTTTACAAGTTACCAGCGCAAGACTACCAGCCAGCTTCTGAGCCATGAAGTGCCCGGCCCTGCGAACCTTTTCATCGTTGAGCTCTGTAGCATAATCCTTCGCCACGAGCTCCCTGGTGGAAATTCCAGCGATGGTCACTGATCGCTCAACAACAGGAAGAATGATCTAGGGGAAAGCGAATGAGTGAATGGTTATATCGTTAACGATATTATAAAACATACCTCTCGTACGGCGCGATCGACAGCCATCTGCACAGCACGCTTGAACGATTGGTTGGTGTGCAGAGGTGCCAATTGAGGACTGATTTGGACATGCGGTAGCATGTTCTGGAGAATATTTTCAATATGCGCGCCAAGGACACGCTGCGTCTCAGTCGGGCTAGATGGTCCTAATGCCAACACCTGAGAATCAGCTTGCATTTGAGTAGGATCGTATCCACCAATGGGCAGAGAATCGATATCGGTGACATAGTCGGGAAGCGGCGGGCCAGCCAAGGTGTCGGTGAGTGGACGGTTACGAAGAATTGTGGTGGCTTCTACGGTGTCAAGGTCGATGTCCAAAGCCTTGCAAAGAATCTCAATCTCAAACTTTGGATTCAGTTTGAGCTCCGCATAGTGGTAGAGCTCAGCAAGCAAACTGATCACCGCCATTAACCACGGATTTGGAGGGCGGAACACCTTTGATCTGGAGGCAGGCTCTAAGGTCTTGCAAACGAAAGCGATAGCGACAACCAACCGGTTGTTGTCGTATCCCTCAATGAGCAGATCTTTGAAGGACAAGTTTCTGTGCTTGATAGGCTGGTCACGGGCCAAGGTGATGGATCCCAACCATGACGCCACATTCTTCAAGATCGTCCTCTCCGATCCAAGCTGGACCGTCTTCTCGGAGTTCAACAAGACCGCAGACTTGACCAACGTTTCATGGAGAACAAACTTGAATAGTGCCTTTCCGTCCAGCGCGTCAAGGAATCGGATGTAAAGTTGATGGTTGTTTGGCTCAGTGCTGACCCGCTGGTCTACGAGGTAATTAGCGAACCATCGAGCATACTTCTCGTCAAATTGCTCCCGCATTTCCGCCAATTTAGCATCGAAATTGTTGGCAGCAAGGTTGTTAACAATGAAGAGAATCTTATCCGAAACTTCCTCTGGCGGATGCTCTGGTTCGACCTCGACCCGATCAGGTTGGATGGCAGTGAAGACTGGAGGAGGGTCGAGCGTTGTGAGCGATCGCAGATCCGAGCTAGCGCTTGCGCCATCTCCTGCACTCGCGATCGCGCGGTTCAGGACAGAAACCAGCTCCGGGCGTGCTTCCAAGAGATGTGGGATCTTGAGCAGCGCATGACACAGTGGCTGCCACTCCGATAGACGAGACTCGAAGCGCGCCAGCGCCTGCATTCCGAACTTGAACAAGTTCGAATCCGGACCGCAGTTCAGAGCGTCCAGCACGTAGCGGATGGCAATACCTAGAGGGATGAAGTCTACTAGCTGATACTGGATAAGGGATCCAAAGAGGTAACCAGTCATGGCCAACTCGCGAGGAGGATAGAAGGACTGGAAGAACTTGTACTCGTCAAACAGGAAGTGTAACATGCAGGAGAAGATCTCGTGATCTCGAGGATTGTTCGAGTTCTTGTTTCGCTGAAGCAAGGCAATCACCTCGTCGATTGTGATATGTTCATCATACATTTGTTTATAGATGGCGTCCACCTCCGCCTCGATCTCCGGCGAGTAGCTGACAACTTGGAAACCTGGCTCAGAGTCTGAGCCTGGAGACAAGTTCATTAGACGAGGATGGATTTGGAGGCATGAGTTGCGGACTTCAAGACAGTAGTCAATGTCGCTTTCGTGAAGGAGGTTGGAGCTGTGAGAATACCATCAGTAAGCAGGTTAAACATTGTAGTTGTCGATGCTTTTATACCTGTTTCGGAGCGTGCGTAGGAAAATAGTGATAGTTTGAGGATTGAGTGGCATGCTGGTGTGTTCGGGGGCGGGATCAGAAACCCTTGTAGCCTTCTCGGTCTCCATCTTCATATCTAGGAATGTGATGACAGAATGGAGGAAATCGGCACCGTGAGCGGTGACATGGTCAGCGAGCCACTTGTCGAGATTGAGATATTCTCGTCGGGAAGCCAGTGCAGCCACATCGAGGGCAAAGATGAACGGCCGCGTCTCCAAAAGAGTGTCCAAAATCTGTGGTCCACTCATCAGCCCGCTGTCGTACCTTCCTCCGAAGTCACAAACCTTGAGGTCTTGGGCGACGTCGAGAATGCGAGTGATGTTCAAGGGGCTTTCCTCGTAATACTCGCGGAATGCAGTGGTCAGGTAGTTGGGGTCGATCTGCCAAATACGCATAAAGACTAGTTGATGGTTGGGATGTCCAGCCAGGAACATTGTGAGCAATCTTTGTGAGTACTCCAGCCGAATCTGGTTCCATGGTACATTCTGACGAAATTGTCAGCTCCACACATGCTTTAAGAGATTGGACAAAGCACTCACAGGAACTTGAAGCAAACCAAGATGAACTAGCTCTGCACTAATCTTGACTGCCTTGTCAAGCATCTCGCGCACGAGGTTCCTAACTTCGGTCGACTCCGAATCCGCAGCTCTAATGAGGACCTCAAAGAGCTCGATCGAATTCCACGAGTGGCCTTGAACGTTGGCCGCAAGGGCCTTGACAGTAGAGCTAGCGCCGTTTACATCGTCCACTGTCACAATGGGATGGACAGGAAGGTTGACGAAGCTAAAGGTATCAGCTGGAAGAGATAGGAGCGCGTCCAACAGACGAAGCTGATATTGCTGATTCTTCCACGGCTGCCAGAACCCAGTAACTGCGTGCCTCTCAGCGTTCTGTGGACAGTTGACAAGGATAGCCACCAAGAGTTTCAGAGTGGCGGTATCAACAGTTTGTCTATCCGGCCGGTCGAAGGCCATAATGACGTTCGCCCAATTCGGGTTCTGGTTTACTAAAGTGTCAGCGTATGCCTAGAAAACGTCGCTTATCACTCACAAGACTACTCAATGCCCTCACAAGCGCGCCAGCGTCGCACAAGATACCGCCTTCACCTGCTAATCGGGTCAAATTGGAGAAAAGATCGCTAACTTGGTCGTCGGTAGGGGGGTTGGATTCGTCGATGTTAAATCGGGTAAGAAGAGCGCGAATCACGTCGACGTCGCTAGTGATATCGGGGCCCAATTGAACCAACGCTTGAACCAGCGTCGTATCTGGTGGAAGACTAGAGAAACGATGATGAGACTTGTTATCAAGTGACACGCGAACGGGTAAAAAGACAAACCTCATTGTAGGCAACAATCGCTGTAGGATGGGGGAGAGTATCTCGAGTCCGTACTTGGACTGAGTGGCAGCAATCAAGGCTTGTCGTTGAGTGGCATCTAAGAGCGGACCGTCTGGCACAACATCACAAACAAGGTTCGACATCAATTTCGCCACTTGATTTGGATTCAGGTCTGCATGGTCGAATGAGGGATGCTGGCACAGAGCCAACACTGCGTTCTCGAAATCCGAGCGAATCAAGTTGACTGCTTGCGTCGTCAGCTCCTTGCGAGTCGGAGCCGCCACGATCGAAGAAGCCAATACCACTCGCTCTAGAGGACGCAGTCCTATCCTATCAACAAAACGCCCCAAGTCGAAATTGCGGAAGGCATCCCCTTCGCCCTTATCCACGCCATCTCGAAAACGGTCTGCTAGGTAAGGATCGCGCGCGAGGCGCTGCACTTCCTGGACCAGGAGGCGAAAAGTCAAGGCACTAGAGGCATCGAATGTAGTATTCGAGCCATTTGTTGCCAATCTACCGTTGGTTTGGACTATGAGACGACGAATGAAGTGAAGATAGGTTTCAATTCCATGTTGTTCCGACAACTGTATGCATGATATTCTCAGTATGCCACTCCACTTGGTATGGAAGATGTTACTTACGGAACGAATCTCTAGCTGGTTTCGCTCGAAGTTCTCCTCTGTAAGCGTCGAGAGAAGGAAAACGATTTGGGCCTTGACGATGGTGTGTATGTTCGGATTGCCTGGGTTGTCCATGGCAGGAGTCCGTGACCGGAAAGAAGCCTCCGCCGTGCGTCTGGCGACGCCACCACCTCCAAAAGCCGTTTTTGAGGATGAAAGAGACAGGATTCAGGTGCAAGCAGGATAGAACACGCAAGTAGACCGAGGTCAACAGCGAGCACGACTCAGCACACACGCCCAAATGCGGAGTACCACGCTTTCAATCTCCGCCTGATCTGTGGTACGTAAGCGCCGCTAAACACCCATACAGGCAACTCAGTGTCAAGACTGACAACTCACTGCTCTCAATCAGTCCACGAAGATGTGCAAAAAAAAAAATTATTCTTGGGGCGCCTGGTACACGCAAAAGCTATTACAAACCACATTATTGTAGATGCAAATAGAACAACCCAGCCCAATTTACTATTTATACACCAACTGCCGTGCAGAGAAGGCCCAAGAAAGTGATACCAAAAAGAAAAACGTAAGAGGCCGTAGCAGAAGGGCGTCGAAGTTCAAAAAATGCTGTTGACGCAAGTTGACCCTGTGATTGCTGCTCAACTTCGTCCACGTGGCCGCAGAGGTCCGAATTATCGAGCAAATCCGAGGGAACGATAACCTTGGCTTGTCCACCTTTCGAGTACCCCACGCTCAGAGTGCCGTTGCTTCCAACAACAAACTGTGTGCAGCTCAGGACACTAAGGGTATCAATTAGTCTCGGGATGATCTGAAGCATGGTATGAAACTCACTCGGTCATCCTGAGACTGTTAGGGTAGGGAGTATAAACAGCAGTGCTGAGGTTCTGGGGCTAGAAAGGACGGGTCAATGACGACGATGAAACATATTAGGCTAATGACGTACAGGAGAACCAATGTTCGTAAGGACGGAAATAACGTCGCCTTTCATGATCGCCAACCCATGGGCAGATGTCGTCAAAACTTCGGCACGAGAATGCAGCCAGTCTGTGTCGGTGTCTGTGGTCGAGTTTATCATGAAGTTGCGGAGCTGCAGACAAAAGGTCAAAAGAGGTCTATATTAGACGACAAAGGTAGGTAGTCACCTTGTTGAGAGTCGCGATCATCTTATACGCAGTCGTATCGTTGTTGTAACCAGACGTCCACAACGGTTCACGGTTCCACTGCGTGATAAATGAGTTATTGATGATCAGCGCGAGATGTGTACCAAACTTACAGGATCAGCGCTGCCATTGAACCCTTGCTCCTGGCCATAATACACGATCGGAATACTGCAGTCCGTGTTCACCAGACGTCTTTGCAACTGAAAAGAATGAACCTACCCATCAGACATGAAGTTGAACACCATTGCATTGTACATGCTCTGAGGATCGGAAGACATGTTAGCCCAGCGAGGCAAGTCTTGATTCTCGAGGAAATTGCCCAAAAGACCAGGGTCCTTGAACTTCGTCTTGTAGATTTCCATGGTGTCGGTGATAGCGGAAGTATTCAATTGACCGGGGATGGCAAAGGCCTCAGTCAAAGCACTGTACATTGGGTAGTTCAGGGTGGAGTCCAAAGCATCGGGCCCCTGGAACGACGCGACTTCGCTAAAATGATACGTCAATTTATATGCAGCTAAATATAATAAACGAAGGTCTTACTCGATGTTATCACCGAAAACCTCTCCGATGCAGAAAACACCAGCGGCACTACAGAACGAGGGCCAGAAGTCAGTCTGTACGTGTCTGGCAACATGCATCAGACAAATGCAATCCAAAGGTCAACACGAATCTTACTTCGCGGCTGAATAAATAAGAATACCTTAGTCTGTGTGTTTGATGAGATCAAGGCGGCTACTTACCATCAATACGGAGACCATCAATGTTGTACTCGGACACAAGATTCTTAATCCAATCCTGGTAGGCAGACACCACAGTTGGGTCCTCCGTGTTGACATCGAGAAGAGGAACCTTCAAGTCACCCAACCAGCAGTCTTGTTCACTGGTACGGTTGCCCCATTGGATCGGACAGTAAGGGTGATATTGCGACTATAGTATACACGTCAACGAGAGAACGAAATCGAAGATGGTAGCAAGAAATGCTGACCTTCTGCTTGAACATATACGACGACAGGTCGTTCAAATCTGTTGTAAGTCCCATCACGTTGTTAACCACCACGTCGACCATCAGGAACCTGCATGCAACTATTGAATAGGGAAGAATGGCAGCCAGTACAACCTCACGCACATTCCACGTTTATGCAACTCGGTGGAAAGAGCCTTGAGGTCGTCTGCAGTACCAAAGCGACTGTTGAGCTTAGTCGCATCTGAGATCCAGTAACCATGGTAGGGGTCGCCGTAGGGCGTACGAGGACCTTCGTAGTTCTGTGAAACGGGACTGATCCAGACTGGACGAATAATCAAGACCAAAGTGATATCTCAAGTAGTGAGGGCTCACTAGCAGTGAATCCCGCGTTCTGAACGTAATCAAGGTTTTCGCGAATAGTGTTCCAAGTGCCACCACAGAATGTCTGATCTCCGGGGTTGCACTGAGTGGGATCAGCGCCTTCAGGCAACGCAAAACGGTCAGTTATAATTCTGGCAAGAAGACTTTAGTTGGTCAATACGCAAAGGCGCTTGCACAAGACACGTACTGGTAGATAGACCGGCCTCTCCATTCCTCAGCAGTGGCAGCCAAAGCAGTACGAAGGAGGGAGAATGAGAAGAAGATTTTGAGAAATATGTACATTTCTTCGAGAGGGAAAATTAGAGGGTATAGAGACGAGGTTTGCGACAACAAGGAGCGACAGAAAACGAGTGAGGTGTCGAAAAGAGAGTGAGTATCAGTTCAAGACCGATGGGGAGGAGCAGGAAGCCAACAAGCAAGACCCGTCACGGAGTAGGCCTGTCAAGCGTCGCGAGGGAATCAGTACGGGCTTGAAAGGACTCTGGGAAGGGAGACAGAGATTTTTACCTTATTATGGGTCTCGAAGACCATCAAAGACGAACGAGCAAATCCGCTTCCAGACACGGCTCGACATCATGTCTCCGGACGGCGCCTGGTCAGTCTACAACCGAATGCGGATCATGTGTTCGTCCTCCGTTGAGAGTCCGACTGATCGAGCGCCCAACCCCGCATTTTCTTGTCACTTTCTGTCTCCTTCGCGCTGTCGCTATCACAATCGGGTGTCGAAAGTCCAACACTCGTCCATGGACCTCCCGGACAAAGCAATGGAATTCTGCTCAAGATCTGCTCTGTCCTGACTGATTTTCAACTGCGTTGTCCTTGTTTTGCACTGTATCAGCTTCGCACCGCGTCTCACCAAGCGTTCGACAATTCAGTCAAGCGCATGTGAGCTGGTTGCCGGGTGACGGCGGACCAACAACGCCGCAGAATCATCATTCGAACATTCCTTCCCAGAAGCGTAAATACGTACCATGCTCACATCTCTGGGAGTCTAGACGTCTACTATTTCAGCGTGCGAGTTGGATGACCCACCCAGAAACCAGAGAGCCCATATAATGTGTGTTCAAGTCACGTCAAGCTGGAGTTTATGCTGGTAAAAGTCGATGAGAACCGGTTGACGGTAGTAGTACGTCCGGTGGACCTTGGACATGCGCAAACCACATGGGCACTGCCAAGCTTATTCAAATACCGACATTATAGGCGCTACGCATTTACAAATCCAGAAGCGGCATCGATCACTTTTCTTCCACGGACCACTCACACACAGTTTATACATCTTGAAGCTCGAAAGCCGAGGAATATGTCAAGCAGACAGGGTGGTAAACTCAAGCCTCTCAAGGTCATTGATACTTAATTACCTTATGCAATGATGGAGGTGACTGAACGACTGAGACATGAATGTTAGGCTCCCAAGAAGGACAAGAAAGACCTCGACGAGGAGGATGTTGCTTTCCAGCAGAGGAAGAAGCAGGAAGAGGCTGCTGTCAAGGCTGCCAGGGACAAAGGTTCGTCTTGTCATACACTAAATGAATTCCAATATACTGAGATAACTTCCGTATCGCAGCTTTGAAAGGTACGATTTGACTGATTGTTTGCATGAAATGGAGATGCAGACACTGAACCAGTTCTTTCATTTTAGGAGGGGCTCCCGGTGGTGGAATCAAGAAGTAAGTCACTTTCAAGTCACGTATGTTTGTCTAGGATCTCATTTGTATAACAGGTCTGGCAAGAAGTAAATTCCTTGCCATTTCTCCTAGTACATCAGGGTCTCGCGACAGCTATCTGCTCGCCGATCACTCTCCACCAGTTTCTCGCTCTTCTACGCTTTCACTATCGCAAGGACCATCTCTATAGCTTCGCAATCTCACTGTATCCTTGCATGTATCACCAATCACCATACCTATCAGACCAATAGAGGGGCTTTCTTTTCATGGCACTTCCGAAACCCGATTGCTCATCTGTCAGGTCGCTGATGTTATGTAAAACGTACTCATTCGAACCATAAGTACAACCAACAATGAACAGTCCATCAACCACCGATGCACTCCTACTTAACAGCCATAACGATTCTACCCTAACCATATCCCTTAACGCAACAGCGAAACGTTAATAGCGGCGGGCCTTGGCGGAGCTAAAAGAGATTCCACATCAATCTGCACCTTTATGGCACTGGAGTGATCCCAAGGACCTCTAATAACCCGGTCGGTGCGTGGTGAAGGCGGACGTGAATGAACGCTTCCTTCCGACGTAGGCGAACTATTTCCACTATCACCTCCTCTCTCTGCAAACATAGACCCCGGTATAACAAGCGGCGGTATTGAGTACTGAGTTGGAGGTGTTGGCTCTTCGACAAGAGGTAAGGCATCTATCCCGAATCCTGAGCTCACGCGTCTACGAGGTTTGGGGCCCTCGAAAGTTACGTGCGCCTTGGGGTAGAATGCTGGACGAGGGAGAGATGGGAGGCTATGTTTAGGTTGGTTGCGTGCGGGCAAAGGCCCTGAAACAAGTCGCAAAGCGCTTGGAGGCGGGCGACGGTTAGCTGGAACGACCAGCTCGAACTTGGATGAAAACGCGGCGGGATGGTGAGCCATATGTTAATTCGAGAACGAACTGCAATGAAAAAGTCGAAGTGGTAGGGGGAGCTGTCATATTTCCAACTCACGTCAGGCCAAAAGAAGTACATAGTGACCACATATTTGGACTCACCAAGAGGGTTCCCGGATTTATACACGGATTAACGCGTAGAACAGGTGAATCCGTACCTGACGGATGTTCAAGTTGGCGAAGAATAAAATAAAGCCGGGTCAACCGACGAGGGATGTAGAGTGAAAAGAGGAAGCACCGGGCAAACCTGAAGGTACAGGTAAGACGGAAAGCAACTTTTACGAGAAGTGTCGCAGGCGTCAATCGACTTTTGCACGGCCTCTTGATGATGGTTTGAGACTGTTTAACCGGGATTGCAAAATGTCATATGTAACAACCTGTAACAACATGTTTGAAAATACATCGCAGGTGCGAAGATATCTTATTACAGTCGATATAAACAGCCCATGAATCGATCGGTAGAAGAAAAATAAATGCAAATGAAGAGTGAAAATCATGTGTACATGGGCTGATATACATGGCGGAAGCCGTATGTATCTATGAAGAGATCCTATGAATGATAGTCCCAACACTGAGATGGAGAGTCCGAGAGCAATGCGAAGATAGACGGAGAAATACTGCACGTGCTTCACGGTCATGCATCAGCGAGGGGTCGGTAGTATTTCATGACTTGCGTTTTAAATTCTGCAGTGAATGAAACGATGTAAGTTAGGATTTTAATTCAAAATCTCGAGGGTACATACCATCCGGCGTGTCCCACAGTTTAGCAGCGTCGGGATTTAGGGGTGATGCGTTATTTGGCTCTGTAATGACCGTGGTAAACCATAGATCGTAGTTGCAGAAAGCTATATCACATACCACCAAGGAGCGATTGCAAGGATAAGAGAATGGTCTGAACACTATAGACGGCCGACCATTTGTCTTGAAGGATATCTAGACAGATTGCGCCCCCATTGATGTCGACGTTTGGATGATAGCAAGGAGAGTCGAATTTGATAGCAGGTGCTGCATAAGGATAGTTTGCAGGGAAGTTAATGGAGATCTTGAATGTCAGGCCAGAATAGATCTGATAGAGGAAACATTAGCAAAGGACTATAGACAAGGAAATCACGAGTTACACACCGTGCCCGATGGACCCTCAATTGTACCCGCCCACTCGAAGAGATTCGAGTCTGATTTCGGGAATGCAGACTGCCGATGGTGTGAGTTAGAACGTGGATATCGAAAGACTAGTAAGTGAGCGTACAATTCCAGGCGACGATGACATCTGAGACTGGGCGTCAGCCATCGCTTCGGACAATACAAGGATACGGTCTCACCATCAGAGTCATGAGCTCATTACTCAGTCTGTGAGGGACATCGTTCAGGTGCAACCTCAGGCAAGGCCAAGTGGCGAACTCACCGTTTTGTGACACTCCCAAGAGACTCTGCTGAGGAGCCGGTGGTCGCTGCCTTTGCCGCTCGAAGGGGTGCAACGGTGGTGGTGATTTGCTCCATGAGTGGTGAGATATAGAAACCACAAGTAGTTGAGTGGACGAGAAGAGAGTAGACGGTGGCTGCAGACGACGCGATGGTGGTGGAAGCAAACTTTCGAACACGGTTTTGAACGCGTCTGTGGGGAAGCGTCACGTGCAATGGCCGAGGCCGAAGGAAGCCTCGTCCGGATATAGCAGGGCTCGGTCCGAAAGTCTCCTAGTTTAGGAACGGGCGCGGTGTAAGTGTCCCACGCTTCCCCGGCCGGTGATGTCGCACGCGAGCGAGCGTCTGAGTCTCGAAGTGAGCCCAATTGCCAGCCCTGATTGAGCCGTGACATAAGTCTCTCTTTCTTAACTCTCATCTCATATCCAGACTGGCGTCCTTGCCATGTCCAAGTTCACCCCAACTGCCGCAGAGGTGGCCCTCGTGAATCAAATATTCGCACAGGCGGACACTCAGAAACTCGGTGTAGTTACTGGCGATGCCGCCGTCAAGATCTTTGGTGGCTCCAAGCTCTCTCCAAGCGTGCTGGCCGAGGTTTGGGCTCTTGCTGACGAAGACAACAACGGCGTCCTGACTCGTAAGGGTGTCGCCGTCGCTGTTCGTTTGCTTGGGCATGCGCAGCACGGAGAAGGCGTTTCGGACGCTTTGGTGCACAAACGTATGTGACGTCTTTGACCGAAGTATGGCAGATTCTGATTGCGGCCTTCAGCTGGCCCTGTACCCATTATTGAGGGTCTGAATGCACCAATTGCTCAACAAACTACAGGAATACCAACTGCGAGGTCACCGCCTCCCGGGCTACCACCACTTACACCTCAGGATAAAGCGAAGTTTATGAAGTTATTTATTGGATGTGGTCCCGTTAATGGTTTGCTCAGTGGTCAGTTTATATGCTAGTTTGCTTCATACGATACGCCGAACTCATTCATCTTTAGGTGAGAAAGCCCGGGACGTCCTGGTGAAATCCAAACTGCCAGTCGATAAGCTCTCGCAGATCTGGTAGGTGTTGGATGTCATGACTAATGAACTGCAGTCTTATCATGGCGCAGGTTCCTTGCAGATACGAAGAACCGTGGAGCACTCGACGCTGCAGATTTCATCGTTGCCATGTATCTGATTCAGGCTTCAATGTCTGGACAGCTGAAGACTATTCCAGCTATGCTCCCATCATGGCTTCACGAACAAGCGAAGAGCGGGCCTGAGTCTCTCACATCTCACACCACCGGTGAGAGCGGGTCATTTAGTCCGACGTCGTCCATTTTCCCTCGTCCTGTTAGCACCATTCAACCACAGTACACCGGCCAGAGCTTGCAACCTCAGATGACCGGTCAGGCGTTGCGGCCAACTGCGACAGGACCGGCATTACCTCCTCGATCAGCCTTAGGCTCATCACCATTCCCATTGGCTGCTCAACAGACCAGTCAAACTTTGCCCTGGGATGTCTCTCCTACTGAGAAGATCAATGCGGATCGGTTCTTCGACACTCTTGATACGCACAAGAGGGGCTACATTGATGGTGAGGTTGCTGTGCCGTTCTTTGTACAGTCGAAGTTGCCGGATGATGTTCTTGCGCAAATCTGGTAAGGTGTAAGCAGAATATATTGCTATCACGAGGTTAACCTAGGGTTTAACACATAGGGATCTTTCTGATCTTAACAACGACGGACTCCTCACGCGAGATGGTTTTGCAGTAGCGATGCATCTCATTCAATCTAAACTAGCTGGCAAGGAGTTACCTCCAACGTTACCTCCAACGTTGGTTCCCCCTTCTATGCGGTCAGCCGCTGCAGCTCCTCCACCGCAGCCTGCTATCTCAGAAACAATGAGGGACCTGTTGTGGGATGACACTCCTCCAGCTTCAAGTACTACACCTCAGGTCCCTCCTCCGACCCTTCAACCGCAAGCGACTGGAACATTGTCTCCTCAACATACGGCTGCTTTCGCGCCTCCGCAACGTTCGGTATTTGGTGCTACAGATCCCTTCGCTAACTCCCCATTCGCTCCGGCTGCTCGTAAGTAATGCCATTATCACGTTACTGCTCCTCTGACATCATTCATATCTGCAGCATCCCATAAGAACTTGCTTGATGACGACGAAGAAGCAGCGGCCGCTCCGCCTCTGGAAGACAAGTCTGCTGAGATTGGTAATGTGCAGAATCAACTCAACTCCACGAACCGATCATTGCAGACAACCACGGGCGAACGTGCGAATCTCGAGCGCACACTCACCGAACAGGCGGCCCAGTTGTCTGCGCTACAGACACAGTTGTCATCCGCTAAGGCCGCGTATGAGACAGAAACGCGTCTGCTCACTTCCCTCCGTGAACGCTTCAACACGCAGACTGCCGATATACAGAAGGCTCGGGAAGAACTGATCCATGGTGAGAGTGACCTCAGTGCGGTCCGTGTAGAGAAGGCGGAGATTGAGGGTGCGGTACTACGGGACAAGGAGGAAGTTCGCGATCTCAACCGTAAAATGGCCGAAGTCGGAACTGAGGTCGAGGCACTCAAAGCAGCTGTAGAGAAGGCTAAAAAGGAGGCGAAGCAACAGAAGGGTTTGTTGGCCATCGCCAAGAAGCAGCTAGCTACCAGAGAAGCGGAGAAAGCCAGAGTCGAGAAGGAACTTGAGGAAGCTCAAGTGGAGGCACAGTCCGCTACGAAGGAATTGGAGGAGACGGAGGCAGCTCTGGCTACGCAGGAACCCCCGCCCAAAGTCAATGGCTACAAAGAAACTTCTCCTGGTTCGCCAGACTCTGTTGCTATTGCCGCAGCTCATCCACTCCCCGCCAGTCCTCCTGAGGTGTCACCCTTAAGTAGTCCCAGCCCCAATGGGAAGAGTAACAACCCATTTGAGCGATTGGCTATGGCTTCAGGTTCTCCCCCTCGTTCCGGTTCTCCATTCCTGCCATTCGTCAACTCGGCTGCTCTCCCCAACCCTCCTACTGCGGAGCCTGTTGTGTCTCAGACAACGGCCGCGAACGAGGATCCATTTGGTCTGTCAGATGCATCAGCTTCTTCTGAACCTGTTGCGGTGGAATCAAAACCTACCGCCACTGAAACAACGCCGCCTTCTGACTTACATCGTCCCCCCGGTCTCACCATATCCGAAGGGGAGCACGATGTCTTGTCGTCGGCAGATACGGATCTTTTCATGACCCCTCCTACCACAGCGACAGTTCAGAAACAGAGTGAAGATAACGCAGAGCCCGCGGCTGCAACTCAACTGCCATCTTTGGACGGGGTTCTCTCACCTCAAGTGCCCGGACATTACCCTCTTAACGATGAGCCGAAACATGTTTTGGAAGAGCATACTAATCTGGATACCCGATTGAAGGAACTAGATGTGGAGGAATCTGACAGTGACGACGACGAACCTCTTACTTCTGTCAAGGCTAAGTTGACTGAGGGCGCTTCTCAACCAAATGGTGAACCTGATCATGCAACGCCTTCCACGTCGGCCTTTGACGATTCATTCGGTATAACTGCTACACCGAAACCTGATTCTTCTCGTGTTGCATCTCCCATCCCTCCATCTGTGGCAGCCGCATCTTTCCGAAGTCAGTCGCCTGCGTTGAGCTCGCACTCGGCAGCGAAGGATGTGTTCGGCTCTCCGTTCGCTCCCCCTACGCAAGAGCAACCAGCACAAGCTCTTGAGACACCTAAGCCCAACGGTGTTGCTGTTGCGCCTTCAACAGCCACACCGGGTGTCACTGAGTTCGACGAGGCATTCGGCAAAGTTCCCAGCAGCTCGGGTCCGTCTCAATCTTCGGAGTTCACTTTCGATTCTGCCTTTGATGACAATTTTGACTTTGCTGCCGCGAAAGAAGCTGTCCCGACAGAACCCACCCCTGCAGCTCCTCCAAGGAATGAAAGCTTGTCCGCTACTACCAGTACTTTCCCACCTGTGCCTGTTGCTGCTACAGCGACCGTGCCCAAGAGCCACAGCTTCGATGCTGTTTTTCTCTCAGCGGCTGATGCCGGTACAGCTCCTAGTTCTGCTGCCCCTGGGGGTTCAACGACCACTTCCTTTGATGAAGTGTTCAGCGCCGGACCTTCTCAACCTCCTGCGCCTGCAGTTCAGCTCAGCAAGAGCAACGGAGGTATCTCTTTCGATGACGCTTTTGGTGGAAATGCCTCAGAGACGTTGGCACTAGATAACTCATTTGCACCTAGTGCGTACCAACCACCTCCCGGCCCTCCGCCAGGTCATGTTGCAAAAGCTCCCTTCCCGACAACTTCGCCTCCTACATCACCTCGTCCTGAGACAAGCGCAACACCATCCTCGGAGGCAAGACGATCGATCTCTCCACCTCCGCGCCAAATGTCTCCCCCGCTTCGGCATTCATCACCGAAACCCCGGCCTTCCACGGGTTCCTCAGACAAGGAGAAGCCTCCTACAAGACACTCTAAGCTGAGCGTACGTACATTCTGTGATAAGCATTGTCCTTGATACTGACATTCATTTCTTACTCTAGATCCGTTTGCCTTTCGGACGAAAGAAGAAGCACGAAGCGCCTCCAGTGCCTCCAATCAGTCAACAACAGGTGATTGAAGAACCGACGCCACCTGCTGACGATGACATTGAGGCTGTGAAGACGTTGTGCGGTATGGGCTTCAGTCGTACGCAAGCTGTCACTGCCTTGGAACGACATGGGTATGACGTTCAGAGAGCCCTGAATAGTTTACTTGGTGAGATCAATCCTCTGTCTGATTCCGTGGCGGTACTCATGATACAAATGCAGGTTCTGCCTAATCATTCTAATTTCTATCACGTATTATACTAATGTTGCCCTCCGTGGCTTCTACGGACACCTTCCTTTGGATAACACTATGTCGTTCGTTACTTGTTGTTTTTTCCCCTTATTCTCAATACAGTGGTATTTAGTTTTCTTTCGATCGTGGAACGTCTCCTTGCCTTACAACTATTTGTACTTACCTGGTGCACGTGGGTTATGATTTCATTTTGACTTGCATTGTGGTCCTTCAAGGCCCGTCGCCTTTGTCTTGCATCCAGTCTGCATTTGTTAGCGATTCATAGCAGTTGCCTTTGTTCATGGTTGAACCGCGTGCTAAGCTTCGCGGCTAGAATGGAGCTCCTTGGACCGGGAGTTTGCTCTCCTTTGTGTTCGGGGACGGAGGATCCTTCCACGATCCTCCATATCTCACCAGGAACAAAGATGTGGGAGTCGCTTTCGCATCGGCTGCAGTGTTTGACCATGTCAACGTTTACACTTTTACCGGCGTATGCAGTGCAAACCCCTCTATCACGCGTACTACGTACAACGGATTGCAACGAGATTTGGCCGGTAGTCCTTCGCATTGCTTTATGATCTTCAATGACTCTGTGACACACGGTCCTATAAGAACAGGCTAGTATTCGCTGTGAACCCCCCATCCTGCGGTGGTCATTTCTCTGAGACACTATCTTTCATGAGGTCTACATTTGATCTAGTGGTTCTGGGCTGTGGTACGTGCTCATGTTTCCGTTGTGTCGCTCTTATCGACATTGTGCTCTAGGTGGTGGACCTAGCGAGTATAACTTATCAGGGTAATTAGGAACGTTGTTATTTGTTGTGTTCTTCAGTCCCTCAATTCTTCATCGACCCTGTAGCTATCTCTTGAAGTCGTGTGACACGACGTGGAGTCAAGGCATCATTGCCTTGGAAGCAGGTTTGTTCATTTCTTTGTGGCAGAATCGACCGTTGCTGAAGTTTTATATAGGTTCAGGAATTGGAGCCCTCCAACATATCCTACGGACGACTCCCAGCATCTTCTCGGCCACCTTTCCTACGGCCGCCGAGTCGCACCCACCTCCCACAGCGGCGGATATATACTCCTGGATACAGTGAGTCACTTGGCTCTTCAGTCCTCTCGATGTATTCAACTATGTTCCGTTTATGGCTCACAGATGCTACCTCATCACTCACGCTCACTTGGACCATGTAAACAGCCTGGTACTTTCGGCGGGATCTCAAGGCGCATCCCGCCGTGAAGTGTTTGGACTATTGCCCACTCTGAAGGACCTACAGATGGTGTTCTCTGATCGCCTATGGCCCAATCTTGCTTCTTGGGACGAAAATGATTCCAGTGCAGCGTTACTGTATTCAACGTAAGTAACTTTACTTACCCGTAGTGAAATGGCCATAACTAATGGATAAAAGATTGCAAGTGGATGGGCGATACAAGGCCATCTCGCCTCATATCTCCGTTCGTACGTTTTCTGTCAGTCACGGGGGACACAAGGCCCCTTACGATAGCGCGACATTCTTCATCAAGCACAATACTTCCGGGCGAGAGTTCCTATTCTTTGGCGATGTTGAACCTGACAGCGTCGCGTCGCATCCACGCAACCTGGAGGTATGGCGCGCAGTGGCACCAAAGATTCCAATCGTCCTCTCCTCAATATTTATAGAATGCTCCTGGCCGACCGGACGGGCTGATGACATGCTGTACGGGCATCTCAGTCCAGAACACCTGCGGGATGAATTGGTGAATTTAGCGACGGAAGTCATGAAAGTACGCCGGCAGCAGGTGACTGAAGCAGCCTCTTCATCCGCCTCCTCAGATAAGCCGATTCGAAAGCGACTAAAGATTAGCCCGCCTTCTCCTGGATCGTTAGAAGGCGCATTGAAAGGCCTTCGTGTCTATATTATCCACTGCAAGGATGACCTTCGAAGCACCTATAGCGAACCGATCAACCAGGTCATCGCTGGACAAGTTCGAGCTCTCACAGATGAGCTGAGTCTAGGAGCGGAGATAATTTCCGTAGAGCAGGGAATGCATATAAGTGAGTTCTGTGCCATCTTCATGGGTAGGCGATCATTTGCTCACCTTCCTTTGTAGCAATCTGACGTCCTAATGAATGCTAATACTATATCCATACCTTCGACTTCCCTTTGTTCTTCTACGATCTGTTCCGTTGTATCAATAGATACCCGCCCACTGTAGCCATTATCACGTTCGTTCTCGCTTCGCTCCTCGCACTAGACATAATATAAAGAATATGCAAACGAGTGTGAGAAGGCTGAATTACGGTCAATAGTCATAAGTTTCGTAACGAGGTATATCAGACGGAAGGTACAGCCAAAGCAGACATAACGTCCTTGGAACATCGACATTAAATGCGAGAAGTCTATCATTGAAACAGATAGCAGTGAACAGAGAGGGAGAAAAGAAAACATATCCACAAATATATACCGACATCGTAAGAAGACGTAAGGAGGTATCCCTTGTTAATGCGACGTTATAGAGGGAAAAAACTATGACGACGTCGATGCATAGAGTTTGACAACTCCATCAGCGCCCGCGCTGGCCATGATAGGTAGGGTCGGGTGGAACTCTACAGCGAGAACTCCTTCGCGAGCTTTCTCGCGATGACTGGTGATCTCTTGCACACATCCTTTCGTGTCAAGGATGTCCCAGAACCGAACTGAGCAGTCATGACTTCCCGACACAAGACGAAAGCCAGCGGCGTCTATTGAGAGGCATGTCACCGCGTCTAGATGAGCAATCATAGAATGCGTGCATTGACCTAAGGCAGAGGTTTAAGCCACAAGTTGTTATAAGGATTATAAAACGTAACTCACCTGTTGCGATATCGAAAATGCGAATGTGTTTATCTTCGTGGCCTGTGAAAAGTAATGGTATCGTTGGGTGCGAAACAATACTGTTCACTTGACTCGAAGCATCCCCGACTGCATCAAGTCAGACTTGGGTCATAGGCTAGTATTCGTGATAAAACTTACTATCGGTTTGTAGCTTCGAGACTTCTTTGCCAGTCTCTATGTCAAAGATCTTGATAGCTGCATTCTGATAGGCCACGGCGACTTTCTTAAGGTCGGTCTTGATAGCCTCCACAGCAGTAGCGCCAGGGGGTTCTGTTGAGTCGCCATTCTGATCGTTTTCGGAATCCAAACCGTCGTACAACCATGACAACTTCAAAGAACCGCCTCCTGATGGCCCACTCACGTCCCAAACCTTCACAGCACCTTCGGCACCGCAGCTGACCAGAGTACTCTCATCACGGGCAAGCGCGAGATCCCATACAGCATCAGTATGCCCGATGAGTTCTCCCCTCGCCCGCGTCGCATCGTAAGGAGCATAGGTCGTATGTGAAGGAGAGGGCAACGCCCATATCCGAATGGAAGAATCAAGCGATGCAGAGTATAGAAGCTGTTTCGAAGGGGCGTGCACGAGTCGTGTGATCGCAGCCGAATGTCCTCGGAGGGTGAGTTGAGGTTCCACATCCGTCGTTGCCCGTGAACTAGAAGATGGAATCAAGTCAACGAGTGAAAATATGAGGATAGCGGGAATGAAACGCACGCAGACGAGGCGAGTCCTGTTAGATCGACCCGCCATATTTTCACTGTGCTGTCATCACCACCCGTCGCGAGACATAGCTCGGTTGGATGGAACGCAACAGCTCGTACGGCATCAAGGTGACTGCAAAGGATTATTAGCATATAATAGAATAAGAGACCATATCCATGCTCAAGCAAGTGACGAAACTGACTTCCGAAGAGTCCTCTTTGCCTTCCAGATCTTCGCATCCTCGCCCTCCCCTACCTCGGTCCCTTCCTCGTCCTCCATATCCGCAGGCTCCTCATCCCTTACCTCCTCCTCGTCGCCCTGCGATCTTTGCTCCCAAGATGCGGCACCACTCAGCGACCCAGCCTCAAGTCTAGCCCTGTCTGCCGCCTCGTGCGAAAGTCGAAGCTTCTCCTTGAAGTCTTCGTCTGGCCGAAAGATTGCAGTGAGCCGTTGCTTCTCCGATTCATCTTCCTCCCTCTTTGCTTCCGCCTGTTGACCGACAGAATCAGGAGCTGGCGGTAGCTGACCCAACTGTGGCTGATGTTGCTGCTGCTCCTGCGGAGGTTGTGTTAGACCTTCGGAACTCTGCTGCTGCTGTTGCCCCGATGTTGCGCTCGGACCGATACTAGATGGTCGTTCATGTTGAGCAATAGACGATGATGAGGCGGTATTCGACAACACGCTCATGCCGTTAACTAAGGGGAACTCCTTGCCAACGTCTTGCAACCGCTTCGTTGGCCGGCCATTGAAGGCCATTTGGTCAAAAGAAGGGACATTAGGCAGAGCAACGGGTAATGAAGAATTGCTGAGCAAAGGACGGTTGGGCAGCGGGTTCATCGCTTGTGGCGAAGTCAGATATGAGATTTCTTGCAGACACCTGAGGTGCTCGGGATGAGTTTGAGACTATCATGTAAATGCGAGGTACCACGTACTGCTTCAAATAATCTCTACTCCTCGCCCTGCTCTTGGGATCACGCCCCAATGCAGGCTTACCAAGTGTACCAGGCATAAGACCCGTAGCTCCAGACCATGTAGTTGACCACGTCTGCTGTTTGCTTGCTGCGCCAGAAGACCCATTGGCAACAGGTCCAACGGGTGGGAGGGGAGAGTCTGTGTAGTCGTTGAGTATGATCATTAGTACAAACAAGTGAATATGGCGCACCTTCACTACGAGGTGAACTCCCGCTGCTCCCATCCTTGTGGCTCAGAGTATCTTCCTTCTGGCTTCCACCTCCTGACTGAGACTGTATTGTTGCCAGTTTCGCAGGTGGAATAGATTGTGAAGATGGTTGCCCCAACTGCTTCGAGCTGCTGACCGACACGTCAAAAAAACCATATGCATACACGAGAAACAAGGCAGACGCACCGCTCAACCCTCAGAGCGTACTCGAGCATCTTGATACGACGCATGAGATCCAGCTTGACATTGTCAAATGACCTCCTCTCGCCTTCGAGGAGCGCAATACGAGCCTGAGAGCGAAAGTCAGGGCGTGTAAGACGCGACACGCAACAGAGCGAGCACACTCGCGAACACGTACCCGCATCTCTGCCCTTTCAATCTCCCATTCATTCCTGTCGCGTTCATATCGTCTCCACTCAGTTTGGAGGAAGTGTAGTACGCTTGAAAGGGTGAAATCTTGACCGCTCTGTGGAGGCAAGGGTATTTCTGATGGGTTCGGGCCTTGCTGTTGTTGGGGGCCCTGCTGCTGAGGGTTTTGGAGGCCCTTGTTGGGCTGAATGTTTGAGCCCAACATAGGTATTTGAATGGTGGATTGGAGGTGAGGGTGAGGAAGGTAGTTTTGAGGAGGAGGATATGGATTGCTGATGCGCGCCCCCGCGTTCGGTACCATGTTTGGTCAACAAACAACCCTGTCAAAAGAGGTCAAACGCCTCCTCGCTCGCTCTTACCGTCAACTCGCTCTAGACCTTGCTCTTGCTCGCTCTCTTGAGTATCGTACACTGGCTACGTGTACACGGAATACAAAGAACGTCTCATACTTGTATAACCCTTTATGTTCACCCACAATCAAATCAGCTTTTCCTGTCACAAGCCTCGTTCTTCCCTCCTGCTTGATGTTTGACGTAAACGGCCACAATCGCGCTAGCATCCGTGCACAATCGTTTATCCACCCATTGTTCTGACACTCAGAATAACATGTTCGCATGGTTATAGCGGTCTGGGGCATTCTGCGCCATCGATCTTTCGCTTTGGCATATATGTGAAATGCTTTTACGGAACGCACGGAAAATGGCAACAAAAGTTGACATTGCATAAATACGTAGGTACAGGCATACTCTCGGAAGACAATCATCCCTTGCTATACAGATGATATAAGGAGCACCAACTATCTCCATTCAAAACGTTGCATTCCAAATGCCCTTCACTAGTAAATCTGCTCCCGACAGCGACACCTGAACACCATCCTCACCGTACACAGCGTAATTCCCAGAGGCTGAATTTGGCGACGCTGGGCGTGAAACTATCGGTGTTGAGGTTGGTCTCGTCAATGATAGGCACTGAGAACTCAGCGTCGGGGTAGCCCTGGGTGTCTGCGAGACCTGTGCTTGGGTTCTGTTGAGCCCTTTAGGGAAAGCGAACCCAAAGAATCCTGGGCATGAACCCGTAGGGAAGCGATATGCCCTGAGATACCAAAAATTAGCAGGATTTATAAATAATAGCCCAGGCGCCGCAGTGGGATGGACACAAACAGATAGACACTCCGGAGGAACGGTAATCCAAGGACAGACTGAGGCTCGGTAGTGATCTTGTCACTGGTAGAAACTATTCCGACATTGCAGAACCCATTGGGGGAGAATTGAGATGGTTGATGCAGAAGATTATCATCCGAGTCGATCATATATGAAACGCCGTTAATATGAACAGAGAAATCGACGTATGGGTGGGGTACCGAGATGTTGGGGAATAAGCTGCTTGTGTTACAAGGGTACGAAATTTGGAAGAATGTGGGATCCAAGTTGTATCCGTCAACGGTGTCGTTGATGCTGAAGACCGGTCCAGTGTAGTTAGTATTATTGAAGTATGTCAGGTTGTTGGGAATGCTAATGTCGAAATACACTGAGAAAGACATCAGCTCCAGAGAATCCCAGTTACAGGGAATGACTTACTTGAGTCCACGGCAGTCAAGAGATTGTCATCGAAAGGTAACAGGGAACCATTGCGGCCAGAGAACCCATCAATCTTGAATACATTGTACTTGAACCAATCCCCGTTGTCTGGCTCCAGCTCCACCCAGTTCAACGTACCCTCGTAGTCATTGGGATCGAGGGCCCCGATGGTGAGTCGGGGGTTGCTCGGGTCAAGTCGCATGCCAATAACAGGGTCTATGAGTTGACCGGACTCGTACAAACGAGGGATAAGACGATTGATGGGATCTTTTCGGAACGTGTTTGTAAGAAGCCCTAAACCACCGTTTCGTATACGAAAATTGGTATAGTTCGTAGACATAACCGTCAATAGACCTGCACCGAACCAGAGTGAATAGTAGCCTCGACAGTCGATATGGATCTGCATATCTACCAATATCGATATCAGGGGACTCTACAATACCACCAAATCCGATGGTATCATAGATCCAAGTTCCGTTGAATAAGTTTGTACCATTCAGAACACGGTCATTAGGCTGTAAAGAAAAACACTTGGTACCATTGACTGTTCAAAGAAAGGGCTTGATAGAAGTACCTTATTTGTTGTGGACAAGGAAGGATCGAAGAAGTCCCAGCCAGGACAAAACGCACAGTCAGAGGAATATACATCAATGGCGTCGGTCTGGAGGTCGATAGGCAGCTGAACCACTTGCGGTGGCGTGCCAACGAGAACGTCGACATAGTTGGCATTGATTTCCACGTCACTGATGGTGGAAGGTACTGATAGGTTCAAACTGATCCATGCTGAGGATCCGGACGTGGGTGAGTATGTCGAGTTGTTTGACGGTGTAACGTAAGTACTCGTATACGCACTTGGTGAAGCGGCTCTAACAGCGTATCCCAGCAGGATGGGAGCTAGGAGAAAGAAGGGGGCCATGGCAGCGTTATGCACCTACCTGGACAAGTTCATGGCACACCTATGAAGCCCAGAGGAGAACGATGAATAAATAATCGAGACGTCGACATAAAACATCCGACATGAGAGCAACATAAAAGCACAGCCCATGCTGACATGTGCGTGCCTGTTCTTATGCATTATCTGGGAAACTTTCCGTTGCGGGCTTGCTGTTGCCAGCAGGCGGCTTGTCAATCAATGTTTGTACTTGCCCTTTCATGGTCAAGGATATCGCCCCGCCTTCTGTGGAAATCGCCTTTTTAAGAAGCGATCAGTCCTGATATGGCATAGTCACCTCTGCGATGACAGCGTCCACCATCAGGGCAGAAATTGCACCACGCAGATTACACGGCAAACAGGATACGTTTGGGTCACACGCACCGCTTCATAAGTACTTTTTAAACAAACAAACATCCTTCCGATTTTGTTCGGAACTTCGCTAGTATTTGTGTAATGTGGCTCTGGAAATTGACAGATCTCATTTGTGCCAGGGGAACATTTCTCTTCTGGGATTCTCAGCGAGCAGCTAAAGGGGCGTAGTCTGCTTGATGCTGTAACCCACTTTGCTCTCTATGATTCATGCCTTACCCCTACGCCAACCAGCATGAGATGCCATCCCTGTCTCCCGAGCAAGAGCAGGAGAAGGAATACGTGCCCGGGTACAAGCAAGTACCCGACGATGATCTCAGGACTCCTTCAAAAGACGAACTCTTGCCGCCGAATCGTAGGTCCTCAGGAACGGCTCCTGTGCGAGCCAACAAGGTCTTGCATCGCAAGAGTTCTATTCTTGCATGTATAAGACTAGTGAGGAACGCCATCCTTCCTGTTGTGGCCATAGCATATCTTGTGTTCTGCTATGTTGTCCACTATAAGCACGTTCCGGTGAAGACGCGTTTCTTTGACGACTCAGTTGCACATTTATGTAGGTCCAAGTCTAGTCGCATTTCACCGTCAGCTCATCGTACGCCCTAGCTATTATCAAGTCTGGTGTCACCTCAATAAGCATTTTGATCATTACGATTGGCCTTCTGCCCCTACAGTCTCTTCTAGCAGATCTCAAGGTGAGCATTCCGCTCGTTAAAACTTGTGTACTTGGACTTAGTTAACACCGTGACACCCTAGAGCGAGGAATTCTTTCGTGTCATCAACAACAGACCATCTGGCACGCCTCTCTCGTCAATCAATACTATATCCTCACCTTCTTTCGGCCTCTTTGACTCACTCACAGTCTTATTTAAACGACATTGTTCTCCCTACTTTGCCATGGCCTTTATTGCCGGCTTGCTGCTGCTTGCAACTTCAACGCTTGCTCCCGCTGCCTGTGAGTACATGTCAAGTTCGCTGTGTTTTTTTTTTTTTACCTTCTCACCGAGAACAACAGTATCTGTTACTACTGCTTGGTTCGATAACGATGTGATAGCGTTTGCCGTAGGCGGAATTGCCCGAGACACTGTCTACAAGTACGCTTTTCTGACTACGAATTTTTTACCCACTCTAATCGAAGCTGGGTATTTTAGCGTTACAAGTATCCCGCCATTCGCAGCTTTCACTTGGGACAGCCTCTATGCCAAAGCAATGACCGTGGCATGGGTTGAGAATAAATTGGGTCTCCATTATGGATTCACGGTGGACGATCCAACTCATTACATTGTTCCTCCACCGATGCATCTTCGCCCCGACGTAGCGGCGCGGTGGTTGTCGGACATCGTGGTGATGCAGCCGGAATGTTTCTGGAGCAATTCGCGTATTGCATCCAATTTTACGCAGCCGTTCTCCAGTTTCGCCACCTTATTGATTGCGTTGGATCAAGGTCTCACAGTCAGTATCTCGGATACGTTTGGACCTAGTGCGTCCATTCAAATATATGGTTATAGTGATTCGGAACTGACTAGCTATCCCTTGTCATAAGCTGGTGACAATCAAATTGAATGGAGGGGCAATTTTCTTTCCAACTCGACCGATACCGGAGTCCCTCAAAGTGGCGCCACGGTTTTCTCAGTCAGCCAATGCTCATTCAACTGTACCTCATTCTCGGATTCGACGTTCGATCTGGCGGGTATTCCCACCTTAAGGATGGACTATGAAACTAAGTCATTTGACATGGCCTTCCTTGTCTGCTCGCCACACGCCACTGTCGAAACTCGAGAGATCCACAACGACGGCCGTGGTCGTCTAACCATTCTCAATACCACATATCCTTCACAAGGCAATATCCATGCCCCTCAAATCCAGGTGATGTTTACCTACCTCTTCCAACACCTCTCCGATAACGGTGGCCCACCCTCTGCTACATCATCTTTAGGGCCCGAGCTGCAAGCGGACTTCATCTTTGGGCCAGGGGCATCCAACCGATCGAATCCAGATTTCAATGTTGCGGGAATCTTTGCACCCGCTCCCATTTCTGTGATAACGGACAGTTATACCAAGATGCTTCAATCCTCCATGAAGGTGATGCTCCAAGGCAACGTGTCCAAGTCATACGTCCCTGCGATATTATCAACTGAGCAAGTCATCTTCACTTCATCCCTTCCTCAAGTCATCGCATCGACGGTATTGTTCATCGTCCTTCTCGCAGTCATGGCTATATCCCATTTTCGTCGTGAGATACCGAAGTTCACTCTGTATTCGGTCGCTGCTTCATTGGATGGTTCAAACATGCCGTCGATGTTTGCTCAAGCACGGAATGATTCTGATCCATCGGTAAATGGGGATAAATTGCTCGATACATTTGGCAGGCGGGTTGTCACGTTGACAAAGTCAGATGCGAACTATGGGACTCTGCAATTGCAGTAGTGGATTCAACGCGTTTTGTTCTATATACTACATTATACAGTCGTTACGTGGACATTGTATCCATACCAGCATACAAATACACAAGAATAATAGAAAGACCGTCCGCAGTTAAGTAATACAAATGTCTGTTTAGGATAGCGTACTTGGTAGGCTCTCGTAGGGCGGTGGAGGCGTAGATGATCGAGGCTCCTCGTCCGCAGCAAACGCTGCTTCTCCAGTAAGGTCCACAGTCGAACTTGATATTTGCTGTGTTTGCTGTGCTGGCTGATCTGCGTCAGCAGAAGCCTCGGGGAGTGGAGGAGGCACCAGAGTGGTTGGTAGGCTGTCAGGGATCTCCTTCCCAGCCAATTTCGCTCGTATCAAATGCATGGCGACAGCAAAGTCGTCCTTTGACAGACGGCCATCTGTATCAGCGTCGGCCAAATCCCTGCAGAAATAGACAATGAATCCTCGTCAGTCAATCTGACAACATGAAACCCCCAAAGGCGACCAAAATGACAGATAAATGAAATTAAGGCAACGGCATGACGCATTGAATAAAATTTAGCCGTCATGGTGCGCTAATGTTGGGAAGGCAAGATGATGAAATGTACGTACCAAATCTTTCCAAGAACTTCAGTGGGCAATTTCGATTTTGACATGAACGGCACCGCGGCTTCGCCTTCTATGTATCCATGTTTCCACGGATCCAACATATCAAAGAAGCGATCCGAACGTGCTTTCTCCGTTGGCGTAATTGCCCAACTCCAAGTTGCCGTTGCATCCGGTGCTACCCTACTGGAGATTGGCGAAGACGGCGGGGAAGAGAATGACGGAAATTCAAGACTAGAGGCACTTGCGACGGGCGTGGTTGCATTAGGTGTACGCCGCAGAATCGAAGGGCTCGGAGTAGACCGAGGTGGACGGCTCGGCGGAGATGGCTCATCTAGAATGTGAGAAGAGCTAGCGTTTGGACTTGGAGCAAACCGAACATGTCGTGGAGATGGTTCTTTCGGCGGTGGTGTGGGTGCAGGAGCAGCATCAAGGTCGATGAGCTAGATTCGCAACAAAATTCGTCAGGCAAGTAATAAGCACAAACTGAAACGAATAGAAGCCTACCAATGCTTCAGTACGAGAAGGCGGGGTAGGACTAACGGGGTGTCGCATGGAAGGAGGAACTAGAGAAGGGGGAAGGATCTCTGGCAAGCCTCTGCCAGCACCTCTTTCTCTAATCAGATGTAATGCAACAGCAAATTCATCACGACCGAGTCGACCATCACCATTAATGTCAACAAGCCTCCTATATATGCCCACGAGAAATAAGCACTATACGTCGCAAACTCAATTCGAAGCGCGCACCAGATATGCTGCGTATCGTGCTCGGAAATCCCAGTCTGCATGAAATGTGCTCTTGCAGTCTTGCCATCAAGATACCCATGGTGTTTTTCGTCAAGTACATTAAAGAATGTGTCCGCAGTCGCCTTCAGTTCCGGAGTCACAGCCCATTGTTGTGGTGAATGACTGCCGCTCGGACCTGCTTGAGATGAAGATGAATCAGGCACAGGTCCTGCGCTGGGGTGAACCGAAGCCAAGCTCCGTTGAAGAGAATGCTGAAGATCAGGCGGAGGTGAGGCAGCTTCATAGATTGAAGGCGGAAGTGAGTAGGGCATGGCCTTCAGGCGACCCGACATGATTGCTTGAATAAGATACATTGCAACTGTAAACCCTGTCGCGTCGAGTGCGCCTTGTTTCTGAGTATCTGCGAGTTCCCTTTCAAAAGTTTCAAGTTAGGTCCATCACGAAGATACAAAAAGTCTATATACCAAATCTGGGCGAGTATGTCAATCGGTAGCCTTGATTTCATGAAGAGCTCTCGGGCGTGGTCGCCTGAATCGCCTTCAATCAGCACTGTACTACACGGATACGGTTGTGGTTTTGTAAACATACCTGGAACCATGCCATTGTGAGGATGAGCGTTGAAGAAGATCTTTAGGAACTTGTTGCGATCCTGTGGTGTCAAAGGTGGTAATGGCGTGGTTGACGGACCAGCTTCGTCGTATCCAGATGCACCTGCTGAAGGCTCAAGTCCCTGTATCTTAGGTAAAGGAGCCGCTGGATGGCCCGAGATTAGTATAGAACAGATGGAATCAATGCTTGGAAGAATATACGAACGTTCATTCACGAGTGTTTCATCCACCTTGACGCCAGGGTTATTCTGAACATGACCGACTAACCTAACCGCAACGCCAACACATTGTCGACTAAGCATGTCGTTTTCTTCAACATTGGCTATTCTCCAGATTTCATCCAAGGTACTCGGAGGGATACCCGCACCATAGAAGACCTTAGTGGCCGCGACAGAACTGATGGAACCCATACCTAGCGTGTCTGCGATGCTGAAGATTTGGTTGACGAGCTCGGACTCGGCTGGTGTTGGGGTGAACGAGGTGATCGCAGTCAAGGCACAAAGCTACAACGAAGTGTAAGCCCGCAGTGTCGTGGTCAATGATGAAATCCCGCACCTTGCGCTCTGCTCGGGTACGTTCCTCCTTTTCTTGCTCAACACCCAGACGTTCCAAATCGTCGTATATCTTCATGGCCTCCAACAGCTCCTCATTTGTAGCTAATAAGTCAGCTAAGAGCTGCTCCTCCCTGGTTTCCTGAGAACTGCCGACATCCGATCGAGACTGCTCTGCTTGGGATGTAGCCCAAGCAATTTGAGAGGATATGAATTCTTGAGATGCCCGGCATCGGAGGCGAAACTCCTGTGTGCAGAGAGGGTCCAGTGTGATACTCGATCACTAGCAAACTGTACGCACTTGAATGATTCCCTTCTTGTCCTTGAGATCCTCTGGTTTCGCATAGACAAGTGCTTCGTGCAAGAGAGAAGCGTGACCTTTGCCAGTTTGACAAGCTTTGAAGAGTCTCTGGATATCTTCGTCTTTCGACATCGGGCGCGCAGCAGACTCGGACAGGGGCGCCTTTTCAGCTCGCGCATTCACTGTGCTTTGGATTACCGGATAATTATGGAAGAACGTAGGGGTCGGTGATCCATGCTGGGAGGAAGGTTGCGACTGGAACTGAGACTGACTCTGCGACGAAAACCACGGGATCGGCATTGTGCTATAATACTGCGCATGCTGTGGTAGTGGTGCCGGTGGAGGGCCTGGAGGGGGAGCGTATTGAAAGTTGTACGGCCCCGGTTGAGGCTGCTGGTTCATGAACTCTGCTGAGGGGGCCTTGTTCTGTTTCCTCAATTTTCTGTCATCTGGATAGGCCCAGAGATTCCCGATCGGTTTACGAGTGGCTTGGACTAGAACAGAATGGACCTACCGGCTTTCCGCCCTGATCCCATTAGGCTGAGGCACCTGGTCGGATATATATGGCTTGCAAAGTTGCTCTACAGTCGATGGTTGGGTGGAAAGGGTGTGGACTATGAGAACGCTAGTGGTCACACAGCATGCTGCGGACATGCTGCAGAGTATTGACAGGGGACTGTGCCTGATACAGGACGACACAGGACTACATATGATTCAAGACAAGTTCTTTTATTAAGTACATGCAGAAATGCTATAGCAACGGATTGTGAGACGGATGGATTGTGCAATAAAGAAAAGCCTCGTGGGTTGATGGCAGGGTTGGCGCCGCAGAGAGGCAGAGAGCGGAGGACGTTTTCCATCATCAACGACCATCTTCCGCTGTCTTTCTGCTCTCTTTGCTGAGGGCGCTGCTTGCTGTCTCCTCCCTTCTTCTACACCCCCTTTTTCGCTTCACGAGCCTATTTCTTACGAATATTCTTCCCTTGTAGCTCACCGCAAAACTCATCATGACCAGCACTTCTTCCACTCCTCCGGATATCTCATCCCTGTCGCTCTCTTCCCAGCCCTCTCAGCAACGTCTTCATGACTCTTATGACTACGAAGGCGGTGGCGGCAATGGTAGGAACCCGTACCACTATTCTACTTCCCCTCCTATCCCTGCACAGTCCCAGTACAATCCTCTGAGTCTCAGCCAGTCTCCTCTGAAGAACAAGCCCATCCGCAGTGGTTTGCCTTCTGTACGTCTGTTCATCCCTTCTGCGCCTCATTGTGTCTCTAATGACTCGATCGTCTCAGCAATGGCTCGACAATGCACAGGGCATCCAAGACAACAGATCTTTGTCGCCACCTAATAACTCTGATTTGTCGTCTTCGGGGGGCTCTCCTACCATGGGCCATATGCTCTCTCCAGGCATCGGGCCAGGAACGCCCGGCCTTGGAGACGATGAAATTATACCCACCGCAATTGTCATCAAGAACATTCCTTTCAACGTGAAGCGTGAGACCCTCCTTGACATCATCGTGCGTTCTTCCGTCGGGTCTTCTGCGGCTCCGAGTCATGCTGACCATACTCCAGGCATCACTAGCAATCCCTACCCCGTACGCATTCAATTATCACCTTGATCAATCAGGCCAGTTCCGTGGACTTGCCTTTGCCAACTTCCGTCAGTCTGTTGATGCAGATGCCGTCGTCGCCGCTTTGAACGGCTTTGATGTTCAAGGACGCAAGCTTCGCGTGGAGTACAAGAAAGTGCTTCAAGCCGGCGAAAAAGAGCGTATCGAGCGCGAGAAGGCTATTCGCCGTATGCGCTCTATGCAGCTCGAGAAGGAACAGGCTGCCATGCAACAGGGCTACGACGACTTTGGTCCAGTTGTCACCCCCGGAGCCTTTACCCCTTCGCGCTCCTTCTCTGCTGGATCTCCATTCCCTGGTCAACAGTATTCTCCGCCAAGCGCCCCGCCGATGCCAACACCTCAACTTTACAGCATCAACACTCCCCCGATTGTTCCACCTCCAGCACCAAAGACACCATCGAACGAGTTAGATTTGAACGATCCGTCTACGCTTGAGATTTATTCTCGCATCTTGCTGTTCAAGGATGATCGCATGAGAGATGAACTGGCGTTCTCCAGGACATTGACGCCCAAGCAACGAAGGGTGGTCCACCTCGTCGCCCAAAAGCTCGGTGTATATCACTACTCCGTAGGAGAGGGAGAAGAACGATATGCTGTCGTGACACGTATTGATCCTGCTACGGTATGTCTAAGATCATTTTTATGTCACCATAGTGTCTCACTTTTCTCTTAAAGCAACAACAGCAGGCACCCACTCCTGGTCGTCAGACCTTATCGCGTGCCCCGTCTTCTTTCCTTTCGCCAACTTCGCCCTCGCAGACTCATTCTCTACGCATGAAGAAGTCCATGCCGGACATGAAGACTCTCCAATCGCCTGCTCCCCGATTGACCACACGCGCTTCCAACGGCAATATCCGGGAAGGCTTTGCCACCATCGCCTCACCATCACGTCGTTCGCCCGGAGGTTTCGCAGCCCTGTTCGGCCAAAGCGCCGCCTTCGCCAATGCCATTCCTCCTGTCCCCAGTCTCCCTTCTAGCGTGTCCGGCATTATGAACGGAGGTGGCATAGACAACCCTAGTGTTGTTCGCCAACCCCGTGGGCCTGGTGCAGGTGGCTTTGAAAGCAGGAGAGAGAGGCGAGAGAGCCAAACGGCGAGAAATGGATTCGAAGCGCGTTCCCATGAACCCTTGGAAATCTGAATATAAATCGAGAAGGAAATGAAAGCCCGGCTACTCATCGCTGTCGCTCTCAACCTTAATTTGCATATAACCTATCCTTGTTGTGAAGCTGCCTTGCTCCGCCGACTTGGATCGTCTTGCCGTCCCACTTCCTGCGTTTTCTTATTTCGCATTAGTTTGACGCTACCGCTCGGACTCTCATTCTTCAACACTCGGTTAATTCCCTTCCACTTTGGTATTCAATATTCCACTGCCATTCTTCCCTCTCATTCTAGTTCTTTCCCCCCTCTGCAAAGCTATTGCGCTCACATTTGTGAATGCTCCGTTTAATAATTCTGGCTATCTCACGCCTTTGTTTTCAGTTTTCCCTCCTGCAGTGCAAGAAAACTCAACCATTGGTTGCTTTCAGTATTCCTCCCGTTGATCTTTGGTTCCGATTATACATATCTCCCTCCTCGCACTTCGGTAACTCCACTGTCCTTTCTCATATCATAACGTTGCTATTGCATTTATGTTTTTGGTCCCATATTCTTTTCTCTCACTCTTACCTTGGTTGTATGATCGCACAATTAGAACGAAGTGGATTCTTGCAATATACCGGACGACGATTCATACCTCTCACCGTATCACCTGCAACGCTCGCTCGAAAACACACGTCGACCAAACACCCGACTTCTTGTAACGCGTAGATAACTAATATATCTAGAGGTACATCAAGCATATTTATTACCAACCAGAAGGGCGAATTAACCTCGATAAGACATAAATGTTTAGAAGTCAACGAGAGGAAACATCTGCTTTTCCGGGTCTTGGAAGGAGATCAACTGGGTATGAAGGAAGCTGTCCACGCAAAACTTGCCATAACCCGAAGAACCCCTTCAAAATTAACATAAGCATTGAATGCGCCATGGAAATGATCAATTGGACATACCCCTTCCCTTCTTGGTGGAATCTGGGTTCGGAGCTCATCGTCATACCATTGACATTTACCTTGTCTGCGAAAGGAGAATGTAAATGACTGGAATAACCATCACCAATTCAAGATGACTCGCCTACGTAAATCCGGCTAGCTATCTCGAATGCCTTCTGCATGTCGCTCGTCCATAATGAAGAAGTGAGTGAGTAGCTCGAAGCGTTTGCAAGTTCGATGGCTTCGTCCACAGTATCAACGATCGCAATGGTTATAACTGTAAAGCCAACATGTCAGAGCGCGACAGAGAGAACGTATGATTCACATATACCTGGACCAAAAGACTCCCTGTCCCAAAGACGGGTCCCAGGTTTCGTGCCAAGAACAATATGAGGTTGAACGAAAGCTCCGTCATGCTTCAGATCACCCAACAACAGCTGGGCTCCGCCGTCTACGGCTTCTTTGATCATGCTGACGACCTCCTTGGCCGCATTTTCATTGAAGAGCGGACCCAACCTGGCATCGGTAGAGTTCACATCTCCAGCTTTCAATTTTGACGCGACGGCCTTCAAGCACTCGATAAGTTTCGCTGCAACCTCGCGTTGTACTATCACCCGCTCGGTACTGAGACAAAGTTGGCCACTGTGTAGCAAAGCCCCGGCAATAATGCCACGAGCTGCAACGTCTATCTTCGCATCGTTGAGAACCTGATAAAGTCATAGCGTCTGAGCCAGATCTGAACATGTTTGTGGGTGGATAGAAACATACGATGGCTGGAGCCTTGCCACCCAATTCCAGAATGACTGGTTTGAGATATTTGGCTGCCTCTGTTGCGATGATCCTACCGATGTGGTCGCTCCCAGTAAACTAAGATGACGGAAATTCAGCACCATCGGTAGAACATTGGTCAAAAAAACCGTACACCAATCTTGCGAACAAGGGGATGAGCAATAATCTCGGCCACTCGTGATCCGGCATCCTCTTTTGCTGTATGAATTACGTTGAATACTCCATCCGGAATACCGGCCTACAAAGGGGAATCATCAATATCAAACTGCACAATTATGTAAATGCAATCGATATACTTCTTTCAATAGCTCTGCAGCTATGAGCTGGGTTCCAGGGCTGTTCTCGGAAGTTTTGTGTACGATAGTGTTCCCAGCAGCCAGAGCCGGTAAGGTCGTAATGAGACTGAGTCCTAGTGGTGAATTCCAAGGAGAAATAATGAAACTGAACGCAAACGGGTTTAATTCAGCGATTCGATTTAACAACTCACAACCCACATTACGCCCAACGGCCGCTTTTCCACGAAGACCTTTGCGCCAAAGTCCGAAGGAAGGATCTCACCCTTCGCCTCGTATGGGCCCTCTGCGGCGGCCAGGATGTAGTCACGGATTGCGGTGATATTTGTAAGTGCGCCCGTTTCGGGAGGCACACCTGTTTCCTGCGTCGCTGTCTGGATGATTTTCTCCTGGAATCGAGCTGTTATGATTAAATCTGCAACTTTGCGGAAAATATCTGCTTTAAAGCCAGGAGTCGTAGCTTTCCAGGAGTCAAATGCGTTACCCGCGGCCTCTATCGCGAGCTGACTGGAGAATAAAGCGTTTATCGGTTCTCATAGGAACCTGGGAGGCGAACGTAATGTACTTACCAATCCTGAGCAGATGCAGCAGCAGCATGTTCGACAACCTGCCCTGTTGCAGGGTTCCGAACGTCAAAAGTTGTATCTGTGGTTAATGGCCGAAAAGCGCCTCCTATGAAAAGAGGGATGAAAGGTGGCTCCTTGTTTTCAGTCATAATTGTGCCGCAGGAGGGGGGAGATACGACTAAAGTATGCAAAGGGACAGCTACGGCGTTTTATATTTGTTGCCAGTATATCCGAGACTTTCAAATGCCATATCTGGTCACATCTGGTGAGCTGACACCCTGGCCAAGGACCTACAATCGGTAATTGTCATCTTGATTATGCATGACACTGACACCACAATCCCATTTCTCTGGCGAAACCATTTGCTCCATATGTATGAGTAATAACGACAGGGTCCGACCACGCCTTGAGGGGAAAGACGCCAAGCCGTCAGAGTAACTCCTATCGCGCGCTGAAGTCCGGCCATTCACTGCGGAGCCCCTTATGCAAGGCTTCACCATGTTTTATGGTTCCGGCCATGCCAAATATTGTAGAGTAGCTGTTTGATAAAGAAATGTTTCACCACCAATGTCGGAGAGGCTGGCCACAATGAGTTATTATCGACTATCTAGCATTCGGCCTTTTAATGATCATGGCGATCAATGCACATCCGAGTGGCGGTGGAACGCCTGAGTTCTGTGGGCTGTGTTGCGAGTGTGAGTCGGACGAAGCAAAAGGTAATTGTCATTTGGGCATGTAGCGAGTAGATTGGGGCGTTGGGACACTATTGTATTGCATCAAGTGTATTGCGTCTGCAAAAGGAAGGGAAGAAGCTAGTCTTGAAAGAATTAGATATAGCATGAACCTGTGACTGTCTAACAGCATCGGGGTGTAATGATGGCACTCACCTTCCTCACACATGTCGAATGACACCAACCAATGCAATTATATTGGTACCAGAACTGCAACTGCGTCAAGACAAACAATGCGCCAAGCTAGTTGCTTTCGGTTCCACTGACGGTCAGAACAGAATAGCTGACTTCGTCATGCCCTCTTGAATCCGACGGGAGCGCAATGTGATCTAGCATTTATCACACGCGATAAGCACAAAAACGAACCAACGTAACTTGATAAAGCCGCGGACTCAAAACGAATTCTAAAGCAAACATGAAATAAAGGAACGCTGCGACCCACGCAGGGCCGTGCGATCGATGGTGGTGGTTCTGAACTGACCACTGTAGCTGCCTGATTTGGAGGTAATCCATGAGCGCCTACATACCGAGCGCTCAGGCTCGATTTACTGCATTTGCCTCTTTTCGCCGAAGTACCACTTGTAGCAGGTGAAGTAGTGACCAGTTCGCCGCCATGCCTAGCGCAGCTCTTGTCCATGCTGCGTGCTTTGCTGTAGGCGCTCTTGTTGGCGGTGGTGTGGCAGCAACAGTCGCTAATCGACGCAGGGTGGTACCTCCTCCCCCTCAATCTTCGTCTGGAACGGTGGTTGCTCCGACGTTACCTTCACCTACGGTGACCGCACCTCAACCTATAGTGGATGTTAAATCTGTATCTGGTGCATCCCAAGTGAAAGCTGCATCGGAAGCACTGGTCAAGGTTGATACAGGCATTGTGAAGTATAGCGATATTGGTAACTGTCATACTCGAAGTGGCCTTACTTCATCTACTAATTTGTGCTAGGTCCTGTCTCTGACCGGCTTGTCCGGACTGTTTATGTTGCTGGTTATGATCGTCGTCTACGACATCCGGCATGGGTATGTGTCTCTGCCCTGGACGATTTACGGGAATGACTTATTGTCATTCAGACGGCAGAACATCTCACTTTAGCCTCGCTCGGAAAGTCTCTCGTTGAACCTCCTCCAGAAGACAGTGAATCTGCAGACAGAGTGAAATCTCTGTTTGCCGAGGACAAGTCCATTCCGGCGCTCTTTCGCGCAAAACTTCAAGACTATTTGAAAAGCGGATATGATCGCGGTCACATGTACTTTGGTTTGCTTCGTCTCATGCTGTCTCGATTGTGATTGAGCTGAATTACCCGGTTTATCAGGGTTCCTGCTGCTGATGCAAAAATGTCACAGGTGGGCTTGAAGTGGATCATGTTCGATGTTTATTGACCTACGTGATATAAGGCTGCCATGAATGAGACATTCCTTCTGTCCAACATTGCCCCTCAAGTTGGAGTGGGTTTCAATAGACATTGTAGGTCTCCTGTCTAGTCATGAACCTATAGATTTTACCGCTATTCTGCAGATTGGGCATACCTTGAAGACTGGTGTCGGCGTTTGACTGCCAACTTTGCTGATGTTTACGTCTTCACCATTCCACTATACCTTCCGAAACTCGATTCCGACGGCAAGTGGCGCATGGTATGCATGAAGTTTATTATAATCTTGAATTCCTCCTTGGCTTATTGATATGCGGCGGCTTCTAGCATTACGAAGTCATCGGTTCACCTCCCAATGTCTCTGTTCCCACTCATTTTGCTAAGGTAGTACTAACCTCAAGACCATCATCTCCGGAGACGCCGGATGTCCCAGAAATCTCAACGGGCGCATTCATCCTGCCAAATGCCTCAATCCCGGATGATGCTAGACTAGTGAATTTCATCACCCCAGGTGAGTGACAACTTGTCTGCGAAGAGTCAAATTGAAACTAGGTGTGATATCCCCCTCCTCCAGTTGAAACTGTTGAACGTCATTCAGGACTAATCTTGTTCTCGGATGCGGTCAAGAAGTCTTCCAAGCACATCTGCAAGACGGCCAAATGTGAAGTGATTGTGCGTCGCTTCGACGAGGTGCAGAAGAAGCCTGAGACTGTGAAGGCAATTTCAGGTCCCAAAAAGTTCTAATGTCTAGTACGCCCAACAGCATAGGCATGATGTAGACAGTTCTGCAAATACCACATAGATTAATATATTAGAAGCCAGCTACTATATCCTCAATCCGCACAACATAAGGCCCGATTCCCTGACTCAAGCAAAGTCTAATGTTCGTGCCGTCTGAGCGAACTTGTCCTAACAGAACGTGCACATTATCGAAGGGATTCAACTTTGAAGAAAGAAAAAATTAAAGTGAAGGCCAAAGGCGGGATAAATCGTAATCTCCTCCGACGAAGGCTGGTAGAAGTCCTACTGACGCTTCAAATATCCATCTTGGCACCGCACCCCCGCATGAACATCCCTTCGAAAAGCCTATATTTTTATGATAAGGAGTGAAGTTGACACAGAAATATCCTGTATCAGTCGGTCAAAGTGACAACACCTCATGAAGCTCATATTCCCGCTCAATGGAGCGTGAGAACTGGATACCGTTTACGGCATGTGCGAGTCTCAAGAAATATTCTGGACAAGGGAGTTCCTCCATGTTCCTCTTCACTCCTCCTCAGGAACTACTGCCGAACATCTGGTATTGCTCCCGTATCCACACAAACTTAGCACAGAATACAAAGATGTCGATTCATTGTAGGGCCCGACCTGGCCGGAACAGCCTCCGATATTTTCTCTATTTCCTTCTTACCAACAGTGAGCTTGGGTCTCGGTTCGTCTTGTATAGGCAGCGAATTGTATCCCAGTTGTGGTCGCGTGTATGATCTACAAAACTTTCAGGGAACGGACTCAACTTGGCACATCTTTGGCGATCTATCAGAAGGTTGACAGCCCTTCGATGCCCACTTCTTGCTAGGTCCTTCTTCCTTGGCTGTAGCATATGCATCTCGGGGACATTTGACTTCACATGCTCTCGGCGAATCCCTACTGCTTTGTTCATCTTGGAAAGATGACTTGATATCTCCGTCTTATCGGAAACGCCCTCCTTCGCAGCGTTGTTGAGGTAGCTCTCATGTATCAACGTCCCTGGCAGAAAACAATATGAATAGGGTCTCTGGCATTGCGGAGTATCGCCCTATGATTTGACATGGACGCTTCTATGATCCTTGTTGTCCGCTTTCGTTTGAGTTTGCCCGATGTACTAACATTTCCGCGTTCATCCAGTTCATCTTCCGTCAGAAACTGTCGGGCCGAGTCATTTATGTGGAGTGAACAAGCCCTTATCCAGTCATCATCCCCTTGGATTAATGAAGAAGTATACTTTAACTCAAACATTCTCTGAGTACAAATGCCAGCCATCTCGAATGCCTGTCGTCCAAACGTTCAGTCATGACGAGAGACTCCTACGAACCCGTTTCTTCTTTGCATCCTTCTGACAATTGTATTGTAGATCCCGTCATCACTTCTGAGAAGTATTCTGAGGATGACTTACCAGCTTTCACGCCGATGCCTTGGTGAGTACTTCCATTTCTACGTGTGGCAACATGAGACGCTCATTTCCAGCAGGACATTGCAAGAGATTCGTGCAGCTATTCCTGACTACTTGTTCGTGCGGGACACGACTCGAGGCGTCTTATATCTCGCTCGGGATCTCCTTATGGCTGCAGTAGTATGGAAAGCGGGAACTTACATCGACTCATCCTTCGGGAACACAACCATTCGTTCTCAGCTGTCTCCAATCTTCGCGGAGACTCTTCGTTGGCTGACGTGGGCGGTATAGTGAGCGGAGTGCCCTTTTATTTGCCATCTTTCTGACAAAATGTTTAGCTGGTGGTTTCAGGGCTTGATATTCACCGGTATTTGGGTGATTGGACATGAAGTTAGTCGATATCAGGCTCTCAGACATTGACATGTTTGATAATTTACTGACATGTAGTGCGGTCATGGTGCCTTTTCCGAATCAAACGCCATTTGCGACGTCGTGGGCTTTGTGAGTGCAGATCCCGGCGATGTAGCAATGGCAGGGTGTATTCAAAGTTACATAGATCACCCATTCGTTCTTATGGACGCCGTACTTCAGCTGGAAGATATCCCATCACCGTCACCATATCAGCCATGCATCTATGGAGCGCGATGAGGTTTATGTACCCAAGTCGCGAAGTGACCTTGGCATCCCAAAGCGACCGAACCACGAGATTGACTGGGACGAATACTTTGGAGATACACCTATCTACACGTTCTACATGCTGATGCGTCAACAGCTATTAGCCTTCCCTGCCTATCTCCGTGAGTTTCTGTGGTCGACAGCTGTATCATACCTAATATCTCCTGGACAACAGTATTCAATGTTTCCGGGCAAAAGACCTATCCCAAATGGACCAACCATTTCGATCGTTAGTGGTGCGGTTTCATTGCGCTGGTGCGCTGCTGACGACCTTGTCCACAGCGAATTCCATTCTGTTCACGAAAGCACAACGGAACCAAGTGATCTTGTCAAATCTTGGCCTCCTTTTCATGGCATGGGTTGTCAAACTCGCTTGTGCGAAATGGCACCCCATCGAGGTCATCAAGTACTACGGAATTCCGTGGCTTCTCGTTAGTCACTGGTTCATAATGATCACATATCTTCACCACACGGATCCTGTTCTGCCACACTACCGCGGGAAAGAGTGGAACTATCAGCGAGGGGCAGCTTCCACTGTAGATAGGAACTTCTTGGGCTGGCAAGGGCGATTTTTCCTACATGATGTGGCCCACTATCATGTTATCCATCATTTCTTTCCCAAGATGCCATTCTGTGAGTCCATTCGAGTTGGTCTTCTTCTTGCTTCTGATAAGGTCTTGACATATATTCAGATCATGGACCTGAAGCTACGAAGTATCTTCAGCAATTCATCGGGGATCAGTATCATTATTCCAACAAGCCTGTGTTCAAAGCTTTGTGGGAAAGCTATAACAGATGTCAGTTTGTAGAGGATGAAGGTGAGTTTAATCGTGCATTCAGCCCGCCTATACGTATATTGACAATAATATGACCATAAAGGAACTGTGTTATTCTATCGAGACAAACAGGGCAGATCACAACTGCGTCTGGCCGACCAGTATAAAGACTAGTGTTTTGGTCGTTCTAATGATAAGAAAAAAGTGTTGGAACGTCCGCGCTTTAGTATGGTCGACCTTAGGTATCGTTATGGATTGCTATATGAAGTCGTGTATATTTAATATTAGACCGTTAGATGAGGAAATCGACGCGCTATCCCGGGTATCAGCGTTAACATTCCACACTATGCTACCGAAGGTTCATTGTATGCCAGGTTTATTGTGGATCAGTGTTCCGATAAATTCATGCAAATACGAGTATGTCGTAGTCAAATGCATACTAATGATGTCACGCAACTCCAGTAAGCGTTCAACGTTCAACGTTCACTGAGAGCGTGGGCGGCATAAGTAGAAGTGTATGTGTGACGGGATGTGGCATGTCAGGTGTGACAGTAATCTGACTTCTCTCATAGCTTACTTGACCGTGGCATTGAACTGCCTTGACTGAAATCGTTGCAGCGACATGTTTGTCGCATCAGGCCTCAGGCATGCATCAGGTTCCGCAGTTCCGCAGGGAATACAAATTGAACATATGGCTACGAATGGCCCATAACTTATAAGTACACAGGCGTCTTATACCAAGCTGGAATGTTCACGCTCATTTGATCCGATGCAGGAATCGAACGAGGTGACTTACATATCATGTAGTCAGTTTTTGAGACTTTTTCCCATGGACCAGTTGTGAACTGGTCAATGGTCTCTAGACTGCTATCAACTTACAATTGTTTCAGTTGCAGCGCCACATTCAACCTGTGATATCGAATTATTCCCGCTCCGAAACTTTACTTTACCGGGTATATAGGGTCAGTAACCTGGTCAACTACAAAATTCCCACCAAGGTTGTTTGCTCATTGACGTTTTAACCCTCGTAGAAGTCGAAGATTTCCTCTCTAAAATGCCTCTCAGTGAAATGAATGACATGATTGCGAAATACTCCGCTCGTCTACCGTTGCCCCAGGACGCGTCTGTCGGTCCAAGGCCTCGGGAAGAATTGGTCGTACTGCTCACTGGATCTACAGGTGCACTAGGAGCGGACTTCCTTGCTGCCTTAATCGGCAACAATCGCGTCGCTCATGTCTACTCTCTGAATCGATCCCCGAACGTGGTCGATAGACAACGGGTCGCACTGGAACGTCGTGAACTTGACCCCGGCATAGTGCTGTCCAAGAAATTGACGTCATTGGAGGGAGATGTATCCAAAGCTGACCTGGGACTAAGCAGCGAGACTTTCGACGAAGTAAGTGCATAGTCTCTACCTCAGTTTGTGCCGGTCGGTCTGTAACATCAATCTCCGGTCATAGTTGAAGCGAACGGTAACGCACATAGTACATAATGCATGGAGAGTGAACTTCAATGCACCGCTCAGCTCATTCGGAGGTTACATCGAAGGGACCTGCAATCTTCTCCGTCTCGCTGCCACCTCTTCACATGCTGCTCAGTTTCTGTACACGTCCTCGCTTGGAATAGCACAGGGATGGCGAGTCGAAGATGGTATAGTGCCCGAAAATGCACATTGGAGACCGGAAGCTGCTCTTACGTTTGGGTATACTCGGTCTAAGTATGTAGTCGAACATGTATGCGTCTTTCCACATGTATTTCAAGCCGTCCTTTTACCGAAGTCTGTTGTTTCAGCTTTTGTCCAAAGCAGCAAAATCTGGTCTCCCAGCTACCACTCTAAGACTCGGACAAGTCTGTGGTTCGTCTGCAACGGGAGCTTGGCCGACGACAGAGTGGGTGCCCATTCTCGTGAAGTCCAGTATCGCTTTAGGTTGTTTACCTTTACATGACACGGTATGTATAACGATTCAAATGACAGAAGCTTCTGTAATCTCTATTCGTACTAGATTCTTTATTGGCTTCCCAGTGACACCCTTGCAGCAGCGCTTCTCGATTACATCACGACACAGGAACCTCTACCTGAGCTGTTGACCATAATTCATCCCCGGCCAATCGCATGGAAAGACATAATCGGCAGTATCAGCGACGCCCTTGGGCAGCTTCCAATTGTGTCTTTCCCAGAGTGGTTCGCCAAACTAGAAGCCATTTCCAAGAATGCCTCAGCAGAGGACCTGGAAAGAATCGTCAGTCCATATTTCTTTCCTTTGGAACTGTGACTGATTGTTTTGTGCCGTCGAAGCCTGCGTTGAAGCTTATGCCTTTCTTCCGCTCCACGGCACACGAGAATGCTACAGGAAGGTCAAGGATGGTCCCTAAGTTCGAGAGTAAGAATGCGCAGAAGTTTAGTGAGACGTTGCGAAATGAACCACCTGTCTCCCACGAGCACGCTCACGCGTGGGTGAATTATTGGAAGAGATGTGGTTTCATACCATCGCAGAGCGCAGAACTGCATATTAACAGCAAACTTTAGGATAGCATGACATATATTGGTGATCACATAGTAAGTCAAAGCGTGTAGCTATGCAGACATCAGAAGCCAGGGTAGACATGCCGTAATAATAAGTGCTGACCAAGTAAACCGAAGAGGTGACTGTTAATCGGTAAAGGGAGGCAGATACAGCAACGCGCGTGGGTACACATAACATTACACGAGAAGCAGGCCTTGTAGACGGTTTTGTGTGAGCAGACAAAGCGAGAGAGCAACAACGAAAGCAAAGATAGCACAGCGGCAGGATTATTGACAACTAGGGTATGTGTCATGCAGAAAGCTTGGTTGGATATGGGGATGACGCGTAAAGATTGCTGCAGTTCCTGCAACAGAAAGTTTTCACAAGATGACAGCATACCGGTCTCTCATTAGAGACTTCAATCCAAGATGGGAATATCGATAGGGCGATCGTCGCCTTCAGAGGCACAACCATGGACCTTGAGGGTGAGGATTCCATTCTTAAGCTCTGCAGTAATATCGTCAGGCTGTATCAATATATCCGTGTCAGGTATGTTCGGGCAAGACGGAGATCAAGAACGAACCTTGGTGTCGGGAGGTACCAGGATGGTACGGCCGAAATCACCATATTTTCTCTCTCGCAAAGCCCAGGAGCCATCCTCAGGTCGGCTTGTGCCAGCAATTGTCAAGTGTTGTATACGGCTGAAAGGGCAAACATGCAGAGTGACTTTGATGTCAGATTTTGTTAGACCAGGTAACTCCAGCGTGGCAGTCATCAAGTTCTTCGCCTTGTCGAATTGCAAGTCAGTACGAATATTGAAACGCTTGGAAGTCCCCTGTTGTTGCGCCTCTGTGTGTGGCGTAAGCGACGGACCAGCCATCCTTATGGGAACGCCTCTGCTCAAAGGTTTCTACTCAATGCCTGTGTGTCTACAGTCCGAAGCATCACATACCTAGCATTATCGGAAGCATGGCTGGAAGTTGCAGGCCGGACAGAATCTTGTTGTAGTGCCCGCAGATGCATTGCAGGACATGAGCCTGCCAATCCGCACCCAGCCACTGGGGCTGGAACAGAAGCATGCACGTTGCGGCCATTCCTTTGAGTCGCATGTGTAGGAGCGGTAGGGACCTTATGCTCTGACACAGATATAGGTGGCAGAACACGGGTCACCATTTGCAGTGACTGTGCCCTCTGCGGCTGTGGCGTGAAATGTACACGTTGGTACGAGCTTTTTGAAGAGGATGCCTGACTGGAGGTTGCTGAATCAGTTCGATTTTGCCTATCAGATCACTAAGTCAGTTGACGAAGAAGATGCAATAAGAACAAGCCTAAACTGTTCACCTGACGGGATCGTATCTACGCCGGTTTGTATCTTGCGATCCTGCTGGAGAATATCTCTGTCGGCGTCCTGAATCCTCGTCGTCAGGAGAAGTGGTCATCTCATCTCTCTGACGTCGAACGCCGTGAGTCACTACCGTGGTTGGACGGGGTGCAGGAGGTGGTGGGTGGCGGTAGTCGTCCGGACCTCGCTCATCTCCACTCGATGGGTTCATCGGCACGTCTTGACTGAAGTCGTCTGGACCGAGGACTTCCTGCCAGCGCGACATCATGAAAGTCAAAAAATGACCTGTGGTTGAAGAGGTCTCTGCACAGCGAAAAAAAATCGGATGACTACATCAACCACGAATAGGTGGGAACTGTTGGATTTCACCAAAAGGGCAGGCATGATGCACGGCGTCTAGAATTTCCCCCCTTGTAAATTTGACCGGCAAGGATAAGGTCTATTTCGCGGAACTCATTGTCATTGTTTCTGCTTATCCGAGTCCGGGGGATCGTGAAAAACCGTATGGTAGATCTTAGGTCTTGATCAGAGGTCTTGATTGGAGGAGTTTCAAGATCTTGAAGAGGGTGGCGCCCAACTATAACTTCATGATGATCTCGTCGACGTCGTTGGCGAATTGTCAACATTCAAATTCATGATCTTGCAGAAAAGTTTACCTAAAGAATTTCGACATGTTGAAATGACTCGTGAGTCCCTGGGTGAGTCAGTGGATTGAGCCGGAGGCGGCCACCTTCCTTCATCCCGCGAATCTGCTGTCAATTGCCGCATCCAGACCCAAAGGCCATCAAAATCCCACACTACCGTGATGTGCATGGCTGGAAATGGATGGCATTGGACTTGTTTACCCGCACAATAATGTAGTCGAGGCGAAACACGCCCAATCGACGTTTTATGCAGCAGAATAGATACAAAGTATAGGGCAATCCGAGCCACACGGTCACACACGTGAAATCCAGTTCAGCCAGTGTTCAAACATTCCATCTGCTCTTGCGCTTCGCAGCGATGGTTCGTGCAAGAGACATAAAAGTCCCTCCACCGGCCAAACAGATCTAGCGGTTCGCAAAACGTTAGCTCACCATAAGAAAGTGAAAGTAATGAGAATCTCACCCCGGCGAAGATCGAAGGCTTCCACCATGTCGTATTCGAGCCGAGGAGTGCACCCTCGATGGGTGGGCCTAATTGGAATGAGCAACAGTCATCATAGTATATGAAAGCGAAACTGACCAGCAAGCCCTCCGAATCCGAGAAACGTGAACGCAATCCCCATACGTGCGCTGAAAAAGATAGTAGTGAGCTCGGCAAAACGATCACATATGTCTATATCCTACCCAATCTCAGAGACATCTCGTGACAACGAGGAGTAGACTGGAGCAAGTAGTGTAACAACTATGAATGAGGGTTAGCAACAACATAGTACACATGACGAGGATAACTCACGACCACCACCGAATAAGCCGAATATAACTGAGAACGCCACAGTGCCACCAACAGTCTTCACACCCAATAAGCCAAAAACAAGGATAGAGCAGGAATACATGCAGAAAGCGAGCATGTTTATGACACCAAATCGGGCTGCTACGAAAGTAGGAAGAATCCGACCAATTACAGAGACGCCATTCAGAATCGCCACCTGAAAGAAGTGTCGTCTAAGGAACGTTCGGTCGGGAGTTTAAGAGTACATACAGCGTAGAAAGCAAATGTAACATCGAGGCCATGAGTAATCGCGTTCAATTGAAGATAGAAGAGTGGGAAGTAGAAACCCGTAATGGATAGGATTCCCCTGACAGGAGTTCAGTCATACTGGCACCGGAGATATCTTGATAATGAGGAAGTACTTACCCACACACGGCGCATACATACGCCGAATCGCCAATGAAATCTTTCGCGCTGCCCCATATACCCAGGATCCCTGCTGCTGCCTTCTTGGGCGGAAGACGAGTCCGCATCATGAGGCATGCGATGACTAACAGGCCTAGGTTCATGCCAGCGCTTGCTCGCACCCCTTTGACGAATCCAATCTTGGGGTTGTTGAACATGTTGTTCAGCATGATTGGATGTATCGTCGCCCCCAGCGAAGATCCAGCCGCCACGAAACCCATAGCGATCGCCCGCTTCTTGCTGAAATAATGAGCAACAACGCTCAATGATGGTATGTACGTCATGCCCAAAGCGATGCCAACGCCAAGGCCTTGAGACAGGAAAACCTTGCAGACTGTGTCAGCCTATATGACCATGTCGACAGTTAAGCAACGTACCTGATAATATTGATGAGGCTGAGAAAGCGAAAGCATGAATAAACAGAAGGCGAACAACACAGTTCCCCCAGCCATAAGATAGTAACTAGAGTAGAATGTAACTCAATTAACAATCAATCTTAGTTATTATGAAAAGACTCACAAATATCCCCGGTCAAACGCGGCGCCGGTGATGAAACCAGTGGACAGAACGAGGAGAAGCTGGACGCTTCCGATCCAGCTAGAGCCAGTAGAACGTTGGCGTGAGTTTGAACGGTCATGCAGCATGCACCATACCTGATTTGAGACGATGTCTTATTGTTGAGATATTCTCGGACATAAAAATCTAAGACGAGAACATGTGAGCAGACATCGCTTGGAGCGGATGTGACTGACCTTGATACACCGCAAATGAGTTTGTATACCTTCCAAAAGAGCATAAGAAGGTCGTTCTCGTTGTACTGCAAGTTGACCTACCCAAAGGTGCAGAATTGGACAAGCGACCTGCAAAATCCGTCCATTTAAGTCCACAAACATAAGTAAAGATGGGGGTATACGCACGCTCCAGCGACAGTAAGCCACGCCTGAAGGCCTCCCTCCGGGAACGTAGGGCCAGGAGGTGGCTTCGCTGCCTCAGATGGAGCCTCAGAAACAGCCGGCTCATCGAGTCCCTTCTCGGTGGCGGACAAAGAGTCTGCCTTGGTCTCAGACTGTGGGAAACGTATGAGTACTTGCACGCTGACGTTGTATAGGAGCTGTAACTGACCATTCTTATCACCTGTTACGATTTAAATCCTGAGAAATAGACGAACAGGAGGGTATGGGTTCAGAAAGAGGACGACGGCACCGCGACCTCCTACGAGTTCAGATGAGCAGGTAAGGGAAGTCGCAGCTCTGTTACAGCGTGCCCTGCCTTCATTTTCGAAGTTCGGGAGGTATTCAGATATGTACTTCCTTGAACCTTGTCAAGAATCTGCCGTGTTCGCCGGCCATAGGACCAATGAGGTCCTGCTTCTGGGAACGAAGAATCAGGCAATCAGATATCAGAGGAAGGATACTCTGTTGTAAAAATGGACCAGAACGTGAGGAGAATGTAACACCCATTGGGCGAGTCTCCCAAGCTGATTCGTTCTAACTTTCGAGATTGAAGTTCCCAGCAGATCATTGTAGACTAGGTAAGTTACTTGGGATGGAATTCCTTCGTGGCGTTGACCGTATTCATGAGTCGCCGGGGTCCCGTCCTCTATTTCTTTTGCAGGGCGTCTGGTCAAGCGTCCGGTTACTTACAGTAGTAAGATGGCTTTCCCACGCTTATCCCAATTGCTGACCTCGAGCTCCAATTAAGAAGTTACATTTCTAGCCTCGTAACGTCGGAGTGGAGGGTCGGCTTTCTTTCTTTACTCAAAGTTTAGTTACTCGCAAGCGTATATGACAATGTGACGTAAATACCAGTGCCGCCCGCGCATCTTTCTGAGATGGTCACGCAGTCAGCTGTTCACTAACGGAAGACTGCCTTCCAGCGGTGTGTCCGCAATACCCAAAAGTGAAGTTTCTCTTCATCAACCATCATCTAAACGCGACGGCCTATACAAACAGGAATTTGCTTCTGACCTTTTCACTGGTATGTGACCCTCCAAGTGTCATTTCAGTCTCAGAATAACCTTCGAACATTCTCATAGGATGGTGGAGTATCAGGCTTGTGCTTCTCTCTCCGGATTTCCCATCCGATTTCTGCAGTTACTTGGCGCTACCAATACTGTCTATGTCCGATCTTCCGTTGAGAAATCCGATGAGGCGTCTAGACATTCGGAGGGCTTTGGACTGGTCTGCGCCAATGTGGAACATACCTGTCCTCCGCTCTCGTCAGATGGATGTCTTCTGATACCCTGTTTTCTTGGAAGTGAAAGGCTATTTGAATGCTGCAATCTTTGGGTCCTCTGCCAGCCCAAGCCCACCGATCCCTAGTTGTACCCTTAGCCATGGATCGCACCTTGACAGCTGCCATGTACTCGGAGGATCATCTCCCTGAGTTCACGCCAATGCCTTGGTACGTATTCGGCTATTATACGCGTCGGTTCGCAAGCTCGCGAATTAACGACACAACGTAGGACTTACCAGGATATCCGCGCAGCAATGCCCTCGCATCTCTTCCAACGGGACACAGCTAGATCGCTTCTCTTCCTCGCTCGCGATTTGTTAATGGCGGCCTTAGCATGGAAAGTGGCTACATTTATCGATCCTTACTTCTTGAGCCCTGCGTCCCCAGCTACTCCAACGTCTTTCGGCGTGGAGCTGCTTCGGTGGTGTGCATGGGCTACCTAGTGAGCTAGCTTTTTTCTTTCGACCAAAAGTCTCTGATGAAACATGGCCTCGTAGTTGGTGGTTCCAAGGACTCATTTTCACTGGGTTGTGGGTTATCGGTCATGAGGTAATTCATTGCAAAGCTCACTTTTCTCACATGAGTACTTAACGCGTCGTAGTGTGGACATCGAGCTTTCTCTCCCGATGCCAAGCTCTGCGATGCGGTTGGCTTTGTGAGTCATCATTCACTCCATACACTTCTACATAATATCCCTCAACATTGCCCTGCAGGTGTTGCATTCTTTTGTATGGTTCCCCTACTTCAGCGCCAAAATCATTCATCATCGTCACCATATGGGCAATGGGTCTATGGAGAAGTCAGAACTCTGGGTACCAAAAACCAGGAGTGAGCTGGGGATACCAAACAAACCTCGACATGAAATAGATTGGGACGATTACTTCGGTGATACCCCCATTTACTCCCTTTTGTTAATAATTCGCCACCAACTTTTCGCTTTCCCTGCTTACATCAGTGCGTTGCGATTTTCAGGCCTGTCGTTTGGTTGGTTTCTGATCTTCTGGTAGTGTTTAATATGTCGGGGCAGAAACGATACCCAAAGTGGTCTAATCATTTGAATCGTGAGTTCCTTCTGTCCGTTGTGCTAAGTACTCACCAGGAGGCATTCCGCAGCGAACTCCATCTTCTTCATGACGAAGGAACAACGACATTTGGTAATGGTTTCCAACCTCGGACTTCTCCTCATGGGACAGATTATTCGACTTGCTATCAAGCAATGGGGCTGGATTTCTGTCCTCAAATATTACGGGATACCCTGGCTTGCAGTCACACATTGGATCACAATGTTCACTTTCATACAACATACCGATCCTGTCCTACCACACTATCGTGACAAGGCATGGAACTTCCAACGAGGCGCCGCTTGCACTGTAGACCGAGACTTCCTAGGCTGGCAGGGTCGTTTCTTCCTGCATAACGTCGCTCATGACCACGTCGTCCATCACTTCTTCCCCAAGATTCCATTTTGTGAGTGTTCTCTCTGCTGTGTCAAACTCTTAGCGAGCGTGCCTCGACACTAAGCGATGTCCAAACGTTAAATCCTTATTTTTGTAGATAATGCCCCTGAGGCTACCCGATATTTGAAGGCGTTTATCGGCGATCACTATGTCTACTCTGACGATCCCGTGTTCAAGACGCTCTGGGATACTTTCAATAATTGCCAGTTCGTCGAGGACGAGGGTGAGCATGTGATCATCCTCCTCCGTGTCAGGTTGGATCTAACTCTGTCCACTATTGCAGGTTCGGTTCTTTTCTACCGTGACAAGCAGGGGAGGGCGAGAAGGAGGGCGGCTCTTTCCACAAGAAGCCCTTGAGGACAGGTGCGAACTTTCGACTTGTTGAGAGGACGAGGGAATGGTATGGCTGGAATATACCCTCCTCCTGGTTGTGAAGAATAGAATGTTCATGTCTCATGAGATTTGGTCTCGAATTACGATGGGAATTGATCTTGTTTGCTATGCTGAAGACGTGTGAAATTTAAAGACTGAAATTTGACAAACAACGATGAACATTCGTCAGCATTGTCAAAGCGTGGAAAGCCATCTGCGTTGTATGTTTGTTCTATCAACTGGCCAAAAATACACAATGATTCACATCGCAAGCCCAGTGATTAAGTCTGGCAAGTCCAGAACTATTCGCACGAGTGATTGGTATGCGGTCTGTCTAGCCCTCGGACATCTGCATACGAGTACAGATAACTGCAAACATGTGCTGCCTGCGGTTCTTACTATCCGCGCTTGTCGGGCAGTCTCCATAATTAGAGAACGGAAGTTATGTCTAAGAGCCCGTCTTCAGTACCGTTTGTTCGGCCTTTCCTGTCTTCATCATGAGAGCGGAATTTCACCGGTATCTTAGAACATGTTCGATCAAGTCATCAGGTGGCACATGCATGTGTACAAGCTTCAGTGGCGGATGTATAGTGGAGCGATGATATAGGACGGGTTTATCTATAGAATAGGTGTAATACTAGTCCTAGTATCCGACAGAGACAGGGCATTAGTACTCTCAGAGTGATCGGAAGATCGGAAATGTGTGAGATCACAGAAGTTGCGATTCTAATATGTGTCTAATGTCTTCTCGTACTATCTACCAAGTTCATCCAAGTTTCTTTATAGCTATTTACCCAGGTCCGCTGACGGCTGAAAGTGGCAATTGCTCACGAAAGACTGTCGTTCCGTCATAACCCATTTGGAGAGGTGCAAATAGCCTTCAAAGATTGGATGGACATTATCATCAGGTGGCCTATTGTACCGCAAGTAGTTTTAATCTGAACATTTTTGGTCAAGAATTCATCCCACTAACAAAACATGCACAAGTGTTCCTCATTCCACGACACAACACTCCGAAGTGGCAACCTTAGAGGGAAGGGTTCCATCCATGACACCGTCTCGAATCTCGGATGACTTCCTCTTCACCTCCTCGAGCAATGTCTCTGTATCACATCCCTCCTTGAATTCAATCAATCCCTCTTCAGCCAGCTTGCCCAGTACCTCGCAGATCCACACGATACAGTTAAATGTTGGGTCGTATGGTCGTACCTCGACCTCCTCTACAAGTTTCTCCAGGCCCTCTTTCAAACGATATTCAGGTAAGGGTGTCAGTTTAAGGAGGATGATGAGGCCCATGGAGGTTGGCAGGCCGTGCGTGATGCCGATCTCCTTGAGCCAGCCGAAGCCAATGTTGCGTGCGTGGTACTCTTTGCCACCTTTTCCAGAACGGTGCCAATAGAGGCCATGATGATCCGGTGGGTTAGGATTGCCGCGGATGAAGAGGTACAGTGTAGCGTCTTCCAGGGTGAGTGCCATGATCACTGTTGTGCGTGTTACGATCACTCAGAAAGCTTCAATAGATCTTGGTATCCTCACTCAATGTACACTGTGTTGGTTGGAAGAGAAGGGTGGTTGGACGGATAGGGCAAGAGAAAGGCAACTGATCCCTGCTTTGCCATCAAATTAGATCTTCATCGACCCTTGATCTCTACTGGCAATGACTCGAGCTCTATGCAGCTATAAAGGAGCCAGCATTTCCTGACGATTCCAGTTCTCCTTGAGCTGTCTTCCTTCGATGGCTCCTATCGACACCGTTAGCCCACCTGCGCTGAATTCTGGAACGCTTTACATATGCGTCCGCGCCAATCCTAGTCTCCCTGATCATTGGGGCCTTTACTACCACGAGACACAAAATAGTGGTCGGAAGATGCATATCACCAATCTTGGTCGTGGGTGGATCTATGATGCTGCGACAAGTAGTGGCGTTGGACGCTCCATGGCCATGGTGCTCTTCCTTACGATTGGCAAAATAACGCCTTCGCATTCTTCTACGCTCTTCGAGGTGATTGACGCCACACCGTTGAACACCGGCAAACCAGATTTCAATTGCATCAGCTGGACTTTAGATGCAATAGATCGACTAATCTGTGCGAAGCGAGTGGCACTCAAGCCTGGCTTTACCCTCGACCATCTGGTCAAAGAAATTGATGATGTGACTCTGAATATTAGAGAGGATGTGGAAAAAGGACTGCGCTATGGGATCTCTGGGAGCTCTGACATTTTCGCAATGTAGCGCGGAGCATTACACGGTATGTTATGCTTACATTGAGGTGGAATCCTCAGACTGATAATCATTCAGCTCATGCTATCAATACTTCCACTCCCCGACTGACTCATTTCCACACTCGTCGATTCAACTCCGTATTCATCGCTGCAGAACGTCCTGCACTGTTTGATAATTGTAGCCTAGTCTAAACCAACAAATGCCTTGAACATACTTGAGACGACGTTTACAAAGATAGTGGCCACAGTAGTAGATCCACCTCATATTCCTCGTGATAATCAGGCAGAAAACTTCTGACCATCTCTTGCCACACTGTCGCAAAGTAGCGTGATGGGAAAATGGCACGAGCGTAGTCCCAATATTCGGGCCAAAAGCCGCTCTGACGAGAAGTCAACTAGAGTAGGATGAAAGTAGTGCATAGCTTACGCACCGTTTCCCAGTCAACTATGCCAGTGACCCTCCCTCCGCAGATGAGTATGTTTGCTTGGGCCAAATCACCATGCGCAAAGCAGACAGAGTGAGGCTTGGCGAGTCGTTTGGTGACGATCTCCTTCTGATCCGGGTACTGAATAATTGCGGAACCTTCATTAAGGACAAAGTCGTTGAACTCATTTTCGTCAATGAAAGGGCCGCATGAAAAGCGACGGAAGCGATAGGACTGGAGATGGCCACCGGCGAGGGAGCATATTTTGCTGCCCCAAGGACTGGGAATGGACCGTAGTTGATCAAAGTAGTACTTGAGATCCCGCGCAATCTTTACCACATCTGCGTCAGAAAGATTATTCTCCCCGACGTCCATGATTGTGCGACCAGGGACTTCAGTAATTAACATAAGGTCAATTTGACAATGACTCCCACCGGAATGGGAATTAGTGTACGTTCGCACACAATCGATGACCCTTGGCGCTGGAATGTCGGTATTACGTGCCAGCCAGCGAAGAACGGCGGCTTCATTCGAATTCTCATCTTTGACCTTTAGATAAAGACCAGGAAAGATTTTCCGAACCGATTGGGTCCCCGTCTCAGGTCCGTACCGAAACTTTGTACTGAGTGCCAACGCTTTCCAGTAGATCCAGATGCGTAGACGAGTTGGAAGAAGAGTCCAAATCCATAGCAGGTTACTGGTGGCGAAACCGTAAGGATTCCGATTGCGAACTGCTGGAGAGAATGGTATATCCTGTGGCCAATCGCCGTAGCGAGGCAGCGTATGCTTGTCTAGGGTGTGCGCATGTTAATCGTGCGGGGACTTGCAGAGCATTTGTTGGTTGCCGGACGTACTGTTCATAGCGGCAAGTAGCACACTTGTGAGTACGAGGCCGCAAAAGCGAGTTTGAATTGAAAGGTCGAGACGTTCTTTATATACCGAAATGGAAGTGTTGAGCCCTATTTGTCCATAATGAAGTTTAACGCCGCGCTGCAAGTTCGCAAACTCAATCATATTCAAATGGACATGGTCATGGTTTTCACAATCTTTTCGGTCACAATGACGGTCGCTTTATGCCTCTGTTAATGGCTTAGATCCAGCCACTATACGGGAAGCCAGTCGTTCCATACTATATAACATTCTTTCTCTTTGGAAGGATGTAAATGTTGTCCAGAACTTAACGTACAGCAAATGCTGATCACTTTGAGTGCTTTGAATATTAGACGCGTATGTACTCCAAACAAGTTCTCCTCATCTGGGTCTTTATAACTTTCTACTGCCCACAGGACTGTAACTTATTTTCTTGAAATTCCTTGCTGTACCTCCGGAACAGCGGACTCATCTGCTTCAAATGCCTCCAACTTCCTGGCACAGAGCTCCCACTCACAACACTGCACAGTTCCAAGGCGCAAAATGGAGATACCGAATCAGTCTTCCTCTATAGCGGCTGAAACTGAGCCTCCTACATCAGCATCATGGGTTAGACTGGGACGATTACTTTGGTGATGCACCTATTTACTCCTATGATTACTGGTTCGCCACGAAGCTCTCGCTTTTACCACTTATATCCACGGGACGCAAGAAACCTTCTGCGGTTGGTACAGATGCGATGCGAGTGACGAACACTTTGGCACCCTGCATTATTGTCTGTCCTCCAGGCAGACTTTTGATGGCGCCTTACGTTTCCCAACGCTGATTGGTCAACTCACCCTGCAGAGTTTAAATCTCTCATCCCGGACAGATACATTGACATGGTGCCAAAATGGCGTCCTGTCTGCATGGAGTCTTTCTAGAAGGCAGACATGCTCATGTTTGCCGTGATCGGTGCGTTGCGATTTTTAGGGATACTATTGCGTTTCTTTTGCCTATCTGACATTGTGCAACATGTTAAGACAGAAGCGGTGTCCAAGTGGACGAAATGTTTGAATCATACGTTCCGAGTGCCGGTCTTCCTCTCCGTTGTATATAGTACTAAACTAATCAATAAGCTTTCGATAGTGAATTTCATCTTCTATATGACGGAGGAGCAACGACATTTGGTAGTGCTTCCCGGCCTGAGTTTGTTCAGCTCGTCCGACCTAGGACATATCATTCAATTTACCATCAAATGGGAGTCAATTTCCGTCCTCAAGTATTACGGCTCACCCTGGTTTACAGTCAGACTTTAGGCCACAATGCTCACTTTCATGCAATATACAGATCCTGTCCTACCACAGTACATACTATCATTACAGGGCATGGAACTTCCAACGTGGCGCCGCTTGCACCGTAGACCGAGATGTTCTTGGCTAGCAGGGCCGTTTCTTCGTGCATGACATCACTCATGACCACGTCGACCATCACATCTTTCGCAAGATTCCATTTGGTGAGTATCCTCTCTGCTGTGTCAAACTCTTCTCGACACGAAGCGATGTCCAAACGTTAAATCCTTATTTCTGTGGATAATACCCCCGAGACTACCCCCGAGACTACGCGGTATTTGGGGGCGTTATCGGCAATCGCTACGCTTGATTTGACGATCATCCCGTGTTCAACACTCTGGGATACTACCAATTGGAATTGCCAGTTTGCTGATGAAGGTGAGAGCGTGACGCCTTTGCTCCCCTCCGTATCGTATCGGATCTAACTCTGTTCACTATACAGGTTCGGTTCTTTTCTACTTCGAAAGGTATAGCAGGGCGAGAAGGAGACCAGCTTTTTCCACAACGAGGTGATCTCGAATTACTATGGGAATCGGATGCCTGTTTGCCATGCCGGAGACGTGTGAAAATCGAGGATCAGAAATTGACAAAGAACGATGAAAATCATGCCGTCACCATTGTCAAAGCCTGGAAAGCCATCTGCGCTGTAAGTGTACTCTGTCAAAACCTTCAAAATGTTAGATGATTTACATGATAAGCCTAAAAAAGTTTGGCCATTCTAAAACCATTCGCACGAGTGATTGTTATACAGTCTATCTAGCTTTTGGAGAATTGCATACGAGTCCGGCAGATAACAGCATACATGTGATGCCTGCGATTCTTGCCATCCGCGCTTGTCGGGCGGTCTCCATAATTAGGATACGGAACTTGTGTCTAAGAGACCATCTTTACCGCGCGGTTTGCTCGGCCTTTTCTATCTTTGTAGAACAAAATTCCACCGGTGTCTTCAACGAACATGCATCGATAGAAAGAGCGATAGAGGGCATAGAACGTGTTCTATCAAATGATTATTAGTCATGTAGAACACATGCACATGTATAAGCCTGCGCGGCAGACGTACGGTGGAGTCATAATTGTAGTCCTCTTTGAGCACGGGCTTAATCGCTTCCGTTACTTCTGGCTGATTGTCTGGATATCATCAATATCAAGCAATCAAGCTAAACAAGGAGGCTGATCTCACAGAAAGGAATTGTTGGGAACAGATGGTGAGCGACATGATCATGCGAAATCTGAATGACTGAAGTGAGCAGGGTGTCTCGAAACTCGACGAGATAGCATGCTCACGTTGTGTAGGAAAAACCGACCAACCCAACCCAGTAATGGTCGGTCGACAGTAGCCAGAGCGCCACGCAGCCAGTTCCATTCGCCAGAACGGAAATGCGGTAACGTCGGATCCGAATGTTGCAGATAAGTGAGCATCACTATCCAATGGTTAGTTATCTTCGGTGCAGATATCAGTAAGACGTAACTGAATGAGGTTGATGTTGAACTTACTAGATACGGTATCAGATAGAATTTCACGACGCTGGAAATACCAGCCACATTGGCCCACCAGAACAGAAAGGCGGACATGAAGAGTAATCCGATGTCGGACCCGATTATCAACCATCTGTCCTTCGGTCTGAATAGAGGCGAATTCGGAGAGAAATGCTATGGGAAGAAATCAGAGTACGAATAGGTCGATGCGAGCAATGCGTCCATACGTTGGTTCCTTTCGGATATGCTCGGGAGCCCATCGTGTTGAACAGCATGTAACACGGGAAACCCAAAAGCTGCATACACACAAGACGAAATAACACGAAAATCGGGGCATCTTCTAGGAGCTCCTCGTAGTCCTTAACTGACGCATTCTGTTCATCAGGAAGCTGCAGTTCTGACCGGGTAGGGGGCACAAAATTCTCGTCTCTTTCTAGAGAGTTGGTGAATTTCTGAAGCTCATGATCAGATGAATTCTGTAGGTAAAGACAGGGCATACATGATGGAGATAATGAGTATGTCGCCAAGCAAAATGCGGAACCAGGAGAAATGTATGCAGTGTGAAGCCAATTGCATAGTTCGCCTGATAATGGTCGGATAGATTTCCGTGGCCCGCCTCATGCGCTAGATATTGACGATTAGCATTTGTGAGGGCAAACTGGCGCTAGCTGGTGCAACGCACCTAAACACCAGAAACCAGTCCACGCTATACTCTGCCAGTACCAATACGTGACCCATAAGAGGCTACGAACAATGGTAGACCGAGTCAATGATGATGCCGAGTCAATGCATGTAGCGAGGTAATAGAACAGAGCCGAAAATGCAACATCTCTAGCGACGTATACCAATGAGCGGCTAAGCTTCTTCGACCGTAGGTAAGGAGGCACAACTGATTGGATCTCAGAGAACTTCACTGGGGACGGCACGAACGGACGAGCTCGACGTTTCTCGTAGTTTGGGTCGTTCATTGCCGGGACAATATCGAGGGGGAACAACAAGTTGTTGTGTTCACAATTGAAGCCCGCCCAAGAACCTTAAGGAGCAAAATGAATGGTAATCACATCATGCTTCGAGAATTGGGAAACAGATGCGGAAGGAGAAGAAGTCGGAGGCGCGGCTTTCGGACAGATAAACGCATGATTGGTAAGTGAATCATCAGTCCGAGAAGCACAGTCCAAGCGTGTAGTGACTGTCAGCGTTTTCATCAGACTGGACAATAGGGCACAAGCCTTAAGATCTTACGGACCAAAAGCCCTTTCAATGTAGCCACGACAGATACCACGAACAGCTTCCGACCATGTAAAAGCGCCCATACGGTAAGTATGATCGACTAGGACCTCTGACACTCTGATTATTCACCCTGCATCATAGCACCTCTTCCTAACTTCAACCAGTCGCTTGAACAGACTCATTTCTCTCCAAGTTCATTAAGACTCGGATCTACGTATATGTATATGGGTAACCAGGAAGATATACGATTAAAATAGTGGTCGACGTGCTGAGATTGGATGTCCCGTAAATCATCTTCATGCAAGTGGAGCAAACTTCCCGGAGTGAGTATCTGTCAACTCATGCTCTTCAACACGCAGTTCACCCTGGTATGACTGTCGTTCAAGTAGCATGATGATCAGTCTAAGTCAACGTCGCCGCATTCTCAAAGCTTACTCTAGTACTGATGATATGGTCGTGGTCAATCACCTTCGATGTCTCCTGGTAGATCTCAATATGACGCTGCTAACGATTGTTCAACAAGATGCCCGCATGTGCCGAATAGCCACTGTTCTCACCATGGGAGTAGGAGCATTATTTGACCGTACTCGATCAGATAATTCTGAAGACTTGTGAGTATTGATCTTGCGCCGAAGAATTTGTCTTGCGTTCAGTCTGTCGGCAGATAGTGATCAACACCGTGGCCCAGGAAGGAAAACTGTAGAAGCACGCACGTTCCAAGGAAAGAATTCGCGTACACTGTGTCCCAATAAGTGGCAATTGAAAATGTCGACGACACCACTTACATTTACTGGACATTTGGACAAGACCTGCAAATAACAAGCTCTCTTTCAGAAATACGAACTGAGGAACTATCAGTCATTTATCCCTTGGGAGTTGATGTGAAGAAACCCACCGTCAAAACGATGGCGATTGAGACAAGCCTGCAGACTATTCGGTTAAACCAGTCCGCTGAAAGGGAAAGGACTTGATGACAAACATGGTGATAGCTCCAGTGTTGACCGCGTATCCCATGAGGGAATGGATCATATGGTCAGTCCTATTCAGAATGCTCATCAGTGATACATTGTACATATGAGTGATTGACAAGCACGCACTCCTTGAACCCAGTACGACTCTTGTGGAGATAGTACATCAAGATGCTTGCAATAAGTAGATCGACCGCAGCTGAGAGCGCAAGGCCAGTGCTCAGAGTGAACTGGAGATATCATGCATTCGACCAACTGAATGAGTAGCTTGAAACAGAAAACTCACCAAAGGTCCAACTTTAGCGCGGAATACACCCCAGGTACCAAGTTTGTACGTTAAAGCAGACGTTGCCAATCCGAATGCTGAATCAAAAGTTGTCAATAAAGCAAAAGCCGGTGTGGAACTATACTCACAAACTCTCAACAAGAGGAGGAAACCCTAGATTATCGTTCAGCCTCAGATGATATCCGTTGACCGCGAGACATATTCACCGTTATTGCGGTCAAAGCAATGTTCTGCTTGCTTACTGGATCCGTGAATCAGTAATGTTTCATGAGATATCGGAAACATGCTACTCACAAACATAGATTCGCCTGATGTAGAATCTGAAACGGAGTAAGTATTTAGGAAACAAAACCCAGTCGTGACGATACGACTACCCTTGAGCGATGGCGACAATAACCATCTAACAAAGCCAGTCAGCAATGAAGCCAATACCCGAATCAAGGTTACGTACTCCAGTCGTGACACATGCCTGACGCGAGTATCTGTCAGTATGAACTTGATGCATTGTCACAGAATACGCACCCCGGCGCTCCTGGACAATCAAAAGGTCAATCTCGTAGAATGAAACCTAGGCCAGAGACACTCACCAGACGATGGTGCCGATGGCAGCCACTTGTCCAAAATCGGTAATGAGATAAACATACAACATATGAATCGTGAAGATCGTATGAATCGTCTCAAGTGCCCTGTGAAAGTGTTGGAGCATGTAATAATCCATTGACGAGAAGCTACCTACAGAACAGAAGCCACCCCACCCTTGAGCAAGGAAGAGTCTTCTTGACCATAGTTTAGGAAGTAAGTATAGACTTGCGAGATGGTGATGCCGTAGAGTCTGAATGTACGAAGATCAGCATCGACGTCAGAGAGAAGCCTATGGATCTAAACATACATACATGAGGGATATACATATCTCTATGAGAAAGCCACTCATGAGTTCTTCAATTGTTGGACCTTCAGCCATGGCAAAACAAGGAGGCTACGGGGAAGGAGGTACAACCGGGGGTACGGAGACAGAGTTGCACAACATCAACCCATCGTATCGGACAAATTATATGTAGACAAAGCTATCAGTCCTGTTAATCGGGGAGAGCGCCACAAAGCCAGCGTTCGTTTCGAGGACAATCATGCGTCGCATCATAGAAGCTGAAAGGGACAATCTTACAGGGTGTCAAGGGTAGCGTTTACATCGCAGCATTGTGCATGGACCTGTCAGTATCCATGGTCAGTGAGAAATGGTAAGACGTAATAAGCAGTTGATATGAACATACCTGTGCTTTTGAACGGAGAAGGTAATCGCAAGTAAAGCAAATATTCATCGAGATCAGACTTGCTCCGTTATGGACGTGACCATCAGCTGCATTCCACAGAACGCAAGGTGCTCTCGTCTTCACATCTCTTCTTTAACAATCGACTGCACTTGTTCGGAAAGAGCCATTGCCACGAGCCTCGGAGTTGCGACTGCGCGTCTCAATTCTCCGTTCAAACCAGTCGGATATAGACGCGACCTCCTACAAGGTTTGATACTGGCAGGCACTGAGAAGGTTGGGGATGTACAAAGGCGGCATATCATCCGCCCGCTGTATCAGACGATAGGCGTCTCAGGCTGTGCCTAACAGTCAATGAGAATGATTGTCCCCATTGGACATGATACGTGTCGACGAGTATTTCAGTTTGTAAGATAGAACAAGGCTGGTTTCAGGAAGGTATACCCGTATACGACGAGCTGCAGCGCGAGGTCTCGATATAATGCCAGACGGTGAAACTGAGAAACTCACTGAAGATAACTAGCGAGCATGACATCGAGAGGAATTTCTATGGTGCCTCATTCATTGCAACCAGCATCTCATGAGAGCTGAGAAATCTACATTGAAATGGCAGGCATTCGAGAGCTATTAATGGCAGGCAACTTCTTTTGATGAGATAAACATCAGTGCAACGGTCAATAACAACAATAGCGTCACCACCAAAAAAGAACAATACTCACCAAGGAGGCCCTCACTGCTCTAGGCAATCCACCTCCCGTCACGGGGGCTGTGCTGGTGTGGTGGGTGTAACATAGGCTCGCAGTCTCTAAAACAACCAGTTGTGCTCATCTTAGGCGGTAGGACGGGCCATAACGGTGGATCATTAATTTCTACTTTTGATCGACACCGTACGATCGTGATCGTTGCGGCCTATGGCAAGAACGAAACAAACAAAGTAACATTCTAAAGGCTACTGTATCGCAGAATCCAAACAAAACTGTCATACTACGTACTAGAGCAGGTAGCCTAAACATTACAGCATTAAAATGAGTATAGTCAACCTCGTATACATCAAGATCCTAAGTTGCGTGAATATCGTTCAAAGGAAATTAGTTCCCCTGCGCTTTACGAGTAGCATCCGAGCCATTATGAACAGGCCAGTACCGACTGCTACACAGCACTATATGACGGTGATCAGTTATCAGTTACATGGACTGCACTGAATACTCACGCCGCTGAATACGATTGGCCTCCACCAACGATTTTGGGCACCCAAGAGCGCCGCACCAATGGGAACACCTGTGAAGATAATTTAGCGTAAATCTTAGATACGGCCACCGGCGCATTCGGCTACTCACCTAAGAAACCGCCAATGCCTTTGTAGCATAACAAATTAGAAACTGAAATAACTACGATCACTGCGGTGACGACATACCGTTAAGCAAGTGACAGATTCCCATACGGGCTCTAAGAAAGCGACAGCCGTATCAGCAGCTGATAGGGGACCTTGTGAGACTGTGTGACATACCCTACTTCAGATATATCCTCGGCGAACAAGGCTAGCATGGGTGAGATTAGGGCGACAACTATGTAGATCAGTCAGACATGAGTGATAGAGGGCCATCGTTGGAGACTTACAGGCGCCAGAGAAGAATCCGAAGAGGATACCAAAGGCAATGGTACTGCCCACTGTCGTGACACCGATCATGCCGAATTGCATTGCGACAATACCGGTCGTACATATGATCATGGTGTTGAATAACCCGAAGCGTCGACTAAGCCAAGAGGGAATTATACGTCCAAAGAAGGACCCGGAATACAAGATTGCAAGCTGTGTGTGCGAGGGCGAGTCAGCAAGCAACATTATAGGTAGCCATTATGTACTTACAGTATCGAATGCGAATGCGGGGCTGAGACCACGAGTAATGGCATCGAGTTGCAGGAAGAAAATTGGGAAGAAACTTCCGAGAACGATAAGGAACGACCTTGGCGAAAAAGGTGAGCATCGGCTTCGGATGAGTGACAACCAACATGACTTACCCGATGAGCGTAAGGACATAGGCTGGATCCTTCACGAAGCGTCTGGATTGTGACCAAATCGCAGACGCACCGATGCCTTGCTTGGGAGGCAACCGGGTTCTGATGAGTGCACAACCGACGAAAAGCACGCCAAGGTTCAGCCCCGCACTTGCTCGCACACCTTTAGCAAACCCGACCGACTCAAAGAGACGATTGAGCATTATAGGATGAACGATGCCTCCGATGCAAGACCCAGATGAGGCAATACCCATTACAAGAGCCCGACGTTTCTCAAAGTAATGCGAGAGAATACCCAATGCAGGCACATAGGTCAGGCCTACACCTAGACCAGCACCGAGTCCTTGCGCCAAGAAGACCTAGAAGTAACGTAAACGCTATCCATCATTGCATTCAAATCGGAGCGTACCTGATACCACTGGTGAGGGTGAGCCAGCGATAGCATGAAGAGGGAGAACACAAGCAAGACACTGCCGCTTGTATTAAGGAGATAGCTGGAGACGCATGAGAGTAAGTCGGAATAGTGCAAGTGGCATGACATACAAATATCCTCTATCGAGGCCGTATCCAGTAAGAAAACCTATGGACAATACTAGCAGGACTTGAATACTTCCAATCCAACTGTTTTAAGGAAGTCAGTTTCATAGAAAAACATAAAAATGCCGCCTGATATTACCTGATATCGGACGATGTTTTATTATTCAGGAAGTCCCGAACATAAAAGTCTATCAAAACAAGTGAGATCATGACGTGCATTTCCCAAAAGATTGTGAATAACCTTGGAACACTCCGAACGATTGCGTGTAGCTAGACACGAGATGATCAATGTCAGGAAGGAGTATAACTAAGAGAACAATACATACCCGAAGGTCGAGAATTGGACCAGCCAACTATGTAGTCGTACTGTTGTTAGATCATGATCAGTACCAACCACTAGATGACTTACGCTCCGAGCACAGCCAACCAAGCTTTCAAGCCACCCTCGGGATAGGTTAGCTCTGGTGTGCTACTCCGCTCAGACGGTGGAGTAGATTCGACTGCCTTCTCGATGCTGCTCAGAGTATCAACCTTTACGTCGGACTAGAAGCATACAATCAATGATTCTGCACATCGAGGTCAACAGTCAGATCGAAGCTTACCATGGTGCACTAGAGGTCGAAGAAGGGCCTGAAAGAACTTCGCAGTGATTTCCAGCATTAAAAGGAGGGCTCAAAGATGCCATCTTCACACAGTTTTCAGCTATCAAGGGGTTGCAAGATCAAGGTTCAGAACATCTTCTGGTGGTCTGACGGTGAGGCACTGATCACACCATAAATATGGCTCCAAACTTCTTAATGATACGAACCTGAACCGCTGGAGGACCTGAAAACCCGGTGGATAAGAAGGATTGGCCTGTCATGTGTCAACCGAAAGATCGCATTGAGCACATCAATCCACGCCAAGATCAGCCTGGGCCGGCTCAATCGTGGATTGAGGGAAGGTTCAATCCTACCCGTTGCCACATGAATGACATGTGCCCGTACATTTATGCAAATTTCAGATCTGTCTCGCACAGAATGGGAGTTTTGTTTCCAGTTCTTCCGTCAGTTATCACTTTGACAGATGGAGAAAGGATAGCATACGTACACAAACAACACCCATGAGACTCTGGGGGCGGCTGCCGGTTACCAATGTATCATAGAACGGCGGGATCTTTCCGACAAGTCGATCCCCTTCTTAGCGTGCCGTACGCAGCGATAAAGAGTCATGAGAATTCATTCCATTAGTTTTGCGAGCGCGCGTTTGCCAGATGAGAAGTTAACTCAGTTCGATACATAAGAAAGAAGCAGGCCAGGCAGATTTCGACGTGAGGCCCGGGAACAACGTTGCTGTAACAAGACAGCTGTCATATCGTCACGTTGAACGTACTCGAAACTTGGAACAAACACGGTCCTGTCGTGATCCGGTCACACGTCCTCTTTATAAGCAATTTTGGAGAACGAAAAAACTGAGCAAAATGGGCGGTGTCAAATCTGTTTACCGTTGAGTCGAGTGCTTTGTGGCGTTCACCCCCGTGGAAATATGTTTCCCTTTCCGTCGTCGCTGTAGGATGCAGTGAGCTCATAGGCGAGAACGACCATTTCATCCTCCCTCCAGTACTAGGAGCTTGTGGTCATAGAATATGTCGCTCTCACTAGTATCGAACTCATATTTAGATGACCACTCTTCGAAGATTCGCGCGAAGCCTGTGCCATGGGAGGTACCGCCTTCATAACTTCATTGTTACAACGACACCCAATTAAGACGCATTGACAGGCATACCAACGCGCAGGTTTGGTGACTTCGGACGAGCTGACACTCATCAAGAAGGTCGATAGGCAACCTCGGGCGAAGATTGACAACCTATTTCTGTCTGATGGACCAACCTATGCGCAACTATACCTACGGTTGCTGAAGAAGCTGCAAAGAGCTGACACTCAGCAGTTCATCCTGGTGCTTATTGCTGATGCATTAGCTGGTATGTGCCAGTGATGTCTTGAAGACTGCCATCCGTAAACTAGCTCTCAAACGTTTTCTAGATCATGAAGAGCGAATTAAGCTGTTCACTAGCGCATCCGAAACGGACTCCGAACTACCTTACGGTCCTCTACAACGGTGTGTTTCAGTGCGCACCGAATACCCAATTTGCAACTGAGGAATATGCAGCATGCTTGAATCACAGGATGACTTTCTGCAGATGAAGGCTGTTCAGATCTTAACTATCCTCCTGAGGTGAGGGTCATCCCGATACTACCGAATCTCTCAAATCAACTTCTTGCCTGTAAAAGCGCAGATCCCGCTCCTATTCAACCGCAAAGACTGCAACCTTTTCTCAATACCCTCGCCACCTTCATTTCGCATGCATTACCACACAAACGGGATATTGCTGTGCAATGTCTGGAGGCCATTTTGCCGCGTCCTGAATGCAGAAAGGCAGTATGGGCGAACCCTTCGCTCATCCCAGGGTAAGTTCAAGCGAGCCATGACCGCGTTGTTTGCAGGACGGCACTAAGTGATACAACTCTCGGAAAGTTTAGACTCGTGGAGATCCTCAAACAGAACCCTGGACCACAGATGTCCTACCAAGTTGGATTTTGCTTCTGGCTATTGACGTTCCAGCAAGAGATCGCAGAGCAAATTGACAAGAAATTCGATATCATCCCTCTCCTCACCACTGTCGCTCAGAACGCAGTCAAGGAGAAAGTTATTCGCGTGATCATAGCGACTTTCCGGGTGTGTTCTGTCCTTTGTATCATACTAGGTATTCCTATTGACTCTAATTTCTTTTCCGTACCTTCAGAATCTCGTAGCGAAAGCCCCAGCGGCGAACCTGCCGTCAATGTTGGTGGCACAACTTCTACCGTTCGTGAAGAACCTCGGAACGCGTAAATGGACAGACGAAGATATTGTCGAGGATGTGCAGTACCTCCGTGAAGAGTTGAATGCACGATTCGAGAGTTTGACGTGAGTGTCTGCTTCCTACGAGACCATGTTGGAACTAATAGAATATATGCGGACAGAACATACGACGAATACACATCCGAACTCCTCTCAGGCCACCTATCATGGTCACCTGTCCACGAGTCAGACATGTTTTGGAAAGAGAATGCTCCTAAATTGAATGACAAGGACTACGAGCAGCTCAGGTACGCGCTTTCCTTACAATCAGCATTTCACCTCAGACACTCACACCATACATCGTGTATTCAGGCTCCTCATCCGCCTGCTCCAAGAATCGTCCGACCCTACTGTCCTTGCAGTAGCCGCACACGATCTAGGGCAATATGTTAAGCATTACGAACGTGGCAAGATGTAAGCCCATTTCATGTTCTCGTTCCGCTAACCATTGATCCTTTCCATGCAGCATCCTCACCGACCTCGGCGCAAAGACACGAGTCATGGAACTCATGGCACATCCTAATCCTGATGTACGCTACCAAGCCTTGATATCAGTTCAGAGGCTTGTCAGCCATCCTTGGGCGGCAGTCTGAACATTCCATTGACGGACAATCACATTAGGGGGTGTTGTAGTATGTTAGTTAGGCGACTATACGATCAGTTGATACCAGGACGATACTAGCTAGTGAATAGTGAAAGCTGAACAGAACGGATCTTCTTGACTCGGGGTGTGAAAGTGCAAAACATTCAAAGCATAAATTTGCTTGCATCGTGATATCGCTCTGCCTCGTCTTAAATATGTCGATATGTTGTCTATTGGGCGTTGTGATGCGACGATCTCTGACACAGCAGTCCCCTTTCTAATCATCAAGTATGTTTGTCAGAATATCTGGCCAGTGAATCCCAGCCTCAGCCTGGCGCCGCAATGCATTTTGAATCACCTCGGATTATCATTCGGCCCCAGCCCTTAATGAATTTCCGCCAACCAGTAAAGTATGTACATTTATCCAAGAATAGGAATGTTGAGTTGCCCAAAAACAGAACCGCCTGAGGGGATTGATAGGTCTCGAGGAAGAGGGAAAAGAGAGATGTAGTAACACATAACCTGAGGACAAAGAACAAAAACAAAAATTGACCATGGCCTAGGTCAGTCCGAGGTTACAATTGAGACACTGACGACTGGCAAAAGCGCAAACAAGAGAGAGGTAGGGTAGGAGGGAAGGGGAGAAGGTGGGAAGGTGTGGCTCGACAGTGTAGGAGGTGAAGGAGAGAAAAAGCAGTGTGATGGGCCAAAGCCATCCCAGAACTCGAAAGGGAAACGATATGAACGACAAAGAAAGAGAATACAGGCGTGGACGGAGGGCCGAGGAAAGCGAAGACGGGCCATTGGGCTGCTCTTGAGGATCGTTTAAACGAAGGCTCTGCCGCCGCCTCGCTTCGTATCGATTCTCTTGAATCGTTCCGCTTCCATTCTCTGCAAACACGGACAAGTCATCAGTGAGTAACTCAGATTCAAGATCAAGATCCAAATGAACGACGCCAAAATGGTAGTATAACAGACCTTGTTGATGATGCAAATTGATGCTAGGAATAGGCAAATGAGGATTGCCATGAAGCCGTAGATCTGACATAACAAGGGTAAGTGTTTCCATATCACTACAGCTGATGGGAGTTAAGGCTTACGGTCCTACGAGACAACGGACAACAGATGAGTAAGAAATTTTTATCAAAAGGTTATGACGAGAAAACAGGCGTACGAGAATATATTGTTCAACATCGGATCAGTGAAAGCTGTTATGGGCCTCACGCAGCGGAATTGGTCCGGATCGGTTGCGTTGACTAGGGTGTCGACAAACGTCTTGTTCGCACAGAAGCCAGTGAATTCGACGGTGTCGTTTTGCAGAAAATATCCGCAGCATTGGAACTACGACAACCAAGTGAATATCAATTGCAGTTGCGAACCGTGGTATCCGTCCGATGTCACGCACCTTTTCCTGTATCTGAATTCTAACGTCTGGCGTCGTCGATTGCCACACCCCAAAGTAGTGATTGCGCTCCTGGAGAGTGGAGAACCAGATATAGGTACCAATGACGATCACTGCTATACTGTCCGCTATGAGGACCCAGTTGAGCAAAACGAGCCCCCCGGTGACATGATTCCTCTGGACGATTGCGAATATAGATATCGCGAATGTGATTAGGAGCATAATGCCAAGGGCAGTTCCAGCTTTGAAAGAAATGGTTTGCATGAACAGGCCGAGACGAAACAAGAGTAATATGTGGACATACCAGTCAACTCGGAGGCGTCCATAGTGAAATTGATCATCAGGTTAGGAGCTTTCCAGACCAAGGACATGATAAGTGAGAGCACTCCAGCTGCAAGCAGCCATACATCGACGAATGCCCAGCATCCCAAAAGAACCTTGGAGACCATGTTGTTCTATTTGTGTGGTTACGGACTATCAAAACCGGGGGAACGAACTGTTCAGGGTGGATGCCGGTTTAAACCAGAGGAGAGACCTTACGAATGGCGGAAGTAAGGAATAGAGGAAGTTCTGAAGAGACAACTCCTAGTGTTTGGCGGCGAGAAGGGAGCTCTTCCAGAGAGTGGACGCGACAGAGGAGGCTGCAGCACCAGTTTGCAGAAAATGAAAGGAAACCAGGACGGTCAACGTCTGAAAGACGGAAAAAGGTCAGTAAAGACCCAAAAAGTGAGAGACCCGAACGAAGAAGAGGATGAGAGGAAAGAAGAAGGTGAACTGCCTACCAGCACGCTAAGAACGTTTCACGATAACCTCTGGGGCGGGAGGAAATGATGATCAAGTGTGGTCGCTCTGCGTTCCGGTGGGTAATATCTGGACAGCACTGCCGTTACTATGGCCACAACAGTAGGCCACGGCCCGCCTAGAGCTACCTTGAACAATGCATACTTTTTGAAATAATGTACATGTATACAAGCACAACGAAAGGTCGACGGTGTAGATGTGCAACATTGTATTTCTACTGGTACGGTACATGCTCATCCACCTGAATACTTCACTACTGAGACATAATAATGATCGGAAGCCGAATCCAGTACCGTGCGTCAGACCAGGCGCCCGGATGAGAGCAGGAGCCAGCCGGGACATGCCGGTAGTCGGTCACTGGCAGCATCAGTGACAGGCATGGCAGAAGAAATTAAAATATTGCTTCATCTGCAAGCCTGACTTCGATTGAAATGCCAATTCCCAACGTCGACTCCCTCTCTGGAGGTTCTCTCCTTCTCGCCTGGCAGCTCAAAGACAAGCATGTATTAATCATCGGTGGTGGCGACGTTGCATCTGGTCGAATTGAATCTGTCCTCGTCGCAGACGCACGCATCACCCTCATTTCCCCGAGCCAAGGTCTCCATCCACTAACCAAACAATTTATTGATGCTACAGACCGAATCACCTACTATGATCGTTCTTTCTCTGGTCCCGATGATCTCGAAGGTGTGGACATGGTTCTCACCGCAATAGACGATGTCGACGAGTCGAGGCGTATTTGTGCACTGTGCCGAGAGCGCAAGATTCCCGTTAATGTTGCGGACATTCCTCCATCATGCGATTTCTACTTTGGGTCACAAATTCGTAGTGGTCCTCTCCAGATTATGATATCAACAAACGGGCAGAGCCCCAAGTTGGCAAACATTATCAGGAAGAGGATTGAAAAGTGCTTGCCGGAGCAGGCAGGGGAGGCAATTGAGAAGGTTGGGGAGTTGAGGAGCAAGCTGCGAGAGAGGGCTCCTGGTGTAGGCGGTCAGCTTGGAAAGAGACGGATGCGGTGGATGGTGGATGTATGCACATCCTGGGATCTCGAAGACTTGGCGCTACTGGATGACGAGATGATGAACAAGTTGCTCGACGACGGATGGGAGAAGAACGCGGTTCCGAAGCCAGAGGATGTTGGTCTGCAGCACGGCTTACTCGATTTTCATTCGTGGACCTCGTTGGAAACAGTCTTGCCCACATCTCTCGGTTTCCTGACTGGTGTCGCGCTTACAGTAGGATTTCTCTTGACTCGAAGGAGATCGTAGTTGTCGGAGCCGGAGGAAGCGAAAGGTTGGAGATTGTAACATTGGACGGTAGAACGAATTGGAAGAAGTCAAAACATAATGATCGGCCTGGAACAATGCCCCCACTAGACGTATATAGCCATTCTCTTGCATCGGAACCACACAAATTGACGCATTTATGACCATAATGACCAGTAAAAGAGCCAAATCATGCACACCGCAATTGAAACTTGGCAGATCTCCATAAAGAATGGATATTAGGTAGACGCCCAGTTCCTCGCGGAGGCGGTTCAATTTGCTGACTCAAGCGCGTGACGGTATATAAGGCGGCGGCGTCGCTCAACCACATTCCCCACATTGCTCCTTGTTCCTCGCTATCATCCTCACATTTTCTCTTGCATTCCTCTCGTATAGACTATAGAGCATCATGAGCAACACAGACTGGGACACCAAAACCGTTATTGGCTTCAAAGCCAAGGCACCGAAAGTGACCAGAAATACCTCCGATTTGAATGGTGAGTTATTCTGTGTCTCTGCGTATGCGGATTTGGCTGACCAACACCTTTCGCAGCTGTATGTTATGAATTCTTCTTGCTGGACATAGCATTAAACTAATCGAATGATGTCTAGGCTAGGAGAGTGGGTGCTGTCGTGGCGACAGACAAGAAGATCACTGCTGGTAGCAATAAGGCTCACCAAGGTACGTCTTATCGATCCTGCTTCCTCCTACCATAGTGTACTCATCACCTTTCTCTATGATCAGGCACTGACCACCAAAGAATAGCCAAACTCGACCGAGAAAACGAGGTCGCACCGCCACCCAAAGTCGCTCCCTCCGTCGGCAAGGTACAGTGTTAATTTGAAGTGTGATTCCTTGACATCTTACTAATGAATACCCTTTGGTGATATTAGGCTATCCAAGCCGCCCGTATGGAGAAGGAGCTATCTCAGAAAGACCTTGCACAGAAGGTCAATGAGAAGCCTTCCGTCATTCAGGACTACGAGTCCAGCAAAGCTATTCCTAATCCTCAAGTGCTCGGAAAGCTCGAGCGTGCGCTGGGTGTGAAGTTACGTGGTACGTTAATGTCTCAGCTGTTTTACTGTTGTTCGCCTGACTGATCATTTACGTATGATAGGTACGAACATTGGAGAGAAGCTTGGGGGGCCAAAGAAGTCGTAGATTGACCCCCCTGTCATAACCGTTTCTCAATCCTACGACGCGGACAGTCTTTGATATCCTCGTGTGTTCTCGTCCTGATTCCATTATAATGTACATGTGTATGTTTTTGTAGAATGTCACTTCGCATTTGTTGTCGCTTTGCATCCCCCATTATATCAGTGTGACTAAGCCAGTAATTAGCTGCGAAGAAGTAGCAAGAACGTCGAAACTAGTATACAACAATGGCGCATAAATCAAATCAACAGCCCGTGTCTACGAAGCTTGTTCGCCCTCTGGTGCACCCTGTAGTGCATACATGTGAGTAACTCATGCAGGCAGAACATAAGATGAGGACGTACGTATGTGATGTAGTCCGGACTTTCACAAGCCTTGTATTCTTTCAGTAGCTCTTCCGCCGTAGCCCTACAATCACGCTCGTCACTCAGCAAAATGAAGCTAAACAAGAATCCTGACTACGTACCGTGCATCATCAAACTCCTCAAGCCCATTCTCAAACATCTTCTCCTTCTTGTACTGCTCCACGAACGCATTTCGCCGACGTAGTCGATCAAATTGGTCAATCATCCGTTTGAAGAGCTACGCTCGGTGCCCAAATATCAGGTCACGCGAAAGTTCACATAACTGAACAAATACGTACCGAAGCGATACTCGTGTGATTGGCAAGCATCAAGCCGCTGACACGGTGATTGGTCACGACATATGGTGACTTGCGAGTTAGTGCTACTTGGATTGAAGCTGGACCCCATGGGATGAAATTTGCTAGTTGGCGTTCTCGGATTCGAAGTAACGATTGATGCACCTATTTGTTAGTTTTAGCACGTACTTGGAGGCGGCATTTAGACTGAGCTGCCTCACATCAGTGGGATCAACGTCTCCTTGGATGATATTCAGGATGGAGATGTAGCAGGCCGTTTTGCTTGGTGTTGTTGAAACCATACGATTCTTTGGTTGTAGGAGACGACGCATGACATCCAGTACCGTCGTCCTCCGAACGACTTTAGCCTATTCAGTGAGGAAAGACTTCAGTATTGTCCTATGATTGAAAACGCTTCTCTCAGCAAAGGTAGCTGGAACATACCGAGTCTAACTGATCACTGGTGAATGGGGTATACGAGGTCATGAGGAAGTGACAGCGAGGTGTGGGTATCAAGGATGCAATAATCCCTACGAGATCATTGTTCATATATCCCGGATATCGTAGCGTTTGAGTGCTCGCAGCTATGACCGTTGATACCTGTTCAAGAATACTCAGCTGTTCGGTTTTCGCTGGAGACTGTTCATTCAACTCACTAGCTGATTTGTCTGGTCAAACGTCGGCGTCTGCACGTGCAGCCTATCGGCAGATATTCGTGCCAAGGCACCATTGTCAAGCACGACAACGGAATCAGCATGATTCGTTAGTCGCTTGAGTGTAAGCATCGCATTATATGGTTGCACAACTACATCTCCCTCTTGCGCGTTGGGGAATACAGAGTATGTCTGAATTAGTTTCTTTGGGAACTTGTCATTCAGTCGTTCAAGAAGGAAAGAACCGAGGCCCGAGCCTGTGCCGCCCGCTATTGAGTGCATAAGCATAAAACCCTGAAAACATTCAGTCCGCCGAAGCTGACAGGAAGAATAATTAGTTTACCTCTAATGAGTCGCTTCCCTCAGCCTCTCTGTCCACCATCTCCATAACTTCCTCGTAGATTCGTTCACCGGCAGCATATCCCTGCGCCCAATTGTTCCCAGCACCTCCTCCATCTTTGGAAACGAAAATGTTTTCAGGATTGTACAGGTTGGCGTACGGCGATGTGAGAATATTGTTGATAACCTATGCATCGGCAGACAATCGGAATCACCAAAGCAACCAAAGCAAACAGGAAACATACACGAGGCTCTAGGTCAACAAGAATAGCACGAGGAATGTAATGCTCGTCGTCGGCTTGGTAAAAGAAAACATCTTTGCGGTCACCGCCTTCTGTTGCCCATTCTTCAAGTATGCCTTCTTTGTTTATGCCGTGTTCAGCACACAGCCGCTGCCAGTAGACGGAACCCACTTGGAAGGATGCCTCAAGTCAGATTACTCCGGGATGGCGCATGTATCGATGGAACCGCACTTTGGTTGCCGCATTGTCCCAGCTGGACGGTGACTATCTCGCGAGGCATTGAACACAATCACAAAAGCCAGCCCTAAAAGGTATAGTAACAATAAGACAATAAGTGGAAGAGAAACGCGGTGTTGGTGTGGAGGAAAGAGGTTATTGTCGCGGGGGGCTTGTCTGCACGCGTGCGTGACATCGCGAGTGTCACAAAAGCGTGACTTGCCTGCAGGTTTGACGTCTGCGCGTTTATATGAGCGGCTCTTTGTCTGGGTGCAGCTAGCCACTCACTCAGTCTTCTTCCGCGTCCCCCAAGTCCGGACGCTTTTGCTCTTTGTTTCTCTCTTCCATGTCGTTCTCGACACATAGATCCCCCAATCAGCGCAATCGCACTGGCAGGAACCCCAGGCTCCAACGCTCAACATCGGTCCTTGGCAGGCTAAAAAGTTTGATCTTCAATCCGTTCGGAGGTTGGACTGGTTCCGACGTAGAGAATGAGCAGGGGAAGCGTTTGCGCAATCAGGACATAGGATTTGTCAGTGATCACGAAAGGGATGCGGAGCGTAGAGCGAAGCGAAAACGGTTCCACAGCCCGGAGCTCGAGGATGACCAACTTCACGAGCAGCGAGCTCGTCCCACTACGAATGGATTCCTCGATCCTTCGCACGAGATGTTCGATCGGCCGTCCGCAAATAAAGGTGTCGCTCGAGCATCGTCATTAGCAATACCACCTTCTGTGCCAAAGCACCCCCAGGAGCGACATGGTCGGTATTCGTTGTCACCACAGCCTACCGCGTCATTAAGAGCGGTGAAACCTCACATTGAGCCAGAACACGCAGAGGGGACAGTGGATGCAGCTCGTGTCCCCCTTCCTTTGTCTCGCGATGCCTCTATGAACGGTATCTCGGGAGCACCCACACGCGACTCCAAGTCTCCTTCGCGAGCGCATTTCCGTATGCGCACGTCGCTGACGCCTCAACCAAGTGGTCAGAGCTTCGGTCCTTCTCGACGTGAGCGAGAACGTTCTGAGCCACCACCTTTGGCTTCACTTGCATCGAATCCAGTATTCGTGAAAGCCCCTCAGCTGCCAACTGTGACTGAAGAGCCTGCAAGAAGCTCGACGGTTCCTCTTGGTGCTCTTCCTCGCAAGGTATGTCTAGAATGCACAGATTCTGATTATGCTACTTCAACTTTAATTATGCAGAGTGTTCAGCCAGGGCGGCAACGTAGCGTCCTTGCACTGGGACGACAGCCGTCTGATATCGATATGGCTCCTCGTAAGTTTCTCGCATTTTCTCGTGTAAGGCTTTGTAATAACTTTTCCATAGCTGAACGACCAATGAGTGCTGCAGAGAAGGCACTTCGACAGCTAGACATGTACAAAACACCCTTGCTTCCAAGTCGTATGCGAGGATCTCCGACGATTCCTGACGCTTTCAAGCCGAAACCCGTGCATCCCATGTCCCTCATGCACGACGATCGTGACGATAAGCCCAGATTGGGCACTTCGGAGAAACAGAGCGCTAAGAGAAGGTCAGCTAGAGGAAAACCGTACTCAGGTAGTAGTAGTGCGAAGAAACTGCTTGAGCGACGTCGCCAGGAAGAGCAGGAACAGAAGGCAAAGGAGAGGGAAGAGGCTATTGTGACCGATGCAGAGGAGGAGGAGGCAATGAAGACTGCTAAGGCAAAGCCGTCGGAAGAGCTTAGAGAGGAGCGTGTACTACAGCGTCGCGGGTTCACCGTCGCCGCCGGTGGGCGAGAACGGTCGTCCCTTCGAGTCGGACGTACCAAAACAAATCGTGCAGCTGAACGTCCGGTCTCAGCTAAGCCTAAGCGTGGATTCTCTGCTGTGTATGATGAAGAGGAGTTGGAAGAAACTCTTCTAGAAGAAGAAGAGACACCTAAGTTGCCACCGATGTTCCAGCCACCCCCGGACTTCAGCTTCGCCAATGTGAGTAGTCCCGTACAAGTTACTTGCCAGTATACTAAGTCGCAACTTCAGGCTGCACCTATCAACCATGATGCGACCAAGGCAAAGGAGCCTCCAATTGCTGCATTACCATTCGCTTTGAGCAAGCCTCAAGCACCAGTCATCACAGCACCCACTCCACCAGTTAGTGCCAAGCCACCTTCTCCCCCCGCAGAAGCACCAGTGAAGGAACCTTCTGTTCCCGTCACGACGGCTGCCGCTGCTGCCCCAGTGTCTGCTCCCGCCCCCTCAACTCCTTTGTTCGCTGCTGTTCCATCTGTTGCGCTCGTTCCGCCCAGTCCGCCTCCAGCTCCAACTCCGGCGAAGCCTACTGAGACACAGGTTGGTATACCAGTTTCTGGCACCGGGACTTCCATCCCAAACTTCTTTGCTAACTCGGCCCTTCTCCATAAGGCACCTGCGCCGATCAGCGCGCCGTTTACCCTGTTGACTGGTCCCACAGAAGTGACCACGCCGCAGACATCTCTGTTTGGAAAACAGCCTGCTGGGCTTGCCGCTGCTGCACCTATTCAGGAAAAGGTTGAGCCAGCTATGAAAGAGAAAGTAACCCTCCCATCAATGTTTGGCGCGGCCCCTACGACCTTTGGCCCCCCAGCACCGCCTGCCGCAGCGGCTCCGACGCCTACTACTACTAGAGCAGAGCCTACTCCAGCAGTGCCATTCTCGTTTGGAGCACCAAAGCCTGCTGAAGCAGCTGCTCCTGCAGTTCCGTCAACATTCAGCTTCGGGGCCCCTCCCAAGGCACCAGAGCCGACAACGAAGCCTGCACTGCCGTTTAGTTTTGGTGCACCTGCCAAACCAGCAGAACCTCCCTCTGCGCCTTCACCGTTGCCATTCACTTTTGGCGCACCGAAGGCAGATGTCACCGTCAAGGAACCAGAAGCGAAGCCTGCTGCTGGCCCGTCACCCATGTTTGGCACTGCACCAGTTACTTCGGCATTCGGTGCCCCTGCTGCCTCTGCCCCTGCGGCACCTGCGACTACTGAACCACCCAAGCCAACTTTCGCATTCGGACAACCAGAGGCGCCGAAGCCTCTCTTTGGTACTGGTGCTCCTGCGTTCAGCTTTGGACAGCCATCTGCGCCGGCAGCGGCTCCTTCGAAGGCGCCATTCACTTTCGGGCCTCCTACTGCGGCAACGACAGAGACTAAGCCTGCTTTTGTCTTTGGTGGTACGCCGTCTCCTGCACCTCCCTCTGCAGGCGTATTTGGGGCACCAACCGCTGCGACTACTGGAGCGGCAGCTGCAACCAAACCATTCACCTTTGGACCGACCACACCCGCCAGACCAGTGACACCTCCGCAGAAGGATAACGAGATGTCGATGGACGAAAGCCCAACGCGGGGCAACGCTATGGAGTTGAATGGGAATGAACAACTCAAGGCGCCTAGTGCATTCTCGTTTGCTCCAAGTCCTACCTCTCCATTCGGCCAGCCACCTCCTTCTGCTGCAGGTCCGGCACCTTTCATGTTTGGTGGTACACCGGCACATCCTTTTGGTGCGAAACCAGCGGAACAAAAACAGGCCGAAAAACCTGCTACAGCGTTTGGCAGCTTTGGACAAGCTGCCGCCAGTCCATTCTCGTTCGGTCCCAAGCCCTCAGAGTCTGCGCGACCAGCGACATCCTCAGGTGCATTCAGCTTTACCCAGCCTCCCCCAATCAATACCTCACCTTTCGCTTTCGCAGCTCCTTCCACTAGCACTAGTGCCTTCGGAGCACCGTCGCCGACTTCAGCATTCGGGTTCGGCACTACGACGCCAACATCTACCACTGCTCCGTCACATCCGTTCACATTCGGCAGCCAGCCAGCTTCTCCTGCAACCGCCCATGCAGGTCTCCCTCAGACTCCCGCCGGCGGTTCAGCGTTCACCTTTGGTGGACCTCCTTCCGCGACTACGACAGCTGCACCTGCCTCTCCCTTTGGAGCGCCCCCGGCATTACCCTCAGCACCTACTACGCCTCTGTTTACTGTCGGGTCTGCACCTCCAGCCACACCAACTGCTCCCGGTCCAACTGGTCGAATTCTCAAGAAACTTCCCAGTCGCCGTGGCGGCAAGCGATAATCGTCGTTCGATAAAAGTTCGAACTTTCTACTGAATGCTGTTCGCCACGGACACATACTTTGATTCATTCTTCTTTCCGTGATCTATCCTCTCTGGTTACCCGATCATCAATCCCGCTTGCATCTTTTCTGTTTTACTCTCTCAATCTCTCAAGTCCAACATCATGACATCGATAGTGCACTCAGGCTCAAGGCCTCATCATTATAGCATCACTCTCAGGCTTAAGGCCACTCATTCCCCACATTGTTTTCAGGTAGTTTTTCTCTCGGGCTGAAGGCCTATGCATTGCGTATTATATTTGCACGCGGAATGTGCGTAGGTGGTAGTATCTAGCAAATAGCTATAGCTGTTTGATTAGTAGTAGGTAGGTCCCATTCTAGATCATTGCTGTTATACAGAGGCATCCATATGTATCTCGAGTGGTGAAGATCCAAAACCGTCCATACATACTGTATGTGAATCAAGTTGCTTTAGCAAGTATCTTCTTGAGATTGATATTCTGTTTCTCCAACACTTCAATCTTGTTTTCCGCTGTGTGCATGTTCTTCAAGAGATGTTCTCTCCTCTGCTTTACAGCGAAACTTGGTCCCCACCAAGTGGAAGTACCGGCATCAATTTCCCTGAGAGTGAGAAGTTCCTGTTCACAGGTCCTAATTATGGTTTCCGATGCGGCAATCAACTTGGTATTGAAGGCGATGTCTTGGGTCGCCTGGAATATTGGATCTGTAGGGGACATCAATGGAGTGGCCTCGAGGGGTGAATCACAAGAATCTTTACCGTGCACAAGTTTCTTAAATACATATCTGTACACAGGCTTGCCAGGCCTGATCGTGGAAGGGCGGCCTACAGCAATGATAAAAAGATGAGAATAAGGATGTCATGTAAGTGCGCTGCACCGTTGCCTACCATTACGAGTAGCGATGGAAATTAATTCTGCTTGTTCCATATTGCGCAGAGCTGTCTCGTCCCCCTTGAATGGGAAATCCAGCAACAGGTCATGGTAAGGAAGCTTTAGACGGTTATTAGATAGACGTCTGAAATTGAACATTGAACGACCTTACCTCGGATTTGTCTGCCAATTGCTTCATTATCGTCCAAGCTTGTTCTCGAGCCCAAGGCAAGTTCTTCGCATCTTCAAGGTCGTCTCCAAACGCATTCTTCCGTAGTTCACTGACGCCACGAGTTACGATGTCTTCAACCGCCTCTTCGACGGATTGTCCACTTCGTACTTTGTGAATCAACTGTTCAACCAATTTGGCAAGGTTAGGTCAGGCGACTCAGGCCCAAACTCAAGCTTGGTGTGAGAGGTACGTACGCTTTCAAGATCACTTGCACGTCCGCCGAGTTTTTCAATGCAATGAACTTGTTCCTCAATGAGTTCGATATCAATCCCGACGTCATGGAGTTTCTGCTTGACAAAGGATAGTGCACTGGCGTTATCAGCATCCGAGAGGGCAATGATGGTCAGGGGTTTTGATGGTAAGGCTGAGGATTGACATTTGTCAGTATCAGGCATCGATGGCGTAGCACAATAGAGAGTTGAATCATAACCCTACTCACCCCTTGCGAGCCGTTTGGCGTTTTCACGATTTGCGCTGACCACAACAACATGCGCTACCTAATATACAGGCTCAGCTATCAATAGATATCAAATGAAGTCTTTTTCAATGGTCACTCACCTGGTTCTCAGCAAGCGATGCAGCCCACTGTGCCAACACATCCAGCAGTTCGTCCCGTTTTGTGCCTCTGCCTTTCGTCTCGAAATTCTTGATGATCACGATTGGCATGGATTCAATAGCCTGCAGGTCCTCCGTATTTCTCTGTTTCCTCTTCGCCTCGTCAACATTCTTTTCAGTAGACAAAGTTATAGCATCACGAGGGATGAAATCTGCATCATTCTCGGAGAACCACTCATCACCGATGCCAAGTTCACTCATAACACCGACACCCGCAACAACGTCCAGACGTCCATCGTGCCATATGCCTTCCCTGATACGTTCCCTGACTTGCGCTTCATGCTCTTTTCGCAACTGTTCAAGATGCTCCCTCTTGCGCTGTTTTTCCTGTACTTCCTTGTATGTAGCGTTAACGTGTCTTAGACCCGTTCCAACGACTTCGAGGATTTGTTTCAGTTGATCACTGAGCGATGAACTGAGTCCAGCTAGACGAGGAGTGAAGATTTATCAATACCAATAGAATGAAGGTGGAAAGGACACATAGATAACCTACTCTTTTGTCCAATCAGACCAACACTCGCTAAGTCGATGAGGTTGTTCATGGAGTTCATAAACGAAAATACGGGCCAGTAGCCAGTCTGCCTTGCTAGCCCTGTTACCAAAGCGGTCTCCGTTGTCGCTTTGGACAATTCCGCAACATCAATGACCAACGCTTTGCTGATTTACCAGCAATTTACCAGTGATATCGTCAATAGAAGTAGACACCGAAAGGAGTAAGATACTTACCGCCCGGTTTCTTGCAATACAATTGTCAGCATCCGAGTCTTTCCGCTTCCTTGTGGACCGTGTATGAATGCAACCGTGTCTAGAACGCGGTCGTAAACATGCAGTACATTAGACGAGACGGAAACAAAATGAACATACTAGGCATGTCAGAGAGATATCGCTCCAGGGTGTCTTGAGCATCGAGTCGTTCTTTCCAGGCTCCGTCCTTTGGAGATGGAGTTTCACCCTCTGCACCTTGACTGAATGAAAACCGTTGGACGGTATTGTCACGGAGCCATTTGTATATTCGGAATTCTACATCGAGATGTTATGAGAGGATTCAAGCAATGAAGTGAGCGAGGTACACACGTCGAAAATCAAACCAGTTGTTCATCTTCCCTTCGACCATGAGGGCGCGAATAGGATCAAATATCTAGAATGCATCAGATATATCCGTGGAAAAGTATATTGAGTGTGGAGATAGCTCACAGTATATGTCAGAGTACCCAAAAGGAAGAAGAGAATAGGGAGGAATATGCGAGGATGACTAGTGACATAGTCCCTCACAGCATGAGCCTGAATAGGCTGCTGATAACTCGTCTTTAGACGCGTTTTCGTCGTGGCAGATGGAGATGAGGGAAGTATTAGGCCGTGAATGGTATTTCGCGCTCTCACTGCCGCGCGCAAGTTACGGTAAGTTACAATGGTGGAGCGCAAAGTCCCTGCCGGAGCGGGTGATGGTGGGATAAAATCACGGATGCGACCGTAAGGCTATATAATCATCAGCCAATTGAGTAGGGAGACGGAAAGATCAACGTACTCGAAGAAGTGAATAGAGTGATTCTTCGTCAACGTCAGGTCCATCGAATGCTATCTTGACCAGAGGTGAAGGATATCGCATTAGGTCCTGAGAAGGCGCAATTGGTTTCTCCTTTCAGCCATTGAGAATCGGGACTTTACTCACCTCTCGCCATGGTTGTCCTTTCACCAACCAAACATTTCCCCGCGGTAGTCCGAGCCACGAAGGTACACCACCGTGTTTTTCTACCGTGACTCTAAGGTCTGACAGAATCTCGTTCAAAGCTGCGTCAGAATCATCCGCATTGTATTTGAACTTCACAAAGACTCCGCCATCCTTCTTCTGAGGTTCCAATGAGACGACATGGAAACCGTGCTTCTGGACATCTTCGAATAACGAGCCTAACCGGCCCAGAAGTGTTTCCTCTCGAAAAATGCCAATGTAGTAGCGGACACTGCAAGGCTTGATTCAGCACAAAAGAGAGATAAGTCGAAATAGAGGCTTACTCCCATGAGCCTATCCGAACCGGAAACACTGAGTCAACGAATAACCAGCCTTCACGAACCTGTCGATGTTGGAGCAATTATGTCAACGTTTACATTCTAAGGGAGAAGTAACTCACTTCTTGTGCAGGAGTTTCCGAGGTAGCGCTCTCCTCTGGGTTGGTAGTGGTCTTCACTTCAGAATGATACCTAGCTTGACTTCTGCGTGCATTCAATTGCGAACTGATCGCGGATGAATTCTTCGTTGATCGTCGGACGACCTGAAAGACATTCCAAGCGATATTCGTCGTGCCCTTCGACAACGACATAACAATGGGTATTCTCTTTAAGAGTTAAGCCCTGGATTTGATAGTAAAGCAGAGAACGGACGAGAATTAAGCATAGATGGGGGAAGCAGAGGATCTTCGCCGCGATGCCGAAGCAATGTTGAATATGACGTCTACTGACCAAAAAGGAAGGCGGAGGCTTTAGATCCTAACAAATGTAAACAACCACCTCTGACTTGAATGCCACCAACACCAAGTACCAACCTCTTTCATTTCAAGTGTCCTTTACTTCCAACCACTTGTTCATCTATCTAGACTTTTAGTAACCCAGAAACCTGTGGCCTATATGCTTGCGCCGGTGTAGGCAGTGAATACACGCGTCATCACACTGTTCCTGCGTTCAAACCGGCATATCTCAGTGAATATTGAACAGGCTGTTACCGCCGCCTTTCGTGACAATTTCGCCACAATGACTTCCATAGATGGAGCTCCTCATCTCTTATCCCTCAAAGTGATGCGCGTCTCAGTGCGTGACCACCTCCTTGGCTTCCACATTTCTACACACCTATGACTGCTTTAGCGACCTGCGTTGGCACCATCATGGGAACCATTCTATTCAAGTTCTCCTTCATTCTCGTCTCGCTCTACAGCCTCAGTCATGTCTTTGCAAACAACGGAAGCTTTACCTGGGCATCCAAAGACTCTTCGAGATTTCGACCTCACGGAAATGCTCATGCTCCCAGCTGCATTCGGTGCCATCCAATTGGGGGAGACATTCTCTAGCTGTCTCTCAGTAAACAACGAAACTGGTGTAGAGATTGAAGGCGTTACTCTCCGAGTCGAGATGCAATCGACTACCACAAAAGTGATATTGGCCGAATTCGGCGGACCTGAGTATCGTCTAGCTCCCGGCGATACCATGGAGCATGTCGTTCATCATGAGATCAAAGAGTTAGGTCAACATGTTCTTGCTTGTACCGTCTTCTACCGGCTACCGGCTGGTGCGCGTCCACACCCAACGTCGTCTGAATCTCACGATCCTACTATCCAATCATTTCGCAAGTTCTATAAATTTGCAGTACGTTTTACATAAGTACTGAATCACACTTCCGTGTCTAATCGATATTGATAGGTCACTAATCCGTTGTCGGTCAAGACGAAAGTACACTTGCCTCGTTCACCCTCTGCCCTGTTATCTGCAACCGAACGGGAGAAGGTCTTCTTGGAAGTGCACATCCAGAATTTAACTCAAGATGCTATGTGGCTGCAACGTATGCATTTCGAATGCACGGATGGTTGGGAAGTTGTGGATGCCAATTCCGGCGCTCAGCCCGTCGACTCACTATTTTCTGGACCCATGGCATTGATGCAACCCCAGGATATGCGTCAATACATCTACATCCTTACTCCCGCTTCAATCCCACCTTTTCCTGTTACCCATCCTCAAGGCACTGTGATACCCCTTGGACGACTAGACATTTCATGGCGCTCCTCGTTCGGCGAACCTGGCCGTTTGCTAACCTCGGTATGGACTCAGTCTTGCGTTCATCATTTCTTCACTCACCATTTGCTCAGATGTTGTCCCGTCGAATACCCCTAGTTCAGCCAGTTCAACCTCTAGCGCAAGTCCCAACTCCGCCACCAAAACAGCCTGCATCTGCTATACCACCTCACCTTCACCGTAGTGCAACTGTTGGATCATCACCTTCTCGGACCCAATCTCCTCATATTACTCAACGTCCAATGACCCCTCCCGCCTCATCGGGCTCACCTGCCCCTTACCGACCTGGGTCTCCCTTCCGCAATCGTCAAAGTACCGTCGGTCCTGTCGTAGCTCGTCCTCAGTCGCCAGCGCCTTCATCTCCTCAACCGTCACCCACTCCAACCATGCAAAGACCTTCAAGCGACATTGAGGTTGATCTTCTGGTTAGGGCGATTCCCCGAGATGAGCTTTCAGTAGAGAAACCCTTCCGAATTGCTTTTTCGTTGAACGTTTCTGTGCCTGTTCCCCTTGCGCCCGCTGGCCAGCCGCGCAAAAAACGCATTGTCTCGTTTGCTGTGCAGCATGTACAGCCTCCCCGCCTGTCAGCGGCCGCGTTAACTAGAGCTGCCATTGCAGCGCCTATTCATCCAGAATCGTGGAGCCCTCGTCTACCATCTTCCGGTTTCTCTACCCCTTCTCCGTACGGCACACCCTACAGGGGTGATTTCCACGATGCTTTGGCTCGCAAGTTACTCGTCGCCTCTCCTCGACCTACTCAAACCGACACGGACAGTGAAGCTGGCAATGACGCTGATGGTCGAGAGTCAGCTCGAGAGACACCCTTACCAGGAGGAGCACGTAAAGCGCCAGATGCCATCACTCTTCCGCCACCATTCTCCTTGTCAACGTCCGACTCAGCTGACCCAGAAGCGCACCGACAAACACATGATGTTGTCTTCCAAGGCCCATCTGCAATTTTCTTACCTCCGATGCATTTGTCCCCCGCAGAGGGCCAGAACCCGGAGTCGACCACGGTTGCCGAAGTTGACCGTACGCAGCCAAAACATGAGCGGAACTGGAGCGAGAGTACGATTACGGACAGCGAGGCTGATAGCGAGCTGGATGTCCCGCTTGGACTAGTTCAAAGGTCTACACGGGTAATTGGTTCCCAAGATTTCGAGCTTGATTACCTTCCCTTGCGGTCTGGTTTCATTGCTGTTGGAGGGGTACGGATCTTGTTGGTTGAGGATAGGACACTTGATGAGGCTGAAGATTCGGCGGCTAGCGCCGACGCTGGGAGGTCGAAACGACAGGAGAACGTGCGTAGTCTAAAAGAGTATGATGTGGTGGGGGAACTGTGGGTCAAAACTAGCTCTGTGTTGGCTAGTGAGGACTAGGTTCTTCACATGCATCATGCATATGGACGTGAAGTATGTAGTATGATTGTTTTCTACTGCTGAGATTTCGTGGCCAGATTGCTGTAGTTCATAACTGGTAAGCATGTCCGTCCCAACTTCGTGTATGATCCGACACTAAAAAATCGATACAGTAGATGCATACTTAGTTTGGCAGTAGACGTGTCTATTAATTCCAATCGCCGCCTGCTCATATGCTCCATTATGAGCAGTATGACTGATTTCTTTGTAGAATGTGGAAGGCGACTTCTTATGTTGAATAATGCGTGGATGCTTTTTTCATGTCCACCCTTTCTACTAACTGAACGGGGCTGACAATATGTCAATTACTCATCGGAAGATGTTCTCAGCCCGCAGCGATTTGCTCATGTTGGAAATCCTTTGGGGTTCTATGACATGCTTAGCAATGAAGAGCTGGTGCCCTGCGGGCCTACAGCGGCCAAGCGGTGAGAGTTTTTCTTCTTTTGCTGACACTCTTTGCGCACCATACACTGAGCCCATTGTTCGTCCAGGCACCCGTACATTCTCGACCGATGATCCATGCTATAAACGGTGAGGCATCTTCCAAACACAACTGAAAAGATGAACATCATTGTTAGAGTTCAACCAGCGTTCCACTCCGTGACTAAGTCGCGGAACTGAAAGTGGGCGACTAACCACCACCGAAATGCAGATCTCTGGGTAATACTATGTGAAATACAATCAACATCCAATAATCTAAATGTCAGTTGGTATGTACCAAGGTTTTCGTCACAAGTTCGTCGACTTACATTCTAATCCATAGTGCTGCCCATCTCAATTATCATTCAGGTGACATTTGCGGTGCTAACGAGACGGCTATGACAAACAGTTCTGGGAGACGAAGCTTTCTCTCGCACGTTTCTCGAAAGGTCTCCTGTGACCTGGAGCCTACAGATCTGTTCCTGGGTGATTCGGGTTTACGGGATGCGACGACATGAAAACATTTATTGCCTACCCCGTATAGCGCTTTTAGGTCGTGCCCTATATAAAGTGTTATATGAACTTTCACTGTCTCCAGCAATCCACTGCTGAACCTCTCATCGCGCCTCACCTAAAGATGCGTTTCTTTAGCTCTCTCCTCGCTGTTGTCCCCGCTATTCTTGCTGTCCAAGGTTCAGCCCTCGTCGCCCGCCAGAGCGGTGTCGGTGTTGGTGGAACCATTGTCGCCCCTGCTGCTGGTTCTACCATCATTAATGGAGAGCCATTCCCCTTCCAGTATAACAACAACCATGTTTGCCAGGATGGATACAGCCCTATTCATGTCTATCTCACCGCTACCGCGCCCACTGCAGCGGATGTCAGCTCTTCTGGAACCATCGCCAACGCTTTGCATTACTTTGGCCTTTACACTATTGCCAACTTCGGTATGTCTTTTCGAAGAGGGCTGAATGAGTAGCATTGACTCATGATGATGGCTGTGACTAGGTCTCCCACCGATGAATAGTCCCCCACCGACCTTCACGGCCCCTGCTCTGTCCTATGAGGGAGAGTTCTTCCTTGCCGTTGTCGAGACTTACCTCACCTGCCCCGTAGGTTTCATTATTTTTGCAAGTCTTATTTTACTCTGACGGCCGTTTTCTTCGCTTCACCTGTATAGCCTGATGGCCATACCGCCTACGGTCTCTCATCCAACCCTGTCGAGTACCAAGCATGAGAAATATATGTAATGAGGACTTAAACTGACTCGAATATGTACATGTACTATTTCGGAGAGTAACACACGTATCCTTTTGAGGACTCCTTATCCTCGTTTATTCTCTCCGTGTTTTGAGAATCTGCATCGGATGCGTCTCTTTACTTAGTTCGGTTTGAAATGGACGGTGCACATCATTCTGGCTTCTGTAAATAAAGCTGCCATTCGTACAAATTTAAGCCACTACGATTGTCTCTATCTTCTCTATGTCTCCGGGTAGCGTTCATCATCGACAGGACTTACCTGATTCATATTGTCCTAGGACGATCGATCGGCATGATCAACTTCAGTCAATCTTTCTGGACCGCGGCCAATCTTTCGGGATGGCTCTGCCATCTTGTCTTCTTTGTCTTCTATGTTTCTACATATGACCGTCCGCAAGCAATGCCCAAGGCAAAGAAGCACAGGCGCAAAGCTTCGATAACTTCATCTAGCTTAACAGGAGTCCCTCTGCCATCAGGTTCTTCTAGCAATCCATCTTCCACTCGTACTTTCATCCGCCAGTTTCATGTCCTTATCAAACGAAAGGCACAACTACAAAGGCTTTTGGAAGAGCCTAGGATCAGAAAGTTTGATGAACAGGACGCTACAAGGAAAGAGTTAGCTTCGATCGAGCGAGAGATCACGAATCTTGGTGGTCTCGAAACTTACCAGAGGATGTCGAGTATCGGACAAGGCAATGACAGAGGAGGCGGTAGTGAGAAAGTCCTCATTGGATGGTTGAATGAGTTTTCTGAACCTCAGAGGCTGTGTGAGACAAACGGCCGTTTCAAGTGTGTGTCTTATCACTTCTCATACTTCGCTGAACCAATATTCCTTGCGTAGGCTGCTCGAAGTTGGAGCACTGAAGCATGATAATTATGCTGCACACGCCTCATGGATAGACAACACCCCAATAGATCTACATTCGCGACACCCCTCTATCAAGGAGCAAGATTTCCTGTTACTGAGTGAGGACCAAAACCGTAGCAAATGGGACATCATTAGCTTGAGCTTGGTTGTCAACTTCGTTCCGGAACCCAAGCATCGAGGTCAGTGTAGTTGAACTCCTTTGCATGTCCTGGCATGGCTGACGCATCTTTAGGGCGAATGCTGCAGCTGGCACACACCATGCTTCGATCGGATGGATACCTTTTCCTCGCAGTGTGTATCACCCACCCGGTTGTACCTTCGCTGCTGTCTGATCATATAATGTCCAGCTGCCCCTTCCTTGTATACTCAATTCCAGGTACATGACGCCGGAACACCTTCAAGACCTCATGCAAAACCTCGGCTTCACGCAAATGCGCTCTCGGTGGAAGGAAGGCGGCAAGATGGCGTACTGGTTGTACAAGAAGACAGCAATTCCTTCACACCGGAATTTAATGCCATATCAGAAGAAAACTGTCCTTCGTACGGGTAATCGGAATAACTTCTGCATCCTGTTGTAATGTGCACGAGCGATGCTGTATAGAATGTATTGTCTATTCGTTCCGGACTCCTGTTAAGATACATAGATATACAGTGCAAGAGAATGAGGTGTCGTGATAAGGTTATTCTAGACTCATTGAATTCGATGCTCCTTCCGATCAGCATTATCATCGGGATATAGCTAGAGCTGATAGCGTTAGTAGTATCTCTCTCGAATGTCATCAAAAGGCTCGCCTTGTGAGGATTCATGATATTTAACGGATCGATGGCCTTCTTCACAGTACGCATGAGTTCAACTGTGTCAGGCCCTAGTTCGTCAACAAGGTATTCCTTCTTCCCAACACCAACACCATGCTCTCCAGTACATGTTCCGTCTAACGCGATGGCACGATGGACTAATCTGTGTACCGCTGCGCTGACGGCTGGAAGTTCCTCGTCTTTATGGAACTGAATTAGAGCATGGAAGTTACCTGAAAAGGAGTGGATTCAGTTGTTGTTCGAAAAGGGGTAGAAGTACAGAAACGCACCATCGCCGACGTGTCCCACAATAGTCGAATGCAAGCCGTTGTCTGCAAGGTCCTTTTTGGTCTTATAGACCAATTCAGGTAGACGCGATACAGGCACACTATGAATCCAGCATCAGTACTTCTACACTGCAGACAATCTACGAGTAAAAGAAGGTTTACCAAACATCCGTAGTCCAAACTCTCGTTCCCTCTCCACCAGCAGTCAGAGTACTCATCAAGGCATACTTTCGATTTTCCCATAACTCTTCCGCCTGCTGTTGGGTAGCAGCAAACTCAAACTGACTACTTCCGTGCTTCTTAAATATCTTCTTGATGGCGTTGGCGGTTTCTTTGATGGAGGAGTCTGTGCCTTGGAGTTTGAGGAAGAGGGTGTCACTGACGGGAAGTTCGCGTGAAGTAAGACCTGCCAAGTTGATAGCGGCCATCACTGTATGGAGGTGCGAGAATAGGGTCGGTGAGAGGCGATGACTCAGTGGGAAACATACTGTGGTTATCTAGCAACTCAACGCATTCTATAAAGATAAAAATCAATGCGGCACGATGCATCACATATTCAAGTAGACTTACGAATGTGAGGCCCATTTGGATTATTCAGAATTTCTTGTACTGCGCTCACAGCATATTGCACGTCCGGAAATTGCGCCATGGCCACTTTGGTGGGTATAACAGGTGCCAGTCGAAGTGTTGCTTTTCGGGATGAAAAAAGATATAGGGTTCAGAAAAGGAAAGAGGCTATAGAAATCATTTGCATTACCTTCCGTCACAATTCCAAGAGTTCCCTCAGCACCGATGAAGAGTTTAGTAGTATCGAATCCGGCCGAGGATTTGCGGGCACGTCGGCGTGTTTTTATGACTTTGCCGTTGGGCAGTACAACCGTCTGTGCATATTAATCAGTAGATGTAATACGAACGTCTTTAAAGTTCTAACTTACGACGTTCAAGAACCATTCCGCCTTAGCGGTACCATAGCGCACGGCATTGGCTGGTCAATATTAGTCCTAGAATTGACATTTGGTGTTTCATACATACTGCCTGAACATCCTGTGCCAATCATTCCGCCAATAGTCTTTGCGCACATATTTAAATGGTGTGACATTGCATAAAGTAAGCAAAACTTACAGCTCCAGGTCCCGGGTCAAGCTTGAAGGAAATGTGAATCAATGCTTTATTCTCATGATCTCTGCTGACTGTTACTCACTGGAAAGAACAAGGGAATACCCTTGTCCTTAAGAATTTGGTTAACGTCTTCCCAACGTGTTCCGGCCTGGCATATGAGATCTCCGTCGTCCTCTGATACACGCGTCATGATATAAAATGTGAGTAAGCTGAGAACTGAGAATAAGCATACCATGAATTTCCAGTATTTGGTCCATGGCAGATAAATCAACGCATATGTCACCAGCAGAGATCTGACACGTATCTGAATCACCATCATATCCTGTGAGGCTAAGAACTGAAATCATACACCAGAAAAATGGCCTTCTAAACTTGTGGCACCACTATAGGGAACGACAGGCACGCGGTACTTCCTGGCAATATTGACGACCTTGACGACATCGTCCGTACTGTGTACTTGAACAATGACGGAGTGAGGTGATGCGGGGTGGTATGAGTTAGCAGAGGAGCCGTAGGTCTTGAGGGCGTTCGGGTCCATGATAACTTTATTTGGCAGAGCCTCTTGAAGTTCTGAAATGGCTTGTTGAAGGTCTTGATGAGAAGCATATTTTCTCTCTGCATTTTGGGAGAAGATGTCAGCGATATCAGATTTCGCCATGCCATAACCAATGGCGAGAAGAAGTCCGGCCGAAAGTAGCTGGAAAGGCCACTGTGATTTGGAACGAGGAGAAGAGGATGCATCATCGGAGTATGCTCGGCCAAGTATTTCTGGCCTCCGTTTTTTATGTTGTCCTGCAGCACTAGAAAGGGCTCGAAGTGACCCGATCAGCCTGTTCGACCTTGGTGTAGATCCATTGAGATGTAAAGCACGAGTGATATTATGACCGGAACATCTAGCAGAGGTCACTGCGCATAGCATGGTAAGATGGGCCGAGTCCTGAAACTCCTTCGTAGTGAGTGTACTTATACTAGTTGCATCCCGCCCCAAGAGTGAGGAGGCTAAATAGCACCATAAGCGCTCAATGTTACGTTTATAGTCTCGATCGATCCAAGAATAGACCTACCATGGCGACGCCGCGGAGGAAATGCACCACTCTGGAACGCTGGTATGGTACAGACGCGTACTTTGGATGTTATTCAATCTTGCATAACTTGAACTTTGTCTTTTGTCTTTTGCTTCTAGACTATATACCATGCCATCAATCCCGATCTTACATTTTAACGATGTTTACCGCGTGCAACCTTTCAAGTTCAATCCGACATCTTCAGAAACAATCGATGTCACACAGTTCGCAGCCATGCTAGACGATATCCGGGACAAATGGGCTGATAGAGACGACGGGAAGAAAGATGGTCTGGTGCTGTTTTCGGGTGATGTGTTTGCACCCTCAGTGGAGAGTTCAGTAACAAGAGGGAGTCATATGGTTCGTCGTCATCGATGCAGAGTTCAACTGCTTCTGGATGTATTCCGAGACAATTCCATTGACTCATCCTTTGATCCTACAGGTTCCCGTTATGAACGCTCTAGCACCAGATGTTTCCATGACAGGTCCGACATTATTCAGTACATCTCTCTCTATGTCGACTTACTATACGTTGGCCAATAAGGCAATCATGATTTCGATTTCGGTGTGTAACCCTGTTGTTGTAATGTACTATCTCCCCTTGAACTCATATTTTTTCAGGTTTTCCGCATCTTTCAAAGCTAATCCAGGATACAACATTCGTATGTTGACGGGTCCCTCACTAGTGCCTTTCCTGAACCGCTTTTATACTAGCCATGGCTTCTAAGCAATATCATAGATACTACGAGGAATACCGTTCCCGAGCAGCTGCACGAGTTTCAAGTATTAGAGCGCGCAGGTGTTCGCATTGGAGTCATTGCTTTGGTTGAGAAGTACGTCCTCTGTCCTTCCGAGGTACTCAGCCAGCGTCTAACCTCATGGTTCGTAGAGAGTGGATCGGAACAGTTTCTTCATGGCCTCCAAGCTTTGAATATCGAGACGTCACTGAAGTCGGCCTAGACCTTTCCAAACGGCTACGCGATCCTGAAGGCGAATATAGATGCGATATTATCATCGCTCTCACACATGCTCGGTATGTATTCGTACGAGCCTGTGAGTTTTCACCGGTCTTGCTAACGTTTTCTTACAGGATACCAAATGTACGTATATTTTATATCACGTGTAGCAGACTCACACAAGCCTGAAATACAAGACAGGACATTCAGTTTGCGAAATCCCTGGCGGCCCACTCACCGGCCGTTCAAGATTCTCAGTCCACAGCGTCCACACATGGGGTTGACATTGTCCTAGGTGGTCATGATCACCTTTACTACATCTCTAAAGGTGTCACATCATGGGACGGATACGACGTCAACGAGAAAGTCCTTGGTGCCGAACAAGATGAAGGAGACATCCTAATCGTCAAGAGTGGAACGGACTTCCGAGATTTGAGCGAGTTTGTGCTGGAGTTAGAGGACACGCCAGAGGGTAGCGTGAGGAGGAAACTGATCAAGGGTATTCGAGGTGGGAACATATATCCAAATAATTACTGGAAACCCACCTTAGGCCTTCGCCTTTGCAGGTATACACCATACGACAAAACCAGGTTCCAAATCAAATGAACAGCTGGCAAAGCTCATTGAGAAGCTCCTCGGTTCTGTTTCATCTGCCCTTAAAGCGCCAGTATGTAAATCAACTGTCGAATTGGATTGCAGGTCCGCTGTTGTGCGTATCCAAGAGGTTTGTCTTCCCCCTCATATGCAGTATCCTCGCATTGAACACACTTGCTTCAGTCTGCAGCAGGCAACTGGTTTGCCGATGTCCTACGACACGCGTACGATGACATGCTTTGTCTACAAGGCTGCGGAGGCTCCGATGGCGTCTTCATTTGCGGTGGTACACTACGAGGAGACTCGGTATATGGTCCAGGTGGGTCTGTCCTCGTTGCACGCTATGGCACGCTCACTAATTTCTGGAATGGAATATCAGGATTCATCACTCTGGGTGATATCCTTGAGATTTTGCCTTTCGAGGACCCTATCGTAGTGCTCGAGTTGGACGGGACCGCCATATGGGATGCACTCGAAGCATCTCTCGCAACATGGCCAGCTCAGGAAGGGTAAGTACGATGAGCTATGTGCTCGTAGAATGCCAAATTGTGATACCTCATTTGTTGTTGATTATTAGGCGATTCCCGGTCATTTCAGGCTTCCGCATAGTCTGGGACTCTCGTCGTCCTCCCGGCCAACGCGTCCTTGGAGTCTGGCTCACCAAAGAACCGTCAGGTAGCACCAATAACACACCCGTACACAGCGGTACCACCACACCCTCCGCTTCCTCTGCAGCTAACCTCCTTCAAACTATAAACAACCGTCCAGACTCGGCACCATTGCTGCAAGATCTCGAAGCGATCAAGAGAGAGAAGGGCGGGAAGAAGTATGCAATTGTAACGAGGCAGTATATGGCCGAGGGGCATGATGGTTTCACTCCCTTGAAAGGCAGCAAGTATCTCGTGGATGATGAGAGCGGGCAGATGATGAGTACCATTGTGCGGAAGTACCTCCTGGGTAAGACTCTTCTCGTGCCTGCTGTTCTAAGTTGATATTGAGATCAACTCTTTCATAGGATGTCGATTCGTAAACCACATGTCCCGTCTAGCAAAATCCAGTGACGACCTTCTCCACTTCGAAACCGCACAACTCATTAATCGCGAAAAAGCTCGGCAAGCACGTTACGAAAAGTCTCAATCTCAAGCCAACCAAGACATTGCGAATAAGTGGCGTCGTCTCGCGAGCGCAGCTTTACGGTGGTCTCGAGGTCATTATAGGGACAACATCAGCATCACAGAGAGGGAGCATATGAGTGAAGTTGACTGCTTGGACGGGCGGGCGTTGCGGAGTGGAGTTGGTGCCAAGGGCAAAAGAAGGGACGAGAAGGAAAAGGAGATTGTTGAAGAAGAGCTAGAGGTGGACTTGATTGAGATTCATCCTATTGCGGATGGGAGGTTGAGAGACGAAGGCAGACAGTAAGTAGTGAAGCGAGGAATGGAACCACAGTCAGCTAAGGATTGATATTGTACCATCATCGACCATCGCATATCCCAGCCACTCAGCATTCTTGGATATCTTGGAAACCCGCATGTTTTAGATTGTAGATTGTCAGTACTAGAAGAAAGAAATGACGTAGTACACAGTGAGATGAGGGAGTTGGAAAGTGTTGGGTTCTCAAGTTTCAACAACATGTCCTGGTAGCTGCGGTTCCGGTGGGGTATCGCCAGATATTGACCTCCCATAATGTGCGAGCAAGCCAACTGCAGAACCAATACCAGCCCCTCCAAGGACGACTGTCAAGGAAGGATAAGATTTAATACAAATTTCACCAAGATGAGCGCAGCACGAGACATACGATTAACAGCACTGGCTCGCTTCCAGAATACTGCAGGTACGACAACAGCACAGATGATACCTCCAATTGTCGAATGGTCATCTGCCCGAATGGACGCAGTCTGAAACACAAGTCTTCAGTCTTGCTCGCGTTCAAACTGAGAATCATGCTCACATCGTAAGCAGCGCGTATCCGTCGTGCTCTGACATGTTCGGGTTTTGAATATGCAGACCTCACGTACTCAAATCCTCCTCCGCCAACCAGTCCTTTGGCAAAGCGACGTCATTGACATCAATGGAGTAGTAGGAGAAGCAACGCATACCAACAGACCCTCCTACCCACGTCGCTCTCAACAGTCGGTTGACAGTAATATGGCTTCTCCCAAAGCGAGAGATCACAAAAGCAATGTAGACTGGAGGTGTTACAAGGGAGGCAATCTGGTAACCTTTCGTCATGCCTCTCCTGACGAAGAATTCGGTATCAGCTGCATGGGCTTCGGGTGTAGCGGTTATGGTGAAGTTATCTGCCATTGAATGGATACTATTGAAAGAGATATTAGGATGAAGGTTTGAATCTCGCGAACTGGAGAACCCAGAAAACGGCCAGAAGCGGCCTCGCGAAGAGGACGCGTGAATGGCGTTCATCACGTGGAATCTCACGTGCACTACGCGTCAATGGCGTAGACACGCCTTTGTAATTGTCCTCTCTCCCTACCCTCGAGACTCGAATTCGAATTATTCTCGGTCAGTCGCTGTATCTCCGTGTCAGAATAATTAACTGACTCTCAATCCGCCTTTGTTATATAGCTACTACACCAGGACTCATTTGAGGTGACAACTGTTTCGCTATTGGTTTCTCGCATGAATTCGCAAGAGAATGGTCAAGCGCAAAGCCGTGATATAATCGCTCGCCTGCAAAATGCCATAAAAGAGCTTCCTGAATTACTAGCTCTACTTACCGCGCCTTTGGACTCAATTGGACTTCTCCCTCCACAATTTGTTCGTTATAATACGACCCCTCTACCAGATGGTGCCTTCAAAGTTTCGAAGCACATCCCTGCTTTGCAAAGAGCATTACTAGAACATGTCATACCAACATGGGAAGCTCTGTTGACAGAGAAACGAATGTATGGGATTGTAGAGCAGTACTTCTGCCCAGATCTGTTCTCATTCGCTTCACCTGCAGCTGGTGAACTAGCCATACATGGGTACTCTACCATCTTGTCTCTGCCTCTGACCGAGTATTCCGTGCGATTCCTTGTGCGTCTTTCCAAAGCATATCCTATCGATGTCCTATGGACTGTCGTCTTTGGTGGCTTGTCCGGAACCTCTGAACGGAAAGAGTTCACCTGGGAAGATTGCGTCCGGAATGTAATAGCGATTCCTGGAAAGGTGGCGAATGCCCTTGGTGGAAAGTCTGCTATACCGCCAGAACTCGAATATGGTTTATACTTCAACCATGTCAGTCGCCGTTGTGAAACACTCATCCAAAGACTGTCGATGAAGCGGTCCAAAGGTCGGTACCATCATTCTGAATTTTGTGCCAACTAATGTCTTGTTAGGTGATGTTATCTCTGTGAATTACATCTTGACAAAACTGGTCAATGTTGGCGTATTTCCAGTCACTGTACCAACATCACCTTCCCAACCATCGTTTTTTCAATCAACATTGCCGTCGATTCGTTCGAACCTGACATCACCATCCTATGCTTCCATTTGGCCTGAAATAATTACGGCCACTCCCTCTACATTTACACTGCAGACAGTTATCGCTTCCTTATTTACGCATATCAAGAAAGTCGAAGGTCTTGACGCATTGGCATCGGCGCGAACTGTCGCGAAAGAGGAAGCATTGCTTCTGAGCGGGATCCTTGGGAGAATGACTAAAGATAGTGATGACCTATGGGATACGATGAATGCGGTGCTTCTTGGACGTGAATGGACCGTAGGTCATGCTCGCATCTTCGTATGCTGGGTCGCTGGCTGTGAACGTAACCAATTTGATGTTGAGGGTATGTCGGAGACTTTACTCATCATGGTCCAGAATTCGCACTCAATTCTCATATCCCAGCATTGGAGACTCTTCTTGGCAACGTCGTCGATCTTTGGACTAACGCAGATCATATCAGACACTCGCTCCTCAATAAGCACCATTGTATGTTTATTTTTCTAGACAATGTACGTAAGCTTACGATTTTGATAGATATTACAGCCTTGCTTCTCCTAACCATCTCATACATCTCTGCTCCTGGTGTATCTTCAGCAGCCATCAAAAATCTTGCATTCTCGCCATTATTCATCAAGTCCATATCCACATACCTCACCCACTTGGATCCTTCCGTCCGTCGTTGCGGCATGATGATCGCTGAAGAAGTAGCCCGTGGCGCTGGGAAGAAACTCGACTTCGCTGACTGGGACGGGGAGAACGATGGAAAGGCGTGGTGCAAAGCGATCCGAGTACTCACAAAGGAACGAGATATTGATGCCGAGATTGTGGAGGATAGTGGCAATGAAGCAGGCGAGGGAGCCAAAAATGTGAACATTAGAGAACAACCCGCTCCCCCATCGATTCCCTCTCAAGGTAATCTTCCGAAGGTTACCAAACCTCAAGATCGGACTGCACTCGTCCAAGATGTCACAGAATACGACTCTGATGATTCTCTAACTGGCTATATAACGTCTCCCTCCTCTTCGCGGTCACCATCTCCCACACCCTCTGAGCTAGAAGAGATCGAGAAGGATCCTACACTTCGCGTCACACAAAAGAAGATAGCGAGACCTGTGTACCTTGCACAGCTGGGTGACATGATTAGACCAGCTGGCGGTTTGAAGCCTGAGGCTGAGGAAGATGAAGCTCAGAAGCAACAAGTAGCGCTTGATGTTGCCGAAGAGCAGATCCGGAGAAAGAGGAGCTATGGAACCGAGCTAGGTGAGTTCGTAATCCTTTGATGTGCAGTTGAACGCGATCCTCATGTTGCACAGAGGAAAACGCAGTCAATTTGGTCTATGGCCTCATAGGTTTGCAAGATAGCTATGAGCTTGAAGGCTTCAGTCAGAAGCGACAAGCCGCATTGAATGCACTTGTCGCATGTTGTCCTAGGAAGGCAGCTCTGTAAGTGCATTTCGTTTCGAGAGTTTGTTGTTGAAGCTCACGGTACCGCACAGTGCGATGATTGAAGAATTCTTCAAGAACCAGTACTCTGCTGAGCAACGTTATGCCATCCTGAACGCTCTTGCACTTGGTGCTCGTGAATTAGCTTCTTTGCCAATCCCAGAGACACCGGCAATGCAAACTCCCGAGAGAATATCGTTCACAAGCAAGCGTCTTCCGCCAATGCTTCATCACAAGTACCTGACAGCTGCCGATCAGCAACTCGTCGCAGCACCTGTACAGAATCTCCTAGAAGGTATCAGTCGGGAGGCGATCGACAAAGGCCGGGATGCAGCTGCTGAAAAGGTGCCCGCGTACGTACGGGAACGGCAATTGCGTATTAAGAAACCTGCAAGAATCACAGAAGTCACCAAGGATGGAACCGTCACCCGACCACAATCTTCCCAGATGATGGCGCGACCAGCTACGGTGTTCACAGATGTGGCAGCCGAATACTTCATCTGCCCTTTGATTAACCGGTTCTGGCTGTTCCTCCGAGACGAACAAACCCGCGAAGCACGTACGGCTCAACAACCCACTTTACACCAATACAAAGGATCTGGAACGGGGCTTATCCTCAACGCACTCGTCCTGTCGCATTTCATGGCTACTTTGGCAGTTTTAGTGCATGCTGCTAGACATGCCAAAGAATGGCTAGCAATTGTAGCACCTGACGCCTTGGAGCTCGCTGTGACTGTGGGTACAAGACCTCTTTCATCTGGAGAAGGTGAGGATGAAGATGCAGATGACAACCTTCCGGGTGGACAAGCATCCGCAAAAGGAAAGGAAGCTGCACTCTTGACAACGTCATTAGAACTAGCATTGGTTGTCTTGGATGGATGCGTTGATTTGGATGGGGGTCGTACGATGTCGTTGGAGCACACGGCATTGGTCCTAGGTGTGAGTGAATGGGCTGAAGAAGTCCTTTCCAGACTGGAGAAAGGTATCAAGATGCTTGGTGGAGGTGGGGTTCAGGAAATGAAGCTCAGGCGTGCTGCGGCAGGAGTTGTATTGAAGGCAGATGAGGTGACTTCAAGGTGGAAGCGTTCGATGATAGATGTTCTGTCGAATGCTTAATCCCCGGATCTATGCTTTGCCTGGTTGTCATGCATTTTCCTTTAGTATTTCGTCATAATCGTCAAGACCAACTCGCGCGTGCCAAACACTACGGCTACCCTTTTGAGCCACAGGTGTCGTTTGCTTACATCAAGCGGCTGACTCAGTGTGTTCGATCGCGACTAACAGCTCGAGCGCCCGAACGCTTAACGTCCAGCCGTACGCTATCGTCGGTAACGACGAACTCGCAAACTTACTTTCGTTTTCTTGGATCTACAGCACGACCTTACGACATATATACCGCCAAGCATGGCAACCACACTCTCTCATTCTTCTATTGAATTTGCACTTCTGAACGCACCTCCTCCTTCGCAGGATCCTATCTCTCTTCGCCAAGTACCCGACGTGTTCGTTATTCCACCGGAGGAGGAACAGGATATAAACCCACCATGGTGTTACTTTGACTCCACAGAAGCCAAGGTTGGACTAGCAACAAGCCCAGACATTGACGCGTTGGACGTCGCATTGGGCTTGTTCCAACAAACCGACAATCGAGCTCCCACCTTCCACCGGTCTCATTCGAATGAATCTTCAGATACCATTGTCATGCCGAAGCGAAGCTTAAGTGATGCGTTGGGAACTGACACAGATGTTATGCGAGATAACATCATGGAGGCGCGATCAAGTAGCAGAAGGGGTATAGATGAAGATGTTGTGGAAGTAATCAAGGTACGGAGGAATGAGGGTATGTCAGACGTTACGGATGGGAAGGAGTCGACGTTGAAGAAGTCCAAGACCTTTAAGGCTCGTGCGACTCAGGCATTGAGATCTCTCAAAAACGTTGGAAAGAACAACCGGAAACCAGTAATGGAGATTTGGCCTGCACCAAATGGTTCGGAGAATGACAATCATGCGGAGGGAGGTCCTATACCTCGGCCTTCTACACCAAACCTGACACGTCGCAAGTCAGCAACCCTTACGCATCTGTTTTCTACGACGCGCAACAGCAGCCGGTCTTCGTCCGAACATCCCCCAGCCTCACCGCTTCGCTCTGTTATTCCTTCGTATGCGGCGGAGTCGCCGCTTCCTACGTCCAGACAGCCTTCCTCTTCTCTCGGTGATAGAACAAACATACACATTAACGCTCGTGAAAGCCAAGAACACGTGAATCCTACACTTTCGAAGAGGAAATCCTTTCGAAATCGCATCTCTGTCCTTGATCTTCACCGTTTTTTTACACCTTCATCATCAGTTGCCTCAGACGCTGTCACGCCCAAAGCCAGTCAAGAGAACATGCGAACTCTATCGCGATCAGCCAAACACTCATCCCTTCCGCTCTCACCTTCACGATCATCGAACCTTTTCACTCCCGACAGTGTAGATGACATATTTTCTTCCAACGGTTCAAACCATCGCCCACATTCATTCCATGACGCGAATACACGTCCCTCATTGGCGTTGTCAACGGGCTCCTCAAATGGTTCTTCCCTACTTCGACGAGAGTTCGAGGAAGATATCATTCTGGAGACTAGCTTTGAGCTGAGACTTGATTCGTTACATTTCGATTCCCTTCATTTTGATCCTGACGAATATGAATTTTGACGGATTTGATCTATGTCTGCATTTTTGCCTTTTCTTTCATGACACCTGTGATACCTCTGATTGCATTATATGGACTCCCTGCCCCTCTATCTTTGTTCCTGAATACCTAACTTCAGAGTCGATCAGCTTCCCCTTCGTTCCATACCTATATGTTCGTGCTCTGCGTTTCTGCTATTCATAGTTCTTTACGTGTCTGATACATGATTTGGCTGCGCCAGAAGGATTTTCGATACCCAGAGTTGATCGGACTCGACGTTTGAGTTAATGAACGTACTAGTTTGGATGCCACGGATTGATAATTGTGAGAAGCCCGAATAACATCAGTAGCAAGAGGTATAAAACATAATGCTTGGGTCCACACAATGATCCATTCTGTAAAACGAGACCCAAGCAGCGAAGTGGGGATGGAAGTCCGGCGTCCATTATTTATGGGTGGAGATCGTGTTCGATCGCGATCGGTCTGGGCGCTTTGTTGAACCAGCTGGCCACGTCCTTGAACCGAAACCAAAACTACAAAATCTCTGGTTGTTGTGCTCTCCACCACAGAGCGCTTGTGCTCAATTTGAAGACCCACAATGCGGTTTCTATGGCTACTACTTCCTCTGGCGGCGACAGCATTATCAGAAGCGGTAAATGGGTCCGAATCCTTACTATGGGGAACCTACCGGCCCAACCTATACTTTGGTCTCCGACCGAGGCTTCCTCAGTCACTCATGACTGGATTGATCTGGTTTGGTACCAATGACTATCAGTCTATCTCTAGTCAGTGCGTATATCTACAGCGTGCCGTCGGTTATTCATGGTATCCGTAGAAGCGCGACATGCATGCGACCAAGAGGACGGTCTTGATTCCTACACGTGGACCAAGTATGACGCTCGCGAGGGTGGTGTACAAGTGATTAAGGACAGTCAGAACAATGTCAAGCTGACGACGGAGTACCTCAAAGTACCTGGCGGAGAGCATGGGGGAAGTTGGGCTGCTAGAATCAAGGGCCAACCTCTGAACCCAGGTGCGTAGCCGTATTTGGTGAACTATCTATTGATTCTATGTCGTGACCGTGATAGACCAACCGTCCAGGATCTCGACAATATTCTATGCTGGTATTGATGGCCTCGGCGGCATTGACTTGGAGACAGACGAAGACGAAAATGTGCGTATGTCGATTAATGCTCTACCAAATACAGCCCCAATTCTATAGCAGGGAATAGATGGACCCGTGGTTCTTGCCGGTTCTTCTTTGGAGCTGGATGATTTCACCCTCAGGATCGTTGACGGTCAGTGCAACAATGTTCTCCGGATATACGAAACCTTGAGCTCCTGAGACGTGTCAAAGATCCCGACAATACTGGAGTAACCAATGGTCCTCATGCCAAAGCGTTCGCTGATCGGATAGACAAAACGCACATCGCAAGTTTCCGCATCGCGCCTGGCACCGTTTGGCAAGCAAAAGGTCACAGTGTTCTTTGTGAATATACTGTCACCAGGGCTCATTTCATCTAGATCATATTCTTCAGAACATCCTGAAACGCGCTCAAGATGTTATTGCACCTTACAGAGATCCTGCTATTGGCGCGCCCGATCCTTCGTTCGTCTTGCAGCTCTCTGATGAAGTGTACACTGGGAGCACATTATATGCGATCCAGAAGTTTTTCGATGGACCGTTTCAGTTTGATATATTCTTTGAAAGCGCCAGTGCGAAACAGAAGCTGAGCGGTATGTGTTTTTCCTGCCGTATCATATTCGGGAGCTCATTTAGCTGACTTTCCTTTCAGCTTCTACTCTGGGCGAGGGAATCAAAGCATTCACGACTGCATATGATGCTCGTTTCGACGAAGTCTTCCCAGTCCCCTCATCATACCAAACATCAGACCTAGATTCGCTGAAAGCGTTCTCAAAAGCAATTACCTCCAACCTAATAGGCGGTATCGGCTATTTCTACGGAACGTCCATTGTGGACAAAGGCTTTGCATATGAATGGGACCAGGATGATGAGGACGACGCGGACGATGATGAAGAACACAAGGGTGCAAGGCTGACGGAATCAAAAGCACTACTCACCGCCACTCCAAGTAGAAGTTTCTTCCCTCGAGGTTTCTACTGGTGAGCCTGACAGGTTTTCTTGTCTGACGACATGTGACTAATGTTTATGCAGGGATGAAGGGTTCCATTTACTGCATATCGGCGAATGGGACAACGATCTTAGGTTAGTCGTTCCGCAGTATCCTTGCTAGACTCACGGTTTCCTGAACAATGCCCAAAAGCTTGGAAATTCTAAAGGATTGGATCAACCTTATTGACGAGAACGGTTGGGTCGCTCGTGAGCAAATTCTTGGCGAGGAAGCCCGTAGCAAGGTAAACATTTGTTGGTTCTTCATGTTCGTTGGTCCAATCCTTGACATAATTTAGGTACCAGCCGAATTCCAAACTCAAGTACCTACGTGGGCCAACCCACCTACGTTGACGATGGCAGTAACGGCTTTTGTCAACCGTCTCAAAGTCGCAGGCCTAGGGCCATCCGACCAAGACCTTGGCCTTGACTTTAACATGGGCTCGCAACAAGAAGTAATGTCCGAACACGTAACCTCGACGTCACTCCGTTCAAGATATCTATCCGACCCAGGCCTTTCTCTCGAGTACCTCCGCTCAATATACAAACCCCTCAAGCGCCACTATGACTGGTTCCGTCGCACCCAACGAGGGCAGATCAAACAATATGGCAGGAAGGCTCGATCACGCACAGAGGCCTATAGATGGAGAGGTAGGAGTAAGGATCATGTGTTGACAAGTGGAATGGACGATTACCCTCGGGGACCACCTCATACTGGTGAATTGCATTTGGACCTGATAAGCTGGATGGCGTTCTTCACGAGGACTATGAGGGACATTGCTGAGTTCATTGGCGAGACCGATGATGCCTCAGCGTTTATTGTGATCGAAAGGGCGACATTGGATAACATTGAAGGTAAGTACTAGTCTCTTTCGATAAAGGTCAGTGACTAAATAGCGGTTCCGTAATAGACTTGCACTGGAGTGAGGAGCACCAGATGTACTGCGATGTCAATGTTAATGACGAAGGTTAGCTCTCAAGCCATGTGTTACGGTAGTATTTTCTAACTCCCCGATCTGAAGACGAGTCCTATCATGTCTGTGATAAAGGTTACCTCTCGTTATTCCCGTTCCTTCTTTCCCTCCTCCCTCCGGAATCTCCACATCTGGGCCCAATTCTTGATTTGCTTCATGACCCCGAACATCTTTGGTCACCATACGGTCTTCGAAGTTTATCCGCATCACATCCCCTTTTCGGTCAAGGCGAGAACTATTGGAAGGGGCCAATATGGGTACAGATGAACTACTTAGCATTAAGTGCTCTTTACAAAGTACGTCTGCCAGGATGGTTCACGGATGCAGCGCCACTTACCGTTGTAAACAGACGTATGGCGCAAGGGAAGGTCCCTATCAAGAACGTGCGAAAGAGATATACGCGGAGCTTAGAAAGAATGTTGTTGATAATGTCCATAAGGAGTTTCAACGCACAGGATATGTTTGGGAACAGTATGATGCGAAGACCGGAGAAGGTCGAAGAAGGTGCGTTCATAGAGCGAGGACTGGCATGCTTCATCCACTCAACTTTTTCTGCAGTCATCCTTTCACTGGGTGGACCTCTTTGGTTACATTGAGTAAGTTCCACGGCTTTCAATCCATTTACAGATCTGACATATCCTGTCACAGTTATCTCGGAGAAGTATTACTAGACTTCCACGAACTTTGTATTGTTAGACATGTCCACGCGATTTCTACTATTGCCAATCGAACAGTGTCATGATGGATCTACTTATCGATCCAGGGTCCAGACGCTTAAGCAATGCGACTACCTCAAGGCTCCTTCATCTACAGATACGCTGTCAGTGCGCGGGACATATCTTTCCTTCCTTCTGGGTTATCCTGTGAAGCGTCGCCATGTCACTCACTCAGTCGGTGGGCATCTTTTGGTGCTATGGTTCGTCGAAATTCCATGACAGTCTGCAGTGCGATTGATAGAACGGATACAGATGATTGCCCTTTAACCTCAAATCGAGCAAATGCTGATATACTGAACGAAATCCAGAAGTTAGGACTACAGTATGGCCCCGTGAGAGTGTTCAACGCGTATGTTGGGGAGTCGAAGCTATCGGACACCCAACGGGCGGAATTTCTGGTCAACGGTCTCACATTGAGTGAGATTCCTCCTGTGAAAGAATCCGATGCCGGTATAGAGAAGAGACTGATAGGTACGTGCATTGCCTCGATGGCCAATCGACAGGTTCCGGGACTATTGCATGATATTTTTTTTGAACAGTAGACATGCTGGCATTCGCACTTGACAATCCTGCACCTTCAACTTTGCTCTTGATCTGTGGTGCTCGCGATCTTGGTCGCGCGTTGGCCGTCCTCAGACTTCGCCAATACTGCGTGCTTGTCATTTGTGACAAGACTGCCACTCAACAGTTCTATCAACAAGCTTCAATGCTTTGTAGTTGGGAACGGGACATATTAAAGGCCACTCTGGCCTGTGATATGTCCGGATTGCCTCCTGCATCGGCCACTAGCAGTGAACGTCCTGTCCAACGTCCATCCAGAGCGCTGCGGAAGGAATTAGCACGCATGTCAGGATCCCTCAACCCGGCTGCACAGCCCTTTATGGCCAATTCTCTTCAGATAATAAATTCGAACAATGAAAAGGCTGTAACCTCGGAAGTCGCTGTAGAAAAGGTCCAACCTTGCGTTGCCGCTGGCGGTGTCCGGTGCCGTACCGTTTTCATCAAGGACTTAAACGATGTGGTGTACCCTGAGGGTATACGACGACCACAGCCTACACTGAACATCAACGCAGTGCCGGGAAAATTCAGGTGCATGCTCTTATTTCTCCGCGGCTTAGCCTGCAACACCGATAGCATTGTATCAGATATGACCGCGAATTTCTCCTACAATTCATGACTTTATGCAAAGCGACACCAGATGATTTGCCAGAGCTGGCTGTTCTTGGGTTGCTGCCGAGAAACAGCATTCCTGTAAGGAGTGGGAACGCAGCTCCCCTGACAACGATGAGACAGTATGCCATCACTGCTCGCCATGGTGAGCGTCTCTTGTGCCTTTCTGGGTGAGCGGCCTGCTTACGTTGGTCTTCTAGGTACAACAACCTTGAACGCAGGACAACGATGTGACTAGGTGTGTACGACAACTCATTGCAATGTGATGTGTGTAGCTGACATATGGACAAATATGTTCCTAGTGCCTAAAATGGCCCGGTGGACCCTATGTGCCTCTTGTATTCGCCTTTTATTGGGTTGCCTGAGAGATCAGCTCCCGTCGTTGTTGATTCGACCCTGTCCTTCTCACGATGTGTACAATAGCCACGTCCCCCTTGTGTACCGAACCGATGTCAATGGTATAACGCGCGGCATCTTCGGCCAATGGTTTCATTGTCCATGTCGTGTGCTGCTGTGTCGCTGACTCGAAACACATCGCTCCTTGAATTCATCGGTAGGTAACAGCGACCTGACAGCGATGCACTTTCATCTAGGAATGGTATCTATCATATTGCTGTCAACCGGCTGCGAGCATAACACTGCTTATCATTGTCGACTCTTGTTGCGGTTGGCCTTTCATAGTGACCCTAGTATCCCTTCAAATACAGTCCCTTCATCATGCGACCACGAAGCTCTCCTACACTATCATGGCTGACCATGAGCATGTTGCAATATTCTGGGATTATGGTTCGTATGCTCCTCTTATATTTATCAGTGAGACTCACAGTACATTTGCAGAGAACTGCGCCCCGCAGTCTGGTGCCCCAGGCTACGCTATTGTAAACAACATTCGTCAAATCGCTCACAAGTATGGCAGCGTTAAATTATTCAAGGCCTACCTCGAGCTCTCAGAACTTTCCTCATCGAAGTCAATGGCATTTCGGTCAGAACTACAGCAGTGTGGTGTATCCTTGACCGATTGTCCCCATAACGGTCGAAAAGACGTAGCAGATAAAATGATGATCGGTACGTCGAAATTCCTCTCCTGCTATACTTAGACTTGACTTCCGATCTCCATTTCAGTGGATATGTTGGCCTATGCTATCGACACACCTGCCCCGGCCACTGTGGTTTTGATCTCGGGCGACCGCGATTTCGTCTATGCGGTCTCTGTTTTGAGGCTTCGTCGATATCGCGTGGTAGTGGTCGCCCCTCCAACTGCACACATCAGCCTCATTTCGCAAGCATCAGAAGTCCTGGATTGGGATTATGAGGTTCTTGAGAAACCTCGACGCGAAGCACGCCCGACAAGCAATGATTTCTCTCGGTACAGTTCTCAAAGGGTCCTTGAAGGAGACTCAACTCGGGTCCCATCCACACCTACAACTGCGATTTTCTCTTCCCCGCGCCTCCGTAGGCGAGAACTCATCTATACCCCTGGTGCTTCAACCTCCAAGGATTACTCTGCGATTCTCCCTGTTCGTACGGCAGAAACACAAAACACAACATTAACAGAACCACCTACGCTCAGCTCCTCTCGAGAAAGTAAACATACCCCAGTGCCTGACATATTGAATGCTGAGTACACGAGCACGCCTCAAGTTCCAAGTGCACCGTCTACTGCTACCAATGCCCTTGGCGACAAACCACAAAGCCCCTGGTCGCGACATAAGCTGTTATCTCCACTTGGATCCTCTGCATTCGTAAGTTGACATCGTTTGCCCGTACATCGCTTGTAACTGACATCTTGATATGGTAGGAGACAACGGTCGTCTCTCCAACTGCACGTTCTGTTGCAACCAATCACGGGCGAAGAGAAAGTCACGATGGTACCTCCGGAGAATTCGCCGTGCGCAGTTCATCTATCGTAAGTCAAAGTCAAGATCCGAGATATAGCAAAACCGTTCACCTTCGGTCCCCCGGGTTGACTATCCAGACGCCAAAGGGTACGACTATAGATACTTTGCCTCGGACAACATTCTTAGGAGAACTACGTACATTGCCTCAACGATCGTCCCATAGCCTGCCGTCACCAGAGAAGTCTCCGGATCTTCAAGTGGAACGTCTTGCTCGGCCAGCTACTGCGGATCCGATGCTGAAAGCCACAGAAGGAAGTCCGGTTTTGATGCGCAATGCACAAGGCCCTTCCACCTTCGTTGAAGAACCCTTGGCTATCCGTCAGCCAATCTCTGAAGCGCCACTTGACCAAATACTAGTTGAACGCCACTCGACAGGCATCCAGACCAAAACACCCCGAGTTCCTGTGCAAAATCTACAATCAACCAGTTCAACAGCTGGACATTTTCCAAGTGAGCGCCATGTTATGACCTTACCAACAAGAGCGGAAGTCCAACGGACGCCACTGCCTCAAATCCCGGCACCATTCACACTTCTGGTGGCCGTCCTAGACAGACTGAGAATCGAAGGGCAAAATCGTCCATTAAGATCACACGTCTCGATTGCACTAATGCATCGCAATCCCAGGGTTTACGAACAAGCAGGCGTAGTCAAATTCAAGCAATATTCGGAAATTGCACAGGAACTTGGGTTAATCGAGTTGGGAGGATTACAGGGAGGTGCTTGGATATCCCTTAGACCCCAATGGCATGGAAGTGGATTGTTATTGGATGCATGAGTAGGATTGTGATACCCCAACATCCTCGGACTTCGCCGTAGTGAAGAGCACCTCGACATTTGTACACATTATCTCAGCTTTGGACATTGTACTCTAGTGTAGCCATAGTATCTTCCATCCGCATTGTTGCAAGTAGTGAATCCGAGGAGTCAGCGATATCCAGGCCCAAGACCAACATTATTCATATTATTATGCTAATGTCGACCATACACGGAGGGTTTCCTCGTTCGCTTCTAGTTCGTCGAGAAGGTCGGAAATTTTATCAGCTGTTTCCTCGTCTGGGGGCTCGCTGGCTTCCTTGGGCAGGTAAACGAGATCGCTGCTGAAGAGCTCCACATCAGGCAGAGCTGAAAGTTGTTTGGTGAGATTGCCAAGAGCATCCGGAGGACACACAAACTGAGAATAAATTAGATCAATACGAAGAGATCGTATACGGTGCACTCTACCTCAATTTCCTGGCCTTCCTCGGAAGACTCTGACTCTGAGAAGTCATCAGCTCCTCCATCGAGGCCAGCCTCAATGATAGGTTCTAAGGAGTCTTTGCCATTGACTGCGATTCTCACCAAACCCTTTCTCTCGAAGAGGAAGCCAACGGGCGCTAGCCGCGCGCTGGAAGCCAATGTGAGACGTCGCGTTACGAAGCGTGACGCGAGGCAAAGTCAGGATGCTTACCCATGATGAGCCAGCGTGGTACGTATTGCTCGAATGGTGCGGTTGAGATTATCTGTGAGGCATTCTCTGAGGATCATGAATATGTGAATCGCCTTCGAGAACATTATTGTACCCACACCATGACCGCAACTGAGCCCGGGCCCATGATTTCATAAACTACATGCTGGTCTCCTTTGTCTTTTGCACCGGCAGCCTGGGAATATGCATGAACATACTAATAGCCGTAGGTGAATTCCATCCGCAAGCACTGACCCGTTTCAGCGCATTCTCAATGTTCTCTTTGGGAACACCTTGAGACTTGGCTCTTTTCACGGCTGCAGCAAGAGCCATGTTGACTTCGGGGTCTGCACTTCCGCCACCTATGCCCTTAACGTTTAGCGTCGCAAGAACGGAACGATAGTTCAACAGACATACTTCTTGCAGCGACAACAATATCCTAGACACGTCACTCCTTCAAATAAGCGGCATGAACGAAGGGAATGATGACTAAACATACTTGGCTGGCTTTGCTGTACACATTCGCCTTCTTGATATCAGCGGCACCTTTCTGATGTTTGATCTTAGACCACTGTGGAACTATGTTGAACACATGCTCTGTCGCAATTAAAAGCGGCAATACTTTACTTTATTATGACCGGAGAGCGTGATTGGAGTAGCAGTGAAAAGACGTTTATGTTGAAGTATGGGAGTTCTCCATGGCAGAGCACGAAGATAACGTTGCATGTAAATGTGCAGAGTCTTGAAATACCAAACGAAGATTATTAGGGAACGGTTAACGTGGTAAGCTGAAATATTCAGATGTCTGTAGTAGTTGATCGGCGGCAGTGTCATGAGTGTGACGTAAGCAGAATTTAGTTCATTTCACTCTGGCACTCATCACTATTCTTCTGACCTTTCCTCTTCAGATTCGATTCCACCTGCGTGGTTTTGGCAGAGCCCACACGATGTCTCAAATTGCTCGCGTTGCTCGTGTCTCGCGAGGAGTATACAGAGGAGTACCGTAAGCTGTACTCTCAACATTCAACTTTGACGCAAATTTCTCGAACGTATTCCAGTCGCAGGTTGCAGACCGTTCAGCTGGCCAGGCCAAATCCTCTCCGTGTCAATATCGCTCGTCCAATTGCACAAGCTTTGGTGAACAACATTCCTAATGCGTTACTATCCCGGACTGCCAACCGACCAACGTGAGCTGTAGTTGTGCATGATTTCCACCCTTTCAAATGCTAACTAGAACCATACAGGACGAACATTCGGACGTCTTTTGTCACCACACAGTTGATATGTACGGGCAGGAGTCGTGCAGTTAAGCGTTGTAGGCCGATTTGGGAGGCGCAGGGTTATTTTCCCTGGTTGCTTGGTTCAAATCCAAGACACGCTTCATGCATGACTCTCCTCCTCAAAATCAAGATTTGATGCTGCGTATTTGACAACTTACTCGCGTGATTTGACGGAGAAGTAGAAAGCAAAATGTCGCGTGTCTTGGTTTATAGTCTGTCTTTTCCCCAAGATTGGTCCCCCTTGATTGATGGTCTCTCCTCAAAAATTACTGTACTTTGCACGTTTATCATACAGCCTATGCATGGTCATTCACATACCAACCATTCACTTTCTACCGGCAATGCGCGAACTTGTTGACATACAACACAAAATGCGCACGTCGACATTACCCCTAAACTGGAAGAATCAATGTACCGTACCATTCCGCAGCTGAACTTCCTTTTTTCTAATTTCGGGTTTCCCTTTTAACGAATAGTGTCGTAACGCGGCGTATGCTAGTATTACATTGTAAGTGCATGCACAGTATGCAGTCATGACGTTCATCCAAAACAGGGTCTCTGTCTACCATATTAGTATAGTACACTACCAAAGACGGCAAGTCCAGGCTTCCCGATCCCATCTCCACCTCCAAAGCAGTCTATAGCTTCGACGTGCTTCGCTCGCTGCCAGTCACACTCGCCCTGTCGCTAGTGTCTAAGGCATTTCGTTCTGCTGCACGTACAGCTTGGACGATGTCTAGATGGAAGAATGGAGTGTCTTCTAGCGCTATAGGTGCGGCTGGGGACGATATTGACGTTTCACTGTTGGAGGTCGCTATTTGCTCTTCAATGTCATCGGACTTTTCAGGTGCGGCATAGTCGGAGCGGTCCCCTCGGTACGGAACGACCGCAGCGATCTCTTTTGGTAGACTGGAACTCGGTGCGCCAGTGCCGAAGCCGCCAGCGACGAGGGCGCGACGGATCCAAGGAGAGAGGATGGTGGCAAAGTGAAACTAAGGAAAACACGTGAGAAACTGTCGACATAGCAGTCAGTGCATTGAACGGCATACCTCCACCGGTGCATCTGTCCACCTTTCCACTTCATTCCTGGTATCAATGAGAGTTTGTACGCCAGTGGTATCAATTTGAGAGCTATATATGACCGTGCGTCAGTAACCATGTCATCAATGACAAAGGGGGCCGACATACACAGCGGCGAAGTCCAGTACTATAGCCTTCAATAATGGCTTCTTCAAGTTCTCCGCATTCTCGTCATGTCCAGGCCTCGGTCCGGGATCGTTCCATGGTCGATCGCTCAGCTTCACAGTGCTCATATCAATGCCTCTCCTCATGTGTTCCTTAACATAGTCCCGAAGAGTAGTGTTGACAAGGGAAGCGTTCGGGTAGACCAAACTCTCTTCGTGACGATAGACGATAATGCCGGGTGCAGGCGGGATCACCTTCACGTCGGCATTCATGAGCCTTGCTTTCGGGTTGAGAGGAACATAAACATCGCGAGTGTCGGTGGGTTGAGACTTGGTTGTACTGTCCAAGTAAAGAGTGACCTTGCCAAGGAAGTAGCCACGCGGTCTGGCAACACGGATGAGAAGAAGGGCGAGGGAGGCGCAAATGGAGGTGTAGATTCCGTTTTCGATGGAGGAGAAGATAGTGACGAGAACAGCGGCGAGCCAGATGATGAACTCTAGTGGTGATACTTTCCAATAAGTGTAAACCTGAGAAGGTGATGCCACTAGATCGGCGACGGCGTGAATGATGACGGCGGAGAGACCTGCGTTGGGGATCCAGAAGAACGCTGCCGTCAGGCCGTAGAGGGCGACGATGACCACCACAGAGGTCAAAATACCTGCAGCAGGAGTACGAACACCGGACTTGGACTTGAGCGCAGATCGGGAGAATGAACCAGTTGCAGGGTACGCTGAGAAAACTGTGCCGATCAGATTGGTCACGCCAATAGCGATGAGCTCCTGGTTAGGATTGATTTTGTATCCATTGACTCGACCAAATGCTGTTGTGAAAAGATATTAGTATCGGCACGGAAGCTTTAAATAGCTGGATAACGTACATTTTGAAATAGCAATGTGTTCCAGCAACAAAATGATAGTTGCCACCGGCAATTGGCCAGCAAGGGCGCTGACGAGCTCACCATCGATGTTAGGAGTACCGACATGCTTGAATCCTCTAGGAACGTTCTGCAAAATTTTGATGGGATACTTGCCAGAAGCACTGAGACGACGCCGGCAATAGAGCCACGAAGCAATGGTCAACACAATAATGACGAAGGCATTGCGGAAGACGGAGGCAAAGAAGAAAAGGCGCTCTAAAGCGTTGTGTGAGAAGATATCAATAAGACGGAGGGAAATTCGACCTACTTCTTCTAGGATACTTCCGTGACAAGAAATCGCATATCATACGAATAGCGTAAAGACCGAACAGACCCGTCAGGCCCCATGCAGCATCGAGTTTTGTCCCAGGAAGACCTTTCAGAGTATTGATGATGACCTTGTACGTAGCCGCTCGTGTGCTGAACGTCCATATATTTAGTTCCACAAGAGGTCCCTGATAGACGAAAACTTACTCAAAGCCAGTGATACCCATAAGGCCCGGGACTTGACCAGAGACAATGTTGACAGCGGAGCCTGTCATGAAACCGCTCACGGCGGGTGCCGGGATGAACTCAACCAACCATCCGAGCCGGAGGATACCAATACCAAGGACGATGATGCCAGAGATGAATGCAACGGTGGTCGCAATCTGAGGACCTTCCCATACACCGGGATGATTGTCCTGAACGTGCTTGATGATCTGAGAGACCGTGAGAGACATTACGGCAACGGGTCCAATGGATACATCCTTGGAGGTTGCAAAGAGCTATATGATGGACGGCGTTAATATCATGGAAGAGCGAATGTAATAGTGAGTAACATACACAGTAGATGAGGACACCAACAAAAGCTGAGTACAGTCCATATTCCGGAGGTAAAGTCGCAATCTAGTCAAGACCATCACTACTGTGTTCTAGCGTTAAATGAAGCTTCAAGCGCACCTGGGCATACGACATGCTCTGAGGAACAACGACCATGCCGACAGTTAGTCCAGCGATCACATCGCCATAAAGCCATCCAAAGTCTAGTATGTTAAGTTAGGCTAGTTAAGCACAACGAACAATTACTGCATACTGTATCTGGTGATCCACTGTAAGATGGGGAAGAGACTCTCAAGATACTCTCTCGCCTAAGAGAAGCAAGCGATAAGACATGGTGATTAAGTGCACTGCAAGACGGTAACCTACATCGCGCTTAGGATCGCGGGAAATATGCGAGGCCCAGTCTTTGACGGATACCACGGGGACGCTCTCGTGGTAGCCGATGACGCGCTTTCCGAACTTCTTAACACGAGAAGCCATGGGAGTGGAAGGGGAAAAGGCGAACGAGCGTTGGAAAGCGCAGAAGATCTATGACCGCCTTTTTAAGCCGAGATGGTCGGGAAGGCCCAGGAACCGGTAAGAAACCAGGTGAAAGCGAGAAATGGCGAAAGACGACCTACAGATATAGAGCTAAATTTGGATGGGAAAAGTTGGATTTTTGAGCAGGCGCCGCACAGGACGTCTGTCTGAACTGGTTTTTGAGGGGGATGAAGGAGAGAAAGTTAGAAGAGGGAAGGAGAGATGCCTTTAGTAGAACGTCCAGAAGCATTGTGGCGAGGTGTTGGATGTTTTTCCGCTGTGGTCATCGGTGGCCATTATGAACGCAATACTTTTGGGCAGAAGCACGCCATCTTACGCCAACGGCTTTCCTGGTTGCGACATAGCACGTGAGCCCGATCGCGTCGTGTTAGTTTGCCCGATCAACGATCGAGGGAGTTGTATGCCACCACGCGCCACTGTTGTGCATTGGAAAACGCACAGGATGCTGCTAGACCTCGCAGTTCCTGTACTATGCCCAATAAAGCTGGAAATGTGTGGGATTGTAATGGTACAATCGAGAAAACTCGCGCTGCTTGCCATGAAAGAGGATTACGAAAGCCCACAAATGGTATTATTTTCTCAAGCAATGATCGGACAGACACGAGAGGAATGTCTGTTCCACTGATTCAATCGCGTCACGTCATATGCTAATTAGATATCACAATGAGTATTCGAGTGGATTGGTTGGATGCAGAACCCACCAATCCAAATCCAGTGCGGCGGCGGAGTTTAGAATGTGCTACAGTGTGAACGGATCCGCAGATGCATAAGCCTAGCGACAGCTAAGTTGATCTTCACCATAACAGTTTTATATTGAGGCATTCATGCGAGTCTATTTAGAGCGATTTGCGTCTCTGCGACAGGAAGCAGGAGCGTGTAGGGGGAGGTAAGGAGGCCATCGAGCAGTGTAACATTTGAGCGGGGGTAGTCTGCTGGTGCATAACCTGCGTTGTACTAGAGCATACTTATAAAGTACGTAGATCGGCTATGGGGGGTGGAACATATCAGGGAGACTCACCTGGCCGCGGCACATGTCAGTCAAGTACATTGCGACATTGTGATACTGGCGTTCATATTCGGTTATTCTTATTCATTTTCTTGCAGTACTTAATTCTTGCAGTACTTGTTAGTGCACGAAAGTTCATGGCAGTCTAGCACGCATGCAACACCTAAGGCGAAAGAGGAGCGAAAACACCAGACACAGGCAAATCAGAACTGTCAGTTTAAGGCCACTACGTTGATACTCACTTGATTCACTGAGAGGCGGCGGTTATCAATGAAAACAACAGATGGCGATGACAGAAAAATGCTTGCAGATTTCTATCGACGCTTCTTCCGGTATTCAATGTCGGTGCCAACACGCAATATCGTGAATTTGTCTCTTACATTCGTCATTTGAACCAATATGATCTGCGTACATCCGCAGCTTCTGCTTGACTTCGCTGAGTTTGTGCTCAACTACGTAGTGCAGTGAGGTTGAATGAGTTTAAGCTCCTCGGAGGTTGTCGGAATGGTAGAGAACACGGCAGCATTTGACCGGAATGACTTCTTACTGTACCTAGGAAAGAAATCTATGTGAAATCGTCAAGATCTATTGAGTTTTCTGATGAGAGAACGGAAATTCAAAGTCATGAAGTACTAGGGGCCTCGGCGTTATTAGGGGCTGACAATCGGGGTAGCAGTGACGGCCATCTAGGCCATGCGTGAGCCACTTATAAGCTTCGTGTATGCGCTCTAGCGGTGAGGGCGACATCCTGATTGTCGAAGTTGCTGAACAAGAGGAATTTGCGCTGAGGTGTCGAACGTCGAAGTCTCGAAGACATGGACCCACTTGAACCTTCTACACCCAATTTGGCATCGCACGTGGCGACCTCATGTCAGAGTCTAGCATTGCCCGTCACGATCATCCCTCTCTTTCTTTCTTTCTTTCTTCCAGAGCGCAGTGCGCTTCCCTTCACGACCACGATTCACGGAATACGATTTTTGATAACGAACATAATCCTTCGAAATGGCTGCCCATCCTAAATCTGTCCCTCTAGTCGCTCCAGGACACACACGACCCGTCACGCACCTTCACTTCTCTCCGCTTCAAGACGATGGGACCTACGTGCTCATCTCCAGCTGCAAAGATGGCAACCCGATGTTACGAGAGTGGACAGGGGACTGGATTGGAACCTTCATTGGTCATAAGGGTGCCGTCTGGTGCAGCAAGCTCTCGCCCGACACCTCACGGGCGGCTTCTGGTAGCGCAGACTTCACGGCGTGAGTGGTTCAACCGTTTGGTGACCTGTCTAGTTTGAAACTAGAACGCTGATGGGCTTTTGAATATCAGGAAAATATGGGATACGTATAGCGGCGAACCTCTGCACTCTTTCCCCCATAATCACATTGTTCGCAGCGTAGCGTTATCGCCAAATGCTTCTCATCTTCTCACCGGAGGTCAGGAGAAGAAGGTTCGCATGTTTGACTTGCGCAGACCCGATGCAGAACCAGATCTGTTGACCGAGGGTAGCGCAATTTCACATGAGGGTACGGTCAAGAGTGTGGTTTGGGTTGGAGAGCACACGGGTGTTACGGCAGGTGAAGACGGGATTATCAAGTCAGTTGAAATGAAACTTCCATTCCAATTTTAAGAGCTAATCTGACACGTTTGACGTTATCTAGGTGGTGGGACCTTCGTTCTAGGACTGTGAGTACCAGCCTCACTTTCCCGGGACCTATCACTTCCATGGAACTTTCACCACAAACCAACCGTCTCGTCGTCACCTCTGGAAAAACTGTGTCCTTCATTCCAGCGCTTCCCAATGGAAATCAGACACACAGCCTCACACTGCCTTACGCTCCTTCGTCTGCATCTATACATCCCATTTTGCAAGATCGCTTCGTGACGGGTAGTATGAGCGATGAGTGGGTAAGGGTGCATGATTTGAGTGGAGAGGAGAGGGATGTCTTGAAGGGTCACCATGGGCCCGTACATTGCGTGGAGTTCAGTCCGGATGGTGAAATGTTCGCCAGTGGTAGTGGTTAGTTTTTCATCCAATTTGTCTACATGGTGCCATCTATTGACCCGTTTATCCTTTTCTTAATAACAGAGGATGGCACGATTCGACTTTGGCAGACGACACCAGGAAAGACGTATGGTCTTTGGCAGGGAAATCAAACTAACGGCGGTTGACCGAATTAATCTATTAGAGCTAATGCAGTATTGGTAATGATGTACGATGCCCACCTCCATCCCTCTGATCATGCAGCGAAGTCTGAATGTAAGAGCTCTTCTCCCTCCCTCCCGTCCCAGTCATCCGGTTCCCCAGATGTATCCAATTTCGAATCCAGGTTAGATTCATGGTTCACCATTGAGAGCTCGACACCGACAGGAAGATATTCGGCTTGCAAACGAATATTGATAGGTGGACCGACAACTGGATGAGACCATTCACGGTCATTCGTGACTATACCAAGCTCCTTCGCTCGAAGGATATAGCGTTTTAGCCGTCTCTTGCGAAGGAACGGTCTCAACTTCGGTTCCTGTTTCCCCAGCAAAATTCCTAGCGAGTACACCGAATGCCATATTTGACCCGTACTGTCGTATGCCAACCTCAGAAAGTTGATCATAGGTATAAATTCCGAGGCGGGGAGGCACGAAACCCATTGCTGAGTAGCCCTATCCCTGCTCCTCCAGCCCGGTGCATCACGTATAGCTGCAACATGGTCCAATTCTGCAGTAGCTTGATCATCGGGACTTTGATCATTCGTGTCTGCCGGGACGCTGTCACTGACGCTTAAAGACTTCACAGGGTCTAATGAGGTTATTTCTTCTTCACGCTTCCGGGCCCTAGATGGGGGAACCGCGTTTGCAGTCGGCTGCTCCAAATCAACGACAGTCTCCTCAGGTGAGGTTTTTTGCCAAACCACATCATCCCAGCTGTAGGTATTTGTTGCTTGTGCGATCGATGCCCGATTACTGATCTTAGAAGGATGGACAAGTACCACGCGATACCGACGCTGGTTGAGCAAGGCGAGTGCTCGCCCAAAATGGCCGTCCCCCGAAACCAGAATAACTGTAGCGGGCGCAGGATTGTCGACGGCATAGGACAGCATATCCTCTGGCAGGCATATGTTACAGTAATATTGAATGACCAAAAAACATTGCATACTTACCAATGATAGTTTGGTCGACTAAGTTCCGACCCTTAACTAATTGACAGTCTAGAACGTGCACGCCTGAGGTATGCAAGGCGAGGCGGACCTTGCCGCTGCAGAAATATGAAGGTTGACCAGCCTGTACATAACTCTTGAAGACAGTGACGGGTCCATATTTTTGACCAATATCACGCAGGCGCTGTGCTGCACGATATGAATTATTGGCTGCAGTCTGACAGTTTTCTACCGGGAATGGTCAGATGAGAACGAAGTGTCTAAATGTCAAGTACAGTAGAGCACGAACCCCAGTCCCAGAAGATTGCTACAGGGTCCCTTGGAGGCACGGATGGGCTGCCATTTGCTTGCGAGGCTGGATGAAGGGCCGATCCCAATGATGCAGGGGAGGTCAGTGCGGGGTATAGAGCGTGGCCAAGGTAGGGTTTTGCCAGCTTGAACCAGCACACCCCGCTCGCTCTCATTATTGCAGGAAGACAATAATAAGCGCCGATAAAACTGAACATAATCGCCCCGATCATTGCTCGATCAAATCCGAATAGAGTCTCAGCAGATCTCAACCTTCTTTCCAATCTACAGTCATGACAAGAAAGACCCTACAAGACCATTGCCTCTCAAATCGACTACCCTGTCTCTCTTCGAACCTCAGCTAGGGCCGTGGTAGTCTTTATGCAGCTCAATCCAGCTGTTGCCATGCCCTGAATCGTCTTTCCCCAACAAAACAATCCCTTTCTTGCTTGCCTCAACAGTGTATGCTGTCAAGCTCGAGGTGCCTAGGCGTTTGTACGCATCCTTGTCCTCCTCCAAAATCAATCTTCCTACGAGTGATGAGGTTATCCGTATATTGCCTTGCAATCGCTGCGCTTCCAGAACCTTGACCAGGACTTCAAAACCCTCAGGAGGCTTCCTGTGCTGCTTGGAGTTGGAGGGTGCCGCGCTGTGAGCCGGTATTGACTCTTGTTCTGTCTTTGTCATCTCACTTCCAGGGTTGTCCACAGTGGAATTCTTTGCAAGTTTCTTTGATCCCATTTCCACGTGAGGACTGTCTGCATCAAGTTCGACGGGCAGTGACGCTTTCCCATTTTTCTCCATCATAACGTTCTGTAATCGGCATTCCTCTGACGTCCCTCGCATATGCGCGGATTTTGAACCATCTTGCTGCCCAGTAGCCCTGGCAGCAGTGCGCGAGGACTCCCGTTCGGCCACGTCCAGAGTAGTCGACTTTTCTGGGCAACCTGGACTGAGTGGACTCAGCTTCTGCTGGGCCAGGACGTCATTCTCCCAACTGTACGTCTCAGCTGATTGTAAACTCAATCCCGGATGGGTACATCCTCTGGGTGCGATGACTATCATGCAATACTGTCTACGTCGAAGCGACGCTACAGCTCGCATGAAGTCACCGTCCCCAGATATAATAATAATAGTTGTGTCGGATGCGGCATTGTCCAGTGCAAATGTCATCATATCCACTGAGAAGCAGCATATCAATGCTATACGAGTAGACAGTGGATATCTGATCGATACACACCCATTAGCATCTTGTCGACGACATCCTTCTTTCCGTTATGAGGACAATCAATTATGTCTACTCCTGAAGATGCGAGCTCTGAGCGGGGTGATGCAGTTGCATGTTGCGCTGTTTCCAGGTATGCTTTGAACACCTTAATGGTTCCATATCGTTCTGCCAAATCAATTATAGCAGCTGCAACTGCGCACCCATCTGACGTAGATGGGACTTCACAGTTCTCTAGGAATGCAAAAAGATACGAGACGGAAGTTACACGACGTTGCCCAGCAGTATACATGAAACATACGAACCGTAGTCCCAGAATATCCCAACAATTCCTTGTGTCTTCGTGGGAAGTGCAGAGGTGGATGCCAGCGACACTTCGGAATCTCTTGCTTTACTAGACGATAGTGGGCCTTTGTGAATGCTTGTTAACGAACCTTGAGAACACACAAGTGGAGACATCAGCGCTTCAATAGAGGATGTACCCAAGCTTCGACTCTCTTGCTGGTTCCTGTCCGACGTGCTTCTGAAGCTACTATTGTCTGACTTTGTACGAAATTGCAGTTGCCCGAACCGTACTCTGCGCCGAGAAACTGCCCCTACAACATTGCCCAAAATCAAAAGGTCTCTCCAGACTACTCCCGCTGGCTGCATTTCTTTGGAGGCGAAAGCAGGATGGAAGGTCGCAGCTTGGAATGAGGCTTTTCGATGATGCTCTCCACTAATATGTACTATCGATTCTTTCTCACGCAGTCGTTCAGGCTACAAATATGATGGAACCATGATTCCTCCGTGTGGAGCAAGGGTACGACAAGCAGACACCACAAGAATGCGTTACAAATGGGACTATACTGCGGGCTTGTGACCGAAACCATGATAATCAGGGTGCAACGCGATCCAACGGTTACCATGTTCCCAATCTTCCTTTCCCAGAATAACGACACCCTCCTTCTCCGCCTGAGCAGTATAGTCCTTCAACTTCGTAGTCCCCGCGCGTGCATACGCATTTGCCTCTTCTTGTGTGACCAAAGTCCCCAGCACCGATGAGACCACCCTGGTATTGCCTTGTAACCGCTGGGCTTCTAAAACCTTGACCAGAGCCTTATAAGCTCTAGGCGGCTTCTTGTTGTGATACATGACCACAGAAGGAAGTGTGATGCCAGCAGCGAGTGAGACTTGTGTCTCCAATGTTGTTGTCGCCTCCACTTGTTGTGCAATCGAAGCAACCTCACTATAGAGACGTTGAGGCCCTGAGAGGTGATTTGCGATGGAAGCGGCATCATGTCCCCCCGACCATGTATCCGTGTGAGGGACAAGGTTTTCAAGCGAGGCAGACTGCAATGTTTTGCCATCACTCTCTTGCGTGGACAGGGTCCACCTTGACAAAGCGCTGACAGTCTTGGTTGGCAGAATGAGCCATGATTCAGCAGAAGAATTACCAAAAACGTACCGCTGGAGCATTCGCAGTGGAGCTATTCGAATGTGCAGGGTTGCCTTCTCGACTCTGTAGACCATCATCAACCAACACTAGTCTGAACAAATGTGAGCTTGGACTTACGCCCGTGCCGGCCATAGGAGGTACTGGTATGTCTGGCGACCAGTCCACGTCGTTGCCTGGCTGGATATCTGCTTCGTTCAAGTTGTTTTGCCCATCATTGTCACTACGTTTCAACTCAATACCATGGTGGGTGTTTAACCTGGATTTATGATCTACCACAGGGGAAAGGTCTTCAGCAGGAAGTACGACGGATGGCGTAGGAGCATGTACTGCTGACTGATCTATGCGGTAGGCTGCGGCACTGGCCAGAGCAGGGCGCAGCGGAGTCGCAGGCTGTCGTAGCTGCGGTGCCACAACATCATTATACCAATCGTACATCTCAGACGATTGGTACTTGAGTCCCGAATGGGTCCCACCTCGGGGTGCGATGACTACCATGCGATACTGTCGAAGTCGAAGCGACGCCACAGCCCGCATGAAGTCACCGTCTCCGGAAATAAGGATGATGGTCGCATTGGGAGGGGGGTTGTCCAACGCAAAGGTTAGCATATCAACTGGTGGGAATATGCACCCTGTTAACACAATTCAAGAAGAACAGACGGGGACATACCCATGAGTGTCTTGTCCACCACATCCTTCTTTCCATTGTGAGGACAGTCAACGATGTCCACACCCGAAGAGATGAGTTCTAAGCGAGGCGATAGAGTGCTCTGTGTCGAGGCCTCAAGATACGCCTTGAACGCTCTGATGGGCCCATATCGTTCCGCGAGACCGCGGATGCCGGCGGCGACCGCATACCCATCCGACGTGAATGGAACTTCACAGTTCTCTGAGAATACGAGTAAACCAGTAGTAAGTTGAAGAAGTCTGTCGCAGATCGATCTATGGGAATGCGCACCATAATCCCAGAATATTCCGACGTTCCTTTGAGGACTCATCATTGGTATTAACAAGACAAGACGAGTCTCAAAGCGTCTCGCCCTGCACAGACGGTGCAGTAGCATATAGGGACAGATTGTTAGCATCAACTGCCTCACTGCCTCATTGCTAACATGTTGTGGGGTAAGAACTTTCTTGTAAACGCTCACTGAGCCCGTGAGCATCTGTTGTACGTTATGGATCAAGAGATGCAAACTCCACCCTTCCTGAGCTATTCGGTTTCGTCGTATGCGGTAAACCTGCGAAGAGGTCGATGAGCTTGTGATTCCTCTCATATCTCTCTTCATTACAACGCGCTTGACTAGAAAAATGAGACCTCCAGGAAAAAGAAATAGTTCCAGAACCTGTCAATCCATACCCGTGAGCACCTACGAACCAGACGACTTCCGACTCTTCCCGTGGTATGAAGGGTGCAACGCGATCCAGCGATTCCCATGCTGTCCTTCTCCAATGATAACAACCCCGGCACTCTCAGCCGCGTCCGTATACTTCTTTAACGTCGTGATTTCACCGGATGCATACGCCGAAGGTTTGAAGTCCTCGCCCAACTGGGATGATGTGATCCGCGTGGTACCTTGCAACCGCAATTTCTCCATGACCTTTACCAAAGGCTCGAATTTGGGTGGAGGATCTTTGAGGCGGTACATAGCAGTCGTCGCCACGGTGGTGCTAGTGATGGAGGAGCTTCCGCTACGACGGTGTTCCGTGTTTACGAAGTTTGCTCGCCCACCCGCGACGGATGAAGTAGTTGACAGGAGATGAGATGATGTGGAGACTCTGTATGGGATGCCTTCGGTTGGAGTAGTAGACAGCTCAGTAAAGGGGTCTGGTAGGTTCCTGAGCGGTGTGGGTGCCGGGGTATCAGTCGAGGAGGCAGCACCCCCTTGATATGAAGGCGGCGGAGTTAAAGACTCATTAGACTGTGATGGCGAATCGGCCGGTGGGGTCTAACAACAAACTTCAGCAGGCTAAGACGTTGATTCGGGTTAGGTAGACTTACAGGTAAGGAACCTTGAGCCGCGTTGCTTGACTGGTCAGGCCTCAGTTCACTCGATGTCCCTTGAGGCTAAGGCATACAGATATTCAATGAAGTGAGCATGCCTAAGTTATGATACAGACTTACTGTGCATGGCGCGGAAATATTTGCATAAAATGAATCGAAGGCCAAACCGGCGGCAACAGCGTCAAAGATCCTAACAGGACGGTCTGGACCTTCTTCCTGATCAGGCTCCGGAGAGGGTCGTGCTTGAGACCTGCTCCCTCTGTCACCTCTTGTGAGCGTTGGGGAGGTTGGGAAGAAGGGCGCAGCAGTGGATCGAAGGGAACGGGCGGCGTTGATGGTGGAGGGGGTGTTGGAAGCGCGCGACGTCCCACTGCCACCTCGTGTGTGTGAGGGGAACTCGGAGGGCCGTGCGGATGGGGGAAGGATGTCCGAACACCAGTCATACACTTCGGATGCTTGGTGTTTCATGCTGAGGTGCATGTTGTTCTGAGTGGGAGCGATGATAACTACATGATAACGACGAAGACGTAGCAGTGATACTGCAGGGACGAAGTCACCGTCCCCTGAAATGAGGATGATGGTAGCAGGAGCAGGGTTGTCCATAGCGTAGGCTAACATATCGACTACAAACACGGAGAGATCAATATTTAGCCTCGTCAGGAATTTGGCTCCACACTACGAACCTATGAGCATTTTATCCGCTACATTCTTCCGTCCATTATGCGGACAGTCGATGATCGATACTCCACATGATATCAGTTCAGACCGAATACCCAATGACTTTGCAGAAGTCTGCTCTGAGGTCTCAAGGTACGCTTTGAAGGCCTTGACAGTACCGTACTTGTGGGCAATGTCGCGAATGCCTCCCGCCACACTATAACCGTCAGCGTGGAAAGGCAGTTCACAATTTTCTGTTTTTGGCATAAGAGTCAGTACTCAGAGGCATCTCTTAGGTTAGTGAAACAAGCACTGACCATAATCCCAAAAGATTGCTACATTTCCAGTTGGAAACGACATGGCGTACGGCAGTCAAGAAACGAGAGAGCAGCCTGGGAGGGAATAGGCGATCTTGTGTTATCGGGCCTAGTAGTTCCTGCCTCGTTCAGAACACGATGCAAGCTGGCGGACATATAGCGCTCAATCGGACGCCAAGTCAAAGGCCACTTTTATTTCTCACCTTACAGATTAAAATATTGAGGGAGTAGCCGAGGAAAACAAAAGGGTTCACTGAAAGCCAGCCAGGGGCGATGTACAATTTGGTCGTGACTCTGAAGGCCCGAAGGTCGAAGAGGTGAAAGTGTGTGCCGCGCAGTTTTGAGTTGGCGCGATCAGCTTGACGACGCTCGAGATTTACAAGTGGTTGTCAATCGGAGAGATCCTAAATACGAAGCCGTTATCCAGGGGATACGTGTTGCCGTACAAGAAGAAAGAGCATGTTCGTGAGCTGCCTGAGAAGCATTTCCAGCATTCAGGAAGAAAGACAGACAAATCGTGTTGGCGATCTAGATCTGCACAGCCACTGATCAAGCTGCCGCGCGCAGTAGGCGGTTGCCAAGCTGAATCCATGTTCATACAAGCTCGGAAGCATTTTTGAAGTGTAATTTTTGCCCATGCAAGGCTGGTTCATAAGGAACACATGTAGCTGTTGCTATCCGTTTCCATCTCAAAGGCCGCAGACTGTCAGTGTTCCACCCCAGATATGACATGATTGCAACTTGCTGGGTCAACCGACTGCGGATATAAAAGGTATGAATTACATCCTTCCGTTCCCTACAAATGACACTTGCTATTGATAGGTTTCTGCACATTTCCCAGCATATGTCATGGTCCGGTGTTCTTCGGGATTCTAGTCTTAAACAGTCGCCTTAGCTTGAGGAATAACTCACAGAGACACTACAGCTCAGCTGCGCTATAGGACTTGTCTTTGAGAGAGAAAAGCTTCACCTCACCAAGCAACGGAGTCAATCTGTCGATTGCATCCTGAATCTTACTGGTCCTTGGCAGGCATCCACTAACATCCACTGCTTCGGAAGAAGTCGGTAGGGCTCCCTATATGCGGACCGGCTGACTCCGTCCGTAACGTTCGACTCGTTCGAAACGACGAAACACCGCTGAAGGGAAGGCCATGGTGCGAGCAGCGAGAGACAGATTACGATCGAAGACGCCGCGGTAACGCTGTACGAGCCTGGATCTCCGAGCCAAATCGCTTGCTGACTGTCCGAGCTTTACCGTAATTCGGAATCCAGCTAGGCCGGCCAATAAGGATTCACAATCAGACTGACAGTGTGACTGGATGGCGGCAAACCTCAGACGTACATAAGAAGGCGAGTCAGGTCTTTCCTCCCCCATCTTCAGCACACTAGTAGAGGCCGTGCTTGAGAGAAAAGGGTAGTGGAATTCACTTTCGTGCCTACTTTTTGCAGGGTCTTCCTTGATCACCTCGAGCAATGTCTGACTTTGTGGAGGTCCTGCCTAATGCCATGAGCGTGTTCCAGGAGGTAAGGATGATGACCCATACGTACGATTGTGTTCAGCTGATTTGTTTATTGGTAGGATGCTTCGGAGCTGTCTGACATCCTCTTGCCCCGTATACGGGACGATGAAATTCTCGTGAAAATCGAGGTAATGATAGAAGACCCGTCAGACTGGAAGAGTATGTCTTTGATAATTTCTGTTTGGTTTTACCGTAAGCTGATGGGCTAATGGTTTTTCAATAGATGTTGATACTGTCACCCGTAAGCATTGTTGTCGGGGCTAACACTGAACGCCGTCTTACATCGTTTTTAGAAGAATACACTCATTCTACCCATGGTGTAGACTTCTCTGGCACAGTTGTCAAACTCGGCAGGTCTGTTACTTGTGGTGTCACCCGAGGCGATCATGTCGTTGGATTTGTGCGTTCGAGTTCAATGCGCCGTGCTGCGTATACGGACCACGGAACACAGACGAAGTACATCCGACTAGAAGGAGAGCTCGCGTGGGTTGTTCCCAGGGGCACTTTCTCACATGAGGATGCCGCGAAGGCTCGACTGGGACGTTTCCGTTATATGTTTGGTGTACAAGATTAGGCTTGGTTTTGACATCGGACAATACGTTACTGTAATTTATAATGCATTTGTATGTAAATTAATCTAGATTGTACCATACAGAAGGAGCTACATATATAGTAATACTTGACACACTTTATGGAATTCTTCACGACAAGTAACTTAGCTCAGAAGGTTGGTGTGGAAATATGTCGATCACGATCGGGCGAGATTCGCCCTCGGCTCAACCGGTCTTTTTGGAATCGCCAAGCCTCCTGCCGCTTCCAGAATCCAAATGCAGCTTGTGCTATTTACTTGAACCACCATCCATTTCATCCTACTACCTAGTTAACTAGTCGCGTCCATCTGCGAAAATGGCTAGCAATGCAGATTCAACCATCCATCCTACGCCGGCACATCACGATACGGGACACCAAGGGCCCCACCACGAGCACCACCAACCACCGCCTCCTGAACCTCATGTCAACCGACGGTCTTCCTTCTCCATTTCCGTCCCAACTCCAGATTTTATGGATGCTATCGCAGGAGGGGCTCACTATGCCGGTGGATTGCCACCTACGAGTCCCGACCCTGTCGATCACGATTCTGCGCAACATGTGAAGCATCGGAGACCTGAGACTCTCGGTCCTGACAATCCTGTCATCCAGCAGGTGTATCGGAGTGTTTTGAGTGACTTGGAAGAGGTGTGTTCATTACCTTCTTTGCGTTAATACTAAATGCAGAGTATGAATTCAGATATATTGCGGGAAGGTAACTCCAGATATCCTTCGACGTCGTTTCCGGCCGGACGCAGTATTCGAAGACCCACTCTGTATAGCTGAAGGATGGGATCAATATGCTGCTCAATGGTTTGCTCTGGTGAGTCTCGTCCGAATGGGACACCGCGGCCACTCTGTGGATACATGCTGACACCTTGCGGCCCCCCACAGCCAAAAGTCATATCGAAATCTGAACGCGTCTCTACTCGTATCATATCCGGGACGCTATCTCCAAATCGCGTGATCTTTGAACAGACGCAGGTTTATACATTCCGGTTAATCGGTCTTAAAAAGGTATGCCACCGCTAACTCGTCCACCGTTTCCGTTATATTAAACTTACAATCGCGTTTGCACAGACAATACCCTCAGTGGTCATTGTCGACCTCGACGAAGACTTCAAGATAACGCGCTTGGAGGACCAATGGTATGGCAAACCCCTCCCGAAACGATGGGGCGCGTCGTTCCTTCGCAAAGTCAATGCGATGGTCACTCCTTGGATCTTTAGCGTCCCGAAGCGAAATGTATAGGGTGGAACTAAAGGTTCCTACATCACTTATGGTCTTTTCATTTCATTGTCATGTTGGACTTCTTTCAATCATCAATTGTTGCACTATTCTTTGGATGGATGATGTCTACTTATATTGTGTATCTCTGGCTCAACTCAAGCAAAATACCAATGTAACTTGTGTATAATAATAGTAATTCTAGGACTATCAAAAATACACTGCTATGTTGTATGGAACACCTCCTCAACTATCCTGTCTCCTCTAAGGCATGCATTGAATGTCCTTCCAAAATGCCAAGTTTGTGAATTTTAGGAAACATTTCCCATATCCTTGGTTTGGATTGCCCAACAAATGGTGAAAGACCTGCTCTGACTGTGAGTTTGCTGACATTCATATTGAGAAGTGCAGGCTCCAAGGTGTTGGTGGAATCCACTTCTACTTCCACTTTGTCCAACTCCACCACAAGATTGCCAGCCCTGACAGTTGCCAGTATATCCAAGTACCATGATAACGTCTCATCATGGAAAACTCTGTACAGGTCCAATCTCAGGTGACCCAACTTGTAGTTATGTTGCAGATCAACAACTGAAGTTGTGATTAGGGTTTCAGCTTCCAAAACAAGGCTGGGATTGAAGGGATAATAAAGCTCACCATAGTTCCTGGTTCTTTCACTCATGGGTAGCCATGAACCACTAGCAGCTTTCAAGTGTAAATATTTGAGAGTTGGACCACAGACTTCCAAGAAGTCATTCAAGCCCTGAATTGCATCACTTATACACCTTGTCACAGTTATATGGAGGGTATGCAGAGTGTGGGGGGTATTGGTGTTCTGTATGAGATAGCTGAGAAAGGCACTGCTATCACTTGCACCTGACTCCTGCATCTCCAGTTCACATAAACTGGGTCCCAGCTTTCCTTTGCAGACTCTTGTATATTGGGCAGGTGGGGTAAAGGGAGGAACATGCATCACTTTGAGCTTCTTGATCCCGGGGAAAGCATGAACCAGTCTAAGAAACTGAGAGACAGGCCCTTTCTCCTCCACAAATGAATCGATGGAAAGCTCTTCAAGTGCCGGGAGAAGGTGTCTGAGCGACCTGGCAACATTTAAATTGAAGTTGCCAAACTGCTGTCCTTCGTAAAATTCAAGTGCCAGAGTCCTGAGATTGGGGAACTTCACCGGTGGAAGTATGGAGCTTGAGATCTGTCCTTCGCCAGGAAACATATATTCCAGGGTCTCGATGTACTCGGCATTCTTCGGTCTGAAGTGCATCAGGGTCCGCGTGAGCTTCTGACTTTGCGTCGTACTCTCGATCTTGATATCCCTGTATAAACCCGCCCTAACGTAGGGAACCCAAGCGCTGCATGTCAGACAGAGAGCATGAAGGGTGATTCGCTAAAAAAAAGAAAGCGGGCATCAATTACACTATCCAAACATATATTCAGGTTGTACGTGCCTTCGTCACGTCTGCATCAAGATAAAGCCAAAGGTAGCAGTCATTCACTATCATATCGAAGACAGCGAGCCAGAGCTCCAGGGGAAGGTACGGTGTATGAGCTCGTTCTGAGACCTCCATCTTGAATGACTTTCTTTTTAGTCGTTTGAAGAAGACAGTTTGACAGCCTCTGCGACTCACCAACTACGGGAGAATAATCGTGATGGTCGAATGCGAGCAGGATGGAATTGGTCGAATATCAAGACATGTTCAGCGAATGAATCGCTCTAGATCTGTAGTAGTGGCTGTAACATTATCATGATAGCCGACTCTCGTCCATTGCTTCTATATATGCTTCACAGTACCATTGCTTGTTTTTGAAACGCCGGCACCAGTATATATGACTGAAAGCTTCAAGCTTTCAGCGCAAAGGTGAACAGTTGTCGAAAAGAGACAATAGGCAACAGCCTGGGAGCATCGATGTCCAGCCAGACAACTCAGTCAACTGTCGAAGCATGGTCTCATGACCGCCTCGAACGAATCAGCTGAACTCTTCTCTTACCACATAATAACTACAGGTCAATCAAAGCAGACAACTATAAGTAGCATGAGAAATACCAACGTTGTCTACTCCCCACGACGACCACTTAGCCCCGTTTGTTGCTTTAGCTCTGTCTAGAAAGTCTCATTGCAATGTCTATCCTTCGTACCGCTAGAATACACTCGCTCGCTGTTACGAAGACGTGCATGCCAACGATGCAACGATTTGCGTCCTCGAAAGCGAAAGACTCGCCCTTGCAGACGGAGAATCAACCCAAGACGGGTGTTCAGCCACTCTACGGACCTCTTGGTGTGAACGCGGCTCTCAAGTGGTCTCCAACAGGTACCGCGCACCATATCATCTTCCCCAAACGAACACTCACTCTTACAATACTTTTCCGCATTTGACAGATCCTCCACCGAGGCCCACCCTCTTCCCTCACGAATTTTCCCTTTCCGATCGCGTCGCACTAGTCTCAGGCGCAAACCGAGGTCTAGGTCTCGAAATGGCTCTAGCCTTGATCGAAGCAGGTGCACGAGCAGTCTATTGTGTCGACCTACCCAAGACAGCCGGTGAAGAATGGCATAAGGTAAAGGAGTATGCGAAGAACATGAAGGGAAAGGGTGGAGAAGGACGATTAGAGTATCTTCATGCGAACGTTACTGATCAGGTACGTGATTGGTGGTGCGAGTAAACATGCCAGGTGAGGAGTGCGGGAAACTGACAGAGGAGACGTGTAGGAGGCAATGTGGAAGATTGGCGAGACGGTTGGGAGTAGGGAAGGCAGGTTGGATGTTGGTATAGCGGCTGCAGGTGTCCTCAAGGAGCATACCGATTGTCTCGAGTATCCGGCAAAGCAATTCCGAGAAGTAAGCCATCATCACAGTTTCCAGTGAGACGAAGCCAGCTAGAGACGTTCAATCGTACTGACGTCCAAAAACCTGCAGGTAATAGACGTAAATGTGAACGGCGTCTTGTTCACGGCACAAGCAGCAGGTCGGCAGATGGCCAAGTTCGGGAACGGCGGAAGCCTGATATTGATCGCCAGCATGAGTGGGAGCATCACGAACAAGGTGTGCGACCAGACTCGACAGTCGACTGCGGATGAGATTTTATGATTTGATTTTGATTTAGGACCACGCTTGGGTGAGTTACAACAGTTCCAAGTCTGCGGTTTTGCAGATGGCGCGAAGTATGGCATGTGAGCTAGGGCCGAAGAGAATCCGAGTGAATACGCTTAGTCCAGGTCATATATACACGACGTGCGCGACTTGGTCATCCTTTATCGTTGCAGACAAACGTCACTCACCCGTTACATTGCTGTCCTCACCATCCATGTCTTTCGGTTATCATCTGAAAACCCATACCGGCACGTCTGACCCGACCACGACGCGTCAACTATTGCCGCTGCAACAAAATAACGCAGCATGACCGCAGCGTACCTTGATAAACAACCACACCTGCTAGCCAAATGGGCCAGTCTTAATCCTATGGGCCGGATCGGACGACCAGACGAGCTGCGAGGAGTGGTCACTTGGCTTGCAAGTGACGCTAGTACGTTCTGTACTGGAAGCGAGTACGTGGGCCGTTTTTGTTGCGCGTTTCTGATAACATCTTGCTGAGTGCGATTGGTCGCAGTATTCTTGTCGATGGTGGACATCATGCGTGGTAACGGCGTGTTTTTGGGGACACGCTGGAACGCTTAGTAGCGGGTCGCACTAGATTACGATGCAGGAATTTGTATAACACGCTGAGAAATGTGCTATTAGCGTATTACCGTGGACATTGTCAGCTGGAACTCCAATGCGCTCTCCTCATTGCTGCTGGCGGCGAGGGATACGGAATACACACGCCCGGTGGAGGCTCACAAGTATAGCACACCGGGAAGCCCAGATAACGAGGGACTATGATTGGTGGTATCAGACGGCTGGAAGGCAAGTAGACTGTTACAGGGATGAGGGCGCCTAGGATACAGGGGAATTCAGGAGGTATGGGAGAAGAGGCTATTCTTGGGGAAAGCCTGTGTACGAGAGGGTGATGGGTCCGACATGTTTCCGGGTACTTAGGAACAGATAACCGTTGAGGATAAGGAGAGACTGCGCGGGACCGTCGATGTTAGAGGACGAGTGTAAGAGAGACGAAGACGAGTGAGAGCGTGCGGGCAGAAAATTGACAACGCTCAAGCAACTGGTACAGCTTCCTAATAGACAACACTGTGAGGAAACAGGACAAATGCTGTTTGAGGCGACAAGAAGAGAACTCGCATGCGGAATACGATGCGAGTGTAGACCATCGACGTAGAAACGCAGGTAATGGAGAGCACAAGATAGGCCGATGAAGAGTGCTCTGTGACAACGTTCGGAGTCGTAGCTAGTGGGGGTCACCGAAGAGGCAGCGTGACAGAGTGTGACATCGAGCACGTGGGAGATCTGAGATGGGTGCGCAGCTTGACTGCGGAGTAGCAGCAGAGGAGTTGGAAGAGAAAGACTGCACAGAACGCTGTCAGCTCTCCCTATGGTCCTCTCGCAGCATCTCCGCAGCCGCTAGTCCCTCTATCCCTCTCTACCCAGAACCACCGTGTTCACAAGAGCGTTTTGCTTTCGCTCGCCGTCCACCATGCCAGACGAGTCTTCTCAGTTACTCGCACCCTCTAGGAAGGGCAAGGAGCGCCAGGCTCCTCAGCCGACAGATATCGCAGAGAAGCTCTATGCTCTCCAGCGGAAACAAGCCCAGTACGTACCCTACTTTTCAAATTTCTCTCGCCAACTCATCCCTATCTGCTAGGATGAGCAGGCCGAAGGAGCGACCAGAACGAGCCCATCCTTCTTCGTCTTCTACTTCACGAGTCGCCGCCGCACGCTCACCCTCGCCTCGAAAACTTCTTGCACCTAATCCCAATATCATCGTCTCCCGCTCGCATTCTCCTGAACCAGACGTACAAGACTTTTCACGTCGCCTCAAGATCTCCCCGGCTTCACCGCGAGCTGCTCACTCTCGAGCCCAGAACGGTTCCTCCAGTCACCCAGTCGCCAAGTTGTACAACCCCAACGCTCCCGAGCCGGGTCGAAAAGCGGTCATAACCGCAGAACCAGACGCCATGTCGGATGGTGCTTCTAGTTCTTACGCCCCGCGAGCTGGCGTTCCCTCCCGGACCCATCAGCCTGCGCAGTCGTCTCGCGCAGCAGGGGGGGATGGCCATAGGCTTTTTGACCCGAGGAAGGACAACCCGACCAAGTTCTTCCCTCGAGGTGGCAGCCCCAACATGAGCTCACGACCTACGCCGACGCCCAAGTCGTCGGGCGATTACATCTCTGCCTCGTCGACGTCTTCTGCTTCGTATGCCCATTCGTTTATATCTTCCAACTTTACGCTTTCATCGACGACCACTGATTCGTCCGCTTCTTCCGCCATCTTCGATCACGAACGACGATCGGAAGAAAGCTCAGGGCAAACAAGCGCGCTATCGAATCAATTGAAGCGTGTGTACAGGTCGATAAGCACGTTGGAGGAGAAGCTCAAGAGCGAAGACTGGGACTTTGACGAGGAGGTCGAGCGGGAATCTGGGCGAGTGGGAGTGCTCGTGAAAAGCAAGTTGGCGAATGGGAGTCCAGTGCAGGAGGTGAAGGGAAGCAGCGAGGAGCAGGAGAGGGAACGCTGGAAGAAGATCATAAATAGGCATAAAGAGTACGTTCTGTGACCTCATTTCAGTTTGATATTCACTGATCGATTCACTCTAGACTCGCGGAGAATATGCATTATATGTTGTCATTGACTTCTGCGCCTACCCTTCCCTCTTCCCTGCGAAATGTTCCCATCAAATACAACCTCATTATTCGTCTATGGACACATGCATTCCACAAACCGCTCGAATCCCTCCGCAAAGCGGCCAATCCACCTACATCTTCTCGCGTTGCTCTCGAACACCTTCAGGTAGGTCATAACAACTACCACATTGTATTTGGGCTAACTGTTTAAACAGGATTTTATTTATTATGCGTATACATTCTACACTTGCCTATTCGAAGAACGTAATCTATCGGCTTTCCGAGGAGGCTGGGTCGAAGCTCTGGGCGACCTTGCTCGATACCGTATGGCTGTCAGCGTCATGGTCGACAACGCCGCCGCTCCCTCTCCAAGTGCACTCCCCGCCCGCGTCACCACACTTTCCGCTTCCAATCTCACCCCACGTCCACCGACACCCCTCGGTAACGGCTCGGCAGTGTCCGACAAAGCCGCCTCGCCTACCCCTGCCCCGCGCATTGACGACTCTCAGGCTGCTTCCCAACTCGAGGCAGTCGTACCGGTTTCAAACATCAAGCAGCAGCAAGCATACCAACCTAGCGTTGGTATACTTGCTGCGCGCTTGATGGAGTTGGACCCGGAGAAGGAGAGATGGAGACAAATCGCGAGGGAGTGGTATGCAAGGGGCCTTGCTGCTACGCCTGGTGCCGGGAAGCTTCACCACCATCTTGGGCTTCTGAGTCGAGACAAAGATGGTGGTGAGGAGGAATTACGGGGCGTTTACCATTTTGTCAAGAGGTATGTGTTTGTCGTTGTGGTAATATTCATTTCATTTACTCATTATATGCGTCTAGTTTGATCACTGTCCATCCGTTTACTACCTCTCGCGAGTCGATACAGCCGCTTTGGTCCGTTGCCGCTCAAAAGCGACGTCAAGCTCCGGAAGCTCGACTTTCGGAGCTTTTCGTGCTTCTTCACGGTATGCTCTTCACGAACATCCAACTCGACGACTTCAAGGGGATTCTCTCACGGTTCGAAGAAAAGCTTCTCATTGAAGGTAGGTTTCATCTTGTGCTTGATTACTTTCGCGTGTCTGCTCTTGCGCTCAGTGGAAGGGTCATTTGGAAGACGGGACTGGACGTCAGGGTTTCGCACTAGCGAAGCTCTCTGACGCCAGTCCCCTCTGTCAAGTGCTCTGGCGCAGAGATTTTTTTGATTGCTCCATTTGTTCGTTCGTGACGTTTTTATTTATGCTCTTCTTTTTTTCTCAACAGGCGAAGTTGTCGAAGAGCGCGAATGGATTATGATGGCCATCGTCAATCTTGGCGCCTTACTTGAATTCGGCAAGCCCACTGCGGTCCTACGTCGCGTTTCTGGTGTCGGTGGACGGGATACTATGCCTGGTGTCCCTCCGCCTTCGAGTCCCGCTAACGGTGTCGCCGGCAAAGTCAAGTTAATGGCGAAACGAGGCGAAGGCGAGGAGAAAAAGATGGACGTTGACGACGAAACTGGTCGTGCCGCCGCATCGCAAACGTCGCCTCTCCTCGCAAACGCCTCCACGACATCATCACCCGAGCTCCCGATTGCATTCCAATATGCAGTGCAGCTCGCGTTTTCGATGTTAGCTCAAGCCCTTCGGAAACCCACCCGCAAGACATCTCCATTTGCTCAACATAGCCTCAACCCGTATATCGTCATTATGTTGACTTTTCTGTCAACTATCCTCAAGGACAGGCACGCGCTCGCCATCCTTGAACGTTCCATTCCCTGGGAGGCGCTTGCAACTTTCTTCAACACCATGTCGCGCCGCCTCCTGCAACGTGAGCAGGACAAGGAACGTAGCGAAAGCGCCCTTCTCCTGACGAGCGGCTGTGCGCCATTGCCGGAAGACTGGTGTCTCCGCGGTCTTGGATGGGGTGGCAAGAAAGTCTACGAGCGCGGATTCTGGGGTAAGGATGTTGGCTGCGGCGACGAGAAGAACATCGAAGTCGAAGTCCTGGATCGGTGCGAAGCCAACGAGGAGATGATGGACGGTATCATCGAGGATGAGAACGAAGACGACCCAAAAGCCCAAGTCGACCCGACCCGACAAGCCATGCAAGGCCGTTGGGTCCGTGCAGCCCGTGCAGCGTTGAAGATCGGCAAGATCGTCAATGGACTGACATTCGTACCGCCTGTGAATAAGGACGATCGGGGCGAGTGGCGTATTGAAGGCGCGCTCGCGGACAAGGTTGCTCGATGGGAGGAGGAAGATAGGCGCGAGCGTGAGGAGGAGGAGCGCCGCCTTAGGGGCACCAAATGGGGTGATGATGATAGTATGGACGTTGATGATGAGGATGTCGGCATGGATGGCGGAAGTAGCGACGATAATGAGGACGACGAGGATGATACCGACGAAGTCAAGGCACTCAAGGTACGATTTTCCATCTTACTCAACGTCACTCCATGATTAACCATAACATCTTTTCCCACAGGCACGATACAGATATCTACAGAGTCTTTTGCAATCGTCGCCGAATCCCTGGTCTTCGCCTAGGCGCCAACCTCGTGGACGCACTTCTCGAAAAGCTGCCGCGACACGACAATCTCTGCGTGTCGTTCCAGGGTACACAATCCTTATCGTGGACACGAATATACTTCTCTCCTCCCTTCCGATGTTCTCTCGACTTGTCGAAAGCCAACAATGGACTATCATTGTTCCTCTCCCCGTGATCATGGAGTTGGATGGACTCGCTTCGAACTCATCACCTCTTGGCGAAGCCGCTCTCTCTGCAGCCTCCTCCATCACCTCGCACATCCGAAGTCATTCGAACTCGCTCAAGGTTCAAACCTCCCGTGGCAACTTCTTGCAGTCCCTCAATGTGCGCACGGAGCTTGTAGAGTTTAACGGCAACGAGGATTCTTGGGAACGCAATATGGACGATCTCATCCTTCGTGCGGCGATTTGGCAGAAAGATCATTGGGCTGACCGTTCTGCCTTCTTCAAGCTCGATAGCGCCCGGGACACCTCCGGGGCTGCCAAAGTGATCTTGCTCAGCTTCGATCGGATGCGTAAGTCGTGTTTATCTTTGTCATGTAATTCACTTTTGAGGGTGCTGACTACCATAATCCTTTCTGACATAGTTCGCCTGAAAGCACGGTCTCGAGAAGTTGACGCCGCGGACGAGCGTGACTTGGCCTCCATCCTCGCTATGGGTACATAAGTCCTTTGGAAGCAATACTGTACTCTTGACGTCAAACATGACGACCAAACTACCTTCACCGCCGACCTCTGATCGGAAAAGGCACTTCTACTCGCTTGCGCCGGACAAATCTTGGGGCCCAGCCCCCGCCCCTTCTATTGACTTGAGGCAGGCTTCTGGCTTTCATCCACAGTGGGCCATAAAGATGACGCTGTGGCGTGGATAGGACTTTTCGGTTGTTATGGGCTAGTACTAACAGCAAGTGGATGTATGGGTTGGGGTATCTATTCGGTTTTAGTGTTGTCATCTTCCATTCCTTTCTTTTCCTATCTGGACTATTCCGTCGACGTTCTCTCTTGTCTGTCCTTTCCGCATGAGTATACCCACCATTCGCTTTCCATGCACATACCAATGTACAAGTACCATCATAGCAATTTCGTCTTGTTGTAGAGTGTATCTTACTGTAGGCTCTTCGAACCGCACACACTTTCCTTCGCTACACTCCACTCTATTACTTGCGAACTGAATGAATGAACTTCATCGTCGATCAAGATTAGATCGAGCATTGCCAGATTCGAGCGCTGTGCGAAACAATCGCAGTTTTCTTCATTCCCAACACCGCTGTTGGTCGGTTTACAGTACTTGCAAATTGCATTCGCGATGGATGTTGAGCAGCTTTATGCAGCTAAATTGCCACGCTTTTCCAACCTCTTCACGACATCCGCAATGGTGGGCAAGTTTCCGACCCGACCCCGAGGGATGCCGCCGAGCCAAGACGGAAACTTCCTATTCACCTTGCAGAGTCCATCAACAAAAGATAAGTGCTGCATGTCAATTCTGACGTTTTCTATAAACAGTGTCCCGCCGCACTTCTCCCAGAATGCCTCCGCCAGTCAAATAGTGGACGGTGCGGCGAGAGAAGGTTGACGGTGGCAATACTTCCGTAGACCGGTTATGAAGCTTCACCGGCTTCTTCTCTCCATTCGATCATCCTGTTGTTCGTCTGCTGGTCTTGCCAGGTGCGGTGTGGGTAAGATAGCGCTAGAGTTACGATTCCTTATGGAAACTGAGCTCAAGCCAGGCACGCCCAGGTGCATGTACAGGTGCAACAACGTTCCTGCTAATTGGCGTGGTAGACATCAGTCGAGTGGGATGAAATGCCCTGACTCTTCGTTATATTAGCGACCACCGCCGGTTCACACCAACTTAACTGCAATGGGCTTACTCTATGACGGGATATTGACGGTAAAGACGCTTTGCCAATTCGGATCGGGATCTTCATCACAAGTTTTGATAACAAAAGCAGCCCCCTCCATACAAGACGTGTTCGGAGAATTGGATTTGATTGGTTCACTCAGATGAACGCCGTCCAACTGCCGCTTTGAGCCTAACTTATCTATACCAATGTCATTGCCAACCCGAGTTTCTATAAAGCTGACCGAACCCGTCCAAGGCCCATCAGCCCCTCCCCGCACTTCTCTCTCTCTCTGTGCATCGATTCACTGTGCTGAGCGTCACTCTTCTTTCGTCCTCTCTCTTAACTACCACTTAACCCAGCCGTCTTTTATCCTTACCCAACTGCACCCATGATGCGCCCGACGAAAATCTACGAACACCCGGAGTTCACCCTCGAAGAAGCAGACCTATCACTATTCTCCACCATCTGCCTCATCTTCACCATGGTGCTTGCTGGTGCACTGTTTGTCATGGCCATTTCATCGTTCGTACTATGGAACGAGAGCTCATACTGTTCGTATTGTTTCTGAAACCTTACTCACACATTTGACATTGACCTTGTTGCAGTCTCATCAGGGTATCAACCCGCGTCAGTATTCTGGGCAACGCAGCAAAGCATACACACATGAGCTAAAGGGTTTAGCTTGTAAGTGTCTCTTGCTCCCCGTCCCGGCGATTTCTTCGTCATTAACGCTGAGGGTTATGCAGACGGTAGAAGCGTCCGCGATCCGAGACCGTTTCCTCCGATATAAGCTCAAACTCGAAACCCTGAGCTTAGCCTCCGCAATAAAGCGGATTGCCCCCGCCACCATTGGCCTCATATCATCTTCGGTGTATCAAAACAAATTTTGGATTCTCCGGTTGTAACAGTAGACAGTGTTTGCATCGGACAGGCATGTACTATATTTCTATATGTATTATTATTTTAGCTAGGCGCTGCTTTCCCTTCGCGCTCAAGTAGATTTAGATGCTTCTTCCTATTGCTTTCGATCGTCTAGATATAGGCTTCTTCCTTTACAAACATGCTCAACCTCATTGTTCAGACTCAAGCTCACACTCTTCCATATGCATGTATGCTCTTCGCCTCACTCACGCACTATACTTATTACGATCGGCCCAAACTTCTCATATTCTCTGAATACACTTTGTACCATATGTTCAGTCCGATAGGCATCGGGCTTATGATAGATGATGCTATCCACATAACAACCTCCTGCAGCATTAAACGCAAGTTAGCCTTATCCATTTGTTTGACATCTGGCGCGAGCTTATTGCCAATCGTTTCGAACTAAATGATTCAGAAAACTCCGAAAAGCGATGATTGTGGCGGATTCGCGACGTAGCTTGTCAGAGATTGCAGATAGCATCTGCCTTCGCAGAACACTCAACCTCATGCTCAGAGTCAGAATAAAGCCAAACAGGCGGCCGCGGACGAATGCTGGCATTGATCCTCGTACTTCCTAGACACAAGAATGAACTGTAAGTAAGCTATGTCTGTACGGAGATAGGTATTGGATGCTCGAGCTCGCGCATCTCCGTGGCGTCCGGGTCTGGTTCATTCGCTCGTCTTCGACTGAAGATGTCATGAGTTCCGTCATCTACCAAGACGGGTGGAACAATGATTCTTCCTCTGTCTGGCACCGATTCTTCACTTGGTCGACGAATTACAGCGCGTCGGTTGACCAAGAGCGTTGGCAGAGGTTCATGCCAGCCTAGTCGTTCTTGATCGAATTGGGTCTTCAGATGCTTAAGTCCGGCAAAGTATACCATTGGAATGGCCTGAATCAAGGATGTGTGATTAGCGTTCAAATTGTCAGCATGGAATGGAGAGTGACTTACGACAACCCAACAGATCCACAAGACGGTGGCAATCCCCTCGCTTCTAAGACTAAGCTCCCAATCTCGGGATATGCCCGTCTTTACCTACATTCGAAGGATTCAATACGAGACTATTGATCTCATTGCAGATGGACTTGCCTGGAAGAACGAACCACCAATTATGATTATACCTAAAATAACGTGCACAATGTTTCTTAGCGGATGAACCTTCCCTTGTTTCGGCCTCCTAAGATGAACGAGGATACCCAAGGTCATCTGCACTACGTATAACGCAAACAAGATAACACCAAAGATCTACATGAGCAACAAGAAATCCAACATGACTCAAATTCCTTGTGAACATAGACGCCAGACGATCATAACGGACTCACCTGATGTTCGTTGACAACATGAACCCGGTTCTGTCTAGATACCGATAGAGGGCCGAGAAGCCATCCAACAAGAATGATAGGCAGGCCTAGAAAGTTGATTATCCAATGTGCTTTAAACCAATTTGTCGTCCTCGTTCTCGTCCAGCGTGCGATCAGGGAGCTAAGGGGGAGTAATACAAGGAAACCGATAAAACACAGAATGGCGTGGGCGGTAAGCACCATGTCATGAGCACCTTGACGTAGTGGTGCGGAAGACGAAGAAGAGGATGTAATGTCCGATGGAGAGGGTGTTAAGGAAGTTGAAGTTGGACTCGGTATTGAAGAAGGAACGACATCCAAGACCTTTGTGAGGTTGAGAGTGAATGGACCTGCATCAAGATGCTGCTCCAATGTAGCTGATGCACTCGAATTGGACGGCGGTGTGATACCAAAAGCCCAAACGAGCTGTTGTAACCTGTCATGATTTTTCGGTATATCGAAAGCCAGAGTTGGTGTTGAAGCAGAAGACTGAGATAAGGGGGTACATTTGGATATCAGCTCTGAATAAGTTATTGCGACATCGAACTTACAAGGTTTGTCCGTGGAGATAGGCTCGCAATCCGGGGCGGCGCAGGATCCAGCGTTGGTTCAACTTTTCCCGGCGCACGCCGTTGCGAAATGGTCACAGAGTCATCTACATTCCGCCACAGAATTACATGAGAGCTATTGCTCATGCTATTGCCAAAGCCGCTACAATCGCACAGTAAAGTCAGATATCGATAAGATATTCGTGACGTAGAGCGTACATTGCCATCCATCCTAGTTGATTTAGGGACTTGAGCTCGTCTATACAAAGTTCGCCTACGTCAGTGTTGTCTTGAGGTAGTTATCGTTGTTTACATACAGGTCACGATGGTATCGTTCACTGTCGCACTGGCGCACATCAAGGTACCACACCACGAATCGCCTGTAAGCGCAGTCGCTTCGGTGATTGATCGAGTAGAAAGTACTGAGGTCAATAGCAGTAGTAGAGGCTTTGGCAACATGTGTAGCTTTGGCAACATTGCTGCCAAGACTGAGCGAAGGATGAGTGCAAAGAGGAACGAGGCTGCGGGGGATATATGCAACCCCCCGCTGCACCTGCCCCAAACCCACGAGAGTATCGATGCCTCTTTCTCATGGGACAGCCAATTCAGACGTTGGGAATAGACCACACAGACACCGGCAGTGCTTGAAGTGGAGATAGCCGTCAAAGTATCCCAAACTCTCAGCGGTTATCCAATTATGTAACGAAGGGCGCACCGAACGGAGGCTATTTCACGTTCGCATTCATCGCAGCAGTCGATTCTATCCCGATATCAATTGAGTTCTATGAATGTACACGTTGTGCCCAAGCCACGAATAACTTCTTTTACACCGGGAGACAATTACTCGAAGATCCACTTCTCGTTGTCGTTGGTGTACTGAACGACACCCTCGGGGAACCAGCTAGTATTTTTTTAAGTCAGTAAGGGTACGGTTAATTGAATTCTCTTGTGCACCCACAGCTGGATTTCCTTCTCAGCGCTCTCGACAGCATCAGAGCCGTGGCAGATGTTGCGTCCGACGGCGAGAGCGAAATCGCCACGAATGGTACCTGGAGTGATCGACGCGATCAGTTAGAGATAAGATAAGATTGCATAGAAATAAAACTCACCCGGGGCAGAAGCAAGAGGGTTGGTAGCACCGAGCATGACACGGCCAGTCTTGACAGCATCAAGGCCTTGCCAGACCATTGCGACAACGGGGCCAGATGCCATGTACTTAATCAAGCCAGGGAAGAAAGGCTTGCCCTTAAGGTCAGCATAGTCTATACATACAATCAGCCCTCGGTTCTGGAACTACACTAGCATGAGAACATGCCACTCACGCTTCTCCAAGTGCTCAGGGGTAGCGTGGACGAGCTTGAGAGCGATCAGTTTGAACCCACGCTGCTCAAAGCGGGAGATGATGTTGCCAACGAGTCCACGTTGGACACCGTCAGGCTGCATATAATTGAATGAAAAGTCCGCAGTGCACGCCCATTAAAAATACATACCTTGACCATGATGTAGGTGCGTTCTTGGACAGACATTGTGGTATAAAATGGGTCGTTGAAGAGGAGAAGGGGATGAGAGGTGGATGAACGTCTCTGGCTGGCAACGGTGTGGTCGGCTAGAGTTTTATAGCACTCAAGTTATCGATTGCAAGATCCAGATTCAGTCTATAGCCACCAAAGCCAAACAGAACCAAATGAGCGCTCGGGAGTTGTCGGTGCAGAGTCGAGCGCAGACACAACTCACTTGTACACACCGTTCAAAATGACTCTCTTTGGTCCTCTGGGTCTTTCTCTCGCACCCTACATCCGCTCTTCGAGGACTCTCAGGAGATGGATCAAGCCTTTTGCTGACTGGTATGTCGGCCTTGCTGGATACAGAAAGGTTGGCTTGAGATATGACGACCTCCGTGCGTATCCAATCCGCGTTCAGTTATTTGATACAAACTCATGTTGTACATTCACAGTCGTCGAGGAGCGAGATGACGTCCAGAGGGTGCGCTAGACATTGTCATTCATCCTCCCTACACCTCTCACAAAACAGATAGGCACTTACTCGTTTAACGCCACGGGAGGCTTATGACCGCGCATACCGATTCAAGCGTGCTTCGCAACTCAGCATCCTCCATACCAATCTCCCTAAAGACCAGTGGACAAAACCAGAAGAGGTATACATTGTTCTACAGTCGAAGTATATAACGATGTTAAATGACATCACAGGATGTTCGATACCTCAAGCCTCATATCGAGGATGTCGAGAAGGAAGAGAATGAGCGTAAAGTGTGGGACAGTGTTCATGTCGAGAGGAAGTAACCGCGCTTTGCACCTTCTTATTGGTCGCACAACATCCTGCTTTGGATATGCTGTAGAGTGTAACTTACACCCACCAAATCTCGGTACACTTATTCGAAAACACTTCCTAGCAGTCCCTTTGGTGCCGTCACGAGGAGTATTCACTTCTTTGACGTTTGGAAAGATGCTCAGAATATCATGGGCATATCAAGCACAATACACGGAATTCTATTGGGGTGCTATCCATAAAACCCAATGTTACAAAAAGTACATCTTGGTATTCTTCTTCTATGTTGCCTCAAGCAGACACATTCCCAAATCATTCTAGACTCTAAATTGCCTTGACCAAAGGAGAGATGACCTCACCACCCTTCTGCTTGTAAAAGTTAATGACCTTCTTGCCGATCTCGGCAATGTCTGAACGGGTGGTCAGCATAATTGGATACAACAATCAATTTTTAGGGTACTCACTGGGTCCAGTAATCCCGAACTTCTCATACACCTTCTTATACGGACCAGAAGCACCCCAACCGAACAGACCGAATTGCTAGAAAACCCATAATCAGCTTCATATTTCTGGCAAAACTCACGAGGTACTCACCTCATGGCTGTATTTCTGCCAGCCGAGGGTCTATGAAGAAACGTTGGTCAACGAGGCATACTTGAAGACGTAAATCGAAGTTATGACGCTTACCGAGAGAGCCTCGACCGACAAAATGGGTGCACCACTCCTCAAGACGCTTAATCGGTACTCGGCAGGTTGAGCATCGAAGACAGACCAGCAGGGCAAGCTGACAACACGAGCCTTGAAACCCTCCGACTGGAGCTTCTGGGCCGCCTCCAGAGCAATGCTGACCTCGCTTCCAGAAGAAACGATAGTGAGGTCCTCATTCTGCTCCTCATACACAACATAGCCTCCCTTGGAAGCATGCTCGATAGTAGAGTTCTCGAGATTGGGAAGGTTTTGACGGGAAAGAGAGAGGATGGAAGGAGTCGTGTTACTCTTGAGGGCGACGAGGTATGCGGCAGAAGTCTCGTTACCGTCTGCTGGACGCCAGAAATCGAGATTGGGGGTGGCACGGAAGTGGGCGGCTGTCTCGATAGGTTGGTGGGTGGGACCGTCCTCTCCGAGGCCAATCGAATCGTGGGTAGCTATGAGTAGATATTTAGGTGTGTCCTCGGTAAAATGCATGATCTCTGTGTACTCACCGACCCAAATGACCTGGTGCCCGCTCAGGGCAGAAAGACGAACAGCGCCAGCAGCATATGAGACAAAGTTCTGGCCAGTCGAAGGTGAACATTACCAAGTAGAGCGGAATGGAGGATATAAAACTTACCAGGAAAGTGGCGACGAAGGGAATGATTCCGCCATAGGCCGATAAACCGTTGGCAATGGCACCCATACCATGCTCACGAACACCATATCGAACGTAGGTGCCCTTGTAGCTACCCAAGCCTGTGCTAGGGGGCTGGAAGTCCTCAACAGTCTTGACTCGTGTCAAGTTGCTGCCAGTCAAATCTGCAGAACCACCTATGAAATCAGGGAATGCGGGGGTGATAGCAGTAAGGACGATCTCAGAGAGCTTGCGAGAAGCCTGGGCGGCATCCGAGGGCTTGTACACAGGGAGGAGTTGCTCCCAGTTCTCAGGGAGTTTACCAGAAATACGACGAGTGAGCTCAGCGTACTCCTTAGGGAACTTCTGTGCATATGACGCGAGAACTTGGTTCCAGGATTGTTCGAGCTTTGCACCGCGGGCGGCGACGCTGTTGTAGATGTCATAGATCTCTTGGGGGACGTAGAAGCTCTGGTCGGCGGGGAGGTTAAATTTAGCTTTGAGTTGCTGGATATCATCAGCCTTCAGTGCTTTCGAAAGGGAGCAATATTAGTGACTGAGAGATCCGAAAAGTCGATGAAAAACATACGAGCACCGTGTACGCCGTGAGTACCCTGCTGCTTCGAACCGAAGCCGATGGTTGTGCGTAGACGAATGATGGTGGGCTTGTTCTTCTCCTTGCGAGCCTCCTCGATAGCATTGTAGATGGCATCGAGATCGCTGTATTGTTGTTCAATACAGGATACTCGATGACACTTCCACCTAGAACTTACCTGTCTCCATTATCTACGTGGAGTACTTGCCATCCGTAGGAGAGGAATCGTTGCTCAACATTTTCAGTGAAAGCAACGTTGGTGTCACCATCAATGGAGATGTCTACACGCTACGTGAATCGACAGTCTGAATGGTCAAATACTTCAACTCACGGTTATCATCGTAAATCTGTAGAATGTCGTGAGTAGTTTGAAGTCCTGCGACAATCAGAATACTCACGTAGATGAGGTTGCCAAGTTGCAAGTGTCCAGCCAAGCTCGCCGCCTCGCTCGCGACACCCTCCATCAAGCAACCGTCACCAGTAAAGACTGCATGATCATTCCGTTAGAAACAAAAAAAAGGTAGCCATAGCAATAAAGCTACCGTATGTGTAGTTGTTGACGAGTTCGTGGCCCTCCTTATTGTAGACGGCGGCCATATGCGCCTGCGCAATGCCGAAGCCGACGCCATTGGCGAAACCCTGACCGAGAGGACCAGTGGTGACCTCAATGCCATCAGTGTGTCTGTATTCAGGGTGACCAGGAGTCAAGGAGTCAATTTGACGGAAAGCCTTCAAGTCGTCCAACGATAGCTTAAAGCCGAGAAGATGGAGAATGATATATTGGAGAGCACAACTGTGGACCATTGAGTCCGCCGATCAACGCTAAGACTCGAAATGTAACATACGCATGTCTGGAAAAGTCACAAGAATTAGTAGATCGCTAGCCAAAAAGGAAAAATGTACGGACCCGTTAGAGAGCACGAATCGATCGCGGTTATACCACTTGGAGTTCTTGGGGTTAGTGTTGAAAAATCTAAAGCGACGACTTCAGTTTTCGGGCGATCGAAGGGAAATTAGCTTAATTACCTAGTAAAAAGGACATGGGCAACCGGTGCCATGCCCATGGGAGCACCTGTAGCATCACGAGTGGTCTTCAGTCGTCGCGATCACTCTCAGATCGGGTCAACATACCAGGGTGACCAGAGTTGGCCTTGCCGACGACATCCGCTGCAAGAGCACGGATGGTGGCAATAGCAAGGTGATCTTGTTGAGTGAAGCGAGACATGGCTTGGGCGTATGAGTAAAAAGAAAAGGATGGGGGGACGCGAGCTTATATGCGCTTTGCACGATCTCGATATCTAATCATCCTTCCCCACCGTGTTCCGGATCACTCTCACGCTTCTCCTCCGTTTTCATTGGTCCTTTGTGACCTTCGCCGGTATTTCCTTCGAAGGCCGCTCTTCACCACCTCGCTTCGTCATCCGATCCACTTCACGCTTGCATGAGCCCAAATTGAAAAACGCTTGAAACTTGGTCCTTCCGCCCGGCCTAATCATCATGCACCCCCAATTGTCAGGGGACAAACGAATTGGTGAGTCCCGTTGCGACTTTCTCCAAACCATGCTCACGTCAGTTTGGTCACTGGGAACGAACACTGAATTTGTTTTCTGCACTCCCATAGTCTGCAAGGAATTCATCCAGGCACTCGAAGCATGTCATGCTGATTCATGGGCTAAATGGACTGGTGGGTGTAATCAAGCGAAGCGTGATCTGAACAATTGCCTCAGACAAGACGTACGTACTGCTTTTCTTTTCCTCCTTCTCATCGTTTGAAACTATAATTACAGCGTCTTGATCAATCTGCAAAAAATCGCGAGAATGCTAAGCTACGACGGGGGAAGACTGAGAAGGCCTGGCAAGATCTTCATGACGAGTAACCGAGCCCTCTCCATTCCTGTGATCGCACGCTGTAGTGCACATGCTTTGACACTCGAAATATCTCATCCCATTCAGGGACTGGGAAACGTGATACCGGCGCAAACCATCCTGTTACGCCGTTGTCCTTATATTCCTATGGCCTACACTATTGTACACAGGGACGACATTGCGTCATGATTTAATCAGTATCTGAGAGGCGTACCTTCTTTACCTTCCTTAATGCCATCATGTACTCTCCCACCCAGGGCCAGCTTCACAGAAGTCAGGTTAAGGTCGCCCGTGACCTTCACAATTACCTCTCCTCGCTTACACTCCGCTGTTACAATACCAGCGATGTCCTTGTCTGTGCCAGTCGGGACCTCTGCATTTACGACCTGACCTTCTGACAACTCAAACACATAAACCTCCAAATTCTCGGCGAAATTGTAGTCCGGACGTCCGATACCCTCTGGTCCAAGACACAGGACAGTTCCAGGCCTCACCCAAACTGGGATTTCGTCGAGGGGAACTATTTCCTTCACCCATTGCGGCCCAACTATAGTGCGCTCAGGGTGGAAGAAAGATGTCCAACGTCCAGCAGGGATGTAGTATTCAGACTCCTCGTCACTGGGAACGAACACGGGTGCCACGAGCAACGAATGGCCCAGCATATATTGACGATCGAGGTAATGCGTGGTTCGGTCCTCCGGAAACTCCAGAAACATCGCTCGTTGCATGGGATGTCCTACAGCGTTTCCTTGCAAAGCCTGAATTTGATGCTAAGTAACGGGAATCGAGCTTAAGACTAAAGGACTAACTAGTTGATAAAGATATGGCATGAGTCGGTGCTTGGCATTGAGGAACCGAGCCATATACTCTGCTGCTTCTTCGCCATATTGCCAGGGAACTCTGTACGACATGGAGCCATGAAGACGAGAGTGTGAGGAGAAAAGACCGTAGGCAACCCAACGATGGTAAATTTGTGGAGGAGGGTGACCCTATAAAGTTTCGTAATAATGTTGTCGCATTGAACACGAGTGAATTGAAACATACTTCAAATCCCCCAATATCGTGAGAGGTGAAGGCGAAACCAGAGAGGGTCAGGCTCAGTCCACCTCTCAGCGTCTCTGCCATTGCTTCGAAGGTTGACTCGCAATCACCACCCCAATGCTAGCGTTTGATGTTTGAGACTTGCCGCTTTATATAATGTAGAACAACGCACCACTGGGAATCTATATAGAATATTTGCTACTCTATGTCTCTCGACGATAGACTGCAAAGGCTCACCTTTGTCCACCTGCGGTAGCGGAGCGAGCAAATACTACTGCCTCGCCCTTTCCGAGCCGTCTTTCCAGTAATTCGAAGACGAGCTCGTTATACAGAACCGAGTACGTGTTATGCATCCGAATTGGGTCCGAGCCATCATGGAAGACGACGTTGGCATGTGGGATACGCTCTCCAAAGTCGGTCTGGAAAACTACTCAGAACGGGGTCGCTCCACCATATCAGAAGGCGCGTATACTGACCTTGAACGTATCCACTCCAAGGTCAACAAGTGCATCAAGCTTGTCAGCATACCACTTCTTCGCCTTGGGATTGGTTATGTCGACAACACCTAGACCAGGCTGCCATAAGTCCCATCTGTGCAGTTATCATTAGCTTTCACAGAAAAGTACAATTGAAAAATGACCCACTGCCAAGGCGAGCCGTCCTTTCTTTTGATCAAGTACCCGCCCTCGACAGCTTCCTGGAAGATAGGCGACAGCTGGGAAACGTATGGGTTGACTATATGCATAATGTGAGTATCATATTATAAAACCCGAAAGGCCGAAAAAAAGAGACGCACTCCATACACATATTTTAACACCATACTTTCTCTTGATCTCCGCAAGATAAGCTTTCGGGTCAGGGAAATGATCGGGGTCGAAGGTGAATGAGCACCTGGTGGTGGTGTCATCTCAGCATACCGCGGGTAAGACATTGATAAGGAGAACGCACCATTCATATTGTTTCATCCAGAAACAATCCAAATGGAACACTCGTACAGGACAGTTTCGATCCTGCATTCCTTGAAGGAAACCAGACACCGTCTTCTCATCATAAGACGTTAGGAAGGATGTCGAAAGCCAAAGTCCGAACGTCCAGGTTGGAAGAAGGCTGATGTGGTTGAGTATGAGAGTGGACCCTGACTACATATGCCGGCACCTACGCAGGACGTCCGGTAATGCGAGTGTAACGTTCAAGTATCTGAAAAGCGACCTGAGATCTGCCGTCCGTCGTACTAGGAGATACTCAGAACTTACGTCCAGAGGTTTTTCGCCATAGATGATGAAGTACTCCAGGCTCTCCCCAGCGACACTCACACCAACACGGCTCACCTTCTCGCTACCAACTTCAACTTCAACCTCCCCAGGGTGGTTGATGAAGACACCATAGTTACGGTTCGTGATGTAGAAAGGAACACATTTGTACGCCTGTTCGCTAGAGGTCCCGCCGTCTTGGTTCCAAACGCTTACAGACTGACCTGCGGAAGAGTGTCGTATCGAATGTTCCGGAAATGTGGAATCAGTAAACTAACCGTTCTTCACAAATGCACCGAACTGTTCTCCAAGGCCGTAGATTAACTCTCCGGGAGAAAGGTTCAGTTCGGAATGAACGTATCGCACAAACTCTGGCGGCGTTCCTGGAGTAGGGTTAGAACTGAAATCAGTCATCAAGCAAGAATTGTTGGATGCGCTTCTCAATGTCCATTTGTATGGAACGTCATAGATTGCCTGATGTTTGTAACCCGCAGACGTCAAAGTGCGCGTAGGAGATTTGAACGAGATCGTGTAAGGGTTCTCGGTAATTTGAGCCGTTAATTGACCGGTGGTCACGGACCACTCTTTCTCTCCCTTGGAAAGCGACACGGAGGGCACGGGTGGATCATCGGGAAATAGAGCGATGTTTGGGGTTGGATCGCTGTGTTTGAAGTGATTGATCTTGACTCCAATCACTCCTTCGGTAGGTGAATGCACGCGAATACTGAGAACGGGACCTTTAAAGTGAATTAAGCTGAGCTTTTTATGAGATGGTTTTGATATCGATTGTCGCACCTGCCAATGTATCTCCTCGGTGCCTGATGGGCTTCGTAGAGACGTGTAAATTATATCCATCATTGTCAGGTGTTGCCTGTACGACCTGAAGACCGAAGGCAGGCTTTACACCACCCTTGAGAAGCCAGAAACCGTCATTGAAACGCATAATGCACTGCGAGGCTCGACAACGACATTGCTCAGGGATTCAGTTGTCTTTATAAGCTTCTTTATAACCTCGAAGCAACCTGGAAGACAGATGAACCATGAGCAGGCGGACCGCCATCCCGGCCGAAGTTAGCCCGCACGTCAAGATACGCGGGTACAACGTTCTAGGAGACAGTGCGACTGAACGGACGTGCATTGACTGGGCTATAAGGGTACAGATCTTTGGACGATGTTTCCTAAGACTCACCTTGGTTTCACAAGCACTCATCCACATGGGCGGCATACCGTGATCAACATATAGAAGTCTCTAAAGATATCTCGAAGGCATGAGATCCCCTGTGTTCGCATGCCAAGCCTATTCAAGGTTAGGAAGTGCAAACCACCGCACTTAGAACGCTAACGCTCCATGGCAGTAAAGGATACCTGAATTGGTGGCTTCACTTACTTGATATGGTAAAGCCGTTGAAATAGACAAACTTACTTTACAGTACGTACGCGCATACCGGTAGGAACGCTTGACTCTAGATAAGGATCCGGGGCAGTCAATCTGCGAATCATCTTACATAGAGGTTTGGCCTGAGTCGAAGTTTAAGACCTTTGACAATGATAACACGCCGCAAAACCGACAGCCTGAATCTCAAGCTGAGCCTTGAATTGAAAGGTCATTGATTGGTAACTTGGAAGAACCTTTTTCATTCAAAACTAAAGTAACGGGGGAGGGGATTGATAGAGTTTCAGTAACCTCAGTGCCACACCACGAAGAATGTACCTTTTACCAAAAGCTTTACACCAATCGATGCATCCCCCTCCGATCAATCTGTTTCAAGAATCTGCTTGGAGACAGGTTGAGTAGAGCATGCTGTGGAACGATCCCAGCAATGAAGGTAGGGCAGATTTCCATTACATCTTGCAGAGCTTGGAAGGATCGGTCACGCGCACGCTTGAGTCACGGTGGCATCCTGTGGCTGCCAAGGGCTGCCATAAGTCGCATCGAAGAGACCAGTTCTTAAAAGCACTTCGGATTCTATGCATGAAGTTTTAAGCTACAGTGAATAGTGGGGTGAGTTCCGAGTGCCAAAAGAATGTCTATCTAGATATTTTGGAGAAGATCGCTCAGCGATCTTCGCAATCTTTCACTCGAGTTTACCACGTATTCCTCTAATTCTTCATGTAGTTCACTCAGCTCTTCACCAAGCGGCTTCGTGGGTTAGCGTTTCTGCCCTATGTATGCACTATACCATGAGCTGTAGCATGAGTTGAGAAGGCGGATCTTGCTGAGTTTTGAAAACATCTGGTTTGCGAACTCCCCCCAAGCTCCCCTAACAGAATGATTGTAATATTAATAGACACCGGCTTCGGCGAGGTTGTTTGCCGGCCGAATTATGCCGTCCAAGAGTTATCATACCCGGAATGGTAACAGTCATGCCCTTCGGTCCTTCGGACTCGTTATTCAAGCGCATATCGGCAGTACAAAAATATGACAGGGCAAAGCCATGGGTATCGACGCCGTTGCTTGTTCACGTCTCGCTCATGTCGCGTCAGACTTGTGTTGAGTTCAATGAGCAACTAGTATGTCGCGAAAAGGACGTCGTTACTGTGACGGTAACGAATGAGCCCGAGTCTGGTCGACACGGTCAATGTCCTGGTTCCGGAACCGTGGAAGACCCTTATGTCGTCGACTGGGATCCAGACGACAAATCATATCCATATAACTGGTCAAACGGCCGCAGATGGTTGATTACCTTGCAGGTGATTCAATTTGTTTCCGCCTTAGCGTGTAGCCTGACGGACGAGTATGACATCAAACAGCTCGCTTTATCCACCTTGACGGTTGCATTCTGCAGCAGTGCAATCACTGGCGGCTTAGCTGCTCTTGCGAAGGAGATGCACTGTTCGCAAGAGGTTGCTTTATTAGGTGTCTCTCTTTATGTCATTGGTTTTGGACTAGGGTAAATTTCATTGTCTTGACATTGCACTTCACGCAGCCACTCAACTATTTTTTAAGACCATTAGTCTTCGCACCCCTGAGTGAAGTAGGTTCAAGCAAGATGTTCGTTGATGTGCTTGTATTCAGTATTATTCATTTTCACAGGTACTCGGGCGAGTGAGTTATCTATATTTGCACACGAGAACATACTTAACACATCGACAGCGACCTGTCTTCCTATTAACATACAGCGTTCTAACGCTTTTTCTCCTGGGGTGTGCCTTGTCCCGTAATATTGTTGCAATGCTGATTTGCCGGCTATTCGCTGGCATCTTTGGATCATCCCGTATGTTTATCGTTTAGTCTGCCGAATCATTATATTAACCCTTCCCATTAGCACTCACCAATGCCAGTGGTGTTGTGTCTGATATTTGGACTCCTCGTGAGCGCGGAGTTGCATCTGCATGTATGTTTCATCGCTGCCGTTTGGTGTATCACAATCGTGTTTGACATTGTAAATGTCGCGAACTTTGCGTTAGTATATGCTAGCGCACCGTTTCTAGGTCCAGGTCTGTTTACGAATCTCTCGGATCCTGAATCAGTGTCTGACGTATTCTATGGATTAGTATTAGGCCCACTTGTGAGCGGTTGGGTCGCAGAGACTCGGTTAGGTTGGCGATTCAACTTCTGGATCATGTTGATGTGCGCTGGGTTCTCTCTGGTATTCGGCTTTCTGGCAACGCCTGAAACGGTGAGTTGGCTATACTTGATTTTGATACGTTACTGACGAGATCTATAGTATTCTCCGGTGTTATTGAGAAAACGTGCGAAACGACTTAGTAAGGCATCTGGCGGGCAGAAACGATACATCTCAAAGCATGACTTATTGCATGCCAGGTCATTTCGTGTTATCCTACGAACTAACATGACAAGGCCCTTTAGTGAGTGTCTTTACATTGTCCAGAATTACCTTAAACTTACGCACTCCGAAGCATTCTTAGCGACAGAACCCATCGTGCTTCTTATTGCACTTTACATCTCTATTGCATATGCGATTCTCTACTCGTTCTTCGCTGCATTCCCCATCGTGTTTCAGGAACATCGACACTTTTCTACTGGTCAAGGAGGTCTCGCATTCCTCGGTGTCGGTGCTGGAGTAGTTATCGGGTCGGCTTTGACTCCTATACAAAACAGACTTTACTGGAGGGCTATGGATAGGAGTCCTGAAGGAAAGGCACCTCCTGAAGCGTGAGCACCTGATGTCTCAGCTTGAGGCCGGAACATGCTTACTTTTTTTGGCAGCCGACTGTATCTTCCCATGTTTTCAGCAATTGTACTCCCAATTGGGCTCTTCTGGTTTGCTTGGTATGTCGTGAATCTTGACAGCTAGGGCAATATCGACGTTTATCTATGATATCAAGGACAACCGATCTTCCCGTTCACTACATTGTGCCGATCCTAGCTGGCATTCCTATTGGTTTGGGCACTGCTCAAATTATGATCGGGCTTACACAGTACCTCATTGACACGTATGGCATATTCTGTGCCAGTGCGATTGCAGCTACTGTCTTGCTCCGATCTATCCTTGCCGCTGTCTTCCCGCTCATCAGCCCGCCCATGTATAAGAAGCTGGGTAACCACTGGGCCGTCACCATATTTGCATGTATAGCACTGGCATGCACTCCAATACCGTGGTTATTTTATGTAAGTCCCTCGTTTGTCGTTGGTCGCAGGACAGAACTTCTCTGATGCCATGCTGCATTGTCAGAAATACGGTGCATTGATTCGCAGCAAATCGCAGTATGCTCGTCATCCCAGCGTACCTCCCACTGTTTTTTCAATCCGCGATACGAATGCAACGAATGAAAAGAAGGCTCAAATGTCTGTTTAGCATTTAGAATGTCTCGTAATGATTAGAGCTACGTACATACCACAACCACGTCGTCATGATAACCTATTGATCAGATTGCCATTGAGCACATTTGCCATGTCCGCGGGCCTTGTGAGGCTCAAAATATCGTTCTTCGCGTTTTGATTTGCACTAGCGAGCCTCCGACGGCCTCCCGTCTCATAAGGGATGCCCAAGTTGTCACTAATGCACCTTCTACACCAGCCAAATTTGGTACGATCAATGTTGTGATCGGGATACGTGATCGATAAATGACTCGTTGGTCTTCTTGAAGCCTTATCGACATCCCGCGGATTGTGCTCACTAATCCTCACAAGAGTCTGGATCATATCCGAGGTTAGAAATTCGTATATAGTGAGTACCAGTACCTGATCTACTTCCTTGACACTTGTAGACATGGGAAACCTATGGTTGGAAACTCCTTTGATTCATTCTCCACACATTTCAGCTCGCCTTGGGTGTAATGTGTACTTGAAGTTAGAGGTAACGTGTGTCAACAGTATCATAACGACCGTTTCTTACAGTGTCGTTCTACAGAGTCTCCAGCCCAGTCAATCGTTCAAATATAGAGGCATATCACATTTCATTCAGCATGCACTAGCTCAGTACGGACCGTCCGTACACCTCGTAATAGCCTCAGGCGGAAATGCTGGTCTTGCTGCTGCAGTTGCAGCGAAGGCATTGGGGCTTTTATGTACGGTATACCTCCCGCAGGGGGCTGGAACCCCATCAATATTGCAATTCTTTGAGCAAGCAAATGCCGATGTTAAGGAAGAGGGTAATTGCTACGCTCAAGCTCTGAAGGCTGCTGGAGAAGCGGTTGCTTCCGACCCCAAAGCGTATGTAACAACATACACATGCGTTTAACTCAATTTATTCTCTTGCAATAGTGTCTTAGTTCCTGCTTATGAGGACCCTATACTTTGGGAAGGCCATGCCTCCATGATCCCTGAGATTGCGAAGCAGCTACCACAAGGAACGAAGCCCGATGCGATTCTATGTAGCGTGGGAGGAGCTGGCCTCATTGGCGGTGTGATGTCGGGCTGCAAGCAAGTCAACTGGGATGATGGTACTTACCGTGTCTCACTTCTGAAGTGTTTGGCCGCTGATGATGCGGATTAGTCCCCCTTGTAGCATTAGAGACAACAGGGTCCAACTGCTTCTACAGATCCTTAGCCCTCAATCCTGGTCCCTTTGTGAGCCAGCAAGGGGTCGCAGCGGACACTGAGGTCATAGACGTCCCGGAGCATGGAATCAAGATTGCCCACGTTCCAAAGATCACTTCACGTGCAGCTTCTCTTGGCGCTTCTGCTCCAGCTGCAGGTGTAGTCAAGATGGCGCTGCAACGTAGCGGCGGCATAAAATCTGTTTGCGTCCCGGACGAATTGTCGATGCATGCGGGTCTGCAATTTGCAGGTGAGGCTTCCACAACATGGTCTATGTCTCTCTTCTCAACCGTCTTGCAGAGGAACACAAGATGCTCGTGGAGCTTGCTTGTGCGACCACTATGATACCAGCGTACTCGTCGGATATCTTCAATAGACTAGTACCGGAGAGGTCAGACGGCAAGGAACGGACTGTAGTATTCATTGTCTGTGGCGGGTTCAAGATCTCGCTCAATGAGATGGTTGAACACGAGGCACTTGTGAATCGAGCTCTACAGGAAAAGTCTGGACATTGGGAAGTCTTCTGTAATGGAGCACAGTGGGATATTCCTCAGCAATAGAATAGCTGTAGACGTTCATGTAGGGAAACTGCTCAACGATACCACAGTATCCTTAGAAGGCTGCATTCATAAGAAGCAAACCATATTCCTCTAAAAATAATGGCGAATGAATGGTCCAGACTCTGCTTGGCAAACACGTCAGGATTGGTCCATATAGAATGTCGACTCACGAATGACTCATAACTATATGGTAGCTTTCTACTGCCACGCTCTATAGCAAGGCTACCAGGATCCAACAACACGAGAAAGCTACACATCTCCTCCTCTCACAATTGAACATCTTTCGTAGGTGGCTGGAAACGCTACTCGTATACTCTTCGTATAGTTCAGCTCGCCTCAACCGCCATGTCCATATTACGTCAGAGGCAAGTTCTAAAGCTTCAGCTATAGCACGATTATGACAACTTACAAGTAGTCAATCGCGTAATAGAACCTCCAACCAGGACACACTCTTATATGTGGCGAAGCGACATTGTTCGTTGACAAGGCCTTAGAAGAGCATGGATCTGATATCCACATCAATACAGCTTCGAGCGGGGACGCAGCTTTGGCTGCAGCATATGTTGCTAGAGCTCGAGGTATTTGCTGTACGGTATACCTTGCACATGACGCTGACAGTCTATCGACCTTGGAGCTCTTCCTAAAATTAGGCGCGGTCGTGCATGTAGAAGGTGAACATTACGCGGAAGCGTTGGCGGCGGCGACAAAAGCAGCAGAATCTGATCCTAAAGTGTAAGTGCTTTCCCTTGGTGCCATTCTAAAGCATGACATGTTGCAGTGTCTTGGTACCATCGTGTGGTGGTCCAATTCTTCGCCAATCGTGACCTTTACGGTTACGAAGGTCGTGAGATTATTGCTCGACGGAATACCACCCGACACTATCCTTCACAATGTCGAAGGCTAGGTCTCAGCGGTGGTGTGATGCCTGTATGCAAAAAAATGGCTTGGGACGATGGTACTTGACATTGGAAGTTTCGTAGAGAAAAAATGGCAGATCAACTTCGTCCAGTGTCCATGGTCGGACTTGAGACGACTGGATCCAACTGCTTCTATCAGAACATCCACTGAACATCGCAAGCCATACGGAGCTTATATCCAAGGTACAAGTTCGCTCGACTGGCCAAATTGATGTCACAAGTAGCGCCCTTCAACGAGTCCTTGCTCGGAACCAGAGCAGTGAAAACGGCCTTGAATCGGCAAGCGAATGTACACTGTGTTTTCGCGCCAGATGACAATGAACTGGTTGGACAGATTCGCCCATAGGTCGTGACTTACCCACGCATACCACCCCTTGTATGGAAGATTCGCAGAGAGATGCATTGCATGCTCATGGAGATCGCATATTTGGTCATGTTGGTACCACTATATGAAAGCGAGTTGGTGGAATCGGTCGTATCCCGCTGAAAACGGGAAGCCAGAAGCCGACGTTGACCGCGAAATCCCACTAAATGAGACCAGACCACCAGGGCGGTCCGAAACCGAGTCCAAAATGAAACATATGGAGGTCCTCTGCAATGGAGAGCGGTGGAGTATCCTGAAGCAATAGGACAGGAATTATATCTTACGAATGTACTATATCATAAGAAGCATGAAACTCCATTGTATGCGATGCCTATGAAGAGGAGTCTTCCTTTTCCCGTTCAGCCAACTTTTCAAGTTTCTTTGCCTTTATTTTGGCAAGCTCTTCTCGTAGCGATGCTTGATCGGTGGGTAGTTTCTGTGTGTAGCGGTGAGGAAAGTATTGGCTTCACGGCAGAGAGAAACAGATAATCCAACGTACAGTTACCAACTTATGATCCGGAGGAAAGATGTGATCTTTGTACTGACGAAGTAGTGAAGCAGCTCAGTATTTCTACTCTCATTGCCTGGTAAATTGAGCTACTCACAGGGGTGACATGCTTGTTATACCAGTCTGGATCGCCGAAATGTATCATGAGGGCAACCGGGAAGAAGACATAGACAGAGAATTTGAGAACTTCAAGATTTCCTCCTCGCAGCCGTCTGAGAATAGCGGACATCTTGAATGATGAGGAAGACGTTGAAATGAGACGATCAGCATTCGGTGGAAGGATGATAGTCACGGGTCACCATGCACGTGAATTGTGTCACGCGTACCCTGCACGTAATTACCGCACGGGTGTGTTCGAAATTCGGTACAGTACATATTGACACACGTTGCCTCCGAACACTCAACGCATTTCCTTTACCCCTAGCAGGCCTGCTTCACCTTTAATTTGTCCTCATGGCTGGACGAAAACTGTCCAATAAATCTGCCAGAACAGTACTAAGGCTGAAGGCACTCAATGCTGTTCAAACTAAGGTTAGTTCATATACTATCTCAGTTTGCCATGGCAGGGAGCTAAATCATCTACGATCCAGAAACTTATAGCACGGGATGCAGAAATCAAGAGATTAAATGAACTTCTTCGTGATTACATCAGAGTCGAATGTACATATCCAGGAATAGGTGTACAACCGGCGGATAGCGACGCGGACGATGAGAACACCTCTGACGCGGTTGAAACAAGCGAATCTTGGCATCCAGAGCCGCATGCCAGCGAAACAGACGCGGTCAGCGACACGGACAACTCCTGGGACGACAATTTTGGGAAAGCGACACCCAAATGGGACCCTAATGACAGAATACATCGCTGTGGACAGTGCTTTTGGGAGATTTTGGATGGGCGCTGCCTACGCTGCCACAAGAAATACGATGTTAAGGACAAGCATTCACAAGAGGTAATATACACCTTCTGCTTGTTGTGCAATGTGTGCTCATTGAGGGTTGCAGAATGGTGATTACTTTAATAGCGTATCCACCGATGATCGTGTTATGATCTCCGCGCGACAGCTGTCTCCCCGCGGTATGACACCAACGCGTGACATATGGCCTTCATGGCTCCTACCGATGAACATCGCTCGAGGCTATCACGGTCGGGTAGAAGAATATTCTGAGCTCTTGCAAAGAGGTGCGACGCGCCTGATGTGTGAACGATTCGCATTGGAGTGGTCCGATCTAGGCATTGTTGCTTGGCTCGACGATCTTGTATATGAGGAGTTCGCGGGGCCTGCTATGAACGACCACGATCGTTGGAAACTGTACCTCGGAAGATGTGTAAGTTTGGAAGGACAAGATGAAGATGGAGCTATCTTCATTGTAGACTTCATGGAGGAAACAACCCTCTTCCAATTGACCATCTCTGGCGCAGGACGGCGATGGGAGACCTATTTAGAGAGCCTTGGCGTATGGGCCACCCGACCGGCGGGTGATGAAAGTGATGAAGAAAGTGATGAAGATGCGGAATACGAGAGTGTCCCCGCAATAGGCACCGTTGTGCGAAACGACTATGAAATTGAAGACGAAGGAGAAGCAGAGGCAGACTCCGAACCTGAGGTCCCTGCTGATGTGGCAATCAAGTCGAATGCCTCTGATGCCTCTTATGATCCGGACTCTGGCGATGAGGCTTCTGAATCAGATTCAGCAGACAGCGACTTTGACGACAATGACTTGACGTCAGGAGACGAAATGCACAATCTACAATACACTCACGTTCCACGGTCTACATACTAGTGTAGTGAGGTTGATGGGGATCCGTCGTAAAGTGAAAGTCATGCACCCGAAGTAGACTTAGAAACTTGATTATGCATGCACACTTTTCAGTCCAAAGATGTCAGGCTGAATGGAGTCATTCAATTTCAGGGCGAGCCTGGAACGCAATAAAAGCAACGAAGAGCACTTGGTAAGGGGCCGAAATTCTTACCATCTGCACGTCGTCCAGGGAAGGCGCAGACCAACTAGTGTCTTTGGAAGGAGAATGACATTGAAGGCCTCGAGGGAACATGGATGCGACCTTATGAATATAGTATCTAATATACTCACTGCGTGTGCACATTCAGGCTAGGGCTTTTCTCTGTATGCCCCAGCATCACCACGATTCTGCACTGAGCGCAAGCGAATATACGATCTTGGAATACTTGACATTCGACCGCCTCCCAAAAGAACACGTATCAGCCGCAAAGGGTGGTAATGGGCAGCGAGCCGAGAGCCTAGGTAAACTATGATGGATTCAATAATCAGCATTCCCAGGCAAAATTGAATTCTTACCATAGTGGTCGAATATTCGGGAGAACGGGATAGACTGAATCTACAAAGATAATTCATTATGGTGAACCGTGTACAAGACATGCAGCGCACCTGGATGAGCGGTACCGACCCATGCTCTGCTAATCTGAACGTGAACCCGCCTTCCGTGGGAGTCAGTCTTTGTAGAGATGGTTTCTATGAATTTACTTACCCGGCATGCGAAGAGGACTCTTAATCCGGAGTAACAAAGCGAACAGGGGGAAATGGTTCATAAGAACGAGAATAGTATCCAAGCCAGCATGGAAAAGGACAATGATAAGACGCGCCTGCGTTAGAGAAACTATTTTGTTACGTGCAGTGCCTGGAAAGACGGAAGGACTTACCAAAGCAAATAATGCGTAGTATGTTATGATGGTTGGGGATAGGAAAGCCACAAGAGTGAATAGGATTGTGCCAAGAACGAGTTGATCAACGTCATAGTCCCAAGAGTCCTTCCTTTTGCGCAGAACATTATATCGCTTCCCTATTAATCTGTCAGACCATGCAGGGTAACCTATCAGTGTGTCAAAGACTCACCTCGGAATAGGTTCCATAGTGAACCCGAGATGGTAAGCTGTTGGCTGAACACTGCAGCGGACATGATATAGCAGATATGAAGGTGCAGGGTCACTATTCCAAGAAGGTCGCTGAGCGCAGAGACTGACATAGTCAAACCGAGCGATCCTAGTAACCCAATGGCATAAATAATGCTGGGAAGATGAGGGAATATTATCCACCGCAGCACCTCTGAATAGAAATGATGAATGAATTCCAGTTCGAATAACTAAAGCGACTTACCGCCCCACACTGCAACGATGCCAAGAAGGCTGTGGCAGTAAAAGCGACTAAGTTCGGTATTTAACTTGAGACCCGCTGGCCAATTATTCAACCAGATCAAAGCATGCTGTGGCAGGTCAATAAGGGAATACTAACAGCAACGCATTCAGGTGAAAGCCCATTTGACTTAGGAAAAACACAGACCTCAAGTTTGCTGTGTAGAAGGCTTGATAATGTCTCAGAGTTCTCGCACAGGAACGAGCCTAAGGCGGACCCGATGATGATGTCGTTTAGGATGAGCCATATCTCATTCCAAAAACTAACAAGATGTATGAGGAATTCCTTCAATGGCGAGCATTGAATGGGCATACTTAACGTAACGAGAGATGGAGTGGCTCGTAGGAGGCCCGGCCGCATTGTAGATACGACGGGATTGGCTAGGAATAGACACAATTTGTTCCACACGAACATCTACTTGTTGAGCTACAGCATTATGAGCAATTGTCTAGATGACGGCATGATTCATCGCACCTGTGGCAAATATCATATTGAACAATGCAAAAATCGCACGCACTCCATTGACCAGGTTCCCATCTCCCCAATTAGTGAACAGCAAAGTTGTCTGAAACACTTTCGCCACGATCCGGTGACTCGATCTCTGTAATGAGGCAAAATAAAGCCATACATTCCTATGGGGTGTCAAATGAACCCGTCTGCGGAGGGACTGATCCAAGAAAGCACCAAGGTTCATTTGGTTGAGCACCTCGGGACCCAGAGACGAAGGTGTAACAGTTGGGCTTGTAAAATCATGCATGATGAATGCCAGTGGTGATTTTGTTGGGTACCTTGCTCTCGATTTAGGCGTTGCGAAGTCATATATATGGAAATCCAAAGCATAGATCTCCATATAACGGAGGTTTGGTCGTTGATAGAATATGACTTGAAGAGTAGTCGCTTCAGCTATGTGATGGCGAACTATTATTGATGATATGATTATAAGAAGGTTTCTGATTGCATACAGTCATGGAGTTCTATCACAAGCCTCCGCTTTACATCCAGACCTGTGAAGCGTCCAATGACCCTAGGAGAGGATCCACAAGATAGCTGCGCTGACTCGTCGGAAAGTTGAACAGAGCTCAGAATACTTTCGGCATCATTTCGCTATCACATGAATCATTAAGGAGTCCATTTCGTGTAGACAGAAAATGGCACATACCGAATCCACATACAGAACTCCTGCAACACAAATAACAGGTCGAGTCCAGCCTATACAATAGCCCCCTACTTCGCAACTGAGATCCTTCGGCCACAGGACTGGCAACACCTTCTGCATCTATATCGGACGCTCATTTAACGCATATCATTTAGAAATAGTAACGGTTGGTGGACAAGGTTGGAATTGAGTACCAAAGCGCAAGTTCGCGGTAAAGTGATCGACACTGTCGCCCAGAACTCAATCAGGCAGTCATTCAAGTTGCAAAATTATTGAACAAATCGAATTAATGACTAGTGTTACAAAATGGGACTACATAGCGACTTTACCGACTACCTCGACATTCTTATGCCAGACCGTCTCATGCTGAGTGATACATCTAGTTCTGGGCCGAACCGAAGACATAACCAACTCTCCGACCAAAGACGGCCTGAGCCGCGACTGCGCCGAACACAGCGATCAGAGCGTACAAACCCCATTTGCGTTTGGATGCTTCAGCACTACCAGGTGGAGGAGGGAACTTGTACGCGGATAACGTCTTGATCCTACGGTACTTGTCGTCCTATATGTGACTCAGTCAATATCAACCCGCCGCGATGATGAAAGAGACGAACAGTGTATGGAGGGAAACGAGGCCATAGAACCAATGTATCAAGCCTGATTGCCAGGAAATATACGTTGGCGGGAAAATACTATCAGATGATACATGTACATACCATCCCGGGCTGTCCAATAGAGCCCTGAAGAGAGTAAATGTGTTGAATCCCCACTTTCCGGTCATGCTTCCATCTGTAGATAATGTCGGTCAATGATACGTCAACATTAGGAAAGATGCTTCCGTACATCCACTGAGACCTGTCCCGCCGAACGGAAGTCCGGTCGCTGAATGTAGCAGCACATAAGCCAAAGTCATGAGCGAATGGTATGCGGCACAGCTTACCTGCTGGGTGAATGACCACATCATTGACGACAACGGCACCAGACCTCGTATTCTCTATGACTGTAGCAAACATTAGCATGAAGCTTGGGGACGTTGTAGTGTTCGATACCTTTCTTTTTCACGTTCTTGTCTTGAGTGAAAATGTAGACGCACAATGGTTGGTCTCTAAAAGCAACAGGACATTGGCATGAGGCTCGGTAGACCAGAACTGAGTTAGATGTACCGTGCATTAGCGAACGCGATCGCCTCGTCGATATTATTCACTGGGATTATCGAAAGCACGGGCCCGAATACCTCCCTATACCGGAATCTCATCAACATGATGCGGTTAGGGCAAAGAATATGAACGTACTCGCTCATTAAGGAGTCGTCGGGTGGAACATCGCGCACGATGGTAGGCGCGATGTATTTATGCTCCGGATCGACCTCTCCTCCAGCAATTACCTTCCCTTTCGTCTCAGAAAGCAGGTTCCCAATACGAGAAGCGTGCTCCGGCGTGATGATACGAGAGAATGACTTGGAGCCGGAAGGGTCGTTTTCGTAGAATGAAGCATATCTGTAAGAGCATTGATGCCACTGTTCAACGGGATACACCGGTCTACGTACGTGTTCTGAAGTTCTTTGATGAATTCCTCCTCGACCGAGCGAACAACCAGAACGTATTCCGGAGCAGTACATGCCTGTGCAGTAGTGAGGAGTTGGATGCAAAGGTGTTAAACATCTGACGAACCTGACCGGCATTTACATCCCTACCCCATAATATCCTTCTGGCAGCAAGTTTCAGGTCGGCCTTAGCGTCAACGATGGTAGGATTCTTGCCTATGAGAAGATGTCGCGAATTAGTGTCTCAGTTGGGGGAGGAAATGTTACTCAGTCTTACCTCCAAGCTAAAGTGAATGCATGTATTAATAAATAGTAATATTTGAGATTCTAAGATAAAAGCGCTTCTCACCTCGAATGTAACAGGCGTGAGTGTGTTGGCTGCAGCGTGAGCGATAATTCTGGCTACCCGTGGTGAGCCTAAGGAAAGCAAGGATTAATACACACGTCTCAACCTCTTCAGATCCGAGTTGCAGACCTGTATAGCAAACTGAAATAAGAGTCAGCGGGATACTTGTAACAAGTAGGTGAGCACATACTATGACCCCAGGGATACTCAATAAGCTACACATCGACACTCAGATGGACAGCATAGGGAGGAAGGTCCATAAATCCTTACTTTGGTTGTCTGAGGAATTCCGCCTTGGACAACCCGTACGACGTCAGGTTCGAAGTATTTGGGTACTAGTTCAGCAATTAAATCTGACATGGCAGTCGAGAGTTCCGACGGCTTAAGCAAGACCGTATTCCCAGCCGCGAGCGCACAAGCCTAGAACAAATGAGGTTGAGTAATACTTCATGCACGCGTGTGGTGGAGCAAACCAGGGGCATAAGGAGGCACAGGATAGGGAAGTTGAAAGGCCCTATGATCAAGACTACGCCTTTCGGTTCCTTCCTAACGGTGGGATTCATGAAGTACCAAAGCGCAGAGAAGGGAGCCTTCTCATCCTTGGCCCATTTCCCAACGTTGTTATACGAATCGTGGATATCGCCCAAGGTTGAGGTCATTTCCATACTAGAAAACAGGAGCATATCAGGTCAAGAATGTCTGATATGAAAAAAAGGGCCCGGTACTCACAAGTCTGCTTCAAGTGCAGGGCGCCCCAAATCTTTGGTCAATGCATCGAGGAAGCGTTGGTAATTGTCTTTCAAGAGATACGCGAGTTGTAGCAGTTGTTCCTTGCGGTGCTTGATAGGCTTCGTCTTTCCAGAGTCAAAGCCTTTCAAAAGGGCATCCCGGATCTACAAAGGTTCGTCAATACAGAAGCGGAGTTATGTGTACATGCCCGGGAGGTATACCTCAGGGATGTCTTCGAGAGGAGTGCTAGTGAACGCTGTCATTGGTATAGCAAACCTGAACAAAGGACAGGGTGCTGGATTGTAGAGGTCAATATGGTTGGCATATTCACTGCTTTATACTCCACCGTTGCTCCACCGTTAGCTTGAGTCTGCCTTGGTAGGTCGAAACTATTGAAGTTAGAAACACTCTTACATCCGACGCCAAGTAAGCATAGCAACGATATAGGAGACCGATTGTCCGTCCAGTCATACCAGGAGGCTGCCAGGAGGAGGTCTAGAGTGTGCGTATTCTGTGCGTTGAGTGAAAAGGAGTACACTTGGCAGCCTATAACCCTTCGGTCAACTGAGTTCAACAGTCGGCGAACGAGCCGAATTTAACTGCGTGACAATAGGTACTGCGTAAAAGACTTTCGTACACTCGCGAAGTGCTACAAGTATGTGGGTAATACCTCATGAACGGAGGCCAGTCTGCGTGAAGCATACGTCTGCAAAAGCCCCTGGAACGCGACTGAGTTCGGCCCTGGGTTAGGATTGATGATGTTGTCATGTTTCAGCTGCTCCACCTGATGAAGAGTGGACTATTAGTATGCCGTCTATTGCCGATATAATTTGGATAAACCTGATCTCTCGTCAAGGTAAAGAGGTTTGGAGGAAGCTTCTCCAAAATGAATCCTTGCAATTCACCGACTGCATATGGAACTGAGATGATCGGTCGCCAACGCTTGCTATACTTCAACACCAATTCCATGACTTGACGATAGGTGATCACTATAAAGCAAGACTTAGTGACATTCCTATGAAACAGACCGCCTTTTAAGTAAATTTGCATACCATCCGGCCCTCCTGCCTCGATGATCTTTCCATCCACGAGCTTTCGAATAGCTTCATCACCCCGAGATATTATTTCCACAGCCTGGGCAATATCATCAACATAAACAGGCTGGAACAATGTCTTACCGCCACCGAACACAGGCATGAAGGGCAGGACTCTAGACAATCGTGCAAAGCGCTACATGAAAATGACATCAGTACATGAACCGTTATAGAGTATGCAGCAAAGAAAGAAAGGGCGCATACATTGAAGAAATCATCCCCAGGCCCAAAAACAAGGCTTGGCCTAATCACAGTCGCACTTGGACAGGCCTCTAATACGGCGAGCTCCCCGAGTCCTTTCGTCCTTTCATACGGAAGCCTGCTCTTCGGATTTGCGCCAATGGCACTAAAATGAATCAACTTGGCGCCAACAGATTGAGCTGCACGAGCAACGTTCTGCGCTCCCTTCCATTGAATTCGGTCGAAGTCTGCTTCTGTTCCATGTAGGATACCGACCAGAGAGACTACTACGGAGGCATCCTGGAGGGCAGGAGTGAGAGTATCTGGTTGGGTGATGTCTACGGATACAGGTGGGAGGAGACGGGCTTGCTGTTCATGAGGAAGGCTTTGGAGAGCGGATTGGTGAACCTTTTCGGGATGACGCGAGGACAATTGGACAACTCGTCGATTCCTAGCCGCGTTAGCACCAACTATTGCACGAGCAATGTTTGAACCTGCAGGAATGTATGCTCGAGCATTAGTATCACACGAACAGTCTGACATAAACACGAGTTACCAAGAAATCCGGCACCACAAACGACAACTTTCTGCGACATTACTACAAAGATTAGGATTGGACGCAACGAGCAAGTATCTCTGTGACTGATTTAGTCCAGCATACAGCAGATTACTTGGAGGCTACTGCAAAAAGTGATGATATATATATGCTGTCACAACGCATCTTCAACGTTGCAGACAGATATGACGTCGACGTCAGAAATCAAGCAATGGATCGTCTTGAGCGCCCACTACTTACTTACTTTCCACGTTGTCGTGCAGTGTGAATACTAAGTATCGTGAACGAACAAGTTGCAACGTATCCGAATACACAATCCATACAAATGCATCTGATCTTAGCTTGTTCCAAGGTATAATACATCCGATATGAAAGGGGAAATTGAAATCCGACAGCATCCCAATAAGCCGTAGACACACGAATTAGTACTGGATGCTTAGCATTGTTTGGCATAAGTACCACTAGGCTTTCTAGCAGACCCCTTCTCCAGTTTGCCATGCTGAGATTCGGTGGACTTATGGGGCTGGCCGAGCTCAGTCAATGCATGAAAGGGCGTATCCGCCTTGGCGAGTCCTTCGACGATTTCAACCTGGGGCATAATTTCGTTAGCACTCGATTAAAGAAATAAATATGAAGAAGTACATACGATGTCAGCGATCAGTCTGTCAATGAGCACGGCCGTAACGTTCTCCCTCACCACGACACGAAGAATCTCGACATCCTGGAGATCGGGAGCAAGTTCATAGGATGGGACAATCCAGCCCTTGGCACGGAGCAGTGTCTGAACCCACTTCTGTTGAACGTGGGGGCTGTGTTCCTTGTACTGGTCAGAGAAACGGAAAGACACGACAGGGAGACCAGGAACGTAGTCCTGAGGGGGGGGGGCGAATATGATAAGTATTTGCAGTGCATGATATTAGAATAACTCATACCTCGACGTTCTCCCCATCAAATCCAACGGCCTGCTTGGCACCAGACACGACACCTTCGGCAGGGCGGTGGATATCGCTCAACACTTCGAACAATCCGCTCTTCTCCAAAGCACGGCTGAGCAATCTGGCGTTCTTCAGGTCATCCAGGGCAATTGCACGATAACCCTTGAAACCCAGGTGGATGAAATTGAAGTATTGTGCGATGATAGGATGCGCGGGGCGCGAGAAGTTGAGCGAGAATGAGTACTCAACAGAACCAAGATAGTGAAGCTCGAATATGAGGTCTTTGGGGAGGAAGGCCTTAGACCGCCAAACGACCCAGCCCACACCCACATAAGATAGACCGAACTTGTGTCCGGAAGTATTGATCGAGACGACACGGGGGATCTTGAAGTCCCACACGTGTTTCGGAGTAGCGAAGGGAGCAATAAACCCTCCAGAGGCCGCGTCGACGTGGATTGGGACTGATATTCCGGTGCGCTTTTCATAGTCATCGAGGAGAGTGGCCATCTCCTGCACCGGCTCGTAGTGACCCGTATAGGTGCCTAGACAGCAGAGTGCATAAGAATCATCAGACCAATAGGACTATAAATGAGCTTACTTCCCAGGATTACGAAGATACCGATGGTATTTTCATCAATGTACTCCATGGCTTTTTTAGGGTCAAGTCTGTACTTGCTCTCGACCGATATAGGAACGAGACGACATTCGACATCAAAGTACCTAGCAAACTTCTCCAAAGCCACCTGGGCGTTCGCACCCATGACGATATTTGGGCCAGGCTCGTGGATAGACTTCCCAGCAGCCTTGCGCTTTTCTTGCCAGATACGCTTCATGGCAAGACCCCCGAGCTGAATAGCCTCCGACGATCCAGTCGTAGCAGTACCAATCGCTGCATGCGTAGACGGCGCATGCCAAAGATCTGCAAGGATGGAAATGCAACGAGTGTGGATATCCTCTGAAAAACGGCGTTAATGGTGCATACAATGAAGTAAAATGAATGAGCCCACGAGTAATGGGGTATTCATCTTGATCAATCAGATTTTTTGAGATGTTTTCGACAACCAACTTGTGTGCTTCATCGGGCATCCAGGTGTGTACGAAAGACGCAAGGTTCAACGCAGGGTTGCCGTCAAGAGCAAGCTCATCGTGGAGAAGCTGATACGTCTGCTGAGCATCTATTCCCTATAATACATTCATCATCGGCATGGTAGTATGAGGACGATTTCCGGAGCATACACACCTCAGTTGGGAGTCTGAATTTGGGGATTGGACTCGTCCCATACCGAGCGCCATATGGATGAATGGATTGATGATTGGTCGAACTATGGGCTCTCGATTTGTGATCCTACATGTTGTCCATTAGCAACATGCAATGCCAGGTCGTGTTAGAAGAGAATACCCACCTGAGCTTGTTGAATCAACATGGAAGGGTTGATATGCTAAGACAGTAAAAGTTATGTTAGCAATAGGATTCAAATAGTAAGTGTGCGACGAGTGAGGATTATAAACCTTGGAGAGAGCCATGGTGAATGAATTGGAGAGGAAGATAAATTACTGTTTGAGCAGTGAACCATGCTTTATAGGATTTACGAAACGCATTGGTCCAGACTGACGTCGCGACTCGGATTGCAGTGTAACGGGGTTCCAAAAATAGACATCTATTTCAATCTCTCGACGTCATCTCCTCCGCATATAAGGCCACTCTAATATTACACCAGTCAACAGGACAGGATATGCTCGCATCGACGTGCTTAGTTTTCCACAGCGATTTGCCTTGCGCAGAGAGCCTCAACGTGGACACTAAATATTCAAGGGAGGGAAGAAGAGCACACTATCGTACAAGACCGATGAGCGGAAAATATACTGAGAACCGGAGTTCACGACTTTGCAAATCCAGGAACGACAGCACACGTTCTTCCTCACGAGACCTGTACGCACATCACGCAAATGGTTATTTCCACAGAATCAACGCTCTTTCGCTCGTGTCTAGCCCTTCAAAGATTTACACGGTGACCGCATTCGCCGTACGTACTGAACGCCAAAAAGCTCAAAAGAGAACTCCAAAGGTATTCCAATATGATCGTTCGAGAGAGCAAGTCCGACATAAAGTACCAGAACCGGGAATGAAGTAACAGAAAAGGGTCTTCTCCCCTCCACTACGCACGCAGCAGTGTAACTTTGGAGACTGTCAAGGAGAAGCCAGTCAGCACCACAGTCATCAGGTCAATCGAACCATGCACCCACCCAATATTTATTTTCCAGAATCATTGCTCGCAGCGTTGTCCTGCACCGCATTCTCTGCTAAAACGTCCGCGATCGCCTTGCTCTCCTGAACGTCGTCATCGTTCCACGGCTTGAGTCCATACGAATGCATAAAGTTATTGCGACCACCGGAGGACTTGTAGACGTCGTTTCTCGAAGGCTGGGACGAGCCTCCTTTGGAAGAATTAGACGATGATTTTTTCGACGACATCTCGAGTCAGCACAAGGTGGTGGATGTAAGCAGAAAGGCCTGCGATAGGGGTCGTAACGTGTGAAGAGTTCTTTTATGGCCTTTCGGAAAGTGTCGTGATAGGAAAGAAGGTCGAGGAAGCCACACAAACGGGAATTCTTGCCAAGCTTATAGTCATAACAAACCCCAGAATTCCACGCTATCATAGTACCCGCCATGTCTCTTGGCCAGTATCTGGGATCGGAAAGCCTAATCAAGCATCTTGCACACCTCCTGAGGAAAAGCCGCACCTACGAAGCCTGAGGCGCAATGAACTAGTCTGACTCCTTCGATGGGTGCCCATGGTCTTCCAGAACCCGAGCGATAGCCTCGCCCTCGTCTATGTCGTCGCTATCCCAAGGTTTTAATCCGTAGGAATGCATGAAGTTCTCATACCCGCCAAAGGAGTCATAGAGCGGGTGTCCACTTTGGTCGTCACTGTCGTAATCAGCATCGTCCAGATCACCTTGATCCCCCTTGCCTTCAGATATAGGCGTAAGCCGTGGTCCGGACGGTGACTCCAGGATAGCTACGCCTGAGTTCTCCTGTCCAAGTCCGCTCCCGCTCTTCGACGAACCAGAGTGATCTTTTTCGAGAACTTCTGCAATAGCTTGGCCTTCCTCAATATCATCGTCTTCCCAAGGTTTCAAACCATACGAATGCATGAAGTTCTCGTATCCTCCAAACGAATCGTAGCTGGAGAAGCCGGCATCCGTGTGTAATGGAATGTCCTGTTCTGAAAGTGGATTCGGGACCGCTGGTTGCTTTTGAGAGGTAGATGCAGACGATTTCTCCGCTGGAAAACGTGAAGACGAGGAGTCAGAAGGGACCTGGTATGGAGGGTTCCTGCTGGAAGACGGTTTGCTGCCTCCTTTCGCTTCTCTCTTCCATGTATTCTCTTCAATAACCTTTGCGATCTGACTTGCCTCCTCTATGTCATCGGCATCCCACGGCTTTAGGCCGTATGAGTGCATAAAATCTTCATAGCTTCCATAATCTTCATCCACAGAGTAACTTCCATGACGATCACTTTGAGTGGGGTGTTTTCCTTCAGGTTTCGACTTGGAGTGCTTGGAAGAATCTGCTTTCGGCATTGTAAGCTCCTATAGAAGGTAATACCACTTTGGTAATCGTATTCCAAACCGCAGGATAAAGATCTAGAAGCTCAGTCAGAACAACTTGAAGCAGGAACGAAACCTGAATGAAACAGAAGAAAAGCGGGGGTGACACGGTCGTGACCCTTGTGACAAAAACGCGTGACACCGATCGAAATGCGTCGCGTCGCGTGTCATAAGCGCTTAACGCGTCGACATCCTATCCTCCTGCTTCGACCAGTTCAACGTTCAAGTCCATCTTTTTCTTTTTCTTCTGGGATGCCAACTGCTACAACAATGTAAGCACGTGAAATGATGCATTATATATACTTACCGAACCTCACTGTTGTAGGAGGGTGCCGGATGCCCCGAAGACACGGCCATCCACATCTCTTGTAGCTCCGCCAAACAAAACGCCTCAGTTTACGATCGACGCACAGAATAAATCGTATAAACATCAGTATGCTAACATATATTTCGTGCGACTACGCTTGTTACGTGGTTTCGTAGAGGAACAGGCGAAAAAGAAATGGAATGAAGTAGCAGGTGAGTACATACCTAGACCCCGCATATACTAGGCAGGTCTCGCTCACAGCCATCATTGGGAACTAGGAAATCCGACTTTTGTCCCTCGCGTGTTGGACGTCGAAAAGGGACAGTTATGCTTTATTATTGGTACCGTCTATATGGACATGCCTCTGAAACCGAATGTTCTGGATGACATTGCTCGAGATGTATGTTTTACGATACCTCACATGTTGAAAACGCATTCAATTCATGTATATTTGGACACTTATAGCATTCAATACCGGCGCCTCCTCCGCGAAAGAAATTCAACTCACCTGACGATATCATAACCCTCGAAGACGAGTCTGGTCGTGTATGCCTAGTGGGTGATCGAATACGCTCGGCTGGCCTTGTGACCGGTGTGATCATCGGTGCCCTTGGTATTGAGACAAATAGCGGGGACTTTGAAGTTGTCGACTATGTCTTCGCCGGTATGGCACCTCAAGTTTCTTCAGAATGGGATAGTTCAAAGCGCGGGGAGGAGATGGATATAGATGGTACTGTCCAACCGGATACTGCTCATCACAAGGCTGACGTCGTCTTTTGCAGAATCCGGCGACGAGTTTCCTTCCGACGAATGGATAGCACTGGTATCGGGACTGGAGGTCGGAGCGCCTTCACCTACAGACGGCGAACTTGAACTGCTTACAGAATTTCTCACTGGAGAGCTCGGAGGATTATCAGAACAAAATTCGGCTTCACGGATATCACGTCTCATAATTGCTGGGAACTCCCTGGCACCAGTAGTCAGCACGTCCAACAGCGTCACCGAGGAAGTCGACAGAAAGACTGTAAGTTTCCCGACATATATTTAATACGTTGATTGACGAAGCGCAACTTGTTGGGTGCTTTCTCAGCGTCGGTACGGTCAGGAATCCGCGGCGTTTTCTCCACATCCCACGATCAACCTTGGTGACCACCTTCTGGATATCGCCCGAAGTATGCCTATACACGTCCTTCCCGGTGAATCAGATCCATCGGGAACTATTCTTCCTCAGCAAACCCTTCCCCGTGCGATGTTTGGTGGCGCGTCAGCGTATTCTTCATTCAGATGCGAGACTAATCCCGCATACATCCACATTGCTTCCGGGTCAGCCTCTAATGCCGCAGCAAAAAATGGAGCTTCCTCATCAAAAGTGGATGCGTCGGAACGACGAAGAACGCTATTGGTTAACTCGGGTCAGCCACTGAATGATATGTTCAAATACCTCGACTCGCCTCCTCATACTCGCCTCTCCATCGCGTCTTCCACATTGCATTGGAGACACATGGCACCGACTGCGCCAGACACGCTTTGGTGTCACCCCTATTTCACCACGGATCCTTTCATCTTCGCAGAAACCCCTGACCTTTATATCATTGGGAACCAGCCTGCGTTTGGTACGAAGATGGTCACTGACAAACAAGATGAGGACGAGGCGAGGTGTAGAATTATTCTTGTCCCCGGCTTCAGGCAGACAGGAACACTCGTGCTGGTCAACCTACGGACGTTAGATGTCAAAACGGTTTCCTTTGCAGCCCAGAGTATGGGCGGTGCCTTGAGTAGTGATGTCTAGATTTGCGTCTGTAATACCAGATTGTACTTATTCTGTTTACTGTTGGCTGACACTGTATTCGTACTAGCCAGGACATGAATTCAAGGTGACTTCAGCTCCGCCTCAGCCAACTGTATACCTTCAGACAGGGTAAGGGGAACATCTGGAATCCGACCATTATCGAGCTCCGTCCGACACTCTTTCCAAATATTGCTACTGAAAGCTTTTGACAAAGGTGGCTCGATATTGTCACGAGGGGAATGTGGGAGTTGCGCGGGGCGCTTGCTGTTCAATAAGGCCTCCGGTGTAGAAGAGGGCGTGTAGGCAATGCGGACTTCAGTGAGCAAGGTGGGGGACACTGCAGGCGACGGCATGTTTGGAAATGGCGACAAGGCAGTTTCGTGTTTCATTTCGGGCTTTGAAAGCTGCGATTTGGGAAGCTTCGGAGGCGAACTCGAAGGAAGAGCGCTTTGAGAAAGGAGATCACAGTATTCCATGTCTTCGCTAATCATACGGGATACCGACGGGCTGATGAGTGCCGTCTCCAGGACAGGTGAGAGTCTCTTCCCGAAACCTAGGCCTGCTAGGGCACGCGACGGCGAGTTGTTTGACGAAGTCGATGTAGGCATGACCATCCAGGTGAATGAAAGAAGTTGCTTGCTTAGCATGCACACTCAAACTCAAGTGACAGAATATGTTCGATGAGTGTCAGCCTGTTTCAATTTCCTCCGCGTTGCCTCGGCCAGTTACTGCTGCTCTTGATAGCTATAGTGTATTGTGACCTAACAAGACTAAGTGAGATCAGATAGAGGTGCGACATACGAAGCAGAGTGCCTGTATATCCTCAAGTTGAATTCAGGCTGAGGAATAAAGCAATCTGGGTCGGTGTGGTTAGATCCTCAAAGTTCACCCATACTTATAGGAAAACCTGGAGTGCAACACGAAACCCATTAAGAGCCATACGAAATCAATCATTGTAGATATACATGAATTTGTAGCTTCGTTGTTCCGGAGACTTGGGATGGTGACTTTCGAGCCAGAGTAAGAGCAGGCCTGTGCAGAGCCCACCCCATGGAAACTGTAGGATAGTCTTCTGTCCCTGGACCAAGGGTATGGCGGTGTGTATGTCATCAACAGTGAACGACAGCGTTTATGGTGTGTATTGGTATCAAACAAGTTCGGTCAAGTCGGTCAAGTCATGATCTTCGTACGTTAGTAAATGGGAAAGTGGTCTCACTGGCCAACAGAAATGAGACTCGACCTCCGTGACACGCGTAGCCTCTGCATGGGTTACAGCCCTTCAAACTACAGCATCGGGTCGATTATGTGGTAAAAATGGACTTGAATCTACTGCGGACCGGGTTATGGAACGGATATCCGTTGGAGCCTCCGTTGGCAGGATGAATGATACACTGGTCAATCAAGGCTAAGTTAGAAGTATGTAGACAAAAGGACGTCGAACGTGAGATGTGAAATGATTCCACCCTGTGACTTGCTGAAGTGATCGCTACGCACTGGCGACTGTGGGAGTTGTTCTGCAGGAGTTGCCTCAAGGGGACAACGCCCTTGTATCGTTCGTGGGAAGAATCAGTGGCGGAATCCTGAACGTTGTCAAGCAAGCTTGAGAAGATTGTTTGCCAGGTCACCCTAAAGTATTCGCGTCCACTGAGTGCTCGAGACCCTCCACAAATACCGGATGCTGCTTCAGCCTGCCACATACAGGTGTCGTATTGAGTTCTATATGCCTCCATTAATGACTAGAAGCAGGTCATCCATCTTCGGTCTCCCTCACATCAGTCATTGCTGCGCAGATGTCTGTCGCGTATGAAACGCAAGTTCGAATGACATGATCGAGGCGTTGTACTTGAGCCGAATAGGCTTGAGAGTTCTCACCGTCTTCGATGGCGTCTCGCTCGGTGTGGGTATTTTTAGGCATTCGTCCCCGTCCAGCCTTCTCGCGAAGAAACTTCACAAATTCCCCGGCTCTCGATTGGTCACAACACGTATTTACACTGTTCTGCGCTAACAACAAGTCCCACATTTTCGGGTCATATGCACGCGAAATTGCCTCCATTCTCTCGCCCCATCTACTTGATAGATCTTTCCCGATACACGGGCACCCGTCTCGATTGATTGGCAGGTTGACGTTCTACACTGCTCGTTGCATACGTCTGTCCATCGGTCTTCTCTCAAGGATTGCTGCGCATTCTCACATCTTTGTTTGGCTCTATTCAAATATCTCCATTCTCGTGGGTGCTATAAGACTCTTACTTCTCTCGGCAGCTTTTAGCACCTCCCCCATTCATCTGCTATTCAAAGGTCATCACTGTTCCCTGAGACGACGAAGATGTTCAAGTCTGCACTCACGCTTGCATTGCTGCCTCTTGTAGCTCTTGCTTCCCCACAGTACGGCGGTGGTTATGGCGCACCCGCAGGTGGTTCCACAACGTCCTCGTCCGCAGCTCCAGCCGCTTCGGCACCTGCTGACACTGCTGGACACCACAACGTGAGTGAGCGTACAAGTGCATTTAGCTACAGTATTCATGAGTATTACCAGGTCCAAGTTGGCGCCAACGGCTTAACCTTCGAGCCTGCCAACATCACGGCTTCCGTGGGCGACTTGGTGACCTTCCTTTTCTCATCGTATGTCTGACAGCCTCCAATTTTGAGTGTCTCAACTTATTCCTGCTTATCAGCTCTACGCCTCACTCTGTGACTCAGTCGACATTCGCTGACCCTTGCACGCCGCTGACCGGCAGCAATGGCACCGGCTTTGACTCTGGTGTGACAACGGGAACTCAATTTACCATCAACGTCACAGACGCTTCCAAACGTTCGCACCTTTGGTTTCCTAATGCAAACATACCCCTGATTTCGTTGTTTAGCGATTTGGTTCTTCTGCAAGTTCCCAGGTCACTGTGGTGCTGGAATGGTTGGGTAAGCATACACGAGTTACCGACATGAACGGCATATTCTCATCGTGTTCCTCAATCTAGTTCCATTAACGCGCCATCGAGTGGCAACACCTTCGACAACTTCTTGTCAAACGCTAAGCAGATCGGTTCATCTGAACCCAGCGTGAGTTGAACGCGTTTCGTGTGGTATCCGTATACTGAATGTTATCTGGCAGATCTCCGACAGTGGCGCTGTCACTGGTGGTGTAGGTGCCTTGGCCACTGCTGGTCCTACCTCCGCATCTGCGCCAGCACCCAGTAGTACCGGTGGTTCTAACTCGTCTGGTGCTGGCCGTATCGCTGTGAACGGTGGTGTCGCATTGGTCGCCGCTGCTGTTGCTTTTGCCTTTGCTGCTTAGAGCATAGAACCACTGGTGGTTTGCTAATATTCTGACATAGACCATACTATATTCACGTAATGATACCTCTGAAGACTTCGCATTCGCGTCAAAATGTTATGATCTTGTTCTCATCCTCCGCATCATTCTCATGCCTTGGAAGATTCCTTCAGACATATCTGGATATACTTCTCGGCTTAACTTTATTCTTAGGAGCTTTGAATCTTCGTGTATACACGCTTAGGACCATCATGATGTCCACCTTCCCAAGTGTCTTTTTTTTTTTGTAAAGTGCCATGCTCAATCAATTGTGAGTTCTCCGTTCCTGTTACGATATTCGTTGTCTATGAGAAAGATAGGTAGATCTGCCAGTGGAATGGGTGAAAGGCATACCGTGGCTTCATGCAATGCTGGGAAAGACATCGAATTTGTGGAAAACCAGCCCATCTGAGTGGTTGTTCCCAGAATAGTGACGTATCCACGCTTTCGAATGAGCCTCCCGATTGAGGTTTCATGTATTCAGATTTTCACACTGACCGATATGGCTTTGGAAGGATGTTATCCACACCACTCCTGTTCAAACACTGAAGTCTTCTCAACCATTCTTTCTCGCGAATTGCGCAGCTGACCTATGTTAGGACACGCCTGCTGCGATGTTTTCAGGGTCTGGTTCGCCAAGCATATAAAGCTTGCGTGGATTGCGAGGGGTGCGAATAGCTTTCTATAGCACCGTTCGTCGGTCCCATTCCCAAAGGTCATCTACATAATGTTCACTGCGGCATTCGCGTTCCTCTCCTTACCCTTATTGGCGTTGGCCTCTCCTCAGCTTTATGGGCCACCAGTAGGTCCATCAACCCCTACGACCTCTGAAGCCGTCGCTGCCTCTGTTCCTAGCGCTCCGCCCAGCACGCCTGGACAAATCAACGTCTGTGTTCTTCGTGACCTTTTATGAGTCGTTCTAAACTGCATTTGTTTAGGTTGATGTAGGGCCTAATGGGAGCTTTAGTTACAACCCGAACAACATCACAGCTTCCAACGGCACCATTATAACTTTCTTCTTCCCCAAGTGAGTCGTACTGATAGTTGTCACCTCCGGTCTAAATTAACCTTAGGTTGACAGTGCGGGCACCCCTCACTCGGTGGTAGAATCATCCTTTGCAAACCCGTGCACACCCTTGCAAGCTCAGGGCGGCAACCCAGCAGGTTTTGATTCGGGCCTTACCATGGGCACGCAATTTACTTTGAACGTTACCAACGACCAGATCCGTGAGTTGGACCATGGCATGGCTGTCGATCTTCCTGATTGCTTGTGCCCCAGCCATCTATTTCTTCTGCAAAGTCCCCACTCACTGTGGTCTGGGAATGGTCGGGTAAGCTTTGTTTTGCACACATGTTAAAATAGTTCTTATGCCAACGCGCGCCCCCCACAGGGCCATCAACGCACCCACTACTGGTAATGGGACCCTTGCTGCATTGGAAGCTGCTGCGTCGGCTATTGGTGCTAACGAGCCTACAGTAAGTCAAGACCTTTCATAATACGACATTCCAAGGCACTGACTCACCTTTCTAGATCGCTGACAATGGACCAGTCACTGGTGGTGTTGGAGCTGATGCTACCGCGCCTCCCGCAAGTGCATCCGACGCAAGTACGACAGGGGGGAGCTCGCCGGGTTCAACTTCTGGTGCCACACAGATTGCTATCACCAGTTGCCTGGGACTCATCGTTGTTGTGATGTCTACTATCCTCGCATTGTAGAAGTTGGTGGCGGCTGTTAGTACAAATGTCCCTATTTCTATTCTATATGGTCTTGTTGTGGACTTTTCTAATTAGATGATCTTCATGATACTGCAAATGTTCACGACGTTAGAACATATGTCCATGCAATACTAGCTACCGTACAACCCATATATTGAGTCCTACTAGGCTATTGAGGCCCAGAATGAGCCCCCGGCGTATGTGGCTATGTCGATCATACAGTATGCTATGTATAGCGCTGAACGGCCGTCGGAGAACCTTCGAAGTTCACACATACTTTCGCTTTCCTCGTTTCTCTTATTGGCACTGGTTTCTAGAACTATCTCTTGAGCAGGCCTCAGTTTGGGAAATCTCTAGCTCGATGTTTTCCAAGTTCCCACAAAGGATATCCGTGCCATTCAATCTTCTTGGCGATGAAGCCAAACTTGCTTTTCGGAGCCAACCAGGCGGAATCACAAAGTTAGCTACTGTAAAGGTGGGCTGAGCAAGTAGTGACGCTGCTTCATTGTGAATACTAATAGTGGGGTAGAACATACCGGAGTCAGACTCATACTGGGATCAAGTGGGTATATGGCCGGTCTACATTATACTTATATTATACTGGATGTTGCAGGCTAATATTTGGTTCACAGTATATTCTTCTCTTTGATTCACCTTCGGACGTTTTCTCTTTGATATCTACCAACGATGGTGCGTGGTGTGCTCCTATCATATGGTGTTGATTTGACTGACCCTCCGTAGTGAGACGTGCGCTGTATGAAGCCCCGGAGAATGTGGCTACCCTTATCAAGGTTGTTACCTCACGATTGTTCAACCTCGTATCGGACCACACATTCCCTACACCTCCGAATGCCTCTGTTGCGTCTTTCGCGACTTCATTCATCAAGAGCAGCACTGGTTCGCATGAGCGCAATACAAACCAAGAGGTTCTTAATTGTATTCGAGTTCTGCAACGTATCCTTCCAGTTATCTTTGAAATTGAAGGTGACACTGGGAAATTCGAGAAGGAGGTGCTTTGGAAGAAGGTGGTAGTAGATGATTTTCATGAGGTTGATGAAGCTGCTGGAGGCCCTCAATTCGTGATCGAGGATGACGATGACGATGATGAAGAGCAGAATCCTTCTGGTGCTTCCTCGCAACGTGCTTCCACTACCTCGTCTTCAAAGGCGAAAACGACCAAGACTTTGCCGTCGATAGCTGAGAAACTCTTTACATGCCTGGTTGATCTTCTTTTCTGTTGTGGGTTTACTCTACCGACGAAGATTCAGGTAGACCATTATAAGATCAATTACACCATTTGGTATGAACGTGCTTACCTTTCTCTCATTACTGAAACCTTATACTGTACTGCACTCTAGGGAAAAGGGTGTTGGATCCACGACCGACCCAGGACCTAGTCAACCATACGAAAACAACAGGACCGAGGTGCTTCGCCTTCTACTAGTCCTCTTTTCGAAGCAGATCTATGCCCCTTCGGCTACACTCTTCACCACGCCGTCTCTGTATACCCTTCACTATGTCCAGAATACCCCAAGACGTGACGTTCTGACCATTCTGTGTTCTCTCATCAATACTGCTATGAATTCTTCGCTGGGGTCCAACAATCATCTAATGAGTGGTGTTACTGGAAGGCTTCCGTATAATCATCTTGTGTTCAAGGGCGAAGATTCAAGAGCGAATCTAGTGTCTACATGCTTCCAGGTGCTTTTGGTTCTATTGGATTTCCAGAGCGGGAGTGGCAGAGACGTAGTAACGACTCATGGCGAGAACCAAATGACAGGTCCAACCTCTCGCAGCAATGCGTTCCGGTATTTCATAGCGAAGCTGGTAAGTGATATTTATCTTGTGGGTGTAAAAATTGTTCTTACAAGACTTTTCAGCATAGGGCCAACGATTTCGCTTTCATCTTGAATGGCACAATTGCAATCTTCGAAGAGCAGATGGCATCCATGAACAACCTCCTACCGGGTTCCAAGAAATCTGTTCCCTATATGGCGGAGACAGGTACGACTAATATTTTCCAACACTTGGAAACCATTAATGATGTCTGTCGCAGTAATTTTCTTCTGGAAAATGATTGAACTCAACAAGGTATAACATCGCTTTGTAGCTTTCAGATGCGTTAAGCTAACGTCGAGCAGAAATTTCGTGCATACGTGCTAGACTCGGACAAGGCTATGGATATCTTAGCATATCTTTTCTGTTACGGGCTTGATCTCAAAGACAAACCTGGTAAGTCTCGTTGTTAATCCGCTCTAACGGCCGGTTGCTCACTTTTGCTACAGAGCAACACGGTCTGTGTCGGGCCATCTCGTACATTGTTCAGAGCTTGTCGGCAGAAAGAGCCTTCGGTCAGAAGCTGGCTTCGCCGATAAAGGCCCACATCCCGCAGAAGTGGGCAGCCTTGGGTTCAGCTGCAGACTTCTTGATTCAGGTGGATACATTCACATAGATCCTAGCAAGCTGCAGGCTCTTACAGTTCTGACCTAGGCTGTGTACTCGATGATTGCGACGACTTCAGGAACATTGAGCTCGTTGTATCCAGCATTTGTGATTGCTTTGTCCAATGCAGCACCGCATTTCAAGAACCTTAGTGTCAATTCGTCTGCGCGTCTTCTGCAGCTTTTCACCTCATTCTCAAACCCGGTGTTTCTCCTGGCTGATGAGGGACATCCTCGTCTCTTGTTCTTTGTGTGAGTAGTTTCTTGTTGCTTTGTCATCTCTTTTTCTGAATATCTCGCACAGACTTGAGATCTTCGACTCGGTGATCTTGCGTAATCTCTCGGACAACCCAAATCTGGTATATGCTATTATACATTCGCACAAGTCCTTCGAGGATCTAGGTACATTCACTCTTGCAAGAGGTCTCAGGGAAATACGGCGTATTCAACAGGCGAAAGAGGAACGTGCACGACAGTCAACTGGCACAGTCGACAAGGGCAAACAGAGGGCTGAAGGTGAACAGGAGCAGGGCCCGCACGAGGAGAAGGCACGTCTGCTTCGCAGCGAGCAGAGCAGCTCTGTGGATCTTCCGAGGCAAACTGATTCGATTGAAACCCTTCCGGACGCAGCGCAGGCTTCTATGAGAGAGGACGGCTCACCTCCCGCAAGTCTCCCAACATCACCGACTGCTGCTAGTCCTCCGACACCGCAGGCGCATTCTGTTCCATCTGAGAAGGCTCGGGGTAAGATGAGAGCCGGTCGGTCCATATCTAACGATATGACTGGAAGTTTGGAACAGTTGGCCGCCGCCGGCATTGGTCGCAACGGATTCGTCCCAACTCAGGAATGGGTGAGTATTCTACTTGTGCCTAGCTTGATTCATTCATCTGATCTGCTCTCAGGTCACCTCATGGCAACAGGGGTGAGTCGTTTCATGTAGCAATCAAACCCTGTGCTGAACTTCACTATACAGACTCCCTCTGGATCCGATATTACTACTATGCTCAGAACTCGTCCCTAAAGTGTCAGAACTTAAAGCGTCACTTAACCCCACAAATGCGAACACTGCAATCATGGACTTGCTCCGCAGTGCGAACCTTGAACAGCAACTTCCCCCAGCGCCGCCTCTGACACCTCGACGATTTGTCGTAAGTTCTGCTAGATGCCTGTACGCGGTACACGGCTAAAATTCTTTACAGTGGTCCGATGCATCCATAGTCTGGCTTACTTCCTTGATCTGGGGAGAAATATATATCAAGGGCATGACGCCGTTGGGAATATGGAACAACACGAGTGTTCGTCTGTTCCACGTCAAACATACTCAGACACACCAACGTCAGATTACGGAGGCCGTCACGAGCGTGGTGGGAGGTCTATTGCGACGAACAGATTCGTCTCAGTCCGTTAGGCAACGTTAGTGAGGGATAGGGTGACGAGTTGTTTCGATATACACCGTGTTCTTTATGCTTGTACTATCATCATACTATCGCATTCTGTCATTGGATTTTATGTTGTTACGTCAATGTTGCATTCGTACATCCTGACTCCATTTCTCGCCGTCGGTCGATCACTCGATCAATGCAAGCTGGTCACTTCCTTTGGGCGCTGGGCAAGTTTGGATGTCACGGTTGAACGTCGCGTGTGCTCATATTTCCGTTGTCCTCATTATTGGCCACCGTTGACGCCGTGTACACAATTCTTCTGACTTTGACAATGCTTCCAATCAGGCCATAGCGCACCATTATCCAAGTCGCTAAAATATGGATTCTCGATCGTTGTCGACAATACCTGCACTGTCAGTTGGTGAAATGATTCAAGTTCTTCGACGAGGTTAGCGTCATTACAAGCTTTCTTAAAATTCCTCCTATTCAGCCCATGTTTCAGGAAGTTTTATTACTGTGGCAGATCTTATGCTCGCAGACCCTTCGGACGTCATGAGGAAGTGCAGGATCCCACTGGACCAAGCTAAGAAACTCATAGACTTAGTCTGCCGCGAGCTCAGACCTGCAGGTCGTCGTCTGGATGATCCGAGTGTTGAACTGTACATATTCACTTCAGGTGATGCTGCCCTCGATGCCGCTCTTGGAGGAGGAATACGAGCTGGGATGATATGGGAGGTTGTCGGTGAAAGGTAAGCAGCCAGAATGCGAGATGACATTACATGTCGCTGATACCAGGTTTTAGTGCAGCAGGGAAGACTCAGCTGTCTCTTCAGCTATCATTGACTGTTCAACTGCCTCGCCGACTTGGGGGACTTTCCGGTTCGGCATGTGTTCTGTTAACGTCTAAAACGTTGTACACCAACAGGCTGCTCGAGATCATCGACACCCACCCGCTACTGTCACCAGCCGTGTGTGGACTATCGGATATTCATGCCATGAAGACAACCACCATTCCGGAACTTATTCGTGCACTTGCAAAGGAATTACCCGCATTCTGTGAGACAACAGCCTCGCGCGTAAATGCGAAACCAGTTAGTTTAGTGATCATAGATACGCTCGCGGAGCTGTTCCATATGGACGGCAAAACCAGCACTACGACTCTATCCCAACGCTCGAAGGACCTGGCAGAAATCTCCCTTCTGCTGCACACCCTAGCGAACAAATATAACGTTGCTGTATTGGTCCTCAACGAAGTTTCAGACTCCTTCGAACATCCGCCCTTGGTGGATGGATCACATCCGGATGACCTCGTTTACCGCAACCAGGCCCGCTTTTTCAACAAGGCTGATAGCGTCCCTGGGGAGAACCATAAGGAAGCTGCACTTGGATTGGTGTGGGCAAACCAAGTGAACACACGCATAATGCTCAGTCGTACAGAGCGGACACGTTATCCAGAAGATGTCGATACAAGACCTACCAAGCGACGTAGATTGGATGGCCAATCCGGGCCGATGTCTCAGAGACATGCTGACTCTCAGCCTGTGCGAATACGACGACTCACCGTCATATTTTCCAACATTGCACTTCCAACCTCTCTGGACTTTATGGTTACGGCTGAGGGTATCACAGTGATACCTGATGAAGATATGCCGGTTTCGATTCCATCAGTCGCGCAGAGCTCAGCCAGCAACCCTCCAGCCACAAGCTACGATATCACCACCAAGGATACCAATATTTCCGATGATACCCTCCCTTCTTCTTCTGCACCCCAGCTTCCGACATTCGAAGCCCTTTCCAGTGATGACGCACCACAACCTGTTTCCGAAGGGGTAGACCCAGAGAATGGTCCAGAGCCCGAAGACGATGAGTGGGAGGCTTATTGGAAACAGGCAGATAGTATGGAAGATCTGTATGCTAATATTGATCTCGATACTCTATCATCAAGTTTACCCAATACTCAACATCATTCCTGATCTTCTCTTATGACCATGACCTCGCCACAAGAAGCGGAAAGCCTGTTTCTTGGAAATTTGTGACAGCATCCGCTTACGCTGAATATGTCCAGAGGGCGCAAAGCCGGAAGTTGCACATTGGCACTTAGGTCGAACTAAGAGAACCTTCGAAATGTATCACCAGGCGATAATACAGATTTAGGTTTGAAAACAGACATCATAGTCAACGTACATGGCGACCCAGAGAGATGAGGATTCGAATAAGTAGCAATAAGACACAGTTCAAGAGTACACGGATGGATATGTCCTAAAGCACAAAGGCTTCACAAGAAGTCCAAAGGAACGGAGGCTAAAAACAAGCGAGAACGAGGTTCAAACACTAAGTCCCTCAGCGGCGCCGTCATAACGAGGGAGATATGCAAGATCGTTTCCAGTCAACGGCGAATCCGAGAAAGGCGGCGGGACCTCGAGAGGACCGATTTCTTCGTCGAACCATTGTCGTTGTCTAGGTTGGAACTCAAATTTGAATCCAGTGTTCTCATCGAAAGTTGGAACAACCTCTGGAATAAACGGCGGAGGTGAACGAGCATACCACTGTTCCAAGCTTGGAGCGCCGTTTGCGTCTTTCGTTGCAGGAGTTACCAAAGATTTAATCTTCTTCACGGGCCTCGGTAAGGAAGGGGGTGGCTCCTCAGGACGGGCTACAGGCTTGAGAACGATCTCGTGATCCGGGCGCTTCTTGAGCAGGGTCAAAGATGAGTTTAGTACATTGATTGCGGACCACTGAACTGTGAATCAAGGCAATTCTGTAGTCAAAAGAAAGATCAGAGGAACAATGTTAAGTAGCAACGTACGTAAAGGCAGCACGATGATGGATATAAATGTAGTGAGTACTAAAGTCGCGACCCGGTTGGCGCATTGACGCGCACTTCTCGGACTCTCTGACGCGAACAGAGCATATGGGAGTAGAATACATATCACTAGCAACGTATCAGTCGAATGTATGTGATCAGAGGTCTGGGGACACACCAATGGCAGCCAATATTAGTAAGTTGAACACCGGGACGCGGAGGAAGAACGCGTAAACAGTATTGATACATTGCCTGCGTTATTCAAGAGCATGAGTGTGGACTGGCATTTCAAAACAAAAGGAAATTGATGCGAACAGTCCAAAGAACAAAATGGAAGTAAGGAAGAATGTGTAGAAGGGCAACAGTTGAAGGTCTGACAGAACGTTAGTAAGAATAAATAAAATGCAATCCGGACCTCCGAAGTAGCGAACCAACTGACAAGGATCGTTCAATCCTTCGCGAAGAAAAACAAATACTGTGAAGACAGAGACAAGTAAAATTGACACGACGGCGACTGCATATATTAAGTAGGCAAATAACGTGACAAAATGACCACGACGTACAAATACTGAACAGTCCCTGGACCGCGCCGTGGGTCATGTCGCGACGGCGAAACGATTTGATACGTCAAGAAAATTCGGGTCAAAGATACGCTAAACAAAGTGGAAGAGGATTATGCCAAAGGAAAGGACAACAACAAAAGTCGAGAAGGCCAAAGATTGTGTGTCCAGCCGACATCGCCTCAAACCACACTGGCCAAAGTGGACATTATTCATTAGCTATTGTTCGGCCACTTTTGCCTATGGCATTATGATAGAGCAGTAAGAAGGGCTGTGGTTAGGATGGGCAAGTTCAGTCCATCGAGAGACGATCAGGATACCTGATCCTTCAATGTACAGCAGAGTCGTTACTCCAACTCAACACAAAGTTTACAGAGCTAGCTTCGGAAGGGAACCAGGCAGATTATACAGCTCACAAGCTCAAGGAAAGCCATAAGAGAGTAGGACAAATGGCAGAGGTAAGTAGGAAGAAGGTCAAAGAGGTCGTTGCAGTGAGGAACAGATCATGCAACAAGACTCCGGCAAGGCTCGACATATGTGCCGGCGTCTCGGCCTGCATTCCTCATATTTAGTAAAAGCTTCCGCGCACATTGAGGGAGATTCAGTGACGATATGAACGTTTCCATTGAAATCGCTCTTTGCGAGTTGTACTAAAGAGACGCCAGAACCAGTAACATATAGAATACAGATTGAAGATAGAGAGAGGGAAAAAGGATGAAGGAGGCGAGGGTATGAAGGTCACAAGGGTGCCGAGTAAGAGGTGAAGAATAGCGAAACCCGTCTCCGAAACTACCGAAAACCTGATTATGGATATGGGCACCCTTGTAGATGGAATACAGCACAACCGAGGAAGAACGATGTCGTGATGAAATGTCCGTAGCCCTTCATCGACTCCCAAAGGTGTTCTCTCCGGAATAGCTCACATAGAGGAAGCCATCTTCATCCCTGAAGCAAGAGCACATCAGGATTCTGTTAGCCGGCGTGATGGAGAAAACAACATACTTGTGCTCCTCGTAGATCGCACTCATAAGCTGCGCTGTTGGTGGCAGAACCTCGTCCACGAATATAAAGATAGCCTTCTCTGGTGCGAGCTTGATTCGCTTCCGGATCACGTATACGAATTGGCCAACGGTGAGATCCTAGGGAAGCAACCAAGAGCCTCAGTATTTTGTATCGAACCGTATATCCACAATGTAGGACGAACCGATGGGACGAGATATTTCTTCTTGTCGATGGTTGGGATATCCGTCTTGTCTGCCTTCTCGCAGATCACCTACACAATGTTCAACCACAAGGGGTTCAGGATGAAAGACCACCGATCAGCGACGTTTACAGCAGAAGTGGCCGAGCACACTGACCGGAATACGATCAGGATACTTCTGTCTAATACGTTCCGCCTCAGCCTTACGCTTCTCTGTTACCAATCATGTTGGATGAGCATAGATGAACTATGATGTACGGGGCGCTACTACGCACCGAAGGGGTGCTCATCCTTGAACTTAGACCTCATCGTGACAAGTGTTGTAGTAGGCGGTAAAAGGTGAGCTGTGTTGTATAAAGGTCGGAGCAGTGGAGAGTGGCAAAGACGCAGGTGAGGAGCAAAGGCAGGAGACAGTGCGCAAGCCTGGTTGCGGCGAGGCGCGATCGCGCGTGACTCAACATGTTACAAGAACCTCAGTATGCCGTTTATGGCAGTCTCTCCGCGCAGCAGTGACAAAACATATCCAACGGCAGCGCAATCCAAGTCATGCAGGAGTCAGTGTTCTGGTAGCAGGGAATGTACATGATGAAATTACTTGATAGCAGAACCTCTGTTATGCACCAGAATGTAATATACTTTGTCCTAGCTGCCCCGATCTATGTTAAGAGTCCAATCATGCAAAGCTCAAGCAGCAGTATGGAAACTCTTAAGCCACACTCCTCGGTCGCTCTGATACAACGCAACTCCGCATGCCGATACCAATACGCAGGTATTCGGTGCCGAACCACCCAAGGTCAGTGGATACGTCTCGATCAAAAGCGGGATGGTTGCACCGACTACTTGAGGTACTTGTTCAAGCGGGCGAGATGGTAATTGATGCTTGGTCTGTGCTTCTTCGCCGGCATAGGCTACATGTGGACGAATTAGCGTTGGAGCCTTCGTGGTCCTGAAGTCAACACGTACAGCAGTACGCATGCACTCAAAAAGTGCGGTTGCAGATTGAGCACATGCAGCAGAGCTTTTAAGGTCATCGGTGGCTGCCCAGCAACTCAACATATTTGAGAGCTCCTTTGCGCAGTAAATGGCTTGGACATCTATGCATAGAGAATATCAATAGGATGAGAACAGTAGCGACATAATGTCCTGACTTTTCCTGGGTCTAACTTTGAGTTTCTTGAAATGCATAGTCCCTCAATAACCGCCGCCAAGCAGAAGCCACCGACCAAACGACCGAAGTGATAGGATACAGAGAGGACCTGCCCACAGCTTAGAACAGGCTGTCGAGGAATATCGTTGAGCTCAACAAGAGTGGGTTTGCCCAATGCGGATACCGAGGGCGGTCCGGCATCTGCCGCACAGCTCGCTCGGCGCGGCAGGCGACGTGGAGATAGAGCACTCGACCTCTTGCACTCATCCTACTTACTCGTCAACTTGCCCAGTCCGTTCATTCACTTTCTCTTCATATCGACCTCGATAGCATTTCCTATTCAATATGGCCGTTCGAGCAGGCTACAACAAGAACAGCTCTGGTGAGACATATATCTAATCTGAAGTCGGTCGGTTGTAACTAAGTAGCCCGGTCAAGCCATCAAACGTATAATGCAGGAGGCAAGAGAGTTGGCGAATGACCCGAGCACAGATTATACTGCGGCGCCCTTGGAGGTATGTATCATGTTTAGACATTTATGAGTCACCGCTGAAAGTCATGGTAGGACGATATCTTTGTGCGTATAGGCGTCATTTAGGAGTATTTGTTCTCGTTGACAAGATCACAATGACAGGAATGGCACTGTACCATACGTGGAGCTCCTGGAACGGAATTCGAGGGAGGATTATACCACTTTCGCATCCTGTTACCCTCAGAATATCCCTTCCGCCCGCCGTCCATCATGATGTTGACGCCTAACGGCCGATTTGAGCTGAATACCAAGGTGCGTCACAACATATGATAATAATATATGATATGTAGCTCATCCCTCCTTGATAGATCTGTATCAGCTTTACAAATTGTGCGTAATTTCAATCGGATCATATCTGTTTTGTCCATTTACGTTGTCTCCAGACCACGAGGAGCTGTGGCAGCCTGCCTGGGGTGTGCGTACAGGTGAGATAGACGAACATTATTGATTGTTACAGGAAGTTGTTGACTCCGCGCCAACTGTATGCCAGCTATCGTCGGTCTGCAAGGTTTCTTCCCTCTAAAAGGAACGGCCGCCGTTGGAGTTGGAGCTTTGGAGTATCCTTCTGTTGAAAGGAGACGTTTGGCAGCTATGTAAGTTGATATGCACGGAATGAGTTATACATCTGTCTAACATTCCGTCATTTCACAGATCCAGAGAATGGGTTTGCTCACGATGCGGCAAGTGTAATCTGGAGAGCCTACCTGACCCAGATACACCATCTCATAATCATTCCGAGACACCAATTGAGAATGCGGCAGAGAACACTGATGAAGCCTCTACCCCAATTTCGACTGCGGTTGAGAAAGTCACTCAGTCAGCGCCATCTGATTCCAACAACTCGAATCAACCGATAGAGCCACTACATGACATCGCGCCTACCGTCACTCCCCCTTTGAAAGTCGTAGCACCTACACCTACTCGACCAATAGGGCCAACGCCATTGGTGACAGCAGGTTCTTCATCCTCATCCTCGCCTACCTTGGTATCCGAGGCAGAGGAGGACCCGAATAGGCCTGCCGCGTTAGACATACGTATCCCCGGAGCAGAACGTCCACCTATCATCATTCGTAGGAGTACGCCTCGTCCTCCGATTGTGCTTGATACAGCCATCTGTGTTTTGCTTGTTCTCGTGTTTGCTCTGATTTGCAGGAGGATCCTGTAAATGTTTTTTCTTTCTTTTGTGGGCCGCGACGTTGTACCATAGGAGGACGGGCATTTTCATCTCATCAGCTTCAAGGACATCTTGTTGTATATCTAGCACCAGTGTATGACTAGTGATTCTCTTTTTCCGACTCAATGCATATGACAGATACCCTAGATACCCCTCCTTGTCACTTTGGCCGATCAGTTCCTTCACAGATATATATTGCAGTGAATGATAACAAAGGTGAGTACAAAAAGTAGTAGGATAACAATGCACACTGCCCAATACAACACGAAAGATCACTTCTTCTTAGGGTCACGAACGCTAAGTACTAAGAGGTCCTCGTCCTCCAAATTATACACAGCGAGCGTATGCGAGTTTGTGAGAACCTTGTCACCATATGAGAACCTGATTTTCGACGAGGCCAACGCACTTCCAGTGTGCTGCAACACACGGTCACGAAGCGTTGAAACGAAGAGAGTGACTGCAAGATCGGGGATGGTGACCACGGTACCATCAAGCTTCCACTCTGGTTTCGATGAGTCGTTCGGTAACTGAATCCGGAGTGATATGGGATGCTATAGTGAAGAATATAAGTCAGAACGGTGTCAAATAGAATAGAGTTGTCAGAGGACGTACCGGATGCATGCTAATCCAGTTCTCTTCGGGATATAGGGCACCACCAGGCAACTTGGCGACCTTCTGCCGCTTAGCAGGTGGAATGCCATCGTCCGCACCCTCCATCTCCTCGGCACTTCGCACCATACCAGTCTGAGGTGGGGTACCAACTGGTGAACCAGCCAATGCTGCTGCACGTGCAGGGTGCATCATGGGAGCACCCACTGGTGGAGGTTGATAGCCGAATGGTTGAGCTGCATCAAGACCTTGGTAATGAAGAGGTGGAAGCATGACAGGAGGAGCTGAGGGAGGGTACATTGAAGCAGGTTGAGGACCAGAGGATATTGTAGCAGCGGTGTAAGCGGCATTGGGAGGGGCGCCACCTTGAGTAGGAGGTGGAGGCAGGGATGCGGGTGCGGGAGGAAGTGTCGCCAGAGGGGCTGGCGCCGCAGCTGGACCGATACCAGGACCAATTGCGCCTGCTTCTTGCCTAAAGACAGTGTTAGAATTCTGCGAACTGACAGAAAAGAATGAAATTACGTACGGTCCAAGACCCTTCGCCCTGTGGATAGCAGCAATCTGCTCGTCGAAGTTGACATTGGTTGAAAACTTGTCGAGTGTGCCCGCTTTGGACGCAGTGTGACCGTCCCAAACGACCTTCTCCCTTTCCCTCCTCCTGGCCCGTTCTTCCTCTTCCTCCCTCTTTCTCTTCTCTTCATCTTCTGAGGCGCCAAAGATATCGACACGAGTACGAGCAAGGTTCTTGAGTGACGAAACGACATTGGCGCCACGTTGCAATTCCGATGCTTGCGCTTTGCGAGCTTCGAGAACATCGCGCTGTGACTTCCAGCGAGGATCGAGCAATTCGATACGCATGTGCTCTTGAAGCTCGTCCACGGGTATTTGCTGACCACAAATAGTACATATGGTAAGCTTTTCGCCAGCCTTCTTTGAAGACACTGAAAGAAAGTGAAGATTAGTAACAATTGAGTAAGCGAAGGCAACAATGGACTCACGTTTTGGAACATAGTCTGTCCTGATCTTCATTGGACCACCTGCTTCCAATGAGCTTGCCTGGATGGCACGCGCGCGTTCGAGCTCTCTCTGCCTCTCCTCGTCTTCACGACGTTTCCTCTCCAGCACCTCTCTATCCTCATCGTCACTCTCCTCCATAGCCGTGTCGTCCTCCATTTGGCCGGCACCACCAACTGCTGCGGCTGCCTCGGCTTCGGCCTGTGCTTGTTTGACTCTGAGGGCCTCCACGTCTTCAGAGGTTGTCTCCATGATCATGGCAGCCATACGTTTCTGAGCCAGCGTCATATTCTCGACCTCTTGTACGCTCATTGGTGGTGGAAGTTCTGAAGTGGCGTCAGCAGCAGTGAATTCGATGGTTTGGACAATAGCATAATCATGCCAATCAATCTCAGCAAAGGCCTCTGCAAGCAATGGGTTAGCGATATTATGACGAGGAAATGGATAATCATACGTACTCTTTTCCGCTTCCTGATCGTCTTCACGCTTCTTGTCTTGTTCACGTTTGCTCTGTTGCCACTTCGCTCGTTTTCGTGCAATCTCGAGGTCCTTCCACCGTGAGTCAGGTTCTGTACGTTGTTTCAGTTGGTCAAGCATGTCTTTGCTCGGTAAGAGTACTTTCGAATACTGATCCACAAGGCGGTTGAAGTAGCCAAAGAGCGAATGATTTGGCCGCAAGAAGTCGAACTGGTAATTTCTGCCTTCCCTCTGTGAAAGTGAAGCAAGGAATGCACGTCCTCTTCGAGCAGTGAAGAGCGCAGTGAGCTTCATGATGTCCCTATTATATGAAGTGTCAGTAGTCTCTCATGAAGATGGAGTGATTGTGCACGTACAGATCAACAGCACTAACGTTCGGAATATCGAGAATGAACTCCGGACTTGGGGGCTCAAGCCCTCTGTCTACCTCTTTCTCCGGTGCCTTCTGCCCCTCGGGATGTTCCTCCTTCGCAGCTTGTTCTTCATCTACCTCGCCCCGGGAGACCTTCTCCATACGGTGCCTATAATATGCATGATAAGGGTCGGCCGGGTTGAGGAACGAAAACTTTGGGTCCTGACGCTGATTTTCGCGAATCTTATCCTCAAACTGGGGAGGGTTAGCTGATCGAGCAACGAACAGGGCTGTCCTGTCAATGACGGCTGCATAGTAAATGATCGTATTAGTAAGAAGTGAATGACAGCAAAGGTACGAGAGCACTCACACTTGATTTCCGGAGGCGGCAGGATGAGTCCACTGGCGAATTTTGGCTCCTTGAGGATGCCGTTTAGCATCGCGTCCCCATTCACGTAGTGTTCATGACCAATTGGCCGGATATCGACCTGTGTTTCAACTGTCATAACGCTCATTCCGCAGAAGTGTGGTGGAGGATGAGAGACAAGGATGGTCGACGCTTGGAATGAGTCGCTTACCACTTTAGACAACCGTTCATCCTGCTTAGTCAGCAGTATATTCCCTTTCCGGACACGCTACCAACCTTGGTCCATAACGTTTCTCTGAGCGGAATGTTTGGCGCATTCCGACCAACGCAGGCGAATCTGGTTGGTCTTCTCTGGTATGTTGATTACTTTACAGTTTGAATACTATATTTACGCTACTTTCTGCTTCACAGGAAGACACCATGGAAGCTGTCCCCGACCCGTAAAGCAAATGCTCGTGCACGGCTGAAGAAGGTCGATGCAGTTATTGAAGCAGTCAGAGCTAGCGGAGTGGAATGTGCTGCATTGGTATTCACTTCTTTGACTGCCATATGGTTCGGAGCTCTAATGTGATACAAACAGAATAAAGCCCTCGAGCTGCCGAAGGAGCACGAAATGCCTGCGCGAGACAAATACACAGTCTTTTCTCGTTATGAAAGGGGATACCGCAAAGGTATTCACAAAGTGCCAAAATGGACGAGGGTACGTCGTGAGGCTTATTCCTTCATTGAATCAACCATTCATACAACGTCACTTGCGTAGATCACCCAGCGAACAAACCCATTGGGCTTCTAGTGCATTACTCATTACTACGTTTGTACAGTATGCATATGCCGACCCCATTTCGGTCCATAATAATAATACTACTACTACAGCAGCACTATCTGAACTTTGCCCTCCTTAATCCTCCCCAATACTGATGGGCAACCCAGCACGGTCTTGAATACCTCATCTCTCGTCTCCAAAATATCAAGAAGAGTGCGCTTCTTCGCATCACGATGCGATACGTCAAGAATGATATGGGTCAGCTGAGATGTTGAGAGAGCATCTGGTCATGATAAGATGTCAGTGTCAGCGGGAAAAATCGGTGTCATCAGCCTAAAACAGCATACACACCTGTATCACAGAGTAGCTTGCCAAGTCGTCCTGGCGTGCCTACCGCTACCGCCAACTTCGTCCTCTTGAGGTAGCCAACATGCTCCTCCAATTTAAAATGGCGTGCAAACAGTTTTGCGACTTCGCCTCCTTTTTCGCCGCGAAGGGTCTTGTCCCTGAGTATTCGTGTCGCGTCTGCAACTCGTAGAGCAGCCCCAGCGACGAATATTAGAGTCGGAGTGCCGTTGGCTTTGGGTCGCTGGGCTAAGCGTGTGCGAAGCGTGGGCAGCACTGCAGAAGCCATAGTCAATACAATCGAGATGACCTAAGAATAGGCTACAGCACCTTCTGTAATGAATTCAACCAACTGATCCAAATTGCGAGAGCCCGTCCACATAGTAGTGTCCACTATTGAGCTCTCTATCTACGTGTTCGATTGAGTTCGCCCTGTGGTTGCAAGTCATCGGGAAACTTACCGGGTATCCGCATATCTGCTAGCTCAATGGCAGACATTTTTGAGTATGTTTTTTCTTGCATTGAAGACAGGTAATCCGTAAGGACGAGAGGGGTTTGAGCTGCAACTGATGTCTCGACCGTATTGACGGCCTGTGCTACATTTTGTTTCTGAATGTAATGTTTAGTGACTGGCCCTTGAAGCACGAAACTAAAACGTACCTTCTTTGCCTTACGCTCCTTTTCCTTCTCTCTTCGTTTCCTCTTCTTTGCAGTGGCAGCCTCTGTGCGCGCAATCTCCTCCTTGTCTGGCTCTGCCTCATCTGCGCTTAGAAGGGCGGTTATATCCTCATTCTCTGGCGAGTGATAAGCATCCTCTTCCTCGGACAAAGCAACAAGTTCATCGGGAACAAAGTCATCGTCGAGGTCGTCTCCGCCGTGCTTGCTCATCGTGAAAGGCGCGATCAAAAGTGTTGTTGGACGTCGGGCAGACTTTGATGCGCGTCATCTCGAAGCAGATGTCGGCAACTTTCCCACGAGCAATTCAGCCGTAAAATTGACCGGAAAAAGTCGAGAAATTAGTGCACGCGACCCCCATCGAACATGGCACAGTCTGCAGAGGATGCCTTTTTCAACAAACCTTCCGTCCTCGAGACCTCCCAGACATTCCAAACGATTCGTCTTTCGCAAGATAAGCAAACTATAATCACCGCTAACCCACTTCTTGACGCTCATCACGGGAGTCTTGGCCCACTGACGGCCTCGAAAGCAGTGGACGTGCATTGATTGGCATGGCATCCGTTTTCCTACATGATATACACTATCTAAACCTCCACCTTCTCTAGCTCGACACTGACCACAATGATCCTCTTACGACTGTCGACGACAGGCCTATTTTTGCTGCTCTTCTTGTCTTCGATCGTCCTTGTTATTGCGTTCTTCACAAGGCGGTCCTGTGCCAGTGTCTCAGAAGCGCCCAATGATAGTAAAACTCTTATAGCTTCCAGCCTTCGCAATTCGAACCGCTCCTCCTCCCTGCATCCATCCGCGATACCCCCGGGCACGAAAGAAACGAATGATATGACTAATGAGCCCTTCATTGACCGCACGTATGTCAAGCAGTCACACGATGCTTTCCTAGTACTCGATGTCGAAGCAACATGCATGCCTGGCACGGACTTTAACTACCCAAACGAGATAATTGCAAGTTCCAGTCACAGCCCTGCTGTCTTAAATGCCTGGCCACTTACTATGCATTCAGGAATGGCCAGTGCTTCTGCTTCGTTGGAAAGACAGAGACTCTGTAGGACGAGCTAATAGACTCGAGGTCGTGGATGAATTTCGGAGCTTCGTGAAACCCATTTGGAAGCCACAGCTTTCTCCATTCTGTACAGCTCTAACTGGAATAACCCAAGTTTGTCTTCATTGTACATGTTGTTTCACCAGAAATTATTCAACAAACGCACCCGCACTTAGGCCGACGTAGACAATGCGCCACCTTTCACCGCGGTCATCGCGACCTTCAGAGAATTCTTAACACGAAATGGTTTGATCGACCCTGTAACAAACTCTGCGCTTGTGCGCTTCTGCTGGTGCACGGATGGTCCATGGGACGTGCGCGATTTCGTAGTTAAGCAGTGTTTCATATCAAAGGTCAGGTTTAGACTGTCAGAGTATTTCATATGTGGAAGAAACTGATAGCTAAGCTCCGTTAGATTCCAATCCCTCCTTGGCTCGCAGGCGACGTCATTGATGTTCGTCGAGTTGTGAGCAAATGGCAAGAAAAGCATGACCCGCCGGCGAAGAGACCCAAAGTACGGAACGCTGTTCCCTCTGTCAGGAAATGTATTTAAATTCCTTTTCAGTCATCATTTCCACAGCCACAAGGCACGTATCTGCCTATCCCACGGCAGCTTCACCTGCTCGGCCTTGCACCCTTTGAAGGACGCCAGCATTGTGGCATCGATGTGAGTGTTTCGTTTCCTGTCGCATACTCTTCGTGCCTGGTCTACATCCTGATCTCTGTTCGGCACATCCTATGGCTCATCTCATGGTGTTAAAATGTATGTTTCATAGGATACCCGCAATGTCGCTCGAATTATCGTGGAGCTTGCGCGCCGAGGCATGCGTCTGCGACCAAATACCCCAATCAATCCCAATCGACGATGGCCCTGGATGGGCAGGTATGGGAAAATTCTCGAGGATTATGTTGTATACCCAGCATACCCAGCATTCCAACCACAAGTTTCTCCGAATCTGTAATTGCATGCAGACCTGTATCGTCCGGTGCAGATGATGTTGTCCCTGTATCATTTAGCAGTCTGTCTCTGTAACCGTTTCCTATCTGGAGCCACTCACCCCTCGTACATGAATATCAGAAGGTTCACACACCATTTGTGAAGAGTGGAGATCCTCCTTGAGAAACGCTTGGCACCATCGTTCTTTCTCACTCAAATTCGGAGTCCTTCTTTACCCGGAACCCGTCTGCTAGTCCGAGGGAACATCTTCCCGAAGACAGATCGGCGGGGAGAACCATGAGAGATCGACTGCTTTACCGGTAGATTGTGAGGAAGATTCTTCCCATGAACGTGCCCTCGAGCGATCACGTCAATGCACCCGATACGAGGAGACTCCAATTAGACGTGGTTCAGCATCCTCGGTCGCTGTTGTCGACATCGCACCCGTAAGATGTGATATGTTATAAAAATAGACACTATTCTAGTGCATTCTAAATAGAAGATATTGCGATCTATGAGCAACGTTATGCATTCACAGACTTGTCCGTATGCTATGGCCCCAAGGCACAAAAAATATGTGGAAGACTAAGATTGTGTATACTTCCATGAAGCAAAATCCGGCGCATATTGTAAACTCGATGCCACCCATAAGTAAAGAACGACTTTGAGGATTTAGAAATCCCAAAGTGTACCGAAGCAAGGGATGCCGGCCTCTTTGCAGCCCTAGATGAAGAAGAAATGTCAACAGGTGGGACAAAACAGAATCGCAGGAATAGTGGACGTACTTCCATCATTTCAGAGTTACCGATATAGTTCGAAGTGATGAATACGACTGCGGACGCCACTAGTCAGCAAATGTCATATGGTGTGGGTGGAGCCCAAAGTACCTTCTGCATTCCACGTGTGGTAGACTTCCCTCAAGAGCTTCATGGTGTCTGGCCTGCCTCCTCGGACCTTACTGTCCCAAAGCGTAAGGCGCTCAGGCTCGATATAGCGGTGGATGAGCCCGCTAATGGTAGGGCCGAAGGTCTTCTCTTGGTCGGATCCTATGTCAAGAGTGGTCAGCCACACGTCTGCAGCAGTGGACATGCTGGAGCTAGTGCTCACCAATCCAAATCAAGTACCTGATCACACACGTCAGGAATTGTCACTGTGAAATTTTGAACGAATGTGGCTTACCAGTAAGGCGACTGGATGCACGTTGAAAGTGCAGCACCGATTCCAGTACCCGTGCAGATACGAATGCCACGCTTGTACAAAGTTGAGGTGTTGGAGACACCAGCAAACTAATGGCATTCTCAGCTTACGAGTAACAACAATGAACTTTGAGGGCATACCTTAAGCTCTCGTGTCCAGAGCGTCCTTGGCGGGTCATTGACAAGGCTACGAGTAAAGTCGCCTAAATAGCGGATCAGATCGCTCGCTTTGTTCAAATTCCGATTCGCTACCTACCTTGCACACCGCAAATCATATAGTGGTACTTCGCATGAGTGCCCTCTCTGTATAATGTGGTGAGCACCGTGAAGGTCGAACTTTCGACAAGACACGTACGAGATAATACCAAAGGCATGGTATTCCTTGACTGCGTGTCGGCTGATACGGCCCAACAAGCTTTGCTGCATTCCGCGACGGAAGCGAACAATGGCGACCTTGGGCGACGGCTATCGTTGTCGAAATTAGGGTGGTCATCAAGAGCAACAAGATTCAGAGACGTACCAACTCAATGTCAACTGGGACCTCACGAGTGCAGATCCATGGTAAGGCGATGCTGTAGGATGATAAGTACAAGCATACATCGAAGTGCTAGAGGACTTACAAGAGCGTCATACCCATGACATACCAGAAATCTTGTTGACGGACGAGATGGACACCATCCAGGTTCCATGTTTGAGTGTCCGTGTCCCAGATGTCACCCATGATAGTGAATGCCCCTGAAATGACAAGTGTCAGTAATGTCGGAGGGATCTGTATGTTGAGAGCCCTTACAGGTGAGGAAGAGACCGGTCCAACCGACGAACCGATGGTGACGCTCGAATACGCTGTATTGCCGTGAGATAGAGTAATATAGAATAACATATTCGCGACTTACTTGTGGTGGGTGTTTCGGACCCAAGGAATAGCCGCACAAGCAGTAATGAACACGGCAAGGTTCGTGAGAAGACCGACGACCAAAATCGAGACGTGTTCATTGGTACGGTTCTGGTACGTTCTGACAACTTTGAGGATCAGCCAAGCAACACCGGATGTCGCACAGCCAGAGTGGATACCGCCGAGGTGCTGCGACATAATATGAGCGACTGATGGCATTGTGTTATGACGATAAAATTTACCTGGAGGACGGAGGTGCAACCTAAGCGGAACTTAAGAGGTGCCCACTAGAGTCCCTGAATTAGTACGTGGTCAACTAGAGGATGACAGGAAGTTTCTATACTTTCGCAAAACAGGTGTTGACGAACAAGTAGAGAAGACGTCCGAAGATCTCGTTTCGCATGAGGATAGCGAAGTTGAAGTTTGCAACTGCCATTGCACCATTGTACTTGAGAGCGTATGGCCAGTGTCCCGACGCTGCGAGACCAAGACCGATCATGTTGAGCGAGAAACATATCGTGAAAAGTTTCCTGGACGAGTTAGGAAGTCAGGACCATCATCACTACGCAGAGGATAACACTGACCGGTATGTGTTGAACCATATTTGCCACAAAATCCACTTCGATGTCTTCTTCTTGGGTTTCTTCGCGGGTGCCTTGGGTGCCGCAGTGAGGGAAGCCTTCTCCTTCGTTGCAGGAACTTCGAGAGCAGTAACAGTCATTGCCTTCTTCTCATCATCGGCAAAAGTATTTTCCTTCTTCTCTTGCGGGTAGCTGACTGGGGCAGGGCGAGAGATTTCAACCGTACCACGCTCAGCATCGTCGTACGCAGGGGCAGCACCCGTTGGGCTAGTTACTGTAGACATGACAGGATGAGTGAGGATAGATATCCGAGTGAGCAAGGCTAGGCTATATGTGGCCCTCTTGGCGAAAGTCGGGGGAGGATGTGCGTCCGTGGAGCATTTACTAGTACGCGCTACTTATGCAGCGCAGGTACCTACCACGGCATAGGAAGCCGATACATGGAGATATGTCCCGATGGTTCCACGAGGGAGGGACTATCCAAAGCGGGGAACCGCGAATGTAGCCGGATAGGAATGGCTCGCAGGAACTTCACATTGCAGAAGCCGCCATGCTGGTTTCCCTGAGAAGTGGCGCGTTCTCTAGGAACGGTACTCCTAAAGTGGAAGTGAAAGTGGATTATGCCCTCAAAAGAATAACATGTCATGAGCAATGACCTCACCTAGTGCCTGCAGCTTTGCAATATCTGGACGGCAAACAAGCGTGAAGTTTGACAGGCTGCGGACAGTCAGTAGGTTACGCGACAGTGAATGCTGTCCGCAAATTCATTGGACAAAAGCTGGTGTTCCCTTAGGAATGGGTGAACAAGCCCGTCTGAAACCTGATACCACAAAAAAGCTTCCCACTATTGTGGGACTTCGAGGAGCGCTTGAACAAAAGGCAGTCCCACAATTCCGAGGAACAGGAAATATGATGATTGTATCCAAAGTATTGGTAGTAGGTGCGCGCATCCTTCCCTCTATGCAGGACACACAACACCGTATGTGTCGTCTCGTTGTACCGCGTTCGCACGGAAGATTGATAACATTCTCAGGCTTTGGCTACTATCACGGTCCCGGGGGGAAAGTTTATCGGATACGGTCAACGATTACTACAAAGGGCAGATATCAGTGTTCTGGATTTCCTTTCAAAACCTGCAGGTAGCTTACACCATCGCCCTGGATTCTGTCATCGTTGGTGCCGTGAGCTTGCAAGCGGGGATATGCATGTGGGTCATTAGCCATCTTCTGGCCTCACTCTACTGGTGTATATTGCGATTTTTGAGTGGTAGGGTGGTGCGAGACATGGGAAATAGCCAACTTCAAGCTTGTTAGATTGAACCAAGCATCAGCTCAGTTGGTCCGTAGCCAAGCTCTATCATTGCTCTAGCCAGTAGTGTCTCAGCGTTTATACTCGATCACTCATCGATCCATGTAACCAGTCCTATTTAGGAAAAGTAGTTGAAAGGGAGCTTGGGAAAATCGATATGTTACTGGAGGGTACAATCCCATTAGTACAGCCGAGGAACGATGAAGAAACAGCCAGAACAACCCAGTGCTACATATAATTAGAATAGAAAATACAACGGCGGCAAATGTAATCGTAAAATACAACATAGAACCCAAGCCCAGGGTATCGGTAATCTTGTGGATCGACATATCAGTTGGCATCGGCGAAATCATGGAGATACTTGAGCTGTCTTGACACCTCGTCCTTGAATGCCACAATCTCACTGCTACTCTTGACGATTGCCCGCACGGTGTCATCTCGCAAACGCTCTGCCTTGGCAATTTGTTCTCGGTACCTATGTTGCATTGATCAGCGATAGTCTGCGCAAATGTTTCCATCCAGAGATACATACGCAATATCCAAAGCTTGTAGTCGAGATTTTACTCCAACTCCGTTAGCCATAGCCGACGTTCTTGCCTTGTTCAGCTCCTCTTCCAATCGTTGAGCCTCCTCGCTACTTTTAACAGCTTCCCGTTGTACCGCCTATGATGGTTGATGATATGTCAGCAATGGCAAGACGGAGAACTCTGGATGCATCAAATTCCATAGGAAACAATCGTACCTCTCGTAGATCATCAGCTTGATCACTCAATGCATTCGTCATCTTTTGTACCTCAACAACTTCACTTTCGAGGTTCTCGCAATCCGCCGTGAGCTGATCGAGGTCTGCATCCACCGTAATCTGCTCATTCTCTAGTGTGGCGCGTTCGTTCCTCTTCAGCTCCGCAATCTTAAGGAGTGCTGGCTTTATCTCTTCTCGTACATCTGATCCCACGAGCATTTCCTGTGGATTCGATGCCGCACTATTCAGTTTGAGTGTCAGGTTGATGTCGGGTAATGGTGGAGGCAGTGGCGGGAAAAGGTTCAACGCGGAGAGGAGGTTATTGTAGGTATCCACAGCGTCATCAGCGTCCTCCACCTTCCTGGTCAACGACACCTCTAGCTTCGTGACGGCCTTGTTAGTCTCGCTTATCTTGGCTTTCAGATGCTCGAGATCACGAGTCAAACTCTCATGCTCGGAAGTCATCCGATGCACCTCTTCCTGTGTGAGGTTTTGCGCCTTAACAATGTCGGTCAAGCGTTCATGCTCATGCTTCAACCTCTCGAGGTTCGACACTGCAACCAGTAAGCTCAGCGGTTGTGATACTATGAAACTCGAGAGATCTTACTTGCTAAGCTGATCTCTGCCTTTTCGTGAGCTATGGTATCTATCAAGCGTTGCTTGCGATCCTCCAGCTGACGTATCACTTCCTCAAACTTTGCTTTGTCGTGTTTGAGGTACCCGTTGCTCGTTTTCAGTTGCTCAATTGGAGGCTGTTACATTGAACGTCAGACAACCGTCCAAGAAAGCAGGAGAGAGAACACGAACAGGGGACTTCTCTAACTGCTTTAATTCAGCCATAAGCTCGCCCAGTCTCTCCTTCTGCTGATTCAGGTCCGAAACGACTTTCTCGTCCTTTTTCGCTGTTTCAAATGAGTACGAGAGAAAGCAACATGGTTCGCTACTCACCATATCGCTCTTCGAGTGCCTTGTCCTGCTCAGGATATACATCTTGACCCGAAAGGAAGACCTCATATGCCGCCAAATAATAGTCCATGGCGAGAGCCTGATGATAGTGAATATCGTCAAATTCGTCTGGCACTAACGAAGGTTCTTGGAGCGTTGGATCTTCGCTTTCCATGTAATGTAATCTTGCCTGGTGCACATTATGTATTCAGTTCAATCGGGAAGTGATTTCTCCTTTATTTACCTTGCCCAATTCCACGAGCCAATGCAAAACAGCGAGCAGAGAAGGCCAAGAATGCGGCGCTGCGGGAGCGGCAAGCCAACGGATATCAATCGATCCGACGAAAGGATATCTGAGTGCCTGAAGAGGTTGAATGAATTGCTCTTCTAATCTCGCTCCTTCTTTGAATGGCCATGCAGGATCAACGAGCAACACTAGGTGTTGATATATCTCTCCGAACTGTCGTGCTGTCAGACTTTGAAGAATATTATTGGGTACGTCCAGGTCTGTCCGGTGCAACCATTCGATGATGTCCCGACGCATTTTCGCTTGGGTAGGACCATCTCGCAAATTCCGAGGGTCTTTCGTGGCTTGGCTACCGCTTGGACCTGCTCCTGGAATAGCACCATGCCACATCGAGCCTCTTCGAACACTACTAAATCACGGAATATATGTTAGCTATTAGAAACTGCGTTCTTGGCATGAGACATCGATATGTATCCGTTAATATGATATTCACCTAGGTTGGGGAGTTCGTCCTTTGCTGACGCTCATCTGTAAAGCATTTGCATTCTGTGATCTGTACATGTTGTTTCTCTGGATCGTAGAGGGCACAGGTGGCGGCAACATTGGTCCTCGAAGAGCAGGTCCCGACATCGACATACGTCCTGCCTTTGGCTTCATAATGGAGGACGGCATTGGTAAGTTTGAACGAGCATTCCCTAGCACATCCCCAGGTGGCTGCATGGTAGACCTCCTCCGAAAGTCGCCCATGTTGTGACGAAGCGGATGTGTAAATGTGTTTGGGCACAGGAGGTGAAGGTCGCGTTCAAGTTTCGCGTCGAGTCGCGATAAACGCGTCGTAAAGTAATTGAACGCACGTGAGCTGCCGGACCGTTCGGTTCCGGTGCTATCCTCGGGGTTAATGACTTGGTTAATGACTTCTGAGTCCCGTTCTTTCAGTGCTCTTGTCCACGACCACTCATCAAAGTTTCCCATTCATTTATAACGCATATATCGAAGGTGGTTGCACCGATGAACCGAGATCTCTTCGGCGGAGCCATTAGAATGGAATTACCTTCCAACTTAATCGACGCATCGTAAGGAGCCAAACATTTGTGAACATGTAGCCGCTGAACACTGCACTAGGGATATTCGACAGGTTCCTGATACGCAGGAAGTATTCCTCTATCCAGACTCTGGCAAGAGCTTTATTCTGGAAGTCTTGCAGAGAGTAGAACATTTGAGTCATGAAGATGCAGCACAGTAAGGAGCAGTTGACGAGATGTTCTCAATATCTTCGCTGATCAATATTATTAATGTGTTCAGATTTCATTTCGACTCTCTCGCGCACGATAATTCAGCTACAGCACACATAGTGCAAGACATCACGCATATACCCAACGATCGAGGCGACGACACTCCGTCGCATACAGTCTTGTCGGGACGGCAACAGGTGACCAAATTCAACAGGACGATACCAGACGAGATCCAGATCTTCATGGCGGTTTACCGGGTAGAACACAAGAACGTTGATCTTGTGCTGACTATGAATATCCCTGTTACATCCGCTGATGCCGGTGCAGTGGGTGAAGGAGGAATTCCCGCTGCCAGACAGGATTTTGATGTCGCTGCACGTTCTCTGCAAATTCTGGACTTCAACCTGTTTGTATGAAGCTTGAGTAAGTACATCATTAAATATCATTCATTTACAGGCCTGCGTGGATCGTCAGGTTTCACCTCTAACTCGCACGACGCATTCACACCGTAGATTACTCGGACTCATGGTATGCATCATGAATGGAAGAAACACATTTTCAAGATTTTTTTACATATATTTGTTGTGTACTAGTCATACAATAGTCCAGTCCAGCGAATGAAAGAACTCGGATGTGACTCCAGCAAATCCCAGGATCTGGTCATATGTTTCTCAAGTATGCAGATCATCCTGCTCCGCCTGAGCTTCAGCTTCGGGATCCTCTTCTATACGATCGTTGACAACCGAAGTAGCTTCTGCTGCCGCCCTTGCCTGCTTCTTACGCTTCGCGGTTTCCTTCAACCGTTCCCACCTTTCTCGGAACTTATTGATCATCGCTTTCTGCGGGCCAGTCATCCCTGAGACTCATAAGTCGAGAATTGCAATGACGCACCTGTTTCTCGTTGTCAATCTTTGCCATACGCAACTCTTCCTCAAGCTCTCGCACTCTGCGCAAGAGTTGGGCTTCTCTATCCCGGCCAGGTTGTGGATTCAGTACTGCAACAGCCGCGGGTACTGGCGGTGTGTTGATCGTCAACGTAGCAAGGTCAACAGGTGCCGGCCCTTGTCGCATCATGGAAGATGTCATTGCACGTTGAGCCTAGATAGTATGTGAATTTCCGTGCACTGATCTATGAGAAGCGGCGCCGCATATACCTCCTTCCTAGCTAACATGATACTATCACGGAGTTGCTGATCATGTTCCTTTCTCTGCTTGAGTGCACGATCCGCCAGTTCCATCTGTTTTTGCATTTCTTCGACTTTAGCCTTGAGTGCGGCATTCTCCCTCTTAAGAGCCGAAGCTGAGGACTCAGCTTTCGACGAAGGGACCACGAAAAAAGAATCCGCCATATGATCATCTGTAATTAATGAGTTAACGTGAAACGCATGGTAGATGTTTCATTCCCCATTATAGCATACCATCACTGAAGACATCGTCATCCCAATCGTCAATGAGTGCAGTCGCTGCAGGTTCGGATGGCAAGGTATTGTGACCAATATCACTATCGGATGAAAGTGGATACGAGTCATTTCGAGCGAGCATCTTCGAACTGGCGGCCTTCACCAAACCTACACCGCGCGATAGTGTCCGCGAGATAGTGTCTTCAATATCAGTGTCGCTGCTTGAGCTGGTATCCCGACGGCGAGGGCCAGACCATTTATTTTCAGGAGGTCCAAGAGGTGCAATGGCAAATGCAACGGGTTGGGAAAGGTAATCCAGCATTCCTTCAGTGATCTTCCAGAAATGGTTGAACGCGTCACCACCTTCGCTCTGTTCTGACTGAAGTAAGCCATAGATTCAAGGTGAACAATACGCACTGACCCTCTGCGCTAGCAGCATGAAAGATTCATCAACAGTCTGTTGGGAGTCAGATAGGTTGCTCGGAACATTGCCAGGAGGCGGAGACGGAGGATGTATAGGTGGAGCCATAGAAGCAGGACCAGACTGATTTGAAGCAACTCGGGGTGGCTTCTGCGGCAACGAAGGATCTTTGTTCTCATCTTTCAGCTTTGCAATCTTCCTCTGGAGCTCCTTTCCAGCCTTATTGTGTTCGCTATAAAGCATTCGAAGGGTGCGCTTCGTCTGAAGATGTCGCATATGAACATAACATCGTCTATGCACAACAATTACGACAAGCGCAGATAGCACACATTTTCTTCACTGGAGGCCTCAACGCATGCGAGGAAAGCCTCGGCTGCTTTGTAGTGCTCTTCCGCTGCAGGAATGAGCAATCCTTGGGCCATGTAGTCTTCGGCATTTGCGGCGTGTTGATGAGCCTATCCTAACGCGTAAATACATTGTCAATGCGTTCGATATCTTATTTACCGCATTCAGAGGCGACTCTAGTGAGGACATCAAAGTCTGAGGACGTGGACAATGGATTTCTTTGGAGAGTAAGTTAGTAGTTTGTTAGTGAGCTGCAACCAGGCAGCCAGTGCTCGAGCCTCGATCGAGTTTAGTTCCGCTGCCGAAGCGCGACGCGGAGCTCAAACAACCTAACGATCGAGATTCTGCATTTGGCAGGTTCCCCTGTTCGAGCGTGCTCTTTGAGCCTACCGTTATGTCGAGTAAGTGCAATCTGTTTTCTCGTAAGGTTCAGAGGTTATCTCGTTGTTCTCCCGTCCAGTTATCTAGCTATAACTATTGAGGGACGAGTTGCAATTACGTTCGGATAGAACAAGACCTCGTTCGTCATGTCGGTACTCGGATGACGGGTTCGGAATCGCAAGCGGATAGAACATAGCTGGACATGTCTATGTCAGTATAAATATCCAGCTCTTCGAGAGATTCCTAACAGACTTACTCGGTTTCGCATCCATATCATATCACCAAGATGCTCAATTTCTTCTTTACCAATGCTAAGTCCAAATCTGCCGTGAAAGCAAAGCCTAATCCACTTGTAAGGGACACATCGAAATATGTCATTAGTATACTGAATTTGAATTCTCAGACAAACGACGACCCCAAACAACAACACGATATCGATACTGTCGAGCGGGCCCGCGCCCACGAGGATACGGTGCGAATGATTCAATCAAGGCGCTTTCTATGCGGCTGACCATTTCTTAGATGCTCACTGATGCCTTGGACCTTTCACGACCCTCAGTAGGTCTTCTTCCCCTGTTAAGGATTGACTGGGACTAACATTCCGCATTCATTAGTTGACTCATGGCTTCACACTAAGCCACTGCCGGCGTTTGACTCGACCTGTGAGGTCCTCAGTTATGCTTAATGTAACTCGACTGACTGTGAAATAGGTATCCTCCATGAGCTCAAACCGCTCTAGGAAACGTTCATGTCCAGAGATGCGTACCGTCACGTCTGAGGAACTGGAACAATCTATACAACGCATAGGTGCGGTGTTCCATCAGAGAAGTTCAGCTTCACTGCGAAGTGATAGTGTTTGTGAGACTACCTCAGCGGATGGAATCACGCAGTTACGCCACGTCCCAGGTGCTTCTACACACACTCCCACCTTGATCGTGCCAGAGAGAGCCACAAGCTCAGGTTCAACCCTCGAGAATGGGGTTGTGCCAGAAGTACTCTTTACAGATGACTTCAGTGAAGATGAAGACATAATATCTGAGTTTAGTGGGTCCACTCTGTCCCTGTCGGAAGAGGTGAATCTGTCTCTCTAATCGTCGAGTTCAAATGGTCCTGAAGCCTACTTGATTTCTAGCTTCACGACATTGCACCATCAGCACTTGAACTCTCCCCGCGCGATTATCTAAATGTCGAAATTCCCGATAGTTCACTCAGTGCCCCTGCAGAAATGTATGGACTGATGTGGGGATGCAACCCAAGATCACGATAGACTTTGCGTCATCGATACTCTGAGGTATCTCGATGTTTCTATGGATCACATTAGTAATTTCTACCACATATATATCCCGAGTAGCGAATAATAGATACCTGCAGAACACGCAAAGCTCCAGCTACGTGTTCAATAACATGTTCGTCTAGTTGACGAAAGACTGGACTTTCCAGATACGGATGCTCCCCTGATTAGTCATCGAGATCGTACATCATGAACTGCAGTCTGGACTTGACTGCTGCATCCTATTTGAAGCTCTACCCTCGTTCCTTTTCTAACATCATGTCTATGTTCCAACGAGATCCTCGTGCAGGTGCATTCCTAGGTGGTGATAGGGTCTCTGGTCAAGACATCCGGGATCAAAATGGTGTGTAGTATGTGCGGTTCGAATGACCATGCAATAACGCGTAATACTCGTATAGTTCTCGCCGCACAGACAATCGCAAATGTTGTAAAATCCTCTCTTGGACCACTCGGTCTTGATAAAATGCTTGTCGATAACATTGGAGTACGCCGTGAAGTTAAATTTTGTAGTAATGACTCGCTGACATCTTCTCGATCCCAGGAGGTAACGATCTCCAACGACGGCGCAACTATTCTCTCTCTTCTCGAGGTCGAGCATCCTGCTGGTCGTATCTTTGTTGAACTCGCTCAAAAACAGGATAAAGAAGTCGGCGATGGTACAACTTCCGTTGTCCTTATTGCAGCAGAGCTTCTTCGACGCGCAAATGAACTAGTCAAGCAGAAAATTCACCCTACCACAATTATTACAGGCTATCGGTTAGCCTGTAGGGAGGCTTGCAAGTTCATGCAAGATCAGCTTAGTATCAAGGTGGATTCATTGGGCAGGGATGCGTTGATCAATGCTGCCAAGACAACCATGTCAAGTAAGATAATCGGGAGGTGAGTATTTCTCGTCGATGGGGATATACCGCGGTCGAACTCAGTGGTTATCTTAGTGATGACGACCTTTTCGCACCTATGGCGGTCGATGCTATGTTGGCCGTGAAGACAATCAATAGCCGAGGCGATGTCAGGTATCCCGTGAAAGCAGTAAACATCCTGAAAGCTCACGGAAGGAGCGCACGAGAGTCTCTCTTAGTAAAGGGATATGCTTTGAACTGCACGGTTGCCAGTCAAGGTGAGCTATGCTGTTGTCTTTCCCATTAGCACGTCGCTCATAACGCACTCCACAGCAATGAAGACTCGAATCACAAACGCGAAGATTGCTTGTCTCGACATCAACTTGCAGAAAGCTCGGATGCAGCTGGGTGTGCAAATTCTTGTGGACGATCCCTCACAGTTAGAGGCTATCCGACAACGGTAAGTGTTTGTTTGGGCCGATGTTTTCGATTCAACGCTAAAGGTTATGACAATATGAAGCGAGGCCGAAATTACACTGGAGCGAATCCGAAAGATCCTTGCTGCCGGTGCCAACGTGGTGCTGACAACGAAGGGCATTGACGATCTCTGTCTGAAGGAGTTTGTGGAGGCTGGTGCGATGGCCGTTCGTCGGTGCAGGAAAGAAGATCTTCGTCGCATTGCGAAAGCGACGGGTGGAACCCTCGTCTCAAGCTTGGCCAATTTAGAGGGCGAGGAGTCATTCGAACCCAGTTATCTTGGTCATGCGGACGAGGTTGTACAAGAGAGGATTTCGGATGACGAGCTGATCCTCGTCAAGGGTACAAAGGTTGTCAGCTCAGCTTCGATCGTCTTGCGAGGTGCCAACGATTACATGCTCGACGAAATGGAGAGGGGTCTCCATGACACTCTTTCTATTATCAAACGGACACTGGAGAGTGGTGCCGTTGTTCCTGGAGGTGGTGCGGTAGAGACAGCATTGAGTATCTACCTTGAAAACTTTGCCACGACATTGGTGCGTTCTTTTATTGTTCCGTGATATCAACACGTGTCTGACATGTTCTACAGGGCTCACGAGAACAACTTGCCATTGCTGAGTTCGCAAGCGCGCTTTTAGTCATCCCGAAGACCCTTGCTGTCAACGCAGCGAAGGACTCTACGGACCTGGTTGCGAAACTCCGATCGTACCATAATGCAGCCCAGAATGCACCCGTGGGCGACCCTAAGAAAGCGTTGCTTCGTTATGGGTTGGACCTGCTGCATGGCGAAGTTCGGGACAATGTCACTGCTGGAGTGCTTGAACCAACGATGAGTAAGGTTCGCAGTCTGAAGTCTGCTTTCGAGGCTGCCGTGTCCCTGCTTCGTATCGATGACGCTATTCAATGCGTTCCTGGTAAGCACTTTTCTTGCTAGTGATCTCACCATGGTCGCTGAAACCATGACTTTCGCAGAATCGAAGGGCGAACCCGATGCTCACGGTCACTAACCATTTGGGGAAGTTGTACTATTGTAGACGCAGGATAATAAATATGCTCCCGTTGCCCCCTTGATCTCTAAGCTCAACGGCTTATGTGCTCTGCAGAATGCATCAGAAAGAAGATCTAAGTTGTAGCAAATTCGAGGGTGGTTTTCCAGTCAATCAACGCGGCCGCGCGTGGCACTAAGCGTGACGCGTCGAGTCACCTGATCTGTGACGCGTTGTTGGTTGAGGCTCAGGCAAGGTCCAGTTCGGCAGCTGTTCTCTTGAGCATTTCACCAACCACCATATTCTCAGACTCTGTCATTTTCAAACCGACGTCCTAACCTCCTGATTCTGGTTGTTGCGCTCTCACTGCTGCTGATCTACGCCCGCCCAACTCATACATGAGTTTGTCGCGGTATTCTTACTAATGCAATCAGCTAGTTCCTCCTCGTCAATACACCTTCAGCAGCGCTACAGTTCTCTAGTGTGGTCATGTCTCGACGCCGACTTGCATCGGTCGGCGGTATTCTACGCCGAACGATACTTTGTTCATGATCCTAACAATCATGATGCGCGGCATCTCTATGCCACAGCTCTTCTACGTGCCGGCCAGCCACATTCTGCACATCATTTGGTCGATCTTCCTGTAGATGCTCGATGTCCGGGTTGTTCTGAGGTCAAAGCAAGATGCTGTACGGTATTAGGACGGCATAGACATGCAAGGCAAGCACTCGAGGAGACACTTGCAGATCCTACATATACCCCTTCCCGTACGTGTCATCTAGATTGGACGCGTCGCACTAATATAAACCATTATGTATGTTTCGCCACTGTTTCAATGTAGCATCGATGAATTTTCATACCACACGGACATTCCCCGAACATGCTGCTTTGCACTGTCATGCGGCTGCGTCTGCTGCTAAAGGCAACCAACTAGATTCTGCTGCGAAAAGTTATGGCGAGGCATTGAAACTTGATCCGATGGTCTGGGAAGCCTTTGAGGGCCTATGCGCTCTTGGTGCGTCAATTATATATTTCCACCGTTATTACAGTTATTGAGTCCTAATTGGCAGGCCGAGCCCCAGCTGCCGATGATATTTACCCTCTGCGTCCACCACCTACTCACGGAGCGATGGAAGACATGCCAAGTATTCCTATCTCTACAGGTGCTGGATTCTTTACTCCAGTCGCCGGGAGTAGCGGAAATCTCTTCAACCTATGGCGACTAGACCAAAGCTCCAGCAGACCGGTTCGTATGGGACCACCGGTTGGTCCGCGCGACTCACTGTAAGCATTTCCGCGTTTAGTTGCATGTCATGCTTTCTTTTTGACCGATTTTCATGTCAGAGCTTCAGCGGATTCCTCATTCTTTCCCGAGGATTCGTTTCGGTTAGGGTTCCTGCGTCCAAGTCGGTCTCAACCTGCGACCTCATTAGCGGTCCAACCACCAGCTGTGCGTCCTCTTTCCTCCGCCGATGAAGCTGGCCCAGTAGCCAAGAAACCGCGTTCCACGCGGCAGCGTACCGCTCCGCCCTCTACAACAGCCGTAGATACAAACTTGAAGCCGTCAAAATCCGCTGGTGCACTGTTACAGGGGGCGGAAGATCGGTCCAAAAGCTCAAAGGCACGCGCACGCCCGGCCCTGACAGTTGCTAACATCTTCTCATCTCCTGGTCGTCGTGCTCAGCATGCGGCGACGTCCTCTAGATCAAACGCAGTTGGATCGAAGACGGCAAGGGAACAACAGCCCCCAAGTGGCAACGTTATAACCCGACGTAGCTCGAGGCTGCTATCTGGGAATCACACCAAACCGCCGCCACCGCCAAAGGTAGGATCCCCTCAGTTCGAAATTCTTGAATGTACCGCTGATACGCCTGTGTATTGCTGTGGACAGCAAACTACTGGGAGGAGGAAGGCAGCCATTCGAATGCGTCCATTATCCGATACCGATATGGATGAAGACTCTGTTGACCTTCCCTCCGTGCCTGTGTCGCCTCCACCGATACAACCGTCGTCTTCTGACGGCTCTCCGGGCACCGAACAGCTCGTGCAAGAAGCGTATGAGATTGCCCTCGCCGACCACGAAATCTACAATCTGACTCGAATATTTGCCCGCGCCACTAGAGCGTTGGCAGTATACGACTGTCGAACATGTCTGGAAGAATTGGAGACACTGCCTTCCAATCACCAGAGATCAGCATGGGTCATGGCTATGGTCGGAAAAGCCCACTTTGAGCTTGGTGAATACGCTCCTGTATGTGTTTTGATTAACTCCTATCTATTCCTAATATATGGATCCATCTGACCAACGAATACCTGTCATTTAGGCGCAACGGGCGTTTGAGGCTGTCCGTAATTTAGAGCCTTATCGGCTGTGGGACATGGAAGTGTACTCCACACTGTTGTGGCACCTACAACGGAGTGTGCCGTTATCCTTTCTCGCACAGGAACTGTTGTCTATCAACCCCCGTTCTCCCCAAGCCTGGATTGCAGTGGGGAACTGCTTTTCCCTACAGAAGGAGAAGACTCAGGCATTGACATGTTTCCGTCGTGCGTTCCAACTCGATCCCTCTTGTGCTTACGCGTACACACTGAGTGGACACGAGTTGATCGACGAAGACTTCGATAAGGCTATCAATTTCTTCCAGTCCGCTTTACGTGTGGATACACGGCACTACAACGCCTGGTACGGGAACCTTCTTATTTGTGATGACGAAATGCTTATCTTCATTTGGTTTATGGTAATTATTAGGTATGGTTTGGGAACATGCTACATGAGAATGAGCAAGTTGCGACTTGCGGACTACCACTTCCGAAAGGCCGCCGAGATCCATCCAAACAATGCCATCCTCCTAGGATGTGTTGGCATGGTGAGTCAGGCGACGGAGTTGCCTGTCAGGGAAAGTACTGACTAGTTCTGAATCTTGTGACATGGCAGATCTTTGAACGCACTGGGAACATCGAAGCAGCCCTGGCATTGTTTGATCAAGCGATACAGCTGTCACCCGACAATGCACTTGTCCGGTATCATAGAGCGAAAGTGCTTATCGCGCTAAGGAGGTATTCGGTGCGTACTTTGCGGTCCATCAGGCGCGTTGCAAGACTAATGGCATTGGGCGTCTTCCTGTTTAGCTTGCCATCGCAGACCTCGAGTTGCTCCGGGCGGCATCTCCGGACGAGTCGAATGTGGTATTCCAATTGGCACGAGTGTACCGGCTGATGGGAGACAAAGTCAAATCGGCTCAGCTACTAGCGGTAGCGCGAGATGTGTCGCCGAAGAGCATCAACAAGATTAGGAAGCTGTTAGAGACGATGCCAGATCAGGAAGCAGTGGACGATGTGATGGACGAAGGGTGAGGCAAGGGGGTCCTAGCATTGTACATAGGAAGAGTCGGACTTGCGTGCTATTTGCATATATTCGGAGGAAACTTGCGAAAAGAATGTGCTGGCGGTTGCCATAACAGGCGTGGCGAGTGTTTTATGCGAAGAGGGGTGAGAGGGTTGCGTGATCTGAGTTGTTCGCGTTTGTTCTTTGGCGGTGTACAGCCGTGCGTTGCGCCTTGGAAGACTGTCTGCGGGGGTCGTGACGGGGACCGTAGCGGTTGGATGTGAGTGACAGAGCGTGACGAAAATTGCCCAAAACATCCGAGAGCACCCGAGGAAGTGGGAGACTTGAGTCACCGGTGAGACAAGCGCTGGAGGCCAGGCGGAGTGTGCTGTCGACATATAAGACCGACCCTCGCCTACTCCCGTCCCTGCGCACACGCCTCCTGCCTCCTTGCACTCTCCAACATGTCTTTCTGACTACATCTCCCTCCCCGTGTTCCCCTTCCCCCCTTTAGCCTCTTCATTTCTTGCTCCGCCGTGACAGTCCCATTAGCAGTCAGGCGAGACTCTGAAATCAAGCATGGTTAACAAGTCCTTCCGTATCTCCAAGAACGGCACTCTCCTGTTCGAACCCTTCGAAGTATACCGCATACACCGCTGACATTAGATATATATCTCGGTCTCGTATGTCTCCTCCCCCTATCTCATCTCCTGATGCCTCATTAACACGTCGTGTGCCCTTCCGTCTAGAACGCACCCGTCCGCTCCTGAGCCGTCGCTCAACCGACATTGCACCCTTTACTCACTTGTACCACTCTCAATTAACCATGACATCCGAATCTTCCTCGTTATTCAGTCTCGCCCGCAACAAGCTGCACTCCGTCGTTGGCGGAAACGTCAAGGACAGTGCCAGCTTGCATCGCTGGGTTCTCCTCAAAAATGTGATAATTCGCTCCCATATCGCTGACGCCCCGGCGTCCTCTTCGGACAATGTGGGCGCTGACCCTGTATATAGACATGAAGAAGAAGAACATCATGATGAGGCTGAGCAGGACTCATTTATGTTTCCGGACCCCGACGATCTTCTTGCTGATGAGGACTCCGACGTCGGGAGCCGTGAAGATCAGTGGTTGGACTCTTTGCTCGAGACCCTCGGAGATGATGAGGAGGACTTGGACGATAGTCTTACCCTCTCGAACCCCCGTAATCATGAGGAAGATGAACCATTAAGTCCACTATACTCCCCCATGTCTTCTTCAGACGACCTTGTCGGACAGTCCAGTTTCTATTATCCGCCAGAAATAGCTATTCCTTATCCTGTTCCTTATCCACCACTTCACCCTCCACTCGTACCATCTTGGCTCGCTCTCGAACGCTCGAATGACGATCCTTCTCTAACTCCCAGCCCCCCTTTGTACCATGACCCTCTCCCTTACTTCCATCAAGACGACATAGAAGACCTCTCTGTCCCGGATGCTATTGAGGACACTTCGGATGATGAATCCGATGCCCCTTGCACTCCGTCTACGACTTCGACGTCATCGCTTTCCCCTCCCAACGCTTCTCTTCCCCTTCCGCACGAGCGGACGCGCCCCCACCCCCATGTATATATTGGCACGGACGATTCGTACTTCTACCCATTCGAGCGTGATCCCCTTCCCTTCTCTGATACTGAGCACCCTGATGGTGTTCGTCCATTCCATCATCCTCTGTTCCAAGAGTGTTAGTTTGTTCTCATTGTATATTCTGTGTATAGTCTGGTCCCCGTTCCTCCTCTCCTTTGTCATCTCAGGTTGCCTTATACTATCGTCATCTATTCCCTCTATGCTCATAATCATCTGGTATTGTGGTCTGTGAATATATAGGGTCTTGCGTCATTTGTTACTACATCAAGTCTTCGCCACGTCGCCGAGCATACTGAGCACACAATGTGTCAATTCTGATCTCATCCCGAGTTCACATCTAGGCCAGAACTCGAATAAACTTAAAAGTGTAACTGTGTGACGCTTTCCGTGACCTTCCGAAAAGAACCGCGCTACGACTCCTCGGAGAGAAGCCATGGGGCAGTCCTGACTCACAAAGCATCATTGATAAGAACTGTATACAATACAGCTAGGTCCAACCAGCTTGAGGAGTAATCAGAAGAGTCCCCTCGGCCACAATACAGAGCAAAAGTAGATCGTGACCAATCCCCAGCCAAGGCGCACAAGGAAGCAAACGCCCCTTCTCGTTAGTTGCGACAGATCAGCGTTCCGCGTTGTTTGTCGATTCTTCCGAGCCCGACTTCGGAGGAACTGGTGGGAGTTCCCAGAAGATATCCTCGGACGGCGGTAGGTCGCTAAGGCGAATATACTGTATGGCAATGTTGTTGAATGCCGTCGGATGTGATGGGCAGGGTGGGAGTGGTTGGGAGGTGAGGTGAGGCGCTAGAGATGTATTTGATAATGAGTTCCATTTGGGGATGCGAGGGAGGGCAGGCATGCGGAGGAGCAGGAGGTGTAACGTAACATTTAAGCACTCACCGATACGAGACACGCAAGGGAAGGCGGCGGAGAGCTTTTGTGATGGGACGCTGATTGGTTGTTTGCAAGAGAAATGAAAAGATGTCAGTTATCAGTTTGTCGCCCATAACATAACAACGAAGAGATAACGCTTGGGAGACAAGGAGATGTTGGGTGGGGTGGGGATGGACTGGAGCGCATGCGTGGAACTGATTGCGAGAACGGGACGTACTTGTCGACGTACTCGCTGAATCTGTTGGCGATAAGGAGGAGTTTGGGGAGCCGATTGCTTGTCCAGTTCTCACGCAAGATGTTCTCGTATAATTGCAGGTCGCAATGTGGCATGTATGCGATACTTGGATTTGGAAGCGCATAGGCAGCATTCTGTTTTTGATTTTATTTGAAAGAATATGGAAGAAGGATCCCAACGGGATATGAAAAGAACTTTGTATCAGTAAACCAACGTCCACATGATTTGATAAAGCAGTGAAAGGGAAACATGCTCTGTTTTCGGTCAATCTGCGAACCCGGATGTCATCCAGAAGTCGTTCATCTTCCTCGGTGAAAACTGGATCATATACAGATATGTTTGAACGGTCCTGTGGACAAAGATTGGGGGGAGGGTGACACACGGACAAACATGGGTTATTGTTGGGAACATAAGTTACACGAAAAGCACGATGGGAAACAATTTACACACTAGCGAGAGATCGTCAGAGACTTCGAGTAAGAAGACCAGCTGAGCACGAGGATCACGATAGGCTGCGGGACTTCCCAGTCCGAGGCACAGCACCTCAGGAGAGGTGACTGATAATAGGTGAAGTGATTCTCGAATGAGATCTGCATGTAGTATGACATGGTAATCAGTAACGAGGAACCAATGAGAGCGGATAGGAAGCAGCAGCAGACCGTACGTTTGCATTCTTGTATCCAAACGTCTGTGATTAATTCTTGCCTAGTGCGATCTAATGCCACCGCAGGAGCGATCTGTGCTCCAGATCCCGTCTTCTTGTTTTTGCGATTTTTGCGAGGTCGAGCTGATTGGAAGGGCCTTGTATATTCGAATGTCGCGCCATCGTGCGTGCTCATGACAGTTTTACCGAGAAAGTGTTGTGTACAACGAAGACATGTCAGGTTGGTGAGGGAAAATAAACAGTGGCGGTCACTGGAACATGGCAGATGGCACGGTGTTGTGTTGGCAAGATGTACAAATTTGAGTGATCGGCGATCGCGTTCAGTCGAATCTAATAGATTCCAATCCGGGGAAACCCCGTTTCACTCGGTGAGTCAATCGTGTTGACATTTTCGAGCTTGGGGTCCTCAACAGACCTGAACGAAGGTACTAATCACTTCCAATAGAGGTCACAGGTCTACAAAGTAAATCGTTTATCCTTTCCATTAGAAGGTAAATAGTATGTAAGGCACTGAAGCACTAAACAATATTGGACAAGGTCGCTAGTATTGAAACCTACATATGACTCATAGAAAACGTTCCTGACATCTGAAACAACCTCATAAGCAATTCGTCATTGTGTTGGAGATCCTTGGAATGAGGATTGAGAATGGATTTATGCGTCTTGTCTTTCCTTCTATCAGTCTTTGCCGCTCTCACAGTGAAATGCGTGACCCCAAGCAATTTCGGTCTCCTTGCATGACGAGAGGGCCTCATGTTGCCCAACGCCTCGAACATGAGTTCAGATTGACTCAGATACCTGAATGGATAACGTATGGCAGTCACACGGTCTGTCTCGAGGGTATAAGATATTGTTCTGGCAGAACGCCAATGAATCATTCGTGATTCTAGAGGCTTCTCAACGAATGTATCTAATCAAGACCTAGTCATACAACGTCTTCAGTAATGTCTTACAGCTTCTGTAGTGCCCAGAGGTCGTCTCCGAGATACGTAACAGTCTCAACACCAACACCCTTGTTGATCTTCTTCATGTCCTCCGTAGCGAGCTTGGTAATTCCAATTCCCACTGCATGTTCCTTGCCCTCCGCATGAATTGCAACTGGTGCGCCCGCAGGCAAAGCAGCATCAGCAGGAGGCAGGTAACCCCCGGCGGAGGTCATTCCAGGGCACATCATGTGTGCGCCTGCAAGCAAAAATCGGATGGCTCCGCGGTCTATCCTCACCATGGGGAGGATGAAAGGGTCTAGAATGAGTTGCAGCCGTTCAGTATATGCATTTGAGACATTGCCGAGGTATATTCACGTACATTTATGTAACAAGTGTAGTGTTGGGAAGAACGGCTCATCAAAGTGCTGGAAAAAGAGGGGTTCGCCGTGTAGTGTGTAGATGGAGATGTGATCTCTACTGTCATGGAAAGAGAATGCGATGGTGAGACGACTCTGGATCAGGAACTCGGGGAGCATGAAAGAGAGACTGACCATTTCACGAGTGTTATGGGTTCCTTCTTTGGCCAGATCTGTTCAAAAGTGTCTGGATCTATTTTCCATTGGGACAGGACAGCGGCACGGATTGATCGTTGGACAGATGACTTGACACTGGTTTGCCCTGAGATATCGGTGGAAGGAGAGAATCTAAGAGGAGGGTCGAGAATGAGACAAGAGAGAATTGAGGATGAGAGAATGCTGGCCGACGTACTTCTTGAACATGGCGGCAGATGGACATCCGGCGGTGCAGCTGCAAGGAGTGAAGCTTGCGCCAAAAGCGGACACGGGACAGGCGCGTATCGGTGAACTTTATTCGAGCGCGCTGCAGACATGCCCGGTCGGGGGCAATTCGCAGCCGCCTCTCCTGAATACTTTTCGTTCCAGCCAGCGAACACTCACCACTCCTATTTACAGGTCTCTCCAGGAAACTCACCTTCGTTCCTGTGAGTCCAGATACTTTACAGAGGTCTACATAACTGACAACATGTGGCTACTCAAGCTGTGGCCTGGTGCTACACTCCGGAAACTCAGTAGACAGCCCCGTACAATACTACACCGGCTCCGAATATAATCTCTCAGCATAATGACCCGCAAGAGAGCCAGAGTGTCCTACAACGAACTCTCTGAAGATGAACTGTATGAACCTCAACAACCTCTCCGCGCGCCGAACCGGAGACGGAAGGGTTTCCTCAAGGGCATTCCCAATCTACCCATTGACATTCTACATGAGGTTAGTCTGCCTTGTATGAGCCAATGGGAAGAAGTTTGACATATCTTGCCGCCACAGATATTCTCTCATCTTGATCCATTAGACTTGCTCCATCTGGCCAGATCGAACAAAGCGTTTCGCTCTTTCTTGTTCAATAAGAATGTCATTGGCGTTTGGAGGAGCGCTCGAGAACATATTGAAGGTCTCCCCCCATGTCCTCCATATCTTAGTGAGCCTGCGTATGCCAATCTAGCCTTCTCTCCGCATTGCCATGTGGGTGGCTCTTTGTCTGATTCAACTGCCATGTGTTGATAATCATTTCCTCAGGAATGCCTCACTGGAAATATCCAGAATGTACTATGGACTTTCAATATCCGATACTGTAACAAATGCAAGACCAAGCTGTGAGTTGTTTGGCAAATACATGCTTCATTTCATTAAAGTATACGCCGGTATCAATAGAACTGTGGACTCGTATATGCTAGGTGGCCGCGGAGGATATGCAGCAGGGCTGACTGCTGACATGTTCTGCCAGACGCTTGGTGGTAAGTCATACATATCAGCTCGCGTATAGTTAGGTATTAAATCGAGGTTTCATCTCAGAACGCAGACGTATCATATATCACAAACCTGAAGTCGAAGCCATATGGCAGAAGTGGCTTGCTTCATCCGAAGATGAACAGGTTCGCGCGAAGTTCATGCAAGAACGCCGCGAGCTTGTAGAGCAAATCAACCACGTAAGTTCATCTTCAGACATTGCACACAGTATATGGATCAATGACATTCGAGTAGCATGCAAGTCTATGCATCAAATGGACCGAGGCTAGAAAAACCACGCGATCTGAGGAGCTCCAACAGTTGAAACAAGCCAAGATCGATACGTGGGTATTCACTTCGAATTTATGTTGCAGCATTTTTCTAACCAGGCCAATTGCTTCAGTGTTGTCCAAAGACTTACGGCTCTTGGATGGGGTGCGGAACTAGAGGCTATGAAACCTCACTACTCCCAACTTGCTGAACATTCCCTTGTTCGCGGGGCTAAGAAAATGAATGACAAGAGTGAGCTGGACAGTCTGTCACCGTGTTCTAATTCTGATCATGCTTTATACGTGTCTAGCATGGCAAAGTGTTCAGCCCAGTCTGATCATCTTCATGAAAAAATGCCGCAAGGACCGCCTCGTGTCTCTACGTCGGCGAGAGCTCCAAATGCGCTTGAACTGGTTGATGGAAGTCGTCAAGGCAAAGTCCCCAGCCTTGCGAACCACTGATTCCGACTTCGGTCCCGCATTTGTTGACCTTGCTCTCATGCCTGAAATCCGAGATATCGCAGAACTTCCTAGTTCCAAGCCGGTCACGAAGGAGATGTTCGAAGCCTTGGGAGAAGTCGTTCCTCTCTTGACAAAACGCTGGATGATCAATGCTGAAGAACGACTCGAACACATCGCTCGTGAAGGTCTTCCCTCGCTCCCATACCTCATTTCACCCCTCACCCTAGCTTGCACTTTCTTCGATTGCATGTCTTGCAAGCGACGAGACATGCAGTATCGGTCTGTCGTCGGGCACGATTGCCTCCATCAGCGATATTATAGTTACTGTCGCGACGACGACATCTCGTACTTCTACCAAGACCTTGCGATGGCAACAGATCACTGTCGTCCATGGTCATGTCAGAATTTGACCATCGGTCGGGCTACTCGAAGAGCACAGACTATTTTGGAAGCTTGTGGCTTAGATCCGTTGATTACTACTCATGGGGACTTGAAGGAACTCAAACCTCGACTTCGCTGCAAGACTTGTAGCAGACCAGGCGTACGTATGGTCATGTCTTGGCGTACTGCGGTGAGCCCAGAGGATTTATGAATCACGTTCATATGGTTTTACTGACATCGGTACTCGTGATTTAGGTTGACCATGCACGTACGGCACACAGCAGTATAGAGCAGGAAGAAGCGGAATGGGAGATGGTCAATGAAAACGAGGCCAAAATCGCGCATGATTTGGAAACCAAGAAGGCTGACAGCCTCTTTGATGACTATTATCCAAGCGTGCTATGGTCCTGTGCTCGTTGTACTATCACTCTCACTCGAAACCTTCCGTTTGCGCAGGTGATGGATCATCTGAGGAGACAGTAAGTGCAAACATCTGTTATTTCGAGTTGTTAGGATAATTCAACATATCCTACGAGTAGACATGGCGTTGTCAACCCGACCGTTCAGGATAAGGACATATACCCTTCAAGCGATTCGCCGGACCTTATCGTGAGGCCGGTCATGATTGTATCCAATAAGCTCACTCTTGACAATCTTACCCCCGTCGAGAGGAAGTTCTGGGTCAAGGGAGGCGGAGGCTGTTACGATTTCGAAAAGCTGGGAATCCAGGATCCCATCCTAGTCAAATCAGAGGATTCGCAGCAAGATACCGAAAAGACTGCAACATAGACAGCACATCCCCATCCTCGTACATTGATTGATCTTTCTTTCCTACCGTGCTATCACTATAATCTCGATAGATACATTACTTCAACCTATTCAGAACATCTCTAATCACCATAGTAAATACATTATGACTCTGTGTATTCCTGGCCTAACTAAGTACGCTATTGTTACATTGGAAATATTGCTGCTGCAGACGGTACGATGGACGATAGCAAAGAAGGATAATAAGAAAAATAGCTGGACAGCGAAATCATACACAAGATACTGGGGGGAATCAAGGGAATGCATCTTACACCAACATCCTCAAGACGCACCGGTCTACCCCATAGCTTAGATGTCCTCATCTCTATCCTCGAGTTGCGAAGGTTTGAGCATGCCTGGAATACGCATGGCTGCTTCTCGTTCAGCTGCAGCTTGAAGCTGTGCCTCTGCTTCCTTCTCCTCGAGATACAGCTCAGCGTTATCACCTGAGAACTCCTTGAGTTGAACCAAGAAGTCTCGGAGTGCTGACTTGAATCGATTGATGTCGCTGTGATATTCCCCGAGAGCCACGACGAAGGTCTGGATTTGTGCACTGGAAGAGAATCAATGTGAGTGAAACGGATCCAGACATTAAAGAAGAGGGAAAAGCGCTTACGTTTGCACATGGGGGAATGCGTTTTTGAGGAGGTTCGCAGTGTATTCGCGAAGGAAGACAGCATTGCTGATGGTGGGATCTGGCACTGTTGCAGGGTCGAATAATGGCACGCCGATCTGGTTTGTCTCGGCAAGCTGGAAGATCCTAGCAAGAAGCAAGCTCTGGAGCTTGAATCCACTCTTGTGGTCAGTGTCAGTGAGGACGAAGAATATATCCTGCATGATGCTAAGGAAATATTGCTGGAAGAATGCGTTCCCGACAGCTGGATCGGCGCCTGCAAAGTTGTTGATCACTTCGAGACACACTGCAAAGAACTACTCAGTACAATGGACATAGACACCAGAACCCAGACGTACGGTTCAATCCTGTCTCCGCGATATCCCTCATTGTGTGCTTAATAGCCCAAATGATGCTATCCATGAACAGCTTGAACTGTGGTGGTGGGAGGGTCAACAAGGCTATATATAAAAAGACCAATATCAACATGAATGTATTCGGAAAGATCAGCGAGGAGGAACATACCAGGGAAGCAGTTCAAGTTGATCGCCCGCAGGAGCTTGAAGAAGCCGACACGGTGTTCAGGGAACTCGGCAAAGTCTTGGTTGATCATGTTCAACGTCGGCTCGAACACCGCGTCGAGAATAGCCGGGACCTGCGGCGTGAGCAGAGGCTACCCAGGTGTCAGTAAAGAGATTATGCTTCATAAAAGAGACTTACTCCTAGTCGCGTGATGATCGTAGCCATAACATTGAGTACTTCCGCGTCTCGTGCTGCTGGTACGTTGCGGTTGTAATCCCCCAGGATAGCATCTAGCAGAGGAGGCATGAAGTTGTTGTTGACAGTCTCGAGATCCTCCGCTTTGCGGATAAAAGTCTCCATCAACTTCAGGACCTCTTTCTTGATGGTTCTCAATTGTCTGACTTTCGGAGTCTTCGTCGCAATTTGACCTAAGAGGACATTAATGAGGGTCAATGTGTTAACTACGGCTCGACTGACCTTCTCTCACGACAGACTCGCTAATGATACCGCTGACGGCTTTGTATAAGCCTAACATATCCAAGAATATACGGCCAATCTGTGGCAGGAAAAAGCTGCCAACGGAGGTGCATACAGCGACGTTGGTCTTCAAGACATTCCCAAGGACTTTAATGTTGTCCATGCTACTAAGAACATCGAGGTTCTGTGAGGCTTGCGCCATGAGAGAATCCCACTGGATCAGAAGTCAGTCAGCATCTAGGAGGCGGAGTATTTCAAGGCAAGGACGCACCGCGCGGTTCGGGAGGTCCATGAGTTTTATGATGAGCTTCTCTTGCTGAGGTTTGTTCGGTTGTGCGGAGACCATATATCCAACGGCCTCGTAGAAAGTATGGATCTGTCACAAATTAATCTCAGAAATCGAAAGTAGCAGACAAAGGGACAAACCTGTTGCGGTGAAAGGTCGATAGTGATCCTGTCCAACGACCGTAGAATTTCGTCCACGAACGGTTCTTGCTCTCCGGACTGCTGCATGACGAAATGCCTCCGACACTTCTGAGCGATCTTGATGAACGTATCACATGCCATGTCCTGTACACCTACACATACCGCGTCCCCGTAAGATTAATTCTCGTATTGCGAATGGTATGGATGACGGCAACTGCCATGAAGAAGGGAAAAGGATACAGGAGAGAAAGATAAATTTAGTGGTAAAGTGTACTGACCTTCGTGCGTCTCGTGCATAAACTCGAAAAGCTTGTTCACGACCGTCTTGAGGAACTTCCAGTGCGCCTTGAGGAATCTTGGGTACTGACCAACAATGTACATGATGTCGGACGCGACCACCGCTTTGTTGTCTTTGCCCCGCTTAATCTCGCAAAGCCCGAGGAGGTCCTTGATGACTGTTACAAGGAAGCGCTTTTCCATCTCCTCATCTGAGAAATTTTAGGTAAAGATCAGTCAGGTATGATGGGAACTGGTCAATACTTACTCATTGCTCCGGAGATAGAGCCAATAGCCCAACAAAGCGTGTTGAGATTCTGCCATGACCACTCAGAACCATCAACCTGCTTGGAAAGCTTCTCAGTTAAGATAGTTTCCGTATCTTGGACATCCAAATGGGTAAGGTAGACGAGGAGCTCTCGCATCGACTTGTATAAAACAATGGTGTCGATCTCCTTCATGAACTCGCGAACGATCTCGCCCTCCTCATTCTCGACGATGAGCACTTCTTCTGGTTTGACCATCTTTTCGATGACGACCAGTCGGAGATTTGAAAGAACATCACTGTAGATGTTCTTCCTGAGATTCATGCCATTGAGCATATTCTGGCTTGTTCCGCCCAGGCTGAGACCCATGAGCAAACCGCTGTCGCCAATAGGCAGAGCCTGAATTTCGTCGTAGAGCTCCGCGACAAGTTTCAACCAATATTCCAAGCAGATCTTGAATATTTCTCGCTCGTCCACTTGAGAAATCTTGACCATATATAAGTGAGCATTCAGCAAAACGTCACGATTGGCCTCGGTTTCGACGGCACGCAGGTGATTCGATAGGAAGTTCGATAAGAACAACGCAATGTTGAGAACGAGCTCTTGCCCGGAGTCACCAGCATTTGCGTAGGCAGCAGCGATGTTGGTACTTGGGGGGATCATTCGGTTGATGGATGTCATGACCATCGCAAAAAGAATGACGAATTTGGGGTCGTATTCGGGGCCGACATTAAGCGCAGCGATTTCAGCAAGGCACTTGAGAGTGATGTTTCGGAAGTCTGGCGCTTCCAAGAACTGCGAGATAGATCAGCCTCCTGTCTACATTTGACAGACATTTTGTACACACCCGATTAAGAAGTAGGTCTATGATAGTCGTCTCAAATATATACCCTAACGGAATCCAGTTGAGGAAGCGAAGAAGAGTCTCCAAAGTTGCCCTGATCAAGGAAGTCTTTTGAGCCTCCTCCAGAATCTCCGAGCACAACTTGAAGATTTCCGAGAATTCGCCACACATCTGGTTCTTCAGCTTCTTGACCTTGGCCTGTGTCATTTGTTCTGCAGAGTAGTCAAAAACTTCCTCGGAAAGTAACTTCAGGATAACCATATTGTTTTCGCAGAGAGAAAGATTGGTCTTGGATGATTCGACCAATTCGCTGATGAATGTCGGCCAGTTCTGAGGCCATTCTTGCTTTAAGATCTGAAAGGATAACGTGTAAGTCATGGCAAGGTAAATATCTAAATAGCCAGAAACGCACTTGGACTAGTGCAAGGTTCAACTTGTTGACATAAGTTTTTTCCCTTCTGAGTGTAGCCTCGTCAGACGCGACTTTGACAGTGATTCCGACAATAAAATTTCGGATTCCTAGGAAAGAGTAAGAGGAGACACTCAGAAGGCGCGATTTGTCAAGTCTCACCTTGGCGTTGGCCTTCAGGCAAGGTTTTCCACTTTGTCGTGATGAGTTTCTCCAGAATTTGCAGACCGATATACTAATACGATAATGATAAGTATTTTCTACTGTCAAACAATCCTAGGATTGTAGTACCTTCGCTTGTGGGAATGTTGAATGTTCGAGGATATCTGGCACCTTTGTCCATGCCTCCGGATTCTCCTGGAACTGAGTCAATACTTGCTGGGCCAATTGTTGCTGCACGTATGACACAATAGTGAGATTAAAGTAAGACATCAATGATCCGGATGCGGTGGGACGTACCTCCTGGCCAGCACCTGAATAAAATGCCATAACAACCTTGTCCATGAGGGGGACATCGAACTCCCTTGAGAAGTCGAGTAGGACCTAACGCATGATCAGAAGAGTCCCAAACTGTTGTATATGTCGCGACATACCTCCATGGTGGTAGAAAAGAATGAAAGGCGCGAGCAGACGTTGACGTCGTTGAGGTAGACGGTGAACGAGAACGGGTGTGCTTACTACACGAAGGTGGCACTGCTGGGGTTGAGGGTGAGATTCACGATCTCATCTTATCAACAGGCGCTTGTTCCACGTGACTTGCGTCATTCAATATGGCCCTTGCCCAGCTTGCCCCTCGCGACTTAGTGCAATCCAGGGGGAATCGGAACATGCACGTCGAGACCGTTGAGTACATCTTTACGATAAACCATCACCATGACTGACAACAACGACACATTTCCAGAGAAACAGAAGGCATGGCTCGCCATTCGCCGTGGTGTGCCGTCAAAGGCGTTACGTCTCGATGACAATGTTGCGGTGTCGTCCAAATTGCAAGAGGGCGAGGTCTTGGTGAAAGTACAGGCCGCTGCCCTTAATCACATGTATGTATACGTATTTTAATGCCTAAATTGTTCTGAAATCACCCTTTGTAGTGACTACATGTTATTGGGACTTCTCCCCAATGCCTTTGTCGGAAGGCCGCATGTCATCTCTCATGACTTTGCTGGGACGGTCGTCTCCTCCAGAGACTCCAAAATCAAGGAGGGTGAAGAGGTTTTTGGTGCTATTCTTGCTCGTATGTCAATTATACACGCATATGGCCGGTGAAAATCTGATTGTCCTGGTGCAGCTACGCAACATAAGACAGGGCAGGGTGCTTTGGCACAGTACGTTCGCGTTCCTGCCAAGTTCGTCGCACAGCGTCCACAGAACATCACACCCACGCAAGCGGCTGGTATTCCGCTTGTTGCTCTCACCGCATACCAGGTCTTGTTCGAGATCGCCAAGCTTGAGCCTGAGCAGAGCCTCTTTGTGAATGGAGGAAGTACTGCTGTCGGCCTGGCGGCCATCCAAGTCGCCAAGGCACTTGGGTGCAAAGTCACTGCCACCGCATCTGGCAAGAATGAAGAATTAGTGAAGTCGTTGGGGACCGACGTCGTACGTTTTATTTTGTTATATACGCAGAAGAGCCGTATTTATCATTTCCATTTCAGTTCATTGACTATACGAAGACACCGGCAAACGAAGTTCTGCAGCGCGATCCTCCCTCTCCGAAGTTCCATGCCATACTTGATGCTGTTGGTAATATCGACCTTCACTTGTGGACTCACTCGGAGGCATATTTGGCACCTGATGGGATCTTTGTTTCCGTGGGCCCTCGGCCAAGTGGCGCTGGTGATTTACCACTCCTCGTTCGGTATGCTTGGGAAGCTTTTCTACGTCCGACGTGGCTGGGTGGTGTTAAGCGCAAATGGCGGTGAGTAGCGTGCTGTTGATGCGGAGGTTGTGAACTTTTCTGATTTCTCCGCAGTATGGTCCAGGTAAAGGAGAATCAAGAGCACCTGGAATATATCGCGAAACTTATTTCTGAAGGTAAATTTGCGCCTCTGTATGTTGAAGTGCGATTTGACACCATTTCATGAAGGAAAATTCAAATTCGTGGTTGATTCTGTCTATGAATTTGATGATGTTCCGAAAGCATTCGAACACCTCATGACCAGGAGAGCCAGGGGCAAAGTTGTTATCAAGGTTGACCCCAATGTTGCCTGAGGAATCGTTCAGTGGTCTTGATTTTCGAGTTAAGTATATGTTCTGGTATAGTATTATTTCTAAGTAGTGGTACCACTTTAGCTCAAGGACGTTATGTTGAAAGGTTCCGGCTCACTCTTGAGATTGTTATAGTGTAACGGCTTAACGTTACCGCCTCCTGTTCTACGTACTTACGAATTTTGTCACCTCTACACCGTCGCGGGCACGCGTCGGTGGTCTAAACTGCAGTATTTTCTTTCTCAGACACAACCCGCTCCTCTCGTACGGACAACAATATTAAGTTTACGTGGTTCTTTCCATGGCCACAGGAACAGGAGGATCCATGCGGTGAAGACATCTTGTTGTCGCAAGTTCTCTTATGTTCCCTTCATCTCAAGATGAAAGTACGGTCCCAACACGTTCTAAGAGCGCAGGCTCTCTCATCAAGATGTAATTCTCGGTCAGAGAGTTACTTCATCGTGAGCAGACATCACTTGCTCCGGCACCTTTTCCAACTGTGTTTGTCTCTTCTGAGCACTTCCCTCGTGTCGATTTTTTACATGTATCGGAAACCGTTCCGAAAACATATCTGCAGACTTAGCTGGGTCGATCGGGAACTGAACTCTAACAAGGTGATCGATCTGTCAAGTTGACGGTTGTGATCGAGACTGCTTCTTCCTAACCGTGCATGTTCAATTTTTCGCTTCGTTCCTCCTCTGATTCTGTCATTCTGGAATCTGAAGACATCTGGTTCTTTCATCATTATCTTGGGATTGAATTATAATGTCTCTTAATTACATACCTTGTGGTGTAACGGCTTAACATCATCGCCTTTCAGACTCTGCGCGAGGTGCTGCCTTTTTACGTCCTCAAGGTGCACCTTGGATGTTTCTTTTTAGTCTGCCCCACTTCAGAAGAGACTGCAATGAAACAGTTCTATATTTTCCACCGGAATCTACAATGTAGAGACTCCTCAGATTCTGAGGCTGATGATGTGTAAAGCCAATGATTGACGCAATGATTGCGATGGTCAGAACAACAGTGAGGAAGACATGTAGTGTGGAGAATACGATATAATCATATCAGCAACATGTGCTAAATATGTACTAGTCAGCAGATGGATCAACCTTGACAATAACCTTGCCCCTGGCTCTTTTGGTCATAACATGTTCGAATGCTTTCAAAGCATCATCAAAGTCATAGACAGAGTCAACGACAGACTTGAATTTCCCTATGGAGAGTAACATTAGGCAGTGCACCGCTGGTATGAAGTTACAATGACTTACCTTCAGATATAAGTTTAGCAATGTGCTCTAGCTGCTCTTGCTTCTCTTGGGGATGACAAAGACTGCAGCAAAATCATGATAGGCCTCTAATCTTGGCAGTATTAATATACCATCAGCACTCACCGCCATTTACGCTTGACACCACCCAGCCATGTCGGACGAATGAATGCTTCCCAAATATACCGAATGAGGATAGGTATTTCACCAGCGCCATCGGGTTGAGGGCCTACGGAGACAAATGTCCCACCAGGTGTCAAATACGCCTCAGAGTGAGTCCACAAGGGAAGGGCGAGAATGCCGGCCGCTTCTAGGATAACATGGAACTTGGGTGTGGGTGCATTATGCTCCAAAGTTTCGTGAACCGGTCCTTTCGTGTAGTCGATAAACTAAGAGTCAAATAATTAGAATAAACATGTCCCTAGTCTTACATTTATGGGACGCACCACATCAGTTCCCAGGGACTTTACCAGTTCCTCATTCTTGCCAGATGCCGTTGCGGTAACTTTACACCCAATAGCTTTAGCAAGCTGTATGGCGGCAATGCCGACGGCAGTACTCCCGCCGCTCACAAAGAGGCTCTGACCGGGCTCAAGCTTGGCCACGTCAAATAACGCGTTATATGCGGTAAGACAGACAACGGCGAGACCAGCCGCTTGCGTAGGGGTGATGTTCATCGGACGTAGCGCTACGGTTTTGGTAGGCGCACGGGCGAATTGTGACAAGGCACCTTGGTGAGTCCTATTCTGAAAATCTTCAAAAAGAGAATCAGGGATTCACTCGTTGTATGTAACTATGGGCGACATACTAGGAAGAATAGTCCCAAATACCTCATCACCCTGCTTGATCTTGGAGTCACTGGAAGCAAGTACTATTCCAGCAAAGTCATGGGATATGACATGTGGCCTCCCACTAAAGACAGTAGGTAAGAGCTTCAGTTTCTTGTGGTCGCTGCGAAGGATGATGTTAGAAATATGGATATATGTAGGAAATGGTGTTGAACTACACAGGGTTCAGAGCTGCCGCCTGGACCTTCACCAGGACCTCGCCATTCTCCAATTTTGACGATACCGGCACATTGTTGTCGAGACGCAGAGCATAAGATGGCTCACCACGGCGAATGGCTAGCCATGCCTTCTGTGTCTGTGGAACACTAGTGGCTAGGGTATCAGACATGATGATGATAGCTTGTGGGAAGGAACTTAAGCAGAAACTGTTCTGCCCTCAACCCCGTTTGTGACGGCTCACTTTATACCCAAACCTTGGAGGAAGATGTGATCCGCTCAAGAATTTGTAGTACGCAGAGGATCGGCCCTGGATCCAATGATGCAAGTCACATGCAGACTCGAGGCATCACGTTCATACATTGGGTGTAACTTATCGTGGAAAATCTGTACTAATCCTATTCACTACTGTTGAATAAGTGAGAGGCGATGAAGAAGAAAAACCAATACTGTGGTTGGAAGCATCCAAAGTGTTCATTATAATCGAGGCCTCCAGCTTAAACGTCAGAGGCTGGTACGCTGCGTTGAAGGTCCTTATTGTCAACGCAAGAGAGCTGATATGGAGGACCTGAAAGGGGTGCGTGATAATGATATGAAGCTCGTCAGTCGGTGTGAACATAGTATGAGGAATGTCATGTAGCGCCGGCAATTTAATCTGGCGATCATCCAAACTCGGCAAGAACGTTCAAATAGTTTACAATCGAGCAAAGTTCAAACTTGATGAGAATCTTGTAGGCTGTGACGAACCGTCTCTGGTCCGAAGCAGCTTTAGAGCTCGCTGCAATTCAGACTGCTTATCTCGACTTACTGTAGAAGCCTCGACTCAGACTACGATGCAACAACAGATCTATTCACATTGGCATGGCTATCAAAACATAAGCCATTTGGTTATCTTGTATGTTTTTTTGTCGGGCTTTGCAAAGTGCAACCTATATCGACTGGCAATCCTTCTCTGAATCTCAGTGGAGACTCTTACTCCGATGTGGGCTACCGATCGAGCTCGATGCTTCACCCTTCTGAAGAACACCCACTCGGCGTCGTGTTTCCAGGTTACAGTTGGGCTGAAGACCATAAACCCAACTGGGTTGGCTATCTTATCACTGAGTTCGCTCCCGGACACGCCATGCTTGTCTACGACTATGCTGTTGGTGGCGATAGAGTAAATGGTGTTGTTTCGCAGATCCAACGTCACTTCATTCCCAAGGTCGGACAGAAACCTGACTGGGCTCCATGGTCCTCGGATGATACCTTGTTCAGTGAGTTGATAGACGTACGATTTGCATGTAACTCTGCTAATGTTACCTTCAGTAACGTGGGTTGGCATCAACGACTGCGCGTAAGTACCCATTGACTGCGATGCACTCGTCGCAAACGCATTCAGCACATTATGCTAGCTTCATTGCAACAGAGAAAAACATCAGAGACTCTATGGACAAACTATTCGAGCAACAAGACCACCTGTACGTGCTGGGAGCCCGTAACTTCCTTTTCATCGATGTGCCCCCAATCCACAGATCCCCTGCAGGTATTAGGTCCATACTCCAACACAATTCTCTTTTAATCCTTTTTCGCAGTACCCGTGGGCAGGGCCGAATCCACCTCGCTGATAAACAAACTCTGGAACCAGATTCTACGAGAGGCGGTTACACATTTCACCTCTACTCACCCTGACGCCACAGCCTTCATTTATTCGTCCTATAACTTGTTCACTCGTATTCTGGATGATCCTGTGGCGTATGGGTTTCAGTTGGAAGATCGCCGTAAAAGAGGCGGGAGAATCTGGAAAGATCATATCCATCCGAAAACCAGGGTGCATCAAGAGATTGCTCGTGACGTTTCAGCGTTCTTAGAAGCGCAGCCTGCCTTTGGCAATGGCGACGTTGCGGAATCGCAGTTGCCTGGTGCTACACAACAATCAGACATCCAGGCTACTTCTTGAGATCTGCGGATATAAATGAACCACATCTGGAGGGTTGCTCTTTACTGTACTGCCGTGGATGATTCGGATCCGATTTCTTGGACGTGGATTGATATTTGTACATGATTCTGTTCTGATACCTGGTATGAGGCATAGTTAAACGGGGAAAACCCACGTGTCTACCCCATAAACCATTAAAAAGCTTTTCGTAAAATACGCGAACTTACGATCAGACGCGATCGACGCGTCCAAGCGCTTATTGTAGTGGTAGGACTTTGTACGCTATCACCACCACTGCGCCCAATTAGAGATTCAACATGCCTAGCGTACGCGAAACGATGTGAGTAGGTATTCATTCTATTTATGTTAGCTAGTGACACGGACTACTCCAGTACCGCAATAAAGGAGACAATTCCTATCATGGATCCCGAGGAGGATTACATGACCATTGCCGAGGCTGAAGAGCTAATGGCAAAGACTGAGGCTACTCGAAAGAAAGAGCTTGACGACGCGCATGCTAAGCTGAGAGGTGCGTTTATTATTTGGTCCCACTCTTAATCAAGCTGGATCACCCTGGAACAGCACTTGCTAGAATCCTGGATGCTGCACGAGTATCAGCAACACGCCCATCCTCGGTTCCTTCTGCGAACCAACACACCGCCATTCTGAACGACCTGGATGCCAATAGAATTCAGCTCGCAAAAGCGATCAACGATTCGGAGAGTGCTTTAGCCAGCAAGGAGGCGGAATTGGCGCGTCTCAAACAAGAAACAGGTGAACTGGAGCAGTCCGATCCGGCTGCTGAACATGACCTCGATGCTTCCGCGTGAGTCCTATCTATACTATCTGCTATATTGTCGTCGTTGCTTACTTTATGTCTAGTCTACGACTAGCGTTGTACAAAGGACTAGGATTCGAGCCTATCATGGACAGCGATGGACGAATGGCCAAGATGCTCATTCGTAAGTTGTCTTCTTCAGTTTGTTGTTATGTGCTGAAAGCCGCGGCTCTAATCGTCCAGGGGCTCAACACGGAGATGTATACTGTGTATCGTTCGATGGAAACAAGAATTACTACGAATACGCGCAAGAGTTATGGAAGCTCGCATCTTCATGACCATACCCTTCTCTCGATGCTCTGTATCCTTAGGTATATCCGGTGTATTTGTTCCTTCAGACTGTTAAAGATACCCTAACGCTACTATATACATGTAATATTATGAATGGAGAGTCGATCATCCATGTGCAAGAAAAAGAAAACAAGTTGAACAATGTGGTATAGCAGCAAATCGGTGGTAGATGGGTTCGTCCATCAAGCTAACCCAACAGCAGTCTAGAAAACCGAATGGCTGTCAGAACAAGCGGGGAATGCAGTCGGCCAACTTGCCTTGAAATCTGGTTTGACGACCCAGATCTTCTTATTCTTCTCCCCAATTTCTCTTACCTTCGCCTCGATCGCATTCTTCTTGACCTTGTGCGATCTTAGCTCTTGATAGACAACCTCGACAATGGCAGTGATGTTACCAGTTTCAAGGGTAGTAATCTTTGAGACTAACAGAGGTAGGTGCTCAGATGGAAAACTAGTCTTTGGCGCGGGAGGCGGTCGTCTTGGGGTGGCATTCGAGGACGTAGTTGCGGTAGCCCCCGACTGCAGAGTAGCAACACGGTCAGGAAGAGCTGGGACAGCAAAACTATTGTCGCCCGATGAAATCGATTTGGTTACCGCCAATGAGGACCTTTCCTCAAAAGGAGCTGATACAAATGTGAAGGGGTCGATCGGGCACGGCGCATCTATAGCAAAGTACGTCAACGCTGCACGCTAGAGTATGAAGTTGAAATTCATACCATTGAAGAGCTGTACCCTATATGATCTAAAGGGCTCGTATTCACATCTTCCGATACCGTTTTCCCAACATGGTCCTTTGGTAAAAGGCACAAGCGGTACAACCACCTTCCGGCGTTTCGCAGTTTTCGCACCTTCATCACTCCCTGGCTTCCTCTTGGGCGGTTGAAGTGTCGGCAATGGTATATCGAACAACTCAGGAGAAGCTCCCGGCTCGTCAATTGGTGTCCCGGGGTCTTCGACGTCGTCGTCTTCAACCAACCAACCTTCCAAATCGGAGGCATCCTCTGCATCCCCACCGGCATCCTCATCCTCGCCATCTTCAACAACATCCTCTCCGCCTTCTTCTTCTTCCCATTCTTCGCCGCTATCGCATGAATAGTCTATGGCCACGACATCTTTGGCAAATGGGGTACGAGGACCGACTTCACGAGAGGGACGTGTCCAAGTGCCAAAATAGCCAGGGCGTGCATCCTCATGGAAAATCAGGGCCTTGGCTGGAATGTCCTTCCGGGACCGCAGAAGCGAAAGCAGGGACCGCACAAGTTGATCATCGCCAGCGATTTCTGCCTCGTTCAATTTCATGATAATAGTCCTGACAGTTTCTGGATAACTACTCCGCAACCCATATAGAAGTTGCCGTCGAGGAGGAGCAGGTCCAATCTGGGCAAGTTTACTGACGGATTCCTGAAGTCGATCTGAAAGAACGTAAATAAGGAGAGGCAACATGTACGCCATAGACTAACCTGATGCTGTGAATGCGGTCACGTCAGGAGTGTTGGTGTCCTCCATGGCAACATCTTCAGAAAAATTTTGCTCTTCATCGTCGTCGATGACAATGACATCTTTTCCGTTAACCTGCGCATGTGTCTGGGTTTTGCTTCGTCTGCTCGAACGGAATGAGTTGATGGGTGCTAGTTCAGCGTCCTTTTTCAAGACGAAAGGCTTGAAAGTCTTCTCATACTCAGATTCAACGCGTGAGGGTCCAGCTATTGGTACGTTCGCGTTGGAGGCAGATGTTTTGGCTGCAATTTCAGCCTTCGCCTTCGCCTTTCCGAAAAAGTTGGCGAAAAGAGAACGGGCTTTCTCCTGGGCCTCCTTCTCTTTCTTTTCCTTCTCCGCCTTTGCCAATTTCTTTTCAGTGCGCTCCCTCTCCTGGAAAAAAATTGGATCAACATAGCACGACACTCGCGAGTTGGTGCACAAATACCTTGGCCTCTTTCTCAAGATCGATCGGCTTCCTGGGTCTTCCTCGCGCAGTTGAGGCTTCGTCTGACTGCTTTTCTGCCTACGCAAAAGATATTAGGTTTCTAATCAAGTGAAGTCAATAGATACCAACTTCTGGATTAGTCGTATCGGGTGTTTTTGAATCTCTGTCACCTGCTTGTTCGGAAGTGCTACCCTGACTTGGGCTGCCATTCATTATGTTGAAGTTGTCCTCCCGCTTGATAGGCAGTTTGCCCTTTGCAGCCTCAGCTCCGTTAGCTTTTGAGCCCACTATACGAGAACGTTCTTCCTCTGTCAATTCTTGAAACATGATTTTCAGCTCCGCTTTTGCCTAAATAATCCTTGCTGAGTGATGGAAATGACCGGAAGACAAGTAGATGCCCACCTGTCGCCGCTCTGCAGCTCGAGCCTCAGCTTTGTCTTTTGCAGACCGCGGAAGCCAGTGCCGAAATTCCTCCTTCACTTCCCACCTCCAAATATGCCATGCAGCTGGGACCTTGCCTCCCGCGGCGGACGCTTCGAGACCGTAATTGGTGCGGGTGGCAATGGACTTTATCGCCTTCTCAATAATTTGCAGCGGAAGTGATATTGTGGCTTTCCCCAAAGCATCTTCATCGTCCTCGTCTCGAGCGGGTAATAACTCTTGTTGCATTGATTTTGAAAGACCATTCAATGTCTTATCACTAAAATTCCGTCATATGAAATTCCACGATGCACGGATCTGCTGTTCGCAACGCACCTTTCTTGCGCTAGTTTTGCAATCAGTGGTAGGAAGTCATCGGTGATGGCGTTCAATGGTGGTAGTTTCGATTCTAAGTGCTGCTCAAGCATTTCGCGAAACTTTACGATTTCTATGCGTGGGACACGTAAATTGCATAGAGGGTGCACATGTATGGACGACATACCTTGCATCGTGTCTGACATCTTCTCGAAAGACATCGGCTTTTGCTTGAGCGAGGGCTTGCCATTCTTAATTTCAATAAGTGCAGTTTTGTCTGTTTTCGCCGCTGGTGGTAATGAACTTCAGAATGATATACTAGATGTCTTTGGGCATACTACCGACCTGCGGACGCGGCGATCACTGGCTGGATCGCTAGGTTCTTCATGAGTGATCCTAACGACAGAGGTTATACGATAGTACCTCACCATTCTCCAATTCTAGTTTAACCATGTTTGAGACCGTTCTCAACAAAGGATGGAAGGACGGTCTCTAGTCGTGGTCGCAATAAAGAATAGCACGCGCGAATTCTGACGCGGTGTGACCAAGTCGTGACAATTCGCGCCTGGCGTGACAGGACGCGTTTGAATGACACCGCGCTTGGAGTTTGCGGCTTCCTACTTACTCTCATTACCCGTACCTATCATGTCTTTCTTCCAAGTTCAAGCTCCAAAGAAGGCTGTAAAACATGCATATGATCCTGCCCTACAGCCTTGGGTGGAGAAATAGTAAGTATCCAGACTGCGCGCATCACTGTGTTCGGCAGGTTCTGATCCTGTTGCAGTCGTCCTAAAACTATTGAAGATGTATCATCTCAAGAACACACCGTTGCAGTCTTGCGAAGGACATTGACGTCTACGAATGTAAGTTTAGAGACTGCAAGCCTTGATATCAGCTAAGACTAAAGATCTGGTCAGCTACCACATATGCTCTTTTATGGCCCACCAGGTACTGGCAAGACATCCACAATTCTCGCACTAGCAAGGCAATTATTTGGGTACAATCAAATTTCTTTGATTAATGTATTGCTGCTCAAATGCTTCTTGAAGGCCAGATAACTTCCGTTCACGAGTGCTTGAACTCAATGCATCCGACGAGCGTGGTATATCAATCGTCCGAGACAAAGTCAAGAACTTCGCTCGTCAAACACCCAGAACACAAGCCGTTTCATCGGACGGTCAAACATACCCTTGTCCGCCATACAAAATCATTATTCTTGATGAAGCCGACTCCATGACACAGGATGCCCAGGCTGCGTTGCGTCGAATTATGGAAACATATGCGCGAATAACCCGATTCTGTTTAGTTTGCAATTACGTTACTCGGTGCGTTTGAAACATCGTCGTCTTCGCCTCTAAGCTTAATTATTTCCCAGAATAATCGACCCCCTTGCTTCACGATGTTCAAAGTTCCGATTTAAACCCCTCGACCCTTCGTCAACTTCCAGTCGCCTGCATCACATTGCGTCCGCAGAAAATGTACACGTTTCTGAAGAAGTAATTTCTACCCTCATCAAAACCTCTCACGGCGATCTGCGTCGTTCCATTACCTACTTACAATCCGCATCCCATCTAGGAGGCTCGACGAAACCTCCAACTCCGATCACTCCGAGTGACATCCAAGAAATTGCTGGGGTGGTCCCTGACTCCGTGATTAAAGACTTTGCCGCAACCCTTGGCGTTGACGCCGTCGGTGATGATATGGAGATAGATAGTCCGTCAAAAAAAGTCACTGGTTTCGACAGCATTAGACGTAAAGTCAAAGAGATCGTCAGAGAGGGTTATTCTGGCACGCAAGTCCTGATGCAGGTGTGTTAAAACTGGGTCCCTGCTACGTGAAGCGACTGACTTGTCTGCTCCCTATAGCTACATGACTTTGTCATTGAACACCCCACACTGTCTGCACACAAAAAGGCGCAAAGTGCTCTGGTCTTTGCTGAGGCGGACAAGGCCCTTTGCGATGGTGCCGATGAAGAGCTCTGGATTTTAGAGGTCGGGCTCCGTGTTCACAAGGCAGTCTCCTGACATCTGAGTCTTCTCCTGCTTCCATTCATCTCACTTAGTTTTTTGTAGCCCTAGTTTCATCTTTCTTTGGATTGTACCTCAATGACATAATTACAAACTGCTCATGATTCAATGATTCTTGCAAGGAGTTCAAAAACACAAAACGCAAAGCAATAGGATATAGGGAGACAAGAAAAAATACACCACGACAATGCAGACCACCCTAACGCATTACAGTACCGCTACGAAGCAACCCCTCATCGAAGACCAGCAGTGGCTTTCTGGAGGGCACGCTTGATTCCGAGTTGAGCTTTGCGGAGCTCATCGGCACCTGAATCCTCAATCTCCAACTTCTCAAGCGCGCGAGCGAGCTCAGCCTCGACCTGAGCCTTAGCACCACGTTTGAGCTTCATGCTGATTTCGGGGGAGGTGATGGTGTTCTCGACTTGGTGGATGTAGGACTCGAGGTCTGCCTTAGCTTCATGGCGGGCAGAGAAGTCCTTGTCGGCCTGCTTGAACTGCTCGGCATCCTTGATCATTTGTTCGATCTCAGCGGACGAGAGACGACCAACAGAGTTGGTAATGCCTGATGACAAGGTTGTTAGTTGATGGGCAACAAACATATAGATAGCACTCACTGATCTGAGCCTTGCGGCCAGAAGCCCGGTCCTGAGCAGTGACCTTCAAAAGACCGTTGGCATCGACTTCAAAGGTGGTAACGAGTTCGGCCTGGCCACGAGGCATGGGAGGAATGCCATTGAGCTCGAACTCGCCGAGGAGACGGTTGTCGCGGCATTGAGTACGCTCACCCTCGTAAACGGGGAAGGTGACCGTGGTCTGATTGTCCTCAACAGTCGTGAAAGTACGGGACTTGTTGGTGGGAATGGGGGTGTTACGGGGAACGACAACACCGAAGATGTCACCTTGCATAGCAACACCGAGGGAAAGGGGAGCAACATCAAGGAGAAGGAGGTCCTGGGTCTTCTCAGAGGTCTGGCCAGTGAGCACAGCGGCCTGAACAGCGGCACCATAAGCGACGGCCTCGTCAGGGTTGATAGACTTGTTCAATTGACGGCCACCGAAGTACTCAGAAACCAGCGATTGCACCTTGGGGATACGGGTAGAACCACCAACGAGAACGATGTCATCGACCTTCTCACGGGGCATCTTGGCATCCTTCAAGACACGCTCAACGGGGTCGATGGTGGACTTGAAGAGAGACTCATTGATCTGCTCGAAACGAGCACGAGTGATGTTGGCGGAGAAGTCCTCACCCTATATGGAGCAGTTGTTAACTCATAAACCACCAGGTAATGACAAGGAAGCAAACAAACCTGGTAGAGTGAATCAACCTCAACGGTGGTTTGGGTAACGCTAGAGAGAGTACGCTTGGCACGCTCACAAGCGGACCTCAACCGTCGAATGGCACGAGCATCCTCTGAGATGTCGAGGCCAGTCTTCTTCTGGAACTCCTTCTTGAAGTGCTCGAGAAGGTTGTTGTCGAAGTCCTCACCGCCCAAGTGGGTGTCACCAGCAGTGGCCTTGACAGCGAACACGCCGCCAGTGATGTTCAAGAGTGACACATCGAAAGTTCCTCCACCGAGATCGAAAATGAGGACGTTCTTCTCGGCGCTAGTTTGCCTGTCAAGACCATAAGCAATAGCAGCAGCGGTGGGCTCGTTGATGATACGCAGAACGTCGAGACCAGCGATGGCACCGGCATCCTTGGTAGCCAAACGTTGAGAGTCGTTGAAGTAAGCGGGAACACTGCAAGAAAATCAGAAACATATGAAAAAAAGATATAAAATCGAACTTACGTTACGACAGCCTTCTTAACAGTTTTTCCAAGCTTAGCCTCAGAAATCTCCTTCATTTTTGTGAGGACCATGGAGGAGATTTCTTGTGGGCTGAAGGTCTTCTCCTCACCAAGGTACTGGACCTGGATCAGAGGAGATCCATCTTTTTCAATAACCGTGAACGGCCAGTGGACCATATCCTATAAAGGAAAACGGCTCAGTCCTCTTCATTGATGCTTCACGTCAACCTCTCAACATACCTTCTTGACATCAGGATCACTATACAAAGCGCGATCAGTATAAACGCAAAAGATACGAAGATAGACAACTCACTCAAATCGTCGGCCAATGAGACGCTTCGCATCGAAGACGGTGTTTTTAGGGTTCATGGCAGCCTGGTTCTTGGCGGCGTCACCAATAAGTCGCTCCTCGGCAGAGAAAGCGACATAGGAAGGTGTTGTCCGGTTACCCTCTGCGACATTAGGTTAGCGAAATCACAGTGGCCACTCGTCAGAATATCTCACGGTCGTTGGCAATGATTTCGACACGGTCATTTTGCCAGACACCGACGCAACTGTATATCTATTCAGTTCTGGGCTTGAAGCAAGCAAATGAAAGCTGCCCACGAGTAGGTGGTACCGAGATCAATACCAATGGCACCGTCGAACACGTCATCCATTTTTGAAAGGTAGAAAAGAAGGTGAAGGGGGAGGGTGGAAGGGACTTTTTGGGTGGTGGTTGCGGTGAGAACGCAAGAAGAAAAAAATCGATGAGGCTGATGTAAGCACTGGCACGCGCCGAAACTACTGGCGCCTACCGACTCCCTGCAATCATGTCCAGCTCAATTCTACGCTCGAGGCTTGGGGCCGCTGCTCGATGTTCACGACGACCAGCCGTAACAAGGATATGTACGAGAGGCTACCCAGCGGCGGCTGTTCCCCAGGAAGAGAGACCGCTCGAAACGCCAGATGACTGGACGCAATTCCAGCTCGATCGAGCAGAATTTAAGACGCTTGGTACGAACCGAAAGTCCTACAAGTTTGAATGTTAATAGCTGATATTTTGATGCTTTTCAGTCGACCATTTTTCTAATTACGGCTCAACGCAGACCCGGGATAATACATGGCAGCCCCACCATTCTCTACACCGACCTGTTGCACCCACACAGCTCACCTTGTCTACTCTTCTGGCTGCAGGCGCGCATCTGGGGCATTCAAAATCCCTCATGAACCCTAATTTCATTCCATATGCTTATGGTGTACGAGCTGGGGTAACTGTCATCGATCTCGACCACACGCTACCACTACTGCGTCGCGCCGCCAAGTTGGTTCGCTCTGTAGCGGCGAACGATGGAACAATTGTTTTCGTCGGCACTCGACCAGACCTTCGCTCAGCGGTCCGCAAAGCGGCTAGCAGAATGGAAGAACAAGGTTTCCATGTCGCAGACCGATGGTTGCCGGGTACTTTAACAAACAAGGTACAGATGTTTGGTGCTCAGGCTGTCCTCAAGCAGCGCGTCGTACCAGACCTAGTTGTCTTCCTTAACCCTCTTCAAAATATGCCTGCTATTCGGGAATGTGCTATGGAGCATGTTCCTACAATCGGCATCGTGGACTCAAATGTCGATCCCCGAATTGTCATGTATCCCATACCAGCGAACGACGAAAGCACGCGTACGGCAGAGTTGATTGCAGGTGTACTCAGTGTCGCTGGTCGTGAGGGCGTCGCGCTCCGAAAAGAGGAAGATTTGAAGAGGCAGCGCCGGGCGGAGAGAATGGCGGCCAGACAGAGGGACTACGAGAGGGTTGCCGTAGAATGAAGACAATCTATACACATACACTAGATACTATCTAATCATTCTCCTACGCTGCTCCTGCGTTTTGGATTTCATACCAGTACCCTGTGAATGTCCGATTGTAAGAGTATGTTCATGGTGTTATTTTTGAAAAAGGCATGGTGACTTACGTTCCGCCTGCTCCAACGCTCGGACGTTGCCCTGCAGCTTGTTAATGGTCTCGACGTACTCATCCTCTTCCACACTATCAAACACGATACCACCTCCGGCTTGTAAGTAGGCTACACCATCTTTGAAAACCATCGTTCGGATGGCAATGCAGACGTCCATCTCATCTTCTGCAAAGTCGAAGCGACCGACTGCCCCTGCGTAGACGCCTCGTCTATCATTCTCGAGCTCATAAACCAACTCGATAGCCTTGATCTTGGGAGCGCCTGAAACCGTTCCCGCAGGGAAAATTGACCTGAATGCGTCAAATCTAATACTCAGAGGTCAGATATCATCGCCAGAGCTGCGTGTAATCTGATACTGATACTGACCGGTTCTTGCCTTCACGAAGTATTCCAGACACCTGTGAAGTCATATGAATGACGTGACTGAACTTGTCCAGCCGCATGAGGTGATCGACTTGAACTGTCTTCGGCTGGCAGACCCGGTTGACATCGTTGCGGGCAAGGTCAACCAACATAATGTGTTCTGCTCGATCCTTGGCAGAGTTGAGCAACTCGGACCCCAATCGTTCATCCTCTGATAAGATACTTGTCAGAGGCCGGGAAATAGCAATTACTAGAGAGCATACCCTCAACGGTCTTTCCTCTCCGGACAGTTCCTGCAATCGCATGGTTGTAGACCTTGTTCTTCTCTACTTTGCAGAGTGTCTCTGGACTCGCGCCAACAATCTGTATGTCCCCACAATCGAGGTAGAACATGTAAGGACTGGGGTTGATCCGTCTCAGTTGTCGATAGGCATTAAACGGATGCAAAGTAGTCGGCCGAGCCAGACGTTGAGACGGAACAGCTTGAATGATATCGCCAGCTACGATGCGCTCTTTCAGTTTCGTAACAAAGCCTTCGTAGCCTTCTCGTCCGACGTTTGAAACCGCCTCCTGCTTAAGGACAATGGGCGGCTGAGGAACTTCAGGCGTCGCTGAAGATAGTACAAGCTTGGCCAACCTCCGAGCTTTGGCAACAGCGGTGTTGTAAATGAATGAGAGGTTTATTGTCCCGGCATTATCGGGGCAAAACACATGGGATACGACTTTCACCGTTTGGAAAAGATGGTCGTAGATCAAAAGGGTATCGACGAGCATGAAGGTAGCCTCAGGAAGTCCAAGGGTATCTCTAGTGCTCCGAGTAGTCTTCGGCTCAAAGTGTTGGACGCAGTCATAAGCGACATATCCTATGGCACCACCTGTAAATGTCGGCACCTCTGGGATCTTGACGTATCTGTGAACGGCAAGTTCCCTCTGGAGGACCACGGTAGGGTCCCCTTTGAGCTCTTCATTAGGGCCCGTCCTGATCACCTTCAGTGGATCTATGTACCATCTAAGCTTTGGATCTCACAGATCTAGACATGATACGTACCTGCGCCCACGAAGCTGTACCGAGCAACGTTCTCTCCATTCTCAACGGATTCCAGCAGGAAACTGTACCTTGAATCTTTCGCGATCCGAAGATATGCTACACACGGTGTGAGCAGATCACCCGGCAACTCGACATAGATCGGCACGCAATTCCCTCTTTTCTCCTTGAGAATGATCTGCTCGACCGTCGCGAGCGAAGGGTGCGCCGGGATTTTCTAGGAAGGTGATATGCTTAGCAGAAGACATAATATGGAATATAGCAGTACACGGTACCTGTGGATCCATTGAAAGTGGCAGACGGCGCTCAAGATCACTTCGATCGAGTTTTCAGCCTTTGGCTTTTCCACAACTCTGACCGGACTCTGACACTGTCTGACTCGAGCTACTGGGTGCACCGACGAAAGCCTTGCGATTTCATCTTTTCCCGATATCCAGCTTTTATATCAGATTCAGAAAGCGGAGCTTGTTCTAAAAACAACATAGGATCCTTGATCATCATCTCAAAACCTGCATCTGGAGCGCGTTTATACGTCTTTAACTCAGACCTCAACGGGATTCCGACATCGGCGGGTGCTGCTCGCAGGGACCATCTCTTGTTCTGTGACCAGGCTCTATTGCCTTCACGATGATCACACCTCGATTTTCATGTACTCAGACGGAAGAATCGGTCGTCGTGTCAATATATTGTCCTTCGGTCCGGGTGCGTACTATCATTCCAACAGCTCCACGTTCATATTGACGGAATGATGTTAGTAGGCTTCAGATGTAGAAATAAATGTGGATGACACGCTATTCACAATTCACGTTAACCCGTACTTTCTGCGTCTGAACTTTTCGCATGCCTTACTGGAGGATGATGCATCGTCCGCACGGTATGACCCTAGTACGGGCTATTTCACCGTTACGCTCACGAAAGCAGTCAAGGGTCAGACATTCGAGGACCTGGACTTGTTAGCAAAGTTGCTTGCCCCGCGTGCGTCTAAGGCCCAAGGACCCCTGATCGAGGTACTGGATTCTGAGCAAGCATCCCAGAATGACGATGACGAACTGGCCAGTGCTACGGAGAGCTTGTCATTAGAACAGCGAGAGATTTTAGAAGGTATTTTGGATGTTTTTGTCATATTGTCCCCATACTGACAGACTGAAAGCTGCGGAGAACGACTGGCAAGTGAAACAAGAGCTTCCCGAACCGGACACTTCCTTCAAGACATCAATATCACGGAACTACGGATTTCTGAATCTGCATAGTGGCTACTTTCGTCATGTCGAACACGCAGAAAATGAGGTCAATGAGTTAGGCGCAAACGCCGAAACGGCTGGGCCGAGTGAAAGACGTGAACTGCGTCTCAACCACGAAGAACAGAAGTGGGACGAGGAGTACTATATGTATGCCTCGACCATGTTGTCTCTTTCACGTATTTACATTTTGTATCAGGGCGGACTACGCCGACGACGAATACATCAAGGATCTTATTGCATGGAAACATCCACACACAACCTTGCCAAGCGAATTTCAGTACAGTGAGGAGGAGAACCTCGCAATGCTTCGGCTGCCTCGACGGGAATGTAAGTATCGCTTCGCCGCCATGTTGCACTGAGCTAACTCTTGGAGGCAGATCTTGCTTCTCGGGAGCAGACGAAGAATCTCTACCTTACTTTACTCACTTTGTTGTTTTCGTATGCATACGAATCGAGAACAACGCAATGTGACCCAACGCCCGAAAGTGGTTGGACGCTGGGCACGCTCACACCCGCATTCTCCGCCTTGGACCCGGCACCTTATGGACCTATATCACCTGACCCAAAGTCGGTTTCTTCTGGCGAGCTCTTGGCGACATTTGTGGCTTCATACCGACGGGCGTTGACCTTTCCGTTATATCGCTCTTTCGCCCTTGCAGAAGCTTGTCGCTCCGATGTCGTGGCATTCTTGCGAAACGGAAAACGAACGGTCTTGCGGTGTCTGTTGGAAATGAAGAACATCCTAGATCACCACGATGTTTACTATGTTTACAGCAAGATATGGCTTGACGATTATTGCGTATGGATCCAGTCTGCCAGGTGAGCTTACCGGTCGCGAGTGAGACTTGTAGTGAAGAAATGCGCTTATTCCAATTTGTAGTGATGACATCCTGCGATCTTTGGCCGCTGATATCGCAGCATTAAACATTCCCAAAAACGTTCTTGGCTGGGACCTCGAGGAGCTCGAAGCTCTAACACACCAAACGTCCGGCAGAGAAATCGACAGTGATGACGAAGATTCAGAGGACGAGATCGAGCGCATGCTGCCAGCTCCTTTGTGAGATCCTGTTGTGTGTTGCTGAAATTACATATTTCACATGATATGGCTTCCTTGACCCAAAGCTGAGGTACCCACGGAATTCATAGCCGTTGAAATTCGAATACAAGGTTCACCGAAAAGGGTAGGTGTATAAGCTCCTTGCCGGCGGTATGTTGGACACGTCTCCGTGCCTCTCCCCATGAAAATGAAATTTGCACGACGTATCTGTGATCCAGATACGATGCACTCTATTGAGCAGAAAACAAAGATGACCTAGAATGATGTTCTGTTCCCCTGCGTTGACGGACCCGCGGACCGCTGCTCACAGAGGATGGCAGTAAGCGTATCGCTGAGTGACCGGATCCACGGGAATAGAAGCCCCTTGCATCTGGGGTGGTTCTCGGAGAATTGTATTCAAAGGCGGTTATAACCTAAGTTCGATGAGAGAAGTGGTGGCGTAGATGATCACACCTCGTACATGTCCGTCATCCCAGTCGTGCGGGGAGCGGCATGAGAAATGAGACTTGAAATATATCACAATTGACGTGTTCAGGTTGACCTATCCACGTATAACGCTTTCCGCGGGGGGCGCGCCAGTTAAGCAACGAATTCTGGGAAGAATAACGACACGGAAGGATGACGGATTGGGCGTCACAGACGTCAGCATTCTGAGCAGCAGAAAGAAGCACATTTCCGCAGTAGATAGATGGTCACCTGAATGTCATGCAGGGTCCTAGTAATGATATCCTCGCTATACTGAGGTGATGGTGAAGCGGCTTGCCAGCAGGTGCCAAGAAGAAGGACACGATGCGTGTCACAGAAGAAACACCATCAGCCGCGACGCAGAACCTAGTAGCAGGAAGTCAAGGTCATTGACGAGTTGGTCGGGAAGATAGAACTCGTCTGGAGCGGAGCATGGCTGATGAATTACCAGACATATGGTGCCAGCGGATCCAGTTTTCTTAATTTATCCGTCCAGAATGACTGCAACCATGGGAGTAGCACGCAATGAGCCACTATGCTCTGTAAAGATTGAGTTCTATTGGTGCCGCGTTAATGATCATCTTTCTCGCAGACGTTGCTGGATCGGAACACTCACTAACATCTTCGTCCAGAAAGATAGGACAATCGCTCCGATGGCTTTATGTCATAGAGTGCAGGGTCGGTTCTATAGGAAGGTAATACGTCAACCAGTGTATGGGATGACTAGATCATCTTGGACGGACGTGCTAGTCAATAACAATCTGTGTATATTCTCTTTTAATATGCAGTCAGCGAATTTAGCGGAGTTAACTACGATGCACTTCTTGTCCCAAGCCTTGCAATGGATGCATTTGAGTTGCGTACGCGATCCATGCTGCAGTGGCATGAGTGCGCGAGCTGTTACTATTCCGTTTGACACCTTTATTGCCGCGACTTGGTCACCTTTGGCCATTCACGTCCATGACAAAAGCACCAGCTCCGGTCGTACTATTCGAGGTTCAAGTTGTGAGCATGTCCGTTTCAACATGTCTTTCAAAGCCTCTCCTTGTTCGCGGAGTTTGAAACCTTCAAATAAAGTGTGTGTGACAACTGTCACAGTCTCATTCCTGTATCCTCCCCAACTCATCGTACGTCTTCTTGGCGTTGAAGAAGAGATAGCTAACTTTGGGTCTTCTATGGTGGCCGACATGACCGCTAACTCAATGCAGGCCATACTTATCCTGGTTCTAGGTGTTCTACGCCACTCACCTGATTCAGGAATTCAAATCCTACGTATGCATGACCTGCATGCATACGCCTTCTTTCTCTTCCCGCGATTGCTTGGGAAGCTTCTCAGGCCGACAGAATCCTTTCATAACTGTCAAGGAGAATATGAAAGGTAAATGCGCTCACCGTTCCCGAACTAAAGCAGTCAGACGACTGGGACCACATAATCGGTGAGTTTTTCGTCGTTTCTGAGCCGGTCCGGACACTCGTAACCGTATGTATATGCTGCTCATTCCTAAATACCCCGCATAATGCGCGTCCGAAAAGGCAAGTCCAAGAACCCTATCAAGAAAATCCAGCTCCGATGTTTGTCGGGAACGTTGTTGTGCTTCCACAAAACGTGTTCAAGCGATGACATACACGCCCTGCGTCACGGAGTATGTTCCCCGCCGGCTTATATGAAGCCTGCAGAAAGAAGCATAGATGAGTGGTATCATCCATTTCTTCCTAACGCTGTCTTGTCTATATCCGGCTTCCATGTCGGGCTCCTCGGAAATACTTATCTGTAATATTATAATATTCAGCTAAACACCTGCGCGCTGACGGAACATGTGCTCTTCGATCTGAGGCTCCAAGTCCACGTTCACGGATCTCAGGTACTTCCAAGCTTACATTGATTGCATTATTCTGGTGCCCTCGTACGGTAAGTACACGTTAATACGAATACGTGTATCCTCATAAGACTGTCCGGTAAGAAGGGGACATTCCACATAGAAACATAGAAACATAGAACCTCCAAAGCACCAGATTGTAGTAGTCCGTTCTTCAAGGCTTCTACGCTAATGCTCAACGCGGCCGCCGCCTTCATATTGGAATTCTTTTTCAGGGTTCGGGATCGCCTCCAAGTCAAAAGCTGCCAAACACCTCGCCTGCCCGGGTCCATACCAAATGCGGTGTGCAATTTAAACGTCACGCGTCATGGTGTAAGTACTTGTTGGCTTTTCCTCCATCACCATCGCACCGGTTTCAAGATTCAAATGGTTGCCGAGGACGAGCGGTCCTAGTAACCCACATCTCGATCCCCTTCGTCCTATTGGTGCGCCGCCCAACGCGAGGAAATGAAGATGCAGTCGATGAACGGTTAGAGCCCCGAATAACGCTGACGAATTAAGAATGGAAGCTTGAGCAGCTGAGTCTGTCATTGCTGCATCGTTTCCACATCTACCTCGTTGCTACGCATAACCAGTCTAAACTCAATCCAGCCTTGCAGCTTGATCCATGCTTGTCGGGGAACACTAACTTGGTGGCATCTGTCGTGCGCATCATGATAATGCATTTCGAGCACATTATATAATTATGGAGCATCGCGGCAACGTAACGTGTTATTGCACATGATTGCACATGAACACAGCCAAGAGATTCTTCGGTTTCTTCGGTATTTCGAATTTCAAGCGTTGCAATTTCCTACTTTCGATTGCTAGTGGTTAACGTTAACGTCCAAGGTTACGGGGGTTTGGGGTTCACTCAAGGGTTTTCTATCAACCGACTTGTACGTGAGTCTATGCCACGATACAACGGACGGTACGTTATGCCAACCTTTTTTTCACGGCGGCGCGACTGCGTACGGTCAGTTGGCAGTCGGACAGTCGGACAGTCATTCATTCATTCGCAATGTCAACAAAATGCCAAAAGTTTCGCGTTCTGGTCCATGCACATGACTTATGAACGGTCCAAGCTGTTGTTCATCATACATTCATGATAAGCGTTGTCAACTTACTTGACGTTTGGGCATGCAATTTGTTGGAGTCTTTTCCTGACAGACATCCGAATCCTTCCGTGGTATCCAAGTGAGGAAAGATTCTGACCCTCATTTTCGACCTTGAGGCTTGAGCTTGGGGTATGTATGTGTGACATCAGAATCAACGGTTGACCGTAAGATTGGAATGAATGCCTTCCATTACGCACGTGTTGGAACTGTATGCGAATAATAACATGGTACATGTACAGTTGTAAAATACTTTGGATTGCGTGTTACGTTTGAATCTTGTCATTGCTATTCGAGTTATTGCAGCCAGACAGAGAATTGCACAGTTGCATAGATACAACGATGAAAAAAGCGAGAAAAAGAGAGAGAGAGAGACGATGATATAACGAGTATGATGGATCGTGATGAGAGGGAAAGCATTAGGGATATCAGAACCGGGACAAACAGACAGACAGACGACAAAACAGATAGATGATACGACAATGGAGGAACACAAACATGGAATGTGGAATTCGGATGGTGAAGAGGATATGCATGCGAGTCGAATGGATGAGCAGCCCTGCATAGTTTCAAATAAAACACCCATTAACAACTCAACCGAAAAAAAAAACCTCTCAACAAATCTGAACTACTCACCAAGAGTGATCAAACACCAGCAAAGATCCCTCTCGGCACCTTCTCTCTCTCCTTGACTTTCTCCTTCTCCTTCCGCCTTCGTTTCCCCATCCCAAAGAACGCCAACATATCCGCCGTACTCCGCCTACTCGCATTCTCGATCCTCGCCAACTCCTCTTCCCAAGCTTTGATCGCATCTTCCTTATTCCCTCCCACCCCCACCCCAACAGCACCACCACCATTCACATCCACCACACCACCCCCACCCACGCCCCGATTCGAAGAAACACTCGACCTAGGAACTTGTACTTCATTCACACTAATCCCCGTCCCAGGCCTTCCCCCTCCCCCACTCCTCGTCTGCCCACCCGACCGATGACTATGACTAGTAGCAGAATCGGGAGGAGACGTATAGGGTAAATTCGATTTATCCCTCGGACCCGCAGATGTATGTGGCCGTCGTGTTGATTTTCGAGATGACGGAGATGAAGCGGATGATGAAGAAGTTGGATTCGGTGTGGAATGAGCGTCAAGACGAGGACGGTCATGATGGCTCTTGCGAGGACTCTTGCCTGGTTGCGATTCAGTGGAACTGGAGTTGGTATTGTCTTCGACTAAGACGTACGACTCTTGACTTCGTTTCTCACCGGTACTGACCGTGGACGGTGTCTTGGAGTTATTCTCGCGCTCGCGGTCTCTAGACTTCTCTCGCATAGCGAGCACGGTTTCTTTCTGTTCTGCGAACTTGGCTAGGGCGAGTCGGCGATCGGAGTCATTGGTGGAGACGACGGTGATTTCGCGTGGTTCGAGGTCGAGAGTGGTTGTGCCAAAATTAGGAGAGGTGACGATAACCTTAATGATAAGAATACATCATGGTCTAAGAGACATGTTCAGACCCTGTGAGATAGGATGGTGCATACCTTGACTTTGACCCAAAAGCTAACTTCTGCCAACTCACTCTTCACGCTCTCGCCCATAGCCCACACATGCCTACTCTTCGATTTCGGCCACTGCATACTGACACTCTTGCTCCAAATACCGGTTGATGCATCATAAGCGAAACCGCCGACGCCAGAATCCGCATAGGTGATGGTAGTAGTGAGGGTTTTAGAAGGAGCATCTGTCGTGGGAGTCGGTGGCGGTGGACATGAAAATGATTGGGTTGAAGGAGTTGACGGAGACGGAGAAGAAGGGATCAACGGTGTGATAGATGATACAGTATAAGAACTTGATGACGGTGATGCAGTGGAGGGAACTTCCAGAGTGAATGTTCGTTGTGCAGGTGGAGACAGGTATGGAGTGCGAGGTCTACGCGAAGATGATGAAGAAGATTCCGGGACACTGCTCGACAGTGTTATTGCAGGACTATTTGATGATGATCCCATTGCAGAGTGGAAGTAGCCATCCTTTGGAGAATGCCCTGAGCCCGAGTCATCGGTAGCATCTGGGGTAATAGCATATGATGAGGTAGAAGCGTTAGGATTAGAGTGTACTGAATGCAGGTCTATACGCCGTTCAATAAATACTGATGCTGAGCGTATTGTGAGTGAGGATTCAAGTGGTCGAAGATATAGCGAGGTGAAGACGAGATCGGCGGGGCCTATGGGAAGTTCCGGGGTGGAGAGATTATAGTGCAATACAGGCGTTGGAGACTTTGCATTTGGAAGGCATAAAATGTGGGGCGTTGAGCAATGGGACATCGGGGAAGGAGACCCCGGCGAAAGCGGGGGAAGTGGGGGAGGAACGTCGTAGCGAACAAGAGGAAGATCAAAGTAGCGTAGCAGACGGGAGCCAACACCACTAATGGGAACGTGGTCAAGGACTGTTGGAGGGGTTAAGCAGTAGACGTGATGGAAGGCAAAGCACGACGTACTCGCTTCGACTCTCCAGAAAGTGCGATACTCCTGGTAATGGGCCGTGCTAAAACCGGCGACGCGCTTTGGCAAGGTGATCTTGAAGGAGCCATCGAAATGACCGAGGTCGGCGTAGTCGCGGTCGTCGGGCTTGCGCCAGACAACGCAAGCATAGTCTACGAGAAGGCGGGAATGAATAACGCCTGTTTTGCCTTGCCTGGATTCATAGCATCTGACGGCTACGGCGAGGGACTTTGCAAGGATGGGTTTGCCGTCGTCCTCGAGTCTTGTGCATACAACTGGCGAGAGACGTGAATGAGAAGGCGAAGGCGGAGAATTGAAATACACACCTCCTTCGACGCGGACGGGGGTAAGACCGAGATAGCCCTGGTAGGGAAAGTAGCGACCGCCTGCATTACCTCTGAGGGGGGCGAGGATGAGCTGTACCATGGGAGGGGGTTGGGGGAAGGGGAAGGAGGAAGAAGGAAGGACATATTAGAGGATAAAAGAAATATGAGAGGGAATGATATGATGAATAGTGATCTGGCGGGAGAAGATGGTTTGCGAGGAGGGCTCCGAAGACTGGCAGCCCTAGTGGCAGGATGCGCTGATGAGAAGTCCCCGGCTACAGCGCTTACCACCGGCCTGTTCTGGACGCCCTCCCTTCAGTCTCCCTTCTTTTCGCTAGCTCCACCAAGGCGGCCTCCGCTTCCCGAGCGTGCTCCCTCTCCCTCTCCCCGGCCTCTTCCTGCCTCCTCGGCCTGCCCTTACCCGTGACTCCTCCCGACTCCTGCCTTTTCGGGTCCCTTCCCATACCCCTCTGCCGTGCTCCCTCCGTCTCCAGCTCGTGTGTTCAACAACAACGTCCACCATGCCGTCCTCGCTCTATGTCCCCATGCTCGTCGCGGGCATGCTCATAACAGTACGTCCCTTTCTACTTCTGCTTCTTCTCGCTGACGTGTCACAAGGGTTCCAGCAATTCATTATGGTCTAAATGGCAGGTCCGTCTCACCGTTCGGCTCACCCCCTCCATTCCTCACTAATGTTGCTGACTTTACCAGGACATGCAATGCGTCGAAAACTGCGACGATCCTAACCCTACACATCATGTCCTCTACGAGCAGCCAATATGGCAAACCCTCCAAATGTTTCGTACGTCCTCTCTTTCTCATATGTTTTCAGCCTCATCTCACCTTCCGCCGTAGTCGGAGAAATGCTCTGTATGTCCATTCATCTTGCACCTCCACATGCGCTCACTCACCAAATCAAACCATGTCGTACAAATCCCCTGCCATTCTTCCCGTTTCGTCTGTTCCATTCCACACTCCCCTGCACTCTCGTTCCTTCCCGTCCGCTTATAACATTAACAAAGGTTTCCTTCCTGTCATACTCACATGGCTCAATGCCAAGCGCCGCACTCCCGCCGTGCACCTTCCTCAGACCGAAGAAGATATAGATGAAGATCTGGATGATGAACCTTCTCGTCCTGGTTCCTCCAGCGCAGCCAAGGACTTCCCCGATGCCGGTCCACAGCACCTTCGTGGATGGAAATGTCTCCTACTCTGGTTTCCTGCCGTTTGTGATCTTACCGGCACAACGGTCCGTCTACTTTAAACTTTTTGTCGTCGAAAGATCCCATGTGTTCTTTTCTGGATGCTCCTCGCGCTTGAGGCTCTGCACGACATGATTCTGATATACTTGTTTGTCATAGCTTATGAACGTCGGTCTTCTGTATACGCCGGTTTCCATCTACCAAATGACACGGGGCGCCCTCGTTCTCTTCGTTGGCACACTTAGTGTCATATTCTTGCGCAGGCGTTTATGGTTATACCAGTTGAGTATCTCGCTTCCTATTTGCTCACAAACGCCTTCTACAAAATAAGCTAACCTTTCTGGATGCAGGTGGGTGTCGCTCATTACCGTGATGGCGGGTGTCTCGCTCGTGGGCTATAGCGGGTCTTTAATCAAGGACCCTATACGAGAGGAGACCAACGCACTCCTCGCCCTAAGCCGGGCACTTTCAGATAACCATGCTGCGCCTTCTGTGCCGCTGCCGGAACCCATCGAAGAGCCTCAAGTTACGAAAGTTCTGATCGGTCCGTGTACCTTGTAGCAACCCCCGATTCGACTGCATTCTGATCTTTCTCCAGGCGTCTTCTTCGTCTTGTTTGCTCAAGTCTTGTGAGTCCGACATTAAGCGTTAGCTTTGAGACATCAAGTTTAATTCCTTTTTGTCCGCAGCACTGCTACTCAACTTGTTGTCGAAGGTAACCATCTACTTCTTTGATTCACCGTTTACCACAACACCACGAGTCTCACATCCTTTCCGCATATCTCAACAGAAAAAATCATGGCCCGATACACTGTCTCACCAGATATCGCCGTAGGTCTCGAAGGCTTCTTCGGCTTCATCACTATCCTCCTCGCACTGCCCTTCATCTCCATATCCCCACTCTCCAACCCATCGTCCCCGCAGTATTCCCCATTCTTCGACCTTCCACGAGGATGGGCGCAAATGATCTACACGCCTACTGTGCTTTGGTCTGGTGTAGCCATTGCGATCAGTATCAGTTTGTTCAATTGGTTTGGATTGAGTGTGACTAGACGGTTGAGTGCGACTGCTAGGAGCTTGACGGATACGTGTAGGACTCTTAGTATCTGGCTGGTCAGTTTGGGGCTCGGATGGGAGAAAATCGTTTGGCCGATCTCGGTCTTGCAAGTTGCTGGGTTCGCCTTGTTGGTGTGAGTCGCCTTTTGTTCGTGCGGGTATTTTGGCGAGATCTTTACTGATTATGTTTCCCTTCTCTCACCCATCCGCGTCTCCATCATCAACAGCTACGGCACTGTGAGTCACAAATCCACACTCTCCCCCGCTGTTCTCCTTTCTCGGCGTTTTACCGAGTGACTGACGTGCCGATCTCTCTCGCTTGTCTAGTTCCTCTTTAACAACCTTGTGAACCCGCCCAAGTATTTGCGCCCAACAGAGATCGAAGCCGAATCTCCTCTCGCGGCCGAAGAGTCTCGTCACCTCCTTACGGAACATACGCTTGACGAGACTGCGGCCCTCCCAGCTGATTTGGGTACTAGTGGGTATGATATCGTACCCCCTCCTGAACAGCGGAATAGGTCGAGGAGTCGGTCAACATCCAAGTCTCGTAGCCTCGTAGCTTGAGCTCGATCTGAGACGTACGCTTCACTGGCTTTTTTCTTGTTGGATTGTTGGATGTTGGATGGAAGCGCTGTGAGTCTGACATTGACGACCCCTTCTCTTGATGAACTTCTCTGCACATACTGTATCTCCAGGCACTTTCGAATCATCGTTGCTTCTATTGCTTCGTACTGTTACATTCATGCATTGTTACTATAGCTACTCATTACTACTGATACAGACTAGCTAGTAGATCAGGGGAGAGTTATCTTCTTTTCACACTCACACTCACATCTGTACTATATACTGTTAAGCTGCCCAACAGCTTCTATATCTCATTCTGTTGTATATATACTTTATCAATACCTTAGACCTGAAAGCCTGACACTCCAAGCTTCCAGGTTCCCTGGCTACCATTCAAAGTGGGTGAAAGCATCCGGAATGAACGTTTGAGTTTATCTGATGCTTCATACAGTAAAATAGGGTGCAATGCCGGCGGGTTATCATGCATATGAACTGGTCTGACATAATATTTATCTCCCGCAACTCAAGCCTTCATCGGCACCGGCAGGAGCGTCTCTCATAAACATAATCTCTGAGCCTGGTACACTCAGTCTGAGATGCTGTGGGATAGGGATACCAATGCATGATGACGTTTAATTCCCTGCCACACACCATGCAGTCCATCATGTTCGGTCCCGAAACCCAAGCTCTCCATTTTCTTCTAGATCGAACATACAGTAAAAATTGAGGGTATCTTCCTTTGGCGGTCTTTCACGCTAGAAGACCGCCCCGCACAGAATAGAAGCTCCCCAACCGAACTTTAATTTTTATCGGATAAGTAATGCGCCACTGCCTGTAGGCCTATGGTGGCACTGGCGCTCGCTTTTTTTTTTTGCGACTCGCGATTCGATTCCATTCAAGTGTGTTCAAATATTACTGACTTATGCTGCATATGCGGCGAACCGCGTGTAAGCGATAGCCATGTACCTACTTGTGGTATGCGGTGCTTGTAACTTACTGTGGTAGCATGAATGCAATTGATGACATGCATTGACGTCGGAAGAAATAAGGTCAGCAAGATGTACCAGTAGTATGGCACTAAAACCACCTCGAGGCTCAAGGTGAGAAGAAGGCCAAAGACGCAATTCTTCTGTCTATCATAGCTAGACGCAGATCTTCCTGCGTCACGACGGAAATGAATGCAAGACTGGCATGCCCCAGTTGGGTTGTATTGATATTCGGATTGATATTCGGGGATTCGAAAGGCAAGTATCACTCGTCCGCAGCTGGACAACTTGAAGAAGCCGTATCAGAAGTCCCCCATAGGTAGTGTAGACAGAGACGCAACCTTCGACATATCATTCTATCTATCAAGGTGTGCACTGTACAGCAAGTCGGAAGCTCAAGCGCTCAAGACACATTTCTTCGTAAAGCGTACGCGTAAGGGTCCGCGTTAACAGGACCAGTAAAGCCTAGTAAAAGCCATGCAGGAGTTCGGAGATTGAGCGGGAACGCTTCGGATGGAAACTTGCTTTCAAGCTTGGTTTTGTGGAGCTTCTTGTGGAGTATACATAGACGAAGATGGGGTTTCGAGATTCAGGGTCTTGGCTTCTGAGAATTAAGCTTGAGGTCGTTTGAAAGAATCGGGATGTGTGGCGTTCCGCAGTGAGACATGCAGCTCCGCGTTACGAGATAGGAGTACTTGAGAGCCAGTGCGTACGTTGCTCAGTACATTGAAATGCGAGGTCAATTAGGGCGACGTAATGACGAAAGCCCGCAAGCCTGAGGAAAGCCGTGCCGTCACGCTAGCCAAAATATTGCATAGTAATGGCATACCATTGCCACGCATCTCGCCAATATGCATAACACTGAGTGTTTGCTGTTCAGCCCTGAAGTCAGTAGTATCAAATTGATGGCTAACAAAGGAAGCGAAGGTCAGCCCGACTATTCTCCTTAAGCTTTGTCTCAAGACTTCAACAAGTAAATCAATAAATGCCGTATACTGTAGCGAAAAAGGGTTTTCCATTGTCCGCTCGGTTTCTTCCGTTTCTCCCTGCCTAAGCTCGTCTCGTCCTCTAAAATGGAGGGGTATGAGACTGTAAAAGGTATTTGAGATAGATGAAGGTGCCATGACCGAAGCAACGTCCAATGGTCCAGGTACCAATCGATCGTCATGATCGCGGGCGCCTCAAGTTCAACTATATCTTCATGCTCTCTTCTTTCTTCATTCCATGGAACTCCTCGACAGCTTAGAACGACATAACGTCTCTATATGGCGACTAGGATACGAATTTAGGGCATTTTCAAGCATTACGCAGGTCCTGCTGTGCTTGGAGGTGTCACCCACGTTCCGCACAAAATCGCCTTGCGACTTGACCGCGTTACACCGAGCAACAGCTTCGTCAGCTATTAGACGGCGGCACCTGTTCAGTTCCCTGAAGGATGAATCGGCGTCGGAAAAGAAACCAGGTTCATCGACAAGGTCACGCTTCAATGAGACTTCAACACTTGGATGACACGGTTGTAACGTCTAATCTCAGCGATGTTATATCAAACACTTATTCTCACTGACCGGACTTGCATCCCACAACGCGGAGAGCTGGATCTTAGATGACACATTGTATATAGAAAATCGCGCAGACAGAAGGGTCCTGTGTTCGAACCGTGGCAGCATGTCGCTGAAGTTATAGCGCGTTCACAGGTTCATCTCGTGTGTGATAGCAAGCATCGCTATTGGTAACGCTGACAGAACCATATACGGTGACAAGCGCATCACATACATGTTACCCTGCAAACTTGCTTTTCGCTCCTTAATCACCATTCTACACCATGGATCCGTTCTCAGGAGGCGCAAGCATCCTCGCTGTCTTGGAGACCGCTGCCACCGTCGCCCTTCTGGTAGCCAAGTATGTCTCCGCTGTGAAGGCGGTCGAGAAGAATCGCCAGCAACTCTTACATGAGTTGTACTGCATAACAGTAATGCTTAGCAACTTCAGTGCTATGACTGATCCGTCAGCGAACAACTCGTCTCCTACTTCACGATGTGGTCCCGCCTTGGAAGCAATACTTGGAGACAAAGGGCCATTAGCGCAATGTCAGCAAACCCTGGAGGAACTGCTTGAATGGTTGAAACATGACGATCCCGATACGAAGCTCAGTTTGGGACGACGGATGTTATGGCCAATCAAACACGAGAAGAAGATCACTGAGGCATTGCAGAAATTGGAGCGTTACAAAGCACATTTCACTGTAGCCCTTTCAACCGATTCCTAGTACGAGTGATGTTGTTAAGCATGGAGGTTAATGCACACTGACTTGTCCTCAAAGCCAGAAGATTGCTGAAGTCCATGAGACTGCTTCGAGCATCGCAACAGAGCAAGAAAGGACGAGACTGGACAGGGAAGTCAAGCTGCAAGGTATATTTACTCTGTTCATTTGAATCTCAATACATTTCCCTCACTCTCTTGCCAATAGAGGATCTACTGAGAGAGATCATTACTTGGTTAGATCCGAGGGATTATATCACGAAGCATCAATCCATCGCTCGTCTGCGTCAGCGGGATACATGCACCTGGCTGTTTGACCACGGTGAATTCAAATCATGGCGTTCGAGCAAGTCTGCATTCCTGTGGCTGCACGGAATACGTGAGTCCCACTTATGATGTGTTGCAGATACACGACTGACCTGGGCTCAATGCCAGCGGGAAGTGGGAAGAGCACGCTGGCGTAAGTTTTCGCTTCTTCACCGAATACCGGGCATTCTTCTCACTGTACGCAGATCCTCCGTCATCGACGAACTCCAGGCAAATAATTCTGATGACACACCATTGATATACTTCTATTGTGATTTCCGAGACGCGAAGAGTACAACTTCAGCAGCTCTAATCCACACGTTACTGGCCCAATTCTTGAGGGCCGGATGGTCTGAAGATATTCACTCGTTGGCTCAAATCAAAGCAAGGAGTCCCTCTCCCCCTACAGACATTCCTGCTCTGCGTACACTGTTACTCAAAGCCATTGGTGCCTACACAAGTCCATTCATAGTCATCGACGCACTAGACGAGTGCCAGGATATCTTGGAAATCCTGCCGTTGCTGTCAAGGCTACATGACGAGTCAAATGTCCGTCTGTTCATGACCAGCCGCAAGGAGCATGGTATATACGAAGCATTCAAGGCGCTTCCATCCATCTCGCTGAAGCATGAAGCACAACATGTTCATGATGATATCAAGATGCACGTCCAATCTGCATTACAGTCACGGCCTAAGCTTGCTCGTCTGCCTGCTGACGTTCGTTCAAGCATTGAGACGACTCTGTTGACTAAGGCCAATGGCATGTATGTCAAATGGAGATGTCTTATTTGTGATTTGCTAAATGTTTGGTACTCGTAGGTTTCGCTGGGTACAGTGTCAGTTGGACTTTCTTAACAGCTGTCGGACCCGGAAAGGTGTTCAAGATGCGCTCCATAATCTACCAAAGGGATTATTTGAGACATACGAGCGTATTCTGGCGACGATCGAAAAGCAGGGACCAGAAGTTGCCCAAATCGCGCGTTCTTCGCTGGTGTGGCTCGTTGGGGCACTATCACCATTGACTCTGCAACAAGTGAATGAGGCGATCATGATAGAGAAGGGACGATATACGTTGAACGAGGAGCTTGGAGTCTTCGACGTTAGCGACATCCTGGATATCTGCGGCAGCTTAGTTGAACATCTTGATGACACCGATATTATCATTTTGTCTCATTTCACTGTCAAGGTAAGTTTTAACAAGTCACCCGTCCAGTTCTCGATGACGTACTTGTTCTGCATGTAGGAATTCCTGAGCGGTATGCTCATGCAACCATCTCTGGATTTCTTTGCCACGCAGCCCGCGTCGGTAACAAAGGAATTAGCACAATTGACACTAACCTACCTTTTGCTCGAGGATTTCTCGACAGGCATCTGCCACACTCCAGAGGCTTATGATGCCCGACTCTTGAATCGTCCGCTATTGGAGTACGCAGCGACTCATTGGTACCTGCATGTCGCCGATATGGACGAGGAAGATGAAGAGGTCCTTTTATATATTAAGGACTTATTCATGAACTCTGAGAGATCCAATCACTATTCCAGCTTCAGGCAAGTGCACCAATTTCAAAAGCGAGATTCACAGTTTTTAGTATGGAACGACGCGGTCGCTGAGAATACGGGTCCACTCTGGTTCCCACTGTACTACAATAGTCCTTGGGTCGTCTCAAATGTTTTACACGAACACCCTGAACTTCTGGAGGCCGAATTACCTCTCTGGGGCGCCACACCTCTGATTACCGTCGCGTATAGAGGTCACACGGCTGTCGGGAAACTTTTGCTGGACATGGGCGCAGACATCGAGAAGACCACGACCAGGTTTGTAATGGACGACCATACCACTGTCACTCCTTTGTCTGCTGCTGTTGGGCTCGGACATGTCGAATTTGTCGAAATGCTATTAAAGCGCGGGGCGTGTGTCAATACCCGCAGTGCACCCACCAACGAGACTCCTCTCCACGCTGCCGCTCACCGTGGACGGATTGCATCGGTCTCTATGCTCTTAGAGCGTGGAGCGGATGTTCATGCACAGACGGTGAATGGATGGACTGCTCTCCATACCGCGGCAATGGGAGGCAATGTAGAAGTGGTAGAATTGCTGTTAGCTTCAGGATGTGAAATCTCTGGTGAAACGTCATTGGAAAGAAGCCCGCTTCAAATTGCATTAGACCTACGATCGACCAAGCTAGTGGAGGTTCTCCTCAAACATGGGGCAGCCAAACAAGCTACGTTGCAACTTGACGCCGCGCAGCTAGATTGGGCCCAATCGCAACCATGGTACTCTTCCATTGCTCAGGCCATACGCCTTGAATCATCAGAGAAGTCAAATTGTGACTTTCTGGATGTGTGGAAGGTTAGGCATATCCTGCACTCTCGGTTTCGTCTGTCTCCCAAAGTTGTGGATGTAATTCTGGATGACGCCGAGTATTGGGCTTGCACCGAAGTTGTGCACCAATACTTACCACCCAAACGAGTGACACGAGAATCACCTCAAGAGGCGTTCGTCCGAGTCCGCGTGAAAGGTCGAGGGTATCCTACGGTTCGCAAGCTTGTTTTCGTAACAAGATCTCATGATCAAGGTAAGTATCTTGGTATCGAATACTCAGGGACTCTTTCTTCACGAAGTGTTTCAGGTTTCAGTGGAGAACGCGAGGCTCATGGTACGTACCGTTGGTCGTGGACGTGGTTCGAAACAGGGGTATCCCGTCGTGATGACAATGGGGTCATGATCGAAATCGTACCCCGGCAGCACATCCAGTTCAATGTACACGCATCATCAATTACCCGGACACACGTGAACGTGTGGGAGTACCATAATAACAGTCCTGAGATGAAGGCTTGGCTGGGTAGAATTGTACACGATGACGAGATACTGGTCATTCCAAGAGCTGAATTTCCCGCTTGGTGTAATTGGGTAGAGGCTATCAGTGTCAAAGTATATACAGCCGCGTAGTGATCCTATAGAGTCAAGATGACCAAGATGTATTGGATGTTCATTTTGCAATGCATCAGGCTTCAAGGTCGAGCTTCAATACTACGCCGTCTATTGGTTCGCTGAAAGAGCGTTTAAGTTGTGTGTTCTTACGCTCGATCATGATCGTGGCGCCTCTAGAACGGAGCGTTCTTGGACCTCCGAGGCGTGCTCGCTCCTTTCTCTAGTGCATCGGAATTTCCCTACGTTTCGACTTTTTTTTTGGTTTATAACGTGCTTATTTTTCACCTCGGATGCTGCGCAATGCTAGTAAGAACCTGAAAGTACGGCCTTCCAGCAGCCCCGGTGCTCGAAGGTGTCTCTCTCAAGGTTCCGCGCGTTCCACACGAGGGTCATCCAAAAACTACGTCGCAGCAGCTTCGTCTGCTGCACTCACAGCTACTGCGCTATGGTACTTTATGAAGTTACAACCAGTTCACAATGATGCTCCAAAGGCTGAACCAACTTCAGAAAAGAAATCAGACTCATCGACAGGATCCGTTAAAGTGACGAATGTCGATGATGAGTCGTTAACTACATTGGTATGGGGCTCAAACAAGTGGGTTTTAATTGTAATAATGGCATGTACCTATGGAAACTTACACTTTTTGTCCCCTTCTTGACCTATGTAGGTCACACGTGTTGCTGCCATCCGCCGATACCCCTGAATCTTTAAAGACACCAACGAGCGCAGGATGGCTACAGGACGTAGCTTTGCGTGACCTCGCACTTCATGAACGACATGCAGCTTGTGTTGACGCGAAGGGCGACGTTTACCAATGGGGTGATGGCTTCTTTGGCGAGAGTTCAACTACAGGTGAGAGGAAGCCGGCCTTGACACTTCGCGGAAAGGTGTGCTTAGAGTCTCTACGCACGCCAGACTTTTGCTAATCCTTTTGGCTGCAGAACATAGTCAAACTGCAAACTACTTCATCGCGCGTCTTCGCGCTTTCTTCTTCAGGGCGAATATATGTTCTGGCATCTGAGGCGTCGAAACAAGAGTTACCAATAGGTGGTCAAACTCCTGCCAGTACTCCGTGGTGGGGTACCGGCTGGCTTTGGGATGAAGAGCAGAACATCGACTTTGCCGAAATGAAACCTAATGAGAAGTTGGGCAGGCACGAAAAGTGAGTAAACTCTGTGTCGATCCTGAGAGCGAACTGATCTCGAATCCTTCGATATAGATTGGTATCAATCGCAGCGGGAAATGACCATCTACTTGGTCTCACCTCTGCTGGACGGACGTTCGCACATCCAATAAATTTGAAAGCTAATGATTACGGCCAGCTTGGTTTCCGCAAGTTCGATGTCCCTGATCACGCACCACATCATATTGGAATTCACCCGCCCGGTCACATTCGTATTCCCGTCGAACTCACCCCTAAGTCTATCGCGGACCCGTATGCAAAATCTACTCCTACTATTCGAAGTTCGTCAGTAGATTCGCGGCCGGAAGTGGAATTGGACGACTCAAGTATCAGATTTTCTGACAAACTCTTTGAAATTCCAGCGTTGAAAGGTATCTGGGTGGACCAAATAGCAGCCGGCGGAAGGAGCAGTTACGCGAAAACCGCAGATGGACGTGTTCTCGGTTGGGGTGCTAATGAGTACGGTCAGATCGGGTTGGGAAGGAATGTGGCGCTGGACACGATTACCGTCCCAACTGAGATCATCTTGTGGAGGGCAACGCCTCAGACGATGCGAACAACCTGTTTAGATATCACTGCAGGTGAGCCATGACTGGCGGTTAGTAGTTCAGTACTCACGATTTATTTAGGCGGGGATCTGGCTTTCTTCAAGGTCGAGCGTAACGATGGTACCACTTTACCTTACATCGACGTGCTCTCATGTGGGAATGGTCAGTGGGGTGGTTTGGGGAACGCGCTTTACAGCAATGCTCAGGGTACGCCTTTGCGAGCCAAGGCAATTAGTGGCCTGGTAGAATGTAAGCCCATTTGTATATCAATGCATGACAATATTCGCGTCTAACATGACATCACTTCACAGATTGCGAAACAAGCAATGATCTACAACCTATCCAACCACATGCCATCTCTATTTCCCCCACGGGGCACGTTCTTTTAACTTTGGACACGCTTGCTCGCTCAGGACCCGGTGCAGGAGGCCGAGACCTTCTTGTCTGGGGTGCGAATTCAGAGTATCAGCTGGGTAATGGGAAACGTGGAAGCGTTGCTTCGCCTCGCAATCTGGAAGGTCCCGATGGAGAAAGATTCATGTTAGGCAAAAAGAAGGCCAAAGAAGTGAAGGATCTTCTCGGCAATGTATGGAAACGGGGCGTTGAAGTGGAACAGTGCGCCCTTGCAGGTCCTGGAAATAGCGTTGTTTATTGGAAGATATGCTAGTTATTGATGGGTGTTTCAACACCATTGACATCCACATGGATGAACGGCTGTATTTTTTTGTTTATCAGAGTCACCATTCCTGATGAAAGTCATGACATTGACATCTGCGAGCTCTGACTGTGTTAGAGGGGTTGTACGAATGGACTGTCCTCCTGCGACTTGTTTCACCAGAGTAGGAAGCTTGCAGCGTGAGAACGGAGGCAGCGGATGCACTACAATAGGGACTGTGCGACAAGCTCATGGCAACCTCATGCTTTTTGCGCTCTTCCGTCCTAATCTCTTCATCTTCATGAACTCTCATTTGCATTGAGTGCACATTCAACAGCTGGAGACCTCCCGTCGCTTTATACGTACTCGTTGAATCAGCTTCCCAGCTTTGCGAGCGACGATCATCGCTCGGTGTCAGTCCTGTGAGTTGCCGTGACTTGCCTGCAGCAATTCAGGATTCTGTGCCTCCTAACGACCCACTGATAACCCTTTGACCCCCTTTTCTCCCTTCCTTTCTCTCTCTTTTAGCTGTCATTGTCACATCAAGCATTGACCCTCGAGCACCATGCCGTCTACCACAAGCTCTCGCTTGATTTCCTCCGTCTCCAGCTTTGACTATTTATCGTCCTCTGGTCATTCTCGCGAAGGGAGTGACTCATCGGAGTCCTACATCACTCTCTCAGATGAGGTCTCCTCTGAAGAGGACGAGATTTTACTCTCCTTTTCCGAAGTCTCTTCTTCCGCCGGAATCATATCTCCGGCTATTTCGCAAGGCGCGCAGTCGCCAAACACTTTTTCAGATGACGATTACGTCGTTTTCGGAGGGGTCAGGACGCCTGAAGGACATTTCGACTCCTTTGCGGCCGGGGGAAGCGCAGTAGCCAATGTCGATTCTATCACCGAGACTTTGGCGCAGCTGGAGATCAGGCAGAGGAGATCGAGGAAGGCGAGACGAAATGCACAGACCAGTGCAAATAGCGATACAGCCAGTGTCCGACTGGTCTCTCAGCCTGCTTCGCCGAAGAGAAATAGGAAGCGACGAAATGCTGCTGTCAATTCGTCTGATGACGAGGGGTCACTTCCTGATGTCTCTGCTACGCCCTCACCCTCTCCTCATTCGAATTCGTCTTCACCGAAGCCAAAGAAGAACAAGAAGAAGGGCAAGCAAGGAGTTGTATCGGCATCTGCTCCTGGCCTCGTCTCCAAGAAGTCGGATTCGTCAAGCAAGTCATCGAAGAGCCCGAAAGGTACACCTACTAAGACCGTCGTCGCGTCCAAAGCTGGATTAGGCGAAAGGCCCATCGTGGACGATGTTTCTGAAGCGGGTGATTACAAGGTTGTTACAGCTGGCTATGAGGAGGCCGTTCAATATGTGACGTCGTAAGTACACAATATTTACCCTCCCAGCGAACATGTCATGACTGAAGAATCATTCCAGCGTATTATCTGACCCTTCACCGAAGACCAACAGCAACCTCACGCTCTTACATGCTCTGATCGTCGAGCTTGGACTCTGCCCAGGCGCAACATTCTCCGTCATCACAAATGCGGCCGAGAATCTCCCCCGTTCGCTCAAAGCGGCCAAAGCTCTCCTGAAATCCAATGCTTTCCTCAACGTCCGAGATTACCTCGCCGTTCGTCACAAGGGATTAGACGCGCTTCGAAGCGTCATGCACCCCAACCGCAAATCCTTGCAAAAGGATATAAGGAGCGGTAAGAAGTCGGATAGGCGCGTGCCGAGGGAGTACGTCAAGCAATCTGGGTTGGGTGTGTTCTTGGTTACTTGCTACTAAGACATAAGACACATAAAGGTAAGTAAGTGTGGATGGTGGTGATGGTGGCGGGAGATTATCTTCAGACCGCATGCTGTGTCCCGGTTCTTTCGTCACATTCCTGTCGCCCATTCTTTCAAAGCCTTATAGTTCAGTTCGAATGTCCCCCCTTTTTCGATTCAAATTTTTTCTTGACAACACCATCTGACACCTTGATTTTTCTGCCCGAGCTGTTTATTCGACGTCTTAAACCAAATGTACTTGTAACTTCTCCTTCATCATGCCTTCCCTCATTGTCCCATCCCACACTCCCTCCGTTGTTCATCTTTTTCTTGCTCGGTCCGAATAAACGTGTGCAGTCACTCCTTGCTCTTTTCGTTAACCAATAACCCTAACTCGGTGTCCTACATAAACGTTTTGTGAATAGTACGATTGGTTCTCAATGCTAGCTCAATGCTCGATTCCAAGCGGTAGACACGCAGATAGACGGCAGATCACCTACCGTTCATACATAAAAGTTACCAGGACGGAACCAATCTGAACAGACCACTGATCAAGTTCTACTGAGGCCTGGGACGATACACGACGTGCTGATAGTAGCTACCTGAACTACACAAGGAGACGCACCAATCGTGAAGGAGTCAATCCACAACAACAGACTTATAGAGGCTCTGCTAATTTACGGGCACAATAGATATGGTATGCAAGATCCACAAACTCATGTGTAGGATGGGGAAGCAAAGCGACAAACCAGTGGGCCGTGGTGGGAAAGGGAAAGAAAAAGAAAAAGAGGAGAATGTGGTAAGAAACAACAACAACTAAGGGGGTATACTGATGGGGAGCTAGACTGCGCAATAAAGAGCTAGAAACTTTCTCTCTTTCTCGAACCCGGATTCTGCCTGGAATAAACAAACCTGCAAAGGAATTAGCATCACACACACACACCCTCTGATGCGCAAACAAATAAGTCGTTTAGTTTGCAGCTGCGACACCGCCAGCTACAGCCAAAGCACCCAAACCGATGACGGCTTGGTTGATAACGCTAAGGTTGTTAGGGCCCGTCGGGGTAGGGGTAGGAATGACGGATGAGCTCGTCGAGCTGGGTTTGACGCTGCTGGACGAGCTCGAAGTCGAGTGAGAAGTACTGGTAGGGGTGCTTGACGTGGAAGGGGTGCTTGAAGTGGTTGGAGGGGGAGGAGGAGGCTCGCTCCAAGAAGAGCTGAACGTGCTGGTTGTCTCCGGAGGGGGTGGAGGTGGCGGGGTAGAACTCGGGGTCGGCTTGGGAGTATGCTTAGTGGTGGTAGGGGGAGGAGGGGGAGGAGAGGTAGTAGTCTTGGGAGGAGGAGGAGCTTCACCACCTCCGCTGCCGTCGTTGAACCACCATTCACCGGTGATGACACCCGCGTCTTCAGAAGCGAAGTGGTTGAACAGTCCACGAGAAAAGTCGAGACCGTGATCAGGGCAACCCATACACTGTAAGAAGCATCAATTAGCAAAGCACTATCCAAGAAATTCAGGGTGAAAAATACCTCATCCATGATGGTGGCTTGTGCAGTCTTGCCCCCGTACGAAATGGTGATCGACTTGAAGCATTGAGGACCCGGGTATCCGTCGCCCCAGTTCTAAGTGCAAAGGTTCATTGGACGGTGTTTATAGGGTGCTTAAAAAGACACATACGATGGCACTCAAAGCGACGATCTATTGAGTGAATGTCAGCACACCGGAGTATCTGCATGAAGGAAGGAACATACGAAGTCATCAGGCTGATTCCATTTACCACAAGCACCCCTACAAACCAGTACTGTTATATTTGTATTTTGCGAATATGGTGTGGATCACTCACAATCCGACATCATAGAATGTGAAACGAATGCCACTGAATCGCTTGTACAAGTGGCTACTGACATCACCTCGGGCACGTTGAGCGATTTCGTTGTGACGACGGGCATGAGCATTGCCATGAGCGGGCTGAGAGGCTGCCATGAAAGGAAGAGCGAGGGAGAGGAACGAGCCTCCAATCAGAGTCGACAAGCGCATCTCTATATAGTAGCTTTGAGCAGGTAAGGAACTAAAACTTGATTATGTCTAGTGCAAAGAGCGTGAGGGTTGAGGGAGCGGCACAGGCTGAAGAGCCAGAAGGACGCAGATGCGGAGACTGAGGAGGAAGAAGCAAGAGCCAGCTGGAGAACGTCTCTTTCCACGCGCCAATTGCCTGCCTTGTTTGTTTCTGTTGCCTGGTAACAACAACACGCCAATCACTCCAGCCAGCCGCTCTCTCTCTTCCCTGCCAATCTCCCGCTCTCACCGACGCGTTCCATCTGTCAACCTCTCTCTTCCACGCGTCATCCAACAGTTACATCTCGTATAGGCGGTTACAACCCATTGAAATGCCCCACAAGTCACGCAAGATCCGTCTCAGCAACCAGCGCTGGCGGCCAATCATCACCGCCCACGCCAAGACCATGCGGATTAAAAATATTCTATACCAATATATACCATAGCTTTTTCGTGCGACAACAACGTGCTAACAAGTAAGAAGTGCAAAGTCCAAAATCCGTGCGAGGCTGTCCGTCAATTTAGTTTGCCTGTCCCGCAACAACAGCGAGGGCTGCAACACCAAGGAACGCCTGGTTGATGCTGTTCAGTGTGCCCACCTCAATCACCGCCTGAGTAGGAGTAGGTGCAGCACTGGAGCTAGTTGAAGTGGGAGTAGCCGAGCTCGTGCGTGAGGATGAAGTACTGCTTGATGTCTTTGAGTGACTCGTCGAAGTAGGTGTTTGAGACGTTGAAATCGACGTCGTGGTGGGAGGTGGAGGTGGAGTGGACGTCGTGCTGGGCGTGTGCGAAGTTGTAGGAGGGGGAGGTGGAGGTGTGGATGTAGTGGTGGGTTTCGGAGGATCACCCTTACCGAAGCTCCATTCACCAAGGATCGCTCCCGCGTCCATGTTGCCGTTAGTCAAGAAAGAGAAGAGTCCGGGAGACAAGTCGATCGCCCCGAAAGGGCATCCCATGCACTGTCAAAATATGACAGGTAAGCCTACAAGCACCCCAATACCATTGTTTCTTTAACACTGACCTCATCTACAACCTGAGCCTGGGTGGTCTTGCCCTCGTAAGAGAGTGTGATTGTTTCAAAGCAATGGCCTTCGTTGAATTGCTAGTAGATCAAACGTGTCAATACTGGAGGCCAAGAGGTAGCCAAGCGAACAACTTACCGGCACATTCATCGCAACAATCTAAATAAACACGTCACAATTCAGCCGTCATAAGAATAGAAATGCATCAAAGTAGGAAAGTAAACTCACGAAATCGTCATTGCCATTAACCTGTCCGCATGCGCCTAGTCCAGCCTTGTAGAACGTGAAGCGGGCATTCGCAAACTGTGCCCTACGTTCCAATACGTTGACAGGATGACGACGTCTCATAGCGACACCTCTGGAACCATGGGCATCGGCATGAACATGATGTGTGAGGGAGAACGTGAAAACGAGTGTAGCCAGAAACGACAGCGAACGCATGAAGAACATGCTTGAAAAGTTGGATACGAAGTTGTTTTTTGTCTAATAACCACAGGAAAGGACTGAAAGGCTGGCGACGAGGACCGTCTCCAAGGGTATTACAGTAGGGAAAGTTGAGATATTAGCAACGCGGCATACGTTCGACTTTCGTCACAAGGGCAAGGTCATTAATATCATACCGCCCCCGGAGGCCTGGAACACTGGTACCACCAATTGCCATTTCCAGCTTCCTCCGTTTCACTTACGTAACCCGCCCGTGATCCCGACGCGTCTCCTTATTGGACGCGTCCCGCCTTCCAGTCGGCTTCCAGCTAAAGCGTAATGGTTCCGTTCCCAAATATCACCACACGACACTGTCACTAACATCCGCACAGAGACACCTACACTTGTACTCTTCCGCTGTCAGGTACTTACTCCTGACATGTCTCAAAAATTCCCATGGTTTGGCTTCACCATAGCCAGCAGTTGCCGTGCGTCATCTGTACCCCCGTTTCAATCTCTCATATGAGACTCATCTGTGGAATAATATTCTGCATACCAGTCGTTGGCCTAGGATACATTATCATGAAAGGTGGGTCTAGATGCAGTGCCTCGGCCTTCTATGAACTGACGTTTCATGCCTCAAGCTACTGTACCGACACCGGAGCAAACATACGCTGTAAGTCATGATCTATATAACGCGTTCTTTATTTACCACCGCTTATTGCGTATGTTCCAGGCCATGTCGCCTGATCTTCGTCGCAAAGTGGATGCCAACCGCGCAGCGAGATTGGCGAGAGAAGCCGCCACGAAACAGCAAGCAGAAGCACAGGTAGTTCCAGGTTCAGGATACGCTTTGTATCAATCGGCTGAGCGTATATTCTTCCTAGCTGAATGACCCGGATGCCTCAAAACCTGTTTGGGCAGACACTCAGGGACGGTCATAACGATATCCCACTCCTACTCATCTGTACCCGTTCATATAGCCCCTCTACTGTGTATCTTTATAATTTTGCGGACTTAATGACCATCATCACCGTTCACATTCTATGGCGTAGGTCTCTCTTGCAAGGCATACTGATCTTCTAAACGCCACAGTTCTCCACTTGGAGATGTCGAATGAGGCAGATACCCAGAGCGAAATGAGTTGAATGTAAATATAGACACATTGGAACAAACGGAAAGAAAATTCTAGGCTACAACGAGCGATGTAACTGGGAATTCGGTCTGCCGTGGTGGGAGATTACTAGGCCGTACGTGCGGGTGAGAACTAGTGAGGTAATGGGGAGAGTGAGAAATTCGAGAGGGTTGTGGATCGTCAAATCATGCTGGAAAAGTCGTGGGTCGGAATAAAGAGAAGTAAATGCGATGGTGTCATAATCATCGCAGCCGTGAACCGTTGTCATCGCATAGCGTCATAGAGGTCAGTCAATCTGCAAACAAAACAAAGAAGGTCAAAATACAGATATGCGGATGAGAATAGAGATGCAACGAACCGGATGGTGTAATAACATGCAAAACGACTGAGCTACGCGCTAGGATCTCCGTTCGTCGTGACACCTGTATCCGGACCAGATGCAGGAGCTTCTAACAACGGCTTGTTAGACGTTGACGAGGCTATTGACGTTGCACTCGATAGGAGAACATTGTATGAAGGGGCTTCTTCATCGCTGGATTCCGTCGACTTCGGTGTCCGAGAAGGCTCCGGACTAGCAGGAGTTGAATTCTCTTCACCGGGCGCTGGAGGTGACAGTGTCGCAGGAACGGTCTCAGCGGCTTGTGGTTCTGGATTAGAAACAGCAGGAAGCTCTTCTTCGTCCAAGCGTGGCGACGCCAGCGCACTTGCGGTACCAGTAGATGTAGCACTCTGCAGCGTAGTACTTACAGAAGGGCTGACTACTTCAGGTTGTAACACTTCGTCCACGGCAGGCGAACCAACTGCAACGGCAGCAGCGGCAACGCTTCGCAATGCTTCACTGAGGGAAGATATGCTACTCGACCTTCGTTGTCTTCCTCTTTGAGACGGGGAGGCAGGAGAAAGTTGATCCGTGGATGCGCGCTCTGGCAAATTTGCAGAAGGTGGAGGCAAGGGGCTTCCTTGACTTCCTCCGGAAGCGTCGGGCGTCCTAGAAATTGAGGGTCCTTCGCTTGACGCGGAGCTGAGAACAGTCGACGTTGGTGAAGGCCCAGTTGTCGTGGTAGGAGACTCCGATGCAGCAGGCAGGACAGACTCAGACGCAGTAGGTGCTGTAGACTCAGAAGTTCCTGTGCCTTCGCCTTGAGCTTGAGCCTCTTCAGCAAGGCGCTTCGCTTCTGCTTCACGTTCCTTTCGTTGTTGTTCTTCGTGTTCCAGAAGCGATAAACGCATGGCTTCCATGACCATCAACTGAATAACTTCTGAGTCACTAGAACTCCGACGAAGTGATGGAATTTGTCTCACCTCTTCCAGATCTTGACCTCCAATACCCATTTGACCAAGCAACTGGTTCAAATCTTGATTCTGCTGTCTCCTCCTTGACCGTCGACTTCCTCTATCGGCGCCTCCATTACCCTCGCCGCCCTCGCCTTGTCCTTCATCACCGGTAGGAAGCGCATGCACGCGCCCACTCGTAACGCCAACCGGGATGAGCCGATCCCCAACTTGCCGCATGATGATACGTCGGTTGGCTCGCCGTGTGACTGCTGCACGTACGGCGGCCAATTTCGCTTCCCAGTCAGGTCGAATTTGGTCTAATGAGTCATGAGTGGCATTAGTGAGCTATAGGACGTGCCATGGAACGAGTTTAGGCCTATGTACTTACCAGTGGTGACAACATCTGGACTTTCCGCACTGAACGATTTCCGCCGTCTTTTCATCAGTGATGAGGGCGGGGCATCGAGGGTTTGAGGGGTCTGACCCCTTGGAGAATCAGGCCACGAGGGTGGAGTCTGAAAGGAGGCATATGAGAAGAACAGTGGATGTGTAGCAACAAAACACTGACCGCCCCCTCACTACCAATGCCTGCACGCCAGGGGGGAGGTGTATATACCACGCCGAAGTTTGGTTGAACACAGTAGGGGCAACACGCAGGCTCAGATACCAAATGAGTCGTAGTAGGGTCAGCTCGTTTGATTTGCACAAAACATTCCGTGCAAATAGCTTGATTACAACATCGAGAATAGTTGATGTTCGAAGGATAATACTGAGAAATTAACGAATTAATCGAGATGAATAAGGCGCTGCCGGTCGTGCGACGTACCAGGAAACATATTGGACATTCTACGGCACCTCTATATACCGCAGCTTCAGGACTCCTTCCGGGCTCCTTAGCAACTGCGCTGGGTCTCTTATGATGAGACCGAGAACTAAGAGACGATGTATGTGACTCTGCTCGAGTGATCGAGGAGTCTCCAGCATCTGGCTCCGGTAACTCCTTTCTTGCCGCCAGTATCTGCTCATCGTCCCAAGACTCCTCATAGTCGTCCAACGGCCTATAAAAAGGAGCGAGTTTACGGTCAACGATGAGTTGCGTAACAATGCTTTGATTCCAATCTCGAGGACCAGTGTAGACGCCCTGAGGATTCAGGGAGCCGAAGTCGACTGTTTCTTCATGATGACCTCGCCCCGAAGAGGAGGTGTTGCCCATGGTGGATGTGCTTGACGACGAGAGGGATTAATCTAAGGCAGCCAGAGTGTTATTGACCGAGGACTTTGTCGAAAGGAAGTAGGCGAGAGGCGCGTCACCAGATGCGAGGTGTAAGTGCAATTCCGAATCCGACCAGCCCTAATTGGAAATGTCGCGCCGCCGAGCACTCCCGGCTTCCATCCTCTTTCCTCCATGGACAACAGTTTCATGTCGCCCGTTTGTAGCCACTGCCCCCGTTGGCATACAAGTATGGTTTGATAAGAGCCTTATAATGCTTGTATCCCCGTGCTGCATGGTTTACAATCCGCGGAACAAGTGTTTTCAGATGATTCACATAGGATGCTTGTTTTGTCACCTTCTATGGTTCTAAGTTCCGCGGTCTTCACCATATATCTGACATCCTCGAGAACACGCTCTGTCAGATCCAGTCTCTTGTTTTGCGCATGGGAAGTACTGTATATACACTTCTTCTCACACACGTATGCAGTTTGTGCTGGCTATCCCGCGACGGCCATAGTATTCAACGCAAACCTTTCCTGCAGTAGTATCGGGCTAGGTCATATAAGACCATGTGTATATGGTCAATTATGTCAATTATGCTTGTCATATGCATAGGGGATTGCGAAGCTCTTGCGAATAGTTTCCCGAGCGCGTCTTTTGCAAGTTCTGGCTATTTACTTACTTATTCTCCCCCTCCCCCTCGACCTTACCCACGCACAAAGATAATGCATACTTTGCGTCCTCAATGTTGTTTCTCATGTCTGCACCAACAATTCGATGTTCTCAAAGTAAGATGCTCTTTTGGTGGGAGTCCGAGACCCGGCCGTGTGTACCGGCACAGAGTTCGCCACGTCAGTCTTTACGGGAAATTTCGATAGCGCGTTATATACCCCACCTTCACAGTCCATGTCTCCGAATTTTGCTTGAACATCTATCCGGTCTCTCTTTCCTCTCTTTGGTTTAAAGCACTCATTGTGCTTCACGTCTACCGCCATGTCTCTTGTAGAGGCACCTTGGACGAAGACCCCGGAAGAAATTCTACAACACTTTTCGGTTGACCCAGCTCGTGGACTCTCGTCGGAACTCGCAGCAAAGCATGCTGAAATATATGGCAAGAATGGTATGTCGAGCCTTTCATCCAAAGATACGCGTGTCCAACATGTTGTTATTGTAGAACTCCCGGAAGAGCCTTCTACGCCATTATGGGAACTCATCTTGGAACAATTCAAGGACCAGCTCGTTTTGATTCTACTAGCATCTGCGATTGTATCATTTCTTCTAGCACTGCTAGAAAACAACGAGGACTCTACTTTCTTGAGCGCATTCGTTGAACCATTGGTTATTCTCCTCATTCTCATCGCGAACGCCGCGGTTGGCGTTATCCAGGAATCGAATGCAGAAGCTGCTATTGATGTGTGTATATGCGTTCAAACTACTATACACAGGTTTGCTGAACATCTTTCTCTTCTCCAGGCTCTTAAAGAATACTCTCCGGATGAAGCAAAAGTCTTTCGTAATGGTGACATCGCCCGTGTGCATGCATCCGAGCTCGTACCTGGAGATATTATCGCGGTTGCAGTAGGAGACAAGATTCCTGCAGACTGCAGGCTACTTTCCGTATCTTCAGGTAGCTTCCGTGTGGATCAAGCTATCTTGACAGGCGAGAGTGTCAGTGTGTTCAAGTCCGTCGGGGCAGTGGAGGACATGAAGGCTGTGAAGCAAGATATGACAAATATGTTTTTCTCGGTATGTTCATTCTGCTATCTCTTTCAATCTGTTTCCTGACATGGTCTGCAGGGTACGACCGTGGTGAACGGTAGCGCACGGGCAATCGTCGTCTACACTGGGCAGCGCACAGCCATTGGTGACATCCATAAGTCGATCTCTTCGCAGATCAGCGAGAAGACACCTCTGAAGCGCAAGTTGGATGACTTTGGTGACATGCTCGCCAAGGTCATCTCTGTCATTTGCATCCTCGTCTGGCTTGTCAACTTCAGGCACTTTTGGGACCCTGCTCACCATGGGGCTTTGAAGGGTGCAGTTTATTACTTCAAGATTGCTGTCGCATTGGCTGTGGCTGCTATTCCAGAAGGGTTGGCTGCTGTCATTACGGCTTGTTTGGCCCTTGGCACAAAGAAGATGGCCCAGAAAAATGCGATTGTTAGGAATTTGCCTAGCGTCGAGACTCTTGGCTGCACAAACGTCATCTGCTCCGATAAGACTGGTACTCTGACAACTAACCAGATGAGCGTATCCAAGGTATTTTTGTCAATGTTCATCACGGAACGTAGAGATATTGATACTGTTAATTGTGTAGTTTCTAGTTATCAATCCGAATGGCGTTCCCCAAGAATACCACGTAGAGGGCACCACGTTCTCACCTATCGGGTTGGTCAAACCTGCTGATGGCAAAGAAGGCTTTGCTGAACTTCGCCCAGAGCCTCTTTTGCGTTTGGCGGAGATCAGTTCCATTTGTAATGATGCGAGGATCGTCTATCACGCTGTACGTCAACTGACCCTCCTGGTTGTAGCCTTAGACTGACTTTTCTGCGTAGGAGAAAGGATCGTACGCTAATGTCGGTGAACCGACTGAAGCTGCTCTCAAGGTCCTCGCAGAAAAACTCCCTTGCCCCAGTCCGGAACTTGAGAAATCCCTTTCTTCGCTTTCCCCCGCTGAACGTGCCAATGCCGTCAATGGATACTACGAGAGCACCATTTCCAGACTTCTCACATTCGAATTCTCTCGTGATCGCAAGATGATGTCTGTCCTCGTTCGTCGAAACAGTTCAGCATCCCTTCTAGCCAAGGGTGCTCCAGAGTCCATCTTGGAACGCAGCACCTCTGTACTCATCAATGGCCGGACCATCCCTCTCTCCCCAGAACTTCGCTCTTCCCTCCTTCAACAGACGGTCACGTACGGTTCCCAAGGTCTCCGTGTTCTCGCTCTGGCTTATGTCGACAATGTCGATGCCGACGCCCGTCATTACGAGTGCCAGAGCACTGCCGAATATGCTCATTTTGAGCAAAACTTTACCTTCGTTTCACTCGTTGGTATGCTTGACCCACCAAGACCCGAGGTCAAGGGTGCTGTAGCGAATTGCAAGGCTGCGGGTATTCGTGTCATTTGTATCACTGGTGATAACAAAGACACAGCAGAGACCATCTGTCGTCAGATTGGTATCTTCGGTGAGGATGAGGACTTGACAGGCAAGAGCTACACTGGCCGTGAGTTGGATGACCTGAGTCATGAACAGAAATTGGCTGCTGTTATGCGCGCTAGCTTGTTCAGCCGTACTGAGCCTGGCCATAAGACTCAGTTAGTCGATCTCCTACAGAGCCAAGGCCTTGTCGTAGCAATGGTTCGTACATCCCTGCTTCTTCTGTGGCATGCTGTGCTTATCATTTTTTGTGTGTGGATAGACTGGTGATGGTGTCAACGATGCTCCTGCACTGAAAAAGGCTGATATCGGTGTCGCTATGGGAAGTGGTACCGATGTAGCCAAGCTCGCTGCCGATATGGTTCTCGCAGACTCGAACTTCGCAACAATAGAGCAAGCAGTAGAAGAAGGTCGTCTCATCTACAACAATACCAAGCAATTCATTAGATATCTCAGTGAGGCTCATTCGGCTTCTGGCTTACAGCTCATTGCTAACTCGCTTTTACAGTCTCATCTAACATTGGCGAGGTCGTCAGGTAAAGTTTCTTCGCTGTTGCGAACGCGGGCTGGGCTGACGACGTCTTCATTTAGCATCTTCTTAACCGTCCTGTTGGGCATGCCAGAAGCTCTAATTCCAGTACAGCTGTTATGGGTCAATCTCGTGACGGACAGTCTTCCTGCGACGGCTCTTGGTTTCAACCCAGCAGATCACAGCATTATGAGGGTCCCACCACGCAATAGCCGTGAGCCACTCATTGGCAAATGGTTGTTCTTCAGATACCTTGTTGTCGGCATCTATGTCGGCGTTGCCACTGTTGCCGGATATGCATGGTGGTTTACGACGTACGCAGGAGGTCCTCAAATCTCCTTCTACCAACTGGTATATTCTTGTCATTCTTTCACGTTCGAACGATGATTTATACTCTCTATCTATAGACTCATTTCCATCATTGCTCTGAGTTATTCCCCGAAATCGGATGCCAGATGTTCACCAACGCCATGGCACGCCACGCGACAACAATGAGCTTGTCGATCTTGGTCACCGTCGAGATGTTCAACGCAATGAACTCCCTTTCAGAAAATGAGAGCTTACTTCGACTGCCGATATGGAAGAATCCATTCCTTGTCGCAGCCATCACCCTCAGTATGCTGCTACACGTCGCCATCTTGTATATCCCTGTTTTCACTGTAAGTTAGATATCTTGTCCAGTTGCCTGGCGCTTTCTGACTCTTTCATCTCACTCTTTTAGACCCTATTCGCCATCACTCCTCTCAATTGGATCGAGTGGAAGGCCGTTTTGTACTTTAGTGCTCCCGTTGTTGTAATCGATGAGGTCTTGAAATTCGTTACGGTATGTTCTGTTCCGCCATGCGGTCACAGAGTCGCTTGCTGAACATCTCTCTCCATAGGCGACTTTCGTTGACCCCCCGAGTAAGGTGAAAGTGCAATAGTATTGTGCTATCATAGACATACCAGACCGATATACTATTGTATAATCTATCTGCATTTGCAACTTTAGATGATTCCATCCTATCCATTGTTAGAAATGGTGAGTAACCATGCATGTGTATTTTTGCACATATCAAACGTTGAGCGATGTGCTGTATCGTCGACAAATCTATTCCTTCCGCTCTCGGGTGGATAGCGGGGCGGATGATGTCAGACGATATCAGACATCCGCTTAAGTTTGTTTCTTCCGAGAAACTGTGAGCCCGAGCCCTTATAAGCAATACTCAGACTGTAATCCTCAGTTTCATTTTGCCTTCATTCCACACTTCTCCTTGCTACCTCATCACAGGAAACATTTTCGTCACAATGGATACAAAGAAGGCTTATTTGAAGTTCGAGGCCGAAGTCAGCCTTGAAAACGAAGCGCTTGTCAAGAGGTTCAATCACTTGGCCATGAAACGTACCACACAGCTTAATCCTCGACCGTGCTCACACGAACCCCGGACGTTCATTAATAACTGGTACTTCGATGTTCGCCCTATCACTCTCCCATTCGGTCCCCATGAAACGTTTCCAGCAGAGATGTTAGTGATCTTCAATGGAAGCTCTCGCAGGTTCCATGCGGAAGGACCATTCCGCGTATTCGACGATACGAGAGCGGACCCAGATTCTCTGAAGCGAAAGGCTGAATGGATAGCGAAACTGCTCGTACGAGCGTTCGCCAAACAAAGCCGGATGGAGGCGACCGGGATTTTCTCCCCAGGCTCGCGAAGAACGGTACCATGGACATGGTCAACTGGTGACGAGAGGGTGAGGTCTGCCATTCAGGATGCACTACGAGCTTTGGGTGTGCGCCAGCAGTTGTGTACGGTAGGACTTGAGGGGCCTTTGGGATCTGATAGGCGGATGGCCGACGAGCAGTGGACTTCTATACGGGATGCGTTGATCATTGAAGTCGGGAAGATACCTGATCCACGGAATCACTAGATGGATGTTGTTCTAAACGTGCCCCCTGAGCTCTAGTTCTCTTATAATGCTAATGATGATGTGTCGTTGTGTCCCTGAATATCTAGTTGGTCCATCCCAAAAAGGGAAGGCTGTGAACAGAAGCTACGGCGTTGAATTTTTTCAAGTTTTTGATGGCCTCAGTGACGAAGTGCACATATAATGAAAGGTGCAAAATATCTCAGCAGTACGCTATATGGTTGTATATACTTTAACACTAATAGCCTCCACCCAGTTACACCAAGCAGGAAATTCAGCTCTTGGTAGGACCAATATCTCGTCACCGTGTATGATTCTTCCCAGCCAAGCCTTCATCTCGGGACTGGCATTACGATACTCCCACACTGCATTGACATGTGTAATTGACGATGCACGTATATTGAACTGGATGTGCTGCCGGGGTGCGATCTCCACCATGGCACCACTGTCATCACGGCGGGATACCCCTGCTTCGAACCACGTCCACGACAAACGGTACGAGCTATGATTCTCCAATTCTCCGCTGAAGCCTGAAGCGATTCGTCGAGGTTCATCAACATGCGGTATTAATATACTCACCTTGGTCATGAGTTCTCGTAACAAAAACAAGCTTGCGAACCGTAGGATACCCTCGGCCTTTCACGCGGACTCGGACGAACGCCTCTTGAGGTGATTCTCGTGTCATTCGTTTGGGTGGTAAGTATTGGTGTACAACTTCGCTGCAAGCCCAATACTCGGCGTCATCCAGAATTACATCCACAACTTTGGGAGGCAGACGAGACTGAGAGTGCAGGATATGCCTAACCTTCCAGACATCCAGAAAGTCATAATTCGACTTTTCTGGTGATTCAAGGCGTATGGCCTGAGCAATGGAAGAGTACCATGGTTGCGATTGGGCCCAATCTAGCTGCGCAGCGTCAAGTTGCAACGTAGCTTGTTTGGCTGCCCCATGTTTGAGGAGAACCTCCACTAGCTTGGCCGACCGAATGTCTGATGCAATTTGAAGCGGGCTTTTTCCCAATGTCGTTGCAACAGAAGTTTCGCAGCCCGAAGCCAACAGCACGTCTACCACTTCTACATTGCCTCCTGCTACCGCGATATGCAGAGCGGTCCATCCATTTACTGTTTGTGCATGAACATCCGCTCCACGCTCTAAGAGCATAGAGATTGGTGCCATCTGTCCACGGTAAGCGGCAACATGGAGAGGAGTCTGGTTGGTGGGTGCACTGCGAGTATTGACACACGCCCCGCGCTTTAACAGCATTTCGACAAATTCGACATGTCCGAGCCCAACAGCAGCAGACAAAGGAGTGACAGTGGTATGGTCGTCCATTACAAAGCTGGTTGTAGTCTTCTCGATGTCTGCGCCCATGTCCAGCAGAAGTTCCCCGATAGCCGTGTGACCTCTATACGCGACGGTAATCAGAGGTGTGGCGCCCCAGAGAGGTAATTCGGCCTCCAAAAGGTCGGGGTGTTCGTGTAAAACATTTGAGACGACCCAAGGACTATTGTAGTACAGTGGGAACCAGAGTGGACCCGTATTCTCAACGGCCGCTGCGCCGTTCTTCGTGAAACGATATGAATCTCGCCCTTCAAATTGATGCACTTGCTTGAAGCTGAAATAGTTATTGGATCTCTCCGGGTTCATGAATAAGTCTTTGATATATAAAAGGACCTCTTCATCTTCCTCGTCCATGTCGGCGACATGCAGGTACCAATGAGTTGCTGCATACCTCAATAGCGGACGATTCAAAAGTCGAGCATTGTAAGCCCCTGGAGTGTGGCAGATACCTGTCGAGAAATCCTCGAGTAAGAGGTAGGTTAATGTCAATTGTGCCAATTCTTTTGCTACCGACGCCGGCTGCGTGGCAAAGAAATCTAGCGGGGGCTGCATAAGCACACCAGTCAGGAATTCCTATATGAAGAGTGAATATGGTACTGTTATATCCGAGTCGCCTGAAGCTTACCTTGACCGTAAAATGGGACAAAATGATAATATCGGTGTCGTCACGATGTTCAACCAAGCTTCCACAGATATCTAGGACGTCGCTCACGTTGAAGACTCCAAGCTCCTCGTTCAGCATATATCGTCCCTTCTCTATCATGATCGCCTCATTGACTTGTTGCAGGGTCAACGGTGTCAGTGCCCCAACGAGCCACACCAGCGAAGAACGCGCGATTTGGGCAACTTCTGGTCCCTGCTTTTCAATCGTCGCCAGAATACGCTCGTATGTCTCAAATAACCCCTTTGGTAGATTATGGAGCGCATCTTGAACACCTTTCCGGGTCCGACAGCTGTTAAGAAAGTCCAACTGACACTGTACCCAGCGAAACCTGAGAGTACCAAACATTTAGCAAATCACAAATAAGACATCTCCATTTGACATACATGCCATTGGCCTTGCTCAACAGAGTCGTCTCAATGCTTGAGCGGACATCAGCAGGCAGACGAGCAAGTTTTGGCCGTGACTGTAATGCAGATTGGACGTGCATCTTGATATCATCGTGAACATGTTGTGCTTCATGCTTCAGAGAGATCGATGGGAGTGCCTTGAATGCTTCGTATATAGCATGCTCCTTGCGGCTGGTCATGAACAGACGGACATTTGACTCGTCATGTAGCCTTGACAGCAAGGGCAGGATTTCCGAGATATCCTGGCACTCGTCCAGTGCGTCGATTCGATGACGACGAATGGACTTGTGTAGGCACCAATGGCTTTGAGTAACAATGTATGCAGAGCGGGAATGTCTGTAGCGGGAGAGGGACTCCTTGCTTTGATTTGAGCCAACGACTGAATATCTTGGGACCAACCAGCCCTCAAGAATTGGGCGAGTAAGGTATGGATTAGAGCTGCTGAAGTTGTACTCTTCGCGTCTCGGAAATCACAATAGAAGTATATCAATGGTGTGTCAGCAGAATTATTTGCCTGGAGTTCGTCGATGATGGATGATCTGCATACAGTGAGAAGAATGCCCGGTATTTGGTGAAGAAGCGAAGACTTACGCCAGCGCGCTCTTCCCGCTTCCCGCTGGCATTGAGCCCAGGTCAGTCGTGTATCTGCAACACATCATAAGTGGGACTCACGTATTCCGTGCAGCCACAGGAATGCAGACTCGCTCGAACGCCATGATTTGAATTCACCGTGGTCAAACAGCCAGGTGCATGTATCCCGCTGACGCAGACGAGCGATGGATCGATGCTTCGTGATATAATCCCTCGGATCTAACCAAGTAATGATCTCTCCCAGGAGATCCTCTATTGGCAAGATGAGTGAGGGAAATGTATTGAGATTCAAGTGAACAGAGTAAACATACCTTGCAGCTTGACTTCCCTGTCCAGTCTTGTCCTTTCTTGCTCTGTTGCGATGCTCGAAGCAGTCTCATGGACTTCAGCAATCTTCTGGCTTTGACGATAAGTCAGTGTGCATTAACCTCCATATTTAACAACATCACTCGTACTAGGAATCGGTTGAAAGGGCTACAGTGAAATGTGCTTTGTAACGCTCCAATTTCTGCAATGCCTCGGTGATCTTCTTCTCGTATTTGATTGGCCATAACATCCGTCGTCCCAAACTGAGCTTCGTATCGGGATCGTCATGTTTCAACCATTCAAGCAGTTCCTCCAGGGTTTGCTGACACTGCGCTAATGGCCCTTTGTCTCCAAGTATTGTTTCCAATGCGGGACCACATCGTAAAGTAGGAGATGAGTTGTTCGCTGACGGATCAGTCATAACATTGAAGTTGCTAAGCATCACTGTTATGCAGTACAACTCATGTAAGAGTTGCTGGCGATTCTTCTCGACCTCCTTCACGGCGGAGACATACTTGGCTACCAGAAGGGCGACGGTGGCAGCAGTCTCCAAGACAGCGAGGATGCTTGCGCCTCCTGAGAACGGATCCATGGTGTAGAATGGTGATTAAGGAGCGAAAAGCAAGTTTGTAGGGCAAGATATATGTGATATCCCTGTCATCCTATACAATTCTGTCAGCGGTAAACGATAGGACTGTGATCGCCTATAACCGAGCACCATGTAATCCCGAGGTACGAAGGTTGCGACGGGATGCTCCGCCTTAGGGACCTTAGCGCTATACCATAATGATTCGAGAGATCTCTTTGGCAACTTCTATTGCTTCAGAGTCCAGGTGAGAATGAAATGTGACATTTGTCATCTGGCGGTCCACGTTGTAGGATGGAAGCCCGGTCGATGGAAATGATGATTCAATATAACATGGAAGAGATTAGAAGTTACAACTTTCCGTCCGGCTTTATGTCATCCAAGCGTGTTTTTGTCGATGAACCCAATTTCTTACACCGATCCACGGTGTAGGAGTTGACGAAGCTGTTGCGCTGTATAACATATTGAAGGCGCAGGAGAATCCCGGGCCATATAGAACGTGAGTGAGGAAACGTGGGGGAACATCTCTGAACCTGCCTGATGCTTGAAAAACGCTCCGACTCTGAACTTCGTCGTCCCAACATGGCACATATCGTAACTAGTGATACCATTCATCGTTGTCATCCGTGAACTTAGTGTACCGTGAACCCTAGGCGCCGCGATCACTGGCACGGCGATCGAGTAGTACGACGAGTGACCGTTAGTCTCCGGTACGCAGACCAATGACGGGTCTACTACAGGAGGGAGGGACGACTCGTATAAGTGACCGTTGGATGTGAATTGTGTCGGGTCACACCTCAGATAGCAGCTTCTAGCTACTTACGTGACCGCAATATGCATCGATTTACTTGAAGGTAAGATTCACCAAAATCTTGAGATAAAGAACAGTCCGGCTGATCCTTTCCTCTTTTGTTGGCTATCATTCACTACTAAGTACTGCTGATGTCAAAGCTCAAACGGTCTTTTGCATATTAGTGAGACATATGAGAATGGCAGGCCGTCATTATGCAATGTTTTGTTCAGCGTAACGGCAGCAGCATCCTACTTGTCCAGATACCAAGTCATGTTTTGACAGCTCAAGGTCACCAGCTTTGACAACAATGCCAGCGATGGCACCCATGACTTTTCCCTGCATGCTCTCATAGACGTATCAAGTTGCCTCTTTGAGCTCGCATTTCAAAATTCCAACGCACTGACCAACGTTCGCGTTGGCACTCATATCTCGTAACGCGGAGCTGCATGTATCATTGCGGAATGCCACACATTCCGATTCCTTTGACGTCAGGCTTAATTCTCAGAAGCCAAAGCCTTGGAATTTCAAACATTTCGCCTCCCTCGCCCCACGTGTACCAAAAAATCCCAGCTTGAAAAGGACTTGCCGTCCGAAGCATTTCGCTGAATCTCCGAACCTTGGCTTTTGCTAGTCCTGTTAGCGCGGACCCTTACGCGTACGTTTTACGAAGAAATACCTGCCTTGAGCTCCAAATTTGCTGCAGGGCATGTCGGTTTTGCATTCAATTATTCGGTCACGACGTCGAATCTTAGCTAGAAAGCGAATAGTCGCATCTTTGGCCATCTTCTCGCCTTGAGCCTCGAGATGACTTTAGTGTCATACTGTTGGTACATCTTGGTGACCTTATTTCTTCCGACGTCAACGTATGTCATCATCCGCGCTAGGTTACGAGTACTACTTTCATGGACTTCAGCAATCTTCTGGCTTTGCAAGACAGTGCACATTGACTCCGGTTCTGAGAACATCACTACTAAAAATCAGTTGAAGGCTACTACAGTGAAACGTGCTTTGCGACGCTCCAATTTCTGCAATACCTAGATAACCTTCTCGTAGCTGATCGGCCACAATAACCATCGCCCCAAATGAAGCTTCTTATCGGGGTCGTCGTGTTTCAGCCGTCCATGCAGTTCATCCGGAGTTTCCCTACATTGCGCCAATGGTCCCTTCTTTCCGAGTATTGCCTCAACGCGGGACTATGTCGTAAAGGCGGAGATGCGTTGTTCGCCGACCGATCAGAACATCACTGTTATGCAGAGTAAGATTTATGTAGCAGCTGTTGGCGTTCTTCTCGACGTCCTTCATGGTGGTGACATACTCGCCTTCTAGAATGGCGACGGTGGCAGCAGTCTTCGAGATGGCCGGAACGTTTGCGTCTCCTGTAAACGAATCCATAGTATAGAAGAGGGCTTGATGAAAAGAACCGAGGACGGTGCGAGAGATGTATAAATGATAACGGGATGGGCGGTCAGACATGATACTGGCATGAGCTTACATCCAGGCGCTACATCATTCAAACGCGTGTTAACCCAGACTCCTTATAACGTGAGCTTATAATATGCTGGTGTATCATAGGTCAGCCGTTCAGTTCTTGACAGGTAAAAGACATGCTCACTATGAACCGGGGTCCTCCCACTCCGCCAATACATAGTTGCGGGCGACAAGATCGGAGATCTATTCTTAAAGGGAATGTGATTCGTTGGTGAAGCAAAGACGCCCCTCGATCATTCAAGGAATTCCAGGTTGTAAAACTAACAAAGAGTACTATACGTGAGAGAGAAAGCAAAACAGCCAGGGTATAGGCTTCTAGATCTATGCGTACACCCTCGGAAGGTGATATCATGACACTCTGGGCGTGTCTACGAGTAAGAGCGATAGCTTCAATCGACCTGGTCCAGCTGATCTAGCGTCTTCTCCGAAAGGTGCTTGATAGGATGCGACTCTTGCTCAGTCTGTTTTCGTGAGTTCACGGAACTCAAATACGTATCTTTGGGTGGTCACGAACGTCAGTATAAAGCGGAAAGTCATATGAGAATGATGTTCTTACTCCAGAATAAAGATACGACACTGACGACAACGAAGCGCAGGTGATGGGGAACAACAGCGAAGTTGATAACTTGAGTGGGGATGAAGACTCCCCAGTTGCGGATCAGAGTAGGCACATAAGCCTGAGAACAATGAACTCAGCAAGACGTAGACGAGAAGAACAAAGACATTAGGGTACCTCCCGGATCCGCTCGGTAGCTTCTGAGAAGCCTCTTCCTTCGAGAAGGGTCATAGACCCGAAGAAAAATGCGACAATACCAGGGGTGAAGAGGAATTGGTCAAGGTATACCTGAAAAAATTTCAATGATGAGAGATGTAGGTGGGCTAGAGGAAGTACACACTCTGTATGCAACAGCTTTTGTCGGTGATGAGAATTGCAGCTTGTTCAGCAACTGGAACCACTTGGTAACGAGAGGGCCAAACAAAGCCCCTGAAAATCTATCTTCAGCATCATCCACCCTCCTCCATGAGACCTGTAGACCAACCTCCATAGAACCCTAGTCTAGCTGTTCGGGCGAACTATCACAACGTCAATCAGACATCTTTAATAACAGTCGCATGGTTGATGGGCACCCACGTCATGCTTCTCGAGCCCTTTCCTTTCAATGAGCTGCTGCGCAATCACATCTCCGGCAGCGAAGAGAGTGAACGAGGTTGCACACTGAGTTACCATTGGTCTGCGAACCAGCGACGCGCTGAGAAAAACGAATGTGAGGAACTGAGAGCAGCTAATGAACGCTTGAATAACCGTCTCACTTGAAAGCTCGAAGGAATGAAGCCATGCTGCTTTTTCAAAGCTCAATTATTTTTCAGCTGCAACGCTCTGGAAGTCGCTGGCAATAGTTAATGGTCGTGGGGAGTGTGCAAACTGGCAAGAAGAGCATTTTGGAGAGAGAGTTATCTATTATGTATGTTCGGCTACACGAGCGTTCTACAAGCTCCGCGTTGTGAAGCTCCGAGGATACCCCGAGCCATCAATTCGACTCTTTTCGTATATCTCTTGCTTAACGCGTCCACATCATTTCCACTCCCATCGGGGTCAGTTCCCTCTCTTCCACAGCCCAGGCTTAGGCCTCAGGCTTCTCCCTCTTCAAGACAGAAACACAATATATATATATATATACATCCTCTTCACGAATATGCGACCACCGTATCGTCTGTTCTTCCTCACTCTGCTAGTTTGCGGATTCTACGCGTCCTCCACAGTTGTGTATTCGATTTCGGTTCTTTTGACAGGTCATATTCTTGTCCTGTTGGTTCCTATGTTGAATCCCCGCCTCTCCCTTTTCTCCACTCTCAAAGTTGCTCTCGCTGGAGGAACGATAGTGGGAGTGATCCATGGACTTATAGTTTGCACGTATTGCATTGCGTGGGTCATATTGAAGGGTCGGGATGCAGACGTAGACGCACTCGGACGCGAAATGACGGAACGCTATAAACGCAACAAGACCCTCATCACAATCATGATTGGTGGTCTGTCATGCACAACCTGCGGTCCCCTCGGTGTCGCTGCGCTTCAACGCTGGAGATTCACGTACATTGGTCGACCAAACGTGTTTCACATCTCGCTGATGGGCGTTTTAGGAAGAGTAGCGCAGAAGCTTGCTTGGAGATTGGTTCCTCCAGAGTGGAGAGCGTTATGGCGAAGCAGGGAGCCAAGTGGTGATGCATCGAGCGTTGATCGCATGAACAGTGGGGGGTCAGAAGATGTGGGCCAGACACAGCAGTAATACGAAAGGAAGATGGGTTGATCTTCGAGACGCTCAAAGCATGCGTGCCTTCTCCAGCCAGCCGAATGCGAGAACAAGAAACGATACTGCGATGGAATAAGAAAAGGAGTGCCAGGAGTGCAGCATTTGAATTGAGAGAGGGGGAGTAGTATCGCGTGCGAAGTGTGGAGAGAAACCAAAATGATACCCCAACAATAGTTGTAGCCATATTCCGTATACCCTTGCAGTGTACCTTTCATACCTCAACGGGGACTTTTACGAAATGTATGGTCCTTATAATGCTTATCCGACATGTATTCGCTCGGGTGGCTCCGAACCTACAGATTTTGTACCTGAAGACCAAGATATGAAGGGAGGATCTGTCCACTCGGCCTGAAAATGTAAATATTCAGTTCGTCATGTTCATCATAAGTACGTAGCCAATCGGTCTCGGGCATGTTACCGCACCTTCATTTTGACTTTCTCAACCCCATCCTCATCAACGCTTCTTTTGATGCTGTCCTGGTCGATACTAGGACTATTTACAAACCTTGCGAGATTCTCCATCTTGTCGAAGTCAATGCTATAGCGGTCTGCCAATTCTTTCAATTCATCTAATGATTTAACCTCTCTTCGACGATTCAAGAGGTCAATCAGGGTGGAAGCGAGAAGTCGGTTGCGAATAGCCTTTGTCGAACGAGCCTCGGCCTCGGATTGGAGCCGAGATTGAAAGGTCCTGTTTACTTGGTTCACTGCCTGCATCGCGACAAATATTCAAGTTTGAACGAAGGTAAATAATAGATCGAAGGACGTACTGCTGGTCGAAACGTCTTCATGTGATGATCCACAGTAACTGCACCCAATCGGTTTAGGTTGGCAGCAAGCTGTGGGTCTCTCGAGTCCTGTTCAATAGCTGCAGAACCTATGCTTAGCGACAAATGGCAAGTTTGAGGAAACAGGAACCAACCTTCATTCTTAGTCTCGCTTGCTCGAGGTAACGTTGTACGAGCATGTTCAGCAACATGCGCCGTCGAATCTGAGGGCCCTGGTGTTCGCGCACCCGTCCATGAAGGTTTAGGAGTCTTAGGGAACTGGCGAGCAGGTTTTGAAGCGGCTCCTCCCATGGGGGTCAAGACAATAGCGAGTAAGGCTTGGTGGCGTTGACCAACCTGGTACACAAGCGCCTACAAATTAGTATCCCGGGCGGCAAGGTGCAACTAACTTGAAAGGCGCCATGACAGGACTGCTTTTCTGCCTCTCTTGCTTTGTTACTACTAGTTTTGTGCAAGTCACGCCGAAAGATTCGAATAACAAGGTCATTGTTTACTGGATTCGAGATATGCCAATAGACCGGTTTGAAAGTAAACAGTTACAGGTCCTATCGCATCTGAGATGTGACTGCACACGGGGTGCTTTTGAAAGACAATTTAACTTCTACATGCCCAACAGAAACCCAATTGAAGCAGTGCCCGGTGAAGGATTCGAAATGTAAGATTCAAAGTCATCGTCGCAAGACCCTCAAGTCGGGTTTTCCAAAGGTATCTACGTGTGACTCTGCCAACACAGACGGCGGTCGTGCACACGTAAAACGAGTCGGTCTCAAGGCGGTCTGAACTCTGCCACGTCGTACAATGGGTATGTAGATACGTGCTATGATGCATGAAGAGATTTTTACTAACTCCGAGTCATGCTCGGCTCTATATTAGGCATGGTGCTTATCGCAATTTGACGTGTCTCGCTCACCAGTGTTAAATATGCGTGGTCACCGAACTTGAAGGGTGCTTGATTCTGCCCATTTTCGATTCCCGTACTCACGATCTCACGTTTTATCTGGCCAGGTGTCCTTACCTTGACAGATCTCATCTCACACGGAAAGACCCGTCAGTTGAAGGATCCTGCTAATAGCCACGAATTTTTCTCCGCTGTCAGTTCTATCATGGACCGGCTGACAGCCGTAGCATGCCTTATGACCGCCCTACACTTGCGTAGGGCCGATGTCTGGTAGCCATCTGGCACTGCAATATACACGGGTGAGCTTCCGCCGATACCGTTGTATTTAAAGGATTCTTGCCGTTGATACGAGCATAGACTCCACCTGCGACTCTGGACATTCTCACTAACCCTTACTTCCTCGTTGCCACCATGTTATCTTACTTGACGTCACTTCATCCAATTTTCAAGGTCCCATTCCTGTTGCTCAACTGTATTTGCGATCAAGTTTCATGCACATCACCTACCCCTCCTCCAGAGGCAAAAACGCGCGAAACTTACGATGCAAATCTCGAAACGAGAGATCCCCCTGGTTTCGTATCATTTTTTGGACCGTTCAGAAAGGTGATTCGAGGATTAGCATCTGCTCATAATTTGACTGACGTGGACATAATATGTAGTCCCTAACGGTCGCAATGAATTTGATTGAGATATACGTGATACTTGTTGGCGTATACCCCAAGATACGTTTTCCGATCTTTGATCCTATCATGCCTAGACCGCCTTCAAATGGAATACGCATCTCTTCATACTTCGTCATTGGCTCTCTCCTCTTTTACCTCGGGACAATCATACGGTTACTGAGTTATCGAGCCATGGGACGGCATTTCACTTTCCACTTGACCATCCTACCCAATCACAAACTCATCACGACGGGCCCATATTCCATTGTCCGCCATCCCAGTTATACGGCTGTCAATATGGTGTTTTTGGCGATGGAGTTGTGTGAACTCGGAAGCGGAAGTTGGTTGAGGGAATCTTTCATGCGTACTTCGAGCGGAGCGTTCTTGGGAATAGCTTGGGGAGTGATGGTGGCATCGCTGGCGGTCATCATATTGAGGAGGATTCCGAAAGAGGATGCGATCCTACGAAAGGAGTTCAAAGGACAGTGGGATAGTTGGGCAGAGAAGACGCCTTACAAGTTAATTCCTTTCATTTATTGATTTCAACTCTTGCGTCCCTCAATTAAAGGGACCTCGCCCGAAGCGTACTTAGGCCAAGCCCCCAGCTCGGAACGTCGGTATAAAGAAAGGAAATCTATGGGTAGATTTATTGGCTATGCTGTACAACTAGCCAAATCGTATACTTGTACATTTAACTAGAGACGTATCAAAGGGAAATAAGACTAAGTCAGACTTGAGAGAAGAACACATAAGTAGTGGCAGATCCACTCCATAAAACCCAACCACAAACATTTCGCCCTTTCCAGTCAGACTGCGACAACAACAACGAGGATAATCGTCCGAGGGGATAGGTGGAGCTCGAAAAGTGTTCCGTTCAGATTTTTTGAACCCAGAGTCATTGATTGAAGGTATAAACAACGAGCGTGCGTGCGAGTGCGAGTAAGGGAAGATACATGCGTGACTTGTGGGGTGTGATATCAATGAAGAGCAACACGAGATGGGTATCATGACTAGTGAGTCAACCGCATTGTTCCAGCAGCGCATGCAGCAAGAACGAACGCGTTGACGTCACAAGAACTGAAAGCGATAGATAGGAAGGATCGAGGATCTTGGGAAGGAGTGGTGTATCCTCGCGGCTCGAGTTCAATATCCAGGAAAACGCGGGAAAGAAAATACGTGATAAGATTCGTGATGATGGACAAGGGTGGAAATAGTGGTCGTTTCGGAGACGTAACCTCTCTCTAAGCGTGGTAAGAGCCCACATTCTGCGGGTTTTGTTGGTACAGCTGATACATGTACGCCTGGTAGACATGAGGGGGAAGAGACTGAGGGGGAGGGACACCATTATACGAAGGCTGGTGGAGTAAGTTGGCCGCTTGCGACAAGCTTGGCGACTGGCTGCCAAACGGCATCTGAGAGGGGCTAGCAGAAGCAGAGGCCAACGGTGCACCTCCGTTTCTGCGACCGTTTCCATTCCTAGGACTGCCCACATCAGGGGACCGTAAAGCGAACGGGTTGAAAGGATCGGTGGAAGGTGAGAAAGCCGATGGAGGGTTCGAAGCGCGGGGACGGTTACCACCAGCCTGCTGTTGACCACTGTAACCCGGATCGATTTGCAGGCGCGGAGGAGCCGCTGCGGCGTTCTGACCACCCATCTGCAACGCAGCCATCATGGACGCGAGCCCCTGGTCGGTGGACGGATATCCGGCTGGCAAACCAGGAACACCGAAGTTGGCCTGGGAAGTGTACTTTGTCTTGGTAGGTTGTGCAATGTTCGTCGTCGAATAGGTGGGCTGCAAGTTGGGAACAGGGAGACCAACCTCCTCAATCAGACGACGGTAGGCTTGAGTTGCAATCACCTTCAGCTCGATCAACACGCGTTTGGTAGCATCAACATAGCGTGGTCGGTCGGCGGGGTCTACGAAGGGGCTGGTCAAGATCTTGTGAACGACAGCCACACCGTTGACTTGATCACCCAAAACATCAGTGAGGACATGGTCACCTGGTGATGAGAACAACGCCTCAATAACCTGCTTGGAAGCCTCAGGTTCCACTTTCTGGTTGACAATCCTCAAAACAGTCAAGGATGCCAACTTGTGAGTGCACAAGTGCGAAAGATGAGGTGTGAACCGTGGAGCCAACAAGCTGTATCTTGAGGGGAAGCTGGAGGTATCCAGCAACCAAGTCAACAACAATGCACCATTCGGGTTGGTCGCCAGAGGAATTGAGTTCAAAATGATTGCAGTGGCGATACGGCGCTGCTGGCTCAGAGTGATGTGAGAACTCTCCAAGCAAGCCCTCATACTACGTGCGCCGAAACGGCCCTGAGCAACCTCCCAAAGACGGTCCGCCATAGCCTCGAACAAAAAGTCGGTGGAAGGAGCACCGAATCGCAGGCAGCACCTTACATGGCATTAGCATTTTGTACAATCTCGTGAATCAGAGAACTTACTGGACGACATAGTTGCCAAACTGGTCCAAAAGTAAAGGAGGGACGTAAGGGCGAATATGCTGAGTGACAAGTGCAATCTCCTCGGGCGTTGAGACACATTCAATAATCTTCTGGGCTGCCCAAGTACCGTTCTTGTGAATACCGATCATAGCAAGATGAGGGGCGATACGTTCAAGCATGGCAAGCCTAGGCCCCGGCGAACACTTCTCGAACAACTTCTGGACAACCTGTGAGAGGGAACGTGAGTATATGCGTCCATAATTCCAAGTCATTGGATGCTTACTGTATTGCCAAGCCAGTCAGAAGCAAGGTCAACAATCTCACCATCAAGGAAATCAGCGGCAATGTTGTCAATCTCTTCGGTAGTGATGGTGGACGCATCGAGCTTCTTGCGCAACTCACGCAGCTTGGAAGCGTCCCAGCGACGATTATGAGTTCGTTCAGACACCAGAGGAATGGTGGTGTAGTACATCGTGGGAGGTCGGAACTCTGTTAAATTATTGAGTATAATGCGACTTCAATAGAACACAAGGACAACTCACCAGCAAGAGCTTGTATATCAGCCTCAGCATCGGGGCTTCCGCCACTGAGTTCCTTCATAATCATCTGCTGCTCCGTGACGGCGGCAGTCCATCCGGGAACCTTGCTCACGTCGAAAGAGTTGTTGTGAAGACCGGAGGCAATCATGTGTAGGAGCAAGTTAGACCTATAGTTCTCCACGTTCCCGCTAAGCACTTGCTGGTCAACTGGAATGGTGGATGCACCCTTGACGTTACGAAGTGCGTGAATAGTCGCACCGACACTAAGATCACCGACGCCCTGAACCGCGACAGGCGTGCTCTCGTCTTGAGCTGCTCCTTCTTGTCCATTCTTGACTGGCACCTTGGCAAATCCAATACGAATGGCGCCGACGTCACTTCCTAGTACATCACGGCCGTTCAAAGCCTTGCGAGCTCTGACAGCATCGTCAAGACGCTCAAAGTTGACTAGATATCGGTCACATAAGCCCATTGTAACAATCGAAGATCCAAACTACTTACTGAAGCCACAATTCTTGTGGGTAAGCACTCGAGCCGACTCAATAGGTCCATAGGGACTAAATACACTTAAAATAGTTGCCGGCGTTGTTGTCGAAGGAATGGAACCAATCCAAAGCGCACGAGTGGGAGTGGATTGCAGTTGAGCATCCATGCCAGCTAAACCAGCATTAGCCGCTCCGCCCTTACCGAGGGGACCACCAGGTGAAGTAGGTCCAGAGCTGTTCAAGTTTGTGCCTTTCGCTGGAGCGACTGGGGCGCTGTCTGCCTTGCCGAATCCGATACGCACGGTCTGGCCATTGGGCATGCCAATGTCACCACCAAGACGGTTGAGCACATCGTCCTTTGCGCGGATGGCATCAGCCTGATCAACGAAATTGACAAAGCCACATTCCTGCGAAAAACAAATTCAGCTATGTGAAATATGAATCCAAACGGTGACCACACCTTCTCCGGAAGCAACCTCAAACTCTCGATGGCACCGTAAGGAGCAAACACATGGATGAGCTGTTCGCTGGTAACGGAGCTGTCAAGATTGCCGATCCACAATGATCTTGTGGGGGTTTGCATTTGCGTTGACGCGTTCTCTGACTTGGGTGAGACGGAACGGTTAGGGCCGTTTCCGGGAGCAGCGAGATATGGTGAAGCCCGACTGCCTCCCAACTCTGAACCAGGAAAATGCACGGTAGGAGATGTGACGCCGCGGTTGTTTGTCAACTTGTCCGACCTCAGAATTCCATTAGCGCCTAAACCGATGGACAGATCACTCGCATATGGTCCCTGAGGAACCTCGGTAAGACGTCTGTGAAGAGCACGAGCGGGGTCGTCGAGGTTGCCAACGGATATGGCGCGAGGTCTGGAACCAAGACCACCCACCGACAGGTGGTCACCGTGCTTGAATCCTTTCGCGACGTAGCCAGCAGACAAGTAGTTCCCACCGGAACCAGTATCGTCATAAGAGTCCATGCCCTGGCCGCCATAGATATCGTTATTGTATAGTTCTTCCTCTTCTTCGGCATTAGGCGTAGCGAGCAATGACCCTGCCGCAGATGATCCGAGACGGTAGGGGTGGGAGACGGTGCTAGCTCGCGAGCGCAGAGGATGGTTAGCCAAGTTACCCGCGATCGCTGCCTGAGCTTGGTTGCGCAGCTCAGTAATAGTAGCCGCAGGAGGGTGGCGAAGCGTTTCGTCCAAACCGAGGTAATCCAGGGTGTGAACATCAAAGTCATCAGCACCCGAATCGACTGAAGCAACTGAATGAAGGTCATCCAACACTGGCAAGCCACCATTGTTCCTGGAGGACAGCCAAGAAGAAGAGAAGATGGAAGGGCCGAATGCATTGGATAATCCGCCAGTAGGGAGCGTCAATGAACCAGAGCGAAGACGACTGTTTCTCTCGGTCAAAGCTGAAGAGGCCACCGTGGAAGCGACAGAGGTCGAATGACGTAAAACGGGTCTGACCGTCGTGGCAGGACTAGGAGTAGGTGCAATAAGAGACTGTCGTTGCACCTGGTCGAAATTGTCGGCAGGGCTGCCTAAATTGCTTGAAGCTGCCGCAAATCGCTGAGCAGCGAGCTGAACGTTGGAGGGTAAGGTCCCTGCCCTCGCCCTCCTAAATCCCGCCGGATAGTTGGTAGGAGGCAAGGAGGCATTATCCCCTGCGGTAGTAGTCGAGGGGGGATGTTCGTTAGGTGGGGATCCGCCTGTAGCCAAAGCGCGCAGCGCAGGTGGCCGGTATCGGGCTCCAATCCGCTCCTCTGCTTCCAACTCTCTAGCCCTGAAGAAAAATCAGTACAATCGAACGCGACGCCTAAAGCAAACGTACCGCTTGGCATAGGCAGCAGATGGCGCAGGAGGAGGGGTCTTGCCAGATGAGACTCTGGAAAAGGAGCCGGTGTTGTCGGAGGCCGAAAGAGACATTATAGCCTTTGTACTGGAGGGTCAGGATTATGAATTACTGAATGTTGGGATAGCGAAGTGCCGAAGTAAGTGCAAAAGCAAGAAGTATCCGAACGATACGGCGAAGACCCTGGAGAGCCGGAGTCCAAAGCTTGAGGGTAACTATGAGCAGGTCGTAATATGGCGAGTTTTCTGCAAGGAAAGCAAAATTTTGAGGGCGAAGATAGAGAAGATTGCCCCGAACTACTACAGTAGGGTGGACTCCAGTAAATAGTAGGCTAATAGGGTGAATGGTGGATGGGAGCAAGGACCGTCAGCAACCCAGCTCGACCACTTCGGAGACTGCCACCACCCATGCAAACCACGCCAAACACGATTTTTCCTGTGACCGCCCGTGACTGCCCCCAAGCCTGCCCCTCGCACGGGTCACAGCCTGTCACACCTCCCACGGCTGTTCTGATGGGGAGCTGCCTCCTCTTCGTTTGTGTAAATAGCGTTCGATAGAGACAGTCTGGAACATCGCATTATGCATCCAGGTGCTCTCAATGGCCTCCCCCATGTGCCAGCCAGCGGAGCATGGAGACTCCCGTCACACAGGCATACTAGAATGGATGCTATTGTTTTGAGTCTGTACATAATACATACGGCAATACCTAGGGCAATACGATACTTGGAACTATACGGCTGAGTGGGGCTATTCGCAGTACGCCACCGCTCATCCAGTCAACATGCACGACTAGAGCTGAACGGCGTGGGAGCAGGGGTATGTGTAACATCGGCGGAGATCACCACCTAGTGACCTATCAAGAAGAACGAAAGAGAAATGATGATCTGCTCGAGTCATCAAGGGCAGCCCCAATATGAACAAAGCGAGGCGAACGAAACAAGGCGAGACAAGAGAGGCAGTGGAAGTCATCGCGGATAATGGATACATGATCTATACTCGAGCTAATTTTGATAGCGAAACAGGAAGAAAGTCAATAAGTCATCTTGAAACATCAAAAAAAAATCAACCAGTGGACCAGAAACCCAAGGGAAGAAAGGACCGTTTAGGAGAGTGAGCTCCCGGAATCTCGTTTGCTGGAACGCGTTTGTGAACGGGTCGCAGCCGCATTCGCCACCCTCTTCGATCGTCGAAGAGGCCGGTCTCGACGCACAGTCTCCCTGGAGACAGACTCTATTGTTGCAGGATCATTGCTCTCTGCATTCCGATCACCTGCAGACATACTAGCCACAGATGTTGACGATTCCCATTCCGGTGCTGAACACAACGAACGGAAGATCTCCTCTTCCGTTGGACTTAGGGGTGTCTCTACCACAAACTCATCCTCAGGAGACGGCAATGGCGGTGGTCGAGCGGCAGCGGCAAGCGCGAAAGGTGGATGCACGGACAACAGATGATCTTCGACATCCCACGGTGAAATTCCACCACGTTCCCAGGGCGTTGCGAGATCTCTCGATGGCAACTCCAACTTGAATGAGGAGTTGGATTCACGCTTTGCTTCGATGGTGGAGCGGAAGGGTGGTCCAAAATAACCCAACGATCGACCCTGCGTATTCGAGCGGTAAAAGTCTCGCAGAGCAGGAGGGAACCTCTCGTTCAGTTGATCAGAGAGAAAAACGTTGACCAACGGTTGGTCACCGATCATCTCCCGTGCTGATGGCGCAGGAACCCATGTTCCGCATATCAAAGAGTTTCCTTGACAGACTGTAACAGCGTTCGGTGTGTCCAACGGTGGGTGTGGGAGACCAAGAAAATCGTAGATTGGAGATATGTTGACAAAGTCTGTATCAATGCGGCGCAGAATCATGAATGATCCAAGCGTCATCTGGTAGACAGATACACCTATGATAAAACAATGACCTAAGTACAGCTTCTTGGCACTAATAGATGCTTGACTCACCTTCGAATTCAGTCGCACATATTGCCGGTACACACGGCTGGCATGTGTGAACAACGACTGCTTCCTCGGAGTCAGACTCAATAGAGTAGTCGACTTCATGTTTGGAGGCCTGAACGGGAGGCAAGTGAGGTTTCGGTTTGGAACCCGGCGAAGAAGTGGCATATGACGGTGGGGCAGACGATGGCAAAGTTGTGCTACAGGAAGGCTCTGAAAGAAGATGCTCCTGATCAACAGTGGTCGTGAAATCGTTACATTCGGATGAAGGCGTAGGAACTGGAACCGGATGTTTCAATTCAGTACTTGATTCATCGCGAGGTGTACTCGAGCTATGCCACGCTCCCTCCTCGAGGTCATGAGGTTTGACGCTATCGGGACCAAGGATCTCAGCGTCTTGCCACAAACACCCGCTAGGTCGAGGTGACTCGATTGGATTCTCCGAAGTGTAATCGCGAGGGCTGCTAGCAGTAGAACAACTTGGGGAAGGTGACAACGGTGACTGACAGATATTCTCAATTGGGCCCAAAGACTCAAAGGGCAGCGTAGAATCATCCTCTTCCTGCTTGATAGTCAAAAACTCGTCTCCGCCTAATGTATCTGAGAAGGCGCCAGACTGTGCATGACCAAAGTCTTCCCAATTCCATGACTCAACGGGTTCCAACTTTACCTGCTGGATGGAAGTGTCGATGCCAGCGGCAGCTTGTGCAACAACATCAAGTACTTTCATGTCCGTTGCGGTAATGTCGAAGTCATCCCATGCTTCCAGAAGGCTTCGCACGTCGCGTGGCTCCCGCTTGACAGTTACTTCCTCCTCAACGAATTGGACAGAGGGTGATCGGGGGCCAGGGCTCTCACCCCATTGAGTATCTGTCTCGTCTAGTTCTCCCAAGTGATCACTCTGCCAGTCCATATCATCTTCGTCATATGAATCCGAAACAATGTGATAACTTCCTGTCATGCTGATATGGAAGTCATCCTCCTCATCTTCGGAATCAGGAGGCGGAGATGCGGACCAATCGCTGGAAGGTGGGGAAGAAGGCTGAGAAGATGCTGAAGCGTGCCCAGATAGGCCCACTTCTGCGGAGGGTGATACAGGGCTGTCGTTCGCCGGCGATGCATGGAACGAGGTAAGCGACTGCGACCAAGGGCTCCCACCGACATCTTCTTCATCCTCGCTGTCCGATGAGTCTACAGAAATGGACTCGCTCTCCGAGTCAGTGTCCGAATCATCATCCTGAGAAAGATCTATGATTTCAGGAGACTGGGCGGCGCTAGAAGACAACGTTTGAGATTCGGGCGAACCGGATGATCTGCAAGGTGCCGAAGAAGGTTTAAGCCGCAACGTTAATTTCACCTTCGGAGGCCTCTTTTCTTCGTCGCTGGAATCTGAGTCTGCCCCCTTATCGGCACACGCTCTGGGCAGTCGTTTGCGTTTCTGACCGCATTGTTGTGCACGACGCAACCGATCCCGTTCGCGTTTGCGCTCTTTCCCCGGGTTAGACGCACTGCCGACCTTGCCACTCTCGGTATAGTCAGACAGTTGGATGCCAGCCCGTGTGAACGGGCATGGTGCTCCTGCTGCTTTGCTTAAATACCAGACCATGGTACCCCTTCTGAAGTTAGTAATACGACCTTCAGTAGTGTTGAGTGTGCAATGAGCGCCACCAACGCGTGAATGAAGAGCAGGGGCTAAGTCGTCATCAGAAGGAGTACCAGATAAAGTGTGGCGAAGAAGCAAAGGATGATCTTGTTGGGTTTCACATCGTTGCAGATGATTGCGAATGTAAGTGGTGATTGCCTGACCTGCTGCAGATACACTAAATATGGAGTCATTATATGTCACGAAGCAAGTGGACAAAAACACTCACTTCTGACACATGAGACCGAATTTCATTGTCATCTCCGCGAGATCTTTGATGGTCATAGCACAATTGTTCTACGCAGCAATATGAATAACTCGTGACAAAGACTTAGGCACACTGCGACGTACCACAGACATGAAAGATCTCCCGATAGCAAGAAATACTTTGCTGTTCGAATCTTCTGAATGCAACACCACATGTGGTGGGGGAAAGGGGGGCAATGCTGCTTGAAGAGGTTCTCGGGCAGAAAGCCCTGCTTTAACCTTGGAGGGTACAGGCCGGATCCTACGAGGAGCTGCGGGAAGCCCAGGAGACTGACGGAGACGAGCGGAAGGCCTTAGAACAGAGTTGGAACGGATACGAGTGCCATAGTTGTGCTGAACAGGTGCTTGATTTGAATGTTGAGAAGGTGCAACAGTGGCGGCGACGGTAGCCATGTGTTGTTGCTCATTAATTCGGGCGTATTGTGCAAGATGGGGCGTCGTCCAGCGAGAGGAAACTGCGATAGGCGAAAGGAATTATGAGAAATGGAAGGGACGGGGAGGGAAGGAGCAAGGGAGCAAGCAGGGGAAAGGGAGGCAAAGTTGGAGGTTAGGGAGAAAGAAGGGGAAGAGCACGCGCGCATGTGCCACACTCAAGACGCGGCTCCTTCCAAACTGTAACCGTGCGGGCGTCTACCGAGGCGTGCCTAAATTGACCTAGCCTGATGGCCGCAGTCCCGATCGCCATGACGCAACATAAAACGCGCCCGACTACGCCCGCCACGCCCGCCCCCTGTCACCCTCACCCTCACTGTTAACAACAACGACCAAGGAGGCATGCGCGATGTGGACAACGGGGACGGAACACGCAGGAGGAACGGATGGCAGAGCGTGGGTTCGATCACTACGAACCCACCCTGCCATCAATCCCAGCGCATCTCCGCCACTCACCCTGATTAGGTAGTTTTCCGGCAAGCGGCGTGTCATCCCAAGTGGCGTTTGCCCCAGACCGTACTCACCAGTAGTCTATCTTCGCTTACGAAGCACCAGAGAGCGAGAGAATAGGGAGGACCGGACGCAGCGGTTGAAGAGAGACCGTGTGCAAAAGAATACGGAGGCTTTTACCTTTCGAAGTCCGCATGGAAACTTATCTCTGGAATCATAGCATCCATCACGTGTGGAACCCCATAACATTCCTTGACCTTCCTTGGAAGTTGGATAAGTGATGTTGAACTTTATGGACACCTCACGCCGCACACGTCAACAGCCGCCTCAAGGTATATGAGTTGCCTCGTCTGCAATGAGAAAAAAAAGTGTAAGACGTACCGATATTTTTGCAATATAAATAAGCTGCGGGCAAGCCGGCCCCATATTGTAGCTCAACCCTGTCACCGCTCGTCGTCCTTCGATATTTGTTTTCGTGCTGTCCATCTTCGGACAGCCCGGACTGCGCTGAGGATACGTTAGATAAGAATACAAACTGGCGATAGGATTACCCACTTACCCGTCCCGGCTGTTTCGTTATATTCACGATGCATAGATACACTACGCCCTCGACGTGAAGCAGGACACAGACTGAATGACTCCTTTTGGAGTTCGGAAAGACTAGGAAGACGAGGACATACCCTTAGTTTGTCATCCCCGGATGCAAGCCACTGAAAACAAAGAAGTGATCGATCTGCTCGGTACCGCAGGAGCACCAAGTCAACCGCTGACTGCATAGTAAACAAACCGCGGACTCGCCGCGTATGCGATCGCAACCACCGATCAGAGCTAGCGATACACGGTACGGACTTCAGCGCAGGAGCGGCCGCATTTGACTGGGCGTCACCCTTGCATGTGAGCGAAACCACCGGCGAACCGTGCTCGCAAATTTGTTTCGCTCAATGCAAGGGTATACTGCTGCGAATCAAGAGGCAGTGGTTGAGCTCAGAGTCGTCGCATATAACAAAGACGGACATACCATAGCGAAGAGTTGCCAAATATTCAAAGGCGGCAATAGCAATCCTAATATGCATAGATCCAGTGTAATCGTCACCAGGACGCGATCAGCGTTATAGGACAGTCTGCATGCCGTAGTACTATGCGGCGGGGGTGACCATGGACATGTGTTTGTCGCGCAGTAAACCAGCGCAACTATGTCCACAACATGTTATTCGCCACAAAACACAAGACCGCCACTTGATCCTCGCCAGTCTGAATCGCAATATGCTACCTTCCATCCTTAGACAATACAAAGCGACGAACATACTGGTGTGGTCGGTCAGGTAACATCGACCATCTCAGTAATGTCATCGCAGCCAACTACACAAACCCCCCCTTCCCCCGGGGGAACCTGGGTGTAGCAACTATCTTTAACACAGTCATTGGGGGGGGGGAAAGAAGGAACATTGTTGGAGGATGAACTGACCAGGATGCGATCGCACCCATCGACGGACAGTGTAATGAGCGTGCAACATCGCCACGCTCCCCTCGACACACAGTTTAACGAGTTTCGATAAATACGAACACTGTACTAGGGCAAGAAAAGGGACTTACCATCGTCAAATCAAGAGCATCTTGCAGCGGCTTCGTTGATGAGGCTCGAGATGGCTCAGTAAGGACGGCTCACTGGTAGTCAAAACACAACTTAGAATTGCCATGTACGAGCAATACGGCATGGAAACAGCGAACGCAGTCATAAAGTCTCATATGGCAACAGAATGCAAGCCGAGTCAGTTGTCGTGGCCGTTGATGGTGGTGGTGGTCGAGCAACATGCAGGCTGAGGCAAAGTCGCAAGCGATTGGTCCAAGTATGGATCACATGCTCTCCCTTCTACATGCTCTCCCTCCTACATGCTCTCCCTCCTACTCCTACTCCTTCCTGCATACCAGACATGCCACTGCTACTTGACTCGAGAAATTTCATTCCACCATGGTGTACATGCTGGGCCCGCCTGTTATAGCCATAAGCAACGTACTTCATCGTGAACATATTCCTGTTATCCTTTGGGGAGAACTCGCAATGAAGCAATATAACATCCCAACTGGGATCATTGTTAGTGTATCTCAGATTTCATAGCTGCGTCTAGTGGGCCGCTTTACTGTCTGACAGCTCTTCGACGTTCTGGTTCCAGATGATATGCTCACTCGTGCAGCCTCAGCATTCGAGGCTGAAGGTTGGAAAACCTCTACGGGACCTCTCCCTCGTGCGTTTGCTGGTTTTTGGCGGTCGGGATGGGACGTGGTTGGAAAGGCATGCCGCCGATACCATTTCCCACCCGCCATCCTACCTGGTGAAGACATCATACTCCTTATTCTTCCGACCTCTTTCGTTGGCCTTGGTCCAAACCCACTCCTAGACTCCGAGGAATATACACAGATTGAATCGTTCGGGCGTAACGAGTACCTGCCCAACGTGTATCTACCCTCCAGTCATCTCATGGCAAAAACAATTGCGCGTACTCATATCCGCCACGCCATTAAAGGCAACAGTTTATCCACACTGCTACGTGCGTAGGCCTCGTATTTCTACCTCTATTGCGACTTCCATGCGGGGTCATTGGACGACGCCGAACAAGACGTTCAAGATTTCTGGCGTTCTATATCAATGGCGAAATGGCGGGTTAAGGATCCAACATTTTCCGATAATCAGTTGGAGCGCAACGAAGAGAGATATGGTTAACACTGTGGTTTCACTGCCCAATGACTGCTGATTTGCATCAGTTCAGTAATTGACTCATGAAAACCGATCCTAAAGAAGGGATCGGAACGCCAACCTCGATGCATTTAGTCGACACAGCGTTCACAAGGAAAAAGGACCACCTCCAAGACCTGCGAGCAAGGCAAATCATCAAATTGTACAGTACGATAGATAGAAATACATCTTATGGACCAACAACACAAGCGGAGAATAAGTAAACTAGTAGACGGAAGCAGAAACCTCGAGAAACCCAGACAAGTCCGAAAGGCACGTAAGGAAAGAAACTCAAGCATCGGTATCTGCATCTGCAGCAACAGCCTAAGAATCATGGCTATCAGTCACTGAACAGTAAATAGTCGTAGAGAACTCTTACCTTCTTCGAGGCTGGCTTCGGCTTTGGCGCTGCCTTAGCCTTAGTGGCCTTGGTCTTTGCAGCTTTGGTCACGGCAGCCTTTGCAGCAGTCTGAAATGAACGCAGTCAGTCTCCGAGACTCGGCATAGCAGTGTAGTAGACGTACCTTCTTCTTCTCGGTCTTAGCAGATGTAGTCTTCTTCGGTTTGGCCTCTGCCTTCGGCTTGGAGGGGGCCTTCTTCTTCGGAGCAGCCTCAGATTTCTTGGGGGCCGGCTTTGCAGCAGCCTTAGAGACTGGCTTCTTCTTCGGGACAGGAACCTCTTCCTTAGCTGACTTCTTGACTTCCTCTTCAGGATAGGCATTCTAGACAACAAGTCAGAATTTCGAGCATAAACGACTAGCGAAGTAAAGTAAGCCTACCTCCTTAGATGTCAAAGGTTTGTTCTTAGGTGCAAGCTTCACTTTGCCAGAGGGTCCCTTGGGCAAGGCGAAAATGCCTTCTTCCTCACCCTTGGCGATAGCACGACGGAGCTGAGACAATTGTTGTCCAGTCATCTCAATATTGTATGTCTCCTCGGCGAACTAGACAACGCCATTATGTCAATACCATATCCCAAAATATATGAAAGAGCTGCAACATACCTTCTTAATAGTGGGACGGGACACTCCTGATCGAGATTCCTTAGAATGTGCAGCGATGCATTCCTATACAACAATGTAAGTGTAAGCCACAGTATAGGAAGATGCAACTGACCTTGATGATCTCTTTCCAAGAAGGATGACCAGGTGGGTTAGCCTCGTCTTTAGAAGTAGAGGCAGCGAGCTTGGACTTGGAGGCGGCTGCCTTCTTCGTAGGAGTCTTAGCCTTCGTGGTGGTTTTGGCCTTTGAGGCCTTGGTAATGGTCGCTGCAGCAGCCATTTGTTGTTTATGGATAGCAGGAATGCAGTACAGAAAGATGGGCGAATGAATAGCAGACAGTGGCAGTGGGGAAAAGTTGGTCTTAGGTGAGGCAACGGGTCTTTATATAGGAGACCCTAGGCTCCGACGCGACCAGCTGCACGTGCGCGACGCGACGCGTTTGTTGATCGACGTCACGGTCACGGGTCCGTGCGTTGGGATAAGCGAGCCGCCGGGATGTTTCGAGTTCGAGGTACTCCGGCTCAGCTAGTTCATTTTGTATCCGCTTCGTCCAAGCATCCTCTAAGCATTCTCACAACTTTCGAGTGGTAAGAAATGATCACTCATCATTTATTCCGGGGGATCCAAAGTCTCGCAGAATAAATACACCTTCCTCTACCCGCTGCTCAAGAACGGTCAACTTCTCTCTCTTCTTCTCCCATTGTGCAAGGACCTCTCGTTCGTTTCTCGTTAGCAGCCTCTCCTCATCTTGCATAACATCTGTTCGCTGGCGTTTCTCCAGAACAGCCTTGACGACAGGTTCCTCCTCTTCCGCTTGTCGTCGTGAGCCAATGTTGTGGAGCGTCTTGTAGAGTGTACCCACTAATACCGTGTACGTTTTGTGCAGGTCGACATGCCTTAAGTTACACGTCAGAGGGTGTTGCTATCTTTGCACAACTCGACAAACTTACCATAGATAGAATGTGCGCGCAGGGTTCCTATCTGCACTCTTGGGGACCTCTTGGATGCTGATCAAGGACTCAGCCGATAGAGCGCCAAGAAGTGGTCGCGACTCCTTAGGCGACATCATTCCGATTTTCGATATCTACATAGCCCGGTCAGACCAGCTTGAATGATTATTGCGAACTTGCGTACCTGCTTCTCGTCCATTTTTCCTGTCTGTAGTAGTAGTCTAATGATTCGAACAGCAGCGTCGCCGTGGCGTTCTCGCGCAACAGCCTCCAAAACACGTCTCTTCAGCCTTCTACCGATAATGTCGAACTCCACCTGGACTTTAGACCCGTTCAGCGAGATGAAGGATGCGGCCTGACCGGCAGGTGTGGGGTTGTCTGCTGAAGCTAAGATACCACAATAGTCCTTTAGCAGAGTCATCTCCGACGGTTTCTTCGAAGGTGGTAGGACAAAGCCTTCTGCTAAATCCTCTTCATCGGATAGATGAGTTGCCACATCTCCTAAAGATGTAGGATCTACAACCAAGGTGATTAGATTTGAGTATATGTCGGGAGAAACAATGTACCTGAACGAACGTCGGCCAAATGCAGCTGTTTGGGTTCTGTTGCTTTCAGGATGGCTCGAATAACCGTACCCGCTTGGTGGTTGAATCGTTCTTTTGCAGCTTCCTCGATGATCTGGCACAAAGTAAATCCGTGACACTTCTGAAGCTAATAAAACTACCTGCCTGGTTGCGAATAAGGATATTGAATTTTTCACAGTTAACACGGAAGTAAACATCATCCTGAATAGGTCTGAGCGTTATTTGGAGGGCCAAAGGCGGCATCAACTTACGTCGACAACGTCTTCATCCAAGGCTTTGCGCTGCATACTGGTTTTAGTATCAGAGTATAGCGAGACTGCGAGAGCAGCGATACCTTTGATGACTTCCCAGCAAGCTGATCTTTGGCTTTGCGTTTCTATTTAGATCGTGAATATCCACCAAACAAATGCAACATCTTTGGTCAACTTACCATGCCCACTTTCTCCGCCTCTTCCTCTTCCCGTTTTAGCCTCACTTCCGCTATTTCCTTCGCTTCACGCACTTGTTTGGCGGTGGGGAATCCGGATATCCTCGCCTTTTCTTCAGTCTCGTACCTGATTCGCTTGTCCCGAGGGGATATATGGGAGAGAATGGTGGAAGGTTTCAGGTAATGCGTTTCTACTAGCTTGTGAAGAGCTTGAGAATACAGGGTAGGACCTACCCACAAGTTGGTAAAGATTTAGTATAACAAACGGCAGAATAGCGGGGCTCCACTGACCTTTGACAGGATCATGCTGTGAGAGATACGAAAGAATCTCCGGTGGTCGTAGCTTGCCATTGTCTAATATCAGTTGAACAACTTCTGCAGCCTGCAAGCAAGAGTGTGAATTACCCTCACGCAAGTATTTCCATGGAGATCCGCACCGCCTTCCCAAAATGCTGCTCAGCAAACCAGACGTATTTCCCATACCTCATCCGCATGAGACACTCCTCGACATTAACTTCCACAACTTCCCCGTCAATGTCTGTCTCAGCATGCCAGAGAAGGTTATGCTGAACAAGAACAATGATTGCACCACGAACACTTCGAGGCCTTAATTTGGAGAAGCGAATAATTTGAGAAAGAGGGAGTCGTCCGCGAGTGAGAAGCACAGAAGCAACAGTCTAAAAACGTACAATGAGACAGTGTGAGTAGGGCGCAGAACCATAAAGTTCATGTTGCTCACGCCTGTAAGGGGCCCAAAATCAGTGCGAATTATCCTCTCGCAGAGGGAAGCAGTATTAATGTCGGTCATGAGCAGAGAATCATAGGCATTTATAGCAGTATGAGGATTCCAGATAATTTGAGAAAAGTAGGGTGAGTTCGGGGCCAGGTGCAACAGAGATCCTACAAGTTTAGTGGGCAAGCGCGAGGCTATTCCGTAGCCGTCGTGGAGTCTATCTAGTAGTGTTGATTGTGACTTGGCGAAGCAAGCGATAAAGATGGAACAATCTGAAGTGAGATCGGGGCAGCGCTGAGGATGCAGTAATTTTGGATGTTTTCGATCTCTTTCCGACTCATGCAATGGGCGGCTACGACATGCCTGAGACGAGAATGGTAAGTGTCGTAGTTAAGCCGTTCACCAGTCGTAGCCAATCATATAAGAACGTTTGCGGGGTCCAATAACTGCTGGGTTTCAAGGCAGGTTGTGCAAAAATGTACACATTAGACTTTCCCGGGTATAATACACATAGACTACAGGCGTCTTCCGGTGCAACAAGGTGTAACCAATAAGGTTAAGAGAATAAGTTCCACCACTACCATCTCGGCGTGCCCTCTCTGTCCCTCAACCAAGTCGGTATCTGATCCAAACATCCCCACATGCCCGATCGCTGGAAATGTTAGCGGAGAATTGAACCAGCAGATAATGAGATGAACAGTAAGCTGTAAGTGAGTTAGCAATTTGCACAGAGAAAATACTTAGCCACTTGAACCCCGTCACGGTTGCTTGGCAAACCGTAGCGAACGCGCCATACTTTGCTAGATGAATTGATCAGGACCACTGGGACAAGAAAGAAAGCCCTCGCTTCGTCCGTCTTAAACTAGCCTCGCGCGAAAGGCAGATACCAAGAAAATGAGACCGCAGTTTGGTGTCGACTTAGAGGGGGACTGAAAGTAATGCAAGGGCGGGGGATAGCGAATCACGCCGACCTCAGCCTCTTGGTATCTGTAAAACGTGTCAGATAAAATAAGCGTGATATAGAAGGAGATGACAGACCAGGTAGACTTAAAGACGGATCATCTTCGCCATCGTAATCTTCGAAGTCGGGTTCTACAAGATCGTAGGACCTCTTAGAAACCCGGCTGGCAAGCGTGTCGGTACTTTTCTTGGGCGTCAGTTCATGTTGTACTAAATGGGAACCTTCATGGTTGTTCTCATCCGCCCATGCCTCTTCCACCAGAGGTTCTGATACAGGCTTCTGGAACTCTGAATCCCGCTCAGCAGTTTCGGCTTGAGTTACAGCGGTGTCTGTAACAAGAATATGAACAACGCGTTCGGGAATGCAAGGCACCGAAGCAACGTACCTTCTGAAGTAACCACACCTTCGAATGTCTCATCTTTCTCAAGAACGGCGATTGTCGATTCCTGTAACGGTATTGATGTGTCTTCATATCCAGATTCTACAAACAACTATGAGTTCACGAACATGTGGCCCAAGGTTCAACGTACCTGTGTCTTTCCTAGGCTCTGCAGTGTCAGCAGTTTCGTTGGTAGCATACTCAAATATTTCGCCAGATTCTGAAACAATGAGAACTATGAGCCGGGGTGTGTCAGTCACCAAGACAGGAAGATTTACCTAGTTCTCCATGATCTCGCTCATCGCCTTCTTCACCATGTTCACTGATTTCAGCAGCAAACCCGGTGGTGCTTTCAGCACCCTCTGGCTGGGCTGCTTCGTCAAGGTGTTCGGCAGTGGTGTCAAGATCTACATTCGTTGGTGTCTCTTCTTCCCTCTCTTCGACGCGTGATTCGTGCGATACATCACCAATCTCAGTGCCCTCAGTCGTATCATCTGCCACGGCGCCATCATATTCGGCGTTTTCATCAAACTCGGGATAGGTACCTTGTTCTGTGTCTTCTCGATTAGTCTCGCCCTCGTTGTCGACTTCTTCTTGTTCGTCAAGTCGCTCGAGAGCGACAGCGACACCATTGTCGATGTCGTATTCCTGTCTGTCCTCCTCTGGGGCTTGGTATTCTTGAGACTCAAGGTCGACTTGGGGTTCCCCAGGTTGTGCGTTTTCGGTATATTCTTCGCTGCTTGGGGTCTCGGCGGGTAACGCTCGGGCTTGTGCATCCGTTGGAGATATGGGTCTTTGTTCTGAGTAAAACCAGATCATCTTAGCCATCTTAGAACGCAACCGAGCGGAAGATGGCATACCTTCAAGCAACTGCTCCTCCGCAATGGCGGGAAGTTCACTATACAAGTCTTCTTGCTCTACTTCGCCGATTGCCAAACGATCAATCTGATCTCGCAAAGTATGGAAGCGAGTGATGAACCGAGGGGACCTGGGATAGAGACGTAAACGGAGAGGACCAGACAAGTGAGCGTCATCGTGCAATATGTTCAGTTCGTGTAAAGTAACTTCGTGCATGTACATGTTATCCTGAAAACAAAAAAATTAACATCGGCCTACCTCGCCAGACAGTGGCATAACGTACCTCAGAAGCAACGAGTTGAAGATCATATGCGTCTAGAACTAACTCGCCTTCGGAAAGCTCAGGAATACTGTTTACCACTTCGTCTGCACGAAGAGCAGCGAAGACGTCGCTCAAGGGCTCATAATAAAGCGTAGGCCGGTCATGCAACAAAAGGGTAAACGTCTGATGCAACTCCACAGGAGCTTCCGCCGTCGGTGTTTGTGAGCCAGAGCCAGGCGTAGGCTGATTGAAGAGACATAGTTCGAGTCGTTCCGTTGCGTAGGACACCTCAAGCAACACTGCGGGTGGCGGGTCGATGTAGACACCCGCGGAAATTTCATGGGGATCGCCACTGCTAGCGACTTCCTGAGTCTCCTCATAATCCTCATACGCATACTCTTGTTGTTCTGAGTCCACCTGCTCAACTGCAAGAGTAGTGGGCTCCGCAGTGGAATCGGCAGCATCAGAGTTCGCCACGCTGTCTTCTTTCTGTACATGGCCAGCGACGGTGGTCGTGGACTCGGCTTCTTGAGCAAAACGTTCAATATCGGAAACCGGAGGTGCCTCTAAACCAGTAGTCGCTTCTCCTTCAGTATTGCCAGAGACAACTTCTTGAGGTGGAGCTTCCGCCTCATGTGAAGGCGCTGCATCAGCCGCATCTCCAGAAAGCTCTGGTGCAGGGAAGACCGGTGAAATCGCAGATGTCGATTCTTGTGGCTCAGATGAAGCAGAGTAGATTGCCTGTACTGCAACAGGCTCTGACTCGACGTAAACTTCATGGACGGTGTGATTGGTCAGAGACCAGTCATTTTCGACAGGCGGGGCCGATAGTTCTGCCTGAGGAATGGAGGGTGAAGGCAAAGCGCTATGCATCATCGATGGAGGATCCAAGAAGAGACTTGGCTCAGCCGAAAGTGCAACTGTGGTATCGAAGCCTGGCATGGATGGAGAAGCCGCTTGATGTTCATCGGTGAACTCGATGTCTGGGAGATCCTGATCGCCATCCTGAGGAACACCATCTTGGTAGTCAGTCATTTCATACTCTTGTACATATCCTTCATTTGTCTCCATCTCTATTTCAACGGGTTCCGACTGGGACTGTGAGTTCGAGCTGTCGTCGTCCATGGTATCTTCGACGGAGGTCCACGTCGTGTCGGCCATAATACTTCCAGTGAACATCGGGATATCGGTGTCTCCTTGAAAGTCATGCATATGCGAATCGTAAGGTTCCAGGATAGTTGCTGTCGATGTAGACATTTTACATGGAAAAGTAGAGTGGTGAGCTCAATAAGCTCGAGGATTCGTGGTTTCTCGACAGCGGGGGTTGTTGGTGGAAAGCAAAATGCAAGAGACGCTGGGTTGCGGCCTTGGTCCGTCCGCCGGAGCTTGCCGACACCTCCCAGGAATCGTTTGCTTGATTGCGCCTAGAAGCACTCTGTGGTGTGTAAACTACTGATAGCAAAAGTTATATTTTACAGAGGCGACAAGGAAGAGAACTGAGGTAGTGATAATTCTACATTACAGACATGCACCACAACAGTAATTGTCCCAATAACCTATCAGAAACGGCGAAATCTAGAGGTTTGCATGGATGGTTAACTTGACTACTTGGCCTGAATAGCAACTTTGAATGTGCCGTTACTGAGCACACGAGCACGTTCACCTGTCTCCACCCAACCCCGGTCCTCCTCGGGAATATTCTCCTCACCTTGCTCAACATGGAGAAGTTTGCCAACACTGGGTCCACGTACAAACAGAGCACCGATTGGATCAGCACCATCCTCCACAGCAACATCGTCCACGCCAAGAAGCTTTGCCTCGACGTTGATGCTAGGAGGTCCGACAGGTGCTTGATAAGCGAAAGCAAAGTTGTCTGCTGCAGATGAACCGGATGTAGCTGGTGTAGTGGGAAAGGTCTGGAGATCGAGGGGATGGGACGCAAGCACAGGTCCTGCAACTGCTGGATGAATATGTGAATTCACGAGGGGTACGGAAAGGGCGATTCGAGCCGGAGTGAGAGCCTGGGCTTCCAAGGGTGCTGTAACACAAATCAGTGAAAGTATACTCAGAGTCAGCAAAGGACACGCATACCTCCGGCCACAATCACCCCTCTGACAGTTCCAGCACCTTTTCCCATTATTTTTGCCCTGGCATCGTCAAAGACAAGCCTGTCCCACAAACTTTGTTTCGTGAGGAAGCCATCGACAATGCCAGCAAACTTGTGACGCCAGGCCAGAGTGTGGAAGAAGAAGGACGACCGTCTAGCCTCATCAAGAATTGCTGAAGACAAAGACGTCAAGTGGGAGGGCTTTGCGAAAAGCAAAGTTGGAGACGGAATAGGGTACGATTCCACGGATTTCAGATCAGCAAGATCGAAGGAGGTGGCTGCATATGCTTTGTCAGACCAAACCTCCTGAAACTTGGTGGACAACTCACTTTCAGCTGCGGTGAAGAATTGGGAACTTTTTAGAGTGGCGAAGTTGGTCCCTTCGAAAACCGCAGTGTACGCAACAGCGCGTCCAAAAGCAGTTGACAAGGAGTGAGCTGACACTATTGTATCGAGGGGTGAAATCGCTCCAGACAAAGGCAGGAGCGCGCGAGTACTGGTGACGCCAGCGGTAAGGTTCTCGTGCGTGAGCGAAGTGCCACGAAGTTGTCCATCAGGTGTAGCGAAAAATGATACAGTGAAAACGTCTTGAGGTTCTGCGAAGTTTTCAATCATGAGACAAATTAAATTACTCTCTCATGAAATATGCCTTACTAGGAGTAGCAGGAGTGAGCTGGTCGGCCTGAGCACCTTGACGTTCAATATCTTCCCACTTCAACAACCTGATGGCGCCCAGGTGCTTGTCGAGATCTGTGTTTCCGACCACAATAATAGTGTGATGTACACCATCATTTGAGTCATGAATCAATTCCAGGAGTTGAGGGAGGAATTCAGCATGAACTACAATGGCTGAAGGAGGGTGTTCCTCAAGCACCGGAGTCAGAACGGAAGGAGAGCTAAGAGTAAATGAAGGAATGGAGTGGGAAGCGAGTGCCAGATCGGTGATCAAGAATTCAATACCGTCATTTAGAAGCAGGAGCACATTGGACTCTTCAGGATCCAGGCCAGCAACACGGATAAGCCCAGTCCCAAAGGCTGAGACTCGTTGCCTCAGCTGAGGATTAGTTATCTGCAGGAGTTCAGGGCTCAGAATGCCTCGCACATATCCCTTGACATTGCAATTACCTTGGTAGACCATAGAGTACGGGAAGAATCTGAGTCTGGTTTGACTAGATCCAAGAGAACTTGTTGCTCCTTGGCTGGCCTTACAGGGAACTGCGGCAGTGTGAAATGGGTGAAATGGGTGAAATGGGATGAAATGAAACAGTGACGTACGCGACCAAGCATGCCAGTACCGTAGTTCCTCATAACTGCACTTTCCTTGGGGTTTCTGACACGAGCTACATCGCTCTGACGTCCAAGAAGAATGGGGTGGACAAGAGGCTGAGGCTTGTAGAGATTGTGCAATAGAAATAAGCCAGCAGCGACCAGAGCAAGGATGATGGTCAGGTCATCTGTGACTAGGAAGTCCGACAAGGCCATCTTGAGCTGACTACAGCTAGAGGAGCTGAAAACTCAATGCTCAATCGCTTACGCAGGATATGCGAGAAGAGACAAAGGAAGGTGTACGTGGTGTTCTGCGCTTGTGGGGGTTTTGGTGAGGATACGGTTTGACGCTGACGAAACGCATATGGCGTGAGCTATTCGACAAGCATGGAAGTCGAAGCAAAAGTGGAGGGGGAAAGAGCTTCTTGTTCCATGCAGAGGTACTTAAAATGTACAGCGGTAGTAGGATGCAGTACAGATTGTATTGATTGCTGAGGTTGCAGGAGAGTGCTGCGCCCATGCACACACAGGCAGGTGGACTTCCCCGCCCAAGTCACGATCGATCACTCTCATTCTTCGCTGCAGTCGCATTTACACATAACTTCTTCAGGCCAAGGTCCATCTAGTACTTGCTCACACAATGTGCTGGTATTGGTTCGGAAGATATGTGTACATGGGAAGTTGCGAAACTAAGCTATGGGTCGACAACCTTCATTATTTTTTTACATGACGCTACTAATGGATATTGTCAGCTGGACGTAGGAGGTCTTCAACATCCTTCTGGTTGTAACGCAAATGCAGCAAATGCACAGGGACTTTTATATTGGCGATCCAGAGTGCTACGGACCACAGACGGCAGAGAGAAGCAGCCCGTGCTTTCAAGTTACATGGTTAACTGAGAAAACCCTAACCTAATCGCGTCAGACTGCCAATTCAGGCTCCGACCAAGAGCGTGACCCGTGTTTTAGGATTGGCGTGCCACAACGTCCTCGACGCGCTTGCACTCATATCTTCTCTGCCCTCAACCACCACCATCTCTGTTCAGCCTGGTCACTATGCAGGTGAAGCTGAATGTGGACCAATTTAACAAACGTCTCTCAAAAGTTGTCCAATCTTGGAGTGTATGTCTCGCGTCTCCTCGATGAACCCACCACTTATGCATGAACTTCTGGTCTAGAATGCAAGCAATGACAGCGATTACAGCTCAGTAGCTGACGTCGGTGCCCTTTTTCTCTCCGCTGGAGACCCTGCTGGGGAGGATGAACCCATACGGAAGGGGACTGCTTTCCAGGTGAGATATCTTTGACCATCCTTGTTGGTTCCCTTACTAATCGCGTTCTGCTTCCAAAATCGATAGACGTGGCTGCTAGGTTATGAATTCCCATCCACTTTTATGCTGTTTCAAAAGGACAAACTCTACATCCTATGTTCAGCGTCGAAAGGTGCGTTTCACGGTTATCCCTGCTGGATGTCAGCTCACGCTTGAGGACTCATCACAGCGAAAATTCTTGCTCAAATCGCTGGTCCGAATTCTCACGTCCCTATCGAGATCCTCGCACAGGCTAGGCCCAAGGACCCTCCCACGGACGCTCTGCAGCGGTTCCTGCAGGCCTACACATCGCATCAGCGTATCGGAGCCTTGACAAAAGAGGCGCATACCGGCAAGTTGATTGATGACTGGACCGCAGCACTGAATGCCGCGGACAGTAAGCCTGAAATTGTGGATATGGCACCCGCTGTGTCGAGTTTCATGGCGGTGAAGGACGAGGAAGAACTCGTGAGTATTGTGGTCTTCTCATTGATCACCGTGAACTTATTAGCATCGATCACTATTTAGAAATGTCATAAAACAGCGGCGAATCTAACCTCAACGCTTCTGGCGCACCATGTTGTCGTCAAATTAGAGACTATCCTTGACCGGGAAGCACAGATTTCGCATGAAATGTTAGCTTCGCAGATTGAGGCGCGACTTGGCTACGGGGAAGGGGACAACGCGAAGGGTCCTGACATGAAGGTTTGGAGCAAGGGCAAAGGATTGACTGATGTGAGTGCAGCTCTTGCGCGGTTGTACATAAGCTTACACACAAGTTAGGTCGACTGGACATCAACGGAGTTCTGCTACACCCCTATCATTCAATCTCAATCTTCTAGCACTGGATTTGATCTCAGACCAAGTGCAGAATCGACAAGCGATAATATGGCTCACAAAGGTGTCTTCCTACTCGCGTTGGGCATGCGTTACAAGGGCTACTGTGCCAATCTAGGCCGAAGCTTCATTGTGGATCCTAGCAAGGTATGCTGTCTCCGATAATCTATCATGGATCTGTCTAACATCCCTCATAGGAGCAAGAAGCCATCTATGCCTTGTTGTTGTCTCTTCAGGCCGAGATTCTGACTAAACTTACTGACGGCGCGGTTGCCCGAGATGTCTATAACCATGCCTTGTCGTTTGTCAGAGAGAAGAAGCCCGAACTTGAGAAGCACTTCGTGAAAAACATTGGCCATGTTGTAAGTTTGGATCAGTTAGTTCAATCTCAACCTCTCACTCTTCCTTGCAGACGGGCATGGAGTTCCGTGACTCGACGTATCTTCTATCTGCCAAGAATACACGGCAACTGAAGAGGGATATGGTACTCAATCTGGCACTGGGTTTCCAGGACCTTGAGGAGGACGGCAAGAAGTAAGTACATTTCGTGACCAAACAAGTTGCCCTGGATTCACCTCTGCGTAGATATGCCCTTCATTTAGTCGATACGGTGCATGTTACCGGTGACGACAAAGCTGTCTGCCTTACTACTGGCGTCAAATCCATAAAGGACACGATGTTTTTCCTCAATCAAGAGCCCGAGGACAACGTCAAGGCCTCAAAGCCGGCGAAGAAGGTGCGAACGACTAAGCAGGGTGCTAATGGCAATGTTTCTCCTGTAAAGAACAAAACCGCTGGAGGCAAGGTACTGCGGAACAAAACAAGGGGCTCCGCGCACGAGGAACAAGTCCAGAGTGCCATAGCTCGGATAGCTGAACACCAACGCGACCTTCATGAGAGGCTACAGCAGGAAGGTTTGGCGAGGTTCTCGGAAGGTGGTGGTGGCGTCGGAGGGAAGGAGGGTAAAGGATGGAAACGCTTCCAAAGCTATAAGGGTGAAGCTGCTCTGCCTAAGGAAGTGGAGAATCTCCGGGTACGTTGTTGTAGCTCTGGCTAACGGCTCGATACTTATGCTATTGTTCCTGTCCTCAGGTTCTCGTCGATCGCAAGGCGCAAACGGTCATTCTTCCTATGCATGGTTTCGCTGTGCCCTTCCATATCAACACGATCAAGAACGTCAGTAAGAATGACGAAGGAGAGTTCACATATCTCCGTGTCAACTTCCAGACGCCAGGCCAACTAGCCGGCAAGAAGGAAGATACAGTGAGTATCATTAGCCTCATCATTTGGCAAGTTTCGCTAATCTGCGGGTAGCCCTTTGAAGACCCCGATGCTACGTTCATTCGTTCCATCACCTATCGATCCCCTGATGGTCATCGTTTTGATTCCATATCGAAGCAAATCACTGATCTGAAGAAGGAGGTCAACAAGCGTGAACAGCAAAAGAAGGAAATGGCTGACGTTATCGAGCAAGACGTTCTCCAGGAGGTCAAGGGACGAAGGCCACTGCGACTTCCAGAGGTTTTCGTCCGACCTGCTTTGGATGGCAAACGTCTCCCCGGAGAGGTCGAGATACATCAGAACGGTATCCGATATCAGTCACCTGTCAGTTCGCAGAAGATCGACGTTCTCTTCAGCAACGTCAAACATTTGTTCTTCCAACCTTGTGAACATGAACTCTTGGTTATTGTCCACGTTCACTTGAAGGCCCCCATCATGATTGGCAAGAAGAAGGCACACGTAAGTTACGAAACGTCTTTCAGAGTTCTCACTTGGCTTATCGTTGTCTCTCCAGGACGTCCAATTTTACCGCGAAGCCTCTGACGTTCAGTTTGACGAGACCGGCAACCGCAAACGGAAGTACCGATACGGCGATGAGGATGAAATCGAGTTGGAGCAACAAGAACGAAAGCGTCGCCAGATGCTGAATAAAGAGTTCAAGCAGTTCGCAGAAAAAATTGCCGAGGCTGCAACTGCATCGGTATGTTATTTTCTTAGATGCGGTTGCCAATGGAACTGACAACCCTGTACTAGACTGGCGACACTTTGGAACCTGATATTCCGTTCCGAGAACTTTCCTTCGAGGGTGTGCCTTTCCGTACCAATGTTCGCCTCCAACCTACGACCGAATGCTTGGTGTATCTTTCCGATCCTCCATTCCTCGTGGTCACCCTGGCCGACATTGAGATTGCGTCATTGGAACGTGTTCAGTTCGGTCTGAAACAGTTCGATATGGTGCTCATCTTCAAGGATTTCACCAAGACACCCTTACACATTAACTCGATACCGAGTGCTCAGTTGGATGATGTGAAGAACTGGCTTGAGTGCGTCGTGTTTCTACCTGTATGACGATCTCTGTTCTTACGTCTTTCGGCAGTTCCGTCGATATCCCTCTCGCTGAGGGTCCCGTCAATTTGAACTGGGGTCCTATCATGAAGACCATCAACGAGGATCCTTACGACTTCTTCCAGAATGGCGGTTGGTCTTTCTTGGGCGGCGCTCCTGGAGACGAGGTTCGTACCATTCACTTTATTGTCCGTATCGCCCTTCTAACTCTTGAAATCAACAGAGCGATGCCGAGGCTGACTCAGATTCCGAGTCCGAGTTTGAGGCTGAGTTTGAAGAGGAGGAGAGCTCCGAAAGCAGCGAAGCTGAAAGCGAATATGGCGATTCTAATGCCAGTGAAGATGAAGGCAGTGGCTCTGACTTCGATGAGGATAGCGAAGGTGACGACTGGGACGAGCTCGAGCGGAAGGCCGCCAAATGTATGTCATTATCTTGTAACTGTTCAATATGGAATACTCACCATGCCTTCCTCAGCCGACAAGAAGCGAACAGAGGCGGGTCTTGGTCATGAGTCTGAAGATTCAGATCGCCCCAAGAAGAAAAAGGCTGCACCAAAGGCTAACGGGAAATCCGCTGCCAATGGGAAAGCCAAGTGCAGGCGATGATTTCCGGCTTCTGACAACCATTTCGTACATATGTATTTTACCATAACTTACTCGCTGGATAGTTTGCTTTGTATGTTTGTATTCTTCCTTCGCTTTGAACTGCAATTCAGTTGTTATTGTGCGTCTGGCGTTGCATACACATGTGTTAGATCGGAAGAGGCGAGCCCTCGGAGACGATCATGATCGACTGCGCAGAGGTTTTGAGGTCTTGAGAGTGTGTAATTTCACGCGACTTCTTTCTATCGCATACCACTAACGCATACCATGAACATAAGCGGAATAGAAACACCCTCAATCCCGACCATATTCGATCCTACGACATGCAGTCGTAAAGGTCTTTGTCCTGTTACAGAGATCAGACACCAAGGCGAAGTATTCGAAAGTCATTCATTGTATTTCGAACAGCATGGAACGGGGCCAACGAAGGTCCTTTTCATCATGGGGTCAGCACGTTTGCCTCACATAAACCATTACTCCTTCTTCGGTGAACTCAAAGTCATTGTAGGCTCAATAGCACCTCGTTCGCATGGTCACCGCAAGTAGACTACTTCGGGCGAAAGCCTGAATTCTCGGCTCTCGTGTTCGATAACCGTGGTGTAGGTAATAGTGGTGTACCTCGTGGGCCATACTCGTATGTCCATTCAGCCTTGCACTTGGCTGAACGCTTACGGACGTGAACGAATATCAGAACATCTGGTATGGCAGAGGATGTCATCGTCCTCTTAGACTATGTTGGATGGACGGCCAAACGCGACTTTCATGTCGTCGGTGTATCTCTTGGAGGAATGATCGCTCAAGGTAGGCCTCTACATACTTCAATGAAGCAGTGCCCTTGATTAGAGATACAGAGTTGGCGACAAGGATACCCGAGCGTATTATTTCATTAACACTAGCTGTCACAACACCTGGTGGTCGTCCGTGGACAAATCTGCCTCCAGTAAGTTCGCAGTAGCCGTGTCAAATACTGCTGCTTATAAGAACTCAAGTGGAAAGGATTGACATCGTTGTTGAGGTCAGTGCTAAGCACGTATGAGGCTCTTCGAGACTAATGTTTCTAATCGTCCGATACAGACTTCAATTCATCACCGACCCTGAAGTGAAAATACCCATAATTCTCGAAATGGTATTCCCTCGTAAGTGGTTAGATGAGCAGGCAGAGAACGACCCCCAGGGGCGACTCAATAGAGAACTTGCGACCCTCGTATGTCCTGCTTCTTCATTTCAAGTACATCATCCGCGTCAAGTCACTAACGGCCATACTCAGGACTATCGTAAACGGATAGAGCTTACGAAGCCACAAGCATTCTTCGGAGCCATCTCCCAGATGTTTGCGGGCCTGACACACCATGTTACACCTGATCGTTTATCTCAAATTTCCAAGACAATACCCAAAGTATTGATCCTAACAGGAGATGAAGACGACCTTGTAGATCCACAGAATAGTCTACATCTGAAGAAGCACATGCCAGAAGCGGAGTTGGTGCAATGGGAAGTGACTGGTCATGGAATACACGTGCAGCGAACAGATAAGTTCAATGCATTGTTGGAGCGGGTCTTTCAAGAGGGGCGAGAAAGACTAGAGTCTAAGACGAAGTAATGTATAGTGTGAGCTCGGCCCCGTATGGGACTTAGATTTAGGCTATGATGTTCACCTTCGAGTATGGATGTTTTATTACATAGAATATAGGACGAAGGCCTGGTAGAATCGCTTTCACGTATCCTTCAAACGTTTCCAACAGTGTACGTCTACTGTCGTACTCAGACTCCGTACAGCGATCGGTACAAGCGAGGCCATAGAAGTATTGGGGTTGGATTTCATCTCCTTTCCTGTCATCGGTGCCTGCGGGATTCTGGAACCCATTGCTTGAATCGGCTCAATTCGTCTCGTTTGTATATTGGATCTAGCGAGACGTCCAGCAGCTGCGCGGATACGAATAAGACGAGGGAGTGTACGTTGCATAGGGGAAGGCTTTTAAAGACAAATAAAGCGATGGCGTTAAGTCCTATGGAGATCGTACCCTAAATAATTGGGCTAATTACTGTAGAGAGTGAGGGGAATCAGGATGCTAATCCTCCAATGAGATGAGGTTCAAGACGAAGTTCGCGTTGCTTCCAGACAAGTTCCAGGACGTCATCGGCGCTTTGCGGGCCTCGATCACAGAATATTTAATGCGTCGAAGTTTTGATACCCAAGAGCTTCAAATAACAGAACGGGGGAGCAAGGACTATAGCTTTATGCATGTCGCTTTAATTTCACCGAATACCCAGGTGTATTTGATAGGTCCTAACTGATACAGTCGATTGCAAAAACTCCGACCTTCAACAGAGGCACGGTGGGGAAGGCGACGAAATTGCATGTTCGCTATATATACTGCAGACTGCATGATGATGCACAACAGTAAAGGTGTGTGTGTGTGTGACTGATATAAAGAATCAGCATACTGGAAGCAATGAAGGCGAAGACAACGTACATGATCCATATTAAATTCACATTAACGTTCCTTTATGAGCCTCCTCAGCTGATCCCTCGCCTCGGCAGGAACGTTCCTAAACGTCCGCTTCGTTATGATAGGCTCTATGCGGATATTGGAGGGGTAGTTTGCGCCGGCTTGAACTTGACGTTGACGCAGAACTTCAATGAGGACGGGTGGCCTGGCATTTTGGTGAACTGGCTCTGGAACAAGGCGGCGAATAGCCGGTGTTCCCTGGAGTTGAGTACGACGCAGGACACGGACGAGACGGGGAGCAGAAGGACGCATGGCGAGGTGATTATGTCTGGTCGGTGGTTGCTGCTCGTCGACAGAAAGAACTCCCTACTTGTCACCTCCGCGATGTGTCACAACATTTCCCCTTGTGACAACGCGCTAATTGATGTGACTGAGTTGCGTCTGGGGCGCAGATTGTCTTGCTCTTTGCTTGCTCTTTGCGATCTTAATTCTATGTTAGTGACCTGAAGTCTTGTCTTCAATTTCGTGTGCTTTCATTATGCCTCAGGAAAGTTCTCATGAGAAGAAACCCACCCGCAAGCGCAAGACTGGAACTAACGGTCCAGGGACGGACGAAGGTTCATCAAGCTTGAAGAGACCGCGAATATCAAGGGCACAGCCCAGCAAGTCGAAAGGAAAGGCTAAAGCAACATCCCACGTAGATGTTTTAGGCTGGCCTGAGCATTTTGAATCAGTGAGTTTTGGAACGATGCGCCTCGCAGAGTGTCTAATCATTGGACCTTTACCAACAGCTTTTCAAGGCAAGTACAGAACCTTGGTTCTGCTAATTAATTACTCACTTTGTCGAACGCCTATATAGATATTTAAAGTGAGAATATGCCTCTGACCATATTTAATTCATTGTACTGAATAATAGCAGGCATTGAACACTGTCCTTGCATTCTGCTCGTCTCGCAAACAACTTGCCATTACCTTCCCCGTCGTTAGAACTTCGGTTGAGGGCTTACTTAGACAGTACGCTGTTTTCTCACTCCTTGAATTGGAATACTCATCTCTCTCTCAAAGTCCACTGGAGCTCTCGAAAGTCGCGGAACTGAAGTTGGTACCTATCAACCTATTCTGGTGATACTTTTTAATTTGTCTTCAGAGCCCTATTGCCAGACCTCATCAACTTTGCTTATATTCCAAGTGCCCAACTACGAATCCATGAGGACTCGGCTAAAGATGTTATGCAGAGTCAGACTGGTGCCACCGCAGATTTTTCTCTACCCCAAGGACCTGTCAACACTAATATGCGACCCGCCGGACTCAGTATCGACGATGATGAAGAGCATGTGTTGGTCCTTGATTTCATTGACCCTTCAAAGGGCAAGAAAACCTCGAACCTTGGGTATGTGTCTGTTTATCTAATATTCCACTGGAACCTGGCGTAACAACTGGGCTTCCAAAGCTTCTTGTATTCCCTTCCGCCGGCGTTAACACCTGCTGCCACAAAAAAGTTGGTCGAGAAGCGCAATGATCGTTTCGTTCAGGCGGTGAATGAGTGAGTGAATATGACATCATCGAGGCATCCCATCGTTCAGCTGAACTCATAAATCCATAGACTACTCCAAGCGACTCCTGCAGGCGAGAATCCCGTTGATTTATTGCAGGCCGCCGCTCGTGACCATATACCTATAAGCCCCAATAAATCCAAGACCATAGAGGCACCTCGAGTTGTTCCTGACCCTCAGCATCGCCCAGCGATAGATGATGTGATTGTTGAGATCCAAGAACAGGAGTGGTACGAAGACCAAATTGTGCACCGAAGAGTTTTGGAAGCAAAGCAAGGGCAACTTGGTGAGTTGTTGCCTTACGATAGGTAGCATACGAACGTCTGACTCCTTTACAGCGGAGCTTGACCCTCCCCTGCCTGAAAACATACTTACCGCTTTGAAAGATGCTAGGAAGATCACATCGCTGTACACTCACCAGGTTGCCGCAATCAATGCCCTTGCGAATGGACAACATGTCATTGTATCAACCAGTACAGCTTCCGGGAAGAGTGTGATTTATCAGGTACCTCTGCTGAAGTTCTTAGAAGCCGACCCCTATGCGAAAGCCATTTTAATTTATCCAACGAAGGTTTGTGGGGTGTTGAACTGACGTTGTGGTTGTTACTTAATCTTGTAAGCGTAGGCTCTGGCACAGGATCAGAAGGCGGCTTTAGAGCAGCTCTTGTGCGCATGTCCGGGACTAGAGCATAAACGAGTACGTCCTAACCGTCGAGAGAATTTCGTATCGGCCATTGAGCTGGCATAGGTTGCAACGTATGATGGCGACACTCCACATGAACATCGTGCAGGTATGTAATGAATAACTTGCATGGTAATCCGTATTCATAGATTTTACTAGGCATACGTGAAACGGCCTCCGTCATATTTACTAATTTCGTTGGTGTCCGCGATGCTCTCTATCTCAGCCAGTATAACTGACTAGTGAATCAGGACATGATCCATGCCTCTATACTTCCTCATGAGGACGTCTGGCGAAGGTACGTCTTCAAATCCGGTCCCCATTGTGCCGTAAACCTAGACTTGTCGCATATAGCTTCCTGAAGAATGTCAAGCTGGTCGCAGTAGACGAATTGCATTACTACTCGGGAGTATTCGGAAGGTTTGTGCTAACCTTTATTGGGACAGAATACTCACTGAGTCAACATAGTCACGTTGCGCAGGTCATAAGACGATTTCGACGTGTTTGTGCGGCCGTTGGAAGTGAGTATATTACTTTCTGGATCCCAAGCAACGCGCTCAATGATTATGACCAGATCGACGAGTACAATTTGTCTCTTGTAGTGCGACGATTGCGAAGCCTGGTCAACACATGTCCAATATGTTCGGTGTCTCTGTAAGCTCTACAGCAGCTATATTTGTGTGGATATTGTAACATGTATATGCAGAACGTCGCCGAAGTTACGGAAGACGGTGCACCTTCGGGGCGCAAGGACTTCCTCATCTGGACACCTCCTCTCAGAGACTCGCAAGATCCGTCATCTGGTTTCAAAAGCTCAATTTCAGAGGCTACGGCTTTGATGCGATTCCTCATGGCACGAGGCATTCGTGTTATTATGTTCTGCAAAGTGAGTCCCTTAAGCCTGCGGCTCATGGCTTGATCCAAGCTGTTTATGTGTTCACGTAGATCAGAAAATCCTGCGAGCAGGTACGTCTCGATACTAATATCATTGCATGTGCATTATTGACTCATCACCTGAAGGCGATGAAAGCTTTGAGGGCTGAATTAACTGCGGATGGACGCTTGGATATCTTGGGCAAAGTTATGGCCTATCGTGGAGGTATGTTAGTCGCGAATTCTTCGTCACATATATTCATTCGAGGCTGACATGTTTTCAGGTTATTCGCCACAGGTATGTATGTACTGCGGGTTTGTGAGATATCCACACAAGTTTAACAATACCCACAGGACCGCCGCAAAATAGAGCACGAAGCCTTCTCTGGCAACCTACTTGGGATTGTTGCGACTAATGCGCTAGAGTTGGGTGTGGATATTGGCATCCTAGATGCCGTGATCATGCTTGGCTTCCCCATCGGTGGCATCGCTAGTTTCGTAAGTACACATATCCTCCACGTTCTCGCTCAATATTTACACCATAATCCAGAGGCAACAAGCTGGTCGTGCTGGTCGCCGCGCTCGGGATGCCCTTGCTGTATATGTTGCTGATGGGCTTCCGGTGGACAAGCATTTTGCAGCCCACCCAGATGAATTGTTTGATAAACCCATAGACGACATTCTCATCGACCTCGACAGCAAAATCATCTTAGAAGCCCATTTTCAATGTGCTGCATTCGAGGTTCCAATGACAATCGCGGATGAGCAGTACTTTGGTCCGTTGACTAAAGAGATATGTGAGTCATCTTTGAAGAAGGATGAAGATGGCTGGTAGGCAACTATGAAAATACAACTCTAAACCATGTCTCACTCACATTCTGGCAGGTATCACACGCATCCTAAATTTCTTCCGTATCCTTCGAAACATATCTCATTGAGAGGTGTTGAGGAAGAGAAATACCTTGCAGTAGATATCTCTAGAGTTGGCAAACCCGGTGGGCAACCAAAGATCCTCGAGGAAGTCGAACTTTCTCGTTCTTTGTTCGAACTATACGAGGGCGCTGTGGTATGGGCTGAACTGTTCGGGTTGTTTTTGTTATGCTGATTCTGTGCTAGTTCATACATCAGGGCGTAACCTTCCTGGTGAAAGAAGTAAGCCATGACTCCAAGATGGCTAAGCTTCTTCGTGCAGATGTCAATTGGACGACGGAACCAAGGTAAATATAGTCCGGCACGTCCGCGGTAAAGTTAACCGTTTGGAACAGAGATTTCACGAATGTGGACGCAATCCAGACACATCGTATACGAGAGATCAAGGGGTCTTCTCAGTGTGCATTCTATGGACGTGAGTTCCAATCCTTTCAGACTTGTCACAGTATTTACCGAACCGCTTCAAAGGTGTGGAATTAATTACCACAGTATTCGGATACTTCAAAGTCAGGTAAGGATTCACCTCCGATGTCAATATTTTCTATATCACAACTCCTCGTAGAAATAACGCCATAATCGAGAGCGTCGACTTGGACACTCCACCCTGGGAGCGCGAGACCACTGGATTGTGGCTTGACGTTCCAAAGCCCACGCTTCAACTGCTGCAGACTCATGGTATCAATGCGGCAGAGGCTATCCATGCAGCATGCCATGCTTTCCTGAATCGTTTTCCGCTCGCGAATGACCTTGGCACGGAATGCAAGGTTGCAGAGAAAGAATATAAGGCTACAGAGTCGCAAAGGAAACGACCAGCACGGTTTGTCCCTGTTGCTTCATTACCGGGAGGACTAGACTAATGCAATCGTCAGACTCGTATTCTATGAACACAGCGGTAAATCGGGTGGTATAGCAGCGAAAGCATTTGATCATGGTACTTTCCATTCCCTTTCGCCACGTTCCATCCATATGCTAACCTGGTTTAGTTTCAGCAACCCTTAATGCCGCTCTGAATGCCATCGAAACCTGCGAATGTGAAGAAGGATGTGCCAAGTGTGAGCGTTTTACTGTCATTATCACGACGCACATGCCACTAAGGGTGTGTATGTAGGTATTATCAGCCCAGCATGCAGGGAAAACAACTTGGTGAAGAGCAAGACTGGAGCCTTGATCATCCTCAGCGCAATCCTGGGCCGTCCTGTGGATGTCGATCTCCTCTCTGGCTATTCAGAAATAGATGCCTTCAACACCATCGTCGAGGCACCCACCGTCCGTGTCGCTCAAGGAGTCGAAGTGGAAAAGGAGCAATAATACAACAGTCTATACCATATCCTTACAATAGAGTAGATACCCATAACCCAAATGATGTACGTAGGAAGGGAGATCATGACAGTGGATCAAAGTCGCCCCAGTCATCTTTTGTGAGCTGCTTAAGGCTCGTCGTTGACCAAGTCGGCTGAACAGGCTTGGATGGCATAAGAGGTGTGTTGCCCAATCCGGGTGGACCTTGAGGAATGAGGGTCGGGTTTGTTGACAAGGGTATCATCGGTGTGGAGGATAATGAGATATTGTAGTTGGGCGTGGTAGTAGCTTGGAACGGTGCAGGATGTTGGAACGCGATTGCATTGCTCTGCGACTGCGGAACGAGGGGAGGAGCGGTGGATAAAGAAGACCTCTGGATACCCGATAGCGATGGTCTTATTTGCATTGATGGTGGATTCGCCAATCCCGAGAATGAATTAGAATTAGAGCCGAGAGGTATCGCTCCAAGCCCTCGAGTTGTTCGTGAAGCACTTGCACTCGAAGTCGTGCTAAGGCGAGGGGGAGGTGAAGACAAACTTTGCGATTGCTGCCGGGCAGGAGTTGCCACTGGGTGGGTGGCGAGAACAGGACTTGAGAGAGCGGGAGTCTGAAAAAAAGCCTATTAGGTCATTCCAATACATAGGTTACGAATAGTCTTACCTGCGGATTACCGTTGTTCGTGAAAATGCTGCCCCACACATCATCATCCCAACTCTTGTTTGCATCCATTATAGTATCCGGTTTTACGGTAGCATTGCCGCCACCCACAAGACTCTCAAAATCGACAGTGCCTCCTGAGAAAGTTGCCCCAGTGCCATTCACAGTAGTCGAGGATCTGTCTTCGATCCTTTGCGAGTCCCGGAGGTATTGATCGTGCTCCTTCTCGACACGATCGCCTAACTTTCGGATGACCTCCATGAAGCGTTTAAACTGTGATACACTCAATACTGAATCAACGCTGATTAGCATAGATGAATATTCGATCAATGATTCGTACTTACGAGGTCCCATAGACATGGCCCAGAGCTGAGGAAGAACTAGTGTTGCGACAGCTTCACGGTCAACTTTGAGACCCATGGCTTCTTGCACCGCCAAAGTGGACATCTGTAAAATAATATTTGATGTCCAGACGCAAGAAAATCAAGTACAACTGCATACCATTACAGCAGGCTCTTTCGTTCGAATCTTGGACAGCAGAGGAACGAGCTTCTGAGTTAGGCTCGTCTACAAGATCCTTCAAGTCTAAGCTCTTCTATGAATTCGTAATTTAACATACCTGATCGAGGGTCTTGACCATAGCAAGGAACGTTCCCAATGTTGCTACCTTTACCGAGAGTATACGGGTCTTGGTGAACACAAGCTGAAGAATTTCGCATCAGAATTTCGTCATCGAATTCTTTATTTGATGAACTGACGGCGACACGAGGGAACAATACTCCCTGAACTTCCGCGTAATCAATCGATTCGCAGAGATCTGGGACAACCTTCAGTGCTCGTTCTTGCACCTTCAGCGTGGTGATCAGAGTGGTGAATTTTATTACACGTTAGAATCCGTTACTCACATGTGCATGATCAGACTCCAAGGCATTATACACCAACGGTAATACATCTAGGAAGGTATAAGCTCAGCTTGAAGAACCAAGGTCAACGATATAACACCCACGCTCGCGAAACACCACTTTGTCTGTTTTATTCTGTAGCATTTGCAGGTTGTCGAGCAAGGTGATCATATTCTGTGGAGGTTCCTTGATGACGAACAACGGCTTCAAGCTCGGCAGAACCATAGACGCAAACTGGGCTGGCGTCAACATGTGCGAGATAGAAAACACGTTAGGCAGGATGTATGGTAAGAGCTGTGTATCTTTCATCTCTTCCAACAGCGATGGCAGAATCTTGCGTGTCCTCAGACCCTCTGAGAACTTGTCAAGCACGGAAACCAACCCTTTCATGAAGGAGATCTTCTCTTCCCGGGATTTCGCAGCAAAATTTGACCGGTCCAAGAAGTTGAGAGTGGAGATGGGGAGTGAGGAGAAGAAGGGATGCGATGGAAGATTGTTGGGGGAGGGACGATTGTGATGATGCCGGGTTATACACGAGTTCAATAACGCTTTGTAAAAGGTGAGCATAGCCAACGAATATGGGATGTAACGCAGATCAGATTCTACCTCTTAGATCCTGGTCTAGGCGTTCCATGCCTTGTAATGGCTTTCCTGCGTTATCACGCAGACCACCAAGGCTTCCATGGGTCTTGAAGGGAGGGTTGCCTTTACAATGAACAGCATACATGAGACAACCAAGGGAGTACATATCCGAAGCTGGATCGAGGACTTCGTCCAAGGCGTACTCAGGTGCTGAAGAGCATGTGAGCGATTTCCACGTACCTACAAGTGACATGTATGCTTACCCATATAGTCAAATGACCGCTGAGTATATGCAGGTGTTCGCCCGTCGAACGTCGGAAATTCCCATCTCGTAGCGGTCCCATCTTGTCTAGTAAGTGGTATGGTTAGACCAAGCCCTCCAATCTTCCAATCCCCCTGTGAATCAGGTTGCCTCAGTCCAAAGCAACAGGCGGAGATTATGTCACTGTGAGACTAACAGCACTGTTGATGAGGATACTTTCCGGCGTGATGTTGGTATGGATAAGTCGAGCGGAAGTATGAAGGAACTGAAGACCTTTGCAGACTTGTAGAATCCCTTTTTGAATCTGCATTGTTCAGTTTATGTATCAGATTATTATGTATTGACGGAAACGCGGAAAGATGTGCATGCACACCTCAATTTCATCCAACTCGACTAAGGGGGTATAGTTAAACGATCCGGGTATCGCGAGGTGTAATGATGATAGGATGGGCTCTGTCGCGAATATAAGTTCGCTGCGTGTTTCCTCCAAAGGCTCGACCATTTCTAGTTCAACCACAGTTCAGCCATCCGTGCTTCGATGTGAGGCATGCACGTACCCAACACTGAAGGATGCCTCATTCTCGAAAGCGCTTGCGCCTGTTATAATATGTAGTCATAGTCATTATAAGACTACAACCACATTACAGAGAACCGCACTTACCTCGCCCCGCAGCACTTCCAAAACTCTCTCTTTCGACGCTGGACCAATCCTCTCCATCTCAGGGCTTTTCTTGTCAGCGGACCACACACTGACGCGCTTGCCATTGACTTTGTGAGTTGCAGATTGTACTTTCCAAGGTCCTACCTGGAACGTTGGCGCATGAGCAGGTGTTGGCAGGGAACCGGCCGATGATCCAGATGGTACTGGGGTAGAAGTTCTGCTGCCACCGTAAGAAGCTGCTCCGATGTTGTATGACTGAGATATGTTCGTTCGGGCGAAGAATGATGTTGCCGCCGCAAGCATTGTGTTGATCCCCGGGGTATGTCAAGAAGAAACGGTAGCTCTTGATGTAGCTGTATTGCGACAGGGGCGGTGAGTATATACAGTAGGTAGGCAATGCAGGTGCGGCGTTGGTGGCTTGAAAGTTGACAGAGGTATACGGCGTCTGTCACGATCGACAACACGCTACCGAACGATCATCGCTCAACTCAAAGTACAAGGTTCCCTATTTGGCCTTCCAGTCAAGCCACCTGCGGGTTGCTCGAACAGAATGGCGACAACAAAGAATGCAATATACTATAGCAATACTGAAAGCGAAATTATGCAACTCATACGGGTTATCCGACATCCGACTCCCTGCATATAAGTATGCCTACGGAATTCTGATCGCTCAATCCAAGTGCCCTTCAATAACTCTAGCGGGAAGCTGAACATCTCAGAGCTGGCGTGGCCAAACCCAAGGCAGGCGTCGGGATGCCATCCATGGCAAGCAATTCGTGTTCAAGTGTTCCATACTGATCTGTGGTAAGCTCAACCGGCTCATCGTGTTGAAAGACAGGGATGTGTTTCAGATATGCCGGCGGGCGAATGATGACTCGGATGAAGTGCTAGATATGAAACAGTTAGTACAGAGATATTTCGATTGCAATGAAATTTAAAAGCATACCTCAACCTGCATGGCGTCGTTAACCTTAAACGAATGCTCACAGCCAGCCTCTCCAGCTCGGAGCTCGAAGGTCAAATGCCTCACGCCCTCTTCTATCTCAGTCATACGAAAGGTTTCAGCCTTATATATCAGTTGTTCCCGAACACTGATTTGGCGTCCGCCATGGAGCCACAGCTTCTTCCGCTTTACCAAGAATAAGCCAATATTCGGAGCTAGAGCTTGTGGAAGAATAGGAGAGAATGGACATCTGATCATTAATGCAATGGGAATGGTGTTGCCAGAGGCGAAGCAGGCAGGTGCAGGTATCAAAAGCTGATAATCAATAGGTAAGTTTACTTGCGGCATGGTGGTTACGAACGCAAGACTTACATCGACCAATGGCACCTCCTCAATGGGTATTGAAGTCGGATCCGTGCACCTTGGCCAAGCAGGTTCGATTGCAATGCGTTTGACGCGTTCATGCAATTGCAGATACGGGTCATCGAACAAACTTGCCGGTACCGAAGGTAGCGCAGGCCTGGACTTGGGGAAATAGAGCACCGGGACCGCGCACCTGGTAAAGGATATTCATATGTATACATATACACGTATTCATACAATCCAGGAGATGCATTCATAGAATTTAAAGGAGCATTAGCTTCGCCGTCGCGTTAGAACTTGTAGGAGACCTACATTTCATGCCGATGTAGGCCCTTGCGCACGACGTCCACTTGAAGCGCGTATTCGACGTCTGAGATGGCCGAAGGATGAAAGGTAGTAAATGTTGGGGGAAGTGGAACGGAATCTTGGCCTAGGACTGTCTCGGGAAATGGGATGGAGAACGGGAAGGTCTTGCACGCGGGTATTGTTTCGGCTTTTCCAGGGGCGAAGTAAACCGTAATGACTTTGGAGAGGAGGCAGAGTTTGGTGACCTGGGGTACGGCAACCAAAGGATGCTCTGATGCTCTAGTGGTGACATGCCCTTGTAGCTAAACACCAGGGATGTATGTAAGGATCATACACCAATTATACGAGAACAAAACATGAGCACCTTCACAGTGACTCGCACAACATGCGAGCAGTTCCTGATGAATTTGACAGTCCCTTCGACGATACCACCACGCCCATAGGCAGCATGGTGCATCCCCCAAGGAGACCTGCCCAAGTTGATTTCGAGATGGTCAGTCTTATAGACATAAGGACACTGACGGGAGACACGAGAAGTGACTGGAGAAGCGGGGGCAGAATGAAGGACGCGCTCAGAACACTGAGCGATCTCAGTATAGGTTGGCGCAGCTTGGCAATACCCCGCAGGGAGGGAAATGCGCGAGTACACGGGAGGTACTTCGCCCATGACAGCTTAGAAACGTGTAGATGATCTCTCACAGAACTTACGATGGTCGTCGAGCAACTGTAAGCCTGAGGTGGACAGGGAGAATAGCCAACAGAGGGCTATTTAATGTTCACTATGAATGCGCACAAGGACTTTATAGCAACCCAAGATACGCTAAACGTCGCTTGGGTCGAACCATGACTCGTCCATGTGTGTGCCTGTCGCGTCAATCTCGTCAGTATCTATACATTTGAGGTATCGACCGGTAAACTTACAAAACGTGCGTTCGCAATAGGCCGCATTGGCGCAATATCACGCATGCCCGGGCCTGACGTTCCAAGCTGACTAAAGGGTTAGTCTCTCCTTGGGCAAGCGCTTCGTGGGAGACTACCGTTAGTAAGTTCAAATTTCAAGCGGTGACCCGTCCCGCATTAATGTGTCGTTCGCATATACAAGAACCCAAATGTGCGAGAACAGAAAGGAGGGTATTGGACGTTCCAGGCAGGTACTTAAACAGATTTGAAATACGGGAATAAGATTAGGACCTGCAGGTACATCCCGAGCAATGATTCTTGCCGAAGATATCGGAGGACATCCTATTTGAGTTCTTGATGGAGGATTCCAACGATTGGGGGTTATGAGGTAAAAGCAGGCATATTGGCACTCACGGAACCCCGAGCGATGTCTTGAACGGTCTGAGCGGGTTGTTGCGATGCAATTGTCAACGGCTGCCTCAGCAAGCACAACAGTATTCGGGGCAGGTCAACCAAATGTTACTCAGACCGATGGAGCAGTAAATTCCATTAGATAGAAGCGACACACGATGAAGGAAGTCTATCAGAAACCGAAATTTATCTTTGACGTCCTGCACAGACCATGCGACGGTTAGAAAGTAAAAATAACAATGATAAGATAAATCAGTGTTCACCTGATCCTCGCAAAGACGGCCACTGTGAGGACCAGCGGCGCGATCCAATAAGCAAACAAGCGCACGACAAACGCGCTGTGGTTCACGGACCAATTTGACCATGCACCACCTAGATATGCGGTAAACAAATATAGCGGGAAAGTGATGTAACCAAGGAGCCTGTGCAACCTGTCAGATGGATCAGTTCCATTGGGCAGTATGCAGCACGCACCGGTGGTACTTCCATACAAACTTGGCTCTTGGGTTACCACCAAACAGCCACCCATCAAACCAGACACTCCCAGCACCAAGACCGATCTGCAGGATGGATAGTGCTAGGGTGATGATACCGAACATCTACAAGTCATAAGTATCGGCGCCCACCACTATGCGAATAGGTAAACTCACCCCATGCCATGTAGTAAAGTGCGCATTTCCGTGCCTGTACTTGTTATAGAAGATAGCCGAAGTGCCTAGAATGAGAAGAGGATATCCTAGGGCAAATATGGTCAGCTGGTGACGGACAAGTCCAGCAGCCTTCGTCTTGGGTCTTGATGTAGGCTGCAGTGTCAAAATGCCTGAATGGTTGTTGTGAGATTCTTAGAATAGCATTGAAGTCCTGAAGTCTATGAATATCTACCATATGTGAATAGTGCTATTCCAAGACTGTTCAAAAGAGGGTGCAAAGTGAAAATCCCGTAGGATGACGGGTCGACAAGGGCAACAAGCCAAGTGGCCGCAAGGAATATCTGGCGAAATATTGCGTCACAATCGTTCGGGTAGAGAATGTAAGACATTAGTACATACGCCGACAGAGGCCTATGCAACATAGTGCCACGGATCAGTTATGCACCACGGATCTTATGTCGACGTAAGACGTACAATAGCAGCAAGCTGAGCTACAGCATCCCCTGGTCTTCCCTCTGACATTTCGTATGTATCCTTGAGAGGCATGTCGTCGCTCTGAGACTGTTCCTCCGAAGTCAAAGGTTCGTAAGGCACGTCCGGATGCCCCTCGGCGTCAGTTGGTTTTCCGAGGGGGTTAACAGTAGACAATGAAAGTGCTGGACCAGACATGTTGGAGCCACCCAGCGAGGTGAACTTATTAGATCGCGAATAGCGCTTGGTAAGTGCACAGCAGTTCAGGCATGATACGTGCACCTATCAAAGGACGCAGATGAGTGAATGCAGATATGGACGTCTTCCCTTGTCAGGAGTGAGAACATCGAGCTGCTAATTTGCCAAACCTCCCATGCCTCTATGCTCCTGGGAATGCTCGGTCGTTCGGCGATCGGATTTTCCGTTCCCTTTTTCAGGTCTGTTTCTCGGACCGAGCCGGTCAAGTCGATCGGATCTACCCCGCAATCACGTTCATGTTCCCAATGCGGGGAACGTGCTTGATCCCGTCGTCGACCACAGCGTCGAACGCAATCCTGCATGATGAGGGCCACAGTTCGTCTGCTTTCCCAAGCATCGCGCAATGTTTATACCCCAAGATCTCATACCACAGCGTTCATTGGCCTCGGTCGGATGGGTTTTGAAATGGCTTACAATCTTTTTTCAAAGACACTTGTGGACAGCAATGGAGCTGCACACTTTGTTGTATGCGATGCTCGCAAAGAGTCTGCACTTCGTTTCTCGAGGAACATGTTGGAACAATTCCCTGGTGCAAAGATAGAAGTGGCGTCTACCCCTGCCGAGTGAGTGATAGTGCTTGTCCTGCGACGGTACCGTGGTCCGCTTCAGTTAAACAAATTATTCCTTACTATGAATCTGCCAGTGCCATACGGGCATCACAGACTGTCGTGACGATGCTTCCATCCTCTCCTCATGTGCGACAGGTATATGAGTCGGAAGCAGAGGGAATTATACCGGCTTTACGATCACTACCATCGGAGGACATTCACTCAACACTTTGTATTGACTCTACCACCCTTGATGTTCAGGTTGCACGCGACATGGCTGCAGAAGTCAACAAGTTGGGAGCTACAATGGTAGACGCGCCGGTATCTGGTGGTGTGTCCGGAGCGAAAGCTGGTACACTCAGCTTCCTCGTTGGCGGCAGCGAAGCCGCGTTCAAGCGCGTATCGCCAATCCTGGCACATATGGGGAAGAAGGTATTCCACTGCGGCCCCAGTGGTGCCGGACTAGGTGCCAAGATATGCAACAATCTTGTCCTCGGTGTGGAACAGATTGTCGTTGCGGAAGCTATGCTTCTAGGGCTGAAGCTTGGTTTGGAACCTGCGGTATTAGCCAGTGTCATCAACAACTCTACAGGTGCTTGCTGGTCGTCTTCAGTGAACAACCCGGTACCTGGAGCACTGCCCGACAAGGAGCCGCCGTGTACCAGGGACTACGAAGGCGGTTTCGCGACAACGTTGATGCTGAAGGTATGGCGATTGCTCAATGATGACGCATGAATTACTAACGGGGGGTCGTAGGATATGGGGCTCGCGTCGGAAATTGCTGATGCCTGTGGCAGTCCGCTACCACTGGGGGAGGCGGCAGAAAATATCTATGCAGAGGTTGTGAAGAAGGAGCCGCAGCTGGCAAATAAGGATTTCTCTTCGGTATACCATTACCTACGGCTAGCAGCCGACGAGGAGAGCAGAAAGGGGCGGCTTGGACAGTCTGAACGCATGTAAAAGTGTAGACGAGAGAATTAATGAAGAATGTTCAGCGCATGGTTAGGGTCTCGGAGCGACGGGCGGCTGAGGGTATTTGTTTCCGTGGGTGGAGGTCCGAGTCCGAGCAGCAACAGTTGCAGCCTGCGAGCGCTCCTGCCACCCAGCTGTCAAATTTCTGCGTCCTACGTTTGTTCTCGTCCTCGTCCTTGCATCCTCCTTCGTTCTTATTCTAATTCTCTTTCTCTCTTTCCTTCTCACTTGGCGTAATAATCAGCTATATAAAGACTATTTTTGATCGGAGAACCCCCAGCCTTCCAAACGCGGTATAGCGTCCCCCAGCTCGCTTGCAACTCTCCTTGGTTTGTCCCCTCCAGCCCACCCTTGTCTTCCATCCGGACGGCATCTAATTCTGCTGCTGCTTGCGTATTTCCGCCTTCCACAGCAGCCAGAAACATCTTTAGCATGTCGACTAAACCTAATGCGATTATCTTCGGTACGAGACTCCCACTCCTTTATCTTTCCCGTTCGCTCATCGGAGCCCCCCTTCATTCTTAGGAGGATTGAATACTTGCTCCCGCGCCCTCGCGGCCTTCTTGGTTCCCTTGGAGGGGGAGCCGCTCGTAGCAGTGCGTTGTTGTTCTCCCAATCTTCACTATCACATCCTCACATGGCCTGTATGCGATTGAAATCAGAACCTCCGAATTGTGGACAAGTACACAGTACAGCCTCCGACCACGTACGCCGCTCTCCTATTATCTTTCGATCTCAAATCATTTTGAATTCATACCATACAATTGGCTGCTCCATATAGTTACCTCGGTTCCGAGTTCCCAAGGATACTGGAGAAGCCTAACGTCGAGTACCGTCAAGTCAACTTGTGCCTACCTGGTGAGTCCTTTATGCCCGCCATATGACTGCCACATGAAGCGTGACCTGCTTTTTGGCGTTGGTATATTATAGAGGCGGTTCCAGCATGTTTCGATCCTGCCGAAGGCCAAGAGCCCTATTCCTATGTATTTGATTTAACGGGTGACATCAACTGGGAACGAAATCATCAGGCAAGTCCTCATCTCCTAGACGTTGTTATTTTTGTGTCTGATCAGGCCGATCGGTAGATTCAAATAGCGAATACGTTCAATGTGGCTCGGCACGTTGGTCTTGAGGCTGCTCGTCGTAGAGTTAAGGCATATGTTCGCCTCCAACACCCTTTCTATGAGTGCAAGGAGAAGGGACCCGCTGATGAAAAGGAGGACATAAAGCCTGATGGTACTATAGGTACTTGGTGGCATGAGACGCTGAGGATGCTTGCTTCAATCGAGGAGTGTGTATATCTTGTCGTTCATCCATGTTTGATTATAATTTCATGCTCATTGTTAGTCTTAACCTCGTGATTCTCCGTACGGCTATGGTGTACGGGCCATATGTGGATGGTGGAAGTGAGTCGCTCTTCTGCACTCTCTATCAACTTGTCACTTATGTTCCGATTCTAGACATAATTCGTTTGATTGCTGTGGCAGCAACATATGGATATCTTCACAAACCTATGAAGGGACTGTGAGCATTTTTCTTGTTCACTACTGTTGTCGTGATACCTGACTATATGCGTCATCCGTAGTTGGTCTCCTGGAAAATATCCGTCACACACTGTCCACATCGAGGATATAGCTGGTGCTATGTTCGCAGTAGCGAACTGGATCGCCGGTATCGGTCGCAAGGAAGCTGATTCTGTCGCTGGCGAGGAGATTGTTTTCCACAATGACAAGGCACAACTGGAGGCGGTCGAGGGCGCTGCTCCGCCAGAGAAACGCTGTGTTGCTCCATTGTTCAACCTTGTAAGTGGCACGTTATTCTCTGGGCATTCAGATGACTCAAACATTCTGTTATTGATTTTTAGGAAGATGACTCGAATGTGACGATGGTGGAACTCTGCAACATTATCACATCCTACTTCGGAACAACTTTTGAATTTGTCGGTTTCGTAAAAGACACCTTCGCCAAGGTAAATCTTTTAGCTGCCGGATCTTTTCAAGACTAACGAACATTACTTTATTGTGTACAGTTTAAACTCGAAGACGTTGTCGAGGATATCAATGGAGAACACGTTGCCACCTGGACCGAAATGATCATGAAGTCAGACCCGCCTGTCACCAATCTAACGTATACCGCGTACATGGACCTCTTCCACCTCAAGAAGCACAGTACTGCCTTCACTGCAGACAAGATAAAGAGAGTTGTTGGTTACAAGCTTCGCCGGCCGCAAATCAACCATGAGACCATCAAGGAGATCATTGACGGACTAAAAGCGGAGGGAACTTGGCCGAATGTTTAAGGTTTTTAATATTCCATCCCTGGACTGCTGGTACTCTTTCTGTCCCACTCGCTTCCCCAACTGCTTTCGGTTTTTCTGTTTTCCTTATGGTCTACTTTATTCCTCATCGCGGAGAGACTTTCTATGTTGGCTTTTTTTGATCTGCAACTAATCGTAATTTCAGTGTCTTTTTTGCTGTTGTTGTCTTCGCCGTTGTTGTGTTGTGATCGAGTCCTCGGTGGATTTTCTTATGTATTGTTCAACATCTCTTTATTTCGTCATTTTTCCCTCTCATGTCACGAATAGATACGAACAAGAAACGAATGATGCAATTAAATACTGTTCTCGAAAGCAAAGTGATTACAGAAGTGAAATAGACACAAAGGAAGGTTATGATGCTGTTGCCTGAGGAGGCGGTCGGGTAGTTGGCGGTGGAGGTGGTGGAGGAGGTGATGGTGATGGCAGAACGTCTGCCAGGAAGCCAGGAAGGAAGCGCTCTATCCTCTCATGTGTAGCTGCCCAAAGGGCCTTTTGCCTGGCGTCGCGTGTATCCTCTCCTGGAATTGGAGGAACCAGCAAGTCAGTCGCATTCATGACTAGCACGACGTTTTTCAAGGATTCGAGTATAGCCTCGTACTAATAATGCACAATTATACGGTCAGCATGATACCACGTAACAGCGATGCAAATTCTTACTAGTTGATCCCTGCGATCCGCGTGCATGAAACGATCCAGGAGGTCAAGGACCTGTATCCACAGGACTCGGATATCTGCCTTCTGGCTCTCTCTTGCTTCCAGATGCATGAACGCTTTGCACAGCAAGGCTGAAGCGCGTAAGCGGGTTTCTGGCATTCCCATGGGGTCACGAAGTAGAACTTGCGGCTTCAAGAGCTCATCCAAGAGTGGGAAAATGACCCTGTTGAATAGTTCTTCAATCTGAGACTGGTCTTCCGGATCCAGAGTGATATACGGTCCCAAGATAATCCTTTGTAAATTGACTATTGCCGTGTGGCGAATCTCCCTCGAGGTGTTGGTAGATTGGCGAGCGAGGACGGAAAGGAGTGGTAGACAATTCTGGCGCCAAACTACAAGACCGTGTTAAGCAAGCGCACCACGATGGTGAAGACTTATTATTTACCTTGTTCCCTTTGCAAACCTGTTTTCTCCGCTAAGGTGGCCCAGAATTTCTTCAGGTCGAACAACATCTCCACGGCTTTCAACCCTCTCTCGACGATAGGCGAACTAGATATGGTGCGTCAGCAGATATATGACTCGTTCGGCACGCAATAGCTTACTTTGAGGAATTTAATGACTGGGTACGACGACCCTGTTGTTGAGCATCGGTAACTACGCCGGCTACAATAGCGAACTCGTCCAGAACTGCCACGAGCCCCGCCAAGTTGTCAGCGGTGACACATTGATCTGGGCCGTCTACAATGAGAGACTGGATGTAGTCGAATGTTTGACGAGACGCTTCAGGATGGGGGACGATAGAGCGCAGCAGTGCAAATGCCATCTTCCATTCCGTTTGAGAAGTGATGATGTTCTTATGTCTGGTAGCAAGGAGGACAAAACCAGCTGCGATTTGCTCGGCCACGGCGTTCGATACACTTGGAGAAAGACCTGCCAAAATGTCAAACGAAACGTACAACTGGTCACGAAGCGATGGCTGCCGAGTCATATAAGTACTCTTCTCCTGGAGTAGGGCCAAGAGGGACGAACCTGGTCTGCAAGTATGAGACAAATCCTTAGTAGGCCCACGACAGCTCTCTCGATGAGCAGGATGCTATACTGCGTTGGTGTGGAAAGAAGGGCAGACAAATGCTCGTTGATGATCGGCCTGAAGCGAGAGTCATGTCAGACTTCTTCTTGTTTACACTTACATCCATGAAAGCGCACCATAGGTCCTCAATGTGTTGCGGAGTCTTGCATGTGATGCTAACCATAGTCTCCAAGAGAAAGACGGAGGCAGGATCGTACGGGAGGGAATATGTCCCATCCTGACCAGCTTCCAGAGTAACAACATCGTCGGCCTCCTGCCTCAACTTCAAAACGGTCCGCTCATGCGCCAATGCTTCCAGCGCACGGAGGGCAGATACGAGAGCTTCAGGATCAAGTTGCCTACAAACTACGTCAAGAGAGTCTAAATGCAGCATACCAACGAACTCACAGGATTTGCTTGTAAAGATCGTCCAATCGACATGATGTGATGCAATCAATCGTCGCAAGAGTATTTTCGACGTCGGAGTCCGTAGCTTCAGGAACGAGCGCGTCGGTGCTGGAATTATAGGGGGTCATCAGGTAGGACGAAAGTGCGGAGAGAAGGCCGTCATTTCTTTGTGTGGGACGAGGAGGTTGCGATCTACGCAACGGAATCGTGGAAACACCGCCAAGGAAATCTTCCATCTGTAGCATTTCTGTCGGCAATAACGAATGCAGAAAAAGGTTCTCAAACATTTCAAAAATCTAGATTCTGGTCAGACATCGAAGGCGACAAAGAACAACAAATTTGTATACTTGAGTCCAACCTTCACGCAACGCGTTGCCATTGCCATTGACGATGTTGAACAGGACAACAGCCGCCAGCTGACCTTTGAAGTTGGTCCCAAACTTGACAGACAGAGAAGAGATTGTGACTGTCTGGCCCTCAATCTCTATGACTGGGTAATTTGGAACCTGCGAAGGGAGTGATTCTGGAAGAAGAGACGTAGCCTGGGAAAGAGACACGACCACATAGTCAAAGACATCGGGCATATTGAAATGTCTTGCCAACGTTGCGCATTGACGGAAGCCAGAAATGGCGCGCTCAATAATGTAGTCATCCTCGAAGTTGATGAAGGCGTATGCAATAGCTGAGACAATGGGCTTCCAAGCCGTCTTGAACATCTCGAAGTCAAACAGAGATGAGTTGCAGATCATGAATTCACCTGCGAAGAAAAGATAAGAGTCCATATGCAAGGTCCACAGAGGTCCTCACCTGCCCTCTTCGATCGTTGAAGAAGTTCTTTCCAGGCATACTCAAATCCCACCTGCCCCGTATGTTCCTCGGGCATCACAATCTCTTGTTTGCGGATGGAGTCATAGATGTTTTGCTGTTAAAATAAGACAATGAACTTCATATACAGATAACAAGAATCTCACCAGATATTCATCGGAGAAATTGCTCCCATCATTGACTCCTTTGAGGTTGCGCTTGTAGTCTTCAATGGACATTCTTTTCTGTATGAAACACATTATACGGCAAGCAGGATCAAAGACAACCGTATACACGTACCCTTATCTGAGGACTATGAAGATCGGTGTTGAGCATGATTATTGAGTATGCAAGGACATAAATGGCATCTTGTGATTTGACTTCCGCTGTGATGAAACGTAAATGGAAAGTCACTCATGGCACAAAGGCTCAGACAAACCTGGCTCTGTGGCAAAATAAACCTCCGCAAAGGTCTCGGTAATGCGATTGATCTGTTGTGATTCTCCAGGAAGGCGGAATGCCTCCATGAATTCTCTCATTGCATCGGCAACAGTTTTCTAAATGTACAACTCTGTCAGCTCTAGCAACAAGCAACAACTATCGTCGCCTACATTCTTGAAATCGAACAGTCCCATGAATGCCTTCAGCAAGTCAATATTTTCTGGCCTCGAGATGTAATCTCCAAGGAGCCGCTTGTCCAGCTTACTGCAGCTTCTCAAGAATTTAGCCAACGATTGAGGACGAGGTTCGTTAGAGTCTGTATATATCAACTTGTGCTCCTCTAAGAATGTCAAGCCACTCTTTGGCTTCGTGTTAAACCGAGAGGCGCCATTGAGGACCAGCATTTTCTGAGATTTAGTCTTCAGAAGTTCATCTGGTGACTTGAAGTGCTACAAATACGGTGAGTAAGGATACCTGTGAGACGATAGCGATACATACAAATGGCCAGGCTTCGTTCACCTATATGAAAACATATATCAGATACGTCACGACAGAGATAATATGATATTACCAACACCTTCAGCTCTGGCAGACATGTGGTTTACGAGCGCCAGGACAAGATCCAGGCAGATATATTGCGCATTCCGCGCTTGAACGTCGTGGTTGGGACCATAATTAGAGGAATATATACCCTGAGAAAATATGAGCAAAATCAGAAGGTCAACCTGAAACAATGTGTACCTTAGTTGCGAAGTCCACAAGTCGTTCGAACATGTTCTCACAATTCATGTCACAGTCATAGTTAGAGTAGAGATCCACCATGAAGCTAGGAGGCCGCGACAGAAGGCTGAGAGTTTCTAGCAGCAGTTCTCGAGTATCCCCACGAGCAGGAGCAACCAGCAAACGAGGTGTAGATGGAGGTTTATCGGGATCGTGAGGCATAACAAGTGACGGGGTTCCCGGTCGAGGACTCTTCGCATAAGAAACCTTCGCTGAAGGAGGTGGAGCGAGTCTATCAATTGTGAAGGCTAAGAAAAGTTCCAATTGCATCTTGAGCTTTGGGCGCATCGTCTCAAACATAGTGGAGACGGTGCGAAGAGTTGTCTGAAGGACAACGGGGTTGTCAGACCGAGCCAGTTGGAAAAGAAATTTACAGCCGTAGTCCAGAACAAGCGAAGAGAGGGAGGGGAACTCGCATATACGGGTACCCGAGACTTCGAAAGCGACGTTCAATACTCTCAAGGCAGTCAGTCGAGTGGAGTCTGTATGGGCTTGATCGCTGGGGTCAAGAATGTTGATGAGAACGCGCAGCAATTCAAGGATGGATGGAAGACCATCTATACGGAGGTCAGTATCAAGTATTCCGAATGTGTGCCAAATGAAAATAACGCATACATTGAACTTTAGGCATGCGTATAGGCGAGGTGGGAGAAGATGGCCCTTCTCCAGCAGTTTCAGGGACTTCGCCCTTCTCAGCATCATCGTCCTCTGGGACCGCCAATGCTGAAATTGCCGTAGAAGAGTCCGTTTGGACGTTCATTTTGACGTCATTTTCTTGGGCTTCGTCTGTCACCTCGAGTAACTTCTGCTCTTCCAGTATTGGATCTAGTTGATGTAGACGTGCAAACACTGTCCGGACGAGAGCATGCATACTGGCTTCAGCGGAGCGCCTGAGCAATTCTGATATCCATGATTATTAACCTATTCGCATGAGGGACAGATGTGGACGAACCGCTCAAGCGCATCTGACAGCATGTGGTTAATGTAGTCTCCAGCATTTCGCAAACTTCTATATCGCCCAGCACTTCCGAGACGTCCCCGCATATACAGTTCTGTATTACGGTCATGATCTTGAGAAGCACAACCTCATCCCCCGAACTGTCGCTGGCCTCAAATTTACATCGAGAGATGGTGCTGCTAAGTTCGGAGAGAGCTTGACCTAGATCTATTGACTGGGGACTGATCAGGTTGCATAGGAAGAAATTATGGAGTGACGATAGTGCGGCAGAGGTAATGGGTCCCGTGGATAATGGCGATCGAATAATAGCGAAGAACGGTGCAAGGAGTGTTGTCAGCGGTAATGAACGTATGTCTAAACGCTCTGGTAAACCCTGGTACCGTATTCACAAGGAAAAGAAACACATACCGTCGACCTCCTTCACAAGTCTTCTCAACTCTTGGAAGCCACCCATGAGATCCTGCTCTGTGCTTCCCCGTTCGGCCATAAAATGAGAAGAATCTTGTCTGCCCCTTCGTAAGCCAAGACTGCTGGCAAGTGCAGAGTCTCTAGCACTGAACGTGTGTAATGATGACGCCCATCTCGAGTTCTTGCGCATGACGGAGGTGACGGAAAGTATTTCAGACAAAAGGATGTGTTTGAGGGAGACCTCGGTCTTCGGGACACTACGTCCCATTCCTAGAAGCGCCATTACGGTTGAAAGTGATTGTGAAGGAGTGCAGCGAATCAGAGGGAGAAGATGGTGGCATAGACCATACGTGTCGCAAGCGTCCGCGACTGCACTACCAAATGCGGGTATTTATTTCAGAGGGTTTTGCCAAACAAGTGACCGAATAAGGAACCACTTTTACCTAAACTAGCTCAAGAACTATATTGCTTATCTCATAGCAATTGCTGTTCCAACTGATGATTATCATACGCGTGTGCGTACTCGAAAGCAAAGGAAACAATGATATACACGTGTCTGAGCTAAAGTCATACAGGAAAAGGGACATCTGAGAAAGCGCTGTCTTCACTGTCCCGAACTCTCCCCTGTTCTTTGCATCATGGCGGCTTGGCCAGCAGCGGTTGCTGCAAGTCTCGAACGTTTTCGCTCCGCCTCTGTTCAGATGAATCAGAAAGCGCAAAGTATGAAGTATGATGGTCTACAAACCTGCTTCCTTCTCTCGTTCAATATCGGCAACAATTGCTTCAATCTGGGAAAGGTCCAAGCTCTGAACAAGCTATTAGCTACACTTCCGAACTAGATGAAAAGGGTTACATACTGTAATTTTGCCGTAGCTTTCCATCACACTGATTTCAATGTTCTTCGCGCCAGTTTGGACAACTTCCAGAAGACTCTTCACCGTCAGTTTGATAGCATCGTCGCGAGACATGCCATCTTTGTGGTTCTTCTCCAAAAATTCGCGCACAGTCTTCGATGACCGACCGATCGCATTCGCCTATTGTCCTCGATTAAATAAACTCATGTGGATCGCACCATAGTACTCACTTTCCACTCGCTGTAGATGCCGCTTGGTTCTGTCTGGTATAGTCGGGGCTTGACATCATGAGGATCAAAGCCAACGATCAAAGTTGAGATTCCGAATGGTCGAACTCCTCCCGATTGCGTGTATTTCTTTGACGAATTCAGTGCCACGTTCATTCAAACGGTGGAAATAGGTCCTACCTGCTGGATAGTGGCGATATGTCTGGTGATATATTCTATCGTAACGGGGTCTTCTACAGTCAGACGGTGACTCTGACATTCTATCCGTGCCTTGTCAATCAAGACACGACCGTCGGCAGTGAGACCTGCACGAACAACTGTGAGGTACAGAATTGCGAGCTAGAGATTCAAACCCACCGGCGAATGCAAGACAAACATGGTCATCAAGCATGGCAACCTTCCGTACGGTCCTAGGATCTTGTAATTGGAGAACCGACTTCTTCTCTACTCCGAGGACTACAACGTCTTGGCCACGAACTCCTACCTGAAATGCTCGGTTAGTCTATGCACTGAGAGAGGCATCGTTTAAACATACAGCGCACGTTCCCTTCCGTACGGCCTCTAGAGCATATTCGACCTTTCAAGCGGAAGTCAACCACACACTCAAACTACACTGAGTGAACGATTGTAATACCTGGAACAAATGCCCGTCCGGCGAGAAGACGGTGAGAGCTATACAATGTGAGTAAAGTGATCAATTTCAGTAAAACCCTAACATACCTCGATCGTAGGATCTAGACATGGTAAAGCGATGGGTGAATAGGGAGTGTAGGGAGTGGTAGAAGCAGGATAGCGTGTACCGACGCGCGTACTGAGGTGACCGCGGTGAAGCGCTGATGCCGCACGTGCGTAGGCGTCTAAGCAATATCATAAGTATTGTCGGCGCTTGCACTCGATCAGTATCCGACAGTCAGGGCCATCCTTTCAAGTTTAAACCACCCTTCAAAGATTCAAGTTTCGTACAAGTCCTTTCCACACAGAAGTAGACGAAATTATCCAGTCATATCGACACCTTTTCTATGGGAAAAGCTTTGGATGAAGATGTGCAGTTCTTGTATTCTGTTGCTCCGTATGTTTCTACCCTTCCTGCCACTTAGCTAAGACCTACAATGCGCACTGCAGTGAACCCTTCCTTTGTGAGCTATGCGCCGCAAACCTAGATAAGGAGACTCCGCAAGCTAGGCAGGCGCATTATGACAGCCACCTAGACAATGAATCGCAAGGTATGTAACTGATGATTTGTCGAGAAACTCAACATAACAACTGAATTCAATCCAGCTTCAGCTTCAACGAGTAAACCAAAGAGCCCAACTAAGGCTCTCCCTAATGCTAAACGAATCTTCACGAGGGAACGTACATCTGAGGAGTTCTGGTATCCCTCCAAGAGCACACCGTCACCCAGGAACCATACCCCATGTACGTTTATGTGTTACATGGACCTTCCTCACCTCTGACGATCTGAAGGAAAGCTTTGATACCCCTCATTCGCAAAGCTTTACTCAGACTCCATGCCAAAGGTCAAGTTCAGAAGGCGTATCTGTGCTTTCCAGGTGCTGTGCATGTTAGTCAGGAGCTCTGGGACGCCGGGTGGGGTTGCGGGTGGGTTGTTCAAGCCTTATTCATTCTCTCCTTTATAAGGTCTCATAAAGAAGGTCAGATACCGAAATTTCATGATGGCATGTTCGTCTATGGTGGAACGAGATCCAATTTACTTCCCTTTACTCGATGACCCCATACCTCCCGGTGTGCGGAATTTGCAATCTTGGATAGAGCAAGCTTGGCATGAGGGTAAGTATGACTCTAGAGAGTGACCTGTTTTAAGTGAAGCTGACTTCTTATGTTTACAGGCTTTGATCTGGAAGGCGCAGAGCAGCTTCGAAATAAGCTTGCTGGTACTTCAAAGTGGATTGGAACAGCAGGTGTGACATATCCTACATTGAGACAGGTTGAGTGATGACTGATATATCATACAGAGCTTTATGTTGCCTTCACATATCGAGGTATTCCGTGAGCACTCAGAATATCCCTTTATTGTGTAGATGCATGTACTGATGCCGAATAGCTCACAACTAGTCGACTTTGATCTGACGCGACATGGAGGTACGACTTCTCCTTTTCTTCTCAGCAACTCTAAGTTAAGGTGTGATCTGCAGGAATAGAACCTTTATTAAATTGGGTCGTGGAATACTTCGCCGCCGAGTCTGATAAACAAAGCACAGTCAACGATGCTTTGCGTGGAGCTACACCCGTTGTGGTGACCGATAAGATGCCTTTCATATTGCAGCACCAAGGACACTCTCGTACAATCATAGGCTTTGAGCGACGAAAGGATGGCACGATTAGCCTGCTCATGTTCGACCCAACGTTTGTCCTTGACATTGTGAATGACAACAATATGATTACAGCTAACCACTTCGTTTTGTAGGTTTTTACCTAAACACGTCAGAGATGCAGCATTGTCCATTCACTCTGGCGATAGTTCTAGCCCTGTCTCGCTATCGTCTGAGAGGCACAATCTCTCACCCTCCAAGTTATTCAACAAGGTCATGCACCCATATAAGAGCGAACGGAAACGGAAAGCGAGCGACACAAGTCCCACTGCCCATTCAACCAAACGTGTACGGAACGGCGATATTGACAACGACGTAATTGTGATCGACAGTGATGACGAGAACGCACCGGGACCGAGTCGCAAACCTAGTTTCACACCCGAATTGGACCCTATCGCAGTCATAAAGCCGTTTCGTCTTCCACCTGACAAGTTGAAGTACGTAACATACGGTCCTTCCGTTCATGAATCCTTGACAACTGAACTCGGTTTGTAGGAGAAATGACAAGTATCAGATACTCTATTTCCCTATGACAGACTCCTGGGATCGTTCCGCTCGGCTTGCTCGTCGCATTGTCACCAGTGTGAAGATGGTCTAGGTTACGTGTAAGCGAAGACTGGTGCGGATTACAATGGATACGACGACGACTTGTGTAACGGCGCATCACTGTGCATTCTGAACCTCATACATATTGGGCACCACACCGTACTGTTATACCATAGTAGTTTATATTATTACAGACGTACATATGTTTGGCATTGTCTGGTATCTATTAATGCGTTGTAATTATACAGAGTACATGGATACAGGATGAAGGGCAAATACACAAACAGTCATCCACTCAGAAACCGCTAAGCTGCTGTCATTACAACATCTTGGCTAGTACTCGCGGGAGGGGGTTCCGACCGTAACCCTTGCAATGGACGAACATCCAGACCTGCTACGGCAAACCTAAGTGCTCTTTCCCATGCCTCCTCCACTCGGTATCCTCCAGCCCTCATAATGCCCTCCCTATCCTTCCTTACCGCGTCACTTACAGGATCGTCGTAGTCGTCCCGCAAAGTGAATTTGTCTTCATAAGCGTACCAATCATCTTGAAGGGGGACATGTGGGACATCTGGCACTGCAGTGCTCTGAGCAGCACGGGAGCGGAGCAAATGTGAAGTGCTTCGTAATGCGGGAGTTATTATACGAGCAGCAGCGCGTTTCATAGCCTCTGCACGTGAACGGGCAATAAGCTTCTTCACGTCCTTGTCACTCGTCTCCAGTTTATCGATAAGCTCTTGCCGACCTTTCTCTTTTTCTTCACGCTCTTCCTCTTCAAGCTTCTTGAGTTCTGCTGCTCGTTGCTCACGTTCCAGTCGGTCGGCTTCTTCCTGCTCTTTGAGATATTGAGCATACTGTTCTTCTCTCTGGAGGTTCTGCTCGATGATGGCTGCATTTTCTATTTTGTATTGCGCTATTCGGGCCTCTGTCTCTGCGACGTCGATGTCATTGATAAGATTGAATGCTAGGTAATAATCAATCTAGGTGTCCGTCGAATGGGAAACGCTGGGGCTCACCAATATCTTCGACCTCCTCGAGATAGTCATTATATGATCGTAAGTCTGGGAAATCTTCTCTCCGCTTATTGAACCTAGGGTACGTGATTAAGTCTCAAAAGTAAGAGGCCGCGCAACAGGAACATACTCTTTGGCTATCCGACGTCTCACAGCGACTTCTTTCTCGACATCTAAGTCCTCAAATGTTTGTGGTGTAAACGCCAGTTTTCGTAGAATCTTATTGCATATCGGACATGGTGCGGGACCTAACGTAAATAAACGGTCGATGCAAGACTCGCACCTAGAGACAAATGTCTTAGCATGCCAGACACCTGACATATGAGGCTACCTACATCTTGTGATAGCATGCACTGACCAAAAGACGAAGTTTGGGATTCAAATATCTATCTGATTTGCATACTGGACATTGGTCGTCCATAGACTTGGAGACATAAGTCATGACATAATCCAAATGTCGTCCAACTCACAAAGTACTCTGATGTTCGCCCTGAGGGATCCTTCACTCCACCTCCGAATATCGTAGTCGAGGTGCTCTGCACCTGAGGTGTTGAATGGCGCGTTGCACTGGAGCCATTTGAAGAACCACCTTTCCTAATCGTGGTTCCTCTAAGCCATCGGGACATCTTGCGTAGACCACCGACAAATGGAGAGAAAGCCTTCTTAGTGAGACCTAGAGTATAAGAGGTCCTTCTGAGTGCGTTTAACTTACTCCCGCTAAATCAACTGCAGAGGTCGAGTACAAATTCGGTGTAGGTGACAGGCCAGTGCGAGTCGTATAAAGACAAGAAGATGACGAGTGCCAAATCGCGTAATGACAACCTTTATGGGCGCCAAAGTGCACTTGCTTGTCAAGCAATTATAATCCTGGGCCGTTCGTTCGCAGTCCAGGCGGTGGTCGCGATAGTTATGAAAGGCGTAGGACGGATGGTATGTGAGAGTCGTGACGTTATAAAAGACGGTCAACTCAATCATGTCTCGTGAGACAGGCTCCACCTTCCTCAAACATTTCTTTTTGGCATTCACGCTGTCTCTCGCAATCATAGCGTTCACTTTCTTTCGCTCTCACATCCCAGACGTCCGTTCATATCTCCAATCAACCTCTCGGAATATGTCGGCCTCCACTTCATCTTCTTTGAAGCTACCCAAGACACAAGTTGAATGGCGTCAGGCCTTGGATGACCTTCCATCTACACCAGACAATATTCCAGCATTCTTCTTTGGTCATGGTTCACCCATGCTAGCTATGCCTGAGGGTGGGGGCGGAGGATTTGCAAGCGTCTTGAAACATGCTGGCTCCAAAGGACCGTTGGCCAATTTTCTACGTGATTTCGGTCCTGCGTTACTGGAAAAGTACAAGCCGAAGGGCATCGTTGTATTCAGTGCACATTGGGAAACGTATGGCGAACGTCTCGGTAGGCACAAAAGTTCTGATTTGATGCCAATCATAGCTGATAGTTCGTACACAACCTGTAGTGACTGATTATGGAGAGGAAAATCCTCTCCTCATGGACTATTACGGCTTCCAGCCCGAACTGTATCAACTCCAGTTCAAGTCTAGAGGTGACTCGAGAATATCGCAGCGCATTGTGAAAGCGTTCCAAGAAGTATGTTTGGTCAGTTCCTCAGAGTGTTGGCGATAATCATACCTGCCTGTAGGCTGGACAACTTGCTCGCACTACGACCAAGCTTGAGGCCCGTGGAGAGGACGGCCGAGGGTTTAGCGGGCCCGGATTAGATCACGGCGTTTTCGTTCCTTTCCGACTGATGTTTGGGGAACAATTTCTCGACATACCCATTGTGCAAGTTTCTTTTGACGGGAGTTTAGATCCTGCAAAAAACTGGGCCGTAGGACAAGCAGTAGAAGCATTGAGGTAAGCACGCAGTCATCCGAGAAAATTATTGGCTGTAGCACAGAAATCATACCTTCTTCTTACAGGAGGGAAGGGCTCCTGATATTATCAGGAGGTCTAACGGTCCATAACTTGCGCGACTTTTCGTGTTTCTCAGAAGATTCCGCGCGGCCCACATACAAGGCGTTTGATGAAGCTGTAGTCAAGGCCGCCGCTGTCGAGGACGTGAGTGATCACCGCAGTAACCGAACTTCTTGACGCGTGAGTTGACATTATATGATTTACAGCACGATGCTCGGAAGAAGGCCTTAGTGGCTCTCACCAGCCATGAAGGCTTCCGACTCGCGCATCCGAGAGAGGATCATTTTGTTCCCCTGTATGTTGCGGGAGGCGCTGGGGGTGAAGGTGCGGCGAGGGTCGTGGCTGCGATATATGGATCACCGACTATTGCATTTGGCTTGTAATGAAGTGGCATACCTTGGCTTGCGACTCGTGTACCGACCATGTACCTTACAGTTCGTACCTTTATACGTGTACATATTGTCGTCATGCGATTCCACGGTCGGCGGTATTATATACTTTAGCTCGGTGCTTGTACAGAGGTCCAAGACGATCAGCGGACGATTTATGACGGGAAGTTATCTAGACACCGAACGTTTACGCCTCATCTGCCAACTGCTATGACTAGCCTGTCACGGGCATGCATGGCATCATGCGAATACGAGACGGCACCGTTCAAGTACTGTCAGTGGGAGGCCGCCTGTCGAACAGCTCCTTTCAGCAAGGACTGGACCTGCCATATCAAGCCGGCATTACATAAGATTAACATCCGATCGTCATCGGGATAGATCGAATTCCCACGTGGCCGGACGTGGTGGTTACCAATTGTTCGCAGGTTGTTCGCCATAAGTTGAACTCTCTTACTCTCTCAAGTCTGTATCTATAAAATCCTCTTCTTGCACCCTCTAGTTGCTAGGTATAATACCGTAGGGTACACCTAGTGGTAAGTCATATATCCAGATATACACAGCCACGGATAAGACATTGGACTGAACTTGAAAGCACGTAGCCCTGTCGGAAATCTGTCCCTCTTCCACTGATTTGCTTGATTAATATTTCATCTTCTAAGGACTTTGTGCACTACTTTCTACAGTTGATGAGCCACCAGCTCTACTGTATTCTTGCCGCCTCTTTCATTCGTGCACGGTGAGCAGCACCATCGACCTGCTCCGCCATCTGTTTGAGCAACCCCGCCTGATACAAATACCTTTATGACCAATCCAGCTGCGCGATATTCCAGATAGCCAGGAGTTAGTGACCCCCCCCTTTTCCGACTATTTTTTGATTCATCATGGAGCGCCACCAATATGCCGCTTTTCGTTCATCTTCATTACCAATTCCCAGTGAGAGGGCTCGAGCAGGTACTCCCAATCCTCCCAGACGAGAATCGAATTTTATGGTGACAGATGGACCCATCACCCCTCCCCTCTCCCCCACCATCAGTGAGGACGGTGATGGCGATATCATCGTTGATTCGGAACCTCGGTATAGTGGACAGAGACAAGATGTGCCCGCAAGTATCAATCCGACTGCACATCCAGAAGCTCATTTTCGCCGCCCAAGTCGGGGAGTTGAAGCCGAGCAGCAAATGGACATAGATACCGCCGAGGAATCAACTATACCAAAACCAGCTGCTAGGAACCTCGAGGATGAACAGTCGCATGTTCATCGTGGTTCTCTGAAGCTAACAGATTTCGAAGTGAAAGGCACCTTAGGTTCGTTGATAGGCGATAATGTTTTAAGTTGCTTTGATTAATGAGCTTTACATTCTTATAGGTACAGGTACCTTTGGCCGCGTACTTCTTGTGCGCCTGCGCTCTTCAAACTCACAAAATTCACAAAACTGCTTCGCCCTGAAGATTCTCAGAAAATCTGAAATTGTCAGGTTACGGCAAGTCGAGCATGTCAACGCAGAGCGTTACATCCTTTCTCGGGTCCAACACCCATTCATTGTCGACCTTTTTGCCACATTCCAAGACAGCCTCAACATTTACATGCTTCTATCATACATTCCCGGAGGCGAACTGTTTACTCATTTACGGCGAGCCCAGCGATTTACTCCCGACGTCACCCGTTTTTACCTTGCCACCATTGTTTTGGCTCTCAAATATCTCCATTCATTCAATATCATCTACCGAGACCTCAAGCCCGAAAACCTGCTCCTCGACTCTCGCGGATACCTTCGCCTCACCGACTTTGGTTTTGCCAAAATCGTCGACGACCGTACCTGGACCTTATGCGGGACCCCAGAATATCTCGCACCTGAAATCATTCAATCTGACGGCCACGGAAAAGCTGCCGACTGGTGGGCTTGCGGAATCTTGGCATACGAAATGATGGTGGGATATCCACCATTTTTCGATGAAACTCCATACGGTATCTACGAAAAGATACTGAAGGGTAAAATTCACTGGCCCAAAGAGATGGACCGTTACTCAAAAGATCTCATCAATGCGTTCCTGCATCCCGATCGTTCGAAGCGATTGGGAAACATGATTGGTGGTGCCCAAGATGTTTTGGATCATCCGTGGTTCCGAGGCGTAGACTGGGATGCACTCGAGCGTCGTGAAATAAGGGTGAGCATGGTTGTATTGACTTACCGGCTCAATTGATTGACTCATTACATTTTCTAAGGCACCAATAATTCCGCATGTTACTTCCGTAGATGATACTCGTCACTTCTCACGTCTGCCTTTGCCTCCAGCGGAAGAGATCCCAGGACTGATTCGTGAAGAACAGCCTCCGGCCTTGCAACAACAGTTTGATCCTGTTGCGTATCAATTCCTTGAGTTCTGAATGTGGTCACGAAGACATCTGTTTGATTCTATCTTACTCTGACAGCATCCTAACTAGCGTACGAATGCTGTTCGATATCTTTGACGAGTTCGAACTCGGTGTCTAGCATTGATCCTTTTTCCCTACCTCTTGATGTTCAGACTCCATACCTTGCAATAGGGCATGACTGCGTACCCCCTCTCCTTTGGTTTCAGCTTTGTTTTTGCTTTGTTTTCTAGGATGTTCTACCCCTCTTCTCCGTCCATCTATCTTATCTCAACTCATTACTTCGCATCCGCCACCATTGACTGTATCTCTCCACATCCTACTGTATAACTTTCATACGGCTTTCGTCTCCTTTAGGTTATCCGTTCTGGTTGTTTCTTGTTCTGTACAGTGCATGTCATATAATTCACCTCCATATGCTTTCCCTGTCATTTACCGTACTTGTCAAAATCTTTTCGCTCTTCTGCTCGCCCTGTCTCATTGAGCATGTATGCTTGCATTCAAGCTTTTCGCTTCAAGATAGTTAGAAAAGACAAATTAAAGTCGGCGCTCCGCGATCGATCGACAGTTCCCATCCAGTATACACCAAAACAATTTCTAGACGCCTGCATCGTAAAACATACACTCATTCTCCTACATGGGCAAGAAACGCAAGAACAGAACTCATCTCAAAGGAGGCGTTGCCTCAAACCCTCGAGCTGCCGAAGGAGTCCCGAAATCCTTCATCATCAAACACGGACATGTTGGCTCGTCTCTCGCACAACTCGTTCGAGATATGAGGAAAGTCATGGAGCCTAATACTGCCAGTCGACTAAGGGTCAGTACATCAGTCTGCACGTTGTCAATCGATTGCTGACGCTAGGTTGTAAGTGAAGGAACGTGCACGTAACAAACTCAAAGATTTCCTGACGATGGCTCCTGCACTTGGTGTGACCCATCTCTTGGCTTTCACTTTGACCGACCTTGCCCCTTCGTTCCGCGTCATTAGGCTTTCTGCGGGTCCTACACTGAGTTTTAGAGTAGAACGGTATAGTTTGGTGAAAGATATGCTTCGGACTTCGCGGAGAGCGAGAAGTATAGGAAGCGTCGAGTATCTCAGTCCTCCGTTGGTGCGTAGGCAAAACATCCTATCAATTGGACCCCATATCTAATGGCTTCATTATTTTCTTCTTTTAATAGCTTGTACTGGCATCATTTCCTCCTCCAGGACCTAATACGCCACCCCATCTTTCTCTAGTCGTCAAGACCTTCCAAACACTCTTCCCACCACTAGCACCTCAATCGTTAAGTCTCTCATCCTGTCGTCGCGTAGTCCTTGTCTCCTACAACGCCGACAAAGGTACCATCGATTTCCGACACTACCTCATCACCGTCAAACCATACGGAGTCTCGAAACGCGTCCAGCGAGTCCTCGACGGTGCAACAGCTGCAAAAACTTCATCTTCAACTAAAGGTGTCTTGGATCTCGGAAACGAGAAAGACGTTGCCGACTTTTTGTTGAGGAAACGTGGAGAACCGGGTCCGAGCTCAGATGGTTATGAATCTGCTGCTTCGACTGCGTCTAGCGTTGCTGGAGACGATGCAGATGCTATCTCATTGGTAGATGATTATGTTGGCAGGAATAACAAGAAGGGCACGAAAAGAGCTGTGCGGTTGGATGAGATTGGGCCTAGGATGGAGTTGAGGTTGATTAAGATTGTGGAAGGGGTTCCTGGCAAAGAGGGCAGTGTCATTTATCACGAATTTGGTGCGTTCCAATGTTTTTTTTTTTTGCATATGCATGATCTGACTACCTTTCTCTTCTTCTTTCCCTTGCACAGTCAAAAGGTCCAAGGCTGAGATTGTGGCTCAGAAAGCTGAACATGCAGCCAAGGAGAAACTAAGGAAACAGAGGCGAGAAGAACAGGAGAGGAATGTGCAGCGGAAGAAAGCAGAGGGTGAAACAGGTGGTGATAAGGAGGGTGACGACGAAGATGAGGAATTGGACGAAGAATTGAGCGAAGACGGCAAGCAAGAGGGGCAGGCGGATTATGAGAATGAAGGAGAATGGGATGACGAGGAAGAGATCAGTGAAGAGGAGGAAGCTGACTATGCATCTGGCAGCGATGCGGATGGTAGTGAAAGCGAGGACGAACCGGAAAAGCCGCCATTCAAAAAGTCGAAGAAGAGTAAACGGTAGTGTTTTCTATATCACTCAGAGTATTCTTTGCGTAGAATGGTGTGGGTGATTATGCATTACATGTAGTCTATATGCTAGTATATCCCCCAGATAAGTAGGGCGTGACTTAGGCACTACTTTTTGGCGACGGTGTCGGTGTCGAAGACGTCGAAGGTGCCCGAATCTTGTCGGTCCAGCGATGCCAGAACTTCGCTGTTCTCAGTCGGACGCCTTCCCAATTGTCCAAAGCAGGACGAACATCTAAGTAGAAGGACAGATTACCCGCCGCTGACCCCGCACGACCAGTGTAGAAGTCGATGATGTATCGAACGCGGGTCCCACAACGGTCTACGACCCAATCATGCCGGTCAAAGGGTGGTGAATACCTAAGTGCCGTAAGTGTGAATCGGTTGCTTGACAAGAAGCAAAGCGAACGTACCCTAAGAGCATCTTCCATCGAGCTTTTGGAGTCCTCTCGTTTGGCTTGCCCTTGAAACTAACGAGCTTCACCCCACCACATTTGTCTCCTCCCTGGCCATCTTCCCATTTCATAAGCTCAGCCCAAGCCCGTTCATTAACAGCGTTATGAATCGGGACGATGACTTTCATGTCAGATGCTTGTGGATTGTGGTTCTTCCGCGCCATAGCAGAATAGAACTGTTGCTCAGAAGGGTACACCCATTTGGCACCGTCTGCCCTGGGTATCGACGATATTTCTCGTTCTGTAGGGAGAATCGATGTATGATGTGATGTAACATTGGGCTGGTGAGCGGGAGGGTGTGAATTGGACGTGTCTTTGGAGGAACCGAAGAGATTTGTCCATGACCAACGCGTGCTATGATCGACTGGGCATTTATCTGACGACGAAGATGGCATTGAGCCGTGGTCGACAGGACATTTTTCTACAGAGGACATAATTGAGAACGAAACGATTGGCTGCTGAATGATTGGGACAGTGACCCGGGAGAGTGAGTAGCCTAGCCGGCAACTCGGTTTTGATGCAGCCGGCAGCATCATCCGGCTACCCCGCATTGCAGCTCACCTGGGGTCAGTACCATGATCATCGCGAAGCCTTGTCACTAGGGGTATAAAAAGAAGCCTAACATTGAAATGCAGCCGTCTTCATCTCTTGTTTCCTTCAATCCTCCTCCAGTTTCATAGCCCAACATGCCCTCGTCCGAGCCCGTTTTCTCGACCCCACTCACCAAACTCTTTGGTATAAATCACCCGGTCATGTTGGCTGGTATGTATCCGAACCAGTACATCGTCAGAAATTTCACTTAGCCGATATGTTATACTAGGCATGAACGTCGCCGCAGGACCTAAGCTTGCGGCTGCAGTGACCAATGCTGGTCAGTTTGCTACTCCAACATCTACATGAGCTATGTCTGAACGAGAATATATCCCACAGGCGGCATTGGTGTTATTGGTGGAATTCGCCAGTCTCCCAAGATGCTGCGAGACTCTATCCGGGAGCTCAAGGAGAACTTAGAGAATAAGAATGCTCCATTTGGTGTCGATTTGCTCATCCCTCAAATTGGAGGCAACGCTCGGAAGACGAATGTAGGCCTTCATTTCATATGTCACCCTCCATAAAATCCAACTCCTGCTTCACAGTACGATTATACCGGTGGTCAACTTCCTGAATTGACCAACGTGATAATCGAAAGCAAGGCGACCCTCTTTGTGTGCGCTGTCGGAGTACCACCCAAGGAGATGGTCGACAAACTACATGCTGCTGGTATTGCAGTCATGAAGTGAGTCTCTCTCGGTACTTATTGACATGCCCTTGCTAACTAGTATTCAGTATGGTTGGACATCCCAAGGTATGTCAGGTCATGAAACGTAAGATCCTATTGCAGGCTCCCTTATCAGCTAAATTTCATCCAGCATGTAACGAAAGCGCTTGCTCAAGGTTCGTACTAACATATCATTCACTGATACAAACTATAGCTTACAGGCACACAGGGGTTGATATCATCTGCGCTCAAGGCGGAGAAGGTGGAGGTCACACAGGCGATACACCTTTCTCCATTCTCATCCCCGCTTGTGTCGATATATGCAAGAACGCCAAGAGTCCACTAACAGGCGAACCTGTTATAGTCGTCGCAGCTGGCGGTATTGCTGATGGTCGCGGGCTGGCAGCTGCCTTGTCATATGGCGCTGCTGGCGTATGGGTCGGTACCCGATTTGTCGCAAGCGTGGAAGCCGGAGCTCCTCCAAAACACAAGGAGTTGGTTGTGACTGCCGGATATGACGATACCACTCGTACCTTGATTTATTCAGGTCGACCGTTGAATGTCAGGAGGACACCTTACGTTGCATCTTGGTATGCCATCCTCAGTACTGATACTCAGAAATGCACATTCTGATTTTCTTTCGTAGGGAAACCCGACAGGAAGAAATCAAGGAACTCACCTCTCAAGGAAAGATTCCGCATGATGTCGAGTTGGAGAAACATCCTGAGAAGTCATTGGAGGGCCGGATGTGTATGTTGTCCCAACAAGTGTCGACAAAAATGGTATTCACGATGCTGATTGATTTACTGGTTGCAGGGCTCATGGGTAAGGTCGCAGGCTCTATCAATGTAAGTTCCTCCATGATATATACGGAGCATGATGCTGAGAGCGAAAATAGGACGTCAAACCAGCGAAAGAAATGTACGTTGATCTTTCAATCGTCCTTCCTGCACACATCTGATGTTTTGTCAAAGCGTCGACGAACTTGTCAACACCGCTGCGAAAAGTCTTATCAATGCGACAAGCCTCATCCTCCCTAGTGTCAAGGCTAAGCTATAAGTTTCCCTAAACCCTCAATGGCGTATCATTTGAATGAATCTATTACAAGATATATACGAGGCTGGGTATCAAGTATTCTCATCTATCGCATTGTACATTACGATCTGCTTCCATATATGTCCTATCAGTCGTCTTCCATAAGTTCGGCCAACTCACGTTCCTCTTCTTCCGTGAGGCCTGATGTCTTCTCAAGTTTTACTGGTTCTACTGGAGCCAAAGCTGTGGTCTCTATCGGCTTAGGCGGCGGAGGCTGCAGCAATTCTGCCAATCACACACATCGTAAGACAAATCGCGGGTCAACCGACGAACAGACTCACCTGTCAACTTCCATTTCCGAATCGTCCCATCCAAACTCGTACTAATCACCCAAGGCTCAACCATAACCTTCCCCAATTGACCCTCCACAGCAGTGCGTCTCATCCACAACCTCAGTGCGGTCACGTCATGCCAATGTGCATCCACTGTATTGAGAAGTTCTGGTTCACGAGGGGAAGAGACATCATATACCCGAATGACGTCTCCGGAACCTGTGAGGAGGTAGGGTTCCGCGAGAGGTGTGAGGGAAATGGGTAGGATGGCTTTGACTGCTGTTGGATGAGTGATTGGTGGGATGGGTTTTGAAGATGAGGAGGCTTGGGTGGGGTGGTCTATGATTTGAACTGTATCATCTGAGGAGGCTGTTGCATTGACATAATCAATGTGTTCACACATGGGTGTGTGAAAGGAGCGTACCAGTCCATAGTTGGCCATTACCATGATACATCTCATTCACACCTGTCCGATGGTTCTGTAGGTCATCGATCTGGGTAGCCCGGAATCTAGGCGGAGATACGTCTGCTTCTTTGCTAAGTTCCCATACTTTGATGATACCCATCGTATCACCGGTATAGAGAATGGCGGTGGAATTCGACTCGGGACGCGCATAGAGAGATTCTACAGGTCGTGTGTGTGCTGAGATTGAACCGACTGATTGTAACGGTTTGCCATTATGAAGTGAAGATAAATCCCTGCGTGAAGCCTGGTCATCACAGAGATTTGCGGAATGTGAAGAATAACTGCATACCAGAATCTGACTATCTTGTCTGAACTACTGGACACCAGTAGTTTGAGTGATGGGATAACTAACAGAGACTTGACAAAATCCGTGTGTGCGGGCGTCGAGGAGATCAACTGCTTCGTCTATAGTTGAGTTCAGCGAGAGGCTTTTGATGAAATGTAGCTTTGCCTCACCTCAACATCCCACACATTGATCGTCTGTACACTGAATGAGCATCCAATGTTAATGATAGAAGCAGGGGTACATACTTTGTCCCATGACCCAGATATCAGGATACCATCATCCCCAGAACCAGGTACCTTCTCATAGAATGCGAGTGAAGTCGCCGGTGCAGTGTGTCCACGGAACACTTGGAGCGTTTTGCCAGTCTGGAAGTTGATCTCAGAGACACTTCACTTCACTTGAGAGTGAAGTGTTTGCGTACCTCAAGGTCAATCTTTCGAATAACAGATGTATTCTCAGCTATCCATGCGTGATTACCTCGAACTTGGATCGCAAGAGCAAGTCCAGACAGTTTAATGGGTGAACCCAAGTCTTTGGTCTTCTCTGCCTTGGCTCTCCGAGCCTGAGCTGCGTCTCAGTGGTGTAGAGAGGATTTTAGTGAAGGAGACTCGCCTCTTCTAGGACGAGCTCAGCCTCTGCTCTGAGGAAACTAGATTTGTCGGTCGTGGCCATGGTGAAATGGAGAAAGTCCAGAAAAGGACACACACCTGCCAGAATAGGTAGTCTCATCCTTTCTGACGTTTACCATTCTTCGCTGCACAATTCAATTTCGTTTATTCTCTAATTATGAGCCGCTTGGCCTCTTTTCGTGGACCCTCTACACCAACATCATCCCCAGTACAGGCAAGGCAACCTAGTTCTCCTTCCTCTCCCTCGCGAGTGGCAGAATCAACCTACCATCGTAAAACACGGTCGATTCTTCAGGAAGTACGCACAGTCACAGAGAATTGGGATGACATCGTCTTGGTCGATGGTCTGAAAGCGGCAAAGAGTCTTGTGGATGCACGAACAGATTTGGAGTATGTCCCCTAGAACGGTTACTTTATGGAGGCACTGGCTAACTATGAACGTAGTAATGAATTGTCCACACTACCTGCAGGAAAACAGCCTCCGTATCCTTTGGTAGAGCCTAAACTGTCCCTTATGGAGAAGAGAATATCAGAGCTTGATACTGTCATTGCGAAACTGGTGTGTGAATTACTCTGAGGCCCCTGGTCTTTTCACTAAAGTGAAATGCAGAAGAAGCAATTCCAAAGGCTGAACAACTTAATCGAGAGTCTCGAAAATCTCCTCCATGAGACAAGCAAGGCGAGGGGTTGGACCGCTGTACAAGAGCCTTTATGGGTAACGTGGTCATTGGAGAAGTTCGGTATGTCTCATTGTATGCTCTCTCAGTATGTGATACTAACATTGTTTCCAGCCTCAACGCTTCCTGATATCCTTATCCCCTACCACCGTTCACTTCAAATGCACATTGAACTGGTCGATCTACTTCGCAGTCACTCAGTCAAATTTGAAGCCTCCCGTGAAGCAATCAACAAATGGGTCACTCAACCATTCCTTCAGGAAGACGGATGGGAAGCGCAATGGGAAGACCTCTGCGAAGCAGAAATCGATCGATGGGAGTAGCAAATGAAACGGCAATAATGACATGGTACAAAAAAAGCAGCAACAAATATTACAATCATAGATCCTCCTCGTCCGAGATCTGGATCTCGTCCTCATTCTTTTGCGCTGCAACAGCAACGGTTGGTGCTTCCTCCAGTCGGACATTCACACTCTGCTTCGCAGCGACGAATGCCGGACCCTTCGCCCCACCTGCAGCTTGTCTCTCAGCTGCCGCCATGGCATCTGCAGGTGCCTCTTCCTCAGCCTCCATCGAACCTTCCTTGGAAGCCATCTGTGCAGCAAGGTATGACGCTTCGGTATTGAACTGTGCTTGCACACTTCGCTTGATACGAAGCATTTCTCTGAAGGTGTCTTCGGATCCAGTCTCGATCTCGAAGTTGTGCCATTCTTGCCAGAAGTTGGGGTTGACACGAGGATCGCAGAATTGGGATGCGTGTGCGTAAATTGCCCGTGCACGGTCGATTTCGCCCAGTTTGCGTTCCATGGAGGCGAAGCGCAGGCACATCTCGGCGGTTTGTCTATCGGGAAGGATCTCAAGTGCACGTTCATATATGGGCCGGGTCGCGGGAAGACCATAGTTTTCGGTGGCTTTCGCGATATAGACGGTGAAGAGCTGGATGAAAATGTAGATAAATCATAGGAGTGGACACACATAATACAGATTGACATACCGCGAACTTGTCTTCATCTGCGACCACCTGTGTGGCACGATCGTAGATGGCCATTGCACGCTTGGCAAGACCATACTCTTCCTCGTACGTTGCGTACATGAGGAATATGGGCTTGCACGACTTCTCCGGGCATTTGTCCAATGCTTGCTCGAATAAGTCTCGTGTACGTTCTACCTTGGTACCACCCTGAGCCGGACATCTTATTAGCAAGCTAATGGAATGATGCTCGCTGAAACTTACATATCGCTTGATGAACTTTGCAAGGTATATGTTCCAGAGCTCGAACGATACGGGGAACGTGAAAAGCTCAACACCACGTTCGTACACCTGGATGGATCCTGAACGTCACTCCTTGCTCAACAACAGAATGCATGACTACATACCTTGAAACTTTCTTCGTAATACTTGTTCTCCTCCAAGAATGAAGCATAGTTCACAATAATCTGAGCGTTGGCTATACGAAGCTCCAAAATCTTGTCGTAGACTGTCTTGGTCGATTCTACAGTGCCCAGAGACTCTTCCAGGTCAACGTAGAACGACCAGAGTTTGAGGGACTTGAAAAGTCGTGTCTGAGCAGATAGTGTCTAATGAAGGTGTCAGACAAGGTGAAGAATACTGCAGTATATGAAACATTACATGATCATGGTAGTTGACCTTGGGGTTCTTCGGAACGAACGCTGCCCGTTGCATCACACGAATAGCCTCGTCATAACCGCTGTGGTCGGTGCGTCAGGATCGTAAGAAGCACATATTAAGGAAAGAAACATACTCGTGTCGAATTTCCATCTCTGCCCACTCACACCAAACTTCAGCAAGGTCATCCACATTCTTGAAGTTCACTTTTGTGCCCTTCTCAAGTATCTTACGTGCGCTATCAAGATCGGGCTCCGCTTCGCCAGCCGTACCGCCCTCTTCGTAGAACTTGGCGAAGTTGATGTATAGTCTGTGGAAGTTCGCTGTCGCTCTTCGAGGGTTGACTGTCGAAAGCGCCTCAGTATATGTCTCTGCAACCTATGGCATTTATTAGTAGAGAGCTCGCTAAGGAATGAGAAAGTCGTAACCCGTACTTTTTCATCGTTCTCTCCCCACAATGCCACACGCTTCTCCCACTCTTGAACGTCATTAGGGTTCCGACGGAGCAAAACGTCATTCACAAGGAACGGTCTTCGATCCATCAACTCCTCGAACTCCTTCATCCTTGCATCCAGCTCCTGCTCGGTCTCCTTCACGTCCTCCTCATCTTCGTCTTCATCAGGGTTCGCCAGGCTTTCCATCATGGCACTGATCAGACTCTCCGAGAACTCAGCATAAGCATCGAATATCTGCGTGAAGTCCCTGATGGTCAACACGGAAGCCAACCCCTTCTCGAATGTGTCTTTAGCACGATCGAATTCGCCGCGTTTGATCCAGTAGGTCGCCAATCCTGTCCAAAGTCGGCCAGCTTGATCCTTGTAGACCTCAAGACCGTCCTTCAAGATTATGTTCTCAATATTGAGTTTCCTCGGACTGAGCGGGTCTTCATCCTCGTCGTACAGCGGGAGCTCTTTGCCATCAAGACCTAAAGCAACTGGAGGTCCAGCAAACCTGATCAATCTGCCTTTAGTTGAGGCAGACTCGATTTCCGCCTGAGGTTTGGAGGCAGCTGTCTGTGCCTCGCCGTCAGCTTTAGCGATAGCTGCATTCGAAACCACTGTGTCATCCACATCCATTCCAACTTCGTCCGCATGTTGCTCGACAACCTCCAACCAGTCACAGAGTAGCTGGTATGGACTCTTGCCTTCAGGACTTGTGTATTTACCCTGGGCTGCCTTGCGTGCGAGTGAAAGTAGGAGCTTGGCTGCTTCAAGAGGGCGTGGTGATGGATTTTCTGGGGAAAGCAACAGAGTAGTGTATCGCTCTGTGATACTGGGATCCACTGTGAGGTAACGACGGTATACAGCGACAGTGGTAACGCCACCTCTGCTTTCAGCCCACAGAAGGTAGCGAACCCAGATACGGTGGTGAAGAGAGGGAGGGAGGGTACGAAGCGCACGATCGTAGGTTCGGCGTGCATGGGTATGTGAGATGATAGGTGGGCAGAAGGGGTGGTTGAATATCGATAGATATAGCAACCATAGACGCGGCAGCTAAAACATTGTGTTAGGATATGGTACATGATTATTAGTTCATTGAGATACGTACCCTTGGAAGCCACATAAGTGCACGTTCGAAAGTTGCGACAAGTGATTTCCACTCCTCCCAGCCTACGACGCCATCCAAACCACCTTCCCACTGTTCCAAATCTTCTTTCTCCTCCTCAAGAGCATCCCTCATCTCCGGGAACTTCTTCCTTCCACCGGCTCTTTTCTTCGGTACCAATCTACCCAGAACGAAAGACATTCGCGTCTGCAGGTATGACTTCCATAGTTTGAAGGAAGTAGGAAATTGAACGAGAGCAGCTTCGTATAGATAGGTCAATCTCTGCAAAGCTCTACGAGCTTCCGTAGATGAGAGAGGTCCAAGCAATGCAGCGGCATCTGGAGACAGATCCGAAGGACCTTCAAGCTTTTGGAGAGCAGCAGAGACCTCTTTCGTATTCTGAATAGTAGTCCACCATAGACGAAATGAGTCAGGGTTTCGCAACAGATCCTCTTCGCGGTGTAGATCCTTGGTAGAGACTAGGTCAGGATGAGTTGTTGGTGTCGGAACAGGGAAAGTCAGAGGAAACTGAGAGGACAAGTCCTCCAGTGCAGGCGAGGTAGACACAGCAACCGGCATGTCTATGAATCCCCAGCGAAGGACGACAGCAGGTAAGAAAAGGACTATTCAACCAATTAATGGTGCTCGTATTTGGTGAAAGTCAAGCGAGCGTTTGCGAAACTGTTGCGGTCCAAGTTCCCACGCTTCCAATGACGATCGAGTACCGCACACGCAGCAACAGGCAGCAACTCACTAGTACTCACTCTTTCGTTTACACTCTCACAATCTATTCGAGCAGATGGTATGAATCTCTATTTCCAGTCATCTGAATGTTCTGAACGTACTGTTAGCACGGTGTCAAACGGGTACAATATAGTCAGGCAGCCTTAGAGGCCAAGAAGCAGCGCGATCACGATAAACTGAAGGCATACTTGGCTTTGTCTGACGATGTCATTGCAAGGGTGAGTGAATGCCAGGAAAGACTACTGAATATGCACGTTTGAATAATATGTTTAGAAGAAATCTCATGACATGAGTAACGAAGCTTTCGAGCTGACCACTCGATTGCTCCGAATGAATCCAGAATTCTACACTGTCTGGAATTACAGACGTGACATGTTTATTGAGTCTCTGTTTCCACAGAGGTAGGTACGTAGTCGTCTACTTCTGTAACTACTCTTTACTAATGAGTACACAGATCGCCGTCAGAGGTCAATGAATTGCTATCGGACGACCTTAGTCTGACGTTCGAGCTATTGAAGCAACACCCCAAAGTCTACGGGATATGGAACCATCGTCGTTGGTGCCTCGAACATATCCCAGATGGACCCTCTCCGGACGACGTAAACGGCTATAGGAACTCAACCTGGAACAAGGAGCTCTTCGTGGTAGAGAAGATGCTGGATGCCGATGCACGAAACTGTAAGTGACTGATCCTCCCGAGATGTATCCGTGCTTGACCGATTGCAGTCCATGCTTGGAATTATAGACGATACATTTTGGCAACCATGCCCTTCCCTCCGCCGCCGAAATCTGAACTTGCATATACCACGCGCAAGATCGAGGCCAACTTTTCCAATTTTAGCGCGTGGCATCAGCGTTCGAAAGTGCTGACTACGTTATGGGAAACTGGAGAACTTGATCGAGTGAAGTCTATAGAAGAAGGTAATTATTCTTAGTCCTCAATGTATTATTCACGAACTCACGCATGCGCCGTACGTTACTAGAGTTCGAACTGGTCCGAAATGCGATGTATACTGACCCAGATGATCAGAGTGTGTGGATATATCACGCATGGCTCATTGGCAATGGTTCGGACCATGCCCTCTACAATTTCACTTGATTCACTCAATGTGGCCGTTTAGGTAACTATGCAGCGCGGTTGCAGTTCGAGATTACGTCCATTCAAGAGCTCCTTGATGAGCAACCCGATAGCAAATGTAAGTCTTCATCCCAAAAACGAACCGAGTAGTATCTTACACAGGCTTAGGGTGCATGGAGTCTCTAGTCCGCTACAAGCGACTGCTGATCGAGAAGCATGCGGAGAATCTAGGGGATAAGAAAGCACTGGTTGACAGTTGCTTGGAGCTGCTAGCAAAGCTACGCGATATCGATCCGCCAAGACGGCGTAGATACGATGAGATAGGTGAGTGGGTGTAGTCCAGATTAGTCTAGTTCCTTGGCTCATCGATGTCCGCTACCACAGCTGAAGGGATTCGAAGTGGTAACGAGATGCAATAGGAACGTGTACTTATTTTAGGTTCGGGCAACACGGATACTTAGCTTCCGCTGCATAAGGGTCTTCAAGAGAGAGCGCTAAGACTCAGGAAGCAACGCGAACATCGCACAACGGGCCAAAAATAAAGACTACTGCATTGGCGAGTTGAAGATCGATGATGTACAGGTGTGTTTAATCCATTCTTCTCATTATCCTACACTTCCCGCTGAGCGATTACAAGTAACCAAGAACTACGAGGATGATGGATAGTCGATGCATTTAGCACTTGCACTCGCCAGGCTTGCATGCACAGCTGGAAAAGAGCGCGGTCAACAAAGATGGAAGGTAGGATGTATCGAACAGCGACGTACCTGCTGCCGCAGTTGCAGGAGTTGGAGCCGCAGCCGGCGTTGGTGGGGACGTTAACGGTCTGCAGGTCAAAGCATGATGTTAAGCAACAGCAACGCGTTGAGGACGAGGGGCTAAACGTACGGTGAACATCTTGGTCGTAAGTTGTGTGTAAAGAGGTGAAGTCAATGTGTTTGTGTCTGAGAGGATTGAGATTCGAAGGAACGGAAAATGCACTATTTATCTGATCTCTGTATGCTGTTGTTTATCTAGCCGCCCCGATCAAGTGACTCATCCACATAAGGTGAGTAAGATCGTTCCATCCAATAGCATCTTGCTCTCCTCCCAAGCTTTGTCCAAAATATGGCTCATCTTCCCGACGCGCCAGGCCCAATACATTCCGCTCTTTGTCAGATGCTCCACAGGTTTCCCAAAAACATCAAGCGTGTTTCCACGACCGGCGCCGCCCAGGACTTTTTTGGGGGAAGGTTGTTTACAAAATGGCTCTCTCAGGCTATTCCGCGTGCTCAATCACGTTCGCAGCGGCCACTACGAGCCGTAGACCTGTTATCAGACATATACAGTTTGTTCAGCGGTATCTTCTTCTGCTAACAGTATATGGACATGGACCATGACATGGTGGCGCTTCTGTGATGTGATACAGTTCAACAAGATGGTCCTGCTGACCTTGTTCCTCGCCCCAATGTCAGTGTAGCTTTGATACTTGCACGTTCTGTTGGTGCTGGTGTGATCCGTTACTGCGGGCCTTCCCGCCCCAGCGTGAGTGCCTAGATCGATCTCAGCCACATTACAATTTGAATTACTCTCTGACCAGGTCGCATATTATTATTTTGGTTTCTTCTAGAAGCTCTAGAAGCTTCGGCTGCGCATCCCTATACAATAGCCATATCTTATCTCCACAGCTCTCGCCCTCCACCCAACTGTCAACCAACTGCGATGTTTGGGTCTGTCACTTAACGTGCTGTTGAATGCAAGGTTGTGTACTAGGTGACCTAAGGTCTTTCTTCGACTTGACGCACTCCAGACCGTCGTAGAATGAACCCCGAATCTAACATCTAACACCTATTTCCTTCATGACCGCCTTTAAGTTCGGTGTTAACGTCTCCTGAATTCTTCTCTTCCAGGCAACAGCATTTACATCTTTCGACACCCTTGGTAACTCAGCTCGGGACCATGAATGTCCCTGCATTCAACTGCACCTCTTGCCACCTTCTAAACGACATACTCCTACGAGTCCTACGACAGCGTACCCCCAGCGCCCGCAACTGCTCAGATGAGGGATCCTGAATTTCCGCCAAAGTGATTCATGATACTGCCAAGTGTCATGCAGACTTGGCGTCTTCCTCTGTCATTGCAACTTGTGTTGGAAAGATTATTGAACACCTGTTTGATGAGGGGCCTATGGGTCTGGATGCAGCCGTCAGATATCCTGTTATCCATCACATATACAAACCACTGATCTAGTGGGCCACCGAGATACCCTTGTGTTCGAGCGCATCCAACTCAATCACCACACCCCTTCTTGACCTGCAGCCTTACTTCCACACGAAGGCACCTTGCTGCCGACAGACCACGCCTCTCTGAAAGCAATGTTCCTCTCCCTCCATGAGAATGGCAATTTGCCTCTTCTCAACGACGTACACAAACACGAATGACCTTTCACTTTCCGCCTATGTATTGGAACGTCGGTGAGTCTGTATGTCCTTTTCTCGTTGGCGTTTTACTCGTCTTTTGAAGCTTTAAAGGAACACGCTTTGATAAGAAGCAGCACGAGCATCGACTCATGTTTGATTAACCGTATCCACGTACCGCAAAGCCATGTCCAATCCCCACACTACGCCTGCCCTTTTGTGCATGTTCCCACAGGCTTGAGCTGCCTGCTGCCGCCAAGTAGGTGTTTGTTGGATAGGCAGACGCTCTTTCTTGCTATTATTCTGGAGTTTGGGGAGAGTTTATATGTCGAGCATTATCCGTGCATCCTGTATTTTTCATTGTGCATTTTGCATGCGAATCGCATTGTCTTATATGTCTTGAGCCTGGGCGGTTCTGTGGAGATGTCATCCAGGCGGAGTTTGCCGGTGATCCTCGTGTTTGCAACGAGGATCGCAGGACAAGAGTCAACTTGAATCTTGAGCTGCTTCACATCGACCACTCTATCTTTCTCTCATTTACCCTCTCTCTTCTCGTCGTCCGATAGTGGGTCGTTGATATCCATGGACCCGATCAACAATAGGGATAATCTCTTCTCGAGAGGCCCTTCGCCGCCGCCTCAGATTCATCAGCAATTCCAGCCGCCGCTTTCACAATTCGGCGATCCACACGTCTCTCCTCAAGGCTCTATTCGTGATAATATGGCTGCCTCGACTGCCCATCTCGATTCTCTTTTCCACAATCTCGCTTCACCACCTCAAGCTTCGCATTCAAGCCCACAGCCTTCTAATGCAGGAAGCGTAAATTATCCCAACCCCCAAGATGTCCCTGTCTCAGGACCAGCAACGCCTGCTTCTGTCACTGCAGGTTCAATAGCATCTTCGGGCTCTGCACCATCTAATCCCGCCGCTGAGCGACAGAACGTATTATTATCGCTCCTCGGAGCTGTCGGATCTCCTTCTACAAGTATTCAAAGTGTTCAAAGTCAAGCGGCGGCTGCGCCTCCTCCGCCTCAACAGATCCCAACCCCTCCAGGATCTGCGCCGAGATCTGCTCCATCTTCTGGAGAGAATCAGGGGAAGATGTTGTTGGAGCAGTTAATGTCCGGGTAAGCCTCGTTTATTCGCCTTCCCTCGACTGCTACACTTTTATGTGGTTTGTCATCCACGTATTGCGGCTTCGCTTCTAGCGTGCCATAACCACATTGTTCTGTGGTTCTGCCCTCGCCCAGCCGCCATGTTTGGCTCTTATGTTTGAACACATTCTAACTACGCTTTGTCACCTTTCTTTCGTTATGTAACGTGAATAGCAACACACAGAAGTATAATCCTGAACCACAACCTGCTCCCCAACCACATCCGGGACCTGGAGGACCGTCTCCTACCTACAGCCTGGCTCCGGTTGCAGACTCACAGTCTCACTACGAAGGCGATCATACGCTCGGTGACAGTTCTTTCACCTCTCAGGAATTCTCGCGAGACACGGCGCCAGCTCCTCAGCCAACTCAACAAGGGCCACCTTCTCCTGCCCGTAGATCCATGTTCGACTTTGTTTCTCCTTTCGACGCTTTGGCAGGCTCTACTTCGCAAGCGAAGAGGAAGCCCGCCCCTTCTCAAGCTGCTAGCAGCATGGACGAACCTGCTTGGAATCCTCCCCCTGTTGATTCGAAACGAAAATCTGTAGAAAACCTAATGGACCAGCTTACTCGGGGGCAGGCGCCCCTGTCTGCTCCAAACCAGCCTCCGCCTATGACCGACACATACGCTCCTACTGACGAGTCAGCACAATCTATTGAGCCTGCTCAGCAAGCTCAGAGGGCACCTCGACCACTACCACCTCAGCCTTCGCAGCAGTCCACTTCCCCTCGTTCGTCTCCTCCCAAGGCTCCTGCCCAACAACGTCAACAGAGACGAGGTGCTTCTGACTCTCCTGGAGGACAAGCCCCTGACTTCTCGACCGCTATGCAGAGAGATAAGGAGAGTTCTCCACTCCCAACGAGCACGTATACCAGGAGGAAAGGCAGGGCCAGTCCCATGTACGCATTTGTTAATTACATGCGTTCGTTACATGTTTAATGACTGTTTATTTTCTGCAGTATCCATATGCAGAGTCTGATTATCGACGTTACTCGTCCACTGGAAGAGATTCAAGCTCCCAGAGATGGTGTCAAATCTACCGCTATCGCTTTAGTTAGAGTGGATTCTACCTTCTTACCTGGTACCACAATTGGCGCTACGCACTGGGTTGCTTACGCTATGACGAAAGGTATTTACTCAGCCGTTAAAAGCTTTTGTTGCATTTATGAACTTACTGTCTTTTCTGCAGGACGTGTTCGTGTTATTTCGCGCTCCAGTGGTGATCGCACTCTCTTGCAGTTGCCTCAGATTTTCCCGCCGACCGTTGCGGTCACTGACATGTCTGTTCATGGTAACAGACTTGCTGGCGTGACTTCAGATGGTGGTTTCGTTGTTTGGGAGTTGCCTGAGGTTATTCGTGACGATGTTCCGTACGTCAATGTTGTGTTTGCCTTTTACTAGAATATCCAAACTGACCTGTTAATTGACAGGGGTACTATCATGCTTTGTGTCTTGCCAACGGCAGACATGGATCCTCTTCGAGCAGTCAAGTGGCATCCTCAAGACCCTGATATTGTCACCGTCACATCGGACAATAACATCTATCTGATCAACATTGCGGATGCGGCGCACATCTTCGGTGGTCAGCCTATTTCTCAGACAGAACTCCACCGTGTGGCGCGTGTATGGTCGGTCGCTTCTCCTATCGTCGCCTTCGACTACGATATTCCTCGTTCTGCGATCGGTACAATCTCTGAGGATTCGACCCTCACAATGTGGAATATTCGTGACCAGACCCCAGTTTGGTCGAACAAGATTCGAGGAGATGATCTACCTTCGTCTCTGATGTTCCTTGAGAAGGGAGTTGTCGTCGGTCGCAAGAATGGCACCGTCTTCCAACTCCTGCCTATCATGAGGACCGACGTCCATTCGACTATCAAGTTTGTCAATGGCAACGTCGAGGACCCAGACATGTTCGGTCACGCGAATTACGACTCTAGGATTCAGACTCTCTGGATTGCGAACAACCGACGTGACAGTATGTTCGCTTTCAAAATCGACTTCACGATGCGAGACTATACTCCTCGAGGCGAGGAACCACTTCTGAAGTCTGTCATGTGCGATCAGGTCGTCGAGTTCAGTGGTCCCAAGCCCACCATTCATTTCGTCATTCTTACCGCTGACGCCGATCCTACCGGCGAGGAAGCTCATGCCGCATGCGTGGCCGCCAAAGTCCCTCCCGGTGAACTGGCGCTTGTTGCGTTTTCTGTACACTCCAGCGGCGTCGACCAAATCCTCATTCGTAAGGAGTGGTATACCTCTGCCTTCGCTCGAGCTACTTCAAAGTTCCCTTGGAACATGTTCGGTCCTGTCCCCAAGCCTACAGATGCCCGGATCGAGATGATCATTCCACCCGGCCACAACGCTGTACCTCATCCAGAGCCCCGGATGGCTCCAGCTATCGCTCCTCCAAGAAACATCATCAAGACTCCGCCGTCGGAGGAACTCGAGACTGCAGAGGCGAGCCGCGAGGAAGGTCGTGCTGAAGGGAAAGGCAAGGGCAAGGGTAAGAATGTGAACTTCAAGGACAAGGATGATAGTAGTAGGGAGAAAGACGTGAAAGGAAAAGGTGTTGATAACAATAATGCGGATTCTTTGGTGAAGGAAATCCGAAAAGTGGAGGAGAGTATTCACACTCGCATTGGGCGTCTGATATCTAAAGAATTGGATAAGCAACGTGAGTGGCTCTATGCATCGATATTCATCTTGATTCCTGCCGATACGGAGTGCTAACTATGTTTCGCTTAGATCAACGTTTGGAGGATGCTCGCGCAAATGAACAAGCTGCCGATTTCGTGCGTCAGGAGAAGATTCTCAAGCTTATCTCCACCGAGTTGACCAAGAACACTACACGCGTCGTCGAGATGGCCGTCAAGGCCGAAGTGCAGAATTCGGTCTTACCTTCTCTGGAGAACATCACCAAGAACGAGGTGAAGAGCGCTCTGAACAACCAAGTTGCTAAAGGTTTGGGCGAGTCTATGAAGCAGGTGAGTAACTCCGACCTGAACGTAAGGCTCAGTTCCTAACGGTGCTGGCATTATAGCACATTCCCGTTGAACTCGAACGTATGCTGTTACGTCCTGAAGTCGCCAACCATATGGCACGCACATTCTCTGCAACAGTAGCCCCAATTGTCGAAAGGCAGGTAAAGGAGACTGTCTCGAAGGTTGTCGTCCCGACATACACACAACAAACTGCAGCGATGCACCAGGAACTGTCCGGTCAGATTCACAATGAAATTCAGAACCTGAAGAAGGACGTTCTTTCGTGGCAGAATGAGGCTCTTCACAAGCAAGAGGTCCGTCCGATACATCTCTCTTAATCGTCACACCTCTAATCGATTCCTTATGTAGGTTGCCATCCGAGACCTGGAGCAGTCCGTTCGTTTGCTCTCTGACCAAGTGAAGTACATGGGCCTTCATGTTACCGCTCCTTCGTCTTCGTCGAACATCCCCATCCAACGCAGTTCTCCGGCGCCTTCGACTGGTGGAAACCTTGCTCAGCTCCTTCGTCATCCACCTTTGGGTAACGTCAATCAGCCTTCACAGGCCAACTATCCCCAAGTACATGGTCCCTATCCGCCTCAACAACAACCCCAACCGCCATTGCATGGACCCTGGTTTGGTCCTAGTATAGCTGCACCCCAAGCGTCTCATCCTGCAGCCCCTCCACCAGTTCCTAGCCAGCAGCCTCTGCGCACTCCTCCACCGAATGCAAGTGAGGAGTGGGATGACATGTACCTTCAGGTCCTCGCGTCTCAAGATTCGCGACAGCTTCGAGAACTCCTTGCTCGATCGAATCCTGACGTTGTAATGCCTATGAATGGCCCTAGTCCCTTGTCACAGGCTGTCGTTTTGACTTTGGTGCACCGGGTATGTAAAATATAACTTGTCCTGGTCGCTTGTATCTGATTCTTTTTTTTACAGTTGACGCAACTCATTGGCGAAACTCCTCCAGTCGAGGAAGCTTTCAAGACGTCTATCTGGTGGCTGCACCGTGCTTCGTCTACTCTGAATACTCTCGTGCGTGACCATGATACTACTCGTGCGAGTAGTCACTTACATTGGTTCTTGTCATAGGATCCTCTCATTTCTCCATACGTCGCTCGAGTCCTACCGAGCGTGTTAGGTATGCTTAACACTACTAAACAACGTCTCGCTATCCTGCCCGGCGGTCCATCGCCCGATGCTGCCCACAATATCTCCAACATTCAAGAAATTTTGTCACAAAAGCCTCTCTAGTTGTTTTCGCATGTGCTATGTTTTTTGTGTATCCCGTGTTTTGTTGTTGCCCTGTTGTCGCGTTCTCTCGGTCGCCGATCACTTATAGAAAACCCACCCTTCAATCCTGTGTTTCTCATTGCCATGCCATACTCGCAGGTTACGACGCTATGCCATGATGACCTTCACGACTCTTGCTCGAGTTTATAGCCTAATACTAGCAGTAAAAATACGTGTATCGAGCGGTTTATGACGAAATATGACTTTCGACGATTTCCAATGCACTGGTATGTACTTCCGCCAGCACGTGGGTCCTGCCGCTTGTGTCGAGTAAGTGTGCGCTTGGTTTCGCAGCGCCTTGCCACCGAACTTGCTGCAGGACCAGCGTTCTCGTTCCAAAGCCTCACGCCAGCCATCAAATACGACTCCCTACGACCTTTGCTTCTACCCTACGCGTTCTCTCCGTATACATTCACTACCTCTTCATACTCATACACACCGATTATCTCGTAACATGGCTGCTTCCAAAGGATGGTTCAATCTCGAAGCTGCCAGTGGCACGATCCCTGAGACTCAGTTCTTCGAGGGGGATTCCGCGTTCAAGTTCCTTGGGTTGACGCGTATGCAACGGCTGTATGGATTCGGAGGATGGTCAGTGTGATTCTTCTAATTTGAGTTGGAAGCATTGGTCCCCTTTGCACAGGGTCACGGTGTGATAAGGGACTGTGAAAGCTGATGATGTATATTACAGTCTGGCATTAGGTTTCATTCTGAGTATATTGGGAACGGCATTACTGTTCGTCGGTCAGCTCACAAGCTTTGCGCGTATGTAGTTATTTGTGCGTTCATAGTTGTGATCGTTCACACGATATCCCCCTATAGTCCTGTATGCTCTGGGTACAGTCATCTCGTTAATCGGCACTGGTTTCCTCATCGGTGTACGTATTCTTATTCTGAGATATGCACCCTTATGTACTCACAAGGCGATTTCGTGTAGTTCCTGAAACAATTCAAATTGGTGAGACAGGACGCTCCGAGTTTGTATGCATGCAATACTTCAGACTGACAGCCCCGCGACAGATGTTCAAGCCTATTCGCGTAGTAGCCACAATAGTCTTCATAGCTTCGATAGTTCTTATATTCGTCGGCGCCTTCGTGCTCAAGAGTGGGGTATGTATTTCTCGCTTAGTCTTATCATTCGACAGCTGTGGACTCACTTTCATTGAACCTCCGAAATAGATCCTGTGTATCAGTAAGTTGTCTCGATCCACCGACAGTCGACGCTCAGACCATAACACAATCCTTCTTTCTAGTCTTCGTCATTATCGAGTATCTCGCATATACATGGTACACACTCTCATATATCCCCTATGCGCGGTCCGCCGTCCTCAAAGTGTTTGGGCTTTGAGGGCTTGGCATTTCCACTTCGAACGACCGTGTGTTTGGAACTATACCATGTGCTATTTCTGGGATGAACTATCGACAATTGTATCGTACAAAAGTAATGTGTCTGTCGTTGTATGTCTGTCACTTTTTGGATGGTGTTCCAATGCTATTTATGGTTCGGGCTCTCTGGATTATGCGGATTCGGGGCCATAGATGCTCATTGACAAGCAGTTAATTCTGGGTGAAGGACAACGCAAAATGAGCATTGCAGCTAGTAGATGCTCTTGATACGTAACGGTGTGCATTCATTGTGTAACTGACATCCGGTTGCAACGAGCAAGCATAAATCCGATTGGTGATATAGTTACAATGTATACTTCCTTCCATAATACATCTGGTTACAATCGACTAGGTCTGTCCATAGAGCAGCATCAATCTCATCAAGGGTGTTATAAACCGTCTGTCGCAAACCTCACCCCCTGAAATGGTTCTTTAGTTCTCTCAAAGTGTCGATGGTCTCTATCTCCGTTCTGCCACGGGTCGCTTTCCTAACAACAAGCAAGGACGTTATGAGCCACCAATCGTGATTGACTTTAGGACATAATAAAGATGAGACGCACCGGATAGATTCGGCATTCAAGCGAATAAAAGGGTTCCACTCCTTCTCATCTCCAATTGTAGTAAGACCAGTAGTGATTTCGTTGCTTAAGATGATACCCTCCAAGCGTTTGAGAGCAGGGTTGTGATTGTCAACAGACTTGGCAAACGCGACGTTGCCAGCAGTGTACTCATGACCGTTGTATACAATTGTCTTGTCGGGGAGTGTGCCTAGGTATGATAGCGCTGCATGCATCTCTGCACCTGTTCCCTCGAAGAAACGTCCACAACCCGCTATGAATAGGGTGTCACCGGTGAAGACGCCCCCAGGATGGGCAGGATCAGATGGGGATGTGGCGTAAAAGCAAATGGAGTCTTGCGTATGACATGGGGTGGCTAGGCATCTGGGTCAAGAAGAGCAGGCCGTCAGAAGGACATACAGGAGGAAACCAGTGAGAATAGAGGTTACCTGACAAGAATGGATGATATGTGGAACTCGTCGTTGTCCTTGACCATATGGGTCAGAGCAGGAACCTTGTTACTGCCAGCGTAGATGGGAATGCCAGGGAAGGCGTTTGCCTAGATGCCCAACAAATAATCAGTCCGGCCATAGCTTCTGTCTTTGGAACAAAACAGAACATACAAATTCCTGGTTTGAACTCGGAATCAGCAGAGATGACGGAGTTAGCAGAATATCAGACAGACCTGATTGCCTCCACTGTGGTCATGGTGGTGGTGTGTAGTGATACCTGCTACAATTTCAACGCCGGCCTTTAGGGCTGCTGCTCTCACTTTAGGTACGTCATATGGGTCAATGGCAGCGGCTTGCTTGGCCGCTTCGTCGACTAGGAGGTACGCATAATTATCACTTCGAACTGGTACTGGAATGATCTTCATATTTCGAGTTACGGTGGTGGAGAAAAGCCTGTGCAAGCGTAGGGGGAAAGGAGTAGTTGGGAAAGCGAGACGGAAAGACATGTGAGTGCGTACGGATTCATTATGGACGATGATGCAAGAGCCAAGGGATGCAACATCTAATCTTATCTGCTTCCCCCCATTGATATTGATATTCCTCGATTCCATGTAACTTAAATGAAATGAGCGCTGTGCACTCTCCCCCGACCGTCAGGATAATATGGCAGTGTCTGGTCTTGACGGCATCCGTACTACACAAGTTACCATCATAAACGGATTAAAGATGAACATAGCTTCACATCCTCATCTTCGGCCTTTTTGCCCTTCTCTTTCATGTACTTACCCTTCACTTGGCACACTTGACGCAACTTCAACCCTTTTGCCTTTTCTTCGCGCTCAGGTAGATTTAGGCCTGAGGCCTCGTGTGTGATCACAGCCTTAGGCTGCATATGACCGTCTAATGTCCATCTACTTTCGCAAGCAGCTGCAGCTCCGCGAGGTGCGAACCGCATGATGGCTGTGTATGCGTGCGGACTTATTGTCTCATAATTCTTTTCATCTAGCCTCCATCGTCAGTCCCTTGTCCTGATCAACCTGGTGAACAATGCTTCATTTCAAGTGAGGGTACGTCCTTTACTCAACCTTCAGGCCAATGCGGAGGATACATTTAATATGCACTGGCCTTAGAACATCATACAAAACACGGTGTTCACAGACACACTACTGCCTCATCCGAAGCGGAAACGACCTCATTAAACGCTTCACTTACCACTGTTCCAGGAGAACCAAACCCTTCTATAGCCGCTACATCCTCGTCTGCCATGGACGTTCCACCAGATTCCGCCATCCCGACGACAACTCCTTTCGATCCTGAGGCGAGTACAGCAGATCAGCCGCCATTCAGTGCCCAACCAGGCCCGACGCCCCCCATCATCGCGTCGGAAACCTTTACATCGGTCCTTCCATCGAGCAGCGCTCCCGATGTTGTTGCGTCTTCATCACTTATTCCATCATCGACGGATCCGCTCATCATTATCCCCCCACCCCCCTCAACGTCAGATACTTCCAGCAGCAACACCGACACAGAATCAAGTCCAATCTCTTCCCCTGCTACGGCCACCCATCATTCCAATGCTGCCGGGGCAATAGCAGGCGGTGTCATCGGGGGTCTCGCATTCATAGCCTTGCTCATTGCAGGATGGTTCTTCTGGAGAAAGAGGAAATATCGAAGACATCACCTCGCACCGTCCGCCGAGTTCATGCACCATCATAACCGCTATCCATCCGTCCCAGGCAGCATTCACCCACATAGCGCGACACCGCCGCTCATGCGAGACAATTCGTTGGAAGGCGATGAGCCGCCTCCGGCGTTCACAAAGGGAACGTTCAATGATCCGATATTCGAGAAACTCAGTGCGGCGGCGCAACAGAGGGAGATGTACACTTCACCATACAGGGGTAATCAGGAGATCAACACACAGTCGAGAGTGTTGTCACCAGCTGCTTCGACCAGTTCCAACCCTTACAGTCGGCCGAGGACGATGCATCCGGTTTAATTTATTCTATATATCCTTTCCCCCCCTTTCTCCATGCAGGGTGCGTTCACCAGGGTATCGAAGGCGATGTCATGACAGCTTACTTTGTTCATCATCATTCAAAAGATCAGGCTTCAGGTGGTTAGATCATGGCGGGGGGTGATGGGGGTGACGTCCATGCACGATTGTCTTGGGTACCCTGGTGCGAACTCTAGCTGGACTTTCATTTGTACATATATTCAACACTTAGATCTTCCGTATTTGCACTTGCTTCAGCTCAGATAAGCCATTTCTTGAGGTATACCGTAAAGTGAAGTACCTGCAGATAGTTTATAGATCCATGATAAATAGATAGAAAGATGACAAGTGAGGATATAGAGTAACACAAAGTTGACGGAGGTGCTGAGCATCGTCCAACAACGTCAAGGCGCGCAATTCGCATAGTTCAATCGCTCAAAATCGCCTGCACGACATTCGAAACCCTGAGTTGACGCAGATCGGTATACGTCTGTTCGATGGTGTACACAAAGTGATCATCCGTCAGTTCATTGCATCCCTGCTGGACCAGCAGAACTAGAAAACGCACCTGTCCACATCCGACAAATATAATGGGTTGGCCAGTCACATAAGTCATCGACAAGGCAGCTCCCACCTAAATGAAACGCGTGAATAACTTCGCACAAACCTGACAGATGACATCTCCTGCAAGGGAAATTAGGAACGCACCTTGTCATCCACGGTATCCCATTTTGTCACGAGCATACCATCAATGCCACGCTGTTTACCAACCCCACCCGATGCAGCAGAAAAGTCTCGTAAGGCGCGGTCGAATTTTGTCAATTGGTCAACTGCTTCGTTGCCCACGAGAGCTTCTCCAACGAATATGATTTTGTCGGGGTTGTTAGTGGCGACAAGCTAGTAATAAAAACAAAATAAGAAACGAGTTGAGGGAAACGGAAGCGACATTCAGAAAAAATGTACCTTTGCTAGTGCTCGCATCAAGGGCTAGAAGATTATGATATGGCAACAGTAGTGAGCAATATATCTATTGGGGCATCTACAAGAAGACCCACCTCGTTGTCTTGCATCCGTCCTGCGGTATCAATGAGAACAACATCAAAGTCGTGATCTCGAGCTAGCAGAATACACAGGTCAGACGGCTGATTCCATGACGATGTCAGCATACGCACCGTAAGCAATGGCTTCTTTGGCGATACCAGCAGCGTCCTTGCCATATCCCCTCTCATAGAGCTCGACTCTGCCCTTGCTATCTGTGGCACCATTCACACCGAGCATACTCAGATTACGGACGTGGACTCGCAGCTGCTCAACGGCGCCACTCCTATAAAGCTCACAACGTTGGGATGAAATACAAGAATATGAGGACTAACGCGTACCTGAAAGTATCACACGCTGCGATCAACACCCGAAGACCATTCTGGATGAGCCAGAAGCATACTTTGGACAGATTGGTGCTCTTGCCGACGCCATTGACACCAACAAACGTGATACTGTAGGGCATTCGCTGCTGTGACGAAGGTAACGGCGCGGACAGCTTCGTTCGTATCGAAAGAAGTAAATCCGTGGATGTCTTGGGTGTGAGGATCCTTGTCAAGCTATTCGACAAAGCAAGGCGGACGGCAGCATTGATCGCTACACAAAATTAGCCATGAAATATGGCATTTTTTTGTTTTATTGTAGGACTTACTTTGAAAACCCCCTACTTTCTTGCCAACCAAACTCTCACCAACGCCTTCACAGACCTTGTCCGCGATCTCTTTCGCTACGTTCTTCTTCATGAGATGTTGCTTCATGCCCTCAAGCACAGGTTTAAGGTCGTCCTCGGTCAGTACCTTGGATCCCGTCAGGCGAGCAAACAAAGAACCCAGAGCACCCAATGAACCGGATGACGAGGTCGGCTTGGAGGTTTGAGAAGACATCAGTGCTTTGCTAATCATGTCATCTGCAGCGCTATCTTTCAACCCAAACTCCCAATCCTTCACTTCATACATCCCGTTTTGCGTTCGAGTACCAAGGGAATCCCTGTCAACGAGAGCGTTCAAGTCGAGAGAGCCACGGTTGGCATCAGCATCACCGGGCTTTTCGTAACTGAAATCAAGTGAAGCCATATCTGACTCTGTAGGAGCCTGTTCTCCCCATTTGCGCTGCGTCTTGGTTTTGGTCTTGCGTTTGACCGGAGTATCAGAACTGGACAACTATGAACTTCAGCCTGCAATGTACGAAGACTCTTAAACTTACTCGGAACCAGGGAGGCTTTCTCTCCCACTTCCAATATCCGAACGCCCCGGCCCACGCCGACCACCACGGGCACCTTTGCCTCTCAATCGGTTCTTCAGGGCTTGAACATTCCTTGCAATCTGCTCTTCGTCGACTGTCGTCTCAGCAGATTGAGAAGGAACTGCCAAATTGAATTTAGATTTGATAACCCGTGTGACACGACTACAAAGTGGACTCACTGGTGCTCATATCATCGGATGGAGGGCTAGGCTCAATTGAGATCTGGACTGGCTTGTAACGCGCCTTACGATCCTTCGAAAGGTGGGTCAGGACAGAACATGTTCTAGCATGCGAGGAAGCGTACCTGGGCTGCTTTGCTCTCAAGTCCGTGTAGTATTCTGTCAAAGACAGCATCCCAGTTCTCGAAAGCCTTGGCAAAATTCCATGATGCTGCAGACTGGCCGGAGGCTATGATAGCACTTCCACTAGTAGCGGCATGCAAGGACGCCAGGAAGGTAGCAAGGAAAGGTTCGAAAAGCTTGACGAATATATTCTTCAACGTGGCAAGGAGTTCGTCGATGTACGTGAGCTGCAATATCCGTTGATAGGCAACCTGTATCTCTCAGTCAGCAACGGATAGCATATGTGCAAACACACTGCACGAAATGACACTTCACTGCAGAGCGACAAACGGCTGACGCACCACAAAGATAAGCTCGAGGTCGTTGACGAACGACCACTTGACCGCGTAACCATCCTTCTCATACTTGTCCTCCGCTGTGCGACCTTCGATCAAGGCTTCCCGAATTAAGGAGTTCACTGGAGAAGACGACGATGCGGCCGCTTGGGCAGCTGCGGGTGTAAAGGAACGCGACCAAAGGACTATTCCTCCTACAACGAGTATCAGATCATGCACTCCGGTGAAGGCTAAGCACGTTGACGAACCCTTGTGAGATATTGAACAATGGTCTAACATGTAGAATGGTGTTAATTGTACGAAAGGTTAAAGGATAAGAAAGATGGTCGTGGCGGGTCGTTGGCAGAATGCAGCGACCGGAATTGGCTGGCGTCGATCGTCGGTGACTGGACGTGCTTACGTGAACGGTATTTGCCGACGTCATGGTGTCAGTTGAACTCGTACTTCAGTAGTGGAATCTTTCACTTGACCCTCTATACTCTTTAACTTCTGCAATAATGACAGACGATAACCCAGACAAAGTTCTCCGGTCTTTTGTTGCAGTAAGTATAATTATATACGTCGCGCGATTGGTGTGCTGATATTAAATATATGGGTAGGAGGATCCTGACTCAAAGTACACGTTCGACAGCGTTCAACGTGGCGGGGACCTGACTGAGATTTGTCGAGAAGGGAAGAAACTCAGTAGGAAGTGCATAAAGGTGAGTTACATCATACACGACCGGTCGCAGGATGTTAACTTGTACTATACCTTCTCCATCGCTTTAGCTTCACATGTATTCCACCCAGATGTTTCAAGCAATGCAAGTGCGTCATATTCCTTCTGTTATTGCTTGTTCCAATCCCCCAACGTTGCCGTTCCAGACCCAAGGATTCTATTGTGCGCTGCCCATAGATCCTACACGAACGTACATGGAATGTACTCGTATACCAAAATGACGTGCATCCACAACTGTATTTATAGCATTATTCTTCAGCATAACGGACAATATCGTCAATCCACAACCACATGTCAACCCTATAGTCAGTACGAGATAGATGAGATGAAAACGAAATACAGGTCAGTCCTAGGTGTTATTGGATTCAGCAGAGTAGTCGATGCCAAGCGCACCCGCGCGGGCCTTCTCCAGTTGGGAATCAGCAACAGCTCGGCGCTGTTCAGCCAGTTTCAGATCACGAGAAGCTAAGTCGAGCTCGTGCAATGCTCTCTGCTTGCCATTAGAGATAGCAGCATACTCTGTGGTCAGACGTCCACGGTGTCCTTCCATTCGCGAAATCTACAAGAACGAGTCAGCATATAGTCATCAGCTGAGAGGCATTTCGCTCCATACCTCGGCCTCTACATCATGAGATACACTTCTTGGAGAATGGTAAGGCGGTAATGCTATCGCACGGCCAGACAGAGTAGGAGCAGCCTCAGCTATCGGTGTTGACGTGGAGAGTGGACTAGCTTTTCTCGACCATTCCGGCTTCACGGGAAGATTCTGACCAGGAGATGATAGTTGAGGGGTGGAAGGCGTAGTGGGCGTCTTTACATAGTGACGAGGCTGCGTAGGGGGCGACCGAGATCGGCGTCTAGGATGCGAGGAACTAGTGGGTGACTTTTGAGACTGTGAAGAAGTAGGACTTCGCGGTGGGTATGAGATCACAGGTACAGGCTTAGCGTCCGGCGACTGTCCACTTTCAGACTGTATGGGTGTTTTCATAGAAGCAGCATCCACAGTGGCGGATGGATGACTGTCCCTGTCTCTAAGGTCGCCAAGATCTGGCAAAGGAGGCTTTTGAAGTTTCTCTCCTCCCGTTGGTTCAATGAATTGACTATTGTTCAAGACTCGGTCGATAGTTGGCACAGGAAGTCTGTGGAGCTTCTCTTCTCGTTTCGGTTCGTCGGGTCGAGATCGATCAGTGGTCGACTGAGTACCAGGAGTAGATCTCTTCAGCGGGCTGCGACTCCGGCTCCGGCTGAAAAACCGATTAGGGCTGCGGCTGCGGCTTCGTGGATAGCCTCGGTCTCTTCGAGAAGGTGCGTAACGAGAAGTGACCTCTATTGAATGGTTTCCCAGTTTCAAAACGCCAGGTGAGGGATATCTTGGCGAGGCCCTAGGCGATGCACGAGGTGGTGGTGAGCGTGGTGGAGCATAACCTGGTCGGGTAGGTGATTCTCGAAAGCGAGGTGGTGTTGGTGAACGCCCTCTGCTCACAGAACCAGACGCTGGAATGATAGTCAAGTATTTAGATCCATGAAACCGAAGAGTAACTTAAAGGCTACCTATACGACGAGGGGGAGACTTGGATGCCCGCGGAACCCATCTCCGTTCCGGTTCAAATTCGCGAGGTCGTTCTCTTGGAATGGGTCGGTCGTCATCTCGCGGGCGAGCATACCCGCGATCTCTGATAGGGCTACGTTCTCTGCGGTCCCAATCGTAAGCACGACGCCTTTCCTCCTCCCAGCGTCGGCCACGATCAACGTCACGGTCTCTCCAATCAGCAGGTTCTCGGCCGTAGTCTCTGGGAGGTGGTGGACGAGACCTATATTCGGGTGGATCCCTTCTCTCCCAGTCTCTGTAGTACCTATCAGATTCTCTCCTGTCGTAGTAAGGGTCTCGCGGCGGCAAGTCCCTAGGTGGCAAGTCTCGAGGTGGGGGATCGCGGGGAGGAGGATACGCGTCTCTGGGTGAAGGGTGTATGTCCCTGGGTGGAGGATGCAGATCTCTAGGTGGGTATGGATCGCGAGGCGGATCTCTGGAGTATGGAACAGATGATCTTGAGACAGAACGAGCAGGAGGAGACCTAGGAATGTAGACATCGCGGTCGCGTGGGGGTGACCTGGGAGGGTACGGGTCGCGAGGATCCCTGTAACGGTCTGGAGGAGGCGCCATTGAGCGATTGTAGCGAGAGTCTGGAGGGTACCTAGACGATGTTGGGTTGTCAAACTCCGGCCTAGGGGGTAAATGTGAGTGGGACATGGCGGGCAGAGCAAAGAAGAAAGCAAAGCGCAGAAGAGAAAGCGGTGCTGGTTGAAAATGCAATTGTAGGTGTTTGTTGTTGCTTGTTTTGCAACGGCTTTAACGCCTACTCACGCTATTCTCCTTTGGAATTGGCAACCACCTACTTTTCGCTTTCGTAACGCTGCTGCGGGCCATGTCTATTTCATTATACCCTCTGGCATCTTTGGCGCAGATAGAACAGACTCCCTCACGTCAAGATGGAATACCACCTAACCTGGAAGAAGACCTACGCGCTTATGGATGCAAACTCATCCACCAAGCAGGAATATTACTTAAACAGTGCGTGCCGTTACCTCCTCTCATTCGTTTTGTGGTTTATCGCGCTATGTATAGGAAACAAGTAGCAGTTGCGACTGCACAGATATTATTCCAGAGATTCTGGTTCGTAACATCAATGAAACAATTCGGAATCGGGGTATGTTATAGTACTTTGCTTCATTATGCTGCAAATAATTGCTTGGCCCAACTCTTAGGATGTCGGAATGGGTGCCCTTTACTTGGCTTCAAAGCTAGAAGAATGCCCTATACGAATGCGTGATCTTATCAACGTCTACGACCTGCTCCTACAACGCGCAGCTTATACAACGTCACCAAAGACTTTAAAGAGCATTGAATTCAAATACACGCCAATGACGTACTTTGGGTCCTCATTCTACGATATGAAGGATGCGCTGGTCGTAGCAGAGATGCAGATACTCAAACGACTTGGCTTTCACGTCAACGTCGTTCTACCTTACGGGACCTTGGTAAATTACTTGAGAGTGCTCGGCCTCACAAGTAAAGAGAATGTCTGCACGCGGGCGTGGGGATATCTCAATGATGCGTAAGTTCCTTGCTGTCAGCTTCGTCAACGTGGCGTCCATCTGATTTGAACATTAATAGTTTGCAGACGCCGGTATATGCATTATATGCGGTTCCAACAATTGTTTGTGCGGCCATCCTGCTAGCAACAAGACATCTCCGTGTTCCCCTTCCGTCGCAACCTCCCAACTGCTGGTGGGAGCTTTTCGATGCTGACTGGGAAGACGTGTGGAGCGTCTGCGGCTATATCATGCGCCTCTATCGAGACCGTGATCCGGATGAACAGAAGCGATTGTTCACAATGGTATCAAAGAAAGGAGTTCGGAAATGGCTAGAAGATAATGGACCACAGTTAGTAGAAAGTTGACCTGTATTTGTCATTTGTTGCTGTTACTTTTCTCTATCTACGGTACAAATTAATAAATGGGGTTCCTAATACATGGAGAATCCCGCTTATGGTTCAGTTAGGCACTGTAGCCGTTGCAGCGAGGGTCAACAAATATTTCCTAAGCAAAGCTACGAGAATCTAGAGGTTCAGCAACTACACTAACAGACGGTGTCAGCAAGGAAATGATGCTGAAGATAATAATAATAATATTTTCACTGATAACAGAAACAATTATTTTCTTCATTTCCAAATTTGGGCATATCATTTCCAACCACATGTTTATACCCTGCCTCCTCAAGAAAAATCATCCAGCTTCGTCTTCGCGCGTTTCGCAAAGTGTAGTCAATTAGAAAGGTTGGGTGGGTTCAGCGCTAGCTGAGCATGGACGCAGCCAAGGTCAAGCCGCCTACCCAAACCCACAGCTGCTGAGGCGTCCCGCGGCTGATCTTGGCGCTTGCCCAACCAACAGTCGAAGCAGCTTTAGTAACCATAATTACCAGCGAGGTTGGCTGTGTGTCGTGAGTTTACCTGTTCAAAGGCTCGGATGTAAGTTTCATATGCGAGTGATCGCCACCTTCCTATGAGACGGACAATCTCTGGATCGACCTTCTGGGAAAGATAAAAAGAAGCACCGCCAATGCGAAAGGAATGGCCGAAGGTAGTGCCCCATCCTGACGCGCGAAAGATAGAATTGATGAATGATAGCGCTACGTCGCGGACCATTGGTCTGATGACTCCTTGCTTGTCACGCCAGGAAAACAGGGGATCACGGCTTGTAGCTGGAACTACTCGGAAAAGGTTCTGCAATGCTTGCAGGGCACATAGAGAATTTTGCGGTGCAAGGAAAACATGTTGTATTTCCCCTGGTTTTGCTGTCTTAGCAGATGGTAGGTCCAGGCGTGCATAAGGCTTGTTATCCAAGTCGTACCCAAAGAAAGCATCACTTCGCTTCAGGTGAAGCCGTTCGGAGAAGGCTGTTCTTGTTTTTACTGTCGCCTCGCCGAAGCGCATGCAACCCCAGAAAGCGCATGCTGCAACAGCCCATATGCAGGCTTCAAAAGGGTTATCTAACTTTAACACACGGTGCAGAGTTGCTAGCATATGGAGTGTCACTGGCGGTCTCGGTGGACGTGAGCGACGGCCGGCTTGGATCCTCTCGAGGCCCCGCGTCGACCACTGTATTCGGTCCATGTCACTGTCGGACAGTGGTGGTGGCCATCCTTGTGCTAAATGCCAAGCTCGGATAGCGGAGAGATATTTTAGGCCCACTTGGACAGAGACTGGCTCGAACGGGGTTCCATCTGCGAATACTGGCTCTAAGGGGTCCGGGTCTGCAACTGCCCACAGGACGAAGGAGTGTAGCAGGGCAAAGGAGGCTGGCAGGCGGTCACCTTCAGTGACAGAGAAGATATCACAGAAAAGGTGGAATTTTCGAAGGCCTGCCCCATAGTTGCCGGCATCTTTTAGTGATGCTCGCGAGGCTACATCGGCCAGGTGTTGGAGGATGTTGGACTGGATTACGGGTGATGGTGGGGTATTGATCCCTTTCCAGAGAAACAGGCGTTCGTTCGCGCGGCAGTTCGGTCGCAGTAGTGATGGTAGGGGTTGTAGTCGGCCCAGCCGCTCAATTTCTCCAGCACCTGGAATGGTTGCTGAAGGCGTTATTCGGACCGCGGAAGCTGCCATCACAGTGATGACAGTTTGCTGATGAGCGATGATGGGAGTGGTACATCGCTGTGTATGGATGCTGTTGGGAAGCCTTCTAGGAACGCTGCAACGTCGCCGCGTGAGAGGGCATCGGTGACATTCAGACGGCTCGGGATGTAGCACGCTTCGAGTGACAGGTGGTGTTGTGCCAACAGGGAGTAGGTATCCTTCAAGGTAGCATTTGTTGTTTCGCTTCGTGACCGGCCCTTGTTTACTATGTGGACAACCCCATTGTTGTCGGATCGCACTAGAAGTCGGGCTGTTGAGGGTGGCACTTGAGCGAGCATACCATGGTGTATCAGCATTCGTAGGCCTAACTCGACTGCTACAGCTTCTGCCCAACCAATGTCGTGAATCTGTTTTGGGCCGACATGAAATCCCTTTGCCCACTTCCACGCTGCCCAGTAGGAACCTACTACGATGCCGATACCAAAGGAAGTACTTGCATCTCCCCACCAACCTAGGTCTAATGGCGTTGGTACAGATAGAGGTAGCTCGTTGGGTAGTAGGGGTAAGAGGTGTTCCAGCCAGCCTAGGTCTGCACGAAGGGGTGTTGGTGGTCGTAGGCGTGCGCGGTGTGATTTGAAAGAGCTGGCGAAGCGTGAAGCAGAGCGAAGAAAGGGTCGTAAAAGTGGAAAGATTGTTGCAGTGTGCACCAATTTGCCATGCAGGCTGGCGGCTTCCTTCATGGTGAACTTGCTGCCAGGTGATCGCCAAAGGGATAGTAGAGAGCGTGTCGCACTGAGTTTCTCCTCTGGTAGAGATACAACTTTGCGCTCCAGGTCCCAGTCGAAGCCTATGTAGCGTTGGCACGATGATAGCGGTCTCGTTTTGGCATGGCTCCAAGGGACACCAAGGGTCTCGGTTACTTGGAGGAAGTCGTCCTCTGACCATGTCTGGTGTGGTAGGCGAATGACAAGAAAATCGTCTACCCATTTCCGAAGTGGTCCGAAACCACTCGCACGATAAATGGCAACAAGCATGTCGGCTACTGCGCCAAAGACTCCAGCACTGGAGGACAGTCCAAATGCTACTGCTCGGTCTAGGTATACTTTGCCTTTCCAATAGACGCACAATGCATGCTGTTGGTCTGGGCGTACTGGCGTGATCCGATATGCTGAGGATATATCGAACGCAGCTGCTTTGCACCCAGCTGGCAGTCCTAGAATCATCTCGCTGGTGCTGTCGAAGGTCCCCCATTCTGTGGGAAAGTCGTCGGAGTCTACGCCGGCATTTACAGATGGTATTTCGGGCTACACATGAAAGTGCAAATGTTATTCGAGACTACAAACACTAGGGGGATTTATGGCATACATTGTTGCGAGGGTATGACATGTCCTGCACCATCCGCAGATGGTCGGAATGAGGTTTGGGCACTAGCCCTAAGGGTGACGTGCGAAAGAATCCTATAATACCCTCTAGGTCGTCGGGGGCAAAGCCCTGTGAGTATCGCCCTGCGGCTTGCTCTCCAGCAATGTATGAGTCGATGAATTCCTCGTCCTATCCATACTATATGTCAGCATATGCTCATACATATGTGGCGGTAAGTAAACATACGAACCAGCGAGGCCGATGCATGATTTTCGAACATAAAGGAGCGTGGGGGTGTGTCTTTGACACCAACATCAAAACCATTGCGTAGTCCCTCTAGGACATGACGCCAATCCTCTGCAATGCCCAGCTCTTGTAACAAGGCTTCCACTTTGTCAACCTGGATGGGCGTCGTGACGTTGCGAGGATCAAGCGAGGTAGGAACACTTTGCGGCACCATGACCGGTGTCGAGGCAGACGCTGCAGCCGTGGTGGTTGATGCATCCTTTCCCCTTTCCGTCAAAGGGGCAGGCTCCTCCCCGTGCAAACGTGAAGCAGAATGGACTTCCGTTTGGTGCAAGGAGGGCATTCTTGCTGTTTGATTTTGCAGAGATGGCAGCAACGGGTTTGCCGGCAACGGTGACCGTTTCTGAACAGGCGGCGGGAAGGTGTCCGGTTTTACCACAGCGAAAGCAATGGCCCCCCGTCGATGTGACGGGGGGTAAACGGGAGCGCTTTGATGGTGAAGGGGGCGGCGAATCGGGTCGGTAGGTACGTTTGACAGGTGATCTGTTGATCTGCGTGTAAGCTTGAGTCCTTTGAAGAAAATCGAGCTGTTCAGAGACATGTCTGCTCACGGAGAGCGACAGTGCAACTTCATCGAGCGGTGCGAGGTCGTGGCGGCCATCGAGAACGAGGCACTCTCGTTGCTTGATGTCATACTGTACTGCAACGGGCCAGGGATGGGTCTGAGCTATGACTCGGACATTGCTGAAATGTAGCTTGAAATCCTCAGCTAGCTCCTCGCCATGATGCTTCAGGACCAGCTTGACCATATAGTCCGAGGCATTCATCCAATCAAGTTCAGATATGGATCCTTCACCGGTACGATCGAGTTGTTTAGCGGCACTGAGGCCTTTGGTAGTCCAGATGAGATCGTCGTCGGAGAAGGCTGCCTCAACGCGTCGTGACTTGGTGAGTGCCGTTAACGGGACATAGTTGAAGGTGGCTATACCACGATCAGCTCGTGGCGGGGCTGGCGCTGTACGATACAGGAACGGGTGCGCGTGAGTCAGAAGGACGAGAGCACAGTGACGAGATTGAGATGGAATAGATTAAGGGTGACTGAATACACCAAGTCGTTTGCGAGTGGGTGGAATGCAGAGCATTCAAACGGAATTGCGTTGGGCGCGAGTGCGGGGCAACAACGAGTCACGTAGGAAATGGATGCGAGCACGAATATGAATGCGAAGGTAGGGGAGAACGAGGTCCCAGGATTGTGAACGGGTGCGAGCATGCAGGTGAAACGAGTGCGAGTACGGGTGGGACGAGTACGAGTGCGAGAGTAGGTGTGAAACGAGTACAAGTGCGAGAGTAGATGTGAAACGTATGATTGCATGTGTATTACTATGGCAGGACATGCAAGTGCAGTGGGTGCTAATCACCAAAAGACTACGTTTGGAGGGAAGACTCGAGCGGGACTTACCGGAGTGCAAAGCGTTTGCTTTGAAGCCAGCTATTTTCTTCGCTCGATTGGGTTTCGTCAATGGGTTTTCCCCGAGCAGGGCCGCAGCGATCTCTCTAGTGCAGTCTACGTCGGCTTGATCGACGAAGGCCGGTACGAAGGGCGTGCGTGCGGCTGCTGGCTGCTGGCCATTGAGCCCGTCAAGTTCTTTTTGTGCATCTGCGATGCTCTGTAGCAGCAGCGTTCTGCGCGCGTCGTCCTGAAGCTGCTGGTTGAGAGGGCGTGGAGGAGGCGGAATGGGCTCTCCTCGTAGCTGGTTCTCTGCAGCAGGGGGTGCGGGAGGTGCAGGAGGTGCGGGAGGCGCAGGAGGTGCGAGAGGTGCAGGTTGTACAGCACCTTGTTGCAGTAGGTTGATACCCAGGGCGCCGGGTACGGCATTTTGATTGGCAATGTTGTCGTTCTGAACCATAATGGTGGGAGTATGATCGTATGTAGGAAGGAGAGATGTAAAAAGCAGGTAGATAGCAAGTAAAATACTGAATATACTGCTGTACGAAGGAAGCTTTACAGTTCTACGGTGAACGTCGAGGTGCAAGGATAAGAACAAGCGAGAGAAAAAAAACTTTGCTGGTGCGCTAACGCTCGGCTGGACTCGGGTGCCGGACTCGCGGGCTCCTCCGGCACCTCTCTCAATTCCACATCCTCCCTCTGCAGGAAGAGAGGGAAAAAACAGCAGAAGCAACTCCCTGGCGGGGAGTCGAACCCCGCTTTCGCGCGCCCCGGCAAATCGGGGTTCGACTGACAGGCGCGTGTACTAAACCGATATACTACCAGGGATGAAGGTTACTCCCAATGTTATCCATCTCAGCGATTCAGCGATCTAATCAGGGACGAAGTCAAAGAACACCTTTTATTACCCTACAGTACTCTCCCGAAACATTAATTCATCTTTTACCAGCCACGAGAGGCGAGTCTACCACCCTTAAGATTGTCATCGCTTGAGAAGGATAACGATGTGAGGAAGCACTGCAAGCAGAAGTGATAGGGACGACTTACATCGTAAGGCCAACCATTGCCTCACCCAGGTCCTCTGAAACCTACAGCAGACTGAGTATACAGCAGGAATGGTGAATATTATGCATACCTCCGCAAGTAGTTTGGGGTTGTTGTAGTGTGTAACCTATTAAACTGAGTCAACGCACTGCGCTAAGGGGGAATGAGGTCGGGACTCACAGCTTGGACAATTGCGCGCGCACGCTTTGCGGGATCGCCGGACTACGTAGCATTTAGTACGGTCAGATCGGAGGGGAAGAGTCAAAACAAGAATATTCCACTCACGTGGAAGACTCCCGAGCCAACGAAAACTGCAGAATCCGTGAGTCGGAGCCCTATTACCCTAAGGAACAAGTCAAGACTCACCTCCGTCACAGCCCAATTGCATCATGAGAGCAGCATCAGCAGGCGTAGCGACACCACCAGCAGCAAAGTTCACAACAGGTAGACGTTTCAGCCGCGCAGTCTCCTTGAGTAAGTGAAACGGCGCCTGGATATCCTTGGCATATGCGTAAAGCTCCTCCTCACTCATAACGCTAGCCCTTCTGATTTCGCTCATTACCGCACGCTGGTGGCGCACGGCCTCCACAACATTGCCTGTACCTGCTTCACCCTTTGTACGGATAAAGGCAGCACCTTCTGATATACGGCGGAGTGCCTCCCCGAGATTTTTGGCACCACAGACGAAAGGTACCTTGAATGCCTGCTTGTTGATGTGGTGTTCCTCGTCAGCGGGAGTGAGAACCTCTGACTCGTCGATGTAGTCTATGCCAATAGCTTGCAGGATCTGTTATGAGACCTTGTGAGCATCGATATCATATTTCTGCATGAATATTCGCACCTGCGCCTCAACGAAATGACCTATCCGAACTTTGGCCATCACAGGAATAGTGACCGCAGCAACAATCTCTTTGATCATCTTCGGGTCGCTCTAAATACCAAAATCAGAGTGTCATCCTTGTCATACAGTTGATGCTACTCACCATACGAGCGACACCACCCTGTGCACGAATGTCCGCGGGCACACGCTCCAGCGCCATGACTGCACAGGCACCTGCCTCCTCAGCAATACGAGCCTGAGATAGGCGTGACATCAGTACACTTGAGCTACGTCTGTTAGAAACGATCACAATACCTGTTCAGCATTTACTACGTCCATGATGACTCCGCCCTGACGGATGATGAGCCACACATGATTAGTTTAATCCATGGGTACGACAAACCTTGAGCATCTGGGCGAGCCCGGACTTGACCTGCAAGACGATAGCAAGCATAAATTGACGGTTGAGCTGCATATACTCCAGCTCGTTAACGTACACCGAAAGTCCCTAGACTGCTGTTGCCGCCATCCTTATACGGGGCTGATCGTATGGGTGCGACCACAGGAGTTCCAGACGGGTTTCCTACGCCATGGGGAATAACAGGCAGGGGAGAGCCACCGGGAGTGTGAGCAGGAGTTGACATTGGAATAGATAGAGATGAGGCAAGGAGAGGTATGTGCAGAGTACAACACAGAAATCTTCGTGTCCCAAAACTTTCCAATCTGCAGCAATGACTCTACCGGTGGCGGACTGCCTATTTAGTACACCCACGCTTTTCGTGCAATCAAGATCGGCCCCATCAAACCTTCTCATCAGTCCGTCGGACGTCCTCCTCCCGATCCATCTGTCACTCCGTTTACAGTACAACTGTCGTGTCAATTGTCAACGTAGATGTAGCTTTCCAACTGCTTTCACTGCAACGAGTCTGGGACAGTTAATCTGTGCTTTTTCTCTACAAATGAGACTGGTCTTCACATCTCCAGGATCCGTGCGGTATTCGATCTTGTCATGATCATCGTTTCTAAGCATCGCACCATCCTCGCGTCCGAATTGACTTGACAGTGTTCTTGGTATCTTGGCCGGTAAATTTCCCTGCAGTACCGGTATTGTGCCTTGACGATTGTGGACAACAATAAGCTCCGTTTCAATATGTAATTCCAATGATCGACGGACAAGGGGGAGCGAACACTTTCGCCAGGATATTACAGCATTTACATGTGCTTAGTTAGGCCACGATGCATCGTGTTGCATCCATTCGGCTATGAAGGGAAAAGGTGAGCATTCCGTACACTACCTCTTACGAGCTATGATTTGACAGATCATTCAGTGCCTATCGACTAAGATGCTGCACGCTCAAAGCATACAGTCACGGCACCACTGTTCGCGCATAAAATAAGCTACAATACGGAGCTCATGATCTGCAAGCATGTCTATACATCAACATTATTCACTTCACCTACGTGCACATAATCCAAATTCGGATACTCTTCGGTAACGTGAAAGGTCATATCCCGGCCCACCCTGTCAGCTGCCTAATTCAACGCATTGGTTGGTCTTCGCTTTGCACCGTAGAGAGCGAACCATCGCATACAATGACCTACCCTTACGGCCCGTTCTCAAATTGTTGTAATCCGATATAAACTCGCGCAAAACCAATGTAGGCGAAGAGGACCCATCATGGCTCTCCTAAGCTTGCTGTTCGCTTTTTTGACGACCCTCCTACCTTTCATTCGGGCCCAGAATGTTATAGTTCCTGGTGCGACGTGGACTGATACTAGTGGGAACGTCATACAGGCGCATGGTGCAGGTATTCTGAAAGTCGGAAGTACGTTCTACTGGTTCGGAGAAGACAAGTCACACAACAGTGCATTGTTCAAGGCCGTCTCTTGCTATTCTGTGAGTAACGCTGTCCAGTTGTCAAGATGGCGGTATTGAATCTGGTGCCAGTCTACTGACCTTGTGAACTGGTCTCGTCAAAATGATGCCTTGTCACCTATCTCGGGTACCAATATCTCGACCAATAACATTGTAGAGCGCCCCAAGGTGATCTTCAATCAGAAGGTAACGATAAAATGCTACCTGCCAAAGCATCCTCACTCACCGGTTACAGAACTCGGAATACGTGATGTGGTTCCACTCGGATTCTTCAAAGTATGACGAGAACGTGTCGTATTGTTCCCCTGCTAACTGGTGCGTTTAGCTACGGCGCAGCTATGGTCGGTGTTGCGACTGCCAGATCGCCTTGCGGGCCTTACGCCTACAGATCGAGCTTCAAACCTTTCGGCGCCGACTCTCGCGACGAGGGGCTCTTCCAAGATGGTTTGTCCCTATTGTTCTGCTTTCCCACAATACGCCAACTGATTATTTCCAACTCGCAGACGACAGTATGTTACACTCGTCCCTATTCCAAATACTCTTCCAAGGATTGAAATTCCATCTTAGGTGCACAGACTGCATATTTACTTTACGCCTCGGACAACAATCAGAACTTCAAGATCTCCAGGTTGGATGCTGACTACTACAATGTTGTCACACAAGCAAGCGTCCTCAGCGGTACGTCCATGTCGGATGCAGGGAAATCGCTTTGCAGCACTATGAAACTTACGATGCATGCGTTCGAATGATAGGATCCACGCTCGAGTCTCCCGGGATTGTTAAGCACAACTCGGTAAGCCGGTGTCGCCGTCTGTTGCCGTAACCAAAAATCGTCTTACAGTGCTTACGGGTATGAACAGGAATACTTCCTGATTGCATCACATACAAGTGGTTGGGCGCCAAACCCTAACAAGTTCTTCTCCGCATCGGTATGTTTTTTTCTATCTGGATCCCAGATACTTTGTCTTTTTTTTTCCGATTTAATCTTACTGAACTGCCAACTATCTGCCACTTGCGAATAGTCTCTTTCCGGTCCCTGGAGTTCACAGGCGGACATAGCTCCACAAGCTGTACGGACGTACTTCTCACAGAACGCCTATGACCTTCCTTTGGGCTCAAACGCCATTTACATGGGCGATCGTTGGCGACCCAGTTTGCTCGGCAGCAGTCGATACATGTGGTATCCCCTCGATTTCTCAAGCGGGAGTCCCACCTTGGTTCATGCAGACGTCTGGAGCGTGAACATACAAGCAGGTATGTTTGATTTTCTGTCGCTAGCATCAACAGAAGCGCCTTCAAAATTGAACAATGAGAACCTTGAATTTGACACTGGTATTTGTTGTCACTATAGGAACGTACTCAGTCGCAAGCGGTACCACTTATGAAGCAGAGAACGGGAGTCTGGGTGGTTCGGCGACCTTGGCTTCTGATGGTTCATTCTCGGGTGGACGTGCAGTTGGGTTTCTCGGTGGGTTCGTTTCATTCGACGGGAGAACACACCTAAAACATTTCATCCTAGGGAATGGTGGCACCGTAACGATCAACAACGTTCAAAGCAACGGTGGAGCCCACTGGGTGGCTCTTTACTACGCCAATGGAGACTCGACCTGGAGAAATGTCACCGTGAGGTTCGTATTTCACCTTGTCATTCACAGGCCTGTCAAACATGGTTGCCTTTCTGCTAGCGTGAACGGTGGTTCAACAACATTGGTTGACCAACCCGATACTGGCGGAGGACATGTTATCCTCAGCGTTCCAGTGAAGTTGAATCTGAACAATGGCGCCAACTCGATTACGTTTGGCAGTGGTCAAACGAGTAAGTCTTGTGGCAAGTTTCTGCACCACATTGTAACTTGCAAGCTAACATCGTTCCAAGACTATGCAGCTGATTTGGATAAGATCATCGTTTATTAACAGAATGACGCGTGCAGAAGGGTTTGGTGTCCATCTGATGTTCTGTCAACTTCTGTGAGAATAGTGCCTTGTGAATGCCACTCTTGATATGATCCCGTATTCGCAGCGTCGGAAATATTTGCAACATGGGCACTCCATTATTGATATGTCATTCACTCGGGGTCACGCCGGTAGATTAGGCTCTTCACAGACACCGAATAGCTGCGAAAGTGCGCAGCGGACGAGTCAACGCGATCCGGTATTATTACTGTCGTATACAGTTGTGCTGATCATATGAGCGCCAGATTTATGTATAACTGGCAGTTGGCCTTTCATTGTCGGAAAGACTTCGAAGAAGCACAGGGTAGTCCACAAAGCCGGGCGAAGATCCCAGGGGCTGCTGAGAATGGGGCGTTAGAAGCCTTTCGCTTGGAGCCAGTCCACGATGTTCTGCCTCCATCGTCCGCCTTGGATGTAGAGATGCCGTGAGCGGCGAGTTTCAATTTTGAGCCTCTCCGCCTCAGGTGATCCAGCGGGGAAGAGATCGCGTTGGAGGTCTTGGACAAGGGACTGTAACGCAATGAGATGATCAATCAGACAGGGCAGTTATCATCTCAGTTGTAACACATACATTGATATCGCCTGCGACGTTGCGGATAAGGAGAATATACTTCGTGTTGCGAATATCGGAGTAGACGGGAAGAGTGCCATTTGGGGTGCGTGAAACAAAGTATGGATAACGCACGACCGTGGGTTTCTGCGCCTGAGATGCGTGTGCAGGAGCCACTGAATAGCAGCGCACGCTGCGAAGAGGCTGGATGATTGACTTGAGCATCTGTCGTGTCATCTGAGCAACATCAAGGAGCAGGAAGTTCCGAGGCACATACCACTGTCCTAGGCTCGTGGCTGCAGGAAGGCAAGAGAGTTGCATAGAGGCCCGGATTAGGAAATTTGCCGGCGCATAGCGAAGAGGAGGCGCCGTGTAAGGAAGTACTGGTGGCTGTCCCGGTGTAGACAGTCGCCGCTCTGGCCACCGCGGCTCCCCAGGGCTGGACAAGAAAAAAAAAGGCTCATGGCCGCCAACAATAGGCCGATTGATACAGGGCCCCTCGCACGCAACGATCTTGGCACACGCTGCGGCAGTTGCAACAGTGCAAAAAGGCTCATCATTCAGGGAAGAGAACCAGTGGGCGAACCATCTCGAATCGGCTTCCAAAATTGTTCGAAATCGCATCCTCGTAGGCTTTGATTCTCACCGATTACCCGCTGCCACCGTGCCTTTTCCGCTCAACTCACCCTTTATGCCACATGAGATCCCTCCTGATTTGGTGGTGCATTCCAGCGGTGAATCACCCCATTCATTCCTAAATTTCGTATCCACAGCTTTCTGCCGGCAGCCGTCATTTCGGTACTCCGTAACACGTCGTTGCAAGACGTAGCCAGGGCGCCCGCTAGTCTTATCCGGATCCGATGTCTAACACATCTTATGGCTACCTCATATATATAAGCTCGTACCAAGCTCGCACGACACTTCTCCTCCGTCTTCTTCCAATCCCCACTAACCCCTGCCATCATGGCTTATCCATCCTTACCTGCCCCTCAGTCATACTATTCACAGCAGTATAAGCCCGGACAGTCGTCCAAGACGACACTACTCATGTCCAACCCATATAACCAGCAGCCTTCCTATCCTGCATTTTTCAACTCCAATGCAGAGTACGCACAATCTTGGTGGCTTAGCCAGAATTCGTTCGCCCCGAGCTACTATCCTGAGCCAGCCAATAATGATCGCAACATTGGCGCTCTCCCGCCATTCTATCAGGAAGGTAGTTTGACGCTGCCTTCATTGCCTGAAACCTTCGCTATTGCGTCCGATGGTGAGCCCCGTATTGTTTCGTTTACAACAAGTTGTCGTAAAGTGTCTCATCATTTTTATTGTATAGTCCCACCGTCGCCAACCGACGTGTCATCGAATGCTTCCGAGTCTGGGCCGTCCCCTGGACCCGACTTTGTTCATGCAGTATGCAACGCGCCACTTGTCGCGCCAGTGCCGCTTCCCTATCATTCGCCAACATTCCTCCAATTTGACCTACCAGATGACGACGAGGATTTATCGCACCCCCCTTACGTCTCCCGGCCGCACAAGCGAAAGCGAGAGTCGGACGAAGCGGATGACCTATCCCGCGTGATTATCAAGCGTCAAGCGACACCAAGCTCATGGATTCGAAGACGTTCGAATTGGGCCGCACCGCAGCCGTCCACTACTTCGCAGTCTCAATTGCGAGGCTGGGCTGTTCCCGCAGGCTTCGGCGGGTATCCTTTCCCGGGTTAAATTCGACGTTCGTTCTAGTGGCGAGAAATTAAAGTGTGCATGGTTTCATGTAAGCTCACTTCCCCTCGGTTTGCGACACGGTGTTATGAAGGATTCCATTACTGATCCATCCATTTTGACGGTCATTAGATCATGCACGTCTCATCAACTTTGTATATAGGCGCCTTCTCAGGCTAAGCTCTTCTGACCCTCAGTTTGCAAAAATGTCGCACACCTATCTCATGTCATGGTGGTGTGCCACACAGCAAGGCTAGGTCAGGGCTGCCCTCTTGCCGTATGAGACAATGCATTTGTCTTGTGTCCTCATCGCATTGTGGTACTGGGTTGCGGGGGAACTCCATGATGACCGCACTAGGAACGGGCCATCGTGGGTTGTAAATATGTTCCACATGTTTTTGTTGGCGAATCATGAGTTTCTAGCGCACTATCACTCCATTCAAGACGCCACCTGCGGGTTTATTTTTCTCGGCGGTTTTGTAGCATATGATGACAGGAACCAAGCTTCTTGTCTTAATCAGAACCATACTACTCTTAGACTCTGCATTACGCGTAGAATACACTGTACAATATGCTCATACGATATCAGGTGGTTCTCACCTTGCATAGGTACTCGATAGAATTTTGATAACATCTTTCCACTGACAATCATGCTATCTGCTTTCTGACATACGCCGAACAATGAATTTCACTGCCGCCGGATATATCATCCAAACTACAGTTTCGCCATCACGGCTTCCGCTGACACTGGACGTCTCGGTGGTATCAGTTGCTTTGTTACAGTACTGTACTCTCGCCGGAACAGATGGCAATCTCTGTACAGTACTGGTCGTGTTCAGTTGCAGGGGACAGTTCATCTTACGGAACACTCGAAAACATCAGATACCATGACACCTCAAGATACTCATAGATTCCGGACCCAAATGACAATATTCCCTCGGAGTAAACAGACAATGGAATAATGGAAAAGAGCACATGAAGGACTATTAACAAAAACGGAATCATGAGTAGTACCTGACCAGAATAGCGACGGCGTAGAATATTAATGAGTGCCGGTCATCCGTCTTCCCAAAAGTCTTCATAACGCCAAAATGCATGGTGATGACAGCGACAAGTGATGATGAAAAAGTCCAAACGAGCAAGGAACGGTGGCAGCGCCAGGGTAAATCCGCGTCTCCGAAGCGTCCTCTATAAGCTAACCCAGACTCGCACTCCGACAGCATTGGGATTTCCCTGAACGAGAATGCGACGAGGGAAGTCATCTAGCAGCAGCCACCCGATTGCGGCTGCTGCACAGTCTGGCTTGGGGTAATCGTTGACGACTTGCCAGTACCGGAGGTTGTTGAAGCCGCACCCATGCTGCGGAAAGATTAGGAACATATAAGTATATGACCCGAATGACCTAAAACGGGTGACATACCGGTCCTTGATCTGCTTGGCCATGGTTAAGAATGCCTGCTCGACATTTGTGGCATTCTTTGCTGAAGTCTCAAGGAAAGGAATGTTCAGTTGGTCAGCGAACTCCTGCGCGAATAGTCAATATGCCGGAAAACTGCGCGCAGAATGAGTCTAGACATGCCTTTGCCACGCTGTATTCGACGACCTTCTTGCTAGTCAGATCCGACTTGTTGCCGACCAGCAGCTTGTTCACGCCCTCGGATGCATAACGGTCAATTTCTTGGAGCCATTGCTTGACATTCGTGAAAGTATCTAGCAAACGCATTTGAGATTGGTCCGGGAAAACGGAACATAATGACACATACCGTTATCGGTAACGTCATAAACAACAATGATACCATGAGCACCACGGTAGTACGACGAAGTGATGGTGCGGAACCGTTCCTGGCCTGTAGCAATGTGTTAAGATGAGAAGTGAAGTGAAACGGAATGGAACTCTACCTGCAGTGTCCCACTAGAATTCATTATTCAGGTCAGTAAGTGGCAAGTGCGTCAAATGGATGATGACAAGCAAATCCAGCATCAAAGCAAGATAATCACTACGAGGAAACGCAGCCCGAGAAGTCGGAGCATATTCCGAGTCGTAGACGATAATGAATGAGAGCAAATTACAAGTAGAACACTCACGATTTGAAGCTTCACGGTTTTGCCCTCGAGCTCAATGGTGCGAATCTTGAAATCGACTCCGATAGTGGAGATGTAGCTCTCAGTGTAGGTGTCATCAGCGAACCGAAGCAAGAGACATGACTAGATAGAGATAGCAGAAATTAGTTGAGGCACTGAGGAACGACAACTACAACTGCGACAGCACCTTGCCGACACCGGAGTCACCAATGAGGAGGAGCTTGAAGAGGTAGTCGTACTCGCTGGTGTGCATGGCGTTGAGGTCGTGCGGGGTGTTGGTGGTCGTCGAGTGGCAGGAGGAGGAAGACGGCGATGAGGAAGAGAGAGGTACAGGAGAGCAAGGTCGGGGCGGTGAGTGTGTTGTGACGCGTGGGCGTCTGACCCCCAAACAGCTGCCACACTCTGGCCCCCGAGTACCCCTGCCTTGTCTTCATCCTCTGTCTCTCCTACTTTTCCAAACAACGCCCACAACGTCCACTTTCCGTACGCGAACTCACCGTAATATCAAAGACTTACAGAAACGCGTTCCTTTCGCTCTCCAGCCCAAATGTCTCGCTGGAACAGCATTTTGGTCAGGTACCGTCTTGCCGTAGTTCCCGATCTTATACAAGCTAGAATAAGTCCAGTCATCAGCCGTATGATTCTCGTAATTGCGCCATAGCTTCATGTCCTGACAGTTCTTATGTGTGCCGTTACAGTCTTGACGGTCAAAGAGCCAACTCCGGGTCAGCCTCAGATGCTCGATCACACCCGACTTTGTCTTGGACAGACATTCCAGCAGGACTAGGACTGTAACCATGCACTACGCATTGTCTTTCTTGCTTTCTTTGGTCTATATCAGCTTTATGAATGTGGCTATTGCCGCGGGTTCTGAAGGACAAGGTATCACCATACCGCTCTTCCCCCGTTTGCGCACAGATGCTCCATCTACCCACATCTATCGAAGCAATATTTCGGTGGCGAACAGTCACGAATAGTGAGTTCAACTACTTCTCTCTGATTCATCCCTGACGTCACCACACAGTGCCTATCTCGCTCGCGTCGAGTATGTCTCACACACTAGGTTTATTCTGCTTACTTACTCGGAACTCAATTCTCAGTATCGGCGGCCAACAGTTTTTGGTGCTGATTGATACTGGCTCCTCTGACTTGGTGTGTAGAGGGAGGCTCACTTGCGGTAGCGCTAATACACATTCCTTTAGTGGGTGGTATCGACCGAATGCATTGAGGAGGACTGTCATGCTGTTACCAAATACCAGCCCACATCCTCGCTGACATGGTCCAACGCCTCGTCCTTTGGTCTCGACTATCTTTTGGGCTCCGTGTCCGGGAAGATAGGGACGGAGCTTGTGACGCTGGGTCCCTATGAAATATCGACCCAAGCTTTTGGTGCGTTCGAAACGTAGACCTTGACATATTCGAACTTCGGATTTATCTGGGTTCAGCCATGGCGAATAAAACCTCTGGCCTGGGTCTATCTGGAACTGGCAATAGCGGGATACTGGGGCTCGCTTTCCCGCTGGAAGCAGCTATCCCCGACACATCAGGACAAACTCTTCTCGAAAACATATTTGCTTCTTTCGCCGACTCTGACAGATACTTCGCTTTCAAACTTGGTCGAAATCAAAGTGATTCCTCGTTCAGCTTTGGTCAACTGGACCCCGCGTTTGCCAACTCTACGTCGAACTTTACTTTTAGTTCTGTCTATCCTGCCTTCGGCTCTACTTATGACTACTGGAAGCTTCCGATTCAGTCTCTGACTATTAACTCCACTTCTTTCGCTCTTTCGCCGTCTCGCGTCCATGGCGCACCTTCTCCGATCGCCGTCCTTGATACCGGAACCACGCTCATCTTGGGACCAAGGGCTGACGTTGACCGACTGTGGAACTCTGTAGGCGGTGCACGGAAAACAGACACTGGTGGCTGGCAAGTACGCTGCAATCGTGGTATCGTCATTGGCTTTGTACTTGGACAAGGCGACAGTCAGAAGGAATATATCCTCAATCCCACGGATCTGAGTTGGAGGCAGGGTAGTTCTGATGGTGACTGGTGTATGGGCGGAATACAAGCGAATGATGGAGTCAGTTGAACATCTGCTTTGCTTTATACTAGTAGCTCACTTGCGTTACTTAGGTCTCATCGGGTGATTGGCTCCTAGGTGATACTTTTCTACGGGTAAGTTGATACACGATGCAACCTTGCTATGCCTAACGCTCGATTTGTGCAATGCAGAACGTCTATGCCATCCACCACATGGCTGTCGATGGCCAGTCCCCGAAGATTGGCCTTCTCGGAATGACTGACGCCAACTCGTCCATGGCTTTATTCCGAGCAGAACGGGGCGACGACGATGCACCGCCCGTTCCAGTGCTGTCTGCGGTTGACCACCATCCGCCCGTTCTTGGGACTGGCGCTATCCTAGGCTTGACCGCTGTTGCTGGCTTCGTCTTTGGCGCACTGATCACTTGCTTGTTGCACTGCTGCTTCGGACGGAAGGCCCGAGTGAACAAGGGCAGGAGATAGTATTTATATTACAACCATCATATCAAGCATTGTACATGGTCCGAAATCAAATGGAATACAGGCTATGTTTACATGTCCAAAGAGTGAAACGAATACAAGATACAATGAATAAGTAAAAGTAAGTTCAAGTAAGTTCATGGCTGGGCACCATTAAACATTGTACCCCGTTTTCTGCCCTTGTTGGTATGCAGCTGGTGGCGGTGGTGGCGACGGATGTACTGGTGGCCCGCCCCATGGCGCTTGACCGCCAGGTTGGAAGCCATACACCGGAACCTGTGGTTCCCAACTGAAAAAGACACGAGATCAATACAGTCCTGTACGCGCTAGAATTTTTTTCTCGTCTTACCCTGGTTGTATAGGTATGTTCCATTGACAGATGGCGCAAATCCAGATGTGCTTCGTCGACAGAGGGACCAAGGGTACAAAGCAAAGTTCGAACCAAGTCCGAGACTTCGCTCGTGTGACGGAGGCTGTGAAAGGCACGGTAAGCATACAAACGATGTCTACGATCCTGCTCAGACTCGCCATTGTGGCACCTTGGGCAAATCCTGGGTGGTTCATCGCCCTCGGGCTTTATCTTCTTGTTACAGCCGACTACGATCGGCGAAGGTTAGGGAAGTACCTCCACATGGGCGCTAGTATGTTACGTACTAAGAATGGGTATGCAAACTGAACGTTGAGCGGCAGGCGTCAGCACTGAACGGATACCCTGACACTTTGGCGCACTCACAAAAGAAATCCATAGTAATCTTCGAGAGTGGTGGTGGTGGTTGCGGTAAGAGTTGTGGTGCTGCATGTCTGGACACTGCTACCAGACTCTTGGCCGCAGCCATTACGTAATTGCCGTCTTCGAAAGGTTCATCCGCCTCCCCATTAAGGAACACCAAGATCATCACCCCACTGACACCTGGTTGTAACCATTAGATCTGAGCATAATTGAAGTAATTCATCTATTAACTGCCAGTGTATCCCGACTAAAACCTTGTAAGTATGAGCTAAAATGGCTTGGATCACCTTTCATCAAGGCACCGTCCGAGTCGACCTCTTATAAATTAAGTAGCGTGTTGTAGCGACCATTAATCTAGGATAACTCGCCTTGTGTGGCGTCTGATTACTGTCCTGCTCGTATCCTCGTGTAGGGCTTCCATAACATGTAGAAGTATGAATTGAATGATACAGGTAGGTCCGCACCTAGAGTCTGGCCTTGCCCTTTCAAGCACAATAGACCGTGCACCCTAGCCTCAAAACCCATAGACATTCCTAGCACTGGGAAGTAGCGGAAGCCTTCCAATAAAGTTTTATTTCCGATGCTCCACGGATTATGTGAGTTTCAGGCTTCTTGTGAGTTTCAGGCTTCTAAGTACGATATTCCATCTAACCTCTGAATCTCCGCCGGTTTCGTCTTGCTAGACGTTGAGCGCATCGTCGAGAAGCCTCTACCTAACCAGAGCTCGGACGAACATCTAAATCTCCGGTTTGGATATGGCCTAGGACGGGAGACGGGTTCATCATCAAAAGATTAACCATTTCTATTGAAGTTTGACAGCGGCGTTGCACGCCCCTCGACTTCCGAGGGCTTTTGCATCTTCGTTGTGATTCTACTGAACCAACTTCTCTTACATAAATATTATCAAATTACTCTATGGCGATTATAACACGTTGACCTGAAGAGGATGTGGTAAGATGTAGCAACAAACGTTCGAAGACGGTCGTGGGTGTCCTTTACCATGGGACAAGCGAAATAAGCATTTGCGAATTGGTGCTGCCAATACGGTTCTTCGCCGGAACTATGCGAGGATTCTTATGGATGTCAAGCATTTTCTCTGGAATGTAAAAGATATGAATGCGTATTTGAGCGAGCTGGGTGGGGCTCGAGAATTTAAGGCGGTAACTAATCATGGTTAAACATAAAGCTGCTATCTAATACCCTGCAACAACTGTGCCCAATGTCTTGAATGAGAAAACAGAAGAGGCGTAAGAAGTATATGTACTACATTGTCCCATGTAGTAAAGAAGAGAAGATATTAATGTGTCTACGCAGGTGTCCTATGCATGTGGTTGTGTCCAGTAATGTTCACAAGAGTTCGTAAGTCCAGAATAGCCCAGTGTTCTACATAGTATTGTACAATGTTCGTGTTCGCATGTCCGATGATCGTAGCAAAACAGATAGTTCGAGATTCACGGATAAAAATCAGGTACGTATTGCGATCCGTGACCATTGTCGGCAGAGTGCGCATGGAAGTCATTAGCGGGTTCTTGAGTGACCACACCAGTGAAGGTCATAGATTCCGCCAGAAATTGGGAAGGATGATATGATACGGACGAAGAGCTTACTGCTTGCGTCTCCAACCCCAGGTCGGTGCTCTGGGCACCGGAAGACTCCCCGTAGGCCGGGTAGTCATATGAAGGATAATAGTATGCATCGGCAACATCCCCAGCCCTTGCAAAGGGCACTGGAGGTTGTGCAGGCCCAACGAGCATTTCTGACGTAGTCATGCTCAGACTTTTGGCCATGCCAGACAGATCTTGCGACGGCGCCACCATGCTGACTACCGCCACAGACGGGGAACCATGGTGCGAAGGTATTGAACCATGAGAACCAGCTCGAGAGCTCCCGGGAGTAGTTGTGGGCCATCCACCATCATCGGTGTATGCAGTATTCGGCGCCGACGAAGGTGTCGGTAATGAAGACATAGATAGAAGGGCAAGTGGAGGATTACTGGCAGAACGCGGCGGGTTACGCCTGGAGAAGGAATAGTCCGCTCCGAGCAATTGCTCAAATGAGTCTCCCGATGGACTTGACGGATTACTGCGTTCTTGTCCGCGTAATTGTGCAATCCTCGATTCCCAAACCATACGCACAGTCTGCATTCTCTCCTCGCTCTTCGAGAAGATCCAGCGAATCTCTCTAAGAGCCTGAAGACAAATATCCACTTCGGCTTTCGAGCCAGACTCTCCTGCCAATAGAAATCCGGCGAAGAAGCATCCATCACGTACTAGAGCTGCGTCGAATTGGAAAAAGGAAGTACCCAGGTTCCTTTGGATGATGGTGACAACATTGCGCACTACACTGTGACAACGACTTCTAGCGTTATCATGGAGGCGGATTATGTCGTTCCGAACACGGGAAGTTTCAGGACCCGAACTCGACACATAGGAATCGCTTGGACCCAGCCGTTGCTTCAAAGCTTCGCGTATGAGGTTATCTGTAATATAATGTCAGCAACTGAAGTTGCTTATTACCGGAGAGATGCTTACGGCATTCAAATATCTTGATCTGTGAATATGCACGTCAGTATCTGGCGTCTGTCAAGCCCGGGAGACGTAGCTCACCTGCCATGCATTGATGAATCTCTCTATGTCTTCCACATCGACGAGGTCTCCCGTTCCGTACTGTCGAAGTTCATCTAGCTCCTTCCAACAGCGGTCTAACATCTTCCATGTGTAGTTAAGCGACTCCTCATCGACAAGTAAAGCCCGGCGAGCCTTCGGACCGGTCAAAGATGCGTGAACCTGTCGACACACCCCTGAAATCCGTATAGGAACAGCAGCATACGTATGCGCCAATGCGTACACTGCGGAGCCAGAAGACCCATCTGGGCGGGGCGGTAGGGTTGCCTCGAACTCTATAAGGTCGTCATGATTCCTACGTAAAAAGAATCAGTACAGTCTGAGGCGACGTGCAACCTCGAGCTTCTTACATCATTAAACGGCCTCCCCGAAGGCCGCTAGTCACACCGTCAAGCATATACCCGTGCCAGAACACTCTTGCTTTGATAACAGCATCGATATAATCACCCATTGTACTGCGGACAGGTAATGATGACGATGGGCTACAGAGCGTCTGAGCGTGAATCAACGCAGTCTCGTGCATAACCTGGTGATGACTCGGTGAATGATGCGTCTCAAAAATAGGTAGACGTGCTTACCAGCCTCTCTGCAGGTGACTGCAGTTCTACGGAACAAATTGGAATATGATCGCCGATAAATCAAAATACATACATACCTTGAGTCAGCGGCAGCAGAAGGAACAGCAGCCGTACACCATCCCACGAAGGTTTCCGCAGAACTCCGTGGATGTCGATGAGATAGAGAAGCTCTTGCAGCATATCGCGAACGAGTTCGGGGCGTGGCTGACTGTCAGCCACGCCCTCTAACATATCTTCTCTTCCGTACTCATCCACTCCGAAGCTTGCAGCCCAAATGACAAGGACCAAGCAGATGAGCTGACCAGGGATACTCAGTGCGTTTGGGTTGCTCAGCGAATCTGTGAACCTCTCGCGAAACTCCACTGGTTCCAGGATCGGTCCTGAGACAACGTCAACACCCCCTGGCGTAAGAACAAAACATGAGATGATTCCGAATCCTAACTCACGCTGGATATGAAATCGGCGGAAAAACGAAGATTCGAAGAACTCCGGTCGGATTCTTGGTGTGACACTTGGCGGTGTTACAACAGAGTGAAGGGAAGACTCGTCCGGAGAAGTTTTACCGTAGACAGCCCTGTGCGTAGCAGGAGATATCAGGGGATGACAGAAGTACAATGGCAGGGTGATATCATACTCTACTTGCTGTAAGCGCCGACCGCGGCGTAGCATCTTCACCGCCTTTACTTCTGCAAACTCATCGCTTCGAGCACAGATGAGTGAAAATTTGAGGGCCAAGACAAGAGTGTCTACTTACACACACTTCAACCCGCGTTCCTGGCAGTTCGAACAGGGCGGGTGCTGACCTGTTGGAGACATGGGGAGATCCTTCAAGTCACATCGGACTCTGCAAACACGAATGAAATTCATAGTAGATCCCTATTATGACTTGGTTCGACTGTGAAGCTAAGAACATACCGTCGCATCCGACATGCACCGCACGCGCTGAACTGTTCTCTCTTCTTTGACTGGTGGTGCATGAACTTTAGACAGTGTCAAGTCTAGATCATAAGACAACTGGCGTACCTTGCCTTTCGAGTAATCTCGCGGTGGTGGTGAGTATGGGGATGCAGGACGCGAACTACCAGAGGTTGGCGAGGTTTTCCGGGGAGACATTGCTCATGCAGGAGGACTGAAAGGAAGGGGGCTGGGAAGAGAGGGAACGAGGACGATCGACTCTGCGATCGACACATTATAAAGGTTATCGAGAACACTTCCGGTGTATCAAAGGAGGCATCGAAGCAAGCCGAAGGAGCGCGGAGCAATGCGTCGGACGAAGAATGGCAGAAACAAAGGGTAAAACCGATAAAATGGATAACCGCTGTACGGTTTGATGAGAAAGATATCTGAAAAGAAGACGAAACTCCCAATGATAGTGTTCTGTACACATGTCAAAACGGCATGGACCTAAACAGCAGATGTCGAATCGCGGAGAGAGATTGGCTCAAGCGATGCATGCTTCCCTGAAACGGTTAGTGTTTTATGTTACGCACTTGTTCAAGCCGGCGTGCATGCTGCCATCGTAATTTCAGACGTTTCGCGAGGTATGAATGGCACAAAGATCCGGGTGGAGGACCGAGTTTAGTAGTTTGTGGTAGTTTCCCGGACTCGCATGGCATGAAATCATCTCACCCCTTGGACGTAGTAATCGTTCCCGTTCATTTCATGCTACTTGATCTTTGTTTACCAGGGTCCCACATGCAGTGACTTACAGATGCATCCCCTAGCCGTATACAGAGGGCCTTGTCCAACATTTCAGGGATACGGTCGGTGAATAGGAGCAGCGATTGAGGCGTTGCAGTATCGTGAGTTGCCAAAATCAGGTTTGACACGGCCTTGCACAAGAGCGTCTATCGCATAACCGATGGCTTCCATTCAACTCTTTTTTGGTATAGCGTTGGAACTCTTTGCACAGACAACCACTTGCATGTTGCGATCCATGCGATGTCCAGCGTGCTAGTATATTAAACATCGACTTGCACTATCACACGCGACTTGCTGTATGTTCAACATCACAACGAATTCGACAAACATATCTGCGCACCCAACACAACACCGCCATATCCGTGAGTCATCTCCCGAGTGCTATACGCGACGCCCCAGGTGTCCTCATCCAGGGCAGGCAATGTGCCATCTTGGACATTGCTGTCGTCTTGGGATGCCACATTTGTCATGGAAGCCCTTGGAACCCGCGATCCCAAGGCTGATCGAGACAGCTTCCGTTTACTCTTGAAAGCAGACGTCGTCATCATCAATCGCTAGCCGCTCATCTACAGAGCAAGGAAACCTCCTGCTTTACGAAACGCTCGACGCAATTCGCTGGCTGTGCGTTGGTTTGGGTTCAACTTCCGATCGCGGGCCATTGCCTCCACATCTTCGCCATACTTTGCAACAAGCATCTGCAAAGTCTTAAACTCCCCAGAAGATGTAAACCGTGAGACTGGCCTGTCTGTCGACTGCAACTCTTCGAGTTCTACGCCATTTGCCGCAAGGAAGAGACGCACAGAAAATTCCAAAATGTCAGAAGACTGTCAGAGTTTTCACCACAGAAGGACTTACTTTGCACCACGCCTGTACCGGACGTCTCGGTATTACGCGATGATGAACTCCCGAGAGCCACCCAACCAGCTAAGTCTTCCTTGCTGGTCGGATCTGGAATATCCTCAACCAGATTGTTATCCGCGTTTTCTTCACTATCGGACTCTGCCATCTCCACATCCACAATGTTGCCATTTTCATCGCGTATAATTCTGCCATACCCCTTCGGGAGGGAATTCCGTTGTTCCACGGCACAGTTCTGCAAGGTTGATGCTTCTGGCGTCGATGCCTCGATGGAGCGCTCTTTGAGTTCGAGAGGTCGTTCCATGCCGCCGGATGCAGTGGGATTAAGCGAGGCAAGCAGGCCCAGCGCCTCGTAACTGTAAACAGGAAGTTCAGTCTCTTCGTCGCAGACGTTCATAGGAGGGTTTCTCCTTACTTCTGGCGTACTGTCTTACGCTTGTCCCAAGCGTCCTGAAGTACTTTAGGACCTTTAATAGCTATTGTATGATGACTGCTATCAATACCTCGCGTAAAAGGTCTGTTATCAGCATAACCTACGAGGTTGTTTCTTCAGTATTTTCTTTGCCCGTCTTGAATGGTGTACGGGTTTGTGGGAGCTAGACCTAAGTTTGCGCCGTTGCCTTGGATTTGCCATGTTCTACTGTACGTCCCAGGGTACAAGAAAGAGAGATACAGTACAAAGAGTCCCGTCTTATGGCTCTCGATTAGCGGACGGTAGAGTGAAGAAGAGATCGAGGATAGCTCGAATAAGCGCTCGACAACTTTGGTTGATTCTAAACTCCGCCAGTCACGAAAACGTTCACCGAGGTCTACCGATATTCACCGTCACCGACATCGTTCGTCACTTCTGCGACTGCAAAGCCCAAAATGTCCGCCCGCGTACACTACCAACCTGTTCCTCCAACCAAGTCCTTCGTGAATGTATGTGATTAATGTTCTAAACAACCCGGGGGGATCCGTAAATTCAACGCGTATAACAGGTGGCCAGGACATGGGCACCTAGTGCTATTTTCTGGGGCGCAGCTGCCGGAATCTACGGGCTTTACGTGCGTTGTGCCTCAGCTAGCATCTCCTTTGGCATGCATTCTGATCGGCGACCCGTACCTTTAGTTCTTGTCCGTAACTCCATTGGTGAAGCGTGAGTTCCTGGTGAAGGTCCCGGTCGTGAGTAGTTTCGTTCCGTCGCTTTGATCTTTCTGATTCCGGGTCTACTACAGATTGGCAGCTATTACGAGGATAAGACTCCCGCCTCTGACAAGCCATTCTAACAAGATGGCCTATTTAATTACAACGCGGTACATCAACGCTAGAAACAATTCATCGAACTATTCGGCATCAAGATACCGTACTACATCTTGCATGATCTACAATCCTAATAGATAGATGTCAAATGGGCATACGCGAATTCATATCACAACTTAGAGGGCATCCATTCTGAGCGCTCAAAGCCGCTCGTTAGGTCAATGCCCAACTTCTCCTCCAGTTTCTTGAGAGCCTGTAACGAGCCTCCAATTGGGACATCTATCTGTGTGTCAGCACACACATCTCTCCGGAAAAAAAAAACTACCCACGAATTGTTTCCATCCCGAGTTCTTGAGCCGCTTTCAAATTCCTGTGAGCCCAAAACGCGTTAGAATGGAGATATCATACGGCTGAATATATCCATGACATGTTCACTGACATGCCGAGGTCATCGAGGAACACTGCTTCGCTCGGTTGTATGCCGTTTCTCTGGCAAGCAAGCAGGTAGAATTCAGGCTCAGGTTTACTATTCGTGGTGCGGAGGCGTCAATACATGTTCTGTCTGAAGATGGAGAAAGTCGCCCACCGCGTCCCTAAAGTGCTAGAATCGCAAAAATCATCGAAGAGTTCACGGAGCTTGGGTGGGGTTGCACCCTGTTCCCATCCCAGGAACGTCAGCTCTGACTCCACAGTGAACTTGGAACCCGGCGGCATCCCCTTCGCGATTGCATCGTCGGTTTTCGAGAAGTTGTTCGTTAGGGCGATAACTCGCCATCTGCCGGCCGCTACAAGGTTGTGTTATCGATGGGTCAAAAGAGAGTTCAATAAACATAGAATGAAGACCATTACGCATGACCCTTCACGGCATTACTCACATCGGATTCTGCGAATAGCTTCCACCATACGTTCGTCGAACATCCCGCTTTCACGCATCATGCGTCCGAAGAGCTGCCACGCGTCAATGCCAGTAAAACAACACCAGAATGTCACGGTCATTAACCTCTCGCCCGTCTATGTTCAACTTCTCTGGCAATTTCGGACATTCTGAGGTGATGGTGTATACGGTGATTCATGCCCTCCGGCTTCCAAGACGGCTGGACGAAACGCACCTATACCCTTTCGTGCACAGTATTCCCTGTACCACACGTTCCCCGCGCTTGTATCGGATAACTCACGCCCGAAGGCTTCATAGAAAGGGAAGAGGGCTATCTCTCCCCGTTCAAACTTTTGCCAGGCGCCATTGGACCCTCTCCGAGTTCTGTTCCAATGTTGTTCGGTCAATTATGGGGCCGAATACGCGAGCTGACTGCCGTCACCAACATTGAGCAGTTGATGTAATTATTGGGTATTCCATGTTCACGCTCGTATGCAGCAATAGCAAGTAAGGGGCTCCGGAGTACAACACCCCCGACCTAGAGGTTCGAAGAACGAATGATGGCGTAAGTCAGTGAAGATCTCTGTTATCAGTTGGAACTAAAATGATCGTACATCGAATATAACAGCTTTGAGGTGAGGGGAAGTCATTGCTACACCGCGAGAACAGCGTATTGTGTAGTAGGCAGTATACCTGCCTGTACTCAACTTTGCGTTTGAAAGTCAATATTGCATGCACTTAGATGATGCGGTTAAGGTTGCCGGATCCATGTTCCCCAACCTAATCCCGGCTTTTAATTTTACCGATCTTGCCGGTTCGACTCTGCATGAGTTGGTACCACCGCCTTCACTGCCGCTGTACTGTGCAACGACCGCGGTCAGGCTTTCCTTATGACTACACTGATGCTGGACATTATTTACATGTACCTCTAACTACCCTACTGGGTTGAGTTACTGTCTGTACGTCGCCTTTTGTGCCTTGGGTTCCTGGTTAGCGTCTTGATGGATTTTACAACTCCTCCGACATTCACGGCGCTGGACTTATCTGAGTCTGAGGATTAGCAAGAAACCGCAAGGTTGTTGCCGTTTAGAGCCATCAGGGTCAAATCTTGACTGCTACTAATGTGCTACTCCGTTCAAATGCCGCTATACTCCCTCCGCAGCAGAAGCGACTCGAGAATGCTCCGATAGCGAGGTCATTCATATTCAATCTAGGGCGTCACAGGTGATATATATGCTGTGCGCGTCTCTCATCGCCCTGTGCTTGGAATACTCTTGTCAAAGGCACATAAGCCGGAAATTACATCTGCGGAGGGTTCACCCTTAACTTTGATTCATCATCTCTCGACACCTCTCAGTTTCTGTACCAAAAGCAACACAAGGAACTCTCCGAAGCATTACATCCTCATATCCGATGTCACTACACCACAGTGCCAGTCACCACTCGCAGTACCGCCCTCATTCTGCTAGACCTATTAATCAAAGCATATCCTATGGCGGACAACCGGGGTACGGTGGGCAGTCAGGATATAGTGGTGGACAGTATGCTCCGCCACAATATGTGCCCCAGGGACCCCCTCCAGGGGCGGATCCTCAGTTGTGGCAATGGTTCTCTGCGGTCGACACCGATCGGTCAGGCGCGATTACCGTGAATGAGTTGCAGGCTGCGCTGGTGAATGGTACGTGAAACTCGCTGTTGTATGCGTTCGATCGTGAGCTAATCGGAAAGGTCCTTAGGAAATTGGACGAGTACGTCTCCGAACATGAGTGATGCGTACTAGAATTGACTGTTTCCCCAGGATTTGATCTGGATACGGTGAAGATGTTGATGAACATTTTTGTAAGTGGATTCTCTGCTCTTATCCTCTGGTGTTCTACAGGATCTGACCGATTCCGAAGGACACGGATAGGAGCGGAACGATAGGGTTCGCAGGTACGATTATCGCAGCGGAAAGGTTGATCTGTATGATACTGAGAACAACTTGTCAGAGTTCGCCGGGCTATGGAAGTACGTCGCAGACTGGCAGAACGTCTTCAAACACTTTGATCGCGACCACTCGGGATCTATAGACGGCCTTGAACTTGCGCAAGCGTTACGGAGCTTTGGCTATAACCTGTCGCCAACTATTCTCGCTCTTGTTGAGCAGAAATATGGTAAGTGAGCTTGAAGTGTATGTGTAATACTGGAATAACCCTCTCAATAGCATCGGGACCTACCGGTGGTTACGGTCCACCACCGGGGATCACTTTCGACCGCTTCGTGAGGGCGTGTGTTGTGGTGAAGACACTATCAGAGGCATTCCAACAGTAAGCACTCAGCATTTCTACTAGTTGAATGCTTCTGACACTTCTGCAGACAAGACTCTGATAGAGATGGGTGGATAACGATCAATTACGAACAGTTCATGAAGGTCCGTAGTATCGACATTGTCTGGTTGCATCAGGCTGACCTCGATTCAGATTGTGCTGGCGGCCCCGTGAAATGACCACGACGTATATCCCCTGCCATGCCATGCCATGCCATGCAATTTACCCTCACTGGTCTATTTTATTTTTTATGCTACGAACCTTCACGTTGTATTTGTACCACATCCACCGCCGTAATGTCTCAATACTGCCTTTCAATTTGATGAAAGGATAAGACTATTGGTTGCGATGATGACATTATCGGCTGCTTCGCGATCGACGTAGGCTCAAAACAGTGCTGTAGATGTCTCATGTGAAAGATTGTTTCATATTTTGGATACCTGGCTCAAGTTTACTCTAAATGTATGTTGAGCCAGCCCAAAAATATGCGTCATTGGTCGTTGGTCGTTGGTTGAAGACCGACCGTGCTTGGCTATAGGCTAAGTGGAGAATAAATATTCACATGCGTGCGTGTGAAAGGCGGGTGCTGTCAGTGGTCGGACGCCAACTCGCCGGGAATGGCCAAACATAAGATGCATTTCAAGCTGCTGGTCAGGCGTCCCATCCTCCCCAATCCTCTGTCCCATATATTCTACCGCCCTCCTTAACCCCCCACCGCCGTCATCTCATCATGCCCTTCCCCGACATTCCTGCCCAGTTTCCTCCAAAGCTCAACTACCAGCAACAGTCCATTGAGGTACCAGGTACAAAGCGACCCGGACAGACAGGCAAGTCAACTTTCATTCGGTGATGGGGCATACTCTGACACGTTTCTGATTTCAGGGCATTATCGAAATGGTATGCTGCGTCACGGAAGTTGTCCTTTGTACATATTCTGACACTCTATCAGGTGTATTCCCGTTCATTACACTCGATACACCAGACACCTTCGTCAACCTGCTAGAAGTCTTTGAGTCTGGTTTGCGTCGTAGCGGAAAGGACGCCAACTGTCTTGGTCACCGTCCATTGCTATCTGTCAATCCCTTAAAGTTCGCCGACCATTTTGTTTGGCAATCCTACGGCACGGTCGATGCCCGCCGACGCGCAGTGGGCAGCGGGCTCCTGAAGTTGTTTAATGATGGCGTTCTACCCGCTGGTACCCTTAAAACGGTCGGAGTCTGGAGCAAGAATTCTCCTGGTGAGATTGTCTCACTCTCGTTACTAGGTTGTGTTTGACATCCAAATTAGGCTGGCAGATCGTAGATCTCGCCATACAAGCATACGGCTTGGTCGGTGTCAGCCTTTATGATACATTGGGGAAGGATGCTGTCGGTACGTGTTCAAATTTCTCGTTCTCAAGAATTATACTGATGTAGCCTTTTAGAGTACATGTATGTATGTTGCTGTACTTGGTCAAACCCGTCTCTTATTCGTCTTGTAGTATTAATCATGCAGAAACATCCATTATCTTTGCGGCTATTCAACACATTCCTTCTTTGCTCAAGTTATGCTCTCGGACGTCGGGAGTGAAGATAATTGTTTCACTCGACGACTTTACAGATGAGACAAGACCCATATTGACTGCTTGGGGCCAGGAGAGGAATATCAAGATCATGGACTTCGCAGAACGTAAGATCGGTTTTCGGAATAGTCTTACTGCGGCTCATACTCACCTTTTGCAGTGGAAGAACTGGGCAGGAATAACCTCGTCGACTTGCAGCCCATCAACGCTGATACCATCGTGACGATATGCTACACATCTGTCGGTAACTTTTTACGCTTTCGTCAGAAACCGTCTCTCATTGCTTCCAGGGCACGACAGGTAACCCTAAGGGTCAGTTTACTCCAAGACTCCCATCTCGATTCGACTTGTCCTGAATTTACTCTCCAGGTGTCCTTCTGACTCACGGCAATCTCGCTAATGCGGTCCACGCCAACGTCACCGGAGTGAACCTGGACGGCGAGACTCCACGGCTTTTGTCATATCTCCCCTTGGCACATATTTTCGAGGTATGCGCCTAGAATTCCTATAACCAAAAGTTTTCCCAATTATCTGATTGATCAATTCTCCTTGTAGCGTCAACAAGAACTCAACATGATCGCTCTCGGAGGTAGTATCGGTTTCGGAACGGGAGACCCATTGCGTCTTTTGGAAGACCTTCAGACTCTCAAACCAAATTTCATCCCTTCCGTTCCCAGAGTCCTGAATAGGATCTTCCAGGCAGGTCAGGCTGCTGCTTTAACACCGGGGTTGAAGGGCTTCCTCTTCAAGCGCGCTCTGGAGACCAAGTTGCAGAGGCTGAAGACCACCGGAAGTCACACCCATGCGTTCTGGGACCGTCTCGTCTTCAGCAAGGTGAGCTTCTGTGATTCTTTGTGGTGCTTTGTGGAACCAATGTTTATTGATCCTCGGTTTTTAGATTCAAGCTGTCTTGGGAGGGAACCTCAAATTCATCGGGTGTGGTTCTGCACCAATCAGCGCGTCCACGATGGAGTTCCTACGTGTTGCGCTAGCGTGTGATATCATTGAAGGTTACGGTATGACGGAGAACTGTGGGACTGCTACTCGTGTCTGGCCGAATGATCCCACGTCAGGTGGCACCGTTGGTGCACCTCACGCTAATACTGAACTCAAATTGATTGACGTTCCTGCTATGGGTTACTCAAGCGAGGATAAGCCTAATCCTCGTGGTGAGATCTGCCTCCGTGGTGATCATTGCTTTATTGGATATTACAAGGGTACGTTTATCCTGTGCATGCATTATCTGACTGTTCTCAAGAATTTTTGCAACAGATGAGGTCAATACCAAGGCCACGCTGGATGAGGAAGGCTGGACCCACACCGGTGACGTCGGAGAACTCGATAGTTGCGGTCGCCTCAAGATTATCGACCGTGTCAAGGTATGTTTTCCATGAAGTTTTTCTCCTGATGCGAACTGATCACCATGGTGTGACGTAGAACATCATGAAACTCGCGCAAGGCGAGTACGTCGCTATCGAGCGTGTAGAATCTCTCTATGCCGCATCACCCATTGTCTCACAAGTCTTCGTTTACGGTGACGGGCTCCAGTCCTACCTCCTGGGTGTCATCGTGCCTGAACCTATTCAGCTCGCTGTGCTCGCGTCCAACGTTTGGGGAACCAAGGTCTCACCAGAGGATGAGGCCAAGCTCCTCCAGGCCACAAAAGATTCTAATGTCCGGGCTGCTATCAAGGCCGAGCTCGACAAGGAGGCTGTCAGGAACGGCCTCAAAGGGTACGTCTTGCATTCAGATCTTTCACTCGAGAGAGTCTTATTGACTTTGTTCCCGACCAACAGGTTCGAGCGGATCAAGCGTTTCCACGTCACTTTGGAGCCCTTCACCGTCGAGAATAATTGCCTTACCCCGACACTGAAGATCCGCCGGAAGGATGCGTACCTGAAGTTCAAGGCAGAGCTTGATAGTTTGTATGCTTTGGGCGAGCCCAAGCTTTGATGCCCGAACGAAGTGTCGGTTATGCAATGGGCGGATAATCCCGTCTACGGAAACTTGTAGATGTTGTAGAAAATCTACACTATGCTCCCGTATATTTGTCTTTACTTGTACGTCATTATCTGAATACCCAATGGGGAAGATTTTGGGACCTCTTTCTATTGAAATGATCTATTCTACGCCTGGTGTGCAATTAGCTGCATCGACCTACAGACTCACAGTGTGCAGACCGATCGACCATGAATATCCGTGTTGTTCTTCCATCTCCCCGTCTCGATTTCTACACTACGTGTCATACATCGTTCCAACTACGTACATACAAAGGAGACAATATCGAAACAAGAGTTAGAGATGGCATTTACAGAATGTCCTGGATAATGAATGTGCTAATGCACATATTCTACAAGACGGAAGCGGCGGGCATGATGCGGTTGGTTGTGCGAGGGTATGTGCAGCGAGATGACCTAGGACGCTTAGGTTGTTTTTCTACCTTCCACGATCTGACGGGAGTACGTGGTGCTGAAAAATGAGATACCCGCCATCGCAACGACCCATAGGTATCGTAAAAAAAAGTTGCTTGAGCCGACAGAGAGGGCGAATAGGGAACTCGCGAATGCCGGGGCAAAAGCACGGGCAAGGCACTATAGGACGATGGTAGTCAGTATATGTGTTCAGAGACGGAATGGTATGACTAGAACAGAACCATTGAGAATTGAGCCAGGCCATTCGTTGCACCTAAGGATCCCGGGTCTGGGGCACTGTCCTTAACGAGGATCATGCCGACGCTGGACAACGCATGCACCTTGTTGGTAACACTGAGAAGTGTTTCTGGCGGAGGGACTTACACAAACGCCAAGGCAGCACTTCTAACAAGCATCAGGATTACCGCGATACCGAGCCAGACCATTGTTTTTGTATGAGGATTAATTACACTTGATCCATCTTCCAGTACTGTAAGTCCAGAGCGAGCAACGAGGTTGACTCCGGGCAGGAGAGCGTACGAATAAGGCCAGACAGCCATACACAGGTTGTACAGTTTAGCGTGGTCGAAACGACGGAGGAGGTAGGGCATCAGGAAGAGCTGAAGAACCGCGGAGGCTATGCCTGAGACTGCAAGGGCATAACCGATTTCGGCTGCCTATAAGAGAGAGAATCCAGAATTATATGATCGTTACGATATATTTAAGGCGTGTATGGCACGACGTACTGAAAATGCAAGCCCACCAGACTCCACTGGTGAGTAGCAGAAGAGAACAAAGATGACATTAAATGCAGTATCACTGAGATATCAGTGAGTATATGCGGTGACAAAGAGGCATGCATGGACATACATGAAAGACAGCAACCATCCGCTGATACATAATACTCGTACGTTGGGTATGGACCACAAGTACCTGACGCTTGCATCCACCTGGGGGTTCTCGGAAGCCAAAGGTTGCGGTGTATGCGCACCGTTCTTGTTGCGGCGTTTACTGGGTAATGACTACGGCCGAGGTGAGTGCAGATCAAGACTGGAGCACGATCCTCATACGAACCTCCTCTAGGAAGAAGTAACCGCCAACAAAGCCACCGGCAGCAATTAAAGCAGCCAGAAATGACGGTAGGAAATAAGGGTAAGTCTTCAACAACTCCCACCGCTCAAACCATTGGGGAAACTTTTCAACTGGGTTGGAGAATGTACCACCTATTAGGGGTCTGTACCAGACGATGTATCAACATACAGTCAACAAACACTGGAGCAACGTTAAACAGTACCCGATTATTTCCCCCATTGGATAGCATAGACCATATAACGAATACGCTACAGCCTGGTTTGTTGAGTCCGTAATCTCGCCGAGAACAGAGTGGATGACTGGGAGATTTCCAGAGAAAAAACCACCTGATATAATGGTCGGTTAGTGTATGGTACGCGCACGAAGCCCGCCATGCAACCGTACCAAGAAATCGGGAGATGAACACGCCTGCAAACGAGTTTGAAAGGCCAAGGAAGAAAGTCGTGATGGTAACGCCAGCGATTCCAATGAGTACGACTGGCCTACGGCCCACTTTGTCTATAAACGACACTTTCAATTCAAGCAGAGTGACGACTGTACGGTGAACCCGCACACCTGACAACTTGGCCCATTGGTAGATGGCTAGCAACTGTGAAATCGCAAAAGCGCTTTCCTATGCTCGAAGCCCTATAATTCATTTCAATACCTTGATCAAAGTAACTCCAAACTAACCACTAGCCCGCTATAGTACCCAATTTTTGAAGGATCGTCGGTGACATGGAGGTGCTCCATCATTTCGTTCACATAGGGAAATATCTGAGTGAACGCAATAGGGTCGACGGTCCTCACCCCGCATAACGATGCTAGTTTCGCCTTGGGGACAGGCGTTCGTCGGATGGGTTCACCTGAGCGGTGAGAATCCGGGGAGCGGTCCTCAAGCTTGATGGCGTCCTCCAAGTCCTCGCTCAGAAACGGTTCAACCTCACTGTCTGAGGGCGAACCATATTCAAGTTGAGCACCCATGGTGGTCTAAGGGTGTGAACTGACTCGCAGGAGGTAACATAAATCAAACCTGGGGAGTGGGAATTTATAGACTGGAGTATTACGAAGAACTCTTGTGAATTGCCCTCTGATCGTTTTCCATAAGACGCATCTTTTACGTTTGTTGAGGTCACGCACGGCTCCATCGGCATTGCGAAAGCTGGTGCTGAGTGTTTACGCTGAGTACACCTGACCGCTCCAGCATAAACGTACTCAAGTAAACATCGAGAGGTGTGAAGGTCCATTTTCTGAAGGTGTTTGGGCTGAAGCTGGAGAGATTGCGGGGTAGGCTGATGCCGTGCGGCATAATGGCGATCCCGGGCCGGTCAGCCGCTCCCACGGTTATAGATGGGTCTATCACCGACTTGTGTTGTTTTGTAACTTGTTCTCCTTAGCATCGTCCGCAACAGACATTTCTGCGAAACTTCACCTCTATCCATATTTACGCTGTATAACACCCGACAATGTCTTTTAATGCTCACGACAACATCGTTCTTGTAGCCCCTCGCCCGGTCCGACTGGCTACTTCTACCTACACCCAGTTCCATCCTTCTATTGTTCATCGTCCCCAGCCTCGCTCTTCCGTGCGCCTCGTCTCTGCCCCTCCAGATGCCATTGATCGACTTAGACTTGGCGAGGAGTATGTCGATGAGGAGCTTAGATCTGACCAATCAGACCGCGAACCTGCTTCACCCCGTCTATCCCCTCGGTACGTTTTGAGATGTTCGAAGATCTGATCGACGGTTTGCATGTACTTACTAAGACCATGACTGATGTAGATCCAACCTGAGCTCAGAGGCACTGGAGGAGTTTCTGTCCATCTTGCGCCCTTCCACTACGCTACTGTTCCCACCCACCTCCCCGATCCTTCGAGCAACTAAAGCTAGTGTTGCAAACGCTTACTTTCCCTATCGTCGCACCCCTTGCAGCGTTAGTCCATCTATTCCTGCTGAGGGTCTCGGATTGACTGCCCCAGATGAGATCGATAAAGAGAATGACTCTCAGCCTTTCAGATACTTTGGGAAAGGACCATTAGGTTAGTGTGCCACTCAAAAGAAATTTGCCACAGCGCTGACCTTGTCTGAACTCACCCTTCTTTTTCTGTTGTAGCTTCACCTGTTGCCCGTCACCTAACCCGTAACCCGTTCCAACGTCATGCATCCTATGAGTCCACTGTAACAACGTACATCTCTACTGGCGCAAAGTCTCCCTCCCCGGTCAATGCCTCGCTCTCTCCCGCTGCGATACCGCTTCCTTCACCTGGGCCAGATGAAGCAGATCTATAGGTAGCCACAGGATGAGTGGCTACCCCACATCACACACATCATCCCACAGTATACCCACTCATTATTGGATCTGGTTGATACCCGATCCGTCCATTCGTTTCGAATGTTGACAATACTATGTTCTACTAGCTTTCTATGTACCGGCTCAATTCCTTCTATTAGATATACTATATTTCTTACCCACAATGTCTCTGTATTCCTTGGTTATCATTGGTCATTTCTCTCCCTCCTATTCGCAGTACTAGTGTTCTTTTCCTTGAACAATTGTGCTATCATCTCTCGTCTCACCGCCTTTTTTCACTAGTTAAGTCTCGGGATGGTTATATCTTTCTCTTAGGTTGTGGTATATAGTGGACACATAATAGTCTCAGTCGATTTTATCTCAAATGAATATACTTTCCATGATATCGGTGGCTGCTTGGCGGCAGTCTACGTCAAATGCCTTCAAATTCAGTCTAACGGTAATTGTGTATAATTAATAAACCTGTGTAAGCAGTGCTTCGAGGCAGAGTCAATGCCCAAATGTTCAACAACGTTCAAGCTCTCACTGTCAATTGGCTTCACAGAGCGCAAGTAGTAAACAACGCCTGCTCTCTTATGATATTTTCATGACCACCGTTTTCCCCTCGTTCCATAGGGGTGGCAACCACTCGTGTTACTCACCTGGCCGACAAGATACTCAAAATCCCAGAAATGGCGAGGTTTGCATTAAGTGGTCTTCTCCTTATCAACGTCGTTGTGCGACCCTCAATGCTCACAGGACAAAGATACGCGTCTTCGCGCCTGCTCCACGAACGCTCCAAAATACGTTTGTAACTGGCTTGGGTAAGTACAGTCAGCCTTTGGAGATTGAAAGTTGTATGCTGGATATTTCAAAAGGTTGCCTATCGTTCCACGAATAGCTGTGTATACGTACGCATACACTTCGCCGTTCGGCGCTGCCGCTCTACCGCAAACCCTCATGGACTTCTTCACCCACGGGCGTATACCCACCTATGTAATGGTTATTCGATATACTCTCGCGATTCTCCTTACGCATATCCCGTCTAATCGCGAAAGTCTTCCTCATCCGTTTCTCACCTCGAAATAAATCAAGACTAAAGTGAATTACGTTGAGACTTCGAGTGAGGGAGAAGTGGTTTACGGGTCAGTTGCCAGACAGACATATGACCTATCATAGTGCTGCCGTACCTGCCAGACTGACGTGTACCCAACGGCTGCTGAGTACTTCGATGAACAAGCCTTATCATCGCAATGACTAGTGAGCTGCAAAATCTAGTTGTTCATGCGGAGTGTGCCAGCTTTGGAAAAGGTATAAAAGGAAGCCTCTGAAGAATCACAATCGATGTCATCTGCTTCTTTGACACCATTCGCCTCTTCCCAATATCTGCCGCGTATAATATCATTTACAGCTTGAACAAGATGTCTCTTAAGACGACTACGAAACTCAGCGGTAGTGCTTCCGAGGTTATCGTTGGCAAAGTCGCTGTAAGTTTCATAAATTACTACACTCGGGCATGTAGATGGCTAAACTGACTATTTTCTTCGTTGAATATCAAGCATGGAATCATGTCGATGACGTGGGTATTTACTGTGCTTCTTAGCATTCATTCCATTTTCCTGACTTTGTCGTCTGCACAGTTGGCGTGCTCAGCCTGTCTCCGACGAGGAGGCTTTCGAGTCCCTCAAGGCGAGCATTGATGCGGCTTACGCGCTTGGCGTAAAGATGATTGTGAACAGCGGTAACGAACCCATCCCGGCCCAGCGCCGGGGTTCTTGCGTCAATTCTTAACTGACACTGCACCTGATTGACGTAGCGGAATTCTATGCCAATGACCTTGGTACCGGAAGCCTTGAGCTTCTCTCCCGCTTCTTCGAGAAACATCCCGAATATGCTGATAGGACATTCCTCTCCGTCAAGGTAAGTGTATTCGACCGAGTGTCGTCGCCGTGGACTTTGTTAAATGTAAGATTTCTGGATACTACAGGGTGGATCTCTCCCTCAAGCTTTCGGTATCGACAACTCGTCAGTATTTCATTTATTTGCTCCATAACTATCGTCATCTGAATAGTACATTTTAGTCCTGAGAACCTTCGCCGAAGTGTGAACGCCGTCAATGCTGCCCTCCGTGGCAAGAAGCGCGTAGATCTCTTCGAGTCAGCTCGTGTGGACCCCAAGATTCCCATAGAGGATGTCATGACCACCATGAAGAGCCTGGTCGCCGAAGGTCTCTTTGACCATATCGGTATCTCCGAGTGTAGTGCTGAGACCCTCCGTCGAGCAGCTGCGGTGAGCATTTATCTAGAATGGCCGTCATATGAATAGTTTTTGACCGACCTTTTCCAGGTCGCTCCAATCGCAGCAGCTGAGATTGAGGTCAGCCCTTGGTCGTACGAAGAAGAAACGAAGAAAGGTTCAAATTCTGCTCGCATATAATCAGTGTTACCCAAATTTGTTGACTTCGGGATTTTAGTCCTTGTTACTGCTCAAGAGCTCGACATCGCTGTGATCGCCTACTCGTAAGTCTCTTAGTGGTACATATAATACATTCCACCCATTCTAACACTTCAATGATTTTTACCGTAGCCCTCTTGGCCGAGGCTACTTGACTGGCACCATCAAGAGTCCTGAAGACATTCCTGAGGGCGACATGCGCCGGAACTTCACGCGGTTCCGAGAGGAAGTACGTAGTCAGCATACAGCCCGGAGTGACAGAAATCTGAAAGGTCTCGGCAGTACTTCATGGTCAACTACGCCATCGTTGAGGCTCTCAAGGCAATTTCAGAGAAGAAGAAGATCACATCCGCCCAACTCTGCATTGCTTGGGTTGCGACTTTGGGGGAAAAGGTCATCCCTCTTCCTGGATCTTCGTACGTACCAGCTTGATTGGTTTATACTTCGATGTTCACAAGCCTGTTTTATAGCAATGTAAAGCGCACCTTGGAGAACATAGGAGGTGGTAATGTCGAGCTCACCAAGGAGGAGAAAGCTGAAATCCAGAAAATCATTGAGACCTTCGAAGTCAAGGGCGACAGGTACACCGGTATGGATCCAAAAGTCCTCCACTTGTGGGGATGAATGGTGCGATAGATGGCCGTTTGTATTATAATGTGAAACTGCGAGATTCTCTATGTCTGACACGTTGTAACGGTTGTATGCATCTCTGTCACAGTTCAATTGCGAAAATCTGTGCAAGGGATTTGCTCAATTTGTAATATGAACTTGAACGATCGATCGTCGGAAAGGATTCCGAACGAACGGTTGCTTATCTTATCGACTCGGAGGTCAAGCCAAGATGACTCTTAACAAAATCCTCCGCAAGTTTGTTCAGGCCGCATTCTTTCTAATTCCTGTCTTTTGACTCGATTCCCCGGTGTAAACCCAGCTGTCTTCCTTGACGGAAAATTGGGACGAGTCATTAGACGGGTTTACTCTAATTACTTTATCTCCATAAATTGTCGACCTCCTCTACTCCTCCCCTTCATTTTACCTTGACCTCAAAATGTGCGGCATTCTAGCAGTCCACGGCCTCGAGAATCCCGGAGCCGACCGTGCGAGACTCATCGCTTGTTCCAAGAAAATTCGCCATCGTGGACCTGATTGGTCAGGATGTTATGTCGGAAACCAGGCTGTCCTTGTTCATGAACGTTTGGCCATTGTCGGTGTCGGTACGTTTGAGTTCCAATCTTTCTAGAGGTTGTAACATGTTATAACTGGGTTATTTTCAAAAGACACTGGTGCTCAGCCGCTTGTGAGCACCGACGGAAAGATCACACTTGCAGTCAATGGCGAGATTTATAACCACATGAAGCTGAAAGCCGGCTTGAAGAAGCCCTATCAATTCAAGACACATTCGGATTGCGAAGTCATCATCCCGCTGGTACGTTCGCTATGAGTTTTGAAGGCTCGATTATATTGACATTTGCTCTTATAGTATCTCGAACATGACAAAGGTCTCTGTGACCTGCTTGACGGAATGTTCTCCTTCGTCCTGCTAGACGAATCCGTCTCTCCCTCTCGTATTATTGCTGCACGCGACCCCATCGGAATCACTACGCTCTACCAAGGTTGGGATTCAAAACGACCAGGCGCCACATTCTTCGCCTCAGAGCTCAAGGCTATCATCGACGAATGCGACAAAATCATTTCCTTCCCTCCTGGCCACGTCTATGACAGCCAGGATCAGTCAACCGTACGGTACTTCCAGCCCAGTTGGTGGGATGGTGACCTCGAGGGCCCCTCCGCTGTTATTCCGACAAAACCAGCGGATCTCAAACTCCTTCGGGAGTCATTGGAGGCTGCAGTCCGCAAGCGGTTGATGTCCGAGGTTCCTTATGGTGTTCTTTTGAGTGGTGGTCTTGATAGTAGTCTGATCGCTGCAATTGCTGCACGCGAGACGGAGAAAGTCGCTCAAGCGCAGGCTGAGGCTCGTAGGAAAAAGCTTCTGGACGCAAAGAATGGTTCGGTTTCCCTTTCACTTGACGATATCAACGAATACGGTGAGTTACTGTCCATACTGTGATTGAGGATGCCCACCTTGACAACAAATCATTGGTCTAGCCACCATTGCCTCATGGCCGCAATTGCACTCCTTCTCGATCGGTTTGGAGAACTCTCCTGATTTGTTGGCAGCACGCAAGGCCGCGGACTTCCTCAGTACAGTTCATCACGAATATGTCTTCACCGTTCAAGAAGGTCTCGACGCTATCCCCGACGTTATTTATCATCTTGAGACTTACGATGTCACCACGGTCCGCGCAAGTACGCCAATGTACCTTCTCGCCCGGAAGATCAAGGCTATGGGTGTGAAGATGGTTCTCAGTGGTGAGGGAAGTGACGAGATCTTTGGAGGTAAAGTATCATCTGTTATGTGAGATCCGAAAGTATATTGATATATAATGTTCAGGATACCTGTATTTCCATGCCGCACCTGATCCCAGGTCGTTCCACCAAGAGTGTGTACGACGAGTCAAAAACCTCCATACTTCAGACTGTCTTCGTGCCAACAAGTGCGTGCCTTGTTCCTCGTCTTGGTCAAATTCTTGTGATTGACGACATATGCAGGTCAACAATGGCTTGGGGTCTCGAAGCTCGTGTGCCTTTCCTCGACAAGGCGTTCCTCGAGATTTCTATGAACATTGATCCCAAGGAGAAGATGTTCAACAAGGGTGCACTCCAAGAAACTGATCCCGATGGTCGTCCAAAGATGGAGAAGTACATCCTTCGAAAAGCCTTCGATTGTGCACCGGATGGCAAGGTATATGCATTCTGAAGCGCATATACACAGTCATACTCACTGTCTCATTCTTAGCCATACCTTCCCGACTCTATTTTATGGCGTCAAAAGGAGCAGTTCTCTGATGGTGTGGGTTATTCATGGATAGACGGGTACGTGATTGTAGGCCTTCTCATGTACCGAATGCCTGACTGACGATGCGTAATAGTATCAAAGATCATGCTGCATCCGTTGTTTCTGATGAGGCCCTTGCTAAGAGTGCAGAGCGGTGGCCCAGGGATACCCCAGATACCAAGGAAGCATACTACATCCGCGAACTTTTCGATGGTAAGCACTCACAATGCTGGCACTGCCATGTACATCTTTCTGACATCACTCTCAGGTCTCTTCCCTACGGAGACAGCTGCGGAAACGGCCGTTAGATGGATTCCACGAGGAGACTGGGGTTGTGCATCAGATCCCAGCGGTCGTAGCGTCAGCATACACAATGCTGCATATGGGACGACCCCGTGAAGACGGGAAGGAAAGCAAATGCAGATTGTGGAAGAGGATAGCTCATAGCCTGTAATACAACTTTAGAATCTACGAAAAAGAGAAATAGACATGGCAACTAGACAACGAGTGTGCGGGGGACGAATGTTCATGCATGATTGCCCAGAAAACATAACATGAATTGTACGAGGAAGAGAGAAATAATATGTGTGTTTACGGTTGAGAGAATGGATTGGGTAACGAGATGAGCACAGTATCTGTAGAGCGGGTAATGAAACACATTATTAGGGAAAAATGCGGGAATAAGGAGTGATATGGTATCATCAATAATGGGTGACTCAACGACACTATTATGGATGAGAAAAGCAGATGATATGATCACAGCAAAGCAAACAGCAAATGGTGGTAAGAACGCCACATGCCAGCCATAAAATCAACAGAATGAGAGTGTGTCGTTAATATAAATCCGTGAAAGGGCGTGAAATCTCCGAGAAATATAATAAGGAAGCTGAATAGGGAGCACAATGCAATATTAGGTGACCGACTGGCTCAGCTTTACTAGTGACGGATCCTGCGCCACTAGATTTCGATACAAGCCAACGCCAGAGTCTTCTGAAGGAGCTGGGGAGGACAACTTTGTTGCGGCAGTGCGAGTCGCAGCACTGTTTTGAGAAATATTCCGTGTCCGCTTCGGTACGGGAGTAGCGTTTGCCCGTGTGCTGCCATCCCATGCCGGCCTCTCCCTCGTTACAGTCACTTTAACTGAATGACTGTCTTCAGAATGTGTCGGCTTCCTGTTTGTCGGCGTTGTCTGTGTACGACGGCTCGCCGGTCGATTACCATTGGGTGCCTCGGCTGAGACAAGGCGAGTACCAAATTTCGCGTTCGCTGAAGATTCACGGCCGTAGGCGGTTGTCTGACCAGAGGGTCCTCGTCGAGCACCATTAGCGGAGAGTTGTCTGGGTTTGACGATAGGCTTTTGCAGTGTGACCTTGTCTGCTCCCCAATATGAGAAACTCATCTTTGATTTCCGATCAGAGTCATCTGAATCGTTGTCGTCCTCATCGTCATCCGGCATGGGGACTATCCGTGGTTGAACGCCCGAATGCACCTGCTGACGGGAACGAACAACGCTGCTCACGTTGGTCAGTATTAGTGGATACGCAGTTTGTGCAAATGCATGTACTCACTCTTCCATGGAGACAACACCTGCCCTCGGTTGGACTATGTCCTCAATGGTCCAGGTCTCAATCTGTAAGAAACGACATGTTCAATGACCATCGGAATCTCATGCACTAAAGACAAACCTTAAGGAACTTGTACAGGTTCCGAGGTTTGGTATGTGAGTTGCGTCGACCAGTCGTCGCATACTTCGCCTTGCCTTGAAGTTCAGGCAACGAAGTGGACCTTGAATTGGTTGCTGCCACCAGTGGCAGTGACGTCGTCCCCGTCCGTTGACATCTCAGAACCACATCATTGAAAACGACAAGCCATTGGTCCTTCTTGCCGCCAATGCCACTCGAACCAGCTTGCAAGACGTCGCTCAATCGCTTGAACGAAGTCTTTCCCTTGACGCCTTTCGGATTCTGCGAGACTGGAGGTGGAGACAGTTTGGCATTTGGGTCGGTGAGAGGGTTGACACCAACGACTGGCCGCTCCTCGACGAGCACTCTCGAAGGTTTTGGCACCATCAGCTGCTTAACCTTGTCCAAGCCTTCAATACGGGCAAAGACATCCCGTGTCTTGTCTCGCTCTTCCTTCTGAATCTTCTCGTCCTCGATACTTCGCACGATTGTCTCCACCTCAGCCACCATCTGCAAAGTACTCTCATACTCAAAGGTACTGGGATCCGTGTGGAAAAGCAAGTTCTGGAACAAAAGAGGATACTTGAGGAGCCGCTGGAAAGGTTTGGAGAGTGAAATGGCAAGACCAGTCTCGCCCTTCTCGCAGGAATACATTTCGAGCCTTTGGAGGTATTGGCAGACTTTCAGCCACTGGTCAGCATCTTGCTTCTTGGGCTTTTTCGTAGCACTTGTAGTTGACAACGCGTTGTCGACCTGCTCAAGAGCACGCTCTAAGTGGAGCACATAAGTGGCATAGCCGTGCAGAATATGCGACTGGATGAGTTGTGATCAGAGAAAACGGGGCAGACTCAATTGAAACAAAATGACCGACATTTGATACGAAGACATCCGCAAGCGAACGGACTAAAGGATATTGCTCCTCATATCGTTTCCGCAGACCTTCACTGAGGCGTATGTGACCTTCCAGAATACCTCCCTCAATCACTTCTAGGCATTTTCGGAGATCTTCTGGTATCTGATTAGGCGCTATAGCACCGGGTATGGTGACAGGATCATTGGGCATTGAAGGGTTGCTCTTCTTGAACTTCCGCAGGACTCTCGAGCTGGACACTGCAGTAGATGCTGCCTTGGACGGAACATGATGGCTGTTTTGTTCGACAAATGATTGGCGACCAAGAGATTGTGTAGATCCCGTGAGTGGATTCATTCGAGGCGGTGGAGGCAATGACTGATGTGACCTTGACGGGAATGGGACAGGATTTTTGCCTGTTCGTACTGCGCTCGAGCCATACGGTGATCGAGGATGATTGTGCTTCGCCGTTTGGCTTAGAGCACTAGCTGCCTTTAGCCTAGCTGCAGAGTAGCCATTACCGAGACGGTCTTCCGCCTCCTCCTCTTCCTCAGAGTTCATGGATTCACCATCAATATTTGGCGTATCCTTGTGTGCATCCTCCTTCCGAGGAACTTCACCCGATGGGCCGTCAGAGCGAGAACCTGTCGGTGAAAGGAAACGGGAAGCGATAGGAAGGCGTTCTAATGACTCTCGGGGTGTTTCCATTCGGGTACTGAATTCATCGTATTCCATTGCAATCGGCGTGGAAACGGGCGACGTAGAATACGGATGAAGGAGAGGTTCAATGAACGTCTCTTTAAGTTTCAAAAGCTCAGCGACGTATCTGTACAGCAAACCATCAATCGAGTATCATAGGACAGCGCCGATCATAACTCACCTTTCCTCGCTGGCGACGATTTCCCAAAGTACTTCCTGCCGTGTACGCTCACGCTGGCCGATATTAGAAACGAGATCCTCTTCTGCCCCTTCACTCCATGATTGTGCAGCGAGGATGCGACTGCTAGCATTTGTCATCTGAGAGTACGGAGTTGCCGATCGCAGTGATTGATGTATAGACGCGTTGTCGTTATAAGTAGCCTTTGGAAACGAAGTCTTTGGAAACGGCGATGGTGCACCGCGCGCAGATGCAGGTTTTGTCGACTTGAGAGTAGAAGCAACGTCGGTTCTCGATGAAGCGGCGGTGGAAGTGGACCCGCGGGATTCTTTGACATGGGTTGCTTGAAACCGAGAAACAGTTGACTTGACTGGACCGCCATTGGCAGGTGTAGGTGTTTCACTCGAAGGCAGCTCGCGGTCAGATTGCGGACCTGGTGTGGGTGGTGGAGACAAGAAAGCAACTTTCTTATGTATATCTGCAGAACCATTGCTACCGTGTGCCGTCTTACGCGAGCTACGGCCGGAGGAGTCGTGATCAGAACGAGACTGTCCAGAGCGCGAAGGTGCAATCTGAGGAGCCGGTTCTATAGTCTGTGGTTCTTCTGCAGGTACGGGTGTTGGTGTTGAAGACGATGCAGGTGATTCGGACGATGAAGGTTCTTCTATAGGCGGTAACGGGCGTACTGAGAGATCCGGGAGTGGCTTGGAGGAGGATACGATGGAGGATGGGGTCGAAGTAGCTCTCTGCGGGGGCCATTCCTGTAGACGAGGCAGTTGCGGGATCTTTTCCTTCTGAACAACCTCCTTCTCTCTATCCTTCTCCTTCGAGAGCCCACGGTTGATGCGATTGAGGAAAGCCTTCATGGGTGGGGAATCAAGGAGCTAGCGGGGTATATGATTGCTCCAGTGTCGCCGCCAGACTGGAGGGTGAAATGGGAAGAGGGAAGGAGGATAGGCGAGAGCAAGGAACGTGGTAGTTGAGAGGGCAGCGCCTGTGCTTGGTCGGTGCACAACACGCGAGGCAGAAATCAACTCAGACGCTGCTCTCGACTTCATTCAATATTCTCCTCTCTCTTCCCATCCAAGCACCTCTTATCTTCCATGCACAATGTTTTACCCGCTCATCAGACGAAACATTTGTCTCAGCTCCAGTACCCCTTCAGAACCTGTTGTTTTCACCTTGCCCAGCGTGACAACGGTCAGACAAATGGCACGGCTCTCTGGCTCGGTGCTCAGTGTCTATCCTTATACCTTGCCGACATCTGCGCGAGAAAGTCTGCCACGGCTGCAAAACAGCGACCCAGAGTGATTGAACTTGGGAGTGGTGTCGGCCTCTCCGCGTATGTGCACCCTTCCACCATACGGCGTTTACTCGGTCGCGTCTCTGCTCACTGTCTCTCTCAGGCTCGCCCTCAGTTCTCTGGGATGGGATGTGCTTGCCACGGATTTACCGGATGTCATATCTGCCGTGCTCTCAGGGAATATCGCTCGTAACATATCAAATCTGCCTCTGACTAGTGGCGCTATCCAAGTCTGTGTTCTCGACTGGACTATTCCGCCCGACAAATGGACGTGGGACAACGACTTACACATAGCAGCTTCTTCGGAAGACCGTATAGAACTCTCTAGTCTGTCCTCGCGATGCGAGGAGCGCCTTCGACCTCCATTCGACATGATCATCTCAGCAGACACCATGTATAATCCTGCACTCGTCGATCCCTTCTTGCGGACACTACACAACCTCAGTGTCCTATCTTCAAGCGGAGCGAAACGCGCTCCGCCAGTTTACCTTTGTATTGAGAGACGAGATCCAACACTCATCCAGCAAGCTCTGGCCTCGGCAAAAGATACATGGAATTTTGCCGTAGAACGTATCTTTCGAAAGAAGGTAGTGAAAGCGATGGACAAAGGAGGTCTGACATGGACGCCAGAGGACTGGGATGGTGTGGAGATATGGAAACTGACGTTACGAAATACAGCGTAGAATTCTTCAACATTCATTACCCTCTAGATAATCAAGGTCTTCAATTAGAACGGTGTATCTGGGTATGCAGTAATGTGACGGAAGGGACCGTTCGTGAACGTAGCACGACGAGTGTGCCGTCACCTGTGAAGGATGTCCGTCCGGCGAAAGAGCGGTATTAGTAGTACCATATGCGCTGCTCTCCAGCAAGACATACAATGCAGCAGATGTTGAGAGGGAAAGGGAATGTCCACAACAGTCACGAGGAGCAATTGCGGAAGCGGGTATGTGTCGCGTTGATCATCTCGTCAGTGATCAAGTTCTTGCAGAATGAGCTCGTTGTTTTCATTGAGTACCCATGATACCTTCGGTGCGCCACTAGTTCTCACCGGCTGGGATCTGCGGGGTCATGAATGTCTGCATCTCAATAGGGAAGAAAAAAGAAAAAAGACATACGGAGGAGTCATCTCAAAATCCTCGTCCTCTCGCCTGGTTGCGACTAATTGCAGAGTTCTATCGAACCCATGTGTAGCCTGTAGAATCATCTGAAATTAGCAAGGTCTTTTGTTGTGAATGACGACGATGTCGTACGAGGTCCTTCCAGGTCTCTTCTTCGTCGTTTTCCGTTTGCAGCTGATAGACTTGCAAGAAGCCGTATAATCTATGAGCGTCGTCAGAGTTGAAGGGACAGATAAAACGCGTTAGATTAATGCAGGGACTCACGTTAGGTCTCCGTCGTCCGTAACATCCATGAAATCCGCGAGTTCCTGCTTCGTTTCGTCATCGAAGGGCATACCATTGGTGTCAACGGCCCAACGGTCAAGACCTTCCGGCGATAGATACGCGTCATCCGAAGGTAAAAGCAGCCCACCAGCCGCTTCTGTCGACGGTCGAGGAGTGCAGTATTTGCCAAAGATATGTTTTAGACACGATATGAACTAACCTCATACCACAAATCAGCACAAAATATCGCACGTTAAAAAAAATTAATACACTACTTACTCCCTCAGACATGGCACCATCGTCATCCAGTAGCTGGACACCGAGAGCCCGGAAGTTTCTTCGACCCTGTCGAGAATCCGGCTCGGGGGTTTCAGGACGAGGTGATTGGAAACGGAAGTGATCCTCAATGATTCGGTTCCTCCTGAGTGGTGAAGCTGGCGGGTCCATGATTGAGGTTAAAGGATAGACTAAGAAGGAGTGGCCAGGACGAGCTAGAGAGTGTATGCGCGAAGAACAAGGGAATCCAGTGCAAATTCTAGCAAGCGGCACCGTAACAAATGAGCATATAGGCGCCGGATGTCATGTCCACAGCACCAAAGAATAGCAAAGCCCACACACTTGCTCTGTACATCCACCATGGCGTTCACGAAGGCACAACCCCTCTCTATCGAATCTTTGCTTCAGAAACAGAAGGAGGAGAAGGAAGCTGCTGCAAAGGTATGTATTTGTCTATGCTTGCTCTGGGGGCCAAGACTGACTCATTTGCGTTCAGCCTCGATTCCTGACTAAAGAGCAACGAGCGCAGCTTGCAATTGAGAAGCGTTCTCAGGAACTCAAGCAACAACGTGAACGCGAAGAACAGGCAAAGCGGGACAGAGATCTTCTGGAACGAGAAGCCGAAGATATTCGTGCAAGAGAAAGGGAACGTGAACGGGCTTCTAGGTACGGAAGCGGTGGTCGATGTCAGTCACTTATTTCTCATCTTCCCATAGCCCTATTGTGACACTGGTTTTGTACCCCTACAGATGATGATCGCTATGACCGTGATGGTAGAGATTCAAGAGATTCAAGAGACAGTGGTCGTTACGGACGAAGGGACAACCGTGATCGAAGACCTACTGATGATCGAAGGTCGCAGTCTTACCAGGGAGTCCCTACTGGACCAAGAGCGGATCGTGGCAGTGGAAAAGCTCCTCCTACAGGACCTGCTGCTGGTGCCTCAGGAACCTCGACGCCTTCTATGGGCCCCCCACCTGTACCATACGGCCCTGCCACCACTACACCCTCAATTACGGAAGTGTCTGAACCATACGTCCCTCCCATGACTGACAACGATCTTACAGCCATTCGTTCACGATATCTCGGCGTCGACAAGAAGAAGCGTAAGATTCGCAAGATGAACGACCGGAAGTTTGTCTTTGACTGGGACGAGCAGGACGACACTTACTCTGCCGAAGCACCTGCAGCGGTTGGGAGCACCCGTCAAGGTGCTCAGATCAATTTCGGTAGAGGACACATTGCCGGAATGGATGATGGTGGAGGAATAGTCGTCGGTGCAAGGAAAGGCGCTGAAGGAGGGATGCAAGTTGCGGATGCTCTTGAACGTAGGAAGGCCCAGAAGACCGGCCTGGATGAGAGGCATTGGACAGAGAAGTCTCTTGAGGAAATGAAAGAACGTGATTGGCGTATCTTCAGAGAAGACTTCAATATTGCTGCTAGAGGTATGTCGCTTAGTGATCTATTCTTTCAAGTTATACTTAATGTGAATGTTCCCAGGTGGTCAAATTCCACACCCTCTTCGTTCATGGTCGGAGTCAGCTATCCCACCTCAGATCTTGGAAATTATCGCGAAGATTGGATACAAAGATCCCTCGCCCATCCAACGACAAGCCATTCCAATTGGCCTTCAGAACCGAGACGTGATCGGCATCGCGGAGACTGGTAAGTTTATTTGACTTGTTTGGCAAACCACTTTCCTGATATACATTGTCATGACAGGTTCCGGTAAGACGGCTGCCTTTGTTATACCAATGCTGGCTTTCATCTCCACGCTTCCTCCTTTTAACGACGAGAACAGACATCTGGGTCCATATGCACTCATTCTTGCCCCTACTCGTGAATTGGCTCAGCAAATCGAGTCAGAGGCCAAGAAATTTGCTAGTCCCCTTGGTTACACATGTGTCTCCATTGTCGGAGGTGTAAGTAACGTATTTGACTTCATAAAAATCCATTTACTCATGTCGAACTTCTAGCGTGCTGTCGAGGAGCAACAATTCAATTTGCGTGCCGGTGCGGAAATCATCATCGCTACCCCCGGTCGTCTGAAAGATGTTATCGAACGACATGTCATCGTTCTATCACAATGTCGCTACGTCGTTATGGATGAAGCCGATCGAATGGTCAACCTAGGTTTCGAGGCCGAGCTCACCTTTATTCTGGACAAATTGCCAAGCGATACTATGGAAGGTGAGGACAAAGGTGAACAGATGGACGTAGACGGCGAGACCATGATCAAGAGAGGTAGGACACGGGTAACCACCCTGTTCTCTGCTACCATGCCACCTTCTGTCGAACGCATCGCCAAGAAGTATCTCAGAAGACCCGCTGTCATTACTATTGGTGAAGCTGGCCGGGCAGTTGATACAGTCGAACAGCGTGTCGAGTTCGTTAGTGGAGATGAGAAAAAGAAGTATGTCGAAGCTCGTTATTGCTGGTGTTTGGCTCTTAGATTGACCTTTTGATACACAGGCATCGCATGCTGGAAATCCTCAACAGTGGACAGTTCCCGTCTCCGATCATCGTTTTCGTCAACCAGAAGAAGACCGCAGATATGGTGGCAAAGGATTTGCAGCGTGGAGGAGTACGTATTTTCTCGTTATCTATGACAATATGACAATCTAACGACAAATCATTAGTGGGGCGCGGCAACATTGCACTCTGGAAAGAACCAGGATCAGCGAGAGGCTGCCCTTCAGGCTCTTCGTACCGGAGATGCAGATATTCTGGTTGCCACTGACCTTGCAGGTCGTGGTATCGATGTTCAGGATGTCAGTCTTGTCATCAACTACCAGATGGCCAACACTATCGAGGCATATGTCCATCGTATTGGTATGTCATACTAACCCGTATTCTCAAGTAGCCGATGTCCTAATAATGTTATCTTGCAGGTCGTACTGGTCGTGCTGGGAAGCAAGGAACATCGATCACATTCTTGTCGAATGACGATGAAGAGGTCATGTACGTACTAAATCTTCTTCCTATCTCTAACCTTTTTATGATAATCGCATGCTCACCTTTTTCATTCGATTAGGTACGAACTCAAGCAAGGTACGCTTATCTTGATTTGGTTCTACTTGTCGTCAGCGCTGATCATGATGTTCGTATTGACCAGAAATCGGCAAGAGCCCAGTGTCCAAGGTACCTATAGAACTGGCAAAACACGAGGCTGCTCAGCACAAGGTGTCAAGAGAGATGAAGAGAAAGAGGGACGCAGATGAACAGGACTGAGTCGATCTGCATTGGCTAGTCTTGAGTTTTCTCGGTGTAATTTGCTTAAGTGGTGTATCAGCAGGATTGTGCAATATGAACGAACGTTCGACTTTTTTCATGGCTTACTGTTTGCTTTATCGGAATTTGTGCGTCATATGAATCAGAGTGGGTGCATTCGACATATGTGATGGCTCTTATCTTGAGGACAGAGGGGTGCCTCCTGTGATTGCGCTCTTTTGCGGCTCCTTTTGAGCTCTACAGGCTGTTCCAGAGACTGTGGTGGCCGGACGACGTTGGCCTCCGATGCCATGCCTCAACGGAAAGCTTCGCATCCTGCACTTGCTAGATTTTAATTATCAGGCCGTCATCTTACGAAGAAATATTACACCAAATCTGGAGATTTCGTCGAAGGCCTGGATCCGTTTTCCCCGAAACACCTCCATGCCGCATGGAAGCATCCTTCAGTGCATTGCGCGCAGCGAGGTCGTAAGACGAAAATGCCGTCAGCCGAAATTCACGGACTCTTCTTTCGGCCGGTCAACGCTTCTCGACCCTCGACCCTCGCTCGACTCCTCGAGTCAACCTCCAGTGCACGAAGTCCGAACATGGCCTCCGTCAATCCGAGTCTGCCCTTCGATGCCGCTTCGCCGATCACCGTGCGTCGGTCAGATGGAGTTCTATGTTGTCGTGTTTACCCTCTTTGACTACTACGGAAGAAGATGGTCGGCATTCAAGCTTAAGCCATCTACGTCAGTTATGCGGCATACCGCAAGTTTTCTAGTAATGCGTTCATGTCCTCGGGAATTGGGTCCGCTGCTTGAAAGCAACCGCCTCAGTCCTGAGGCACTCCGCAGCCTCGATTCGCCATTCCGTGTATAAGCAATTAGAACGTTGAGTAAGATGATTTATGTTTCTGCTACATAGGAGTCCGTACCCATCCGACGCTAGTAGGGATGGAAGGTATTGGGACTCGTACGTTGCGCCTTCGAACTTTTACCATTTCGGGATTCCTATTGACGGACGGCGTTGAACAAGTTGTTGATATCCTTTCCGGTGGTCATGTCGATCGCTTACGATTGTAAGTTACTTACTGTGCGGTCATCCGTTGCCGAGGACAATCTAAGTACCCAATCTGGCCGGAGAAGATCGTTTATCGTTTACGCTCACATACATCCCAACCAATGACATACCTGGCTTTGACTGACGTACCCCGCGCACGTTCAACGAGATGAAGCCTGTTCAAGGTCATCTGAGCAGTTCTTAAAGGTCTTCTGAAGACTCTTTTACGTTCAACCAGAGCCCCAACTTCCAAGGAAGCGAAAAGAACAGAAGACCCTCTGCCCAGTACTTGTAGCCCATTCCATTTGCATTATCTTCCATACCCATCATCAGCAGTCATTCTTGTCTCATTTTGTGGGCCAAGCAAGCTCGAGAGATAGGCAAAACAAACACTTGGCTCGTACCCGATCAGTCGGCGCTAAAAACCTTGGAAATCCTCGATCGGTTTGATTCGACCTTCCGGCCTTCCGGCCACGCCGATCCTGGCCGTCTCTCTCCGAATGCCTTACTCATGCAGGTGAACCGAACGTAGAACTCCAGTCCGCCAAGAGGGCCAAGTTTACGCGACGCGACGCGTTCAGATGATAGCAAGCTACTGATTGAAGCTTCTGTAACTTTCCATTTATATCATTATCGTGATATGTTGGGGATACACCGTTGGTGGTCATCCTAAAGACTTCTGATCGATACATATTTTGAAACAAACACATGGCCTTTTACAGGCTCGCGAGTAACAACGTGTACGAAACTAGTGCTCAGTTTCTGAATTTCCGGTTCTACCGATCCTGATGTACATGCGCAATGGGGTGGTGATATGATGATAGAACAAAAGGGAATAGATTGGAAGACGGGTTGTTGTAAGCTTTGCTAACGGAGTCGGGCGGACCATAGAACGCATATGCGACGGCGAGGTAAGAGTATTTTTGGCCTACACCACCACCAAGTTAGGCGAGTTATTTTACGACACTGCAGGCCTAAGAGAGCGCATGTGAGGTCCGAGAGAGAGCGCTAGCAGGGTGACCAGTCCGCTAGTCCCTCCGTCCTATGTGGATCAACACTGCTGAGTTGTAGTACTAGGACCGCGACAGAAAACGCGTCATACTATGATAGACCTACCACGCAGACAAGTCCGGACCCACGTCAAACGTCAGCTACCAGGAACAACTGACAGCTATCTCGGTTTGAACCAACATACTATCAAAGTACGGTCCGCAAGTCCTGTGAGGATGACAGATAATTATGCATATCTCATTCCGCACTAAACCAGTTTAGAACACCCCAAGGATCGAGTCACAAGTCCAGACCAGGCAGGACCCAAGGCACAAAATAATACATATAACTTAGTAGCCCCAACATCCGAGTGTATACGCAAGCCAGTCGGCGAATAAGACGGCATCCTGGCGTGGTCATATGGCCCTCTGGCTGGGTGATATCATAACTATAGAAAACACATGGTTAGTTACTGGACAGGTCCCACCATCTCGAGAAGACGAACCCGAGAGTGGAAATTCCGAGGCGTCATATGTCAAGAGTCCACTGCCCGGTTTTGCCGTAGATTGGCATTACACTCGTACCAAAATCAAACTAGGGAAGATGTGTGCGCATGTACTCGCGGGGGAATGGGTATGCGATTGCGGTTTTTGAATGCCATGAGTTACTTGAGTTGCTTGAGTTGTGTTCGAGTCCTTCGGGATCGGGATCGGGGGTATGGAAAGTAGCCTCGGGGACGAATAAGATGCGTTGAAACATCGGAGGGAGGGAGGGCCAAGGACAGGTGGATGTTCTTTATGTTCTGTAATGAGCGCTGAGCGCTGAGTTCCCAGAACTAAGTGGTGAGCAAGTGTTGAGGGCCAAGGATCTAAAAGTCTAGGCTTTCCAGGAAGGCGGTGTGTTAGGTACAAGTACCAACGAGGTTCTAGCTGTGCAATCATTGAATCATGATGAAGATGGATGCAGGCTGATGTAGCCAGTGTTGATACTGTAAGTCTGCGACTGTAAATGTATGATATAACAGCAGAAGCCACGAGTATTGTATTAAATCGCTCCACAGTCGTGCATATGCAAGAATGATAGATCAAAGTTCGGTGAACAAGAACCCGGAGCACGGATGTTGATACGGCGATATCCAGACCAACAGACCAGTTCTTTGGGGATACGTGAAGCGTATATAGGGAGAACCCGGGAAAGGACGAGGACGGATGCGAACAAGCAAGTAACTAGAAGCATCAAGGGTCGCAAGAAACGCGTGTTTGATATCAGTGTAAAAAGGTAAGAAGCCTCCTGTAGAAAGTGCAGAAGGGTGAATGAGGTAGCCAGGTGACTTTAGTTGGTTTCCCACACATGCCATACACGCAGGACAGAGTGGACGGGTGAGAGAGTCTCCACGGGGTGTCGGGTGGCCGAGGAAGCTCGAAGACAGATACAAATGTCGATGCTAAAAGGATACGAAATCAGTGTGAATGTCTGAGTAATGTCTGAATCACGAAGCGTAGCTGGTAATCCAATATTGTCGATAATAGGAAACTCACCTGCACACTATAGGTAACAGCGCGCGGGAGCGGGGTGGATGGAAGGCACGAAGCGCAGCCGAACATGGAGTTAGAAGCGTATTATAGCTTCACTGCACCTCATAGCTCAATAGCCAAGCCAACTACTGGAAATCCGCAATCGGCTTTTAAGCGGTTCGGGGAGAGGTGACATGCACAGTGACATGCAAGATCTCGTAAGAACGCATCGCCGATCGTATGTTTCTGGACCAAGTACATCAAGACCGGAGTAAGTCTGGAATGTATCGTAACGGGAATCTTGAATCTTGACTTTGGGGTTGGGGTAATTCCCCATATTGCGTCGGACTCGAGACAGAGAAGATACGCCGCAGCAACGCCGAGTCGAGGCCAAGAGATGAACAGATAGAATGTGGACTGTGTAGTTGGAAATGATGGTTGCGAGATGTACTTGCCTGAGAAACTTACCTGAATGTGGGTAAGGGCGGTTGGGAAGAAGTGTATGCATATGGTGAATAACGTCGATGTAAGCCACGCTGGGTGGCTGCAACACTGGTACAGATGGCCGCTGGTTCACGAATCAGGAGACTTCATGTGAAGTAGTGAAAACATTAATGACCGCCAGCATAGACTTTTAGTTTGAAACAGCTATTGCGTCCCGTGAATTATAATTGGCAGATTTGCGCAGCATCGTGCTGGAGGATGGAGTAACATGACAGCTTTGAGTTGAACGATGTAATGGAAACAGGGATCAAAGCGTGTGACTTGGTGACGTCCGCCGCAACTTGTTGGTCTCTCGACATGCGACTGGCAGCTTGATGGAGTGGTCGTTGTGAATCGGATCGGTTTGGACTGGATACATACCCGTAAATGAGCCCCAAAAGGCAGGTGAGTAGGGTTGCCGGCGGCCGAGTAAGGAAGATCTCGGAGGGACGATTGGCGAACGGACGGACGGCATCGCGGCAATGAGGTCGGCCGAAAAGAGCTTAGCCCGGGAGGATCGCTTGAAGTGGGGTGGGATGGTTAGTCAGCATTGAGTAGTCGGGTCTCGCACGATTGGACAGTTTGTTTATAGACGGTGCGCGAATCGCAAGCTGGTCAGCAAAATTGACGAAGTGGAGAAGAGGGAAAGGGGAAGCATTTTGGACGAGGTTTGCGTGCAAGAGAGGGAGCGAGATGGAAGAATGGCGAATGCTGGGCGTGCTGGGCAAGATGATTCTGGTGAAAGTCAAGCGTCTTGAGCACGAAAACAAGCGTACTCGGCAAGCAGGGTGCCGCATCAAGATCGCGTGAAGGAGCCAGATGACGTCGCGTGGATGTAGAATCATTAGGGAGAAGACGGGGGATATTGAATGAGGCAGATTGCAAGCGAGGGAGATGAGAGGCAGATGCCAGATGAAAGGGGGCAGAGCTTAGGCAGAGAGAACAGGGGGCTATCGCTGGCAGACGCCCGCCGACGGGGCTAACGAATGAGAATTGCCAGTGAGAGTCGCGCGCTCAACCAATGGCGGCGGGAGATGGTGGAGGCCGGAAGGAGAGGCCGAGTGTGCCGGGAATGGGTAGAGTGTGCTCCCTCAATTTACCGAGCATTTATTCATCCTCCCTCCATCACTTCGCTCCGCCAACACCTGCCTCCTCGTCGCTCTCCACGTCCACCATGCTCTCTGCCCGCCCCATGGAACCTGTCGCAGTCGCAATACCCGCCGCCCTCCCTGGCTCCCCCTCTGACTCTCGTCGACATTCCCCCATTATCTCAGCCTTGCACTCTCCACTCCTCCTAGACTCTCCACCACAACGTCCGCTGGCTTCACATCATCTACAGTCCCCCAGCTTTCACCTCCCTTCTGCAAGCGCTTCGATGCAAGATTTCGGCGTCGAGAGCGCGTCCAATCCAAGCGTTAACCCCCAGGAGCAGGTAAGTATACACGCTTCGTCATTTCCATATTCGCCCATCACTATATTTGCCCAACGCTATGTCCCCTCACCCCACATTTGTCTTCCGCTCCATCACTGCCTCTCTCTTCCGTAATGTCATTTATTGATGCTTACCCTTTGTTTCGCCCTCTTTCCTAGGCTCCATCCACTCCGAGACGTCCCATTCGCTCTCGTTCCTTCCTGTCCGCTTCGTTCTCAATACGAAGAGAGCCCTCTCCCACGTCAGATCCGCCTGACGATCCACCCCCTCTACCGCAAACTCCCCAAACATCCTCTTCTTCTCGCTTCCCGTTCTCTGGTCGCAAGGTCGCCGCGACCGTACCTGCGACCCCCATAATGTCTTCAACACCCACAGCTACCAGTCCCATACATACACCCGCCCGGACGCCTGATCCTGATCCTCCACACACTGGCACCTCGAAGAGCTTGAAGGCCCATAATCCTCTGCTTGATCTCAAACGTTTCCTGAATCATCACATTCCTCATCCACATCATACTAGTTCACGCTCCGTCTCTGCGGCTGCTACTGGCATTTCGACGCCTTCAGACGCACATCTCTTTCCCTCAGAGCAACGTCGAGGATCGGCCTTTGACCAGTCAAGTCTCTTGGATGTTGTGCCCGGTCTTGCAAGTACGCCTGGGACACCAGCTGCGGCGTCCACTCCGGGTAGTGGTTCTTCTGGGCAACGGACACCCGAGCATACTGTCCCACCTTCAGAGGCTGCAAGCATCAAGTCTCACCGCGAAAACCGGCTTACGTCATTCATCCGGCGAGACAAAGAGAAGAGCGGACCCAGTAGCGAAAAGAAGACGGATGTCGAGCATCATAGGGAAGTGAATGACCTTAACGGCTCTGTCAGGAACGAACGTGTCGGTAAGACACCGTCGCCTGGTAGTACCAACGGTTACACGACAAGTTCGAGATCTCCTCCTCGAACCATCGAGTCCAAACCAAGTCGGAAATCGGTTGCGAGCGCAAAGTCTTCTGTGATAATCCGGTATACACCGCCCACATCCCATCATCCGATACAGTCTTTGTCAGAAGCAACACATGCACATCTTTCAAAGAAGTATGGTAAATGGGGCCGGATTCTGGGCTCAGGGGCGGGTGGAACTGTTCGTCTAATCAAGGCATCGAGCAAACATGGCGGTTCAATCTATGCTGTGAAGGAGTTCCGGCCAAAGAGGCAAGGAGAGAGTGAGCGGGAGTATCAGAAGAAGGTGACTGCAGAATTCTGCGTTGGCAGTACGTTGAAGCACACGAACATCATTGAGACGGTCGATATCGTGAGTGATCATGGCCATTACTACGAGGTATGCCTGCGTTTTGCATTATCGTGTGACATGCCATTGAGCGACCTATGTAGGTCATGGAGTATGCGCCATATGATCTTTTCAGTGTGGTCATGTCTGGCAGGATGACGAGGCCAGAGATTTACTGCGTCTTTCGCCAAATTTGTGACGGGGTGGAATATCTTCATTCCCTAGGCCTTGCACATCGCGATCTCAAGCTGGACAATTGCGTAATGACTTCGAGCAACGTTGTCAAACTTATCGATTTCGGCACTGCTACTGTCTTCCACTATCCGGGGAAGAAGACGACGATGGCCACGGGCATTGTCGGGAGTGATCCATACCTCGCACCAGAAGTAATCTCCGAGGACAGTTACGACCCCCGCAAGACAGACGTCTGGAGCGTCGCCATCATTTTCATGTGCATGGTGCTCAGACGTTTCCCCTGGAAGATCCCTGATTCAAAAGTGGACCCCAGTTTCAGAGCGTTCGTTCATGCCAATCCGGACCTGTCCAAAAAGCCGGAAAGGAAACCTGTTAAGGAAAAGGAACAAGTAGAGGAGGTAGTACCGCTAACGAAGGCCCTTAGCAGACATCCTTCCGCTCTCACCGCTGTCTACACTGTTGCCGACCCTGAGACTATTGGCGAGTCTCTTGCGCCATACCGTGAACAACCTGATCGTGGGGATAGCACCGAGTCGTCTACGGATGGCCTCTCTATCACCGATGATTCCTCCTCCGATTCCACTTCTCTCACTGTGCCCTCAATCGAACGTGTGGGCGAAACAGATGCAGAAAAACGCGCTCGGGCAGAACACTTCCGTGCGTCATTCCAGCCCGGCGTATCTGTCTTGTCACGATCGACAGCTACATTACCGGCATTGTTTGGTGAGATGGTCAAGCCCACCGAGAGCCCGCAGGATATGGATCCTTCTGTCAGGACATTCGCACGTCCTGGGAACTCGACTGAGAGTTTGCCTGCCTCGCCGATGATGTCGTTTAATGAGCCCTCTATTCGATCTCATGTGTCTCAAGTGGTGGATCTGAACGAGGATGAGCTGTCGACTCCAACGCTGAAACGGAAAGCTGAGCCTACTAGTGAGGACACTTCCACCATCGCTTCTAGTGTCGCTTCTACCATCGAACTCCCGCCGGTTGGCATCAGTCCCGTGAAGGCGCGGGATTTTGCCGCTGTCAAAGAGGACGAGATCAGTAACGTCGTTGTCGTCCAGGAGAAGATCACCGAGGCGCAGGAGGCTGAGCCTACTAGGAAAGCTGCCGACGTCTCGCCCAAGGATAGGAGCAAGTCCGAGGGCCATGTCACGAAGAGGGACACCACTGTTACTCCTCGTCGCCGTCCTCGCGCTGACAGCCGCGCCTCTGTATCGACATTCCACTCTGGCGGTGCCGAGTCCATCTTCCGTCTGCTTCCTCGCGAGTCCAGGGCTTGCATCCGTCGTATGATGTACATCGAGCCAACTTCTCGTTGTACGTTGACGGATCTGCTCAAAGGCAAGGGAAAGTCCAACGATCTCCTCTGTGGGTGTAACTCCCATGATAAGCATAGTCCTCGCTGTGAAGACCACCTTGACGAGCCTGAAGAGGAAGACGAGGGTGATGATTGGTTGAGGAGCATTCGTCCGTGCTCTGACTTGGTTCCGGGTAGACAGTCTTTGCACACTCATATCAAGGTGGCCATAGACGAGAAGGCGAATAAGAGACGGTTCTTTTAGCCTCCTCTGGCTTCTTTTGTTCGTTATCGTCGCCTCTACTCATCTAAACTCAAGCAGCTCTATAGCTAATAGTTCATTGTATCAAATCCATTGTGTGTTTTATTTTCGTTGTATAGATCTTTCTACTTATGTTTCCCTGCTTCCGTCTTAACTTCGTCTTTGTCCACATTTTCTCTTTCGAGCTTCTTCTGCGCTACGATATCTTCAGCTTACTACTGGGTTATGTTTTCAGAGACGGTGTTGGTTCGTTTCAGTCGTCCGCGTCATTTGCTGCATTCACATATACTACCGTAACCTATTTTTTTTTTTCGCTGCTCCATGCTTTTATGTTCACACCATCTTCGAAGTCCATCATGGAGCGGGGGGGGGGACCTTTGGACTATTAGGCTTCGTTATCTAGGTTTTCGGGCCCCCTTTTTCTTTTCTTTTCAAGAACGGTTTTAATATGTATCCCTTTTTGCATGTTATCAATATTAGAAAGAGAGTTCATGTAATTGTAGACATGCATCTGAAAACTAACTACAGTACTAAATTGAAGGTTGAATTGCGCGATCAGGAAATGTTGAACGTTGAATGTGTGAGGAAGCGAGCACTTACAGTAGAGCGTTGAAGAACATTGGAGTCCGAAGCTTGAATTAAAGTCGTCATTTTGTGCATTGACGGGCCAATCGGAATTTGTGGATCTCGCGGGGTACGAGCGTATAATCACACAGCAGCAGTGAATATAATGGAAGCATGATATTATATTACAGCTCGTCTCGAGGTTCCCTTCCTGTGGCTGCCGCTCGTCGCTGTTTACCGTCTTGACCCTCAGTCTTCGACTTGTCATCCTTCTTCTTCTTCTCGCCCTTGATATTATAACCAGCCGCGCGAAGGGCTTGCTCAATAGAAGGGTGCGCTTTCTCCTGTACCGACTTCTTGTCCGCCGACTCATCCCCCTCCAAATCCGCCTCGATAAACTCAATAATGACTTCGTCGTCCCCTTCACCCAGAGGTTCGATAAACACTTCTCCCGCCTTGAGCTCGCCACCTCCAATAAGACGTTCAAGCGCCCTCCGAATGAGATCGTGTTGTGTTTTCTTCACGGACTGTTGTTTCCCGTCCTTTTCTTCTGCAGGAGGCGATGGCGCTATCGTCGTAGGTTTCAGCTTCCTCGGCATCTTGAAGGGATGATCTGCCGCTGGGAGTGTTCGGTCAGCGGCCTCATAGGCATCTGCGTTCAGAATTTCCCGACAACGTATGAAGCTTTCCTCCCTAGCGTCTAGTCTTGACCTGAACCCGGGCTCTCCGCAGAGACGCGGAGTGGCAATGTGGATGACATAGTGACAGGTTTGAGTTTCTTTGACGAACAGGATGGTGTCTGTCATGGTCATGGAGCAGTGGAACTGGTGACATAAACAAAGACAAGTCGGCGAAAGTTAGAGGCGATATTGATAGTAATGAAGGGAAAACATGCAGCACCGACCTGGATTTCAGCTTCCCGCTTCCTGCCAGTCTTTTCGCAGTAAGTTCCGTCCCCCCAGCGTTGTACCAGGTACCGTGAACCGGGGCCCCGGGCTAATTCAACGTTTGCCGCCAATGCAGCTTCTTCTGCTACGGTGAGATCCGCACCAGGGTCCAGCGTTGGAGGCGCTCTTCCCAGAGTATAAGCTTCCCACTGGAACAAGAACCGCCGTTTTAATTATATACCCATCTACTTTAGACTTATGTGGACTTACCTCAGTGTCTTCTTCTGGTCTATATTCACCTATGATAAGCCAACGATGAGCGAATGGATAAGAATATTGGCTGAACTGTTACTTACCAAGCCGTTGGGCCTGTGGATTGGCAAGTTCGTGGAACTGACGTACGTGGGAATTATGGCAGTAGGCATATGTAAACCAACCTTGCCTATGCTAGATGCCAATTGATTTAGTCTCGGTAATGACGGGCGGATTGGAAGATCGTACGTATAGGCACGTCCCTGCGAGCGGTTGGAGAAGAGACCACGTATGCCCAGGGGTCACGTCCGTAGACGGTTCGTCTGCAACGGGTGATGCGACCTCCTCTGGTGGTGGAGGTATCAGACATGCATATGATGCTCGAGGGCCAAGCTTCAGAAGTTCCAAGTGAGGAGTTGATATATGAGACGCATCAGGCTGAGCACAATGTCCATAAATGAGCTTATTGTTATCGATATTACCTGTACAATGTACCGACTTTAGATGCAACGGAACCCTGCTCTTCGCTCCCTTCAATTCTTTTGAGAGGAGGCACACGGAACTGATTATCGTCCCATGGCTGTTCCAGGAACTCGAGCTCACCACCCTTCAAGCCGTTCTGAAACCACCGCTGTGCAGTTTCGTTGAGCACAGGAAGTCCGTTTAGAAAGGTGACTCTATACTTGGGAAAGGCAAAGGGGTCTTCAGGCACTAGTGAATGGTGTAAGCGAGCAGCTACTAGGGCGGTGAGGGATATTGGAAGGAGGAAGCGAGGGACTAGCATGACGACGGAATACAAAGCAAGTAGAATACAAGCAATGAGTACAAAGTCGGGAGCAACGTGTAAGTAGGAGAGCGTGTATTTTGGCGGAGACAGTTCGGGTTTAGTGTGATTGGCCCTCCGCGGCTGAGCGCAGTTGCCTAGGAAGGTGTTTTGATCATTCCAGTGTTCGGACCGTCGATGTCGTCTAGGGAATTTTGCGCAATATGTTTGGACATTGGGCCTGGCCGGACGACGTTTGGACGTGGTGTACGTGATTCCAGGAATACGAAAAGGAGCTATTTGGCCCCAGGTGATTTCTTGTTACGGCAGATCGGCTGCCTATCGCAAGGTATTCATGAACGCGAGGGATATTCCTTGTGTGAGTGTCTTGTTATCAGATTTTCTCTGCTCTGATCAGGCCTCCTGATTGATGCAATCCAGGAGTGCATTGTGCGAAGAATGATAATATTTGGGCAGTAAGAGAGAAGCTGAGAGCGACCCAGGAGGGACCTCAAGGCAGGGATCAGGAGAGCAGATCAGCGACTAACGCTCACTCGGCAGTCTGAGTGGAATTCTTGCGGCCCTCTGAATAATTACGTACGGCACTGAGCGAATCTCCAGAACTCCCAGGAATTCTCGAAGATAATGTCCTCCTCTTTTGGCTCCAGATTGCACGCGAGAGAATTCAATTAACGGCTTATTGGCTTAAAACCAACGCGCGGTTGCCCTTTCCCACTTTCCCCTCTTTCATCCGTCCTCCTCCGTCCCTTCGCCGCTCATTATGTCGGCCTCACCCACTCACGAAGACTTGGAACACAATAAGGACGAGCTGGAGGAGCAAGAAGGCGAAGCTGAGCCAGGTATCTTTCGCTCTCTCAATATCCAATAGGCGCCTCCTATAATATTCGTTGTTGAACATGCCTTATTCAACAGGTCCTTCCAATCCTACCGCTGCTGCTACTGCTACGGAACCCCCACCGAAGCGCAAACGGGGTCGTCCTCCCGGCAGCAAGAATAAGAAAGCGCTTGCCGAGGGTGCAGCAGCCCCGAGCGACGTGCCAGAACAACCCAAACGAAAGCGAGGTCGACCTCCTAAGGTACATTTCACTTCTTAGTCATGTAACAACGGCCTTGACATACGTCCTTCTGTACAGCCTAAACCAGAAGAAACGAGCGAGGAACCCCCGCCTAAGCGCAAGAGAGGTCGTCCCCCTAAGAAGAAACCAACCCCTCAGCCTGCTGAGGAAGAAGGAGGAGAAGGAGAAGCAGCAGAACCGTCTGCCCCGCCAAAGAGAAAGAGGGGACGGCCTCGCAAGGAAGCATCTTAGGACTCCTAGGTAGTTTGTCTAAACAGTCCATGCATTTTGCTTTCACTGCTCTTGCTTTCATAGTTATCTTGCTTCTATACTACAATCTCCGCCACGATCGCCATGCCCTTTCTGTTATGTGCTTCAAACCCCATCTATCTCGTTATCTTCATACAGTAGCCTGTATACCGTATTCATTCTTCTTATTCTCTCGCCTTATCTCACGATCCTCACGTTCTGTAGGCCACGATTTCTCTTTGTTCGCTTCAGGTTCGTCGTCATGTATACAACCGTCAATGATGATCATATCTTTCTGTATTGTTCATCGACTGAGGGCTCAATTTTCTCCCATGCACAGACCAATATTCCACATGCCATATCGTGCATACCACGACTCGGCGACCTATTATCTCCATAATCGCCCATAATTCTCCGTCGGTAGTCTACCATCCAGGTCCCACAAAATGTCGAGGGAAAATGGGGTTCTTTAAGCGATGATAATGATGCGAGTGAGAACAAACCAGATGACATGTATGACTTCACTTCAAATTGTCAGCATCCCGCGAGTCGTTCCTTCCATTAGAAAGTACTAAAGTGACAAATGTACATAAACATGTAGTAAATTGCACACTAAGCACAAGAAGACCACGAGGCGTTTGCTGTCATTTCCGCAACCTTCGCCAAAGAGCTATACCTGTGACGCCCACCGTCAACGCCGCGGTGCACCAGCCAGCGTAGGTTACGATTCGGTCTTGCCTGAGAGCTTTGCGCTTGACCGTGGCGTAGGAAATATCAGGGCGGAAGGTGACCATGGTATACAAAGGCAACCAGCCAGAGGGCGAATGAGTGGGGAATGGGTCATGGATTGATTCCGGCATGAAAGAATCCGGGGTGACTTGCTGAGAAGTGAAGAAATACAGAATATTATCGAGAGCCTTACGGAAGAGATAGGCAGGTGTTGTAACAGAGTGCCGCATTTCCGTGCTGTAGAGAAGAACGCTCAAGGCTAAACAAAAATCCACTGTATGACACAACACTCGGAAACACGTACAAGTTATCCATCGCAAGATCGGAGATAGTGATCAGGTCCTCGTGTCGGCTCTCAGTGTACTGCTGCAGAGCTTGTGCAAGGCGGTTGTCGAGAGCGCCTTCAGAAGGATGGAAGTTTGGATCGACCTTCTGGCTATGAAGCAATTGGTCAAGAACGCGAACATCTTCAAGTCCGCAGTTGAGACCCTGCCCGTAGAAGGGAACCATTGAGTGGGCGGCGTCGCCAAGCAGAATAACCCGGTCGTTGTAGTGGTACGGCGTGGCCTGTAAAAGACGACGAATATGAAACAGAATAGAGCGTCTGTACGTATGTCAAGGACGGAAAATTCACTGTACCTTGATGGAAATTAACGGGCTCCTAGGATTCCTTTCGAAATCTTTCAGAAGAGCTTTCTCGCCGATGAGTGGGAGAGCGTCCGGAAAATTCGTCCCAAACCATTTGATGATTGTCTCTGGCGAAGTGAGAAGATCGAATTCCGCGGCCGGCGCAAATAATGTGCATGTAAAGGTCTTGTCCTGGGACAGAAATACAGTTCAGAAGAAGCTCGTGATTGCCATGGAAGGGAAAAGAAGGAATCATAGCAAATGCCGTGAGTCGTCACTAACCTGATTAGGCAGGGCAATAAGCATAAATGAATGACGGGGCCATATGTGCAAGTGGTTCGGGTCTAGCAGAAAGGTTGGTTCGCCGCCTTCTTTTTCCGGGGGACCAGCAGGCATCCTGAGCTCCAGATAGTCATGGGGAATGTAGTCTTGATGATAGTTCATGCTGTGAAAGGTTTCCAAGATTCACGAATTACAACAAGGCCCAGGAAAGGAATTAGAACTTCCATGACAGGATGTGTAAGATAAGCACAAGCTCACCGGACCACTCTCATCAGCTGACGTCGTACTATCGAGTAGCTGCCATCGGCACCTACACAAAAATCGAACGCGATTGAAAGGTCCTTTCCAGCGTCAACGTCCTTAACGCTCATGACTCTGGCGTCGAAGTCTAGAGTGAGAACCTTGTGATTAAAGAACACCTTTATGCTGGGCACGGAAAGTGCCTCTTCTAGGAGATCTTCATTCAATAGGCCACGGTCTATGGCGTTGATGCACTGTCACGGACCCAATAGATAACGTCCGCGAGGGAACCATACGGCATATTAATAAATTGGTGACAGAACACTGGACTGGCGAATACTTGCCTGGCCATTTCTATCATAGGGTAGACTATTCGTCTTACCATTAACATCATGAATCATCCTGCCACGCATGGGAATGGCGGCTCGCAGGAAACGGTCAGATGCACCTGGCTCGATGGCTCGCAAAGCAGTAATTCCACGGGCGGAAATTGCCAGATTAATGGATCGCTGCTGAGCGGCCGCTTTGGAGGAAGGCAAACGCATGTCTTGAGAAATTTTAGGGCACGATTCAATGGGACAGCCGTTTCCATCAGAACATTGCTACACACCGGGACGACCCTCGTAAATCTCCACGGACCATCCCATTTTAGCCAACGAAATTGCTGCGAGGCATCCAACAGGACCAGCCCCTATTATGACAGCCTTCCGAGGGGAAGCCATTCTACCTATACACTAGCATACAATGTCAGTAAGCCCATGTGTTGTAGGGCTGCATTATGATCAATGCGTGGAACCGCTAATGCACACCTGGACCACCTGATCGTTCCTGGATAAGGAACCCGGACGAAGGCGGTCAAAAGAGCACGGCTATACGTTACAAAGGCAGCTCACGATGAGCTTGTTCTTCCTCTCTCGGGGCAGAACTTCTCGGTGAACACAGTACAAGAGCTGGTTCGAACGACACCCACTTTAAGGATCTAGATGGTCGATCGGCCCTTTTGATGGCGAGCCTAGACGGCAGTTCCCGAGCCGTTCCGATAATGAATTGTGGGCGCAACCTCCGTCGGGATCAAATATTGGCACTAGTACAGACTCGGAGAACATATAAGGAATATGTTCGAAAAGGCTTCCACCACAGTTTAAGAGACTCTGCTAATGTTAAACTGAATTTATGATGGCGGAACGAACGCAACACCAAGGCACCGGTATCAAACATAATTGAATGTCTCACGGACGTCACTTCGGGTCGATACACGTCCTGGGACCTGATGTACCTTCAATCATGTGTACTATAGAGTGAGTCCGAGACAGCTCAAGCACTAAAAAAAAATACTAAGCAGCTGCCCACGCAATCGCTTTTAGCTGATTCTGGACAGGCTTAATACTGTCTAAGTATTACGATACGGAGCCTCAAGATGACGTACAGGGCTACGGAGACACCCTCAGAATATAAAATTAATGTCAGATATGTGCAGAACCAGGTCTCAATTTCCCCGAGCTTTCGAAATGGTCAAGCTCTTCTGGTCAGATCCTCTCAATGACAAGGGAGTTCTTGATCGGGGAGGGCGGTCAGGGTCCGGTTCACAAACTCTGCCAAAGTCATAAGAATATATATTCGCACAATAAGTTGTGAATGTATCGCTGGCTCTACAGGCATACAACCTTTTATAAATGGCTCAAGGCGTGCAGGAAGATATCCAAACTTTTTTGAGTCAAATTGGAGGAAAGAGAAGAGGGCGCTCATCGCAATATTTGACTTTGTATTGAACTATTGATGTTAGTATGCGCATAGTTCGTTGGTCTCCACGTTTCCTCTTTACGATGATATCCAAATATCATCCTCAGGATGTTCTTGGAGTTCATGTCGCATCTTTTCGTCAACAATTATCCGAATCGTCTATGCTGAAGCTCTTGTATTCTGGCGTGTAAATAAGCTCAACGTTACTTGATTAATTGATGACGTTATGTTGGAATTCTAGCCTTGTGAGCAAAATGCGTTATTTCTGTACCTTTTGGCTGACTCACAACACGTTGAAAGCAAATGCAATGGAGTATTCGACTTCTATCTCTTCGAAGTCCATTTCTCCGGTCGAAATGGAACTTTGTGAAGGGCTAGAAAATTTTGGTCCAGTTCTGTCTGATGCGTTCTGTTCTTGATTTCCCCAGTGAGTCGCTTCTAATTGCTACGTCAAGTCGTAGATATTGGTTCTGCGTCTCGGTTGATTATTATATGACAGGATCTAATTCGTCTCAAGCGTTACGTCCATTTCGCAAGGAAACCGCACAACGCCCTCAGCTTCTTAAGAACGCCTGATAGAGTTCATCACCCACATGCACCCCATATCCCATCTTGATTCCTTGATACAAGGTGCTTGGCCCTGAAGGCTGGCTTGACATAGGCTAGAATATAGTTTTAATCACGCATGCCCCCAAGCTCATGTCGCCAGGTTTCGCATCTCTGTCAAACACTATTGTCGTGATTTGATTATTTCTATCTCGACCTGCTTGGACGCGCTTACCTGATTTATTGTTTCTGGTTGTAGTAACGATGAAATTCTCTCAGAATCATAACCAGCACTGCTTCACAGGTGTGGTGATCTGTGACTGTCTGCGCCTTTCCACCTCAATGGCTGTCAACTATTGGGAAGCCGCAAAGCCTCAATCCCACATCGCTCGTTCAAAATAACCTGGTATTGCTCCGCGCACGTTGCAGTCATACATCCCCTTCGTCTCAGACATTGTTGGCCTGAACCGCAGGAAGGTTTATTTGGCTTGGCACCGCACCTTGCTGCATTGTCAACATTATGTCTGCCGGCCTTCTTGGTCGCCCTTCTGATCTGCGGATATTTAATCAGTTGACTGCTGCGAGTTTCTACGCTTCGCAAACGTGTGCGCCTCCAAATCGGCTTCTAGAGCATACTTCATCGGTTGTAATGGACATTGAGGTGGTCTATGTCATGGTCGGTTAAACATTTTTCCTGGTGCAATGATCGAATGTCTTGTACCGTACGCTAAGTGTAACTTCTGAACATGTAACTACCGTCCCGGACTACGCACACATATGTCCGCAGCCTTGATCATGAGGGTGAAATGCCTTCAAGTTGAGCAGTTACAATTTCGTTCTCGGGTCTCGTAAGCGACCTGATGTCAGCGCCAGTTTGACGCGTCGAGGGCTGCCGCCCTCGGCGGAAAGTTGGCAATCATCATCATAACAGTGCCCTCCTCCTTCCCCTCCGAGGACAGTTTGGTCTCTTCCCACAAGCACCATGTCCACCAAATCCAACATTCGGAGACGGGGTTCTATTGATGTTGTCGACGCCAAGGTCGCTGTGGATCTCGCAACCGCTCAATCATACTCGGAGAATGTCTTCCTTTTCGTTCCAAACCTCATCGGCGAGTGTCTCCGATAACCTCCTCATTCAATGCCTCTTACGCTCGGTATTCACTTGTAGGATACTCTCGAATCATACTGGCCGGTGTCGCTCTGCATTACATGAGCTTTCATCCAAAATACTGCACACTTGCATATTGTATCTCGTGTTTGTTAGACGCAGCAGATGGACACGCAGCGAGGGCTTTGAATCAGACTTCAAAGTTTGGAGCCGTACTGGATATGGTCACAGATCGGTGTGTATATTTCTTGTTCCAAACCGTTCTTATCTTATACTACAGTCAGTTGCACAACATCCGCCTTGCTATGCTATCTGTCTTCAGTATACCCCGATTATACAATGGCATTCCAACTCTTGATTACGTTGGACTTTAGTAGTCACTACATGCATATGTATAGGTATGTTCGCCGCGGATGCTCTATCTGAGGTTTGGTCTCATGCCACGCCGTAGCTCCCTTGTAACCGGTTCCCGAAGTCACAAGGCTGTTACCAGTGAGGTCAGTCGGATATTGTCACTGTATTATAACCCCGTGAGTCAATCTATTTCTGTATCTACGAAATGACATGACCAAGCCATGCGTCCAGCAATTACTCTTTATAATTTGCGCAGGCAACGAGATGTTCTTCGTCGCACTCTACCTCATGAAATGGGTAAACACACCTCTGTGGCAATCACTTAGTTTAGAACCGTCCTTTCTCCTACAGCCGACGTGGCCAGCGATGATGGCATGTCTGTGCTTCCCTGTTTGCGCGCTCAAGAACGTCATCAATCTTGTCCAACTCTGGAAGGCCTGTAAGATCCTCGTTGGTGTGGACTTGGCTGAGAGGGCGAAGGCGAGGGAGGACGAGACGTTGCGCGCAAAAAAGACCTGAACAAGACACTGTTGCCATTTCCTATCGGTTAATATCATTCGTAATTTGCTTTTGTGCTTTCTTTCTATAGATTCATGTTTGGTATATATCTATCTATCGTAAAGTAGTGGATGCATAGTGTATAATTCCACGTTATCAGTGTTTCCCTCCATACCTTTCGCAAAGAAGGGATGCATAGCTAAGTATACGCACTACATAGTAGTAGCATAAGTATAACTCAAAGCTTTCAGTCTTGAATTCTGCTCGTGTTTGTCATGCTAAGCGCTCGATCGGAAATTGCTTTCGCGTGCGCGTTCATTGTGTTCTGTCTCTTGGCTTACCTCGTCGTCAGTTAGACGGCAATCTGCTTCATTTTGAATGCGTTCTCAGTTTCTCGTGCGCAGGACGCGATCGTTGCTCAAGACCCCCTCTGTCACCCTTCAACGTGCATTAATATCATCTACCCGTCCCAAGAAATACCCTCGGAAGGTTTCAGTTGCACCTTCTTCAAAGCCACCGGTCTCCGAACGTTCTTCATCTTCAGTAGCACTTTCACATTCTGGTCCCCCGGCCAGTCCTGACGCGCCAGACACACCTCCAGCAGATGATTCCAATGAAACACTCACCGAGGAAATCGAAGCAGTACCGGAGGAAGTAGAAAAACCCAAACGTCGAACGAGAACTTCAAACAAGGAAGCCGTTGATACACCTCCCCCGCCAATACCTCTACCTGGAGGCCTGGATATCCTCTGGGCACCCGATGCTCCAGCAAATGCCGAGTCGCAAACGTCCTCTTCGGATCCAGCATTACCACCTCCAGAAATACTGGAGGAAATACTGACTAATTTGCATGTAACGTTGCATCCTCAGACGCAACATAAAGCTACATATGCGATCTCTGGTCCCACCATAGAGCCTACATTTGCTTTGTATTGTCCCATAGAGGGTGGCGACTATATTCTTGACGCGACTGTCCGGGAGATGGGTCGGCAGGTGGGTGCCGATGTCGTAGTGTTGGATGCAGTCCAATTTGCTGCAGGGGAAAGTGGACAGTTTGGTAAAGGTAATCATTATTGTACCACGAATCGTGAATAGCTTATAACTGTCTATTACAGCAGCGGCTGTATTTAACCCCCCACAGAACCCTCTTCACTTTCACGCAACCACATCTCAGCCTTCACCGCGACCATCGGAGGAAGACGACGATGACGATGAACATGAGTTTTCCCCTCGTCAGACAAGACAACTCACTTTGCATGTGATGACACCGATGTCTGCTGGTCGTTCAGGTCGCACATTCCTGCAACAGCGTAAAGGGCCTTCTTCTACGTCCAAGCTGAAAGCGTTATTTGACGAGTTGATCAACGTGAAGCCGCCAACTTCTTCTCCGGAAGAGCCTCCACCGCGCAGGCCTCGGATCATATATATTAGAGACTTTCCTACCCTGGCAGAATCGTCATCTACTTGGTATCCTGCCTTGCTAGCATCTGTACGCCAGCGACGACTAGGTCCTATGGCCCGGTCCTCATCTCCGGTATTCAATCCTACCACAATCGTCTTTGGGATCACACCGCCCCTTGTCTCCCCTCAACCGAGACCCACGTCTCCCGGTTCCGGGCTGTTGCAACAAATAATGCAATCGAGAGGAAGATCTTCTCCGAAGGCTCGAGGTCAAAAGGTAGATTACGGTGAGAACGAAGAAGCTGACAAGGCCAGAGAGAAGCGTCTGATGGATCGTCTGCGAAGATGGCAGAAGGGCGATTCTTCCCTTCATAATGACATTCCCCGGTTAGCGACTTCTAGTGCGACTGAAGAATCTGACAACTCAGACGGATCGCCAGAGATAGTCGTGTTAGGTGGAGGTGAAGGTATCCCCGGGATTGCACAGTTTGCCCAGGCATTAACTGGCCGAGGCAAGACAAACGAATCATCGCAACCCTCGTCCGAACCTTCAACAACACCTTTTTTCCGAACCTCAATTGTTGTACCTAGCCAACGGTTACCTGCCAGGGAGAAAGAGTGTCGTATGGCTAGGCGAAGGGAGATTAACGAACTTACCATGCGCATGGGAGTCGCTGCTGTCGGCGGCGTACTTGGGAAGCTAGAACTCGACGTTTCTGAACCAGATGCTCAAGTATCCGAGAGTAACCCAGAGTCATTATCCAAGAAGGTCTTGGAAGATTGGGGTCAACGAATAGAGTTATGGCCTGATGTACGACAAATCGCGGATCGTGCTGTTGGTGCTGAGATTGCAAATCAACGGGATACTATCCAGTTTTCTCTTGAACCTATTCACATCTCGTGGTCCACAATATTTCAGGCATTGGACGCATATACACGTCAAAGTCATTCTCGGAAATCGTGGATTCAGCAGTCTATAGATCAGACTGTAGAGGAAGAGGGTGAGGATGGAGAGAAAGCTCCTAAGAAGGAGGTTGTGGATGAAGTTGTCCAACAAATCAAACGGGACGCTGAAGACGGCGAGCTTGACCAGTACGAGCAGAGGCTTGTACGATGCATAGTGGATCCCAGTGAGTTCTCATGCTCTCCTCTATGCGTCCACTTCATAGTTTACTTACTTTACTACTCTCACCAACAGCATCTTTAAAGACTACTTTCAGTCAGGTTCACCTTCCTCCCCACACAATCGACTCTGTTCGGACAATTGTTTCATTACCCCTTCTCCACCCATCCGCATTCCAGTCCGGCATTCTTAAAGAACACAGTATGACTGGTTGTCTCTTGTTCGGTCCTCCGGGAACGGGTAAGACTCTTGTTGTCCGCGCTCTAGCTAAAGAAGCAGGCACTCGTATGCTCCTCGTACAACCTTCGGACGTCATGGACATGGTAGGCTTCCCTCTTCACTCGTGGTGATACTAATAACTAATATATATATTATCTAGTATTACGGAGAGGCGGAGAAACTTGTTCGCGCAGTGTTTGCTCTTGCACGGCGTCTTGCTCCCTGCGTAGTCTTCATAGACGAGATTGATGCTCTGTTCGGTGCTCGAGAACGCGGGGGAGGCGACTATGCACATAGAGGCACAATCACTGAGTTTATGCAAGAAATGGATGGCCTCAGGTCTTCCAAAGACGATAACATTATCGTCATTGGTGCTACAAACAGGCCGTTCGATCTCGATGATGCTGTGCTTCGTCGCTTACCACGAAGGCTACTCGTGGACCTGCCTGGAGAAAAGGAAAGAGAAGGTGCGCTTTGTTTTCATGATTGCATCCCCCTTCCTTCCTAACTTTGAGTTACAGGAATCCTGAAGATTCTTTTGAGAGACGAGCAGCTCGAAACCGATGTCGATTTGAATACACTTGCTCGCAAGACCGAAAGCTTCTCTGGTTCAGATCTGAAGCGTGAGCTCCAAAATTTCCACTTCAACGTTCGCTGCTGATCTCATGACTCATTATATGTAGACCTCTGCGTAGCTGCTGCATTGGATGCGGTGAAAGAGGGCGTATCTCTCCCATGGCGCCCGTCACCACCAAATACAAATGTGGAAAGTCTAAACCCCGCCGCATCCGCGGCCATTCCTGTTGAGCTCCTGGCTACGCCTGAGCTAGAGACACCCTCACTGTCAAGCTCTTCTCCAGTTTCGGAGTCAGCACAGACTACTTGTGCTACCGATATTGGCTCATCAGAGCCAGCCGCTGCGTCATCCAAGCCATCTACGATTGAGAAGCCTGGACAAGGTTCAACCCAGATCCACAAACCAGTGGAGCAGTTGACTGCCCGCGGACAAGACTCGGCATCATCTGCTAGCTCGTCATCGTCGACTAGTACACCCACTCTGCCGGAGGCACCGCCCAGGAAACTTTCATGGCGCAACTTCGAAGTCGCTCTGAAAGAGATCACGCCTTCGTCCTCCGAAGCCCTTGCATCGTTGAACGACCTTCGTAAGTGGAATGATGAGTTTGGTGAGGGACGCAAAGGACGCAAGAAGCATGTGTGGGGGAAGGATAAGTTTGGTTTCACTGGTAGACCTCTCGATGGTGGTAATGAAGTCAAAATCGGTCGCTCATGATTTCGCTCTTGTCAAGGAACAGATGAAGCAATACTACAGTAGGCTATCAAGAATAGAGGGTAATCAGTACATATAGTGAGAGGCCCAGGCCTCATAATCAGACGGTCATTAGGCGCAAAACAGCACATAAATGTCTGGCGGGAAATCTACAAAAGGGTGTCAGCGGCGACTTTTTCGCTTCTGGGCGCGTGGTTGAGGAGTTGCATTCTCTTCTTCCTCTTCTTCCTCGTCATCTACTACTGCTTTCTTCTTGCCCTTACCCCTCCCATTCTGTCGCGGCTGAGAAGATTGCGAAGACGCAGCTCTTGATTCTGCTTGCGATTGTGCCCGAAAGGCAAGGTCATCAACCTCACCATCGACGTCCTCTTCATCGCTGCCTTCTTCGCTGGATCTCTGCCTAACTCGTCGTTTACCCTTATCTTGTCCTTCGCTCCACCCTTCCTCGCCCACAGGGAGAGGTTGCCAGTGGTTGTTACATGTCGGGCATGTCTGGGTACGCCGTTTGTAGCCGTTATAGCAGTAAGTGTGCATACGCGATTTACATTGAGGGGTATTACACCGGATTCCTCGAGTGACAATCTGCATAACAAGATTGAGAGTTTGCGGTAGAAAAATTGAGTGATAGATTTACGCACGTCGAAGCAGATGGTGCATTCGGAGATCTCATCGGCATATGTGCTCCTGAGATATACGTGAAGCTCAGTAAGAGTCCTCTGGGATAACGAATAACGACCTTTTCTGCAAGATGGCAAAAAAAAAAAAGTCATCAATACTGATTGAGCAGAGAGTGCAAATACGTTACTGACTTGCTCTTACTGAGCCACCCTTTTGCTACGAAGCTACCGAGTACAACCTCGGCCTGCGCCTTGGTCATAGTTGACTTTAATGAATTAACCTCGCGCAGTGCGGCCAATGAGGATACACAGAACGACTCATTAGGTGCCAGCATAATTTGCTCGACCTAACGCATGGTATTAAGGTACTGACATTTGGAAGAAGTTTCGACCACTCACAATAGCTTTGAAATATGCAATCTCTACCGGTGAATAATCGGTCGCCATCTGAGCGACTTCATCTCCCCTCCTATTGACCTGAAAGACGCGTAAAGAAATATAAAGATGTTATATTCTGAGTGATACTTACGACTGCATACATCTCCGCACCCGTATCCTGGTCATGGGTGTTAATAAATTCGAGGTCGAGGCAATTCAACGACTCGTTTATCTGGGTAACTAATGCATCCCAAGCTGCTCTGCTCTCAGAGAAGGGAATTTCTAATGATTCGTCGGCGGCTGCACAATCTTCGCGTCAATGTCATTCAAGTCAGAGAATTGTTGAGGGGGTGAGAACCTGTCACAGCATCAACGCATCCTTGCCATATCTTCACCGCAAGTTTCTGAGAGACAACACGACGAGAAAGGATGGCTTGGAGAAATAATCTCTGCACGTCGTTAGAGGAAACCATCGCGGAGGAGAGATTGAATGGGCGCCAAACACGTCCCGGACGCGTTTGTGTACACCGCGTCGGAAAGATGCCTTTTCGGGCCACGGTCAAATTTAAGCAATCCCTTGCAAAGCATCCAACTCAACTAGCGTGAAGTCAAGAGGGGCGAGTCGCGTATATTTGTGTCGTAGATCTCGTAAACTAGTCGTCGCAAACACCCTAAGCCCGTTAATCCCTTCTACCCGTTCATTACGTCGAGGTATCTGTAATGTCCCCTCTGTAGAGCCATCCTGTTTCCCCTCTCACTCAAAATTTTGGAATCCTAAGAGTCTTGCTGACCATTGCAGCGGCCCAGAGGCCAAAGGCGATGGAAACCAAATGCAGATCTCCATATCCGCCAGGCTGTCCCCAGAGCGTCACTGTACCCCATGGCAGCCCCGCTTGACCCTCGATCCATCCCATTTTTGTCCAGTAGAACAAGACTGATACGAGACCTAGTGAGGATGGAATGGGGAGACCTTCAAAGTATTGTGCCTTTCCCTTGCCATCTTTAGGCACCAATGCTACCGTTGCGTTGAATCGAGCGAGTCGAGCGATTCCGCAACAGATGCTTCCCGTCAACACCACCGTGTCCAGGTATGTTCGTAGGCCTACGACAAATGCGAGAAGTGAGGGTGCGACACCGAACGATATCTACACATGCAGGTGTGAAAGATTACGGGGATAGATGAAGACTGAAAGGGGGGCTTACCAGGTCAGCCAAACTATCCAGCTCTTGTCCTAGCATGCTACTCTCGTTTCTCCAACGTGCAATCTTGCCATCCATGAAGTCGAACATGAGTCCTCCGAATGGGAGTACCAGTGCGAACCATAGATAGTCCTGGTCATTTGTGGCGAGATACTTAGCGGACATAAATATAGACAGGGAGCCGCAAACTCCATTCATGATTGTGACGAGGTCTGCAAGACGAAAATTTCTGTGTAATCAAGTACCCACCCAATGTAATAATAAGAATATGCGTCAACTATTGAATGATGCAGACAACTGAAATATGAACGGCACCTCACTAAAGAGAAATGTCCTTCGGTGTCCTGGTACTGCTGCAAGGCAGCAATCTTGCTTTCCTCCATGACAGTGTCATTTTCTTTGGGTGGACTTTTTGCGCTCTTTCTTTGACTCATGATGTGCAGTAACCAGGAGGTCCAAGTGATGAAAATAAATGTTCGCGTGCGTGGACTGAAGACAAGGTGGAGGCAGGAAACTCGCTAAGCACGCGACTTTCGTGCCGAGCATTGACGTACAATTTCCAACAAGGTTAGGGTTATAATTTCAAAGAACAGATATTTCTCAAGATGGAAATTGCTCTGATCGTCCTGCCTCATTCTTCACTATGCCTCGGATACGAAAGAGTGGGTAATATTGTTGTTATGCAGGTATGTCCAAGAGCTGATTGACCTTTTAGAGACGAGTAAGCGTGGATCGACCAACCAGCGAGAAAAGATCAAGCACAAGGCAGCAGATACACGGCATAAGAGAAAGAGGGAGGCGAGGAAGAATCCTCAGAAAAAGTCCAGTATGTTTGAATGTTCTTGTATCTTGAGGATTCAACTCAAGATCTTTCGCGGTTTATTAGAGAAACCACAAGACCTTGGCATTCCAAATAACTTCCCATACAAGGACCAAATTCTTGCGGAGGTTGCAGAACAGCGCAGGATTGTAGGTTTGATAGGTCCTTTAAGAAATTTGCAACCAACTCATACATTATCTCTCAGGCAGCTGAAGAGAAACAGCTGCGCAAGGAAGCCAAAAAGCTAGCGAAAGCAGGTGTGGAAGCGCAAGCTGAGGAAGATTCTGAGGCGGAAATTGGCTTTTCCTCTTTGCCTGGTGTCAGCAAAACTCGGCCGCATGCTGCTGCCGAGGCCTCTAGCTCAACCCTTTCTGAAGATGCGGACGAGGAAGCGCCAGTTCTCGTGAACCCGGATTTGCACAATCTAGAAGCTGTCCTTGACAAGGCCGATGTTGTACTTGAACTCATTGATGCTCGGGATCCTCTGGCTTATAGGAGTTCCCACGTTGAAGACGCGGTCAAGTCCAGGATCGGGAAGAAATTATTATTCGTCTTGAACAAAATTGGTACGCCATCCATATTTTCTAATGCATTCCCTCATATTAATTACGCTGTAGACACTTGTCCCAAGGAGTCTATTGAGTCATGGACTCGTGCTCTAGGGAAGGAACATCCGGTTTTCCTCTTCCGTTCAGCATCGGCATTCCTGCCAGACAGCGAACCTCCAACGACGGATCCAAAGGGGAAGGGGAAGAAACGTATGGATGACGCACTCGGATTGGCGGTTCTCTTGGAGCACTTAGAAGCTCTGACAAAGGAATTGAAGGAAGAGCGGCCTTTAGTGGTTGCTGTAACTGGCTTGACGAATGTAAGTTCACTCATTCACGTACCTATCATTTGCGATCAACTCTCCATGCAGGTTGGCAAGAGCTCGTTTGTCAATTCACTTGCCCGTAAGGCGACGCTTCCTGTCTACAAGCTTTCTTCAACATCTGGGGAGGGCCCGACTACCACGATATATCCTCAAGAAGTGACCCTTTCTCTCAACGGCTGTGAGGTCAACGTCATAGACACCCCTGGCCTCTCATGGCAACGAGTTGACGATCTGACCGGGGAAGAGGCAGAGCGCTACCGGACACAAGATATTTTGCTGAGAAGCAAGGGTCATATCGAGAGACTCAAGGACCCACTTCCTGTCGGTAAGTGAGCGGCTTGATATGTTTGCGCTTTGCTTCCTGACATGGCTCTCCGTGCAGTCTCACACATCGTTGCTCGTGCTCTTCGTGAAGATTTGATGCTCTTCTATAATATTCCCGCTTTCGCGGAGGGCGATTTGACCGCATTCCTATCAGGTGTTGCTCGTGCCAACAGCCTAATTAAGAAGGCATGTTCATTCTCATTCAAAATTTCACCTTTTTTCTTACAAACGTTCTTGTAGGGCGGCGTACTAGACTTGGGAGCTGCATCGAAAATCGTTCTCCGTGACTGGAGAACTGGAAAATTCCCTCGGTACACTGTGCCATCACCCACACTTGTGGAGACTGCTCCGCCATTGAGCGAGTCAAATGAGAAGATCATTTCGATGCTTAAGACTCGCAAGGAAATGCGGAATGGAAATGGCGTGGTGAAGCTCAAGGCTGGCGAAGTGCAACTTCGTAAGGTTGACTTGGATGCTGCCTGGATCAGTGTCGAGGATAGTGATGAAGAGGACGAGGACGAGCTTGACGTCGATGAAGAGGAAGAGGCGGATGAAGGGAGCGTGGATGTTGGTGAATCTGAAGAAGGCGACGGTGACGAAGACGAGGAAGATGAGGACGAGGAGGAGCTCGCACCACCAAGAAAGCGGAAACAAGCACCTGTCAAAGCCATCGCACCGCCTAAGAAGAAAGTGGCCTTTTCCGCAAAGCGAGGTCCAGTCTCACAAAAGCCTGCGCCAGCCAAAGGCATTTTAAAAGTTTCGAACGAGAAGCCTAAGTCTTCTCTGAAGGCGAAGGTAACGGCCAAGGAACCCAAACCTGCGCCTAAGGTCTCGAAGGTCGCCAATCCTTCAGGGAAGACACAAAAATCAGCTCCGGCCAAGGATAACGGAGCGTATGACTTCGGCAAGTTTTTCTAGACAGTTCGCGTCTATAGATTGTGCCTATATATCACTGTGTTTGGCTTGCTTTTTGCGATGCCTTCGGATTATCATGTCATCTTTGCCTTGTTTTGAGTGGGAGATGAATGCTACTCCAATGCGAATTTTTTATAATACATACGATACGAGCTACAACATAAATAAGTGAGATGCGAACGGAAAGCAGTACAAAACAGCAGAAGAGGGTATATTCAAGACATCACAATGTCGCCATCCGACTCTGCCTTCATCGTTTCCAGTCTGGCCTTCTCCAATTCTCTACTCCTCGCAGCGTACTGATTCGGATGTGTGACACTCTCACCACCACCCACACCTTCGCCTTTATATACTCCATCTCTTGCATGGGTAATCTCGAAGACTCGCGTACATGCAACATGATAATGCTGGCTCTTCACCGCATGTAGGATCTCTGGAAGGTCTGCCTGTGTAAGTCCTTGAGAAGAATACGTTGCAAGTAGAGCTGAGGATAGGTTCTCTTGAGAGAAATGTCGATAAGGACATCCATGCGAGTCGCCAGGACCTGGTGTTTCTCCTGTCAGGATTTGCACACAGCTGCAGGTAAATCGTGAGCAAATATAATTGTGTGATATATGGTTGATGAAACGCCGGTCACCTTTTGGCCGCATAATTAGCCCGTTTGCCCTCCAAACCGTACGAATGTCGAATGTTATATCGATATTCTTTGTTGAACTTGTCATCCTGGATTTGGCTGAATGATCTTCGCCAAAAAGTGATGGCTTCCTCTATCGAGAGTCCCAGGACCTAGACAGAAGTAGGCTCTATGTTTGAAAAAAAAAATTATGGCGTTGTCAAAGCTGGCGCGTACCTTCAAGAATAATCCGTACTGTAGTCGACCATGGTGTTTCAAGTGTCTGTCTCGTCTCAGACATTCGTGTAGGTGCCTCATACACATAGGGAAGTGCTTCCGAGCCATGTCATCAATCATTTCCGCAGTGATTTTGCCCGTGCTCTCCGACGAGGATGCAGTAGACCACTCTGACGAAACGCCTGCGAGGAAGCCTTGCGACAGATTGTCCAGTATGGGAACTATTCGTGTATCTTCATCTAATCGTGGAAGAGCTTTCGCGGTAAGCTAAGGGCAATTAGCAAAGAAAGTCAAAGTAGGCAGACAAACGCTTACTTCAAGGGCTTTCTCCAAGTTGCTCTGGAATTCTTGAAAGACAAGACTAGATTGTTCACGGGCAGGGACATACGCCATGCCACCTTTCAAGAAGACCCTTCGCCTTTCCACAAGATCTGGGACGCGGGTCCACTTCACCTGTAGGAATGATGAGAACATGACATACAATCATAAATCTGATATACCTTGTAGAACTTCTCATTTTCAATCTTGAAATCCTTTAGACCTCCTGCTGCAGCTGTCAATTCCTCGGCGTGCTCCTTAATCTCGCTTTCCGAGACCTATGTCACATTAATGGCTATACACAATTACCCACATGTCACATACCGGTATCCAATCGAAATCACGCGAATTCAAGAACTCTTCTCTTTCCACTCGATCATCGGTATCCCAACGTATTCTAAACAATGCCATCTCGGACTTGACAAATCGCCGTCGTAGCTCTTCTCTGAGGCATGATTCAGTACAACCCAAGTGATAAACAACGAAAGCACTTACGATCGACAGAACGCCAATCTCAACACAAAGTGTCCGACGTGGTCCTTTTTTCTTTCCGCGTCCCTATCCACTGCAATAGCAGTCGAAGCATGTACGGGAAGATATTTCTCGGATTGGGTCAGCGCGACGCTCTTTAGTTCCTCCCATGATCGGTTTCGCACAAAAGATGATTCGATTTCTGCAAGGACGCGTAATCGATCCAGCGCACAAGTCTCGAAGTCTTCAATTGTGATGTCGTCTATTGGTGGTCTGTCATAGCTATACACGAACGCGAAACGTCAATTATGTCGCGAAGAGTCGGTGGAGCTTGCAACGAACAAATTGAGCCGATGGGAATATTTCAGGTTGGAGTATTTCTCTACTTGAGGAATGTTGGATTTCTTTGAGAACGCGTTTCTATCTCGTGCGCTGAACATTTTGAAGACCAAGGACTACAAGATACGAAGCAAGAACGCGAGCGTGACACTGACACGCCCATTCAACGCGACGCGTCACGCCGATCATATGCCCGGTCACGGAGGAGTGACGCATACGCACTTGTTCAAGGCTTTCTGGAAGAGCGTACTTCTGTTGAATTACATGTTGACAGCATACTACAGGACACGATAATATAATACACAAAACCAAGTTACATACGAGAGCGATAGACAATATAAAGACAGCATATACACAGAAATAACATACAACAACCCATTCTAAGCCACTCATGGGACCAAGAAACGAAAGAACGAAAAGAAATCCAAATCAATACATACTTTTAGGTTACCTCATTGAGCATTCATCGTCCAGACCGCTGCCTGGGACGGGGTCGATTTTCTTCAACAAGATCGGGATCAACGTCAAATGTAACTCCTGGCCGACGTCTGCGCGAGCTCTTCCGAATACTCTGTTCTGCTTCTTCACGATCTCTCCAGTCTACGGTTGCAATGACAGGATCGCGCAATGGCGGGGATGGCCTTCCGGCAGTGGAGCTCCGTGTAGAGTCAATCACTGTATTAGTCTGAAAGATAATCGTCAATATTGCTCACGCTTTCAACATAGTCAAACTTACTGCCGTCCCATCTTGGGCCTCCACAGACGCAGCTGAGACTGTCCGATGACGCTTTGACAGCAAACGGAACGGCGTGAACATCTTGCCATTTGACCGTCCCTGCTCGGCTGTTGCTAAAACAGGCGTGGGAGCGACAATAGGCGGCGGTTGGTGGACGGTCTGCGTAGGTGGCGCCGACTGGGGAACTTGCGCAGGTTGCGACTGATTCTGAGACACAGCCTGCGTATGGTCACGATTCGGATGAGGCGCAACGATATTCCTCACGGAAGCTGCTATCCCGTTCATGGTGCTTTGTGAACTTGCACGAGGTCTGCCTGTGGTTTGTTTGGGCACCACCGGAGGGCGAACTTCAGTTGGCTTCGGAGGCGAAGATCGAGACCGGAAAAGTCCCAAAAACCCTCGCTTACGAGGTTCTTTCTCTTTAGAAGGTGCAATCGAAGGGGCAGCGTTGATGGACCCATACGAGTTTCCACGAACCATGGATGGCGCCAACGATGAAGGGGTACGCAGTAACTCTGCCTCTGGTGCAGGCGACGGAATTTGCAGCGCTGCCAGCTGAGCTTTCGAAGGAGCTGGGGTAGACATATGTCCTGCGACCGGCACACGAGAGGATGACTGTGTTCCGTACTGAGGGTCCGAGACAGTGCGAGAATGGGACTGCACAGGGACAGGGGTTGCGGTCGGTCTGCCCGCGCCAGCGACAGGAGTAGGGTACGTTTGACCGCGCACTGGTGTCGGTGCGGCCACAGCAGGTGGATAAGCAGATCTCGAGGCAGAGCTTGACGGCATGTTAGGATAGTGCCGTGCAGTCATTGTTATCGTTGGAGGTGCCGGAGAAGGAGCGGATCGAGGAGGAACACGATGGCTAGATTGAGTAGCTGGAGCAGAAGAGGGCTCGGATGGCCGTGCGTTATACTCTTGATGGTACGTGCCACTACGGTATGCTGCTGCAATAGCAGAAGCAGACGACTGTGTGGGGGCGGAAGGAGCTGCTGTAGGCATCGGAGTCGGCTGACTTCTCTGTTGATAATCTTGTGTCGATGCATAGGGATGGTAACCTGCAGTGCTAGTTGGTTCAACGAAGTTCCGAGTAGAATAATCTTGCGTAGGCGCATAAGACGTGTTGTTAGCTTGGACAGGATTTCGTGAATGCGAATGAGGCTGATGAGATACACTTGAGGTGTTGTTTGCTTGAGATTGATTTACATTTGAAGATAATACATTAGTTTGTTGCTGTTGCGAAGACGGATTAGCCAAAGGATATGAGGAAGCCGGGGTCTGAGAACGGTATCGAGCGTAATCTGGGTATCCTGATGCTGCGGTGGGAGGCCGAGCATTCGGCTGGTTCGTCGTATCTGGTCGTGACAGGGCATGAGGTTGTTGCTGAATGTTAACCACGTTTGACTGAGGCTGATTCAGCTGTCTATGAGAAGCACCAGAAGGTGATGCTTTAGTAGTGTTTGCCAGAGTGATGGTATCATTAGAGCCGTTACGAGGATGCAGGCGACCCGGAGAAGACTGCTTCGGTGTTCCAGCCGCAGGCGACCGTAGAGAGTTCAGCTGCGCATTTCGTGGCGAATGTGAAGATGTGCTGCCGGTGACAGGAACAGTTTGTAGCTGTGCTACTCGGGAAGACGCTTGTGGATTACTTTGTCCATAACTGTTGTCTACAGCAGCGGAAGCAGCCTCGTAGAGAGATTGATTGCTTGGCAACGTGTTGGACTTCCCTTGAGTAGGCGATACTTGGGGACGTGAGTTCTGCCAAGGAGAAGCAGACAGAGTCTGTGTTGGAGCCGCAACACTCTGTTTGGGCGAACGAGGGTTATATGATTGGCTGGACTGCTGTTCAGAAACAGGAGCAGGTGTCGAGGAATATGTTCGTCGAGGTTCAGGAATAGGCAGCGGAGCAGCACGGGGAGTGTCTTCGCCCGGCGCAGGCTGTGGGCGTTGGGATGGTGTCGAATTCGACGGCACCGCGGTAGGTTGAGGGAAGTTAGACGGAGCATGCGAACTGCCGAACGAATTGCCGTATCCTGCGCTAGAATGCACACCCATTTGGCGTGTGTCAGAATCCTCGTTCAATGGAAGCTTAGACAACAATGGAGCCGGTTGGTGTTGTTGGCCAGTATGACTGTTGTACTTGGGAAGGTACAAATCCGCTGACACCGGGGGGTCTGGAGAACGGTAGACGCTCAATTTGGCAATGTGTGCAGACGATTGAAGTTGCGTCGATGCATCAGGATAGAGATGAGAAGCCTCCGCTTTACTATCCAGGAATTGGGATTGTTGTGTGGGTGACGGTTTTCCATGCTGTTTCGAATGAGAACCCGTGGCCGAAAAACCTTGGGAATCATTGGGTATCGCAGAGATAGCACCAGATGGTCTCATCTGAGCATGTTGAGAGGCAGGCACCGTCGAAGGTGGTCGAGTAGGCGTCTGAAGTTGGATAGTAGGTATTGCTTGTGGTGCGCGCATATTTGACAGCGGTGGTCCCTGTGATTCTATTCGTTGTGTCGGAGGAGCAACGGCACCGTGCACGTAATGTGGATGACTAGACGGGGCTGAATTTGCTTGGTGGGCCATTGCCAATGCCGCGTTGGGATGCAGATATGCGCTCTGCGGAATTGAATCTGAGCGAACGAGGCCTGCTGGCATATGCGATACAAGAGGATCATTGCGTCGAGCGTCTGGTGGATTGCCTGTATGAACAGGAGGAGCGTCTGGTGACCACATTGTATCTTGCATGTGTGAACGGTCAGTGTCGCGAGCTCGGCTGGTAGGAGCAGGAGTCGGCGTGCTCTTGGGTGGCAAAATCGGCGTTTGCGGATCTGCGGGACCCTGTCCAGCTCGAATGCTGACTATATGTGGTACACGGTGTGCAAATGCAGCATGACCTACGTGTAGAGCAGACTGACCTGCCGTTGGGGCTGATCCATGGTCAGCAGGATAAGGTGCCGCCTCTGCGCCTCTCACTTGCTTTGAAGACTCTGCATACACGTCATTGGCAGCCGGTCGACGTTGAGTGCGCTAGTGGATGCGGCTTAGTTGGGAAGCAAATTTCAGAATGCGAGCAGCTTACGCGTTCTCTACCCGCCATTCGTTCGTTCTCGCTACCAGAAGGTCCTGACGGATTACCATCACCATAATAATCTCGTGAAGTATATCGACGATCCGATGCCCTCTATTGAAATGACGTTAGAATAAGAGACACTTGAGCAGCAGAGAGACATACAGCACCGCGTTCCCTGCCTGAATGTTCTTGTTCGCTACTGGAGACACCAGATTCATGATTATTCTGTTGTGCAGGATGCCGATCTCGATGTGAGCGATGTGATCTCTTATCACGTTCAGGTTGATTGCCCGTTGCTTGAGGTCGCGAGGAGCTCCCGACTGTGGGTCCTGCATAGTATTGCGTGTTTGGTAAAGCAATGTTTGAACTCGATGAAGGGACCAATTCTGGATAGGGTTGGCGATACTGCTAGGTAATGTGCATCATGAACGATGGCTAACTCATAAAATCTATACGCACCAATGCTTTATCTTCCGTCCTATGTGCTCTATGCTTGTCAGCAGGAGCCGCGGAGGTAGACTGATGGGGGTAAGGCGTGACCTGTTCAACTCTGCTCTCTTGTTGTCTTCGAGCTTCACCTTCTTTGGCCTTCCTCGCTCTTCTTTCCTGTCTACGACGCTCCCTCTCCTCGTCGTATTTTTGTTGTTGTTCCGCTCTCTCCTTCTCGCGCCGCCGCTCTTCTCTGCGCCGCTCCCGATCTCGTTCCCTCTCCTGTTCCCTCGCTCGCTCCTCTTCTTGCGCTCTGTGTTTTTCTCTTTCCTTCTCCTTCTCCCTTTCCCGTCTGCGTTCCTTGTCGCGTCTCCGATCGCGGTCCTCATCACGATCCTTATCCCTATGACGAGAAGGGGGGCCCGGGTCGCGTGTGGGCTGCACTGGAGGTATCCAAAACGTCTGTGTAGATGCTGGCGGTTGTGGAGCGGGTGCAGCAGCAGCACCATGTCCAATCCGTGGATTCTGGCTTGAACGCGCAGCCTTGGCTTGGTCCGCGATCAATGCTTTCTCGTCTGAAGAGGGTGGGCTGCGCTTCGTAGATCTCTTCTGAGCTTTCGCAGATGCGCGAACGTCGTAGGATTCCGCTTCACGAGCGTGTAAGCCATTTGTAGACTGGGAAACAGCCTCAGGTTGGACTGGATTTGGCCCAGCATTGTAGTCACCCATAGCGTAGTAAGAAGGTGCCGATGTCGCGAAATTTGTTTGATCTCTGCTAGAAGACTTATGGTGAGCATAAGGCGCTGAGGAAGTAGGCAAGTCTCCTGATGCATCTGCACGCCTAGACGATCGGTGATGTCTCTCATGTCCAGTGTTGGCAATGCTTTGGTCCATGTTATGGCGCTGGGAGCTAGTCATTGACTGTCGGGGTCGGTCCGTGTCAGGGTCGTGAGGTGTCCATGGTTGGTAGTCATCCTTCTTCGTCGAGCTCGTCTGCTCGCGATGTCGGCGACTGGTCATCACCAAAGTGAGTGTGTGTATATGCCCGAAGCGGGCCCAAGAATGACGGAGGGGTTATAAGATAGCAGGGTATGTATACACGGAAGGTAAAGCGCAGGAAGAGAGGGTAGCAGAAATAAATGGCTCGGAGACATGAGGCATGCCTCTATACAAGAGTTTCCACCACGACCGTCCAGAGCGCTCTACTCTCAGCGTCTTCGCTTGACAGGAATTGGTGGCACACTCGAGCCGCCTCTTTTGGTCTGCATTGATCGTCACTCTGTTAGCCATCTCACCCCTCGTTGGTGGATGATTTCTGACTGACAGCTCATGATGATTGTTCTGCATCTCTGCGTAACCCTGATACGACCATGCATCTGCCAACGCAAGTGAAGTCGGAACGCTCATATTGATTTTGAGCTGTGTGTGGATCTCTGACGCTTGATATTGCACAATCTCGACATAGGCCGGTTACCGTCGGAACTTTTCATTCGCCGAATGAGTATGGTTGTTTCGTAGTGTACTTGCATTGTGCCATTCATAGTTCAGCCACAAGATGTCACGGTGCATTGTGCAGCAAACGTGGTTGGTCTACCGATCAGCGCGAATCACCAATGAAGAACAAATATACGTCCACCTTACAAGAGAGACCGCAGATCGTAGGATATATCCATGATGTACACACATCGATGGACGCCCAATAGCAATGCACACGACTCTCTAGACTGAGCTGCAATCTATCATCGCAAGGAGGATGACTGCCACGCTTGATATGAACAAGGAGCTATATTCAGTTAGAATATACACTGTAAGTAAGATACCAATAACTAGAATAGAATGTACGCCAACAATGAGACACGGCCTTGCCAGTTGAACATGCTTGAATGCATATGACAAGACCAATAGCACCGAGGCAATACCGAACGCAATGAGGGAGAACCCAACTGTCTTGTTCCAAGACGAAACAAGGCAGCATATCATTGACGCAGCGGTCCGCTTTTACACGATTTTGACTCATTACCGACAGTAAACAGCGGAAAGGCTGGTGGAAGCAAAGGTGCTTCCCTGTCGAGACAATTTAAGGATCGTGTAGTGCAAGGGGAAAAAGGAACGAAAAAACTCAGCAGGAAGCACACAGTGCCTTATTCAATGTTGAAGCAAGTCCAGCGACGCAAACTAGCATAGCACTCTAAGATTTGAAAACCTAACGAGCTGTGTAAATACAAAGTATTGTTGGACGAGACAAGAGGGTGAAGATGGTTGTAGAAGGCATTTATAGGCGGAACTCGGCCAATGACTAACATATTCCCACGGCCCTGCCCCCTTGCCTCTGAAAGTCGCAGTCGAGAGTGTTTCCGGAACACTACGCTCACCTCGCTGTTATCAGCTTGCCTCTCACTTTGAATCACTACCGTTCTTCTAATTTGACTGGCGTGCATACACACATCAAGAACCTCCCACATACGACACAGCGCTGGTAGGAGAACGAGATTGGCATGGTATTACTTTTCCCTCAATTCTCCTCATAGCAATATTCATTCTTGTATCGCAGGCTGACACAATGGACGTTCTGGACGAGAAGGCGAATGGGGCGATACATATGGAACCGGAGGAGATTGTATCAGTACGAGATCGTGGGTATCATTCATTGTATAAGACTGTAGCCACAAATGCTCATAGTTGCCTCAAAGATGAGGCATTTGCCGCCAAACATATGCCAGACCTTGGGCATGAAGTGAAAGATTTTAAGGTGTTCACCTGGCAACTAAACAACTGGAAGAAACTAGAGAAGAAGATCACGAGTCCTGAGTTCGAATGCGGCGGGCATAAATGGTGCGATTGCTTGGCCACTCTAGAAGTTCCTCACCATTAACCATAGTCATTTACGACTACTAGGCGAATTCTCCTCTTCCCTTTTGGTAACTCAAATGCACCACCAAACGATACGGTCTCTGTTTACCTCGACTATGCTGAACCCAAGCGAGCGCCGGAAGGCTGGCATGCCTGTGCTCAGTTTGCACTCGTCATATCGAACCCCCACGATCCGACTATCTATACAGTTAGCCGTATGTATCGTAATTCCCACTACAGTGTCGAGATATCCCTTGACAAACGCATTTCACAGACGCACACCATCGTTTCATCGCGGAAGAGTGTGATTGGGGTTTCACGCGCTTCAGTGAATTGCGGAAGCTATTCAGTGTCCAGGATGGCCACTCTCGACCAACTATAGAAGACGAATCTGCAGAGGTTAGCGTGTTTGTTCGTGTACTCGAGGATCCTACTGGCGTGCTATGGCACAACTTCGTGAAGTAAGTCCGAATACGGTATTCATTCGTTATGTTTGAATTTATTGTGGCGTAGCTACGACTCCAAAAAGGAGACGGGATATGTCGGACTCAAAAACCAAGGCGCAACATGTTATATGAATTCACTCCTTCAGTCACTGTTTTGTACTCGATATTTCCGAAAGGTATGACCTCATCGTCCTGCATCCGAGTAACCCAGCCTCATGCGACCCCTCCCTTCAGGCTGTATATCAAATTCCCACGGAAGATGATCATCCTACTGAGAGTGTACCATTAGCTCTACAGCGCGTATTCTACCATCTTCAGACCTCAGACCAGCCTGTCGGCAAGTCTCACTGTCAAGATTATTGCGTGTTGGCATATGCTCATTTCGTCGTTCACTAGGTACTACGGAGTTGACGAAATCGTTCGGCTGGAAATCCTTGGATGCATTCCTGCAACATGACGTGCAGGAGTTTAATCGGGTCTTGCAAGACAAACTTGAGACGAAGATGAAGGTGGGTCTTTTAGGAGTACTCTTTTACAACGCATGCTCAACCTTGAAGTAGGGAACGAAAGCTGAAGGTGCCATTGCGAAACTTTTTGTCGGCAAGATGAAGAGTTACATCAGCTGTGTCAATGTCGACTTCGAATCATCTCGCATCGAGGAGTTCAATGGTGCGTTGGTAGTTGTTATCGCAATATTCATTCTCTTATCTCGAATATCAGATATCCAGCTCAACGTGAAGGGCATGAACAATCTCTACGAATCTTTCAAGGATTACGTCGCTGTGGAGACATTGGAAGGTGAGAACAAATACATGGCCGAAGGATATGGACTCCAAGACGCGAGGAAGGGCATAATATTCCAATCGTTCCCACCTGTGCTCCATCTCCAACTCAAGCGGTTCGAATATGACATGCAGCGAGACGCTATGGTCAAAGTAGGTGTCTCAACTCCTGTACATGTAATGCCGGAGCTCATGAACCACGCATAGATCAACGATCGCCATGAATTTCCCTTTGAAATCGACCTTGATGAGTTCCTAGATGAGAACGCTGACCGATCACAGCCGTGGACATATAAGTTGCACGGCGTTCTCGTACATTCCGGTGACTTGCACGGCGGTCACTACTTTGCTCTGATCAAGCCTGACCGCGAGACACGTTGGCTCAAGTTCGATGACGATCGTGTGACACCAGTAACCGATCGCGAGGTCTTGGAAGAGAACTACGGTGGAGAGGCCCTGAATGGTCTGGTTTCTCCTGTACAGCGCAATCAAGTGCGGTCGATGAAGCGATTCACGAATGCTTACATGCTAGTGTATGTTCGTGAATCCGCCATTGACGATGTGTTAGCGCCGTTCAAGGAGGAAGACACTCCTGCGCATCTTAGTATGATTTCATTCATGCTTTTGTAGGTTTCTGATACTGATATTATCTACAGAGCGACGACTCGATGAGGAACGTCTGCAATTGGAGGCCAAGCGCAAGGAGAAGGAGGAACAGCATCTATATCTTACCGCCAAGGTAAGACAAATTACACCCATATTTCACTTCAGTCTCTGACACGGTATGTCAGGTCATTACCGATGATACCTTTGCACATCACGAAGGCTTCGATCTCGCACAATTCGATGAGCGAGCATGGCCTACGTCTGACCTTCCTACCTTCCGTGTTCTCAAGAATGAGACCTATCAAACTTTCAAGTCTCGTGTTGCTCAACATTTCAACTACCCTGAGAACCAAATCCGCCTCTGGGTTCTTGTGAACCGACAGAACAAGACTGTGCGACCAGATACTCACATTCCGGAGAACGAGCCTGCGCTTAGTACGTCCAAATTGTTCTGCGGATGAACTTTAATGTGACGTTTCGTTTGAATAGCTGTCGAGGTGATCAGGAACAACATGGCAGTCAGGCAACAGAATGACCTCCGTCTATATCTGGATGTGATCCCTGATCCGAATAAGCCTGAGGTACCTCCGGGGTCGATCATGATTTTCTTGAAGCACTTCGACACGTCTAAGCAGACGTTGTATGGTGTTGGCAAAGTCTACGTTGCCCGAGGTAGCAAGGTCGGAGATTTGATTCCTCTGATTAATGAGCGAATGCGATGGACACCGGGCACTCCCCTCAAGCTGTATGAGGTATGAACGTTCATTCTCGCTGTCCTGGATCATTACTCATTCTCGGTGCAGGAAATTAAACCGGGCATGATTGAACTCATGAAGCCAAAGTTGACCTTCACGCAGAGCGAGATTCAGGATGGAGACATAATTTGTTTCCAGGTCGACATCAGCGAGAAAGAGTAAGTTATATTTGGCTGTACTTTGCTTTGTGCGTTGTTCTGACAGATCTCCGATCAGGCTTCATGATCTCGAGAACCAGGGCTTGTACTCTAACCCTTCACAATTCTACGACTTCTTGCAGAATCGGGTTATGATAGTCTTCCGACCGAAATTCGAGGAGGCGGATCACGAGAACCCTGAGTTCAGTCTCGTCCTCAGCAAGAAGCAGAACTACGACATTGTTCGTATATTTGCCATTTGTTTCTGCATAGGATGTTGCTCATCCGTTACTATTAGATGTCTGCCAAAGTTGGTGAATTCCTCAGACACGATCCCATCAAGCTGCGCTTCACGACAACACACCCAAATAACGGTGCTCCTAAATCAGTCCTCAAACGTTCCCTCAACCCAAGTATATCGGAAATCGTCGCCCCTTCATACGCCAGCACACAGTCCACTGTCATTCTCTACGAGAAGCTTGATGTCAGCATCGTCGAACTCGAGACGAAACGAAGTCTCAAGGTGGTCTGGACGGGTAGCCATAACAAGGAAGAGACGACACATCCATTTTTGCTACCAAAGACGAGCATGATTCATGATCTCACCGATCACCTGGCCAAGCAGGTGAAACTTACGCCTGGTGGTACGGGTAAGATTCGTGTGTTCGAGGTGTCCAAGGACGGCAAGACGCAGAAGGAGTTCACCGGTTCTGAGATGATCGGTAATCTCCCGGAACCTGTTGAGCTTTATGCTGAGGTTCGTGCCTATTTTACTTTAATCATGTGGTTATACGTGCTCACGATCTTCACAGGAGATTCCTAGAGAGGAATTAGAGGCCGATGATGCTGACAAGGTTATCAGCGTGTTCCATTTCTCGAGAGAAGTATCGAGGACACACGGTGTTCCCTTCCGATTCGTTGTCAAGCCTGTATGTTCTGCTCCTTGGTTTCCTCATGGCCATCATTCACTTAACCTTGCTATACTCACAGGGCGAGAAATTCTCCGAGACAAAGAAGCGACTACAAGCTCGTATAGGCGTCTCGGACAAGGACTTTGCCAAGTACCGTTTTGCCTTGATCCAGGCCGCAACTTTCAAACAACCGTCATACATCGAGGATGGTGAGTAGCTTTTGCCAATGTTACTTCTACCTATACGTATATCCGTTCTAACTACGCTGCTCCTGTAGATGATACCATTTACGATCACAAGTTTGCCCCTGAAGATGTGTTAGGTTTGGATCACCTCGACAAGTCAGGGAAAACTCGGGTAGGTGCAGGTGAGAAGGCTATTGTAATTAGAGGGTAAATCTCGCAAGGCAAGGAAGCCCTGTACCATTCCTGTTCTCTTTTTTCCTATCTCTTACTTTACTACATGACGGATGAATGCAGTGGCGTAATCAGTCCCTCCACCTGTCCTCACCTGCATTCCACTTGACGCACCCCGCCTGATAAATCGGTGACGTACTGTGTTCTGTTATGCCATTGTACTTTGTATCCATTTGTTTGTTGTTATGCTTCTCGAATAGCTAGCTCTTATTCTCTCGGACGAGCACTGTAGATCGCTTCGGCAAACCCGTGACATCAATGAAAGAACTACTACAAAAGAAACCGAATGTACAGTAAGTGAAGGAGCTATTTCCGCTTCTTCGTTTTCTTCGCTGACTAGAAGTGTCATAAGTGAGTACAGCGAAAGAAGCGGGATAATACCGAGACATACCTTCGGCGTTCTAGGGGTGGATGGAGTGGCTGGACCTTCACCATCGCTCGACGCTACGCTCTCTGTGCCTGTTGTTGGAGGTGCAAGACCGTTCGTGGATTTGGCGGATGAGGGAGTCGGAGGAACGGATGCTGCGGACGAGCCAGTTACTGGCGATGGCCTTACAACATGCTTTACAGGGTATTTTTTTGCTGTCGATCACATTTCGGTATAACGATATGGGACGAAGTAGTTGATGTGGCGTACCTTTTTCCGCTCTAGAAATCTGCATCTGTTCTAACATTCCACGCATCTTCTCGTTTTGCAGCATCTCGGTTGCTGTTTGGAAGATGATTTGACCCCATCCCTCCACGTATGAATTGGCTTCTTGGGCGACTTCCAAAATCTCCGCCTCAAGCTCCTTTTCTGCTGCTTGTACACTTGTCATAAGGTCATCTCCTAATGATCCTTTCTGGGTAAGTGCTTGAATAACGGGTTTGTCTTCTCGGATTCGGATAATTCGTTGGACGTCGGTCATGGCGCGTCGCACGAGAGCGGCTTTGAGCAGTTGCTCAGGAGCAGGCGGATCTGAATGTTGCAAAAGAGAAACATAGATATCGCGTTCCTTGTGACGAGGAAAGTAAGGTTCGATTATTTGGTCTGTACACGTCAAGATGAACCAGTGAACGCATAGAGTGCGAGAGAAGTGGCATACTCGCGTAGTAACGTTTGTACAGGGTGCTGAACACGTATAGTCCACCGAAGACAATTATAACATAAAGGAGCGGAGCCAAGAGAGACTTGAAGTCGACCGAGAACATGGTGGAAAGGGTGCAGAAATGTGTGCACCAGCCCGTAGAATGTTGTCCGAGATGTGAATGTGTAGAATGCGCTGGCACACCGCGTCGCGTGGCACCGTACTCGATTGCCTCTTTTGGATGCATGCTGAGGTAAGCAAGCTCCGGCTTCACCAGCGCCCGGACCGATTGCTTAGGATCGGTGCCAATCGGCCTGCTGCTATTCGGAGCTCCGGGGCCAAGACCGACCCCGCGTCTCATGGCAATTAAAAGGCTTTACCCCGCATTATATGTCCTTCCCACTTTATTTCCCCGCCCGTTTCTTTTGCTTGTATCCACAGACATGTTCAGAAGTGCGCGCCTCCCTTCCAGCTCGTTCTCCAGGAGTATCTTCTCCCAGAGACGTCTTGCATCGACCAAGGTATGCACCGATCAGGAGTATTTGCATTGAACTGTCAACTGACCAAAGCAGACCCTCAGACAAGCACTTGAGGAAGTCATTCCCTCAAAACAGGCGCAGCTCAAGCAGCTAGTCAGTGCATTTTTTCCGCTGTATATGGTTCTCTGCTTACATTTCCATTTTAGAAAACGGAATATGGGCAAGCAGTAATCGGTGATGTCAAGGTAGAGACGCTCAATGAACCGTCATGGCTTTGATTAACGTCAAATGAATAGGTTGAACATGTTATCGGCGGAATGCGTGGTTTGAAGGCGATGCTATGGGAGGCATCCGTTCTTGACCCTATAGAGGTGACTATATTCCCGAGTTGGCAGTATATGCATAACACTCATGTTGTATGCAGGGTATCAGGTTCCATGGCTTGACAATTCCAGATTGCCAAAAGCAATTGCCTCCCGCACCAGGCGGAAAGGAGATTATCGCTGAAAGTATGCTCTGGTTGCTTTTGACCGGCAAAATTCCGACGGAAGCCGAAACGCGTCAATTGTCACGCGAATTGGCTGAGAAGGGAGACCTTCCTGAGTATGTTGAAAAGTTGATCGACTCGTAAGTCCTCCCATCCTATGTTCATTATGTACTTGCTAATAATATTCAATAGGTTACCTTCGACATTGCATCCAATGACACAACTTGGTATGGGTGTTGCTGCACTGAACCAAGATTCGGCATTCGCAGCTGCATATGAAAAGGGCATCAAAAAGACCGAGTATTGGACTCACACTCTTGATGATTGCGTCAACCTGATCGCCAAGCTTCCGGCTTTGGCCGCTCGCATTTTCCGGAATGTCTACAATCCAGGCAAGCCTATTCCTGCCATCAACAAAGACTTGGATCTCGTCGGTATGTCTCCGCTCTATTCACGCAAACCGCCACCGGCCCTTCTGCTCACACTGTCTGATAGGAAACTATGTGAACATGCTCGGTTATGGTGACAACCACGACCTTACTGAGTACCTCCGTTTGTACATCGCCATCCACGGTGACCACGAGGGTGGCAATGCCTCTGCCCACACTGCTCGTAATTGATCTATCTATCAACTTACATTCTTTCAGCATCTAATCTTTACATTCAGACCTGGTCGGCTCAACGTTGTCGGATCCTTATCTCTCATACGCCGCTGCGTTGTATGCGCTTGCTGGTCCTCTCCATGGGTACGTATGTGAACCTTACCTTCGAGCATATACTCACAGGGTGTACGTTTAGTCTTGCCAACCAGGAAGTCCTTCGATGGCAGTTGAACATGCAAAAGGAGATTGGAAACACCATCACTCATGACAACATTCGAGAATTCCTCTGGAGGACTCTCAAGAACGGGCAAGTCGTTCCTGGGTCAGTACACACTTATTAAACTTTGCATGCAGAGTTTTGAACAATATTCGCACTGCACAGATACGGTCATGGTGTATTGCGAAGCCCGGATCCTCGTTTCATCGCTCTTCAAGAATTCTGTGAGAGCCGTCCACAGCTCTTGGCTGACCCTGTAATTCAGTTGGTCAAGAAGGTACGTTTCATATATCTTCGAGGTTCTCGCTACTTCAAGAAGCTGATCATCTTGTGCTAGACATATGAGGTTGCCCCCGCCGTCTTGACGGAGCACGGCAAGGTATAGTTTGCTTTACACCTTGCCTTGATGTTTGCGGTGCTGATGCGGATGTCACTGCAGACCAAGAACCCTTACCCCAACGTCGACGCAGCGTCCGGTGAGCAATCTGTCTCTATTGAAAATGCGCGATCGTGTCTGACAAGGTTTCACACAACAGGTTGCGTTCTCTATCACTATGGTCTCACGCAGTTCAAGGTAAGAATCATCTCATGATCTTGCATTGTTATTTCATCCATCTCATACGTGTTCGCGTTCAAAGTACTACACCGTCATCTTCGGTGTTTCACGATGTAAGAGGTTCTGTTTACATGTACCACCTGTTATGCTGACGACGTATTAATAGCACTTGGCGCACTGACTCAACTGGTCTGGGCAAGAGGTAAGCCGACCTGTTGCCATACAGTCAATAGTACAGTTCGTTTACTTGATTACCTGGAGCTCTCGGTCTCCCCATTGAGCGTCCTAAGTGTAAGTTTATAATCCATCTCCGTATCGTCAGGATGTTACTCACGAGGCAATGCGAATAGCTTTGTCTATGGACACCATCGAGAAGATCGTCAAGCAGTAAGCTTAGGCCCGATGTACTAGGGGATGTTGTTACTGCTGTTGTACATTATATCCTTGGATTGCTAGGTAACTACGTTGCAATTTATGAAACGTGGAGGGGAGAAAAAGATTTTTATGTACAAGTTCATATTGTCATTACGATCATTGGCTTCGAACCAATCAAAACTTTCAGATTATGTATGAATCGTACGAAAAAATCGAGTCAGAGTAGTGGAACCGAAAAGACCGAGGCCAGCATGACAAGAAGAAAAAAGGGAGAGAATACGCTGCAACGTCAAATAAAAACGCGAAGAATGTCACAGAAAATACTAAGATATTCCCAATAAGAATATAGCTACACAACAACAAATGAACCGAAGAAAGGGCCCTGGATAAATAAGGAATAGACCGTAGCCTGATCTTGAGGTGTATAAGGGTATCCGCGCCAGCTCGTAGCACATCACCCCATTAGAATCTCCGCCCAGGTTGAAGTGGTTGAGTCTGAGGAGGAGGCGCACCCCGTCCAGGTCCAGGATACCCACCAGGAGGACCATACCCTTGAGGTGGAGGCGGACCGCCGTACCCACGTCCGCCAGGAGGGGGGTAACCCTGACCTGGTGGTGGTGGGCCTCTTCCACCAGGCTGCATTGCGGGAGGAGGGCCTCGCGAAGGAGCAGGACCTGGGACTGGGACTGAGTTCGATCGGTTAGGCTGACCTGGTCCAGGTGCTGGACCGGGATCACGGAGAGCAACTGGGGCTGGACGACCTGAAGGCACGGCCTGCATGGGTGGGGCGCCTCCTGGGGGTGGTGGGTTCTTCTCTGCAGCTTTGATGATCTCGTCGCTAGGAAAGCAGTTAGTCAAATGAATGTTAAGCGACGAGTCAACAGTTACGCGCGGAATACGTACTCGAGTAAGTTTAGGGCAGCACAAAGCACAACCCATTCGACACAGTCCTCGTTTCCTTCACCTAAAGTTTGCCAAACCGCCTTCTCTTCTGGCGTCTTGCCAGTGATACTGATTCGGGTGCCACCACCGTTCGGACCGGGAGGGTTCTTTTGAATTTTCCCGAATTCTATGCGCTTTGGAGGGATATTGTGACCGGCGTAGGCGAAGTAGAACATGCTCCAAAAGGCCGCATTTGGATTGGGTTTAGAAATCTGGAATAACGGCAAGTCGGCGGAATCGGGAGACGGCAATGCAAGTTTGTAGATGGGAGATAAAACCCCAGTGTTGGTGATGGACCATTTGAGGTTACGAGAAGCCTCGCAGCGGACGACGCGGGAAGACGATGAGGATGCATGTCCTGGGTCTGAAGCCGTTGCTTTGCCTCCTCCTTGGCGTGGCGGGAAGAGCTTGGCAACGCAGAGGTCACCCTGGGGTGATGGTGTCAAGAGATAATTCTCTGTGTTCTGAAAGTGACATGTGTGAAGCAATGAGCGAATGTGGCGGAAGCGGAGAGACGCACAAAGTTGGTATGAAGGTAAGAGTACAAGATGTTCGCAGGTTGACCTGAAGCGAGAGGTATTAATAAATGTCAAGCAATATTACCGTGTCTCGACAAACCATGAGGAGTCACGATGAGAGTGGGGAGATGGTTGGGTATCGGCGGATGAGTAGGAGAAGTATAGACAGTATATATTGCTATGAAATGAATAGTGAGACTGAGTGATACGGTGGAGGTGAAGACGGGATGAGAATAGTACCGGCCATCTGCACACAGGCAGCAAGAGGTGATTGAGTTGATTCAAAGGATTGGAACTGAGAAAGAGACGAGGGGAAAAAGAAAAGAGAGGGGACTGTTGGTGGAAGGGAGATACAGCAACCGTACTTACATGGGCGCCTCCCAAACACGCTCGTGACACGGTATGTCACGCGGGAACTAGTCACGCCATGCCATGTAGCGTCACGGGTATCTGTCACGGGGGGGTAGTAGTTCCTCATCGATTCTGCGAGTGCAAAGCGTAAAGCGGGGTCATCCAGACCACTCTCCTCGCTTGTCTCTCCTTACCTTGTCCTCCTCTCATCTGCCATCTCGTATTTCTTTTGTTTCACTTAGATTCTCCTTTGCGCCATGAAGGGCCTCAAGAAGACTCTGGTCAAGCTTCATCCTCCAGTTCACTTCCAGCACGCGCCTCTGACCTCCTCTTATCCTACAGCTCCGTACGAGCAAGTCGCAAGACTCGGCTTCCTCAAAAACCAAAGAGTCTAAGACGGCTGCTGCGGCCGCTGCAGCAGCAGCAGCAGCTCCCCCTCCTCCACCTCCAAACTCTGCCAAGCCCTTACCACAACCGACTTCTGCAGCATCAACACTCAACCATCTTGCAAACACCAGTAATCACTCGCTTCCTTCTACTAATGGCTCTTATCCTTCTGCACGAACCTCTTCTGCCTCTTCTTCAGCTCCTCAACAACCCGACCGTCGATACTCGGCTCCTGAACGAGCGTCACCCGCGCCGCCTATCGTTGTAGTCAGTCCAGATGTTTCGTCCGAACATCAGGATAGGCATACGCTTAACCTCGATGGCCCCGTTACGCCTCCTCGGGCAAACACTCTCAATCGCTTGCGAACCGGTCCAAAGGACACTATCCCGATCGTGGGTAAGCCTCCGCGGAAACAACGTAGCAGTCGCTTTGTTGTCACCGAGAAGGTCGAGATTGAGAAGCTGGCACCATTCTTGGGTGAGTTCGTATGTACCCTTCCTCGCCGGAATTTTGCCGAATGTCTGGTGCAGAAACCCCTCCGGGTGAGCGGCCGCAGCTGTTTATCAAGAAGCTGCACCAATGTGCAGTTCTATTCGATTTCAACGACACCAATGCCGAACTCAAGGGGAAGCAGGTGAAAACACAAACGCTGACGGAAATGCTCGAGTACATTACCACCCAGCGTGGTGTGATTACAGACAACATATACCCCGAGGTTGTGAAGATGGTGAGTGGTATACATTGGTCCGTGGAGATAATAGTAATCAAATCCTATTCGCTGCAGTTTGCTACCAACCTTTTCCGATCAATACCCCCACCTGTCAACCCAACAGGAGATGCTTATGACCCAGAGGAAGACGAACCGGTCCTCGAGCTTGCCTGGCCGCACCTCAAGATCGTCTACGAGTTCTTCCTGCGCTTTGTCGAGAGTCCAGACTTCAACACCAACCTCGCTAAGCGGTATATCGATCAGACCTTTGTGCTCAATCTGCTAGAACTCTTCGATTCGGAAGATCCTCGAGAGCGCGATTTCCTTAAGACAACGCTCCACCGGATATACGGCAAGTTCCTCAACTTACGTGCGCCCATCCGAAGAAGCATCAACAACGTCTTTTTCCACTTTATCTACGAAACCGAACGACACAATGGTATCGCCGAGCTTCTGGAAATACTTGGTTCGATCATCAACGGATTCGCTCTTCCTCTGAAGGAGGAGCACAAAACGTTCTTGATGAGGGTCCTCATCCCGCTACACAAGGTCAAGAGCTTATCTATGTACCATCCCCAACTGGCCTATTGTGTCGTCCAATTCTTGGAGAAGGATGCTGCGCTTGCGGAGGATGTCGTCCGAGGATTGTTGAAGTTCTGGCCAAAGGTGAACTCACCAAAAGAGGTCATGTTCCTGAGTGAGATGGAGGAGGTCCTGGATGTTATTGATCCCGCAGAGTTCCAGAAGATCCAGGTACCGCTGTTCCAGCAACTCGCGCGGTGCATCAACAGTCAGCACTTCCAAGTTGCGGAACGAGCGTTGTTGTACTGGAATAACGAGTACATCGTCAATCTCATGAGCGATAATTTGGCCGTCATTCTGCCCATTGTTTTCCCTGCGCTGTACACTAACTCACGGTCACATTGGAACCGGTATGTTGAACCGTGTGATTCGTTGTGAGTGTTACTGATTTTGTTTTCATCACTTTCCGATCAGAACGATACACGCAATGGTGTACAATGCTCTCAAGCTTTTCATGGAGATCAATCCTGATCTCTTCGATGAAGCAATGCAACACTACAAACAACAGAAAATCGAGTGCGTGGTCGCATCAACCAGGTGTTATTTCCATACATTTTAGCTAACAACGTCACAGGGAACAACATCATGCCGTCGAGCGGTACGAACAATGGAAGAAAATTCGTGAGAAGGCTGTCGAGCACTCCGGTGGCAAGTTGCCTGAAGGCTTTGCGGAGACTGAGCCTCCACCTCCACCTCCTCCGGTGGACGAATCGGATATCATTGACTTGTCTATGGACCTCAATGCTGTTTCGTTAGATGCGGAGGGACCACTAGGTGAACTGGATGAGAGTGGAATTGAACGAGTACCAACGGCGGATCCAGGGCTAGACGTACGTAGTTCCCCAGATCTTCTCTAGAACCTCAAAACGGAACAATTGAATCGATTTTTTTTCTTTCTCTTTGCTTGGGTCGTCTTTTGTTTTCCAGCGATTACTTCCTGAAGTCGGGGACCATTCGCCTGGTGGGACCAACTTGCATACAAGGCGGAAAAGTACTCTGCCAGGTGCGTTAACTATTTCACATTTCTTTGTAGCCATTGTTGAAGGGTGTTTCCACTAGTGGACCCCACTGTCCTGAGGGATCTTCAAGCTCACCGAAGTCTGGATGACAACGGGGTGCCTCACTCCATGGACGGTGGACCGTAAACGCCCGCGTCTTGTTCTTTTTTTCTCCCTTGCCTGAGCCGAGCCTCTCTGCGACCCTCCGGAGTCCGAAGGCGTAGGTGCAGGCTAACATCTCAGTTGTGTGCGCGAGTGCGGACGTTTGTTTGATTGTTGTTCTGTGCATGATATACATACTTTGACGATGCTATCCACTTGTTCTCTTCCATGGTACCTCCTCCCGTACATATATTCCCTCCCACGTCCTGTCTTTTCTGTTCTTCCATCGTGGATGGTGTTCGTTAACGTCTCTTTACCCCCTCTACTATATGTGTCATTCTTAGCTTCTTTTTTCTACGCCATAGCCTAAATCTTCATTTCTGACTCCTACTCTTATATATACCCGTGGGGAGGCAGAGGCACTGGGTGCTTCTGTGCTGTTCCTGACAAGTCACAAAACCTCAAACCGAAAGTGATCAATATCGGATGGCCCATCTATGCAGAATTGTAAAGTTAGGTCGGCCCCTTGAGAACGTTCCATACTTGCAACTTTGGCGCTACTTGTGCTACGTATTTTTATCGCAGCGTTCTGCTCTGGATGATTGGAATAGCATCGTGATTGGTCGCCGAAATGGTGGAAACGGGGGTACCAGGATCGCCTACCACATGGGTGTACGTGTTATGGGATAAACAACTTCACAAGCTTCATTCCTACTTCCACGGTACCGAACGGTATCTGTACAAACCGACGATTTCCTTCTCACCACGTCTCTCCTTTTAATACAAGTCTGGTCTTGAATCTTGAATAATTGAAGCGTTGGTCGTCGGACGTGCGACCGATCGTACCGCAGTCGCACTTTGGAGCTGTCACTGTTACCGCTTGTGAAGCAAGCTTGAGCAGCTTCTACCACGTCTTATTCAGGTCCCTCTCCCCAGGACACCTCTACGCACCGAGTACTGACTCTACGCAGGGCGTATTCATCTCAAGATGATGACCCCTATGCGTTATGTGATTTTGGTACTGGGCATCATTGTACGTTTAGCCGCTTGGTCTTGTAATGTATGAACTTACACTAGCTTCGGGCTATGGCATGTTATACTGTGTAGATCAGTCTGCACTTCATCCTTAGCTTCTCACATGAAGACTACGGACGGGCGACGTCCATTTCGAATCTCAAGAACACAATCACAGGTGCTGCTTCACACCAACCTCCATACAAGGCAGGCGTACCGGAGGATTATTACTATCACTCAAATGGAACCGCACCAGGGCCGAGGGCGAATGCGGCCTTTGTGATTCTAGCTCGCAATAGTGACTTGAACGGGATTGTGTTCAGTATGAAGCAGATGGGTGGGTGTTCGTACTTTATGTTCCATTTCACGCATGTGTACTCATAGCTTGTTGTAGAGGATCGTTTCAACAAGAAGTTCCAATATCCATATGTCTTCTTGAACGATGATGATTTCAGTGACGAGTTCAAGAGGTATATTTTACTCCTGGTTAAAGCTTGTGTCAGAGAGCTTACAAACTTGGATAGACGGATAACTGCTTTGACCGACGCGAAGGTCGAGTTCGGCAAGATTCCCAGAGACCATTGGTACCAACCTGACTGGATAGATGAAGAAAAGGCATCCAAAGCACGGGATGAAATGGTTAAGGCGCAAGTCATCTATGGAGGTCCGTTCGACGTCCAACCTCATTGTATGCGTTGTTAACATCAGCTTTCCGCAGGTAGCGTACCGTAAGTCAAATATGTTCGTCAGCAGTGACGACAACCGTCCTTATGATATGCATAGGTACCGAAACATGTGTCGTTTCAACTCTGGCGTGAGTATTATCTCGTCATCTAAGGCCAACAGGAACAACTAACACCTTGTAGTTCTTCTTCCGTCATGAGTTACTGGACAAATACAAGTACTACTGGCGAATTGAGTACGTCATTTATTGCGTTGTGATAGTTTTGTTGCACATTAACTGACTGGGCTATAGACCGGATGTCAATTTCTACTGTGATCTTGACTACGATGTGAGTGTAGATCTTTTTGAGACATTTGCTCGTACTTACCGACCATATCACAGCCGTTCCTCATCATGCAAAACGAGAAGAAAGTCTACGGTAGGAAGCACCGACATGTCATAAAATGGTTATTTCCTAATTCGACTACGTTTCGCTTAGGTTTCACTGTCTCGCTTTACGAATACGAGACGACAATTCCAACGCTGTGGGATGCAGTGAAAGGTGATACTATTATCCCCAGTTGTTCATTAGTCCGTTCTGACCGTCCCCCAGAATTCATGGATGAGAACCCCGACATGCTCCAAGAAGGGAATGCTCTAGGTTTCATCTCAGATGATGCAGGAGGGACCTACAACCGCTGCCACTGTAAGTCATACATCCTATCTCTGCTCCCATGTGTTTATTCGCCAAATTCCTAATTCGTCTCCTCAGTCTGGAGTAACTTTGAGATCGGTGATTTGGACCTCTGGCGCAGCGATGCGTACATGAAGTTCTTTGAGCATCTCGACAAGAAAGGCGGATTCTACTATGAGGTATGTTGTAAACTTTCATGTAGAGATTCACCCAGGGTTCTGAAGCGTTATATTCAGCGTTGGGGAGATGCGCCGGTCCACAGCATTGGTGCAGCACTGTTCGCGAAGAAGGAGCAAATCCACTTCTTCAATGACATTGGTAAGTCACACTATTATCAATCTGCAAGATCTCGTGCTGACGGCTGTCTATCAGGATACAAGCACAACCCTTTCCAACATTGTCCCCAGGGTGACGCACACACCAAAGGAAAGTGCTGGTGCGACCCTTCAGATAACTTTGACTATCACTGGTACTCGTGTCTTGCTCGATACGATAAGATGTTCACATAACTCTCTCGTTGTTCTGCTTTTAGTTATTGATACCTTCGGACAGTTGCTTTTTTTCTTGTCTGCATTTTTGTTTCTTCTTTTCAGCATCACGAACATTGTCATAGACCATATTCCATCATGCAAAAGGACAACTGCCAAAACAGATGCGTGATATATTGCATAAGTTAGAAGATGGATTGCGAGTAGTATTGATACTATTATCGTTGAAGTTGAGTCAGTCTAATTTCCGGGAGGCTGAGCCATAGGGAAAGACGCACCGAATCATAAAGCCTCGTCCAATTAGAACCAAGTGATGTGTCGATCAATCGCTGAACATGCTCTTCGACGGCAGATTGAGTCAGACCCTGTTGGAAACGTTCCCTTAGTTGAGTGGCGGTCTGTTCACCTAAAGCGGTGAAGCAAGGTAGGGTCGAATCTGAGGAAGAATTAATCAGTGCTTCGCAAAGGTAGATTGTTCCGACATAACAGACCTTTCTGCATCAATTCAACGAGAGCTGAATTACGAGATTTCGTCAATTACAGTCGAAAGGAAGGAAGCATGGTTACTTACTGACTATCCTGTCGCAATGTTTCCGTGCAGCTTCGAACCCTTCTTTGAAGAGCCGCCTGAACTCGCGGAAAGGCACGCCATCGATCCCTCCAAGGACCTCAATGTATTCCAGAGGAAGTTTAAAGGGAGCAGCCTCGAAAGCGACGCCCCCGGGGGAGTTAGACAACATGAAGCCAAAGTCGATATGAATCAGGTGCCCATCACGGTCAAGAAGAATATTGCCATTGTGCCTATCCTTTATCTGCAGGAAGTAGGTCACCAGCGAATAACCTGAAAACCCCCCAAAATTGAGAAAGGTGAGGTAATTCACACGAAAGACAGTATGTTGCATACCTGCTAACGACTTCGCGAAGTTTCTTTGCGCTCTGGCAAACTTTGCAGAAGAGGGATCACCATATGTCTAGAAAACGCACGCTAAGATGTCTGAATGGTAAAGAAATAAGAGACAACGGACGGTCTTGAAGTGATCATACAACGTTACGTGACCCAAGCGACCGGCAGCCAAACGTCGAGCGTATTCAGCTTTCTTTATTGAATGAATCGAGACAGCATCGGTGATGGTCTCCACTAAACCAGAGGAATTGCCTGTAATGAGTATACGGAAGCTGGCAACGTGTCAATTGCACAATTCACTGACTTGAATCATCGGATACAACTTACTAACGAACCCAACATGCGCAATTCTCTTCTTTCCAGATCTTTTCGAATTGTTGGATGAGCTGCACAGCGAGTTGCTCCTGCCGTAGATCGCCGCCAGTCTTGACAATCACAGAGACGCAATCCCAGTTTGCTGAAAACATTATCAGAACGTGACGACCTCTACACGGGAAAGAACGTACCTAGATGCCCATACGGCGAAGCTTGACGTATTCGACTCTGCACATTCATATAAAGTGAGTAAACGGTAAATTCAAAACATAATCTTCCATCACCTTCTTGGCAGCCCAGGATTCACTGAAGACGACAGCGGAAGGATCCGCCTTGCTAAGCTCTCTACGAATGATACCTTCGTCTTCAGCAGTTTTCATGCTTCCACCGACATCTCCAATCCTAAGAGTGCCTTCTCCCTGACGGTTCTCACGCATTCGCTCCATTCGCTCCTCCTCTAATGCCAACATCTCGTCCATGATGCGGCTCCTGATCGCTGCTGCTTCAGCATACGCAAGTCGCATACGCATCGGAGCTGACGACGAGGGTCCGGCCTGCGGCTGGTCACGAGAAGGTTCGTTGGAACCGGAAATCCAAGAAGAATTCGGTAGCCATCGAAACGGGGATGCAGAATCAGGCGGTATTGTTGGTGTACCGGGAGGCGGCAGGGTGATTGACTCTCTTGTTAGATTGGCGTTCAGTTGTGCGAGCATCACTGCCGCAGTCCGCATCCGCTCAGAATATTCATCCAAGGAAAGTACTCGTGTCGACGATGGCCCTTCAACATTGCTAGACGTAGGCTGTTGCGTATGTGACCCATTCAACTGAGGTCCATATCCTCCCTGGCTCAAAGAACGCCCGTAACTATCGCTGGAATCTCCTTGCACAGTTGATTGCGCAAGTGAGGACGAACGTGACCATGCAGCCATATCCAATTCCCTGTTCTTTGGAGCTGGAGGAAGCACGATGCTTTCAGAAAGGTCTGCCGAACGTAACCGGATATCTTCATCGGCGCCATATAGTTGCTCAACAAGATCAATCTCTTCTTCATTGTCAGGGGACACCATTGATGACGTCGGACTCTGCGGTAAAGGAATTTCGTCGCCATCGGGTTCGTTTGGAGCAACGTCATCGCCGAAGACACCGGCATCCCTAGCAAGGGGGTGCACCGACTCGCTCATAGTGCGTGAGGTTGTCTTGGTCACCAGGGACCTTTCTCGATTGAAAGGAATCAAGTCCCGAGAGGCACCTTTCCGTTCGGTCTCCTTCTGAACAATTTTCTTCAAGATGTCCCTATTACTGCGCTTCGACGGGTCAAAATCAAGATCATCATGGAGAATTTCGATGAGAAGAAGATACGGGGCGCGCTCTGCGGAATTCAACACAACACTTTCCCCAGGAGGTATGCGCACAATGCGATGATGTGGTTCAGGGATGCCGCTAGCACGAGTTGTATCAGACGATGAGCACCACATAGGCATACAGATCTGCTGAGGTATAAGTTGGCATAATGTCTTGAACAGCTAGAGACAGACCTCAGCGGGTAACATGTGGTTTAGACCTGTCAATTCCGCTCTCAGCGCGCTCACGCGGGCGAGCTTTGGTACCACCAGGAGCTTGTTACATATGTTTTCTAGGGTTAGAAGAAACTCAACCTGCAAGAGTCGTGATTATTAACGAAATCAACGTTATTGGCTTCGTACGTACCACCGAACGGCAATAATGACTTCTGAGGAGATGAATCTGAGAGCGGGTGTCGTACCTCTGCAGAACCTCTAATGCATGTACACTACTGGTTTTCGTGGGATGTCTCGCCGATGATAACGAAGGCGTGGACTGAAATGGTGTGGTGCCCGCAACAGGGGAAGGGGGATCATATTGACCGAATGGATCTTCGGACAATCTTGGCTTGCGAGGCAGCTTGAGCCGAAGTGGTAATGCCGGACTTGTCTGAGCAGCTATTGTCTTCCGTCGTGATAGAGGTCCTTTTGAGGGTATCGAATAATTTACGTCAAAGTCGTAGTCGTTAGGCGATGAGGTGGGTGCCTCCTCGTCTGTCTGGTGTGGAGGAGCCAAATCATCTGCATCGTCGTCAGGTTCTCTGGGCATACTCTCGCGGTAAGGGGAACCCGTTGGATCGTTCACAAAGTCTGGAAGTCTATTGTCGTCGGGATAGTCTATTCGCCCTTGCTCCACCGCGACTTCGCCCATTATATTGGTTAACATGGGCATAGCAGGAGCACCTGCCAATACCATACCGATCCCAACCAGTGTCGGATGTATATGAGGGTTTACCTTCTTACGAATCATTCCGGGAAGTACAAGCTGGTTGAGAACGCCATAGGGTGCGGTGGACACAGCAAGGTCACCGAATATAATCTCGTGGCATTGGTTCAAAACACGTTGACAGATGAGGAAAGGTTCTGTGTCGTGTCGAGCAAGCGCAATATCTTTCAAGGCTGCTTGCATATACCATAACGTCTGGGAAGGGTATGTGAGGCTATATGAGACGAACCGCCATGACGGGCTTACTAGCATCGCGACATGAGTTGACTTCTGAGAAGTCTCGACGACGAAGCATTCCAGAGCCCTGGATTTGGACGGCCTGGTGACAAGCAGGTGGCTGAGATTCACGCAGAATTAACATACAACGCAACGAGAGAGAAGACACTTGCGTTCACCATATGAAACCCCAGACTTCGCGTAACTCTTCCACCTGTAGCCCTCGCAATCTGCGTGTGAGATAATAGGTTATTCCGATATTATCCGCATAAGTTCGAAGATATTGTAATGCGACATGGACAGTGAAGAATGACGGAGACAGAAACAGACGAAGGAGTAGCGCATGGGACATGTTGTTCAGCCCGTGAAGTACAATATATGCATTTATAGGAGGATGGCCAGAGGGATAGAGGAAGCAGGGTACAGTCACCGACGAACGGTGACTGTTGCAGTATAACTTCCCAAGACGCGAGGGCTGCTCACACCATAGCAAGCGCGCTCGATCATCAACTTTGGCAAACGCGCTCATGAACGTTATTCCAGTTCGAACTTCGGTCAATTGATTCCGCTACAGAGATAGAACTACCTGTACATAACTGGGTATCATACATTCAACCTATAGATACAGACTTTCGTACTGGGATACATAGTTATCTTCATGCGAGATCTGATTACAAGAAATAGAGGGATTTCTGGCTCCTGCCTCTCTTGAAGACGGTTTGCCATTGCTCGAGATTGAAGTCTTGATTGCTGGTGTTCGTACTACTATCGTCGTCAAGATTCGCGACTTCATCAGGGCTGAAGTGATAATCAGCATGCCCACACAGCAGCTGGTAAACAGAGTGAGAAACAGGTCGGGGAACAGCGAAGAGAGAAAACGCACATCAGCATCTAGTGAGCCGAAGATGAGTCTACGTTAGCACAGAACAGAATATCAGGAATTACGTCACATACAATAGACGGGGGTGGGAATGGAAACTGAACGAGTAGCAGCCGCATAGGAGTGACAGAGATTGAACGATAGTTCTTGCAACCTGGAGACGACAGGTCAGATATATGCACCAAGTACATGGAATTCTACGCAACAGTTCTGTACGTACTGTTGTTGTGTCATTTGAGCATCGTTCCTCAGGACGATATAATGACTAGGACGACTTGCTGGAGGGCTGTAAGCACAGAAATGATAACTCGACAAAACAAAAATATCTTACTTCCAATGATGCCGGAATGAGACAGCAGATAGTAGTCTGGAATTGCGGAGTGTACAATCTGGTCTTCGACTACAAATCCTGGAGGGCAGTTGCCAGACCTGTCACCAGCACTGAAGATAACACATTCAGCTTGTGGAAGAGATACAAAACTAAAGAATGACGCACCCTCTCTCTGGGAAGAAGCGAGTATGGTGTCTAATAACATATGTCAATCTTGACAGTGAAGTCTGATGTTAGTGCCTCTTACCGCTTGGTCACAATAATGAAAACAACCTTGGTATTTCGTGTTATCTCCTTGCTTTGGAGCACTCCTATCATACTGTTAGTCACTACAGAGGACATAAACTAAACATAGAACCTACTCTTGATCTGATCATATTCTGCAGCAGCTACAGTCTCATACTCTCCTTCAGAGACACCATCCCTATACACAATGACAGTGTGAGGACAACGGCCCTGATTCTCTGGAAATGCAACAAATGCATTTAGCAGAGTCTGACAAGAAGATGGTTAAGCTGCTGATGGACTCAGTCAGTAACTGTGTACATACCTGAAACATGGGCCCAATAGCCTCAATGATCTCTTGTCTGGGTTTCTGAAGCTCAATTGCAGAGGTCCAATATGAAGCAAACCTATCAACAGAGGCAACCATGCTTGCAAAGGAGGGTCTATTATTGACACCAGGGGCAGGATGGCTGACATCACATCCTATAAGATGTGGTTAAAGAGTTAAAATAATGGCAGCTGATCAAAATCATACCAATGATCATTGTACCCATTAACTTGTCCATGATGGGAGCATAAACCACACTGTTGATTCCACCATATTTGGCATGCATCCTAAGAGTGTGTTAATACATTACAAGATATTGAAGAAGAAGAGCTTACTTCAAAGCAACATTGTTGCAGTACTGATCTAAACCCTTGCCACTGTCATATTTGCCCTTTCTCTATTCAATTCTAATCAGTACTCTGATCCATACTACAGTGTAAAATGTAGTCTTACCACACATTGAGTAGGTATGCCCGAGATGACACTACTCCAGAACTTGATATATCTTCTAGGTATAGCAGCTGAAGCTGGTAAGATCACAAGAACAAAGCCAGGTTGCATCTTGTGAACTTCTTCCAATGTCTGAAGAATGAGAATCAGTCTTTGGTTTGGTCATATGTGGTAAAGTATTTGCCAAATCACCTTTCTCATATTCTGAAGATTAGCAATATGAAAATAAGGTGCACCCCCAGCTGCAATATGCCACTGTTAATGTATACAGCAGTGGTTGTTAAATCAGTAGCACTGACCATAGCTTCCTAAGGGTACAATGTTTGCAATGAGATAAAGCTTCAGTTTGTAGAGTATAACACATACCCAGCTTTGTGAGATTACCAACCAGAGCTTTGGTGAAGTACTCCACTGCCTGTCTCTCACTTGGATCAACACAGACAAGCACCATCAGCTTGTCAATTTTCTTTGGAGTAAGAAACTGTCTGCCCATGACATTCCAGGCACCATTGTTGATTGGCTGAAGTTTAGAGTAACACATAAGACAAGGACACATGCTGTGAACAAGCAATGTGATGACTTACTGAAGCTTGCCTTCCACCAAATAGAACTTGTGGAGGGGTCAAGACATGACCTTCTACTTCAAGTGGCCTTGTAGAAATCACCATGCCAGCAGTAGCCAAGAAGTCAGATTGTTGATAGTCAAGCAGTTGTCTCTAAGAATGCAGTGAGTAAAGGGTCACTTCAAATGAGATTCATGGGCATACATCACCAGAAACAGCAGACTCAATACTACCCAAGCGCTGATGTGGTTTCTGAACAGCCAGACTGACAAAACTCTTTGTCTGATCTTCTGAAAGCTTCTTCTTGTAAAGTTGTCCAGGGGTGATAGTACAGACCTCAGCTGGAAACACAGCATCCTTGCCTATCTGAATGCCAAACACTGTGGAGTATCGCAATGCAAAGTTGTACTTCTGTTGGAAATATTGCTATCACAAACACCAGGTCAGAATTTTGTATGCAGAAATGTTACCAGTGTGAAGTCACCTACCCTCACAGTTGTGGGCTGCCCATTCACATGAAACTCATATCCACCTGCATTGGGTATGAGTGCCCTGATAGGCCTTCCTTTACTCCACTTGGCAAATTGGGACCCAGGTTTAATAAGGACCCCCTTCAAGAAGCGCTGCAGCTTGAGCCATCTTTGGGGGTTGGGATCGGTAGGAAGTGCTGCAAGATCCCGAATGTCCCTAAAGTTACAGAACTCCATGGCGACATCAAGGAGAGGACCGGCTTTAACACTGACTTGGTGATTAGTATTGGAGGATTTAAGTTGGATGTATGAATACGTACACTGCAGAATGAGTTACATCGACATTGACCAACAGTCTTCCTAACACAGGTCTAACACTCCTAAAGTTATATGGTCAGATGCCGATAAAGGGACAAAGTGAGATCAAGGACGTACTGGAAGTAGCCTCTCCAGGCTTGAAGGCCTCCGCCCAGCTCCTTAGCACCGTCCTTTGTGAAGAAAGACTTGGCTTGGAGAGGGAAACCATGCCGCCTGTGGAAGAACAAGAGCTTAGCTCGATAACGGATGACAACATTAGTAACTCGTACATATTGGCAGCTTGCCTCACAATCAATTGCAAAGCATTGATTGCGGCTTGATTCTGATCCCCTCCTTGCCGGTAGGCTCTACCATTCGAAGAGACCATGTCATTCAGCGTGCTATAATGGTAGGCATGTACGTCAATGAAGCGTGACGGAAAGAATGTTAGTGGTTGGAAGGCACACTTCGAGTCAATATAGGTGGTATTCGTAAGTCTAACTATGTATGGCGTCTTATCACTTTTATTAAGCTGCACAGGGATCTGAGAGCCCGGGATGTCAGGGCAAAGCTCGCAGCGCACAGCGATGTACATACAGTCATATTCTCAACTTTGTAACCGATTGTATAGAATATATTCTTGCCATCGTACATTCCACGTCGAGGGAAAATGTTGGCATTCGTCAGTTGCATTTTATCGATAATTTCGCTACGTCTCCGAGGATTGTCTGGCTTGAGAGTAGGAGAGATAACTATCGTCTACTGGTTGAGCCGTAAATCGAGTAACTTCACAGATATTACCTACCAACTGTAATAAGAAATAAGTTTTAGGCAGCCGAAGGAGAAAGGATGGTGGATTGGAACGGGCCAAACGCACCATCGTACTGGAAGAGTACGACTGTAGGTACTCTGGTGACCGCGAAACTGTTTGTTATGACCCTCATACGAGTCCTTCCACTTGGCCTCGGTTGCGACTGCATGGCGAGAGGACTGTGTTAGATACTGGGATGTGGATGATAATTGAGAGAGGGAGAGGACAAAGAAAGGAAAGGGAATATCGCTGCCAGTCGTTCTTACCATGCCTTCTCATCTGGGAAAGATCACTGTGCACATGAGCGCCGGGACTGCGATCGGTGCGGCCACGACAGCAGAGCTTCCCAACTTCATCCATGTTCCTCCTACCGCTACTCGTTCTCTTCCTTCCGTTCTGTCTCGCTCTCGCAAAGGACCCTCGCGAGGAGCTCATCAGACTAGCGGCTGCCAACAATGGCGTCATTAAGCTCGATGAACGAACCTACGATCTCCTGACCAGTTCAAAGCGTAACTGGTCTGCAGCGATTCAATTCACTGCCTTGGACAAGAGGCGAAGATGCGCACCATGCAAGTAAGCCTACGAATATACGTCTTTGGCATCACTCCAACACTACTGTCTATTCAGAGAATTCGATCCTGCTTTCAATGAGGTTGCAAAGGCCTGGCAAAAGGTTCCCGCTGCAGAACGCGACTCACACTTCTTTGGCACATTGGATTTCGATGATGGGGTGAAGGTCTTCCAGAAGGTACATCCACCGTCCCGTGTCTCTGTCTCAATTCATTGTATCTTAAATCTTTCATTAGCTCGGGATGCAATCAGCTCCCGCTGTCCATGTGTACCCCGCTACAGAAGGCCCCCGTAGACCTGCAAGTGGACGAGTGTCCCCTTCGACTTATGACTTCAGCTTGTAGGTAGCGGAACTTATCAACGAGACACCTAACTGACGTCTTGTCTGACATTTAGTGGTTTCGAGGCCGGACCTCTAGCGGAGTCTCTGTCCCATCACACGCCCGTACCTATTCCGTACCAAGCACCCATTGACTGGGCTCGCTGGGGAGCAATGACAGGCATTACACTTATAGCCGCCGCAACCTTACGTTTCATTTACCCCGTCCTGAAATCACGATGGACTTGGGCCGCCGGCACCATTTTGACGTCTCTCGTGATGACGTCCGGTTACATGTTTACTCGAATTCGTGGTACTCCCATGAGCGGACCCAATGGGCAGTGGATCGCTCCAGGATATCAGAACCAATTTGGTCAAGAAACTCAGGTGGTTGCGATGATATGTACGTAGTATCATGCTACCTTGCTTTGTGCGATGTGCTTATATATCGTCTCATATAGATGGGCTTCTGGCGTCAGCCTTTCTCATGCTCACCATCGTCACTCCTTACACGTCTTCACCAAAGCGTCAGAGAGCGCAGGTTTACTTGTGGTCGATCGTCATATTTATCATGTACTCTGTCCTCCTGTCACTCTTCAGAGTGAAGAACAGAGGTAAGTCTTCCTATCGCTCTCTATTACCCGTATCAAACCATGAACTCACTTTGCCCAGGCTACCCATTCAAACTCTTATTGTAAATGTAGATATTCCCAATATTCCCCATCGGGACCTGGACATTTATAATTGCATATCATTTTGGCGTGATCGCATCACTACTGAGAGATCAAATTCCAAACCAAATCCAAGTGTATACTGCAAGTTGAAGGTAAAAGCGGCAATGCGAATAGATACAATAATGACAAAAGTTGTCCAAATGCGAGCAGTAACATAAGAAAATCTACGTTCAAGCTGCACCTTGCTGCTGGAACACGTCTACATAGCGATTCCGAATGTTCCGTTTCGTTTGCGCTTTCAGTCGAGCGCTGGGTGGGCCGTTCAACCCAGGTGTCAGTGGACCAGCCATCGGTGTCAATGGTGACATCGTGGACGCAGCAGGAGTTGTAGGTGCCGAAGCGGTCTCCACAGGGACAAGATTTGAGCGTACGCGCATCGGAGGCTTCTTTGGAGGTTCGCTCAGATCTATTGCGGTAGCTGGTCTGGCAGGAGGTGGAGGTCCTGGCGAAGGACCATGTTGGACTCTCGAATTGGCGGTTCCTGGTGATGTCGTTTGTGACCGAGGTGGAGGTGGAGGAGGAGATGGCTTCGCAGCTTCCGCACCAGCCTATGATGGAAAAAGTTAGAATAACAGCACAAAGAACATAAGTTCGAAAATACCAACATTCTTATTGACCCAACGCTTCAGGTCCTTGTCGTAATAGAACGTAGTTTGGTCGCCAAGATTGGCCTTGATGGGAGCTGGTGTATCACCACGTCGCCATAAGCGACTTAACCATCCACCTGAAGCCGTCTGTTTGATGTCTATTATAATGGTGAATACTTCAGCGTAGCCAGGGTTGAAAAAATTACTCACCAGGCCTCTCTTCAGATTTTGCAGGCTCTTCCTTCGTTGTTTCGGCCGTTGAAGGTGTGGATTTCTGCAAATCACTTTTCTCACTTGGCTTCGACTTACGGGAAGTGCTCAGACCAAGGTCGTCCTCTTCGTCCCAACCAGCATCACTAGATGTCGAGGGGGTTCTACCCAAAGAACTAGGTGCAGGTGACGGGGTAAGTGCAAGTGCAGGATCGTCCATGAGAGAAATGAAACCCTCGGAAGACGCCAGGATCGTAGTCTCCGTCTTGATGAATGACGTTGCTGTAGGTGTTGGAACTGCAGAGTCAGAAGCACTCCAACCCCAGCCTGTGTGCGAGCTAGACGGTGTTTCCGGAGACAACTCCTCTTGCAAATGTAACTCTGTCATCCTGGAACCCGATTGAATCTGATTGGTCTTCGGCGTTCCTCCATTCAACCCTAAGTAACTGTCATGGAGAGGGAACGAAGGAGCACTAGGGAAAGTGGCGGTAGTCGCACTCGCCGACGACACTCTTGGGACTGGAGATGCTTTCCGTCGAATATAATCCATAGCCGAGGATGATCGGTTTATAGGTACGTGTGCACCAGCGGATGAACGAAGAGCCATCGCAGAACCAGTACGATACGGCGGGGTGGGAGGTATCTCGGTGAGATCGGTAGTAGACCGCTGAGGCGAGGGAATCGTTGAGCTAGTCGCGGACGATATCGTACTATAGTGAGCGAATGGACCGCCAATTGCACGGTCTCTAGCCCTCGGATCCTCTGTGAGTGGAGAATCAGCTTCCCCTGCGATGAAGCTCGTCAATCGACCCTCCAGCCAATTGCCGAGCTTGTCCAAACTAGGTTTGGCCATCTTCGAAGTGATCCAAGAGCCCGATTTGTCACCGTGGGGAGCAGCAACGAGCCTCTCTTCGAGTCCCTTGAGTTGCTGAACTAATACAGTATGAATATAGGGCGACGAGCGACCGACTGACTGCGATATCGCTTCGCAGTATCTATAACCTCGATTAAACTCAACGTTCAATAAGTGAGAATGCATACACACCTGTTAGCCAGTTGGTCATGTCCCATCTCTGCAAGAGACGTGGCGCGAATCAATCTATACGCCTGTAGATGAGGTAGGCCGGCAAAGGCTTCTTGACCCTTGGTCTGAGGTGTCAGTGACAGAGCAAATTCGACTATTTCCGAAAAGAGAATCGCGTCTGAATCCTTCCAGAAGTTCGGCACCGTCGCAGGATTCGCACTAATTAGATGGACCCTACAAGAAGGTACGCCAACACCGCCGAATGGAGAAGTTTGAGGCGAAAGGAGGTAGCTTAGAGAGGACATTGCATTAGCTTCAAGGTGCCAGAACGAAAGTAATGAAGCATACCAAGAGTGCGCTGCCTCTGTCCAACCGTTCGCAGCAAGCTGGTCACCCAGAGCGGTTAATGCAGCGGAGGTTTCGCTCGAGAGAGGACTTGAAATCATCATTGATGCAGTCTCCGGCCACCTGGAGAGTATTTCCAGAGGAATAGGCCCTGTTGCAACGGGCTTAGGGAAATTCGGTGTCATTGGTGTGATAGTTGGACCTTGCGATTGAGGTGGTTGCAGTGACTGCACTGGTTGAAGTGTTTGCATAGAATGTAAACCGTTGACTAAAAGCTTAGGTGGCAGAAGCTCCTGGACTAATAATCAAAACATATAAGCACATCGCAGGAAGCGCAAAGACATCGCCGAGGTAACGAACCTGATGCAGCACCTTGTCCTGCGAAGAGACTGTACGCTACTTTCAACGATTCCCGTCCGTTCAATGCCGAAGACTTTGCATCCACTCCGTTGACGCCTGGCGCGCTCGTCAATTCCGTCCGGACGAACTCGCTCACAACCTCCTTCCATGCTTCTTTGTCAACACTGCTGGCGATTACCATTGCGTGAGCCCACAATTTCTCGTCAGCAGCGTATTGAAAAGCAGCGCGGCGTTCACCTCGGATTAGAAGGTCGTGAATTCGGTCAAGATTGGAGGACCTCAAAGCGTGTACAGCTACCGTGGCATCACTCGAGTCCTGGGAGAGGGAGCCAAGACCAGGATACGATGCTGATGGTAGATCAGCCAGACCCGGATGAGAATCACCAACTCGAGGGAAACCAAGCGAAACGGCAGTCTTGAGTCCATCTGTTGAGACATCTGTAGTCGATATATACGGAACGAGAGCAGCCCGAACCGCCGCATCAATTTGTGAGCTAGAGAATAAGGTAAACTAGAGGTCCGACGTTCCAACAAATGTAACCATACCTGCCCGACAGACGACCGTCATTCTCAACCATGATTCTCAAGAGCTTGATCAAAACCTGTTTGGCTTCCGCTTGTTTGCCTTCTGCGTCCCCATGCTGCAAATAACCAATGCCCTGAGATATCTCCTCTGCCCTGTCTTCAAGGTATTTGATGACCCGAGCTTTCTTTGCTTTTGTCTGTGCGGCCGCTCCTGTTCCAATGATACTCGTCGATGGCGTACCTGGATCACAGAACAACGGGCCCGGAAACTGTGCGGAAGATGCATTGAAAGCAGATTCCGGGATCACGTCGTGCAGTATACGGAGGTGGACGTCTGTGGAAGGTCGAGACGATAGTGCAACGTCAAATCCGGTATTCAGGGATGACGAGCCGTGAAAACATGTAACAAGTTTACCACCGAAACCGAAGCTCACTACGGGTACACGCGCCGACGCCCTCCCGAGAGGATCATTCGTGCCCAGTAACGACGGAGAAGGCGCATACGGTGCGCGAGATGCTGCAGACAGAACCTGACTTCCATAAGGAGCCGTGAGGGAATGGTCCACTGAAGGAGGTCGCAAGGACGGGCCATGCAGAGTCTCGTCCATCGACTGTTGGCGAGAGTGCGAATAGAGAGAGGGTGCATATGGATCTCTTACGGAGGAAGCAACCGAGAGCAGAGAAGCATTTGACATGGATCTATCCCGAGCAGCGGAAGAGTCTGAAGCGCTACTTGGAGCGTACTGGCCATAGACATTCCTGCCTGTGAACGAACGAGTTGACATAACAGAAGGAGAGCGAGTCCTTTGAGTGTGCGGGATGATGGGTGGATCGTACATGCTTCGTGAAGGCGCTGGCTGACTACTTTCTTCTGGTTGCGGAGGAGGGGAAACCACAAGATTTTGCCGCTTCCCACTCGCCCAAGAGCGCACTGAAGCGCTTCCAGGAGATTTTGTGCGCACGGGTGATAGGTCGCGTGAGGGAGGAGAGTGCCCAAAGCCGTTGCTCACTGGATGGTACGATGGAATAGGTGGTGATGATGGTTTTGCCCCGCTGCTACTTTCTGCTAGAGCGCTTCTAGGCCGAATAGCTTCCATCCACTTACTATCCGCACCTGACGAAAAGTCCGCTGACGTCTCGCGGTGAGCATCATCACTCTGTGGTGCTGCATTCTCGATGGGAGGAGTCGTTAATTGAGCAAGGTTTGCTTCGTCATTGGCGTGAAATAGCTCGTTGACAGCTTGGGTTACAGGCGAGTGATTGCTTTCCACTGTGTTTGGTGGCTGAGAATATGGTGCAGATGGTGCAACAAAGGGTGCATATCCAGCTGGAGGAGAGCGTTCAGACGGTTTATATGTGGATGGTTCGACCGAATGATTAGCTGAAGGCTGAATCCATTGTGAAGAAGCAGGCGAATACACATTAGTGGATGGAACATCTTTTTGGGAGGATAGGGTATCATAATGATCAGACGGTGGTCCAGGAGCTGGAGGTGTTGTAACATGAGGAGTTATTTGAGCGTAAGCGTTAGCTGCATATTGAGGTGCGACCGCCGACTGAGTAGGAGGTGAGGTATGCTGTCTGACTACAGTCCGAGGCGGAGGCGGTGGTGATAAAATGGGTTGCACGCCCGTATTCGGCAGAGCGTATGACGTCTGCATACTGGGGGATGTCTGTGTTTGCCATGCATGTGTGCGCTTGGAAGGTTTCGGAGGCGGAAGAGGAGGGTCATATGCGTTCCTGGTCTTGGGTCGGTACGCGGACGCTGACGGTAGAGGCGGAGGGACGTCCGCTGTAAAGGATGTCTGAGGGGTTGTCCCCGTCGGCGGAGCATACTGAACAGGAGCGTCTACAGGACGTTGGGGATTCTGGGGGGCGTAGGCCTGAGCTGGCTTGTATGGATCGTACGTTGGATGGGAAGCAGAACCTGGGCTGGGTTGAGTAGGGGCATAAGCATCGTATGTCGTGGATCCTTGAGTGGGAGCTGGAGGCTGGTACGCAGCCGGCGCAGGATTATATGAGTACTGAGATGGCTCATAAGAATTGGTGTATTGTCCCGAGTTATGGTAGATGCCATTTACTATGAGACGTCAGGTCTGGAGTAGACGTGGTCAACAAGACATGGTCTCACCTGAATGGTTCGCTTGCGCAGGCTCATACGAAGAATAACCACCCTGCTGTCCATTAACTACGCCACCATAAGTCTGCTGAACGTGAGAGGAGACGCCGCTATCCGCGGCAGGAGCTGCAGCATAATCGTACGATGAATGGGCAACAGTACCCGAGCCCTGAGGGTTGGCGTAACCTGTCGTTCCGTTCGTGGCACCGACAGCTGTAGCATAGTCTCCAAAGCCAGTGGAGGTGTTCGAACCGAAGAAACCAGCAGCAGAGTCATAGTTTTGTCCAGAAAAGAGCTCGCTGCCAGTCTGGAGGTCTGGTGGGTTTGCATCATCTGCCAGGGTGGCTGCAAATGGGTCATTTGCCGTATCCGTTGTTCCGAACAACGATGCCGCCTCCTCTACCACGCTCATTGTAGAGTCCTAAGTCTATGAACGAGCCAGAGTGATGAGTGGTTATAAGTAAGGTCGGAGAACAAGCAAAGGTGGAGGTGGAAGCGAGACTGACGAGCGTCGAGCGGTATTTGGCCACGTTTGACTAAATTACACCTTCACACGGATCGCGCTTCGAGACACTTTCAAACGTAACTGCAATGACCACATCGCGCCTCCCTCGAGCCACGGAACACAAAATACTTCACTTCTGGTTCCAATTATTTTACCCCTGAAGAATATTTTGTGCACCAGGTCAAAGCCAGTACGGCTTACACATCTCTGAGCGCAAATCGACATGTATTAGAGCAAGATAACAAGAAGGTATACGAAATGGGATGGGTGAATTAGACTGAACGAATGAGACCGGTGAAAATGACTAAAAGGATAGTTTGAATAAGCTTGACAGCACTGAATCAACTATAGACAAGTCCAAGATGCAAGTATCCTACCAGTGAAGTTAGGAAACACTACAAGCAACGGGATAGAATGCAAACGAATCAACTTTAGAGCAAATGCGAAAGCAATGTAGAATACGAGGATGCGATGTGAGTGGAGACCAGAGTACCAAAATTAGTATGCAACTATAAAGACCTTAGTTTGAAGTGTTTGGTTGAATAGGAGCAGTATTAGAGTTTTCCGACGGTGTTTCCTGAACCTGAGAGCACTTTTCGAGCAGCCGCTCAACTGTGAAGGTGTGAGTATCGCAAATAACCAAGAGTAGATTTCATGCACATACTTGCAAGTAAATGTTTGCTGAAGTGACTAGTTTGTTTGCGCAACTGCATAAGCTGTGGTTTGACCTTGCCTACAAGCTGTTCCTTTTGATCACCTTCGACTACCGATAAAGCACGCTGCAGCACGTAGTCTAGGCAAAGAAGAAATATCAGAACACTTCCATAGAGCGGGACTAATACAGTTGCTTAGTTGCTTACTGGCATACTGATCGCGCATCATCATCATGACGTTATTGGCGCCCTCATGTTTAGGTGTGACAATTTCGTCGATCAGAGCGCGACGCATCTCGGGAGTTGAAGTTATCAATGCTTTCTCGCAAACGTTGGAGGCAAACTTGTGTCGAGCCATCGCAAGTAAGTGACCCTGTAGCTTCGCGACGATCAGCTCATTGTCTTGTGGTTGGCCGTGTTCGAGAACGTATTGAACGACGTAGTTCTATCCAAGCAATCAGTACATTGACTGGACTGGATCTGCACAACAGAAGACGTACCCCGAACTGATCCTGCATTAGAGCAACCGAGTGTTCCAACATTTCGTCGAGCAATGGGCGCGTGTGTTCGACAGGCATATTCTCAAGACAACGTTGGAGAACACGGCAACCGAATGGATGCGTAGCTAGTTCCAACACATGGCCTCGGAAAGCATTGACGAAAGGCAGGCGTTCCGGTGCAACAACTTGGACCATTTTTTGGATCACCTGAAGATGCGATTAAAATACAGCCTATCCAGAATCAAATGTAACTTACATGATTACCGTTGGCATCTTTGACGAGTTTGAGGACATGGCTTTCAAGTTCGTTCACAAACGCACTTTGTTGCTCGGGCGAAACGAGTTCGACAGCCTGACACAAGAAGTGGTTGATCGATTAGATCGACCCCATGATCGAGATCAGACACCAGGAGAACGTACCTTTTGAACCACGCGACATCCATACACATGCAGAGATAGCGCAAGGATGTTATTCTCCATTGCAGCCACAAGCTGAGCCTGCTGATCAAGTGTTCCAAACTCAAAGAGCTTCTGAATAACCTGGCAATTTTGTGGCCTCAGTATCTGTATCGATGTGTGCGGTGAAAACAGCTAGTTTGAAAGCTCACATAGTTGCCAAACACATCTTGAATCAACCGTGCCGTATGCGCAGGAACAATCTCGTCAAAGACAAGCTGCTTTTCCTCGTCTGTGGCAGACTCCAACTTTGTCTGGATGAACCTCGAGCCGTGCTGATCCCTGCTAAACTCCACAATATGCCCGAGAAGATTCTGACCAACGGAACGATCAGTATATTCAACGGATGGATGAGTCATGTAAGAATATACCTTCAGCTCCCAGACCTTCGTCCTGTCTGAGCGGAATTCCTCTAGAAGGGCGCTGCGCTGGACATTGCTCTCTTCGTGATGGTGGTAACGATGGCCTCCGCGTTTACCCCGCTGGGCATGAGCATTGCCAGTAACGAAGGGGTTACTCATAGCATGGCCGAACACGGCGGGAGAAACTATATGAGAAAGCTGAGTATAGTCAAGAGGAGGAACGAACACGTGATGCTGAGCGGGCGACGGAGGTATATTAGCATACGGAAGACCCTGTGAACCCAACGACCGTAAGAAAAGGTAAAACGTATTCCATGAGCTGGAATTTTCCGTTAGACACACCTGAACATCTCGAGCGCTCTCCGGCGGTCCTTGGGATACCGCAACTGAGGTGCGCGTGTGGGCAGGGTGGTACATTAGATGTGGTGGATAATAATATTGTGAATGTGCCCTAGTCATTGCAGAAAAGTCGTAGAGAAGACTAACTTGCTGCCCTGGGTGGATGTCGCTCTGAGGCCCCATGCCGGGATATACACCAGCTGCAGGAGTGGCTGCACTCAAAGCAGGAGAAGATGCATACAGAGTAGGATCAGGCGTCGTGCGGTAGGCATCGTAGGAGTATGAAGGGCTAGGATAGTATGCAGAATAATCAGGCTGTGGGAAACTATTGTAAGCCGGCCGCGCCTGCTGCCCTGAAACGATCGTGTGCATTGCGGGTACTGGAGGCTGTGAAGGATGACCAGCGTGGCTGGACAGATGAGTACTCGCAGCCGGCAATCCACGCTGTTGAGAAAAAGCATACTCCTCTTCGATGGCCATCCCGCGCATGGCTGCGGAGAAACCGTCATCAACCCCTTGCAGAGAGGTGTAGGTACCACCGGGGCTGCGTGCTTGTAACATTTGTTGCTGACTGTTGTACGAAGAGTGTGAAGCATCGTAGGGTCCCCGTGCTGGAGACGTAGTCGCATATTTCGGACCAGCGGCTGGGTCTCTTGCGTCACCAAATCTCTGTGACGCGTACTGGCCAGGGTTGGGCAGACCAGAAGAGGGCACGTCCAAAGCCGTTGACTGCGCTGGCGCGGTTTGTCGCTGTCTAGCGTGTTGGTAGGACGCTTGATCCTGGGCAATGGTGAATCGCCACATCACAAGTGTAATTCGGAAACGCTCAACATACCAAGGATAAATCTGACCGTTGAGGACTGCTGCCCATCTCGTCCCAGGATGCACTGATACTGCGTGGTGCATTCCAGCTGTCATCTCTTACAGGTCGGTAGCCACTCCCCTGGTTGAGGATCGAGGAATCTGGTAAACTCGTCGCTGAAGAAGCAGAAGGGTTTCGAGAGGTCGGCTTATTGCCCCACATCTGCTATTCGACTTTAGTTATGTTCTACCAACGCAGCACACGAGTCGCACCTGCCAACCAGAATTCGTAGATTTCCGCGCGCCAGTCGATCCCATGCCAACGCCTAAGAATCGAGGACTGGACGATAGGTCCCTTAGAGGTTGAACCTAATAAAACTGCTAGTCAGACATGTGACATGAACCAAAACACGAGAGCGCCGTTACATTTGGTGAACTCAAATTAGAGTGGGCCGCAGAATGAGTGGACGAACCCGAAGGCTTCCTCGAAGAATCGTGATTAGTAGTCGACATAGTGATCCCGGTCTAAATCTAAAGCACATTGTCAATTGGATCCAGACTCATTGCTGAAGATGATATGCAGTAGTGGCTCACCTATGAAACTTGAATAGTTGAGGGTAGAGTGGTTGTTCCGCGACGACAAGTATGAATCACCAGTGCTATAGGATTAACTACACTGACAACGTGTATCAGCAAGACAACAACAAGAGCAACGCGGAGCAAGAGAGTTGAAAAGTCGAAGGTTATACGTCAAAGACCCTGCGGGTAAAGGCACAAGTCAACTCCGCGACAGACGCAGGACTCACAAATTAGTAAGAAACCGGTACAAAGATCCACAATAAGAGTTTGTGAAGTGCTTTCTAAAGGAACAGCAGAGGAAAAAAGGAGAGAAAAAGAGAGGAAACCGACAGCCTCTGCCAGACGGCGAGAGAGCAACGCAGGCAGGGCTTGAACGCGTCGGGACCAAGAGTTGGGTCAAATCATTACGCCACGTGTAACGTTCTTCGTATCGACTTGCCATTGTGCTGGACCTCGCTTGCCCGTTTGGGGAATATGGATCATAGCTTCAATCACTTCCGCCGAGGCGACAACCCCGATCACCTTCGAGTTTCAGGAACTTTTGCATCCGCGCGTCGCTATGTTGGCGTTGTTCACCGCAGGGCATATAACTTCCCCCCTGTGGCGAGGAATCATGCCACATATTGCCCACAGCGAGGACGAGCTGCTGAACGACATGCTCAACGTACTCACCGGATGCCGACCACCGGACGGCGACCTGTATCATATTAGGCTTCACTGCCGCCGTTACCTAGCGCAATATTAATGACACAGATATTTCCCCGACATCGCTTAGCACAGTTAGTCGCGACTGGTCCAATCATCTTGCGGCCGAGAATGTGCCCATCTTCGCTAAGCGGACTCGGGCCGCGGGGTGCTTGCTGACTGGATCACTTGCGCCTGAGGACTGGAGCATCGAGCCGCCTGTGTTCGACCAATACTCCAGTGTCCAAAGAGATGTATTAAGAGCAGCGGTGAACAGCGGATGTAATGCAAAACATACAAGCAAATGCGACGGGTGTGTGGTATTAATGGAGAAATAAAATCTAGCAATCTGGTTCATGTCATCTTCACCGTGAGTTGAAGAACCACGACGCTCGTTTCGCTGTAGATATGTGATCAGTGAAAGAATGCATGTAGTAAGGATAACGGGCCTACATCCGGAGCTATTAGAGTTACATTAACGCAACGATAAATCAGCTGTTCCTGTACTGGCGTAGAAACGTGGACTAACCCTTCTTCGTTCTGTAACCGCGCAAGGGGATTTGCGGATCCGGAGCTCACAGAGGATGAGTTGGGGCTGGTATTGACAACGGATGCGTTGGCCCCTCCACCACCTCGCAAAGGCTTCGCAATTCGCCCAAAGCTCAAAGGGGATGAAGCGGCCTTTTGTGCTACACACACCAAGAAAACTTTCAGGAAACCGACACTGGTGTGTGAAGAGAGGAAACGAACCGCGAGCCTGTTCCAACCGCTCCTTCACAGCTTGCAGTTGCGCCTCGAATTTCTGATTCTGAACTGCTAGTCTGCGGTCCGCATCTTGCAGCAGTGCTTCTAAGTTCTGGATGCGTTCATTTCTTGCAAGCAGCTTACGCTCAGCGATGCCTGCCTCTTTCTTCAGAGCGGAATTCTGATCCACAAGCTAATCAAGAAAGCCTTTTCAATAAGGTTCAAGAAAAAACGAATGCACAAGCCATACCTGCTTCTGGACCAAGGTGAGTTGTTCCAAGTTGCGCTCAAGGAACGCCATCTTCTTCTGCTGAGCCTTGCTATTGCTGTTACGAATAACATTGTTGTACTGCTCCTTGATTTCGTCCAACTGAATCTCGAGCTCAACAACCTAACAAGGAGACATCCATTCAGTGTCTCACATCAAAAGGGTATCGGATCACCAGGGCCGCTCACCTTCTCACAACGGTTTTGTAGATCTCGCATTAGCGATTTCTTTACGCCATCGAACTCAGCGAGCTGTACGCTTATCGCCTTTCGGGTGCGCTCCAAGTCCTGAGCGCTCTCCGCGAGGTTCTTTCCGCCTTCAATGCCAGCTGATGTGACAGCGAAGGCTCGCTAAATCATCAGGCAAGATTAGTGATGGCCATTCATGATGAAACTTTAAATGACCGAGGGATGATGAGCGCACCTTGAGTTCTTCATTAACACTCTTCAAGCTGTCCACCGTGGCGTTTAGAGTTCGGATCTCATTGCCCTTGATTTCAAGCTGTTGCTTAAGGTCTTGGACTTCACTAGCATGAGCGTCCCTCTTGGCTGCATACTGTGCCTCGAGCTTGTTCTAGAGACAAGAGAATATCAGCAGTGGAAGTACCCCACAGGCATCGAGATTACTGACCTTGAGCTCCGCCATGGACTCGCCAACGTCAACATTGCTGACCTCCTCATCGTTAATCGTCTTCTCTGTAAGTGCGAAACGAAGTCACCATCAGTCATAACCAACAAATAAAATGGGAAGATCCGTACCAAGGAGCTCCTCGTACTCAGCCTCAAGGGCAGAGATTCGAGATTCGAGCTCATCACGCCTGCGAGTGTGCATCTCGTTCTCCTCCTGACTTTGCCTCAGGCGGTCGACAGACTCGCGGATGAGAGTTTGCCCATCTGCAAGCTGTCGCCGAAGAGCAACGATGTCATCATGCGATAAAGTTGATACTGCAGCATCGTTGTCAATGGTATCCAGCTTAGCCAGGATTGAGCGAAGTTGCTCATCCTTCTCGGAGAAAGTGCCTTGCTAGAGGGAAGACCGACAAACTCAGCAGGAAAAATCAAATGATTCATATGGATGGCTTACAGCATCGAATTTGGCCATCATGAGAGCCATCTTCTCTTGTTTACGCTTCTCTTTGTCTTCCGCAGAAGCATCCTTCTGGGCAGCCTTGAGATCGGCAATAGTCTTCTTGAACTCTTCCAACTCGTTCTTCGCATCCTGATTCTGCTCCTTCAGAATGTCGATAGTGATGAGGCTCTCCTTGTTGTCGTAGTCCAAGCGCTCTACTTGCAAACGAAGCTCGTTCAGCTGACCAGACATCGTCTTGTTCTCCTGTAGCCGAACCAACATGAGTAGCGCGAACAAAGGATAACGATGAGAAACTGACCTTCGAGAGCGAAGCCTCCTGCTCCTTGAGGAATGTGAGCTCCTCCTTCAACTCCTTGACAAGCTTCTCAGCAGTCACAAGTGCGGACTCTCTCTCAGCCAACTGATCGCTCAACTCGTTCTCTCGCCTCAAGAACTCCTCACGCTCATCCTTATCCAGACCCACAACTGTTGGTGTCTGTGGTCTGCTGTCCAGGTCATTCCGCAGGCCCTCGAGGACAGGGTTAACAGGGGTCATGCTCCTCACGGAGGAAGGTGTAGGTGATGTAGCGGGCTTCTTGGCAGCTGCAGCAGCGGCCGCACCAGGCTTGTCAGACGTTGCCCAATCTGCTTGCTCGACCTGTCCACCAGAACGCCAAACTGCCAACTCGGCTTCGAGTGCAGCAATGTACTTCTGGTAGTTGCTGTTGGCGGCCTGGGCTTTGGCAAGAAGACCCTTGAGTTCGAGCGGTGAGAGCTCTGCATTGACACGAGCAGTGTTCTTGATCGATTTAGCACGGATACCAAAACGAAGGGTTGAAAGTGTTTCTGCCTCGTTATACGAAGAGGGAGAACAATTGATAATGAGCGTGGTCCTGGAATTTCCACCTAGTGATTCTTGAAGGATACGAGTGAGTTTGGAATCCCGGTAAGGAATGTGTTTAGCCTGAGCAAATATTGCATCTCATGAATAACAAGTCCTCAAAGGTACTACATTAAAGCGCACCTTTGAGTCCGTGAGCGCATTGATAACCATGCCGAGAGCAGACAAAGATTTGTTGATTTTCTTCGCCTCTTCGAGCGTTTGGCCAGATGCACCGGTCTTGCCAACTTTCTCTGAACCAGCAAGATCGACGAGGTACAAGTTACCACTCTTCTGAGCACCTGTCTCAGTATTCTTCTGATTGATGGTGATGAGGAAGATGGAATGCGACCGTGAACTTTCCGCATTCATGTCTAGAAGATGTTACATGTCGACACCAACGGTACTTTTACTCTGAGGCTCACTGGTTGATGAAACAACTCGCGCTGCACCACCTTGTCGCATGATTTCGTAAACCTCCCGGGCACTGCTGACATAGTAGTCGGAGAGATTCTTGACGTAGACACCCTTGGACTTCTCCTCGTGTACTTGAAGATTATCGTTCTGGGCTGTTCAACACGAAGGCGTTCAGATCATGGGCGGTACCAATAATAACACACCCGAATAGTACGTACGTGCCAACAAATCCCTTATTCTCTCCAAATAGATTTCCATGTATGATACCTTTACGAGGTACTCGAGATGAGCATCGGACTCTACAATCGATTGAAATATCTGTTCGGTGATTCGTGGAATGAGACCTTTCAGTTCGGGGTCATCAATATCAGCACCCTACGTGTGGTGTTCAGAATACACGCTGTTATTTACACCAGAAGAACAAACCATCATCGTGAATGTCTTTCCGGAACCAGTTTGACCATAAGCGAAGACCGTGCCATTGTAACCATCGAGTACATCTGTATGGGGTGGCGGAAGAATGCGTCTGTTAATGAAATAGACCAAGAAACACGTAGAGACGCGTCATAGTAGTGATACACACCCTTGACAATACTAGATAGACGATGGCCTGTCAATGAAATTACTGATCGACAGACGTTCAGGGTACGCACTCTTTCACTCCATAGTCAAAGACCTCATGCTGCTGGGTACCAGGTGGAAAGACTCGATCAAACGTAAATCCATCCTTCTCGGGACCTGACCCGAGCTGCGCTGAGCGCATCGAGACCGTACCTAAATTCTCAGCGAATGACACTACGATCTCTCCCCCCTCACGCTGCTCAATCGAATTGGGAGGTCGAAACCTTGACCAGACACGTGGATATCAAAAATCATCATAGAAAGGGATGAATAGCTCAATAACTTACCGACAGACGACCTTGATATTGGTAGAAGAAGCCATTGTGGCCGACGTAACCAGGGTATAGTCTAATGAAGTTAATCAAAGGAGAGGCGTTGGGGTATATGCCCCTGCAGGGTGAGAGACGGTCTATTCGACGCGGCCTATAGAAGCGAATAAAGTGAAGAGAGTGCGTTGGTCGTGGAAGTAGTGAGACAAGAGCAAGAACCAGAGCAAGGTGCTGGAAGCACAGAGCGTGCAGCAGGCGTGCAGTTGTAGTCGCGCATCCTTCCATATTTGGCGGTCGGCAGTTGTCAAGCCTGTGCTTGCGAACAACTTGCGAATCATTCATGTCCTCAATGAAGATGTGTCACGACTGAAGTGACAGTAGACAGCTGGAATGTATTATAATAATACATAACTTAGGCATATTCAGATACAGTATGGCAGACAGGAGAGTCCATGCAATTTAAAATACAGATGATCGGGAAAGTGTGGCTGAAGGTATAGTCGGAAAGGTCACTCCTCGTCGCTGCCAAACGATACCGCAGGCTGAGCTTTACTTGACGAGGCAACAGGTCGACGAGATGTCGTTACATCACGTTCCGCTGCATCTGCTGCATCGATCCATTCGGAATATATGTCGATTGGTTCAGTCAGATCTGGACAGACAGGGTCAGTATCAAGGTGAGTTAATGTCAAAGTCACGTACGGTTAACTTTGCTTTGGAACCTTTGATCACAAACTTTGCAAAACAGTTGGGCAATGCCCTCCTTTCTGTCCATCCTAACAGTCACGGAATTATCATGGTGGCAGAACAAACAGGTAAATGAAGTATCTATGCGACAATGAATCGATAGCAGGGGTAAAAGACAATTGCAATAGCGTACCTAGTGGTTCCCTGCGTTTAGGTCCCGTTGGTTTACGAGTTGACTTTTTGCGTTTGCCCATGGTCGTTTGAGGGCAAGACGAGATTGCTGCTGAGCCGGCAAGCGCCTGACTACTCATGTCAAGAGCGCTGAGATTCTCACGCGGCCACATGAGGAGACGCGCTAAGTCGCGTCCAAGAGTAAGTTCGAGTTACGCCTCATCGACATCGTTGATTTCGCCCTCGCCATCGTCCTCAACAATGGCTACACGTCGGATGGTGCCCCCGCGCACTCGTACAATGAGTACAATGCACCCGCCATCCTCACACTCAAATCGACCGAGGTCTGCCATGGCAAAACCCACCTCCACTCAGCGCTCTGCCCTCGCCACACCTACTGAGGACTCTTCCGAAGTAGGCCCCTCTATACCCAGACTTGTTAGAACAAATGCAGGCTCAGATGAGGGAGAAACGAATATTCAAGTCGTCATCCGTTGCAGGAGGCGATCAGAACGAGAAATCCAAGAGAATTCGCCCATTATCGTGACAACCCATGGGGCGAAGGCGCAAGATATAACGATCGAGACAGCTACGCCTGTATCTAGCCTAGGTGTGATCACCTTACCCCCTACTCGCACATATCCTTTCGACATGGTCTTTGGTCCTGAGGCAGACCAAGCCCTGATATACCATGAAGTCGTCAACCCCATGCTCAACGAGGTCTTGGCTGGTTACAACTGCACTCTTTTTGCTTATGGACAGACAGGTACAGGAAAAACGTGCGTTATAACTCTATATATATATGCTTCCATGCTTGATGTCGATATAGGTACACAATGCAAGGTGACCTCGCACCTACACCAATGGGAAACCCTTCATCACACGCCGGAATGATTCCCCGAGTCCTATTCCATCTCTTCCATCAGTTGGAGACATCTGGTACTGACTACAGCGTCAAGATATCATTTGTCGAGCTCTACAATGAAGAGCTTCGCGACCTCCTTGCGCCTGATCTTTACGCCCCAGTTGGAACCGTCCAACCGATGGCATTAGGTTCTTCCAAGGATGGCGGCAACCAAGGCGGTCTCAAGTTATTTGATGACTCCAACAAGAAAGGTGTCTTTATACAAGGCTTAGAAGAAACTCCCGTGAAGGATACCGCTGACGCTTTGGCCCTTTTAACGAAGGGAAGCCATCGAAGGCAGATCGCCGCCACAAAGTTCAATGATCATTCCAGTCGTTCACACTCCGTTTTCTCGATTACCGTCCATACGAAGGAAACATCGGCAATGGGCGATGATCTTTTGAAAGTCGGGAAGCTCAATTTGGTTGATTTAGCCGGATCTGAGAACATCGGCAGGTCAGGTGCAGAGAACCAAAGAGCCCGAGAAGCTGGCATGATCAACCAGAGCTTGCTCACCTTGGGACGAGTAATCAACGCTCTTGTTGATAGGTCGTCACATGTGCCTTACCGGTAAGTGCCTATTTTACGCCACATTGAAACTCAACATTGACGTTGCATTTCAGTGAATCCAAATTAACTCGTCTCCTTCAAGACTCCCTTGGAGGACGAACGAAGACATGCCTTATCGCCACCATCTCACCCGCTCGCTCCAATATGGAGGAGACATTGTCCACCCTCGACTACGCCCTCCGTGCCAAGTCCATCCGCAACAAACCAGAAGTAAATCAACGCATGTCTCGAAATGCTCTTCTGAAAGAATACATTGCCGAGATTGAACGGCTCAAAGCGGACGTTCTTGCTGCTCGCGAGAAGAATGGCATATTCTTTTCAGAGGAGACTTGGCAACAGATGACAATAGAACAAGAACTCAAGGAAACCGAGATGCAGGAAACCAAGAAACAGGTTGAGATCGTCGAGAACCAGCTTCGGAACGTCCGTGAAGAGTTCGAGCAAAGTATTGGATTGCTCATGAAGAGGGACGGAGAGCTCAGAGAGACCAAGGAGAAGCTGATGGAGACTGAGTCGGAGTTGGTCATGAAAGACGGCCAGCTTCGTGCAGTCAAAGGAGCTTTGGAGGAGGAAGTCGTGGTAAGACAGGCGTACCAAGAGACTGAGACTGTTCTCGACGCCGTTGCGACTGAACTAAAGCAAGTTGCACATCAGAGTGTCAATGACCTGGGTCGTGTCTTCGGCAAGCTGGGTAAGTGAAGATGCAAGAAGTCTACCGACCAAAGATATTGGCTCACCAAAGTTTGTATCACAGAACGCAAAACTTCGGTCTTCCAAGCTAACTCGAAAGCCGTATCCACACACTCCCAGACTATCAGCTCGACAGCTCGAACAGCCTCAACACAACTGGACGATTTCGTGAAGATCTCCAAACAGCATGTCCAGCAGCTCAAATCGGAAGCCGAACAACACAAGACGAAAGAACTGGAAACTCTGGCCAATGTCTCTGCACGAATCAATGAGCAAATCGAAAAGATCCGCGATGCGCTCAAGATCATTCACTCCAAAGATCAGGTCTCGGACGAGGCGCTGAGCTCCATCCAATCTACGGTCCAGGAAACACAAGACGGTATTAAATCCAGCTTCACCACATGGGCGGAGGACCTTCGACAACACACTGAAACTACGTGCAAGACTGCAGAGGAATCAAACGCTGCGTGTGTCGCAACCGTAAGTCAATTCAGCTTCTGCCTGTCAGACGCGAGGTTCTCACTCATATATTCATAGGTCGAGACGGCTTTCAAGTCCTTGGGCTCCATCACTCACTCATTGCTGCAGCAGGCCCAAGGACGCATTGTAACTGAACGGAAGTCCCTGCTCGAAGTCAAGGCGCTAGCAGAGAGCACGTCTAAAGCTGAAATCACTCGACTCAAGCAGCAGAATGCTCTTCTCATCCAATTATTGGAGTCAGAGAAGGTTAAGGCTGAACGCGCCAAAGACGAACTGATGAAACAGTTCTCGAGTTTACTTGGTAACTTCACAGCCGAACGAGATCGAAGCCTCAGAGAAACCTTCTCGCAGATGACGAAGAGTAATGCGTCTGCGGAGGAGGGAATGCTCATCTTTAGCAGTCAGCAAGGAAAAGCTGTTGATGCTGTCGTAGCAAGTGGCAGAGATTGGAGTGCCGCTCTTGAGAAGTCTGGCGTTGAGGTCAAGAAAGCGCAAGGCAGTGGACAGAAGGTGAGCCCATACGCTACTGGCGAACCTTTTCGTTCGTGACCTGACATACAAAATAGGCTGTTGATACTCTAGCTGCTACCTCTCGTGAAGGATTGGCTACAACACAGAAGACGGTCACTACCTTCACGGTCACTTATAGTAACAATCTGAAGAGGCAGCTAGACACTTCAAATGCATCGTTGCACGAGGGTACGTGCAATATTTTATCTGCATAGGGGACAAGCCACTCATAGCATTTCTTCCAGCATACGACCAGATGTCTCGCGCAAAGAGAGCCAGGATTGATACCACCGATTCCTTGGCCACCGACGCTCAGTCGGGTTACAGGTTCATGCAACGTGCAGTGGCCTCGACCTCACGTAACATTGACTTGACGTCAAGCAAGATAGTATCTGAGGTTGGTACAATTCAGCATCTGTCCATATATGTCAAATACTCACCTTATATGCAGGCGACCGGTCTCTCCAATGCAATGGAGAGCTACCGCAACACCGGCACGAATCAACTCTCTACCATTCGCCAGACGACGCAGAATCTCCTTGAGAATGGCACGAAGGAGGATACCCCCACTGGCACAACACCTAGGAAACGTTCTTGGACATTCACAGACGAGTGGGAATTGACCAACAATCGTGAAGTTATTCTCCAAGATTGGCGACGACGCGGCACTTCGTCGAGCAAGAGTGATACGTTCATCGCTGAACATCTTCCTCTGCCCGATGGCGGGCTTTCAGAAGACGAACAGGATGCGATGACAGAGAGCGAAGCTGAAGATCAAGGCCAGGATGAGACAATCAAAATTGCCTCTCCAGTCTCCGTAGCGCCCGCAAGTCTTGCCTCGTCAAGGTCCTCATCGTCATCTGAGCCTTCTGCCCTGGAGCTCTCTACATCCTCGACGTCATCAAGAGCCCCGTCTGTAGCCGGCAATGCGAAACCTTCGAGACCACCAAGCAGGATGAGGTCGGGATTGCCCACCAAAGGAACACTAACCGAACGATCGACCAATATTGTGGGACTACGAGGGGTTAAGCGGCCTACACGCAGATAATCCATAAAGCTCTATTATTTGTTGAATTTCTTTGATTTGGGATGCGTTCTTCTCTGTTTATTCTATCTATTAGTTCACAGTGTATCAATGGATGAAGCTAAGCTTGTAGTCTCGTGTTGACTTGGCCGTTTGAACTACGACAGTTGCCAATCGAGCAAGAAAGTGTGGGTTTACGTAAACATTGATCACAGTTAACGCGTTACAGAACCGCCTCATGAACCTGAACCAGAATACACAAGCCACACAGCGTTCACCTACTCTCCTCTATCACCGCCTTTGAGCCTGCAAACATCATGGGACATGCAGGAATCAAGAGTACGCATCGCTAACTCGTTGATCTTTCTGTTATCTTGCTTACTCTGCTGGTAGCCGTGATTCTGCTGTCTTTTGTACTGGCAGTCGGTTTCCTCATGATAATTCTCTCCTGCGCATTATACTCCAACTGGCTTCCATTACTTGTCGGTACGTTTGGTTCAACATATATATACAAAGTACTCTCTTTGACGAAAGCCTCTAGCACTGACGTTTGTGCTGGCTCCGCTACCAAATGCTGTGTTTGCACATTGCGGAGGCGACGACTTCTCAACAGACTATGAAGGCTCAGGGCCGGTGGATCTTGGTCGATTCATCACCGCTATAATCGTAGTGACTGGTTTTGCACTACCTCTGGTCCTTGCCCATTCAGAGATAATCAGGCCTGCGGCCTGTGCTATGTCCATAATTGGGGGAGCGTGCGTGCTTTCACTTCATCCTGCAGCGGAATTTTACTAACAAAAATGCATCTAGGTTGGTGTATGGTACGATTCTGGCGTATACCGCGACATTCCGACAGGAAGAGTCGGACTACGATTGATCTTTGTGTATGTATCTACCTTTTGGACTCTGTAATTCCCAGCTTGTTATTCTTGGATATAATCCTTTCCTGCAATATTTGCTTGTAGTGAAAGCAAGGGCAGACAAATACATACTGCACATAGCCAATAAGGATATGGAAGAAGTGAACAATCTACATGTCGACCACGTCGATCGCGATACGCAAAGCGCCTTGTCCGACCTTACTTCGATCATGCGACTGCCCAAGAACCCTGACGTCGGCTGTGGCATCGAAACGTCCTGCTGTGATGAAGGCAACAGGCATTTCGACTTCCTTCGACTCCCCAGGTTGTAGCAGACCCACAGGTATGTCAAAAAGTACTCCCTCGAACACGACATGCTGTATGGGCTCCAGCGACAAATCGAGGACCAGGCTGAGCGGTGAAGCTGCGATAAAATCGTCAATGGAAGTAAGTTACTCAGACAGCGGTTGGGCTTACGGGAGAGATTAGTGACGAGAGTCTGTAGGTAGACGAATGCATTTGGTTCAGGCTTCCATTTCCCGTTGTGATGAGGAACCGGCTGCACTTCTGAGTCCGGGTCTTCACTGGCGCGTTGAACAAGAAACATGTGTACGCGTGCTGTCTCTGTACGAAGGGTTTCCAGCATAATTTGCGTCATACGTTGCTGTCGAAGCGACAAGTCGCCATAGCGGGTACCTCCCGTCTGTAGATGCATTAAATTAGAACCTCGCAAAGAGCCAGTGGGTCATAGCTATCACCTCCTTCCATCGACCCCTGACAAACTTAAAGAGCTGTTCTCGATACCAGAATAATTCTCTCTGGGACCGCTCTTCTGCCGTCGTCAGATTCGATTTCGCCACGACGAACTGGCGATCAGAAAGGGTGGGGATAGGTTGCGATATGTGTTCTTCAAGTAATCGGAATTTCTTGACAGGGATGACGATGCTAGAGGGGAATACATGAGATTGGGGGTAGTGAAATTGACGTCCAGACATACCGCGTTGTCGAGCCCGGAGGAACTAGCGCAGTTGTCGCAGTGGACTCAGCATCTAGAGGAGCATGAACGTTATCGTCCTATCTCATAACGAAACACGTACCAGGTTGCGTCCGTTCGAATGTCACTTCGAAGGGGACACCGTATGTATTCCTGACCTCGATTGAGAAGATACACCAATCGGCAACATCTTCTACATTCAACAAAGTCTTCCGCGTCCGAACTGATTGTGGCTCATGTTGATCCAACTCTAGAATAGGAGCAACGGTGTCGATCGAGTATGGTAGGATGTCCATCGAATGACACTCCAGCATATGGTACACAGTGACAAGCACAGGGTACGATAGTTGTCGAGTATGGAACACCTCCTGTGGTTCCTGCAATGTAGCCCGCCGTCGATGGATGTAGGAATATGACACATGCATCGCACCGCTTATACTACCCAGGATGAACTCTTAGCTGAAAAGGAGGTAGATGAGGACTCGAAGTAGAACGTACCATCCGACCTTGCCATAGCAGTTGACGACAACAACAACTTTCTCACCAGGTTCAACTTGCTGCGGATTCCGTTTGCTATCCCAGGTGAAGACAGGCCTATGAATCAGATCATATTCTGTTTCATAAGTTTCATATACAGAGAGCTCTCCTTCGGCGAGTGCTTGCTGTGCAGGCGCAATGGTGGAATCGTCAAATGTGAGCCGCAGGAAGTCAATGGGTAATGATGAAACGTTTTCGAACGTCACTCGGATTGTTGAGCTGTAGATTATAGTCAGCTATGTTTCCGTGGTTTCGCAGGGAAAGCCGTACGTTTCTCCGTTATATAACATAACAGCACCGTGGGTTAGAGACGTCCGCCGGATACGGAGTAAAGGTTGTTCGAGAACTACCTTGACTTGCAGGAAACGAAGAGTTTGCGTGGATTGCGATGTTGCACCATTTAGCCGCTTTCCCGCCTTTTCCCAAGGTCTCGACGCCAATCCCGCACGTTTTGACCGTCCTACCTCACATTCAATGGCACTTCTTCGACGGGCTCGCTTCTCTTCCTCCTCATCTGTTGAAAGAGGCAGCACGAACTCCTTTGGAACGCCTCCTGGAGCTTGAACGATACAACCACGGATGGTCAGCACGCCAGCCTCGAGTGGTTTTGCTGTGATTGTGACAGGATGGAAGGAGTTGGCGGGGACAATCATTGGTATTGCCTTGGTCTCTATGGGTACACCTGATGTACTATGAATGGTTACATACATGGAATCAGCGGAAAACAGCAGCAGTCCTGAGATGCCACTGACCTAAGGGCGAGACTCGACAACTCGAGGTCAAAAACAAAAGGATTCCTCAGTGTCGCCACCAGTTCAAACGGTTCATTTTGCACCAGCAGTGACTGACCCTACCAAATATGATGTCATCAGACGAGACGTGATTTATCACGGCGGCAAAAGTAATTTACCTGCCCTGACATTGACTTTCGTGGGTTATACAAGAAGGGGTCGGTCATTCCAGTAAGGATAGGCACAACGTCAGATCGCCGCTGTGAGAGCACCGACATTGGTTTCTCAATGGGAAGACGAACTAAGGGTGGGCTGTAGAGAATAATGAGGTCAGAAGCTAAAAGATGATAATGTTACCTACGGCAAGATCTCCATACTGGCGATCGGCCGTCCAGCCCAGTAATCCACCGCTCGTGTATCCCCTCGTCGTTTGGCTGTTGATAGTGCTCGAGCCGCAGTACTGTACAGATGATTCTGATCACCCTGGCTCATGACAGGATGCAGTGATCTTAGCGATGACAACGAGAATTGAGCCACCGACGGGTAGTCTACAAGAGGTTACTTTCAGCCTACGAGATGAAGACATCACATACCAGGTAATGCCTCTGCGACAGCGATCGCTTCCCGAACTATACCAACTTGGAGTTCAGGCCAGCCAAAAGGCTCGTGTGAAACTCCCAGGATTTCTGTCTCGTCAAGAGCTGTCTCAGCATCACGTTCGCCGGCGTTGAGTTGGGCGTTGCCATCGACAATCTTTACTGCCTCCATGTCGATGCCGTGCACTCGACAGATATACTTGACAATCCTGATAACGCTTTCGTTTCCTATTCTACTGTCATTCTCTCGAACTCCAACAGTGCCCCTGTTGAGACCGTTTACCATAGCCACCCCTTGAATACCAAGACCTGCGCCGATGACTCTGGCGCTGCCAGTTTCTTCTCGAGCACAAACGACGAGATCCATGATACAGCCGAGGACTTCTCGAAGGATGTATGCTTCCTTACGACGGTATCCTAGGGCTCCAAATAAGGACGCCATTGCTTCAAGCGCTGAAATACGCTCGCGGATCTCTAGATGTAAGAGCCATGGACCATGTGCTTGTGAAAGAGTCGCTGCTATGGAAGAACGCGATATGCCTGTAATTGAACTAAGTCGCTCCAGGGCTGCATCAGACATATTCTTGTTCGAATTACTGTCTGAGGAGGAAAGACCACTTTGGAGCATCTGATTGAAGGCATGAGGTCCCCAACCTTTCGCGGACCAGACACAATAGAGAAGCATGGAATGTCGAAGAACTGCGCGCGTGTAGAGGCCAGAGAGTATCGGAAAATTCACCTCGCCATCGTTCCCAGAGGCGGCCCTGGAATACATGGAGATAGCTTGATTCAGCTTGTCAGAAATGTCAGCCCACGGTTCCTTGTCTCCAGCGAGGCCATTCTAAAGAAAAAGATTATGAGAAAAGAGTTTACAAGTGCCGCTAAAATGTTTACAATACTCTGAGTCGATGCCCATGCATCCACAATGGGAATGGTAGCCAGTCCTTCTAAAGCGGACGCATACCATACGGCATCTTGAGGGCTCTTTAATATAGCGACAGCTTCTGTATACCTGACAATCAAGATCTGCGATCTCGAACAACCTGATGAAAATATAGGAGCGTACCATACTGATGCATCCATAGTTCGACCAGCCAGAAGAAAAAGATCTCCGAGAAATTTGAAGAGCCTGCCGTGAGACGACACCGCACCGATGGGGTTTGTTCGTTTCTTAACCGCGGGAGCGGGAAGACTGGAGTGTCGATACGGTGCCGGAGGTACATTGGGGCCCAGTGAGGAATTTCGCTTCAAGCCAAGAGGAGTGGGAGTCTTTGAGCGAGTCTGTAAGTCAGGTTGGCTATTGAATGAAGGCAAAGGCGGTAGAGAGCTTCGCATGGGAGAGTCCGAATCTAATGATTTTGGCAGCTCCGAAGCATGTGGGATAGCGGGGAACATGGAGGCGTTTAGGTATTCATTTCCTAGTGGAGTTTCCAGAGATTGTACCTGCACACTCGTGTTGAGCATAGGGAACTATTTAATCAAAATCATGCATAATGCAACCAACCATTGTGGCAAATTCTCCTAGAATATTTGAGCAGAGATCAGCTAATAGTGTACCGACATAAATCTTTTTGTTTCCCATCATGCTGGGGATTACGACCAAGCCAGGTAGGGTATCTCCAAGATTAAGTTGGGTATTGTCATCGCTTTCCTCGAAGACGAAACAATTTGTGGCCAAAGGATAAGTAAATCCTGCTGGGAATAACTCGTTTCGTGCGGCATTGAAATGAGCAAGCACGTCTGAAAGAGAATCATCTTTGGAACATGTCGCGACACCTATGAGACCGAGAGGAAAGTCGGATGGACGGAAGACAGAGAGGGCTGAATGTGATGTTGAAGGAGGGTGCGAGGTATACGTTAAGTGTATATGACCGGATGCCAAGGGGTTAGGCATGAATCGTGCTTTGGAATTGCAGACTTAGAACCGGTAAACATTAATACTGTCATACTGCTCGCACCTTTGTCTTCCTGTGGATCGGCAGGGATATCTCCTAGACGAATATTCTCAAAGCTCCTTATTTCCGAGGCCCATTTCTCGAATGAAGGCCGCTTGATGGAGCCTACAGGCAGAAGTAATATTCTGATCTGAGCAAGAGATGCAAATGTCATAGGATCCATGGCGGAAGCCGCACAGGCCTATAGCCACGCGAGTTAACGACAATGTATCCTGCCTTGATATTCGTTCGGTTTTCGTGAAGTTTCACGGTATGGTACAGCGAAACAGATATCCAGAGCGAAGCAACAAGCCTAAAGCAAGTTTATGGTAGACTGAGATGAACGGTTCAAGCAGGAGAGTGTCGTGTTAGCGCTCATACCAGGATCGGACCAATGCAAACCGTCTTTTGTTTAACTCACCCTGTAACCTCCACGTTTTCCATGCAGCACGCATAGCTCGATATCTTACGCTTGATGTACACCTCATAACACAGCAAGACATGCAAACATGGTGTGTTCGGCTTCTACGCATTATCTATATGACAACACTAAGGACAACAGGTGATGAGCGACAAGGCTCTCGGTGGGCTGATGCTCTCGTTCTCGGGAGCAATCCTCGTATATTACTCGCTATGGACTATCCTTCTTGTAAGTATGTGCATTACTTCTGATACGACGCAAGTCCCAGACGTTCACTATGCTAGCCCTTCTTTGACTCGTCAAGTCCGGTTCATGATTACTTCCCCAAACGAGAATGGGCCGTTCGTCTCTCCGCCTTCATTATCATTCTAGGTGTCTCAGCCATTGGAATGCTACTTTCCGTGAAGATACTCAAGCACCACACATCCGCAAACAATCCTAAAAAATCCTTGTAATACAAATAATGATGGCCGTTTGTTATATAGGGTTAGAAAACAGCGACTACAGGTTGCCTTCCGGTCTTCCAGTGGTTAATTAGCTGGCGATGCGTCTCATCCTCTCCGGAATGGCACGGGACATGTCTTGTCGCTTGGCTGCCTCCAATTTCTCCTCTGCCCATATCTCTGTCTTCGTCTGCGTAACGAAGGAATCCAAGCTGGCATTGGATGGCATCTCAGACAGGCTCCGCAAGACTCTGGATATCTATCTCAAGGGTCAGAACAGGCTTACACGTTATGTCAGTGCAAGATATACCTTGTGTTCCGCACGCTTGATTGTGCGAAGCCTGTTTAACAAAGCAGCTTGAGACGACACCTCCAAGGCGACCACGCATCGTGTCTGACGTAGGAAGAGGAAGAGGTCGGCTACCGAAGAGGCGACAGTCGACGTCAATGCCTATAAAATATCTCATCAGGTTTCCAACTGGCTGATTCTGGTTGAAAAACCTACCGCTTGATTTCCTGTTTGGACGTCAAGATCTAGCGCGAGCACAACAGCCTCAAATGGAGGCCATAATTCATTCCAGATGGTCCGAGTGAGCAGAGTTTCTTTGTCTGTGGGGTTCTCCTTCGTGCCTTCTAAAATATTATGCTCCCCTGTCGATGCCTTACGACATAGGAGCAACCACAGTTTGATCGAAGCATATGCCCTGCTGATATCGAAATGAAGCAGTTCCTGAGAGGCAGCATCGGCTTGGATATACGGACTGAGAGTTCTGCCGTAAGCGGAAGAGAAGGAAGCAAGGTAGTTGAACATCATTTGCGCGAGAGCTCCCGTAGGACTTGAAACTGCAGCAAGCAGTACAAGATTCCAAGCTCTAATGGCCATGCGCGATTTCTGAAAGTTCAGAAGACTGACGTGAGGATAGTACGAAAAACAGGGAAAACTAAAACTAACCGTAAGTCTTGAGAGTACTTGAGGTTGGTCCTGGGAGATAGTCAATACCATATTTGCCACTGCCTGTGATGCGGTGAAATCCATCTGCGATGAACTTTCCAAGCTTTCAGCATAGAGATAGAAGAGTCCTGCCTCTGCCAGGCGAACAGCCGTATCGCGAGGAAGCTTCAAGTAAGTTTCCTTGTCTTTGCCAGGTATGATAGCCTAAAGTAAGCTTCAAAATTCAGGATTCAATAGTGCATGCGGGCATAACAAACTATGGACCTCAACGAGAGATGTCATTGTTGCAGCAGTGACACGAGCCTTGCCATGTAGTCCATCGTGCAAAAGCTCCAAGAAAGCGAGTGCAATTTGATTCAGACTGAGCATCTGTTCTGGCGTGGTCGCTTTGCGGTAGAGAGAGGTGGTGACCTGTAATGCCTTGTTGATGCTGGCAAGCGTGACATTGAATCTGATAAGTGAGGCACGAATGAACGTCTCCAATGGGATAAGGAGGTCCTACGGCGAGGTTAACATGAAACACAGCGTATTCGCTAAGGCATGAATGACCTACTCGACACTGGGCTTTGTTGTGCTGTATTACGGTACAAGCCATAAGTAGCAGTGGACTCGGATCAAAAGCGCTTGGAGGCCAGTCGGCGGTCTTTCGTGCAACGTTTGTGAGAAATAGACCAATGACTACGAAAAGGTGAGCGAATCGGAAGTGTGACTGAGATCTTAGCCACCCACATTGCATAAGCTCTGGGCTGTATTTTTGGTGGTAAACAACTTCAACATAAGTATTGATGTTCTCTATGACTGTCTGATATGAGTCAATGTCGTTTTCCACTGCACGAGGTAGTGTATCGCGAAGCAATGTATCACGTAAATTCGTTTGAGCGGGTCCAGCTGTCCTTGATTTTGCATCTATAACATGCCGTACAACCACAAAGAAGTCTGGCGATTGGCGACGCTGAGGTGTATCAGGGCAACTGATAGCAAAACTCATGAGTACAATTAGACACGTACCTTGAACAGGATATTCAAAACACCACTCATAGCAAACCTGATCCCCAAAATTCGATTAGCGAAGAACGTATGGCCTGCGAAAGGATACAACTCACATTGATAGTATCCCTTCCAGGGAAGACCTTGCCTGGGAGACTAGCAAATCATCCGCGCTGTGTTCGTAGTTGAGCGAAACCATCAATTTGACGACAACTTCCAGTGCCTCGCTGTAGTGCAAGCTCATTGAAAAGGCCCCATGAAAAGGAAAAAAAAAAGCTGATGTCTTACCAGATGAAATTGCCAATGATACTAGGCCATCTTCTTATGAACGCCTGACAAGCAGATAGAGCTAGTTGCCTAAGTTCATAGCTTAGTCGCTTCTCCTCCAATAGCAGATCCAGGACTCGTCGAGCCGCACGACGCAGATTCGCCTGTAAGTGTCTTAATGGTTTGCTGTCAAGATCATGCTTGAAAATGACAATGAGCAAAGCTTTCAAAAGATTCTTGAGTGTGATCGGAGGTAAAGTCTCCAGGTTTTGAGCGTGAATGAAAATGTCAAGAAGCACATTCGTGAATACAGAACCGATCAGGAGAGGCACAGGGGTATCATCGTTGGCATACGGACCTCCCATCGCAGACGCTGCAAGACCAAAGGGATACGATGCATCGAGGAGCAGCATAAGATCGTCCAAGCAAGGGAAAGATCCACCAGCGATATTTTCTAGACCACCATACTCGATGTAAAAGGATTGTCCCCCGCCAGAGGAAACCAAGGCAGTATCCGAGAAACCAACCAATCGAAGTAGATGCTCCTTGATCTTTAAGAGAGACACGATGTCACTTTCGATGCCGTCCGCAAGCATCCGTAAGCTAAGCGAAATAAGGGACACCTGCGGAGGATGTAATTTACATGCATTCGTACAAGCAAGGTACGAGCGACACACACCTGCAATATGCGCAGATCGGAATCGGCTCCTGTGGAGTCGGCGCCCTTGTTGCTCGACAATCCGTACATTGACTACGCGTCAATTAATCACCGTGGAGCCGATATCATTTAGCAATACTCACAAGATGAGCTGAAGCCGGACCCTCTTCATCATCTCCATTTTTCTGAATGAAATCGTTCTCTAGCAGGGTTTCTATCATAGCATTCCAGTGTAAAACTGTCGATGCTGCATGTCAGCAGCCACACTTAGCACGGGAGAATGATCCTCGTACCTTGCCAAAAGGGGAAATGAGGACGAAGCTGGAGCAGAAAATGTACGAGTCTGACGCGCTCGGCGATTGGGGCTTTATTCAGGGCCTCGTCCCAGCAAAGAGCGATGGCTTCTTGATGAGCTGGGAGCAATGTTTGCGACCATGTCTCTACGGACAAGCGAATTTCCTCCTGCTCTAAAATATCAGTAAGTCGTGGGAACTCGTATACTGTGGCTCATACCCGATCGTCAAGCCACAAGGATGCAAAGAAATGGTAGAATATGTCAATTACACTGGGCCGCCATTGACGATCATCTGCAACGAATGCGGGGCTGGTGACATCCAGGATCATGCGGAACAACCAAGATATTGATTGCATGCTATGTTTTCCATGAGAGTTGCACAATCAGACGATGACAAAGGGCTGACCGTTGTTGCCATTCAGTCCGTGGCTGAAATTGTTGACTCAAGAGAGCTTGAAAGGGTTGGATGTCCACAACTAAGACTCGCAAAAGCAGCGCTGCACGAGTGACCGAGACATCCTGTATCTCAATTCCATAAAACAACCACATGCTTGGGGAAAATTGTCAATAATTGCATTAGACAGCCAGATAAGTGGCCAACTAACCAATGGCACAGTGTCTGTCCACTCCGTAGAATGAAATTATCGATCTCATAAGATTCGAGTAATGGTGCCTCGTTGACAAAAAGGTTCAAAAATCTTGCCGCAAAACAAGATACTTCGTCCACGCCCGTTTCAACGTATGATCTCAGGACAGCCATGAGCGTAGCGTCAACGATAATCGGATCTGTGAGCATGTCAACCCTGGTGTTGATCTTCCGCCTGCATGGAAGACATTTAAGTCACTTATGAGGCGTACGCTCCGGTTCCTACGCACCTTGAAGGTAAAGATCGAATCTCGTCTTCGAGGATCATGCCATGAGCGATCAAATTACTTCTATCGCATCCATATAGCAGCAAGCATGTTGCTAAAGACTGCCGAATGAAGATGACACTGAGCATCCAAGTAAGCACAGTACATTGGACGTCAGTATCTTGTGGGCACTCACATTTCCGGCAAGTTCTGGCGCGACCGTAAGCCATCGAGAATTTGGGCAGTTAGGTGAACATGAAGAGTGGAAACCATAGCTTGTAATTCTTGACGACCCATCGACTTTAGCCAGCTGGACCACAACCCAGCTTTCGCCAGTAAAGTGCATTCGGCTAAGTCGGCTTGGAACTGACTCGCCAACTCTGCCATTTGCATGAAGGCGGAGATCGGAACATCGACTCCTGACGACACAAACAAGCAAAGCCAATGTAGGCCTCGCTCAAACCCGTCTTTACCCGCTTTTGCAGCGTCCAGAAGTTCATGGAGAGGATTGGTGTTAGCCATCGAAGAGACATCTGAGATCGTCATCCGAGAATCCATCACAGAACTGTAGCGATTATTGTCCTCGGACCCTCGATTGAACAATCGGGGTAAGGACAGACTTGGCTACAAAAGACAAATTTTAGTTTCAGTATTGGTTCAACAACACTCTAATCCGTCATACCTCGTCATTTATGTTCAGTACATGCGCTTGTTGCAACCATCTATGGAACAGATCTTCAAAGACGGTGAATATAATGGACACTTGACAGAGTTTGATGATATGCCTGAGTATCCTATCAGATATTGCAGCGTTTCGTCTCTGCATTCCAGTCAGGTTGTAATTCCAAGAAAATCATGATTCTGCCCACCTGTTCTTCTCGCTCAGATGACGCGCCTAGTAGATAGTCGTCTGTATATGCGCCTTCAGCATGCTCAACTAGCAACTCATAGACGGTGTCTGCGTATGCTTCGATATCGCGATCATGGAAAGCCAACATCCATGGCGCGGCGTATCTCTGCAGCAGTGCTCGGCGACAAGCAACGTAGTCTCCACCATTGTTAGTTGAGCCCCCGGCATTTGGCCGTGAATGGGCCACACTGGGCCAAGGCCGCACTTCTAAGCCACCCCGTACCCCAGGGAGGTTACGTCCTCGAGCGACATAATCCCGCAGAATTACAGCGAGATTGTCATCCTAATAATCGTGAGCTGCTTGACGCCTACTGAACAGACTCTACTCACTTCTGCGAATATCCAGGTAAGTATCGCTTTCGAAAGACGTTGGAACGTGTACTCTGACAGCATCCCATTTGGCCAAAATCGTCGGATAAGCAGTAGAAATCCAACTTCATTGACAGAGAGATCCAGGTCCGACAGACATGCTTCAATCACTGCAACCAGCGTTTCAATGTCGACAGAAACGTCGAACCCAAATGGAATCGGAAAACAACATAGCAGTCGTTCTGGATTCGTTCTGGATTCAAACAGATGGTGATGTTGGTCCAGCCGATGGAGAAGTCCAATATGGTGGATATGAGAAAGGAGATGTCGAGCGGCCGCTTCCGAGGCAAGGTTCAGGGATTCGCCAAGTTGATTACGAACGTGGGCGAGAGACACTACTTCGAACGGATGTGCTGCATCGTCGGAAGATTCCTCCCCTCTCTGAGGAAGATCAACGCCGAGGAGATCAGATGAGACGTTCGATTTTAGAGCGTCTGATTCACTGTATGGCAATTTGACGACACTGACGAGAAAAGCCAGTGTATTCCAATCGAAATAGAATATGTGGTCCCGAGCTCGCAGGCGATTTTCTGAAAGATACTCGGAGAGGGCACCAGATACCGGAAGATGCCCGGAGGACAGATGTACTTCGAAAAGTTGAACAAGGTAATGCAGCTCGAACTCTTGCAGTCTGCCTTCTTCGGGGATGCTTGAGCTATCGTCGTCAATGACAAGAGACCCCAAAGCTATGCCGTTGTTCAAGATCTGAAGCTGCGTCCATAGTACCGCAAAGAAGACGGAGACTTCTTCGTGAGTCTTGTCGCCTATCTCGGCGTCCGTAAAGGCTAAATCCTGATAATGGTCCACAAAGGTCCATCGCAACGTAGACCATCGCACAATCATATGCGAGGAAGTGACCATACTATCTCTACAGAGCGGCAGTCCGGCGCCGAGACAAGACGAGTGTACGAAGTGTTTACATGAGCTGCATTTGAGACCTTGCATAACACATCCCCACAGTGGCTTCTTGCAAACGAAACAAAGCGTAAGACTGAATATATTGACCAATCGAAACATGTGGTGGCCATGTCGCGTGAACGGATCCGAGCCATCTCGCCTGGATGGTAGGACATGACTGAAACGGTACACGGCAACCTTCTGTACCTCCGGTTCCGAGTCCATCGAGTATTGCGTGACAAAGCTTCCTTCTGGGTAGTCATAGCAATCGAAGTGCACTGAGCACATACAGAATGGACAACTTAGTCCAAACCCTTCCATCGGTTCTGAGCAAACACGACATTCGTTCTGTGAGAAGCCTTCGAAAATCTGGGGTAAAGGAGAAGTGCTGAAACGCCAGGGAACAAATTGATGAGTGTGGGGCAAGTCTACACTTGGCGGTAGACGGGTGATAGAATGCCTGCGGTCAGGAATTTGTTCACGAGCCAAGGCTGCCGAGTAACTAACGTCAGGGAACGGCTTGCTTAGCACGATATGTCCAACGGCCTTAGGCCAGTATGAGAGTAACAGACTAGTTGCTGCATGTCGAGCCTGAGGTGTATGATAAGCGATTACCCCGAGTAGGTCCAGATATACCTCTGGTTTGCCACTTATCAGCCTATCTATGAGACGGTGGAAACGATGCACCGCAGGAATGTTGCTAGATAGAATGTCCACGTTTTCCACTATAGCGGCGAGTAAGGGTGATACGACGGAGGTCAAGTAGTATAGGGATAGGTCTTGCTCTGGTGCATGACTCGAAGGAACACCGGCGTCCTGTAACGTCCATCTTCGCCAGCTCTGAGCAGATGACGGTGTGTTGACATTATCATGAACCTCATCGACGTGGATGGACACCATTGGAGGATCGGAATCATCAGCAAATGATTCGTCTGTGAACAGCACGATGTCAGATATACCGGGGTCATCACACATAAGAACAAACCTGGAGAATTAACAGGTATTGCATGGCGCCCTTGTAGACGGTGTAGCTGTTCCAGCACCTCACCAAGGACCCCCTCCTCGAAAAAGGCCAGAAGGCGGGTATGCATTGCAGAGGGGAACGTCTGAAATGCGGGAATGATGACCATCGTAATCTGAGAGACAGTTCGAGAATTATGTCTATGAGCATGTAGAAGGAATTGTGCAACGTCTAGTGTTAGAGCTTGGAGTGCGTAAGGAGGTCGTGAAGGCTTCGGCGCAGAAACTTGGTATCGACAGTCGTCTAGGATAATCGACGAGAGAATAGAAATGCACGCTGACAGAAGCTCCGGAGCTACAAGGTGCCGTTTGCGAGAAGGTGAGGTAGATCGAGAAAGTGAACGAGCTTGCATACTGCGCCTTCGAAGAAAAGATGGCGATCTCTCTTCGGAGTTTCGTCGGGCGGCGGGCGACTTGGGAGGATCTACGTAATCACCACTTCGAGCTTGTCAGACGGTGAATTAACGGAATGTGGATTCGCCTGCTAACCTTTCTGAGAAAAGATCCCAGCGCTGCGCAGCGGATATGAGAAGTACATCTCGCACTTGGCTCAGCAAGTCAAGTGTACCATCAGTATAGAACTCAAGGTCGTCTCCAGCTACATCGTCGTCGCTGTCTTCTGAAACCGCTCCCTTTCGTGCGCTCTCAGATTTTCCGGATTTGGAAGAGGCAATCCCCTTCACGGAGCGTACCATGGAATCTAAACTCTTTTCTGACTGAGCAGTGCGGGGATCGAGAATTTTGAATAAGGATGGAGGCATTGGTCTGCGCTTGAGTTGATCTAGAATATGGGCAAGGAGCTTTCTGGACTCGTTCTTTGCCTTGCTAGCACCTTGAGAGACCATCATGGTCGAGATACTCTCGGTGACTGGGGATCGCTCCGCATTGGGAACACCTGAGATGCGAAGAGAGGGAATGACGGTTTGTGATAGACTCCGGACGCGTTCACGGGTAGTAGGAGAAGTAAGATGAGAAGAGACACCAGAAATATTGTCATCAATAGGGAAATTGACCTGCAGATTGCCTGTGTCAATCCGCAAATGTCCTGAGTTGACCGGTGCCATGATAGCGTCGGACGAGTGCTGAAATACGCGGCGAATCGAGGTATTATGAGAGTGTCATTGGTTGCAGTAGCAGTTCCGCACTTACCTTCTCTATGAATCTGAAGCCCGCCCTATACGAATATATTTCAAGTGGCAGAGTGATATTTGACGAGATGACGGTCGCACTGGCATTGCCGGAAACATCATAGCACACGACGGGCGCTGGACAGAAGCTCTCCAATGGGCGCTTGAAGGTAACGCGATCGTAACGCGTCCTATGAGCGCCTACACGACCTCAATCATAACCTCCATGCCGAAGCCATCCAATGGATCCAAAAAGCAGAAACAGCAATCACTGCTTGGTTTCTTCCAATCTTCTTCGCCAGCCCGTCCAAGTTCCCCTGAAATGAAACATAAGTTGCACGCAGAGCCTTCGAAATCCTCCAGGCGAACACCAAAGTCTAGCCCCAGGAAGGGTAAATCCAAGTCCAAGTACGAAACGAGCAGCAGCGCTGGAGAAAGCAGCGATGTTGGTGCCATATCATTTGAGCCTGCAGTGTATAGTCTCAGCGATTCCGATGATGACGTGAAGAAGTCCCCACGACGGCCGATCGTGAGGAAACGTCGAGTTAAAGCAAGCAGAAGCAATAGTCCTTCACCCATCATCATAGAATCTGACAGTGAGGAGGAGAATGTTGGCGTACCTGTTACGTGGAAGGGGAAAGCGAAGGCTGTACCAAAGCGCAAACTCGCAGTGCTAGACTCAGACGTTGAGGAAGAAGCACCAAAGAGGCGCAAGTTGGTTAGAGGTGTGAGACCTCCCTCACCCGAGGAGTCTGATGATCTTATAGAAGAGCTGGACCAAGATAGTGAGTCTTATCTGGCATTAATCTGTTGCATATGCTGACGCCGATATTACAGAGGTTATCGAGCCTCGCTTTCGCGCTCGCGGGAAGAAGTCTACCTATCTCAAGAATCTGGAGAAGCTTAAACGTTGGTGAAATCCAAAGTATCCTGAGATTTTTACTAAACCTGTTTATAGGAAAGAAACGAGGGGAGTCTGTACAATCCGATTCAGAGGAGGTAGAAGAGGACGAGGACAATGCCGCACCTTTCGCCCGTGCACGGCCCAGCAACGGGAACGATGATTCAGCATCAGGTGGTGAGGCCTCTGAAGAGGAAGAAGACACGTTCATCGTTGAGGACGACAACAAGGTAGAACTGCCACCCGAATGGAGCATGTCGACGTACCAAGATCTCACGCATCACTTCAAAATTGTATGCCAATTGTTCGTTCATCTGGCGGTACAACCCCCGAATGATCGACGGTCATTCATGGAGGAATCATTGAAATGTGACTATATTTTACACATTGTCTGTATGTGAGGTTTATAACATCGTCTTCCAGCCGATTATTTCTCGGTGCCTTTGCAAGTTGCTCGACGGAAGATCTCTGGAATGAGGGACTCCCTAGTTGCTTCATCTGTTTGGCGACCGGATTTCAAGAAACCACTCGAAACCTATCCACACTTCGAGATCGTTCAACTTGACTTTGCTGAACCAGGCTGCGATGCGTGTCATCTTGGTGGCCGTTTATCTACACGCATTGGCCGACTCAGCGGTGAACCCTACGACAAGCTTTCGTTCCAGGTGTGTATAATGACAAGATTTTTATCTTATGACAGTTCTAATGTCGTGCTTTCCTGTGTTTCAGCCTCTTTCTGAGAATAGTGACTCTTCGGACGAGAGTGATAGCGAGGAGGAAGATGAAAAACCGTCACTGAAGAAAGAATTTCACTTAGGCCGATTCTGTGCTCGGCGAACCCTGGTTTTCCATCATTTCACCCACTGGGAGGTACGTATCCACTTGATTAACATCCTGACATCTCTAACGATTCTACGAAATCCTAGTATGCCCTATTCGAAGCTCTCGATGACGAAGTACAGGGTCTGCGGAACAGACTTGCTGGACGGAAGAAAGGCAAGAACGTCTTCATCCCTGTCGCCTATGCGGGTGGTGCACAAGCTCCGGACGATCCTAACGATGCAGACAAAATCATGTCTTGGCTGGATGAACGTCACATCATTGAGACGCAATGGGTCGCGGTGAAAAAGATGATGGATGATGCGCGTAATCTGGATGTGGCTGCTAAGAGAGGAGATGATATCGATGACTGAGACTGCATGTAGTCAATTGTATAATCGTTCTCTGTTGGTTGCTTTATTATACCTGTGCTTTCTGGACTTTCAAAATTCAAGTTCGACTAAGGTGTAAGTGTGTTTGACCTGCGGCAATTCAAGACTTTCATGGGCGCTTGATCAAGGCGTTGAGTATATCGAGCGCCACAAAGGTGCTGACGTAACGGAGAACTTATCCCGAACGAGATCTTGAAGTCCTTTCGCCTTTATAGCTGCCCTCCTCCATCCTTCATTTCACTGATTGCATTCTCCTTCAATCATCTATCATGTCGTACTACTCTCATCAAGGACAGACCTACCCGTACAGTGGATATCACCACGCGACTACATCTGCATACCCAGGTCATCCACAAACACCGGGAGCTTACCCAGCAACAGCGTACCAAACACCATATCCTACGACCAGCGTACAGGGATATGGTGCAACGTGGCCATATCCGTATAGCTACTATCCTCAGGCTACGCAACAGCAACAACAGCAGCAGCAAGCTGCAGCTGTTCCAAGACCTGTATCTACTCCTACTGCCGGTGCACCACCTACCGCCGCACCTACGCCTGTACCAGTACCCCAGCGCGTGCAGGCTCCCCCCACGGCCTATGCCTATGTTCCTCGGGAATCAGTAGCTGCTGCTGGTACCGGTGGTGCAACGAGGCGGCAGAAGCAGGCTACATACAGGGGACTATTCACGAAAGAGCGTACGTATATCCCCTGAACTCTCACCTCAATCTATTAATCTTCTGGTTCGAAGTGCGCAACCTCATGTATGGCTTTGGAGATGACCGAAACCCAGCAAATGATACAGTGAATGTCCTAGAGGAGATTCTCGTGGAGTATATTGTCGATGTCGTAAGTCTTTTCGCCATCACTTTGTCCCTATCTTCGCTTACCGAGCATTTATCGGTGGTTCTTCATCAGTGTCAGACTGCCCTCGCTCCTGGCAAGAAATCTCGATTGTCAATTGAAGACCTACGCAGAGCGCTTTCACGTCCAGCAGACGCGAAAAAACTTGCACGTATGGAAGAGCTACTCTTCATGCAGGAAGATATCAAGCGCGCTCGTGCGCAATTCGAAGAGTCGGATATGAACCAGGCGGGTTCATACCAGCAGTAGTAGCCATGATACCCCCGTACATGATATACTTCCCTCGGACCTTACGACAGACCTGTATCAATTATTGTAACATATATTGTATAACGATGCATACTGTAGCTTATTGTTACAGAGCTGTACGAGAATGATAATTGAAAGTGTCGCTGAATTACTACTCTTCCATCGCTTCGCCTTTGTCAGCGTCCTCTGCATTTTCATCCTCGTCTCCAACAGCACCATTCGGGCCTTCCCTTGTTTTCGCTCGAAGTGCAGCTCCTACGTGACACAATGTGATAAGTAGAAGATATGTGGATGTAGGGTTTATGACATACCTCCGCTTCTACCCAATGGTTTGGCGTACTGTTTGAGCCATTCTTCTGACTCCCAAACTGTTCCAAGATTTGATTAGTCTTGTTATACACGAACGCGAGTAATATGCCTACCAGGCTTGTTGGCCATGCCCTGCAGTTGCATTTTCATTGGACGCGCGAGATTCACTCGAACGACGCGTCCTTTGAGCTCGTTGAGATCCATATTGTCAATCGCATCCTGGGCATCGGCGGAAGATGTGAAGGTCACAAAACCGAAACCCTTGTGTTTTACGGGTTCTAGAAGGGTGAACGTTAAGAACTGAAGCGTAGAATGAGAGTGTAAATGCTGACCATTTTGTTGCGTAGGATGTGTGGTAGCAGGTGGCAACTGGACATCTACCACATCGCCTGCACAGGAAGATTAGTGGGTTGGACGGATTTGTAAGTGACTACTCACCAAATACAGCAAAGGTCTCCAACAAGACGTTCTCGTCTACCTCGTCATTGAGGCCGCCGACATAGACTGTTTTCTTGGTCTTTGTGCCTTCCTCCATGGTCAAGTAGCAGCCATGACTGCAGTTGTACTTTGCTTTCCCACGGCAGGCGACCAGTGCTTCGTCTGGATTCCCACGACTCCCGAGCACGCATCTCTTCGAATCACCCTTTGTTTGGCTTTCCACAGGTCTTTGTCACTGCCTTTCCTTACGATGCCTCTACTCGGGTGGTCTTTTCTCACATGGTGTTGTTGATGATATCCAACAGACATTGTGACCAGCCACAGCAGCCCAAGGCGTCCAATATCTCCATGTAGGCTGCGCGCTGAGTGGTGTGAGCCCAAGTCCCATTTCAAGCTCTGTATAATCTTTGGACCGCTACTGCCAGCGACATGGCTGTTTCACGAGTCAAACACCCAGCCTTTTCCATCATTTCGTCCCGTTTTGCCGTCGCTATCATTCACAGGTGAGAAGATGGATCCCAAATGCGATTCTCTAGCCTGTAATGTCTTGCCCGTAATGGTGAAATGGTTCTGCTGGGTTGTGTATCTATTTTGCTTGCTGTGCGATCGTCGGGTCCACGTTCAAGAGATTCTATCCCTTTTGTGGTGCTTTCCTCGCCATTCGGCCAATACATTCGATAGGCATGATTCCCTCGAAGCACAAAATCGGTCATCCACCTAAATAACGGAGCGCTGATAATCCATTTACAGCCTTCATTTCTCTCTGTACTTGGGCCATATAAGCTTGCTCTCAAGGTTCCTGTATTCCTCCATGTTCAGGCACAGCTGAACAGCCCTTAAATCCTCCTAGCCAATGTCTCCGGTCTTGCGGAGATCTTCTTCCTCGGATTCAGACAGCGAGTCTCAGCTTTCCGACTGCTCTTCATCCTCATCCTGCGGCGATGAAGACGAGTTCAACAAACGCATTGCGCCAAACTGGTGTGCTCATCGGCTCATCATTGAGCGATGCGGGTTTCGACTCGACACTCGTCGCGACGTCAAATTGTGGTATCAGCATTACTGGGAATCCCTGATATCGCAGGGATATACGGTGACCAAGGATCTTCCAGGATATACCCGAGCCTGTAACGGTAGTGACGACAACGAACTGTGTAAAGATGCCGGACTTGTCAGTGTCAAAATCGAAGTTATGGTTCCAGCACTCACATTGCTTCAGCCAGAAAACCTTTTCCGAGGGACGCGATGCAAGGATGGGACAAAGGTCGTCATTAAGGCTGTTCACCTCCGCAGCCGTGAATACGACGTTGTTCGCTACCTGTCTAGCCCTTCCCTGCGAAACGACCCAAGAAACCATTTGATTCGTGGGTGATGCTGCTTCCGGCAATCGAAGAGATCCCTAACTCTTATTATAGCCATTCTAGATCTCATCGAAGTTCCCAAAGATGATTTGGTCTTCATGGTCATGGAAGAGTGGTCATCACATCTTATCCCTGAGACGCCGTGTACTCTTCGGCTCTATCTCGGGGCACTACGTCAATGCATCGAAGTTCGTCTTTGACCTTGGCTCCTCACCTGTGGCACCATAGAATACTGATTTAATCCCACCAGCATGCTGTTTTTATGCACTCTCACCACATCGCACACCTTGATATCTCCATACGCAACATGCTTACGGACTACCGGTCCAACTATGCCTACATTGACTTTGAATTGGCTCGGCGTTTTGACGGGATACATCATCCACGAATACGCGGTTGTCGGGGAACCGAAGTACCACCAGAACTTGAACAAGGTGGGGTCGGTGACCCTTACAAAACCGACGTCTGGGCCTTAGGGAGGATGATCTTACGTGCATGCTCAGTATGTTCCGTATATTACCCACGACATCGGGTTGATTCTCATACTGACTGAGTGTCTAGTTAACAGGGTATCACGTTCCCGAGCTCGCGGCTCTTGTTGGTGCAATGCTAAACCCTAACTTTGAGCAGCGTCCTACGGCCGCTGTTGCTCTAAAATCGTTCGATACGATCATGTCGTGTATCCCCGAGGCGCGGCTGCGCATGTCGAGCGGATGCAATCATTGACATTCCACCACAGGACTGCGGTATCATAGGCATTGTCTCACGTTTGACTTAATGGCTCGTTTCGTACATTGTGTGTTTTGTACATTGGTATATGGTATATTATATGTGTAGAGGAATAGAAATACAGGGAAGACCGAATACATACAATAATTCCTAGTCCAGTTTGGATGGCTCACCAGCATCCCCCGACGCATCTGCCTCTTCGAGCTTCCGCCTCTTTCTTGCCAAATAACGCTCCTTCGCACTTAGAACGGCCTCCTCGGTATTACGCTTCGTAACGACCCGATTGATGCTCTCCTGCTCCCGTTGATCCCTCTCCTTAAGTCGCTCCCGTTCCTCTTCCATCTGCCTTGCAACTTCCCTGGCACGACGCTCGTTGATCTCCCGCCGACTTGCAGCAGTACCGACAGCTCGATGAACATGTACGGTCTCCTCGGAATGGCTCTTCGAAATCTGCAATCCAAGGCGCCTGGTGTTCGGTGCTGCTAGGTTGAGTCCAGCGGATAGCAGTTCCCTCTTGTCAACAATTTGATTCTCCTCATTGAGTTCGACTTCTTTGCCTTGTTCTCGAGCGAGTTTGGCGAGCTCCAAGTCCGACTGGGCCTTAAACTCTGGTGGTTTCGTGATAGTCAGGTTGGGGGAGGGTCCCTGAGGCCCCTTGATAGTGGATGTTGAAGCAACGGCTGCAATAGTCTGTTCGTGTTGCTGTTCAGTCTCCTCGAGCAGTTTGCGATAGAAATGCGCCATTCCCGTCCCGAGTCCCTTGTTCTTCTTCTTCTCCAATTCTGTTACATAAATTAGTCTATGAATGGAACAAGAAGACATGACAGAATACACACCGTCTCGTCTCTTTTCCTCCTCTTCTGCTCTTCGTACTTCGACCATTTGATCTTTGTAAGCCTGAGTTACGAAAGCTTCCTTGTCTATGAACTCGTCGCCTTCAAGTTCTCGTTCTCGCTGAATCATTTTCTCTTCCGCTCGAAGATGATCCAATCTGCGGGTAGCGGCGGTGGACAAGAGGTTGCCGATGTATTTGGGCTGTTATGACACTCAGTATTAGTTAGGAGCAATGCGCTGCGATCGACCATAGACGTACCTTTCGCTCCTTCGAGTCGATCTCCTTTGCCTCCTTCTGCCGCTGCTTTACTTCCTGCATCTTATCCCAGACTTCATCGTATTCGAATAGCGTAGCATCCACTCTCTTCTCCTCATCCAGCTTCCGCTTCAGTGCCTTCGACATCTCCACATTCTGAGCAACTACCTGTTTCGCAGCTGGTACCTTCTTGTCCTTGCCGGACAGTGTGGGGGCCGCATCCAGTGGTTCATCATCGCCTAATGAAGCAAACGCAGCAGGTCGTTTGAGAGGAGGGGCTTCGCCAACAGACTTTCCAGCTTTCGCCTTGGAGTTGGCAAGAGAGAAGGAAACCTTCATGGTCTGTGTTACGTAACCAAGTGTTAGGGATCACAAAAGTACCTGCTTCCTTTTATAGGCTTGCTTGTAAACATGGCTCAGACCAACTTTGATCGTAGGCGAATCAATGGCCCTGAAGAAAGTTTCGCACCGGTCTTTCAGGAGGACGATGAAGAACTTCCAGCATGGCGGCCTGGGAAGCCACGGCATGGACGCAAGGCTGCCGATATCCGATCCATTTGTGCGCAGTATTCTTCTTATTCTTTGTTCATACCACCTTGACCAGTAACGCCATAGTTTTGAAGCCGGGGCTTATCAACCAGGCTAATGGGTCTGCATACATCGAGACGGAAAGGACCAAAATTGCTTGTGCTGTGTTCGTTTTCTCCGTTCATACCTGAAATGCCCCGTTGTGACTGAGGTTCAGCTATGGTCCTCGACAGACAAAGACTACGTCTTTTGCTGAAAAAGGCAGGCTGAACGTAGAAGTGAAGTTTGCGCCGTTCTCATGCAGAAAACGCAGAGCTCCAATGCGTGTACGTCGTTTCCCCGAAATTAGTTGTGGTCCTCGGCTAATTGCCCTCACAGGATGCAGAAGATAGATCCGTCGCCATGCAAATACAGCAGGCTCTTGTTCCTGCCGTACGATTGGAACTCTTCCCGAAATCCACTATAGATGTCTTTGTTACAATCATTGAAAACGATGGTATTGAAGGTTGCATTGCCTCTGGCTCTGTTGCCGCAAGTGCGGCACTGGCAGATGCTGGGATAGAAATGCTGGGACTTATAGTCGCTTGTTCAGCAGTGAGTGTTGTTCCTCCCTTGATTTATTCTCTTCATTAATTTACAACCTTAAGGCTACAATTGGAGATGAGGTTTGGCTGGATCCCACGGAAGAGGAAGCACGGTCTTCCACTGGAAGTCTAATATATGCCGGTATGCCCGCATTGAATACCGTCACAAACCTATCACAAACCGGACAGATGTCTATAGAGGAGACAACGAAGGTAGGTCTAGAACGACACTATTAGCAACTGCCGAATACTTACCGTCCTATTCCTCCTGAAGTGCATGCAGGCTTGTCAGGAGCGATGCACGGATATTCATGTTGTGGTTGCACAAGCACTTCTGGAGAATGCGAAGAGCAATTGATATACACCCATCTGTGACCGTTCACTTTGCATATCAATTCCTCCGAAGGTCTGTACACGAAATTCTCCACCGTCTGCGTCCCGGTACATTGTGTCTCGCATGGTATCCTCCTTTGTTCTAACCTTTCCCCCTTCCCCACTGTCAACGTGAGACGTGTGTCGTTCAGGTCCACTTAATGCCTTCCCTCTCTATTTTCAATCTAACACCTCACGTAAACCACCGCGGAATACAAAGACGAGTGTCCATACCAGGGGCTAAGAACCGCAGGAAATTTCATCACGAAGGGCGTTTACTGGTACCAAATGCGGTATATGAGTTGTTCTTCCCGCTAGGTCGTTCCTAGAAGGAAAACAAGGGGACCCACAACCCATTTATGGAGTACAAAGCTCGATATATTTCAGGACAACTAATATTCAGTCTCTGCTACTGACGGCTCACAGATCAAAGGTACCCGCCGGCACGTTTGTCCACTTGGTACGGATATGTTTCCAAATCCGAAGTTTAGCCTTTAGATTGCCTCAGACGCTTGTGAGTACAACGTACTTCCTCGGAAATTATATGTAGTATTCACATGGCCTACTCAATATAAGTAACATGCGCTTTGAATGCCCTCTCTACGGCAACCTTGTCGCAGCATAACTTGTATCCTTAGCGCTATTGACCTTGAGTCACCTTTCGTTCATTATCCACCGTCCAGTCGTTATTCAACCCTCCAAACATGTTCCTCTTCCGCGCTGTATTCATCGTTGCCGCCGCTACGTTCACTGGCAGCGGGCTTGTCAATGGTAAATCTTGTCTTGCTGTAGTCATAACTTTACTGAAACTGTTTTCTGCAGCTATCGGCCTGTGGCACTATGCAATGATAGCCGAAGAGCCATCTGCTGCCGTCTCCATATCCTCGAATTCCCCTACGTTGCCCATCGAGCCTACGCTCGTCATTTCATCTCTCGTGGAACCTACGGCAGTGCCTACAGTTGTCTCCGTTGTGTCCACTTTGCCTGCTGAGCAGCCAAGTCCAGGGGGCGCAATTGCCCATGTTAGTGAACAAGAACCATCTGCCACTGTGAGTTGAAAAGAAAAACGTGGCTGCACATATACTGACTATGCCCTCAGGCTGAGGCCGAGTTTCCTACCGTGACGTCGCGAATCCAAGTACAGGCTAGCAGCGGTGAAATCCGTGTAACTCGGGCTACCAAAGTCCTGATCGCTGTCCCTCTTCTTTTATTCTTCCTATGTCTATGAGCTTGGACTCGTATTTTATCTCGCTATATTATAGATATTTAGTCTTGTAATGTGTCCTGGCGTTCTTATGTTCTCTCGTACGCTTTCTTCCCTGCTGTGTTGCTTTTCTCTTCTTTCTGCACTGCATCGTCTCGTCTAATAGCGTCATTCTGTAGCTTTAATTGTCATGTTATCGATCATGTATCGCGTATTCTTAGAATAGTAATTTTCCTGCATATTATGCTTGTGCTCTGGGTTCCTCTACCTAAGCACCGTCGTTATGTCATGCGTCTGTGGGCAGTTCGCAGTAATCTAGTGTATTGTGTGAAGCGGGCAGAAACTAGCACTGCCGAAAGGGGAACATAGAGTCCTTGATCGAGTTCACACGTGGTCATGTTGATGGGTGTGCCAAGACAATCGTAAACTTCGTACCCCTACGACATTCCTGTCATTGACAAAGACTCTCATCCTGTCCGCACGCACCGCTTCATGACAATTTCCTCTTCACGATAATCAAGAGTGCGAAATACGAAATATCTTTCCGATACGCAACATATGAGCACTACCAGTAATGATGTGCTGTTTGAGGCCGTAAAATCACCACGAAGCCCTCTCTCGCAAGCCTATGATTCACCTCCTTACTTACGTTCGTCTCATGAGTCGGATGACTCTCTTCGTGAACTTGAATTCTCCGAGGGGCCTCTGCTGGCAGAGCCAAGATCGAGAGGACGGTCGTACTCCGTGTCAGGCTTTGACTTCGAGAGAGATCTGTTACCTCTAAGTTCAAGTCTCAGCGAACCTGATGTCCAGAGGGGGCCCGGAGAGAAGCATATCGGACTGGTCAATGGTGAGCATCAGCTATATTTGCACCGTCATTGTGAGAATGTTCACCAAGTGAATCAAGGAATTGCATTGGTTGTTGGTCTTCAGGTATGTATATAAGTACTTTATGAATATAAGTATATGATCCAATGACTGATTCAGATAGGTTCCGGAATCTTGTGAGAGTCTCTAGTCCGTCTCTATGCCATATTTCAAACTAAACCTCTCTGGAGCTCTTCGCCAGGAGTTGTTATAGCAAATACGAAAAGCGTCGGGGCAAGTCTAGCTGTATGGGTTGCTTCGGGAGTCCTTGCATGGACTGGTGCCAGTAGTTTTGCAGAACTAGGCTCATCGATACCAGTGAATGGCGGAGCGCAAGCGTATCTGCAATACTCGTATGGGCCTTTGGTGTCGTATCTCTTTGCGTGGACCGCAATATCTGCCCTGAAACCAGGTCTGTCTGCCTCTGCAGATGTCGCGTTCATTGCTGATGATTTTAATTTAGGCGGCAATGCTGTCATAAGCCTCATCTTTGCTGAATACCTGAATAGGTTGTTCTGGCATACGACCAGTTCGGACGTTTCGCCAAATGCTATTCCACAGTGGGCTATTAAAGTCACCGCCGTTGTAGCCGTTCTTATTGTAAGCATAATCTGCGTAGCGACACCAACCCTAGGGACGCGAGCTGCGGTTGTTTTTACAACAGTCAAGGTATGATACATGTTTTATTCTTGTATGGTTCCTTGTTCACTCGCCCTTAATAGATTGTTGCTCTGGTATTGTCCGCAAGTCTTCTTCAGTGCACTTTGTTATACTCATGAGTTGGCGTCCATTAGCTCTCCATAACGATCCTTGGCTTGGTTCAGTTGGCTCGGGGGCAAGCTTCGACATCACTGACGGAGCCGCTATTTATGGAGTCCAGCACAAGCCCTTCCTCATATGCTCTTGCTTTATATTCAGGCTTGTGGGCATTTGACGGTTGGGATCAGGCGAACTACGTTGGCGGAGAGATGAAGCGTCCGGAGAAGAACATCCCTCGAGCTATTCACACCAGTATGGCGATCGTCATGGTATGTTCGTTGGGTCCATAATTGAAATGAGAGCGTGGGTTCATACGGTGTTTGTTGTCTAGCTTCTGTTTCTGCTGGCCAATGTTTCCTACTTCGTCGTTTTGGACAAGGTACTGACCCACCTTCGCATTCGGTAACTGTTTGCAATGCTGATCCTATCTCAGAATACGGTTGGACTAAGCAACACCGTAGCGCTTGATTTCGGAAGAGCACTGTTTGGACCTATTGGCGGTGCGGTATTTGCTTTCATGGTCGCTTTCTCTTGCTTTGGAGCCCTGAATGGTACGTACTCCACTTCAATGCCTCTTTTTTGCCTGCAGCCCTTCACTCACCGTCTTCAGGCTCGTTCTTCACGTCCGCTCGGCTCATATACGTTGCTGGCAAGGAAGGATATCTTCCCGCTCTGTTTGGCAGTCACAACAAGACCTTGAAAACACCTTTGAATGCCATGTGTCTTCAAGCTGCACTCACAACCGCTTTCATCGTCCTCGGAGGAGGCTTCAGGTCGCTGATCAACTTCGCAGTGGTCGCTTCGTGGGCGTTCTATTTTCTTACTGTATGCGGAATTGGGAGCATATCAATGGTAATGTCGTGCTGACTTTCTCTCTCGTAAGGTTCTGGGATTGGTTATCTTACGCTTCAAGGAACCGCTACTAGAACGGTAATTTCAGTTGCTCTATCGATCTGGAGCCCACTCAAATGTTATTCCCAGGCCGTATAAGACGTGGATCATCACGCCCTTCATCTTCTGCGCAGTTCGTATTTTCATTGTTGTAGCCTGTCACTCGTCTCACTTAATGTCGAAGGTTTGTCTCTTCCTATTGTGCATGCCCATCATTGCCGCGCCATTGGAAGCACTTGCTGTACTTGGTATGTCCCTGTGGCTTTTTCATACAATATGTATATCTTACATGTCGGATTTCCAGGCTTCGTTCTCGTGGGCATTCCTGTGTACTATATAACTCAGACAGCTGAAGGAAAGGATCGACCGCTCATCATCAGTAAGAACTTTCACACATGCTTGTCACTGCTCCAAGCTGAAACCAATTGCTTCAGACCTATTTTCTTCTCTGATAGCGCGCATACGTGGCCGATCGTCTCCTGGTCCAGGCTGGCAAGCAGTTGCAACAGGTGATGAACAAGTTGAGATGTCTGAGCAGGTTCGGACATCACGATAGCAGGCCTTCTCTGGGTTGTTACCTAGAATTTTGCTTTTTCACCTTGCCATTGCTTTCCAGTTGCATCTCTCCCTGTTTATACCTGTTCTCTACATCCGAGGTCGGATTGGAATACCCTAATCTACATATAGAGTTGTTAGTCGGCTCATACACAGCCCCATTTCATTTTTATTGTGTTTGTTCCGAGAGGTCCGACGTCCTTGCGTGCAACTTGCGTCAGTATGCGCAGTTGTTCGTTCACGGTTGCTTTGCGACCTTTGCTGGGATTGTCTCGGATAAGTATCGGTCAGCGTGCGATTTCTAAGCAACCGGATAGGTCCGTAAGGTGTTTCTTGGATGCAGTCCATCGATCGTATAAATACAGCCGCCATACTCTCACTCGTTTCATACATACTTCACTATACCAACGTCTAGGAGTACGTGTTTTGAGTGTTAGATCCCCTGCATACCATTGAAGCGTTGGCCCACTCGATTAGGCTGAAGCTCTATTTATCTATATCTATAGCCACCATGGTGAGGTAGATCCTCGCTTACTGAGGAAACATTCACCAATGGATTGAGCGCATATAGTCACACACTTACAAGTTCGATGTCAAGGTATTTGCTTCACTCATTCTATCGTCTGACCACTGTTGAACGTATGACATTATGTAGATGACCTGCAGTGGTTGTTCTGGTGCGGTTGATCGCGTCCTCAAGAAGACTGAGGGTGAGTGGCACCTCTGTGGCGACGTCTCTCCCGCTGACTGCGGTCTCAATCAGGCATCGCCTCGTATGATATTAGTCTTGAGAAGCAAGAGGTCATTGTCAAGGGCACGATTCCCTACGATGCGCTGTTAGAGAAGATCAAGAAGACCGGCAAGGAAGCACGTAACGTCTCTTACGTTGCTCTACGTTTCTTACTCATGATCCTTCCTCTACACAGGTCCGCTCTGGCGAGACTTTGGAGTAGAATGCCTCGAGAATCACATCATGCATACCCCTTGTACGATAGCATTGTAACAACTTTTGGGATTCAAAGACTCTGGATATTTCTGATGTTTGAGCTGCGTCCTACACTACGTTCCATGTAACTGTCAGAGGGATTTGACGTTCAGACGTTCTTTGATAGTTCTATGACTGGAATCCGCTTGGTCGCACTGTTCTGTGCTTTAGACTCCGCGCGTCTGTCCCTGCGAGTGAGTGCCGTAGCGGGTTTGCATGTCCGCCGTGTCCACGCCGTGCATTCCTCTTCGGTAGATATGGTTTTCCAACATGTTTGTCCCCTTTCGTCCATATTTTCCTTTCGCTTCAGGCCTCTGCCTTTCTTACTAAGTCTGTCATCGTTCACTGAACGGGCGATACATTTCAAATCGATTTCGGAGTCGCGTCGAGGGCTTGCCCAGATCAGCCACAGTATCATCTTTGCAGTGTCTATATCTTCCCGGTAGGAGATAGGGCTGGTCCTGTTTCTCAAGTTGCAGGCATCACTACCGTCCACGTCTTCGATGTCTGGTCTCTCTCCGAATCCACCAACGCCTATACTTCTAAACGATCTCCAATGGTTAACAGCGTACCTGACGGTTCACTCTCTCAGCGATGCAAGCAAAGTTTACTCCTATATCCTTTGGATTGCCATAGGAGTCATCCTGCTTGTCTATAGCATTGTGCACAGACTTGGGTTGAAGGGTGGATATATTGGCGCGTTATGGAGCAAATGGGCTTTGCGGAGGAGAACGTGGCGCAAGAAACATGCTTTAGCCATGGCTGTCAAGAAAAGGGAACCGCATAAACAGCCCAAATCGTTGCCTTCTAACGCACAAATTCTCTCGTTGACTGCGCTTGTTGTCGGTAGTCTGGCGCTAGCGTACATTGGGCCCGACTACCTCGCGCCAGGAACACAGATATGGAACGTTGGGAAGGCTCCTTCTGCCAAACGTGCTACTACTTATGACCCCGCGCTTTTCCTCCCTTTCCAGGCCAAGTATACTATCCCAAAGGCATGGTGGAGTACCGCCGCCCGCACGGGACAGATTGCCTTCGCGCTGTTTCCCCTGTGCATCCTATTGGCCTTGAAAACTCCTCCCTTCGCCGTCTTTTCCATCTCGTTCCTGACGGATATACACTTTGACAAGCTGTCGTTCTTGCACCGGTGGTGTGGAATGTTAATCTGGTTTATTACCACACTTCATGTTATTTCATGGAGTGTTCAGCTGAGTCAAGATCAGCGTAAAGGACGTGTATTGTACACCTATGCCTGGCAATATCAAAAGTTCATATTCGGTTGGACAGTGAGTAACGTCATAGTCCTAAATGATGATATCGTGATTTACGCCGATTTGACAGGCCTACGGTATCTTGACCCTGATTATGATCTGCTCAATACCGCCCATCCGAAAGCGTCATTATGAGATGTTCTATTTTCTACATATCCTCTTGATCCCACCAACACTTGTCCTTGCTGCGTTACATCATCCGCCTGTTTGGTGGTGGTGTTGGGGTGCTCTTGCCGGGTGGGCAGCAGAACGCTTGTATCGGTTTTTCTGGTTCCTCCACACAAATGGTGCATTTGGTGGTGTGCAATATTCGCAAAAACCTGCGAAACTCCAAAAGAAATCATCATTCAAAAGATCGAAATCACAAAGCGAGGTCCTTCAAATGCACACCCTGAACGTAGGAGACGCCAATAGCGGTCACGACCCTGCACAGAAACAATCTATCCCTTATCCGTCCGCATCTTCAGTTCACAGGATTGTCATTCACGATGAAGGCTATGTACCTCCGCCAGGATTCGTCCACGCCGAATTGTTACCTGGCCGCACTGTACGCCTGCGTATAGTTCCTCGAGGGTTCGTATCGTGGGCACCGGGTCAGCACTTCCTTATCAACATTCCAGCGGTGGCCTGGTGCACAACGCATCCCTTCACTGCAGCTTCCATTTGTGATGCGGCTACTACTACAGATGCAGGCCGTGAGATTCTTTTCCTCGTTCGTGCAAAAAAGGGTTGGACGAAACACCTATGGGACACCGTCGCGATCATGGGAGCCCATAATCACAAACTTCCGCTCGGAGAAAGCATACCTGCTAATGCAAGGCTGCCACCTCGCGGTGTTCTGATGCGTGGATTCGTGGATGGACCATTCGGTTCTTCGACTAGAGCGTCTTGGGGAACATACCCATCGGTCCTTCTCGTGGCTGGTGGATCAGGCGTCAGCTTCACGTTGTCCGTTTTGCAATATCTATGTCTTTGTATTGCTGGAAGAGATGGCAGAGAATTGGGTGCTAGGTCCGGGGGCTGGGGTAAACCCAATTTCAAAACCACTCGTGTGAGGTTTGTATGGCTGATTAGAGAATTTGGTACGTTACAATTGTTCGTGCTCCCCACAGCCTCGTGCTTTAAGCTAATGGATTGCTGATACAGGTCATATCCAATGGTGTGCTTCGGCCCTGCGGAAATGTTTGGCGATTCTCCCCTCCCCCGAGCTTCAAATAGATATATTTGTAACCAATATGAAGCCCGCGCAGCGTATTCCCCGTAGTCCGCAAGTTCTTGACCAGAAAATTCAGGACATCGACGACGAAGGCGAGTTAGAACCTCCGTCGCCACAATTCGCTCGAGAAAGTCAATATGGACGCCCTGACAAGCACCGTTCGCGTAGTCCATCCGTTAGCTCGATTGAGAGTGAGGATTCTGTGCACAATGATGTTGATCTCAGCTATTACGAAGGAGGGTACAATGAACAGGAGGATGGAGAACTTGGCCACGAGGAGCATGCTCTGGACTTGACCAACTTCGATGGAGACGATGATACCGAGTTACCTGGAGAAGCCCAGCTCAACCTTTCGGTGAAGCAAGAGGGTAAACGAAGACGATCATACTTGCGAAGAGCCTCTGTAGCCTTTGTCGCAAAGCAGGACTTAGACAAGCGCAGTACAGCGATTTATGAATATTCACATAGTCCTTCTGCTGTACACCTCCTCGATCCTCCAAGACCTACTTCGCTCCCACCACCTTCTCTGCAGCCTATCACCGAGCACATACGTCTTGGAAGTTCGTCAAGAATATCCCGAGATATGGACTATCTGCGTAGCCCAGGTAGTTCAACGGATGTGCAAACGCCAACCAGCGCAGTCGGCCTTTTGGCCAACGATCGACATCCTTCCCTACCTTACTCGAGTGCATGGTCACCTCCATCACCACAAGAGTCTCCTCAACTCTCACATCTAGGAAGCGCAACATTTACTCACCCATTAGCAAATCGCCCCACTTCTATGCTCTCCGCAGTGACGACAGCCTGGTCAGATAGTCATAGTCTTGCTGCGTTGGTGTCTCAGGCTAGTTTGAAGGACCAGATTCGACTTGAGTTGGATGATGGGGAACTTGCAGATATCGGTGTAGTCGCTGAACGTGCTCGTCCTGGCAAGCCAAGGCTGGATCGCATCCTCGCTGATGAAGTACAGAGGAGCCAAGGTGCGGTGGTTGTTGGCTGTAAGTACATGCACTACTCGTTATCATGTCCCTTTTCGTGTTAGCTGATATCCTTTATGTCCTGACCAGGTTGTGGTCCCACTTCCCTGAATGCATTAATGCGGAAGAGCATTGCTGCTCAGATAGATCCTGCTCGTATACGTCGAGGCGACATGCGGGGGCATATCGCACTCGTTGCAGAGGACTTTGAATATTGATGATATACCCGATGAAAACGGACTTTTGCTATCATTGCTACAACTCTGACGGTCGTTTTGTTTCCATTCGCATCGCTACTACTGTATCGAACTTCATTCACGGACTTGGCATTACTTTTAACACCTTACACCAACCTTACACCCATACTGTAGAAGTAGCTTCTTAGTATACGCAACCCGGCTCTGAAACGGGCTTATGGGTAATTCTAGCAGGACTGCATTTTTACCTACTCTACCTCGGGAGGACTAGCAACATGCGTATATAAGTAACAGAAACCGTCCAAGCCTATGCGACGAATGGATAACATGAGTACACTACAAACATCACGAGTGGTATTCACCGCTACTGTTTTCCGACCGTTCACGCGCATCCTCGCTCTGCTTCCACGGCCCATCGGCCAGGATGCTTGTCTCTTGCTTGGCAATAGAAACGCGAGGAGGCGTCATATCCAACGACTCGTGATAGCTACGGTCAGGCATATCATCATATGCGTCAGGTACTTCATTCTGCCCACTCGAGCGATCGGTGGGGACTCTGGGGAGCATGGCTTCGTGAAGGGGAAGAATATCACTAGCAGCCTCCCGCCGAATACGCGGAGAGTACGGATGATGCGAATCCGTCGCAGCGAGTGAAGGGTAGTACTGGCGATATGAGAAGAAAGCTAGTAGAAGCCCGAGTGCGGACCCTACTAAGACATCCTGCCAATGGTCTTGAAAACACGGTCAACGTTGTACATACCCGTTATAGGTGAAGGCTATTATGAACTTACGACGATAATCCATGGTACGCGAAATGGCAACCAGAGCGGCACCACAAAGAGGTGTTATGGCTAGCCAGGCCTTCGGCTACGTAGTGATTACAACGTCAGTTATACTGGAATTTGTATAAACAATAGGAAAATATTCTCCACACGTACAGCATGTCCACGGCGGTCGAACAAGTGGACCTTTCCGGCCACATATAAAGACAGGAAACCAAGTCCTGCGAATGAAACTGATGATGTAAAATGAAGCCGAAAATGTAGTAAGTAAACCAAGTACGATGATACGTTATGGCATGAACATACGACTTGAGTGACCACTCGGAAAGCTACGCCATCCATCATCCAATATTGACAGATCGGTTTGTGTGCAAACATCAACGGTTGACAGACCATACTGCGGATCAGCGGAACCAGGTATAGGAATACAGCGAGCAATCACATCTGATGCGAAGCATAAAGACTTGGGATTTAATGATCGATTGGGAAGATGTTGGATTGTTCATACCTGGTCTCGGTCTGCCAACTGTGATCTTCACAATCTGTGTGACTGACCCTGTGAGGGCGAGGGAAAGTATCACTACATACTATATTATTAGGTGGTGCATGGACGAATTGTTTGAAGTACTCACAGCCTAAATAACTGGTATGTAGGTCCCACCACGAACGCACCGACAGCAAATTCACAATGGGTAGTAATACAACAGGTGCAACAAAGCATATTGCCACCAGAGCAGGGTTCTGATATATGCGGCATGTTCAGCAGTGCAGCTGGGAGTAATATGAAATTATACTGACCGGTACTCGTTCATGCAGGGTATAAGGGTGTCGTAACCTATGGGCTAGTTAGAGGGACAAGAGGCAGCAATATGAGGCACTTACGAGGTATCTTCTAAGGAAAATTGTCTCTTATAACTTCCGATCTTCTCAACACCATAAAATAGTGCGCTGCGGTCAAACGCTTTAACTCCGCATTGCACAGTTCACGATGGTACAAGAAAAGACGTACGCAAATCCTATTGTAAAAATCCTGGTACACTGTGAGCATGTTCACGACTGGTTCTGAGCCGTGCAGCAACATACCAGTCCGGCAAATAGGACAGAAATAATTTCTTCCTGCGCTGCGGGTCCATTCTTGTTGGCACACGACCTGAAGTCCGTCTTGTCAAGAATGGCAACGTAAAGGTCATGACACTGCGTGATCGGAGGCTTTCAAGCGAGTTTAATTATGCCAAGGGGGGGTATAGAGTCGACAATGTTGGTAGAGTACAAGAGAAAAAGAGCAGGACAGCCTGCTGGTTGGTAAGAAATACAGAAGAACGATGCATTGCCCCGTAACGTGCGGTTGGAGAAGTAAGCGGATCGCCTGGGATACCCAAGTCCGACTCGCCAAGCATGCCCTCTGTTCGGATGAGAAACTGCCGCAGCAAATCGAAGACGCTCATTTGAAACTCTCCTTTACGCGTTCATCTTGACTTTATAGCGCTTGTTAGCAGCTATTCAACGGCATATCTGAAGCTCAGTAGCTGCGGCCGTCGACATGAACACTTTCGAGTGGCAGCCAGGTACCGTGTTTGAGCAATTTGGATTATGCACGCTCGAGTGATAGCTCTGATTGAGTTGGTAGAATATGACGCGATTCTCGATCGTATAGCCTCGACAGATACCGTAGAGTACGTCTAAACCTTGGAGGGGACGTGTCAGGACACTCAATGTTGTCTGTTTTAGCACAGAATGGCCGAGGCTCAGAGATCTTATCAAGTATAAGATCCAAAAGGTATGCACATTAAGGATCTCTCCGCCACAGGAAGTTGACTCGCATCGTACAGAATGTTGAACAGTATCTAGCGAACCTAGTGCCGGAGGACAATGCCGCAATCTTGCTCATGTCTCGTAATCCACCAAGGAGCACTCCTAACGGTGGCTTGAAAATTCCACCATTCCCTCCTCGAATACGCCTGGAGGGCAACCCCAACGAGGCCCCGAAACACGCTCTGACCGAAGCGGAGGCGAGCGATTTTAGAGACATCATCTACAGAATGCTAGACGACTTTGAAGGGTGCGTATCCTGCCATTGATTTCACCTAAAGAGTTGGGGGACTTAGAGTTGTATACACTCCAGGCCACCATTCACTATTCAACGCGTCTGTGAACTATGCATACATCCACAAAAGCACTACAAATACGTCGGTAAATACCTACGTGCCGTAGAAAAGACTCTTCTGGTAACCTCAACCTGGGACGCATTCCCGATACCGTCGGGAACCGACACAAGTCAACCATCTTTTAGCGCAGGCGTGATCAGCAGTGCGACACTATCAGCACCATCGACCCCAATATTCTCGCCCATTCCATTCCTCCATGGGGACGCACGACGGTCACAATCACGCAGTCCTCCACCATCGCCGTTGGCTCTGGCGGCGGTGGCGGCGGTGGCGACAGGAAACGGGTCAGATGTAGACGAAAAGCCTCTTGGGCTTGTGGATGAACTGGACGATCCAAGCCCTGGACACCTCAGTGATCACCTACAACCAATTTCCTCCACCACATCTGTAGGCTCCAAACCAATCATCCCGAGTCTGGGTGACCGATTTGTCAGTTCAACGACGGAGACAAATTTGGATACTGTGCAGACGTTGCAACCATCAGCTGAGGCGGAAGATGGGGATAGGATGCAGGTGGATGAAGAGTCGGAGGATAAGGAGAACAAGGCTGCGTGAGGGTAACTTATTAAGTATTTGTTTTGCTAGATTTATAGTGCTTTGCTCTCGTACCAGACGGGTAACCCCATTGCCCCAGAGAAACTCTTCATATTGCACATTACGCGAAGTCCCTCTTAATCTTCTCTAACATAGCGTTCATTCGTAAACGCATATCGGGCTGTCCACGGCCACGTCCTCGTGCATGAGTTCCTTGCCCTCTATCTCCGCCTCTTCCTCTTCCATAATGACCTGTGCCCCGTAAAGAATGTGATTTATGGGTATGGAGTGACGACCGGGAATAAGCTTGCTTGTTCAGTTCACGAAGAGAAGGCTGTTCTTTTTGTTCTTCGTCGTCACGATTTCGTCTTGTTCCTACGAACTGACGCGATCCTCTTCCACGACCACGAGAAGATTGCACAGGCTTGGATGGAGGTTTATCGTATTCAGATTGGTTTTCCTCGCTTTCCTCACTGTCGCTTGCTTCGTCGTCACTGCCAACCGTCTCCTTGTCTTCGACAATGGACTCGTTGTCCTTGTTGTCCTCATCCTTGTCATCTTCGCTATTGTGCGATTCGACAGTTGTTGACATATGCGGTGGGACAGGTCTCTGTGTGACTAGTCCTTCCTTCCGTTTTTGGGCCTTCCATTGACTCTTAATCTTTTGTGTTTCCACCCAATTTTTCTTAAGCTTCTTAGCTACACAATGAGTTAACAATATGCGGTGGGTGCGGTGCATGACATGAGAACTCCGTACCTCGATCCAACGGTAAATGGCGGAAGGTCGGTGGCTTCCTCTTCTTCACGGTCGCATCTTGGGCCACCATTAGAGCTGTAAAACTTTTATTGGCCCGGATGGGAGTCTAGATGACTGGTTGCCGGAGCAGGCAATGCAGGCAGTACAGACCAGAGAGAGAACCAGAAGCAGCAAATGGAGAACAAGCGCCCGATCGAATCAGACGCCGCTTACATAAGGGGCAGAGTATATAAGGCGGACCCGAGCTGAGTGGTAGAGGCAATCTCCCCCTCGTCTTCACGCTTTCTCTCTCACTCTCTCAAACAGCCCCCACTCAGTTTTCGGCCAAACTTCTTTCTTTATATATTCCAACCGTCGCATGAGCGTGCAGAACCTAAACACTTTCGGTACGTTGCTCTGCTAGTTGGCTTATCGATCCAACGCGCTTGTATGCATGGAGATTCCTGACCTGTTTGTCCTCTACAGATCCCTTCGCAGACGAAGGAGACCCCCTTGGCACAGCTCAAGACGTAGGGTCTCAGCAGAACTACATCCACATCCGTATCCAGCAGCGGAACGGGCGTAAGACGTTGACTACTCTGCAGGGTCTTCCCAAGGGTAAGTCGTTCGGCCTGTACCCCTTGAAATGTCTTACTAATCCTTTTCTCAGAGTATGATGCTAAGAAGCTCTTGAAGGCATTCAAGAAGGTAAGCCTTGATCACTTAGATCCCATGTGGCACGGTGCTAATTGTTTCTCCCCAACCATCAGGAATTCGCATGCAACGGTACTCTCGTTGACGACGAAGAGGCTGGAAAAGTTATTCAGCTCCAAGGCGATCAACGTCTAAAGATATCCAACTTCCTTGTCGAGGAAGGTATTACCAAGGCTAGCATCAAGGTCCACGGATTCTGAGGAGTTTTTCTTGCGCATCGAGGAAGTGAACTAGAGATCGAGCTCTTATATTTGACGGCTTTCCCTTCCTTCACCTTTTCACTTTACGCTTCATGACACGTCTTTCTCCCATTTTGTCATTTCACCTATTATCGTCTTCTCGTTTGTCAGTGTACCACCTAGTTTCGAATGCTACTCGGACTGCATAATACCGTGCATTCTTTGCTGTGATCGTTACATGAATTCATAAACGTTACTCCGAATCATCATTACAGGTAGTGTAAGCTAAGGAGCGAACGAAAGCAGGGACGTCCTGCAGTATTGACGCAACGAGCCACACATAAGGTAAAAGTGCTGCTTGGAATCGATTAGCACTCGGATGACCTACTGAGCGGACGGTGCACCTGCAACTTCTCGGCGTGCTGTCGATATTGAGATAGAAGCAAACCAGATCGTCCAATGTGCGAAAACAACTTAACTCAGAACGCATCGAAAAGCAGAAAGAAGTTCGAAGCACAATGTGCATCGCAGACTACTTGATTTTGTCCAAAGGCCTGAAAGATCCGATTCAGTACATTTAGATAGTAGAATCGGGTTTGAATCTCACCTGTTGAATCCTCCACGTCGGTTCATGTACTGTCGCCATGTACGCATTTTCTTGACGTCAACAGCGCCTTCTTGATTACCTTCAACATGCCTTCCCTAGATATCAAAGAGATCACAATGAGCCCAATCCATAAGTATAAACCTCATAAGGTCTTACCTTTGTAGTTCCGAAGCCAGCTAGGCCCATCATAGCCATCATAGCTTCGTCAGCTTCGTCAGTGACGTCCATGATTTCGCCTTCCTGGCCGTCCTCCAAAGGAACTTCGGAGTCCTGGCGTGGTTTCGATTCTGCCCCGGAAGCAGATGGTCCTAGCACCCACGTTAGATGACCTTAAAACTACCCGACGATACCCCAGTCGAAAGATGTACGTACCTGCATGGGAAGGTTGCGGTGTATCTCTATCTCCTGTTGGTGGGCGAATATCTTCACTTGCCTTCTGTAGTTCACGTGTACGTTCCTGGGTGCGGATGTCGCCTCTAGAATCTCGTTCTCGTTCCTTCCCGGGCTCGCGTCGTCCTAGGTCTCTCTTATCGTCCCGGTCGTGTTTATAGTCGTGATCCCTAATGTCCCTTCTATCTCTGTCATCTCTCCTTCTGTCATCTCTTCTATCTCCGCCTCGTCTATCGTCACCTCTGACTCTTCCGGAGTCCCCTCTGTCTATGATGATAGACTACAATTAGTATACGATTGAAGTGTAGCATGCGTCATCACGCACCAGGGTATCGTCGATCGCGGTCTCTGTCTCGGTAGTCAGCTCTACGTGGACTTCTTGACCTGGACCTACTGTATCGAGGGCGGGGGGGAGGAAGAGGTTCGCGATGTCTGGGTAGTCTTTCACGGTCTCCTCTTTCTCTACTTCGATCGCGTCTTGAGTCGTATTTCGAAGACATTATGATGGCAAGGTATAGCGATGGTACAGCCGCGCAGATAGGCCTATAGGTAGAGTAGTAACCGTAAGAGCCAGAAGAATTCGATGGAGACCAGTACTGCAGTGAGCCAATGAAAGTAAGAGGAAAGTGCAATCGCGAACAAGCGCCCGTTGCTTGTCTCTTTCTATATCTTCACCGACCACCGCCTTCACTGGTTCTGGTTTCCTGACCGTCGCGTGAAAATGGATGCGACAGCGTTGGCAAAGTCATTATCAAGGAGTGCTTACAGAAGCAGTGAGTCATCTCATTTACTCCTTATCCAACAAACACAATTCTAAACGTCGTCATTCTTAGGGCCACCTCCGTATTCTCGCCACATTAAACTATATAATCTGCCACGCACTGCTATTCCTGCAGATCTGCGAAGATTATGTGCCAAAAACAACCTGTCAAATACTGAGAAATGTATGCGACTACCCTGTAATACGCCCAGTTTTTGAATGACCTTCGTTCTTCGTCCTAGTCAACCTCCTCTATGAACGTTTCAAGCCCACAGGCAAAGGTTTTGTTTCGTTCACGTCACCAGAGTTCACGCCGAATGCTGTCAAAACACTCCAGCATGCTATGGTTGGAGGTTCGCGTGTCGAAGTGGAACTCGTAAGCCCCAATGGAATGAATCAACCAGGTCGCACCCGAGGTGCGAGAGGAAAGGCGCAAGCCGTCGAAAGAGGGCTCTTTCTAGGAGATGGACCTGATGCAGGTTTGACGCGGGCTGGCACGAATGTGCTGCTGACTGGCCTGCCAGGCAAGTCTACAGCCGACATCATCAAGCAGTATGTCAGGACATTTAAGTTGGCTGGCTACGAGGATAAGGGCGATGTCATTAAAGTAGACCTGTGAGTGGCCCAGCTTGTCAATTTTTGGTCAAAATATTCAGCTATCGTTGACAGTCCTGTCTCACGAATGGCTGTCACTGCGTCTTTTGTAGTCCGACTGGCGTCCATGTCTGAAGCACACAGACTGGTTCGGAGGTTACACATGACATTCTACCGTTCAGATCTTTTCTTCGAAAAGTACCCCCTGAAGGCACATGTAATATACTAAGCTTGTCTCAGCATTCTTCAGGTTTAGATGGACATGCAGGATATCATATAGACAGCGACATATAATCTTACAGCATAATGTAACAAGCCTCTCGTCTCACATGCGCTCTGCATCATGGTCAGTCTCTTCCAGACGGGCTCGAGCTTCTCCTCTCCTATCGCCTTCCTCGTCTGGTGACCGTCCACGCTTGAGCGTGGTCTCAACTGCGCCTTCCGCCTCTTTCCATTCACCTCCACCTCCAGCAACCGCGCCAGGTCCTTCTTGTGCGTCAGCATATCGTTCCTCGACCTCGCGTCTTCGCTCAATCTCCAGTCGCTGTGCTTGTGCACCCCAGCCGCCACGGCCAGGGTCGTAGTCTGCTCTGTGTTCGTCTCGTACCTGTCGCAGGATAGGTTAAGAAGGTAGTGTTGTACAGCTTGCATCCACGACTCACCTGTCCACCACTCTTACCCCGTCCAAACTGTCGTCCTTCTCGGTAGCCTAGATCAATATCGCAACGAATTATCCGCTCGTCGAGTTTTGAACCGCTGACGTAACGTAGGCAAGCCATTGCCTCCGCGTGAGTATAATATTCAACAAAACAGAACCCACAGGGCGTCCTATTGAAGAAAAGGAAGAGAGAGAACATAGTCAATGCGCATGACGAGTGAATGGAAACATGCAGGCTAAACAAACCTGGTATTTCGATCCAGTCCCATAATGATACGCTTGATGCCACCACCTTCTTCTGGGGTGGTGCATTTTGAAAAGAGTTCGTATATCTGTTCTTCTGTTGTGTAGAAACTCAAGTTACCAACCTAAACATGTCCAAGTAAGCTTGAGCACTGGTTGATCGAAAGTCGGAAAAGACTTGCATAGAGAGTGCTCGACTTCGCGAGCAATTCGTTCTGCTTCTGCCTGTCCACGCGAGCCTGAGAATCCTTATAACTTGACGGTTGGTCAAGAGGCGTCACAACGTGCGCCATGGCAAAAGGTGTTATTTGGAGGAAACTGAGTAACGAATCTTGGTCTAAGTCGGTTGAGGCGATATATGGGCTCCCATAATGGGTAACCCTAACCTCAGACGTCTGAATCCGACGCGTGAAGCCATTGACCAAGCCGCGTCAGCGTGAACCTCACTCGCGTCCTCTGCTGCAACCACCACCTACTCACTCGTTCTTCACCATGGACGAAATTGGCATTGAGATCAAGAAGCAGGCAAGTTTGGCGGCCTTGTTTTGCAATGACGGGATTCTAAAAGCATTTCTAGGAGCCTACATTCGACGCAGCGTTGTCTGAAAAGACCGCGCTATTGCAGGAAATACAGGAAGATGACTTGTACACAAAGTACAAGAAGCTGTCGCGGCACTTGGAGATGCTAGATATTCAGGAGAGTTACATTAAGGATGAACAGCTGAATTTGAAGCGTGAACTTATCCGCGCACAAGAAGAAGTCAAACGAATTCAATCCGTCCCGCTAGTCATTGGCCAGTTCCTCGAACCTATAGACCAGAGCACTGGTATCGTTGGATCAACAACAGGGTCGAACTATGTCGTGCGGATTCTTTCAACACTCGACCGGGAACTCTTGAAGCCTGCATCATCGGTTGCGCTTCATCGACATTCCAATGCTCTCGTAGATATTCTCCCTCCCGAAGCCGACTCCTCTATTGCAATGCTCGGTGCAGACGAGAAGCCGGACGTGACATATTCGGATGTCGGCGGAATGGACACGCAGAAGCAGGAGATTAGAGAAGCCGTAGAGCTACCTTTGACGCAATTCGAACTTTACAAGAAGATTGGTATCGACCCACCTAGGGGTGTATTGCTATACGGTCCTCCAGGTAAGAAGGTTTCTTGGGACTTCGCCTTTGTTCTGTTCACTAATGACGTTACAGGTACGGGTAAGACTATGTTAGTCAAGGCCGTCGCGCATCACACAACTGCGTCTTTCATCCGTGTTGTGGGTAGTGAATTCGTACAGAAGTACCTCGGTGAAGGTCCTCGTATGGTTCGAGATGTCTTTCGACTTGCCCGTGAAAATGCGCCGTCTATCATCTTCATTGATGAGATTGACGCTATTGCCACGAAACGTTTCGACGCGCAAACCGGCGCAGATCGCGAAGTACAGCGTATTCTGCTGGAGCTGTTGAATCAGATGGATGGTTTCGACCAGGGAAGTAATGTGAAGGTATGTATTCTAAAAGTGCTGTAACATATCGGGAGTATATGTCGTTGAACACCAGTACGATTTAGGTGATCATGGCAACAAACCGAGCGGATACACTAGATCCCGCATTGCTTCGTCCTGGTCGTCTGGACCGCAAGATCGAATTCCCGTTGCCTTCGCGTCGTGAACGACGACTTATATTCCAGACCTGCACAAGCAAGATGAACCTTGGTCCTGATGTTGATTTGGAAGACTGTACGTCTGCTTTGAAGTCCATCACGATCCATTTCGTTGACCCTCGTTTTCGACAGACGTTTCACGACCAGACCGACTGTCAGCAGCAGAGATTGCATCGATTGTTCAGGCAGCAGGTCTACAAGGTATGACTGAATAATTTCATGGTATTTATGTCATGCTAACCCAGATGATGTAGCTGTACGCAAAAACCGATACATTGTGCTGCCTATTGACTTCGAGGAAGCGTGGAAGGTGTGTTATTTGTGCTTGTTTGGTGCCTTTGCGTCTCGGCTATTTTGACTGAACAACCCCTTTTCCTTCTTACCATCATCCAGCAAACAGTCAAGCGCAGCGACGAGACTCACGAGTTCTGTAAGTTCTAGATTTCTTTCGAAAAGAAATGTGATGCTAATGATGTGTTATATAGATCGATGATTCGTGGTGGATGTATTTTTGTAGTAAGTGTCTTCGTTTCTGACATGTCTGCTGTCGTCTGACAAGCTATCTATCAGGCTTCTATTCTGTATTTTACTGGACAGATTATCATATTTCCGTTTCATTGAATCGTGTGCCTCCAGTCTAAGCATGAAAGCTCTGTCACTTTAGCGTCTCACCGCATGTCCTCACGGAGTGACGCTCATTCTTATGAGCGAGATGGATCATCCTGTTTTCATTTTCTTGCCTCTCTTTTCTGTCGTGTATGCTTGTCATCAACGGCCTTATGGGAGAAGTGGTTCACACGCAGGATACACTTCCTATTTCTCATGAATTAACATATGGACCGAACGGATATTTTGTACAAGTATTGGTAAGTACTCGTCACTACACCCTAGTCAATGGCTGCTCAAGCAACTTCTGCAGATCGTGAATATAATTTCTTTCTGTCGCTCCTAAGCCCCTATATTCTTCGTGTGATTGTCCTAGATGAACGCTCTTTGACACTCTGGTCGACGTTGATAATACTACACGTTCGTCCTCATTTTATGAGAGCAAAATGGATACGTGCATTTTTCGGAACGCGCTACCCCTCACCTAGTAGATTCTGTCCTACAATGACAGAATTGAAGGAAATTGATGGTGACATCCATTCCATGAATTGCCATGTATCTAGTAATGGATATTCTACATTTTGCGACCATCCATGAGTAGTTCTTTGATGCTTAGGTCTGCGTTGAAATAAAGTGTTGGTGGATGAATTGAACTGACTGTTCACTTCTTAGCAGGCTGTCCAAGTTCACTTGCGCGTTCGGTCGCAATTTGAATTGCTCGTGCAATCGTTGATCTTACTCTTCCATCCTCCAGAGCCAGCAGACCAGCAATAGTACATCCACCAGGAGCTGAATGAGACGTAAATACATGCATGTCACTAGTTAGTCAAGGAACAAGACTCACTTGTAACTGCATCCTTAAGTTGTGCCGGGTGTGTTCCACCACCAAGTGTCATACGAGCAGCACCTTGCAGAGCTGTCAAAAACGTCAACTGTCTGATGCGACGTAATGCAAAGTAATTCAAACAGACTTTGAGCAGCAAGTTCCAGAGCCTCTGCACGAGGCAGCCCCATCATAACACCCCCATCTGCCATCGCTTCCAAAAAGATGCAGGCAAATGCAGGTCCAGACCCCGAAAGTGCGGTACAGGCGTCGAAATGCTTCTCATCCAGGAATCGGCATCTGCCAATAGAAGAGAATATTTTGAGGATTCGTTCACGGTCAAGTTCGAGTGAATCAGATGAGGGCAAGTTGCTGACTACAGTCATGCCTTCGCGAATCTGTTTACAAGAATAGGTGTCAGGTCGGTAGTGGGCGGCGGACGCTGAGAGGTTCTTACTCACTTTGCAGGGGGTATTGGGCATTGCACGAACGACCGAAGTGCCGGCTCCCACCATATTCGTGAGTTGTGCAATGGTGACACCCGCCAGAATACTGATGAGAAGCTTGCCATGCAGAGCTTCCTTTAATCCTGGTTCACTCAAGATTGCTTCAGCAAGCTGAGGCTTGCAACTGTTGTCTCCTATCAAAATCCGTTGAGAAACATTTGATATGATTCTGGAACACACCACAGGAGTACAACATCAGCTTCTTCAACAGCTTTTACGTTGCCCCCAACTAGAATTTCAACGCTTGGTCCCAGTCCCCCCAAGCTGAAGAACAGGCTCCTAAGTCGCTTCGCGCTCTCTTGTCGACTAACAGTAGCGACGAATCTAGACGGTAGTGAGTCATCTGTCGGCAAGAGAGTAGGTGTGGTTGTCCCAGGGGTATGTGACTCCCATTTGGCTGCTGCAGACTGAGAGAGGGTCGCGTCTAAGCTGGCCAGAACGCCAGATAGAACAGCGATGCCCATAGTACCACATCCTGCCGCCGAGATGTCAGAAACCGCGGTCGACCTGAAACGTAAATGTCGGAAAGACCAAAGTACCTATTACAGCAAGCGTATAACCCATCCCTGTGATCAATCAGCTGTTGAGGTCCGAAAACAAGAGCACGACTCAAAAAGTGAGCGGCTGGAAAGAGAGATGACTGTGTGACCGGTAAAAGCTGCACACGCCGGGGTATTTACAGAGAGGGGCGGCGGAAGAGGCACACTCAAAACAACCGGTTTCTCTGGACGTTCATTCTAAATCTCTGCACGCATGTATGCTTTCGTAACAGTAGGCTCAACTCGCTTCGACGGTCTTGTCCAGCGAGCCCTCTCGGACGCCGTGCTCGACGTTCTCCGCGCGAAAGGTTACTCGAAGATCGTCGTACAATGTGGCAACTCCGAATTCGACACCAAATCGTACGAATGGACAGGCGAAACCTGGGTCAGGCGTGGTGAAGAGCATATCGAAGTCTGGAGATTCAAACCGTCGCTGCAGGAGGAGTATGAACAAGCGGATCTCGTCATAAGTCATGCGGGTGAGTCTGTCTTTGTTGCTCTCGTCCAATAATACCTCATGAATATATAGGTTCTGGGACTATTATTGACGTGCTTCGCCTGAGAAAGCCTCTAATTGTGATTCCCAACTCGACATTGCTGGACAACCACCAAGAAGAGCTTGCTTCCACCCTCGCCCAACTTAGGCATCTCAAGGCGTCCACCATCTCGTGAGTTTGCAACGTTCCGACATCCCGCATATACTCACCATAGTCTGACTGTATTCGCAAGTGAACTTCCCAAGGCTATCGAGTCGCTAGAGCCCTCAGGATTCGTGCCGTTTCCAGTATTCGATGGCAGCAGGTTCCGCGAGATGCTTGACGAGGAGATGGGCTTTGCGTGACCATTTGGGCTTCTCTCTGTACTTTTTTGTTCTTCTGGGGTTTTGGATTTATCTTGTACGGCTTACTGCATACCTGGGACCTCGTTGTATCACTACACCACACATACACGAAATTCCTATTCTTGTTCTCCAAAATGCCAACCGTGCAAACTGTATCGGTGTCTGACTCGCAACCGCAAGACTATGAGAACGAACATGTGCACGCAGTCTATGATGAAATTGCACCTCATTTCTCTTCTACGCGTTATAAGGTAAGTCTATTGCACATAGCGGAAATATTGACGTTGTTGAATTCCATTCCAGCCATGGCCGATAATTGCCCAGTTTCTATCGTCTCTCCCCACCGGGTGGGTGGGCCTTGATTCGGGAACTGGGAACGGAAAATACCTTCCTCTACCTGCAGATCGCCCGGGAAGCGTATGGACAATTGGCCTTGACAGAAGCAGAAACTTGCTCCAGATTGCTCGAAAGGCTGGGGAAGGAAGTACCATTAGAGAGGTTATTTGGGGAGATGTTCTCGGACATCCTTGGCGAGACGGAGCATTTGTTTGTGATGGTCCCTCATATGCTGGGAGGCTGGACTGAAGACATGTGCAGGATTATGCCATTTCGATTGCTACAATACATCACCTATCAACGCATGCAAGACGCAGGTTAGCTGTACAAGTATGTATGTCTACTAAACCATCTGCTTTCTTGCTCAATATCCTACAGAGGTTACTGAAATGTCTATCCCCCTCACATGGACGGTGTCTAATTTATGTATGGGCGATCGAACAAGATGAGCTCTCGAAAAGGACTGTTCCGACAGAGTCACCTGCGGAGAATGGAGGGCAAGACGTATTTGTACCCTGGGTGTTGAAATCGCAAGGGCAGCCCAAAAGGAAGATTCAACCGGAGACAGATAGATCACCAATTCCTACGTCGCAAGACCAAGAGAAAGTTTTCAATCGGTATTATCATATGTTCGCGAAGGGAGAGCTGAGGACATTAGTTTGCGAAGCTGCTCAAGGCATGGGCCTTCAGATTGGAAATCAGCCAGAGGGAGCCAGTGGAGTTGTTGGGATAGAGATTGTCCAAGATGATTGGGAAAGGTCGAACTACTATGTAGAACTTAGACGTTGGGAATGCAGTTAGTTCACCTTGAACTTCGATCTCGCACTTCATGCAGCCAAGAGCAAGAGCGTGACTTCCATGTCAGACTGACAAGGTATCATGCCGGAGATGGGATATGCAATGCAATGGGATCAAGCAACGATATGCAGCGTACAGAGGAAGCAAAACAGATAGCAGCAACTACTCGCTCGCAGCCATGACTGTGCCAAACTGATCAGCGAATGTTGCGATAATCAGAAAACATCACTCACTGGCGTTGATCAAATCTCCTCCACTGTCCTTTAGTGCTCGAACAGCTTTCGCGCGTGAGCATCCAACTTGTTGCATGACGAGTTCGATGTCTTTTGCGTCAATACCGGTCTCATCGACAGTACCCTCCTCAACTGGCTCCAACTCGGGGATCTCGTCCTCGTCCTCGTCACCGCCGCCAACACCAGAGCTCTCAAGGTTTGGGACGTTGCCAGCTCCGCCACCAGAAGCGAGCTGCTGGGCAGCAGATAGACCAGCCTGGGAGTTCATGTCCTCGACCTGAAATGAGACGATATTACAACGCGAGTTTCACGAAACCTGCATTGACAGTCGCATACCTTAGCCTCACCGAAGACGATGTAGCAGTCGCTGTTCTGCGACTTGTAGACATCGGGAGACGCGATCACGAACAAGATCTATAAAACGGGTAGTGTGTTCAGACCGCGTACAACGCGATATCCTCCGTGTAAACACGTACGTTCTTTGGTCTTCTGAGAGTCACCCGAGTGATACCGGGGACTTTCTTCAATCCAAGCCCAAGGAGAGCCTTCCTGGCCTTGCGCTCCGAACGCGACTGAATCTTATCGAGGGCAGCTTGGGAGGTGGGATCCTCCTCATGGTCATGATCGTGATCATGCTCGTGCTCAGAGTGGTCGGAAGGGAGTTCCTCGATGGTGGCAGACATCTGGATTGAGAAGAACACGTATGATCGTCAGCGCTGGCGCGTCGCACATCCAGAGTCAGAGCAGTCAATCCATCCTTCGCCGACCGGCGAGAATGCGCTCAAGTGCTCTCTCCTGGATCATCGGGTGCAGAACAGACGTACGGTTAGTGTTTGGAGGGCTTTGGGAATGAAGGTGCGTGCTCGACGTTGACGACGATGAGGACGCAGTCTGCTAGAGCAACCCTAACCCCAGGATCACGCTTGCTTGAGCGCTCGCTGGCTTGTCTTCACCTCATTCTGGACTCTGGAGGTTTCATGTTCGTCCAGCATTTTACTTATAGTACTGTAGCTACGACGTTGGATGTCGCTTCTTGCATCCTATGTACTACTTACTGTTCTGAACTAGGCCACTGTTTTTCCCGGGACTCCTCCTCTGATGCTAGCTGGCCCCTCGGACAACGTCATGCTCTCCACTGGTGGCCCATATAATGTACACCTGCACAACGGAAATATCCATATAATACCCTCTCTACCAGCTGATACTACTCTGCCCCTGATATGGATACTGAATCGAAGAAGGCGACTTATCATTCCCCGGCCTACACGACAGCTGGGGAAACCATGATGAGTTTCCAGCCCATCAAGTCCATTCATCAGCATTTGTGTGCCTTCCATGTCTATGCGTATGCACCGGTTTACATCCCCTCTTCGCCCTCGTTGATGGTGGCGAAATAGAGACGACCATACTCGTCATGTAGAAGCACATCACTATTGCACTCACCGCTCTCATGATTTCCACCAATGCATCATCTATGATTCCGATGAACCTGGTGCTAGGTTGATCGGAATTGAGTATATCGTTTCCGAGAAGGTTGGTGTACACAACAAGACGTAATATTGCCAACTGAGGAATTTGGCAGATATTCAATGAATTGTCTCAGGAAGAGAAGAAGTATTGGCATTCCCATAAATATGAGGTACATAGAGCGTTGCTATATTCAGTACTACGACTGGGCTTAATCACGCAACATGAGATTGAAAGTGGGTTATTGCAAATGCAAGTCAAGAGTGCTGTTCCAGGTGCGCCCATATCTATTCACTTCGTTCGTACATAGTTCAATTCCGAATCATGCACGCTTCATATTAGTGTCCGCGACCGATCTAGCGGAGCAGCCTGCAATGCTAGAGTTACAGCAGACATATGGTAAAACCATCCACACCTGGGCCTATGACATCCATCCCGAATTTCCTATTGGTCCGCCCAACCTAATGATGGCGTATACTGCTGATGGGCAAGGTCCACCTCCTGACATGCTCAAGATCCGAGATGAGAAATGCGGCATGGATACGGAGGCGAAGAGGAAGCTGCGTTCTGGATACCTGCCACCGTACCAGAAAGTGAGAGATGCCGATGAATGGGAGAAGACTGGCAAGGCCATTACATTTGAGGCTGTGGTAAAGGATATCAAAAAGTAACAGATCGGGTCCTCCTTGTGACCGTCAGGCGTCATGTACACTACTACACTCTCCGAAATAATGTTATCTGAAGATCCTCATTTATATACTCTGTCCTACACTGTGATTGTCCCATCCAGTCGTGTAGCTTGTGGCTGAGGCCGGATAAGAGACAGCGAGAACCAGCTATAGCGGTGGGCCGCGCTGTGGGTTATTCATGTCCGCGCCTGAACTCTCCCGCCAACTTCGTCTCATCCTCGAAAGCTCGCCAGATGCGCCATCGCTTCCGACGCTCCTGGAAAACATCGACGCCTACGTGCAAGAGTATGCTAACGCTCCAGACGCGGAAGCAGTTTCCCTCCATGTAGAGGACAGGCTGCAGACCATCTGCAGCGACGTACTCGATCACTCGGTTTGCGCGCAGTTGGAGGTATTTCTAGCCGTACTCTACCATCTCCTGCCAGTACTGCCCTCCCTCTCTGTTATTTCTTCTTGGTTTGAAGTGGTCATTCGTCCTGCCCTTCGAGAACCAAAGCTTGCGACCTCGGCTGTAAACCATGCAAAGGAGCTCATCCTCAGAACTCTTGAACTGCCAACCGAGGCTGACGGGAACATTGGGGATGAAGAGAGGGGGCGAAGGGAGGAGCTTATTGGCAATTTCAGAAGAAGACTGATGGACTTCTACCTCCTGGATGCATATAATGAGAGCTCAGGTCACGATGTACTCGAATGGGCTAGCCTAGACGATCTCTCCAGGGAGAAGAAGGCATGCTGGAAAGCAAATCTCGAGGATGTTCTCATCAAACTAGGTCTGCAAAGACCTGAGGTGTGTCACATTAGTTCACTACTCGAAAGTATGCTCATACATCCCGCTCAGGATCTCTTGACGGAGGTGTTCCGCTGCTTTGCATCCCCGCCGTCGCGTTTGCAATTATTATTGCTTTTGAATTCCTTTACTTCACAAGCAAAATTCCCAGACGTGGCTCATGTCATGGCGTCGCACGTCGTGACACAGAGTCTCCTGTATTCGTTCACTTTCGATAACTCCACCACATTATGCACCATTGGCCTGACAATGTTGACAAAGCTCCTTCCTATATTCGCTGTGAAGGCCTGCGAAGATCTCAAACGAGTGCTTCCACAGTTGCTCATCGTCCTAGCGCGTACCATTTGTTGGAAGCAACGAGCCCAATCGAGCATACATGACCTTACACCTGAGGACTTGGGGATGAGCTCAGATATTGTCGGCAACGTCGTGGAGAGCACAGGTGCTGAAGATACCGACACCATGGCCAACAGGAATACATTACCTATACGCCCCGACTTGGATTGGGAGAGGTTGGATCTGGTCTTCTATGGAGCAACACCTGTCCCTCCCTCCCCTCATCAATTCTTCCAGTTTTTGTATTACTTATTTCCCTGCAACACACTGCGCTTCCTTCGCTATCCTATATCATATCTCACAGAAAATAACGTGGAAAGTCCCTACACTGTGACGTGGGATGATGCCCTAGACGAGGACATGATTAGAAGCAAGAGCGAGGTACGCGTTTCTCTTTATGACAAATTAAATTGCTTCCAATTGAAAATTCGCCATTATAGTCCCTTCTCCGTGGGCACGTATTGCATCCACTGCTCATTTGGCGAGATGCCACCTCCGAGCTTGCGCAACCTGATTTCTGGAATCAATATGATATTCCTCGAATCGTCGGGGAGTGCACTATGCTTGATGTACGACATGCATCCTTAGGATTGCGCCAGCAGCAACTTTTCGGCGCAGCCAAACCTGCGTTTGCACCCGCATCTGCCACTTCTTTACCTGAGTCAATCAAGGTTGCAGAGCCCGCTTCTGTGTCCACGTTGTCCTCATCGGTTGAGAGCTCTACTTCGTCGGTCTTGGCACATGTGCATGGCACGGCTGCCCCTCGAAAAACACGAATATCGTTGCAGGAAATGATCAATGCCTCTATTGCTCTCAAGTCCGGATTGGAAATCGAGATTGTAGACTCGATGCCAACGTGGCCCACAGCCCTGTTCCAGCAACCTCGGACAACGTCAACGACACCTTCGCTTGTTGTTCATACAAGGCCCACCACTCCGGATACTGTTTCTCTCCCTGGACGAGCGACGGACGATGTGCCCTCTCATGTTGCACAAGCCATCGCTGAGTTACAGCGGGAGGTCCTTCTGTTGAGGAGTGAGCTGAACTTTGAGTTGTGGATGGCGAGAGAAAATGTCAAGCATATTGGTCGATTGTACCACGACCGTGTGCTATCACGAAATGCTGAGGTCGAACGACAGGGTCTGGTACGTATTTCAGAATGCGTCTTTTCGGCGGAGTCTAATGGCTATGCTATATGTATCCTCAGCATAACAAAATGCGCGGTTTCAAAGCCGAGGTCCAGCGGCTGCAGAAGGAGCTGAAAGACCACAAGGACCAGACGTTGACAATGAAGAACCAGTATTTGGATTACAACCAAAAGCTACAGGACAAGCTTCGTGAGCTCAGGGCAGAGAAGTCGTCTTGGCAAGCAGAGGCAACAGCTATGCGTGCAGCTGATAAGGAGTCAAAGGTACGCTTGCTTCATTATTTTTATTTTTCTAATATCCAGATATTCAAGGCGAACGACTGTTAAGGATACGTTCGCTGCCCAAGGCAAGCTATTGGATGAGGCTACCCACCGCGTCTTCCAATTGGAGACTACGATCAAGGAGAATGCGCACAAGATCGATAGACTTCATGACTATGAACGACAGATTGAACAGCTGGTGAAAATGCAGCGGTTATGGTATGTGTAGCTTGTGATGTTAGTTTGGGAACTGTGGATCTGAGTGCATGCATTTGTAGGGAAACAGATGTCCACCAATTGAATGAACAAAACGAATATCTCAAGATCTTTACGAACAAGTATAGAAAAATGGAGCTGCAAGTGGAAACTTACGAATCCATCTTGGCTAAGATGGAGGAAGATGCAAAGTACGTTGCACCCCCATGAATTCAGTGCGCGTTCTCACGTAGGATTTTACGTAGACACCAACGTCTCCAGGTACAGACACTGGAGTCGCGCCTAACCATGGCTCAAAAGCAGGTGGACGTAGCACGTCGCATGCCTTCGTCGGCTGATCTTTCTCAGTACAACGAACAATCACAGAAACTGTCAAAAGCGAACGAGCGACTGAGAGAGGAAAACGCTGAACTTCGAGATGAAGTAGAGGAGATGAAGGCGATGGTTGAGTCGTTGAAGGCGCGGATCACTGGCCTTAAGGATCTGACCAGCTCGCCCGTATCGTCTCCTTTGACCACACATGCGTCTCCATCTGGACTGTGACAGTGACTACAATTGTACATCGACGACGGCAGGCATGAAGTAAGATCAATACCAACATTTACGTGCGCTCCATATCATTGTACACTTGCATCTGATTGTGTCTATATTTTGCTTTTACAACTTGTATCACTAGTATTGGTTCAAATACATCGCGAGCTTTCATGAGATATACTGTTGGCGCAATGGACAGCTTAGGGAAGTGGAGTCGCGAGCAATGCGGGGAAGATAGTCAACTTCTCCTTATCCCACTAAACCCAGATACATCAACCTCAGAAACTTGCTAACCATATAGGACAGACGAAGACTTACGACGTCGTTCACCCAATATGTGTCCGCTTCTATCTGCTTCCTGACATCGTCGATAGATTCGGCTTCGACGAAGACCGCAGAACCGAAGAATTTAGGCTCGCCACCTGCTTGGATCGATGAAGGCTCCAGCAAGGCGGCTCCAACCTCTGGAAGAGTGCAATATGCCGTTAGTGGTCGCGAATGTGAAAGAACGTTCAAGATTATGTACTTAGGATGCCTTTCTCAACGAGGGGCTGGATCCCAGCACGATGCTCATCTAGATACTTTGCACGGTTCTCAGCGGCGCCGGCCTTGTCCGGGGCATAGACAAAAAATCGCTGCTTGGTACCAGAAGCTGTAGACATGACGAAGAAGTTGTCTGAGACAAGGGGATAGCAGTGAGAGGATGATGACGGTTGCAGATATCAAAGACGGGTCCGAAGTTACGCTTTATATGATAGTTTGAGCGACTGAGAATGTTTCTGATTGGGAAATATTGTGTATCGGCTGAGTGAGCACGGGAAAATCAGCTGACAAGGGACTGTTGTGCTCCAAGGGGAAGGTGCGTTTCATGGTGGATGTCATGCAACACAAGTCGAACTGAGGTGCGATCGGAGTACCCATTGTCGTGGCCCATCAGAAATTAAAACATACTACGGGACAAAAGGATGTAAAAATCCACAGAAAAGAGCACAGAACGACAACGGCGAGATACCACGGCCTTTATTGTTTCTCGGGCAGCGACTCGGATAGCATTTGCAATCATTGAAACGCGTGCTTGGGCGCGACTCAATATCGCGACTGTCGATCGCGTTGGTCACCTGACAATAGGATGAGAAGAAGTAAGTTTATTTCGCCGACTTCACAAACGTTCTTGAAGCTACCTTACTAGTCTAACGTTGAGCGCGCTCGACATTATACACAGCGAGCAGGACATGATGGGCGACAATAAAGGATGGAAGGCGATGGAAGAGGATGGAAAGTGGCCGACTGGTCCTTGGCTGAATTGGGCACGCGTCGCGCGCTTACCAGTACTTGGCGAAGGTTCGAGAATGCCAATATGCAGCACCTACATAAAGCCTGCCTCTCCTCCCCTCCTCTCACTGTTACACCCATCATCCACCTGCCTTTCACGACTTTTTGATACCTTTTCTTTACCTCCATCCCATACACACTTTGTAAGTGGTTCCGTCTTTAATATGTCCCACGCGACTGACACTGACAATCATCTTGCTTATTAGTCAAAATGGCCACTGAGAGTTTCGGCTTCCAGGCTGAAATCAGCCAGTTGTTGGACTTGATCATCAGTAAGTCAACAAATGTAATCCATGCAGCTTTGTACGCGTTCTAACATACTTTTTAGACACCTTCTACTCCAACAAGGAGATCTTCCTTCGAGAGTTGATCTCGAATGCTTCGGATGCGCTCGACAAGATCCGTTATGCTTCCCTCACCGATCCCTCTGTTCTCGATACCGAGAGGGAACTCTACATCCGAATCATTCCCGACAAGGAAAACAAGATTCTCTCTCTTCGTGATACCGGTGTCGGTATGACCAAGGCCGACATGGTCAACAACTTGGGTACCATTGCTAAGTCTGGTACCAAGGTATGTGTCGTATTGTGTCTCTTACACGTTTATCAGCTTCTGACCTGTTTCCTGTAGGGCTTCATGGAGGCTTTGAGCTCCGGCGCCGATATCTCTATGATTGGTCAGTTCGGTGTCGGTTTCTACTCCGCCTACCTCGTCGCCGAGCGTGTGCAAGTCATCTCAAAACACAACGATGATGAGCAGTACATCTGGGAGTCCGCTGCTGGTGGCACCTTCACCATCACCCCCGACACTATCAACCCTCCTCTGGGTCGTGGTACCGAGGTTCGCCTCTACCTCAAGGAGGACCAGCTCGAGTACCTCGAGGAGAAGCGAATCAAGGAGATCGTCAAGAAGCACTCTGAGTTCATTTCCTACCCCATTCAATTGGCGGTTACCAAAGAAGTAGAGAAGGTATGATTTTCATTGCCTTATGTCATGTATCAGGTTATTGACCTTTTTTATTATTGCAGGAGGTCGAGGATGAAGAAGAGGAGATGAAGGAGGAGACCGAGCAGGCCAAGGTCGAGGAGGTCGAGGATGAGGAGGAGAAGAAAAAGAAGACCCACAAGGTCAAGGAGAAGGAGGTCGTAAATGAGGAGCTTAACAAGACCAAGCCAATCTGGACTCGCAACCCCAACGAGATCACTCCCGAGGAGTACGCCGCCTTCTACAAGTCGCTGACCAACGACTGGGAGGAGCACCTCGCCGTCAAGCACTTCTCTGTTGAAGGTCAGCTAGAGTTCAAGGCTATCCTCTTCATCCCCAAGCGGTAAGTTTCTATTGTTGCTTTTACTTCCATTAAACATTGTATTGACATTGCGACTTCTCAGCGCACCATTCGACCTCTTCGAGACGAAGAAGAAGCGTAACAACATCAAGCTCTATGTCCGCCGTGTCTTCATTATGGACGACTGTGAGGACCTCATTCCCGAGTACCTCAACTTCGTCAAGGGTATCGTCGACTCCGAGGATCTTCCTCTTAATATCTCTCGTGAGACACTCCAACAGAACAAGATTCTCAAGGTTATCCGAAAGAACCTTGTCAAGAAGACCCTCGACCTTGTCTCCGAGATTGCTGAGGACAAGGACAACTTCAACAAGTTCTACGAGAACTTCGGCAAGAACATCAAGCTCGGTATTCACGAGGACGCCCAGAACCGCAGCAAGCTCGCTGAGTTCCTCCGCTTCTACTCTACCAAGGCTCTCGAGGAGATGACCTCCCTTAAGGGTGAGTTTCTTTAATTACTGTTCTTGTATCGATTTGGTTCTGACGTTATGTTATAGACTACATCACTCGTATGCCCGAGGTCCAAAAGAACATTTACTACCTCACTGGCGAGTCGCTTTCTGCCGTTAAGGACTCACCTTTCCTTGAGGTTCTCAAGAAGAAAGGTTTCGAGGTTCTCCTGCTCGTCGACCCCATCGACGAGTACGCTATCACTCAACTCAAGGAGTTCGAAGGCAAGAAGCTCATTTGCGTTTCCAAGGAGGGCCTTGAGCTCGAGGAGACCGACGAAGAAAAGAAGGCTCGTGAGGAGGAGGCCAAGCAATTCGATGATCTCTGCAAGGCCGTCAAGGAGGCTCTCGGCGACAAGGTTGAGAAGGTCGTTGTTTCCAACCGTATCCACGATTCTCCTTGCGTTCTCGTCACTGGTCAGTTCGGCTGGTCGTCGAACATGGAGCGTATCATGAAGGCGCAAGCACTGCGTGATTCTTCAATGTCATCGTACATGGCTTCAAAGAAGACCCTTGAGCTCAATCCTCGTAACCCCATCATCAAAGAGCTCAGAAAGAAGGTTGCCGAGGACAAGGCCGACAAATCCGTCCGCGATCTCACCTACCTTCTCTTCGAGACCGCTCTCCTCACTTCCGGCTTCTCTCTCGATGACCCGACCTCGTTCGCCAAGCGTATTCACCGCATGATCTCGCTCGGTCTCGACGTTGACGAGGAGGAAGAGGAGTCGGCCCCCGCCGTATCGTCAGATGTCCCGCCACCACTTGAGGAAGCTACGACCTCCGCCATGGAGGAGATTGACTAGGGAACTCATTGACATCCTGTGTTGTGTGCTGGGTCCGTTTGTTCTTGCTGTCGCTTTCTCATCTGTATTCTAGTCACGCTTTGGGCATGTTTTGCGCATCTGATTCTTACGACAAGTAGCATACATTTCTAGTTTATACACAAATCAAATGCATTTTTTTAGCTTCTCGAACACCTAAATTAAGTCCAGCCCAGTCATGTTTGTTGTGGAGTTTTATAATTCCAACAAAACGCCACAAGGTGCATCCCGAATAGGCGCTTCTAGTTTGGGACTTCTGTCTTCCCGAGTCCATGGTCCGACATCGCTGCCTGCTACGGGCTGAAAATAGTGCTTGCTTGTTCGTAGGTGGGCACCGTCTACCAGCTAGACGTATTCTATTATTGTGTATTATATCATTGATTTCTATAAGGCATAGCGAAACCACTTAGAACCACCTTTTGCGTTTCAACTATTATATGACGTTCAAGTGACATCGAGTCTCCTTTCTTTTTCTTCAAACTCGCGCCCGGATATTCCGATATCGCCGACGGTATTCTACCGTGCATACAAATATTCTCCTAGCTTCGGATTCTCCTAGCTTCGGGTTGTTTCGTTACTGTTCGTATAATGTGACGTCATATTCGTACGACATCACTGACATGAATTAGATCTAGGTCGGGACAAGAACGTTCGAAAGGTTCGCTAGCCGCACTCACTGCATAGACACGAAACCTGCGCTAAGGTATGCAATGCGCAGTCTACTGCAACCAGCAGTGGTCATTGTAGATTAACAGCGGAGAGCGTACGCTGAATTTGAGATGCGCGCCTTAAGTCTTGCAAGACCCAAAACGCAGTGCTAAACAGCGTTCGCAGCATGCGTAAACACGTCCAGAATATTGCATATGATATTGCATTCGGCAGGAAACGGTATGCTGACATATGCATGTCGTCAGAGAAGGATGACGGTTTTTGTATAAAGCCCCTAGTCATCGGTGAGTTAAATGCCACTACCTTTGTCTCCTCCTTGAACAAGGTTTATCCTGCCTTCGCAAATTTCTTCCACCTCAGTGACACTCTAAAAAAATGGGTGGAAACGCAGCCTTGGACATAAACCCTCCTACTGCCGACATTCACATCTCGAGGGCCGGCTCTGACTGGCTATGGTCGGTCTTCTGCGTTATGGCTGCGTCCCTCCTGACGGTCATTGCCTTCGACATCTTGGTAAAGTGTTCATCTTCGCCTTCGATGATGCAACTCTAACCTTCAGTTTGCTATTGCAGAGGCCGCGCGGAACACGACTCTTCCATCAGCTTGGTATCATTATATTAACAACGGCAAGCTTAGCGTACTTCACGATGGCTTCAGACCTTGGTGCGGCCCCTGTCCCCGTAGAATTTAGAGACGTAGGGCAGACTCGTCAAGTCTTCGTATGTTCACCGCTGGATCGTTGAGAAGGCCGATACTAACGGTTGTTCCAGTATGCACGGTACATCCAGTGGTTCATCACCTTCCCGCTTGTCCTTCTGCAGCTCCTCCTCTTCTCCGGTCTGACTATTGCCGATATCATCACCACTCTCTACTTCGCCGGAGTCGCGGTCATTATGGGCCTAGCTGGTTCGGTTGTACAAAGTACATACAAATGGGGTTACTACACTATTGGTGTTGTCTCCCTCATCTACGTCTGGTATGTCCATGATACAACAAGCTCGAGTTCAACATCTCATAAGCTACTATGAATAGGTATGTGCTGCTGTGGCACGCGCCGCGAACGACATTCCCTGCGAATGGTGTTCTCCACTCAGGATACTACCTCTTGGCCGCGTATCTTACACTCATACTCTTCACCTACCCCATTTGCTGGGCCTGCTCTGAGGGTGGCAACGTCATTCACCCTACCTCAGAAATGATCTGGTACGGCGTCCTCGATATCCTCGCCGGTCCGGTGTTCATATTCATCGTGTTGTACAACATCTACGGGGTGGACTACGACATCTTCGATTTCGCATCTGGGAAGTACACCGATACGCGTCGCGGCGCAACTCAACCAACTGGCCCGGCGACTACGGAGAAGGGCCCTCGCCCCACGACTGAAGCACCAGCACAACAAACTTAATGATTATTCTACCTTTTCACGTTTCGCAACGCTTCCATTTCAACCACAGTTTACGATTCCCACCTTAACGTTACACTCCACTCACGCTTTCAACGAGATGCGAATACTGTATTATCGAGTATTTTTTTCCACCTTAAAAGGCCTAATCCGCTTCTTTCCTTTCTCGCCTGAATTTTATCTTTTGTTGTTTCCGTATGTTGTATAAAGTACTGTAACTATTGGCCAATGTCAATAATGTAATTCCTCGGGCTGAGCGCGGCTAACACTCTGTATACTGCTGCTCTGCGTCCGATGGGTTTCCGACTTCACCTCGGAAAATAAATGGCTCACTATGGAGCGAACCCAGTTCCCACTAGCCAAATACCAGTGTGGCCAGTGCGGCTTCTCCATATTCGAAGCAATTCATTGACACGGATCACAAACAATAGAACTAGCGTCTGTTAGGGGCGCGGCCGATGAATGCACCCTTGTAGTCGTACTTCGAAAACAAGGTGCAAATTCAAAATGGGTTGGACGAGTTGACTGCGCGGACACTTGGTGCAAACACTACACTTACCCGATAAGGCTATTCTCTTTCCACGTGATGGAGTTGTTGTTTGCGGTTTCCTCTCGATCGCGTTAGAGCGCTTTAGGAAGGTCTGTTGGTTGAGAAGACCGTCAACCTGCAAACATACTGTAGGTTCGGAAACGTTGGCCGTCCGGCCGGTTTCTCCTCATTTCCCGCCTTCACATATTCGTCATTTTCCACTCATTTGCTCCCTATCTTTTGTCTTTTGTCTTCTGTTACCATTCATCTGTTGACGACTACCAGATGTGTGAACCGATGGAATTCCCTCCATCCTGCATGCGCCGCACCATTTGAGACCTGCTAGCATCAAGCATCAAGCAAGCCGTTACAAGAGGTCTGAGTTATCATTGGTGAGTGTCCTTCCTCTTCTCCATAAGGACGGACATAGAGCCGAAGCCAAGCCTGAGAGATGAATTGAGCACTGACTACGTTGCATCGCTTTCTTTAGGCCTGATTATCTCTACGTTTACTGGTTGAGGGCAGCACGATACGCCATCTATAATTATATGTCACCTAATGATGGATGGCGTATCAGGATGTTCTTCGTCTTTACGCTTTCCTTTCAGATTCCTTGCATTCGTAGGGAATGTTTTTGCTTAGACAGGACATCCGACTTATGACAGCCTTGCTTGTCTTACGATTGCTGGGCATGACAGATGCCGGGGTGGTGGCCGATTTCCCTTTTCATCTTTCAGTGATTATCAGTTGCGGTCTTCATGTTCGAAGGCTCGCAAGTAGTGAGGACACCGCTCGCGAACGCGCGACACGCTGACCACGCTGTGCCATGTACGATTGTTCCATATCGGTGCGTCTTCCATATCATTTCTCATCGATTCAAGTTATACCGTATTAGTCAATTGGTGGCCTCTCCGGCGGACAGTGGCCCAGAACCAGGGGAATGTTGTGGATGGAAAGTGGGCCGATCTCGAAATAAGAAACAAGTGCGGCACCTTTTACGCTGGTATCAATGGTCAACGTCATTGTTCCACTGGTGTAGTGTTCACGACGGCCCGAGCCGAGGTAGATAATCATATTATTTCTTATATACTTCCATATGTTTAGTAGTGGGGTTATACGATATTGTACGTTTTCAGTTCGTAGTCACGGCCATCGGGGACAATAAATCGAAAACCAAAACCAATAAGATGCGGTCTTCATTGAGTGGAGTGACTCGTGGTACGTCAGACGCACGCCCTCGTATTTGCACGATGTGTATAAAACAAGTGACTCTTGTCCCTTCACGTACGCGTCGGGCACCGACATTCACAGGGTTATCGACAATAGCATAAGCACTCTTTGTGAATTTGAAGAAGAAAACGATGCCATAGATTGCAAAGGCTCGTCACTCACTCAGTATGATTGAGATATGTTTGTGAAAGGATGTATAATTGTCATGAGATACTCCGACATTTAAAAGAATACAGTCACGCTGGGCGGTTCGCCACTGCGTGTGTAATATAGGCTGTACATTGAGTTGAATCTGTATGTAGTCCTGAATGAAAGTGCTTCACGAGATTCAGTCTTTGCCGCATCCTACGTTGCACCACTGTACTCACCTTGAAAAAATCTGGAGTCTTTACTTCTTCCTCCAAACAACAACTAATGTCCTGTATGGATACTCAAAGATCCCCTTCTCCTTCTCGATCCATTTGAGGCCATCGCCCCTATCCACGATCTCACCAACATCTTTCCTCACTTTCTCCTTCTCGTCCGGAGGAAGGACGGCAATGTAGCTCTTGGTAGAGGCACGTTCTACTACAATTTCACGCGTGCCAGGCAATATATATTCGAAGACCTTTTCGTCTGGGGCGTCGAACAGCTTGTTGTAAGAAGAGGTTGAGAATACCGCACGCCAGAGATTAAGGCGGAACTGCGGCGTTCCGTTCTCGTGAGCCTCAATGCGGTCACGTAGTTGGGCGACCCAGGGCGCTGCATCCCTATATGCGTCTTATTATTCGTCCATCGTGATAACGTGCAAGGTAGAGTCATACCTGTCCTCGAGATTCCAGATGAGCGTCACAATGCCATTTGGTTTCAGAATGCGAGAAAACTCCGTGACAGCTTTGTCGAAATCTGGACACCAATGGAATGCCTGAGCGATCACGACCAGATCAGCCCACTGGTCTTCAACACCAGTATTGTCGAAGGTGCCTTCCGCCACGGACACCCGTTCATCTTTTACGGTATTAGCGAATACGGTACGCATTCCTTCGCTTGGCTCGATCGCGCGATGTTGCTTGATAGACTGCGACCAGTCTGGATGCGCAAGCAGCGCACGCGTAAAGATACCTGTACCAGCTCCTAACCTGAGGTTGAACATTAGCTGGGAACGGATCCCAGAATCATAAGGACATACTCAACAACGTTCAAAGGAGGCGTTCCCCTTACGGAGCTCTTGATATGAGCGAGCGCGCTCGATTGGTAGGAAGGACGCGCTCTAAGCCATATCGTATAAAATATACGTGATGGGATACGACACATATAACCACGTACCTGTCGTACAACTCATTGGTCCCCGTTCCGAACCCCTCCTTTGCCATCTTGTGTACCGTAGCAGCGGCCATTATGACGCTATGTGTCACAAATGATCTTTTGGAGAAAAGTACTGTGGTGCGAAACACAGATAATGTTGGGGGAAGTTGCATGCAAAGTTGAGCGCGCAGGTCTATACATATCCAAGCTATGGATATCCATGGTGCAAACACTGCAAAAGATCATGAGAGTATGGTGCACATCGCCCAGCCGATATCGTGCTTTGTTCGGCCCGACGGTGAACCATACAGTACTAGTAGTCCCTATCGGATTTAAACCCCCTGTATACAACTGCTGTATTTTGTACCTGGATGAATGAGAAGAGCAACAGGACAACAGACTTCGGCGATGAACGAAAGCAATCAACATGAAACTTCAGATCGTTGAGCCAGTGGTTAGTGGTGGCTTGAAACGAACACCGTCGGCGGCTTATTTTGAATTGCAGGAGACTTCGCACGAGTTTGCCGACACTCACTCCCTCCGTCCAACGCAAGTCGTGTGCTCTGCACTAGAGATTCGTATAGAAGAAAAGCGCAGGTGCTCAGAGTAAGGCAGAGAGTTGTTGATTGACAGCTTGAAGGTCGCGTTCGCTAATGGCGGAAGCGTTTCAACAACTCGTTCTCGATGGTGACGGACAGTCATCGACCTTTACTTTGACCGGGTCCACCTTACAAGTTCAACGCCCCGTGGGCAGTGAGTGATAATTTCCAAAGTCATTGTGCTATAATAACACAACGAACTGGTCACAGGGAAAGGCCCGCAGATTCAATTCGAGACGCCATTGCGACAAGTACTATGGGCAGAACTCTCGGAGGACAACACATTCAACGTCTCTTTTCTCAATAAGAAGAAGAAAAAGAAAGGATCTCTGTCTCTTATACACATTACCGGACCCATCAAGGACAATGAAAGGGAGAATGTAGCCGATTTCGTAAAGGCTCTTATGGATTCGTCGTATCAAGGCATGTAACAACCAATCTTTTGCTACACTCGTGTTTCACGCGTCATATTACCAGGTGTCAGCCAACGAAGACGGCTTATGCTGCTTGTGAATCCTCGTAGCGGTCCGGTAAGCATGACGGTCCAAAGGACGCGTTAAGCTCACTAAATTTGGCGGTCTGTCACTCAGGGCAAGGCACGGTCTATCTACATGAAGAAGATCGAGCCGCTCTTCCGAGCAGCTCGTTGTGAGGTCGACCTGACCTGTCAGTTTGCTCATTATTACAGATTTCAGTCCAGCGTGCTGACGAGTTGTTCGCAGACACGACACATTCCAAACATGCCACTGAGCTAGCCCGCTCTCTTGCGGTGGGCCATTATGACGCTATCGTAACAATGTCGGGTGACGGTCTCATCTACGAAGTTCTGAACGGTCTGGCGGAGCATGCTAGCCCAATACAAGCCTTACAAACCCCTATAACGCCTATACCCACGGGCTCAGGTAACGGTTTAGCCTACAACTTGCTAGGACTGCATGTGAGCATAGATTGGTCGTGATGGGCTGCAAGTAAGTTAAACTTTGACAGGAAGGCGGAGACGTATCCGCAGCTGCGCTGAATGCTATCAAAGGCGAGTCAATTCCTTTCTCCCGCTACTTCCAACATTAAGTCGACGAATTGTAGGCAAACCAATGCCTATAGATCTATTCTCTGTCACCCAGAATGGTCAACGCACACTCTCCTTCATGTCTCAATGTATCGGTCTCATGGCCGAGTTGGATCTCGGGACCGAGCATTTACGATTTATGGGGAACCAGTGAGTGCTTCGAGCATCATATCCGGATTCTTCGTGCTTATGCCAGTCTCAGTCGGTTTGTGTATGGCTTCGTTCGCGGCATTGCACGCAACAGAGCTTGTCCCGTCAAGTTGCAAATCAAAGTCGCCGAGTCCGACAAGAAAGCAATGTTTCAGTCGTTCAAAGAGACCCGTGCCCGAGCTATCTCTAATTCTTCGCCGCAACTTGTAGAAGACAGTACTGCCGATGGCAACTCGGAGACGAACGGTAACGCCAATGCTAAAGACTCGACGTCTCTTCCGAGTCTCAGATTCCATGAAGAAGATCCGGTCAACGACGAAGGTTGGATCACCTTCGATAAGCCCGTGTCATACATATACGCTGGTAAAGGACCCTTCGTCTCTCGCGATTTCATGCAATTCCCCGTCTCATTACCGAACGATGGCTGTATTGATGTCGTCGTCCAAGAAGTGGTACGGTGTCAAACGCTTCACATTTCATTGTCCTCGCTCAGTCTTATTCCTTTCAGGCACCACGTAGCCAGATGTTATCGGCTATGGATGGAGCTGAGAAAGGAATACCTTATTGGAAGCTTGAAAGCGTACGTCCCTGCTGCCGTATGTTCAAGATGGAAGATTGACTCATTGTGATTTTGCACATTTCCAGCAACACTACTTCAAGGCCAAGGCATATCGCGTAGTGCCACACACTTCTGCTAGCTGCCTATCAATAGATGGAGAGAAGTATCCATTTGAACCTTACGCACTTGAGGTGCACCCTGGTCTTGGCGCATTATTAAGCCCTTATGGCACCTATCATACTGATTTCGATGCTCTGTCTTAAGTTGCTTTACGCAGCCACCGTAGCGTATCTGTTTCGCCATCTTTCTAGATCTTAGTTGAAGCGTCGTGGGGTTTTGTTGTTGGACTTACATTAGTATATCATCTACCTGTCGGCTACTACACCTTCCAGTGCACATATTAATATTCATGGACTATGCATGTATTCGATGGATTGCAGTTGCTAGGATATACGACGAAAGAAAATGTAGCGAGTGTGTTTGCTATAGCGACCAAAAATCACGAGTATACAGAGTCCGTAGTAGTAATCACAGTCCATGGATATTCCTCGAAAGATGATAATGTACGATAGTAAAAGTAAAAGTCCGCAGTGCAAAAGATAATAAATCTAGAAGTCAGTCCACACCCCTTTATATTCATAATTCCTCTAGGTCGTGATCATGGGCGCGCTGTAAACAGAAACCATGAGTAAACAGGTGGGGGAAGGTATAAACAAAGGTGCATACCAAGTTGTTCCTTGCGGTAGAACCAGAAGTAGCCAATGACGATGATTATCTGGCAGATCATGGCAACCCAGAATGGCGCAGAGGCCAGTGGACTACCCTTGAGACCTTCTTCGAAGTCCCATTTCGCGGCATCTGGGAATACACTCTCTGGTCCGATTCGATTCGGCGCAGTAGCGCGAGCGACCATGACGCATACTGAACCGATGATTTGAGCGAAGGCCAGGGTAGCGCAGACATGTAAACGGGACAATGTTTGGAGGAGGATCATACCAAGGCCAACACCCTGAATGGCATCGAGGACGCCGAGCCAGAGCCAGAGGGAGATACCAAGATAAGGACCCGCGTGGCCTGCCCATGGGATGTACAGAGCAAGTGACGAAGTACCCCAGAGCATCTGACACCAACGGGGAGCGCCTAATCCGACTGCGAAGACAGGGAGCAGCCAAGTATGCGTCTTGCTGAAGTACGTAAGAATGCCGAGCATGAGAGCCCATACACCGATGAAGAATGCGATGACGAGGAGGAGGATCTGCCACTTCGGGATAGGAACTGACCAGAGGAAACTCCAGTTACGGCCATAGGGCTAATATAATATGGTCAGCGAGGACGAACAGTCATATATGTAAAAAAAAATGCGCTTACTCCGCTCAGCCAGTAATCACGCAGAATTTCGGAGCCAAGGAACCAAAGCACCAACTTCCGGCGGAACAAGGTCTTGAGGAAGTTCGGTACTTTAGGAGGTGTCTGACGGTAGTAATCTACGCCAGGGTGGTCAGTCAAACGGCGTGTTGGCTATCACACACGAGTACACGTACCGGGAAGACCGTAAAGCATGAGGTAGGCGAACAGGAAACTGATGACAGCCAACGGCCAGACAATCAGGACGATCCACCACGGCGCGAACTGATCGTCCTTGGCACCACTGAGCGAATTGCCCCAATACCAAAGAGCGGCAACCCATATCTGTTGGGAACCCTGGACAACACAAGCTCGCATAGTCCAAACCTCAGTAGCAGCACCCTAAACAAGGAACATATGAGCGTAAGCAAAGTAGAAGAAGTATTTCAACTTACAGCTTCCTCTCCAAAGTTCAAACCGAAGAACAGGAATGCTGCTGCAGATGCAACCGCATAGGCCCAAGTGGCAGCGCTTGAAAGAGCACTGTGCGCGGGATGTAACGCAGACGCTACTGAAGGCAGACCGATCAAGAAGAAGGCGATACCGAAGAAGAGCCAGGGTGCTGCAAGAACGTAGACCGAAGGTTTGAACCGGAAGAGAGTGTACCAAACGGTAGAAGCTGCCAAGAAGACGCCGCCCAACACGTAGAGCTGCAAATCTGTTTGCCAATTCTGACCGGACAGTAGGGTGATCTGGAAACTTGTCGCGCTTAACATTTGGCCTGCTGCGATGACGATTGTATACAAAGGCCAGCCAAAGAGTTCACGCGACATGGCAATTTGTAGACCGGTCATGATTACCTCGTCGTTGCCGTTGGGTAGTGGTCCACTGTAACCATCCTCCGGGCCGCCAAAGGAAGAGGAACCCATTGGTGCTGAAGAGAAAAATAGAGTGAGGATACCGAGCGCCGGAAGACAATGTAAGAGACTTACAAGATGGACGAGAATGGTCAAATGTGGATGGCGCAGGAGTGCCCCAAACGGAATCCCTTCGCGATGACCGAATACTAGCTGCACTGGACAGCTTATCCTTTTTGACCTTGTCGAAGAACTTCTCCTCACTCTTCGTAAGGAACTTTTCGATAGATAGTTCACCCTTCGAATTGTGAGAGTTCAGCATTTGAAGTTTCTGGACGAATTCTTGCGCGACGCCACCATCGGAATCCGTGAACTGTAGAGAAATGAGCGAAGAACTTGTATAGAGAGAAAGAGAATACGCACCGAAGCGATGGCCTTGTTGAGCGGTGAATCTTGTTTCTCATTGACGATAGACGCAATGGATTCGACCGAGGAGGCACGAGAGTGAGCACCGAAAGGCCGCGATGGCGCAGCATCGAGGAAAGGATCAGGAGCGTTCTTTTGATCGCGAGCAATGGTTTTGTTAGCCCTCTCGAGGAAATTGCCGTAGTTTGGTTGTGGGGCGGTACTATTGCGGTCCTGCGAGAAGTAATCACTGTCAGCATCGGAGCTAAACGATGCACGGTTGGCATCCGCTTGAACACGAGAAGGGGCGGCAAGATGGTCTCCGGTAGGTGTTAAAGCATCCTGACTCCATTGACCAGGTGATCCAGGTGTCCCAGCAGCAGATCTTGGACTGTCGCTAACGCTACGCGTGTCCCATGCCGGTTGTGACGGGTAAGCCTGATACTCGGGGTCCCAATCATCATGCTCGGGAATAGGTCGTCCCCCTCCACCATCGCAATCTGACGCACGCCAAGCGTTGGCACCAGCAAGTGATCGACTCATATTGATACTACGCTTGTGGAAGTCCTCCATGCGCTGACGCCACTCGACGACGGGGAAACGTTGAACTGCCGATCGAGCACGGAGCATTGCGCGTTCCTCTTCAGTGGATTTCAGAGCCATCTTGATTGTCTTCGTCAACTGAGACATCATATGCTCGGTCGACATCGACTCAACAGGGAACCACTATAGGAAGTATTAGCAAAGGACATATAGATCAGTTAAACAAATACATACCCAACCAGGCATTAGACCCAGACCACCAAGACGAGAACCAACACCGAGGGCACCCTTTCTACCGAATTCGACGGCGACGAGACCGAACGGCTCATCACGAGAGGGAATGAGGGCGAAATCAGCACCACTGAACAGGTAAGGCGGCAGAGCAGTGAACTCGGGCTTCGAATATACACGGTCGGGGTAGAGTTCCATGAGCCGGTTGAGCTTCTCAGCTGCGAAACGACCGTACAGATCGATGACGGGACCAACGGTAATCAATTGGATTGAAGGCCGTTTCTCGAGCCTAAATACGGCATGTCAGCTAACGCACATGAAGAGACAGTACACTCTACTCACAGAGACGGCATGACATCCGCAATAAGGTCGACACCCTTTTGCTTAGACCAACGACCGACGAACACGAACAAGTCCGAGTTAGGATCCTGCTTTATACCAGCCCACTCTTGTGCTTGTCGCTTGTGCTCGGGACGTTCGGATTCTGCAACCTGGTCGATCTGAATGTCGCGAACGGATATAGGTTTCTCATCCAAGGCGGCGATATCAGTGGGATCAGGGTTAGGCAACGAGTCGACATGCTTGAGGGTCCAAAGAGCGGGGTAACGAGCCCATGAACGCTTTCCGTATTTGTCAGACACACCAGCAACACCAATAGACTTTTGGTGAACACTGATGAAAGAGGCGGCCGCGTGTAGCAAGTTGAACGTGTTACCGAACTGGACGTATTTCGTACAGTGTTCCTTGCTGATGTTAAATGCCGAGCAAACCTCCTTCATTTCCTCCTTCGTACGAAGTGGCCAGAGACCCTGGAACTCGGCGTTGTGAAGCGATAGACAAACGGGAAGGACCTTTGGCAGTAGATAGATGGGAGCAAGGGCGCCGTGGTAATCATTGACGTGGTAGATGTCAATCACTGGGGAACGTCTGACGGTGGCAGCGATAGCCTGGTTCCAAGTCGAGTAGAAGATGGCGGAGGACAGATCGTCCATACGAGCAGGGTAAGGATCAGATTTGGTTTGCGCACGGAAGACGGGACTGTCAAGGATGACATAGGTGATGTTGTCAAGAACATGAGTTTCGACCTCGATCAGGTAAGGCTCGCCGAAAATGATGACTTCGATAGGTTCTGCGGGTTCGCCAGGCGGGTACTCGAGATCCTTGACCTTCGGAATAACCCAAATGAGATCGACATCCGTCATAGCTTTACCCATCAAACTGGACATGACACCGAGACCACCGATCTTAACCTTGAGCTTCCAGTCGATGATTTCGTACTCTAGAGTTGCAATGAGGACCTTGCGACGCTTGTTCTTGTCCTCGGGCCAGCCAATAATGTCCTGGTTCGCCTTATGTCCATGGTGGAAGATCTTCTCGGACATTGACGGTGTCGCCTCCTTCACATTCGAGCTCGACTTGTTACCGAGCGAGCCGATAATGGGGAAGTAGCTGGTCTCCTTGTTGGGCTTTACACCCCACTTGTTGTACTTGATGCCGTAGAACGACCACATGAAGATCACGACAGCGAGGGTACCGGTGATGAGAGGGATGGAAAGCAGCAGCGCATACATGATAGCACCGACAGCTGATTGTCCACGAGGTTCGAGTGACCAGGTCAGCGTCGCGTCGTCAACGACGAGGGCCCAAGCAAGATGAGGATGAGGAGGAGCGGACATGTTGAGATAGTTGGGAGCAGCGGTGTTGGGAGGGAGACGATCCATGACACCATCGCCGTCGGTATCACCATAGTAGTAGTCGTCGTATGCCCAGACGTTAAGTTGGACATACGTCGGCCAGGTAGCCATAATCTCCAGCTCCCACTTGCCCTCGTCGTTGTGTTCCATCTGCGCCGGAGTACCTTGATCGAAACCCCAGTCATTGAAGGGACCACGCGCCAAGAATTGAGGAACGCGACGAGGCTTTCCATAACCGCGGTCAGCGTGGACAACGTGGGCGGCAGAAAGCGCAGCTTGACTCCAGTCTGGAACGATATAATCATAAGGCAAATTTATACTTCAGAACAAAAGCGCGACTTACATTGGACAATGATGTGTTGTCCTTGCCAAAAGTTGGCCTTGTTATCAAACACGCTTGAGTCGATGGTAGTCGTGTCCTCCCAGTTCTGCCAACTAGTCCAGTTCTGACCGAAGTTCCAGGAGTATCGAAGCATGTCGGCGCCAAACGCTTTGTGGGTGAAGGTGTACTTGCCATCAGAGTAGCCAAAGGCCTCGTTGTCGTAGTCGGCGTTGGGGTTGACGAGCACGTTCTGCGACGAACCCTTGCGCAACATCAAATGATCGACAGACTATGAAGCAGGAGTTAGAAAGTCTTGCAAGCAAAGGCAAACATCAATTGACTTACGTTCGTAGACTGGCCTGCTTGAGAGGTAGGGCTGTTCACGGTGATTGTCAAAATACCGTCGGGGACGTTCTGAAGAGTGCCACTCCACGTCCATTGAGATGCATCAACGCCAGGGACGAGGGGCTCTGGGCCTTTCGTTGTTTGACACTTAACACTATTCGCATCCAGTGTAGGGTTACCGCCCTTGCCAGAGGACGACACGTTGAACGACAGCGACTGCGTGACGGTGGGACAGTCCATTTCGACATTGAATTCCAAAGTTATGTCAATCGTCGTGGCATTGGCATCGCCCGGTTCGGCGATAAGACGTGCATCATGCCCAGGGGTGAACTTGGTAAGAGCGGGTTGCGGACCAACCCACTCAGTGGACGGAACGAGAGCCTTGAAACCGTACGGCGGAATGGTGACAGACTGTAAACAACCAGTGAATGGTGGTTGACCATCGTTGTGGAAAGACGACAGGGAATCGGCGAGATCGTACTCCTCATACGGGTAGAACAAATTCCTGACTTTAGTACCGGACTGGTAGGGTGAAGGAATCCACTTGGGACCCTTGCAGTCGAACGACCACGTCTTAGTCTGATTCTCGTTCGAGTACAACATCCAAATTTGGTCAGTGTGGTTACCCGTCAACGTCTGGACCGTCTCAATGGCAGAGCGAGTAACCGACCACATGCCCATCTCGGTCTCCGTTTGGTTCGAACCAGGGCGCTGGATGAAATAAGTCCAGTTTCCACGTTGAACTAGATTGAAGCCGTCCTGGAGGGCGTTGTACTGAGTACGCAGGTAGTTCATGTGACCGAAGACACGGTAAGTGTCGGTGGTGGGGTCAAAGTGATCGAGCGAGTTCCAGTCATCCTGACACCCAAGCATGGCCTTTCCAATAGGCATGTTGAAGTACTGGTCCGAGCCGAGCGAGTAGCATCCATGACGCTGCCAGGCCTTGTTACTGACCATTGCCTGACGACTGTAGAGGAAGTGAGTACAAGGAATTTGATGATGAAATATGAAGCATACCCGTAGAGGTAATTTGACGCGCCGGTATCAAATAGATAGAAATTCTGCTCTTCGCCGTAGAAAAGCTACAGGAAAAGTTAGCCGGTACCAACTGAACAAGAATGTTTGAAGGCTTACAAGAGGAATACCGGGCATGACCAAGGTGGCGATGAAGGTACCGAGGACACTGCGCTGAGTACCGTTCTCTACGCTAGGCCAACGGTAGACATCGAAATTACTTGTACCGAACATGTGTCTTGGGTCGACCTTCCCGGTCTGCGCATTCAAGAAGTCGTTATTCACGAACATTTGATTCCAGGCAGTGATAAAATTGGTGTCGACATCGAAAGCGACCTGCAAGTTACCGTCCATTCCCAAGAAACGAGTTAAGGAGCGATAGGTAGAATAATGGAAAGCGACGCCGTCCAGGGCGTTCAAAGGTGCATCACGAAGGAAAAATTGGTTCTGATCGGCGGTAGTATTCGCGGCTTCCAGGAAACCTTGAGGACGTTGAGTCGGGGTACGACCGCGACCGCTGAAAACGTAAACAGTAAGAGGCGGCATATCGCGACACAAACCGAGAAAACTCACTAGTACAGAGAACCAAAGGTATCACCACCAGTTACCTCACCGGATATAAAGAAGTTCTTCTTTCCAAGCTTGTTCGCACACGCTCGTGCACTGGAAGCCCACTGTGCGAGTGCATCAACAGTTACTTGAGTAGCTTTATCAATACGAATGGCATCAAGGTCCAGAGCAGTAATAGCCATGCAAACAAAGTTCTGGAGCCTTGCCATGACCGAAGGGTTCCATTCCCGAAGACGGTCTTGCACGGAGGCGAACTTAGATAATTGACGTTGCCAATCGGGATGAACACCGAAAGCCTCTGTGTCACCATACTGATCGAAATCAGACGCCTTACAACCAGTGGTCCATCCGATGTCGGCTTGAGTACCGTCGTTGGACCAGAAGGGAGGAAGAACGCAAGATGAATTATATGCATTGTTGATCTAAACCGTAGACTGGCTAAGCAATGCAAAGCAAGCATGCTCAGAAGGCAAGAACCTACCGAAAAGTCCTTGTATTCGTCAAATCCCCATGGTGAATACCGAGGTTGTTTCCAGACCGCGTCGTGCTCCTTGGGATCGAATGGCGCCGACTTGTTCAAAAACCTGTGCAGAGGGCGGCATTAGCGGGTCGTTGCGTGAAACAGCATTGGCGCGCAAGCAACGTACCCATCGAAACCGACCAAGTCACCCATGGTACCAACAGTGAAATCAGCCATGAAGTACATTCCACGCCTGTGAATCTCATCAATGAGGTCACGCCAATCCGCAATAGTACCCCAATGAGGGTCCAAAACCGTGAAATCGAGAGGTGAGTAACCTGCAGCCAATAGTTAGGTAAATTTAGTGCGCGAACTAATCGCTTCGACTTACTGTCCGCTTGCCAAATCAAGTTCAGGAAGGGGGTACCCGAAATAAAGATGCCTTTAATTCCCATTCCCGCAAGGTAGTCAAGCCGTGATTTAAGACCCTTGAGATCTCCTCCGAATCGAAGCTGAGTTTCCCGCCAGTCGTACTCGAACGTGGTGCCGAAGTAGTCATTATTAGATGGGTCGCCATCTGCAAATTTATCGAGAAGGATGGTATAGAATGGGAATTCACGCCAGTTGTCTGGCGAAGGGTGATAGCTGCTGAGTTTATTAGTGGAGTACTCAAGCGGATTCTGCGCGTTTTGGTTGGTGTTTAGGTTATAATCGGTGAGTTCATCGCTGTACGGCGCGGCGGAGCCTAGCGAGGCTAGAGAAAGCAAAGAAAGTAGTGCAGAGCACCACCGTCGCATTGTGGACGAAGACGAGGAATTCGAGTCGTTGCTACGTATTTCACTGATATGGACTTCTTGGCGATGTGTACGGGGTAGGAATTAGTTGAACCAAAGAAGTATACCAGGGGAAAAAGAGCGAAAGGGAGGAACAGAAGACCGTCCGGGGAAGAGAACTAGAGGGGAAGAGGAAAAGCGTCCAACAGCGTATGTCGACGGGTTGTAGCAGAAGAAGCACCTCTCCGGGGCGAGGCCTCGTTTTATTTCCTGCATTCACCGGCCGGCCAACAGTTCCCGGCCGTCACCCCCGCTCATTTCGGTAAGCGCTTCAGCGACTCTGGCTAGAAACTCGACTGTTGCTCTCCGGCGCTGCCGGTATAAGCGGGCAGTCCTTGCCATGCTCAACACTCATCAGTCCATCCACCGTTGCAAGACAGCCTGACATGGGTGGCAACCACTCGTCTATCCATTGAATGTCGTCCTCACCACCAGAACTCTCGTGTCAAACAAAGCGCGCCCATTAAAAATGCATACTCCGATTCCCCCGGTGGCAAAGCTGCCTCGTTCTCGAGTCCAAGGTACATCCGAGATAAAGAACCTGTGCGTCTCGACCTCAAACCTTCTCTTACCGCCTAATACAATCTTGTGTAAAAATCACAATCGATGGACCAAATGGAGACTCTAGTGTGCCCATCCAATGCAAAACACTTTGGTTACTTGACATGCAACGGATAGATGTGAGATGGCGACCCAATGATATCCGACGCAACACCGCAAAGTCATAAATTGACTACCCATCATCTGTGAGCGCATCACGCTTCTGTCATGTTCCCGCCAGGATGAGTAACAACCCTTCGTGCAAAGGAACATCCACAGAGGGTAAGTGTTTGGTAAGCGTAGCCTCCGGACATGGGAGCAGAGAGCAGTAAGTACATCCATTTTGAAAAATGTGTTAGAAGGTTCACCGGCGGCTTAGATCGATCAATATGGAGGCAATTCTTTTTCGAGGATTTACATAAAGAGCATGACAAGGATAAGCACACAGACAGCCCTGCGTTCCTCAAGTTCCTGTTTGAAATACAGGCCTGCATTTGCAAAGGGCAATAGTGAATACAGGCTACTTCTGAATCAACATGTATGTATAAGCTCTGCTTCTATTGATCGAAGGCTTTGACGACGCCAAGTCGATCGCCTTTAAAGCGGTACGGTCGACCCCACTTAGGAGAAACTTGAATAACTCGTTGCAAACATTGAAGGTAACCGAAATATTGCAGATAGGAGAACGGAAGTATCTGCATCCAGGAGATAAGCTCGGGCCAAGTAAATACTGTCGTTATTCCGGTTCGATCGCGTTTGTTCCCAGACAGAGATGGTAGTATAGAACTACTAGATGTGGGCAAACGCGTAGCGTACATGTACTACATAGCGGCTTTATATACTAAAATATAGAACGAAAATTTTACTTACAATTTTCTTACGTCGAGTCAGTTTCTTACTAAGCGTGCAATTGCTCGCTCAGCGCTTCTACTACAACAAATACTAGTTCAGCTGAGGTCAGGCTCAAACCGAAGTCGGCAACATATTCATATGCTTCGATTCACATCGATAGGAAATAGAGGCGTACGAACATAGGTAAGTTCCAGTCCTCCATGGTTCACTGAGACATATCCAGCGCTCACTAAGTCACACCAGTTCAACCCGGTGACAAGTAATCCTGTACAGCACGTTCGATATTTAATATTCAACGGCAATCGAGGATCCTTTCAGAAAGGATGGTTGAAGGTACTGGAAGCCGGTTTCAAGCATGCTACTGTCATGCCGTCATGGGTAAGTTTCCTTGTGGCTTAGGGCATCTTCCTTGCATGATGAAATATGTTCCAATGAATGATCTCACGCAAAGAACCCTACAACACGTATTCTCTGGTTCTTGCAGGGTAATCATGAGGTATCCGAATAACAGTGAGCCTCATGCAGAACAGGAAGATCACACAGCAATGTGAACCAATGCAACACCTGGTAAACACCCTTGAGCTGGACATTACAAGCTCAAGAAGGTACCTCAGGCGTTTCATGAAATGTATTCCCAACATTGATTCTGATTGATGCTCGGGATTATAGTACTAGTACCAGCATGGCGTACCAAGAGGCACCAAGACGGCGATAGTCGTGCAGCTGTGGTGATACATAGAAGCTTCAGGGCGAAGCGTCTGCGGGAGAGTCAATACCATTTATGACGGGACTGTATGTATTCGGCCATGTGTCACTATATGCAAGTCTCAAGTCGGAAACGCACCTCGGACGCGAGAAGGATTGAAGCGTTTTATTGAGCCGAGTCGACTCTTTAGACCGAGTCTCTACACAAAAGACAACGTGATCGTCCTCTTAGTATTGTCAGGTCTGTTCATGCGTATTAGAGCATGAACGAGCCTGCAGGACCGACAATAGTGAAATAGCAAGTAAAGACAATAAGGCCCGCGCTTGAGCGAGGTACATTACCATGGCGTGGACCCGTCTTGCGTAGACATTTCGCACCCTGATCGCTGTCATCTCTGTACCATACACTTCTCAGTCCTGCGCTGGCCGCGGTTGTAACATCAGCTATATATCGTAAGTTGATGAGTGGTGGACGAGACGATCTGATACACTAATTCTGATTCGCCTCACCAGCAAAGTCCCGCGTTGTTCTTCCGTGCGCTACGGTTCCAGACTCCGGTGTGTCTCTCACTGACCTTCAACATCCCTATGCACGCTGCTTGACGAGTTTCAAAGATTGTTCTTTGCAGTCGCTGTTCGTTCTTTGCTTGACTCTCCTTTTCTAGCTGCGGTCTCATCAGCAGCCAAGGCCCGCCCTTTTGCATGGCTGCAGTCCTCGCCAATGCCAGCATCATGCAAGCGCTCGAGGATATGTCCCAACCCATCTCCCAAGCTTCCTCCCCGGCATCCCCTGCTGCTTCATTTCATAACCAGCAAATCCAAATCTCGCTGCCAACCATAAATCTCAATGGACAGGCTCGTTCGGAAAGCTCGACACAGCCGGGCACGCCGACCTCCTTCAGCACGAACATTTCTTTGGACCCGCCTCTTGGCGTGTCCTTTGCAGACTATCTTAGAGCATGGTCAGATAATCACGTAGCACGATGGCTAACGGACATCAAGTGTGGTCACCATGCACAAACGTTCAAGGCAAACGATATTCGGGGCGATGTCCTGCTCGAGCTGGATCAGACAACGCTCAAGGAGATGGGTCTGGTTAGTGTTGGGGATAGGATACGAATAGTATCTGGAGTAAAGACTCTGAGGCAGAAGTGTTCAAGTAGTTCTGCCCTCTCCTCTATTACCAATCGTCCGCGAAGCGATCACAGTCGTAACGGAAGCTTGGGCGAGAATGGTTACGGGAACGGCAGAAATAGTGGTGCTCGGAGGTTGGACAGTGGACGTCCGGCACCCCTACATCTTACGCCACCCGCGGATTCCAATAACCTACCACGTATCGTTCGCGATGGCCAGGATTCTTCGCGTTCAAACGCGCCTCCCATCCGTCCCCTTCCCCAACCGAACTCTGCGGTATCGAGTTCACGATCAACTCTGCCACCACTTCCACCTCCACCACGAGGGCAACCACCTCAGCCACCGAATGCACGGACACCTCGTGCTCTGCATCCTCCGCCAAACCCGCTATCGGGACGACGAACACCAACACAGCCTGATGCACCTCCATTCACACATCAGCCTCTACCACCCGCTCCCGCTTCTCAACATCTGACACCGACAACACAATCACAAGGTGTCAACTGGCCCTCCTATGATTCACGTCAAGGGAGTGGAGGGAGTAGAACACCCTTGAGGTCGCCCTCACCATTGCCTCCCCAACCAGTGCAAACTCGAAACAACAACAATCGCTCGCCAAATGGTACCGTTCATGGCCGCAACGCGTCGTATTCTGGTACGAATACTCCCGCTCAAACGAACACGCCTAAACGTCCTTCGACAGGGAACGCGCCACATCCTTATGCGCAACTTCCTGCTCAGCAATCCAGTTTGTCTCCAATCCACGAAGCGTTTACTTCTCAGCGTGCAATGTCTACCACACCGCCGCCTGCATCCGCGAACCCGTACCGCAATGTTCAACCACCCAACCGATCAGCTACACCTTCGCATAATCCTTCTCTGGATGATTTGAGACGGAAATTGATCAAGTTTACACTTCCTGAGGAGGGCAAATCTACAACGATCAACGTTATCGACTGTGCTGGAGGTGCGGAGGTACTGGAGAGGGCATTGAGAAAGTTCGGCAAATTGAATCCTAAGCCCGGTGATGATACATCGATGAGTGTAGAGATTGTTAATGGAGGACTGAGCGTTGAGGGTTGGGGTGCTTTCCTCGACTGGGGTCAAGAAGAGTCCAGTGGTCTGTACTCCCTTCTCTTTCGTCACGCGAATTCTGAAATTGTTATTCAGGCGGTCCTCTTTCTGAGGGACAGTTGTTGTCCATTTGTCATGCTCCACCGGACGAGCCAGCTCGCGAACATGGATTGACACTACGGCGACTGGGTAGGAAGGGGGCCAGAGCGTCACCTATAAACACTGCAGCCCCTGCGAAATCTTCTGGTAGCACCGAGAGTCTCAGTGATTCTCTTCTCTCTCCTCCGGATTCCAGTCATGCAGCGCAAACATCAGGTTTAACTTCCATGGCCATGAAACGCGCTAGTTCTATCAGCATCCTGAGTGGTTTGGGTGTACCAGTACCGGACCAGCAATCTAAGTTGCTCTCTCCGAACGCTTCCCCGACTAAGAGCCCATCCAAACGCGGGAAGCTTCGCAACTTCTTTGGACAGCGACCTCCTAGTGAGCTCATCACTAACCATCTAGCAGACTACTTCCCGAATGCCGAGAAAAAGGTACTCGAGAGGACGAGGAGAGTCAGCATGATGCGTGCAAGTGGACTCGGTCCTCCCAACAGGAGGGACAGTATCATCTCATGGAACCCGCCTTCTCGTTCAAGATTCAGCGTTAGCACCCAGGGTTCTCACTTAGCTTCGTCTCCTAGGAACTCTATCGCGTCTGGATCTGGGTTCGCGAACGAGAAGCCGCCTTCACCTGAGCCTTCAGAGCCAGTTCACCAGGATGAGGAACCACCAAGGGTGTCGATCTCTACCGAGGATGGTCCTCCGATTGAGGTTACTCCCGAAGACGTTAGCGAGAAACCGAAAGCGAGCAAGCGACGGTCAGTCATGTACTTACCACCTGTTGCGTTCCCCTCGGAGTCGTTGGCAGAGTCCATGAACATCCTCGACCAGCCTATCAATTCACGGCCAGTTTCGAGGGCTTTATCGGCTACTTCTATGTCGTCGAAGCGCATGAGTTACATTACAGAACTACGCAGTAAGCGTGACAAGTCTGATACGGCAAGTCTGATGACTGTGGACGAGATTACTGCTGAAGTGGAGAGTCGAAGAGCGAGTATGGAAAGTAGGAGGGAAAGTAGTGTGGGTACAGACTGGACAAAGGTGGATGTTGAGGATACTGACAAGGGAAGCATCATGGAAATGCCGGAAGAGGAAGAACAAGAGAGTGAGGAGGATGAAGATGAAAAGGGCGAAGACGGCAGTGATGCTACGATTACTGATGAGGATGAGGAAGGTCAAGGAAAGCAAATTACTTCACATGGAGGTACGAAATTACTGCCTGTCCGTTGGCACAGCTTATTGAACACGTATTTCAGAACGGACTATCAAGTGGATCAAAGGTGCTCTTATCGGTGCCGGTTCCTTTGGCAAAGTCTACCTAGGAATGGACGCTTCGACCGGTCTTCTCATGGCTGTAAAGCAAGTCGAGCTTCCGAGTGGATCTGCACCAAATGAGGAGCGCAAGAAGAACATGCTCAGTGCGCTGGAGCGAGAGATCGAATTGCTCAAGGACTTACAGCATGAGAACATTGTCCAGTACCATTGTAAGTTGCTTTCCTTCTTGCCGAGATCTGAAGGTTAACTCCCGCAGCTTCCTGCATTGACGAGGATCATTTGAACATTTTCCTCGAGTATGTCCCTGGTGGATCTGTTACATCTGTCCTTCGGAACTATGGTGCCTTCGAAGAACCTCTCGTAAGAAATTGGGTCCGACAGATCCTGCTTGGCTTGAACTACCTACATGAGCGAGATATCATTCATCGTGATATCAAAGGCGCCAACATGCTCGTAGACAACAAGGGCGGCATCAAGATCTCTGACTTTGGTATCTCCAAGAAGGTCGAGGACAGTAAGTGGTACCCCCGCATGATGTTCTCACAAGCCCTAATAGAGTTCTTCTGTAGATCTGCTCCCTGGCAATCGTGCCCATCGCCCGTCACTCCAGGGTTCAGTCTTCTGGATGGCCCCGGAAGTTGTTAAACAGACTGCTTACACCAAGAAGGCTGATATCTGGAGTATTGGTTGCTTGGTCGTTGAAATGCTAACAGGCGAGCATCCCTGGGCTCAGTTGACCCAAATGCAGGCCATTTTCAAGGTATGTGCTAGGCATGCCTCACATCTTCCGGAGTGTTCATTCTGCTGTTCTTTAGATCGGATCCTCCGCTAAGCCACCGATGCCGCCTGACATCTCACCAGAGGCTGAAGACTTCCTGCAGAAGACGTTTGAGCTCGATCATGAAGCTCGTCCGAACGCTGCAGAGCTTCTCAAACATCCATGGGTCGCAAACCAAACATCCCCGCTAGGCCCATGACATGTCTCCGTGCACCTGATTTTCACTCATACATATGTACTCTCTTTCTTCATTTCTTCCCTCAACAATTTCATTCGGTGTTTTGGTTTACCTTTCGCATTTCGCATTCGCATTATCATAGTTAATTTGCTGTGTTGGTACCTTCTCGATTTTCTCTGGATCCCCCGGTTGCTTCGCTCTGCATACTCTGTTGTGAATTAGACGACGTACTCTAACTATCGACACTGTGGTTACTCCTCCTGCTCTCGTTTCCTTTTGCCTGAGTTGGCTCTCTGCGCCGGACCCCAGTTGGGCGTTGGATTCATTTGGTACCGAACAAGATTGACTTTGGACGCCGTGACCGACTCCGAATGATGTTTGAAGTTGGCCTCTTTCCTGCAGCAACATCAGCATAGCCAGAAGGTATCCGAGAAGCAAGAAACTTACTTTGGCTCTTTCTGCAATAGGCGGAACGTCACCGACTGCTCGGAAAGGCATTCTGTTTTGACAGGATGTTTCTTGATCCAAGAGCGAAAGACATCATGGATGTCTTCCCGACTGGCATCAGTCTTTAAAGAACCTGCCAACGCATGTGATCTCGATACACGATGATCAGCATTTAGCAATGCGGACCTATAGGGCAGGGCAAGATGAGTATAAGTTTGCATTATGGTGATGCTTCATCACGTACGCCACATCATCCAGCGGCGGACATATGCAGTGGAAGTTACCAGCCACTCGGGAGGGTGTGAAGTAGAAAGGAGTGTCAGGAAGTTCCTGTCACAAAGTGAGTCAATTACTAATGGGAAGATGTGCATAGACGACGTCTCATACTTCTTTCGCCAGGGTCAACATGCCCTTCATGCGTGTAGCTGTCCCATACTTGCTCTCGTTCGCCACCACATGTTCAAGTACCCTAGACACGAAGTCGACGTCGTGAATAGCGCCTGACCACATCGGCCCCGCAATCTAGAGTTTCATAAGTATAAGGGAAGATCCGCAATGTAGAGAAAAGAATACAAACATGCATGGTAGAGTTGCACTCAGGACATTTATCAGACACGTTTGGTCCAACGCCGGCCTTGACAGATATGTTCACGTTTCCGCTTGGTTGATGGACTGTCTCAGTCAATCGACCGAAAGGTTGTTCATAGAATGCTTGACAGCCGGAGCAGACATAGAAGGTAGAAGTCTTGCTGTGATTACGCCGTTAAATTTTCCGACATGACACCTCTCAAGGCGAGCTTACCTGACTGCCCTCTTGACTTCATTAGGCTGTGTACCCACGCGCACCCAGAGACGGACGTAGAAATCAATGGACAAGGATAAGAGAGGGTGAATGTATCGTCCGTATCTTGCAGCCGCTGTCGAAAGAGTATGAAGCACAAGACGCAGCGCCTGGGAAGTCGTCAGTACACGAAAGCGTATTCAGCTTGTGGTATGAATTACCGCTTCGTGACAATATTCTGCTCTTACGGGGACACCGCCGTAATTCGAATAGCTAAATGAGTTTATTCAGTTCCGTGGATATGAAACACCCTGAACGCTCTTACCATTTTTCAGGGTAGTTGACCGTTGCCAACACACTGAGGTCCGTGCAAGTAACACATAGGAGACCTGAGTGATAATTTTCTAAAGATATGACCTACACCTCAGTGCGGCTCGGGCTTACCTCCGTCCTTTACACACTGTACGGCTGCGTCAACGAATGGTGCAGCAGTTCCATATGGGTCCAGATCAACGACGTCAACGCGTTCTCGCTCTACTCGATGATTGTACATCAGCGAACTGTGATATTTCAGTTTCCGTTTGGCTACAGGCGGGTATAGAAGACGTACCAGGCGTCACCTTCGTTTACCTTGACCTTGGCCGGTTTGACTTTCGGTTTCGCCGCTGAATTGTCGGAGGGTCCAGGGACTGACTCAACTTGCTCTCCCAATCCATTAAGCTCAACGTTCCTTCGCATGGCCGCAGCAGCAGCGGGAGACAAGTCATTGGCAATCACATAGCTATACGGTGAAATATTGTGAATTAATCACCATGTTTAGAAGAAGTATATATCCTGACCTCACGAGAGGTATCTCTTTGGCATATCGTATGGAACGTAAGCCGGTGGCGGATAGAGCTTCCAGGATGACGAACTTCTGCTCCTTGTACTACAAGAAAGACAAACTCATTGAAACTGTAATTCCAAGGGGCTGCGACGGTCATGTACCTCAAGATTGTTAACCGGTTGTTTTTGTTCTTCTGTCATATTCGAAACATTCACATCGGGGACGACGGTATTCCCTTCAGGTTGAATAACTGCAATAGCAAGAAAATTCCCATTATTACCGATCAACAGAACGAACAACGGACCTGCTACACACTCTTCTGCCGTTTAGGCTCTGTCGGATTCTCCGCCCTCTTTGCCTGCCTAGCCTGCTTAACCTCCCACTTCCTTTTCTTCTCCTCGTTCATCATAGCGCCCCAAGTGTGAATGCATGCCACACTTAAGTCTCGGTTGAACTCCTGCACTGGATTCAAGAATGCTTCGTTATTGTCTGGAAGGAGAATAGAAGACGTGTTCTCGGTGTGAAGCTTGAAGCCTTCTGGAACAGTAATCTCAGCCTGCGTCATAGTGAATCGTCGAGGTCCAAAGAAGCACGAGAGGTTTATAGTACAACGGCGCAACGGCCTGCGAGTACGAAATAGAACAGTTGAGAGTATCGTGAGAGGATGCTTTTCAAGCCAAGTAGAATAGCGTTTGGGTCAGAGTTACTCAAATGAATCAGTATGTCGCGTCGTTAACGTCAAGCAGTCATAGAGATAGCGATGAAATACAATCAGACATACTTTCATGGAGAACTTCCAATCCGGGAAGGAAGCCAAATAAACGCCAAACAGAACGTGACCAACTGTACAGTTTGTAAACTTTACTCGCCGACGCCCACCACATACACCCGGAAAATCCGCTCAATCCTTCAAAACCACAATGGAGAACGACCAAGTGAGTTCTGAATGATACGAGTACTGGGAAAAGAATGCTGACGAAATTTGGTGCGATAGGGTGTCCTTGTCGACCTTTATGTCCCCCGCAAGTGCGCGGCAACCAGTAAAGATTCTTTATTCGACTGAATGAAGAGACTGGGTTCTCATTTATGATTTCTGCACTTATAGACCGACTCATCACCTCGAAGGACCATGCTTCCGTCCAACTGAGCGTTGTCGACGTTGATGCCAACGGCCGGGCACTCCCCACGTCTACTTCCTTCGCTCTCTCTGGTGCGGTGCGGGCTATGGGCGAGAGTGACGACTCGTTGAACCGGTTGGCGACTAAGGCCGGACGTACGTGGCATGATGCACCCCGAATTCGATTATTTGCCTGACTTCTGAATCTATAGTCCTCCGGAACGTCTGGTCTTACCAAAAATGATTTTGTACATACACACTTTGGCACGACCTTTCATTCCTATTCCTCTACATCTCTGGCCCAGCGTGTATTTGTGATTTCCTTCGTCATCTGCAGCATTAGCATTCTCTGATCATCAGCTTGAACGGAGTGTCACTATCTGAACTGGACCCTGGACCTGCCTGGAGCGATGATACGCTTCATATTGGGAGTCTGATAAATCTTCAAAAACATGCAACGCTGAAGTACTGAACCTCCAGTTGTTCCAAATAATACATTGTCTCTATACCATTTTGACTGTCTACAGGATATGTCACAAATATTATACGGCTTGCCTCACTCCCGGAATGCCTGGATGGGAAAGCTAGACGCGCGTGTGGTGCCAGTGCGGCAGCTATTACTATTGGTACTACTAGCACTGCGCTGGTTTGCTAGTGGCTTACCTTCATCATCTGGAGCGCAGCACCAGCAGCAGCAGGAACGACTGATTATCAAACATTTCGGATGATATATAGTTTTCATTTCAATGACAACGCCGCACCAAACAACTTCCCCTTCTGACCTCACCCTATCTACAGTGTCTGTGGGTATAACCGAATAGGCTCGATCATCCTTGTGCTGGGTGCATTCTGATTAACACCTAGTTTGACTCAATGGTTGAGATCAAGCGGGAGCGAGAGGCAATCCAGCCTGTATCTTCATCCAGCAATTTTGGCCTTGATGAGGAGAGCAAATATAGACTGCTCTATAGCAAGTCCAAGGTGTACGTGAATCCGACAGCCTATGCCAGGGATAACATTCCTGGATTTGTCGCCCTTGTAAAGCGGGTGAGCTGAGTGATCCATCCTTCATGTTATTTCCATTCATAATTCCCGCAGGAGGCTGTAAATCCTAGCTACTTGCTTGCTTGGATCCCAGAGACACTGCTTAACGAGAGAGGACAAACTGAATGGGAGAAGTTTGTCAGGGTTGAAGAGAAGAGCTCAGTTGAGGACGAGGATGAAGGTACTTGTCACTATATGCCTATTCTCTGTTAGTGCGGACATCCTGACCTGGCCTTTGGATAGATGTCGTGTTGATCGACCTACCAACATCGAGGGCAGAGACGTATGCGTTCTCGGTGCCAGTGACGTCAATATATTCCCTTGACGTTCGACCTCCGTCTCTCTCATCATGGTGTAAGTCCATTCGTTGATTCATTTACGCTCTACTAGACTTATCCCTCCAGACGGTTCCATCGGTATCAACCTCATCAATGGCACCACTCTCCCAACTCTTCATTTCCATGACGATGAATCTCGATCATTCACAATGCCGCAGAAACCGCCGACAGACGTTAAACATAATTATCCTCCACCACAATCGCCTTCAACTTCTCGCTCGGGTACCACATGGGGAGGGGAAGAACTGCTTTCGCGACTGCGCTCTTACGCTCATCTACTCCGGTCAAACCTGCAGCCTACCTTGTTCCTTGTCGACCCGTCTCGTGAAGATATTGAAGCGCATACAACGCAGATATTCGACGACGATGCAGTAGATGATATCCTCGCTCAGTCGTCATATGCCAACTCGCATTCACCTATCCCGGCACATCGAAGACCACGGCCCATTTCGTCGACGCCAAATCCGTATTCTTCTAGGTCTTCAATCCTTCACCGCTCTCTGCAGTCTCCCCCACCCTCATCCTCATCATCTCCGTCTCAGGCTCGCTTAGCACTCCTCCAGTCCTTCTCGCAAATCACTCGTCAAGCTGCACATGCTGCGCAACAAATATTGTCTCATCCACTCGCCAGGCCCATAGTCCCCCATCTTCCAGATCCCGTCAGGAGCCTTGTCAATGTTAGTGGTGACCTAGAATGGGGCAGTTGGGTTGAGAAGGGCGGAGTGGGGGAATTCGAAAGTGCACGAGTGTACCTGGCTCGCTGGGCGCGTATCGTAGCCGAAGAGGGCGAACGGTCGAGAAGGATGGAAGCACAAACATTACCTTCCTCGTCCGAGTTGCCCGCAGAGAACTCCTCTTTGGGTGTGTTTGAGCTGCTTCAGTCAACATCCAACTTGCCAACGCCGAAGTCGACTAGGGATCCTCTCCATCCTGTCAATGAAGCTACTTGGAAGGGGTGGTTCAATGCCGATGGGACGCCGAAGGTGACGCGAGAAGTGATGAAACGCGAGATATTTAGAAGAGGTATCAGTGCCCATGGAACATTGCGCCAGAGAATATGGCCTTTCTTGCTTGATGTACACAAATGGGACGCTACTCATGCAGAAAGGTCTAAACAATGGAAAGAAAAGCTGTAAGAGCGCATCGTTTGTCCCTCTGTTTTCTTGCTCATCGTGTTTCAGTGAATTATACCACGAGCTTAAGGATGAGTGGTGCGGAGTACCCGAAGTGTTTGAACGCCAAGATATAATAGAAGTGCGTGTAATAAAGTCCTGTATGGAACGTGGACTGACGCGATGACTTTCAGGAAAGGCATCGAATAGATGTGGACTGTCGACGGACAGACCGTACGCAGTCGCTCTTTGCAGCTACTACTTCATCTTCCTCACTAGATAATTGCGAAGATGAGAAAGCGATTCACATGCGATATTCCACGATATCTCCCCAACTCAGCGACATCGGTGCTCAAGCTCCCAGCAATGATCATATCGAACGCCTAGGTGCCGTCCTGTTGACGTATGGTTTCTATGAGAAATCGCTGGGTTAGCGTTGTCTGTTCTTCATTCATCTTTGAGTTGTATTCAACCTTCTGCATCTAGGGTACGTTCAGGGCATGTCAGACCTATGCGCACCCGTTTACATCGTCATGGGTGCGGAGGAGGAGCTGACATTCTGGTGTTTCGTGGGAATCATGAATCGAATGGTTTGTCGTTTTATGGCGGTTGCTGCGATATGATCTAAACTGATTCGAATGTTCTTCGTATAGAAGCAGAATTTCCTCCGCGATCAGAGTGGAATGAAGAAGCAGCTTTCAACGCTGCAGCAACTCATAGGCATCATGGACCCTGAGCTTTATCGACATCTCGGTATGGTCATATATTCTCTACTTAATGTCTCCTACTAACGCAGTGCCTGCAGAGAAAACGGATGGGCTGAATCTGTTCTTCTGCTTCCGGTTTGCCGATTATATCTCTACCCTACTTTCTCCTGCTGATGATGTCCTCGTAGTTGGATCTTGATCGCTTTCAAACGCGAGTTTCCTTTCGAGGACGTCTTACGACTATGGGAAGTCCTATGGACCGACTATTACAGCAATCAATTCATGCTCTTCGTCGCTTTGGCAGTATTGGAATCACATAGAGATGTTATCTTGCGGTATCTAGTAGAGGTATGTTGATCCTCTTCGTTGACGTCCTCACGTCTGCTAACGTCTACTTTCAAGTTTGATGAGATCTTGAAAGTACGTCATTCTTTTTCTGCCGTTCATTCTCATAGGACTTACTAACCATCATTCAGTACTGCAACGAACTCAGTATGACCATCGAACTAGATTCCACATTAGCTCAAGCGGAGGTACTATTCTTATCGTTTGCACAGTTGGTGGCAGATATCGACCGCCGGCGTGCCGAGGAAGGACTACAGCCTTCCAGTGACCTCCGGCAACGGAAGAGTGGGCCCCGCCCTGTGTCCAATACCCAAGACAACCTAACCACACAGGTTAAAGCCAGCACCCTTATCTTGAGCGACGATCTCAGGGATCTGCTCAAAGCAGGACAGTGATAGAATACGTTGCGTGATGGACTCTTTTGGCATACTCCTTTATGTCTAATGCCTCTAGATTAGGGGTGATCATGTTGGTGGCTCGTTCATATCTGGCATGTATTTGTATTGGACAATAGAAACGAGAATCGCACAGATCCAAATACCTGGCATCTGTTCGACACCTGCCAGATATGACAATAATATTTCATCTCACGTCGTTTGCTTCAAGGTGAAAGCAGCATTCTTTTGAAACTGCTTCACTCCTTTCTCAAAAAAATTGGGTACAACTATACGATGTGGAATCGGGGTCTGCGTTCTTTAAATAGGCCGAGCGGTTTGATCGAACCATCATATATTATGAATCATGCGAATAAAGTGGATAAATGTCCCAATGTACGCAACTAGAAATAAACGAAGCAAAACAATGGACTAAGCATCAACACTCACAACCGAATGCTGGCCCCCTTCATGTCATAAGACTGATCAGATCTCGCGAAAGCCTACAATTAAGATTGCTTTGAATATGTTGCCATTCCTTGCACGTTGTTCGCCTCTAGAAGGGGCTTCAATTCAGTTCATCATGACGAGGTTTATTCAACTGACCGATGTGGAGACTCGATCCTTTGGCTGCAGCGGCAAAATCAAATGCGCCGACTCGGGTGGCTGCACCGGGGCCTTCGAGAGCAAGAACCTCGACAGATGAGGTTCCAGGTGCGAGGCTGTAAAGGTAACTGCGTTCCAAACAGCTTGATTAGCACTTGGAGACAACTGACAGTGAGTTATGACATACTCTTTGCCGTTCACTGTGGCAATGGCACTGTCGAGAGGACCGGAGTTGTTGGTCAAAGGATATTGCTATAAAATTGTATGCAGTGAGTGAATATGCCCATAGGGAGATAGTAATTGCTTACCTGGATGATGGTGGGATGCAGACTGTCGTCAACACTTGCTTCCCTTACCATCGATCCAGCAGCATCAACAAGGTAGAAGTGTCCCGTCTTTGCGCTGTAAACAGACCAACAGGTCGCTTGCTGGCCATTGATGCTCGTAGCTTGCGGCCTGCCTGATGAAAGGTCTAGGACCTCGACCCCGACAGCAGGATCGGCGACCAAGACTGCATTCTTTCCTGGAATGTTACTGAGCGAGAAAGGACGAGCACCACCTGAAGGCACCGGAATCTTTTTGAATGTGGAAGAGAGCTTGTCGCCGTTCTTGTCCCACACCGCAAAGAAGCCTGGTTGGTCGGTTTGATTTCCTTTGACTGCCACGATGAGCTTATTCTCATCTTCATTATAGTTCACTTGACTGGCGGTGAATGGCGCGCCTGTAGCAGGCGTTGTCTGGATAAGCTCAAGGGAACGACGAGTGTCGGACAAGGGCCGAAGACCAGTGCGTTTATCGACACTATAGCAGCTAAAGATGATGTTGTTTGTCAGACAGAGCACCGGGATTAGGAGTACTCTCGCTCTTACTTTACACCATTAACTTTTCCGGTATTGAGAACACACAGTTCAGAACCAGCCTTGTTGAAGGCTACAGAATTCGGGAATTCTCCACCACTATCGGCCGTGCCAATCAGACCAAAATTCACTGGGTTGGTAGCATCGATGCCGAAGAGAGATACAGTGTGCGAACCGGCCTAAGGGGAAGGATATCAACATGTGAACCAACAAACCTAAAAGGTCTACTCACGTTCACCACAGCCAGAAGACCTTCTTTGTTGTGGACTTGAACAGAACCCTGGGAGTAGAGCCCGTCGGCACCCGTCGAGTTTCCGTGCATTCCCTGTCCGCCAGTGGCGATAGCTTGTCGGAACGTCTGACACCGGAGAAATGTATCAGTACTGGCCCTTCTTAGCAAGAGACGTTGAGAGAAGTGCATACCACGGAACCATCATTGGCAACTTCACCTGCGACGATATAATTGCCCCTCTGGTCATTTGTCATGACTGATAAACCGGTGAGTAGGTGAGCTTCGCGACGTATGTAGGACTTACAATAGATGGCTGCCTGGGCGTTGTCGGAAGCTCTAGCACCAAGGGAAATCGCTCGTCGTTCATTGAAGGGGCTACGCTGGGAGATGGTGGAGGCGCTAACAAGGATGGCAGCACTGGCAAGAGAGAAGAAGTATTGAATAGACTTCATAATAAGAATTCAAGATTAAAAGCGGAAGTTATAAAAGAAGGGAACGGAAGAAGTGTTGATGAGGATCGAACGAACGATGACCCAGGTCTCTTAAAGTGAAAAGAGTGAAGGCTGTTACGATGATTCCTTGCGTGACGGAGTTGGGATGAATAACCTACCTCTGTGAAACTGAGACAGAGATCACGAGGGCCAAAGTGCAAATAGGAACGAAACCGAGGCGATCCCCAGTGGAAATCGTTCGCTGAGCGAGACGAAGGTAAAGCAATGCATCGGCAAGGTGGACATCCTAGATACGAAACAGCATGATCGAATACATTTGTCTTGTCATCATGCATCCTCCAATCGTAGCTGGCCGATCTGCGCTGGCAAAAGCTGGACTTTGGAGGTTCGAAAGTGATACGAAGTTTATATGCATGGTAAGACAACGAAAGGTCATACTCCCACAGTCATAAACATCAGAATTGTCAATGCGCGTAACTCTGCCATAGTTCGAACATCAGTAGCCCAACCAATCCAGCTCCATACAACCATTCAAATATTCACGTACCAAAACAATCTCAGTCCGAGTCGGACTATATCGCCTCGTTTTCTGAGAGCCAAGTTTTTGAAGGTGAATCACCCACAAATATATGCTGTGTATGAGATTGATGAAGAGTCCCTTCTTGCGCAACGACAACAGGATCTTCAGGCTGGAGATTGAAACCTACCGACAGACCTTAAAGGGGAAAAATGAAGAGGAGTAATCGAATCCGACTCGGAAAGCGCTTCGCAGGTTTGCTGCACACCGTACTGTGTACCAAAGTGCTACTAGACGATTGGGTGTACTGCATATAGTCTCTACACTGAGCAACTTGCTAGTCACCCCGCATGGGTACGAAGAGGATTATGCAAGTGTCGTAAAGACTTAAGGTATGGGCAAAAAGAGAATACAAGAGAGGCCAGACAATGTGGCGTTTGAAAGATTCCGAAGACAGCATTGAGATGAGGGTAAGACACGGAACGCCCTAGTAAAAGGCGAGGGCGTTGTTATTTTGTCCTACCCTCTGCTGTTACAATGTTCGCCAGAGTGATAATGGCGTAAAAGAAAATTTGTATTTCGTTCAACTCGCGGGTGAACAGGTCGGGATAAGCCGACGTACCACAAAACTTGGTGCAAAAGCTTCTTAGTACTACAGTATCAATGCAATTAAAAATTGTGGTCTAGAGGACCTCTATGTTCTATATTTGCCTAAGATCATTTACAATCCAGACGGTTGACGAATACCAGCATCTTCTTTCTCCAACTCAAGAACGTTCTCACCTTCCACCGCCCAAGAAGGTCGTGGAATGCGGAAACCCCCTCCCAATGAAGCGTAAAGGATATCGCCAAGCCTACCAATAGGTTTGAGTTTGTCAGGATCAACGTTGCCGCGCTCATTGAGCGTATCTCGGCGAACGTGAATGTATTTGACCCTCCCGAGGATCAACGTAGTGCTTTTTACTCCACTCTCTGGGTGGGTAATATCGATCGTTTGGAAGAGCTTGCATCGATAAACATTAGATATACGGTACCCTGATCGGATGAGCGAACAGGATCTAACCTCACATTCCATGCTGAAGGCACTTTCCTTGACGCGAGGAGGCTTGACATGAACCTAAGGATGTGTTCTCAGATATATCGAATGATGAATTAAGATGAGCTGATTTGCGTACACTTGGCGCCTTCGTTAACCCGCTGAGAGCCCATTCACTCACGTCAGCCGGTGCGTCAATGGAACAAGCGTTCGCATTGTCAATCCACGGGACGCTGATAATGTTGACAGTGAACTCTTTGGTGGCTAGGATGTTCCGTGTTGTATCCTTGACTTTGTTGTTCACGATTGCAACAGAGATGGAGATGAGGGCTGGATACGCTGTAACCTTATTGAGAGTGTGTATTAAGGAGGTTCATGTTAAATCATGGAGCATGGGCTCATACCATGTTAAACCAGCTGCCCACGTGAATAGAGTCAAGAGGACGAATCATAGGTTACGAGATGTTCGACTTACCTCATAAGCCCTAAGTTCTCGACGCCTGTGTCAGATATAGTAGACACGAAGGCAACGGGTCTAGGGGTGATTGCACTGATCATCAGAGGATACTTTGAATCGAATGAGTATTCAAGCAGTTTAGACCAGACTGTAATAATGGATGATAGTACCAGCTTCCTATAATATCAACACATCGTGAAGTCAAAACAGCCATGAACAGAGAGATAAGTCGACTAACATGGGATCTTCTTTGTCTGTCTCAATCACTTTCCATCCCTCCTTCTCTCCATCCGCCCATGCCTTCCCTTCTGGCGTGGCATCGACCTTCTGGCCAAACTTGAAAGATGGGTTAGGCGGCTGCGTGTACTGGAAGGTAGACTCAGTGAAAGCAGGGAGATCAGAAGATCTGGACGCCATGGTAAGTGCGAAGGAAATGAGGGTTTAGTTGCGACAACTGTAGTGTATAAATACTGAGAGTCAAGTCGTGGGTAGTAACTTTTGTAAGCAAGATTGAGCTGTTAATGTAACGTTCAAATCACCCGTGTTACCCGTAGTTAGCTGACGCTGCAAGGTGATTATAAGTCACTCGTAAACTCAAATGACTGCACTCAGGAAAAGGAGTATCCTTAACATGGCTTCCAGTTCCCCAGCACGGCATCATCCATGGGGTAAGATGGTGATCGAAATAATGATAAGAGGTGGCTTCTTGGTCGCCTTCCATATGTGGCCGTCTGTTTCATAACTTCAACTCTCCCAGCACGTGCTAGACGCGTCGCGATCATCATGAGTCGCCAACGACCTTGTTGCACCTTGACCTTGACCACAACTATGTCGAATCTTACTCTCCTCCGTAGCTACGCGCTGAAAACTAATCCGGCTTCTCTTCCCCCCTCCGTTTTGTTCAGTCACACTGAAAACACTCTGACCATCTATGATGCATACCCCAAGTCTATATTCCACTTCCTCATTCTTCCCCGAACAAACGCCTTTCTGCCACTCTCTGTGTTTGATCTCACGAACCTAAGGACCCTGCTGAAGGGGAACAAGGAAAGGGCGAAGGAAGTGATATCTACTCTGAACGACGAGGCGACGAAACTAAAGAAGGAAATTGAAGAAGAAATGGTCAATCGGTATGGCTTCAAGTGGGACATCTGGATGGGATTTCATCCTGTCCCTTCAATGGAGTACGCTTTCTGAATGTTCTTGCTATGTGCAATACTCACTTTGTTCAGGCACCTTCATCTACATGTACTTTCTGCCGACTTACGTTCCCCATCCATGAAGACCAAGAAACATTACAATTCATTCCGCCCAAAGCTCGGATTCTTCCAACATATTGACGACGTTCTCTCATGGTTTGATGCAGAACCTTCATATTTCAACAAGGTACGTGAATACCCCACCGTGTACCCATGCCGATGACTTGCGGGATGTTGTTCCTTGTGATACTGACCGTCTGCAGATGTCGGAGCTCAAGAAGAGCAAATACGAACCTTTGCTAAAAGAGAATCTTACATGTTTCCGATGCGACGCGATGTTCAAGAATATTCCAACTCTCAAGAGTCATCTCGAGGAAGAATGGAACAAACTTGTCCAGAAAGAGAAGGCCAAACACGCTAAACAGAGCAAGAGGAGACGTGAAACTGAAGATGCTAAGTCCACTACAAGTCACGGCGATTCGTCCAGTGGCACACCCCCTAAACGACAAAAACTAGAATCTCCGCCAGATGATGTTACCTCATAATTCACTTCGCGTTGTTCATCACTCAGGTTTCGTCTTTGATGATAATCGATCTTGGATGACATCCATGTACAATACCAACTTCCCTCCTGCTAGTCATACACACATTTCTGTGTCCAGTATTTCAATCCAATACAGCAATCACAAAATACTCAAGCCTGAATGGGAGCTGCCTCGGCTCGCTTCAAGTTGCGAGTACGTTCACTAGCCTCTCGAATAGCCCAGGTCAATTCGTACGACTTGCAGGCATCTGTAAAACGTTCGCCATCAGCAACTGCTTGTTGCCCAATGGGGTGACACTGACCATCGAAAGTACATAGAATCTGGGCGGTTTCAGGATCCTCTTCGATATCTTCTATGTTGTCGATCCAGACAGATATCTGCACCATAGTAAGCATCCCGATCATTCTAACAAAGATGGGTGTCACAAACCTCAGAGAAGAAAGGATCATCATCGGGGAATCTGTGAGATTCCTCTAAATCGCTACCAGGCCTGCGAACGTAGAGCACAGGTTGGACGTAAGGGTTTACAAGCCTGAAGGATGTTTGGTAAGACGATGAGCCGGATTACATCACCGATCACAACAAGAACAAAATACGAACTTCAGTTGGTATCCATCTGCATACACCTCCAGCTCGCAGCTGTAATCATGGCCCTGGAGAGCAACGAGGTGAGTGAAGCTGCCCACTGCTCCACCCTCATACTTCCTAATTACAGAGACGGTAAAGATATGCTGTAAAGGGTAACAAACGAAGGTCGCCTACCAGGTTGCGGCAGTAACACGAGGAACCCTGTCCTCGGGCGGGATAGCGGTCTCATCGATGCTCTGTTTTGAGAGATGTCCAGCATTCTCATACCATTCGACGGAATGTGCGGAGACCGTAGAGATATCAACGTCACCACCAAAGTAGCGGGACAAATCGCAGAAGTGAGTACCCTGCTCAACGATAGGTCCAGCACTGCAACGATGACGGTTCAATGGTACTCCATGAAGTCGAGCTAAGGAAATGCCAACCTCTTGGACTTGTTCCACCAGTCCGGCTTGGCAATAGCCTCGTACGCAGTTGCGTAGCGAGCGATCGTGGCCATGACAGTGAGGTTGTTGTCATCTATGATCTGCTTCATCATTTGGACGGCCTTAAGGTACCTGAGCATGTAACTAAAACGAAGTTTCTGCGTGAATCACAAGTATGCACAGAAGCCGTCATATATACTCACCCAACAGAGGTGATAGTACCCTTGTCACTGATAAACTTTGCGACCTTGAATGCCTCTTCGATCTCCTCGCTAGGACCAGTCGTCACGGGTTTTTCGATGAAGAGCGCGACATTGGGGAAATGGTTCAGAATCTGGATCTCAATATCGCGTCCGGGCTTAGTGGTACCACGGAACATCGGAGGAGAGCCGACAACGAAGGCCTGCGGGGGACTCTTGCGATCGAAAGAGTTCACATAGTCCTCAAGTGTCTTGAATACGCGCGTGTTTTCATATGCAGAACGCACGAAACTCTCGCACTTCTTCTGAAGGACAGTGGTGGCGCGTTCAATGGCTGGGTCGATCAGTGCAACGACCTTTAGACGAGGGCCGAGTTTGCTGGAAAGGAGTACATATGAGGAGATTACGGACGCAGCGCAGATGCTTGCGCTGCTTACTGCTCAAAACGGAAAGAATGGTTCCATGGACCTTCATCCGAACCTAATTAGTAGGTGCATATATGCGTCAAAATCCACATAAAGTAAGCGCATATAGTCAACTTACCGAACATAATGTTGCCTGCGCCGACGAATACTACATTGAACTCATTACCAGTGTGGGCGGTGGTCCTGTGGGTAGGTTGGATAGAGATCAGGACTATCGATCTGGTTATGGCGTATCAAAGTACTGTACTTGTCCATGGGAACCAGCCTCGAGGGATCGATGGATGGCCTACGAGACGACATTGCGGATGACCGCCTCTCGAGCATAGAGGGTCTACGACTTGTTGCAGCGGACATGATGGATGCAAGAGAGCTGGAGGGACAGGAGGTGGTGGATAGGAACTAAGAAGGCTGAAAACGAGTGCGGTAAATTTATAAGTAAAGCAGCCTTTCAATTGATGATGGCGTGGAGCAGAAGGTACGTCGGGAACCTCCATTCTGCACAGTCGAGGTCCGAAGCGTGTATGTTCTATCGGGTTGAGGAGAGAAGTACTGACACATCAGCCGTTCATGATCATGACCCCACCCATTATCTTTAGCCGTGAACTCTCATTCTGGATCCTTGCACCGGCAACGGTCCGATCACCTCACGTTACGAGCGGTATCCAAAGTTATGAGAATTATTGCCAGGACATAAGTTAGCAGCTCCGGGGGTATGAGATACACAAAGGGCGTGGGTTCGCACGACGACATGGTATACAGTTTGATAATTTTCCAGGAATCCAGATGTGATCATGACCTTCCAGCTTATGAAGTTGGACGACTTTGTAACTTCCGACCTAGCTCCTCTTGTCTCCGTTGCGCTGCCTCTAGCCTCTCGTTCATGGCCCGGAGCTCCTCCTGCAGCTTCGCATTCTCCTGTGCCAACTTTAGCACGTTACTGGCGCGTTTCTGGACCTTTTGCGTTCTAGACGACAAGTCGACGTTAATCATCTGATCGAGGCCAAGTGCAATTTCAAGAAAAGGAAGACAAGGGGCGTGGTGAATATTGAATGCGAGGCAACCGACTTACTCCTCTGGTTCTGCAGTTTTGCCGGTCACCTCCGAGAGGAGGCTTTCAAAGGTCACGGTGAGATCGAGCTCTGACTGTGGCAACTCTAGGTCGGGGAGACGTGGTTCGGGCAGCGGCGCGATATCATCATCGACGGTGTCAGGCTGAGCTTGCTCAAGGAGGTCTGAAGCGCGATCCCTGGTGTTGCCATATAATCCAAAAGGAATCGTGTCAACTCAGTTTGGGCTTGTGTTAATAACAAGGTGCACCAACCCGGATTGGTAGGACCTCGCGTCATTGGAGCTCATTGTGAAAGACAGTCGCGAGAGTGATGAATGAAGGTCTTGTATGTTGTGGTCGAGGTCAAGGAATGTTGTCAATGAGGACAGCCGTCTCGATTGTCGACAAACGTTGCCACCCTCATCGAGTGAGCTGGGTGGTGATCTGGTAAGGTTAGGGGCAGATTGTCTGTCGTCGCGTGGCAACTTACCTAATTGACGGGAGAAGGTTTAGGGCTGGACCAATGCTGGACTAACTACCCAGATAGAACAGGTAAGTAAGATCAATTGTAATTCAGGAAACTCAAAAATTGACTGGATTCAACTCCAGTCTGGGCTGTACCCAAGCTTGTTCCAATTAAGGGCAAATTTTGGGTTTCCAGAAACGACGGATATGCGTAATGTTTTGGGCGTTGCCGGGGCGCAGACTGAAGATTCAGGCCTAGCCTGTCGAATATGTCGTGACGAGGTAGTGGTCAGTAATCGCGTCCTACTGAACGACTCGGACTTGCTTCTTTTAACCACGGTGCCGCTCCTCGAGTGTCTCGGAGAATGATCGACATATCTGCGTTGCTGTAAGAAGCGACACGTCTGGCTAAAACACACATTCCCAATAACATTTTCCAGCAATTATTCAGATTCTAGCGAGCGAGCGACCGGAGTCGCTCCGTTCCTTCATCCTTTCATGAACTTGCAGAAAAACTTTCCATCCTATTATGTTCCATACCAGATGTACAATGTCCCCGCATTTTCTTCAGAAGACCCGCAACGAGTCGCTGGCTCCGTAGATGCAATGCAGTCAAACACGGGTCCGAATGGAAGCTTTGACCATCATAATCAGGCCATGAGTGCCGTCGACCTTACTAGGTTTCGCGAGCCTCTGCCTCTGCCCATTCCGCGCCGCCCCTCCACTCTCACCTCATCTAACCATTCCTCTACCCAATCATTTCCGTCAGACGCGTCCGAGCGTGACAATGCAAGGGTTTACGCGTCTCCTCCGCTGTTGACAAGACGGGAAACATCATTGGCTACAAATTCCGTTTCCCCCATTATGATAGGGTCGTCTCCCGAACATGACACGACCCTTTCGTTTGAAGCAGAGGTACGTCATGCCCTGATCATGTAAACACGGCTATTGCGAATGACTTGATGTCAGAAACAGCCTGTTCCCGCATTACATGGCGATCGTGATCCGCATGCTGCGGCTTTCATCAGGGAACATCTCGGCGAAGAGAAATGGCACATTTTCTCATCACGCTTGGCTGAGACAAAGAGAAGTTTCTTCAAGTCCAAAAAGAAGGCGCGGCTGAATGCCACCGGCAAGATGGCCAGAGGCACCGCTGACGTGAATGAGTCAAACGACGCGGTATCTACAATTGATTTTCTTGTCAAAGTCGAAGTAGTAAAAACGGTACTGCGAACATTAGTTCCGTATGTATCTAATTTCTTCTTTCGTTAACAAGTCTAATTTACCTCTTTTAAATCGACCTTCAGAAGTCCGCACAACCCGCAGAAAACGTTCACTCATCCCTTCGCCTCCTCTCCGCGAGGTCACGTCACACTGTCTCGTTCAAGCATACTCTCTCTCTCTGGCTGGTCCAACACACAGTTTGCATACTGGGGTCGCAGAGTTGAAGCAGTATCCGTCCTAGCCCCTCTTGATCTTCGCCTGAATGCTGTCGCAGTTGTCCTGCGACGGCGACTCCGTGAAACGGGCGTCCTTATCGAGGATATTAAGTCTACGGTGACATCATCACCTAGGTCTTCTCAATTGTCCGGTCGGAAAAATTCTGTAACCCAGATGCTTCCATTACCGCCGGTAGAGCACAAGTGCCCAGAAGAATTCGAGACAGACCCTGAACAATGGGTGAAAAAATACATCACTGGGAAAGGATTGGATGGCCTTATTGAACAGGTGAAGAAGCACTACGGCGTGAGCCCCTTTCTACACGGGAAACATTCGTGCCTTGCTCCGTTTGGGGCCACGCATGGCAGTGTTATCGAGGAGCAGCAAAAACAGCCGATTTTTGTGCACACCCCGACAATCCAGGCAGATTTACACGGCCAAGAAAACCCGTCAGAAGAGAAATTTCCCGTCAGTAGCGAGTTTGAAGGCGAGAAACCGCGAGCCGAAGAATCACCGCCAGCTCAAGTACAGCAGAAGGCTTCACCGTCGCCTATTCCCCCAGGCTCTTCCGCGCCGCTATGGAACGCCACCTTGGCCGAAGAGCCGTTCGAATTTGGGTTCTCTCTGGACACTCCATTCAACCATCCTACGCCCCCTGTCGCCGCTCAAGAGCTCGTTTATCCTCCCGGCTCTTTCGCTATTACTGATAATACAACTAACTGGGAGCCATCCGTATCAAACCGCGAACCTTGGCCTTCATATACCTGCAACGCATCACACAGCAGGTCTTTCTCAGAACTCGGAAACGACACGGCAGGTTTTTCGCCCTCATCTAATTTCGAGATGTTTGTCCCTCCGCCGCCGAAAAGACAAAGGACTGGACACAGTTACTCTTATCCCTCGACCGTACCCAATCTGCACCGCATCCGGGGTCCCTCAAGAGCATTTTCTAACGCCGCTACATCCGCATTCGCATCGTCATCCACCGCTGCATTTACAAGTTATCAATATAATGCTACATCAGACTCGTCGAGGACGATGTCCGGTGACTCATCACTGCATTGGCCAATCAGTTAATGCCACGTACTTCCCTTCAATTGTACACGTACCCTACCCAATGTAGAGGATATTCAGGCTGGACAGTCTATATGGACCATACCCGATGATTTTTCCAGTATATATACACTGGTGTATTCATAGTATAGTCATGACTCGGAAGTCTCGCTGTACTATTGTAGGTGTTTTATTAGTTGTTCCAGTGATTTCGGATAATGTACTATTTGCTATGGGGGATCTACTTGGAATGGAATAGTATACTTCGTATTCGGTCTACCCTCGAGCTTCATCAAATTCAATCAAGCTAGAGGTGGCACTACCTTCCATCCCAATTTCTAAGTACCTAGCTAACTCCGGGGCCTGTAAGGTCCTCACTAACAGGAATTCAGTTGAAGGTTGTTTGCTGGAGGCTCCATAGAACACACCAAGGCTCGGTGGTGAAAACGGCTGACGACAGGATTCCTGTAGGAGGGCCATTATAAGTATATTGGCCGCTCAGCACCTTTGATAGAAATCATGTAACATCATAGTAGTGTTAAACCCATTTGTCCGTTTTTATCGGATAGGTTACTCCAAGCTTGAGAGTTCAAAGAGCTAGCAGCAGGACCTCCATGGAGATGTCATATTCAAGCGCGACTGTAGGCTACTAATTATTAGTAAAGCAGGAGCAGCAGCGAGAGCAGAAGTCAGGATAGGGGCGAGTAATCATGAGCAAACACAGTTTACAACGGTCAAAGCGAGTGGCAAGAGAACAGTGAGGAAGCAGAGGGGAAAGGCTACAAGAGTGGACATCAAAGGAAACGACGCGACCGTGGCGTGGCGTATTATGATGATGAGGGTACTAGGACTACAGGGAATCGACCAGAGTGGATTGAGATGTATGAACGAACGCCAATCAAAGAGAAAACTAGAGAATGAACTAAGGGGAAACCAGTCCGTAGGGTATGATGAAGTATAAGAAAGAAATAATTTGAGTCGAAAAGAACAAAGAGTTGACGAGAGATGCAGAGAGAAAGAGATAAGAAAGAAAGAGTAGCATTAGAAGAGTTCCAAAATGGAGGTCTCCAACACTCTGAACTGAGTAGGATCCTTGGACATTTCAGACCATCCAATGTGTTCCCTCCAGTTGAACTGAATGGCCTCTTTCTCCCCAGCGCCAGCGAAATCAGCCATCTCCTCGTCCGGAACGCCTCGGAACATCATGAACAAGCGAGTAAAGATGCAGTTTTCAGCAGTCACAGAAATATCGATGGCAGCTGCGATTTTGCTAGGTGTCATAAACCTATAGGCGATGTTCTTGTGTGTTGCGAATGCAGTCAGGTTGTTGCTATCATATACAAGATAGTGTCAGTGTTAGCCATCGTTGATATCAAGGTGTGGCGCAAGAATGAATGAGAGTACACACTTGATAAAGTTGGTTCGTGCATGAAGTGACATCCCCAACGTATCAAGGACGGTCATGAGGTGCAACACAAAATCTCGGTAGGACATCGCGAAGCTGTTTCTCGGTGCGACGAAATCGTGGGGATCGAGCATCCCAGGGTCAGGACTGAATGAGGTAAAGCAGATAAGTCACACCACGCCCGTGTATGACGGTTTGGAACGTACACTGCTTCGTAATACAAAGCCGTCGTGGTCATCAAGGACTCGAAATGTTCAAGGGCACCACCAGGATGCACCCGTACGAAATATTTGACTTTGTTTGGGCCGACGTCTTCGGCAGGAGGTAATGAAATCCTTAACTTCCATAGCGGGGAAAATGACAGCACGACATCACAGTACTGCTGAGCAGGTGCAAGAATACTCAAGTGGCACTTGGCTGTCGCGGGCTTGGAAGCCACCGAGAGCTTTTGGATAATACGAGAATCCACGAGGAGTTCTGGGGGAACATCATCAACGATACGGGTGCCAGTGAACTCCATCTTGTGCGTATCGCCGTCGTGAATGACATCCAATTTGCCCCAAAACATACCGTCAACGGTTGTTCCATCTTCCATTCGGGACATGTCCAGTTCGTCAGAGGAGATGAGAGTGTCGAGCGCTACCGTCTGCCCTGGCATCAACTCCAGGTTGAATGTGCCAGTCATTTCTAAGACGGGGGGAGGGCTGCGAAGTACGGTAAGGGCATGAGAGAATCATCAAGTAAAACAGTACTTACGGCGGCGGGCTGCGAAGCGAGGAAGAGACAGAGATCAGTCAAAAGGATGGTTATAACGCAGCGGACACGACATACGGGGGATCATCTGGGGGAGGAGGTCCATCGCTTACAATCTCCACCTTGAAACCACGGACACCTTGAATAGCGATTTGGTAGGAATCTTCTCCGGTGAGCTGACCATACCAGAGTTAGATGATTGACATGAGACAGCATATATAGACTCACATAGAGGTAGTCGCTTGACACAAGACGCTATAGCGAAAGAAGACGACCAACATGAGCGAGAATCGAGTGTGGCGCAATTAGATACCAACTGAAGCCTCCCAAGAAATGTATTGGACGGGGACCCGCAAACTGAATATGGCGTCTGGAGGTGGCTTGATCCAGTCCCTAGCCACTGCTTCCAATTCCTGGTATTATTCATCTTAGTGCTGCACCAATTACCATAGATAAAATCAGCATACAGCGAAACTATCAGGGAGCTGGAGTATGTGGGATTAGCACTTGTCCATCTAGAGAAGCAACAGGTCTCACCATGCGAATGGTCTCCATGTCGGCGAAGGCCAATGTGAGGAGGCGAGGCGGAGAGACGGCCATTGGCTGAGGCTGTTGTATCTTGGCCTCCTTGCCCTTTGGTGTTCTAAGGCGGGACCAGAAAGGGAGACTGGCGTTGGAACCACTGGGTGTGAAGGGAGTAAGCATACAAAGATGTGAAAGGACAGCCACGCTACATACGCTGGAGAGTGAAGCATGACGGGAGAACGTGAAGAGGGTGTGGTATAGATACGAAGAGTGAAGCTACTTGACAGATCTCAATATTCTCCGTATGTGGCTCGGAGAACACGAGGCAAGGAAACACGAGGCGAGCATGATCCACGGTGCGATAACAGCATAGCTCTACCCATGACTGGGGCACTCCCAGAGAGCCATTGTGAAGGCGCAGCAACGATGTTGAGGACGGTCTATTCGCCGTCGAGCACAGTGGCGAGCAAGCATAATATGTATTGTACTATGACGGCCTGCCAAAGCGAGGTAATAATTATCCTTGCTTTGGCGGGTGTCGGGCCGTGCTACCGACTACAGTGCGTCATAAAGAGTCCCACGGGGCTGCCCGAATTTCAGTGGTTTGCGTTTCTGCTGCCTTCATTTTGCCATGTTGCGAACAGTCCTCAAGAACGAACTCAGACCTCTGTTCAACGCACAAGGTCGCTCTTTTGTGTCGACTGTGCTTCTCACCCGAAGCTGGGAAAATGAATCAGTCTCGAATCTCAAGAAAGAGGCTAGAGAACGCGGTATCTCCCAGTGAGTATTACATTCCTCCCGTTTGCAGTGTACTGTATTCTGAAATGAACTCTTAGAAAGGGAAACAAGGCGACCTTGATTACCCGTTTGCAGCAACATGACAAACAGCGTCCTCCTATGCGTGACCCCTCACCTACTGCCCAAGCACAATCTCCTGTTCCTTCGTCACCCGTCACCCAATACGTTCGCAAGGCTTCGACCACTGAAGTACCCGGTGTCCCATCCTCAGCGGAACCTCCTCGTCTTCCGCCAAACTTCCCTAAGGATTTCCTTGATGTGAAGATCCCTGTTCCTTCAGATCCTCTTCCCGAACCTACTACACCTATCGTATGTTTGCAGATCCTATGATTACCATATACTCACACTTATTGTATCTGTCTGACCATGTAGCCTTTTGTTCCGGACTTCTGGGACTCCGCGCGCGTAAAGGCGGCATCCGCTCCCCCCAAGGACGAGCCTGATCACCTCACATTGATTGCCGTCGCAGGAGACCCAACCCACATCGCCATTAGCCCTGCCTACAACCTATACATACCAGAAGAAGAGGTTGTGGAACGAAAAGACACGTCCAAGACTACGTTCCTCGAAGATGTCGCTGAGGACCTGTATATTCCTACTCTCAAACGCGCAGGGAAAGAACAGTTAGAGAAATTGCAGAAAGCCGACCTCTCTCAGGTCACTGGCACCTCAAAGGGACAAGTGATAGAACATTCACGTCCATTGGACAAGGAGGAGATGAGAGGCCTTTACCTCTTCTTTGGTATGATCTTCGGGTCATGGCTAATTTCTGGCTACTTCACGCGACGGTCAGCTTTCGCTAAGGCAGAAGAGTCAGAAAAGGCTGGCGGAAAAGCGACCGGTGCTGCTAAGCACTAGACTCTTTTTGGAGTCCGTTTGCTTTCGGTTAACGATAGATCGGACGCTTGTATCGTAGCCTCTACATCACTACATAGCTCACTACGCTATTTCGTTTGTTTAAATATGACGCTTTTGTTGTGATGTTCTGCTTTTCGAGTCTCAGCCTACGCTTTTCGAAGTGTTCCGAACTGAATGCAAGAGTGATCGGCCTGGTACGAGCGTTTCCAACTTACCTCCACACCATGAACACAATTCGCGTCCAATCTGCTCTCCTACGAAGGCCAAATATCCTTCGACAATTCCATGCTTCCTGTTGTCGTCTGGACATAGTAGGCCCTCCAGATCCAATCTCTCACCTTCGACCAATCGTCTACGACGATGCACCTCTCCCACCTCCGTCCGATGTCCGACATCCCTATTCCTTGCGAGAGTTCACAGGAGATACACGAGAGTACCATTGGAAAATGCAGAGACAACAATTGGATGCCTATAACCATTCATTCTGGACTGACGTGAGTTCGTCATCAACTATTCACTTCCACCTACTTTGAATGTACTCAAAATGATTGCGGTATGCGCGACGCCGATGATAGAGCAATAGTCGGTTTGAAGCTGCGAAACAAGCTTACCTGGATAGCCTACCGGAATCATGTACTCCGGAAGACCAGGAAACGGCTTTATCAGACTTCTACTGCAAATGGGTCAACCAGGAAGCATCTCGCCAACATAAATATAGCAAAGAGTGGAGGAAACTAAATTGGTCCAATATCTTCCTCGGCGCACGCGTCAAGTACCAGATGATTTGGTCTCGTATTACCGGGTCGTCGTCATCCTCATCAAATGTTCGGAAAGATTGAACAGCGCGTACAAATGGAAGCAGATACCCAAAATTACAGAAAGCAAGCAACTGCCTAAAGAATGTTTTGTTACACATTCTGATCTTGTGCTACTAGATCCTTCACCCGAATGAACGCATCCCCCAAATTCAACGCAGCGACCTCCTGTACATCAGCCTCATAATCTTTTTGTATTGCTGCAACCTCTTCAGCAGGAATGCCAGGCCAACGCGTCGAGATTTCCTCAAAGGACGGGATGACCAAAGTTGCATCGGGTTCCAAGGCGTTGGTGGATAGCCCATATGTGGTAGCCTGCATCGCTGCGTACAGAGCTGTACTTCGGAATCTTTCGTTGACTTCCTCGTCGGGGACATTAGCGGTTTGTCGAATTCTGTCCCAACTGGAGATGATAGCGGTTGTATGTCAATATCGATAGCATCATAAAGGTTGAGGTAACGGATTGTACGTACTCGTCGTGTAAATAGATCCTCCGCCAAACGCTTCGCAATGCAGATAGTCGGCGTGCTGGTAGCATTTGCTGGAAGAAACGTTAATACTCAGAGGAATTATTGCATGACGAAAGGGACCGACTTTGGCGGTAGCCAATAGATGAAGAGCCGTAATGTAGTCATCAAGGCGATCATCGTTATCCTTCATACTGAGAACATCGGCAGCATCTTCAACTGATAGTGCCTTGCCTTGCAGCAATCGCCGTACTAGCTGCTTGAATATCTGAATCGAGAGTGATCAGGTTCCTTACTCAAAAGGAGTGTAAGCAAACCTACGCTATATAGGGCCCTGCGTTCTGACAGAGAAGAGGCTTGACTTTTGGCAATGGTATCGACTTGTTGCTCCAGAGACTGCTTAGTACGAACGGTATCAAGCGCAGATCTGAGATTGTCAATCATCGTCTCATGCACACTGACGAAGTCGAGACCATCGTGGAAAGCTAAAACATGGGTCAAACATGTAATTCTTTCAGCATGATTTATTGCCCTACCATTCAGGACATTTTCGTTGAGAGTCGGCGGTACGTCTTCATGCAATAGAGCCAGATATGAGAGCTTTCCGATACTGAGCATCAGCTACAGGTAACATGGTTCAGTGGACTTCAACGGTGTTGCAGAACAGACGCTTACATGTTTGCTTGAGAGCTCCGTTGCATGATCAGCCTGATCCAATAAGGCCTCCGTTGCAATGTCATATCTTCCCTTACCCAGATGGTGGATCCAGGAGATATTGGGATATGGATGCTCAGCAAAGAACCTGTCCAGGTACTCATTTTGCTCCTGCGCGAACATCGTCCGAAGTTCTCCTATGTCAGAACCATCAGCGTGACGTTCGTAGAGGATATCGGAAAGTACGGACCATGTTCAATGTACCATTGGAAGAGCTCGGTCGTGAATGCCTCTTTGAACTTGTCGATGTACAGGTGTATGCGCTGAGCATTGGGGTTTTCTTGGGGAGGATATATTTTCTCTTTGTTACATAGAGACGCTAGACTGCGGAAGTCTCGATATACCTCCGCTAGTTGGAAGGCCTCAGAAGAAAATCCGTCACGTCCTGTATGACCAGATATGGTCAGATAGTAATGAATAAATGACCTAAGAGTGACATACGAAGAGTCTCCAATATTTCAGATCGCGCATATCTGAAGCGCTCCTCCAAGACAGATCTTTCTCGTTCAAAGCCTACTTCAGAAGAGGCCATAGGACTAGAATCATGGAACTTTAATTTCTAGGATGACAGCTAGTGTGAGCGCTCTTCCTCACCTTCGAACCCACTGCAGACGTTCATGGTAGCATGCAAAGAGCACAGACGCTAGTTGAGGAAGCTGCTTTCTAATCTGCAGTCTGCTCATGGATGGCTCTGCCTCCGACGCCGGCCGTTCGACGAGCTTTGTAGTGAGGTTGAACAACTCCGAGACGATGTCGATGATGGCCAGTTGACTGGTCCATGGATTAATCAAAGGCTCGACCAGGCCGTATTGGCCAAAGTTGTACTGTCTTATCGATTTTGCAGTATCCAGGATGGTCTTCAAACAACGTGAGTCAACAACAGTAAAGAATGAAAGAGGTCACAGACCAAAACGACTTCGTTGGCTTGAGGAACAGCATCCAGGAGACTTCTAGTGAGATCGTGCGCCGACTCGCGTACAACGCTGAGAACTTTGGGTAGGATATCACCCAGCCCATCGACTTTGAGTCTGAAGAAGGCTCGCATGAGGTCTTCATGATGACCTTCTCCCACTTCGGTCATATAATGGTACACAGCTTCGCTCAGCACATTGCGAGCATGACCAGATCTATGAATGCCATTACCACACTGGTGCGCGAGAGAATGTGAAAGGGACGTACGAGAGATATTGATTATATTTTAGCCACAGGTTCTGAGCTGCATTCATTTTTTCAACATCTGTCTCTAACCGCTGTCTGCATCTTTGTGACATCTACATTCAATCTTCATTGTGAGCTTGTGGGTCGAGAAATTTGCGTCAAACTCACCTTCGTCAAGACTGCATTGTCGTTGATGAACTTGATCAAAAACTCGAGTCGCTCTATCCGGTGAGTTATTTGAGCCGAAAGATCTGGATTGGGGCGCACGACCTTGTGGTCTATAATTCAAATCTTCATGACCAGGCATAGAGAGCACAAGGATAGGGAAGACTGACCTGATTCAAGGATGGCCTGGCTGAGCTGTTCAGCTCCTGCTATAAGGGCTTCCCCGTCGACTTCTGGTGGGAAACTGAAGTGTAGTGGGTTCTAAGAGAGCGACAGTGAACATCGAAAAAGAATGAGTGCAGAAGAGAGTACATACGTCGACATGAGATCCATACAGGATAGCTTGTGTCATCGTGGACTTGATCAAGTTAGCCCTTCCGAATCTAGGGTTGTTCTACGTAAGCCGGTTCATAACGGTCATTTGAGAGGATACCTACTCAGGATCAAATTGAGCGACGGCATCCACGTCGATGTAAGCCTTCATCAGTGTCGCAGCCGTAAGAACAAGGAACTCGCTCTCTCCCTCGACAATCCCGACACCAAGAGTACGATCACTCGCAGACTTGAGTTCTAACCGGTCCATGTACTCATTTTCTGTATGATGCAGATTGAAAGCCAGATAGAGGTTAATAGTATAACAAAAGACTGCCACCAACTAGGAACACGAACCTCGAGCACAGATGGTGACGGTGTCACCAAATTGAATGGTAATCAGCCTACCATGCAGGATGAGTTGCATCCGAGGATGCATGGGGGCTCCTGAGCTCGATGTCTACAAGAAACACTATATATTAGCATCCACACCGCCGTAAAGGATCAACTCATTGATGTCTTACGCTCTGATAGGGTACACTCCTGATACCATCCACTTCAAAGGAACCACCTGCGGAGGAAATCTGAAGCAGGGCATATATGCGACGAGGAAGAGAGGAAATTTCCATGTTCGAGGTCGAGAGATCTTCTTGACCAGCGTACGATACTAGTAGCAGGATCTCATTTGCACTAACGAACAAAGGTCATATATATATCTTCCCTAGAAGACATGTTATACATAATCACTTACCTGAGAAGCTTCAAATCAAGCAATTCGAGATCAAGTTCAGCGTCGTCCTTTGGTGCAGTATCAAATTTGGCCCGGATTGCTGGACGCACGAGACTGGCGATATCTTCATCCAATTCGAGTTCTTCCCAGCCTTCAGCACTCATAGTCCAGCGTTGTATCCTGAAGTCGATGAGAGCCCAAACGTCCCTGCCACTGGGAATCTCTGTAGTGTGCTCACGGAGAGCAACAGCACTGATATTGCCAGTCTCATAAGGAAGGTCTCCGGAGACACTTGAGGAGAAGAAGGTGGGAAAGAAACGTGAAAGTGAAAGCGAAGACTGTAGCCGGGAGAAAGAGCGCGGAGATAGATGATACTTGCCGCCAGAGGAGGTAAGGGTAAGGCGGAAGAGTCGACCGAGAGAAGTTGATGCAATAAACGTCTGAGGCTATGACGGAATAGCAGCGAATATTAGTTATGACAAGTGCAGGCCCTGTGCTGAGACTTACATCTGCTCGAGTGAGAGTAGTAACGCTTTCTTCATCGTACAGATCTAATGTCGACGCTGTCCAATGTTCCCCTCCTGCTAACCCACTGGCCAGACTCTCCCAAAAGCGTATTTGACCAGCGGAGTTCATGAGAATCAGACCAGGTTCCCGCGAAGGTCCGTAGGGAACCAAAGCATGGAAAGGTGTTGACATAGTCATTGAAATGCCCTCTTGAGGACATCCAAAGATATAACATGTCGGTGTTCCTGCCAACGCCTATACATGCTGGCTCACATGGATGAACGGTACATTGAAGACGTAAGAGCGAACCTGAGAGTAATTCCAAACGAAGCAAGTTTCTGCAGATGCAACAAGGGCGAACCCGGTCAAGGTATCAATGTCACCTGTGTACGCATCCCTATAAAAGTCTATCCATTATGAGAGATTGCGATTCATTGAAACCTGTTACAGGCGAACGTACTAGCATTGTGTAAAATCTGCTTGACTTCTGCAGGGAGATGGGCGTAGAATGTGACCTGCATCTCATCTGACTTTGAAAAGATAATTTCAGATTTCGTCGCGTGCTCATACAGTTCCGATTCCTCGTCGACATCCATCCCTGAGAGTACAGAGTCCTCTCTGAACGAAGGGGCGCGAACAGGTGTGGCAAATCGAGAAGGTTGTTTACTACTAGGCATTCGGCGTCGTCTTGGGGGAGGTGGAGTCGCTCCTGGTGTCGAGCGCCGTGGTACAGTTCGCCTTGGCGTAGGTGGTGTGAAGGTCGTCATTTTCTGAGAGAGATGAGAAGAGGGCGAGTACACCGTGGTCAACGTCCTCGAGAACAAGCCTGCAGGCCTCCGGGCGCCTAAAGCCCTGAAGCGCGTTCATCGAGGACCCCTGAATATCCTAACGGAGCCTATATACGGCGTGCGGACGCATATGGTCAAAAACTATCCCTCAGGTACGATATTAATGCGTACGGAAAGGCCGAAATTTTGGCCGAGCATATATACTTTCACCTGCCGGAAGTGCTATATGGAGACCGATGTCCGATCCTCTGTGCGGACGGATGACGCCAGCTGGGGGTCTTATGATAAAATCTCTCTACTCAGTACTACAATTATTTAGATGTCACTATCTTCTATATAGCACCAAACTCATATGTGTATACGGCTTTAACATTTTTGAACTAACTGTAGCTTCCCAGTTTCGGTCAGTCTCGGCTGAGCATTGCGCGGTTAATTCTATAAAAGGAAACAACATGTTGATGTTTTTCGATTGTAAAACTTACTCCCGGCCATTGCAGGTCATCGGCCAATGTTTACTCGATAACGCCTGCACCGCTGGTAGCCATATGAGACTCGACACAGAGCCGATAGCACGGATTCTCTAAGATGCTGCTGTTTGCAGGACCAGTGCAACGTGGCTCTGCTACCTCACGTCTTCCAACGTCGCGCACCCATGGCAGTTGTATAACTACTACCAGATGTTGCTCGATGCAATGGTATGAGTGTCGCCACAAATATATCTTAGTAGCTAACTGAGTGAATACGGGTCCGACACCCGCTTTCCGTCACATTGCTTTGGGTATCGGGAAGTCTAGTACTAGGACTAGCTCTATCACTATACCATTGCGAGGCATTTTTTCCTAGATGCGGCGATCAATGCGGTAGGTTCATATTGTCTCTGTTCCGCCAATATGTTTCCTAACAACAGCTGCAGCCTCAAATGTCATCAAAATGACACTTGAAAGAGGCACATACCCTCCCAGCATTGCCCGCCTTTCCTGAAGGCACCATGTCCTCCGTTAGAACAAAGCAAGGTGAGCATTCAAGCATCTATAATCACCTCTGGCTACTGACTGGTCCCGTAGTATGCCCTGCATTATCAGAGACATCCGCAAGCGCGATAATCGCATCCTACCACGTCTTTCTCACCTTTTCTCTCATTTATCTACTTGCCATTATACCCCCGGCCTCCGCCCTTTTATCCGTGTTCTATGCATTTTTCGCTCAGACACATTCCCCTGAGACGGTAACTGCCAGTATTGGGGTCAATGATGCAGCAGTGGTGTCTACAGCGTCAGGTGGAGAGTCGGAGGGCAGTGAAGAAGAGGAGTAGTAGCAGTACATATTCAAGTCTCTCTTAATGTTACTATTGTCTGAGTCAAGTCTTCATCGTTTCTGAGCCTATATCCTTTAATGCGGACATGATCCGTCGAATTTGAGCCTATATACTTCAATGCGGACGGATTGTGGGACCAGCTAGACCTATATTCATTAATGCGGACGAAAAGTGCCCAAAAAGGCATCCTATAGCCCAATGCGGATGTTTGGTGGGCCGAAATAGCCCCAAATTGTGCGGACGGAAGGGTCAAAAATTAGGTATTTTCGTATATAGGCTCTGAGTGCATATTCAGGGGTCCTGTTCATCGACGCGTCGGAATCAACAAAGCCAAACAACTGCTCTCAGCCATCGCCTGCCATGCTCGGTGTTGAAGACTACGGTAGCGACGTCGAAAGCGACAATGAGACTACCCAACAGACACCACAGCCCAGACTTGCTTCTTCTATAGCCTCGAAGCTACCGCCTCCGATAAAGAAATCGACCTTTTCTCTACCGCCACCATCTGCTTCTACCTCTAAACGGTCGTCTTCGGGTCTCTCTCTTCCACCGCCTAAGAAGAAAGCTCCTAAGAGGATAGCGATCGGTCTTCCAGCTCTACCTACTGATGAGGATGAGGAAACGCAGCTCGATGACCGTCCACCAGCCAAGAAGCCCCGTCTAGAAGCCGGTGCAGGTTCTTCTGGTCTCCTGTCTATGCTACCTGCACCCAAGAATAAGGCACCCGTAGCCCCCGTACAGGAACGTGTACTTGGTGGAGGTCGAGGCCCTGGTCTAGTCTTCAAGACTGCCCCGAGTCAACCGCAACATTCTCAACGAGTGATTGTGGAAGATGAGGAGGATGAATTCTCTGCTCGTTTGAACGAGGTACCATCTGGAACAAGTATTCTAGAAGAGGTGACAGAAATACAGTCGACTTCTATCTCATTCTTGCCCCCTTCACTCAAGAAAGGCAGAGTGAATGTCTCTACGGAAGAGAGGCATGTTCGACCACAGGCACCACCGAAAGTATCGTCAGCACCTGCTATCGATTTCTTTGGACTAGGTAGGTCTGATGCTTTCGAGCTTCTATTTACTTAACTAATTCATAACAGGAGAATCCAGTTCAGCATCCTCTTCTAATCGCCCGACACCTACTTCAATACCATCTCCCCCCACCCCCTCAACATCGGCCCCGTCCACCTCAAAGCCCCACCTCATAGGCATATCCTCCGCACCCAAAGTCGAAGAGTTTGCCCCTCCAGAACCGACCAAGGAAGATCTCTATCCAGGTTATTACATGCTGCCAACTGGTGCATGGGCAGCCTACGACCCCCAATACTATAAATCCTTCTACGACAAATGGAAGCGAGAATACGACGCTCATGTGCGTGCGTTAGAGAAGGGTATAGAGAAAGGTTTCGAAGCGGTTGAGAGGGAAGGTGCCCGTGAAGTCAATGCGGCTAAAGAGATGGAGAGGGCGAAGATTGAGATCCAGGAGAGGGAGGAAAGGAAAGCCTTGACAACTGCTGCGGGAGAGGCTGCCGCTGCACCTAAGATGAATATCAAGGTGAGTGTAGTATTGGCTGTCATTGTCTTGCGCTGGCTGAGACATCGTGTCCAGGGTGCCGCGCTGAGCGGTAGAGCACGCACGCGACATCAACTCTCCGCTTTGCTCACTGAAGCATATCAAAACCGCGAGACTCTTGAAGAGCAGATTGCTCAGGGACGAAGGAATAGGAAGGAGGCTGGTAATAAGTACGGTAAGTCATTCAGAATGTCCTTAATGATTGTCTATTCAGTCCTGACATCTCTCTCTAGGTTTCTGAGTGTTCCAGCATGTCTATTGTGGTATTGTATAGACAATATACATATCATACACCGATTATACGTATGCTACAAGTACAGGTGGATATATGGCTCAAAGATGGATGGAAGCATGAGCGTAAATCAGAGCCTATTTCTGGGCTGAAGAGAACTCTGCAGGACAACATGTATGAGTGACAAAGCTGAATCGTATTGCTCATGACACGTACTGGTGACAGACTTGGTGCCTTCCGAGATGGCATGCTTGGCAAGCTCTCCAGGAAGAATCAGTCGGACACTGGTCTGGATCTCTCGCGATGAGATCGTCGACTTCTTGGAGTACGACGCGAGCTCTGTAGAAATGTGAAAAACAACTCGGACCAAAAAGGGAACAGCGACATACTAGATGCCTCAGTGGCAATACGCTCGAAGATATCGTTGACGAACGAGTTGAGGATGGCCATAGCCTTGTTCGAGATACCCGTATCAGGGTGCACCTGCTTCAAGACTATGTGGATATTGTCAATTCCCACGCTCGGTCCTACCAATCAACAAACCAACGTACCCTTATAGATGTAACTGCTGTAAGTCTCCTTCCTTGCCTTACGACGCTTTTTCTTCTCGCCATCAGCCCCAGTCGAGGTCTTGGTCTTCTTTGCGGCCGAGATTTTCTCACTCTTGGCCGGTGCCTTGGATGCAGTAGTAGTTTTAGAAGCAGGTGCCTTGCTGGCAGTAGAAACGGGCTAAAACACGCATTACAACACGTTCAAACTTTGTTCCTCGTCCATGACTGATAAGAAAACTCACTTTGGGTGCCATGACTGTCGATGAAATTGATTAGTATATGAGTTGCATATACCATCCATTGAAATTGCTCACCTATGAGAGAGGTCTGAAAGGTATAAGGGCTAGAAGAGCTGGTGGTAAAGGAGCAAGAGGGAGAAGAGGGTGAGCCAGCAGTCAACGCGCGACGCGAACCTTATGTACGAAGCGGAGTTTGAAACAAGGTAACGTGATCGTTACACGTCTCAGCCACAGACGCGTCGCACTGTCCCTCGGAGCATACAGGCTCTTCATTTCTTCTCTAGCGGCTCTTTCAATTCAAGGTCTATAGTCAAGCATGCGAGTATCCATCGTGACTAGTGATACAAAAAGAGAACGGAAATGATCTCACTCGTAAGAAATACTTCCAGTCATTCCCACGACCTTATTATCATCCGAAGCCCATACACGCACAGACCCTTTCTCTTCCCAAGCACCATATATCGTGACCGCATTATTGACGACCAAAGGGTTTTGAGCGCGATAGTCGAAGGTCCTCAAGACAATCTCTGGCTTGTGGAACTTGGTCGCCTCTAGAAGCATGAGTGCAGTAAGGGGACCATGAACCAGTCGTTCTGCCCCAATGCACGGTCATGTCAAGCTTCAAGGGGAAATGAGTACAAAGGGTCAATTTATTTGCTTACCGGGATACCCTTCCGACTTCTGAGCATAATCCCTGTCAAGGTGGATATAATGACCATTAAATGTCAATGCGGAGAATCGGAAGAGTGTAGTCGGTGTAGGTAGATATCTGAGGGAGAAGTCAGGCACAGGGAGGTACGGAACTGCACCCCCCGTCATCAGCACCCTCCAAGAATGCTTAAGTGAACATTGTACATAGTACCGACCTTCCCTTGTACCCCTCGAGTTTCCTGGAGACGCCAAATATACATGCGACCGGGTCTCTTGAATGGCAACGTCTTCGCTTCCAGCCTTGGAATATTGAATTTTCTGATTCACGAAGACCATAGGTCTTCCCTTTTCAAAACCCTTTTTCTGAACAGAGTCGATGGTGGATACAGAGACAGCCTCATCACCGATGAGAAGCGGGTTTCTCCACTCTATCCTTCCACCGGCCCACATTCTGCGAGTGAAGGGCTCAGGAGGACAGAAGTCTGCATCTGTACCGTCCGAGCGAAGAGCTTTCTCGGGGTTCCTGGGATGGAAGAATACGAGATGGTGCCCTGCTTCAAGGAGGCTGCCATCTCGAGGATGCACGAACGGCTTCTGAGAACCGTCGCGAGTAGGGAGAGTGACATAAAGACTGGAAAGATGTTCTGGCCGAAGAGTGTCGTGTATGACTAGCTTCTTGTCAGAGGAGATCCAGCGGTCAAGAGCAGCAACATGAACGTCAGAGACCTGTGTGGTATAGGAGCGTCGTCCCAGTCGTGCGACTGTTTGTCGTAACATTCCTAAACCTGTTGAACAATGGCATCAAGAATCAAGATGATCATGGCGCTGATCGACTCGATCATACTTGGAGTTGAAAAGTTTCCACCTTTTGACTCACATCTTCCAGTCTACATGGCATCGAACTGGGCAGGTTGTCCAGCCAATCTGAAGCTCTTTCCAATCACTGGGAGGCACCCAGGAACGGACGACCTTAGATCAAGCATTTCCATTACGATCGGTATGCAGAAAAATACCTCCGAAGCGTTTGAGACAGTATTGACAAACCGAAAATGGCCATTCCAGGCCGTCGACTTCACAAATTCAGCCAATTCCCAATTAGTGTTCTCACGGGATTTATGGAGACTTGGGAGCATCATATGGAGGTGCTGAGGGAGACAATGGAATACGCCACGTATGTTTTCCCATTTCCATGGCATCCTATAACAAAACATGAAACACAATTGCAGATGGCCAAGGCGAGAGTGACACCCTCCTCATTGCGACTATCCTTTGGAAAAGCTGGCTGCCCGCGTCGGCGGACAATAGGATGATGGCCAATCGACAGCCTTCGCCGACACACGCTGTCACGCGTGGACAGGAACGACGCGCCTGTCACAGGAGACGTCACGGAACACGTCAATAATTGATCGATATCACGATCGCGTGACGGGCGTGACTCGCGCAAATCCGCTCGCTTGTGGTCGGCAGCTGCCCTCGCTTAAGCTCGTTCTTATTCATTCTCAAGCGGTCCTCAAGGCTGTTTTGCTTTTTGTCCTCTCCCGTCAACATTTCCTCAACGTCGCCGTCAAGCAATTGTCACTGTCGCGACGACAAGCCCTTCTGTGACGCGGCGAAGACAGAATTTATAATTACCGCGACCTGCTCGCTTTCGGTAAGGCGGCCTTCGCGTGGTGCCTTCTTTGCGATGGTTACTCATATCTAGTCAACTCTCCTCTTTTAGGTTTCTCTCCTCCATTCACAGCATTACCCTATTCGTCTCCATCGCTTCGACCTCTTTCATTGTTCCCCTTTTCTCTCCGCCACCGAATAATGCCCCCTCCTTCCTTTTGAACCTTATAACATTGTTCTTCCCTTGCTCCAACTGTATCACTATCGCCCACATCGTCACGACCTCCTACTGCGAATTACGCCACTGAAGTCCACTCGTATCTGACAATGACCGCCATTGTATCCCCAAAGCCGCGCCTCGCGTCGCGAAGCCGCGCCCAGTCGCCCCAACCCCTGCTATTGCCCCCTTCCCTCTACCTGGCGACAGATTTACCTCGAGTATGTCCTTTGCTTGACCCTCGACATACCGCCTCCCTGACTTGCTTTCCAGCATATGGCATCTGCCAGCCTCGCAAGCCCGCCTAGACTCTTATCTCCTATCCATCTAGCCGACTCACCTTCCTACGTAAGTTCGCACTCCTTGCTAGAAGATAGCTTCCGCTGATCGTCATGCAGTACGCTAAAGCCTCCTCAAGTTGCAACACACCCCAGAAGCGTAGGACACAATCTGGTGCCACCCGCAATGCCCGCCGTCGCCACTGTGCCCGCTTTGATTGCGCCGCCTTCGCCAATGGCGGCTCTATTTTCGACCAGCTGGCATGGATACCACAGTTGCACCAGGAGCCTGAGCGTGTAGACGTATGGGACATCGCCGACCTTTCACTTTTACCCATCGAGCCCTTTCACCACAGAGCTTCTGGCGTGGGACCAGTCCGCAGCCGCAAACTTTCTCTGCGCTCCGACCCGCTGTCATGCGGCTCATCGGCCGCCCAAGATGTTGGTATCAACAGAGCACAACGCCGATTTAATTCAAATTCTGTTCTTCCGCTTTTTGACAGAGAATTGCCTGATCCTCGCACACCTCCTCCTCGCGACACCCCTTTCATCCCGGAGAACGTTCAGTTTGTTGGTCTGATGCCTGCCCTCCCTATCAACGACGAGCCATCACGATCCTGCTGAACATTTCTCATCCGATCCCTCCCTTTCCCGCTTTGCACAGTAATTTTATCAGAACATAATCTCGCAACGTCCACACCAATGCTAACGCCCCAAACTGCATATAACATCTATATGGCCTGAAACGTGTCAAATGTTTCTCGACCATCAGCATCTTCATTTTCATCAAGTGTTTATCCAAGCTGTCGCGTTATTTATCTTTATCAAGTATCGCCCTGCTCCTTCACGGAAGCATCTCATTTCGCACCGGCATCCGGAACCCACTGTATCCTCAATATCACGCTCGCCTCTTTCATACGCCACGATCTCGCAACGTCCAGTTCTCGCCCGCATTTCCAAATTGAACTTTTGCGTACTCGTCCATTTAATCGTCTGGGCTTGTTTCTCGTTTTGTTTCACGCACCATGTTTTTCCCCTCACTGCTTGTTTCTCTTTTCCCCTTCTGCCTACGCAGTGATTGATTTTATATGAATTCTCTATGATCTGCTTTGCTGTGTTACGTCTCACCTACTGTTTCATTTTGCTTTGATCTACATACACTAGTTGTATCTCAGATTTTGTCGCTTCGCTTCGCTCTGTTTTCTTCCGTTTTGTTTCGATATGCCTCGCATGAACATTGAACGTATCTCCTGCTTTGTCTTCTGTGTAGACGTATTCATCGTTGTTCCAATAAATGTATCATCTCGCTCTGGTGGTATTTGAAGTGTCTCGTCCAACACCGTGTGTCGCCTTGAAATATGACTCCGTTCCCAATCACTCAAATTAAAACAAAGTTTTGCTTGAACTCAATCGTTGCCTCCCACGTCGACCTCATACTTTCAAACTCTCGGTCGCTAGCTGACTGATACCGAATTGACAACATGACAACGTCGCATGACAGGGTAATCAACTTCGGAGCAGGCCCATCGGCTTTGCCTGTTCCTGTTCTCGAGGAAGCGGCAAAAGGCCTTCTCAACTTCTCCGGGACAGGTATAGGTATCGCAGAGATCTCACATCGTTCCAAGGAGTTTACAGAATGTATCAACAATTTGGAATCCCTCATCCGAACACAGTTGGGTGTTCCCCATACACACTCCATCCTTTTCTCGCAAGGAGGCGGGTCAGGACAGTTCTCCGCTGTGGTTATGAACATGCTGGCCCGGTACAGGCTTCTGCATCCAGATGTGAAACCAGAGAAGATTACCATGGACTATGTGGTTACTGGATCATGGAGCAAGAAGGCTGCAGAGGAGGCTAGGAGGCTTGGAGGTGGTCAGGTTAACATTGCTGTGAACAGTCGCGAATTCTCAAAAGATGGCAAATCGTTCGACAATATTCCGGCCCACGATGCTTTCAAATTCTCTCGAGACCCCGCACTGATCTACTATTGCGAGAATGAAACTGTGGACGGTGTCGAGTTTTCTCATGAGCTCTCAGAGCCTACGTCGTTCCCCTTCCATCTGCTCAAGCAAGGCTCACTCGCCCCGCTGGCCGCGGATTACTCGTCTTCATTCATGTGTCGGCCCATTCCTCGTTTGGCCGACCATGCAATCATATACGCCGGTGCACAAAAGAACATTGGTCCTGCGGGTCTGACCGTCATTATCGTCAGGCAGGACTGTATTGTTGATGTCGACGCTGCTGCCAAGCTCGGTGCTGCACCCGTCCCCATCACCTTCTCATACAAGACCCTTGAGGAATCAAAGAGCCTATACAACACGCCCTCAGTTATTTCTATCTACATGACCGCTTTGGTCCTGGAGCTCATGAAGGAGAAGGGCGGTCTTGCTTATTACGAGGATCTCAACAGACGCAAAGCTGGTAGGATATACGGTCTCTTGAAGGACGGCGAGGAGAAGGGCGTGTTCAAGAGGAAGGTAAAGGCAGGCTCGGAAAGCTGGATGAATGTCGTGTTCGAAGTTCTCGGAGACGATGCGGAGAAGCGCTTCCTGGAGGGAGCGGAGCATCTAGGCATGAAAGGTCTCAAAGGGCACAGGTAAGCATATCCGTCATAAACTTTGCATCCGTTCTCACGAAAACCATTTGACATTCGTTGTTCAGGTCTGTTGGAGGTAGGTTAATATAGTAGCAAATGCTTTTCATCCTGCTGATCAACCATCCTATAGGCGTCCGCGTTTCATTGTACAACGCGATCACAGATGAAGACACTGAGAAACTTGCTCAGTACATGAGAGACTTTATCACGCAGGAAGTAACGACCAAAGGACAAGCTTGAAGACAATGTAATACAATGTAGTGGAAACTTAAATGTACTGTACACATTATCATACGAGCTAGCTCCATTACATTTGTTTGTGAGCTTGCACATGAGTGTATATCCTGCATTAGATTTTGCCAGAGTGGTTAACGGGATTGCCTGCCATGAGCAAATTTAGCGGTCCTGTTTAGTACGCGAGTACTTATTTGAATCGCTCAGTTGATGCAGTACGGTAAGTAACCATCGGCGAAGTCAATCGAGACAATAGGATATCATGTCATAAGGTAAGAACCGTGCATAAGCAATAATGTACATGCCAGAGCAAAGCACTGTCCGTAGAGCCTTTGGATCAATGGATGGTGTAATTGCCATACTCCTTTTCCGGGTCGTAGACCTGGGACGTGATGTGAGTTCGATGAAGACGCAACAAACAGACAAATATACATACCTCCCATCTGGATGCCGGGAATATATGCTTGTTGCGGTTGTACCAGCTTCGCTCGACGACCTTTCCAGCATGCGACTCATCCTTCTCTACAGTCGCATCAGCTAACAGACGCACGTCGTCATGAACATCGAAGTTGAATAGCGGGCCCGACTTGCCACGCGCCTTGTTCATGATAAAATCGTAGAACGTGTAGTGCTGAGCAACCAGTCAGAGTGCTATACCTCTGAATTCTGTTATTTCACCTACATGTGGAATAATGAGGTCCTCCTGTGTATGAAATAGGCATGAGCAGAAGTCCTTCATCGATATAGGACTGGGTCACACGTACCTTCACATACATCAGATTGTCGACACCGACACCTCTTAGTTCAGGGAATTGCTGACGGCATTTCTCCAGGAATGTAGCAACTTCATCACCCTTCTTGCACTAAACGAGGCAGGGCAATGGAGCGAATATGTTAAATGCATACGTCTGTGTGGTCAGACGAGGCACTGCGTGTAGGCTGAGTACGGGAAACTTACCACGACGCTCTTCCTATGGCCACTACCATCCCAAAACGAGTAGGTGATCTCAATATCTTCTTTCTTCATCTCCTCCTGCTTCCGTAACCACTCTTGTCTCAACTGTTCCCGCTCACGCCTCTCCATTTCCTCGCGTTCTCGATCGGGAAGGAAAGACGTATCGACATTGGGATTCTTGCGAGTCTTGGCTTTCTTGGAGGGTTGCTCATCGCTAGCATCCTTCTGTGATGATGGCGTACTGCTACCATCATCCTCCCCTTCGTCATCTAGTGCAAATGACAAAGTCGATTTGGCTAGTTTCTTGCGTTTCTTCACTTTCCTTTGTTCATCCCTAAACAAATACTCCACTTCCTGTTAGTCACCTCGATCTACCATGACTTACGCATTTGCGGATGAAACGCAGTCCAATAGGAAGCCATGACTTACTTCAGTTCATTGGTCCTGGCCGCTTCACGAGCCTTGGCCTCCTCGAGTTCCTTCCGCCTCTGTTGGAATTCCTCGAGGTGCACCAGACCCACTGTACTCTTTTTCAAGGTATCTTCCATGGAATCATGTTGTCCAACGAAACGATTGCTAGAAGGCCGAGCTTTCTCGGTTTCCTGGATCAAGGTCTGTTTCTGCCTCTCGAACTCTTGACGCATTTGGTCTCGCTGTTTCGCGAGGGCATCTTCGCGACGTCCCTCGGATTGATTGTTCGACATTGTATAAGATTTTGAGACGTTGAGGGTATGTAGAGGCTGTAAATTTCAGCTGAGTGAGAGGCTGCGATGAGAGTTGTGATTTCGGCGGAGTTCGAAACCAAGCAACGTCTAAATCCGGCGCTTCTTCCTCAACAAGTACTTTCAAGTTGCTTCATCTTTGGAGGCAGGATGGTGCATATCCTTGGAAAAGTCCTGCCGGACTCACATTTAGCGAGGGTATGTCGCGTGTTTATAGTTTGGGCGAAATTTATACATTCTTTGATGTTCGTAGCATGCCTTGACCAATTTCTATGGTATTGGTCGATACACCGCACATCGTCTATGTGCTCGCATGCAGATCCATGACCGCTGCCGGGTCCGCGAGCTCACACCTGCACAAATTCTGAACCTGACAGCCTTCCTTTCCTCCCCTACAAGCGCGCCGTCCGCACCTAAACACCCACTTGCTTCACCCAGTTTCATTGCACCAGGACCCGGCAAAGCACCCGCCGCCGCTCCTAAACCACGCATCGTAGAGAAGGATGCTGCTGCTCAGGCTCAAGCGAGCACCAAACGTGGTGACCCGCTGAAGACCTTGAAGATTGAGACGGAGTTAAAGAAGGAGATTCGAGAGAACATCATGCACCAGCGGATGATCGGAAGTTATGTTGGAAGGCGGCATGCTCTCAGTCTTCCTGTTAGAGGACAGAACACCCAGACTAATGCTAAGACTGCGAGGAAGCTCAACAGGCTTGGTCGTTATAATTAGATGGTATGTGTACGCTTCTGCTCTTTTGACGTATACATGTTGTGACTTGAAAAACGCGTCCGGTCCAGGTTATGAGGGATATATATGATATGTTATAATGTACATGAAACTAATCATCTCCTACGGGAACTTCTTCCTCGAGATACTTGACAAGGGTGACTTTGATCTCTGTCGTTTCGTCCCCTCGCAACACATCGGAGATAAACGTAGCCGTGACCTGCATTTGAATCTGAAGAGTGATATGTAAATTTCGACAGACAGAGTGCTGTGAGGATGCGTACCATTTCCAAAGCACCTCTTAGTACGCCGCAAAGGATGTTGCTGAACCAAAGCCCTCCTTCCAACGCTTCCTCTGGAAGTTCTACGAACTCTGCGAGTGGATTCTCATCCAAAGTCAAGGTAAAGGTCGCACCAGGAATAGTGGGTGCTGGGGAAGCCGTACTGGATCGAGTGGGTGAAGCTGCAATCGGAAGGCCTCCGTGGGTCACACTCGGTGTAATGTTCAGGAAGGACTTGAATCCAACCTATAAATAAGATTGTTTTGATTCCAGCACACGACATGTCTTCATCTATCATGACACACCTTTGCGACAACTTCGCCAGTCTCACGAAAGTCAACACATCGTCCTATGTTACTCCGTGCGAGGAAGTCTTCGATCAGTCTCGTTCCGATGTTGTACCCCATTTTCTCCAACTGCTTGTTGACTTCCTCGTAGTCCTCATAGTCCTGGATGAGCTGAACGACCAGAGCACCGTATGTTAGAGCAAAGAGCTCGGCATTCTAAATCTAGAGGTCAGGTTTGTACCATGTACCGCGACTTTCCCATGCACGATTCAGTAAATGTTTACTTACAGTCTTTTCTGCTCGACCTTTCCAAAGCTCTTCGCCGATCACCTTATATTGCTTGCTGGTTGTAGCCATGGCCGCCAATCAGACACTAGATGATGATAATTGAGTTGAGAACGGGTGAACGACCGCTTTGAAGACGTAGTGTGACGCATCGGCGGGTGACTTAGTGTGACCTCGTGCGGGAGTGTGACAGGAAACTCAGACAAGCAGCTTTCGTGCTTGCGGTCCAATAAGCTCATATATTACTTGTAGACTAAGGACGTCTGATAGATCGCACAGGAATGAGAAGCATGTGGTACACATGGTTTGAGAAGCATTCTATCAGAACAGCATGACCTGATACACGCCTCTTGGAGGGTAAGATATCGCACGGAAACTGGGCCTGCGACAGGGCCTAGGAACGCTTGCTTACTTCGGAACTTCCTGTAGCAAAAGTAGCTCTGACCGGAGAACAAAATGAGCCTAAGAAGCCGACCATTGCGAAAGCTGGTTGCACGAGGTCTGGCGGAGAAGAAGGACTTTCCCCGTTTACACGGGTGCAGATCCTCGTATGTGAGGACACTGGAGGCGATGGACAGCCTTGCAGGAGTACAGCTATTTACAAAGTTCATGATCGTGAGCAGGCGATAAGAAACCCTGGCGCAGAGAGGAAGAAAATACATCAAGCGGACGACAAGCGGGTGTAGCAACAGCATAAGTGGTCTTTCCCGCATATAGTCACTCTCTCGCGTGGCGATCGGGCTCCGACCAAGCGGAAAGTCAAAAGTTAAAGTGCTGCGTTTCTGCCGTTCTTGCAGGACAAATGGTACTTTTGTCGGACAGAAGCTGCCTCGTATGCGCAGAAAAATGAGTGTATGCGGTCACGGAGAGGATAGAAAGAGCGCAGAGAATGGATAACGCGTTGGAAGGGGCGCCAAGCGAGTGTTGAGAATATTTGGCGTTGTTGTGATTGTGGCTGATTTACGGATGCAGCAGTGAAGCGGGACTTGGATTGCATTCTCCTCCTGGCGCACATACTCGAGGCCCTCGTCTCGGCTGTCTGCTTCATTTAAGTACATGCATCCCTCGCTTCAGCCGCTTTTTGGTTCTCTCTTCCTTCTTTGAGATAGCCAGATATAACTCGTTGCATTTGGCAAGAAACCAGACGCTTCCTTCTCTTCAGAAGGTCATCGCTTTACAGGACCATTTCCCGCCAATCGCTCACCTCTCTCCTGCGATTTACCCTGGCTTCTTGAGGTATGTAGGATCACTTCACAAGATACTTATCATATCCTGAACATTGACCCGCCTCTCTAGTCGCTCTTTTACCACATCTCAGGTACTCTTGTCCGATCGATATTCTACCCGGTCCGCCCTCATTCAATCAAGCATTCGTGGTCGTTCATCTGTCGTCTCTCGCCCCCAGGTCAATTTCAGGGCAGGCCGTCATTCGTTCTTTACCCTACCCGCTTTCTTTGTGTGACATGGGTTCCTCGCAGGATCCCAATGCGCATCCACCTCTGGGCGATCCTCAGGCTTTTCAGCAGTTTGAGTCGAATGAGGCCCAATCCTCATTCGCATCCCTGATGAATTCCACTCAACCCGAGGCATCTCTTGCAGCCACTCATGTCCCACACATCCCCTCCCCATTGTCTTCAATGTTCCCGTCGGAGGTGGATCCTGCATCCACGATGCAAATTTCTATGCAGATGCCAATGAGTGCGATGTCTGGTGCCGTTGTAGATATGCCTCAGATGGACCTTGGTTCTTCTAGTCTTTCTGAACCATCTATCGCCCCCGCTCAACTCATGTCAGATTTCTCTGTACAAACCTCGTTTTCCACGGATCACAACATGGCTGGTCTAGATGGTACTGGAGGAAACCACGCACTCTTGTCCTCTCCTAGCGCGACGACAGGCTCGACAAGTGTATCCCACGCTTCATCCCCTTCCCTGAATGGCGTGCCTTCAGCCTTTCATATCGGCTCGTCGTCCCTGGCATCCGCTTTGGATAATACAGTAATGTCGCGCAGTCGCTCGGGATCGTCAGCTTCTCCTGGATTGTTAACTACTGCCGGTTCTGATCATGGTGCCTCGAACGGCGGCAGTGGCCCACCTTCTTCGGCACCGTCGTTTGGTTTCCCTCCTCCTAATGACCATGCCTTCTCAGCAAGCAAGGAAAACTCTCCTGAAGCACCTGGGGATGCCCATCTTATGGTGCTTGGCGACATGTTAAAAAAGTGAGACAATTTTATCTTTCGGAATTGTGGCACTGACTTAGGGCAAAAAATACCACGATTTCAATTATTAAAGCATCGCGCAACAGGCTAGTTCAGGAAGCGAGGCTTGCTCTATGGGTCAAACAGAGGATGCCCGTGGTATTGTTGACACACTGAAGAAGAGCGTCTTGCTGGTAGCAGACCTCATTGCTGCCATGCAATTACGTGATGGATCAGTCTATGATCCTTCTCTCAGTGCACAACTCGGTGGCGGTCCAAGTAATGGAAGTAACATGGCGTCATCTTTGTCCTCAAATGGAATGGATCTCGGATTGCAGCACCTCTTAAATCCGCCAGTTTCCTTCTCTGCTCCACCAAGTGCTCCACCAGAACCAAATCCACCGTTGGATTCGTCAGATATGTCAAGAAAACGCTGTGCATCCTCCGTTGCTGGAGATCGAGTTCAGAAGGCACTGAAACTCGAGCCCCCAGACGACACTTCACTGGCGTTGCAAAATCCTCCTTCCCTGGGATTGCACCAGTCGTCACATCCTACGGCATTACCTTCGTCACATACATTCTCTTTTCCCGCACATTCTGCTATCCCGGCCTCCATGACGTCCATAGCAGAACAACCCTCCCTACCTCCTTCCGTACCGAATTCCCGTCCGCCAAGTCCATCGCGTATGGTGCGTCCATCATTAGGTCTTCAACAGGATGCCCAGATGTCAAACCCGCCTCTACATCCTGTCGTATCGTTCTCACACCCTATGGAAACTGTTACCCATCCTTCGCCGGAATTCACCCAACTACCACCTGGGAATTTATCGGCACCACCCATGTCTGTTTCTTCAGGTTTTATGGCTCCTCCACCGTCTTCTTCTGGCTGGCCTGACTCGTCATTATCAGCGCGGCACCAGCATTCTTTGTCTGCAAGTTCTATCATGAGCAATTTGACCCGTCCGAACTTGAACCTCGCTAACCTCGCCGGATCATCATCCCTCCCATTCCTTCCCGGAACAGGCCCGTACGTCTCACCGACTCGATCAACCCATATACCTGCACCCGCAGCTCCTATACCACCGATTTCTGCCACGGCCTCCGGTCACGGTACCCTTCGTCAATCGCGGTCATCTTCGTTCTCTCATGTCAATCCGTTTGCATTCACCGTGCCTGATATCGCTCCTCCACCCCCTCCAATACCTGAAGCAATGCGATCTAGACCTTCAACTTCGGGGTTGCATACAACGACGACCACTCGGCAGTCATCACCAGATGATTATGACAACTATGACAACGATGCCGATGGAGAAGATGGCTCGGACTCGTCACCGCCAGGTTATTATTCCTCTTCTCCCCCAGGTGACGACAATAAGCAAGAGGGCGGCGATCCAAGTATGGAGGGTGTTCAGTCAACGCATCGACCTCGAACGAGCAGGCGGATGAGCCGCACGTCACCTGGATCTGAGGGAGGTAGTTACGTCAGCCACACGAACGAAGTGCCTCAGGAATACCGGCCGGCCGTAGAACGAATATTTTTCGAGTTCCTGAATAAGACATGTTCTAACTGTAAGATTTCTGTCATTTCAGTTAAGAAAGCTGTTTATAACGAGCTGTATTCATAGTGGATGCCACGGATGCCAAAGGCGAACCGATCCACCAAACGTTGATGGCAAAGAAAATGCAGCGGTTGGATGAGTCTCCGGATTTTAGACCTTTCAAATTCCGGATACAAGCCTTCACCAACGCGTTCTTGGAGGAGGTGCGTGTTTGCTTCTATCTCGATCATAAGTGGAGTATCATATACTTAGATCATCATTCCACAGCTCGCCCGACAAGGCTACCCGGAAGAAAAGATTCCGATGAAGAAGGTATGTCTAGCCTTGCTCGGCATGTTTGTCTTCGTTGGTCCTCATATCGCTGATGCTCGTCCTCGGCATCTAGATCCGAAACTTCCTCTGGAATCAGCCGTACATTTCGCGCTTCAATGAGGAGGGAAAGAAGTCGAAGTCAAAAGGGAATCACATCTGGCATGTGGATGCGAAGAAAACAGAGAACGGGTGGCTATTCCGTCCTTTCCAACGTAGACTGGCTGGTGCGCCTCCTGGCGTGGCATACATCGGCCTTCGCTGGACATGGCAGCCGCGCATATGGGACCCACAGGCATCTCGATCAAATATGCCAGTGACATACAGCTCACCATGTCTGCCGTCATGGCTATCTTGGAATGATGGTGCGCTCACCGGCATCCCGCCACCCGATGCTCAGAGTTGTGATGTTACAGTTGAAGCGAGGGTGAGTTTAGTCTGCTGACCTTATGTTATTGATTCTAACGCCATGGTTCTAGTTTACGCAAGATGGTCAAGAAGAGGTTCTTTCGCATACTGTTCATGTATCCATTGCACCAGTGGCGTCTGTCGACACATTTGTTCCTTCGCGACGGTCATCCTTGGTGGGTGATATTTCTAATGCACGTCGCGTTTTAAGTGATTCCGCAATGCCACAGAATGCAACACCCAGGTATACAAAGCTTCTCTCTCATATTTGTCATCGCGCCATAGCTAAACTTTTTGGTCGACAGATCTTCGAGGGCACCATCGTTTTCTAGCTCCGTGCCTAACATAGTGGCTCCTGATTCACAAGTGGTACAGGTATTGACGACGGCAGCACAGAGAGTAGCAGAGGAAGCGCAGTCACAAGTTGTTGCATCACCAATGGATGCCGGGCATGAACTGCAAGCCCTTGCGAAACAGCAGCATGTCCTTACCGTAACGGCTCAGGCTTTCAATAATAAAGGTGCATCCGACACGACAGCCGGCACTTCAAACCAATCGAGCGCGCTCGCTGCAGCAGCTCAGCAGGTTGTGCTCCAGGCCGCTCGTCAGGTAGTTGCTGATCGTGCAGTTTCCGGTTCGCCTCCTACACAGGCACCGGGGACTCAGGTGACTGTAAAAGAAGTATCTGTTGCGACGCAGTCAGCTGTTGCACAGGCTGTGGAGATGGTGGGGCCGCTTTCGAGCGAGGTCGATGTGCTGATGACTGCGAAGAACTTGTTGCAGCAGCAAACACGCGAGTCGTACAGCCCACCGCAAGCTGTCGATCCCTCACAGATGGCCGTTCCCTTGGATCCCGTACGCCCGCACTCCACGGGGAACATGCTGCAAAGTCCATTCCCACAATCGAACAGCTATTATCCTCATTCATGAGGAATGCCTTACCTCCGTCGTTCATCCGACGTCTTTTGTTCTTTGTTCGGGCTTCGTTGAGACTTTATTCACCATGTTTTTCCTGAATGTTGCTACAGCGTTCACCTTCGTTATGTGTTGTGTATAGATCATATTTAACGCTTTCGCTCGTTTGTCATTGTACGAAATAGCAGAATACTGAAGTCAAACCCCAAGTCAAACATCAATCACGTTCAAGTGGCGTACTACATATCTCACAAGCAGTGGCGTTCAGTGAGTTATCGAAGGTACAGGCCGAGCAACGTTTGGCAATGGCCTCTGGTTTAGGTTCCGGCTCTTTGTGCGGCTCACCACCCAGCAGAGTACCACCAAAGCCTCGACCTTCATCATCTCTTGGCTTGCGGCCGACGTTGTCATCGTCAGTGTCCAGCATGTCGACGTCTTCTGAGTCCTCCTTCAAATAAAGGACGTCATTCGAAAGCACTCCCAGTGCAACAATCTCCGCAGAATTATCGTCCACTTCCTTCCCTCGGTAATACAATCGTTGGTATATGGTCGGAATATCGAGTTCATCTTGAATCTATGTAGAGCCACGTCAAAACACACTAAGTCGGCCATAAGAGGGTTGGCTACACACCTTCATCTTTAATTCCTTGACAGTCGTCGAACGAGAAATGGTCACCCTGCTCTGCCGCTCCTGCTTCTTGGCCTGCCGTATTCGTTTGGATTGTCTTACACCGCCGATACTACGAGAGCCATATGTTCGAGGCAGTGGCTTAGTTGTGGAGGGTTCAGCCGTAGCTTGAGGTTCCCTTGGGCGCGCTTCGCCCGTTGGTATGGAATCTGTCAGCTTGAGTACGTGTATTGTAACCTCCGTTGTCTCGAAAGTTGACTTCCTTTACCAGACATCAATTGAAAGTCATCCAAGATCATCGAACTACAGACCTTTCTTTGCGACAGTCATCGCAAATCAACAGCTCATGGACCCATCTATCCCCAATGTTTTCTAACGCGATCAGTGGACCACCCGAATACCTGCATAATCACATGAGTATCAAGCGGAATGTATGAAAGTGAACGTCTTACATTTCTTCCAGTATGTTCCAATCATTGAGCTTTACATAGGCTATGCCGTCTATGTCGCCTTCAATGTTGGGATCGAACGACAGTTTACCGTGTCGGCATAGGAAGCGAGAGTTGTCCAGCAACTCAGGTCGAGGTGCTTCTGTGGGACGTAACAACCACTGCCTCCAACATCGCATGAAGATTTCTGGTACAACAGCACATGGACCTTCCGGCATATCTGTAAGGCCATATGCGCCATAGTCATAAAGAATCTTCAGCTTCGCCTGGAGGCCAACGAGGTCAATGAGCTAAGGTCAGTCTGATTTAGTAAGATGTGTACCTTCTCAACTTCAGCCTGTTTACGAATCTCCCGTCTGTCTTCCTTGGAGATTTGGACGAGAGCCTCACATACAGCGCACGCCTCATGAGTAGCATGTGGAGCGGTCAGGTCGGGAAAAACGCCTTTCAAGACCTGATAGGCCTCTGCAGAAATGCGACGCCGTGATGACGAGTTGGTGACAAGACCCCCGTGTTCACACATCACGTCATCCATGTAGTATGGATCGTCTGGTGCAGGGTCGGGCTGCGACGGTGTATGCATCTTTGGCTTGGCCAACTTCCAATCTATATGTAAAATATTGTAAGTATTGCAAAGAACAAAATGACCACGCCCTTACCTTTCAACCAAGCCTTCGATACCCAGTAGCCCCGACCTTCGCTTTCCACATAATCTACCTCATCAAATTTGGCCACATCCTTCGGATGCTGCATTTGATACAAACGCTCTACATGGCATAAGGTCAATACGATGTACCATAACATAACCATAGAAAACAAACCGTTGAATGTGGCCTCTACACATTGCTCACACACATCTGAAGGTTTGAATGATGGAACGAACTGAGCGTGATCCTCGGCCGCAATGCGATCAAGTGTACTCTACAAACTCGTCAATATCACGGCGTGAAAAACCTGGCACAACATGATAACTACCTGGCGAACACGTTTCATCTTGACTGAGTTATTAGGGTCGAGCCGCCCGTGCGGACATGTGATGTCAGCGGACGAAAAGGTTCGCCCGGTGACGGCTGGACATCCATTGGGAGTTGATGCCTCACTTGTGGAAGTAGTGCCGTCAAGGTCATCGGAAGCTTTCCGAGAGACATCTAGTGGCTTTGAAATACTATGACTGAGCCATGACTCGAGTGCTTGGCGGCTAACTATGCCAGAATCCTGTAGAGATAATTCTCATCATTAAGTGCACGCCGATTGTATGGAACAACTGACTTCATCGTATGAAGATAGACTCCAAGATCGGTAGATGTCCATGACCATACGGCGCTTTTTGTTGAAGTTCTCTCGAGCCTCTTTCTCTCTGGAAACAAAAGGTCAAGAGTGAATGAAACTCGACAAGATCATACCCTTACTTCGCAGCAAATTCATCACAAGCCTTGTCAAACTCAGCGTTGAGCGCATTGACGACCTGAAGAGCACGAGGTGGAGGGGTAACATCCAACGAACATGAGTCAGATTCAGCAGCAGAATCGGGTCCTTCGTTTGACGGCATTCTTGCATAGACTAGCATATACGCGTCCTTTGAGGACACAGATCCACTAAGAGGAAGTCAGCATGCATCTATAACATGCAATGAATTTATTTGCCTCTCAGTCAATACTTTTGTTTCTTCTGCAGGTGATGACGATGGGCCACTGTATATATGATGTAAGACCGAGGAACCTCTTGTTGGGTTATGTCGACTCACTCGACCACCTCTACGTCACTATCTTCTATCCAGACTCTTTTCTTGGGACGGCCACCGTTAGTAGGTTTCCTGAAACAATAAGTATTTCAGATGAGATTAATCTTGAATATCATTATAGACATACTTTGCCTTTGTTCCATTAGCTTGTGTGGTGTTCGCCTTAGGTACAAGGGAAGGAGTCTTTGTCACCGTCTCGTCATTGAACTGATACCAAGACTTCGACCTAGACGAATCGGCAACCGCGTAAAGAGTAGTAAATTGAGATACTTACGTCACGTCATAAACCTGAGCTTCATAGTGCCCGTGGTACGCACCTAGATATGCACAACGTTAGCAAACCCAGAGAAGGCTCAAAACTGCCCGAGGATGTTTTGTCTAATTGGCTTACTTGGGCCCTTATGCAGTAGGACACCCCTCAAGTGGTAGACATTCCTGTCACGATGCTCCCCGTTGGCACGTTTCTGACTATGTTTGAGCTTATCGTCTTGAGATCCAAGGAACTGTTCCATGTCGAGCGTCAACGGGAAGGTGATCGTGTGCTTGGACTTCTTCCTCTCCAACGAGGATAGGTCAAAAACAAAGCGGAGTAGTGATACGTGTAGGACAGGTGGTAGCTGCCTGAACTCGGTATATCGCTTTGCGTCTCGCAGTTCATCACAGACTGAACATAGGTACCTGGAGTTACTAAGTCAGATGTCGCAAGTTGTGGAAATTGTGCGCGAACAAACTTGTTGTCACCAGAGAGTTCTTCAGGCGTTAACAATGCGGCAATGCGATCCTCAAGTTTAGAATTATTCTAGGATACAGAATTGAGACAAGTGTTACCTTAGTTGATTATCATACATACCGGTAAGTTGACCTCGATCTCCAAGAATTCAGAGTCGCGCTCTGAGCGTGTATGGCACACGGAGCATTCCGTGCCGTACACTTGTTTACCTTGAAACTGGTCGGCCAACAAAGATTTTAGACCAGGCAAGGTTTGTTTCTGAAATTCGCTGTCAAGATGGGCCATGAATAGCTTCGAGAACCTGGCACAATCTTTCAGTAGGACCATATATAAGACAGAAATCACTAACTCTTGTGCATCCTGTTGCTCTGTTGTTCGCAATTTCAGACTTTCTACTAGTCTTATCGGATTGAAGGCCGACTGGATGCTTTCTTGCATGGCAGCGAAGGTCACTTGAAGTTGAAAAATGGGCGACTCCTACGGATGATAGTCACAAAAGTTTAAATAACGCATTGTGAGTCATGCCTTACCTCAAATTTCTCTTCCTCATCAGTGGAGGGCAAACATTGATATACGCCACGACGAAACGGGGTATCTTGGAACCACACCTATGCCAAAATGTGTAAATCATTCAATCAAATAAGAGTGGTACTGACCTGTAGAAAAGCATTCGCATAGCAGGTTGCTCCCAGATTCTGCAGGAAGGGTCATTCCAGCAGCACACAGGTGAGGAAATCGCTGCCTGCCACTCACCTTCAGCCCCACAGGCGTTCCAGGATCGCGTGCGAGAAGAATAGGATTGTCTCCGAGATTGGAAAACCTCATGAAAGCCGAAAATGCTTTGTCTACGGCAATAAGAGGACGTCAAAACATCAAGATACTGCAACGGTTAATACTTACCTTCGACTTCCCATCTCTCTTGACCCAGATAATTCAAACAGTTAGGATTACTTCTGCATCCTTTAGGAGTACATGGAGAGCATTCATCATCAGAAATGACGATAATGTCGTCCTCAAGTTCCCCGGCTGCCAGCTGCTCCTTCTTCAGAGTATTTGTTTCGGGTTTGGCGTACTTGTTTGGACATAATGGATGTGGGCTATACTTTGAGAGGCCACAGGTAGCTAGTCGATATTCTTGGGTGATCTGAGACGCGTCGGTGATTTCTGTACCCACCCAACCCCAACTGGAGAAGTCAGTACCTGCAAGCTTGGCCCGCTTCAGACGTTCACCAGCAGTTGGGCCAGAAGGTGAAGCTGAGGCCCGTCGTGTACGCTTTACGGGCATAGAGTGTAAGAAAGTCAAGGTCAGAGATGAAGCATGAGTATCTGAAGAAGCAGTCAGTCGAGTTGTAGTGGTAATCCAGATTCGAAGAGTGCGCGTCTCGTTTGACTGCTGTAAATGACACAGCCACTCAATGTACTTTCAATAGAGTCTCCATCTCCTTCCGTCACGTCGAAAGCTTTATCACACGTATACCCAACTTCTCAGCTAGAAGGTTTTGAAACGACTACGGCTTGAATTAACATCGAGCATGGCGGCAGTGCTGCAAGCAGTGCGAGCCAGGCTTCGCCGCCTGCTAGGGACTGATGAGAACGGGACCGTAATGAAGATACGCAGGCGAAACCAGTTTAACAATTTTATATGGAAGTCGCTACCAATAATCAGGCATGTCCCCAGTTGCAAAAGTGTACGCTAATTATCTGATGTATCAATAGGTTGATCCTTCTGGTAGCTGGCTATGCCTGGATGCTTGCCATTCCGCTACCTAATCTAGGGAGGAAAACATACATCGACGAAAACGCCTTGCAGCCAGGTCAAGTGAGTGACTGGTGTGTTATTCGACTTTGAATCACCTAAAGTGTCTTAGGTAAATACTTACTGGAACTGGCCTGATGTGCTTCGAGCCGACCGTTACTTAGCTGACTTAGAGGGACTGCGTGATAGAAATGCTTCTAGCGCGGAGTAAGGTCACACCATATGATGTACTCTGTTGTTTTTCCTGGCTAAATTTACGGAATATATAGACAGGCTGCTTATATTGTAGACGAATTCAAGAAGCTGGGGATTCCTTCGGCAACGCAGGCATACTCATTCACAGGCACATCTGGGGTTCTTATATCCTCCTCAGTGTGTACGATTCCTAGAATTCCTAACCTTTTTTTGTTTCTCAGGTGTCCAACGGGACGAATGCATATGCCATTCACTCCTCGCCTCGCGCATCGGGTGCTGAAGCTATACTTATATCCGCTTCACGCATCAGTCGGACTGGTGATCTTAACTTGCGTGGCATATCCACTGTGATATCACTGGCCGCGTATCTGAAAGGTTGTGCAGAGAATACCGGCATTATTGGGCACGACTAATTTAACTCTTCTCAGGTTCTTCACTGTGGGCAAAAGACTTGATTTTCGTCATCAGCGATGATCACCTTCTAGGCATGCAGGCGTGGATTACAAGCTACCATGGCTCAGAGCAGTCGGGTAGGAATTCCTCTTCTAGGTTACCATCATCTGCTCACATTCGTGCATAGGTCTTGTTGCCGACCCTTTGACACTGTCTTCCGGTGTCATCTGGACTGCTCTGAATATCGACTATCCTGGGCACTCTTTCTCTCACCTTGGAGTCTTCTTTGGTTCGTTCTCCAATGGTTCCTATTGGATCCGATGCTCATTTTCTCGCAGAGGGACTCAATGGCCGACTTCCCAACCAAGATCTCATTAATTCCTTTGGTCTAATTTCCGTTTACACCGGTGGCGTTCCCATCCTTCTTTATGACCACCGTGACCCTCGCGAGGTCCCACACCTCGAATCGAAGTTGTCCATTATACCTTCCTGGCTACCGGAGATCGTTAAGAAACAAGATGCAGTCAAGGAGTATGGTTTCCGAGCAAAGAATATCTTGAGGCATGTTGGCTATCAAGCAAGGGGACAAACTAGTGGCGTCCATGGGCTGTTGCATCGGTCCGTTATTCAGTTATAAAACCGGGCATCTTACATTATAGCTGATGGTCGGTCACAGTTTCCGTATTGACGCCATTACCCTATTCGCCGTTCCTGCCACAGGGCCGCATGGCTTCCACGCAATCGGACGGTGTGTGAGGCTTTAGTCCCGCTTTACGCTTTGTGCTGAGATACAAATGATATAGGATTATTGAGTCGACTCTTAGAACGATGAATAACCTGTTAGAGCGGCTTCACGCGTCGTTCTTCTTCTATCTTCTAGTGCTTCCATCGACCTTCCTCAAAATTGGTACCTATCTACCCAGTGTCATTCTCGTCAGCGTGTCAATGATGTTCACTGGACTGGGCGAATGGGTCGATGCACGTTGGTACCAGCCGAAACAATCATCAATAGAGGAGAAAGCAGCCAATGGCCAGGCGAAAAGTGAGGCAATTCCAAGACCTCGCCCCGTGCTGAAAGCTTTGTCGATCGTTCTTCTCACTCACCTCGCTGGAATTGCGCTCTTCTACTTGCGCACCTTGAGTCTCGCGTCAGGTTCAGAGGTACGTCTTCTATCCATAACAGGTTACTGATTCAATCCCTGACCGACATTCAAGACGATGTCGCTGTTACTCTTCTTCTTAATGGCTTCGGTGCCACTGATCGCGTTGACGGCTCACCCTTCTCCGCCTCAAGCAGTCGCACCACTATCCAAAACCTTGAAAGCCTTCAATCTTTGCTTTGCATCTACAGTCATATCCGTCACATCTGTGCTCAATTTCTCACTTGCCGCTGCGCTAGCAGTGTCGCTTGGTGTGCCACTCTCGTACTCGTCTCCAAGCCGGTCGTCACTGGGTATCAAACTCGCGGGATATACTATTTACGCCGTCTTGGGATTCGGTTGGTTGGTTCTTTGTAGAAAGGAGGTTCAGGAGGCAATCTGGAACTGGGAAGTGTTGGGAGCATGGTTTGCACTGTTTGTTTGTATAATTTATTCGCCTTTGGTGCTTCAAGCAGCTATAGTTTCTGTCTTGCCGCCGTAGCAGTAGATAGAGATACAGCGCGATGCTCAGCGCGGCATGCTCATATAATCCAGTAAAATAAAGGGCGGAGAGCTGCGGCCTGTATAAATAACTCATCCTACATCCATGTCTACACCTTCATCATCACCAAACAGACCATTCGCGAGGTCTGCATCGAGATCCCCATCTCCCTCCTCGACGCCGCCCTCGGTGTCTCCATCTTCTATATCGCCCTCCTGCGGCGAACGTTGCTCGTACATTTGCTCTCTTTGAGCAAGCTTCATTTCGAGATCTGCCTGGAGTTTCTTCATAGCATCTTCGAATCGTCGCTGAAAACAAGAGATATTAGCATAGGATCATTCGACGATGTGGTTGAGTACTCACGCGAATAAGAGGATTTGCAGAACTAGCAATCTCGTTACCCTTCTTCGCAACAGCAGCTTCGAGGTCTCGGATCTCCTCGTTAAGAACCTTCCTCGCCTGCGCAAGTTCGTCATCTTCGTCCTCATCCTCTTCTTCTTCTGAACTTTCTTCCTCTTCTTCCTCCTCCTCCTCAGCCTCCTCACCTTCACCGCCTACTAATGCCAGGTCCAATTCTGCTGCTAGTTCCTCATCAATGTCACCCTCGCCCTCCTCGTAACCCTCTTCTTCACCTTCACCTTCACCCATCTCTGCTCCAGGTGTCATCGCTTCACCCAGTTCAGATCCAAACATTGTAGAGGTTTCCAGCTGTTCATCCCTCTCAATGAATTCGGAGTCAGACATGTCAGGGTTAACATTTTCCAGAACGTCTACAAAATAGTTATTAGTCCTGACGTGATGAAGAAATCAGGGAACATACCGTATTTCACATCGGATGCAAGCGCATCCTCCTCAAGTAGCCGCTCCACCTCTTGCTCAACAGTTTCAATAGTCTATAGCACGATACCTTAGTAAGACGTAATCAAAAAGATTGAATTATACGTACACTTCGAGCTAAACGTTTCCTGAATCTGCGTTTGCGAACCCAGTGCAGAGGAGGTGTAATTCCATGTGGCCAAATGAACTCATCGACGTTGAAGCTCTTCTGCTGTGTTACAACGTCTTCATCCGGAATGCAGTCACCAACCACGAGCATCTACAAAAATAACATGTCAGTCATACCATGGCGTAACATATGGAGATAGCGCAACCTGACATATGTCGGCAACTTTGAACATCTGCTTATTGTCCAGTGTCTTCTGGGATTCAATGATACAAGGAAGATCAACTAGTTTCGCAGAGTAGGTGTTGTTGCCCATGTGGAAGATAGCTCTTCGAGAGTCTACGTTGCATGTCAGCAACCATTCGAAACCGATGGTGCTTGAAGACTTACCTTTGAATTTAAACCAAACATCAGAACCGACTTCGCGTGCGGCAACCGTCTGCTTCAGTCTCTCGCAATCTTCTCCGGGAGGCATTCGAAGTATGAACTGTTCTTCAAACGCCAGATCCTCGTCATCAGAATCCAACTCCCTGTCGTATGGACCCAAGAATGACATTCCAGGAGCTTGAGCTGCAGCCTTCTCACTCAGCTTCAGCTTCAATTTCGGTTGCGGCCGAGCTCTCAATGTCGAAGCACGAGTAGATCTCGTCTCCCTGCCTCTATCATCATCGAAGCTGTCTCCCTCGATAGCAGCATAGTCCAGTGTAGGTCGAGGTCGCGTAGAGTGCCGGGTGCTCATGCCAGTCCGTGGATTCGTGGTATGTGACGGTGTGTAGCTTGGACCGGCTTGGGAGTTACCATTGGGTTGAGACAGCTCATTATCGTCAACATCGTCAACAACAATGAGGTCGTCGTCCATCATGAGAGAGAACAAGAATGCTTAGTTGAGAAAGAGAGAGCCTTGGGCGACGGTGAAGAGTAAAGGGGTAGTGTCACGCGTGTGTCACAGTCGCGTCACTTCACTGTTGTGACAGAGCGCGTTGACGTTGAACGCTTTCACCGCGACTGCAACTACTTGTGCCAAACATGTCCTCTGGCACCCAACTTGTTCTTCATGTATGGCCGGAGCTGGAGGGTGCTTTATCTCTAGACTCGCAATGTATTGCAGCGATTCTATATCTCCAATTGACCATCCCTGGTCGGTTCTCAATTGCTTATTGCACTAATCCCGATGAGTCTCCAAGTGGTAGGTCCGTTGTAACAGCTTTGTTACTCTCGTATACACTAAGAATAACTCATATTGCTTCTGGTATAATTGAAGGACAGCTGCCGTACCTGACACATGGGCTTCACACTGAATCCGGCCTGTTGGCTATTCAAAAATTCGTTGAGAAATTGGATGGTGTCGTAAGCCCTGATGCGGGTCTCTCTGGCGTGGAACGAGCACAGAACATAGCTCGTGTTGCACATGTAGAATCGGAACTTGGGGACCTGGTGGTGAGTGAAGTCAAATATTGCTGCTCTGTGCAGTCTCTGAGTTAACCATGTTTCTTTAGGCACACTGCCTATTCTGCTTGAGGGCTAACTGGTACGGATACACGCGAAAAACCTTGGTTTCCGAATTACCTGTGCCTCAGAGGTATTACTTGCCCGACCGACTGCGTCTTTCATACAAACCCCGTCTGTTGGCTGCGGAGCTGTGGGACGTTCCTGAAATAGAGGAAGAGGATGTCAAGGCTCCAACGGGGTTCCAGAGACTCACCGGGAAGAGGCGAAGAGACAAAAATTCCAAGGGCAAATTCAAATCGATATATGCAAGGGAGAAGGTACAAGACTTAATGTAGACTCGTCGTGAGGTACTAACGCTGGTTCGTAGGTCTTGGAGCGTGCACAGGCCATCCTTGATGTGTACTCTAAGTTGCTTGGCACCAAACGTTTCTTCCATCCCGACAGTGAACGGTGAGTCAAATTTTCTACGGCCTAATAATGTACTGGCTAACCCTGTCGAATGAAGGCCGTCATCTTTGGACATTATATTTGCATCTCATATCCAACTACTTCAGCTACCCTTGTCCGACCCACTCTTTCAAACATTGCTCACCGAACGTTATCCAACACTGATCACACACGCTAACCTCGTACACTCAACGGCATTCCCCACTCCGGAAAGCTTCCCTCCACTTGCTGAGCGTGTGACGAGCACATCTATTTTATCGTTGTTCCCGGTGTCAAGAATATTTCAGAAGAAGACAGCACATCCTCCGACACCTGAAGAAAGAAAGTTTGCTCTCATGCGCTGGGGCTTCTTCGGTGCGGCTGTTGGCGCCTTCGGCTTGTACATGCATGCGATTGGATTGTTTGCTGTCGTTGCTAATACATACAATTCCTTGCGAGTTGTTAAAAGTGTGGACTCAGAGCACGAGGACGAGGAGGAGGATGAAGACGAAATCGTGGAACATGAGTTAGAAGAAGAGGTTGACGAGGACGATTCCGTTGGGCGCGAAGAATGAAAAGGTTTCTTCACTTGCTATTATTTTTGACTATGTTATATACTCATGTTCCAATCATCGTGAATAACTTGCAAAGCGGCATCGTGTCTTTCTACATTTGAAATGAGCTGCATGTGATCGATGAGATCATCGCTGTCTCGATCAGTTTGGCGGAAGGATTAAGGACTTGTTCCACTCTGAACTCATCCCCTCACAACCCTACCAGAACAAATCCTATTTCATTCCTTAGTTTCACTCACCCATGGCTCCCCTTCGTCTCAGACACCCCGGTGGGGTCGTAACAATTCAAGTCGATTTCGATGGTTTTACTGTCCAGGATCTCCAGCAGGAAGTATTGGCAGTGACCAACATCCCGCTCGCCCTACAAGAATGTATGCTTTTCGTTCTCTTGTCCGACTGGCTTACGGTCCCATACTAAGCCCACCCTTGGTTCTCGCTCAGATAAAGCGGGATACCCACCTCACAGTCTTACCGTCATACCTGAACTTCCCCTTGAGAGTCTTGGCCTCAAACCTGGAGAACAGTTGATCGTTTCTGCCAAACCAGGATTACAGGCTCAATTTTCGTCGACACCTACAGCGAATATCCCAACTCCGGCGGCGAGATATGCTCCCTCTCCGTCCCAGCCACCTCCAGCATCAGCGTCGACCTCCGGACCCGATTATGTTGAAGTTGAAGGGGGTTATCTTGTCCACAGGGTACGCATGCAAGCACTCTGTTCAGTTACTCATATGTAGTTGATATTTTGTTCCGAGTTAGATCGTACCAGATGATAATGCATGTCTGTTCTCCTCCGTTGCGCTCGTGTTCGAGCAAGGAATAGATAAAGCGTCAGACATACGTCAAAGTAGGTAACCATAGTCTTCTGGACCATTGCTGGTCTTGACGTTCTCTTGTATAGTTGTCGCCGATGAGATTCGTGCAGATCCTATCAACTGGGATGACGCTATCCTTGGGTAAGTGTTTACACTTCACTCATATGAAGACCATCCGGCTTACGATTTACCCTCTTTAGTCGACCTCGGGAGGACTATATCGCAACCATTCTCAAGCCCTCATCATGGGGCGGCGCCATAGAGCTGTCCGTCCTCGCAAAGCATTATGCCACGGAGATTGCTTCCGTCGATGTAGAAACTGGCCGAATCGACCACTTCACGCCTCCACCCGAAAAAGATACTGGAAACCGCTGCATCCTCATTTACTCCGGTATCCATTACGATGCCGCAACTCTTGCACCGATGCTGGACGCACCTTCTGATTTCCATCAGACGGTTATGCCAGTGACTAGTCAGGGCAACAATGACCCGATATTGGTGGCTGCGAAGAAGTTGGCTGATAAGCTGCGTGCGAAGAGGGCTTTTACCAATACTGCGACTTTCGATTTGAAGTGCGAGGTAAATTTTGGATGACTCTTCCTTCTGTGAAGGTATGACGCTAATGCATATATATATGTAGGTTTGTGGACAGGGACTCAAAGGCGAAAAAGAGGCTCGTGCTCATGCGTCGGAGACGGGACATGTCAAATTCGGCGAATACTGAGCAACTGTTCAGAATATAAAAAAGGCTTACCATGTTGAATCGCTTGTTCAAGTGACCTATGTAGTTTTATGTCTTCGTTACTGTCAGCACGTCTCAATCAACGCAGGGCGATTATTTTCATCTTCCTCCGTAAGAATGCGATCTGAGACCTCGAGATTTGGCTAGTACGTGCCAACTTGACTCAACCTGAGGCAATTGCGTTGAGTCGCGTAACGAAACGCGTCTGTGGCTATGTCGCGTTGATGACCATGTCCTTGTCACACGTTCTCTTCACATCAACCACCTCCTTTCGCCTTTCTCTCAAAAGCTCAAAGCATCCTTCACGTCTATTCCAACCTCACAACAGTACCATACGTGTCCTCACTTCAAGTAGCATCACTCACATCATTACAATGCCACCCAAGAGAAAGGCGTCTTCATCCAAACGCAAACTCGAAGAATCCGAGCCTGACACAGATGCAGAGTACTCTGAGCGTGAAGTCGCGAAGCCTAAGGCTAAGAAGGCTAAGAAGTCATCTCCACCTGTGAATGACCAACCGACGAATAAGGTCTTACCCGTGCATATCCACTTCCCGCCGAAGAATGAAGCGTGTATGAGGGTTGCTACGTGGAATATATGTGGGTTGGCCGCTGCTCAGAAGAAGGTATGTATAAGCTATAAGTGATGGACGTGAATAAGTCGATGTGTGTTTTGGAACGTTGACGTGTCTTATGTCCTATAGGGTTTCAAATACTACGTGGAAGCTGAGGACGCGGATGTTCTCATCATGACCGAAACTAAAGTACGCTACTCGCATCTGTCAGAATTCTGACAGTTCACTTATGATGTGACATCTATCCAGGTGAACAACGATCCCGTTGATCCATTATTGACCTCTCGATACCCGCACCGTTATTGGTCAATAGCAGACAAGAAAAGTTATTGTACGTGTACCATCATCATCTCATCCGCTAATGACTCTCTCCTTCATGCTGTAAATTTGCAGCGGGAACAGCTATTCTAGCGAAACATAAACCACTTTCCGTGGATTACACGCTTCCTGGACATCCCGATCCAAAGTCTGTGAAAGGTCGGATTGTGACGTTGGAGTTTGAGAATTTGTACATCATTGGCACGTATGTTGTCAATGCTGGAACTGGCCTCAAGGTAGAGACCTATACCTTTCCCTTTTCTTTACTTTGCTTGCGAAATGATTCTGATTATTCCGTGTACCAGACTTTGGATGCCAAGAATGAGTGGAATAAACACTTCGAGGCCTACATCCGAGATCTCGACAAGAAGAAACCGGTAGTTTGGGGCGGCGACCTCAACGTCGCACCCACAGAACTCGGTACATACATTTCGACAAAACCTCGCCTTCGTGCGCTTCTCATCATAGTCATACTAGATCTCGCGAACCCAAAGACCAATTGGAACAAAACACCAGGATACACTGAAGCAGAAACGTCTGCGTTTGCTCGAATCCTATCACCGCCAAAAGATGCCGTCAAAGAGGGTGCCAGACCATTTGTCGACATTTGGAGAAAGCTGCATCCCGATAAACGCAATTACACCTACTTCTCGTATCGGTTCAATTGTCGAGAGAAGGGTCTTGGCTGGCGACTTGATGGATGTAAGCCTTTGTCATTTGCTGTTCTCTGCTACTTGTTACCAACTGACCTGGCATTTGCATGATTCGTGATATATAGTTGTGGTGAGCGAACGCCTAGTTGATCATGTCAAGATGTGTGAGATCAGGAGCGAGATATACGGCGCATCAGATCATTGTCCTGTGGTGATAGAGATTGAGGGCGAGTTATAATCGCTCACTTGGAGAGCGTTTTGGCAGATTGGTGTTGAAGGTGCACTGTTTTGGGGATTGCTTAATTAATGGAGTGTATCTGACAGTTCCATTTGGTTTGATAGACACATGTGATTGTGCTTCATACATAGTTCCCATTGCATTTCATATTAGCAACGATGTGGAGTACAAACTTCCGATTCTTAGCATCACTATTTGGACGTGCGGCGTTGATAGCGCGAAGTTCGCTCTGTTTGCCATCGTAACCTCCTTCACAGCGTACCATCTTGCTTGAGCATCCATCGATGCATCTCCTGTATCCCGAACATCGCAAGCAGAACGAGCCCTAGCATGAGATACGAAGGTCAGTTATTCGCATCGACAGTAGCTACCGACAGTTGCGAGTTCTGCTACTGCGGCCGGTTCACCCCATACGTCATAGATTATTGCAATATGTGTGCATGACGCTGCGGTACCGTAATTATAAAGGCTTGGTATCTCTCACACCCATGCTTCTGCAAATTCTATCACGATCCAAAAGTATCGATGCAATTCAAAATATAATCCGGACATAGCTCTTTACGCGCGGTGTTCAAATAAGGGAGTCGGTGAACAAAATGTACAGCCCAGAAGGCTGGAGATGGCCAGAGTACGCCGCGGTTGTTTCGTAACGGCCTGCAACGGCGCAGATCGGGCAGAGCACTCAGCATAGCTTACATATGGGCACATAGCTGAGTATCGGACTTTGTGCGATTGCTCGCAGAGGGAGAACCATGAATATAACGCGAGAAGGTAACTGCGGACGAGGAGAAGCAGGAAAAAAAGGGGGTGTTGGAGAGAGGACTGCAACGGAATAGAGGGAATGTCAGAGCGAGATCAGAACAGGGGACCGCATTGATGCTGTCCATATCAAGACTAGGCTCCCACGGTTGTTGCAATATCTTGCGAGTTGAAGAGCTCTCGGTCGAGGAGAGTCGCCCTCACCGCTTTTGCCTCTTCTCCTTCCCCGTCCTCCTCCTGTCTTTCCAGCTGCGGAGCAGTCTGGTCCTTGCAACGTCTAGGTCTTATTAGAGCTCTCTAATCTCCTCTCTCGGTCCCGCAATCCCCATACGTATCTTACGCCCATCTACATGTCTCAGCATATGGACCGTACCAATGGCAGCCATTCGTTGCAACTGAATCTCAATCTCCAGGATGTCGATTTACATGAAAAGGAGGAGTTGGGCTTGCCCCCACCGGAAACCACGCAGAACGCGGTTCCGACCATCTGTGGTTTGCCCTTGAAATATGTCTCGTGAGTTAGTGCCAGCGATACCTCAAACCCCCCCTGTTAACCGCGTGTCATTTTGTCTGAGCTTAGGCTTGTGACTCTGGCAGTCCAAAACGCCATGTTAACGCTCATAATGCACTATTCTCGCGTGTCATCCGCACCATCCCAGACATATTCTGCTGCAGCCGCCGTCCTACTCACCGAGTTGCTCAAAGGCTCGATTTCCTTACTCGTCGCTTTCTCCCGTATAGATTCATACTCCCCTCAGTATACCCCTAATGCACCTGGTCCCCTTTCATGCTCTTCTCTTTGGAACCCGAGGACGTTTCTCTCTCGCTTTAGACGACTCGGCAAGGAGGTGTTCAGACCGGATTGTTGGAAGTTGTCTATACCCGCTATCCTATATGGTGAGTAGAGTGCTGAACCTCTACGACTGCAATAAATTCGCTGAACACATCTCAACAGTTATTCAAAATAATCTCCAGTTTGTCGCCGTATCAAATCTCGAAGCTGCTACGTTCCAAGTCAGCTATCAAATGAAGATTCTCACCACGGCCGTCTTCTCCGTCTTCCTTCTCCGTAAGAAGCTAAGTCCGACCAAATGGTTGGCACTCTTCTTCCTTGCCATTGGCGTAGGCATCGTTCAGATTCAGACCGGGGGTACCAAGCCACCGTCGCCGTCTGAGCATGAGATGAACGCTTTCAAGGGTTTCATGGCGGTGGTCGCAGCATGCTTCACGTCTGGCCTTGCCGGTGTTTACTTTGAGATGGTCCTCAAGAACTCTCCAGCAGATTTGTGGGTGCGCAACGTCCAGCTTTCCCTCTTCTCCCTGCTTCCCGCGCTTGTTCCTATCATCTTTACGAAGTCGCCTTCATCGTCGAGTGCTGGATGGTTTAACACAAGTCTGTTCGACAACTTTGGTGTGTGGGCATGGGCGACAGTCCTCATCCAGGTTCTGGGTGGTCTCCTTACGGCACTCGTCATCAAGTATGCGGACAACATCCTCAAGGGCTTTGCGACGAGTCTCAGTATCGTCATCTCCTTCCTCGCGTCCGTTGCGCTTTTCAATTTCCCGATGACACTCACATTCATCCTTGGATCTACTGTCGTCCTCGTTGCTACATGGATGTACAACCAACCTGACACATCTTCAGTGGAAGTCGGTAGTAGTCATTGCAAGAAGTCATGGAGTTGGCGATGGAGACCTACATTCAACCTGTCGCGTTCGACATCCGCAATCGAGCTTCCAGGCGGTACCCTCTCAAGACGAGCATCAACGTCCTCCCTTTCGTCCCTCGCATCCTTCCATTCATCAATTGCAACAATCAGCAAGTCATATCCGTCATCACCCATCGAGCGAGATGCACCCATTCTCGGGCAATTCCTCGACAACAAGAATCTTGGCAAGAAATCATCACGTCTTGCTTTGTTCGTTCCATTGAAAGCGACCAAGGCATTTGCGTCACGGATGGGGCTGTTCCGTTCTGTGTCCTTTACTGCGGTACCTACGTCCGAACACCATGCCGGCGCGTATTCGTCATATGCTGCGCAGTCGATACCGTCGTTGGCATCATACCCGCCTTCGCGGCCTTCGTTATCGTCGTCGTCATATCCTGTCACGCGACCTTCTAGTGCGCTTTCGGGTTCAATATCCATGCCTGACGCTAAGAGCACTGGTTCATGACGACAATAATGGGGGTCCGGACGCTGTTAGTGTGTCTCAATCTAAGGATCCTGTTGTTTCAATTTTCCATCCAAGATCGAACAATTTTTTTTCTTTCGTCATTGGACTGTATATCATTATTCTTCCTTCCTTTAGCCAACACAATCCCCCCGAGTCCCTTTTCGACGTGTTCATTAGCTCGGATTACTTTCACTTTCGAACTATTCTTTTTAAAGTACAACACACATCTAGACTCTCTGAGCAAGGAATTATCTCTTACTTGGCCTGCATTTTGTTCTGCTTTGGTTGCAAGTTAGGACACCCACACTTCAAGCTTCAGTAACTACTTGTTCAGTATCTATTCCAAACGCACGCAAGAACACAACTCGATGATGCTTTCTGTATGTTTGTGCGAACCGTCATTGCCGTTGAATCTCTTGAACGGAGGGCTAATTGCCATGCATAACGGCTACTTCCGCCGACAGCGATCGGAGAGTGATGCACTCCAGGACACACTTCACATAGAGTGAGAGGCGGACCCTGACGTTTATACAGAGCCCACCACGGACCGCGAGAGGACGGCTCGCTGACTCAATCTTCCCGATGAGAACAGCTACCTCTGCAGAGACAGCTGAAGTACTATATCAGTCTATTTGGAGATACTGACTCACGATTTCTACTCTAAACATGTCAAACCTAGTCCCTGATACGCATATACCCTCGAGCCCCGTAGCATAGCACTCTTCAAGCTTCATCGACATCGACCACCACGACGCCCTGCCCATGGACCTCCCACCTCCGGCTCCCAACCAGCCCTACATCCAAGTCTCTGCTCTCCTCCTAGGACTCTTCCGCTTCCCTCTCCCACTCTTCGTCGCAGACTCCAATCCCACCGATGTCATACCCAATTGTCCAGCCTTAGGCTTCTTTCTACGTCATTCAGTCACAGAGGAGCATATAGTCTTTGATTTGGGGATTCGCAGGAATACAGAGACGCTGCCTCCGGCTGTACAAGACAGGATCAAGCAATATTTCTCACCGTGTAGGGTACCGCTGACTGCGGTAGAGGCTCTGGGGAAGGGTGGTGTTCAGCCTGAAGACGTAAAGACTGTGGTTGTCAGTCATCTTCATTGGGATCAGTACGTTTCTCCGTGTTCACCGGGTTTCTCCCTGTCTCAATGAATGCAATAATATTTACTAACGTTCTTGGCAATATCACAGTATCGGTGATGCTTCCCCGTTCACCAATGCCACCTTCATCCTTGGAGGAGAGAGCGAGGAGGTCCTCCGAGAGGGCTACCCAACCAACCCAGATGCACTCATCGACCAAAACTGCATACCCGCCGACCGTACGCGTTTCCTCTCCTCCTCCCTCTTCAACACATCCATCGGACCTTTCTCTCGTGCATACGACTACTACGGCGACGGCAGTCTCTACATCATCGACGCAGCCGGACATTTACCTGGACATATAAACATCCTTGCACGCACGTCCCCAGACGGCGCTTGGATTTACCTTGCTGGTGATACCTGCCATGACGTACGTATCATCATGGGTGAGAGGGATATAGCCGTTCATATTCAGCCGGATGGGAGTGTTTTGTGTGGGCATTCGAATTTGGAGCAGGCGAGGGCGCATATAAGTAAGGTGCGAGTGTTGTTTGAGAATCCTCACGTCGAGGTGAATTTGGCGCATGATTGGAGGTGGTATGAGGCGGCGAAAGGGATTCGCAATGTCTTCTTCCCTGGTATCATCCCGCCTGTGAAGCCATCCCCGAATCATATACATCCACATTAAACGGAAAACGGGAAACTGCAAACAGTAAGACTGGTATATAGGTTCTAAATAGTACACTGCAGAATCCATATTTTTACAACAAGTTCCGAAATGTAGTATCAAGACTGTCCCGTTCCCCGATGAGGTCCTATTAGTACAATATTGATGTACAAAATGAAGAGCCATGCTACGTCCTGCTCTCAAGACCCTGCTTGATAGCTATAGATGTCGACTTCAGTCTTACGTACCCCGAGAGCGTATAAGACCCAGAAAGACATACCTTCACAAGTATCCTTGGCGTCGCCAAAAAGCATTTTCGTGCCAGGCATGTAGAACATCGGGTTTGGGACATCCGCTGGAATGTCAAGTGCATGTTCAATAGGACAATCCCGACTTGTAACACTTGAACGTAGAAAAAAGGACACTCACCGTATCCACTAGACATGCCTCGTTTCATGACGATAACCTGTTTACTCTTCCACGCATGAAGGACAGGCATCCCCGCAATGGCTGAACCAGGTTCCAGAGCGATAGGGTTCACGGTATCGTTGGCACCGATTACCAATGTCACATCGGTATCACTGAAGTCGTCATTGATTTCATCCATCTCCAGAACGACTATTTTTTTTAAATTGATTTTCACGCGGGGATTTTGTCAGATTGAGCCTGAGGGTTCCGATGCCATTTGGACGACTTACTGTCATAAGGCACAGACGCCTCTGCAAGAAGGACATTGCATTGACCGGGCATTCTAATGTCGAATTTCAGTGACGCAGACGAAAAGGCGGAATACACACATACCTTCCAGCAACTGGATGAATAGCGAATCGAACATTGATTCCCCTCGCTCTAAGTATTCTCACAATATCCGAAATCGCATACTGCGCCTTCGCCACGGCCATACCATAGCCGACCACCTTATTCAAGTACAACCAAATCGTGGTCAGTTAAGACAACAGAGAACACAAAGTACAAGGCTTACAAGAATGACATTTTCCGCGTTATTGAGCGCATCGACGGTTTCCTCAACTGAAGTCTTTGTGATGGCACCTTCTATCTTGTAGTCTGATTGTGCTACAGATGATCCTATACCGCCGAATAGAACATTTGTGAGGGTTCTGTTCATGGCAACACACTGAAAGCAGGGTTAGGGAAGGATTACGGGAGGGGGGAAGGTGCAAGACGAACCATGATATAGGATAGAATGGAACCGCTGACACCGATTAGTGCGCCAACGGACGTTAATAGCGGGTTATCCAACATGAAACCTGAACAATTCTGAGTATCCGAGAAGAAAAATGTGTATGGAATTGATGTTAAATACCTTCTGCTACCAATGCGAACCCAGAGTAAGCGTTCAGGACCGTAATGACGACAGCTGATGAAAAAGAGTACGATCAATGCACAACAAAGAGGGACATATATGAAAAGGTAAACTCTTACGCATATCAGCACCACCAATGGCAGCAGTAGTTGTAAATCCTTTTATGAAACTGAGAATCGCATTGGTACCCAAATAGGCTGCTGCCACAAGAGGAACCGTGGATGCTGAGGTCATGAATGCACCCATGGTCAAGACATTAGCTCCCAAGAGGGTAGAATTGATAAGATGTCGGCCCGGAAGAACGATAGGTCTTGAGGACATCCGACCGGCGAGTTTGAAAAATGCGACAATGGAACCGGTGAAAGTAACACCACCTAAGCAATCATAGTAAGTTAACCAAGAGAGAAGAATATTGATAATGTGGAGTTCACCAATAAGAACACCGAGGTACGCAGTAACGAGATGTAACGTAGAAGCATGTCCAACATCAGCCAAGACACTTGCAATACTAGTCAGGACAGCTGCTAGACCGACGACGGAGTGCAAGGCGGCGACCATCTGTGGTAATTCAATGGCAGTTATACGACGTCCGATGATGGTACCAATAAGGCCACCAATAGCAGCAACTCCGGAGAATTGGGCAAGGACTTCCGGGGAGAATCCTACTGCGCCTAGTGACGCTAGAATACCGGAACTGACCCCGAGAATACCGAGGATGTTGCCTTGTCTTGCAGTCGCTTGGGATGCAAGCCCGGACAGCGAACCTGAGGACATGTAATTGATATGCGTAAACATTAGATATATATATATATATATAGTCAGACTTACCGATACACAACAAACTGCTTGTGAGATAGCCAGCCTGAACCAGACCTGACATCCCGGAACTGGCAGCAGTCAAAAAGCCTCCAGTGAAGACGATGGCTGGGATACCATAAAGCCAAGCATATTCAGGAGGATCCGTGGGTCCTGCATGCAATCGTCAAACTCAAACCGGAGAATATTAAAGAAGGCCAAAACGCACGCTTGAACATATCCAGCATACGTTTCGTAATCACAAATCCGCCAGCAACATTGACACTTGCTAAAAGAACAGACAGCGCGCCCAATGCTTGTGGGACAGTACCCGGCAGGTATCCGCCACCCATCACAAACAAACCACCAATGCCCACCATACCCGAGATAGCATTCGTAACTGACATTAATGGAGAGTGTAAAGCGGGGGCGACACCCCAAACGACACGGTAGCCGATCATACTGGCCAAACCGAAAGTGAAGAAGTTGCTCATGAAAACAGGGCCTGCAAGCTTTCCGAGAGCGACGGCAGAGCCCATACCGGCCGTAATTGTAGCAACTTCGCGAGTAGTTTTTTGCCAAGGTGTGATAGCGGTGGTCTCAGTGCCTTCCTTGGGCGTAGGAGGAGCAGCGACGACTGGGGGAGGGACAGGACGAGGAGCCGGTGGAAGGATTTGACCACGATGTACGACGATTGATCCTCGAACGACTTCATCTTCTAGGTTGACGGCGAAATTGCCTTTGCCATCACCGATGGATAAGAGGAACTTTGTGATGTTGTTGGAGTAGAGAGTGGATGATTGAGTAGGTAGTCTTGATGGCAAGTCAGTGTATCCTAAAGATGTGGGTGAGCAAATCGTACCTGCCTCGCGACTACTATTGCATACCAATGATGGTGACTCCATCATGAACATACAACTCGCCAGGTTTGGTAACTTCACAATTACCTCCAGTTTCGGCAGCCAGGTCGACAACGACGGAACCTTGCTTCATTGCGGCGACCATCTGAATGCAACAAGTTAGCTTGGGAGCTTTGTCTCCGAGACAATTCGTACCTCCTTGGTGATGAGTTTCGGGGCGGGCTTGCCAGGAATGAGTGCCTTTGAAAAAGTTCATTAGTACTAAACATGAAAAAAAAACCCCGAATTATAGCATACAGTCGTGATCACAATGTCTACATCCATGCATTGTTCCATAAAGAGCTTCATTTCGGCTTCGATAAATTCTTTTGACATCACCTTCGCGTAGCCGCCACCGCCCTCACCGCTCTCCTGAACGGGGACTTCGAGAAATTCAGCACCGAGAGATTGTACCTGTTCACGAGCGGCCGCACGGGTGTCGAAGCCTCGCACAATAGCACCCATTCGCCTAGCCTGTATATAACTTGAGGATACTTTGGTTCCGAGTTGGTTGATTTACGTACCGTAGCAATGGCACTCAATCCCGCTACACCAGCACCGATTACGAGAACCTTACATGGCGGAATTTTTCTGTTTGACGCAGTATACTGTTAACGTCATTCTTTCCATCAAGGTGGAAGGGGACCCACCCAGCAGCCGTTACTTGACCAGTGAGGAAACGTCCAAAATGATTAGCAGCTTCAAGGACCGCTTTGTACCCTGCAATGTTTGCCATTGAACTGACCATCTAGAGGTCAGACTTCCATTCGAACGTAGGTAATATATACACAAACCTCAAAGCGTCGAAAACTTGGGCTCTAGAAATACGAGGTATCATTTCCATGGCGAATGCCGTTGCTTGCTTTTGTGCCAATGCGTCCACAATCGCTTTGTTTTGGTTAGGGTATAGGAAGGATATCAACGTGCTGCCATCTCTGATATGTTCTAGTTCCTGTCCGAGCAGGGGTGGTCGAACTTTGAGTAAAATATCGGTTGAGGTGAACAGTTCAGTTCGGTCGACAAGCACAGCTCCTGCTGCTCTGTATTGCTCGTCGAGGAATTGGGCATGGAGCCCAGCGGATTTCTCCACCAACACTCTAGAGAAGCCCTTTTTCAAAAGCAACGCGGCGTTCTGAGGCGTCAGAGCGACGCGACGCTCATTGGGAAAGGTCTCGACTGGTACTCCGACTGTGAGCGAAGAGTATGGAACTCCTACGTGATAAGAATATCATTATGCGTGACGTGGCGACGTAGGCTTATAACAGTACATACCGCTGTGTTGCTTCTGTGCGTCATTGTCTACTATTGCAGGATCTTTCCTCTCCTCTTGCAACACTGATGATACATGGTATCTGCGAACAGAGACTGAAACTACGCAGTCTCCTGTGAGCGAGTAGCTAAGGTCGATGACAGGGATTACCATACGTTGTCTGAAGTGGCTTGTCAAGAGGGGTCTCGCAGTCAAGCGAGATAAATGCCAGGCGAAGGCATTCATCCTGATCACCATTGTACTTCACTGGTTGACCCTAGAGGGTCAAAGTATTGGTTCACGTTCACGACTAGATGGGTGACGATGGATGAGTTACCAACCAGAACTCGGGTCCGGTTGAGACAACTAGGCCACGCTCACATGAGCAGGAAAAAGTACGTTATATGGAACTGGAAAGGCAGGTCGACGATTCCAAGCATGTGCCAGAGATCAGCTTTGCCATGATCGCGTAGATGGCCCTGCCAGAAATTCGCCGGCATATTCTCCCGCTGCCATCCCCACACTCTCCCACGCTTCCCCGCATTTGTTTTCAGAAACAACCTCCGGTCCTGTATCGACTTGCATATCCAGCAGGTCAGATCACCGAAAGCTTTCAGATTTCATTCACGAGTATATGACCCATATATACACAACCCATCACATACTCATATCTACTAGACTACAACTCCTCAGCCTGTACAGCATAGTGCAATTTCAAGCCCTGTCTACATGGACTGAATAGATGAGCGAATAAGTAATGGTATCTAATGACTATAAGTGATCTTTTCATGCAAGTTGACAGCGAAAAACCCACCACATAATTCGACAACAACTCACTGACGTTTTCCGCTGAATTCGCGCTCCAACTTCACGAGGGCCTGGGTATGAGGGTGATCCCACAACGCCTGCGCCGCCTGTGGTTCGATGGGAGGCAAAGGCCTCCGAGGGTTGCCGCCATAACCGTAGAGTCGCTCAAGCAAAGCTTTCGTTCCAGCGATTGAAGCTTTGGCAATAGTATGATCTGCTTCAGCAACAATGCCCTGAATGCGTTGAGCTTCTGGAAGGACCTCTCGGTCCTTCAGACTTGCAACCGCAAGCTCAAACAATTTGGCAAGAGTATACTACATGTGGCGAATTTGAATATCATATTGAATGAAACTGATCGATCTTCACTCACAGGAGCGACGTTCGCCAACCCGGTGATAGCGCCGTGCGCATTGGCAAATATAGAGGGGACGAGGAAGTCTACGTAGCCACCGAGGACAAGGAAGGGTTCATCTGAGTCTTTGCGTGGATGTGACGAGACGAATAAAGGTTGGCTGACAGTGGCAGCAATCCGTGTCAATTTCCCAACGTTACCACACCTGCAGAGATGCTTAGCCATCAAAAGACACATTTACGAGAGCTACAAACGTAAGCTTCGTTCCGACGAGATTAGGGTATTCTGTAGCCAACTCGGTGATGAGCTCCGAGTCCAAGTCGATGCCACCACACGATCCCGGGACTAACATGGTGATATCGATCATCGCTATTGCACAATCGGTTTAGACATTTGCTTACAGTTATAGATGATAACAGGGATCGGACTTGCTTCTGCAACGTCCGCCCAGAATTGCTTGAGCGCCTTCTTATTGCCAGCCAATACACCAGCAAAATATCCAGAAGCGATGACAATTGCAGCATCTGCACCATCTTTGGCGGCTTGCTTCGAAAGCTCAATGGTCTCACGTGTGCTTCCAACACCAGTGCCCGCGATTATAGGTACATGGGTCAGACCTTCTGCATCCAGTGCTTTGCGAGCCGTCGTAATCAAGGTAGTTCTCTCTGCGTGGCTGAGGTGGTGTGCTTCCCCTAAGGACCCTGCAAGAAGAGGGCCCACGCCTGCCTTCGCCACACGGATGACATGCGTCTGGAAGGACGGCAAGTCTGCGCCATAATTAGATCCAAAGGCCATCATGTCAATGAGTAACAGTCGTGTACACACCAAGGTCTTCACAGTCAGGTAAGAAGAAAGTAGGGATAGGAGCGTAAATTCCTGGCTTCAATGTGCGAACAGGATGCGCTCCTCCAGAACCGTTAGCTGCCATGGTGTCGCGATATAGCAGAGAACGTGGGGAGAGAATATGCACTAACTAAACCTGCAGAGGGGATAACCGGTATATGAGTGCTCCTTACAACGGCTGCTCGGACCGAAGAGTCCGGCAGCAGTCCCCGTCGGCCCGTTGTCGGCGTGGACAGTCGATCTCATGTGTGTTTCCAGTCTGCCGGCTTTGGCACCATATCTGCCCTATAATATTAGATTGCACGACGGTCACTTGAGGATAGAACACGTCGATTCGTCATTGATAATGTACACCTTCGAGAAGCGGTGAATATCATCCGGGAGAAGCATCCTGGTCATACGGTGGTCGCAAACATGAATTGGCACCGAAAGCAGTCTTGCCCTGTACTTCAAGACAATTAGTCCTTGCGGAGAAAGAACTGACATGTCACTCGTAATTAATGATGCCCACAAGAAAATTTGGCACTTGCCTTGCTGAGTCAGGCGCAAAGAAGGTCCGTCACTGAATAAGGCGCATGAATTGAGAGTACCCAAGTACAAAAGGTCAAGTGCCCAAAGACCTGCTTGAGAACGACCGTGGAGCTTAAGATCATAGATCGAGTTCACGAGGACCAAAGTGAGTTTTGAACCTGGCAACGCGAGAAAGCCGGCTATACAGGAGAAGAGTAGCATCCCGGAATTCAGGGTGCATTGTCGGTCCTCGTCAAATCCGAGTTCAGTAGGTCCGCGGCACAGCGTTCAGATAAGAGGAACAACTGACTTGAATCGTTCGACGTCCCTGGCATGTCATGTGAAGAAGAGGACATGTCAGGTTCCTAAGCAAGAGGCAGAACAATCAAGCAGTTGTTGGAGAACTGTCTGCGATAACAGGAATCAGGGCCTTACGTTCTCAGATATGTCAGCTCATTCCGCGATGCATGTCTCCGACCATTGCCCGAGCAAGTGGGCGAACCAACCGCTATTGAAACAGCAGACAACACGAGCTCCAATATCTGATGAATGTCAACCCTTAGAATATAGCAGAATCAGAAAAGTAATGAATGAATTACAGATAGAGAACTCACTTATTTAGAACGATTGAATGCAGAACACGGCGACACCATTCATCCAACGTTACCGCCGTCATAATGCCTTTGGTATGACCATTTGTATTTTTCGAAAATATCAAGACTCTGGACAATGACCATATGTCAGGGTCAACTGGAACATTGGTACCGTTAAATACAATAGCAACAATATGATAAAGAAGCACTCACGCGTGTACAATGGGTAATAATATAAGAGTAAGATGCGTCAATTCTTCTGCTGTTTGCTCTTTTTATTCGACTCGTCAAATACCTCGAACTTTTCCAGTACATCGCGTTCCCATTCTAGCCGACCATCAGAATCCGGCTCGCCTGGATTCTCTAACGCCTTTTCAAATACGCTCCATGGGACGCAAGACATGTCACTGGGTTCAGTAGGTCTAAGAGTGAACCGTCCTTGACGGGTACGCGTGAGGGTAACGACATGTGCCGCTGAACCCAATGCATGACCAAGTTCATGCGCAACAGAGCGCACATATGTTCCACCCGAAACTTGCATGCGAAGAACGAACGCGGTCGGTACATCTGAGTGCTCGCTTTCTGAAACAGGACTGTCTTCGACTTTAGCCTGTTCGTCTACACCTTTCAAAGCCTTCTCTAGCGCTTTCTTTTGGTCTTCAGACAATTTCTTCTCTGGCCAGCGGAAAGAATGGTCACTCCCCTTCCATTCGATGACTTCGAGGGAATGGATTGTGACATTACGCGCTTCTATTGGTCGGGGTAAAGGTATTCCTTCTCGAGCGTATTCATATAACGGCTTGCCGTCCATTTTGAGTGCGGAGAAACTGGATAGAACGATTAGTTATGGTAGAAGGGTCATACAGAGTATGAGCGAACATCGGAGGTGTCTGAGTGATTTCGCCTCTAAACTGTTGCAAAGCCTCTTCGACTTTCTCTCGAGTAACGTGTTTCCATGGAGCGACCCGGACTTGTGCACCTTCACTATCATACGAGTCGGTCTCACAACCCAACAGACAAGTTGTCTCGTACTCCTGCAAGCTTGCTTTTCAGTGAACCACGAATATTCAAGTGCGGTTCAATTGATGCACCTTCACACAATTCAAGAACTCGGCCAGATCTCTTGTAGCTTTACCTATAGCCACGACTATAAAATACGCTTTAGACATCCATAACCTGTGAGTGAGCTAACAGAACTACCTAGAACGCCGTCTGCTAAAGGATCGAGCGTTCCGCCTTGACCTATCTTGACGGGTCCACGACGATATTTTCCCTTGCGTTTGTGTTTGGCTCCTTGGAGTTTGCTTTCCTCCACGAACAGTGATGAATTTGAGACAAGCTTTTTAATGTCATTGACCAAGGCCATCGAAGTGGGTCCTGATGGTTTGGCGACCCCAAAGGTTCCAGACAAAGGCTGCTTTGTCGTGGTTTCTTTTGGCATTCTGGGGGGAAAAGAAAGTCCTTGAGATAAGTTCCTTTTTGCGACCTGCTGGAGAATAGTTTGTTTGGAACGAGGAAGAAGTCGCAGCATACAGTGAGAAAAGAGGCACAATTGCTTTGCTTTGAAAGTGATCATGTTAATGATCGACGACTTTCTCACGGCATCATACAGTGGTGTGTTACTTATCCTGCATGCTTACCACCTTAGCGGCCTACCCCAGCAGAAATCATGCACTATTCATCATCACTATTAGCGAAGTCTGTGCGGAATATTTACACCTCGGTTACATTCTATACTGATACACACAAAGTTATTCTCCTGCTACAAATCCATCATAAGTACAATTCACGTCTAGATGTCTAAGGACTCTACGGATCCTCATCGATCCACTTCATCTGTGAACATAACAGTTCAAGTTAGTCACCAGCCGAGAGTCAGAACGTGAAGTACGCACGAATACTCGGTGGTGCACCTCCGAACCTGTCTCTTCGATCTCTTTGACCTCCTCGGAAGTGAGATCGGGAATGGTCTCGACGTCCAAGTACTCAAGGAGTCGCTCGGCTTTCGAAGTGGTGCTATAGCAAAGGCATATGCTTAGCAACTCATAGAAGAGCATGCATTAAAACGGCATACGTGATTGCGGGTACACCTTGTTGGCGGAGCCACACCTGGAGGACTTGACCGGAGGTCACAGGCTTGCCACGAGTCTCACCCAATCTCTTTGCTATCTTCTCGAGGACTGGATCCAAAGGACCACCCTTGAATCGGTTGACGGGAGTCAGGCCTCCATAAGAGGTCGGTACGATCGTGTGCTTCTTGAGGAAGTCGATCAAAGGCTTGCTAGCTTTGAAAACGTACGGGTGGTACTCAATCTAGAATCTCAAAACGGAGTGGGTGAGATAAGATTCGTGATTACCGTGTACCTTCGTCGGCGTACCTGGTTAACGGAAGGCAAGATCTCCGCGCCAGGGAGGATGACCTCGAGGTCCTTGATACGGAAGTTCGATACACCAATGCTCTTCGATAAGCCTTCCTTCTTCAACTCCTCAAGCTGCTTCCACACGGATTTCAGATCCGGGTGCAGTTGGGGATTGTGGATAAGGAAGAGATCGACGTAGTCAACCTTAAGTTTGCGAAGGGACTCCACCAAGGTATCCCGGACGGTCTTTCCGGCAGGCACGTCCCATAACTTCGTAGTAACGAAGAGAGAAGAACGAGGTACGCCAGACTCAGCGATGGCATCTCCGATAGATGCTTCATTGCCGTAGACTTGAGCACCGTCGAGATGAGTGATGCCATGAGATATGGCTTGAATGACTTCCTTCTTAGCCTCCTTGGTGTACAACGCTGTCCCAGTGCCGAAGGCGAGCCATGGGATCTTGTTGCTATCATTTAGAGTGAAGGACAATCTAGACATTGTGAAGTGGTTAGACGTAAGCTGGGGCGAGAGAGAGGTCAAGACAAAGTGTGCACTAAGTCTCTGGGGAATGTGGGAGAAGCTGCGACTATTTATATGGCTTCCACAGGTGACAGGAACTTTGACCTGAATAATCGATCTGGCCAAGAGTAGGGTCACACTATACAACGTCATTGCGTTTGAAAAAGTGCGTGATTATTGCATACACGAATCAGGATCCCAAGGAAACAGGATCACTGCCGCACGTTTGCTCTGATATAAACCCAGTAAAGAACAGGATGCATTCAAAGGTGTCGCAGTCAGAACTCTGTTCATCGAGCACGGCATTTGCGTACGAGACAACGCAATGCTACAGGAACGGGCTGAATGCGGTTGTAGTGTGAGTATTATCGTTCCTAGTGGGACTCCTCGGCAAACTGAAATCCGTCGGATTCGGGATTCAGCGGCTTTCAAGAATTTGACCTGCCCTAAACAAGGCGTTTATATTGTTGAAGCGTGTATTGATCGTGCTCATCTTTTAACAACTACGTAGACACAAGTAACCCACATGGTGGCCCGTCTATTCATTGGCGTGTCTTCATCTCTCAGTGTCTTAGACGAATGGTTCACTCTTTGGCCGTATTTCCTTGTACCTGTGGATTACCCGGTCACCTAGTGTTCCGACATGTTACACTGCTACAGTCTTCAAAGATAGAATCCCTCTTTCGGCGTCTTCGAAATCGCTGTATTATCCAGTCTGGTCGGATCCATATGTGATCGCTCCTGTAACCTGATTTGTTGTACATCCTGCCTCCTGCTGTAACATTCCTCTTCAACATCATATAATGTGTTTAATGAATCATGTCTTCTGTCGAGGTTGTCTAGCGTTGGTCGACGTGGATGATCGAGCACAGCAAACTCATGAGCGTCAAGGATCACGTGATGAAACGCGTAGATGTGGTTTGAGTTTCGCGTCGCGATCGCCTGAGCCTTTCCGAACGGCTTTTAAATCTTCCCCTGCCACAACCGTTCATTTTTCAACAACCACTACCCTCGTTCACACTTTCCTTACTGCACGCCTTCTGTATCGTCCTGGGCCGGTGCCCAGTCATTGCTATTCCACACACAAACATGCTCACTCATCGCGGTTTCTCGGCGTGGATCACGTCCGAGGGACGAGCCCTTTACGAATTCCGGTCTATCGTTAACGAAGAAAAGAATCTGATAACATGCTGGATACCCAGTGAAGTTGGGAAAGTACGTATTAGTGTGGCTTTATCAGCGATTTGAGGCTTATGATGCGGTGTAGACCTTCACCATACATTGGCGTGATAATGGCGGGCTAGTTGACACCGCTTCCTATATATACCTTGATGGCTTTGAAGTCCCGGGATACTTTCTCTTTGGTTTTGGAGAAGCTTCTCGTGGTGCAGCTCGCATTGGTCCTATGCTCCAGCGGCCGTTTACGTTCGGCGAAGTTGACGAATGTAAGTATTTCCCCCCTAATCCTCAAGCGAATTATCAACCTGTAAATTTCATTATTTCGTCAATAGCATCTGAACCTACATTCATCTCTGCTGAGAATGATGAAGGAGTCATCCAGCTGGCCATCAAAAGGATTAAGCGAGTTGGACAAGCTGCCCCGAACGTACCGAGGACGCCTCCAGTCAAAGTCAAGGATGAAGCGACTGCCAAGTCAGTCTCGAGGTATGCATTTGGAGCTGGTTATTTGGTTTCAGTACTTACATGCTGTTCATCATAGTTTCGGCGGCCCCCAGCCAACTACAATGCAACTTCCCTCAACCTGGGATATCGTTCCCTACAATCCAGACGAGCCCGATCCATATGTCACGTTTGAGTGGCGCTACAGATCCCTTCGTAGGTGTATCCCCCCTATACAAGTAGCTCCATCTGACTGCTAAATTGAATCTAGACTACTTGGTCCATCATGATTTAGCCACGCTTGCTGACATACAGGGTGACTCTCCAGAAGTAGAAGGGGAAAATCTTCCCCTTTCGCCACGATCGGGTCGAGAGCTTGACTCCCCAAGCCGTAGTCCGAGCCCTAGCCCTAGCCCTGCCAATAGTACCAAGAAGTTGAGTCCTGTCAGTAGTACCAAGAAACCGCGACCAGGCCGGGGGAGTCGGGTGAGTGAGCTCGACAAATAAGGAACATTGTATATATTTATATGCCTGACATCGTTGTAGGGCATATCTGCTAACTTCGATGTGCCTGCGAACTACAACCCTATGGGTTCTAGCATAGGGTCATTCCGTGCTACTGAATATCAGCCGCCAACTCCGTCATCGTCTCAGTCCCAGTCTCAAGATCTGCCTCCTCCGAGTGATTGAAATGTCCTCATCGTCTTTCCTTAGCCTGGTGCTCTAGGGTCTGAATCTCGCTCCTGTTTTCTCGCCTTGCTCTCTGTTCCCGTCGCTTTTGCCTGACTTTTGCTTTTTCCCTGTTTTTGTTTGATTTCTGCTGCTGCGCTGAGCTGCTTGTTGTGATTGCCCTTAATGCTTTTGTGTATCTTGTGATTGTATGGGCCTTTTGCATTCCTGACTATCGTTGCTTTATCATTGTCTAGTCGTCGCTGCTCTTCTGCTTTGTAAATAATGTGCCATGTGCTACTCATGTCCTGTTACATGTATCGTACTGAACGCTTCTTGAATACATTGTTGTTATTATGTTACTTCTGCATAAACGGGCGCTGTGTGCGAGTATTGAAGAGTATTGGATGATATAACATTGCATTCGCTGATGAAAGGGCCTAGCAAATTTGGAGTGTTCAGTGCGAACCCGGAATGACAAACGATTCGACATGCCATATAGTACCAATTTTTAGAAGACGGTGGCTTGCAGGTCTTTTCCACGATTGATAGGGTAGAAATCCAGGTGCAATATTGCCATAGTTGTGATCCGAAGACAATGTGAAAATCCAAGCATTAGTAGACGAGTTTCTAACAGAGAGCACAACATGATACTCTCAACACTAGGCCTGCCTGATAAGGGTGTGTGATCAGTGATCGGTCGGTTGTGCTGAATTCCCATTGGCTGGCGCGTGACGCATCTCTGCTTTCATTCCTTCTGTCGACTGCAACGCTGCTCTAGGTGTCCCCCTGGAGCCTCCAAGGTGGCCCATGAAGCGTGGCACTTCGAATCGAGACCATGAGATCATTTTTTACTCGCCTGGGCACGATCGAAAGAGGGACGGACTACCTGTAGGCGGACGATACGAGTCTCGCGTTCGAGTACTCTACGTCTAGCCGGAAGCTTTTAAATCAGGCCAGGTGAGTGTTGCCTTCTTCGTTGGCTTTCTCCAAGTCATATTCAATATCTATCGTGACCTTTTGTCTTTTTCGTTCACATTTGCCCCAGCTCTTGTCTGTTGCCGCCCTTCTACTTGTTCTCATGCTGATACAGCTGAGGGTTCGATATTTCAAGAACCTTGATTCAGGGCTTCAACCTCATCTGCTTTCGACAAGTGCTGATGGACGATACCGGCTCAAGGGTCTGATGCTTCTCGGTGACTCTGACCCAATATTTGAGGTCTTCAAGCTTCTAAGTTGTGTCTCTCCCAAATGAATGTCTACTCGTTTCTATATTCTGCTCTTCCCACGACCAATCCATTGTTTTTCCCTTCGTGCATATTATCACAGCTTTTATCTGCGACGATCCAATTCGCGACGTCCGCGCCCACGCCTCGGCTTACAGACAACACGAGTGACCTAGACAGGTGAGGTTGAAGAAGTGGGGATATAAGGCTTCAGCTGTGACGATAGCTGGAAGTCCTCTCAGTTTAGACTGTCTTGAGGCTCACCAATTTACCGTCCGACATTCGTGTCGCATCCATTGAACGGTGTGCAGCCATCTGGCAATCGTCACGATTTCAAACGCAGGGTAAAGAGTTGAGGTAAAGACAAACATACAGTGCGGCATATGGTATTCTCGTAAATATATCCGGGGATTGGCTAGTCCTCCACAAGGGAGTTCGATCTGGATGGTATCTTGGCCGAAGCATGTAGCCTCTGGACGTAAGAAATTTCTGTCGATTCCGCCAAGGAACCTCGGTGGGGAGGAGGTTGAGGTATTCAAGAAAATACACGATTGACAGGGCCTGACTTATAGAGATAGACATTTCCTAGTGAAAGAAGGCGGGTAGGACTCGGATATCAATACCACAGGAGACTGCTGCGCGGTCTACATCTACATCCTAAGTACGAACGGTTGCGGCAGAACCGGAACGCAATTGAGGCATTCGCCACAATCCGCTATATGACGCAGAGCTTGAAAGCCTTGAACGTTAACGTTAAACCTGGTGATTTGAACTTGAAAGCTCGAAGAACGTTGGGCGTCATGGCAGACGCGACTCGGACGCGGTCCACGTGGACGTGCTATATCTCCCCAGTGTGGCCTTCAGCTGTGCGATACTTCTCTTCTTTCTTGATCATGACCTCCACTGCGTCTCCTAAATATCGGCTCCTGGCACTATCAACATATCGCTCAACATCGAATGCCCGTTTGAAATCTCTGTACTCAGACTTTCTTCGGCAGAAGCATTCGAATCCGACGTCATACACTTCTAATCTCGAGTGGTGGCGACAGACTCTCGAAGCTGTTGTTTCGAATGGTTTACAAGTCTCAGATCAGGCCGTACCCGACAGACTTATCCTACATGCTGACCGAGCTTCACTGGTGGACTTGTTCCGAGTGGAGGGTGTTGGTAAACCGCTCAGTTTAGCCGGGGTAGTCGTAAGCATCCTTGCTCGGTATACACCCTCTTCATTAACCATTGATATCCATTTGCGTAGCAAAGGCGGACCTTACGGAGAACAAGGTGTACTACCCACTGTCACAATTCCTGAGTAGCACACAATCAATATACGATCCCGGTTGGCTGCCTTATCGTATTGCGTCCTTCATTGTGGGCAAACCTCTTTGGTGGGCTCTTCAGCAACTCAATATCTTGTCTGATGACACCGCCGGTGGCCACGAGAGTGACGCTGAACGTTGGAAGAAGGTGAAAGGCGATTACGTAGTGCGAAGTCTGGTTGAACGAGCTGCATCAAACATCCTAGACAAGCAGCAGAATACAACGGGCCTTTCACTGGCCGATACACTCTATTCATTTGATTCCTTCAAGCGGACATTTGCATCGTCTGCAATAGACGATGGGATGCTCTCTGATCTCGACCTAAAAGTTGTTCTTAAATACCTGGAACGAGATAAGAAAGCCGTGGTTGTTCAAGGCGACGTATGTGTGGTTTATGTATGATACAGGTTCCTCGACACTAAACTTCAATTCAGATCATCAAGTTCATAGAGGGCGGGGATATGACTGTGCCCGAGATCACGGCCGTTGATACCGGTGTTCTTGAACTCAAGACAGGCGTGGAGAACCTGCACTCACTGATAGACCATCTGCAGGGCCGTATCGAACAGTTCAGTACATCAGCACTAGTCACATTTCCATCGTACTCATTCCGTTTACCTTTAGAGAAATGGATAAGGTATCATATGCCTTGCGACGCAAGCAGAAGGAAGTGGCACTAAGTCACTTACGGACGCGTAAACTTTTAGAAGACATCCTGAGGAAACGGCTTTCCTCTCTTGATACCCTTGAGTCAACTTTAATAAGGGTTGAGACCGCTGCCGGAGATGTCGAGGTACGTATCTCGGTAGCCTCATCTGTGGAATCAAATCCTAACACGAATATGCCAGATCATGAAATCATACGAGTCTTCAACAGCCACTCTCCGGGCTATTCTCTCTCACCAATCTCTTCAGCGTGAGAAGATCGACGAGACGATGGACGCCATGATGTCTGCCCATGCTGATGCACGGGAGATCGACGAAGTCATCAGAATGGGTGCGGACATGGCTCAAGCTGAAGCTGGCATTGAGGACTCAGAGCTGGCTGACGAGCTCCAAGCTTTGGTACAAGAGGCCGAAGCCAAGGAGAAGGCAGAGGAGGAGCGACGGAAGATGGAACGATTGCACGAGCAAGAGTTGCGTGTACCATCTCATGCGCCTGGTGCTTCAGAAGAGGCCTGGACAGACCATGAGATGGACGAGGAGTTCCGGCAGGTAAGGACGGATGCTGAGAAGGTTGCTTCATAATTGCATTCCCAGGACTTTCCCATTACCGCAAGTACTGTAGTTGATACCATTCCATGGACTGTGTGTACGTCGGTACATACTATGATACACCGAGACTGTGCTAGAGTTACAAACCAAGTCTGAAAGTGAGAAACGTTATTATACAATGTGCGTAGTCTGTGTTGATGTCCGAGATGTCTCTCTAGTCCGAATAGTTCAGTAGCCTCCTGTGACAAGTTTACTTTTCCTATCAATACTCTTTCTGTCCGTACTCTTCCGATCCATCTCATAGAAACCATAGATACTATATGTCGGGCTCCTATAATCCGCGTAATCACCAGGATTTCCATGTTCCATCGCCATCTGGGCGAGGGAGGGCATAGGTGGAGGCGAAGGAACTCTAGGCGGCTTGTCTTCTGCACGCTTCTTGATCGCAGGTTTCGTACGTGGAGGTGCATTACCAGAACTACTTTGTCCAGCGTTACGAGGAGGAACTAAAGAAAAACTGCTTTGGAAGTCTTCAAGCATGAGATTGCCCAGGCGCGCAGTTGCATCAACAGTGGGACTGGTGACTTGGCTACGCATACGATTGTGACTAAGAGCCCTGCTGCGTCTACGATCACCCGCAAGAGTAATGGAGTCATCTGGGTATAACGTGCCCTGAGGCGAAAGTGGGGGTGAATTAAGGCCAAGAGCCGAGGTCAAAGCCTGAGTATCCCGTTCGCGTCTTGCCTCTGTCTTGTTCACCGGTGGCAACGGGGGCAGGGCATACAGTAACGTCTCGAATGGGTTGTGGTCTGTGACGGAGAAACGAGAAGATGAAGGTCCAAGGCCGCCGACTGAAGTGGAGGAGCGCATAGATACCGCAGACGCGTAAGGACCTTGAACACGTGCACGGCCGCCAGAGGAAGAAGCTGACAGTCCTGTTGTGGGTGCAAGATATGTCGGCGAAGTGGTTTCGTTCTCACGCTTCGAATTTGTTGGAATATTGACCATGTCCCAGCCGGCAATACTCTGGCGTACGTTCTTAGTAGTCTTCGAATGTCGACGAGTGGAGGACTTGGAGGCGCTGCGCTGCAGCACAGGGAGGCCATCTGCGGTGAGAGGTGATGCATCACCAACAGCAACACCGATACCGGAATAGTTGTGAGTACCCTGAGGAGACGTAGGGTATATAGATGCAGACATAGCTGATACGCGGTTGGCAGCCCGGGTGATCACATTTTGAAGTTGTTGTAGAGGAGGCGAAGCAGGAGTTGCACTGTTGGCAGTTACTCCATGGCCCTTGAATGGATAGGAACTCTTCTCTCCAGCGACCGATTGCCTCTTGGCCGGAAGATCAGGAGGCGCGGTAGTATCAGGACCGGCCTTTGGTTGTATCATCGATGTGTGAGGGTACTGAGTCCAATTCCAAAGTATTCCATTACTCCCAGGTCTGGCTGATGTACGTTCTTTACCACCGAACAGAGACTCTTCATCTCCGTCCAACTTTTCATCTGGGTAGTCCTCTTGTAGAATCGGCAGGGAAGGTACAAGATGAGAGCGCTTTTTCGGTCTGCTATAGACCCAGGCAGCAGCTATTAGACCAAAAAGGAGAAAAGCAGCGAGAATGGAGAGGATGACAATGACAACCGTGGAAGGACGCTTTGAGTTTGTCGAATGTTGATCCTGTAAAGCCTGTGCGCTTGTTGACGGCAACGATATGATAGAAGAAATGCTGTGGGACGCAGTCGCTACAGCGGTACCAAGGACAGTAGCCACAGGCGTGGCTCCAAGCGTAGGTGTTATTACGGGAAGCACGCCGGTGCGAATTAGGGCCGTAGTTGGGGTAGCATAGTATGTTGTTCGAGAGATGCCATGCTCAGGAATAAAGTTGGGAATAGCATCTGCGTCTATTTCAGAAGCAGGCTTTTTGACTTTGGGCTTCTCCTTCAGAACTGGATTAGACTCGGAGTCGCCCTTCTTCTTGCCTGACGATCTTAAAGGCTTATCATCGCTTGGATCACTTTTGTCGTGGGACTCAGCAAAGTTAACCGGATGCGCCTTCCCTTTGCCTTTTCGTGTCTTCCCTTTAGTTTTGGATTTCTGTTTGGTGGAAGATTGATCCTTGTGAGGCATGGCGGGATAAAGGAAGGTGGTAGCGAAAGGAATGGTAGCAGAATCCAGTTTGGATGCACTGTTCTGAGCTGACTAGAGGCCTCAGAAGGCGTCCAGCGCAGCACGGCGAGTAGTAAAATGATTTCCAGTAAGGAGCACAAGGGCGGAGAGGCGGGAAAGAGAGAGGTGATGTCTCTGCGCAGACTGAGTGAGTTGGTTGATCAAACTCAAGCGTGACCGCGTTGACTAGACGCTGGACAATTGTATCCGCGCTCAATCCGCGTTCGTGAACTTGAAAGAGTGCTTGACCTCGTCCATTGCGAGTGGTCGTCGCGTATACCTTGGCCTGTTTCTGATCTACGGTACTATCATCTAGGATTGGGTCAATAGATCTATCCTTCTGTTATAAAACTTACCTGACTTCTGCATGCTGCATCGTCGTCCCACTAACTTGGATCACGACGTGCAGTGAGTCGTCCGCCAACGCTTCTGTGGAGTAACTTACGCGACACTGTTCTGTAGCTTGCCAACACTGCATATTTCCAGGACGAGTCGCACTGTGAGATTGCTATGAACGCAGGAGAGGAGAGCATGTAAGTTTCTCATCCTGAGGTCAAAACCAGGGCTTATCGGAGATTCTAGCAGTGAAGAGTCGCAAGCTACGATGTTGCTGGAGAGCGTTCTACGCCCGCAAACAGGGTTCGCGAAGGACACGTTCTCGATACATGAGCCATGCACCCGTGCTCGCGCGCAAGGAATCTCTTCCAGCGCTAGCCTGCGTTCTGCCGCTCCTCAATATCGTTTCCAGGGACTTGCGACTACTCAGACAGAGTCTCAGTCTGAGAATGTCTCACAGGGTGCACCGGGTTTAGATGGACACCCCGCATTTGATGAAATACCACCCGTATTGGAGCAGGAGAAGAGGCAAGAAGCTAATCGTGCAGCCGTTGGTTCTGTTGAAGCAGGCCACTCTGCAAGGCGCTCAGCACGGCTTGGCAGCACAAAAACACTTCCTTCACGCATGTCGCGTAGTCCTGGTGCTTCTGATTTGAAATCAAGTAGAAGTCCCTTTGTTTCTCCTGGTCCGTCAAATCGACATCCTAAGCCCCCATCACGCTATGCTCCTCAGCTTCGGAGACAAAGATCACTATCTCCTGTTTCACAAGACTCCTTCGCCGGGCCATTGCCTTTGGAGGATCAGGAAAAACTTTACATCCGGACAGCAAGGGCCTTCCACGTTCCTTTGAACCAGCTAAGCCAATCCCAGGAGTCTGTGGATGACAGAAAAGATATAAATAGTTCTCCAGGTAACACAGGTCATCCGTCTCACCTCTTTCCTCCCATCCTCACCACATTCTCTCCTTGCAGATAGCCCTTTAGCTACTGAGCATTCTCTGACAACGGAACCTATGCCCTCTGGACAGCTAGAATCCCAGGGATATGGTCTCACTGACGACTCCATCTACGGGGACCTTTCACTTGCACAGGGCCAAGGTGCAAATGCATTCTATGATGTAATTCTTTCTGTGCCTTCACCTACGTCTTCACCTGAATCGTCTGCTCCCTCATCTTCTTACTATCGACTCATGGACGGTGACTATGGCAACAGCAAGAAAGACAGTCAGGAACTCTTAGAAACTCAGCTTTATGAGGAGACCCAGCCGGTTGCCACTCAAATAACGCCAATCCAAGAAACTCAACCTACCACTGATCTTCACACTGTCCCTGATTCTGAGACCACTCCATCGGCTCAGCCTGGCACCTCTGTCGCGACAGGTAGCACTATGGCGCGAAGGGGTTTACTGGCATTGGTAGATTCTCGCAAGAAATGGAGAATACAAAACTACGAACAAATGCAGAGGGCCACGGCAAGTACCACGAACACACAATTGGACACGCAGTTGGACACTACAGGGGCTACGTATGGTGATACTGTTTGGCAAGACACTCAGCCGTCGGAAGATCCACCAATGCCCCGTAGGTCTCCGTTGGTCCCGCCGGCCCCGTCTTCTCGTCAATCTTCACCTGAAGCTCTCAGGCGCAGGGAGGAGGTGGCCACTGAAGAGATTCCGGATTCGGAGCCTCCACAACCAGAAGCATACCATGATTCGCCTCGTCTACCCATTGGGGTGAGTGGCATCCAGGGAAGATTCAGGGCCCTCTCAGTTTCCACTGTTTCTGAAGAAGAATCTACAATTCCCGGCCTTGTCGTCCCAGCTGTTATACCTGTCGAGGTACCGCAGAAGCAGGAGGTGGAAGAATCGAGCGATGATGAGGGAGATGATATCCCGCTTGCTGCAGTTGTCAAGGCGAATCCTGCTTCGAAGGTTGAAAAGACCCCTGCTCCGGGTTCCAGAGGCGAGGGTCCTCCTGCTGAAATGCCTCCTCCAAAGTCTGCTCCTCGCGGGCCACCTCAAAGTGCAGCAGCTACAAGGGTACGGCGTCGACCAAATAGCGCCGCTGAGCAGGATCCCAAAAATCTTGCCAATAAATCCTGGGAAAACGCCGTTATCCCTTCTTCTGAGCCTCAAGAGAACGCTACTCGGTCGTCTCTTAAGGCACCTCCGTCTAGCAATGCTGCCAAAACGAGCATTAAACCATCATCTCGTCCGATCTCGATGCGTAGCTTTGCTGATTCCACATCTACACTAAATCCCGTTACTCCCGTTTCTAATCCCCACTATGTATCTCGCGCAGGTTCCGAAGCTGAAACCGTTATCGGCGGGCCCGTCATGCGACCTCCTTCTGACAGCGTAGACCAGGCGACTGAACTTGCGGATGACGACCCAATGGATGTCGATTACGAATCTGAAGTTCAAACGCGGTCACGCAAACGCAAACGAACTGCTTCCGTCAAAGTCAAGAGGGAGCCCAAGTCCACGGTTAAGCGCGGGAACGTATCACCAACTCCTTCTCGTCCTCCTAAACGCCAAAAATCGGGTTCAGTTGCTCTAACGCCAACACGGGTATTTGCTCTGTGGAAGGATGACAACTGCTATTATTCAGCCGTTGTTCATGAACTTTCAAAAGGATCTATTGGTCGTTTTCTCGTCAAGTTCGATGATGGGGACAAAGACTATCTTGATGTCCGCAAGCTGCGTCTATGCCAGCTTCAAGAAGGCGATCACGTTCTATTTGACCATGGTGAGAGAGGCACAATCGTTGAGGTCTCGGGCGATGCTCCAAACGACACTGTGTTGGTAGAGGTCGATGATGGGGCAGCACTCATCCGTCAAAAAATGAGAGTCAGGGATGTCCGGATCGCAGGCCGCACTCTCCAGTCTGAATGGAAGGATCGCATGTTGCAACCTGACGAGATCATCACGGCCGTTCGTCCCAGAGCGGTGAAACCATCACCGGCACAGTCGAGGATGTCGTTGGCCAGTGCAGGGTCTTCCAAGAGTATTCGCAGCAGGATCCTCGGGAAGACTGGATTTGTAATTACTATGTCTCCTGGTAACAGTGACTGGGACTCAGAGAAGAAAACGATCATGGCGTCTGTGAAAACGTCTGGTGGCCATGTCTTTGACGATTGGGGACAGGTCTTCAAGATGGAGGGCAGGTCATCACAAGGCGGTAAACGCTGGATAATCGAGGAGGGCGATGTGACCTTCATGAAACCCGAACTTGACAGAGTCTTCCTACTTTCCGATCAATGCAATCGCAAACCAAAATTCCTCATAGCTCTTGCGCTTGGCATTCCCTGTCTGTCCCTTGATTGGCTGGAGGCTTGCATCCGCGAAGTACGTTCGCTGTTCTTTCTTTCGCTAACACAATGTCTAACATACGCTTCTCAGAAAAACGACGTAGACTGGCACCCGTATTTACTTCCCGCCGGTATGAGCGAAACGCTGGACGCTCGTGTCTCTCAGTTTGTTGATTTGGACTGGGGAAGTAGTCACTCTCATCTGCACGATATAATGGCGGACAAGGTTCCGGCCAAGCTATTCCGTAAGAAAAATATCGTCTGTCTCTCCCCCGATTTTGTACCAAACATCACGAAAGGGGTGCGTACCTTCATTCATGAAGGGTGTTCTTTATTAATGACCTACTTTCCTTCTAGGGAACCTCAGACGCAGATAGGGCGAAGGAGGCCACTGGGCTCGTGCCCAAGATCATTCTCTGCATGGGTGCCTCTCGCGTAGAGGCCGTACCAGATGGGAAATATGCGTCTCAATCTCTGAAACAATTCGACTATGTCATCGTCAAAGAGGAGGGAGAGGTTGCACCTCTCCGCCTGAAGGGCGTTCCATGCGTACATTTCGGCTGGGTCAAGGAATGCCTGGTTGCGGGAAGACTTCTGGATTTCGAATGGGACTAGACGTATTGCTTGATTGCTCCTTTCTTGTGTTTTTTCTTGCTTTCGCATTGTCTATTGCTATCCTTGCTCATCCACTGTAACGATTTCATGTATATTTGGCTTTTATGTCGGGCCGCGACATCTGTATATACCTATCTCTTCTTGGATCACGCCTATTTCTTGTACCTCACCTATTTCTTGTACCTCACCGAAACAAAAAGCTTGCAACTAGACCAGGCATGTATCCTATAGCTATACCGATGTGCTGTTTCTGGTAAACACAACGCGCCCCGCAAGCGCCCATATCTTGCGCTTGTACCGCGTTCACGACCTCAAGCAGCTTACATATTAACTCGGACTTGACAGCACACTCAGGTGTCTGCTTCTATAGAGTGTCCCCCATAGAATACTTGCTGATACAGCTAACTGACACAGCTACTCCCATCGGTTAAGTTTGGGAGATGTCTGAGCAAGAGTTTGAAGTCGGTGCGTGGAGGTCCTGACATACATCCCGCGTATACTAACTGAGCTGCAGAGAATATACTTCAAGCGCAAGTAGGAAAGAAACATGGAAAAAGAGGTTGGGTAAGTCCTTCGACGCGTCGTGCAAGCACCATCCTGATGCTGATGATGACCTTAGCTATATCTTGTGAAGGTACGTTACCACTTTCGGGATGACGGGTAAGGACGATATTTAGGTATTCGTAACTCCTTCTCCAGTGGAAAGGATATAATAGCGAAGAAGATAATACGTGAGTTGCGACTCGTTGCTTTAGTGCGGAAACTGATGCTTGCTTGCAGATGGGAACCAACGGAGTCTTTCGACGAAGGCTCACAACACTTCATTGAGACCTTCTGGGCTCGAGCCAGGGAAGATAGGGATTATAATGACATATCTCTGTTCAAGTCAGGCGAAGTGATAATCCCAGTTGGGCCTCCCCCCAGTATGAATTCCGTGACTTGTCTATTTCTTTTTTTCTGACACAAGTTTTCGTTACAGAACGTCGTAATCTCAACAAGAGACCCGTTCTAAATCCGAAACCAGCTCAACCAGTACCTGGACCCAGTATGCCAGCAGATTCGGAGAGCGAAGTGAAATCTTTAATTGAAGAAAACTCTTCTCCTCGTAGGAACAAACGGCAGAACGCCGAGGTGGATGAGCCAATCAAGACGCCTGTTACGAAGCGGAAGAAAGGACGAAAAGAAGTAATAGAAGTGGATAAGTTCGAGACGCCACAAGCAAAGAAGTCATCGCTGTCTCGACAATCGTCCGTGTCCAAGCAGAAGAAACGGCGAGGCCCTCCTGGCATTCGTCCAGACGCTTTGCAAAATCAAGAAGGGCCGTCGTCTTCTCGCCAAAAGCTGGTAGAAATGACACTGAGCGATGATGAAGCCAATAATGCAGACGTTGAGAAGATGATTACCGTGCCGGATGCAACAAACTCGCCTACGCATGGCTCTCTTTTTGGAGACGATAGCGAGCCTGAACCGTTACCAGTAGGACCGCCGAAGAAACGAAAGACTCAACCCGAACCTCAACTGTTGCCTATAGGTCCCCCGAAGAAGCGGGTCGCAGCGCAGGCGAAAAGTGATATACCTGCTCATCGAGCGCGGAAAAATAATCCGCGAGTGAAACTCTTGGACGACAATGTGTTTCCTGAAGGATATGACGGAGCTATCGCCACGAAGGCGAGATTCCTATCGAGCAAGGGTGAGTCTTGCGCTTCTGAATTTCTAAAGAGGAGCCTTCATCTTTTTTTCTGATATGCAACAGCTGGCAGTTCTTCAACGAGGGACAACACTAGAGTTTCTAATGGCGTCATCTCTGGCAGCACTTCTTTATTGACTGCCGCCAAGGGAAAACTGCAGACAATGACGGGGAAAGTGAAGGGCCTTCTTGGTGTTTCCAGCCAGGATGATACTATCTCGGTCCCTACATCTGACCCCAACGAGGACGTACTCATGATAGTCGACCAGGACCCCGCGACGCTCGTGGCCAGTGAACCTCCTGCTCCTAGTGTGCCTTCTGCTAAGGAACTCTTGGATATGGCCGGCTTTGATGCTGCAGCCGCCCAGGAGCTGTCCGACTTCGAGGATGGTGATGAACCGGCCGTGCCTGCGGAGACGACCGCTAACCCGGGCGAAAAGTAAGCACACAACTTGAAGTAACTTGAAGTATACTGATGCCTATTCTACCGTGCTATAAAGATCCAGAGAAGAAGAATCGGAAGTCAGTCCTACGGCACCTGCTGAATCGCCGTCCGTTGGCTCTGGTCATGTTTTCTCTGCAGGGTGGCGGTCGAGTAAGGTCCTTGGAGCGGACTCAACCATCTTCGGTCCACTGTAAGTCAGCCACTTCTGCTGCTTGGTTGTTGCCTTGACATACGATCACAGGAGTTACAGTCGGAGCACTCTCGGACTCTCCACAGGGTGGGTCTTTCATAGAACACATCTTTTGGGGCATCTCACTCAGTTGATCAAGCAGTGCCGAGCCTAATCATTCGAAGAAGCTTCTTTCTATCAAGCTAGACTCTGCGACAGATGTTCCTGTAGTGCTCAAGGACGTCCAGCCGCCTCTAGACCCACGATTGAAGCCTCTTGACGAAGTTATTGCAGGCGCCACTGAAGGTCCTTCTGGCAAATTCTATAAGGGAGAAAATGCTCCTACGCTCATCGCAACGCTGCGAGTGGAAGGTTCATGCGCCCGTGTTGCGTTGGATGACAATGTCTCAGAGGTGCAAAAGAAGGACTTCGAACGCTTCCGCACCCGCCTACAATCAGGAGAGCTTGTAAGTGGATCTGACAGCTCCACATTCCCTTCTTACTCAATCGTTTGGTACGGGTAGTTCGTGATCACCGTTGGGTCCAGCGTACTTGCTTTATGCTCGTCGGAGAATCATGATCTTTGCACCAAGCTAGGGATGTCTCCGAAGTTGGTCGGGCTCGGTGACAATGTGTTGGTGACTGAGGTTGTGATTGAGAACGACGGGGCTTTCTGCGATGCGGTCCTTCACGCGGAGGACGAACGTTGGTGACCTAACTGCACCTGTTATTTGATTCTTGCATTCTGTACACTGTATGCTGTGCCCCACTTGTTATTACATGCTGATTTCTTGCTTTGCATACTCCGCAAAGTCGAATGGAACTTGTGCAAAAATGCAACTCCAAGTAGAGCACGTGAGAATCACGACCACGTGCTGACATGATTATTGGATCATTCGCGTCTCGCGATGCCACTTTCGCAGCGTCCACAATAGCCACTATACTCCATCTATCCAGACATGCTTAAACGACAGCCGACGACTCCAGATGGAAAGTTTGTTGATAACAGACTACAAGACAGCACCCGTTTGAACAAACCTTTCAAATGCCCTACACTAATCGTGCAAAGGGAACAGCCACAAAGGAAACACAAACGAAAGTCTTACAAAGGCGCAGATGGTGATGAAGATGGCGATGAGTCGGATGATGACTCAAGACGAAAGACGAAGAAGAAGAAAACCACCAAAGACGGAGCATTCGAAAGCCCTCGAGATAATAATGTCAGGCACTACCCAGTATACAAGCCAAAACCTTTTAATGAAGTATCAGGCAAATTTGCCATCCCCGCCATGCGTACCGCGGATGGAGAGATTGTACACAAGACTGTATCCAACATCTCGCTTGGCATTCGACCCGTTGTTAATATTATTCCTCGTCCTCTGTTCGATCCCATGGAAGACCATGCGCTCGTCCTGTATGACCCTACCATTGACGATCGGGAAACTGACGAAGAAAGAAAAGAGAGAGAAAAGGAAGAAGCTAAGGAACGTGCTGCTAAGGAAGCGGAAGAGAAGAACGCAGGTCTTTACAATCCGCACAAGCCCTTGAAAGAGCTTCTCGGCGGCGGAAAAGACAAGAAGAAGACCGGCAAGGTAGCCGTAGTAATTGACCCTCGTCTCACGAAAGTGTTGCGGCCACATCAAGTGGAGGGTGTCAAGGTATGTCTCATACATCTAAGTCATGGACGTTCATTGATCCCAATCAGTTCTTGTATAAATGCACGACTGGCATGGTGGTCGAGAATCAATACGGTTGCATCATGGCGGACGAAATGGGTCTCGGAAAGACGTTACAATGCATTGCTCTTATGTGGACATTGATTAAGCAATCTCCACGTGCTGGGAAGCCTACGATAGAGAAATGTATCATCGCTTGTCCATCGAGTTTGGTCAAGAACTGGGCCAATGAACTTGGCGAGTATCTCCATTGAATGCTCGTTGCAAAATGCTCATGTGTTTCGCACTTTATAGTTAAGTGGCTTGGTAAAGATGCCATCTCTGCGCTTGCAATCGATGGGAAAGGTACTAAGAGTGACATGTTGGCGAAGGTCGCCAGGTGGGTCGCTGCAGGCGGACGCAATGTCTCTCAACCAGGTATGTCATCCTAAACAATAAGACACAAGTGCGCTGATTACCATACGTGACAGTCATGATTGTCTCATATGAGACTCTGCGTACACTCAGTGTTCACCTGGCCAACTGTCCAATAGGGTTGCTTCTGTGTGATGAAGGACATCGCCTGAAGAACTCCGGTAATTATTTCCTCCTTGACAATACACTCAGACGCTTGCTGATCAACACCGTGCAGAATCATTGACTTTTCAAACTCTGAATGGGTTGAACGTCAAACGACGAGTAATTCTGTCAGGGACACCCATACAGGTTAACGAGCTGTGTCTATCCAGCATGGGCATTCATGACTGATAGTTCTCACAGAATGATCTTTCAGAATATTTCTCACTCCTCAATTTCGCTAATCCGAACTTCCTCGGGTCCAAAAACGACTTCAGAAAGAACTTCGAGAACGCTATTATCAGAGGTCGTGATGCAGACGCTAGCGACGCTAACAAAGCTGCATGTGAGAAGAAGCTCAAAGAACTAGGAGGACTCGTCGCCAAGTTCATCATTCGCCGAACCAATGACTTGCTCTCGAAATACTGTAAGCCTTCGCCTATTCGTTACGACATACTTTATCTGACAATGGGCAATTAGTGCCGGTCAAGTACGAACAAGTCGTATTCTGCCATCTTTCCGACTTCCAGTTGTCCCTGTATCGTTTGTTCATTAGCTCTCCCGAGATTCAGGCTCTCCTACGAGGGACAGATTCTCAGCCTCTTAAAGCAATCAATATCCTCAAGAAACTCTGTAATCATCCAGAGCTTTTGGATTTACCAAATGACCTGCAAGGCTCCGAACCGCTTATCCCAGAAGGCTTCAATGGAGCAGGTGCGAGTGCCAGAGACCGAGGACGGAACCAAACCGTCAACTGCCAATGGAGTGGCAAGTTCATGGTTCTAGAACGGTACGTACAACTTACCAATGCTTTTGCATGCTGGTATCTGAGTAAGGACGCCAGATTCCTGCATCGAATAAGGACCGAGACCAATGACAAGATCGTCTTAATCAGCAACTATACCCAGACACTGGATCTATTTGAGAAGCTGCTCCGTAGCAAGAAGTCCGTATGTTGAATCCTATGATGTTCTCACTACTAACCTTTGGTTAGGTATGGATACTTCCGACTTGATGGATCCATGAGCATTCCAAAGCGGCAGAAACTTGTGGACCAGTTTAATAATCCCGAAGGCAAGGAGTTCGTGTTCTTGCTCAGTAGTAAGGCTGGAGGATGTGGTATCAACCTCATCGGTGCCAACCGCTTGATTCTGTTCGACCCTGGTAGGTGGCATCGGTTTACATAGGCCGAACTTTTGTTGAATTGTGCTGGCCTCAGACTGGAACCCGGCAGCTGACCAGCAGGCCCTCGCTCGTGTGTGGCGTGATGGTCAGAAGAAGGAGTGTACGTGAACGAACAACCTACTTCCTACGGCCTCATCGCTGACCCTGTGTAGGTTTCGTGTATCGGTTCATATCGACTGGAACGATCGAGGAGAAGATTTTCCAGCGTCAGGCAAACAAGCAGGCCTTGTCTTCTGCAGTTGTCGACGAGAAGGAGGATGCCGAGCGTCATTTCTCAATTGATTCGCTCAGGAAATTGTTCCTTTTCAACGAGGATACTATTTGCGAAACACATGAGACATTCAAATGCAAACGGTGCAGTAACGGTAGACAGCTTAGGAAGGCGCAGGCGTTGTTATACGGGGATGCTAGCACGTACGTCGCGTATACCTTTTTCTATGTTTCGCGTGAAGTGACATTTCATACAGCTGGAACCACTTCACCAATACTGAGCTCAAGAATAATCACGATGATCTTCTTCGAGCTGAAGTCGGCTTGCCGCAGGTTTCATTTGTCTTCCAGTATATCAGTCATTAGATTTTTTTTCCACAGTCGCGTTGGGTTTGCTAGATTCCTTCGACCTGTATTATATTCATATACAACTGTAACATACCACGGAACAAATATACCACGCATCCGATGAACACCAAGAAATGACACCTCCATGAAACTAGAAATACAGAGATTTTGTTACACATTGACATGATAGATCATAGATGACTCCAGACTCGACAACGTACGCTCAAATCTCTCATGTAACGACATCATCCCAGTTTCCCCACTGCCCGGCAACGGGGCGTACTTTTATCTTCTCACCGGCAACACCGAAGTAAGCTGCACCATACCAGCTTTTCATTTCCTCTTCGCTGTATGGGCCAAACACCTGACCATCTGGGGCTGAAGCGTCAGGGACATCCCATTTATACTCGTACTTGACATCGGCAGACGGCGGAACCCAAGATTCCTCGACTTTGCCTGTGGACCTAATGGACCGTACAAGTTCCTCGTACGTTTTTGAATAGATGTCGGTGTCTCCGAGGGACATTAATGTCGAAGCGAAGTGTGTGATTTGGTCAATGTCTGCTTGTGCCTTCGTTGCCTTCATAAGGTCGGAGTGGATGTCAACGACCATCGCGCTGCTGTCGAGGTCCCCCTTCATTTTATTGTTAGGTCTGCGCAGAGTGATCATCGTATCATGAAGTATTATGGAGCAGTCGAAAGGACTTACTTTTTCTTCGTTGCGGGATGTTTCCTCTTCGCTTTAGCACCCAACCGTTGCAAAGCTTCGAGCACCGTCTCCCCTTTCTTGAGCATCCCGATCAACTGCTTCTCCACTTGGTCTTTACCACCCAATTGTTGGAGCTCCTGTTCCTCCGCTTCCATCTTCTCCCTCTGGATCCGCTCTTGCTGTTGATGACTCCTCCTCGCCCTCTTGATCTCCTTCTCATCCAAACCGTCCATCCAACGATCATGAACGGCGTGTGGGTCAAAAGTACGGACGTAAGTCCCGTCAGCAGCGAACTTTCCTTCCTCCATTTCTTCCCGCATATTGAACGACGAGAGCTCGAAGCCCATGCCAGCTTTCTTCCTTCTCTCAACATCATCTTCGTCCTCGGGCTCCTCTTCCTCTTCATCCCCTGATTGCGACCCTGTTCTGTAAAATTCCTGGCCCTCTATATCCCCTAGCCGTAGATATTCCGCCTTCTTCTTCTTCCCAACCTCTTCAACTTTCTTCTCTTCCTTCTCACCTATGGCAAACATATCTTCATCCTCGTCAACGTCTGCACCGCTCACGCCTGCTCTTCGACTGGGAACGACGCCTTCACCTTCATCGCTGGAATCAGATTCGTAACCTTCTGTCTTGACACGACCTTTGCGGTGAGCAGAAGGCGTCTCGAGTTGTGCGTCTACTTCTTCTGCGAATTTGAGTGGGTCGTCTGCTGGTTCTACGAAACGGGTTTTCTTGAGAGAGGGTCCAGCATCGCTGGAGGCAGCAGACCGCTTTTGAGCAGGACGAGGGGGCATGAGGAGGAGGTTGTGAGCAAGGGGTGCGAATGATGGCAGTTCAAGAGGTGCTTACCTCAATCATGCTTAGGAGCGCTCCTCGATCACGATCGTTATAGGCGCGCAATCGAACCGCACGCGCCGCTGCCTCGAAACCTGGCTCATCCTAAGTACCGGTTCTCGTTAGGCTCTCTACTTCTTTCCTCCACGACTTCTTCTCTCTAGTACGTACCTCCTCCTTGCTTGCCACTGCAGCGCTCTAACGTAATACCTATCCTCGATGTAACATCTTGCTCAGAGATGAAGTGGTCTTCTGGCTACCCCTGACTCTGACACCCCATCTTGCGCAACGCCTCAGATATACTATACATGTCATCGAATTCCAATGTACAGCTAGGTATCTATTCTACATCGATGAAAAAGTCATGCGCGAAGCTAAGAAACGACGACTACTCTGTCGCTATACTAGCATCGGTCGTAGGTACCCGCCTTCGCGAAGGTGTTGAAGGATCCCCGGCACCTGTCGCACCAGCACTGAGCAGGCCAGCTTCCTCTTCATTCAGGGTGCGTGATATTCGACGACCACGAACGTGTGCTTTCGGTCGGTAGATGAACGATTGTGTGACGATCGTGACATCGAACATGAGGGTACCACCGCTACCCAAGAGGTACCTGCTCGATCGTAGTACATCAGGTGCTGGAAGGGAATAAAATGTAATAGGTGAGTTACGTACGGTATGCTTTCTCGAATGAAAGCGGCGGATACAGGTGGAGGAAGGTCGAGTTTGGGTGAAGTGAGGATAGAGGCAACATAAAAAAAATTGCCGAGGAATGCAAAGACAAACAAGTACATGGAAAGACCCTGCGAACATACATTAGGCACGGTCATGACTGGCCTACAGGTGAAGTAACAATACCTCTACAGACTTCCTTGCGAACTGAGTAAGAAACGGGTTAGCTGGAATCAACAGATCAACCAACCATCAACTTACGTTCTTCCAAATCTGGGGCAGTCGCGATGTGAGATACAATGTCGTACATAACCAGGCTGATATTCGCCCAATGATGTAGTCCGTAGGGAGTGCTGGCTCATCAGGTAGGGGTGGAGGAGGAGGCTCAGTCTTGCGAGTGTTCTTATGCAGTAGTGTGACGGGTGTTGATGGGACCTCAATGATAGGCATAACGTGTGCTAATGGAGGTTTCACCACGACGGGGGGTATCGGTCTAGTGAAACCGGGTATCGCATAGTCATCTCCTGCAAAAACTTTGCCCAGTCGCAAACCACTGCTGGAAGGCAGCCCACGTCCACTACCAGCAAGCGTACCCACGCCAAATAAAGCCCAGACACCTAAAAATACCATTCCTGCGCCTTTACGACTGGCCCGAGAGTTACGTCTCTGCGAAGACGGCCAGTTTCCCGCGTTTTCGTCTAGCGAGGGTCGAGATACTGATCTTCCCCGATTTGAAAAATCGACTTCCTCAGTATTTACGGTTGGTGAAGTCATGTGAAGTGTATGATGTAATCTGGGGCCTGCTGGTGAAATTGTTGAAGCTCGACTTCGGCCTAAGCTTCCAGCGCGGCGCTCTGTACTCCACGAAATAGTCTTGCGATGATTGGAGGGTCCGTGTTCGGAATGGAAACTCTCCGCAAGGCGCGCAAGTGCTTGCTCATCCACCTCATCGTCGCCTACCTCGGGCTCTTCCCGATCAAGGGCTGTACTATGCCAGCGCATCTGTTCCTCCTGTTCAGCAGCGCGAGCGGCGGCCACCGCGACGTGAGCAGCGACATTGGATAATGTGCGATATCGAGCAGGAGCACGCTCGATAGACAACCGACGTGCGGTGATAGATGTTGCTCGAGCTCGAATGGGTAGGTAGCCGGAAGGCTTGCCTGAGGCGTAGTAAAAATATTGACTGAATAGCGTGAGGTCAACAAAGCAGAAGTAAACCGCCAGATATGTCTGGAACGGTAGCTGGTGGGTAAGAAGGCAGCCTACGAGATTTGAAAGGTCGCCTGCAAAGAATTAGAGGATGAGACCGCATGAGATTTTGTATCTCCAGACATTTTCCACGAAACTCACCTAGAAGCCAATTGACGAGGAAAGGCAAAGCGAGGCCATCTACTGACTGAAGGCGAATATTCTCCAGCACCTGTCTAAGAGCATGGACGTCATAGATGTAGTTTTAGTTTTCGTCGCAAATGGCGCAATGAACGTGATCACAAGCGTAATTGAGCCCGGCGCAATCACGAGGCGAGATTTGAATGAACTTACGGGAATTGTGCACCCAACCAACAAGCTATCGACGTATAGCCCAGAAAATCACTTAGAGAGTCGACGCCGAGCATTGGTCCAGGCAGAGAGAGAGAAAGGTCGTGTGCCGCTGCGGGGTAACAGAACAACCCATATCTGCTGGCCTGTGGCAATTCCGTATCTCTTATCTCCAGCTCGACGGAGCGCCCGTCCTCGACCTTCATCATTCAATCGAACCGCCGTCTACTTTTGGCATGCGTAGTGTTCAAGCTCCAAGCTTTTTCTATGATACTTGAAGCTGTGACACAGGGGGACGCTTGTTACAGCGCGAAAAAAACTACATCACACATCACACCATCAAATAGGTAAACATGAGGAGCCCCCCTCAAAGTCGATGCATTAAACAGATGATGCTGCTACACTGAGACAAAAAGGACTACGCTATACTAAGTTGGTCATGAACAAGATATAGCAAACGATTCGACATTAGATTCTTCCAATTCTTCACTGGGGAGGAACTTGCTGGGCTTGTTGAGCTTGTTGCGCCTGAAGTTGCGCCTGTTGCGTAGCACTAAAATCACATATCAATATCGCGTCGGGACGAATAAATATCGAATGAACATACTCGACAATGTTAGTGATGACGCCGGTCACGCCATCTACGATCCCGACAGTATTGTTAATGTTCTCAAGGGTGTTGCTGCTTCCGCCAGAGGGGCTGCTTCCACCAGAGTTGCTGTTTCCGCTGGAGGAACCGCTTCCACCGGAGCTTCCACCGGAGCTGCCACCACGACCACCGCGACGACGGCGGGCCTCAAGGTCACGAGCCTCAACCTCATACCTGTTTGAATATCATGAGCAAGGGTACTTTGAACTACTGAAGGACAGACATACATGAAGTCACGCCTTTGTTGAGTAGCACCATAGATGTTGGTAGCGATACCGGTCAAGCCATCAACGATGCCAACACCGTTGTTGACATTCTCAAGAGTGTTTCCGCTGCTGCCGCCACGACCGCCTCGGCGACGAGCCTCAAGGTCACGAGCATGGTTCATGATCAGATCGGTAATGTAGTCGTTGACATCACGAGCCTCGAGCTCAGGACTGTAAGAAATTAGATCAGATGGGTCCTTCATCATCAGACTAGGACCACATACATGAAGTCCCGTTGTTGAGTGGCACCATAGATGTTGGTGATGATACCAGAGAGGCCATCGGCAATGCCAACACCGTTGTTGACGTTCTCGAGGGTGTTGCCACCACGGCCTCCACCACGTCGGCGAGCTTCAAGATCGCTACGCCTCTGTGGTTGGGTGGCGCCGTAGATGTTGGTAGCAATGCTAGTCAGACCATCAACGGTTTCGACGACGTTGTTGACATTTTCCAAGGTGTTGCTAGAACCTCCGCCGCGGCCGCCACGACGACGAGCCTCGAGTTCGCTGCGCTTCTGTTGGGTGGCACTAATATTTGAATGTCAGTTTGTGACTACCAGAAGAAGCGACATTCACTAACCCGTAGATGCTGGTAGCAATGCCAGTCAGGCCATCGACGATACCAACGCCGTTGTCAATGTTCTCAAGGGTGTTTCCACCACCACGGCCTCCACGTCGGCGAGCCTCAAGGTCTGAACGCTTCTGTTGTGTGGCGCCGTAAATACCAGTGGCGATACCGGTCAGACCATCAGCGATGCCAACGCCGTTGTTGATATTCTCCAAGGTGTTGCTAGAACCTCCACCACGTCCACCTCGGCGACGAGCCTCGAGGTCAGATCGCTTCTGTTGAGTAGCACTACGAAGCAGTCAGGCTATGAGGATGAACGAATTGCGCCAATTAACATACCCGTAGATGTTCGTAGCAATACCAGTGAGGCCGTCGACGATACCAACGCCATTGTTGACATTCTCAAGGGTGTTTCCGCCACCACGGCCACCTCGGCGGCGAGCTTCGAGATCGGAACGTTTCTGCTGCGTGGCACTACAAGGACCTATTCAGCGTATAATCGAGGCCGGCGCATAGGTAAACTTACCCGTAGATACCGGTAGCAATGCCAGTCAGACCGTCAGCAATACCGATACCGTTGTTGAGATTCTCAAGAGTCTGTCCGCTGCTGCCTCCACGACCGCCCCTGCGACGGGCTTCCAATTCCTGGAAGTCACGTTGTTGATTTGCACTAGAGGGTTAAGTGAGATGGTGATTAAGGAAACGGGGAGCACGAGGGCTTACGCGGCAGCATTCGCAGCGACACTAGTAATACCGTCAACGAGGTCAACGGCATCGTTGATGTGCTCGAGGTGGCTAGACCTGAAGCGGCGAGCCTCATGCTCAAAGGGAACGGCGAAAGCAGGCACGCTAGAAGCGGCGGCAACGGCGAGAACAACGGAAGTAGAGAAACGCATTTTGAAACGTGAAGAAAAGATTAGAGGAAGAAATTAGAGTTGTCGTGAAAGTGTAGTCGTGAGGAAATAAGTCGTCAAGTGAAGCCAAAAGTCAAAAGAAAAATGCAAGAATGAACGAAGAAGAATCGGGGCTGAAATAAAAAGCATCATTGTAAGTGAACGGAATTCATGGCGCTGAGTGGAAGTTTACTGACCGACCAGCACCAAGATTCAGAAGAGACTTAGAAAGGGGATGGGGGGCTGAGGATTGTAGGACATGGTATGACACCTTTTATACGTCCAGCCCATCCTCCAAAGCGGTTATTCGGTGATCGGATAAAGTTCAGCAGCGCCTTCATTGACTGGCTTGGTATTCGCAAGCTCACCTTCTGTGCCCGAAACGCTCGGCACGGATGTTGTCAAGCTAGTGGTCCCGCATGTCGCGGTAATTTAGATGATTCCAATGTCATGAAGCTCACTAACTCTGATGGATGCTGTCTTCCTTATGCAGAGACAGCTGGATAAACTGATTCGCAGTTGTGACCTCTCCTGGAGCTGCGACTGTCGCGACTCTGGTCAGAAAAGCGAAACAGCTCGCGAAACCAGCTCCAAGAGGACTGTGGTCGTTTATCAAAATGTATTGCAAAGATGGGCCCATTAGACATCTGTTTCAATATAAACGGGCCATTTATTGACAGATTGGAGCTTACGACAAAGTAGGTGGTGCGATACAGCCCTTAGCATATTGTGGATACTTCCGTACAGCCCTACGAGCCTAAGGAGATATCTCGAGCCACATTGGGAGGGACAATATGCAGTCTCCCTTTGTCACTGATCCGACTAGCAGACATCATGCAATGTCCCCTCGATAGGGGTACAGCATCTCATGAGCCACATGATGAACGCTAAAGTAATACCAATACCTGCAAATGGGAAAAGAAATCATTTATCATAGGCCCATTTATCCGCAAAGAAAAGAAAGACATCTCACGTTGCACCAAACTTGACGGGGCCCACGACTCGGACTTGCGGAACTGTGTGTGCTTGCCAGTGGAAGAAAGATAGAGTTAGGTTCTCATGGGCGTCTGTCCTGATGCGTCACAATCAAGGCAACCAACAGGCAGGAGGCAAGCTCAGGCAACCTGCTGTTAACCAACGTGTATAGCACAACTGCAAATCCATTCTCGACTTTCTAATTTCCTTCCTCTATATAATATGCAATCCTGGCGGCCCAAAGACACGCCAACAGAGAGTCAGTCGTTTTTCAAGGCAAACCCGGATGAAATTGTGAACTTCCTCTTTCAATAGTCCATAGACAACAGCGCTAATGCCCTCCATCAGCGAGCCCTGGTGCTCGATTATCTTTGCCATAACGCCTTCTCCAATGCAGCTCGTGCATTTGTCAGGGATAGCGCCGTTAAACATCTTGATGCAGATGGTGATGAACTCATGTGTGCGTCGGATAAGGAGGAACCAAGAGTGGACACCCTAGCGCTGACGTTGGAGGAGAGACTGCTGCTTGCACAACGTCGGAAAGGTATGTTGAAAGAAATAGTCACATCGTCTGTACATTCTCGTAACATTAATCGTTCATTACAGACGTTTGTATCCATATCTTGTCGGGCCAGGTGGACGAAGCCACTACGCTCCTCAGCAGCTATTTCCCTACAGTTCTTTCAGAAGATCATGACATTCTTGCAGAATCTTCAGAGTCATCCCAACTCGCACATACCCCGAGCTATATTCCCGCAACCAGCGTGGACCCCACTCATCTTGCATTGAATTTACGCATACAAGCGTTCATTGAAGCGTCACGTACTGTGCCTTTGACCTACCATTCACCAGACGCCTCCTTTACTCTCGGTCCACCGTCACCCATAAGACGTGCGGAATCCTCATGTCGTCCAGCGAATGAAGACATAAGTGCTCATCAGGAAGCGCTCATTCACCGTGCACAAAGCCTCTATGCTGAAGCACATTGCCTCGCCAAACCTGTCGATCGCGCGCATTACATGAAAGAACTTGGCGATATTGGAGGGTTGCTTGTTTATACTGAACCGGAAAACAGCCCAATGGCAAAGTATCTTTTGCAAGAGCGTCGTGAATCTCTCGCGGACCAAATTGATAGTGCAATACTATGTACGTGAACCCATCCACTTCAACCTGTCTGTGTTTTAAAGACCCTTTTCGTTATACAGTCAGGATGCATAGGTTGCCCATATCAAAGATCGAGCTGGTGGCGCGATATACATCAACCGTCTGCTCCTTCGCGCGCGGGATGGGGGTCGGGCTACCACCTCCTGGACGTCGGCCTGCCGGATTGCATCTTCCACCCTCGTGGCAAGAGGCCCAGGTCGTTCCCAAACGACTAGATAGCTCAAACTCGGGTAGTTCTGCAAAGAAGGGCACTTCAGGTGGCAAGGAATCGAGCGAGGCAAGTCTATCGAGTATGCTCCTTCGTCATTCGTTTACTGACGCCCGTACTTGATAGCAATCCTTTCCTTTATTTGATCTCACTGAGTACGTAGACTCATAGGTATGACTTCTCTCCCATCTCTACCATTCACGCATATTGTACATCATCTCATTTTGGCTGTATCGGATAGTCTGTACTGTATCACAATCGGAGGATTTTCTGTCTCTACTTAACATCATTGCATATTATTAGTAACGAAATATACATTTATGATAAAGCTACAAATTCCACTTGTAAGTTCGCTATACGAATTACATGCCCTGACTAGTCTTCTGATATCCCCAAGATCATGACCATCAGCGTAGAATGCCTTCATCCACGCCAATTACTTCTACATCTGTCCATCTACCCTTATTGACCTTCGACACGATATTTTCTCCAATACCACACTCTCTGAGCCCAAGTACCTTGAGTCGCGTCCAGCGAGACCACTCCACCCTTTCAATCATCCTTTCACCTCCCCTTCCTGATCCCTGCACCGAAACAAATCTTCCAGACTCTTCCGAACTGACGACCTGCACATAACTCAACCATAGATTGTATGACAGGTCGAGTACCTCTAGGAGAGGACACACTCGAGGTAATCGGTGGATGGGTGTCGGTGATGGGAGCCCAAGAAGAGCCAGATGGGTGAGTGTCGGAGGTAAAGAGAAGAGCGTAGTCGCGGGTAAAGGGGTCGTCACTAGGGCAAGTGTGTTCAAAGGTTGTGATTGTTCCTCAGATGACCCTGATGACTCCCAAGACTCTTCATCTGATGGTCGCTCAATATCTTCGTCGTCAATGACATCCCGCTTTGTCCGTTCTGATTCATCAGCGGAAGCGAAGTAGTCTGCAGGCAATGCTGCTTGTGGCCCAACTACGATAAGCTCGCCGTTGACGTGACCATCGGGTTCGCATAGAGCGAACAGTTTTGAACTGGGGAGGGGAGAGTGGACGGCCGTCCAGCGTAAGAGTACATGTCGAAGATGAGGGGGAAGACATGGAACTAGGATTTCTGAGAAATGACGACCACGGCAGTAGTCCAGCAAAACCTGCAAGCACAGTTCTATCAGAGGTGGGATGCGTTTGTGTGACGAGCCAAATGTAGCGTCCTCGTAGTCATGATGCTCATTGGAAACATCAGACTCGTCGTAGGGTTCAACCTCACGAAGAGGTACCTGTGCAAACAATAACGACAGTACCCTTTCTCTCCAGGCGGGAGTTCCCCTCTCCTCAAACTGAATGTCTGTCGAGGTCTCACCTCGTGAAGGCGTGCGAGTAACGGGCTCCTCAGATGGGTGCCGACTACCTTCACCAGATGAGATAGATGGAATTTCCGCTATGGAGCCAAATATCTGCGAAATGGGAAGCGAATGCTTGATAGTCGCATGCTGAGAGATGGTTCTACTGGTGCGAGATGGCGAACCGCGGTCGAGGATGTTCTGAGCATGTCTGAAGTGCTCGCCCCTACAAAGGAATCATGAGATCGGGGCCATGTCTGTAATAATCCGACGTTACGAACCTTAAAGTATGTAGTAAGTTGGTTACTTCTCTTGATTGACGTGTGGTGGATATGTTGGACGGTTGCGTACTGCGATACGGCATACGCTGTAGTCCTGACTAAAGTTGATACCACCGACAAGGTGGTGGGTGGTAAAGAGGTATTTCGTTGCGATTACAAAGCGCGATGCCTAAGAACGATCACATCTGACTCCTTTGTCGAGTTGTGTTTGGTTTTGGAGGTGAACTAGTTCAAATGTTCAAGATTCGGTAGCGAGACAGTCAACGCACACTGACGTACCTAACAGAGGCCCCTGCAATATAGAACAGCCACCGAAATGATCGAGCCCGTATGCACTATTTAAGCGTTGTTCTTTATTGAAGCCGTCGCACCATTAATTCACATATACGTAAGATAGACGAAGAGCATGCTCTGCAAACATGTTTTGTGTGGGTCGTCATATGGGCATACAGGATACAGAGAATAATAGCAAGTCAAAGCGCATGCCAAGCATAACCCCCCTCGATGGTAAAAGTATGGCCCTGCGACCTCAATCCCGCATCGACACAGCAACATCCCTCCACCAATAATCTAGTTCATCTGTCGGATGAGCGTGTTGATGTTGGTCTCACGGTTACCGAAGTCACCGCCCTGGACGTAGTGCTTGAACTTCCTTTGTCTCCAGCCGCCAGTGGGGTTGGAGAGCTTGAAAGGCCAGAGGAAGTTGGATGCCTGGACATTCCAAAGTTAGACTACATCTACATTCAAAAGTTGTGAATACATACCTGCTTGAAGTTGGGTCCGGCAGTGAAAATTTCGTGGACGAGATCTTCCACGGAAAGAATGTCGTACTTGCCGAGTGACGCCTCGATGACACCGTTATCGGAAAGGGGGATGCGCTGCTTGTCGACTTTGCCGTAACCGCGCTTGTAGATGAGCTCACGAACAGACTTCAGGTTGGCTTCACCGTAAGTGACGTAAGGCTCAACGAGACGGAGCATCTGTTCAGTGGCCTTGGTGACCTTAACGAAGACGCCGTTGTTGATTTGAAGGAGACGCAGGAGCTGGAGGATCTTGCGGGGCTTAGGTGCAATCTCGTTGATACTGCCACAAAGGTAAGAAAACTGAGCTCACAGTCCGAGTTGGAGAATACTCACCCACGAATACGGACAACGAAGTAAACGCGAGCCTGCGCGGGGACATAGAAGTCGCCAGCGGTACGGGCAGCACGCTTGAGTCGGATCTCCTCCCTCTCCTTAGAAAGGTACTCCTTCACATGTGCCTCGGCACGCTTGAAGACGACCTTTCGCTTTGCCTTGGCTGCCTAAACAGAAACAGGTACTAGATGATTAGTATCAAGTTTCCAGTCGTTCTCGTCACAGAAAAAGGCAATTGAAATAAAGATCAGTCCCGAAAGATGGTATGTTTCTGACAGCATCGAAGGAACAGAGTTCCAACTAGCCACGAAGTAAATAGTATGCATCATATTGTAAAGTAAAAGCAATGTAACCAAGAAGGACAGGAAACACACCTTGCGGGCAGCAACTGCAGCAGCGAGGCGCTCCTCCCGAGCCTTTTCATTTTGTTTGCGCTTCTTGAGGAGGGTCTCCGGGACCTCGATGTCCTGTTAGAAGCAGATAGTACAGTCAGAACCTCTGCATAGATTCGCTTCAGATCGCCAGAAAACGGACCGCGACACTCGGGACGCTACAGAAATAGCAAAGACATCAGAACAAGATGGTCGCCGGCAAAGAAATAAAGAGCACGCACGTAGTTGAGGGGGCCATTAGGAGGTCTTGAGGATTGTCGTACTTTCCGCCGTACAGCGTAGTGGACTAGCTAGACGCAGCGCCCGGTGGCTGCCTCCAACTGTGCAGTTTTTCATCAAAACTCCCACGACCGCAGGAGTCTGGAGAAGTCTGGTCTTCCCGATTTGGCAGGCACTCACGTTGACTCTCCAAGCCATTCCTTGATATTAATGTACACTATGGAGCTACAACAGAAAAAGTCCAAGAACCACCACAAATACATTGATATGCCCATGTTCTCTCCCATGCCCGCCATCGCAATGAAATATGATCGCCGACTTTACCATCGCTCACCTCATACCTGCCCCCACATCGTACACACCTCAAAATTGTACCACGATGAAGTAAAACACCCTTAGTGACAATATCTCTGTCCTTCTCCTTCGCATATTCGGCTGCAGGCCATTGGTAAATAGCATCGACAAGGTCTGCCGCTTTAATGAAGAGCTTTTGTCGATTGACTGTTTTCGAGCTGCAAATCTTCTCCACAATCTGCTGTATCTGAGGCCGAAGCGAAGGTATGGGGGAGAAGCTCGCTAGGCATTGTCGTAGTTCAGATGCTGAAAGATACTGATTCAGTCTACAGGTCTTCATGATTAGACATTGACAACTCAAACTTACCCGAAATTGTTGCCGAAATAACCTTGACCTCTTCTAGCACAGAGCTAAGTGCATCCACGTCAACACCAGAACACGCGAACGAATCCATAAGAAGCTCTTTCGCCATTTGAGCATTCTCCACTTTCGGGCTAAGACTCTTGAGATCGTCACGGAGGCGTTTCACGTGAGATACAGTAGATTGTAAATTGTTCAGCGGATAGCGATGCAGGAAGTGCAAAAGACTAGAATTGGCGAGGCCTACTGGTATCGTGAATTAGGGTCTGCTTAGAAATACATCTTGAAAGCGTTACTCACGTGGAATGGCAGATACTTGTGTCTGTGCGTTCGCAAAGTTATCGCCGATGGTTACGCAGTCTTTGATGAGTCTCTCCAGATAGTCCTTGAACCACATTGCCAGCCCAACTAGTTGCCATATTGCCTCTATTATTAATATAGAGCTTGTTAATGATTCTCATGTACATAGTTTTTGTCAAGACTTACCTAAGTCATAAGAGTCTCCGTCTCGACAATCCGAGAAAGCCGTTTCAAGCGTAGCGACAGAACACATGTCATGAAGACTCGTCCACTGAGCCTCCAGCAATGCCTTCTCCGCGGAATCAGGCGCCTTCAAATATTTTCCACTGAATAGACCAGTCAGCAATCATGTTAACTTGTACATCATCTCGCCAAATTACGAGAACATACCGAGCGATCTCAGTTGCAACCCCTAAGACTTCGTATAACCACACGTCCGAGAGACCAAACGAATTATTCTCGAGTATGGCCATCGCACCCACCAAGCTACTGGAAAGCAGACCATCAGGACTTGAATTCGAAATCAACAAACTGACAATATCCGATAGCGAGCTGTGAGCTAATACAGCAGCGGCAAGAAACCTGGCAAGGTCTGCTCGAGATTCAGCATTCGGACCAGGAATGGGCTTTCTCCTGGGAAGAGCGTGGATTGCAACGCGAGGTTCCGGGGTGAACGAAGACATGCAAAGTAGGACATTGTTTGGAGACGTTGCAAGACCTGCTGGCACTGAAACATATTTCTGACATCAACATGGTCCCAACAAAAGAGAACTACTGCTTACCATCTCGTCCTACGTAGTCAGTTATTGACATGATTGGTGATGACTCCCAGCGGTCATCATTGGTTAGATCAGGCCTTTATAACGCGCTTGAGTAATCTGAGAAGGATACCGTCTAAGAGACTCACAAGCTCAATGCTACAATGTTTCCTATCGATACTTCGTGTGGTTTCTTCTTGGACCGTCTATACGTACCGGAAAGATCCAGGAAACCCGCGAAGACATTCGTCTTTGAAGGTGAGGGTATCAAGAAAGCGAGAACAGCCGTAGTGAACGTCCGGGTATGCTCCTTATACAAACTCTATTGTCTCCGTTAGATTTTCATCAAGACACCTAATCAAGAAGCATACCCAGCGAGAAGATGCCGCAGGGTTGCGAGTAAATGAATATATGGTAACTTCCGATTGCGGCGGAGAAGTATCTGATGAATGAGGTTAGGATTCCAATTCATTGACGCACAATGGTACTTGGGGTTACACACAGTCAACACAGTTGATAAATGTCGCAGCTAAATATATGCTGCCACGCTTGTCAGCTTGTTCCTTGGCTTGTCGTCGTGGATCCTTGGTGGCCATGGGCGATGCATTACCAGGCGGTTCTGGCTGACTACAGAAAAATGTCAGGTCGGCGATGCGTGAACCTGGACGTGATATCGGTGGAAGGGGTTTAGTTGAGACTTCTGAGACAAATCAATCATGAATACTTGAATAACTGAATGCGGGTTTGAGAGCATTACATACGCGTAGGTGCACCACCCTTTCCTAATGTCACTTCACAGAGTTCAATCATAGCCTCTTCACCCCAGATCTCCCACAAATTAGATTGTGCAGTCGAGGTAGTATGTGCGGCCGGTAATGGTTGATCCAAATCAAGGGGAAGAACCATATCCAAAGGGTGGTCTGAACTTGGGTCGTCTGGAGGAAGTAAGTGGGAGCGCATGGCAATTAAAATGGAGGGATCTATATTCGAGATGTTCATAAGATCATATAGCAGTAGAGAATCGACAGACACATACCATTATAACTCAACCCAATAGCTGCAGCAATGCACACGTGTCGTCCACCGAGCGAGGTACCCTCAAGGGGAGGCGATGTACTTTCACTGGCGGTAGTCGATTGCACTAACGAAGTCCTCAGAATCTTCACTGATGGGACGGAAGGAGGTAGCAAGCAGACATTCACATCCCGTGATTCTGTGACTAGCAGTAGAATAGGACTGTTGAAAGGCAATGTCGGGCCAAGAGGTGGCAATCTCGATGCCGTGCCTGAGTCGCTGACAACCCACTGAGTGAATGAACCATCAACTCTAGATTCGTACATAGATGTGACGAGGGAGAGCTCACCTCCCTATGTGACGTGACCCATGCAGCGGCGACTATGCCAGCTCCATGTGCCATACTCCAAGAATCCCCAATGGTCCATGCATCCAGATGTAGACCTCTATGCCAGAGGCAACCAATGTTATCCTTGGCGCCAGAAAAGTACGCAAAGAGCCAGTCATCATCCGGTGATATGTATATCAATGTAGGTGGGCTGTATGAGTCGGGGTCAAGCCGAATAGCCTGTGGCACTGCGAGCTCGAAATGTCTTGAGGAGTTGAAATGGCGGGCGAGGACCAGAGGTTTCGTGTGATGGGCAGAGAATATCACGGAAGACTTAGACCAAGCGAGAGGTCTATTTACATTGTAATACGTAGTCAGTGCGCATCTGCGACAGACCCATTTGCATGTCATACATACCTGTGCGCTCGATCGAGCAATGGTGAGAGCTCCCACCAACCCAGTTGCCAGTGAACATCCTCCCTCGCCTTGCCCTTGGAAGAAGCCATAGTACTGCAATATATGGACGTTGATTACCGTTTGAAACGAACTTTCACAACATGAATGAGCACAAGCGGGGGAAGACGCGTTGGCCTGAGATTGAAGACAAACATGCGGCATTTCAAATTGCCGTTTCGGGACTCATCTGCCTTAATATGGCAATGGCTTCTGCAAGAGCCTCCGTCGTTGCCGAATTCTGGCTTTCTTTACGACTCTCATCCTGCAGATTCACCACCTCTGCTTCGCTAGGGCAGAAACAAACTATGTTGCAGACTACAAAGCTCACGCGGGAAGTCGATGGTATACCAACCGAGGTCGTCATACAAAGATTCGTTGACTGTACTCTGCTACTGATCACGCAACTGGGCAAAGTTGGCAATCTGGTAAGTCGATCAAAGGATTTCTCTAAGTTTTTGCCATGAGGCCCCCTCTTAAATGCGACTTTCAAAGATACGAGCAAGGATACCTGCTACCGCACCACTGCTACCAACCCCTGCTCCCGATCCTGATGAACCAAATGTTATTCCATTACCGCCTCCATCCCCGGCAATAGAACTCACACCCCTCCTCGGAAATGCACCATCTGAGCATATCAGAACACTCCATTCTCTCTATGCTTCACAGGCTGCGTCCCTGGTCTGGGCGTCCGATACGTCTGGTCTGCTTGAAGTCGAAAGGAAGGATGTGGTGGTGGGCGTCGCGCTTCATCGGCATGTTGGTACAACGTTCGAAGGTTCGCCGACGGAACATGAGCGTGAGGTCTTTCATGGTGTCATGGCTATGGTGAAGGAGGTTGTGTCTCGAGAATAAATTGCTTTTACACCCAGAATCTGGAGTGGTGGAAGGAGGGCCTCGAAATGAGCATTCACCTTCGAAGCATCTGTGCAGGTCCCTCATTTCTTCTCTTCCGCCACCTCTGCGAGAGCCTTCCAATCAATCGTCTCCTCGTCTGAACCAAGTTTAGCCTCCTTCTCCCTCTTGTTCTTCTCCAATTTCCATTTGACGAGTTCCTTGAGTCGCTCTTGCTCAGGCAATGCCGTACGAGGGTGCGTCTCGTATAGATAGTAAGCAAATATACCGGTGCAGACACCCAGGATAGGATCGAGTGTTCTGTGCCGTTGTTTATGTTGTCAAAATAGAACTTAAGGGAATAATAACATATGTCTCACCGTGATAGGAGAGGGGCCATGTTGATGTGAAACAATTGAATGTATTGACTAGCGTTGTATATCCCTTGTGTGCTCAACGTCCTCGACGGTGAGAAGGACGTGAATGTCGCGCTGTGAACGTCAGAAAGAGCGTGTCATCCCGACGGCGGAGGCAAGCGCGTGGGCGGCGAGAACCCTTCCGGTTCATTTGCGTCCAAATTTTCCCGAAAAGGTCCGGGCTTGCACATTTCAAGCTATTTCAAGTGGCTGCACTCACTTCCCCGCACTGTATTCATCGTTTGACATACATTTCCAACTTTCCCTTGTCGAAGCTTTGCTTAGCTGAAAGTGCGTTGGACCTGGATGTCGACCGCTTTAGATCGTCAAATTCGTCCGATCTACGGTCTGTCATATAATGGCTCATTGTCATCATACTTGTGCTTACATTAGCCTCAGATGCTCTCGACACTCAATCCAACAAGTCGGCTGTGCTGGCTTGCAATAAAGTACTCAAAAAGCAACCTAATAACGTGCTAGTGAAGGTCAGTGCTTCCTTTGTGGTTTTTGCTGTCAATACCGACTGGCTGTCTGCAGGCTTTGAAAGCTCTTGCACTCGTTCGTCTTCAAAAAGTGGAGGAGTCATTGCTTTTAGCAGATGAGGTCCTTGCGAAGAAGCCTACTGATGATGGAGTGCTCACAGCTATGATGCATGTTCTGAGGGGTCTCGGTCGACGTACGTTCTACAGTATGACTTTCTTGCCATAAGTATTTACGGATGTTTCTACAGACTCGGACATCGTCGCTATGTTTGAGACTGCTTACAAGCAGCATCCACAAAATGAGGACCTCGGGACCCAGACGTTCTTTGCTAATGTCAGGGTCGGCAATTGGAAAGCTGCACAACAGGTACCGCTATACCTCGTGCTGAAGTCCTTCCACTATCACTCATCGACCATGAATACTTGAATAGGTTGCGACTAAGATGCACAAACAGTTTCAAGATGACCGATACCTATATTGGAGCATTTTCAGTGCAGTACTTCAGGTTCGTCTGAATGAATACTCTCCGTGTCGAGACCTCTGTGTCTGATACATGTATCGTTTACAGGCAAATGATATGGCAACTCCGGAAGCTTTACGACCAGTCCTTCTGAAACTCGCACTCAGGCTCATTTCGTCCGGAAACACACCATCCTATTTCAACCCTGACCGATTTTACGTGCACCTACTCATCCTTCGCGAATTAGAAATGTATGACGATGCTGCTACCCTCTTGAACCACGAGATTGGCCAGAAGATATGCGAAACAAGTCTTGTTTGCGACGAAATTCGACGTGACATCATGAAGTTAAAAGGTGCATGTAAACAAGAGGGTGAGCAGGCAAAGGTGAAAATCTTGGAAAAGAAGTATGTCAACAAATACATGCACTGTATATCGCGTGAGCTGAATATCAATAGGGATCGTAACTGGTTGGAGTTCCTCTCACTACTTGATGCAACATTCTGGGATATCGCCTCCACGTCTGAGCCTGCCAGTGAAGACGTCAAAGCCGCTGTCACGGAGGAGATCGCCAAGACCCGAAAAGTATTCTCCGAAGCGGCCACTGTAGATGGGCTGAAGGACCGCTCTGGACTGCTCGCTCTTTTAGAGCTGGAGAAACGTACAAAGAGTCATGGATTGTGGACTGGTACATTATTCCCTAAGTATAATTTCGTTGCGAGCCGTCAACTAACGCTTAGTTCCCTCAAGATGCGTGCGAGATACGTATGATGGCTGAGAACTATTTCTCGCAATTTGGCGATAAGGCATGCTGTTATGAGGACTTGCTGCCATACTTGGCATTCGAAGGAGAGGAGCTTGAACAGTGGACGTCGTTCTTGAACTCACGCAAGTCTTTCGTGAGTATATATTTACCCGTTCTATTACTGTTCATTTATCATCTGACATGGTTTGCTGAAAAAGGACACCCCTGACACTCTTCAACGGTCTATCAACGTCTACAAGCTACTCCGGTACAACCTGACATCTGCGGAACTCACACCCGAACTCGAACTTGCCCGTGCTCAGGAATACATCAAGGTCTATCTCGATGGACTCAAGTTTGGGGTCAACCTCCCAGACACTGAACTGCAACCTGCAGACGACTTTGCAATTCTAGTTGGACATGCCTACGTATCGTTATGGAAGCTCACCGGAGAGGAGTCCCATCTTCAGAGCGCTGCTGCTACCCTGGAGTATGCCTCAGCTCGCAGCAAACAGTCGTATCGAATTCGGCTTTTGTTGATTCGCATCTATCATTTATTGGGTACGTGCTTATGAGATGTCTCGAACTGACGAAAAGAAGATTTCATGTTGTTTGTTTACAGGCGCACCTGCACTGGCACTAGATCATTACCGTCTCATGAATGTCAAGCAAGTTCAGACTGATACGTTATCGCATCTGATCCTCTCACGAGCAGCTATGTGGTCACTGGCTCCGCTCGGCGACATCACATACATGTCTGAATGTATGGAAGCAAGTCAGATCTACATGAGCAATTCTACGGAAGTATGTAACTTGCTTTTGATACTATTCGCAATTGTAATGACAAATATACAGACTGCCGAATTCATTGCACGGGCATTTTCAACAGAACGATATTCACAGGTGAAAATCCCATCAATGGTCAACAGCTGCTGTGGTCTTATTATGCTATAGATAATCGATTTCATTGAGTTTGAGGACCGTCTTGACAATTCACTACAGCGCGACTTGATGAAAGTTGAGCATGTCCGCATGCGTGTCGCTCACGAACCTCTTAATGCAGAGCTCGTTGACATGGAGCTAATCGAGCTGAAATTCATCTTCGATCGAAGTATGTATTGTCTTTCTCACGACCCAAAACGTATTCTTACTCACTTGGCTCTGCAGTTCACCACGATAATCGGGATTTCGAGGTCATCCCCAACTATCAGCCTCGATGCCAGCCATCTTTCAATGAGCAAACCTTGCCACTGAAGCCTCCCGGGGTAAGTCTTCCGAGTACACACATTCCAGACCAGAGATATTTTGACGCTTTGAACAGGCGGGGTGGTTGAGTGCCTACCTCAAGGTGTACATCCGTGCATTCCAAGAGGCTAGTGATCTTGATGAAACAGTTGAGGATAAACTCCTTATTGGTGATCGGCCAAAACCGAGCAATGATCCTGAAAATCAGCTGCCACTCCGAGAACGGCTAGTGAAGAAGAGGCAGGAGGAGATCGACGACGTACGCGATTTCGCTCATGTTCAGTCTGTGATGAGACTTATCCTGGGTACAGCTATCCGAGGACGAGAAGCTCTTCTACGAGTACACGTTGGCATTGTCAGAGTGGGTTGGTCCTTACCACGACTATGTACGACCGCCCCCCTCGGCATTATTAGCTGAGGCAGCAAAGTCGAATGACCTAAAACCTGGTCATCCACTGAAGTCCATGGCTGCCGCAGCTAATGGCTCCGCCACCAACGGGCACTCAAAGAAGGACGAAGAACCTCCAGCAGTCAAGGAATCACCGGAACTGATCCCGAAGTTCTTTGACGGTGAGTGTATCTGCAATCATACCGGAACCATTGCCAAAGCATTATGGCAGACATGAAGTCACGCTTCGATGCTGTTATTTCTGGCACGGCTTTGCCGTCCGAGTTGTTGCATATTGTAGCGACAACACAGGAGGTAAGCCATCATCTACAGGCAATGATCTTTTGTCCTGAATGCGTGACATTATCAGGCATATTTGCTTTTTGCACTCGAGACAGTTCGCTTCAAGCCGAACTCTATCATCAAGCAGTATAAGTTTGGACAAGTTCGTCGTTCGCAACTTTTTATTTGAGTGCTATTGAACCTTGTTTTCTATAGTTGGCCCAAAGCTTCAAAGATCTCCGTGTCAAGGCTTCATCGATTCTCAACGAGATGTCAACCGTTCTCGCGAAGCTTGGGGAAGAGGTCGCTACACCCGATGGTCGCAAGGCTTTCGTCCAAGCATCGTCTTCCATTCAGGACTCATCCGGCGTACGTTTATATTTTGTCTCTGTCAAGGCCTCAGCTCACCACTTTACAGTTTGATCATGACTTCGTACTTGGAGTGGCGAAGAAGACGACTGATGCTCGTAAACAGACGTACGAGGGCATCGCGAAAGGCCTCGCGAAGGTCGTCAAAAATCACTCATAGTTATTGAGACTGCTCAGAGTTTCACATTTATATACAGTAGATCCTATCGCTGCTTGATTGATATCGTGTTGTCTTTGTTGCTCTATCACAGTTGCTATAATATCCTCCACTCCCCTTTCACTTCTTCGCTTTGCCTGCAGTTGGCGCTAAAATGTGTGACGTTGCACGCGTCTCGTCACAATTGTCACGGTGCGTGCAGCTAAATGACGCGACGCGTCACAGACACGGTCCTCGTTTCTTCCAACACGACCTTCATCTCTTGGAAACAAGATTTCTGAAGAAAATGAGCCAATGTGAGGTCAAGATTTATGCATCTTGCCAGCGTCGGCACTAATGCACTTTCGCAGTCAGCCAAAACCCCTATTACGACAAGGCTGGCGGCGGAGGGGGCGGATTCATGGATGGCTCACCATTGGGTGGTAGCAATGGAACACCAGGAAGTAGTACACGGGCAAGTCACAGTATAGTTAAAACAGTCTTGTCTCTTACAAAAATTCATCTATTCAGCGGGGCGGCTCTGCCTCAGTGCGACCTGTCACGATTAAACAGGTCTTGAGCGCAACGCAAACCCATTCAGAAGCGGATTGGGTGATAGACGATGCCGAGATTGGATCAGTTTGTGTTAATATCCCAATGAACGAGCTCGTCTTAACAATCCCCTCAGGTGACAGTTATCGGTCAAGTAATATCGATCCAGAAGCAAGCCACCAATATCGTGTACAGTTTGGACGACGGCACTGGCCGGTTGGAAGCGCGACATTGGGTGGATCCATCTGCTATGGAAGAGGATGAAGAGGATCCTATTACGTGCGTATTTTTGTGCTGGAATTTGTCATCGTCTGACGTTCTCGCAGAGAAGATTCTTACATCCGTGTAATGGGTACCATCAAGTCCTTTGGCAACAAGCGTTATATCAATACTTCACAACAGCGACTGGTTAAAGACCATCATGAACTCTATTTCCATCTCCTAGATGCTATGGCTACCAAACTCATTTTGGAGCGAGGACCAGTGAGTACTTATACCTATGAAGAATAGTCTTATTACTGATCTAACGACTCGCTAGCCCCATGCACCCAGGCAACAGCCTGGTTCTTCTCCAATCAAAGCAGAGGGTGCATCCGCATACTCGGCGCAATCTACCGCCGTAACAAACGACCAGTTTTCTCATCTCCCACAGATGCAACAAGCCATTATCAGGTTCATTTTGTCTCATCCTCAGACGGATGATGGTGTGAATGTTGGTGCGATTGCCCGAGCAGTGGGTGGATCAGCGAATGAAATCAGGTAAGAAATGTTCTCGTTCAGACACGAATTCGGCGTTGACAACTGTCCACAGCGCCGCACTCGATAGTCTACTTGATGGTGGACACATCTACACGACTCTCGACGAATCTCACTACGCCGTGTCTCAGTGAATGTATTCGACTGCAGCCACTGACGGGTTTCCCGACTTTTCATGTCTTCTTGCTGTGTTGTTTTTGCTGCTGTATTCTAAACTCTCAAGACTGATTTTTCACCTATCCGATGGTATATCGCTACATACAATGAATCCTAAAAGAAAGAAAGAAAATACTTGCTCTTGGTCAGTGTCTTCGGGTCCCAGTGACCGAGCGAAGCGAAGCGTTTCGATTAGTCTCCTTAAGGCAGAGTAGACAGACACGCAAACCTTCGTGCCTGCGGATATCTCTGTCTGACGTTTCGATCACTGGTCGATCATGGATGTTCATAGTACCATTCAATCATGTAAAGAGCTCAAGTCAATCATGTGGAGACTCACTCTGCCAATTCAAGACTTGAAGATTCTGGGAAGGAACGTGACTGCGTGGCAGGTTGACGGCCGAGATCATCAGTAGAACTTGCATTCACGGGCTGCTTTCTTCCCCATTCACAATACCCAGAGCGATCAACCGCCTTCAATTAACTTCACTAGCAGCTACCAGTAGCTGTGTCTCATGTCTTCGAACTCGTCGAACCCAGAGCCTCAGGGTACCAATAGTGATACAGAATCACCAGATTTTCCGGCTGCAAGTGGCACATATTCAATCTTCCTTGTCTTCATAATCACTTTGAAAGAACACAGGATTGGAAATCTGCCGTACGGCCGACTACAATCAGACAAGTACTAGGAGCAGAACTGCCCTTTATTAGCGCGGATTTTAGGATAGGTGGTCATAGTATTCAAACTGTAAGCCTATCATCAATTCAACCACTGCGAATTTTGTTGCCTCATTCTTTCATGAGGCAGATCAGCGTCGTGGCTAACGTAATTCGCGTTGATCAACGCTCAGATGATCATATCCGAAAGGACCACTACGTCTTGGATGACGGTAGCAGCAGAGGCTGGATTTATGCATTTCATGAATTGCCAGCTGACGCTCCGTTATTCGATCCTCCTCCTGATTATGTCCGCGTACTTGGGACGCTGTTTGTGCTTGGTCACAAAAATGCCATTCGAGCAACTAGGGTCCTACCCGTAGAAGATCCGCATGAGGTCTACCTTCACCTCTTGGATGCCATGGTGGTTACCTTGATACACACAAAGAGACGCCCTGTAAGTCACCTAGGATTTTAACTCCCAGAGATACTCACAGAAACATATTTAAAGCCTCAGGACTTCGCTTCTCATGAAATTAACCAAGTGCACCCGATGTCGTCTCAATCGAACGTCGTAGCTGCAGACCAGACTTCAGAAATTCTTTCTGTATCACAAAATTCTCTGCCCATTCGAGATTCATCACCCTCGCGACCCCCTTCAGCCGTCCCAGATACAGGCGATCAGACCTTTGGTGACGAATCGGACAACCAATCCTCTATATCTTCGTCGTCGACATATCTTACCGCCGTCGTGGACGACACGATCGAGTCTCCGCTTCCCACATCTTTTTCCGATCTCCAACTTGACCACGACATGAGTGCAGGCACGCATCTAAAACGCGATCCATACTCACATCTTAGTACGTTACAAAGAGACATTCTTTTGCAAGTCATGAATGCCGCGCAGCAACTTCACACCCCTCGCCTCCATGTAACGACGATCAGAGATTGCGTTAGACCCGGTCTCTGGTCTAAATCGGAAGACATATCGTAAGTATACAATGCCAGTAGCGATATCCACATATGTGGCTGAACCGCGAATAACCCCACAGCGATGCATTGGATTACCTCGTAACTCAAAAATATCTTTGCACAGATAAGGACCTCTTGTATTACTGGATAAGGAATGTATCCTGGGATTTTGAAATATAATACTCTGTTACTTATTCTCATGGTTGAATATGACGGACGCAGCCCATTTGTACTCTGATTGCATTGCGCGATGGGGACTGCATCGCGAACAAATGTGAACACAAAAATGCACTATCAAGACTCGAATCTGAGTTGTTAAAATCCATTGACAAAATTAACCCCTGGACAGAGGTGATAACCACTAAACTACATCTAAACGAAAATAAATAATACTTATAATAGCGAGCGCTCTCACTTCCCAGCGCACCGATCACTAGCATTCTTGCACTCTTTCTTCCGGTTGTATCACCATGCGTATAGAAAAGTGTTATTTCTGCTCCAAGAGCGTATACCCAGGACATGGTGTGTTGAATCGCGACACCTGTACTTCACCTACTAATTTTCTGCAGGTAGCGCGTTCGTACGGAACGATGCAAAAGTTTTCCGCTTCTGTACTTCAAAGTATGTGCCGTCATTTCTTTCCGGTTGCACCTTGTTCTAATCGACTTGTGCAGATGTCACAAAAACTTCAAGTTCGTTCGTTACCCTCCAGTTCTTCATGCCCTATATTGATTAGCTTCTAGGATGAAGCGTAACCCTCGTAAAGTAAGGTGGACTAAGGCGTTCCGGAAAGCAGCTGGGAAGGAGATGACTATCGTGCGTAAATTTTTGTTGTCTCCCAAAGATCATGCTAACGTATTATCTAGGACTCAACGATTGAGTTCGAGAAGCGCAGAAATGTCCCTGTACGCTACGATCGCGAATTGGTGCAGACGACTGTCAAGGCAATGAAGCGGATTGCGGAGATCAAACAGCGCAGAGAACATGCGTTCTGGAAGAACAGGTGCGTAAATAGCACACTTGTGCCCTTGGAACATGCATGTTGATTCAATGTCGTGTAGGATGGCTGCAAGCCGAGAGAAACTGCGTGCACATCGCAAAAAGACGGTGGAGAAGACTACCGTCAGGTTGGTAGAACCAATGGCTGTGGAATCGATGGAGGAGAGAGTCCGAGAAAAGATCAAGGTCCATGCAAAGTCTCGGAGTGCTCTAATACCAGGCGAAGGCCGTTCGATGGGTATGGATATAGATTAATTTTGTCATGTTGGTGTTTCCTCGCTCGTTCTGTACTCTGTTTTCTCGTCTCCAGGATCCATAACGGTCATATTATGCTACAAGTGAACATGCATGCTGCAGATATACACATATGATGGTATGATATTACAGATGGGTAACGATATTCAAGGTATGGCAGGTCATCGCTGTTTGTACTTCGCTTCATTCTCCAGCCTCACGCCAGGGTCCAAGGTATTATGAAGACCCAGAAGTGTCTTACTGATGGCTTCACTGGCACCAATCATAGGCTTTAAAACCGCAATTGGTACTGCACGCACAACAGCGCGGACGGTGCCCTGTATCCGACATCAAAATGCTGCATCCTAGAAGAAGGGGTAATTAACTTACCTCACTCCCTGATCTCTCATACACCTCCATCGGAACGGCGAGGATCGTCTGCGCAGCGGAATTGAAGTTTCTTCTCAGGCTTCTGACCGCGGATTGCACCCCTTCCTTCACATTGGTAGGTTGGTCTGCATATCTACTGATCAGCTCCTCTAGCTCCGCATCTTCGGTTCCTTCGTCGAGATCAAGAGCTGCAGGGCTAATCTGCATGGCTTCTGCAGTAATGGGATTCTTGAATTGACCTCCCAAGACTGTCTCCGCCTGTTCCAGGATGACCTGCGTTCCAGTGGCAAGCCGTGCTCCCAACTTGATGGCTTCAGTGGCTGTGGACTTCACGAAAGCTGTTGTACCCTTTTGCAGTCCCCGAACAACTCGACCGTCTTTGCGATACTGTGATATGGGCAGGAGTACTAGGTCAGCGACACCTGACCCAACATTCACGACTGATCTTATAGGCGCAACACCCGATATCACATCGACCAGCTGAGTAGCTTTGACGTCTGGCGTCCAGAGATCGTTCAGAAGATCGAAGAACCGTGTCCAGCCCGTGATCTGTAATGTCTTCAGCAGAAATAACATGCTGAATTATGAAAGAACCTACCCCTGTCAGCACGATGTGTCTTAGGGTCATCTCAGCACCATCGAAGTGGAAGAAATTCATGAGCTCTATGGTTTTGCCATCTCGGAGTGCCCTGTAATCAACTCGACGAGGCTTGTAATCCAACTTGAGATCGACAGGAAATACTTCTGCTTGCTCTGTTCTTGTCATGAGTACTCCTTGCTAACAATGGCATCTCAAGTTCCACTTACGGAAGAAAGTCTCTTCGGCAGGGTCAGCAGGTGTAAGCGGTGCGCTTTCAGGATCTTTGAAGCTAAAGAATTTCTTCAAGAAATCGAGCGCATCTTGATCAACGTGCAGGCGCAATGGCAGAATTTTGGCCTAAAGGAAGAAAACCATCATTTTAACTATGACCGCTGGCCACTTCAAACAAAGCATACCCGCAATCTGGCCTCCTCAGCTGGATGCCCGGGGGCAGGATAGACTTTCCGTAGTTCAATTCTAGCCATGTTAGAGTCGGTCTCGCGTATATTGCCTTTGGAATCGGTCCTCAGATCTGTTAGGAACATTTTCCAACTGGACGTCTTGATGTGATCCAATATCTCGACGTCTCGCACGGTTATGAGAGTTCTTGAAGCCAGCTCCGGATCTGATATGTACTGATCCATCTCAGCAGATAGTCTCAGTAGTCGGAACTCGACACTGGGACTCTTCGATCTTGTCAAGGCTTTGCGTCGCACATGAGATGGGCGTGCCGCTGAGGGATGATGAGTCGGAGACTGAGGCTTGAAGGACTGCCATGAACTTTGACTCGCAGTCTCCGAATCATTCAACTCGTCGTCGATCGCGGCGATGAGAGCTCCTGGTTCCAGATCGTCAATATTGTGCTCCAACCCAAGGTAAACTGAGTTGAAGAGCAATGTGTTGGTCTCTTCCACGCTTGGGTCAGGCGTTTGGCCATTTGCGACAAGTTGTCTGATCTTAGCCAGACGTTTTCGCATGTTCTTGGCTTCGTCCTCAATGATTCGACGTGTCCGCGCCCAATCATAGCCGTCATAAAGGAACAAAGTGGCATCGCAACGTCGTATGCGTACCCGCAAAGAGGTATTGCCGTATCTGTAGAAGGTCCACAATGTCAACAGGAAAGGCAAAGCTAAAAAGACAAGTACATACTGCAGACCCTCATCCTCTGCATCTGCAGGAAGTGTATCGAAGTAATGTTCAATGATTTGTAGGCGTGGCTGCAGCATGCGAACCGTTTCTCCCCCGTGTTTCGATATCACGTTAGCATCGTCGGCGCTCATAGAGTCGTTGTATCCTTTTCCGAAATCGTCTAAATCATCGTCATCTGGCAACTCACGAAAGCCAGCGGAGGCACTGAAGGAATCATCGAGGTATTCTAGATTGGTTGGTAGATCGTCATGGATCATGTCCGGAGCGGGGCCAACTTCAGGGGCTCGCCGGAATGCATGCTCGTCGAGAGAAGCTACAAAACAATTAACGATTGATCCTGTACTGGCGCAGGCAACATACCTATAATACCTCGCCTGGAGCGGTGAGGTTCGGAGAGTGACGTAGGTTCTCTGCGTTCCGCTTTTGGCCTAAGAGGCTGTAAGTAACACGTTTGTTCATTAGACATATATCACTTACGGTGGCTCAGTCGCACTCGAGAAAATAGATGCAAAGTCGGGTATGAATGCACCTAACGCGGTTGCAGTATCCGCACATAGATGTATTCGTAGGTTGCCTTGATCGATAGAAACCTATTGTGTCTCAGTATTTGGTACGAAGTTCGACAAGACGGACGGACATAGAACTCACTCGTGTGTCAGATGGAGAGACGCGATCGTCGCGTTGGAATTTCAGATCGAAGTCCCCTATTTCGGCGAGCAACGCATAGCCATCATTCTAACGCCTGTGTTAGCAGAGTTATAGAGGCGAGTGGAGAAAGAACGCACCTTCCAAAAAGTCACACCAGACACATTGCTTGACTTTCCGATACCTCGGTCACCCTCATCCACAGGCGCACTACTCACATTATCGATCAAAAGAAGGGAGAGGTTCTGCACAAAGAGCTGGAACGATGTCTCTTGTGCATTGCCTACGACGACGGTGGAAAATTCTGTTTCTCCTATATAGGTGATGACGGAACCAGGATTTGAGGGTGCCAGGAGCCTGAGCGATGTGTCTACAAGCTTAAGTGAAACACGCGTTCTTTCGCTCGGCACGACCGACTCGAAAACCTATATGGACATTTATGTCAGTGACCTATCACTGCAAATGTGGATATAATTACCCCAGGAGGTGCCTTGGCAAAATCAGTCAGGTCTTGTATCCACTTCAGATTCGGTAGGAAAGTATACGTGATGCCAGAAATCGTCAATCTGATCCGGGATTCCTTAGCCGTTGTGCCCGCGACAACCAGAGATGCAAAGCGAAGCTTCAACAATGATCGTATGGTAGTTGTCTGTAAATTTGGAGTTAGAATTTTAGCTGTATTCTGTGCGGATCGTAATACCATGGTTCTAGGAATCGTAAGAGCCAGCAGCGTTGAGGTTGATCCATCCTCAGTGTGGTCAAGGATCGTGAGGTCCATAAGACCGACTGTGATTACGGTCTCATCCTGAAATGCACGTTTCATCAGCTCAGGTCATTGTGACTAACTTCTCTAAGACGCACCTTACCCTCGGGCTTCACTTCCAGCAATAGGTCCAAATCAGAGGCTAAGACGTCGAAAGGCCGAACAGGTGATCCCGCGTCATCCGATCGAGGAACAACAAGGCGTAGAGCAACTATGATGACAGGAATAAGTAGCGAATTTCATTGTGACCTCAGAGACAATTACCTTCAGATACCGTGACCTTCACTATTGTTTCGCTTGAGGGAGTACCTTGAGCATGGCTGACGGTACTAGCCGTGTCAAGGCCACTACTCCGACTCCTGGTTTTGGCGAAGTAACGACTTCCGATGATGCTGGTGGAACGACTGTCGTTCTGAGTTTCAGCTTCATTCGCCGGATTGAAGGCTTTCTCGACCAGTCTGGATAGATCATCCGCCCAGAGCTGGAGACCATCAATCACAGGCTTCGATGCTTCAATGTGCATGGAGGGTATTTCCAGTGCTATTACCAAAGTCGACGGCTTGGTATCGCTATTTTCTGATGCAGAATTTGACCGCGAAATCACGACTCGAGGCTTAGGGAGATGTGGTTGCCTTGCTCGACCGCCTGCAATGGCAATGCCGGATGGCACATCGTCAGCGGCTTCCTCAGAAGAAAGCGAACCAACAGAGACCATCATCTCAGCCTTATTCTCATGCACGGGGCAATATGCGACGATAAATCTTTGCCAACTGCATGACAACAGTGTAGTCCCATGGTCTTGACTTGGGTGAAATGCTGCCTCAGGAGAAGCAAATTTCACCGACGCACTATCTTCTGCCGGCGACGGTTCATTTCCCGGGCAGATCAGAAGGTCATGGATGTCTAGAACAACGGCACCCGAACGTGCAGGTCGGAATCTTGATGGTCCTCGCACCTGTAACCGAATGATAGGGACCTTGATAATAATTACACTTTCACTCTTAGATGTTCTCTCCTGTGCTACCAGTCAGAAGATTGAAAAATGAAATGCACACACTTTACAACTTACCTTTCGGCGTGAGCGTGGAGGTGAAGTATGTTGAGTCTTCTTCCTGGGTGTCGTCTCGGTATAGTCGAAGTCGAGATCAAGGTCATCTAGTACCAGCCGCTCCAGCCGTTGACGTTCCCTTTCGTCTTCGCGTTGTCGCTGTCGGAATTTGAATGGCGTTTCAGCTTTCGGTGTCCCTGGTGGTGTGCTTCCACCAGAGTCAACATCATCATCCGTATCCGATTCTTCCACATCCGTGTGAACCTCTTGTGAATCCCGTTTTGGCGCCGCTAACACCTCCATGAAGGCTACAAGTTCGCTGACACCCCTTGGTGTGTCACTTTCGAGGCACAATGCAGCGTCAACGAAGGCATGCAAAGGAGCTACATTGGCTTCAACTTGCAAAATTGATGCCGGAGCGTGTCGTCTTAAGCGAGAAGAGGAAGTTACATAGGATGATACGGAGGTCAGTTTGGCACTGACAGCAGGTTGTCGTGGCCGTGAGTTTGCATCGCCAAACCTTCCTGGCGAACTTGACGGGAATGGGGACCCTGAGGAACGCGGTGAAGGCGACGTAGCAGCAGGTGATCGCGGGGACGAGGAAGTAGGTGCTTCAGTTCTTTGGACTGGCGTACTTCGAGAGGATAAAGATGACCGACTGTACTGTTGTCGCGTGCGCCAGTGTGAAAGCTTGGTGGATTCTGCCCGATGAATAGAATCCGTCCAATCTACAATACCAAACGAAGACAGGCGTGTCTGCGATTCCGACTGATCCAGATGCGGGTGAATATGAGATGGAGGGTATTGAGAAGCGAGGTGAGGATCCGTGATGAGTATAGGAGAAGCGTATAAATCTGCAGCGTTCCCATTTTCGCGAAGGAAAGCAAAAATAGAGAGTTCGGACAGGGTAAAGGAGGAGGTTAACGTCCGTTTACCTATCGAGGCCCGAGAGGGCACCGCCGATTTCGCTGCAGAGCCAAATTCGGTTTGCAAAGACAAACTGGCACTGACGGTTTCCAAGAGGATGCGAACATACCCGTGTGGCAGTGATGGAGGGACCAGCGGATGGGTAAAGAAGCTTGCTAGAAACTCGCGAGCCTTCGATGCGGACGAAGGTCGCGATGGCAGAAGGATGATAATCACCCCTCGCACTTGTACGCTTCCCTCAATATGCTCGAACAAGGCAGCACCTGGCTCAGATGGTTTAGAGAGCGTCCGCTTTGCTGGAGAAGGCGGAGGTGGAGAATGTGAAGCGAAGGTATCCGCGACGTCAATAAGGGACCGAACATGTTGGGCGCGGAGAGCAGAAGCCGCGGTTCCCAATTGTACAGTCACGCGTAACCTGTTGTCCTGCGAAATATTTGTAGCCACTCTTCTTCTGGAACTCTCATCCTTTGATGAAGTAGGGGAAGATGGAGATGGATCAGAAGAGGACTCTTTATCAGACATGGGCTGCACAGGCGATGGAGTGATGACACGAATGACAATCGGCTCCGTACCCAAGGTCAAAATCAGATCATCCTCCAACTCCTCGATTTGAGTATTCACTACGGGCCTCTGAAGCGGGGAGGTCTGTGGAGGAGGGACTTCAAGGACTTGCCTCGGAGGAGAGGGAGTGGAAGAACGAGGGTCTTCGTTCTCCTCCTCCACGACCTGCTCGAATGGCGGTGCCTCAGACACAGCACTTTCATACATGCTACTTGACACCGAACTCGTAGGAGAGATCGGGCGAGGCGGGAGAGTTACTATGGATTGCGACATCAGCGTTTGGGTTTCTTCGTCCATGTCAGAAGAGTCAGAGCGTGGGGACATTGGCGGCATGTCAGGGGACGCCCTGCCGGAAGAGCGTGCAATCGTTGTACCACCGCGTGAAGAATAAGAAGAGAGAGGTTGTGGACTTGGAGGTAGGAGGGATCTTGTAGTGACCGATACACCTGATATCGATACCGCACGTACGACACCTTCGACGGCTTGTGTCTTGATACTCTCTGCAGCTGGACTGGCTCCTTCTGTACTATAACAAATCTCAGGGATAGTAAGAGTGAAGCTTGCATGTTCAGCGTGAACGATGGTGATCTTCGTATCGACCGCATCAAATTCAAAGCGGGAAAGGAGTCTCTCAACTAGTGTAGCAAATAGTGAGACGCCTGGCGGTTCACCTTCACCATGTGAGTCATCTCCCTCTGGAGAGAATGGGTCTAGGCCTCCAGGAAGGTGCTCAGGAAAAGTATGCGTAGAATCAGAGACCTCTGAGTAGAACGATTCTCGTAAGGTCGCTTCCTCGGGAGCACTCAGCTCTTCATGAATGAATGTATCAGCAACTGACGCTACAGATTCTGCCAAGAAACTGGGGTTTAGGAGAGAGGGGCTCGATATTGTAGGCACGATGTAGAATGTCAAGTGAAGCGATTCGAGCGACAGTCCAACAGAGGACGTTAGAGGGTTTGGCAACGGAATGCGAGCCGTCACTTTGCCCACAGAGCCATCATGCAGCTGGAGAGGCAGTCCTGAAATGAGGGCATTGATAGCCTACGGTATTAGGTCATAATGAGTGCAGGATGCGCAAGACAGTCTCACTTACATTATTATCCAACTCCACATCCCTTACTTGCACGTAACCAGAACCAATCTGAGAATCCACTTGTTGGATGTCAAGCTGACCAGGCTTCAGAAAATGTCCGAGTGTTTGCCTCAGAGCAAACGAGATGAAGCGTTTCTGGATACCCGAAGGTAAAGTAAAGTCAATGGAAGGAAGCGTCGGTAACCAGGATGACGGCCACCACGACATGATGTATCCAGAGGTCCTCAGTCGTAAAACAAAGTAAGAAAGAAAGCGTATTAAGGGAAGTCTCAAGATGATGGTATCAGTAGAGCAAGGTTCATCCTGCAGCTGCCTTCACGGTGACTGTAGAGAGCATGTAGCGAGCCGCAGTGCTGCAATAACGTCCGAGATAGGCAGCCATTACGTGACCACTGAGCACCCGATCACCCAAATTCGGCAAGCTCAAGTTAGCAAGAACGTTTGGCAAATGGTTTGCAATCGAGCGAACTTGATGGGAATCGTGTCCTCTGCGCTGCGACGAACGTTCTCCGGCCAAATAGCTTTCCAGATCGCTGGTATCCAGACTGATTATCTTGACATACTATAGAACCCTCCCGTCAGACCACAATGCCACAGCAGACGCATTCACACTGGCATGGCTATCAAAGCATACGCCATTTGGTTATCTTGTATGTTTGTTCTTGTCGAGCTTTGCGTAGTGCAACATATATCGACTTGAAAATTCTTCTCTGAATCTCAGCGGCGCTTCTTACTGTGATGTAGGCTATCGATCGACTTCGATGCTTCACCCTTCTGAAGAACACCCACTTGGCGTCGTGTTTTCCGGTTATAACTGGGCCGAAGACAATAAACCCAACTGGGTCGGCTATCTTATTACTGAGTTCGCCCCTGGACACAATATACTTGTCTATGACTATGCTGTCGGTGGCGATAGAGTAGATGGTGTTGTTTCACAGATCCAACGTCACTTTATTCCCACGGTCGGACAGAAACCTGACTGGGCTCCATGGTCCTCAGGTGATACCCTATTCAGTGAGTTGATGGTATGTAATACGATATGGAAGTAACTCTGCTAATGTTGTCTTCAGTAACGTGGGTTGGTATCAACGACTGCGCGTAAGTACTCATTAACTGTGTTGGAGTCGTTGCAAATGCATTCAATACACCATACTAGATTTCTCGGAACAGAGGAAGGCATCAGGAAATCTATAGACAAGCTGTTCGACCAACAGGACTGTCTGTACGCCACGGGAGCCCGTAACTTCCTTTTGATCGATGTGCCACCAATCCACAGATCCCCCGGAGGTATTCAGGTCCATACTCCAACATAATTCTCTTCTGACTCTTTGATCGCAGTACTCGTGTCCAGAGCCGAATCCACCTCGCTAGCAATCCAACTCTGGAACAAGATTCTACAGGAGGCAATCGCACATTTCAACTCTACTCATTCTGACGCCACAGCATTGATTTATTCATCCTATGACTTGTTCACTCGTATCCTGGATGATCCTGTAGCGTATGGATTTCAGGTGGAAGACCGCCGTAAGAGAGGCGGAGGAATCTGGAAGGATAATATTCATCCAAAGGCCAGGGTGCACCAAGAGATTGCTCGTGAAATTTCAGCGCTCTTAGAAATGCGGCCTGTCTTTGGCGATACCGATGTTGCGGAGTCGCTGTTACCTGATCCTCCACAGCAGTTAGAAATTCAGGCCCCCTCTTGATTTCTGCCCGTCTCAAGGAACTATACAGGGGATGCTTTCGGGCCCAATTACTTGGATGTGGGCTTGTCGATTGATACTTGCACATAATTTTGATCTGGTACGAGATGGATAGTCAAACAAGAGGGACCCGAGTGTCTACCTGATAATGCATTTACAAACACTTCATAGACGAAACGGTCTGCGAAGATGACTGGCCATGGCATGATCAAATAATCCAAGGGTGTGGCATAGGTCATGCAATCGGGTGAGAAAGGATGAGTATGTAGTCAAGATAGTAACGTTGAAAAAGTAACTTTAACTTCATGGCCGAGCGATAGCGACACAAGGTTTTCGTCATCATCATCTGGCGACTCTTAAGTTACTGAAAGCGTTCATCTTGTTTGCTAGTCTCCTTTGCAGACCCTGTGAGTGCATCCCTGTCACTGAGAAGAACAGGCCCCTCGGCACTCACCGAGATATACCATCATGGGTTTGTGGGCTGTTGGGTTGCATTTACTAGCGGCACCTACCCGCCTACCAGCTTGTACATACAGCATGCTTGTTGGCTCGGTTTGTACAAATATGCTCCTATTCTGTGACGGAGAAAACAACAGACCATACGTGATCGAGACGATCGTCGAGTGATCTTCACGCTCGGTTCGTCGCCATGTTTAACGTCTTGGCATAGTATGTAGCTGTAATTGTCTTTAGAGTTCTTCATAATATATGTATAATCTCACAAAGCGCCAATGCCATTGGATTGTTTTGAGTTATAGAATGAGGGGTGGTACGTCTAGGACCAATCAATTACAGAAGAAAACTATAAAAGGACAAGGAAGGATATATACACGATAAGATAGCTATAGCAGAACCTTTACCAGTGTCACAGATACTAACTCGACAGCCGCCAAGATCAAGCGGACGCTCCTTCGAAGATATCATTGACGACCAGTCCTGAACGCACGCCCAAAATACTCAACAGCGACTCGCTGAGACCATGAGTCGACTCTGCGCATCCCTGAAGGTACACCTTGGGCGCGAACGGCTTCTCACCCTCAGCAACATCCGCAGGAACCAACCGGTAATTTCGGGTGATATAAAGTTTGGTACTCGGCAGAAGGCGAGAGTTGGTGAGTGAAGGCGAAGGACTGGGAGAAGTGATCGGAGTACTGGCTTCGCTAGAATGTGTTGAAGGCCAGTGATTCCTAGGCTTAGGAGCATCCGATACAGGGGAGTAAGGAGCTTTAACGGATTTTTCTGATGCAGCGAGAAGTTCGACGGGGCTCGAAGATGCGTGAAGACCGAAGTGTTTCCCGATATCGGATGAACTCAACAAATTGGTCCACCCGTTGCGTTCGTAGCCAGTGCCACAAATCACGGCATCGTAAGTCTGTTCTGCGAGTGCATGGTTAAGGACATGTTGGAGGGTGAGGCGGATAGAAGGTAGGTCATCTGAACCGGAGTCTTCGGCAGATAGGATCGCAGTGTGCGGCTTCATGTTAACACGCACGCGGTCATTGGACCCTGCGCGATGTTCCGCCATCGAATCTTCCACCCTCTGGTCGTAGATGAGCTCATAGAGCTGAAAGCGGCAATCTGTCAACCTATGATGACCAAAATAGAATTTGAAGAGGTACGAACGTTATCAATAGTGCGGGGATTGACGACGCTATAGTTGGTATTTCGGTACTCCCTTAGGATCTCTTTACGAGCATGCTGAGAGGGAAGGTTGTACATCATATCGGTGGCTGGGTGACAAAACAGACACGTGAGTACCAAGATTTCAGATAGGAAGGATCAAAACACATACAGGCAGGGTCGAAAATCTCATTTGCAAATGGGGAATCGTCGCTCGGCTTCAACGCGCCCTTCCGATAGATCATGTCCAGCTCGACTGGCCGGCCATTTGTAGCCAGCGGATTGCTCAGCCGGCTATACAGATCGAGGAGAACCTCAGAGGAAGACTGGCCAGCACCTACGACGGCGATGCGCAAGGGACGATCGGGAGCCGAAGGCGACAAGGCAGCGGAGAGGATAGGTTCGATAGAGGTGGCGTACACGGAGCTGTGCAGAATTCGTGGATGAGGGGAGAGCACGGACAACACTGAAGGCAGCTTGCCCACGCCGCCGGGGGAAATGATGAGATTTTCTGGTCACAGAACTTATGAGAAAAATATCGGCGATGCAAAAGAACTTGTCTCACTTGCGAATCGACTGAAAGTCTCTCCGGAATCAACCTTGCGGCTGATGACTTCGACCGTACCGTTAGCGGCCTCCTTGATGCCGATGACCTCCTCGCTGAATCGGACGTTGATTCCGTGGTCCTGAACGTACTGAGCAGCCCATGAGAGGTAATCAGCGTACTCCTTGCGAGAAGGCGCAAAGGTTCCCCGGTTAATGAAAGGTAGAAGACGATTTTGGGAATGCAGGTAGGAGAGGAAAGTCAACGGTGACTGCGGCGATCGAAGCGTGGCGAGATCTTTGAGGAAGCTGAGAAGACATCTACGGTTGAGAATTGTGCTTGGAACGATTTTATGGAAACTTAACGAACCTGATCTGCATGCGAGTACCGGGCAGGAGCATGCCAGGATGCCATTTAAACACCGGGTGCTTCTCAATGAAGAGAATATTCTTGGCGCATTGACCGTTGGGGCCCTAGTGGACGAAATGGTAGTCAGTGATTGAGTTGATGTAAAGAAGGCGATGGAGAAAAGGCATACCCCACTCGTTGCGGGGGGGCTATATTTGTCGAGAATGGCACCGGAGATAGCGATGTTGGCGGGACCGAAACCCAAACCAATTACGTCGTACAGGGTGGTTGGTGCGCTTGCGTTAGACATTTTGAGATGAGTGTAATGTGTGGAAAGGACCAGCGGTGCGGAGCTGGACAATCTTAAGAAGAATGAAAAGATGATAGGGCTCCGGGAGCGATCCCAGGCTCTTTAAGAAGTGCAGGAAAGGGATCTGGAGCGACATTTAGGGAACGTGATAAGATCAGCGATTTTCCCTGGCCGCATTCCGTTAGCTGCCTAGAATACCTAGAAGGAAGGCGGCAGAGCAGAAAACCGGGGTAATTCAGAGGGCGGGAAGCACAAACCGGGAGAAGGAACAGCTTGGCAAATGACATCCGGTGGTAGAACCATTCGAACGGTAAATGGTGGACGGAGTGGTGAACATAGAGGGCAGGAGGAGGGCACCAGTACTCCGGATGCAGTCCATCAGTAATCTGATAAGATCTTCCTTGCCATCATATCTGATAATTTTCGCATGAACAGTTGATCTTATCAGATATCCCGCGCCCCTCCTCCAGCCTGTCTCCTCGACCCCCTCAGACCCGACCCGCTCCTGCTCGCCGCCCCCAATTGCATCGATGAAAATACAGCCAAGAACACTGCCAGGCACAATGTCCTCACTTCCCCGAGGGCTCGTCATATTTCGACACTCGACCTTCCGACGCTCCTCCGATAGCTTCCTAACAAGGTTGCTTGCGAGAGTAGAAGAGTCCTCTGCATTTGCTCCTTGCAGCACGAGGATACCATCTAGACCGCCATATGCCCTTCTCCCTCGCTCATAACTCTGACTAAAATCGGCCGATCTTATTTTATCACGTACCGTTGTCACCTGTACACCTCACTAGCGGCACCCGCCCGCATCCAGTGACGTGAAAACAGTCAGACAAACGCACAAAAATCTCAAAGATCTGTAAGGACGTACACCACCTCTGCGTTGAAACCGTTCTTTCACGTCGACTCTACTAGTCATTTGAGCGCTGCGCTCTCTTAAAAGGCATGCGGCTTGACATCGTAATTCGCCTTTTCTGGCTAATGCTTCCCTCCAGACCATGTCGAACCCGCCGACGCTAGAAACTATGGATGCCTGCCCTTCCCCCGGCCTTCTTCGTTGCAGGAAGGTTTTAGAAGGATACAAGCACCATGATATCCCAGATTTGTCTGCTAGACGCTTTCCGCCCGGCGTCGTGCACGCAAGAGCAGCAAGGCTTACTACTTCTCTTTCCTCAGCCGTCGGTCAGCCCACGACTGGCGTTGTATATGCTACTCTACTTGTGGCGATTTGCCGTGTCCTGGGTGCATACTGTCATTGCAACGATGTTCTCTTGGCTCTCGTACAGGACGGCCAGACGCAATTGCGGCCCATTCGAGTCTTTTGGGACGAGACTCAGTCCTGGTCGGATCTCGTTTATTCGCTTGCTGATGTCATTGACAGCAACTCGTTGCCCGAAGCCTCACTGACGGATCTCCAGGAGATTCTGGGTATGAATGAGAAACAATCTCCATGTCATGCCACCGTACGACTTTCTGCTACTCCAACAAGTTCATGCGATCTCGGTATTTCCCTAGCGTTCTCGTTTGATCATACTAGCCTTCTCCTTTCTGCGGCCGCCACCGATGCGGTACTCCATACTTCTGGCTTAGAGCTTCTCGTCTCTCAAGTCGGCGCCCTCTTTGAACATGGGCTCCGGGATTCCTCTAGGCCACTCGCCCGACTCCCTGATTTACCACAAGATTTGCTGTCAGTCTACGAGAAGTTGACTCTAGATGAGCGGGCAAAGTATTACCATAGGATTCCACAGGTAAAGATGACCACCGATCATCTTATACTTCGCGCGAAGGAAAACCCCAATGGTATCGCCTTACGTTGGTACCCATATATATCTCCAGACGAGAATATATCGTCGTTGCCTTTCGATTCACTCACTTATTTGGAATGGGACCGTTTGGCCAACCGGTTCGGACGGTGGCTGCTTCGGAAAGGCTTACAGCTGGAAGATCGGGTAGCAGTCTGTATGCAGAGAAACACCTGGTTCCACATCGCCTTCGCCGGGATTCTTCGCGCTGGTGGTTGTTACGTACCGGTATGCTTAAAAGTCTGCTATTGCTTCGTTAAAGTACCAATAGATCATCACCACAGATTGATCCAGAGTTACCGGATGAACGGCAGACATTCATTGCCAAAGATTCAAATGCCCGTTTTGTATTGACGTCTTCCAAGTTGTCATCGTTCGGGCTTTTTGGAAGCAACGCTGTCGATACCGACGATCCTACTGAACAGGCCCTGATTCTTGAGGAGTCTGCTGAAGCACTCCAAATCCCTGGCCCCGATAATCTCTCGTACCTTCTCTATACTTCTGGTACGTTATTTTTATCTCAGTGAAGATGGACTGTGATTTACCATTCACCAGGTACAACGGGTACTCCTAAGGGGTGTTTGCTTACTCACAAGGGACTCACTGAAGCCTCCTGGGCTATAGGAGACATGTCTGCCCAGGTCGCTATGGACGATCCTGCCAATGGAGGCTATTTGTCGGTTGCTTGTGCGTTATCTCAATTAGTGGTCTTATGGCGTTTTCTAATCTCAAGCAGCGGTGGCTTTTGATGTTCACCTTTCGGAGATTCTGGCGCCGCTCACGACGGGTTTTCCAATCGTATCTGCTCCGAGGGCATTGTTACTCGAGGATTTACCATTCTATATCAAGGAACTTCATATTTCTCACATCGGTATCGTTCCGAGTCTAATTGAGGCAACCATGAATGCCGTTCAGGATGACGTGGACTCCGGTCACCTTACTTCTTTACGGTACCTTGCTAGCGGCGGAGAGAAGATGAGCAATGCGGTAGGGACAAGATCTTCGTGGCTCGATGATTTGGCTGCTGAATTACTTCTAGATTCTCGACAAATGGGGAAATCATCCCATCGTAAAGCTAGCTAATTTCTATGGGTGAGTTGCCACAGTACTCGAAGTTACACCGTGTGATACTGATAATCCATCAAGCCCCAGTGAAGCGACTATCGGTTGTGCAGCCCGTTTCATGAATAGGCTCACTCCTCGAGCAAACATTGGACGTACTTTTGCCAGTGTTTCGTCTTACGTAGTAGACGAGAACATGAACATTGTTCTCCGCGGAAATCCTGGAGAACTCGTTGTCGAGGGTCCGTTAGTCGGTCGTGGCTATATTGGACGTCCGGATCTGACTGAGAAGGTGTTCCTCGACTTCCCAGAGAAGGGTCAAGGGCGTTGGGCCTATCGAACTGGAGATCTTGTCCGCATGATGCCAGACCAGACGTTGGAGATTCTCGGCCGAATCGACACTCAGATCAAATTAAGGGGAGTCCGAATCGAGTCGGAGGGTATTTCATCGATCGTTCGCAATGCTGCACTTCCCGATCTTACGCTCGATGTCGTCACTGTGCTTGCAAAGCACCCAAGTATCGGGACGGACCAATTGGTCACCTTTATTGCATGGGATGCCTCAGTGCCCATTGGTATCCGTAAGTCTAAAGCGCCGAGTTATGTTTCTCCACCTGCAGGTCTGTTGGACCGGATCCACGAGGCTTGCGATCAACACCTCGCCAGTTACATGAGACCAAGCCATATCATCTCACTCAACTGGATCCCGTTGAATCCCAACCTCAAGGTCGATGCGAAGACCCTCGTACAAGTGTTCGTAAACTTGGACGTTGATACACTCACTCGTGCCGCTCGAGATGAGGCAGACGGTGACGATGAACCTCTCATTGAAGACGAGAAAGAAATCCTCGCGGTGGTGGCGGATCATCTTGGTTTCCCTGTAGACAAACTTGGTCCACACTCGAATCTTTTCGAATGGGGTCTCGACTCTATGGGTGCGATCAAATTGGCGGCGCACTTAAGGACTACTTTCAGAGTGAAGATATCGGCTGCGGACATTATGAGAGACCCTACGGCTCGAGGTGTAGCGGGACAGGTTCGCAAAGACACTTCATCTAGCAAGCCGTCGTTTGTGAAGCAATTCTCTCAAACTTGGCATGAAGAAGTTGTGCAGACATTCCCTTCCGTTCAAGTCGATAACGTTCTTCCACCTTTCCCCGTCCAGGAGGGTGTTCTCTCTCGTTCAAGTGAGATCCGCACGATGTACGTGCAACATGTACTTCTTGAATGCAAGCAGGATACGTCTGTCTCTGGGTTGCGTGATTCTTGGCATGCGACTATGAAAGGTCGAGACATACTACGGTAAGTGATTTAAAAAGAAATCTTGACCATACGCTGAGTCGTGTCCGCTCAGTACCATTTTCTTCTTCGGTCGAGATCTTGTTCAGATAGTCCTGCATCCCGATCAGTGTCAGGTACCGTGGAATGAGAAGACTACGCCCATAGAAGACACAGAATCCTTCCGAGAGGATTTCCTTTCCACTGATGCGCCCCTCATTGCTACCGATATTAATAGTCATCTGTCAGACATCCCCTTATTCAGGCTGACCTTGTACACATCGCCGTCCAGCAAACAGTTCCTCGCCGTTTCCATTCATCATTCCTTGTTCGATGGAATCTCTCTGCCGCTGCTTCTTGCGGACGCGGAGCGAGCGTATCTTGGCCAGAGCTTACAGCCGTCTCCATCACCGGATAGCGTCCTCGATTCTATCGCATCCATTGATATGGAAAAGGCTCGCGAGCATTGGGCACGGATGTTTTCAGGTTACGATTGGCGGAAAACCTCGTTCAGAGTTGCGACGGAATCGAAAATGTCGATGATCTCCGTGCCGTTTTCTATGTCTTTGTCTGCTTTGCAGCGGAAGGCCTCTGCCCAGCGAACGACAATTCAAGCGCTTCTCATGTCTGCTTATGGATACCTCATTGCAACGTCGATGTATGGCGAAGATGATGTTGTTTTTGGGGTACGTTCGGTTCAAAGCCACTGATTCGCCAAAAGACTGACGATCGTATGTTGGTATAGGTTATCCGCTCTGGACGTTTGTTACCGGTCGAAGGCATCGACACTGCTCCTTACCCACTTTTGTCAGTGACTCCTGCACGTGTGAATTTTACGCAGTCCGAAGGAGTTCTCCGCGAAGTACAACGCAACATCTCTTCGAGTGTTGACTTCGAGCATGTACCTTTGGGTCGGGTGGCTCAATGGGTCCGCAGTGGAAAGCCGCTCTTCGAGACCTTATTCTCTGTTTCATACAAAGACGAGGGAGAAAGTTCAATATGGTCTGCTGTGGGAAGCCAGAATCCGGAACCGGAGGCTAGTCGATTTTTTTGTTTGGCTTTTTTCTTCATCGCGGCTGACCGTCGTGCATAGTATATCCTCGCAGTGGAGGTGGTCCTTGATTCTGAGGCGGACCGCTTGGTTGTGCATACAGGCTACACCGCCAAGGACTTGTCGCCCTATGTTGCTGAAGGAATCGCACAACGAATGGAAGAAGTCGTGCTCCAACTGAGTGACGATGATACACGCGAAAGGTTGTTGTCTGCGGTACTAGGCTCACGAACAGCGACTCCCGATACCGAAGGTACCGTAGACGTGGAAGACCCTATTAGTGACAAAGGGCCTTTGGACGAAGCACTTGTCGAGACTCTTCGCAAGACCATCTCCGATTTCTTACGATTGGACGCGGACCTGCTCACAATCGACACTTCACTCATTGGATTGGGTCTTGACTCCATTAGATCCGTAGGGCTTAGCCGTGTCATCCGTGCACAAGGTTACAAGATTAGTTCCGTGGATCTTATGAAGTACTCTACTGTTCGTCGGCTGGCTAGTTTCCTAGTAAATCAGAAGACCGGTAACGTCGACGATGCACGTGTCAGTCGTTCGGCGGAACATCCAGCATTCAATCAGGAACTGGCGTCCTTGCAGAAAGCGGTCGATGTCGATTCGTGCAAACTGTCCTCTGACGATGTTGTCAAGATATTCCCGACCACCATGCTACAAGCAGGTATGCTTTCTCAGGTAAGAATATGGCTCTGGCTTTCAGTAAACACGACTAACAATTGCATAGACTGTCAGCTCCGATGGTCGACGCTATTTCCATGTCTTCCCTTTGCGATTGAAGGAGGGCACTGACGTTTCACGCGTTCGGGAGTCATGGCTTAAAGTCCTGCAGGGACACAGTATTCTTCGAACCTCATTCCATTTCGTATCCGACCAAGGAGTTTGGGCCCAAGCCGTTCACACGGTCTCAGATTTGAAGTGGTCTGAAGGTCCCACTCGTGGAGCTGAAGACTACTTACAAGAGCTCATTGCTTCCAAACATTGGGAAGGTGGAGAGGGATTCCGTGAACTACCGTTTTACCTCCACCTCATGGCAGATTCCGAGAGTGATCACAAGATTCTTATACTAATCATGCATCACGCGCTTTACGATGGCATCTCTATCAACATACTCCTTGACCTCGTGCAGGCGGCGTACTATGGAGAAGCGGGCGGACCTTCAACTCAATTTTTCGACGTTCTACCCCAGGTCATTCGAGAGGAACGCCAGGGCACCCCGTTCTGGTTGCGGAAGTTGCGTAACTTGGATAACGTCAAGAGTTTACCAAGGCGACATGAGGTAGCTGAGGGTCTCTCACATGTGGCGACACACGCGATAGCTGTGGACAGGAATACTATTGAGAACATCCGGCGTACGGCTGCGGTGACAATCCAGTCTATTACTCAAGTTGCATATGGGAAGCTTCTCGCTGTACTAACGTCATCCAGGGATGTTATCTTCGGCCATGTAGTGTCAGGCAGAAGTATACCCGGTGCCGAGGACGTGCTAGGACCGATGCTTGTATGTTCTCCGTCTCGTCGTTTCGAACGTGCTCTAATACATCATATAACGTCATAGAATACCATCCCGAGTCGCATCCAACTCTCAGACAAGCTCAGCAATCTAGATCTGACGAAGATCGTCCATGCGAATAATATTGATGCATTGCCTTGGCAGCATGCCTCACTTCGGGCTATTCACCAAGCCCTCGCTGTTGCCGAATTGTGGGATAGCTTGTTCGTGTTCCAACCTGCGCAACCTTCGCATCTATCAGGCGCGCCCATTTGGGAATTCGACACTTCTGAAGAGGAAATCGATGCGAATATACAGGTATGCCTTTCAAATGCGAAGTCGAAGTATTTCTTCTAATGACTTGATATATCTCAGTATGCTCTGAACGTGGAAATCCATGAGATGGAGAGTGGATTCACCGTTCAAGCAGCTTGTAGCGCGGAGGTTATGGATCTCGCGGAACTCAAAGATGCTCTGGATCGATATGGAAAGACTCTCGTCCACTTAATTCATCACGTCGATCAGAGCTGCATGGAAGATATCTCGGAGGTTCCTGCGAATATTGTACCCACTATCAAAGACCAAACTCGGGAAATCAGCGATGAGGATTCAATAGATATATCTGGAGAGGACTTCACCACGCTTTGCGATATCCTGGTCGCCGCCACGAAAATGTCTCACGACCACATCCATGCAGGCACACATCTCATCGCTCTTGGAGTCGATTCTATTACCGCGATCCAGATAGCTGGAAAATATAGACGTCTTGGTGTCCGCCTTCGTGCGGAAGATATCCTTCGTAGCAAGACTGTGGCGGACGTCCTTCGCAAAATCCGCTCGTCATCTACTGCTGTGGAGGCCCCTGTCCAATCGCCTCAAAGTATCTCCGCGTCGGTCCCGGTCAGCGAAGCCTCCGCCATCAGTGCGCATTTCGATGTCGAGTCCCAATCATTGATCGAGGACATCACAGTCGCGTCTCCTGGAATCAAGTGGTTGATTGGTGCATGGCAGAATAGTAACCGTTCACGTTTCCAACATGCATTCGCTTATCGACTGCCTTCTGACGCGAACGTTGGGAAGCTGCGACATGCGTGGATTTCCTTATTGGAACGTCATGCCATTCTTCGATCCACCATTGCTTCCGCAGCTAGCGCGAACGAGCCTCGACTTGTGATCTTCAAACCAGAGCCGAGCCTACTTATCTCGACATGGGAGGAAATCACACTTGATGACGTCTCCGTCCCTGAGGAGGAGATAGCGACTATTATGAAACAGCTAGTGTCTTCGCCGCCGAACTTGAAGAAACCTCCGACACGTGCGAAGTTCGTCAGTGCGCAAGCGGCCAAATACGTGATTCTTTATATGAACCACTTCCAGTACGATGCGTGGAGCTTGCCGCTACTCGTTGATGATTTCACCAGGTTGTATGCATCTGAGTCTTGCTCGAGTTCCAATGCACTCGTCCCCTGGCTGCATACTACCACTGCGAAGGATGCTACGCTAACGGAGCAGAGACGTTACTGGCAGTCAATTTTCACTTCGCCTTTCCGATCCTCGTTCTTCCCCGCACTCAATGAGCATGGCGGTTCCAGAAACGGCCGTTTCGTGCATACAGATGAGCATGCGATTGCTGACGCTACCAAACTCCAGAATCGTGCTCGCATCGAAGGACTTTCATTGAATGCGGTGTTCCTGGCGGCTTGGAGCAAGCTGCAGTCGAAATACACGGCCAATGCAGACTCAACCTTCGGACTGTGGCACTCGGGTCGGTCTGCGACTTTCGATCAGATCGAAAGGCTGGCGGTGTCTTGCATGAACGTCCTACCTATGCATGTTTCGAATTCTCAATCGAAAGCCCTCCTAGAATTAGCGCATCAAATCCAAGATGACCTTCGCAAGCGCACATCGGCCGTTGAACAGACTGACCTAGCTCATCTGGATCAGTGGGTCAGTGGAGGCGGTAAACCACTGTGCAATGTCTATGTCAACATCGTTAAAGTGGCTCCAGACGTCGAAGGCTCTGAAGCGTCTCAATCGTTCTTCACCGGGCTTGAGGTACGTAGTCGTCAATTATCATATATTACCCTTCAGCTGATATATGGTTGAAGGTTCCGTATTTCGTCCCTAATGGACCTGTCTCCGATGACGATTTCGTCGAGAAGCTCAAAGTAACGGAGCTTGTCCAGGTACGTATTATTCTTTAGTGGTTGACGGTATTTAGCTGACCTTGGTTTCTGACAGGATGACATCATGATAGACATTGTAGCAATGCCGTCTGGTGCGATCTTGATGTCTTTGGAAACCTGGGAAAACGTAATAGGTACAAGCCAAGCAGAGAAGATCGTGGCTGAATGGGCCAAACTTGTGCGGGATGCCCTGGCGTGAATCATGGGAGAGAATTTCGTCGTCATTTTGTATATCTTAGTGATTGTTGTATTCATATTCCTCGCAAACGAATATATGTATTCCTTGTGTATCAATGACCCCGCCTCGCTACCTCCAGACATTCCTGTTCCAAACCATTGATCCATATCACCTCGACACCTGCGGCACGTAGCTTCTGTGCTCCTTCACACTTCACAAAATCATCTGGCTCCCCCACACCTATGAAACATCTGCGTATGCGTGCTGCAATGGTTGCGTCTGCGCATGGAGCCAATCCGGATGTTCTAACTGAGCAAGGCTCCATAGTGGTGTACATGTCTGCCGACGAGAGTAAATCCTCGACATTAAGCGTGTCAGGTGGTGCTGGAAGAAGTTTACAAAGCTCCTCCGTGGATAGTGAGCGAGCCTTTGACAGCGCATTCGCTTCAGCATGAGTGTTTCCTGGAAGTTCTCTGGAATACCCCGTGGCTAACACGACTGGTGAGGAATCGGCTGGGTAACGGGCAGTCAAGACGCAGCCAACACAGAAAGCAGTTGGGATAGGAACACATCTCTTTGCCTCTTCGAGGGCTATACGAAGAAATTTGAGATGCTCATCGTCGTCTTGAGACATCTTTGAGCTCAAAGGAAATATTGAGCCAAATACGGCGGTTGGAAATATTGAAGGGCTTAGGATCGCGATTACATTTCGGTAATGTGACGGTGTGACTACCATTATTAGTAGTCCTTAGTAAGATGTCACAAGCTGATTTGCTTTATTGACCGTTTAGCGCTGGTTGGACCTTAGCAGGGCGATCGTGCATTGTTTCTTCCACCATTCTCTCTTCCACTCTCCACCATGTCGTCGCCACCGGGGGTCCCCCTCACAACTCATCAACTGGAACCGGAAGATGATCCCATGCACGGAGCTGCTCATGAAGACGAAGAGGGCGAGGGGGACGAGATCGGACCCGCTGCCTCAGATGATAGCTCAGAAGAACCGGAGGAAGACGAGGAGGAGGCGCGACGAATAAGGGAAGGGTTCATTGTAGACGAAGAGGAAGAGGAAGAAGCGTCTGAAGAGGAAGAGGAACGTCGAAGACGACGCAAAAGACGCAAACGGCGTCATCGAGGTAAGGTTGCTCCCTTTCGATTGTGGATGCTGAACTAATCAGTGTAAACAGAGCGAGAAGAGGAAGAGGCCTTGGAAGAGGATGACTTGGAACTACTCGAAGAAAATACGGGAGCTTCCTTCTCTCGAAACCGTCTCACAAGGATCCGACGCGCTCGTGATGCCGAATCCCCCCCTGCTGCTAGTGCTTCTAGGCGTAAAGCTGTTGTCGAGTCGTCAGATGACGACCTAGACAACGATTTTGGACTTCCCCAAGTCAAGGATATCCAGAGTATTTGGGATGACGAAAGGGCAGTAGGCAGAGATGATGAGGACGAGGCGGACTTGGACGACATGGACAACTTCATTGAATATGAAGACGAGGATGAGTCGGGCGCGGCGATGGATGAGGAGGAACGCGAGGAACGTAGAAAGGAGAGGAGGCGGTTGGAGAAGGAACGTCGGCGAGCAATGGGTTCCCGACCCGAACTTGCAGGTATCGACGCAAAGTAAGTGGTTTTATGAAAGCTTGTGTCTCGAAATATCTAATAACCTATTTCAGTGCCTGGGATGAAATCTACGAAGTCTTTGGTGATGGCCACGAGTTCGACTGGGCTTTGGAAGCAGACGAAGAGACTCCATTGGATGAGGAAATGCTAAAACCAGAGATGAAATATCAGGATGTACGTATCCTATTTGTTATTCATGCAGGAATGACACTAAATTCTCCATAGGTCTTTGAACCTTCCGAAATTCGTGCTCGTATGTTGACCGAAGATGATGACCTTATTCGGGCTCATGATACACCGGAGCGGATGCAGCTTGCGACATCCTCGTTGTCTTCGTCAGCTACTTTGTCCCTTCAAAGCCCCTTGACGGAACGCGACCTAGATGATGCTTCAATATGGGTCATTACACGGCTATCTTCGCGTAAAGAACGAGACTTCTTCTCACCGGATGGACAATTCCATCGCTTCCTTCCTGATCTCGTGCAAGCGGTCACTTCTGCTTTGCAATATCTTTTTATCCAGGAGTTCGAGGTTCCCTATATCTGGACCCACAAGCGCGATTATATCTCTTATTTCAACCCTGAAGAGCTGCGAACTCGGGTTGAGCTCCTCACCCTGGATGACCTGTGGCGGGTGTATACCCTTGGTCAGAAGTATAGGTCGCTCGTAGAACGGCGCAAGACTCTAGATGCACTATATGCACGTCTTGGTGTTTCCGATGATTACTTCGAGACGCACCTCCGACGAAGGGTTGAAAGTGTCGAGTTTGTAGCTGACGCGACTGAATGGCTCGGTATGAAGTACCGGGATGACAAGAAACGTCAGTTCGAGATGCACTTCCATGATGACGAGGAGCAACCGGAGACCAAGAAATGGAAGGTACCTAGTCGTACATCCGCTTATGAGCTTGCGAAGAAGAGCACAGTCGCAAAGCTGGCGCAGGTACGTTCTGTCCATGTATGTCATTGCAATTTGTCTGACTGTCCTATCAGGGTTTCGGTATAGAACCTCACGAAGTTGTCATCAACGTCCTGAAAGGCGCTCTTGAACATTATGTTCAGGACCCTGAACTGAACCCAAGTGCATACGCTGAACAATTTGCGGATCCTGATCCTGCAAAAGCTCGCCCTCCAGAAGAGCTTCTTCGTCGCGCCCGAATGATCTTCGCAACAGAGCTCGGTAAGGACCCTGCTCTGCGTGAGGAGGTTCGCAAGGTTTTCAAGGAACATGCGGAAATATCGGTGCAACCTACAGAGCGCGGTATTAACAAAGTCTCTGAGCATGATCCGTATTTCGTACGTCCCTTTTAGCAACTTCAGCGGTCGACTATATTGACTCATCCATTCTCAGAACTTCAAATACCTCCACAACAAACGTGCCATGGACATGAAGCAATCAACTCAGTTCTTGAGTATCCTCACGGCGGAGTCCGAACATCTGGTCACGGTCTCTATCCATATACCACCGGAAGCGAAGTCCGCCTTTGAGCGCAAGCTACATGATGCCTTCACATCCGAGAACTTCAGTGAAACTGCCCAATCGTGGAACGAGGAACGACTCAGAATCATACAAGAGACTATCGAGCACCATCTCATTCCAGTTGGTGTCAAATGGACACGTGAATGGCTTCGGGAAGAGTCAGAAGAGTATTACTGCAGGCAATGTGCGGAAGTACTTCGTGATGTAAGTCGATTCCCTTAATGGCAGTTGGTGATCTATTGTCTAATTCTTCTTATACAGCGTGTGGATGTTGCACCTTACCACTCTCCCGAGATGTCACCCGGAGATACGCCCAAGGTCCTAGCAATGTCTTGGGGTCAAGGCAACCCGCAGAAGGATGTTATTACTGTCGTCTACATGGACGACGCAGGTCGTCTTCGAGAGCACACGAAGCTTGATAACCTCTACGACGCCGAGATTAAAGATGAATTCATCGACCTTCTGCGACGAAGGAAGCCTGATGTTATCGTCATTGGCGGGTTCAGTATCGCGACGGCAAGTCTTAGTAAACGCGTCAAGGAACTCATCCAACCGCCCGCGCCTGATCCTCCAGCGAATGGATGGGACTCAGCTCCGCCCAGTCAGGAATCTTTCGACATCCCTGTGATCTACGTTTATGACGAAGTGGCTCGATTGTACCAGAACAGCAAGCGTGCGGAAGAGGAATTCAGCGCCCTTTCATCCATAGCGAAGTATTGTGTCGGTCTGGCTCGATATACGCAGAGTCCATTGAACGAATATGCTGCTCTTGGTGCTGATATCGCTGCTGTCTCTTACCTCGAGGGTGTTCACCATCCGGTTCGTCCTTCTATTTCTCATTTTGTATAGTTCACCGTTACTCATTACCTTCTAGATCCCGACTGATAGGGTTTTGACTGCTCTGGAAAGAGTTTTGGTTGATATCACCAATAAAGTTGGTGTCGATATCAATCGGGCAGTCACAGATTCGTATTACCAACATCTTCTTCCCTTCGTCTGCGGCCTCGGTCCTCGGAAGGCTCAAGTTTTAGTGAAGAAGATTGCACAAATTGTAAGTCTGATCAACGATACTCCACCCGTATATATGCTCACATATCTTTAGGGCGGAACTCTTGTAAATCGAGAGCAATTTGTCAAAAGCAATCTTCTGACGACGAAGATTTTCCTCAATGCGGCAGGTTTCCTGCGTATTGTGCAGAGCACGGACGGTGTGAAGGCGTCGAAGAACCGCCACGGCGAAGAGGCTGATGCGCCAGACCCGTTGGACAACACTCGTATTCATCCGGAAGACTACGAGTTGGCACGGAAGATGGCCACTGACGCATTGGAACTCGACGAAGAAGATGTGCACGACGAGCACCCTTCGCATGTTGTCAGTCTGATTATGCAAGATCCTGAGAACGACAAGAAGCTGGATGAACTCAACCTGGACGATTTCGCTGTCAACATGTACGAGACGAATCATGACAGGAAACGTCACACGCTGAACGTGATTCGCGCTGAACTGCTCAAGCCATTCGGAGAGATGCGCAAGACTTTCCCAATACCAAATGTTTGGGATGTGCTCGCCATGTTGACCGGCGAGAACCAGAATACGCTGCGTGTCGGAAACATCATCTCCGTTGTTGTCCTTCGTATCAATGAGAGTTTCGTTGTCGTCCGTTTGGATTCTGGCATCGAGGGCGTCATCAATGCCCAGTACCTGGCCGACCAAGCCACTCCTACTAAGCAAGCAGTCAAGAAAGGTCAATCGATCCAAGGGGTCATCATCGACGCGAAGATGAATCTTGCAAACGACTCTTTTTCAGTGGAGTTGTCATCTCGTCCCTCGGATGTCAGTGCAGGCGATATGCAGTTCCGCCGCGTCAAGCACGATGAGTATTGGGATCATGTGCAACATGACCGCGATACCGAGATGCAAGCCAGGAAGAAGCGAGCGGAGGTGGACCGAACGCGTCGGGTTATCAAGCATCCCAACTTCCACAACTTCAATGCAGGTCAGGCGGAACAATACCTCGACAAGCAACAACGTGGCGATGTTGTTATTCGACCTTCGTCCAAGGGTGCTAACCATCTGGCCGTTACTTGGAAGGTTGACGACAAACTGTACCAACATATTGACGTTGTTGAGTTGAATGCGGATCCATCTGGTCAAACTGTTGGAACGAAGCTTATCGTCGACAATCAACATCAGTTCTCCGATTTGGACGAACTTATTGTGAATCACGTTCAGGCTATGGCTCGTAAAGTCGAGGAACTGATGGCGCATGAGAAGTTCAAGCATGGGTCCGAGGACGAACTTCGTAAGTACTTATGGAACTTTTCCTTGTACATAGTCGCTGACATCTTTGCGCTGCTTGTAGATCTCTTCTTGAAGAACTTCGTCGCCGCCAACCCTGCAAAGAGTGCGTACGGCTTTACGCTCAACAGGAAGCGACCCGGTCACTTCAGTCTCTGCTTCTTGGCGAACAAGAACTCAACGGTGCAGACATGGGTGAGTAATAACGTTTTATAAGGAGATCGAATATTAACGTTATCCTTGTAGCCTGTTCGTGTGACGCCTGAGGCTTACTACCTGTTTGAGACGCCAGCCGCTGGTGTTCCCGAACTGTGCGATGCGTTCAAAGTTAGGTACGTACTCATCTTCTCTTCTGACTTGTTCGCTTTTCTCAATTGTGACAATTATTTAGACACCTGCACGAGTCACAAAACCTTGGTGGGGGTGGCCTTGGTGGCAAGACACCTTATGGTGCACGCACACCTGCCCGAACCCCGGCTCCTGGACATGCAACGCCTGGACGAATGTCTGTTCGTCATGTTGGTAGGACGCCAAACCCATACGGCGGGGCCCCAGGTGGCGCAACACCATTCGGAGCGCCTCCCCCATCTGCATTGGGAATGCCGCCACCGCCGACACCAGCGTATGCTGGTTATCAGACTCCTGGCTACGGTTCGCGACCAGCAGGAGCAGGTGCGCCTGGCGGTATGAACCCTCAGCGAGCTGCCATGATTCAGCAGTCAGGTTGGGGCGACGCGCCAGCCCCTTGGTAAGCAACGGAGGTCCTTATCTATCGCATTATTGTTTCGTTTTGTATGTCTCGCATTCTGTTGCATTATCCTATCATCCATGTATTTTATCGGTCATTTTTTCTACTTGCTTGATATTGAAACGAAAGACAGTTCTTTAATATTGTGAGTGTTCTGTGTGACGTCATGCGGGTAGTTGCTGCATGTGGTTGGTCCACGATCATCTTTCTTGTGCGCGCAGCTTTCACCATGAACGAGGTCGACGGGATGCAACCTTCTTTCAACCGCCATGTCAAATGATATCGAGTTAGACGTTCTCTCATCCAGCAGACCGACAGAGCAGACTACTGAGGACGCTGCTTCAGCCGGCCCTGACATCACCAGCAATGGCGAGGATCAGGTGGTCACCCTTTGGGCATATGTTTCAACTGCATTGTGAGATATTATTCTCCATAAATTCTATAAAGTTGAATTGACATTATGATCGGCTATATATAGACTCTCTTCTCTAGCTATTCTAATGATACTTTTCCCTGGTGTCCTGTTGTTTAGCGCAGAAACGCCGAGCGAGCATCGAACTACCCTCACATCCTTGGAATCGTACCTGGCTCTGAATGGGGGCATCATGCTACTTGCTTTCTCGATGGCACTGTTATTCAATGTGGGTCACTTTTAGAATACGGCTCAAATATGATTTTGATCCATTACTACGAGTAGATTCCGTCAAATGAGCCAATCGTAGAAACTGAGACTCAGAGCTCCAAGGGACACCCTTTGCTCGTCCCGTTGACTGTAGCTTGCACAGTTATAGCCTTCCTTTCGTATAATACAACAACAGTGTCATCCCTCGCCTTCCTTATCTTCCTTGGTGCAGCCATCATAGGCGGATGGGGTTGGTGGACGGTAAGGCGTGTTTATTTTCGATTTTACTTTTTATATCTGAGCACCTTTCTAGATATTATTTGCTGGATCCTCATACCGTTCACGGAAGACGGGGGCAGACAAACGAACGTCCCGGTTTCTTTTTGGTAACAGGTCTGCTGCATCTGTCCAGAAGAAACAATGGAAGAAAGAGCAGCAAGCTAAGGCTCGCTAGGATTCCTTGGAAACTAATTTATTGGTATCAGTACTCTGCTATTACTGGAATAATACTTCTGCAAAAAAAAACTCGACTCCCTGGACAATCCTGTGATCTGGGGAGGCTATCAAAATTCTATGATATATATGCTTGAGATAATACAACACAAAGAAACTACATAACAAAAGGGATAATATCTATCAGTGGATGTGTTTGATCTCGTGAACGAACACAGTCCTCGTCGATTCACCAAACCAGCCACGATTACTGCTAGCACTAACCAAGAACCTTGCTGCTCGATCAACCACTACAAAACCAGTCAGACGAGTGCGACACAATACAAGAATAAGGATACACTTACACATCTGCGAGATGAATCCGCCATGATGGCCAGGGATTATCTTGAACTGTACGCCGCTCTTCATCTTACCGGATGCGTCGGGTTCCCCAGCTTCAGCAACGTTCCATAGTCGTATGTTGTCTTGCGATGCGCTAGATAGTATTTTATTATACCAATTTAAACAAATGATCATTGTGCATATAGCTACGTACCAGGCAAGATGACGGCCATCCGGGAAAGCGACTACACAGGATACGACACCAGAGCTGACCGGGTTACGAAGCGTCTTCAATATTCGAGGTAAACCTGCAGCAGCAACTCCTAGTTGTCGAACATCGTATATATCGACCGTTCCATTTCGCCTCCCTGCGTATATCTGGCCCCCATCCGCGGACCAACACGCCTGTGAATATCATCGGTGTTAGACATGTGCTGAGACGAGACAATCAAATCGAACACTCACAGAGACACACCACGGAGGTGTCTTCTCACTCATCCAAAGCCGTCCAACACCACGCCCAGGCGTATGAACTCGCTTATCCCATAGTACAATTTGCCCGTCAATGGAGGCAACCATCAGCAAGTCAGGCGAGTACGTAGCATAAGACATAGGATCAAGTATAGGCGGTGCATTCTTTGGCGCACTGGCAGCAGCCCCTCTAGGTGGCTGGAACATTTGCTGTGGTGGTTGGGTGTAAGGCATTTGGTTCTGATAACCATGGGGCTGAGAGGTTGGCTGAGGAGGAGGTTGAGACCCATGATCAGTCTCGCCTTCCCCGTCAGCATCAGGTTCGTCATCGAACAAAGGGTCGAAAGAAGCTTCAGACTTGGCCTCGTCGTCTTTGGGAGGTTCTGCGGGAGGCACGGTAGGATTCTGAACATGAGAACCGTTTGACTGAGGCCAGGACGCCTGGCCGGTACTGTCGGTTTGCTCAACTTTGGGTTCCACTGGCGTCTGGGGACCCTGCGGAAATGCATATAATTCCTCATGCTTAGGAGGGTTGGCATCATAGAATGGCTGTTGCTGGTCGACCCAATGCTGCTGTCCATGGAATTCCGGGGCGACCATGGGTCGCACGGCGATCGCTGTAAGCTGCGAAGAGTGAGACTTAAAATTCCGGACCACTTGACCAGTATTCAAGTCCCATAACTGCATCGTGTAAGTACGATTCACTGGTTGCTGAAGTTGAGAAACTGACATAGGCTTCACTGTCCCAGCCGGCGCTATAGAACCCTTTCTCGTCATATTCCATCGCCATTGCAGAAACCGGACCACGATGCCCATTCATGACATGACATAAACGGCCAGGCTCATGTCGTACGGTGTACAGGTTAATGTTTCCTTGCTATAAAAAACATAAGTACCACAAGTATAGAATGATTTAAACGCGGTAACAATTGAAGAACATACGTCTGAGCCTGAAAGTGCCCACAGTGCGTCAGACTGCATGAGCAAGCTGTATGGTGCGCAAAGGGGGACATCCTCAGAGGAACCGTTTGGTCCAGTAAAGCCTACTGGATTCTCCCACCAACATTTGAGTTGAGCTGCTTTCATAAGGCCTTCCATAACTCCACAGTGATGCCTTTGAGGTGCAGTAAGGAAGACTTTACCGTTAACACCAGCAAAGATGTCGTAGTCGCGGATGTAGCCATCGTCCGAGCCTGTAATGAGATGGGACATACATACCGACGCCGCAAGAGAATGGGTGGGGACGGGATGAGGAATGGCACAGATGGCTTCAACAGTATATGACCTGGGGACGCGAAGATCCGCTAAAATGCTGGCTATACGTGCATGTGCAGGTGACAGGGCCCGTTGTGCGGGAACAGGAGTCGGAGCTGGGAGCATTGTTAGACTTTGAAGAAAAGGTGAGAATAAGGAGCGCGAACACCTTTGGCTGGAGGTGTCTGTTGTCTCGGAGATGACGGTCTACTTTGACTGTGACTTGGTCCCAATGGCAAGGGCGGAGCCACGGACAAAGGGTCTGCAACCTGAGATAATGGTGGCACGAGTGGCTCAGCATCTTCGTCTTCAGAACCATTGTCAGAATCATCTGTATCCGAGTCCTAATTGCAGAATAAGAAATAGTATTAATTATGATTATCAGGACTGAACCCACTAGAGAAAGGATTGACACACGTCTTCCCCTTCAGTTGCCTCCTCTGCAGCAGCTGCAAGGTCGCCTTCAAGGGCATCGAGAATATCGTCCTCTAAGTCGTCATCTCCTTCAGAGGCTGCATCGAAGTCAAGATCATCCAAGACATCTTCTTCAGAGTCGCTATGCGCCATAGATATATTATGAGATTAGTATCAAAGTTCAAGCGAAATGCATATGGTGGCCACGTTGTGTATGGTAGATGTTAAAGTGGAATGCACAGGCGGCTAACTCTGTACACGATCCACGATCATGGTCTTAGCGGACCTCGGACGAAAGCTCAATGCTGCTCTATCGTCGTTGAATAGAGCACCCGTTGTCGACGAGAAGGTCTGTTTTGGCATAGGGGATCTAGATGCAAGAGCTAATGGCTGGTTTCCCAGGTACTTGACGCATTACTCAAGGAAGTATGTGCTGCCCTTCTGGAGTCCGATGTCAACGTAAAGCTGGTATCTTCATTACGACAAAAAGTAAAGGCGAAGGTGAAGGCCTCATTAGAGAGTGGTGCGGATAAAGGCAAAGATGCAAACAGGAAGAACATCGTGCAGAAGGTGCGTTTACACCCAGATCCTTAGTCAACTGCGTTCTGACTGCATTTCCCCTTGCAGGCTATCTTCGATGAGCTTGTGCAGCTTGTAGATCCTGGCGTGGAGCCATACAAACCTAAGAAGGGCCAGCCTAATGTAATCATGGCTGTTGGTCTGCAAGTGCGTTCACATCATATCATATACTTGAATGTGATCAGCTTACTCAAGTCAATTCGACATAGGGAAATGGAAAGACTACGACATGCACAAAGCTAGCTGTCTACTACCAGAAGAGGGGATTTAAATCATGTATTGTCTGCGCTGATACCTTCCGAGCTGGTGCTTTTGATCAGACCCGTCAATCCGCAACCAAGGCGAAAGTGGCATACTTTGGTTCTTATACCGAAACCGATCCTGTATCAATAGCGGCGCAAGGTGTTGCCAAGTTCAAGAAGGAACGCTTCGATGTCATTATTGTTGATACCTCCGGTCGACATAAACAGGAATCGGAACTCTTCGAGGAAATGATTCAAATTGGGGAAGCTGTAAAGCCAAATATGACAGTGTTGATTCTCGATGCTAGTATCGGTGCGTCTTCTCTACTATATGCCTGGACATAATGGGCACTTCTCATTCAGTTGGTAGGTCAGGCGGCTGAAGCGCAGAGTCGTGCATTCAAAGAGAGTGCAGACTTCGGAGCGATCATTGTCACTAAGATGGACGGACATGCAAAGGGAGGAGGTGCTATCTCTGCGTAAGTTTTCTCTTCGTGACTGCCGTTTCCGATATTGATTCCTCCCTTGATTATAGAGTTGCTGCAACAAAAACTCCAATCATCTTCCTGGGTGTCGGCGAACATCTACATGACCTCGATAAATTCTCACCGCAGCCCTTCATCTCCAAACTTCTGGGCCTCGGAGATGTTCAAGGGCTGATGGAGCATATGCAAGACATTGCGACGCAGAATCCCGATAAACAGAAGGAGATGGCGAAGAAACTTGAAGAAGGCAAGCTCAGTATTCGTGATTGGCGTGAACAGATACAAAACGTCATGAACATGTTTGTAGCATCTCTCCTAGCTTTGACGAATTTGCTGACTGATACTTCACGCTTCATATAGGGGACCATTGTCCAAAATTGCTTCCATGATCCCCGGTCTTCCACAAGAGCTGATCCAAGGTTCCGACGAGGAAGGCGGAGCACGCATGAAACGCATGCTATACATTACGGACAGTATGACTGCCAGCGAGCTGGACTCAGATGGTTCACCGTTCATGGAGGTTGGCAAAGACGGCAAACCCACAAGCTTAACATGGCGAGTTACTCGAGTTGCGAAAGGTAGCGGGACCAGTGTTCGTGAGGTCGAAGAGCTGCTCTGTCAATATCGCATGATGGCAAATATGGCGAAGCAAGCAGGAGGCAAGAACGGCTGGTTACAAGCTATTCAGAAGATGCAATCCGCCGCTGGTGGAAGAGGTCGCGGCGCAAACGGTATGCCCACACCAGCCCAAATTCAGGCTATGCAGCGCGCGATGCCTCCCGGCATGCTTCAACAACTTCAGCGACAAATGCGTGGAGGTGGCGGTATGCAGGAGATGATGAAGGCAATGATGCAAGGTCAAGGTGGCGATCAAATGGACATGGAGGAGATGCAGCGTACGTGTCTCTCACAGCTCACAAGCATTATCTTGTCCCTTACATCTATCGTTTCAGGCATGATGGCACAGATGGGCAATGGTATGGGTGGACTTGGTGGATTAGGCGGCCTTGGTGGGTTGGGTGGACTGGGTGGTGGTATGCCTGGTATGCCCGGCATGCCCAACATGCAGGATATGTTCAAGATGATGGGCATGGGAGGAGGGGCCGGTGGAGGACGATAGTACTTCCTCCTCCATATACATTGTAGCGATCTTCTTGTATTATACCGATTCTACCTTATACTCTTGGATGCATATGTATTGTAATTCCCTCGCACATGAGGTCGATACCTACCATTCGAAGTCCGCCTGTACTCTTAGTCGCAGGTCCTTATAATGCCACCATTCATGACGCATAAGGCTTTGAAGCATGACTACTTGAGTAATGCAAGTTTGCGTTTCACACAGTCACACAGAAACATAGCAGCAACACCTTTCCTGTTCCTGAGAAAAGTACATACAAAGGAACGACAACCACGAAACCCCGAATGCAGGTTCTGTACAAAAAATACAGCAAGCAGAGCAGTAGTACGACAGAGGAAAGGTCACATCATCAATACACGGGGAGGGGGATAACGAACGAAAGCCAGAACACTGGGGTGGCGAGATCAAAGAATACAGCTTGTGATACACAATTGATAACGAAACAACTCATCGAAAACGCAATGAATGATGAAGCCTCTCCGCTAAGCCTCAGGGCCGGCCTTGTCCTGGAAGTCATGCAAGACGGCGAGAGCCTCGTTGACCTTGATGGCCAGTGAGTCAGGAGTCTCGAGGAGGTGGAGGAGCTCGGCGTTGTCCATCTCGAGCAGCATGCCGGTAATCTTGCCAGCGAGTTCAGGCTCAGCTCTATGAAAGTGAGAGTCAGACAAGTAATAAGACTAGCGACCAACGAGTAAAAACTTACGGCGCGATCTTCATGTAGAGCACCTCACCAAGCATCTGCTTTTGCTCCATGGGAGAAGCGCTAGCGAGAGCAGCAGCAGAGATGGCAGCAACCTCACCAACTGGGGCACCAGCAACTGGAGTGGCAGGTGCAGGCACGGCAGCGGGAGCCTGACCGGCGGGAGCGACGTTACGTGTTTGTGGGTTGAGCTTATACTGTTGTCCACGGCCTGCGGTAGGAGCACCTCCACGAGTGGGGCCGGCTCCCTGGGGACGAGGGACGGCGCCGTTGGGTGCAGCACTGAGCTCAGCGGGAGGAGGTGCACGGCCACCCTGGTGAGGGCGAGGGGGACCACCGCGAGGGTAGCCGGGCATACCACCGTAGGCCTGAGGAGGAGCTTGGCCATAAGGAGGCATAGGCATACCGGGAACCTGGCCGCTGGGAGCGTAGCGAGGACGAGGAGGAATCATTCCAGGCTGACCATAGCCCATCATGCCACGACCACCCTGAGGGGCGTAACCGGGTCCAGGAGGGTACATGTAGGGATAACCACCAGGCATACCGGCGGCGGCAGCTTGCTGCATCCGGATCTGGTTGCGCTGAGCGATTTGGCTCTCGAGCTGCTGGCGACGGACTTCGCGACGCTGAGCGAGGGAGACGTAGAGGGGCTTGGTGCCGATCATTTTGTTGTTCATATCCGCAACGGCCTTGGTTGCTTCGTCGGGGGAAGAGAAGCAGACGAAACCGAAGCCCTTGGAAGCACCCTTCTCGTCACGCATGACCTTTACGCTAGTGATGGTACCGAAAGGTTCGAATTCGGCGCGGAGACGTTCGTCATCGATGTCATCCTCGAGGTTCTTGATGTACAAGTTGGTGCCTTGGTACTTGCTAAGCTTCTCAAGCTTAGCCTGCTCGTACGACCTGCGCAACTCCTCCTCACGCTCAGCCTTCTTCTGAGCTCGTGTTACAAACAACTTCCTGCCCTTGAGCTCCGAGTCATGGAGGGTATCAACAGCCTTTTGGGCTCCTTCGTGATGTTCGAAGTTGACGAAACCAAAGCCCTTGCTCTTCCCCTCGTCGTCAACTTGGACGACAGCAGAGGTGACGGGGCCGAACTGCGTGAAGAGTTCCAAAAACTCATCCTGAGTAACCTCAGGGTCCAAGTTCTTGACGTAGATGTTGGTGAATTGAGCCTTCATCTCCTCCATCTTTGATTGACGCTCCTGTGTGCAAATGTTAGGCACAGCTGTCTAGAAAATTTTCATGAAACCTACCTTGCGAGAAATGTGGTGACCGACGTAGACTTTCTTGTCGTTGAGAAGCATGCCGTTGACAGCCTTGATAGCAGTCTCAGCAGCCTCAGCCGTTTCGTAGTGAACGAAGCCATAGCCCTTGGAACGGCCATGCTCATCGGTGGCAACTTTGCAAGATAAGACATTACCGAACGCGGCGAAAGTATCGTGCAAAGCCTTGTTGTCAATAGCCTCATCGAGGTTCTTGATAAAAATGTTGCCCTGGCCAGTCTTGCGAAGGGCAGGATCACGCTGGGACCACATGATACGACACGCACGTCCCTTGATAAGGGAGTAGTTGAGCTGCTCCAGAGCACGCTCACCTATAGCATACATGAATTAACTCCGCGCATACAATGAAAAAGACATGAAGGGACACGTACCATCAGTGGCATTAAGATAGTTAACATAGGCATAGCCGAGAGAACGACGGGTGACAGCGTCGCGGCAAACACGGATGCTATAAGATCATTAGCGACAAGCTCCTGCACGTTTCATACAGTGCCACTCACCTCGCGACCGGTCCAATCATGTTAAATATCTCGAAAAGCATGGCTTCAGTGACGGTGGGATCGAGCTCCCCGACATAGAGAGAAGCGGAAGGAGCGGTGGAGACCTGGGGAGGAGGGGGGTTGTAGACAGGAACGGGAGCCGGTGCAGGTGCAGAAGGGGCGACCTGGGGAACGGACTCCTGAGGAATAGCATCCTGAGGCTGAACGACAGCGGAGGCAGACATTTTTTCTATTGGGGTTAAGTGGGGGTCGTTACTGCTTTGTGGACTTTTCTGCGACTGCTGGCGGGTGATTAGAAATTTGGTACGCGTTGACAATGAGGCAGATACGCACACAGGAGGCTACAAGGTAACTGCTTTTTGTAGGTTTTTTAGGGAATAAGATTTTTTGAATATGCTTTTGACCTGAGGAGGAGTCAGTAAGCCAGGAGGGCGCACGACTGGCGGTGCGGGGACGTACCTTAGATGACGGTTAAGAGAAAACAAGCCAGGCGCACGCCCCGAGCTTTATACGGATTGGGTAATCCAATCAATTTCCCTCAGCAAATCTTCAATTGTTTGGCGCCCATACAATAACAAAAGAAATCCATTGTTCGGTGGCCACAATGGAGGCCAAAACCATCCAGCGGTGAGCAGAATAACATCCATTGTACTGTAGCATACAGAACAGACTAAAAATAATTAAGGGAATACATAGTCACACTACAGTTCCAAGCTTAAGTAAATGCGAAAGACGAAACGCAGCCACAACGCGATCAAAGGGTAAAACAGTGCTCAACCTCGCGTGAAGTACGCCTTCGCTCCGTGCGTCGCCAACTCTGTCTTTGCCTAGAGGGGTAGTATATTTGAGTGAATTGCCAAGACAAATGTCGTTCCATTAACGTACCTTCTCGACGGAATGACCAGCTGCTTTGTGGTGGGCCCAAATCTATGGAACAAGATGAGACAAAGGAGGCTATCACCCCATCTAATTGTCCTTACCTGACGATAATAGAAGGCGTTGCCCAAGCCTTGAATCACCCACCCAACTGTTGCAATGATACCGATTATAGCCGCTACCCAATGGTGACCGGTGAACATCCGAATCGTTTGGATAAGCCCAGCGGAGCCAGTACTGATGCGGAAATGTTAACAAATCTAAGAATAAGAATTCGTCAGACCCAGGGGACAGACCTAGGGATACCAATAATCCTAAAAATATGATCAGTAATGGACAAAAAGGAATGAGCCGCTTGCATCCGCTTACATGTAGATTGAGTAAAGGAGGTGGAATCCTCCAAAGAAAAAATACAGGTCTAGAGTAATACATTAGTCTGCATGCAAAGAACAGACTCGAGAATTCGCACAATAATAGAGCGCTTGCTCCTGAAGAAGAGTGAGTAATACACCTCAGTAGAGAATAATGAACGTACCTTCATGTAGCCATTGTATATCGGTCTGAAAAGTGGTGAGACACTTGGAAGAACGGTATACACAGAAACTCGTACCGGTACCACAGCAGGAACGACAGTGGTGTAATGACCAGAAGGTATCTAGAGTTGGATATAGTACACTTGCCAATAAGTAGCACTAATATCTAGTGAACTCACCCTATACTTGAACCCAGATCACTGCCGCCACCAGCCGCCCCAGCGACAAGGATGAATATGCAAGCTACCATGTTGATGACAAGAGTGCCCGCAAGCACAAGCCATAGCTGATACAAGCGAGTAATGAGAGGTCTTGAAGCCTCCGGTATTTCATCAGGTATTGAGTGGAATATGAGAGGGTAGACTAGAAAGCGGAAGTGCAGCAGTCAGAGACTGAGAAGCAATCCGCAGTTTAACGAGAACGAACAAAAAGGCCAGTTATTGCGACCATGCTTGCGGATATGTTCTGCTTTTTGGTTCAGTTCTTGCTCTCGTCGTTCAAGGTCTCGTTCTCGTTGGCTCAATGCTTCGAGTCTCGTAGCACTATCGTCCTTCGGAAGGACAGAATTTGATGCATATGGCGTAGGGTCGTCAAAGGGGTTCGCATCAAGCGAATGAGTAGATGCAAAGGGGTTCTGTGTGAAATTGCCTGCTGAAGGTGAGCGACATTTTTCGTTTCTCAGGGGACAGCAATTATGTACATACTCATGGTACAGATACAGACAGCAGGACTAGGTCAATCGAGGTGTAAGGCAAGTATTGGGCGCTCCAGCGTCATAACCAGCGACAATACGGCTGCCGGGCGGTGACCCCGAGCGGTAACGGCCATCAGTCGCCATCACAATACTCTGACGGCCGGCGATGGACGGGACTAGCGCTTATGGAAAGGCGCTTGGCGAGGGATAGATGGCACCAAGACAGACCAAGACTAACAGATGATACTCAACGCCCGCGCGTATGTCTTCGATCATTGCTTCATGATCGAAGAACGAGTTCATGAAGCAACGAACATGGCTCAACTGGCTAACATGGATCAAGTGCAAAACAATGGCTGTCGAGAGGAAACGAACAGCATTCTCTGTTGACATGACATTTTCGACCTCCATTATTACGTGCCGTGCCGGGGCCGGGATCGGAGAAGCTCCATTTCCATTTCCATTCATTGTTCAATATAAAAAGCAGCGGGAAGGACATCGAATGCTGTCGACCTGCTCTCTTACCTTCACCTCGCGGTCTTCATTTCCTCAAATTTTCCCTCCCTGTCTCTACTACTCGCGTTCATCTTTGACGGTATGTATTGCTTTCGTCCTCCCTCTGCACTTTAGGCTCTCGTGAACTGACTCTTCTTCGTCTCCGTGCAGTCGCCACTCCCTTATAAGCACTCCCTACGCCGACATTTTCAGTCGTCCCTACACTCCCTTGCGTCAAAGTCTCGACCCATCCACTTAGTACAGTCATGTTCAACTTCCTCACCCTCACTACCATCGCACTCTCTGCGTTCTCCGCCGCTAATGCGCTCGTCATTCCCCGTGCTGCTGTTCCAGCAAGCTACCGGGTGGACATCCTTGAGGTTCGTAAAGTAACTCCCGATATCAACACAACTTGACTCACATCTATCACCATCAGCCGTATGCAGACTATAATAGTCGCTACATGGCAATCGGTTGCCAGAATCAGCATGGCTCTGCTTTCTTTGATACCTGCTGCCACCCCTTGAAGAAGGGAGAGACCGTGGAGAAGAACCGTCCAGTGCAGTGCAACCCTGCCAACGTTTCTTCCACCTCGGTTCCTTCCAGCAGTGTGGCGCAGCCTTCCGCAACCCCTGCCCCTGAAGATGACGGTGACTGCGAAGATGAGGAGCCTACCTCCTCCGTTGCCCCGTCGGTCACACGTGCACCTGCTGCCTCGTCGTCTAAGTCTGCTGCACCATCTTCGGCTCCAGTCAATGCTGCTCCCGCTCCTCCAGCACCTTCCTCGTCTGCCGCTGCTCCCTCTTCCTCTCATGTAGCATCCTCATCGTCTCCTGCTCCTCCTAAGGAGACTCCTACCAAAGCCACCCCGGCTTCTACCAAGCCTGCACCTTCGCCCGCGCCCATCAAGTCCGTCAGTGGCGGTGACCTTGTCACAGGTGGAGTGTAAGTCTAGCTTTGTCTCTGGTCTATTCATATCGCTCACGTATGCGTGTCAGTGCTACCTTCTTCTTCCAGAATGGCAATAAAGGTGCATGTGGCGATTTGCATTCCGACAACAACTTGATCGCTGCTATTGGTATGTTATCTGGTCAGGTGCAATTTTTCCTGTCACTAATAGCTTCATGTTATAGACGAGAGGCGTTATGGCAACTCTGGCAACAGCTCCCCGCTTTGCGGCAAGCAGGTCGAAATCACCAACACGAAGAACGGCAAGTCGGTCACTGTCACCATCGCTGATGACTGCCCCACTTGCAACAACGGCAATTCCATTGATCTTTCCACTGGTGCTTTCAACCGAATTGCCACTCCGGAAGAAGGAGAGGTTCCAATTGCCTGGAGGTTCCTCTAAGCACCGACCTGCAGATTCCTTCATTCCACATTCCCTCCAGTTCATCTCTAGGGCGCATTGATGCTGCTCTCTTTTTCTTCTCAGCATGGGGCTAGGACCCATGTTTAACATCCAACATTGGGCTAGCGTTCAATAGTTCATGACGGCGAAGAAACGTTCCACGAGACTTATGACCCCGGTGGTAGAGCCCCTAGATCTTTCTTTTGAGGTCCGCCTTGCCTGCACGCTATCCACGATGTTTTATGTTGTTTCTTTCATTTCTTTCCAACAAGCTCCAGAATCCTCATTGCTGTATTGTTAGTCCATTTTCATTTGCTTGGTACTTATCCACTCTTCATTCCTGCACGCTTTGGGTTCCAAGAGGTTGTTAGATACTGCTTCCTGGAATGTTCGTGCGTTCTGCTAGTACGCTGCGCGAAATGTTAATATACCTTTTCTTGTTACATTTTTCCTTGCCATCCTTGAGAATCGCGTTCTTCAGTCTCTGAACGCTTTCAAATTCTAATGACAGTGAGTCCCTGAGTAATTTCAGTGAGGAACAGACACGATCAAGCTCGGCAATCAATGCGCCGATCTCTTGTAAAGGTTACCCTCGTTCCGTTGTTGAAAGCCCACCACCGCTAGCAAGACCACACCCTGCCGTCCTTAACTTTCGGAAGGTAGTTGAAGATCTAAATGGAACCCTTACTTCAGAAAATCCTAGTTGTAGGCGGAAATGGATTCGTTGGTATGAAACCCAACCTCTCCGTATCCTCCCTACATGCTGACTCGACCTGCTTGCTATAGGGTCCGCTGTCTGCAAAGCTGCCCTCGCACGAGGGATGCAGGTGACAAGCATTAGGTATGCTTGCGCTCTCTCCCCTTAGCCATTCGCTACATGCAAGTTATCCATTCATACTCTCGACTTGACAGCTCGTCCGGTCGGCCATACACGACACCTAAAGGCCATTCTCCGGCCTGGACATCCAAAGTGTTGCTTTCTGCCTTCATCTCAGCTTCGCATCCAAGCTCACGCTTTCTCGTTTTCTTCATCTCGTTAGGTGAATTGGCAGGCAGCTGATGCACTCAAGCCAGAGTCATACGCACATCTCTTGCCTGACAAGAGTGCTGTCGTACACACGCTGGGGACGTTATTCGAGGACACGCGTTATAAGAATGCGTTGAAGGAGGGTAACTTGCCTGCGTTATTCAGTGCTTTCATCTCAGGGAGCGCGAATTCGCGCTCTGATACCAATCCGCTCAAAGAGCCCAAGAAGGATGGCAGTTATGAGCTGTTGAATAGAGATTCCGGTATGTATCTATGATTCCTTATGGTTTCCTTGTGCTCCTGTTCATGCGCTTACTGCGTCTTGTTTGACTTTGGTAGCGTTACGTGTGTTGCGAACGTTCCTCGACACGCAACCTGAAGTTCCTCTGAACAACCCTCGTGCATTCGTGTTTGTATCTGCTGAAGACATCTTCCGACCCTTCATCTCCGCTCGCTACATCGAAACCAAACGGGAGGCAGAGTTGGCTATTACGGACATGGTAGCAACGCGGCCAGACGTCCGTGAGGTGCTAATCCGACCTAGTGCGTACCCAGTTTCCCAGAAGCTCATAAGCTAATGTGGTGCTTAAACTAACGTTGTCCTTTACTCTCACGACAGGTCTGATTTACCACCCTCATTTCCGGCCTCTGACGTCTCCCGTAGCGGCGTTGCTTGACTTTTCAGCAACGGTTCACTCTAGACTACCCCGAGGCCTCCCTACGCCTGCCGGATTGCTCCGTTCTATCGCCTCGAACACAAGTTCGAAGTCACAAGGTATACATGCATCGTTGGTGCAGCCTTCGCCATTAGATGCGATAGCGAACGCGATGACGATTCCACCCATTCATGTTGATCACGTTGCCGAAGCTATCTGTACTGCGGTCGAGAACGAAAGATCGGATGTGAGGGGTGTGTATGATGTACGAGGGATGAGAGAACTGATCGGTTGGCACGAAAAGGGACAAGTTCATGATTCTTCTCGTCCTCTTCAGCATGTGTAGACTGAGTAGTATTACCTACCCTTCATTCCCTGGGCATCTTATATTTTCTGTGGGAATACGCTTGCATTGTGTGAAGGTTCAAGTTTGCAATGATAGACTATTGGAAGCTGTCAGATGATAGAAGCTGTGTGCCATTTGTGCCTAACGCAAATGCGAGGATTACGCCAACGGGCGGCACTCGTGATTCCTTGGAGAATCAACGGTTGGGGCACGCTTGGGAAAGTCATGAAGCTCGATTTCTTGGAAAAAGTCGAGGCCAGTCCAAGCCCTCCCTCTTCGTCCTTTCTCTCTTTCCACCGTTGAAGCGTTGAAGTCCTTTCCAACGTCTGCTGCGGGATCGCGAGTGGGACGACATTCGTTGGGGTAATGATCTCGTTACGTGAAACAAGTGGTCCGACCAAACGTTTCTAATATTATGACACAGGTCCCGTCCGCAATTCATAAGGCTAACAGACTCTCGGGCTCTTCACTTGCACCCACCATTCTGCTACTGAATGTCTGTCCTTACTCGAGCACCGTCTGCAGCCCCTAGCTTGCGCCAACGACCGATCGGCGTGCTCAACTCATCCAGGGGCTTCGGGCGGTCGCATACTGCACACAAGGCTCTCCCGTTCTCTCTCCACAATGTCGGGACTTCCTCTGTGGGACCTGCGTCAAGTGGAAAGTTCCTCAGGATGTTGATGTTCGGAAAGCCGGGTGCGGGGAAAGGAACTCTTTCGACGAGACTGGTGCGAAAGTATGAGATCCTCTCCTTGTCGACGGGAGATCTGTTGAGGCAGCATATTGCTGAGGGGTAAGTGTGAACATACATATATATTGTTAGGACGAGCTTCCGACCTAATACCGTGGTTTAGCACCGACGTGGGGCAAATGGCAGAGAAAATCGTTGCTTCGGGTGGTCTCCTTCCTGACGAAATAATGTTAAAAGTTGTCACGAGTAAGCTAGACCATTTGCACAACAAGGTCGGTAATGCTTTCTATTGTAAGCATTTAAATATACTTATGCGCTACTGCAGCATTGGATATTGGATGGGTTTCCCCGTACCTTGGGCCAGGGACGTCTACTTGATGATCATTTACGGTACGTCCTGATTGGCTTCACTCCCGCGTATACTACATGTAGCTCATGTGTTGTGTAATTACAGACAAAAGGCCACACCTCTGAGTCTGGTTGTGAACTTGGACGTGGCCGATGAGATTATTCTCAGTCGCATATCTGACCGATGGGTCCATCTACCTTCGGGTCGCGTCTACAACCTCTCCTACAACCCACCAAAAGTTCCAGGTCTCGACAATGAGACTGGAGAACCATTGACAAAGCGTCCAGATGATAATCCTGTAAGTCATTAAGCTCTAGCAGTAGCTGACTATTATCTGACATCATTATAGGAGGTCTTTGGTCGTCGCTTGAAACAATTTTATGCCACAACCTCTCCTCTTCTCTCTTATTTCACTTCGACCGGTACCACACCTCTTGTCACGCTCACTGGCAAGACATCCGATGAGATCTGGCCACAACTGGACGGATTGATTCGTGCGAGGTTCCCTTGCATCAAAGAACGCGCGGAGACGAAAGAGGCGAAGAGACGAAACAGCCTCTCCGAGGCTGCTCTTCATCGATCAGTATCCACCTCAGCGACCAAGTTCAATTCATGACCATGTTCCTTCTTATATTCTTTTTACTATGGTGGTTTTGTTGGTGACGTTGTATGATATCCTTCCCTCGGCCTTTACGCCTGTATTTCTAGCTCTCGCTTTCTCTTTTGTTGTGGATTCCGTTAATAGACGATGGTACTGTACTAATTGTAGTACTCGAACAGTTACAATCATCTCAATGCATACCTGGTTCAGACTGTCAGCGAACGCTTGAGTGATCGGGAGTCATTAGACACTCACATCTTTACGTCATACAATCCTTCCGGGAATCCTCTCTGTAATCGTTCGTCAAGTAACTCGAGACCTGCATCCGTGAAAGCTTTCTTCCATGCCATATCAGATCTAGCAATGAACTAATAAGTTTTTCCCCATGTGTCACATAGTACCAAGTATTACCTCGTCAAGCTGGAATCACTTTCGTCAAAGATGGTTTTGGGACCGCCATCCTCCATATCGGTACACAAATTTTCCTTGACCATGATGATACTATTCTCAGGATCGCGGAGTGCCTTTCGACAACGGCGGAAGAAAGCACCAAGGTCTTGATCGTTGAGATGTCCAAGACACCATTGACACCAGATGACATCGAACTTGGAATCGAGATCGTCTTCTGGGGAAACATAACCTACTCTGCCCACGATATGTGTACCTTTACCAGGATTTGAGGGGTCGAAGGTTTGTAGAGTTCCGCGAATGAACGTAACACTTTTTGTCTTTTCTTTGATACCTTTCCATCGTGTGGGCTGACCATCTGGTAAAGGGTTTTCGCTCGCTGATGCTGAACCTCGTCGGAAGGCTTCGCCAATGAAGCTCTCTACAGGTTCAACAAGAACAACGTCGTGAACCAGGTGCAGAAGGACATCTGAAGTTACGCGACCAACGCCTGCGCCAACGTCAACTGCGCGAATTCTTCGGTCGATCGCTCTAGGTTCTAGAGGTCGTACCGCAGATGGCACGGTGCATAGCTCGGGCATCATGTATTGCAGGAATCGTCTAGATCCAAGTGCATCAACTCGAGGCAACGACTGCAGTCGGTATTTACTTTAGTTTGGAAGCAATGTCTGAAAGGTCGAGAGACATACTCCAGTGCCAAAACCACCTGATAAATCGATTACGGTCGGCATTCAGATAATCAGTACTGTTCCGTACCAAGAACGCCATCGTAGTTGGCTGGCTGATTATTCCAATATTCTATGCCCTCTTGGACATCGGGCTGCTGAGGAAGGGTTTCGTCCGTGACAGACATGATCGTGCTGAGAAGCAAGGCCACAACGGTCCGGGATGCCGCTTGCATGGCTTAGTTGCTCACAGCGTTCAAGGGCGTCCATAAGGGCAAACAACACGTCCAGACGCGTCGTCTAAATTGCAATACGCGTCTTGCACTCGCTTCACAACATGACTGACTTGGATTCAATCTGGGATCTTCCTGTAGAGAATTCTCCCCCAAGACGACGATCACCTAGTAGCGCTGGCCCAGCAAAACGATCCACTCTCTTTCTTTCCGATTCCGAGGACGAAGCTCCAAAGGAAACAGCACCTACACCTCGCGTCACCAAGTCAAACCCCGATATCGACGCGTTATTCGATGATTTAGACGATGAACCTGACGACGGTGGTCCACTCTTTGCGCCGTCGTTGGACGTTGAAGCATTGAGATGTCAAGCAGATGCACGAAACGCGAAGCTTGCTGCACTTACCCCACACCAAATCCTACCTAGCAGCTCTCCTCCACGCGACCTTGGAAATGAAGATGGAGGAGATGGCGGAAAGAAATCTGGTAAATCCGAAGAAAAGAAAAGGAAGGCACTGCCGAAGCTTGATGAAGCACGGTTGCTCAGTTCAGAAGGCTTTCCTACGCTGATAAAGGAGGCAAAGAAGTTTAAACCAAAAGGAAAGGGTCACGAGGTAAGCATCTGAAGTCATAGACGTTTTAAGGTGCTGGAATTCGCTTTGCGTATAGACGGCGGACCTCAACAGGGTGTTACAAATGTATCAATTCTGGACGCAACGGATGTATCCAAAGATGCAATTTCGAGATACGGTGCAACGAGTGGAGAAACTCTGCCATTCAAAGCGCATGCATGTACGTTGCATGTTTATATCTCATGCTAATCTATTGAACATGCTTGTAGGTAGCTCTCAGTGTATGGAGGGATGAAGCCAAAGGTCTCATCAACGGTCGCGACCCACATGATCCTATTGATCTAACCTCCGACGCCGAACTTGATGACTCTGACCAGGAAGATGAGCATGAAAAGCCAGATGCACCAGCGGACGGTGTCTCTTCCAGAGCAGCATCCACGCGCAGTTCTCCGGCCGCACGTCCACCTTCATCTGCTTCAGAACCTGCCCAGAGCAATCCTAGCTCTGACTTTGACATTGACGCAATGATCGAAGAGGACCAAGAACACATAGGTGTATCCGAGCAATTACCACCAAGCTCGCCACCCCTTGAGGCTTCAAACACCATCTATCATTCTCGCGCAAACGGTCCCACGGCGGAGGATGACGACGAAGACATGTGGAACGAACTGGATGCAGGCTTTGACTACTCTGCAGCTGCTGGAGCAAGTGAGCCAACAGCCGGTGGAGCTCGCCAAGTCACTTCTACAGTCATGGAGGATGATGAGGATATGTGGGACATGGTGCGAGAGATCGAGATGGAAGAGCAGGGTGATGAAGGTCAAGTTAAATCAACTAAGCCTACTAATGATGAGGGTTGGGATGAAATGTATATATGATGAGCTCATTGATCTGTGTTCTTTGCCTGGATGATGGAGGAGGATACATGATCATCTTTGACTCTTGAGGTGTTCCGAAATGATCAATCTTGTACCAATGCAGTGGCATGCGATAGTGTAATATATTGGGATATATATTTAATGCTATCAGCAGAGTTCAATGCCCCATGGCTGAGTTGGTTACAGCGTCCGACTGTTACTTACGTAATCCGCTTACGTAAAAACGCATCGGAAGGTCGAGAGTTCGAGCCTCTCTGGGGCAGATGCGTCATTAGATTGTGGAGTACTGTCTACACCCTTTTTTTGGCTTTCCTGCACTCTGTTGTCTGCGTACAAGCAAGTTGGGTAAATTGGATTGAGCTTGAAGAGTATCAGATACCTTGAGAACATAATTTTGTAGACTGGCATGCTTCCAAATTTTGAGCTGCTTGAATCTAGTAGCCTGCCTAATTTGGGGTCGACTTGTTGACCTGGAACGGCACAGTGAAGCCATTGATTCTGCTTCTCAACTTGCTCTACTCCAGTCTGATTCAACATGTCCGGAACTGGCCCCCGGGAAAACATCTTTCCTACGCGAATGGCCCTGACGAACACGAAACTGCGTCTGAAAGGTGCACAGACCGGCCACTCCTTACTCGCCAAGAAGCGAGATGCTCTAACCACTAGATTCCGAGCAATCTTACGAAAAGTTGACGAGGTATATACTGAACTCATGTGCTTTTCCTTTTGCGCCTCATAATGCTCATGTAATTGGGTTGCGTGCTATGGAGTAGGCGAAGCGGAAGATGGGCAGAGTGATGCAATTGGCTTCATTCTCACTCGCGGAAGTCACATATGCGACCGGTGACATATCTTATTTGGTGCAAGAACAAGCAAAGTCGGCGACTTTCAAGGTCAAAGCGAAACAGGACAACGTATCTGGTGTCATCCTGCCCGCTTTCGAAGTTGATCGTGTACAGGGATCAGGTTCGCGCGTTGCATACTCTCTTACCAGGATTGCTTACGACGTATATTCATAGACTTCAATCTCACTGGTCTCGGACGAGGTGGTCAGCAAGTACTTCGATCAAAGGAGGTGTATGCCAAGGCAGTTGAGACCCTGGTGGAACTTGCATCATTGCAGACTGCTTTCACCATCCTCGATGAAGTCATCCGTGCAACGAATCGTCGCGTGAATGCTATCGAACATGTCATCATACCACGTCTTGACAACACAATCAAGTATATTGCTAGCGAATTGGACGAAATGGATCGAGAGGAGTTCTTCCGGTGAGCTGGTCAATGTTCACCAGACCTCAACAAGACTAATGCTAGGTGTTTCAGACTTAAGAAGGTACAAGGCAAAAAGAAACGAGATGCAGAAGCATCAGAAGCTCTGCGAAAAGCTGCAGCAGAGCGATACATCGAGGTTGAGGATATTCAGATTGGAGGGGGTGGCGGTGACCTGATAGACACCAAAGACGAAGACATTATTTTCTAAGCTCGCACTGTATATTATCACACTCGGATGGACTTCCTTTTGCATAGCTGGAGAGCCGTATGATAACGAGTAACGAGACCGGCATGGATGTGTATTGCAGCCGAAAACTGACAAGGAGCAACATATCCAACCACCAGACGAACTTTTCATGGCGGAAAAAGCATGGTAGATAGCTTCATGTAGCATATCGGGTGCGTGAGTGCGCATACATACATATGACGTTTTGAGATGCAATGCGAAAGCCAGAAGGAACGTAAGATATAAAAGCCCAATAGACGGTTACTGTTGACAACAAAAGCTTTAGAACGAACGATGCTGGAAACGACAAATGAGACTTACGTCGACCATCTCGACATCCTCACCCGTCCTGCTTGATGCAGCCTTCTTCCGGTCTTTGCGCTCAAGAATTGCCCGCCTGTCAAGGGATTGAGACCAGTCATAAGATACGAAATACAAGTCACCAACCTGTCCTTGTCAAGTTTGATGGTGGTGATAATGACATTGCTGGGGTGAATGCCAATGGGAGTCGAAGCACCATTGGACTTGTCACGCTGAACACGGTCTACGTGGATGACCCATTTCTTGCGGTACACTTGGGTGACCTTGCCTTCCCGACCCTTGTACTTTCCCCGCACAATCCGAACCTCGTCGTCCTTGCGCACCGGTAGTGATCGGGTCTACAAAAGCAATGATGATAAGTTTCCAGTGCACCTTTTGACATCGGACTTTGCTGCAAACGATTGACATACGTTGTATTTGGCGCGGAGCTCCTTCGCGAGAGCAGAGGACATGATTTTGCGGCGAATGGAGGAGGGGGCCGCGAAGTGCGCCTTGCGCGACTTGCGCCGGGAGGAGGATGTATCTAAAAGATTCCATAGCAGTTAGTAAGATTGCAGAACGCACTTTCCAATATGCATGCAGAGCCAGTCTCCATCTCATCTACACAACATCCAAACTTCACCCGTCCCATCCACCCATTTCCAGCACTCTCCCGGGCCAAATCTCCACGTCCAGCGATCCGACAGCATACCAGCAGGATCCAGAGAGACAAACTAACCAGGGTTGAACTTCATCTTGCGGGTCTTGAGGATTTGTCGGCGGCGACCACTGGTTTTGGTGACTTTCCTTGCACCTTCGATGCACTAGTCTCGTACGGCCCGGGGGATCTGAAGGACCTTCTAAATCGGGACACCGATCGGTCTGGATCCGAATGGGGAAGGCGTCAGAGCCTGTGTCGATCGCATTGCTCAGTAAGTTCAAGCTTTCAATTGCACTCGCTCAGAATTATACACTATGTCCGACAAAGTACGCCCAACCAAACTCAAATTCAAAGGGGAGAAAACAAAAAAGAAGCGCAAGCGTGAAGACTCTGAGGAGGGTGGAAGCAGTCGACGTCGTCGCAAGGACGAAGACGAGGAAAGCGCAGACAGTTGGGTCTTGCCAGAGCAACCGAATGATATACGTGGACCGACGTATATCTTGCATCCATCAGATCCCTCGCCAATATGTATCACCTATGATTCGACTCGCGGTCGCGTTGTCCTGCATTCGGTCGACAAGGATAAGACAGAGGACGGCACACAGCCTGCGTCCGTTCTCGACCGCACACCAACAGAGGTTTCACAAGTATGGGTGACAACACGAGTTGCAGGTTCACCCACCATAAATTTGCGTACAGGAACCGGAGAGGGCAAGTTCTTGTCGTGCGATAAGCATGGCCTAGTCTCTGCCGATCGAGAGGCAAGAGGTCCGCAGGAAGAGTGGACACCTGTTGTCTTTCCGGATGGTATGGTGGCCTTCCAGAATGTCTACGAGAAATATCTCAGCGTAGATGAAGTCGCTGGCGGCGCCATTGCCCTGCGTGGAGATAGTGAGGAAGTCGGCTTTCGAGAACGGTTTTGGGTCAAGATTCAGAACAAGTACAAGAAGGAGGCGCATGACGAAGAGAGGAAACGGAAGGAAGGCATGTCGACGGATGCAAATATTGATGAGGCGTCCACCAAGTCAGTTCTCTATCTCCCCATTCTTCGCATTCTGATCACGCTACTCTTCCAGCAAACTATACCAAGCATGGGGAGCAGGGCGTACCATCGTTTCAGCAGAAGATAAAAAGGCGGTCCGTTACATTTCATCAGAGATTCTGCCCACTTATTAACAATTTATTCAGTTGAAGAAGGCAAAGAAAGAAGGCCACCTCGCAGAGGCATTATTGGATCGTCGTGCAAAATTGAAAAGGTACGCTTAGTTTGCCTATTTCGAGTGCACCACACTGATATGATGCATTTGCATGTTCTTAGTGACCGATTCTGCTGACTGGAGTCTCTGGTGATATCAGGGCAGTCGACGCCTGGACCTGTCATCGCAGTGCAGACCGCAACAGATCTAGGTAGACTTATGAGCGAAGCTTATGCCTTTTCTGTCTAGCTAATCTTGTTCCTCCCTGTATAGACTTGACGGTCGTTGGATCCTTTAGGTTGTGTGTCTATATCTCAGGCTCGATGCCTAGGAATTGTATACTGTATTTGTATCGATATCGGACATAATTGTACTATCCTTACCGGTGCTACTCTATTTTTCTACGTCTTTTCACACATGTTCATCGAACGTTCGTCTCTTGAGGATGATATTCACACCGACAACGGAAGACGCTTGCACCAAAGTGGATTCAGGGATATGGGCGCTTGACCAACGTGACACGCGGGACGCGACTGGTAGTCGTGCGCGCCTCGAGGCGCGTTTTCATTGCACTCTCTTTTTGCCACCCCCGCCATGCATGTCCACAAGCCCTCCAGCGTTGCCGAAGCCTACCGGACTTTAGGACTTGAGGAGGTAGTTGCACGTATTGTATGAAACTCTTGAGTGGCTGATGAGATTGTGATTGCAGGATACATCCCTTGAAGTTGTGAAAACAACCTATAAACAGGTATTGACTATTAACATCGAGACCTTTGCCGTCATTAACTGAATAATGCATGCAGCTTGCCTTGAGAACACATCCTGACAAGAATCCGGACAATGAAGACGCGACGGCCCAATTCCAACGTATAGGCGAAGCCTATAGCGTCCTCCTTAAACACCTTGACACGACACCGAGACCTGACAGGCACACACATTCACACGGTTTTGGAGGATATGGAGGCGGATATGATGACTATGATGATTATAGCGACGAAGAGGCTTATTACTCCGATTACGATTCAGAAGACGATTACGAGGACATGGCATTCTACATGTTGGTGGCTCTTCCAAATATTTCACCTTCTTTCCAAACTAATGATACGATAGGTTCCTATTTGAGGAAATGCTAAGGAACCGAGCTTCCAGGCACTCTCATTCACGTCAGCGACCGTGTCAAACTTAAGATTGAACTATGTTCTGACATATCCACAGGATATCACCATTTCAGAACTCACGCACCGCCGGAGACAGACGAAGAATTTCAAGCTCGTCTTCGCCGTCAACGTGTGGAACAAGAAGAGGCTCAGGCCCGGCGTGAAAGAGACGAAGCTGAGCGAAAGGCCGCTCAAGAAAGACAGCGTATCAAAGGTTTGTTCTTGTCTTCCAGCTACATAATAAATACCTTACGCGCCTTGTGATAGAGCGTCAGGAAGCAGAAAGGCGTCAAAAGGTTAAGGCTTCAAATAAGAAAGCACAAGCTGAAGCTTCGCGGAAGACTGCCGAGACCAAGGCTCGTCTTCAATACGAACGTGTACAAACACTTCGATCGGAAGTGTTTGCGGCAGCTAGGAATGGAGACGCTGCAAAGGTCAAGATGGGCGTATGGGAGAACAATGTTGATGCAGCTGGGGGCGAAATCAAGAAGGGCGCAGAAGAATTTGTGAAGAATCCACCCACAGACCCGTTGGAATCCCTCATGCATATCGCCACCGCAAGGGGAGACGCCGGTCTTGTGGAGCTTCTGGATACTCACAGTAAGTGTATTCTGTTGCAATTTAATATCTGCTGCACACAACGTAAATCCCAGGCGCCGATCCCGAGGAACGCAATTCTACTGGATTCACTCCTTTCCACCTTGCACTTCACACACGCCGCACATCCATCCTCAACTATTTCTTATCCACCTACCCACCTGAAGACCCGGATCACGTAGGTATCTATGAACCTCCACCCTCGAAGACTTTGCTCGGTCTCGCTGTCGATTCGGGCGAGCCAGAGCTCGTTTGGCTGATTTTGGACAAGGGTCTTGCTTCGCAAGAGGATATGAAATCTTCATGGGAATACATATCTTCCAAAGGTGGAAAGCAAGCTCTTCTAAAAATCTCAGCATCCAAAAAAGGGGAAGAGCGGCTGGAAGAGATCACGAATATCCTAGCAACATTCGGCGGTTTCAGCCGCCTATCATTATCATCTGACGCATCCGAATTTCAACCTTCTCAGTCAATCAAGACCAATGGGAAGGCGCAGACACCTGCAGCAGTCAACGTATCTACCGACGCATCTAATTCACCCACCCAAGCTCAGCGTCCATCCGGTCGTCCTCAACCTGGCCGGAAACGAAAACAGCAAGATCGGCCGCCTAGTAGCCCAACTAACCCCAGACCTGTGGAGAGCCCGACAGGGCTGTCTACTGCTTCGACCTCACCAGTAAACAACACACCCTCTGACCAGCCTTCATTTCCAAACGGAGGTCGCGGCCGAGGGAGGGGTCGAGGACGTGGACGGGGCGGCTTTAGGGGTCGTGGCCGAGGTGGACCACCGCCGTCTGCCAACTCTCACTAATCGCCTTTTTACTGGACTCATTCTTTTCTTGCTGATTATCTGTTTTGCCGCATTTGTCGAACTCACTTCTTGCACTTCCATTACTTACATTGCACTAAAATCATGCACAGCTATCTTGTTAGAAACATATCCCACTTCATCATGCATCTCACCACAGAACGGTCCCTTCGCCCGGTGTATAATGTACCATTGACCTATTGATAATTTGCAGTACTCTAGCCCTCGCGCATTTCAAATGTCTATACTACTTTCTCAAGTCTGCTGCCTCATGCGTGTTGGGAAGTCTGGATTCGGTGTTCCCCGCGTCACCAGGACAGGCAAGTGTGGTTGGTTTGTGTGGACAATCCGAGTTGATACACTTTCGCAGAACGGCCATTCACGTTATTCTGAATCTAAGCTGGGGTCCCCGTCGTTTCTACTCGGAAGCCTCTGTTATGCAACAAGGAACTCAGGACCAAGACGCGGATGCCATGAACGTTCTCTTTGCTCTGACAGCCGGGAAGCGATAACGTTAAACCATCACGCTTCCCATGACCCTTTCCAGATAAGTTCATTTCAGCAGGGGCAAGTTGTACCATGTAAACGACTTTGTCCATTCACGCTCGGAACAATTAGAGCTGCCCGGTGCCTAGTTGCAGATCATCTTATCCGTCAATTCCCTTTGTTGTCTTCTGAGGTTCTCCCACGTAGGCGACAAGGCGGTCAGCGATGAGCGACAGCGCTCATCGTAGGCCGAAGCAAGGGCAAATAATCCCCAAACCCAGGTATCCATATCAAAAGCAGCTCAGTGCTGCTGGTAAGGGCAAACGCAGTTTACAGGGACAGATGCAGCTTACCGGCAAGAACTCAAAATTCTACGAGTTTTGCGTGAGTGCTTGCAACTATCTTGCCGGTACCAAGTCTCCTACCCTTTTCTCAGAAAACTATGGAGAAATTGGTGTACAAACATTTCGACGTTACAAGTACTCGCCCAAACCAGGATGCACTAAAAGTGTTCGACTATTACGATGAGGTAGTTCCCTAGTAACCTAACCCGTCACGGCACAGTTAACTGAAGTCAACAAATAATGTCATTTCAGGCTAAGGCCTATCCTCTCATGAGTCGTTACCATGGGGCATGGCCGGTCATGGCTTATGCAGAAGCATATCTCAATGAACCCGCCTGCCGTTTAACTTTGAAAGAGCCCGATGTGAGTGCGGAGACATGATCTTGGAAGTTCAAGTCATCCATTGTCCCGTACAGCCCAACGAGACGGACACGTCTGATGCCGATGCCGATGGTCTTAGAAATAGAGCTAGAAGGCAACGTCAGCGGCCGATGAGAAACAGATGCTATGTCGTGGTTCCAAGTGAGAGCTCCCAGAGACCTCATAATTCACCAATCATCATTTCAATACTGCATCTACCTTTTAGGTATATCAGCTGTTACTGCCCGCAAAGCTAAGGTTAGCTCTTAACACTATTGCGTGCACACCTGTCATCTAACTAGTCGTAGGCTACCAAACGATTGTCGCCGGCAGCTCGCGATGTCCGACGGTTCCTAGCAGGCTTGGAGACGCCTCAGACGAAGTTGCTAGACTTGTTCCTTCAACTTGGGGTCAAATCTCGTACAGAACTTGAAGGCATATCACGTCGTGCTACATTGCGGGATGCTGTCTTGAAAAAGCTGCAATCAGAGGGTAATCTTACGCAGAACCAGGTTCAGGTGATCAAGAAGGGTCTCTTCTCATTAACGAAGGAAAGATGGCGTACATAGTAAATACTGATGGCCCAGTTGAGGATGACTTGGACAGTACACCATACACAGGTCGAATCGCGAACCAACAGTGCGCGGCAACACTACAGTACAAAGACTAGAGCAAAAAGAACACCAGAGAAAGATTACATTACAGTGCGGTATAATGAAAGGACTCAGGCAGGCTAGTATCGCCGCCCACGTGGAGAGCGTGAACGATCCCGGTCTCTTCGTCGATCACTAAGTGAACATATTAGTAGGTTATCGAGCTGTGAAAGGAAGGTCCACGTACTCATAACGAGCCGAATGACGATCATAACCTCTGTCGCGGTCTCGGAAGTCGCGTTCACCACCTCTGGGAGGAGGTCCACCTGGGGCAGGTATACCGCCTCCAGCACCTGCTGGTGCAGTCGACGGTACAGTCGATGGAGGGCCCATCTTGCGCTTATCACGCTCCTCCTTGAATTTGGAAAGCATATTACGCAGCTCGTGATAACCCAGATGCATCTGCATCCAACGAGATTAGCATAAATGGTGATATAGAAGATTACTACTCTTAGCACTCACCTTACCACCGAAGTGGTCTGCGAGTCGTCGATCGGAGTCGAGCACTGAGAGATATGCGCCACAGACGTCGCAAACACGAAGCTTCTGATGCCCCGAGGCACCTGAGGTATCTGTGAGTTGTTGCAACTCACGCTGCAGGGACAGACGTAAACTCTCAATACGACGGGTTATGGGAGAGTTGAACTTACCTCCTTATCCGCCTTCTCGCTCTTCAACGCCTCGATAGCCGCCATCTCTCTCATTGACTCATCCACCTTTCCTTGCTCACCAAGCGTCTCAATCTTCTCAGTGCCACCTTGGATGGCAAGCTCGATTTCGGCGATTTCCCTCATCTAGAAAGATGATACGTCTATGAGAAGGATATGTGAAACATGATATAACGGGTACCCACCAAGTTCGTTGTCTTCGCATTCTCCTCAGGTGTCTTCTCTAGCCTCCTATGCGCTGAGCGAATCCTGCGATCACACTCGTCAACGAATGCAAAGATGTTGGCTTCGTATTCCATCTGGAACTTGTGAAATATAGGGTTGTTGGGGTCCTTTTCTCGCGCCTCGAGGAACTCTGTCTTGAGTCTTTCAGTGTGCGACTTAGGGCAAGCACCAAGGTCCATTTTCTGTCGAGCCACATGTCAGTCACTTCATCACACGATTTGCAGGAAATACGAACAGTATTGGTGAATAGCGTGTGCGGACATGTACCACAGAGGAAGTTCCTGCAAACTTTCTCGTCGGACCAGACTAGGTTGGCATTCGCAACACCCATTGCCTCTGGACCCATCATTTGCTGAAGACAATGTTAGCATCGAGCTCCAGGGGTCGAACCCATTGTCACATACCTCCAAGAGCTTCCTTTGCATCTCCGCGAGTCGACCCATGTTGTGCAGACGCGATAGAGGTTGCGAATAAAGAACAAAAGTCAAGCGTAGTGGTGGTATTGGTTAGACAGGCGCCTTTGTCTGTTCCTCCCAAACAGTCGTTTAGCGCTAGGTATGCGCCTTTAGATCGGGTTTCTGCCCTAGAAAGTTTCTTTAAACTTTGGTTCCTTTGGTAGAGACACTCAAAACTTGCATCTCTTCTGTGACTTTCGCTTGAATTCCCGACAATGTCACGGCCTGAGCTTGTTGCTCCTCCAGAGATCGTAGGTCGCTCAAATTATCTACATTGAATAAGAACTGATCGAGATGTAGTACTATGGTGATACCGAGGCAACGAAATATACCAACAAGTACGATCATTTTCAGGACTGAGAGCACCTTTGGCATGTTTCTGACTATGAACAGCTCCCGTATACAACAGATTCAAGCAGATATGACCTACCGAGCTCTGGAGTTGCTTAATCTGCCTCCCGAAGAGCCTGCGTTTCTCCTCGATATCGGATGTGGTTCGGGTCTCTCAGGCGAGATTCTAACTGAGGAGGGCTATGAGTGGGTGGGCATGGATGTGGCACCCAGCATGCTGGGTATGTTCTGTCTCACTTGTCTGACCCTCTAAAAGGAAACCTAAAACCATTTCAGAGGTCGCCCTAGAACGTGAAGTGGAAGGGGATTTGTTCTTGCAAGACATTGGTCAAGGGATGGGGTTCCGACCTGGAAGCTTTGACGGCGCAATCAGGTACGTTCGTATAGCAGTAGCTAATCACGTTGGTTCTCATCAGCGCTTTACAGTATATCTGTTCTACAATGGCTACTGAATGCCGAAACCTCTCATCCGACATCTTCACCACCACATCGGCTAACACGGTTTTTCACGACCCTGCATTCTGCACTACGAAACCCTTCAAGAGCCATATTTCAGTTCTATCCTACGTCGGACGATCAGATTCAGCTTATAACATCTATCGCGCAAAAGGCTGGTTTTGGAGGAGGTGTTGTGGTCGACTACCCTAACTCAAAAAAGGCAAGGAAGGTCTTTTTGTGCCTATATGTTGGCAGTGGTGGAGGTCAGCAAGCACCTAAGGGTCTGGAAGGTGAAGAACAGGAAGTAGACGAGAGCAGGGCAAGGTTCGAGTCTCGCAGAGAACGAGTGAAGAAAGGCGACAAGAAACGCAAGCAAATCAAAGGCAAAGAATGGACTTTGCGAAAGAAAGAGGTATGTACGACATATTGGTGCGCGAATTGTCCCCGCCTAACATTTTACTCAGTTGTATCGTCAACGCGGGAAAGAAAGTGTACCTCGCGACTCAAAATACACTGGCCGCAAGCGCAAAGCAGTTTTCTAAGAACTGGTTCCCGAGCAAAGCCATTCATTAAACTTGTATAGCTACGGCGTATGCTGTTCTGACAAAAGCGTCCTGACACCCTCGACCGCCTCCCTCGCCTTGCTCCTGATGAACAACCCCTGCAGCGCAGCCATACTTACTCTCCTGCCCGCATGCATCTGCTCCTCGATCATCTTTTCGATCGTTGAACCCATTACTTGCAGTTCACTTGCATCGATCTTCTCCCATCCGGCGTCTTCCGCTTCACCTTCACTATAGAATCTCATGAAGAGCTGCTTGGCCTGTGAAGGGTTCGCATCGTCTATTCGAACGGAAAGATCGACACGTCCCGGACGTATCAGCGCTGGATCCAGTCGTTGTGGGTGATTGGTGGTCATGAAAACGATCCGTTCCTCTCCTGATGCCACACCATCGAGTGCGTTCAAAAACCCGGAGAACGTCACCGAGGATTGATACCTACAACAATACACCGTGATAAATACATTCGTTTGGAACATATTCACGCTTACCCATCTTCGCTAGTTTGCACGCGTTTATTGAAGGCTGCATCAACATCCTCAATGAGAACGAAACTTCTTTCAGGTGTATTGGAGAGCAAATGGATGAGTTTGTCGTCGGCCAATCCACGTTCAGATAAATTGAGCAGACAGATGTCGTAAGATAGTGAACCAGCAAGTGCCTGTATGAAGGACGATTTCCCTGAGCCTGGAGGACCGTGGAGGAGATATCCTCTCCTATATGGAATACCTGAACCAGTGACGTGAGACGTAAATACCGAAGGCAAAACAAGACAAGATGATCATAAATGTATACCTCGGTCCGCATACCATTGGCGTCGCTTCAAGAAAGCCGACACGTCGTGTAGAATTTTCTCAGCAATGCCTTCTTGCAGTACGACACTGCTCAGAGGTCGCTTCCGCCGAGGCAAGCCGAAAGGCTTCCACTCAATTCCCCAAGGTGTGTGGATGACAAGCTTCCCCTCGTGGTTTCGCAAGGCGATATCTCGTGCTTCTGCCAGTAGTTCTGGAAAGAGGCCCCGGTCGTGCGAAAGCGTGGTGAGAGTAATAGTTTCCCAGGGAATGCCGGACATGAGATTTTGAGATCGAGTCTCTCGTTCTCTTTTCACCTATGTGGGCGGTTAGACTTTGGTCGCGTCTTGCAAAAAAGCTCATAGAAACGCATGCGATTATATTTACCTGTATCCATGCCTGTCTGAACTTCAACCAGTGTATGCCGGGGCCGGCTACAAGTTTGAAGCCAACAGAGGCGCTTCCATTTTTGCGTTGTTCGTAGGCAGTTTGAACACTCAGCTCATGGCTTCGCAGCCAAGACCGTGGGGATAATATGCTTGACTTTTGTTCTGCAGTCACAGCGGACTGCTGCTGTGCCATCCAAGCAAGAAACCAATCGTACGATGGGTCCTTGATATTGACCTCAAGCGTCACAAGCATGCGTCGACGCAGAGCATTTGCACCCAAGTGGAGACCTTTTCTGAGAGCTGTCAAACCAACTCCCACACCCTGTGTATCGCTTTGAATGAAGGACGTCACGAAATAGTGTGTAGCTTGCCCACCATAAGGCCAAATCCGGCCTGGAAATAAGGGCTGAGCTTGGATATCGATGTCAGACCCACGAAACCGGGAGTTCATACGAAATGCGTACTTGTCACCCAGCAAACTCGAGAGTATCGATGATGCAGAACCATTGCCTGCTTGAGCAGGTCCCGCAAGGGTATTTGGAGATAACGGAGTTGGGAGAGAGGAGGCTACATTTTCCACGGACATGAGAACCTGTGCTACTTATGCGAAGACAGGCCTGAAAAGTAAGGAACAAGGTAAACGCAGGCGCGTTCAGTTCAAGAATGTGGAACACGTGGGAACGCAGATCGAGATCTCAATTCTCCGTCCTCTATCTTGGGTATAGACCATAATCAACAGCTCCGTTCTTGTCTATTGTTTCCGATATCGTGAGTATTGCTCTGGAGGTGTACGCATGTAAATGACTATTGGAATGGTATCATTGCTTGTACCAAATAGCTTCGTTGGCCCGCGGTGAATGGCGAACATATTACCTGCAGAAGTGCGGGGTGATTGGGCTAATAAATGAAAACATCCAGTTCAAAGTAATGATACCGGTACCGAACTCAGAAGTGTTATCAAAGATCATATGACACACGACCGGATGCTTCCATGATTGTATATAAGGTTGTCCCTGTATCCCGGGCTGTCAAGCATCTTTTCCATCCAACTCCTCTGCTAGTATTGAATATTCATTGGCACCTTATCTGTACCAGCCCACAGACTGTATACTAGCTTGTAAAAGTCAGAGGTGTGCCTTTCTAGTCTCAATGACAGACTTGAGAGCCTTTTGATCAACCCTCTTATCTCACTAGCCATGTTAACTAGTGATTCCAATGAAGACTTGATAAAGATGCCTACAAATTATCCTAGGACAATACAGTCAAGTTCGGGTCAACAATGCTCCTTGCAGCACCAACTAGGTCTTGAGAGCAAACCACTTCTATTTCATGACCTATGTGTATGTTTCATTTCTCTTTTTTTTCAGGTCTATCAAATTATAGTATTTATTTATTAAATACAGATGTCTTGGCGTGCAAGTGCCCAGGCTACTTTGAATCTACATCAAACATTTATTCAACAATCCAAGAAAAATATTCACAAGTTTTGCCAACAAGTATGTATATATCATCCTATCATTCACTTTTATTTCTTATTTCTGTCAATTGAGGTTCAGCAATCCACTCCATGGATTCTCAAATATGAAAACTGCTGGCCTGCAAAATTCTATGTTTTTATTTATCTTCGCCACAAGGCAAGTGGTTTTAGAAAGATCATGGAGTATGTCTTCACATTGATAACATGCGACCAATTCTATTACCAATAGGTTCGAAAGGGCAAGGTGAGTCAAGATGGTGTAAAGTTCAAATATTTCTTAACTCACATTGTATTCTTTTGTTAGAAAACCAGCACTCTGATCACCCAATTTTATGCTCATCAAGCTGTGGCTGAACCATCTCCACTAAAGGGTGCAGCTATTGTGGTATGTACAAATTTCCAATCTAACCACCTGGTGCATTCTCATTCTTTATATTTAAAAATTAGGGAAAAGGCATTCCAAGACATCTTCGCATTCTATCTGCCTCAGACAAAGCCATCAATAACTTCTTAAACTCACTTTGGATTCCACAACCAACTCTACTTCCACTTCTTCATTCACTTGGCATCACAAGCTCATGGCACCTTAAAGCCTTTGCCAATCTGACTAATCAGAAGAAATGGCTAGAAGATCTGGTAGATTAAAAGAAGCTCAACTATGTGCAACATCTTGTGCTGCATGAAGGTCTCAATGATTTGGCCTCCACTGATCATATCTCAACTTTCCAAAATCCTCACACAATCTACTCAGTCTCAGCCTTTCTAGATCTCTGTCATCCAAGACTCACAGCACTTCTTCCACATTTCACAAGACTTGGAGTAGACTCACCCACAGAGCTCAAGCAATTTGCTTTGGACCAAAGGAGTGGTGAAATATTGCAAGGAAGACTTGTTGAAGAAGGAGAAATGACCCTTCTTGAGCTTGAGATACTTAAAGAGGGATTTGCCAAAATTGCAGATAACAGAATTAAAGTAAAAGCACCTTCACAGCATAACATTCAGTATGATTTTAATTTATGGTAGTGTTTGGAGAACTTCCAATATTCTTCCAATATTCTTTATATATGTATGCCTGGAAGGTGTATATAAAAAGATAAAAGTATGATCACATTTTTACCAAAGATCAGATACTACCTGAACTTATGCCAGTGATAAATTGCATCTCAAGTATGTAAGAAGAAAAGGCAACAGCATACATGCATAGTATTAGCCATGTAAACACATACAACAGAGGTTATTTAGGTCCTCTTGGTGTAGGCACAAATTGAGTTCTCTGTCCACTGCCATTGACATTCCTAGATGATGGATGTGGAAGAGCTGTTTGATTACTTGATGCCGTAGGAAGTACAAAGCGCTGAGGGTGACTAGTCTTTTGCTGTGGCGGGACTTGATTCTGCGCGAGAGAAGGCAAAAAGCGGTTCAAATTGGCATTAGAGGTAGTTTGTCCAGACTTCCGGAGAGGAGTAGCAGCAGTCGGCCTATTCGAGGCATTGGCTTGCGGCTGCATCAAATCAACAGAAGGGTGTTGTAGGTGCGCAGGACGTAGGGTCCATCCGGACGCCAGCTGTGGAGTCGGCGGAGGAGGCATCATCTTCCTAGCAGAAGGGGGCGGCATCATAGAATTCTGAAAATTTGTGTTTGCTTGAGAGGATTTCCGAGCGTTTGACTGATCTGCGAGGCGTCCAGGTGTGCGCGAGAGCGCCGGCATCGCACTTTGATTGAGCTGCTGAGTTGGCGGAGGATCATAGGCAAATTGCCTGAATAATCGATAGGATAGTGGTAAGCTTCAGAGGGTATTTCACCAAAGAATAATCAACATACTCTACAAAACGACTAGAACCAGGACGATCTCTGGGAACAGAATGGCTGCTCATGTAGCGAGCTTGAGAATGCTGGTATATGCTGTCGTCACTGTTAAATTGCTGTCGCATGGAGGAAGTTCGATGTTGCTGAGCCACGGGCAGTGTCAATCTATCCGGACCTACAGCGATAGTTATCGACCTAGGACTGGAATCGCTGTGGACGCCATTTGCATGCCTACAAAGCAGGAGGCAAAGATAAGGTATGCATCCACCAAGGACACAGTACGGAGACATGCCGCTTAATAGCAGTCATCCGTCTCTTGCCGTTGACATTGACAGTTTCGGAAGGTTCGTACTGACCATACCCCGTGTAGTTGCGCAAATGCTGATTCTCGGCCTGCAACTCTTCAACTTGTCTATAGGATGAAGTATAAATAATGAGCGAAATGAAGAGCATGAGATGGTTGACAGTTGCTCCACGAACTTTCGCAACAACTTCTTCTCCTGCACGTCAGCTTTGGCGCGTTCCAAGAGGGAATGTTGCTGAGAGCACTTCCGCTTATAATAACGCACAAGAGACGCCATAGTTTCTATTTGAAACTATATGGCCGTCAGAAGTGTAGACAGGCGTTATAAGGGAGGAACCAGACCCTTATGGAGTAAGCTACCGCGTCCATCGCTTGAGGCGCTGAACGAAACCAATCTGACATGGGCGCGTCCATCTGCAAAGAATGAAGGGCGGTTATACGGCGATTGTCAATTGACAACGTACCTCTCTCTGCAAAGGTGCAACCTGGATGCCTTGTGCTCCGCATTCGGCACAACGTTGGTCGGGTCCTAAGCGGGTGAAGAGCATTACAAGCATGAAGTAAGGTTTCGAAGCGTTCCTACTCAGATGGTGGTTGCAGACAACGTGTCCACATTCCGTAATCCAGAAAGGTACTTGAGGCTGTCCACCAGCGTCCGTTGAAAATGGCAGATGGCAAGACGAACATGCGACAAATTCCCAGAAGTCGAACTCAGGCTGTACATTGGAGTCTATTTTGGACATCGCAAAGCAAGATGCTGTGAGGGATTCGAAAGGAGGCTATATGCTTCCTATTGGCTGTACCACCTAGACTGGCTACGATAACAGTAGAAAGCAGGATATGAAGTGCAGATATTGAACTTAACGGTATCGAGTAAACATGCTACCGGCTTTACAACCGAAGTTAGCATGGTGTCTATATCTGCGCGGCACTTTCCGATCACACCCCAATCTGGAGCGACCAAGATCGCAAGCAGCGGCATATTCTATCTAACTACACCGTAATTCGCCCTTTCCTTCCAACCGCCCGCCTGGTCGTGGCGGCATGTCGGTCTCACAGTCTCTTCATATGGCGCGGGGCACCCCGCTCTCACCCTCTGTCTCTACAAAAGACTGGACGTTACATGGCTTGCTGAGGGAGGGCAAAAGATTCCAAGAAGTACCTCGAATTTCTGCATCGTCGCCACACTTGATAGAACGAATTAAAGCCTTTGAAATGGATGGAATTCCACTTGTGATTGAAGATTGGCATAAGGAGACAAACTGGCCTACTGCCATGTTTAGCGTCGATTGGCTCATGGCTCATTTTGGAGACGACTGTATGACCTTTCGCACACTTCAATGGCACACTGACGTGCTCATCGTTACATACAGCCATTACTGCCAGAAATGTTCTAGACCGAAGTGACAAGAAGCTGTCTTTACAGCGCTTCATAGACCAATCTCGTGCACAATCCAGAACAGGTGAACGCGGTATGCCATTTTCCGCATTCCCAACCTTCTTCGCAAGGGTGATCTAACGTAATCTTTTGGTAGGTGATGAACTACTGTACGGAAAGGATGCGCCTTGTCCTCGGCAATGGTCTCATTGGGTCAGTCATGGTGATGTCCTGCCTGCTAGCATACGACCGGGTGCCTCGAATGACCTCTTTCAGCACTTAGGCGACACCGTACGTGAATATTTATTCCCGTGCTTTGCTCTACTTATATTCTTCATAGGAGGCAGTCGAGTCATTGATGTGTTATCTTGGTATTCGGGATACCTTCACCCCCGCCCACAAAGACCTCTGTGCATCTTCAGGACAAAACATCATGTGTTACACCGAGGACGACGGTTCCTCCTTTTGGTTCATGACGGAGTCTAAAGATGCCCCCGATGTCGAAAGCTTTTTTTCAACTCATATTAGAAAAGAACTCGACTGGGAAGATCATGTTACAACTGTGCAAGAGTTTGCTCAAGCACCTTTCACCGTCTATATAACCGAACAGAAGCTCGGAGATTTGGTGTTAGTGCCTCCTCGAAGCTGCCATCAAGTCGTGAATCATGGCGGGTTAACTATCAAAACCTCATGGTCGCGAATGACGGTTGATGGACTCTCGGTCGCCTTGTATCACGAATTGCCTATGTATCGACGGTGCGTTTGTCTGCCCAGATAGTTTTTTTTTTTCGATCTAATTTTCCATGCTTGTTGAAGGGTCTGTCGACCTGAACAATACCGAATCAAGCATATCTTGTACCGCTCCCTCATTCATTACACAGCCGAGATCAAAACCATTCGTTTTCGAAATGCTCCTGGTCCTGCCGCCGACACCCTCCGTAATCTGACCAATGATCTTCAGGCACTACTGTCTTTATTTGACTTTGTCTTACATGAAGAGTATACAGACGACCATAAATTGTTGTATCACGTTAGCGAGAAGACGCACCACACGATCGCTAGGACTTCTCCCCGAACTTCTATTCAATTGCAACCAAATGCGACACTCGTGCTTCGACCGCCTAACGGACACTCCAGCTTACAGAACGAAGACCCGTTAGATCCAGCTTGCAACCTCATGTGCGACTTCTGCGGAGCAGACATATTCCAGAGCTTCTTCGAATGCAGAGATTGCGGGCCTGAGTTTGTCGAACGCTGGGGAACGGGAAACGGGCTATTGATTTGTCCGTTTTGTTATGTTGAAGGCCGCACATGTGCGTGCGGTTCTATGGAGCCTTCTCAGTGCCGACCTTTTGAGCAGCTTATCAGAGCACGGAATGACGCTCAAGTGGTCCTCAAGAAAAGCCCTTACTGCGATGTTGACATTCAGCCGGTTGATGAAAAGTACGGATACGCTTTCCAATGGCGCTTTTGATAAACTCACGCATCATGCAGGCAGCTTTTAAGTTTACAGGGCATCTCGACCTTCCATGCAGGATGCCTTCTTCAACGAAGGCGAGTAAGAGCCGACAACATGGTCAGTGGCTACCTGTTCTCACTCGCACGGAAGCGAGACTTATAATTATACAGCGTGTAGCCAATCGCAGGTGCAGTGTCAAAAGGATTTCGCATGATGTTCCATATCATCAAATCGTATCATGTAACCCCTGCCACCGATCTACATGCTTCAAGCATCTTCTGAAGTACGGGATGCACTCATCCGAGATATTACCGGTAATGCACGAAGGGCAGGAAAGCTGGCACCAGTATCATCAGACAAAGAAAATAGATGCTTTCAGAGCTGGCAAAGGGGTTGTCAGAGTCACCGAGAGGAGTGGGAGTGCGCCTAATTATGCATACAAACTCGCGGCGCTTGCTCAGACCTATGCCAGATGCAGGCCAATTAACTCTGCGGTTTCCAAAGGCTTCTATGACATCCTACCAGAGGAGGTAGTTGACATTAATGCTGTAAGTTCTTCAGCCCTACCTGTCGAAGACAGCTGACCTGTGTAACTCACTCTCAACATGAATTCAGGATGAACAGCATCCTGTACATTCTGATTTCGACGCACTGCTTGATATCGATGTAACTGCCATGTCCACTACACGAGGCACCGCATTGCAGGCTTCTTGGGCGCCTGGTAAAGGTACAAACGCTCAGCTCAATGCATATATACAGACAACCTCGACCCTGAGATTGGCAGGAATGTCCTCATCTGATCCTAGCATGTCCTCGAGTGTCTCCAAAGCCTCTGTTGAACACGCCATATTCGACGGCGTTTGCGTCAGGACGGCATCTCACAATCGCAAACGTCCTTCTACCCACCACCAGTCTTCCTCGAACAAGAGGACCAAGCTCGGACAGGATCACATCGAAGTTCATTCCGTAAGTTCTTTGCCTTCTCTATAGTATTTTGAACTTAAATAGCTTGTAGCCATCCAATATGACATTGATCGACGTATTGAATAAAGATATGCGAGATACCCAGAACGCCTCTCTCCCTTCGAATATAGGTACTCAGAAACGTCGAGGCGTGATACCTTCAACCTCTGATAGTGATAGTGATGACGATGAACCCCTTGCCGCTCCTCCCTCTACGGTCCCTGCGACCACCCATAAGCAGAAGTCTGTTTCACGGCAGGCGAGATCGAACTGGGAATCTTCGAAACTCAGTGCGACTCAAGAGTCACACAAGAAAGTTTCCAGTCGACCGGATCCGGCAGTCTTCAGTACAGCTGCCACCTTGGCCGCTTCGATCTTCGATGATGCCGCCGAGCAGTCTGTACCCCTGCATTCCAAGATCCGGAAACGACATGGACCGCCAGGAGTGCGTCCCACAGATATCCAATCTAGTATGAACCTCGTAGAGACAGACGCTTATGCTTTTGATGTTATCGGTACATCGAAGGGTAAGCTTCGCGCTGCAGCGATAGAACACCCAGAGCCGCTCAATCAAGATAGTGACGAGCTCCACGCACGTCAGTATGTGACTACGGAGATGTTAGAGAAGATGCAGAATGAGCTTGCCGCCCTTCGAGGAGAGGTCCACGATTTGCGTAGACGAGAGAGGAATTTCGAGATTGAGCGAAATCAGCACAAAGCTGACCAAGTATCGTGGACTAAAGATAGGGAAACGCTCAAGAACCAACTGGACGCGTTGAAAGCAAAGCACTCTACAGAATTGGAAAGCGTTAGAGCTGATATTCGCAGCCTACGCGTAGAAGTCAAGCAAGGCAAGCTTACGGACAAAGATAACGCAGCCTTCATGCACGTCCAAGACATTCACTCAGAACAAGCTCGGTTGCACCAGGAGCTGGAGACGCAGAAGTCTCAAGTCACCCAGCTATGGGGACTGCAGGATCAAGTGTATCGACTGCAGCCCGCAGTCTTCGAACAGTTTGAACATCGTTTCAAGCAGTCCTTAGACCAAGTCATGGAAGAGACAGTTTGCGAGCTGGTTCGCATGATGGACGACTTCAAAGAAGTCATCCCAGCGAACCTTATTTTACAGCAGCCATCTGCCGCGAAACGGATTGGCGTTGTCCTGCGCAAGGTCTTCGAGAAATGCCTCGCTAAGAGCGATCCAGAAGTATGTGGCTGCTGGTGTACGTTCTGGTTAGAAGCTTACCTTTATGCAGGCAAACGGCGTTCAGGTTGCTCCTGGCAGGCACACTGGCCCTCGTGACCATGAAGAACGCACACAGAACATTGTTGTTAAAGATAATATACCCCCGGCCTTCCACAAACGCCAACATAGTTATCAGCATCCAAAGCCCGTACCTGATGGTTTTGAACAGAACAATAATTTCGCTGTCAATGGCCAACCTCGCCATCGTCAGCACCAGAACTTTTCTGGCGGTACATATCAAACGAGATATCCCAGACAACAACAACAAGGAAATGGTTACGGCAATATACAACGGCAATTCAATCTTCGTCAACATGGGTATGATCAGCCCGAGCGTGTAAATCAGCACCCTCCGAACGTGAATTCGTTAAAGCATCGTATAGGAGGCACCCGTTGGGACAAACAGCATGTCCCTCGAGATCACGCCCAGATGAAGCAAGATGGTCATATGCAACTAGAGCATCTTCAGCCACAACGTGCGCCAAAGAACACTGTTCATAGCGATGCGGGTGTGTTATCTATGTTTATTATCCCCCTTGGCTATGATGTGCTGACCAGTGCTCAGAGTCGCCTGATGCTCGCGCGATAGCGCGATCTCCTTCGAGGGGTGAACAAGACTGGGAGTTGGGCTATGACCAGGATGCCAATGAACCAGGTAACGCATTCATTGCGCGTTGGATGAGAGCGCAGAGTCTCATCAATCAGTCTCTAGAAGCCCAACTGCAACGGGCGGGGAAGGAACGTCGTGATCTTTTGGCCGAGGGGCAAAGAGATTGCGGCAGCGGCAGCTCCAGCTCCTGTGAAGGGTCGAACCAATCTGATCCAGGTCTTTCACCGGCTTCTTGACTTGAACTCTTTGAACATTATTGAATGGTATTTGTTTATGCTATGCACACATCCTATTCGCTTTCGTGTCTTCTTGTTATTCGTTTTCATATTCTTTACGGTATCACGGTTGATCATGTCGATGTAATCTTAGGTCACGCACAATATTGAGTAAATCCATATGTACATCTGGGCTAAAATGCAGCGTAAGTTATGTAAGTTGTCAATCCGAACCCAACGTATAAATTGAACGTAAGAGAAAAATGTATGCAGACGATTGAATGAGATAATTAGATATCGCTAAGAGAGAGATGTAAGGTTGAGAATGTCAAATGGACGAAGAGAAGAAGAAAAAGATAAAGAAATGTGAGAGCTTGGCGTTGAGAGAGAGAGAGAGAGAGGGAGCGAGAGACGTGAAGATGGCTGGTATATCCGGGACGTATGAGCAAGCAATGAAAACGAGAGTGCGACCAAAGAACGAGCAGACAAGACACCATAGACCAAGAATCCTCATGTAGATCAGAATGAAAAAAAGGGGAATGAGCAAGGAGAGCATGGGAATGTCTACGCGCATTGACATGTAAGTATCCTCCAAAATGTCAACTTCGGCCGCTCCTCTGCCTGCTGGCCGTGATAATCACCCCCATTAGAAACATTGACATCCCCTCTCATCGCGCCAACATTTGAAACCGCAGGTGGTACCGGTCCCGCATTGACCGTCGACACCATAGGTGATGAACGGCCATATTGAGCTTGTTGGCTAGCGGAATAATCGTCTACTCGATCGGGACGTCCATATGAATCGTATCCGGCGGTCGCGTATGGATGATGTTGTTGCGTACTGGCTTGTTGGCTCATCCGACGGCCCGTCGTGCCAACAGGAACGTTAATTTGTGCAGCGGCGGATAAAGGAGTGGCCTGGCCCGCAGCAATGCCAGCGCCTGGTGTTAAAGCTGTAGGGATATCCCGCTGCTGCTTTGAACCAGTGCGAACCACAACTGGTGAAGGAGGCACGACGCCAACACCTCCGGCCTGTGAAATACGCCGTCGTTCGTCTCGAGCTTGACGTTCCGTTTCTCTACGACGATCCGGCGCAGCAGCGGCAGCACCAGTGTTCTGGATTTGAGCAAGAATTTGATTTTGACCCTAGTGATGAAGTCAGTGTCATTGTGAACAAAGATAGAGGGTAACATACCAGTGACGTTTCCCAGCCCTTTCCGCCATTGAGAAGATTCCAGTCATATATATCATCATCGACATCACCGTTGTTCTTCATGACCTTGGCAAATAGTTCTCTTAGGAAGTCATAATCGGGAGTCTCTTCGAAACCAAGCTTCCGGACATAGTTGAGGTAGATGCCGAACTCCTCTGTAACAAAAAGATAAGCGCCGATTCTAAGTAATGAGGTTATGTAGAATGGAATACCAGGGAAGCCTGCGCACAAGTCCTTGATCGATGTGGTCTGCTTCTTCTCCCCGATCTTCTCGTACTTCTGCTTGTTCGTGGCAGCTTTGAGACCTTGCCATGGTAGACTGCCTCGGAGGAAATACATGAAGACGTGTCCTAGTGACTCAAGATCGTCTCGTCTCGATTGCTCTGAATCCAGGATACCAGTCAGCCATGTAAGATGCACACAGAAGAACAAAACAGGTACATGCCTCGTCCCAAGTGAGTGTTTATACTCATATACCGCGCTGTTCCACTCAAGCTCTTTCGTTCTCGATATGGGATGTGCTGTTTCGTCTTGGGATCGCGATATTGCTTGGCCATGCCGAAGTCAACGACGTGAATGACTAGAAGACGGATTTATGACTATCACAACTGATGTATTATGAAGCAAAATGAACCTCACTAACCATTTGCGTTCTTAGTCCCTGGACGGCCTATCAGGAAGTTGTCAGGCTTGATATCACGGTAGATCAGGTTCTTCTCGTGTATTGTTTGCACGCGAGTGATCTGGTACAGAATCACGTTAAAGCATGCAGTAGTGAGATCATATATGAACGACTATACCATCTGCCGCGCTGCCATGCATACAGTCTTGATCGAGAACTTGCGACCACACATGTCGAAAAGATCCTCCAAGCTAGGACCCAGAAGGTCTATAACCAGGATGTTATGGAGGCCCTCTTGACCAAAGTGATAGATTTGCGGGATGCCAGCTATGATGTCAAGGATATATTTCAAAGGTCAATATACATAACGACCGAGGCCGTCGTCAAGGGCAAAGCAGGAAAACAACTGACGCATTCCCGCAAGGATACGATACGAACGACATTCGTCTCGTAGTTGAGGTGCTTCGGCCTTCCTTGGTTCCTAATGAGTAAGAGGTAGTATATAAGCTTGATGTTGTCGTATTTGGATACATGTCGACGAATGTAAAGCAACGCACAAACTTGATAGCGACGGTCTGCGAGTTGAGCAGATTGACACCTGCGAGTTACGGAGAATGGACATTCATCTCAAGTGACCGAAATTGAATATGACAGTGTTGTAAAGCACCTTCAAAGATGACACCAAAGGAGCCCTCTCCAATCTTCTTGCCCACGCGATAGTGAACGCCGACGATGTTATTTGAGGATCCCGATGAATGAGACATGGCGAAGAGAAAAACAAAAGGAGGGGAGGGGAAGGGGGACTAAGGGCCAGAGAGAAAGCCGGAGGCCAAGTGGCCGCAGTGGTAGATGACCTCTCCAACGCCAACTGCTCTCTGTGCCCTCCCTCGGCATTTGCCGTCCCTTTCCCGCCCCCTCTAGACGTGCTTGCCTTCTTATTCGCGACTTGGTCGTAAGAGATCATTTCATGCGGACAGGTATATTCATGACAATCGTATCCGTACAAACACTAGTACAAACTATCGGGTGACTTTGCAGTCCAGACAACGCAGTATCGGCTCAAGCTAAGATGTATATGGGGTAACCAACGGAGAAGCGAGATTTCCTAACGTCAGTGCGACGAGGGAGAAAGAGTAAGCGGGCAACATGTAGCAACAAGAACAAGGGTAATACTGGTCTACGGAATACTAATTGCAGACCTTTTGGACCAGAAACCCTCGCCCCGCTCGGCGCACAGAGCACAAACAACTCATCGGAATTCAAAACACGAGGTCGTATGCTCGGGTACGTGTACGAGCGACAGCTGCTGGTATCTATATTTGAACACCAATCAGCTCGGTACTTATCATGCTTAACTTCTAGACTCACGGTTCCGAATTCTGGTGGAAGTAGAATCCGCTCATGGTGGCCACGTTGGAGGAAGGTGCGGTTCGAGAAGAGGAAGAAGAGGAAGATCGTCCAATCCGCCGGACACCTCTGTTCACAGACTCCCGTCTCGCACGAGGTGAGAGCTCAGGTTTCACCAATCTTGGTGATTGCGATGGCGATTGCAACGGAGTGACGTCTTCGGGAGAAGAAGGGAGAGGGAGATGCTGAGACGCCTGGCTCACAAGGGAGCCAGTGTGCTGAGGGTTAAAGTCTACACAGACGTAATAGAAACCTGTTGATGCAAAAAGGCAGTGAGTTCCGCATCCCCCGCGCAAGATAGATAGATGATCAAAAGGGCTTCTGAAGCCCGTATAAAGCAGAGGAAGCGAATTCTGAACGGACCCGGTACTGACCTGCGAAGCTCGCACCATTGATATCTTGAACCCTATGGTCAGGAACCAAAAACTTCTCCTTCCACCTCATAAAAACGGCTCCTCTATCCGCATCGCTCATTGTCAAGTGAGGTTTCTTCAATTCAGGCCTGATATGGCGGAACGCCGGGAATCGGCCCCAATGAACCATGTCTTCCTGTTCGCTGGCACCCCAGTTCCGCGTCAAGAAACCATATCGACTGCCAATGATCTCGGCGTCAAAGTAGGTAGTGAGTTCAGGCCAATCATCCGTCAAGCCACGGATGCGGAGGTAGCCACAAAGGTGAGATGAAGAGAAATCCACATCCTGACGGAGGGAAAGCAGATTAACATGATTCGCGCGCTGCGCAACTGGATACATACCACTATCGTGACATTGACATCGTAGCTGTTTCTCCCGCTCTTCTGAGTCCCCTGAAACGTGGCACCAGGATAGAGACAATGGTGACCCTGTGAGCGAACCCTGAGGCGAGTGATGTCTAGAAGCGGATCGGGCGGAGAGGACTGGCGAGCGCGATGCTTGCTGGTAGATGCAAACGGAGATGAAGGTAGGGGAGATGAAACATGGACGGGGGAACTGCGAGACTCATGAGGCGCAACAACTTGACTGATTACAATGGATAACGGGACATGCGTTGGCCCAGACGAATGCGTCACATTGGAAGGAGGTTCAGAGGAGGGCGTGTAAGTTCGTGCACATCGTGTCACTGGGCGGCTTGAGAGTGCAGGATGAGAAACGGAGGCTTCTACGTCCATCTCTTCATCGGGACAGGAATCATGGGAGGAATGATCATCTTCACGGAGGCTGCTTGAATGCCTTGCATTAGCCTCGTTGCCTCCATCGTGCAGAGATGCCGCCCAACGAAGCAAGTTCCTCTCTCCCTCCGCAAACAAGTCGTCTCTCGTTTGCGGCGATACACTACATGAGCCACAGACTGGGCAGAGAAATGCTGTGGTGTCTGTTGCATCTTGCCCAGGCTGGATGAGGAAAGGAGTCGGAGAGTCGTTGGCAAGCGAGGAGTGACACGAGGAGCAGTACTTGATTTGAGACTGGGTGTGTTCGGACTGAGATTGATCGTGTGTCGCAGGTGGGCTATGTTCTGAAGGCATTGTGGGCATTGTCGACAACGACGACGACCGGGACGAGATGAAATAGAGATGAGGGGAGGAAGGATAGAAGAGAGGCACGTCTGTGGGAGTCGTCGCGGGAGGAAAGCGAAGCCCTCCTTAAGTTGCACGTGCGGCTATCATCGACTCCGTCTCCCCTTTTTCCGCTTGTTTTGCTTGCACACTTGCCACTGTACATAGCAATCTTCAAATCTTTGCTTACCATCGTTCATACCCATTTCATTGCCCGTCCATGGCCAGCTCGACTGGTGTATAAGCTTTTATGTCGGGGTTCTCGCATCGTCTTCACCGCCGTAACAAGTACCGGTGCCTGCCTGACAGCGGAGGCTGTCAAGCCTCAACAAATCTGCGGCATCTCAGAATATCGTATACTTTCTAATGCTAATTCTCTAGATCTGCCCAGGTAAACCCGCGTCTCGCAATTGTCACCCACATGATAATAGCAATCAATACTGTCAATGCGGCTGTCAAATCGAAGTCTCGAGTAGACGAGATATCCTGAGGCATGAAGATAGCGTCTCTGCCTACTCTGCCTCAAGGACGCTAAGCCTCGAGCAATCCATCTTTCGCTGGCTCCCTGTTGTCTCATGAGTGGCTCAAGACTCAGCAAGGACCTGAGCAGTCAAAGCTTGAAGCTTGAAGAACTCATATCTTATGCTTGGCACCATCTGGTCTGGTTCATCACGATCATGTCCACATTGCCACGCTACACTAGTGTTATCCATGTTATGAGACACTCAAATGAGAATTCCCAACTGGGCAAGTGTACAAGAAACTCTCTCGATAATTGTCACTGAAAGCATACGCAACTATTGCAGGGGACCGTCACCTATTCGTATGCTTGCGTACAGTGCTTCCTCCCGTCGTCCATAGTTTGATCCATGGCGATTTCATACTCAAGACCCAAGTAACCGGCAACGTCAGTCCCACGAAGTACAGGTGATCCGTCGCGACGTCGATCAGAACGACGGAGCGTTGAATTGAAATTAAACGTCTATATATGCGTCATAAAACTACAAAGCATGACCAGCATCGTGTCGTAAATAGAAGCGTAAGTTATATCTATCGTGAAAAGATGAGCAGGGCGGGTATCGATAAATCCTCCACAGTACATCATGAATATGAAGCACATCATACAACCCAAAAAAAAATCCAACAGAGATACTCAGCGTCAGACCTAAACGTCTGTCTTCTCCTGTTCCACAATGGTGTCATGCGCCGTGGCAGCGTCGTCCATATCGTTATTTTCAACAATGCGCGCCTTCTCTGTGGATGACCTCGGCACGTTTTTGTCATCTTCTCCAGACGCAGGTGCTACAGCCAGTTGACTAGCGTCAACAGCAGCAATTTCACCAGCTTGGGCGCCGGCTTCGATGTCACCATCTTTTGCCTGCTGGGCGCCGCCTTTAACGACAACGCGCTTGAGAGTGTAACCGCGAAGGAAGAGGGCTATGAAGCGTAGCATCAGTAGAGAGAATCACACATAAGCCACAGAACAGTGATTTACTCAGGATAAGGCCCACGCCCAATATGGGCGTGTTGATTAACCAGACCTTGCTGAGCGCAGATGTGTATGCATGCATGACTGCCTGACGCTGTACAGGGTCCTGTGGATTCCATAAGATAAGCATCGTAGAAAACGAAGGAGGGAAAAAAGTGACTTACAGGGATGTTCTTAACTTGTCTGACCATTTGGTTGAGCGCAGCAGCTGAGGTATCGATCTCGAGACCAGGAATCTTTTCCACATTCTTCCTCAAGAACTGTATACACAGAGCGCGTGAGCAGTTTCGAAACCAAATACATAGGGATAGTCGGTACATACGCTGGTTAAGATCGCTTGACCAATGGAGATACCAACCGTACCTCCCAGGGTTCTGATAAAGCCGAATGTAGAGGTACTGGTAGCCATGTCTTTCAATGGCATGGCTGCTTGTAGACCAATGAGCGGTGTCTGGAAAAGACATCCAACTCCAAGCGCAGCAATAAGCAAGTACAACACTTTCTCCGCGCTGTAAGAGCAAGAACACGGTAAGCCTGTGAATGTGGGAGAGGGTTCGGAGCAAACTGACGTGTTAGAATTCTCATCGAGTTGGATCATCAATCCGTAGCCTAGCACGATGATCACCCAGGCAAACCACATAGTTGGCCGCCATCGTCCTGTGCGAGTGACGATCTGTCCAGAAATAGCAGAAAAGGCGGCTGCGCCAAGAGAATATGGAAGCATCCTGAGATTTAGGACCTTAGTACAAGATACTATATCGATAGATTACAATGTCTGACTCACTTCACACCAGCGCCAGTTGCAGAAGACCCAAGCACCTGGAAGTATACCGGAAGGTAGTATGCACCAGCAAAGAAAGCAAGCGCATGGAAGAATGTCGAGATGAGGATGAAAGCCGTGGTTCGAACTTTGAAAAGACGAGGTGGCAATATCGGTGAACGGGTAGTGTAGATTTCATTCGCAGTTGCTGCCAGGAGAAGGACAATGCCGATTACCAGTGGTGCGATGGTCTGCGGAGTTGACCCTGCGATATTTGTATCAGCTGTCTGCTCGTTTAAGTGTAAGATGATCGCTTACAGCTGGTCTCGCTGAAGTTGAAGCCTAGTAGGATGAGAACTACGCCTGCGATGATTAGGAAGAATCCGACGAAGTCGAATTCTCGCATATGTTGACGGAATGATTTTCCTTGATGAGGATTGAGATTGAGGAAAAAGAAAAGCAGCGCAAAGGCCAGTCCGCCCGTTGGACTGTTTCCCCAAAAAAGATATAGTTCAGTCTTCAATCATGATGTCAACAATGTCAGACATACAGATTTATGAAGAAACACCTAACATCAACCACCGAGTTAGCGATGGCCTTTTATAGCAGACATACAAGATCGACATACCATCTCCAAGAGACATGATCTGCGAAAACCTAAACATAGGATGAGTATAAATGAAAATAGTATGACCGAGATATCTCCTACCCCTCCTAATAATGGCCCAACAACGCTGCAAAAAGACATTAATCTTCCATAACAAGCCAGAATCACAGGTATAACATACCTAGCGATTCCCCACGTCGCGCCAATAAATCCACCATACTTTCCTCGACTATCCAGATACCGGTCAGTAAATGATTTGTCTGCGTTCAAAATATACTTACTCTTGAAGAGAAACAATATCAGATATCGTGATCTGCACCAGCTGGATAATCCCTCCTCCTCCAATTCCTTGAATGGCTCGGCAGACGACGAGCCAAACCATATTTTGTGCTGCACCACATAGCGCAGAACCGATCTACGCAAAGGTAAGTTCCTCATACGTGTTACGCAATAATGCACGGTACCAAGAAAATAACTATGGAAGTATAGAGTATAGGTTTTCGTCCTGTAGTGAGGCGTTAGCATATGGCCCTCCGACTGAGTGAGATTTCATTACCAATCAGATCAGAAAGCTTGCCATACACTGGACCGAGAGCCGCTGCTGCGAGCAGGTAAGCGCTGTTTTCCTTCGTAATCAGTCTTCCTGAGAACGGAGGGAAAGTGGGTACGGGTCTCACCTGCCAACCCAACTATAGTCCTTTCCTCCCCCAAGCTTCGCGACGATAGTTGGTAGCGCGGTTGCTACAATAGTCTACGAACAGTCAAAAGTATGAATGAATGAAAATATATAGAAGCATCAAAGGTTACACACCTGATCCAAAGCGGCTAAAAAGGTGCATGACATCAATCCAAAGAACACAATGCCCAGCCTGTTCTTGGGCAAAACGTGCTCTTCGCCCGCCTTCCAGGACTGGCCGGGCCTCTTGTGCTGCTTGCCCTCGAGATCGTGGTTGTCTGGTTCTTGAGGTGTAGCAGACCGTTCTCTCTTCTCCGAAGTCATGAGCGTAAAGGGACTAAGCACTCAGTGGGGACGGGCGGGAAGTGATCCGGACAAAGCCCAGGAAGTGGGCTTTATAGCAAGAACGCAGAACGCACAAGAGAGGATCGCTTCAGTGAGAGCCATGTTGGTGCCTTTGCGGAAGATATTTTGGTTGTCCACTTGCTCATCGGCGCAGGTTCATGCCGTCATTCGGCATACCGGCCGAGTAACAAAGCGTTTCTAACTGCGTTGACGAACTTTATTATGGCCTCTACTATGCATTGGTAGTGAAGTTACAATTAGTAACTAATGTCGTTATACCGGCTCGGCTCGGCACTTGCGGCACACTGCCTCTTGGTGATTAAAATAGCTCGGAGCATTGCAGCTTGCACCTTCAAGGCGGCCGTATGGCTGACTACTCATCTTTCGGCACTAGGATGAGATCGACGCTAGCTCTTCAAGAAACCCACTGACCCCAATAGGAGTAACAGTGCCATATAAATCATACACACCTAGATGATGTGAAAGACTTACGAAGACGTGTTGATCGTGGCTGATCCTGTTCCCGCCAACTATACCAGCACTCCCACGTCATATAACTTGCCAGTAGAACTCTAAAGATATAACACCTGTAATGGAAATCACTGCAAAGCACGCACAAGCCGAAGAAAACCCGATGCAGAAGACTTTCATAAACCTATCGGTGTCTGACGGACGTGGAGAATTGAAATTCATATGTTGCGACTCACACGAAGAATAGAAGTCATGACAATATTCCCATACGCCACATGATACGCGTTCGCACCGAGCTGACACACGGACATGCGCAGTACAATGACCGCCAGGGATGATCCTTGTTCAAAGTCATCGAGCAAATGATTCAAAGGCCGTTTCAGCTATTGAAGAGACGGTAGATGGCATATTGAAGTAAGTGTACAAGCAAAGTTCAGGTATAATATAGGGCGCATTGTGCAGATAGCCCACATCCGTTTTGCAGCCAATACTGAAGATTTGTTGACTTCAGCAGAGTTTAGAGTGAAGAATGTACAGTAGCTTTTACAGTCGAGTCAATGGAGAAAGGAGAGGTTTGGGTCAAGGGCCTATGACGCTTTCGGCAAAAGCCTAGGATCAATGCTTACCTAATCGCCCGAATAGAACTAACAATCTTGGCCTTACATCTCAGTTTGCTCTTTGCACCGTACACTGATCTCTTTCTTCCTCTATCATCTCTTCTTCTCTTTCCTTCATCCTCCTATCCTAGAAAACAGTCATGGCTGACCAAACTACGATCCCGACATTTAAGCTTGTTCTCGGTACGGTTTATCTTGCTCTATTGGACGCGCCTTTACTAATCGCCACACTCTACTTTTTCTTTCATCGATTCCTCAAACCTCCTCTTTGGTTGGCCTCAACTGATCGTCAATCTGTGCTCAATATACTGCCTTCTAAACAACGCGCGAATATATAGTCGGTGATGGAGGAACTGGCAAGACCACCTTCGTCAAGGTGAGTAATCCATATGGGTCTCCTGTACTGATCGCGTCCTGATTCTGTTGGATTCACAGCGCCATTTGACCGGTGAATTCGAGAAGAAATACATTGGTATGTATTGGTCTGCACGATATTCGAAATGGTGGTGTCTGTGTCTCGACAGATTTTGACGCGTTTCCCTTTTCCAGCCACATTGGGTGTCGAAGTTCACCCTCTGTCGTTCTCGACCAATTTCGGTACCATCTGCTTCAACGTCTGGGATACGGCCGGACAGGAGAAATTCGGTGGTCTCCGGGATGGTTACTACATTCAGGGTCAATGCGGTATCATCATGTTTGATGTCACCTCCCGTATCACCTACAAGAACGTTCCCAACTGGCATCGTGACCTTGAACGTGTTTGCGAGAACATCCCAATTGTTCTCTGCGGTAACAAGGTTGATGTCAAGGTCAGTATCACTTATCAGCTATACGCCTCGCCTTATTCTGACAGGCTCGCTTGATGATGAATATATAGGAGCGAAAAGTAAAGACTGGCCAAGTCACCTTCCACCGAAAGAAGAACATTCAGTACTTCGAGATCTCTGCCAAGTCCAACTACAACTTTGAGAAGCCATTCCTGTGGCTCGCAAGGAAATTGGTCGGGTGAGTTCTATTTGATGCACATGTTGCAGAGGGGCATGTTTCACTTATTGTGTTCATTTAGCAACCCTTCACTCGAATTCGTTGCTGCTCCCGCTCTCGCGCCCGCTGAGGTCCAGGTAGATGCCGCTCTCATGGCGCAATACCAGAAGGAGTTGGCACAGGTGAGTATAAATCGGTTGTGCTTTGAGTTTGTCATTCTGACAAGTTTTTCTTTCCATAGGCCGAGGCTGTTCCTCTCCCTGAAGAAGACGACGATCTGTGATTGCACATCGCACCACCTGCACTTTCTTCCTTCTTCTTGCATCCATACATACATACATTCCTCGTGGTGCCATACTGTTTCGAATAAAGCTTTCCAGTGAATTGTACCACCTATGCATCGGTGCTGCTCTCACGTCCTCCTTACAAACTTGTCTGAAAATACTCTCGGTACGCCTAGGTGGCACCAGTGATGTCAGTGTGTAATCGAGCGCGCGGCTTCAACGTGGTGATCGAACGAATTGTCGTTATTCTTTACATGGAAAGTGAGAAAGATCATATGCTAAGCATGGATCCTCTACAAAATTAAGTGTAGGAAACCAACGGTCGAATCGGACCTCTTGCATAGTGTACGGCACCCCTTCTTTGCAATGAAGGTATTGGAAGTCTGTCATTGTCTGAATACATGTACTACAGTACTAGATGCAGTCCTGCCTGATAAATTACTGCCAATGACAACGTCAGCTGTAAGAAGCTGAGTTAAACCCACACTATTCCATGCAGAGTCATGAGAGTTGCATCATGCATGTCACTTTTCGATTCTGGGACTTAAGTTCAAGCCATACAATGAGAAGTCTATATAGCCAAGCAACGAGTGAATGAGCGCTAATCTATGACAATGGCGCTCAATGGCGGGGATGCAGGATTTAGAGGCGGCAAGGCGGTGTGGCACTCTTTTACCGCAGCATTCGCAACAGCGCTGGACGCACCCCTCCCCTTGTTTCCTTGCTTTTCGTCTACCTTTCCATTCTGCTTTCACGATGGCCCACTATGGCCAGCACTCTCAGCAGCCCAGCTATGGTCAATACCCTCCCCAGCAATATGCTGACCCTGACGGCGCCGAGTTCAATCCCTATAACAACAATTTCGAAACTCAGCAGCCATACAACCAGGGCAGATACGACTATCACGATAATCCATATGGTGGAGGCTACACGGACGACCCGACTGGTCAGCCAGTATCGAAAGAGCAGGATAAAAGCGTGTTTGAGCAGGAAGAATATGCCGCTCCTACAGCCCGGGGTCCAAGGTGAGTTGATGTTTCATGCTTTTGTAGCGATATTACATGCGGGAACCGTTCTCTGATCTTCATGTCTCCTTCTCCGCTGCCTCCCCTATCACTTTCTCCTAGGACGTCGAAGGCATTGCGTCGTTGGCGGTATGAGCATCAAGGCAACCTCTGGACTAAGGGTGGTCGTGGAAGATGTTTTGGAAGATTCTTCTGCTGCACGATCATGATCTTTGTCTTCCTCTTTGTCGCAATAATATTGTCGTTGGCTTTGGTGCGTCTCGTTTCTGCAGCTGTGCTTTTACTCATGAAGCTAATTCTTGAGCTCCCTTCCAGTGGCTCAGGCCCCCTGACATTGAAGTTGGTGGCCTCACCGAGTCGGCTTCGGGCAGTACAGTACGTATGGTGGTACAATGTGGACCGTCTCGATATTTACGATTCCTTGATAGTTCCAAGTCCAGAATGATGGTGTCTCCTTCAATGGTGGCGTTAATATCTCGTACGTTTGCCATAGTCTCAATTTAGATGTCTCGCCATTTAACGGATTCATTATAGAGTGAACAATCCGAATATCTTCTCTGTGAAATTTGATGAGATCAAAGCAGATGTAAGTCCTCCGACGGATGCAGCCTTGCGAGCGGCATCTTACTACTGTAATATACAGGTCTTCTACCCTCTAAACACCACTAGGTTCGGTGGAGGCTCTTTGAAGGATTTGACGATCAAGGCGAACCAACGCACCGAATTCACCTTCCCGTTTACCCTTAACTACACCGATTCGATCGACCCTAACGGTGCGATCCTCTCAGACATTATGACTAAGTGTGGGGGCAACAAAGCCAACAACCTCAAAGTGGACTACACAATTTCAGTAAGTTTGCTTCTGCGGTCACAATTAGCGTTGTATCCTGATTTGATATATGATGCATACAGCTTGATTTCAAAGTCATCGTCATACCAATAAAGCCTACGATCAACAACAATATCGCCATTCCTTGTTCACTCCTCATAGACGGTCTAGGGGTGAGTTTACACCTTTCATACCCGTTGACAAGTTTCTGATTTCCCTGTGCAGAGTATCATAGGCTCCCTCGGCGGTGGTGGAAGCGGGTTGGGTGGCCTTCTCAATAACCTTTTCTAGACCTTGAGCGGTAGTAGCCCATACCGCCTGCTTTGTTTAGCTAGTTTTGCATTTCTTGCTGTGATAGACATTTGTATGTATTGCACGGACGATATACTGGACAGACTCATCGTAATACACTTACGGCGGACTTTATATAATGACGGTTGCGTGTATCGCGTCAACGTTGTATTATGAATGCAGAAGAGATTATTGAGTACAAGCCAATGAACACGCTAAAAAAAAAATAAGCAGTACAATCCGTTTTCTTGATCATTACAAGGTCCTAATCATTGCAAAGCAAATCAAATCCAACAGCCATCTCGTGCTACCTGAGCGTAGAAAGCTCGAGATCTGCTTCCGGATGTCGATCATATGGCTTGTGGTGTATCTCGTCAGTTATTCGCGTTCTTTTCGGTTCGAAAGATAATAGGCGATTCCGGGCTGTGTCGTCACCCGACAATGTCGAATCGATAACAAGGGTATCGAGTGGGGGTGCATCGGTAGTAATGGTATGCGCCGTGTTTTCGTAGGAGACTTTCTGTACCCGCAGAATGATACTCGTGAAGACAATACCCTGAAAACCGAGTGTCCGAATTGTGAAAAAAATGAGAAATGCAAACATGAATGCAAAGCACGGAATAACTCACGATGAGTGGGGTCACCGCGTGTAAAACAATTTGGTAGCCAGAATTATGTATGGCTCCAAGTACCAGAATCAACGTCTGGGCTATGGCGACAATCATCCCGCTTTCCACAATGAGCCATAAGATGCGCAGGTAATGGGCTTCGCGATGGCGTGCGACACGACCTAGTTGTCTATATTGCCACCAAATCTTCCATGCAATTGCCGTAGTAAGCGTAAGGTTCAAAGCCACAGATATTATAATCATCGGGGCTTCCCAGCGGTACTACAAAGAAATAATAAGTAAACAGAAGCATTTTAATTGTGAGTTGCGTTACGTACCAAGGCTGCAGTCCGTTCATAGTTCACTGCGTTCGGATGCGGTCGGCCAAACTCCCATTGCAGCATTACACCCATGCCTGGGCAGGTAAGCGACTCGGTTGGTCCCCCGGTCATTGAAAAGGGACTTACAAAACGTTGCTAGCACAAGGGAACCTGATACAGCTAACACCCACCATCGTTTGGTGTATATGACCCAACAGCGGTATGTCTGCAGGTGAAGGTATCAGAAGAACCTAAGTTCGGTCCAGGCCTTTGAACACCGACGCACCAGGAACGCGTCACCGAGGACTACTTGGAGAAACCAGGTTACCGATTCGACGTAGTTCGAAGTAATGGCTGTCTCATTGAAGAAATCTGCCGGAGATAGGCTGTTCTGGGCCCAGAACGCCGTGATAACACGTTGTAGGGCAACCAAGTTATTTGTGGCACCGACGATGAACATCGCTATTGCCTTGTAACACACGAACGCGTCGAAGCGTGTTTTCAATATTGTATCCTCGCGTCATGAGATGGGGCGACACACCGTTCCGGTTAGATATACATGTATGGTAGGACGTGATCCATCGGAAGACCGTTGAGAGCTCGCCCAGACAAATCTAGAGAGGAAGATGCAGAAAATCACGATATGGATGCCTATACGAAGATATAGGAAAGACCTTAATTAAGCGGATAAAGCCTCCGCTAGCAGCGTTAGCTTGTACTCACCGAAAAGAAGCGTTGAAACCCATAGCGCAATGCAATATCCTTCGTCTCGGGGAATATCAAACATTCCCCAGGTTGACCTATAAAAATGGAGGGAAGTTGACCAGTGAAAATCTAGTCAAGAAAGGCCCCCCCTCTATTCCTGTGCCCCCGCATGAGAGTGTGACTCGGGGGTTATGGCCTTTGATGAGGGGGGCATACATCTCGGCAACAGGCACAGATGGTGTGTGAGGTGCTGATAATGAGTTCATCGAAGGTAAAATATATCACTTGGCGCCCGTACTCTGAGGACTCTGCAATGTGATTCGTCGTTGAATGATCTTCAACTTTTGGCTTGGCACCGGGGTGTAAGAAGTCCGAGTCATTCTCCTGAGCACGACGCAGCAGGACGTTGATAGCAATATATTTGGACGGAGGGGAAGGACAGCACCAAAGGCCTGTCTCATCTGGAGAGAAAGGAACGGATATATCTAGATATGAATATCACTTTTGAAGGTACAATCTGCCATCATATATTGGGGCCCTCCTGCAACACAGCGTCCACGTCCGCGGGACTTAAGTCCACGATTTGCTCTATCTCCTTCGCTCGCTTCTCTACCTGTAGCTCAACCTCGGTCTTGCATAGCCCGGGAGCATTGCAAGACTCTAGACTCTTTCCTATCATCCCCCGCCATTTCAAATGTCCATCGACCCCTTCGCATGCCACATTCTCGACCCCCTGCACATCCACATTGGTAATTCCTGCAACGTTCCAGCTGGCACTAGACATGCGTGACAGGAGAGCAAGGACATAATCATCCGTTCCATAGCCATTGACTAATCGTCCTGCTGTGACGCGCCTTGCTGCGGACCAAGTGCGTTGGTCAGTAGAGACCGGAGCTCCGAAAAGATAGACGTCTTGAACAAGATGTGCGGATTGCTTTGGGGGAAGTGATGCAAGGTGTTGCAAAGCCTCGAAGATGACAAGGGAACCGAGAGAATAGCCCACCAGCGTGACAGGACGATTACCTAGCACGCGTTGTTCTAAAAGGATACCCAGGACCTTACCAGCCTTCAATGCAAGTGTTTTGGCGTTCATCCAGGGATTGTCTGGTTCCAGCGTCAGACTAATTGCAATTGCCTATGAGTTCCTGGCTTACCAATGAGTTGAGCAATCTTTAGCCATGCGGCTGGGGCAAGGGCGGCGAATAGGCTTGCAAGAACGGTACGTTTGATAACCTCTGCCTTGACATACTTCATTGCTTGAGACTTGATCAACGCGGTTAGGGCATTCGAAAGGTCGATAAGCGCGTCGACTTCCTACAAAGCATTGATTAGCGATTCGCGACAACGACACAATTACTGCCTTACCCATTGTAAAGCGAAGGTGTCATCATCTTCGAAAATTGTCCAGGGAGCGACAACGTCGGGTTGTGAATCCAACCAACCACTTACACATAACCTGACGGCCAACGTATTCTTCGGTTCACGAACGGGAACAATGGCTAGATCACGAATTTCCCTCGTGTACCGTCCAACAATCTCCGCTGTCTTCTTCGAACCGTAGGCACCGAAAAGCGCTCCGCATACAATGGAAGAACTAGCCAGACCGCTGGCAAGCAGACCGGCTGCCGTTCCACCAACACCCAGCCATCCTAGGACGCTGGTTACGCCAGCGCCAACCAATGGTGCTGCCAGACCTCCGGTAACGCCAATAAGGACACCACCCGCAACAGCACCAAGGCCCATGCCTACGTTACGTAGGGTCTTGCCGCGCGACGCCTGTTTATCTTTGGCAGCTTTCGTCTTGCGTTCTGCTTCCTCTACAGCGCTGGCAGGGTCTTTCAATGTTTCAGCTACGGCGTCCTCATTGATTGGTGCCAAAGAGAAGAGGAAGGCACGTGTGTGTGCATGGTATTCCTTCCTTGTGGTAATATGCAAAAATAGGATCGTATGAAGAACTTTGACGACATGTTCCTGGGCAGGCAAAGGTGGAAGGGCGGCAATAGAAGTGTCCGACAGAGGATCTAGGGTAGGACAGCTACCTGTATAGCCTCTTCGTTGAGTACGAGGGTCAAAGAATAGGTCGTATGAAGTCTGCTGACAATTTCCAGGTTCTTGACACGCATTCCAAGCATTCTTGAGTAACTCTTGAGCCCAATGATCCAACTCTATTACGAACGCGTCTCTCGCTTTAGCTCCGTCTGCAGACATAGAAAAGCCATATTCATTATAAGCATATAATTCTGCAGAGTTTCTATGTGAAGCAAGGCGCCGCATGAAGTATAGAAAGATCGTGCTGCGTGCAGTTTCATCAAGTTCCTTCGGAGGAACAATCTTGGTCAAGTCGCTCTTTTGGTGCTTCATACTGAAATAACAGAAATCGCCATGAACATCGTAAGGGAGCAGCAGGGGGCAGCACGGAAGATATGAGAGTCAAAGCAAGCCGACTTCGCGTAGCACTAGTGGAGTGGGTCGTGTCTACGTCAGATTAAGCGCTTGAAACAGAGATTTAAGAATGCAGCCTGAAACAAGGATTTTTTTTTGCCGTTCTGCAGAGACTGTATAAAGGGTCAGGAAGAAGAAAAAATATCCGATGTTGTGGCTGACACCATATGGAAGAGAGCCGGAAAGATCACGACAGCACTTACCTTGCCTGTGCAATTCTATACTGTCAAATGGGCCGAGGACTCAAGGAAACTTTGGCTGCGTCGTTACATATCGTATGTAAGATTTCCGATGCACTTCATATCCAGAAAAAGGCAGAAAGAGACTGATTGATCTCTGTGCGACGTCTGCGAATGATATTTGACTGCAACGCTTAGAAGTGCTTCCACTCATAGTCGAGATCTGAGCGCAGCTTCCATAGCAAAAAGTGAGAAGGAAAATAGAGTTATTTATAGCAGGACATCCATGTCGTTTGTGGTTGAAGCAAAGTTGAGGAGAAAGAAAACAAAGAAAGGATACCGAAAGAAAAGAAAAAACAGAGCCGAGCGCTCGCCGCTGACGCAGAGGACGCGTTGTCGGTTTGCACGTGCACTCAAAGTCGCTTGCCTCTTGGCGTATCCTCCACATTCCGCTTTTCATGCAAAGCTAATGAACGGTTCTTGCCTGGTGAGTATATTCTCAACGATTAATGGTATAACGTTGTGGGATAACATTTCAAACAGCTTTTTGGTGCACTGCGCGCCCAATTGCGCCCAAATACCAACACATTCCGCCCGGTTCTCCGCTCGCTTTCCAGGTCGACATTCCCTCTCCTTCGCTCGTCCATACATGTCCCTCTAAAGCAGAACCCGTCCCTATTTACTCCAATCCGACTAATATCGCTCTCTTCTATCTTTTCCCCACGAAAAGTTACGCCTACACCACCGCCGAGTGTAGTAGCACATATCTCAACTTTGGAAGCAGATGCCAACACACACCCGCATGATGTGAACAGACAAATCGCCCTTTTTCAAGCGTTGTTGAATACGAGTGTAAAGGCTGGCTATGATGTGATCATTTCCAGGTGGGAACGTATGTGCGAATTTGTGAGTATCATTGATACATACCCTCGATTGCTCTCATTTATCATACCCTCCAGGACCCAGAGAATGCTCTTCTCCGATCGGACGAAGCTTTCAAGCTGTATTTGACTGCACTGGTTAACAACGGATATGAAGCATCTATATCTTCCGCCGTCAGAAGGCGCGACTCTCTGTTCGCTGCGCCGGCTGCACTTGCCTCCAAGCCTTCGGATTCTTCTTCGTCTTCTGCTCCTGGTTCAACGGACTCCATTTCGTCTACTGATGCTGCCTCTATCGTATCGACATCACAATCTTCCGGCGCTGCGCCCGAGTCGATATCTAGTGCTTCTCCTAGCCACCGAATCGCTGACATGGTTCTCTCTGGACAAACGACAACACCGATCAGACCAGCCGCAAATCTAAGTCCGGACATGGCTAAGCTGGCCGCTGCTCTCAATTCTGGCGCGGGAACTTCGAATGAGCCGATAACGGTTTCTATCAGTGAAAGTACGTCTCAGCTTACTAGAATCCTTGCCGTTCCATGCGTTTGGCTCTGGCTCTGGCTCTGGCTTTGACTCAAATTGCATATTGACAACCGCCTGTAGCTAGAGCTTCATGGATTCCGGGAACTATTCGGTTTATTGTATTGTCTGTCATCGGTGCATTCTGTAAGTAAATTTGACTCATCCAAATACTTTGCAAACTGATAATTGTGCCTATTTTTTGAAGTCGTTTTGGTCGTATTTACGGTCCTTCTCGAAAACTCGGGACTTGTCAAAACGGGAGCCCTGCAGTCCGAATTTATTCCGGTGGAGGGCACGTCATACAAGTTCAGCGACGTTCACGGAGTAGATGAGGCTAAAGAAGTACGGAAGTCCAGTATTGAAACTGTATGCGGTCACTAACATATTTGCAGGAATTACAAGAGGTCATCGAATTCTTGAGAGACCCAGCCTCGTTTGCGACACTTGGAGGCAAACTTCCAAAAGGTATTCTGCTCACTGGTCCTCCCGGAACTGGCAAGACCCTGCTGGCACGTGCAGTCGCTGGAGAAGCTGGTGTTCCGTTTTTCCACACCTCTGGGTATGTATGATGGAATCTCTAAATCTACATACCAGCTCATCCCCTTTGTTTCTTTTGTCCGTGATAGCGCGGATTTTGATGAAATGTTTGTTGGCGTTGGTGCTAAACGTGTCCGGGAGCTATTCGCCGCCGCGCGAAAGAAATCGCCTGCTATTATTTTCATAGACGAACTTGATGCCATAGGTGGAAAGAGATCCAACCGCGACCAGCATTACCTAAAACAAACTTTGAACCAACTCTTGGTGGAAATGGATGGATTCCTCCAAACGGAAGGCGTCATTGTTATCGCAGCGACTAACTTCCCCGATTCCTTGGACCCGTAAGGATCGTTCTCATATTGATTTGATTGGCTAGCTGAAGTCTGTATGATCTCAGGGCTCTAGTTCGTCCAGGGCGTTTCGATAGACATATCGCGGTTCCCCTACCCGATGTCCGCGGTCGGGTACAAATCCTGAAGCACCACATGAAGGATGTCACGACCGCCCCTGGTAAGTTAGACTCTTCTCCCCAATTTCTGACATCTTCTTACAACATTACGGCGCTCCGCCTGCTGCGTACGATTAGAGGTAGACCCTAAGGTCCTTGCGCGAGGCACGCCAGGGTTCTCTGGCGCCGATCTCCAAAACATGGTCAAGTACGTCGAGCGTTCATCTGGCAGGGGATGAGAAGCTGATGTGCCACTTATTCATTCAGTCAGGCGGCTGTTCAAGCTGCGAAGGAACATGCTTCCGCAGTGACATTAAAGCACTTCGAATGGGCAAAGGTATGAACGATCGATACTGTAATCCAGGCTTCCATTCATTCGTGGTTGTTTAGGATCGCATTGTAATGGGCAGTGAAAGGAAGAGTTCATTCATCAGCGACGAGGTCAAGAAGATGACCGCCTATCACGAGGTCGGGTTTAGTTTGATTTATGATTCCCATTCCAGGATACTGATGACGCATTTAGGGTGGGCATGCACTAGCAGCTCTCTATACCGACGGCGCTATGCCGTTGCATAAGGTTACTTGCGTGCCTCGTGGACATGCTTTGGGTATTGTACGTCAGAGGATATTGTGCTACCCACGATGAGTCCGGTCACTAACATGTTCATGCAGACTAGTCAACTTCCAGAGGATGACCGTTACTCTGTATCAATGAAGGAATATCTCGCGGAGATAGATGTATGTATGGGCGGTCGTGTAGCTGAAGAATTGAGTAAGTGTTACATTCTCCTATATTGTCTGCCTCTTCATGATGATCCCTCTGTAGTCTATGGCACCGATAATGTCACAAGCGGTTGCTCTTCTGACATTAGGAAGGCTACAGCAGTCGCCAGGGCTATGGTCAAGGTAGGTCATAACTGTTCGGTACTTTTTGCGAGTTGTGCGCTCACTGCATATAAACTCCATCTGTCGTTGTCCAATTTCAAATCGGTTGAATTCGCCGTGTAGCAATGGGGCTTCTCGGACAAAGTTGGACCAGTATTTTTCAATGATCGGGATGCGACCATCCCACCACAAAAACTGGAAGAGATTGAGACAGAAGTTCGAAAGTAAGCCCACCTCACGTTTTTATATAGTTACCGGTGCTTCTCTGCAACGTTCCACTTGGAACTGTTGACATCTTCCCGGAATGCCGTCAATCGTGTGAAGCTGATTGCTGATTGGTTTTCGTTTGCTTGCTTAGTCTACTGATTGCGGGAGAGACACGAGTGTCAAAGCTTCTCAAGATGAAGGAACAAGAGCTGCACCGGGTAAGTTAACATCAGAATTTTTCTCCAAGATACTTTGACAGAATCGCTGATCCTTGAATACCGGTGTTCTGGAAATTCTCCTGACTTAGTTGGCAAGTGCGCTAGTTGAATACGAGACGCTCGATGCGGAAGAGGTCAAGAGGGTTATTCAAGGAGAGCCAATACGGAATATAGCGGAAGTTTTGCAAGAAGCAGTTGAGACTGAGGTGGAAGTGCATGGGGAGGCACATGTGGAGGCACACGCATAGCACTAGTTCGGGAAGCTTGCAAGAGAGGGAGAACGTCATATCTGTGGAATTGTTTTCGTCGCTTACCATTGTAGATTTGCTATAATATAAATCATCGCTCAGGGTCGACAACTGAACTCCGTCTACATCTCATGCCAAACGTGTCATTTGCCACTGTGCATTAAGACAATGATGGAAAGTATGATGCATGAATCACCGATCATGGTCAGTATCGATATCGACCAGAAACCCAATTCGTGTGCCACTACTGGATACAAGACAGGACATCCATGTGTACCTGGCAGATACAATTCTATAGTGACGTTGAAACTCACGACATCGATAGCCACGGGACCTTGTTAGCTATTTCTTCTGGCATCACGCCTGCGCTATCGTGGTTTCCGGGAAGCAAGGTTGCTTCTAAGACCTTGTGGCGGCGCAGCGGGTTTCTCAGCATCTCGTGCATATGTTGGTATATTCGTCATAAGTCTGCAAGGTCCGCCTCTAAATCAGAACATTCGGGAAATGTATTATTTTATGACTGACTATATTGCGCACTAACGGTGCCATGAGACCCCAGAGGAGATTGAACCAAGCGTCACTGAGTTGGATGGTATGGGAAAGGCTTTCCCATATTATTCAACGACGCTTGATTCAAAGCTTGCTGGGTTGAAATATCTAGATCTCGACCGGGCCAGTGCAAACTAGGAAGTTTAACGTTTGTGACGGACATCATTGCTTAGAGATGTGTGATCAATGCGTGGATGCCTCAGGACGGCGATGTCATAGAGAACTAGCAATTCTCCGACCCGAATTGGATCGGGCATGAAGATAACGACCGTTCAAGGTCAGAACCAGGGATGGGAAGTACTCCACACAAGAAGGCATGAAGAAACCAGACATCGTTGCAACTTTGTAAGCTCGGCCACGGCCAACACCGAATAGGGAGGTAAGGCGCACGTTGTGCAGACGGAACACCTTCAGGCAGGGCTTCATATGGCTTAGTATAAGACTGGCTGAGAGAGTAAGAAAGGCGGCGCACCACAACAGTGAGAATTCTCGTAGTTAGTTGAAGGGTCGACCTGACATGCAACCCAGCGAAACTTGGGACCGCAATATGAGGACTACATGCTCAATGCGAGTGTTTGAAACAGACACCGTTTTTTTTGGCAGTGAACGCTGACGAGGCAGTGACTGTCAAAATGGACGCTTGCGAGGATGATGCGTGCCCTGAGTGTAGGGTTCCCCTTCCAAGTATCGCAGCAACAGCCAGCTGAAAGCACTGCCAAGTTCAGGCAAGCAGCCTTACGTATGCGTTGTGTCTGTCCATTCCATTCCACTCACATGTAACGGGAGCTCATGTAAATGTGGCATCATGGAATAACAGAAAACTTTTTTGGGAGGTGTCAAAAGAAGAATTCCGCTTGATGCGGGCGTTCTTTCAAGCTTTCTTCGCGTTGGACTTCGACGATATCGATCAGATAGGAGCATTCTGAATCAATAAGAATGAAGATGAAAGATTGGGAATGCAGAGTAGCTGTGCGAGCAGCGGACCCCAGCTGGGACTAGCATGTATAGGAAGCAGGGGTTATACCAGATTTTCGCGAAGGTGTAGATGACGCTGGACGCATGAGTGGTTGTAGGGTGACCCGCACAATCTCATCGCTACAAGGACCAGACCATTGGATCGGATCCTCGTTTCCCCTTGAACGCCGAAATGGTGCGGTCAGGGATATCTCTTCCAGGTGCCGTATTGCCGTGTCACAGAGTACTACTAACACTAATGCAACTCAAGATCATGATGCTTGTCAGACGTTCCGTTTTCGATGGACCTCATGGACCCTATTACGGCTCGATTGCTTGCGGACCGTTCCATTTTCCTGCGTGGTTTACCTCACGTCTCTCCCATAAATTGGAAGAGGAAGGGCGGCCTTGAGGGGCCAACTTTCCTCCTCAAAGCAAACACTGAACCATCTGCGTCTAGCACGCGCTTCATCCAGGCAAGGAGGGCCGAGCCTAGTAGAGAGTAACACGAGTCTATCAAGGCAAAGAGCCCTTCGATCAAAGAGCCGTCTGCCACTTGCCCCAGTTACCTCCTACCTCCGCCGACCGTCGAAAGCGCCAGCAGTGAGCCCTCCCGTTTTCCCTCAGAATACCCTCGATCGAGTCTCATCGGGGACAGCCAATCTGCCATCTTTCCACGCAGATGTGTCACCGACAATTAAGATTCTTCAAGGCTAATGGCTGCGGCCATCTAACTTTCACGGGCGAAACAACGATCGACTGTGGATCCCGCGACTGTTACCTCAGCTCGCATCACCCGAAGAACTGTGGGTCCCCGGCCTCAGATAAACATCTCTGCAACTGTTTGAGATACTACACGTTCGTACCTTCTTACTTGTGTCCACCGTTGTCCACAGGCGCCTAATTGGGTTTTCCAGACAACCCGAGCGTATAATCACCCACCAAGTACTCTCGTCTTCTCTGTCCTACAGGCGTGTACCTGACATCCTTTTCACAGATTCCAGGATCCTGTCCGCGTTGTTCGAGGTGAACGTGCCTGTATTATTCCATGTCGTCCAGTCCAGTAGCATTAATTATCTGTACCCTGTATATATACATCAGCAATGAGACTGCTATCCTGAATCTACACATCCAAGTCAAGCTCTGCGAGCATCTCGTCGTCGAAGCCGCCGTCCCCATACTCGTCGTCCTCGTCCATAGTGTCGTCCTTTTTCTGCTCGACTTCTAGAACTTGCTGTGCCTTCTGTTGCGCCTGTGCCTTCTCGATATCTTCGATCGTCCACAGTGATATACCCGTCTGATTCTCATTCGGGTTCTGTGATATAGTCCGCATGAACAACTTGGAAAGCGTGATAGCCATATCGGTTGACAAATTTGAGGCCGTTTCCGTGATGTACTGGTTAATCCACCTGGGTAATTTGGCACGTTTGTCCGCACGGGCGAAACGCTGATGGAATAGGTGAGTCCCATGCTGTCAGAATAAAAACTAGCATCACGAGTGCACTCATACCTTGTCGGCAAACACCATCAGACCCCAGTCGGTTTTCCCTCGTAGTACACGTCCAACGCATTGCGCAGCGTTACGCATGGCGTCGAAACCAAGGAATTCTGATTCACGTATCCGATACGCATCTCGTAAGTATTCCAATCGTGCTTTGAGAATGCGGCTCTCCGTATACTGATATGGAACTCTGCGCGAATCAATGAGTAAGCTGAGCCCGAAGAAGCTTGGAGACCATGAGAAGCGCAGAAAGCTGATCGCACATACCCGAACATGATGACAGCGCGGCCATAGTTATGATCGAAATCTATCCCTTCTGAAACCTTGCCACGCGCGACCGAAAGCAGAACAGCGCCGCGACCATTATCACATGCCTATTATAAGGCAAAGTGAAGTGAGCATTTGAGAGACAGAAAGATAGCGTGCGTGCGTACTCGTCTGTAATTCTCAAGAGCTATACTGGTCTCGTTGGCATCCGGGGTCTCCACGAAGATCAATTTGTGCTTCCAAACCTCGTTCAAAATCCCCTGATCAGAGTGTTCGACAGTTGTTCTTCGTCTTGGGAATATGGGTCATATGCACTTACCATATCGTTCCAAGCTGCCACAATAGACTCCATGTATAGATAACTCGGAAAGAAGGCGACGATACCATCGGGGACAATCTTGCTATATTCGACGAGGATGCTACCAAAGTTTCGAACGACCGCGGGGTCGTTTCTCACTTCGAAACGAGAACTAATTGCGACTTGGTCGCTGCCACGGGTAATGACCTGGAGCATGGTCATTCAAGTGCCGTCACTAGAAGCACGCAAGGAACTTACGAGAGGCAAGAAAGAGTTCCGCGTGAGGGTCATGGGGTAACTCTCCTGCACGACGGGTGTGAATTGGAGCATCTTTGGGTACATATCCAACGGTGAGATTGTTCCCGAAGTGATGACTACGCTGCTGAATCGTTCGAAGACGGGCTTGATGGCTATGGAGGGGTCGAGACATCTGCAAGACTACGTCAGACTCTAGTCTCTACAGACCGCTTTCTGTGTAGAACATGATACGCACGTAAAGTGAAATATAGGGTTAGGTACGGTTGCAACATCGGTCTCGAACGGTTCCAGAATTAACAGGAAACCTGTGGACAAATGAACACATGGATGGAGCAGTCTAGCGGCGAATGTAACCTACCCTTTTCATACGTAGCTACTAGTGTTGCGAATGTAGCCACTTTCTGTAATGAAGAGAATTCGTCCAAGCGACTAAGCTCAAGCGTACGGACTAACGACTGCAACCGCTCAGCGCAAAACCTGTTCACGCGGTTAGCTGCTAGGAGACTCGGAATCCGGATGGACTAACCGAAGCGGTCTCCGTTCAATGTAGGTGATGTCCTTGAGATGTTGGAGGAATGATAACGGAGTTTCTGCCACCACATGCAATACCCGCATTCGGGTCTGAGTCAAGTCCTTCATCAGCCATCATGGAAACTTGCGAACGGTGCGAAAACGTGCCTTAAGATATTCAACGAATCTCTTCAAGAATGCAATGAAATGTTCGGCCTTTCGTATGTTCCCTGGTATCGCTTCTTTGAGAAGATCCTCCGGTAAGACTGAACCGCTGATTCGTCAGATATGTCAACTGCTCCAAATCGAACGGAGTAGCGCACCGGGATTTGACATGAAAGCATCTTCGTTGTCGGCAGCCTCCTGTAGGCCCTCAACTAGCTTAGCGTATTCGTCTTGCAATTTGGATGCATCAGTTTTCTTAATCCTGGAGACGGGACTCAGATATGGAGTACTGAAAGCCGCTATAAAAGGGCCTACTCTTCAATTTTGTCTCCTAGTCGGCCCACACTACGAGCCGCAGAGTCTAACATGGGTCTCGTGAGATCAATGCTCAGCGACTCAATACAAACGTTGTCTTTATTAAGTATGGTCAGCTTGAGCACATGTTCAACGTATGACCAATTACAAGGGCGTACCGATATTGTGCGCTTCATCAAATACAACAATGGCATCTTTTGAGAGTTCCTTGGATACTTGCTCAGCAACTTTGGGGTCCAGCAGATAATGGAAGGAATAGATGACGACATCGACAAACGGCATCATACGTCGAACCAGAAAGTAGGGACAGACGGTGTTGTCTCGACCATACTGTAAGACGTCAGCGAGGGTGTAGACTCCCGGAGGTATTAGATTGCCCGGCTCCCGCACGCCAAGATTCTATGGAAGACGTGCGTGATTAACATCCATACGTCAATGCGGAGACTAGCCGTACTTCGTGCCATTCACATAGCTCAACGGAGCCAGGATTTTGCCGTCCTCTCTCGCACACAGAGGCGTTTGTGAGGTCTCTACATCGAGCATCTACGACGACACCTTTCTTCTCTTTGGAGACCTGACGTATGACGTCTTGCGATAAGCAGGGCTCATCAGTGCTATTCCTGTTTCGGGAGGCTTACCTCCGGATGAATACAAAGGTTCTTTCGACTAGTCAAGCCGATGCCGTAGAAGCTTTGTTCTTTCACCTTTTGTTCCTCAGTTTCTGCGCAGGACACTCGATACTCCATCAGACGCTTCAGTTCTGCCAGAGCCTTCTCGATTTCTGGCACCGTCCGCGAGCAATATATAAGTTTCCTTTTCGTGGGGTAAAACTAGACAAAGATCCTGAGCAGAAGGTGAGTGCGGTAACTCTCGTGCATACCTGTTGGTAAGATACAATCAAGGACAAAAGGGAGACCGTTTTCCCAGTGCCTGAAGGCATTTCTAGCACACAGTGACCCTAGAGCCGTAGCGTTCGCCTATTATTGAGTAGCTGCGTTTAATGAGCTTTATGCTCACCGTGGCATCGAGAGTACGTTTCAGGTCACACATGTAGGCATACTGCTCTATGGACAAGTTAATACAACTGTCTGGACTACAATGACGATCTCACATACCAGGATAGATTCGGTCATAAGGGAAAACAATCTAGAGCAGACTAGTTAATTTAAGAGCATAAGCATCTAAAATTCGTTACATATGCTCACAGGTAAATCATCTATCTGGAACTTCATAATTAAATAGGAACTACGGGGTATCTGTGTATGAGTATGCCTTGCAAGTGGATGTTTCAAGGCAAAGATGCCACCGAAAGGAGTCGAACAAGCGGCGACGCGGACTCTCGATCGCTAACGCGCGTCACATCCCGTGACTCAAGCGCCCAACATAGTCGTCGATCGTGGGCGCTTGCTCTAGTTGACCCAGCTTTCGGATGCTCAGAGCAAGGACTCTCTCGACACTTGCGCGACGCTCAGCGCGACGCACTGGACCATTCATATTCAGGAATGCGTCGTCAAAATCTAAAGTACCCGCTACTCCGGACAAAAGCCCTAAAAGTCTTGGTTATATAGAGGAAACTTTCACGCAACACACTGTATTCACTATAGATTTCTTCAGACGCTTCATCAAGTTTACTGCTGTCGGACTAGTCACCCTCGGCGTAACGACATGCACTGCATTTGAAGCAGCTCATTTCTGGGTCGAGAAGGTGGAATTGGCACCGGAAACAGATCCAGAAGCACACAAATGGGAGTGGGATCTTGACGCTGAGAGGTGGACAGGAGGTTCAGCTGGCGGCACTGACCCAGGCCTTGGATTCATGGGCCGGCATGCAGTTCGTGGCGCATGGATGGCCTTGAATTGGGGGATTGGTTCTTCGGGCAGCATCATCAGCTCTCGCGGAGGGGCAGGTAGCCTCAATATCGTGGAAGCACGTCTGGAGTTTGCACAGGACTTCCTCAACGTTGCCATACAGAATGCTCTAAAGCGATATGATTCTGGTAAATTGAGACCGGAGACATTGATAGAGCTCTTCCAACGACATGCTAGTGTGATGGAACTCATGGGGACCAGGGATTCTTTGTTCGAATCGCGGAGAGAGCTGGAGAAGGTCTGGTCCATGCTACCGGGCAAGGGTGTTGATGCGGCACGTATTGCTCTCAAGCTCGGAGACCTTAATCAAAGGCTGGGAGATCGTGACGATGCCGTTGCATGGTGGGCTAGGGCGATCCAACTTTTGCAAGAGAAGGATTCGAGAATTCCTGTTGAAATTCCCCCGTCTGTGCCAGATGTAGCCCCGTCATCTCCCTTAAGACAACGTACTTTAATTTCGACACTCGTATCTCTCTCCGCCCACTACGCGACGTCTGGTCAACTACGCCAGGCGCAACAGGTGGAAGAATCGTCCCTCGATCTACTTAGGTCTATTCGTCAACCTCAATCGTTTGAGACTGCATCTCCGCCACATTCTCTGCATGCCCTCTACATCCTCCATCGTTCATCGCTCCTTTCCATTCACTTGGCTGAAGTGCTCTACGCACTCAGGACCAAGCCGATCACATCGATTGAATGGCTCACACGCGCTGCAGAATCCTCCGAGCGAGTGGCATTCACACTCACGGGACTTCCTCTCTCGCACCCCGATGCGCCAGGGTCCAGGATCCCACACCCTCCTTCCTCCGAAACAGCTCTACTCCCAGCTTATGCCAAATCAGTTTCGATGAAGAAACCGGCGCGAAGTTTGCTGCGGGATTCTCGCCGGAGTGCAGCTGAAGCTTGGAATCTCATTGGAATCCTTGTCGAGTCGTCTGATGCCCCAGATTCCATGGACCGGGCTCTAGAGTATTACGAACGTGCTCTAGGTTGGGCAGGTGTTTCGGCTGATCGAGCGGGTGGCATTGGGAAACCGGGAGAAGGGACATTGGAGGCTGAGTGGAAGACACTATGGAACAATTATGTTCGTGCTAGGAATGCAGTAAAGAAGGACGGCAAGTAGTCGTAGCATTTTAGTCTTGCATCATTAAGTTTGGCTATCTCATCTGCATTGACAATGTCACATGTATCATATCATTCTCTTCTAAATTAACGTTGTACGCATAGCATCTCTCGCATCTTCTGCTTCAGCATCTGTAGGTCCACATGTATGACCAAGTAAGTACACCTGCCAAATGCGACTTGCACACTTCTCTCCGGCGATATCCGGCATAGCGCGAATGAGCTTCGATTGCGAACCAGGAATTGAAAAAGGGACGCGTGATTGAGTCGAATGCGAGGGTTCCAGGGAATATCGCGCCTTGTATATCTACCACGCGTTTTCATTCAGCATTCCCGTGCCCCTTTCTATCGATCTACCATCTCCTTTGATCTCCAGCGAAAGGATAAAAACATAAGAAGTATGGTCAATTTTGCCGCCGCAGAACGTTTCTTGGCCGATCGCGAATCTCCCTTATGTAGTCTTCAGGTCGCGAAGTCCTTCGCCCAATTGAGGTCAGATCGTTGTTGTCTTTGTTGATCCAATACTTACATTGTATTGTATGCAGCTCCAAGGAGAAAAAATATGCTCACTTCATTGGCCAGGCCTCATGGGCTGGTGCTCGTATCATTCAGGACCAATGGACACCACAGGCCCTGAAGCTTTACGATCTTCTCATTCTAATCTTCAGTGACAAAGGCCAGCTTGGGAACCTCGACATTCTCAAGCAGAAGGCCGAAGTCACTTCAGAGGAATGGGAAGCCATTCTGCAATACACTAGCCAGGTTGGTCATCTCTATGTCATCTTCGTCTGGCACAATTTTTTTGAATATACAACTGGATAGGTGCTAAGTAACTTGGTGAACTACAAGTCTTTCGGATTTACCAAGATCGTTCCCCGCGCTCCCGAGACAGCCTTTGCTGCAGTCGTCCAAAACTCAGTGAATGCCTCCAATGCATTGCCTTTGTGGAACGAGGTAAGTAACGAATGATCATATACCACTTCTATTAGTCATTCTCGGATTTTTACTAGCTCAAAGATCATATTTACCAAGACACGCCTGATGAAGCCAATTTCATTGGAAAGCGCAGTCTTGGCCATGTTTCCAATTATTACCTCGGTGAAACGCCCACGGATGAGGAAGTTGCTGCTATTCAGACCGCCGCAGAGAAGATTGGCGTCGATGTGCTGAACACACGGTCAGTGTGGTCGAATGCAAGGCTAACATGACAACTGACACTTCTTAAGAGTGCGCAAGAACGGAGCGGATGATTTCACTCTGTTAGTTGCATCTGCGAAGACTCAGCCCTCTACCAATCACGAATTCTCTGTCGGTGATAAGAAAGCGAAGTTGACCGTGGAATATGGTGACTTCTCCGATGCATTGGCCAAGACTGTCACAGCTTTGCGGGAGGTATTGCGACACCTCAATGTTTAAGAAAATATGGCAGGCTCATATTATCTGTAGGCGAAGAAGTATGCAGCTAATGACCACCAGGCGGCCATGCTCGACGGCTATATCGAATCGTAAGTGCAGTTTAGATTGGGTTGAACGCATATATCCATCCTGCCCTAGATTCGAGACTGGCTCAATCGAAGCACACAAGAAAGGCTCAACCGAATGGGTTAAGGACGTTGGGCCGGTAGTCGAGAACTATATTGGATTCGTTGAGACCTACGTTGACCCGTACGGTGGTCGGGCGGAGTGGGAAGGTAATGTTCTGCCCAATTCAAAACTTATACCCCGTCGTTCGAACTCTTTTTTTTTCAGGCTTCACTGCGATTGTTGACAAGGAACTCAGTGCAAAATACGAGATACTTGTAAATAATGCCCCGGAGCTCATCAAAGTTCTTCCCTGGGGCAAGGACTTCGAGGTTGATGTTTTTCGAAAGCCCGATTTTACTGCTCTGGAGGTACTTACATTTGCTACTGGAGGTAATTGTCATCAAGATTGTCTTCGTCTCCCTCGTGACTGACTTGCTATTTTCCAAGGGATTCCCGCTGGAATCAATGTAAGCAGCTCTATCTCATATTTTGGTATGAAATGTACTTATAGACAACATGCTGCAGATTCCAGTGAGTATCGCTAATTTTGATGAAGTGACGGCAAATAACAATCCACTCTGCTCAGAACTACTACGAAATAAGGGAATCGACTGGCTTTAAGAACGTCTCGCTCGCTGTACGTCTATTTCGTAGTCTATTTGACACCACCTATCCTCATGAATTCTCAGAACATTCTTGCTGCGAAAGCGCCAAGTACGTATTTAGTATATGCGATTACTCGTTGATTGTTCTGACCATTCCACTAGATGAGGAACTCACCTTTATCCACCCTGATGACAAGGACCTCTACAACGCCTGGGATAACCGGGCTTTTGAACTTCAGGTCGCTAACCATGAACTGTTGGGACACGGAAGTGGCAAACTCTTCTCAGAGGATGCCGATGGAAACTTGAACTTCGATCCCAAGAAGGTACACACTGTTCTGACATGTTTCCGTACCAAAGCTCACTCATTTCACCTAAGGTCATCAACCCGCTTACTGGCGGGCCCATGTAAGTTATACATGAAATCCGGCGTAGCGACGGGGGTAACACTGATGCATGACAGCACGTCTTGGTACAAGCCTGGTCAGACTTCTTCTTCTGTGCTCGGCGAAGTTTCTTCATCAATGGAGGAATGCCGGGCAGAGACCGTTGCTCTTTACTGTACGCCCGCATGTTTACAAGACTTTTGACGCATAGTTGACTAACCTTTCTTCAGTGGCCAGCAACCCCAAGATTCTTGAAATCTTCAAGGTAAGTCGCACGACCGTTTGACAAATACATTCTTGACCGCCACAAATTGGTTTTCAGTACACTGACAAGCAAGACGCTGAAGATATTCAGTATATCACTTTCTTGCTGATGGCCCGTGCTGGTCTTCGTGCGCTGGAATACTATGATCCCACGAAGGGGAAACATGGTCAAGCTCACATGCAAGCTCGGTATGTTATTCACTCGTCCGTCTTTATTCCCATCCAATTTGCTCACATATGTTGATCTTTCAACAGACTTGGTATTACTCAACACTTGATCAAGTCGGGTATTGCTCGTCTCGAAGAAGTCCGTGGCGCCGATGGTAGTTTGGAAAACCTCTACGTTAGAGTATGCCATTCCTTGTCGGATATAGATTTTCCGCGCCCCTTATTCATTGTTGGACAGGTCGACAGGGAAAAGGTGCTCAACCAAGGACGTGATGCCTCTGGCAAGCTCCTGATCGAGCTGCAAGTCCGCAAGAGTACAGCAGACGGCGCCGGTGCTCGTGCCTTCTACACTCAATTGACAACACCGTTGCCTGGCTGGGACGGAGAGATCCGTGATTTGGTGCTCAAGAAGAAATTGGTATGTCCCGATCCAACCGTTGGAAATGTGCCTCCTTGTAGAAGCTAAACGTTATACAGCCGAGGAAAATTTTTGTGCAGCCCAACACCTTCATCAACGGCGATGAAGTGGAGCTGAAGGAATACCCGCTCACACCCGCTGGCGTTATCCAAAGCTTCATCGAGAGGAAGCTTTAATACCATATCAGAAGATATCCAAATTCTGCTTGGTTGTATTGAATTGTCCACAATGAGCCATCGATTAGGGGTAGCAAGCAGTGCTAACTGAATGTAGAATACGACTATGCATACCTGCATGTGATGAATAGATAACTCGATATGGGGTATTGTGTACGAAGCGAATACAAATGGTGTGCAATAAGTGTTCTAATGGTATGCAATGCGTAGATCATAGGCCTATTCCACAAGCAGGAGGAATTAGATAAAGAACGTGTGTGTGCGAGGGTGTACATACAGTGCCAGAAAGAAGTCCGAAAATCTATAAAATGGTGTAAAGTCCGACGATCATTGTGTCTCACAAACCAATGCGACCACGACGGTCACGTCGTCCATCTTCTACTCGCGGTAAAATGAATGAGTATAACAACAAGGGATGACTGCAGGGAACCACATACCCCACCACGGTAGAACAAGCCTTCACGAGCGGCTGCTCGCTCGAATGGGCTAACCCGCTTTTTGTTCACCATGCACATCTGGGCATAATCAACTAGCCGATCAGCCATGACTTGTACTTGAGCATCTTCCTGAGGCTTAGCAAATTCAGTCTTAGTATAAACAGCACATGCGAGATGCCAACACAAAAGCACACCTCCGGAGGGTCCTCAGCATCTGCATCAAGCTCTTTCGGGGCAGGGGGTGGCGTAAATTGTCGGGAAATTAGTGAACATATTGCTGCAGTCTCAGACGGGAAGACATTATCCGAGAAGCCGTCAGTCTACAAACGTTTAGCGAGTTACAGCGATTTGAAAGAGAGAAGATGGACTGACATAGAGAACGATTATATCTCCGTCTACTACATTTGTCTCGTATAAATCAGCGTCCTGCGCAGTATCATGCAACCCTCGCGTGAACCCTGTTGAAGGTAATTTTGTCAATTGTCTACGGAAACAAATCAGCTGCATTCATCTTGACACAAGGACTTGGTAATACTTTGGGCAATTGAAGAAATGGGTCTGGGGTGCCTGGTTGTAAATCACGTTGGAAGACCGAATTATACAGAAACCGCTATCACCAAGGCTAGCCAATGACCGTCAACGATAACGACAGCAACATGAAGGACACGCTCACTTTGCTGACCGCAGGATACCGTTCGCTGCGTTTAGGTTCACAATACAGGCTGTGCTAGAACCTGTGTCGGAGCATAATCACGCAGCACTTGCGAGCGAAGGTCGTTTACCACCTACCAGCTTTTACAAAATGCTCTCTTAGGACCTGTCCATGTGCAAGCTCCATACACTCTTGCGGAGTCAACTCCCAACCGTCCACTTGCTCACGTTCTTCGTAGTCCAGATTTGGGTCGGTTTCGGGCTCACCAGGCCATGACACTTTAGCATAACGATGTGCATGGTACATAAGTGCTTGCGAAAATAACGACGGGTCAACTCCGGCATCGACCCAGCCACCAACTCCGTCAGCGATTCCAAGGGAGACACCCTGTGGAAAGAAGAAACATACATTGGGAGCGAGGTCAAACGGCCAGAAGAAGACTTACCTACCGACTGTTTGCGCATCTTATGACATGTCAAACTATTGAATCAGGATCGTAGACAGAAGCAGAGAAAAATCATGAAAAACACACGTCTTGCACATAAAAGAAGTCCTCCCCGATGTGTCTGCCTGAACTGCTAGCTTTGGGTCGAGACAGCGTTTGGTCGCGCCATGCTCCTATCTCGCTATCCTTGGGGAAAGGCAAGGTCTTGACTCGTCTCTGCTGTGTATCAGGTTGTTTTCCCGCCCAACTCGCTCCGACGTGGAAACGGAAGGGACGGGGGAGTGCTGAAGTTGACAAATATCGCAATCTGGCATTCTTCGAGGAGAAAGTCTGCTTTGAGAGTATAGTCTTGGAAACATTCAATGAATGAAGTTTCATGACATGCGCAGGGGGCATAGAACAGGTCAGGAGGAGGATAGATGTAAGGAGTGGAAGTAAGTGGCAAGAGGTCAAGTCTCTTAAACTTCAAAGTCCTGCCGAGGATCGCCAGGCGCCCAATATAGCGGACGTCCAATTTGGCAAGTCTCTGACTTCAAATTGTACATTTGAATAAATACAATAATTGACCTCCTGAGGCCTCCTGAGGGTCCAAGACTACATACATACAGCACAAAAATCATACCGAAGGACGCGGCCTTCCACGAGGAGCCTTCTTGGAATGCGATATTGGCCCTGGGCGACTGGAACCTGCAGAAGTTGAGGGCTTGCTAGCAAAATGAGACAACGTCATCTGTCTCAACCCATCTGACCCTTCACTCTTCCGTCGTTTCAATTTGATACCAAGAAGCTTCGCCTTGTCAGCCTCCGTATATCCTTTTGGACGCAAATCCGGTGGAAGATAGGGTATTGGATGAGCAGTAAGTGGTTTCATCTTCGGAGGAGGACCAGTCTCCTTGGGTATGCGTATATTGGTCCCCTTCGGAAGATTTGGAGAGGATGGTATATCATTGAACTCGCCTTCATCGCTGTCCGAATGTCCCGAGTCGGAATCAGAATAAGAGAGATCTTTTTTCTTCGACCTCTTTCGCTTACGCGAGGTCCTGTTACGCGCTTTCTCTTCTTTCTGTCTCTGCAACTCCATATCCTTCTGCCTATCAGCTTGTACCGAGGCGAGCAGGTCGGGATCTAGAGATGGTAATGCACATGACGGAGGTCTCGCTGCAGCAAGTGTAGGCTTGCGATTCAGCTTCGTCGTCGCCTTCTTGCCTTCTCCATCGGCACTGGCACTGGCAGCTGAGGGCTTCTTAGGCGATCGTTTCATTGCACCACTCATCCTAGAGCCATATGTCTTGGCTCTATCCCTCTCAGCTGTCGCCAGAAGATCCGGGTCAATATCGAACGGGAAGCTGGCTCGACTTTGCAATTGCGATTTCCTCGCGAATGGATTGTTCCGCACCTCTGCAACTCGAGAATGTCCATGATGTCCCGAAGTCTCAGCAGTTGGTTTCTTGTTGACGAGATCCCACACAGCCTGTATCCCTTCCTTCGCTTTGTTGCTCTGACGTGCTTTATCTCCATGCAGTACGTGTAATGCATCTTCTGTACGCGGTCTCTTCATGGAACGGCTGACCGCAATAGTGCCCGGGTCCTCGGACGAAGAGTTCTGGATCAGGCTGTAGGGAGGCGGAGACCTGAAGAGCATGAGAGGGTGAGGAGGGGCAATACGGCTGCGAGAGGCTTCTGAAGAACTGGCCGCAGCATGAGCAGACTTCGAATTGTAAGTAATCAAACAAGCCTTCGAAGTTGGCGGTAAAGGGGCGTAGAATGCAGCCAAAGCTCGCCGGGCGTTATGACCTCTAGACTCTTCCGCCGCGACGACGTCCTGCATCTTAGAGTCTTCCGTCAACGAATGTCTATCACCTACTACCCCGGCAGGGTCATAGTGGTATTCGTCGTCATCTATATCGGATATGGTATCTATGCCAGACAACGGTAGAGGCGAGAACGTCGACAGACTTCCCAAAGACATTCGCAGTCCTCTATAGGGTGTGCTGCGTGCAGGTGGTCTGTGATGCAAAGTGGATAGGCGTAGGAAGTAAGGATCAGGATGACTGAAGAGCGAGGAGCTTAATCCAGGAGCGCGTTGGGAGGAATGGGACGTAAGGGCAATCAAAGAGTCGGTGAGGGGAGTAGGATGGAACAAGTCTTGGCCACCACTTGGGCGGAAGGGACTGGAGCTGACAGTGGATGGCCTGCATCTGGTGCCTCGAAGATCTGAAGGCACGTGAGATAAAGACAAAGTCAAACGTCCATCGCCACGTACCAGCCACACTCAGCAATGGAAACTTTGGGAGGCAATCAAATATCGAGTCATCAATTTTCATACAATCTCGGAGGTGTATAATTCGTAGGCCCCATGGACCCCTTCGCTTCCCAGTGTCCTCTGACGTTAGAAGGGTCTTGGAAAGCGTCTTAATACCCCAAGACGTGAGTACAGTTAAACTCAAATCCACGGCTGCCAAGTTATGCAAGTCACCCAACTGCACAACCGTTTGGTCATCCACTTCCTCTCGGCCACGAAGCTCCAACACCGTGAGTAGCGCAAAATCGGGTGTAGACGGTATCTGTTGTAATAACGGGGCGTGAATATCGGACAGTGGAAGGGTATATGTCCTGAATGCCTCCGGTAACGGCGACACGGTCTGAATGATGACTGCCCATAGTCTGGGATCTACATTTGCTAGGAAATTCGTAGACTTAGGGTCTTCGTGAGAGAATGCAGGGACTAAAGACCTTACGAGGTCATAGTCTGAAGGGGACGCCGGTGGTTCATAGTGAATACGAGCTGGTCCAATACTGTCGAGCTGTTCCGGGTATTCCATAAGTTTTCGCACACAGAAATACTTCAACGAGGGCACGTATGTTAGTGGCCTCTTCGCAGCGGCTTCAGACGCTCTCTCATATGGCCCTGGAATGTTCGACGGTGGAAGTACATACTTCAGAATGGTTGTGCAGGCGTCGTCCGAAGTGGTGGTAGGAGTCGGTTTCCATAGAGTTATAGGAGGAGCCATGCTAGAACTACGACCTCAGTTAGTATCGGTACTTCATGAGCATTGGGCAGCATTCGAAGGTTTTGTTGTCGAAGGGTTGGATGAACGTGTCAGAACGCGAAGAAACGCGTCGCGACGCGTGCAAAGTGAGCGCTTGGGCGCTCATATATGCATCATGATCGAAAGATCACTGAAAAGTGAGGAATGAACAGGCGAGCAGAGTACTGTAACCATAGGATTCGAAACACTACAATTCATGTGACATAAGACACGATGACTATGTTTTACAGCGCATTGCAAAACGATAGGTGAGTGGAAATTCTGCGTGATAAATGTCGGATCACGAAATCAGCCTGGCCGGTCCGGCATGTGTGGCTCACTCAATACTTGCATATACGCTGCACACGCTTTCAAAACTTGAGAGTTCGAAGCCTGCATGTAATATGTATGAATGCTTAGTATCAGACTGATGGCCTAGCATCCTCAGAACCCCCTCCGCTGTACGTAGCATTCGGGGAATTTGGAGCAAACCGCCTGGATCTTAGCGCCCGAACAGAGCGAAGACCTGGAGGTCACTCGATGAAGATACCCCAAACGATACGTGCAGTGGACTAATTCGACTTGCATCTATGGGCCTTGTAACATAATAAAATGTAGTCTAGGATAAGAATTTAATGGAATACATCCTTTAGGAGCTGAGCCAACTCATGCAGTTCATGATTTTCAATTAGCATCCGATTACACCTTAAAGCATGACCCGCATATTCTCTACTCAATGCTATCATTGGATGTTACAAGCAGAGGACTTTCCGCATATTAATCAGACCCACAGAGATGCACGGCGATATTCAGTAGTACCACTGACATTTGGTGCCACCGAGGAGCCGCCACAACTTGCTCGATTTGGTAGGCTGGCGATCATGCCGAGCTCTTACCCCGCAAGTCCGACACATATCGTGGAAATTCTTCGATCACCTATCGTTTTGCAACGCGCTGTAAATTGTTCATATCAACTCCCGAGTGTCCTCTACCTATCCTTACCAGTACATCCGACTCGGATGCCACCGAAAACGTTTGCACGAAAAGGGCCTTGAAAGAGGTGGGTTTACCACTGCATCAGTTGATTCGCGATTGACTTCAAACCGGTGCGCATCGATATCAATGATGGCAGACATCAAAGGAGGTGGTGCAATCCTTGCAACGTCTGCGCAGAATTCCCTAGAATTCCCTGCAATGCGGATAATTCTGGAGGAAACGAAAACAGGTTGAGCAACGCCGATGCGCAAAGAACACAGCATTCACTTACATCGAACACCGAGATAAAATCACCTGCCTTTTAGCGAGAAAGCTAAGTTGAAACATGTTAATAATGCCTGAGCGAAGGCTATCGACTTCGATCCCTTTCGTGAAGCTAGGATGGGCACGTTGTCTCAGGTTCATCTAATGCACTTATTGGCAGGCCATTCCTAAGTCTGTTGCTATCCATGACCTTACATTGGGTATCACCATCGAGATTCGTAACAGGGTACGAAAGGACGAGCGGACCTTGAGCGGACCCATGTTTTTGCGTTGGGTCACGCAGCACAAGGCGACAATAACCAGTTGGAGCGGGTCCGAGTCGGAATGGTTACAGCAAGACTCACTGCGCCAACCCCATCAACATTATAGAGTTACATATCAATTAGGGAGTATTGAAGATGGAAACGATGGCGGCGAAAAGAGTTTGGTAGACGGAGCAGACATCCGGTTGCAGTTCTAAACCAGCAAAGTCATTATTGTACCATATTGGCAGAGAACAAGCCACCGACTCACACCTACTGATTTACCCGTGAAGCATGTCGAAATGAGAATAATGGAATGCAGAGTCAACTTGGAGCAGACCGACAAAAAGGCATTCAGCCGAGCGCTTCGGCAGTTTCACACTGAAAGAGAGCACCATCGCTGCATTTCCACTGCTTGATCACAGCCTTCGGTGCTTCAGGACGCGCCTCCTTCTATCCATATACCCTCTTCAGTTCCTCTCGGCTCTTTCATACACTCGCTATCTTCACTTCTAGATTAGGGCGTAGCCCCACATTCCTTCAACAGCTCGCCCGAGGACTCAAGACAATACCAAAAATGGCCCTAGAACCACTCTTGAGTACTCGTGCGCAGCGCGCTTTTGTGGCTACCCGTGAGTTGTCTTTTTAAAAGAAAACGGGAAGTACAAGTTGACAGCATGCATGTTGGGATGCAGTGGTTCTACGTACGTGAAACTTTAAAAGACTCGATCGAAGAAGTGTCTCATGGAGGATGCTTGCAGAGGGTCTTGTTGTACTGGCAATGGTAGCTGTCGTATTCGCCTTTGTGAGTAACTTGTCTGATCAGACCGTCGAGTTTTCTTTTTTGACTCGCCTTCCTGCAAGGTTGCGGAGCACGTCGAGTTTACTGGCCAATACAAAGTGTGTCCGCTCCACATCTTCACAGCTTCGATCGTGATCGTAATGGGAGATTATTTGCCTAGACGATACCATGTTACCTCGCATTGTTTGCACTCGCCGAGTGAGTGAAAGCAAACTCGGCTTCAGCAAATGTACTCATCCATCGCAGGATCTTCGAAATCCTTATGGCATTCGACGCACTTCGGTTACGCAATATAATTCAGCTAATCGGAATATTCAGTCAGTGCCACACACATCTCACCCTCGGTTTATATTACTCATTGTCTACGCTTTTTACTAGTTTTCCATGGAGCTATGATAGTCTTTTCAGCACTTCAAGTCCACGAGACTAAGGCAGCTTTGATCGTGCCAGGCGGAACAGATTACTTTGTAACAACGTTTTGACATATTACCTTTTTTATTTTTATTCACCGTACATTCAGAATCGTGGCGGACCCGACTCATTGTGGAACAAAGTTCTACCATTCTTGATCGTCGTGCCATGCGTCATTGCAGCTTCTTGGGTCATCATGGCATGGTGGATAAGGAAATTGTACTTTGAATTCGGGTATGCAGGACATACACACTCAGAATATCGTTTGCTCATTTGCCGTGACTCACAGATGGGCTATCTTCCACGTCGTTGGTGCAAACCCAGCATTCAAGAGTACGTTGTTCTTAATCACATTCTTAAATCAATCATGTTGGATTGATCCTCTTATTTACAGCAATGTTCCAGTACTATCAGATCATGATCTGTCTCCTCAAGTTCGACTTCTTCTGCTTCACAGGCGTCACCATTCAACTCCTCATTCTGGTACTCCAGACAAGTTCTGCAGAATTCGGGCTCACAGTCGCGGCTATTCCCATTGTTTTGGTTCTGCTAGCATTTTGTGGATGGGCTGTCAAGCGTGAAGTCAAGTGGTATGTTATGCTTTCTCCATGCTCCACTGTTAACATACCTGAGTGGTGATGAACAGGCTGATGACCATCTCGCTGGCGCTGATGTTGGCTGCGGAATCATACTGTGCGTGCTATTTTTATTTTCTTGCGTGCTTCTTTACTCTAATTCCATCGGGCTGACGCTCTTGCCAGTCAGTGAGTGTCACGTGTAGCTGTATATAGATGAAATGGGGCTAACAATCCGCTCAGTCTACAAGCTTGTCAGATTCTATGAGCCTGCATCAAGAGAAGAATACGCGACAACACGAGCAACGCTCACCGTATTCAGTCCGTCACCTCATCTCACCTGGTCTTTCATCCATTTTCTAACATCCTATTCACAAAGCAATCGTCGCATTCCTCCTGCTGTTTGCAACATTCGCCGTCGGTCTCCGTTGTTTCGCAGACTTTGACAAGGGACTACTGAGCTCAAAGCTGCACGGTCAGTCATACCGACCCGTTGCCACCCATGGCGGCGACGGCAAGACAGATTTATTCGGTGATTCTTCCTTTCTTACACACCATCCCCTTCTCTTAGCCGTCACCGGACCAAAAACGTACTCACAATCCCCGCTCCCCTCACCAGGGGAACAATCAACAATGCGACAATCATCATACCTAGGTGGAGGTCAACTCGGACCGCGTATATCCATAGAATGATGTGTCTATCTCCCCTCGATATCCCCCGCTCGTCGTTCTTTTTCCGTCCCGCCTCTCGCCCCCCAATGCTACAAGATTACGCTCAACTCACGATCTCGCTTTCAACTCTTTTGTTTCACGACCTCTTGCGCATGGGTGTGGGTAGTTGCGCAGGTTTATGGAGTTCTTGCTTTTGGGTGGTTGAGGTTGGGGCCGGGGCCCCCCGCCGTTGCTGTGTTTACTGCTAATTTATATTTGCATTGTTCTGTACTACGAGTTTATCCATACGGACTTCATGACGATATCTATTCCCAGGATCCGCGAAACATGCCTGACCCTAAGGAACTGAATCTAAATCCATTTCTTGCGAACCGAAGAAAGCACAAGTGGGATCCTCGCGCAATGGAAGTGCAGTTACGAAGCATGGTCCTTACTGAGAAGCATATTCGAATGGTCTTGATGTGACTTGTTGCAGCATGATACCAACCAGGCACGAATAATGACTGCGCAACAAGTTGAAAATGAATGTCTCCGAACAGATACCGAGCTTTCAATCACGTCGAAAATCCAAGCAAGAAGTACACAGCGGGCATTAAGCCCGCGATCAACCCAATGACCTCGACACAAGCAACCATTGCGCCAGACTGGTCTCCGCCTGTGGGGGTGGGACTTGGGAGGTTCGGTGCAATAGATGTCGCACCGGCCGTACTGTTTAGCCACGGACTTTGAGTGGGTGCGTTGTCAGGTTCAGGGAAGGTGGCTAGCGCATTTGTACTATTACATCCTCCTTGTTTGTTATCATTCTGAACTTCCACTCTGCAACAAGATCGGTATCAGACATGACACGGAATAACATGGGGGAGTTTAAACATACGGAATGGCAGAAATGATGAAGTATTCCTGATTATTAATGTGTGAGACTTCGTAAAACGACAGCTATATGCGGCGTTAGCATTTTAGAGTCATGCGGTTGCAACGGGGGACTGACATTGTACTGCCCAGCAGGTACACATGAGCTGATATTGTAGTTGATGTGTTTTACAGTGCTACTGTTCTCCTGTGCAAGAATGTCGCTGCCAGATGAGATAGTGAGGTTGATACTCTGGGGATACGAGAAGAGGTAGATCTCCAAGCTGTCGAAGCGAGTAGAGTCATTGGATCCAGGGGTGGCAGCACTAGCTGGAAGGTTCCCATCACCAGATATCTACGTGAATTTGAGTACAGTCAACTAGTGAGGGATTAATTGACTCACGTCGACCGCAATTGCAACATTAGAGCCCGCATGAAGCGTGCTGTAGCGTTCCCCTTGTTAAGTGTCACATACGGCGACCAGCTTTGAGAACATACCTCTGGGGAGCAGGAGAGTCAATAATAGCTAGACCTCTGGTGAAGATCTGACCATTGAATCCAAACGTTTGAGCCGTAATAACCTGAGCTAGACAAAGGAATGTCGAGATTGAAAGGAATGAGAACATCCTGAAGTTTCTACAAGGATTCAGGATTCGGAAGTGGCTTTTATATTAACGGTGAATCGTCGGGGCTGGACGGTAATCTCGGCCATAATCCCTCATGTTTCTCTCGAGGAAACGCTTTTTGGCCCAGGAATGATCAACTTCCAAAATTCAGGCACTGCAGCTCAGCGGGCTCGATCACCGTCGATCGTGACAGAAAGCGCGTGACTTTATGTGACGGAACGCGTTGATTGGCCGCGCGCGCGTGACAACTTGATTGTTGAACTGCTCGGGCTACATTGACCACCATGGATGACAGACCTGACCCCATTGCACAATTCTTCCCCGACCAGGATCCCGAGTCTGTAAACTTATATTCTGTCCTAGACGTAGAATCTTCAGCCAAGCCAGACGAAATCAAGAAGGCGTACCGCAAACTTGCCCTTATTCATCACCCAGATAAACACGCGACAGCTGGCGAATCTGCAAAGGCGGACGCGTCACTCAAGTTTCAGCAGATCGGGTTTGCCTACGCTGTCTTAGGTGATGAGAAGCGTCGCGAGAGATATGACAAGATTGGCAGGACAGACGAGGGATTCGACCTTGGTGCGGGCGAGGATGGGTGGGATGCATACTTTGAAGATCTCTTCGAGAGGGTTACGAAGCAGAGGCTAGATGAACTGAAGAAAGAGTATCAAGGTCTGTTGCTGTTCCTTCGGTGTAAGGCTCAATCGTTGACGGTTGAATAGGCTCAGATGAAGAGGTCCAGGACCTCAAAGCTGCCTATCTCGAAGCAGAAGGCGCTATAGATATCATCATGCAACACATTCCACATTCCACCTATGATGACGAGGCGCGTTTCATTGTCATCATCTCCGACCTCATACGTAAGAAGGAACTTCCTTCATTCAAGACATGGGATGCAAGCGTGAAGGATGAGAAGTCTAGACTCGTACGAAAGAAACAGGGTGAGAAGGAGGCCAAAGAGGCAGAAGAGATGGCGAAGGAGTTAGGTGTCTGGGACGAGTTCTTCGGAAGTGGAAAACCTTCCTCGAAGAAGGGGAAGGGCAAAGGGAAGGGTAAAGCCAAGGATGACGCTCCCGCGGACGAGGAAGAGGACTATTCTGCCCTTCATGCCCTGATTCTCAAGAAACGAAAGACCACAGACAACTTCTTCGACAGTCTTGCGGAGAAGTACACTCGAGAAGAGGAGAGCAGTAAGGCTAGGGGAAAGAAGGAGAAGAAGCGAGTCAAAGCCGACGAAGAGGAGGAAGAAGCTGAGATGGGATCTCCAAAGAAGAAGTCCAGAAAAAATGTGCCACCACCTCCTGATATTGACGACAAGGAATTCGAGTCGTTGCAAAAGAAACTTTTCGGAGACAAAGCGAACGCGAAGAAACAAGATGAAAATGCATCTGCTTCTAAATCCAAGCGAAGTACAAGAGCGAAGAAGGGGCGGTGACCTCAGTTCAATGCTTGCTAGGCCTCCTGTATATTTATTGTCCTTTCTTTTCTTTTCTCCATCTTGCTTGGGTCCATCGTTGTTTGTGATGAGTTGTACAAGTATAGCTGCATAGTATCTATGTACTTTGTCCGGCAAACCAATAAAGATGTTACAAATATCGAACAGAATCAATACCCAAACTCCGTCTAGCATGAATAATAGCCACCAACTCCTTTATCGACTCCTCCAGGATCACGACGTTATCCAACAATCTCGATAAAGTCACAGTCTTGACCTGATTACTCTCCCGTGCCTCCGCTTCATCCTCATCATCGTGCGACTCCTCGTTCGCCCCACTACCCCACTGTGAAGAACTCGTAAAAACATCCTCTTCATCTGTGTTCCATTTCACCGAAGATGACTTGGCAGGCGTCCAAGGTCCTGAACTAGGTGCCGGAGCCAGGAAGGGCTCAACAACAATGGAACTCGTCTTCTGGTAGTGAGGTCCGAAAGGACTCGCGTCAACAGTCCTACGAGGGCCTGAAGGTGTCTGGGGCTCGGAAGGCGTTGTGGGTTTGGGTTTGGATTTCTTGGGCGTGAGGAAAGATACAAAAGACGATGACTTGGCTTTTGGTTTCGGTTTCGGCGTTGATGGTTCTGAAGTCGTAGGTGAGGTGACTGTAGTTGCTCTAGGAGTGGCGGGGCCATCGACGTCCAGCGCAAGGGTGAGCGCATCGGTCAGGTTCTCCGAGAACAAAAGACCTTGTCGACGTTCCAGGAGATATTGGTCGAAATTATCAACCATTTGCCTGTATCGTTCGAGTTGGGAGACAAGGCCGTGGAAGATAGAGTGCACAACTGGTCTCGTTTGTTCGTCCAGCCTTGAAGCAGGTAGCGAATGGTCCATAGCAAGTTTCTCATCAATGGCAAAGTCAATAGACCGATCGTCTCCATCGTCTCTACCATCTTGAACATCCTCAGCCAAACTCCGTACAGGCGATTGGTCGTCTTTCTCCTTCGATGAAAAAGTGAGCCAACCGGCGAGACTCCGGTCTGGGCATATCGCCAATGTTGCCAAAGCACCAGTCAACGCCATGTTCATCTCTGGCGTGTTCGAGAAGAACCTCCGGAGGGACTCGAGAACCAAAGACAGAACAGCGTCATTAGCATTTAAACGATGCTTGGATTTTGCCCGTGTATCCAGATCCACATCCCATTGGAAGCAAGCGTGAGTTTGGATGCTAACCAGAGCATCACGCAGATAATGATCATATCCGGTACTGAAAGCATCTTCGTTGTGAGCGGGATCGACACGCGAGACCAAGGTCAGATATAACCCCATCTCGCGTTCATGTGTCCAGTAAGTAGTATCAGGTTGAGCAAAGGCGATGTATGTAGTTTCCTTGTTGGGTATCGAGGTATCCTCTGCGCCGGGGTATATGAACGTTTCGTCGTCGTCGTCATCATCATCGTCATGAATGGCAGGATTGGATTCGGAGAGAGCAGGAAGAGCGGCTGGCTGAGGGAAGCTGGTTGCTTGTGGGTCGGGTATGACGATCATCAGCTTGTCCGAACAAACCTTACAGTACTGCTGTAGCATTGACTCTAGTAGCTGTAGTGCCGCTGTCACTGTGGGCTGAGATGATGATCGAAGGCTGCTTAACAATAAATCTTTGAGCGTGAAACGACCCATTGACGTGAAGTACTCCGTATGTCGACGCGTCTCCGGTGCTTCCAACTCAAGCAGAGCCATGGCAGCGCTTTTCCTCCTCTTTTGCTTCGTCGCGCGGTCTACTGGTGCTGATGACCTAGAAACTGGTGGTCCGTTTGAGCTCAGGTTGAGCAAGGAATGTGGTCGCATGCGTGAGCGTGTGAAATCCTCCGTGTTATCCTCGCTCATGAGGAAATCAACGAGGAGGTCTCCTAGCTGACCATATCCCAGCGTACGCATCATGATCTCAATGTAGGCCATGACCGCAACAGCACTACCGTCCGAATCCGAACATTCCAATACAGATGGATAGAAGACGTTTTCCAAGAACACCCGACGCACTGCGTCTAGGATGGATTGGACGATTGCTGAACCGACAAGAGCTGAAGCGTCGAAGTTGGCATCCGCCGTTTCTGGCAAGATATTTCGTTTTAAGACATCTTGCAAAAACTCGAGTAGTTTGAGAAAATGGTCTAAACGATATTTGAAGCTAGGACTTGATGAATCCTCAAGACCAATCGACCGTTTCTTATCCAACTCGGCTTCATCGGCTTCCTTTTCAGTCTCGGACAGCGTGGCTGTCGTACCTCCCAGAACCATGGTGGTACTGGATGCAGTCTCAGTTTGACTAGGAGGTTTGATCTCCAGTTTGGAGGGAAGGAGGGAATATACAGCTGCCAGTCCAGCGGCAAGCACTTCTGAAAAATCGCCATCAAGAATATACTCTGCCAAGGCGAGAGCAGCATCCACATTCGGGTCACTATCTGTGCTAGAAGATGTAGAAGTTGAGGAATTAAGCGAGTCCTCGCCACCTGAAGGCTTGTGCATCGATTCGCCTGGAGACATGGCAACATCCATAAGGAAAAGTAGGCCTGCACGTGCAAAGTCGCCGATTTGGCCTTCACGGTGAACGAAACGCAGCAAATAGTTGAACAGGAGGAACTCGTATTCAGGCTTCTTCGTAGTGACTGAAGACTGGGGAGCAGAGGACGGAGCAGAGGTGATTGTCTCCTGTGAGGGGCTTGGAGATGATGGTCGTGCCTTTGACTCGTCGGCGGAGGTTGACTGTTCTTCTGGGGATGCATCATCAGGTTTACCTGCTTCTGCCTCTTCTTCATCTTCCTCCTCGTCCTCTTCTTCCACCGAGAAAAGAGGTTCGGGTCGGTACCACTGCTTATCGTGGAAGAATATCATGAGCAATTCGCGATAGTTACGTATGCGACTGCAGAGAATGCATAGAAGGTTGACAACTGGAATGAATTTTAGCACATTGTTGAGTTGACAACCGGATGATACGTACGGTCCTCCTCATATTCAGATGGTTGGCTCCTCACGGCATTCCCTGCAGCACCCATCTTTCTATTGCGACCATCTAGCTGCTCTTGGATATCATCACCTACACAGTTGCGAAGTAACCTGAGGACAGCTTTGTGGACAGCAGAATGAACTAGGAATTGCTCATCGAGCAGGACGACCATGTTTTGCACGGCGCGCAATACTTCAGCTTGGATGCCCGCAGGACGGTCGGCCTCACTGAGCTTCACCAAGGTGCCCAGGACATCTACGATGAAAGTATTAACTATGAAGCCAGCATTTCAAGTAGCGTACAACACACCATTCTTCAAGAGGTATTCGAGACAAGCACCGGTCCCACTACGCGCCACGTGTGTTATTTGGTAACATACCTCAGTAGTCAACTAATTCGACCCACCCTTCTTCTGTTCTGGTGGATTCCCAGACCAGGGCATCTACCATGGATTGTAGATGAGCCGGCACATCGGTGGCTTTGATCCCTCGCGTTAGTTGTCGCTCATCTGGATGCAGTAGCGTGTTCTGTAATACATAAAGTTCATTGAGGTAGTCAGCGGGTATACTGTAGCATGCCCACTTTAACGAGAACCCAGGACTTATGAAACTCCAGGGCATGATCGACCTGTAGTAAACGCTTCACTTCACAATACATTGAGACGAACGTCATCCTACGTACCTCAACCTTTTGGGGGGATTGAGGGCCAGACCGCAGGAACTTGGAGAAATAGTCCATCCAGGACCTTTGCACAGTGCCAAATCCAACTGCTTAATGAGTAGGAGCGACCCTAACGATGGATGTAGTCCTGAGCGCCAAGCGCTAACATCGCAATCAAGTTATCTACAACTTACAGTCGTTGATGCTCTCTACTTGACGTTGCTTCTGAGTCTTAAGCGAACTAGTGGTAGCTAGTGTAATGCGATGTTACACAACGTACATCATATTTAATTGCATTTGTGTTCCGCAACCAATTGCTATCTTGCACTGTACATCGGAGCGAAATCTGCACCTTTCGTGGTGAACTTGTTGAGATGAAAAGACTAAACTGCGATAGATCTACTATGATATTACAAGAAACTGTCAGAGCGAACCGGCAGAGTGTAGATGGATATACAATGAATGGACGGAAAGTGAATGTAGAACGAAAGCTATATGTACGAGAATGTTCAGACCCGTCCAAACGCATGCTGTCATTAAATGTTCCGGCATACAGTGCAAGTAAAGGTGATGTGATCCCTGAAAAGGGCAGCTGCGGAGAGCCAGTGTTAATTTACCTGTTTATCTAAGGAGCAAGAACAGAGACTTACGCAAAACGATCAAGGCAGCTAATACAGCAACCATGAAGACGTAGACGATGGTATACTTGAACACAATCCATCGACGTTGACGCTTCTGTTTGGTGGAGAACAATGGAGGGCGAATTTGTTTGGAAGGACGCAACCAGACTGAATGAATAGAGATCAACAACTAAAAAAAGACCAAAGAGGTGCTTCGGAGGCTTACACATCATCATAGAATGGAGCTTGTCAATGAAGGGGATGAGCGTAGGAGGCGTCATGATAATCATCAGAATATGCCCGAGCAGGAAGTCTGAACTCCACGATGACATCTCCACAATTTTGACAATGAATTCACGAGCCGGTTGCGAGAAAGCAGAAGAGCCCAATCCACGTCCGTACCACTTGCCAGACCACCACGCACGGTTCGTCTCGTCATGCTTATATTCACGAGTGAGGAAGACGGCAATCAAGATCTTCTGGATGGCTCGCTGAATAGCGATGATAGAAATCACTCCAAGAACGGCATGCGAGGCATCCCATAGTTCCAAGAACCACTGAGAAGAGGAATCAGCAAAATCACATCAGGTTTGACCCATGACACTTACGAAGAATTCGAAGAAAACGAGCAACCCAATCAGACAGAGGAAGTGTGCAAGGGAGGCCATGACAGCTGGGAACTTCTTCCACGAGTCAAGCATGGGACCAATGAACAGGGAGATGAAGAAAAGTCCCAGTAAGATTGCAGCATTCCAAGCGACGGGACCCACAGCGATGACAGCAATGCGAATCAACGGGCTGGGGTTTTGGCGACCGTCCCTATCGGGGAACGACTTGACGAACATGTAAGCTACAATGAAAATGGTGGCAGAGCAGATAGGCCAGACGATCTCGGAGAAAATGACCGCTTTCCATGATGCTCGTGGTACATCTCCTGATAGCTTCTCCGACGGGTGACCCAGCTTCTTCTTCTTGTAGCCAGTGATCATAGTTCGAGAGAGACGGCAGTAGCCGTACCAACTGCTTGACGTCGTCTTCGAGTTGCCACGCGACATCCATCGCAGGAACTCTCTGTAGTCGATGATAAAGTCCGGGAAGGAGAACTGGTGAGGATTGAACACGAATGGCGCTATGCAAAGAGACAAGACGGAGAACCAGAAGTAGATCAGGTAGGGCGTCCAGATCGCCATGGTAGCATACAGAAGAAGCATAAGATTCCGCATGCCCATGTATATGCTGGGACCGGCGAAGCGAGAGTAGAGGATCGTGAAGGATATTCTGGTGTTGGCGAAACCACGTCCTGTGGCGATGTAACGAGCGCCACCAAAGGTCAAGTTACTCAAGATGGATTGAGAGTAGATCTGAGTAGAGAAGACTTCGAAGATGGGCGACAATGACAGGAAGTGTTTTCCTAAACGAATGAGGGCCTTGCCAGTTCCACGCTCAAGCAGCTCTGGATAGATTACATCAGAAGAGAGGAGGGCAACAGCGAATTTCGCATACCTTGTAAGAACAACGGTAAGAACGCGATGAAGAAGACCAAGAAGATCGACATGATGCATCGTTTAATCCAATCAAATACGGGGATTAGGTTGTAGCATCCAGGCTGCCCGGCAAGAACATTGCTCTGAGAATCCACCTTACAAATGGCCAACTGCTTATTGAGGGTACCGATGTATAGCACTAAACAGATATGATCAGTTAGGACATGCAAACAGCGAATTGTTGCTCACATGTGACCATGAAGACTTGAATCGAGTAGATAACGAGAATGTTATTGATGTGGAAACCGGGATGGCCATAGTAGAATGCCAAGAATCGATCGATGGGTAATTGCGTTCCAAGGTAGTAGTACTCGCGACTGAGCATTTGCTCGCCCATTCCAGTTCCTAGCTTCGTCTGGAAATTGAGAATGGTCCCGAAGCCAAGATCACGACCCTTTCCACACTGGTAATATTCAGCATGCTTGATGCGTCCTCCGCGTCCCATGGCGTTCATACCAGCAAAGATATCCTCATTCAAGTGAAGACCCTTCTGTGCTTTCGAAACACCGCCACGGGTGCTCATGAATGTCGCATTCAGGAAATCGGGGTGACCATAATGGAGTTTCGCTCCGATCCATGCAAGCGTACGAGGAGTCATGGTACCGAACGTCTGTTCCTTTCCAGCGGCGATATCGCCAAGGACACCAATATTTTCTGAGAAAATATACTCGCGAGTGCCAACAATAGCCACGGGATGTTTGGTGAACTCTTTGTGGCCCCACTGAGCATAAGGGCTCTGGCTGGAGATAGAATACTCCTCAAACTCGCCAAGGATGTTCCTGATCTTCAAACATTCCTCCAGATAATTGTCCTGATTGGCATCGATGAGCTGCAAGTACTCTCCGCGGTAGAAGATGATCGCGTGGTTCTGGTTGTCCGACTTGCCGTCTCCTAGGATAGGATTACCGGGAAGTTCCACACGGAACTTGGGCTTGCGCTTCCCTGTCTGAGGATCTATCTCTGAATGACCGTCGATGAGCGCGGAGAAGAGACGAGGCTCGCTACCCTTCACGCCAGCTTCCTCGTCAAGGTACGCGATCTGTAGTTCCGGGTAAGCGCGAAGAAGGAATTCAGCGTTCTCCTGCTCTTCCTTGTTGAATTTAGCAAAGCGCTGCATCGATACCGCGAATTTGAATTTACGACGAGCCATTCGCTCCAGTTCGCGTTCTAGACGGTCTGTGTTGCCGGCAAACCTTTGAACAATCTGGGGATTCTCCACACGATAAAGAAGCTTGATCGCTTTCGCATAGTTCATCATACCAGAAACCGTGCGATACAAGGTCTGAGCACGAAGAGATGCCCAAATTCTGGTCCGCAAGGTATATTCGGGAGCGGAAGTCTTGAAACCGATGCAATAGAAAGGTAGATCATCGACTCGGCTGGTTTTCTCGTTCGTGCTGCTTGTACCATCAAAGTGAGCCGACTCCTCCGCGAGAATCTTGGTATCCTTGACGAAGTTATCCCATTCCACGGAATGAAGTTGCTTGAGATATTCAAGGAGTGTCACACGAGTGTTCTGGTCCTCCTCCTTGATGATCTCCCGCAAGCTAAGAAGAATTTTCTCCGAATAGTGAGGAACCAATACGGTGAACGTGGGCATGGCATCGACGGGCAGAGGTTCAGGTATAGCCGTGGTGAGCGACGAGGCAAAGAAAGAAATACGGCGTTCAGCTTCACCACCCGGTGGGAAGAAATCGCCGCTGTTGCCCTTGTTATTAGTGAAGAAGGGAGGAGCCCGAAGAGTACGGTGACCGTCAGCGCCATCCGTCTGATGGTAGAGAAGACGTTGAACATGGTCAATGGAGAGCAGATGTTCGCGATACATGGAAATAATGATAGCGTTCCAGACTTGAGAGACAAGAACCTGCGAAGACCGTCAACATTGGCGCACATGATGCACACGGCAAACAGACCTTGGGCTTGTACTTCACTTCCATCTCAGCCGTGGCCAACATCTTAGCGTAGATACGCTTTGGCAAACGCGTGAATACCTCACTCCACGGAGTCCAGATTGACAACCCCAAGGAGAACGAGCGACCAATACTGAAAACAACCACCCAAATGATGTACCACAGGTACGTGTCCAAGAAGAACAAAATCAAGTCCATGATATACATGATGGTGAGTGCGAAGGGGACCTGATTTTGACACAGCGCATTCCCAAAGAACCTGTCGTTGCAACCCTGAACCTTCGTTCGCGCCATGACAGCAATTGGGCTGCTGAAGGACGACGTGAGGAAGAAGTAGGACTCCGCAAATTTGCAGCCAAAGATGAGAATCCAGAGGGAGATAGATGCAGTGCGGGGACCGCGCCCAAGGGTAGGGTAAGACGCAGTGAAAGTCTGAGACGCCATATATTTCCGCGCTTTGCCTGCGACACGGTCGCCGAACATACGCCCGGACGGAAGTAATCCGAAGGTAAGTGTGGCCACTACAGAGATGAAGAACTGGACAATGCTGATGATCAGGGGTATATTGGAAGGAGCGGGGCGATCATCCACTATAGCAATATAAAACGTTGGACCGCCTGTCAATGCCAGGACGACGAGAAGGAAGATCAGGCGAGTAGTCAAGTGCGAAGCGTTGTTCCAGGTAGTGGGGATGTATGAGAATTCTGCGATTGTGGCCGCGATCATAATAAGGGTCGACACTGCGCCTCCCAAAGCAGTTGCAGACCAAGTCATTGGTGCAGACGGGAATTGCTTGTTCTTGGGTGCATATACCTTCGGCGAGTTGAATGCAGTGTAGAACCAGAAGACTGCTATATGGAGAATCCAAATGCGATTGAAGTTAACGAGAAGATGGGCGGTGGAACGCCTTTCAAAATATGTCTTGAAAAAGACCTTGTTCCAATCGATTCGACCGAACTGCGGGTACCGTTGTGGCGGAGGCGAGTCGACAAGACGCCTCTAAGAACGAACATGAGGACACTACAGAGTGAGAAGGAAGACTGAAATGACTTACGCCATCCTGCATGACGATCTTGGCGATACCCTCGGGATACCAGAACAGCTGGTTGATATCATCGTAACCAATGATTTCGTCGTGGTCCTTTTCCTTTCGGACAAACTTGCCTTCCACAACCTCATATCCCTGATCCCGCATGAATCGGTACAAAGGTTTGATGACAGTGTCAAGGTAGAGGCCCTCCCTAACAGGATCAACACTGTTTTGACACTCGGGACTACGGTAATAGTCATCCGCACATTTAAAGATGAAGCAAAGACACTCCGGCGTAAACCTGACATTGCCCGCCTCGCCCCAGCAAAGCAACCAAAGAGCAACCTGACGGAGCCGGTCATACTGGCTCATGTTGTTCATGGCGTTACGCCATCGATTAAGTGCACTGTCTAGTGACTTTGTACTGGCAGTCTTGACATTGCCCTTGACGCTTCGAAGACGCTGTAGGCCCGGGTTTTGGGATTGACCAACAGCGTCATCCAGATTCAGTTGAGCCGCAAAGTACCACTTGCGATAATTCGCGTGCTGACCACCAATGTAATCGGCGTGAAGAGTCAGCAGAGCCTGGTTAGGAGACATGCGAGATGCCCGAGAATCCAACGCTTGCATGAGGAAATCGAACTGCGAACCGATGTAAGCGCTAGTTGCTCCCTACAATGCATATTATGTCTCACCATGTTCCGCATAGAGTCCTTTTGAAAGCCAAACTTGTGCGTAAGGTCCAGAAATATATCCTCAATCTCTTCAGTGGACATAGGGATCTGGCGATCAGCAGACCAAGCAGGGTACGGCTCTCTGGAACCCGGAATATCTGCGAAGGGGTTGTAGGTCGGCGCAGTGCTTGTGCTCATGTGTGAGTCCACAGAAGCACTGTAGTGACGAGAGTCATGAGCATCTTCGGAACTGGGCGCAGCTGAAAGCAAACAGGTCAATAATCAGGCTGAAAGCGAAGGAGAAGGTGGTACGTTCGGCCAGCACATAGATGACATGGTCCTTTTGCCGATCGTAGCATAGCCAACAACGAGGTGACTAAAATCATCGAGAACTCACAATAAGGTGTATACTGGTCGGAATACTGGCCAGTGAGCGGAACGCTGCTTGCATTCCGGCTGGAATACTGATCGCTAGAGATGGAATCGACAGAGTACTGACGCAAAGGTTGGGAATAAGGTGAAGTAGTCGCAAATGGATTGCGAGAATCTGGCTGTCCGTAACCAGGACGGCCAGCCATCTAGCAAGAATCTAGAGAAAGTGCGCTGAAAAGAGATCTAGGTTCTTGAAGAGAGTGGTTTGAAAAGAGCGAAACGACCAGCAACAAGCTCGTGTTGGGTCTAGTTAGCGAGAATGGACCGTCGTAAGGTCTACGGACTCGGAAGGGGAGAATTAGAGGAGGGCGACGTGGTCGTCGTTGAGGAGAAAGAATTCGTTATGGGATAAGAGGTCGTCTCGCACGTCGGCGTCTCCCACTGTCTCGTGGGTCCGTGAGAAACCTGTCTCTATGTGTCCCTTGTGTACAGGCTAAAATGTCAAACACGCATCGCCACCGTCACTGTGCCCAACTAACTGCGAAATACTACCTCAAATGCACTCTTGAACACCCTTTCACGTACTGTGATTCACGACTATACGTCTCTCCAACTAATGAGATGCTACAGGACCCCACAGGGCCGCTCAGATCTGAATCCCGACTGCGGGTGGACATGGGAGGGTGTCATCATGTAACACTGATGTTCCTCGACTGTCCCGAAATGTCAGCAAAAAGTCTGATGTGAGCACTGACAACAGGGGATTCACTTAAAGAAGGTTTACAAGCATTCCAATGTATGACTAAAGGAATCCGTTATGATGGAAATAACATACATTCACAACAGTGAGACAAATCCAGCCGCGCTGAGAAAGACAGTCCTCTTCCAAGCAAGAGACCCATCAACCAAAGATGGGTCTCAAAGCGTCAACGAATGTGTTACCGTATCTTTTCCAGGAGTCTATCATCTATCTGCCACAGCATAGGATGCTCTGCGGGCAGTAGAATGTCCTTTCTCCGATGGTGATGTCTACGACTGAGGGTCTGACAGCGTTGGCAGGACCTGCGGAGTTGCTTCTTATTCCACATCCTGGTAATAGCAAATAACGGCCAGAATGAGTACCATCTGCAGGAATGTTCCGCAGGCATCCATCAGTCTTCTGAGCAATGTCTCTCATTAACATTGCAAATACTCACCGAATGCAGGCTCATCCGTATTTTGGTAAATAGGTCCTCTTGTGCACATACGAATTGGGACGTGTGCGCCGACAGTTGTAACACCCAGTTGACGAAAAACGTATAGCGAATCTTTGTGAGTCCATTTCTAAATTCTGACGAAAGCGAGCTCCACGGTTCTGTCGTGGTTCTGTGCTATCGGATAGTCTCCTTGTCGCCACGAAAAGAACTTTTGAGTAATTCGTCAAGGCTCTTTGTAATGTGACTGTTGTTTCAGATGGAAACCGACGTGAAAGCAAGTCAACAAGTCAAGCTATAAATGATGCCAGATTATAGCACGACAACATGAGAAAGTACAGGTTCTCACCAATGCAAGTCAAAACTCCACACCAGATTGTACGCTCTGAGCTACACAACTAGCTACTTCAAGTTCCTCTAACCATAGTCTCCGTACATTCCCCAGCATCCATTCGTACCAATCTGGAAGTCCATGCTCAGGGCGCAATGTCCTTTCGTTGAGCCCCACTATGTTGCTATTCGCCCTCTCGATGAGCGTCTCACATATTTTCAGCAGAGTATTTCTCCAAGCTTGCTCGTGCTCTTGGGAAATTATTGCTTGCTCGCCGAGAACTACGGCCTTCCAATGGCCAACTCGGTCATGTTGAACGTCATCATCTTTGCAATGCAGTAGTCTTAATGCGGTGATCAAGCGATAAGATGGGTGAGCTGGTGGAGAAGCATGCATAGTCCAATCGCTGGAAATACAAAGTAGTCAAATTTCCAAGGAGTTTGATTAAGAATCATGTGCACGCGTACCCCCAGTAACCTTCCTCATCTAGAATACGCCTCATAGTGTCCGCAATAGGGCCTTTCGCTTTGAAATGCTCCTCGACGATGTCTTGCACATCCACTTCACCGTCACAGCGCCCGCGTTGTAAGTCACCTTCGTGCCAAGTATTGGTAAATCCGTACTCGACAAAGAGTTTTCTATTCGGGTGGGAACCGTATCGCAAGAAGAGCTCAGTGTCTGGTGGTATAGTGGTTTCACAATTTGATGTGAAAGCATAATCGCCTCCAAGGCGTTTGGTATGCTTCCGAGGTCCAGTCGGTGCCGCCCATAGTTCAGAATCCAATGGAAGAACCGGCTTTATGTGTGTGGCGGTCGGCGCATGGTTGGCAAAATCCAGGATCGGACAAAGTGTCATATTCAGCGGAGAAGAGACAGACGGATCAAGGCGATAATAGATACATCGCGTGTTCACTTTGAATATTAGTGTGAGTTGCCTGATTAGTAGGAATGATTATGGTCAACATACCGTTTAACCAAGCCCATACATAGTCTGTAGTTAAGGCACTGTCTCCGAGGCGAAACCTATCAACGTCAATGTCTTGACGTGAGGATGAATCACATATCATCGGAAGAGCGGTCTGCGAGAGTGACAAAACTATTAAACAACACGAATCTTTTGAAGACTGACCACATATTTTCGCACGGCATCCCAGTCTTCCCAGAATCTCGCCGTCAAAGCTTGCAAGCTGGAGGAGACAGAGGGAGGCAGATGACCCAATAGCTCCTGAGCCTTTGGGTTGCTGTTGGTTTGTAAATGCTTGTTGACTGACCACGTCAAAGGGTGGCTATCAAAGTCTCGAGGCAAAGTACTTATGTACGATCCAAACCTGGAGTCGTGGGACTCCCCACCATCATGAGGTTTGTGCAGTAGAAGATGAAGCGATATAACTTGAGTAGGCGAGAGATATTGACCTTGTAATGGTGGATATGTAGCCGAAAGAGTTCGACTATTCATCATAGCCGTTGCTGGGATGATAAATAAAGTGGCATTGGGCTGAGAACGAGAACGTTGAGTCTCTGTATGAGGGAACACGATGCGTATAATTTACAGGGATTGAGTGTGTAGCAAAGAGACCTTTGCCCGCATCTAAAAATAGTATGTAGTAACCAACGTTAGTCGAGGATTAAATGATTTATACATGGTTCAGACCCACTTGGCGCGTCTCTGCATTCCACCAGCATATACTCTTCGCCCACCTTCATTCCATGGCTATCCCTCAACCAAGAAAGCAAAGTCTTCCATCGGTTGTGATCGGCCATGATGGTGGTGTACTATAACGGCGTCGAGTGATAAGCGTGGTTCCGACGGAAAAGAGATTGGGCATATTCCGTTGATCCAATAAAAATTCACTTCGTCCTCTCAGCTTCGGGTTCTGGTCGGTGCTCGTGGATGCACACGATTGCGAAAGTGTGTCGTCGTCAGCTCATAGAAATAGGGCAGGCTCTCACGGAACCAAGTGGGAACTGATCAGATAGTGTTCTTAAACAGTGGCTTCACGACTTTTGAGCAGTCTTCACTTCCCCGCACGGACTGTGCCCATATTCAGAGCATATCCAACAATCCACCGCAAGATGTCCATATTCAATGCTTCCCGCTTGCAGGGCAAGACCGTGCTCATTACAGGAGCGAGTGTTGGAATTGGCGCGGTAGGCACTCTTATCATGAATGGTCTATCACAATCCTGACAAACGCCTCTGATTCGCAGGCTACTGCCAGGCTGTTTGCAAAGGTACTTGGCCTATGCTCTGTATGAATTGAGTTAGAAGCTAAAAGTGTTCGCTTAGGCTGGGTCTAACGTCATTTTGACGGCTCGTCGGGTAGAAGCATTGAACGAGGTGGCCGAGGCATGCAAGGTAGCTCACAAGGAGTCAGGTCTCCAGCAAGGAGGGAAATTTGCTGTAGTGCAGCTCGATGTGGCAGACCGAAAGCAAGTCTCCTCGCTTCTGGAAAAGATTCCGGATGAGCTGCGCAAGGTTGACGTCTTAGGTGAGTTATTCTGTATTTCACCATGTAGATCATGTCACAATTAACATCGTTTGGATAGTCAATAACGCTGGCTTCGTCCTCGGTACTGAGAAGATTGGCGATATTTCAGAGGATGACATGGAGAACATGTTCAGGGTGAATGTCTTCGGCCTGATTTCCGTCACCCAACTCTTCATCAAAGGTATGTCGGTTCCAAGCACTTTTCTAGCCTGTCCGTTCATAAAGGATAGTGTAGACTTCAGGCAGCGAAACACCGGTCACATCATCAACATCGGCTCTGTCGCGGGACGTGAGCCCTATGCAGGCGGCGGTATCTATTGCGCGACCAAGCATGCTGTCAACTCATTCTCAGGCTCGCTCTTGCGGGAAGTGGTAGACACAAACATCCGAGTCACAGAGATCCAGCCTGGTAGGCATCTTTTGTAGTCATTTTCACACAAGCTTTCTCACACATAATTAGGTATGGTCGAGACTGAATTCTCCGTTGTCCGCTTCCGCGGCGACAAATCCAAGGCTGACAAGGTTTACGAGGGAATTAAACCCTGTAAGTCCTGTCCTTGCGTTTCTGAAACAGGGCTTGACGCTGATGACTGCTTTCAGTGGTCGCCGAGGACATTGCTGAGGAAATCGTATGGGCTGCGTCACGACCCCCACATGTGAACCTGGCCGAGATTTTCATTCTTCCCGTAAACCAAGCTTCACCGACGATTAACTACCGAGGTGGAAAGTAGTGTCAGGAAGGGAATGACAAGAAACGATTTGTGATTGTACATTACGTTGTATATTACCCGTCACATACAACAACGTAGATGGCTTACTGAGGAATAAATCAAAATGTACAAGAACATCAGCAAAGTACGTGGCAGCAATGCAAGAAATTAATAATAGTGAAATGATCGTGATAAGCAGAGCTCAAGCCTTCGCCTTCCTGCTCTTGCTCCTGGTAGATTTCGCCGGCGCCGGCGTTGGCTCTGGGTCCACATCGTCATCATATACAAACTTCTTCACAGTGATCTTTTCCTGGACGAGACCTGGTAGGGGGGCATCCACATGCAACACATTGCCCAAATGATCTAAGCGAAGCGTCTACAAAAGAGAAAACCACCGTCAGTGTCAGAAAACATGCATTTATTAACATATTGAAATACGCACTTTGGCGGTCGGAGCCAAACATCCTGGCTTCGCAGTCTCCTCCCTATGCGTTCGCGCAGGTTTGGGTGGTGTCTCACGTAGATATACTGTGGTAGCCAAGCCTCGATCCCACTTCACACGCTTCTCGTCCTTTAACGCATCCTCCTCTTTCTTCTGCACATCTTCCTCTTCGAAGCGACCACGCTTGACAGGCCTGTCCGGTCGAGGCGGGGTTTCGTAGTCCTCATCTTCGCCTGGTCCCCTCCGATACTTCAGAATCACGCCATTCGAGTCCGGCTCAGCACTGACAGTACTGACATCTCCCTCATCAAAGTCAACACTTTCGGCTGTCACGTCGGCTTGACCTTCAGCGGTACGTTTGGCTCGCCTTTCTGCACGTTCTTGCCTTTGCAAAATCCTGTCTGCCTTTTGACGCTCCAACACCGTCCGTACTTTGGTTGTAGGGCTATCAGGTCTCTTGCCCTCTACTCTGACAACCTCCGTCTCCAGCCTGACTACGTAGTTCTGGTTGCGTTGCGTGTTTGCCGATGTGAGAGACCTTAGGGAGAGCGCAGACATGCCAGAAAAGGCACCAGAGTCAATGGCAGCACGTGTTCTTCGACGAGGCTGAGGGGCTTCGACCGCAGTTATAGTGCCGAAGACATCCGCCGGAGGATGTGATGGCTTTCGAGCTCGCGTTGTACGACGTACACCACGAGGGGCATCCTCTGTGGTTTGAGCCGTTTCTGAGGTCGCAGCCTCGGAACCCTTCTGGTTGTCAGTCGTATCTTCTATCAATTTGACGGGTGGAACAATGAGTGGTTGTTGGTCAGTGATGGGTCCTAACACAGGTTGTGGTCCGGGCGAGTCAACATCAATAACTGGGGGCGAAGGTGAACTCTTTTCTTTGTCCAAACGACTAGGGGAAGGAGTGACGGCTTTGGGTCTTTTCGCACCAACGGCTCTGCGCATCTTGATCTTTCCTTGTACCACTGAAGGCGCTTTAACAGGACTCCTCAATTTCAAAGGGCTGCGAGTAGGAGATGCCATAATGGGAACCTTCTGCGTCGCGCCAGTAGTCGAGTGAACGCGCCGCACGACTACTATGGGCTTAACTCCAGGTGGAGAAGCCCGTCCTGTGGGTTCATCCCGTTTCCGCTTCAAATTGAGCACTTCAGGATGTGAGGCTATAGCTCCGCTTGCAGCGCGATTTGCGATAGTGCTAGGTCCTGGACCAGCCGTACTCGCACTGTTCTGGTCATCTGAGCTACTCCCACTAGCAGTAGGCTTTCCGGTGGCTTTTCGCATACGGATCAATTGTTCCTACAAAGTATTATAGATCAGTAGGCAATTAGAAATCAGCTCAATAATACTGACATGTCGCGCAGGAGCTGCAGTCGAATCTGCGGGTTTCGGAGGTACTGGCTGAATATGGAGTTTCGTCTCCTTTGGCGTCGTCTTCGTTGTAAAAGGCTTAGGTGTTTGTCTATTATACGGCTTAGCTCCAATTCGTGGAATCTTGCTTTCTGCTCTAGAAGACGGCTGTCGCAGGGCAGAAGTAGGTTTGGAAAGACCGATCTTCGACGTGCTAGAGGGTATTGGGGCGGCCGACGCTCGAGGTTCATCTTGACTCTCGTCGCCTTCCGGTATTGATGTAGGTATACATGAAGGTGTGCGGGGAATGGGGTATGGTAATGTTCTATTCCGCTGGACAGAAGAAACTTCAGGTAGCTTTCTGAACAAACCGTCCTTGCTAACATTCAGTGCGGGGAATGCGATTCTAGTTGGCTCTAGAGATGTGCTTCGTTCGTATTTCCGGCCTACCAGAGGTTGTGGTTCTTCAGACCTACTTCTGAAGACAATCGATCTACTTGGAGTAGCGAGTTGACTGACACTTTGAGGTTTCCCAGGTGTGTCCTTAGATGCGGAAGCTAGTGCGTCTGAAATTGGAACACGTTTGGCTGGACTGCGATTGGGGTCATCAAGAGGAACGCGGCGAAAAGCGGGAGATGCCAGCACATCAGAACTAAAGCTTGCTGGTGGGAGCAGTAACGGTGGCTTTTTCGGAGAAATAGTTCCTTGTCTGAGTGCTTGAGCGATAGGTATTCGACGAGCAGGTGTTGGCGCAGGGTCAATAGGCTTGGAAGGAGATGGGAAGAACGTGTCTGAAGTCGTGAGATCATTACTTGTGGCGTTAGGAACATCAGGTGCGGTCTGTAGAGTAGGAAAATCGGTTGTGGGCTGCCCTGGTACATCTGCATCAGTTTTGTTGGCTTCGGAAACAGTGGGAAGCAGTTGAGTCAGGACGCCAGAGGACGTAGGCGATAGCGAATTAAGTCGGACATGTACACTACTACTTCGCCGCTGGGGACGTCGTGGGGATGAATGTCCTTCTGCCGGTGGGGTGTCGCGCCTGATTTGTGCAGATGGTGCGCCCGGAGTCACATCTTCAGGACCATCATCTTCAACTAGAACCTCTCTCTCTTTGCCCTTCGTACTTTTCCTACGAGCAGGCCCTACAACTATCGGTGCACTATCGTTAGCATTGTTCTCAGCAGACTTGGCCGGGGAGTTGAAGGTGAGAGGTAAGACAAGCGGAGAGTGACTACGTCTTGGCCGAGAAGATCGTCGCAACGGTGTCAAAGCTTCGGGGTTACCAACTTGAGATTTCGATTCTCGAGCAGGAGAACCCTCAATCTGTATGAGCGGTGTTAAGGATGGCCCTGGAGCAGCAGTTGATGTTTCCGACGGATCAGATAGAGGTGACGGTGCAGCACTTTGTTGTCCTGTTACAAGAGCTCGAAAGACTTGCTCCTCCTCGTCCAAGGATGATGACATTTCCTCGTGTATGACATCTGACCGTGTGTCTGGAATCTGAAGTCGTTCTGGATTCTGTGAGGGCACAAGGGAGAAAGGCGAAGGACGTAGTGGAGAGGAGAATAGAAGGTCATCCACTGTTGTTGCGCCAGCCTGACACTGGTGTTCCTTGACACTTGGTGGTGTGTGCGGGAAGACTGCAACTTGTGGAATATCTGCGATGTCAGACGTATCAAACATAATTAGGTCGTGATCGACGCCCTTGGAGTCTACAACCTGCTCCTCTGGAAGTGGACTTGATGGACGAGGTATGAGTGGCTCTACGCCCACACTATGCACAGGTGACGAAGATTCACGATCAAGCTGCCGACTCCTCAACAGTGGGGAGATAGATTCGTCTTGAGCGAGAGGGTCTTCATTCTCGTTTGTTTCTACAGCATCGGCAGCAAATGCGGGGGAGGGAGAACGAGGTGGAGGTGAGGGGTTGACTGATGCCCTGAGAATCTTGCTAGCCAAAACTGAGGATGGTTCTACCTTACATGATTAGAATAGAGCAGACCAAATCCGGAATCAGTGAAGCGCACCCTCAAATGCATCTGGCCCTGGAGTTTCAGTTTCGGATTGATCAGAAGTACCGTCTTCAGCGGTACCATCTGAAGGTTGCAAATCCTGGAGGTTAGCGCGCTGAAGGAGTAAAGGGGCCGTAGAAAGTCTCTTAGATCTCCTGATGGGTGTGCGTCGTTCTCGATCATGTTTTCGAACGAATTTCTTCTCGGGAGAGGTGACAGGACCAAAGTAGACCCGTGCAGATTCAGTATTGACGGCATCCTCGTCCTCAGAAGGCATAGATGGTGACGAGTGAGTGGGAGGAAGAGCGTCCAGGGTCCCAAGGACGTCGTCTGCCATGGTGACGAGAGACAAGAATGGTTTTCTGCCTGTACCTAGCTGGACTCGCGTGTCACTGAAGCCTGCGACAACGTTGAGATCGCGTTGGGCTCACGTGCACCAGGTCACGTTGTCACGCGTCTGTCACGGCTTTTTGGGCGTCAAGGACCGGCTGGCCTCTATAGCCGTGATTGCCGGTCAGCGAGCGTCGGTCGCTGCGGCAGCGCCATCTTGGACATCGACCACCGGCAGCGGCGAGTTTCAATAGACCTTGACGTGATGAAGATTTGCATAGAGTCCTTTTGTTTCTTTTGCTGACTACCATGCTCTGCGGAGGCCGCATGCTACTTTAGAATTGCTAAAGACGACCACTGACAGTACACTGACATCTGATCTTCCTGCTTCGACGCTGATACTCTGATACGTCCTCAGGCAATAGTCAAACACTACTTCCATGGGCTCATTTTTCAGCTTTTTGACCGCTGCTTACTATGTTCCAAAGCTCTATTTTGCTTCGTCTCCTGCCGTGGTAGCCGTAAGAAAGACGTTCAATGGCAAGCAGGTAGACAGGATATCCCTCCGAGACCTGGTGCAGGCAAGATGTCCCAGTCTGCTGAGTCCTTTCAAGCCAGTATGGTGGCTTTTCAGGTAAGAAACTATTTTTAACAGAGAATCATCGGCATCCTTGAACGCGAAGCCCACAGTGGTCACCTACAAACGTTGTATTGTGTTCTCGGTGACTTCTCCAAAATAGATAAGGTAGAATACGATAGGTGCGTGTAGCGGTCGACTTCCCTCGTGGGTCGATTCCTCACCACTGCTCTTTCATAGAACCCTTCTCCGACTTTTGGACGGCGGAACAATGTAAGTACCCCGAGTACTCGTGCATCTCATGGTATGCAGCCTGAATATCATAATAGAGGATTAGACTTCACGCCTTCTATGAACGGAAGGACTCTGCCAGATGAAACACCGATTGTCGTAGTGCTGCATGGCTTGACCGGAGGTGCGTTCTGTCCACTTTGTCGTATGTTTTTAACCTCATGGGATCGTCGTTAACCTCATAGGTTCTCATGAGTCGTACGTTCGAGCAATCCTAGCTCCGGCGTGCACACCTGTTGAGAAGGGTGGTCTAGGATATCGTGGAGTCGTTGTTAATTTTCGCGGCTGTGAGTTTTCATTTTCATTTCATTCATCTCTTTCATGCTATACACTCGTGCGTTCCTACTGGAGGCTGGTGTTTCTTATTACTATATCCATGCATGCAATGTTCGCTGCTAGCGTCGATCCATTTCGGCGATCCGTTTTGCTTCCATGCAGTTGTGTTCTGCTGGTTCCGTCCCTTTTGCCTCCCTCCTCGTGCCACCTACACACACATTTCCGTGTTCCTTTCACAACAACCTGTGCATTATTCTTATTGCGGCGTCATTCTCCATGATATACTAACGTGTCAATGGCCTATCGTGCTTCAGGTGCTGGAGTACCCGTCACAAGCCCCCAACTTTACTCTGCTGGGTTCACGAACGATATTCGCACGGCCTTGCTATACATTTCCAAACGATATCCGAAAGCTCCGTTGCTTGGTGTTGGTTTCTCTCTTGGAGCAAACGTCCTGACACGATATCTGGCCGAAGAAGGCGAGCAGAGCCGACTGAGGGCTGGTTGTGTATTAGCATGCGTAAGTGTTACAGCATGATCCGGATTGTCCCTCATACTGAAGAAGATTCTTAGCCTTGGGATCTTCTCGCCAATAGTGAATTGTGAATATATGTCCACACTCTCCACTGAAAAATGCCTCACTGATTTTATCGTAGGATGGAAGGTGACTGGTTCCACCGCACAACGTACTCAAGTGGTATGGCTAGTAATTTGAAGGTGCTACTCAAACGTCATCATGATGAATTCGCCAAATTCCCTCAATCCGAGCTTTACAAGGCCATGCAAGTTCTCTTGACGGTTCCTAGGCCGTCCTTGATCCAGTTTGATGATACCGTCACTTGCGTGGGTGGAGGACCTTCACCACCTTTCCCTTTTGCATCTGGGCGTGATTACTACGTATGGGCCTCAAGCCACAAACTTCTTCCTCAAGTTCGTGTACCTTTCCTCGCGCTCAATGCTTCAGACGATCCGATCGTCAAGGAGCTGCCCACGAAAGCCGGAGAAAGTGCCTTAAGTCCCTGGGTGGTCTTCTGCGTGACTGAAGGCGGTGGTCATTTGGGTTGGTTCGAGAAGGGCTCGGGCCTTTTCTCATTAAACCGCTGGATGGGCAAACCTGTCATGGAATGGCTGAGAGTTGTAGGTGAGGAAGTGGCTGTGGAAGTGCGGGGCAAGGCACTTCATGAAGTGAATGGCTTCGTGATGGAGGAAGGGAGAGATGACATCGGATACAGGGAAATTGGGAGCGGAGGACATGTGGTCGGTGTCGAAGGTGAAGAAGGTCTGCTTGCAGGATTATGAATACCAAATAGAGAATCCCCCACGTAATAATCCTTATTTCTGAGGATGATAGAGATGTTATAGATGAGCCTGATGCATACACTCGAATATACACTAGAGTTATAGTTTTTAGTCGCTATCGCTGAAAGTCGCTCCGCTTTCTTCCTCCTCCTCGTCTGGCGTTGCAGAACGCTCATACTGACTGATATCAACCGAGACAGTACCTTCCTCTAGAAGACTGGCATCCGAGACTGCCAAGCTCTTGTCACGTTCAAAGAGTTGCCGTCCTGGAAGAAGCCATGAACCATCGATGGGAATCGTGATGGATATATATGAATTACCTGTTAATCTTGTTCCAAGTTTCTTGTACTCTTCACGTTCTTTTAGCGACAGCGCCTTTAGCTTCTCATCGTCTTCTTTTGCTTTCTTCTCTGCTAGCTCTTTATCAAATTTCGCCTTCCATGCTTTGAAGTTTTCGAGGGTAACTGGCGTTCCTCGCGTACGTGCTTCCTCGGCCTGTATTGCTCGGAATTAACGTAAAAGCAAGGACCACGGGACCTAAGACACGAACCTCGATGGCTAATCTCTCCTTCTCTGACTCCACCTGTTTCTTGCGCTCCATTCTGGAGCGTACCAATTCCAGTAATTGCTCACGCAAATGAGTAACCAGCGTGAAAGTCATTGCCATCCCCAGATTTTCCTCGCCCTGTAGATCGGTGAGGTACAATGAGGGTAGTAATATGCAGGAAAGCGTACGACGGATTTCAAACCACTTAGAATACCTGCAATCTCATCGTCGCCGAGATCCCCTTCTATTGCTTCTATGGATACGTCTGGCAAGGTATCAGGGTAGTCATCGGTATAATGCACACTGAGTGTAAGTTTGACTTGAATAAAATACACCCCTCCGATCAGACGTGTGAGGGAACCAGCGAGTAGGGTATGTAGCTCACGTTCGTCGCCGCCATCTGTGGTCTCCTCCGGTTCGACATCTATGCGGATGTCCCTTTCGGATAATTCTTTCCATGAGCTCAGCTACACTCGGGAAGATGAAGTGAGGGCGAGATAACGAACTGGAGAGCTCTGTAGGGTAGATTGACTCTAGCACCTATGAAGCATTCAATATATGTAATTGGAATAAATCACTTGTATACTCACCTCAAATTCTTCCAGCAGAACGTCGGAGGACATCAGTGAGAGCGAAATGCTTCGTCCAAATGTAGGCGCGGGAAAGTACCGACTACAAACGTTCGGCGCCTTCTACCCAACCCTCTCTTCAACCGCCTTGTCAAACTCCCTTGGGACCATGTTCTCCTTACTGGCGAACTCCTCAAGACTGGCTTTCAGCAATAATGTCAAGTGTGCCGCAAGTGCCACTACATCTCTTATGAGGATGGTTCAAACCCGGACAAACTCGACTGCATCGTCTGGCTTGCCAGGCACTTCCCGTAGTGCAGTCGATTCAATCTCTCAACCGTTAACACCAAACACATCCGAGCCCCATTCAACCTGGAATTTTCTCAGGACACAGCCCATTAGCAAAACTTCCAAGACTCAAAGCAGTCAGGAGATGTGGAAAGCCACTGAAACGTCTCATATACATAGCCGTCCGCCGGGACCCTATGCAGGTTTGTTTTGCTTCTGGCGCTTTGAATGTAACTCAAAGATATTGTACCAGGTCGAAGTGTGGCCGTATCTGGTGGTAAACCATTTGGTAGCGCTTATGTCGAGCTTCAGCAAATACTGCGCCGGAACTTAGTGAGCTACGAATTGAGGTTGGCGGAAAGACACGAGAAGAAAGGATACAAGCGCCGTCGACTGGCGAGTGATCGTCACAGGCGAAGATTCGCCCACGAGGTATGTTCCGCCCCGACCTTGGCCGCCGAATCTCACGCAATTGCTTCTAGGTGAGGAAGAAGGTGCAGCTTGTCAATGAAATCCGCGCTCGGGGAGCATGACTTTACCTATAATCAATTCTTTTGGTGCACTCCTTCACAATTTATACCTCGCATGAAAGGTACCATACCTTGGCATGACTTTGCGATGAATGTTCGTGAACTAAACAGGTGAGAAGCAAATAAAAAAGCCTGCATCTAACTTCGCCTAGATATCCCCATCTGTTGTGATAAACCTGTCCGATGAAAGCTCGCAATGATGTGTTCACAATCGGACGACAAGCCGAGGGACTCACGTCACATACAGGTGTTGGTCTAAATACCCTCATTCAACCTTACTGGATGCTCCCGTGGGATGTGAACGGTACATGGACCTCGAAGATGAGCAGGAACCTTCGCTGTTTCCACGATCGGTCTACAATGACGAAGTTGTATCCATTGTTGCTCTTTCTGTGACCGGTCGGAGTACTCAAGTACTCAGAAAATCTTTTACACGCGTCATACACGACTCGAACCTCGTGGTCGATATTCGTTGTTATCGATATTTTTTCACCGATATGCTAGACGCCCTGCGTCAATAGGCGGAATAACACCTTCAAATGTGCAAAGTCGTCCTACCATCAAGAAAAAAAGATGATACACTGTTGTCAGCTGCCATCTGTCGAAACACATGCGAAGCTTCCGATTATAGGGACGTGGAGGCTGAGACGTCGGCAAATGACAGGCATGGCTGATCGGCTTCCAAAAGACCAATGGGTGCCATACCCGGTATGCCTCCTCGATCTGGAGTTTGAATTACTAACATATGGCAGTTGTGAGGGGCCCCAAACCTCGCTGTCCAGGTCCAGCCCATTCCCGAGTGAATGCGGTCAACATGCTACCGAACTAGCGTTGCACTTCCTCCGCCGCATTCTTCGCTCCCTGATGCGCGTTTATGCATCAATAAATACCGGTCTGGGGTGCTTTCTTTTAACGACACAACCCAACTTCCTCCTTCTGACTGTTGCCACTGCAAATAGAATCACTAGTGAAGATGTGCCAAAACGTAAGTTACTGCCTCTTACAGTTGCGACCAGGCCCTGAATTTTTCAATTGGCTAGGTTATGGATGGCCGATACCACACTGTCTGTGGGCATTTTTTCGCAATGTCGACTCGCAAGCAGGATTGTCTTCGTTCGGACTGTGTGTTCAGTAGCAGACACCCACCCGGTGAGTGTTCTGAGACTACTATTATAAGCGGGAGCGCTAACCGATCGGGATACAACAGGTTGTAAGTCCGGGGCTTGCAACCGTTTGATGAACCCGCCTCAACGCAACCCTATTCGAATCAGTGAGACACGCTGCGAGGGTTGTGTCATGCGAGGGCCTGAGGGCGTCTTAGGCCGTACGCACATTACTTCCTAATCAACCACAACGAGAGGTTTCACACGGCGTTGGGATCTGGTTTGGTGAATATGCTAGGAGGCTCTCGATGACTTCAGCGCCGGCGCCGAATTATTAAAGCTTTAAAGGACTCTCCTCTTAACTTATATTATCTATTCTATCTACTTCTATGGTACTACGTAATCCGATGTATGATATATGCCTCCTACTTCGTTACTACGCTATGCATTATCTATGACTTCATGTACTAATTAATATTAATGGGCGCCAAGTGATGGCAGTACCTTTTTGGTTAATCTTGTCTACCAATTGTTCTCTTTCAATCACCACCAAGGCAATACAAACCATTGTCATGTCGTCGTTGCGCTCAAATTGTACAAGGACGCTTCTTGTCTTGAAATATTGTCTACTTTTAGCGCCAGTTACCAAGGAGCTATTACAATGCAGCGCGAAGCCATAAATTGGGAATCGATTCGGATGTATTCAGCCCAAAATTCGCCACCCCGACGCCCCACCAGTCTCACCTAGGATTTGTAATGGAGAAGTGGCATGCCTTACTATACCCTGCCAGCTGGCAGAAGCCCAAACGTGCACCGTCCAATCTTCAGGAATACATATCAAAAGCCATTCTTCCCTCAATGGCCATCGCCAGTTGTGCACCACAACTTCCTCCACAAGGACATGGAGCCCATAGGAATCACCTGACAGGTATTCGCAACATTGCGTCCTACTTCACGATGCTGATGTTTGCTCAATACAATGCTCGTTGCTAGCTCGTCCTGAGATCTGGCGCAGATTAGAAGTCTTGCACAGTATCGTCCCCGAGTACTTTGACAACGTATCCAAGTGGTGTAAGTAAGCAAGGAAGTCCAGTTTGCCAGCACTCTGACAAGTATTAAGATGTGGGGCGTTACATTCCTAGCAATGACCTTAATGTCCCCGATGGCGACGAAGTAAGAGGAGATCAGTTTACCCTGCGCAGCGAGGGTTTCGATGTTCAGGAAAGAATGATTGGATACCCCGGAAATATGGATCGGTTAGTGCCACTGGCTTATTATCACGATATAATTAACCTTGCACGTCTCACATAGTGTAGTTCGTTGGGTCGTCGAGTTCCCGTTATTGACTGTTGAAAGAACCCTACATCTGACATTCCAGCAAACCCTGGAGTGGACCTTCGATACGTCAATGAGTGATCTTGATGTCGACAGAGAACTCTTTAGGACAGTCTGTTGGACTCGCACGCAAGTCGGCGAGACAACCAAAGACGCCGAGTGCGCCTTGATGGTTTTCATTCAACCCCCTTGGATCATGACACCCTATGAGCTGAAGAGTTTCAGTGATTGTCCAGGAGTATGTCGAACAGCGTATCTACGTTCCTTCACACTGACTCACGCTACGAATAGTTACGCATAGATACAGAGACATACAAGGGGAAGGAGCGTACATGGTCTAAGGTTTGTGCAGCGGATTTGAGTCGCTCAAACTCTGACACGCCATTCAGGTGTGGGATTATTGCTTCCGCAAGAAATGCCACTGGTTCATTTTTACCACTTACCGCGGTTGGGTGTTTGGCGCATTCTCCAGAGGTATGCCCTGTATGCTTCTAGCAAGTGGTACGCCACATGTTAACCTTTTCCGGTTAGGTTGGACCCGTGGATTTGCTACACCTGTTTTCCAATACAACTCGACGTCGCCAAATATTCTAGAGGGTCTAATATTTTGGATTAGCTCCGCTATGGGCTTGGCCGATGGTTGGCATATTCCGGAGGTTAGTGAAGATTGCTACGTATCCTTCGACTATCCCTGCACAATCTACGATGCTATGGGTACTTGCGAGAAGTGTAATGAAGAGGATATGGCTTTCGCATTGTCAATTGTTTCGTAATTTCCGTCAACGATTGGACCGCCATCTCACGATATCGTCCTCTGCATATGTAGGTAGCGGAACCGGTCACCTCGCATAACTTACGCTCAACGATTCCGGCGCCTCCCTTGCATAGCTTCCCACCACCTCCACCTTCGGATACAAGTTGGGGAGAAGGATCACTTGGTATGTTAACGTTTCAGTCGTACCACTAGATCGTCAAGGCTAAACTTTAGCAGGTTGCCTCCAAGATTCACTCTCCGAGAACTCTCTTGAAGATGGGAACAGTGAGACTCGCCTGTCTCCCGATGGGCTATTGAACAACAAAATGGTTCTTTACCCTGATCCTAATGCACTCGCACCAGGGACTTGGCGGGAGTCGATCTCCAAGTGGGACGGTCAAGCAAATGTGTTGACAACGGGCGAGGAAACCCCCCGAGCCGGTTCTCCGCTACCTCAAGACCCCGATGACATGGATCAGTCTGATGATGGGTCTGATGACTCGACGGTCGTGGAGTTACCCCCAACGAAGAATGCACTGGGACTGTGGCTGACCAGTAACCCAATCGAGATGCGATTCGACGATACATACTTGGAATGAAGGAGAGCGTTTCTGTGGACCCATATACTATATACTGTAATTTTCCACTTGCCTTTGATAATGCAGATTGCTTTCATTTCCGTTGCTTATGTCGACAACGACGCGTCTTAATTATTCCCGTGACCGTGTCGCTGTGACGCCGGCGCGCTTGTAACACGCCTGACGCACATGGCCCGATCACTTTGTACCTCGAACCGGAACGTTCAAGATGGGCGCAACGAGCATACCTGGTCCATCCTCCTCGCAATGGCTCTTCCCAATCTCTGCACTTCAAGTAACACCGTCAAGAACTACATCAGAGATACCTCTTGAAAAAGAACTCTACGATAGAGCAAGAGGCGTCGAATTTTTGTTCCGCCTAGGCGTTTCTTTGGGGTTGTCCGTGGCATTAGACTTACTCTGTCAAACAAAATGGCTCACGATGTTTTAGACCATCATCTGCCATGTATACGGCAGCGACTTGGTTTCATAGATTCTACATGCGCTATTCTATGGAGGACTATCATCGCCAGGTGCGTTTGTACAATCGGCATATTTAACGTTCTAGTTATGAAGTATAGTCAAGGATGTCGCTGGGGCATGTATATTCCTTGCCACCAAGACGGAAGAATGTGGAAGAAAACTTCGTGATGTTGCGAAAATCATGTGTGCTAAGATAGCTAAGGTCGATCCTAAAGAAGTAGCAGACGACAGTAGGGTATTGACCGATTTGCGTCAAAATCGTCGTCACATTGTTGACATAGTGTTCCTTTACAGGAAGTCGAGGAAGCCCAGCATGCAATACTTCTCGCAGAGGAAGTACTCCTTGAGGCATTGTGTTTTGACTTCATAGTTGACAGTCCCCAGGTTGAGCTTGTAGACCTGTTCGAGGCTCGAGAAGAGTCCTTCGAAGTCGAGGAGTATGCTTGGTCCATTGCCAATGACTCGTAAGCACGAGCTCTTCCTCACTATCTGCTAATACGATCAACCAGCGGGTTATAGATACAGAACTCCGCTTTGTGTCCTTTATCCGCCCCGTATCATAGCGGCCGCGTGTTATGTGCTTGCGCAGCATATCGTGGAAGGCCCGGAATCCTCAACACCACTGTCTGCTCGAATTTCCTCCCCCGCACCGTCGGCGTCCCTTCCTACCCCGCCTTCTCAGAGCGCGATGCCATCAGAAAGCTCTCGCTTCGCCGTGGAGTTCTTCCGCTTCAACGAAATCGAGATGGCGTCTGTAGGAGGTATGCTCGCAGATCCTGCGGCCATACTTACGTCTAAACTGTTCTCTTCAGATGTGCTTGCCATCTTACTCGAGTTCTTTGCCGCTCAGGATGTTCAAGGTCCTGCCGAATATCTTGCACCAATCGCTGAGGTACGATAGCTAGGTGAGCTCTCAAAGCGGCAATCTGAACGTATACATCATGCAGATCCAACCGCCCACCACGTCGCCAAGAGAGAAGTTATATCAACCATTTGCCCATGTTGCCCAAGTCAGCGGTGTCAGGGCCAATGGCTCGGACACGGTACGCAAGGACGAAAAGCCCCCACCACCGGTTCCCGAGACAAAGACATCAACCCAACCATCAGGACGTGGTTGGAAGCCCATCACAAGTGAAAAAACGAACAGCGGCCGACCACCTGATAGATTATCAGAACGGCTAGATTTAAGTTAATGCTTACCGTTCAAACGTTCATGGCTTGCCTTTCTTTCTTCTCGTCAACTCTGTACGATGCTGTATATTATTATCACCAATGTTGTCACCAGACTATCTTGCAAGACTGAAAGCTGAGGCTCATCGGCAACCTGATGCAGCTTAAGTACGTAAGATTTAGTCATGTTAGGGCCGAGTATGAGGAGATGCGCAACGGAGATGTATCATACACTACTGTCTTGGTACCAAGTGAAAAGAGTCCGAATGATAATTGTCCTGGATTCATAACGCTATTGACTCCTTATGCTTGAATTTCCGGTTTGCACGATCGGCGGAACGGAAGCAGAACTGATTACCATGAAGCTCGAATTCGATATATGGATTGTCAAAGACGGTCGCATGAGCAGCAGTTGATGATGCTTGCGTGGAAGTCCCATCCGGCGTATTGGATATGGACGCAGGATCGGCGGAAGAAGTTGAATATAACGGTACTGCGAAGGTGAAGATGGAATGTGGCTTCGGTATTACTAGTGATATCTGAGTTCTAGGATCAGAAAGAGGAGGAAGGTCAACATACGTTTGAGCTGGTCTTTTTTAGTCACAATCTTGAACGCATTCTCTGTCTCGTGAACAACGATACCTGAAAGGCCAACTAGACATGGATTCTTGCTCTGGCGAACTGAATAGAGTAGTTGAATCACTGCATGATAACATCTAGACACCCGAGGAGGATTTACCGGAAATGATGGCGCCGTGAAAGTCTGCTTTGACAAGTTTGGCGTGCATTACTGATGATGCAGGCATTGCTGCTTCACAAAGCTGGGGATCCATTTTTGCAGGGACAGGGGTCAACCCCATGAGTTCCGACATATAACCTAGCCATAATTGATGAAGGGAAAGGAATAACTTGAATCTGAAATGACAGAGCAGGTCTGATTAGTGAACATGTAAACGATCCCAGTACAGAAATGGTACTTTGTCTCATTCTTAGCTAGCTTCCACAATCCCTTCTGTTTTGCCTCTTTCTTGCCAATAACGCCAGCCTGAGCCCTTGCTTTGCTCGCACTGTTCCTGGCTTTCCTGGCCGCTCGTTCTTGCTTTGTACGACTGTCACGAAGGGGGTTATCTAAGAGTATCTGGCGCCCCTGCACTCGGGAGGTATAAATCTGGGCAGGATCGGATGATCGTGTCACATTTGCTTTCACAAATGTTGGGGTAAAGGGGGTTGAACTATTGAATTTGATACGCTGATTCTGTTCGGCGACAATGTTAGCTCTGAGCATAAAAAACGCCTTGAATGCTCACGTTGGTAGGCGATAAGTCGGTATAGATATCGGCGACGGGACGGGCAGACCTAGCATTTGGGTCAGATTGGATGAATCCGTTTAGCAACAGGACCGCACATTTTGGATCAAAGTGTGACCGACTGCGAATGTTCTCAAAGCTAAAAGTCAAACTGGACTGTCGATGTTCCCGTTCCTGCCAAAAGAGAGGATCGACGTCCACGTGAGAGAGGCAGAACGGGAAAATAGCCGAATCAATTGGATGCTTTGTGGCAGTCGACAAGCGCGTTCTTACATACTAGTACATGCCTTTTATGATTTTGCAAGTTCAACAGTGGTGGCCTGCACCCGGAAACTACTGTATGTTTTCTCCGCTCTTCAGCCCTATTGCACCTTATTGCACCCATTTGAAATGTCGTGGATTTATGCTGCAGATCTCATCTAGGTGCAAGGTATCACAGAATAAGGTTTCTATGTCCCCTGCCGCCGATTAATGTTAAATTCATTTTCATACATGTTGCTTCGAGAGGGGGATGTCTATGTGTTCATCTGACATATCCTGAGTAAAGGCCGTAGCAATGATGCCGAGCGTGAAGCTTTGAAGGTCCGTTGGTTACATCCTCGGCAGGGTATTGGTTGCGCAATCCGCCTTCAAGTTCTAACTTGCTGCAAACACTGCAACGTGCACCACGTATATAATTTTGCATCAAACCAGCTGACAATGTTGGTGTGAAAGACCGTGAATTCTTCTCTATGCTTCTACACCCGGTACGCAGTTCCTTGTCTTTCTTGTATTTTGTTGACAATTCTCCCTGCCATACTGTTCAGGGCAGCAAGATTTAATAAAGCCATTTCCCGATCGCTTTGCTGCATTTGGGATTGATCTTCCACACGACTATCATATGATGACGCAAACAGCCCCGCGCTCTTCGATAGGGTCGTTCTCTTCCGAAAACATGAATTCATCCTCGTTATCTGCATCGTCATCTGACTTTTGCCCGGGATCTTCAATGCATATTGTCTACCCATACCAGCAATGTCTTGCACCATTGATCTCAGTAGATTTCACGGACGCTCGCGGATCATTAACCGATGTCTACCGTGTTCCTTGGCTTGAGCGAAATCTTGCTATACCAGACATTCGGTCGGGCCACAGTTACTCACCATGAAGCTTATCCTGCTAGTCTACGGATGAATGAACCGTACCATCACCATCGCGTCTTCTTTTCACGGTTGTTCTGTGCGACAGATTCCGATGATGCCAGGTTCCGGTGCAGCTAGGAGATAACCGGTGGGCTAACGTTCCTCGTCATCCGAACGGTCATTGGCCCATTGTATGGCAGTATACCTTATGCGTTACTCCGTAGCAGCCGCTAGAACTCGGCCCATGGGAACCAGCCGCTGCATCATCTTGTTCTCGCATTTGCATCCTGTCCTCCACATGTCCATAGCCCGCATTGGTCTCTTATAGCTTTCGCTTGCCTGGACAGAGAGTATACTACCTTGACTGTTGTAATCTCTGGAATAACTACTCGTGTTCTCTCTGGGGGGAACATTGCCCAAATCGTCCTGGTCAACGGGCTCTCAGTATCGGATGTGACAGCCGATGGGTACGATGCCATCATTGCGACTGTGTCTCCCAGACCTACCAGGCCAATGAGAAGTGGTGCTTTCCATTTGGTTATCGTCATTTCCGAATTTGCGGCGAAGGAGCGGATGTTCTGGCGTATCATTGTGAAATGACCGGCTGAGCAAGCACGAAACGTTCGCAGTCCAGGCACGATACGTTCAATCACTCACGGAATTCAACCGCGGATCGGTTCGAGGAACCTATCAGCTATGGTATTTGCAACTCCCGGATGAAGATAGACAAAATGTTAGCAACAACAACAGCAAGTCTCGGTTGATCAAATACACCACGTAAGTACATTTTCAGTATCTTTACTAGAACAACTACATCCAACTCATCTGGTTATCTAGAATTACAGTATAGTAAAGGACGGCATACTGGGAACATTACAACAAGCACGACAGCATTATCAACAAGTCAAGAGTATTTAGAAGAATTGCCAGTCGGCTCTGCGCCTCTGGAGATGCACGAAGGGCAGTAATCGTCGATCACGGGATCTGCAAGGTATCGCAGTTAGCAGCGCGAACGGTCGGAGAATAGTAGCTGAGCTTCTAACTGTATTGCTGAGGAAATTGACGGCTGATTCGATCACAGAAGCAGATTGTCGTTAGACCAGTTCGGGGACAAGTCAGGTGGAAGACGACATACTATTGCCAGCACGTTTCGGTACAACGCGGAGGAACACAGTTCCTAGGATGGGTTGTACTGAATTTGCAGTTACGATCGTCGCATTGGATCTAGACGCTACATGGTCAATTGAATGGAGTAGTTGTGGTTTGGGCGATACTGACTACGACGTCGGGCTGGAGTAAGAAGCACACAGTAAGAACTTGACCTCATCACTAAACGTCATGTCGCTCACCAAGTCAATATAATGACCGCATCGTTTGTAATGGTTGCGGACACTATACAACCATCAGGGCCATGGCGTGTCGTGGTAGCCAAGGCAAGAGCTCACCGACGCCAGTGACACATGAGAGACTAGGAGGAGCAATGAATGAAGACAAAAAAATTGGAGACCTAGTGTGAACCGGCATGAGGGACTCATTTTATAGGTAAAAACATAGCGTCAGCACGACGCCTTCGGAATCTGTTTTTCACGTCGACCTGCGACGGAACGAAAATGATGACACTGATCAGGTCTTCGGTCCCGTTTTTCCTGACCACAATCCACTTACAGAACACCCTGCATATCAAGATAGTCGGAGTGCACTACTTAGCACGAGGATGAACAACTTGTTTGCCATGCATTACTGGAATGATCGGACGCTGTTACCGTCATCTGGTTCATGTTTACCCAGTTGTATGCCCTCCGACCGCTTCGACATTCTAAAGCTAAAATGTTAATTTTCCAGTGTGACGCAAGATGTCTGCAATGCCGATTACTCGCAGCCGACAAGTATGACCTCAATAATGATTGCGTGTTGATATTCATTAAAGAGATTGAACTTACCTAGAAAAGCCCGATATTCTGGTTGTTCTCACTTCCCCAAACTACTAGGTCGAAGGGCACGGTGTCGCTCGGATCTTTACCCGTCGCGTGTAGCCTCGTATACCCTTCATCTCGGGAACACATGCACAATTAGGTGCAAGAGAGATAAAGAGAGCTTCAACCTTATAATTAAGCTGCCGCGTTGGACAGCTTTCCAAGGTCCGCAATTTGCCTGAAATATAACTCGGAGCAGGTCGTCTTGTCAAGAGGGGAAGAAAGATCGCGATGCTATCGATTTGGAACACGTTCTTCGACACTGTAAGGCGACGAAAACGCCGCCTCCTAATTTGGTATTGCATCTACACGCTTACAGATGAGGTACCAAGTTCGATATTCTGCTTCGGACAATGATCAAGCATGAGGACGTGCATAAAGCTGAATTAACGCGTCGGGCCTGGGGAGAGAACAGCGCCTATACACGTGGATCCTGAAGGGATTGTATCCTGGATGTCCGCAAGAAAGGTTATCGCGAACTCTATCGCACGGAGGAGATCTCTACCCAAACTATCAGCAGAGCCGGTCGCAGCCGAACCATCTCATCCTGCAAACATAGCAACCAAGTACTGGCTTATGGCCTCGGGGGTGAGGATCCCGACATCCGAGAATACCAAGGATATGAGGTCTGGCCTATAAAAATGGTCAATAAATATTCGCAACTGGGAGGAACCAGTATTTAATACCGTGTGTAGTCCACATCTGGGTTCTTCGCCGTCATTTCTGCGCTCATTGATCTCTCACTCGAAGACGTTGGTGTCACGTTCAAGCTCTCGTCGATCCCACTCTTCGCGATCGGTGGAGAAACTCCGGATGTCGTAGGGGGGGTGACGAAAGGTCGTGGAGGTAAGGAAGGGAAAGATAGAATACTTGGGTTATGTGTAGGCAAGTCATACTGAGATAACGGAAATAGTCGATGAAACTTATAGCTACCGAACCAAGATAATCAGATGATTGTTCTCATTACATGGAAAGAAGACAACATTACCTTTCTGCAAGCGCGTAGAACGGCTTATGAGCAGCTTTTGCGATAATGGCCATCTGATTACTTCCCACCGCATTGATCAGCCCTCCGCTTTCCACAACCGCTTCCGAGCCAACGAGAACAAAATCTACTTTGTCCATCACATAGGCCACGGCGGAATCAAGAACAACGGTACACGGAATTCCTACGGCGGTCAAGACTTCATGTGTCTTTACACTATGAAAAGATGACATGAGCAATTATCTCATCGAAGGTAACATGATGCAATCGTACCCTAATCCACGAGGGCGTGCCTCGGTCACGTACACAGATATACGCTTCGTTTTATGTGCATGAAGGAGAGCTCTCATAACGACTCGAGAGTATGAATGCGTGAGAATCTAGAAACATGAGCAAAGAACTATACGAAGATCATCAGAAAAGGACATACTACTGAATCGTCCTTGATGAAATCCAGCATGAGCTCGGCGATCTTATTCCTATACGAAATCGCCTCTTTGGCGTATTTTTGTCCTTGTTTCACCAGCTCGGTCTTGAGTTCGGCAAAACTCTACAGTAACAAGGTTAGATACCAAATGGGGCAGTGGGGAAGGGCTTACATCGGATTCATGGGGGAAAAGGGTAACGAAAGCGATGAAGAGTTCACAACCAGCGTTAAGACTGATTGGGTTTGTGGTATGTCGTTTGAGTTCCTCAGCTCCATCATGGAGTTCCTTTACAAGTTCGAACATTGTCCCGGCTTGAAACACAATAAGCAATTGCAGAACAAAGCACTTACTGTCGAAAGTCACACACCGTTTGACTCCACCATAAGCTGAGAAAGCGATAAGATCGCGGCCAATGGAGGTGACATCTAATGCAACATCTTGAGTAAGAATGTGGGATATGCGCTGTCGTATGCGTTATGAAAGACTCTAACCTCCTCATCGTCGAGAATCTTTCGGTACGTTTGGTAGATGTCAAATTCGCCCTTACTGGAGCTTGCTTCTGAAGCCATGATTACTATTCTGGCACGTCCTTAGTCCAAGGCCACAAAAATTAGTAATTTTGGACACACTTAGCTGGAAGGTCGCAATGGCGATGAAGAGGAGGCAACTTTAGACACTCAATGCACATTTGCCAAGTGACTCGCGCTCGATCACTTTCCTGCAAATGGTAAGTCAGTGACGCGAACCATCACGAGTGTCGTGACCGTGACAACGCGATCGAAGTCGCGATCGAGCCATCCAAGTTCAATGCACTGAGATTTTCCATTTCACTGCTGTGCTTCACTTGATGAATCTCTCATAAGCTTCACGTACGATACTCGAGTTGGTCTTATGCTGATATCGAAGCTGAAGTCAGGCATAACCGCACGACGGGACTAATATTGACCTGGTTGTCCTAGAATAACGCTCTGTTGTCAGCACTCTCAGAATCCTCGGAGCTCGGCAGTACATACTTAGTGGTGCCGATGCGGAGCGGACTCTTTACCATGATGTTTGAAAATGTAAGGTATAGAGTGATCGCGTCACCATTTTGCTGTCACTGTGGAGGCTCATCTTGCACTATGTTATCTGCTTAGTGCAATGTTGTCCAGCAGGATGAATGTTTGGTGCTATCTGTGGCATTGTATGGCCGCTGTCGTCGCCGCCGTATCTACCAAGGTTGACCGATTTATTGCTCTTACGGGATGCATGTGCCCTTTTACGGCAGCGCGCGTTGTTCAGTCGTCAGCGGAGTGCGGTATCCACGTTTCACCGAGATGCGACGGAGCGGTCGTCAAGGGCGGGAACCTTTCTCGATCCTCGAGCCTTTTTGAGTCCAGACATTATGTAGATGAGGTCATTGCAAATGCCGCGCTTCGCACTTTGAGAATTAACAAAGCTTCCATCTTCGCACACGCAAAGCGATGCTCTGGCCTCGGTCTCGAAAGCTCGGAGTGAGTGAGAAGGTTGCATTGGACTCTAACTTCCCCTAACTTCCTGAGCGAATTGTACTGTATGTTGAAATCCATCGCGTCGCCTCTAACCTGGCCGACTCTAGGGCGTTACGGCAATAGGGGGAGATGCCCTAGGCGAAGATATTCTCCGAGCGGTGGGAAAGGGGTTGAGGACCTAACAGTCGAGATATATTAGATCCGATTACTTCATTTGGTAATTACCTCCGGGCGTTACTCCTTTTGTACGGAATCTTGGTGACCTTTTATGCAAAATCGTACGCGGGCTTTGACATCGAAACACGTTTAGCGTTTGCGCCGCGTCCAAACCCTATGAAGCCGCCACCCTGTTGTCACCGCCAACCCAAATATAGTGTTGCTTAAGCGCAACGCCCGCCCCTTGAAATACCGGCTAAATTATGATTTTCTGCTCTCTTCCACTTACCCAATCTCGACATCGACTCTCGACACTTGTCATTCCTCTTTCTCGGCCTCGGAAACGTGTTTCTCGAGTGGTTGATCCTCGTTTTTTACTGCCACAACAGGTCAGGCTTCCGATTGATGTTCTTCAGTCCATAACTTATAGTGCGCCGGATCCCCAGAGCACGTTACATTCCTTTTTCTCTCGGACCCAATTCTTCTCCATTCTCATCCGACTTCCCCAATCCGACCTACGTCCGACATGCCTAGTCCACCTCCGCAGCTAGTATTCAGCAACGATATCGCTCACATGGATGAATGGGCTAAGCGCACCGGCATACCGCTCACGACTGCCGACGCGTTGGGGACCAACTATGCACGGGCTAGGAAATGGCTGCAACACATTCGGTCGCAGCTAGTTCAAACCCACGGATGGAGTGATGTCACACCAATTGGACCCCGTCTTCTCTTCGACATCGAATGTCCTTCCCCATACCGTTCGTCGGGCGGTCTGCCACGCAGTCCAAATATGCGTCTGCAGATCCCTGCCAATGCCTCTACCTTCTTTTCACGTGAGCGACGGGTTCAATGGGAGATGGTATTCCATAGCGCGCTCTTTCCCGCAATGCGACATAGCGTCCCGGCCATTGGGGATCTTCTCCATCTGCTTCAGTGTCTCCTAACCGGGATGCTGGTGCTTGTGAAGGAGGAGCAAGTACCAGGAGAGGGTGTCTACAGGACGATTCGAGCGTTGCCTCCCGCGGACTGGGTGGGCGCCCATGAGTCCCAGTTGACGGAAATATTTGGTTCCGCTCATTACAAGCAACTGTTCCGTGCCGCAAGCGACAGCAGAATTGCGTTCAAGCTGGAACGCGATCCCCAACATTAACACGACCTTGCATGCATTCGCTTTCAAAAATCTCGAACCCTTGTCGACGTTCTCGCGCCGAACTTGCCGCAGTCATGATCGACCGGGTTGTCTTCTTCCACGATCGATGATCCAGGGAGGACAAACCTCCTCCTTCCATACATTATTCGTCTTTCCGGACAATGTGGACTCTGCCTTTATTCCTTCACTACCTAATTTTCCGTAATGCTTGCTATTCTTCGGTTGTCATTTGTTTTCATTGCTTTCTGCCCCCACATCTTACAGTGATCTATTTAATACGCATAGACTAATAGCTTCTTTATTCACCTATTTATACTTGCTCACCCTCCACGCTTTCTGTTATTCGCATGGTCGAACTTTGCTTCTTGCACATTTGTATCAAAGCTTTCGTCGTCATGTTACGCAACCTCGTAGTCTATAATATGTCGTTTAGATCGTCTTTATCTCGTAGTATAGTACTTTGTCCATGCGTATGCATATGCCCTGTAACTTCGGCCCCAACATGAGCAGCTGTGCCAGTACACTCATTTTGAGACATGCCGCCTCTCGCAGCCTGTTCGTCATGAAAATTTTACAAAACCTTCGTCAGCGAGACGCGTACCTAGTCAGCGTAACATCAGTTTCCTGTACTAGAGCAAGGGGGGGTGTGGTTCAGGTGTGGTGGACACGACGTTCAAAATCAGGATCGTCGATGGGCAATTAAGGTAAGATACAATGATAAGGTCATATCGTGCATCAAGAATGCTCGGACCCGAGTCAAATGGTGTCATAAGCTAACGAAAGTATTGACAGACGGGGACACGCCAGGTCCAGCAGGTAATATTCCACGTTACTTAACTTGATTTAGGGGGGACTTGGCGAGGACTAGAGCCCTTCCAGTCCTTAGAATAAGGTCCAAAAGGTTGCACAAATTGAACAGACGCGTGATGGAAGAATTTTCGAGGACAGAGGTACGCCTGCACGATGTGAAGCGCAAGCCTCGAGGACGAGGACACAGGGTTTCGCATCACGGTCACTGACGCGATCGACAGTCACGTGGCGTCACATGTCACGAGTTCAGACTGAGTTTCCGCCCGTTGTTGGATCGAGGCTTCACAAGTCGACCACCTAAGTGCTTTCTCCATTCCATCTCCAGGCCATGGATGGCCCCGCGCCTCAGGAGGAGGACTTTACCTCTATTCCAATTGCCGAAAGACTAACACACAAGAATTGGAAAGCAAGGGTTAGCGCGTATGAATCTCTCATCAAGTCTTTCCAGTCATCAGCCTCGGATTCGGATCCTGTCTTCAAGCCATACACTAATAACCCGGATCTGCTCAAGAAGATTGCAACGGACTCGAACGCAGTTGCTCAGGAGAAAGGGGTTGAGTGCCTCGTGGCGTTCGTCAAGTTTTCCGGAGAGAATTCTGCGAGGACTAGAGAAGCTGTGGTTCCTGCGTTGGTTGAGAAGTGCTTTGGTTCTACAAGAGCAGGGACGAAGAATCAAGCAATTGAGCTTGCACTGCAGTACGTTGAGGTACAGAACGGTGCTGCAGGTGTCATCGTACGTCCACTGTACCATGAGTACCTCTTGCTCGCATTGATCTCAATTTAGGACGACATATTGCCGGGCTTAAGTGCCAAGCAACCCAAGACAGTAGCAGGATGTGTCGCTGCGTTGAAGGAGATTGTCCGGTAGGTTATGGTCTCAGGTGATCGCTTTGTCTTCTCTTTACCAATGGCGTCATGCAGATTGTTTGGAGTATCAGCTACGCCTCCGGCGCCCATACTGAAGGTCCTTCCCAAGATATTCGCACACACGGATAAGACAGTTCGTTCTGAAGGCACACAATTGGTTCACACTTTGTATCAATACATCGGTCCGGGCATAGAATCATGGTTAGCCGACTTGAAACCTGTTCAAGTCAAGGAATTGAAGGAAGCCTTCGAATCCATGGAAAAGGAAGGTCGAGGGAAAGGAAGCTTAAAACCTGAACGGCTCACGCGAGCGGCTGCAAGAGAGGCCGAAGCAAGGGAAGCTGCTGGGGGTGACGACGAAGACGAGGAAGCGGCTGAAGAGGGTGAGTACCTTGGCAGCTGATTTATTTGCTTTCTTAACAATATCTCTACCAGACGCAGCCCCTCCAGATCCTCGGTCATTTGCTGAGGAAGTTAACATCGTCCCGAAATTGCCTTCAAACTTGCATGCTTCACTACGCTCTTCTAAATGGAAGGAACGCAAGGAGGCGCTTGACGAGCTCTTGACCTTACTCAACGCTACTCCAAGAATACAGGAAGCTTCTGAACTTGGCGACTTGGCCAAATCTCTGGCTACTTGCATGCACAAGGATGCGAACATCAACTGCGTGACGACAGCGGCGAGCTGCATGGAGGCTCTCGCAAAAGGCATGATGAGTTCCTTCGCCCGCTATAGGGAAAGTGTTGTACCTCCCATGTTGGAGCGATTGAAAGAACGAAAAGCATCTGTGACAGATACCATCGGCGGCGCTTTGGATGCCGTGTTTGCTTCCGTATGTCGTAGCGAGATGTCGTGTTTGCCTATTCGCTAACGTGATTTTCAGACAACGTTAGCGGATATTTTGCCTGATATTCTGCCAGCATTGGGTTCAAAAAATCCTCAAATCAAGGAAGGCACGCTCAAGTTCCTTGGGCGATGTTTGGCCACAGCTACTACCCCCATTGCTCCGCCACAAGTCAAACTGGTCTCCGAAACGCTCGTATCTCTCCTTGAGGATTCCTTTGAGGGCGCCAGGAACGAGGCAGCCACATGTCTTGGTACTTTGATGAAGATGGTGGGCGAAAGGCCTCTAAATCCCGTGATGGATAGTTTGGCGGATGTGCGTAAGGCTAAAGTGAAGGAGGCGTACGAAAAGGCTACGGTGAAGTGTAAAGCTGGTAGTGGTGCCCCGTCGAAACCCCCTGCTGCTCCCAAGGAACCACCTAAGAAGAAAGCGCCCGCGGCCAAGAAGGATGAACCATCTGTACCAGATGATGTACTTGCGCCCACCGAGAACAAGCCGCCAAAGAAAGTACCCGCTAGACTTCTGGTATGCCATCTAGCTTCACAATTGATAAGAAACTGTACTTAATCTTCGTTGTCTCTCTAGGGAAAGAGAGCACCAGCGGCATCTTCTGGCGCAGACGAAAGTAAACCGCCTGCTACATCAGCCCCCGCACCAAAGAAACCGATACCTGCTGCTGCTGCTTCGAAGCCCTCGAAAGGTGGAGCAGCCCCCGCACCTGGAGCTCTTGATACCTTCAAGTACAAGCATACCCCAGAAGATGCCGAAGCTTTGGCTGCTGACATGATACCTACAAATTTTGCCGCTGGTCTTGGCGACTCGAATTGGAAGACTAGATTGGCTACCTTAGAAGAAATGACAACTTGGGCGGAAGAGTCCGCTTCCGAGCTGGATTCCGAAGTCGTCGTTCGATTTTTGGGTAAGAAGGGCTGGAGCGAGAAGAATTTTCAGGTTAGTACTGTAGCTTTTGGCATTGTTGTGTCACTTGTGACACGCTCTTTTCCTATATTACAGGTTTCTGCCAAATTGTATGGAATTCTTGGGATACTTGCTGAGCAATGCCCATCGTTCGGACGCTCGTCTGTCGCACTTTGTATTCCTCATCTAAGTGAGAAGCTGGGAGACATGAAGCTGAAGAAGCCTGCTGGTGAAACGCTCCTCTTATTCGCAGAGAAGACTTCCCTGCAATTTGTCTTGGGACATGGTCTGTTTGTCCTTCTATGGCCATTTGTTGATAAGGAACTAACATGAGTTTTAGCATATGACCCATTATCGAAACAGAAAGCTCCGAAGGTTCTCGCAGATGCTTTGACGTGGATTAATCAAGCGCTGGGTGAATTTGGCATTGCAGGCTTATCGTTACGAAGTCTTATTGAGTTCCTGAAGACGGCGCTACAAAATTCAAATGCTGCAGTACGTACTAGCGCGACGAAAACATTGGTGACCGTAAAGCTTTTCGCTGGACCAAGTACGAACTTCAATGCCTTATACTCATATTGTACTCAGCATTTACATTACAGGCGTCAAGGATCTCCTTGAAGGCTTGAACCCGCAGCTGTTGAATACCATCGTAAGCGAGTTCGACAAAGCTGAGGGTACTCTCGCTCCAGAACCGACTAGGACATCTGCTGATGTTGCAAGCATGGCGACAACCAGCGTTGGGTCAGGCAAAGCCGCAGTCTCTGGTGGAGATGCCTTGGATGACCTGTTCCCTCGTGTGGAGATCGACGGGCTTCTGAAAGGGACGACCATTCTTGCAGATGCTAAGAGCGATGCTTGGAAGACGAAGAAAGAAGCTCTGGAAACTTTGCAAGCCATTCTTGATCAGGGTCCCAACAAACGTCTTAAACCAAATATGGGTATGCGTCCTTTCTGGTATAGGTATAGCTGTTCTGAGTTGTTCAATATCTGGATTAGGTGAAATTGGTCAAGTCCTCAAAGCCCGAGTCACAGACAGTAATAAGGCTGTCCAGTCTTTAGCCTTGGACATAGTAGCTCGGATTGCTGCTGGTATGGGCAAACCTTTTGAAAAGCAAACGCGTTTCTTTGTGCTCCCTGTGGCTACTGTGCTTTCCGATCAGAAAGCACCAATACGTGCCACTGCTCTTCAGACCCTCACGGCTATCGCCACAGCTTGCGAAAGCTTGGATTCCATGGTGAACGGCATTGGAACTGCCTTGGAGTCATCAAATCCATTACAGAAGGCTTCCCTGCTTAATTGGATCGCGGATTGGTTCAAAACACACGAGCCTACTCCCGGCCTGGATCTCGGCAGCTGGGCGGGACCAATAGTATCTTCCCTAGACGATCGTAACAGTGATGTCAGGAAAGGAGCTCAAGCAGTCCTCCCGCCACTTGTGGCTTGCGCCGGTTATGATCAGGTCCTGCATCAAACTAATTCTTTGAAACCTGCATCCAGGTCGACAGCAGTCCCGTTGATACAGGCTGCTCGCGGTGCTGCATCGGCTGCACCAACAGCAGCACCCGTTGCAAAGGCGCCTGCTATTGCCAAAGCCGCACCTGCCAAACCGTCGTCCGTCAGTCCTCCACCTGAAGAGGAGCCAACATCGCCGACAACACCTGCACCCGCTAAGCCTTCTTTAGCTAGTAAACTGGGTGTGCGCCGAAAGTTGCCACAGGGCAACACATCAAGCCGTCCAGAATCCCGCGCAGAGACACCAGTTGAAGCTTCTTCCAAACTTCCGAGCAAGCTTGGTGGTCTGAAACGGCCGGGTGTTTCCGTAGCCGCACCTGCGAAAGTAGCTGCTCCTCCAGCAGCCTCTTCGGAATCCGCACCTTTCACAGGAAGGAACGTAGACGCGAAGAAGAATCGTCTGGCTAGAGATGCAACGAAGTGGGTCAACGAGGCGGGGCCGACCAGAAAGGACCTCGCAGAACTGTTGCACCATCAAATGGAACCATATGCGTCGAAGGACCTCTTGAACCTTCTGTTCAGTCATGATCACAGTGCCGTCAATGACCATGTGTCAGGTCTAAATATTCTCCACGATTTCTACTCTGCACTTCAAGCTGGTGACGATAAATATGGACCCTCCCTCGACGATCTGCGCCTTATTGGCATTGCCAATTCAGATTTGGCCTTCAAGTATGTCTCGATGAAGGCTCATGAACCCCAATCAAATCTAGTCCAGAAATGCCTTGAGGTTGTTGAATCTGTGCTAGGATTCCTGCAGAGTGTTGATTATCAACTGTCTGACGCTGAGGCTCTTTGTTTTGTTCCGACCATGGTCTACAAGGTGAGTTTGTCTCAGCATAGCGGCTATGAATATTAACGTTCTGCGTTTAAAGCTCGGCGACGCTCGTGAACCTGTGCGGGTGCGGGTGCAACACATTATTCAGACTCTGCCGAAGGTGTATGGCTACAGCCGAATTTCACAATTACTGTTGGATCATGGCCTGAAGTCAAAAGTCGCGAAGACGCGCCAAGGTACACTGGACGAAATTGGGGGATTACTAAAGAAATTTGGTATCGGAGCTTGTGAACCTGCGAAGGCTTTCCCTGCAGTAGCATCCACAATATCAGACAAAGATCCTGCTGTGCGCAAATCGGCCCTAGCGGCATTGAGGTCAGTAGATGAAATGTTCTCTTATGATCATTACTGTTCTGATATACGTATTGCAGCGAGGGTTATGTTCTTGTCGGGGAGAAAATCTGGTCTTTGGTGGGCCACTTGTCGCCAAAGGATAAGACGCAATTGGAGGAGCGGCTGCGTCGAGTAGCAGGCCCTAGTAGCCCCGACCGTGGGGAAACACCCGCACCTCCATCGCAAGTCACCCGATTGATGACAGGTATACCCCGCTCTGGATCGCCTGTACCGGGTCCTGCATCTCGTATTGGCGGCATCCCACGATCCTCCAGTCCGGCTCTCGCAGCGCCTTCACGTCTTGCTCGACCCAATTCTCCGTCTGGCAGATCAAGTTCACCCGTTCCGTCTGGTATCGCACGCTCCGCATCTCCTGCACGCATGACCCGTGGTTCTGCCTCTCATCTGCCTGCCCCCACATCACCAACTGCAATCGGCCGACCTAAAGTATTAGGTCCTTCTCGTTTAGGCGTCCCACGCAGTCGCCCCAACAATACACAATCTCACGCACCGAAGCGACCATCTCAAGAGGAATTATATTCGTCGGCGAATGGTTTGGTGCATGAACCGCCTCCTCCTGAGGATGACATTCCAATGAACCGACTTCAAAACGGATCTACTGATGATATTACTGTGACGATCTCCAGTATTCTAAGCAATGACCCCTCACGAAGCGTTGATGCTCTGAAGAAGATACAGAAGGTGCTGGAAGTTGGACCAGAGGAAGGGATATCATCTCCAGCATACAGGGAATTGTCTGAGCATACCGAAGGCCTGATCGAGACAATCACCTTACAGATGGCACACGTTTTTGAGCGGCCGGATGACATTGTCATACCGGAGAACTTCCGTCTCGCCAAACATCTTATCCAGACACTCAATGCTTTTTGTGATCACGTTATCTTAGCAGAGTCCTTGACAGTGGATATTCTGACTTCACTCTTGGAAGAGTTGACGTTGCGCCTTCTCCAGACAGATAATAGCCCAGACAGTAGGGTGAAGGATCTTTCTCGCTTTATCAACATGATAATCCTTCGACTGTTTGCTACTGGCCGAAGGATGTCTGTCTTCCGGTGAGCTCGAGTTCTCATGGCTGTCTCTTCAGTTGTGGTCTCATCATCATTATAGTGGACTGTTTGCCCTGCTGCTGCAGATTGTGAAGCCATTCCCAAGTAATGGCACCTCCGCAGAGTCGCAAGAGGCCAAGGTCGCAGAGTTAGTTCTCAAGTGTGTATGGAAACTTGCCCGAAATATTCCCCAAGATTTGGAGAAACAGGTTCTGGATCCGGTGGAGTTGTTCCCTGCTATAGAGCATTTCCTACAATCAATTCCGCCTAATGAATGGAGAGCTCGGGCAACGAACAAGGTGCCTTGCGGCGACATGCCCTTGCGCACCATAAAGGTGATCATTCAACACGTCGTGGGTAAGTGCTCCTGGTTCTTGCTGTGAGTGTATAGTAATTGACATTATTTCACTTTAGCACACTACGGTGACGACGTCTACGATCTGCTATCTGCATCTTTCGACGATCCTTCAGCTACTATCGTGTATCCATATGTCTACCGTATCCTGAACTCTTCGACACGAACAGCTGCCGACGTACCAGTACGAATCAACGGTTTAGCGCGACAGATTTCGCCCACGGCGAGCAGACCAATCTCACCGCAAGGCACCGTGTCGTCTATGACCTCTAATCACCATCATTCGTCGAGTCATGGTCGAAGTCCGAGTGTCTCTTCCGTTGGTGACAACAGACTGAGTCCTTCGGCACCTGCCCAGGAGCCTGATCTTGACGAGCAGTTGCAGGTCATTATCAAACATATATCTAGCGAGACTACTGGAGCCATGCACAAGGAGGGGATCACTGAGCTACATCACTTCTTGAAAGCTTATCCGCACAAGAAAGCGAAAGTGGACAAGATGTTGGAGTCCACAGGGTCCGCTTTCCGCAAGTACATCACCCGAGCGCTGGCTAGTCGAGCTGCTGAGGATGAAGAACGCAATGTTGCTGTGGCTAATACATTATCCAGTAAGTGCTCAAGGGTCTGGATGTCTTTTCCCAATGGTTACGACCTCTCGTTTTAGAACTCGAATCTAACCATCGTGAGCGTGCCATCAGTGGCTCTACATATTCACCCAGTCCGTAAACTTCATCTTTGTTCGATTTGCCTTCTGTGCTAACGAACCTGAAGGTATAACCGACACGCGGGCCACCACTCCGACGTCTCCACGGTCGCCGCCGCGGACAAGCATTTCTGATATGCCTGATCCACAACAGGAGAAGTTGTCACGGCTGCATGATCTGTTCCAGTACCGTTCTAGCACGGTCAGCAACGGATCCTCTCATGGTCGCTCGACCCCTTCCGTTCTAACCTCACGGCTGCCGCCTCCTAGTTGAGGGCAATCGTGAGTTGTATGATTGTTGTTGTACTTACATGCATCCGTTAATTCTGTCCATCACCTCATCGGAGTCGGGACGTAGTAGGGTATACCCAGTAGAACATTATAGTATTGTGCATCTAGCTTTCAATGTAGCATCCAGCCGTCCAAACGTAGTCAATTGTTTTCCTTATTTGCTTGTGTGAATGAAATATGCTGATGGAGAGTGGATTACTACACGGCGCCAAGCGGGCGGTATGATTTCATCCTCTCTGACGTCGAACTACCACCAGGACTGACCTGTGCACTTAGCTCTCCCCTGTGTCTTTCTTTTTCTTGTTCATAATCTTGCTTCATTTACGATCTTCATGAAAAAAGCGACCAATGCTTCAATTTCTACGTCCTCAGATCTTGTCTATGATGCTGCCCTAGTATTCTGGCGAACTGTTACAAATATCTTCTTCCGCGAAGTTCGACCCCGAGGTGCTTTCAATATCCCTCGAGATGGTCCTGTAATATTTGTCGCTGCTCCTCATCATAACCAAGCATGTCAACTGTCATAGGACTGGTCGGCGTATTACTGACATGTTATACACTAGTTTCTCGACCCTTTGCTACTTGCGTTGGAAGTAAATCGAGAGACACGTCGCAAGGTTCAGTTCCTGATTGCAGCAAAGAGTATGAAACGAAAGGCAGTCGGATTCTTTGCGAGCATGATGTCTAGCAGTACGTTCCATGTCATACATGGTCATGGACACCCTCTGACTTGTGCATCCAGTTCCAGTCGCACGAGCGGCCGACGACGCTAGTCCTGGGACTGGTCTGATATATCTGGCTGAGAACGATCCATGCCTTGTTCTCGGGCACGGAACTCGCTTCTTCTCAGAGTTCACACCCCGAATGCAAATCATGCTACCAAAATCTGTCGGTGCATCCGTTGCTGAGGTCTTAGAGGTACTCTCGGATACCGAATTAAGGATAAAAAAGGAGTTCGGCGGCGACAGCGGAAAAGGTACAGTCCGAATACGAGAAAAGCTCCAAGAGTTGCAAAATGAAGGCAAACAGGGTCTTGAATTCAAGAAGCTGCCTCATATTGATCAGCACGAAATGTATCAGTATGTCTATGAGTGTCTCAAAGCTGGCGGCTGTATCGGTATATTCCCTGAAGGTACTTTGATTCCTTGTCAGGCCTCGTCAGACCTCCTAGAGCTAATTTATAACCACCTAACCCCTAGGTGGAAGCCATGATCGCACAGACTTACTACCGCTGAAGGCAGGTGTTTCACTTATGGCTCTGGGTGCGATGGCAAACCACCCAGAGCTAAAAGTCAAGATAGTGCCTGTTGGACTTTCATACTTTCATGCGTCTCGATTCCGTTCGCGCGCAGTGGTCGAGTTTGGGTCCGCAATGGACGTTCCACAGCAATTAGTCGAGATGTTCAAAGAAGGAGGGAACAACAAGAGAACTGCTGTCGCTAAATTACTGGACCTCGTTTATGACGGGCTCAAAACAGTAACTCTCCGCGCGCCAGACTACGATACTCTGATGGTAAACGTTTTCTCTTATACCTCTCTTGCTCTTCACGCTGAAGGGTGTTTCAGCTCATCCAAGCCGCTCGTCGACTGTACAGGACACCTGGGCAACATTTGACACTAGGTCAAGTTGTGGAGCTGAATAAGCGTTTCCTTGAAGGATACCTTCACTTCAAAGACGAACCAAAAGTCATAAAATTACGTCAAGATGTGCTGAAATACAACCGTCTCCTACGCGATTTGGGCCTGCGCGACCATCAGGTAGTTTATGGTGTTCGGTAACATACTCTATGCTCACTTTATCTCAAGGTCCCTCTAGCAAAGAAATCGTACTGGAAAACTCTGGGGCTATTCTTCTATCGGTTCTTGCTTCTTGTCATATGGAGTAGTTTGGCACTGCCTGGTGTCATTTTGAATGGCCCCATATTCATCGCTGCTTCTCTCATTTCTCGAAAGAAAGCTAAAGGTATAATCACCTTCATTTGTTGAAATTGTGTCTGATTTCAGCGCTGTAGAGGCTCTTGCTGCGTCTGTAGTCAAAGTGGCTGGCAAAGACGTGCTGGCGACCTGGAAAATCCTGATCTCGCTTGGTGCTGCTCCCGTGTTGTATGGCTTCTATGCTTTCCTCGCGACGGTACTTGCATTCAAAGTCGGTGCTTCCTTAACATGGAAGATCCTGACACCGATCGCCGTAATGGTCGCCCTACCTTTTATTGGATATGCTGCCTTGAAGTTTGGTGAAGCTGGCATGGACGTTCTTAAGTGCGTACTATAGAGTTCTTTGCAGCTATCCGGAATTGACTTTGTATTATTTCGATAGGTCCCTACGACCCTTGTTTGTGGCTCTCGTGCCAGGACAGCAGCGCTATCTCAAACGACTGAAGGAGATGCGTTTGCGTTTGTCAAACGAGCTTGTAGATGTCATCAACGAGTTTGGGCCTAAAATCTACGAAAACTTCAATGAGGTTAGCTTCTTTCTAGGTACGGCTGAGAGGTATATTGCTGACAGGACGATAGTTCCGGATTCTTGTACCTTCTGCTAGCGTACCCCCTTCATCTGGACAACCTGGACTTTGGCGGCGAAAGACCAGTACTGGGGCTGTAGATGCTCAAGGCAATCTGCTATCTCACCCAATGGTACGTTTGTCATGCAAATGTATCTTTTCTCATGATAAACAGTATTCGTAGACATGGCTGGACGAGAGACTTTTTGGATGGAGTCGTAGTGCCAGACGTGGGACAAGCGCTTGGGCTGGTAGTGCCAGCAACGATATCAGTCGTGCAGCGACGCCCGAAGGCTCAAGTGATGAAGAGGGGGACTACGACACCCTTAACTATCTCGAGGTTCCAAGTCGCTCGAAAAGTCGAAGTCGTCAAGGCTCTTATGCTGATCTCACCAGGATTCGCAAGTCCTCAAATGCTAGTACGACCTCTTTGCCGGTACCAGCAAGAGGGGAGGAGTTGCGCATGACATCTGCTTCGGCCTCAGATACCAACATATTGCACATGCGATATGGGCCGCGTACCCGACGGGCCAGCCTTAGTGACATCGTCTCCGTAGAGCGTATTGGAGCTTTGGATCGCGCGGAATCGTTCCCTGACGCTACAGACGAGATCAATCAGGAAGTTGATAAGCAGAAGGGGGAGCGTTTGCACCAGGATTGAGGGAGGCTGTTCCTTACCAGATATTCTTGTTGCTTTATCTCAGAAGCCACTGGCTCGGGGCTACGTCTTTCTCTACCCTACTATTTAGCATACCCAATATCCATTTGAACGATGTCCAGTGCTAAATTACCATTACATCACGCTACCGCTATCATTTCACATGCTTGTACGTATCTCAAATATACTTGAAGTTGAGGATTGTTTGTCGGACATGACTTGTTGGCTTCGTATTCGACTCCACAAACTGTGTGATGCCCACGTTGTTAATAGCGAGAGCTGTTATCTTTCGGTCTTGCTCTCCGGGTTCTATGAAAACATGACTCTCGGCTTGCTGTCAATTTTCTCATTTTGCATTGTCCGGTGCAGTGGTAGCCGCCCTTCGCAGACTGTACTCGAGTATTTGATCTCTCCTTCACACTACGATGAGTACTACGGCAATAAAGTGCCAAAGCACCAATTGTCTCAATGGACATCCTCCTTCGAAGCTAGAATGCCCTACCTGCAACAAGTCTGTTCTCAGCGTCTTCTGAAGATGGCAGTTCATTCATACTCATGATCGCTCGTAGACTTGGGATCAAAGGATCCTTTTTCTGTGGTCAGGAATGCTTTAAGGCGGGCTGTAAGTGCTATCTTTGCTCTATTCCGAGAATTGACTGAACATTATATTGCAGGGGTGCGTTGTTTGCTACTGTGTGAGATGTTCTCAGCAATTGATCATTTGTGAAGAAAACCCACAAAGTCATTCATGAGTTGGCCACACCACGACAACCACTTTTAGAAGACCCTAACATCAATAAGGGTGATGCATTCCATCCTATTCAAGCACCTCTCTCGCTAATTCATCTTTATTCCAGACGGTACCTTCAACCCATTCGGAAACTTCAAGTTCACCGGTTCCCTCCGACCAAGATACCCTCTAAGTCCTAGACGCGTGGTACCTGATCATATACCTAGACCTGACTATGCTGAAGACGGTAGGATCAAGCGGTTGTTTCGTGAGGTGCAGCACACCATGTAAGCTTATGCTGTTTCTTTTTTGTTAGGTTTTCCTACATCGGAGAGTAGACGGGCTGGCCAACCCCCCAAAATCTTGACCCCGGAGGAGCAAGAGAAGATGAGGACAGCGTGTCGGGTATGTGCATAAGGTAGACATAATTTTTCTTGCTATTCATGCGTGTTCGTTTTAGCTCGCACGCGAAGTGCTTGACACTGCTGCATCTCACATACGACCCGGAATCACCACCGATGAGATCGATGAAGTTGTGCACAACGCTACCATCGAGCGCAACGCTTATCCCTCCACACTGAATTATAGAAACTTCCCCAAGTCGGTCTGCACGTGAGTAACTGCTCGATGATGTTTCTCTTGTATGTTCAGAAGTTTGATTCTCTACATACTCAGTTCTGTCAACGAAGTTATTTGTCACGGTATCCCAGATCAAAGGAAGTTGCAGGAGGGAGATATCATTAACATTGGTGAGTTCTCATTCACTATCTATACATTCTCGGCTGACTCAACTTACGAAGACGTGACACTGTATTACGATGGTATGAATACAGAACTTGCATGCAAAAATATCAACTACTTACTCACGTCTCGCGGATATTAGGGTTCCACGGCGATCTGAATGCAACATACCCTGTGGGTCGCATAGACGAGGAGTCCACCAACCTCATACGTACAGCTCATGAATGTCTGCGAAACGCAATCCACCTTTGTAAACCCGGAGCCCTTTTCCGAGATTTGGGCAAGGTCATGTGAGCTACATTTCCTTCTCTGTGTCTAGGTCAGAATTAAAGTGTTTTTTTTTTGCCTTTCTAGCGAGCCACACGCAAGACAAGAAGGTTGCGCCACTGTGCGACAATATTGCGGCCATGGCATCAATGACCTCTTCCATTGTGCTCCGAATGTTCCACATTACTCGAAGAATCGAGCGATTGGTACTATGAAGCCGGGCATGGTAAGATCCTATTCTTTGGCCACGTACGCAGTTACTAATGCTTCTCATTACAGACATTCACGATAGAGCCTGTGGGTAACTAGTAATTCATTATGCTCTATGGTACTGATAATCCTACAGATGATCAACTTTGGACACAATTGGGACGTAGCACATTGGCCTGACGATTGGACAGCAGTCACGGTAGACGGTAAACGGAGCGCTCAGTTTGAGGAAACTCTACTGTAAGTACAGGGAATGAGATTGAGAGTGATTTTACTGACAAGCTTCCAGGATCACCGAAACCGGCTACGAGGTTCTGACTGCGGCCAAGGGGACGGACAGATTTAAATATTAAGTATTAAAGTACAAGCTCGAGTACTTTTTGACGTACACTAGTGTCTCCAGAGAATACCGTCAACAAACATAGTATGCATGCGTGAAGCAAACCGGTACGAAGTGTTCATTCCTGATGGTCATGCTGGGTTTTCGTCTCCTTCAAGAAGATCTCCTTGTTGATTTCAGCCGTGCCTTCCTCGAAACTTTCCCTCCTGCCAAGACGTGCAATACGTATTACGGGTACATCCTCAGACAGACTGTGTCGTCTAATTCGGTGTCCGCGACGCATATGCAGGTTATTGGGAATAGGAGATGTGATCTCGACGTCACCACTTGCTACGATTGAGGAAGGAAGGTCGCTCATGCTTGCACTGGTCGTTATGCGTAGTCGCTGCACATCAGCATATGAGCTTTCTCTACTGTCCAGGGGTCTGTCCTCGGCAGAAGCCAGAAGATTGTCGTAGTCGGGTTCCTCTTCCGATTCATTGGGTGTTATAGCGCGACTGGCATATTCACTGTTTCCATTTCTCCACCCGAATACTTTTTCATCGAGCCAAGTCTATTGTCAGAGCGTTAGTGATTGACCGCCTGATTCGGGGATGCAAGTAGAACTGACCATAGGATGGGATAGTAAGACACCCTGAGCCTCCCCTCGAGCCTTGCCTTTACCGCGACCCAAAGGTCCTGCGTAGGGAGGTGGGCTAGCTAATGGAGACGCCACATGCCACTACAGTAACATTACCGTCATCACACTGTCATGAACGCAGCCCATTGTGAAGCATACCTCTTCAAATTTTCTGTAAAGTTTGGGACCAAACTCATTGACAACATCGACGACTTCCCTTGATAAGCGTTCTCGCATAGCCTTTGCTCGGTCCAAATGCCGTTGCTGGCCTGGAACCAAAGCAATTATGAGCGGTCTCAGAGACCTGCATACAAGAGCGTTAGCTTGATGTCCACAATTTACCATTTCATAAGGAGCTCACTTGATCACATCTATACCAGCCTCGCCAAACTTGAGGGCAGCGTAAGCAATCATGGGCAACGCCCCAATGACAAGAAACGGAGTCCAGAGTCTCCATTTTAGTGGTGCTCCCGCCTTCGCTACTAGTACTGTGGCAAGTATGGCATAGAAGCCGTATAGCAAGGGTGTGAGGCCAAGCGATATTAGTATTTTCCATGTCGCTAGGACGTCTCGGCCTGCAATTTTGACACTAGATGCGGCAAGAGCCTCTGTGATAAAAACCGACGTAAGATACATTGCCCAAGCTAATGACGACATGGATCGTACCCCTAGCTTTCCTTCTTGATATCAATGAAGCTAAGACGAAAATTGGCGCGTTGAGAACAACGCCAGGCAAAGCCAACACTCCCCAAACGGAGAGCAGCAGTAGTCGGTAGGAAAGCAGTCCAAGCGTCTTCCATGTCCTCTTTTGTGCCCGAGGGACCTGCGAGGTATCTGTGAACATTTTGAATGCATAGAAGCACTTTGGTAACAGACCTGGTGATCGCGCAGTCCAAGGTCTCGCAAGAGACGGTTGTATTTAACAACGTCCTCACGCAGAGCGGCAACTCTCGGTTCGTCCTTAAACTGTGAATAGGCATCCAGGAAACGTTTGTTCAACTCCACGACTTGGCCGAGCGTGAGCTGTTGCCCCGGAGCTTTGTAGAGTCGACGCGCAGCTTGAATCAGCTGCAAAAATTAAAAGGGGAACGAGGAATGTGAGCGTATGCGCAACTTTGGACATTGAAAATTCATTACCATTAGTGTATCGTAGTCGGGAGCTCTGACTGTCACAGTCTTCAATGCATTGTGTATTTCGTTCAACAACTGTTGGACGGCATCTCGTTTGCGCGCGCCGCCTTCCTTGAACATTTCGACAAGTACATTCGGTACATCCATAGCAGTACCAAATTCCACAACGGCCCGAGAACGAAATCGGTGGGCATGGAAGTATGACAATCCAACCGGAACAATTTTGACTTTGACTTCAGGGTGATTCGCCATAGCCCCTAGCGCCATCAAAGCAACGCCGGCCTTCAGAGGAAGAAGATCAGGACGGTCATGACTGCCACCTACAAGGGCAAAGAGTCAGTGACGATTCGCAAAGACGAGGAAGAGAATTACCCTCAGGGAAGATAGCGAGGCAACCTCTCGTCTTCATACACTCATATACATCATGGTACATTTCTTGCTGATCAAGAAATGGAATCTTTCTGTAGCTCAATCCGGGCTTTCCCTCTGCGCGAGCGGCTTTTAAAGCTACTCGTATTCGTGAGGTCGCTTTACCGTCTCCCCCAAATTCCTTCTTCAGCCTCAATTCAGTATCCGAGAGTACTTCCAGTACCACCGCTGACGCAGAGCCTAGTGATTTAGGCAACATAATTTGCATCTTAGGGGCAAACTCCGACAGGAAACGAGTATCATGTCCGAGTACGAGGCACGGGTCGTCATCAGACAGGGTAACGTATCCCGTGCCAGGCGTTGCTTCGTCTGCTGCTCGTTTGACAGGGACTGCGTGTATGCGTGTATTAGTAACATACTATGCGTACAATATACCGTGCACGTACTGCTGTCGAGAATACGCCCAAAGAATCCAATGAACTTTCTCTTCATGCTGGAGGCGGCGACAATAAATCGCACCTTCCGACCTGTTTCCCGGTAAACTTGCAGCGCAAGCAGTAAATCGAGAAACTGTTCCGACACCATTAGTTTCATATTGGCATCACCGTACTGAGTAACGTGCTTGGTTATGATGAGGCCCTGCTACCAGTATGACGGGTCCTTCTCGAGGAATATTGAATGCACCTCGAGGGCGAACTTCTCGGAAAAAGAGGCCGGTAATTGTTCGCCAGAATATCATTGCCGCCTCATACGGCAAATCAACTTTGTTTGACATTGCTGTTGAGCCAGAACGAATTAATGTAGGTGGGAATGAAGTGGTTAAATATGAGTAGGTTCGAGCTGGACGAGTACGGGGTAGTGTATTAATGATGAGGTCGAGTGCGGGGCCAACCGCTCAAGACGCTAGCTCGGGCCGTGTAGGGCCATCCTCGATCACTGCCGTTCGGTTTGTTCCGCAACTCGCAAACACGGCCCCATCCGGAAGGTCTCTTAGTTCCTTTCGTCCATAACTTGCTCTGTTTCGTTTCCAACTCAAAAATTGGTCATGATTATGTGGAAAGGCCTGAGCTGCCCCCAGGATGATTTATCAGGTCTATGAGGGAAGCCTTGAAGCTTGACTAGCAATGGAAAAAGGCTGATGCATGTGTACGTACAAGCCCTTGCATGCTACTGTAGCTTGTGACAGCTGACAGCCTTCATCTTACATTTTCGCTGTAGACAACCTCCGTTCTTCACGGCTGGGTAACTGTAACTAAGAGGCCCAAATAATTGGATAGCGACGTGATTATTTCCTAGTCCCTTGCTGGATCATAAACGGTCCGACACAAAGTGCGCACCCAAGGGTTGGCAGTTTCACTTTCCAGATCATGATCAAACCCGCATCAACCTATGTGAGCTCCCGAGAAGCAATGAGGAGGGAAATATTCTTGGAGTTCTGCGGCGTGATCTCACAAGGGCTGTGCTCTGCAACTATTGAGCGTCAAACTCCTGCAGGAACTGTCGCGTTCAAATTCATTTGCATCAAGTAATCATCAGGGCACATCATACGCTTTGCCTCTATAGGAAACCTTTATAACCTTGGCTATGGCCACGATGAATTCATAGCGGGATGGGGCCAGCGTTACTGTCATCATAAAAAGCAGCAAGCTATTGCTGCCGCTGCTAAAGTGCCGTTCATCCATACATTCATCAAATCGCCCGTTGTGCCCTGCGACTCTTCCAACATGCTTAGGCTTCCATCTGTACCGATTCTATGGCGCAATTGGAGTCAGAAGATCTCAAAGCGCAACAAGTACTTTGCGATTCTAGTTTTCGCAGTGGTCGTAGCTGCTGTCGCCCTTGCTGAGGGACTGATGGCCGACGCAGCAGCCCAGGAAACTGCAGATAAAGTTGTGCAAAGTATTGTGCAGGGTCAAAGCGGGGTATATCTGATTTTCTTTATTTGCAAGAAGTTTGCCAGGTGCTGACAGAACACAGGCTGTATTACTAGGGAACATTTACAATATCGACATTCCTTCTCGCTCTGTTAGCATCTCCTGGCTCGTTGTCGGGTGCGGAGAATTCCAGTCAAGCAATGCGTCCACCTCTGGCTTCATTTATGCTCCAAACTGCAGCCGTCTGAACGGAACTGTCGATTTTTATGTAGATGGGTAAGATTCGACATCCTCACCAAAGCAAATCGTTCTGATTGAGCCGATCATGTGGCTTAGCTCTTCCGATCCAACGGTTACCTCGGATTCTGCGTTGTATCCCTTCGACCAAAGGACAGGACAAAGTCTGTTGTACGTATCAAAGACTCTACCCACTAAATGGAAATAACTGAGACCCCGCTACAGCGTTCAAAGTGTGCATGCATTTGAGAGTACCGGTCGCCTTGTGTTGTACGCATGGAAGGGACTTGACCAGGAATTCGCATATCCATTCGATGGTTACCAGATGGAGACTACCTTCATCGCTCGGGACAGCGACACAGGACAGACCCTTCCTATCCTTGGCGCAAGGATAGTCAGCTCTACGAACAACATGAACTTTTTCCTTCGGTATGACAGGGCAACTGTACAGTATAACACTACGAGTGGCGAGACATCCTCCTCACGCACCATGGAACTCGCACTGGGAAGGAATGGGTTTACGAAGGCGTTCGTTGTGACGTTGTTCATCGTCAACTGGGCTCTGACCGCTGTTTGTGCCTATATCACTATTTCTGCTACTGTTGGAGATAATCTCTCGGAGTCCATTGTTGTCCTTCCGCTTTCTGTTATCTTGACTATCCCCGCGCTGCGAGCTCTGTGGATAGATGCCCCTGCGTTTGGTGAGTACGGCCTGCTAGAGCCGAACTACATTCGAAATACTTACAACATCTTTCCGCACAGGTTTGTTGCTTGGTATGCCTGTGCTTTTGATTATCTGTCATGGTTGTTCACGTACATGTCTACCAGATGCTTGCGGCACATTCCTTCAAATGGTCATTGTCTCTTTCTGTTCTCTTTTCCTCATCATCGTAATAGGAATGCAGAAGCAGAAAGAGGCCGACAAGGCCATGTTACAAGCGGAAGAGGGTCGGAAAAATCAACAAAAACAAGCAGATCAAGTTACTAGAACTCCATCAGAGAAGGGAGATCTTGCTGTACGCGATTTGCCCACATTGCAGAGGGCTGTTTAGGTGTGTTAAGTATGCCTTTTATCCAGATGAACGTGCATCCTCATGCGGAGGCTTCCGGCGCTCCTGACAACACAGGCCCTGGCGTATTGCAATTTATGAGGGCTCCCTCTGGCTACACCAAAGTTCCACCAGACTCGCAAGACTAAGTGCATGGGTTGGAACGATTATAACGACGTTATGACCATTGACGCATTAGGACGAAATATAAGAAGCATAATGTCGGACTCTCTGTATATTTATCCTGGTGTAGCATCTCCCCCACTCAAGCTTAGCTTTGATAATGTATTATCGGCGTCCGCATATCTTAACGGACTATTGTACAACAATAAAACTGTCATATACATCCACAATGCAAAGCGAAAATAATAAAGCTAAAAAGTCGTATGCTACAAAGAAGAGTGGCTGGTGTCCCATGCCCAACGCTACCTCGCCGCTAGGGCAGCACCAACCTTGGTCACTATCTCCCACACATCTGACATCCAATCTTCTGCGACCACCGTATCTAGACGTCTCCTCTCTTCTTGAGTAGCATGACACCGGGCTGCGGCCTCATCACGCTCCTTTTCCATGCCGAGATTATGGTACACTACAGAAAGGAGGAATCGCACGTCTTGCACCGACCGGAGAAGGTCGATTTCGATGTAGTCTTCCTCGGCCCTTAGGAGGTGGGTCAATGCTTGCCGTAGTACCTCGGCTGAAGGTTCTGATGGTGAGTTATTCGAAGACAGGGGAGCTTGTGGCGGCGGACGTACATGTCGGGTCTTCCGAAGCCAGGATGCACCTGGCCAAGGTAACAGAGGCACAAGCTCTCAGTTCCAGGTCATCGCCGTTGATAACCTACAGACATCAAGGGGTTGGATAAAATCAGTATAACCCCTGTGCATAGTACAAGTCCTGAGGATGCCTTACTTGTGGCATGATCTCGTCTATAATTCTTCGACACCACTTCGTCATGCCATATTCGAGACCAATGTCTGCCAACATCACAAGGGCCACCCTATACGTTCCATATCTTTGCAAGAACTCTGTATGCCAGAGCGCCCGCAACAGGGGTTCTACAAACCGATGGGCTTGGTCACATTGCTATACAGAAGCATAGAAGCATTCGCATCAGAAGTCCGAAGTTTATCAAAGGAAGGACAAAAGGAGACGTCATTACCCTCATAGAAAGTACTTCATAGAGAGGGTCTCGAATTGCCGAGCCTATACTGCCCTGGGAATCAAACCAGTATTCCTTTGGGGCGAAGGGTTTCCCTGGCTGTCGCGGTTTCAAGAAATCACGGAACATTCGTTCTTGGCCCCTATCAACGGTTTGAACGGTCAATCAAGAAGCCTCCGTGAACCTTTGACAATAAGCATCATACCGACGGCTAGCGCGGAGGACAAGGATGTGCCATATTTCGGCTGCCCATGTGTTGTAATCCGTCAACGTAAGGCCTGTGAATATGTCCGGATGGAGCAACATCGCGATTGCTTCTTTGTATTTGCCTTGCCTTGCATTCTATAGAAGTTATTCTTGTCAATGCCTTCACCTATGACGACAGACAGTTTGGGATTTTACACGGTAAGCACGGTTGACAGCGGCGGTCAGGCGGTTGTTATCATCACTTCCTGGGTCAGTGAAAGCCAAGACAACGGTCTCTTCGATGTCCGCTAACCTGGCACAACCTGCCCAATTGGCGGTGAAAATGTATGCATTGCACAAATCAAGGATAGATCATACCAGCGCTATCCCAGACGGAGCTCTGCACGGCGTGTTGCGCCCACTGCTCGGAGTCAGTGACGAAACCGCGGTGGAAATCATACCAGGTATCAAATAGGGAAACGGCCTGTGAGATCTTTTCAAACGAGGCTGAGAGCGGTTGATTCTGTAACAGAGGTAGTGGGGGATTAAGATAAGCTCATAGGTTAAGAGAATATAAATAAATACGTTACAGACTTGCAGGAGTTTCTTGACATCAGACAACAGCTCGAGCGGGTGTAGGAAAAATTGAATTTCATTGATTGGTGGCTTATGTCCAGCCTCGACGGGAAGCCGATGCAATAACCTGGAGGGCTTTGGTAAGATCGGGTGCCATAGCCCATGTGAGAGACATACGCTGAACAGTGCTGCACGGACATCATGTCGCCGCAGTTCCTTGCCACTGAAATTGCTTCTTTGATTAACTTCACTGGAGAGTTAATATCTGGCAAGGACCGAACTGTAAAAAAGCACATACCTTGCGGCACGTTGGATATTCATGGTTCAAATAATGCATTCGCGCGAGATTCAAAATAGCAATATGCCGCAGTCCCCTGTGGGCAGAGCGTCGAGATGTGGTAATCTACGGATAGATTAGCGACGCTTACGAATCAGTGCCTTCGTGAAAGTATTGCTCAAAGAAACCGCGGAGACGGTCGGATGCACTCTTCGCGTCTCCAGTAGCGAATTCTTTCTCAAACCTGTTGTTAATATGAGTGAAGATGGGGGCATCATAGATGACAGGTTGCGCACACTGCATATTCATCAGCTTGAGCGAATTCTTTTTTGTCAGAACGGGTTTGATGTATATTGTACGCTGCCAATGGTTTTGAACAAATAGGTTTGGGAACAGTGGGAACGAACGTACATAAATCCAGAAGATCCTTCTTGATGTACAGAGTCGTTTCATTGAGTTTCCCTGATATCCAGTCTTGATAATCACGATAGAGAAGATTCAAAGCTTCGTGTGACAGCTTTAAATAGCTGAGGAAACATCGCCGACAGAAGTACCCAAAAAGTGACCGTCGGGCCTATACGAGCGGCCTCGGAATAAGTGAAGGATGAAAGGGGTCTGAGATGACCTACGAATGGGGTGCTCTAAGATATGAGGTCACAACGATCATTCTTTGAAACTTGGAGGTTAGCACGCACATCATCATCCTCGTCACTAATGATAACAAGGAGAGCAATATCTGTAGACTCAAATGAGTGTTCTGAATGTTGTTAGATAGTGATGGGGGTGTCAGTCAGACCTTGGAAGAATGTCCTGAGTTTGTTTGGAGAGGTTATTAAGGTATGCTGATATCAAGATGAGTCAAAAGCAGCAGGGTCGGACAAAGGTGTAATTACTGTGGATTTGAAGTCCTCGATTAGTTTGCGGCAATCTTCCGTATTCGCCTTGGGACCCTCTTCCACTGCTGCAAGAAGTTGCTCCCATGTCGCAGGTTGTCGGACCTACGGAGGCATAAATTACCAATAACAGAGAACGTATGTAAACATGTCGGAATACCTCCATAGTTTCCACCAAGAGAACGCGATATATATGTAGAAGGAAAGATGATGGCAAGTTTCTGTCGATATACTCATAGAAAATGAGGGTGAGGAGTCGGACGATCTGAAGATGGTGAGGAAGGAGAACATGGGTCGTTGGAGGTGGGGGAGGCGGTAGATTTGGCATGCGGCCATTATTGACAACTAAAGGACGTCCGTGATTCATCGTGCAAAGGCTTAAGCTTGAGAGAGGTCGCGTCTGCATATAACCGCCCATATCGTTCGTGATCGGGTAACGTGGGAAACCAATATTTTGGCACCGCCACTGCTTTCGGTCCAGCGTCGCAAAGTGTTCTAGACAGTCGAATGATATTTTACCTTCAGATGGTTGTGAAGAACCAGAAAAAGCGGCCTGCCCAGTCTTCTCAGGTAAGTATGTTCTTTATTTTATGCTACGATACTAATGACTATATATCAGGGTCCCTCAAAAAAGCGCAAAGTTGCTGCGACTCGAGACAAACCTGCAAAGAAGGCCAAGGGAAAGGGCAAGGAAAAGGCGATTGACAAGAGTTTCATCCCGATACCCTCTACGCACGATGACGATGAAGTCAACCTCTCTGATCAAGATCTAGAGTTCTTCGAAGAGTTTAGCGGCGGGGCTCGTTTCCTTACCAGTTTGGATGAGAAGGGCATCGCGAAGTAAGCACTGTAGCAATCACTCTTGTTGGACTATGCTGAACGTATTCCAGGAGCAAGAAAGAAATTACGCGACTGCACCAATTGCGTAAACCCGTTCGTGCTCAGATCAAGGATGATTTGCCGTCCATACACTCAGACGATGAAGACTTGGAGGAGGAGGATTGGAGCTCAGGTATCGGTATTGAGGACGACGACTTGTCGATACCAAGCCCTGAAGAAGAGCATGATGGCGCCTCTACTTCGTCTTCAAGCCAGGTCGATCGTCAAAAAGGCGGCGAGTCAGATTCAGACGTGGAGATGCCCTATGAATCCATTCCCCGAAAACGAAGACCGGAATGGGAATCTGAGTCTGACAAGGATGCAGGTATCGATCGTTTGCCTATAAAACTTGCCAATGGACGAGTAGAGAAAGCCAACGGCAAAGTGTATCTTCCCAAGAAAGAGAAGGTCGAAGAAAGCGAGGACGAATACTCAGAGGAGGAGCAAGAACAATTTCCACAGCCCGGGGTAGAAGATGTTTCTACTGGCGCTCGGTTTGGTCGTCCTGCAGTGGTCGACGTCATAGGCCTGAAGTCTCGCAAGGCTAGAGTACAACTTGCCAAAGAACAAATTGCCGGCATATGTCAAGAAATCGTCGCCGATCCTGAGAATAGTGTATGTATCTTTATCTTTAACTCAATGTTTAACTCGGACTAACAACATATATGTAATACCAGCTTGGTCTTCTTCGTCGCCTCAACACATTCTCCCTTTCCGAAATTTCAACTCCATCTCGTCCCGAACCGCTTCCGAACGACCCTGTGATCCGTAAACTCACCTTCCTTTCGCAATTAGCTGTGTTCAAAGATATTATCCCTGGCTATCGCATTCGTGCCCTAACCGACAAGGAGAAGGCCGAGAAGGTCAGTCAAATGGTTCAACGAACTCGTGACTGGGAACAGGGTCTCGTTGGGGCCTACCAAGCTTATTTGCGGACGCTAGATGCTGAGATAAAAGGTACAATTTCCAATGATTATCATGTCGAATATGGCTGAATTAAACAGGATGTAATAGCTAAGAGCGAATTGGCCGAGGTCGCACTCAAGTGCATGTGCACTCTGCTTTCTGATGTGACGCACTTCAACTTCCGCGTCAACCTGATGAGCACCATCGTGGCTTTTCTGAGTCGAAAATCCTGGGACAAAGTAAGCATGTCGGAGATACGCCTGACGCTCTGCTGACAAGGTTCTCCCCAAGAACTCCGACCTCTGCCTCAACACGATCATCAAAGTCTTCCGCGCTGACTTGACAGGCGTCCCTTCATTAGAAGTTGTTCGTCTTCTGAACCGCATGATCAAGGAAAGAAGGTTCAGCGTTCACCCTGAAGTCCTTTCCTGCCTGCTCCACCTACGATTAAAGAGTGAGCTAGGGGTTCGTTCATCTGATTCGAGGGCCGACAGGCCCGAAGAGCAAAATGGTAAAAAATACGCGAAGGGGCGGGCGGCGGGGCGCAGGGCGAAGGGCAAAGCTACGGACCAACCGCATTTGAGCAAGAAAGCCAAGAAAGCCCTGAAAGAACGGCAAGAAATCCAGAAAGAGATGAGAGAGGCTGCTGCGGAAGTCGATAAGGAAGAACGAGAATCAAACGTAAGTCCCCTCACCACAGTCAATTGCACCCGTAAAAAATTGCACGAAAACCCTGACCCCCCAACTTGTGATGAATGACAGCATACCGAGACCTTGAAGCTCTTGTTTGTCCTCTACTTCCGGATCTTGAAGAATCCTCATCCGACACCCTTGCTACCGGCAGCCCTGCTGGGTATCTCCAAATTCGCACATCTAGTCAACATCGATTTCTTCAAAGACCTAATGAAGGTCCTTAAAGAACTGATGCATCGTCGATCCGATAACGAAGAGGGGTCGAATCCTCCAGGTCATGTTCCGCGTGGGATTAAGGAGGTTCAACACCAACTGTTATGCATTATGACCGCATTTGAGCTTCTCTCAGGCCAAGGTGCGCCCTTTAGTGGTATCTAAGACCACCCCCGTCATCCGTTATCCCCAATTAACCGCCACATAACCCCGTTTTCTAGGCGAAGCCTTGGATATCGATCTGGGCGATTTTATCAACGGATTGTACGCCATGATCCCATCCCTAAGTTTAATGCCCCACATCGAAACATCCCCGTCGACTGAATTCAAATCTGACATACGCGTTTCAAAACCGCTTTCCACTTCGGAGATGCTCTTCCGAGCGTTACAACTCGCATTTTCGCCCCGAGCTTCCGTAGCAGCTTCTCCGCCATGGCGCTCTGCTGCTTTTGCGAAGCGTCTGCTCACAGCATCCCTCCACTGGCCACCAACAACCATCCTGCGCGGCTTAGAATTCGTCGGAGGGTTATTAGAACGTGATTCCAAACTGGAGGCGCTCTTGTCCACTGACGACCGGAGCGTAAATGGCGTCTACCGTCCGGATCTCGATGACCCGCAGTTGTGCAATCCCTTTGGGACCTCCTTCTGGGAACTTCATCTCCTGTCGCAGAAACACTGGGATTCTAGCGTCCGAGTGGCTGCAAAGAAGCTACTAGATTTCACCCCTGCGTCATAGCTATAGCGTTTTGATAGGAGCTCATGGCACACGAGCCAAGGATGGGCTGCTGCTCTGTTTATATGTACGAATCGATAAGTTACTATTTTACGGATAAAACATTGAGGTATGTACATGACGACGAAGAGGGGCGTTGTGCCCTTGGGAATATAGCGGCTACAGTGGTTTCCGGAGGTAAGATTTTGGGGGAGGTGGCTAGCACTACAATGGGGATGTGGATGATGGTGATACAAAGCAAAAAGTCCTATTCTTCATGCTGCTCGTTTCAAGTCGTAGTAAGTTCATGCTATGCGGGGTTTACATAGTGGTAAAATAAGTGATGTCCCTCTAGTCTGAGCGAATAATGAAAAATGACGAAGGCCGCCAATATAAAGATAAACACTTGTGAAGGTCAAAACGCCAGACCATCGTGAAGCAGGCTTACATGGATCGGGGCGCGTGTGCCATGAACGGACGATCCGAGAACGCTGATGACGTCTCCACCCCGAACATGTCCGGAGAGTCTGGGTTATACGAGAACCCGTGGGCAGGTAGCGACGATGCGGGATCCATGTTCGAATAAGGCAAAAGGGAAAAGTCGGTCGGCGCGCCAAAGGCGGTGCTCGAAAAGAAAGGCGATCCACTATGCGGCGGTGACCTAGGTGAAGGCTGCGGTGACCCTATATGGTACGGATGTGAATGAGTCCGTCCTCGATGATGCCTGGTCGATGAGGGCTTGTATCTCTGAATTCCGAAAAGCTCTGCTGAGGGAAGGGTTCCATGAACCAGAGGTCGCTGGATGTGGTAGACGAACGCGGCAATGACAACTCCGTCGATTACGATTTGTTGAGTGATCGTGTCCTGAGCTACACGTGGAAAGCACGTTGTCGAACCGATCAGTACTAGGTTTCAAGCTGACGGTGTCCAAAGTACTTACCAGTTTCTAGCCATTTGCATCGACCCAACGCTGATTCGGGGAGACCGACAGTTACCGCCCTCGAGGTAAAGTCATTGCTTGAGATATGTGGGACCGAAACGCCGTCAAGAAGACTCATTTCCTGAGACATGACTGTCGAACCGGAGTAAATCTTCGTGATGCACTTAGCCTCCGATGACCAGCGCTCCGACAGTGTAATGGCGGCCTGAAAGCCATGCAAATTGGGAGGGCTCAGGATGTCATCAATGGAAGAAATTGTAACGTTGATGCGAAGCAGGACACTGGACTGATCCAGTTGTGTCATACTCTGATTCGTCAAAGTATTGGTCAGTCGGTCGATATCGACTGCGAAAGGCTGCATGCCGTCCGCCCAGAGATTGAGGCTCAGTAGGCGACATGATGTATGCACAGGATTGGGCGAAGACAAATCAGTCCCGTCAAGGAGATGACCCCCAGAGACAGTCGGCAGAGTGAATAAGCCCGCGTGCATCATGAGAGGCTCGAGTTTGACGGCCGGACGAAGGCGGTGTGGGGGCATAGCAGCCCTATTTGGGAAGTCGAATGCCGACGGAACAAGGGTATCACTAAACTGTTCAAACAACGGCATGGAGGAGCCTGGCCAGCCGCACGGGGACGTGAGCTGAGGCATTGACATTGATGCGGGGAAGTTGGTAGGCAACTCGGAGGTGGAGGAACTGGGGGTTGGAGACAAGGACGACGCATCACGCTTTGGCGTAGAATGTGAAGAACGAGGACTGCCTGAACCCCTTCGTGCATTCTTCGGGGATGCCAAGAGACCGTTCTCCATGAAGAGCTCCTCCCCTCCCGCGACCAAATGGAACTCTGTTGTGAAAATATGTCAGACGAGGAAGCGAGCGCTCCCTAATGGTCAATGACGAACCTGGCTGTTCCCTCCACATATTTCGCAGCACTTGAATGTGGCTTGCGACTTGTTTCTTGCTGCGTTCGATGCCATATTTCTTCAGATGATCAACAAGAAACTGGTTGCGCCAACGACTGCGCCCACGTGAATACGTTGCCCAAGGTGATTCCCAATATTCCCTTAAACCTGATGTTCGGAGGCAGTTAAGCACCAGAGAGCCAAACAATAAGACAATGGAGCTACCTTCGACGAAAATCTTCTCCACGTCCTCGGACCATACCTCGCTACCATCCTTGAGGAGTTTGTGGTGTTTCCGTTGGGGAGTAAGAGACTTTGCGGGAGAAAGCGCGTCGCTCATGGAGGGAGGACTGTCTGATGATACGGTAAGAGAACAAGAAGCCATGGCGTCGTGGTGGACGCGTCTCGGGCCGTAGCGAGACATTACGTCTAAACCCATGCAAAGCAACGAATAAGTAAGCTGTAGTGAGGGGACAGGAAAAGGCAAGTCGAAAGGGAGATCGAAAGAAGGGGAAGGCCGATGAAAGGCCGCCTTTATATGAAAAGCAGGAAATAAGGGACTGACGCCTTGAGAGGGGGCCATATTGATCCAAGCGTTCATAAGCGTTTGGAAAGACATCGGCGCTGCGCTGAGAGCCGAGGATTAGATGTGTGATCCGGGTATGGCACTGAGGGCCCGCTGATGTGGAGATGGTACATTTCTGAGCACTCCTGTCAGTGAATCAGATCGGGGATGTTGTACAGAATTAGGAGGAGGGCGAAAACGGCCACAAGCAACGCGAATGAACGATGGGAATGGAATCCAGAACATACACTCCGACCCCGGTCAGCCCCCCTTCCTGGAAGAATTCCAGTCCATTTGGAGGATAGCTCCTGCGAACGGATGGTTGGTATCCATGCGGCCACAGACGCGAACAGTGGACCACCCCCTGGTGTTATTCGGGGCGGAGCAATGAGTGTAACCTTTTGTCGCAGATACTAGGAGACGACCAATTAATGCCAGAGGGAGCACACGGTTTACAGCCTTGGTGGCCCTTTGAGGTTTCCGGATATGGATGTGCGCGAGAAGCTACCAGTCCAGGCTCAAGCAAATGGCCAGAAACGTATCACAAAGGAGAGCTCCGGTCCGCGTGAGACTATTCCCCATCTGTATTTCTCTCCGTATACTGTCGGTCAATTCGAGCTGGCCGAAAAGAATAAAGGCCGGAATAGAACGCGGGTGGCAGATCACCTCCTCGCAGCGGAACCAAACTCGCGCGCAAGTCGACAGTTCGGGATAGATCAGGGCCCGAGACGGTAAATAGGGTCCATGGCTGCGTACAGTTTGATCATCTCCACACAAGACCACAGTTTCTGTGTTTCAGGCGGAGATCCAAACACCCCTTCACAGGCGCCACCTCACGCGCCTAGTATCAGAAATACTATGCAGGAGTCCCTCACGCAGAAGTGGCTGCGACAGAACATTCAAGCCTACGTCCACAAGGACACCGTCTACACTCACGTAGACGTCCTGCTGTCCCGCTATCCTACCATCCGTCCAAAGACAGATGTGTATAGTTCAGTGCATACGTCCAATGCGTGCTTCCTGACACTCATTTCATGCCAATTAATTCATTCTAGCATACGATGACGGTCGCACACAGCTCTTACTCTGTCTGCATGGTCTCCTCCCAATCACTTACCGCGGGGCGCCCTACAATATACCGATCGCTGTCTGGCTAACAAGAGACTACCCGCGCCATCCTCCGCTTGCTTATGTCGTACCTACAAGTGACATGCTTGTCAGGGCCGGAAAATACCTCGATATCAGCGGTAAGTGCGAGATCGAATATATTCGCAATTGGGAACGCAAGAGCGAGGTATGTTCTGCATCACGTCCTGTCATCTTCTTCCCGTAAATCGCCTCCTTCACCTCGGATTCCAGGGATGCAACTTGTCTGCTTTGCTCGAAGCGATGCAAGACTATTTCTCTCGTGAACCTCCAGTGTACGCCAAACCCAAACAGTCGCCGACGCCGCAACCTCAGTCTCGTCGTCCCGATTCCACCGCCCCCGATTATTCGGAGCGTCCACCACCACCCATCCCTCCTGCTCACCCGACACCCCCACCCATGAGTCAGTCGGTGTCAGCGTCAGGTATTGGAAATGATGATCGACCGCCCTTACCTCAGAAACCAGGTATCGCGTCTCTTTCTAGTCCTGCTAGTATACCTTCGTCCCCACAGGTAGCTGGCCAAAGTCAACCACCTCATATCCCTGCTACAGTAAGTATTTCTTACCCAGTGCCGTAGATAGTCAGAATGCTAATTATGGTCAGCCCGCTTTGGCTCTGAGACCACCACCACCGTTGCCACCACACCCAGAACCGGATGCAGGCTTGCCGCGGTATAGGACTTCACCTGTGCCGCCACGTTACCATCCGAGCACTCATCGGCCCTCTTCATCGATCGGTCAAGTTTCAAATTCACCGGGCACGTCGTCTTGGTCGCCGGATTCCTCGGTCGAAGCGTCTACTTCTCAACGCGTCGCGTCTCCTCCAGTGTTTCCTGATCACACTGCACATGTAGCTCAACAGAGCTACCAGACATCGTATGGGGCTCCTGTCATTAGCTCTGAACAAGGCTTTTTTCCTCCTCAGGCATCAGTTGTCCGTGCACCTCCACCTCCTATCAATGAGGTTGCTCCGTCCTGGAGCGCGCAACCCCAACCACAATATCCATCCGCTGTTCAACCACCTTTCATCTCTCCGCAGGGGACCGGAAATTCCCACAGACCATACCAGCCGCCGCCTCCTCCACCGCTTCCACCAGTCATTGGACAAGTGACTCCTCCAGCTGCCCCACAGCCGCCGCCCACGGTCCCACCGCCCGACCTTCTCGACGATGACAATTATCTAAGTTCTTTGACATCTACATCAACACAAATAGCAGCATCACCGGCTCCAGCGCCGCCGCGACCACCTAACCCGGAGTTACTCCAGCTTCATGGACGTGTACACGCGAAAATGACCTCGGAGCTAGCTTCGCTGTCTCAGGCTATGGCGCTGGATGCTGAGCGTCTTCGTGCACACCAGAAAGATCTTTTAGCTGGAGAACCTGCTATTCGTGATGAGATGGCGAGGCTGGAGGCGGTGCGCGATGTCTGTCAGAACGTTGCGGGAAGACTTGGGACAGTGGTGGCAGATGGGGAACGCAATGTCGCCGAGTTAAGGCGGAAAGGTGATCCGGAGGTAGACGAGCTGGTTTGCTCGACTACAATTGTTCACAATCAGTAAGCAGTCCCCCTTTTCCCTTCTCCCGGGCTTTGATATTTTTATAATGGTTACTAACGGTTTGAATGGCTTTTCTTCTCACTGTAAGGTTAATTAACTTGGTGGCGGAAGACAATGCGATAGAGGACACCATTTACCACCTGCACCGAGCTCTCAATGCAGGCCGAATAGACTTGGAGCGCTTCCTCAGGGTACGTCTTGTCAACTATCGGTTCTTTTCGTTCTCCGGCATATTCGTTTTTCTCACTCCGAATTTTGTTTCTTCGACAACCCAAACCCAACTAACTCAAACCTAAACCACCAATCTGGTACATCAGACCACACGCGCCCTAGCGGAAGAGCAATTTACGAAAAGGGCCTTGATCGAGAAGATCTTGAACGGGATTCCTATGGGCGAGACCGTCGAGTGGAGGTAGATCGTATACGTCTGATGGTGTAATCACTATAATGGGGTGCTGTAATTGTCTTCCAAGTATCATAGGGTTTTTTTTTTTCCAATCAATGTCATGGATCATACGCATCATCGCTGCGTTCATCGTTCTCGGCTCAAAGCCCACAGTGCGTCTGGGCAATGTCACAAGAAACGGTTAAACTTGTGTCCTCCCCTCGCTTTGCTTCCACCCCCGGGGAGATCTTCTGTGAATCTTCTCTTCTAGCTTTTGACGCATCGATTTTAATTCTAGAGGAAGCATCCTTCTTCAGAAGGTCTTCTTCTTCTTCTACGTCTTATTTTTTCCGCCCGCTCCCTCCTATCAATATGCCAACCCCTTCTTACCAAAATGGAAATTCTTATCCACAACTGACCATCGTAGACTTGTCCGTACTTGTCCCGGCCGTGGTTCGCGAAAACTTGTGGGGGATAGTGGTTATGGATTCATCCGTCACAAATCACTGGGGAAAGACGGACTGTCATCCTTTGACCTTGTTCCGTTCATTTAATGAGGAGCTCGAGGACCACTGGGACCGATGACCCATACTGTGACGCTGTATCCGACTTATTGGGCTTAGCATATGTGGGCTGTTAGAAATGGCGGCTCTCCTTTGTCCGATTGTTTATCGCTTTTTGTTTGCGATCACGAGAAAGTTGGACGGTCCAGGTGGATCGCCGGCGGGGCCACTGATCTTGGTGAAAACAATTGGAAAGACGCGAAAAGGAAACCTCAGATGTGATCGTAACTAGGAAAAGAAAAACTCAAGATTGTCGATCGATATCCTGACTTCACACAGACTTGTCGATTTGAAAATTGGAGGAAGGTTTGACGGCAAGAGCTTTGAATAGATCAAATTGGGACAGGTTTCGAACTTGGAAAGCAACTACGTAGTATACATGGGGCAGTAGCCACGGATCAATTCAACACCAGCGAGAAACACGGAAAGAAGGCTAGAGAGAGAAAAACAGATACAGGTAGGCATGTCATATGGTCGTTTAAGTCATCACAAGTCAGCAGACAAATCAAGAACTATAATCGATCTCCATGGAGGAATGTCGCGTCAAGCGTTTAAAGAAACTTCGAGTAAGCCAAAGCTCATTGAAAGGATGTCTAAAGAAATTAAGCAACAGTGGACTCAGCCTTGTCCGCTTGAACCGCAAACCTCTTCACTCCGCTAGGACCGGACAAGGTTCTACCAGTGCTCCCAACCCACCGCCAAACGCGCAACTCATCTCCACCATCGACTTCTTCTAAATTGGTTCTCACATTAGCATTGCCCTCCACAACGCGCTCGACGCGCCCCCAAAGTCTCTTGCGCGCTCTCACAGAGTGTTCGTCCTGCAAAATGAGGTCACGTAATTGCAAAGACGAGAGATAGGGTTGTGGTGCAGTGATGGGATCTGTGTGATGAGCCAGTTCTTGATTGCGTAACAAATCGAGCGCGATTTGGACTAGAGAGGCAACGCGAGCGTTCTCAACTTCCGCTTGTGCCCGGCGGCGTCGGAAAGCCAAGATACTGAGGATCAAAAGAAGAGTGCCTAAGAAGAAAAGGTGGCATTTAAGAACTAAACTATGGGGACGAGATGAACGGAGTAAACGCACTGATGATTTGCTTTTGCCATTCCAACCAAGACTCTCGAGCCTTGACTCGGAGCGTGCATGCCCAATCCATCTGAGGTGTTCGATGCGCAAGGTATCGCTTGCCCCTGCGAAAGGAGGTTAGCATTCATTAAGTATAGCGAAATGATGCAACATACTCTGCATCTTCACCAAGCATCACTCCACCATACTGGACGATCTGTTGGATAGCCTCATTGAATGTATCTTCAAAGGTATCCAGCAGATGAGACTTGTCAAAAAACAGGTAAGCCACCTTGATTGGAGGAACATGAATACGAGAGATGACTTACTGAAGTCTTGTTCCTGATAGAGTCCTTCAGCTCTTCAAGCTCTATGCCCCATTTCCTGGCCTCTTCAGCCTCAGTCGCAGATGGCTTCGTAGAAACTTCCCCGGAACATAACCTGCGACCGCGTTCTTGAGCGAGAATCGATTCTACCGCTCTGCCTAGTACACCTATATGCCTTCTTCTCCTAGGGTCTTCAACGCATCTAGGGGGAAAAGCCACCGGACCAAGACCAGGGAAACCGTCAAGAGCCAGTGAGATGTACTTGTACACGGTCTGTGAGATCGAATCTGCCGGCGTAAGACTGTCCGAATAGTAAGGTAACATGTAGGATTGTTGGGGGTTAGAAGTCGCAGGAGAAGGATTGGTGGGCAGTCGTAAGAAGAACAAAGCAGGGTGAGGACGAATCAAATAACCAGTTTCGCATGTCATTGACGAGGGTGTGCACGAGGCGTGTGGAGGGCAAGGAGCGCAAGTCGATGGATGAGGTACTGGTACCAAAGGCAGAGGTGGGCAAGGCTCGCTCTTTGCAACTTGGTCCTGTTCTGAGTCGTCAGGCATTTCCACAGCGGTTTGCGTTGGTACTGGTGAGTCTACCGATCCCGTTGTATATGGGTCGGGTGCAGAATAGAGCAAGCTGCTATTTGCCCTGTTACAGCTTTCGATCGCAGACCACTTGGCTTGAAGACGTTCCAATACGGTGTTGGTGGACTTTCCTGTTTCGCAGAATCCAATAGGTGCTGATTCTTGTTTGTAGTTGAATAGGAAAATCGGGCCAGTCACCAGCAAGAATCCAATCAACAAACGCAGGAATAACGACATAGATGTTGGTTCAGCTTCTGGACCGCGTCGCGCAAGCTGACCACCTTCAGAGATGCGTTGAGATACTGCACGGACTTGCTCAGCTCCCTCCGCAAACTCTTCCCATTCGCCCTCTGCCTCAGGTTCGACTTCAGTCTCAAAAGGAACCTCACTTGTGACTGCTTGCTCTTCAGTTATTGCCTGTTTCTCCACTCTAACTTCTTGTGATTGCGAGCTCGGTTCGGTCACTTCTTCAACATCATCCGGAACTTCGACTATAAGGTCTTTGCGTCTCTTGATGATATCAGTGGCCCTGGAAGCCTTTGCCGTAGTGGACCTTGTTTCTCTGATTACCTCAGGAGGCAAGACCGGTTCGAAAGAGCTTTCTGGAGGCTTGACACTAGGCGCCCGGATGCCGATAGGCTTCACTCTAGCCTTGCCTTTATCCTTCGTCGGAGAATCCAGGACGTAATCCGGCGGTGCAGACAATGACTTGCGAGAACGCGTAGGGATCCCACTAGGCCGTTTCACTCGAGGACGGACGGGAGAAGGGCGGCCTGGAGATGAAGATTCGGCGCCAGACTGGAAGATATTGTTGTCTTCCCATCCCGAATCTTCGGTGTGTCGTGATTCAGATACACGACGAGCCTGACTTCCAGCGTCAGCGGACTATGGTGAGATAAGTTAGTTTATAATCAGTGGACTCATGTACAGGCACGGGCAAACTTACACTCTTTTTACTTCGGCTGACTTTGCGTATAGGTAACTCTTCTGGTTCGCTCTCTTCCATTAGAACAGGTTGTGTTGGTTTGGCAGTCCTTCTACGAGAGGGACCTCCTAATGCTGGTTCAGCAGATGATCTGCGACGTTTGGGCTATAAACGGGGGCAGGGAGAAAGCAGGGCCCCATTGGTCATAAACTAAATAGAGACAGGCAATATGTGCGTACAGGTTCCAGTTTGGATGTTTCCGGTTCAGGCTGAGGGACTTGTGAAGGAGTTCGAGAAATACGTCTCGAAGACCTTCGAACAGGCTACGTATCCAATAAAATGCTATGAAGTCACGCCGCACGCGGATATAATCATGTACTCTTACCTTGGTATCACCTATAGGCTTCCCAGTTAAGCCATCCGTGATTCCATCATCACTAGCTTGGCTATTTTCCCTTTTCAACCTCTGCTTCTTGAACTTATTCCCCTTCGGTTTGACCTCATCATTGAATAATTGAATGAGTTTGACTTTGGTGTACTGAGAGGGGTAATTGATGTTATGGTAACCGAAAACCCCCAACAGTTGGGAAACAGTGAGCGTTGAAGGATCAAAGTCGGGTTCCAAGTATTCTCCCTGTGCAATAAGTTGCGCAGCGGTTAACCGAGACATGGTGAGAAAGAGTCGTGCTCGCTGTTAAGCACGATGAGCTCGAGGAGATAGGTGTTGGTGGCCGCGATGATGAGAGTCGTGTTCAAAGCGTTAGAAGACGTGTCTTTCCCACGCGGCGCGAAAGCCGGCCGATCAACAACACAAGCCCACAAAATCACGTGCACGGCCAAATGAGGTTGCCGACTTAAAGCTGTTCGACATCGCGGGCATTCAGTAGTTGACGATAAATTAGTTGTACATTTCCAACTATAATGTGTCACATATACACTTTTACTGCTTAGGGAACTTGGGTCGGAAAAGACCCTTGCTACCAAACCAGTTACCACCAAGCTACAATTTCGAATGGTCAGCGTCTCGCCCAGCTAGTAGTCTAGATGTCTAGGGCACATACCATGAGGTTCCAATATGACCAGGGGAACAGGTCCTTCTTCAGGTGATAGTAAAGACGCCTCGGGATGGCTTGGTCACCAAAGTAGGGAGCGAACGTCTCCTTAGGTTCTCCGCCGTACTTGAACTCGGCAAGCATCAATTGCCCGTAGCCCGTCAAGAGCTGTGTAATTAGGTTAGACTTATTTCATCATGAAACGACAATGGAAAGACGGACCGGGCAACTCGTGTATCCGTCATACTTAGCACCAGACACGTTACCCGTGTCCAGGACGGAGAACAAGTTCTCAGTCAGGACTGGTGCTTGCGCAGTGATAGCGGCCGCGGTCTTGCTCGTGGGGAGACTTGAACAATCGCCTAGCGCGAACACGTTCCCATACTCTGGCTTAACATGCCTCAAGGTCTCCTTGTCTACGGCGACATAGCCCGCCTCATCCGCAAGCGGCGAGTTTTTGATAACCTCTGGTGCGCCCTGAGGTGGGGTAACATGCAAAAGGGTGTAATCCACATCTACGGTCGAGCCATCGGGTTTCTTGAAAGTAGCCTTGCGATTGGCAGAATCAATGGAAATAAGATTGTGTTGGAAATGTCCTCCAATACCACGTTCCACACGGAGTTTCTCTAAAGCGTCCGAATATTTCTTCACACTGAACATAGTAGGCATGCCAGTATAAAAGTCAATTTTGATGTTATCGCCCCGGTTGGTCTTCTGATAACGATCCCAAGCCATCCACATAATCTTTTGCGGAGCTGTAAAGTCAATCAGTATTATTGAGGCTCCCAAGGACAGAAACGAAGAGAACCTACCGCCAGCACATTTTATAACGCCCGCTGGCTGTGTGAAGATGGCCTTTCCGGACCTGAGAGCATCGATATCGTACCAAACCTTGTCACAAGTATCATACGAGTAGATGGACGATACGCCCGAGGACGGATCAGCGAGTGCCTTGGGAAGACCAGATATAGTATCCCAATTAATCTTGAGGCCCGTTGCAACGACGAGAGAGTCATATGAGATTTTCCTCCCAGATGTGGTGGTGACCGAAGACGAATCCGGGGAGAAACTCTTGACATTCTCAGGGATATGTGCAAGGTGTTGTGGAATAAGTGACGCCAATTGGCGGCGAGTCTGGCTCTTGGGAATAAGGCCCGACCCAACGAGCGTCCTAGGTGACAGCAAATGTCATGCTTATACGACTTTAAGGATAGGTCATCCGTTGACATACCATCCGGGCTATAAAGCAGCAGCAGGGCGTCAGAACATCGGAACTTGCTCTAATACACTAGCGCTACGAACCTGGTAGTAGTGGAACTCGGCAGCGTCGAGGATTGCAATATCACCCTCGTTCAACGGCTTGCCCGAAGTTTTGAACCGATTGTATATCTGGTTCGCAACAGATAACCCTCCGGCCCCTGTGCATTCGTCATAAGCAACCACAATGAACGAATTCACAAATCAGCAACCGTCAAAAGCTGTTCCATATTCAAATAACACGCACCAGCGCCGACAACCACGACCCTGTATTTATCTTTGTCTGCGGCTGCCGCAGCAGTGCTCGCCCGTCTCACGCTGGTCGCCAAGGACCTTACCATCACCGTTGTACTTGTAGTAAACATCGCGCGCTATTTTGTCCCTCGCTGGGGGATGTGTTGCAGGATGTCAAAAGAGTAGTTTTAAAGAGAGAAGGGAGGTGAGGGGCCTCTGATGAACAGATAATTATAACATCAACTCAAAAAAAATCGGAATTCGTGGTCTAGTGCACACACGACTCCTTCCAAGGCGTTCTGCACAGGCGTCAACGCGTTAATGACGAAAGAGTGTCGAGCTCACTCGCTTATGGCAGGCATATCCTTATTTTGAACCATCACCATGTCCACAAACATGTTACACGGCGCGTCCAAGATTCCCTCGCTTGTTGTATCCCGTGGATCGAATTTAGTCGGTATTATAACTCGACCCCTCGGTGCACGCTAATGCTTGATAGGTGAAAGGATCGTAGCGCTGACATATCTCTGGCTACAAAGCGTTGTCTACGGTCATGCGTAGCAAGTCTAGCCACCCGTCTGTTGTGCAATTAATCTGGGTGTTGTTGTGCTGCTGCAAAGGCTCTAAACGACTGTCATCAGTCAATGCTGTCACTCTTGCCAGGCATCAGTCTGTTCATGGCAGATGGGTGCCACCAGCTGCCACCCCGGTACTTTCTCCCCCTGCTTAATTTCGCACTATACCATGCTCTGGCACCCACTCGAACCGACCCGGGCCATCCAGAAGACCTCCGATCCTTCATTTAGGCATTGTTCTTCACCAGAGAGTGTATTTTACCATGGCAACCAGCCTACCCTCTACGTCGAGCTGTCCAATTCGGTATTCTCATCCCTCGATAAGGCTATCAGTGTGTAACTTCCTTGTGAAATTATGATGCCCCATCATTTGCCGCACATTGGTATAAATCCCCCAACGTGAGAGAAGATGCGTTCATAGCTGCTCCCTTCGACGAACTCCGTCTTTCTCCAGATTCCGTTTTCTTTCCTTCTTTTCTCTCCTTCGTTTCTTCTTTCCTTCGTTCATTGTTTCATAACAAAACACTTACTTTCTTTAGACGGGTTCTTTAGCATCCGAACATTATTTGCCAGCAGGCCTGAGCCGCGCAGGCGCAGTGGAATATTTCATTCAGCTTTTGACTTCGCAGGTCGATAGCAGTCCCTTGACGACTAGCACTCCTCGTGTCACATACTGTATGGCACACCCCTCTCGCCCTCAAGCTCGTGTAGGACTTCCTTCCAGTCCTGCGCCTCGTTCTCGGTCACTTACAGCCCGAGCTCCCCGACCGGACGTTCCCTCGCGTCCAGCAAGCGCAGCAGGTCAACGCTCTCGCGTTGATAGTGCCGTCGCACCTCTACCACCTCTTCCCCCCAATCTCAAACCTCAACGATTCTTTGCGGATATTCCCTCTTCTTACTATGGGAGTCCTCGCCGTCCTGAAGTAAAGCGTATTGCACGAATTCCTCCTCCCCCAATTCCAGTGGACCTCGCGCCAACGCCCTTTTCGAACCCAAGTGACGGCAATACACCTTCCGATTTTCTCGGACAACGTAAAGGTTCAAATGCCTCAGTCGCTTCACTCGGATCTGCTTCATCGCGGTCTTCAGCAACTTCCGCCGCGTCGTCGACGTTCGACTCGAAGTCTCCATTGAGCTCGGCGTCTTCTACGACAAGCTTGGAGGATGAGGCGTACGTAGCATATGTTCCAAAGGATGTGCCACCGCCCGTCCCCACGAATTCTCTAGAAGGATTTGGAACTGCACTCTGGAGTCGCGTTGCCGTAGTCGCTGAAAATCTCACTGTTAGCGTAAACAAGGCGATCGAGACTTATGCTGGTGAGTACAAATTCGGTCTTCTCGTCTTCTAGTTCCTTCAAATTGAAGAACATCATACTGATCCGTACGTACTGCTTTAGATCCTCCGACTCCGATTGGACAAGAGTCGCGGCTCACTCGTGCAATGAAAGAATACCACCTCACGAAGGCCCGCGATCCGTCCGACTTACCGGACTGGCTCTTCGAAGATCGAGACCGAGGAGTGCTCGGTCGATTGAAAATCGCTAATGCTACACCAGATGACCTATCGCGACCTTCTTCGACTGCAACCTCGCTTCCTCCCATCACTGATCCCCTGCCCACGAGCGATCGTCTTCCCTCTCCATGGGAGACTGATATTCGCGAAAGGAAAACTGTTTCACGGATGCCATCGATGTTGAACGCACAACAGCCATCCAGGGCCGGTACCCGCGTACGGTTTGTTCAACAAGTCCATCCAAGACAATATCCTGGGGTTGTTGTGGATGAAGGGTCTGTCATTGGCACTGCCAAGGGTACGCCAAGTGCCACGCCTATCTCACAGTTACCTGCGCCCAGAGAGGTGCAAACAATTTTGCCCCCTCAGGCCCAAGTGCCTCAAGTGAACAAAGTCCGACTGCCCAACGTTGACATTCGAGGCAAGCGTCCTTCAGCTCGTGGACTGCCATCTGGTGTCCGCCCTAACAGGCGCAGTGATTGAGAGTGGAGTTGTAGCTTTGTTTCGTGATCTCTATTCTTGATGGTTTCATCCTTTTATTATACGTACAGTGCCTTTCTTACATAGGCTTACATAGGGTTTATTCGTGGCTTTTGCGTATGTCGGGAATCAATTGAGGTTGTCGGGATCGAATGAAAATAAGCTATTGTCTATTCTTGAGTGAGGTGTTGATAAAGTCCTATTCCTGTCCTCTGTTCGCTATTGAAGACATACATAGGACGACTGATAGCCGCAGTTAAGTCTTGGGCAGAACTGTTGCGAAGTTCATGACTCGGGTGATGGTGGATGGCTAGATCCCGCTATTTTCGCGCCCGATAGATACGGCTGTGTGATGCTCATGTTCATCTGCCAGGGTTGGTGGCATCATTCACAATGGGTTTGGCACGTCGTAGAATGTCTGTCATTGGCGACGTTCACCGCATGCATGTATTAGGAAGCCTGTGTCTTTGTAGCAACTGAATAATTGCGCAAATGTAAAAGTCAGAATAGGTGAGGCTTCAGCTGCACCCTCAGCGCTGAGCGGGGAGAACGTCAGATTGGTAGCCAATCAGAGCGAGAGTGCCAATAGATCAGTATCATGATGAAAATAGTAGTTGCTTGTGCTCCTCCTGTGATGGTTTTCCAGGACAATGGGGTTGTGATGACGGCGGTCGTGAAGAATGGAGGTGAGAAAAGATGAAATATACAAGGGTGGATGGCTTGAGGCTGCAGATATTCTTGGAGGAGGATTCTTGCCAATGCTGTCGCCAGGGCCCTAGAATAGAGCACAAGAAGCAATCTGATTGGTCGTGAGATGATGGACACCTCGGCCAGTGCGACTTTCCCTCACCGTCTCCATGGTAAAATCATTTGACGCTCCGCGAATCATTCTCCCCTTCCGCCCTGTATAATACCCCAAGCTTTCCCTCTCATCTTCTCATCCTTTCCTTTCCTCCTTGCCTCTTCCCCCTCCCTCTTTTGCTTTCGTTTCTCTCTCTATCTTAGTCGAGTAGACTCTCGACTTCCCCTTCGTTCACTCGGGGTAAGATCTATGCTATTTTACCCATTACACTTTGGCTGATTGTCTGTGTTCAGATCACCCTCTTTGATAGAGATACCAACTGCAAATTTCCTCTGGGAGGTTTCTACAGCAGTCCGACGACACCCACACCTCGACGGTTAACTATTTGACTCAAGTCCAAGCAGAACTTTATATTCTACCATGGTTTTCATCGCCCCTTTTATTGGCGCCGTTGCGCTTTTCGCCGGTTATGCCTCTGCTCTCCCCCGTCCTGACAGTGCAGTCGGGCAGGAAGTAGCTGTCTCTGCTCCTAATGGTATCGTTCTCTCTGATACCGCGGAGCTTGCTTCGTGAGTTGCTTTGTCTTCTTTCTCACGGGATCCCGCTCAATATGATATTCAGGCAACTGGGTACCACCGCTGCAGCTGCTACCACTGCTGCAGAGGCAACCACGACTGAGGCATCTGTTGCTGCTACGACTACTGCTGCGTACGGTGGCTCATCGGCGTACGTGGCCTCTGCGACCGTAGCTGCGACATCCTCTGCCTATGCTCCCACGGTCACCTATGGCTCTGGAAGCTCGGGTTGGGGTGACTCAATGTCTGGTTCCGGCTACGACAGCTGTGTGCAACGTGAGTACACCGTGCTATGATACGCTGACTTGTATTCTGAGCATCAAATTAGAATGTGTTGCCTCTTTCGGAGCGCCTGCTGCCACTTACACGCCTTCAGCAACTGCAGCCAGTGCTGATTCAGGTAATGGTGGAATGACCCACACTGTCATCGTCGCACCTACCCAGGGTGTTCTCCGATATGTTCCTTTCGCTGTTAACGCCTCTGTTGGTGACACCGTCCGCTTCGTCTGGAACGCCAACAACCACACCGTGACCAAGTCCTCTCAACTCGAGCTTTGCAACAAGACTTCCGACAGTCTCTTCACCTCCGGCACTCACGATAAGGGCTTCACCTTTGACCAGGTTGTTAACGACACGACACCCACGTTCTTCTTCTGCAACACTCCTGGACACTGGTTTGTACCTTTATCTCTGGTAAATTGCACTTTCGTTGATATCTGTGTGTTACAGTCAAAAGGGAATGTTCGGTATCATTAACCCTCCCAACGCTGCTGGTGCCAACACCTCCGTCGGTAGCATGATGCCCTCCATCGTCAGCAGCACCCCTGATCTTTCCTCAATGTACTCGTACACCAACAGCAAGACTCAAGGTGTCGCGGGTGCCAACACTTGGGGACAGAACATCGACGTTAACAAGATGCCCGATTGGTCACACCAATACATTGCCGAGAACGTCATGTAAGCTTTCTCGGTCTATTTACTTCATCTCAAGCTAATATATTGGTTTAAGGTACGCTCGTACTTTCATGGCCCAGAACCCCGATGTCATTCAGCAGGACGGCTCCATTAACATGAGCACACCCGCTCCTCTGGTCTTCCCCGCTGACCTCTCTGCTAACAACAACGCTGCTGCTGCTCCCGGTTCCAGTGCTTCTTCTGCTGCTACCAACCCATCATCGACTGCAGCATCGACATCGGCGAGTGTTACCCCGTCATCTCCAGTGTCGAACGGTGCGAGATCCACTGCCGTCTCTGGCGGTGTCCTTGCCATTGTTGCTCTCGCCGCGTCCTTCCTCGTTCTCTAAGACTAGGAAGGATTATCGGGTAAAGCCTGTATAAGGCAAAGTGGCTGACGATAGGTCAGTCGACGACGTACGAAAGGCGACACAAGGACTATATCATAAATGTTGTAGATCTTCCATGGTTACCATGATTTTTCGCTTTGGATTTTTGCAATCGTGCCTAGGACACTTTCACCCTGCTCTGAATCATTTTCTCCCTTGCATCTGATTCGTGATCCCCCATTGCTTTTTTCTTTTCGTTTTTTTTTTATTCCAACTTGTTTGTCGTACTATCGTACATTACCATCTCGCATGCGAGGAAAGGCTTCCCCACTGCTTTGTAGGTATCTTATTGATCCAGCAATGCTATCATTAGATGCCCTATGTCTTCGACTATTGCCGTTGTTGGGTGCCAAGGTTACAATGTCAAGCAACAGATGCGAATGCATATGAATATATATATGCATGAACGACAAACGTTGAAGCAATATTTAACGTAGGAGAATCATGAGTTCGGGAATGGAACAATGTCAATGCATGTAAAGACTTGTGAGTACGCAATGTTCTGTACGCTACATCTTGATCGTCAGGTGTATAGATAGATACGCGACCGGAGACTGGGAATGTTCAGGTACGAGATAGCTCACTTGAGCAATGCGTAAAGGAAACCATCATATCCTTTCTCGCCGACCGTGGCGATGGTTGTTGCGTCTACATCCCGATCATCTTTGAGATGTCTCAACAGCTTCCGCACACCTTCGCTGCTCTCATGGTTACAGGTGGGGTCCGCGACTCTGCCTTCACGGACGACGTTGTCAACAACCTATCGCGTAGCAAGTGAGCATAGTAATGACGGGCGGTATGTGTCATGTCACGCACAATGATGCCTCCTTTCTTCACCATACGCTTAGCCTCAAGGAAGTAAATCAAGTTGGACATCTTGTCTGCGTCAATGAAAGCAAGATCAAAGGGTTGCTCAGGCTTCAACTTTGACAGTGTCTCTGCAGCTGGTCCTACGAGGATCTCAACTTTCGAATATTGGCCTGCATGTTCCAGATTGGCCCGGGCGACCTAGACAAAATGAACCAGGATAGTTCTCGTTTGCATGTCAACTCTCATGCGACACCACAGGCGCACACGTACGTCTGCGTGCTTCTGTTCCAGCTCTGCAGTGACCAGCTTGCCATCTTCGGGGAGTGCTCGGGCGAGCCATATAGTTGAATATCTGATAGACGTCAACGACTATCAGAGAGTGAAGGACGGATGTCACGTCAAAGAAACGCACCCGCCGAGCGTTCCAACTTCAAGGATCCTCTTCGCACCGATGGAACGAGCGAGAAGGTTCAGTAGTTTCCCCTGAGCAGGGCTTACTGCAATGGCTGGAAGGTCATTGTCCTGGCTATTCTTCTGAGCGAACTCAAGAGCTTCATCTTTAGGTATGAGGAAAGAGTTATGATAAACGTCACTGCGCTTCCAGTCCTCCTCAGGCTGAGGGGCGTTAGAGGGGTTGGTGGACGACATTCTCTTTGAACTGTTGGACAAATGTTTGGGAGTTCTTATATACGATGATGATAGGGGTATCCATATTAATCTGGATCCTATGAAAGGGCGAGTCAGCGTGATCATTGGCAGCCTCAGAGGGAGGCCAGGCTGGACAGCACGCAGCACTTCCGAGCTCATTGATGAGTTATCTGATAAGATAACATAATGAATGATCTGCGATCAACCGCTCTTATCATTCAATTCGGTTACTTGGACCCGTATACGCATTAAAGTATAAGCAGCCTTCCAGGAGCCTAAGGTTTAGATCTGTCAAGTATGAATACAAAATCCTGTATACAAGTTTGAAGGTACAAGAGGTACAATGTCGTACATTAAGCCTCAAGCGTTGCGATTAAGCTCTAACATCACTTCTTCCAATACTTCTACAGCTCGCTCTACGTCTTCCCATGTGTTATATAACGCAGCAGGAGCCAGTCGGATGACATCTGGCTTTCTGGAATCACCGATGACGCCACGAGCAGCCAGTTCTGCCATAACTGCGGGCATCGTCCGACCATTCGCAGGAAGGAATACTAATGAAAGCTGGGATCCGCGTGACGACGGATCAGTTGGTGTAATGATCGTAAAGCCAATAGAGCTGTCAGGATCATCATCACGCTCCATTCGTGCAGCTGCCGTAGCAGGCGGGACCCACCATCGGCTCTTGTGCAATAAGGATTCAAGATGACCCGTAAGTTTCAGCGACCTCTCTCGGAGAGGATGCATGCCGCCGGCTGCGTGGAATACTTCAAGAGAACCAAGTAGGGAAACGGTGGCTAGAACCGATGGATTTGATTGCTGGAATCCTTGCGCACCCGGAATAGCCTTGAACTTCGGAGGCATGGTGAAGCGAGTAGTCGGATCATGGCCCCACCAACCTGCATTTCTATTCAACTATTGTCAAAGAGAGAACAAAAGAGCAACGGGATAGTCGTACCGTACTGGTTCTGCCGCCCATTTCTCGTGTACGAATAGTCCGCCAATACCCCCCGGACCTGAGTTTAGGTACTTGTATGTGCACCAGACCGCAAAGTCGACGCCCCATTCGTGGAGGGACAATGGTACATTGCCTGCGGCATGGGCGAGATCCCATCCACATATGCATCCCTGTATGGTTCAATGAGCGGATGAGTTCCGTGCAGCGGGCGCGGAGGAAAGTACCTGTGCTTGCGCGGCTCGTGTGATGGATTCCATTGGGAACCATTGGCCTGTGTAATACTGGACGCCACTAAAGATCACAAGTGCAATACTCTTTCCGTGCTCTGCAATCGTTGTGAGGATGTCCTCTTCATGAAGCGTGAACTCGCCGGAACGCGGAGACAGCTCGATGACTGCATCCGGCGAAAATCCATGTGCTTGTACTTGTGATGCAAATGCATACTGTATGATATTATGGCCATGAGACGTGTGTAGCCTGCAATGATGATTATCCCTTACCTGATCAGACGGAAACGCCCTTGCTTCGCACAGAATCTTGTATCGCTCTGATGTCGGCTTATAGAAAGTATTCATCATGAGATGTAAGTTCGCAGTCAAGCTACCCATGCAAGCCACTTCTTCCTCTTTCGCTCCTAAAGCACAGATCAGGCATCCACATGATGATGCACACAATGCAATGGAAAGACAAACCAACTAACTCCGCGAATAAGGGATGAATGGGATCAGCGATGTTCATCCATGGGCGATCATAAGGATGATCAAAATGTCCCTCCACGGCTCTGGCCGTAGGTCAGTGATTACAAACAGAGACTGTTCATTGAGATATCTCACCTCGTACCCCATACCGCGAGCTCTTCCTCCACTAGTTGCTTGGACCGCTTGGGTAATAAGCCTAATGAATTTCCGCACAAATAGGTGCACGGCGAATCCTCTACAATTCGAAGGTCAGTGACCATCAAATAGCTACGAATTAGTACGCACGGTCATTTTCCGGGACCTTCGACGCTTTCATGGAGCGGTACGTTGGCAATATGAACTGGTCGCGGAATCCAGACAATGCGTCATCTTGTTGTTGGCTACCGGGCTCAGAAGCTGCCATCTCTGACTGTTTCGCATCGATAATGGGCTAACGGGGCAGCATACAGGGACACATACGAGCTAGGGCGCAAGAAGGGGAAACTGAAGAAAGGTGAGATACCGGACTGAGGCCATCCATGATCGGTATCTCACTTTACAGAAAGGTTACAATGTCACCGAGTTTCAAACCTAGAAGATAGGCTTAGTGATATTAGCGAGATGTCCTAGTTCATTCGGGCGTAGTTCGGTCATAAACGCCGCAAAAATTGAAATCAACTCACTAGTAGGCCTTCACATACAAATACTAGGTAAAGTAGCTTGGAAAAGATACAAAATCCTTTGCGAATGTGTTTTGGTCAGCTCGCGACCATGACGGCGACGGCGCTCGATCAACGCTGCAGATCAATTTGATCGGTGTGCCTGAGCGGGAATAACTAACTCTCTTCAGAACTTCCACACCCGGCTAAACTCGCTCTTTCATGTCCTGTGGTTTCCACAGCCATGCTTCAAAATATGGACTACACATTCAAGTCTACTCTAGACCAAACTCAGCAGAGTCTTGTGGACTCGATACTCAAAGACCTTAAAATATGCAGTCGAAGGCTACAAACGGCGTTTCACTCCCAGCAGGTCGATTTACAGGTTTTGGAGCGATTGTACTACAAGGGCAACAACCAACACCGCTCAGCTCTATTTTGGAGACGGATAGAGGAAATCAGAAGATATACCCCCCGACTCACGGATCAACGAACTCAAACTGTTGTGGATGAACTTAGACTGTCGTTCTGGGGCCCTGTGAATGAACGCACGTAAGTACTCAAAACACTGTGTATCGAACAATTAGTAATGCATAATCTAGGTCTAAGTCTCTCAAAGGCGCATGGACACATGTCCCGAATCCCTCGTCCGTGCAATCCGTTCTGGATCGACTTGTGCTGGTTCACAGACTAATCACCAAAGTGAGTTACATTGAATCCTTGTCCTGTGAGCACATTTCTAAGGCCATGCCGTACAGATGCATGGAAGCCTTAGCAGAACCTACCGGTATGTCCAAAATCAGTATCCAACTCCCTTGGCATCTCACACTCAATCCGCAGCCACCTGAACTTGAACTTCCAAACAGGAGCGTTCTTGCAATTGATACTCACACTGAGTGCGATCACGGCGCGCCTCGCCACTCTCTCGGATGAATTGCTTTCCTCAATAGAAGTAACGTGGAACGCCTGTCACCGACTTTTATGTCTACTGGATGTATGTGAACATTGTTTAAATCCGATGAACATCCAAGCGTATGGAATGGCTGACTTGTATTCATTCTCTAGCCTGAAAAGGCCAAAAAGCTACGTCCATTGGCCAAGGATCGTCATAGGGATAATTCCGCCGTGTCTTCCAGACGCGTTCAGGAATCCGCTCGGTCAGGTGCCAGCGTATCTCTAGTTGCGGATGTATTTGAAGACGATGTTGGAAGCTCTATCACTCGTACTTCTTTACATACACAAGTTGCCAAGGAGCAGTCTCCACCAAGACCGATTTCTTCGGAGGGGCCGATCCATAACGACGACGAAGTGGTGGAAATTGAAACATCTATTGATCTGAGTCTGGAACATCGCAAGCAAAATATATTACAGGTTAACGCAGCTGGTACGAATTATTTTTGTATCTGTTTGTGGATCACATTGTCTAACATTTACCACTGTGTAGGCGTTGTGCGCAAGACCATTAATCGTGATTCCACGCAATACTCTGAGTCAATATCCACGGGTCCCAGCAAGCACAAACGGTCTCAATTGTCACAAACGGATTCCAAGAAACCTGATAAGAAAAGCAAGAAGAAACGCGACGAAATAGACGACATCTTTGGCTTTTGACCCACTTCCCACTCGCTCGGGTCCGAGCTTCTCCCGCGCTTCATAGGTCCCTCCGGGGTGTTGGGGTAGTTTCAATTATTCCATGGTGGCAGTCCAACGTCGCTCTTTATTCATTCGTGGTTCACAAGTGACCTTGAACGTGCAGGAGGCATTTAGTCGTGGAAGGCTCATGTGTCACTTCCTATAGTCAGCCTCCGCACCATGTAGCGGGCAATTCAGCGAAGTAATTGACCGTGAGATGGATATTCGTCTTCCGGTGTCGTCTACATCATGCACCCGGAGTCTGGGAGCCGACGCCTTGGCACACGGAAAAGTACGATCGGGCGTCGCTGTTGCTGACTTAGGCTCGGCTACGCTGGAGATCATTTTGTTCCCATATGCCGCAATGGTATCATTGCTAAATGCGCGGGCTGCGGCGCCTTTGGATGGCTTTCTGGAGGATAGGTGGGCAGTTAGAGTTTTCGGAGAAAGAGCGGTGGACAGTTGATACTTCCCATGCATGGTGTGCGACATGGCGAAGAGTGCAATGATTCGTTTCACATCAGGTGCAACCGTGTTTCTATGGATCGTCTGTGAAGAACTCGACCTGCGCGCTCAATTATGAAGTAGCTAAACCTCAAGGTCCTTCGAAAATATCAAAATTCTTATTCAACTAGAAGTTATTATCGCAGAGCCATTCTATGGACGCTGTCTACTTCTGTAAGGACAGGTGGGTTCTGGAATGGCAAGCGAAAGGAAAGCAAGGGAAAGCGAGGGAAAGCAAAGAAGGAAATGAGAGGATATATCAAAAACGCTGATACAGGTGATTGTAGATATTTTGTAGAGCTTGCCTACGAACAGTACACTGACTTCCGTGTCCTAACCATCAATGTGCTCCTTCCCGTCTGTCTTGTCATACTCGACATAGGAAGTTCCATCGCTGCCGCCATGCGCTTCCACATCCTTGCTGATGTTAATAGCAATAGGGCGCATGGGAATGGAACCGATTGTTCCAAATTCTGATTCAGGGGGATGTCGTGGGCCCGAGCTAGTGCTCTTCTTTGTTGCTTCTGTAGAGCGTAAAGCGATCCGAAGCGTAATTGCGGTGAACGTGATCCCCTGCAAGCTATGATCAGCACACCGTACGTGCTTTTCTGAGGACCAAACACTCACCACGAGCGGGGTCACAGGTTCAAGCATCAGATACTGACAGTTGTAGTTGGCAGCATACAGTGCAAGGAGCACAAGTTCCACGAAAAATAGCAGGGACGCTGACTCCACGAGGATCCACAGAATGGGACGCAAAGAACTTCGGCCTGTCCGATAAGCCGCCGTACGCTTCTCAGCTTGCCAGATACGATAGCCCATGAGACCTGTGGTCATAGCCGACTGCACGACTGCGACTGAATAGAAGGTCCTAACCCAATGCGTCAACTTAGGGTCGAAGACGGACTGGGACGGATCGAAGGTCGAGTACAGTCCGCACACCATGTAGCCGGAGACTAGACAAGCAGGTTGGTAAGTTGTATTACCTAGAATTTACCAGGACGCACCAATGCTAACGAGGAGCAACACTGTGGGCAGGGCGATGATCTTATAGTTGCGATCCCACACAATCCAGCACCGGTAAATCTGGAGATCCTTGTCAGAGTACTTGATTTAATGGCAACGGACTATGACATACCGAAACGGCATCTCCAAGCATCTCCGTTGTAGCATAGATGGTGTCCTTGAAGATATGGTCCCACAGAGCCAAGTTGCTCAAATATGCTGCCGCTCCACCAGGAGCCAAAGCGAAGTCCACATATCCTCGGACAAGCCTGTAGCAATTCATGGCTTTGACAACAGTACGTCAGAAATATCGGAAAGAAAATAACCTTCACGACTAACCGAGATGCATCGTGGCCAGCACAAACATTACAACACCGATAAAGAACATCGTCTATCGGTACAGGATGAGCAAAACAAACAAATAGATGATGCATACGAACCTGGCTGTGACTGTCATGGCCCTTCCGTATGTAGAAATTCACGTATATGGTGGCCGAGAAAAGACAAAGAAAAAAAACCTGGGAGGCAAGGATTGTCAAATGAATCCGCGAGAACAACATGGAGGTAAATACCGTAGACGAGAGTCTACCGAAAGAAATATTAGATGAACCCCTCCAAGATGTTGAATCCCAGAATAAACTCACCTCAATCCATGTAGCGACAATGTACGTCTTATCCCATGGAAGTTGGGGTAGCATCTTGGAGGGGAAGGCAGTGTGGCGGGGTAGAATCTCGGGTGAGCCCCAGTATTTGAATCAAAATTCATGCCGATCGAGAGTGCAATAACCGAGCTAGTTACCGACTCCCTAGATATTCTGATCTGCAACAGAATTGTAATGAGCGTTAGCCCCAGAGCTTCTTTACTTACCAACCTTCTCGGGAAAAGGCGAGTAGGTTTTTCATTGACACCGCATTTCTTCACTTCGTCGAGTGACCTCAGGCTATTGGTTAGTGCTCATATGTAGATGCCAAGTAGTTCAAGTTCCTCAAGTGCTATGGTTCGTTGGACTGGAAAGAACAATACCCTGGTAGTGGTAGGCTCACAAACAGTTAAAGATTCCTATTAGTTTCCATGTAGAAACACGAGGACACTAAACGGACTCTGAACAAGGTGAGATTCTTCTCGGGGCGCCAGGCACTACAGGTGTTCGTTGCGGCGTCCATAACGTTTGACAGTGTGAGTCTCTTGGTAGACTCGGAGTCTCTAAATGCATGCCCGACTTGCTCTGTTTCATGAACAAACCTATGATAGACTTGCCAGCAACGTCGCTGAAGCCGAGTGCTTTGAACTTGGAGTCTGCTGGCAAGACGGGAGGTTCGAAGGTAAGTATATCCCTTTGCTCACCGATTTGGATGATCGCGATCACTTAGTATTCGCGATCATCCATATATGATGGACTTGCGTGCCAATTTGGTACTTCGTTTGTTCGTTTGCTGGATCAGTGGCAGGTTCGCGACGAGCACATGTACACAGGTCTTGGAAGTTGGAGTTCATATCGCGCTATGGCTGTTGCTTTCCAGTGGCAGTAAGCCCGAAGGATATCAATATTGGTGCCGGTGGGAATGATCCTTTGACACCCGGCTCACCTGCCCCCTATGAGATAACTTTACCATCGCTTATGGGTCTTCTGGTCAGGCTATCTCTCACAGTTTGAGGCTAATACTGCCTGTTGCAGTGCGGGGTAGATGTCTTGGGTCGCAAGATCTGTAAAGTCGAAAGCCACTCTGTGGCCTCGTATATTACTATTTACGCATATACTAACAGAGACTATAGGATATGCTACATCGTGAGGAATTATGCACTGTAATATGCTGATGAATGAAGGTTGGCTATGCTGATATGTACTAGGCCGCGAAAATTACTAAAGTTCCTCGAACGAAATCAAAAAGGTCAGTGGGGGTAGAACGAAATATGGGAGAGCAAGGAGTGTCAAATTTACAAAGTGATCTCATCCCTCAATTGCATGACAGAATGCACACGATCATGGCGTGGGATCAATCTGACCCTGAAAGGGACCGGTGTACGCCCAGAGGTGCCTTCGTATTCCTCAAGGGAAATGGGTTCATTCGGCAACTCGTGGACTGTGAACGACCAGAGAAGGCGAGAAACAGCGAGCCAGAGCACACATTCAGCAACGGCTATTCCCGGGCAAATGCGCCGACTGCAATCATAGGTTCAGCAGGTGAGGAAAGAACGGCAATAACTTCCCACATACCCAGCTCCGAATGCCCAGTGGTCTCTATCCATCACGTTACTCAATTTCGCAGAGTCGGCACAGCTCAGTCGGTCATTGAGGTATCTATCGGGATTGAAGGTATGCCTAGAAACCGAACGTGAGAATCCAAGAGACAGTATGTGAAAATACAAACACTAACGGATCAGCGTAACGCTCCTCGTTGTGATGTAAAGTGTAACAATTCAAGACAACAGCGGTGTCCTTGGGTAGGAAGAGTCCCTTGTATACATAGTCTTCAGTCGAGTAGTGCGGCGTGGCCATCCAGAATGGTGCGTGAACGCGTTGCACCTAGTTTAAGAAGTCAGCCTTGACGCTGGCGGATACAAGAACATAGACGTGCTTCTTTAATGATCGCGCGAATATAAGGAAGACGACACTCGTCCTCGGCTGAAGGCAACTGGTCCGTTCCGACGACATTATCCAATTCTTCATATGCACGACGAGCCACATCAGGATGAGAGGGAAGAAGTGCGAGGAACCATTGAACAATTCCCGCGGTCTGTTGTTAAGCAGTCATGCCATCGTATCGAACACGTATATGGGCGTTTACTCACGGAATGAACCCCACCGAGGGTGAAAACCGCGGTAAGCATGCACATATCTTCCCAGTCTAATCCCTCTTGCTCCCGAATCTCAAAGAGTGTCTTGGCGAGGCAATCTGGAACGTCTTCGCCAGCGTCCATCCGAGCCTTGACCTTGAGAAGCAGAGCCCCGTAGACTTCGACCATCTCATCGTGCAGCTTGCGACCTCGAACTTGTTTGGCAGTGGGAATCCATTGCAACGGAGTGATGAAGTCAGCCATATTTGCGACAGGTCCTGCAGGGCAGTGCATCAACATTTATAGAATATCAAATGGTCGAGTGAAGGCACACCTGTGAGATCATTGAACTCTAAGGCGATGCTTAGAGTTCTCTGAATTAATGGGTCGTTGAAGGAATCCGTACGAGTACCCAGAGATATGGCGAGCATCACACTGAAAGATAATGAGCATATGTTCAAGAAGCAAACTGCGGAAGCCTCACTTGAGAGTGTAACGAACCGAGACGTACTGAGGGTTCACAGGAACCGCACCGTGGCAACTCTCTTGGTAGAATGAGCGAATGAGAATGTGAGACTCGTAGTCAACCATGTTGACATAACCTTCGACAGCACGCGCTGTCATAAACTGCGTAGCAATTCTGCGATGCTGTCTCCTACGATGAAAGTCAGATAGTGATTGGGTGAGAGAGCCAGAGGTACGCACCACTTATCATTATACTGAGAGGCAGTGATAGCCCGCCCGCGAAGGATAGCCTGGTTTTTGATGAAGTAGTCCTTGCGACTGGAGAAAATAGCGCCATTGTTGACGAAGATGTCACGAGCAATATGAGGGTCGGAGATCACAACGTAGAGTTGGTTTCCAATCCAAACAGAGTAAATAGGCCCGAACTGCTTCGCCCAGCCATCGAGCGAGAGTTCGGGGAACTTTGGAAGATAAGGAAAACGAATGAGGGGACCAGGCGGAATGGGGTTGCCATCCTTGTCGACGAGGTTCTTGCGGAAGAGGTAAGGTAGAAGCGCATACAATACGGCAGCGACGACGAGGCTCAGGGTAACCTTAGCTGACAGTACCTATAGATAAAGCGGACGATGAGTATGAGGTAGGCAGTCAGCACGAAGAGCATGACATACAGGAAAGATGACGTGTGGGCTGGCGATGATGTCGGCCGACATGACCACAAGACTTAGACGTACTGTAGTACAGAAGCTATGTGAAGAAGGATGCCACGAAGCTCGAAGCGTGAGGAACAATAGGCGAAGGCCTTCATCCTTTTATATGTGTTCACCTGGAACGCAGCGTGCCTTGACAGCTTCGAAAGGAGGGTCAACCGGTAAACCATTTCCCTTCTTGACCGTGACGGAGGAACTTACCATAACCGAGAATGAGTCGAACTGCGCGAGCGAAACACGGAATCAGATCTACCAACGAGATTCACTTCACAATCGCAAACAACGGAAATATCAACTTTGCCAATTGCGAAACCGATCGGCTGGAGACATTCCAAAGAGGCATGCATCACTCGCTTGCAGAATAGCGGAGGAAAAACAAACACTCTGAAACGTTAAAGAAATGGTCCAAGGTCCTAAACAAATTTACTGCAGGTGAGAATTGGCAACGCGAGAGTTGAGAGAGACCATTGACAGCAGTCACAGAATGCCGACGTGCACTCACTAAGGAAAGGTACCGAGATCGAATCTGATTCATCTAGGCGAAAAACCCTATTCACTACCGGCAGGGTCCGACCTTACGCAGCTTGAGCAGTGAGAACAATTGAGAAGCGACTAGGTTGACAGAAAAAGACATGTCACCCTCATAAGCTTTGGGCGTCTTGAATCCAGTCTTCCCAGAGCGCATGTAAGCTAGGTAACAATAGCTGTCGGACCGGCCAGTTCTAAACTCTGTCGAGCCATGTTTTGCCGATAAAAAGGACAAACTCACTGAACACGACACCATCCCGCACCCTTACGAGACTGCAATATACGGTGACGCCGTATGCTTGAGCTTCAGAAATTGTGCACGGAACCTGAGCGATATGAGCTCAAAAGACTGCAGACATGCCGCACGACAACTCCCGATGGCTGTTGGAACAAATCGACGAATCTTGGCTCGCGTATTTTCCGGGTCATTGTGCGAATACGCGTCCTTTACGGGATATCGACCCGCATAAGACTCGGAGCCACAAGATTTTGAACAGAATCGCTTGAGGTTGGCAATTCGGCGGCCTGCAGACTTCCCAGGGAATGTCAGAATGCGTATATTGCAGCGCAATATCACTGTGCACGCGTGAAATTCATATCTCGTGAAAGTGAAAGCTCCAAGAGGAGATAATCTGCGCACAAGAACAATAGGCAACAATAAGGAGAAATCAAGGATAAATCAGCAGCACTGGAGCATCGATAAATCTAAAACGAATTGCGAAATTGCGAAGGTCAAATGTCATGAGGTTACAAGAACATAATCACGGATCGTTCAACTTAGGGTTTGCCGGTCTGGTTGAACGATATTGTGAAAAAAATCATGGAAGGTTTGGAGGCTCATTAGTGTAGCGGATATGAAAACATACAACAAAAGAGGTCTCTGCAACTTTACGTTCCCTAGATTTCCAAACCGCAACCTGGATACACAGGGAAAAAGGTTCACAGACGACGGTGAGACATTCGCGGGGACTATACACAACATCGATTGGGAGTTCGAGCGAAACGTTCTGTGACGCAAAGCTTCTGGACTCACCAAAATGTATCCATAATCACACCACATGAGAAATGCGTGCTGTCAAAGAAACGAAAACGTGAAACATAGTAAGTACGACACAAGAGTATCGTGTCCACGATCATAGAGACCGAGTGAACGCTTGACAATGACAGATCAAGGCGGCATCGAAATCGGGCGTCTAATACAACCGTAACCTGACCACTACGTTCATTACTGAGTGCATTGCTTGGGTCAGCCAAGACCGTGTCGGGAGATTTCTGCTTCACATACGAGCTTGATAGACTCTAGTTGACAACGTTTACCAGCTGCAATGGCGGCTCAAGGTGGTCAGGATGCAAAGTTCTTCCAGCGAGGCAAGATCCAGGTACGTAGTTACGTCCGATCATATCCAAAGCATATGAAGTAATGCAGGAGGGAATGACCTAGGAATTCCGCGCCGAGTTGCAGGCCGCGGAAGCCAAGGACAAGAAGTTTACGAAACGGAAGACCGTCCTGAAGAAGATTGTTGCAAATATTACGATGGGCAACGACAGTCCGTGCGCTTTCCTCGTTAGCTAGCATGCAAGAGACCGAATGATAAAATATACGCTGCTTTACAGTGTCACCCCTGTTCACTGATGTCGTGCAATGCTTAGGTATACCGTTACTTGAAATCAAGAAGAGTGAGTGTGCAGTGCAAGTTATATTCCGTTGTACCTCTGATGGAGAGTGCAGTGGTCTACTTATTCTTGGTTTATTATGGTCGGTCCAAAGCGGAGCAGATACATTTAGTTATCCCCAGTTTTCTACAAGTAAGTGGTTTAGGGTTGAAGGACTCAAGTGTTCTCATCGGAGTGTCCTAGGATTGTAATGATAGGAATCCGTTAATCCGAGCTCTGGCTATCCGTACCATGTCCTATATTCCAATACCGGTTGTTACAGAGGCACTTACGGAACAGTTGCGGCACTGTTTGAAGGACCGCGACCCATATGTTCGCAAGACCGCCGCTATCTGTGTCGCCAAATTGTACACAGCGGATCCTCGCAAGGCGGAGAAAGGTGGATTCGTGGAGATGCTTCGGGATCTTCTTCTTGACAGCAATGCTACTGTTGTGTCGAATGCTGTCGCTGCTCTTTCGGAGATTGGAGACCGACAGGATGGCGTCATTTTTAAATTGAACCTCACAGTTGCCAACAAGCTCCTGGCGGCTCTCGGCGAAAGCTCAGAGTGAGTGGTCATCATTTGCCATCATGTTATTCTTTGTTTAACGTACTCCCCCTAAGATGGGGTCAAATATACATTCTAGATTCGCTCCTGCGATATGTACCCGAACGCCATACTGATGCGGAACTCATGGCGGAGCGTATTATCATTCACCTACAACATGCTAACTCAGCGGTTGTTCTTACCACGATCAAAATTCTACTGTATCTCATGAACTATATGGAGAATCGGAAGCTAATGGACTACATATGCAAGAAAATGGGTCCTCCGTTGGGTAATGAAAGTCATTTGTTTAATGCAGGCTCTCGCTGACCACTTCCCCGTACAACATAGTGACTCTTCTATCTTCGGGTCCAGAGGTACAATATGTCGCTCTTCGCAACATTCTCCTAATCATCCAAAGACGACCGTCTGTCCTCAAGAACGACGTTAAAGTATTCTTCTGCAAATACAACGATCCAATTTACGTCAAGCTTGCCAAGTTAGAAATCATGTACAGGTTAGCTCGCGAAGAGAACGCGAGGGAAGTCCTCGCGGAATTGCAGGAGTACGTGAATAAATAACGATGTCTCATTCCTTCCTCATTGAATCCGCGCGCAGGTACGCTTCAGAGGTCGACATCGATTTCGTACGCAAGGCTGTACGCTCTATTGGTCGATTGGCTATAAAGGTTCAACCGGCTGCTGACGCCTGCATTCAGGCCTTGCTGGATCTTATCGAAACCAAAGTCACTTATGTCGTCCAGGAGGCCGTGATCGTAATCAAGGATGTGTTTAGACGGTACCCTGGTAAATACGAAGGTATCATACCTACTCTCTGCGAGAACCTCGACGCGCTGGACGAACCTGAGTCGAAGGCTGCCATGATTTGGATCGTTGGCCAGTTCGCGAACAGGATCGACAACGCGGACGAGTTGATGGATGACCTCACGTACACCTTCATGGAGGAACCGGTTGAGGTGAGTCATCAGAAGGACTTGTATCACTGAGATCGAGCCTCACGTCACGCTAAACCTGGATTCCAGGTGCAACTGGCTCTCTTGACGGCCGCCGTGAAACTATTCATTTACAAGGCCCAGTCAGACACCAGCAAAGCGCTTGTACACAAGGTACTGAAGTGGGCTACGGAGGAAGTTGACAATCCAGATCTCCGAGATCGTGGTTTCATGTACTGGAGATTACTCGCCATCAACCCCACCGTTGCTGGAGAAATTGTCCTTGCTGAGAAGCCTGCAATCACCACTGATTCTGATAGGATGGACCGTGGTGCCCTTGACCAGTTGTTGCTACACACAGGAACACTTGGCAGTATCTACCACAAGAACCCGGAGGTGCGTCGGAGCTTCCATGCTTTTATGCTATCCTCTCACAGTCATATTCGCCAGACTTTCATTCGTAACGCGGCTGGAAAAGCTTTGACAGATAGCCCCGCATTGAATCCGCTGTCTCGCCAAGTCCTAGTACCTCTGTCGCGACCAAACATTCCTCCCGCGATACATGTACCAGGGCCAGGTCCGCCGCCTCCAAGAGAAGCCTCTGTATCTCCTGTCCCACCCACTGCCAAACCAGCGCCCCCCGCTCCACCTCAGACTGGAGATCTGATTGGTGCCAGCTCTTCGGCCGACACTTTGGATGGCGAGGGTGAGAACGAGCACGAAAGTGGGGAGCATGGGGACGAGGATTCCCTTGCATCGCCGTCAGGCTCTGCAGATCCGTATGCGAACCTGGACAACGCTTTTGGCAGTTATCTGGCAGATGAGCCAAAACCACAAGCCGATGACCATCTCACAAGATTATTCTGACCTTCTGTTTATGTCTTCATGTGTATCTATAATTACATCGTTTACCCTCTGGAATGTATAATTGATATACTCATCACCTATCGTACACCCCTTCTGCTGTCATGAAGTAAAGGCGGCCTTGATATTGTTGACTATGCCGTTAGCTTTCGGTCGTAGTGAGTTGTAATGCTGTAAGGCAAGTGTGCCACAATCAGACTGTTGTCAACCAGAAGTAGCCTGAGTGCTTCTTACCTCACCCAAACCGTACATCCTTCGATGATAGCTGATACGAACTGCCTTTCTTTCAGCCGCGTTCCCTTCAGGAAACCCGATTGACGGCTCATGCTTCACGATAGAAGGTGTGCCTCTTTGAATCACATGTATAGGAACATTGTATGCACGACTGAGTGCTAGTATCTCTGGCTCTCCTCCCCATGCGCCTGTATCCCTCACCGTCCTGCAGTATTGCTCGAATTCAGCTAGGCCCAGAATACCCGTGTCTGCTGTAGCAGCTACCGTATCCTCACCACCAACAGAAGGTAGGAATGGGATGAAATCGTCTGGATGGGAGTGGATATAATCTGCAGCCGCCCGTCGGACGTCGAGATAACTAACACCAGGTAATATGCCTAGGATGTTCAGCTGATCCGCGACAGCAGAAAAGAGGCAGTGCCCATCAGGTGTAATCTGTCCTCGGGAGGTATAGGTGTTTTGCATACAGTAGAAGAGAAATCGGTAGTCGTACCTCAAACATTCGTACACCAAGCTCTTCACAGATATGCTTGATTGTCTTCTCCTCTTCGTCCGCTTCTCTCTGAAGCCGAGCATCCGCATCTGCATCAGTGGGAGCGAATTTTTCCGCCAAAGCTGCTGCTTTCCTTGCCTAACATGAGGACGATGAGCAAGCACCAGAAAAGTCAGGATAATGCGGAATTACAAACCTGTCTCGCTTTGTGCCGAGCTTTACTATCCTGTTTGGGGGCATTGCTCGCGTCAGTCGCTATTTGACTGATATTCATGTCATTGAGCACAGTTGCCGACTGCGTCTGGACTGTCTGGTTCTTTGAATCCAGATGTGCGAACAGTTCGTCCATAAGTTCCTCATCCTCGACAGCCGGTGGTTCTGGTTCTGCCGGCTGAGAGGGGGTTAATGCTTTCTTTAATTTGTTTCTCTTGGATCCCATGATTTCAACGATTCAAGAAAGGCGTAAGCTGCTTGGACATAAAAGTGTGCGGAGAAAGACGAACTGAGAAAGCGCCGCATACACTTTCTCCCGTGACGTCGTAGATCGATCAGACAGGTTGACAAAAGTGGTAAGTGTAGTATTCAAATTGCTCGCCGACTCGGGACCGACTCAACCACCCGAAATTTGCAACCTTTCTCTTTTTGTGTCGAAACGTTTGACCGCAAAGAACTCTCACGGAGAATCAAGAACAATTCTACCATTCGAGGTCCTCACGTCAATGTCAGGCACGTTCAATGCAGCCGAGTAATTTGTAATATCTACCAATTTCAGAAACACACGAAAGGGCGACGGCCACAGAATTTCCCAAGCACAGCACCTCATAAGAAGTTGAAACATTAGGGGGAAGGAAGCTTGCGACGGACATGACAACGGACATTCTCAAGCGAGTGTAACGTGGAAAGCGGATATTTGACTAGATATGGTTCAGAGACTAACAGATCTTGCCAGGCATGGTTTCCAAACGCTTTCCGCAACCTGTTACTGCGCAAAAGTTGTATTTCACCATTCCGAACACGAGTCATAACTTGACCTCTGCACGTGTACGTAGTGCGGTCGCCATTGGCAATAGGTGAAATGAGGGTTGCGGCGTGACGAGAACTCGATTCCGACCATCCCGTACAGTGCATTCGGATCTTCATGTCCAAGCACGATATTCCGCGCAAGGGATAATCAATGTCCATAAAGGACAGTGTCAAACATTTGTATGTGTTTGTGAACGCCGACTTGAACTGCGGTCCTCCAAAGCGGCAACCGACGGTTCGCTATGTAGGGATGACAGCAATCATATGCTGGCGGCAGCTCGAAACGCCAACGCGGTCGAACCAGGCAGGATGTTAACGTATGACATATTAGCCTTCTTGGACTTGGAGACGGAGAGGTACGCCTTGGAGGCCGCCGCGAACGCCCAGCGTTGCTTTGTACCTCGCAAGCAGGCCGTCGCGAGAGCTGTCCATGAAGCGAATGCACGGCTAGGATGTCATTGCAGTTATTACACAACCTGTACTCAACACGTTAAAGAAAACATGACGTGAAGCGCAAACACGACGACATTACAAACGAAAGCAAATCGTGCATATACTCCCTTCCTCTCCCAATCCCGAAGATACTCGTTGTTCTGGGGCACGCCAGAGCACCGACAAAGGACATGTGTGGTGTGAGGCCTCGGAAGGCGATGGCGGCGTAAGTTCAATCAACTCGAACTACCGTCGATGCGATGGGCGGGTCGTTCACGGTGACTGCAGTCACAACCTGGGCCGGCCGTTTCGATCGAGGATATGACTTCGAGTTCGAAGGGCCTGAAGGTCTTGGCGTACGGAGAGACGCTAGATCCATCATATCGGACTCCAGGATTTTGAGGAAGAAGTCCGAAGAGGTCAGACCAGACGGGAAAATCTCATTCAACCGCACCGAATGCTGAACTTCCTCTCTTCCCTTCCCCTTCACATCGAACGACTTCGAATTCAGGTCAACTTGAGCTCGCTTCCTGGCTTGACTGCCTCTAAACCACAATGAACGACCATTCCCAAGACTCTTCTCCAATAGCTGTCTCTTTTCACGAATTCGATAGAGCACATCGGTTACCTCCAACTGCTCTGTCATCAAGAGGTAAGCAGCATTGGCTTGGACTTCTCGGACTAAAAGGTCTTGACAAGTGAGGAAACGATCGAGCAGGCCACTGTTGCCATGTATTAGTGATCTGGCTGAGTGTCTGTACTTGCTTTTGCGAGACTTTGGAATGAGAGATTTGGAAGCCGGAGGTTTGACAGTCCTCGAGGTGGGAATCAATTTCTTCAAACCCTTTTGTTTGCGAGAAGGAAGTGCAATGTCCGACGTGCTCTTTGAACGTCTCAGAGGAGGTTCACATTGCTTATGTTTAAGGGGGCCTTGGTCTAGTAGATCCATCATGCCCGACACTCCAAGGCCATCTAATCTGAGCACCTGCCTAGATAGCTTTGAGGGGAGGCTCTGCGAGCGTCTTCCTTTCCGTTTTCTCAAATGTTGAAGGTGTTCTTCAGCGGTAGGCAGGTGGGGAGACGGATCAACGTCCACGGTTTCGTCAAATAGGAATACTTTCGTCATGAGATCGTCTTCTTTATTGGAAACGGACTCAGTGTCCTCGAAGTTGATACTCTGAAGGATACTGGCAATCGTTATATTCAGCCAGGCCGAAGAAATGAGAGATCACGCACCATAGACCATCCGGGTGCCATACCTTCTGAAAGTATGTCCGTGATGGTATCGAGAACTTCGTCAGTACGTACTTTCTTTCCCACGCCATTAGTCGTCAGTGACGATCCTAGTGGTACGCCTTTACTGGCCTGTCGCTGTATCCGATAAGCATCATTTCTCATCATTACACCGTTCATCAAGAGTGAAGTATGGGAAGTAAGCATGAATTGACATACCAGCAGACGATTCAAAGACAGAGGCGACTTGGATATCGACTTATACTTGGACTGTAGAGCAGACCGGGCTATTTTTGTGTTCAGTCCATCAGGAATGTTTCCTGCTGTCTCTGCACGACGCTGCAAGTAACCAAACGAGGTTAGTGCATGTCGTGTATTTTAAGAACAGACAACGACTCAGACGTACCACGAGCAAAAGACGACCCAAAGAGGGTGGAGCATCGAACCGCGAGCGATACTGTGGCTTCTCAGATGCAGCCTCCTGTGACTTTGGAGACGCACTTTCCACTTCCTTATGCTCCTGTCCTGAGTCCTGCAACAGTTCTATAACGTCTTCAGTTACCAGAGAAGATGGTTCAAACGGCCCAAATGGATGGCGCAGAGACGAAGGTCCTCGGGTGAACGAAGTCCGTCTCTTTTCCGGCATAGCAATCGATTGTCAGTGGAAGACTTGAACAATCTCACAGCATTCTTCTCGAAAGGACGCCATGAAGAAACCTCATTGTAGGTGCCGACGCTATGTGGTAATTGAGCGGGGCGCTTGGGCGGCGACGCCGAGGCCGCCGTCGCGTCGAGGACGTACCGACAGAGCTAACCGTCAGACGATTGCGTCGTGATACGGTGATAGCTTGCTTTCATTCCTAAAATGTCTTTTGATTCAATCGATTCTTCAAAGCTTCACAAATCGACATTTCAGTAACGCCGTCTCGTAGGCCAGTGTATTTGAAAGAATACCGAGAGACACCCGGTAACTAGTCGACACTCATCCTGGGAGAATAAGAGACAGCACAACACATCATACAGAAGTAACGGACCAGTGGAAACATTCTTTCGGAGCCTGCTGCGTTTTCAGAAACTTCAAGATTTGGCAGGTCTGGGATAGAAACCGAAGTGTTCCGAAAAGGTTCTCGCCCTATACACTAGTAGGTCTGCATAACTGCTGTATCGCATCTAAGGCAATATTGAATTGGTGCGCGGTGGTAAGACTGCACGCGTGCCTATTGTGGTCGTCAGACGACGCCGCCAGTTCGATCGATCATCTAGCATACTATCGATGTCCGCAGGTGCCTCTATGTTGTTCGTTCCTTCTCGGCTGGTATGCGGCGGATTATGCTAGGATGTCATTGAGGGACAAAGAAGCATTCTGGGATATACCAAAAAGTAAGGGTTAAACTTATGGAAATCAAGACTTACCTCAGGTTTTTGCTTATTGTTGAATTGTATGCATCCTAGCTTATTTATCTCGCACTATCAGATGCGGCTTCTAATAGTGAGTCTTAACCTGGAATCGCGACTTCTTAGCGTGGTGCGCATGATACATGCCGCTCCATGATAGAGTTCTGCTTTGACCGGATCTTGCTGTGCGCCAGGGTGAGAGGGATAGAGAAAGTCTTCACTCCGTTAGTAATCTCGTCAACGGTATTCTCTATTTTGGATTCGCAAAGCGGACGTATAACTTCCGGCAGATGGGATTTGTTGCCTTGGTCAAGTTGCGAACCTAAACCTCATGGGAGGAAACAGCCGGACCCCCATGATTGCCAGCCAAAAACGGCAACCGACGTCGTTAATCGGCAACGCAATCGACTCTCCAGTCGACGAACTTCCGAATGTGCCTGATAGCCACTCCTTCGAACGCTTCCGCTCCAAATTCAAGTGTTATAGGATGGACTCCGATAATACATCATCATCACCAAGTCATAACTGGCATTCGAGCTAGGCTTTTCGTATCATCGAACCAAAATCATGAGATCATCCTCGACTCCATGACGGACCCGGACATTGCGTCCGATCCTATATAAGCTTTCAAATAGCTCTCATATCCCCAGGTTCATCTCCGAGTAGCTTCATTGTTACCCTCTCCCTAGACCTGTACGCAGCCCCCCTGCCCTTCACATTATGTCTTCGCTTGGCGGATCGCTCGACCAGAACCCACCTAATGCTGACAGACACATTACTGAGGGTGGTTCTGACTGGCTATGGGCCGTCACCGCCATTATGGGTTTAAGTACGCTCGGGATGGTGTTGTGGCAGACTACCGTGAGTAATATATCATCGTGATTCCACTCAGGTTGGCATATGTTGACATATCAATCACAGCGACCAAGAGGCACTCGATTCTTCCACAACATAGCTCTTATCATTCTCACGACATCAACGATCGCATACTTTGCAATGGCTTCCGACCTTGGGGCTACTCCAGTGCGAGCTGAGTTCTCGCGAGGCACCACCAACACTCGTCAGATCTGGGTAAGTTCTATATCTATTAGGTAGTACGTGCTATCTCTTTGACACATACTACGTAACTCCTGTCGTTCAGTTCGTCCGATACATCCAATGGTTTATTAACTTCCCTCTTCTCCTTATCCTACTCCTCTTCTCCACCGGTCTCTCCGTTTCCGACATCCTTACGACCGCTTTCTTCTCCTGGGTCGTCGTTATTTGCGGTCTGGTGGGTGCTCTTGTCCCAAGCGCCTATAAATGGGGGTTCTTTGTCTTCGGTCTTCTCGCACTGTTCTACATCTGGTATGTCATTTATTGAATTGACCATCGTAGACAACATATAGCTTCGTCCAGGTCTGTACTCCTCGGTCATGGCCCGCGTACGACATTCAACGCTGGCCAAACCACTCGCTCGGGCTACGTCCGTGGCTCAGGCCTCGTCGCCTTCATCACCCTTCTGTACCCTATCGCGTGGGGTTGCAGTGAAGGTGGTAACGTTATCTCACCGACTGGCGAGATGATCTGGTACGGGATACTCGATCTCATCCTCGGACCTCTCTTCCTCTACCACTTCCTCTTTGGTTTGAGGAATGTCGATTACGGGGCGTTCGGATTCCATTCTGGTAAGCATACGGATGGTGCTTATGGCGGACCTGATGGAGGTGTTGGTGCTGGACCTAACATGAAAACGGCTGGTGGTGGTGCTACGGGTGCTCGTGATGTTGTGTAATGACTTACGGAGATTGAAAGAAAATACTACAACGAAGCCCATGATCCTGAAAGACAATCAGAATACTTATGCCATTCTCGTTATGCTGTTCATCGCTTACTCTACAATCTTTGTGTCATATTTCTAGTATCAGTTCTGTATTATAGAACTTAGAAGACACGAATTGTTCTCAACATACAATGATATCATATCGGTGACATGTCTATCAACAACGGCAAGACAAACAGCCCAACAAGTATTGACGCAAGAGTACAAAAGGAAGACACAAGCATATAGACCCGTAATACCCAACTATACGTTACACCTGCGTTCTCTGCGTCGAATATCTACCCATCAAGCGGCCCCCACGCCTCCAAGGCCCTCTTGGCTGCAGACCCGGCGTGGGTCCTTTCCTTGGCTGCGATCTCCAAAAGTTCTCTCGTGCTTTCCTTCAAAATTTCCACGTCTTTCGCCCTATCCTCCGGCACAACGCCTTTCCTTCCAAGATGTCCCACGAGCGCACAAGTGTTTGCACGTACTTCAACTGGAATATCCGCTGTATGAACTGTAACACCTTGTATTAGAACGGGAGGTGCTCGGAGGACGCTGACAATCATGTCGAGGGCACGCCTCGGCCCGACGACAGGTGAGGCTTCGACGCTGTTACCAGCCAGAGGGCCGCCGGCAGAGACGGGCGGAGGACCTCCTCGTGCATTGACTTCCGACGGTAAAGGGTTCATAAGAGCGTCCAGCACGATCTGGCCGCCATTCGCATGCGTACTCAATAACGATAGTGCAACCACACCCTCGTTGATCAAGAGAGGGTATTTTTTACTTCTTCCAATGAGTTGTGCCAGAGCCGCGGCGCAAACCTGATTCGCGACGACGTTTATGGCATCTTTACGTTTTTGAACAAAGGTGGGGTCTTTGGACGATAAGGCATCCGGTGACCAGAGGGATTTGATGGCGTTGACGAGTACACGGGTTCCTTCGCTCTTGACGGCAATTGAATCTGAGCGACGGACGAGGACGAGGGTTTGTTGGAGGGCTGTGGATTCAGGTGGTTGGGAGGATTCGGGAAGGACTAGGGCGAAACTGTTCTCAACTACAAGTGGATGCAGGAGTCAGAAGATGAAAATGTCCTTCAAGAAAGTACTAGTAAGCCTCACCGTTGTTGCTGCATAGATGTTTCGCAACGCCGATTGCTGACACCTGCACGATCTCAACCATATCGGCCTTGTCACTCCAAACACCAGATGAAGCTAGTCGTTGGATGATACCTGCTTTACCCAGGATAGGTCGATTCGCCGGTGACTGAGCGAGATGCTTTAAGAGGCCTAGAACACCATGTTTGACCTTGATGTCGATTTTTGGTGCCAGCAGACTGGCTAGATCTGGCCCTAACGATATTGGAGGGTTCACTATCGCCGCGGCGTGCGTTTCTGAAGACGATATTCATGGTGAGTAGACCCTGGGGTGGTAATGAATCAGAACGATGACTGACCTCGTCGAACCAGATTTCCAAGGCTGATCGTTGCACAGATAATAAGATCGTCCCGGTTCGTCTCACTCAATGTTTTGTGCGTTCGTATCCACTGTACCATCTTCTGTACAAATTCACCACCAGGTTTACCCTCAGCGGCTTCAGAGTCATCCCAAAGCACGTCCGTATTTTTCTCCTCTCCCGCAACTTCGACAATAGCTTTGATCACAGCAGCCTTGCAGATATCAAATGCTTTCTCCTTTGCAGCATGTTCCGGATCAGGTGACGAAGACGTTGACGAAGAGGAAGAAGAGGAAGACCAATATGGAGGATAATCCCCACGATCGACGAACGTGAGCATGTCAGTAAGGCAAGTTACCCCACCATGTTCAGCTGGGACTGCATGTCCACGTGCGAGTGAGAGTCGAACATCTTCAACATCTAGTGCAAGGGATTCTAACAGCCCGCATGCTTCTTCCAGGACTTCAAAATCAGTCTGGACAAGGTTTCGCCGGGATGACGGATTAGCAAACAGTGGCGGCAGGGATGGGTAGGGTGGTATGAACGCTTGGAGGGGTCGGACTAGGTATGGGAGAGCATCTATGGTGAAGAACTGTCGTGGTGGTAGATGTCGAGCTACCAATCAAGTCAGACATTATTTGTCAAGTGAGCTACATTGTTCAGCTTACATTGCTCTTCTTCGTCCTCACGTAGTTCCGAAATGGCACGCAGCGCCCACGAAGCGAGACCCGAGCGAAGACTCCAAGATTCGAGTATTAGAGCGGTTTCGGGGTCGTTCAACTCTTCACTAGGCTGGTGAGTCTCATGTAGCCACGAGCCCGGAGGATAGATGGCGATGGATAGTTTCAAGATAGTTAGAGCAGCCTCAAGAGAAATTAACCTGGTTTGCACCGGTTCTGTTGCGGAATCAGGTCAAATAACAACGTGCCATGATCAACGACACTTACCAAACCCGACGCTCAAATTCAACAATACCCCGACTGCTGTCTTTACTATTCTGAGGTCTGGAACAGAGAGTGGAAGGGGGCTGGTATTGGCAGGGTCTATTGGCTCGGCATATCCTTCAAGAATAGAAACAATAGTCTGGGGGAAGTTGGCCTCGAGCAGAGCACCTCTATTCTCATCTAAACAAGTCGCAATAATAAACATTCAGCCGAAAGTGGAATGAATGAAAGAACAGACTTGCCATGATCCATACATAGGTTTGCACCTACACGAAGTATTTCATAGACGGCATTCTTCCGATCCTCCTCAGGTATCGGTGCACCGTCGGTAGCACCCTTGAGGAGAGACGTGAGGGTCTGCGGTAGTAGCGTCAGCCCGAGGGCAGTCTGCTGTTCAACTAGACCAGTTTGAGCAAAATTCTACGGAAGCATGATGGTAGCGCGAACCATCTTTCACACGAAGGTCGTTAGCGAGGGACTGAGCTGTGAACTCGATCTCTTTCCATTGGCCCGGCTGGTTGAGGGGCAACTGAGCGAGGAGGTCTCCGAGCTTGGAAGCATTCTTGGAAGTGGACGGTCCGCTCATGGCAGCGACGGCCCTTGGTCTATCTATCTCACTAGAACGGAGTGAGACTGGCGGTGGTGGTGGTTAGATGACAAGCGAACGTTGTCCAGAACTCTTGATGCAACCAGGGGGTGATCAGACCAACAAGTCTTATCCGCCCGCCCATCTTATCGCGACTAAAGACGCCTTTCGATCACTCTCATAAACACCGGGGGTCCAGACCCATTTCGAAGTTCAAAATACCAACGACAAAATCGGCCGGATACTGCCATGTAGACATACCAGCTTGCATACATGACAAGCTGCAGGAGTTTTAAAGGCTGTTGCATGCGCTAAATTGCCTCACTTGAAGTTCACCATCAAGAGAATTCTCTAGTGATTCACGAAAGAGGCTGCGCACTGCCTATTTGGGTTTACGGAATAAGTACTATTGTTACGGCGGCCCTGGAACTCAGAACATATATTTATCCTAGATAGCGATACACAATAAGATGACGATATCAGTCGCGATGTACCTGCTCTTCTGTGATAATGCGTTAACATCCATGACACTGGTGTCAAGCTGCTTTTTGCAATGGGAGGAGGAATGACAAACCCAGTGCACAGCTGCAAAAGGAAATAATGATGGGAATGTTCTCCGGCTAGGAAGGCTAAGCTGAACCGGAGCTCGTCTGCGGCAACCCCAACTGGTCCATCATGCATTTCGTAAGTATCCATTCTCGAGGTGTAAGCATGACTGATCCAATACCTCTTAACCAGAACATTCATATGCCACGTTTCAGAGTGAGACATGTCAACTGTTCAGGTTGAAGTCTCTGAAGGGATTGCGACGATCACTTTTAACAACCCCAAGACGCTCAATGCGATCACTACGGATGGTATGATTTTCCGAGTCGATGCTAATCGTTGCATTCTTGGTTTACCTTTGCTCAGATTACAATGCATTTGGCGAAGCGTTGAGAGCCATCGACAAACGTGACGACGTAGTCGCAACTGTATGGCAAGGTTGGTTCGAGTCGTTCATCTGTCCCCCTCAATGCTAACTGCGAAACAGCCACTGGTAGATGGTTCTGTGCGTGAGTGACAAGTCACTCGACAGTCGAGCTGCGCTGAGAACATCATGAAGTGGAACGAATGTCTCCACATCAGGTTCGCTAGTGTCCATGCGTGAAACCTTCCTTCAAAGGGTGGCCAGGTCCAATACGGATGTCACACGAGGAGTAGGTCTTCGTTGACTCAATGCCAAGCCTTACTTTGACGTAGTACGTCCGCAGTTATATACCCACAGCAAGGTGCTTATTGCAGCTCTTAATGGTCCCGTAATGGGTACGTTTTGTTAGGCATTTCCGATTATACGTGCTTATTTCTTAAAATGGGCATTAGGTATCGCTGCTGGTATGTCCATTCCCATAGAGTCTCCGATTTAAGATCATGCTCACCAATGTGTAGCGTTCCTGGGTCAATTTGATTTCATCTATGCATTACCGAACGCATGGCTTTCAGTGCCGTTTACGTTCATCGGTAGGCAATCTCAATACTTTACTCACCTCTACTGCTAAACCCGTACTATCCAGGAATCATTACTGAAGGCGGCTCCAGTGTCAGTTTCGCAAGGAGAAGTACGCGTTTGCTTGCCTCTCTAATGTACAAGAGCTCATGTATCTTGTCCTCAGTGGGTGTAGCTAGAGCGAACGAAGCTCTGATTTTCGGGAAGAAACTCGACTCGAAGACTCTTCTGGAATGTGGCTTTCTGAAGTAAGCTTCTCATTCTGACGTCATAGGTCAAGGATATTCATTGATTGTGACCTTTAAGCAAAATATTCCCGGAGCAGTCTGTGGAATCGTTCCATGCTGCAGTTCGGGCCCACTTACTTTCAGAACTCGAAGGACTGGACTGGACTGCCATCCTACATGTCAAACAACTGCTGAAAATCGCTCAGGCTGCACAGAATGATCCGGACGCCACTAACCTGAGAGAGAGTTATGCCCAGGCTGAGAGGTTGGCAACGAGTGTACCTGCTGAGCGGTTTGGCAAACTTGCTCGGAAGGAAATCAAACACAAGTTGTAGCCGACTGACTTCAGCCTACTGTATTTTTACTATGCATACCAGTTTGCAATCGTAACGAGGTGTAAATGGATGAGTCCCGGATCGCGAAATTTTCATTATTGCAAACGGACGCCGAGAATCGAGATAGACAAAATGGTTTTGCTCGCTTGGATAAGGATTGTCTCTGTAGATGCCTCTACGCGTGGAAAATCGTCGATCCAATTCTTCATATACTTACACGCGTTGGTTCGTCGGTATGTTGAACGACAGACTCAATGTCACACTAGTATGAGTCTAGACGAGTTTTAGCGCGAAATAACAGCTTTGTGGCACGGTGTTAAGAGCATCGTCGGTTATTCTTGGCAACCTTTCCTGAACATTCACCATCATGTCGCTGCCATACGCCTCGAGGTCTGCTATCGCGACTGAACTTTTAAACCCCCACACTTCATACGGATCTATTCCTCCGGGCTCATCGAAATATTTTACCTGCGGATCTCTTGGCAGGTCCAGTTCCTCATTGGTTGTGAGTTTGACTGATGCACCACGATGATGGCGCCTGCATACCTGCATAAAATCGCGCCAAATAGGACAGCCTTGACGAGGCTTCTTATCTCTTTTCTTTCTCTCTTTACGTCGCCTTTTCGTTCTCTGTCCAACCCTCATTGACGAACAGAGAGTACCTACGAGAAGATGGTCGACTATGAGAAAAGTCCTTCAGTCGTCTCATCATCAATCGAAAAGGATGTACGCGTGAAGGACGTTCAAGAGGAGGACTCTCCCTACAACAGGGGAGGACTCTTAGATCCGGTGAAGGAGGAGACCCTTCACCGAGGGCTGTCTGCTCGTCAGATATCTATGATTGCGGTGAGTCCCTCGAGCAAGCCGCTGCATTGTTTGATATTGACACGAAACTTGGTCGCGTGAAGCTCGGTGGTGCAGTTGGAACGGGTCTCATCATTGGTTCAGGGACTGCACTTGTACGAGGTGGCCCTCTGGGTGTTTTGTTGGGCTACACCTTCGTCGGAATGGTTTGCTACATGGTACGTGGTTATTCGGCTCTTGAATTGACATCGATTTTTATGGTCTTATCAAGGTCATGGTTTCCCTTGGTGAAATGGCTGCATACCTTCCGCACAAGAAGGGTTTTGCGGGATATGCAACACGGTTTGTTGACCCCGCCTTCGGTTTTGCTCTGGGCTGGAACTATCTTATGAAGTAAGTCTCGGCCTATGGTACCATATGCAACTTGTTGATAAACTGTCTCAGATACCTTATCGTCACGCCTAACAATATCAATGCTGCGGGTGTCGTCATCCAATACTGGACCCGGCATGTACACATCGCTGTGTGGATGGGTGAGTTCGAGCAACCTTGCGAATACATTCGTCCATGACGCTGATAGTTATTTTCATAAGTTATTTTCATCGCGTTCAGTAAGTATCTCAGATCGTCCAATTCCCCCTTTAGATTCTGAGGTTCTATTCTATCAGTCTTCTTCATCAACTTGCTCGGCGTGCGCGTCTTCGGCGAACTCGAGTTCTGGTTCAGTAGCATCAAAGTCATTACCCTGGTTGGTCTCCTGATTATGGGTATTGTCATTGACTTAGGAGGAAACCCCAAACATGACCGTATTGGTTTCCGTTACTGGAACCCTCCTGATGGCCCCATGGGTCATTATCTGAAAGATCAGGTCCATGGAGAGAGTCTCTCTATCTTCCTTGGTTTCTGGAGTACTTTGGTCAACGCGCTCTTTGCTTACATCGGAACCGAGTTGATCGGTGTTACTGTGGGTGAAGCTCAGGCACCCAGGAAAAACATCCCAATCGCTATCCGGCGTACGTTCTTCCGTATCCTTGTGTTCTACATCGGAGGTGTCTTCGTGATCGGCTTGGTTGTACCTAGTACTGATCAGGTGTGTATTTCTTGGTCTGGTTTCGATGTCACTGTAATCTTGATATTCCATCCAGACTCTATTCACTGCCAACAAGGCGAAAGCTGGAGCTGCGGCTTCTCCTTTCGTTGTCGGTATGCACCGTACTCTTCAGCGATCAGCCACCGTTCATTGACGAGCTCGATTTAGCTACTACTCTCGTTGGCATCAAGGTTCTCAACCATATCATCAACGCTGCTATTCTGCTTTTCGTGCTGAGTGCCGCCAACTCTGACTTGTATATCGGTTCTCGTACCTTGTACGCTCTCGCTGTCGAAGGCAACGCACCAAAGATCTTCACTAAAGTCAACCGTATGGGAGTTCCATACCCTGCTCTCATCTTGTGTACCGCTTTTTGTGGTCTCGTATTCCTGAATGTGTCGTCTAGCAGTGCCAAAGGTCTGTCGAGTTTCTACTTTCCATGTCGAGACTTCCCTGATAGTTTCAAAGTTTTCACTTGGTTTGTAAACCTGGTATCAACGTATGTTGTCTTGACTTTTCATTTTAGACATCCTCTCACATCCCCACAGATTCGGCGCCATCACTTGGATATGTATTTGCTATTCACACATGTGAGTCTGCTCTTCCTCATGTTATTCTTACGATTACTCACCTTCTTTACAGCCGATTCATGAAAGCTCTTCGCGCTCAGGGGATTTCCAGAGATACCCTTCCCTATAAAGCACCTTTCCAGCCCTTCGGCTCGTGGTTTGCTCTAATTTCAACCTGCATTATCACAATTTTCAAAGGCATGATTCACCATGATATAATATCCTCATCCGATGCTTATATTATATCTTCAGGATTTGATACCTTCATTCCATTCACGAAAGACACGTTTGTCACGTCCTACATCGGATTACCGGCATTCTTGATGTTCTGGGTAGGATACAAGCTTACCTACCGCACGAGGCTCATCCCTGCCGAGAAGGTGGATCTCATCACAGGCAAGAGGGAGATCGACGAAGAAGAGGAACGGTTCAACAGGCAGGAGGAATTGAAAGGACCTCGTACGAAGTGGCAGAAGTTCTTTGACTCACTGTGAAGTCCGTTCCTCTATTCCGGTTCGGCTCCTGGACTTCCAATCCGCCTTACTCACCCCCATGTGCATTCAAAATCACTGGATGCACTATGTATTGTACATCATGCTCACCTTACTTAGTGTCATGATGCTAAGTAGCTATCTTGTAACGACGAATGTAATTGAATAATCATGACCAAACCCCTCTTGCTCGTTGGCTTGTCAGAAATTTGGATATCGCGTAATCAGAATTTCGTCATCACTTACTTCTTACTCAACGCTTTGAAACTTTACATCCAAGTTAAGCGAATTGTTCCCAACGACCTAGCTCAATATGTATATTTTCGATGTTCCAAGACATTCCTCAGTCATTCGCTCCTCTTCATGTGGAGCCATAAAAGCATCCTTGCAACTTTCTTGGCGGTCTCCATCGTTGTCATTGCATACTATCTCCCGCATACCAACCAATACCTGAAGTCTTTGACGCTTTCTGACAATATTACCACTACGTATCAGCGTAACATCTCGAATATGGCTCTGAAGAATGTTTCTCGTAAAGTCCTTCAGAGTGTGCTCGCCGTTGAGCAGTCGGAGGTATACTCTAATTCCTCCTAATCGCATATACAGTATCGTCCTAACAGAGGCCTTTGTACGAAGGGAGCCGGGGCGCGTGTCCGACGGTCCATTGGTGGAATGAAACTACGCAACCTGACGCCTTTCTTATTGTTGGATCATTTCCATGTCTCCGAAGGAGCAGTATGTGTCTCTTTAGTATCACGTATGACACCGAGATCTCTTTCTGAACACCTGAATAGGGGTTCCCAGATCACCCGCATCGAGGACAGGCTACTGTCACTTATATGCTCGAGGGATCGAGTCGACACGAAGATTCCGCTGGACATAAGGGTACCATTGAGGCCGGTGGTGTCCAATGGATGACCGCAGGCAAAGGAAGTGCGTATTCCGATAGATACGAATATCTCCCACAGGGTTACTAATTCATCTTCCCGTAGTCATCCACGCTGAAATGCCTGTACATGCACCGGGTGTACCAGAGCCCCGAGGATTGCAGCTTTGGGTCGATCTTCCAAAGGAACACAAGCTGACTGATCCCTCGTATCAAGAGCTTGGTCCCGACGGGTAAGTTTGTAAATCAAAACATTGAATCCTAGCGGTTCTGACATTTTGTTATGCATCAGCATTCCTACAGCTTATCCTGAAGGCACAGATGGTCCATCAAGGATCAAAGTCATCAGTGGGAAGACCTATGGCGTCGAGTCACCCGTCCGTCCTCTTGGGGGATGTTGGTACTTCCATGTTATCGTTGACAAGAAGGGGCATTCAATATTTCAAGAAATACGTACGTACTATCTTACATCCCCCTTATTCTGCGGCCGGCTGACATATTTATGTTGCAGCTGTTGGCTGGACCACCTTCATCTATATGCTCAAGGGCGTGGTGAGAATTGGCGATGATCCTAGCAAACATGAAGCTTTCCATACGCTGGTCTTATCAGCGGACAAGGATGAGAATGGTGTGAAGGTCACTTCTGAGGAAGACAACACTGAGTTCATCCTCGTACGTAGTGAACACTACACATTTTGCACTCTTTTGACTGACAGTGCCTTTGTGTGTATAGGCTGCCGGTGAACCTCTGGACCAGCCTGTTGTCCAGCATGGTCCATTCGTCATGACAAGCCGAGAGGAAATTCAGAAGACGATGCTTGACTGTGAGTTGTCATTCACCTGTATGAATTGAGCCAATTTGTACTGATGCAGTCGTAGACCAAACTGGCAGGAACGGATTTGAGAAGGCACACACTTGGAAGAGTGAAATTGGAAACCAGTAATGACGGAGTGTTACTGATTGTTTTATTTCTGATATCTGTATGGGCTTTTTAATCCATTGACTGTATCCATAGCATACCATTGAATGATCATGCAATCACGAATGTCGCGAATAGCTAACTCGACTTTCGCTTTTTGGTGCTCTTGCTGCCTTTGGTCTCTTCAACATCACTGTCTGCAGTCTCCATCTCATCCCAGACATTGTCCTCTTCATCCTCAGCATCAGACTCGTCTTTCTGGGAGACATCACCCTCCTCGTCCCTGGGATCAACGATGACGGCGGTAGGCACAACTTTCATGTAGATCTTGTCGAGGACCTCTCCTTTCTGTTCTTGCTGCTTTCCTACCTCGTTCGGAGGAGGGAATGTACTGTGCAGGCGAAGGAAGCGATCCTGGGAGACGGATGCAAGGAACATTGGTGACGGTCCAACTGAGGTAATGGCACCTGCAAGACCTGAGGCAAAACGGGGATCAGCATGGTAGAGGCAAAACAGCGTAGAAAGGTAGCTTACCTTTATATCCGTATGCTACCTGTCCATTCCGCAAGTCAAGTGCGAAGAGATTACAACCATGGTCGGCAACAAACACTTCGCTAGAAAAGTAGGAGAAAATCAGCCTTTTGGATGCGGAACCATATGCTAACCGCATACTTCTCTGTTAATCCCTTTTCAACTACACCTATACCGCCCACTTTCGCTATTCCTTTCCAATTGGCGACAGGCCGACGAGCGGTACGAGTGTCGTATCGTCTCACGTCTCCAAACTGAGTGCCAACGAGCAACTGAGGTTGACTAGATGGCTGCAGGTACGCGAGGCAGTTGTTGCGCACCGGTTGGCGCAAGTTTAGGGAGTCATTAGGCAACTAGAAGGACACATAAGCAGTCGCTACATCAGATCAGCTCAATACTACGCACATTCCTCGCCCGCCATGATTCACCTGGAAGCAGCTGTTCGCTTCTTTTGCGCTTTTTTGGGGACTCGTTGGAAGAACTTTCTTGTGGTTGAGCGGTAAACGCGTTTTCGGTATCCCAAACGGATAATTCGACCTCGTCACCAGTGTAGGCAAACGTATTTTGGTCGGGTGATAGTCTCCACTCTGCTAGCCTCATGGGAAGTACACCGGTCTCTGTAGTCACATCGTCTCCGGCTTTAGTCAACCGAAGTGCACCATTGGAAGTGCAGGTATAAATTCCACTGAAAATACATTTAGAAGACACCCGAACGCATTAGTCTAGAATAACTTACATACCTCGACGAAGAAGCGAGTCCAACAAATCTCTGTCCCTCTTTCAATCTGGGTTCGTTCCATTCCGATACCATGATAGGACCATCCTCGGCAAGGGTGAAGACGGATGTCGATCCATCAGCTCTGGCAGCAGCAAGCTTCCTTGTATAGCGGTGTGAATAATGAACAGAGGGAACTATGACAAAGGGTGAATACCAAGGTGGCAGAGTCGTCTTGCTTGAAGGCCGTTAATTTCTGGATAGCTTTGGCTTTTCCTGAGGTTGGATCATTGTAAAGCACAGAAATGGTTGACTTCCACTCATTCTCTACTCGAGAATACTTGACGGACTTGATTGAACCAAGCTCGTCGCCAGTGATGTAGGAAGGCATTGTTGGTGAAGATGTACTGGATAAAAACGTTGCGGCAATTTCGTTCGAGTATGATCTGAGATCTGCCAGTGAGATTCCCGGTCCGGGCCCAGGCCGCAGTGATAATGCACCATCCTGGTGCTTGCTGCTCGACCTCAAGCCCTTTCTTGCGTTTCGTACTTACCCAAGCTTGGTGACAACACTCGACTGAATATCTGACACTCTCAAACAATCATGGATGTTCCGCTGAAGGAGTTGGCCAAGCTCGAGAAGCTCGCCACCTCTTCGGCCTCAGCCAAGGGCAAGTCCGTGTCGGTAGATGACTCCCTCGAGTCGTTACTATATTCCTTGCGAGAGGCGAAGGAACGTATCCAGGCCGGTACTGCTTCACCAGACACACTGCTCAACATAGCCAAGACTGTGGAAAGTACCCGGAAGGATGTTGATGACAGGCAGAAGGAGGTTTACAACTCGCTTGCGAGGTTTGGTAAGGGTTTGGATAAGGTATGTCGTTAAATGCTATGGAGAGTATGTTTGCCAAAGCGTTTGCCATGATGGCTTGATAGAGGTTCTTGACACCGTTGCCCTCCTATCCTCCGTTGTTCACCTCTCCGGAAGCGACCGATGCTCTTAACAAGACTATTGCGCTTCACTTCCTCCGAACCGGACAATCCAATATTGCAGAAACGTTCATTGAGGTATGTACCTATTTATCCCGAGATAGCACACAGTGTTAATTGCTCTCGATTATAGGAATCAGGTGTAGAGGTCCCCTCGGACATGCGAACGAATTTCGCAGAGCTCCATCGCATTATTACTGCGCTTAGGCAACAGGATATTGCCCCAGCCCTAGAGTCAGTTTTTTTCCTCAATCGAATTTGACATGGCACTCATACCGTTTCCTAGATGGACTGAACGTAACCGCCAGTTCTTGCGAGTGAGGTCCTCAGGGTTGGAGTTCTTGTTGCACCGTTCCCAATATATCCGTCTTCTTCTTTCATCACATCCTCCCAACTTTGCTGTTGCATTGGCTTACGCCAAAGCCAAGCTTTTGCCCTTCTACGACGACTACGGCGCCGAAATCAACAGGCTCATAAACTGCATGTCGTACCTGCCCCTCTCGCGCTTGCAGACGTCGCCATACGCATACCTTGCATCACCCTCTTTACACTTCGACTTGGAACCCATGTTTGCCAAGGAGTATTGTGCCAGTTTGGGTATGAGTAGACAGGTCCCTCTCCGAGTTGTCGGCGACATCGGTGGAGGTGGCGCATTGGCTCGTATCGAGAAGGGTCGGAAGGTTATGCGGGAAAGGAAGAGTGAATGGAGTCAGACGGATGAGTTGCCGGTCAGTCCCCCCTTTCTGGCTGTTGTCGATGTTCCAGCCGTTATCTAACGGAATGTTTCTTTCTTTTAGATCGAGATACCCCTTCCTCCCGAGAACAGATATCACTCGATATTTGCGTGTCCAGTGTCGAAGGAGCAGTCCACAGATGCCAATCCTCCCATGATGATGAACTGTGGTCATGTCATCACCAAGGACAGTTTGGAGAAACTTACCAAAGCTACGGGGTATGGCTTTCACTGACTTATTTATTTATGCATTTGCTGATTCACAATCAGACGCGTCAAATGTCCGTACTGTCCTGCAGAATCCCAGGCTAATCAAGCTGTGCGGGTGCACTTTTGAGAATCTGGCGTTAGGAGTAGGTGTAAGATAGTTAGTATTCTGTAGCAATTCGGATATGGATGTATTCTATGTGTACAGTACAAGATATTTCACCTCACATTTTCATCTCGGATTTCTGGCTAGGAACGGTCACATGTGCAGACGCGTTTGTTTGACGCGTGCCAGTAAGGCTTGGACCTCGACCACGACGACTTCTTAACCATGTCTACTTGCTAACTCATAACCATGAATCGTTTTGCTCCTCCTCGCGCATCGTCTCCTGCGAAATCCTCTGTCACGTCTATGGCCACTGTGGCCAGACATCGTGATGATTTACGTCCCACGGCAAGCTCCCTCCCGGTCGAGTTGCAGGATCTTACAACTGAAGAGATCGCGTTCATCGACGAAGTCGTAGGCCGGTCACCTCCAAATGCTGCCCACTTTCTTGCAGTATTTAAAGCATACAATGATATACTTGCGGAACGCGGTGTGAATCCGGGAGATGAAGTCGTATACTATGGCAAACTCCTGAAGTTAGGCACATTGAAGGGTTCAAGTTGGACAGAGAAGTGGAACTTTGTCAAATCTCTCCAGGCAGGCCCTTCTAATTCTGCTGTGAAAACTCAACCTTCAAGACATGCGCCTCCACGTAGAGCTCAGACAACCCAACCCAGGTCTGCCATATTTACACGACTTACAGGGACCCTCAAGAATATCGAACGCGACGAAGACGCGTTTACCCTCCACTCTCATCAGGATGATACGGATACTGGTGAAACTACTGTGCCTACCGTGATTTCGACCAGCAGTGCGCCCCACTATCGTGACACGCCGCGACCAAATCGACGGGCTGTTTCCCCTACTCTTACCGCTACTACCACTAACACGCTAGGCCTCCACACTGGACCCCCGTCAAGTATACATAAAGCTTTCGTCAAAGCTCCCATATTTCCCTCTTCCAAACGAGATGTTCCTCGGAGCACACATTGGAAAGTGGAGGATACATCGGAAGAATCGACCGACACCGTACCTTCGCCAAGTACTGTCCCTCCATCGTACGGTGCTGCGACGCGTGGCAACGAGCATCTTCAACGCGGCCCATACGCTCACGTCCCTCTCCAGGGTATCACCCAAACGCATCCAAAACCTGCATCCGTCAATGGTGTGACCCAATCGATATCCGGCCACCTTACCCCTGCTACTGCGCGTGAAGCTGTCCTTAGGGCAAGAGAACGCAGCAAGAATGTTGCTAATGAGGAGGATGCCTGGGAGAAAATTAGAAGAGATCAAGATGAAAAGGAGGCCGACCGATTCCGCGAGGAGAAGCTCATTGAACGATGTTGGGACGTTTGGAAACAGGGATATCAGTGGATCACTGTATGTACTTGTCCACACAATAAGATGAGGTTTTGCATTCAAACTACCTTTGTCGTGATTATAGACTACCCATGAACAAATTGCACAAGCTCGGGATAATCTCATTCTACGGCTGGCGATTCATCGTTGGCGAAACCAGACTGCTGCGCGCCTGGAGTTATACAGACGCGTCTCCCAACTTTCAAACGACCGTCGTCTCAAGCTCGCACTGAATGTCTGGAAAGTCAAGTTCAGAGAGCGGAAACAGGCTCAATGGCGTGACGACATGCGGAACCGAATGAAGCTCGTTCGGGAGAAACGCGAGTTCACATTGCTCAAAGACGCGTGGGCGAAGTGGAGGCAGTCCCACCGTTCGCATCTCGCGGAACTGCATCATAACGAACGTCTAGTCGGTCGGTTCCTACATAAATGGCGGGGAAAGCTAGAGGATCTAGAGCAACTCAACGCTGCTTGTGATATGTTCCTTGTCTCACAAGAGGACGCTCTAGTTGAGGGCTGTTGGGATATGTGGAGGCGGACTGCCGAGATGCGAAAGGCTGAACGGATAATCGCAGACAGAGCTGCTTTGAGGATGATGACGAAAGTATTTGACGTCTGGAAATCACATATGTTAGACTCATTTCTTCATTCCGTTCACGCATTCGCTGATTTTGATGTCCATAGGAGTTCACATGACGTCGCTGACCAGTTCTACGACAAATCGCTCTTGAGACGTATGTTCGGAGCATGGAAAGCCGCTCGCGACAGGATACAAGTGAGTTCCGCCACTTTCTATTGCTCTCGACGGGAACTCATCTTGAATCACGCTATAGGTGCTTGAACGTCGAGCAGACAAACATGTCGCTCGTCAGAACGACGTTCTCATTCGTGCCGTGATGAGAGTATGGAAAGCTCATGAGAGAGGTCGTTTGCTCGAACGCGTTAGGTCTGCTAGACTTTTGAAGGACGCTTGGGCAATGTGGAAACATCGACTGCAGATTGAACGAGAGCGCAAAGGTATTTGCTTTATCCCAAAAAGTCAGCCATGTTAACTGAAACACTACTGTCATCCCTAGATGCTGCCATCGCTTTCTCCACACGCCCCAATTCTGTCCTAGCAGCGTCCGCTCTGCACCGATGGCAGCGGGTACTCTCGACTCATCGGAAAGCTAATGAATACGCCGTGCTCTACAGTAATTCTCAGCTTTGCTACAAGATGCTGCTTGCATGGCGATTACATCTGAGAACGAGGCTGAAGATGGCGAGGCAGGCAAAACAAATCGAGAGGCACCTCGCGATGAGGAGAGCATTTAGGGCTTGGGTCGCCAAGCTTGAAGAGAAACGGAGAGAACAGAAGGTGAAGGTTTTCGAGCAACGACTGTTGGGGAGTTACTTCCAAGGTGAGGATTGCCCGAAGTAATTGCTTCATCGCTGGCGTAGCGTCTGACAAAGCTATTCAGAATGGCGAGATCGTGTCAAGAGGGAACAAGAACTCAGACTCGTTGAGGAGATCGTGCAACAAGGTGTCTCTTTGGTGAGATAGTTTTAGCTATACATATTCGGGGACTGCTACTGATAAAATTTATAGCGCATTATGTCCAACGCGCTGCATCGTTGGATCGACAGGGTCAGCGACCAGACGGACCGAGAGATCCAGACGACTGAGCTGTATGAGCAGGTTCTCCTAGTGTGAGTCACGTCGTTTCTCCTTGACAAGTGGACAAACTAACAAAGTTATGTAGTACGACATTTAGGAAATGGTCCGAACGCTGGACAGTCCGTGTCAACGAGAAGAGCCTGCTTCAGAGCTTCAGGGACATCAAGCGAGAAGGTTAGTCGGAGCGACACTCAATCAGCGGGCTCAACTGATGGTCGTGTTCTCCAGAGAAACTGCGCCGTATCTTCTACCGTTGGCTTTCAGCTGCTAGACAAGCGCGTCATAAGCGTTTGCTCTTGGAAGAGAAGGAGCAGGCGTTTAGGCTGAACCGCGTGGTTGAAGTCTGGGATAAATGGCGAGAAAAACTGCAGGCTCGAAGGTTGCAACCTCTCGTACGTTTTGCTACTTCGATGGAGTCGAGGAATGGTACTCATACAGTATATCGTTAGGCGGATGAGTATGTCATCACGAGGCAAACTGGTCTCGTCTTCCGTGCATTTGGTATTTGGCATGCAAAGACTAAGGTAACTTCCTCATGGACTCCACTCCCGCTCCCTACTCACACATGTCTCCTTTTCTCAGTCACTTCCAGCCATACATTTCTACAACTCCCATCTGAAAGCCAAGGTTTGGAAGGCTTGGCGAGACTCAGTCCCTAACCCTGCTCAATCCAAAATCGCGCGAGAAAAATACCAAAAGGCCCAGTTAGGTTTGTAGACTTCGTTCACCTGCACGGGCATATTTCTGATTCCCTTTCAGCCAAGGTCTTTAACGAGTGGTCACAGGCCTACAAGGCCAAGATGGCTTTGAAAGCGGTCGCTCGTGCTCGGTACCTTAGGCTTCCCATCGCTGTTTCCAGGCAACCGACACAACAGCCTCGAACGCTCCCGCCGCCTGCCATCTCTTCGTCTTCTATATCTTCCTACCGTCGTACAGCAGTGCGTCCAGAACCCGAAACCCCTTCCGCAACTGAGGAAGAGTCGGATGCACCAACTATACCTGTCATTCCAAGAAGGACTGCCATCACTAGCCTGTTTGCTACCAGACCTCGTTCTGCACTTTCAGAGGACATCAGGCGACCAAGGGGTTCCGTCGCTTCTTCTCGTCCAAAGTTGTCTACACGTGCACCAAGCCCAACAGCCTCTGTTGTCTCGGAAGCAACTCAAGTATCCAGCATAGCCCCTCCTTCACAAGCAGCTAGCTCGTCAGCCGCTGGGGTGATTAGACGGAGTCGACTCCTGCAAGAACTGGAAGCTCGAGGTCTCACTGGCAGGTCTCGGCCTTCAACACATAGGCTAACATCATGACCGTAGTTCATTTGTCTCATGCTATTTGCATTTTGCATTGCATATATATCGTTATGTAGCACCGCGCATGTCTTTATGCTAACTTATTCCGCATAAACCACTGTTGATTCTGAATGTTTATGAGGCTGGCACCTGGTTTGCGGGCTGCGCGCGGTCGGAGAATTCCCACGCGTGTAGTGAGCGGTTGGATCGAAATGTCGATTCCTTGGCGAGCCTCTCTCGGTGGCATCCTCCACAAGGCCCACTGCTCAACCTCTTCTTGTCTTATCTTGTCTGTGTATATTCCGTTCTTCAAACAGATTCATTATGGCACGGGATAGGTTGGCAGCGCTGAGGGTACGTCTCCTTAACCCTACCCCGGAATCACTGCTGTGCAACTAAGTATATGGATAGGCTCAACGCCAACAGCAAGGCGGCACACCTCAGCCCCAGGCTCACGAAATGACTAACTTGCAGACTCCAGACCACATCACGCAGCCTCCTAATGGAGTGGGGAACGGAGGAACCGAACCTATGTCTGCTTTCTACAGGGAGGTACGCACGCGCCTCGTCTACTTGTGAATTTCATATACTCAAGGCCGCATACATTCGTACCACCTTTACACACCTATGGTTTCATATAGATAACCTCGATCCAAGAGGCTATCGCACAATACAATGCCAATGTCTCACGAATTGGAGAACTGCAAAACCGAACCCTAAACAGTACAGACGAAAGTGCTAATAGACAGACGGCTGCTATCCTGGACGACCTTATTTCTCAAACACGTGATTTGGGAAATACTATCAAGCAGAGGATACAAAACCTCGACCTTCAACCTGCCCAACCCGGCGAGGATCCAAGAATTCGGAAGAACCAGGTCAGTTACATGCTCAAATCCCTGTCACAATCGTTCGCATATTGACCAATTGTGGTCGGTTGCAGATATCTTTGCTTAGGACAAAGTTTGTCGAGGGCTTGCAAAATTATCAGCAGGTGGAGCGGGATTACCGTGCGAGGTACAGGCAACGAGTAGAGCGACAACTCAAGATTGGTGCGTGGATCTAACGCTACCTTTGGGACACCCCGTTTATACTTGTTTCATGCAGTCAAACCCGACGCAACACCCGAAGAAGTAAATGCTGCTGTGAATGATACTACAGGTGGTGGAGACCAGATATTCGCTCAAGCAGTACGTCCCTTCTTGTGCGGTCATGACTTTCCCTCTGACCAGATGTATTCATGAATACAGCTTACGACCTCAACTCGGTATGGGGAATCCAGAGCGGCATATCGGGAAGTCCAAGACAGACACGAAGACATCCGAAGAATTGAGCGAACGTTGGAGGAGCTCGCTCAACTATTCAATGACGTATGTATAGCTTCCATTTGCATATCACTTAGAGACATTTCAACACCTCGACATACATGCAAAATTGCTTATTACTCCGTGCCGGCGTTTATGCGCATATACTCTCATATTTTGTCTCACTCATTGCGTATTTTGGTTCCCATTCTGATCATGCTACCTCCTATATCCTTTCATTTCTAGATGAGCGTGTTGGTGGTACAACAAGACGAGGCGATCAACGTCATTCAAACTACAGCTGGGACGGTAGAGCACGATACAGAGGCAGGGTGAGTTTCTCGAATGGAGAATGACACACATAACATGGTGGCTGATAATGAGTTTGAATCGTTTGCAGATTGAAACAAACCGAAAAGGCAGTTAAACATGCGCGTTCAGCCCGGCGCAAACGCTGGATATGCTTCTTCCTGTTGCTCGTTATCCTCGCCATCATTGCCATCATCCTTGGTGTCGTATTGGGCAGGAAGTAAACATGATTTCTCCGATCCACTTTGTTACATCATCCCTCCTGCGTTACCTTTCCCCCTTCCTCCCCGCATCTTCTTTTCAGTACTACCGAGCTCTATCCCGTCCATTTGTCCAACCCGACGACTTCCGGACCATGTTTCTTTCTCATGCGTTTATGAATCTCCCTTTGGACGACCTCTTCCCTTCCTCCCAGTTTTGTGTGTTGTGTTTTGTTGGCTCTGGCGTATATTACTTATGTTTCTGTATATTTTGTCTTTCTTGATTGCGTTATGTTCGTGCTCAGTATACCAGTCTAATTTACACATATGATGTTACTCTTCGTTTATGCATGATTCATTGCACGAAATGAAAGTTAAATATCCGAAGAAAGGACAGCGGCGCTAGGTTGGGCAATGTCAACACTCGACTTGGCGAAGGTGCTAGAGGAGTATCTGAGCGGCATCTGCATCCAAACGTTGAGCGGAGTTGTTTTTTGATTGGTTCAAGTTCTCACTTACGGCTGGGTCAGTAATTCGAGCTGTTTCTGTAACGATCCGAACTCGAATCTAGACGAGCAGCAAAGTATCAGTTTGTGCAAACATGTAATGTATGAAGATTAGTGAATGTACGCCACTCATTCCAAAAGGTTCCATGCTTCTATCCAAAGACTATTGACAGTAGTGGTAGTTTGATTGATCTTGGCACGCAAGACATGCCTTGCGTTTATCCTATCGACCACGTCACGAATGAGTACGCGAAGTGGAGAAGATAGTTCAGACAGTGCTCACGCTCCAAAGAAGACGTTCGCTGTCACTGTGTTGAGCGACTAGGTGAGTTACCGGCTAGTGTAGTCAGTTTGGAAAGAAATTACTTGCACTTTGCGAGGACGTTGAAGAGTCCAACGTATAGGAGACTTGTGGGTGATACGAGATGCTATGTAGAAAGTAAGCTCGAGGACATCATGTTCTGGAATGTATAAAGTTGGGAAACATACGATAACCAGATTAAAGATGGACAACGTCCTATCACAGATAGTCAGTAAAGTGTAAAGTCAAAGTCACTGTTTTAGTTGAAACAACTAACGTCAATATAGCTCCGGTATTGACATAGTACGTGATCAACCAGGTAATGATGCCTCGCGTCCTGAGTATAATCGTGAGCCATTCTTTCGCAAATACCTAGAGGGTGAAGGTGGTACTGTACCCTGGATGGGATGTCCTCCTTCGATACAGGTAGAACACCATGACCGCGGTCAAGACAGCCTCCAAACCGATTGTCAGGGATATCGAAGCTACGACAAGGGCCTTTATGCGGATAAATAGACGCGTTAGCTTTAGCATGCTTTGGGAAATGGTCATAGACGAACTTTCAAAATCGGGCTTTGAGCGTCCGACCAAGAGGCATTGACACTTTGTGAATGTCAACAAATTTAAAAGTTGGCCTTTGCTAGTAAAGACATACCTCATAGTCACGATATCTAGGGAAAAAAAACATCCAGTTGTCATTGAACATTTCGGGCGGAAGACATTTGGATAGACATACACATGAAGACCCCGTGTCGAGCAAGGAGAAGAACAAGCTAGGTGGCTATCAGAGCTAAGCTGATGAAGTATTTGTTACGAGCTTATCATACCGTCGTGAAGGTCATGAATACGTTCCTGGTGACTGTGTCAAAGATCAGTACACTTGTGACAAGCCTGAGCGAAATCAATGAGTACGAACATATCCACATCCTATGAATATAGAAGCTATAAAAGAAATATGAGTAACCGATCTAGAAAAATGTAGGAGGTAAAAAGTACAGTTCTACGATGATCTCTATACCGTTCTAGAGGAATTCTTCGTGAGCTCGAAATACGAATGACACAAATGCAATATGAATACTTGCTTCCAGGACTAAACAAGTCTACCGCGTTAGGTTAGGGACGACATCCGACCAGGAACAACGAAAGCTACGCACAGGAACACTCCTGAGAGATTCGACATGAAATTGGAGTATGTCTGTTACAAGTATAAGATGACTTACCAATCAACTCTGGTTAGATTGAAGGGGTTATCCATGGAGAGCACTGTGTAGAAGTAAAGCTGACGTAGAAAGAATCCGGTATGAACCGTCTCCAGAATCCTTAAGGATACATAAGTCAACAAATGTCCTATTAGATACAGGGAATTGCTGCAAGGGACTTACACCACAAAGCAAGCCATCCCTTGCACCCATTTGGCATCATTCTTACGGTCAGGGTTGCTAAAGTACACATACGCCTGCGCAACGGCCACCCCATATAGACTAACGGTGGCTCAGTCAGTTGCGCAGATACCAGTATGATGAAAGGGGAGAATGATACGAACACGCAACCAATCCCATAGCTTTCGATGAGACCTCCAAGAGAGACGGATATTGAGGAGAAGGTTGCCATTTGCGATGCGTTCTACGTTGGGAGCCTAGCCTACGGGGCAATGAGGATTAAGGAGCCATTTATGTAGGAGAACGCAGCATCTGCGAACAGCGACGGATAGCTACGTTCATATGGTCGATGATGAGTAAGGTTTTTCTGCGTATAATGAACGCAAGTACAACATCCAATCAGCGGCGGGACCCTTGACAGATTGAAGGCCGAGGGGGAGAAACATGTAAGTGGCAAGTGGCATATATGTGTGGTGATCCATGCGACCACATACACCACAGATTCAAGGTAAGGATCGACTCACCGCGACACACATCATGAAAGTGCCAACGCTCTATCAATATGTCTTCAATAGCTTGTAGACGTGATGGCGAATATCCTGTGTAGCTTTGAAGTGTTTGTGAGGAGGAAATACACCACCTTGGAACCTCCGCCGAGACTGGACCTCAAGTGCTGCTTCACTTTTTGCTGGCATGTAATGCTAGGGATGGGAAAACGGTCAACTCAACTCACGATGCCGCGAAGACCAGGATCCATCCGGATACTGATAGTTGTAAGGGTGCGTTATGATAGATGGATTCCGAATCCAGCACCCTGTTGTTTCGATATTCACCCAGCGCGTACCGTACCGCTGTCCGTGTGGAGCTAGACGTGTAGCGTGTTAGTCTCATGTCGATATGATGAATGAGGGAAGAAACACTCACGCCAGCACTACATCGGTATTGACGTAGTACATGGTCAACAAACTGATGATGGTAGATCCTATATATAACAACCCAAGGGACGTTGTCTTGTCGTCAGCTCCAAATGAGATGATAGAGTGGTTCAGCTACAGGACCTCGCCCTGCAGAATGATCATGTATGCTACGGACAGCATCGGTAAATGACTGTTGGTCCAAAAGCACAGATCCAAAATGGTAAACTAGAAACAGACCCTCTGCGGCATGACATGCAGTATGTCACCGAATACGTTGAATTCCGATAGATCGACAAACCAGGGAACACCAAGAGTCGTTGCCATCTATAGGTGGGCCCATCTCGCCGCACATGAGATATCACAATGCTGCATGGTATTTGTTCCTATGATCGAGTATGAACTGACCTACAACCCTAGGATACTCTGCCTCTCGCAACATCTGGTCATGTTCTCCTTTCAAGCTCATGTCCCACAGTACCTTCTCCTTACCCAAGATACTCTCTATGTGGTCTTTGAATTTGACACTCTGCTTCGCATCCACTAGCGTGTCGTCCCTTGAATGTAAAATCAACCAATGAATGTGTTCAGAGCCTTCATGCAGGTTGTATGCGGTCGTGTTGAAAGGAGCGTAAGATGTCAAGTCGTCGAATGCGTTCGCGATGAACCAGGATTTGTATTGTGGGAAGGAGTTTATCAAAAGGTCGATGTCGTAAATGCCTTCTGAGAGAGCGATAGCTTGTGTAGATTCTAGGAGCTTCTTTGAGGGTACGAGTGAGGGTAATGCGGCATGAGGAAGTGCCGGTGTGAAGTAAATTGAGGTGAGCATGTGAGCGGAACAACTGTGTCCTATGATGTAGAGTTTCGAGGAGTCATACGGGTGTGGATGGTTTTGGGGACCTTCCCATTCCAAGATGAAATTTAGGAATTGCAGGAGATCTTCTGTATGCGTTGGGTGTTTGATGGGAGTCTCAGGTTTTGTGAGACGGTAATTCGGGATGACCACAGGGAAGGAGGTGTGCGCTGCGAGACGTTGTGCTAGGATCGCATGTTCCGACTTATCTTCGCTACGCGAACAAACCGGAGATGAGGGACTGCCGAAGAAGCGAAGAAGAATGATGATGAGAGATACTCACGACCTCCATGCTCCTCCATGAACGAAACAAACCAACGGTAAGGATGATCCAACTGAGCTGGTCGGGATGTATAAATCGAAAGATCGCAGCGGGTCATGCGTAGTGGTGTATGATATATCACGTACGACCACGACTTGCTGATCTTGACGTGAAAGTCTGTTTCCCATCTATGTAATTGCCATTTCAGTGGAAAGACTTGGCTACAAGAAACGAGTTGTCCGCACCGAACACGCCAAGGAGATAACACTGAATTGTGGCCGAGAGAAAAGAGGCACCGGCAGGGTCTAACCGTCTAACACAGGAATTGATCGTACTGATGATGTCTAGACAAGCCTGCTGCGGCGGTGACTGGGCGGTGGCTGATTGCTTGGGTGCTGGAGATATAGGAGAGACATCGTCAACTCAGAGGAGATACATACGGTATATGTACACTACGGTCGCGCAGAAAATATGCGCACGAGGTAGAGAGATATGACGAGGAGTGGGAATAAAAACAAAAAGGGAAATCCGTTTGACGGGCTAGGTCCAACGCCAACGCCAGGCCTGCGACAAATGTCTTGATGACGTCATCCCCGTCTGCGCAACCATATAAGCTGGAGCCCCCCTCTGTCTCCTCCCAGCTTCACTGCTTTCTCTTTTCCCCGTAAACATCCTCAACTACATCCACACGCAATGGCTTTCACCGCGTCCGATATCTGCAAGGTATGTGCTCTTGTGCAAGGGAAATATAATCGCCTCCTGATTGCTTTTATAGATCCTGTTCGTCTCGTCCCACGTCACATACCTTTCCGCGAGCACTAACCTTCTCTATTCCCACCCAGCTTTGCCATCCTCCTTCCACCTGTTGGTGTTTTCCTCGAGCGTGGTTGCGGAGCTGATTTGCTGATTAACATTCTTCTGGTACGTTCTTTGCATGCTTTCAACCACATGGTCCTTGTCTCACTATCTTCGACAGACAATCCTGGGTTACATGTATGATCCCTTTTCCAATTGTTCTCCCGTCCAACTAACCATTTCCCTCTAGTCCCGGAATCATTCACGCGCTCTACATCATCCTCAAGTACTAACCGTACATATGATGATGACCCGGACCTTTTCATCATGACATTCATGCTATTACGCTGTAGCACATTCTGCAACTTACGGTACACCCTGTAGATATGTCTTGTAGTATCCTGTAATTTGATATACCCTCGGGAAGTCGATCGTGATCGTTCTGTTCATGAATTCCAAGGCATCCCTGAACCTGAATCTCGAAAGCTAGAAGCTTAGCAGCGGCTCCACTCGACCTGCTCGTCTATGTGATTGCAGATGAGCGTATAAATACATATGTCTTCCCTTCTAGATACCTCAATCTTTATCGTGTAGACTGCTTCTCCCGCTCATTCCTCCTCAGAATCGTCAGTATTCCCTTCTTCATCTGTCTCCCCGCTGTCGTCACCACTCTCCTCGCCTTCTCCCCCGTCGTCGTCCCGCTCTTGAGCACTTTGTCCCCGAAGTGAATGCTGTGTCGTCGCCACGCTGCTTGTTGCGGTCGCAGTGGTTGCCCTACTAGTAGTCGCACCCTCGCTTGCAACCTGACCAGAACCAGAAGCGACAACGGGGTTTTGCTTACCTCCTACTACATCTGGCCCGGGCCTTGGTCTTGGTACCGCAGCTGGAATTGTGGCAACTGATTCTGTTTGAGTGGTGATTGTGGCAGGCGGCCTTGCGGTCTCTGTTGAAGCTTTGGGCGTTGACACTTGAGCTTGAGGGACTGGTTCTGTTGCGCGGCTTGCAGCATCGTCTTCTGATTCTTCCTCCTCCTCCGAGTCCTCTGAACCTTCTGACTCTTCGCTCTCGGCTTTCGAGGGTGCGGTAACGGGTTGCTTAGAAGAAGCTACTGCTGGTGGTGCTTGGCTTTGAGCGGTCTGAGCGGGCTCCTTGTCAGACGCTTCCGATTCTGACTCTTCCTCGCTCGATTCCTCATCCTGTGTTGAAGGCTGAGCAGGTGCCGCAGTACTCGACACAAGTGCAGGCGCATGTGCAGCTGGCACAGGTGGAGGAGCAGATGGTGCTGCAGAAACCGCTGGAGTCGTCGAAGAGGCACTAGGCTTACTCGCAGCAGGTTGACTCGGTGCAAGTGCATCGTCCTCGGACTCTTCTTCTTCCGAGCCCTCAGATTCCTCCTCTTCGCTCTCCTTCGTGCTTGCAGGAGTGGAAGCAGGCTTACTCGGCTGGCTTGGAGCAGCAGTAGCTGCTTTAGTAGCCGGTGCGTCGTCTTCTGAATCTTGCGAGTCATCTTCCCCGCTTTCATCATCGCCGGAGCTACTCTCTTCCTCACTACTCTCCTCCTTCTTTCCAACCGCAGCTTGAGCAGTAGCAGCAGCGGGTTTCTTGGAAGGCTGCTCTTCCTCGTCGGAATCTTCCTCCCCACTCTCCTCTTCACTGCTCTCCTGCTCGTTGAACTGTTCAATCATCTTTGTGCCAACCAACCAGCACCGCTTGACATTCTCGGCAAATGAAGTATCTTTAAGACCTTCACCTTTGGCTTCTGGTCTAGCATGCCATGCGCGAATATCATCTTCTTCGACGATATCATCTTGATAAAGCGCAGCGAGGATTTGGCCGAACAATGGAAGACGAGCGGACTTCGCACAATGATACTATAAACACACATATGCACATGTAAGGATTGGCAAGCAATGAAGTTAACAGAAGAATAAACATACCTGGAGGACTTCAATAGTCTCCACCGGATCCACACCACCGATCTTATCGATCAGCGGTCCCCAACGTCCAACCATCTTCGAAATCTCTCGTCTCTGAGCAGCAGCATCCCCCTCCACAACCTCGATTCTCTCCACAATAGAAGCCACAACCGCCTCTCTCACTTTCCTCAACGGAACATTACTCGCCATCCTCAGCGTCTTCAATTCCACAGCTGCATTATCCACAGAATGTCCTTCGGCAAATGCACGGTCTAATGATTGAGTGACTTCGGCTTGGAATTCTGAGTATGCGGCGGCGTCGTGGAGGGTGTGGATGTTGAGGCCCGGGGTGGAGGTGGAGATGGCTGAAGTGGAGGTTGCAGAGGAAATTCGGGAGAGGGCGTGCATCTCTAAGTCTGACTCGTCAGATTCGCGTTCGGATGCGTCTGAATCGGATTCGGTGCCTTCGTATTCGAGGGGAAGGTCGCTTGCCGGGTCGCCTATGGGTATTTCTTGCTTTAAAAAAAAGAGAAGGATTAGAGGAATATGAAAAGCGACACATACCAATGCGCATAAGTCTTTGATTGTTATAACGTTCGACTTCGTCTAGATCCTCTTCGTCTGCACGAGGACCCTTTGGCCAAACAATGGCATTAGAGCCTTCTCCGATGATAGCTGTGATCGACTCCGAGTCCTGCCCTATGCCGAAATTAATAGTGAGAGACTAAACAACTAACCAGGGGAAGGATATCAAATCAAACTTACGGGCTTCAGCTTCCTCCAATTCAGAATCCTCACTCTGTTCATCTTCGTCTTCCTTATCACTTTCATCCGCTTCCCCTTCATCCCTTCGCCTCGATACCCTCTCAAACTCACCCAATTTCGCATTCTTGCCCAAAATCACATCGTCGCCAATTAAACATCCCCTCGCAACGGTACTTCCTTCACCAACCTTGACGTTCGAGCCAACGATGCTGTACTCGATGACAGACCCTGCACCAATATGGGCGTCGTCAAAGACGTAGACGTTGCGTAGGGTGACGTTGGCTTCGATTGTACATCGTTGACCGATAACGGATGCTTGGATGTTGGCGTTGTCGGCTATGTGTGTGCCAGCACCGATCAAGCAGTTTGAGCCGACTTTGCACGTTCTGTCAATGTTGTGAGGATGTATTAATGGATATTTGGGGAGGGATGGAAACGCTTACCGAGAGAGGACAACAGAGTTTCCTTTAGCTAGGTACTTGTTACCACGGATATGTTCGTACGAATGACCTCCTGGGTGATTGTCGTCTGGTACAAGAGGGAACGTCCATCTTGCCAGGATATCTTTACTGCGTGCTAATGAGTAAACACGACTCGAGAAATTTGAGTGAAACAAATACCTACCTGACAGAGTCATAACTCCGCGTATCTGCTACCCGAGCAGCGTATCCTTCTCTGGCAACATAACAGTGGATACTTTTCATGAGAAGGTCCGAAGTAAGGACACCGTGGACAAAGTCTCGTCGGATGTCACCATAGTCAAAGTTATCTTGGAACAGAGATGGGACCTAAGTTCATTCCTGGTCAATACTTTATTGTACGCAGGCAATAGAAGGGAGGAATATTCGCATACCTCAACTGAACAGACGTCTATACCACAGTCAATGAGATCATTTCGAATCTCGATCTCTGGGTGTTCAGCTAGGATCTCGCGAGGTATCTTTGCGTGCTTCTTGGGTGGATATCCGGTGACATGTTCATAATGCAGACATTCCGAAGTCTCCGCATCCAACACGAAGATGGCGGATTCGCCTTTCGATCTATATATCACAATTCGAAATTCAAAACTAGACATTAGACAAACATCACCGCAAGAGAAATCACGTAGACGAACCTTGTACGATGTACTACGCCACTAGGTTTCACCACCATAGTCATAATCGCATCCTTATTCGTTCTCCGTCTTTCCTTGTGGACCCTAACGACTTCGTCAATGCGGATATTGCTCACGAGGTCTCCCATAACGAGAACGAAGTCGGAAGTGATGATCCCTCGGGTGTAAATGTCTCGCATTGCGTCTCCGGGCGTGAACGTCTCTTTCGAGGTGATAATTGATACAATCTTGAGGCCAAGGCTTGGTTTGGACCATTTTGAGTCTCTGAGCAATGATGGAGCGTACCAACGGGGTATACCATGAGAATATGATGAGAATACTTTTCTCTTTGAGGAATGGTAAGCGGGGGAAGGGGACATACCGAATAGCAGCCTTAACCAGCTCGGGATACGATCGACAGACGACGAATATCTCTTGTACGCCGGCAAGCGCAAGACTCTCAAACGTCCAGTCTAACAATGTAGCATTGCACACGGGCAACAGACACTAATTTTATAAAAGCATAACGAAAACGATTCTCAGAGTTTCGTCATATGATGAATAATGGCCGAAGCGCGTTTACCCTGGGTTTGCCTGAAGTCAATGGCTTGAATCGCTTATTGAAACTGTCCGCAAGTATGACGGCTTGTAAGACCTCGTCCTCATCAGTGAGATCCTTTTCTTTACTCGAGGATGATTTTGGTGGCATTCTGTGATGACGAGATCGAGGGGTATGGAAGAAGGTGAGTATGAAGTTATTATGCTGCCTGCGAGCCTAAACGTGCGTTATGACTCCATCGATCAAACGGGTGCATGGCTTGACAATTAGAATTCACGTTGTCTACAGCCTGGAAGAATGGTGCTGCGTATCGAGAGATCTCTGTATAGAGCCGTCATAGAGATATCAGCACTCATGGGTACATCTAAGGCGACGCTTTGCTTTGGTAGCAGCCACCTCAAATCAGATGTGTATTTCTCGCTACTCAACTTGGAATCATTTAGGAGGCACTCAGCACGCGTTCACGAGAGATGTACAGAATCATCACGAATGCAATTGCGCTCAAACAGAAAACCAACGCGACAGACATGATTACAGAAGTTGTAAATGAACACACGAGCACGATCCGATTGCGAAGAGAGTATTGAAGGGTATTTGCGATAGAAACCACCATCCACAATAGAAGAACAGCTGCTACCAACTATCAAATCAAACCGGATCGATGAACGAAAATTAAGAAAGAATGACAAACGGGTGACCACTAGGTCGTCGAGATGACATGGATGGTGAGATTGTGTAGGGGAGAGAGCGTGGTGGGGATAGCGCACAAGGACAACCAAAAACCCAGAGGGCCCGTATGTCGTACATTAGCTGACAGGACAAAAGTGGGGTGTGGAAACAACGGAGGTAACCTGTAGCGAAACGGAGCGGAAATCCATATAATCATGGGGGTAACGTGGAATCCGACCGCGAGAAAAGGAAGACATTAAGAGAAGACATTCGTGAGAGTCATCATAGAGTAGTGAATAAATGCTCCGAACGGTTGGCAGCGTTCATCTATGCGGTTGCAGCAACGACGGGAGCGGCAGGGGGAGCCTCGACCTTGGGGTCTTCAGGCTTGTGCTCCTCCTTCGCCTGCTCGGTAGCAGACTCCTCAGCTGCAGGGTTTTCCAGGGGAGCAACAGGGGCGGGTTCCTCAATCTTGGGAGGATTCTCCTCAACCTTTGCAGGGACAGGAATATCCGACTTCGATCGCGACTTGAAGAATTCACCAACACGCGCGGAAAGGCGACGGCTGACTTTGGGAGACTTGGGTTTAGCCTCCTCTTTCTTCTCGTCCTTCTACATGAGACAGTGAGCAGCGTTGAAATAGGCAATAGTGATATTGAATACCTTCTCTTCCTTGGGTGCCTCAGCAGTGGGCTCGACGGCGGGCTCAGTAGTAGCCTCAGCAGGAGCAGCCTCAGCAGAGGGAGCAGTCTCACTAGATGGTCATCAGTATTGAGTGTAGGAGTTGGCATACAATGGCACTCACGTCTCCTTCACAGGCTCGGCAGCAGGCTCCTCGGCCTTGGAGGCTTCAGCAGCGGGAGCCTCCTCAGTGGGAGCAGCAGCTTCCTCTTCCTTGGGGGCTTCCTCAGCCTTGAGGAACATCAGACGCGCGTTACAACACAGATAATGATAGAACTCACCTCGCCCTCCTTCTTCTCAGTCTTCTTAGCGGCGGTCTTTTCCTTCACCTTCTTCTCGACCTTGGCCTTTTCATGCTTGAAAGGAGCGAGAAGTTTGGCGAGGATACCAGGGCTCTTGGGCCTCTTTGGTGACTCGGCGGTGGGCTCAGCCTGAAGAATGTTTGAGTGACACGTTGACAACATAGAAGACAACAACATACAGGCTTAGCCTCCTCAGCAGCGGGCGCCTCTGGGGCAGCCTCGGTGGTCGTCTCAGCGGCGGGTGCGGTTTCAGCAGCAGGCGCGGGAGTCTCCTAAATGAGAAAGCGTTGATGAGTCGATGAACGACAATCATCAAAAGCGTTGAATTCACCTCAGTCTGAGCCTCCTCCTTGGGTGCCTCCTAAAGGAAACATGAGGATACGACGACGTGTTGATACGGAGATACTCACGGTGGCAGGAGCGGCAGCAGTCTCAACTTTGGGTTCCTCAGCAGCGGGCGCGGTTGCGGGCTCAGGGGCGGGGGTCTCGGTAGGCTTGTTGACCTCCTCAACGGGAGCGGCAGCGGCGGTGGTCTCAGTGGCAGACATTACGAATGACTAAAAAACGTGAGCTAGAGAATAGGAGTAAGTTCAACACGTCGAAAAATCAACACAGCAATGACGCTGCAAGCAACGATGCGAAAATACAAGGAAGAAAAGGTCAGAATAAGAGAGACGACATACAATACGTGGGTATTAGAGACAAGAGAGAGACGGGCTGTCAAGGCCTATTGCCTGAGGACGACGAGAGAGAGGAAGAAGAGAGAGAGATAGGGATAGACTCCGTCACAGCGCCCTTCTTATCCTTATTCGGTGGCGAGAACAAACAATGCTAAACTCGTCTGGGCCCTCCTCAACTTCCTCCTTTAGGCGCACCCGGCCTCCCGCTAGCTGTCTCGCTTTCCTGCCCTTCGCCTAATCATCACCCTCGACACCTCCGCCAAGTCCTCGACGACATTCCACGTCTTTCTCTGCACAACTCTCTCTCAATTCCTCTCATTTTGCCTGTCCCCTCTGCCCCATTTAGACTCCTACGGCGAAAACTTTCTCATCACCACAATGTATCAATTGATTCTAGCCGAGAGAAGCCACATTTCTCGCTGGCGACGATCGCAAATCACGTCGTTTGCAACCCTCCATCACTCTGTTTGCCATCAGTCGGCGTGCTTGCTCTTCGTGCACTATGCTCGTCCTCCATTTGCGACCAGAGGCTTCAAATGTTGGTGGGTCTGCAAGAACATCTCGGATCTGACGAGGCCTTTTTGAGTCTCGGTTCCAATACACTTGTCCGGAACTACAGCGCTCGTTTCCGTGGTACCACCTGATCCTGCGTTTCATGTCTATATCCGGGGCTTTCCCACGACTCCGCGCGTCATCCCTTGCTTGTCCTCGCGAAACATATATTTCAGAACGTGTAGATGGTTCTTTGTTCCTCCTCTGCACTCTCAATTGTTCTCTTTCCTATTTGTACGTCAGTTGTCAACGAGCTTTTAACAATAACCGCCGTTTCGCTACCGAGGCTGAACCTGTCCAAAATGTGGTGTCCAACTTGTCCTGTAACGCCACTTGTTGCTCGCACACGACTCCTCCACCTGTCGTCATTGTTCATATTAACTTCACAGCGGTCATATAAACTCTTCTAGACAGCTATATATCTTCGTGTCTCTCCTACCATCACCTGCAACTCCTTCAACAGCCCTGCCATGTTCGCCGCCTTGACGCCGCTGCTAATCTTTGTTGCTTTTCTGCTCTTGCTCCTGGTCTCGCTTTCGGTCCCGGTCATTAAGAGCATCTATCTATTTCGCCTCACAGCAAATATCAACGCTTCACTCTTGGACTCTCGTGCTACCGGAAGTGCGCGATTTGGCGTCTGGGGATATTGTCTCTCAGCCATCGACGTCTCGTGAGTAATCATGACCTCTTGATAGCGCTACGACGTATCAGAACGCCCTTCAATGGTGTCATCGAGCTTCCCCTCTCACTCATCGTGTGACTGACTGCAATTTGTATTCATTCCTAGCATCATCGGCTTCAACCATAATTCTCCGGCCCAGTGTTCCAAGGCCAAGCTAGGCTACACCTTTGATAACAATGTCGAGATGGTGCTCCGTGTCAATGGACTTACCGATGACGTTTCTCGTGCGATAACTACCGCGCTTGTCTTGCATCCTATCGGTATGCGGCCCCTTGAGCTCTTAGTTATTTTAAAAGCTGATGCGCTGTCGCTGTCATAGCCTGCGGATTTACATTCCTCGCTTTACTTACCTCGCTCTTCATTATCCGACGTCGTGGAGGAAACGTATCCCGACTTGCTTACCTAGTCACCCTCGGAACTGGATTACTTGCGGCCGTCCTGACCACAATTGTCTTCCTTATTGATGTCATCTTCGTCGCCATCGTAAGACATCGAGTTAACAACGAGTCCGACGATTCCCTCAACTTTGACTGGGGCAACGCCGTGTGTTCCATTTCTATGCTGAGTTGACTGTCGATGTTCTGATCGTTGTCATGTTGCTTGAATCGCATGGTGTCTGTAGGTCTGGATGGCGCTTGGAGCGACCATCGCGCTTTGGGGTGCTTTGGTCGGCGCTTGTGCCGGAATCTTCAACTGTGGTCGACGACAGAAGTGAGTGAGGATCCTCGCGTAGATCTCCTCGTGACTGACATTTTTATTATAGGGATGTCAATACATACTGAGGCCGCTTTGTTCACGAGACTTTGACGACAGGATGATACCTTCCCGCTACGCTTTAGATCTGCGTCGGACGACGACTTACCCTATGCTTCTTTCACGATACCTGGACATCTGTATTATACCTCCGCACTTTGGCCGACTCTGTATTATTCCCTCGTACATTTGATGGCATGTCATGATGACACGCCCATGTCAAACATCCTTTGAGCTTCTTTTGATGTTCTCCCGATCGGGTTTATCGTCGGATTGTTGCGGACTGTTGACTGCTTGGAACACTCTAGATGTCTCACCATTTATCTTGCTTATAGATGTGAAGACAAGCCTGTCAAGGCATCGAAGAGCGCGTACCTTGAATCGCGCGCATATGTACCTGTTGACTTCTGGCTACTAGGTCACCCGTTTGGGATGTATGGGGTCCCGTAGGGAGCATACAGTCGGCTCTGTTGCAAACGCCATTCAGTTGTATCATCTTGTATGTCACTTTGGGCCCTCTGGATTCAGTAGGCTTGTACTCGTGACAAACTCTAACAAAGCATGATCTTGTAATGCCGTAACCATAACCACTATTTTGGAGTCTGATCACTAGAAACTCATGATCAAGCTTTATGAAATGCTCTGTAAGTGCTCGCTTGTGTTTCGATGTGTCTGCGGTTTGAGTTGACTTTTGACGTACGTCACTTACCGTCTTTAGCGTGTTCTATGAGTCTTCAAGAAAGCGTTGAATCACACATATTTCGTTCACCGTAGAAGTCAAATGGATACCAGATCAGATATTACTCAATGTTCCAGACCATTTCTACAGAACTTGCTTCCTTGCTTCTTGCCGACGGCAAAAAGGACCTGGAAGCATGTAACCAGTGTCGATATGTATTGTGCGTGATATCGTTGCATGGTAAGCTGGTGTAAATGTACTTCTATGCCAAGCACTTATTCCTCACTGCCTCGTTTCCAAGGTATTGGTGGCATATAAAACAATCATGTTATTCAAGTGTCGATTCTCGTTTGATACCAAAGCCTCAATATGAAGATAACTAGCTGGATACCTAGTTACGTCTCAATCAACCTTGTTACGCCCGTTCTCTTGCTATGTTCCTTTATCCTCCTCCTACTTACTTGTCTTTCTGCACCTATAATTCCAATCGTTGACTTCTTCAGGCTAACCACCGTGCCTACACGAGGTCAGCGCTCTCCACAGGCCACCATGTATTACGGACTGGCAGGATACTGTCTCATTTCTAAGCTACCATTCAGGTAACTATCTAGGACCCGCTCTTTTATTATCCAGGTAACTCACGAGACGTTATCTAGAGGCGCGCACAGCGACACAGTCTGCGTAGATACAGGCATCGGTTATTCGCTTACTGCGCCCACCCAGTTGCCAATGGGGCCTTCTTTTGCAGTAAATGCCATGAAACGTTCATTGTCAACGTCACTAGTCTTGAATCCAGTTGGTAAGCTCAATACATAAAGTCATCTTCAACGCCAACCTGAAGTAGTTCCTACTCTTTGTAGCCTGTGGAGTCACATTTGTTGCATTTGTCGTGTCCCTTTTCGGTTTCCGGACCAAATCCTACAAACCTTCGCGATTCGTCCAGACGGCAGTCTTGACAACTACGATCCTGGCAGCACTTTTGACAACGACTGCGTTCGTAGTGGATGCCATGGTCGCTAGTCATGTACAGAATCGGATCAATTCCAACACTGCCCAACTGAGTGTAGATTGGGGTAGTGCGGTACGTACACAGAGAGTAACTAACTTCAGGGCAGTTGTTAATCGGGGATGTCTTTGCAGGTTTGGATAACCCTTAGCGCATTATTTGTTACGTGGAGTGCGACGATTACCTCGTCGGCTGATATGGTCGGTTGTTGGGGGCGAAATAGGCAAGTGTTGATTGATCAGTCTATCATGTTGTTTTGACCCTGGCTTTGACAGGAGAGTGAACAAATACTAAAAAGTCTGCTCTATTGAGCTTGCATATCACGTCACGAATGAATGTCAATTCAATATGCCCCGTTAGTTGGAAGGGTTCATATCATGGACTCGCGTACTCTTGGCAATGTTAACTATATCCATATATGTTCACCTCTGCAAGCACGGCGCATATAGTGATCCCTGCCCAAAGGGTCAATTCGGATTTCCTGATGTCTCAGATGTTGTTCGCACGCACGCTGCTGCATTTAATTCACTCACTCTCGTCGAATCGGGTTTCCTTGCCTCAAGAGCTCTAGAGATCGTATTCGGAAGCCAGGTACGTATCATATCAGGTACTCGGCTTCGAGGATAAGTAGTATGATCTTTTCTCTATGCGGACGGCTCGATGGCATTGAATCCCGATCGTGTGCAAGCAAGGTTAAGTGTACTGCGCGTCGGTGAGCTTGTACGCGCCTTTATTCGTCCTAAGCTTACTTGTCTAGTGCCACATTTCAAAAGTGTCATCATACAAGGTATTATGGTTGTACATGACCCGAAAGAAGCCTAGTCAACTGTACCAACTGCAGCATTCAAGATACAACGTTGCCGCACATCTTCACACCTATTCTGCTCGTTGCTGCATTCGTTATTCTCTTGCTCGCGTCTCTGTCAGCATCTCTCGTCTTCACGGTTGCCCTTTTCACCCTAGGGCTCTCACTATGACAAGTTCATTTGCGGTCGTTTCGATTTATCTGGTTTTGTATCTTATCCGCACCATCTGCAGCATTTTCCATCAGAGGACGGATTTATAGTCTGTGCCTTTTTGCGTTATGACTCACCCGTATGGTGTGCAGCGGTGAGCCAAGCCCCGGGAGTTGGATATCCGTTCGGCACGACCTTTCAAGACAGAACGTCCTCTCACGAGATTGTCGCAAACACATTGTCGCATTCGCTCTCCCACTTTTGGCTGAATTTTATTGGTAAGCCCCGGCATTGCACTTTCGATGAAGCTTCCAAATTAACCTAGCCTTCCATAGCTTGTGCCCATATAAGTATAGATTGCCTCCGTGACGTCACTTTTCGTCCTACGCGAGAAATCTGTGAGCCTTGCGATTGCATTCATAGTGGATGTTGTTGTCCCAAAGTATACGCAAGACTATTGATCTCGTGGATCCATAGCCGAGTGTGCGTTGGGGTAGCGCAGTGTGCGCAATAGTTTCTCCGGGACTATAGTGGAGTCCTTTGTTGGAAATGTTGACTCAAGTTCAGTGGAGCAATACTTACAGCATTTATCGTTACCTTGGGATATTTTCGGCCGTACAAGTGAGTATTTTGTTTGGTACTCCTGTATCGTTTTCATTCTCATTCATGCTTGAGAGGATGCTCGGACAGTACTGATTCAGTCGCAACCATGTCCAACTTCTATCCCATGTTGTTACAGGAAGTCTTTGTGCACTCGGTAAGGTTTACATGTCAGTACCAATTTTCTCTCAGTTGATGACTCTGGGATATGATACAGCTTTCATAAATACGGAGAGCCTTTAATCATGTGGAGAGACTTTGATCACTGTATCGCTATGCCTGCCATTCAAGGGTAAGTACGGGATAATTTCAACATTCACACCAGTCGTTCCTACATAACCTCACATGCTATGGAGTCCTTTGATTGATTTTATGATCATTCTTTGTCTCAGCACCATCTGAAGGGTCACAGGTGAAATGGATCAAACAGTTAAGTTTGAGCATGTACTCATGTTCACTGTGAATTCATCCTGACTCCCATTAGTTGCCACACACTGTGCTGTTGCCTTCACAGCGGATATGTACCGGATGGAGATTCGCCCCAAATACCACGGGTCAAAGGCTCTGCCTTTAACTTATTAGACTCTGTGAGCATCCGGTGGTGTCATCCTCATTTCTCTGCAATTTTAATACCCTTTTCTCAAAGAGTAGCACATCCCTTAGTGAAGCATAGTTGTAACTATATGCACAGGATGCACCACAATGGTGTCAATAACTTCTAGTGCACAATTTCGAAATATCATCACCCGATCTTGAAAAGCTAGAAACGTCCACCTTCCGAGATCGCCATACTTCGTGCTCAATAGCGCGGCGTAGATTGCTATCACTGCCTTTACTCAAATCTTGGTCAGCATATCTCCTTGCAGGACTAGTAAAATACTCAGAACGGCTGCTTGACCCCGTTATCACGAACATGAGGGAGGTTATCTGCCGGTCTAAATTTAGTAGGCATAAGAACGCCCAATGCTGGCTATATGCCCGCCGTGTAGCCATGGTTCAATCAGCGAACTCTAATTCATCGCCTTGGGCTTGATATAAGAGAAGCCTTCGCTGACAGGTATACTCGGGTTTCTTAGATCCTCGCTCATTAGGCTCAGACATGGACAGACGAATGTCCCACCGAAATATGTCATGGCTCAAGGGTCTCTTAGCTCCATTTTTCCTGACCGCTGCTTTCTTGCTCTTACTGCTGATTTCGCTTTCTTCGCCCATCATCGGCAGTATCTTTCTTTTCGGCTCACAGTTTCACATTAACTCCCCAATCTTGGCCGTCGGAGTAAGCGGTAGTGCTCGATTCGGTCTGTCTGGTTATTGCATTACGGTCAACGAGTTCAGAGGGTGCGTGAAGCCTCAATCGAGATGTTCATCTGGCTGATGTTCATTTCGGTGACTTTCCCAGTGTTTCTGTGCCAATCGGTGTGACTGCTACACAATGTCTTGCGATGGGCATTGGATACACTATGAGCCCTACATATCTTGGTAACGTCATTGAGGATGATAGTCCTGGCATGACTGTTGAGCTTTTCGCGGGACCTACGCTAAGCCGTCCTCTGTCCTCATCACTGGTCTTGGTTCCGATCGGCAAGTACATGTTTTCGTGAACAATTGCGAAACTTACACTCGTTTCATCAGCTTGTGCATTCACACTCCTAGCCCTTGTATCATCTCTACTTACCCTAAACCCCAAAGAGGGTGGTCCCTCTCGACTCCTTCGTGTTTTCACCGTCGGGAGTGTGGTGCTATCAGCCCTTTTGGCGACGGCCGCTACAATCGACGCGTTCGTTGTCGTCGCCAAAGTGAATGATAGTATCGCAACTAGCTCTCAAATTTACATCTACTTTGGCAACGCGGTATGTGACCTACAGCTCACTATTATGCCGTCAGCACTGACCTGCTTTCCCTCATCAAGGTGTGGATGGCTTTGGCTGCTGGCATTGCTGCCTATTGCGCGGTGGTTTCCGTGTTGGGCACCATCTATGGATTCCGAAAGCGAGTCGAAGTGAAGGCAGAGGTCGACAATTTCGATGCGGCCAGTACCCACAGCACGATCGTAGGGTCGCCTGCAATCAGTCTGAAGAAGATGAAGTCAAATGAAAGTGTTTGAAAGTTACCACGTCGATATGAACCAATAGAACTTCGCTCAACATGAAGCGCGATTTTTGCGAAGTTTGGACATTTGTATTATTACCATGTACTTTTTTCTGTCTTAACGTGATCAACTTGAATGACATCCCACTTGTAGTCCATGGCTCATATTTGATATGTTTGTTGCATATCTGATGGCCCAACAATGTATTTGGTGGAATACGGAATGCATAATACTCATGTTCTGGCCGAGTAAGTGAATCATTACTTCCACTTCAAGCTTCCAAGCTTCCAAGTTCGGAAGTACGTTCATTATCAATTAGTAGTACAGTGAATGATTGGCTCCGGGTATGGCGCCCAACTTATCCACCCATAACCATTGTATACTTTCGGAAGACTTCATTCAACGCCCACAAATGAATCATGCGAGGTATGGTAAAAATGTGGTTCATTCATAATAGCACCAACAACATTTCATAGAGTACGCAGTACTCGATCGAATTCACTCAAAAATGAACAGTTTTGCCTCTCCATGAACTTAACATTTTTACGACGCGTGAGGTTCAACCTTGAGTGCCAGTGGCCATTGCTGGTAACCTGTGTACGTCTGGAATGGTTCTCGCTGAGTCTTTGTTGCGCTTTGTTTCACTGACGGACTTGTTTCCATGCAGTGTTTGCCCGACACCCCGCATGAAAGTTCCGCAGGAGGACCTATCATCTCGGGTCTGGCTAGTTACTATCAGGTTGTATATCTCATTCTTCAATGTGTGGGTGTCAGTGGCACTGACAGAGCTGTCTACCATCGAGCCTCCAGAGCCCTACCTGGATCTTGATGAACCTTCTTCAATCTCACTGGTTCAAATATTCTACCATTGCCTATTCCCAAATCCAACCATGATTGACGGCTATCATGGCCCGGTCACCATCTTACATTTCACACCTAGCCTTCACTGATGTCTGCGTCCTACGTCTGTATTCATTGTGCTCTTACGAGTGGTGAGTAGTATGGCATTTATGATGGCCATTTCTCCCCGCTGGCGAATCTTCCTCTTCGGCTGCAGGACACCTGACTGAGACTATTTGCACTAGAAATGAGGTTATGTGGTAAGTATGGTGCTGCGATTCATCAATGAAATGTCAGTCTAGGAGTTCTTTCACCGCCATGGACCCCAATATATAGGTTATGTGTTGTCGTATACCTTGTGGTCGGCAAGAAGGCTCCCTTCGGACTTGAAGCTAGCTGCAGAATCAGACGTGCGTATTCAATCATGCCAGCATTCAACCTGAAGACTTTTATGACGCCGCACTTCTTGGCTATCGCCTCTTTGCTTTTCTTATTAGTGTCATTTTCCACCCCCTACATCAAGAGCATATATTTATTCGGTTCTTTGCTCAATCCGGATCCTCGTTCCATATTTCTGGAATTAGAGGGACCATTTGATTCGGTCTATCAGGCTATTGCGTAGAAGGCAATCATTTCAGTGGGTGCGTCGTCTTCGGGACTATCGCCTTTCGATTTGTTAGAATTCTGACAATATATGTCTGGATATGTAGTGCAGTATCCACGTGTTTGACTACAGGCATTGGATACATTCTGAGTTCGACACCCTTTGGTAGCCTCGTTGGAGTGAATAGAGGCAGTCAAGTTCTGCCTGCCGTAGGACCTGAACTAGACGCATCTTTATCCGCTGCCCTTGTCCTTATTCCTATCGGTGAGTATGCCCTCATTCGAGGTCTTGATTACTATTTCTCAACCTGTTTTACGGCTTGCGCATGCACACTTCTGGCTCTCGTCCCAACGCTTCTCATGCTGAGACGCACAGCAGGCGGACTCTCCCGCCTTCTTCACCGTTTGGCTACAGGAAGCGTGGTATTATCACCTATCTTTGCGACCGTAGCTCTCATCGTCGTCATGGTCCTTGTTGCCAAAGTCCAGAACAGTGTCGCTGTCAACTCTCCGTTCACCGTCTTTTGGGGCAATGGAGTACGCAGAACATGTTTTCCTCATGCCAGTCACCACGTTCTAGATATGGATAATATTAGGAGCAACCATTGCTGCGTATGGTGCGCTGGTCAGCGCATGGCCTTATGGATTCCGGAAACAGGTGCAAGCAAAGGATAATTCAGACGCGGCCAGTAGCAACAGCACGATCGTAGCGTCTCCTCGCATTAGCATGGCAGAGAAACTGGATGTCAAGGAGGCCGTTTAAAGATGAACGCAGAATTTAATCTCGAGCAGGCCATGTTATAGTTTAGCCTTGTCACGACTGATGTACGACTACTGTTTCAACGATTCACCAATTTTTACGGGAGTCAATGAAGACACATCGAGCTGCTATCGTGACCACATGCAAGCCCAACGTGCTTGTTGAATACTCACTCCGCTTGATTAGGTTCTATATTCTCATAATGTGGATGAGCAGAAAATGGAGAGTGACAGGTGAAGCCTTTCCTCTGTTTGCTTGTCGATGGCGCAATCCATAGTACACACTAACGGAACTAAGGGCTTGCGACATATACCAGTATTCGCAAGAAGTGTGCCGGAGCGCTGGGGATCTGAACATATAGTATTTTTATCTTCGGACCCTGTTCGCGGGATGTATCACAAGATCGTGTAGTGCATGACTATCCAATCTGACGTTTGCTTCGCAAGGTACATACCTCATAGCTGCCCCAGACGTCTTAAAGCAGGATTGGTAAGACGTTCCTACAACAGTTTTCAGACCGACGGCAACGCCGGGATACTGAATCATTGAAGCAGCAACTATGCCAAAGACAGAAATGATGAGATACACAATCCACATGAGAAATTAAGGACTTCATGCTGCGGCCTTTACAGCGGTGGAAACAGGCGGCGCAAGCTTGTTTCGGGGGGCAACGCGAAGACCTTTCGCCTTCATGGCTTTCCGCTTCGATTCTGTGGAGATTCACGTTAGCAACCGGTAACACTGAGACCAAAACAGGCATTGCGAGATAAAACTCACCCTGAATGTATATTCTATCTTCATCAGAGTTGAAGCCACTGGCTTCCTGCTCTCCATCAACGTTCATGGCTTCACCATTCACATTGAACTTCTCTTCCTTTGGCTTCACCTTTGACCGTCTCTCCACCTTGAACTTGGCAACGTAGAATCCGTCCATATTGTGGACATGTGGATAGAACCTCCTGGTCATGCTGACACTCGGGTTGAAGGTTTTCCCACGGTACTTGGTATATCCCGGCACGCCAAATTCCAGTCCAGTCTCGACGAGCTTGACATTGGGTCGTTTGCGAAGTGCGTAATCGACCACCGCCTCGTTCTCATCGACCGTAACTGAACATGTGGAGTAGACGAGGTAACCGCCTGTCTTCGAATCCGGGGCGACACTGTCGATGGCGCAGAGGATGAGTTGTTTTTGCAGATGTGAAAGGAGGGCGAAATCTCGATCAGACTGGATGCAAAAGTGTCAGAAAATATAATAATCTCGACTAGAGTAGAGGTTTACCTTATTCGTCTTGACGCTAGCATCCTTGCTAATGACGCCAGTACCACTACACGGTGCATCGAGAAGCACGCGGTCGAAACCACCCATAACCTTGGGAAATTCCCGACCGTCGTATGAGCAAACCACTACGTTCTTGCACCCCAGTCGATGAACATTAGCAGTCAGACTCTTGGTTCGTGCCTTGTTAGCATCATTGGCAAATACGACACCGGTATTCTGCATCAAAGCAGACATATGTGTAGTCTTTCCTCCGGGAGCAGAAGCCATATCCAGGACTCTTTCGCCAGGTTGTGGCGAAAGTGCAATAACCGGAAGGAAAGAAGACGCTGCTTGGAGCATATAGTGACCTGCAAGGTATTCTGGCGTCGCACCAATGGGCACATTACTCTCAAAAACCTGAAGGCCAATATTTGTCCATTTGCCAATAGGTTCAAGGTTGACACCCCGGTTGATGAGAGCCTGAGCGAGGTCTCGCCTTCGAGTGCGAAGAGTGTTTGTACGGATGGTAACAGGTCTTGGGACTTCGTTAGCTTCGAAGAACTCGATAGCCTGTAAAATACGCATTCAGCAATGATTTAAATGGACCACGTCATATATTCATTTCACCTCGGAAACCGGGAAGAGCAAGAAGAGCTTTTCTGCCAGGAAATCGTTGTAGCCGTAATAGTTTGCAATGTCCGAGATCAACTGCTGCACGTACTCCGATCGTGATCTAGTACACATTTGAGCATCCCAAGAGCAAATATACAGCCCCCAAATCGGACTTACCGTCCTTTACCAGCGTAGCGCTTGAGGTTTGACAGAACGCGGACACATTCCCGCATTCGCCGCTGGACAACATGGACTTGAGGTCCACCCGCAGCCTTTTCCTCTTCGCGTTCCTCCGCTGTGGGTAGTTGAAAGGGTCCCGCTCCCTCACCTTCGCCTTCTTCGCCTTCTTCATCTTCAAAGTCCTCGTCCTCTTCCTCACCCGCAAGAGCAGCTTTTTGCATCTCCTCTAAATCAAGCTCGGCTTCTCTAGCAGCCTTTTCGTCGAGGGCACGAGAACGTGCCTCCATGTTAGCCATGGTAACTCGCTCCTCTTCATCTTCCTCGTCGGAAGCATCAGAGTCGGATTCGTCAGAGCCGGTCGGAATAATTTTGGATGGCCGTTCGAGTTGTTTTGACTTTTTGCCTATAAGGCGTACGGGTGCTAGATCCACCTCATCTTCATCGTCTGAGCCTAAGTCGAGCTCTTGCACTGGACCGCGAAGCACGTCATCACTAGGCAAACCAGAAGATTAGTATAGATGTATCACTGCGGGCTATTGCACATACTCGTCGATTATTTCGTCTATGTCAAGATCGTCTAAGTCTCCGATGAAGCCGTTGGCATCGTCATCACTGTCATGGAATAACGACCTGAAGAAATAGGTTAAAGTCAGCGCATAGTGAAGGAACTTGAGACACTCACTTCTTCTGAACCTCAATATCTTCCTCCACATCCTCCCAGCCTTCGCTGGTTCCGCCATCCTCAACGCCCTCGTCCTCATCCGATTCAAGCTCTTGTTTCCGCTTCCCCTTTGTTGATGAGCTCTTAACTTTGGCAGATGCAGAAGAAGGCTTGCTCTTTGCTGACGGAGTTTTCTCCTTCACCAATGTGACCTTCTTCGGCTTGAGCTCCTTCTCCTTGTTCTTGACTTTATCCGTCTTCCCTTCAGTCTCCTTCAGCTTCTTCACAGGCCTTTTGCTCAAGGAATCATCCCCAGCTTCAGCCTTACGCTTTCCGAGCTTTCTGAAAGGTTTGCCGTTCACGTCAAGCGGCGTAGGATCTCCTTGCTTGTTCTTTGCACGTCGTCCCATAGTAGCTCGTTAGATCCAAAGCAAAGTGATTAATGTAAAGCAAGGAGAGACCAGAGCAGGAGACTGAGCCAACGTTTCAAATGAAAGCAAATTTTTCCAGGAATGGAAAGAGCGCCATGAGCGCCTATTATATTTGCCTCGAGGCTCGCGATCATCTACTTGCCGCGTTCTTTCTTAAACTGACCACTATGTATGCATATGGCCGGCACTAGTACGAATGTGTTCCGCTTGACCCGGTACCGCTCTCCAATTCACCGCCTCGTATCTCGGAGATATCTACTTATATCTTCAGTCATTCATGTCTCCTTACACGATTATCTCGGCGAACAAGGCGTAGAACAATGGATATCTTTACCGAGTCCTGCATGTTTTTGATGAGACTGATGTGCTACCCTGGATGGCAGGATCTATGATCGGACATCATGCAGGTCGTGGTGTCATGAACCACATCAATACGGCAGAACCCCGTTGTTCAGCGTCCTAGACAAACGTTTGCAACCCGGGTCCGAGTGATGTCGATGATTGGATCAGAACACGTTGTACTTTAGCTGGATGTCCTGCATAGTCTGACATATGATAGGTATAGCAAGATATAGATAGTACAGCCCAATTATTTTCTGTACAGCATACAAACAAGAACAAAACACGATAGCAGCTTGGACGAACCCAACACGACCTCCCCGATCTTTGAAATCCAAGAATAATAGCGCAGTACATAGCCAACAAGAAAGACGACGGGTGATGATAAAGTATTGATACACGGGTGGTGAAAGGATGACGAAATAGGACGCGCACAGCGCGGTGTAGGGTATGGAATAACGATTTGATGAGAACGCATAGCTGAAGCGCACGTCAGTAAATTGTGCGCCACAAGCCATTACGGAACAACTTACGGAAGAGAGAGTAAATATTCAACATCACGACGATGATAATCATCGGAATGGGCAATTGGGTGCATGAGCACCTCGATAGCCACAATGGCAGCATTGGGGCGCGCTGTTGCTCATGTCAATTGTGGCTCGAGACATGTCGGACTCGGAGTCAGGCCGCTGCTGTGCATGAGTGTCGATCAAGCCCGTGGTATTACGATCGAACGGTTGGCTATACATATGCGCAGCGTCGGGATGTGTGAAGGTGAACGCAATGCAGCACATGGTGAGGGCGATCGAAGTGGCGTGCGCAACGAATAGGAGGATGAGAGCGGACTCAAACTCGGATATTAAGGCAGAGAACTATGAATCGAGCTCGCAAGTGATGAGGGTGAGTCGGAACTATTACTAGAGGGAATGCTTGGAAGTGAGGGATATAAGACAAAGGAATGAACTGAAGACAGGAAGCAGAGACAGACTTTATATCATTCACTGCCCAACGGGTGGCGTATGTACAAAAAGGAGCCGGGGCGGTGCGCGACATAATCCAAAACGGTTACTAGATAGAGGTATTTTATGTGATGGCCGCGCTCGAAGTTGTTTCAGGGGCCGGGTCATACGACCAAATACGATAGAATGGACTCCTGAGCGTGCATGTCGCGCAGGGCGCGCAGTTACTTGTGAACAGATTAGGACTAGGGGGGATTAGCTACGTTGTGAGACGATGCACTTGATTCCGTCACATGTGTGGTGACATAATGATCAGAAGAAGATGACAATTGAATACAAATGCCTGCAAGATAAATTGGAAAGAAGGGGATGTTAGACAGACAGATGTACAGGACGAAGGAAGGATTATCAAGCGAGGTGTGGCTAGTGGAGGATGTCGTCCGCGAGCACGTAACAGCATCGAGAGCTTACAAGCAAACCCGCCATTAATCGCCGAAAGACGCGCCTCCGCGTTATACCCACCGATCATACTACACGTGACTGTGATGTCATACACTCCCTTAGGCTCAGCCGCGGGAACCAACCATTAATGCTACCACATTCACTACAGTCAACTTGAACTTTGTAGCATCAGACCGACTTTCGGCATGATTTATTTGTCTTTATCATCTCAGTTGCGCGCAGCATGTATCCAACCTGCGATATCGCTTAGGATCCAGCGTTCGGGTTTCCGAACCCTCAGCTTTGGATCAAGCAAACTCTACCATAACACTTTCTCCTCGTTCTCACGATTCTCAATCAGCTCAACCCCGCCCTCCGCATCGCGTTTAGAAGACGCACCCATGTCTTCCTTACGTTACAGAAAGCTTTACCAGGCTGCGGGGCTTGCCGGCCTTGGTTTGGGTCTCTCATTGTTTGGCACTTCTATTGTCCACTGCGAACGTATGTTCTGTTCTGGCTGAACATTCAACGCCTTTTTTTCATACACACGCTAATGATCAAATGTTCGTACCTCCGTTTCTTCAGCTGTACCGTCCAGCGACCCTGTGACGGCTCCACCTCGGCCACCCGATGATCCTTTGCCGCCTCCGCCCCAATCCTCTGTCAACTTCTATGAACTTACCTTCGGCACAGTCTGCGGAATCTGTGCCGGAGTATTCGTGAAGAAGGGCGCTAAGATGTTGGCCTTCGTCTTGGGAGGTGTCTTCGTGCTGCTTCAGGTACGTCTCTGAAATTTTCACTTTTGACATGTATGTGAGCGCTGAAATGGATTGATTCAAGTACCTTAACTCACTCAATCTGCTTCGTGTAAATTGGACTAATATGGGACAACGTTTCGAGAATGCGTTCTACACACGGGATGCGCAGGGTGTTCGCAGACCTCCGAATGTCGGATCTTTGTTCCGCTGGATAGTAGATTTCTTGACTTCTGATTTTCAGCCAAGAGCATCCTTTATCGCTGGACTCGCTTTAGGTCTTAGGATAGGCTAAGGATCTGGCAGGTATTTATGTTTTGACATCGGACTTCTGTATATTTGTACATACACGTAACACGCTCGGCGGATACCATCGCTCCGAAGAACCAGCATCCCAGATACTTCTAAATGTTTCTTAGCGTCGATCTGTACGACCAACCTGACAAAAAAATACACGGGATTGTGAATGGACACTTCTATTTTATGCACTACATAGTGTATTACTGCCTGCCGTTGTTCGCGGCCATCTTTCCCATGACATCACACTATACCTCATACATCCCCCAAAACTGCCTTCACTTTCGATATCGTATCCTCGTCCTCTTTCCCTCTTTCATAGCCATCCCTCGCCTCAGCAATCAATCCAAACAACTCGTGCAACACTTCCGGTAATTCATGAATGTCCCCGACAGGCGTCTTCAACTCCGTCTTTCCCTTCTCATACCCCTGCACACTCGTCTCTACAAGCGCAGTCGTAGACCCAGGGACAAACAACCGTTCTATGGGCTGATCTGTTCGCCGCTGTGCAATCCGCCATGCGTTCATGAACGAACCCGTTGAGGGTAAGTCAAGGGTCTGCCTAGCCAGATCTGACAGCCCGGTGAAGTCGTCTGGGTTCAAAATCAACACTTTGCCCCTGGCGTCGACAGCGACATCTGGCTTGAAGAGAGCCAAAGTGAATCCATCTGGAATGGCAGGTGCATGGTGAAGCACTGCAAAGGCGAGTATCTCTCGTGTAGGTGTGAATGTCTCGGGTGACGGATGGAATGTCGCTCGACCATGCCAGCCTTCATACTTTGAAGACCAAGGGGTCATATTGTGTTGACGGAATGATGATCGGCGTAAGATTGGCTGGTAGTTGTAGGCTAGGAAGAGGACGAGAGCGAGGGCTGCGGTATAGAGCAGAACGGGTCGTTTGACTGTTATCGATAGGACCATGAAGAGGTCGTAGTCGCAATATGGTGGTTAGCGGAAGAGTGATAGAGGTGCAGTATGGCGAGGAGGGAGAAGCATGTGGTACATCCCAGATGGATTCCGCCTGGATTTCGGGTACTGCATATGGATAGCCATTCCACTCGATCATGATCAGTGAGATGATCTTTCGATCCCCATGATCGAGAAAGGAAAATATTGGAATTTACTCTGCTGAATGTGTTACCGTACCGTTTGGTATCACATATCGATTTGTGTCTATGTCGTAGAGCACAGAATTCATGCTGAATTATACGGATCACATCTAGTGAGGTGTCGAGTGATATGTCTCTTTTGAGAACAGGTGAGTAGTCAATAACGCGCCCATATTGCGCGAGTTTTCAAATTGTATGATGTTACAGATGCTAACCAGTGTTCAAACAGTGTTCAATGTAGCTAATAAGTGGTACGAAATATTTAACCCATCAAATAATCTCGAGCCCGCTGCACATCTTCAAGACCCTGAATGATAAAATGCTCCGTTGCCATAGCGCATACGTCTGACAGACCTGAGAGAAAAGTATACAGGCATCAAATATACACACAACTCGAATGACATTGACAGCGAGCGAATCATGCGAACCTTAACAGCTGTTCACGTCCCTCTGACCACCTCTGATTCGCTCCTTCCCAATCAACGGCCAATCTCGCGTCTCCCATGCCCGAGGCAAGATCTTTCATCGTCCAGCTGCAGCTGCACTCAACACCAATTGCTTCCACTGAGAACGTGTGACCACAGGTGCTACACCATGCCCGTGATGATAAGCAGGAGGTCCATACCCAAACGCCGTCCTAGGCGGCGAACGACCCAGCGCTGCTTGGAAATGCGCCGCATTTCGGGCACTTTGGGTATGTTGCACTGGTCCGTACACGCCTTTCTCCAGATCACGTTCATTCCCAATGGAGGCGTATCTTCGGAGTTCCGCACCAACCATTGGGAAAGGGTTGGGAAGGGGCGCTTCGGTAGGCTCGTGTACCAGTCGTGGACTGGCTGTGTAGGAACGATACACAGGATCACTGAATGCGCGAATGTGGGCCATGGGCGGTACGCGCTGTTCGGATTGGAAATGCACGCTGGGTGCTACAGAATGGACAGACTGTAGCGTGGCAGTGTGAGTCCGAGGTGGACTAGAAATGGTGGACTTCATGGTGGGTGATGTTCGTGGGTCATAGGGAGACAAGATGACATGCGAGATCGATTGTTCGTTGGAAGAGTCTGTACTTGAGTAAGTGGAGTACAGAGAGTAGATTGACGAGGGACTCTCTGGCTCTTTCGCATCCTGAGGACCATCCTTCTCCTGAATACCCGAAAGAGGGGGTACGTGATAGGGGGACAAGTACTGTTGTCCGAATGATCCTGGAGTGGCCGTTGAACTACTGCTGTTATATGTAAAAGCGGAGTATGTAGAATCTGGCGTGCCATTACGTGACATGGGATCCATGAATGGATTCAGCAAAGGGAGCGCTTGTGGTCTCGAGGTACGTTTCTGACTGAACGTCCGTGACATGCGGGCTATAGAATTCTGTCGCATTGACGAAGGAGCTGGACTATTGGTGGCTGATCGCAAGGATGCAGGAATTGGGCTACTAGTGGCTGAGCGCCCGCTGGACGTTGACGATATCGTTGTTGATGGTAGAGGGACACGAGGAGAACCCATAGCGCCATATGATCCACCTGAACGCATTCGAGAGTGAGCACGGCTGGCTTGCTCTGGCACTGACACTGGCTCTGGAGAGATTGGACTCGGCAAGCCATTGACCACGAACAACTTCTTCGGAGAAGTCCTGTTGGCCTGTCGTTGATTGACATACTGAATGACCTTTTGAGTCTTCCTTAATTCATTGGAATCACCGGACCATCGACTCTGAGGACTTCTGTTTGAACTCTGTGGGCTGCCAAGTAGGCGTGAGGCTGAGTTGATTGAAGCTGTCGAGGACCGTGGGCTGGGGTTTGCGCTCAAAAGCAAGTTGGGAGTGATCACAGGGATTGGGAAGGGGATGCGTGACATGATGCACAAGAAAATGGCGTAGCCTAGCACTATATACATAGAATGAGTCATGTGGTGGTGGTGTCTCGACATGACTCACAAAGCCCAGTGGTTGCCCAAGAACCAGCTAAGAATGCAAGCTCAACATCGTTACAAATGGTTTTGGAGCCTATATTGCCAGGTCATTGGTTGTACCGGATACTACTTTGAGGGGATTAAACTTACTGAATATCTCGCAGGAGAAGCTTCCGCCGAAAAGTGTGTAAAGAACAGAAGCGGCTATATAACAGTGAGGCAGAATCGCCACCATAAGTTAGACCGCCTCGTACCGACATGAATCGCCAACAGGAAAAGAGTTCGAGCGAAATCAACCCATATCCGAAAGACGCAAACAATCCTGTGGAAAACAAATAAATAATACTATCGTCGACAGTGGAGTTCATAACACTCACATGAGATACTGAATCACGGTTGTGATGCCGTTCACAGAGATCATCGCAATGACGATACTTCCTGTTAGGGCTTCAACTTCAAGTGAGAGATAGGAGAACGGGACACTCACGCTGCAGGATAGTAAAGTGATCCCATTCTTTAACCAAGTAAATTGAAAGAATAGCGACCCAAGCGAGGCCAGTGATGGCAATGAAGGCTGTACTAGACGTATAAGAGGCGCTTTATAGAGTAATAAGCGACTCACCAAAGATGACCTTCCTGATTTTCCGGAAAAAAGACCACCACTTCATGGTTCAAGAGCACAGAAAGTAAAACAAGAAAGAAAGTAAAGACAGACCGGTATCTTTGAAAGGAAAGAACGAAGCCCTCCAGGGAGCTTCAAGAGGGAGCCCGAAGAAAAACGAAAGAAAAAAAAGAGACTGACTCTGTCAGCACCTGATGAACAAAGGAGTGCTCGCGAAAAGGCCGCCACCGCAGTCCCCTGGGTTTAAGAAGGTATCCATGGGTCACCGACAGGCCCCGTGGCGTATCTCATCAAGTTCTTGACAGGGTGAGCAGCCAATCATTGTCTGCCCAGCCTCTGGGAAATTGACACCTGCGCGCTGACGGGACCACACCTTTGCTCACTATACCGTGCGTTCATCACCGAGGTCGTGAGGCAAGTACAAGACAGTCTGTCAGAAGTTATTGCCCTTGTGTAATCGGTGAACATGGAAGTTCCCACTTTGGAATGAAGCTGTGCGCATCAGCACGCCGATCACAATCGAGGATATCACGTTTGTCGCGTTTTCGCGTTTGGTCACGACCTGGTCACAGGTCCGCTAACCACGGACAAGGCTTGCATGCACCACCCGCTGCCTGCCAGGTCCTGTTGCGACTGCCCGTCCGTTGAATTGCTACCATGTCTGAACAACAACCTCTATTACCTTCACAAGACGCATACGCTGACACTGATGTTGAAAATACTGCCCATGGTCGACAACATCATTGGAAGAAACGGATGGCCGAGTTTCTCGAGTCCCGGCCAATGCATTACACTGTCCTCACCCTGGCACGTATTTATTTCTACATATAGCACTGCGAACCACCTCCAACGTCGCTTCATTGCCGTCGGTGTGGATATATAGGTCGTGATTGATTCTGCATGCGTGTTGACCGATCTCGCATACACCATTCTCTCGGATTCATGTACTCCCATCGAAGGCCCTGGCGCACCTATATGGCTGGACGTCCTTTCTCACATATCTCTCGTCATTACCACATTATTCCTCATCGAAATACCACTTACACTATGGGCGCTGGGTCCGAGCTTCTATAATCCGATGGGAAACAAACTTCATGCTGGCTTGCATCTCTTTGATGCTTTCATCATTATCACAACCTTCATTTTAGAGATTGTATTGAGGGGAAAGGAAAGAGAACTTGCTTCCCTGCTCGTTATTCTCCGGTTATGGCGTCTTGTCAAGCTGGTCGGAGGTAAGTAATATCGCGTACATGCAGTTCAGGCAGATATAATTTAGTCTTGGGCAATCAGGTATTGCCGTTGGAGCTGGGGACCTGGAAGAAGAAAATGCAAAGGCCCTCATGGAAACTCGGGAAGAGCTCGAAACTGTACAACGGGCCCTGACCGTAGCAAAAGACGAAAATCAGGAGCTGCGTGCAAGAATATCGTGGTTAGAAACTGAAGGCGCCCCGTCATCAAGCTGAATGATACGGGATACAAGACTCGTCCTTTATTTCCAAGGATTCATGCATATAATATAAGGCTACAAGGTGTTCGAATACGGTCCAAATGAGGGAATGCGAATATCAATACAGTGTTCGTGATGTCATCTTGGCATTGGTTCTTCGTGATGGAAAAGAAGTACGAAGGTGGGATCCATTAACGCGGTGTCAACTGCGGAGTAGAATGCACGTTGATTCCCGCAGCCATATCTGCCCGAACCCACTCCGAGAGTCGACCGAACTCGATGGGTCTGTCAGGATTCGCGACGGCAGCAGGGAACTGGCTGTAAGAGGAACGCGTCGTTTGCGACTCCCGACGATAATGCGGACCGTTCATGTCGAGACTAAGATCCAACTTTGGAAGGACCAGCGGGGTAGGCTTAGGTGGCGGAGAAGGGGCAGAAGATGGTGACCAGTATGACTTGATTATGGCAGTGATGGGCCGCGTCTTCGGTGCGCCAAAAGGATGATCAAGGCCTCGACGTACTTTGAGGCTCTTCGCCCAAGTGGGTCGGAAAGTCTCCCTGCTGCTTTCATGAGGCAGAGTGGGCCGTGTACCGGACAATCCTTTCTCGATGTCCGCGAAGGGAGCTCTCGGAGGACTCAGAGGGAGGTCATCGTCTGTCCCATTGAAGAGAGGATTTACATATGGCATTTTCTGTGCCTTCAACTTGAATGGCTTCGGTGGAGTCGGCATGGACACCGGCCTTGTCGAGGGAGGTCGTGGCACATCGCGTTCGGTGAACCAAGGAACGTTGTACACCGTGGTGGACCATACGCCGCGATACGATTTCCAGTGGGAGAGAGCAGTAACGAGGAGTGCAAGAAAATAGACCAATACTAGATATAATGAGCAACGATTGCAGTTGGTTCGAAACAGAAAAACTCACGCGAAGTGCACGATATCCAAGTGAGGACCACGAGAACAAAGGACGAGCCACAGATAGCCTCGGATGCTATTAAGGGAGTTAGAAGGCCGAAGACATTTACACGGCATTCTAAAAACTTACATTGAGAGCCGCAGTATATGGGAGGGCCTCTTATGGTGATGTTCAGAGCAGCAGCTGTGAACCGACCATTTGAATAAGTTATCGCGTATGGTCGCTCATGGTAGAGTTAACGTACCGAGTTGTAGTGTGCTAAGAGCACCTGTCCATAGACACTCAAAGGAAACTTGAGCAGTCTTGGCGGAAGGGATAACAAGTTCTGCCACGGCCCTAGATTGAATTCAGTAAGTGTTGGGTAGCACCATGCGAGATAGAGACGAAACGTACAACAGAAGGAAGAAGACCAGAGCACAACTATTGAAAATGATGAATAGAGGCGCGCCTACAGCTGCATGTCAAGATATACTGAGTGAACGCGTTCACTACACACTGAGACGTGCCTTCGTACCTGATACGCCAGCATCTTTCATTGCTACAATGTTCCATATTGAGAAGCCGAATGCCAAAATATTTAGATACATAGCAATAGCTATCAAGAACAATTGATGTTGGTTCCTCCGAGTGTAACGAGATGATACTCACCGAATATAACGAATCGTAAAGTAAGGAATGGGCAGCGCATCTTGGCGTTGAGTATCGTGTGAGGGAGCAAAGACAGTGTATGGGTTGGGGCTGTGGTTCAAAAAGTGGGTTGTGAAATCCAGGAGACCTTTGGGAAAGTGTCCTTTAAGTGGCAATGGAAATTTGTTCCGGTCAAAGTCAAAGGGGCTAAGCAGTCAAAGGTTAAGTTGGTGTAAAGTAGTCTAAAGGGTCGATGGACCGCGTTCTTTGTCTATATCCTTGAGTCCAGTCCACCGGGGAACGGGATGGAGCATAGTAAGTGGCCATGTTGCTTATATGTATGACGGTCGGATAAAGTACAATGGTCGGTAAGAGAACAATGCCTGCTCCTCCTCTTTTCAGTCGCAATTTAGGCGTCGGTTCACTAAAAAGGAAATTACGACACCCATTTGACATGATTGGTTCAGTTTGGTTTGAAACTCGACCACAACAAGTGCATGTCCCCCTGGAATATTGCATACATAGGTTCAAAAGCTCGTTGCTATCTTCATAGCTTTGCAAGTGCGCGCCAGATAAACAAGACTATGGAAAGCACTTTCGATAGAGGTATGGTTCATTGTGAAAGTACCTACTAACTTTTCCTCGACCGATATTTGAACTGTAGCGCTGTTAGAATTACATGGTACTGTTTAATGGATTTAGAAATAGAGGCGGGACCGTGCAGACAAGTCTATACTTCTGCTGATGGACTGGAACGCGCCGCTCCTGATCGCAGATCATACATGGCATGCACTTGTAAGTGTTTCTATTCCTTCAAACGTGCTGAAGCGGAAGCATTTCCACTGAGGTCATGTCTGGATACACGCAGTCCTTGGAGACACCTTACTGCGCTCTCGACTTATCATGACACTCTGTTTCTAGGTTGTTTCCGGATGACGCGTCTTCCGCCGTCTTGGTGTAGGCTGCAGTGTCCCCCGTATCCGAGTTATCCGAGGATGCGTACCATCCGCTCCTCAGTATGAGTGACGGTCCTTGTCAATTCATCGGTCTGTCTCGTCGGAAGCTGTCGTTCGGTCCCCCCACACAACATCCGCAAGCTATCCGTCATCTGAGTGTATAAAGGGCATTCGGAACCTCAGCTATTCGCTACGTCGTACCCCCCTCATCTCGACTACTTCATCCCCGCACCTTGAACATTTATAATTCTCATTCAAAATGCGTTCCACCATCATTGCTTTCGTGGCGATGCTTGCAGCCGCATGCGGCCCTTCATTGGTGGCAGCTGCCCCTTATCGTGGCGACCTCTTCACCACTTATCCCGTAGAGGATTCGTCTGTCATTCGAGAGGCTACGCCTCAGTCGGGAGCGGGTGGTCTCGTCTTGTCATATATCAAGAAGCGTTCGCCTGCAAGAGGTGGCAATGGCTCATCTGGCAGAGTTGGCAACGCCAATGGTTCCAACGTTGTCAACAGCGGAGGAACGATCACGAATGGCGAAAATGCTAGTAAGTCTCGAACCCCCATAGCAATGAAAAATGCTTACTTTCGGAAAATAGATGCTGGAGGTACTGGTGGCACCGCAAGGTCAGGAAATGCATCTGGCGGCGCAGGATCTAACGGAGACGGCGGTGGTGATGCATCCTCGGGATCCGCTGGCAATGCGAACGGAGGCAGCGTAACGAATTCCGGTACCAGTATTTCGAACACTGGCACGGCCGCAAGTGAGTTTTATTGGTGTACATTATTGCATTCATTTTCTGATTGCGATGTTTAGATCCAGCCAACAGAGGAGGCAACGGTGGTACTTCGCAGAGTGGTAATGCCGTAGGGGGCAATGCTGGGAAGCGTTCCAATTAATTTGAGCTAGTTACAAAGATACTTTAGAAGAATAGCACCCGTGATTGACGAAACCTCAGAATCAGAATTTTCAGTTGGTTGCACGTTGACTAAAAACCCTTTAATGCTCCACATACGTTTTACTTCATCTTATCTCAATGTACTTCGTCTACATCCATAGAACGTTTTCACATAACTTCCAAACTCTTTTCCGCAAAGTTTGAGGCATAATGACGTTAGATGTGCTCGTGAATAATGTACACGTAAACATGGGAAGGAAGGATTGGTTACGCTCGACGTACACTACATGAGTCCGCCATGATACAAGATAAAATGTAATACACAGCACTTCTCTCATCAATTCCTTCGTTCGTCTACCCTGTTGTAAGCACTGATTTTGGTCAAATCAAGCGGAGGTGGTCTACGGCTCGTGGGACTTCCTCGCCTTGAGTCTGTGGGTGTAGACACTGAAGTGGCTGAGGGTGCGGGTTTCCGTGCTGATCTTTGCTGTCGCTGTTGCTGTGCGGATCGTGGCCAATCACCTAAAGGTGGAGGTGCTGGCGCTAACACTTGAGCGGTTCCACGAGTGGTTTCGGGCATCTTGGCCTGGATATGGGGAGGGTACATCGACGCTACAAGTTGGGGCTGAGAAATGAAAGGTCGTGTAGCCTGCCTCATGGGAACGATGCGAGAAACTGCAGGTGGCGCCTCAACGTCAGCAGGAACATCCATACGTGCTACTGCAGCCTGGTTAACAGCGTGTTTTGGTTGTGGTGCGACCAAGGCGAACGGTCGTTGCCATGTCTTGGTGGGGCTGGATGGCGCGCTCGGTAACGAGGCCCGGGTAGCGTACCAAGGGAAGAAACGGACACTAGATTGCCAGACACTAGATTGCCAGACACTAGATTGCCAGACACTGGGGTCATCGTCATGGTGCATGAGGGCAGATACTACCAAGGCAACAAGATAGACGAATACTATATGAATTCCGTAGTCAGTGAGATGTGTAGTAATGGAGCACAGAAAAAAAACACCGACAAGCAGTCATGCACAACCACGAGAACACCAAGAGCACCTTCATCGAAGTGCAGGAACTTGCTGTATAACCTGGGAACAAAGGAGCGAGAGGAGAGCACATCATATCTGGCAGCAAAGACGTTGCAGCAGACGCTCCAGCTATTCCGAATGTCAGAAATGTCTAGACGTATGTCACAGCAGATCCTGCGCACCAAGGTACAACATCCAGAACAGAGCAACCCATGCACATTCAACCCAAACGCGTGTTGGGAGCGCATTGCGGCGGAAAACATCGAGGAATATGCTATGGTGATGTGAGGGCTTGTAGCAATAGAAACAGTAAGATACCACATACATTGGGAGGATGACAACCACACCCAGCGCCCCAAGGAAGGCGAGGAAAATATCGACCTGGGCTGAGGTTCACATTTTTATGAGACAAGTATGCAACCATTAGGAATAATTGCGACTAACGATTCAGGCCCGCATTACGACCAAGAGTAAAGTTCCAGACGGCGACAGCACAAATAACAGCACTGCAAATAGTAAAGAGAGCTGGAATACCATGAGTGAGGATCCTGAATGCATGGGGAAGACATACCAAAGAAAGCATAACGATAGGCGAGAAGAAGGCTAACCATGTCTTCAGAAATAGGAACGACACTGGTTACTTGCACAAGTGATTGAAGAGACCGGTCTACGGCGGTGTAAGATCAAAGAACTACAGAGATCCTAGCTCTGAGACCGGAATCCTGTCCAGTGAGGAGTCGAAGAGACGACGACGAAAGGAATGTGAAGGTGAATTAAGAGAAGATGAAGAGAAGAAGGAAGGAAAGAAAATGAGGATGGCTGTTCGTCGAGGACGCTAGTATGAAGCCTATTTTGGCGGGCGGTACAGGTCGTGGTTGCAACGAAACGCAATCAAACATGTATCAAACTTTATACTTCTCTTTCTCACCACTCACCTCAAAGACGGCACCGCTTTGTTTGTTACTTGGACAAAGGACGCTCCACGTCCATTGACGTTGTTTCACAGGCCAATGCTTATTGCACTCCTCAGGGCAACGGAGTTGTAGTATCTAAAATGGGTGTCTTTGACCTTACATTATCTTTCCGATTAAGGAAGCTCCAGCCAGTCCTGGTATGTTGCGCTGTCATTACGAACGCGTGAGTCCTTTTGTAGCAGCCATAGTTAACATGTCTGCTAACGGCGATGCTTAGACTATGTGCTGGAGGGGTGTACAGCTTCCCTCTGATTTCCCCAGCCCTTGTCGCACACATGAAACTCACTCAGCCACAACTGACCACCATCGCGCTTGCGTAAGTTAATGATGATGTATCACATACATCTGCTCAGCAAACATATTCGCTCCCACAGAGGAATGGTTGGCCAATATCCATTTGCGCCTTTCGTCGGGAAGTTGCTCGATCGCTATGGACCCCGGATGTGCTCCTTTTTGGCCGCCATACTGTTCTCTCTAGGATTCGGACTGTTCTCTTGGGAGATTGCCAGTACGCCGGATGAGATCAGTCGGGCTTCGTCCGCATCGTTTCGGAGACTAGTAGCATACTTCGCCATGGCCGGCCTTGCAACGGTGCTTTCGTGCGCTACTCCCATTCTCTTAAATCCAATGTAAGAGCTCACCGAACGGATTCTCAAGCTACTTCTCGATCGTTTTCTCAGCGACAAAGGCTCTCCCTAATTACATGGGCGTAGCATCCGGGACAAGCATGGCTCTATTTGGTTTCTCGCCTTTGGTACTCTCTGTTGTAGCGAACCGTTTCTTCACTCATCAAGATACTGGCCTAGACGTGACACATTTCCTAGCACTTATTGCCTTTTTAGCCGGTTCCACGCACTTGTTAGGAGCTCTCTGCATGCAAGGGCCTGAGCCGAAGGCTCTTGTGGACACCCCAACCATCGCTATGGAGGATGAAGAGAATACACCCTCGACATCGACACCTTCCGAGCCTCTTGACAATGAATCCGACAACGAGGCACAACCCTTGCTCTATTCAAATAAACTGAAACATGCTACTGTTCACGCTGAGGTTGATGTGATCGCTGTGCCCGAACCTGAACATGGGACAGTAGGTGACCTCTTGAAAGACACATACTTTTGGCTGCTAATAGCCATCCTCGTCGTCCTGATCGGTATCGTACGTGTTCCAGTTCCCGCTGTAGAGTTTTTATACAGTGCTTATGGCCCTTGTGCAGGCGGAAATGGTCATGGCTAACCTTGGATCCATCTATCTCTCACTGCCGTCGTCTTCCGGACGATCCCCGGATGTGTCGACTGCTGTGCAACTTCTGTCTGCGTCCAATACCCTGACTCGTCTTTCTGTTGGTTCCCTCGCCGATGCGGTATCCCCTGTTGCATCCTATGTGCACAGCGGTATCTGGTCGTTCCCAAGAAAGCAACATTTCAGCAGAATCGCCTTCTTGTTTGGTGCATGTGTACTCTTGGCTGCAACATGCGCGTGGCTTGAAATAGGTATTAGAACTCGAGAAGCCATTTGGTCCCTGAGGTAGGCAAATTTACTGAACACCGATCTGATAATAGGAACGCTGAATATTTCGTAGCATTGGTATAGGGATTGTCTACGGAACAACTTTCACAATACTGTACGCTGCCTCGGTTCGTAATCATATACCTACCCGTATTCACGTCTGCATATAGGCCTAGCATTCTGTCTTCAATATGGGGTTTGCCAAACTTGGGTCGCAACTTCGGTATCATTTCATACGCGCCATTCGTCGGCACGACCCTGTTCTCCTATCTTTACGCATTCGTGGCGGCTGCTTTTACATCCCCTTCTGAAGACACTTGCAGCGGCGTGATTTGTTGGCGACTGACCTTTTGGTTGAGTACCATGTTAGCAGTGGCTGCTGCTGGCGGCTCACTGATCCTATGGCGGAAATGGAGCGGTCGGGTATGATGCTCAGCGTATCTTCCATGGTTTGCTTTGATCTGGCTTGCAGCGTTAATTATATGTAGACGATCTTGGTTCACGAATGTACAATACATATATCTCTCCTGCTTGAGATGCTCCGATCTTCCTGCTACGATCACAATGACATCTCGTCCGCCCGGGAGTAAGCTCTTCTGACTACTAAGGTCATACCGTGATGTCATTCTGCGACATGATGCAGTGTCCTGCCTTGATCTCAAATCACTGCCATCTCCAACGTGTATCTGCTTCCTTACCCAGCGGTCCAAGTCTGTCTTGTTTTACCCTCATCCCCTGAACCACACTGACACCTCTCCGCCGTCGGACAATCGTCTGAGGAGATGTCTTCGACTTCACAATCGCGCTGGGGTGCCTTTGCCTTCCACAGCGTCGCAGCAGCCATTATGGCTTACGGATGGTCCAGCCTGCAGACTTTATCCATCAGCGAATGGATTCTGACGCAGAAAGGAGGTCATTTCCAGTACCTTACGATTCTAGGGTATGTCTACTTCAACTCGTTTCCTGTTCTTTAGGTACTAAACGGGATGCATCGTCCTAGGCTACTCGTAGCTTGGCTTGCGATGGTCATGAGCACAATATCCGACTTGATACCTGCCCTAAGGTGTAAGTCCAAACATTCCGATTTCATTCTGAGAGGTTCATTATCTGACTCTCGAAAAGTTGTGAAAGTGCTGAAGCGAACCCTGCTCATGATCGCCTTACCTGTGAGTTCGCCTCTATATACTGTCAACCTCTGCTCAATGTCTAGTAGCTGTCCATTGTGATATCTTCCGTCTATTGGGGGCTCTTGCTTTTCATGCCTCACCTGATCCTGCGACCTGAAGCATCGGAGCCATCTTCGTCAACGGAAGCACCAGCCTTTGCCCGTATCCCCCTCAGAATTGACCTCGCCTTACATGCTGCTCCAGGCATTGCACTTCTCATCGACTTCGTCTTCCTTGAGAAGAAATATAGCGAGAATCAGGCGAGATATGGCGGGTTTTCGGTTGCTGCTTTCTCCGGTCTGTTATATTCAACCTGGGCAGAGTATTGCGCGAAATTCAATGGAATCTGTACGTGAAAAAGTTTTTTCTGATAGGCTTGCATGTCTAACATCAGTTTTCGCACCCCTTAGTTCCCTATCCGTTCCTTACTAACAGTGAATTTCCCGTCCGCGTTGCGATCTACGTTGTTCTTACACTTTTCGCTTATTCCTTTTTCGTGTGGTTGAATGCCCAGCGCCGTTGATTGCGTCAAGTATTCTTTGTAGATTCTGTTCCAGATAGAAATGTATATCGCCATGTGGATGTTTGTGCTTGACATGCTCGCCATAATTCTCATGCTTCCGATCGCGTTTCTCGATCGCGTTTATTTCGTGACTCATGTCACTTGTCACGAGGACGGAGTCATTGAAGGTTCATTCCACTCAAATTTAACTTGAACTTGAAGCACATTACAACATTCCATCGTACTCTCAGGCATCGTCCCAAACGCCTGTTAATTTTTTTTCCCGTTTTTGAAGCTGTGAGGGTATTTGGTTCACCTTTTCAGACCCTACCAAAATGTCCAATCAACCGACCAAACAGAAACTATGGGGTGGTCGTTTCACAGGAAAGACAGACCCTCTGTAAGCTTCAGCAATATATGTATTACACCTTTAGCCCTAATAACACAACCCTGGGCACCAGGATGCACGAGTTCAATCAATCTTTGCGCTACGATCAGAGGATGTGGGCCGCTGATATCGCTGGATCGATTGCATACGCTAAGGCATTAAACCTGGCCGGCATCCTCACAAAAGATGAACAAGAGAAAATTGTTCAGGGTCTCACTGCGGTTGGCCAGGAATGGGAGCAGGGCGTGGTGAGCCTTTTCGTATCGATATTCTCGGGTGCATCTTGACTGAGAAAATTACATTTCATTTCAAGTTCGATATCCAACCAGACGATGAGGACATTCACACAGCAAATGAACGTCGACTCAGTGAACTTATTGGACCTCTTGGTGGCAAACTGCATACAGGCCGATCCCGAAATGACCAAGTCGCGACTGACATGCGCTTGTGGCTCCTAACCGAAATCAAGCACGTCGTACGTGGACTGAAAGGGCTGATCCGAGTCATGGTTGAGCGTGCGGACAAGGAGAAAGATATTCTGCTCCCAGGATATACTCATCTCCAACGTGGTCAACCCATTCGATGGTCGCACCTACTCCTTTCACATGCCTTCTCCTTCCGTGCAGACTTGGAACGTCTCTCACAACTCATCCCCCGTATATCTGTCCTTCCACTAGGTTGCGGCGCCCTTGCGGGAAACCCCTTCGTGGTTGACCGTGAATTCTTAGCAAAGGAGCTTGGATTTTCATCTGTTGCAGAGAACAGTCTGTACGGTGTCGGCGATCGTGACTTCATTGTTGAGTTCATGATGTGGGCAAGTTTGGCAATGACCCATGTTAGCCGAATGGCTGAAGACTTGATCATTTACTCGACTGCAGAGTTCGGCTTTGTTACGCTGAGTGATGCATACAGGTACATTTTGCTGTTTAAGTTGTTTCGAACGAACTGTTGACAGTGCTTTGGCAGTACGGGATCGAGTATCATGCCTCAGAAGAAGAACCCGGATTCCCTGGAGCTCCTGCGTGGAAAATCTGGCCGTGTTTTCGGAGATGTAAGTTACTTCATCAATGTGTAAGGGTTCATTTTTTGACAGTCAGACTCGTATAGATGGCCGGTTTCTTGATGACACTGAAAGGTCTGCCATCGACATATAACAAGGACCTGCAGGAAGACAAAGAGCCACTCTTTGATTCTTACGATACTGTTTCGGCCTCATTCAAGATTGCCGAGGGCGTTATCGCGACCATGGAGGTATAACTGTTTCTTTTCAAGGAAGAAGGTTCATGTTTTTCTCATGGACTCTGCATAGGTACACGCTGAGAAGATGCGTGAAGCGCTAACCATGGATGTGCTCGCCACAGATTTAGCAGACTACCTCGTTCGCAAGGGGGTAAGTTTCGCCGAACAGGTACAGGTCTTGATACTCTCATTGACGACGTTTTTGTTAGATTCCATTCCGTGAAACACATCACATCTCTGGGCGCGCGGTTGCTCTGGCAGAGTCTCGCAAGTGTCAGCTCAACGATCTCAGTCTGGAAGACTACAAGCAACTGAGCGATAAGTTCTCGGAAGATGTCCAGTCTGTGTTTGACTTTGAGGCCAGTGTTGAGCGACGAGAGTCCATCGGAGGCACCAGCCGGAAGATGATAGAGAGGCAGGTGTCAGTGCTACGAACTGCGCTGGAGCAAATGCTTCCAGAAGAAAAAGCCTGATTATCCTAGGCTATGTACATATTTCATGTACCCTGGATAGATTCATAGGATTTACTGTTTTGAACGTAAGCGCAGTCCAGAACCGTGCAGGCCGCAGTCAAGAGTAACGGATGGAGGGACATCCGAATATAGCAAGCGGTGCTCAGCCATCACGACTGAACTCAGAACCGCCCTGCAACACCGCCCACTCTCCATCTGACGGTCTTTCTCTCAGGTCACTCCTTGTCCCTCGTTTCACTCTTTTACTACTACTTGACCTCACCCTCTATCTACTCCTTGGCACGAGCATTGACTGCGGTGCCCCGCCCATACAGTCCCAACCGCTACATACCATTCCTTCCTAATCCTGCACTTGACACGACACAATGGCCAGAGACAGACTTGCAGCTCTCAGGGTGTGTCTCAAGAGTGTAAGAGAGTTAGAATAATTGACTTATATGTTTGCTACTTTTCAGGCGCAACAGGGCGGTGGTAGCTATAACACCGGGTCGTACGTTCCAGCCGCAACGGTGTTCGGAATAGCATATCTCACATGTAGCTTTACAGTGATTCTTACCCAATGCAAACCACCAATACTGGTGGGTATATGGCCTCGAGACCCAACCCATACGCTCAGCAGGATGGTCGTTCAGATGGTTACAACGCGCAGGCGGCAGACAGCACAACACACCTAACGGCCACTAGTGGAGACAGCATGTCAGCATTCTACAGCGAGGTCTGTCAAAGTAGTCGCATGTTGTGGGAGGTGTCTCATAGTGTTGCGTAGATTTCTTCCATTCAAGATGACCTGCGAACTTTCAACGACAATGTCAACCGGATATCCGACCTTCACTCACGTTCGCTCAACAATACCGATGACGCTGCGGTACAACGCAACACACAGCAATTGGAGGACCTTGTTGCTGACACCAGTGCTCTCAGTAATGTCTTGAAGCGACGGATAAAAGCTTTGGAGAGAGAAGGTGGTTCGGGACGAGATGGACAGATTCGCAAGCAACAGGTGAATCCCGTATGAATGTGATTCAGGAATGGTGATTCTGACAAGGGACGGTTATGATTTGATTAGACTGGACTTGTGAAGCAAAAGTTCATGGAGGCGATTCAGAACTACCAAACTGTCGAGCAACAGTACCGATCAAAGTACAAGCAACGTCTGGAACGTCAATTTAAGATTGGTATGTACAATTTCATACGCTCTATCATTTCGAATGGTGCTCAAGGGATGTGCAGTGAAACCCGATGCTAGCCCTGAGGAAGTCAAGGCGGTGACTGAGGATGACAACGGCGGCCAGATTTTCAGCCAAGCGGTCAGTACCCTGAACGTTTCACATCGTTGACTGTAGAGCTTATAGTTACCATAGCTCATGAACTCGAACCGATATGGTGAGGCGAAATCGGCGTACCGTGAGGTCCAGGAGCGACATGAGGACATCAAGAAGATTGAGAGGACCTTGACTGAACTCGCTCAATTGTTCAACGACGTGAGTTCAATCGCACGGTCCACTTTGATCTGCAAATTACTAACTGCTGTGTTTAGATGAGTATTTTGGTAGAACAGCAGGACGAGCAAATCAACACCATTGAGGCTACCGCAGCGACTGTGGAGAAAGACACAGAAGCCGGTCTGGGGTACACAGATAAGGCCGTCGACTCTGCTCGTGCTGCTCGCAAGAAGCGATGGATTTGCTTCATCATCCTCATCGTTATCCTTATTATCATTGCTATTATCATCGCGGTCGTCGTTGTCAACAACAACAAGAATAAGTAGGCGGATGTTACCTCCCACGATATGACAGCAGCAGCAAGACATTCTTATTCACGTTCGTATAATTCCGTAATCTATTTGTTTCCTCATCGGACTGGATTTTGTTCCTTCTTTGATTCCCTCTTCCCTCCGACCGGCAGAATGTATATCTTGTGTTTTGCTTTGTCGGACATTCACGCTGTGGATTGTGTAGAATAGTTTTGTGTGCATTTCCAATCTATGGTCTACGCGTGGTGATACCCTATGTACATGCGAATCCGGGCTTGAAGCTTAAAGATTGATAGCACGTTCCAGAAGCATTTAACCAAGATGCATTGCGAAACGAATGCGAACCTGCTGCTGCGAGACCGTGCCTCTGATATGCATGTGGATGAAGCAAGATTGTGTACCATGCAACCTCGTCGAGTTCTCGGCCATCAACCATGAAAATCTACTGAGATGCAATAGGAGCATAGAGATGTAATTGGGGATTTGCAGATTCCGGTGATAGTTTGTGCGAGGCATCCAGTTGAACGTTGAGGACGCAGCACACGAATCACTCGTGTGACGACGTAATTGCACTATGCGTGAGATCTTGAGGCAGATACGTACGTCAAGCATAACAGAATGATGCAAAGCTGACGTTGTCGGACACTATCGTTGTCCACGAGTGATCGTCGCCAGCCCCAGAGGGATATATCTCGATGTATGCGGTCATTCCAGCCAGAAATACATGCGGTTGACAGGAAGCGTGAGCTGATCTCCTGCAGTGAACAAGAGCGGAGCGCGATAGATAACCTCCAGGCCTTGGAGAAAGTTTTGCACAGGAACAAATCGCTGTGCAGGAGGCTAGGAGGATCGCAGCTGACCAACAGATGACAACGGAAAGAAGCTCAACGGAGTCTGTTGAGCCCAGCTAACAGCATCGAGCGCGCCTCTACTCGGGATACGGGCAGCTCAAAAATATCGTTATAATGACAGGAAACCCTGCAAACGACGGAAAGAGCTTCTATCGACGAGTGGCCATTGAGATCACGGCGATAGTGAAGGTGCATGGGCGACGTGTGGCATTCCTGACCTAAACGGTGTGGATCAATGTTATCAGTTGACGGCGTTGCAGAGCCTCGCGTGCATATTGAATTGGAACGCGGTAAGGCGTCGACGTGTCCCCCCGACGTAGAGAATGTAAGGAGTCGTTGAAGAATGTAAGGAGAGGTCGAAGGCTGAGTTGCACAGTTTGCAGAGGGGTTGAGTAGCAAAAAGGGAAAGACCTAGAGCAGAGGCGAAGGTGCTGGACGCGGCGGTAGGATCGGGGAGCAGATCTCAAGCGGAAATTCTCCACGTGGCAGTGTAGCTGAGATAACCGTCTTACAAGAGCTGACGCGTCCCTTCACCATTTATATATAAGGCCCCTCCCTCCTCTTCTTCTGACTACCACCCTCTTCCACATCCCACTCGCAACTCGCGTCCCGCTTACTCCTCCCGTCTACTCGGTAAGTTTCCCACTCTGGCATGCCGTTACATTGATATTTACGTGATCAACAGCATCTCGCATCCTCACACGACATTTATAATGGCCGTTAAGAAGCGCTGCCAAATCCAGTCTGAGCCTCGCTGCAACTCAGCAGCACTCCGTCTCGTTGGCCAATGTCCACATTGTAGAGCAGAGTTCTGTGGTGCAGTACGTATTGCTATATCTGTTCCATCCCCCTCCATGGCTGACTCATCCCCTCGCAGCACCGTATGCCAGAACATCACAACTGCCAGAATCTGGAGAGCTGTAGACAACAAGCTTTCGAGAAGAACAAGGCCAAACTAGAGAGCGAACGGACGGTGTCACCCAAGATGGCAGTGGCATGATATGCCAACTTCCCATCTTTCTTCGGCCTTCCGTCCCTTGTTCCCCATTTCCCTTTGTTCTATCTCAGCATACCGGAGGTACCCATCTCAGCATCCATGCCCACCGTTCCGCTCGCATTCATGGGCCGGTCCTTTGTCTCAACCCTCCACCTCATGACCCCCTCACGGACGTATCTCACGATGTGCATCTATCCACCATCCAGTCCTGCTCTATTCTGGTTCCCCATTACCCACTACCTCTACTGTTTTACCTAGTTAATCTTATTCGCCCTCCTTGCCATACCCACTGATGATTTCTCTTGTTCTCTACACGTATGGTATCCTGTATTAGATGGGTTTTTGCTGTCACATTTCTCCCTTGCGTCGGATAGTCTGCGTAAGTTTCAGCTGAGCATAATGAGCTCAACTGTCGCCATTCAGGTGAGTATATGCGTATACAGCAGAAGTGTTGGTCCATTGTGAACGGACATACGGCGGTGAAGTGTGTTAATCCCCTTCTGGCGGACCGTTTGTTGCTAAGCGAGGGTCTTTGAGTGGAGGTTCCGCATTTCCCCGCAGCGCCAAGGGTACGACAACGTTCTTCATGCCTGCCATCCAAGGGAAACGCGTACCTCCATAAAGAGTACCTGATTATAAAATACGCTTCATCATGTGCGAGATCCCTGGATGGTCCAGAGTCCACTCGCCTGCACTGCTGCGTTGCCCTGGGGAGCCATAAAAACCTGACTTCCTCGATCTACCAACCCATACATCTTTAGCCAATACATCCACCTTCGGATCCAAGGCCTTTTTCGAGTCATCCATTTTATTCAATAACACGTGTAAATACCCCACCATTACCGGGTTTTGAGATCACAGTGACACAGTCCTCTCCTGTCGCTTGGATAACACAACCATAAAAGAGCATCGGGTACCGCGTAGGTTAGTTAGTTCCTGCTGTTCCAACTGTTTTCCTAAATCCCCTTCTTCGAGTCTCAACATCGTTTTACCCGAGTTGCAACGAGCTGACCTCGAGGCTTCTTTCGATGGCTGGCAGAGTGAACCAATTGATTAACCACTTGAAGGGTGATACTATAAATACAATGTCGGTCCAGGCAGGTATGTAGACCACCTTCCCTCCCGCGTACCGACGTCGCTTCATGGAATTCCAACTTGTTCTATTATGTGCGTTCTGTAGAGAGTTGGCATGGCGTTCCCCAGGCTCCTCCGGATAGGTATGTATATCACATCGCTTGTGCACAATGTGGGGTAGAAGCCAATCGGATGCTTACGATTGGTTGAACGAATACCTTGTAGTATCTTCAAGTTGACTGCGGCGTACAAGGAGGATACTTTCCCTCAGAAGATCAACCTCGGAGTAGGCGCATATCGTGATGATGAGGATAAACCATGGGTCTTGCCTGTCGTCAAGAAGGTGAGTAGCAGCACATTTTCCCCTAAGTAGCAAAGTGAAACTAAAGAGAACATGGTGTTTTATTTTGCAGGTAACCGAAATTCTTTTGAATGACCCGGGTCTGGATCACGAGTATCTCCCTATCACTGGACTTCCTTCTTTCACTTCTGCGGCTGCCAAACTCATCTTGGGAGCAGACTCACCTGCGATTACTGGGGATCGTGTTGCGAGTGTACAAACTATCTCCGGAACGGGTGCGAATCATCTCGGTGCACTTTTCTTGAGCCGATTCTATGGCTTCGGTGAGGGTGGAAGGAAGGTCTGGTTAAGCAATCCTACATGGGGTGAGCACACCTGCTTGCTTGGTTAACGTTTTCGAGCTCATATCTTTCTATTAGTCAATCATTTCGCCATCTTCAATAACGTCTCTATCGAACCTATTACCTATCCTTACTACGATCCCGATACCATCGGACTTGCCTTCCAACCTTTCCTCAACACGCTTCGCACCGCAGCCCCACGCTGCGTCTTCCTCTTGCACGCTTGTGCTCACAATCCTACTGGTGTAGACCCCACGAGGGAACAATGGGGTCAGATTGCTGATGTTATCCTGGAGAAAGGACATTATGCATTCTTCGATTGCGCTTACCAAGGGTTTGCAAGTGGTGATTTGGAAGGAGACGCATGGGCTGTACGCGAATTTGTCAAGAGAGGTGTGCCGTTATTGGTTTGCCAGGTATGCTTTCCGCGTTGCTTGGAGATGAAATTGAAATTTTCAACGAGTGGTTTCTTTGATATAACAGAGCTTTGCGAAGAATGCAGGTTTGTATGGTGAACGTGTAGGTGCTTTGCATGTTGTGGCTCCTACGAAGGAGGCTGCGCAACGTATCAAGAGCCAATTGTCTGTACTACAACGGAGCGAGATCAGTAACCCTCCTGCCCACGGCGCCCGTCTTGTGAGTTTCTGACATGTATTCTTATATCATGTTCTATGTTCTCTCGCCTGTCATGAACCTTAGGTGCTCGGAGATGTTCCAGACTTTGAACTCCGACATGCGAAAAAAAGAGATAATTGGAGATGCTGACGTCCTTCACTCCGTCATTAGGTGTCGTTAATCCTGAACGACCAGACGCTCTTTGACGAATGGAAGCGCGACATCAGGACAATGGCTGGTCGGATCATCGAGATGCGCAAAGAGCTGTTCCGACTGTTGTCTGAAGAGCTCAAGACGCCTGGAAATTGGGAACACATCGTGAATCAGATTGGAATGTTCAGGTGAGCCTTGTGCCCTTTATTGTTTTTGGTGCTTTCTTTGTGTTTCGCCACCATTTGAGCGTTTCAATGGTGACATTGTGGAACTCCCAACGTCACCCGAGACAATATAGCGGGTACACCGGTTACGGGTTCCCTGCTAGGTGGGGAAGCTTCAGTCAAAGTGAAACTCTCCAGGTCTGGACTGGATGACAGGGATCGTTGGCCCAGTCTAGAGCATGGTCAGCCGGTTGTGGTTGTGGTTCTCGCGGTCGCTTTAGGACGAATTGCAGTGCGGGAAGGGGAGAAGAATGGGCGCTGCATGGGAAGTCTTTGTGCTTAATAGAGTCACCTGAGGTGATGATTTCATTTAGGAAGCGACGACTGCTGGCAGTTTCTTTTTTGCTGTCCTAGTGTTGTTTTTCCTGTTCTGGATCAAGGACTGACGGATGTTTTACGTGGGTACAGTTTCACGGGCATCAATTCGGAGGCCAGCCAAGCGCTGACAGAGAAGGCACATGTGTATCTGACGACGAACGGACGAATTTCGATGGCGGGACTGAATACGCACAACATACGGTACTTTGCAGAGAGCCTGGACAAGGCGGTTCGAGGGCAGTTGTAGAGTCTATTAGAGATCGTGATACCTCCTGTGTACGACTGTTTGTAGTTTGCCATACCATATCTGGAATCCAAAGCCTCGATCTTTTCTGACGTCAGATCGCTCGACGCAAACTGGTGCCTGACGCCGCGCCGCCGGAGTAGCGGGATGCGAAACACAGGGCTCTGATTGGCTGAGATGGCGCTACCGGGGGCAGATTGAGGCGCCTGTCGGAAATGGGAGATGATGTCATGTTCGAGGGAGCAGCAGCGAGAAATTTGAGTGGCAAGCGGTGGTCAGCCAGCCTGTTCTCTGCCACAGTTCCGCCGTCCTCCCCACGCCCGCTCTCCGTACCGTGTCCCCGGTCGCTGTCCTATTCCAACCGCTCACTGTCTGTATTCGTCCATCGCTGTCCCGCCCGGTGCTGTCGTCGTCGCCATCGTCGCCCTAGTCGTCACCCCACGGCCTGCTCCCGCGTCTGCCGTTACGGCTTATTTACACATTCATACAGCCTGCCATCCCGCCGAGAGCCACGTCTCCAAGCCATATAGCCTCTAGAGCCTCGTCCTGCCCCGCGTCGACACACACCGCGTTCATATATGTTTTCAGCCGCGCATATCCGACTATATTCTGCCTCCACTCCTCACCTGTTCTCTGCCTGTCTTGCGTCATAGCAACACCAGCAAACTCGGCCTTTTCCTTCCTCTTGCGCCCGCATCCTCGTGTAATCTAGAACACTTTCCTTTCCCATCCATCTTAACCTCCTTCCGTCGTGTCCCATATCCGCCCTATTCTCCTCCCTTCCTCTTTACAGGTACGTTCTCTGCTTTCGACCTCCCGTCGAAACATATCCCTCTGACGGTGCCAGACATAAGCTTACTTTGTCTAGTACATGGGAATCATATTGTCTATTTTATTTCCCCGTTTCATGTTTACCGAGCGATCATCCACGTCGGCTCCTTCTTCCCCTTCCTCCTCCACTCGCTCTCTTTCTCCTCAACCCTTTCACGATGCGCATGCAGACATCTCACCTTCACCGTCTCCAACTCCCTTCTACACGCCTTCTAACTCTCCGCCGCCTCCGCCGGAGAATCCCCATAACACTAGCCCACAAATTCGCAACACAATCCTCGAATCTCCACCGTTGGATTCCCATCCATTCGTCCCGCACGCGGTCGGTTTAGGTATTGCTTCTCCTCGGCCAATGTTTAGCCCGCTCTCTGCCTTTCATCGAGAGCATTCCGCTCAAACGCATCCCACTGGGTCGCCGATACATACCAGGATGAATCCATTTGACTCGCCTTCGTTTCATGCGTCGAGTTCGGGTTCAAGTGGTGTGTTCACAGACTCTCATACTTATTGCCCGATGACTCATATCTCCGCAGGTCTACTAAGTCCCTTCAACTACGAGCATTGTGATAGTCCTTTACCCTCACCGCCGATAACTTCGGGCAGACAGCCGCCCAATGTTGCTTTCAGCTCTGAACAAATAGACCTTGCGTATCAGTCGCATACTGCCACTCATCAAGGCAGCTCAGGAGTGTCATCACATGTAGGTTTACCAGAACCTATATCCGTCTCAAGCCCACACAGTTATACGCAGTCGCATCAGCCGACCGCGTCATCGTCGTCCGTGCGGCTCTCTCCGCCTTTGTTTGAATCAATAGATGGAGTTGCATATCAGGAAGCAGTCGGCAAGTCATATCCGACCACCACTGACGTCTCTAGTCCCTCCGGTACACTTTCCCTCGATCTAGAGGGCAGCCCCCATGGCGTTCGTCCTAATCCTCTGGCTGGTCCATCAAGTTCTCTGACACCATCAAATTCTCTTGCTGTCAATCCGCTCGATGATGAGCATTCGCCGAACGGTCTAGCGTCGGCCGCTGGTGACTCTCCACAGTTCGACCCTACGGAGTTTGATGCCGAAGGTTTGAGTACCCTTGAGAAAATTTATTTGTTTTCAAGAAGCAAACTGGGGTTTCATCGAGTTTACATTGCCAATGCACTTGCGGGCTTTCTCCGCGCAGGTACCAATGACGATGGAACACCCAGCCATACAGGCGATGATCAAGAACACGCTCCGGTAGATTCCATAAGTCCTGAGGAGGCTGTCGAGTATGTCCTTCCATTGCTTAATGGTCTTGCCATGGATGAAGGTACGTCTACTCGCTTCTATCTATTCGCAATACTGACAACTTAATCCTTTCTTTCATCATCTTGCCTATTGCATGTTGTTTCTTGTCATACGTCCACGTAGACGAAGCAGTAAAAGAAGCCCTCTCAGCCGAGCTTGTTCCTATCATTTGGTGGTTTATCACCCGGTGTAAGCTTGTTGAGGACGATGGTATCCCTGCTATAGATCTCGATGCTGAGCAAGTCCTGCAGGGTGCGGATTATCCTCATCAGGCGTATCACATCGAAGAATCACCACCGCACCCACCACCATCATCGCATTCAGACGCCCCGCGGGACCCCGCTGTGCATCATGAACCCAGCTTTCCGGCCATTGTTCGGCCTATACCTCTTCGACCAGGCGAAAATCTTAGGCCTCCAACACCTAGGCCTCCAACGCCAAGGCCATGTACACCTCGACCTCCGACGCCTATTCCATCGGCGAGCATGCCTCCCACTCCCGTACTTCCAACGCAAATATCTGTTCAATCCTTCACCCCTATTCTAGGTACTCTCCTTCTTAGCACCAATGCTCGTGTAGGTGGTCCTGCACGCTATGCAGTGGTAGAGCTGCTGAAGAGGGTACGGCAAGCTGACCAAGCTGACGCGGAGGCACGCCGTAGTCGTAGTGCCTCCCCGATTCAGACTCAGCGTAGTGCTTCACCCACGAAATCTTCCCATTCAGGGACGAGTAATAATGGCTCACGACGGAGCGTATCCAAGAGCGAGGAGCAGGATGATGACGACGAACATAGGTATTCTCCTGTTGGTTTGTTTGGTGACGAAGAACGAAGGATATTTGAGAGGGAGATGGTACAACAAGTCGTTATCGGGATGGGTCGATTGGACATCCCTGATGACAACAATGCTGTTGTTGGTGATGTATCAACTGACACAGAGATAGCTACACCCGGCGTTGCATCTACTTCCAGTCTCCCTACCCCACTGCAGTCACACACGGCAGAAACACCACATGCAGCTTCATCTGCCGACTCATACTTTCCGCCAATACCACCGTCTACGGAACCCGACATTTCTGCCAGTTTTTCAGCCTCTTCGAGCGAAACCAGATCCAGATCCGATTTTTCCTTTCAATCTAATGCCTCCATCGCATCACCGACCCCGACCTCGCCTATGGCGTTTTACGACGTCTACAGCACTCCAGGTCCTCTCTCGCCTCCCCTCGAATTCCCGCCACCGGCTCCTTCTCCAGCATCGCCCCCACATACTGATATCCCGATATCTCCGTCGTTCTCGCCGCTCTCTGCCGCTTCAAGTTCTACACCTTCCCTGACTTCGGGCTCTTCATCTGTATCTTCCGTCGATGTATCAACAACTGACCTTTCTCCTCATACGCCTCCACCACCACCGCCATCGGGATCATCAGGATCTCAGGGCGGGAGTGATGTCAATGGACGAAACGTAGGTGTTGTCGAGACAGCTAATACTCAACTTCCTTGGGTTCCTCCCCGATCACCTGGTGACCTCCCGCCTATCTCGGATGAAGAAAGACGGGAGTGGGAACGACAATATGCCTCTGCGAATTTTACATTTTTGTCTTCAGATGCTTCGCCAAGTGCGCAGTTAGCTTCTGGATCTACATCTGGGGTGTCTAGTTGGGGAGTGGATATACGGTCGGTTGTGAGAGAAGGTGCGGAAGGGTCTTCACAAGAAGAGAATGATTTGAGTGAGGAAGCTGCTGTGGGGAGGTTGTCGAGCATGAGCTTGATGGCTGCTGTTACTGCGAGTGGTATGTCCTTTATCATCATTCTTAAGCTAGACAGAGGAACAGATCATTGATCCATTTGTTCCAGGGTTTCTTGCGGAGGATACCAAGGCTGCGTTTGTGAATGAAGTCGAACGAGTCGGGCGCGATGCTGTATATTGGGTGCGTCGAGAAGCGAGTTTCGCTGTGGGGGCTTTGGCGAAAGTCGTTCCCGTAGCAGTCGTCAGGACGAAACTCGTACGTTTTAAGCTTTATTACCTCCACATGCTGGATTTAATAACCACTATTGCTAGCTCCCTCTATTCAAGTCACTTTGCCATGATCCCACTTGGCATGTTCGACATTCCTCCCTATTCGCCTTGCCCAACATCCTATCTCGGTTAGAACCGCCGGAGAAACGTCAGCTGGCGTTGGATATCATCCTTCCGCTATCAAAAGACGAGAATGCCACCGTTCGATCTGGCGTCATGGAAGCCCTTGCTGAAGTGATGTTCACTTTTCACGAAGACGAAGGAGGCCCGCCAACTGAGCTTCTCGAGTTGTTCTTGGGGATACCAGAGGGACAGACCGAGCGACTGCCCTTGGAACAGCTCACACACCAACCACAACCTGGTGCTCCCATGAATTGGAGCGAGTTTGTTGCCTCGGTCACTGGTACTGCTCCTACACCGGATGCGAGGAATACGGATATTTATCACGATCCTACTCGACCGCTAGTTTGCGCGTTCAACTTCCCTGCAGTTGCTCTGACCCTCGGTCGAGAGAGATGGCATGAATTGCGGTCACTTTACCTCGAATTGTCTCTCAACTCTTCCCTCAAAGTCCGAAAGACTCTCGCAGCATCGTTAGGTGAACTCGCTAAGATCATTGGTCCTAAACAAGCTAAACAGGATCTGATGGGTGTTTGGTGGGGTAGTGTTAGGGCTGAAGAGGGCGAGGTCCGGTTGAAGGCTATTGAGTGCTTGGATGTCTTTGCGGAAAATATTGCGGAGGAGGATAGGAGGGATATCGTCGGAGGTCTTGTATCGGAGGTGTGGGATCTGAAGCTGAGAGGGTGGCGCGAACGGGAGAGTGCGATGAAACTGCTGGCTCCGTTCGTCTCGATGGGGGGCATTCAGGATGACGTTCTTCTGAAGTTTCTCATGAAGGGACTGGAAGATCTTGTTGCGGCCGTCAGAGAAGCCGCTGTGTCTTCGGTAAGTGTCCACCGTTGCAGCTGTTGACTTTTTCGATACTCATTGCTTCATTTCTTTATAGATACCCACGTTCATTTCGGAGTGGTCATCACGTCCTCAGTCTTTGGACGAACTCTTCCGAACTATACGACCTCTCGCCACTGCAAGTTCATACCGCAAGCGCATGATCTATGTTGCATGCCAGCAGGAGATCATCGTGTCGGTGAATTACCATATCCTTGTCGAGACTCCTGAGTTCTGGGAGACTATGCGGATGTTAGCCAATGATAGCATTGTTGATGTACGTATAAGAGTCGCCCGTCTTTTAGGATTACTTTCAGGTGAGTTGATGTGGCGGTCGTCTAGATCGTAAAGGATCTCACACTTTGGATTATTTTAGATAAAGTCCTAGGACCATTGGACAACGTCGAAGAGAAATTGTCCGACCTCGCCGAGACGTTGTCTCGAGATGTCTCACATGAAGTTCAGGCGTTCGCTCAGCCCATTCTCCAAGGCCTTCATCCTATCTTCGTTCCTAGAAAGGACCCTGGTCGAGTTATCAAAAGCTCTTCCAATTTCTCACGGCCACCACCTCCTGCGATTTGATTTATATCAGGAACTTCCTCGTCGCACCCACTCGAGCCTTATACTTGCAGGGATCAGCCCTTTGGTAGGTGTTTTTGTTGAGTTGGTGGTATTTTGGCTCATCCGGCGATACCCCGAGGCAGCCGAATCATTTCTGCGACATCGTTATTCGCTACCAGGCGCCAGAGAGTGCGAATGCTGCTCTAGTAGTTGCAACACTTTCCACTTTCCACCGGTACTTCGTTTCCTACATCGTTTTGCTTTGCGACTATCTTGTATCATTGCATATATAGGTTCTGCCTATTCGATTTCATACTCTTCTCATATTAGCATATCGTTGTAACTTATTCTACACCTTAAGGTCATTTCACGTATTTTGCGTTTTTATTCATTGCTTTATTGCGCATCCTACATCCCAATGTAGCTAGTAGATAGACGGATTTGCCGAATCCTCAGCCTTGCTCCTTCTACGAGAGTTGCCATATTTGGCGAGGACTTGTGGGTGGCGGGCGCCTAAAGGACAATAGGCAAGTATTTGCAGCGTGCGCTACTTTTGCCAGTTGGCTGTCAAATGGTCAAATGATCTCAGGCCATTGTCTTCATGGCCCTCTGAGCAATATATAACTTCGCGTGGTCACAACGCGGCTTTCTTTCAGTCTGGACCCTCCACCACGTCTCGGCGGGTCGTGTACACTCACTCATTCACTCTCTTTAGTTTCCTTCATTCTCGTTCAGGTCTCTGAGAGACTATTGGCCAAAAACCTCATATTTCACGCTGTATGCTTAGACTCTGCTGGCAGCCACAACATCAACTGTATCGGTATTGAACGCATATCATCATGACGACCTTAGGTCCAATATTCCTCAAGTTACGAACAATTGCATTTTGTGAGTATCATGTCTTTGCCAACCGTCTTGGCCTCTCTCCTAGTGCTGACTGTTACAATTAGCATGTATCATATTCATCAGTTTCGTTTGGGTCATATTGTTCTTTGTTGAACTATATGTAAGGTGGGATGTCTCGCAGACTACACAACGTGAGTGTTATTGACGGGTTGAGATGCCATGGTAGCTGAGGGGAACCGCACTGATTGAATTCATCGTAGGCAACTTAGTCCTCATACTCTCTGTCGTGAATGCTATCACGACAATAATGCTATTAGTCCTGTGAGTTTCTTTTATGAGACGAGATACGTTTGTCCTCCTGATTCTGAGATCTCTAGAATTATTCTCCCTTTTCGTATATGGTTGGACGCTGCAAGACTCTTGTTTCTCCTAATTGCACATATAGGTATGTCACAATACACGATGCCAATTATGTAGCTCACATCCATATCAAGGGCCGGCGGCTGGCTTTACAGTTTATATTGCGAAAGAACCTTGTCCGGAAGACAGTAAGCGTTGACGTCGTATGGCATCACCCGCCCTAGATCTGACCATGATATGACACAGATCCGGACGAGGAAGGTGTCTGTAATGTCATTAACACGTATATTGCCATCGCTAGTTGGGTGGTTCCTCTCTGTTGTGAGTATCTTTATGCCCTCCCTTTGTGCGTAGTCTCATTGCAGTCCTCTCAGTGGTAGTGTATGCGATATGCCTCGCCAGTGCTGTATACCGACGCCGCAATTTCATACCTGAGAAAGGCACAAGCGAGAAAACATTAATTCAAGATGAGGAAAAGAACATCACACCACGGCAGTCTGCACTTCCGATGATGTTGCCACCTCCACCGTCGCCATTCCCCTTTACAGACAGGCGTAGTACATCAAGTCATCGCACGTCTACCCAAGCATCAACCAGTGATGCCTCGAGCCGAATGTCCCGTACGTCGCGCCCGGTGTCACAGCGACACATATCTTTTCCTGTTCCTCAGCCTGCCGCGCCTGCCATGCCTTCCCCTGTTACTGTCACACCTATTGAGCGGCAACGGACGCGAACGTTGTCCATGCCCTCCATTGCTGAAAGTTCTGTGAAGTCTTCTGGTAGACTTTCAAAACCCGTTCCTCAGATGGTCTGGGAAGCCATTTGAAAAACCTTCATACTTGTATGTGTAAATACTGCCATTAGGTTATAATCATGATAGTTCGCATCAGCTATACACCGCCTACTCTGCGAATCATTTATGGAAATATGCGAGCCGGTCAGAAGGGCTGGAAACCTGGAAGGTGATGACCGTATTTGGTGAAACCGCACGTGGCAAATTAGGCTGTTTCTCAAATCCGTCAATATACGGCGAAGTCAACGCCTTGCTGTACCACATTCTCGCTTTCCACTTCGATGCTTGAGCGACGACGACGTTACTTGACCAGCTCATAGCCACGACATCCACGATATTCGACCTTTGACCTTCTGCTCTTTGTCTTTTCTCATTATATCTATTGGCTGGAATCGTACTTTACCGCTCTAATTGTATTTTGAAATGTCTAGTTGGGATTCTACTCGTGCGAAGGTATGGTTATACTCTGCTTGGCATTATCTCAAGGCTCAATACCAGATGCACAGAACTTGCTCAGACTGACTGCGCAAAGGCTTGGGCAGATCCAATACAAGTTAGACTACCAAGGCCAGATCACCCGGAGGGACATTGCTACCCTACTCTCCCAAGGCAATGACGCACTGGCTCGGGCGAAAGCCCAGAAATTAGTTCGCGAAGATATCTATGGGGATTTGCTTCAAACCTTGGAGATGCACGTTGGCATTATACTCGAACGTATTGGAGAACTGGAACCAAAGTACGTTCTCCAACAAGGCTGCAATGCGAGACACGGTATTGAGGTATCCTAGTGCCTCCCCTGGACCAGTTATTGTTGAGGCAGCATCGAGCATAATCTACGCCGCACCACATACAGACTCTCGAGGTTTGTCCTGCTAGCCATCCCGACCATCTGCCAAATTATGATCCGAACTTGTCATTTAGATCTACAGCTTGTTAGCGACATGCTCATTCAACGTTTGGGACCCGACTTCGCTCGTTCTGCAATTAGAAACCGTGACAATTATGTGTCTACTCGAGTTCGTCTGCTTTTTAGTGACCTTTACCTGGAGGCTAACTTCGTATAGGTCATCAGAGACCTCAACGCGCGAGCTCCGCCAGCATCATGGCTTGATGAATATCTTCTTGGCATTGCAAAAGCTCATAGTGTAAAGTGGAAACCTGACCTTACGCCTGTCGAGAAGTCAGTAACTACTTGTTACTGCAAGGCTATGTATTGACCTCTCTCTATCAGGGTGAATGCTATTTCGGAGATGTTGGACCCATCGACGTCTCCAGATATAGACATGCGACGACTTCAACACCTATGTTCTCATGGTATGGTGATTCTATTGAGTATTAGCTTGCACTGTGCTGAGTTACTCCAGGCCTTCCGGAGGATCCACCATGGGTAAGACCTAGGGTGTGGAAGTGAGTTATCACGTGTATTGTCATTTAGAGTTCGGGGTTTATTCTCTGTGTGTAGACTGCTGCTTGGTACCCTCCCTCCAAACAAGACGTCTTGGCCCCAGGAAAACCGTAAGCAAAGAGACAACTACTATGTACATATTCTGGTAACCTTCACCACCGATGCGAAGCTAATTCCATACACAGGACCTTGTGCGCCGCTTACTCGAACCGTTTGCTAGCCTTCCACCTCCGACTAGCCCACTCTCAACGACGGATATATCACTACTGGATGCATCGAAGGAACTCGCACAAGTGCCTCCCAACCTGCTGTCAAGACTTGACGATGAACCCGATGTCTCTGTAGCTTCTCCACTTGACACTTCAGCTCCGGATGATGTCAAGATTCAATGTGCAGGTGCACTCGATGAGCGTCTAAAGCTCATCAAGGACAGCGAAAACCAGGACAGCGACTCAGCACCTGATTCAATGCCAGAAATCCGACTGGAGGGTACACCGGAAATTCGCTTGGAGGGAGCTCCTGACTCGCCTGCGAAGAGTGATACCCCGGAAGTTCGTTTGGACACTGAGGCATCGGAGAAACCGAAAGACTCTATGCACATCGACCTCGGTGGACTTGGAACCCCGGAAATCTCGCTGTCGGTACCGGACTCGCCATCTTCTTCCCACTCCAGTGCTCCGACTACTTTGCTTGCTTCAAGAGCTTACACTGCTGGTGGTGCTCATCCAAAACATGCATCTGCGCTGCTGCGACTCTTGTACATCCACTCTTCATTGAATCCTGCCAATCGTGCACCGCAAGTTGCATCTTTACTAGTTCCATTATACTCCGCCCTTGTGCAAGAAGTTGAACCAGATGATTTGGCGCATGCTGAAGCGGATACCTTCTGGTTGTTTGAGACTGTCGTGTCCGAGTTTGCTGATTTGGAAGACGCAGAGACGTGCAACATCTGGTTGCGCAAGTTGGGTGAAAGGTTATCTTGGGCAGATACCGACCTTGCTGAGGACTTGGTATGTTCCCCGCGTTCGTACAATGCATGGTCAACTAATACGTGCACATATTGCTAGCAAATCAAGGGGCTGGATCCTGCATTACCACACTATTCCTAGTGAGTATGGGTAAATGAGAATCACGCATATACTCACGTTCATTGACAGTCGTTGGCTCACCCCGCTTCTGACGCACACACTTTCGCTCTCTGCCGTGTTCACAGTGTGGGACGCGCTGTTCTCTCGGCCTATGCGAGAACGAAGTTCCACCCCCAAGCTTGACTACCTTATTGATGTCTGTGCTAGCATGCTACTCTTAGCAAGGCCCGCTCTTCTTCGGTACGTCTTCCTCTTGTATCCATGGTGCTTTGCTTACAGTGATGCTTAGATTGGGTAAGCGTGGATCTAAGTCAGGCAACGTATGGAGCGAAATAAATGCCATAGTACCGTCCACGGATTTCGACGCTAGAGAGCTTGATGATGCATTCGTGGAGGGGATGGCACTCCTGCGTAATTATCCTCTCAGACAGGTCGGTGGGATTGAAAACGTCTTGCAGCTCGCCCATGACCTCGCAAGCCGACGCCGCATGGAACAGCACTACGCCACTCCTGCGAACGCGGGCCTTGGTACGCGTCTCAAGAATACAATGTGGAGAAGTTTTGGTAGTCAAAATCCCATTGCTGAGGAAGATGACAGTAGCGAGACCAGCGAGGAAAGTGAAGAGAGTAGTGCCGATCAGGATCATCTCCGGTCTCAACCACCTGCTAGCGATGGTCGCCTAACATTGCCCAGTCGTCTAGCCGATACGGTCTGGAAGGGTATCACCAATCAGAGTGCGATGGAAGTTCCTTCTCCTCCACCTTCTCCTTTACCAAGCACACGTTCATCCTCCCCATCTCCATTGACTTCACCTCCTGTTAACGCTGGCGACTTGGACTCCCAGCCACCTGCTCAGCAAAGTACTCGTGCTTCTGCCATTTGGGGCTACGCTGAGAAGTTGAGAGACTCGGATGCTGCAGCCACGCTGGCAAAGGTGAGCACCAACTGGAGAGTGAAAGCATTGGATGCATGGAACAAACGCAGTTCCGGCGATGTACCGAATTCAGCTCCCGCCCACTATACCTCTCTCCCTGTCCGCCAGTCCCTTTCTCCTAATGACGCTGTTCGACGTTCTCTCGGTCCGTCACCCCCTCCAAAAGCCGTCGATGAGGGTCGTAGGAGCTCTCTCCCAGGTATAGATCGTTCGCAGGTATATTCTCCTCCGGCCAGGCCAGCCTTTTTCAAGCCAGTAAGGGATAGCTGGATGCCAGAAGCACGGAGAAGCCCCCATGTTTCTCCCACGGGTTCAGAGAGCTCCGCTATTTCTGACGAGGATGGCGGTGGAAGACGAAAGCATTCGTTAGCATCTCTGGTGGGTCTCGACATCCGTAGCCCCGGTAGCCCTAGTCCTTCTTCCGCAGGCAGCAAGTCTGGTCCTCGACCTCTGCTTCTCAACTCGTCTTCTTTGATTACAGCTAACTATGTTACACCAACATCTGCTACGTCCGAGAAGCACTGGGCAGACTCTGTACGGGCCAAACGACCAGAACCATCCCACAGACATTCACATTCATCTTTGTCATCTATGTCGCAGACCGACTCGCTTACAGTGCCTCGACGTGCAGAGACTTTGGCTCAGGGAGGTGGTAGTAGAGTTGTACCTATAAACAGGAAGACACCGTCCCCGATGGCCAGAGGCTCTCGTCGACAAGCATCCACTTCATCAACAGCTTCTGAACCACCTACAGCTCACCGTCGATTCAACACTGAAGTAGATGTGAATCCGCCCACAGAGCCTCGTAGAAGTCGCAGTGGATGGGCTCAAGCTGATAGCATAGATTCATCGGCAACAATACCTTCGCCTCCTGTACCCCAAACCCCTCCACCGGCTGGTAACAGCGGTGCTTCTGTGCGTGTCAAAGGAACGGAATCTCAGCGGGGTTCCTTGGTTATACCTGATTCGAATGAAATGATTCAAGATGTCTCTGCCGAGGAACATACCCCGACTAGAGTTCGCAAGAAGACTTCATCCATATCCCGTATTCAAATCAACGATGATACCTCTGATTCATCTGTTGCTCCGGGACCTCATCGTATGCCCCGCGTGAAGTCCAAACGTCTTCCACCACGACTCCACACTTTACGTACCCGCGAAGCCTCCAAGACACCTCCAATTCCTACCGACCGCGCGCCGAGTCCGAATACTCTAGCAGTTGAGTGGCCAGAGGAAGCGGACAGTGTTACGCCAAGAGCAGCAGTGTTCGACACCACTATTACCGCGTCGCCTGTATCACCGCGAAGAAGAACCCGGAAGGTCTCCGGAGAGAAAGGTGAAGAGAAGACCCGACCGAGGACAAGGAAAGTGTCTGCGGAAGGGAAAGAATCTAAGCACAAGCGGGAAAGCGCTGCCGTCGAAGGAGATGATGAGGGCTATGACGATTTGCTCAGTGCATATTCAGAGAGCGAGGACAGCGTTGTGCAAGCACGACGGTGATTTCATATCAGTCGTCAGTTCAAGTTCGCTTTTCCCCTTTGCTCACAATGGACAGCCTGCTTTGTTGCTCTGATATCTTTACTCACATTCTTACTTGTGCATATGCTTTGTTTTTTTCGGAAAGAGCTCCAGTCACACTCTATGTCCATGTGGAATAATGATATTTAGGCTGTAGCGTCGTCTGGTTTTTGAAGGATGTCATGCTCGAACATGACCTCATGCACACCATGGTAAACTTCTAAAAGTACCGCAAAGTAAGGCAAGATATTCTGAAAATATTCGATATAGGAAATGAGCATCATCAAACTGAACATCCTTTTGAAACTACTTTACCTCGTAGGCAATATGGAGACTGATCTCTTGATCTTGCTTTTTGATGGCGGCGAGGTAGTATCGGACGTTCCATCTACGGAGTCCTTCATTTATGATGAAGTCCTGAAGGAAGGCTAAGGGTATGAAATAACGGGAACAGAAGAGAGGTAAGCCGGGCAGGCCTCGATGGGTCTCCAGCTGAACCCCGAGTGAGGGTATCGCAATAACTGATTCTGTCATGTAGACGATTAGATGCATCTTCCACAAGTTAGAGGGCGGCGGCATACCCCAGAGGACTGTAGTGCACTTAGAATACACATACAAGGCAGTCAGAGCCGCACATAGACATACAGCAACCCTGCTGCTAGATATCTACACCAAAATGCAGTACATAAGTGAATCGACCACGCCTCCGCAGTAACCGGAAACATACCTGAGGCCATACAACCGCGAGGACGACAGGAAGCAATGTATCAAACCAGGACCATTTGGCTGCCTTGATTATGCCCCGAGAACCATCTCGAGCCAGTCGCCAGTTCTCTACGCGAAACTCGCGACAAGTGGGATATTCTATGATCGAGAATTCAGGATGATCTGGCAGCGGGTGTGCACGGTGCATGCCATGAGGAACGCTCTCAGTGGTATCTGCAAGTCAGTCTGCAGAATGCACCACGAGAAATGTAGCCTGTGATTTCCCTCGAGCGAGCTAAAGAAACTTGAAGAAAAGAGTTCTTGAGTTGCTTGTTCAAGAAGCGACGTGTGTGTGGGCGCTTACACATGTCGGAGCGCCAATAGCCAGCCAATGAGAGTGTCGGAAAATTGGTTCCGTTTGATGGGAAAACAAATGGGTCAAGGTTGATGCCAAAGTTTCCTGGTTTGATTTCAACGTTTTACACTCGACTCTCTCGAAGGCTGTTCCACTTTTCTGCCCCGATCTCTTCTGGGTACCACCATCTAGCGCGAGTTTGTCTGTTGATGTACTAAATTGTCTATAGGCTTGGCTTAAGAGCATTTCTGGGTAAATCTCTGCCTCCGCATCGGCGATACAATATCCATACAGGTCACTGTGGGTCAATCGACAATAGGTTGCGATCGCAAGGCACTTTCCAATTTTCGTTAGGCTCCGTATTGTCTGCGCTTGGCTTCTGGATAGCCATCCCGCTCCGGCCCTTGCCTCGTTCTTGCTATAAAGTCTTGTACTTGGTCGATCCTTTCCTTCCTGACTTTTCGATTCCTCCACCTGGGTCTCGTCGCTCTTTGGCTGTGTCTAGCCCTGTTCTTCACTCGTTCTCCACGGTCTCTATTCTTTTGTGATTCACACCCCCCGGCGGGATGTCAATTCTACACGCTCTTTTCCTTACACTCGGCCTCATCCAGGTCACAAGTCCATTCCTTGTTTCCTATGCTTCCGTCATCCCAACCGATGCAAAAGAACTCTCTGCTCTACCGTTTCAAGTACCGAGCTCTCCTCAAGTTAGAGATATTCTATCCGCTCGTTCCTCCAATTCGTCCACGCCTTATCAAAATAGGGCCGACTCCGGCAATGATTGCCATGTGAAACCATACGATGCTCCTCTTGTGGGTCAACAAGATTTCCCTCCATTCGACGAGGACAGGGCTACTGTATTCCGCTACAGACAGCAGCAATCCGTCAACCTTGGATCATGGTATGATTTTTCTCTATCATCGCGATTCAGTACCTCATGATTGAGTTGGTGTTTAGGTTTGTGCACGAGAACTGGATGACGCCCTCCGTCTTTAAGTGCGCTTCAGGCAAACAGTCCGCTGAAATCGACATTGCCACTGGCTGGGGTTCGGTATCCAACGCTCGTGCCCTTCTTGAACGCCATTGGGACACGTTCATTACCGAAGGCGACTTTCAGTATCTCGCAAGCATCGGCATCAACACTGTTCGGTTACCAATCGGGTATTGGAATCTCGGACCCGATTTTTGCAAAGGCACACCTTTCGCAAAAGTCGCCGCCGTTTACGAGAACTCATGGCCGCGTATCGTACGCGCGATCAACATGGCCAATGATGCTGGCATCGGCGTGCTCGTTGACTTGCACGGTGCAGTGGGCAGCCAGAATGGCCAAGCTCATTCAGGCGTTTCGGATGGTGCTACTAGATTGTTTGACGATCCTAGGAATGTTGAAAAGACGATGAATGTCTTGAAGTTCCTCACGCGGCAGCTCGCCAGTGTCACAAATGTGGTCGGTATCCAGGTCTTGAACGAGCCAAAGTACGTCGATGGACTCGAGGACTTCTGTAAGCAATCGTTGTTATCAGCTCAGCTCAACGCTAACTGCTGCGGTATGGTACAGACACCCAGGCTATCACGACCATGCGAGCTGTCTCTGAGGATGCAAAGAATTTGCCGCTCTATCTTCACGATGGTTTCAACCTCAACAGGTTCAGCAAGTACGTTGCCTCCAGGAAAGACTTCGTGGTACAGGACCATCATTCCTACTTTGTCTTCGGCAAGAACGACAAGTCCGCGTCAGCTAGTCAACACACGTCGGACGTGAAGAGCAAGGTTTCGGGCTCGCTTGCTACGACATCCAACAAGCAGCGTCGCAATCTCGTCGTTGACGAGTGGTCTTGTGCCTTGACTCCCGCAAGTAGCCAGCAGGAGAACAACCAAGCCCAGGCTCAGAAGAAATTCTGCTCAACTCAGCTCGCAACCTACTCGGGGACCGCCGCCGGTTGGAGCTTCTGGGGTATGTTCCTTGCACATGATAATTTTTTTTTCATTTCTCTTATATCCGTACCTCTGTTCAGCTTACATGAAGGAGGGTTGTGATTCAGACGCAGGCTGGTGCTTCAAGTCTGCGGTTGGCAAGAACCTTCCCGACACCTTCTTCTCGTACGGCGATTCTGCCCCTGCCCTCGCTTCAACCAAGGCATCCACATCGACAAACCCTTCCCCATCGAAAGCTCGATCTTCCAAACGTCGCGGTCCACGTTCTCGTCGACATATAGCCATTGTCCGCCGTGCTAAGACCAACTCCGAGGGCTATAACGATGGGTTCCAAGCAGCCAAGACCTTCGCTGCGGTTGGAATGTCCAAACTCGGGTTCTCTGGTCAGTTTATTCAAGACCAGCTCACCAAGTCGGATTCTTCAGTCGACTCCGATGCATATTCGAACGATTTCATGAAGGGCCTTACTGACGGTGAAGCCTCGGTTGCTAGCGGGCAGAGTTAAGTTGGGTTACTCCGGTATGACTTTACGACTCCTCACGGTTGCATTTTCCTTTGTCTCGTTCTTTCATTTTGGATTTGTCTCATTTCATTCCTTTGGGTTATTTGGGCTGGGCACACAATCAATGTCTTACTTATTCACATACATGGGGCCTGGGGTCGACCATGATGATGTAGCGATAGTTTGTAACATATCGTTTTGTATAGTACTAGCTAGTCTGCGACTAGCCGCCTGTGCAGTAGAACTGACAAACAATCTAACATCCACATTCGCTTGCCGATTTTTTTGTGATGATTTACTACGGTTCGAACGAATGTCAAAAAACAATCAAATACGGGGGTTGTGCAATATAGCGCTCGATATGAAGATCATGAGCACTTCACCTCTGCCTTGAGGTTGCAACTTCACAGGGCTTCAATGTCCTCTCCGTCCTCCCCTCGTCTCCTCTCCATACGCTTTTTCAACGATCTCCTCACATACGTCAAGTTACTTCTCACAGATTCCCGATACTTCAGCACCCTCGCATTCTTCATATTGCTTGGTGATGCGGTCCTCACGCAACTCATCATTCGCTACGTCCCATGTCAGCGTGAACCGTCTATCAGCGGAGCTGGCAGATAGCTGAACCATGAAATGTTGTCCTCGCAGACACAGAAATTGATTGGGAAACGTACATGTATCAGGTGGAGTTGTACATGAAAGGGGAACGCGACTACGCGTCGATCGAAGGGCCAACTGGACCCTTAGTGTCAGTCGTGATTATCATTGCAATATCTTTGTGAACTAAATAATATGACAGATATCCAGCTGGCCATGTATATATCCACCGCATCTTGTATGCCTTGACAAACGGAGGTACCAGACTTGCTTTGGCTCAGCAAGTGTACGCTCTGCTGTACATTACCTCGCTTGGCCTCACATCCATCCTTTACGCACGGGCTGGCGGTGTGCCGAACTGGATTCTACTCCTCCTGCCTTTGAGTAAACGGCTCCATTCGCTATTCGTACTTCGGCTGTTCAACGATTGTTGGGCGTTAGTAGCAGTGCAAGCTGCTACTTTGGCATATTCCTCCGAATGGGATGTGCTAGGGACTTTGCTGTATGGGTATGTATGGATATATGCTTTAATTTATTGGCTGTTTATTAAATGTGAATACAGCTCTGCATTGTCCGTCAAGATGTCCGTCCTGCTCTACCTCCCAGGCATACTCGTGATACTGTTCAAACGCAGAGGATTCCTTTTGACAATCGCCCATACGGCCCTCTTGATATGCAGTCAAGCTGCCATCGGGCTTCCATTCATAATACACCATCCTCGATCATACCTGCATCATGCCTATGAGTTCTCTCGTGCATTCTTGTACAAGTGGACTGTGAACTGGAGATTTGTTCCAGAAGAGACGTTCCTTAGCTCTGCCTGGGCTCGAGGGCTTCTGCTGGGACACGTCTTGACTTTAGTCGGCTTTGGCCTCTTCAAATGGTGTCGAAAGGATGGGGGGACATTTGCAGTGCTGGATCGAGGTCTCAGGTTTCCTTCCATGTCACCTAGTTTGGTTCCGGTAACAGCTGATTGTAAGTATATATTCAGTGTCTGGGCAAGCACAAATTAATGTGGATGTACAGGTGTAATCACGGTCTTGTGGACTGCCAACTTGATTGGTATTTTGTTCGCGCGTTCTTTGCACTACCAGTTCTATTCTTGGTACGCCCAACAGTTGCCATTTCTCGCTTGGCGAACAAAGTACCCCGTTCCTTTGAAGTACGTGTATCTATTGACAGAACGATTGCAGCACTGATCCTCTGTTTCTCAGGATTGCACTACTACTGGCTGTAGAGTATTCGTGGAATGTCTTTCCGTCGACACCCTTCTCATCGGGGCTGCTTCTTTTCTCGAATGCTCTCCTTGTACTTGGGATTTGGTTTGGTTATTCGGAGGGAAGGAGTAGTCATGAAAAGAATGAGTAGATGTTTCTTGCTTTGAAAGTCTCTCTCATGCCCCTGCGCTACGCGATATGTAAACGTTCATTTATTCACCATCGCATATTATGATTTCATTCTGTACTAAAGAATACGATCGCGGGCGCTTCTACATCATGCGCCTGAGTTGCAACCACGACTATACAGTATCATCCTCGTACTGTTGAAATTACTACTCACGTCGCATCTGAACATCTCCTGTGTCTATCACAAATATTCTGAGCTCATGACCGCACGGTAATACATTATGACAGCGCAACGTGTTACTATAACATACAGCGCACCTCCAGCGTTCCTAGCCACGGACCACTGGAAGCAGGTCTACGCTGCATTGCTTTCTCAGCTCCCACTTCGAAACCTGCATTGGAAATCTGCGACCCGACCAAATATTCGCACTATTCAGGAGCTGGATGTAAACCTCGTTTCTGCAGAAGCTAAACAGACGGAGCACACATCGCAGATCCCTCAGACTGTTCTGGAGAAGCCGCTACTCAGTGCATATATTGTCGTGTGTGATGTAAGTTCGTGAGTGCCACCTCGAGCATGGCGGCTTGTGTTCTGACGGATGATTTTCTATACAGGATACGGAGACATATCGGAATACAGTCAAGAAACAGATCAAAGAATGGCATTCAACAGTGACGCAACGCAAGAACATGGAATGGCTTATTATCCACATCGTTCGACCCGATGCTATTGCTACTAGCGGGCGTATGTTTCAAATGAAAGCTTCTGTATTGGACAAAATCAAGGCTGATTTCAATGTTGAAAAGCGTGACCGGTATGATGATTGAGTTTGATATTGGACTTTGCTTAACTTTTTCGTAGTTGTGTCGAATTAGTTTGGGCATATGACTCAGATTACGAAAACCCGACAGCTTGGGCAGATTTGATTGGAAAGCTCAAGGATGGCATTTTGTGTGCATTCGATGCCGCTGTGGCTCAGCGCGAAGAGGAGGTGAAGCGTTCAGAAGGCCAGAGACAAATGCCTGGATGGAACTTTTGCACATTCTTCATCCTGAAGGTAATCGCAATCAGTTTTACAGGTTTACGAAAACATGTTGTGAGCTTCGTTCCTTTAGGAAAGTCTCGCAAATTCCTATGAGGGCATGAACCTGTACGAAGACGCTCTAGATACGTACAACGAACTGGAAATCTTGTTCTTCCAGGTTCTACGGGAGAAGAACCTTTCTTGGTTTGGGACTTTGATAAATCCAGCCCCGAAAGATGATTCCCTTCCCCTGTTGTCTCACTCGAAGAAGCCATACCGGGACCTCATCTTGGCCAACACGATTTCGGTCTTTGATTTCAGAACCTACCTTCTGGCTCGACAATGTTCGATACTGGGTTATCTAGGTCACGTCGTTGAGATTGCAAGGAAAGCCGTCGCGTTCCTCAGTGCCTTCGGTCGACGACTACGGGATATTGAGGTGTGTTAGAACTCGTTCCCATTCTGCCTCTAGTAGACTCACGATATGTAGGAAATTTTGCCTACTCATTTCATAGAATCCTGGACATACTCGTCTGCCTTGAGTGTCGTAGAGCAATGTGATGCATGGGCAACTGGCTTGGAAATGAACAAGGCAACTATAGCCAGTTTTAACGCTGTGAAGGGGGAACTCGTTGAGCTTGCAAGACACCAAGTGAGTACATCAGTATAGTGAGGTTGCGATGTTTATTAACAGTGAATAGCTTGATATCATTGGCATCAGTGTGGGGCATCTGCCCAATAGGCCACCATTCTCTATGGCTTTTCCGTCTAATTCGCGAAGAGATGGTGGCACCCCAGCGACTTCATCCACTCAACGGATATCGAAGAGCGAGATTCTAATGGCGCTGGAAGATAAGAATGCGTTCTATAAGGTCTACATCGGCATCACGAACCGTGCTATTGAATTGTACGCAACCGCGGGAAGGCGAAAGTTTGCGTTAAAAATGCATGGCGACTTGGCTGCGCTCGACGTGTACGTTCCGCAATTCGCCTCATCTTTGTATTTGCTCATGGTAATGCAGACATCGTGGTCGTCTTTCGGAGGCCCTTCAAACCTTCACATCTCTACCTGCACACTATGCTCCTCACGGATGGACGTCTCTTGAATCGTACATGCTCTTCCAAGCCTTGGGCATCCATACAGCAGCCGAGAAACCGAGGGACCGTGAATGGATCTTTATTCTCCTTGACTTTCTGAAGGCATACGTTCAAGACCTTGGGAAGGAACTTCTGATGAATACAGAAGACCACATCGAATATGTTACAAGTCTGGTACAAGCTTTACATGAAGCTACGCAGGAGGCAGAGTCAGGTAGGTGTTATGTCGTCTATCATGTCCATTTATCCTAAACGTTTGTTAGATCTATCCCATCATGACCATCCGGCTATTTCAGTATCTGTTCCTAATGGCCAGGCCAGAACCGCTGACAATCGAGATGGCGCATTGCTGGAAGTCCAAGTGACGAATGCCCTGCCGTGTGTGAGTTCTTGTTTCATGGTTTGTGTTTTATCATACTCATCTTGCTTTAGGATGTCCCAGCGGATGAAGTTATCATCAACCTTACTGGCCGTGATGGTGCCAAACTGACATTCTTGGAAAATGTAAAATCATTGAAGCCGGGCAAAAACGCCATTACGCTGTTCTGCCATGTACTCCCTTTCCCTATTTCTCTAGTACGACAGGCTTGTTAATGCTACCATTCATAGTCTGCGACACCCGGTATCTATTCGTTACATAGCAGTCAAGTACGAATGTCCAGGCTCAGCCTCCACTGGCTGCATTCGTCAACCCCACCACCTAGTAGCAGTAGTGCTTCTCGTTCCAAGAAGCCTCCAACACTCGTATCCATCCCTCGGGACATACGCGCTCTGGACGTTCGTCTTCGCCAACCGCGTCGCAGTGAGTTGTAATGTCAATACACCCATCTCATATCTAACTCGTGAAACAGTGGAGCTTGGTACACCAGCACGTATTGTCGTGGCTTTCAACACCGGTCGCAACCATGTAACACGGGCAAGTGTCAAGCTCTCAGCACCCTCCGGCGTCGAATTCAGACATAACGAAGCAACGTTGATCGACTCAGGTATGCCACAACGTTTCTGCGTTTCCTTGTGTACTAACTGTCATGACAGATAATGATGCTTTAGAGGCAGGAGAAGATACATTCGTGTTGTCAGACGTGGAAGCCGATAAGACTGTCTATGTATCTGTGCCACATTCAGATGCATCTGCTTTCCATGCTATGGTGAGCACCCTATCAAGGTTGATACGCAAGACTTACATGATGCCTTCTCAGCGGGTTAATATCACCGTCGAGTACACAACATTAGTAGAACCAGACGTGAATAGGTCACTGACACTTGTCCGAGTGGTACTCACATCGCTTCCCCTCGCGATCAATGTTGAAGATTTCTTCAGAGGAACAAGGTACTTCACGTATTGCATTCTTGACGATAGTAGTCATCTAACCAATATTGAACTCTCAGACTGTTCACTCGCTTCACTTTGTCTTCGACTTCCCACCAACACATACGCCTGAAATCTACCGAGTTGCGGGCGACTCGAGATGACGACGGACTGAAGATAGCCAAAGCCATGCCGCGGTCGCGGACGGTTACGGTAGGTGTCCCAATTGGATTATCAATTTTATAAGTCATTCTGAGCCATCTTTTAGACTATTACACCTGAGCAGCCTGGCAAGTTCCTGTTCCAGCTCGACTCGGCAAGAGGGCAAGGTAGTTATATATTTCTACACCTCAGTTTCATGTCCCTAACGAACGGCCGATAGATCGGGAGCCTCTGAAACTTCACATTATATATCGTGTCCTGCGCGAAGGTAAGCATTTCTGCTTTTATACCTTGACATGTCATCCCGAAGCTGCTTAATTCTGTAGAAGTGGAATCTGTGATAGAATCAGCAGTCGATAGTTCATTGTCGGAGTCCGTGTCGCTACAGCAGTACCGTGCTGAGCTCATAGATACACTGGTACAAGCACTGGAGAAGGATGCTTCGTGGGTGAACAGATACGAGGCGACCGGCGAACTCATCGTTCCTGGAATCCCAGTACAAGATGGCGAAGTCGGGGAGGCATTGGCTCACCTCATCGAGGTGCGTTTCAGTGCTTTATATGTGTCTATAGCTTCTGATTTGAACAGACCCTAGCGAATCCTTCGTCGAATCAAGAGCCGTCTGGGGAATGGCGCGAAATCATCATTCCTGTGGATGTTCCCCAAATGCATGTAAGTATAGAGAATGTGAATATCTTGCCTGGTATGCTTACCCTCTGTATAGATTGTTGCGGCTGCACGCCTTCGTGTCCTTTCAAATCCGTTCAATCCGGATGCTGTAGAATCCCTTCCACCATTGTTTGCAGGTCAACCGATCTCCGCGCTTTTGACAATCAAGGCGTCATTTCACTGGGCTCCAGCCGAAGATGTTGAAAAGCGCAGCTACCGTATGAGATATGACATCGAAGAGAGGACTAAAGATTGGCTCGTGAGCGGCCAGAAGACGGGTGAATTTATTGCAGAGGTACTGTCCAGCATAATGCCCTGTACGGAAGTTGCTTAATATCATCTTACAGGACGATCGGACCTTCACAACTTCAGTTACTTTGATTGCCCTTCATCACGGCCACCTCATCCTTCCCAAGGTTTCTGTCGCAGCGCTACCTATTCCTGGTGAAGGAAGGATGAAAGCTCCATTGATACCCAGTTGTGAGACTTACCAGGCACACGGCGCCGAGGCTATTTTGGTTCTTCCACGCGGTGGGAGGAGTACTTTCGTGGTTAACATGGGTGGAGAGTAGACATGGTTCTGGACCTGTTATTATACCATAATTTATTTGTTCTGTTTCCGCCGTTGTACGGCGACCATTAGAGACATCGTGACAGGATAAACGCCAGACGTAACACGCACGGCCTGTGTGACAAGGTCGTGTCTAGGGCAAAATGACGCGCCTTATCTTGTCCAGGAGTACCGTTGTCCACCGTCACGCTGTAGTTGCTAGTCTAGAGTTCTCTATCTTGAATACCCTGCAACATGTCAGAGTTGTACGTGGACCTTCAGCTCATGTGTCACAGCCGCAGCACTCACATCCATGCCGCAGTGATCTAGAACGCGAAGCGAATATCGCTCGAAACCGAGAATTACTTGCTCAGCTGGGCATAGAAAGCCCAGTAGCAGTCGTAAAGATACCAGAGAAAGTCAAAGCTAAACCCATTCAGCCTAAGAAGAGGAAAGCCAAAGCGTCTCCTCCCCCGCCGCGAGAGACACGGTCGTCTGCTAGACTGAAGAAGCCGGTCATCGATCCAAATGAAACACCCGAACAGAAAAGAAAGCGAGAGGTATGTATTGGGCTCTTCTTCGCGGCTGTGTTTCTGACCATGGATGGGTAGAAAGAGGAAGAAGAGCGAAGGAGGAAGGAAGAAGAAGAGCGTTTGGCAGAGGAAGAGCGCGCTCGCGAGGCTAAACGACCGCGACATCAAGATCTTGACATTTCTGTATTGGGTCAAGAGCTGGACGAAGCAGAGCAGCGTACCTTGAGGTCTACTTTCCAAGCCACTCTCCAGGCTGCGTACCCACGTGGCGTCGCAAGCCAAGACGCGTTCGTATATGATGATAAAGAAAAGGAGGAACACCGTGCTGTAATTGAGCTGAAGAAGAAGCTCGCCAGCATGAAGATCGTGTCTCGGGCTAAGGTGACTCAAAATCGAATATACTGCGCGGCATACCACCCGGAAGTCACGAAGGATCTGATATTCTTCGGGGGTAAGCTTCTCTTATTTCTCTCGTACAATATTCACATAACCCTCAATGCAGATAAAAATGGCCAGCTTGGCATTTGGGATGCGCTCGCTCCTGTTGAAGAGGTTGCAGATGAAGACGATGATGTGAGCGCGGACGACAGAGAAGGTGGAAGATACTGGAGGCTACAGCTTCATTGGCCTGCTTCTTCGCAATCTTCCATATCCTCAATCAAGTTTGATCCCACAGACGCACATAGTGTATTGAAGCATCCTTTTATTATCAAATCGAATGCTGATCCCTTGTCTTCAGGTATACACAAGTTCTTACGATTGCACTGTCCGGAGTCTTTCCTTTACTTCAGGCATCTCACGTGAGATCTATTCTGCTGAGGATGCTCTAATATCCTCTATTGACCTGACTACAACCGGACATGAGATGTGGATATCAGATGCAGCTGGAGGCACTATTCATCTGGACCTGCGTGAGGCCAAATCCAGGGCAAGACGATACCAGCTATCCGACCAAAAGATAGGAAGCGTGAGCATCAACCCCGTCGTGAATCATCTCATTCTCACAGCATCAAATAGTCGTGTTCTACGGTAAGTTCTACATGTATGTCGCGTTTGTGGAGATTGCTCAATATGACACAGAGTTTGGGATACTCGAAAACTCGCCGTCATTGAATCCAAACATCGTTCTAATGTCGACGACCATGCTATCAATAGATTCCTAAAGTCTAAGGATGGTAAGAACTGTCTTCGGGGCGAATGGAGTCATGGCAAGTCCGTCAGTTCCGCGTATTGGGATCCCAGAGGTCGGGGGATAGTCAGTACAAGCTATGACGACAAGATACGATGTGCGTGTTCCATCATCACTGCGAGTAAGACTTCTAAGCTCAGCCAACTCGATAGTGTGGGATATTAAGCCAATTGCACTGAGTAAAGACGCGGTCTTTCCTTCATTTCGGCCTCTCACGGAGATTCGCCACAACTGTCAATCGGTAAGTGATGCCTGTTTACATCCATAACATTTTTTTCTAACAATGTTTCATACAGGGTAAATGGGTCTCCGTCTTAAAGGCTCAGTGGTCACCAAACCCTGACGTATATCCCCACTTTACGGCAAGCATTACTCATTTATACACATGACGTGCTTTCTGACGCTGTGTTTAGATTGGTAACATGGACCATTCGCTAAACATTTATACAGGAAAGGTACTTCATCCTACGTCGCCCATCGCTCACATACTCCTGCAGTTACTGATTATGATTCTATTTAGGGTGTGCCCCTTGCCAAGTTGGCCGACAAAGCCCTGTATGTGCTCCGCTCCGTTCTTCACGATACTACAAACTCATGAGTGCTTCCCCTTCAGTGTGACTGCTGTCCAAGCTGTCACATGCTCACATCCTAGCATCGTTGAACGAGTGGCTAGTGGTAATGCTAGCGGTCGCGGTACTTTATGGGGGCCATCTAACGATTGATTTTGCATACCCAGCCATTACTTATGATATCACGCAGCCGTACATAGGACATAGTTTCGTAAGGGGCAGATCCGCGAACTTGCTCTAGCGGCAGAACAATAAGTGCAGCATTGTTGCAATATTCCGGTACGTTCTTCTAAGAAGACTAAAAAGTCGTCACCTGTGCGATTCGAACACACGCGGGCAAAGCCCAACCGCTAACAGCTATAAATAGCAGGCGATCCCGTTAACCACTCCGGCAAAGTGACTTCGAATTTAAATATATCTATATTGTTTATTGATCTAACTATTTCCCTACTTATTTGAGTTTCGATCAGTTTCTTCCTAACTTGCTTGGTTTTGAGTCTCGATATTCCTCCCTATTTCCTCTTCCTCACTGGTAGCTTCTACTTGCTTAACATCGGCATCACTCAGTTGCTAAGATGCCTTCAGCTGATGAAGCGAGCACCTCTACAGCTCCTGCTCCGACTTTCAAGTCGCTTGGCCTTATTGATCCTTTGCTGGAAGCTATTGCTCAGCTCAACTATACTTCCCCCTCTGATATCCAGAAAGCAGCTCTCCCCCATGCTCTTGAAGGTCGAGACATCATTGGTGTAGCTTCTACTGGCTCTGGTAAAACCGCTGCTTTTGCTTTGCCAATCCTGCAGAAACTATGGGAAGAGCCTAAAGGACTATTTGCTTGCGTTCTCGCGCCTACGCGAGAACTCGCGTTTCAGATTTCACAGCAGTTCGAGAGTTTAGGTGCTGCGATGGGTGTTCGGTGTGCTACAATTATTGGAGGTGTGGATCTTGTATCACAACAAGTCGCACTTGCCAAACGTCCGCATATCGTCGTTGCTACTCCTGGTCGTCTTCAGGAGCATTTAGAGAAGACGAAGGGATTCAGCCTGAGAAGCCTGAAGTTCCTGGTACGTTCTTTATTTCCTTTTATTCTGACTGTGCTGATTAGTCGCAGGTCTTCGATGAAGCAGATCGACTGCTTGACTTGGACTTCGGTCCTATGATTGACAAAATTCTTAAACTCATTCCAAAAGAACGGACAACATACCTATTCTCCGCTACGATGACAACGAAGGTTGCAAAATTGCAGCGGGCGAGTCTATCAAACCCAGTGCGTGTGGAAGTGTCAGAAAAGTCAGTGTCAATCCCTTGCGCCTATATAGACCTTCGTACTGAACGAAATTGGCAGGTACTCTACTGTATCAACCTTGTTGCAATACTATCTCTTCATTCCATTGAGTCAAAAGGATGTACATTTGATTTATATCGCCAATACCCTTGCCCAACATTCTATCATTATCTTCACTAGAACAGTGCACGATGCCCAGAGGTAAGCGTCCCCTTCCTCAGTAACCAGAATGGGAGCTAATTTCTGTGTAGGGTGTCAATCATGCTACGCACACTGGGTTTCGCTGCAATACCTCTTCATGGTCAAATGAGCCAAAGCTCTCGGCTCGGTTCGTTGGCGAAGTTCAAAAGTGGAGGCAGGAGGATCTTGGTCGCCACCGATGTTGCCAGTCGGTATGTCATCGGGATTTTGTTATGTTGAACGTACCATCCTAAATATTATACAGTGGCCTAGATATCCCATCCGTGGACGTGGTCATCAATTATGACGTCCCAACACATTCCAAAGACTATATCCACCGGGTCGGTCGAACCGCACGAGCGGGTCGTTCTGGAAAGGCGATAACATTGGTGACGCAATACGATGTAGAACTCATTCAAAGGATTGAAAAGGTCACTGGAAAGCAGATGGAGACTTGGCCGATAGACGCAGAGGAAGTTGCATTGTTGCGAGAACGTGTAGATGAAGCTGGGCGAGTAGCGACTAACGAGATGAAGGAGCAAAGCATGAATAAGCCTGGGAGGAAGAGACGACGAGAGGATGGTGGTGGGAGAGATGATGTCGATAGGGACGATGATGTGGTAGAAGCGGGTATGCCAAAGAAGAAGAGTAAGGGTAGGAGGTAATACGTCCGTGTTACCTCTATCTGTCGGATTATGTATATGGCATCACATATGAGAAACTGACATACCATGATATTAATTCATGAACATCAGGTCAGAACGCAGGATATATTTCGTGCCAGCGAGAACTGGTGATCCCTCATGAAGTAGACATTCGTTTCCATGGCTGATTGAGAAGTAAATCAGCCTCTCGAGCTAGAAACCAATGTCATTAGTTACAGACCGATGTAAGAGCGCAGAGCCTCGCGTTAGAGGGGCCGTAATCACTTCGCGAGGTTTGCCCCTCTGATCCCGATAGAATACAGTCTAGGCACCAGAGTAAAGGTTCAATGACAATGCAACGTGAGCCAATTTGAATGGATGTTAGCGGGCAAGAAAGCATACTTCTCCGCCTTGTACACCATCTTCAGCACCAGAGAGATAAACCAGCAGTGTCCATTCTGACTTGGCGCCAGTAAGGGGATCTCGAACAGAGTCGTCATAATGAGCACCAAAGTGCTGTCCGGGTGTATACTTGTACATGCGGATATTGGTATTCAGGGAATGCGGCGCACGGTCGGTATTGGTTGATCGCCTGATAGAAGCAGGATAAGGGAACGTCGGCAAGTGTGGTCTCAACACATCATGCAGAGTTCGCGCAAATTCGGGCGATACTATAGATATTCTGTCTTCGGATGGTTGTTGATGTTGGATTAGAACGTGTCCCTGGCTAATCGAAGTAGATTAAAGGCGTACAATTCACTCGTTCCGCTTCTCCGCGTTTCTTGGGCGGAGTAAGTTCGAGAGGTAAGCTGTCAATGAACTTTACGAAGGTTTTACACTCTTCGGGTGAGAAGAATTCCTACATAAAAGGTTTCAGCTACCCCACATTTGACCAACGCCATTATTTACGAACGTCGACCACAATTATCTGGTCCTGTAACAGCACATTACATTGTAGACCCTCTTTGGCCCGAATGGGAGGGAACCGATACGAAGATGTAGCTACTGGTCCTGAAGTGGTACAAGGATTAGCGCGAGTCTTCTTACCCATGACTTTTCTGCCTTTGGTTGGTATAGGCTGGTGCAGGTGACAATCAACGATAAGTCTCGAGTGTACGAGACTATTGGTTATGTGAATCATCCGATCTGGAGATAAAGTATGACGTCCATTCACAGGGCACTTGGCACAGTGGTAGCGCGCACGCTTCGCATGCGTGAGGTCGAGGGTTCAATCCCCTCAGTGTCCAGCGACGTGTGCGCAAAGAAGATTGTTTTTGTAAAAAAGCTACACTTTTGAGCTAAGCTTGAGTCAGTGATGAAGACGTTCAAGGCTTCCATGGGTTCGTTGCCTGGCCTCCTACGCCGGCAGTGAGGTATACAGCCTCGCCGATTTCATTAATGTAAAAGCAATCTTCTAGTCGAACTCCGATCTGAGCATGAAATTTCTTAGAACATGAAGACCAGCATGAGGACGATTTTTGCCCACCTCGCCCTCGATGTACACGCCAGGTTCATCAGAGAAAGTATGACCCGTCAAGATAATATCATCGGAACCACCTCTCAAATAAGGTGATTCATGACCCTCGATGCCAATTCCTAGTTGATAAGAAACATCATGTAAATATGTCAGTGTTTTATATATATTCACTACTTATCCGTGAGAACATACCGTGGCCCAATCGGTGAGTAAAGAATGGGGCAAGATGTTCCGCTGCGATAACTTCGCGAGCCGCATGATCAACTTCAGCCGTAATAGTTCCGTTACGCGCCTTTGCAAGTGCGGCGGACTGAGCACGGTGAATCAGGTCCCAAAGAGCCAACTGGCGAGGCGATATGATTGACGAAGGAAGTGCAAACGTCTGCTCAGCGTTGTTGTGTTAGTTCAGAGGGTGTATGCATAATTGACTGAACCAACTCTTGTCACATCGCTCACGTAGCCATGAAGTTCACCTCCACAGTCGATGAGGATGAAGTCATGATTTCCCAAAATACGGTCAGTCCCACTTCCATGAGGCAGAGCTGCATTTTCTGTACATCATGGACAATGTCAGGCTTCAAAATTGATGACTAAACGTCAAGTAATGGAAAGCTTACCCCCAAACAACGTGAGAGCAAATGCATTCTTCAGTCCAGCTGCAGCCATGGCCTCCTCAACAAGGGCACGAACCTCTGACTCCCGCATCCCGATACGCATTTGCTCGCGAGCAGCACGTATTGATAGCACCGTGGCCTACATAACTGTCAGTTAAGACAGGTATTCGGTTCACGACCACGTCTGACGTACCTCATTTGCACATTTCAAGATCTCGATCTCGTCCTCGTTCTTCCGTTCACGTAGTCGCCGTATCTCTACAGGCGCACTGATGACCTGAGTTGAGGGAGAAGCTTCCTGAAGGCCATCGACAATAAAGTGCCGAATGCTATTATCGACAAATACAGTACTGTTCTGAAAGTGCTCTATTGTTGAGAGAGCAACCGCATATGGATCCACATCTTCAGGCCATTCGGCGAAGGTGACTGTCGAGGCACTCGGGATCGGCAACAATTTCGCCCTTGTCGCTTCAAAATAGGGCGTCAACACAGTGACGGTTGCATGTATGCTGCCTTCTTCGTCAACGCGAGGAGTTACAATAAGAAGCAAAGGCCTCTCAGATAGGTGCCAGTGCGAAGATGAGATATTCGCAAAGTAGGCGGCATTGGCTCCCGGTTCGGCGATGTACGCTGACGCGTTCAAAGAATGAAGAAGCTCAGCCAATAAATTCTGGCGTTGCACATAGCTGGAAGTAGGGATTGGAGAGATGTGGGCGCAATGGCTGGCGAGGTGAGAGAAGTAACTGAAGCCTGGAGCAGAGTCAGAAGATAAACTGAACCTAAGACTGGAGGGGAACACGGAAGTCCAGCAAATAAGACAAATAATCAGAAGGGACACATATGCGAGTGGCCCTGCATCCTAAAACATTAAAACAATGAGCTTGTGAGATGGTTCCCTTATCACAACTGAGCCGGAGACAATTGCGCATAAAGAAGCTCACCTTCTGGCACCACTTTGGCCGCTTACGAGTGGTTCTGTGTTCATCATGTAACGCAAGAACCTCGCAATATTTCACCATAGCTAATATCAAATCAGAACAATAGAGGGGATTGTTGGACCACGGCTTATCTTCACGAGAACGACAAACTTCATGGAACCGACGAACTTGGATTCGAAGCACACATACAATCGAAGGTCGAGATCAATTTTCCACGTGATCGCGCCTTTCCTAATGATTCGCGCCTCCGGTCTGGACGCGCTCGCGCTCATCTCAGACCTCGACGACGACCAGGAAGATCACGAGTATATGCAAGGACCATACAAAAAGGATTAATAGCAATGGATGCAAACTCAGACACAGATGTACTTCTCGCAATGCTCTCCAGCCTGTTATGTACTCCGATCTCAGATCAGTCTGTTCTCCTCAACGCCTTGGTTGAGTGCAACGGCGATGTGGAACAGGCTGCACAAATCCTCAATTCCGGACCATCTCAGTCAAATAGAAGATCTACAAGCCCACCTAAACAGAAGAGGAAACATGTGATGGGCCTTGAAGGATGGGTACAACGCTCACCGGGTAAGGATGGCGCCTCGTACCGTTCAAAGTCGGTAAAGCGGGCCAGGCGCGAATCACCAACTGAAACGGTGGTTGAAGACACGGACGACGCTCTTTCTTTTCATGGATCGACCTCAAGTAAGCCCAGATCGAGTTCGAGTAAGCCAAGCTCCAGAGTGCAACTTCCTGTGGCCTCAGGGAGTTCGCCTTCCAAGGCGAAGCCTCTCTCAAAGCAGGAGTTCATGTCTGTTCTCCGACCGCCGAATTCTACTGATGGGAAGGCGAAAGCCTCCCCACCCAAGCATCCTCCTCTCACGCTTTCAACACCCGAGCTAGTTGCGAAGCATACGCCTTGTACAATCCATTCCTCTATTCTGCCAACCGAGCTCGCTTGTCGGTAAGCAACTGGTTGGTATTATAACTGACCTCATGAAAAATATTGAGGCCATATGCAGGCTATTCTACACTATGTTGGACCTCAGTCGAGACTGGGATAGAAACCGGTGGTACCTGTTCGATCGCTTGGTCGAGAGCCCTCATAAAACGTGTTTCTTTGTGAGACAACAGACCCTTGACTCCCCCGAATGGGCGGGGGAAATGGAAGAAGCTACACGATTCTGGTCAAACCAAGCCTTCCTGTGCAAAATAATCCTTGACCTGATGGCTTTTCGTCTTCGCAGGTACAACGGCGCTGCCGAGAAGTCCACACCCGTGTTCCCACCTGCAATGGAAGAAGCATGCAAGTACGTGGAACGAATTGTGAACGAAGAAATGCATAAACGAACACGTTTCCCGCTCGAATGGGGTGGCGAGCCCCCTAAGAGTTCTGATGAAGACTTCGCACCAACGGATGGTAAGAAGATCATCTGGAGAGCCAATGTCGCTGCGTCAAATTGTTACGAGGGTGCGAAGGAAACTGTGGGATTTCACACTGACGCTCTGACTCACCTTGGTCCGTATCCCACAATCGCAAGTCTGAGTTTGGGTACGTTATACGCACCATACACATAATTGGTCGCTGAATTTCATATAGGCACAAGTAGAATCTTCAGATTGCGAGAAGTCGTTCCATCAGACGAGAACGAGACACGTAGCGCCAGAACGTTCAATATTCCAATGCCCCATAACTCAGTGAGGTTCTAGACTTAGTTCCTTTAACGAAGCCATGTAATGATTAATTGGAACCGACTTGTTAGTTAACGATCATGCATGCGTCGTGCCAGGAAACATTCAAACATTCGGTGCCACCCCAAAGAACAATAGATCTTTTCCATCCACCTTTCCCGCCTCCACTTTCTTTGAAGAACAGTGGACAATCTCGAGATTGCAATGACGAGGAGGGTAAACAGAATCAACCTGGCTCTAATGCTCGCATAAACATCACCTTCCGGTTTTTTCGTCCCGATTTTCGCCCCTCAACTACGCCACAATGCAAATGTGGGGTGGCATGCGTGTTAAGACCTGATATGAAGAATAGATATACCTACGACGGAAGTTCTACTTCGAAAGGATCTTCTGAACCTACTGGGAGTGGAAAGCCAGATTCGACTCGTCGGAATGTAGTATCCAAATATTGGTGGACGTGCCATGCGGGTGCGCAAAATGAGGGTAAAGGATGCGGGATGTGGAAAGTCATGGATGCGAAAGCGGAAGGAAGAGGACCGTTCGCTGGAGACGTATAATCTTGTAGTTAGGACACGATGCACCCTGGTCCTGCGAGGTTCGGACCATTTCTACTCACAATTGGTGTTGCATGTCTTTTTTTATGTGAGATTGATGAGGATTTAGATAAGATCGACACGAACCGCCGTGCAATGGTTCAAACTGCCAGAAAGGACAAAGGGAAATCGCCGAACGACAACGCCTTCCCAATGCGGGTTCCTGTAAACGATCGACGCCGATTGGTTTCGGTCCGCTGGGTGTTTTGAGCATAGTGCACACTGTGTGACTCTATCCTCTACCTTTTCTCACCACATACTTTCCATCTTTCCCCAAGGACATCTCGCAAACACAACCGATAACAAAATGGCAGCACGAACTGCAAAAATCGAGCGAAAAACGAACGAGACTCAAATCGAGGTCTTTATCAACTTGGACTGTCAACCAGGCTCAGGAAATGCTCAAGAGATCTCTATCTCGACTGGCATTGGCTTTCTAGACCACGTATGTCACGAACGTGGCTTACAATATGAATGAAGATGCCTCATGTACTGAGACGATCACACAATACAGATGTACCATGCACTAGCTAAACACTCTGGAATGTCACTCACTCTAAAGTGCCAAGGCGATCTCTGGATAGATGACCACCACACTGCAGATATGTCCCCTCAGATCGTCTTTCCTGTGCGATCAGAAAAGACTAACGAAGTCACAATACTTTACAGGACAGCGCTATAGCACTCGGCGCCGCATTCAAACAAGCATTGGGTGAAGTACGAGGTATCCGACGGTATGGTACGGGCTTCGCCCCTCTCGACGAGGTCATTATTCATTATTTTTCACTAAAATTACCGCTTTGGATGACTCATACGGTGTTCTCAGGCGTTATCTCGTGCAGTCATAGACATTTGCTCTCGCCCGTATTGTGTCACCGATCTCGGAATCAAACGCGAAAAGATTGGGGACCTTTCTACTGAGATGTTCCCTCACATATTTTACTCGTTTGCCATGGCTTCTGGCGTGACATTACACGTTGATGTCCTTCGTGGTGAAAATGACCATCATAGGTTAGTGCTTCACGTTACTAGAAATGAATCACACTGTTCATAATGATTGTGATATAGGGCGGAGTCCGCCTTCAAAGCTCTTGCGTTGGCAATTCGTCAGGCCATCGAGAGAACTGGAGGGACTGACATTCCTAGTACGAAAGGTGTATTGTGATAGCTTCGACGGTCAAGAAACCGTTAGCAAAACTCTCATTGCTATGTCCATATATCCTTTTTGCTCATGTACAGAATAAGTAGATTGCGATGGGAACTGTGGAATGCATGTCGATTACAAAGGATGAGTGAGTATCTATCAAATACACTAGCAGACAGAGAGGAAATACAGAGAAAAATCCAAGTACACACTACATGAACGCAATAACCGTGAGGGAAGTGAGGAGTCTTTGCACGAAGTCCATGGTTATCTATCTCCGGCTTCGCAGAGAGTTTCGAGGAAGACTTTAAGATCATCCTTGTTGATCTCAATAACACTGGTATCGAAGGAACCGTGTCGCGTCCGCGCGTTGCAACGTTCTTTGGCATCGAGGAAAGCAAGACCAAATTCGCTGCAAGATGATGAAACATATCGTCAGAAAATATAGAGGAGGAACAGTTGGTACACATACTTCTTCCTCACTTCGCCAAAGTCCAACGCGGCAGTGACACCTACGACGATATACGTTCCCTCTTCTTCATTCAAACAAGCGACAACAAACGGCAGGCTCTTCCTTTTCTTGCCGTTAGCAAGAGGCTTGACAGGGACTTTGTCTCTCATAGCTTCCACGAGCCACAAGGCCAACCTCGACAAAACACCAGGATGAGCAAAGAGCGCAAGATCAGGACCTTGTGTAATAACGACCACACGGTGTCCTCGAAGGGTTCGAATATCCTGCTTGTCAATAATAGATGAGCCTTGACGGATGATTGCACGATGTAGGGACATGGAAAGAGGGAGTGCTTCCCGAAGATGGGTGATACTAAAGGTAGCGTCGTCAGTCAACTGGTAAAAGACAGAAGAGTGAAAACGGGGGATTGAGCTCACTCAGTTAGCGCGTCGAACGCCGTCCAGAAGTTCTTCACCCACCACTCGCCATCCTCCGCCTCATCGTTAGACTTTCCGCCAGCAGCCTCACGTGAGATTCCTGCAAGTATCTTAGCCATCTCTCCTTCATCCTCTCTCTCCCTTCTCCCCTCCCAACCACCTAATTCCCATACTCTACCACCACCAAACCATTCTCCACCATTCCTCGCACCCTGTATCTCAACCTCCATACGAACACCACTCGCAACGTCTAAAAGGGCCGATACAGCTTCGACTGCATCGCAAGCGGAGAGTGGTTGTGAGTGATAGCCGTAACAACGGGTGAATGAGGGATACGAGAGCTCGACGAGTCCGTATTCGGGTGCAATTTGGTCGAGTTTGTTGCGGAGCATTTGCTTGAGGTCTTTGGCCATGTGAGGGTATGGCTGTTGGGTTTCAGGTATTGAGAAACTGGAGACAGACAGTCAGCAGACCTGCTATGTGAAGGCTGGACGAAATATAACATACCCCATCTTGGCTAAAAGCCCACTTAGCCGTTTCCTGCCCTTCTCCTTCCAAATGCCCAACTTGCTAGCAACATAACTCGAATGATACATCGCGTCGTAGAGGTTCCAATGACGAAACATCATAAACCTCAACTCATCTGCTGCATAAACGCTGCGGTCATCAGGATGTTGACTTTTGAAGTCATAATCCCGTGTGGCAGAGGCAGGTGGGGGAGGATTCAAACGCGCAACTTCATCATAGTATATCGAATGGTATTTGTCGTAGTCTGTGCGTGATATTCGGGAGGTAGTGTATTGATAAGTGAGTCCAAGGATCGCCAGCCTATGGAAACAATGTATTCATAAGGATAGAACCAAGCAAGAATCGAAGTCTAGTACGCACCAGAGCAAGTCATTATCGACACGTTCTAGCACAGTAGCTAGAATGTATATTGTGCCTGATGCACTCTGGCCATGCCACGTACCAGACATGTAATGTTTCTCCAGTCGTGCAGCATAGCGATCGCGATCTTCGCGTGATACTCGTTTCGGTCGTTTCTGTTGATATCATTGGAAGACATGCATCACAAAGACGAGGGACAAGCAGATTCTAAGAACATACCTCGAGCCTCCTCCGTTTTGGCGAAGACCGACCACCGCTGCCTAATGATCGTCGCTTTCCAGAGGAACTACTAGCCTCGTATTCGTCCTCATCTTCCTCCTCATCTTCTTCAGGTCGGTCAGACTCGAGGTCAGAATCCTCATCTGAATCCGGCTCTGGCTCATACTGTTCCGACTAACTTCAGCGTACTGATGCCCAATGGCAAGCGGTGTGTACATACTGTAAGCACCTCCCAAGCCTTTCGCTCCTCTTGCATATTCTCAGCACCTCCGTCATCCCAGATAACTATCCTATCTCCATTCTCTCCTGCACCAAACAGACTTGCCAAGTTCTGAGGTCTTGAAGAATCAATGACATGGACTGTAAGCCGTGGGTTGAAGTCACCAAACCATTCCGGTGACGGTAGATCGAGGATGGCTCCCATATTGATGAGAATAAGGGTATGCAACTTCACAAACAACAAAGCAAACCAGTTCAGTTCGGAAAGACTTGCGTTCGCGAAAGAAAGAGCGAAGCACGTACATCAGCATAAGTAGCCAACTCATCCCTCTTCTTCTCCAAATCAGCATGTCCAGAAACAGGTACGATACGATGCATCACATCGTCCCCTTTGAGCAAGTCAGCTAACATACGTGCAGCGCAGAGAGAGTCGACATCGGGTGCTACGAGAAGGATGACAGAGGAAGCAGAGGTACTGGGCGAACGACGGTGTGCGGCGAGGATGTTGGCATAAGCTTCGGCGTAGGAGCGACGTGTCTCAGAGGCATATTGAGGTGGCGGTAGGTATACCATAAGAATAAAAGCCTCAGTTCAAGAGAGATCCAGAAAGAAATATTTAAACCAAGAGGGAAGAAGAGTCTAAGACTAACGCGCTGGCTCAACTTCACGCGACGCGTTTATGGAGAACACCCAAACGCGTCGCACGTGCTCTTCGACGCGCTTGTGGCTGCAACTTCTCGATATTCTTTCACAACGGAGGCTGAGCAGGGATGTGTATGTAGTAGTAATGTATGTAGGGAAAACCAATTGAGATATTCTAGAACCAGCTCGTCCTTTCCCTAACCTCCCTAGTTTTCCCTCTGATTCCCCAGACTCCCCAGTTCGTCTTGACCATCACCCTCGGGTCAAAATCAGCTACTTCCCATTTCTCACTTCCAAAGGCGTTGGGTCCAGGTGTAATTACCCAATCGAACTCTCCAGCTACTCCCTCAGCAGTTGACAGACTCTTCACATCCCTCTCTACATCAGCCGGGGAAAACCCAGTGACGAAGATCGGGCACTTGGTTGAAAGGAGGGTCGGAATGATAGGACCCCATTCCGTCGGAGAGGCAATTTGCAAGAGCGGTTCTCCAGTAACTTCTGACGTGCTGTTAGGTGAAGGGAAACCGAAGCCAGGAGAGAACAAGAAGAAACAGTCGGTGTAGGGATCAAATGTCTCTGCGAACTGAGCGTGCACTTCAGCATAGTTCGCTTGCATGCCTGTGATGGTGAGTTGGTGAGTGTAGGGAACCGTGTAGGAAGGTACACCAAATTTCTGGAGAGCATCTCGAGTTCGTTTCAGACGAACTATGGGCGCAGGTGTCGGCGGCTCGTAAACGTTTGGTAGGTAGACAGGCTTTTCTTCCTCCTTGGGCTTTGCCTCCTCATTTTGAGCACCCTGATCAGTCGCGGTCGTTTCGGCAGTTGTAGCCCCGGTTGACTCAGGAGAAGCCCCGGATGTTGAGGAGGACGCGGGCTTTGGAGCGTCGGCATTCTTTGATTTAGGCAAAGATACTTGGGGACCGATGAAGTATAAGTGGAATAAAGCAGATGGGAAGAGCATGCAAAGTTGTTCCCAAACATGTGGTGGGAGAGAAGACTCTGCGCGAGCACCGAGAATAAAGATACGTGTCTGCGGTTTATCTGCCGATGCCTCCTCAGTCTCTGGAGCTCCTGGCGGGACATGTAGAGTAGTTCGCAATGCTAATGGGAGGGTAAGGACCACATTCCTGTAGCAGACAAAATGTGATCATACCTGCAAGCGATCGACTACCCTCTGGCGTGAGCCGCTGATTGCTCAAGGTCAATCCGCTATGTTGATGCAAAACGGAACCAATGGTGGTAGGGTAAGTCAGGAGTTTACTGGCATGCCTTCGGGACCTTTCAGTATCCATTGACGGGAAGCCACGGGTATACCAGAAGACGTCCCAGTTGGCGAACGAAATGGCAGCCTCAGTATCCTGTTGACCTGAACCAAGGCACCTCAACCATGATAACTCAACGCGGGGCAATAAGAGAAATATGTACCTGGCAACTCGAATTCCCTCAACCGTCTGCCACTCCTCAAGTCATGTTCATCCTCATTAACCTCTCTAAGCCTTGAGCAATATTTTTCATGCTCAGTATCCTCTTTCCAATGCTCCTCTGAACAATGTGTCGGCCATCCGCAATCGGGACATTCAAACTTGACCGCTTTAGGCTGAGCCTTGTTATGGGCTTCGTGTGCTTCATGATGATGTGAAGAGGCACAGACGGGGCATGGTGCAAGAGATTGAATAGCCTCGCCACGAGCACGAACGGCAGGGAAAGGAGACTTGCTGAACGGATGGAAAAGGTCGTCCTGCGAGAGTACAGGAAGAGGGTCTGATTTTGATAATGGTTTTGACTTTGAGGATTTCAACCACGAAAAGAGTGTCCTTCTGGGTTGTTGTCTGAGGAGTATTCGATATTGACAACGAGTTGCCCGTAGGAGATTGGGAGTTGCAGAGGACAAAGCCATGTTTGCGAGCTCTGCTTCACCGACTTTCTCCTACCCAAGACGCGTTCTTCAATTATGGGACCGCACGTGGCTCGATCGTCGGCATGATCTTGAATGAGTATTCCGGCATCCTCAACCTTGCGAGGCAGAGTACTGCAGGCTGTTCGTCACCTCTTGAGAGGCTCTTCACTTCAACGCATGCTTTCTTTTCGGACAGGGCTGCTCAAAAGTACTCTTCGCCCTCTAACACTAATTAAACCATGTCCTAGACTCCCAGTATGCAACCAGATACGCACTTACGCACTATCACGTTTCGAGGAGAGGAGAGCAGGTGTCGGTCGTACGCGACCAAAGATCACCCCTCGTTCGACACTCAGTGAGAAACAGGGAATACCGGAAGATGATGCCTTTAAGTCTTCTGGATTTGACAAATCGTCGGATGAATCCAGCCCCCTGTGGGAAGCTAGCCAGCGTCCACCTGTGAATAACCCTGAAGAGGGATTGAGGACACTCCTCATGCAGAATGACCAGCTGATCATAACGAGGTGGGTGACTGTTTAGATTCTATGCCCGCTTTGTTTCTTAGGTTCTGAGCCGAATTTATGTCACAGGCAGATTGAAATGATGAATATCTTCATTGGATTTGAACAGACGAATAAATATGTCATCTGTACGTGTCTAGCACGACATGTGCGTTTGCTATGACATACCCATACGAGCAGCAAACGAGAAAGAGGAAGTATTAGGTTACATTGCAGAGGAACCAAGAGGAATACTCTCCGTGTTCTCTCGTCAACTCCTCCGAACACACCGACCATTCCGTGCTGTTGTCCTGGATAGGCAGGGCTCTCCTATTCTCTGGGTGCGTGCATTCATTGCCAACCCAGTACCGTTTTCATTCAGTCTTGCTTACACTGATGTGAAAGTGCAGCTACGACGACCGTTCGCCTGGATAAACTCCCGTATGTTCGTCCAGCGACTCCAAGATTATGAGAACTACACTTCAGAGGGTAACCCTGTCCTCGATACGTTTGCTGAAGTGCAACAGCGCTGGCATTTCTGGCGTAGAAAATACGATTTGTTCCTCCGGTACGTTTGTCCTTCTGCACCTTAGCATCAACATGATCTTTGACGAGTCACAGGAAACAAGAAACTCACCGTGTCTTATCCCTAGCTTCGGATCCCCAACCCGAACCCGAGCTCAATGAAGAAACCTTTTACCAATTTGCCAGAATAGACGAAGGTCTGTGGGCCTGGGATTTCAGTCTCAAGGACGCAAGGGGTGTAGAGATCGCTAGTGTGAACAGAACATTCCGAGGGTTCGGAAGAGAAGTAAGAACCGACTCTACTGAACCTAGAGGCAAAAGACTAAGTCATGCATCATATGCATAGCTTTTCACTGATACAGGTCGTTACTTCGTACGATTCACGCCTCAACCCACGTCCCAGTTGGACCCAAGTATGCATCCGTCTATCGTACCAGATCCGAAGTCAATGGTTGTTCGGGACCTGACGTTGGACGAGCGTGCTGTATGTCTATGTTATCCATTTGATTTACTGTCAACTCGCTGATGTTATCTTTCTTTTGCATAGCTCATATTAGCCACGGCAGTAAACATCGACTTTGATTACTTCTCCCGGCATTCAGAAGGGTACGTGAACAATCTCGCGTTCACTTTTCTCCTATGCTGAAAGCAGATTTTCTTTTCCTTAGACACGGCATAGGCCTCTGGCACTTTACGTCATTCGGCTCGGATGCATAAAGTGGGCGAACGCAGGTTGAGAGTGATAGAGTCGTCCACTTCATATTCGGGGTATCAATGTCAATGGGTCGTAATACAGATAACGCCTCCTGATCTAATACATATGCAAGTAAAGCGATAAGAAAGCAACACAATGTGAAGTGCGCTATGAAGTGTCCGGTATATACGTTGTATGTTACAGTACCACGATTCTAGTCTCCCGATTACCAGAAGAGACAACGTTTCTCCGGTGGGGGATTCAACTGAGGGAACATATAGATGTCAACTTCCTGTAATCCTCGTCAAGAGAACCACCTGTACGTACCTTGGCCTTGGCGGAACATTTGAACGCCTTTGCAAACTCCGGGATGTTGCGTACGGTTCCGTCGACACGGAATCGATTAGGCGAATGAGGATCTGAGCGTACTCTGGCAACCTGCAAAGGAGTCATAAAGGACATCGTCAATACACCTGCATAGTTCAGATTATAAAGAGGAAGACATATGTACAGCAGATGCGGGTTTAATGTTCTGTGCCCACTGGTTTCCAAATGCGATGAAAAACAGTTGTTCCCTAAACGACGATTATGCATGAGTATTTTCTTGTGGCTATGGGGAGAGCTGCAGAATACACACCGATTGTAATTCAATCCTGGTAAAAGTCGTTCGTTGCCAGCTTTATGAGACTCCTCGAACTGAGCTTGCCATGCGCGGAATGCTTGTATCAGACCAGAATCGCCAATGTTCTCGCCGGAAGTCCTGTGCGTGAGATGTTAGCAATGGTATAACCTGAATGGAATGACATCATTTCACTCACAAATTTCCCTGTGACGATGTGTATATATCAGTAATGAAGAAAGAAAGCAGGAAGAAGTACAACTTACGTTCACGTACACCTTGTTACCCTGATCATCCACAACATAGTAAGCTACAAACCAAAATTAGTCACCGAACACAAGAGGGATTAGAAGAAACCTACACGAATATTGCTCAACAATACAATCCTGGATGACTTGATAACGTTCACTCGTTGCATTCGTCCACCATGGTTCCAATTTGCCTTCCTGGTTGAATAAGCGACCAGCAGAATCAAACGCATGTGTGAGTTCATGGGCTGCAACCTGTCCGAACGCGCCGTAGGCCATGTATCCGGGCCTGTATCACAGTGAACATCACGAGGAGACGCATGGAAACTCCGTATTCAACGTACCAGTTCCCAGCGAAGACAGGAGGCTGCAAGATACCAGCGGGGAACACAATCTAAAGAAGCATCTCGATAAACCCTCCTATGATCAACAAACGAAGAACAAATGACTCACTTCGTTCGCAGGGGGATTGAAGTAAGCATTAACTTGGGACGTATACATTTCCCAAGCTTCAGGATCCTGTTGTCTTCCCAGAGTGAGCCAACTTTTGAAAATGTCATCCTCCCTGGCACTGAGGATGTTCTCGAAGAAAGTCGTCTCGTGAATTTTGACTCTGCTGTAGTAGTTTACTAGAGAACGAGGGTCCTCTGTGTTAGGCGAGAGGGGATAGCCGACTTTCACTCTGATAGCATCAGCCTAAACAATGGGAACGAGGTAAAATGAGAATGAGGAGTGAAAGTTTATATACTAACCTTCTCTGCCGCTGCCTTGGCACTTTCATCGTCCATCCATTTGATACGTTTGAGTGACGCCTTGAACGCATCAATAATGTCTGCAGTGACAACCAGTCAGTTACTATGCACAGAATCATGCTATTGAAGACACACTTACCAGTGATGACTTTCGTACCCTTCTTCTTAGACTCTCCGCCAAACGCTTCCTTCACAAAGAACCTACCCGCAGCGAATCCAAGAGCGTCCTCGACCTTCGCAACGCAGAACTCCGCCCTATCACCTACAGCGCCAGGTTTGATACCTCTCAATCTTTCTTCCAAGCTTCGAACGGCTTTCCAGGCTTCAGTCTCAGTGCCAAGGTTCTGCGCAAGTGAAAGGGCAGCCCGAGTTTCGAGATATGCTTGTAAAGTGCTGGGTTTGGTGTCAGCAAGTATAGCGGAGAGGTTTCCAGGGAATGTAGGTGAATCGAGGATGATCCTAGATGGGAAAGTACGTGGGGCGAATGTTGCGAAGTAGGCCGGGAAGTTAAATTGGGGGAAGGCATCTGTAAGATTCGAGATGGAGACTGGATTATAGGTTGCAACAGGGTTTTGGTAGAGAATATCCCTGGTGGAATGTCGTCAGAGTCAATCAGACAGGGCCAAAAGAATGAGTGACCTACAAATCCAGGCTGACATTAGCAACTTTCTTTTCAAATTCAATGATTTTCTTAGCAAGCTTGTGTGCTTCCTCCGTGCGGTTGACGGGCTTGTGATCACCGCCATCATCATCGCCGTCGTCGTCTCCTCCCCAAGGTGGCCACGGCCAAGGAGGCCAGACCCGGAGGCGTTCCTCGTGCACAGTCAGTTCAGGAGCCTCCAGAGACTGCTCTTGAACCAGTAAAGCTTCTTCCTCATCATATAGATTTATTAGAAGACGTTCCAAAACAGATCCATAAAGTTCTGTGAATGATTCATCTTCATAATATTCCTATCCACATAAGAGGGAATATTAGACAGTGTTGCACCGTGTGTGGAATACGTACCTTTGAAGGAAGACCTAGGCTGGGCTGACCCAACAAGAAGGTCATTCTGTTCGGATCGTCACCGACGTCACCTTCGATATCAACAGAGAAGAGTGCACTGACACCTTTTAGACGTGATGAGTATTATGTACCCTGCCCGATCTGCAACATTCACTTACCGCGAGAATGAAGGTATGCAACTGCAGCCGTCAAGCCGAGCTCCTTGTTTTTGCTACCATCCTGAAAGACTTGACCCTTGAAACGTTTCCTGACTTCTTGAATCACTCTCAGAAGAGGATCCGTTCCACGAGCATTCAATAAATCCTCGTCCATACAGGAATTATAGAGCCCTCGGAGCTTCTTGAGGAGCGTTTCCTCGTCAGGGTCTGGTTGGCCCGTAACATCATCAATGGATAACGCAGACTCGAAGACGTTGGACGAATCATGGGAGAAAATTTGCTGAAGTATACGCCTATTCCTCTGGGCGATAAGTTCGAGACTGCCAATGCTGCCTTTATCAGAGGGTATAGGATGAGATTTCATCCAACCACCATCTAAATAACACACGAGACATCAGAAACTTTATGATATATATAAAGTGTGCGACACATACTAGTAAAGTCATAGAAGTTTTCACAAGGGTCCTGTGTCACATCAAGAGATGAGATGATAGAGGAAGCTAATACAATGCACTCTGGTGTGAAGCAGGCTTTCTGGATGGCTATGAGGAACCATCATCTTAGTGTGTGGTATCGTACATACCTCTTCAGGTGGATGGGTGGGAACTGGTACAGGGACAGACAGCGTCGCAGTAGTAGTAGAAATCGCGGTTGAGGTAGTTGTTTTTGTTTGCGTCTGCGTCTGCGTCTGCGTGTTGATATCGGTCTCGGTTAGTGTGGAGGTCCTTATCGCCGTCTCAGTTACAGTAAAAGTAGTCGTAGTAGGCTTATTGATTCCTCCACCTCCGTCGCTATTTAGTCTATGCTGGGCGCCGGCAAATAGTCCAATGAAGACTGAGCTTAACAGAAGGAAGAATAGAGCAACGACACAGAGGAATTTGGTGAGAGGGTTGAGAGGTTCTTTCGCAGCAGCAGAGATACGTTCGAAGAAGGATGGTTGAGAAGGATGAGACAGTGTCTCGTCTGGATGAGATACATCCTGGAGTAACGGTGCCGTCTCTAAATTGGGTGTCAATAATATGTACATGTCATTGGGACAGTGAAAACAGAACGCGAGACGTACCCTCGTCAGTCGAGGGTCTTGCTACTCGAGAATCCCCCATATTGGAGGTAAGAAAGAATTTGTTCCTCGCGTTCTATGCGACTAATGGGTGTAAGAAGGTGAGGATGTGGAATGGACGGTCGCCGTCGCGCGGGAGAAAGCACGCAAGCCACGCGCGCACACGCGAACTTCGAAGTCATGATAGACACGCAGCACGTGATGGGCTCGGAATGGCGGCCCTTGTCTTTCCGAGAGCAAGATATGTTTTCTGGAGAGATCTATTGAGCATTTCGCTGCTCTCTTCACTGACTTGCAGCAGTGCATTGATGTCTGGTTGCGTATAGGACCACAGTCTCCGCCCGCTTCTCGCCACACTAGACGTATCATAGTCAACATTCATTTAATCTCTCGTGCTTGTCCATTATGCACCATGCACGCCGTTCTATACGTGTGTCACGACCTGGAGTGAGGACTTCTGCGACGGCTACGAAACCAGTTGTAAGCCCTTCTCAAGTTATATGCTACTAGTCTCACGTCATCTTAGCCAAGGCCTTTAGGTAAATGGGAACTCCCAAGCCAATCTGGCACAGACACGACTCCTTCGAGTAGCAACGTCCCTCGACCTAACTTAAGCAAATGGGGCTTGAATGCGCCACCGTCTGGTCCGTCTCCTGCTGTATCTGGTTCAAGCACGGTGAACAAACGGACTCGTCCTCAAGACCCAGTCCCACAACGGGAACAAAAGACTAATGATGCTAGTCAAGGCGGGCAACGAACACAACAGGGTTCTTCGCTCAATTTGTCTAGTAATACCGGTACCGGCCAACGCTTTGATTGGCAACGATTCAAATCCGGAAGTACTACCGGTGCACCGCGAGACCGAGAACAGCGAACCTCAAGAACTGCAGACTTCGGTCGTGATGCCGTCCCTCACTCGTCTAACTCATTCCAACGAGACCGTCCCCCTGTTTCTAGTTCCTCTCAGTCTCAAGGTTGGAAACGTGACCCTCCGCCAACAACTGCAGGCAGTTCTTCTCGTTTAGACCGTGAACCTGCACCTCATCAACAATCCAACCGTTCTCAGTCTCTTCAGTCCCCCAAAACTGCTCCTTCCCCTGACATAAAAGCACAGTCGAAATGGGGTCTCGAAAATAATCGGCACTCGGTGTTTTCAGAACCTAAACTATCTGAAAGTGTTGAGGACGAGGATAAAGCGATTCCAGCGAAGTTGCCTGGTAATCATGCAGAACGGCTAGCGTACGAGTCTCGGAATGCCAACAGCAGGCTCACTCGTATCAATTACAAGGATCGAGGCTCCTTGGTTGCCAAGATTTCTCAGCTCAGAATGCCAGACGAAGAAGATCTAGCTATACCTGCTCAATCTCGAGGGCGGGATGCATCAACGATGATGAAGAAAGCGAAAGCGAAAAAGAACAAGGTGCAGGAGGTGAAGCGCGTCAATGCGGATGTGTTCATCCCCAGTGTCGTCTCGATCGCCAACCTTGCGAGATTGTTAAATGTCAAACTAGGTATGTCCCACGTTTGCCAGCCCGGAGGAAAGCACGGTAAGCTGATATATTGTAGACACATTACAGCGGAAGATGAGGCGAGCAGGCATGGAGGAGCAAACATCTCATGATCACAGTATGCTCCCCCATACAGGTTATTCCTTTTATTTCTCTCATGTTTTGTACAGTGCTCTCGTCCGATTATTCGTCTCTATTGGCGATGGAATTCGGCCGCAATCCTGTTGTCAACGATGAGGCCGCATTCGATATCCACCCCCCGTATGTTATATTGCAATCTAGCGTGACGCTCGACATAACTAACGCATGCACTCACAGACCCCCTCCAGTTGACAAATCCTCCTTGCCGCTTCGACCTCCAGTAGTCACAATCATGGGTCACGTCGACCATGGTAAGACCACGCTTCTCGATACCCTCCGTTCAACTTCGGTTGCGAAAGGCGAGGCTGGCGGAATAACACAACATATCGGTGCCTTTTCTGTCCCTGTACCGGCAACCTCAGGCGGAGACAAACGATCTATCACCTTCCTTGATACTCCTGGACATGCTGCGTTTTCTGCCATGCGTGCTCGAGGTGCCAGCGTCACCGATATTGTGGTCCTAGTCGTTGCTGCTGATGACGGAATCATGCCTCAGACAAAGGAGGTCATCGAGTTGGTTCAGAAAGAGCAGGATAAGGTTGGACTCGTGGTTGCAGTCAACAAGATTGACAAACCCGATGTTGACATTGTAAGAAGATACCCCGTTACTCATGACAGGAATTACTACTGATGTCGTTCATGCAGGACCGGGTTGAGAAGATGCTGCTTGCTGCGAACGTACTTCTTGAGAGATTCGGTGGTGACGTACCTTGTGTTCATGTTTCTGGGTTAAATGGAGAAGGTCTTGACCAACTGGTTGAGACCATCAACGCCGTGGCCGAGATGCAAGATGTCCGTGCAGAACAGAAGGATGTCGTACAGGGGTATGTTCTAGAGTCAAAGATGCAGAAGGGTCTTGGGTACGTGCTTTCAACGTTTCAGTCCATCTTCCATTCCTCACCCCTGGCGGTAGACCTGTTGCAACCGTCTTACTCCTTCGCGGCGTAATGAAATCTGGCATTCATCTCATCTGCGGTACAACGCATGCAAAGGTCCGATCGCTGACTTCACCATCGGGTGAATCAGTCAAAACTGTCCTTCCAGGATCTGCAGCCGTAGTATCCGGTTGGAAAGAACTTCCCAACGCTGGTGATGAGGTTCTCTCCGGAAGTGAAACAGATATCAAACGTGCCATAGGCAACCGCATCCGTAAAGCTGAGATCGAAGCCTCCATGACCGATATGGAAGCTATCAATGTCAATCGTAAGGAGGAACGTGAACGCCGGGAAGCTGAAGAGAATGACACCCGCGAGCGAAAACGTCTCCATGCGAGTGGTCTTACACCTGAAGCACCGGAGGTAAAGGAGGAGAGGAAAGAATTGACCATCGTGGTGAAGGCGGATGTGAGCGGATCTGCTGAGGCCGTTGCTCAAGCAATCATGGGCGTTGGCAATGACATTGCTGGAACCAAAATTATTGCCACTGGTGTTGGAGATGTCTCTGAGTCGGATGTGATGCGAGCCAAGGCTGCACAAGGTCAGTTCAGTTCAATCAGGTTTCGTACGAACCTTCCTGCTGACAACGAATTGAACCGCCCATAGGTTTGATCGTTGCATTCGGCGTGAAAGTGCCCCGTGCCATGGAATCTCTAGCCGCCGGACAAGAAGTGCCTATCGTTTCTTCGACCATCATCTACCGCCTTCTCGACCAAGTGAAAGAGCATGTCATCAAACTGCTGCCTGTTACCTATGAGACTAAGGTGACCGGAGAGGCTACAGTATTGCAAGTCTTTGAGATCCAAGGCAAGAATAAGCAAAAGGTTCAAGTTGCTGGTTGCCGAGTCACCGAGGGTGTCGTAGAGAAGGGCAAGATGGCTCAAGTTATCCGGAACGAAAAGACTGTTTATGAGGGTATGTTCACTGTTCAATGTCTAGCAATAATGTTATTGACTGTCTACCCTAGGCAAACTTGATACATTGAGGCATCTCAAGAACGACATAAACGAAGCTGCCAAGGGACTAGAGTGCGGTATGAGCCTCGAAGGCTTCAACGAACTCCGACAAGGAGATCTCATCCAGATTGTCAATGAGGTTGAAAGACCTGGAGAATTATAGTGTCTCTCACTCTACAATCTACGTTACATCATAGATGCACATTCAATTATACTTCTTCTGCTGTCGCTCGCCCTAGCTACGAATCTTACTAGCATTCTCATCGTCGAGAATGATTTCTTTGGCGCCAATCGTGCCAGTGCGACCGCCAACGCCAAAAGTCAAGTTCACGGGCACTTGACGGTCGGTCTTCTCAAGCAACGCCCAGCTTCGATTGTCTTGCTTTTTCAATGTCAACTCCACCTAAATCAGGATACGTTGAGTATTATTCATAAACCTTTGAAAAGTGAAAACCACAACTTTCGTTCCGAAATACTTGAAAGAGGATGCTTCTGGGTTGACAGGTCCGAATAGGTCAATGGAACGACGGAAACGCTTAGTGCCTTGGAAGTACAAATCCAAATGAATCTATTAGGAATACTCAGCATCAGGCGATAATTGTAAGACCTCCAAAACGTTACCTTGTCTGTCTCTATTTGAACGACACTGCGGTCTTTATCAGTTTGTTTTGCGAACACGGAGACATGCACTTCTGCTGGTGTCTGGTAGTGATCAACACGGCAGTCTATAAATTCCTCGGTCTGCGAACATGCAAATCAGTCGCCATAAGCAATGGATCTAGCAAAATTGGCTATACCTTAGCCTCCTTCTCCTTGGGAGCAAAGAGATGTCGCCCTTGCTTGCATCCACCAATTTTGAGAAACTCATCAAACTCAAGGACGCGACGTTTGCAACATAGATAACCCTAAGCGAGAATAGTACTGAGTGGATGAACTTCATTTGACGTAGTCTGATCTATACCTTGCTTCCTTCATGGAAAATGGGCTGTAACGTACTTATTGAACCCTAAACGCATGCCAAAGTGGTGCAAGATACTTACTGGCAGCGGATGATATGTGCAGACAGATTCCTCACCATCTCCCCGGCTGACTTCATCACTCACGAAGCTCTTGCCACAGCCCTTTCGTCGACAAATGGTGCCAGGTGTGACAGGAACCGAAGGGTCATCCTCTTCTTCCGCCGCAGGTGGGATGGGTTCTGCAGGAGCAGAAGACGCAATCGTCGGTGTAGCGGCGCCCGTTGTTCTGGACAGCGAGGAGTAGGTTTCTGTAGCACCCTGATCGCTCGTCATTGTGAGATTGACATTGGGCGATGGTTTTGGTGCCTGCGGCTCGACTTTAGGTGCCTCATCCGTATGCGAACCTTTCGTGCATCCCTGATACAAACTTGTATAGATAAGTGTATAGAGAGACTCTGATCTGATACGTACTGGAATCTTCATAAATTCGTCGAAATCAAGGACAGGCTTGTTGATATCCTGACAGCATGACCACGACTTTAATCCTTCATGAAAGACCTAGAGAGAAACCACATATTGCAAGAAAATCCCCTCTATGTTTAAATCAGAATTTCATAGAATCATCGACAGAGACCTACCGGGCCACCAGAATGGTATGAACAGCTTTCTTCAGTATTGGTGGAGGGGTCAAATTCCTGAGCGCAACCCTTTCGCGTGCAACGGGGCATCTTTGCGAGGAGCAAGTCTTTGCTGGGTATTATTCAGAGCAGACAATGTATTGAGAAGAAAGACAAGTACAGGTAAGTACGAGAGACGGATAAATTATAGCTGTAATCTTGAAACTAATGGAATGTGCCAGAAACAACATGGGCTAACAGCACGATCGACTACTTCAGCCACGTGGAAATCCATTTATGGCAGCTACAGTGAATCCCTTTGCTCTGTCGTTACTACGACGAGAGCACACGGGCCCAAACCCCTGTGCTGTCAAGGGTTCCATGGATTTATAAAGAAATCACCTTCATACGCTGCATGCTTGTGAAGGGTGTACACTTGAAACTAAGATTGTTCAATTTCCGAGGCGACAGTAAGGAACCCTTCCAAGGACTCACGTCTGGCAGCCCCAGATGAATCATCGGGTCATCTTTGACGCAACCAACGGTTCGTTGAGTAAGTATCGGTGCCTGAGTAGGAGAGCAACTGCTCCTGCCTGTACTGAACGTACCGCAGTGCCGCCGAAATGAGGTGGGTGAACAGGCCGAGCTCGAATCCCCCTTAATATTCCGAGCAATTCTGATCCCACCTACACGCGGTATACTCCTGCCTGTCACTGATCAGCCAACGAAACAACGCACCTGCTCTTCGGAGATGCAGCAAAGATGATAGAGCTGCCCACGACAGAGTTTCAAACCCTCCATGATGCAGTCGATGACGAAAGAAATTCCTGAGCTCAGCACCCGAACCAGCGTGCGCCATTATCTTCCCGTCCCTCGAGATCTACCTCCTGTGATTTTTGCGAAGGAATGAGTTTTTCGAGATCGTGAGACCCGGGCCAGAATGATGGAGGTATATTCCGAGTCGGAAGTTACATTCTGTCGTGAAGGCATCGACACTTTGAGGGAGCATTCGCTAGCACCAGGAATCGAACACAGGAGTGCATGCCCTCCAGAGTAGAATTGAATGTGATCATTCTTTTCATCATTGTTCTGGTAAAAGCCAGAGGTATGCGGCGCGGCCACCAGCGTTGAGAATCTCCGCTGGAAACTCTATTGATGGAGACGAGGATTGGTCATTGCCTCAACCAGTGCGTAACAGAGCTCTGGACACAACGCATCCCCACGGACGTACTATCTTAGCACACAACATGCCCCCGCCGCAGGGTGGTCCAAAAGCACTCCAGACCAGAAGGCTTCCCGGGAAGCTACAAGCAATGTGGACGATGGGGAGAAGGTGGAATCAGATACCCTGAAAGGAATTGTGTTTCCGCAAACATCCTGATGCAAGACCGGCGGTGAAAGGATGCCCATTCACCCTCCCATGCTCGAGGAATTGGTCCACCTTCAATACCTGCAACGAGGCCTCTTGGCTATGGATAGTGCCGTATGTGTGAACGCGCGGATCCCTTAGCGTACTCTTGTTCGGCTCCCTGGTCCTTAGGCAGGCCAGGCCAGGTGTTTACGCGGAGAAACGAGCGTAGAATGAAATTCAGTAAGTCCTCTATCCCCGTTTTGACTCACGTTTTCTTATCAGATACCATGAGGTCTTGTTGCTTTGGCTCGTCGGACATCGGTGCTATGTGTATGGCGTGAGTTATTTTGTCTGAGACTCCAATAAAAGAAGACCATTCAACGGCGGCCTCATTCCCCAGTGACGGAAGAAACTCATGGATACAGTTTTTACTTCGACCGCGCAAGGACTCTCGACGTAAAAGACTCTTCTGCAACGGAATCGGAGACACGAAGGAAATCGGCCATTCCGTCGGGACTCGGCATGACACTCACTGGAGAGTAATCGGAGAGCAGATGCTCATACCCCACTTGTCGGGGAATTTGGCGGGAAATATCTGAGTCGTATGATGTGTAAGTGCCATCGATACGTGAAGACTTGTCAATGACACTTGGCGCACCACATTCTGTGATGTAGCCCCTCACCAAGAGAAGATCCAGAACGACCCTCCGAAGCCCGTACGCGAAGGTACTATACCAGGCACTATTCATCTGTCTTCAAGGTTCATTCATAGTTAGCATGTCCTATTTGCAGTGGTTCAGTCGAACATGAACGTCAAGCTTCTGAAAACTCACTATTCAATGCCCTCACGGTAATCACTAATAGTGGCCCCAGCCAGAACTCTCCTCAGGAGAAGCTCTACTCCAGACTAAATCGTGGCCCTTTACGCAGTTTGCAAGACAAACGGCTCGATGTTCTCGACTGTTAACAGGCCCAGCTCCCTCCCACAGTCAGCTGTCAATATACTCGTTCGTGTCCTGATATGGTATCCTTCTTGCGCTGAGGTGTCACCTTCCGCCCGCGATTTCTTGCAAGTGAACTTGCTCATGGTGTCCGTGGTCGAGCCTTGTTGCCCACGCTGGTTCTAGTAATCGAAAGGGCTGCCAGGGTTGCAAAGCTGTGATGGGCATGGCACACCATATAAAGTTATGACTTTCTGAATCATCCAAGCACCGTATGCTCGCGAGCTCGTGGTGGATGGTCATGGTCAAATATTTGTCCTATTGCGCTCAAGTAACAAATCTGGTCGTAAACGCTGGACTTCACATTTCGCTCTCCTCAGGATGGCGAAAGAGCCTGCCCCAGAACCTGTACTCTGGTTGTTTATTCGAAGCGTATGCGCAGTTCTCACTTTGTGATTATGAAAAGAGTAGAATGCCATTGATGGTCGTCCGATCGCTTGCCCTGGAGGAATCACCGCAGGCAGATCCAGTCAGCGAAGGACACTATAGCTTCCGGTCCTATGTTCTCCAGCACTCCACTGCCACCTTCTCAGTGGTCATTGATCAATGCTTGCAAGTCCGCTACGGTTCTTCTCAAGGCATTGCAGATCAGCCAAATCGATGCATAATGAAACGCCACGTCTCAATTCTACAATTAGTCATCCTAAGCGAACGTTGGACTCTGAACGTTGAAGGTCTGAACCCTAAAGCGTGCAGCTCCCCCGGCTCCAAATCTTGCAAGTTATCGGAAACTCACGCGCTGAGATGCAGAGAAGTAATTTGAGCAACCATCAACTTCCCCAGCCCCGACAGAATGGTATTTGCGATCCATTAGAAATGAAGTCTGGAATGTATGAGATGGAGAAGACAGGCGGAGTAGTATTGACAAGTATTACGATATTCCAGGACCAAATGCCTCCCACACCAAGAATCCGACACCCCAAGGCCCAACTCTAGCCAATGTCCTTAAAGCGGAATACAGGCGGCGTTGTACGGGGGAGGCTTGCACGTCATCGGCATGTGTGGCAGGAGAAGGATTCGCAAAGAATGAGGACAGACCCTCAACTCTGAGTTTACGCATCAATATCACCGCAATTGAATGGTGTTCCTTGCCGGCGGTTATGCGATCTACATGCACAGTCTTCCTTGCGATATCCCAAGGCCGAGTAGCCAATTCATAAGCCAAACCAGCCCCTGCGCCGCCAGAGACTAGGGTGACTGCGTGTACAATCCGAGGCGTGTTATTCTTCAGGGAACCCTTCTTCTCACACCGGCCATCTGGGAACAGAGCAACCTCTGAAGAGGCCTTCGCCTGGAGAGCTATACGCCGTGTCACTTCGAAGATCGAGAAAAACACGGCGAAACCTAGAATGCGCCGTCAGAGCCTGGAAAGGAAGAAAGTGAGATTAGTCAAGCAATGCCGTACCACAGACGTCTTTTCCGCATCCCCAACCCCAGCCGTCCCATCCTCGACCGGCCATTTCACCTACTTCTTTCATCCATTGCCTTACTTGACGAGCCTCGTGTAACTCAGCCTGAGCTGATGTGGCTGATTTGCTCTGTGTATCTCTGAACACCTCCTTCCATGCATGAGACCAGCCGACAGCAGGAGACCCGCCTTCCAAGAGGAATCGCACATTTTCGGCAGGTGCCGCAAGGATGGCCTGCGTTCCACCTGCAATGCCGCCTGAAACCGCAGCGACACAGAGCGGTGATGAAATGTGGGGCGTAAGGAAGTCCGAAGCCTCTGCATACGCAGTCCAGAGCACTGATCCTAAAGCGATATTGACCAGCATGGGAGGTATGAAATGCTTCGGAATCACCATGTACTAGAAATACGTTATCAGTGTTCAAGATATGAGTAAACAGTCAGCTAGACAACGGACTCCTTGCTCCTTAACTAGCCATGAGATGTAGCGTGGCGATAACGTCTGGCCATGTTGCGTGGCTAGACCCTTCAGGATCTGCCAGCCTGAGACTAAATCAAACGACCGATACTATGTTAGCATAGTGAGATATCACAACCATAACACGAACCTTTCGATGGCCTGAAGAGGCGAACCGGTCGAGAGAAATAGAGGGCTACGCTGCGCGTCGCTGTTCTAGCAAGAGCGGCATAAACGGAGTTCCCAGTTTGCTGTTCATTATCGCGGTCCTTCTGAGAGGACATTCATGGGATTCAGAGACGTATGGCACCGGTAAGAGACACACTCTTAAGTCGACGACTCGCCAAAGACTGCCTTCTACCGTTGTTCGCCGAGCTGGTTAGTGAAGGTGCAGCAGGCAAGAGTAAAGCTTTGTGCCGATCAAAGTGATCGAGTTGTTTCGGTTATGGTCTTCGGCGCTCCGAGTCTAGTACTTACTACGCTTCTTTCCTAGTCAAACGGCTGGCTCGGCGGTAGCTGCTGAGAAGTGCGTTCATAAATTATTCGTATATATCTTTCAAAGCACCTGATTTTCCTCAGAATATGCGCTATGCATACAGTCTTTTGCGAACTTGCATGACCCATGGTTCACAGCTGCGCACCACACGCCGTTCATTATCCACCGTGACCGCCAGTGGTCCCACGACACCATCGGAACACTTTATCTTCCATCCAGACTTCTTCTCAGAACGAGAACAGAAAATACTTTTGTCCGCATCTCTGGAAAAACTCGATGCAGTCGAAAGCAGGGACTTTCGTCGGCGTCGTAAAGAATACCGCAGCAAGCATTCTGCACAAGGAGACCTTGTCGCATTGCGTTTAGAAGATATATTCCTACCTGACGAGTACTACTGCTTTGAAGAAGTATGTTTACTATAACTTATCATCGCCCTTTCGGAACCTGACTTATTTGAGGGTCACTATGATGGTGTAATTCGAAACTACAGGGAGATGCACGTCTCTTCCTGGCCTGAAGGCTATCCTGAACTACCTGGAATTCTCGCACGACTTGATCCTCTGCACCCGGATGAGCCTACGCAAAGTCATATAATACATCTGGCGTCTGATGGTGAGATCTTGGTAAGTGCTGCGTATCCATGAATGTTCTTCGATTGAAGTCTTGTCGAAGCCCCACGTTGATAACACAGAAGCCAGTGGCTCGTGGATCCTCGGGGTAAGCTTGGGTTCTACGAGACTACTACGACTTGAAAGTGTTGAGGATGCTTCCGACGTCCATGACATCCTGGTGCCTTCGGGTAGCGTCTATCTACAAAGGTACTTGCAACAAACCATGCAATGTGTTCATGCCGTCACGTTCATTCACCGGCAGGGACTCCATAAGATACGGATACAAGCATTCTATCCTTAAGGACTATTCCAAGTTCTCCTACGGTCAGCGACTGAGCATAATGCTTAGAGTAAGGTACATCATTCCTAGATGAGCTTGACACTGACACTCAATCCAGGATTGTCGTTGACGAATGGAAATTCACACGCTGTTCCTCTTCGATATCGATGCAATACGTATTACCGCTCTACATACATTAATAATTTACTTATGCATAAGTCATTCATCAGTTGGTGCAAGTAGTTGTATGAAGAGGTCCATGATATCCAGGATACCGTCATGCACTGCGCAAAGGCGCGAATACATGCCAATCGCATAGTGATGTTTGGGGTACCTTGGGGGTTATCCCGACTTTGAGCACCGATTGTGACCCGGCCCAGAAATGGACACTGACCTCGAAGAGATGATACGTTCCAAGGATCCTGCGATGAGCTCCTGGCTTACGGCGCATTTCCTGATAGCTTTATATACCCTCATCCCCAAACGTCTAATCAGATAGGGGGATAGAGTGTGTTCTTCAGAGTAAGAGTACGATGGGGAAGTCTTTGCCTGACTTCGCCGAGGCGCGGGTGTGGCATTATTCTCCGGTGGTTCACGTCGGTCAGCCACAAGGGAAGAAATCCTAACACCGAATGGCGCCAGATGCCGTCGTAGATAGCTGGTAACAACCGGGCTAGTCTCCTGATATGGGGAAAGCCCGGCTGAAATCACAATGTACCCCTTCAGCCAAGGCAGGCAATGCAGTAATTTAAGACTTACATAGGATGCTCGGAACGACCAAGATTACGCGTCCAGCGGCTTCCGCTAGCATCTCAACATAATCTTGTGTGATAATTATAGGGTCCTTAAATGTCTGTGCCGCCGCATCAGCCCATATTGAGGCCTGCGCTCTATTTGAATTCCAGGGTGACTTGGAGGCGTACGGAGATATGGTCTGGCACGTATCGTCATTGAGAGAGACAGAAAGATCATCTGTGGCAAGAAAGACAACGGCAGAAAGGTGTAGCGAATTGTTCATGCAGTAAGCCTGGACGGTTTCTGCAGCACGATATCGCTCTGGACCTGATTGTGTATCAAGTACTATAGGTGCAATAACACCCCATGGCATGGAGGGTGATCGTTCTTTCTTCTTGTGCCATTCGTACACCAGCTATGTCAGAGGCTTGGCTGAGGTTATCGTATATTACACGGTTTTCGACATGACGTACATTAGCAGTTGATAGTGAAGAACTCTGAGGACCATGATCAGAGGTGGGATGCTGATGGGACGAAGAAAGGGAGAAGATGGTATATCCCAGCTCTGAAAGGTGCAATGCAATGGTTCGACCCAGTTCTGATATCGAGTTGGCCCCTGTGTCAGCCATCGCTCACTGTGTGGGTAAAGAAGCTGGACGACGTACCATGCTGGCCTCCCACTATCACGACTGCGCTGTCTCTGGGTTCAAACACGCTGCTAGGTGAAAGCATGAACCGTGACGATATAAAGTGAAATAGATTTGTCGTGAACAGGTCCATGATCTCAAGAGCAATAGATAGAAGATGCAATAACACTGAAAGCATCATGGACATAATTGTCTCAATGCTTGGTGCAGCAATCATGAGAAAGAAAAGGCAGTTTAAAGCTCGTATCACCTACATGTCCAAAATGACGCTAGATGTCATAGGGGAGTCTCTGGATCACAGATAGTATTGCGACCGAGTAAGCATCTGTTCACAATTTCTGTCCGGTATGTTCACGTATCGCAGGGGTGGGTAGGCAAAAGTTGTGTAGAGTTGTGCTTAAATGTGATACGAAGGTCGTTGAGGGAGGCTGATGGTTGACATTATCGGATTATCGGAAGCTTGGACGTCCGAGTAACATTCACTGCCAGCCTCTTAACCCGCATACGCCACTTTTGGGCACGTTTCACCCGAAATGGAACTAAGAAACCCCAAACTGGACGTCGTTATTACTACGGTTACTTATCGGTTCTGCAGGTCCACACACGCTCCATGCCATCATTAGCGTCCTGCCGGGTTCAAATTGAAACAACGGCTATATGAACATATGATATCAATATTAACATGGGTAGATACAACATACTGCCATTACAGTGGTGGGTCGTTAGATCTAATAATACAAACAACATATAGCGGTACATCCTTGGATAGCGACGTGATGTTCCCAATCGGGAAGACTTTTGAGACGGATAATGATATGACAGTACAATAACAACTCAAGCGACAACCTCGATGCGTCTCGACGCGAGATTGCTTGCAGGAGGGATGAAAACCTACATATATGTGGTGAGGGGTGATCAAGTCAGCGGAAATAAATCACGCTTACCCTTCTCTTAATACCGCCATCAGCGGGAAGTCTAGTGACTCCGCCGCTGAGCCATGCATCGATTTCCGCCGCAGCGCCACGACCCTCGCTGCAGGCAATCGTTAGAACATTCCTAAATACGGTTGTAAAATGTACTTACTTGATACCCCACACGATTAAGGACTGGCCACGACGACAATCACCAGCAGCGAAGACACCTTCCACATTAGTCGAGAACCGCTGTGATAATGGCCGATAAGCATGGCTTCAACGATAAATATGGTACAAATCACATACTTTGTGGGGAGTCTGGATATTAGACCTTGCATCTTGATTGACACCAAGGCTTTTGATCACATCGGACTCGGGACCCAAGAATCCAAGAGCGAGGAAGACAAGTTGAGCAGGGAAGAACTTCTCAGAGCCTGGGGTCTCTTCCATCTTCCAGCGGCCGCTGCTATCCTTGGTCCACTCAACCCGAACTAAAGAGATCATTCAGAGGTCTGCAAGGAACGATGGAAGACAGGAAAACGCACCAGTGTTGAGACCTTGCAATTTACCCTCCTCATCTACAACGAAGTCCTTTGTGGAAATGCAGTACTCGCGGGGATCTAGTGTGTTGGTAAGTTTTATAAATAAAGACTTGGAAAAGCGAATGTTTGCACCATTGCCAAAATGAGCAGCAACTTCTGTATGACCGTAGTCAGTTCTAAAGATTCTCGGCCATTGTGGCCAAGGGTTGTCCCTTCCACGAGTTGCAGGTGGCTTAGGCAGAAGCTCGAAGTTGGTGACAGACTTCGCGCCATGACGCATGGCAGTCCCAATACAGTCATTCCCTGTGTCGCCTCCACCGATCACAATGACATCCTTGCCTTTGGCATTGATGTAGCTATCATTCTGCAACCCAGAATCGAGCAGCGACTTGGTGTTGAGCTAAACAGGGGGCTTTAAGCGAACAATTCGTGCACATTGGTAAATAATGCTCACTTGGAGATACTCCATAGCGAAGTGGATGCCGTCTGCATCGCGCCCTGGAATCTTGAGATCTCGTGGCCATGTTGCTCCGGTGCAGACAACAACGGCATCATTCTCAGCCTTGAGTTGCTTAGGGTCCAAGTCTTTGCCCACATGGGTGCTGGGAACAAATGTCTGGATAGAATATGAGAGTCAAGTCTCAACGAGGGAAGCAATGTCTACTTACCACACCCTCTGCGGCCATAAGGTCGAGACGACGCTGCACAACGGCTTTGTCTAGCTTCATGCTGTAAACCTGTCAGTGGGCATACAGCGAGGATATGGCAAAAATACGCACTTCGGAATGCCATACATGAGAAGCCCACCCATGCGGTCGTTGCGGTCGTAAACGGTGACGCAGTGACCAGCTTTATTCAACTGATCGGCGCAAGCGAGACCAGCAGGGCCAGAACCGATCACAGCGATCCTCCTTCCTGTGCGGAAATGAGGTGGGTTAGGAGCCATCCAGCCCATCTCAAAGCCCTGTGATACTTTCAGTATAGGAAAGTACAACATTGCGGTGATCAACTGACCTTATCAATGATGGCACATTCAATGCTTTTGATACCAACAGGTTGCTCGTTGATGCCTAAAACACACGCACCCTCGCAAGGTGCCGGGCAAACACGCCCAGTGAACTCAGGGAAGTTGTTAGTCAAGAGAAGACGGTTCAAGGCATCTTGCCATTGACCCTTGAAAACGAGATCGTTCCATTTAGGAATGACGTTCGAGACAGGACAACCACTGTCGGACTGGCAGAACGGGACACCACAATCCATGCAACGAGCGGACTGATAGCTGAGCTCCGACTGAGTCAAACGCGTGGAGATCTCCTTCCAATCCTTCACACGCTTGCGAGGAGGGCGGTACGTCTCCGTTAAGCGCTTGTACTTCATGAATCCTCGGGTTTTGTCGAGTTTCTGTGAGCGTTGCTTCGTGGTAGCATCGTCAACGAGAGAGTCCTCCATATCAATCACCGACGCCTCATTGCGGGCCTTGGATGCAGAACGGCTTGCATGGGGGGTCGGCAGGGGGGTCTCCTTTGCACGCAGTACATCCTCGATTTCTCCAGAGGCTAGGTCAATCTGACTCGCAGTGCGCGAAGGGATGAGGTCGATGACGCTTTGGCGCATTCTCTCCTCTTTTGCCTTGAGTGCCTCCTCCTCGAGCACTCGCTTGTAGTCGTATGGCATAACACGCACGAAAAGGGGAAGAAGGTGATGGAAGTCGTGCAGGACACGGTCGGCGACTTCAGAGCCTGTGAAGTGACGGTGGTCCTCAATCATACCTCGCAACTCGGCAATCTCGTGAGGATCATTGATCTTGCCTAGTTCAACCATCTCCGGGTTCACCTTGGAAGCAAAGGTATGAGCCAGGTCCAACACATAGGCGATACCTCCGCTCATTCCTGCGGCGAAGTTGCGACCTGTAGTTCCAAGGACAACAACACGACCACCAGTCATGTATTCACAACCGTGATCGCCGGTACCTTCGACAACGGCTTTAGCTCCTGAGTTACGCACGGCGAATCGCTCTGCGGCCACGCCCCGGAAGAAAGCCTCGCCGGATGTGGCGCCGTACAAACAGACGTTACCCACGATGATGTTCTCCTCCGCTTTGAATGTCGACTGCTTTGGAGGATAGACAATGAGACGACCACCGGATAGACCCTTACCAACGTAGTCGTTAGCATCACCCTCCAGTTCGATGGTAATACCAGGTGCGAGGAAAGCGCCAAGCGATTGACCCGCCGAACCTTGCATCCTGATGTGGATGGTATCCCGAGGGAGACCCTCTTCGCCGTACTGCTTCGAGACCTTATATGCGAGAGATGTTCCAAGCGCACGGTCAGTATTAGTGACCTCACACTCTATATGAACAGGGAGGCCCTTGGTGAGAGCAGGCTCGGACTCGTCGATAAACTTATTGTCGAGACGGATATAAAGCTTGTGGTCCTGAGGGCGAACACGGTAAGTCGCGGCACCCGGACGCATTTGCCAAGCGGGTTTGAGCACGGCAGAAAGATCAAGGTGTGCAGTCTTGGGAGTGCGAAGCTTCTCGTTGACCTTCAACATATCGGCACGTCCGACCATCTCATTGATCGTCCTGAAGCCGAGCTTGGCCATGATCCCCCGCAGATCTTCAGCGAGGTAGTAGAAGAAGTTGATAACCTGTTCAGGTTGACCAGCAAATTTGGCACGAAGCTGAGGATCCTGCGTAGCAATACCGACAGGACAGGTGTTGACTACAAAATGTCCGTTAGTCGTATACAAAATTCTGAACTTATGCCATAGAAAGACTTACGATGACACTTCCTCATCATGATACAACCCATAGCAATCAATGGAGTAGTAGCGAAACCCCACTCTTCGGCACCAAGCATGCATGCAATGGCCATGTCGCGACCGGTGCGAACTTGCCCGTCAGTCTGAACGGTAACTCGGCCTCGTAGATCGTTGAGCACAAGTGTCTGATGAGTCTCAGCCAGACCCAATTCCCAGGGAAGGCCGGCATGCTTGATACCAGTCCAACGAGAGGCACCGGTACCACCGTCATGGCCAGAGATGAGGATATGGTCAGCCTTGGCCTTCGCGACACCGCTGGCGACAATACCGACGCCCACTTCAGAGACCAGCTTGACAGAGACGCGGGCACGAGGATTGGAGCATTTCAAATCATAAATGAGTTGCTTAAGGTCCTCGATCGAGTAGATATCGTGATGGGGTGGGGGAGAGATGAGGCCGACGCCGGCAGTGGAGTGACGGGTACGTGCAATTGATGTAGAAACCTTGTGTCCAGGGAGTTCACCACCTTCGCCTGGCTTCGCACCTTGTGCCATCTTGATTTGAAGTTCGTCGGCATCCGCCAGGTAATTCGATGTTACACCGAATCGTCCAGAAGCAACTTGCTTGATCGCAGATCTCATCGTATCGCCGTTCGGCAGTACTAGAGAGCGCTCTGCATCCTCACCACCTTCGCCAGTATTAGACTTTCCACCCAGACGGTTCATAGCGATAGCGAGGGTAGAATGAGCTTCCATTGAGATAGAACCGTACGACATGGCGCCAGTCACGAATCGACGAACGATCTCATTCCAGGGTTCCACTTGCTCGATAGGGATCGCCGTTGTGTTCTCGTATCGGAAGTCAAGAAGACCGCGGAGATGAACAGCACTGGCCTGGTCGTTGGCGTTCTTTGCGTAAGCCTCGTAGGCTTGCTGGTTCTTCTCGCGGACAGCATCCTGAAGGTTCGCAATGCCAGATGGATCGTTGATGTGGGCCTCGCCGCCAGAACGCCAGTGGTACTCTCCCGATTCAGGCATACCAGGGGGTATGATCGTTTCACGGGAAGGCCACCCGCGCTCGTGTAACTCGAATGCGTCAAGAGCGAGGAGGTCGAAAGTAGCGCCTTGAACACGACTTGCGGTGCCAATGAAACAACTGTCGACGACCTCTGAGTGCAATCCGAGAGCCTCGAAAATTTGCGCTCCTTTGTACGATTGAAGGGTCGAGATACCCATCTTCGACATGACCTTCAAGATACCACCATCAACGGAGTGACGGTAGTTAGTGATAAGCTCTTCTACAGACTCCTGGTCCTTCACACTTGAGATAAAAAGAATGATCAGAACAAATCAAACAAAAGTGTATTATTTGTGACTCACAGTCCCTCACGAACGATCTTGTGAATACACTCCATAATCAACCATGGACAGATAGCATCCGCTCCGTATCCGAGGAGAACGCAAAGATGGTGAACCTCTCGTGCCTCTCCAGTGTCAACCATAAGGGCAACCTTGGCACGTTTCTTTTGGGAAACGAGATGATGGTGTACACCACCGCAAGCGACCAGCGCAGACAACGGGACACGAGAGGGACCAGTAGCGCGATCAGAGAGAATGATAACCTTCATGCCATCTTCAATAGCCTGAGATGCCTCACTGCATACTCTCTCCAGAGCAAGCTTGTAGCCAGGAAGACCGTGCTCCTTCGGGAATGTGATATCGATGATGACAGAGGGCCACGAAGGGTACGCGTACTTGAGGTTCTTCATGGCGTTCATTTCTTCTATGGAAAGGATGGGGGACTTCAGGAGGATGCGATGACACTGTTCGGCTTTCATCTCGAGAAGATTACCTTCGGGGCCGACGTAGGCCTCCAAAGACATGACGATGTCTTCACGAATGGGATCGATGGGAGGGTTGGTAACCTGGGCAAACAACTGACGGAAGTAGTCATATATGAGACGCGGTTGAGTCGACATGCACGCCAGTGGTGCGTCGTTACCCATCGAACCCAATGCCTCCTTACCATCAGTGACCATAGGAAGCATGAGGAGGTTCAGCTGCTCGACGGTGTAACCGAATGCGAGGAGTTTAGGATCAGTACTGAGAGAGTACTCATCAATGCTGGGATAAATGGATTGGGAGCGCATGACGCGTTTCACGATATTGGGGAGATGGAGCATATGAGTTTCGATCCACGATGCGAAGTTCTGCTTGCGAGCTGTGTTGCGCTTCAGTTCCTTATCATCGACGATACGACCCTCCTGAGTGTCCACCAGAAGCATACGTCCCGGCTTGAGACGGCCCTTGGAGATGACCTTCTCGGGAGGGATGAACACAGCTCCAACCTCGGATGCACAAACGATAATATCCTCGCTCGTGACGACATAGCGACAGGGTCTCAGACCGTTACGGTCCAGGTTCGCACCACAGAAACGACCGTCGCTGAACGCAAACAACGCTGGGCCGTCCCAAGGCTCCTGCAGACATGCAGCCCAGTTGTAAAATGCCTTTTTCTCGGGATCCATGGCATCATTACCCTGCCAAGCTTCTGGGATGAGCATCATCACGGCTTCCGGAAGTGTAAGAACGCCGTTGACGACGAGCAACTCCAGGACATTATCGAACGCCGCGGAGTCAGAGCCGCCTGATTCGATGATAGGATAAAGGAGATCAAGTTGTTCTCCGAAATGTGAGGAAGCAAGAACGCCTTCGCGAGCATGCATCCAGTTCTTGTTGCCGCGAACGGTGTTAATCTCGCCTACGATCAATACGTTTAGACGCTAGAACGAGCTAAGATCGCGATCATGCGCACCATTGTGAGCGGCCCATCTCATAGGTTGAGCTCTATCCCAACTAGGGAATGTATTGGTAGAGAACCGAGAGTGTACAAGCGAGAAATGCGAGCGGTACAAGACATGATTGAGATCATGGTAGTAGTTATAGACTTGCGGCGGAGAAAGCTGGCCTTTGTAGACGATGTTCTTCGAAGAAAGAGAACATACGTAGAAACCCTTGGATAGCGTGCTTTAGATACAAAAACAAGTCCGATGCATTGAGCTAGCGTCTTATGTTATGAAAAAAAACAAAACCACAAACATGCTGTGAGTTGCGTGCTTGCGCAGAACGTAAAGCTGACGTTCGAAATACTTTGCGTCGAAAGGACCATTGCGAGAGGTACGTCCATCGCCATATGACGAATGAAGGACTACGAACGGCTGCATAATGGAGGGTTCTTTGCTCGCAGCAGCGGGACCAAGAATGGTACCGTCAGTAGGGACCTCTCGCCAACCTAACACTCTGAGGCTAAGATCTCCGGCAACCTTGGAGAAAATCGCTTGTTGCTTTTGAAGGCCGACAGGGTCGTTCGGCTTGAAGAATACGTTACCAACGGCGTACTGGCCAGGCTCAGGCAGTTCGCAACCAATGTCTCTTTCAGCCTCACGCTTAAAGAAGAGATGGGGAATACCCGTCATGACACCTGCACCATCGCCGTCTCTACTATCAGCACCAGTGGCACCACGATGGGTCATTGCACACAGGAGCTGGCGAGCATCGGAGACAATCTTGTGGGACTGTTCACCTTTGATGTGACAAATGAAGCCTACACCACAGGAATCTTTTTCGTACTCGTTGTTGTAGAGACCCTGACTAGCAGGCAATGCGCTTGCCCAAGAGGAGGGATCGCGTTCGACGGCATGAAAGCCATCGTTAAGCGGCTCATTTTCGAATTGCGACAAGGAGGTATTCAATAGAACAGGAGGTGAAAGACAATCAGTGGCCATGTAACGAATGGCAGGCGAAGCACGATATGGATGTACGAAGCAGAAAACGACGACGAGGACGGCGGCGGAGACAGAGAGGAGATGGCGGATGCTATCAGAAAAGACGGCAAAAACAGAACGGACTATTTGTACTGTAAGAAGTTTTGAATGACTAGGAGCGGGAGTCTTAGCAATGAACGCTGCACTCAATATTTCGAGCTCAATCCATCTCCGACACTCCGACAGCGCTACGGCCGACCACGATCGACAGCATCCAGCCAATCAGCGTATAGGAAATCAAAATGCCACGGAGGCCCGACGGACTGGCCGCGTCGGCCCTCGCTAGCCCCAGTCACCACCAAGCCGCCACCAGCTATTAATGACATTGTTAGCGTCAATATTGGAGCCGTGGATAACAGCTTTTTCACGTTCCAACGTGAAAGATCTGTTATCTACCACTTACCCAGATCCTGCTAGATCAGTACGGTCCCCCGAACAATCTCCTTACTTGGCACCGTGGCTTGGAATTGCTCGGCTTTCGCATCAGAACAGTGACACTGAGCTGGACACGAGCGACGACGAATCACATTGTGTTGAATGAAAATACTATTAGAATCTTTTCGTCCGAACCTTCGAGGTGAACCTGAAATGAACCTCCTACAATATACGGACCGATGCCGACGTCAGGATGTCACCAAAGCAATCTTGTACCTCTGAATGAGACAGCACGTTCGGCCGAAAGATGTCATCCTGCAGGATACGCTTGCAGTTTATGTAACATCGAGCTGGAAATTAGCTATGCAATGACCAACATGGTAGACCTGCTTCCAAAGCTCCTCAGATATATCGTCTCCGGAAAGCACAGGTCTCTTGAATCTCGAGGACAATGAAACATCGAGGACGTAGATCAAATACAATATCTTATATACGACGGCAGCAATACATGAGTGCTGCTGCGGCTGTGAGAAATCACTCATTCAACCAGAAGATGAATGAAATCGTTTCACGTACAAATTACAGTCTCGCAATCCGAACTCCTGACGACTGGTCTGCACAGTCGTGAAAGCGCATACCTTTGTCTGAATAAGCCTCCATATGAGGCTAAGTTTGTATGGTGCGGGAAAAGGTGTCCCAGCTGTGTACTGAATGCAAAGTGCAGCCCATGCACCCTGACACCTGCAACACGCGACTTCAGACGTGTTGAATTCTCACCTCCTCGGGATCCCCTTATCAGTGGTCCAAGGGCCCAGGCTGTGTATATAGTTAGGCGCCACCCTGACTTCCGAATGTTAGAGCTTTCTTGGGAAGACAGAAGTCTTACTTGGATACTGCCGAGAAATACGCACTGTCGAGCCACTCATGTCGAGTATATGAAGGTTATTGTTCAGATTTTCACCAACACGCGGCTGCATCAACCCCGGATCGCCATCAGGAGCTCATTCTTCTGGAGTTCTATCAGATCTGGACGTCACATTCCGAAGTATGCCCCCGGGGGCAGAACTTTGTTCGCCTTGGTTCGCAGAATGGCCTAGATTGTACACAGAGTTCGGTCGGAAACGCAACGAGAGCGATACAGTGACGTACTTTGACTACAAGCTCCCATAGCTGCAGTCGGCAGGTGGGAATGTTACTGAATTTTGCGCGCCATGAACCCGGAATAGAATCGGAGAAAAGGAACGTAGGATGCGAAAAAAACAACTTGAGGATCAAACCCGCAGCATTCCGAAGGACTCTTATGGTATTGGCGGAAAGTACACATACTTCGTGGACAGGACACGCAATAATTCGAAAGGAAATCAACTACCCCGCACCGTCGTGCAACGCACAACACACCGCCGCTGACAGATGAAATGTCGGCGTACCCCAAAACCTAGATCTTGATGTGAGACGCACCTTTATGATGCCCGTTGTATTGACGAACGGTCTCGCCGGACGCCATTTCCCATAGTCGTGCCGTATGGTCTGAAGAGGCTGAATCGGATAGAAAAGTAAAATCAGAATGCTTCTGACATGGTCGTGGAGAAACCTCACCAGTCACAAGGTACGCTGAGTCGGCGCTGAAGGCACAGTCCCAGACCCAACGCTGGTGGCCTTGGAGAACCTTGTCTAGTTTGAACTCATAGTTCAGCGAAATGGACCATATTTTGACCGTTGTATCCGCAGAGCATGTTGCAAGATACCTAGGATAGCAAACCACACTGTCATGAGGAAAACGTTTACGACGGAGGATATAGTGGCTCTGACTTTACGTCTGGACTAAATAGACACCGCGTCAGGTATTTGTTGTGTGCTTGAAACTTAGTAACTGCCTGAAATCGGGGTAGATCTGATCGCTCGTCGTTGATCTTCCAGACATAACATCGGCCCTGAGTCAACGATGAGAATATGACAACCGGGGATCTGAACACAGATCGTACTTTGTTATTACCGGCCACAAGACAAGAACCATCGGATGCCAAACTGATCGAACGCATTGGGATGTCGCCTGCAGGTGTCTGTATTTTTATCAGACCGCTTATGGCACTGCCGTGAGATGAAGACCCACAAGTTCGTGCGTGCAGATGTTCTCTGACAAATCCCACTGTTTGATTCTCCCAGCTTGATCGCATGACAAAAGCTCGCCTTGATTGGGGTGCACTACCACATCATTTACTTGGGTCCTTCGGTGTCAGAATAAGGAAGTAGAGAGACAGATAGGAGACACACCTGGTGCCTCGTTGTCATAATTTCTTTGAAGGTGTGCACTCCTAAGACAACAATAGATCAGCATGAGTTCGATACCTACTATTAGAAGATGTGTACCGCAGGTCCCAGATCTTGATCGTACCGTCTTCACTGCCAGTGACCAACCATTTACCCTCACTATGGAAGCAAACGGCAGTGACATTGCCGGTATGGCCGTCAAATTGGAGCTGCTGAGTGTGAGCGATCTCCGCCGCGTTGCAGGAAAAACACAGCGGGCACTCACCGGCGGTGCGGAGGGATTCGCGATTTCATATATGCACACCTTCTTGTGAATGCCCGCTGCCAGTAATCGTTTACTTCGAGGATTCAGCGATATACACACAAAAATAAATGTCCGGACGTGCTCACTCCGGGGAAATGGCTAGACGATTAATTTGCTACCAATAAAGCAACAAGGAACATAACTTGAGAATGATTGTCATAGGACACATGCGGTGAGTTATCTCACTCCTGTTTCTCCTGTACGCGGGATTGTGCGAGAACATATGCCACTCCAAGCTTCCCAGAAACGAATCTCATGATCGTAGGACCCAGTGACAAGAATAACAGACATATCGTGCCGAGCAGGTGCAGACTTGGAAGATACAGTTTGCGAGGGCATCGTCGGCAGCTGGGTGGAGGTTGTTAACGGCAAAGTTGTACTGTCGAAATGGGCCTACAATGATGAGAATGGCTACATATAATTACGTAATACGTAGACTGGTTTAGTTGTAGACCAAAAAACTGAAGGAGGCTGCACCGGTCTGCAACCTTGTCCTAACCTGCATCAACCCGTGTACCAAGTGCATGCATACTAGGTCCTCATTCATTGGCACGTACACCGGTTCTACCTTGGGGTACATTTCGCCCTCGTAAAGTCCTGGTGTACTAGTCCATCTATTGGAATTCTTTCTAGATCAGGTTGCCTTACTGAGTTCTACGACACATGGTGCAGTCTGGTGAAGAATCAACCTACACTTTGCCCTGGGTCATTACGTACTATTTTGAACTGTGCCTGCTCCTATCGCGTTCTCATGGACCCCTCATGTCTAGTAAATTTGGTGCGGTCTCTGTAGTCTTCCCGCGAAGGCTTCTTTTTACATTCTAGTCTTCATTTCCCTATCTTGGTCGTCACCTTCTTCTCTGGTCTAGGGGACATGGCATCCTCCTCCTTCCCTCGATTGCCACAACGTATTCGCTTGTATAGCGCTTCTACCGGACGATCGTCCAGTCTTCTGCCGGTGCAGTACTTCTGCTGTTTTCCCTCGTTTAACTCAGGTTGTATTATGAAACATCATCCACACTGGGAATTGTTCATACATCAATAGCCACACCCCAATTCTCATCTAGATGCCCAGTGCATGTGCAGACTCCTCAAGTTCGGGGGGTTCTTGAAATGCTCCCATAGTCCGGCAACTTCTCTGCTGTTTCGATCGTCCCTCGAATCCATCTCATTGCAGGCCGTATATATAACTCCCTTCGCTATACCATGGTCTTTCAAGGTGATACGATCAACCGCCTCTCATTTACTCTAACCTAATGGATAGATTCCCTGTATGCCCATCCCTTCGCCTTCACGTTTGTCCCGACGCTGACTCGCACCACAGCCAGGCAGTCGAGTGTCCTTTTTTCACGAAGCCAAGGGCAACGCTACTGGTATTGTCCAAGCATTAGACAATGTCGATGTAAGTAATGACAATGATATTATCTTGGCCATTGTTCATGTTGATGAGTATATCAGGGTCAGGACATCGCCATCATCAAAATGGACAATGGCGGTCAGGCCAAAGTACCGTGCGTTATATTGCATGCAAACATCGCAAGATAGACGTTTTTATTATCTCCACTCGCTGGTGTATTTCCAGGATATCTGCCCTCAAGAGGATTGGATAACAAAGGGTTTGACGTTGTCCATCTTATCGTCAAAAGCAGATCACGGACTGCTCCACCTTTTATCCCCGACTTGATATATCCACTTTCGATCCTCGGACCTTTACTTCAACATAGACATCTTCGATTTACTGTGCTCTTAGATCGCTGGGCTTTGGGTTGCGGACCCTTTATTTACGGACTAGACATTACAGTAGAAGTTTGTAATACCTTCGGATCCATAGTTTCCCTCCTACAATCGGTGTTCCAAACGATCGCATACTATAATCGTCCTCTTTCGTACATACGACTACACCCAAGTTGAGTTTGAATTTCTTTAGTTCGAATCCGATAGAACAGATCTATGCTCCAAAAAGGAATATCTTCTGTAGAACGATCTCCAACATATCCCTCTGACGAGCCAATGACGCTCTTCGAGTTGCGACGTCCGGGTCCTCTGCAAGGTAACCCTCAGCTCTTGCTGTTGCATCCCCCGCCGCTAGAGATAACCCCTCGATGAGTGAATCTTGGAGTTCTTTCGCTATGGAACGCAAGAAATCCAAGTCAATGACGCGGGGAAGGTTGTCAATAATTCGCTGAATTATTGTATGTCAGTATAGCTACTATCACGTCGCAATGATGCGGCCTGCAAACCTTGTAGCTGACGTGAAAATACGCCATTGTCTCCGCCATAACAACCATTTCCTCCTCGTATGCGTCATCGCCGTGAAGTCTAGCCAATTTCTCTCCCGTTAAGCCAGTATAACCTATCCGGGCAAGGGCAGAGAGAGCTTCCCGGACGGCCGTTGCATTATACTGTGTAGGCTGGGAAACCAATGAACGTAAGTTCTCGCATCGTCGTGAAATGTTGGACAACTGTCATACCAAACGAAGACTCTTGTACTGTATGAGATACTTCTCACGCTTGGAGGCGAAGTAATGGTCGTTTACCGTGAAGGGAGGTCTTTCCAATTCCAACAACCACTTAATACGCTCTTGCGTCTTCCGTCGCGATACTTCGATTTGATCTTCCACGATACTTCTGACATGGCCCGGAAGAGAAGTTGAACTATGCTGTCCGAAATGCCGTTGGACGAGACAAATGATTTCCTTGAGAGTAGCATGGTAAATAGTATCGAAACACTTCTGACAATAATCCTCCCAGTCGGCGAAGAAACATTCGATGAGGGTCACCTTGGCCCTATACGGGACGTTGAACGGCAACTCGCGCGTCAAAGACCTGCGACAAAATTTAGTTTTTATTGCTGTGCAGTTCGCCTGCGCACACGTACTTTTGAATGTGAGCACGAACGTCTTCCAGGTACATGGGTGAAAGAGCGTTCGTGTTCCCGGAGTCATTGGTTACTGGGTCTTCGTGTATAACTTCTTCGAATGCCACTTCCGAGGCCTCCTCCATGGGCGAATAACGGTCAGACGCCTCGTCTTCATTGATAAAAGGCTTGAAAATGGGCTCGGTTCCATGGATGTCACATTTGAAGCTGGCATAAGCAGCTCGGCAGGACTGAAGCAAGGATTCAAATGATTCGCTGCCGCGGATCACATGCTCCACATCGACTGAGAACCTGGTAACGAGCCTCAGAAGTTCTGCCACAGGATTCTCAGACAGCGGAGGTGGAAGCGCTTCTAGCATCTCCTTGATCTCTTGGAGTCTTTGCTTCGACTTCAGGCGCAAGTCTGGTAATCTAAAAAACCATTCAGCATATAGAGCGTACGGGAAAACCCAGGCGTACGCATGATTGATCACTGAAGCAAGAAGCTTGCTGAGCTCCTTTGTGAGGTTTGGCGTCCCCATGCGGTGACGCAATCCGGGGAGACCCTCCCATGGATACTGGCTCTGAAAGAAATGTTTCTCCCGGTCGCGCGCCTCGCGGAACGTCACTTGCTCTTCAAGCTCCTTCGGTGATGGTTGCTTTGTGATAAAATATCCATCTATCGGACGTTCAAATCAGGATCATATGTAGCGTAGTGGTTCGGTCGACGTTACGTTTGAGGGGATGGGCGGTTCCCTCCAGCACTCCCACCCATCCTGACTCTTCTCCCGGTTGAATGAGATCGGGCTTCGTCAGAACACCTACGAAGAATTCACATATCGAAAAGAAATGATGAGGTAGTAATGAATACCGACCGATCGTGCGCTTCCCTGTGACATCTTCAGAGTGAGCAAGATCAGCAGCGCCTTGATTGTTCAGATCATCTACGACATGTTTATTCCACACATTCAAGTGTTAGCAGAGTGAATGAACATACCCCGCATTGTGATGGTAAGGAGGATTAATGTATCTCCCTGAATATGTTTCTGAACCATATCACGCACTGCTGTTATACTTGCCCTCTCCTCCCCAGGCGCGACGTGGGATATGATTCCTAGTGGAACGCTTTAGCCGAATTAAGACATTATCAAGATAGCTTTACAACTTACCAGGGAGGTCAATGAAAGCCAAATCTGTGACATCTGGTCCTGCTAGGTCAATACAGACAACATCAGAAGAGAATTGATGCTCCCGCTCTGTTGGCAGAATTCCAGTTACAAATGAAGCAGAGGCAGTACTGGGATTAAGTATGGCCACTTGAGCACGACGTATCATATCTTCGAGGTCACTAGGATCCGTCAGAAGCGGGCCGAACATTTCCTCGTTTCCCTTCGTGGCTCCTTCCCGCCGGAGAAGAACCTGACATTGCCACGGATTCGTCGAATATGTCAAACGACATTCCATAGGACATCTACATGACAACAGTCAAAAAAGACATGGAGGTGGTTTTGCACCACACGCGCACCTGGTGCAAGTACCGGTTGCACGGGGAACAGTAATCTAGTTGGAGGTCAACATAGCACCCTATCGGACAGTGTACCTCTGAAGACATACGCCGCTGATCGCCTCGACAAGAGAGCTCTGAAAAGGGGAGGGTATGACGGATTAGAGGATGAAGAAGAGAGTGCAGAACTCATACCTTTCCTGCACTTTGATTACCTATCACAGCAATTCGTGGTAGGTCAAAGTGCGCTTCGGCACTGTATCAATGCAATGAATATATATATATTCAAGGTTATAGGGAGACTGGCATACCCAATAGCACGTAATTCTGTGATTAGCTTGATGAGCTTTCGTGTTCTTAAAGCGTATTGTGAATCAGCTATGCCAATTCCAAACACCACATCATCTCCTGCCGGTTCTTGGTTGTCAACCAACATGGCCTTGTAAAAAAAATTGTTCAGGAAAATGAAATGAAATGTTGAAAATATCCACGAAGGAAGAGGATAGACTACACAGAATTAGGCTTTTGAAAATAGGAACACTGATGAGGGAAGGTTATTGCGAGGGGATGAGGAACTGAAGAAAGTTAGACGTCGGAAGGAAAGGAGTTTGATTCACACCTCATATATATTCCCCAGACGTGCGGTCAAAGGGGTAGCATGACAGCCATGAGTAACCAATGTCACTCCAATGTACGGCAGTTGTGCGAGAGGTGGAATGAAGATACTTTAACCGGATCCCTTCTTTCAAAGATCCACCAGCCTCAAGGTTTCGCTCAGAGTCCAGACCAGCCAAAGTCACATGAACTGAAGATAAGAGCAACGTATAATACGGATAATGGAAAGTACATAGCTTCACAGTAGATCAATTAGGAAAGACTCCTGCGTATCGCTACGAAGAGGCTAAGAAATTGCGGCCTTCACAGATCGGAGTTAGACAACGTAGAAGAATAGTGATAAAACGTGCGATGGGATTGTACCTTAAAAGCACGTAAACACGCCAGATATCGAAGATATGGGTTTCCAGCTGTGCTGACCATTGAACCATTGGAAAATACACCCGCTCGCCTCAGCGCTCAGATCAGATCACGATCGAAATCACGTGCTGACACGCGCTCACGAGGGATGCAAACAAGGCCAAGCGCGGCACAATCAACGCGTTGTAGTCATGGTGTACCAGACGCCCGGAAGCACTCCTTTCCTGTGAACTACTATGTCCTCCAAACTCAAGCGAACTTACGGCGTACGGCCTGCTCGCACATCTGTTTCATCCCCACCGTCAGAATTATCCTCATCTCCGCCGAGAGCTGCACTTAAACGCAAGAGACCGCTAATGGAACATCTATCCTTCACCAATACGCTCTCGACAAAAAGGTCAAAGCGTGCAAAATCCAACGACAAGGGCAAACAGAAACAACTCACTCAACTACATTTTACCATTGATTCATCTGTGCTCAGGACGTGTCCATTATGCGATCTTTCCTATACGACGGGGGCACCTGATGACGAGAGCCTGCATAGATCACATTGCGCAAGAGTGCAAAGAGGTCTGGAATGGGGAAGGGAAGAGGAGAGGGAAAGTATCAAAGCAGGAGTCGAGGAGATCTCTAGCGATATTAGGCTCAAGAATGGCACCAAGGGACGCATTGTATGTTTCCGTGCTGAAGTTCCTGGCCGAATCGGGGCTAAGGTAGACAAACTGATTCAACACTCGAACCGAACTGTGCTTAATATATTATATACAGGTGCAAATGCTACTTGATACGATCAATCTAACACTATCGTCCCCACCATTATCTCAATCTGTATTGCAAGCTTCGAAAGTCTATCTTTTTCTGCTTCAATCTCCGCCATCTAGTACAGCTGCATCATCTTCTCGGCGGGAGAAGATTGTAGGTTGTGTGATCGCACAGCGAATCACAACTGCGATGGCTATCGTGTCCCCTCCATCGCAGGATGGCACTATGAAAGATCCACTACCATCATCACCGATCCCTGTCGATCCCTCTACAAATCTCTACGTATGTCCTACTCCATTACCTACGCCAATGGGAATACCGCGACTCTTTGTTTCTTCCACCCATCGAAGACTAGGAATCGCCTCACGTTTGCTCACGGCTGCGGCCGATACATTCATATTAGGTTATCCACTGGACCCTGCTAAAGGGGAAGTGGCCTTTACTCAACCGACAGGAGCAGGCAAATCTGTTTTGGAGAAATGGGGTAAGGGAGGTGTCAGGATCTATGAAGAGTGAAGAGTATTCCCTCAATCTAGTTGCCATTTCGGCCCGCAGTTGGTCCTTAACTATCTTCGTGCATATAACTTATACCTACTGTATTCATACCATATTCTTGATGTGCTGCATTGACGACAAAAACATATGGATAGTTCTGTGGTATAGAGTCGTGCTGTGTAAAATATGGACCCTCCGAGAATCGAACTCGGGACCCCTGCATTCAGATAACCACATAAGTACAATGCTCTACCGATTGAGCTAAGGGTCCAATGACATCTTTTCTTACGAGATCATAACAATATGTTGAAATAAAAATTAAAAAAATTCCTGCTGCTCAATAGAACTTTGATATAAAATATTCGTAAAGATCATGAATCTTCGTCACCGAACCCTTCCTAACTTTGATCATCTTGTCCAAGCAGTAACAGTTGCCTGCAACCCATTCGGGTTCGCACTTGCCGGGATAATCCCTTGAGAATTAACACTCAACATGTGAGTCAGACCAACGGTTGACAGGCTGTAAATGCTGATTGTCGATCCGCTGTCTATGTTGACGACCTGATCCTGGCATGTGTTACTGTCTAGGCACGCCTGGTTAAAGTTTTGGAAGAAACTGTATAAACCTGCACCTGCGTCAGGAATTACAAAGTAAGATATTATTCCGATTGAAGTGTCACATGGATGACATACCGAAGACGATGATGTTTTGAGAGTTCTGGACATTTAAAGCCCATGCAGCTGGCTCGGGCAAGCTTGGGTCATGGAATGCAGCGTTTATCGAAAACGGTGTAGGCGGCGCGGGGGATGGTTGATAATATGGCTACATGTACAGTATTAGCAATGTTACAACCCCGTAAGATTCGAAAATCATACCGTCTCCGTCTGAATGAGTCCCATATAGTGGTCTTTGGCGTTCACGAGATTGTACTGATAGAGCGTATGGTGCTCCGCTGATCATATAGGTTTGTCAGAGCGTGTAAATGTAGGAAAGGTAATGGGATACGCACATCCTGTACCAATTAGCCAGACGGGACCAGCAGATTCGGACAAAATACCACGTCCACTAAATAGGGTAAGTTGCTCGCCGGATCCATCCAGGTCGTGATCAGCAAGCCAAACCCATGTGCCCTAAAAGAAGAAACATCAGGGGCTTCGTATATGGTAATGTGACTATGCCACTAACCTCGAGGTACGCATTCGACTGTGGCGTAAGATGTAATGCTAAGAAGGCAGCCATGCATGAGGATGAATCTGAGCCAGATGGGCAATTCGATTGTAGGTTTGTTCCAGCAGCTACCCACGAGTTGTCAGTCGATACCTCCATATAGCAAAATTATTTCCGCACCTCCACCAAGTCTGTATATGATATTTAATCAACGTCGTACCACTTTGAGATGGACGGATTGACATACCGGATGTGAGTATCCCACATACCAGCGCCACCTTGTTGGGGAGAGTTCACGTTCCATTCAACCACGACAGCGCCAGGAGCTGTGTTGAAATACGTCAATTCATAACTCTACTTCAAGCAAGGTTTGTGACTAACCTGGAGCCTGAGTCGAAAACAGCATATCCGTAATCTCGACGATCCCTGAAGAGCCGGGAGCTCCAACTCTTATCATGGCCTTTGGGTTATTGATATCACCAAACGCAGATCCGCCGCCCATGATGACGCTCCAGACTTCGCCGACGACTTGTGCCCCAGCAGGAATAGTGATAGTATCGGTTATGAAGTACGTACCGGCATCGAAGAATATGATTTTGCATCCCGCAAACTGGAAATTCTTGTTAAGGACATTACAGCACACACCGAACATATACTCACCTTGTCAAAGACTGCTTGAATTGCTGCGGTATCATCGGTCTTGCCATCTCCACGGGCACCTTGACTCTTCACGCTCACGAACTGGCTCACCGCAAAGTCTTCATATCTAAAACGACATTCGTTAGCACAGGTACACATTATTCTTTTTATGGAAACAGATATTCACTGGGGATGAGTACGTCCAAATATTCTTCCAGCGCTGTCCAAGAGACTGGCTGCTTTGATAGGTGCAGGAATATTCGACTGCACAAATTTGCCCGTGGAGCTTGTGCCGCTGAAGATATTGCCTTGACCCCACGAGTCTATGGTTGTGGTCCCTCCGTTGAGGACCACTTGTCCTCCGACAACGCCGACTGCAACCGGGACGTTGTTCAAGCGGATATTGTTCAGAACGAGAGAACCAGCGAGAGACGTAGAGGGTACCGAGTTACGGATGAAGATCGGGGTGTTAGTAACGACTGCGTCGATGATCGCTTCGGCGCCGACGGTCTGGGAAGACACTATTATCACATAGAACCTTTAGGGAGACCGGATATTGTACTGACTTGAGCAGCCTGAGAGGTTCCGCCTGTTGTAAGATCGAAGCCCACTTGACAGTTATTGACTGGTGCGACAGGGTAAGTATCAGCAAACTGAGACTATGGGAATTGACACGTACTCGTGACACCCTGGAAAGTCCACCCTATGAAAACGGGTTTTGATCAGGCATTATCAAAAGAACATATACGCGTCGGGGCTGACCCCAGTTCCAGATGCCGAATATGGCTTTTGCGCAGATAACATGAGCAGCCATTCAATTCATTCGTATGACCAGGTCTCACCGGTATTGGCGTTATTGACCGTGATATTGCGGACAGTGAATCTATAAAAGAAAATGAGATCGATCTGTGCCAACTTGGAACCACCGGTACGTACTGTTGATTCCCAATCCATATACCGAATTTTCCTACGCGAACAGGTGTGAAATTGGACAAGAGACCGAGTACCGGAGATCTTACCACCGTTAAATATGAGATCTAGGCGGGATAAAGATTAGCTTGAGAGATTCACTTTTCCCTTGACGATCTCACCTCCCATGAATCCTCCGCTACCGTTTTCCATGAAGATACCTGATGTGACGTCAAGGTGCGGTTTATCGGAGCTCATGTAGAGAAATGGGTACCTTGATGATTATTGCCGGCTGCAGTGCTCATTTCGACTCGAACATTCATTAACGACGTCGCCTGGGATACTTGCCAATGCAATCCGGTAGCAGACGCAGAAGCGGGCATTTGTCGAAGATCGATCACGAAGTTGCGCACGCTTCTGAAGAAGTTGTTCTGATTGACAAACCATTGTTCCCCATTTCCACCAGGAATGTATGGATCGGCATCTGGAAGTAAATAGGCGAGAGTCAGTTCGAATTCTTTGTACCTTGAAAAGGAGTATATACCGATCACCGCAATGCCAGAGAAGTTCGGAGCCGCGAGGAGCGTGGGTGGGTTGCGAGCGTCTCCAATCATTTGTGTGTAGTAGTATGTTTCGATGGGCGTCGATACTTTGTACGTTCTGCAGTAATGGCTGTTAAGGTTTATAATGTACCGTCGGAGTTAATGACATACCCTTTAGGGAAGTATAGAATGGCTGGTGTTATCGTCGACGATTGACACGCCGACCCTCCTCCACAGCGACCACCCGCAGACATCGCAGAGCTATATTGAAAAATGTGTCAACTTCGGGTAATGAGAAGGAATATATGTCTTGTACTTTATAGCGGCAGTGTCATCGGTTACACCATCGCCCTTGGCTCCGAAGTCTTTCACGTTGCGGAACACCTGGTACGATCCTGGGTTCGGGTTGAAAGCCGCAATCCCCTAAGGATAACCCCAGACCCATGAGTGTGTCATCGACAGACACTATAGAAGGTGTACCTGATGCTCAATGGTCTCCAGCCAGAAAGGATCATTGGGTCCTGCAGCACCAGGTCCGATGGGCCCACTGCACTGTGATCCCAGCGCAGAGGCTGTAGAAGCGGCGGTAGCTACAATACCCACAAGGGCGAGGAGCGAAGAGAACAGCATGCCGATAGCAGGGCAGGATCCACAGGGCCAGTTTCAAGCAGGAACCGCATTTTTATACCAAAGTCCGTCGAAGGTTCATCAGAACAAATGAGCATATGGATAGCAAGTAGCCAGCATGATCAGTAATTTCGAATGAGGGTTCGCGTATGCTGACAATCAGACATACCAGGATGAGGCTTGTGTTCTCCCAGTTTGTTGTGCACACGGTGAAGAAGGCGGGACAACCGCGTGCCGTCTTGTGCACGTCGGTCACTCGTGACTGGATCGAACGACATGGGGTGCATCCAGAACAAAGCACAACCTCTTCAGGTCGTGAAGGTCAATCTGCTGAAAATTGTATTCAGAAGAACCAGAGGAGAATCTCCGAAGAGTTACCAGAGCAAGCGCCCGGCCGTTGGTAGACAAAGCGATAAGTACGGTTGTGTGCGACTGCGCATGAGAAGACGCGACTCTGGAAAGGACTCGCGTCTAGCACGTGAATCTGATATAGCGCAAATGACGTCGAAGCTCCCACGAAGTTGATGAAGGTTCTCCCAGGCCGGGTTCGCAAGCTGATTGGCCTCTTGCGGAAAGAAGTACGAATATATGCGCATAGACAAATAATAGTGAGAGGATTTAAACGCGAGCTTTGAATATGGCAGGTTTCATAGAGCATAGCCAATCGCCGATAGTCGCTTTCGGGAGTACACCGCGTTGAGAAAATTATTACAACCTGTTCTTCGATCTGTTAAGCTTCTTCTCTGGAACCCCGGCTTTGTTCAGATTGGCTTGCCCCACAATCGATGTGAACGAGTACAGAGTCTTCCCACAGACTGCATTTAGCGATCCGCGCGAAGCCGAAGTGCAAGTGTAGATGCCAATACACAACCCGGTGTTTCCTTGAATAACCACGGCAGTTGTCGCCGAAACCTGTCCTAGGTGGAGCACAATTGTGTTGGGATCAATGCCTAAGTATAGTGAATGCAACCATTGGTGCATATACCCTCTGAGAAGAGAGAAGACAAAAGCCTATATGCACGTCTTACCTGAGATACCTGATGGTTTAGAACCGCGTATGGAGAAGTTGAGCACGAGGCCTGGTATCAACATGTGGTGGAGCAGTCGGAGAAATACGAAGTTGCTGACATTCGATTGAATCCTATGTTCGGTCGACGGTGAGAACGACAACAAGTCAATATGCAATAGGATGCTCACCGTCTCTCACAGTGCACGTTGGCATGAAATACCAATCAAATTAGAGTACAAATCTACTTGTATTCTAGCAGATCAGTCTCCAGAAGGGCAACTTTTGTGGCACTCATGCACGATGAGCGAAAGTAGTCGGAGACGCGTGCTTCGGAATTCGAAGGTTGAACTGAACTCCCTTATCGCATGAGGTGGTGCAGAGTACGGCAGATGTGCTCGGAAAGTATTAATCGCTGCCAAGTTGCATTCATAGATGCAGAAACCACAAGGCACAGTAAGCAAGAGCTTAAGTCACGGAACCAATTTTAGCCGTGGTCTGCGCCAATGCTTGAAGGCCTGACGTGTCAAGCAAGGTGAAGCTACCATGAATGCGTGCCTATGAAGGAGTTAACATAACTCAGTTCTGTTTGCCAGAGAAGAGGGGAAGACAAGCGAGTTACTGCACGCTCACATACAGTATATACACTGGTGGAAATCAGAGTGCCAAAGTAGTTGTTCAGTTGGACTTACCGCTAGCGGCAAGAGTCGGCTGACGTTACACTTCTGCACCTACAAGATGAGAAAGCAAGCCATTTAATTGAACCAACTGCGCAAGAGTCGTGAGATGCGGATAAAACATTGCAACCATGCATCTCCATTGAGGTAACAAGGTTCAGAAGGTACACTTTCCACGACTCCGCAAACTCGAGCATACTATGACGATCACAGTTATTCCTGAAATACAGGGTTTACGAAATCTGATATAAGCAGGGTAGCTCAGCGCGCATAACTCTGACCCATATACACACATACGCATTCACAGAGAGTGTACCTGGGCAAGCAGGACGGTCAAGTTCCAGGTTGAAGTCGAACAAACCAGGCTGCCCAGCGATTCGCATGTTACGGTGTGAAGCTGACGGCTGATCGGCATGCGCGCCAAGTGTGACGGAATGTGACAGGAACCGCCCAAAGCGGGGTAGTATGATATTGGAGGCTTGGTTCTCGGCGTGCAGTCGGCTTCGTCTTCTAGCGGCGGGCAAGAGTGAACTTGTTCGTTTACTGCATCTTTCTCCACTCCTCCCTCCTCGGTGTCGAATCGCCGTTCTTTTTCTCCGTCAACTCTTGCGAGGACCTGTTCTACGTGGCATCATTCAAGTACTCTGTCACTAGGTTACTCGCAAGTCAGGCGTCAAGTCAAAGTATCATAAAGTAGGCAGTGTTTTGGGTTGTTCTTCTCACAAGACGAATCCTTCACCGCGCTCTTCGATTTTCTCTTCTAGAGTTCTAATCGCTCTTTTCAACAGGTTCTTTTGCAGGACAAAAGAGGAGGATGTCGGGCCCCTCGTATGACCCTGTTCCATTGTCGACGGACCACACAGATGATGTTCCGTACAACCGTCCCTTGTCGCCAGAGACACGGCACTCTGCATATCAAAGTCCGGAGACCCAACCTCTCGAGCCACACGACGACCTACCTCCGGGCGCAGCACGCCCACGTTTTCTTGGTGCCGCCTTGAACGACGATGGTCCCAATCCTCGCAGTTCCTACGCCTCTTCAAGCAACAGCTTTCCCATTGCAGACGATTACTCCTCGTCGGTCTATGCCCTCAATGCCGACCGTGCCCCAGGTTCTCGCGACCCTACGTTCTACAGCCTGAACTATCGTGATGATCCCCATGATGGTGATTTCAATGACTCCCAGCCGGGCGTGAGCAAGATGTCGCCTGCTATGCAAAGCTCTCCATATCTTTCAGAGAAGCGGAATACCTATGCCGCCCCACGCGACCGCTCACGTCGTAAGTTGTTCATCATTGGCGGTGCGATTTTAGGCTTGCTCCTCGTAATTGCCGTGGTTGTCGGCGTTTATTTCGGCGTGGTCAAGCCTAAATCGGCCAAGAGCAGCGACAATGCTTCAGGAGCCCTTGGGGACGAACACACCAGCGCCAAGCCTTCTGGGACGAGTGCGCCCACTCCTGGCGTACGGGCTGCTGTCACCGGTGGCGACGGAAGCAAAGTCACCACGGAAGACGGCACAACATTTACTTACCAGAACTCATTTGGTGGTTATTGGTACTGGGATTCTGAAGATCCTTTCAATAACGGCGCCCGCGCTCAGTCGTTTACTCCTGCACTGAACGAAACTTTTCGCTATGGTATTGATCAGATCAGAGGGTGAGAGTCAGCCTTCTCGCAACCAATATCCCATTCATCATTAACACTGACGCACACAGTGTCAACCTTGGAGGTTGGTTGAATACGGAACCAGTACGTTTCTTTCGTTACATTCCTAATTAAATGCAAGCATGGACTAATTTGGTATCGCCCTGCCACAGTTCATGTAAGTTTTTCGACTTCGTTGTACCATATTTCTGTCAACTGATTGATCTGAAGTACTCCTGCCCTTTATGAAAAATATGCAAATTCCTCTAACCCGGCCGTCGACGAATGGACACTGAGCGAGAACATGGCTGCGGATGGTGGACTCCAACAATTAGAAGATCATTATAAGACGTTTATTGTCAGTACTTTTCGACAAGATCTTGAGCTGTACTGACCGTTCTGGCTTGCACAGACCGAGAAGGACTTCGCTGAGATCGCTGCTGCAGGTTTGAACTGGGTTCGTATCCCTATACCCTATTGGGCCGTTGAAACATGGGATGGCGAACCATTCCTTGCCAAGACGTGTTGGACGTAAGTTCTTGATCGCTTTCTCTCACATCTTCGGTCGATTGACTCGCGAACAGTTACTTCTTGAAGGCCATCCAATGGGCTCGGAAGTATGGTATCCGTATCAATCTTGACTTGCATGCTGTGCCCGGTAGTCAGAATGGTTGGAATCACTCAGGTCGTCTCGGAACGATCAATCTCCTTAACGGACCCATGGGCCTTGCTAATGCTCAGCGCTCGTTGGATTACATTCGGATTATTTCCGAATTCATCTCGCAGCCCCAGTATAAGGACGTTGTTGCGATGTTCGGTATCACTAACGAACCTCAAGCCCCAACGTTCGGTCAGGAGAACCTCATCAGATAGTACGTGTTGTCGATGAGCAACACCTAACACTCAAGCTGACATACCCTGTCAGTTATCTAGAGGGGTACAACTTGGTCCGGGCTGCTAGTGGTATCGGAGAGGGCAATGGCCCCATGATCTCCTTCCACGAAGGTTTCACCGGCCTTAGCAAGTGGTCAGGGACGTTTGTCAACTCCGACCGCACGTCGCTGGATGTCCATCCTTATCTATGTTTCAGTAACCAATCGCCAGATCCTTACTCTGCCCGTGCAAACACTCCTTGCTCTGCCTGGGCGGCGGGCCAGAACAACTCTATAGGCAATTTTGGGTTGACCACTGCTGGCGAGTTCAGTAACGCTATCAATGATTGTGGGCTGTATGTCAATGGTGTTAACCTGGGCACTCGGTATGAGGGAACGTATACTCCTGGAAATTGGCCTCGTGTCGGAAGTTGTCAACAGTGGACTGATTATCAGACTTGGGACGACGACATGAAACAGGATATCATGAACTTTGCCCTTGCTAGTATGGATGCTCTTCAGGTATGAGGCTTACAGTCTTTTTTGAGTCACACTTTCACCTATAGCTACTTCTCTAGCATTACTTCTTCTGGACTTGGAAGATTGGCAACTCTTCTGTGACTGGTAAGGTTGAGGCCCCCGCCTGGTCCTACCAGCTCGGTCTTCAGGAAGGTTGGATGCCCAAAGATCCTCGACAGGCTATCGGCAAATGTGGCGGCAAGAATCCGGTCGGCGCTCTTAAACCCTGGCAAACCGGCGGCGCGGGTGCCGGTCAGCTCGACGCCGATTTCACTTCTTCATACGCTTGGCCTCCTACTTCCATCTCTCAAGGTGGTGCAGCCACACTCCTTCCATCATATACTCCCACAGGTACTGTTCGCACACTCGCTGCTCCGACATTCACCAAGTCCGCGGGCGGGGGGGTGGATGCTGGACAAGGTTGGGTGAATACTGCGGATACCGCGAAGGGTATGGTCCCGATTGCAACTTGCAGTTACCTTGATCCTTGGGTGGGTCCCAGCGCAGCACCTCCGGCACCATTATGTTCTGGAGGCACCGCTCGTCGGGACAATACCCCTACGCCAATCATTACTTCTCCACCCTCCCTTGCATAGATTCTCTCTCCCGGTGTTTCAGTGAATCGGACTCTCCTTGTTGTTATCGTTTTTGCACTGCACATCGCACTTTTCATGGACTACGTAGTAGCTTACCTCGGACTATTTTCTTACGATAAGCACGACGACGCTACCTACAATTACACATAAGCTGCCTACGGATTCAGTTGGATTTTCCTCTGTCATGCACATTGTATAGGGACGTAATGGGTATCGGTGTCCGAATTATGTTTAGTGTTCACCACTGGTCGTTGCATATCGATCTTCAAGGTCTTCTTGTCCTCCAAAGCCACCCTCGAAGTCCTTGTCAGCTTCTTTTCCTTCCTCCGCCTTCTTGGCAGTTTCTTTGATCTTCATCTGCTCTCGCAGAGCAGCTAGTTGTTCGGCCTCCTATAAACGCAATGTCTGAGCAACGAATAGTAGTGACATCGCCTTGCCTTACCTTCTGTCGGGCGTATTGATTTTCGGCACTTGATTCCCTCGACTTCCATGCCCCATCCTAGAGAATGTATCAGATATGCGAATTTGGTTATGAGACTGGTAACTAACCTGTGCAGTTGTTCCGGACATACTAGGTATATCGCGTAGAATACTAGATTGGACTGGATATCTTTAGCAGGTTGGCGGTCGCAATTTGAGATTGTGGTTTACGAGTAAGACGAATGTGTGCCATTTAGCACGAGCAACGCGCAGTTCTAGTTGAGTCTTCTACGTCATAGCGTCCGGGCGAACTCCGACACTTACACTGAGTCAGAGGCCAGTTGGCCTGAATCCATACATTCCCTCCCGTTCATCACATACGACTCCATAATTCAAACGGAACAGTTCATAGTTAACGCGCAACCAGCTATCTGACTGGTCAGAATTAAAACGGAGAGGAAGAATGCATTCCAAGCTACAAAGCAATATGGACAGATGACGAAAGCGAATTAATTACTATGACTGAGGATAGGGACCATTCTGCGGATTCTGGTGTTGCATGGCTGCTTGCTGCTAAACTTCCAGTGAGACACTAGTACACTAAAAATTAGAGATCATACGTGCCTGGAGAATTATGCTCTGTAATCTTCGAGTCTGCTGATATTGTTCCAATTGCTCTGGTGTGAACTGTCCAAGATTGGGATAATAGTGAGGTACCGTAGCGCGGGGCAGAGCATTCATGGCAGCTTGTTGAGCATCCGATAAACCTGAATGAGCTTGCGCGGAAGGAGGCCGAGGAGAGGCAACATGAGGAATGGTGTTAGGAAGATGAGGAGGTGAATGTTGAGGAAGACCTGGTGACGAACTGGCAGGCCGTGCATTATAGGATGCAGCGAGGTGCGCACTGCTCAAAGCGGGGGCCCCAGAAGCAGCTAAACTATTTGTCGGAACTTGAACAGGTACTTGTCCTTGGGCTTGTGCCTGCGCTACTGCAAGGCGTTGAGCCTGAGTTTGAGCTTGCAAAGCCGATGCAGGAGATAAACGATTCGCATTGCCTGATAACCGCTGCTGCTGAGAGATATTGACACCACGTATTTGGGGAACCGCTTGTTGTGCAGCAAGGCCGTTCGCAGCTCTGTTCGGAATGGTTGGCTGCGTTGCGCCTCAGGTATGAGAGGGATGATAAGAGCAACCTGATTAGCATCAAACACGTACCACGCCCTGACCAACCTGAGCTCGCTGCTGCATTAGCTGATGTTGTGCTGCAATTTCTTGTTGACGCTTCCTCATCATTGCTTCGTGAGCCTCCCGCGCATCCCTCTCGGCCTTCATACGACTCAGTTCTTGGGGAGTATACCTGGGCATTTTGTTATATTGACCATGAGTATCATGCATTGCAGGAGGTTTCCGCTGCGAGGCTGATCAAAGACGTTAGCAAGTATTCGCCAAAAGAGACGTCAGACAAATGTTTACCTTGCACTTTCAGAGTCTGTTCCCTTTTCTTCGCCGCCTTACGAATGGTCTCGTGCATCAGGGTGTGTCTTCGACGTTTGTAATCAAGTACGCCGCCTCCAGTCACTGGAGTAGACATGGCAGTGCTAGCACGCTTAGTGCCACGCGTTGCAATTTGGGATACTTGAACATTTGTACGAGACTCTTCGTCGGCGCCGCCTGCTGTCATGAAGCGTGCAACATAACGGTCCCGACACTCCATCCAGCTCCGTTTCTCAGTAGAAATGGTAACCCTAGCTGTATTGAATGCGTCCGCAATAAGGACCCAATTGCCTGGATATCGTTCCACAAGTTGTTTCAGTACTGTGTCATCTTGAGGTGTCCAAGTGTGCTCTAGGTGGCGCCGTTTCGCTGCACTGCCGCCTCTGGCAGCCTCTGCGATGGCAATGAAATCTGCAGGCATTCGCTTCTTACCGATAGGCACTGAGGCGCCGGGAATACCAGGAGACACTTCAAACAGAGCTGATGCAGCAATTCAGTATAAGAGCAAGAAGAATAAGAAGGGAACACGGACTAGAATGAGCACTTTCGTCAACCGGTCTGGAACTGGGGCTACTGAAGTCAGCAACTACAGCCGTTTCGTCCAGATTATGCCATTGTCCATCGGACCAGTGTCTGGATGGTTCCAAAGGACCAAGTAGGGTTGGCTTGCTCAGCATGAAATCATTAGTCGGGACCAGTTTTGAATACGTCGTATCTTCCGTCCTCTTATTAGGATCATCCTTGTCCCCTCTTCGATCCGATTTTCGTTTGCCTTCGCTGCCGGTCGCTGGTGCGACATCTAGAAGGCCGTATGGCTGCAAATCTGGGAAGATGGAAGAAAGGTCGGGAGGAGGCAAAGATGCGGAAAGAGAAAGATCCTCTGTGGATAACTCAGACATGCTCTTCACAAGCTCGAAATCATCTAAATCGACGAATAGCTTGTCTACGTCCGAATAGACGATCTCTTCCCGAAGAGGAGCGTACACGCTGGGCTTTGACTTTGACTTCGAGTGCGGTGCTTTGCTCGTATGTGTATGTCGGGCGTGACTGGTAAGAAGCGGATTCTGAGACGTCGGTTTGAGGCCGGGCGCGCCTGCAGGATTGTCTATCTGGGGGGCTATGGCCTTCTGAGCTTCTGCGGGCTCCTTCTTGATTTCCTCTTGAGGGTCCGCAGGGTCCACGTCCATAGCGTTAGAAATATCCATCTCATCCCGCAGAGCGGTGAGGTCCTCGACATCCTCGACCTTCGGCTGCACATCTTGTAGACTCGGGATCTCAGCAATTTGACCCAACTCAGAAACAGCTTCGTCCTGATTTAGTGCATCCTCTAAGGTCGTAGTAGGATCAAGAACGTCTTGATGGTCTTTGTCCTGTTCATCATCACTATCGTCGTCAGAGCCAAAGTCGTTTGCAGGTGTTGAATGCCCCTTTGAGTCATCAGCTCCGTCCTCGTCGCCGATCACATTCTCAAAGATATCAAGAGGTTTCTCAATCGAGTCCTCTTCTTCTAACTCATCCGGACGTGGTCGCTTCCAAAGTACGCAGATATGTCGACGAACACGTTCTTCCAAAGATCCCGCCTCGTGCCATTCCATAACAGCATGAGCGAGGTTGTAAGCCAGCGCAAGTTTCCATCGTCGCTCCTCACGGAAATCAGTGCGCATCCATTTCTATTGAACGAACGTTGAGCACGATACAGACAACAGATGACAATCCAAGAATTCTCACCATCTCCTCCAACAGATAATCACGATGAGTCTTCATTAAACCGCCAACACCACGCTGCTTCTTGGGTTGACGAAAACTCCATCGACCGGCATCTTTGAGTTTTTCAACTCTATCCAGAGTACGGATGATTCGCACTTCAGTGATAGCCACCTGAAGAACCGATAAATACAGATACACCATTGAAAGTATGGTTACCTACATTCCAGTCCTTCGTCATGAGACACTTGTTAGCTCTAGCGACCTTCGTAGACACGGGATTAGCGCGTATAGTTGCGCCCCATCTATTGAGTCCCAAAGGTGTCCATTCCGGCTGTGCTTTGCCGTCGCCCTTCTCTTTTTCTCGATCACGTTTTCGTTGACGAGAGGGCTTGTTCTTCCGCTGGAACTCAGCAGGAAGCATGCTGAAGGGAGGGAGAGTATACTGCGCATTGAGTGCCTCCACAGTGGAGCCGACGTTCGTGGCTTCCGGCTGCTCCTCTACTGAGGGCACAGTACCAATCATGTTCTCATCAAAAGCAAATGCTGGCCGCGCAAATAACGTGGACGAAGGAGGTTCGGAGAGAAGGTATCGCGCTTGCATCGACTCGGTCCTGGTTATTGGCAAAGGAGGTTCTGAGAAAGACGATGATTGCAACAGCGCAGATACATCATCTTCACTCATTTCTCGTTGCATAGGCCGTTCAATTGCAATCGCGCCGTAAGGTTTCTCCTCCTCGACGCCTTGCATAGCTACCAAATCCGAGACAATGGTAGCTGGATGTGCGGCAGCCACCAAATCTTCACGTCTGAGCTCTGTCATACTGCCGGGTGAGATGCGTGCTGCTACAGGGTGCGCTTTATACATTTCTTCGCGTGAAGGCTGGTACATTCGAGGACCAGGAAATAGTTCTTGCGGCTGCTCAGAAGGACGTTCTGGTGGACCACCGACGTGTATGACATCTTCAGATACAGCCCGCTCTGCAGCAGCGAGAGGAGGTTCTTCAATGATAGGTATTAGTTCCTCATCTATGTCCATGCGCTCTGCGACGGGTTCTGAGACTCGTAGACCCTGAATCTGCGCATGCTGTGCGAAAGGTGAAGGTCGCTCGACCGTCGGTTGAGCTGACGGGGACAGTGTGCGAGAAGGGCCGGGAGAAGGGCTACCTGTGCCGGAAACTGAAGGGTAACGGAAAGGGGATCCTGGTTCGGAAACAGCCTCCAACAGAGGTGCCACGTTTTCCATGCCTGGTCTAAAGAGCATTCAGTGCGTATATGGTGCACCATTGAAGGACGACATACTGTTTCCTCATGTCTTGCGCCTGCAAGAAGGACTTTAGCTCGTCCCGGTTGATGTTGGTATCGAGTACTTCTCCTTCCAGGCCTTGCCTTCTCGATAGAATATACATTTCGGAGAGAAATTTATCACGGCGACGGCGAATTTCACTATCAACGTATAAGTCAATTGAACATAATTGAGAATATTACGCCACTCACTTGAGTTGGCCTATGCGCTCTGCCACTAGCGACGCCCTCTGTGGCAACACACCCTCCATCGAAATTCTGAGACAGAAAAAGATATGAAGAAGGATGTAAGTGCCTTCAATAGGCTAGCTCTCTGTCGGTTGCGCTGTCCTAGGACAACTGGCAGTTGAGGTGGGTGAGTGGCCTTCAGAGGCGGACAGGTAGCGGGATTTCTCGTGTAAAGGAGACAGTCCCCAATAGACGGGTATTAGATAGCGTATAAAGTGTGATTGAACTGATGAGTGCAGTGAATGAGGGCCTTATAGGGCGGTTTCGCTGCGCTGTAGTGGCCGCTACTGAACTTCAGACGACAAACTCAATGTCCAAAAAAGGCAACCCGCACAAACATGTTGAATGTTGAACGTTCGAAACTTCACAGTTGACACGATGTAAGGGAGATCTATTACTGAGGATTGCAGGGATAACCAAGGTATGACTGATGTGCAGATGAGTGATAAAGAGAGTCAAAAACGTATAGCTACGGGTATAGGTGACTATACAATGCTGCTCGAATAAAAAGAGGGCGGTAAGAATGAGAGGAACGTATGAGTGATATTAGGGAGAGGCGAATGAATACTGTCCATAAGAAAACCATGTCGGAACATTGCTAACTCTCGAGATATGTTATCAAGTAAAGAAACAATGCAAACCAGCGCATTAGTTTAGACCACTTCCTTTGTACTGTTCACTGAGTCCTTTCTCCGTTTACTCAAAATACTGAACCTCTTGGACGATGTACTGTTCTTCTTCTGGTGTTTCTTAACGGTCTCGGTAGAAGACGCCAACGGAATATCAGTCAGAGGAACTTCAATCGCTTCCTCCTCTGGCTCTGACACAAGAACGCCGTCCTGTGACAAGTCTGAGGAACCTGTGATTCCTCCACCTCCCACCAACCGGATGGTCGTGTCCAAAGAGGCATCAATGGAGTCCTCAGCGGAGACCATGACCGGAGACTCCTCATCTGATTTTGCAGAATCAGGTTTGTCACCCTCCGGTGGGTTGGCAGACGAGCTGGTTGGTGAAGGTGTAATAGTGGGCGTTGGCAACATCGGTGCAGGGTCCTCCAATAAATCAGACACAGCTGGTGCGGGAGGAGTGACCGAATCAGGAGAAGAAGTTAGAATTCGAGGGATAGGAGATGACGGAAGCGGCACGTTGACAGCCTGGCGAACCTCAGCCGGCGTAGTACGACCTGGAGAGACAGGAGATGTTTGAGGAGGAATGATGATCTCACGCATCACCATATCACCCCCTGCTTCCAAGTCCGGTTCTGCTAAAGGCGTCTCAGACTCAGAAGTGACAAGAATATCGTCAGCAGTGGGGAGGTCAAAGGGAGCAGGGGCAGGAGGTTTGGTAACAGAGATCGTCGGTATTGACTGTTTCGGAGCGGTCTCGCGATTCGTCGCGTTTCCAAGAGGTGTCGTCGATTCATCCTCAACTAGCACGGGAATGGGGACCTGAGCACCACTGCCATCTGGAAGGTTAACAACATTTGGTGCAATGTTCTCCGGCAACTGCATATAGTCAGCAACGGTATATATATTTTGGTCGTAAAGTGATAACTTACCTTGCCCTTGTCTGGTTGTGGCACAACTGGATCTGGAATGATGCCAGCTTCGTGCCACCTGCGGACGCTGCGGTCTGCCCATGCCTCCAAAACATTCCAACCCTTATACTCTCCTGCCAATTTCATACCGCCTGTACCACTGTCGCCTCCACTATTTCCCATACCCTTTCCGACACCGTCGTAGAAATAGCTCTCGTAACCAATTGAGTCTTCGCTTCCTTCACTGGTGCCATCCCCACCAATCTCGTATCCTTCTCCAGCTTCTAGGTCCTCCACAAATGAAGCAAGCCATTTTGCCCACCCACCAGGTCCATCTCCTCGCCAGATCACTACCTTAGTGTCAAAATCACGTCCAAAGACGATGACCTGCCCGACTGCACCACCTTCATCAGGGTTCATATCAATACCTAGATAGTTCCCAGCCTTATCCGCCACCAACGGAATCCAACCTCTTGATGAATACTCCCGTCTTACCCAACCAGGAGGTATTGACTGCATCATCTCCCTGAGTCTTGCATTTGCGCCAGTATTGGGATCATCATCCACTTCTCTCCAGAACCTCCATTCCTCCAGAACATCTTCCAGCGGCAAGAGTGTGAGACCGAAAAACAATCCTTCCGAGCAGCCCGCAGCAGATTCCGGTTCTTGACCATCAACGCACAGATAAGATTCCCGTACAGGTGCCGGCAATGCGAACCCGAAAGCCATTTCGACTTGTGCAAGGTCTTGAGGTAACATGCCAAAGTTGAGGGTATCGCCAAGCTCTGGGTATTCAGTGGAGAGCCATGAGCGTAACCGATTCCAAGTCTGTTCCAGGGGAGGGTATGGAGGAGTCCTCGGTGGGTTATGCAAGGGTAAAAGAGAGGACTCCCGGGAACGAGAATTGGAACTATTATATCGCGCATAGATGAGCCAGCTGTACATCAAAACGAAATACAATGCAGATGACGTACGGGTTGGGCACGTAGTCGTATGAACCTACAGGAGACGGCGGGGGATAGGAGTATGATGTCGGGCTGGAAAGAGTATGAGACTGTGCGGTATGGAGAGCAGAAGGACTGAAAGCATCCGGATGATGTGTCTGGCTGGGTGAAGACGTCGGGAGACTGAAGGCCTCATGTGTTGAGGACATGGCGGTCCTGGAATTTCGAGAGGTTTTGGATGAAGACGAGAAAAGACTGGTGAACCAGCTCATGACGGTCAAAGAAGAGAAGAGAACAGAGGCTGTTGAGCGCCCCAGGTACCCTCGATGATGCGCAGGGCGTCGATATGGAGCTCGTTTGTATTGTAAAGAACGGCTATTCTCGAGCCAGAGCTGGTTATGAAGCAGAAGCAAAACGAAAGGCGGCGAGGAGGCAGGAAACTCAGGAGGCGAGTGGATGCTGGTGGCAGCTGTGGATGAGCTTGGCTGGCTGAGGAGCCCAAACACCCGGCTCTGATTCAAGTCGACGGCGCCTGTTCGTTGTTGGCCTTCGCTTCCAGAAAATCTCAAGGAAAGCGACAAAAAAGCAAATGAAGAAATACGTATCCCATTCCACGGAACACTAGTGTGAATACTACAATACATAGTTTACCGTACAAAAATACATGCTAGTCAATCGAAGTAAATCCCGTTAGACTACTTGAATCGTCCAATTTTGTCGGGGACATGGAAGTCACAGGCAGTCTTGGCTCGCAACTCCTCCAACGTCACGCCCTCTGCCATATCCACCAAATGGAGCTCTCCAGCATCTCGGTCGACGTTGAATACCGCAAGGTCGGTAACGATCAGGCTGACAGCACGAGGACCAGTGAGAGGAAGTGAGCATTCCTGCACGATCTTTGGCGCGCCATCCTTCGAACAATGCTGCATGGTGACAATGACCTTGGTCTTATCAGGGCATGATACCAAGTCCATAGCACCGCCAATACCTGTGTTACGCAGATCAGCATGCAGGCTACATCCTCGGAGCGCGTCGATCACACTTACCCTTGACCAACTTGCCCGGAATCATGAAATTGGCAATGTCACCAGCTTGTGAAACTTGCATGGCCTGAAACCAACTGTCAGTACATCAACACTGAATGGGTGGTATCTTTACGTACACCAAGCACAGTAACATTGAGATGTCCACCACGGATCATGTTGAACGATTCAATGGAGTCTGAAGGCTGGTCAGCCAGGGCAAGCAATCCATTTACAAAAGTTACGTACCGAAGGTCGAAGCACCGGGAACCAATGTGGTAGTCTCCTTTCCAGCGTTAATGATATCACTATTGCAGTACAGGTCAGCGCTCAGAGCATAGAGAGTCAATGTATTAGATACTAACGCGTCAACTTGATCCTCCGTAGGGTAAGGACCCATGCCGAGGATACCGTTCTCGCTTTCCATCCAGACTTGCACGCCAGGCTCCAAGTGCTAGAAGATCAAAGCAATAGTGAGCCATCGGAGTACCGAAGGCTAAAGATATCAACATACCTCAGGAACAAGAGTGGGAATACCAACACCGAGGTTCACGTAATAACCATCCTTGATCTCCTTCGCAGCACGGCAAGCAATACGATGTCTCCAGTCCTGCTTGGCTTCTGCGAAGTGATCATGAGAGTGTTCGGTACCGGCTGCAGCACCTTTCGTCTTCTGGTCATCCTTGTTTTTGGCGAGTGCGACGACTTCGATAGACTTGGGTTCCGTAGCTTGGACAATCCTATCGACGAAGATACCGGGTACATGAATGTTGTTGGGCTCGAGACTTCCGACGGGACTACATGCGAGACACATCAGCATTGTACAATGTCGCAGGAAGGCAAATGCACTTACACAATGTGTTCAGCCTCGACGATAGTAAGTTTCGCATTCCTAGCCATGACCGCGTTATAGTTGTTTGCCGTGTAACGGAAGATCAAGTTTCCAGCTTCATCAGCTTTCCAAGCATGCACAAGAGCCACATCGCCTGCAACAGCAGGTTCCAGGATATACCGACGTCCGTCGAAAACTCGCGCGTCCTTCTTGTTACCAGGGATCTTAACGCCGTGTGCCGTACCTCCAGGGTTGTACTGAATGGGAATGCCACCAGTCTCTACTTTTGTGCCAGCACCGGTAGGGGTATAGATAGCAGGGTATCCTGCAGCGTGGGCATTCAACCGAGCGACAAGGGTACCTTGTGGAACAAGTTCAACGCCGATGTCACCCTTGAGGTAGGCAGCCTCGATGAATTTGTTTCTGTATTGGGAATAAGCAACACGGCGATTAGGAAGTGATGAAAGCAACATACCCTCCAAGATATGAGATCATGATCTTGTCAAGTTGTTTTGTCTTGATCAAGCGGACTGCAGACAAGTTAGCTCGATGTATGCGCATCAAACAGTAAAAATAAAAAAACATACCGAGACCATGTTCGAGTGCACCGGCATTATTCGAAACAGCAGTGAGGGCCTTGACCTCTGGTCGTCTGCTCAAAGCCTTAATCAAGGTCTCGGGGATACCACAAAGTCCAAAGCCTATACATCAAAAAAAAATAAGCAATAGAAGAAGGGTGAAACCGTTCCAGCAGAACTGACCTCCAGACAGAATCGTATCACCAGACTTCACGTCCTTGACCGCCTCATCCACAGATTGCCAAACCTTCGATATCTTGGGTATAGGGGCGTCGGAGACGACAGTGAAATATCGCTTCGCGGTGAACGTCACGCTAATGCGACATAGTGGCCGAGCGGCCCTAGCGAACATCATTGTGGACCAAGTCGAATGAGAGGAGTGTCAGTCGAAGGTAAGAACAAGAGATAGGAGGGATGCAGGAGGTAAGTCGACCTTAAAAGGCCGGGGAAGACTGGGGAAGGCTGGAGAAAGCGGAAAAGTGGTAAAGGATTAAGTCAGTGCGGAGAAGGAAGTATAAATATGAGCAAGAGCGGGTCATGACCATGACCAGGCCCAGGGAGGGTCCGCCAGCATACCGAAGCCAAGTGCGAGAACCAGTAAGAAACCGTCGACATACAACTGACCAGTAATCGTCAATATCGACGACATCCGGGCTGAACAGTTTCCTCCTACCACGCCGGATTCGGCCGACTTATTCCCGCATCTGGCGTCGGTCCGACGGTCATCGCCGGCGTTCGCCTTGGCTTTCATGTTCTTCCTGGGCATGTGTTCCTCAACTCTGGGCAGAATACAGTTCCGTACACATTCCGTAACATAAGAATTACATCCCACTGCGGGGCAAATGGGACATTGCGGGGTATTTCAAACTCGCTTCACATCTTCCCCAGATTGCTTGACACATCGAAATCAGAACCTGTCTTCGCCCTGACTTCTTCAAGCGTCACACCCTCAGCCAGCTCCGCCAGTTGCAATTTCCCCGCATTTCGATCGACGTTGAAGACAGCCAGCTCGGTAATAATCTGGCTGACCGCGCGAGCACCAGTCAGCGGTAGATTGCACTCAGACAGTATCTTCGGGCTGCCATCCTTGGCACAGTGCTCCATTACGACCAGGACCTTGGTCTTGTCTGGGTTAGATACGAGATCCATCGCACCACCGATACCTGCAGAAACCCACGATTAGCACATGCTTCGCCCGAGGTTGTTTCGATAACTTACCCTTGACCATCTTGCCTGGTATCATAAAATTCGCGATGTCTCCAGCTTGTGAAACTTGCATAGCCTATTCATAGATGAGTAGACGTCAAAATAGATTCGAAAGCGCAGCACATACACCAAGGATTGCGACATCAATGTGGCCACCACGAATCATGTCGAAGGATTCGGCGGAGTCTATAGAAGGCAGCCCCACTGTCAGGACGGTGTAAGTATAGCGAAGTTCCACATAACACACCAAACACAGATGCGCCAGGTAGGAACGTCACAGTCTCCTTTCCAGCATTGATGATGTCCCTAGTGAACGCATTCATGTCGACATAAGTACTGTAATGCATCTTGTAGGAAAATGACGTACGCATCAAGCTTGTCTCTCGTCGGGTATGGTCCCATGCCAAGGATGCCATTCTCACTCTGCAGCCAAACTCGGACGCCAGGTGCCAGGTACTAGGGGCGATAGTTAGCCAAGCCATTAGGTTACAAATGAATCCACATACCTCTGGTACCAGCGTGGGCATGCCAATACCAAGGTTCACGTAGAATCCGTCCTTAATTTCCTTCGCTGCTCGCCTGGCAATACGGTGTCTCTGCTCAATAGCAAACTTCTTCTCCGGACTGAGCTTACTCGTGTCCTCTTCGGAAGAAGCATCTGTCGCGACTGTTTCGAACTCTATATGTTTGGGTGCAGTCGCTCTTACGATTCGATCCACGTATATGCCAGGCAGGTGTATCGCGTTGGGGGAAATCGAGCCTACTGGAACGATATTCTCAGCCTCCACGATGGTCAATTTAGCGTTCCTCGCCATTGGTCCGGAGAAGTTGTTCGCGGTGTATCTACCCCAATAAGCTCAGCATACGCTACTCAATCGGGGAAGAACCTTGCTGAGTTCTTACCTGAACACGCAATTACCAACTTCATCGACTTTCCATGCACGAATAAACGCGACGTCTCCAGCAATCGCAGGTTCCCTTACGTATCGTCGACCATTGTGGTCCAGGGCATCCTTCCTGCTTCCTGGAATCGCAATTCCTGCCTTCAGACCGCCTGGCTTATATCTGATTGGTATTTCACCCTTCTCGACTGCGGTATGAGCACCAGTGGGTGTATAGAAGAATGGCATTCCGGCTGCTTGGGACCGAATACGCGCGACGAGCGTGCCTTGGGGTATCAACTCGAGGGAAATCTTTCCGTTGAGGTAAAGAGACTCGAAGTACTTGTTGCTTCGTAGTAGATTTGGTTGAAGCTAAGTGTGAAACACTGAATAAGATTACATACCCTCCAATGTAAGAGGCCATCATCTTGTCTATCTGACCGGTATGTAGCAGTTTACCTAAAGATTGTAGATCATGGGCCTTTCGGTTCTCAAATAGAGATGTGTTCTATACACACCAAGGCCTCTTTCACCCGCACCGGCATTATTTGATACAGCGGTCAAGTTGTTCACGTCCTTACGGTTAGCTAAAGCACCAACCAAGGTGTCTAGTGGTACATGGCTTGAGCGTCACGAACGACCAAGTACATGTTTGCGCTACTCACCTGGAGTCCCACACAGTCCGAAGCCTGTGAATAGTCATTACCTACTAACTCGCATGAATTCATCTGCGCATCAAATTGCGTACCTCCACTAAGCAACACATCTCCCGACTTCACGTCTTTGATAGCCTCTTCCACCGAATCCCAAACTTTCGACTTGTTGGGTATAGGCAACTCTGTGGGAGTACTGTAGCACCTGATCTTCAGTCTCAATACCGAGCCTGCAGCAGCTGGTCCAACATGACCATTCATAGATGATCGCCAGACCCGTAACTGCGTCTTCGCTGAGCGTTTGGTCGTGCTCAACATCTTTCTTTCGGGTTGGAGAGGCTATGAACGGAATTGGGGAGGAATAAAGTCTTCACAAGAGCATATGAGAGTGTAGAAATACTGATACGCAGATACGAATGCCACCGTGGTGAGCAACATATTCGCGGACCATGAGAAGGGTGTACGGGCCATGTGACGGATTTAGACATAAAACATACCGCTTTTGGTGCTTGCAGGTTCACGGTGATTATGGGCGTCTGTTTCAGCACCATCACTCGAATGAGCAAAACTTGAAGAATCGGTGAGTGAAAAATAAAGTCCTGTGCAACGCAACCTAAGTAGAAAAAGTCCGGATTGGTATTACATGTTGCGATATACTGAGTTGATATTCCAAGCTGTGGTGTAGCGACGTATCTATTTCCTTCTACCAGGACCCTTGGGACGTGCAAATGGTTTTTTCTCGTCTCCGTCGATCGCCAAAGGAATCGCAGAGGCAGCATCGTTAGAGTCCAACAGACCTAATTCAAGCTTGAGATACTCTTCAGTGAGCTCCTTCGGATCTGAAGTCTCGATCTTGCGCTCAAGGAGAGACGTAGCTCCAAGGACAGTCTTTGCGATATGAAAAGTGGAACGGGCACCAGAGGAGTATAGCATTCGGTTTCGCACAGCCGAAGAAGTGGGGCACGAATAGATGTACACTATATGAAGCGATCATAGTCAATACGCGCATATTGGTCTGAAGAGTATCTCATCCTGACCTATGTCACGCCGAGGTTCCGGAGTAATTGTATGCGGCCAAGCAAAGAAAGCGTAACCTATGTAGACATGAGATGCAGTAGCAAATGGATAAAGTCGCATAAAGACATACAAGGATCGGAAGGTGGAAGATAAGCACTAAGCTCGTGAACCGCGCACTCTATACTTGACGCAAATTGTAGGCACTCCGAGGAAGTGTCAACAGTCTTGAAAAGGTGATGTGAGCACCCTATAACATGAGGTTACCGTATAACATACGAGAATGACTAGACGGCTATCGTCTCCATCTTGGAGTGCCTTTACGGCATTGTCAGCTTCCTCAGTCCACTGGAACCCGACACGGTCTCCGATGTGAGATCGTTTCTCTCTGCTTGCTTCGTAACCTGCGCCTCCAGCTTCCCTCTCCGCAGCTTTCACTGCTTCAAGCTCTTTCTCTCTCGCGGTCAAGGGCTGGGGTGCGGCTAAGTGCGCTTTGTGTTTGCGGTACGCAGCTGCAGTCACATCATCCTTGCTCGTAGCAAAGAGACTGTCTGTGAAATGTGTAGAGCCGAGTGCTTTGGTAAGGTTGTTGCGAGTCGATGCGTAAAGCATCTATAACGACGGACTCTTAAGCAAAAGCAAGAGAATACAATATTTAAAAGCCTATACCTTATCCCTAACTTTCGCAGAGTCTGGTACGTAGGAAACAGCGAGCCACTCAGACGGAGGATCGTCCAACCTAACGAGGATGTATGCAGGTACGTTATCCTCGAGGATGTTGCCTAGCGTGTCTAGGTCTTCTTCCAATGTCCCTATTGGCGCAATGGAATCATCCGGAACCAGGCATTCTACGAGATGAGAGTAGCATGAGATACAAAGTTGGAACAGTTGAGGAGGAGGAATACAAGCAGAGACCATTGCGAATTGAAATCTTAAGGAACCTGACTGCTTTGGACTCCACTGCATCGCTGAAAGCCTGGGTCAAATCATTGGAGACTGTGATTCCACTCGTCGCAGACATGTTGCAAGATTGATAGATGTAAAGGTGAATAGAGGTCCTGCGTGAGGTGTATATATGCGATCAATAATACTCTGCCGATCGAGCCGTGGACTGTGGACAGATGGAAATGGACATGCACAGCGTAATGGGCGACCACGGTCGACAGCTCGCAGCATCTCTTCAACTTTCTCTGGTAACGTCTGCTTTGCTGGAAATCCCCACCCAAGCTAGTGGCACATTGTCCCCCGAAGCAGTCCGAACGTCTTGCTCTTCACTGTGCGCATGCAGAAGCATCGTGGACGATAACCCTGACGCTGGAACACGTACAACGGTTTATAATCTTTAGGCATGGAGGCGCCACCATATATTCCGTACCAAGCGTACAAGGTGCGTAAATCTATCATATGGATCCGAGCTAGATGGAGCTTGAAGCGATGCGCTTACACATGTTACAGTCCAAGAGACATTCCAAGACTCCATCAAACCAGTTCTTGACACCTAATGTCTCCCCTCCGCAGGCTCGACCAGCAGTAGTCCTCGGCAATGGGCATGTTTTCAGCGAACCCGTTGTACCACAGCACCGCGATGTCAACGGTGACACCGAGAAGGTAGATTCAGCAACGGATGCTCCCAACCGCTTGACGGAACGACCAGCGTCGGTGTTAGATGACCTAACTCGTTATGAACAAATTTCACCGTTATCCATCACTGTGACAGCTGTACCTGCAGAGTCTCGTTCGGTTACCGATTCTCCCCTATCACTCTCGCCACCAGTTGTGGCAAAGGATACCCCTTCATCTACGACATCATCGATACCTCCGTCACCTACAACATCTGAACGACCACAGATTAATGGCAAAGCACCAGAATCTATGAACAATTCTGCAGCATCTTCAAGTACATCTTCACCCGCAACCAGTCCAAGATCCAACCTCACGACACGCAAAGTTTCGACATTCCGCCATATTCCCCTTCGTCCTGTAAATGCCAGACCCCCGCAGCCGCCTTCCCCCTTACGACCTCCCGGGACCCATACGTATACAGCTTCTAATACCTCAACGTCAACTCGCCTGTTGGGAACGCCAGAACCACGGAGTCGGGTATCTTCCACTGCTTCAACACCTAACGAGCGAGTGTTATCTTCAATGCCTTCCATAGATCTACATCGACACCCTGCTGTTAGTACGTCTTTGGATTATGGCCTCAGAAGTTCGTCGCCAATTGTTCCTCCACCACGATCATCTTCTCTTGCTGCGCCCCCAGTTCCACCAAAGGCCGTCTCGCCCATACCAAGTCAGAGTTTAACTCCTGCGTCTGCGTTATCACCCTCTTCGTCATCAACATCGTTACCTATCTTACGGCAACAGCAGCGTTCCCCCGCGCCATACCGGCCGGGCTTCCAACCCCAAGGTGTACGCAGGCCACGTACCGATGACTTCTTGGAAGCTCGTAGGGCAAGTCGAGATAGCGGACGCATTGAACGAACTCGGCTAGAACGACGACTGGAGAAGTTGGTTAATCTTCATTTTCCCCATCCGAATAAACAGAAGGCCACAGAGCTGCAGACAAACGGACATCCTAGTCAACAGACTCGGCGACAGTCATCACTGTTTGATTTAACTTTCGAAGACCTGAGGAACAAGACTGTGAGTGACTTGTGGAAAGAGGCTATACAACCTTCAACTAGCGGAAAGATGGATGTCAGAGGTTGGCTGTGACGCATTTATCTATTTTTCATGCTGGATACTGATTTTGATTAGCTGCCGAACAAATTATCACTCCATGGGAGGAGGATGCAGCTGTTACTCTATGTCCATTATGCTCGTGAGTATTCATAACGTTCTCCTGGAGTATGTTCCATACAGGAAAGTAACCGTAGCATCACAGGGCGTCTTTTCATCCGCTCACAAACCGGAAACATCATTGTCGTCTTTGCGGAAGGATCATTTGTTCACTACCCGTGAAATACCCTCAGCGTCAACAGCCGTGTTCTCTCCTTTTCGTTGCAGATCCCATCACCGGAGCGATAGAGGAAGTTAAGGAAGGCGTGGATTATGGCGTCCGACGGCGTAATCCAAGCATTTCTCAAGGCAAAGGGAAGGGCAAGGAACTAGCACTAACTGACGAGGAAAAATTCCTCAAGGGGGTACGGATATGCAGAGATTGCCGTCCTGTCTTGCTGTAAGTCTTTTCGCTCCGTTCTTCTAAATTTCTACTCAACTGGAGATGTCAGTCGACGACAGTATCTACAGGAGGTTCATCATGTACCGATATTCTCGAAGTTGTACGATGTAAGTCTTTCGCTTCACAGCCTCGAGTTTGATCCTGAGAAACTTTGCACACAGGCCTTCATCTCCCTCGAAAAGGAGATTGAAGAGGCCTTACCGCAATTCCAGGAACTCGTGCTCAGCTTAAGGTATGGATTGTACTCTTTCCCATACGTGCTTGCAGCTCACCTTCAAATGAACATAGCAATGACGAACGACCATCTCCAGAGGCTTCAGCTGCCAGGAAACGATTGCTGGAAGCATTCGCTCAATATGACGCTCTTGCAAAGCGGATACGAAAGATTCCATCACCAGAGGGTCAAGGGAGTTCGCAAGACAGGGTCCAAACAGCTATCCTGTCCAGGGCAAACAACTTCCTACAGAAGAACATGTTCCCTCTCCAGGTTAGCACAAGTTCCGTGGCAACGACGCGAGCTCAATAGTTGATCCTTTTCATCAGGCACTGCCAAAGCCGAAAAGGCTAACATCTGACCAGGCTCCGAAGGCCGACGTTGAAGAACATTCACAAATGGTCGATCCCGATTCAGAGGTTGCACATGCACTACAGCCTCTACTGGAGCAGGAAGCTCTGCTGGAATCATTTGTTGAAGAAGCCAAGGCTCATAGGAAATTTGAGGATGTAAAGATCTTGAAGGCAAACCTTGCAGAGATTCGCGCAGAGATCGACAGGATCCTGGCGAACGCGGAAGACGGGGTTTCAGCGAGAGCTAAGCCAAAGTCATAGTGCTATCGTACTCGAGTCTACCTGAGACATGGAGTGATCATCATAAATGTCCTTGGATTTTTTGGGGGATGCTAGATAATGGTATTAATGCAAACGATGTGGACGACGATAGCTGGATGTGATAGTGATGTACGGATGGATAGATGGATCGGTAACGTCCAAAATGACATGGATGGTATGCTATATGATGATTAGTAGAGGGCGACAATAGATGAGGATAACTTAGATGCAAGTGAATGAATGAGAGTCAACCGGAGCCCGCAAAAGAAACATATGGATCGATACCATGCTATCCTGGCACGGCTTCCTCCCCGCTGCGACTTCTCAGAAGTCCGAAACGAGGAGGTGTAGGGATCCTAAAGCTTTGATGAGACAGTAGGGCACTACGTGGGGGTTCCCGATGAGGCCGGACGAGCTTGGAAGACGTTGGCGCTGTACTTCGACTACGTGACAAGTTTGCACCCAATTGTCCATCTTCTGGAATGACAGGCGGGGTAGATCGAGGTACTGAGACAGCGCTCACCATGTGAGAGTATGGTCTAGGAGTGGGAGCAGGTGAGAACGAGGAGACATGAAGGAGGATAACAAATTCTTGAGTGGCATTCGTGAGCGTAACCATATTCATTCGTAATTCATCGGGAAGATGTTGAGCGGTGCCGTGCGTCTTAACTGCGTTAGACAAGTGGATGACAGTCTAACGTACGACAGGTGAGCGTTATGATACACATCCATCTTGGAATGGGCGAGAATCATGCTTACCCTCACGAATACGTGTGCATCTTCGCGGAGATGATTTCTGTCTGCACTTGGATCTCCCGCTTCCAATGCTTGTATATTTATTCTCACAACTTCAGTGATCTCCTTAGCCTTTTGCAAGGACTCAGACAGTTCCTCTCTCAACTCCTCGATTTCGCCAAGGAGCCCGTCCATCATCTCCCAGACGGAAGGGGCGGCCTCGACAGCTACTTTCACGGCTTCAATAGCTTGCTTATCCATTAGAGTGTTGGTACTTGACGCCTGATCTGCCATCGGTGGCTTCAACGACGGCGAGGACATGGATGCCACCAGCGAACTAGAAGACCCCTCACGTGAATGTGAATCCCACCGCGCAGGTAAGATCGAGGACGGCACTGGCCCAACAAAATGCGTCACCGGTGTGGACCCTGCAGATTGGGGCATCCGCCGTGAGGCCCTTAGGGTAGGGGTGGAAGACGTCTCTGCAACTCCTGCGGAGAGGTGGGGAGCCCCTACGAACGATGGTAGCATTCTGCCAATCTGTACATCTTTCAAGCTGAATGAGCCCGCATGTCGACGAGAGATACGTTTTTCTAGATCGCCTGTATCATGTCCTGAATTTGACCGTAGCAAAGGCCGGAACTGAAGGCCATGAGAGCCAGATGGCATGCTGAGGGCGGCCGGAGCCGTTGCTGGCGGCGATAGGACATTCTCAACGGGAGAGACAGTAGTCGTGCGAATAGTGGGTGTCGGCGCAACATACGACTTGGATACGGGCGGTGGGCGATGGTCCTGCAACAAAGGTTTGACAACTTCGATTTCACTAGTGATCGTCTGCCAAGAACTTGCTATCTCTGCCATGGCTCCATATAGGACGAGAAGCATCTGCCTCGTGTAACGCACATCATCATGCGTAGCAAGCACTTTCAACTGCAGGGATAACATGCCAATTGCCTTGCCGAAGACAGTGACGTTATCCCTGCAACTTTCGACTACAGCTCTACAGAGTGCAGGAGAGGGAAGTGTTCTTCTACAAGTTGTATCGAATCGATCCAGAGCGTCTATGAGTTGATGCATATACATGCTTGCCGGATCCAACACTTTGAGGAGAACAGCTGAAAGTCTCTCATCGATAGCGTATACAGTATAGTGTTGTAACGTTTGATAAATTTGCGAGACGGCAAAGAGGATCCCTCGAATAGCATCCACAAGCTTCAAAAGAGACGCTGGGACGGACTTATAGAGGGGTGTAGAAGTTAGAGTTGATAATCGACGGAAGTATGAATTTCTCTCGACGTCCATAGGTGGTGCCGGCCTGTCTGTCGAGATTGGCGATGCACTGACGGTGTCCTGCGCAAGAATTCTCGTGCGAGTGTGATTCGAAACGGACCCATTGGACGAACCAGACTCTTGACGAAAAGGAGGTGAGGGAATCGGACCGGCCGGAAGAGGCACTTGACTATTAAGACCTGGATACTTTTCAGGCAGTGTGGGCGACCTAAGTTCAGGTAGACTCTTGGCACCAATACGCTTTGCGGTGTCATGGGACGCAAAGGCTGAGGAGGCTCTTAGGTGCCATGATAACTTCCCTCGACGTGTACGATTAGTGTTGGTGGTTTCGTCGTCAGTGGATGGGATGGATTCATCCGGAGTAGGAAGATATGTTCCTGGTGACCGCACCGGAGATGCGTTGGCGCTGAGACTGCGAGGAATGACGGGAACATCAAGTCGAAGCCTTGAGGGTCCTGGAGAATGAGAAGCTTTTCGTTTGGGAGGCGCATGAAGGTTCGCCATATCAGAATATATTGATACATCCGACTCCAAAGAGAAGGAGCGAATATGAAGCGCCGAGTCTATGTTGGTTTGGCTCCCGTCTCTTTCCTGCAAAAACGGAGAGTTACCCTGAAAGTCATCGCTTCAAGAACGAGCTTAGTAGGAATTACGCGGGAAGAGAATAATTGAGGGAACATACAGAGGCTGATCATTCTCGTAGTCCAACGAAGATTGCTCAGTAACTACCGAGTCATCACTCTGTTTTCTTTCCATGGAGCCATTGTCTTCCATCCATTTTTGGACATTCGATATCCACCCTTTCATGGCAGCACCCTCTACGACGGAAGGCGCTTCCATTACTGACTTAGGAGGCCACTCAATTGGGTTCTGCTCCGCTCTGAATAGAGCCAAATTACGAAATTGTGTAAAATAGGCAGGCAATCTGTGAATCCCGTTGCGCGTGATTGAAAATATCTAAAGATAGCAAACATGTAAATATGTCTCATAGAATGCTGAAGAACTTGACACGTACCCGTAAGTTGATGAGAGAACCAGGTTGTGACGGTAAGCGTTTGATCTTGTTACGGCTGATATCCAGTATCTCCAATGAAGGCATTATCGTCAACTGAAAAAAGATACATTAACGCAGATTCAAAGATGCAACATCAACACGAGACCTACAACATCAGGGAACACAGTAAAGTTGTTATTCTTGAGTACAAGGTAACGTAGACGTGAAAGTAGCGCAAATGCCATAGGCAAGGTGGTCAAGCGATTATGAGCCAAGGTAATCCTGCGAGAACGTGCTCTTCTAGCTTTGGATAAAGACCGGGAAGCGGTATTATGACATACCTTGCGACTGTACTGTCAGGCTCCTCGTCAGTCTCTCGAACAACGGTTGCCAATTCCTCCGCGCCATCTTCCCCCACGTCAGTCAGATTCTTGCGAGTCAAATCGAGCGTTGCGCCGGTGTCGGGAGACTTGGCGAGAGCTTCAGTAATATGGTCGCGACTAAGTGAGACAGAAGGCAATGGGCCCGGTGATAGTACACCATTTGTGGCCGCTAATATTCGACCAGTCACAGATTCGGCATCCGTAGAGGTCATCAATCCGAGATTCCTTGTGCAGGCTAGGGTTCAGACGACAATAAAGCCCTGAAGAGAATGTTATGGACGGCGAGCACAACGACCAGCCACAGCCTGTGTACCAGGCTCGAACCGCGGGATGGTTCACCACAACTGTCACGCTGTGACACTGATCGGACTCGCTGCTTGAGCCTCGCGGCCAAACCTTGCTTCTTCCCTTCATCCTTAAAACCAAAAGAGGGCAACGAACTATCAAGCAATATCTCCGCTAAATTCTGTGGAACGACTTTCAGAATCGGAATGGCAAATGCCAACGCTTTCGCTGGACAGTGGTCGGCACTCCCTACTTCGTTAACACCATGGATGTATGTATGCCAGTCCCTTGGGGTGTCCTTTCTAACGATAGTATTTGTGCAGTTTGGATGTCATCCAGTGCATGGGTCATACTCAAATGACACCCGTACAAGCTTCCACGATTCCATTGTTTTTACAGAATAAGGACGTGGTAGTAGAAGCCGTCACTGGATCTGGAAAGACCCTCGCATTCGTGATACCGGTACTGGAAAAACTCATCAGGAGGGAGAGTAAACTTAGGAAGAACGAAATTGGGGCGTTAGTTATTTCCCCTACGAGGTGAGACTTTGTTTGCTTTGCCAGGCAATCAATCTCAGTCGCAAAATCAGGGAACTTGCCAACCAAATACATTCTGTCTTCAACCTCTTCCTATCCTCTCAGCCTTCCCTATCAAGGTCATCATCACCTACCTCTGATGATAATGAACTAAACCGAGAGTACCCGGAACCTCTGCTGCTCGTATCCTCTGACGATTCGCCCGCAGAAGATATACAGCGATTCCTCTCAACTGGTGCAGATATTGTCATTGGGACACCAGGTCGTGTGGAGGAGTTCCTTCTTGGAAAGGGAAAGGACGTGGTCAATGTCAAGGAGCTGGAAGTGCTGGTGCTTGACGAAGCTGATCGGTCCGTACGTTTAGTTTGTTTCGGCCATACCTTACTGGATTTTTATACATCACACAGACTACTTGACTTGGGGTTTCAAACCGCATTGACTCGTATACTCCGCCATTTGCCTAAGCAAAGACGGACTGGTTTGTTCAGTGCAACCATGACCGATGCAGACGCAATTTCGGAACTCGTCCGTGTAGGTTTGCGAAATCCTGCTCGCGTAGTTGTCAAAGTACAAACCAAAAAGTCAAGAAAGGGGAAAGAGGTCGATAAGTCGTTTGGGGGCGATATTATTGAAGAGCGTCGAATACCGGCGAAGTTGGTGTTGATCATATTGTTGTACGCAACAACAGATTCTGACATTTGCCCTTCAGCTTGCAGAACTATTATATGTCATGTCAAGTTTCTGAGAAGCTGATCCAGCTAAGCCGTGTCATTCGACATGAGACGTCGACTCAAGATTCCTCTCGCTTCATCGTATATTTTGCGACATGCGCATGCGTTGACTACTTCTACCGCGTACTTCCTCTTCTGCTCCCAAGTGAATCTACACTATACTCCCTTCATGGACATCTTCAACCCGGGACTAGAACTCGAACACTCGCCTCCTTTACCAACTCTGTCTGCACACCGTCGTCTCCCTCGATCCTGCTGGCTACTGATGTCGCTGCCAGAGGACTTGACTTACCTGACGTAGATGTGGTAGTGCAGTTTGACCCGCCGTCCGATCCCAAGGCTTTTTCGCATCGTTGTGGACGGACCGCACGTGCTGGCCGTAGTGGTCGTGCTTGGGCGATGCTCGTTGGTAGAGAGCGCGACTATGTTGGTAGGTGCCATAACCGTTTTCTGGCGCCTAATCTAATGGCCAATGTCGCAGACTTCATGGCTGTCAGGAAGATTCCCTTGAAGGAACGGCAATCGTTTTCAAAGGATGGCTCATCGAAAGACGAGGACGACGTAGACGACGTGGAGGTGAACGCTGTATTGGCGAAAATCAGGTCTATGTTACTCACGGATCGGTCAATGCACGATAAAGTGAAGTCCTTTCTAGTTCTGTTGGACGACTGTCTAACCCATCACTCCGTATCAGGCAGTAAGAGCATTTGTCTCTTTCGTTAGGGCATACTCCAAACATGAAGCCTCCTACATATTTCGATTGACGGACCTTGATCTCGTTGGTCTTGCGAAATGTTTTGGTCTCCTGCGGCTACCTCGCATGCCTGAACTACGAAACGTTGACATTTCTGACTGGCAGGACGCTGACGTCGATGTAAGTTTTCGGTCAGACTTGTGTAAAATTGTATGCTAATTCTTCATAGTGGGACAATTACGCCTACACCGATAAGGCCCGCGAAGCCAAGCGACTAGCGGAAGCTAAGAAGCAAAAAACCATCGGCGATGCTGAAAGAGCGAAGCGCAAAGCCTTGCGAGCCGAGAAAAGGGCAGCAACCGCTGCTTGGAGTAGTAAAGTGGTGAAGAAAGAAGAGAAGGAGAAACGAAGGGAAAAGAAGGATCGGAAGCGGAAATGGCTCAAGACCCAACTGGATACTCAAAATGATGATATGGTCGACACTAACAATAACGCGGCAGAGGATGAAGATGAGTGGGAGGACCTGGCCAGAGAGGAACGGATGGCAAAAAAGCTTAGGCGAGGGGATATTAGTCAGGGCGAGTTTGACACGGAGTTCTCTGGCTTGTAGTGTGTAAGATCTCCTCCTGCGTATCAATGCTTTTCTACGCCGTTTCGTACTTAGACTGAGCCTGAGCAACTTCGATCAATGAGCGCTAAAATTATATAACTGAATCCCTTGACCTCAATTTGTGCCACTTACACTTTGCTCTCGACATTACGATCACATTTGTTCTACCTTGGCATTCATGCTTCCTAGAAAATGTTTCGTGCGTTGTCATTATCTTTACTTTCCGAAATCCTTCAATGAAATGTTATGCAGTGGTATTACGAGGATGGGCTACCTCGTAGACAAACATCCGGCGTGGTGGGGTGCAATCGCAAGAAATGCCCCTTCATACACCCTACTGATCACAGGTGGAGATCAGCTGGTAACAGTAGACCTCCCCCCGCCGGGTCGACCATTCCAACACTAGATCAAGATGTCCGTCAGAGGCACCCTTCCGGTTCGGGCCCTTCCCTAGTCGAACGACTCCAGGGCGAAGGTCTTTCAAAGTCTGTTCCACTTCAGAGAGGGCGTTCCAGCTCTAAGGAATCCCCACGCAGCTCTCGTGAACATGTTACAGAGCGTTCACCGTCTCGATCGACAGCGTCTATGGACGGCATGGAACATCCACCATATTCTCGTTCTTACAACGCGCCAGTTTTAACGAGACGAACAAGTTGGTCTCGACCAACACCACCTCCCGGCTCTATGCCCCCGCCACCCGCCGCCACCCACAAATCGACGAAGGCCGAGCCATCACATGCAGAGAAGTTGGAGGCTTGGGTTGAGCGGATTAAGTCGGTTGAGATCTATTGATGCTGTATGGATCAACACTTATGTCTTGTCTGTTCAGACTCATGTCAGAGGCTGTATCTCTCCGCACCGAACACCTCGAGATGGAGAAGGAGCTGCAGAGCTACCAGCGACTAGCGTCATTATGGCGGTTTTCAGAGGTTTCGCCTGACGAACGTGCGAAATTCGATTCCCAGATTACTGCTCTGGAGCACAAATGCGAAGCCAAGAAGAAGGAGCTCAATGCCATAGTTTTTCGGTTGGTAGATACCGACTTCTGGCCTGTGGTCCCGAATGCTGGAGACAATGCGTCTCTTCAAAAGCAAGAGATCCAGGCCAACATACAGCAGCTCAGGAACAATATTCAAGAGCTATATGGTATCCTACGTGCAGTGGATTCAAAGAATGCTGTCCCACCATTACCCGTTAAACAAGAACCTGAAGATGTGCACCCAGCGAAACGGCCCCGCCTGATGCGGCCTCAGTCACCAGTGCCATTTCCCCCCATGCCATCCTCTTCCAGTATACCCTCCTCTTCCAGTACTCTCACCTCTGGTCTCAGCCAACTGGACCTCAAAGAGGTGGAAGCTGTTAAAGAACACCTTCTCAAGTTGGAGGAGAGGCTCTGTGACTTGGAGGACAACATGGTTCACCATGATAATGACCTATTCATGGAGATGGAGGATAAGATCAACATGAAGATTGAAGAATTGGAAACACCCAATTTAATACCCAACAGATCTTCGAAATCTGATTCAGGGGTGGCTGGGCTGACCTCATATGCATCAGAGAAACTTCATACCCTGGAGCATGGTCTTCATAAGACAGAAGAAGAAGTTGGTGTGGTGATAGAGGAGGTTGCAAATATCATTTCAGGCAGCAATGAAACCCAGGCTAACTTGGATGCATTGAGACAAGAGAATGCACAGCTTAGAGAGCAGGTTCAACTGGTAAGCCAGGGGTCACTATCAATGGTTTAGATCTGATTGTTTGCAATCTCAGCTACAACAAATGCAAGAGGATAGCAAAAAGGCCATTGAAAGAAATCAGGCAGAACTGAAGTCATTAAGTGCTGCAGTTTCTGCCTATCTTTCAAGGTCTGCTGAAACTCCAAGTGCACCATCACTACCATCTAAAGAGGAGTTAATGTTCTCATCATATCCTATCATTCTTCAAGCCATCCAAGAAGACCTTAAACCCACAATTGCAGAATTACAAAACCACATTCAGAATATGCTCCAAGCACATAGTGAAGAGCTCTCTACAACAGTTATGTCAAAGTTATCCATGACCTTGAAGACTGTGGAGACATTTTCTGCATGGTTGGAGAATGGCAAGCAGAATGGAGTTAATGGACATACCAAACCTGATATACCACATACTATGCAGCATAAACAACCTGCTGGCTAAGCATGCATGGTTGGATCTTCTGGTTGTTGTATTCCATTGTGCATTATTGCTGTTCTTGCTGTTCTTGTTGTCATGCATTGGACTTGTTTGTAAGTTGTCTTTAGAATGTTTCTATTTATTTACAAAGTGTACTCATGCAATGTTATTGCTTAGTTCTCAAGATACCATATCATATTCAATTGTAGAGATGCATACACAAATTTCAGTCTAATCTTTGAAATTGTGATTTTTTCACTCTGTCACTTCTTATATTCACTTTGAGATTTACATATTAATAATTTCATCAGTTGTCCTCATAGCACTATGTATTAATCCTTATTGATGATTGTCCTTAAAACCTGCATATACTCCATTAATCATTGGGGGATAGAAAGATCTTTCAATAGAACAATGTACATAAAGAAATTCAGCAAAACAGATCTGTAACTTTAGCAAAAACATAGTCTGTAAAAATTGTCTATAATGGTTGGAAGGCAGAACTTGCAGAATCATACAATATGACCTCTACTCAAGTTATAAGTCCTTCTAGTTCCATGACGTAAATATTAAAGTATACTGTATATCTCCTTGGATTACAGCTTGAATTGTTACAAAAGTTCACAATTCACCTCTGAGCGCCAATAATGTATGTGTAGCGTCAATCGCGGCCTGCGTAGATCCCGGTCTGCATAAGGCCAGACTATAACTGCTCACTGGTTCGATAACGATTCTCATCCTCTTTAATTAACCAGACGGTATAATCCAACTCATAATGACAGAAACGATCCTAGAGGTCCATAACATTGGGGTATACCAAGCACCAGGGCAACCTATAATCACGGATGTCAACTTCGAAGTACGTGAAGGTGATATCGTTATTCTGCAGGGTAAGAGCGGAGCGGGGTACGTTGAAGTTAACCTGATACCAATTCGTAGAGATAACAACACACATAACTCTATTTCAGAAAGTCGACGTTATTGAAAGCGTTGGCGCATCTAACCCTGTACGAGGGTGAGATCGACTACAGAGGAAAGTACGTGGTACCTGCCCCATTGTCGCGGTCCTCACCTAAACAACCACCACCACATTTACAGGACACCCCAGTCATATGGTATCCCAAACTACCGTACACGCGTTCTCTACGTTCCCCAACGTCCGTCCCTTCTCCCCGGAACGCCACGAGAGTTCCTGAAAGTCGTCACCGGCTTCAAATCGCACAAGTCTCAACATACACTAGACATCCACGAACCTATACGTGTCGGAAAGGCCTGGGGAATTGAAGAGGAGCTGTGGGACCGTAATTGGTCGAACCTGAGCGGAGGCGAGAGCCAGAGAGTCGCGTTGGCTATTGCGGTCGGGATGCGGACAGCTGAGATCCTGCTATTAGACGGTATGTCAGTTATCAATAGAGGAAGCGTAACGTTCTCAATAATTACTCCCCTACTGTATTTGTTAGAACCGACCTCCGCTCTGGATGCACAAACGTCTATCACCGTGGAGAATTACCTGACGCAGTTGACGAAATCACCCGACAGCAACCTCAAAGCGGCCGTCTGGATCACGCATTCACCAGATCAAAGTAAACGAGTCGGTACTCGATTTTTGCGCATAGCGGACGGAACCCTTCGCGAGGAGAGTTCTTATGTATGACCCATGTTATGACTTTGTTGCATTTAACATTGTAAAATAGAGATATAATGAATTATCGGCAGAAATTCCGAGTTGAGGACCCTTAGCTCAATCGGTAGAGCATTGTACTTATGTGGATAACGTCATGCAGGGGTCCCGAGTTCGATTCTCGGAGGGTCCATTCTTTTTAGTTTCGCTCAACTGCGCAGTTCTCATTTTGCTCAGTACAAGATAAAGCATGAAAACAACATGATAGCAATGATGTATATACCGAATGCACACCAGATGACAATACTAGTGTGCTATAATAATGTCTTCTCTCTAATGTCCTGAGAGATGAAGTGCGTGAGCTGGCATGACAACAGGGGGGATGAGCAGTGCGATATGCATATAACATGCAATTAGGTCTACGGATATATACAATACTTAGCGACGGATCACTGAGGGGGGAAAGGCATGCCAGCGGGAGTCATGCCCATCTCCTCGGGGGTCAACGACGAGCTCTCGATCATCACACCGACGCCGACCTTAGCAGCGTTCTACATAAGAAATACGATAAGTCAGACACAAAGTATTCGGTAGTAGAAAGAAAGCAGACGTACCTTGAAGTGGTCGATCTCCCCCGAGACCATGAATGAGAACGTAGGTGCGAAACGCTGCTCAAGCAACGCCGACACCTTACCCGTCGAATCCAGCTGAGCCCTGAAAGTCGACATCCTCAAATCATACTTGGCGCCCAATGTTGCGATTGCATCTCTCCTCGTAGCTCCAGCGATCATTTGCAAATCAGCAGCTACCTCGATCTTCTCGCTCAGTTTTTGCCAATACGTTGCCTGCAAGACGCCCCCAGATTGCGCTTGCGCGGTAGCAATCCAGTTCTTATCTGAGCTGGTGTACTTGGCCAAGTACGAGAGGCCAACCTCGGACATCGTAGGGTCTGGTCGTTGGTAGACGGACTCGACACCTAAGGCGAGGTTTTTTGTGATGGATTGGAGGATGCCACCGATGTAGATACCGCTCCAGTCGGCTGGGTGGGGGTTAATGGCTTTGAAGTTGAGCGTGTAATCCCGACCCTGGTAGTCGTGTTCAAATTGGAGCATACTGTGGCCAACTTGCGATGAGATCTGTCAAGGAGAGAGGTTAGATTACATTGGGCGAAATCAAAGATGCTGAATCGCACCTGGCCTTGAACCTTCGTCACGTTGTTCTCAGTCCAGCCCTGGTTCGCTCGCAAGTTGAGATTGCCCTCATTGTCCATACCTCCTTGAAGGAAGACCTATGACGTGGAGTTAGTAAAGCGATATTGACTAGTAAGCAATAACGTACATTGTTGTTTGCAAAGACAGCTCCAAAGTTGTATGACGGTGGTTGTGTTTGCGAGCCCAAAGCAAAGGAGTGTGTCACCTGGAAAGCCGGGTTCGCAGACAACGCCTTTGTCAAATCAGCACGTCCTCCATCGAAAAAGAAGTTTGTCAAGTGGGTAGCTATATTCCAACGTCACCAAATCATCAGAGTTGGACTCTACGTGGAACACGTACACTTGACTTCTTTTGTGAGGTTCTCGATAGTGCCAGGGTTAGGCAGGTCAAGGGACTTGCGCCATGTCGAGAAACGGTTGTAAAGGTTGGAGAATGATGAGCCCGTTGACAAGACAGGAAAAGGGGAGGACGAGGAGGACGCCTCAGGTTTTAGAGGGGATGGCTCAGACATGACGGTCGACGACGATGGCCGCGCGCTTCTTTCCATAATTGCCCAAATTTTGGGAATGCCAAACCGGGGAACCTCCGTGCCCGCCCGTTGCGCCGGCCGACGACGCGTCGTCAAAGTAAGCGTCGAGCTGCTACAAAAGTTACAGTTGTATTTTCAACGTTCAACGCTCAGCATCTGCTTACGGATACAGTATGGAATGTAAAGCAAGTAGTTCATTACACTTATAGAAGCGGTATTACACAACGCGACGAAATAATATCGGGGCTCGAAGCACGAACGCGTCGTTACTGAGCCTAATGATCTACGTACGGTAGCAAAATGCACAAATATCGCAACATCCGGAATATGAAAGGACAAAGGGAGATCTCACACGTACGATGCCGTACAAGGATACCAGATGGCTCAGGAACGAGATGCACACATCGAAGCATGGACATGAGCTCTATATCGATGTAGAGCGTTTGACCTACTGATGTGCGTGAAGCACGATTCATGACCATGAACTGATAACAACGATAGAACCACCGGCGACGAGGACGATCCCTGACATCGTGTCAGACATGCAGAAGATTGGCATTGACCGCATACAGTCAGATCCGACACACAAAGAGCTTTGGACAACGCGCAAGATTATCAGCCTGGCCAGCTTTTGAACACTCTCGACGCTGTTTGCAGTGACGAAGAGGGCCCCAGGCACGGGGAGGAAAACAGGAGAAGGCGAGAGAGCCAGAGAGAGGCTAGGAGAGGCTTCGTCGGGGTGGGCGTCTGTCTCACGTGGTATGATGTGATGGAGGGAAGAGGCTCGAAATAGGCAGAAGGTGCTGGAACTCGACCGAATACAGCAAGCATATAAAGCCCAACTCCCCAGCCATGCCTCCCCACAAAGCTTGTTTGTTACCATCTTTCACGCTCTTACGACTATCTCTTTTCTACTTTCTTATATTCCCCTTTCATCGACATGTCCAAAGCAGTCGGTATTGACTTGGGCACCACCTACTCGTAAGTACTTTGTCAGCGATTTCACCCGATCTCTTTCTAACATCGTTTCCACAGTTGTGTCGGTGTCTGGCAAAATGATCGTGTAGAAATCATCGCCAACGACCAGGGTAACCGAACAACCCCTTCGTATGTCGCTTTCTGCGACAACGAGCGGTTAATCGGTGACGCTGCCAAGAATCAAGTCGCCATGAACCCGCACAACACTGTCTTCGACGCAAAGCGTCTCATCGGTCGCAAGTTCGATGACGCTGAGGTGCAGGCTGATATCAAGCACTTCCCCTTTGAGGTCTTCAACAAGGGCGGCAAGCCTTACATTCGGGTTACCTACCGTGGCGAGAAGAAGGAATTCGTAAGTAACAATCGTAATTGATATCGTCATCAAGACACTAACATTTCGTCTTAGTCACCTGAAGAAATTTCTTCTATGGTCCTCACCAAAATGAAGGAGACTGCGGAGTCGTATCTCGGAACAACCGTCACCAACGCTGTTGTCACCGTCCCGGCATACTTCAACGATTCACAACGTCAAGCCACGAAAGACGCCGGTGTCATTGCTGGTCTTAATGTCCTCCGTATCATCAACGAGCCTACCGCCGCTGCCATTGCCTACGGTCTTGATAAGAAGACCACCGGCGAGCGCAACGTTCTCATCTTCGATCTCGGAGGAGGAACCTTCGATGTCTCTCTTTTGACCATTGAAGAGGGTATCTTTGAGGTCAAGGCCACTGCTGGTGATACTCATCTTGGTGGTGAGGATTTCGATAACCGTCTTGTCAACCACTTCGTCCAGGAGTTCAAGCGTAAACACAAGAAGGGTAAGTCGAATCTACTTTGTTTCAGTAGCGATGAACTTGAAACTTATTCTGTCTTTTTGTAGATATCTCATCCAACCCTCGTGCACTCCGTCGACTCCGTACCGCTTGCGAGCGTGCCAAGCGTACCCTCTCGTCCGCTACCCAAACCACTCTCGAAATCGACTCTCTCTTCGAGGGTATCGACTTCTATACTTCCCTCACCCGTGCTCGTTTCGAGGAGCTCTGCCAGGATCTCTTCCGTTCGACTCTCGAGCCCGTCGAGAAGGTCCTTCGCGACTCCAAGATCGACAAGGCCAACGTTCACGAGATCGTCCTTGTCGGTGGTTCGACCCGTATTCCCCGTATCGTCAAGCTTGTCTCCGACTTTTTCAACGGCAAGGAGCCCTGCAAGTCCATCAACCCCGATGAGGCTGTCGCTTATGGTGCGGCCGTCCAGGCTGCTATCCTCACTGGTGACACTTCTGAGAAGACTCAGGATCTCCTGCTCCTCGATGTTGCTCCTCTGTCGCTCGGTATCGAGACCGCTGGTGGAGTCATGACCGCGCTCATCAAGCGTAACACCACCGTGCCGACGAAGAAGTCCGAGATCTTCTCGACGTACTCAGATAACCAGCCTGGTGTGCTCATCCAGGTCTACGAGGGTGAACGTGCACGTACGAAGGACAACAACCTTCTCGGCAAGTTCGAGCTCTCTGGCATTCCTCCCGCTCCCCGTGGTGTTCCACAAATTGAGGTCACTTTCGATATCGACGCCAACGGTATCCTCAACGTCTCCGCTTCGGATAAGACCACCGGAAAGTCGAACCGTATCACCATTACCAACGACAAGGGTCGTCTCTCGAAGGAGGAGATCGAGCGTATGGTCCAGGAGGCCGAGAAGTACAAGGCTGAGGACGAGGCTGCTGCTGCTCGTATCACTGCCAAGAATGCTCTCGAGTCCTATGCTTACAACCTGCGTAACTCGCTCACTGACGAGAAGCTCGCTGACAAGTTCGACCCGGCCGATAAGACAAAACTTCAAACCTCTGTCGACGAGGTCATCCACTGGCTTGACGCCTCACAAGAGGCTTCCAAGGAGGAGTACGAGGAGAGGCAGAAGGAACTCGAGGCTACCGCCAACCCGATCATGCAGAAACTGTACGCTGGTGCGGGGGGAGGTGCTGCAGGCGGATTCCCCGGCGGCGCACCAGGAGGCTTCCCCGGAGGTGCTGCACCAGGCGGTGGTGAGGAGGGCCCTAGCGTCGAGGAGGTCGACTAAACGATTAGAACTTCTTGATGCTTTCTCCTCCTTGTTGCTTGTTGCTGTTCTCTGCTCTCGTCTCGCGCGCCAGTTTGGTAGTATGTAGTGCACTGTTGCGGTAAAATAATCACCATCTTGTACATTACAAGCATTTTTTTTTCCCTTAGTTTATACACTTTACAACATCGCTCTCGAATCTCGAACTTGCCCTGCGTGTGATATGTTGGAAGACTCTCACTGATGTTAGAGTTTTGGCGAACAACGCATGGACTGGATTTGCAACACGATAAGAACGAGATCTTCTTTTGTCCAAGTTACTAACAACGACAAGTTTATCTCACAAACATGTATATTCCTACAGTCCCATACCAACTCAAGCCGGCGTGGTCGCGTTCGCCTTGAGGACACCAGCAAGGACGCTTCCACCTGCCACAGGACGAGTCAACTTGTTTGCACCTGAATTCAAACGTCCATATCAGCATTGCCCCCACAATACGAGATAACATTGACAACTCACCAGTCTTGACATTGAACTGGGCACTGGCGAAACTATCCAGGTTCGGATTACCTGTTCATGGTGGATAATCAATGAGCGATGCCAAAAGTCGATCCTTCACAAATAAGAAAGTTAATACGCACTGACGTTTCTCATGGCAAAGTATGTAGCATTAATTTGGTGAGGGTCGATCGTTAACGTGAAGAACCCGCGGTACGAGCCTTCGCTCCATTGAAGGTCCGTATTGATCCCAACTAGAGTCTGCGAAATCGCGTCTGCGGCTTCTGGGCTGATCCCAGATCCGAAGGCAGATGTGGATGTGACGGCCGTTCCTGCGAACTCGACGCCGATGGCACCTTTGCCAGAGATGGGGTCGTAGCTATGAAAGAGAGGAAGGTGAATATGACGGGTGAAGTGGATTACTGCAGGGTGGACTGACGTTGTGGTATCGTTGGGGTCTTTGATGACGATGCACGGTCAGAACCACTCCAGAGCCAATATCTGAACTTGAGTACTTACGAGCAAGGTCGGACACCCAGTTAGCGTGACTATCGCCTGAGAGGATGAGCGTGTTGTCGATTCTGTTGTTGTACAAATGATCGAGAATGCGATTGCGATTCGCTCGGTATCCGTCCCATGCATCCTAGGAAACATGAGCGATGAATCCCGCGCTTCACAAACCATCATATTGTGTACTTACCACGTCGACTATCAATATAATTAGAGTGAGTGACCAACAAAGAATATAAGGTAACAAGCTTACATTTGCCATTTCTCTCCAATTGAGTGAAGACGATTTGTTGGCTATGGAAATTGCTGAATGGAAACGTGAAGGAGCATACTATGGAACGCACCCGACAACACGCCAGACGGCGCCGCGAGCTTTAGACTTTGTAAGCGTATCGCGGAACCCTGTAGATGAGAGGTCAAATGAAGGTCAATAATCAAGATGAAGATGAGAACGCACATTTCTCTTGGGCTGCACCCATAAGGGACCGGTTCTGAACGTCGGCGATCGAGTTGATAACTGTGGGTAGTGTATGAGCTACTTATTAACCGTAAAAGACGCGTCTAGAAGACTTACATGCTACAAGAACGAAGTTTACGTTAGTCGTGAATCACAAAACGCGCAATCAAGAATATTCTCATACGGGTATTGTAGTAGAGCTAGAGGTGACGCCGCCGAATGAGCAAGCCAAAAGAGAGATAATGAGGAATACAAAGACGTACATCAGTGATGTCGCGATCATATTGACCTATTTAGAAGAATGCAAATGAAGTTCAGAGTCTCAAGAAATAGCGATGGATATAGCACGTACGAGTATCAAGCATAGTTAGGTCCTACGATGTTGTGAGCGGTGTTATTTACCGTTTGAGATTCAAACATGGCTGACTCACGAGAAGTTTGCCGATCTGGAAGTTCCTCCAAATACGAAGCTTATCGTCAACAGCAACTTGTCGGATCGGCATCCATTCATGGTAGGCTCGGACACCAGCTAACTTGCGGTCGGTGAAGCAAGCACCAGAGGGCGAGAACTTGCAACCTGAAGTTGTATCATTGCTGTCCGCAGTACCTGCCTTCCAAGATTGATCGGCAATTTCATGATCGTCCTGGGTACAATGGTCCGCATAAGAATAGACCTTATACAAACACTGTTATATCCGCTTACCCTATGAGATGTGAGCCACTAACGCACACATGATTGCCCGCTGAATAACTCACCAAACTGCGATCCATGGGCCACTCTCGTGAGCAAGCCGTAAACTGGCATCCGTACGATACTGATTCAGGCGTTGACGGTAATCAAAGATGGTGGCAAGCTCCCTGCCCAAGACCTGGCGACCAATGCGAGCACTAAATAGGTAGGTTAGAGACTGATTGAGCAATTTTATGAATATCATACCCATTTCCGAGGGATTCGTAAATCTGTGGATTCGAAGATGAGTTTGAGTTACTATGCTATATGATGAAGACTCACATAGTCGCCCAAGTGAACGAACAGGTCAGGTGTGGCATTGCGTGCAGCGACACCGTATGCATTGAAATAACCTTCATGAACGGCTCAAGTTAATTGATAAAACAACATAGACACAAACAACTTACCGGACTGGAATTGTGAACAACTGAACACGGCGATGGTCAGCGGCTTCCCTCCGTTGACCCGATTAGCAGGAGCTATAATACAGTTAATGAATGTAGTTCATCAAGACATGAAATATGCACGCGTACTATTAGGATTCGAGATCGTCCTGGTCGCTCCAACCGGACTGACAGAACTCGGGTTCGTACAATCAGCAAATTGGAACCAGTATTTGGTGTCTGCCTTCAGTCCAGTGGCCTCGACCTTTAGAGTGAAGTCTACATCATAAGTCGTAAATGCCTCTCCGGAGTCGATAGGTCTTCCAGCAAGGTTCTGGTTGTCAAAGATCTTGAAAGAAACGCAAACTGGGACGCTTTGGTCGGGAACGTTGGTTGTGTTGGAGATTGGCACCGCGCGAGTCCATAAGAGGACAGACGTATCAAAAGGATCACCCTGCAAAGCGGATCACTGTCAACGTCGAAGGTAGTGTCATGGACTGAGTAACGTACGCTAGCAACTGAATATGAAATAGGTGGTCAGTTGGTGTAGGATAATGGATATTTCGAACTCACCCGAGTGAGTAAAATTGATACCGCCACTCCAAAGGAATGGAGCCTGCAATGGGGATTAAACTTCTCGGTCAAAAAAAAAGGGGCCAAGAATAACCTTACATTGCTGAAGTCGCCACCGTAGAAGGTAGGGTAATGTTCGTCTGAAAACCCTTCGGATCCAACCGTCTGCCTTTTCGCAAACTCAACGTGGCGAGCATGAATAGCTCGAGTGTTATGAGAAAACTGAAAATGGGATTGTCAACGAGTTAGAATACCGATTGGCTAAGAAGGTAATAACGCTAACCTCTGAGATGCCTATGAACGGCGAACTGTATGCGAGATTACGATCAAGCAGTTCAGTCCCAAGGACTGCAGCCGCAGCAGTTAGAGTCAAAAGGACCGCGGAAATCATTCGATCACTTTCTCCAGGACAGGATGTTAGCAGCCGTTAGAGGTCTGTCTCTTCCGCACCATCACCCTTACATGGGTCTTTATACCTGCCAGGTGAAGCCCCCAATATGCATCAAGGAATTCCCTGGTGCGCCCATCTACGCCTCGACGACATGCACCGTATGCTACAGGTAACGTTCGCGGGGGAGTCTTTACGTTCGTTCTCCAACGTAACCCTCTAAACGCCACTTGTAAATACGCACGTTCGTGCCCGCCCTGCATGGAAGTCAATGTGGAGGTTAAGTACGGGAATAACTACGATAATTCTTGCTTCTCCGTCTACCTTCCGGGCCGTCGGTGTGGGTATTTTTAGCTGCAAAGGTGGAAGATACTGAGGCACGTGAGTATGCTTTCATATCGACTCACCATGATTCGATAGTCTTAATTTTGAAGAATCCTGGTAATACGATCATGAGGTATATCCGTACAGAGATTCTGGCAAACGTGATGCTGGCACACCTCCGATACGAAGCGGGAGCTCTCATGCCCAAAGCCTGAAGGATGTGCCATATTGCGACGTGTGCGATTCCAATAATGCCGACATGGTTCGTTCCTTGCGATACGTCGACCAGAACGCTTTAGCTGGTGATAGTCAAATGAACGGCAACATATCTATCGCAGTCAGTGACACGTTCGTAAAGCTGAAAAATTGTCAAAGGAATTGTAGCCATTCAAGCGACGACTCGGACGTTCTGAAGAAGCCTGACCTCAACGCCACGAGGCGAAAATTATGTCCTCATACAAAGATAAGCCTAAAGGTGAATTCAAAGGGACGCATAGCATACAAAGACAGAAAATGAATACTCGTACATCATATCAGTACAACCGTTTATCTCCATCCTACAGTTTGACCTTCTCACTGAACTTGAACTTCACGCCCTCCTTAGCTTCCAACAATTGGAATTGCACTAGGCCAGAGTACCAGCCGGCATAAGGGCTTCCGATAGTCTTGTGTGTGAGGAAAGCATCTTCGTGGTCGATCCTGATGGGCTTCCTGCCCGTGCCAGACGCTGCTGCGTCAGCGAGGAGCTGGACGTGGCATGATTTCTCCAGGGCTGTGTAGAAGTGTAAGGTACCTTCAATAGTGCCGGATGCAACAAGAATGCCGTGATTCTGAAATGGCATATACCGTAAGTAGGGAACTCGATGTGAAACCTGCTATGTTAAGACTCACTTGCAGAATCGCAGCCTGAAGTCGTAGTGTTAGGTGAGTAAATGTTGATTTTCAGTAATCTGAGTCCTACCTTCTTGTTGCCCAATGCTTGGGCGATTCGCGCCCCCTCCTCGTTGTCAAGGACAACACCTCCGTAAGACCGATATACGGCATGATCCTATGTGACGATGTTCAGTTAGACCCGTGTTCTTTGACTAGATTGACATAGACCTGCCTGATAGAACGCGCAACTGTCCTGCGTCAATGGATCGAGCTCTTTGCCCAACGAAGCAAACGCTCGCCCGTAAATGGAGTGTGAGTGTGCAGCACAATTGACATCTGGACGAGCAGCGTGGATAGCGGAGTGGATCAAGAAAGCCGCGGTGTTGAGAAGCCCTTTGCCTTCCTGAATCTTGCCGTCATGGTCCACTAGGAGTAAGTCGGATGGCTGAATCAGGGAGAAGTGGATACGCTATTAGGGCGATCAAATCAAACGTCAGTAGATGCACTTGTTCTGCTATTATAACAGCATAGTACATACCGAGGGATTGACCCAGAAGCAGTCAGTGCGTATGCAGTCCTGTCAAGAGGGATCAGCTAGAACAGCAGGTCTAAGTGAGAGCCAGAACATACTCGGACAGTGATATGTCCAGTAACGCCCTCATCATAGCCAAGGTTGCCTGCGTACACAGTTTCGTGAAGACGTTCCGTAGTAAGGGAATCGCATGAACTGACCAAAGATCCTCAAGGCTTGAGCGAGCCTGAACTTCAACCATTCCCGCTCCTCCTTCTTATCCTCAAACTTGGGCGGGATAGGCAGGTTCCCCAGCACGGCTTTCGAACTCTGAACGTTCTCTCCATGTGTAGGATCGACATGATAATTAGACATCCTGAATGTTTGGACGGCGCGAGTGGGCGTTACAATAAGTCTTCTCGCAATGGCAGCCTTAAGCGTACAAGGTGAGGAAAATGCCAAACCAAAGAACACCGTTCAACCCGTTGGGGATGCTGCGGTAGACCCCGTCTTATGTACATATATCCAGTCTTTAGGGACTACTTCTCCGTTTCCCTCGGAAACGGGGTAGCCCAAAATGGACGTGGGATCGCTCTTGGTGCCTGTTTCCAGTGGTGCCCAGGCGTCAGGTTGCTTTGGAGATCCGTTCGCCGTTTGTTGTTCTCCATAACATGGTGCGCGAAGACCGATGTCCGAGGTCGTATGACCAGGAATGGTTCCCAGCAAGCATAGCTTTAGAGAGAAAAGCGATCTAACGAATAGACGTGTCCGAGTTTTAAGTTGGACTAAGTCCCTCAGGGTTATGATGATAGTGAGTGCCTGAGACATGGTCAAGAACTGGTGACATGACAGACCGATAGCCTGTCCGATGACATATAAGACCAAGTAACGAGTTCTTGTCAAGTGTAAGGAAGTCAAGGCGAAGGCGCACTGGCAAAGGAACGTTGTGGTCTTGTAGAAAGGCGAAGCCACAACCTTCCTACTTGAGTATTTCCAGGCTCCTCCTACAGTCACGGTCTGATGAGCAGTGCTCAGTCGCATCTTCATGGTAAGTAAGTACATCACATATTGTATATTCAATTACATCGCGCTAACCTCACAAAGTCCATTATCCGTTTATTAGATCAGCTTCGATGTCCTCGTGCCAGCAGAGGTCATGATAGGTACTTATAACGAGATGTCGTCCTCTTGTTGCTACAAAAACACTTCCCTTCGGATCCTCAGTCTAGCTACTGATCACTAATATGTTCGAGGACGTCCAATTTATCTTTCTCGACATGTCTACTGCACTCGTGCAGGAGTGGGAGAAAGCTTTCGCTAAACACCTGGATGATTCCATACACGAGAAGTTCACATTTCTCAACTGCAAATTGGAAGATATTCCTCCACCACATAATAAGTTCGACTGCATCGTATCTCCCGCAAACTCTTACGGTCGTCTCGATGGCGGGTAAGCCAAGCCACCATCTTCATCCCACCATTGACATGCATGTATTGACTCCCAAGTTCCTCCATCCTAGCTTCGACTACTACCTCTCAGAGGCATTGGCTCCATCTCACGATCACGATGCCCCCACATGCCATGTCCAATCGGTTCTTTATCGCGAATGGAGGGGCTACGCTCCTCCAGGCACATGCACCATAATCTCACTTCTAAACTCTCCCTGCGAGAACAACATTCATGGATGTAGCTACATCGGGTTATGTCCCACCATGCGCGTCCCTGAGGAAATCACCTGGAACAGAGAGGTTATCTACAATTGCATGTGGTCGCTACTCGTTCAGCTGGACAAGCACAATACCGCCATCCAGGCGGGTGGTGGTGCAGGTCGGAGAATCCGTTCGGTGGTGATACCAGGGTTAGGCACTGGAATTGGTGAAGTGCCTATAGAGCGCTGCGCTCAGCAGATGGCTCTGGCGTTCAGAGATTTCTTGCTCTCTGCAGGGAATCCGGGGAAATGGTCGTCGTTAAGTTGGGATGATGCAACTGAGAATGCTGACGATACTCGTGTAACGTATGGATCCCCTTCGAAGTGGTCTCGGCTGTTATAGCTACGTTAACGCTACTCTTCTTTATATCCGCTTCTTGATCATATACAATAAACATAGTCGGAACCCATTCCGAGATTTGAGCTCTTCGATCTCATGCCGGAACCCAAACATACCATGATCCCATAAAGCCCACGATATCATTCGTACGCTCAATGTATGCGAGCAAAAGTCGAAGTCTAAAAGCACGTATACATTCCGGAGTATATACAACCTATATAATCTACACTACCCACAAAGAAAACAGAAAGCCGTAAGGTCATGCCCGAACGAATCTCCATCCGTCAGTAAGTCGTATCGCATCAGTACAAAAGTGTCCGTCAAAAAGGTATAGAGGTATCGCAGCGAAGAGTACAAATGTGAAAGCAAGCGTGGGGAGATGGAGAAAAGGCATGAAAGCACTGGGCTAAGGTCGTGATGCAGAATGTGGGTAGGCGGGAGGCCTAACGCCAAGCGTGCCAAAGGAGTGATATGATAAAATGAATGAAATAGAGAATAAGGGGAGCGCATTGGAATAGAAAAGAAGACGTCCAAACAGGGTCATTCAACACTCATCACTTGTCGTGAAGGAATACACTTGAGGGGCCATACAATGAGGGCATTACCAGACACCCAACCACCGTTTAGGTTTGCGCTTGCGCGAAGCTTTGGTGCGCATCGGCTCATCCTCTACGATAGCAATCCTCGAGGGTTCATTGACTTCCTCAACGATCACTTCAACAGCGGTCGTACGAGGAATGTGACTTGTCGCAGATGAGGGTGCATTGGAAGGAGCAGGAGAAGCAATGCCACGAGTGTTGGCGGGTGGAGGCACAGTAACGGTTCTGGCTGGTATGGACTCAGTGTAGTGCTGAACTTGGGTGACAGTCTTCGTTTCAGTTGCAATTTCAATGGCGGTTTCGGTGTAAATAATAGGCGGAGGAAGAGCTTGAAGAAGAGGCGCCTGCGAAAAAGAATGAACAGGTCAGTATACTGTCGAACACAATGATAGAAAAAGAAGACTGATAACCAATGCCTCATCATTGATCACCCTGCGATCGGCGACGGAAACAAACTGTGACAAGCGTAACGTAATCACGTGTACGCGTTGTTGACCTCGCGTCGAACACGGCGATCGATCGCAAGGGCATCCACAGGCAGGCGATGGTTATCAGTCTTCAGAGGACAAGGGGGACAAGATTGAAACACCGTGGTCCCCCAAGCCCAGCGACGAAGGGAGGGGGTAGGGGATACAACGGAGGAGACGAACTGTACATGGTTAAGTTCAAAAACATAGAAAAGAGGAAATGTCGGCGTGTGGTGATGATCCCCCTTCGTCTCAGAGCTCAGAGCGGCGCGGAGGAGGCAGTTGTACCTTGGGTTTCCGTTTGGGGCTCGCTGGTTCGTAGATGTATTCTTCTTCAACGGTAGGCTCTTCGTTGTTGAGAGCACTATACAAAACATATTAGTTTCAAGCACAAGCACAGCTTCCAAGCAACGCCTACACAAGTTGTTCCATGATCCAGCTTTCGCGTCTAGACGCGTCATGCTCTCTACGGTTAACCGCCTCCTCACGACGACTGATCTCCCGCTCACGCTCAGCAATCTTGAGCTCTCGATCGAGAATGTCCTCAGCTCGGACACGGGCCTGATCCCACCACCCTGGCGGGGTGAGAGCTTCAGCTTCCTTAAGGACTTCCTTGATGACAGTTTGCACGGGAGGTGCCTCTGTAATCTTCTCAATCGTAGTAGGGCAAACAGGGCAAACCATGGCAGATTGATTGGGCAGGACACCGCCGGGAGCACCAGCGAGAAGCTCAGCTTCACGACGGGCAACTTCAGCTTCACGGCTGGCGACTGAGCTCTCGCGGGCGACAAGCGCTTGAGAACGTTTTGGTGTCAAGTATCCCCAGAGACCCTGTTGTGCCGGATCATTGGGACCTCCTGCGGCGCCGGCAGCCTGCGAAGAGGGCAAGGAAAGCATTACGGCGAGGACCGCAAGCACGAGAGAGAGGACGAGTAGGAGAGTGGTGGACGAGATAGTCCTGTGATGGTGGTGACGGGAGGAGCGTTCACTACGCTCTCTCTCCCTATGAGATGAAGAGGGTTGTGCCATCCTGACGCTTACGGAGTTCGAGGGCGACAAGGACGTAGAAGTCACTGCTCTAAACGTGGACGTTATGGTGAAAAAAAATGGGAAAGGGGGAAAGCAACGCGTAAGATGGAATGAGTCGTGAGCAGGAAAAGTTTCGCAGGGGTTTATAGAGGGAGGAGAAAAGTTGCGGTGAGAAGAGGGAGCAGCGGAATGGTTCGAATTCCAACATTGTGCCTACATAAAAGGCAATGCTCGTGTACAACTACGTACAAACAATTACACGTGTATCACAAAATCTTTATTATTCTTCGGTCACGCTCGGAATCTCATTGTCCGTCCTCGGAGTCTTGTTTCGGTGTCGTGAGGCATTCCCGTGCAGCAGCCATATATTTTATTCATAGAGAAGGAAGGCAAAGTGAGTAGACAAGCAGTTGGGGATTGAGCGCCGTGACTGAATGAAATTGTGACACGGAGCGGGTGTGACCGCGCGTGATGGGAACAACGTTGTGGGCGCGTGGACAGAGACGCGCTCCGACTCAGTCTCAGCTGCCTCAGGCCTGCTTGTCGTCCAACCCAGTCGTTTTAAAAACATAGATCCACACCAATGTCCGCCCTTCGACGTTTCGCACAAACTAACCATGCAGTAACAAACTCCCCGCGAACAAGCGACTCTTCCGCGCAGGCATCGCCATCTACACCAACCAAGGGCCAGAACGGTTATTTGCCTTCAACACCTCGTACGAGACTGGTATACCCCATTTCGCCCGTGACCAGTCCTTCGTTGTCTGCTTCGACACCGTTTGACTGGGAAGCCGCGAGAGCGCATAAGCCGCCACCTTATGCGAGCCCATTAGCTAGAAAACGCGTCCGGACGTTGCAACACGGTGGGTCTCCGAGCACACCTCTGAAGAGAGTTATTAGGAAGAAGGGTTTCGTAGAGAAGTGAGCACACCTTACTACCCTAACATGAAGGCCTGATACTGATATTTGTTGGTGATGCTATCAGGGTTGCCTCTATTCCTTCACAAGTTGCATTCGAGATCTCGCTCTTCCCTCACAATGTCCCATTACCAACGGCACAAAAATCCGCGTGGATAATAGGCGGTTTCTTACACTTCTTGCACCTATGTGTTCGCATATCCCAAATCCGTACTGTCCCGGATTCCGATCTAGGTTGGGAGGACATGTACCGAGAAGACCAGAGTGAACCTTGGTTTAATTGGGTGAGCAATTTCAGCTAGCTAGCTCTTCGGAAAAACTTGTGACATGATCTGAAATTTACTTTTGACCGATTTATTGTAGACAGTCCCGGTATCATTTCTGCTATTAGCAGCAAGCATCCTCAACACCATGTCCCTTTTCACCCGTACACGAATCTACCAACTCAACCTCGCACGAGACCCCGTCCCCTCCCCACACGCCAAATTCGTACCCCGAAGCTCCCCCACCCCTACATCCGACTCCCAACAAAAAAAGACTCCGCTCTTGCTGAATATCCTGAAATACTTCTGGCACGCGTTCATCGTTTCAGTTCGATTCTTGTTGAATCTGAGTCCACCAAAAGACCGTCAGACGATTGTGGGCATCGGACAGGAGAGAGTGCAACAATTGGAAGTTTGGAGTCCGGGCGAATTGGAGTTGGCGTTGTTTGCGATTTATTCGCCTGCCCATGCGTTGCTTTGGATGGCGACGACGAGTGCGAATTGGATGATAATGTTGCTTGTGATGTTGATTGTCGGTGTACAGGTTTGTCATTCATTCACTCACATCCACCTCCACTTTCACTATGATTTGTCGTTATTGATTGGGGATTATTTGATTTTGATTGTAGCTTCGGGCCTTGACACGTTCTTATGAAGCTCTCCTCAAGGACAAGTCTATCATCTCTGCCGAGGTAATGCATGAGTATGACGAGAAAGCGAGTTTCATTTTGTCCTTCTTCGCATCGGGTAGCTTATGCTTACGCTCGATTTTATAGTTCGTCTACCCTCGTGTCAACCCTATCCGCAAAGACGCGGCTGTCATGACACACCAGGCGGAGATGGTGAACCCCTGGGACGATCGTTCAAAGTTCAAGGATTCACCGTGGCGTCACGGTCGGTAGATAAAGTCAAGTGTCTAAATTGCATTGCGTTCAAACTGGTGGTTTCTCGCTTCTTCTCTGCACATAATTCATGGTCCTGCATTGCACGCATACATACTGACTCTTGCATTGAACCGTTCTTTCGTTCGGCATATTCCCCCATACATAGCATTTACTCATATCCGTACATACATACCTTTCTGTTCAGTTATCAGCCCGTCCATAGGCTCTGATTATCACATAATATAAGCATCACTTCGGGTCCTTCCAAGTTTTCAATGATAACGAGAATCAATATTCAATCCATATAATACACTACAGCAGAAATGATATACAGCTTGGTTTCTTGGACTTCCTCCTAGTCACTAAGGCTACGATAGCGGCGCCACATGTGTAACAGCTACGAGGTACCATTCTCCTTTGCAGCAGCTTCTTGCTGATAGAACTTCTGCAAGTCTGCGACATCATCTTTGCTACCAAGGAAGACAGAGCATCTCTGATGAATATCTGTTGGAACGATATCCAGGATCCGTTTTGTTCCTGTAGTCGCGATACCGCCAGCCTGTACAACAAACCAAATGAACAAACAGATGCACGTCAGTCCAGTCACCTTCCACACATCATTCAAAACCTCAAGATCACGCACCTGCTCAGTCAAAAAAGCCATCGGGAACGCCTCATACAACAGCCTCAACTTCCCGTTCTTGCTCTTCTTGTCATCAGGGTACCCAAAGATACCACCATAAAGTAACGTTCGATGGACGTCGGCGACCATGGACCCGATGTATCGTGCGCTATAGGGTAATTTGCCGTTTGAGGGGTATTTGAGGCTGTTGAGATACTTGGTGACGGGTTCGTGGAAGTACATGGAGTTTCCTTCGTTGAATGAGTAGATCTTGCCTCGCGGGGGAACCCGGATCTGCCAATGCATGTTCAGTACTGATGCACCAAAAACAAAAACAAAAACAAAGAATGAGGAGGGATTGACGTACGTTGGGATGCGTGAGGATGAACTCTCCGAGTGCCGCGTCAAGCGTGTACCCATTTACACCCTTTCCCGTGGTGAGCACCAGATTCGCAGAAGAACCATACCTGAATGGGTTCCACAAATCGGTTAGTGGAGAGAATAATAAAGGAGAATAAGTCACACGAGCAAACGTACATCGTGTAACCGGCAGCGACCATTTCACTCCCAGGCCTCAAGACATCCTGAAGTGTTCCCTTCGAATCTGGTCGCTTTCACACACAACTATCAGCAACCGCACAATCGACACACACAGATAAATAAACCAAATGAATGTTTGAGTGTTTTGCTTACTATGTGGTATATCCCAAAGATGGTTCCGATATTCACACCGGCGTCGATGTTGCTACTTCCATCAAGCGGATCAAATACGACACAATATTTCCCCCTATGTTTCTCGTCGATGAACACGGCTTCGTCGAGCTCTTCAGAGACGAGGACGGCTGTCTTCCCTGACGCTCTGAGAGAGTTGATCATGATATCGTTGGAAAGGACGTCGAGTTTCTTTTGCTCCTCGCCCTGGATATTAGTCTCTCCTGCCAATCCGATACTACACACATATGAACGATCGAAAAAAGCTAACGCGTGTGAGACGCATACATACAGGTTGATCAGTCTCGCTTTTCGGACATTGGTGGCGATGAATTTGGAAGTGGTCTGAATGGCTGTCAGGAGTAATGTGAGGTCTCCCGATGCGACAGGACCAAGCTCGAACTGGTCTGCAAGGACATGTCTTAATGTAAGGAGGAATTGATGTTACTGCTTTACTTCTCGTCTTTCGATCAAATGAGAACGCGTACCGAGTGAGAGTGATGATATTAGTGTTAGGCTGATCTGACATGGCTAGCAACGACAGGTGGACGAGGGTAGTGTGCAAAGAGCAGGGAAGGGCTAAACGAGATGTTCTGGATTGCGGGGAAGAGTTTTATATAGAGGAGCTCCTGTAGGGCAGCAGGCAAGGTCCGGGTGTGAGCGGGTCTGGTGTTGGGGGATTCCGTTCATTCCGTTCATCCATCGTTCTCCCACTTGCAAGCTCCAGTCCAATTGCTGCCTACCGTAGGTCTATCACATGTGCGTCATAGTCTCCCGGTCCGCCCACCCCGGTCACCGAACGAATATTCGAGCTGGTATTACGACAAACATAAACGACTACTGCTAGACGATAAATAGCATAACAATATACAACGTTTGCAATCCAACAAAGCAAGAAATACGACAAGCAAAACATGATGCATGAGCAGAGCCATCCTACCGCTTCCTCTTCACACCAACAACCCCAACTGGTTCCTTGCCTTTCCGCGTTCGCAAAGGTATCGGAATCCCAACATCATCATCCCCGTCCACACCTTCCAACAACGGCACTGCCATCCCATCCCCTTCATCGTCATCGCCGCCTCCTCGAATCCCACTTGTATGTGGTCCAATCAGCTCAGCCTCTGATTCTTCATCGCCTTCTTCGTCGTCACCTTCGTAGACCCTTCGCTGTGCCTTCTCAGCCAACGATGCTGCAAGTTCAACACTTATCGACACACGCACACCTGAATCTGAAGATCCTCCTGGGAATAATGTTTCTGGCACATTATCTGCTTGTCCTCCCGACAGGATATGGTGGATAGCTTGTAGGTTACGTTCCATCTCTTCCTCTGTTATCCGCGGTCGCTTGTAATCTCTGAAACTGTACTTTCTACAAGCAAAGGTTCCCATTCAATATCACTTTTTTGCATATAATAGGCGATCCATACTCACATGTTAGGGTCTGGTTCCCAATCAGGGTCGTGGGTTCTCATATGGGCCGTTAGTGTCGTTCGTCTCGTGAATGTCTTGTCGCATAGAGGGTCCTCGCACTTGTACGGCCGCTTCCCCGTGTGTGTCCTTCGATGTCTCGCAAGACTACTCGAGTCACCGAACGTCTTCCCACATCCAGGATACTCGCAAAAGTGTGGCTTCTCGCCCGTGTGTACCCGTTGATGTACATGCAACGCCGACCTCTACAGACGTCGAAAACACAAGCAGTTAGCAAATTTCGAATTGTTGCTATAACATGACAGAAAATGGCATACCTGGATGAACGTTTTGCCACATCCAGGCTCAGGACATGGAAACGGTCTTTCGCCCGTATGTATTCGCATATGTCTCCCGAGATCACTCCTCCGGGAGAATGTCTTGTTACACTGTTCACATGTATGGATCTTTGGACCCTTGTTCTCTCCTTGCCCTTCAGTCGGCTTCATCACCAATATCTGGGGACTCTCTGCTTCACTTGCCGTTCCGGGACCCGAAGAAGTCGAAGCAACAGGTTGCGGTTGAGTGGTCGAGGCTGGTCTACGGATTACAGGTGGAGGGGGAGGGGCCGGGGCCGTTCGACGGTGATGTGATAACGAGGACGACGAAGCGAGGTTTGCAGAAGTCAAGAGTGTGACAGTTTCTGCGCCTGGTGCACCTGTAGCTGCTGATGTTGATGTTGGTGCCATTGGTGAAGTCACCTCCTCGGGTTGTGGTCCTGAGTCTTCCTGGTCGAAATGTGGGATATCCCTGAATATGTCATTCAGGTCGCTGAAATCACCCGCGACTCGGGAAGACGTGTCGCCAGTCAAGGAATCAATGCGCTCGCCAGGTAAAGGGGGAGAGCTGAGACGAGCACCTTCTGAATCCTCTTCCGGATTACTCTCTAGTTCGCCATCATACAGATATTCAGATCCATCGGTTCCACTGCCAGCTCCAGCAGCACCAGGCGATGTGAGCGGTTTGTCGTCCGCAGTGAGAGAATGGAAAGCAGGCGCAGCACGAGTAGTCATCTTCTCCCTCTCCCTCTCCTTGCGCTGACTCGCCAAAGGGTCACTCGCAGCGAATGCCCTTTCGCTCTCTTGCGCTTGCTGAGCAGCCGCCTCTAAGAACGCCGCAAGCCCCGTACTGAAATCTGGCACGCTGGCATCGATATCTCCACCACTCTCGGTCCCATGTCGGTCATGTAGGTCCCGCTTCTCCCCGGTTTCAGTTTGTCTCTGTTGAGCAGCAGCGCTCAACAAGGCTGCGGACGCGTCCATAGCACTCTGGTTGAGTAATGAAGCGATTTCTCGTTCAAGTTGTTCCATGTAGGAAGGGCCATTTGAGGAGTTCCCGAGTGTGTGATCAGAGGTTAAGTCGTCTAGAGCGGGGTCTATGGGAATGTCATTTGGATCATAGTTGGATGAAAGAGGGCCTGAGTGGTGATCTTCATCTTCGCCAATTGTCTCGTCGTGTACGACGTCGGAAAGGTTGAGGACATGGCCGTGCTCTTCATGATTCATAATCATAGTCGAGCTAGAGCACCTGTTCAATGAGACGTCCTGAGTAGCTGGAGTTGTTACCTATGCGAGGTAAATGTGAAATCGTCTAAGAAAGAGGTGAGAAAGACGTAAGAGCGAACGCAAGAATACGAATCAGGCATAAAACTCACCGATCGTAATAGAAGTGCAAAGGCGTGTCTACAACGAGGCAGGGCTTCTCGTGCAGACGATTTCCAAAACCTAAATGATTAGGTCTCAAGTAATGGCTTACTCGGTTACCCAAGCAATTGTGCAATGTTTGCTGTCTCTCTGTGTGATCGTTACGGTCGTGGAATGATATTAGCAAGTCAACAGAGCAATGGTGGTGGTGGCAGTGGAACGGAAACCCTTGGCGCGATCAATAAGCGCGCAATGTAGTCGGGAACTAGCCGAGCACAGTCGAGACAACAAGCGACGAGCAGTGCATACCTGGTCACTACTTTCAACAACGGCCACCACGCATATCCACAACGACCTGCTGTAGTGCTTCGATAGACCTCATTCTGTGCCATGGCACCTCAACAGTTCACCAAGGTGGATCTCACCCCAAAGAGACACCATGGCTATGCAGTTATACTCTTCATTTTGGGCACGCTTTTCCCTCCCCTCGGTGCGCTTGTCTTTCGTAATCGCAAGGAAACTTGTGATTTCTGAGTGTTCGCTGACGCACGGTACCTTTTTCAGCGGTCGCCGCGCGGTTCGGCATTGGAGGTGACTTCTGGTTGAATCTGTTCTTGACAATATGCGGGTACATTCCGGGTGAGTTCGGCACCGGTCTTTTTTGTCGTAACTTTGCATCTAAACTCTTACAATAGGACATTTTCACAACTTTTACATCCAGGTTCGCTTCGGGGAAAACACGTCGATGAGGCTATGTTGTACTCATGTCATATCTAACAGAACATCCGGAACAACAAGACACACAGACGAACACCAAAGTGGGCGCAAAGATACGGCCTTGTTGACATCTCAGAAATCAAACGAAAGGAACGTCGTTCTCAATGGGCCAACCGGTATAACGACCGACTACCTCGATCCACACTCGAGGAGGCTCCGTACGAGGAAGGGCAGGAAGGCGGATCCAGTGTTGACCTTTCAGTAGAAGGCCAAGAGTCTCGGCAACGAACCGGGGAATTATGGTCCCCACAAGACGAAACTTACTATGGGCAGCATCAGAATGGAAATGCCAATGGTGATGCTGCCAGCGTTCGAACAACCGGTTCAGGGCGGTGGCACTATCCAGCCAACTTTGAGGACGCTATTCCGGAGCCTTCGCGGAAAAAATCGAAGAAGAAGAAAGAGAAGAAGGACAGGTGGGCGAGGACAGAGGATGCGTACTCGATTGGTGAAGCAGAGCAGTCTTCTTCTTCGCGGAAACGAAAGTCCAAGAAGAGACGATCGACTATTACGCCAGGAGACGATACGTATTCCAGGCAGAGTGGTTCGACTACAGAATTCCCGGAGGATGCTGAGGGTGGATTGTATGGGGACACGAGGAGGGGGCAGGATAAGCCTGCACGGGATGAAGGAGACAACATATTCACGCATGAGCTGTGATGATGGAACAGGATACCCCTCCTTCGATTGTTTCCACTCACCAGATGCTTAATCTCACTTATTACTAGATCGTTCCAGCGTATTGCATTCTATTCAGGGTTATCGAGACGACAATCTGTTTCCTATTTATTCTCATTCTCGTCATGCATTTTCAAGCATATCTCGTTATCACTGAATCATTAATCTATATCTTTAGGGAGCCTTAGGGCCATGACGTATTCTTGGTCATCTGTGGGTTCAACAGAACGTTGCGTCTCCTGCAGGTCAAGATGTCTATCGTGCAGTCACCTCAATCTACAGAACCCAATATAGCCAACCAATCACCATGCATGTACAAACGCGACGTATACTGACGTCTCACCTGAAAGCTTGATCAACCATTCAGGGTGACGAGCCAAAAAGCATTCCGAACTCCCTTCTATCTTCCTGCTTGACAACGACGATTAGAGATTATGCACCGTCAGTGCGTCCCCGACCTCCGTTACGATATTATCTCACCTTTAGACGTCCGATACTGACGCCATCGCGTAATATTCCCTCCCAATGCAACCGAGAAAGCATGTGCACGAGCACATGAGTCCAGACAATCGTTCCCACTGACTCGCTTCTGATCTCTTCGAAGCTTCGCATCAAATATATTATTTCTATTCGCATGGCTTTTCTTATTCTTCCGCCACTATATATACCTAGATCCATTCGCATACCTCTAGGTACGCTCTCAAGCTCACCACCCCTTCTGCGTCTTAAGGCTGATGCTACGAGAGGTCTTGTGCGCACTCCCTGCGTTGTGTTTGGCGTGGTTCGCAAGGTCGGCAGTGTTGGTAGATTTTCAAGTCGCCCAGCCTCCGCCATTACCACAGGATGCGAAGCAGTGTACTGTGAAGATCCTTGAGTGAGTTCTCTTAGTGGTCTAGTTCGATAGTGAATTGCTGAAAGCCGGATGCAGGCGTACTTTTGGTTTCTCGTTTGGACTGTACGTCAGTTCTCTGATTGGTTATGACGTGTATAATGTATATGTGCTGAAGGTGATCTCACAGCCCCGAAATCGTGCAGTTCACGTACGTAACTATTCGTGGGACTTGTATTGCCAAAGTTCACTTCAACCTCGCAGACCCCCGACAGATTGTGGTCCAGTTGGTTCATGGGCCGGAATTAGTCTCAACTTCACTGTAACCTCTAACGGAACTCAGTTTGATCGTCTGGGTATCTTCACATTCCAGAACGTCGAAAGTGAGTCTCTACGTCTAAGCACGTTTGCCGGCGAGGCGTTAGTTAACCGTGTATGTAGTTTGGCGAAGTTCGACTCCAGAACCCACTCAAGGGGACGGAATTATTTGGACTTACCTCAAAGATGCGACTCGTTATATCCCGCTCTTCGCGAAACCAGGAACATTCATCTTGCAGTTGGACAACTTGCTTCAAACTGGATTAGACGGGCAATATGCAAGTGTGTACTAGTGTTAGCATTCCACACAGAGTCGTCGTTGACGTTGATCCATAACTTAAGCTGTACTACATGCCACCTTCTTTGCCTCATCTGCAAGCCATCCTCCAGCTCCAAAGGCGGACGTCATCATTCCGGTGACTACGTTGGCGAATGATACAGGGAACGATGCATCTGTTCCTCCCATCTTTTCGGTAGGCTTTATTTCAAAAGTCTGAACTACAATGAATCTAATAATTGCAATAGCTCAATGTTACAGTTCCCAGAAATGCAATTCAGATCTTTGCTGAACTCCAGGCTTCCGGAAACGGCAATGAGGAATTTTGGGTAAGACATATATCTCACTCACACTTTGCAGCGAGATTGCAAGTGCTGAGTCTCGTGCATAGTACTTCAACGCTCCAAATCAGTTCGTGAGCACTATCCCGACATTCGGAGAAGGCCCATTCCGTGAAGTTCGAATGCTCATAGACGGTCAAGTCGCTGGAGTAGCATTTCCGTGCGTGTTCGATTGGGAGACGCGATGTATAGTCCACTGATATAACTCTATTATCAGTTATGCCGTAATCTTCACTGGTGGAATTGTCCCTACGGCATGGAGACCTATCACGTCCTACGGCGCACTCGATCTACCACAATATTTCATTGACCTCACGCCCTTCGTACCTGTGCTCACTGACGGCAAGCCCCACAACCTCAGTATCGACGTTGTCTCTGCAGAGGCCGACCACGCGATCAATCAGAACTGGTTTGTATCTGGTAACCTTCAGGTTGTCACTGATTCTTCGCCCAATCCAACCACTGGCCAGATCACAGTACTCGACGCACCCGCATTTGCGCAGACGACAACGACAGGAATGGTAGCTGCCAACGGAGATGTGAAATTTACTGTTACAGCGAAACGAAATATACATATAGAGAGCGTGTTCACAAGCGGAAGTGGGAAGACATCGCATGTGGTTTGGTCACAGAGTTTGGAGTACTCTAACACTCAAAACTATATCAATAACTCGCCAGTACTGGTGAGCCAATATTCAGTTTGAAAAGCATGTTGTCGTTCTAAACACTTCTCTGCTAGCTTCTCCAGCAGCTTGTCTCGCAATCCGCATCTGGATCTTTCCTGTCTACTGTGAACGGCGTAAGGACACTCGTCGATCAGTTCAGCTACCCCCTGGACATCAACATCACAAATCTGACTCCCTCTGGTTCAAGCTGTAAGTCGTTCGCTCTAGTATTGGATAATCTTCTGACTTTTTCCAGTCGTCACGGCCATCGATCACTCATACGACCGTGTGTCCGTCCCGAACCCATTCATCGTGGGTTCAACCATCCGAAATCACCAAGTTTCTGGTACGATGTCCGATTTCCTTGCCCTATTTGAGATCGTCGCTAACTGAAAACTGCTATAGGTGGATTTTTTACCCTTTCATCCGATGGCAACTTTGGGAATGGCACTAGTCAGAATACTTTCTCTTACGTCGATCTTGCAGGCAATACGTATGATCGAGAGGTCAGCTCTGTAAACACAGACATCACCTCCGATCATCAAGGTGGTACCTTGGCTCCCAAAGAAGCAGCACACTTCCCCTCATTCCAGCAACCATTCACAGTGTCAAAGGCCAGATTGCCCGGAGGAAGGCTCGTAGGCAATTAACATTACCATTACAATGGCCTTTAATATGCACAAACCAAGATATCTACTAGATTTTAACTTCTTCGATGACTGCGTGACGTCTCCTTCCATTCCTCTAGAAGCACTGTTGAACTGCAAGCTCCACTTCCCGTGTTGAACGGTACTCAGTGCCGTGTTGAGACGGTGCTAACCAATGTTGCAAACTATCTGGTGAAGATGCGATCTAGGATGGAACGCTTGAATGCGTCTCTAGAACAAGCCGATGGGTCTTCCAGTCTCAGTGTCGATGTCGACCTCCCAGAATCCCGGGCGCGTGCCAAGTCCGGGCATGGTTTGCATGTCACCGAGGAGAGGGTAGAGGAACCCTGCACCTGCGGACAGACGCACAGCTCGGATAGGAATGGTGAAGCCTGCCCGAGAGTAATGAGCCAAGAGATTAAACGAAGAAGCTGAGCCACTTACCAGTTGGGACGTTCTTGAGTTTTGGATCGTGAGAGAACGAATACTGAGTTTTCGCCATACAAACTAAAGAGCACTATATCAATCGCTGTTAGAGTACACGAAAGAAATTAGGACGCACTGGGAAGGTTGCTAAAGCCTTGACGAGTATAAGTCTCAACCTGCTTCTGAGCCAACTCGCTGAGCTCGATACCATCAGCACCATAGATCTCTTTGGCAATAATCTCGATCTTCTTCTCGATGGGAAGATTGAGATCGTAGAGGAACTTAAAGTTGGATTCTCCTTCGCAGGTGGTGACGACAGCTTCAGCAAGGGCACGAGCACCGGCGCCACCTTCTGCCCAGTGGTTGCTGACGACTGCGGCGTCAGCACCGCCAGCGAGAGCCTTGTTACGGATAAGCTCTAGTTCTGCAGGTGTGTCGGATCTACGGAGTGAAGGGTCAACAATATGTCATGCAAACTACGAATCATATATAACTTACGCGAACCGGTTGATAGCTACGATGACCTTCAAGCCGAACTTGCGAGAGTTCTCAATGTGCTTAACAAGGTTCTTGCAACCTTCCTCAAGAGTGACAAGATCCTCCTTGGTGTACGTATCGTGCAAGGGCTTTCCGGGTGTCACCTCAGGTCCACCTCCATGCATCTTGAGGGCACGGGTAGTCGCGACGATGACAGTAGCATCAGGCTTCAAACCGCTGACACGGCACTTAATGTCGCAGAACTTTTCCATACCCATGTCCGCACCGAAACCGCCCTCAGTCAGGACGTAACCCACGCGGTCGGGAGAGTCCCCCTCTTCGGTACCGGCCAATTTCAATGCAACGCGATCCGCAAGGATGGAAGAGTTTCCGTGAGCGATATTGGCGAATGGTCCCGCATGAACGAAGACAGGAGTGCCCTAAAGGGAAGATGGAGGGTGAGATTATATTCGGGAAACAGACAGAAATGGACAAACCTCCAAAGTCTGCATCAAATTGGGCTTGATAGCGTCCTTCATCAAGACAGCGAGAGCACCACCGACACCAATGTCATCCGCAGTGATAGGATCGCCATGCTTGCTAGTAGCGACAACCATAGAACCCAACCTCCGCCTCATATCCGCCAAGTCAGTTGTTAAAGCCAGAACAGCCATACATTCGCTTGCAACGGCAATATCAAAGCCAGTCACACGCTCTTGGCCTTGCTCAGTGGGGTTTTGTCCGATAGTGATCTTACGCAAGAACCTATCGTTGACATCAATAACACGGTTCCAGGTGATCGTGTCGGGGTCAACGTCCAGACGGGCGAAACGGGTGATCTCCTCTTGAGTGAGCTCATTGGGGTCGGTCTTGTCAATGCCTAGCTTCTTGAGACGCTTCAACATGAGAGGAGCGAATTCACGTTTGCCCTTCTTTGTTGGAACGAGACGGTTGTACAAGGCCTTTATGGGATATGGATAAGTTGTCACTATCAACAGCGAGAACATAACTGACCTTGTCGGACTGAGTAGCTTCGTGGAACATACGTGCATCCAATGCCGCAGCTATGATACGTCCGTTAGTGGGTGATTGCGACAATAATAATTCATCAACACTTACCGAGTAAATTGTTGGCAGCCGTAACAGCATGGATATCGCCAGTTAAGTGCAAGTTGAACTGAGGAAGAGCAAGGACATGAATAGATACATTAGCATTACATGGTAGAACAGACGCACCTCGTCCATAGGAATGACCTGACTATAACCTCCACCAGCAGCACCTCCCTTGATACCAAAGGTGGGTCCTTGACTGGGTTGACGTACACAAGCGAATGCAGGGCGTCGGAGGTGTGCACCAAGGGCTTGAGCCAAACCAACTGTGGTCGTGGACTTACCCTCACCAAGAGGGGTGGGCGTGATACTACCGCATACATTGAGTCAACCTGCTTAAACGAGAGGATGGAGTAACATACCCAGAGATTACGATGTATTTGCCGTCCTTACGGTGAGCCAACCGATCAAGCACACTGAGCTCAACCTTAGCCTTGTACTTGCCGTAGTTCTCGAGTTCATCGTGCAAGAGACCAATCTCGTGAGCGAGCTGAGCGATAGGCTTCGGTGTCTGCGCCATGGCAATATCGATGTCGCTTGGAACCTTCTCCTTGATGTCCAATTTCAGAGGTTTAACCCGACGTGAGCGATCCTCTTCCCATTGACGTTCAGCAGCCTTGAGAGTGTTGACCATGAGCAAAGCGACAGTCATGGGTCCAACTCCTCCGGGTACTGGGGTGATGTGAGAGGCGATTTGACGAGCAGACTCAAAATCGACATCGCCGACTAAACGTTGACCAGATTTCTTCGTGGCATCTTTAGTGGGGTCAATATAGGGGTCCTCGCCTAACACAAGTAAGTCTTCTTACCAGGGATGTAGTTTGTACCAACGTCGATCACGATGGCACCTGGCTTGATCCAAGAACCTTGAACGTAGTGTGGCTTGCCAATAGCCGAAACAACAATATCCGCATTCTTGACCTATCGAATCAAATGAAGGTGAATATATGTATCCTACGACACACATCAAATATTGCACATACAATCTCCGGAAGATTCTTGGTGTGACTATGGCACTGTGTTACAGTGGCATCGCGACTCCTGAGAAGAGCTGCAACAGGGCTTCCGACGATATCACTCCTGCCAAGGACTACTGCATTTGCACCTGTGATGGTGACTCCGGTGCTCTCAAGCAGCCTAAGCACTCCAGCAGGCGTGCAAGGTATGAAGAGTGGGTTAGATGCGCGAGAAGCGAGATGGCCAATGTTGTATGCGTGGAAACTGTGTTCAAATGAGATCACATGACGGCTTATACGATATAAGAAACAGAACGTACCCGTCGACGTCTTTTTCGGGGCTTACAGCCTCAGTGACTTCGCTCTCACCAACCGAACCGACGTGAGAACCGAGAGGAAGTTGAACAAGTATACCACTGATGTCAGGGTCATCGTTTAGCTTCTGCACGACTTCAACGACCTCATCTACTTCAGCTTCCTCAGGGAGGGTGATGTGTTTGAACTTGATTCCAACTTCCTCTGCAGCCCTTGCCTTCATGCGAACATAGACATTCGAGTCAGGCCGCTCCCCTGCCTGGACGATAGCCAGCTGGGGTTGAAAGCGAGGATGCTGGGACTGCAGGCTCTTGATACGTTCTGCGACCTCATTGCGAATAGATCTGAAGTAACAACCAATAAATACAAACCAGAAAATATTATAATAGCGTGCTATCATACTTAGCGATAGCCGTACCGTCGATGATCTTTGCTTCGCCCATTTTTCGAGTGGCTGCAGAGGTTAAAGTGCGGACACCCGTCCAGGTCAGATAACCCAAGCGCCGCATGCCAGCTGAAGGCTTTATCCAATGACGTGAAATACTGATTCGCGAAACCCCTGTTTGCGAGCGTTTGGCCTAATACCATTAGAGGATGCAGGGGTCAATTGCAAGTGGTAGAGGCCATTCTGGCAGAATATCCAGCGGGAAAAGGACGTGTCTAGAGAGGGCGATTCTTCGGATTGCATTTTTTATGACGGGTCATACACAGTCAGCAGGAACATTTACTTATATATATAGTGACGCTGCTCAGAACTTTCCATCACTTCGAACTGAACATTCTAACAATATAAGTCCCGGAAAGGTAGTCTCCACGTGGTTCCAGCTGGCACATTCCTGCGCCTAATTTTTTGTTAGGTCTTTCGTATGCACTTTCGTGTTTATACCGCCGACCCTTACACTTGCATTTCACTTTTGCCCACATCTTTCCCATTCTCTTCTCCCCAACATGAGCCGTGCTCAAGCTTTCCAACTCTACCGGTCGTGCGCAGCTTCATTTGCTTCAAGAGGCGCCGTTCGGTCATCATTACCACTCGCATCTCGTAGGCTGGCTGGAGTACGGTATTACTCGGAGGGTAACGGTCAGCCGAGTGAAAGTGCAGAGGCTAAGAAGGGAGAGGAGAAGAAGGATGAAGCAAAAGATACCGGCGCCCCACAGCCATCTCCTGCAGAGGCTGAATGCCTCGAAAAGCTCAAAGTGAAGGAAGCTGAGGTGGTGGACCTCACCGTATGTCTTTCTTTCTGCGGTTGACTCCACCAGTGTTTCTCATATGCTTCCGCCTTCGAAGGGTCGGCTACGATACCTACAAGCAGATTTCTTGAACTTGCAGCGTAACGCTGCAAGAGAAAAGGAGCAGACCAAAGACTTTGCTATCTCGCGATTCGCATCGGACCTTCTGGAGACAGTCGACGTCCTTGCAATAGCGCTAAAATCTGTTCCGCAATCTGTGCTTCAAACCCCATCCGCCGAAGGGCCATCCCCTCCACCCGAACAACCCTCTCCCTCCACATCCCAACAAAAGACACCCGAGGCTTACCTGAAAGATCTGCATACTGGCGTGGAGATGACCCATCGACTCCTTCTGCAGACATTGTTCAAGTACGGTGTCAAGCCTTTCGACCCAACTGGCGATAAGTTTGATCCCAACCGTCACGAAGCCTTATACCAAGCGCCGGTTCCTGGCAAGGAGCCTGGAACGGTATTGGACTGCCAGAAGGACGGTTACATGATAAAAGATCGGGTATTGCGGGCGGCGCAAGTGGGTGTAGTGCAGGATACGCAGTCATAACCGTAATGACTATGGCTGGGTTTCTTTACGAGGCTAGGACGTTCGGCAGTTGTACTTCCAACTGAGTGTCGTAGTTGGGAGAGTGGGTCGCAGGTGGGACATCATCATTAGATTAATATTGCAGTATAGACAATACTTAATCAACGAATCTCTACTCCGAAGTCTTCCTTGAGTCGTGAGATGACGCGCTCGTGGAATGCATTGGCTTCGTCGTTTGTCAAAGAGCTTTTCATAGTTCAGTTCCAATGTAAATACGATGAAGGAAAGGACCCACCGATCCATAGATCTGTAGTTGACACGATAACAATGACTCGTTCGGTTGGTTTTTGGGTGAGTGAAAGAATCGATCTTCCGAAATACAAGTTTTGAGGCTAAATAAAACATTAAAGCATGCAAGACTACGTACCAATTTGACGTCTTCCACAGAATCACCCGCTGTATCTCTGACCAAGTCGCAGAAATCGTTTTCATGCAAGCCTGTTGAAGGTACCCAGAAGCTGACATCCTTGTAACATGGCGGATGCTTCGAGAAAGGTTTGAAGGTACTGATAGTCCCAGGTATAAACTGCTCAAGGAATCGGGAATCTTTTGACCAGAATAATCGAATATCGGGTATGGAATAGAGGATCATAGCGATACGCTCCAGGCCAAGTCCGAAAGCCCATCCGATGCTGTTTGGTACATCTATAGACAACATGAGTTGCGAGTTTATTCCTGACTGAATAAACGCGTACTAGCACGATCCAGAGTGGATTGAAGCACTACCCCACAACCGAGAATCTCAAGCCACTTTCCGTGGAAGAAGACCTCGACCTCGTAGCTTGGACTCGTGAAGGGGAAGTATGCTTCAATCCACCTTACTTTGAGAGGTTCCTCTTCATTCGCACTTGCTCGTCCGCCGAACAAATGCAATATAAGGCTATTGAGTGACAATTTGAGGTTGCGTGCGACGAGTTCTGCCTTGACGGGGTCATGAGACGGCTGAACTGGATTTGAAGCACTTATGTGCGGGATGTCTTCAATAATAATATTCGAACTTGCAAGGTGCGCGGACAGCCGAGCGTTGTCTTCTTCAATTTCCTTGATCCCGTTCGGATTATCGTGGAATAGCCGTGCACCCTCGACTTGATGGAAAGCGGGGTAATGTGAAGCATCAATTTCGTCTCGTCGATACACGTCCGCTGTGAGCAGCCACTCTCGATGGCCCTTGGAGAATGTTTCAACTTCGTGAGCAGACGTATGTGTACGCAGCAAATAATCTTTGTTGATATAATAACTATCCGTGACTGATCGGCCAGGGTGGTCTAGAGGGAACGAGAGGTCGTCGAAGTTTCTTGCCGGAGTGACTACGGGTGACATGTCGGAAAAAGCGGAAAAGGTTGGGTAGTGAGACTCTATGAGGTTTCGAAGGATTCCCAGAGGGTGGGAAGGCTGGAGGTGTAATCGTCTGTCTAGTTTGTGAATAATAGCGGAGGTGATGTTCGTTTGAGAATCTCGTGGATATTCTCGACCCAATACAGAGACGTGCATTGGGCTATCTGACGATGTGGACATGCACCTGGGCCGAGGCATACTGCATCCCCGAGGAATACCTGGTAGACGTGCTCTTATTACGAGCTTGATCATGCCCTGTGCATCGTCAGTCGATGTATTTTTACGCGGAAATTGAGTTGACTCACTGGAGATTACTTTATATACTGTCTTATGGTACGTAGTACTTTTATCCCTGACTTGTCTCTCCAAGGGCAGGCCCTACGTACCGTGGGAGGGCCAAATTTCAAGGCAAGAGGTTAAAGCAGCACGACTCGGAGAGTTGATCGAAGTACAATATGCAAGCGCCCACCACGGACGCGTCCTGTCACGATTGTCACGCTCTCGAATACGCGCCTGTCACGGTGCTTTGGCGGGGGCGCCTCTTGGTGCAAGTACTCAACGATGTCACTCAGGATCAAGATCCCGAAATCCGCGGCTGTGCGCGAACCATTCCAGGTGCATTCCTGTCCTCTTACTCTCATTCCATCGTAGCTCTTATTCCAGTCTCAGGGTCAACCTTCGCCACAGTCTGAAGGAATGTCTTTGCGCAGGAAGGCATCCAAGAAGCGGTTTGCCCCTGACTATGACACGGACGATGACTTTATGGACGATGGTGCACACCCTGGTAGTGGGGACGACTATTTCGAGCCCCGCATGAAGCGCTCGAAGTCGAAGAGAGCTAAGACTGAAGACACTATGTCGGTGGACGATATAGAGGTTGATATAGATGCGGAAACAGAATTCGAACATGCAGTGGTTGCCGTGGAATCGCCTGTGGACACTCGTTTTCTGCCTAAAGAGGAGGTCATGGACACTCGCTTCCTACCGGACAGCGGTGCTTCTTTGCAAAGAGCTTCATCAAAGCAACCTTCGTCCAGCGGAAAGTCAAGGCACAAGTCGAGCAAGTCTGTGGCGGGACCTTCTCAGAAGAAAAGCTCAAAGAAGCGTGTTATTCTCTCAGATGAAGAGGAGGAGGCAGAGGTGGATGTGGTAGTTTATGAGGAGGACAAGGAGTTTGAATATGAACTACCAAAGAAGAGCATCGGGGGCAAAGGGAAGAGCATCATTGCCACAAAGAGCTCGAGCAGAAAGAGCAAAGGTGGCAAGGAGATATCGGATAAAGACGTTGCTTTTAGAGATGAGCGGAGGCTTGCGCCTCCAATCCCTTCGTCTTCAAAAGACGTTCCCCCACCACGGACCAAACGAGCTCGTCCCAAAGTCGAAGACCTCGATGTTACCGAATTATTCACAAGTACAACCGCTGACCTCATCGTGAGAGACAGGGAGCCAACGCCACCACCTCCACCACCTAAGAAACCCAAACTTCCAACCATCAAGAAGAATAAGCCACCTGCGACAGGCTCCGCGGCTGCGACGAGACCGCCGTTAACAAGGGCTGCGCCTGAAAAGACCGATGCGAACGGCTTGCCTATTCCACTGGCTCGAAAGCCTGCTGGGCCTGCGAGTAACGCTGACTTTGACTTGCGAGACAAAAGTGTCTACGCCCAACTCTTTACGAAGGTGAGCACTTGAGTGTCTCTTCTTTCATGATTCAACTGACAGGTTATTACTTCGAAATAGCCTGGTGGGACGACACCAGACTCTGGTCTGAATCGCAAGGAGAAGGAAGAACAGCGTCGTAGAGAGCTCAATCGAATGCGAGACGAGGCTCGAGCAAAGCGAGCAGAGGAAGCAGTACGTTTATTCATCTCATCATACGGATCACTGACCGATTTGCACTTTTTCAGAAACATGCCTTCGATTTGCAAGCTGCCGCCAACAAGATCGCGAAATACGAGGATAAGCTCAGAGCTCGGAAGTCTACGGCGCTGTTTCCCAATATCCTTGGGGCTTCATTCAAAGATGCCTTTGACCGGAGGCAACGTGCTAAGAGGAGAGACGAGCGACTCTATACCCACTGATGCTCAATGTTGGCACCTCTGCGTCAATTAGTTATGACATATCGTATCCTTATTTTCAGTACCTTTTTGGTTGTAATTTTACCTTTGGACTCTGGAATCTCATCGCGCGCTGTATTTGTCCTCGAGAGAAAATGTCATGTCGAAACTGTATCTGGTTCGAACGCTACACCGTCATGAAGGGTTTTGGACAACTTGAACATTTGCTCGAAGCATGTATCAAACCATTTCCGGACGTCCCTCTCCTTCTTTGGTGTTTCCGATTTGCTGATACTAACAGCGGCTAACGTTTGTTCAAGTGAAGCGACTCCGTCAACTGGTCTTGGTGGAGGAAGGAGTTCTTGGTTCAATAGGGTATCCTGAACTCGCTTGACGGCGGTCACGAGCTCGGCAAGGGACTCGGAGATCGCGGGAAGCTTTTGAGGTGCATAGAGCACGGCTACGATCTCTTCGTGTGCAAGTAACAACGTATTCGACATGTCAAGCAGAGAATCGGCTCGTCGACTGAATTCAGACGAATACGTTTGACCCTTTTTCAAGAGATCAAGCATAATTCGTTTGTGCAGAAGCGCGGACATTCGAAGCAAAGGTTGAATCTATATGATCAACTTAGCGAAACAGAAAAGAACTTCAGGCATATACAGCAGCACACCTTTTTGATCCTCTCAACTTCAACAGTCGACAATTTCTTGGTCGACCCCAAACCAAGCTCGTCAAAAGCGTCGTCGAAGTCATCGATATCTTCGTCTTCGAATCCTTCATCATCTCCCCCAGCATCTTCGATCATCTCAGCAACTTCTTTCAGCGAATCTTCCAACATATCCACATCCACGGAATACCTCTTCCTCACGGCAGCGATGTTATCATCCGGCAAGCTTCCCTTGATCTTCTCGACAAGTTCGTGAATAGCACCTGTACGGATCAAGTAATCTTCACTCCCTCCACCCGAGGAAGAAGACCCACGGTCGGCGTTCTCAGTGATCGTAACAAAGGTCTGGGACAACGCCCTTGCAGCTTCGCATACATCCTGGGCCGAGCGGCGAACCTCTTTGGCCAGAGTGATACCATGAGCATCAAAGAGTGTCGCACAGGTAGTCAATGAGGATATGTGAGTAGCGAGATCTCGTATCGGTGTAAGTGCAGCAGTGTATGCGGGTTCGCTAGGTCTGAGAGTTAATGCAACTTTGGTGGAACTTGTGTATACCAAGGTAAGCAGGGAGAGAAAATCCTTGCGAAGGACTGTGAGCGAATGCGGGGACGAGCTTGAGGAGGATGAAGGTGCTTGTTCTAGAGGTGTGATATTTGCGGTGCATGTTTCGCTCAGAAGAGCCAGAATTACTAGTACTATTGAAAGTCAGCGAGTCAGTTCCGTATCAAATGAATTCGAAAACGGACATGTTGTTACCGACCTTTCTGTCTGTCTGACATTTCATAAGTACAGCAGTGCAGGACCTGTGTGGAACTTCTAGGTCCACTTCGGAAGGTTGATGCCATGAGCGTCTGTTTCGATCATCCTTTATCCTTCATCCCGTAGGCGCTTTGTCTTTTTCCTTTCCTTTCACTTTGCTTTTACCTGCCGGACAAATTACATGAATTTAAATAGATGCTCAGAATGACATCCTGGAGTCCGAGCACAAGTTTTGAAAGCTCAACACCTCAAACCTCTCCCGAAAGATCTCCAGTGCCCTACCAAGAACTCCAACCTACTTACATATTGAACCTGTGGCTTCAAGCTTCAAAGCCTGAAGGGTTTATTCTGGCCTGGCACGTTCGTTGTCACGTCATTTATGACTTAGATGAAGGATCAGTTGCTTAAACGTGGTCCGTGGCCGCAATATTGCAGCCACATTCAGAACGATAGGCCCCAGCAAAAAAATCAGGCTCAGGATCGGCTAACGCAACGGTGATGATGAGGGCTAGCGAACCTATGCCGGGGGAGGAATGCAGTGCTGGTCAGTCATGCCGCCCTCTTCCGCCTCTGGGCTCTTCATTAGCGAGACAACACCGACGGTACCGACCCTTACCGACCCGAATGTAATTTCTGAGGAGGGGCCTATCGTTTTGAATGTGGCTGTGATATGATGGGATTAGTTTGGATCTGAGCCGTACAGGAGACGCAACGTGCCGCGAAGGCTCGAGGCTATCAGGATAAGAACTAGATTTATTCTCCGCAGAGCTGAAAAGATAATGGTCTGCATATTTACTAACACCGCCTGGCTTGCCAAGTAGCCGTACACCGGCTGACTTCCCTGATCGTCTATGCTTATCGCGCCTAGGTCGACCTTCCTATCCTTCGTCGTCGCGATTCGCACAAGCTTCCACGAAGCTTGTTTCCAACTTTCAACATCCCGAATCCCTGCTTAGTGCCCACGACAACCACCATCTACACAACCCTGAAATCGACATCACGTCAACTAGTATATCGCTGTTGATTGCCGCACAGCATTGATTCCCTCCGCGTGCTTCAAGCAAAATAGATCCTAGTGCAGAGCACACATATATTAAAAGCCCTCTAGTTGTTTTATAGGATCATGAAACGACCCGCTCTTACAACGCCCTCGATGCTTGTCTGAACCCCCTCATTGAACAAATACAGACTAGATTATTTGTGTTCCACATGGAAGGTCTTACCATTGCTGAAGCTCGTCTCTGGGGAACGGTGGTTGAGGGAATATTGTACGGTGCGTAGAGTACATGTTTGTGGATTGTCTAGGAATGAAACGCATACTCTCACTAGGTTTATATATTGCATGCTTTACAGCGTGCCTTTCTCTGTTTTTCTCGCGTCTGGTCCGGCGAACCAAACAGAACAAGATAATTCTTTGGACTATTACTGTCCTATTCTGTCTTACAACTGCGCACTTTGTGAGGCGACTCAAATCCTCCCTCTTTTCGCGCGCTTATGTATTCATGGTCACCAGGGTTGCACAATGCAAGCTCTTCGAATGGGCTTCTTTGAAACCCGCCTGCCAGCAACGCCTGATGCGTATTTCAATGATAGAGCATTGCCCCTTAACCTGGTCATCAAAAGTATAAACGGCGTTACTATGGTGCTTGGAGACTGCTTAATGGTTCGTATGCTCTGACCACAAGTCTTTCTGCCTCTGATCATGCCAACATGTCCAGTTGTTTCGTCTTTGGGTGATATACGAGGGGAATATCTTCGTCATGGCATTACCAACGTTAACCATGCTTGCTACAGGCGGTAGGCTACATGGTCTCATCCATTTTGTGCTATGTTAACGAACGCATGACGCATATAGCCATAGTATTCGTCCTGACCTGGGAGTTTTCAAACCTAACGCCTACCCAGAATTCATTCGCCGAGTCGATCAAGAGAATTGCGCCAGCTGCCTTTGTTCTACCGGTCGTCACAAATGTCTTCATTACTGCACTCATTCTCTATCGCATCATCAGCACACGAGCAGCGGTGCGCAGGTTCACATCTATACACGATGATCATATCTACCGAACAGTGATCACGAACGTGGTGGAATCTTGTTTAATTTACCCGGTTGTTCTCATCGTTGCCTTGATATTGTACCTTTGTAACAGTAACGGTCAAGATGTGGTGAGTCTCTTCAGAGGGTCATTAGAAGCTTCGCATACTGAACTGTCTTGCCCAGATTACGGGAGCACTTCCCCAAGGTACGATTGCCATCGTATCAAAAGCAACCCACTCATTGATCCCACGAATAAGTTATTGGCATAGTTGCGACGCTGCTCTGGGTGTTAGTGCATCTAGGGTTTAGCCGTTATGACGTCGCACGGAATCAATGTATCTCGGAAGAGAGCATTGAAGCGCGTATGACATTCGTTATTCCCAAACCTCCTACGCCAGATATTCCTTGACAAGATGTATTCCTATATTCTGGGCCTCATACCTTACCAATTTCGCAGAATTTAGGTTTATAAACTGTACTAATGACGGGCAAGCAAAGCATATCAGTGTATAATATACATGTAAAGTAGTACAAAACGAAGTAGACGAAGCGAGGACATCTATAACGCGTACGACACCGCAAACTCTGACGACGACGCTACCGGTTTTGGCTTGCCGTTGGACCCGCCTTTGCTCCGGCCCCATTTCACGGTAGCAGTCTCTTCTCCAATCTCGAATCCATTAGCCCATGCGTGAGCTGCGGTCTCAGCAGTCTCACGATCTTTGAAGTTAACGAAAGCACATCTAAGCCCAGACTGTAAACTTGAGAACTGTGCAAGTAGTCAAAGATGTCATACCTTGACTTCGCAACGTGAACGATTGACTTGATCTGTGATGGCGGAACAGAAGGTAGTGATTGGACAACCCTTGTACGAATGCTGTCCTCAGTCGCCATCGAGGGTAACGATGACAGGAATAATGAAGTCTGAAAAAGAAAGATATCAGCAGGAACCACACAATGGTCTTTATTGAGTACGTACAATTGATTTGTCCTCTGGTGGAGCCAAACCCAAAGTCGAGGCATGCGTAGACATGATCTTATGTGCTACTGGGTCATTTCTGCCATGATAGCGATCCGGAATATTTTGCTTTGAGAGTTCGTTATTGACTGGCATTTCATGGCTAAGCAGTACAAAGATGTAAGTAAGGGAAGCAACCCACTTTCAAATTCACGCACCGGTAGGGACAATCCGACCCTCGATTACACTCTCCCTTGGCATAGAACGAACACAGATGCGCACGATTTCGCTTGTAGTATGGATCTGTTCGGGCCAGCTGCTTGAGCATTTCCTTCCCTGCTGAGGAAGCACGATTTGAATCGAGCAATGACTTGCTTCCCTCCAGCTTCCAAGTACACATTCAGAATGAGGCATAGGAAGGTAAAGATGAATGAAACATACCCTGCTCTCCATGTTCTGAGCGTAGTACTCTCGGTTGATTTCGCTTGTTGGAGCGTCGTTTTCAACGGCAAGGGCGGTATCTCGAACTTGAGTTGGAAGGCCATATTCCAGGTCAAGTAGACATGTCTGGCAAACGTTCTTTATCTTCGCACAGGTTTGACAGATCACAGTAGTCTTGTAGCGCATTCCAGTTCCTGGGTTCCAGCGGAAAACAGTGAACGGCCTTGCACAGGTACCACAAGAGCGGCCATATTCTTGTTTTGACTGTTCCGTCAGTCAGCAAAGAGAAAAATGAGATATAGTACATGGACATACCATTCGAACGAATGCATTATCACCTAGACCTACAATGAGGATGTTCAGTGACTGAAACTCAGAGTCGGCCACCCTACTCACAAGTTTCGCACAAAATGGGAAAGTCACTCTGTTCCCAACCGGCCTTGTTGATATCTGCTTTCGGCGGCATATCGTTATACTTCTAGATGATAGGTGGGGCACAATAGAACAATAGCTTCAAGCCGGAGATGATGATGGTTTGGACGGTGAAATGGTAAGCGCCCACTAAGATGAACTTGAATTGCCTTACTCAGCCTTTAGTGGAATGGCTTGGGATGAACACTACGATGCTAAAAAGATACATGAATTCATGAACGAAAATACAGGGTGCTAGAGTGCTATGCGACGACGAGAACATTGAGCAACAGAAGAGATATATGATTCTACAGTCTAAGTGTACTTGATGCGGAGGGAAAGGTTGAATGGAAGAGTGGAAGAAGTGACCGTAATCTCGTCGCCGTCTTCGAGCAACTCTGATACTTTCATCTCTAGATTTGGTCGTGTCGCTTGCTCTAGCTGCGGCGGAGCTTGGAAGTATATCTGCTTCTTTGATGTGGATAGAGATGGCCTTTTGATTTGGCTGAAGGACGGCATGTGAGTTGACCTGCCGGGACTAAGGAGGCAGATCACTTACATATCTTCTTTCTCGACCAACATTTCGATGAGCCTTTCAACAGTCCATTCCTTACCAACAGTAATGTCCAAGGACTCTCCTCCACAGACAGGACAATCCTTCCGTCTCTCATGCTCGAACGTGTAGGAATAAACGCCGTCCGTTCCGATGAGCATGAAATAGTTATTTAGGTACGCAGCAGCAGATGTCGCAATCTTGAAAGCCTCATTACAGCAAGATGCTACCGATAAAGTAAGAAACTGTAAAGCTGCGCTGGGGATGCAACATGCGTACCTGCAATGATGGCATTCGTTGACGCGATTGCAGGAATGATGTTCTTCACGACGCCTTGTGTAAGTGACCATGTCACACCCTCGATCTTGAACTCCTTCGCGCGCTTAAGAGCAATGTTATAAAGCCAGTTAATATGCTCTGGGTCATCTGTATCCAGTCTCTTGTCTACATAAAGGTCAGAAACATATTTAGAGTAAAAGAAAAATCGCTTCACTAACCTCCGTATACACGAGGCCATTCCAGTACTGAAGCCCATTCAATACAATGCTCTGGCAATCGTGGTGTGTTGGCGATAGTACAAATCGGAAATGCGGTTGGTTTGTTTAGCATGTCCAAGGAACATTCGTAACAAGAGGTCAATTGAGGGAGAATTACACGAGCCTGGCCCTTGAAACCTGTGACTGGGATGAAGAGGTTTGTTCATTAAAATTTACAGTATGTGTTTACCTTCGGTACCACCATCGATCAATGGCTTCAGACTTTCGGGGTTATCGTCATCAACCATATTGACTAGTGTGGCGTTGATCCATCGGCGAGCTTCTACAGAGTCGAGGCCACAGACAATGATGTTGAACTGCATATAATAGTCCTCGTCTTTGTCCTGGATCTTGCCAAAGTAACTGAGGCAACCATAAGCATATCTATATGATAGCGAACATAAACTCACGGTGTAACCTTCACACCCGGCACCCGATTCATAATGAATTCTGCTGCCACAATAGCCTTCGGCTTGCCAACATCCTTCGGTCTGCAAGATTCTGAGTATGATACAAAGATGGTAAGTATCCTAAACATACCTGAAGAGAAACTGCCGATTCAGATTACTGATGTCGATGGTATCCATATCAATGACATGAATGTCCTTGAAGCCAGACAATGCAAGGTTGGCAAGGATCTCACATCCTAGACCGCCCGCACCAATAACAAGAATCTTGCACTTGTTTCTTAAGAACTTCTTGACCTGAGAGACAAGATTGTAAACGGTGTCGATCGCAATACGAAACACGAAGACATACATCATCCCCTGCCTGAAACGAAGGATCGGTACGGGGGCCCGGCCTGTCTAGGATTTGGTCAATGTGGTAGTAGCGATCGTCCCAGTCGCTCGAGGTCGCATTCCCGTTCACGGCGGCCATGGTGATGGCAGAAAGAGAGAAAGTACAGTGAGGTACGAGCCACGAGGAGCCTCGCCCTCCTCAATGAAGATGACAACTTGCGGTGCGTACAGATCGAGCGCTTCACATTTATAGCACGCGAACATAGGCGCTCACGTGTTTACAATGTGCTCCTCGACTTCCAAGCAGCTTCAGACAGTGTCTGACATGGCAAGCACGACCTAATCTGCCGCCTGGTCAAATTGTATGCAGATGGTCGGGCGGATTGCCATTTCACATGCCAATCTGACCGCCCAGAAGACCAGAAAGTAAATTCTAATTTTGCACAACTATTTGTTTGTATGGTAGATGTTTTACGGCAAATACAGTATATTGTCTATGAACAAATTTAGTCTTTGTACTAGAATTTGCCAAGGCAACAGATTGTCTAACATATTTTCTATTGTTGTTCAGATATGCCAAAGCGACAGAATTAGAATTTGTTCCCCTGAGAGAATTAATATCTGCTGATCCGGCAGATTGTGATCAGCCAATGAAAACATGATTCTCCGATCTGTTAGTCTGGAAGATTCAAATTTGATCAAAGTCTGCCGGGCATGCACAATAAGAATATCCGCAACGTCGATACTGTTTAATGAACTTAGAAATACTCTATTGTTCTGATGCGCCAGCAGATTGTATCAAACATATTCTTATTATTGTGTAGTATCAAATTTCAAATTTAAACCTTCATCTGCAGGGCGAACAAAGTTGAGGGTAAAGTCTATATTATATATTGTATTTACCGGGCGGTCAGATCGGCGTGCGAAATGGCAATCCGCCTGACCATCTGCACACAATTTGACCAGGTGGCAGATTAGGTCGTGCTTGCCGTGTGATGGTAGAATACATGTGATCGGATGCTAGCAAGATGATACAATATACGTAATATCTAACAAGTGAATGGTTTCCCGACCAAACCATCTCTATACGCGTCTACGATCAACTTTCGAAGCACGCACAGGACATAATCAGCTGCAGGGCTCGAAAGACCTAGACAGGATGAAGTGACGCACCTTGATTGATACATAGGTTCCAGCAACACATATAAATGCGCCAGCAACGATAGTCAATACAGCCAGTGTAGTACCGAACCATCTGCGTTTTAGTTCGCGTTCACCTCCGCCAAGGTAATAGGCGTCGTGAAGCCAGAAGAAGCCGGCCAATCCGTAGGTGTACCAGGACGCAAATAAAGATGCTGAAATACTAATTAGATCAGAGAAGATGGGGACGGCTGCGGCAAATATAAATGCAATGGCGACTGCAGCGAAGCAAAGGAATATCCACGTAAACCATCCCAGGAACGTGTGCGAGTGGACGTGATGTGAGCGTCGGAAGAGGCGAACGAATACTAATTTGGCGGCAGTGTGTGAATATATGCCGCCGGCACTGCGTTAAGCGATTAGTTTGAAACATCGTTGCTGAAAGCGTCGAAAGAAACGTACACAAGGAAGTTGACTAATCCGATTCCGAAGGTGATTTTTGACCACACTGGTGGCAGCGAGAGGAGGGCGGGGGAAGCCACTGTGCTCCCAATGTATACGTAAATGACAATGCTGAACACTACGTAAAACGTCGTGGAGAACCCCTGAAGAACCCAAGCAGCCTATTGGGGGTCACATTTCTGGAAAGCATTGCTTTGCCACAGACGAAAGGCTCACCTTCATGGCGTCTTCAGGGCGGCTCATCTCAGATATCAAGATGAAAAACCTGGAAGTCATGATGAGTTATACCGACAGCAATACTTCGTAGGGTGCCATACATAAAATGACCTAGTGAATGAATCATTAGCAATCACGTCATTTGTTGCATGAGTACCTACGCACCGGCGTAGGCGAAGACCTTAAATGAGAGCTTCAGTCTTTCAGAAAGGGATACGTTTATGCAATATGCACTCACCGGGTTCGTGATAGCGAGGAAAGCATTTGGAAAATTGTTTGGTACTGTCGCATTTAATACACGATCAGGAACTGGATTTGTCCCCGCTCCAACCATCGCTAGGATGCCACATAATGTGATTGAGGCAACACTAAACACGCCGAGCCAACTAAGTCGCCCAAGAGTCCGTGGGAGAGCCAAAAGAAGGGTGGCAATGGAGAAGATAAGCAGGAACAATATGGCACACAACCCGTTGTCTGACAGAGAAGATAAAGCTAGTTGTCCTGATAGTAGCTCAGATCCCTAGGTAGTTTTGTTAGCAATTCATCACTCGAACATATTGATCACACACAGTGCCACATATAGCAAAGATAATGGTGCCTGCAGAGAGTAACTCTCTACCGATAGGACCAAAGAGGGTGTACCCGGCGTCGCCTAACGTCCAGGTATTTTAGGTGAGGTTGAGGCTTTGAGAGAATGGTGAGACTTACCCATACTATGCACGCCTGGGTGATTGAGTTTAAAATCGATAAGTAGTTTTGCAGTAAAGAGACCAAAAATGCCGAGGAATATCGTGAGGATAAGGGCAGGGACAATACCTAAGGCCGCTCAATGTGAGTAGATTTTAACATCACCTAGCAATGATCATACCAACAGCAGCCATAGCGTTTGGTAAAGAAAGCATGCCATTGCTGACGATCTCGGCAATCATAAGCATGCTCACGAACTAGATGGAATCATAATTGTTCGAACCAATGTCGTATCTGCGTGTCAAATTTGAAAAAAAAAATTACCTGCCAGCTCAAGGTTTTATAACGGATGTCATGGTTTGTCTCGTCGCCAAAAACATCTTCTGCGGCCTTTGGAGGTCCCGAGGGTCCGCTGTCCGCCTCAGCGTCCTTCTTTTCTTCCGTGAAGGAGGACATCATCGAAGTTCAACAGGAAGCTGATAAGGTCTTCAGAAAGGAGCCACGGCATGATAAGTCTGTTGTGATGGAGAGCTTAAGTATCTCCGCTGGACAAGCACGAAGGCTCTTATCTGATACAAATATAAGTATGGATGGGACTGGGTCGTCTAGTGAAGCTGGCATGCTGTGAAATCACCTGCCGCTTTCGGAGGACAACCTTGTGGTAATCGTGATCTCGAGACTCGGAGTGACTGACGCAACTTAACATTATACTCACATGCAATTCGTTCGTCTCGACATCAAGGACTCACAGCGACAACCTCTGTAGCGCCGAGGGTTCAAGCGTGAGTGACCGAACACTGTAGGTTAGTGCTACTATAAGTCGATTGGAATCAGCTGTGAGCCTTTGTCATTAGGCTGTCAGTGGAATGTGCTTATTCACTTCACAGTTGACCCATAGAGACAGGCGACATAGGCTCCATGTAATACGACGCTATGAAACTGGTTGAAGACCTGATTCCAATTATATTGGACTCTGCCGATCACCCCGCTCAACATGACCTGTCACGATTTGCGCTGGTATCCTCTCAATGGTTGTGGCCGGCGAGGAAGCGACTATACGCGTCACCAACCATCCACACGTTCGAGGCTTGCAACCGTCTCGCAAGAACTTTGCAGCAAAATGTCGAACTGCAGTCACTCATACGAGGCATTAAATTTGACCCGACCACCCCGACCACGGCCTCCGCGGTTGTGGTTAATTATTTCGACTGGGTGAATATCGTTTATGTACTTCGGCTGAACAGACTTCGCTCTCTGGAACTGGCGGGAAACTTGGCGTTGTTTGCCACCAAGCTCACCCAGCGGGTCGATCGTTTTCGTCAGCTCACTTCACTTCATTTGGACGGGAGTGCCTTTCAATCATCTGCTTCGTTCGACTGGGACCGCACCACCGCTTCCCAACTGTCTGGTCTTACCCATTTGTCCCTGAAGAAACTCCGACTCATCATTGCGCATCCGTCGGTAGAAGTGCCACTGCAGCTCACCCATTTATCCTTCGACGACGTCATGATATTCCCAGGTGACCTGCACCACCTTTGTCACGGGCATTGGCATACCCTTCGTCATTTACGAATAGCGGGACATACGGATCTGGATACCAATGAAGAACTTCGCAGTACCCTCGAGCTCTGCACGAACCTAGTTTCATTCGAATATGAGGCTCGAGGCGTTTGGGAGCACGGTGCAATATACGATGACAGGCTACCTGTCATTCCATCCCTTCGGAGACTCGCTTTGCTAAACGTGCTCTTCGGTCAGGAATCGCTTCAATGCATCGACCGATCATTCCACAACTTGGAGGAGCTGACTGTTGCTGGGGCACGGTCTTATCGTATCAGCCCAGATGATTGGGTTGATGCGTTGAAGGAACACAGTTTTCGGTCCTTGCATACCCTCAACACTCCGAGGCCAGTAGAGGGTGCACCATTGCAAGAAATCTGCTTCAACCGTAATATCACGCTATTGCGATATGTTTAGTTGTCTATGCAAGGCTGCGAACTGTAGCCCAGACGCGATAACCTGAAGTAAGCAGTGTCTCTGAAATATTTGACTTCACTGACGCGTTACTTTTCAAACTCTGCAGGCCAGTCAGTAACATTGTTGTTGCTCGTGCATAAATTGCATTGAAGAACCACCGGCCCCGTGACCGCAATGTGGGGACATAGTGATTATAATCAGAACATGCATTTGGCTGATTGACTGAATAGGACCACCCGAATACCGTTAGAATGACGTTGCGCGATGACGAGCTTGAGCTAGCCTAGCTTGTTGTGTTCGAAACTCCGAAAATGAATCCTCATGAAGAGGGTGAACGAAGTGAGTAATGATAGATATTTGCGATTCACATATACGTCAGTTTCTTGGTCCATTGCTACCTTCGCTGCGAGGCTATGAATTTGCCAGAATCCATGTTCGAATAAGTATACATTATTGTGATGCTTCTTGTCATCCCGAAGTTTGAATTCAACGTGAAAATAAATTCGAAATGTTCTGAAAACTTGTGAACATGTTTTGCGCAACGAACAATGCTTAGACTGCTTAAACACTCGCGATACCCTCTCGACAGTGAGCTCACAGTTCTTTCTCACCCAAATCGGGATTGCAACTTGGCACTCTCGAGCGCTTAACTTGCGATTCCCTATTGCTTTTTCTAGCCTAACTTGCCTCCACCATCATCCATGCTCTCTACGATGACCTCTGTTCTGCACTTCAGCGGTCACCAGTATCTACGACACAGACTAGTCCTATCTATTCTTAGCGGGAAACCATTGAAGATCGATAAAATTCGTTCCGATGACAAAAACCCTGGTTTGCGAGGTCATTGGTATCTTAGCTTGGAAGTGAGGGTCGTTGTGCTGACTTTCTTTACCCCATAGATTACGAAGTTAGTTTGCTTCGACTACTGGAACGAGTTACGAATGGCACAATCATTGAAATATCGGTCACTGGTACGTGCTACTTTCCGTGACCTGAATTCAGCAGCTTAGCACCTCTCAGGTACCGCGATTCTCTTAAAACCTGGTATCATTGCTGGAGGCTCTATTACACATGAGTGTCCTCTGTCTCGCTCAGTTGGATATTTTCTGGAACCAATCATCATGTTGGCTCCTTTTGCCAAAAAGCCGATGCATTTGACCTTGCGGGGAATAACTTCTGACGATCAGGACCTGTCTGTGAGTTTGTTCATCATGATGCACCATAGTTTCACCGCTCACCTTCAACCAGGTTGATCTGATCAGGACCGTTACTTTACCCCATTTACAACTGTTTGGAATTTCTGATGGTCTAGAACTTCGGGTCAGTAGTACGTTTTCCAAAGTGTTTGTTGATTTTACTTACATCCCACTGCAGATTAAAAAGCGTGGAAGTCCACCTGTAGGTGGCGGTGAAGTCCAATTCCTCTGTCCCATCGTGAAGCAAATAAAGACTGTAAACTTCGTGGATCCTGGGCGTATCAAACGGATACGAGGCATTGCGTAAGTTTCTATTCTGCCTACCTAAGCCAGTGATACCTGACTTCAAGCTTCTACAGACATGCAGTTCGTGTCAGTCCGCAATTCTCGAATCGAATGATTGAAGCTTCGCGATCTATTCTCAATCGTTACATTCCCGACATCTACCTTTACTCCGACGTATACAAAGGCGAAGACAGCGGAAAGTAAGCGTATTCCGCATCTTATCTACATTCATGAAACCAATGGGCCTTGCAGATCACCCGGATACGCTCTAAGTCTGCTGGCTGAGTCAACAACTGGTGCAATACATTCTGCAGAAGCAGTCTCCAAACCCGGGGTCACTCCTGAGGACATCGCGTTATTGGCTTCACGTGCACTTCTGTCCGAAATCCGAAGAGGTGGAAGTATTGATAGGAAACATCAGACCCTTGTCCTTCTTATGATGGTACTTGGCAGTGAGGACGTTGGTAGGGTCAGAATGGGTGAACCGTCACCTCGGACGTACGTAATGACACCCGAGTAAAGAACATCATTGGTCTGGTGACTGACATCCTGTCATATTTGTAGGATCCAGTTCCTTCGAGACGTTCGCGACTACTTTGGAACCTCGTTCAAGATCGTACCTGCGGACAAGAGCGACCCAGATTGCACAGAACTGCTCTATTCATGTTATGGAACCGGCTATGTCAACGCTAACAGGTCACTTGCATAGTGTAGAGCATATGCATTTAATGTAGTGATCTGAATTGTAGACTTTCTCTGGGTGCGTTTGCTGAACATACAGTACGATTGCGTTGCAGCCTAACATTTCTCCTCCTAGAGATGATACATTTTCACCATTCTGAGGTTGTATTGGAAATAGCGTTGACCAGTGCGCCCATCGTAGTCAAGACACATGCACTCCGTGAACATCGTCCACTCTAGATTGAACAGGATACGTGGGATGTCCCTGAAAGTCTCGTCAGCGATTCACTTGCTTTTGTCACGTTGTTTGACATGCCATACGGTACGGGGGGAATAAACATGTAGACGCGTGAACGCCGCCGGAGCAGCGCATGCCTCGGATTCAGGGAGGATATAGCAGTTTCGAAGCTTTCTAGGAAACCAGCATATTGTCTTCCGATCAGAAGGTAACCCAGGCTCTCACCAGAATGACAGCTATTACCCTCCATTTTCATCAAGGATCTGGCGGCCAAAGGCAAGAATGGTAAGACTGTAACTCCTCGTGCTAAGATTTCGGTATTCGTGCTTGGAAATGGCAGGAAATTTTCACTGCCTTTAGCTTCGTTTGCGCGCGGTACGTCCATCTATGACAGGAATCGAACACAGGCATTGTTTTGGCACTTCCGTCCGCTTACCTTACTGCTGAAGTTATTGACGTGTAACGTGAAGAACCTGAGAAGGAAGGCCACGTGATGGTGAGCGATACCTCCGGTGACTGATCATACGCCCCAAACCATTTCATGCCATCAACGTTCATCAGCTTCTTCATGCGCGTTTTTTCCAACATTAGACAACCCTACGGCCCAGTTACCGCGTTGCTCGTGGGCATATTTGCCAAGAACCGCAATGCCGGAAAGGAGGTCTCCAACTATAAATCCTTGCTCCTTTCTCCGAGCTTCATCCGACTGCGGCCACTTTCCTTTGCTCGTCGCTAACCATGAAGCTCTGCATCGGCCTAGCGGCCGTCTACAACGCTGTACTGGTGACTGCAGTCGTCGCAGCGCCCTCCAGCGTAGATTCTTCCGCTGCAAGTGCGAGCAGTAGCTTTGTGAGCCCGGTTCCATCTTCGTCGGCTCTCCCTTCCTCTTCCCTTTCACTGTCATTGACAAGCCCTATCACTTCTGTGTCGCCAAGTTCTGTCCCCTCTATTTCTCTTTCGTCTAGTTCACTGTCCAGGTCTGCCTCGATCACCGGCTCAGTATCCGCCTCCAGGGTGTCGTCTGTCTCTGCATCACTCAGCTCAGTCTCTGGGAACGCGACTTCGGCTCCCGTGTCGCCTACATTCAACACCGGCGCCGGCACTGAGACAGGTATGTATCCTGCTGTTATTCGCTTGCCTTCATGGTTTCGTGTCGCACGCTTGGGGAAAGTTCAACAACCTTTTTCGGTGATGTCATTCCACGTGGTGAACGATCGTCCTCGATCTCTGATTTTGCCGTCGGCATATGCGTGGGCCCGTTTGAGGCGGGCTTGGTCTTCCGCAGAACGCTGCTTGCGCGCGAAGGGGACGAGGGTGCGAACCCTGCACCATGTATCGCTTTCAGCTACCACGATAAGTAGCATCTGTCAGCTTTGTCTCCTGACTTATGGGTAGCTACCATGCTCGTCATTCCAAGAGCAAACGATGCTACTTCATCTTCCCATCGTTGATCGTTCTCGTTCTCTTCGTTATATTATTCCCAACATTATTCAACCGCTTTCGCCATCAGTCAAACTCGATATCCACGTCTTTAACCGTTTCACCAACAGGTATAATATTTCCTACCATCACTCCAGAGTCGTTCACACCTTTCCCGGTTCCCTCTGACACACCGATCCCAAACACCTTCCCCGAAACTCAGCCGCAGAACCCACCAGCGGTATCCGATAGTGGCAAAGTCGTACCGGATTTCGGACAAGCATGGAAAAGGGCCTATAGCAAGGCCAAGGCTCGCATCGCAAGCTGGTCGCTTGAACAAAAAGTCAACTCTACGACTGGTATAGGATGGTCCAACGGCTTGTGTGTTGGTAATATTCCACCCATAAAGGATTGGCCTGGTCTATGTCTTGAGGTACGGAATATCTTTCCATCTTGCTCATACGTTGCTGACCTCTATTCCATCAGGACTCTCCTCTTGGAGTTCGCTTCGCCGATTTCGCAACTGCGTTTCCAACTGGTGTCAACACCGCTGCAACGTAAGGGACCTTATTATATCAAGTCTGAAATCTATTGACATCTGTGTTCAGTTTCAATCGAACTCTGTTCCGTATCCGAGGCGAGTTTATGGGCGCGGAACACAAGGGGAAGGGTGTCCATATCGCCCTTGGTCCGATGATGAACTTGGGGTATGTTAAGCTGTTTGCTTCAGGACGCATATAATGGCTGAATATGATGTAAAGTCGCATTGCTCAAGGCGGTCGCAACTGGGAAGGCTTTGGGGCCGATCCATATCTGGCTGGTGAAGCTGCATACGAGACTATTCTCGGCATGCAGGGGTCTGGAGTACAAGCTTGCGCTAAGCATTACATTAACAAGTACGCTTTCTAGACTTTCATTCATTCGTGATGACACTGATGTTATGGGTAGCGAGCAAGAGCACAAACGGACTCAGTCCTCATCCAATGTGGATGATAGGACACAACATGAGCTGTACGCTCATCCCTTCTTGCGTAGCGTGCAAGCTGGCGTCGCAAGTGTGATGTGCAGTTACAGTTAGTTCCATTTTGCGATGCATTATTAGTGTACTAATAGAGATTTGACAGACCTCATCAACGATACCTATGCATGTGACAATGACAAGATGCTCAATGACGTCCTCAAGCGCGAGTTTGGCTTCCAGGGTTATGTCATGTCTGATTGGAGTGCTCAACACACCACTGAGAGTGCTATGACTGGTCTCGATGTGAGAAGACGTTTCCGGCTCTTGTGTACGTACATTGACCAATTCCGACGTATTAGATGACTATGCCAGGAGACATTACATTCGACTCTGGAACATCGTACTTTGGTCAGAACTTGACTGACTACGTAAGGAACGGAACCATCCCCGAATCGCGAGTCGACGACATGGCAACCAGAATTCTTGCTGCGTGGTATTTCCTTGGCCAGGACAAAAACTACCCAAAAGGTAGGTGGAGCATTGACTTAGCTTTGAAGTTCATCGCAAATAGTTTCTGATGCTTCCAGTGAGCTTCAATGCGTTTGACGCAATTGACGAGGTCACCAATGATCACGTGGATGTCCAAGAAGACCATTTCAAGGTTGTCCGTCAAATCGGCGCAGCCAGCTCCGTTCTTCTGAAAAATACAAAACGCGCTTTGCCTTTACAGAAACCGAAGAGCGTCGTTCTCATTGGCAACGATGCTGGTCCCGCACGCAATGGACCAAACGGTTTCTCGGATCGTGGTGGGGACGACGGTGTCCTCGCTATGGGTTGGGGTTCCGGAACCGCCCAATTTCCATACCTGATCTCGCCTTTGGAAGCCATCCAAGCCCGTGCACGGAAGGACAGATCTAGTGTCTCATGGTTTTTGGACAACTTCAACCTCAACGGCGCTGCAAACGCTGCGATCGGCCAGGATGTTGCAGTACGTTCCAGCAGTCTGACATATTGGCCATCGAGCTTGATCTTGTCTATTCATAGCTAGTTTTCGTTAACGCTGACTCTGGCGAGGGCTACATCACCGTCGATGGTAATGAAGGAGACCGCAAGAACTTAACCTTGTGGCAAAATGCGGATGCCCTTATTTCCGCTGTTGCTCAGCAAAACAACAACACCGTGGTCGTTGCACACTCCGTTGGACCTGCTATCGTTGAGTCATGGATCGATAATCCTAACGTCACTGCTGTACGTAGTGATCTGCCACCTACCTTATTTCTCCTCAATTTAAGCAACCGAATAATAGGTCGTATGGGCTGGTCTGCCCGGTCAGGAGGCTGGTAACTCCATCGCTGATGTTTTGTACGGCGACTTCAACCCATCTGGTCGCCTGCCTTACACTATTGCGAAGAGCCCGTCTGACTACTCTGCACAATTGGTCACCGGTGGTGGCGCACAGGACATTTTGAGTATCCCTTACTCAGAAGGTCTTGGCATTGACTATCGCCATTTCGATGCCGTACGTCGCCGCTTCCTTTTCCCTTCGGTCGAAGTTGACTTAATGATTTCTCCAGGCTGGTATTGAGCCTCGGTTTGAATTCGGTTTCGGTTTGAGCTACACCACGTTCAAGTATTCGGGCCTGCAGGTGTCTGCTGTGCACCATTCAGACAAGACCTCCTCCAAATTGGAAGCCAATTGGGCTGTTGGAAAACCGTCCCCCATCGCGGTAGGATCATCTGCAGCAATTTGGCTTCATCGGCCAGCTGTTCAGGTGAAGTTCACTGTCACGAATACTGGTAAAATTGCTGGCGGCGAGGTACCTCTTTTTACTTGTGATGATAGTAGACCTATGATTGATGTTTGCATCTACACTAGATTCCACAACTTTACATCCAACATCCCGCTTCCGCTGGAGAACCTCCTTCGGTCCTGAAGGGATTCGCGGACGTTTTACTCAAACCAGGCCAGAGCAAGACCGTTACCATCAACCTGTCTCGATACGACTTGTCTATCTGGGACACCGTTGGGCAAGGCTGGGCAAGACCAAAAGGAACCATCAAGTTCGCTGTGGGCCAAAGTAGTCGATTGTTCAAGTTGAAAGGTAGTATACCCATTTGATGGACTTTTATAAATACCCTTGCAACGAACTCGGACCTATCTAAAGACTGTTCATGTGTAGATCATATGTGTTACAAAATAGCATGCATTAGATTTCTCATAGTATTGAACAGCCTCATCGATAAATTATGCACACATCTCCGTAGTCACCATCTTCTTGTCCCCCTCCTGCCATAACTAACCACTGTGACAACATAGGCCAGCCAACATTGAACCGCGTGCATAGCTCATCTGTATGGTGTTCTCCATCTAACAGCGGAACCAAGGCTGGTGGGAACGGGGACGCAGTGTGCGGCAGATGTGCCCCGGGTGCAGAGGGAGACTTTGACATACGTATCCCTCTCGCTATGGCACCAACGGTGCTCCGACCGCCGCTGGAATGTTCGCTTTCCATGCTGTCGGAGCCACCACCCGCGTCCGGTGATAACCGCATAGAGGAGAACTGGGGCGACGAAGAGACATAGGTGGGAACAGCAGAATTCAGATTAGAGTAATCTACTTGGGGACGTCGAGCGGGAGGAGGCTCTCTTGCACTCATGCTTGGTGTACGCAATGGTCTAGTGCGTACAATTGGCGTTCGTTCTTCAGATTGCGGTTTTGAGATGCGGTTGTGGAGTCGAGCCAAAGACCTTTCGGCAGCGCTCACGTGACGTTGGACACTCTCGCGTTCTTTGGGGCTGATTGGAACTAGCTCTGCACCGGCAGAGGTGATGGTGGGCAGGGCTTCTTGTACTGGGGCTCGGACTCTTGACTGATCGGGTTCTGGACGAGCGAAGGATAGAGACGGTTGAGCTACAATGCTCGAGAGCTCTGACACTCGACTTCTGTCGCCAAGTCTCGCAGAATCTCTCATCTCTGCTGTAGAGCTTGGTTTCGAGGAAGGCATGAGTATTGGCCACCGGTGAACTCTCCTCAGAAACCCCTAAATACAACGTGGGCTTTAGCTAGAGGGATTGGTAAAGACGCAAAATATACCTTGACAACTCCGAAGCTGATGAATCGCCTTATGTCGATACCCTGATTAAAGACATCATACTCCTGCATCCATTCATATACAGTCTTTCCTGACTTCAGCCTTGAGTACAAATGCAGTAGTTTTGGCCAATCGAGGACGGCCCCTGTATCAATAAACAGTCAGTTCAGTTGAAGTGAGCAACGGCTAAGTCATGTACTTGCCGGGTCTGGCTACATAGGACGGGCCCTCTTCCGTGACGTGAGGCTGGTCGGCCATCCACTGTATGCTCTTGCGTAGTGTATATACGTTAGAGAACTGGAAGATGTCGATCAACGTGACCACCTGATAATAACTGTAGCAGAAACATTCAGCACTCTACTAGGAATATAGAAAGGGACGACTGACAGGAGATGCGAAACAGCTTCGCGAACAAGAGCAACGTCGCAATCAGCCAGAGTTGCGATGCGTGCAATGTGGTTGACGCCATCTATATATTTACAAATCTGGACAAATCAAGAAAGGATGAAGTACAAAAAGGAAAAACTAACAATACCTTGACTATAGTCAAATCCCAATTAGACCTTATCCTGTCTTTGAGATTGATCAAAGCAAGGGGAACTTGCCAATCATGAATGGGGGCGGGATTGGGAAAGAATGGGAAAATCTTCAGTTCAATGGAATTAAATTTGTCTATTGGGATCGACGTCTCCCGATATGAATTCAGGTCTTCATAAAGCTGCTCCAGGATAGCATGAATCGCCGAAGAATTGTCCTCCGAAGATAGGAAACGCGACTCATCCTGATCCCAAATGTCGGTTAATATGATTGTGTGTAGGACAAACCAAATACAACAGACCTCACAAGCAGTCAAGACTCTTCCGATCTTGCGTATCACGGGCTCGAAACAGCTGAGGTCGGCGGTACGATCGAAGACAAAGCATAGATTGAACCGAAAGTAGTTTCGTTCGTACCGGCCTTTCATCTCAACAGGAAAGCCTATGATTCGATGCCCTCGCGTAGCACAAATAACCAATCTGCCATACAAGGCACTGTTGGGTATGATGTACTTGGATATATCGTCGAAATTAAAGAGATATTTGTTGCTGGAATCGGGTCGTTTCTGAGGAGACCGCAGTTGACGGACGTCGACTGCACTGAGCATTGGAGTTCCAAGGGCAGAGGTAGAACTCGTAGGAATGTCGCGTTCACTATCATCTTTGGAAGTCATGGCAGAAAAAGAAGAAGGTGACTGTGTGGTGTCATGATTTGACTTGGAAGTTCCTGAAGAGCTGGCAGAGGTCGCTATTAGACCTTCTGGAACCTGGTGGACAATTTTTGGCCCATGCTCTATGTCAAAAATGGCATAGAATACGGATTCAATTCGAGGAAGGAAAGATGAGCCAGTGTCGGCCATTGTTGAAATATTCATCTTGAGGATATTGCCTCATGAGTTGAGCCTATGATACACTTCAGTGTAAATGGTCGTACTGGCCAACAGTGCTAGTGAGGTCACATACCTTTGCCATACAATGTATATACGAGCCTGCAAATAGGCCATATCGTGGTTGGATTCGAGATGGACGTCAAGCGTGAACCTAGACCTATATTGTTAGTGCAGTGTCAAGAGCGGACCGCCACCGTAACAAGAAAGTCTTTCGACCTGCTTTCGACTGTTCGACACCGTCTTTGTCTCCATTTGTACCGACATCTTTATATTGCAACACACCCATTTGCTATGACCATAACGCTACAGACAGGTTTCAGAGCACTGCCGCTCCCACTTGCTCAACTCTCACTTGCTGCAGTTCTCCAATGTGGCCAGTCTTTCCGGTGGTCGGTATTCCCGCTGTCGCACAACATTCCAAACGCGACCCTCCCTCAGTTCGAATACCGACTCTGTCTTCGGGACCGTGTAGTGTGTCTTAGACAGTCAACAGATACGTTATTCTATCGTGCTGTCTTTCCTACCCCTGCTTCACTCTCGGAAGAGATTAAGAGAAGTGCGGAAACTTTGGCATGGCTTCGTGACTACTTCCAGCTGGATGTGGATCTTCTGAAGCTTTATGACGAGTGGGGAGAGCTTGATCCCGTTATCAAGCGACTTAAAGGAAGGTTTGAAGGCATTCGTATGCTCAGGCAGGATCCCTTTGAATGTCTTCTATCGTACGTGTATTCGTTTAGCCAGTCGCTGCTGATTCGAATGGAGGGACCAGATTCATATGTTCTTCCAACAACAATATTTCGCGTATAACAAAAATGGTCAAAGCACTATGCACGGAGTTCTCGCCAGCTCTGCTGAGTCTCCCGTCACCTGAATTAGAGCCGCAAGAGCGGGTACATGCATATCATCCGTTTCCACCACCTTCTGTCTTGGCCAAACCTGAGGTTTCCATCACCTTGCGGAAACTAGGATTTGGATATCGCGCCGAATTTATTCAGAGAACCGCTCAAATGCTTGTCGAAGTGCATGGCGCAGCCCAAAGTAGCTACGACACCATGGAACCTGCCGAGAAATGGCTGCTGACTTTGAGGTCTCTGCCTACGGCCCAAGCTAGAGAGGAATTACTAAAGTTTGTCGGCGTTGGAAGAAAGGTCGCCGATTGTATTCTTCTCATGAGCCTAGACAAGGTATGTGCATCAGAATCATCAGGATTTTTGAGGAGTCTTACGCGAATACGTTCAGAGAGAAGTCGTGCCAGTAGATACACATGTGCACCAAATCGCAGTGAAACATTACGGCATGACAGGTTCATCCAAAACAAGAACGAACATGACACCCAAGCTCTACGATGAAGTCAACAATAAGCTAGCTTCGATCTGGGGAGAGTATGCTGGATGGGCCCACTCTGTATGTCCTTCTTGAACCTTTTCTTTCTCTGTACATTCTCAACAGAAGACCTTTAGGTTCTCTTTACGTCGGATTTGAAGTCCTTCTCTACTTATGGCTTACTCTTTCCCTCGCCTTCGGAATCGCCTTCGAGACCCTCCGAAGTTCCATTGGTGTCTTCAGTCGTACTACCACCGACACCTTCGCCATCTCCCTCGAAACGAAAGCGTGGACAGACGACGCGCGACATCGAAACCTCTAACGATAAGGTATCTGTCCTAAAGATTGAGGATGTACCCCCAGAAGAGCTTACCTCTCTGGCGGAACGTGTGAAGAGGCGGAGACGGACGCCTGGTCGCTCACCGCTATAAGATGTCTATTTCTTCACGTTCTCTAGACTCGCATCCCTTATATACCCTACACGTACAACGTAGTGTCTTACGTGTATTGTCCACGTTTGCTCCATAGCATACAAACCGTTTGCTAAATTGAAGTGCACAAGCTTCAATTTCATTATGACGCATTGGCTCAACCATTCAACTTCCTATATAAGTACACACTGTTCCACGCGAAGTCTTCCACACACAACCACCTCATTCTCCCCTGTAACTATCTTGAATACCTACTATACCCAAATCATGGCCTCCAACGGCAAAGCCAAACAGAAGGAAGTCGCTGATGATCATCTAGAGCACTCGTCTTCGGAAGAGGAGGAAGAGGAGGTCGACCATACCCTCCCGGAAGCGAGCACACCGTCCACCAGCAGCAAGAAAAAGAAGAAAAAGCGGTCTAAGGCGATGAAGGCACTCAATGCTATCCGTGGTGGGGGCAAAGATCATATACCTCAGGAGCTAGTGAACGTGGTGCTTGACAAAGTCAAGAACGAACCTGGAGGTTCCGTTCCTGAAGCAGATGAAGCGACTGTGCGGATGGCATTGGAACAAATGAAGATCAAGGAGGTTCTACAGGGCACGAGCGGGATCGGGGGAAAGAACAAGAAGGATACCGGAAGCCACAAGGTGTGCAATCAACGCAATACATGTAGAGTCAATCTTTTGACCATTGCGTCAATATGATTTAGTTCTGGGGAACTCAGCCTGTGCCTCAATTCGGTCAGTACACATGCTGTCCTCTTTACTGTATCCTTAGTTGAACTATTTACTTGTAGGCGAGGAGGCACCGACCGGAGATGGGTGGATCGAACCTCCGAAACGTCGTGAGGAATTTCGACAGGAACCATACCCTCTGCCGAAAGATTTCGAATGGTTCCCCATCGACTTGGAAGATCCTGCGCAGGTATGCGTTTGACCTGTCGTTTTGTTGACGTGATGTTGAATTTGTTCGAAGCTCCGGGAATTGTACGAGTTACTCTCTGCTAACTACGTGGAAGATGACGATGCCTCCTTCCGATTCCAATACTCTGCCGAATTCTTGAAGTGGTTAGTCCATATTTTGTCTTACACCGTAGAATGCAGTTCAGTACTTTTGTTGTCAGGGCTTTACAACCTCCAGGTTACCGCAAGGAATGGCATGTTGCGGTGCGCGTAGCTTCGAACAAGAAGTTGGTCGCATTTATCGCCGCAGTGCCAATAAAACTTCGTGTGCGAGATCAGTACGTAGTGATGCATGCTCTTAGATTACGCTGTACTAAGCACCACGACGTCTGTGCAGCATGCTGAACGCGTGCGAGGTTAACTTCATCTGTGTACACAAAAAACTCCGCTCGAAACGACTTGCACCCGTGCTGATCAAGGAAGTCACTCGACGATGTAATCTCGGGGGCATCTTCCAAGCGTTGTATACCGCTGGTGTGGTCCTACCCACGCCAGTTGCTACGTGCAGGTGCGCCAAATCAACTGTCGTTTGTTTCATATCCCGTTCACTTTGAACCCATGGATTCATACAGATACTACCATCGCTGCCTGAAGATTAACAAACTAGTGAACATCCGTTTTGTCGGCGTACCTCAGAACATGACGTTGGCTCGCATGATTCGTCTAAACAAAGTGCCTGAAAGGCCCCGTTTACTCGAGCCTCAACATGGTCTCCGTGAGATGGAAGACAAGGATATACCCGAGGTGACCGCGCTTTACGAAAAATTCATGAAGCGATTCGACACGGCACTACAGTTTACTGAGGAAGAGGCCAGACATCACTTCCTCAGCGGGAGGGGAACTGGACCTTCGACGAAAGACAGTTGGAAAACCCCAAGGGAAGGTCAAGTCGTCTGGGCGTATGTCGTCGAGGTATGTCTTTTCTTCACGTTATGTCTCCGAATTTCGTTAGCTTAGCGCTGCACATTTGGTCTGTAGGATCCTAAGACACACAAGATTACCGACTTCTTTTCGTTCTACTCGCTGCCGTCAACCGTCATTGACCACCCCAAACACAATCTACTGAACGCAGCATATCTTATGTACTACGCTACGGATGTTGCTTTCCAGGACGGCGCCGAACAAAGCGGTCGTTTGAAGAAGCGGTTAGAAGAACTCATCGGCGATGCTCTGGTCATCGCGGATCAGTCAAACTTCGATGTCTTTAATGCTCTGACACTTATGGATAACTGCCTGTTCTTGCAAGACCTCAAGGTAAGCTTCCAAAAAGAATAGTATCTGCTGGAAACACGTCTCACATATCTATTTTTCAGTTTGGCGGTGGCGACGGAATGCTCAATTTCTACTTGTTCAATTGGAGAACCTCACCACTTGCGGGGATCAAAGCTATTGGAGACGTTCCTGCAGGTAGAGGGATAGGTGTTGTAATGCTCTGATGCACGTATTCATAATACACTCCTGGAATCTATGGTGTTACATGTGATATGAACAGAGGTTGTTATGTTGTACATCAATGCCTATCAATCGTCATCTCGAATGCTAGATATCGCTCGTCCAATCGTACACTGGGTCGTAAGCTATGCAAAGCTTCGAAGGCTAATGGCACTAGTCGCTGTCTATAATAATCACATCATCGTCACTGTCCACACCAAAGTCGACCTCGGGTGATGGACTCCTGTTTTTCTTCTGGGGACGGCGTTGAGGAATGACGGGGACAGCGGCGCCGCCAGCTCCTCTGGGCCTATTCTGAGGTGGTTGAGATCGTGATCCAAGAGTTTGGCCTCCAGAACCCCATTTCTTCTCCTCTGGAGGCGGAGAAGGTGACTGCTGCACTTCCCTCTGTTTACCTTTGCTAGAACCAGTCAACGTGCTTCCTGACCCAGAAAATGCCGCCGACTCCAAGACAAGATCAGTTGATTTATTCCGGAGTTCACAGCAGAGAAAATGACTCACTTGGGAATTTGATGGCTGAGGTTCTGACTTAGGAGGAGGCGTGTACGCTGCAACATTGAAGCCGAAGAACAACTTGCCAAACGGAAGATTTAGTGGAGCAGGTGCGGTGACCTCTCCCTCGAGGCTGCTACTGGTGACAACCCGATGTTTACTGGAAAACTTCAACTAAGTGTGAAGATTGCCAAATAAAGCAAGCGACTTACTCTGTTCGGATAATCTTCGAGTCCTTCTCCACTTCCTCAATCTTCCTATGAGTAATACCCTTACCCTTCGTTTTCCTTCCGCCTAAGGTCTCTCCCTTGCCTTTGAAACTCTCCCATTGATCACCTCCTTTACTGACCTGACCCACTCTGGCAGTGCTAGCAAATGTCCCTGCAAGAGCTGATGACGGTCGCGAAGATCCTGGTGTTGATGAATTGACATCAATGTTGAGCTTGGATGCCATGGTAGAAGGGGGAAGAGCCTTTGGTCTTTCTGGCTCAACATAACCAACCGGAGGAGCGAAATCGACTTCAAGATCGGTGTCTAAAACACTGATACCTTCTCCACCAGGTTGTGTTTCCATAATTAAGAACCCGAACACTATCGAGTTATAGATGATCTCGATAACATCCCCTTGCGTAAGTACTGAAAAGTGGCGAAGCGCCTGTTCAAGACTACATGCAAAGATGAGACGCATCAACAATGTGAGAAAGAGACAATATTACTTACACGGCTTTGGGATCTGATACTTCGAGAAAATGTACTTGCTGAGGTTGCAATTTCACAAATTTCCCCTTGGGCAGCGAGGCACCAGTGACACGGATGGGGTCACCCTCCTCCAGCCGTAACGTCTTCATCATCCAATGTGGGAGGTGCACGCACCCCTCCTCAGCAATAAATTCCAAGACACCGGCGTGTGTCGAAGCAGCCGAGTTGCTCGGATTTCGTAGCTTAAACATCCATGGGGATTCGAGGTCCATAGCAGTCAAATTGGCCAACGCAGAAGGTGGCATGATAACTGAACAAGAAAACTGATCGTAAGCGAGGATGCACAGATCAAATGATGAAAACATGCGTACTTTTGCCACCGTAACTCAGGTTCTCTCGTTCCTTGCCCGGTAGCATCGCAACACTGTACGCTCTGAAGTACTCATCATACATTCTGGCAGGTCTAGGCATTTGACCTCCCGCGAAACCTCTATATAGATTAAATCAATATCGTGTACGCACATAAGGATACTCAGGACATACTGTGCTAATTGGGCGAAAAGCCCGCCGGGCCCTGCTGCTAGTGGGTTCTATATGCATTCACGATTAGCATGAACGGCATAGAATATACGATGAAGAAAACGAACAAAATTCATAGCTTCTGTTCAGCGGTGTCGTAGTGGTACGCAGACAAGAAAGGCTTATGTAGGGACTTGCGTGTCCTGCAGCTACGTAATTCACCCTATTCCGTAATTGACTTATTAGTTTGTTACTTACTTGCATATAAGAGCTTTGTAATTAGATCAATACCTTTTGGTATGGAGTTGTAATATTCCATACAAATCCATCATAAAGTACTTGATGTTTCCAAATGCGATCAAAATCATTACTCTTCGTCCTTCTCCTTCAACATGGCAGCACGAGCAGCGAACTCTATAGCACCAACGGCTGTTGGGTCATCTGTGGCTAATAGCTCATTCAATGACAAGGTGAGCTATTACTCTTTTGTTCTGCTGGTCAGGCTCTGAACGGGTCTGCAGGGCAAACCTATGGAAGTCAGGCGTTCGAACATGGTGGCTGCAAAAGGTACGTGAATCTCCTCTGGAAAGTTTGTTTAAGAATGTCTACTGAATATGTAACGTGATCTAGCCATCAGCGACGCCGTTCGAACCTCACTAGGTCCCAGGGGTATGGACAAGATGGTATCTCAGTGACGCATTCAATTCGATGGTCAAATATCAATTGACACGAGTGTAGATCCAAACTTCGAAAGGAGAAGTTATTATCACCAACGATGGGGCCACCATTCTGAAGAGTATTCAGGCTCTGCATCCGGCGGCCAAGATGGTGTGTACTTTATGCCGATCCAATGTCAATTCACTGAATCTCTCGTAGCTTGTGGACCTTTCGGCGGCTCAGGATGTGGAAGCTGGAGATGGTACGACTTCCGTCGTTGTGCTCGCTGGAAGCCTGCTCGGTGCCGCAGAGAAGATGTTGCAAAAAGGTCTTCATCCAACAATCATCGCCGAATCATTCTTGAAGGCGTCCACAAAGGCGGTTGAATACCTGACTGAGATGTCTACACCTGTGAACTTGAATGACAGGTCTTCTTTGCTCAGAGCAGCTACCACCTCACTCCAATCCAAAGTGAGTGCTCGAATGCGTTATGTTTCTCTTTGGATTCTCATAGTTCGTAATACAGATTGTATCGCAATATTCTTCTACACTTGCTCCCATCGCAGTTGAGGCTGTTTTGCGTCTCGTTACTCCAACTTCATCGAACGTCGATCTCCGTGACATCCGTATTGTCAAGAAGGTTGGCGGAACGATTGAAGATACCGAGCTGGTGGACGGCGTCGTGTTGAATCAGAATGTGGTTACCTCTGCCGGTGGACCAACACGTATTGAGAAGGCGAAAATCGGCATCATCCAGTTCCAGCTCAGTGCACCTAAACCAGATGTACGTTCTTTGGTTTCATGCCGTTGCCGTTTACTTACTGGTCGTGCAGATGGATAATACTGTTGTTATCAACGATTACCGCCAAATGGACAAGGTCATCAAGGAAGGCCGCCAATACCTTTTGAACATCTGCAAGAAGATCAAGAAAGCAAACTGCAACGTGTTACTGATCCAGAAGTCTATTCTTCGTGATGCTGTCGATGACACTTCCCTCACCTTCCTCAAACGTCTCAATATTCTTGTTATCAAGGATGTTGAACGTGACGAAATTGAGTTCTTGTCTAAGTCTCTTTCATGCAAACCTGTTGCAGACATTGAAGCATTCACTGAAGACAAGCTCGGTTATGCTGACTTGGTGGAGGAGGCCAATCACTCCGGTGCCAAGGTTGTCAAGATCCTTGGTGTCAAAAACCCTGGACGTACTGTCAGTATTCTTGCTACTGGTAGTAATCACCTTGTCTTGGAAGAGTGCGAACGTAGTCTTCACGACGCTCTCTGTGTCGTCAGATGTCTCGTCAAGAAGCGGTAAGTTGCTGTCTTCTTACGCTCTACATGGTATTGATCTCCGTGGAAACGTTCAGGGCATTGATCGTCGGAGGAGGTGCACCCGAAATCCACGTGTCGCGCCTACTGTCACAATATGCCCACTCGTTAAAGGGCATGGAAGCGTACTGCTTCCAAGCATATGCCGATGCACTCGAGGTCATTCCAACAACGTTGGCAGAAAACGCGGGTCTCAATCCTATCTCAATCGTCACCGAACTACGCAACCGACATGCACTGGGAGAGCGCAATGCCGGTATCAACGTCCGCAAAGTAAGGAGAAGCTTTCTAATGTCTGACGTACTCATGTTGATCCTTGTGTGTTTTGCAGGGGTTGATCTCGAACATCCTGGAAGAAGACGTTGTGCAACCACTGCTTGTATCAACAAGTGCTATTGAGCTGTCGACAGAGACGGTCTGCCTCATTCTCAAAATCGATGATTATGTACAAGCACGTTAGATATAAATCTGTAATCACGCAATTGGTATCCGTCACGCTGCTGGGAATCATATACAAGACATCCGTTCATCATCAACATTGAGTTGTTCATCCGTCCTTCAACAAGGCCTTGATAGAATTTCGTAAACTCTCGTCCGCACATCGAAGATGCCAAAGACAACTCTCTTCTTCGCCTTCTTTCAGTCGGAGCAATGCAACCCCAGACTGGGCAATAAAGCCTGGTGATGTAGAGATTTGAATCTTCAAGTCGCCTGCAAGTTGATCATCAGCAGTGGACTAATCGTACAGAAATACCAAATCTCATACCAATGAATGGTGGCTGGTCCGCTGGAGTTACTCTCAAAGGCTTCTGTAAGCTCTGTAACTTCCGAACAAGGACATCCATGGGTGAGTCGTACCACCCTCGAGTATTGGAACTTGCTAGAGAGTTCCAAACAGTTTCAAAGTCGGGCTCCAGGAAGCTGCAGATGCTTGTAATCGGTTCAGAGACGAAGGGCGAGTCCAGAGATATTAGATCGGCTTGGCTGGCCTGCGAATACTGTCATCAGTTCAATAACACTTGTGCTTCGGTAGGAAAGATGTCATACCAGCTCGTCTTCTTCAAGGACTTGAACACTAGGCAGAGTTGGTGGACTTGATACGGGGGACTAGAAGGAAAATAAGCATCGGTTCGCCCGGCTTCAAAGCGTACGTACCCTAGCAATCTCCTGAAATTCGCTGCGGCCAGACGCAAGTGCGAGCTCTCCAGGAGAAACTGTTCTCGCTAAGTCTTCAGATTCACGGCCTACATCCGACCGTGAGGCTGAAAGAGAACTGCTGGTACTTGAAATTCGTCTCAGTCGTGGTGTGGGCTTTGGTGCATCATATGCAGTGTAGCGTAGCTTGCTCGCTGTCGTGGAAGTTCGAGAGGAAGGTCTTTCCGGTGAGCCGACCGCGTTGCTGGATGAAGGACGAGGAACATTTGTTTGCCTTTCCGCTTCGTATGTCTCCAGCGCAATGACAAAGTCAGGAAGCTAACAGTGACGGTAAACTACGGTCATGGCTCGCAGACCAATCGACGTACCGAAGTGGACTTCGATCGTGACACGATATCCTTTAGCATTTGTGCAGTTTGTGAAAGTTCGAGAAATTGGTTGCAACGCTACAAAATGCGTCAGTATATGCACAATTTCCTGAGACTCAAGAACCCACTTACTCGCTTGATATGTCTGCCTGCAGCTTCCTGGACCTTGCGCACAGTGCCAAGAACATCCTCAGGTACCGCTGAACAGTTTGCCGACACTCTTATCATAGCAAGTAGACAAGCATCCTGTATGGCAGCTTATCATGGACTGCGTCAAATAGATGGCGATCAGACATTCACTGAGCCAGCTCACCTCCGAGATTCGGTAAAAGCGAACTTAGACCTCTCAGTAGGTCTTCTGGGGAAACTGGACAGCTATCGAGATACTCGCAAACAAGAGCCGACAGAATAGTTGCAAGCGTCGAGTCAAAAGCTCGTCCTCGCCCCGCGAGCAGGCCGAAGAAAACTCCGAGGCATCCACTTCGGAACTCGATGCTAGCTGTCAAGAAAGTCAGAGATGCATTACGTTCAAAAAGAACCAGCCTCACATCCACGAATATAATTCAAAATGTCTTCGACAGCGCCCTCGTAAACATGACCTTTCCGATGCGGATTCTCGTCAATCGCGGTGAACGTGAGCACCACTTGCTGAGCATATGATTCGCCATCTTCACCGCATAACACCTCAATAACTTCAAGAGGTCTCTTCAGCTCTCCAGACTTATCCTGAAGGACTGAGGCGAAGTTTGAGGCAGAAAGTTGATTGAAGTAAGATTCCACAATGGTTCTGTCCACTTTGAGGAGAATACGAAGAACCTGCAAAGATTCCGTTAGCAGCTGGCACTTAGAAAAGAGTTGCGGAGCGTACCTTCTTTCGAATGGCTTGATCATTAGAGCCCAACAAGCTCATGACTCGTTCTACCTCCCATGCCTCCAAGACAGAAGGTATATCGGCGGAAATTCCGGCCCAGTATCTGGGTTCCAAGCTTTCTAAAGAGCTGATGAAGGTATATATGTCGTTTATGTTGTCTGAAGTTAGAAGGTGCCGGATAGCACTAATGAACAGATTTCCCGGGGGTGACTTCAGAGAAGCCAGCAGGTCAGGGTGTGCAGCCACAACGGAAAAGCACTGGTATTTGATAGCTGACCGCGATAATTGAGCAGGTTAACTGGTGGCATAAGAACAAGACACACCGTTGGAAAGAGGCGTTACGGACATTCTCGTACGAACGATACCTGAAATCACTTCAAAGTCTTCTAGATTTAGCGCTCTATTGAGAGTAGAGTCAGTAGAGTCATTTTCCAAAAAATAGGTGGAACATATACCTGAGATTCTGCAATGCTTGGAGCACCTTCAATAATAGCCACGATCCAGAACGGTGGCGCGAGACATTCTGCCAGACGTTTCGAAGCAGTCGCGTCAAGGACGCATGGAATGTAGTGATAGGCAGACGACTGTGCTGATTTTAGCAGCGATGAGTATGAGTATGATATCAACAAGAGCAGAGGAACTCTTACAGTATGTAGCTCTACGCTTACTGCCAGCGCAGCACCTACAACTGCATAATCGGGATCATCCAAACGCTTTTGAACTTTGTCAACAATCTGATTCAAAATATCCTGACTATGTTCCGAAAGAGAACGATAGGCGAAAAGTGCCCTTCTACGGACAAGCGGCCTAACAACGTAAAGATATATCAACCCCCGGGTTTCGGTTGAGAATGCCAGGTACCTACTGACGATGTGTGGGATAATAATTCAAACAGACGATCCTGCACGGCGGGAATCACATCCTCTGGGGGAATTTGAATGAGTATATCCAGTGCGAGACATATCCGGGGTACTTCATGGCTATGAATATCCTTAAAGCGCAATTAGACCTTGGACACTACAGGCATATACCAATAATCATACTTTCCGTAATGTGTTGACAAGCATTAACTTGAGCTCGTGGTGCTTTGGCATGATGTCGGCGCAGAACTCATAGCCTGCACAATATGAAGCACGTTGAGAGACATCATGTACAATCACATACCAATTCGTTTATCGTGCACAGTTTTTCCTGCTTCCGCGAGGGATATTGCGTGTGGCAGAGCGAAAGTCAAGTCGGGTACAATACCCGCAGTCGTGGCCATCGAGCAGTACAGAAGTAGAATCAAACATTCCTTGAGTTGTTTCTGCGGACAATGTCAGCTCCAGTACGCAACACAGTTTAAGCTCCTCCAAACGTATAGCAAACCTGAGTGAGTGTAGAATGAAGCAGTCGGTAGTGTATAGCTTCGATCTCAGCAAGCAAGGTAGTGTCTGCTGCCTGAGGAGACATGGCTGTTTCCACTTTGCGAACGAGAGCATAATGAGCCCTGCTCATCGCCCCGGATGATACGAAAGGTACTTCCATAGCTGACAATTAGTCCATGTGCTGCCAACAGTATCGGAAATGGTGGCAGGTGGCAAACAACTTGCACAGTGTCCAGAAAAGGAACGCCTAGAGCTGTGGCTGAACGTTGAACCACACCGTAACATGCCTCCTCCCTCTTCAACGTCTGCGGAGGCTGCAACAGCCCACTCGTTTAACAAGGTCCTCAACCAGTATAAATCCTCTTCACGTTCACGTACTACCGCCGAGGTTGAAGAATCAGTGAAGAAACTCAGGCGGCTGATACTCGTCGATGGAATTCCTTCGGCAGCCGTACGGTGTTCACCCCATATTGTCAATCTCCAGGCTAATCATTATGTCTCCATCAGGATCCTACGCTACGACCAAGAATATGGAAGATACTGCTACGTGTCCAGAATATTTCATCGGATATGTTTTTGGAGTACGTCGCGAGAGGGCCTTGTGAAGTAAGGGAGAAGATCAGAAATGATACCTTTCGGTGCGTCTTGTCTTTCCGTTATTGCTTGTTACATAACATTCATTCATTATTCTGCTGCAGAACATTAGCCACAGACCGCGGTTTTAAAGAACGCGTTCGCGAAGACATGCTTGTCCGATTGCTTGATGCATTCGTATGGCGAAACCATGATAGACAAGAAACAGACCACCTTGGCTTCACTTACGTTCAAGGAATGAACGTTCTCGCTGCGCCATTTCTATATACAATGCCTTCGGAGCTAGAAGCCTTCTTCTGCTTCGCAAAATTTATCGAAGAGTCATGTCCATTATACGTCCAACCTACTCTAGAGGGTGTCCACCGTGGTCTCAAGGTACGTTGTCGCCTCAATTCTCTTGTCACGGTAGCTGACGCATTTCCAGCTCCTCGACAGATGTTTGAAGATAGTTGATCCAGACCTTTTTGCACATTTACGGTCGAAGAACCTTTCTGCGGAAATCTACGCGTTTCCATGTGAGCCGTTCTGTATTCAGTAAGTATACCATCCCCCAAATCTGACGCCTGATTAAAGCTGTTCTTACGTTGTGCGCATGCACCCCACCTTTGGACCAAGTCCTCCTACTCTGGGACTTCCTACTCGCCTTTGGCGTACACTTGAATGTCTTATGTGTCGTCGCTCAGCTGCTTCTCATGAGAGACAAGCTCATGGAATCTTCGAGGTCTGCTTTCAGGTTATTTTTCTTAGTTCAATACTGACCTCTTCGAATTTGCAGTCCAATGCGACATTTGCGCTCCTTCCCTCCACTAGACGCACAGCCAGTCATCGGCATTGCCGTCACGCTCGTTCGAGACCTCCCTGTCGACCTCTATGACGAGCTCGTCCGCCATCCATACGCGGTCCAAGACCACTAGTTTCGTTCTCATACCCACCGCAGTCGATCTCGTTGTTATTCCCCCTGGTTTTGTTCTGCTTTCGTCGTTGTCCATGCTCTTCAAAATTTGCTGTATCGCTCACCTCGTCCCCTTATCTGTATTCTCACGCATACCACGATATCCCATGCATCTACCGGCTACAGTAATTTATAATGTCCCTCGTCTCTTATCTTGTCCATGTTGTACCCGATTGATTCGGGATTAGTCTAGTCTATGATACTATGTATACAGAATGTCCGCAGAATGATGATTGAAAGGGAACAAAACAAAACAAAAACACCTAGGAATCATGCAATACATCGAGAGGAAAAGAAGAAAGTCAGCTTTTGTCTGATACAGGTCAGATTCTACCAACAACAATACAGCAGTCCTAGGAATCACTTTCATTCTGGTCAACTTTAGTCTTCGTCAACATGCTAGGGAGGCGAAGATATTAGTGGAAAGTGTGGGACGAGGCTTCAAGGGAGAACTTACTTGTCTAATGCATCTTTGTCGACCTTTGGACCTTGGCCATCTCCAATCATAACCTTCATACCTACACTAGGGACGCCACCTACGACAATGTAGATAAACCCTGGCCCGGGCGGATAAATACCTGCATTTGGAGGACCGGTCACAGTGAGGGTATTCCCATCCAGCGATGAGGGCAGGTGAACCAAGCGGGAGTTCGAGTGTACAGCGTGTGTCACGTATCCGAGATCCATGAGGACGACTGTGGAACCACCCAGTCAGTCACAGCAAGCTAATACGTTGAAAGTAAAGCTCACCTCTGATATCTTGCGCGTTTTGAGGTAGATCGACTTGGAGTTGGAAGTCCTGGAAGAAGTCAATCTTCTTCGGCCTCGCACTTCCTTCGACCAGCGCAGGCCGTGCCATATTCATATATGGCGGATTAATCCATTCGACACGATACTCGGTTCCATACTTCGTCTCACTACGATCCAAGTTAGGATTACTCCCAGCGACCATGATATTTCCTTCAGGCGTCAACGTAGCCACCGAGTGATACAATCGTGGAATATCACTTGTCGGCATCCCAACTGAGGAGAACCTCTGACCAACGGGAGCCCTGGGATCATAGAGAACAGGAGTGAAAACAGGGTTGTCGGCGTTCGAGGCACCAACTTGGTCTGCGACGTTTCCATACCCAGAGATACCAGTTTTCGCTCCATTGGCTATAAGGACTTGACCTGTAGGCAAGAGAACCGCGTCTGGCATGATGCGAGCTTCAGGCATTTGCTCGACTTGCCATCCTGCAGCAATACCATTATCACTGAGGATTATTCGGGAGCATTGAGCCGAGGCGGGGTCTTGCGAGGAAATCTCGTAGTCGGCTTTGGTATCATCCACAGCAGATCCGCCACAGATCAAGACTTCGGGAGTGTAACCGTTCTCCGGAGTCAAAGGCAGGAGGATTCCGGTGCCGGTCATAGGATAGGTAACTCGGACGCCGTTGGGGATCTGAGGCAACTTTACTTCCGTGTTCGTCTTCCAGTTGTATATCATGGCGTCTCGGTTGGCGGCCATGAATACTCGTTCATCGGGTAAGGATATCGCGATTGGGAAGAGATTCGAGTTCATGGTATAGAGAAGGAAGTCCAATTGAATGGGAAGACCCCCGAATTTCGGGGGGAAGTATTCGATAGTAGGGTTGTTCGTGGTCTGATTATTGATCCAGCCGCCTTTTTTCGAACCTCCGATGATCATAGCAGAGCCATCGGAGATACGAAGGACCGTATTGTACCATCGGGGGCTAGCCATGCGAATGCGTGAATGGTTTTCGTACATATCACAATTGTCGACATCCTCCGAGTCACAAGGTTCGAATATTCTGATAGCTTGAAGCCCATCGACGTCACCAAAATCAGCAGCATTTGTGATATCGTCCACAACTGGGTTCCCTCCGACGTTGATAAGTGTACCATTACCAAGGAAAGTACCACCGGCACAGAAGGAGTTGGACTGCATGTTCAGAGGCTTGAGGGCATGAGTCTTCAAGTTATACAAAGCAGCCCAAGCAGGATGCCCAGAGATGGTGAGGAGGTTGTGTTCCACTTTGTCGACAATAATAGCATGTGTCTCAGATATCACAGAAAGTTGCATAGCATGCACGCCGGTTGTTCCTTCCTGCAACATGGTCCAATGGGATTGCGGGGTCGGATTGACAACAAGGTTTTGCATGAAAGGAGCGCCAGCTGGCTTTGCCGCTTGTTGAGAAGGGAGTTCCTGCGGTTGTAGACTCTGGGTGGTTTTGGATTCCTTCATCACTACAAAAGCATCGACGTCGATAACAGAGCCTTTGGAGCCAGAGCGATGTTGGCCGGTATTGACAATTTTGATTGTGTGTTTGGCCAGAGGTAGGTCAAATACCCAGAACAGTCTTTGCTGTCTCCGAGCGGAGGAACTCCACTGGTCAACACGCTGAACCATCTGTCCGTCGATGAAGACTTTAGAGATCCCATGTCGTCTGTCGGTATTTCCGAACCATTCGATTCCGCTTCCAACAAAGGTGAAGGACATAGAGGCACCAGAGCGAGAGGTCGACTTGATGGATTTTTGAACATATTGCGACGAGAAGGATTCCTTCCAGTGACTAGAATAGTGCAAGAGGGGTGAAGATGAATCATAGCTTCGTGCTCCGGCAGGAACGTAGTACGGGGTAAAAGCGGTAGGTTTGATTGAACCAGGCGTTGTATGACCATTCCAAGCGCGTTCAGCACCTTCAACGGTGGAGAACAACAGTATTACGACCAGCGTACAGAGAAACGTAAATGAGTGTGGACCCATTACAACCAGTCTGAAAGGAATGTGTGGATGAATGAGTGACAGTGAGGTGGGAACCGGTGGGAAAGTCCCTGCGGTGGAGGATGAAACGTTGAACGTTTGAACGTTGAAGCCAACGTTCAACTTCACGCGTTGAACCGTGACGCGGACCAACTAGTGTAAACATCTAAATCAGGCACACACTCAAGTACTGTAGTACGAGTTGAGTACGAGGTACCTAGTCTGCGACATGGACATTGTTTGACGCCTCCCTTCGTGAATCGCCTCCTTCAAACGTATTAATGTCGGCCAGCATTGGGCCATTGGAGGACCCCAAGTTCAACTCTCTGCACGAAGGTTAGGCTCAACCTTAAGCTTAAACAGCACCTCCGTCATGCACCTGCATTAAAATGGAAGTCTGTCATCAATCGTTTGCTTCACTCTCTGCGAATAGGACGTGATGGTTCCTTCACTGATGACTCACTGGCAGACTCCTGAGACTCAACCTACTAGTGCCTTGCAGATGTCTGTCTACCTGCTTCCTGTAACTGAAATGTCATCTAACCATACCGGCGCCGCGGTTCCTACATTCTTTTCTTGACAATTCGGCTGCTAACTATGCACCAGACAGACGTTTGATAGCTGCCTTACAGTTTTACCAGTGGCGTTCGCACCCGGGCAGCCACATTGGTGTTCAAGTCGTTGTGAGGCACTACCAAGTTATCTTGGTATGTCAGTCATCGTACCATTTCTGTTTACTGGTCTTCATTGGCTTCGATTGCGCTATCTGGTGATACATTATCAAATGCTTCACACGCCTGTACGTTATAGTGGGGTTAGACCGTTCTTTTATGCTGGAGCTAAGACTCGGAATGATTATAAAGCTGTAGGAGAGAGTTGATCTGCGTATGCCCATGTATCGATTGCCTGGCCCGTGTTCACACACTGTTCACTACGAATATGTCGTCTGCAGTTGTTCTAAGCCTGATTGCGGTCCTCTGTGCTTGGCTTGTTCATCGTCTACGCCGTGCGGGTAGTCGAGAACGTGGCCTTCCACCCGGACCTCCGACTTTCCCTTTGATTGGCAATCTTCATCAATTCCCCACGTCCTTTGCACATCTTAAGTAAATTGACCTCACTGTCCTAGATTTAACTGCGATTCACGCAGACATCAATAGATTCACGAAATGGGCTCAAGTTTACGGAGATATCATCTCGGTATATCTCGCTTATAACCTTCTCCTTGAGATTTGCCATTCCTTATATTTATCAGGTCAAGCTTGGTCCTCAAACTGTTATTGTTCTATCCAGTCCACGCCTGGTCCATGAATGCATTGATTTGCGCAGTGCCACCACGTCAGACCGCCCGTCGCTTCATATTGCCAAACTGTTGTACGACGACAACGAAGAAATAGCCATTGCTCGATATGGTGAGCAAATTATCGTTGATCGCAGACTGCGCCACTCTGAACTACGGATGTCTCACAGGTCCTACATGGAAGGCATTGCGTCGAGCAGCGCATGACATCCTGAGTCATGAAGCATGTATGAAGCACTTGCCCATACAACACGCAGAAGCTAGCCAGCTGATGTATGATCTTCTGGAGCGTCCCAAGGTGAATCCCCATTGACTGCTTCACCTTCCAATTTTAATTTTAATTTCTTGAATAGGGACTTTACACTCACATTTACAGATACTCCGCGTCTGTAATCCTCTCTGTTGTAGCCGGCATACATTGCCCCCGGTTTGAAGGCAGCATTATTGAAGATTTTGATAGTATGATACGTCAATTGGAATACATCATGAGGCCTGGTGGCTCCCCGCCTGTTGACCTTATCCCACTCTTGAAGCACATTCCTTCGAGGTGGGCACTGTGGAAGACAAAAGCCAGAGAAGTTCGGGCAGCACAGGAGAAGCTCTTCTTTGGCATACTTGATCATTGTGTCGACCGCATCAAACGTGACGAACGGAATGACTGTTTCTTAGAATATGTTCTGGACCATCAAAGTCGTTATGGTCTTGACTATAGGAAGATGGCGTAAGTGACAATATTGTTAACAGTTTGGGGCGAATCTGAAGAAGTGCCAAGATATCTTGGGGGCACACTGCTCATGGCTGGCAGTGACACAACCGCAGTTTTCCTGCGATGGTTTGTCGCATGCATGGTCACGCATCCTGATGTCCAAATGCGAGCTCAGCAGGAGATCGACGAAATCATTGGTCTCGATAGGTCCCCTGTACTGAATAACATCGAGAGGCTACCTTATTTGCGGGCAATCATTAACGAGGTACGGCTGATTTGCAAACGTTATCGTGCACAAGTTCAACGTTAAAGTACGCAACAGGTTCATCGCTTTCGCCCTGTAACGCCAACCGCAATGCCTCATACTACAACTGCAGATGAACGGGTGGGTGCCAACTCCACCTACCATATTTCGTATGCGAATTTATAGGTGAGCTTAGGTCGGCGACTTCCTCATTCCAAAGGGTGCGACGATCTTCATGAATGTCTGTGAGTAATACACTATACATGCATGCTATTATCACACCTTTATCTTTGTTCAGGGGCTATATATCACCACGAGGATTATTTCGACAATCCAGAGCTTTTCGATCCTGAACGGTACATGCGGTCAGAGCTTGGTGCTAAACCTGGAGCCGACACTACCGGACTTCGGAATGACCTTGGGTTTGGTGGTGGTCGAGTACGTTAACTGCATCCCTCAATTGTGTATGCTAATTGTGGCGTCTTCTAGCGAATTTGTCCAGGCTCGAACTTAGCTTCGAATTCCATTGTAGGTCTTGTCAAAAATTGGTCGAATAAAGGTCGCTTCTAACGCTGTATCTCAAGTCCCTGAATACCATGAACCTTTTGTGGGCCTTCAGATTCCTACCCAGAAAGGATGAGGTCACAGGATTTCCCATTCCCATCGACCTAAACAGTTATACCGGCGTAAGTTCATTCATTATCGAAACGGGACCTCCTAATGTCGATATCTTGCAGGGTTTGGTTGTATTCCCGACCCCTTTTCAATGTGAAATCATCCCTCGAAGCGAAGCAAAGGCTGACCTGATTCGCGAGCAATTCACCGCGGCCCTCCCTACATTCGAGCTCTTTGAACAACACACTTCTCTTTAAGGCGAACTTAATGATGGGGCGTGAAGGTGCCGTTTCTCTCTTGCTACTTAAAGCCGATGGCTTGTGTTCTTGTTATCCGATGGTGTGTTTGGTTTTATAGAGAACTGTTGAAGTTAGAAAGGTGTTATTACTCTCTGGTATTTCTGTCTCGTGAGACTAGCTGACTTGGACTGTCTCGTAGGGTATAACATGAACACTAAATGTTTACGAATAAGTAGTGCAACTACCAATGCCACCTATGTGTGAACTCAGAAAAAGATCTGCGAGAATACCAAGGAGAATGTCGAATATTCAATATGACAAGGACTCATGCTTCTTTCCTTACGACAGTTGTGACATGAACGCATTCGAGAATCGAAAATATGCGAAAGTTCCAATCTATGACATACAATACAGATATTTACAGTAACTTATACAAAAACAATCAGCTGGCCAAAGGGGGCAGAGTATCGTACACATAACTGAAGATGTCCATCGCCACATAATAAAAACGACTTCCTCAAGTTACAGTAACGATTTGTCCTTTACCATCCTTCAGTATGACAAGTTCACAATCAATCTTCTCCCCAGTGTCCATACAGACGATGTCTGTGGGATCAACAGGGTCAAACTTCACTTGTCGCTTTTCCCAGAATGAGCGGCCCAATACAACGTCGAAGTGCGATTCTTCAGAGAGATACACAGTATGTGTGGTCCTTGTTCGTCCAACCGTTACTGGCCAGTTGCCAATACTGCATGTGTGATCAGGTAAAGGGCAGCATCTATGAAGATGAAACTCACTTGACCAAACCCTCATATCCATAATGTCCTGGAGAAGCATCGAGAGGAATGAATCCATGCTTCAAAGCGAATTTCCGGGATATGTATACATGTCTGTACCCGTTCTTGAGCAACATACGGACTGCGATACGGTCATCGAAAGGGGTTTCTGCATAACATGGAAGATACGTACCATTATTTACGGGACCGATGCTACCCATGACAGTCCGTACGCCATGCTCATTGTGGTACCTCTCAAACTCCTTCTTGAAAGCCGGGATGTCATCTGTGGGCTTTTTCGATTTGCGAGTCTTCTTTGAATGCTGAGAAGATCCGTCTGCACGTGAATGGGGCCGAGGACTGGGAGAAGAAGAGCTTGGAGGGGATATGAAGAGATGAAAAGAGGGGTTCCTGTAGTCTGTCGATGCAGGTAGAGGTTCCTCGGGGTTACGAACATGAAGAGTTGGCGCAGCCTCGCTACCAGACACTGACTTTTGTCTCCAAATAAAGATTATGAAGTCAGAATCTAGAGAACTGTGAGACGCGTATGACAATAAGAAAGATAATGAACTTGCCATCGTCGAGGTTCCATGTTGAACCATTCCATGAGTATTTCACCCATCCAGGCTTCACCCGTCGATCGCGAAACTCAGTGTGCGCCTTCTTACTGATTTTATCGAACAGGATATGAAGTGTGTCCTCTGTATCTGTAACCAAGCCACACCTTATCAGGAAGCCATAGACTAAGACAAGGTTGCTGACATACTAGAGAATATGATCGAGAACGAGGACGTAGGCGTATGAACATTGATCACTGGAAGTTCGGAGGAAGCCATGAGATTAACAGTGTACGTGAGTGAGACAGGTGGTAGATGTTGAAGCAATATACCTCTTCAACATCAAGTAAGGGGTTTATAACGTGTAGACTGGTGCAAAACGGCGGAGTTGGATGAAACACGGATGTCGGTTAGGCGGGAGGCGAACGCGTTCCGCTGTATAAGGCAACTCTTATGGTACAGATGTATCTAAAGCGGCGACACTCTGTAATGAGACAACTACGAGTAAGACAGGAGTAGTAGTCCAGGAGACAATCGTGGGTACGTAGTACAGTAACGAAATGGCATAGACAAAGATGATCAACTTCAAGGAGTGCACTGCGCATAATCTGAGCGGCACACATAAGTAGTACTTCGAAGAGACGAACAGACCTACTCACAATCGCTGTACTTTGTACAAGTAAACCCAGCTGGAAGAAGCGTTTGTAAAAATATATTGTACAAGGTGGGTGCCAACATACCTGCACAACTTGTGGGCCCTGTCCAGCCAGTTCCGCCGCACTGTACAGAAATAGTCAGCCACCCTCGCAAATACTAGGTCGATCAAGCATATAACAGACCTGTCCATACTAATCAAACGTATCAGCATGAAACTTCTCGTCGCAGATGCAAAAACCTACCGCAGTCTGAGTAGCACCGTTAGCACTAGTAGTGGTAGTTGCGGGAGCAGTCGTGCTGGGTCGAAGTGGACATGGTTGGAGGTGATCTTGCCGTTGAAGTTTGAGAGCCGCCACTAATGTACGAGTCATAGTTATCGTCGTGCACAGTGCTCAAGTCAAGACCAAAGAAGTTGAAGTCATCGTGCTCCTGCATATCAGAATCAACATCTGAGGGATCGGAAACCTTGGTAGTGTATGATGCGACATATGCGATCAATTGGAAACTGTTTAGGTCTCCGGAACCCATGGATCCATCTTGCCAGACGGTACAGTTCTGTATGACGGCATTAATGGTACGGTAATATTTATATGGCTAAACAGGTTACCTGGCAACGGAAGGACGCTTTGATGTGGGTACTATTGACCGTCGAATCCGGGAGCAGAGTAACTTTTGGACCTGCGTAAGGCAGCGGCATCACATAACCACTGGCTCGCTATCAATGAACTCGGTCTCCGCACAGGAGAAATGGAGCACGTACGACGTCCACCGTGTCCCGAGCATGATTTGATCATTGTAAGGCCATCAAGTGAACAATAGACTGTCCGCCATTGTTCCGCCTGCACTTACGCCGGACCATCCATAGCTAGCTGGCGCTATAATTTGAACAATGTATTCATCCGATGGAGGAGTGGTCGAGGGAGGGAACACAAGTCCGACTGTAACATTCATTACAGGGTCCTTTCAAGGGATATGAAGATAAGCCTCTCTAGGTTGCAGCGTGAATCAACTTACAGAATATCCCTGATAGCAGATTCCGCTGGTCGAGTCACAGTATTGACTGCTTGTCTGAGCGGAAGCTGCAGGACAGGCCGCAGCAATTCAGCTTCGTGCGAGTCTTGATTTGAATATCCAGGATCATTAACCTACCAATGCCGATGCATGCTATAGCCGCAAGAGACTTTGCAAAGAAGGCCATTTATGAAGGTCACACTAAAGCTGGCTCACTCTGCGGCACTACTACGTTCTACTACTTATACTTCTGAAAAACCCAAGTGAGATCAGAAAATCAAGACATTACCCGTCATTCATCCGACGTCTTCACAGAAAGACGGGTCGCCGATGGGTCCTCGGACAAAAGTCGCAACAAGTATCCACTTCGTCGAGGGGCGATAACATTTTCAGAAAAGTACAGTAGTTGGAGAGTAAGAAGAAAAGCTAAACTTGGCAAGACGTGGCTATAAATGGAATAAGCGCTTAAACAAGCCCGGCATTTCCCGTCTCGACGACTTGGAGAATTTGTGCGGAGGCCAGTTCACGAGAACCGTCAACTGACTCTCTACGACCAAGGATCCTCAGACGTGAGGTCGCTCTATATTTTTATACAAAATGTCCGACCCTGCTTCTCGCGCTAAGGCGTGGCCTCTTGCCCCGGCCGATCTAAACGACCAGGTAGGTTTTTCCAGCTATTTTCCTCAACATGCCTTCGATCGCAAGAACTCATGCTCATGACACTATTTCTCAGATCCTGGATCTCATTGAGAAGTCTTCACAATACAAACAGCTGAAGAAGGGTGCTAACGAGGGTGCGTGCTTTAGCAGTTGAGAATGAAGTCTTTACTGATGTTTGCCTCAGCCACTAAAACTCTCAACCGTGGTATTGCAGAGGTCATCATCTTGACTGCTGACACCGAGCCTCTGGAAATATTACTTCATCTCCCTCTGTTGTGCGAAGAAAAGGTATGTAATGTTCTATTTTTGTGGTTTCCCTCGGACTTACCATTTCGTAGAACGTTCCTTACGTTTTCGTTGCCTCGAAGGCTGCTTTGGGCAGAGCTTGCGGCGTGTCCCGCCCAGTCATCGCGGCCAGCATTACCACCAATGAGAACAAGGAGCTTTCCTCCTTGATACTGACTGTTAAGAGGTCGATCGACAAGCTTATGGTGTAGAATGCACTGGTCACTGTCCAGCTGTACTATATAGTGCTCTAACGAAATATATTCCCTGTTCACACTGTGTGCCCCCCTCTTTTCTTATAGTTGACATATTCTGAGATGAATGTCATACCTGCTTCTAAGCAGAGAAGTAGGTCCAATAATATCAAAAAGTTCTCACAACCCGCGGAAAGCAACAAATGAATAGCAAAGCAAAGCAAATAGGATATAAGACGATCACTTCGGGATATTCTCTCGGGCTTGTTGCCGGACCCTTCGTCTGGAAAGCGTCTTAAGTTCATGGACTGCACAAGGATGGTCTCACGTACTCATATGCCACCTTGTCATTTCTGGCAGAGAACATATCATGAGTGAAAGGGAAGTGGCGCAATGAGGAACAAAACTCACTTGAACATGGTATACGCGTCACTTTGAGCAGGATCATTCACATTGGGGTCGTTCAAAAGTTCCTGGATGCCGAGCAGTACCTTGTGGAGATACTGTCACATATGCTTTATAGCGCGTAAGATGCCTGCATACCTGCTTTATGGTGATCGCCGGTTTCCATGACTTCTCTTCGTCAAGAATAGACAGACAGACGGTTCCTGAAGGATACACGTTGGGATGAAATAACGGCGGCGAGAACTTGCCTGTAATGACTCAGCCATGACATCGAGCATCGAAGCTAGGACGTACTTACATTTAGGCGGCTTTGTAGGATAGTCTAAAAACATGGCCGTCTCACATGCATTCCACATGCAAGATTGAGTGAAGATACGCACCTTCAGGGAATATCATCATGAGCTTGTACACACCGCCTTCCCATGGTGTCTATAACCCATGCGTTCAGCCTTACACGCCAAGGAACGGGAACGTCGTAAGATCGAAGACGCACCCCGGCTTTCCCTGGAATACCCACTTCCCACTCCAACAAGTTCATCGACCCGTCGGCGGCCTTAGTAGGCTTAGCATAGAACCCCTAGGATAACAAATTACGGTCTTCAAAGGCATGATCGAATAGTAATGATTTCGCGTACAAAAGGATGGTCTTTTCTCCATTGCTTTCGCTCCTCAGCAAGACGTGCTCTACATATGCCGGACATGATGTTGTCAAGTCGTGTGGGGTATAGACAGTATAAGTAGAAAGCTGGACGATACTCGTGCAAGTATCAGTTCAAGTAAATCAGTTTCCTCGGATCCTTTCACTCGTCCTTTCTCGGGAAACAATCAAAATCGCTTAGTCATCGCCCAATTTGGTCGTTCACGAATGGAACGCAGAATATTGTCTCGCGGTCCTTGACTTCGGTACGCAGATATTCAATGATACGTAACCCGTCGGGTTATACTGGGAACACGATACCATGGTTTGTAGAAACCATGCTGAATGGTGAGTATACGTACTTCCCGGCGGAACCCCTACTAGTTCGATACAACACTTTCTGATTGCGAAGTCTGTTCAGACGAATCCGAAGGTGCATTCGCAGAATCAACCTCGACCCTACGTGTAATGAGGCACAAACTTAACGCCATGAAATCACCTATAGATCGTGCTGCGCATCCGGTTATTGTGGTCGCTTTCGCTTCACACCTGAAAAAAACACATCGTATCGCGTTGCGTACGACCAAAAGCGGCCATGTTAGACCCATGTAATTCTGACTGTGTTTCGTTTAGAGGAGCGCTTCATTGGCTGTATGAAGTTCCAGACCCTTGCCTTTATCTCATGGTGCAATCGTTGACTTGGCCTGAGTGGCAGCGACGGCCGCTATAAATTCTGTCACCATTTCACCAGAAGACGAACTACATTCCAGCTCCCATCTCTTTCTCTAGATGAGCTACCCTCCTGCAGAAATAAGTGAAGAGGGTCGGTCAGACAGCCCGGCCCCCTCGTTGTACTCGTTCAACTCTTCCATAGACGGTCGAACTTTGGTGTGTCACAATAAAGAATCCGCAGAAGATTTTCCTCAACAATGCAACACAGCTCCGACAAGCGTACGGTCGCATCCTGAACAACCAAAATGATGTAGGCGATTCTCACTTTTTTGAAGAGACGTCACTCACGATAACCCAGACATATTTACTGCCTGCCGTAAGAGGGACCGATTAACTTTCAAGATTCACACTCAGATTTTTGTTCCCACAGGATAATGAAGAGCACCGTCGGCTAGATCTTCAGCATCATATCTACACCATAAGTCTAGGCTCCCTGTTCCCTGCAGCTGATTTGGTTCGACGGGCCTTGGCCCCCCGTCCCGGATTCACTCCTGCCATAATTGATCTCGGCACAGGTAGTGGGAGCTGGTAGGTCCCGTCAAGATTTATTGATATAGAGTTTTTCTCAAGGAAGATGTACGCAGGGCGATTGACATGGCTAGGGAATTCCCCCACTGTGAAGTGGTGGGCATCGACTTGGCCCCTCCAAGGATCGAGAGGTCCGTATCACCCATCGTTTAGCACTATCCAACCACGAGGAAACTGAGCTGCATGGCTGTTCCAGAGAACTACCCATAAACTGCAGGTATGTATTGATCTTCCGACTATGACAGCTAGTCACATTGACGTGCTTTTACATATCAAGATTTGAGATCGATGACGTTTGTTTTCTTCTCGACCCTTCCTTTACCTGCGCTGATAAACAAATAGGCCAATCTTGGATTTGCACACTATAGAGGCTGTTTTGACGTAGTACATGCGAGGGCAATATCCGCTGGGGTCGGCATATTTTTCTAGGACGCAGATTGTGACTAATCTTTACGTGTTCACAGATTCGCGACTACCCCCAATTTCTGAATGAAGTTGCTCAGGTGCTCCGACCCGGCGGAGTGTTTATTATGGGAGATGGCGAGATGCAGCTATATGATGAAAATCGCAAGCCGCTTTCATTCGCACAGCCTGGCCAGCCAGGATTTACCTGGACACATCGAATATTCTTCGCTGGCTATAATGCCATGAAGAATCGGGGCGGCAGCATTGACGCTCCATCGATGGGCCCTACGTGGCTGAGGGCCGTGAACTCATTCACAGATGTTGGCTGGCAGAAGATATTCATACCCATTGGTCCGTGGCACTATGGCATGTATCCATGTAGTCCATGTTTCGTGTTATCGCTTACCATGTAATTTACAGAGGATGAGCGAAGCAAGATCGTGGCAGAAATGTTACGGATGAATACGTTGAGTTATATTTCCGGACTAGGCCCCTTACTGCTAAGGTCAGTGTGTCCACCATCTCGGCATTCGGCCTCGGGCTTGCTAAGCCAAATTACAGCGAGGGGTACCTTCCAGAACTCGTCCAAAAAATGCAGCAGGAGGCCACTGCTGAATTGCAGGAACTTCGGATCCACTTATATACCAGATGGAGTTTCGCTTGGGCGGTGAAGAAACCTAACTGAACTTGGAAAGACTCCGAAGTGCCTCATCTCCCGGTGATCTAAAACCTAAAATACTTTTCAGTATTTTATTCCGGACATGTCTTCGGTGACTTGAACATTTGCTGATGCCAGAAATGCCCGTTGCAATTGCGCTGCTCAGGCTCACTGTCAAAATAGAGTAGATAGCCTTAGATCTCAAAGTTCCAGATACTACCGTAACTTCTTATCACACGTTATTGTATCTTATCTGTATTGCTAGAGTCGCAGGAGATTTGTATGTGTGTTTCCTCGTTCTCAACGTTCGGTCGAGCGGAGGGTGTTCCTAGTCCACCAAATCCGGTAGCGCCCACAAGGTGGCATCGACGCGTCGACTACGCGGGCCGCGTCACCTGTGTACGAGTCTTAAACCACACCCGACAAAGGATTAGTACACTGTTCCATCCAAACCACCATGAATTCTTTTGTTAGCCGTTTCGCATCTACAGGACACGACGTTGAACTCCGAAAGGCCAGGGAGGCTTTTGGAGATGAAGATGAATCCTTAGAGATGTGGGGTTCTCAAGCAGGATTTGGTCCTCTTTCCAAGGGTGTACCTTCATTCTCTGTACCCGCTGTCCCAGATGTACGTACTTACTGAAACTTTCTTACTTATCGTCTCATTAAATGCCGTGCTATGTAGCCCTCTGCATTCCTCAGGCTACACACAGATGACCACGCAGACCCTTCATGCAGAATCAAGATCAAGCACGGAACGACTACCTTGGCATTCAGATTCCGGGGAGGTGTTATCGTCGCAGTGGACTCACGAGCGACCGCTGGAAGCTACATTGGTACGCTACCATCCTGCCTTCATCACCCTTCTCTTATATTGTGTTATAGCGTCTGGGACTGTAAAGAAAGTGATCGAGATCAACCCATACTTGCTCGGTACAATGGCAGGTGGTGCAGGTAGGTGATCACCTTGAAATGGGGGAACGATATATGATAATAATACTTCTCCAGCTGACTGTCAGTACTGGGAAACATATCTCGGCATTCAGTGCCGCTTGCACGAACTTCGCAACCGGGAACGTATCTCAGTTTCAGCGGCAAGTAAATACTTGAGTAATTTGGTCTACAGTTACAAGGGGATGGGACTCAGCATGGTACAGTAAAGGACCTCTTTCCACAGCTTGCATCTGACATATGCTTGTTATCAGGGAACCATGATCTGTGGTTGGGACAAGACAGTGTGTAATGTTTATGATTTCTCATGCACTGAGCTGAGATTGTCTTGTCTAGGGACCTGCGGTGTTCTACGTTGACTCTGATGGCACTCGCTTGAAGGGTGACGTCTTCTCCGTCGGTTCAGGAAGCACGTTCGCATATGGTGTCCTTGACCAGGGGTACCATTGGGATCTCACTGATGAAGAAGCGCAGGAGCTAGGCAGAAGAAGTATCTATGCTGCTGGTCACCGTGATGCCTACTCCGGTAACACCATCAATCTCTACCACGTTAAAGAGGATGGTTGGAAGTTCATCGGTGCGCTTGCATCTTCTTTCTCTTTCAACCCGAATTCGTTGTTGATAACGGAGCCTTATTGCAGGCAACTACGATGTCTCCGAGATGCATTACGAGGGACCAGCTGGTGTTGGATATGGGTACGAAATTCGAACCGCCGGCAAGTCATCTGCGAACCCTCCGCCAGAGCCAGAATCGCAGACTGCGCAGACGTAGACGTAGCACATTTGTCCATTTGTACTGTATTGATGTTTCTGTTATTCGCCCTCGAGCACCATTTTTCTGCATTATTTCTTCCGCCTCTTGCCTACCTGCGTGTTTTATCTTGGGCGTCTAATCATCAGGGCATACAATTGATGTCATACTTGTTACGATCACTTTCATTTCGGATCTACGAACACACCTTTCCCTCTCGTTATTCATTTGTAACCACTTATTAAAACCTGCCCAAACACATTCATTGATCCATGCTCGAACCTGACCGATACCATAAGTATATACGAACACATTGTTACCACATGTATCTAGATAATAGTAGTATATATACACCAGACGAACTTCGGATTAACTCCAAGTTTCGAATGGTTTTACCTGCTCATTTCTAAATTGATTTGAGTCCTATCATAATTCGAAACTTGCCCCTTCGCACTCTCTCGACAGGCATTGCCTCGTCTTTCACCCACACTTCACCGCTCTCAAAGTCCGTTGTACTCAACGGCAACCACCTCATTCCTCACCCAACTCTGCTTTACTCTTACTCGCTCAAGACCTCATTCGGAGGGATCCGAATTCCACATTCCTAGTTACTTTTTCTATCGCACTCCATTCCTCCACCTGGGTAATCACGCGACTACAACTGTAGATTGCGACCCTTGTATTCCCTTAGTACATAAATCATTACTCTCACCTGGTAGTCCGCTCTTGAAGCAACCAGGAAGTAGGCGGTGCTGCAACCTTCTTGACAGAGGGGCCGTTGAAAAATCCTACCAGAATTTACCCTGCTCAGACCTAAACGACTGAGTGTACGGCAGGAGGTTTCGAACCTCGCTGGTATTTCTTGATCCTCTCACACGTCGAAAGACAACTACCGCAGAGATCAATTTCTCTTTTTGCACCTTCTAAGGCCAAATCATTTTACGTAACCACTATACCTACCTACTTCGTGTGTCCGGATCGGCTATTGGTCGGAACACTTTGAAGGAGTACCTTTACCTCGGATCTATACTCATCTAAGTACCAGAACAGGGTCGTGCGCCCGGTACAAGACACTATTGTTCACACACCACGTCTTCATTTGAATTCTCTGCACCACTCTATCAATACTACACACGTCGATCTCCACCTCCACTCGTACCATCACCACACTCATCCCCTACAAATCCCACACCACCTTCACTGACATCACCAATGGGTTCTACTGGATCTGGAACAGGCAGTCTCGGAGTGAATCCACCACCACCACCACCTCCGGGAGGAAACCCAAATCCACCCAGAAATCCACCGCCACCTCCACCGAACAATCCACCAGCAGCCCCACCACAGTCCAATACAAAGGCATCTGGAGGGAAACCCTCAGACTTCGATGGAACCAAAGACAAATACCCGTCTTTCAAAAGACAACTGTACCTATGGTTCCGAACACCGAAGAACACCGGTCTCACTGATGAGCAGAAGATCGACATGACTCTTTCATACATGAAGGGTCCAAAGGTTGACGACTGGGTCAACAACTATTTTGAAAATGAGTTTAACATTGCCTCCGACAGCTGGAATGTCAACTTCTATCAGTTGATTCTCGACCTTGATGAACAATTCCTCGATTCAAATCGAGTCGAACAAGCAGTTATCCAAATGGATAACTTGACCCAAGGCAATGGAACGGCGCAGGAATATTTCCAGAAATTGGAAATGTACATCACGCAGGCGGGCAGAAAAAAGGAAGATAAACACACTATCGACCTCATTCGACTCAATTGCAATGAGTCCATCGTAGACAGGGCTCTTGACAGAGACACGCGACCAGCCACTTATGCACAGTGGAAGGAAGCAATCATTGATATTGATTCCTCGCGAAGGCAGCGGAAAGAAGAGAAGCGTTTGAAGAAGACTGGATATCGACCTTTCCGATCAAACCAAAACTATGGGCAGAAGTACCCTAGTTATCAGCAGCAGACCCAAGGATCAGGTCAGAACCAGAATCAGAGTCCGAAGAAGGACTACGGAGAAAAGAAAGATGGAACCGGGACAACGTTCACAGGGCGTGGACAGCCCATGGACTTGGACAGGAATTGCCTTAAGTGTAAGGCTAAGCAATCAGAGAAGGGCACTTGCGGAAGTGCATGGCATGTTCCCAATCGATCGGGACCTTCCACGAACACTCAACGTGTTCGAAAGAATGAAACCAAGACAGAGTCCAAGATCGAGGAGATCTCCGACTCAGATAATGACGACGATGACAAGATGATTGCCATGGTTCGGCGATGGATGGAGAAGAACCCGGAGAAGGCGAAGAAGCTGAATTTTGGCTCGGGCAAGGCTTAAACGCACAAAGTAACTTGCCGGATAAGAACAATGACTCGGATAAACCCCTGGAGGGTTCTATGAAAACATCTTCAATACATGCCTATAGTACATCGATCGGACAGTCCCCTTTTGTAAATACTTCATCTAACGCAGAGGCGTCTTCTACCAAGAAGCGCGGCAGGGCGGAACCTGTACTTGATTCCTCTAAACAAAATACAAAAAAATTTGAAAATAAACCGAGTGCGTCGGATAAAAGCATCACAGACATCGGACCACTATTACTCCGAGTTGTCAAAGGACTTGGAAGAGGGAAACAAATGGACCTACCGGTCACCGTGATCATCCCAGAAACAGAAAGAATTCATGATACAATAGCATTAGTTGACACCGGAAGTACCGGATCATGCATAAATTATAATTTCGTAAAAAGGCATGGAATCGAAACCTCTAGATTTGATCAACCGATCCAAGTCTATAACACGGATAACAGCGAAAATTCTCAAGGACCGATCACAGAATACGTCCAACTCACACTTCGAATCGGCGATCACCAAGAGAAGATCATGCTTCTAGTTACCGATCTGGGGAAGTCAGACATATTCCTCGGATATGAATGGATTGAATATCATAATCCATCAATAGACTTCAAATTGCAACTTGTTGACTTTAACCGATGCCCACACATGTGCGTCACTATAAGACAACAAGAAATCGAAGAAGGAGATACCGTATATTTACTCAATACCAATGCTTGGTATAAAGAATGGGGAGAATATATTCAGTGAATGCGCGTAACAGCCATGGACATAGCAATCGAACAAAGTAAACAAAAAAAGAAAAAGACCTTCGAAGAAATGGTTCCCGAACAGTATCGTGAATTCACAGACGTATTCACTGAGGATACTTTTGACGTCCTTCCAGAAAGGAAACCATGGGACCATGCAATAGAACTGCTACCAGATTCATCACCGTATGCAGGCAAAGTATATTCCATGACTGTTGAAGAACAAAAAATCCTAGACAGTTTTCTTGAAGAAAACCTAAAGACGGGAAGAATCCGACCATCAAAGTCTCCCTGGGGAGCACCCTTCTTCTTTGTCAAAAAGAAAGATGGCAAATTGCGACCGGTACAGGACTACCGAAAACTCAATGATATGACCAAGAAAAACAAATATCCTTTACCACTAATCTCGGAGCTTATTGATAAACTCAAAGGTGCTAAATATTTCACGAAACTGAATATTCGCTGGGGATACAATAATATTCGCATGAAAGAAGGAGATGAAGAGAAAGCTGCATTCATCACAAATAGAGGATTATATGAACCAACCGTCATGTTCTTCGGATTGACAAATAGTCCTGCTACATTTCAGATGATGATGAATGACATTTTCCGTAATCTCATTCTCAAAGGAAAAGTAATCATATATCTTGACGATATACTCATATTTTCCGAATCCCTGGAGGAACATCGCCGTATTGTGAAAGAAGTCCTTAAAATATTACGAGAAAATAAGTTAACCTGCAAATCAGAAAAATGCGAGTTTGAAACTCAAGAAACAGAATATCTCGGACATATTATTTCGCAAGGAACTGTAAAGATGGATCCTGCCAAAGTCGATGGAGTTACGCAATGGCCAGTACCAAAAGCCAAAAAGGAATTACAGTCATTCCTTGGATTTGCCAATTTCTATCGACGATTCATCAAAGACTTTTCCAAAATCGCCACTTCCTTGAATAAATTAACCGGACAAGTAGAATGGACCTGGGGTCCAGAACAGCAAGAAGCTTTCGAACTTCTAAAGAAAACCATTACCACAGCACCGGTATTAGGTATTCCGAACAATGAAGATCAGTTCAAAGTTGAATGTGATGCATCCAAATACGCTATTGGAGCAGAACTTGCACAGAAGCAAGATGGACATTGGCGAACCATTGCCTTTCTATCAAAAAGCCTTTCACCGGCTGAAAGAAACTATGAGATCTACGATCGAGAGATGCTAGCCATCATGATCTCATTAGAAGAATGGCGTCATTTCCTGATGGGAGCTGCCCAGAAATTCGAAATTCATTCCGATCACAAGAACCTTGGTTATTTCAAAAAACCTCAGAAGTTGAATCATCGCCAAGCGCGATGGATCCAAGAATTACAACAATATGATTTCAATTTGACTCACAAACCCGGAAACACAATGACGAAGGAAGACCCTTTATCGCGACAGACTCATCATGATATTGGAGATAGTCATAATGAAAACATTACGTTGTTAAGACCAGAATGGTTCCGAGCCAATGAAATCCTCGGATCATCAGCTTTACGGGAGAAAATCATAAAAAACACTGATAAATATGAAAACAATGTACGATTAAAACTATTGACAAAAGATGCTGACTTCAATGAGACCGAGGACGGTCTTATCTGGAGAAGGGGGAAGATTGTTATCCCTTTTGACAAGGAACTCAGAGGAGAAATTATTCATTCACATCATGACTCGATTAGTGCCGGTCACCCTGGACAAGCAAAAACACAAGAACTAATCTATCGATCGTACTGGTGGCCTTCAATCAAAAAAGACGTAAAAACATATGTAAAAGGCTGCGAGACTTGTCAAAAAACTAAGATTAACCATCAACCGAAGAATGCTCCATTGCACCCAAATGCAATTCCGGAACATAACTGGGAATATCAATCTGTAGACATGATTACACATTTACCAGAATCGCAAGGGCATGATGCGATCATAGTAGTTGTGGACATGAAATCAAAAGACTACATTGAAATACCAACTACGGAGCAATTGACATCAGAAGGATGGGCTAATCTCTATATCAAAAATGTATATCCGTTGCACAGATTACCAAAAAAGATGACATCAGACCGTGGACCACAATTTATATCCAGCTTCATAAAAGACTTATATAAAAAACTAGGAATTCAGGGAAATCCTAGTACGGCATATCATCCGCAGACAGACGGACAAACTGAACGAATCAATCAGGAAATTGAAAACTATTTACGAATATTCATCAATCACCGACAAACCGACTGGCCAGAATAGTTGCCACTGGCAACATTTGCATATCGAAATAGAGTCCACTCTGCGACTGGATTTTCACCATTCTACATGAATCACGGACGAGAAGCCTACACTGGTGTAGAAACCAAAAAGGAAATTCATAATGAAACTGCAGAGCAGTTTGTAGCACGAATGAAGAAAATCCAAGAAGAAGCATCAGCATCGTTAACGTTAGCACAAGATGTTATGAAAAGACAATACGATAAACATAAAGGTGAAGCCATAAATTATAAAGATGGAGATTTAGTGTGGCTTGAAGCTACACATATACGAACGGACAGGTCAAATCAAAAATTGGATGATAAAAGATACGGACCATTTCCGATCATTAAGAAAATTGGAGCTAGTGCATACAAGCTCAAACTACCAAAATCATGGAAAGGTGTACATCCCATATTCAATGAAACATTATTATTGCCATATCATGCACCGGAATTCCCAAATCAGAAAATACACAAAAACATTCCAATAATTATCGATATCTTAGAAGACAAAGCTGAATCCGTATTAGACTCCAAGATGGCACGTGGAGGCCTTCAATATCTAATCAAGTGGGCTGGAAAACCACGTTCTGAAAACACATGGGAACCTCGTCATAAAATTATTAAAAATATAGACAAAAAGATTATCGACAAATTCCATAAAGATCATCCCGATGCACCGAAAGCACCCACAAGAATATTGCTAAAGGCACAAATTATGGAACAGTCATTTCCTAGAGAAGCGACACAAGAAGAATGGGATTATTGGGATCAGAAAGTACAGCGATGGGCAGAACGTCATAAAAAAGAAAAAGCAATGATATCTGTAGACCCAGATTCAATTAAATTATTCGAAAATCGAAGAAAAGCACAAATCATATCTAATCAGCACTACCCGAATGCCGGTGAGTTATGGATCATCAATGAGCAGACGCTCAAACTGACACACGTGGCAATCACATCCGCGCCTACGAAAGTCAAACTCGAATGGCAATACCCCATTCTTTCCTTCTATCAACTCGTCGAACCAACATCAATCCCAAGTATGGATTCCTCTATCTTAGAACACTCATTCACTCAACCAATGAAAGCCCTTTGGTAGAAATGGACAAAGACGGAACCATCATCCTTAGCATCTTTGGCGGCATAATCCTATGCACTGTTGGAGTAATACTCTGGGTTGTATGGTATAGAGAACGGGAGAGAGAAAATTCGGAAGAATGGATCATCATGGTATGATTGAACAATTCCACATCTATCATAAATTAATCGTGAGGACACGATTCTAGAGGAGGGGGTAATGTTACGATCACTTTCATTTCGGATCTACGAACACACCTTTCCCTCTCGTTATTCATTTGTAACCACTTATTAAAACCTGCCCAAACACATTCATTGATCCATGCTCGAACCTGACCGATACCATAAGTATATACGAACACATTGTTACCACATGTATCTAGATAATAGTAGTATATATACACCAGACGAACTTCGGATTAACTCCAAGTTTCGAATGGTTTTACCTGCTCATTTCTAAATTGATTTGAGTCCTATCAATACTAGAGAAGCCGCCGGCTGCCTTGAGTTTCGCGTTCTCCTTCACATCAATCCCTATACCCTAGCTCACAGATGTACTTTCAGCACACCACTTACTTGACTACACGCAAAGATGAATCCCGAATTGTCTGCCAGAATGAAGCGACTATTCTCAAACCTGAAGAAGTCTCCACCTGCACCATCTCCCGAGCCAACTGCGTCGCCTGCGCACCCACCGAATCCCTCTATTCTTAACGTCGGGCACAAGACTGTTCTCCAGCCAAAATACGTCCTACCACCTTTACCCCATCCGTGTCCTTATGAACATATCGCCCTCTTGCCGACACCCCAGGGACTTCTCTTACGGCCTCACTTTGCAGACGAAACGCCTTCCAAGACACATGTCAGGATAACATGGGGCAAGGATGGCAAAGTCGAAGAGCTAGAAGGCGATGGTGAAAGTACCACCGCAAATTGGGCAGACAGTGCTGTCGTGTATGGCATTCTGGGAATTCTGACTCTCTTCTCTGGTACTGTACATGGTCTCGTGCACCCTTACAATGGGGCCGTATTGATTCTTTAAACAGGATCTTACCTTCTACTTATTTCTTCACGTTCAGACGTGGGCTACTGTGAGTTCCTATCATGCATTACCTGTTTTCATTCATTTTGAGCTGTCCAGTATTTGAACAAACGCATGCTGTCTATTCTGTCAAGGGTGTTAGTGTAATCCCTCTCGTGGAATCCCGCGCAAATGCAGCACTGCAGACACTCGCTCGTGTACGAACGGCTTCAACAACTAGATACCCAACGCAATTCGATGAACTCTCCGATTCTGGTATTGACCCACCGGATGAAGAGGCTAGCAATTCTAATAAGAATCTTTCCTCTCCTCACGTCAAGTTTGCTACAGAAGATCAGATAAAGATGATGACCCCTCTTACATCACACGGGTTTGAACCGACGCTGGACGATGACTCAACGCCATCTTCCCCGTCATCGTCTGTTGCATCTACACCTTCATCAGACATCTCGCTCAACACCAACAATGTTGCAAGAGCTCTTGCTGATAAACTGTCTTTCTGGAGTCGACTATCGAAACGGGCTTCTCGGCCTACCTTTTCGGCTGCGGAACAAGGCCTTGCGCACGACGAAGAAGCCCTGCGATCTCTGATGCGAGGTGAATCACCTACAGATCTCAATGAGATGATGGAAAACGGTGTCAAAGAGCCTGCAGAGGTCCTGGATAGTATTCTACAGGCAACCGCTCCGCCGCCGCCAACCGTGGAGGAAAAGCACGGCGAACTAGAAGAGAAGATTATCCGAGAATGTGTAAGGGAATTCACCCGGGGAGGAATGTACTTCTCCTACAACTTCGGTAAGTTGGAGTCATGCTTACGGCTCTATGGGTATTCCCTAAGCTTTCGTACACAGACATCACTAGGTCTCTTCAGCATAAGCAAGAACAGATCGCGAAGAATAAGAAGCAAAATGCTCTTCTTGCCGATCTCAATGCGCTTGACGATTCACAGAAACTCAGTCCTCTCGGTGATAGAATTGACCTCTTAGCTGAACCCTTCCCTACCCTTCCACTCTGGCGCAGGGTTGACCGTCAATTTTGGTGGAATGAATGGCTCTCAAAACCATTCATCGACGCTGGTGTATGTTTCATTGTATTCACGAGAGGAAAAGAATATACTAATCACACAGTTTAGTTGCATTCTTACGTTTTGCCTGTCATGCAGGGTTTCTACCAGATTGCTTCATTCGCTGTTCCTCGAGAAGCCGTTGCCTCAGAGGAAGGAGACTTTGCGATCGCCGATTATATATTGATTTCGCGCCGCTCGCGAGATCGGGCTGGCCTGAGATATCAGCGGCGCGGAATTGATGATGGTGCAAACGTTGCGAACTTCGTAGAGACGGAGGCCATCATGCGTGTAGAGGTACGCATTTCATTCTTTTTACCGAAAGCATCTCACCTACTTTCCTTAGCGTGAAGGATTTGTGAATGTCTTCAGTCATGTGCAAATCCGTGGATCAAGTGCGTGTTCTTTTTACTGCGGTTCATCATTTTCTTGACCAATGCTCTGCCCTTAGTCCCATTATTCTGGAATCAAACTGGCTATGGCCTGAAACCTCCCCCAGTCCTGTCTCCTGATAGAACGCGTGGACAGAACCTTGATGCTATTCGTCGGCATTTCTCCAAAACCGTGATGCAATATGGTCCCCTTGTAGGCTTCCATCTGTGTGTCATGAATTCCGTCCAACGTTCAATATATTCTGTGACAGACGATCGTCAATCTGGCCGAGCAGCATGGGAAGGAAGCTCTGATCACGAATGCATATCGGGAGTATGTGACAGAAATGAAGATGCCTGACGTCCAGTGAGCAACCAACACATCCACTTCATAGGAAGGTTTTTGATTAGATCTGCTCAGATACAACGAATACGACTTCCATTTAGAAACCAGGGGGATGAAGTGAGTATATCGTTGAATCCATTGCTATGCTATTCACTGTATCTACGGCGGCCAGATACGAAAACATTTCAAAGTTGATTGAGAACATGGAGCGCATCTTCGAGGGTCAAGGGTGGGCCGTTTCACTTCCCAGCGCAATGTGGCCTCCTGATAATATCGCACAGGTACCTTTGGGTCTCAAATAATTCCATGATGTCGCAACAGAAGGGGGTATTTCGGGTAAACTGTATTGACTGCCTTGACAGAACGAATGTTGTCGAGGTAACGCCCGTTGAAGCACAATTCCACCGTTGATTATCGCTCATTTATTCTCAAGTCTGCCTTTGCTAGATACGTGCTGAATCGACAGCTGGGCGCCGTCGCGCTCTTGAACCCCATGACTGAGGGTAAGACTGAAACTGATGTCGTCTTCAATGACAGTGAGTAAAGTTTATCCCCGTGTGGGTAGTTTTCTAAACGCCTCTTTAGTATGGGCGAATAATGGCGATGCAATCAGCAAAGAATAGTGAGCAGATTGTTTCTTCTGTTACGAATAAGCGACATACTGAATTTCCAATCAGTGCTGGAACATCCGCATTGAAGGTATGAATTGCATATCTTCCTTATTCAATTGTTTATTCATCTCTAATTCGAATGGATAGGGCGATTTCACCAGGTATGCTATTCCGTAGGTCTGATATTGCAAACGTTATAACTCTCATTAGGACGGGGAAGCGAGACCTGACGGGACTGCTGAATGACGGTGTGAATTCTCTGGCAAGGTGAGCTTTCGTTGACAAACTCAATGGGTTGAAGAAGATTATTGAACACGCATATGTCTAGAATGTACACCTCAACATTTGGAGACTGGTTCAGTCAAGCGGTCATCGATTTTATGCTAGGCAATCGAACACTTGCCGTGTTCTCTGAATTCTTACTAAAGCTTCAATCCACTGATCCGAGTGATCTCATTCGTATATCGAAGATCAGAGCAGAGGCTATCGCAACCTCTGTTGCTAGAGTGCTTGAAGATGGAGAACGATTGTTATCTGGATGGACCCTTCTTTCCCCTGTCGATTTCAATACAAAGATTGGAAATAGATTTGAAGAAAAGATTCTGCTTCTGGTAAGTCTTGCCATACCGCTCAGTGGTGTCTCACTCACAAATGACCTACATATAGAGCGTAAGAGCTCTGTATATTATTGTGCGTCTTTATGTTGGTGCCAAAGGCTTGTATTGATGTCACGCAGAGTTACGATTATACCCTGGAGAAAGTGAAGATGTATACCCGTGTACCACTTGGAGACATTATTAGCATCAGAAAAGGTATGTTGCTCTGTAATGCTATATCGTACCCGCTGAGGCTTACCGTGAATAGGAGCATATATCCTATCACCACTAGAGGAAGCCAGCCGCGACCCACTGCAGAATGCTGGCTTCATAGTAACATGGCGGAACACACATCAAGATACCCGGGTCACAAGCTATTCGATCAGGAACAGTCTTGATCTGACCTCACCCCCTGCCTCACCACGAGCGCCCACATCACCCAAATCGCCTAGACTTCCTTCTCGAAGGAATACTGCACTATCCCGCATTCTATCTAATGCGGCTGCGCCTGCCATTAATGACGACGTAACCTTTGCTACTTTCAAAGTCCTGCCCATCGATCCTGCCCGAAACCGCAGAGATAACGGCAGCTTCATCGAGCCTGCAGACGAGTTGACAGGCGCATCAAATTGCAAAGAGATTGTCGACCTCATGGTTCAGGCAATTCAAAAGGCATGCATGGATGTAGGGAACGGCCATGAAGATTTCGTGATCGAAGAAGATGTGGTTAGGTGCGTCCAGTGCAGCATTTGCAAATATTCCTCTGTCTAACATTGTGCCAGTCTTGCTGAAGCACAACGCATGACAAGCGTGTATTCCAAGATGGAGTACGGAGTCAAGAGATTGCTATGGCTGGGTGGTTGACGACCATCTCTCCATTGTTCCGTTATGAGGATGAATGCAGAACGGAATGTAATACCATTGTATCTCCATCGGTCTGATGAGAACATTCAACAAAGTTTGCTCTTTCTCGAAGGGGGAAGTGCTGAGGTAAACAAGATGATGTGAGCCTCCGCGGCGATTAGCTCTAAGAGAAGCGCCCATAACCATGCTCAATAGTCGCCATTTCGGTCAACGACACCGTCCACAACGTTCTGCTCAGGCGTGCATCAGGTTGCCTCAGGCGTCAGGTCTACCAGCAGTCTTGCAACGAGGTTATACCACTGCTACCGTGTACTCTAAGGTCTTGCTGGCTGTCGGGCTTCACTCTTTCTGGCAAAAACATTCTGCAACTGGTCCTCGTGCACATCAGTGAAACTCCGTAATTCTTCCCGACCAGTCTTAGCATTCATAGACATAAATACAACATTCGATAGCTGTCAAATCCAATGGCGAATCCACGTTCTTTACAACATTCACACTCGCAGCGGATTGCAGCGCAGCTGCCCTTCTCTCCTAGTCCATCTACCAATAGCGTTGGCTCGCAACGTCGGAATCCAGCGACCCCGGGAAAACCCAGTAGTATTCCACCACATATTTCACTTCATGCAAGGTCAGGTTCCGCGGTATCGTCTCGTTCACGGAATGCACCAAGCAATGTGACTACCTCCGGAGAGCCACCGTATGGTCTTCCGACGATCCCTGATTCACCACCGCGTCCCACTCCAAATGGAACATTCGTTTCGGGCGTAACACCTTCGACGCCGTTCTTTAATTATTCCAGGCCCAATATTCCGACTTCACCTCCGCCGCAAGTACCACCTGCTCTCTCGCTACCGCGTCCTGGAAGCCCCGGGTCGATCATTTCCTCCGAGGCACATGCGCTGACCCCAGTCCATTTGGGACAACTATCTAAAGAAGAGTATACTCAAGATTCTGACGTATCTGATAGCGTCAACCCATCCACGGAGGATCTTAATCATGCTCTGCAAGCGACACAGAAGACGACGTCTACCAAGCATAGCCGGGAGCCGTTACTTCCAATTGGTCCACGGTTAATGCAAAGGCCTGGTGTACCTCGTCCTTCTATAACCGTCACTTCAGGGCCATATGGAAAGAGCGACGGTAATATCAGTCCGGGTGGGAGGATGAGGGATAGTTTTGAGAAGATGTTCAAGAGGCGACAGAGTACCGAGATTCAGAGGAAGGCAGGACCTAGCAACGGTAGTCCGCATAGTCCGTACCACCCTCGATCAGCACAGAACTCACCCATCTCGCTATCACCCGCGAATGGACGTTTGACATTTGAAGTATCGGATGAGGACGGTGGTATTTTGTCTGCAGCATCACGCTACAAGGGCAGCTCGTCTCCTGGTCACGCATCGTCCATATCCTTCACTCACATGTCTTTCAATCCTATCGCTCCGACGGACATCAACCCACCGTTAGCTGAAACCCCACTACTGGACGAGAAGACTAGAAAGCCTATGCATCGGTATCAGCTATACCCTTCGCGGAATAGATTTTTCCTTGGAGGGCGCATTCTTACGGGAGGCGATTCGCCGTGGGCGTTCATAGCTTCGTTGATTGTGGTGTTGGGAATCACTGGCGTTTGGTTCGGTACGACATGTGTATGGTGGTGGCTGAACGAGAGCCCCGCTGTCGCTGCAGTCGGGGCGTATATGTGTTTATTGACTATCTCTAGCATGTGTGCGACGGTGAGTGTGCTGCAACCCAAGTTCCAGTGTTTACAAGGCCTTACATCCCCCTTTGGTTGACAGGCCTTTCGTGATCCCGGTATTCTACCTCGGAATCTCGATCCTGATCCGCCGTTCCCTGCGCCAACTGGGTCGCAAGATAGTTTTCGTGCCCCATTGCCTCGAGACTTGCGCGTTCGCGCGGGAACGTAAGCACTGTTTCGTTTCCTGGTAACAAGCACTTTGCCTCATTGGAGTCTCGTGTAGAGTGCGAGTGAAATATTGCCCCACATGTAGGACATATCGACCCCCACGGTCTAGTCATTGCAAAATGGTAGGTTGAGATTCCTTGTACATCGTAGCCGTTTCAAATTTCTGATCCACGCGACTGCAGTGCGACAATTGCGTTGACAATTGTGACCATCATTGCCAATGGGTGAATAATTGTGTTGGTCGTCGTAATTATACTACCTTCTTCACATTCCTTTTCTCTGCCGTAAGTTTACAATGCTTCTACTTTCCTTTGTTCTTTCTTTGGAGATTGAGCTTTTTCGGTTACCGTTCTCTAGGTCCTAACGCTGATCCTCGTCATTTGTACGACGGCTATCCACCTTTGGCTATTGACAAGACCAAGATTTGGGTTGAGCTTCAAGCAAGCTCTTGGAACATCGCAGGGCATAGGCAGCGCGGTGGCCTTTAGCATGTCCATTCTGGTCATCTGGCCGGTTTCAGCGCTCTTAGCCTACCATTTGCGGGTAAGTTCTGGTTCTAGTGGAATCCTTGACCCAAGGACAGCGTCACTTTTCTGCTGCGGTCAGCCCTACGCTATAGATTCGCGAGTGCTAACTGCGGACTTTGTTCTCCCTTGTAGCTTCTTTTGTTGAACGTTACGACTATTGAACAGGTGGGCGCACAATTTACCATCCTTCTAACCCGATCTACGTCCCTTTGACATTTTGAGACTGATTGCTGCACGGTTTCTGCCGCTGTTTAGATTCGAAACCAAGCACACAAAACGCTGGTACCAGGGCCTCCTCCCCCCAACCCATTCTCGCATGGGAATTGGCGGAGGAATTTGTTTTATGTGTTGTGTCGTCCGGTAGGGTACTCGTGGCTTGATCCACGAGGGATCGCTACGGAGGATAAGCGAGAGATTAATCCTGGGCTGCTGGATGACCATTTCCAGGCGGCTATGGAAGAAGGTCATGGGCGGGGCAAGGGCCAATGACATCGGTACACGGAGATTGGGAAGACTTGAACAGTTGTGTTCGTTCTTTTTCCCGTGAGATTGCATATTGCATTATAGATATTTGCATTTTTTGCTGTTCTGCCCGTATTTTTTTTCATATGCAGAGCTTATACTGGTACCGACGCAGTTGGTTGATTCGGGAAGCGAACCTAACAAGGGGGAAAACAAAGGAAGGATATTGACGTTAATGGAAGACAAAGGCAGGTCTGCTGAGCAATTCAAACCTTCATTCTAGTTCAGTGCCGCTGAATCAGATTAGATATGGGTGAGAACATAATACAGAATGGGTGCATAGGGATGTCCGCATTGGAACAGATGGGGCAGCTGAGGGCCGGTTAAACCGCTGGAAGAGGAGAAAATACACATGTGTTGTTGTCTAAATGAGGTTCTGATAGGTAACAACGAGGACAGCAGGACATGTTGACGGAGGAGTTGGACACGGACAAGTTCCGATCCTCGGGATGCCAGTTTCCTTGGTATTGGCTTAGCCTTGGGGGTTGCTGCGTCACTGCAGCGTCACTGCGTAAGAGGGTGAAGATTCTGCAGTGGCAGGTTGACTGTACGTGGGTTGGATTTCCATGCCCGTCGTCGGAGTAGGTTGTGGGTTCGTTCGAAGGTGTCTGTGAGCGGCGAATCTGCCATGAAAGCTTGGAACAAGAGCGGTGATCGGTTACAGTGCTCGTATATAAAGATATTATTACTCTTGTCTGTCGCTTGTTGTACTACAGGGGCGCTGATCAGGCGAGCGATGTCGATGAGGGTCTTCAGGACATGCATAACTTTGGACGATGGCAGTCAGGGCGGACTTGGTAAATTAATTGAGAGCTATTTCGAGGAGAGTGAGATCTGGATCTGCATGAGGTAATCTGACCCCTGAAAGTGCCTGCGAGTGACGACGTTGATGCGGGGGCAGTTCAGGGTCCAACGAGTTACTTTCGATGGTTCAGATCGAACCTTGTTGGGTTGTGTCCAGATGCGGACAGAGGACTGCAGAAAGCATCCTCTCAGGCTCAGACTGTTCGCCGTGAGTTCGGGCATTTGAGAAGAGGCAGATAAGGTCTCATGTGAGTGTCGTTGGACCTTTCAACGACGTCCTCGGAGAAAATGTCCGACCACAAGGAATGATACGCGCTGAGTTCGGGTTGACTAAGGCATGGTCGGAGTTGGAAGTTTTGGGCGGCAGGGAATTCGGCAGCGACTTGTGTTTAGTGCGGACACGGTGAGCAGGCCTGGTCCCCGTTGACTGTGCTCGCACTCGAAAACACTCCTAAGCAGCATCTAGGACATCCGTCTGCAAGAACAGCAGTTTTCGCTGCAGGCCGTATTAGTGCGTGTGGAAGACTGTACAATAAGCTCCCGGTTCGGCGCTCCGGCCTGGACTTATCGAGTTGAGGTATAAACAGTGCCGAGAGATCATCCGCCAGCCATGTCCTCGAATCCGACCGTCACCGATTCAATCTCCAGCGACGGCAAGACTGCGCCGTCGACAAATCAGCCTCCTCCCGCCCGCGAACAGTCAAAGAAAGGCCGCAAAGCTGCCACCAGGAAACCTCAACCCAAGAAACAAACCCAGGCACACCGCTCCGATCCAAGTCCACCTCCGGAGGATCATTGTACGTCCAACAACCCCTGTCCATACTTGTCCTCTCATTTCATCCATCTTTCCTCTGATTCTCAATCAGCATCTCGTCTCTCAAACGTGCGGGACCAGCAACATCCGCCTCAGCCTCGCTTTACTGCTCACCTGCAGCAGCCCCTTCTCCCTGGGCCGCCAACTTATCCCCTCTTGACCCCAGGTTATCCTATGAACGGCCATCCACATCCTTACGGTACATCCCCATTTCCTCATCCTACTACCCCCGTCAATGGTCAACATCCTCATGGCGCAATTCCACAATACCCCTACGCGGTTCATCACCCGTCGTACGCTCAATATCCTGCGTACCCCCAATATTCCCCGACTCCGGCGATGATGATGTACAATGCTCCTGGTCCAAGTCAACCTGAACCTCCTCGCATTGACGCGTCTTCGCCGACTGCGAGTACAACTGGCAAACGGAAAAGGAAGTATACTTGTTGATCATTGTTCTCCACGCTATCTTACGTTGCATGTGTAGGTTCGACTGATGATGGTGGGCCAAGCGGCAGTCAGGCGGCCAGCCCGAATAATACAACGGAGCCCAAGAAGCGTACAAAAACGCAGCGCGCGTGTGACAGTTGTCGTGCGCGCAAGATCAGGTATGTGCTCTGCGCAGTCGTTGACAAGTGTCCGCCGTTCATTCCCTCTCGATGGCTTGATTGAATTATGTGTGATTCCCTAGATGTGATGTACTACAAGATTCCGACCCGCCAAAGTGTCAGCACTGTAACCAGTATGGATTCGAATGCACTTTCTTCCTGCCGATATCAGAAACTCGGTTCAAAAAGAAGAAGTTGGAAGAGGAGGCCGCCGCCGCCGCAGACAAAGAAGCCGAACGGAGTACACATTCTCCGCACGTTGAACAATCGAAGAACGGTGAGGTCAAGGTGTACGGTACGCACTTCGATTCCCCATCATATCTGTTCTTCATATTCATCAAGTGTTAGGGCCCACGTCTGTGCCATTCCTGCTGCATTCTGCGGCTATGATTTCGTCACGGACATATGAAACATACGATATGCGCTACCACCACACTTGGAATGTGAGCGCCAACGGAGATGGCATCATCCAAGTGAATGAACCACAACAGGGCGAACTGGAGCTCTCGCCTCAAAAACCCGAGGAGCTGCAAATAGAACGTGATGTGGTTGAGAAGCTACTAAACGCGTACTTTGCAGATGTTGCACCTTTGTTGCCTGTTGTGAAAAAGGCAGAGTTCCTTGCGACAAATCCACCCCCTGCAATATTGCTGTACTCAATGTGCTTGGTTGCCGCTACTCGAAGAGAAGTCCCGCAAACCGTGTTCGACAAGATCCGGTATGCGGTGAACAGTTTGATCAAAGCAGAGGACGTCCTATCGACCGCATCCATTGTGAATGTGCAGACCCTCTTGATTCTTTCCATGTCTGGCGATTGTCACTCGCAGTCTGTTCCCAGTGCCCTGTCAGCTTTGTGGATACGATTAGGAGCAGGAATTCGAATGGTGTGATGGTTTTTCTTTGCATATGCATGCGAGTTCTAAGCATCGTCTATAGGCGCAAGATCTTGGGTTGCATCGTGCTGAAGCAGTCAAGCAAAACATTGAACTTCGACGTCGGCTCTGGGGAATCTGTGTAATTCACGATAGATGGTTAGTGTGCTTTCATAGACAATTGGCGTTATATTTCTCGAGGTACAGTATACTCACAGTAAACGTAGGATAAGTGTGACCTACGGTCACCCCCATATGATCGACGTGCAAGACTGTGATGCTCGCCTACCGTCTTCTGGTGATCCACAAGATTTGTACCTAGACGAGCTAGTGCGATTGAGCGTTATCCTCGGTCGAGTGCAGAAGGCCATTTATACGTGCGTACGGTAGTTTTATCGGCAAACGTTGAAGCCGACAAACTCATCCTTTACTTTTCGGCAGACCTGCCGGCCTGAATGCCACCAACGATGAAGCGCTCTATTCGCTACTAAACGACCTGGAGTCTTGGAAGAAGAACCTTCCCGATGATCTTCAGTTTCACGGCCCCGGCAGTCCTCGGAACGCGGGTATGTGTTCCTCCCAACCATGTTCCTCTTAATCCTTGCCGCGGCGGTCGGCACTAGCCCATGATTCAGTTATACATTTTGTCGGGATGCTCATCAAGACACCAGGGATATTGTTCATCTTCTATGCCTCCGTGAACATGTTGTTCTGGCGCGTGTTCATGCGGATATCGTACTCGTGCCCTGCCCACCTCAAGTTTTGTCTGACAGTCGAGAAATGGACTCAGCTTGTTCAAATGACTGGCGATGCCATTGATTGGCTCGATGCACATGATCGCGTGTACGATATCTGGCTGCTTGTCGCTTATTGCGCAACGTCCTGTGCTTTGGTTCAAGTACGTCAAGTTCGCTTTTTGTATATAATTGAGTTCTTGAGTTGATTGTATCTAGTACCATACATGGGCTCGTCGCCACGACCCGGAGGCGCAGGCTAAGCTCAAGAAACTCCGGTCCTGTGTCAGAAAATGGGAGGGTGCATTATCTCCTGACCACATGTCAGCACGACGAAAGGCCGGTTGAATACATGCCTCGGGAATATTTACATGAATCATGCTAATCGACTTTACAGACCGCTGAGATCATCTCTCTGCTATGGGAGGCTACCCAGGGCCCCCAGCAGTCCCTCGAAGCGCCTGCGTTGAACCCAACCAGTGGCGTCAAGGGGAAACAGCCCACAGGGTCATTGGTGTTTACCAAAGACCCGACTAGACCTGGAGGTGGCGTATTCGTCGCGCGAGAGAGACCGAGTGACGACTTGGTGAGAGAGTTGCCAGAGGGCACCATCATTTCTGCTTCAGGTGAGGCGATCACGGCAGCGGTCTCTCATGTTCGAACAACGAATGACGACGTATCGATGTCTCTTCCTTCCCCTGATATGTCTTCGTCCTCTGCCGCTGTCGTTGGTGCTAATTGGTCTCCTTGGTCGTCTGCGTCTCCAGCTGGTGGCGATGGTGCTACTTCGGCTTCTCAGCAACAGCAACAGGCATCCATGGTCAACGTCACACCGATTGGTGGAAGTGCTGCCGGGAATTACCAAAATATGAACCCGGCATTGAACGCGGCGGTATCGGGAGGACTAGAAAACGTTCAGATTGTGAACATGCTTGATTATGCGCCTCAGGGAACTTCAGTGCAGCAGTTCCAGGTGACAGATCAAGTGTCGGATCCGGGCTTCTTTACCAGCATACCCTCGAGTATGTACGATTACAGTGAGTGACAGGATCTATCGTACTTTTGAGATGCCATACATAAGACAATTGATTGCATCTTTGTTCTTTATCAGACCAATGGGAATCCTTCTTTTCTCGGTTCGGCTCCAACTTGAGTACTTTCCCCTCGCAGCAGGCTCAGCGACAGTCAAACATGGCTGGTTCACCTCAAACGAGCACAGCGCAATACCCGCAGTACCCTTCATCTGGTGGAGGGCCTTCGAATAGTGGGATGGGGAGCGGGATGTAGTATTAGGCGTGGTTATGGTCGATTGGATCTGAGTTTGGTTTGATTCTCGGCTTGTCATGCATCTGTTTTACCTTATAATAATAGAGATACTGCTCGTAGTTTCCCCCCTTTTTCCCTCCGTCGTCGCTTGCTCGTTTTCTGTGACTGTCTCAGATTTATCGGACCTTGTGAATTAGTTATCGTGCTTTGTCGACTTTTTGAATTCGTCTCTCTAGTACATACAGATCATTTTGATGCGCATCTGAAGGAATCTTTTTGTCGTGAACGATAAAGGTTTTAGTACATTACTAGTGAGTGGTGTTTGCCCAATCGCAAGTGAGCGTTTACCTACTTACTCTTTCCCTTTTAGCGCCAGTTACCGATCGCGTTCAACGCTTGTTCGATGCGTCCCTTACCGGTTACCTATTGGAAGCTAGAAAAGTTTGTGGGTGACAGTGAGGCATTTTGGCATACACAAACTACAGAACGATCGTATCTGATGTGCTTTAGTCAAGTTACAGGTCGTGCCTTAGCAGCGATCAGTGATAATTATCCTAAGAAATCCCATTTCCTCGTTGTCCTTTCGACCTATATAAGGACTTCACTTCATGGCTTGAAGGCTTCTAGATTCGTTGTGGGAAGTAGTCTTTCCCCTCGACATCAGCCTGTGATTCGGGATTCGGATATTATAGAAACTTACCACCTTGAACAGGAACTCCCTCGACAGACTTGGTGCTTCCCATGCTATTCCCCGTCTACCTTATCAGCAGCTCTCGGGAGCTCGGGAGGTCTCACCGGCTGTGTGAAATCTGGTTGTTGTTCCCGTTGCTATAAGCTTACATCTGTATTGTATGACGGTACGTGCTTCTTGTTCACACTTATTACCATGTGTATGATTCGTTGCTGGAACTGCAAGCCATCAGTGATGCATGCTGCTCAATTGTTTGTTGCGAGCTTTCTGTGACTTAGCGTAAATCCAGCTGTTGGAGTTTGACAGCGGGCTTTATGCTATCTGTTCCAACTTGACAGTTGTTGATTATAGAATGGTAATAGATGGAAAGCATCTTATGGCTCATTTGCCAGCAGGTTGCTTCTTACTTCTCAGGCGGCGTGGGTCGGAATGCACACACCTCTCTCGCAGTCAACTGCGGTAGCAACTCTCTTGTGCTCGAATGTAAATTCATCTCACGCATTTTTCGCAATTGCGAATTCGCCCTATGGCACGCCTTTTCGTTGACAAGCAAATACATGTACCTTTATAGTTACTCCTTTCAGGCCTACGTTCCCCTGGTGCAGGCAATGACCATATGTATCTCCTCTCCCGCGGTGTCGTAAGGCGGAAGTCTGGAGGGAAATCTGGGATATGATTTGCGGGGGTCGATCATGATGGACAACCGATCCGAATCGAATCTGATTTGCTGGATGATGTAGCACTTGGACAAGGCTAAGCCCGTTATGGGACTCTTGGTATCAGAGATGCAGCAGTGAGAACTGTGCGAGGAAAGCCTCTTAAAAGCCGAAATGAAGTTGCGTAATTCGCATTAATTCATTGAATGGGTCTGAGGTATTTCACAGACCCTGCTTGTGCTCTGAAGACGTGCAGGAGCGAGGAGAAAATGATTGGATGGAGGAGAACCGCGTGGGCAGTTTCCATATGCGGAGAACGTGCTCGGCTATAATTGTTTGTGGGCGTCTCAGGTTGATGTTCTGTTGCTGGCTTTCGTCCAGCGAACTTTGCGATATGTTTTTCCCACTTTTTCCCTTATAGATCAATATATCCTATACTATCCGCTTATCTTGCGGTAATCTCTCTTGCTTTCTGCCCCCACACGCTGGCCGTACACACTAACTACACGCAGCGTCCCCGCTGTCGCACTCGTTAGACCCCTCACATTCCTTATGGCCCAACTGCTAGCTCCTAAGGCCCCGGATCCTGGGCGTATCTCACAGATCCTGCCAACCGTCAAATGTTCGAGTTGCAATCAACCCGTACCCATTTCAGAGCTTGGAGACCATGTCTGCGCACCTCCTTCCCCTTCCTCTAAGCCACCCATGTCTCCCCGTTCTGCTAGCTTTCTTTCGCAGAAGTATCAGAATATGGTCTCTCGCTCCCAGACACCGCCGGTACCATCTCCATTATCACAAGGACCTCCGCGTCAGCCAAGTCCATTGAGTGCGCAAGCAGCGAAACCTCCAACTCAGGGATCACCACTGCGGCCCAGAGCGCCATCCACTGCATCTTTGAATGTTCCGGCGCGTCCACAACGCTCTCCTAGTCCATCATCCAGAGATGGTCCCCGCAATGGAGGCAAAGTCGCGTTTCCAACTCATTCCGGGCCCGAATCTCCAACAGTTACATCTCCGCTGTCAATGCGACAGACCTCGCGATCTTTACGTTCTGGATCCTCTATTTCCAGTCGATCTTCTACCTCTTCCCATGTTACTTCCCCTCTTTCATCTCGGCCGCTTGAACAACAACTACCAATGCCAGCCAATATGCCTCGAACTAATACTCCCGGTTTACGAGCACGGGCACCTTCGAATGCAAGTGTGCGATCTACCGCACCGTCTATACGACAGCCAACTCAGTCCAGTCCGACCCCTTATGTTCCTCCTCCACGTTTTGGAGGGAGTCAGATAGGTGCATTATCACCAACATCTCCGCGTCCTCGAGCTGCGACCAATGCAGGTGCCCCTCCAGACTTCCAAACCGGACCTGAAATTATATACTCTACATCTAATAGACTTGCCGATGTGCCGGACTTTGCTCCCAGACCGCCAACTTCACCTGGCCCTTCCATGCCCTCTACTGGCGGTTTCGACTTGGGCCAGGTAATCCCTAACGGACATCCAATTTCTCCGGCTCAGATGCCATACTCACCCCCTGCACCAGACATTGACACAAAGATTGGTGGAGAAGCTGGTATGGCCGGAGTTGGTCGACGAGGGTTCGCAGCCGCTGCTCGTGCAGCCATGTTTGCGAATAACATGGCCAATGCCATGGATGTTGGTCGGGATGATCAGTCGGCCGTGTTCTTGAATATAAACGCTGTCCAAGGTATGGACGGGCGACGGGCGAACGCTCCCAACTTCCTAGATATTGCTTCTGCTAGAAACTATGGTAGGCATAGATCCCGTTATTCGCATCGTACCTAGTGTTCTAATCTTTTCGTCGTCATAGCTAATACGCCACCACTATCGCCTAATTCAGGCTCGTCGCATTCACCCCACTCTCCTCTGTCGGCTGCGTTGCCTTCCCCTGACAACGAAGGGAGAAATAGCACAACACCAACCCTACCAACCATCGCTTCACGCACGCCCTCTCCGTCTGGACCGGGGCGACCATTCATGCAAGGTGACAGGATGATTCCGCCAGCGCCAGAGCCACCGAAGTCTCCATTACCTGCGACGCCAACTACACCTGTTCGACTCCCATTTTTCGAGAAGTTCAAGAACAAGCATCCTCCTGTTGACGTGACGCCTGAACCTGCCAAGGAAGCTTCGTCACCGCTGTCCCCAGGCGGCTCTGAGTCGAGCTTTGGAGGTCTGGCCTATGCAGATTCGTCGGACGACGAAGATGAGAAGCTTCCTGCTTCGGCTCCTCCAGTCTTGAACAAGGACCTGCCTGTAAGTCCGATTGCTATTCCTCCTGTGCCTAAGTCTGCAAGTGGGCCCAATAAAGTACGCTTCCCGTCTATGTCGTCGAAGACCAGCTCTATCCATCAACCGGACTTTAGCTATCCTTCCTCCTCCACCGTTTCACCGAGACTACCTCAACGGAGCCTCTCAGCCTCGACAGCAACTTCGACCTATTCTGTTCGCTCAGCTGCAAAATCCACTGGCGCCCTGGACCGAGCCATGGAAACACTCTTCGAGGAAGATGCCACTTCCACCTCGGCTTCTAGTCCCGCGATGTTCCCCTTAACGATCGGTGAAGGTCATAGGGACAGCAAGCCACCAAAGTTACCAACTAGGTCACATACCAGTCCTATATTAAGTGCTGGTAGACCAGATTCTAAACATGGAATGGGTAAACGAAGGGCTCCGAAGGTTAGAACATGTGTAAAGTGCGACAAGCATGTCGATGATGGACGGTGGATACAAATGGATGGTGGGAGTGTGCTTTGCGATAAGTGCTGGAAGAATATGTATCTTCCTAAGGTACGTCGTGATATCATTCGGGTCTCATTGTCATGCTGAATAAAGAATAGTGTCGTCGATGCAACAAGACGATCGAGAAGGCTGCGGTCTCTTCATCTGATGGTCAGCTTAAGGGCAAGTACCACAGGGAATGTTTCAGCTGTTTTACTTGTCAGGTATGGTTGAGTATACGCCCATATCTGCCTTTTATGTTAAACTGCTCGTTTCAGAAACCGTTTCCTGACAAGTCCTTCTATGTTTTCGACGGGAAACCCTTCTGCGCCTACCATTACCACGAAGCCAACGACTCACTCTGCGCTGCCACAGCTTGTGGTCAGCCCATCGAGGGTCCATGTGCTGTCTCGCATTCAGGTGATAAGTACCACCCCGAACACTTCACTTGTGAATGGAGTCGCTGCAATGAACGGTTGGCGGAATATTGGGAAGTCGAGGGAAGGATGCTTTGTGATAAGCATGCTCAGATCGCTATGCGGGAAGGCGAGTTTGAAGACAAGGATCCGTTAGACGGACTTGGACCATTCGAGGGGAAGGCAGGAGATGATAGGAGGGATAGCGTCGTGGCGAAAGCAACGAAGCGGGTGACGAGATTCATCGATCTTGCGGCCCTCAATGGAGGTGGAGGTGGAGGGGGAGATGACAGTGGGTTACGATAAACGGACCCGACCCCTACCACCTCTTGCCTTCTGGGGGCTATCGTCATGCAAACAGACCAATGGTGCGCTTTTTCGTCAATCATCCAAAAGGTTTCGTGAATAGTGGACACAGTATCATTCTCGTGGACGGAAGTATACCGATGCTTCATTTGTATTTCTATCCTTTCATACATTCAACATTTTCTACAACTTCTCGCATCCTATATCCGGACCTTACGACAACAGTCCGTCTTACTCACAATACCCCACTACTTTACTTCTCCCCGTTACACAACCACAACCATGACCAACACTTTACCCCTTTTCATCCTTCCTTCAGACTCTCATACCCTCGTACCATAATTCGACTTTCTTTGGTGTACAGACTACATTTGGGATTTTCAGTGGACATCTTTACTTTTATTTCGTTCGGTTCTTTCTTCCCTTTCCTCACCATGCTCACATCCTTTTTATTCGATTTTCTTACCCACCCTCGTTGTATAATTCCCTTTGGCTCTTGCAAGAGAAGCCAGCAAGAAATTAGGTCTCTAGTAGAAGAAACTAATCGACCACAATCAATGGAATCACAATTATCTCTATCTCTGGCAACGATGTGAATCTACCATACACACCCTCTGGGCTACGGAACTTCTCTCTTCTGGCACTCCCGTACCCCATTACGACTGTGGCTGGACGTTTGCATCTTGATGCTGTTGTTGTTCAACAATCCATTGGCGAATGAACGTACTACTCATTTTCGCCTTCTTCAGTATATCTGGATCTTCCGTCTCTATACATGCCTCTGAAGATATGACATCGATGACGAAGGTCTTGAGCGAAGGCAGGTTCTTTTCTCGTCTTAATTTCTCGACTTCACACACATAAGAAATGTCAGAATCGTAGACCACGTATGTCATGTGCGTGGGTGCTCACTCATCTTGCCCCCAGACAAAGTCTCCCGACTGACAACCAACGCTTGGATATTCGGATCCCATGCCGTAGGTCCATAGACATCGGTGATAGGTACAATGTCAGGTGTAATGGAAGGATTGAACAATGCCAGGAAGTTACGAGTACGTTCACACCGGACAGAGAGGGGCTCGAGAACGTGCTTGTTTGCCTTGTTCTGAAGGAGAATGTCATCTAGAGCTCGGGTCAATACATAAGAACGCCGAGACAGGAACAATGTGTACATACCTGTAACCCCAATGATTAGTTTCTCGCTAGTAATCCACGCTGCCATGCTGAGTAGAATCTTGTGGCCGGCATGGAGATGGTCAAATGTCCCACCGAGCGCTGTTACAGGGAATATGGGTGGTAGTGAGGGATCACTTGGATGAAGGGCTATAGATATTGGGTGAGGTGGTGGATGTGGATATATAGGGTCGGGTTTCAGCCAGACCGTATGAGAGAGACTGCGAGCGTATGACGATGGAAGGTCGTCTCTCTGGCCCCCGAGGAGCGAAACTACGATAATATAAGAGATATATACAAAAAGAAATGATGGGGGACATACCCCTGTATACCCTTGGAACGTCCTCCTGCAGAAACTGAGGCACAGGCGAATCTGTCCCTTGCAAGAGGACATCAACGTCCATGAGGATCTTGCCCATCTCCTGGGCTACCTTCGTCGTTTGGACGTAGACATATGTAAGTAGCCGTTGTACTTCGTCCCACTGGCCAGTCCGAGATATTCCATGATCAGTGGAAGAAGACGTTCCGGTATAGCGTGTGGGCGGCGGTGGGTTGAACAAAGAGGAAACAAGTACGATGCGTAACTGTTGAGCACTTTTTGTCGCCGCTAAAGCGATCGGTGAGGATAGGTGGTAAGGCGGGATCTCTATAGTTTGCAAGGTGGTTATAAGCACCGCGGAGTTCACCACTGTTAGCTCGTCTACGTTGGAGGACATGGTTCATCAATCCCGGTTTATGAATAAGTCAGACTTCGGATTATGGTTCTCGAGAAGTTGTGAGGAGCATAGCGCTACGATGGTGTAGTCACTGTTGGTGGTACGACGCATACATCCAGATGGCGCAATCCTCAGAGATTATGAGAATGAATACTTCGTACTGTGAATATCCAAAGACACGCTGACGTATCCTCTGCATGCAGAGATACAGTAAATAGAAGGAATGCAAAAGACTAAGGTATAGTTCGCATGAACTTGAATTGCCTTCCGAATGCGCTACAAAGGCTGTAAATTAACGAGTCTATAATAAATTTCACAATGCGACTGCACAAATGTATTGCCCAAACATGTAATATGCAATGGCGTTAGGAAACAGTATGGTGATATAGGGGTGCTCCTGTGCATACAGACTTGAGTGACTCTCAACAGCGAGGCCTACCAGACTAGGTGAATACAACGGATTCATGTACAGGCTCCAGTCCATGCCCCACGTTCAAGTCATTACCTTCTTCCTATATCTCGGTAGCTGACATTGTCATTGCGGCATAGATGTCACTGGCAAAAGTGACTAATGAATACCAGGAACTTAGATTAATTGGGACAACACGAGACACAACAACGATAGGCCAGAAATGTAGGTCCAAAGCCTGCATTACTTGCATACCATGAAGGATGTCGGCGCGGCGAAGTCACGAAATTGAGAGGAGGTTCTCCGACCGGCAAGTGATAACGATTTGGACGCAATGTGTTCTTGCGTCCGGTTCCTGATTCTGTTGCTGGTATATGGTATGTTACCTGTATTACATGTTACAAGGCCCGCTAGAGAGACATAAGAAAAGGATCTTGCTTACTGCGAGGTGAATCTCTACGGAAAATGCTGGCCAACAGCGTTGTCAATCATCACGAGTTCTTCTATCTTAAATTCGCATATACGAAAATGAGAAGGCAAAGCCTCATCGTACAGCATTGGCAAGTACCAGCTAATAGACACCGCGACGGCTGAAACTGGGATAGACTAAGATTTAGATGCGACGTGCAGAATTCGCGCTTGGGAATGAACATAAATACTTGATCAAGCCCGATCGATCATTGTCAAGCGTCGGTATTACCGCATAAGGGACTGTGACAATCGTGACGATTGTGCGCCCCAAAGCTTCTTGCGCTGAGCGCGTGACATTCCCGACGCCCACCGCCTCCCACGCTCTCAAAGTGCTCGAGCTCGTCGGCTCACGCATCCTGCACGGCGAGGACCCCAACCTCAACGTTGTGTACAATTCTGCCACTTATTAACGCCTTTTATGAACAGTAACGACCATTTCACGACAAATGTATACCACACAGGACCCTCATCGAGGGCTCGAAACTCCTCCTCCCGCTTCTCGATTCCGGCGTCCATGGTCTCCAGAACCATACGATCCTGCACCCTCGAGCTCATTATCTAGATATCCAGAATTTAGAAATCAGGATGATCCGCAGACTTCAAGTAGCCGTAACCGAGGAAGAGAGCCTTCAGACGTCTCTGTTGAAGCTCTCGATCTTGCCGACTATGCAAGGACCCTAGCTCGCAATACGAATACCCATAGCTACGCGCCGATACACCGCTCGAATTATATCGAGCAGCAGGCTCATCCTTTTCTTCCGTACGACCAATACCCACCCTCACCTCCACCTCTCCGTCCCTTTGCTCTAGCAAGCCAAGACTCTCTTTCGCCACCGTCCTTACTATCTCCCTCGGCCTCAAGTGCTCAATCTCGCTCAGGTTCCTCATCGACCCGTTCCTTCGCCCCCCGCCATCGTCCGTTCTCACTACCCACACCTTCTTTGCCTCAACGTTCGCTGCAGAGTCATCCATCGCAAACTGAATATAACAACGCCGACGGTGGTCGGCAGGGGATCTACCATGGTTTCAAATCTGAACCCGAGATTGACATCACTCAATTTCCTGCTTTCACTCGGGGATGGTATGCTAAAAGACCTGAGCTTGGTTCTCAAGAACCCTACGATCCTTACTCACCTTCCGACTCATTATACAAAGGCTCTAATGACCCGCATAAGGTCTCTCCATTTGACCCTTCGTATGATACTAACAATTACCCTTCTCCTCCTCCTTCCTATCCTCACATCCCCGCTCATGGCTCTCGGTCATCTCGCGATGCCAACCTTTTCCCATGGAGCGCTGACCCACCAGAAAATCAGCCTCCTCTTGATCCTGAGATCAAAGAAGAGCGTATGCGTATGTTGGAAAGAGAGTTTGGTGGTAAGGGCAAAGGGAAGAGTTTCGAGGATGATGAGAAAGTTGTTGGAAGTGTCGATGGAAAGGGGCGAATCCTCACGGAAGGTCCGAAGAAACGTCTGGCTGTTAGATGGCTGCAAATCCTTTTGGCTCTTATGGCCGGAGGAGCAAGTATATATGCTGGACTCGTGAGTCTTCGCTTCGATCTCATCAAATCCATGCATTTGCTGACCGGATTTACAGGCTATCAAACCTTCTCCTCCGCCTCCCCCAGCAGGCAAACCTCCATTATACGTCTTATACGTCCTTTCAGTGCTCACCTTCCTCTTCTGCACCTACTTCTTTCTAATCTATCCTTCCTGTTGTGGTGCTCGCAAGGCTTCTGCCCCAAGTAATCCATATACTTCAGGCCCGGGAGGCATGATGGTCCTCCCCGTCCAGGGTCTCCCAGGCAAGAAAGGTGGCAAGAAGAAAAAGAAAGGCAAAGGTGGTATGCCAGGCGACGTTCAGGTCAACCTCATCGTCGATCCTAGTATGTTCGGAGGACGACCGCCCGCTGAAGACGAATCAGAAGATGCTTCTGAGTCTGAGTTTGGTCTTCCCGGCTCATATACGTCTTCATCAAGACCTGGTGGGAGACGAAGGCGTGGCGGAGGGAAGAGGAGACGTGGAATATTTGAAGGATTAGCGGTGGAGGCACAGTGGAAGAGGGCGAGAAAGATGTTGAAGTGGGTGATGCTTGTGGATGTTTGTGGGATGGTGCTTTGGGGAAGTGAGTTTGTGTTCGTGTTGATAGGGAAGAGATGCCCAAGTGGTGGGTTCGAAGGGTGGTACGTGTGATCTCATTGTTCTCTTTGCGACTTCTGAATTTTGGTTGATTGTGAATGGTATAGGTGCGATGCGTACAATCTCTCGAGCGCTGCTGCCTGTCTCCTTTGCGTCGCTTTTGGTTTCAGCACGTTCTTCGACATCAAGGACCTTCATAAGAGTAAATCGTCTCCAAGGACGCGGACATGATGCATCCATTTCTTATTCTGTTGACCGCATATCTTCATGTCGGCTGGACCACGGACTTGCTTCATCATATCCTCTGCTTTACAGCATCTACTACTTTTTAATGACTGTTACGACATCTTATGACATGAACACTGACTTATTGTTATCTGTAATGAATTATTTTGTATGCCTCTGCACGAGAGCTTCAGCACCATGCTGACCGAATTTTCCTGAGTCACGGTAAGCGCCAAAGCGAGCATGCTGGATCGGGTGTCCGTCGTTTGCTCTTGATCTCGAACGACGACAAGGGTGCCTTGGGCTCTTGCTCAATGTCTATGCTTTCGTACTTTATCAGACCGCCCCCAGCGGCGCGTCGAGCTTACTCTGTCTTCTCGAAACCGGGAGGAGGCCGGTACTTCAATTCCGCAAAACCATCCAAGGTCGTGGCGCAGAGTGCTACTAATAACAAGCCCAAGGCCGATACGAACGATGGTTCATCGGAGGATGTTGGATCTTCACAAACACCCAATGGTAATTCAAGCCAACTGAATGCTGCTGAAGCCCAGCAAGGACAATCGTTCTCGTCCTTATCGTTCCCCATGACCAATGCCATCCCACAACCTCATCCACCCATCAACCCGCAAGACCTTCGTGTACACCAATTCTTTTCTCTTCATCGACCGCTGCTCACAATCTCCCAACCCACCGTATCCATTTTCGAGTCGATGCCTTTTGCCAATTTTCCGCCTCAGACTCCCAAGATATCTGAGAATGAAGGTGATAGGATTGGGATGGGGAGTATGTTTGATGACCCACCAGAAGCTTCAGCAGAGTCCGATGCCGATGCTGCTCGACAGCTCGCTAGAGCTTTGGTAGTGAATAGGGTAGGGGCCTCTTTAGCTTGGGAGGATACGTTGAGGAGGTTGGGATTAGATCCTGCGGAGGGAAGGGTAGAGGAGGTGAAGATGGCTGAGGCGGAGTATGAGATGTTTATGGATAGTGTAAAGAGGAAACGACGAAAGAAGATGAAGACCCACAAGTGAGTATCTTGGTGTTGTCGGTGGTTTCTTCGGTACTCATGTTGTTCTCAAACCCTTAGGCTCAAGAAGCGGAGACGTGTAAGTTTTCTTCATGACCACATCGGCCTTAGCTTTTGCTGATTTCATTCATTCTAGCTCACTCGTATGAAGCGAGCCAGCGAGCGACGATAAGCGTTATAAGCAGAGTTTTCACTGGACCCTTGTTACCTTATTCAAGCCCTAGTGCATGCTGTGGATTTACCATCATCGAAACATAGCCGTTGTTCCCTACTCATCGATATCCACGATATTTACTCACAATTCTATTGTCATTCTCAGTTGTACCGATAAGGGATGTGATGCTACATTATATTTGAACTCGATGCCGGGCTACGCGACAGTCACCTTACAACCTCGCCCTCGCACGGTATATGTAGCGTCCTGGAGGGGGCGCTCGTCCAACTCCGTCTTCGGACTATCATACAACACGATCTGCTTCAAAGCCGGATAAGAGCTATGGCTCCAAGCCCTGAAATGGTCCTCCAAATGCAGCCAGAAGTTCACCGGCATGTCAGGTCGTTGACAATTTAAACCAACGACGGCGAGGGAGGCATGAGGCTCTCTGGGTGGATATGGCTTCTGAGTGAACTGGACGTAGTAGTTCAGCTCCTCAAGGTTTGGGCACCCTGTTAGAACATTATGGATAGCGGTCTCGTCCGTAAGGAACTTCAGACTCCTCCCCAATTCCACTGTCCTCAGCTGCGCTCCGAATGTCTCCCAAAACAAATCCAATAACGGATAATGGGTGATGATCGTGTCGACGATGACAGTCCGTAGGGATGGGAGGGACCATTTGCAGATTTGCTGTACGAACAGTATGTTCACGCGACGAAGACGCAGGGTAGTGAGCATCGGTAACTCTATGGAGGGACAATCCAAGAAGCTCAACCAGAGCTGTCCGCCCAAAGATAAGTACTCGACGTTTGGTGCGGCACGTAAGACGTCCATGAGGGAATTTATTCCCCCCGTCCTGGAAGCCTCATTATGATGCCACCAATCTAGTCGCTTGAGAGTCGGTAATGGAGGACAAGCCTCTGCTGCGAATTCGAACGGAGACGCGTACAAAGCGTTCTTGTATGAGAGTGGTCTGACAAGTGTCCGCAAGTCGGAACACTCTCTGATAATGACATTGACGTCTGCGACATAGGTCGCTTTGGCTTCGGTGACTGAACTGGAATAGGGAAGGTATATGCGCTGCACGGTCCTGCTAAGCACCGGATCACCATGTAGGAGTTCTCTTATCTTCCCTATGCTCTCCTTGTTCGGAATACAGAGATCCTCGTATAAGAGGTCTTTGGTCAATTGGTTCCACATCCTGCAGACGCGACTAAGCGCATTCTTGACTGCGAGAGACTCGTCTCGAGCATCGGTAAGTATGGCTTGGAAAGGTTGATAGGTGGTTGTGTTGTAGTATTCAGTAGATGGTGTTAGGGTCGCCCAGCGAAATATTTCCAGCCAGAGTTCGGTGGGCAGTCGTGGTGGTAGCATTGGAAGACGAGAGATAACGATGTCATAACTTGAATTTGTGGGTGTCAGGTTAGGGTTCTTATACATGAAGAGTTTTGTACGCAAATACTACTGGAATGAACATGGTATATATATCCTCCTTAAATTCTCAGGTATATTACAAGAAATCGTCAACGTCGTCAATCGTGAGCCGTACCATTGTCCATATGATACAACCCGGAAAACATCTGGTAATAGTATCTGTCATGCTCAGGATCGCATTGCGAAGCCCGAAGGCGAAACCGAACCGACGGCACCGGAAGCAACAATTTCATGGAATCCATCCCGAGTTACATCTTTGTTGTGATATGTCTCAGCTTGAGGGGCAGGAAGAGGTGTCTCTAGCATGGTTGGTCGACGATGGCTCTTAAGCCATTTGAGAAAGTGGGGCACATCCTGAATTGTCAGAGTAAGTCCAATACCACTTTCACTTTAGACAATTGAAGGATAATGTCACCTCTGAGATCTTTCCTGCCATCGTGCGCTCTGTAATGAACTGTGGAATGCTTCCTCCCGGGGTGCTGGAGGTAGCCATTCGCCATTCGACTTTCGCGCTCTCGAGTTCCATGAGGCGTTCGACACTGGTATAATGTCCCTTGACACCATGCTCCTCGAGCTTGGAAAGCTCTAGGTCGTCTGAAAGATCGATTGGTATAGAAACAATGATCCTGTTGGTTAATCATCAGTTCCACGCGCCACACGCGGAGTACCGTTGATATAGAGGCGGAGAGACTGACCCTGTGCGACGGGGATTCTCTTCGATGTGAGTAGTTTGAAGTACGGTGAAGACCCTCGGAGACACAGGAGGTGGGAATGTGTAGTACAGTGTCCATATACTCTGGGTTCGGGATATCTGCTTAACGAGACTGACCTTCTTGATCTCCGAGATGAACCTAAGGGAACCCCTTGATTCCTAAATGCAGAGACTACATAGGACATCGATAACTTACTCCTTCTCGTTCTCCGCCTTATTATTTCCAAGCTTGTCCCAGAACTCGTCGAAGGTCGCATCGTCTGATGTATGCTCACTGACTCTGCAATGCCAGGCAGCGCCATCGTTTGGCCCTTTAGATCGAGAAAACGTCTTCACCGTGTGGTGGTTGTAGCTTTTCCCTTCTTTCCATCCCCGAATAGATTCGAGTACAGCACGACCAGCGGCCAAAATCGATTCTTCAGACGGAATATCTGAATTTCAAGCGAGATTTACCATTCAACTCCGTTAAGGTGAAGTGAAGATAACGTGACGCATACCTGACAGTTTCGCTGGCGTAATACTCAAACAAAACATGTTAGTCATAGGTGTTGTGTTGGATGAGAGTGTGAAGGAGAGCCTGTGAATTTTTACATTCTTGAAGCATTTAGAAGGCCGTCATAGGTGCTGCGGACTATCGTTGGAGTTGTAGACGTGATACCACGGCCGCTGGACCTGTCATGAACGCCCTGGCGTCGTTATGATAATGATTTACCAATCGGCAGTAAGACAAAGCTGTTAGAGATTTGTCGGTGATTCGATTGAGCTGTACCACGATGCCGTCGATCGATCATAACATTCGCGGTACAAGTTCGATGGTCGAAGCAACATACAAACAGTGACTGAGGGACTTGTCCATGCACTCTACTATTCTTCTAACGAATTCACGATGCTAGAAAGAAGGCTCAGAAGCCGCGGGACGTCCAAGAAGTTGAAAACAAAAACAAGGTATAATTGCACTACCAAGACTCCCCAGCCTCCCCACCTCGCAAAAGCACCATAATCATCATTCATACACCTATGGGTAAGTATCACCAGGATTCCTAGCGGTGAAGCTAGTTCCCAACGGGAAACAAGCCGATGCTTCTGGAAGCGGTCTCCTTCCAGGTACATACAGACGACGGCGACAGCTCGACGTGGACCAAGGTTTGTATCGAACGGCAAACGCTGAGCAAATAAAATAAGATCAGGTGAAAGAATATACGTTGAATAATGTACTGGCTCACAGAGCATGTGCTATATCCATATTTCGTCTGCACGACATGAAACAGGCGGACATTTACCAAATCATCACTTCGACTCTCTCGACCCTCCCAATCTCTATGTCGACAGGGAAGGACTAAACTTCCAAACAACTACACCCCCTTGTCGAGTGTCATCGCCACCTACACCGTACTCAGCACGCCAAACCTCCTGATAGCCTTTCTCTACCAGGATCGGCACAACATCCGGTTCATCAAGAAGCGCGCCAAACATCACAAGGTATTGCGGCCATGTATGGTTCCAAGGATACAACGTAGTGTCATGAACGCCTGGCATTGAGCACGGGTAAGGCGAAGGTGGGAACGACGGGTCGACATTGGATGGAAAGCGAGTGCGGAGATAAGTGGCTGGGGACTCGTAGAAGATGTCTGTTTGGTCTTTATAAGCTTGTAGATTCTCACCACTAAAACGCAAGGGTTCATTATGAACATAATTGATGGATTTTGACGTTGACTTACCGTAGAGGGGGCTCACACCCCAAAGCCCACATCTTCCCGTTTTCTGCTAACGAAGGGTTGTGAACATACGCTTGCCATGGCGTAGAATGACAAGGCATCAGAAACCCGATGGATTGTACTTCCTTCTCCGGGAGAGACCGCAGGTAATACATGACTTCGATTTGAGCACGGGAGTGAACGCGTATGACGTAGAATATGAGTGGTACATTGAGCAAGATTAGCAACAAATGGCTCCTGCGTATTGGTAACATGACGTTGCGCTTCTTTTTGGGGCAGCCTCGCTTGATCTGGTCGGTTTCGTATGAATGTACGAGGGAGGTTGCAGCCAGGATGTGTAGAAGGGGTAAGAGAGGATGAATGAATCGCCACTCTTTATGTCCGGCCAAAGAATAAATCCCGATTGTCCAGGCAATGAGTCCGAGCATGTCCCTGAGTTCCGGGTTCGCTAAGTGTTTCCGGGCGAGCCAGGCTCCATGAAGTACAAAAGGAAGAGAGAAGGTGCATATGATGGGAAGACCTTGAAAGAGGTAGTAATGCCAAGGGCTGGAACCGTAAAATAAAGATATCGAGGAAAGGTTGGCAGCTAAGAAATTGAGAGGTGTGAATGTTGGCTTTCCGTAGTATAGTGAGTCTAGAACAAAGAGCAAGAATACTGCGCATGACCTGTGCATCAATCAGAGTGAGCAACGTCTCATTCGCAAAATATCAAAGTATGCACCCTATGAATAGAACATCCATGATGATCGACGCAAGACGCTTTCTATCGAATCGGAGCCGCCAAAGTAGCAAACCCATCATGTACACCCAAATGACGGCGTTGGTAGGACGTACGGCGCATGTAAGGGCAGCGAAAACCAAGGATTTTCTGAGGTCATTCCTGAAGTTGAACGGCCAAGCATCAATGAGATTCGCACATCAAAGAAACATGCTCAAACCTCCATGAAGACGACGGAATACCCCAAGGAAAGTAGCTCAGCGCAATGGTGGTAAGAGAAGTCTCTAACGAATTCGACAAGGAGCGAGACAATGCAAATCCGTGAAAGAAAGACGTCAGGGAAATGAAAAGCTAGCAAAGCAAAGCTGTGAGTACGTAACGCTCTGCAGGAGATGAACACATACTGCAACTGTGGCGTACTTTGGACCTGCAACACGTAAAGTAAGCTTATATAGCGATATATCTGTACATGCGGCCAATGCGCCATGCAGGACTCGAGGTCCATATATCTAAGCGCAATGAATTAGGAGTGGAAAGACAAGAAAATGATAGACATACCAATAGTATGCTGTTATCAGAATTAGTTTGCTTTAATAACCAGTATATAGGTACATTGAGAGCAGGATAGAGTATGCTTCTAATCGGCTTCTGCGTTAGCCATTCCCAAGTGAGATGTCCATAACCAAAGACAAGGTGGTGGGCAACTTCCAATGACTGGAAATACTCGTCTGGTTGAAAAAATGTTGTCGTGACAAGGGAGATAAAGATTCGAACAAGAAGAGCAACAACGATAATCCACCTTTGCATGTCCAGCTGGCGGTGGAGGTCGTTGTCTTTGTTCTCGCAGCGTGTCCGAGTCCAGGGACATTCATATGATCGATCACACCAGCCATTCGATCAACGGGCGAATTTGGAAGGTCTTTAGAAAAGTCACTATTCTCGCATATACTGTACGGTGCTACGATACCAGAGCTACATCCGTTCTGCTAGGAACCTAGAAACCCTTTGCCTTGGCTCAGCCCTCTCAGAACCTCGATTGAGCGGCTTCGATTCTTTTACCTCTGCAGCTATAACTACTGGGGGTCTGTCGGTGACTTTCTGAACCGATGCCGCTGGCCGTGCATTCGAGGCCGCGACTCTAGCCTTGGCAGAAGCGCTAGATGCAGGAGGCTGGGCAGGAGCAGATGGGGATTCAACCACTCCGCGTGGAAGAAATGAAGGAGAATCGATGATCATAGAGAAGGGGTTCGTAACAGGATGGAACGATGCTGCTGGTAAGCCCTCGAGGGTATGCACACTCTGAGGTTGAGGCAAGGGCGGATTAGCTACCAGTGCGTCTGGAGATGGTAGCTTTTGAGTTGCAGAATTTCGTACTCTACTTGGTCCTGGCTGAGGCTTTGGAGGAGGCTGGGACGAAGATGAGGGTACGGCAATAGGGTGAGCCTTCGGTCGGGCGATTTGAGGTGATGAAAGCTTGGGTGACGATCGCTCCGTGAAACAAATCGGCGTGTTCAAATCCGAGTCATCACCAGGTGAATCAGGTCCCAAGGGTGAGGGTGTCGAAGCCATCGCTGCTTTAAATCTTGAGACCTTTGACTTAAGTTTTGCCTCGGGTGCACGACTGTCCGCTTCTGGACGAGCAACTGATGTAACTTTGCTCTCCTGGGAGTCAATTGACTTTGGAACTGGTTGTGGACCGATATTGGTAACCTCGCCTTTCTGCAATAGCTCGAGGATGGTTCGTGCCTCCTCTTCCACGTCATCATCGCTCTCTCCAGGTTCGCCGACAAGTTTACCATCTTTCAGCTTACCCATGCGTATCGCACTCTTAATTGAAGACGACTGTGATGCTGGCAAGACAGCTTGACCTAACGAATGGGAGGCCATAGTAGTCGTAGCAGAACGAGATACTAATGACGATTTGAACCTGGACACCGGTGCTTTTGGAGGAGGCGACGCAAGAGTTGCATCCAAAGGCACCTCCTGAACTTGACTGTCAACCACGAATAACACCGACCAACATGAAAATAACGCACCGGTTGATCCCACTCATTGTCATTATCATGACTGTGTGCCTTCATGGCAGCTGAGACCTCGCTCGTCATAGTGGCTCGCTTCTCATAGTAGGCCAGCGCAACTTCGCGTTGATGTCGAGCAAAATCGAGGTCGTCTTCTTCCCACTCTACATCTTCGTCGCTCAGATCTGAATCCGCTGGTCCTCGGGACTCTTTTTGATCATCTTCGGAATCGTAGACCGTGTTGTCATCAGGGACGGACTCATCATCCGAATCACAGATACTTTCTGGCTCTGGGGTGGGGGCTTTCTTGGCAACACCTGGTATACGCTCAACGACCTGCATCTTCATGGGCTGCTTGTCCTCTTGAGACTTGGTCAATAAGGAAGCACTCTTGGAAGGGCGTAGCCTTGCGGGAGCGACGTCTCCCCAATCGATGGCTTTACCCTTCTCCTCGGATGGCGACTCCTGTTCGTCGACGTCTGGGGCAAAAGACACACTCTTTTTCGGCTTGATTCTGTGTGAGGTCGGGGTTTCAGCAGGTCGCTGAGTTGATTCCTCCTCTTGCAGTGCTGCTACTTCCTGGGCTTCATTTTCCCGAGCCTCGACTACACTCCTAATCAAGGCTCGACCCATCTTCTTCTGAAGCTCCTTAGCCTTCTTCAAGCGTTCCATCTCGGCTTTTCCAGCTTCCTTTCTGCGTTCCAATTCAGCTTTCCATTTTTCGCGAGCGGCAGCTTCGTCTCTCGTATGTTGTATGCGCTCTTCCTCTTCCAAAATCTCCAGTATTCGTTCACGTTCAGCCTTGCGACGCTCCTTCTCAGAGGCAGAGATAGCCCACAAGGGAAGCAAGTCCGGATGATCGAGGTTGCTCGCTGTGGCAAACGTAGTATCAGCAGCACCCACGACAGGTTCACTGATATCAACGATGGGAAGGCCCTCTTCATTCACCAGCTACACATAAGGTTTAGAGTCAGGATTCGACGTGAAACTAAGTTCAGAGAAACGTACCTCACCCTTCTCGTTACGTTTCGTTTGGTCAGAGGACTCGTCCTGAGTAATCTCCGTCTCGTCTCCTAGGATTTCACCAATTTTGTCGGTGAGATTACGGATTTGATCTATGGTGAGCTTGCTTATGTCTGTCTTTGTGCCTGTGGTGCCCTCTGGTGAGACAGAGCTTACGAGGGCTTGCAGAGCTATAGAGTATGGATGAGTGCTTAGCTTCCGATCATACCAGATAGCTTGGCACACTCACCCTGGACTCTACTATCATTGAGATTTTTCACCGTTCCCGTTAAAGATGACATATTCGCCACTGAAAGAGACACGAGTCCTGTGCAGCTAGTGGTGGTTATGGAGAGAGCATGCTTTCAGACATAACACCTCCAGAAGCGCCCAATGTATTCGCGAGAAATGCGGACTTTGCCGATCGCAATTTCTTAACCTTGCCTTCACCTCGTTTCCCTGCTACATCCAAGTCTCCCTCTTCTCAAAAACAGGTCTGTATCGCCATGGTCGCCATACATGCGGAGCCTAGTACCTCTACAACCACTCACAAAAAGAACCGACGAAAGATCTCGAAGAAAAACCTCAAACCCGCTGAACCAGGGCAAGCTCGTGAAGGAGATGAGGACATGCACGAGGAGCCTATCTCTTCGGAAGTCGCAGAGGCTGCACAAGCCGCTGTCTTGGAAGAGGACAACGGAAATGCCGATGACGACGAACTTATGATTGACTCCGATCCTTCATCTCTCCCTGCACAGAATGCTGCACCTTCTTTCCCTCCTCTGCCCGCTTCTGCTCAAAGATCTACACTCAAATCGGAGACGAGACGGATTCCTATACCCCCACATCGCATGACGCCGTTGAAGAAGGACTGGGTGAATATCTTTGGACCATTAACCGAGATTCTCGGGCTGCAGGTTCGAATGAATGTACAGAGGAAAGCTGTTGAGATTAGGGTACGTGCTTGCCAGTTTGAAGGCGGTACGCTTGATAACACATTATTGCAGACATCAAAACATACCAAAGAGGTCGGCGCACTGCAGAAAGGTGCTGACTTCGTAAAGTCATTTGCACTTGGATTCGATGTGAACGTATGTGATTCAATTTTTCTACCACGTCTATTTCATTCAGTTGACATGTTCGTTTCTAGGATGCGATCGCTCTGTTGCGGTTAGACGATCTCTATCTTGACTCGTTTGAGATCAAGGACGTGAAAACACTCCACGGAGACCATCTTTCTCGTGCAATTGGTGAGCCGGTCTGATAATGAAGCTTGAATGCTGCGTCTGAACCTCCATTCCTTTCAGGTCGTATTGCCGGTCAAGACGGAAAGACGAAATTCACTATTGAGAACGCGAGTCGGACTCGGATTGTTCTCGCTGATACGTATGTATCACATTTCTTGCCCTTGTACTATCTGGCCGCTAATCTTCTTCCTTCTTCCAGTAAAATTCATATCCTGGGATCCTTCCAAAATATCAAGATCGCTCGGGATGCAATCGTATCCTTGATACTCGGATCGCCACCAGGGAAGGTGTATGCAGGGTTGAGGACGGTGAGCAGCCGTATGCGACAACGTGCGTTATGAACGATTCGCTGTGGTGATGATGTGTTCGATATCACATCTATTATATTCTCGTTACCTCTTGTCCTTGACGTAGATTGGATGGGTATGTGGTGTTGTCTATGTGGTTGATCAACAGTGTGTTTTCAGTGGTTTCAGGATTCCTTATTTTCTTCGGGACAAGCATGATATGACATAGTCGATTTCTCGAACAACATTCAGGTGAATAAATGCCTGTGACTTGAGTTTACATGACTTTCAAATTACCTTCCGCGTTTGGATGATCGGGTACACGAGGGAGGGCGCTTTGACACAACCGCCCAGATCTACGACCACCACATGGCCCTACGCGTTCCTCAGCACTTTACAAGCTCTCATGATTGCTTCACCTTCGGGATGTTTCCCTTCATAGCATTGCTCCTTATTGCCCTGTTTGCCAACAATTTTGCTCTTGTCCAGGGTGTATGGGGATTACATCCATGGGGGCTATCAGTTACTCAGCAACTTGAATATACTCTCTCAGATGACTATCCTTCGAAAGATGCTCAGTCGATATTCAACATCTCATCTTCGCACGAGGATGATACTGGTCCAATTCCATCGTCCAAGTTGATGTATGATGGCATCCGTGCAGTACCTACTAGTGTTTATAGACCTCGATCCGTCGACTCCTTCCTCCATGCTCGCTTACGTTCATTCCGACAGTCGGAAAGCGAGCTGGTTGAATGGGAGGAAATCCAGACGTTTGCTCCAGATGTACAGGATCGTTATACCCTTTCTCAACTAGCACGCATGACAGGAAATGCGTATGCCTTGCCTGGTCAGAAGAATTGGTACGAGATAGATGAAGCTTGGAACATCGTAAGTTTCCATCCTGCGGATGTGTGTTATCTCAATGTTAGTGTACTGACCCATTCATAGAGCTTCCCTTTTGGCTGGGAGGATACGGCAAATGGATTCCGAGGCCACGTATTCCTTTCCCCTGATAATTCGACAGTGGTGCTCAGCATCAAGGGTACCACTCTTCAAGGCCCAACCTCGAAGAAGGACAAATTCAACGACAACCTTTTATTCTCCTGCTGCTGTGCACGCGTAGATCTTTCCTGGATATTTAGCACCGTATGCGATTGCTATGCAAACCGTTGGAGGTGCGATGATACCTGTTTGAGCAATGCCCTCGTAGAGGATAGCTTGTTCTACAATGTTGGAGTGGTACGTCCACAGTTCCGTATATGAAACGGATTATCAGAGACTCATATGAGCAGGACCTAGTCACCAATCTCACAGCTATCTATCCAACCTCGACCATATGGCTCATAGGCCATTCACTCGGAGGCGGGCTTGCTTCACTTCTGGGGACCACCTTTGGTTACCCCGCAGTCGCCTTTGAAGCACCAGGCGAACGCCTCGCAGCTCAACGTCTACACTTACCACTTCCTCCATCTTCCATATCACTTACAGAGCCCTATTCACCCTCCTTCGGTTCGGCCCCCGTTACCCATGTATACCACAACGCGGATCCTATACCCCAGGGAGCGTGTACTGGAATCGGATCGCCTTGTACTTCGGCCGGTTTTGCCCTTGAGAGTCGGTGTCACTTGGGCAAGACGATTGTGTTTGATACTGTGGAGAGGCTCAATTGGAAGGTAGATGTCAGGAGGCATCCGATCAAAGAGGTCATTCTTAACGTATTAGAGAAGGACATGGAGTATGGTTGGGATGACCATGGTCGGGACGTCCCTATTGCGGAGGTAGAAGAAGACTGCGTTGTGAGTACATATAGCTTCTATTCACGTGAAGTTAATAGATTGATCGGACGTGCTTTCTGTAGGATTGCTACAAATGGGAGTTTGGTAACTACAAGAATAAGTGGACCAAGGACTTTGCAATCGACGTTTCGTAAACGGGAGACGGTGCCACTGTATATTAAAAGTAGGATCATTCATTTGTACTTCTATATGTATGTATATCCCGACACATCTAGATGCACTCTGTATACTATTAGCAACACCAACCATCATCCATCCGAGTTTCCAATATAGACCGCATTCAAATCAAGGCCTCAGTAGGCAGGACACACGATGGGGTGACCTTCAGTTACTGATATTCCTTTCCACCAATCAACTTGCCCTTCACATAAACCCTCCTAATGTTCCTATCATCCCCACAAAACAAAAACCTCTCCAGCATCCCCTCAAGCTCTTCAGTCTCATTCTTCCCTCGTCCACCTTCATCCTCTTCTTCACCTCCACTTCCTCTCACGTCCAACTCCCGATCAAACTCAACGCCCCACACATTGGGGTTCCCAGCGTCATTTCGAACGCTCACGACAAGCGCGTCGAAGAATTTCCCTGGGGTGAGGGAGCCGATCTGAGAGGAGAGATTGCAGAGGGAGGCTCCGCCAAGGGTGGCGAGATAGAAGAGAGTCGGAACAGGGAGTTGGCGGTTAGTCAACTTGCCGTCAGGTGGGGACGTTGGATCGGGAGGTACTGAGGTTGCGACCACTTTCGAGCATATGCTCGCATGTTGGATCGCCGTCAGTATGGATGGTGAGAATCCGCCTGATACGTCTGTACCTAGACCAACCTAAAACGGCGCCAGTCAGATCCAATACCTCTCTTGAGCAATAGTTTGACACTATACTAACCTTGATACCTTTATCCAGGAGCATACCAACCTTCGCACACCCACTCCTCAGGTTGAAGTTACTCGTCGGACAATGACTGATCCCTGCTCGCCTCGTCTTGATCAACTCCACCTCTTCATCTTCCAAATGAACAGCATGAGCGAGGATAGTATTTTCCCTCAAAAGTCCGAATGCATCATACACCCCAGCATAAGTCGTCTTCCGATGAGTCTTGCAACCACCTGGTAAGACATCAGGCGGGAACAAAGACTTCGTGAACACGATCTCGGCTTCATTCTCCGAGAGGTGAGTCTGGATCGCTAGGTTCTTGTCCTCGTCTGCCATTTGGCCAAGTGAGTTGAGGAGCTCTGGCGTACATGAGATGGCGAATCGCGGAGTCAGGATAGGATGGACGAGTGTATCGTCTTCGGATGAGCTGAAAGAGCGGATGTACGTGATCAAGTCGCGAGTGGCAACGAGCGAGTCCTGTGCAGAAGGTTCCACGTAATAATCCGGTGAATGTCGGTCCATGTTACATTTCTAAGGACCGGGGCCTTAGGACTTCAGTTATTCCGGGGCGGTAAGTGTATAGGCTTACCTACCCCGACGAAAGCACGTTGTCCTGAAAAGTTAGAAAGATTCTTCAGTACACCAACATTATACCGGAATCATGGGAATACATACCAGAAGTATGTACAATATCTGCAAGCACCTTAGTTGCTTCCAAGTGAAGTGTACCGTAATAACAACACGTTGTAGTCTATTTCGATCCCGTTAGAGTTTGAATGTAGATGGTACACGAAGATACTAACACCACAGTCAATGATACGCCGTACGACTGCATTATACGCTCTTCGAGCAAACTTGATATCTTGAAACCTACTTTCCATAGGAAAAGTAACCTCGGCTAGCCAATCTAGAAGTTCGTGCTGTTGCCCGCTACACGACCGTCAAGCTAACATTTCAACAGCAGCAAAAAAAAAGACGTGCTAACCTGCCAATGTTCGGAACCTGCGGGGCATGCTGGGAAATGTATCAGTTAGCCTACATCGATACAGCGCGGTGCAAGATGACGCGCGTATTTACCGTATGTGTGTCGATAAAACCGGGCATCAGGAATTCTCCATCCTTGAGCTCAATAAGCTCAACGTCAGCATTGAGTTCGAGACCATGTTTCGCAAGAGTTTCTTGAAGGGTATAACTCGGCACGTCGTCCTCAACCCATTCAATGACCCCAGTGGTTCGAGAGACAGACAACAATGCCTTGGGGAGTGCACGGTACGACGTCAGAGTCTCAGGAGTTATGAGACCACCATAAAATAAGACCGACATCGTATTTCACACAAGACCTGTAAACTTGGAATTAGTGGGTAATGGAAGGATGGCAAGATGTTTGCTGGCAGGTTATCTCAGACGGTGCTCGTCCGGGTCCGGCCTCGGAGCACGATATGAAACTGCTATATATGGGCGTCTAATTGACTTACTTGGCTAGAACTATGACGTGCTTATCCTGATTAGGAAGTTGTTCAAGAACGATGTTAGACGTTAAGCAGCCTCTTCATGTTCTTCATCGGGACATAGTGGCTACACAACAAGAAACTAGCTGAAAGACCAGGCTACAAGTCTCATAGTTACGGTGCGATGTTAAGTACCAGTGAATTCAAGAAGGAAGAGCTCCACGAGAACATGATCCGGTTAACGACGGGCCGTTTGAGTTTCTGAGCATCAACCACGAAGCAGGAAGCATAGAAGCACAAACGATAGATACACGTATCAGTAGCACCCCGCAAGTGACATGTGGACAAGGCAAAGTATGAAGGTACCGCTGAGAACGAAGAGTACCATTCTGGTAGTGTTTCTTGGTGACAGCGACGCCACAAGCTCCTGTCGTCTGGAGTGCTTCTCAGGCTTGTCGGTGAGGATCATACGCGGAAGGCGAACATTTTTTTCGGCCCCGGTCATGTCTCGGGGACTCCTCAGAACGACATGATCCTGGCAGGTTGACGTTAGGCCAAGGGGGCGAATGTTCACACTAGACTGTACCAATGGCAGCGACGATCGTGGATTAGTGTCTTTGCAGACCGTCTTCAGGCTTCCTCAGGTCCTGATAATCGACACAAAGTTGTGCTGGCCCTATGTGAATGCGGCACGACTGGCCGTTGTGGAAAGGCGAGTCTTGTCAATGCCACACATGGAAATATTGCGTTTTGTGATGCGCTCACCGTGATGACACTGTGTTTCAAAACGACGCGTCTAGGCAATCTCACAACACCATGGACTGAACGGAATGTATTTTGTGTGGAATGACGCGTTCGAACGCGTGAACTTGATGTCGGAATTCACAGGTAGCCCAGGGCTGTGAGCGGAAGGAAACCAGAGCGATGATGTCCCTGAGCTTGATGGTCGCAGATGACGTATAGTTTAAGATAACAGCTCCACATCAGAGAATGGGTAACATCCGGTAGATTCGTGCTTGGTCCAGGTTTAGTACGTTCTGAAGATGCGTCATTCAAGTATATACTTCGGAACCTTTGTAAAAGGGGAAAGGACGGTAGTGGAGCCCGGAGTCAAGCGTATGCTTCTATATGCACACGGTCGCGAGAATAAGTTAACTTGCTGTATAGGAGATGGCAGGGTAGAAAGTACGGATGATATATACGAAGACGCGTTGATGGGCGACTGGGGTCGGTTATGCACGCGACCGGGAAGCTGATTGGCTCTAAAGAAGAATGTCCCAAGTACATAGTACCCAGAACCAGCAGGCTGAAGCAGAACAAGAGATAAGTGGAAGTTCTGAAGACAAGAACAGGCACACGAGGCAATTGGCAGGATTCCTTTTGACGTCGGCGGGTGAGCGGTGTTGCATGGATGTCGTTGGGGAGGTTGTTGTACATGCAGGAGACTAGACTAGTGACGCGATTGATGAGGGAGACAAAAGAGCGCGGCGGGGGATGGAGCAGGTAGGAATAGAAGAGCTGCCTTAGGCTGCCTTCCAGTGCCTTGATGGCCTAACTGCCTGGCGCGCTTCTCTCTTCACATTCACATCCAAATTCGCCCACGTATAAATTTCTTGTTCGTTGTCCCCCTCCTTTCGTTCTCACCACCTCCTGTCCCTTCATCGCGTTAGGCGGTGCGGACGTCGACCGATTCCCTCCAGGCCTACTCTCACTCAACCGTCTCCGGTTGACCTCCTGTTGGCGTAATCTTTCACGTCGTATCACTCACCCTGTCTCCCGTCTGACCACAGTTCATCATGCCCTCCTTACGTCGAACATTGTCTTCCCCTTCAGTCCGATCTTCGCCATACTCCCACTCCTACTCTTCCCTACTGACGAGACAAGGCGGCCATGGTCCCCGCAGGTCTTCGGGTTCCGAGACAAGCCAGAGGAGAGTGCTGGCTGATCTTGACTGGTGGAGAGTTCAGGAAGGTCAGAGGGAACTGCGCGGCTTACCCCCGCTCGCGCAGCCTGTCGACGCGCCTGAGGACACTCAGCACGATGAGACCGAGGCAGAGCCCGCTCAGTCGGTCCCTCTCATGACTGACGTGCCCCTATGGCAGCCTGCACCTGGTTCAGGAGGTGCAATGCATGAGAGTGAATTGAATTTGTTCTCGTCTGTTATTAGTGGTGAGAGTCCGAGTGTGAGCAACGTCTCAAAGGTACGTTTTCTTGTCCATCTCAACACCTATACCGTCATACATGACAGCCATGTTGATGTCCTTATTTCTTCTCTACAGTCTCTCTCGCCGCAATTCGCTGCGCTTTCCATTTCCTCGCGCATACATGGTCATCGCAGATTGATCTCATCATCTGAGTCCTCAGTCTCTTCGTTGGAGAGCACACCGTCATCCATCCAGGCTTCACTTTGCCCCATGTCGGACATGGGCTTCGGTGACATCGTCCCCCACATTTCAGACGATGATGACGCGTTGTTTACGCCTTCTATTCCGCGTTCGTTGACTCGTCGATTGGCTCCTGTGGGCCGCTCCGTCAGCTACTCGTATATCGAGTCGGAGCTATCGCGCCCGAGGGAATGCCAGTTTGAGGACATATTTGACGATGCATTCGATAACGAATTCTTTGCTCAGACTAGGACCGATGTAGATGATCTCTTCAACTGAACGATCATCTGCGAGTTGTGGTGGACAAGAGGAACCCCCCTCACTCATGCAAAACCGCGTTTTGACGCGTCTTTCCCACTTCTCTTTATCCTTACGACCTTGGATGACCTTTAGAAGCCTGCACGCCCATCTATCTGCGCATCTCCAAATAGCCACACGTGTTTATGACTGCCCACAGCTTGCACAAAGTCGGTATCCATCTATCAAGTTGCTTAAAGACCCTCCACCTTATCCTCATTGATTGGCTCATCATCCTCCTTCCCCCCCCTTTGGCATCCCAGGTTCTACACTATCGTCTGTTCCCCTCAAGATCCGACACCCATGACCCGCGTCGGTACTCCGTATTCAGCCCCCATCAAGCTTCTTCGTCCACTATCACCACCCAGTACTCGGCGCCTCCACGCCCGTGCCCGGACAAGCGGCGTGCGCCCATCACTCTACCATTTTACTCTACCGTGCTTGTTGTCAGATCTAGCCTCGTTTCCCCTCTCATCTCATTTACACCATATGCTTCTCCCGATTCTCGCATCGTGATAGGGGTCATCCTCTTCCTCCTATCTCGTTTCTCTGGCCGTTTCATCATCCTTTGCATCTTGTATTCCCCCCTTGTCTTCATGATTCCCTGACGATTCCAATGCCCCAGTTGTCTCGCTTGCTGTGCCTTCCATGAGTTCACTACCATCCACTTGGTCCACTTTCACCACTGTTAGAGCATAGAGCATGAGATTGTCTTGTCTCAGGCTCTCTGCCATGCAATGTATGTCGGCGCACGTTGTTTCCGACATAGGTTCATGCAGACCGGGTCAACTGGGCATTGAACGAAAATCACGGACTATTTTACACCTTCCACCCTTAACGCCTAGACGGTCTTGCATGAGTTCCTTGTACCATACTTGACGCCGCATTTCACGCTTCCATAACGTCCACCTTTTGACGTCCTCATACGCCTCATTCCCTTTTTACCCTTACCCTTACCCTTCATCTACACTTGTTTTACTACGTCTTGCACTACCACCTTCTTCCCTTCCACCTTCTGATTTACGTTTCACAGCATGATTCACGACGTGTACCGTGTACGATTCCGTGTGACGACGTACGTCCACCCTCCACGATTGTTCTTGTACTTGTGATTTTTGCAACGTCGTCTTGTACCACTAAAACCCTTGAACGTACGTTTGCACCCCAATTCCCGGCTTTTAGGCAACTGTTGGGTCTCAAAAACGTCTTTGCAATTGTCCCGTATCCTGTCTCGAAACGAGATTTGTTGTATTGTAACGATTACGCCCTTTCACCTCCGTCACACACTCTTGTAAAAACCCTTCACATCTTCGAATTCTTCCCCTCGCAACTCTCACCAGCTGCATGTTCAGATTCTTCGTTACCTTGTATTTCAAATCCCCCTTGTGTTGAAATTTCGATCGTACGTACATGTCATCGTTACATGATTCAGATTCATGACGTGCCGGTGACATCTCTTACCATCGCTCAGGGCGCCGAATAACAAATACCAACCACGTCCATTATCGTAAATCCAATGATATTGTACGTTGCACATAGAAAGTGTACTACTATCCCGTCTTGAGCACCCGCTATTCCCAGTTTGACAACGAGATAGACAGAACGAGACTAGCCAATATGCCCAAATTGAGACCTCCAAAGCTCCAACGAAGGATCTCGACCGTCGTTATCAGCATCTCAGAGATCTCTCGCCCATAATGTGCGCTGAGAATGGATCCAAATGGAAGGTAGAACGGTCTTGGTAGCCGAAGGTTAGGACGTGTGTGTGCCATCCTCGCCGAAGTCGAAGATGAAAAGGATATCGATTACGGGCCTTCAAATGATCCCACTACGTATCTCCATGTTCGGGAACGGTTGAACATCCCGACCGAAAGAATTGATATGAGTAGGTCTTCGTTTCAGGAGCTCAGAGCCTCAGACCGGGAAGATCTTCATCACCAGGCTCCTTTCTTCTACCTTTGACATATGACATGCTTGGATTGATCTCGGAAAGCACCCAGGTCCTATTCCTTCCAAAGTCCATCCCGATGCATATAGTAACCTTCGCCCTCGAAGGAGTGAAGCTTGGGTCTGATGTGTATGGGCGAAGGTAGGTAACATGAACCCGTCGAGATCATCGTTGGATCCCGTAAATGACAGTAGGTCCTGAGACTTTACTCCAAGGTGAAGAAGCCAAGGGTCCATAACGTGCTCTCACAGCTGGCATTTGAGCTGTTTCTGGTTGATGGGAGGATGTAGGTCGTGATGGTGGAGGTGGAGGTGGCATGGATTGTGTTGGGAACGGAGGTTTAGGTCCTAAGCCAGGACGAGCGGAGGCTAGAGGAGGAGGAGGTTGACTTGTTATGGGTTGACCGGCGCGCGTTTTCCAGGCATTTCGTATTGCCGTTGAACGTGCCAGAAGCTAAAAACAAACGTATCAATGGTTGAATCGTAACGTCGATACCAGTCACCGTCTTTGAAACATGGACGGACCTCGTCTTTTTCGACGCCATCTGCTATACTCTTGATAATCGCGTCCACCACAGTTTTATGGTTCCCTGCAGGCTTGTCGTCTCGGAAACGCATCAATCGCCAGCATTCCTTCGCTGGGTCCCAATGCACTTCTACGATACGTTCATCCAATTGCTCGCCTGACGCTTTCATGCTACGTCACATCAAGGATTAGCATAGCGCTGGGTCAGAAACAAGAAAGAGAAAGTCCTACCGATCCCATTCGTCATCTTCAACTCGCAGTACGTCATACATCTCATACTGGGGTATACCGTTTCGGTCGCCACACCATACGTGGAGCTCGAAGACTGGTTTCGCATAGAAATCAGGATCTCGTGGACGGGCTGGTAAGGAGGGGAAGCGAAGGATGAGTTTGAAGTCGATGGAATTCTCTGAAGGAGGTTTCCATTTCAAGCTGTGTGTCTCTTGATTCAGTACATACATAGGTGGATTTGAAACGAATAAGCACTGACATGTTTGGGTCTGTGCCAGGAACGTAAGGTGTGTTTACACTGGTGTAGATGAGCCCGTCGTTTCCATGTTGAAGGTTCGGGATGTCGATATTGAAAACGTCATCAACGTGGTATGAGAGCTTGACTGGCTTTACTTGGATCCTACGAATCACGGTGTGAGTGGATCCAACAAACTACCGACAGGATTGGTACTAACTCGAACGGTTGTAGTATCGCCATTTGAGGGAACTCCTTCAGCATCTTCGCGTAGGGTTTGTAAAACCATTCTTGCAAATGCTGGTCTACCTGTCAGTCATTTATCAACAAGAGAGACGATAAGACACAAACCCCATAACGTTTCTCGAGATTCTTTGCCATGATATTTCGGTCGTCCACTACTAGACAATCGAACACAAGGTATCGGAGTATTTCCTATGAATAACACGTATTAGACACGAGCCAAGTGCTGAAAGAAAGAAAACGAGATGACAAACTCGCTTCGTCTTGGGGTCCACGTCGATGACAAGCTCGCCGTCCACTATCGTATTCCGTAGCGGCATGGACGGGGTCTCGAAATGAGGAAAGAAAATGCCATTGAGCATTCGAAATGAGTTGTGGCGATCAATCTGAGTGTGGCGCATGAGTTGTGCAACAACCTCGAGAAAAACGTGCCGACATACGAGATATACGGCCTGGTCTTTTGTTTGCAAGTCCGTATTGACGAAAAGGAGTACTCGGACGCCATCCGACTTCTCCGCCACCCAAAAACTAGAAGGAAAATCAAGTTATGGCATTAAGAACTCCACCGCTAACAGAATGAATGACAACCTAACGTACTCTTGTGATTCCAACTTCTGCAAGTCCTTTGAGCTAAAACTAACGGGCTGACTCCCGGGAAATCTATTATTACGCCACACTTTCAGTTACATGACGAATTGCAGCCAGAGCAGAAAGACCGACCGTTCATGGTCCAGGCCACAAAGTCTCGCGACAGTACTTTTAAGCCAGAGCTCTTGTTCAGAACGAGGAGGGACAGGGAACCCAGGTAGATCGGGTATTCGAGGCATGGTGTTTAGTTTGACGCGATAGTTTTACGCTATAGAAGAGAGTTGTGTCCTTAGAAGCCTTGCAGTGAGGTCTGTCACTTGATGATCGTAAGGAAAGATATAACGAGTCACTTTTCTAATCGAAGTTCCTTTATACTGACTCGTGCTTGCTGCGTGTATCAGATTGCGTGCGCAAGACAATAATGCTGGTCGGAGAACACCTCAACAAGTGGACGGGCAGTACAGACAAGGCTGTCCTTATCGCACACGACATATGCAGGTGGGGTGGGTTTATATCACAAGACTATTAGCACAACTTAGGCTATAGGATGTTTTCATGGAGATCTCGAGTATGAATACATAAAAGGGCAAAAGTCGTTTTGTAATTGGACAACCGCAACGCCGAACGAAAAGAATGAGGAGTGAAGAACATACAAACAACACAGCAGATAGCAAATACAGAGCGATTAACGATCCTCGGCCCATTCCTAGAAGATGCCGTTAATATCGCAACCTATAGGATAGTGTACAAGCTTAAACTTACGTTCTCCTTCTTGATTTGCGCCTCCTCTTCGGGAGTGAAGTCATTGACGATGTTGAAGAGCTTACGGATCTCCTCGGGCGTCTTGCCCTTGATCATGTTAGCGACAGTCTTGCAACCAACATCGCTGTAAAGGCCTGTTAGTGGATACACTTATTACTTACCACCCGATAGACTCACAGTAGAGGCTTGATGTCGAGGTAATTAGCGGCAAGGATGATCTCAAAGAGCATCTCCTGATCGACGGTGATGAACTTCTGGTCCCACTCGCTGATATCGGTCGTTCGTTTTCTTGAGTCATCCTGGTTTTGCTCAGAGTCAGCTGCAGGCAGAGGCTCGCCCTTATGATGCTCGCAGTACTCGAGGACCTAGAAGATGCATGGATATCTTTAGATCAGGAGGCGTAACCAATCTGACAGGTTACTAACCTTCTTCAGGACACTCGACGAGACGTTTGGCAGAGGAATGGGCTGGTCACTCTCACCAACATCTGTGGGTAATATAATCTCAATCGACTGGAAGAAAAGGACAGGAGGAGCGCTACAAACCCTCGAGCATGTTCTTGATGAGGACGCTGCGCTCAGCGACTTCTTTCTCAACAACGAATTGCTCGTTGTCAGAGGTGACGAGGAGAACCATGTTAGAGAATATGTAAGTGTGTAAGTGGATGAGATTAGGGATTGGAGGATGGGGCAGGAGTTGCTGTTGGGAGGAGGGCTGTGGCTCACGCCTTACGCACTATTTGAAGGGCGAATATGGGTGCTTACGTAAAGCGTGTTCTGAGACAGAGGCGCGCCCGAACAAAGACTCCCATTTGGCTGATGACTTGGCCCCAGCCATGTCTTTGTCCTCGTTGACTTCGTGCTTCAAAGCCGTATCCTCTCCGTTCTCATCATTTGGTAAATTTTCGTATCGTCCGCATGGACCTTCCTAACCAATTCACCATCTTTTTGTAGGCCTTGGTGCCGTTCGTACTGCCACAAAACGAGCTGGCGGTACCATCTCTAACTTTGGTGGTTCACCAGGAAAGCGCTTAGGAGTGAAAAGGTTCTCTGGTACGCCTCATTGTGTATCATATCGATGAGAGGCATGATTCACCATGCCGATATAGACCAATATGTGATACCTGGAAACATCATTGTTCGTCAACGCGGGACCAAATTCCATCCAGGCCAACATGTGTGTTGAGCCTCTCGGAGTTTTTTGTTGCATCGCCTAATTGAGGCCTTTGATTTCAGGTCAAAATGGGACGAGATCATACTTTGTATGCGATGGTGCCCGGCTTTGTGCGTTTCTACAAGGTTCCAGGAGCTCGCAAAGACCGCAAATATGTTGGCATTGTCTTGAACCGCGGCGAAAAACTTCCCAGAGATGAAACAAATCTCGGCCGTAGCAGATTTTTTGGCTTCTCAGACCTCGCGGCCTGGAGAAAGGAAGAAACACAGCTTGTCCACGCATGAGTGCCACCAGAAGCCCCTTCGACATCGGACTAATACCAATCACACGGTCTGAACTGCTATGGCAGACACTTCTCGTGCTGTGACCGGGACGTCCAGCGTATCGCGTACTGGCTATCGTGCACGTTTACCTCTGCTAGGGAAAGTGCTGACCGTGCTTTGAGTCAAAAATATATAGAGGTAGATTGTTTTACACTACTGATACATCGGTATTCCGTTGTTTAGCATACAGGATATATGGAGCCGGTCAGATATAACTAACGGTACATGAGCAGGGATATATTTTATCGTGGCTGAGTCGTGAGGTGTTCGTGCTACAAGGATTTTTCACGGTGACTTTGGGAAAGGCGGGAGCTCTATATCTTGAGGCTCCAGATCGACTTGTTCCACGTATTCGCGAAGGCGTGGAAGATCAGTATCAGCAGAGTCAGAGAAACTGGCGTAATGGCCCAGTCGCATTGAAACTCTCTTCAAAGGATGACCATTTTCCAACCTGTCCTTCGCGATTATGTAGCACTGCAAGGATGACCAGGTCTTGTCGCCATTCACGTCTATGGCATCCAACTGCGGGCAGAACAAGTTGCCCGTCCGCTCATCGCGCTCCGACAGGGCAGCGAGAATGGCACGAGAGTATCCTTCATCGTAGCTTCCGTCTGATGTCAAACGGAACACCTTCAACTTCGGCATCCGTCTGAAAGTGTCCATCCAATTCTTCTTGTTGAGACCCGTCCAGCGATAGTTATTGCGATACTCCGTCATAGCGAAGTCTTCCACAGCCTCCAAGTCGAATGCCTTGATGATGCTCTGGAATACTGTCCCCGCGATAGTATCCATGTCTCCGAGGTTGGAGAGAGTATCCTGCTCGACGAAGCCGTGGATATGGAAGGGATGATGGGCAGTCGATCCAAAGATTTCGACACCCTCGTAGCCGTTCATGAACTGGACATAGAATTTCCGAATATCTCGCAGGGGATGGTTGAGTTCGAGTTCATGGGGTAACGGAATACCCATATAGAACTTATTATCCTCATAACGGTCAAAGTGGACCTTTAGTCGAATGGCGCATCCTGGAATGATGAGCCGCTTCATGATATCGGCAACCGCTGATGCTTTGGTGCGACCGAGTTGCAACACCTGAAGATGATCTAGTGGGATTTTCCGTGACTCGTTGTCACGAGCCGGCGTGAAATTGACTTTCTCGGTTTTGAGAGATTGGAGTAATGGACAGGCCTCCAGAATATCAAGGAGCTCGGATGCAGGGAGCGTTATAGGTGTATGCTTCCTCCCTGTGAACGAGAGGACCTGAAGCTTCCCAAACGTTACGCTGCGAAGCTGTGGGAGCATAAAATGGACTTTAAGGCGTGTCAGGCTTGGGGTACTCCCAGTGAATAGCGCGGGCATTGGTATCCAACCTGCGTTAGCACGAATTTTGATAGTCTCGAACGTCTCCAGTGCTGGCGCAGTAGAGTTAACGAGAGGTTGCAGTACTTGGTGAATATGGTCGTTATCGTCTTTCAGCATGTTCGAAGGGACGTATAGGTGCCGCAAGCGCGCTATATGAGGTTGGACGGCCGAAAGGACTTGGGAAATCTTCTCATCCTTCGAACTCTCGCAAATGTAGAGAGACAACGCGGCCTCCGCAGACCGCTCTATACAGGCTAGTGCAGCCGTGCAGTAGCGGGTACTGAGATGCGTCCATAGAATAGGTGTCGTCAATGCGACTTGTCTCCAGAAATGACACACTTGAGCGACACCCATCCATGGATAGGACCCGAACTTCACATCGTATGGGTCCGCATGTCCAGCCACCAGCTCGCTGAAAATCAAAACAAGAATGTCCGATGATAGTCGATTGAATGGTCTGAGGCTATTTCTGTATCTCGACAGCAGTGCCAGAGACGAATCCAACTTGTCCAACTATAAATGACGTCGGTCAGCACACGGACTGTATCACTTGTATTACGAGGCGTATACTCACAGTACTGTCGTCCGGGTGTGACTCTAGTTCATGTGAAGTACTGCACCATTGAATTGATGTCAATGCGCCCGTGTTAAGATACAATTTGGTTCCCACTTACAGAGGTTCATTCCATCCTGGCAACTGCCAGGACAGAGGGTCGAGGAGGGTGGGAAGAGTGAGAGGGTTCTGAATTGCAGCAGCCATGTTCATAGCAACAATAGCGATCCTAGGACAGTGGACAGACGCTGCCCTTGCTCACTGTATTTATGCGAATGTCAAGCAAACCCCACGCGAGAGCATTGCCTGCAGGCTGTGAGCGAGCGAGTCACCCGCCTCCAGTCATAGCCGCCCAAGCGTCCTCGTTCCTAAAGGCGTTCCCGCTCTTTCGACCTCATTTTGACCACAGCTTGTTTGTCGAACCATCGCATTCATTCGCAACAACTTTACTCCCGATATACGACATTGCTTTTAGAATTTTTTTGCCTTCGCTTTTCTAGGAGCACAGGGAGCTCATGAACCCGCATCCTGGCAGTGCTTCGGAGAATGCTGCAACCTTCTAAATAGAACGAATGGTTATTAGCTTGAGTTGGCTGTATCTGGACGCAGGAAACTTACCATGATTCTCATTTAATACTGCGTTATCATCGGACTATCATCCATTCAATATCAAACCGCGAACTTGTCTCACATGCGAAGGATACGCACGTCATCCGAGTCGTCACCCTTCCAGAAGAATTTGCACCGAAGCTTTGCGCAGCGGGTAGTAAATGATATTTGTCTTCCTGGCCAGAGTACAGTTCCTATGATTACATCGATCGTCGTCGTAAACGTCAAGGAGGTTTGGAGTATTCTCGTTTGAAAACGCATTACGCGGGTAATCAATACGCCTGACCAACATCGATTTCACCGGTCACGCATTGTCCATATGTACCTGTTACTTGTGAGTCATCATCATGGCCGCTGGAAACCATGGTGAGAGTTCATATATATGAGGATTATCAAGCTCTAGTTTGTCTGATTCTTCTTCGCTTTTCGTCTCTAGGAACTCAGTGTCATGACAGACATTCAATTATTTCGCCCTGACACAAGCTCCCCACAAAAAGTTGAGCTTTTGGCCGACGTGTTGAGATCATTTATACCCTTCTCTTTGCCGCTGTTAGGCACATTTTACAGCGGAGACCTTGAAGGAGGATATCTCTCGGTATGGACGACCTTTGACGTGTCGCTCTCCGAACAACGCCCAGAACTCTTCTCAGTCATTACCTTCTCTCCGTTGGGGAATGACAAACTTTGGTTCTTCTGCTCAGCGGAAGCACGTTCGGAACCTCCGACTGTTGAAGAACAGGATCATGTTTCTCGTGTAGTGAAGACGCTCTATCATGCGTTCAGAACGTCCAGTTCAATTGTTCGGGGTATCCAAACGCATACTGCTTTCCGGGAAGCAGATGGCCATAGTGGTGTCATCGTGATAGGCTCCCTTCATGAAAAGTGGGCACCGTGCCTACAGGCTATCGCTGTTGCCGACAGCCCATGTACCAAATTCCTCCGACCTCCGCCATCTTCACTATCGTTAGAGCCTTGGAATATCTCGTCGAGCGACAAGTGGGATATTTCCGAATTACGTGAAAGCGATGTAGACTTGGTCACCGACCGCGTCGTGTTCAAACGCTCACGCGAATCGATGCTCACCCGCCTACGATATTCTGTAGGCATCAGGCCCAAGGGAAGCGACACGCCCGTTGCATGGCAACTGCTCTATCCTGACGGAAGTATTGGAATGCTCCATGTAGAGCCGGAGTACAGGAGGCTAGGCTTAGCAAAGATGTGTATTCATGCGCTGAGTAGGAAGTTGGAGGAGATGTTCCGTTCGGAAGAGGAGGGGAAAGGAGGACAGTATCCTTGGAGTCGATGGGAGTTCGTTGATGTTGTTGCAGGCAACGAGAAGAGTTCGGGTCTTCTCAAGTCCCTTGAACCGGAGGGATGGCGGGAGGGATGGGTTTGCTACTGGGTCTACCTGGCAATGAACGATGTTGAAGTTCCTCAGTCTGCATGATATGGCTACTTCTAACTGTACGGTAAGGCTTTCATTTCCTTTTGATGATGTAGAGCTCATAATGCCATGTTGCAGTTCATGTATAATTGGTTTGCTTGCGTGCTCAAATAATCCAAGCTGTCTGTCGTACCAGACACTTTCCACAACTCTTTGGATCAGGGCTGAAAGGTTTACACAGCGGCAGAGATTGCCTTCCCATTGCACAAGTATGCCCTATGAACGGCTGTGCCCATACAATAACGACAGTACAAGCTTTCCCTCGGAGTGACACGAAGTGACGCACACAGGCCCATCTATTGACGATGTCATGCGAGGTCTTGTTCCATGGAACGATGGCTATTCTTATCGTATGGGCCGAAACGACAGGTTCCAGAACAAGAGGCCTGTGTGGAATCAGCGGGGCTAGCGCGCTTTAAGTGAAGCTATAAGATCATTGATATCTCTCCCAATTGCTGAATTACAACCCTTCTTCGGGCCCCCTGCAACCTGAAGTCAGTTCATTACGCATGTGGTTTTTGCTTTGCCTCTAACTACGCACATAGATTCCTGCTGACTATGTCCGGAGTCACAAGAGCTCTCAAGAGTGCCTTGGAGACTGCTTCACGATTCCAGAAATATGGACTGCAACCGCAGTTGGAGTCGATGGGGGTTCCTCCTTTACTCAAAAAGCACCTAGTTCCGGGTGATCAAAGCACTGCTCTGATTGCGAGGAACTAGGCGCATGTTGCAGTTTAATGATGAGAGTGAAGATACAACCCTGAAAAGTTCATCCAGGCAAAGGGGACACACACAAACTTGGCTGTTCTCGACATCGCAGGCCAGACCGGGACGGAGGAAGAGAGGAAGGCCTTCATAACCAAAGTAGTTTCTAACAGGCGCAGGAACTCCCGTGTGTAGTTATTACCTTACGTTCATCTCATCCCAATGTTCATGCCTTTCATAGGTCATCGTTCAGACCCCTCAACGCTACGAACCAGGAGGAATATCCACCTTGATTTTATTTTTGCCAATCAGAGCACGAATAACATGTTTTCAATGGGCTCCTTGGAGCAATGCAAGCAGGCTGCAGCGACCCTGGATCAGATTCGTAGGCCTGTCCTTCATGTCCTTCATACCTTTGGAAACTCTAGTCATCCATGCCCGTCTGGTAGTCCAATCTGGTGGTGACACTCAATCCAACAACAGGTTCTGAGCTCTCTACTATAGACTTCATGATTGCAGCCGACTTGTTTGAATAGTCTGTCTGTGGTTTCCCATTGGATGTCGGGTGCTTGACATTTCCTTCGACGGTCAATATTCAGCGGTCAATATTCAGGTATGCACCCGTTTCGCTCTCGACAGACTCGCATGAGTCGAATCAATTTGCCTTCATTCAGATTCCTGTAAGGCCCCTCACTGGTGCTTGGATCAGACTTGGATCATTGAGCATGTCGGCAACTAAGGTAGCTGGTTAGCGGACGGTACTGCGTGTAGATTCCATGCTTCTAGATCTGGTCAGCAAACACCAGTCAAATCCCGTTGGGGAAATTCACACTTCTGTTCAACGTATTATGTATTCCTGTGAGTTGTCGTAGTCCTGCGATCCGTAGTGCATGAAAGAAGGCTCGCGCGTCTTGCATTAGGGGCACTCGCGCATTCGTATGTGCAATGGCTATGTCATGACGCAGAGGCAAGCGTAAGGATTCCGAGCGAAACAAATTCTAGTTTCCCGGCAGGCCGGCTAGTGCACATAACAGGAATTCAGGAGCTGACAACCAGCGGGACTATTTCCATGTTTGTATTCCTGAAACGGATTATGTTGGCAAACATACTTACTACGCAGGAGGATAGGGTGGGTACGGTAAGAGTCAGCGAACCGCATTCAAAACAATACATAAATCCACGGCACACCGTCTGATTCCTCTCCTCTCAACTTGCAAAAGATCATGTCGAATAGGTTCCATCTCAGTATCACGCCTCTCAAACTTGCTGGTAACGACCTTGCGATACCTAAATCAGCGGCTCGAGAACTGATATGTTGACTGGTTCGATCAGATATTCCCTCGGAGCATTCCATCTTGAGAGCTGGACGTGCTGCACTTACATCTCCTATACCCTGGAGACAAGGGAAGACCTATTACCACACGGTGAGGACTTACTCACGCCCCAAAAGCCCTTGGGATGGCGCAGCATGGCATTGTAGAGTCAGCGAACATGGCTCAGACGAGGCTACATTCGACGAATTTTGGAGCAAGCTCGGTATAAACAAAGCTGCGAACGAGAAGAAGTAAGTCATTTCTGCTCGCACAACAAGGGACAAAGATCATCTGAGACATCCCTGCAGCTTCACGTCGGAGATCAAGAAGGTAACCCTCATCAAGCAACTCTCGCCGTCGCAGTGCATCTGCACCATTTACTACACATTCACGCCTCCAATCTCACCGAGAGTCTTCACCGTCCTTCAGACCACCTATCTAGATGAGACCTATCCTCGAATGGGGTCAGTTAAAGTTCATTTTCCGTTGTAAGATTGTCAACTCACGAGATATCCAGTTTCATAGTCTCCATCCCAATAGACCTCTCGGACCATCCAGAGCTTTCTAGATTCGAAGAGAAGGGCGTTAGGGGACGCTACACCAGCGTAGAGCGCATCATGGAACTCGGCAACGGGAAGGTTGAATGGCGCATGGCTACTTCGAGCACCCCTGGAGGCAATATCCCCCAAATCCTGATAGACAGCACCATAGCCGGGAAGATATCTGAGGTTAGATTTCTGATGTGTCCTTCAAGTAGGCGTGGTAGGATCTGACTGGTATTGCTGTTCAGGATGTCCCATACTTTTTGAAGTGGCTGCGATCCATTCGTGCACGTCGTAGATCCATGCATCGTATAGAATCAGTACACCGCGAAGTGCACACCGCCTTTGAAGGAACTAATGCGAGTGCCACAGAATGGCAAAGAGGGGAGACAGCGACGTCTACGACCTATCTTCATTTCCAATGAATAAAATACTTGTACTTGAAGCCGGTTCCAGGACACAATGGAGATGGTATGCGTGATCAAGATTCGGATAGTAGGATCAGATATCCGTCTATTGTTACAGATGATCTATAGATTGGTCAGTTTACTTACGAAAAGTGGTATAGTCTATGAAGAACTTACATTACAGATGTGGCACTTCTTTCTAAGCAAGTTCAAGGTATCTCTCCACTGGGTCAAGTATCAGACCGGAGAACCGAAAGCGAACAGGCTACTCACCTTCCCAATTGGTCACCGCTTCATTCCAGAGCTTGATCTCATGTTGTCTAGTTCCGCCAAAGTGCTCAACGAGTTCATCACCAAGTACCTCAGGGTCTCTAGCAATGCTGTCTGGACGCATCATCCGCTCTGTGGCAGTCTCCAGAGAGGCCGGTAGCATTTGAACCTACGAGATTTGTGAGGAAATTGACTCACGCATGTTTGAGGAAAGTATCTAGAGAACTAACCTTTCCTGTCTCCTTATCTTCTTGCGTCATCTGACTGATAGGTGGGCAGGGTAAGGAAAGCTTCTGCTTGATGCCGCGTATGCCTAGTGCAAAAATGGCGCTCATCGCAAAGTAGGGGTTCATATCTGCTCCCGGGACGCGAACTTCCAAACGAGTGGCTTCAGGTGGAACCGATGGAGGTGAAATAATTCGGATAGAGGCCGCACGAGAGTCATAACCATACGTGACTGCATTGGGAGCCCAGAAGGCTTCGCCGCCAACTAAGCGTTTGTAGCCATTGATCGTCGGTACAAGCTAGAATGTAGCAATGAGCAAGAATCTAGAGTTAAATCACACCTAAACAAACCATCGGCATTACTAGACGTCATGCACAGTCAGCAAATGGAGGTTCGTGAACGCATTACACAACAAACTCACTATCAGGTAGACCATGTAAGACGCCAGCGAGGAACCATTCGCCTTCCTGGCTTAGGTATTTGGTATCTGGGTATGCTGCACCGACTCTTCCACTGTCTAGCTCGGACGACGACAGTGCAAACAAGGCCTTTCCCTCCTTGGTGCGCAACGAGACGTGAATGTGGCTAAACGACGTATAAGCAACGCATACATCAGTAGACGTGAATCAAAACGTTACCCGCTACAACCTGGAAGCTATGAACAGCAAGTCAGAGCTATGGATAACATATTCGTCGAAAGAGTCTGCAAGACTCACGTTGCCCCATGGTTTCGCCATGAAACTTGGAGTAATTCCATGCTTCATACCGATGCTTTTCGCCGCATACTTGAATAAAATCGCGTTATCCGCCATTCTGAGCGCAGTAGTGTAGGCAAGAGCGGTCTCGTAAACACCAGGGCCAGTTTCCGTATCTGTTCCACAGAGATTATTATTCAGCGTGTCGAGGTCATACATGGGCAAGGATACGTACGATGTCCTTCTAAGGGCACCTCAAATTTGTATGTCTCGTCGAATAACTCGTGAAAGTAGTCATTGTTGAGTTGAGTTCGAAGCAAGGAGTAGCCGTGCACTGACAAGAATTCAATATCTCCGCTACCCTAAAATAGTTAGATGTAACGTACTGCCTGACGTCAAAGGTTGAAGGCTCATAAACTTCTTCTCAGCAAGACTCTCGGGTGTTTCTGTTATGATGCTCAATATTGTACACACGAGTCGAAAGGCATAGCACATACCTTTGAATTGGAAATACTACTCATATTGTGAGCACGGAACACACGCATACAAGCGCATGGAACTCACCTCGTATTCACACCCCGCTATACAGTTCCATCCATTTGACTGTGCTCGTTCCGCCACCGCCTTGAGAACACCCCGAGGATCGGCACATATAGGCTCCTTGGTATCTGGATCCAAGAAATGTACCAAGAAGAAAGGGACATTATTTTCCCATGGTATACGTCGGAAGGTAAACAAATCGATGACCGCCAGAAGGTCACGGTAACCATTAGTCTTGTTAGAGATAAGGAGCTCTCTTGAGTACACTTGGTCATGAATGTCCCATCCGCTAAGCAACGATTTAGTTGATACTGTGCGAAGGGAGATAACGCTTGACTCACAAAATGACGCTGCAGAAACCAAAGCCATTTCCGGAAACGGCACTTAGGAACTTGTCTTTTGCCTACAGATAGCGTTCAACATTATACATTCCTCGTACGAAGTCGTGTGGTCAAACGTACCATGAACTTGCCTCGAAGGACTCCGTCCACTTATATGCGAACTTCACAACTTCAGTCATCCTCATATTATTGGATGAGTTGACTGACCATCGATACCTTATCATAAAGCGTTGAGGGCGAACGAAAATGTGTCTGACATGAACTAGACATACCGGCAACTTTGACCTTGATGTCATACTTGAGAAGGTCTTTCAACTGCTCCAGAGATTGGGGGGCAGCTTGTGTTGGAGATACAGACATGGTAGTCGCACGGGCGGTCAGATTATATGATGTAAAAGACTTGCGGAAGGTGGTGGTACAAGATAAAGCTTTCACTTATCGCTTAGACGAGGACTCAGTGATGCTAAATGACAATGATCGGTGTAAGCGCCCATATGTACCTTGAATTGCAGCCAATCACGTCCGTTTGACTTCCAAGACGTTGCTGCCTTGAACATGACCTCAGGCTATACTAAAGCGAATACGATAAATCTTTCTGCACCTGCTAGTGCAGTATCGTTTGGACCTGAAAACAAGGTCGCCGTAGGATCGAGTAAGTCGTATCTGTGTACCCGACTTTCCCGCTAACTTCATGTCAAAGTCGATGGCAGTTTGCGTTTGTATGATCTTCCAAGTACCAAGGTCGCAAAGGCGATCACGAAACTTGGTGACGAAGTCGCTTCGATTGCATGGGAATCTCCCTCTTCCAACAATCTGTGGATCGCGAGCGGAATCACCGTATGTCAAACATAGTAATTTTAGATAGTGGAACGCTTGCTGAAAATCTTGGTCTCTCTTGATACCATTAGGCATTCCTCTTTGACCTGGAAGTTCCAAAGATGATCCTATCTCCTGATGATGATGCTGCGCTGTCTGTACCATTGGGAGAAGATGAGGAAGATGTCTTGAACGAGGTAAGCAGTCTGCCTTTGATCGCACACCCTTCGATTCACCGCCTTTCTCATAGCCAGCTTAGCATAAGCCCTAGCACGAAAAGCCTAGCGTTCGCCTCAGATAATGGTTCCGTGGGTGTGATGAACCTTGTCACCCGCGAAGTAAGTCGCATGAAGAAACAACACGGCAGTGTAAGTTGCTCAATTTGACGTTCATAGTTGGAGAATGATTTATTCATGGGCCTGTAGATATGTTCATCTGTCAAGTTCATACCTGATCGACCAACTGAGCTGGTCAGTGGTGGCTACGACTCTGGTCTCCTTCATTTTGATTTTGTTCAACGCAACGTTCTATCGAGCTTTGACATCAGTACGTGGCCACATAACGTCACTTATTATGTGTGGGCTAAAGGATAGACACAGCTGCTACACCAACAGAAAATGCTGTCTCTCTCTCACCTCCCTTCATATTGTCTACTGCAGTGTCATCGACAGGTCTAATAGCCGCAAGCACGGCAGACGGTCGATTATGGCTAGGCACGGGAGGAGACAAATCACACCCAAGCAACTCGAAACCTGGTAAAAAGCGTACTCGAAAATGGGAGGGTCTGCGAGCAGAAGACGGATTATTTGTTCAAGTGGCTGAGGGTCCCGTTGTTGCCTGGTATGCGATATTCAACGAGATCAATGATTTACTCATTAAATCGCTATGCAGTGCATTTGTGAACGACCAGACATTGGTCACATCTACTCTTCTTGGAAAACTGGCACAGCAGTCGATATCGTACAAGCCTGCCGGAGCTCTACAGGTTCACACGACGTGGAATGCGGAAGTTAGTGTTGTAGCAAAGGTTAATGCTCTCTCTGTGAATGGACGATACTTGCTTGTTGGGGGTATTTCCAAGGACCACAAAGGGGCTGTCGAAATTTGGAGCTCAACGCAAAACTCAGGCTGAATAAAATATTAAAAGCTGTATTAATTATGCGTGTCGGGAGAAATGTGGGGTAGCGATATGCAAAATATCCATCTGTCTGAATGGTCTACTGGGCATTAGAAGAATCTAGATTGTTACTTTCCGGCTCTTGAAATTGCCTTTCCAACTCCGCTATACGACGAAGGTGAGCATCCCGATCCCGCTTTAGTCTAGCCAAGTATTCTTCGTCAGAGACTTTTTGAAGCCCAAACAAAGAGAATATTCGCTCTGTCCAGGGTACGGGCTCCGTATTCACAGAGACCGAGCTTGAAGAAGTGGTCGCAACTTTTGTTGCCGATACTGATGGTGCGACCTCCTGCGTTTGTAAAGTCCGGGAAAGGTATTTGAGCCGGACTACACCTAGCTCGTTGTATGCCAGTTGCAGCAGAGTACACAATAAACCGCCTGTTGTGACGCCTGGGGCAATACCTGATCGTCCTCCTAGTGAAACGAAAATGTTAACACGAAGACATGAAAACTGATGACCATTAGACATACCTTTCCATGCGTTGAGAAGCCCTCCAGTAAGGGCACCACTGAGGGCGGTGTCAGGCAGTTTGTGTGACCTCATGGACCACCAATCAAGTCGCTCAGCTGTGTATGCTCGACCTTCGCGAATAGCATCGACTTCCTGCTTTCGACGTAGAAATTGTCCTGACGATATTGTTGTGAGAAGTATCGGGCTAACAATATATTCTCGAAGACCTAGAAGAAACCGTCAGCCATCACATTACTGTACAGAATGAGACAGTGACATACTGAAGAATGTAGCCCCTGCAATACCACTATTCACCGCAGTCCCCAGTGCGAGAGGTCCTATAGGAAGACCTTTATATGTTGCATAGATACATGAGAGAAACGAAGTTGAAGCAGCTGTTTGACCATCATCAAATCAGTTATTTGCGTGGCCGTGACACAATGACAGAAGACGGACTCGCATGTTATAGCAATGTTCTGAGCTACTGTCAGCGGTGCATTCGGATTCATGGAGAGACAAATTTAATACAGGACAGGTTAGGATGATGGATCTGGATCCTGGTCTGGCAGGAGAAGTGACAAGCCTTCTCGCGGACATTCCGAAAGGTTCACACGCCTCCCATAAGTACTGGCCATGCGTTAAGCGATTGCAATCTCGCATTCTCTCATTCAGCACCAACATCTCGTATGTTTGCTTTCGAGTTCATGTCATTCTTAAAATTGACAGTATTTGCTCAGCGCGGGGTACTCCAATGCATCAAATTTTTCGTCTTGATGAGATATTCGAGGCCATATGCTGGTTTGTCAAGTACGAGTCAGACGGCGGAAAGACCCTAGCTGCACTTACAAGAACGTGCCGGACGTTCGAGAATGTGGCTTTAGCAGCGCTATGGGAGAGCCAGGATAGTCTTGTTCCCCTTGCACGTTGTCTCGGTGCTGCGATCCAAGAGACATGGAAATCAAACGAGAATATCAAGCCTACGAACATACTAGTAAGGAGCGATATGATTAGTACTTTCCGTTCTGAGTCGGTTAACCTATACCTTGCGGCGCAGTGTACAGAAAGGCTTCCGACATTATCCGAATGGAAAAGAGAGCACAAACACGCTCTCTTCATCAAAACATTTGTTTCTTCTCAGAACCCTTCTATTCTTGACCATTCAATCGATACAACTGTGTTCATCGCCTTGTTTGCGCATGGCAGCATGCCTTTTTTCCCCAACTTGCAAGAGTTCCAATGGCCGCTCCGTGGCATTAGCGACGGGGATATTCCATTTATCACGCGGTTTTTGGGACCGAAGTTGGAGAAAATCACTCTCAACATGCCCAACAACTACAAGCTAGACATGCTAACTCTGGACCATCTATTAACCATCCATGCATTGAAGGAAATGAGTTTAAAGGGCGAGGCAGGCTTGGGCAGTTTATTGTCAATACGAGAACTTATTACACGTTCGGTCCAACTGCGTGCATTTACATGCACAATTCCGCTTGACCTTACACATGTCAGAATTCTTGCTACCTTGCGCTCCCTCCACAGACTTAGTGTCATCATGCCCCCCATGGTAGACGAATCGTTCGAAACTTCCGTTGGATGTGACGACCCTTTCCCTGTCCTTCAAACGCTTACACTAGCTGTGTCCAACCTCGCTGGTGCTTTGCATTTCATCCAGCTCTGTCCTTTCACTCATGTCGCCCAATTTGAGCTGGAAATTCAGGAGAATTCCCTCCCCGACTCACCAAGGTATTTGGAGGCACTTGGAACACTGATGGTGAAGCAATTTTCGTCCAAGGCATTGCAGGCATTCAGGCTAACCTCAGAATGTGGCTCGGGCTTACCCTGGGATACTACGAAGGCCATACGGGCGTCGACGCTGAGACCGTTCCTTTCTTTCAGAAATCTAGCGATGTTCCATCTTGACGCAAATTGGTGCTATGATTTGCACAATTCTTTCATAGAGGAAGCTGCAAAGGCCTGGCCTAGCTTAAGGTACATCTTCCTTGACCCGTGGGGTTCCTGGCCAGTCCCGAGAGATCGCAGGCTTACGCTCGCGTGTTTTCTGCCCTTGGTCCAACACTGTCCAAGGATACGCAATTTTGCAGGCCTCTTCGAAGGATGCGTGCCTTATATCTCCGACACTACTCGCCCTGGAAATGGGCATGAAGCGGAATTCGTGAGGGACATATTTGTCGGGCATTCTGTGTCTGATATTGAAGCTGTCGCCCTGTTTCTTTCCGACCTCTTCCCCCACCTAGAGCAGATCCGTTCCTTATCCGAAGCAGACGATACGCATGCCCGGTGGGAGGAGGTCACAAAGAAGGTGAAGGAATACACGTTGGTTCGTTCTCAAATGAAGGCGTGGTATAAAGAGAAGGACGCCACTGCTGGACCTAAGAAACGTGAGTCCCAAGCTGACACTGTCTGAAAGAGTTGTATGAAATCATGACTTCTCAGGCTCAGAAACTTGATTAATGTCGATCATCCTCCATGCCCAAACTTCACACTATGTATCACACATATGCTTCTACGGTTGACTGCGCAAGCTCCCATTGTCCCATTCTCCATCACTCAACGTCCGTTTGCCGGAATACGGTTTCAATGTTACAGCTAAATTTATATCGATAGGCACCTCGTCGAAAGGTCGGTTTGGTTTACTGGTGTTGGGTATCTCTCGTTACGCACTGGAAGATCGTGGAGGACGAAGAAACGGTAGGGTATGCTTTGGGTGGGGGTTCAAATGGTACCCGAGGTCAACTAAGAGATGGGGTAGGGGCTGATTCTTTCGCATTGGCTAAACACGTCCGAATATTTATGTACACAGGCTTGGGCGCACTATCCGTCATCTACGTACTATTTCGTCGTCGGTATCCAGCAACATCTCTGTTTAGGCTGCATCTGGTACATGACGTGTTGACGGGGAGCGTTATTCACGCTTAACCTATGGCAGGTCGTTTAGGGAAATACAAGAATGTGAATATTTATAATGCCTTGCCTGTCGCGCAAGCGTATATGAACATCCCATGCAAGATGAATAGAACACCGTTTCCTACAATATACAACTACAGCAGATCACATAGTATCTCTTACGAAGCCCAAAGTACCTAGCGACGAAGAAAGGAGGTCAATAAGCCTTTCACTCTCCGTCTTCTGTACTGCCTGCAGCGTGAGCAACTCCTCTCGGAGCTCCTCGTTGGCAATCAACACATCGCCATGTATTCGAAGGAAGACAGCTTGGAAGGCTTGAACCGCTTCGAAGTCTCTATGTGACCGTAGTCTCTGGATGAGTGAGGTGAGGAATCGCCGCATGGAATCCAATGAGGCGAGAGAACGGATCTCAAGATCGACAGCTGCTGGGGAGATGGCTTTGAGGTAATTGTAGAAGTCCTCGTCTTTGGCAGTCATCAGAGTCAATAACCAGTGTTGGAGATCAAAGGAGGGAGAACTCACAGATACCATCAGGATCCTCCGCCACGAGCTTCTTATAGAAGACGCTTTCAGACGATGCCGCAGTCTTTTGTAGTCTCTTCGTTTCCTTCTTGCTTTCTTCCGGTTTTGATTGATCGATTGCGAATCGGGTCTCAACTCCGGGCAGTGTAGGCAAGAAGAAAGGTGCTTGCTCAGGAGGTTTTGGAGGTTCTTTTGGTTTGTTACGTTGCTACGAGGATATACTGCGTGAGTAGATAAAGGACATATATAGGGTGCATAAACTTCACCTGAATGACCTCGAGATTTAGTAGGGTCTGCCATCTTGCTCGCGGGAGTAGCGTGAGAGTAACAAGGTCATCATCCAGCTGTGCTGGCGTAATAAACACGTCCGTCGGTTTTTCTTGAACAGTCAATGATGACAATGCTTCGAGTGCTGCAAGAGAAATGTTAGCATGACTACATCGTGAAAACACCGTATGATCTTACCTTCGTCCTCAGCTTCTCCTTGCACCGAAGGCAATGCCATGGTAGCGACTTCATCCTCGGCAATGCCCTGGAATGTTATGTCCGCATACTGCGCTCTATTCGCCCTGTAATCCATTCAATATGATAGTCTTTGACGCATATTAGAGGTCACATACCAAAGGTACACGCCTACACTGTCAACATGAGAGGTAGCGAGGAAATCATTTGTCGGCGAGAAGGTGATACTAGTAGCCACGCTGGACGTCCGGAAAGCGTCGATCAAGCGACCAGTAGGCACATCGAATGTTCTGATGATGGAATCCAGCGACGTAGTGAGCAACCATCTTGCATCTGGCGAGAAGGTCTGGCGAACGATGTGATGTGCGTCAGGAATGCAGCAGCACTTAGAATGGAAGAAGTAGACGTACAACATCTAGGACTCTGCCCCGGAATCCGCCTAGCTCTCGGACCACTCTTCTTGTCTCGATATCAATGATACGGACGATGAGGTCATCACAGATCACTGCAAGAAGACCACTATCGCTGTGCAGTGTGAGTGACACGACGGCTGATGGAAGGACCAGGGTCTGCTCCAGTTTCGTTGTATGAAAATCAAAGAACTAAGAAGATTATACCCTTCAGCGTATCGCTCAAAAGACGACGCCGCAAAAGAACTCACGTTAACGGTCCCATCCAACGTACCAGCAATAACAACCCGATCAAGGGCATCGCTAGCCAGACCTGTGACACAACGTTCTGACTTCTTTCTTGAGCTCCCTGCAGATTGCGCCTGGTTGGAAGCATCAGAAGGGTATGGTCCCAACTCGAAAGATTTTCTCCGAGCACCGGATTGCATGTTATACATGTAGATGACGCCTGTGGAGGACGAGACGAGGCCGAAGTTCCCACACGCCGTCACCCAAACAGCCTGTCAGAGAATAGGACGTCAAAAAAACTCTCGTTAATGCAAAAAGGGAGGATGCTGACCTTCGCAGCACCTGTCGCAGGAGCCTTCTTGCTTTCCGGGGCAACACTGAAGTTATGCTTTCCTAGCTTTTTGTCTTTCATGGACCAAGTTCGGGCGAATCCTTCGTCCGTGTGTGCAGTGAGAATGTCATCCCAGTCTTTTGACCGTGTAGAGGAATAGGATAGGGCGGTAATTGGGGGAAGTTTGAGGGATGCGATAGGGATGGACAGGCTTGTCGCCTTTTTGGCTAAGGAGCCTATAAGGTAACAAACAGGTAAGTATTAACGGGGAACACATTGTGACAGTCTGGTGTACCTTGACTTAGCTCGAAACTTCTTGAATCTCGAACAACACTTGTACATCGTAGACTTCGGTCTCTTGACGCGGTAAGCAACTGCTTTCCATCATCACCGTAGTAACGAATCAGATGTGGTGGTGCATGGTGACCAGAGCGGAATTTTAGAAGCCGAGGAGCTGCTGTAGGTGAGTCAAACACCCATTGCTTGACAAGTCCCAATATTTGAGTTAGATGTCTGGCAACAACGGATCACAGAACATACCTTAACACTATTGTCTTCTCCTGAGCTAATTAAGAGTGGCTGTCCCGGTACCCACTCAACGGCAGTGACAGCGCCATCATGGGCACCGCGGATGATGTGAAGTAAGCGGCCACCATTGTTAAGATCCCACAACGCTATATGCCCTGTAGACGAACCAGATGCCAGTACGGCGTGATTGTCTGTACAAAAGGTATTGTGAGAATAGGTCATTGGATGATGGAATCTATGTCAATCTGACCTGTTCGGAAGCTCAACGCTCTAATAGCTCCGTCTTGCATTGACATTCTCATCAACCGCTCGTCCATTCGGACGTCGTAAACGGAGATTTCGCCGGAAGCAAAGCCTATTCCAACAACGTCGATCGCAGGTGATTGTGAGAGGGCAGTGATGGCAGGTGCGGGTATGTTTTGTTGGTTGGCAGGAAGGGTGAGAAGCGATGATGGTGAGAATACATGAATCCGCGTCCTGAAATCGTATCAGACACATACTCCCGAGGATTTGCGATGAGAGCTTACTGTTTTCGAATGTTCCACAGTTGAAGGGCACCTTCACTACTTGCGACCAGTACCTTGTTAAGGTAGGTCGCTGGATGGAGAATAGAGGTTGCGGTAAAACCGGCCTCGAAAGTAATCGTGGCTTGTAGCTCTGTATTGAAGGACATGGAGTCTATGAGTTGGCCCATATGGAGGCAGAAATATTCACTAACCTTCACTGCCGGTATCCCACACGAACATTCTGTTTCCATCCTCAGTCAATGCTAATAACTGTGAACCAAATACGAGGATAAAGGATAGATGCGACCCAAGAGGATTCTTCAGTCTTGCAATCTAATTTGTGTCAGCGAAACGGCTTTCTTTCCAAGAACCAAAATGCTTAGAGACATACCTCCTTCCCTCGAATGTATTTCACAACATCCGGTCCAGCAGCCGCCCAAACATTGTTCCCGTCGACGGCCATAAACGAAATTTGCTCAGCTTCATCAGGGCCTGTAAACTGCACTGAGTACGTTACTCTTTCGAAGCAGAATGTTCACTGACTTACCGACAAATAGCAGAGTCATTTTTCCGCCCTCCCACATAGCCCATGACCTGCCTAAGCATGTCAGAAGGTGTATCCGTGGACCTTCAGTAGACCCTTTGAAAGAACGGGTTTGCAGCACGAATGGTATATGGTTCGTGACAAGTCCAAGAGCACGGAACGGCGCGAATATTCGGGGAGAGGCGGTTTTTGATGAAGTTGGGGAATCATCTATACGGGTACGTTTGCGAGGAGGAAGCTGGAGGTCATCCTCATGGAGATCTGGCGAGATTAAAGCAACCATCTCATTGCGAGGCTTGGACTGAAGCAGGAAGTCGTGTCTAGCAAAAAATCGGTTCGCGTTCTTTGGAAAGTGATCGGAGCACACGTGGCGAAGCAAGCGCGTAGGCGCCTTACCCTGTGGCACTGGCACGCCCTTCCTCTTCTTTCCCTCTCTTGAAAAGGCTTCACGGGACTCCAACACTTTCATGGTCTGGATCAAGAACTAAACGACAAGGAACGGAGCCGGTGCTCATTCGTGTCGGGGCAAGTTCTTGCTTCCCACTGATGATGATAGCCTGATTCACCTCCTCGTTGGCGGTGCTCTGAGTCTTGATTCGTAGTTTGCCATCGTTGCTTTGAGATGGTCCATTGGATGGTTGCTGCCAAGGTAAGTGTGAAAAGATGATATGCATTGGGGCGCAACTCTTATGATAGATCCGTCAGGTTTTGTGTATATGCTTATTACTCATTTGTTTGATACCTTTGAATGTGCATGACGGATGGCAGTACACCGAGCAACCCTGACTTCGTATGACCGTCAGCGCTCTGAGAAAGATTCGGTGCACATAACTCCCACTTGCTAACCAAGGTCTCATCAAGTTTTGCTTACGATCGCAATCTTTCATCATGTGGGTTCCCACAATCCCGCAATCTCACAACTACTCTGAGTCCCCGGATATAACCATGGGACCTTGTTCGACATTTCCTGTCAGACATCTTCACGTTAACTGTGATTGACTTAGTCTGCGACGTCTGCACGTCTGACTTGTGGAGTTTTCTCTTGGTAAAGTTCACCTTTCGCTATCCTCGAGAGAACAGGAACAACAGCAGTGCCTCGCGATCTAAAGCTCCTTCTGGTTTGATCATCACGCCCTCAATCAACACTATCACCAGGAGGCCCAAAACATCAATCCGTGATGGAGGTTTCAGAATCCCAATTCCCCCGATGCGATGCTTCCGAGAACATATAAGTACGTTCGGATGTTAGCCTGTTTCTCCAGCGCATTTTCTTTTGCCTTCCGCTCGCCACCTTTTTTTTGAGCCCGGTTGCTCACTTTCTCTCTTTAAGTCAATCTTTCACTTTCCTTCGCGCTAGGTCGCATTTGCTTCATTCGCTACACATCTTTCTTGCTGGTCAATTCTCCCTCTCGAACCACACTTCCTTTACGACAAGATGTACTTCACGAACGCCCTCATTGCCTCCTTCTCTCTTGCTGCCCTTGTCTCTGCCGGTCCTCTCGTTGAAAGACGGGCTGCCTTCACTCTCCAGAACGGCAAGGATGCGCAGGCCCTGAACGCTAAGTTCAAAGGTCTGTCTGCCTCATCGCCTTGCACGGACGGTGAGAATGCTTGTATCAACGGAGCTTTTGCGCAATGTGCCAATGGCAAATTTGTAACGACCCCATGTGCGGGAGGGTTGACTTGTGTTGCCCTTCCTCTGGTGAACTCGAAGGGTACCAGGTAAGGATCATTGCTGTACAATTCATAGCCTGTTCGCTAAATTGATTTTAGTATCACCTGCGACACTGAGGCAGATGCCAAGACTCGTATTGCAGCTTCTGGTGCTACTGGTGGCCTCTTTGGCCGGGACCTCGAAGAGTAAGTAAACTACCGTTAAATTTTCCCACCTTTCCTTTGTTTACCCTACTGCTTTAGGCGTGCGGAGTTCACCCTGGCCAACGGCCAGGATGCTCAGGCCTTGAATGCCAAGTTCCAGACGCTCAGCGCCAGCTCATCCTGCACGGATGGAGAGAACGCTTGCGTTAACGGCGCATTTGCTCAGTGTGTTGGTGGTCAATTCCAGACTACCCCTTGTGCTGGTGCAACCCAATGCTTCGCCCTGCCCTTAGTCAACTCACGCGGCACTAGGTATGCATGAAATGTTTGCTGTGCACAGAATCTGTCTCATCTATCCATGCAGCCTCACCTGCGATACTCAGGCCGATGCTGAAGCGCGGATTGCGCAAACCGGTGCAACTGGCGGACTTAATGGAAAGCGCTCTCTAGAGGCGTAAGTCGTGATCACCTCGTCACTTAATCATCCCCCTAATTCATTTTATGCTCGTCGTAGTCGTGCTGCCACTGCCCCTCCTGCCTGTGCTGCTAAGGGCAAACGTTCTGACCGTCTGACCAGACGCTCTGAGTCTGGCATCGCCAAGCGTATCGCTCAGAATGATCTCGGTGCCGTCGCTCAAAGTTGGCAAGATCTTTGCTTGAAGAGCGGTGGTGACACCCAGACTGGTGACCCGTGTGTCCAGCTCGCTGGCATCAACGGTATCAACGCGCTCTTGGCCAACTCTGACCCTTGTGCTCAACAAGACAACGCTGATGCTATGATCGATTTCGCGAAGTCCAACGGTGTCACAAACAAAGATGCCTTGATTGCGAACGCCGTCTCCTACGCTAAACACCCTAGAAACGCTCTGAACATTGATGGTACTGTTCCCTCCACCCCCTTCTGCCAGAAGGCTCCCAAGAACGCTGAGTTGAAGGGTGTCACTCGCGCTCAACTCGACGGTGTCAACCCTGGCTTGTTCGGTTCTCCCGCACTCGGTGTCTTTGCATTCGGTGATCGTGAGTACCTGCCCCGTTAAGTTGTAGTATTACATTAAGCTAACTCTTTCCTTGCAGCCCGAACCTGCCCCTTCGGCAAGACTCCTGATGTCAGCACTTGCTCTTGCAAGTAGACATGCTTTCGGAAAGCATATGAGGAGTACAGTTAATGATAATGAGGAAGTTCGAGATACCCTGAATTACAACAACTACTGTAGCATGTTGCACCTACGACTTAACGCAATTACTTTTTTTTTTGGGTTCCTTTTTTCTCACCTACGGTCTTGAGAATGGGTGCCAGGCAATATTCAGGCTAGGGTGTCTAGCGATTTGAACTTTCAAGTATGTTTTGAGACTTGTTTTGGGACGTGAATGGCTTTCCATTACCGTATTTGGCAAGAGCTTCTGAAGCAAGCGCCCATGACGATTGCAGCGGAACTATTTCGCTCATACCCCACTCTGACCACAACCCTTTACTGGACCACCATGGCGGACGAAACCCCCTACGTTATTGAGATAGAAACTCCAGATGTTCATGTTACGGCAACTCCTGAAGTCATCTCTCCAGCTGCAGTCATGACACCTCAGACAATTCTCTTTGCATCGTTGTCTTTAGCTGTTCTCCTCTTGGCTAGTCCGTACAGCAACTCTTTCGCTGTGGCGTAGGCATCTAACCACTATGCAGTTTTCGCAATAATGGCCCGGAGGAAGCCGTCATATAAGGGGAACTCCTTGTTGTTGGTGGGTCCGTCGGACTCGGGGAAGACAGCCATACTGTCAACAGTAAGTTCGCCATGCGTCGTCATGCATTTTGCCACTATCTGACATCAACATTAGCTTGTATATCAACAGACACTTCCTACACATACTTCTATGCAAACGAATACCTCCGTTGTGTCTCTTTCGCCAACCGCGAAGCCTCTCCTGGTCGTCGATGTTCCTGGACACCCCCGGATCCGCGACCAGTTCAAAGACTATCTGCTAGATGCTAAGGCGGTCGCGTTTGTTGTTGATTCCAGTACTATTTCACGGAATGGTCCGGCAGTAGCGGAGTATGTGAAATCACCATATTCACATTACTCATACTAATCATTACGTAGGCACTTGCATCATGTCCTTCATGCGCTTACTTCTCTGCCTCCATCGCATCCTGCGCCAGCACTTGCTATCGTCGCACACAAATGTGATGCTCTGAAAGCGTCGAGCACTGCAACTTCAGAACAACTAGCTATGAACAGGGTGCGCAGTATCCTTGAACGCGAGTTGGAGAAGCGCAGAACTTCTCATGCAGGGGGTGTTGGTGTTGAGAGTTTGGGTGCTGAGGGTGATGAAGAAAGTTCAGAGTTGGGCGGTCTGGATTGCACTGGTGGTGGAGAGTTCAGGTTTGACCAGTGGGACGGTGGTGAAGTGACGTTCCTTGGAACTTCCGTAAGTGTCGGCAAGTTCGTGACACCCGCAGACGAGAAAGCAACCACGCATGGTCTGACTCCCTTAGTGCAATGGTTGGAGGAACTGTCTTGACTTGTTTATTGCGACGTGAGTAGCATGACCTTACTATTCGAATATTGTTTGTCTCTTCGCTGTATGTACATATGTCGTCCGAATGAAGCTTGCTTGTACAATGCCATCACCCGATCGATCAGTCTCCAAACACGCCAAAACATACACACGTTATAAGCTCGAGCCTCTTCTTTCCTTTTGGTCAACGCAGCCTCTTAGACAGTGCCCGTCCTTCATGTACTCTCGACGTCGGACGAGGCGATTCGGTATTGCGGAGAGGAATTTGGCGGCATAAGAACTCTCACACTTCCTTTTCTTAGGCTTGTAGTGTAGTGAGTGTCAGAACCTCCGTACATCTTGTCCATGGGCAACATATGTTATTTGCTTATCTTGACAATTTATTTGTGATGTTCTCCTTGTGAATGCTCTGCGGTGATCGTGAGTGCGAGTGTGTGCTTTCCCGTTGAGGTCGGCCTGTTTGCTATCTTTTAATTGAGTGTATAGTCTGTCCGATGCTTTCTTGTACATTTGAACTGCCTTCTGGCGGTCTCTGCACAACAATGATATACTATCACCTGAGCATATTGCGACTCGAGGCCTTACCTCCTTGAGGCTCGAACGACGAGCTCGCCTGGAGCGGATTTCTTCAGAAATAAACGTGACAACTGTGTAGTGACTGTCACGAGCACGTCACAGCAGCTGTGACACGCATCGCCGACTAAGCTGAGCTCGCCGTGTTCCGCGTCATAAGTCAAGATCACTCTCTCCAGGTTCCCCAACCCCGACTTCAAGTCCTTCTACTTTGCGCTTGACGCTTTACGACAATGTTCATTATTAACTGGTTCTGGGATGTCCTTGCCCAACTTGGTGTGCATTGGAGGACTATTGCTTTCTTTCATCTGTGTTAACTAGTGGCACGACTTTCGCAGGGCTCATGCACAAGAACGCCAAAATCCTCTTCCTGGGATTGGACAATGCAGGCAAGACGGTAAGTGCACATGTTTACTGGTTGATAATGCGTGTATTAAGCTTGACCTTCTTTCAGACTCTACTCCATATGCTGAAGAATGACCGACTAGCCACGTTGCAACCAACGCTCCATCCTAGTGGGTGTTGTCATTTCTCTGAATATAGAACACACGCTTAACAATCTTCTAGCCTCGGAGGAGCTCGCTATTGGAAACGTGAAGTTCACGACATATGACTTGGGAGGACATCAGCAGGGTACGTGAACCCATCTATTGCCCTACAACTTGCCATTAAGCTTTGTTCTGCATCAGCTCGCCGACTCTGGCGTGATTACTTCCCCGAGGTCGACGGTATCGTCTTCCTCGTCGACGCGGCTGATTTCGAGCGATTCCCTGAGTCCAAAGCCGAGTTGGACGCCCTTCTCTCCATTGAGGAACTTTCCAAGGTTCCCTTCCTCATTCTCGGAAACAAGATTGATGCTCCCGGCGCTGTAAGTGAGGAGGAGCTCAGACATCATCTAGGCCTTTATCAGACTACCGGCAAGGTTCGTAAACGTTCCCACACGCCGCATACTCGCCATTGACACAATGCTTTGCTTCGCAGGGCAAGGTCCCTCTTAACGATATTCGCCCTATCGAGATCTTCATGTGCTCCGTTGTGCAAAGGCAAGGTTACGGAGAGGGCTTCAGATGGCTGTCCCAATACGTAAGTCTTATTATGCTCCTCAGTTGGCCCATTGACCCGTGTCTAATCCTGTGTATTAGATCTGAGCATGCTCTCAGGTGGATGTAGGATACGGGTGTCGTCTAGATTACTGTCATAACATTCATTTTTACTGGCTTTCCTTGCATTCTGTTGCTGGATATGTTATCTATCGTTTTGTTTCTTGTTACATTCCTTGCTTTCGGGTTCAATTAAGTTATGAACGTTGTAAGGGACGAACGTGGTGGATGTGAATCACGCCCGCGCGTCACGCGTCAACACGCGAATCTGCTACCCTCTTACCATGACATGGTTCTCAACGGTTCTTTATTCCGACTGGTTATAGACGTGTTTTCTTCTTTCCGCAATGTGCTCATCGCCTCTGTCGCCCTGCGTATTGCCCTCATAGTATATAGCGAATGGCATGACGCACATTCCGCCGTGAAATACACCGACATAGACTATCGCGTCTTCAGTGATGCAGCACACTTCATCCTCCATCCCAGTGCAGGGAACGTAGCACAGGGACCTCTCGGACAGTGGTTGGGCATTGGCGAGTGAATGTCTTTGCTTGCGTGCCATCGTGGCTCTTGCTGACGCGGTGTGATACCCATGTAGCCCATATACCAGGCAGACGTATCGCTATACCCCACTTCTTGCTCTCTTACTCATTCCAAGTGAATGGCTACACCCGTCCTTTGGAAAATATGTATTCGCAGGCTGCGATGTTCTCGCTGGTATCTTGATATACAACCTCCTGGTATCCGTCATACTGCCCTCAACGCCTGTGTCGACCACGAAGGATATCAAGTCGAAGCAGGAAGTCGCACAAGATGCAGCTACTTCAATGACTCGCAAAGCATCACTCTTGGCTTCCGTACACCTCTTGAACCCTCTCGTTTTCTCCATCTCAACCCGTGGTTCATCGGAATCGGTCCTGTCACTTTTCGTACTCGTCACGCTTTATTTTGCCCTCAAAAGCAAGTGGACCTTGGCAGCGATATTCCTTGGACTTAGTACACATTGGAAGATATACCCGTTCATCTACGGGGTTGCGTGTCTTGGTGTTATTGGGAATGAGCATGGGGTAGCGAAAGGATTGAAGGGTTATCTTGGAGGTATCATCAACTGGAGAACGTTTCAATTTGTGTTCATTAGTGTGGCGACTTTCGCGTTTTTAGGTGTTGCTATGTACCTTGTGTAAGTACTGACTGTTTTTTCACTGGCGGTGTGCTTATGACTGAGAGTCTATCATCTGCAGATGGGGTTACCCATTTCTGTATGAATCCTATCTCTACCACTTGCAAAGACGGGATCATCGACATAACTTCTCCCCTTACTTCTACCTCATTTACCTCACCTATCCATTCCCAGGGGTTGTGGCTCCAGAGCTGTCAGTCTGGCGGAAATTTATCAGATCGCCATTGACGAGCTTCTTGCCTCAGATGATCTTGTCTCTCGGAGCAGGCTTTCTCTTCGGTCGAAGCAAACGAGACTTGACGTTTGCCTGGTTCATACAGACGTTCGTCTTTGTGATCTTCAATAGAGTATGCACGTCGCAGGTATGTTGCATTGTTGCACCATCTTGGCCACAATACTCATGCGTTTCGTAGTACTTCTTGTGGTACACACTCTTCCTCCCGCTTCTCATTCCTCAACTCTCGATTACACCGCGTTGGGCTCTGATCTACACGACAGTATGGCTTGGGACACAAGTTCTATGGCTCAGCGAGGCCTATAAGCTTGAATTCCTTGGAGAGAACGTATTCTTCAGTCTATGGGTGAGGGGTATGATCTACATGGCGGGACATTCTTGGGTACTTGCTGGGATCATGCAAGCGTATCGCGGCTAGTTATTTGTTACACACATTCCATTCCTCCCGAATATACAAATACATTGTCGCGAGCTGCCCTGGGATATCATACACCGCCTTGCATTAGATGTTGCATTTTGAATGGTATCATGAGTGCTTGAGTTGTCCATCGATGATATCCTTTGTGAGTGATTCTGCACCATCTCTCACTTCTATGACTTTGCTCACATCCGCCTGTAGACCGAAATGAATATGACGCACGCCTGTCAACACGATCGAATATTACGTACCGTTGCCTGGAAATCGAGGAATGCACTTGCGTGCAGCGTCAGTAGGCTCATTTCGCTTGACCGGGGTGCCCAATTGATGAGAACGAGAGGGAACGACGTCCTGCCGTCATCATGTTTCAACTCATACGAGAGCACGATGTATCTAGGTGCATTCTCGGGGAGCTCTGGAAAGAGCATTGACTCTATGATCGACCATTGTAACGTCCTAGCTATATAGTAGGCGTACCTTCGGCCAAATCGTCGATACTGATATTGTCAAATTGCTCGACCTCCTCCATGATCAACTTCTGTTTGTGGATCTTCACGATTATGGCTGCGCTGCCTGCATTCCGGCGAGCAAACCTGAACTTCCGAAGGGATGTCTTGAGTTCCTGAGGGATGTCAACTGTGTGGGACTGTTGAGAATACGATCCGAATGATCAGAGGGTCATGTTGAGGGGTCTGATTGTGCTCACCATGGCGGGAAAAAGGAAAAGGACAAGTATAAGTACAGCAGCCGACGGTGTAAGCGTGGCTCAGCCGAGCGTAATAGGACGCAATGTAGCCGAGACTACTAATACTTATAAAGTCATTATCATAGCGCCCAATCGTTCTACTTACAACATATTGTAAGCTTATGCGCGGCGTACTCGGATGCACAGTGTTCTATACTTGGAATCTATGCACGGTCTGCCGCCACGCTCTGACAGTGTTGATGATAACACCAAGAAGTGCCATGCGAACTCTCCAATTCGCATGGAAGACACGTCCCATATATGTTTCATCCCTCAACCGCCATCTACATGTTAGTACACACACTTTAGGACTGACAACATGTCCACCTCCAGAGACTCTTCGAGACTCAGAGCAGGCCCCAATTCGCAATCCCATTCCACACCTGATGTTTCTAGGAACAATTCTGGATTTATACCCCCCGAAGCGGTGGTTTTTCCTGAGGGTCCGATAAGCGAAAGCACTGCTGAAGCCTTGCATGAATTCGTGCACCCACATCATCATACAGATGAGACTCTGGTTGAAGAAACCATCGAGGAACATGATGCCGAAGAGCAGCGGAAGAAGTTGCCTTGGTGGAGGCGGCCTTCCCCATGGTGGTAAGTGAACGTAGAACGTACTATTAGGATGGGCGGACGCGTTCTCGTACTAAACATCCTTAATGTGTTGTAGGTTCTTCGCGCTGATTCCGTTTACAGCCATCGCTACCGCCGCGACTTTGGCTCCTCGCATTGAGATTTACACTAAGCTCATTTGCGAAGTATATAAACCCGACCTTTCAAGTCCACGAGAAAATGAATCCTATACCGCTCTCAGTTCATTCCCCTCGATGTATGATGGTAAGTTGGTGTTCACAGCTTGTCATATCTCGGTGTTCTCATGGATGGAGCACAGACGGAAACCAGAAACGATGTGCCGCAGATCCAGTAGTACAAGCTGCAGTCGCGCAGCTCAACATGATTATCACGACTTCCGCAGGTATCATGGGCTGTCTAACTACTGGGTGGTGGTCGTCGGTATGTCATCTTTCATGACGAGTATGAAGTCTTGATGGACGCTGAGAATCTGCTTGTTAGCTCTCCGACCGTTATGGTCGTCTGTGGGTGATGGGGATATCTGCTTTCGGCTTGATATATGCAGATGTGAATTTCATCTTGGTGTCAAAGTTTTATCGTCTCCTTCCCGGCGGATATTGGGCCTTCATTGTAGGCAATTTGGTTGATGGTATCATGGGTGGTATGCACAGTGGTGGCTATTTAACGGCGACAAGGTTCTGATTGGTGCATGTTTACCCAGGTTTACCAACGGTGTCCGCCGCTATTCATGCATATGCTGCTGACAGTACGGAACTTCATGGAAGGTAATTCGCAAATTTCATCTGTGTCGGCAGCGCAACCATTTACCATCATGTAGAGCGCGAGCGTTTGCCCTATTCGTGGGTCTCATGTTCTTCGGCACCGCAGTTGGTCCTACTATAGGTGGTCTCCTCGTCACACACACCCACAATCTACTCACCGTGTTCTACCTTGCCGCCACCATCCACGTTTTCTACACGATACTGATCTGGTTCGTCGTACCTGAGTCACTCCCCAGGAGCGCTATGATGAAGTCTCGAAGAGTCCATGCTGAACGACTAGCGGAGATTGCTTCTGGTTCACAACCGGCCGTTTCTTGGCTTAGGCGCATATTTGGGTTCTTATCACCTCTGAATGTGTTCATGATCCAACCTGTGGATCAAGCTCAAAATCCGCTCAAAAGAAAGAAGAGAAATTGGAATTTGCCTCTTATTGGTTTGAGCTATGGGTTTTCGACCCTGCTCTATGTGCGTATATTGGGTGTTGCTTCTTATTCACAGTTTGCTGAAACCCACATCAGGGGTCATACAACTACAAATTTCAATATACTTCTGCTGTCTGGGGTTGGACTTCAGAACAGGTTAGTTTCAAAGCCCCGTTCTGAGAACAACTAACAGATACATCCTTTGATCTTTATCTTTTAGATTGGCTATTGGTTAAGTGTCGTCGGTGCTACGAGGGCTATCTATCTTGCGGTTATCTTCCCTGGCATGTTTCGTCCGTTCGCCTTTTTTTGTCATGAGACTGATATGTGTACATTAGCTATCATACACTTCTTCAAGCCAAAGGCTCGTGCTGTCCAGCTTCCCACTTCCCCTTCAGAACCTTTGTTATCTTCGTCTTCCTCCGACGAGGCTCAGGCTCAGCAGCCGTCCAGCGGCTCATCGTCAACCTTACAATCCTCTTCATCCAGTTCCGCGTCGTCTCATTCAGCCTCTCCAAGCGTCCAATCTCAAGCACTCCGTTTCGACCTAACGCTCGCTCGTATTTCACTCTTCATCGAGTTGGTCGCATTCGTCGCCATGCCTTTCTCGCCTAACCCAATCGTCTTCACTGTGTTCACCGTGATGACTTGCTTTGGCGCTGGGTACTCTCCTGCGATTCAGAGTGTCGCCTTGATAATGTATACTGAGAATGGAGGGGTGGAGAGTGGGAAGTTGTTTGGTGCAATCAGTGTGGTTCAATCGTTATGGTACGTCCCACATTCTCCCAACCCAGCCAAAAAGTGTTTCGTACATCACGGAGCAATATCAGTCATGTTGGAGTTTTGATTGACAGAAACTTTTTTTTCGCGTTGTAGCATCTCAATCATTGGCCCCGCGATTTTCGGCATCACTTACATGAAGACAGTGGCAACGATGCCAGCTGCGATCTTCTTCGTTTCCGGAGCGGTCGTCACTGCATCGTTCGTCGCTCTTTGGATGGTCCGTGTGCCCAAAGTGGCTGGTGGTAAGGATGTATTTGATGAGGAAGACGTTCTGGGTGGTGGTACCGTTGTGCACTCAGCTCCGAGGGAGGAGACTTTGGTCGAGGTAGACCCTCCACCTCGTATTGAGGTCACTTCGCCGACCTAAGCTTCGTAGATGTCTATACAAGCCGCTTGATGACGGTAAGTTTTTTTGAGTATCGTCAGGACTCGGATGTTTCCACATGCCTCTTTTACACATACTGTTGGCTTGTTAACCTTGCAATCCTCTTCCGATATAGTAGAACTACTGTAGATCAATAAATACCATAAATATGCTATCGCACTACACATTATACATGAACAGTATAAGATCACAACGACGAGCACAAAAACAAGAACATGACCATTGTATGCGCTGTATATGAGTCTCACTCTCATCCATAGCTCAAACTCCATTGGGACCTCCACTCGTTTCGTTCCCTCCCAGTCTCACACCACCACCGGCACTCCTCCACCTCCACCAACCACAAAGCCCGAAACTAATCATGCCTAATAATCCAGGACCTGAAGCAAGAAGCGTGAAGAACCACCACGTGTATCCGATGATGCGGTCTAGAGTACGGCCAACGTATTTCTTGAGGTTGGCTAGGGGGTCTGGTTGGGGGTGGAAGGTGGGTGGAAGACGAAGGAGGGGTATTGGAGTAGGTTGTGGCAATAATGGGGTACGGGAAGAAAGTGAGGATGTGGATGTGGATGGCAAAGTAATCTGTGATGAAGATGGGATTGGGCTTAAAGTTGAAGGTTGAGAAGGCGGGAGCAGGAGGACAGAGACGATTGGTTTCTAATTGATCAATCGAAACGGCATTAGTATCAGCAATTGCGGAGATAGGAGATGTACCTACATGATCTGAAGCAGTGTAAGAGGGTATCGAAGTGTATAACGCATTTGTGACGGTCGAGTGTTGTGGGGAGTCTGGGGAGTCTGTGTATGTTGTGTACATGATTCTATCGGTCCAAGCGGGCATTCGCTTCAAACTGCATAAACAACTCTGTCAGTATACGCCCACGCTCCACAACAAGGGGATAAGATAAGCGAGTCAAGCGACAAGCCGCGGTGTAAAGTCTGGTAAAAGAAAGAATGACATACTCGTATTGGTCTACCTCTCCGAGTTGATACTTGTAAGTGCACTTCATTTTCCAAAACTCACCCTCCCTCAACCCAATAAATATGCTCCCCTTTTCGTCTCTCTCCCGAGACAGCTGGTCGTACTTTATCAGCTTGTGTCTCTGACCTTCTTGAATATTTAAATTCCTCGGATCAGGAAGCGAGTCAGTTAACCTGAAATTGAGGTCACCAAAGAAGAACAAATGGGATGTCGAATACATTGTCGTTGGTTTCGTGGAAAAAGAGCCGGGGAGGGGAGGAAAGAGGAGGGTGCCGACTATATGATGACAATCTGCGATTCGCCGCGCAAGGTTATTTGTATGCGCTGTCAAGTGTGCACACACGAACCTATTACAGGAGGAAAAAAGAAACAATGTATTTTCTCAACATACAGCAAATCATATAGTACAAAGACCGTCCCTACGTACGTATAAACCTCCCCAAGTCCGTCGTTCTCTCCTCGTACACGAAACCTAACGCCCACGGCACCCTTGTTCCCCATATACATGGGACCACAGCCAGTCCATTGGGTATGAACATCTTCGACACGTCGTGCGACGCCGTCATCTCTGCCGTAGACCAGCAAAGCGACGCCAACGTTGACTACTTTGGCTATCAGGGAGTATTTCTCCTTGTTCGGAGCATGTTGTTCTATTTGAGAGAGGATGAGGGCATTGCGGTTCTCGATTACTGGCTTGGAAAATCCCGATACTATGGAACACGGAAGAAAGCAATATGGAAGTCAGTACAAAAGCTTGAGCCCAATGATATGACGTCGATCGTTATATAGTTCTCTAGAGCATTGAACACGGAGAGCATTACAGGAGACCGATACCACTCACGTCCAAGATGCAATGGAATCAATTCCTGAAAGCCCACCGCAACGATATCTGGTGCACGAGGATCCTGAGAAAGAAAGCTGGCGACTTGGAGAGTTGGGGCTAGCCAGTCTACCAAGTCCTGCGGGAGGCCGCGGTCAGCTTGTAGATTAGTGTTGTACGAAGCTATCTGAACAAGAAGGCGTTCGCCTGACTGCATTGTGGTAGACCCAAGATACGTAGCTACGAAAGCAACAGCAAGCCGTGCCGACGGCGAACTTGGGGAAGGAGCGGCGTTTACGTTTTAGAAGACTCGATCATCCGCTCTGGATTGGGCAGTCCCTACCGTCTTTCGGATTCTCTTTCCCGTCTCTCGGTGGTCTCTTATTCTTTCACTGCGTTGACGACGTCTTCAACCTTTTCATTCCGTACACGTTTATTACGGTTCGGTCCTTGTGGCCGGACCAAGACAATTCTGTTACTTTCTTTTTACCATCCACATTCGCCTTCATCAAAGGAATTCACGAAGGTGTTGTTGCAATTCAAACCCCAGCAGGCGCAAGCGCATCCGCAACGACGTAAGCTTTGACTTAAGGCGCATTTTCGTCGCGCGTATTAGAGCACACAATCATGCCCCGTTATCGTTGTATGGTAAGTATCCCATTTATAACGAAGGCGGCACGATGCCTATGCCTCTTGTTCTACATCGAATTTATTGTTCTTGCTAGTGGTATGACGGCGAAGGCCACCCGATTAGAGGAGGATGTAAGAGGTTCGCGAGCTGTGACTTCGTTCATCCCAGTGAGGCAGGATGGGATGCTGCCATACCATCCAAAAACAAACCATTCGATGGACCTAGGAACCCTGCATCTGGTTTCCCGGCTACTTCGACGAACGCCTCGGAGCTTGGAAAACGTTCTACTCCCTGGGGCGCATCAAGCGATCCGCGAAAGCGACAGGCTTCTGGCCAAGAAGATAGTTTCGGCGCCGGTGGCTGGGGCAGCACTGACAGTGATAAAAATAAGACCGACAGTTCATGGGGCGGTGGAGGCTGGGGTAAGTCTCACCATATGCAAGTAATATATAAATGTGCTTAGCCCATTCTTTTGGCAGGAGGTACTTCTGCGAGCAATGACTCGGGCGGCTGGGGTGCGCCGCCTGAAATTGATTTCGGCTGGGGAGTCCCTCCAGAAAATGATTCTGGGTGGGGCTCTGCGTCGGGGTGGGGAACGTCCGCAGGCTGGGGAGAGCCATTGCCGGCCACAAACACCGGCGGATGGGGAAGTCCTTCTGGCTGGCGTGATGCAGAGAAAGACACGGGTAAAGGCAAGGAGAAGGAGCAGGTACCAGTTGTCGACAACAGGCGATCTGGATGGGGCGCTCCGTGGAATCCTCTTAACAGCCCAAAGAGAGATGACGCTCTTGCAAGGGACATGGTATCTACGACCGGTGGCGGCAACGGCTGGGGCGACCCAACTGCTACCATGGCCGGCGTAGAAGAAGGGCGGGCAGACCATGCACCAGCAACAACCGGTGCTCCTCCGCTACGATCCCCAAGGAGAGAGGACCCTTCTGAAGAAGATGCGTCGGAAACGCCCATAGCGCAAAACGAGGAAACGTCAAGCAAGGTCAAGGCGCCGGTAGCACCTCTGTTCGACACGGTGGAAGACGCACATAAGGATGTGGACTTTTCTCTGTTTGATGCGAACCAGCTCCACGAGAGGTTTACGCTTATCAGGTCCATGTCGCCCTCAGAGCGGTCAGATGTGTCTTCAAATGCTTCAGAAACAGACAGAAAGACAATCTGGAATACATACATGGGGTAAGCGCCATTTTGACTGACGCCCATGCATTGGTTCGCTCATCCTAGGATCCTGTCATCTAGGCAGCTCATACGGGCGTCGCGATACTACGATAAAATGCAGGCTGTGGAGAAGCAGCGCAAGTTCAACCGCGACCTCAGGCACTCCAAGTACTATAAAGGCATACCTGAGGATTCCGCCGCATACCAAAAACTCGTCAGTCTGCGCGAGGAGGACGAACGGAAATACCAATCGGCCAAGAAGAAATTATACCAAGCACTTGAAGCGCTCATTGAATTGGAATCCCCTGCCATGACTGTAGGTTTGAGCGAAGACGAACAGGCCAAGGCCGAAGAGACAAAGAAATACTTGCAAGAAACACACGAATGGATCGAGTCCATTCGTCCTTTGGCCCAGAAGATGAAGTCGGAATCGCCGGCGCTTACAGTTGATTCGAGTGCCACCACACCTGGTCAAAAACGTCGCAGGTCATTCGCTCTCACAAACGACACTATGGCCGATCTGCGAACTCACATAGACAAGCTCACAGGCAAGCTCGACGATCTGGAGGAATATTTTCATTCCGCCATCCTCGATCATCAACAAGAACAATACCAATTACAATTGATGGACCGGTTCGAGGCCGCGTCTGCTATGGTGGACGCCGTCCCGACTGACGACTCTGACATGCTTGTGCTCGCGGCTGAGGAAAAGATGCGACCTATGGTCAAGAGATTCGAAGACAGGTCAAATCAACTTTCGGCAGAAATGGCCGCGGTCCGCGCTGAATTTGAGCCCTGTCGGGCCACGCTCGAGAAGGGCAGAGTAGAGCAATTGTCGTTGTTGCAGGAGAGGGCGGAGTTGAGACATATTGTGTTTACTGTCAGTTTTCTGTTCTTTTCCTATATGATGTCCAACTTATACAATTGTTATTCGCAGGTTTACAAAGAGAACACCCAGATGTCATCTACTGTCCAAGATCAAAATAAATCCATTGAGTTCCTCAAAGCCGCAGTCGCGCAGATCCAATCCCAACCGCCTCCACCAGCTCCCCCCAGCGCACACGATCTCGTCGAAGAGCTAAAACATGAGGTCGTCGCCTCGTGCCGAGGAGACATGAAGTTTACATTTGAGGAAATACAGAAGAACGTTCAGGTGGCCATGGCGGAAAACTCAAAGCAAGCTGTGGGGAGCGTGTGGAAGACTATGCATCCGGCCTTGGTCTTGATGGAGCAAATACAGAATTTCGTGGCAGAAGAGGCGGAGAAGGTTTCGCAGGCGCAGATGGGAAGGGCGCAGAATCAATCCTCGGGTGCTGGCCCCTCTCAGTCCGCTTCGACGGCTCCTTTGTGAAAGCCATGCACCCGTAACTCGTCCTATGGTGTTTTCCTTGTTTCCTTGCTACTGGCTTATTGTACGCCTTGCTCTAATAATCCCTCTTTGATTTTGTTGACTTTCTTGCTGATTTTTCGTTCCTATTGTGCATCATGCTTTGTCTATCTCGCTTTTGCTCCCCGCCCACAAAGTGCATATGTTTATGATATGCCTGTATACACATGCTTCTATGTTGGCCTCGCTTGTCTCTATAGCTCATTTTCTTGCTTCTTGGTTTATCATTTACCCGTCTGGTGTGTCTATAGCAGTAACTACAAAAGTCTCTCGTGTTCATAGGTGTAGGATTATGTTACAATATGATGAATTTACATGTCCGTATAATTTGGGGAGTGCCCTGCTGCTCCAAGTGTTCATGTAGGCTACGTGATAATAAGTAAACTAGATATTCTCGTCTACCCCTCTCATACGCAGCCGCATGTGTCGACGTCGGGCGAAGTTCCAAGAGGACAACTCGAGACTGCGAAGTCAACAGGTCAGTATATTCATCATCATCAAACCATGCTTATAGTAAATTGAAGCAACCCACCATCTCCAAACGCAACCAACCCAAACTGAGGACCCCCAAAGATCCCAGGGTCCACACCAGGCAACTGATCATTCACGATACCCACCAACTCCTGATTCCTCGGCGCTTTCTGGCAGAACGGCGTCGAAGGGATCACATCCAAGATGTCAAGTGCATTACGAGGATGTTTTCTATATGCAATAGCATTCGCAATCAACGCATCGCTATTAGTCACGCCAGGCGACTTGGCAAAGTCAATCATCGCATCCGCATTGTCTTGTTGGTCGCAAGGGTCGGCGTTCGCGAGAAGGGCGTTGATTCCGTTGATACCAGCGAGGATAACGCAGGGTTCGTCAGTGAAAATGTCACCGCCGCTCACGAGCTTTACATCGCATGAGCCCCGAGGTCAGTAAATGGTCTGAGAAGGGCGGGGGAGGAATTGGGGATGAGAACTTACACAGAGATCTTGCCACGATTGAGCTACAGCAGGTAAATCATCCTGAGCAATTCGTTTCGTATTCGTGTTATTGGAGTTGACAGAAACGAAAGGTTGGGTGGTAGTCACGTCGGTCGCCACAGGAAGGGCAGAGCTATCAGTTACACTCGCAATAGAGCTCGCAGACGAGTTATCTGATGCAACAGCGGCGGTCGCACTGACAGAATCAGTCGTTGCGCTGAGGGTTGAGTCAGTAGGCGTGGTGCTGATGTCGGAAGAAGTGGAAGATGGATCAAGGAAAGTTGTGTCTTGTGATGGGTCGGCGGAAAGGGTGGACGATGGAACCAACGAAGGGTTATTCGCTTTTGCCAAGCACGCTGGTGGAGGTGTAGGCACTACGAACACGATTGAACCAGTAGGAGACACGTCCGTAGCGGTCGTGCTATCCGTCGCAGTCACCGAGTCGTTATTGGTATCCACGCTGTTTGCATCCGTGGGATCCGTGATAGTTGGATCAGTGGCAGATACTGTGTCAGTCGGCGGGATGGTTGCAGACGCCAACACACTGGAATCCGTCACAGAGGGAACGATCGTGGAGGGATCGTCCGTGAAGATAGAAAACGATGGTATGTCGTCCGTAGGTGAAGGAAAGGATGAATCTGTCAAGGAAGAATTACTGGAAGGATTACTATCGGTAATGGTGTCGGTGGCAGAAGGTAAAGCGTCGGTAGCGGTACCAGTGATAGATGGCGTCGAATCGTCGCTTGAGATAGCACTGAAGCTACCAGCACCGATCGCTGCACGATCAACCAAAGGCATGCTGAATAGAAACAGAAACAGATCGTTAGAAAGATACTTGGCATTGGAGACATTGTGGCTTACCCTCGAGCAATAGGCCGCGCTTCAACCCCGATTGCGGCCAATAAGCCAGATATAACGAGAAAGGTGAATAGTCGCATTACTGGAAAAAGAATGAAAGATGAAAAGCGACCGGTGCTGGAGAAAGATAAGGACAACGAGGGAAGGAACGAAGAAAAGGAATGCCGAAGTCAACGAAGGAAGAGTAAGAGCAACCGGGCTCGCCAACCGTAGAAGAGAAACAAAGGGCGAGGGGCCATACGAAGTATCTCTTATATGGCAGAATTGGGGAGGTAGCCATTTGGCCTGTTGGTAACCAGAGACAGTGAGCGCAGGACGGAAGACACATTCGTCTCATGAATGTCAGTACACGACATCTGCCATTCAGAACGTTAGTCTGTATGAATTGGGTGGCGTGTACAGCGCGAATTGCACTGATATTGTGGAGGATATTGGCCGCTCAGTATTGCCTAAATGTGACGTCTGTCAATCAGACGGACCTGAGAGAAAAGTGAGGTGAATAGGACGGTTGCTCATACCTTAGAAGAAAATCCATGGGATGCACTACACATCACAAGCTTATAGGTAGCTTATATTGAGAGGACGAATACGAATTACCATTACGTGTATCACAAGAATCGGGCGCCGGTGGATTGTCGACCAGCAGTACACTCCAGCGCTGCAGCGCCTTGAACAATCAAAACGAAAATGGGATGTCTATTCGATGGGCACAAATGGACTGCGGCGCTTCGAAGGAGCGACGATAACAGGAGGGAACTCTTTGGCCAGTTCCGCGGTGCCCGCAGGGAACGGCAAGTCATCCACATGTTTGGGTAGGACCTTGTCAAAGTTACCCTTGGCATGGTTAACCTGTGCTATGTGAGTCATTTTCTTCTTCGCATCTCGGACAAGAACATGTGCATCGTCTACGCCTGAGACACATCCTTTCACGTAGATGAGGTCAAGGGAGGTGTCGATGCGGACCACAGTGAGGTTTAGCGTTGTCCTACGAACGCCACCCATGCGACCAGCCATCTTTTTGCCTGGCCAAACACGGCCAGGATCCTGTCATAATGGATCAGACAAATGCTTCAGAAATTTATCAAAAATACGTTACCTGATGGGCACCAATAGCTCCCGCTGCACGATGCGATGCTGAGACACCATGACTCGCACGAAGACCCTTGAAGTTCCACCTCTTCATGGTCCCTTGGAAACCCTTGCCGAGACTGCCGACAAGTTCGGAAAAGCACGATCAACAAAAAGAACAGACAGCAAGACGTACGAATTTGCGACGACGTCAACAAATTGACCGGGAACAAAGTGTATGGCAGACAATGTCGTGCCTTCAAGCACAGCACATCAGACGACACCAATGTGTATAAAAGGTGGCCGACGTACCGACTGGGACATGAGCGTCGGGTGTCACAGGGAACTCCTTCACAATACGCTTAGGCGAAACGCCTGCTTTCTCGAAGTGACCAAGCATCTGAGCAGTAGTCGTCTTTTCAGGCCTATCACTTGCTGCAACTTGAACAGCATGATATTCCGTGTTGTCTGGTCGAACAGTCTTAACGTTCGCGGTTACTTGACAATCTTCCACCTTGAGTAGAGTTAAGTCAATAGAAATGATAATGGATAAGTATTCTTACTTGGAGGACTGTAACAGGAACACGGGCTCCGTGATTATCCCACATAGCAGTCATTCCGCGTTTTCGAGCAATTAGACCTGTTCGTACAGAGTTTGGTGTCCATTTTGATGTCACCGGTGATGAAGTACTTGCGGAGGCAGCAGCATTATTGGACACAGTTAAATGAACATGCCGAGATCCAGGGAGATGTATATGCTGCCTGAGGCTCCAGAGCCTGAGCATTGTTTGCAGCTGGAAATGGCTCGAGGTCAGGACTGTTCCGAAGCGGGCGCTTCAGGATGGACGTAGCAGATGCATGAGCGCCCAGACCCGTTATGGAAAAGCGGGAGTTGTTGGAGCGTCATCAACAGGCAACAGGCAACATAGTTGCAGCAGAAACAAGTGCGTCCAATTGCATTTTGAAACTATGCCGTTTTGCATTTAATCTACTGTCATTGGATCAGGAAGCATATGAAGGAACTCGAAATGTATACTTACTAGAGTCTGTTTACGGTATACAGTATAAACCAGGCTTTGACGATGGCGTAAGTCTAAAGAGACTAGGCAATCCTCGCTACTCACCTCTCTATAGTATATTTCATGGATTTCCGACAGCCCACTCGCTTGGACGCTGAAGCAACCGGGCGCGGCTGCCGATCCCCGAGTTGAGATCAGCACTCGTCCCGTTCCACAAGAACCTTGAATGGTATGTATCTAAAGATTATTTTGTGAAGATACGCGTGAGTTCTCATCATTTCTATAGTACCTCATTGCGAATCTCGGCATGTCCACGAACTTTGGATTTGTCGACGTCGAAAACTTGGACTTCCCGTCACCACGAAGGTTGATTAGACCGCGTCTATCAAGATCCCGACGCGCTCAACATTAACTGCGATCCTGAGGACTTCCCTACCGCCGCGTATATCAAGGAGTAGGTGTAATATCTACGTACTTTTTTCGTCTTGTACTAATCATACGTGTAGATATGACGAGGCATACACTAACGCCAAGTTGACCACCTGGAGGGGTGATTATAAGCAAGCTTTTCCGAATTTCTCGGTCAATGCTGAAATTTAGTCAGAAGCAACCTAAGCCACTGGTTCGACATTTCGGCGCCTTTTCCCCAAGTTAAGTCTTTACTTCTAACGACACGAAACAAACAGGAAAGGCTCGGCGCGGGAAAAAAATCATAAGGGCGAGTATCACAGACATCCCCTTCCATGCACATCCCAGGCCTATCGTGTTTTCATTAAATTTAATTGGCGCCGTACCGTCCCGGCTTTCTCTTCGCCTGTTGAGTTGTAGGTTGCGATGGACTGATACGCTCACTCTGGGCTGTATCGAGGTGTGTCATTATAGTGCTTTAAAGTTTAAACAAAAATGTTGAAAACCCTACCGCTGGTCGATTGCATGCGACAACGCCTTGCATGATGACTGTCATGCACGAGCCGTCCCGAGGCAGGGTAAGTAGCAGACACTGGTGAATGGTTTAAGTCTCTAGTCTCGGTGTTGTCGAACCCAACAACCTTGACGACGAGTGACGGCTACCATTGTTAACTAATAGGCGGGATACTTTGTCTTCTATGATGCTTGATGGAACTTACTATGCTTCCTGCCATGCGTGAGACCGACGGGCACTCGAAGAAGATGAATAATAAAGGTCCCACATCGGAAGCGGGCGGCATTCAACTCATATACACCAGCTGTAAATGTATTCGACTGCATAACATCGTTCTAATTTGTCACCAGGCCCCGTTGCTGTTCGTAGGAATCGGTACCGTCTAGTCGCTCTTTACTGAAGGCCGCAAACGCCTGCTTCTATCCTTTTGCTATACCTCTGTGACCTATGGCACACAGCTCCCATACACTTCATCTTCGGGGAGATTCTAGGTCCAAAAGGTCTTCGCTCTTTGTATCTCCCCTTGTTCATGCAACATCCTCTGGGGTGCCACCTGTGCATAGTGTCGCGAATTCACCTGCGCTGGTCAGTGTGAAACATTCTTTTCAAATGGATGTGACCTAAGTTCAATTTTTTTTCTACAGAAGGACGTCTGTTATGCCTCGTCCCTAGGCGACAAAGAGAGAAGACCACTTCCGTCTTCTCTTGCGGACAAGGTAACATCTTTTCATCTCCATGGTATTGTCTAAGCGTGAGCTGATTTTGACCAAAGTTCGCACTGTCTCCCGACCCGTCTTCTTGGGGCAGTCATGTGTCGATGGATATCCGCGAAGCAGATGATCACCTCCATAACCCAGATCCTAGGCGAGACAAGAACTTCGATCGAGGAGGTATTGTTTTCAGCGGTCGCGGTGCAGCAAACCTGGGTTGTCTGCTATTCCTTTGTCTCGGAATAGTAACTCTTTTGTACGTCTAAGAGCTAAGGTGCACACCACCATATTAACAACGGCCTCATAGTGCGGGCTGGCCTCTTATCGATCACTTTACCAGGAACCCTATTTCTACTAATGGCGGATTCAACTTGGGAGGCATCAATGCTACTGGACAAGTGAGTCGTCATTTCTATATATTGTGAGCTTTCTCTGACTTCTCGCAGGTCCCTTCAATGGCAGGAAATTGGGGACTCGTAGACTTAGACACACCGCAGGATGCCTACACCAAGCCAGAACATGTCACCGGCAAAGAGTGGCAACTTGTTTTCAGTGATGAATTCAATGTTGATGGTCGCAGCTTCTATCCTGGTGACGACCCATATTGGGAAGCTGTCGACCTCCACTATTGGCAGACGAACAATATGGAGTGGTACGATCCAGCCGCTATAACAACTCAAAACGGCTCCTTAGTGATCACTTTATCCGAGACACCCAACCATGGGATGAATTACACCGGTGGAATGATGGCATCTTGGAATAAGTTCTGCTTCACAGGCGGTCTGGTGGAGGCATCTGTCGTTTTGCCTGGTGTTAACAACATAGTGGGTTTGTGGCCTGCTATATGGACCATGGGCAATTTAGGGCGTGTTGGATACGGCGCCAGTCTCGAAGGCATGGTAAGGGGTTTCTTCGATCTCACTTTATGTGTTTGAAACTGACGAGAGTCCTCCTGTTAGTGGCCTTACACCTATGACGCCTGCGACATCGGCACTCTTGCCAATCAGACGGTCAATGGGCTTCCGGTCGCTGCTACTATTGACGGAGACCCTCAGGAAGGAGGAATTTTATCTTTTCTACCAGGACAACGACTCTCTCGATGTACTTGCCCTGGAGAGTCACATCCTGGTCCTGTGCATGCCGATGGCACTTACGTTGGTCGAGCCGCTCCCGAAATTGATATGTTCGAAGCACAGGTATAACACCGGTTTATACTTCTGTTGAACGGGCTAACGACGGCTTTTCTGCGATAGATCACCGGTGAACCGCTGTCTGGCCAAGTCTCACAGACTGGTCAGTGGGGGGTATGTTCACTATGGGTTCTCTCGTATACTTTCACCTAACCCTTGCTATTTTTGCAGCCTTTCAATGCACAGTATGAATGGTTCAACAACTCCGACACTTTGTTCATTGCCGATCCGTCCAAGAGTTACTTAAACCCCTACGTGGGTGGTGCTTTCCAACAGGCAACATCAGTTGTAACAGAGACGAGTGTGTCCACATTCACTTTTGAACTCCTCCCTGTCCGTTTTACTAAGCCGCCATCAGACGAGGAAGCGTATGAGGGTACCGGGAATGTGTACTCGGTTTATGGTATACAATATAAGCCGGGCTTCGATGACGCCGTACGTGTAAAGCGAAGAATATTCGCCTTCCTATCTGCTTACCTGTCTGTAGTACATCTCCTGGATTTCCGATGGTGTACTTGCTTGGACGTTAAAGCAACCAGGAATGGCCGCCGATCCTCGAGTCGAGATCAACTCTCGCCCTGTTCCACAAGAGCCCATGGTATGTGCCTAATGAATGTCCTCCAAAAATTTGGACAACGCTCAAACCCGCTACAGTACCTCATCGCAAATCTTGGTATGTCGACGAACTTTGGATTTGTCGACATCGAACACTTGGACTTCCCCGTTACCATGAAGGTTGACTGGATTCGCGTCTACCAAGATCCCGACGCGATCAACATTGGCTGCGACCCCGAGGACTTCCCTACCGCTGCGTATATCAAAGAGTAGGTGTAATGTATGTGGACTCTTTGCGTATTGCGCTGACGAGATGTGTAGATATGAGGAGGCCTATACTAATCCCAATCTGACTACCTGGAGGGATGATTATAAGCAACCTTTTCCGAAGAATTCATTGCTTGGTCAATGCTGAAGTTTCTGGCAGGGCCTGAACGCAACCTAGTCAAGTTTCAGTTGTCACCTAATTTGGCATATGGTCAGCTATGGAGACTATTGTTCATCGGCACCTCCACTTCCTACATTTCCATATAAGACAGATATTAATAAAAGATCACTATTGCAGTAAGGCTCAAGAAAAATGGGCAGTACGAGGTCTACTCGAATCTCGACCGGCCCACGCCGATCTACTGAGAACTATCCTGTGTATTGGTGCTTCTGCATATCAAGAGATACGAGGTAGCAGAGGTCAAGGTAGAGGAAAAATAAAAATGAAGAGAAACACATTATATATGTGCAGAAAGCGAAGGGTCGAACAGGGTGGATGCAAGTACCTACTGTACATAGAGGTAAGTTGAGATGTGTGACTATGGTGCAAGAAGCTTATCTTATGGGCCTCCGCCCAGTCACCTCCAGCGGATGGGTAGGCGTGGGATTCAATTCTAGGAAGGAAACTTAGAAAAAGCCGCGTTTTCACGCATTTTTACTTTTTGGGCGCTTGTTTCAATTTTATTTGTGAAAAAAAGTTCAGCCATTCAGCTTGTAGATACTGCCAAGCAAAAATATATTCATTGAGAAACACAATGCCGCCACCCAACAAGAAGAAAGCAAAAGCAAAAGCTCAGCGAGGTGAAGCAAAATCATTCTGTTCTCTTCAGCCAACCCCAGCTGCAGATGGCTCAGATGAGAGCGAGTATGAATGGGTGAATGAGATATCTGACGATGATTTGGAGAGTGAAAATGAAGAGGCTACCATGCCATTAAGAACCCTCAATGAGTTGCTTCAGAGGATCAGTCCCTCAGAAGCCTCCACTTTGGTATGTTCATTATCTTGATAGCGCCGCCACATGAAGACTCACATGCAATACCTTCTATTTGAAGGATAAACAGCACAGGCTTACATTGCACAGTGCAGTATATACAGGCAACTCTCGTACAACTGCCTGGTGCAGAGGAAAGAAGATTGCAGCCCTTCAGAAGGCTGCGCAGGGATCGAAACCACTTACTTCATACTTTGTCAGTATGAACATGTCATCAGTTTGTGAGAATAATATCTTACCTATAGCCGGCATCCATGTAGAGCCTCGGAAAGTGCGCACGCTCACTCTTGGTAGAATCTGAGTTTTCGGATGATGAATTTGTATCGGAAATTATCAATACATTACCGGGAGAAGTTGGTGACGCAGGAGTCATTGATAGACTGGCAGACGAGCTGTTGCAAGTAAGTGACTGGTATATATCTCAATTGAGGAAGTTTATACTTACCTTGATGTTACAGTTATCACTTGAGGATACAGAGAATGTCCTTGCTGAATATCCTGAAGTCCACAGCATGGAATCCAAGTTACCATCTGAATTGGTGCTACAGGATGCAGAGTCTGGAGAGTCTCCCGATATTGCTCTGGCACGTGAGTGCTTGGAAGATGAGCATGATGACACTATCGAAACACCTGATATGTCAAAGATCGTCAGCCAGTGCATACATGCTCTGCAATGTGTGAAGCATCCCGGAAAATGGGTTGTAAAGCAAATCACTCAACTGACAGCTGTGATTGAGTATGTCAAACTGCGGGAACGATACAGGAGGAATCCGAAGTGTACATGGCCTTGCTTGACAGCAAACATAGCAGTAGCATGGAGCATGGGAAAAGGCTGGAAAAAGTACTCTTACTTTGCACATCAGATTCAGTTCAATGAGGCATATCTCATCAAACACCATTGCCTTCCCCCTTCAAAATGGAGCTAAAAAGGTGCCCAGTTTACGCTGCTTGACAATGAAGCTGTTCTCTTGGCAATTTGGAAGTATCTTGCCTTGCAGAATATCAGAGAAGTTACCCCTCACAGACTGTGCGAGGAAGTTAATAATACCATTTGTCCGGCATTGGGTCTGACAGGTGATGATGCTCATATTACGGAACGTACTGCAACCAATTGGCTTCTGAAGCTTGAATATGCCTGCCGTGATGTGAAGAAAGGCCTTTATTATGATGGTCATGAACGACCTGATGTTGTCGAGTCTCACAAAACTTTTCTTGAGGTGATAGCACAGGTGACACGGTAAGTCCTGCTCTTGTCCAAGGCACTTAATATTGTGCTGATATACTGAATAGAAAATCAATGACATATGACAACAAGACACTGGAGCCAATCCTACCTATTCTGGCTGATGACGAGAAAGAGCATGTCATTGTTCCACATGATGAATGCTTGTTCTCAGCCAACAATCAGCATCGCCATCTTTGGCTAGCTGGTGATCAACAACCTCTGCGAAAGAAGGGAAATGGACACTCAGTTCATGTATCTGACTTTATTCTTGAGCCTTGTGGCTGCCTGGCCCTTAATGCTGAAGAAATTGCAATGCAGGAGAAGCTCCCAGCTCACCTTCACTTAAAGACATATGATGCGCGCAAGATTATTTATCCCGGAAAGAACCATGACAAATGGTGGGACATTTCTCAACTTCAAGATCAACTTCGAGGTGCAATCGACATTTTTGAATTCAAGCTACCGAATAAAACTGGAGTGTTTGTATTTGATTGTTCTGCAGCACATGAATCCTTTGCGGCTGATGCTCTCAATGTAAACAATATGAATGTCAAACCCGGAGACAAGCAGGCACACCTTCATGACACCGTGATTCCTCTCAAAAATCCCGCACCTCAATCCGGTCAACCTGACACACGAGGACAACCACAATCCCTTATATATCCACTTAATCATCCAGAGTATCCCGGACAGCCAAAGGGTATGAGGGCTGTTCTTCAAGAATGGACATCAGTTTGGGAGAAGCTGTGCAAGGAAGCCAGCGGTGAAAAGAAAGTCATTGGTATGTGTAAAGTGTGCAAGATGAGTGAGAAGAAGAAAGATGCTTTGAGGCATCTCGCATTAGCTGAAATGGCTGGACAGGAGGACACTGTTGATGATGTCTTGCTTCAGCAGCTTGATGAAACTCGAGATGTGGAAGACTCATTGAATGAGTGGTGCTGCATGACAAGGGTTCTCGCTCTTCAAGATGATTTTGTGAGCGAGAAACCTCTCATCCAAACATACATTGAGTCCCGCAGTCATATGTGCCTCTTCCTCCCGAAGTTTCACTGCGAGTTCAATCCGATTGAGCTTTTGTGGGGTTACGCCAAGTATCGTGCATCCTTCATTGATTGTGATACTGTAGTGACATGACCATTTGTTCAGTCACGCATAACGGCACTCAAGAATGAACCAGTTTTTGCGTCCTGTCACACATCACAGGTACTCATGAACTCGCCCCCGGCATAGGTGTCACAGTCAATATTGTTGCAGAAATATGTCCTACGTAGTTCACATTCTATGGAATACTGTAATTATTCCCCAGAATTTCACCTACAAGAGGGAGAGTTGGTTGAATTAACTGTTCATTTAGAGCAGTCGGAATTTTGAGAGCGGCGGCAGTACAGTCAGATGGGTCGTCGCACTCCATGGTTGGTAGAATGTCGTTGGAGGTATGAATGAGTATATAAAATTTCTTGTGTCTATCTTTATTAGTATTATGATACATGGTGATGCTAATAATGGGTTTCAAAGCCACTGAATGATCAATAGTTCTACCTGTCTCCAGGCAATAAGTCCTAGCGCTAATGACCTGAACGCAGTGTCACACATCACCATCGCTCTTGAACTCTGATCTGTACTGAACTGGCCCTGTCACGCATCACATAGGCTGAACAAATGGTCATGTCACTACAGTAATCTATGTCTCAACTGAGCCTTCGCATTCTCAGGTTTCCGACTCGCAGCAGATGGGAAATTTACGACTGCTAAGGAACTTGTTCCCACCTGCCTGGACATGGCAGACACTCTTGTGATATGCCGCTTCTTCCATAGAGCATGGCGTTACATGGATGCATACTGGTATGATCCTTTCTCAATCATTCTTAATGCGACACAGTACATGTTTTATATATGGGATATAGGAAAGGCTTGACCCCGAACCAGGCGGCCTTTGCAAATAGGCTCTACAGGTCGCACCGCCGTGTGGGAAGCAAGGCGGAGGTTATGGAAGCAATGCAGGCTCCCAAAGAACGGAGAAAGGTTGGAAAATGACACGCGCAGCCTTCTTGCACTCGAAACCACTGTCTTCCGACCTTGGGGGACTTTTTCTCACCTTTGTTTCAAATTCTTCCCGGAAATTTTTTATTTCTCAGATTTTCGACAATCTGTTCAGCAAGGCTGTTTCACAACCTCAATAGAAGTCTATATCACTACTTAGAATCATGTTTACAATAAAGCCGACGGTAGAGATAGAGTTGCGCGTGGCGCCTCTCTCAGTTGTCGGTTTAGCGCTTCTTGCACCATAGGCTCAGGCTTCAGTACTTCAGTGCCGACCGGATTGATCGAGGTTGGGCGCCTATTTGAAATTGGAATCCGGCGGCAGGGGAAACCTGAGTCTTTTGAGTCTATTCCCTCCAATGGAATGTCCAGTTGGCCGACAATACATTCGAAGGAGGCAACATCCGTGCTCAGGAAGGGTAAACATAGGGAAGAAGCTTCAATTGAGGTCCAAGTCGCAGACTACCCCGTAGTTGAATATGGCGGATTGACTTCCGCTAATTTGAATCACGAAGGGCGTCGTTTGCACTGGACATTCCTCTCTGAAGAAAGGACAGGTACGCAAGTTCATGATATTACCTGAATGATGCTTACTTAGCGCAGACAAGAAACTGGTCCTTACTCGGGACGCTGTAAAGGTTTTCCCATCTACGAAATCTCTTCCTCACAAGTCTACATTGGGAATCAAACAGGTGGCGGAGCAAACGGTACGCAACATCATTCCAAATGCTATCTCCCTGGGCACTCAGCTTCTTCTCAGAGTCACTTTCTCCGTCTGCACTATCCGGACGTGGATCTTCCATCAGAAGTTATCAGAGACCACATAGCAGAAGATGCTCTCATCGAGAGGAAATTATCAACATTTGATCCATACATCGGGAATACATTGACCACGTTCTCCCGACCGACTGAAAGGGGAGAGTTAGCGTCCTATGTCGCTTTCCCAATGGGGGAGACTAGCTCCGAATTAAGTCAGTGACATTGCATTCTGGCGCCTTTCATTCGTTCTTAATCTCCGGCTAGACATTACGCCTCTGTTACACACCAAAGAGCATGGCATTACATTCGTTCCATCAACCTCTGCTACCTGGGCGTTTCCTATCCCCATCTTGCAACTCGTTTCCGAATCGAGAGGCGCAGAACTATCTACTACCAGAGCTGCAGGTACGTGATTTTCCTCTTCCACCCTTTCCGGACTAACCCTCGTGCAGGTACTGTGGTTGCTGCTAGGACGTACTCGTCTACATATTTTCTCGAGGTTGACAACAATGGAGAATCGTCGAAGCCGATCAAAGGTGAACTTGCCCAGATAAGACACTCAGAATCAGGGAATAGGCGAATCGTAGATGTTATGGTACCTCAAGAAACGCGCGAGACTCCTTCTGCGTTGTTCGTCAATGATCAAGGCACTATATTTGAATGCGAGCTCGCGAAGGGCAAAAAGACCGTGTATGTATCATGATCGCTTGTCTTCTCAAGAAGAATACTTGGTTTATCTAATTACTAGCCGAACAATCCTGGCATCACCTTCACCTGATCTGAACGAGGACTTCTTTCGTCTAACCCACGGATCTGAGGAAACCACCCTCTTTCTCCTGACAGGATCTCGCGTTCATTTGGCGGACTTACGAGTAAGATAGTTATTTGCTCGTTTCAATGGGAGGGACTGATGTGCGAATTCGCAGACGGCAGACTACGCTCAGGAGATTCATTGTCGAAAGTCCAAAGATGACTTCCTCACATCTCTAGATTATTCGTCAGATGATGGTCTGTTACGCGTATGCTCAACAAGTGAAGTACTTTGGATTGATCAACGTCACAGCAAGAAGCCGTTATTCTCTGTGAAGCATGGTCGGCGCTTCGATCGCCACTTGCAAGTGGATAGTATGCTATTCGACGATCGTACGTTTTTCAATGCTGTTGTTAATACTTTACTAAATTCTGTCTTAGGCCCCTTGACATTCTTAAATTCTCGTCGGAATGGATTGGTCACCGTCTATGATGTTTCACGAGGTGATGAATCGTTGGCGCACCTCTTTGTACCCCCATACACCCTTCCGTCACTGCAGGTGCCGGGCAGCACTCGACCTGGGCATGCATTTTTTCGTCATCCAGAAGACACGAAGGACAATGTGTGTTTCATACAGTTGTCAGACCGGGGGAGTGTACACCGAATGGACTTCCAGTATTCTTCTACTGCGTCGGGCAGCCCTATCATGTGTGACGGAGGTAGTGTGAAATGGTCTGAAGATGTGTACGAATTGGAGAAAGATCTAGAGAATCGACATGCTGAACCCGGACCTATGGGTGAACGCCGCTATGAAGAGACTGATCTTACGGATGCTTATACATGTAAGTTCGAACAGATAGATGGGACTGTCATGGCTGACTTTTGACCTCAGCGTTATTTTGTGGTGAGGATTCTGGCGACAACCCCAATGCAACCTACGACGTCCTTGATACAATGCCGGTCTTTTGGCAAAAACAAGAAGCGCCCGTAGAGCACATACTCACGACGTGAGACAACTCACCAGCTTCGTCTTTATCGGCGCTGACTATTCTCTATAGCTTTGACATAGCGTTTCGTTCAGGATCAGAGCCGAGAGATCCGTCGAGGGACGATTTCTTCACTGGCACGCCATTAGACTCGGTCAGAGGCTATCGAGCCTTGAAGCAGGGTCGTATTCCTCTCGAGGCGGTTATCAAACGATCTTCATCGCATTGGAACATCCTTCCCATTCTCCGGCATCTTGTTCCTGATGTGCATGAAGACACGGAAGAGCTTCTTCACAGGCTTTCTCGCTATGATCTAGCCTCAAGCGAAGATCGTCCCGCCGCGTCCTTCCGTAGGGAGACTGAAGCTCGCGAACAGCTAGCGTTGGACCTGGCATTATCTTCTGACCTTTTCTCTTCTCGGGTAGTCAAGACGGAGGTCGCTGTCCAGGAAGACGACTTCGAAACTGTTTCGCGGGCAACAGAAGCGATGTCGATCGGTGTCGCAGAACCCCCTGAGATGAAATTTAGGTTCCTGGACCCTATATCTTTGGAAGGCGAGGAAAGGGCCAGAAAATCTGACGAGAAAGCTGCCGAGTCGGAATCTGGAGGATTCTTACTACCTTTGGGCGTCAGACTCCTTCTTTCAGACTGGACAATTGGGACTGACCCTCAGGAGTACATGTACGTTGATCCATACGACGCATCGACCGCTCCGTCAATGCATACTATGCCCCGAATGCAGGAGAAGTCCAGAAAGCAGGCACCTCTACCAAGTGCTGCGACCGGCTCTCAAGGAGGGCAACCACAAAGGCCCCCTCCTGTCGTCGCAGGTCCCTCAGCCCCTCCTCCCATTGCATCCTCTCAGCTAGTCCATCCGCCACGCGTTCCATCATTACCACAATCCCAGCAAGTCCCGCCGCGTATGTTCAATGGTGCAAGCCAACCAACACAGGCTGGCCCTCCAATGTCACAAAATCATATGTCTATGCCAAGTACTCAAGTACTCCCCGGCCCATATGGAGGAAGGCCGGAGCCTGTGAAGAAGAAGCCTGCAAAGAAACGAGTCGGCGGTTTTTAGAGTAGATCAGGTGCTCGAAGTCCAAGTCATTTGGCTAATTTACTTTAGGAATCTAATTGTAAGTACCACATAATACCAAAGTACCACATTTTGGTTTGTATCTCAGTATACGTAGAGTTGTAAAAGAATTCATAACTTACAAGTTGTACGAAGAATGAATATTCTTCGGGAGTGAGACGGGATCTTATCTTTTTTGCGCGTAAGTTGAAAGTTTATCAGACGCATGCCAGAAGCGGTTGCAGAGGGAGATCGGCGGCGTGTTTGTAGAATGCATTTCATGACATCCAACGCCTCCCAATTGCGGCCGAGGCGCATTCTTCTTCTAACCTCCACTTTCATCCACCAACTGCTCCGTGTTCATCAACTTGGCTGCTTCAACGATACCTTCTGCGCGTGCAAACGCACGAAACTGGACTCTCTGCGGCCCAGTGACAGCATCCTATGAGTGAGGAAAGGTGATTCAAATTGAGTTGCACAAACCAGCCATACACGGTGTACTCATGCAGTCATTGTGAAACCCTTCTTTCTAGGCCGTTCAACTATCTGTTCGACTCGGCTGCGCTCAATGAGTCTCTCCGACGTACATATTCCTGGACTTGTTCAGCGCCGTAGTTCAGGAAATGATCGACGTTCGTTGCAGGAAACAAAGCTGTTGTGTGTGCCCTCTCGGCAAGCTATATCTCCACCTTTGCGGGATACCCAGTGCGTATTCATGTCTTCTACTGCATGAACCTGCGCTCATCACTGTTTATCGTAGCTGGACTCCATCAAGTCCAGGCTTCAGACCACCAAACAGCCGATCACTATCCCTCGGCTTGCTGCACTGGTATATCGTGAAGAGGGTCTCATAGGTTTCTATCGGGGACTATGGATACCCCTTATTACAATTTCGTTCGTTCGTACGTGCCATCCATACCTGTATGTCCTTGAACGTCATTAACTCAATCATTCCTCAGGTGCTGCTTCATTCACGATCTATACGCGCACCAAAGAATACTTTCGCGACCATCACTGGCTGACTCATAATAACATACTCCATGTTTCTACCACTGGAGGTATTGGGTGCGTGAAGTTATTGCAATTATGGCGAACATGATCGCTTGAGCTTGTCATATAGTGGTGCTCTGTCTGGTTCCTTGATCTCATTTGGAAGTGCTCGTGAGTCGCATTCATGTCTTGATTCCTGCCACTTCTGAACTTTTCCATTATTTTAGCGTTTGAGCTTGTCAAGGTACGCATTTTTAGATTTATATCCACTTCAGTCCATAAACGGGGCGCGCAGGTTCGAAGACAGCTGGAATACTCCATTGCTGCAAGCAAAGGCTTGCGAATCGCAAAGCCTCCATCCACTCTCGAGGCAGTCCGTGATATTTTTAGGACAAATGGCATATTTGGGTTATATACAGGCTTCCGTCTCCACTTCGGTGAGCTGCCACACTGATACATATGCTGCACACATGTCTCACCTCTTACCCAGTGCGAGACACGTTCGGAACTGCTCTTTATTTCTTTGAGTACGATGGTCTTCGATATATTATGGGTCGTTTGCCGTCCGGAGAACAGGGGTCGACACCGGCATGGTTGCCAATTCACAATTCATTAGTACCATTCCTCTGCGGTTCGGTGGCTGGAGTCACTTCATGGGCTCTCATTTATCCTCTTGACGTGTACGTTTATTCTCCCGTCCGTCAACGTATTGCAGCGGATCACTGAGGAAATATCAGTGTGAAAACCAAGGTTCAGCAACGCGCATTAGCAGGCGAACCCTCCAGAACCGTTTGGGATACGTTTCGACGGTTGGTACGAGGTAATGTCTTGCTCTGATAACTCCTTGACTGTACAGGACGTTGATTATGATATAGGCCCTGACCCTAAGAACCCGAAGCCTATCCTGTATGGCCTAGCACGCATATATCGAGGGTTGGGTGTCAGCGCCCTCCGGAGTGTTACTACCCATGGATTGCTCTGGACATTCTTCGATTTGACTGCTTCATATATTGACAGGCTCCCAGAGGGAAGACAAAGTAATATAGACCAGCAATAATTTACGATACTACATCATGTCAGCATCTGAATACCAACTACGTGATCGGTTCATGGAACACAATGCAGCGTGCACCTACAGTACGTACTGTGTCTCGTGCGTGATCTGCAAAGAATGGAGTCAATGGTCGTGATGATGCATTGATGAGTCGTTCACGGTGCTCAGTCAGCCATTGGGCGGTATTCTCAGAATTTCATGTCCAAACGTGCCACCGTTTCGGCCGGATTGACAAAATATCCGAACGCAGTGATGAATATATACTTCTCGCAATGGATGCCCGTCTCCGTTCCATCGTCAGAAGCCCCTCACGGATTCCCCTCATTCTCTACGTCTTGAGTCATACCGACTATCTTTGTGAGCTTTCGACTTCTGTCCAGTGAATCTTATCCTCGTCTCCTGATTGTATCCCCGACCGAAGTTTGATCGCCGATGTCGACTCTACCGGAGAAAGAGGCCAGGGTGTGCGTGGAGACGGCGTTCAACGACGACGACGCCACCGTCAATGGGAAGGCTCCGCGACGCAGCGTGTCAAGATCAAGCTGCAGCAAGAAGGAAGTGGACGAGAGTGCAACCACTGAAGCAACCTCACGGCCGGTCTCCGAATACGATGACTCGGAAATTCCAGATGGTGGTCTTCGAGCTTGGCTTGTCGTCCTTGGCGTACGTAGATCATCTGTTTTACTAGAATGCAAATTGGAAATACTAATAAAGTTATGATTAGGCTGCTTGCGGATCGTTCACGACCTTTGGATTCGTGAATGCATGGGGAGTGCGTACAACAACTTGTGGCTGCCATGTTAATACACCCCTCCCCTGACTCGAATTCCCCGTAGGTTTTTCAGTCATATTATACTGAGAACATACTGAAGGACACGCCCCCCTCAACGATGTATGTCCCTAGATTCATATACTCCATACACTCCTCCACTAATTATGTTTATTCAGTGCATGGATAGGTTCCATTCAAGTGTGTATCCCCGAACCCCGGTTTGTGCTTCTACTAACCAGCCCTTCCTAGTATGCATTGATTTTCGTTCCAGGTTTGGTCACCGGTCGTATGTTCGACATGGGGTATTTTAAAATCCCCCTTCTCGTCTCGTCAGCCTTTCTAGTAATGGCTACGTTCCTTGTGGCCGAATGCAAGGAATATTGGCAGTTCCTGCTCTGTCAAGGTTTCGCAGTAGGGGTGAGTTGCATTGCTGGTCCCTCCTTGTTTATTCTGACAATCACATAGTTGGCATGCGGTATGATCTTCGGCCCTATGCTGGGGGTCGTTGCACATTGGTTCAAGCGAAAGCGAGGTCTCGCACTTGGACTCAACGCTGTTGGATCAAGCGTTGGAGGCACAGTCTTCCCCATTGCGGCACGTAATCTCATAGAGATCGTAGGGTATGTTACTTCCCGCGCTACCACATATCCATAATCCCTGAGCCACGTCGCCTTTCATGTAGCTTCAAGTGGACGATGAGGATATTGGGGTTCATCCAGATTGCTGGCCTCGCTGTTACCAATTTGACGATTGCTCGACGACTCCCGCCAAAAAATATCTCTGGTCCATTCTTCGACTTAAGTGCATTCAGGGATGCACCTTACACCATCTATTGTACTGCATCATTTGTCGCGTTCCTAGGGCTGTATACTGTGAGTCTGCCCTCCACAAATAAAAGACACCAGCCACAAAGTATCTTCTATGTATTAACGCGTATCTGCTTCTCAGGTCTTGACGTACATCGACATCAGTGCAGTGTCCGCAGGGATACCGGAGGATTTTTCCTTCTATCTCGTGTCCATTGCCAACGCCGCCTCAGGTATCGGTCGGATTGGTGGAGGTATCTTCGCCGATAAACTTGGTGCGTTAACCGGCTTGCGTCGTGTTGAACGTACGGTTTCTGATTCCCTCCTGATTAGGTGCTGTCAACGTCATGGCGCCAGCTACGTTCGTAGCGGCAATCCTAACATACGCTTGGCCATTCGCCAAATCCAAAGGCGAATTTATCGTTATTGCCATCATCTATGGGTAAGGATACCCGTTTACAACACTTTCATTCCCATTTACTAACTCATCGGTATCATTCAATAGAATCGCGTCGGGGGTCTATGTCTCCCTTCTTGCCGCACCAATCATGGCCATGGGCGAAGTACACGACATCGGAGTGCGAGTAGGAATGTCCATGACTATCCTTGCGGCTGGCGCGTTGGCAGGCCCACCCATCTCTGGCGCCATCAACCAGGCTACTGGTGGTTTCACTGCTGTCGGCTACTATGCAGGTAAGCTATGTATTCTAACTATGTACGAGTTGAAAGAGAGTGTGTGTGTGACTAACCTTGTATGTGATACTAAGGGTCGGTCGTCATTGTGGCGGTTGTTCTTATAATAATCACCCGACAACTCGTTCTGCACAAACTCTGGGGCAAGTTTTAATTGAAGCCATCCCCAGTGTATACGTGATCCCCACACATTGGGGGGATCTTATGCGTTATTATGTTATCTAGACGGAGGAGAATCAACGCTTATGCAATACCACGACTTTCACGGACGGATTTGACTCTTCAAAAACACGAATCTTATGAATTTCTTTTCACGGAGATTTATTGTCATGTCTTACGCTGTTGTACACAATTGATAGAGTATGCTATACTAGCAGTTGGATTACAATATGTATCATTGGCTTTGTGTACACGAATTCTTAGCACACACATAGGCCCGAAGGTTTGCATATACCTACTCTGCCCTTAGGACATTAGCACATCGCTCAATCATCATCATGGTCAAGAAGCAAGCACTTCTTTGCATTCCCGCAATGTGCAGATCACTTCTCAAGCATATACACGGAGAACGAATAGATCGCATTTTATGGACTACGACGCCGTCCAATGGCAGCCAACAGGTCCATGATATATCCACTATTATAGCATGCTCTAACTTGATACTTTAAACTATTGTTCACCCATCTCCTTCGCGAGCTGCTCGGCCTTGGTCTTGACATCCTCGATAGTGCCGACCTACGGTAATTCATCCATCAGTAAAAGCGTCGTATTAGATTGATAAGTGATAATCACGTACCATGTAGAAAGCAGACTCAGGAAGAGAGTCGTGTTGGCCAGAGAGAATCTCCTTGAAGGATCGGACGGTATCCTTGAGCGAGACGAGCTTACCCTCGTAACCAGTGAAGACCTGGGCGACCTGGAAGGGCTGCGACATGAAACGCTGGATCTTACGAGCACGCTCGACCTACGCATGCATACGTCATCAGTAAATGAAGCGCTCAAACTGCAGGTAAAGCAATACATACAGTCAACTTGTCCTCTTCGGACAACTCGTCCATACCCAAGATAGCAATGATATCCTGGAGCGACTTGTAGTCCTGAAGAATCTTCTGGACAGCGGTGGCGACGTCGTAGTGTTCCCTACCGACCTAATAACAGCAATTGAGTTAATAATGACGTCAGAACGTGAGCCTTGAATTTGCAACTTACGATACGGGGGTCGAGCATACGGGACTTGGAGTCAAGAGGGTCGACGGCGGGGTAAATACCAAGCTCAGCAATAGAACGAGACAACACAGTCGTGGCGTCCAAGTGAGCGAAGGTGGTAGCGGGAGCAGGATCAGTCAAATCATCAGCCGGCACGTAAACGGCCTGCACGGAGGTGATAGATCCCTTCTTGGTGGTGGTGATACGCTCCTGCCTGTATAACCGTCCGTGTCAGAAATGGGTAGCGCCCAAGCAAAGGGGGCAACCTCACATGCTACCCATGTCCGTGGAGAGTGTGGGTTGGTAACCGACAGCAGATGGAATACGACCGAGAAGGGCAGACACTTCTGAACCAGCCTGGGTGAAACGGAAAATGTTGTCGATGAAGAGCAACACATCCTGGCCCTCCTCATCACGGAAGTACTCAGCGATCGTCAAACCAGTAAGAGCGACACGGGCACGGGCACCAGGGGGCTCGTTCATCTGACCGAAGACGAGAGCGACCTTGGAGTCACCTTTGAGGTTGATGACACCGGTCTCAATCATTTCATGGTACAGATCGTTACCCTCACGGGTACGCTCTCCGACACCTATTGGCGCGTAATTACGCGTGAGGAACACGTCATAAAAAGCGTAAACAAAAGTGCATACCGCAGAAAATAGAGAAACCACCATGGGCTTTAGCAACGTTGTTGATGAGCTCTTGAATCAACACAGTCTTGCCGACACCAGCACCACCGAAGAGACCGATTTTTCCACCACGAGCGTAGGGAGCGAGGAGGTCGACAACCTTGATACCAGTCTCAAGAACCTCGGCGGTTGTTGATTGATCAACGAACGGGGGAGGCTCGGCGTGAATGGGAGAGAGCTTGACACCAATGATGGGACCACGTTCATCAATGGGCTCGCCAATGACGTTCATGATACGACCAAGGGTCGCGGTGCCGACGGGAATCTTGATAGGAGAGCCAGTATCAACAACTTTCTGGCCACGAACGAGACCCTCAGTACCGTCCATGGCAATGGTACGGACGGAGTTTTCGCCAAGGTGAGCGGCGACCTCGAGGACGAGACGACCACCGTGGAAATCCTTGACCTCGAGAGCATTGAGAATAGGAGGAAGGTTCTCAGTCTCGAATTGCACGTCGACGACGGCACCAATAACGGTTTTGACTTGGCCAACCGCTGCAGTCGCTTCAGTTGCATACGTGCGTGCTTAAGAATGTAATGTAGAACAAAAGAAGCAGAAGAAATTTAGGAATACACGTCAGTATTTATTGATTGCTTCAGAGCACAGCAGCACCAACCCGACTGGGGAACTGCACGAGCAGGACGAGCCTGCGCCCGGGAAGAAGAAGGAACGGAAGCTGCTCTTGCGAGGATGGGTGCTGCAGTAGCGGTAGAGAAAAAGGCGTTTGTCCTCTTCGCGCTTTGCAGGGCTCTGCGCGAGAGACGGTGTACGCCGCGTGAGGTGAGCATGGTGAACGACGGCGACGATGAGGTGGTACGAACAGCCAAACCGCGTCCTCCCCGTCCACGTATAAAGTTTATTTTCACTCTCAGCTTCACCTCCGCACCGCCGACTTTCTCCGATGCCCAACGTTCCCCCAGGCGCGTCTCGGGGTCACCCCTCCTACGTACAACTATATCACTTGTCAATATGCTCAATATGCTCAACATTGTGCGCAATCTTTCAGTCAAGCAACTGCAGCTATTGCTCAAAGTATACGTCGCCATGTACGAAGCCGCACAAACACCGGCCACCTTCATGCATCCATTTGGGGGAATTCGGAGACGCCCGTGGGAATATCTCAACTGCAAGGTCTTGCTTCACGTCAACGTTTCAAACGTTGACAAGCACAGCAGCATACCCGGGCGGTCAATGTCAGGTTCCATTACTCGTACTCAGAGTGTGTGCGTTGGAGCAAACCAAGCAAGTTGCTAAAGCGTTGCGTCGACCAAACAACGATGGGTTTTGAATATTGAATTGGGACCTCGGTCACTCTGATTGCAATAAGCACTCCTCCCCGGTCCGAAACGGCAGGACTCTTCAAAATTCTGCACAAGTCACCGTCTACGATGGGCAGTCCTTAACGCACGTTTGTATCTTCAAATAACTCGCACTCAGTCCCCTCTTTCTTTTATTCCTATTTATCCACCTGGGGTGATCGTTGAAAAGTAAGTGTCTTCTTCTTGCATTCCTCAAACCACAACTCGCTGATCATCGCAGTGTGCGGCATTCTAGGTTTGCTCTCGCATGACCCTTCGATCGACGTCGCCCAGGAAATCTGTGAGGGTTTAGCGTTGCTCCAGCACCGAGGCCAGGATGCTTGTGGCATAGTCACCTGTGGTCCCAAGGGTCGATTCTACCAATGCAAAGCCAATGGCATGGTTAGGGATGTCTTTGACGCCCACTCGCTATCGAGGTTAGTCGGTGGTATGGGTATTGGACATGGTGGGTGTCATTCATGGTGTGGCGTAACTGCGGGAACTCAAGACATTGCTTCCAGTTCGCTATCCAACTGCAGGCAGCTCACACCATGCCGAAGCTCAACCCTTCTATGTCAATTCTCCGTATGGTATCGTATTCGCTCATGTATGGTGACTCTCCTTTACTTGCGTTCTCAATCTTGACATCACATTGCACAGAATGGCAACCTTATCAATACCGCAGAGCTCCTGCATTTTATGGATGCTACTGCCCACAGACACATCAACACCAACTCCGATTCAGAACTCCTCCTCAACATCTTCGCCGACAACCTCCAAAAGACAGGGAAATTCCGTATCAATGAAGAAGATATCTTCAATGCTATCGGTCACCTGACAGTGCAAGCCAAGGGTGCTTATGCTTGTGTCGCAATGCTCGCCGGTTTCGGAATCATCGCCTTTAGGGACCCTAATGGTATCCGACCCTTAGGTATGGCCTCGAGGAAAACCGCGACCGGAGGGACAGACTATCTCTTTGCCAGCGAAAGCGTTGTCGCTGATGCGAGTGGGTTCACGAATTGGGAGGACGTGAAGCCAGGTAAGCTTTTTGCATGACATCACTATGATGTTGCATCGAAGTTCTTCCTTGCTGATGATCCTTCTTAACAGGCGAAGCGGTCATCATCACTCGATCATCTGTGAGCCGTCGTCAAGTCGCGAAGCCTGCTGCGTTCTCGCCGGATATTTTCGAATACGTATACTTCGCACGTCCGGATTCCGTTCTGGATGGCGTCAGTGTATATCGTAGCCGTATGGCTATGGGTGATGCTCTCGCGGACGAAGTCCAGCGGGTGTTGAAGGAGAAAGGTCTTTCGGTAGATGTAGTCATTCCGGTATGTTTCCGTAGGCCGGCCGTCCACTATATCATTATTTGTGCTAACTTTTGGGTTTAGGTGCCAGATACATCTCGAGTAGCTGCTCTAAATCTTGCTCAAAAGCTGAAACTTCCTTACCGAGAAGGTTTCATTAAAAACCGATATGTCGGTAGGACGTTCATCATGCCTGGTCAGCAGCTGAGGCAAAAGAACGTACGAAAAAAGCTGAACGCCATGGCGCTTGAATTCGTCGACAAAAACGTCCTTATTGTCGATGGTCAGTTCGCAACGCATTATCATAATTCTGAAATTCGTTCTGATTTTTTCTATATATGTAGACTCAATAGTCCGTGGAACGACCTCGAAAGAGATCATCCAAATGGCGAAAGACGTCGGTGCAAAGAAAGTCATCGTCGCAAGCTGTGCACCCCCCATCCGATTCTCAAACGTCTACGGCATTGACATGCCCTCACGCGCCGAACTCGTCGCGCACAATCGGGACACAGAAGCCGTAGCTAAAGAGATCGGTGCCGACCTCGTCATCTTCCAAAAACTCGACGACCTTGTATCGTCTGTCCGTCAATTCAACCCATCAATACCTCAGTTCGATTGTTCAGTCTTTACGGGCGAGTATGTCACAGGTGGGGTTGATGAAGCGTACCTTCAAGGTTTGGAACGTCTGAGGGCGGATAATGTGAAGGAAAAAACGCTTGTGGGTGGGGTGAGTAACATAGAGGGGAAAGGTGGGCGTGGGATGCAGGGTAATTCGGTGAATGGTGCTCATGTAAATGGGGACCTTCAACCGTCGGTTGGTGATGATGGACCTACATATGGGGACGATACTGTGGGGCTTCATAATGGATGGAACTTGAACTAGAGGAATAAATATGAGGGTTTGTAAGTAGGAATATATATTTGTGTATAATGTAGCATCATACTATAGAGAGTACTATGATTATGTGGAACTAAGGCTTGGAGTGTTGACGGGCACTCACGCACATGTATGTACTCGACGGCCTTAAGGTCACAATCAAGACAATGTGCAATGTGAGAGCTTGACTCAAGAATGCACAACTTACAAGAAGCTCATTGGATCAAATAGCTTCCCTCCTTCGAAGTCTATTGCAATAATTTAAGGTAATGGCAAGCTTCCGCATGAAAAAAATAGAGAACGACATGGATCGCCATCGATCGACGCCAGCAGGATTCGAACCTGCGCCCTCAAAGAGGAACAGATCATTGCTATGGTCCGAAGACCTCATTCTAATCTGTCGCCGTAACCACTTGGCTATAGCGCCCTAAAAATTACCACAGATGCTATTTTTCAGCCTTTATTTAGCTTATTGACTTGCAACTTACAGTCGCTGATGCTCCCTGGCGGACGTTTGAGGTGGTTTAATATCAATGCCAAAGGAGGATTGTACCAAGGATTGCACCGCTAGTAGCTGCAACTTGAGCGGAAACAGCGATTGCCTAAAAACGACAGGACAGTACCGATTTGGGTAATGTCTGGTGCCGATGCAGGCCTGGCGCAGGCCGAGTGCGCAAGCCACTAGCAGCACGGTCCTTGACCCTAAGCCTTCTTGTCAGGCAACCCTGACAAGATGCCGTACATCATACCAACCGTTGAGCAGATCGAGGACTACCTTGAATCCCTCGAGGAGTTGCTCTTTTCCTCCCTGTCGGCTGCTACGCCAGATCTTCCCAATGTCCGACAAGCAATACAGCGTCTTTGGGAGGACGTCTCGCGGTATGGTCCTCAAGCCTTACCCCCACTTCCAGATCTCCATATTCCAGGTCTTGGAGCGTTTGAAGTACCTCCACCTCCTCCACCTCCGCCTCCGCCCAAGTCGTTTGTTGAGAAATCTACAGAATGGATTGCGGACCACAAGTGGACTGCGACCGGTGTCGGGATTGGTATCATTGGTGCTGGTCTGTTAACAGTGTACGGGACTGCCTATTATCAACAGAATTTGAAGCCTAGGAAGGTTAGGGCTACAACGAGCACTGAGAGACGACAGGTCGTTGGTACGTATGCCCCTTGGCCCCTAATGTTTCCGATCGCTGAAGAACGCCTGTTGTAGTTATTCTCGGAGGAGATACACCACTTGGTCTTCCTCTGATCCTGGACCTCGAAGTCAAAGGATACATTGTCATTACTAGTGTTTCTACTCCAGAAGCCGTCGAAGAAATTGAAGCCAGGACAAATGGTTATGTTCGCGCTTTGGTGCTTGATCCCTCCGAAGTACGTGTTTCAAAGCGGTCGGATGGTATATTCGCTAATTCTTTCGCCTACGTAGCCTGAAACAGTGACCTTATTCCTTCGCTCACTTTCCTCGACCATGTCCCGCCGTTTCCCCATCACTGCGGCTGGTGATCCCCATGCACACCCATCGACACACACCTACATCCAGTCTATCATATCTCTCCTCACTCTCCCTGATCAAGACGAAATCCCACCTTTTGGCCCTCTGGAGCACCTCTCACTCCGAGACGAGTACCTTCCATACTTGCAAACCACGCACATTACGCCACTTCGCGTGATTCAGGGTTTATTACCCCTTCTACGCACAACCCCTGCACGCTCTCGCGATACTCTCTCCAACAATCAAGGAAAAAAGAGTGTTATTGTGTGTTTGCCTGTTACCGATGCACGTGTGGGATTACCGTTTGCTTCTGCGCAAGCGATGTCTGCTGCAGCTACGCAGCGAGCAGCGGAAGTCCTCCGAAGAGAGCTTCGTATCTCTTCAGCAGCGAAATCATCTGCTGCATTGAAGAACATCAAGGTTGTTACGATTGATGTTGGTTCAATCGGAGACAAGTATGAAAGTCAAGTTTCAGGAGATGGCGACGAGGCTCTTGTTACTATGCAAGATTGGTCGGAAAGCGAGAGAGATGCGTATGGTCGAGCATTTTCGAACCTTGCTACTAACGGTCCTCGGCTGGGTGTCCGAAGAAGACCGAGTGATGCCAGCGTCTTCGTCAATGCTATTGTGAAGGTCATCAAGGATGGCCGCGACGATGCTGGATTTAACCTTCCATTGAGGTTGTCGAGGTTCTGGGAGTGGATCCGCGGCAATCACGTTACGGTTGGTGCCGGAGGTAAGTGTTCTGGATACCAACGACAAGTGCTATTCTCAGATGCTAATCTGAGATTTGAACAGCTGGCACCTATGCGATTGCTTCTAGGCTTCCCACTCTGGTCCTCGATTCCCTTCTTGCCTTTCCGCATATCCTTATATCCATTCGGAATGCCCTTCTCCTCACCCCTCCTACCGTGCCCGATCCTCCACCTCAACAAATTGACATTGTAGCCCCGGCTCCTCGTAAGGTCGAGTCGGCATCGATTCTCAGTTCCTCTGACCATGAACACACCGACAATGACGTCGCGTCTGATCATGGTTCTGAAGCTGACGTTGAGAGTAATAGTGGATATGGAAGCGGTGTTGGCGAGAGTTGGATCAGTCTCAAGAAGAACAGAGAAGAATCGCCTTGAATGGACGATATGTTTATTGTGGACACTTGTACTTGGTATGTTGTTGTAACATCTACAATTCAATGTTGTAAAGTTAGTCACTGCGTCTCTATGTATTATTATGTAGGATATGAAAGAAAACGTGGATGTTACAATCTAATAACCCATCCTCCTAGGCTTCATGTCGATGTGAAAGGTCCTGATTTACATGGACGATGGCTTTGGTGTGGTCTCTCGATACCCTCGCCATGTAATACAGTTCATGAGTTTCTCAGCGACCCTCCACCGCAATATCCTCGTCTTCGTATTCTCCGCTGTCATTCTCGCCGCCTCAATAAACTTCTGATGCAAGTGAAACGTTCTATCGTACCTAGCTACTCTGCTGATACCGGTTGCAAGCACTTCCCTGTGCTGCTTCCAAAATTCCGTCAAAGCTAGTCCTGTTCCGATGAACGTCCTGGTATGAAGATTGTCGCTGACTTCCTCCACCGTGCCGTTCAACTTGCTCTTGTTCTCCAAAGGGAAGCCGGCAGTAAGCTGTTCAGGGACTTCGTCCTGTCACTATTGTCGAACAGGAGGGCAAGGAGGGTGATCAAAAAGTCATACAGCTCCGTCTTGAGGTCCGTGAGTTCGCTCGACGATGGCCACTTCCTGGCGCCGACGTCTCTCGTTGCAGAGGCCTGCTGGCATTGAGGAGGACGAGCAAGGGTCGCGCGTGTCGTCCATTTTACGCCAGGTGTTGTTGGGGTGTGGTTCACTCATTTTGATGTCTTTTTATTTCGTTTTGGTGGGTTTGGAGGGATACACCCTTCTTTCGTTCTGGTGGAGCAGACTGGCTCAACGTCATAGGTTCAACCGTTCAACGTTCAACAACTGTGCTCTTCGTATATGTAAAACTAGTCTGACATTCAACATAGTCTGGCCCTATCCTGGATGTTCAACAGCCACCTAGAGCCGTATCATCCAGTCTGTATCTGTATTCATAGCTAGCATACTCATGGTATTCAATTAGAAATTGCGAGACATCCGTTGGATTTCGAAGCTCTCGCATTGGCGCTTCCTTCTGGCTATGCGCGGTTGATTCGAATGAAGAATCTCCTAGAATCTCCTATCGATTCCTCGCCGTCGTCAAAGTCATGGTTGCTCCCGTCCTTGAGTAAGTGGGACTCTCGTCGCCAAAAACAGTAGGCATAAGGTGAGGCAAGTTCTGCAGAAAAAACGTCAGCGGCCTCATTGTTTTCGCAAGCCATTCATTTAGTTCCACGCGTCGCGTAGTACGACCAAAGTACAAGAAGAGGCATTTTCATAAGGGTAAACTACAACTACGACCCACTTTGGACTTTCCGAAGAACAGATACAAAGGCATTTGCCATTCAAGGAACTATATAGTACAAAAAGATGGGGCGAATCGAGAAAAAGCAATCTGAGACTACGTGAGTACGATGTCCTTCGCGCAAACGTTCTACAAAAAAAAATATAAATTAAAAAAACTAAAAGGCGGCCTGGTATATAGCATCACGCCGGGCAAGAGGGGATGCCTCCTCCCATCCCCTCATCTCCTCCTCCTTTTCCAATACAGGTAAGTCTTCGTCGTCATCCCTGAGTGTCGAAGGTGAAAGAGGTGGAGTGGAGGATGGGGTGGACGGCGGAGTGGTCTCGTCGACGTCGATGAGGTTGTAGTCGAACCACGGGAGGCGGAGCGCGCATAGAACGAAGTCGTCCAAGTCGTCCACGTCCTCGTAGAGTGACGGTGGCGTTGCTCCATTCGGCTGCGACCCCACAAATGTTGCATCGTGAGCGAGACGGCATGCCGGTGTCTGCCTGCATGTTGATGGCTCTCGGTGTATGATTTGTGGAGATGTGATCGGACTTGGGTATGCAACCGGTTCATCCACATCGGCCGACTCGATTGCCACCCACTCGCGTTGACGGTGAGTGGGGATGTAGATGGTATCATCGGGGCTATACAAGGCCAGCGAAGCCTGTCCAGGTACATGAAGGCTTTGAGGAACAGGAGCAGGCACGAAATCGATATGCGCAGCCGTTGGTCCCTTGCTATCTCCGAAGGGGTTGAAACGGAAGGGAGGAGAAGATGAGGAAGGTGGTGGCCAGCAGAACACCTCGTTTGTTGCAGAGTGTCGGATGGGGTTCTGGGCGAATGCCCATCTCGAAGTCTCCCTAACAATATACGCCCCGTTGTAGGGCGTGTGGCGTTCGTCCGAGACCAAACGATCTTCAGACACCGCGGTGTCGCCGACAGAGCTTGCATCAAAGGGCTCCCAGGTGGGAGCATTGATACACTTAGCCTTCATTGAGGTTCATGTCAGTTGGTGTTCTCTACATGTGTGTGGCCACAACTCACCATATAGGCATCAAGGCGGGTGGGCGACGGAGTGGATTGAGTGAGAGCCATTGTCGCTCAATGAATTTGGAGAAGTGTGGTGGATGGTGGCAGAAGCTTAGTTGAGGAGAATTGGTGAGCGCAAGTTCTCTCGTACGAGGGAAGGGTTAACAAGTGGTAGGTTGCAGAGTGAGGTGCAGATGGGGGGGCGCAAGTACCCTCCTCCTTTTATCTTGCGATTAACGCCATTCACGTCGCGCCTCATGTGACCGCGAGTAATTCCATCGTCCTCCATTGTTTTACAAGGTTTCGCTTAGCGTGCGATAATAGGTTTATGGGATGGAATCGACTTCCCCGAAGAACTTCTTCATTTCGAGACCAGCGGAAGCGCATCTAAGATCCTCTGCACTGGCGTTGACCCTCCCGTTTTCTCCGATGCTCGGACCTGTGTTTCGTGAGTATTACCCAACTACTTCACATGTAAGTGTCTCAATTATTGAGTCAACTTGATCACTCGGCAGGTAAACCCTATTACGCCCTCCTCCACAGAACATTCCCTCTTCGAGTTCTGACAACCAGGCTGATAATCCAGGTGCAGCCACTCCGCCGTTTGTTAGTTCCATCAGGGTGGTTCCTACACTTGGTTCAGGGCGTAATACGATCTTCTTGGCTAATGATCCACGTTTCCCCAATCTCATCTTCCTTGGAAATGATACGGTATGGCGAATATTCCTATGAGTCTTTCCATTCAGTCTATCTTCGCCACATCTATTCACCAACAAATCGTTGCGCCCTCTCGCACTCATGGTCTGAATGTCCAGCCGGCCTATCTTCACCATGTGTATTCGCTAACGTTTCTCCGCGCTCCCTACTAAGTAGGCCCCGTTCCCAGCGACGGTTTGCTACTGTATCAGGCTTTGTAAAAGGTGAAAACAACGTAGTCCCAGTACATATCATTCAAATTACAATAGGCTCTTTGTCCTCCCGAGAACTCGTTCCTATTCTATTCACGGCTACCGTCAAGGTAGAACTGTTGATAATAAGGAATGATGTTGGAAAAGAACAAAAAGCAGGCTCACTGGACGCGACTACGAGACTTGCCCAAAATGGCCTCGGACATGTACGGTTTTAGGTCCGGGCGCTCCCAAGCTCTTTCTCTCAAAGTGGGCCGCCAGTGCAAGCTTCACGCACATGTACGTCTTTGAGTTCTTGGACCTGAGTCTCGAGTCCGGAATTGAGGTCCGCTACAGTGAATTTCCTGCTCATCAGACACAGGTTGAACACCAGAGATGGGTATGCCAGCTTCATCCATTCCTCTCAGGCGACCAGGATGAACGCTCCGGACACTTCTTCCTAGGACTCTCTCTATGGCTGGTTCCCCCAGAACCACAATCTACCCAAATTTCTCGCATCATGTCTTTCAAAACGAATAGCGCAAAATCTCCCGCCTCGTTTCCTCGCTTTCATCCTCACATCACATTGTCAAGCGTATCCAGTGATACAGACATATCCAATCTACGGTCTGCCGTCCCCGCTGGACAAGTTAAAGTGCCTATTCATTTCAAGTCAGTTGATGTAGGAGACAAGTATTACATGTCTGCTTATGTCTCAGTGCATCACTCTGAAGAGTTGAGTGCTCTTAGGGATAATTTGAAGGAGGCTTTGGGGGAAGATACGGTGCCGCCTTTGGCACATGTGTCGTTATTCTATATCGATGATGTTGATGCTGGAGAACGACAGAAGATTTTCGAACAACTGAATGAGGGGGGGAGGATCATTTCAAAAGATGATCACTCTGTTGCCTTGGATTGTACGGAGGGAGACGCACGAGGGCAAGATGTTATTGATGGCTTTGTAGCATGCGAGATTTGGATAGCACTTTGCGATGGGCCAGTTGAGGCTTGGACCATAAAGGACAAGATACAGCTCAAATGATATACACTGCAGTTTGGGACAGGAGAAGCATCGACCTCTTTTGTAGCAGCTAAAACGATACTAATAGTACACCGGAAATTATCTGACAAGAATGTATGATTACACACGAACGAAGGAAGCCGTAGCGATATGAGAGACTATGCGCTTGCGCATGTCAGAGGCAGTGAAAGTGGAAGTCAGGGAACGGACGTGAGAGGGAGCGCTCGCTAAGCGCAGCAAAGCAGATGGAAACTGTACGCGAGAAACCGAACGAACGTAGACGATACAAGCTGCATTTAGGACCATGAAACGAAAGCGATAGACGTGAGGTATGTCGAGCGTGGATAACGATAATGTTGTGCGATAAGCAAAGCAAGGGAACGTCGTGATGATGTGTCGCATATTGCGGAGAATAACATTAAAGCTCTTGCAGAGGGATGTTCTCAAACTGTTCTGAAGCAGCTTGACATTTCTCGTCCGCTGCGGGTTGAGGGGTGTACAGTGGGAGTGGGATAGAATAATCGATTTTTCGATCACCATTGTAGTCGAATAGTTGAGAGTAGGCAGGTAGAGTGTTGGCGTAAGGAAGACTGGCCACCGGGAAGTCCAATGTGCTAGTAGGTGAGGAAAGACCAGAAGGGGAGAGGTCGAACGAAGAGCTTGATGGAGATGGAGAAGAGGCCGTCGACGTTGAGGGTGTAGGCGGAGGCGTGCGAACGAAGCGCAGTGGCATGTGAAGCGTTAAGTGCTTAGCTGCACGTTCAGGATTCTCGCCTTCCGTAAGGTCATAGGTGCATTTCAATGTGATGTAGAGTCGATGATTGACTCCAAAGAACGGACTCGAACTGGATTGCTTCAATATCCGTTTGCACTTCCAGTCGTTCTCCTGTTCGTCCCTTTCATGTGTTTTGGTGAACGGGACGTTCGTTTGCATGGAGTACCAAGTGAGATCAGAGGAGTTCGCATCGTCGGTGAAGATGTAACCATCCCCCGAGAGGACATATCGGCCGGATACATCTTCTGGGAGAAGGGAGAACGCGCGGGTAAGGACTTGTCGTGGTGGGTACGATGAGAGTCCAAGCTCGTAGATTGCTTGCACAGGGTTTGGATCAAGCAACGGTTTGTGTGGTGGTTGCTCGTTTCGTGGTGGCAGGGGAAATTGAGCATTATAAGCAGCCAAAGGTACGGTCCTGAAAGTAACGTTTGTAAACATTCAAGAATGGAAAGACGACAAATGGTAATACAAACCTGTATCGCTCGGTCTGCTCGACATCAACTGTGAACTCTTCCACTCTGAAACGCTTGCAGTCATCCTCAGACAAGTCTTCGGTACGAAGACGAAGGTTCAGCGGGATAGTCTCTTCATCACTTCCGATATACTCGGGAATTGATACCAAAACACGAAGCTTCGAGAGAACTTCAGGCGGGACATGAGGCTCTCCATCTTCATTTGTAGGGATATCTGGCTGTGCAAGCACAGAGTAGTTTGCTAGTGGGAAGAGCGAGGATGATGTAGATGCAAGTGGTGAGGGACTCATGAAACGGTTCAGGACAATGGGGAATCTCGGCGCTTTCGCAACCTGAGAGGAAAATCGAAGAGGAAGACAAAGGGCGGAAAGCCATGAGTTGGAAAGGTTATCCGACGGGCTTTGGAACTTGGCGACAGCATGAAGAGCATAACGTGTTCCGGTCTCGCCAGTGGTGGTTTGACCGAACACACCGGTAGCAGGGAGCCAACCCGGTACGGTGAGGTTGAAGACAACGTTCCAAGTATATGACTTCTCATCCTGACCCTCACTTGTCAATTCTACGGGCTCTCCAGGAACGCATTCCTGCGATATGGAGCAGAGACGAACAGCGGAATAACCCGTTTCTTCAGTGACGAGTTCGGACTGACCCTCGAAGGTGACAACGAGTGACGACAACAAGAGTCTGGAGAGTCTTCCGTATGAGAAGAAGGACCCCGCAGATGACAGCGAGATTACGATATGGCCTGAAAGAGAATACGCAACGCTGCACAGAAAGTTAGTGCTCATCAGCACACATTGCTTTCGAGAGATACTCACGAGCGATCCGAGTCACCATACATATCTAGAGTGTCTGTAAATGGGACAATTTCTATAGAGACCGTCATTGTAAAGGAGGAGAGGAGAAAAGACAGGAAAATACTAGGGAGGAAACGTGAGGCGGGACAACGAAGTAGTATGGGAGAGGATGGAGGTTATATATTGCAACACAAAGGAACCGAGATTCCCGAGCAATGACCTTGCGGGAAACATGATAAAAAAGAATAATGACCAGCGCATGAGCCTGATGGGGCGCAATTGACTCTTTCTCTCTTTGTTCTCCTCAAACAGTTACCATCACTGTCCACAAAAGGTCAGGCACCGGCTGACTCAGCGGCGCCTTCTATCCTCCTGCCTCTTTTGGATGGAGAACAATGGGCTTTCTCCTCCTTCACTTCGAGTTAGAACTTCAACCCGTCGGCATCTTTACGTTGAGAAGTTGATGTTTTGACTCTTATTGAATCGGCACCCTAAGTATGTGTTCTCCGTTGACATTGTAGACCTGCCAACCGCGCGTCTAATCCGTATTGTCATTAACATTGGAGCTTCCAATCCGATAACACCTTTGCTTCATGCGCTTTTCGTTTTCCAGCTACTGAATCTGAACTGCTTGTGCTATTTGTGTCGTGTTACAATTCCTGAACGCTTTTTCGATTGATCCATTCGAATTAATCCGTCATTCAGACGTATTCGTGTGAGATAAACTTACGTTGTTTTACATTCACAGCATAAAGGATGGACGCATATTTCCACGAGAGAAACTCACTAATCGATCAGGACCTTGCTTTGCGAAGAGATCGTGTCAAGGTCAAGACATCGACACCATCCGAACTCCTCGCTGATGGCATCGTACGAGGTGTGCGAGCGAAAGAAGCGTATTCTGTCTGGCATCCCGGTGGCGAGCCGGCTTATTATGGTGACGATAATACACCTCATATCTTCCCTGGGATGGAGTTCTTGACTGGTGAGGAACTTTTGTTCTATTTGTAGTCGGTGTACTCTGCTTTGATTCTCGCGTGGCTAATGAAAGTCCACTCCAGCGAGAGACATCATCTTGAAGACAAAATTATTTAATATTCTGCTCAAGGCATGACATTTATCACAGACATCCGGTTCGAGATTAACTTGTTAGTTTGAAGATGCCGAAAGGTGCTTTACTTCATGCGCATCTGGATGCGACTGTCAATGCGAGAACGCTTCTCAAGCTTGCTCTTGGACATCCAAACCTACATGTCCGCACGTCTCGCAACCTCTCCTTTACCAACTTAACGTCGACAATACCGGAATTTAGGCCGTTTGTCACGTCGCCATCCTCGTCTTTCGGCCTGACAGACGAGAACTATGCACCTGGAGAGTGGGTTTCAATTCACAGAGCTCGAGAGTCGTTCCATGAGCGCCTTGGAGGACCTGCCGGCTTCGACAAATGGTTCATTGATTCTCTCATGATCAACCCGTCCGAGGCATACGAGAAATACAACACTACCAGCAAGGTAAACGCTTCCACTTATTACCATGAGTTGATTCGCGCCTATGTTCTTGCTTCCAGATCTGGCGAAAGTTTCGCAGTACCTTTGAAGTATCATCTGTACGTCTCCACTTAAGCCCAGTGCATATCCAACTTTATAACCTCGAAGTTGCCCAGGAATTGATACGATATGCACCCATATTCCGTGGTTACCTTCACGAGTTTCTCAAGTCTTCAGTAGAAGATGGAATCTCGTATATCGAAGCTCGTATCAACTTCCATTATAAGTACGTGCAATTCATATATGTGCCAATTATGTGTATCAATATCCTAACTTAAACTTGATCCAGATTCATGTTTGGTCAAGATGGGCTGGAGAATATTCCCCATCGAGAATGGCTTGTAGCTCTCAAACAAGTAGTCGAAGAGTTTCGTCGCTCCTTAAAGGAACAGAGCCGTGAAGATGAGTTCATTGGAATCAAGGTAAGAGTACATAGTCACTTCAGACCTCGATGCCAAACTGTATCTGATGGAATCTCTGGTAAGATCATCTACACCACCCTTCGTCACGCCCCTCCCGAAGAACTTGAGTGGTATATTGAAGACTGCATTCAGTTGAAACAAGAATTTCCGGATCTCATCGTAGGTAAGGGGGGTTTGAGTCCTCACAACTGGCACCATTGGTAATTGTCTTTCTTATCCTAAGGTTTCGATCTGGTCGGCCATGAAGACACCCTGAAGCCTCTCATCGACTACATCGACCCATTAACACGCTTCAAGGAACGACAAAATGAACTTGGGATAGACATCCCATTTGTATTTCACGCAGGCGAGACTACGGGAGACGGCACTAAAGCGGATATGAATCTCTACGATGCTATTTTACTGGGGACGAAGCGCATCGGACACGGGCAAGCACGTCCATGTTATATCTCTCTATGAAGCTAACTAACCATCTTATTAGCTTTTCGTTGTACAAACACCCGAAGCTGATGAGTATTTGTAGGGAAAGAGGTATTGCTATTGAAGCTTGTCCGATCTCGTATGTTCCATTTCCCATACGCTGCGTTACGGAAAGACTTGACGTAGCTCTCATAGGAACGAAATTCTGGTTTGCACATCTTCGTTCTCCCGTAACTCACGCCTAAATTGTCTTCTGTAGAGGTTGACGTCGTCGATGCCCATGCACCCGCTCCCAGCTCTTCTCAATCAAGGAGTTCCCATCGCATTATGTTCTGACGATCCAGCAGTATTCGGGAACATGGGACTAACATTCGATTACTTCCAGGTAAGTTTCCTTGATCCTCATTATGCATACGACTTCACAATGCTGTTTTTTTTTCTATTCTGCATTGTTACAGGTCCTGGTTGCTAGCGAAACGACAGGCCTACTGACGTTAGGTCAGATAGCTCGCGACAGTATCCAAGTGAGTTTACATTCTACGCTTGACGTTCCATCAGCGCATTGTAACAATTGCGTTGTGCTTGTGTTCGCAGTATTCTTTACTGCAATCGGCGGAAAAGGAACGTGCATTAGAACTGTGGGAGCGCAGGTGGTCGAAGTTCATCGAGACTATTGTTCATGGTCATCACAATCAGGATGCTCTGCGTAATTGACAATAATCGTGCAGGGTCAATGCCTATGATACCACATGTATTTGTTATACCTTCCATACCACACCAGTTTTGACAAAATATAGGACAGATTTTGAGCTCGCATAATAAATAGTATATCAGGGTATGAGAGACGTCGACACGAAAACAGACAGAACACAACAGCAGCAGCAACAGCCCAATGCATAAGCATAATTGCCAGTCGGCATATCAGAGTACAACCGAGGAGGTGAGGAAAACGCGCAAGAGAACGAAGACTAGCAATCGGACTTGAAGCCGGGTCAAAAACCCTGCTCATTAGCGACTACTGTGTCGATGAAATCACAGCGAGACCATAAAGCAAATAACAGGAGAAAGCATACACAGGGAAAAACCGACACGATAAGAAACCCTGAAACAAATCTCGGGTTTTGCTAGTTGGAGGAAGACCGCAGCTGCTTCTGCTTTTCCGCTTCCAACCGCTACATCCATAAGGTCAAAATCATATTCTTCCACGTACAGCAATAAAAACATACCTGGTACAATAACTGCACAGCCATCTGTATGTTGGGAGGCTGACCAGTAATAACCACCAACCGTTCGCCTTCTCCACCCTGAGGTGCAGGGCCTCCATTCACACTGGTACCCGTCGCACCTGGTTCCATAATCTTGATATTACTTCCACTGAGGTGTCGGATTTCGTTAATCTTCGCCCCTCCTTTGCCAATGATGCAGCCGACTAGGTCGTTCGGGATATATATTTGTTGCGTTTGCAAAGGCCCGGCGGGTCCACCTTGAGGTCCTGGTCCACCAGGGCCAGGATAGGGGTTCGAGTATCCCGGAACGTACGACGAGCCTGTATAAGGCGGCCGACGAGATGATGGACGGTACGACGAGTTGTTGTGCGACGGCATACGTTCATTGGCTTCAATCAGGATGTTACCGATGTAGTAAGTCGCAATGTGAATGGCGTCGGCTACACCAGAGACGCTCAAAACCCGCTACAAATCGGAGTCAAAACGTCAATGAGCACTCGAAGCACGGAATGTCGTAACATTACCTCCGTAGAACCGGGCAGCATGCCCTCGCTGGCGTTGAGTCTGGCGCCACTGGCGTCCTGAATTTCCTTGATCTTCGCACCACCCTTGCCAATGACTGAGCCCATTCGAGAGTTAGGTATCATGAACTTGATGGTCACCGCTCGACTGCCGGGGACAGAAGCCTTGTCGAAGGGTTCATCGTTTATCCTACGTACAATCAAACCAAATGCCTTGTACAAATATTTTAGTCAGAGTGTACTAGGGACAGTAGACAACAATACATACCTTTGACACAGCGTCCAGAGGACCACTGACGTTCAGAATTCGTTCAGGGTTACCAGGAATACTTTCAGAGACCATAACACGAGCCCCGCTCTTCTCTCGGATCTCGTTTACATGAGAGCCACCTTTGCCAATGATGATGGATGCATCTTGGGTGACAATCAAGCACCGCATATGAATGCTGGCTGAAGGGGGCGGAGGTGGGTTTGACGACGAGCTTGAAGCATTTGCAGACGAACCGTCTGCCCCTGACTCCGTAGATGCATTGGCACCTCCTGAGGTTGAGTCTGTCATGCCCGTCTTGTCTCCCCGACGTGGCGAAGGGGTGGAAGCAGCTGTGCCGGAGTCGTCGACAGACTGGCGAACATCTACTTTAGAGTCATTGGCAGAGCCATGAGATGTCCTCGCTTGTGAGTCATCTCCAAGTGACGTAGCGCCTGTATTGGCACGCTTGTGCTTCGGTTGCTCTGAGTCGGAGGGCGAACGGGACCTTTTGCGTGTCGAGTCAGCTTCTGGCATGGTTGTAAGTTCAGTGTTTCCTCAGGGCGAGTCAATGCCCGTTAGCAGTTCACGGAGAGGGAGGTTTGGGGATGGGTGGACGGAGAGGTGGGTTCTGAAGGGATGCAGTGTGGATGGTGAGGAGGGGAGGAGGAGGGTGTGAGGAGTGCGCCGCCATTCATGCAACTCACCTGCTATTTTGTCAAGTCGGCCAGAAGGGAAAAAGCTCGCTATGAGCGTCGTCGTCGTCGTCAGGGTCGGGACTGTGCTTGTTGTCGTGGTTGAAGATGTTCTCGACGACGACGGACACGGCGATGGGATCAGCCTAATATTGCACCGCCAAACATACCAATACCCCGGCATTTTCCGGACCACCATCTCTCATCGAATTTGTGGACTGTAGTGTTCCAGTTGAGCTTGAATTTGCCTACTCAGCGATTCACCAGTGCACTGTAAGTACTGCACTACCAGTATAATATTCACACATTCTTTCAAAGAATGTTTCTATTTTTTTTTTCTTGACATGCCTCCAGCCTTCATAACGCTCGAGAGCATCGCCTAAACGTGCATTCAATTGTACTGACCATGATGATGCATATGTACAGCTACGTATCCTCAGATCTCACACTTCTATGGAAGCGTGGATATCGTTTATAAAGAGAGTGCGCTGTTTGCATGGCAAGGCACGGGCATCTTCAGAGTGGAACCATCCGACATTCCAACGGTCACTTTCAAGTTCTGTGCTGCCAAACTGCTATAGCGCACACATCCTTTGCACGCTACGGGACTGCCAGTGCCCATGAAAATGTATTCGTCCCAAAATGTATCTCACTCCCCTCCGTGTGAACGAGGCCTTATGTTATTGCTCCTGTCGATCTGCACTGACACCTATCTGGTGAAATATGGCCTGCTAACTCAAGCCTTAGCTTGATCATAAAGATCTATCGATTTATCATATACGCTGACATGATGGCGGCTGCGGTGGCTTACCCTCTTGGTATGTTGGTCATTGTTCATCTACGTGGTTTATTGGACAAGTGCTTCCGTGTGCGTATGCTTATCAAGATTTGATCACTAGAAGAGACACGATATTGCGAAAACCCACGAAAGTCAATTACAGACAAACTTTGCTCACATTAGGATTACTACGAACCGGCGGCAACACCGCTGTCCTACAGGTGAGTATCCACATCCTGACGTGATCTGGTTGATAACATTGACGTTTGGATGGCAGGAATTGTCATCTACTACCGTGTAAACTCATCTGCGCGGTTGGTTGAGCCTTTCGATTCTCAAAATGTTAAATAAGATGACTGGCGTCCCTCTCATCCATCCTAATCCACGCCCAGCAGTTTTATCCTCCCATTCATACATATCATACCTAAACGCAATATGACTATTCAACTCCATGGTGCTGCTGGTACTACCTGCACTAACCGCGTCTTCCTCGTTGCGAAGGAACTTAATATTCCCGTCGTCCTCGTCCCCGTCGACTTTGCCACTGCAGAGCACAAGTCCGAGGCTTACCTCGAGCACCAGCCTTTCGGCCAAGTGCCCTACATTGTTGACAATGCCAATGGTAACTTCAAGTTGTTTGAAAGCCGTGCAATCTGGCTACTTAGTGCAGCAATACGGCGGCAACTCCGGTCTGATCCCTAAGGATCCCAAGAAGCTGGCTAAGTTCGAGCAAGCTGCGAGTATCGAAGTAACCGACTTCGATCCACATGCCGGCGCCATTATGGAGAAAGTATTTAAAGCGTGAGTAGTGATTTATTTTGTATCATGTAGTTGCTAACGCATTAACGTTTTCTACGTAGTTTCAGGGGTCTGCCCGCAGATGAGACTATTGTTGCGAAGCATGCTGAGCTTCTCATCGACAAGCTTGATGCGTACGAGCGCATTCTGAAGACATCCAAGTGGCTTGCCGGAGGGGTAAGTTTCGTCCCTCCCATCCAGTATCGGACCCTGATGGCACGTCGCACCGTTAAAGGACCTCACCTTGGCAGATCTCTTACACCTCCCCTACGGTGACTACCTCACCAAGGGAGGATATGGAGGCTTACTTGAGGACGAGGAAAAACGTCCTCACGTCGCTAAGTCATTCTTCTATGGTTGTGCATGCAAGAATTTGCCTTAAATTGGTTGATCCCTTTAAGGAAGTCCCCCATCTCTCGTCCCACCTGGCAAGCTGTCCAGAACGGTGCCTAATTTGGTGTTCGTCGAAGAGCCGGAAGGCAAGATAACATGGACCGTTGAGACGGCCAATTTGTACCGTATTATGTCTTAACGAAGAATGAACACTACAGGGGACCGAGGAATGGGCGTACCCCTTGATTCAGCAGTATTTCCGAGTGACTGCAATGGAGGATTGACAGACTGTGTCTCATGTTAAGACGGCTCTTCACCCTGACGGAACGTGCGGTGATCTTGCATTACAATGGTACGAAATGTCCGAGATAGTTTACCTACAATACAGTGCTCAGCTCAAATCACTTCCAAGTCATCGTCATCTAGTCCTCCACTTGCACTACGCTTAAGACTGCGGTGAGATTGACGGAGAGCGTGATACTGATATCAAACGCATTGACATGAGCAAAAAACCGTAAGATACGAATCAGGAGCTCTCACCTTCTTCTGATACTTTAAAGAACTTTTCTTCAACGCCTCTACTTCCCCTCTGAGCGTAGCGAGATCATGCTGGCCGGATTCATGTTCGCTTGTCACGAAGACAAATTTCCGGCGTACATTCTCCAATTGGATCTGTAGCTCGATATTCTCCTGTTCTAGCTTGGTTTCGCGCCGTTTATAGGCTTGGCGGTACTTCCTCACGTCCTCTTTGGCATCATTGCGTGCGTGTTCGATTTGCTGGCGTGCAAGCGCATTGATACGTTCAATTTCAGCTTGGGCAAGCTCTCCTTGACGTAATGTATGCAGTTCTTGCACCCTCTGTGATAAGGGCGTTTGATACTATGGGTGACGTAGTGGTAGAATGCAGGTCATACCGTTCGTATGTCCGCCAAAACCGTGCCTATAGATCTAAGCAGAGGCTTCGTTCACGTCAATACATACAGTTTGACCGCGGTTGCTTTGCGAGAAAAATGGCTCACCCGAAATTCTGTATCTGGATGTGTCTGTTCGGTCACGCTGTCCAATATCCCTTGTACACTGTGATTTATCTGGCCAGTCCAGGCATTTCAGTGTTATCAAAACCAACCTTGAAGTTATGTTTGCGATAGTGTCCGTGTCTATAGACGATGCGGACAGCGCCTGCCGGCCCGATTCGACTATATCATCCGCCTCTTCGCGCAACCTAGAATTAGATATCGACGCAGGTTGGGAGGGAGTATCATAGTCTGGGTATAGCTTAATTAGAGCTTCTAGCGGTTGTGGTGTTCGACAAACTGCACAAGGAGCCGCAGATGATTCCGATGCGAAATGAAATGTTGTGCAGTCGAAACAGTAGAGATGTCCACAAGGGGTAGCCATGGGAGGTAAGTCTTCACCCAAAGTTTCGAGGCAGATGGAACATCGAGTGTTCAAGTTCATGGTCGACTCCTGATATTTGATTAGGGGTAGATGGTGGTGGTTGGAAGTCAAGCGGAGAACCGAGGGGTAGCGGCGTGCTGCATTGTGCAAACCCCCCTCGGCCCAAACGAGACGCGTTTATTGCGCGCCTACGCATTCACTCAATGTGGGCGCTCGATGTCAGTAGACGCTTGCCATACGATCTGAAATCTCTGAAGCAAAACTGACACTCGCACTCTTCATCATGGCATCCGTACTCAAAGCTCAAAAGAAGAACCAAGCTGTCAAGGATGTCAAGGGAAAGCGGAAGGCAGATACCATGGACGTCGATGACACTACGGAGGGACCGTCGCCGAAACGTCCAAAGAACAAGCAGCGAGTTCTGCTACTCTCTTCTCGAGGAGTTACCCACCGCATGAGGCATCTCATGAACGATCTAGAAGCTCTTCTTCCTCATGTTAAGAAAGGTGTGCTTGTGCAGCAAAATCCTCTTATAGACTGAAGCTTCATAGACGACCTGTAGATGCCAAGCTTGACTCCAAAAGTCACCTCCACCTTCTGCCCGAACTAGCAGACTTGAACAACTGTAACAATGCACTATATTTCGAAGCTCGCCGACATGAAGATCTTTATATGTGGGCTGCAAAAACACCTAATGGCCCAAGCATCAAAATGCATGTGCAGAACGTACACACGATGGACGAGCTGAAGATGACCGGCAATTGCCTCAAGGGCAGCCGCGGTCTGTTATCCTTTGACAAGGGCTTCGATGAGACGGAGTGGGGAAAACTCACCAAGGAGGTCTTCACACACGTAAGCATTATTTTACCTTGGAACTGTCTGCGCGCTCAACTCTTACTCTCGCTTCAGATATTTGGCGTGCCTGCAACCGCGCGGAAAGCGAAGCCATTTATTGACCACATCCTGACATTCTCTATTCTGGATGACAAAGTCTGGTTCCGTAATTTCCAGGTACGTGTGTCGGTGATACATGCTCTCTAGACATACGCTCAACGGAGTGAAATATAGATTGTTGAAAAGGATCCTCTTCAACCAAATGGCCCTCCACAGACCTCCCTGGTCGAGATCGGTCCTCGTTTCGTCTTGACACCAATCCGTATCTTCGAAGGTGCATTCAGTGGAGCGACGGTCTACTCGAATCCAGGTCTGTGCATTTCAATTGTAATTCGTTGCATGTACATGCTGACTTTATGTTGCAGAGTTTGTTTCTCCTGCTGCTGTGCGTTCAGCTTTGAAGAGAGAGAAAGGTTCAAAGTACGGAATGCGAAAACTCGCCGAGGAGGAAAGATATGGTCGCGAAGCTGCCAGGAAGAGGGAGGAGGACGAGTTGGCGGTGTCGAAGGTGTTTGCTTAGATCTCTGCATCTTTTCTTTTCTTCCACATGGTTTTCTTACATTGTGGGCTCTGTACATTCACATTCGTGGTTCGTCAAAATCGTATTGCGGTGAAATAGACGCCCATTGGCTGAGCCACGTGTGAACGCGTTGGATCGCGTTCTGCGCGTCTGTCACGGTGAGAACAAAATCTATAACATTCACCATGGACGACTCCTCTTCAGGCGACGAGTTCGGTATGTTGCCATATCTTATATGTTAGAATTGGGGACGTCTGAATATAGACGCAGTGTTTGACTGACATAGGCTCTTATGATCCTACGACGCCGAGACCAGCTAAGAAGCCAGCTTCACGAAGTACACGATCAAATAATGCTATCGCAGGACCATCCTCTAAGCCTGCACCGAAACGAGGTGTGAAGAAGGGAAAACAAGCTGCAGAAGGCAATGTTCCTCATGATGTTGTTGACTTGATGTCGGACGATGAAGAGGCACAATCCGTGCCTCCAACAAAGAAGCCAAAATCAACGCAAGGCCGAGGTGCTGCTGCCCCGGTGACAAAGCCCACTTCGAAAACGAAGGGCAAGGCGAAAGTAGATGCGCAACCTCTAGAGGTCGAAGAGCCTATGACCATAGACGAAGTTGAGGTCATTCAGTCAGAGCAGCTTCCACAAAGGGCAACGCGGACAAGTAAACCTCAAGGAAAGGCCACAAGTGCAACTACGAAACCTTCATCGCCACCGGCTGTGGCTGTCGGGGAGATTGACCGACTTCGTAGAGAGGCTGAACGAGTGAGAAAGCAACTCGCTGATGTACATTTTGGTCTGGCTTTTGCGTTACATGGAAAGAACTAATCTGTGTGAATTGTATAGGCTCATGAACGGGAGCAAAAGCTCGTCGGTCAACTTGAAGAAGTATTCCGGATAAGGAATACCGATGCGGAGGAGGCATTAGCGCAAGAGCGAGAGGTGTTCGATGCGAAGATAACTGGTAAGCCATCTGCTCAAGGTGCCCTCACTACTATCTGCTAAATGACATCTAGCGCAGGAACTCTTATTGGCGGAACAGGCTAAGCTGATTACAGCCTCGAATTCAGGCATGCTTCATTTCCTAAGCCGAGAAGACGCGGATAAAGAGAAGAAAGAGGTGGAAGATAATGTCCTCCATTGGAAACAAGTGGCTGCCCAAAAGGACGAAGAAATTGTGGCGCAGACACAGCAAAGTAAGTGTCCTAATCTGTGGGAGCCGGCCGTTTGTTCATCGCGCACACTCGCAGTTCAACAGCTTGAGACCGAATTGAAGGCTGAAATTGAACGAGCCAAGACATTGGCTGCGCGTAATCCACTCCCTTCTGCAAGTCGCAACAATGGTACAGCAAAGGTAGACGGCTCTGGCGCCACTGCAGTGATTTGTCTCTATGAGACGATGACGAATGTACTGGTTCTCAACACCACAATCAAACCGAGCGAGTTCCATGGAAAGGAGGAACATGAGTTTGATTGTATATATTCGGTGTCAAACCCATCTGACGACTTGCTGCAAGGTGAGAAAACTGTTACATTTGTTTTATAGCTTTTGACACCCCTTTTCCAGCGCTCCACTTCACTCTGCGAGATATGTGGCAACCCCTCGATGATTCCGATGAATTGATTCGGAAGATCGAGTATCAACCCAAAGATCTTGACAAGGAACTCCCAGAGCTCGTAGACAAGCTAGATTTCTTCAGGGATCCCTTTATTTTTGCCCATGATCAACTTCATGTCTTCCTAAGGACGCTTTCAGAACGATTCCAGCCTGTAGCTTCACAAGACGAAGAGCAGGAAGAGGAGGATGAACTAGCAGGTGATGACTGATCTTTGCGGTTGCCCCTCTGGTGCGATGTGATCTAACATGTATCCTGTCTTGGTCTATCTAGAGTCATGAAGTCGTATGCTGCGATGCGTGTATATCTATCTCTATGATGAAATCTTATGGTATCTTGGTCTGTAATACAATACATCTCTATGCTTCATTTTTCTCCCGTCATTGTCCAAATCTTCACTGCACGTTCGTCATTTGCGAGCATGGCCCTTTTCATTATGAGCGATACGAAACCACCTTCAATATCCGATCCGCCGAGGTTCGCACCTACTTTGACGAGGAGATCAACTACATGTTCGTGACCCTGACGAGCGGCCTGTGAAGGATATCATCGTATGTTATCAGCCGACTTCTATCGGAATGCGAATACGTACATAGTATAAGGCGGTATGGCCCAGGTTGTCTCTGAGGTGGACAAGAGCTCCTGCCTCAAGTAAGACCTTTACGCACGCCGCACTTCCGTTCAAAGCGGCCACATGCAACGGTGATCTCCCAGAAGCAGGATCCACGCAATTCACAAGACCGCCTCGTATGGCAGTGTTCCGATTGACAAGAAGCTCAAGGCCCTCATGATCTAATCCTTGCGAGGTTTCCGATTGCAAACAGAACTTAATGCCTTCTACGTCGTCTTTTGCTGCGGCAAGGTGCATCAGGAAAGGAAACAGCGCTACCTCAGTCATGGAGGCTTCAGTGGCAGTCCATGACCAAGGCGCAGTAGAATCTGTAGCGTCTGACTTAGGTTCTGGGGAAATGACAATCGTAGGCATATGAGGACGAGTTATCATGAGTCGGACAGCCTGGGAAAGGAGACCCTGGATGTTGCCTAGAGAATCGTCTATTCCTGCCTGTGAACTGCGACTGGTTGGCATGTAGCTCGGCGGCAACGTTAGCTCGCCTCGCAGGGGCGTGCCGATGAGAGACCGGACTTCAGCAGTTGACAATTCCGGCTTTCCAAGGAGATAGCTAAGTTTGGTCAGAGCACCCTATGAGCATAGTTCCTCATCAGTCTCAAAATCAATCTACTTAGCCACCTTGAGAACAACTCACTTCCGGCGTCATGTCGCCTCCAGAGACAATTCCCGCCGTAAGCAAGCTGCGACCGGTCTCGTAAGCCGCCGAGACTGAACCCTTCGCACATTGTGAAATCGCAACTATTACAACACCGCGATCGCAAGCCTCTTTGAGTGCCGTCATAAGATCAGCGCGTTGTGGTGCATTGCCTGCTCCGAAAGTTTCCAATACTACACCTCTTGTGGGTGGAATAAGGAACGCCCGAACGGTCGCGGCCGTGATGCCAGGGAAAAGTCGAAGGGTGGCTGTAGTAGAAATTCAGAGTTGGTAAAAGGATCCATAGAAAGAATAGTAGAGTGCAACCTGCCTACATGCGGGCTCATCTCTGATAGATTAGAGACGTAAGTAACTTGGAAAAACATATCAATCATGACACGTACCTTTGTGGGCCTTGAATCGGCGGAGACTGGTTTGTCGAATAACATCGTTCCAGTTTATGGTGATATCGATCCCGACTGAAAAATTGATTGAATGCGTGGAAGCGTTTCAAAGTAACTTTGCACTAACCATTGACTAATGGCGGAAAGTTGGGACTGTTGAACGCATTGAAGTCATTGGACGAGAATTTTGAGACACGATTACCGCGGTACAGGGTATGATTGAAATATAGGCAGACCTCTAAATACCTGTCAGTTTATAGCACAACGCAGACTGTCGTGTATGGACGCTGACCTGGTATAATGTAGTGGCCGGCAATTGTCAAAGATCCTAGCAAATTATCGACAGCATCGTTCCGTAGTTGGGATAATGGAATCTGAGCTCCCGTAACAATCTGCACAGTGCGGACTCAGACGACACGCAATGCAGAGAGTGCGGGCCGGTGATGACTGACCACTGTCTTTCCTAGATCCTCGAGCAAAAACCCGAGCGCGGAAGATGTATAAGACATCGTGTCCGTGCCATGCAATACCACGAACGCGTCAAATGTCGCGTAATTGAGTTCTATTTCGGTAGCAATGCGGATCCAGTCTGTACTACGGGATCTAACATAAGTCTCTGCATTGCAAGGTAGACGAGTGTATATACCATCAATTTCCATATTGCTACTATCCAATAGTGGATTCCACTGAAGGTGATAAGCTATTGCAAAAGCAATAAACAATCTGAAAAGTACCTCAAGGACCACATAACGAATCCGCTTGTTATTGGATCCATTGGCGGAGGTACGTGGGGTTACGAGACTAGGCAGATGCGCCTCGTACACGTTTTCAGCTATTTTTGAGCACGATACGTGTCCGCCCGGGGGAGGTTGGCGATCGGGAGCTGCAGATAACGAGCTTGCATGACCAATTGGACGCGATGACCTAACGGGTAGAGAAGATGCTTGATGGACGGCAGGCTTAGGATTTGAAGAAGGGCCTGGAGAAGTAGCGCGGCTGCTTGACGGTGATTGAGTGGGACTGGTCCTGCTGCTATGATTACTCCATGAACGGAATCCTTCAACTGAGGCAGAATGGGAGAACAAGGATTCCTCTAGAGGATCATGAAAGCGATGCTGACTACGCAGCGTCTCGGTGAGAAAATATGGTTCGGGAACATAGCCTTGTTTTCCGACAAGCATTCCAATCGTTCCACCTGTGTAGATCATCAAGACCTTGGACTCGTCGGAAGGCTGCGAGAGCTCCATCGTTCAACGAGAAGCGTTCTCGCGAGAAATAAGCAGAGGTCCTGGATATATTGGAAATGATAGCGTAGTTAAGGCCGAATAAGAGGGAACCTGTAAACCTTTGTAGGTGTGGACGAACGGTGAAAAGGATACGAAGCAAGCTTGAAGCCAACACCGATCTCCCCGCTAGGCGCCAAGCGCCGACCAGAATATATGGGCGCCTATCTAATCTTTATTCTCCCGAGTAATAAGCACTGGAGCGGATTGATCACCCTTGACTCGACTTTTATTTCCTGTATATAACCTCGTGGTGGGTTCTACACCCTGTCAGCTCACTTCATCATGGACGCCATTAAGCAAGTTTTCGAAGCCAAAAAGAAAGAGGTTTGCTCAGTGCGTCTTGCACTGTACGATTGTAATTGACATTTTGAACAGGGAGCACCTGCCTTCGTTACTTTTGTAACGGCGGGGTACCCCAAGGTCGAGAGCACTGTTCCGATCTTGCTGGCCATGCAAAGAGGAGGAGCGGACATCATTGAACTTGGAATGCCATTTTCCGATCCAATCGCTGATGGTCCTGCAATTCAAGAGACGAATGCCGTTAGTATTCATGTTTACTTAGAATGACTGACTTATTCAATATCTCACCTTCAGGTCGCCCTTAAAAACAACGTTGACTATCCGACAACGCTGGGACTCCTTCGCGAAGCACGCAATCAGGGTCTCACTGCTCCGATTGTCCTAATGGGTAAGTATATGGTGTGTCTAGACGAAATTACCACGATGACTGAATGATTTGGCATTCTCAGGTTATTACAATCCACTATTGGCTTATGGTGAAGAAAAGGCGATCCAGGATGCATACGAGGCAGGCGCGAATGGCTTCATTATTGTTGATCTTCCTCCTGAGGAAGCCATCAGCTTCAGAGAGAAGTGCCGCAAGGCGAAGTACGTGCTTCAGCTTTCTGACCGTACTATAATTGACTCTTGGAATAGTATATCCTACATACCATTGATTGCACCTTCCACGACCCTCCATCGTATCAAATTCCTATCGTCCATTGCCGACACTTTCATTTACATTGTTTCGAAGGTAAGACCTTTGTCGTCATATGAAGTGAATATCGACCAATGACTGTCTAGATGGGTACGACGGGCTCATCGGTATCAGGGACTGTCAATACAGCCCTTCCAGACATTATCGCTCGCGTGCGACAATATGCCACCGTACCTCTAGCCGTCGGCTTCGGTGTCGCAACTCGGGAGCACTTCGAGCATGTTGCCAATGCAGGTGCAGACGGTGTTGTGATTGGTAGTCGGCTCGTCGCTATCATCAAGACCTCCTCTCCAGACCAGATCATTCCAAAAGTTGAAGCATATTGCCTCGAGATCAGTCGCAAAGGCGAACCATTCCACTCAGCTCCGATTCAAGGCTCTAGCTCTTCGCAACCCGTCACGAATGTGAACAGGGATGCGCCTCCAGCTGTACACACTATTGCTGACTCTACGGTCCTCCCTCCTCGTTTCGGACAATTCGGCGGACAGTACGTCCCAGAGTCACTGTTCGATTGCTTGGTGGAGTTAGAAGAAGCACACAAATCTGCAATGGCCGACCCAGAGTTCTGGAAAGAGTTCCGAGGGTTGTATGGCTACATGAATCGTCCTTCAAACCTGTACAAGGCTGAGAAGTTGACAGAACATGCAGGTGGTGCGACTATCTGGCTAAAGCGCGAAGACCTGTGAGCCGTCATGCGTGCTTTGTGCGTTTTTCGTGACTGAACGATATACGCAGTAACCATACAGGTTCACATAAGATCAACAATGCAATCGGACAGGTAAGTTCTGTCTTCAAAATGGTAATTGAATACATGCTCAATTATTTTACAGATTCTCCTCGCTCGCCGCATAGGCAAGAAACGTATCATTGCTGAGACTGGTGCAGGCCAACACGGAGTTGCTACTGCTACTGTGTGTGCTCGCTTTGGTATGGAATGCGTTATCTACATGGGAGCAGAGGACGTTCGACGTCAGGCATTGAATGTTTTCCGTATTCAAATGCTCGGCGCCACAGTAAGTTTTACCGTGATTTCCAGATCACCTCATTGTGATTCACGCATTTTGAAAGGTCATCCCTGTCCACTCAGGTTCATGTACACTGAAAGACGCGGTGAACGAAGCCATGCGTGATTGGGTCACCAACCTTGCAACCACTCACTACCTGGTCGGTTCATGTATCGGACCTCACCCCTTCCCCACCATCGTCCGTGACTTCCAGCATGTCATCAGTAAGGAAATCAAGGAACAACTTCAAGCCGCAGCTGGAAAGCTACCTGATGTAGTCGTTGCTTGTGTGGGAGGTGGCAGTAATGCCATTGGAACCTTCTACGACTTCATTCCCGACAAAAGCGTGCGATTGATTGGTGTCGAGGCTGGTGGCGAAGGTAACGTTGTCTTATCGTTGCTGTAATTTTTGCGTTATGCTGAGTTGACGTTGTAGGTCTCGATGGTGATCGACACAGTGCAACCCTATCGATGGGTCAACCTGGTGTCTTGCATGGTGTTCGAACATACATCCTACAATCAGAGGCTGGACAGATCATCGAGACTCACTCGATTAGTGCTGGTCTTGACTACCCTGGTGTGGGTCCCGAGCACGCTTGGCTGAAGGATAGCGGGCGAGCGGAGTATGTTGTCGCTACTGATGAGGAAGCTCTTCGAGGCTTCAGGATGTTGACACAATTAGAGGGTATCATTCCAGGTATGGGATGCATCATTATAACAGAATGGACTAAACGTTGATGGGTATATGTAGCTCTTGAGTCTTCACATGCTGTCTGGGAAGCAGTCCGACTCGCCAAGACCCTTCCTAAAGACCAAGACATCGTCATTGTATGTGCTCATCGATCTCCCAACTTCTTGCCTTTTCTGACTCTTTGTTCAGTGTCTGTCAGGTCGTGGTGACAAAGACGTCGAACAAATCTCGCAACTCCTGCCAGGAAAATGGGCCGACAAGCTTGACTGGCACATTAGTACCACTGCATGAGCGCGGGCAGCTATTCCTGAAGGATCGGAGTACATACCTAGGAAGAAGTGACAATGTATTTGGAAGTTGTACTGACTGTAATATTGAATACAGGTAGAAGTGTATCCATATAGACCACATATATGCGCCCAGAGATCAGGTTGGCTATCGAGACTGGCGTGTCCTTGGGTTGAAGACTGCATTATGGAAAGCAATTTTGGTTCTGATGGTGTGGACTTCGTATTGGACGTCGTCCCGAAGGACCACAGGCGCCAAAAGATATCCTCGCTTGACCAAGAACCATCAGCACCCTGTCCACGACCAACACTCTTTACTTCTTTCTCTACTGATAATGGTTCGGCAATACAGTCAACTTCATCAGAAATATGTCCCTCAAACATCCGAGCCCCACAAATATGGTCTTCACAATGTATACAATGCCTAACCACGCATATACTCACCCATTCCTAGAATCTGTCCTTTCGCGTCTCAACGATTCATCTGGGAGACTCAATAAACAATACCCCAGGAGCTCTACGCCTTCCAATGTTCGCTCAATCAAGTCCTATGCCCAGGACACCGACCTTGACACTGCGAACTTCTTTCGCGACTTTGACAACCATACACGCGACAGTAGTCGTATGACACGTCAAGAAAACCTCGACGATGACGACGACCTGGAGAACTGGGACGAGGAGACTACCATTGTTGCTATGCTGCAGGACGAGTACGTTATTCCCGTCCATGGGTAGCGAGGTCACTATATGCGCTTGAATGTCTCTTCGGGGTAACGATATTTCACATACTGAGCCTAGCGACCATAGCTTCTCCGACGACGACGAGAAGGAGGATCTCGCCGCTTTGGCCGAACAATTGCGCGCACCAATGGCTACTCAAGGACAGCATCTCAAACAGCATATGAGAGACTCCGTGATCCCTGCAATACAACAGGTCAAGAAAGTGCACGAGATCTTGGATGACGAAGGTCACCTCTTCCATCGGTATATTATCCGCAATATGGCTAAATTCTGATGGTGATCCAGTCGACCTTGCGTTCGGTGCCGGTCTGCTTGCATTTGATGAAGTCTGTAAACGCGTCGAAGCCATGACTTTACGTGACGAAGACGAGCTAAAGGACCAGTACATCCAGATGCAGGTCCGTTTCATCGTATATATCATGAATTGGGCTACTTTATCTCTCTCGTTTGGGATATATAGAAGAATACCAAGAACCTCCTTACCCAGCTCGAGTCAGCATACAATCGTCGGGATCAATTATGGGTCAAACTCGAAGAGGACCTTTCGCAATGCGGTACCTTTTGTCACTTTGTCGTTATCTCATTCCTAACCCATTGTCGTGCTTGCCCGTTACCTAATCACTTAAGCCGATGGTGCTAAGACCGCCGTCGAATCCCTCCCAGTGGAAATTGAAGAGACCATTGTGCGACTGGAGAAGAAATGCAAGGACATGGAGAAGAAAGGAAACAGCGCAGCTTCGAAGCAGAAAATGTTGAAAGGACTTCTTGAACGCCTTTGAATTGACCGTTGTATGTCTTCGGCCGGTTTGTCCCCTGGCCGACTCGGTTCTGCTGACACTTCCGCGCTTACATCCAGGATGGGAAGTTTGTTTTCCAAATGATATATGTGAGATAATGCTGAACGGTGCGGACTGAGTGCTGATGCATATGACGTCTAGCATCCTCTGCTTAGGCTGCTGCTTGACGCTGCTACTGTACGTGTATTCTGTGGCTCTATTCTATTCTTTGGTACAGAGGATCCTTTTCAAGTTTCCGCTACCGGGTTCAATTTGAAGTTCCCGAATCGTGTGCGGCTATAATTGTAATAATACTTCCGACCACGTTGTGATCGATCCGGCTGACTGGTTTCGCATACGTACATGTGCCGCCGAAACGCGGTGTAAAAGCTAACATGCACCTCCGACGCGTCCCACTCCCCTCGCCGCCTTTTCTCCCTTCCTTCTGAGTCCAATCTTCACTGCGAGCCCTCATGGCGACCCTCCAGGAGCGTGCGAACGCGTTCCTGCGAGAGATCTCCATTCCCATTGCACGGAGGTTCAACTTGAAATACCTCCCCGACCATTTCCACACAGTTGTCTATGCTGCATTGGCGTACACGATTTTGCATCTTGTCATTGCTCCTTCACTTAGTCAATTGATTGTTCCCGATGTCTATAAGGGTCTGAAAGGTCGAAAAGCGCGGAATCGCTGGTGTGTTTGAACGTATGAGAGTCTCTGCACTTCAGGTGACCCAATACTTTCTTGTCCAGGAATATACACATTGTATCTTTCGTGAACGCAGTCACGCTTTCTTGGCTTGCATTCAAAGGGTTGGGTCATCCGGAGCTGAGCCAGGACAAAGCCTTTGGATGGCATCCTAGTGTGGGGACGGCGAACGCTGTTGCAACGGGGTACGTCTTACCCCTTTACTTTATTCGCGGAAGTGCTCAACGCGGGCGCTTTCACTCTTTAGACATTTTATTTGGGATGCAGCGGATGCTATCATCAATTTCACGGATATCGGATTTGTTATTCATGGTGCGTGGTTTGCTTTGCACATTCTCTTGCACGCGACCCAGGTGCTCATATACTTCGACAGGGTTTTCTTGCATGCTATTATATTCTTTGACCTTTGTTAGTGTCTTTGAATCTCCTATTCGCTACAGTATTGATGGTATGTGTAGAGACCATATCTTGGATTCTACTCGCCACGGTTCTTGCTTTGGGAATTGTAAGTCACCTGTAATCTTATTTCAGTCCATTTCGTACTCATAAATTGTCTCGTGTAATAGGAGCACACCGTTTCTTAATATCCACTGGTGGGCCATCCAACCTGTTGGCTGGAGGGAGTGGCTCCTGACGAGATTGCACAGGTTCCTGGACAAGCTAGGAAAAACTGGAGGCGCCCTACAACTCATCAACGGTATCATCCTTCTCTCGACGTTCTTCTCCATCAGGATCGTATATGGATGGTACATGGTACATTTTCTTAGCTCCCAACTTTGCTGTCCGATGTATATTGATCATGAAACCATTTTGGCAGAGTTATGAATTCCTGTGGACGCTATGGGAGGTCAAGGATCAAGTCCCAACAGCCCTCACTGCTACACTCTTCATCGGGAACATCATCTTGAACTCTCTGAACATCGTTTGGTTCGTTGTATATTGCATTTTCCACATACCTCTTGTCCTGAGGGCTTCTATGCTTTGTCTGCAGGTTCACCAAGATGATACAGACTATCCGAAAACGATTCGAGGTTGACACCTCGGGGAAACCTGCGAATGGCAAAGCAAATGGCAAGGCAAATGGAAAAGCGGAGTGAAAGTCGCATTCAATCCACAGCTCAAACGCTTCGTGCCACATATTCCTTTACCCTTCACGTTTGTCGTTCTAGTTGCACTCCGCATAACGCTACTCTTGTTGTTATTCTCATACTGTAGACGGGATTGTATGCTGTATGTATGTGCCATCTAGATAGTCGCAATCGTCCTGTGCACCTTTTTGTGTCCTGCCAATTCGCATCATGCCCTTGAGTACGGTTGGAACGCGGCTCGTACGTCGCTGTGCACTCTTCGTTCCCAAGCCACCAAGTTCACTCTTCGCGTGATCTCGAATCTGAGTGTATGGTCTTTGGAATGCAGGAGACAATGTAGGTAGGCAAAGAGAAGCGCGTCCAGTGCTGTTGGAGATCTGAACGCAACACCGGAAACTCGTCAGTATCAGATCTGAATTCAATGATGCACTGAAGCAAACGTACGCGGAGCCGAGGAACCACTTGTCCGTCCCTAAACGTTCTGAGAGCGCACTGATGGCGTCCTTGTACTTCAACTCCACAGCATTCCTATCAATGTGTACACCATATGGCCGTATAAGTGAACTCCAACCTGTCAGGGGTTGAAGGGGTTGTGTGAAGATAGTCTGGATCGGATGGTGGACTGCACCATAAGGTGAGAGGAGTTTGAGAAAAGAGTCGTTCTCTGCAGGCTGGAATACCTCCTGTCAGATGAAATATCGTTAAGCGTCTTCAGTGAACAGAAAGGAAGGTCATAATAAAGTGGGAAGACAAACCAGTGCAGCATGAACGTCTCCCTCTAACAACTTAACCCAAGCCCGACTTTCATCCCTGGCATCCTCGTTCACATACCCTTCCAAATCACCTAAATTACCCACTTTCTTATCCACCCACTCCATAATCAAATGCGCAGGTAACAATTCACCCTCCCCGTCATCCTTCACCTTCGTATCCTCCGGCTCAAACTCTTTGAGAGGAACGCGAAGGTTAGGCAACCTTCCTTCAATAGCACCTTCAGGTTGGATATCCCATCGTACAGATATCCCCGTAAGCCCCCTCAAAGCAATGTAGGCTTGCCATTTGAGACATTCGACGTCTGAGCTGAATAGGTCTGATGAATATGAAGACTCAAGGGAGGGTTCGGATGAGCGTGGCGCGTGAATCCAGAGCTCTGGTGAAGTTACTGTTCGGGCTTTATGAGGTGAAGGTATCGGTGGGTATGTGTGCAGAGGAAAGTAAGTGAAAATGTTGTGTACGAAGGGTGGAAGGGTTGCAGTCATGGCGGTCGGTTCGAAGGAAAGGATGGAAATTCAGGCGCGATCTATACAGCTTGACGCGACGCGATAGACTCGCGTGACTCGAACGGTACAGGAAAAGGTAGCTCAGGCTACAACATGAAGTAGATTAAGTACTTTAGACTACAGTCTCTCGAAGTACAAGCACTAAATCTGCGGGATACAAATATATAGCTAGCCATGTAACAGTATTCACCATTACAGAAAGGCTGAGACCTTGACAGGTTTCCGCACAGCTGCTGAGTTTCCTTCGTGGAATTTGTAGGACACGCGATATTTCTTCTCTACATGTGCCTTTCTACTCGCAGGCTTTGTAGTGTTACCCGTAGCAACGATAGGGCGGCCGAAGAAATCTGTTGGAACCTGTGGGGAGACAAGTAAGGAAGCCTTCAACACATACACACACGATAGAGCACACTTTCTCCACAATATCTTCTTCCTTTCGGGCGCGTTTGTTTGGTGGCGCATCGGTATCACGACCACCAGGCATGAGTTTGCCATCGCCAATAATGCGGGGGTCATACGCGCTAGCGGTCCTACATAGCGATGAGTGACAGAACGAAATGGACGCGATCAATACACTCACTGTCGTCCGAAGAAGTTGCGCTTCGGTTTTGAAGCAGCAACTGTTTCTACCGCTTGCTGATTGACCCATTTCGCGTCAATCTGAAAAGGTATGTTGGTCAACACTTCTGCTGGCGAAAGGGGGGAAATGACGAATACTCGCCTCATTCGCGACAAGCTGTCTCACAGCAAACCTCGACACAGCAAGATCAGTTGCACGCTTACCATCGTATGTGACGAAGACATCGATAGGTCTAGAATTGCATGAAATGAGGTTCCGGACAGTCAATAGTTCGCGAAGAGGACACTCACGGATCAAGCCTGAACGTGTTCTGACCCTCTTCCGTCTTCTCCAGAAAGAACCGTAGTTCCAAGGCGACCATGATATCCACGAGCCTTGAGAGCAGAATGCGTTCTTCGGGCTTGATGACTTGGCTATTAACCTATGAATGAATTGTGCGATCAACAATTTGTTCACAGAGAATCAAGGGAGTATTCACAGGTCGTAGAGGTGGTGAGATAATTCTGTTGATGAACGGTGCGAACTCGAGGTGCAGTAAATTCTGACTCGCAAAATGTCGGTAAGCTCCACCAAGCCTAGTCGCAGCACTACGTAGATTGTGGGCGAGAGTGTCGTATATCTCTTCATTTGTCTTCATCTGCGTGTAATGCTACATGGTATTCATCTTTATCAGTACCTCCGTCGTCAAATATATTACAGAAGGCCAAGAGCAGACCTACCTCCCAGTCCTGCTTTGGTCTCTCCACTCTGGGAGCCCCACGTTCCTGGAATAGAGGATAGAAAGGCACTAGGAAATATGATAGATATTGTAGAGCAGAGTATTCCCTCTCAGAACGCATCTCTCCCGACATGAGGTCATAGCATGAGAGCCATTCATTCGCTTTAAGGTAATGTGAGAAGTTGCCATCGTGTCTTCGGAGGTTGGCATAATGTTCGAAGCATCCTACAAACAATATTGAATATTACATGACAGCTTGTGAAAAGTATTCGGAGAGTCGTACCAATGGCGACTTTGTCCATAGCCCCGCTGGCTTCGATCTCCCGACTCAACCTAGTCACATACCTCGACTCCTGTTCCTCAGTGAGTCCTAAGTCCTTTGACCGCTTCTTTGACATCGGAGTGAAGAGATCATTGAGAACAGACGTTTGTGAAGCCTCGGCTTCTTTCATCCCTGCGGTAGCCTTCCGAATAACGCACTCTGTCACGTCTATATACCGTGACTTTATCATCTGCAAGTTTTGTTAGCACCTCATCCAGTCCCGGAACAAGGATGAGACAAACCTGAAGTGTGTTCAAGCATCCCCTCATATCGCCTTGCGCAACACCAACTAACGTGGTCAACGCTCGACTCTCCACTTTCATGCCTTCTTCATCACATATAGTTCTTAGTCGCTTGATGATATGGAGATCATTGGGTCGCGACATCCGAATGATTCGGGCGTGGGGCCGGAGTTTCGACAAGGAGCTGGCGTAGAGGTCATTGCATATACAAACGATAGGACGCAGAATTGGAAGAACTCTTTTGGGTTCATTTCGACCTGTGGACAAAAGAAAGCTGAGTCAAACAGGTGGTAGAGAATCGTGGAGATTATACCTTTACGTCGTGGTCTTTCCTGGATGAGTTGGATAAGCTTGTGGATGAAACCGCCTGACTAAAGAAATGAAAGGTAATTCATGTTAGCCCCAATATCACGTCCTCAGGACTGAAACGTACGTTGTCAGAGCCACCAGTTGCACCGTCAATTTCGTCGATAACGAGTAACGTCGGCTTATTGCTCCCTATCATTGACCCTGACTCTAAGGCCGGCCGTATGCGTTCATCAACGATCTGAGCTGAACGTGCATCACTAGAATCGAGGTGAATATACCCATGTGAGGATGAAATGCGTTGCATACCTAGCATTAATCTCGAAAACACCGTACCCTGCGTGCTTTGCTACGACATGTGCGAGTGTTGTCTTACCCAAGCCTGGAGGTCCCGAAATGAGCAGAAGCTACAACAACCAAAAGGTAACATCAGACGCCAATTCAATCTCTAGTCACGAAGCGAGATGCCTACCTTCTCTCTCGGTCTCTTCCATTCATCCAGATTCTCATCATCCCTCATTCTCTTCTTCCCCTTCTTGTTCCCGAATACGCACCAATCCCATTCTTTTACCCACGCCATGACTTCTCGATGTACTCGGTCGTCGCCGACCAGTTCAATGAAACGTTCAGGGCGGTAGCGATCTACCCAGAGAGTATCCTCAGTTCTAGACGATGTGGATGCTTGAGGTTGGCTGCCTCTACAACATGTTAAATGTGAGACGGGAAGACGTGAGGGAAGAGGCACTTTACTTGAGTGTGAGTTTGGCAGCAGTATCGCGAGAGAGATTCTCCATAAGTCGATGAATCGGTACGTCCAAGAGCTTTCCGATCTTTTCTGACCGACCTGGGGCTGTCTTTGTATTTATATACCTATCAGACTATACTTGACAGCCCGCAGACAACGAGCATTTACCTGTAAGATTGTACCGATTCGCTTCGGTTTTCGTCTGAAGAATACAGATTTGCCATCGAACGTCGTTGCCTTCACGGTAGATCGCTGAACGACAACGGTTCCGGAGCTCGAGGCAATTGCGCCGGTTGTTGACACATACGGTCGGATGATATCCGCGACCTCGGGTAGATCTTGCTCAAATTCAAAGGTGAGGTAGTGATGTCGGAAGCTATCCATATGTCATACCTTGGGATTGCGAGAGTGCGAAGGAGGATTGAGAATCTTCCACCGGACCTGACGCTGCGTCTACGAGTTGGGAAGCTATCACAAAAGATTTGCTGCGAGGGACTCACAGGTAATATTGCTGTCAGATAGAAGCCCATTTTCGACGAATGAGTCATTCAAAAGAGTCGCACCTGCAGACCAGCATAAAACTCAACAAGGTGTGACGTAGCAGCTTGAATATATGACCCACTTCCAAAGCCAGACGTCGAGTCATCCTGCTCGATGTGCCGTGTTAATGAGATATGCCGACACGAGGAAGAAGCTAGCGAGATTAATGACTTTTCTTGAGTGCAAGGACTAAAATGCAACTCACCAGTGTTGCTGGTGGAAAGGAGACTAGTGGAGGTAGATGTAGTGTTGAGGAGAGTAGCAGCTACAGAGAAACATTCATCGAAGAAACACGATCAAGTCGCTGCATTTATACTCACTGCCGAAGCCTGCGTCCGACTCTAGATCAGTCAAGACATGTTTCGGTGACGGAACTGCGAAATCTATGTTTTATATACATTGGTGCCATAAATAAATAAACCACATACCTGCTGAAGGTTTTGCGAATGAGCTGATCGAGGAAGACGCGTCGCCTAGTAGTGTAGCATCTGATATTCTCAGATTACGGTCATGAGTCGTCTGGTCAGAGGGGCAAAGCACCATACCAGGAGAGCCAAAACCTCCTTCATCTAAAACATTCCCTGTGTTTTTCGGGTCCAGTAATAGAGATGTGGGAACGAAGGGTTCCGAATCGGCGTCCATAAACGAGCCTTGGGGTTTGACTAGGGAGGTAGCGGACGCGCAAAGGAGCATACTAGGCTCTCCGAATGACTCCATATAGTGGTAGCAAGCAAGAGAAGTCTTCCAAGAGTTCCAGACAGTGAGTGGTGAGTGGTGCCAACTAGAAAAGACGGTGGTCAAAGTTTATAAGAAATAGCACACGCGCCGAGAGGTCGTCGCGACTTTGCAGGACGCGTTCTGGTCAAAGCACGTGGGGCGCGTATCATGCATCATGCCGGGCCGGCGGCATGTGTGCTGGATGCAACCTTACTTGACGAAATATGTAAGTTGTTCAATATCGATTCTTCTCAACTGTGAACTCAGTTCATTCTTACTGGTGAAACATACAGTCTTGCGGGTTCAGCGACTTCACATTAACGTTTATCTCGCTATCTATCTCTTGCCCATTTCTTGGCGGACAGGCTCGGGCTTAGCATTACTCAAGCACTCTGGCACCACCTTGACCTAACGCATTCATCTCTGGTCCACGGAGGGGAGTCAGCGAGATCCTAGACTGTATGTCTGACTACGCATCCTCGTCTTCTCGCCCTGCAACACCAGTAGGAGATCTCCCCAACTTTGCTTCCGCCAAGGCCTACAGGTTTAATTGGGATGCTGGCAACAGGAAAGGTCCTGGAAGCATATCCGAGACTACTGAGGGTAGAGGCGATTATTTTGCTTCCAATGCTGTCTATGACCTCTATAATACCTCCGCCACATCCCTAACTACTTCCCAGTTGCCGTCGGAATGGAGTAGTACATTGCATGGCTTCCACGGTGCGTCATCATATAGACATTACACTTGCTCAACCATCTCAATGTTGATCTTGGGATAAGCTATTTCCACTGTTGTTAATAGCCCACATAAACGTTCTGCACCTCCAAAAGCTCATTCAAGTCTACCTGCTGTATCACCCGCTGACCTTCCCCGTGTTCGGCGGAAGGACTTTGACGCTTACCTCCGCTCAGTAGCACCAGAATGGGAACGATTCCAGCAGAATGCTGAACAGGGACGGGAAGGTGTTGCTCAGGTTGATGGTCCTTCATCATCTCACCTCACCACGGGACACGATGATGTGACAACCACTCCACGGACTCCCAAACCTCCGCCTGGTAGACCTCTACCTCCATTGGAAAGTGTACCAGACATCTATTTTGACCCAAAGTTCAATTTGGGTGACCCCCAAATATTCAACGCTATAATGGAGTATGGAGACGCAGACAGGCTTGATTTCACAGACCCTCTTTCCCTTGAATATTCACAACCAGTCTTGGACAACCTCTCGCACTACGCGGACACAATCGAACAACATCTTGTCCGAGAGATCTCACTCCGCTCTACATCCTTCTTTGCTGCCCTGTCCAACCTACAAGACCTACAAAGTGAATCCGAACAATGTCTCGATCGAATATCCCATTTACGCGGTTTACTCAAAGAGGTAGATGAGAAAGGAGCCAAGAAGGGCTTGGTGATCGTGCGGAAGGAGAATCAGTTGAAGAATCTTGGTATCGTGAAGGAGAGCGTGAAGGTCGTGAGCGGAGTGATTGAGATGACGGGTGTTGCGAAAAGTTTGGTAAACGCAGGCCAATGGGGTGAAGCTTTGGATGTGATTGACGAATTGCAGTCATTATGGGATGCACATTCGACTCATGACACCGACGCAAACATTCCGCCAACGTCAATACCTAGGACAGACCCTCGTTCATCTCCGCTACCTACTGTTCCAGAATCACCACCCGTAAGTCCGGGAGTCTCACCGTCACACGTCAAGAAACCATCAACATCCGTACCCATTTCCTCCCTACAAGCGTTTGCCGCTCTACCATCTCATCTTCGCGAGCTGACGCTGGAGATCACGTCTTCCCTTACTTCTGAAGTTGTCAACGTGCTTCGTTTAGATCTCCTTGAGCGAATAGATGGTTCAGACAAGGGCAGGTCATCAGAAGAAGGAATGAGGCTGTCGCTCAAGGACAAGTTGAGACCTTTGCTTCATTCGTTGGCACGGACAAATGGTATCAGGGAAGTCACGTTGTCGTGGAAGGAAGTTGTAGTGGCTGAAGTACGGAGTCTGCTGAAACGAGTTGAGCCATCCTTCGTCAGTGTGCTTTTCGCCATGGTCTGATGAATTTGCAGCGAATACCCGCGTTCGACTTCGATTTTGACGATCCGCATAGTAACAAAGGGTGTGTCCCGCCTTCCTTTCGTGCATTTTCGACTGATATGCTGAACCAGCTATTCATTATAACATCATAGGGCCGAAACTGCCAAAGAACTCCGTTCAATGACACATTTGGCATTCATGGAGCTAGCGCGAGAGATGTATCATAGTTTCCTCAGGTGCATAGAAGGTCTCCAAGCTCAAAGTACTAGCATTCTCGACGTCCTGGAGGCGATTCGGTATGTCTCTACTCCCTTCCTCGCTTTCATTTTCTGCATACTCCCCTCACTTTTATTTCTTCACCAAACTCACGTCCTTTCTTTTCGCTCGATGAGGCATCCGAAGTCAACCATCGACCTTGCGGGTGTCCGAGAAGACCTGTCAGATATTCTCTCCAGCGCCGGCGAGCTTGCCAACGGAAGAGCAGGCAAGGTCGTCAACGTCCGTTCAGAACAACATACCAACTTGGATCTACCGGAGTTCTATACGTTCTTTACTGTTTCATGGGACTTCGTGGTTAAAAGTGAGGTTATTTGTAAGAGGATGATCGTCGCATTGAGAGGTGTGATCGTCAGTCAGGTATGTGTTTTCTTTCACATTCCACAAGGGCCATTTATGAACGGTGTTCACGCTGGACTTGACATTCATTTGTAGGCAAAAACATTCCTACAAGCATTCCATCAGACTCGAATATCACAGTCTGCGAAACTGGTGGAAGATGAGCAATGGAACCCGGCGGAGGTGATTCCGCCAGTGCAACGTCAGGTTGATATGCTTGTCGATGCGTCGATACGAGATCCTCGTGAATTCCTTTTCAATCCACCGCCTGCTCATCATGTATCTCCTCTACCTCCTACCTCCCCAGGGCTATCTGCATCTCCGACTCTCACGGCGAACGGTTCCACTCAGCTTCCTTCATCACCTCTTCCTTCACCAAATCTCAATCAAACACAGGTCAATGGTAGCCCACGTCGTTCAGCCAATCCCAGCAAACACTTAAAGATTGAAGACCGAAATTACTTCGCAGTGGGTGCGACATTGGAAGTGTTACTCCTCCTGGTGGATTATCTGAAAGTCATCATGAATTTGCCCATGTTGACGACCGATACGATGAGCCGGGTGATTGAATTATTGAAGGCGTTCAATTCTAGGACGTGTCAGGTTGTTTTGGGTGCAGGTGCTATGCGTTCTGCGGGATTGAAGAATATCACTGCTAAGCATCTTGGTACGTTTTTTCCAGATAGTTGTCGTACAAATCAGGCATTGATGATTTGGTTGGGGAGTACAGCACTTGCGTCGCAGTCATTGTCAATCATGATCTCGCTTATCCCCTATGTGAGAGAAACGTTCCGACGGCACCTCAACCAGAAACAGGCAGTGATCCTCATCGAATTCGACAAACTCAAGCGGGTACGTTTTCTTTGTCAGGTATCCATAACAGAGACCTTGATGGCCTGAATTCCTCCCCTTACAGGATTACCAAGAACATCAGAACGAGATTCATGCCAAGCTCATCGCGATCATGGGTGACCGGTTGACTGCCCACATCCGTAGCCTACAAGTTGAGTATTTGTTTCCATGACAGCGCCCGGCCGTCTGTTCCATCTTTTGTCTCCGACCCGTACTGACCGAGCGACCATTGTTCCTCTCCGCCTGAACACAGAGTGTCCGATGGGATCTGCCTCCGCAGCGTCAAGGCGTCAACGAATACATGGAATTACTGGTCAAGGAAACTGTCACGCTTCACAAGGTTCTCTCTAGATACTTATCGCCATCGATAGTCGAGGTAACGTCATGTAGCCATTCTTTTGTTCGCCGCGCTGACCTGTTGCCTTATGACATTTGATGGTTGACAGTACGTGATGTCCCAGGTTTTCGCTGCTATCAACCACCGGCTTTCGGAAGAGTACACGAAAATTGAACTTCCTTCCCAGGAAGCAAAGGAGCGGTAAGTTGGCAGACAATGGTGTGGACCCTGCAACTCATTTGTTTCGACATTTCTGCGACATAGACTGCTAGCAGATGCTCGATACCTCATTCAGAAACTCTCCGGGCTGAAGAATGTTGGCGCACCCACGGCGATGCTTGAAATCATCATTTCAGAAAAGAGCATCGCGCGGAAGGCTCCCCCTCCCAACTCGCCCGCACTTGTCAGCACACCTTCCCGACTAAAAGGCATGCTCGGCAGGGCAGACAGCTTGAGAAAAGCGCCAGCCACACCAATGCCACAATCACAACCACAATACGTTCCTGAAGTCGAGAAAGCGGTCCCTCTGCCCACTAGTCCGACACCTCTAATTGTGTCCTCGATCTCGCCGTCACCCTCTCCTCAACCACCTTCTTTGGCAGCCATGACAGTCAACTCCACATTTTCTCCACCCCCTGCCAATGTACTAGATCAAGGCACGTCGCCTGGAATAAACGCCATCGTTCCTGACCATGGGAATAATGTGAACGGAACCGAAGTTCACGATCAGTCGTCTGAGCAGATTGAATTGCCCAAGCCTTTGGACATTAAGGAACATGCAAACTTGGCGACAAGTAGGCCTGATTCACCTCCACCACCTACGCCGGAGAAGGACCCGTCACAGCACAATGGGATCATAACAGGTCAACCTGAGGCGGCTGGCTTCGCGTAGTAGATGTTGTTGTCTTTGCATCAAGTACGCTTTGATGCCCCGATGCACCTTTTGTTTATAGTTTCTGGATCATGGATGGTGCTACTAATTGGATTTTTGCATTTCTGAAACTCGTTTATTTGAGTGTCAACATTTCGTCACAGTTTTTTTGGCCAACCGCCGGCCACTGGTCCAACCAACACTTATCTCGCCGACTTTGAACTTTCATCCATCTGCGAATCTCGTTTCTGGCCTCTTATCTGAGATAACGCTTAGGAATAGCGTGACACACTGTCGTCCACAATGGTCTCGACGTTGATAAAGACTGTAGGCCGACGCTTAGGCGATACTTTCGGTTGAAGCTTCTGTCTCAAGTAAGTATAAACTCTTTTTCTGCGGATAAAAATGATCCGTTACTTCAATTTGGTTGAGCCTCTTGAAGTTCGCTTCGGGAAGCGAACCTCTGAAGGTTTTATTGAAACAAGACATACTTGCAATCTCGAAGTATGATTGGCTCACGGCAACTTCTCGTCTTGGGATATTGAACTTCCGGCTGTATGCATGAATTCTGGCGACGGAAGCTGAAAACAAGGTGGACAATCAACGACTTATCTTTGTGAGTAGATTCACAACGTAGATTTAAAAGAAGATCCCCTCGATGAGTGCAATCAATATACGATTAGACATGTCAAATGACCGCAATCACTGTCATGCTCCCGCTGGTTCACGAAAGAACCTCAAACGAGAGAATTATTATTTCCGTCGCCCTTTGGTCACCTTCCGATCAATCAAACATACGTAGAGGATGCTTCATCCTCACAGACAAACTCGATTAAATTCTTTTATTGGCATAAAGCTCAAAAAAATACGCACGTGCAAGAGAACAACGAACGTGTGTATGAGACACGAATAGTCAAGCATCCACTAGAAGTTCACCATTCCATGAGTGTGTACGTGTTTTATTGCACCCAACACATGATCTGGGATGGTACCATGTCTCAAGAGTAACCCAAACACATGCACAAATCTGAGGGCTGAGTTTATACCCACACGCGAAGAAGACTAAAGTCAAGCAAACTCACCAACGTTTGACTGGTTCTGCCAAGTTGTCGAGCATTAGGATACAATAATTCAGAACCATGGTTTGGATGAAAACCTCCATGCATGATAACCCCAAAATACATCAACGATCAATGGGGAGAGGCCTGTACTGATTTGAGGACATTGCAATGCGCTGCACGAGGGTGCGTGGGCAAAACCCGGTCTCTGCTCTAGTGGAAGTGCCTGCGTGGGTATGAGATATCACAAATGCGTCATGGGACTCCAAGGTGCCAAGGGGACAGCGCGCAAGTCAGGAATCTGAAGTAACAGCTTGAATTGAACTTGAAAGGCACAAGTGGCTAGTATAATATACCGTATCTGGCCGCCCTGTTGCGAGGGAATTCTCGTGAATCTTTGAATAACAAACCTACGGACCGCTGAGAGCTTCACCAAGTTGATGACATTCATAGCGTGGATAAGATGGAGCGACCACAGCTAAGTGAATCTCGTGTGACCTTCATGGAATACCATAAAAGGTCGTTTCCTGCGAAAGATGCGCTCGTCTCGCGGACTTCCATCCAGGCCCTCTGCTGTTGCAAATACAGAATTTGGACTGTGTGAACGAGGGTGAGTATTTTAAATATTTCAATGACGACACCTGGTTTTAAGATCATCTAGATCGGTCTGGTCTACAACAACGCACGGTTGTTGCACAACGGCGACTTGCGTCCATGACCAGACTCTTCCGTGAAGATCCAGCTGGGAAGGAGACTTCAAGGAGCGAGTCTATTGGACCAGGAGACCTGCGGTAACGGGACCGGTCGGAGAAAGGAGGGAAGTTGCGTCCCTGATCATCATCACTATGGGTCCATAGTGATGATGGAATGAAATAGTGAATCCCTGGCGTTGCCGTAGTTCGTTTACTGCTTGTTAACATCTCGACGGCCAGAAATAAGCTATTTAAAATATAAACAAGATTACGGACATATACTGTGGTAACGTACCTCTGGTTGCCATGGTATCTGTTTATTCGTATCATCGTCCTTGTCCGCTTCCGAGTTGCATGTTACGCAGACAAAGCCAAGGAATATCGAAGATGTGACTACAAGAATACCGGCGGCGGGAGTAATGAAGGCCATATGGAGGAGGATTTGTGACAAAAATAGGCGGTACATAGAACTCTGCCCAGAAACGAATAGATAAATTCAAGAGATGCTTATAGGTGGTCACGCACCGTACTTCGCGTCAAGCGCAGTCGGGATTTACATCATCGGCCCACGTTGGCTTGTTCCAATGGAGCGAGAAATGGCAAATAAAGGACACATACCTATTGTATAATACTGTACGTTCATGCAATACCTTCCTGCAGTTTTCGTTGTGAAGCTACCAAACCGAGCAACGATCGGCCCTCCATCCCGACTTGGAAGGTACTTTGCAAGAAACATGCAAGCAGCCGATCGCTTGCAACAACGACTCGCTTGCATTTTGAGAGTCTAGATTTGCGCAATGCGCATGCGTGATCTGAGACTCCCACAAGCGAGCTTTGCTTTAGCCAAGCGAATATTGCTTCTATGCTTCTCAACTTCTCGGAATTTGAATCCTTTGGTCGTCGTTAGATCTTATTGCACCTTTTTGACTTCTTTTGAGGCATGCATCGGTCAACCGGTCATGACCGGAATATTCTGCCTGCACATGTTCAACCTGTTCAATTTGGAGACCGCTCCAGTCACCAGTGCACCATGTGCATGATCCAATGGATGGATGTGTGGCATGGTGACCGGTGATACCGACTTCTACGATCGAATCTCGTAGAACCTCGAAGTAAACATATGTTAATGCCGGTTACGAAATTAAAAAATGGGGTAATTCTGGTAGCACAAGACTGGTCATGCACATCGTCACCGGGTCATGCACGTCGCACGATGGTTGTGCCCAACCCCTACGGGTCATTTGTACACAAGCTTCCACATGAGCCCTCGCAAGACTCGAGAGCACGAAGATGTTCCGGAGTCAACCTGGGTCCTTCACTGAGAAAAGGGATTTTTGTGACTCCGAGTCAGCAGCAGCAGCGCCAGTCATGGAACCATGCAGAAACGACCCTCAAAAATAGGTTGGTTCACGCGTCTGACTCTGGCCAGGCGTCGCGCGTCGCGGTCAAATTCGGAGCGAGCAGGGATGGATGTACATGTGCGCCTCTGAATAAAGAAAAAGAAAAGAAAAGAAAAACGAAAACGTTTGCAGTCATCGATGTCAACGCAGCATCATGATATCATGCATCATAGCACGTTCACCTGGCACGACTCTGCTGACCCAATGCCATGCATGCAAGGCTCTCCGATTCCGACTCACATCCTCTGAGCTCACTCTCCTTACCCCTTTTGTGGCAACGACATACTTGCGCAATATCCACTCTTAATCCACCCTGTAAATAGCCCAACCTCTTAACAACTACCGTCACTGCACTGAGCTGAGTAAACTGCAAAACGAATCAGTCATCCGAGTCCTATATGTCGAGGACCAAACCGGTCCGTCCTCCTTCACAAAGGAGGCGGACAAAATGCGCAGCATGCGTTACTTTTGACCGGTCTGACCGCCCTGCAGCATGTGCATGGGTCTCGAGCGCGCCGACGTTCAAAAGGAGGGTAGAGAACTTGAAAGAAATCCGAATTTCAGTGCCCTTTTCCCGACGCACGCCTATTGTGACAGGCGGCCCGTACCGACGACGGCCGTCACACAAAGAGTTACAACCGAGGAAAATGAAGGAAGGGTCCAAAAGAAACCCCTCGGCTGCAAAACAATAATTTCCCATTTCGAACCCAAAAGGAGGTTTCGTCGGCGGTCGCTTCGGAGGGTTATTGGAATTTGTGACGGGCGTGATGGGTTAGTCAGTTAAAGTTGAAGCGCTTTTAGGGGTCCTGAAAAGGAAGTCCCGCCGGGACGCGTTTGACGGGTTCAGAATGACGCGATCTGACGCTCTTGTTTTACTCGTCGGACGGTCGTTTGGCTGCTTTTGGTGCTGATCAGAGTTGCTTGACTCGATTGGAGCGCTTCTTGCGTCGGTGAGGTATGCTTCAACAGTTCTATACTTGTTGATGAGTCATGGCAACGGAAGACAAAGGATTTATGAAGCGTAATTACTCAAATTTGCTTGTAATTGTATAGTTGTGCAAAGGGGCCTTTGACGTGACGGGATGATTGCATCGATGCGCACCAGCCGGATTCATGCGATGAGGTGCCAGATGGCAGATGTAACAGGTCCATGATACATGACGCGGACGCTTGCGTGCATCGCAAAATGATAGCGTATATTCGTAGTTACAGTACTTGGGTCACGACGGCAAACGTCCGGAGACGACGTTTGATTCGCTGATCTCCTAGTTAAGCTTTGATTGTCGTTTTACTTTGAATTCGTGAGACGTTTCTGGGGTTGCTCAACGTGACGTGCTCCATACACAGAAAGTGGAGTTTGAGTTCGCCACGGAGGTTCTAGAATGACTACTACCACTACTAGAGGGTACTGTACTACTGGACTAGTGGATTTGGCAGTGACGAGTCATACTTGGAAACGATCATGAGGACCGTCGAGGCCACGGTGATGTGCGCGCGCGCGCGTATGCCCTTGCAGTCATCGTCACGGTGATGGGAGTGTCTGTATCGAGCCACTATATGGGAAATTGACTATCGAGTCATTGGAACAATTAATGTGTTATACAAGGGAACAAGCGAAGGAGAGAAGTCACGGCATTTGAAGGCAAAGGGAAAGTCGTCGGGCGTTGTTAGGCTTCTGTATGCACTGTCGCGAACAGTCCCTAATATAAGCTGCATACAGCCCAGCTGTAATAATAGTACTGAATATGGTACGGCAAGTTCCTACTTAACTTCGTCTAACGTTAGCCTGTATCGAGGTAAAAATAGGTGACTCGTTCGCTCTCGCTCGGCCGAGCCGCAATAGTTAATAGACTACATTCACATCATCCTAGCAGTAAACCCATAATGGGACTGCGACGATACTCCGGGCATCAATGCATCAACTTGAGCTTGAGTGCCGAACTTCTATTTCTGAATTAACCATATAACATCAGTGCAAGGTGATCGGCCGACGTGGAAGAGCAATATAGAATGATAGGTTAAGCAGCACGCGAGTGACAAAGGCAGGTAACTAGGTCACAGTATGTCATTTTGGGGGGACAATGGCTGGACGTAGAAGGGCATCAAAGGCGATGTGATACGCCTGTACGGTTGATAGGAACGCATATACGGAAAGGAAGCGTGATACGCGCGATGTATGCAGCACAAAAAGGGAAAATGCGGACGTGTTCAATTGGGCAGTAGAAGGTTCGGTAGACGGGAAGTATGAGAAGCCATCAAGGAGCCGTACAGGGGTGGACTGTATCTTGTGATTCGTTGGAGCTACTTATCGTAGTGGAAGTGCATGTACTGAAATGAATAGCGCGTGGGTTAGACTATTCCACTGCGCCGAAGAACGGAGGAAGTGCGTGAAGCTTATGAGGGGGAGAATTCGTCACAGAAGGTTATGTGAACTAGTGAAAAAGCATAGACTACCGGAGTACCGTCACAGTGGCGCACGCAGGGGTCCTCGGAAGAATATCTGTGACCGTAAGGGTAAGATGATGTATCCGTCTAAAGTAGCTTGGTCAAGAATGGAGAGGTCATTCATTCATGACTGCTAAGTGAATGAACGAATATCCCTGCTGAAAGGGGAGGAGGACCGGGGATCCGAATGGTCCCGGTCAGGAGTTTGTCTATCTGTTGAAGCAGCAACGCGCTCGGTGATAGGGACTGATACGTGTGGGTTGAGACGGGAGCTTAATGTTTGATAAGAACGCGGTGAGAGAGAGGAAAAGGCGCCGAGAACAGAAAGATGAAGGCAGTTAACGTGAAGATAGGCGAAGCGCGAGAAAGCCAGCCGGATGTCGGAAGGAGAATAAGGAGGAAAAATGGCGAAAGAAGAGGAAGAAGGCGCGATAGAGGCGTCAAGTTGGCAACAAGACTGGAGAAGCAGGAAAGTGGCGCTTAATGCGGTTGGCTGAGAGGACGTGTGCGAGACAGCCGAGAGGGTTGCAAAAGGGAAGTTAGGGAACTCGCAGAATGCAGAACGTGCGCAGGCTCTGGCGGGGTGGTCACCGTTGCGTGACACGTGTGTCCCGAAATGGGAGGTACGGGGAGTGGAAAAGGTCTAGGCGGGATAAACGGATGGTCGGGCGGCAGATGTGACTGGGCAGTCAGATGGAGGCCGGACTCGTCGCCGTCATTTCGCAATCGGGGCCAGCCCTTTATAATATGCCCTCCCATGCCCTCATTTGCCCACCGCCTTTCACCAGTCTGCCTCCCCAAGCACCGCACACTAGGCCTCCCTTCCACTAGCAAGTACTCATCAGTACCAATCTCATATCAATGTTCGAAGAGGCTCTCGTCTGCATGACCTGCGGCAGGCCCGTAGATGGGTATGTTTCCCTCGAGGCTTCTCCACGCGACTTCTCGCTTAACTCTTATATACAGCCAGGTTTATTGCTCTGATCAGTGCGAGTCAGAGTCTATCGACACCACCTCGCCCTCTGCATCTGCCTTCAGCAGTGCTGCTCCGTCGCCATACCTGCCTCCGTCTATGAACGCACCAGGTTACCTCTCAGACGTACCTGCCCTCATGCCTTCATCGTTAGGTTACCACTCAAAGGGTCACCGTGCACACCACTCCATCTCTTCGTCGTCAAACTCTTCTGTCGTCTGGTCAGCTGTTTCAGACGACGAGGACGAAAGCCAAACACGCATCGCCATCGAGGGTGAACTCGCTCTCAACGCCGACTGCATGGGCGACGCCGGCAGTATCAGGTCTACCACCTCTGCTCTCGGAAGTGCGCTCAAGTCAAACTCCGGCCTGTCATATGCACGTCGCCCCTCCGCCACCAACCACCGGTCGACTATTCCCATCTTGCACCGCCGATTGTCTTCTACGTCCAACCAGCCCATGGCGTCTTTCAGCTCGACCCGCAGTGGTTCCCTTGCGGACTACTCTGCCGAGGAGGATTTCTCCGACGTCCCTTCTGGCTCCGTATCATCTTCGGTCGCCTCTTCCGTTCGCTCGCGCAAGGACACTATGCGTCCCGCCAGCTTCGTAGACGCTCTCGAGACCGATCAAAACAGCGCTCTCAAGCGCAAGCGTGACCGTACCAGCTTGCCTGCATGCTTTTCGTTGTTGCAAATGTCTCCGTCGGCAGGTTCCCCTGCCTCAAAACAGTCGAGTCGCTCTCCACGATCGCCCGCGTCTCTGCAAACTTTAAATGCTATCTCGCGTTCTCTCCACTCTACACCCACCACTCCTCGCACTGCCAATCCCTTGGTCGATCACACCTCCGCGATCGCAGAACCGTCTACTCGGACCGAAGCCGTGGAGCCAACTACTCGTGGGCGCAGTCGCAGACGTGACCCAGATGGTCGCTCTGCTTCTAGTCGCCGCTCCCAAGCACGTTCACCCCCTCGCCACCTTGCGCAGCACCCGCATACGCAGACGTCATCGACCTGCCCTCACCATCGCGTCACTCTTGGTGCTGAGGCACGCGCACGGCTGGACAGTGTAGAGAAGGTTGCCGATTGGGTTGCTTCAAGCCCCGTCGTTCGCATTCCCAACACATCCACGCGTCGCAACAGCTCTCCGCCCCCTCTTCCAAAATACGAGTTGATGCGAGGTGCGGGGTTCCCCGGTGTAGCTGACCTCTATGCCAGGAGTCTGCAGTACGCTGTGGATACTGATGATGAGGAAGTCGCGGTCAAGGAGAGTGTCGAAACGAGGGGAAGGCGGAGGGCGAATGAGTTGGATGCTGCGCCTATTGGTGTCCGGGCTCCTGGGTTCGGAAACGGGAGGAGCGGGTTGAAGGCGAGGGAGGATCGAGTGGGTCGGGAAGATATTAGAAGGGGAAGGTGGTGAGCGGCTCTCTACACCAAAAGGTCCTCTCGTCGAGGAAGGACTACCATGGATCGGTTACGCCTTGTCTGCTCTCGTCACGTTTCGTCAAAAAGGTTATCGTGCTTCGCATTCGGTTCACCATCATAGATGTCTTTGACACTTCGCCTTTCATCTCACCACTTTCACTCGGATCGATATTCCCCCTCATATATGCATACACAGGTCCTCCCCTTTGCTTCGTCTTCGACTTCGACACATCCTCCTCACCATATGGAAGATCATATCCATTACCTTCGTACTTCATTCGCAACCCTGGATCGTCTTCACGCATGTCTCGTATTCGGTTTCTCTTGTCTTCTGGTCTCCGGCTCAGTCTCATCATCGCAACTCATCGTAACTGGCACATTTTTTCTTTTCTCTTCTCGGGTTCATCCAACTGGACGCAAATGCTGTATCAAAATAACTGGGATCCAACAGCCCATTTTTATTCTCTTTTCGTTCTCGCCCTACTCAATGCTCCTATCTATTTCATCCATGTCTCATGTCTCTTTTCCACTCCATTCGACTTCACAATGCATCGTACCCTACCTACCACCTCATCTATATCTCCCCCAACCTCTACCTCTACACGAACATTTTCCAATTGCCGCACAAAAACGTTACTCGACTTCACATTCTCACTATAGCCCTAGTCATTGCCAGCCAAAAAATACCTTTCTTGGTTCACTCTTTGTGTCGTTCGTTCGTTGTGCTTCGTGCTTTGTTCACCCTCATCTCCTCGCTATCATCCTCATTTTCAGTCTACTCTACCTACATTACCTCACTCACTAGCACTTAGTTACGTACGGCCGTTTACATAGGATACACACTCATATATATTATGCATTGCGTTGAATGGAATTCGAGTTGCGTTTAGCTCTTTTTCGTGTGCTTGTGAGTCGTGAGTGATCTATGACTAGGAGAGGGTCGGAGCTGCCTCCTTTTTTTGCGTGACTCAGACTGTGTGTCGTGATGTCGGGTGAGATTGCGTGCGTTGCGACGAATGAAATGAAAGACGGCCTTAATTGGGTGAGTATGTACATATTGCAACAGAAGTGGCGTGAACAGTTCGTAATGCTTAGGTTAGGGAACGAAGGAATTGTCGCCATAGAAGTTGCAATGCGGTAGTGTCTAAGATACGCGTTACAAATCGAAGCATTACGAAAAGATCTAAACAACCTTCTCAGTCCTTCCGGGAGTCTTTCGTAAAGGGAAGAAAAGGAAGAAAATCGGCTGACGAAAGCAAAAACCTCTAACGGACTGCATTGTCCACGAGTCCTTGTGAAGTCCCCTCCCATATGAAAGTCGGTTCATGACCGCCTGAGGGAAAGCCGTCGGTAAGGAACGCATGGTACTAGAACCAAGAAGGGAAAAGCAATTTACCCATTATTAACCAACCCACTCTCAATTTAAAGCAACATCCACGGACCACACACACCCCTCTCCACGCGCACGCGTAAAGACTAATCAGCCAAGTGTGAATATGTGAAGAATAAAAGCTTGCTACTTTTTTGCGTACTTACCGACTTCTCGCCTGCCAGGCTGCAAGGTCACTGTTCCCAATCCACGGGCTGCGGATTACGGGCCATAAGCGACTATAAGCTAGGGAGATACACGATGGTTGACGATACGCGAAAAAGTGCGAGGCGCGGGGAGGGGGTATGAAGACGTGAAGAGTGTGAACCTCCTAATGAATCTGTGATAAAGAAAAAAGTCTTCAAGGGGGAGGGGCGCGGGTAGAGACAATTTCTGACGTGCAAGCTGGCGTGACTTACTGAGTGACTTTCAATGCTTGCCAAGGAGGGTTACTTACTTGGTGCTTCCAGAGTTCACATTCAGGAATCCAGATGGCCAATGGTGTGCCTCCTGGGGCCTTGCCTCCCCCTTTGTACCGGGCACCCTCTTACGTCTCATCCCGAACGCAAACCAAAAACACGCTGACACCGTGACTAGACCCCTAACTTTGAGGTTCATCGATGCATCTACAGTACAGCTATCGGGTCAACTGTTGCTCTCTTGGATTTCGGTCTTGAGAATATGGAGGAGCTGGCCACGAGTCACACAATGCATGAGGAGGCCCGTACATAAGGGCCGACAAAAGCGAGATCCAATGAGTGTGTTAGTTCTAGGTGTGCTTCAATTTTCGGCCGAGAGCCGCCACTGACCCTGATCGACAAGAGTTGAACGGTCCAGCTGACCCCTGAGGTGTTGAGTGTGAGCGAGCAATGAATTAGTGGAGTTCAGGGTAAGACAGTCACGTTAAAGCGCCATTGTTGACCCAGCAACCGTAAATATTTTAATAGCGTCACGGTAGCTTCTGAGGGGCGGGGGAGCAAAGGGAGATCCCGAAGTCAGGAACCTTGAAGGGGGCCAAATTGAAGACCAACCTGGTCTACATGTCGTGTGACGTGGACGCAAGCGGTTTTTTGATTACCTGTGCGCGAGTTGTGTTGGATCATGGGGCCGGAGGGAAATATATAGATTGTTGGAAAGGTGGGGCCCCACAGTGTTGATTGAATCGGGATAACCCATAGCTGCGGGGTATAACATCGAAAGAAAGAAAAACTTGATTGTCACTCAAGAGTAGCCGCACGGACCGCTTCGAGTTGAAGAGGGTAAAGCGGTGGGCGTGGTCCAAAAGTGTTGAAATGATTCATGGAATATGCATTATAAGTGTCTGGAGTTCGAATCGGTATGAGAGGTGTAGACGATATCCGAGTAGAATGACATACCTCCATTCGGCGAAGAGAAGCTACATACTGTGATGATGCGCCTTCTTGCAAAATCAAAGGCACCCTACTGTACTAGCATCCGCACCACGAAATACAACAAAGGAGCAATCACTGATCACCCAACTCAAGTGCTTCGAGGTACACCTGAGGGTACAGTAAGGCTAACCACCCAGTGAAAATTCATGTTAGTGAATGCAGGCAGATTCGACAGGTGATTGTGAACATGGGCCCGATCGTGCAGTCCTGGCTATCGATAATTGCATCGTAGCATGAACGGGGTGCTTAATGACGGGCCCACCTGGAGTGCGTTCGTTCCGGGGTAGTAAATTACACGTAGCGTCGAGAGCAAACCAAAGACCTGACAAGATACGCTCGTCATTCGAATCCTGTACAGCCGCATGGATGACAGCAGCCGGGATTAATGACATCCTTTACCTCGGGAAGAGGAAGGAAAGGTGTCGTTTAACCGTAACACAGGGGAGCGTCCTCGATTTGCTATGATAAACGATCCTTTTCCTCCTGAGGCATCCTCAGGAGTACGGGATACACAGCGCTCCGGCACGCCTGATTACCCCGAAATGATTCGGGCGTGGATCCACAAATAGGTGCTTCTACGATGTAGAAGGATGGTTGTGAATGATCAAGACAGTTTCTTGACCTCATCGCAAGATGCTGACGCCGCAATTAGAGCAGCATAATAAGACCCAGCATTTGAAGAGGATCGTGTTCGAAGTCGGAGCATCTCGGGCAAGAAGATGCAAGCCCGTGTTGCTCGCTATCCTCCATCAGCAACAGTGAACCTAGACATCGGCATAACGAGCTTTGTAGAAACATAAGTACTAGGACGAAGTGGAATTGCTGGGATGGACGCGAATTTAGACACGCCATCCAATCATATCACCAAAATTGGATAGCAGTCCAAACCTCGAAGTAGCACCCTGGTATCGAAGGAGAAGGCCAGTCGAGAGACCGCGTTGTTGAAGCATGACACTCTGACTGGCCTGCCTATGCTCCTATGCATATGATCTATGAGCATTGATAACGGCAAAGCGCACTCTGTATCGGCGGATCGTAGATGGCCCCTGGATTGAGACGGTCAGATTAAGACAGTCATACTGCGCACCAGCTATGTCTGCGACCCCAGCAGTTATACTTGTACACAGTACTTTAGTCAGTAGCGTATATTTGAACATATATGCATTGAAAGATGGACATAAGAGAATACGAGAGGATGAAGCAGATGTCGGCTAAGAGGAAACACGAGAGACGCGCGTGTCGCATACTCCGCTGAGCGGTAATGAGGACAGTGCAGGTCAACAGCCAGCCCTCTCTCATCCTGCATGCAGAAATCTCACCTTGGTCTGATACCACTACTTTCATCTGCATCCACATCGTCTGCCGTCTCCAGAACATTCGTCTCCTGTTGTTCAAGAGATTGTCACCGAATTTACCATCGTCACCATTGATTCACACTCCCAGTCCAATTCTGCGCGGGGCATCGTCCCTTTGACGTCCACATCCCTCCCAATCTCTGCGTCGGAACAACCACATATTTCTGATATTGTATCTACACCCCCAGGTACACCGTCCGTTAGAAGAACAAACCAACCAGGCCCCGCCACGAGCCCCAGTCTTATCCCGTCTACTCGTCGTAGAGTTGACCTTGAAGAAGGGGACACAAACGTACATCAGTCAACGCAGGAAGCATACACCTCCAGTCCCGCCTCCTTTCCATTTCTTCACCCGTCGTCAGGCTCCCCACAACTCACAGCTGAGTCACCCCGTGCCAGGAAGAGGCAAAGAATTGATAGTGTGAGCTCAATAACATCCGTCGAACGCTCTCTACTTCCAGAGGACTCTTACACCTCCGTTCATACCGATAACATCATGCGGCTCACTGAAACTGACGAGGATTCAACGCTTTCTGTTTCATACGATTCTATGGCAGAACCAGGCCCATCATCTTCCCCGCTTAAACACAATGGCATCTCCAAGACTACTAATGGCTTCTCCTCGCCTTACACCAATGGAAATGGGAAGGCCCGTGTGCTGGACAGCCTGGATGGTCACACACCTGACCGGTCTCGTTCGTCTATAGCCAGGGTTTCACTTCCAGGGTCAACATTGTACAACGATTCGTATGTTGATCGGGAGGAGTTTGTTAGATTGGTAATCCAAAGCTTGCGGGACGTTGGGTACATGTACGTGTTCACTGCCATTCTGCTATTCGAGCATTCATTCTGACACCTCTGATCGTCAGCGAATCGGCCGCAACATTAGAAGCAGAGTCCGGATATACCATGGAAAGTCCGGAAGTGTCAGATTTCCGACAGTGTATCCTGGATGGTGCTTGGGCGCAAGCAGAGGCTGCGTTAGAGCATCTTGGTGTTGCAGAACTGGAAGACCTTCAAGTGAGAAGCATACACTTTAAATGGACAGTGCAACTGACTTACGTTATTCTATCCCTTAGGAGGCCAAGTTTCTCATTAGCAGACAGAAGTATCTAGAACTTCTTGAAGCTGATAAGACGTCGGCTGCGCTGCAGGTCCTACGATATGAACTGGCGCCGCTGAACGTCGACCCTGATCAACTACATTCATTATCCGGGTTCGTGCATTGGCTTTCGGGCTTTGATAGGGACACTGACGCTTTTTTAATATTCGTGTAGTCTGCTGATGTGTTCGGACTCTGCGGATCTTCGACATCAAACTGGCTGGGATGGTACGTCAGGGACGTCAAGAAGACAGTTATTGGTGAACCTACAACGTTAGTATTCCCGTCGGCCTTATTGTCCATTGCATGCTTACGATTAGTACAGGCTACATCCCATCATCGGTTATGATTCCACAACGGCGCTTTGCGACGTTGTTGGACCAGGCACGAATTTATCAACAAAGCCGGTGTCTATATCATAATTCTCCCACTAGTGCCCGAACATTTTCGTTATACACGGACCATCTTTGTGACAACAGTGCTTTCCCTAAGACTACATCGGTCATCTTGGAAGGGCACAATGATGAAGTATGGAATTTGGAATGGAGCCATGATGGGAGATACTTGGCTACCGGTAGCAGCGATAAGACTGCAATCATCTGGCGAATAGGAGTGAGTTTTCTTTCCTCAATCAAAAGGCACCCTTTGCCCATGATTGGTCGGTATGCACGTACTGAAGCCTCCTTTAGCCTGGTACCGATCCCAACACACGAGAAATTCGCTCACAGTTTATCCTGCGAGATCACCAATTCGCTGTCGGTTGCGTTGCGTGGTCACCAGACGATTCTGTACTGCTCACATCCGCCGAGCATCACATCAAGATGTGGAATACACGGGTAAGTCCCATGAAATGTACCTCGAGGATAACCACTGAATGGGTTATCCCAATAGACCGGTGTGTGCATGAACATGCTCGATGTCCACAAGGACGTGGTCACCGCGCTTGTATGGCTGCCTGACGGTTCTGGGTTCATCTCTGGCGGTCTCGATAGGAAGATAGTCTTCTGGGTGTGTACACATCCACTGCTATGGGTCAACTAGTGAATCCAACTAAACATACCTTTCAGGATGCTGACGGGAAACAACGGGATAGTTGGGACCGAACTCCCATCCGAGTGACCGATTTGGCCATCACACCAGACTTCACACGGCTGGTTGCTGTTGGAATGTACGACCTGCCTGCAACACCACACCCAGGCAGTAACCCGACGGCCCCAGATAGCGGGACACCAGCCGTTGGGGGTTCAGCCCCAGCTAATGGATCGGCGGGGTCAGCAACTCGACTCATAGTGTACCAGCTATCCAATCAGCAGGAGCAAGCGTGAGTATTCATTTAAAATTGGATATTCAGAGTTGTACTTTTGCACCCGGGTGCTGATTATCTTGGCGAATTTTTACGTAGATCGGTGCAAATGGATGGTGAATTGACAAGCGTGAAAGTCTCCGATGACTCACAGTACGCCTTGATCAACCGTGCGTCGAAAGCGAACGCGAACTGCGTGAGTGTTTTAAAGGTTTCCGCAGTACGTCTCACGTTCCTCACATGTTTTATTTCTATAGGAAATCCAGCTGTGGGACCTGAACACCCACAAGATTGTGCGAAAGTACCAAGGGCATAAACAATCGCAGCATGTCATCCGAAGTTGCTTCGGCGGCGTAGACGGTAGCTTCGTTGCAAGTGGAAGTGAAGGTCAGTTCCTCGCGTGTGAATTGTCGAGTCTATTGGCTTTGGTTTCCTAACACATCGCTCTTTCACAGACGGCAATGTCTACATATGGCATCGTGATACCGCTGAACTGCTCGAGACGTTGTCTGGGCACGGAGAAGGCAGCGTCAACTCTGTAGCGTGGAATCCGACGAATGAGCGGATGTTCGCGTCTTGCTCCGACGATAGGACTATTCGCATATGGGAAGCACCTCCGCAGTCAGCTTATCTGACAAGCCCTGCGTTGGTAGACGTTCCTGCTGAATATAATGGTAACGAGCCGGAGAGTAGTGGGAAGGGCAAAGGTAAAGGCCGGGAGCGGTGGGATGGGGACGACATGGATGGTGTACATTATGGATATGTTAGCGGCGACGTTTCGACGTCGTTGTGATTGGTTCAGGGGTAACCTTCTTTCTTGTCTGATTACTCATACAATCTCGTTCTTTTTTTGCCTTTCCTCTCCACATTGCATTATTATCAACTTTTCATTCCTATTGCAACGCAATCACCACCCACACCCTCAACTCAATTGCATCTCATCTCCCAGGTCGTTCATCGTTATCTCTGCATTTCTCTATTCGCAATTACTGATATCAACTCTTCAAATGCATAGACTGTTACAATATAATATTCGGGCTTTCGGACTGCAACACCTCCCCTTTTGCTTACCAGAATAGTTATTTCTTCTTCTTTCTCTCTCTTAACTATGTGCATTACAAGCTGCTTCGCAGAATTCTCATTTGCTTGCTTCGATCATATGCATCTTGTGTCGGCGTTTCAGTGCGACGCGTTGGAACCTACTTGACGCGTCGCGATCACGAGACCGCGTCTGTCCGGCCTTAGTGGTGGATTCTGAATTCTCTGGTAGCACTAGGCAACTTAAATGCAGACGAAGCATGTATGAATGTCAATGATATTGTAGAGGACGGGATCACAAGATGTGGGACAGCACCAGCAGATTAGTTAGCACAATATTCGTAATCTACTACACAAGGAGGGGAGTGACCGGAATATGAAACTCAAGGCATATGAAGTTTCGCAGAAATGAGTGGAATAAAGGAGAAGGTGACTGAAACCTGACTAGGTTGCGTTCAGGCCCTGCCAGAAACTTCAGCATTGACCGAGAAATGAATTCTTCGGAAAAGGCTGCTTATAATCATCCCTCCAGGTAGTCAGATTGGGATTAGTATAGGCCTCAATATATCTACACGTCTCGTCAGCGCCATACGAGAAGAGTCCACATAAATTACACCTACCCCTCGATATAAGCAGCGGTAGGGAAGTTGGGAGGGTCGCAGCCAATGTTGATCGCGTCAGGATCTTGATAGACGCGGATCCAGTCAACCTTCATGGTAGCGGGGAAGTGCAAGTGGCCGAGGTCGACATCTCCAAAGTTCGTCGACATACCAAGATTTGCGATGAGGTACTTAGCAGGTTTGAGCGTTTTTCAGTTTTTGAAGGACGTTCATTGGACACATACCATGGGCTCTTGTGAAACAGGGCGAGAGCTGATCTCGACTCCAGAATCAGCGGCCATTCCTGGTTGCTTTAATGTCCAAGCAAGTACACCATCAGAAATCCAGGAGATGTACTACAGACAAGTAAGCGCGGACAGGACGGCTGATATTCTTCGCTTTACGCGTACGGCATCATCGAAGCCCGGCTTATATTGTATCCCATAAACAGAGTATACGTTCCCGGTACCCTCATACGCTTCCTGGTCTAATGGCAGCTTAGTAAAATGGACAGGGCAGAGCTGAGAAGTGAATTTGGACACACTCGTTTCTGTTACAACTGAAGTTGCCTGTTGGAAAACACTACTGACGTAGGGCTTCAGGTAACTCCTGGACGGATCGGCAATGAACAAAGTATCAGAGTTGTTGAACCATTCATATGCTTCATTGAAAGGCTGCAAAAATGGCAAAGGTCAAGTGGAAGCATACGACGGAACCCATAGCGAACATACCCCCCACTGGCCAGACTGCGATACCTGCCCCGAAAGTGGATCTCCAGTGATCTATGAGATGAAATCCTCGTTAGGGCGTTCTGATATAAGCTGACTGATTTCATCATACCTGCGCTTCGAATATATCAATCTCAGGAGCGGACCGGCCAACATAAGTGCCGTCGGCATGCACAGGACCAGGATGAGATTCTCCAGGGCAAGTGCAACGAGAGAGGCGTTGTCCCGGTAGGAAGGACAGAATGCCATCGTGATCCTTGTCACCATTGACAGTAGCAGCAGCCGGGAGCCCATTCATGGTTTGATTGGAAACAGTGCCAATATCGCATGCGTCATATGTATAAGGCCACTAGCCGGACGACGCAGGTTAGTGTCAAATGCATAAAATTAAATCGAAGCAAACCCTTACCATGCCTTCGAGACTGGCGCCGTATCCAACGCGGCCTAAATTCCCCATGGTCCGTATAGCGGGCCACAGACCCACTATGTTGTTAACACCAGGCAAAACGACAGATGTCTCGACCAGACCGCCTGTGAAGCAGAACTTATTCCAAGATGTCATCATTCCACCGGTGTAATTCATCCCATGTCTGGGTGTCTCGGATAAGGTAATCACCAACGAGCCATTTTCAGTTGTAATAGCGGCTGGATCATACCACTCTATGTCGTTCGTCTGCCAATAGTGGAGGTCGACAGCTTCCCAGTATGGGTCGTCACCAGCATAGAAGGTGCGACCGTCAACATTGAACTCGTCACTGAAAATGAGCTGCCACCTTTTGTCGGTAACGTAGTCGGATTTGGTGAAGGCGTCCGGCGGCGTGTCTGTCTATGGGCCCCCAGTTGCTGGCCATAGAACGAATCTGCCGGCTTCCAGAGACAATCTTACAATGAAGTAGAAAACCCATGACCCACCTGTCTAGTGCTATTGATACCTTTAGAATTGACGCCGCCATTGTTCGAGATGGGCTTCTTCGTGAAATAAGTGATCAGAAGGAACCCGGCACTATGATCGTTCTTTCAGCGCAATACTGCATGCTGTGGATTGGATGGACGTACAAAAGTGTTGCCACTCCGAGACCAAGGAATAATAAATAAACTAGGTTTGCTACACGACGAGAACTTAGTATAGTACCTCCTTGATCATTCTTCCTGTCACGCCTAGGGTCTGGATTATGGAGGTGTCCGTCTGCTTCACGGATATTCATCCATATATTGCCTCCCCAAGATGACGGGTCGGGTGACGTTGCGAACTATACTCCACATCCGCTTTTTGTTTAGACAACGTATCAATCGGGCCAAAGAGAAAAACGCTACCTTGTCCGCAAGGGAAGCTGGAAGAGGCCCTTTCTCCTCATCGCCTAGGGACGAAACATAAGAAATATCCTTCTGCAAAAAAAAGACGAATTTAGGTTATATATCCTTGAAAAGAATGTTTGACACTGACCATCGAAGGTAAAATTGTGACACTATGCACAGGTGGCACTCCAGAGGATGTTGCATGCATAAGGGGAGATTGGGCTGATGCAGAGACCGAGATGTTCTTGGACCTAGAGTCACCTCGGAGATGAAGGGTATGTGAGCTGTGTGCCATAAGTTACAGAGGTGTAGTAAAAGGATAGAAGCGAAGGTTTGTGGCCTTCAGTAAAGAGCGACTAGGCAATGTCGCGATTCCTATGAACAGCAACTGGGCCTGGTGACAGTGAGTTAGAACGAAGTTACACAGCCGAATCCATCTGCAGCTGGCCACATATGAGTTGTAGGCCAACATTTCCGATGTAGGGCCCTCGTTATTCTTTTTTCTCGGGTGCCCATCGGTCTCACGTATGACAGGAAGTCACAGTATGGACTTCCATCAAAAGTCATAGAGGACGAAGTGTCGCGCCTATTAATTGACAATGGTAGCTGTCAATCATTGTCAAGGTTGTCGGTTTCGACAACGCTGAAGCACTAGGACCTTGATCTGTTCACCAAGGTCACCCACTCCTTACCCCGTCCTGGGAAGGCTCGTGCATGACAGTCGTCATGCAAGGCATTGTTGTATGCAGTGGACCAGCAATGGGCTTTTCAACATTGGTAGCGAACAGGCGAAGAAGAGGACGGCGCTAATCAAATTGAATCCAAAGAGCACCTGGAGATGTGCATGAAAGGAGATGTCTAATATTCTCCCTTATCGTTTTCTCACGCGACGAGTCTTTCGTAAGGATGTAAGTTTGGGAACAGGGGGCAGAAATGTCAAAGTAGGTTAGGTTGCATCCAAATGTTGGATTAAAGTTCAGCATTGACTGAGAAATGAATTCTTCGGAAAAGGTTGCTTATAATCATCCTTCCAGGTGGTCAAGTTGGCGTTAGTGTATGCCTCCTCATACCTACACGGATGATCAGTATAAAATGAGGGAGGTCCATAGACATTAGACCTACTGTTTGAGATACGCAGCGGTAGGGAAGTCTTCAGGGTCGCAGCCAATGTTGAGCACGTCAGGATCTTGATAGACGCGGTCCAATCAACCTTCATGGTAACAGGAAAGTCCAAGTTTTCGACGTCGACAAATCCAAACTTCGTGGACATGCCGAGATTCGCAATGAGGTACTATAGAAATGACGAGAACTTACGCGTACCTTCACAAAATAATATTGGAACACATACCATTGGTTCTTGTGGAACAGGACGAGTGCTGATCTCAACTCGGGGATCAGCAGCCGCGCCTGGTTGCTTCAGCATCCAAGCCAGTTGGCTGTCGGAAATCCATGAAATATACTATAGATAGATGAGTAGCGAGGATTGCCTAGTCTCTTTACACTTACGGCGTCGTCAAAGCCTGGTTTACACTGTACACCATAAACAGAATACACATTTCCAGTGCCTTCATATGCTTCCTGATCTAGTGATAGTAGATTAAATGCACAAAGGCATAGTTTGAAAATGCAATCGGACGCACTCGTTTCTGTTACAACTGATGTTGCCTGCTGATAGACGCCACCTTTGTAAGGATTCAGCATACTCTTGGATGCGTTGGCAATGATAAGGTTATCTGGTGTATGAAACCATTCATACTTGGCATTGAAAGGCTACCAAACCAAAAGTTGACTCGATATATTCAAGGAAAATATGATGAAGCTTTAACGTACCCCCCACTGGCCAGACTGCGATACCTGCCCCGAAGGCGGATCTCCGGTGATCTATGAGATGGAATCCTCGTTAGGCGTTTTAATATATGCTGGCTGGTTTCATCATACCTGCGCTTTGAATATATCAATTTCAGGAGCGGATCGGCCAACATAAGCGCCATCGACATGCACAGGACCAGGATGAGATTCTCCAGGGCAAGTGCAACGAGAGAGGCGTTGTCCCGGTAGGAAGGACAGAATGCCATCGTGATCCTTGTCACCATTGACAGTAGCAGCAGCCGGGAGCCCATTTATGGTTTGATTGGAAACAGTGCCCATATCGCATGCGTCATATGTGTAAGGCCACTGAATGGAAGAAAAGGCACTGTTAATATGTACGAACGATTCTAACACGACTTACTCACCATGCCGTCGAGACTTGCACCATAACCAGCCCTGCCCAGATTACCCATAGTCCAGATAGCGGGCCAAAGCCCGGCGACATTGTTTATTCCGGGGAGCACGACAGATACCTCCACCAAGCCGCCAGTGAAGCAGAACTTGTTCCACGTTGACATCATACCACCAGTGTAGTTCAGCCCATGATTAGGTGTCGCAGATAAAGTGATCTCCAGGGAACCATTGCGGGTCATAAGGGCGGATGGATCGTACCACTCCATGTTGCCCGTTTGCCAATAGTGTAGGTCAGCAGCCTCCCAGTAGGGATCGTCTCCTGGATAGAAGGTGCGCCCCTCGACGTTGAATTCATCGCTGAAAATGAGTTGCCAGTCCTTGCCCGAAACATAGTCAGGCTTAGTGTAAGCATCCTGCGGCGTATCTAAGTCGATGAGTCCCCAATTTCCCGTCATGGAAGGGACCTGCGGGAAGTCAGAGAAAGCTGGCGATACATAAAAATGATGACTCACTTGTCCGGTACCGTTGATTCCTCCCAAGTTAAATCCGCCATTGGTAGACATAGGGTTCTTGGTAAAGTGATCGATAAGAGGGTAGCCAGCACTATGACACCGCTGTCAATATGGCGATGTGCACCGTAGCTCTTAGAGGTACAAGAGTGTCACTATTCCGAGACAAAGGAATAGCAAACAACCCAGGTTTGCCGCACCGCGACCGCTAGAAATCGTATCTCCTTGATCAAAATTCTTGTCTCGCCTAGGATCTGGATTATGGAGGTGATCGTCTGCTTCACGTATGTCCATCGAGACATTACCACCCCAAGAAGATGGGTCGGGGGACATTGCGAACTTTCCCCGAAATCAGCTCATGTTTATACAATATGCCGACCATGGAGATGAAAACATATATTACCTTATCCGCAAGAGAAGGCGGAAGGGGTCTGTTCTCTTTGTCGCCTAGAGTCGAGGTATAGGATATGTCGCTCTGTGCAAAGACGCGTAAGTTACACTTATTGAAATAAATGTATGGTACCCACCACGGTTGACGAGCTCGCGACGCTACAGAAAGAGGGCACCCCGGGAGAAGCTGCTTGAGGTTTCAAGTCTCCTCTGAAGTGAAATGCATGTGGATCGCGTGCCATAAGTCACAGAAGTTATATGAAAGAATGGAAAGACTACGGTCTGCAGTAAAGAGCGACTAGACGGATAGCCAGTTGGCTGTGGATAGAAGGAAATAGAAGAAGTTGAGTGAATGAACTTCTATGCAGCTAATATATATGAGTTGTGTGTGCCAATATTACCTTGGAGCATTCGCCGACGCGGCGATCCCATTACTATGAAAGATTGCATATAACACCATCAAGCGTCATAGAACAATAATAGAATGGTTCAGGTTAAAAATCCCCGCTGGCCGTGGCCGTCACTCGTCGTCAAGGTAAGCCTCAGGAAAGGTGTCTGGGAATCTGAGTCGGATATGACTTTAGGATATATCGTGTGGAAGCGCAGCATTCTTTGTAACTAAGTTAGGTGTTGCTCAATGAGTAATGTTGGATACATACCTAGCACAGCCACGTATCAGCCGCAAAGCGTCGTATGAGGAACACCAGTGTTGTAGATTGTAGGCTCGAAATAGAGAATGTAAACAAGGTATTCCATGCTATGTCACCTGAATGTTAGAATTGGTATGTAGCAAATACAAGAAAGGTACCAACTTCGGTCGAGAGACAGTATACGCGTACTTGTAGTTTGCATACAGGTTCCCATAATTTTGCCGCTTGTCTTCTGATGCTCCAAACCGTCTTTGATCACCGCTAGCTAGGCTCCGCTGGTGAATGGCAAGAACGAAGCTGCGAGACTAGCGCAAGGGCCCTTATCGATTTCCCTGTTCCTGGCGCCTCTGAGTCTTGCCATGGACAGACCCGCGATGTTAAGGGAGTCCCGAGAGTCTCGACCAGTATCACTTCGAGTGTTTGATTCTGAAAGGTTTACGGCGGTCAGTGACTGCTTCGCATGTCAACCGTCACATTGCAGAGGCACCACTCGGATGGAGAGCCAAATACCATTTAAAGCAGTCTCAACCTTTGAATTGCCCATGCAGCAAGCTTTTGATGACCTTGCCAGGTTCGGCCATTAGGTCAATCCATGACACGGAGGCAGATGTTCTACCGATGTCCCATAAGATCAGTACGCTAACACGCATTCATCCTATCGTACCTGACCCTGGGCTCTTGTATTGTGATCGTAATAGCCCGAGACCTGAAAAATTTTGCAATCACGACATACACCGAGTCCGAAGGGGACAGCCAAGTCTTCATACTCGCCTTATCAATTTTGGAGAGAATGTACCGCTATTGCTCGCGTACTGTCCCCAAGATTGACAGGACATGCACGCAGTATTACGACCGGTGAGAAAACCTGAGAGAGCATAATTATGTTAACTCAAGGGGTTCATACCCGACTTGTCTTGTGCGCCATGTTAACACCAGGAGGGTCCGAATAGCTGGAAGTCTCTCAGGACACGACCTAGCAAATGTGATGTATGAGAATCCTGTGCAGAAATACAGTGAACTGACTACCACTCTCCGATGTACACACGTATGTCCGTCATTACCTTGAATAATAAGCAATAATCTACACTACAGGGAATCATTGAGGGTAATCTGATGTCGTAGTCGTTAAACCAGAAATGGGATACTGAAGGCTACTAGATAATGTAGTGGGTAATCCTGGAGACGATGGAAACCAGAGCGAAAGATATGCGATAAATGAGTGGAAGCAAGGGAAAGCCGCTATATAGCCGGATTTCAGGGTCAGGGTCGGGGCTTGGCATTAGACGTAGGTGGGAGCTGAGAAGCAATACGGTTCTTTGGCAAGAAGAGGGCTGCCATAGGATCCTTCTTGGCGGCCGGTGGTTTGATCGGACGACGCTCAATAGGTCGTTGCGATTCAGGAGCAGATGTGACTGACTTGAGGTTATGGCTATTCGAATGAATCGATGAAGCCTTTGCCACGGGAGTATGCTTCACAGGTGAATGAGAGATAGCAGCGGTATTAGGCGGTTTCAAAGGCTTAAGACACGGGCGCGTAACAGCTGTAACGGTGACATGACTACCAGGTGTACTACTAGACGTTCTAGCAGCAGAGGAGGGAGTAGGAGTCGCCGTGATCATAGTCGCACTCGAAACAGGTCGATAGGTTTTGAGAGTTGACATAGGTGCCATCAGCGGCGAACCATATAAGCCTTTGTGCATTTTGGCCGCATCCGACCTGGTCTTCTGGAGCAGTGACTTCGGTTGAGAAGAACCCCCTGAATGTACCATCAGTATCCTCCTAAGTAAATGACAGCTCCGAACTTACAGCCGCGGGATCGTTTCTGAGGCGGTGGCCGGTCAGTCAGCTTGATTTGACTTTCCTTTTTGCGTAATTCTTCCTTTTCTCGTTGAATACGTAGCCGTGTTCCTGCGGCCTCTAGTCTCTCAGCTTCTAGATCTCGTAGAACCTGCAACATTGCATGAGCTCAGAGAGCAACAGCACACACGGCTGGCTCACAAAGTAAGCATCTCTCCATGATTCCGGTGCTTCATCCGAGTACTGCTGCTGAGCGAGAAGGGGGTATACTTGGAAACATAGTGCTTGCCAAAGATCTACAAAAAATGATACCTGTCAGGAGAGAATGCAAGGGAATGAAATGATGACGTGATCCCACCTGATGTGTCCTGAGCAAGATGCTGCAAATCGATATCATAAAAGCCCGCACAAGCGTGAGTATACAGCAGGAAACTCACAGGAGTGGCTTGCTCGAGCCTCGACAGCGTTTCGGCGGAACAATGCTGCAATATGGGTCGGACGAGATCAAAACGGAAGTCAACGCCTAAAGAGGTTAGCCCTGAGAGTGATGACATGAGTAAACAGTAAACATTGCAATGAAGTCCAAACACCAAACTTACTTTCTACATTCGAGATTGCCACTGCGAGTACTTCGATCAAGACGGGTTCTCAAGGAGAAGTGGCGAGCATACATACTTCGTTGGCAAAGAGCGACAAGTGAAGGGAGTTGTCGCAAAGTGCTCGGTGATGTTTCTCCGTCATCGTGCATATCGCTCAGTAGACACAGTGAGCCAGAATTTCAGGTTGAATGTTGGAAGTGGTGGTAAAGCAGAACGGAGCGTGTAACGCCCGTATAGACACCGGAATCTGTTCGGCTGGATGCGGCCTTGACTTTCCCACAGCCACTTTATGGGTGCTTCTTGAACTTACCTTGATTTGGGCAATACGTGGTTTGATTGGAGGTAAAGATTCGACTTGGCTCACCATCTCTCGCATGTCAAAAATAAGAATATATCTAATTAGGAATGTCTACCAAGCACACAACTTGAGTATTTGTTCGAGATAGGGGGTAAACTGAAGAATGTCCGTGGCATCCCACATTCTCATGGCTCTCCGACCGGTGGACTGGATACGAGTGTCTCTGCAACAAGGATATGGCATGTAGGCTGTTGGTACTCAATCGGAGCATCACCGTTACGTAGATATTTGGACGCTTCGAGATCTTTTCCCTGAAGCGCAGCAGTTGCAGATACTGGAAAAGTACCGTGGCCACCTAACAGCATGTCTATGTGAACAAGGGCTCGGCGTGTTCATGATCCGCGACATTGGGTCAGCGATGTATTCTCATGGGTCTTCCGAATGCTTATTTCGATGACTTCTTCCGCGATCGAGGTTCATTGCCAGACATAGCTCAGTGGCAGCTCTATGTATGTATATCCATTGCAACAAGACGGGTCCTGGGTATGGCTCACCTATTTCCCATATTCAAAGAAGATTCGAGGTGAGAAAGCACCTTGGGATCTCCCATCCCTCAGAGGCGTGAGTATCACAATCCAGATGAACGCTGAGAAGATATATTCGGTGAGCTAACATGACCGGTAATGCACCAACCAGAGTAAACGACAATAGTGGCCTTATAAAAACGTGTTCGAGGGGCTCGCATGGGAGAGCAGATGCACCGTGGAAGATGTAACGTTACCGCGTACGTATCCAGAAGTACCGCCCTCGTTGGTGTCGTTATCTGTGTAGGGCGTTCCACAGGCACGGGTTGCCTGAATTCCTGCCTGTCAGAAAATTAGAATCGGCCCTGACAAACTTGGTGCCACTCCTGTTGTCGTTTGAGCCAGAGATGGGAATCGGTCACCGTCATGTATTCGCGAGACATGCCGACCGCGTGTGATAGCTATTTCGCAACGTTCCAGACGCAGAATCAATTGATTACCTGTAGTTCTTTCTCAGAGTGTTCAAAAGTCAATGACTGGCGCGGACAGAATTGGAGATTCCCGGCGCCAACGTCTCCGCTCAACCACGATTGGGAAGTATGTCACAAACATAGGTTTTACAGCATACCCGTGGGTTCGACAGTATGTCAAAATTGAGCAGCGCCAGACCATATAAAGCCTCTCAACGCGTCTTGGCCAAGCAAGCGAACCTACTGCCCTGAAGCCATTGCTGCTCATTGTCCAAACGTCATGTACTACGCACCTGCCCAAGACACACAACAGCCAACTCATCCTCGACTTCACGTTCGAGATGCACGAGACGCTCACATCGTGTTCGAAGCTGTCAGGCAAGGTCATTTGAAAGCTGTCGTCCGTCGGCTCAATGAGCTAGAGCGAACAACCTACATCCGATCTGGCTCTATCTTCGTGTGGGAAGAAAGCGAAGACGAGATGGGTCTGAAGAGATGGACAGATGGGAAGGTGTGGAGCGGAAGTCGAATGCGAGAAGTGAGCCAAATTTCTTTCCATACACTGATAGCGAAACTCAATGCCTGCCGCATATTTTTAGCCATATTTATTTTACGACGAAAAAGTTGCCGATGAGGTCCCGTCAGCATCTGAACACAGTCCCAAGTAAGTATTTATCATCTGAGAAAATCATGAGAGTGGTGTGAACACTTAGGAACAGATCAACATATCGATTCGTGGATGGTCCTTCTCGAACTTGGTCATCTTCTGCCCAGTCTCATTATGAGCGCAGTGACCACCATCCCACAGGCCTTGTTAAGCAAGCCTATTCCGCATGGATAATGGAGTCAGTTAACGCCAAGCCACGCAAATGGCACCTTACCGCATATTTCACATACACTGACCTTCCAAACATTCCCACAATCGACCAGGATCCGATCCTGCGTAGGATCTCAGTGCCCCCTGGAATTTACAAGAGCGGAAAGGCAAGGTCTCGGACATCCGACGCCACGTTACCATCGCCTTCACTCTCAATACCTTCTCGACCTTCATCTCCTGTCACCCGTCAGTCGACTCCCGGTCCTGGGACTCAGGGACGCAGAGAACACATTGTCCTCCCTTCCTTGCAATCTGCAATAGCGAGTACCAGTATGCATCGCCATAACCCTCATCAACATCCCCATGCGCGCATACCGGAGGATCAGCGAATGATACAGATGCTTAATTCACGCCCGATCTTGTAGACCCTTGTGTAGATTCTGCGTTTTCCGACGGTAGCGCGATTTAGGTTGTTAGGTTTACTACGAACTTGCTTCGTTACTTACAATATGGGTTTGTGGCGACATTTCAATACTAATTCTTGCCGTACTTGCGTGAGAAGTGCGATACCAACCGGAGGCACGGTACAAGGAGCGGACAGTTATGACCTGTAATATTACAATGTTTCGAAGTAATGATACAAAACGATACGCGTACATAAATTCGTGCATCAGGGGTGCACACTCAGTCTTCTTCCTCGTCAGACTCGGCGTTCTCTTGCTGGCGCGCGGTCTCTTGTGCATTCATAGCTCCGACTATGTCATCGGACTGGCCCTTCTCAGCAGCTAGTCGTTGACCTGCGCGCTCCCTGTCAGGACTTAAAACTCGTAACGGAAGTTATCATGCAACGTACGAATCAGTGTATGGATAGCTTGCTGTGTCTGTCTATCAAGCTTTGTAAGTTTTTTCTCCATATCACGCTTCAAGTCCCAATTGGCTCGTTTTGGCGCGATATTAAACAAATCCTGGGCGAAACATGAGCGATTGGAACGGACAAAGGGGAGGGGTATGACTAACGAGTTCTTGGGCTCTTCGTTCAGCATCCTCCGCAATGATCTTTTCTGCAAGGCCTTCCACCTTCTTCTCAACGGTATCTTCCATAACGACATCGTCCTCTGGTGTGTGCTTCTTGAGACCACGAGTCTCTGGGTCGAAAGTACGGTGTTTTATGACAGGTTCCTCGACAGGCCTGTAACGCAGATTATATGAGCAAATGCGAAATAGAAATATCACCCTTTACTTACCCTTCTCTATCTCTCCGCCGCTTCAAAGCAAGTAAGCGGGCTTTACGTGCATCGGAGGTGTCTGCCAAAGACATGCCAATGGTTGCGTTCTACCCTGCGCCTAAGAAGGAAACGGCCTTACAGTCCTGGCTGACTAAGCCAAATTTCATGTTCAGTGTACAGCATTGAACTTGAACTTGATGTGGCGAACTTGAAACTCGATACGTTCATTGTCTATTTACCGTTAAGCTCAGCTCTTCACAGCGTGCCTGAGGACCGAGGTGAGCGTGCTTACACCCACAGATAATGAGATAACTGACAGATAGCTGTTGTATAAGCTGTTGTATAAGGCTCATGCTTGAATGTTGGCGTAGAGCGTGTCTTGAAGTCTTCCAGCGGAACCTAAGGTCGCACAATGCATTGCGTAGAGAATTCTCCTCTTCAGCATGCAGGTATGCTGTCGCTAAGCCGAAGATAAATATGGAGGAATTCCCATGTGATGCTATCAGGTGCGAAATATGTTCCCTTTGCGTTTAGATAGCTAATGCATGACTATGACGTCCACAGAAATTTTTCCATAATCGCTCACATTGGCACGTTTAATATTTAGGATATAGTGTCCGGTAATTGTGGACTAACACTTTTTCAAAGATCATGGAAAGTCCACGTTGGCTGATCGGTGCGTCATTCGGCATATTATATAGCTCTCGATTGTCTGATTTTCATTAGGTTACTCGAGGTTTGTTTTCAGGTCGCTCATAGTGTCTCAATGCTGAGGGAATTTTTAGCTCACAGGCACCATAGACAAGAAGGATCGGGGTCTCAATCAGCAAGTCCTCGACAAACTCAAAGTCGAGCGAGAACGAGGAATCACTGGTACGCTCTCGTGCAATGTATAAACAGTTGAAAATTGACCTCACAAACAGTCAAGGCACAGACTGCTAGGTGAGCTCATGTGTCCTGTATTAGCTTCTGTAATGGGGCGCACGGCAATCTAACAACTCGCGACAGCATGATTCACACACACGAAGGAAGGAAGTACCTGCTAAACCTAATCGACACTCCCGTACGCCCTAAAACCAATCACAATCCTTCATTACTCACCATGTGGTGTCATTATTATAGGGCCATGTCGATTTTGCATGGGAGGTCTCACGATCAATGGCGGCTTGCCAAGGAGCTTTGCTTCTTGTTGACGCTACACAAGGTGTTCAAGCACAATCAATCTCGGTATTCCATATTGCAAAAGAACGAGGATTGACAATTATTCCTGTATTGAACAAGGTCAGCCACCGTCCAATTTATCGCCCGATAGATTGTTACTCACTGACGTTACCAAGATTGACCTACCTGCTGCCCAACCGGAGATAATTGCTGCGCAAATGCAATCAACTTTTGGTATCAATCCGGAAGACTGTTTACATATATCTGCAAAGAGCGGCAAGGGTGTGGAGAAGGTGTTGGATGCTATTCTTGCACGAATACCTCCTCCGCGGGCGGATGCGAATGCGCCACTGAAAGCCTTGTTATTTGATTCGTCGTATGTTCAGTCCCCCCTTTTTCTAAGTTGGTCTGGGTAAATAACATTTGTCCAGGTATGATCGATACCGAGGTGTTATTTCTTTGGTTAATGTACAATCAGGGGTCCTACGGAAAGGTCAATACGCTCTGGTCTTCTGATGTGTAGAAAGAGACTAACTCGCGGTCCATCCTAGGCGACAAGATTGCTTCATGTCATACTCGCAAGAAGTACGACATCATTGATCTTGGTATAATGCATCCCGAGGAGGTTTCCACAACGAGCCTTAGACCTGGTCAAGTCGGCTACATTGCTTGCAATATGAAGGAATCCTCCGAGGGTAATGCTTATAGAATATGAAGATTGTGAAAGGCACTTTCTGATGTCCATTTAGCACACATTGGTGACACGCTACATCGTGTTGGAAGCCCAGTAGAGTCCATGCCTGGGTTCAAACCTGCTAAAGCAATGGTACGTATAATTCATGACCTGTATGGATAAAAATTTGATGGGTTGTCAGGTCTATGCCGGTGTCTTCCCTGTGGATAGTAATGATTTCCCTAAGCTCGAAGAGTCAATCAAGCGGGTTCGTCAATTTTATTTCCTTTGAAGATGCTTTAGTGATTCACTCCAACTCACTTTACAGCTAACACTCACGGACCGAAGTGTAGAAGTGACGAGAGAATCATCAACGGCTCTGGGTCAAGGTTGTCGTCTTGGGTTTCTGGGAACATTGCACATGGAAGTGTTTCGCCAACGGCTTGAAGATGAATACAACTCCAGTGTGATCATCACTGCACCCACCGTCCCTTACAAAGGTTCGTCCGACGAGCCATAAAAACTGAGCTGAGTGTTGAATTAACTTCTCTCGCAGTTGTGTACAGGGACAGGACGGTAATGGTTAGCAACCCAACTGATTTCCCGGATCCTGAGGCCATGATCAAGGTCAAGGACATTCAAGAGCCTATCGTCAGCACAACCATCATCGTACCTCAAGGTTGTACATTCTCCTGAATCTCATCCTCACATTGTCTGATGTTCCCTTTGTAGAGTACTTGGGTGAGATGATGGATCTGTGCTACACCCATCGCGCAGAAGACCTGGACCATCGCTACTTGGACATATCTGGTGATTCCGCAAGGATCATTTTAACTTGCATCATGCCTCTGAGTGAAATTGTGACCGACTTTTTCGACAAACTCAAGAGCCGCAGTTCGGGTTTTGCTAGTTTCGAGTATGTACCACACTGACCGAAGTTCGACTGGCTATGCTAATTGAATGATAGCTATGAGGATGCTGGTTACAAAGCGAGCAACTTATCCAAGATGACCTTCCTGCTCAACGGCCGCCCAGTGGATGCCTTGGCTCTTATTGTTCACCGGACGGCCGAACAAGAAGTGGGCAGGGCATGGGTAAAGAAACTTCGTAAGTCATTCGGGCTGCTCGGTCGCGTATCAATCACTGACTGGAGCTACAGATAAAGTCATCCCACGTCAACTATTCGAAGTTCCTATCCAAGCAGCTGTGGGCAGGAGGATTATTGCTCGAGAGACACTGTCCGCATACCGCGCGGATGTTACGGCAGGACTTTACGGGGGTCAGTGTCCATCCATTCTCCAGCGTACTAAACTCTAGAACTCATTGGCTATCTTAGGGCATTATGAGCGCAAGCTGAAACACCTGGAAAACCAGAAAGAGAGCAAAAAGAAAATGAAGAAAATCGGTACTGTCGAGTTGCCACAGGAGGCCTTCTACGATATTCTCAAGACATGACAGTGATATATGAGAGAGGCTGCCTAATCGCTACAGTCTTCGTCACGATTTATAGACATGTATACAATACAAATTCTATAATCAATAAGCCGGCAACTCAAAGTCCACACGCCCCCTGTCGCAATCGCTGTTCTCAGCATGTGGACGGACAAGCCCAGACAGTGCAAGTCGGGCAGTCTAAATACATATGTAGTCGTTGCCTAGCTATGTCTGGCATGAATATGTCCGAGGAGGTCGCTACCGTGATGACAAGAGGCCGGAGGCCGATGTCCAAGAAGTCAAACGATTACAATTCATGGTCGTCGTCATCATACGTCTCTTTGATCAATCTGTGCAAACACTCATGAGAAGACAGCCCAAAATGTACCAATCAATGCCTACCTGTAGACAGATGACGGTGGATGGTCACCGCTACCGAAGGAAATTAGAATGGCAATGCAATGGAACTGAGATATCAGGAGGACTCACTCGTTGGTGATAAACACATCCACCAGCTCGGGTCCGACATAATCATAATACGGATTCAAAACATCCACCTTATCCACCAAATTCCCCTCTTCGAAACCTAATACACTACTTGGGTCCGCGAAGTCTAAGGCTCCAAAGTCATGGTACAAGTTCCAAAGTGGTGTGAGTTTGAACTGGCCCGCACAAACCACGACAGGAGTACTATGTACTCTTGCGGCATTGGCAGCTAGTAGCGAGCCCGTGATTGCGAACATCCCGCCGTTGGCGAGAATTGCATGGGCACCGATGATGACTTTGTTGACGCGGGACATGATGGCGTATATTGAGGAGTCGGGAACGAGGAAAGAGGAGATGCCTGCGGATGAGAGGGCGCGTGCCATTTCATGGCCATTATATCTGTGGCGCAGTATAAATTGGACTTGAAAAACGCAAAGCAAACAAATACGTACGAAGGTCCTGTTTCGGCGACAATAACAGTAAAACTACGATGGTGTGCTGCTACCTTGAGGAAGGTCTCCACAGTTTTTGAGTGACCAATTGTCAAGATGATCTCACTAAGGTCAGGAATATCAGCCATGCAGCATCTAAATCAGTCAAAAGGTTCACGTACTCTGAGTGAATATGGTCCTTTGCATTCTTCGAAATATTGTCGTATACTGTTTCCAGCTCGTCAAGAACATCCTGGATAGCCTCCATAAGCACCGGCTTCAAAACTCTCGCAAACGAGTCTGGATCATCAGGGTCGTTTTCTTTCAGTGTGAGTGTAGCTTCGGACTTTGGAGCAACATTTTGTTTTCTGGGTTGTCCTTGTAGGACGAAGTTGGATATCGAGTATACAGTCTTTGAAGATGAGGCATTCCCTGTCATCGCGGTATTATATTCCTCCCGAATGTGGTGTAGAAGTTTGCGGACAGTGTTTCCAACACTATGTTCTGAGGCCCAAAACAGTTGAGCATATGCCACCATATATTATTACAGCATGACAAGCGTACCTTTTGGTTGCGCCTCCACCAACCGTTTCCCAACGGATCGAATCAAACTAATGAGTTGATCGATATTCGAAAAGCGCGCTTTCGAAACAACCTGTCGCAGTACAAGCACTGTTTCGAGGGCCGCCTCTCGTGAGCCAACCACCTGTCTAACCAACGCAAAAAGGGTCAAATAAATCGCCTAAGAAGTTATCCCTGTCTCCTGATCAGCTAGTGACTGACCGTCTACGCAGTTTGGACACCAGTGTCTCGACAGCTCTTTGGCTGCCATGCAGATCCGCGGACATGTCTTGATTGTAAAGTGAGGACACTCGTAGATATGCTGGATTGTTCAGTTAAGGTCTGGTCGATGTAAGGTGTGTTCAATAGATACAAAGGAGAGTCTCTGAGCTGAAGTTGCCAGTTTCCGGATCGAGTCAATGAGGCTGAAGCATGGAGAGATTAGATAGGCGCCTAAATGCATGTTATCTCCACGGCAACACGAGTGTACCAGTCGCGAGCTTTGGAATTGAATTATGCTACATATATGTTCCAATGATTCATTCACGCCATGGAGGTCTGAATGGCAAGGTTGTATATGCTGTGGGAACGGATATGTAACGACGAGGCTACATGACGGGTCCGGACAGGTGTTCGGGTTATCCATGCACACGACATTGAGAGGAAGAAGTGGTGGCGGTCCTAGTATCTCGATAACAGGCTCCTTAAATCCCGACGACAGGCGAAATATACACAAATTGTTCTCAAAGGTGTGGGTGTTGTTTGAGTCGTTGAACGCGGTTGCCGACGATACGCTTGGTCGCCGAACTCAACGCCGAGGAGGTCTGCTTCAGCGCTTCCTCTCATACGCCCACCTTCCAACTTCATAATCCTCCGCTTGCAACCTTTCTTCGTTCTCTTTCCGTTTTCTTTGCATTGGGTTTACTTTCGTAAATATCGCATGTTTGCATGAATCATTGGACAGGCGTAACTGACAAACAGTCGGCGTGCCAGGTTGCTATTTGCTGGAATCTGAGGTCCCCAGTCCTTCCTTTGTGACGACGTTCCTTGCAACCTCCATTCTCCCTCGCTCTCCTTCACTTCAACGAACACGCAAACCCACAATCGTTCACGCTATCACAAAAAATGGATGCACGTCCTCAGAAACAGTCCATGTCTGAGCTCAAATACAGACGTTTGATGGAGCACAATCAACGTCTGAAGGATGACCTTGACAGGCCCAGGATACGCGTGAGCGAGGCCAGCGCGAGGTACGTTACATTCTGCGACGTGCATCATGTCGCGACTCTGAATGATGAAATGCCTTTCATTCTAGCTTGATCCGGTATTGCAAGACAACGAAAGACCACCTGGTACGCACCCAAGCTTGATGCCCGTTAGGTCCAAATTAGACCTTATTGTTAACGTCGTATTTAGATTCCTTCGGTGTGGGGACCTGTCAGTAAAGCTGACGACCCATACGCACCTCAGGCGGAGGGATGTCAATGCATAGTAATGTAACCGTCAGTACCCCGCGCACCACATCCCCGCCTAGGTTTTCTTCCCAGCGAAACAGAGCAAATATGAAAGCATGCAGACCCGTGCCCAATTTTCCTTCAAACATGACCACAAGCGCATCAGAGTCACACATGTCTTCTCGGCGACCGTTTCTCCCCCTCAACCGCTCTTGCGCACCCCGACGCTCCTTTTTCGCCACGCTTTTCAAGCACATATAAGTACTCAAGCATCATTTGGACTGTAATAATCATCGTCTTCTTAGGATGGAGTAATAGACCGGTCACCGCGGGTCCTACCCCTTTTCCTTGCTCTCGCGCTTTCTTTCTTTCCTTTCGGAGTCTCCCCACCCGTAGCGCAACCACTTAGAGTCATCACATTCTGCGCATGCACATCCTTCCGTACATACATACGTTCTGCTGTTTATACCGTCTGTAATCGACAGATCCTTTTATATTTTGTGTGAAGTGAGAGCGTGATGATGCACGTGGAGGACGAGATCAAAGTCAGAGAAGTGATGGGACATTCCGGCAGTGCCTTGACGAGCGCTCAGGTCGCTGAGGACTCGTCCATCCCATCTGCCATCTGTCTCTCAGTCAGTACCCCCCAGGTCGCGTTGCCGACCCTCTCTCTTCGTTCATCTACCCGTGCACTGACTATCTCTTCGCTTACTGCTTTCAACAGCGAGGGAAAACTTCCGCTCATTTGTCATTCTTGACTTATTGAGTAGCCTCTTCCTCGGGATCAGTCGAACTTCAAGTTCTTTCCCTCTCCCTTCTGGCTCTTCATTTCTCGCCAAAGGGCTGTGTCTTTTGCCATCTCATCTTGTAAGTGCCGCCCTTTGCTTCGTGCTCGCTACTCCTGTGTGACTCAAAGCGGCTCCATCTAAAAGTAACATTATCGCCGTGTGCCGTAGCCCAGCTGCCCTTCATTTGCTTCCGAGACTCCCCACGTCAACCCTTCCCACCCACCTCCTACAGTCTCCTTCTACCTCATCGCCATTATGAATTCTCGTCCACACAAACAGTCCATGTCCGAACTCAAGCTTCGACGATTGACGGAGCATAATCAGCGTCTAAAGGAGGATCTGGCGCGACCACGGATAAGGGTTAGTGAAGCAAGCGCAAGGTGCGTATTCTATGCGTATGGTCGCCATAGAATGCGTTGTTGACGATGCTCGTACCCTTACCTCCGACTCTGTCCTGCCGAACCACTCGTCGTGACACTAATTGCTTTTCAAATCAATGCACCTTCCGATCGGACAGTCTTATACGATATTGCAAGACAACAAAAGATCCTCTCGTGCGTGCTGATTCCTGTGTTTCTGCCTCCACCTTTCTTCGTATCGCCAAACACCGCTGTGAGCCACCCAGAAACTGACTTACTTTCCCACAGGTGCCATCAGTATGGGGACCCGTTGCACGAAATGAAGATCCTTATGCAGCGACAGGTGGAGGAGCCAAGGGATGTTGTGTTGTACAATGACCGCATCGCTCTTTCTCTTCTTTCCTTTAGCCGTTCTTCATTCCGGTGTTCATGTCATTTATTCCCTTGCTTTTCCCCCTTTTCTCCTGCTGCCGACCCTCGACCCCGTTGCCCGTATGGTCAATCGCTTCGTCTTGTCCACCGTACATCATTCAATCCCTGGTCTCGTTGCTCCCCTTCATTTTTCTTTATACTTCAACTGTTGTTCTTACAACCGGCTTATAACATTTTATACCATCGCTCATTTTACCATCCCAACTGGCCCATTACAGCTTCAGCGATTTGATCGTCTACGGTGAACCTTGACCTGGTTCTTCTTTTTTTTTTTTCCTTTCCTCAGTTTTTTTTCCCTTCTGTATCTTCTTTTCTCGGGTATGATAGGATTCTTATATGCTATTTCTATATTTTTCTCTCCCTTCCTGTGGATGCCTCCGGAGAGAAGTGCTACCTATTTCATTGACTTACAGGAGAGCGAATCGCGCGCGCTGCAAGAGCGTTTGTATTTAGGCCAGAGCCTGATTACGGAGAGGGGTTTCTCGACAGACGGAGAAAGGAATTACCGAGTTCCAAGTTTCTTATAGATCCTGTGCATCCTTCCCCTCACACATAGCCTTTCACCTCTTCTACCAGTCGTACAGGTAGCTCATATTGTTGTCTATTCTATTCTTGTTCTTTCATTCTGGTCTATGATGCTGGGATGTGTATATTCTACTCTGGGCAAGTTCACGAAAGTTCATCGGAAAGCTTCTAGCGCAAGTTGCATGGAAGGTGTCATTTTTTCCATATAGACGGAGGCAACGACCATCTTTACGATAATGCAATTATCTTTAATTGTCCTTGGCACGGAACAAGCTCAAAGAGTTTGAAGGAAGTTGCGAACGCTAGGCTCAGGCATCGCGCCCATGAATTGGCTCACGGGCTTGCCATCCTTGAACGCAATCACTGTGGGCAATGAGCGTATCTGACATTGAAGCGAGGAAGGAGGAAGCCAGAATTAGCTGGATGCCTAAAGCAAGAACAAGGTTTCATTAATACTGACCTGGAATTGCTGAGCCAATTCTACCTCCGAGTCTGTGTCAACGGTCACAAGGTCAAGAGGCTTCCCACTACCAGTCTTGACCGAACTGTCTTCCGTCAGTTTCTCCAAGATGGGGGAAAGCATTTTGCATGGGTTGCACCATCTACGAAGGTAAATAAAGATATGGACACAATTAATCTTGAACGTTCTAAATAAATATGAAGAATAACATGACGGGACGCACTCGGCGTAGAAATCGACCAGGACGACCTTGTCCTTGTTCGAAACAGCTTTCAGGAGAGTCTGTGAGATAACGTCAGTGAATGGCGGGGCGTATCACTCAACCTCAATCACCATCAAAGCCATGTCAATGTCAGGGAAAGATGGCCCTCACCTCAGCGTTGGCGTTCAGGAAGTGGTCTTGCCTTCGACATGTCGAGTGGAACGTCCTTGCGGGCGTTGTTCGGAGAAGTGGTCGCAAAGCACGAAGGGACTGCATGGTGGTCAGTTCTGGCCTGGTCCGAATGCGAACGATCACCATTCGCCGGTTGCTTTCGTCACTATGCGGGGAGATAAGATAAGATCGCAGTTTCTTATACGACGATTGGATTGAGTTTAGTTTTGAGTTCTTTTCTTCACCCCCGAATTGGCAAGCTCCCTCCGTTCCCAATCTGCTGTACGTCTACTATATCTTGTGAGTTCAAGACACCTGAGACAGGACATGTATCAGATCCAACAAATCAGCGTTACCCCTGTGGGTTGATGCCATGCAGATTCGGACTAGCTGCTAGCATGGAGGAGGCCGGAAGATACAACAGAAACGAGTTACTAGAGCAATCCGTTGCCAAGCCGACGAACGGAGAATTTGCGATGACTGTCATGTATAAAAAGCGGTCTCCATCCAGGCCCCCTCTGCATCAATCCTTATTCCTTCCGGTCATCCCAGCACACATCAACGAGCAGGGTGAGTCTTTTTTGCCCACGTCTAAGACCATGCACTCCATCTCAATATTCAATGCTGACTTTGTTCCTTTGTCCCTTTGTTCCAATGTCTTAGTCTCGATTCGGTTCATTCAATTCGTTCCAGTCGTTAGCCAATTTATTGCTCTTGAGCTGCAGCGGATTCTTTAAGCCACATTCACTCTTTCCCATTCAGTCGTTGCCCACATCTTCTAGTTCAAAATGCACTTCACTTCATTCCTCGCTGTCCTCCCTCTCGTAGGTCTTGCCGTTGCCCAACAGAACTTGGTTGTCAAAGTCGGTGATGCCGGTGCGCTGACCTTCACACCACCTAGGTGAGTCATTTTCGCTTCCACTCATGTTTGAGCTATATTTGCGTTCGCTAACACTTATTTTCCTTTTGCAAAGCATCACTATCAATGACGGCGACAGTGTCTCCTTCCAGTTCTTGTCCAAGAACCACACTGTCACCCAGTCCACCTTCGCAAGTCCATGCTCGCCCATGACCAACGCCGATGGCACACCCGGAATCGACTCCGGTTTCCAATTCGTCGACCCCGCTGCCACCCAGGTCCAACAGTTCACATTCACCGTGAACAACGCGACTGCTCCTCTCTGGTTCTACTGCCGTCAGAAGACGTATGTCCAATTTCCCCTTTGCTCCTTTCTGAGCCTACTTTACTGACTATTTTGTCTAGTCCTGCTGACCACTGTACCGCCGGAATGGTCTTCGCCATCAACCCCACTGCCGAGAAGTCTTTCGACGCCTTCCAGGCCGCTGCGAAGGCCTCCGCAAGTAACACTACCGCAACATCTGCTAGTGCCGGTGCTACTGGTGCTACATCTGCACCAGGCGGTACCGCCGCTACTGGTGCTACATCAGCCGGCGGTGCGACATCAACTGACTCTGCCTTATCACCCAGTGCGACGACTACCAGCGATGCAGGATCAGCCAAGGCTGGCAGTGCTGCTGGTCTTTTGGTTGCTGGTATTGCCCTCGTTGCGGGTTCATTGCTATGAGCGGCTTCGATCATGATGTGATGATGGACTTTGGGTGTTAAAAGATCATTGGGTTTATCATCTGAGGATATGAATGTCTTTTTCTTTTTGTTTGGGCTCACTGCAGTGCTGTGCTTTGCTGTTTTTCATACTTTTTCCATTTTTTTTCTTTCTGTATGCCGGTATCTTGACGGAACTGCGCAGTCGCTGGAATGCAAATCCTTGACCGGAATCATTACATGTGTGATATGAGGACCTTGGCAATTTGATTGTCGCGTCGCAATGTGGGTCCGTCCGAGGATCGACATGGGTGGTTGATAATGAATTATGAATTGCGCAATGGTACATATCGGTCTGATGAGCGATACAAAATTCTATGGTATGATGAGGACGCCTCTGAACCCAACTGATAATTGAAGAATATTTGTAACCTCGGCACTCAGCCTGAGCATATAGGGTCCAAGGGGTAGATAATATCATGAAGATCGAACGATAGCGAAAGCAGAGCAAAAAGGACGATTGTTATTGGACTATGTAGGTGGCGCAAGTGGAGGATTTCGTACGGTTCATGAATCGTGAGGTATCACAGCACGTATCGGAAATCGCGATTTTGGATATCAGTGAGATCGAGGAAAGCCTAAAGGGAGGCAATTACGACGTAATGTTAGCACAGGATATACGTATACACACGTAAAAGGGAAGGACATACCTTGTCGACTTTCACAGCTTTCTCGCCGTTAGCGTCGGAAGAGATGTATACATCATCGTACGTTGAATCATGTCCCTCCTTTTCTCGTTTCGCGTTCTCTCGTGCAAGGTATAGTCGTGTCACGAGTAGGAGGACCATGGAGACGAACCAACATGCAGAAAGGATGGCCCATGGAATGTGATTACTGCGCGAATGCGTCAGAGAATACGGGGAAACAGAATATGGAAAGGCATACCGTGGCTGGTATCGTTTCTTCCAGTATTGTGGACCAGCAGCATTGCCTACTGCGTAGCCAATCATTACTACGGCATTGGTCGTTACGCCTATAAAAGGTCAGCCTAGAAACTGAGAAACTGAAAAGATAAACATACGTTTCGTGTGTCCAGCGGTTACGGCCCCGACCCATGCAAGCATAACCACAAAAGGTGCGATCTGCGTTACTAGACAGGGTGCTCAGCATGCCTTCCCTTCCATCTCATAACATAAAAATAGACGTACTGGAGATCCAATAACAGAACAGCAACCCAACCTTAGTGGAACTCGGCAATACATTGACGAGGATGGACCCCAGAATAGCTACACAGTAAGCCAAGGAACCCGAATACGCCCTTCCATTCTTCCAATAGGTTGCCGACGTGACAGTACAGAAGATGACAATGACTGTTCGTAACACAAAACGTCAGTTTCAAGGTTCGTATACTAGGTTTAGTCATGATAAGAATTGAACCATAACACGCAACCACGATGTATCCGTGTACAGGGTTTGAAAGCCCTGGATGCTATGATAACGGGAGAGAAGAACGTTTGCATGAGACGGCACATACTTTCGACCGCACCATCAACACAGCCCAAGAGGGTTGTTTGCAGGGCATTGAATCCGAACCCGGCGACAATGATCTGACGCTGATTACTCAACTAGTAGACCGGAAATAAAGTAAGCCATGGAGTACAAAAAGCGCGAAGGAAGTTAAGAGAGAATGCTTACAGAGTTGGTGACGTTACTAAAAGGAAGTAAGAGGTTAGCGGGCCGAAACTCAGAAACCGTATGGCTGCCGTGGGGAAAAGAAAGGGACAGGCACTCACGAGATCGCAGCGATGAAAAAGAATAACCACGTCTTGGGATCAGTCAGGCATTCAATGAACCTGAAGATATTTTAGAACATTCGAATTTGATCAGCAGTCTATTCATCAAGGGACCTTGTACCCTGTACCAGGAACGAGGCAAGGAGAAGAGAAGAATCATTGATACGCACTGGTCTTTCTTCCAATGTTTATTTTCAACACCGGCTTGATTCACCTTAATCCGCTCGACTGCGATGACTCGTTCTTCGGGGGTCAAGAAATAAGCAGTAGCGGGAGAATCTGGGAAGAAAAACCTATTCCGATGGAAAATGGGGATTAGTACTGAGAAAAGAGAAGGAGATGTCGGATCGTACCAGAAGAGTACGGAGACGACAAGCGTGATTATACCGGTGATAATCATGAGCCATTGCCAGGGCATGAAACTTCCAGTTTTAATGTGTAGAGTTCCATATGCCACCAAGCCGAGCACGATGATAGCAGTCCCGTTCATGAGGACTGCACGAGTTGGTTAGAAGCCAGCGATCATGGAGGACGTCATCATACTTACACCAGTATCCCGTTCTTTGAGACTGCTCTTGGCGCGTGTAGAACATGGACGTGACGATCATGAACCCGGGAGTGATGGCGCCTTCGCAGATACCAAGGAACGCACGGCACGCAAAGAGGCCTCCAAAGCTCGATGCCGCTGCATGACATAGCAAAGCAACAGCCCAAACGAAGATGTTAATGCTAATGTAACAGAGTTCATCAGACACGTTGTGGTGCGCTGCGTTCGGAGACGGGGGTTTACCTCATCCATTTGCCTACCGGAAAATACTGAAGCGCAAGATTTTGCGGGTACTCGAAGGCGAGGAAGAATAGGTAGAAGATCGTCCCGAGCCAGTTGAATTGGTCTTGGTTGATGTGCGCTCCGGGCCTAGATTGAAACAGAAGATAAGTCCTTGGAGTTGATCATCGTTCGGAGTAAGGGTGAATAGAGCGCACATTATCCCGAGGATAGCTGACTATAGAATGGAGTTAGTGGTCGGGGTCTAAACGCGCGACTGTGGCGTATCAACTGACCTGACCCAATGTCGTCTTGTCCGCGAATTGCATCCTGAATACAAGCTTAGGTTTATTCGGAGAACATTTGTACGTCAGCCAGATACACCTACATGTACAGAACTGTATCAAAGATTGGCATGAGGGCTGTGGCGCGCGTTCCAGGAAATGGAAATACGTACTGCACATGAGAGGCATTAAGTGCAAGTCGATCTTCCGTCTAGCAGAATACAACAATGAGAACACAGTGAAGACAATGACAGAGTATCTATGTGAGTGAGCAGTGACATACCTGACCCTTGCAGCCATAGCGGGGTTAACCTCAACCTCTTTGCCCGCGGTGAGTTGAGCCGCGACGTCGAGGTCAGACGAAGCCATTGTGGGTTTGTGAACATCCTCGCTCTTCCTGTCGACGGAACTGAGAGACTCCGACATGGTGGCAGACGACAAGGAGAATCCTAGAGAGAGGAAAGTTGCAAGTCAGCAAGGGAGTGGAGAACTCTGAGGAGGAATATATGGTATCCGAGCACTAGCCTAATACGAGGAAGGCACACCCAACCCAGCACAACGGTCGATCGCATTGCTGTGAGAGTTCGACGCAAGATCATAGGCGCCCCAAATTTGAACTGAACTTGCCGAGGGCGTATTTCCATCTGGAGTTGTGCCCAAGCTTTGTTTCACACCAGTTAGCAACTGATTGCTGCTCTCGTCAACCTCCGATAGCCGCGGTGTATGGGCAGGCTAGAATCTGGCAAGGAAGGTGGTCATTCTTCGTTTCTATGACCAGTAACGTCGACACTGACATTTGGACTTGGAACCTTCGCTTTTGGCACTCCAAGTCGTAGAGCTGCATGGTTCTGTCGGAAGATGGCAGGTGGAATGAGCGCTCTGCACTGGTGGATGGCACGATCTTTGATCTTCAGGGCTGATGCACGCTGATGGCCACCTCGTCAATAGTTTTTCCGCGCTTTCTTTGCTACTGCAACAGTAGGACCGCTGACTACTGCTGAGTGCTCAGTTCTTGCAGCTCAGCTCAACCGGTCTCCTGCGAATGAACGAGGGCCCTTGCCATCGCCGTGACGGTAGAAGAACTTCCTCTTGCAATGGAGGAATATCCACTCGATCACCCAGATGCTTCGCCGAGCAAGCCAACCTGAGCTGCGAGGCTTGAGCAGTCCTACTAAGTGCCTCAGCAACGTCGATCTCTCAGACTCTGCATACTCGCCAAGCATTTAAAAGTATTGAAAGTGATCTCATTCCGCGTGAATATCTATGCAACTACAGCCCACAAAGAGTTGACTGTTGGGACTTCCAACAGGCACCTATCGGCTCAGATTTGATGGCCGGCAGGGTCTTACAAGCACCGTAGGGCCCGTAGAATGTTTCGTACGCAAAGCTGTGAGATAAGCAGGTAAGTATGCTCAACGTGCTCAGTTGTTCCTTCCTTGATGATACAAATCCCAGTGTCTCATAGGCATCATGATGAAACAGTCCATCCATGGCCTACAACAGTGGACCAGAGACAGTGAAGAGCAGGATGGACATTCGGCTAAGCACAATTTGTGCCAGCGAGGCAAGGGTACATACGGCGATGACCGCGGCATGCAGCAACGCCGTGGCGATCATCTTGAATCCGATCGAACATTTCTCTGAGTGAAGGCCCGTACAGATATTCAGCACGGATGTTAAGAAAGGATGTAGGCGACTGTGATAAGTATGGACTCCATGCAGTGGTGTAGAAAACAATGCAGGCTCAGGCCTAGCAGGAACTACAGAAGAATGGACTCGAAAAGGAGTAAATGGCATGCTGGCGGCAATTTCCGTTCAAGTAGATCTAGATCAAAGACGATCGAAGATCGCAGATTTTGCAACTTGTTCTTGGACGGTCATCTCGAAACTTGGAAAGAATATTTGAGTCTGCCGGGGCTGCCATATTTCTGGTCTGGTTGTGTCCCAATAACCACGCAGAAGAGCGGAGTGGTTGTCTGACCCTAAGAGCAGGCATCTCTGCATTAGCTCTAATAACCTATTCACAGTATTGCTTCAGTACTTTTCAGTGTGATTCAGAGGTTGTGAAGATGTCTGGTGCAGACAATAGTCAAGACAGAGCCCATCCACGAGAGTGGGTTCTTAACGCGGAGACTGAATATAGGTTTGAACTTGACATTGGAACCTCCTTCGCCATCAAGGTTCGTGCCCATCATCACAATGCTTTTACTCTTTGAGCGTCTGACACTTTGCTTCCCTTGCAGTTGATTCGTGGCCAAGCCGAAATATTCGGCGCAGAGCTTGTTGAAGGCAAGACATACCTCTTCTACGAGGAATGCAAGGCAGCTGTATATACATGGATAGGATGCACCATAGAGATGAGTCTTTACTCCTCTCATATTTCTGCCCTTTTCCTTTGATCGTGCCCCCATCATAATCCCTCGTCTGACAGTCAATGGAAGCTACGTTATAGGTCAACCATCAACCGAATACGTCTCCGAAGAGACCCCTATGGCCGCCTACGCCAACGTCCACCTAGCGCTAGAAGCCATGCGAGTTAAGACTCTTCTACATGCCCAAATCGCTGCCTCCCCTGATACCGCCTCTCCTGAAGACTTACAAGAGGATGCAGAAAATGGCCCATCGGACTCTCCCAGAGTACTCATACTTGGACCTGAGAATTCCGGCAAGACGACACTTACCAAGATCTTGTTAAACTATGCGACTAGAGCGGGCCAGGATTGGTGTCCAATTCTTGTCAACGTTGATCCGAACGAGGTACATCTCTTCTATTACTTCCTTACTTCCATGATGTGAAATGAATCAATGGTCAACACTGAAGGGTGGCCCAATGTTACCTGGTACTCTGTCCGCCACGCCGATACCGTCACCCATCCAAACTTCTACACCTGCACATACCCTCGGGGCTTCGGCCACTAGCGCACCGACACACATGGCTTCGAATGCACTCTTGCCATTTGGTTATTGGTATGGGCACGCCGAGACGAAACGGAATCCGCTTCTTATGGATCGCCTTATACGGAATTTGGGAGAGAATGTTTGGGATCGCTGGGATGCCGATATAATAGGTAACTTATCATCCGCTCGTTCATTCATCGCAGTGAAGAACGAAAATCGGAAGAACCCTTCTCATGAAATCGTTTGCAGGTCGTTCCTCTGGGCTCATAGTGGATACGCCTGGTTCATTCGCTGCCAGTTCAGGTGCACATAGTGATCATCGACAGAGTCTCATCAAAGCGTGTATTGACGCGTTCCGGAGTACGTATAATTATCTTCTCTTCGCGTCGTATTTCCGTGTTGACTAACCTCTGACGCTTCACTTCAGTAAACGTTATTCTCATCGTTGGTCATGAGAAGCTGAACGTAGAGATGCAACGCGCCTACGGAAACAAACTCTCGGTCATCAAGATCCCAAAGTCCGGCGGAGTGCGTCTTCTCTCCAAATCCTCTTTCTGTCATACAGAATCAGACCTCCTTACTTTTCTCTTTCTTTTCTTCTATTCTCTTCAGGTAGTCGAGCTAGACGCACTCTATCGCGCTCGAGTCCAGAAATACCAAATGCATTCCTACATGTACGGAGAACGTGTGACCCCACCTCCGGGCATGCCTCCTATTTCTTCTACCCAATCAACAATCAGGTATCTCGTAGGAGGCGAACAGAGTACCGATATGACACTCGCGCCTAGTAGTGCCGTCGTCAACTTCAGCGATTTAGCCATTTGGAGAATTGGTGAAGGTGCGTCTCATTTGGTTTGACATTTTACAAGTATATTTGGAGTTCGGTTTTATTGATACTGATATCATTCGCTTGTGTAGAAACGATGGCGCCTACGTCGGCATTGCCCATAGGCGCGACACGCGTCGTGTCCGAAATGCAACCTCTCCCTGTGGATCCCGCGCAAGCTGGATCGGGACTCTACAACGCAGTTCTTGCACTGATTGCCCCTCCAAACCCGGACGACACTGAGCGGTACGATGAAGAAATCCTGGATCTGAATGTTCTTGGATTCATTGTTGTGTGAGTTCTGTCCGCTCTTGCACCAGATATCATCCTCACTGCCATTATACTTGTACACGCAGAACCGCGCTCGATATCCCTAACAAGCGGATGACCATCTTGTCGCCTAGTCAAGGTTCTCTCTCGGGTCGGACAGCCATTGTCGGGTCTTTCGAGTGGCAGGAGTAAATTCGTACTGTATCGTTAGTATGTTTCTATTCTTTATTCACTGCCTACTAATGGACGAAGAGAATTAAGTATAGTGATGATAAACTCATAATAGATTCCCTCTAATATACTCATGTACAGAGAAACTTATGCCAAAATGTGCAATGAAGCGGACAACTCATCAGCCACATGAGATCAAATACGGTGACTATCTGCATCTACGCCGTTCAGACGACATCTCGAAAGTAAATTCATCATGAATCACCAACGCTGTCTACTCCGAGCTCTTTCGAACACGCTTCTACACTCCCTTGTATGACCCCTAACACTCACCTTTGTACATCTTTGAGATGTTCTTGCAATAAGGAATCGCCAATGATACGTTCTCGATAACCTGATCTGTCTTCTCGATCAATGCGCGGGAATTGTCGTCGTTCAGCTTCATTTTCTGCTCATCCAATCATCGGCTTTGATAATCCCGATGCGGCATACTCGCAGCGTGTCGTCGATCTTTCTGACAATATTGAATGCTATATGCTCAGGCCTGGTAACTCAGTGCGATATGCATCGTCCTTGAACCAGATCTGTCCAACAACATAAGTACCAGGTACTGGAACCGTGCTAGCGCATGAGAAGCATGATGACATTCTGTGTGTCGCTCTCTGGGGACTTCGTGAAAGACGATCGAGCCTAACAATTCAATGCCTTCTATAGTGATAGAGGTCGAAATCCAGATAAACCAACGCAATACTAATACTACATAGCATAACATCAACAACTCTGGATCACCAGCGACAGACAAATGAAGAACGAAATCCGCCTGTAAGGCAACCAAACCGACAATGATCTAGGACATAAACAAGAATTTCGAGGCAGGTCTCTACAACCTTGAAAGATCTCTTCCCCAGACGCCACTGCAAAACGCCAGAGTCAACATAATGTGCGAGACGAACTGAGATGAACAAAGGGCTTACCGAACGATCCAATCTATCATCAACAAGGCTCTCGTTCTAGAGCTCACTTGCTCACTCCAGTACACACTTCGCCAAGCATACATGGCGGCAAGGCCACCCATGAAACTGAACCGTCCCAGATCGAAGACAGCTGCGTTTCCGATGTATCTAAATTCAGTCAATATCATGGTATTAATTACACCTGAATGAAGAAATAGGATGTAGGGACGTACGCAAGTGAACCCAAATGGAAGTATCTAAATGGCGAAGAGACAGCCTCATCTGCGCCAGGACCAACAATCTCATTCGCCTCAAGGGTTTCCCTCCGTCTGGCAAGTCTGCGGAGTTTCTTGCCCAGGTATTTGCCTTGTTGCGCTGCGACTTGTGCAGTCTACACGCGCACCGAGCATCAATCAGCACGATCCCTAGGAGTCGAAGCAATCGAAGCAAAAGAGAGAGAACGTACAGCAGGCAACGCCGTAATCTTGTTGCCGATCTCTTGTAAAAGGACAGCAAGCTCGTTCAATGATAGACTATTGTCCAGATCCGAATCATAGATCTCGAAAAGTTCCCGGACCTGGTCAGCACCATAGGTCAGCACCCATTCCCACCCAGGAAATTTATACTTCATACCTTCTGCAACTGAGACTCCGCCATGGGTATCTTCTGTTTGATACGATTGACTAATCCATCACCCACTCGTCAATAGGCGAATATAAGGATAATAGGAAGGTTACGGCGTACCCATAATACCCCACTCCTCAAAATCAATCTTCCCATCCTTATTCTTGTCGCATTCGTCAACAAGATCAAGGAGATGGGGGACAATAGCGGTCTCTAACTGTTATCGCACAAGGCCAGATGCTTCTCTGTCAGAAAGGCAAGATAGGAAGGGGAGGGAAGGAGTGATCTTACCGTAGCTGCATCTCCGATGGCATATACCTCGCCTGTAGGCGATCCCTTCACACGTAAATGTGCATCTACTTCTATGGCTTTCTTGTGCACTTGGTTCGGCCTGCATGTAGTCAACGTGTCAGTTCCACGCTCCATTACAAACTCAGACGTGAACAAGAAGCCAGAAAATGACTTACAAAAGATCGGAAACCCTCTTGACGAACGGATTCATGGCAATCCCAGTACTCCAGAGCACGAAGTTCGTGGGGATTTCATGCGCCTCGAGTGTCCCGTCTTTCTGTTTCTTGGTATAGACGACGTGGTCAGGGTGAACGCCACTGACTCGCGCAGATGTTATTAGCTCTACTCCGGCACGATCGAATTTTTGCTACGAAGAGCAAGGCACACATGAAAAAAGTAGGATCAGAGGTAGGAATGGGGCGCGTACTTCGGCATATCGTGAGATGGCTTCAGAATACTATTGCACGGGGCTTATCGTAAGCTGGAAAGCTAAGAAGTACATGGAACAAGACAACGTACCGTGTTCAGGATATGTTCACGGCTCTGGATAACATGAATCGATACCTCCTCTCGAAGAAGCTTCGGATACTATACTCAGCCAGTAACAGTCAGAACATCTGTATTAATACATATACACCGAATAACTCACATAGTTGATGATATCCTCCTGACAAAGATCATAAATCTCCGCTGCAGTCTCGACGCCAGTCGGACCGCCACCGCAAACGACGAAGCTGAGTAATCGACGGCGTTCTTCGGGAGATGTCGTTGGAAGAGAGGCCAATTCGAAATTGTCTGTCAGATATGGGACACATCGTCGTTGCATAAGTGAATAGCAGGAGAAAGGAGAGGTAGTGGACTAGAGCGTACCAAGGATACGCTGTCGAATCCGTTGCGCGTCGCCGATGGTCTTGAGTTGGTAACAGTGCTCCAAACCTTGGACACCGCGTGTAGCTGAAACGGAGCCGACTGCGATGATTAGTTTGTCATACCTGGGAGCAGTATGTATTAATCAATTTGAGTGTTCCTGTGTCTAAAGCTGAGGCCACTCAGAAGAAAGCACACGTACGGAATGTAAAAATGTTCCCTAATCCCTTGAGCACTCAAAGTCTCTACTTCTAAAAGTCGTTCCGACATAACCAAGTCGACTGCCTATAACGGATGTGAAGGCGAGATCAGTCTGAACGCAAGACCGAGACTACGCGGGATTCACCTTCGCATTCACGAGATGACCCTTTACCCGAGCAATGATCTTCCGAAGTGGTTCAATCAGTGAACGAACTGACACAGTTCCAACCGCAGCAGCTGCATACATATACGCATTAATTGAAGATACCGGTGAAATTGTAGAAGGGAGACTCACAAGGTAGCAAGGGCGTGAACGTATTAAATGTCTCTAGAGAGACGACCGTGACGTGATAATCCCCAGGATGCAAGGAATCCAAAACGCCAACAGCCTAAATAGCGTAGGTCACTTCTAAGATACAGTAGCACAGAGAGAACTGCAACGTACACCCCAACCTCCGCCAACAATAACCAAATGAGGCTTGTTCTTAACGTCCTTGTTCTCCTCTTCTAAATCACCTAAGTATGCCTTGGTGATAGGTAAGTTCTTGGGGCCGCCTCTCTCCGGACGTAAGGCCAGAGGAGCAACAGGGACGCCTTCTATATGCTGAATGACAATGTACATATTCAGGTAGATGTTGAAGTCTTAGGCAAATCCACGTACTTTCTCGGTGTAGGTGAAGGCATCGTGTAGGAATATCGTAGCGGTCAAGACGATAAGGCCAACGGCAGCAGAGCCTACGAAGTAAAAAGTGTATCTGGTGAATGTACGAAGCTGCTGCCATACTCTTTTCGGGGCCTCTAAGGTGGAAGATGTTGAAGGTCCTTCTATAGCTCTCCGAGGCGTTGTTGAGAATGCTTTCGCGAGCCTATGTCTCGGAATATATACAGTAGGCTTCTGCAAGCCTGCCGCTGAACACCGTTGGAGATGAAGCGAGTGAACCTGGACACGGACATTGTTCTGGTATGTCACGCGAAGGTTAGCCAGACACGCTTGTCTGGCTAAACGACTTGCGAACATTGGCTATAGCAGCTCGCAGACGAGCTATTCGACCTTGCACTATGAGCTCGTAGTGGGCAAAGGAGGGGATATTAGACGGGAAAGATATTGGAGTTCAGAGCAAAAGTCGTGGTGCGTAGTCAAAATTAGAAGCAGTCAATTGATATTATTGCAGAGCAAGAGCAATCATCCAGCCTGTTACATCACAGCTTGCGCGCACGGCCGCTTGCATCGCTCCAATACTGTCAGCACCTTGTAGTAGTCGACCTTGCATGTCTTAGTATGCACGAAGGCCATTCAGACACCAGGCAAAATGTACCGTGACTTCAAAAACCGACTAGAAACTCAATATCCAAAGTCTACTGATCATGACATCATCTTCTGGTTGAAATAATTACCGAAATGCAGAACCGTGGGTATGAACGGGAAGGTGTGATGCAATCCACAGTAACAGTAAGACAACGACGGAAAACTACAAGTACTCATTGCATTTTGTAGCGACCGTATTCCCTTCTGATCACCCTACAAAGAAAGAACAAGCACGCCACAACGAACAGCCTCAATCGCCCACCACAGTCGTGCTTTCAGCTATTGTACTTGCGCCGAACGTGGTGGTCATGCCACTACTAGTCGTTTCAGTGCGTCGGCTCCGAAACCCGGATGATATCCGTGTTTTGAATCGCAAACCCGACATCTCAATGTCCGTCGTAGCTTCATCTGTATGACCATACGCCAGGTTGCGCATGTTGAGCAGCATTCGTGAGCCCTAAAGAAGAGTTGTATCAAGTACAGGTCGGAAGAAATGGTGAGGAGGCGCGGACTGACAGCTATACAGCCAGCTGTATTTGAAGGTCTATTTTGACGCGTCAGGATTGCGTAGAAATAAAACAAAATGATATAAACTGACGTCACCAGCATAGAGGACAGGAATGGCGGGCCGTATAGGAAGACGAATAGGTTCGCGAAGAGTAGTACTATTCCAATCTTGTCAGATTCAACATATGATAAGGTATCGATGAATCCTTACCGAATACACTAACAGATTCGAAGTATGCACAACTTGAGTGTGTATGCGTTCCCCAAAACTCTTAGGTAACTTACATTAGGAAATACACAGACGAATCTCTCGCCTTGGCCCAAATGTAATCAGCAGTAGTCGACTGCAAATGTGGGCATTAAACTCACCAGCAATACAAGCGTAGGAGGCACGGGTACGTCAGTCCGCCACCAACCTGCAGCCCGCCAAACGACCATCATGAAGAATATGCCTAGAAGCGGTTTAGCTCGACAACCTGAAGTTCTTCTGTTCTGGAATCGCGGGACTGACTTTCAATGATCAGGGGCGATATCCTGTAACCATCATACGTGAAAAGGTATAAATAGCTGCGCGACATGTCAAGGGTCAAAGGCGCATACCAATATCCTGCGATAAGACTACCCGTTCATTAATTACTATCACCGCGCACTCGACGCTTGCATGGGACGTACCTAGGAACGGTTCGCGCATAACATCCCGGTAATTGCTGGAAATCATCCACAGCTGCAAGGCGTGTACCCGTATCAGCCGAACCTGGACAGTTGGCAAACCCATGGCAAAAGCATACCTACCTTCCACTGGACCTGTTGCGATGTAGTCTGCTACTGTCAAGCCTACTAAGACGCATATACCGCCTCACCATTGATAGCTCAGTTGGACACCTTCAAGAGGACGGATTGGTGTAACAACTCACTGAAGTAGAACGTCAAAGCTATCGCTACAGCTATCTGTTAACCTGAATCAGCATGCCAACTTGATGCAGGCAATATTCCCAGAGTACTTGCCCTATTTTCTCGATCTATCGACGTTGAGAGTCAGCCAGTGCATCTGAATGACAGTAGTACTGAACGAACATAGAGCCCATACTCTTGCTACGAGTATCCCTAACGAGGAGTGAGTTCAGAATTTAAACTAGCGACCTACTAAGTACTTACCTTCCACAACTGAATTTGTTACTGTGATAGTGCTATGTTCATCAGCAGTCGTATTAGAGCGTTGTAGTTTTGAAGGAAGAATGATATTTACGTACCATACAAGCCATCGGAGATAGAAAATACAACTGAGTATGAGATGTCTCAGAATGAGTATGTTATTCAAGAAGTCCAGGAGGCAAGACCTCACAACTAACAACAACTGTTAATTCGTCCAGTAGCAGTCTTCAACCGATAAACTTACATCGTTTGGTAGATGCGTCTGCGATGACGCTGCAGTTTATGTCAATCGACATTTTCTAGGTTATGTTTCATATCCTGCGTACCTATTGCGTTAAATCTGGAGTGACGAAGTTCACAGTCAAACAAATCATCAAATGTGCTATATAGAGGGGACTCACGAGAGCATTCCAACAACAAGATATCGGTTCAACAAGAACAGCACTTTTGGTATTGACCACCTCGATCTAGGTGATCACGAAAGCCCATCAACATCACGCTTCTAATTCCTCAACGCGAAGGGCTGCCTTACAACCACATAGTTGACACCTGCATGGGCCGTCAAAGTTAGCTCTAAAACCTTTATGACACTTTCAGACACGAACTCCCGTGAGAATCGCGCACCTCTTGCCCAAAGGTGATAATATTGTCGTATATGAGTAGGGTCATACACACGGCTACATAGCGTCGAGGGAAGTCAGTTAATCCTATTACAGTCCCCTTCACCCTAGCACACGCAGACGCACCGGCTACCCATTCTACGGCAAGGGCCTCTGCCGCCATAACATTCATTTCCTCCTGGCTGAATGGCATCTTTGTCTACCTTGACCACGTGTGATTTACTCAAGTGGTCAGGAAGGCCAAGGGCGGACGATGGGAAAGACCAGTGCGCGTGGAGACCGCACGGAGGGTATCCACAGGCCAAAGAGTATATAGGCAAGAAGGACGACCAAAGCAAGGGGAGGGGAGGAGCTTGAGAGGAGCATCCAATAACGCCGAGCCCCATCTGTCAGCCTTTAACTATTAAAAAAAGACACCACGTCTGGTTTTCCCTGCATTTCTTCTTACTCTTCTCCCGATGACTTATCTTGCAAGGGATCTCGTGTTGCACTGCACTGCATGCGAATGGAAAGGTTCTCTTGGGAGGTTCTGGCAACGGTCACTTGTGAATTGACCAATGGCGTCAGTAGGTTTCCATCCTTCCGACTACCCGGAGATAAAACGCACCACTTGCAGCGTGATTTTGTTCTAGTGCATACCTGCCTAGTACATCTGTGCACGCAGCGTCCTAGTCTGAGAATGAGAAGGAGGCGACCGACTTATTTATTACTAGAATAAGTTGTTCTCGGGACCAACCCACTATTGAGTACAGAGTTGTGGACACTGAATCAGCATGGAACAGGTATATTGCGAGTCGCAAACTGCGCCGGATAGGATGAGATTGAGTTCCTAGCTCCCAAGCGAGAGATAAGGGTGACACGCCATGATGCAGCTGGGAAATATCACGGCCGCCGAGCTTTGGCAAGGGTCCTGAGGAAATAGTAACGTGAGTGACGGGTGCAGGTAAGGAAGGTCCGGGGCTTGTTATTCAAATGCATCAGTACTTGACAGAACCTTGCAAGTACAGTGTGCTTGGTATACGGTGGTACACCGCTTTGACTGCTGATCATGATCACTCTGCAACTTACATATTAGAGACACTAACTGGACACTACTGGAACGGACTTCTATAAAGAGCATGGCTAATTGGGAGATAAGCGCGGTTGAACGCGGTCGTATTAACTCTATACCCAACAACGAATACAAAAAATCCGACTGTAGTGAAGCAGGAAACCAACCAGTGTGAATGTAAAGTAATGCAACGGTCATGAAAACCTACAGTTCAATGGCCACAGCGTGATAGATGAGCGGAGGACGGGTATGATGAACCGCGGATGTCAACGCGGTAAAGTGGGGGCAATGCGAGGTGATAGGGTAGTAGTATGGGCGTAGGCGATATGCAGAAAGTAGGGTCATGAGTTCATGTCTAGACTATAAAGTGCAAGTGCGGTGCGATGATAAATAGCGGAAGGATGAACTTCCGATGCAGAGTGTGATCGACAGGCGAAAGCGAGAGCTTGGGTCATTTTAATGATGGTACAGCCAACAGCAACGAGGTATCATTATAGGCGGGAATGAGGCAGAATGAAGCTCAGAGCTTGAGCGCCTTGGGCTTCTCCCAAGAGTATGCGGGGTTGCCTATAGCACACTTAGTGACAGATCTAATCCGCTTGAAAAAGGCGATGACTTACCGAAGTGACCGTATGACGCGGTCTGGAGGTATTGAGGCTTCTGGAGGTCAAGCTCTTGGACTGATGGGTAAAGGACAGTATGAATGACAGCCCTGCATGAATCAAATATACGCTGTCACTCACCGATGACACCCGGTCGCAAATCCCAGTTGTTGCGGATGATCTCAACGAGTTCCTCGTCCGACTTCTTGCCAGTGCCATAGGTATCAACGTAGATCGATAGAGGCTCAGCGACACCGATGGCGTATGAGAGCTGAACAAGTGCCCGACGAGCGAGACCAGCAGCAACTAATGACTTGGCGATCCATCGCGCAGTGTACGCGGCGGAACGGTCGACCTTAGAGAAGTCCTTCCCAGAGAAGGCTCCTCCTCCGTGTGCTCCCCATCCTCCATAAGTGTCGACGATGATCTTACGGCCAGTCAAGCCAGCATCACCCTGGGGTCCACCGATAACGAATCGACCTGATGGTTGAATCTACGGCAAAACACATATCAGAAATCACCGGATGTTCTATGTTTAGCCGATATTACTTACATGGTAAACCGTTCGATCATCAAGGAGATGAGCAGGGATGACTTGCTTGATGATCTTCTCCTTGATCTCTCGTCGAAGATCCTCGGTGCTAATATCCTCAGAGTGCTGGGTAGAAACGACAATGGTATCGACACGGAGAGGGATGGTAGCACCATCGTCCTTCTTGTACTCGACGGTAACTTGGGTCTTCGAATCTGGACGGAGCCAAGGAAGCAATCCGGAACGACGAGCAGCAGCCATCGCAGCGTTCAGCTTGTGTGCGAGGATGATAGTGAGAGGCATGAGCTCCTCAGTCTCATCGGTGGCATAGCCGAACATGATACCCTGATCACCGGCACCGATGTTCTCCAACGAACCATGATCCAGACCTTGAGCAATATCTGGCGATTGCTGCTCAATCGCGACAAGAATGTTGCAGGTCTTGTAGTCGAAACCCTTGGAAGAGTCATCGTAACCGATGTGCTTGATGGTGTTACGGATGACCTTCTGGTAATCGATGTTGGCCTTGGTGGTGATCTCGCCGAAAACCATGATCATGCCGGTCTTAGCTGCAGTCTCGCAAGCAACCTTGGAGTATGGGTCCTGAGCCAAGCAAGCATCGAGCTGTGACGTTGACGATGCTATTTAGTCGCATGGCCCTTCGTTCCAACAAAACAAAAAAAGTCCGCTCTACTTACGATGGCGTCCGAAACCTGGTCGCAAATCTTATCTGCGACGCGAATGAGAAGACGCGCCCTAGGATAGTGGAAAAGGCAAAACATACCGGGATGACCCTCGCCAACGGATTCAGAGGTGAAGAGGAAGTGACCAGGCGCGAGCTTGGTGTGCGCATAACCGTTGGCAGGCATCGTGGATGGCGAAGGGGGGGAGGATGGAGGTAGGAGGTAGGAGGAGGGTGTCCGTTGGGAAAGTGAGACGAGAAATTTAGATTGGTTCAAATTTATTGTTTCTGGACCCCGATCACCTCGAGCACCTCATCGTGCATATCACGCAATTGGAATCCACTGCACCCATTCAAACACGTAAAGGAAAGCAGCAAAACGTATTCATCTAAAATGCGTGCTCGCTTGCGTACAGCTGATATATAAGTACATCAGGTGGTGTTTGAAGAGAGTGGTCGACTAAATGACGTCTCTGTCTATGTGCTAAACATACATCGAACAGTACAATTGATATGGTACAACTGGAGGTCCGTGTGCTCATGTCCATACACCAACACCTAATGGGTCCGAAGCAGGAACCCCGGCGGAAGAACTTATGTCATCTGAATTAGCTGGAGGAGGCGTGGGTGGCAGACTTTTGGGCCCAGGATCACCAAAGAATGGATCGGAGGATGGAGATTTACTTCGCGAAAGTGGACGAGTCGGCAATGCGATCGATGGATCCACTGGAAGACCACTGGATGGTTCGAAAAGTGTGTCTGCTCGAAGAGATTGCAATTGCGTCGGTGATGCGCTAACCGAACTCCATGGGTTATCCACAAACATTGATGGCAAACTAGGACGTGCGGATGCGGTTGACCAAGGATTTGTGGAAGAACCAAGCGTGTACGAAGGACTGGTGGTTCGAGTGGACGACAGCCCCTCGGACACCCAGGTCGCACCCAACTCCTCCTTACTCTTGAGCTCTCCCCCGCCATCAACTTGTGAACTTGACGCGCTTGCTGAGATTGATAAGACCTTCAAGTCTTTCGTCACCCCACCATAGGCATCCTGGACAGCCGAGAAGGCAGCTGATGCATTGGAAGAAAGCTTTCCCCACATCGAACGTACACCACCCGGGAAGAGATCTGCTGACGGTTGGCTAGTCGTGGCTCGAGGTGAAAGGGGAGCTCGCAGGCTCGCGGTTCGGCTTGGTGAAGCCGGTCGTGAAGACCATCTTGAACCCTGGGTCTTCAGAGTAAAGGCAGAACCTTCAGCATCTGTATCAAAAGGTCTCAAACTGTCATGTCTAGTTCGCTGGTTCAGGGCTGGTGCAGAGCTGGAGGCAAGCATGGTGGTCTTTGGCGGCGGAGGAGAAACAGCTCTCTGCGCTTGTCCGGCTAGTGACGAAGGACTCCCTGCAGCAGGCGCGGGAGAAGGTGAAGGTGACGGCGGAAGGGGTATCGAAGGAGCCAACGGTAGTGGGGCATCTGCAGGGCCGTCTTGTATGGTCACAACAGGAGCGACATATTCAGGTTCTTGGGCGGCTTGTTTCACCACGAACCTTCCGTTCATCTCCTCATCGGTGCGTCCATACAACTCGTGCCAGAATCGTACATCCTTGGGGTTCGGCAAAAGCACGCCTTGATCGGTCTTTGGTCTGCGGCTGGCAGGATCGTCCAAGGAGGGATCGTAATCAGGGTTCAGGTTGAGTCCGTTCTCTGCTGTCGAATTGAAAAGGTCCCAGACGCTAACTGTAGCTTCGCAGGGAGGACGTTCGCCATCCCCTATGCGCCGCTCGCGTTCAGTGTTGCATAAGAACGTACCGAACTGGCATGAATACAAGTGATAATGAAGTCGCCGGAGAAAACGTTCATTGAACTCGAATCGTTCAGGAAACTGACGCTGGAGCTGCCGAACGGATTCGAGGAATTGATGGAACACAGGGCTCGTTTCCTTGATATGACTCTGTGAAGTAAAGCGATTCTGTACAGAAGCAAAGAACGCCTGCGCGGCCTCTGCGCCACTTGCGTTGCTGGTATTTTCCACGGGGGCGAGGAAGAACTTCTCTGAAGACAGGTGGCCGCAGCGATCTAAGAACTTGTGACCGAACGACAACCAGTCCTTCTCCACTAGAATTTGAAATCCGCGTATAGTCCTGTAGAACGGATCCAAACAAAGTTGTGATAAGGAAGAGAGTTGCGCAGTCCTGTCCCACCCGTCTGAGCAGTGAATGAGCACATGCGAGGAGTTGATGTGCACATTTCGAACAATAAGTACTGTTCCCTCCATGATAGCAGAGATGTGGCGAAGCCAGCCAGAGCGTCTCAGGGCTTGCCTGTCAAGAATAGGTACCGCCATATTCTCTCCAGGAACTGTTCCGCCAGCACTTGCGGCTACCATCTCTGTTTCTCGCAATGCCTCCACCACTTTGGCCAAAGATTCACGCATTGTGTGAATATGGTCGATTCCTAGGTATGCCTTCTTGGCATCCTTGTAATGGTCCATGTTCTCCGTACCTGCACCTTTGGCTGTATTGGCCATGGCATTAGCGGTGGGGCGTGCGTCAATGATGAGGTTAGTTTTAGTTGCCCCGTACACTGGTGCGGCGGCAGCACGGCTCTCCGTAAAATGATGAGTTTGAAAGATCGCTTCAATTAACTTCTCATCCTGTATCGAACGGTTAGCAGTCAAGCCAACCATTGGTTGGCTCGAACGAGTGATGCTCCCCTACGAAATACATCTTCAACTTTCATGAACTAAGGAACAATGGCAATAACATACATAGTTCGCCCAATGAAGATATGTGAGAGCTGGTATGCGGCATTTACTGCGGTACTTCCCAGCATATTGCAAGGTCGTATCACTGATTCGTGTCGGGACCACCAACTTGGCAGGGTATGTAGGAGAGAACTACCGGGGAGTTCAGCTCAGTCACATCATGGAAAAGGGGGCGTAACTCACTGAGTAATCTTTGTTCAGGTCAGTAAATCTCCAGGCTTTCGTTCTAGTGCCGACACCCATCCGACCGAACTCTTCTCTGGGGTTATATATTGACCAACCATTCGTGGGGTTGAAGGGGGGATTCGGGGTATAGAAAAAGGCATAGAGCTGGTTGATAGTGGCTAGAAAGCAAATATCAGCATGGTCATAGAAATCGACAGTCGAGTTACGTACTGACAACAGTCAGCTCTTTGATACTCTCAAATACATCCACTGCGTCTTGAAGTGCCTTGAATGAGAGCGTGAACGTTTCGAACGTTCGGGTATGAACGGTCAATGGATACAAGCCACTCAATGTCTGCGGTAGCCGCGTAACCAAAGAAATGAGTGGGTAGGGTGCCTGTCCTCTAGAAGTGAGATTCTATATTACGACACTCTGCCGTAAGACGCACCCACATCTCTTCCTTTGTAGAGTCATCATAGACGAAGATGAGGTGATGGGTTGTAAGATGAAGTGTGCCAGAGCTGGTACTGCCTGACTTGCTGCATAATACGTCCGGGACCTAAGCAAGTCACTTTAACATCTATCTGAACGTGATCATCATTCGTGGTCTATACTCACTTTCGGTACTCGAATTGCGTCCATACATAAAGACGTTCGTGTACAACGATGAAGCAACTGTAGTGGCAAGTGTGAACGGCTCCGAGCCCGAGTCTACATATGACAATGGGCGCTTCGGCTTTCGAATCCCTGGCTCACAGCGAACCATGATCAGAAAAGCATCCTTTAGCTCGACTTGAACTTGAAAGCTTGACCGCTTGACCTTCCCGCCAGTTTTGGACCACCAACTTCTGACTTTCAAGTAAGTATACCCGAATTACACTTAGTTTTACTTGGTGATTGCGCGATATCAGAAGTGCAAACATCATATACGTAAGTCTCTCCGAGTCGTGGCTCAACTGGGTCTTTCTATGTTCTGGTCTTGGTGCTGATGGCCTGTGGGGCAGCAGACGTGGGCCGATAGCGCGTAGTTTTGGAGTTCCTCCTCCCTCACATTTTGTCGGTCCAAATTATTCCCACATCCACAAAGCCTCGAAATGGAACCAGATTGTTCCCCCACGTACATATCACGTTTGCCACCAGAGTTGCTCGCGGAAATATTTGTCCACCATGCCCAAAATCATCACTTGTATCCCGATGATCTTTACAGAGGAGTTCAGTCGTACAAGTGGTGTGATATCTTACGTGTTTGCCGGCATTGGTACATGGTGGCTCTCGAGTGCCCACAGTTGTGGAACTTCGTCAGCACATCTCACTCAATCAACTCCGTTCAGACGATGTTAGCAAGATCGAAACAAGTACCCCTCATGGTCAAGCCCTCTGAATTCCAAGAGCAAAACGAGGACACCCTGAAATTAGTGTTGAATGAGCTTCACCGCATTCAACATCTCGAACTTGTATGTTCGCATCGCGTCGAAAGGTCCATCGCTCACGAATTTTCGACCCCGATTTCAGCACCGATGCTGGAATTTCTTGGTTTGAGCCCTCCATCCGAGCAAGCAATATTGGACACGCCCAACGAACGTATATTCCCATTCTTCTCCCATTTACCCCGCCTCTCCGCTCTGGTGACTCAGGGCTATAGTTTTGCGCAAGTTCGAAAGTTTTTTCGCCCGACTTTGCAGATTCTACAGCTGTGGGAGCCTCCTACCGCACATCAACTTCTAGAATGTTTGCGATCGATGCCTCTGTTATGCAAACTCGATGTTATGGTACTCCCTGAAGAAGAGTCTTGCACCAGAATGCAAGCTGTCCCGTTCGCACGTCTTCAAACGCTACGGCTCGAGGGGTCGGCATCGTGCCTCACTTTTCTCCGACATATAGCATGTCCTCCCGGACTTCAGCTTTCCTTGACCATTCAATGCCATACTTTCACGTCAGAACTTGTCCACGATGTCTTGGACCTGGTGGCAGTTCACTGCGACTTAGCTACCAACAGCCGATCAGGACAAGAAGTGTGCTCGATCTCGTTAGAGCATCGGTCTTCGTTGCCCACATTTCCCATCCCGTCCACGATGATGATGAAATGCTGGACCAGCGTCATCCCGCACGATGTCTACTATATCCGAGATTCTCCCAAGCCGATTCTCGAGCTAGAAATCGAATGTGAGACTCCTTTCAAGGTTGCGGATGCTTGCGAAGCTTGTGTACGTGACCTGCGCACGTCATCTGTGAAGGTGCTGTGGGTCGCACTCGATAAGGAGCCTGAAAACCAGTTTAAGGATCTTATACACGACTTCTCACGGACATTCCGTCCAATGGAAAATGTGGACACATTTCTGGCAGAAGCTTGGCCTACCCCGTGGCTCGCTGCATTTCTTACCTCGCAAACAGTCCTCCCCGAATTTGGTGGAATGAACAAGGAGTCGGATCAATCTCAACACAGTATAGTCTTTCCTAACCTCAAGGTTTTAACGGCGCCTTACCTGACGTGGCCGATGAACCAATCTTCCACATATCTATCCGATGCTTTGGAGTTCCGAAAGAGTTGCGGTGCTCCCATTGACGAACTTGATTTATTAGGCAAGAGTTCCAAATATCCAGAAGATCTAGACGTGCTCAAAACCATCGTGCCCCACATTTCTTTTAGAGGTGATCGCGTTTGACATACTAGCCAGCAAGTGTCTGCGAAACCTTCTTCCAACTTTACACAGGGAGGAGTGCATGTTCGTCGTTATCGTGGTCATGGACTTACGCTATTGACGGTATGAAGCATGACATACGTGAGGCATTATTTTGTCTCACCTCCTATTTAGTAGGTTCTTGCTGGCATCGGCATACAATATTGCTTGTACTCTGGAGCCGTACAATTCCAATCGCTGCAAGTTGCTTCCATGGCGTCGAGCGCCGTGTTAATCTAAGGCATGATTTTTAATGCCAACAGTTTGCAGTCTTTCAATCCTACTTGGAGCGTGTCGTTCAATCTTGTCAAAACCAACCGGTGAAGAATCTACTATCTGCCGTTGTTTGAAATGTAGTTGCGGATCATCCGTTTCTTTCGAAGACATATCAGGTCAACGCTAGCCAGTGCGCCTAGAATTCATTGGATTTGACAGGCACTCATAATATACTGGCATGGTAGGTTTAGAGCCCCTCTTCGAGCATTATCGACGCCCATGTTGTCCTCTGCCAACGAGCCTCCACCCTGGCTACAATGAACACCAATGGAGGAAATCCAGAGCAACTTGGATATGGACTTGGATTCGGCGTTATTGAACTTCAACAACTCGAACCCTCTGCCTATTTGTCACCTGCTCCCAGAATTGGGGACACATATATTCCTCGACTTTGTACAAGACTGCTACCTTCATCGCTACAATAAAGGGGGCAGAACTTATAACGGGGATATCCTTTACGGTCTCTACGAATGGCCTCGGATCACCCTTTTTGCCGCTACTGGCTGGCGTACTGCCTTTGCTAATTTGTGAACTTGTATCTGTCCTTCTCATCCGTTGAAGTGCATTGCTACGATGTTGGAAGGATCTAATCAATGCGCTGTCATCATATGCACAGCTCAAACGTAGTCTGAAGGTCAGTTCCCCGATCTTAAGACTTTAGCAACCTTCCAGCTCCCATTGGCTGTGGTGGCCGACTTCCTCAGCACCATATAAAAAGCTTCATTTGTTGACAACGTTTGCACATCGATCCAGGCTCAACGTTCAACGTCGACAACGCTGACCGTGTCCACTCAAAATAACTCGACTCTGAACTCTGCATTCACGAGGCCTCACACTGGCAATATCTACATATTTCCGCGAGGTCTTAGTCCACTTATACCAGTACCGCAACATTATCCGATTCAATAGAGAGCTTTTGTACACAATTATACGAAATATGATGAAGTGGGATGTCTTTGTGTAACATGAGCCAGAACTCCGTCCACTACCGACGGCGGCTTAGGCTCAGCATCGCAGTTCGGCGACGTTCAGATAAGCAACTGCATCCAATGCATAAGAAAATCCATCAAGTTACGGTCGATTACAAACACTGCTAGTGCACGACGAAGAGACGTATAGGTGAGTGTACTAAAAATTATAAAAAAGATTGAGATATGAATGAGATGTGCAAAAATGTGCCGAGGTGAGATTGAAAGTGTTGTTGCAAAGTCCAAGAACTAAATAAGAGTATAAATAACCATGTGATTTAGGTCCGATTCAGATGAGAGTGTGCTTCATTTTGTGTCGGCGAAGAACTCTTTGAGCACTTGAGCAAGCCTCGCAAGAGCTGGTTGCATAGTCTCTTCTTGACCAGCGAAAGTCAACCGCAAGAAGTTGAGACGCTGCAAATATGACAAATGAGACTCATCATTTGAATACGGCGGAAAGACAGACTTACGTCCTGTATCGGGTCGTCGCTGTCAAACTTGTTCAGATCACTTGGTGCAACGAAAATGCTAGCTGGCATGACCACCACGCCTCCATCAAGAATCCGTTCAAACAGCTCTTCCATAAGTTCTTCCACATTTGTTTTGGCCTTGGACCCATTCGTGTGCTGCACGTCTGACCTATAACGTGGGTGCTTATCTATATGGACCTTCATCCAGACAAACATCCCCGCCTCCGGAGCGTTTGCACTGGCCAACCCTGTGCGAGAAACTTCCTGATAGAATGTTCGCAGGAAGTAATCCCTCCGCCTCTGGTACTCCTTACGGAGACTTCGGACCCAGCGATCAAAACCAGAGATATTCCATCCTGATGAGCTGAGCATCTCGGTAAGGAATACTTGCCCGAAGGCATGTGGATGATGTGTGGAAGAGTCAACTAAGGTAACGAGGTGATCGTGGAAGAGAGCACTGCTGGTAATCCAACCGAGACGCATCCCTGGTGCCATAACCTTCGACAGACTGTCAACTCGCATCACCCGGCCATCGACATCTATAGACAAGAACGAAGGCATGAACTTAAATGTTTCACCCTCGTTCCCATCGGCGTCGTATTGCAGGTAATAATATGGATCTGTGGGATTTTATGAGTTACTGCCTTCAGTAGAGAGACAACATCCAACCACTTACCATCTTCTATGATGATGAAATCAAAACGTTGAGCTAGTGCATAGATCTTCCTTCTCCTTTCCACGCTCAAAGTGCAGCCTGTGGGATTCTGACCACATCTATGCATAAAAATGGAGGTGATCAACCAATCTCTACACGCATAGTTTGAAACTTACGGTACAGTATATAGAACATGTGGCCGCCGACCCTGCTGTTCCTCATTCCAATTTGAGAGGATTCTTTCCAGCTCCTCTGGAACGAGACCCCCATTGTCAATCTTCACAGGAACCCAGTTGATGCCATGTGACAAAGGCGCGTTCGTGAGTGAACTGAAGGAGAATTCATCTGTCAAGAAGTGATCGCCTGGTTCACCAAGAAGTCGGAAGCATTTGGAGACACCGTCCCCATTTCCAAGCGTAAGTGTCACAACATGATCGGGAGGTGAATGATAGAAATTGGTCAAGTCGGTGACAACACGCTGAGTGTCCGGCAAGCCAGCACCCGCGCTATATTGCATTGCAGCTTTTAGTGGGAGGGTGCCGCTGTGAGTCGTAGTAGTAAATGATTGTGATGGTGCGCTGGCTCCTGCCCCGCGCCATGATGAGACAGGGTCGAGGACACCGTCCTCGACGGAGGCGACCTCGAATTCAAGTTTCCTGATAGGATATAAAGTAAAGTGTGGGTCGCCTGTACGAACCCATATCAGTGACTATGTTCTAGGCTTATGATGGTTTACTTGCCATTTGCGAGACTGATCATGTCTGCTTTCCGTCTAGTAAGACGCCAGATCGCCTTCATGGGATTAGGCTTCCTGAGGCGTGTCTCCGTGGAGAGGTGGTGAGTCAAATCGACCTGCGATGAGCCTGCCATCGAAAGCATGCTTAGAGTGAAAAAGTACGACACAGAGAAGCCGAAGAGGAGTTGTTGAAAATTATGGTTCGGTGAAGCTCCTTATATCATGTTTCGGCTCCGGCATCTAGGCTGCATGGACTAAGTAGCGAGACGCCACTTCAGAATCACCCCTGCCAGGTTTACGGCGAGAAATGCCAATGCGACAGGCTGCATAGGCTTTCATCTTTGATGATGCAAAACGCCGATGCATGCTTCACGAGAGCGGAACTCAATGTAACCATATCCTGTGCAAAATCTTCGGCTCTACCGCTGATGTTTCTACATTGAAACAAATGAGGAATGCATAGGGCTGTGGATCTGATCGCCGATGATGTAGCAAGCACACCCACAAGAAAGTAGATACACCGCCTTCAAGTTAGCAAACTTGCGATACCTCCGGGACTCATGTTCCTGGCCCTCTGTCGCATATCCAGAGCCTCATCACGTTTTCTGTTTGTTACCGGCCGATCGAACGATACTCACAATAGCCTTTCTCTTTACTCCGTCTCCGGGAGTTTTCCATCAGCGTCAGGTGTAAGGGATGTCGCCGACTACTTATGTCAGGCTCATATTCTCCATAATATCATTTCTTTGGCGTTACATGGGACAGAGGATATTGTTAAAGCGACGAACTCCGCGGAACGAGCAGCGATGAGAATGTTTCGGGTTAGAACGGACAGGTGGCAGTCGAAATTCAAACTTAGTGTCCTTCCTCTCTAGGAATGTGCGCCGAATATTAATTGTTAATATTAGATTATTAATTATCCACATGCAACCCGGTGAACCATGACCTTTGCAATCCGTATCTTAGAGAAAATGTCATGCATATCAACAAGAAGTATGTCCTGTGGATGGTTTGTTTGCATTAGAATTTATTTCCCTACAGTCCCAACCCATATGATTGACCTCTCAGCATCCTCAGAAGTACATCGTCATTTTTAGACATGAAGACCATGAGATCCTCCTGTGCAATGTGCATGCTTGTACCTGCAGCTTTGGTACATGCACTCCCATTTGGCAGAAGGGCTTTGACAGAATCTTTACACCCTGCGCCTTTCCGACTCACCCTACTAGAACAGGTCTTACAGCCCTCCACTGGCAGGCCTGATAATCCGCTCACCGAACTGCCAGTATATCAGTCGGTTCAGGTATTCTGCCGTGCAGTCACCGTTCCCTTTACATATTCATCTTGCTGCGATCCAACACATTCGATATGTATCTCATCTTGGCTGAGATGTCGATATTGAGCGGTGCACTGGCAATTATACACAGGCCTGGATGCTTCCATCTCCACCTCGCCCTCGTTCCTGAACCAAGTATAGTAAGTCCCACAGGAAATTCATATTCATGATGATTCACAAGTGAATGCGTTGGTAGAGATGCAACGGTCTTGGTGATGTGGTTGCTTCTGACATAAGCATAGTATATAGGATGCATTGCCCTTTTCTCTGTAGTTTGCATCCGTATCACCATCGATCTCTGGGTGACGGCCTTAGCAGGATGATTTTCAATATTTTTGACCTCGGTGCTGTGGGTCACTTACTGCCACATATCCCAGACCCATAACAGACCGACCTGGTCTTTCTGAAGAATGACAAAAGCCTTGTTCACTTGATGTGTTCCTGGCACTCGGACCGACACCCTACAGACCATATGCGCAACCTGTACTTACAATGACTCGATCTCACCAATATATCAAACCAAATACAAGGCGCAACGTATGCAGTGACTAAGGACACAATGACAGTGCGAAACCAAATAGCATTGTCTCACTCGTATTTCAGTCAGAAGTCGGTCATGGGATGACTTTCGACTCTCACAGCAGAAGACTCCCAGCTCAAATTCCTGTTTGGTCACTGAAATTGTCTCTCGTTGAGTTGAGACCAAAATATAGCATATATAATAGTGTGACGGTTGGGTATTGTATGCGAAGGGTAAAGAACTAATGCTACAATGTAGATGCAAAAGACCGAATAAAGACGTACGATGCATATATACATATAAAAGAGTGTATTGAACTGGTATGGTTGGGGTGATGTTTGAAGGCGGGATAGCGTCAACGCCACAAGTATATTGCAATAGGTAGCGTGAAGGAATTGCGAATGGACGAAGCAATGAGTCAGACCGGAGAAGGATGTGAAGTTGATGACACGTGTGATAAGTTTCAGCCCCAATTCATGACACAACTCGTCGAAAGTTATCTCGTAAGTTTGCGAAACTCATTGTTGCCTGTCGTCTGAGTCGTGACAGTGGGCTCCTGGTCGGGAGCTTTTCATGTTGTAGACCGTAGACATACTTTGTGATAGCATACATCCTTTCACGAAGAGTATGCATCAAGAGATAGCTCACTAGCGGAGTCATGAGTGAAAAGACCTCGAAAAAACGTGGGATTTGGACAAACCTATGAGTTCAGTCATCTCATCTTGAGCGCGTACTTCTAACTCGAGGTAATCACAGCCTGTACCAGGAACGTGCGCTGGGATCAGCTCCTCTGATAAGCAGTCTGAATGTAGCCTCCCAATCTCCTCTTCGTCATCATCGAGCAACTGAGATTATGCTCAACAAGGCCCCCACTTAGTAATCGTGTGGTGATGCTCACTGTCAAGTCATCGTAAGTTGTCCGCCACACATATTCCATTCGGGTGGGTATTAGTGTTTCATCGGGTCTGCATCGGGGCGTCAGTACTAGTTCAAATCAAAGGGGCAAGTATGACTCACAAGACCTTAACAAAGGCTGCATCGAATAACTCAGCAGGGCCGGCAAGAGTTTCCTCTCCAATCCTAATGACCGAAGCGTGGTTATCGTCCCAAGTAATATCCGCCACAGTCTTCCCATCCTTATCAATGAGCGAAGTTACTTTAGGCTCCGGCATAAGCTTCTCCTGTGAATAAGAACTGAAGCTGGCGAACGATCGAAGAGACGTCGTAGAGCGGGAGCGAGATCGGGAACAACGACGTGGGGTGCAAACTTGGTATATTACGGTACCAGTAGAACAGTCGATAATAGATGTGTTCTGAATGTCAGAGGATGTAAACTTGAGCAGCATCCTGAGACAGCGCTGGACGACAGCATGCGGGGAGAGCTGGAGCAGCTATCGTCGAAATCCCGCTTGGACACAGAGATATATGCACCGGCTCGCGTAATGCTCATAATCTTGGAAGAGACCATCAGACTATCCCGGTTTGACACATAAGCTATGGACTTACTTGGGATAGAGAAGAGCAGCAACGGGTGCCCTCGGGTCGCGAGCTATAACTCCGCTTGGCTTGATTCAAGCGTTCACCTTCTGCTTAAACCCCACAAGCCTGCTTGAACACAACGTAGAGAGCAGTATTTGCTATGCCAGTTCACTACTATGAGTTATCGATGATGTTACATATCGTTCTGGCTTATTCCCCTTGAGCAACAGAGGGAGATATACCAGCAGGGTTTCATGAAGCGAACGGGTTGTCTATGAAAGGAAATCTCAAAGAGAGGACGAAAGCTTCTGGTAACCTGCCTATTTGGGCCAATCGTTTGTTGCAGTGTGAAGTCGTCGCATCTCCTCCACATAATCAAAAGCCACGGGGATGCTTGTCGGTATATTGCAAAGTATAAGTGTTGCGAAATATGATGTAATGGGGAAGGAGACGCGACCAGTTAAGACAATGACTCACCGTGACGAGGTCAACTCTACGTACAATCAAGACGGGACTCCCGCAGAACCACGACAGCAACTGGGCATCAGGATGCAGCAAATTCCACTCTTGAAGAAGCGACTGCTCGGTCAGTAGATATCGGCGTAATATGAACTGCAAACAAAGCATATAGACATATGTTTGATACTGTGGCTCATGAAGGCAAGCCACAAGAAGGTCAAATGGGCGTCTGCAATTGCTTACTGCCATGCTGCCAGATCCGAAGAGTAGACTTAAGTCTCCTGGTATCTCCCTGAGTACCATTATCTGCGAGCAACTGCTGACTGGACAATAGCAACGTAAATGGAGCTATGCACTGTCATTGCGGACTAAAATACAATGAGGATAGGGACATATGCAAGGGATTGTATAACTGACTACTCAATTTTGATACAAGACGAAAGGTACGAAACCAGTTGCACACAAAGGAATATGTCGATGCGGATGCAGATGTGGGAAATAGTTTCTGATTATGAATATGACCGACCGGATGCAAGAAATTGTCCCTCCAAAAGCAGCACAGACGAAGGAATCGAAGAACGAGAGGAAGGAATGGCCAAATCACCGGTACTTTTGAACCAGCCTTTCCAACTCTTGAACGACCTCGGTCATAGTCGGCCTATCTTGGTGATCTTGAGCCCACATACGCTCAATCAGGTCGACAATCTCTGGACACCATTGTTTGCGCAAGCCTTGGACAGAAGGTCTGTAGAAAGAGAAACAAATGCATCTTTAGTGCTGATGAAATGAAAGCTGAGAACAAGAAAGCAAGCGTACCTTTGATGTTTGGCGCCGACGGCATCATAGATTGCGTGTTCGTTCATACCCTGGAACCCATTCAGCAACGGCCACCAGTCAATATATGCCAATACTCACCTCCCATGGGAACTTCTTCTCCGGGTTGTGCCATTGAAGGATCTCCCAGAACACCATGGCACAGGAGAAAACATCCACCTTATGATTGTACTTCGGATGAGCGTGCCAGAGTTCAGGCGCTTGCCAGTTGACTGTGCCAACTAAGCTGCGAACCATCGACCTGGTCGATTGTTTAACCTTTGCAAGACCAAAGTCGGTAATCTTTGCAACGCCCTTGGAAGTGATGAGGATGTTGGACGATTTGCAATCACGATGAATGACAGACGGCTTCCGAGTGTGAAGGTAGGCAAGGCCACGAGCGATGTCAAGCATGATGCATAACTATGAGGTTGTGAATACGGTCGCACTTTAACAATACAATGAGATATTGACTTACTGCACGGTAAAGCGTCGGCGGAGGAACATTCCGGATGTAGTCAAATAGATCGCCATTGGAACAAAGCTCACTGACAATCATCACCGGTGTCTCCTTGGTATTCTCAGGTATGCTGACTCCAAGCTAGTGATCGACAGCTATCAGAGAGAAATCAGGTTAAAAGATGGATAAGAAACTCACGAATCTGACAATATTAGGGTGATCAAAGTCACCAAGTAGCTTGAGCTCCTTAATGTCCACTGCAAGTAATCTGTTAGGAAATGAAAGCAAAACGCTGCAAGGGTATACGTACTAGCACTGAGTTGTCCACGGAATTCGGCAATAGCCACTTTCCTACCCTTGAACTTGCCGATGAAGACATCCTTGAATCCGCCACTGCCAATCTTTTCCAGTTTGGTCAGTTTCTCTGGTGGGATCTCCCGATCATGCAGCCCCAAACTTTCTAAGTCGAGCTCAAGTTCGGCCTCAGCTTCCTTGTTATGGGATGTTAAGGGGGGAGTGACGGGCCCGTCCTTGTGCACCCGTTGCGAACGCATGAGAACTGGCGGTGTCTTGCTAGTGCTCTTACTGCGAGTTCTCCGCCTTGGGCGGGGCCGTGTCGTTGAGGGCGGTCGAGGGGTGTGCGTCGGGGAGGGTGATGGTGCGAATTCTTTCAAGTGCTGGTCTCTCCATTGCAAGAGAGCCTCTGCCAACTGAGGTTTGGTACCACTCGCATCAAGATTGCGAGCCTCGCAAAGCCTAACGAGATCATCCCGCCGCAAACGAACAAGTGTCTTCGTGGTAGCCTCACTCAGATCAACTAGATCACGGGTCAATATGTGGCGGAGAGCAAATATAAAAGCTGCTTACTGTCGTCATTCATGAGCTCGTCCCTATCCTCGCTTAGTTCCCGTATGTCTTCACCCTCCTCTACATTATCCTCGCTCTCCTCCGTATCGCCTTCAGCGTCGAGATCAATACTTGCGGCATCCTGATCTTGAGAACTACCCTCATCTTCGTCTGTAAGCTCTGGTAAGCCATCTTCGAAGAGATCCTCTCCGACCACCTTCCCACTCCTCAATGTCCTCGGTTGAGAGAAAGGATCATCCTCATCTCCGGCTTCACTACCTTGGCGCACCGTTGCATCATCGCCTTCTTCCTCTTCCTCTGAAGCGCCATCAACGCTTTGCTCAATGTCAATACTCTCATCCCCACTGCCTTCGTCATCACCATCGCTAGGTGGCGTAAGCATCTCCGATCGGCGCGAGCGCAATCGCCGCTTCATTGGCGTTCGCCTGACTCTCGATGCCTTTGGTGTGGGCAGTGACGGTGCATCTAGCTCTTCCGCTGTATGGTCATCGGCATCACTAGCCTCTAGCTCATCTTCTTCCTCTGTGCTCTCTTCCTTCAAAGAAGTCACCCTTCCTTTTGCCTTCCGCATGGGCGTGACCCTTTTCCCAAGATCCGGTAATGATAGCCCTTCATCGCCCGATCTACTATTTTGACTGCTTGAACGACGTTTTTCAGGCTTGCTACGTAGGCGCCGAGGGCTTGGCGTTGTTGGCACAAAGGATTCCTCTACCTCGGTGAGGTCGGTGAGGTCACTGTCTTGATCTACGTCCGGGTATATGGGCTCCACCTGAACATCGTTACTGAACTCGACTTGCTTGGCCTTACCCTTACCTTTGCTTGAGGTTGAAGATAAAGGTGCGGGCGGTGGATGTTCATTCGATGCTTTGCGTGAACGTAAACGAGTGGCTGGCGGAGAAGGCAGCATAGAGGGCTGGACCGAAGATGAGGGCGATGAGTGATTCGAGCTAGCATTACTCAAACCCCGCCTGCCATCCGTTAATTTAGAATGAAGCAAAACAATGAAAAATACTTTACCTTCGCGTGATGGGCTGTACAGATGTTTTGAGAACGATGGAAGGTTTCTTCTTGACAGCTCTATCCCTCCGGTCAATCTCTCCAAGGGAAAAACAGCGCTCAGGACCTGCTCGATGAGCAACCTTCCCCAGGTCATTCACAGTGGCACGCCGCACAAGCCCATTTCTCAATCTCAGACCGAAGTCAGTTTCTTCCCCTCCTGCGATATTTCCACCATCGGAGGAGTAATCGCTTGAAGCGCTGTCGGTAGGACCAGAAGGCGAGGAAGGAGGAAGAGAAGCTAGATCGTCACGAGCAGCAATGAGACAGTCAACGATTTCAGGTTTGGTGAGGAGCTCGGCATCTTCCGTCAAGCCGGCTAGCAAATATATACGGACGAGTTCGTCCTTGCGCAGACGAAGAAGATTCCGAGGAGGTGCTTCGTTTATCAGGTAATTTGCAGCTACACACAACCGTACATCATCGTTGATCGACCAATGGCGACTGCGTGACTTACAAGAGTCCAATGTGCCTGCGTCGTCTGAATTGTCAGAAACCTCCCAGTAATTTTGTCCGTCTACCTCCATCTCGCTTGAGTCTTCGTCACTGGAGTCACGAAGTGCTCTGCGTCTTTTGACTCGATGTCCAGCCGTACGCGAGCCACGGGTGGCCTGAGTATTCTCATTTCCACTCGGGACGCGTTTCCGCTTTGTTCCCACTTGAGCTACATCTTGCATGTCCTCCTTTGGCTCCGATTGTGAGAAAAGTCTGGAAGGAAGACGTCGAAGGTTGAATTGCAAAGGGACCAGGATGGCTCGCGTTGATTCCGGTGGGGAAGCGCTTGACGCGACTGACACGCGCGAAGTCGGGTATGTATTAGCAACAGTGAATATGCGCCTGCGCGAATGAGGGCCACGACGAGAGTGGAACTTTCTACGAGTAAGGACAGAGGAATCGGTAGCAGAATTGACTCTATGTCTTGGTCGCTGTTGGGCCATTCCAGCGGGTGAGCACCCTTGTTATGTAAGCGCCAGGACCTCCAGAGTTGTAGACGGTACCAAGGGGTGGCTACGGTCGATTACGCCCTATAATGACTTGGATGAGTGGTCTTGACGAGATGGAAAGGGAGCTCGTCGTCGAGAGCGTCGTCCAGCGGATATGTTTTCAATGCTGGTGGTGGAACGAAACGGGCTACAAATAAGACCAAACTCAGACATCAGCGCGTCACGCATAACGCCTCGTGACGTGTATCAGCAGGGCGTCACGTCACGTCATCAGTGCCTTGATCGGCTATGGTCGGAATTGACTAAATTCATATTTGTCAGGCTCGGCCTTCTCGAGCAAACTCGAAAGCACGACGACAAAAAGGACCCGAATTCTTTGTCCAAAAGATCTAATGATACATATGTCACAAATGTGGGTATGGTAAATAGTAATATATTCAGCTCCATGTATTACTGCAGTTCAAGCGACTGATTTCAAAGCTTTGCAATAATCTTCCGCAATTCCATCTTCTGAATCTTGCCTGTCGAGGTTTTCTGGTCACCAAAATCGCCATCATTAGCACCTTGTCCTTCTTCCCAAGGAAACACAACACCGAGAGGGCTCACAGGCAATTCGTCCACCACCTTCACCCACTCAGGGCATGCGAATCCCGGAAGACGGGGCTTGACATGTCTCTTCAGGTCAGCTTCGAAGTCCTTGTGTTTTCCTTCCCATTTCTTCACAGCGTCCTTCTTGAGAATCACAAATGCCATAGGACGTTCGCCCCACTTGGGATGAGGCCGGGCAACAACGGAAACCTCAAGAACGTCGGGGTGACTGGCCAGCTCTGTTGGGGAGTTCAATCTAGGATCAGTGATTGCAATACTGACAGTCTAACTCACCCTGTTCGATAGCAAGGCTTGATGCATTCTGCGATGTGCGGCGTCTACTTCAGAAGTCTTCGTAGAAAGAAACACGACATGACTGACCTCGCCGCCAGAGATGATGATGTCCTTGCTTCGATCTTGGATGGAAATGTACCCATCTGGGTGTATGACAGCCAGATCTCCACTATTAAAATGACCCCCGCGAAAAGCCTTCCGAGTTGCCTCAGGATCTTGGAAATACTAGAAGAACATCGTAAATGATGATCGACCTGCACATCAACGGAATACATACCTCTTTCATAGCGATGTTTCCTCTCGTAACGACTTCACCAATAGTTTTGCCGTCCCTAGGAACATCCACAAGTTCGGAATCAAGGTTCTCACCCTCCTTTAGCGGATAGACAACCCGCGCCTCTTCTGCAGTCAAGAAGCTATGACCTTGACGAGCTAGATATCTGGCTCGCTCTTCTGGAGAAAGGTCCTTCCATAGTGGTTGGAAGTAGCATTTGGTAAAGGGGCCATATGTCTAGAACATTGGCCAAACATGTCTTGAACGACGTCTGTAGGAGGAACACGAGTCGCCCTTACCTCGCTAAAATTGCCGTTAGCATTGTTGGCTGTACATAGACCGAGTCACTCACGTTAAGCCGTAAACATGTACAGCCGTGATACCCAATTTCTCAAGGTCTCCAATCAACTGGGCAGTTGGTGCGGACCCCGCCGTTATTGCCGAAACTGGTCTTGGTAACGGTCGAGCCTCAGGTGCGCTTACCAAACCAATCTAAGCGAGGCGTAAGTAAACAAGACAGCGATAAAAGGACGGTGGAAACAATAGAACGAACCTGAACAGTGGGAGCTCCGCAATAATGTGTGACGCCCGAATTCAGCAAATGGTTCCATATGAGAGGGTATGATACAGTGCGAAGCGTAATCTACAGAGCAGCGTTGTCAGACAGTGGAGTACTTTGTTATGAGGCGCAACTGCTTACCTGACCAGCGCATGCAAGAGTAACTGCCCAAGGATATGTCCAGCCACATGCATGGAACATAGGAAGAATCCTAGAAAATCGACAAATTACAAACGTGCACGCGAGCGTTCAAGGGGGAATGCTCACCATAGGTAGACAGACTCCATGCTCATTCTGCAAAGAGGTCAAACAAGACGGAGAATAGCTAAACGGGGGCACCTACTTCGTCTCGTACGCGTTGGCAACTGCAGCCAAGTATGATCCTAAGAGAGCGCAAGTAAGCATCACGCTCAGATGAAACATCAACCGACATACCTCTAAGTGTCGTTATAACGCCCTTCGGCTGAAAGAGAATAGTTAATGAAATATTGAATACCAGCAGAGATCAGATAGAATAAGTACTCGGCCAGTTGTCCCAGATCTAAGGAGTATGAAGGCAATGAGTATCTAATGAAGCAAGAAGGATAGCTCGCACTCACGTATAGCACAATGCTGCCGGAGAGTCCTCATTGGGCTCCCACTCTAACCCAAGCCAACCCCTCTCCTGACTGAAATGCCTTCCAGAGCTCAAGAACGCTTCATAGGAATCACCAACGCGTCCTGAGTCATTCGACACAATGACCGGAGTCTTCACGCCTTGTACCAGTCGAACGTACTCGTGGTCAACGATAATGAGCTTTGACCCGCTATGATCTAGGATATACGCAACCTCGGCAGGTGTAAGGCGAGTGTTGATGGGACAAATGATTGCTCGGGCAGCGAGTACTCCATGGTGTGCCTCTGTAATTTCGGAGAGATGTTGTTAGACACAGCATAATGGGTATGAAACAAGAATCAGAGACCAGCTATCACGGGGCTAAATAATAGTCAATAGACCATTCGGATAGGTAAAATATCTGCTCACGAATTAGGTGCAATGACAGCGACTCTATCACCAGGTTGAATACCCGCTTGAATTAACGCATACGCAAGATTCTGTATGCGCTGTGCCCTAACCCAGCAGTCCGTCAGGAAATAACATTGGTACCATTATCGCGAGACATACCATGTAGCATAACTGTAATACACCGGGAACTGTACATCCGGATGTGCGATGGCTAACCGGTTAGGATATACTTGCGCAGCTCGAAGCAAAAATGAGAGTGGGTTCTAAAGCATCGATGGCCCATTAAATTCTGACCACCAGATCAACTGGAAGGGATACTCACCAACGGCTGTTTGTGTACTGGAAGGCCTTGGGGAAGGCGTAACCTGTACGTGACGCTCGTAGGGGGTAAGCTCTCGACAGTGGGCTGGAAGGAATTCATGGCAATTGAATTGTGGAGAAGTCTGAGAAGAGTGTCAGAGTCAGGATCAATTATACGCTTCTGGGAGAGGACATGACCTTACCTTCTCAGCCAGATGAAGTCTAAAAGGTCTCAAGAGAAGGCCAATGGGGGCCAATGCAAAACTGAGGGCTTCTCCGCACGGCGTTCCGGCAACTGTGGGGATCCGAGGAACAAGTGCATGACCGTTCATGTGAGCAAAATTAAAATCGGAGTGGGGAAATGCGGGGTAAGCAGCATCTACATCTTATCTGATAAGACGTAAAACAAACAAGAAACCTGTGCCGGTAACATGCAAGAAGATGACACCTGTCATTTGAGTCTGAATCACGGAAAACAGAACAAAGAATGTTAGGTAAGAGGTGAAAGACAGGTACCAGGGTATTATCTGGATTCAGTCAAGCGAAAGAGAAATAAAGCTTAAAGTATACACGTCGTCGATAGGTAATAGAAGTCGAAAAGCAGTGGTGTCAACGGACTCATACAGAGGAACATATCATCAACCCGAAGCGGGATGAAGAAGGCACTCGCGTGGGAGGCAGGCAGGCTAAATAGCAACGAAGCAATTACAACAAACCTCAGAGATTCGATGTCGCTCGTTCGAGGTCGTTCCAGCTCTCGCCCAATTTGAATATGACAGGAAGATTGTTCCAAATTTTGACGCGTGCCTCTCTGATGGCTTCCTTCATCACAGTCCTGCACGGTGTACATAGAACACCGGTATAAGACTTGGATATCAAAGGACTGAGCCAGTCATCTGTGGACTGTTGCAGTAACCATTCTGCTTTTCGACTCCGTTCAGCTCTGCAAGCTGTAGATTTGATACATCCGGGAGGTCATTAATAGAGAACAGGTTCTTGTGAGTCTCCGTCCTCGCGAGATGGGAAAGCGCCTGTCTACCGATGAGAACAGCTCGTCTGTTCTCTGGACAGAGTTCCACGCGATACCCATCTGGCAATACCATACCATCCATGATATCAGGGAGAGTACCCATACAACACATGAGTAGAGCAACAGGAAGGATATTCAACGCGTTCGTTTCCCGAGCAAGATTGGCGATGTGGAAATGTCGTAAGTGAAGTTCCTCGGAGGAACCGATCGCTTCAGAACTTGGAGATTGGAGCCATCCGGCGAGGGTGGAAGGGTATGTGAGTTCGAGTACTTTGATGCAGCGTTGGCGAATCATGCTAGCCTCGTACTTCGTACTGATGCGCAGAATGGCAGCGATCGCATGGATGGGAGTAGTTTCTACGTCAAGGATTCTGGGGAGATGATGTTCAGACGATGACGTAGTCCGTATACACCCCAGATACTCACATTGTTCCCAGGAGCACTTGCAAGAAGTACGAGAAATCCTCTGCAGAGTCATATAACCGTATGAACGGGCAACCGTCAAAGCGTTCTACGCCGCGAGGCTGAGGCAATGAGAACATATCCCTGAATACAGGAGAATGAATACTAAGAAGGCCTCCGTAGAAACGGAAAGCCGTTGACTGAACTAAGATCACGAAATTCCCATCTTCAAGCCAGAGGGCATTACTGCGGACGAAGAAGGATGGATCGTCGGAATGTGAGACATCAGCCCGTGTAAAGTTCGAGCTGTCAAGTTTTACTGAAGGCACCGGGGTGTCTCCAGAATCAGATGGCTGGCGTGGGTCTCGTCTTAGATCCTGGTGCAGGAAAACAGAACAAAGAATGTTAGGTAAGAGGTGAAAGACAGGTACCAGGGTATTATCTGGATTCAGTCAAGCGAAAGAGAAATAAAGCTTAAAGTATACACGTCGTCGATAGGTAATAGAAGTCGAAAAGCAGTGGTGTCAACGGACTCATACAGAGGAACATATCATCAACCCGAAGCGGGATGAAGAAGGCACTCGCGTGGGAGGCAGGCAGGCTAAATAGCAACGAAGCAATTACAACAAACCTCAGAGATTCGATGTCGCTCGTTCGAGGTCGTTCCAGCTCTCGCCCAATTTGAATATGACAGGAAGATTGTTCCAAATTTTGACGCGTGCCTCTCTGATGGCTTCCTTCATCACAGTCCTGCACGGTGTACATAGAACACCGGTATAAGACTTGGATATCAAAGGACTGAGCCAGTCATCTGTGGACTGTTGCAGTAACCATTCTGCTTTTCGACTCCGTTCAGCTCTGCAAGCTGTAGATTTGATACATCCGGGAGGTCATTAATAGAGAACAGGTTCTTGTGAGTCTCCGTCCTCGCGAGATGGGAAAGCGCCTGTCTACCGATGAGAACAGCTCGTCTGTTCTCTGGACAGAGTTCCACGCGATACCCATCTGGCAATACCATACCATCCATGATATCAGGGAGAGTACCCATACAACACATGAGTAGAGCAACAGGAAGGATATTCAACGCGTTCGTTTCCCGAGCAAGATTGGCGATGTGGAAATGTCGTAAGTGAAGTTCCTCGGAGGAACCGATCGCTTCAGAACTTGGAGATTGGAGCCATCCGGCGAGGGTGGAAGGGTATGTGAGTTCGAGTACTTTGATGCAGCGTTGGCGAATCATGCTAGCCTCGTACTTCGTACTGATGCGCAGAATGGCAGCGATCGCATGGATGGGAGTAGTTTCTACGTCAAGGATTCTGGGGAGATGATGTTCAGACGATGACGTAGTCCGTATACACCCCAGATACTCACATTGTTCCCAGGAGCACTTGCAAGAAGTACGAGAAATCCTCTGCAGAGTCATATAACCGTATGAACGGGCAACCGTCAAAGCGTTCTACGCCGCGAGGCTGAGGCAATGAGAACATATCCCTGAATACAGGAGAATGAATACTAAGAAGGCCTCCGTAGAAACGGAAAGCCGTTGACTGAACTAAGATCACGAAATTCCCATCTTCAAGCCAGAGGGCATTACTGCGGACGAAGAAGGATGGATCGTCGGAATGTGAGACATCAGCCCGTGTAAAGTTCGAGCTGTCAAGTTTTACTGAAGGCACCGGGGTGTCTCCAGAATCAGATGGCTGGCGTGGGTCTCGTCTTAGATCCTGGTGCAGTATGACGACACAAACTGCCAAGATAACCATGAAAGTGGTAAAGGAGATGCGATTGATCGCAAGGTAGAGGGTAATCATTGGAAGTATCCACATCCATCCCGTTTTGCGACGTTGGGATACTCCCGTAGCGTTGTCCATGAACGTGAAGATGGAACTAGATGGCATACAATCAGATAATCGCCTCTACCGATTTGCGAAAAAGACTTACCAAATGTTATTCAGACAGAGATCACAGTTCCTCTGGCATAGAATAAAATGGCAACTCGAGAGACACGCAAAGCTCAAAAGAGTGAAGTGAACATGAGTCTCTGGCAAGGTGATCCACGCTGCACGAAAGCACGTAACCGAAGCGATCGCACGGACTGCCTCTGCATCGACTGGTAGGGTGCTTTACTTGTACAAATCGCTTCAATATTCAACGTCGTATGTTATGCATTTCACTGTGAGAGAAAGAATATCCAAGCTCAAGCAAATAAGAAAACAGCAAAAGTTCGATCGAGGCCAGACAATCGGGAATCGGCCGACCACACCGATTCATTTTATGGGCGTCTTGTGAACAATGGGCGCTACTGACTGCCATATTCGTCTGCTATATGTACTCCATGAATTTCTGACTCGACTCTTGTCCTCCTCCAATTCGACTATTGTCGAGTCAAGTCTCTTCAAGCAAACGTCTACGCTACTAGAACTTAACCGATTACAGGGATACCCATAATGCCTATGCTGTATGTTGTCTTCTCACGGTGCTCTTTAAATGCGCTGATCAATTCTCCACAGTGCCGATCCCTCCAAAAAGTACAAACCGTACACACCACTCAATCTTCCAGACAGACAATGGCCCTCTAAAGTGGTCCGAAAATCACCTATATGGCTATCCACTGACCTGCGAGATGGCAACCAAGCCCTCGCTAATCCCATGACAATCGCGCAAAAGACCCTCTTCTTCGACACCCTGGTGAAATGCGAGTTGAAGGAGATCGAAATTGCATATCCTGCTGCTAGCGAGACGGACTTTCAGTTTGTCAGAGGGTTGATCGAAGGCAAGAAGGTACCCGACGATGTATGGATTCAGGTTAGTGGATTTCCGTGCTAGATTCGTTGAAGATCTTTCCGTGAGTCGAGTGCTGAAAGCATGTTGAGCTCAGGTACTCACTCCCGCGCGAGAAGATCTCATACGGAGAACACTTGAATCCGTCGCAGGTACGAAACTCGCGATTATCCACATGTACAACGCCACCTGCCCGTGTTTCCGAGACGTTGTCTTCCGGAATTCTAAAGAGGAAACCATAGCTCTTGCGATCAAGCACACCAAAATCATTCGTGAACTCACCGATGAGTACTCAGCCAAGTACGGAACTAGGTTCAAGTACGAATACAGTCCGGAGACGTTCTCTCAGACCGAACCTGACTTTGCGCTGGAAGTGTGCGAAGCGGTCAAAGCGGCGTGGGGCAAGGCCGGCACTGGAGATGAACGCATTATCTTCAACCTTCCTGCAACTGTTGAAATTGCACCTCCAAATCATTATGCCGATCAGGTCAGTTGTTGTTCATGGAATCGGCGTGTGCACTGAACTCAAGTCTCATTCTAGGTAGAGTACTTCTGCCAACATATATCAGAAAGAGAGAAGATCGCGATCAGTCTACATCCACACAATGACCGAGGTTTGTCTTGATTATGCATTCTTGTTTGGAATCATGCCTAATGTATTTACGTTCTCCAGGTCAAGGTATGGCTGCCGCTGAGCTCGCTCTCCTGGCAGGCGGCGATCGGGTTGAAGGTTGTCTATTCGGAAACGGCGAACGTACTGGAAACGTTGACCTTGTCAACCTCGCCCTCAACTTCTACACCCAAGGCGTTTCACCGAACCTCGACTTCAGCGACATTCAGAGTGTCATCGAAGTTGTCACTGCCTGCAATGAACTCCCCATTCACCCCCGTCATCCTTATGCCGGAGAGCTCGTCTTCACTGCGTTCTCAGGATCACATCAAGATGCGATCAAGAAGGGCTTCGAGGCACAACGTATTCGACATGCAGAGGCAGCCAAGAAGGGAGAGCTTCAATACTGGGATATTCCTTACCTGCCTATCGACCCAGCAGACATCGGTTGTACATACGAAGCTGTCATCCGTGTCAACGCTCAGTCAGGCAAAGCTGGTATCGCCTATCTAGTTCAGCAGCATCTGGGTCTTGACCTCCCTCGGAAGATGCAAGTCGCGTTCTATCAAGTTGTACAGGATATTGCGGATCGAGAAGCTCGCGAGATGCGTCCTGAGGATATCACAACCGCATTCAGGGAGACGTATCATTTCGGTAGTAGCAAATACGAGGGACGATTGGTTCTGAAGTCGTTCAAGATCTCTTCAGAGCCGTCACCGGATACAACTGGAAGCGACGAACAGCCTGCGGACGAACGCCGTCTATTTGATGGAACCATCTCGGTGGATGGCGCCCTGCGTGTTATGCGCGGTGACGGAAACGGACCTCTGTCTGCTCTTCTGGACGCCCTCCGAACCCATCTGGACATTGATTTCATAATTCGGGAGTACGCAGAGCACAGTATAGGCGAAGGTTCCAATGTCAAGGCTGCATCGTACGTCGAACTTGTGCGCGGCGGACAGGACATCAAGGATGCGAGAAAAGCAACTGAATCGTGGTGGGGTGTTGGAGTCGATTCTGATATCGCCGGCTCAGGTTTGCGCGCGGTCTTGAGTGCTGTTAACAGCGCCATTGGCGACCGCGAGCTTCCTGAGCTCAAACTCAACGTCGGGTTCAATGCCAAGTCCGCTCAATCGGACGTCGCAAACGCGATTCTCAACTCCTTGCAATTGGAGCTCCCTCGGCGTTTGCAAGGCTCTTTTTTTGAGGTTGTTCAGCGTGCCGCTCGCGGTACAGGCGGGGAGCTGTCCTACTCAGATCTCATCAAAGTCTTCCGTGAGACGTACAACTACGAGCAACCGGATCCTAATGCCAAGATTCAGCTTAAGAAGTTCAAGATGAAGAGCGTTGGTGACAATGGGCACAAGAACTTTTCGGGACAATTCATATGGGATGGACAGCCTCGCGACCTCACTGGTCAGGGGAACGGTTCACTGTCTGCCATCCTCACCGTTCTGAACTCACAGATTGACGGAACGCTCTCAGTGAGAGAATACGCAGAACACTCCATCGGCGAAGGTTCAGATGTACAAGCTGTCTCGTACGTCGAGTTAGCCTACAATGTCGAGGGTCAGAAACGAAGGACGGCATGGGGAATTGCGACGGATACTGATATCACGGCGTCGGGTTTGAGGGCGGCTGTCTCGGCTGCGAACAAGTTGGGTATTGTTCAGAAGCAGTAGGTGTGCGTTGGAAGGTAGAAGGAGGATAACTGCTGTATCTTTTAGCTCTTGTATTCTTGGAAACAAAGTTTCCGCGTGTGGCGGTATTGGCCTATCTGATCTCCCTCGGTCTGATCCTCAGCTGTGTTATTTCATCAGGTATATCGCCCTATTTACAACAGTACCATATAACATCTCAACAAGCAACAGCTTAGCAAAACATTAGGTAAAGGCTTGTTTAATCAAAGTATTATCTAGAGCTGACGTGATAAGAGTTCTTCCAGCTGTTCGGACGTGACAACGTCTTCATGAGTTTGGCCGTCTACGGTTTTGTTGACCGAGAACCATCTTTCGCCCGCTTGTATACCGCCGCTTACGATTTCACATTCCACAACCTCTTCCATGGCGGGACCCCAATATATGAACTTTTCGCCGTCTCGGGTGAAGAGATTGTAGCAACCAGCCGGCACCACTTCACGTCCTTCGTGAACATCGACTCCCTGAGTAACGGTCGTGACCGAAGGTGGCACTAGAGAACCATGAATCCCAGAGAAATATGACGGGTGGTGTTGACCGCACCTTTTCTGTATGGCAGCATTAAGAATGCGGACGGGAACATTGTTGTCCGGATAATGTTCGGACAGTTCCGCCAATAGTATCTGCATGCCAGAGGTGGCATAGTTAATTCGAACCGTAGCCCTGGTCATCCTCATCAGTAAGGTTAAGGTCCTTCGGAAACATAATAACAACAACGGGTACGTACTCAATAGGACTTCTGATCGGGCCTGTGCTCATCTCTTTGCATCCATCGACACAGGTTCTATACGAGCTTGTTGATGAGGTTGTTCAACCTCGGGGCAAAGACCTGCTGGGAAGTAAGCCTGGTCCAGGAATTTTGCATGTTGAGGGAACCCCCGAAACCGAGCCGGGCCAAGGCGTCGACGACATAGCCAAAGTACGCTTCAGCAGAATGACCGTCCGGGATGGAGGCCAGGTTGGAACTGACATGTTGGCGTACGACTCTGAGGGAAAGAAGACAGAACAAGGCGGACTTTAGAAAGTCTCATATCAATGACTCAATTTGCCATATGGGTACGTGCATCATTTCAATCATTCAACATTTCAGACTGACCCCCGCGTCTGCCCCAACTATTACTCGCCTTCACTCGGCACTTTGACCCAGTGTCAGACCAACTGCAGGTAACTTCTGGATCTTTCTCTCCAGTGTCCTCCCCTCCTCCTTTCCACCTCTGAACCTTACAACTTCAACATGCCTGTCCCAACTTGTCCTACGTACAAACACCCGGATGACCACGATAGTCAGGATGAATACTTCACTCACGTCATCGACACAATGACGTTCTTCTACTACTGGGGCCATACTGGTTACTTACGTATCAACGAGATGTTTCCGATTGCTACCGATCGTCGAAGGACCGAAGCTTATGAACGTGCCACCGCACAGTTCAGACGAGATCCCGTTATTGCTGATCTTACTTTTCCCGATAACCCTGAGCGACGCAAGGCGTTCTTTGACAGATGCAAGAAAATGTGCGCTGAAGATATTAGAGACCCTTCCGAGTATGTGTTGTCCCTTTCATTCGTGGTATAGAGCTTATGCGGCTTTATTATAGTGCTTTTCTTCGAACGTTCTATGGGAGCACGCTGGTCCAAATGCTCGTCGATGAGGTTAGCTTGCGCTACCGCGACAACTTACAAGTCCTCTCAGATGTATTGGCAGGTGCCCAACAAAAAGTGTATGCATCATCTATAAGTCTCCTCGCGTCTATTCACTGACCACGATACAGTATGATAGCTACGGGCGACTGGGAGAGGCACGTGGCTGCTTCCAACCAAGCTCGACAAGAGGTTGCTCTTAATAGACTCTTCGACCGTATTGGGGATACATTTGCGTATCGACATTCCCTCACGAAAAAGATTGTGCAGTGCAAGATTCTCAATGGTGGAGGTGATGTCATGGGAGAAGAATGGTTCTGGGTTCGTAAGACCGTGGCCGGCGAGTCCAACGAGGATATGATCACGGGCGAGGAGCTAGAGCAACTGCTGTCGTGTCAGATCTAATAGGTTAACTGCCTTCTCTGTTTTGCGTCTCCTTGTTGTTTCGCTGCTCTGTCTGATCTTTGATTCTATGCTGTCGTCACATTGTGATCCGTTGTGTAGATTCACGGCTGTCTTGCAACTCATCCATGAAAATTTTCAACAATGACATAGAAACATGCAGAGACGGCGAGTAACGAATAGTGAATGACACAGCAAGAAACAATAGATACAAGGGTATGAACAATTCACGGGGTCAGATTTGACTGGATAATAAAGCCTCCAACTGTCTGGCTGTGATAACGTCTTCATCAGTTTGGCCCCCCATAGTCTTATTGATTGAGAACCATTCTTCGCCTACGTCCCCTCCGCCATTCACAATCTCACACTCAAAGACCTCTTGCAAGGCGTCATCCCAATATGTGAACTTCTCACCGATACGATCGAGCAGATTCGTAAGAGGCCTCTCGTCGAAAACCAGGGAACGATCGAGCGCTTGAATATCGTAGGTGTCAGACAGCCTGGCACTAGTACCGAATCACTAACAAGATGAACATGACATAACAAGTGAAACGGACCTTTTCTGTTTATATGTACTGAGCGTGCTAGCCAGGAGTGCTGAGTCGTTAGGGTGGCGGATGAACACCTCCATTAGACAGACTTGAATATAAGACATAGCATAGAAGGTGCGAAGCACGGCGCTGAAACTGTCGTTGAAACGGGCCCGGAAGTATGTCATAATAAGAGCACGTACTCAACTGGAGTTCGGATTTCGCGTGTGCTCATTTCCTTGCACCTATCGAAGTACGCCTTACGATGGTCACGCGTAGACGGCACCACACCGCCTCCTACGATGGGATCCTGATTCCACTGCATTTTGGCAGTCTGGTGAGCTTGTCGATTCCGGATGAGATCAGTGATTGGTATGAGAGCGTGGAGTCGCTCAATCCCAGATAGAGCCCAGATGCTGAACCACGCCATCGTATTAGTCAAGTGGTCGAAGTATGATGCTTCAGAAGGAAGTTCATCTGCGTGTTTAAACGGTGGGCAGGTAGGGAATGTCATGTTCGGTAATCCAAGAAGACAGGGTGAAAGCAAGGGAAAACAACATTTAACCGAGTCTTTTACGACCACACGCGTTGTTGAACTATGGGCGCCTCTCGGTAAATAAGGCCATGAGAGACGATTTGTGCAACAGTCTGCAACAAAGGCGTACGAACACTTGGCTCTCTTCATCGAGATATGAGAAATAACTTGCCATTGTCATTCATGAACCACGGCATCATGACATATATCAAAATTGCCGGTGTTTATGCCATGACGGACTGTCTCGTAAAAGCCCTATAGTCCTGGAGGTTCAGAATCAGGACACAGATTCCATACATATTGTCCGCCGCGATAGGTAGGATATAGAGTTCACGTTCATTCAAACCAGTCATCGATGGGAGCCGGTTCCCCGAACCAGGGTAGGGTATACAAGGGGATATATACACAAACACGCTATGCGGAGCACATAAAGGCAGCATGGAATCAGAAAGCAGGCAGGGCAGCGACTTCAAAAGCAAGGGATACATACTGTACATGCGGAGAACTTGAAGGTAGACGTCCTCTATCAGATCGATGATTCGATGGTGACAGTAAACACTCTAGCTCTTGATCGGCTGTGATCGTATCCTCATTAGATTGGAATCCACACAAGATCCACATATGTTCCAAGGTTAGAATTCCAAACCTCCGAAATCTCGAGCGCCGCGCAGTGTGGCAACTGGTAGGGTAGATAGCTGCTTCCAACCAAGCTCGACAAGAAGTTGCTCTTGATAAACTCCTCAACTTGTCGATAATACATTTACCTGATGTTTACATAGTACAATTCTCTCTTGAAAAATATTGTTCAGTGCGAGAACGTTAATGACGCGGATGATGTCATGGGAGAGGCATGGTTCTGGCCATGGGTCCTGCGACTCATCCAGTTAAACATCATGAGAAAAATAACGAGATACAAACATCAAGGACGTAGAGACAGCGAATAAAAGAGAGTAAATGGAACAGCAAACAAACACAACACAAACAAGGGTATAAAGAATTCACTGAGCGATAAACCGTCAGATCTGACATGATAATAAAGCCTCCAGTTGTTTGGCCGTGACAACGTCGTCATCAGTTTGGCCTCCCGTAGTCTTGTTGATTGCGAACCATTCTTCGCCAATGACGTCTCCCCCGCCATTCGCAATCTCACACTCTATGACCTCTTGTAATGCATCATCCCAATATGTGAACTTCTCACCGAGACGATCAAGCAGCTTGATAAGATTTCCTTGGGCGACAGTCAGAGAAGGATCCACGTCGTCAAGGCAGATTATTGCACTAAAAGTATATCAGCTATAGTTGGACAAACGTGATGCCAAAGGCAAAACCTGCCTTTTTTGTTTGGCAGTATTCAGAATGCGAAGTAAAATATCCATATCGCCAGGATGGCGACCATCCAGCTGCACAAGCAGGATTTGAATGTAGGCCATGGCATAGTTAACTCGAATCACAGCGCTGCAATCGAAACTGAAATTCACAAGAAGTGTGAAGTAGCGAAGGACACGCACTCGACTGCATTTCTCATTGGACGGGTGCTCATCTCTTTGCACCTCTCAAAATATGCCCGACAGTGTTCAGGCGTGGAGGGAAGTGCACCATTTCCCACAATGGGATCTTGATTGAACTGCATTAATGCCATTCGATGAGCCCGCTCGACCCGGGCAGTATCGCTTGGTGGTATGACAGCCTGGAGGTGTTGAGTGCCAGAGTAGCCCCAGAGGTGGAACCATGCCATCAGATCGGTTAGGTGGTCGAAATATGCTTCTTCATTGGGATGTTCATTTGGCTCTCTGAATGGTGGGCAAGGGGGTGCCATCTAAGTGGTGGAAGAGGTTGAAGGAGGAGGTTGAACTTGAAGTTCTGAAGGTGCTTCGGAAACTGCTTCGGAACACTCAACATCAACTCAACGCTGAGCGCTTCCCGGCAAATCGGCACCAAGAAATGTGATATCTCGTTGTGTACAGCCGGTTCCGAGTCTGGGACCTTGAGAGGTAGACAGAGAGTACCCAATCCTGTAGACCTCAGCTCTGCCTAGTTAACGTACATAAAGTGAACTCTCAGTTTGATAGGTGAATGAGTAATAGTGGTTAAGTGGTCAAAGTATGCTTCTTTCGGAAGGAAACTCATCTCCGTATTTAAAGGTTGGACAGGCGGGGACTGATCCAAGAATAACAGGGTAAAAGCGATAGAAAGCAATACTTGGCCACTGACAAGTCCTTAGGCCTTAATGACCGCTGTTCAACTATCCAAACTCGAAGCCCCTGCGGTCATGGAGGGTACTCAGAATCAGGACACAGGTTCCATACATCTCATCTGCATAGGCGAGAATATCGATTCAAAGTTACTACGCCACTGAAATTTCTAACCTTTGTTAGTACGTCAGCCGATATCTCAAAGAAGACATACCAAGTACCATCAATTTTCTTATGGCATAAAGTAGGCAATCATACGATTGTCACATCCACCTAATAGAAACAAGTGGTCAGACAATGGCACAATATTCAAGAACTGTCCTTCATCACTCGGATTTCATCATTTGGTTTGCCGTGCCTTTCGCCACCATGCCAGAAAAGTTCCCCATATCAGGGTAAGATATCCAAGTCATACACAAACACGCTATACGAAGCACACAAAGACAGCATAAAATCAGGAAGCAGACAGGACAGCGACAAAGCAAGGGAAACAGGCAGAGAACAGGGTAGACGACTTTCATCAGACCCGATGCGATAGCAAACGCTTCAGTTCCTCAGCTGTGATCATATCTTCGTTAGATTGGCCTGCCACAGTTTTACTGACCCAGAACCAGGCTTCTCCCGCGACTTCACCTCCGCCATTGATAATTTCATACTGCACAACCTCGTTCGTGGGGGAGTCGAAATATGTAAAAGTATCACCAATACGGTCAAAGAGCTTATTGATAGCAACTTCTTCTTCAGCTTTGCGCGTAGCAGCCAAATGGCTTTCCCAGCTGCCACCTGCTGTCATACTATCGTAAAGTGAGCATCCAGACATGCATAGACTGATGAATAGGGCGTACGCCTTCTCTTGAGCTCCCGCAAGAATGCGCGCAAGGAGCTTCATATCGTCGGGATAGCGTTCGGAAAGCTCAGAACTTAATACTTGTACGAACGCACTCGAGTAGTGTATTCGAAGGACGGCACTATATTAGATACGTCGTAAGTGCGTCAACAAGGATGAAGAGAAGGACACGCACTCGGAAGGGCTTTTGATTTCTGAAGTGCTCATCTCCTTGCATCTATCAAAATACGCTCTGCGCTGCTGGGGATCTTTGGGGGGAGTAGTGACATAGGCAACAATTGGATCCTGCATGAACAGCGCAGAGCCAAGCTCATGTGCATGTTGCCTACGATGAATAGAGGACTCAGGAAGTAGTTCGTGGAGACGTAAGAAGCCAGAGTGGCCCCAATAGTAGAAGAACGCCATTGTGTCGATCATGTGGCTGAAATAGTCCTCCGAAGTAGGATGGTCATCCGGTTGCTTATACGCAGGGCAGGTGAGTGCGGGCATGTTTACAGACTTAAATGTGCGAATGAGTGGGGGGAAGGAGCAAGACGTGGGCACCTTAGTCGACTATAAGTTGAACATCGGGCGCCTCTCGGTAATATGTGTGGGATTAATATTGTAACGGGTTCAAAGCGCTCCACTTCGGAGATTCAAGAATACTGAAGTTGGCACGAACGGAATGCTCTAGCGTTTCCGTCGACTTATGATGTATGAATGGACCTAACTACCACCGAATGTGAACGCCGTAATCGCATGCCTCGTGTTTAGTCGCTTTCGTCCTTCCTGTTCATCTGTGCAAGGAAAATATTTAAGATAGGAAGTTATAGACATCGATAACCAGTGAGCAGCTGCAGATGTTCCTTGCTGCCGGGATCTAGTTCATTCGCCATCACGAACACATGTCCTCGTTCCATTACTGTACAGCCAACGATCGAGTCAACAACACCACATTTGGAATATATTGTAGTTGCGGTAGTCCGAGTAATTTTCCCTTGTCTGATTTTTCTACGTCGGTCTTTGGTTCTTGTTACGCGGATGGAAGGTAATATACCGTCCTTCGGAATGACTCGGTCAAGACGCCTACAACTCTCCGAGTCGTCGCCGTTATCTGACTGCTAGTTTCTTTGCACAATCACAGTAACTGCGCGACACCGTGATGTATTCTATATTTTGCTAGTTATCATGATTCATTCCAAGTTTGGAGTTTTATACGGTATGTGAAGCCAGAAATGCACAAACATACATTCACATTGAATACAGGGGGAAGGGTCTAGATATGGAAACATGATTCAGATTCGCTATTATACACTGGGTCACCACAACGCCGAATTCACGTGCTGGCGTTCTGGAAAGAATTTAGTGTAACGTGAGTTCACATCATTCCAGACAATTAAGAAAGCACCCACAGAATTGCAGCGCCATTCCTTGGCTTAAGGCAGCCTCCAGTTGACCGGATTGCGTGATGTAGCTGTCCGCCTCACCCCATGGGGAAGGTTTGCGTCTGTATTAAATGGGTACCCATTGGGAGGGTTGACATTCCCAACCAGGCCCAATTGGAAGGTTTGGCATAGCCGGGCTGGCGTAGGACTAAGTGGGCCTGGACATGCGACCCCGCCCAGGATCATCCTGACGTCGTGAACAAAATCGACCACATTAGGGAGATGATACATCTGCAAACGACGAAGCACAGATGGTATAATACCACTAGGCCACAGTTGACGATAGGCAATCATATGATGGAAGACCATCAGAGACGCAACATCGAGAGCGTGCCAGACGCTGTATTGAGCATGGACATAGCCGAGGGCGCGCATGTAGTCGCAGACAGTCTTGTACACAGAAGCTATAATGGTTTTAATCAGTCTCTGTTTGCATTCAACCAGAGGTGGCTTACCTCGATGAGTGTGCCAGCCGTTTGGAAGCTCTTTCTGTATCATCTTCATATAGAAGTCATAGGATATGCCGTAGTTAGAGATTGGGCTCATCATCACTGTGAGAGGTGGCATCACGAAGACAGGGAGGGCTTGTAAAGGCGGAAAGCCAGGCGGTACATTGATATAGTCCATCGTAACGGTGGCTTGAGACGGTACGTAGAAGTAAGAGTACTTCAAGGCTGGCTTTATAGTCAAAGTACGGGCCGAATACATACCACTGACTCTACGTCAACAAGAACGGTAGGCGTCTTGACCGAGTCCGAGTCATTCCGAAGGACGGTATATTACCTTCCATCCGCGTAACAAGAACCAAAGACCGACGTAGAAAAATCAGACAAGGGAAAATTACTCGGACTACCGCAACTACAATATATTCCAAATGTGGTGTTGTTGACTCGATCGTTGGCTGTACAGTAATGGAACGAGGACATGTGTTCGTGATGGCGAATGAACTAGATCCCGGCAGCAAGGAAATCTGCAGCTGCTCACTGGTTATCGATGTCTATAACTGCCTATCTTGAATATTTTCCTTGCACAGATGAACAGGAAGGACGAAAGCGACTAAACACGAGGCATGCGGTTTGTTCTCTTGCACATGGTCGTGAACTAGTGTAGGAACACATAGAAACATCCGTTCATGCATCACTGTGAGTCGACGGAAGCAATAGAGTATTCCGTCCGTGCCAACTTCAAGTGTCTCCGTATACTATCCAAGTTTACCTACGGTTGAGTCACATTCAGTGGACAGCCATATTCATGCGACGAGAGGCGCCAGATTTCCGGCTTATAATCGACTGGTACGCATGTCTTGATCCTCAGTCTCTGTTCCCTCGCATCATATCAAAGCCCTGCCGACTCGATTCTGAACTTCACGTCCAATATGCCACCCATTGCCAACCCACAACTTCCCGATTACGTCCACCCTAGCGAACATTCTTCTAGACAGAAGTACTTGCAGCACACGGTCGATACGCTGGTGTATTTCTATGTCCGATCCCACGTATACGTTGAGATGTTAGCTGTTCTTGCCCGTGACGAGAAACAACAACAAGATGCATACAATAGTGCCCAGGTTCGGTGGAAAGGAGATCCAATGGTTGCTAGTGGTGTTTTCCCGCAGACCCCAGGTGGCCGTCAACAGTATCTCATGAAATGTTACCAGATGAGCACAGCCAATGTTAAGACCGCCAGCGAGTACGTGCTTCTTCGGTCTTTTTCACTGAGCATATTTATCAGAGCTTGCACAGGGCTACCCTCTGTTCAATTTACAGCCACGCTGCTGCTCAGTTGCTGGTTGCTGAGCTCAATGTCTTTGCCCCGAACGACATGAAAGCATTTACTTATGTGGTGGTATCTTCTCGTGATAAGGCGTATGTCCTTCTGTCCTTCTCCGTAGTTTGCCCCGCTGATTTTGTACCAGTATGAAGGCATTAGGCATTTTTGAGGCATTCCATAAATCTAGTCAAAAGGGGATAGCAGGAGAGATTCTCAGTAAGATTTTTGACCGCATCGGCGACACCATAACATATCAGTACGATCGCGCTGGGCATACGGCGACGGCCACCATTCTCAATGGTGGAGTTGACGTGATGGGCGAGGCATGGTTCTTTGTTGAGGAGAATATCAACAATCGCAAGACCGAAAGGTATGTGAGCGATGAGGAAATGGAAGCTTTGTTAAAGACAGAAATTCGCAAGTGATCCTGAGGTTTTTGCCTTATGTCGATTTCCACTCCAGTTTCTTCTATGTCTGGTCTTCACTCAATTCTACGTTTTCTGGATTTGTCTTGAAAGATCCATGTACTGCTAGCTACTGTATTACTACGGGCCAATTACTATTCCAGGTGTAGTGTGCTGGAGGCTGGATGTGCTATGAGCCTATTGTTGTCGGTACTTATGACATCTCATAACCGAGAATTGCAACAGTCAGATATTATTCAGAATTCGGAATTTATGTGAACTCCTCTTTCCGGTTCTCCCAATCTCGCTCGAAATTATCCCTTTTTCTTTTAGCCACGAACCAGGCGCGAGGCGTTCCGAGGAGAATGTGATTACATGCGTTACGCATGCCGTAAGTTACATCCAACTACGTATACATATGGACCGTCATAGCTAAAAGACAGAGAAGCGCTCATTGTTCCGTGTATATAAGTTCAAGTTCCGTTTTATCTCGCCCTTACCTTTTCCCTCTTTTCTCCTTTTTAGTATGCTACCAGATACCCCTCCTCCTTACAAGCTTCCAGAGGAGCATGCTTCGAGAGAGGCGTATATAGATTACACGATCGATTTCATGGCGTATTTCGCTTACTGGAGCCAAACTGCCGTGTTCAAGATGCAGCCTCTCGTTCGCAGCACACGTCAGCGAGCTCGTGCCTATGATGAAGCAATTACTCGGTTCAACCAAGATCCCATTTTTTCCAGTAGGGAGATACCAATTCAACCCACGTCGACGGATCGTGCTCGACGCGAGAGATACCTCTCGAGATGCTTGACCATGAGCCAATTTGAGATCAGCACCGTCGCCGAGTACGTTTTCACCCTGTTCTCTTCTTTGGGCGTAAGTACTTACTATGACGTTTCCTTCCAGAGCAATGCTCGTTTCAGTTTACTGTTCAGCTGCCACTCAGCTACTTGTTCCCGAGCTGGCGTTGCGGTTTGGGAATGAAGGCAATGTTGTCGCTCGACTCCTGAAAGGTTCCGATGAGAAGAGGTTCGTTATTTTGTTTTAATTCGTCGCGGTTATAGTGCTGAAGCAACATAGTATGAGAATGCTAGGCATATATGACGCATTCGAGAAATCTAATCGTGAGGCACGAGAGCAGGAGACTCTCAGTAAGTGGTTCGATTACATTGGCCAGACCTTGCACTATCGCAATTCCGAGGGACACATGGTGTCGTTGGAAATTCTGGACGGCGATGATGACCCCTGTGGCGCCACTTTCACGGTCGAAGAGAAGGTGAATGGTTGCACACGGAAACTCGAAGACGTGGAGGAGGAACAGCTGGATGCTTGGCTGCATGATCCTGAGGCCCAAGCCAATTAATTTGGGTCGCCGTTAACGGCCGTCGTTCGTTCATGAAACGTTCCATGTGTGCATTGTAGTGGATGTTCTCTTTTGTCTTGTCATTCCGTTTACCTCGATGAAGTTTGTCGTTGTGTTTAGCATTCCGTTGGCTGTGTCTCTCACCACTCGTCCCAAACTGCTCCCTCTCATGCCGTTGACTCTATGTATCATTTCTCTGTGCAATCAGAGTGCTGTTAATGGGAGACAGTATACCTCAGTCTATATGCATGCTGAACGTTAAAAAAAAGGCAATGTTACCGCTTTGTCAGTACAACAGCACAACGTACATGTAAGATAAACGTAGGGGATCATAGAAAGAGCGACAAGTAGAAGAAGAATAACAAGAGCAAAGTAGGTGCAAAACCACCACCAACAACAAATCAGAACTTGAACTCTTTCTCTTTCCGGTTGTCTCTTTCTCGCTCAGCCTTTTGCTTCTTCTTCGCCATCTCCTTGGCAATCATATCCGAGAAGTCTTCCCTGCCACTGGCGCCAGGTACACCAGCAGAACCACGAGCATGTTGCTCGTATCGTCTGCGCAGTTCTTCTTCGGACATACCCTCCAATTCGGCAGCGTCGATAGAGATTTCCACGCCATTGGCTTTTCGCTATTAAAAGAATGTCCTTGATCAGTTCTGAATCGTTATCAGAGGGGACATATGTAGTGCTTACCCTTCCTCCTCGTTCTTCGCCAAGTACAGGAATCGCACCAGCGCCACTAACAGCAGAGACATCATATCCTCGCTCGCTGCCCATAAGTCCCCGCACAGCCGTCTGCTTCTCGGGAACGACGTGATACAACGATCGAGGACCAGTATCCGAAACTTCGGATTGTGCTCTGCCGTGTTTCCGTAGCTCGAGGAAATCTGGCGTCTCCAAACCACCTGCAACCGTCGAGACAACACTCGCCATTCCTGACGGCGTCTCGAGGCCTGTAGGAGTTTGGATTCCTTCAGTAGGCGCTGGTTCGGGTGCCTCCTCTTCCTCCTCTTCGCTCTCCTCCTCGGATTCTTCTTCCTCTGTGAAGATGATGATGGGTGAGTGATAATGACTAGCACGAAAGCATGCAACACACCTTCTTCAGGCTCGAGTTCACCCCATGGATTACGATCGACAGGTTCTCCAGACTGCAACCAGATGAGACACGATAGTAATTACAAAGAACAATAGACTCACATCTGCATCGGTGCTCTTTGGAAGGACACCGAAAACATCACCATACAAAGGACGGTTGTACTCATCGAGAGGTGGCTTACCCCATCCACCAGGGTGGAAACCCCATTGTGCTCTGAAGATGAACGCTCTGTCAGCAACTATAACATTGAGATCACACGACATCTACGTACCCTTCTGGTATAGGAGCATTAAGACCGGGTATTCGCAGGGTAGGATAACTTGGCGGGGGTCCAAACCTCTGCATGCTGATAAGCCATGGTGGAGGTGCTAGTGGGGGAATTGAGAGTGCTTCGACAAGCTCAGGAGAGAGATCACCAGGCCGCTTGTGCTTCAACTGTGTCTCGAACTCCTTGCCTTCATAATACCTATCAGCACATAGAAATATTAGTTGCCGGAGTAGGATGATAGGTAGAACTTACATTTCACCGAAACTTGTGACATTAGGCTTTGTCATGAACTTGAAGAACGCGTCGTGCAGTTTCTGATAATCAATATCGACTTTACCCATCTTGGGTTGAACACGTTCACGCGTCTTCTGCTTCAACGACATGCTCGCCTCCTTTTCCTTGACCGCGTCCCGCATCGTGGCAATACCAGTATCAGCGATATATGAGGGAAGTTGGAAGGGTGGCTTTTCAATACCCCTCTTCCCTTGCAGGTAATCACGCTTTGCGCTCCAATGACTAGGGATAGGGACTGTGTTGCGATAGCTTTTTAGGTGAAGGAGCATACGAGGATCGGCTGCGGTGACGTCCGTCCATTCAACGACTTCGGGTTTCTTGACCAGTTGCTTGAGCTCGGCAACAGTGAGTCGGTTCATCTTGCGAGCCTTCTTCTTGGATAACGGTTTCTTCTCCTCTTCGTCCGAGTCACCTTCTGAAGCCATGTCATCGTCAGAGTAAATGATCTCTCCTTTTGTAGCTTCTTGACCTGCGCTCTGCTACAAATGTAGGAATAAGGAATTGATCCGGCACATACGAAAGTCGAGAAGGGACGCACTGAATATGATTCCGGAGGAGCCTGAAAGCGAGCAAAGACGTCGGAGAATGCGAGAGCAGGGCCTTTGACATCCAATGGCTCAGATACGTACTCGACATCCATTGGAACATCCTCCTCCATCTTCACTTCAGCGTTTGCCCTTCCATTTCCATTGAGCTCCTAATGACATTACATTGTCAGAATCAAAGCAAAGTCCAATGAAGGTCTTGTTAGTACACACCGGTGTTGTACTCTTACTCTCCACTTTCTTCTGTTTGGCTTTGAGCCGACGAAGTTGATTCCTGGACTTGATCTTCTGCTTGATACCATTGATGCCATTGACACCGTTCACCAGACTTGTTGTTTCGACCTGGGTAGCCATGATTGTAAGAGAAGAAAGCGCTCGGTTGAGACTCTAAGCGAGTCTCGAGGTTGTAGGAGCCGGTGAGTGTGGGCGCCAACACGAACAGCGAACAGGGTTACATAAGGCGAATACCATAAAAGGTGTCTGAGTCTGAAGTCTACGGGCGGACCCGATGGCCACTGACTGAGAAATGGCGGTAAGAACGATGAAATTTGCTCTCGAGTCCTTCGACCACCAGCACATTCATCGATTGCTACCACCACCACCACCCACAAACTCACACCCAGTCGACAAGAATCGTCGGCCGCAAAACTCAGAACACATATAGAATATCAATATGTCGACGTGCGTACCGGCTTCTACAAGTTTGCCGTAACGCTGTTACTAACGGGATTATCTCGTCCTCAGAGAACAACTTCAAGATGTCCAGGAGGCAGAGATTGAGTCCAATTGGGATCAAGTCGTTGACAAGTGAGTGTAGGGTGATGCTCCGAGACGACTTGACCTGACTAATGCATTCCGATATCTAGCTTCGATAACATGGACTTGAAGCCTGAACTGCTTCGAGGTATTTATGCCTACGGGTGAGTTTTCACTTTTACCAAGATGATTCCTTCAAGTTCCTCACACTGTCCTGGTCCCCAGTTTCGAGCGACCCTCTGCTATCCAGCAGCGCGCCATTGTCCCTGTCATCAAGGGACACGATGTCATCGCCCAGGCCCAGTCCGGTACCGGCAAAACAGCCACTTTCTCCATTTCTATCCTCCAAAAGCTCGACCCCGACATCAAGAGCACCCAAGCTCTCATCCTTGCTCCGACTCGTGAGCTCGCTCAGCAAATCCAAAAGGTCGTCGTTGCTCTCGGTGACTACATGAACATCGAGTGCCACGCTTGCGTGGGCGGAACTAATGTCCGTGAAGATATGGCCAAGCTCCAGGAGGGCGTTCAGATTGTCGTCGGTACTCCTGGCCGTGTTTTCGATATGATCAACCGTCGGGCTCTCCGAACTGACAACATCAAGATCTTCTGTCTTGACGAGGCTGATGAGATGTTGTCCCGTGGCTTCAAGGACCAGATCTACGAGGTCTTCCAGCTGCTTCCTCAGGATACTCAGGTCGTTCTGTTGTCCGCTACTATGCCCGCGGACGTGCTCGAGGTCACCAAGAAGTTCATGCGTGACCCTGTCCGAATTCTCGTCAAGCGTGACGAGTTGACCCTCGAAGGTATTAAGCAATTCTACATTGCTGTCGAGAAAGAGGAGTGGAAGTTGGATACTCTCTGTGACTTGTACGAGACCGTCACGATCACTCAAGCCGTGATCTTCTGCAACACAAGGAGAAAGGTTGATTGGCTCACCGAGAAGATGCACGCCCGAGAGTTCACTGTCTCTGCCATGGTGAGATTCACTACATCAATTTTACACAGCTGAGATACTGACGCAATCATTGTAGCATGGCGACATGGAACAGAAACAGCGCGAAGTCCTGATGAAGGAGTTCCGCTCAGGCTCCTCCCGAGTCCTGATTACCACTGATCTGCTTGCCCGTGGTATCGATGTACAACAGGTCTCTTTGGTCATTAACTACGATTTGCCCACCAACCGGGAGAACTACATTCACCGTATCGGTCGAGGTGGCCGTTTCGGACGAAAGGGTGTTGCTATCAACTTCGTCACCACCGAGGATGTCCGTATGCTCAGGGATATTGAACGTAAGTTATACCCGCTGTTTGTTGTGCATGTGCTGGCGCTGAAACGATTCCCCAGAATTCTACAACACTCAAATTGATGAGATGCCTCTCAACGTCGCGTATGTCTATTCCGTGATGCATTTTTGTCGTCGCATGCGTACTAATGTCTCATATGTAGCGACCTCATTTAAACGAACCTTACGCCACGCTATATCACGCCGCCACGCCCGTCGACGAACTTCGCTGAATTTGTACACCGTCCTGTCCATTCCATCACCAAGACATCGAACACTCTTGTCGCACTATCGCCCGGGTTCTCACCACATATCGTGTTTCCTTTCGTCTGTCCCATTCGCTCCGTTCCTTCTGTCCTTGTTTATCAGTATGGTCATTCTCGTCTCTCCGTTTCGTAAAAGTTTTTTCAGAATGTACTCGACAGGTTCGCCATTGCTGATAGTATATACTCTACATTCTTCTCGTCCGACTGCCGATGCCCGAGTGTGTGCTGTATAGACATATTATGCATCTAATTGTTGTTGTGAATTTAGACACGGGACGCCAAGTCAATGCAATAGCACATGAGAGCGAGTGGTATGTTCATGCGACGTTTAGCACCGAAATCTTTTGATGCGTACATCCAGTGTCGGCGTTGAATTGATGGCAGGCTAAAGGGACCTCTTCTGGAGGGGCTGTGCATGCGATGAGCGTTTGGCAGGGGAACTGTCACAGGTGACGCCTGACTGCAGCGGGCTGTGCGGAGCTCGAGAGCCGTCGAGGTCAATGACCCCGGCGAGCGTTACCCCGTCTGCGTTGACGGTGGCGGAGGCAGGACCGGCGGCAAGGTGGGGTACGACGGACGGAGGATCTCCGGAAATGGGAAGCACGACGACCGACGGGGCCCTGAGAGAAGCGACATGATCGACGGGCGCCAACGTCTTGTAACTCTGTGCCACCCGTCCCGGCTAGGAGGACGCAATAATCTGTGGAAATTTGTGGGATAAATTTGAGGGACCCTCGGGTTTGTTACAGGGAGCCCCCCCTTTAGCTCTTCCCATAGGTCCCTCACTATGCCCTCTTGTTGATCCACATTTCGTGAGCACCCTCCCCTCCTCTCTATCCATTGACCGTTCCCCATGTCAACTACATAGTTCTTGGCCTAGTATTCCTTCCATTCAACAAGCACTTTGTCCCTCCTTTGTGCTTTGCCCTTGGTTGTGCATACATTTGCCTCCAGTCGCCACTTTATTTCAAGGCAGGGCCAAAGCTGTTTTATTAACTTATTCTTATATGGTGAGCCTTCTCCTTGTATCTTCCCTTCTTCCCTTCACTAATCCCCTCTGGCAGGACTCTCCCCGTTTAAGCCCTCTAATCATGTCTTCCAGACACAAGTCTAAGCCTTCCATTGGACTTGCATCGCTTCCTACTATCGACACGTCCTATTACGCCTCGTCCTCCGTTTCCTCCCCCTACGGCTCTCGCCACCCGCCTCCGCTGCCACCCACTGAAGTCATTCCTCGACTATACCTCTCCGACATCTCCGCCGCCGAGAATACCTCCACACTCCGTTCATTAGGCATCACACACATCGTGTCCGCTATGCTAGGTCTCGTCGTGATACCGCACGGCCTGCCCGTGCAACAACTCCAGATCCCTCTCCAGGATAGCCCGTTCGCTGAATTGGCAGAACATCTACCGCGCACTACAGCGTTCATCGCCGACGCTCTGCGCGATCCACATGCCCGTGTACTCGTGCACTGCGTTCAAGGCATCAGCCGTAGTACGAGCGTCGTTTGCGCATACCTTATTGCGGTATACGGGTGGACTCCCGCACAGGCTGTGCAGTATATCAAGTCCAAGCGTAGTCTCGCAGATCCTAATCCAGGTTTCGTCTCACAATTGGGAGAGTACGCGGCCTCGTTACAACGAGGGGGCACTGGTGCTCCTGGTGGCAGCAGTAGCAACAGCAGAAGCAGGGCTGTGTACGATGGCGATGGGGTTTCGCGTCGGTCTAAAAATCGTCCACCATGAGGAAAGGCGTGGTTGTTGTAACTTTATCTTTTCATACATCTGGGATCTTCATCTTGCTTCCATCTTCTAGGCACCGTTATAGCCCTTTTCTTACCTTATGGCTGGCTTCACTTATTCTACGGCTTGCTGTTACCAACAATCCATCACGTCAGACTTGCTCCATCGCTCCATCATCGGCTACCCATACTGTATATAGGGACATTCAGATTATTTTTTTTTTACTGTAGCTACTCGTCATTACTGCGAGCATTATACCTTACACCTCATGTGTGTATACCAAAATGTACCATTCTCACCGTCGTGTACTTTGCGCAAATACATGTTGTACTATCTTTCACACCAACAGCACCATCTCTCAAGTAAAATTCAGAGTCGGAAGTGGCGCGATGAATTAGTGTACAGTATGTTACACAATCATACATAAAAACTTTCAAGTCCGTATAAAATCCCCAGGGTATACCATATTCAGGTGGATCATGAACATATATCAACAACAACCAGATTTCTTCGAAGACGTTTCGAGCGTGAGCGAGTCGTTTCTAGGTTTTGACTGTTTCACACCCAGTGACTAGAAATAAGATATAACATCAGAATCATGCAGGGAAAAAAAAACAACCAGGACCATGAAGCTAATCATGCATCATGCTGCTTAGTGTGCAGACATATCACAGCACACGCAAGTGTAATGACTAGTCGGGATTGGAGATTGCAAGACCGGAAGACTCACCCGATCGTCGTCAAACACACCTCTACGAATCTTATCCAAGATGTCCCTTGTTGCAGCTTCGAATGCAGCTTCTACGTTCACACCAGACTTGGCGCTTGCCTCGACGAACAGCAAATCTTCTTCTTTTGCCCAAAGCTCCGCCTCCTCAGTGAGAACCTCGCGAGAGCGTTGGCCCGAGGATAATTGAGGTGCTGCGCTTTCTGAATTTGCGGGATCAGAACAGAGGTCGACTTTGTTGCCAACGAGAATGCATGTTAGATGTGGGTCTGCGTGTTCCCGTACATCTGCCAGCCACGAACGGGCATTCTGAAAGCCTAGTTCACGGTGAGTAATCCCCCATTACGACAGATTTCGTGAAAGTGGGACCTACTTTGTCGGTTCGTAACGTCATAGACGAGTAGACATCCTGCTGCCCCTCTATAGTATGACCGAGTGATTGACCGAAAGGACTCAGTCCCTGCTGTGTCCCAACCTGTTGAAATTAATTATGCAGATGAGACAGGTCTTCGGTACTTGAACGTTGCATCTGACACTTACATTGCAGTTTCACGATCTTATTCTCTTCGGGAATTGTAATCAACTTGGAGCCAAATTCTACTCCTAGCTAGGGGAAAGATCGAATTATACACGTCCCCCTCACACCGATCTCGTAGAACATGAGTAGACGCACTGTCGGGTCCGGATTTGTGAGAAAGCGTTGGTCTGTCAAGCGAATGAGGAGCGATGACTTCCCTACCGAGGCGTCACCTATATATCACGACCTCATTCTAGCTTGTGATGCGTATATGAAGCCATTTAGAGTTGCGTACCAGTAATGATGAACTTAAGGACATAGTGCCAAGCAACGCCGGACATCGAGGTCTAACTATAATGTGGCACAGGTAAAGTTTGAACTCTCCTTTTCTCTCCTTCGGTTAGAAATGCCGCAATATTATGTCTTGAAGGACTAAAGAACGACGAAAGTACAAGAGTGTATGCGTCCGCAGTGAATATTGGTCGTCAATGTCGTGGAGGAAGCTTAGGCAACCGTTGTAAACGCGAGCTTTGCACAGGCACCGACGGCCCGGCAACTGCGTCATAGCACGTGCGTGTCCGGATATCCCGGCGACACGGCCGGCAAGTCTCCGGTACTGCCCGAAGCCATTTGCTCGTCAACAGGCTTGTTGAACTGGCAGAGTCCAAAGTCAATCCTTTACAATGAGCAGCACTACTTGGCGCAACGTCTTCACGTATGTCTTGGAGCCTTTTCTTGTGACAAGTAATTTTGTTGTCCTGGTGCTGAAAAGTGGAATGCATCTAGGTACAACAAGTACACCCAAATTGCTGCTCGCGCCTTGCGTCAGTCCTTGAAGGAGGAGGAGCGTGTCGCTGCAGAGAAGCGTGGACAGACAATCCTTCGTTACCAGAAGTGGGAGAATGGCCAGGGTGGTCAACAGGTGCGCTTCTTCCCTTTACCTCGATGCCTATTGCTTTCCGGTTTTATCTTTGCTGTAATACTGACATGGATGTTGCTAGGTTTACTTGAACCCGCCTGAGGAGAAGGGTGCTCCTCCCAAGAGCGCAGCTGTATGACCGACCGCGTCGTCGTAATAGTTGTCCTTTCACGTCCAAAATAGACATCATCCTGCCTACCTACCTTGCTTCCGCCGTCGCGTCTGTCATTCATAGTGTGACCGTCATGGAACTCTATCGATATCATCAGAGCAATGATCGTCGAAACCTTGACATTTCTGCTTCCGTCCAGTCCACATTGTCCGTATCTTCGCCCTATCTCTCTTCACCATTCTCTTTATCACTCGAGACCCGTGTCGGATGTTCCTTGACATTTGCTATTGACCGGCGCATCCATCACCTCGTGTAGCGACATGCGAACATGTGGAAGAGGTGCTGTATTTGGTTTCGAGTCAAGTTACCATCCACGGAAAGTCGAAGTCGCCAAATCGAGGTATGGACCGCTTCCTTCTCTTCGTGGAGTTTAACAGCTCCGTTGCGTGAGACAGAGTACAACTCAAACGGGCTTCCTGCGTGAATGCGCCTTGGGGCCGCGGGCTTCATTGCTAGTTTTTTTGTAATGCGTTTCACACTAGTAGTCTCGCAGTTTGGACGAGCTACTTGGCGGTCGTTCGTCTTGTGGACCCGTCCGGTCACTTCGAAATCTCGTTATACTGAGAGGGTCTCACTTGGATGGTCCTCGCAGAGCTAGGTATATATGAGCAACCAGAGCATCGTGAATATGTTCTCGGCATGTCTGATTTCCTATGTCCTTGCCCGTTTCACTTTTTGCTTTCCAACGTTCTCGACTAAATCGGGCTCGTAGGATCGATTGGAGTCATGTAAATTGAAATTCATTCGCTCCATACATGTTCTTGACCCTTATGAAGGTAGATCTGAGCATATCGCTATTGTCTGTCTTTACGACATTGCGACCATGCTCCAGCCTCGTTGTAGCGGTACCGGACGTTGACCGCCCAAAACAGCGGGCATACCAATTCGGATGTCCACGTGTTTGGCGGGCTTGCTTACGTGAGCAAGCAGCGGCGCTTTTCTTCTTTTCCCCACCGCCGTCAAAAGCTTCAAATTCCTAAGCCCCGTCCCCTTTCGCTTCCCTTTTCCCTATCCTACTCTCTTCTGCACCTCTCTCTGTACGTACGACCTGCTCCTACTCAAAATCAATCTATCGTCGGTGTATTTTCGCATCGACACAAAGCCAAGCCTTTTCTGACGCTCGCAAATCTTTCTTGTGTCCTTTGCAGCTTGACGTACTTCGCTTACCGATCGCGAATAATCCTTTGAAGAAAAGAAAAGAAAGAAAGAATCCAAAATGGCCGGTGCTCGTGGATGCTTCAACTGTGGTGGATGTGCGTTCTCAGTGTTGCTGTTGTTGTGTTGACGTCGTTCCGTGTCGCTTCGCGTTTATAATCGCGTTCTTCGAGGATGGAAGTCCTTTCCAGACCGGCGGCTCCCTTTTTCCCCTTCCCCCCTTCTTCCTTTTTACTCTTCCTTTTCATTTTCATTTTTCATGTGAGTGTGTGGGGTGGTTCTTGTTGCCGAGCATGTTCCTCGTGTCCTTCGATGACAACATTACACCGTCTCGCGCCTTGCAATATAATATGCTTTTATTGCTACCCACCTCTCCCTGCCCTCTTTGCCCTGCATAACCCTGCAACATACTCAACACCTGAATCTCTCCAGACGGCCACCAAGCTGCTGCCTGCCCAAAGGCCGGGAACCCAACATGGTATTATTACTTTGAATTTGCTTATGTATACTAATACTTACTGTGTTGCCTGCGACTGTCCAGCTACAACTGTGAGTATTTCCTACGCCTATTCTGGTTTGCGATATTGACTGGGCTTACAGGTGGTTTGGAGGGACATGTCTCCCGCGACTGCACGGCGGAGCCCAAAGCGAAGACCTGCTATAAATGCAACCAGGAAGGCCACATCGTACGTTCCGGCCAACTTCCTATGATGTCATTGTATTGATCGCGCCCCCGCCTGCTAGTCTCGCGACTGCCCCGAAAATGTGACCCAGACCAGCACCTACAGCGGCGGCGGAGGGTATGCTTCCAGCCAGGAATGCTACCGTTGCGGAAAAACTGGCCACATCGCTCGTCAGTGCCCTGACACCAGCGCGGGTGGCTACCAACCGGCATACGGTGCTTTCAGTGGTGGTTCGCAGAGAACCTGGTAAGTTGTTGTGCGTTGGAGATTTGCTTTAAGCGGGTCTGACCTAGTTCGCTCTAGCTTCACATGCGGTGGTGTAGGTCACTTGTCTCGCGATTGCGTGCAAGGATCAAAATGCTACAACTGCTCTGGCTTCGTGAGTGTCGCGTCTGAAAAGTACGCTATACGATTTGCTCACGGTTGGCTCGTAGGGTCACATCAGCAAGGACTGCCCTCAGCCTCAGAAGCGGGCTTGCTACACCTGTGGTTCTGAAGGGTAAGTGTGCATAATGTGTCTTGTGCGGCGATGGCCTGATGTCCGTTTTTGTGTTCTAGCCACATCTCCCGTGATTGCCCCCAGGCGAATGGAGGCGCGCCGGCCGCTGAGGAGGAGGCCTCTTGAGCGTTGGTCCCATTCGTTGGTCCTGTTTCGATTATGTTCGTGTGTATCATGGCGTCCGTATTTCTTGACACCCTCACTGTATTCCGTAACGATTCGATTGCTGCAGTTGTATCGAGGGGTAGCTACGAATATAGCATAGTATACTCTACGATTGAATCTACACTAGTTGTCTGATATCTGTTGCGAGTTGAGGGCGTGCTGGAGTGCTCTGGGTGAGACTCCGGGGTGTTCCGGGCATGCCGCATCGAGCCGGGCCTGTGAGATTTGAGGGAATTGGGCGTCGAGTTTGAGCGTAATAGCCTCCTCCCCTTTCTTTCTATTCTGCACTCCTTTCATCCTAACCATGCAAGCCCTACGCCTGGCGCGTCCTCGAGTCGCCCTCAGACCCATCACCGCTACTCGCAACGTTGCGGCCACTGCCAACGCGTCCGCACACGCTGCGTCTGCGACAGCGAGCTCGAGCTCGCAGGCCCTCATCCCCCTCTCCAACGTTGAGGCCCAATGGGAACGTCTGACTCCTGACGAACAGTTCCAGGTTCACCGCCAGCTGGAGGAGATCCAGAAAAAGGACTGGAGAACACTCTCCATTGACGAGAAGAAGGCTGGTGCGTTGGCTTTCTTCCTTTTTTGATTTGAATTTTATCGCTTTGAGCCTTATTGCATCATCGTACTGGCATTGTGATCTCGTGCACATAGTTGACCGTCTTTTGCTTATGTCGCTCGTATGCTCATGTCTTTCCGTCGTATCTACGATTCTGTAGCGTACTATGTTGCTTTCGGCCCTCATGGTCCCCGTGCGCCTATCACAAAACCCGGCGACACCGCCAAAGTTTTTGGCGTCGTATCTCTCGCCATCGGCCTTGCGGGTGCTCTCTACTATGGTATCAAGGCCACTGGTATGTAGACCTCCTTGCGTTGTTTTGCCTGGATGGAATCGTTGACTCCGCTTGCAGCCCCGCCACCGCCCAGGACCATTAACAAGGAGTGGGAGGCAGCAATGAACGAGACCGCAATCAAGCAGAAGATGGATCCTATCAGCGGTCAGCATTCTCAGTGTCTCGTTGTGTTGACGTCAGCGTTGAGCCTCGTCCCTTTGTGTTTGCGTGTGCAGGTATCACGTCGGAAGGATACTCTGGCAAGGGTTTCGTTCAGAACAAATAGAGCAGCCACTTTTGCTTGTCTGCGAAGAAAGTGCGGACGCTTCAACATATATGCTTTTACTAAAGAAGCGTTGGCGGGCCTTTCGTTGGGTCGCGGGACGGAACTCTGTCTTACATTATTGCGTAGCGTCACAACCAAGAATAATACACTTTCCTGCCTTACGTCGTCCACCTTGAGCTGTTGTTTGTTACGCGTGAACTCTGGATGACTCTTTTCAGACAATGTCTCTGCAACGCGATCCATGAAGTGCAAAGACATAGATAGTGATCAATCAACGAGGAATGCTAGTCTACAACGAGGCATCTATAGTCCCTTGTCCGATTCCTTTGCCTTCTCATCCTTCTTCTCATCTTTGGGAGTTTCTTTCTTCTGCTCCTTCTCTTTCTCTAGGCCGCCTTCTTCCTCGAACTCTGCCCTTCCGATGCTCGCCTTATTATCCACCAACGCATGCAGAGCAATCACCGCCCGAATCAAGCTACTCAAATACACCACAAGCAGCTCATCATTCGTGCTCGTGACGAAGCTATGCGTCGTCTCCGGGTCATTCAAATCCGGCAGCAAATTCAGCGCGTCTTGTAGGTGGTAGACAATTTGGTGATTCACGGGCATTTTGCCTCCTGCGACATCTACGAGGTATTTCTGAATGTCGGATATCCGTGATTGGAGACCGCGCAGGGAAGCGAGTTGTTCGGAGACGCGGGTGGCGAGGGTGGTTGTGGTGGAATCTTTGATGTCACGGAGAAGGTGCTCGACACCGATCTCTTCGGCTTCTTCAGCTTCGATTGCTGAGGGGACGTGGAGGAAGGTCTTGCGTGTTTCTGTACCATCCTAAGAAAAAGACCTATGAAGTTTGTTTTGTGCGCAAGAGCAGAGGTTAATGCGACACTTACATCCTTGATCTCCTCAACCGCAAAGTAAGCATCTGTAGGGATACCAACTGTATGTGGTCGGACGTCCACGATGACCATGACTGGTCTTGCAATGTATCGTTTGAGCAAATCATTAATCTCCTGGTCCGACGCCCTAAGTTTCGGTCCGGTATGATACCACCCAATCATCCGTTCTCTCGCTATTAAAAAAATGACAATACAACCCAAAACAGACGTTCAACACGAAAATGCACGAAACATAAACCAACGACTCACGGACCGTTGACCTTCTTGAACATCTCCCACATTCCTTCAATGTAGTTATGGTCCAAGAACCATGTCTTACTATCCTTCTCATCTTCCTCGAACGGAATACCGAAGGAGTTGGCAACATTGATGGTCTTGCCGTTGTCTTGACCTAGAAGGATACCGATCACTCGTTTGTTTGGCGTTCGGGCAGCAGATCGCGCGTGGTGGTCTGTAACGGAGAGAAGGACAAGCGGATGTACAACTGAAAGGAGAAAGTTAAAGCGGTCTCAGTTGTGTGTATGAGGTATGAGGTGGGGGTACGAACCAACTGTTGTGCCTTCTAATGCCGCAAGCTGCGAAACTGCTTAATTCAGCCTGAGCTTCGCGAGACAATGTTAAAGCGTACTTGTTCTGTTGTCGTCGCGACCATGATGGCGAGGTAGACTGGAGAAAATGAAGAGGAGAGTTGGGTGGTAGTTTGGTGAGTGAGACGCGTAAGTACACCGTGCGTACGCGTCTCATCGCTTAATTATTTGGCGCTGTTGTCCTTAGCCCTCTATGCGCTTGCCATTTTAGTCGCTGCCGTTCAGAATACAGTTTCAAATAGGACGTCCGACCCACCGGTAAGTGCAAGGCTCAATCAATGTACACATTCCCCGCCAGTTCAAAAAATGGATCACGAAGCTCCGATATTGATTGTGAAAGGCAAATACCATAAATTTGTGACCATAGATGTTAATCTAGCATGTTACGCCGGAGGCTCCTTGGCCGATGTCGATGACTAACCAAAACCGCTCCTACAAACATCATGATGCAGGCCACAAAAGAAAAATCATCGACACCATCGTTTGGCAACTAAACAGCTACGGAATCTCTACAGTGATACGACGCCTATTCTACATGGATCTATGAGTCGTATATGTTATTCGTCTTGTACATCTTAGTCTCCACCGGGGTCTCAACCGATTTCAAGTCACCATATACCTGCGGAATCTGGTACATCTTAGTATCAACCGGAGTGTCCGACGTGGGCTTCATACTCTCAAGCTTCTTCGCCTCGGCCCTGGCTTGCCTTGCGGGGGTTGGAGTATCAGCGGTAGATCCCGCCTTGCTAGCAATACTCGCCGCACGTCCATCAGGAATATGAATGAACTCGGGCTTGCCGTCCTGGGACTTTCCGTCAAATATGTAGTACCCCTTCCGCTCAAACTGAATGATATCACCCTTTTTGAGGTCAACAATGTTCGCATCAGCGTAAACCTCCTCGCGAAACTCGGTTTCGGGAGTGACGAAGTCTTTGAGTTCATCGTTCTCCTCCAACTTCTTCTTGGTGATGAGGTAGTCGTAATCGAGGAGGGTAGCGTCTATAAGTGGGTGTTCGGGAGTGGGAGCTGCGAGCCAGGTGATCTTTTTCTTGGTCTTGCGGAAGTCGCCCTCGAGGTGAAGGTCTACCTCAATTGAGATGACCTTTCCGGAGTCATCAAGATTCTTTTTGCGGACGATGGCGTTGCCCCAGTCCATCAAAGTGACCTGTATCACAGGTCAGTCATCGATTCGGTCTTATGAACGCGCATGGTACTAGCCTCCTCCTGGTCCTCGAAGGAGAGAGCATCCTCTTGCTCAATAAGAAGTTGGGACGCGAACACAGTCTTCTTCTCGCCAACATCAGGGTTCTTCTTGTGCTTAGGCAGGGTCTTGACCTCAGGCGTCGTTGGTCCGCCGTTCACTTTAACAGGAACTCTATTGAAAGGCGTATCAGAAACGTGCAAGTCGAAGAATACAGATCTGAAGACATACATTCCCTCCTTCTCGATAGCCCAGAATCGCGGTGCAATAGGGTCAATGATCTTCTTGTTGAGAGTCCAAAGGGTATCCCACTCGAGGGAGACAATAGCTTGTGAAGGTCCTTGTGCCAACATGAACTGACGAAGAGCCTCGACAGTCAAACCCCTACGACGAATGCCTGCAATATGGATATTAAGAAATGGAGTCAAGTAGACAACATCAGGTTGACATACCGCGCACAGTGGGGAAACGAGGATCATCCCATCCGCGGACAAGACCGCTGTCCACGAACCAGTGAAGCTTACGTTTTGATAGGAGTGTGTAGATAAAGTTCAGACGACTGGTGTAGACTGTTAGTCAACTGCAAATATAAACGGTTGAGATAAGCTATGTACCTGAAGTCCCAGATGTGTACTGGTCGAAGACCGAGAGCCTCGATCATCCAATAGTATTGCGGGTTTCGATCGCGGTACTCGTTCGTCCTCAGGGCATGAGTAACACCTTCGATTGAGTCCACGACGGGGCAGGCGAAGTCGTATGTCGGGTAGACCTTCCATTTATCGCTGAAGTATCGACACACCGGTAAGACGCAGTGTCAAGGGAAATCAGGATAAATTAATACATACCCGGTACGGTGATGATGTAGGAGGTTGCATCGATAAATGACGGGATCACGCAGCGCCTTGTTAGGGTTGTCTACGCTCATCTTTGCACGCACACACCATCGAACCCCTTCTTCGGAACCAGTCTTCATCTCCGCAAAGTGCTTCAAGTTGTCCTCGACGCCATCGTCTCGGTGCTTGGAAGCGATACCCTTGAAGCGCTCGTCACGCATCTGCGATAGGTAATGTCCATCATCAAATGTTCAGCATTTGATGTACTGAGCAACATACCTGAGCCTGCTCGGTATCATCGGCGTACGCCTTGCCCTCCTTGATCAGTTGGAGTGCAAGCTCGTAGAGCTTGTCAAAGTAATCGGAGGTATGCGTAAGAATATCGCCGTGAACGTCGAGAAGGGAAAGATCCTCGAGAATAGTCTCCTCGAACTCAGTCTAGAACACCCATATATGTCAAATGCTCCCCATATGGTCAAAGTGATATGAATGCTCACCCTCTCTTTTGTCGGGTTGGTATCATCGAAACGAATGATCAACTTGCCCTTGTACATTTTGGCGAAGTATTGGTTGAGCATTGCAGCTTTTGCGTGTCCAATGTGAAGGTAACCGCTTGGCTCAGGTGGGAAACGAGTAACGACTTCGCCCTCCTTTGCATTTTGCAAACCGAGCGCGAACGAAGCTGCAGTTTTGTTACTGCGAGCCTTGCTAGCTTTTGCCTCTGCATTGCGAGACAGTAGTATGTGTGAGCAAATGTTATTCACTAGATATATGTAAGAATGCATACCGATGAAGCTGGTTTGAGCGAGCTGAGTAGAGTCGAGCGCTTCGATGTAGGAGTACCATCGGCTGAGATGAACGTGCTTGTTGTTTTTAAGCAGTCCGATGAGCTTGACACTGGCTGTAAGGAGATGCTGGTTTAATATCCTGACGGATCCTGCCTCGCGCATTGTTGCTCACCCTTCAAAGCGCCCCAAACGATGAAGTCGGCCGCTGTGATGTCATGGCCAACAAGGAATGTGCGGAATGCAAGATAATCATCGAGCGAGTCCAAAGAGGTGAGTATAGCTGGTACAGCAGTGACTTTCGGGAGAGTCTTTGCAAGCTCGAAGTAGGTTTGAGTCTATTTAACATGGAGTGATTAGAAGGACGATAGAGAATACGATTGGTTTGTGCATACCTTCGTGCTCTCATCAGACAATCCTCCGGCCTTGGCCAACGTCCGCACGATCTCTGCCTCGTCGGTGATCTTGGATCCCTCGAAATCTAAAGTCACTCCAGAAGCACTCTCATCGAATGAGAGCTCGGCTTTTTCAGTGTAAGTCGCGATCGCTGCCGCTGCCCAAGGAAAGGGCGACGTCTTGGTCGACAAAGTCAATGTTCCAGCCATGATGAAGGTATGAAACGAAGATCCTCCTGGACCTTCCTGTACAAATGCGAGCTTTCTGACTCGAGGCTTGCACAAACTTGACTCGGTAAAATGATGATCGACAGGCTTACACAGGGTCCTCGGGGTCATGACCTCGAATTTGACGGCAGCGCCCAGTGTCGCATTGACTGTTCGACGTACGCGCACCGCAGTCTATTACCTCCTTCATCGCCTCGATATCGTAGCATTTATAGATGACAATGAACGCCATATACACCTTGCCCACGGCGTAGGATTCTGATGAATACCTCATCTACTGCCCGAATATTCCCCATTTACGATCCAAAGAATCCACCTGAACATCCAGGCGAAGAATGGACTCGTTTCGTTTGCATTTCAGATACCCACTCGCACACACACTATAACGTTCCGCCAGGGGACGTTCTCCTACATGCTGGTGACCTGAGTAGTTGGGGATCTTACCCGCAACTGGCAAAGACGGTAAATTGGCTACGAACGCTACCTCATCCTGTGAAGGTGTACGTATAATCACTCCATGCTCCAAGTAAATCTCTAGCTGACAACCTCATTACGCTTAGGGTCGTAGCAGGAAATCACGATGTATTATTCTTCCTCGTAAAACTCATAGTATCACGTATTAACTTCTTGTCTTTAGTTATGTTTGGATGAGGAAGTGGAACTATATAAGTCTTCAGTGGTTAGTCTCCCTATTGCTTGTTTTCATATTTTGCTCACCATGGGTTGCTAAAAATGATAAGGTCACCGCGGCCAAAGACATGATGCGGAATGAGGCAGCGTTACAAGCCGGTATTCACTACTTAGAATACGACTCTGCCGAAGTCACAGTTCAAAACGGCAGAACGTGGCATTTCTACGGGTCTCCTGTATGACGTTATTACCTAGGGCATGTTCTGATCCTGGCTGACCCTTCGGATAGGCGGCACCGAAATACGCATCTGGTTCATTCCAATACAGGGACATAAAACAAGGCGACAAGATATACAACCGAATACCATCTTCTACAGAGATTCTCCTTACGCATACCCCTCCATATGGCATTCATGATTTGTGCAAGAAAGGGACGCATGTTGGTTGTCGATCCCTTGCTTCGCATCTCCAAAGTGACCAGCTAGCGAACTGTCGATTACATGTCTTCGGTCATATTCACGAGGCTTTTGGTGTCTCCATTGACACTCTACCAGGTGGTTTAGAGCGCGTTAGCGTAAACGCTGCGATACGACGTAGCGATTTCCCTATCATTGTTGACTTGAGGAATTAATACAGGTTCTTTCGTCCACCGATTCAAGATGCATATAAGGCGAAGAGTCAGCTGAAAGCGCTGGGAACACCGTTCCAGAGTTTCGGACTTCTATAGCAACGATGGCCTGTCGCGCTTCAAAGCCTAATGCTTTCGTTGAATGGGTATTGAGAACATAGCTTTGCTTAGGCTGCAAGCAAGTGAAGCAAGTATCCCGTCTGAGGCTATTCGTTGCTCTCATCGTCTTGTATTTTTCAGTGGCGCTGGAGTTACTCTTAGTCCAGTCACGAGGTTCCTTCGGGAAGATCCTTGCTTTTCAGTAGCCATCGCACGGCGGCCGCGAGTTCTGATTTCTCCTCGAGGATGGTACGCGACGTAAATGACCTGATATAAACGCTACCGTTGACAGACGGTGGTTATTTTTGATCTCGTTTGATTTATCGTTTTCACTGCCTTTCTACAATAACGAACTTCTGCGGTCCAATAGAACTTCTATACATCGCTACCCTGTCCAAATTGCATGCGATGCGAAGTGCTCGGTTCATTGGGGGCTGTACACTCGATGTACATAAGTAAACCGCTCGTATTCGCTATCGTCCCACAGGCATCCTTGACCCATGGATGACATTATAGCTTCGTTACAATCACAGTAAGGATTATTCTGACGCGCTACATTTTGACTAACGTGACTATACCCACTGCAGGCGGCTACAGAACTACTTAAATGTCGGGTTATCCGGTGAGTGCTTCGTGCATCTGAGACTAGCGTATTGGTTGTTGAAGGCATCTTAGCTTTGTACTGGTATGAGTACTGCTTGACGCTTCCGTGGCAAATCCGGTGTTTCTGGCGTCGCCAATTCTCTCTCGTGTCCCTGATGCTTTACCTCAATTGTTACCTCAATTGTGTAGTATGCGTCTTTACCTTCATAGGTCTACCTGGTGTCGTTAAGCAGGTGTCAGGGTAAGGTACGATTGTTCAAGGACCATATACTTTCTTGAGCCACAAGCTGACTGCTGTGATCATCGCCGCATTGATAAATGGCACCAGACTCTCACTTGCTCTCTGCCCTGAGTAAATGATCTGACGATCTTTCAGCTGTAAAGTCTGGTTCTACTTTGGTTGGGCCTTGAATATTGTTAACACTGTAAACTTCCAAGGTCCGCTCTAAAGTAATTCATTTGGTTTCTTGACAAGCTGATTGGTGTATAACTTTCTAGCATTGTGTTGTATTCGATTATGGGCAATATGCCATCAGAGATGGCAGATGACAGCACCAGTCATCATTGTCACCCTGGTTACAGTATCAATGAATGTGGTGAGTTCAATGCTATTGAAAAAGTTAAAAGATATATTCACACTGAATTGAACATGTTAGGCTGTATATTTTCGACATACATCATTTGACATTGAGCCATTCTTTGGCTGTAGCAATGCAATTAAGATAAGCAACACACTTGATCTTGAGTATGAACATCTCTAAAATTCAAGGGTTTTCTATTTGCTAAACTTCTCCCTAGATGTATGCTGTCATTGAGCTTTAGTTGCCTGCATGACCAGACTGATATCTCTTCCTATAGTATCATATGTGAATAAAGTGGCCATGATTCTAAGTGAATGTTGGGCTATTGCAATGGTCTTGAAGGAGATCTATCCTTTAATGCATGCCACCTTTAGTGGCCCCTATGTGAAGGTATTAATAGAAGATGGTGAGTGCTGCAGTCTTCTGGAACCATCTAATGCCTGATCTCATCATTCAATTTAGCTTTAGTTGGGTTTATGTGAGACACAGACATCTTCATGAATGATGCACTAACTAATCTCACTCTGATCATGATAGGGCTATGCTTAGCATGAGCATCTTGGATGTATGCTATCTCAAGTACTTCCAGGTCATTATTCTGTCCTCTACCTTGTTCTAGCTGCTGAGAGTCTCTACCTCAGATGAACAATCCTCTGCCAACAGGTTTTGACTTGTATGTTATTATCTTGTGATATCTTTTCTCTAAGTCATTAATCTAAAATTTATCCAGGATCAATGCAATATTGGTTGCTGACCTCCTTTACAAATTGCGCAGTGTTGGCTTGTCTTCAGACATGTCAGAGGCCACTACTGAACAAACAACCAGGAATATGCACTTTGAGGAAGGCATTACCAGGACTTTGGGAGGTCCCACTGTGGATGAGGAAGCTCTTGCAGTTGCTAAAGTCACAGGACTCCCTTTGCAAGAAGCAGACCCCTTGGTTGAGAACCTCTCACCCTGTGATGTCTCTTCTAGTACTACCAGCAAAGCATCCTCTCTCTTGGGCTGTGGCATGGATGCTGAAAGAAGTGGAGAGGATAAGTGGTCTCTTCATATCATGCAAGAAGAAGATGTAGCAGATGCATTAGATCAGGTAGATTGGGGATATAGGTCTGAGGATGGACTACCTTTTTACAATGTGGAAAACCACAGTGGTCTCACAACCTTCACAACAGACTTCGTACCACATCAATAGTTTCTCTAAGCAATACATATTGTAACATATACTTGATCCTGTAATCTTTGATTATCCATTACCATAGTCCTGGAATAAAGTCACCCTAGGCTCCCAGTGCGGGTACTCTTACGTTGTGACAAGCTAATGCCATGGTCGCAGCCTTACAGCCTATGTCTGAAGCCTGATAGAAGGGAGTACTCGCCGGGAAATGTTAAGAAACAACACGCGAGCTTCGTAACGAAAATGTATCAAGGCTCTATCCAACAGATCACTGCTTATATTTGACTTGCTTAGGTAGGGAACGATCCAAGAGTAAACAATGTCTGCTTCTGTTTTCCCTTCCCTTTCTTGCCCTTTCCCCCTCCCGCCGTCGAAGTGTCTACAGATGCCTCAGCTTCTTGAGCTGGCTCAGCAGGTGTGTTCGTTCCGCTGCCAGGCGTAGAACTCTTTCCTGAACCCCAAACGGGCTGCGGAGGTGTTGCATCTCCCATCATCCTCCTCAAAGATATGTTACCACCTATTGCAGTTCTAGGAACCCTTGGCGCCGACGCCGTAGGAAGTTCTGGGAACGCGGATTTCGATAGAGCAGGTGATGGTGTCGGTTTGCTTCGTGCACCAGGCCCTGGTACAGATGTCGGCCCTCGAACGACTGTTCGTGCAGAACTAGCGGTAGCCGAAGAAGACGCCCATGGTGTGCTGCGTTGTACGTGTGCATGAACTCCCGGTGCTGGGCTTGAAGAACTCGAGGCCCGCAGAGGAGGAAATCGATCGGCTGGACGAGCAGGCGTCACTGTGGAAGATGAGGTAGCTGCGCGTGCGACGCGATCAAGAACTTGTCGAGCTGACTGAGAAGCTGATCGCGATGATGCAGTTTGTTTGGCATTCAAGACACGACCGGCAGCTATACCAGCCCACTCAGAGCCGGTAGACACCGGTGTGAGTGAAGGGAACTCGTTTCGTCGCTATAAATATTGAATATCGGATGACATGCATAAACACTAGCTTTGCGACGCATACCTCGACCTTGAAGCCGTTCCAGGCTTTAAGAAGATCATTTTTCTTTTCTTCGTCATCCAGCAAATCGACTAAAGCGTTTACGAGGCTCGCAGTATCTTCAAGGTTGTGATCTAAAATGTTCCATATGGTCAAAATCAGATCACGGGCTGCAGACTCATTGGCACGGTATGACCGAACGGCAGCTTTCATTGCGGGAACAGCGCCATTCGGATTGGGGGCTAAAGAGCTGACACGTGCAAGGAAAGCGGTATGTCGCCTGAAGTAGTGCAGAGGTCAGAACTTACCGCACCAGGACATAAGGGGCAACAACGTACTCGAGGATAGCAGGGTTAACATTGCTGGCTGACGGTGAAGGCGAACCTTGTCGACTTTGCTGACGGCTGGTGCTGATAGGGGTAGTATCTACGGTTAAATTGCCGCTAAACGCTTCTCGACGCCGGGCACCTGCATTCGCTGGTCGAGAAGGCACAGGTTGCGGAGGAGGTTCTCTTTCCCGTTCTCGATCGCCTCTATCTCGTCGTCCTCGTCTTCCTGGGCCACCTACTTCTTCAAATTCGAATTCAGCTTGTATTCGACGGGCATCCTTCTTATCCTTCGCGGTCATATCTGCGCCATGTTCCTCGACCATATGCGCTTTGAGATCCATCGAAGACCCGAAGACTACGAATTTGCGCACCAAACATGAGGGTTGTTGACACGCATAATGGGCTTGTGTGAAATGATTCTCCTAGAAGCTTCATGATAATTTGACCTCGGGGGAAGGCAAAATGTATACACTTACCAAGGCATCGTAGTTTCTAAAGCTGGGTAGTGTTAGACATATGACAATATAGAGTAATAAAGACATACTATTTATCTTTCACTTCGTTCCGTTTGCATATGAAACATTCTTCGTGGTTTTCTCGCATATGAGAGTATAGCTCGTCATCACCGAAGAAACAGTCGCGACAAAACTCGCACAATGGATGTACACCTCCTTCTATTTGTTCTTTAGGAGGGGCTGATCTATGAGATTTCTGTATGGAGGGAAGATGCCAGGCCAATTGGCTTGGTTGATATAATGCGTGCTCGTGCGCAAAAATCTTCTTGTGACGTATACATAGATCACTTTTGTAATGACGTGAGTATTTCACGAGTATAGATATGTGCATATATTTACTTACCACATGAGCTTGCCATGTGTAGCACGGGTATGCAGCTTCAGATCACTCCAGCCATTGGCGATATAGTCACAAGAAGACTCCGGACAATTGAACCGTAAAAGAATAAGACTATCCTCCATCATCTCCTGAGTTTCAAAAGATATTGCCAACTTAGCATCCTTGTAGGGAAGCATTTCTGGCGTGAACGAAGACCAGGGTGCATCGGGCGAAGTGGTGAAGATGGCAGAAGGTTGTGGTTCCTGCAGCGAAGATATCGGAATGCGTATGAACAGCAGAATAGATGGCACTAACCTTGCAGAATGTACATTCTAACTTTTTGTACAAAGCCCGGAGCCTCAGCCCACAGACATGGCAAGTACGATGATTGCATTGAGATACGGAGTAGTACTTGACAGGCTCTGCGCAGATCCAACATATGTCAACTTCATCCGCATCGGTGGTTGATATTTCTGCTTTCGTTTCTTCCTTCTTCTCCCCCGTAGGAGAGGGGGATTCCTTCGGCTCTGATACTGAGTTTGTATCAGTATGTTTAGGTCCGGTTTGACGACCACCGCGTCCGCGACCTCTGTTGCCTCTGCGCCCACGGTTTCCAGTAGCACCAGTCGGAGTCGGTGTAGCAACTTGAGAAGCCATTTCTATGTATCTGGGGATAGCAGTGTGAGGTGGAAGCGGTTATATGCAGTTGGTGGCTGAGATTCGGTTCCCTGCATGACCTTTTCGGGACCGCGCGAGTTAGTCAGACCGATATAGCAGGCGTTCACGATCGCTCTGTGCATAAGAAAAACGTAGACTCTTGACATTCAGAATGTAACGTTATTAGATGCATTGGTATTCGAAGTGTTCTACTCTACATCTGAGTTCAATTCTTCTGGAGTATCCGAATCCGCCACCTCCTCCACTGCACTGACGACCTGATTTATCGACGGCGATCTCGAAGGGGTGGGCGTCACCCCAAGCGAAGGTCGTCGAGATCCAATTCCAAGCAAATACATGGCTGAAGCTGAAGTGGTACGTGGTCTTTGACTACGGAGGCCATAAGGACTATGCGATAGCTTTGAGGAAATGAGATGTGCAGGCATGGGTATCCTAAGCCCAAGACTAGCGAATGGATCAGCAGAAAACGAATCACTTGCTGTTCTTCGCATCTGTGACGACGAGGAAGAACGGCGAAGCTTTGCACTGGTCATGACGGATCCAAACGACGGTGTAGGGCTGACTGGTGATGTGGAACCGAGAAGACCGCCTGCCCAAGCGGACCACCCTGTTGACTTTGTTGCAGAGCTGGTCTCAGACTCTTCTTCCGAAGCTTGCAGTTCATGGAGAGATTGTTTGACACATGCGATGTCGTGCTGAAGGTCCTCCAGCTTGCGACCGAATTGGTGCATTGCTCTGGATACGCTGGCATCCGTGCCATCAATAAATGCCTGAATCTCATGCTCCATTTCATCCTTGTCCACCTCATCGGAGATAGCACCAGGCACGGAAAGGAGAGTCTGGTAGCCTACGTGAACGCGCTCTTCATCGGACACTCTGATCTCCAGCTCAACTCTAGCATCCTCATTGTAGTCATCGAGGCGTTCGACCGCAGTTTGCAGAATGACAACCGTTTCCGCAGAAGGCGGAAGCTCAGCTATATCATTCTTGAGATCACGCAGGGCGATGTGGCAATCACGGAATGCACGTTGGAGATCATCGTAGCGATGTTTGACCTCAGCAAGGGCTTCAAGTAAGGAAGGTCGCTCGGTTGAAACTGGAGTATTGTCAACGGCCGAGTCCGCATTGTTCGCGATTGAAGTCCCAACCGCATTGACATCAACTGAAACGATTGCCTGAATGGTATCGGACGCAGTACCCGTTTCCGCGACCAGTTGCAGCGGTGCATCTAGTATTTGCTCAACCTCCGAAGATGGTTCATCCTGATGTGGAAAAGGAATGACCTTTACGTCAACAGGAGGGCCCTCATCGATACCCATCGCAACAGAATCACGAGGGGCGTCCACGGCTGCAACAACGATGTCAGGGATTGCTGGTATATCTGGTGGGGTATCGTGAACCTGATCAAGCTGTGAACTGGTTGTATCTAGAGGCAAAGAGATAGTTGGAGTGTCTTGGTTTTCAATCCGGCGTGATGGTTGCAGCGTGGGGATTTCAGGGATAGCTGTAGGTGTTGTTACGGCGGCCTCTGACGACGGCCTATCCGTAGTACCTGACAGGGCTTTAGTGGATGCGAGTGATTCCGCGACGATCTCATCTACAACAGTATCTGGAGATGGACTGTCGCTGGGCAACTGCCTCACATCCAGCTTGTTGGGTGAAATAGGTGAAATCAGGCTATCAGCGGCAGGTGAGGCAAGTAACGATGGAGGATCAGGTGAAGGAGATTCCGGAGCTGGCACTATTGAGCTAGATGATTGCGGAGAACGTATCTTTGAAGATTGAGAAGTATCCTTAATCATATTTGAAGATGCCTGGATAGCATTCGCGGCCTTGGGAGCGGGATCTTCAGTAGCCGTCGACTGAACGCCAGCAAGCTGAAGTTCTGCGTGTAACCGCCGATTGGTCTCATACTGTAATTCCTGCGTCAACACAGAGACAGCGTCCTTTGCTGCAATGATCCTCGCTATAGATCCAGGAGAGTCGTCCTCAAGCGTAGGCTGGCCGTTAAGTGACTCCAAAAGAGTCTCTGCGCCTTCAATGATCTTATTGCATGCTATCACAATGGCGTCCTCCTGACTCGAATTTGAGGCGCGCGACAGAGCCTCTTTGGATTTCCTGATCCAACGCCGAAGGTTTTCCGCGAGGCTCTCCTCCCGACTAAGGAAGGATAACCTGAGTGAAATTTCTCGGCGCCGACCGTACGCCTCCCGCGAGATGTCTTCCGCGAGCTCATCCAATGCTCGTCGCAAAGTACCTGTCTCGCGCCGTTCGGCAAGGAGCTCCTTCTGAAACTGTTCAATTTGAATATTCAGTGTTGAAGTCGTGGCAGCGTGCCGAACACGGAGGGTATCCATGGCCTTCTGCAATGAATCAGTGGTTGACTGAGAGAATTTCCTGAGAACGATAGACATCCATTAGAGAATATCGAGGCACATTTGGAGGATGAAACCAACATGTAGCGAGACACCATCTTGGCGGCGGTATTATCATCAGCTTTGTATTTGTCCAATTGAACAAGGGCGTCAGAAAGCTGGGAACGGATGTCTTGGGAACCCTCGCGTTCACCATCAAGAGTGGTGGTTAAAGACTCGATGTTGCCTTGTAGTCGATGAACCTCCGTAGCAAGTTTCTCTGACTCGCCATTAAACTCGTCCAGCAGGCGTTGCAGACCAGATTTCCCCTCAGCCAGGCTCTCCACAAGAGTCAAGCTTGAAGTGCTGCCATCAGGACCAGCGCTTTGGCTGGAGCCCGATGGGGTCCTAGAGTGACCTTGTAGCGACCTTACGAGGTCTGCATATTCTTGCACCACAAAGTCGGTCATCTTTCTTTTCTCTTCTGCAGCGCGAGCCTTGAAAGCCATCTCGCGTTCCCGCTCCTTCGCAGCTTCCTCCCTGGCTCTCGCTTGGTTTATTAGTTCGCTGGCGGCGGCGGCATCGCGCCGAGCTTGTGCGAACATCTCCCGAGCGTGTATAAGCTCGGATGTGCGCGTCAGAAGAGCATCCTCGGTGAACGTAAGCTTGTCCGAGAGCTTGCGAAGCGCGAGGGTCAATTCAGGGACTTGCAACGAGGCCGGATGAGGTGTCGAGTCAGGGTTTGCACGTAGAGTAGCAAGCTCTTCCTTCAACTGCGCGTTCTCTACCTCCAAGGCATGTGAACGTTCCAAAGCGTGAGACGTATCGAGAGAATGTCTTTGGAGCTTGACAGACGTTGAGTGTGATTCATGCTGGTAAGCAAACCTATATGTCAGTGGATGAGCAGATGTAAATTAGAAGAAAATGATAAAAACATACTTGATAACGAGCTACCGCACTACGTAAGCTCTGTAGTTCCAACAGCAGAGGATGGTCATCGTTGACAGGAAACTGAGTTGCGCTCATGAGCGCAGCAGCATGGGTCTATGAAGTATGTTCGCATCCGCCATAAGTAGACCTGATACACTGTCGACACTTACCTACGCACCGCGGGTATTCAGGAGACTTTCGACCTCTTTGATTCCTGAATTGACTCCGGCTAGAAGTTCCTTGTCAAGCGACTGAAACGGAGAAGGAATTGGTTGAGCCTAAGCAACAAAACGTACTTATTGATTATGTAAGTTGAATACAAATGAGTCTATAGCGCGAATTGAATGAGGTTAAGAGATGCACGACCTTGTAATCTGGGTGCTCCTTCTCTCCCTCCCTTATTACACTCCTTTCGTTCTTCAAGACTAGGTTGGTGCTACATCATTTGTATTGAGCACGAGCCATATAGCAGACCACGGATTACTCAAACGATCAGCTTTGTCATTGCGCTTGACCCAATAAAGGTCGTCTTCATAGGCAATTATCCTCGGGCTTTATGTCCTGTATATCGTGATCTACATTGAAGAAAAGTCGCTGCTCGGATTCGTCATCTCTAAGTGAGTGCGTTTGGTTTGGGACTCTCACCAAAGTGCTTACGTATCCACATCCATTTGAATCAGTTCACAGGTGTAATTGGTTGGTATGGCCAACCAGCACCCACCATACTCGCATCCGGGTCCGTCCTACTACCCACACTCGCCACCGCCACATCCGTATGGATTCCCTCCCAATCCCAACGCTGTCCCATTCTACCCATACCCGCCACCTATGAATGGGCATTCACCATTACATCAGCCAACCTCGCCTAGACTGCATGGTGGAGGTCGTGATGGGTATCCCTCTCACAGACCAGGGCCAAACTTTCAACATTTCCAACCCATTCCCCCGCAGCATTACATGCCTCCACAACCTATCACGCCATTAGCCGTCTCGCCAACAAGTCCGTACTCTCAAGCTCAAAAGTACTCGCCGCATGCGCCACAAATGTCGTATTCTCCTTCTTACCCACCTCAGCACAATGGTCCATACCCCCCTCAAACATGGCCGGCGCAACCACTCTCACCATTACCAAAACAGTTATCGATGCTTCCACCTCCACAGTCTCATCCTCAAGAAGTTCCAGTGCCTCCGCCATCTTTAGCGCCTCCGCAACCTTTACCAAGTAGCGCATCTGCGCCAGTTGCGTCGTTGTCGTCGTTTGTCCAGCCTTCTGTTATACCTTCTGCTTCGTCATCTGTTTCTACATCTCCTCAAGTGCATTCCTCTTCCCAAGCCGAGCCTACATTCCACGAACATTTGTCAGCGTCTGCTACTACTTCGGAAGCATCTTCGGTCCCATCGACACCAGCGAGTCGACCAAAAGCGTCCGAAATATCCATCTCAGGGTGGGTAATCTGGTCACGGAGAGGTAATCCGTCTGATGCCCCGGGCGTCATCATTTCTCCTCGAGCAAATCCTCCCGAACATGTCGTGCAAAAGGCTTTGCAGCTTCCAAGTCCTCCCGTCTCGCCAAAAATCAAGTTGAAATCGTTACAGCGGGTAGCAGTACTTTCACCGCACGAGGTCCACGTTCCTCTCAAGGAGGAAGTGAAGGAAGAGCCTGCGAAAGAAGAGTCTCCAGAACCTGCAGATGTGCCGTCATCGTCAGCCACTGAAACCACGCCGGCATGTTCAACTGCTCCGGATACACCTGTTCCTGGTTCACCTTTGTCTACGAATACGTCCATATCTCTTGCTACCGGATCACCAGCTGTAGGAAAGCCACTCAAGCCTCTAGCTTCCCCCGAAGCCCACATGGAGTCTACTGCAGTTGAACTTCCATCGACTGTCGCACCGTCCGCCACCGAAATTTCGGCCCGCGAGAAGGCTCAATCTGTAGTGTCTCCTCCGACTCAGCCTGTTACGTCGCCTTCTGTACCTGCAACGCCGCCTCCCGCCACAACGCCTCAGGCTGCACCTCCAAAGAAATCATGGGCATCGCTTCTCCAGTCTTCTGACACCGCTTCGTCTTCAAAATCACGCCTACCCACGTCTTCTATTGTCGGCTTTTCCATTCCTGCGACCTTGACGGCTAGTACGTCCGCTGCTAATGGCGCACCTGTACAAGCCCGACCGGAACTTCTCAGCCTTCTCACCACCGGTCCCAAGGGGTCCATCCCCCCTCCTAAAATCCGTCCTCGTGGTATCATTAACACCGGCAACATGTGCTTCGCCAACGCGGTGTTGCAAGTGCTTGTATACTGCCCACCTTTCCATCGATTATTCACTGAACTGGGAAAGCATATCACTGGCCCGATCGTCGGCCCTCAGAAGGACGGAAGTAAGGCGACACCGCTCGTTGAGGCTATCATTCAGTTCCTCAGAGAATTCAATCCCAGGAGCGTCGACTCTGGTACTGGTGGAAAGGGGAAGGAGCGCGAGGAAGATGACTTTTATGACCTCGATTCCTTCGTACCCAACTACGTGTATGATGTGATGAAGGAGAAGAAGCGGTTTGCCAGCATGGTTGTAAGTGTGGCATCTTTACTGCAACATTGTCAATAGTAAACTCATGTCGTGTTAGGGCGGATACCAAGAAGATGCTGAGGAATTCCTTGGGTTTTTCCTCGACATTCTTGAAGAGGAGCTTTTCTCATTGCAGTCCTCGCTTTCGCCCACAAAGGCACCCGCTTCGGTTGCTGGTGGGAATGTCGGCGAGCATGCAGAGACCGCGGCTCAGGATGACAAATGGTTCGAGGTTGGCAAGCGGAATAGAACGGTCGTTACTCGCACAGTCAGTCATTTTATCTACTACTTCTATTCTACTGGCGCAAAGCTCATGTTTCTCTTCTTTGCAGGTTAAATCGATGGACTCCCCAATAACACGCATCTTTGGTGGTAAATTCCGTTCGACGCTTCGTGCCCCCCATCAGAAAGACTCGGTGACCATCGAGGACTGGAGAGCACTACGGCTTGATATCTCTGTAAGTATCCTTGTTACCTGCATCGAGTTACACGCGAAACTCATGACCCTCCAGCGTGATCAAGTGCATACCATTAAAGATGCCTTACAGCTAATTTCGCATCCTCAATCCGTACAACTTACTTCTCCCACACGACCCGGCCAGGTGATCGAAGCCACTCAACACACACTCATCGAGTCACTGCCGCCGGTACTGGTGTTGCATATGAAGCGATTCATGTATGATACTACTGTTGGTGACGTGGTGAAAATAAACAAGCAGGTTGCGTATGGATTTGATCTGGAAATCGGTCCTGGTGCGTTCTAGCTTCAATCATGTTGTCTCGACAATGGCAGCTCTAACGAATGATTATAGATCTCATCGCACCGACAAAGAGAACATCTCATCCCATCAAGTACCAACTCTTTGCAGGTTTGTAAATTTCATGACGGCGTTGTTGGGTAAAGACTGACGTACATGTTCTGACAGTTCTTTATCATCACGGTCAATCCGCTTCGGGAGGACATTACACTCTCGACGTGCTTCATCCGAACCGTGACATGAATGACCGACCCCGTGCAGCATGGATCCGGATCGATGACGAACTGGTTTCGGATATTCGGGCAGACGATGTTTTCGGTACGCAGGAACGAGACGATAGATGTGCATACTTGCTATTCTACCGTAGAGTGGGTAATGTAGCCTCTGGCCCGCGGACTTGGTCATCATTAGCAGCAGCGCATAATGCAGTTTAGTTTTGTGCCCTTATACCTTGCTAAGGCTTGCTTATTGTGGATCATCGCATCTTTGCTGTCCGAATGGTCGGGGACACTGCCGCAATATGATACCTCTTACAAGGTCACCAACAGCTCCGAATATAATATCAAATCCTATGGTATGTATGAGTGCCATGTTGAAAACTAAATTGGAGAAGCGTCCTTTGAAAATAGCCTATATACGAGGGACAAGCTGTAAAAGGTACAGGTATGATTCTACGTTAGTCGTTATAAATATTCCAGCTCTTGAGCAAGACAGTCAGCGAACGTCCTCAAATGCAGGAAAAGGTACTCACCCTTCGCCATCTTAGGCCCCAGTGTTCATTGATAGGACCATCCATACCAAACGCAAGACCTCTGAACCACCAGAAGCAAGCAAAGATTGTGAAGGATAGGGCGCCGAATACTATCCATTTCGTCTTCTCGGAGAATCGTTTTGATGTCAACACAAAGTGGTCAACAAGATGAGCGAACATCAGGACTGAGAAGTAGAGGGTGGGGAGCTGAAGGATACGTCAAAACGGCACTTTCGTTGTTACTTTGTCCGGAAACTCACATAGTGGTGGACATATGTGACTCGTCCCATGATCATGAAGGGGACTGGAGAATAATAATCAGCGTGTAATATGCTGTGAAGTTATATGAAGACCTTACAGTAGTGCAAAAACCAACCAAAGAATGCGATTTTCCCCACATAGATGAAGTGATCCCATTCTCCTAAAGACCTGTTAGTGCCGAGTCATGAAATCAATAGACGTACGCTCACTTGGTTCCATGTCCGCATACCGTCGTTGCATACGAATTAAATAGACAGCAAGGACCAAGAGGGACACGACCAGACTCGTTGTGCCAGCCCACCAGATGACAGGTGTTCCAAGGAGGTAGTACTTCGTCTGATTATCCCCCCAACCACACATGCGCAAACCAAGGCGCAGGAATGGCCAGTCAAGAGGTTTGGAAGCGAGAATATCCTCCTTGTCGGGGTCAGGAATCAAAGCGTTGTTTGACGTCATCATGGCAACGTTTAGATGCCAGAAGTCTCTCAAGAATGGCGAGCGGTAGAACTTGGTATTGCCACGCGGCACTATATGGCAATCAGTAAGTCGAGTAGGTCCATGAAGAATGAAACTTACAGCGATCATTCCAATGACTCTCGACGTTCCAATAAGTGTGAACGTCTCCAGGATTATTCTCTTTCTCACAACTGACTTCAACCTGCTTGAAACCCCACTGAGGCAAAATCGCATTGGCGGCACGAAGGTAACAACCGAGAACCTGATGACGGAATCGCAGACGAGTAGTGAGCGAATGAATCTTATCCACATTGTTCTTCTTGCCGCGTTTTATATCGTCAACGACTTCGACAACCCAATAATCATGTTCATCGCCGATGGTCAAGTTGCCGTAACAGGACACTTCGTGATTCAATTTGGTGACAGGTGCGGGAATGGGATGAGAGTGAAGATTGCGGGTTGTAGCTGCGTGTCGAAGTCGAATGACATCCCCATCTTGGAGGAACCGGATAGGGCCTTCGGCGTCTGGCTCTGGCTCGCCCCATCGAGGAGTGATGTACCAGTCGTTGTTTTCATCTTTGTAGTGGTAACATGTAACTTGTTGCTGATTTGAACCCACAGGGTATGTTTGAACGTGTGAGTGAAGGAGACCACCACCCCAACCCATGTTCTTCAGAGTAACCTTAGAACCGAAGGCGACATCTGACATTCGGATTAGTAGAGTTGTGTCCCCGTGACGATATTACGCACCCAGTGGATTGCTTGCAAAGTCATTGCCAACAAGATTAGCTTGGAACAAGGAGCTCATTTGGGCATCACCAGGACCTGAGTGGTTCAGGATCAAGAAATGCAACTTGAAGGAAGCCATGTATACTAGTATCGGCAGGACAATAAGGCAACCGATGCGAGCACCCCAGTGTCGTATTTGATCACGCTGAGACATTATCCATTGAGTGAATAAATATATGCGTAGGAGGTAGAAACATACCACAGGCATCTTGAGGTCACCGAATTTGTCCCAAAGATCTTCAATGGTATACAACCCAACCAAAGCCGTGACGAAAAGCCCGACCCATTTCACGCTGACAGTGAATCAGCATATAGTAAAATTCAGCGATAAAAATATATATACCTAGTGACACAACCGATTGAAATTCCAGTCATAGCCAACCACATCCACCAATCGAAAGAGAAGGAGCTGCGAAATGAGTTTAGCGATTTACAGAAGCACAGTCAAAGCACTTTTTACGCACTGGTATTGTTGGTTGTGGAATTTAGAAAGACAAAAAACGGTAGTGAACGTGAAGAAAAGTAGCATCGAATCCAGAAGAATAAAGCGAGAGATGCACAACCAAGCGACATCTAGACAGAAGGAAATGTTCAACACCCACAAGAGAGAAAAGCAAGAAACCTACCAAAAAGAACCATCAGCGCAACCAAATGGCATGCTCGCCAACTCATGCCAAGCTCCACAGCTGTGTACCAGCCCAAAGGTACCATCGCAACACCGAAGGTCGCCATTATTACTCGCATAGCGGTATAAGGTACGTGTTCAGGGTATGCTTCTCCGCTCTTGAAGTCAAAGCTCCCATCATAGCCTGACAGAAGGCCGGCAAGACCAACGAGCATCTTTCCCAGTGGCGGATGCACATCGAAATAGAACTCGCGTTTGAGGTAATGGCTACCAAACTTTCCGAAGTGCGCCTCATCCCAAATAACATTACCGGATTTACCGATCTTATGGAACCGCGTCCAACAAGCGAGCAAGGTATAAATGATGGGTGGAATATGTTCCAAGTTTTGTTGAATCAGCTCTCCCTGAAGGCATTCATAGTTAGAGTGAATAGTCGACAGGTCATAAGCGTGAAGGACGCACGACAGTGGTAGGGGGAGGGGCTGGCGGTCGCCTTAGCCGACCACTCCCTACAGGTCCCCTCGCCGCCTTCATCTTGGCATATACGTCCTTCCCTCCATCATCGTAGACGTCGTAATCCATAGGATGCTTCTCATCCTGTGCAACGAACGTCTCTCCTCCATCTACAGCAGGCGCACGAGGGACCCGCCTCCGAGCGGTGTCCTCGCTCATGTAATGTGGTAAAGGTAGTTCCTCCTCTCTACGTGGTACTGCGGTCCAGCCTAGGCTACCTGTTGGAGAGTTGGAAGTTGCGGTATGGTGATGTGGATAATTGAGTTCCTCAAAGTCTGAAGACGTTCGAGGAGAACCAGATGGTGTGCCGAAATTGAGCGCGACGTCGGCTGGTTTCATGTAAAATGCTTTCTGGCCGGCTGGGGAAGCCTAGCAGGGGATTACGCTCATGAAGTAGGGAAAGACTGTAAGAGCAAGATCTAACAAGCACACTTGAAAATTACAAAGGATATCCGGCTGCGGCCCTGCTGGCAAGTTAGTAGTAGACGTGGTTTTACCCAATCCTGTGGCGTTCTCGGTAAAACGCCCTGCCTCAACTGCCACATCATGATCCACAACTTCCGCAGTTACGCCAGTCTCAATAAACTTCATTTCTAACTTTGCAAGCCTCATACCAATCGCAAAGGATTACAGAGCGATTTCATAGAGAGGAAAAAAGCAGAGCAGAACTACTTTTGACGGATAGATACAAGAATACACGAAAGCAAAAGAAACCATTGAGAGGAAGAATGTCGGCCTATGTACATTGTCAGAAATCATGAGGGAGCGAACGGAAGATCACTGGTGTCTCTGGTAGACAGCTAAAGAAAAAAAAGGTTAGTCCTAGCAAGAAACGTGCAGATAATATTGTTCGTACCAGAAACCATGGCATGGTCACGCTCATATGGCTCCAGCGTGACTTGCTCAAGGGGCTTGAACTTGCCTTTCCTGAGCTCATTGACTTCGCGGGCGAAGACAACTTCTGGTGCTGCGGTCGAGTCGATACAGCTAGCTTTGATAGAGATAACAATGTGACCGCCATTTTTGAGGAAATATTCGGCATTCAAGCAAACAATACGTGCTTGATCAGGTTGAGCAACGTCGGCGAAGATGACATCGACGGAGGACAAAAGCATGCGATATTTTTGTGGTGTTCGGGCATCCTCAACAATTGCTAAATCACGGAATAGAATGAGAAACTTGGTTCAGTATAGATGATGAGTACATACGAATGACATTGGTTCGCTTCTTCGCCATGTTGATCAGATCTCGTCCTGAACGGAGCGAGAACTCAACAGCGTACACGACACCCTCCTATAACTCCAGTCAGTAAACAGTGCTAAACCCGAAAATGAGAGTTTCAACATACCGGTCCAACAATATCAGCAACATGACTGACACTGGTTCCGCTTGCAGCTCCAAGATAGAGAACTTTCTTGCCAGGCGCGATATAAATGTCGTCCAATCCACCAAGGATACCGGCAGCCAACTTGGATCGGAAGGGATTCCATACACGGTATTCAATCTTCGTGCCATCAACACCACCTTCGACAGAAATACGCTTCTCGCCGTATACTGACTCTCCAGGAGCGATGTTTTTGGTGACGAGCAAACTCTCCTTGCCCTTTGCGACGAAAACGCCAGGATGCCTGTGAGGCTCGACGATCACATTGGAACCGCCTCTCGCACCACCCCTCGCGCCACCACGACCACCTCGCGGTGCACCTCGGCCGCCACGTCCACCACGATCACCACCTCGCTTGGCGACACCTCCTCGTCCACCGCCTGTAAAGTTGACATACAGTCAATGATCAAAGTATATTTGATGAAGCCCCATGAACACGTACCACCAAAACCCCCACCAAAACCCCCACGGCTTCCACCGCGACCACCTCTAGGAGCACCACGTCCACCTCCTGCGCCTCGTCCACCGCCTCGTCCACCGAAACCGCCTCGTCCGCCTGGGGCACCTAGTAAAAGTTTCGTTGATTGTTGAGTATCACACTCGAAACCTGCTTCAAGCCTCTTCATATATATAAATCGAGCTCACCAAATGCCATGATAGTTTGTTAGAAAAGAACGGTGCTTTTGAGCCTTTCTAGACGGTCTTGAAGGTGTAGAAAAATTAGAGGAAGACTTTAGCAAACGTCCAAAAGCGGTAAGTCCTTCATTCTCTCACTGTGCTTACGGCATCTTCCTAATCTAGGCAAGCGTAGTTGTTACTAGTGCTCGCGTGCTCAGTTTGAATCGACACTACTTATTGTTGCATACAGGCATATATTGGGCATAGAGGTCACATAGTAATACATAAAAAGGACGGAACGGCATAAACATATGATATAAATGATCACAGGGAAGCTGATTTCTCTCCAACGTTTCTCTCCAACGCTGATCACTTAGTGAGGCCCGGCATGATATCTTGTCCGCCACGATCCCTCGCAGCGGTTGCGATGAGCCCAAACAGCATCGTGAACGATATCTGGATGATCAGATTGGATAATGATACCACCACAACTATAGCACCAATGTCTGTACAAATATGCACTGTGAATAGACAGTCGATATCAGAAAATCCTACTAGTACTCACGTTAGACCACCACACTGCCTACTTGTGCACTGGTGATAAAGTGCCTCAGAAGCTAGATGTTTTTTCATAAAGATACAGTAACCCTCACCTGCATATGGTTGCAGCCTAATTCTTTCTCCGTCCGTGCTCCGCAGCCTACATAATGTACGAGTAAGCTTTATAATACAAAGGCAGTCATTCTTTCCCTTACCTGGGCAGGTGGCCCATCCCATTCTTTGCATGAGTGTGCGCAACTCCTCCGTCCCGTCCGGAGGACAAGTATGGCGAGAACCCTTGATGGCTCGCCTGCAGTTCTTACAGAATGAATGATTGCACACAGGACATCCGATTACACGGATACGGGGGTTCTCGAGCGATTCAATGGCGACGGAAAACTCACTGGTACAACTGTAACAGACGCCGTGAGTCAAAGTCATGTAACGATGTCCAGAGAACTAACGTTGGGCAGGAAACGTTCTCAGCTATGCCTGTTAGGGCCCGTTCGTCAAACTGGTCCAATAATTCAGCTGAGAGACCGATCGTTTGCAAGAAGTCACGGGTCAAGACTAGAAATTGCAGAATATTTTCAACTTAAACATTGCAGAAAATGCGACATTCACTGTACCTGTAGGAGTGTCCATTCGCTGCGCCACGCAGTCCAAGCATTGAATAGGATGCCCATCGTGTCCTTTCAATGCTGAGCTGATGTGCGATTCAAGACAGCCCTTGCAGTAACGATGTCTGCATGGTACTACAGCTATAGGTTGTTCTATCTGGTCCATACATATCGAACATTGTTCTCCAGGTCTTGGCGGCGCCTCATGAGCAAGGTTAGCAGTACGTGGAAGTTCTTGAGCGAGATTGGCTGGAGATCGATTAGCAGGAGGAGATGGAATCACGAAGTCATAGAAAGGCGGAGAAGGAGAACGCGGATAGTACAGCTCAGGTGAAGGCGAAGGGTACGGAGGGATGAAAGGCGACGGCGATCTCGGAGGAATAAGGCGATTGATTGGCTCTGGCTCGCGGTACGCATGTACAGAAGAAGGCGAGTGATAGATCCCTCGAGGCCGTTCCCAGTCAAGAGGCGGGACAGCTGGTCTCTGAAAAGCCTGATGATATGCAGGGCTGTCTGGAACTTGCGGGCTCGGGGGCTCTACGTCGAACGGAGGGAACCAATGAAGGGGAGGATACATTGGCGGCCGAGGTCGGATCGCATGAGTGCCAGGCAGAGCAGGCTGCCAGTAGGGTCCAGTCGGGAGATGGAACATAGGCACGCCCGGGTATGTTGCCTGAGCACGGTTCGGTATGCCATGGTTCACATACGGCATATGACCGAAATAACCAAGATAATAAGGCTGAGTTGGGGGCAAAGGGTAGGTGTGTCCTCTGGGCGGACTCCATAGTGGGATCTGAGCCATGGTTTGCAGTCTGCAGCAAGAACAAGAAAGACCCCGGGCGGCGAAGAGACACACCATGCACTTGTACATACTTTTATACTGCACGGAATGACCTCTGTGGCAACCAACATCCAGAAGTTGGACAACTTGTCCAGAATGGAAGACAATTGAAATCAATCCATCGCGAACCTATCAAGAAGCATCACGAAGGACATTGGCCGTTGTAATGAGATGGCATAATAACACGACGAGGCGTAGGTTTCTCGCCCTAAATTGTCGTCATGATGCAGAGATATCCAATTCATTGCTATTGTTGGCCAGGTACACCCAGAGTTATGTTCAGGAAAATGACGTCCGTAGTCAGGGGAGGGCATCGGGTTGGCTCTTGACTACCCCGGTATGTTTGTGGGTTATGAGCAGCCACTCTGCGGCTCGTTTCTATCACGAAGTTAGAGTTGGCAACTTATCAACCAGGTGTCCGGTGGAAGTTGCTGCGAACCTTGGCATGCAATTGTCCATGTCCATGAGCGCTTGTACGCTCAAAAACGATTTCGAATGTACATCCGGATGAAATGATGATGTGTGCTCGAAGCAAACGGTACGCGCCAATCTGAATCTGCAACAATAAAGAAACAAACAATTCACCTAGAGTTTTTGTGAGCATTCATCCAAGGACACTAGGGTGTCGCAGCCAGAACCCCACAATTGTATGGTTCGAAAATTGGGTGACGAAATCAGACAGTTACCTAGATAGCTGTTGTCAATTTGAGTATGCTTCACACTGAGAAATGATCCAGACAAGATGATGAATTAATCAATTATACATGTCGTAAATGCCCCGAAGCAAAGGAGAGCGACGTTTTTGCATGAACATGCACATAAAGATATCTATGCAGAGATAAAGCACCACACTGCAGAAAATAAGGCGTTAAGTCGATGGACTTTACACTGCGAGCAGATCACTCACCGAGACCCAATCCCATCTACTGAGTCTTCATGAAATTTTGGTCACGTATTCTCTGTCTCCTCTCCTTCCTGAGTCGGACTTTCTCTGCGACGCCACCAGGTCCATCATCCGGAATGATTTTGGGTTCTAATAACTTCCAAAGCCATGGTGGGTAGGCATCATCGGCAAGGGCAACGACAGGCGGTTGGCCCTTCAGGAATGCAAGACCATTAAGAATGGTTCCTTCTGGACAGCTGGACGCAGTCGTAGCTACAGACGTTTTCAACCAAGTTATTCGCCATAGTGCAATCTAATAAAACACACCTGGCTCGTCCACCGCTGTTGATGATGTTGCTTGACCTTTTGGTGAAGCATTCACAGTGTTGGCCTCCAAAGGCTTACTCTGACTAGCATAGCACCGCTGTGCACTGCGGCACGCGTTGAATAGCGGTTGCGGTCGCCGTAGAAAGCAGAGAGACATGAGTGTGACGTGACGCTGTCACGACGCGCCTGTCCGCGTCGGGAGTGGGCGGGGGGCGTCGGCGTCAATGCGATACCTTGACGACCGACGACGACGTCGACTGCCAGCTTTACCTCAGCCAAAACTCTCTTAGTGTGCATGAACATCCTCAAGATTATTCGGAAAGTATTGTATAACGTGTGCGATGCTATGGCAATTATGGTACAGGAAGTTTTGCAAGATGAGCGATCAAAAGCGAGAAGACTGGGAGTGCGACAAGACCAAGATAACTAGACAGGACGAAGAGAACTACGACGAGAACAAGACTTTTTTTGTGCGGAGACCAAGATAAACGATACTTTTCAAAACGATTTGACGAAATTTAGCGTGATAACTTTCTATCTTTTGACTGATGTTGTCGCTGTGCGAAGCTCTCAAGCAAGAAGATCAAGGTTGCTATTCGAACGACCCTTCAAGTTGACAATGCGAATAGGGCCAGCTTTCGAGCACTTGTCACGCAAGAAGTGAATGAAGTCCTACACAACGATCATCAAGGCGAGAACGAGCCCGGATCAGGAGAAGCTTACCTTAATCCTTGCTGAGATATCAACCTTCTTATGATTGTTGGGAAGACCAGAAGATTCATGTGTCGATGGTGAAGGCAAAACTTCTGAAATCTCTATTTGCACCTCATCTTCTTCGAAAATATCGGACTGTGTGATGCAACGACTCAGAAGACAGAACAGTCGGCTCGACAACAACAGAACGCACCAACGCGAGACTCGTCCGCCAGTGTTTGGACGGCGGCTCTACGAAAGAATAATCGACGGTTTTCTGGTTCTGTCTTCAACGGGGTGCTTTCGAAGAATCTAGCTAGCTTCACTCACCATGAGGTCTTCGCCGGAAAGTGGGGTAGGTTTGGTGAAGTGACGAACGGCTCGTTGCGAAGGTTGGCGATTGTAGAGAGGTAGGGGATGGGGGTCAACTAGAGCATTTCCAGGGATGCGAATGAGAGAGTGCGATTGGTGGACTCGAGAGGTAGAACAGCAGTTAGGTGCATTGTAGTGAGCGTGCATGTTGGATCGAAATGAAATTGAAGGAGAGTGGGGGTTGGAGGTGGGGGAAGGAGCGTGAGTGGGGTGTGAGAACAAAGATCGTCCTCGTCGCTGCACTTATATTGGCGGCGCGATGTCTGGGCCACCTCAGAACCGATAAGGTTGTCGGCTGAGTGGAGGACAGAGCATGAGGCAGCCAGCCGCCCAGTTAAGGAAAGGAAAGAGTGACTAGGCCGCTGCTTCCCATCGAATTTGGGGAAAGGGACCCATGCGCGAGAAAAAGATCAAGGCTCTTGCCGCCACCATGAAATACTTCCGCGAAGCTGCTTATGATCGTGATGCTGAAAAGCTTCCGTGTCACCTACAGTGCATGCTGGACATCACTAGATTCCCGAGGCACTAGGTGAACCACTCGATTCCACACAGATATACCAGGGACATGTCGGAACACTTCCCCGTTCCTCTGTCGCAATCGCAACTCACTCAAGAAGTTCTCCTTGTCTCCGTCAACAACAATGGAGAAAATTCCACATTCTCAATGTAGCAACGCCCTTCGACGTAAATGTAACCGGCCCACCTGTTTTCTCGCCTTCTCATCTTGTCGGGCGAGCCATTGCATACATGTATACATGGCTCTTGAGTTCCAACTCGAGTTCAACGACATGATAGAGGACGAGAACGGAAGGCACAATGTCTCAATGCATATTTACAAGAGCGCATTCACCTTGTGAGGCTACCCAGCTTCCTCCATACGCAGGACGGTAGCAGGGTAGCCCCGGAGGAAGAAACTGGTCAAACTGCATACCAAAGGTGAATACCACACATATGATAAATATTATATAATGCGTCTTTTGACTCGCAGATAATGTACTTTGCGAGCCATTTCAGCTCTACGCTATTTCGCCGCCAAAGAGGCGGGATTGTGACGCCGTGACGTCGGGCGCGTCGCGTGACGTGACGTAATCTATGCCATCAAAGGGCGGGCCGACTGCTGGGAGGCAAGTTCATCGAAGTTCCGTCTGCCAAAGTTGGGTTGTCTGATCCACAACGCCCGATAGCGACAAAGTGCAGCGTCACTGCCAACAACTTCGACATCAAACAGTGTATTACTTGCCTCCACAGTGCCCAACCCTGTTGTGAACCCAACTAATTTGATTGAGCTCCTTCCGATACCCATTCCTGTGTGCCACAAGTCCCCGCCATTCACAACCCCAAGAGCGAACTGTGTACATCAAGTGGGATTACGCACCTCAACACCCAGCTGACGGCTGAACATGAGCGGCGGCAACGCCATGCTCGTTGCCCCTTAAATGGGCCAGTGGCTGACAACTATTATTCCGCCGTGCTCTACCTGACGGGTAGAGTACGGGTGGGCAGCCGTCTAGGTCATTGCCACGGCCGATAACGTCCAAACGCAACGACATCGTACATGACTTGCGAGATGTTTGGGAAGCCGTAGGTTTCTTTTCTTCATGTGGGGGAAAGTCAAGATTTCGGTATCGGACACCATGTCAGGGGTGCAAAGGTTACAGGATTCCTTGTCGCGGCCAGCCCGAGGAGCGTCAGTAAGAGAAACATATTTTTCGAGTTCAAGAACGAGGTGGTGTTTGGACGAAGAACATGATTCAGCCGAGGTTCAACGGTCCGAGCGATACTCGCAAGCGACGGATGCAAATGTGGACCAACCCCCCTCCGGAACCTCGCGGTGGCTGCCGCTCTCCTTTCCCACATTTTCCTCTCCTGCTTTCGTTTTTTCACGATTTTCTGTCCGCTATTTTTCTCGTTTTCATGTTTCCTTTGGCATGTGCAGAAGCTCCCCCTCTTGCTCCTTCCATCATCCTGAACGTTCTTACCAACCAAAGTGTCCTGGAATCTGGACGGCCAATCGCATGCAAATATTGCCAGGTTACAAATGGCCCAAAGGCCACTTCAACAGACCCTCACCTCCAATCGGCCTCCTCAAGCTCCTGTAGCCAACCGACCGTCTAGCAGCTGAACAGAACCACCTCGTCCTCCTCTGCAACCGGACACCCGTCTCCAGTTGGCCCTTTCCAGCTGTGCATAAACGCTGTTCCAGTCCCAACAGAATCTACGGCGGCGGTTGGATCGGGCTGAGGTTGCATCAAGCATTTGATCATACACTGGACTTAAGTCTACGAGAATCTACTCCCCGATACATCCGCAATATCAATGTCACTCCAGTAGGATGCCACTCGAAGGTCGGGCTCTTGGAATCATGAAATCTCAGGATCGTCAAGATATGGGATACAGGCTATTATGTTTTCAAGATGATCATGCTTCAAAGCCTGAGATACACAAAGTAGTATTCGAGATCAACCTTTTAACTCAAGAATGAAGATCTGGTCTTCAAGCTCCTCAATACGGAGATTTAGGCAGTGCAATGTGATGGCCAGGTCACACGAGATTGGGAAGGGAGAGTCGGAGACTTCCCCCGTCGTTCATTCTTGCAGTCTTCTTGGTGCGTTTTATTGTCAGAGAACCTAATGTCATTCTTACTCACCCGCAGTGTCCAGTGACTACGGACGTTTCAAATACTCCCTCCCTGCATTCTTGGTGTGCATTCGCCGGCCGATAGTCTAGCCTTATGCTATTCTGAATTAAAGCTGCCTTTGCACACATCATCCTTCAAACCTCCTATCGCTGTTTCTTTTTTTCTCCATGCAACAAAAGTCGTACCGGCCAATGGCCCTTATTTATATGGTCTGCACCCCGGCTACGACCACTCAATTCACTCTGAATCCTCGTCCATCATGTCCTCCGCATCTGTCTCCTGCCTCATAACCTCCACGCCATTATACGGGATTCGATCTCTCATCCACCTACCCATAAGCCAGTCAACACGACATAATCCAGACCCAGTGGCTGACGCCAACAGTGGTGCCGCCGCGAGTCCATTTCCCATATTCCATACGACACGGTGAATACCGACTTCGGGAGACCAAGCCCCTGCACCCGAGGAAGGACGTTCTCCACCGCCGCGTACAACGGACGGTCGATCTGTGGTTTCCTGTAATATCGGGAACGTGAGGAGCGCTCGCTACGTAGACGAGGAAGGATTTACCTGCGGTAGAAAATGTTCTAGCATGCGGTATTCCTGGAATTGGCGGCTGTAATCCAGCTGGTACACCTTATGTGCAAGGAACGGCTAGATATATGGGCCACAAGATCTTGTCAATCAAATGAGACCTCAACGTATGAGGCACACCACGTACCACCATGCCGCCTCGTCGAGTTGAACGCATAGTATTGGTCGTCATACAACTGCCATCTGCAACACCAATGGCCAGTTGAGGGTGGTAGTCCGAGGCGGCCACACTCTAGCTCGCCCGAAGGTCAGAGACAAGGCTCAGGAAGTCCCTGAATTTGCACGTACCCAAATCGGCCCTTCTGGTTCCAACAGCCTATGACCTCTGCCCAGCATACTGGGCGAGAGTGAGTAAGCTTTGATAGTGTTCTCGTGATCGATTGTGACAGGCCCGCCACAGTACGTAGAGAAGGAAACACAATTTACAACATCTAGAATTCGCGTGGGTTTAACATAAGGCCGCAAGCCGAGAAGGCGGCGTACCTCTCGTTCTGTTCAGCGTATTGGCAGCAAGATCTCGAATGTCCGCAACGCATTCCAAGCCATCGAATCCACCGGTGGCAATCACCGTTGGATCATCTGTTGTTGGTTCGCCAGTCACAGACGGCGTAGGAACTCTAATCCACGCGACGGAGCGAACTGCGGATTGATGGATGGAGAAGTAATGGGTTGGGGCAACGACTAAAGAGAATCATATGTCTCCGAAAACTGACGAGGAAGAAAAAAAACTTACGTTTGTTCAATCCCCGTTCGCCATCCCGCAAAGCCTTACCCACGTTGTATACGGCAATCCAGCCTTAGTACAGGCATTAGGGGCGATGCAAGGTAAGATAGTTGGAGATGAATACCATTACTACAGCCGACGCCCAATACATCACTGTTAGCCCAATCCAGGCACGACGGAGTCGTATCCTCCATTTCCAAACGTAAGAGTGGTTCGGAGAGCCTCACTTTACATCACGCTGGTCAGAGACGTTTGACAGATACGAGAGGTCTTTGCAGAACTGACCAAATACTGGTAAAGCATCATTAGATGCACCAGTGCGATTCGCTAGGTCTGTTGGATCTGAGATAGCATATAGCGAGATTGATCCATCCTCGAATGCGCCCGCCAATATTCCAAGTTTCCGCAGAGGGGAAGCAGGGTCGAATGGTGCCTAAGATGTCAAAATTCAGAAAGTGTGGTAGCGTTTTATGTGCGATGTGTGACAGGTTTACCGAAAGGTTGTCATGTGAGGGCAACGGACACCACTTCAACTCGAAGGCAGACCCAGCTTCGATGCAGACAATCATTTCGCACTGCATCATACCAGGCTGCTCTTGAGTATCATCAACGGCAGAGGCGTTTTCTGGACGAGAGGGCGATAAAGACCATATTTCTACACATGAATGTGCAGGTCGAGGTAGCCGTGAGCCAACGACTAGGTCATGTGTCTGGGAAGTCAAAGGAGCGACGGCGAGATATTGCTTGTATGCAAGTTCTAGAGAGAGAAAATCAATGTCTGTAAACACAGAACGTATGTGCATTTCCGCTCACCTTGTCGGACATCTGGGTGGATAGGACACCAGTCCAATCCCCAAACGGGTGCTCCAGCATTGAAAACATGAGACTTGTTACCCGGGGAAAAGGCATCTACGTGTATTCAATTATTCTATGAGTTAAGGGGCAATATGTCTACGTATACATACGCATTCCGACTGAAGACAGTGGGCCTAGTTCTAGCCGCTGCTGCTGATCGATTGGGCCGAACGAACACGGTATTGACCTGGAAGGGCTTTGGTCATCGTGAGTTGGAAGATAGACGGATCCTGCCCTGCAATGACTCAGCCCAACTGACGACAGAGGAGAAATCAATTCGTACTCAGGTTGTAGGGTTTCGCAGTTTGAAGGTATCATCACTTTAGAATGGACTTTTGGTCGCCGAAAGGATTCGGCTTCTTTTGGAGCATGAAGATATTCCTTGTACCAGCCACGGTCCTCAAGCAGTTCCCAGAGAGGTCCGGGACCGACATTACAGCCCCATGCCTTGTTCACCCTGCTGCCAACAACAGAGTTAGCGGTTGAACTGTTCGTTAATGTAATGCGGGGGGATGTAAACAGCTTCGGCGGTTCCGTAAGTCTTTCAACCTTCTCATGGCGATGATATAGAGGAACCGCCCTATGTCGATGATGTACGTTTGGAAGCGGAAGTTGTCCACTTTCAGCGACTGTTGCAGCGGATTTCCGAGGTTTTCGTTTGGTAGGCTTTTTGCGTTTGGAAGTTGATAACGATTGAACTTGTTCATCCCCAGATGTTGCACCCAGTTGCGAGACTTGGTCTTCGCCTTCCGCATCTGCTTCAACCTCGTCTACTTCGGCGGTGACATCATGCACGACATCCTTGTCAGGAGCAAAGTCACTGCTGCTTCCATCGTCATCCTCAGCGGCACGATGGGTTGTAGACGGTCCAGCTTCATTCTCAGGCTCTTCTCCATAATTCGCTAATGCAGCGTAATTGGGCCGTGAGGTGCGTTTACGAAGTTCTCGTGCCATTGGTGCAGGCTATAGCGTTAGTATCGCCTTCAGATTATGATAGTTAGTATCATTCATGGAAGCATGACACAACTAGCGTGGCGCGTACCTTGGCCGAGGTCGCACCTTTCAAACTTGAATTGACCGTTTTGGAGAAGACACATATAGCGTCGATTCACTCGATCATTATGCATGGGGCTTAGGCTTAGGCACGGTATTCTTCCGGCCCGATCGTGATTATAGTCGTGTTCGCGGTGATTTGACTTCATTTAATCTTGGTCTAACCAAAATGATATATCATGGTTGGCATTCACCATGTCGTCCCCAAAGCAAGAATTACCTACCCATACGCAAGTCTTGACCGTTCAGAAAGCTAGGACGGCGGCTGGCGGAAAGTCTGTGTACCCTAATGACGCCGTACTCGAAACCAAGCCAGTTCCCAAGCTTGGGAAGGGATATGTTCTCGTAAAGATTAACGCAGCTGGATTCAATCATAGAGACGTAAAGCTTTTCAACGAGATGCTTAAGCTTTATCTAGCTTCTGACAAGGTCACGTTGTAGCTTTGGATTCGCAAGGGTCAATACCCAAGTATCATTCATGGTAGCACTTTCGGTGCAGATGGAGCTGGTATGTGTAACGACGTAACGATGCATTATCGTGCGGTGACGCATGAGTTATCTCCGTCGCAGGGGTCGTCATTGCCTCTGGAGATGAGAACGACCCTCTCGTGAACAAAAGAGTATTTCTCGTGCCTACCCGCGGATGGGAAAACGACCCTTACGCACCGGAGTCTCCAAAGTCAGTCCTATAATATACCAAATGAAATGTTATTGATGATATTAACGATTATTTCACCGCAGGTTCACCATCCTTGGGGGTGGAGGATTTATGTCACCACTGGGTACCTTTGCACAATATGTTGTGGTAGAACGAGACCAAGTTATACCTTCCCCCGATCATCTGGACGATGAACACATCTCTGCATGGCCAGTGGGCGGAGTCACCGCTTGGAGGTAAGGTATAAGTTCGCAGCTTGTTTGGCATTGAATTTAATTTAGACGACAGAGCAGTTGTTATCAATGCATTGGTAAAGAAAGGTGACAATGTCCTCATTACCGGCATAGGCGGAGGCGTTGCCTTGATTGCCTTGCAATTGTGCGTTGCTCTTGGTGCCAACGTTTATGTATCTTCCGGTAACGAGGAGAAGATACGTAAAGCCGTCTCTCTCGGTGCCAAAGGCGGCGTTAACTACAAAGCTGGTGAGGCGTGCTTATATTCTGGTCCTGCAGTCTCTGACGAGTGTCGTCTTCAGATGACTGGTCCTCCGAGCTGGAGGCTCTGCTCAGGAAGCAACAGGGGCCAACTGCTGCGCTCTCTGCCATTATTGACTCCGGTGGCGGGGATCTTATGACTAGGCTTGGTAGGCTCCTCAAGTCTGGAGGCCGCGTTGTTGTATACGGCATGTAGGTTTCCCGAGTGGCTGCCATGGTTGAGGTTTGCGTGCTAAGCTTATTCGATACACCAGGACTGCCAACCCGAAGATGACCTTTACTATGCGTGAAGTGCTGAAGAACCAACAGCTTATTGGTTCGTTAGTCTTTTTGGCAACCTTAGTTGCGTAGCTAAGCCGAACTTCTAGGTTCCACAATGGGATCTCACAAGGACCTCATCGAAGCTACTGAGTTCCTGGCCGAGCACAAGATTGTGCCAGTCGTATCACATATACTAGATGGACTGGAAGCCGCAGAGGAGGGATTCGACCTCATAGCAAGGGGTGAACAGTTTGGGAAGGTTGTGATCCGAGTTAAGCATGCTACTACGGTCCCGGCCAAGCTATGACGACGGTATGACAGTCGCCACTTATATCGTTGTGCATGTACCCGTATCTCCCTAGCAGAATAAAAGAGTTGGACTGCATGTTGCAGGCGTGGCAAGTTGGAGGCGAGTCGCCCCTTTTGGAAGATGTGCGTATGCCTGCGAATATGAGAAGCGCCCGCTGCATGACTTGCATTCTTACGCGGGGGACGTAATCTGTACGCATTATCCTTACCGTTGAACACGGCAACCTGGAGCTCGACGACGACTTGGAAGCGGTTTACGAGCCCTGTGAACGAGAACGGGCATGACAGCGTCCTTCGCAGCATACGCTTCCCAATTTCTGAACAGACAACAGTCCGGACAATCCGGAGCTGCATCCAGTCTGTCTTCGTCTCAACCCATCTTTTTCTCTTTCACGACCGATAATGGCTCTCATGCAGGCAATGGGCATGAAACGGACCTTGACGACATAGATGATCCACATCTACGAGACAGCGAGTACATGAGCAGGCATACCGTTACCGGGAGGGATGAAGAGATGGGTGCGGACGATGATGATCCTTACCTGCGGCTGGACGAAGAAGATCCTGGGCTGTCAAGACAACAGTCATCTACAATGCCTCTCCTCGGGGTATCAACGAGTGACGGAAGACAAGGGTGGCTAGCGCATGCGTCGCCGTTGCGTTCACCTTCACCTGTTCCTTCAGATTCATCCGTAGATTCTGCGTTATCTCATAATATTTCAAGTCGACCCCCGACTCCTCCATTTCATCACAATCACTCAAATCAAGCACTACCCCCACCACGGACAGCTCCAGCGCTATCCCTCACAGAATCTCTGCTTCCTCGAGACGGACGCTCACGACCAGTTGACGTATTTTCGTTACCTGACCCTCGATATATTCCTCGAGGTCGTCGGAAATACAATGACTCCAGGTGGACTGCCGTATGGTGTACCGGTCTCGGTATATGTCTCTTCTGCTCCATACTTATCCTCTTCCTCACACGCAAACCAAGCAAAGGGCCTCCCGTTACCCTTCCCTACACAACACTGTTGCATACTGTTCCGCTACTGACCATTCTTATCATTTTAAGTGCGGCTGTATCATATGCACACATCTTTCTTCTACGGATATTTGTCAAGCCTGTAATGGTCGCTACTTCTGTTTTCATTCCTGCAACTTTGCTTGTATCAGCTCTATGGGCTTTCATTGGTAGCTTTATGTGGGATGGAGATCAAGAACCGACATGGGGAGAGACATGGGGGTGAGCGCGCACCACGCTCTCGTCACAACTTTGTTTGACATAATTTCAGGTTACGCTTGTTCTCCCTTATTCCTTTGGCACTGTGCCTAATAACAGCCAGGAGACTCGTCAATCTACCCCGCGAGATTCATACAGCTTCGTCTCTCCTAACTCTCACTACTCGCCTTCTGGCAACAAATCCTTTCTTACTCGCCTTGTCTCCTGCCGTGCTTTTGGCCGCCCTCGTAGGCTCGATACCATTTATCACGCTTGCCTTCCGGCTTCTCCTCATAGGATATACCGCGCATCCTCATGGTCGAGACTCAGGATGGGAATGGCATGTACGCGGATGGGCCAATTGGGCTATCGTGGGCACTATTGGTGTTTGGCTTTGGAGTTGGGGTGTTGCGAGAGGTGTACTTAGAGTGACTTGCGCTGGTGTTGTTGGCGCATGGTATTTTGCAGAGTAAGTTGCTTCGGTCTGGTTATGGATTCAAATACTGATATTCTTTCGAATGTAGCCCAACTCTTCCACAGCCGCCTCCAATGTCCACTCACACTATTCACGCATCCCTCGTGCGAGCTTCTCAACCTTCCCTAGGCTCTATCGTGCTTTCCGCGCTCATCATAACAGGCATTCGTCTACTGGGGCTCATATGTATAGGTCTTAGGGCTCTGCCAGCCTATCTGCCACCTTATATGCGATTCGTCTCCGTCGGTGCCGGTATGGCTGTAGGCTATCTCGAAGCCACCACGAATACCCTGAGCACGTATGCGTTGGTGTACACGGGTTTGACTGGAGATCCGTTCATGCCCAGTGCAAGACGGGCTCAAGCGTTAACTGGAGCGGTTCAAAGTGCATCTCTGGCAAGGTATCGCAGGAAGTTCAAAACGGAACGTGAGTGTGTCTTGTAATTACGAAGCTATCAGTTAACGCAGAATATGTTTAGCTCCTTTGACAATGCTTACTGTTGCACCTCTGACCTTGACGTTCCCGTTTGCCCTCGCAACCTACCTCTTTGTTGCGCACACTCTGGGAGCTCCTGATCAGGCATTGGCTGCGTCGTTGCTGGCTGGTGTGGTAACTGCGCTGGTCGGTCTGTTTTGCGTCGGACTTGTCAAGGATACGTGAGTATTTTTGGAAGTGCGTAATGCATAATAACACAGATGCTGACCTGAATTTAGTGCGGACACTTTGTATATCTGCTACTGCATTGAGAAGGACACGGGGGCTAGACATCGAGAAGAGGTCTTTAACGCGGTACGATTTCAATGATACTGCGTCTCATTCTTGTTTCTGACATATATACCATGACCAGTTTGAATATGAATCAACCAGTCGCCGACAGCCCCAAACTCACCAGGCTCCTCCACCATCTCGTCCTCAGCCACCTCCACCACGCAAATCCCAGCAATCGATCTTCGACACGACGCCAGAACCTCCTCTGACCCCCCACGGCCAACCGCGTCGCACGCAACAGCTTGTCGCACCACCTCTACCTCGGGAACCTACGCCTGACCCTTTCGAAGACTCACCTCTAGATCCATATTCCGCTCCATCTTCACCTGAGATCAGCGCACGTCCTCAAGGCTCACAGCGTGTCTCTCACTCGAGAGCTCAGAGTAAAGAGCTCCCCAATGAAAGTTTACATATGAGCACCATGCGGCACTCATCCGCATTACCTGGCAGCGAGAGCGAGGGAGAAGGAGAAGAGTCGCAGTTGTTTCCTGGTTCTGATCTTTTCTGACGCATCGCCGATCGTTAAGGACTTTCACGCGTACTTTCTGTATCCTCAAGTCCAGCTATTCATCCACCATTTGTCGCAGCACATCATCATGATAAGATTTCACGGTAGTTTGCTTGCTTGTTGTCTCTGCTGTGTATGCACATATCCAACCAGTGTTGTTTTTCTCCTCGCCGTAGTATATTTAGGATTAGAGATGGTATCTTGCTGTCCAATTCAAAGTGTTTTCCCTCAGCACAAATTGCATATTATAATGACGAATGCCAACCCTGCGATAATGACGCTGTCCAAGAAAAGAAGTATGAGGAGCAAAAAGTAATTACAACTAGATCACGCCTCGAATGCCGACCGTCTTGTAAGCAACAACGGCACATCACCTGTAAAGTATGATCAGATTTACCGAACTGCCCGACCAAAACAAGCAGTCAACCAACCTGTCTTCAGTGTCGCTCCAAGAATGGGATTCAGCATACGCTTCTGCCATCCTTCCGCAGTTTCCCCCTTCTCGAACTTGACAAACACCTTCCAGTCTCGGAGAACATGTGTAAGGAAACAGACGGCTTCCACCGTTGCAAATTTCTTGCCTAAACATACTCGTGGACCGGTGGAAAAGCCCAGGAAGCTGTCTATAGCTGCAGTTGCAGCATCGGAAGAAGATTCCCAACGCCGCGGAAGGTACGCTGTGGCGTTTGCGTATGTCTCTTCGTGGCGAGCTGTTAAAGTTGTCAGATGAAAGTTAAGGGGTGTATGTCATAGAAACACACAGGCGCCGATCATATCTAGAACGATCTCCGTGTTTTTTGGTATTGCGAGTGTATCACTGGAAGGCAAGAGACCTGACGCTGATATCATAGTATCTGCCGTGGCGACACGACCCATGAGAAAGGCCGCAGCTGCAAGTCACCGCAGATTAGAGAAAAATCATAAGTCTATATAAACATGACTTACGATAAAGACGGAGTGCTTCATAGAAGCAATGTAAAACGGGTGCAAGTGCACCATAATCGTCGAATTTCTATTATGAGTTGTTATGAAGAGAAGCTTTCTGCAATTTAGCGGATGGACGTACTGGTTCGGAATCACCCAAGACAGACTTGATATGCTGATACACCCGCTCCTGTTCCCCTGGGTTAAGTGCCAACATAGCCAATGTGACAACAAGGGTATGAGCTGTTGTCTCATGCTGAGAATATCTTTAGCAGGATGATACGCCAACCCAACGCCACAGACAACACTAACCCCGGCGAATAGGAAGATAAAGAGGTTGCCAATGATTTCTCGTTGGTCAAGCCCCTTCGTTCCTTCCTGTTGACTGGCAGCAACGACACGACCGAATACCGTCTTGTTGGAGTCACTGATAGAACCATCGAAATGAACGTCATTCTTAAGCTCGAGTTTCTTGGCAGAGACTTCATCGTCCAAGAATTTCTGGAAATCGTCGAAGGCAATCTTCATGCGGCGGAGTCTGTGCAATATGTCAGACGAGGATCCGCAGTATGCTGACCGAAATCCTCACCCCTCGATGGGCAGACGGAACACCCAGTTAGGGAGTACCATCTTCTCCAGAAGAGAAGTGCTAACAATAATGATGGTAGTATCAATAGGATTGGAGAGCGACTCTCGAGTGGGCGATTCGTCCCATCGTAGGTGCATGTTGAATCCACATGCCGCAATCACGAGTAGAGCAAGCTGGACGGAAAATATTCAGGCTGATCACCACAAAAAGGACTGAATGTCATACCCTAGTAGTAAATGTGTTGAAAGCTGGGAAATAATGTTGGTCACCCGTCTTCCAGGCCTCGCTTTCTAGCATTTGATGATATAGTCCCGCGGTTACTTCCCAGACATTCATGTACCTGTTTTTGGGCTTAGTCAAAGGGATGCATGGCGAGTTTGATATGCATGCTTACGTTTGATTGTCGAAAGTTGGGGCAGTTATCTTGCGATGTCTGCGCCACTGCTCTCCGGTGGATGCTACGAGGTTAGGGCCCATGAAACTGAAACACAAAAACCATAAATAATGATAACGCCATGCAAGAAGGATATGTATATACAGACTCCAGTCCTAGGACTTTGCGTGGCTTCGTGAACAAGAACGCATCATTGAGCACCGTCCTTAACGCATCTGGCGAAGCACAATGCAAAGCGATGTCACCGTACAGGAGTGGAATGTAAAGTATCACATTTGTGTTGCGACTCGTGTATACTGAGGTTTACGGGCTCAGAAGACGATTAATGGCATGTTGCAAGAACGTACAGGTAGCCGATTCATTCCAGGCTTGATACACTCCAGGATTCCAACGTCCGTTTGGCAAGAGATTTGCAAGTGGGGTAAGTGGGTCGACAAGGATGTAGTAGACAGGTACGCCTCTCAGAGACTGTACCAGCGAATGGTCAATTCTAAGAGGCTGACTTGATGTACGCTCACCAAGTTACACGCAAACATACCTGAATTGCGGCATAGATACGATACGCCCTTCGTAAAATGGAGACCACCAGGATGAACCCTACGAGAGCCCATATCGAAAACATCCTTACGATGCCGGGGGAGGGAAATATAGAGGAAAGGAGTCAAACTGAAGCTTATGGTGCGAGTTCATCTTCGGCTTCCGAAGTGTGGGAAGCCCGCAGCTGTCACAATCCAACATCATGTGGTATTACGTGGAGTAAATTCCCTGCCGCAGACTGCAGCAAACCTGGAAACCCAATGTCAAACCATGTTTCCATGTCAATATCAGCGATTAAAAAAGACTGAAACATGATCGCAACCCTTTGCCGCGACTGCGTCGGTTTCTCGATTTCTATTTTGGCCCAAACTATTGAATGCATTCATTGCAATACAGGAAACTTGGCAGATAAGACACAAGGTTTCAGATAGGCGATGCATCTTGACTCGTTGCGAATAGTACTCTTTAGCAGCTTTGAGAGGGTCTGCTATTTTAGACCTCAACACCGACACCTTGCGCACCGTCCTCCTCGCCTCCGACCTGAGAGAGAAGATGAATTCGAAAACCAGGCGAGAAGATGGCCCACTAACCTTGCCATCGGAGACCTGGGCAACTTCGCTACCAACCTTGGGAGAACCACACTTAAGATGACCGATATGAAGTAATGGGAACTATGCAACCGTTGAACACTTCTACATTGGTGACCTCAAATTCTGCTTTGCCATCAATGACGATGCTGCCAGTGTCGTATTCTTGACCTCCAGACTCTGCATAGAAGCTCGTACGATCAAGAAGAATACCGAATATGACGTCCGGAACTTCTGACGTGGACTGGAGGAAAGATTTGTTGTGGTATAATGCAACGAACGATCTTGGAGCCGAGGTTGCCCAGGCCTACTTCAAGTATTAGACATTGACCATGTCATGATCATTGCAGACATACCGTATTTCGCAGAGTCGTCCGTCTTGGGTACAGCAGCGTTCTTCTCAAGAGCGGCGATATCATGAACATCGATTTCACAGCATCAGTGGCATCGTTCGTCTGGACTTTACTGGCCTCCTTCGAAGCAGTCTAGGCCTCCTCGAACTCCTTGTCGTCGAAGCCGTAAGAGTGAGTTTATTGAGTTGGACCGACCGCCACATGAGACATAGCTTAAGATGTTGTAGAGGTGACATTCAGTGAAGAACCTAGAGAGACACTTGACCGAGACGTCGGTGAATCCTCTCAGTCCGTCCTCACCCAATCATCCGGTAGGGGTTCATGCGCAGGGGGTTTCAGAATCCTTCCCGCTTGATCTATTCGAGGCGTCACTGTTGAACTTTTGAATAGAGTTCCGTTTGTTATTTCAGTTGAACTAGACTCCTGCGCGATAGAAGGCGGAGACTTCGAGCTAGAGCCTTCAATTTTCTGCCTGAGTTTCGCTTCCAATGACTCCCAATCGCGTTCAGGTACATCAGCTAACCAACATCCTTGATTGGCTAACTCATCTGCACCCTCGTTACCTTCGTCGCCAGTGTGTCCTTCGACATATTCCATTTCAACCTATGTCAGTTTCGGGCATTGATGAGTGAAACATAGAGAAGTCAGAAGAAAGCAAAAAGCGAACCTTTTGGCCGAGCTTCCCCCGTTCGCTGAGCAGTGCATCGATGTATTTGATAATGCCCACATTGCTCACGTTGCTTCCCGTAGACGTCTTGAATCCGTTTCGACGCCATTTCGGTAGCCATGCCTTGAAGCCTATGGAAAGACCCTTGAATTTAAAACGGTAGGAGGAAGCTAGCGATGTACCCACACTGTATACAATACTTCGAGTCTGTTTTGATAAGGAGAGGTTGGTTAGTCTTCGACGTGGTCTCCAATACCCGAACTATTGCCTAGGAAGTTATTCAGCAAGAGAATCTTGAAAACGTGATTTATTGTATTTACGATGAGTTCCGCCCGATTATTGGTTTGTCTTCCTGGACAACGTTCTGTGATGTTCCTGCAGGCGAGTCTGTCAATATTCGAACAAACCGGTGACAATAAAGACGGACCTTTGGTCCCCTTGGCCCCACCACACGCCAACACCCGCGACGGATCCTAGCTTCCCGTTTCCCTTACACGCGCCATCTGAGTAGACCGTAAGCCATCCAGTCCTCTCTACGAGAGCTTGCTCGTCAGTTGCTAGTTGTTTGCCTTTCGCAGACGAGGCCGGCCGGACTTCGGGGTATGGTTTTGACGTTGAAGAAGTGCTAGGTCCAGCAACAGCCGCGGTAGATAATGCTGAGGGGCTGGATCCGCCGAACTGAGCAATGTACGCTTCTGCCTCTGCCGCAGAGTTGAACCTCTTGTAGCGTGCATTGGACGCTCCTTTCACTTGCGATGAGCATTCGTCCCTATTGCAAGGATGTAAAGAAGAAACTAAGCAAAAGACCGCGGTGAAATCCCGCGATGTGGGCTACGTACCATGATCGATATATTCCAGGAATCCGACCACGGGCGACGGCATAGTAATACTTGGATGTTTTCGCTTTCGGCATGATGTTCTCTATCGCAGGTTTCTCGTATGCCGCGTTGTGGCCTCGATAGGGAAACCGTACACGATTTCGTATCCTGCAGACGGCTCGTGATGCAGCAGCCAGTTTGGTGATGGTTAGGGATCGAGGACCACGCGACACATCCACGTGCAGTGTGAATAACTGTTGTTGAATTTGATTGCGATCACCGTATTGCACTTTGCGACCACCAACTTCTGCGAAAAGCACTGCATTTCGTTCAGCTCAAATGTTTGTGGTCTTTTCAAATGTGTAACAGCGGACGCAGTTGCAGAGGATAATTCTGTAATGCACTCGCTTTTTTGTTTGCTTGCTGATTTGTATCCCCGACTTAGTCTTTCTCCCTTCGCCTGACCGCACGTATCTCGACTTTCGGGCTCCTTTCCCTTCCTATCTCGTCTCTCGCTTCTTTCGCCTCCTGTATGTCCCCAATACATCTGGTTCCCAATCGCGTCAAACTACGTCTCTCTGTCTCGACCGGTTCTCTTGTGTACCAGAGATCTCAGGTGACTTGCCAGTTCAACCTTGTTGCTCGTCTTTTCTGGACAATCCATATCCAGAACCAAAAGACTGACTTGTTGTACCATTTCTCTCCATCGCCATCCACCGCTTTCAAATCGGTTTATAGTATTACGGCTTGGTACGACTCTAATCCCGTTCAGTAAGCCTTATCTTCCCTCCCGTTTCCTCGCTCTTGATGCACCGTGTTAACATGTCACATCGCTCTTGACGATCTCGCCGTGCGTTTTTACATCTAAGATGATACACGGTGCTACGAGACGCGTTCAGGCTGTAACCCGAATCAGCCCACCTAACCAGAGAGGCTCAGGCTGGTCTATACCACTCTTTCCTACCAGGCTTAACAATCTCACTCATTTTACCATATGTAATCTTGATCTTGCCTGGATTCATATAGACTTCTTCAGAGGACTGGCTTTTCTGCCAATTCATACTTTGAGTCTGAGATTTGCCACCCTTTCAATCAAGCAGTTTTAAAGAGTGTTACAATCATATACTAGACTGCAGCATCTAGCACTTTCATATATCAAAACATCTTCTAAAATATCAAGCATTACTACAAGTACTATATGCAAAAAGCAGCTCAGATCTATTTTAAAATCACTACAGTTGTTAGACTCAGATCTCTTACTATTGCAGTGGTTGTTCAATAGTGGCTATATATCCAATCTTGAACTTCTTCATATCTTTGGTGACCATAGATTTGGAACTGAACATATATCAATAGTCAACCAAATTCTGTCAAGCTCTGGATCCTCATTATCAAAGTGTCACATTTCCTTACATAATAATGCTGAAGATGAGAATTATACTGCATGTCTGTTTTCTGATTTTATCCTGACTTCTGGAATAGCCATTACTTTTCAGCACAATTTATATCTACAGTATCTAAGTTTGGATGCAGGTGAAGAAGTGCTTTCATTTGTATTAGCATCACTTTCATCAGTGAATTCAGATATGCCTATAACCATAAATCTTGATTTTGTATCTGGTAAAAGAGAAATCTCTCAACAACTTGAATCAAGCTTATTAGCTATAGATAAAGCCAATATAGCCTTGTTAGCTTATCTGATGCAGATGAATATGTCAACTGGCTTCAGCAATTTTCCAGACTAGCAAAGAAGGGCCTCTTATATATAGGAGATAAGTATTATTACATTTGTAAGGTAGATAGTATAAATGAAATCTAGATTACAACTGGTACAAGTATAGCTCTCAGTATGAGTCTTAATGTATTAACAGAATTATATAAAATGTATTATAAAGATGCTATAAAATATTATACTTGTAAGAAGCTAGCTATTTGAAGAATGTGCTATAACTCTAATATAAAATACTGTGATAGTCTGATCTCAACTCTGCTCTCTTGCTTTTATCTGAGACTTGTGTTTCATCTATCAATCAGAGGAAAATGATTTCAATTCTAAACAACAAGGCTCTAGTATCCATTTTACTAAGTAAATTCTTGGCAATATGAGTGCCATACTTGATGCATTTGGACATCTGAAGAAGATGAAAACAAAAACATAGCTCAAGGTCAGTCAGTCATTTGCTCTAATAAAACATTGTCACTGAGTTGCTGGATAATATAACTGGCCAGAAAACAATAAAGAGAATATAGAAACTTCATCTCTTATTTTGATGTTTGTAATGCTGAGCATTTTTACAGTTCTTCTGATAAAGGCATCACTTTCAATCTGAACAATGCATGACCTTCAAAATATAGCCTAGATTGAGAGGATTCTTTCTGTTCTTTATCTATACTTCTCTTCATGTCATTGCATTTTCTATGACTCAATAATTTATGTTTCATATTCCTTCTCTTTTGTATCTGCTGTTTGCTAACATTCAATTCTTTCACTATATTTTCTTGGCAGTATTCTGTACCTTGTTATCTTTAACTGGTTAGCTTATAGACAGTGAGTGCAATTTTTAAGACCACAGTCAACATATCCAGATGATTGTTATTCTAGACCAAGAATAGAAGCAATCAGAACAGACTCTTATCCTCAGTGATATAAGATCATGCTCAGGATAGCTAGCAGCTAGACATCCAAGATCCACCTACATTTCTGTACAGTGTAGTAGCCCTCCTTTGTACACTAGTGTTCCTTTATACACCAGTTTGTATGACACAAATGCATAACTACTTCTTCATCATTTCTATTGCAGCATATATGTATACATCTAAGGTTGTCCCATGCAAAGTTTTACATGGATCGGAGAGGGGCTCGTTGAAGGGCGCAGCAATTTGTGCAAAATTGGAGAGCTGAACACTGGGATTCAACTTGAAAATCATTTGTTTATTTGCACATGCCAAGGAAACTACGGGAAATCCCTACCTACAAGAAAGTTCATAACCTAAGGTATATACTCATGTTGTAAACAGGCAATTTGAATAGACGTTGAATGCAGGAGAGTGCAACTCGGTTTTGAGGGCATAGATCCTGTGGAAGTGTGACACACGCGCTGTCACTTTCCGCTATCCATCAGCACACTGTTGAGGGGTCATCACAGCCTGGTCACAGCTGGTCACGGTGTACAAAGGAGCTCTAAATGGATGGTTTGAAGTCGGCGAGACATAGTTGAATAGTACACAAGCACAATATAATGAACTCCTTAGATATGTTATATATAGAGTTTTCAGAACCTGTTTGACCATCTAAGAATAAATTTAATGCAATAAAAGCATATTTGCGGTGTGTAGAGAGAACGCTCAAGTTGGTGTACAAAGGAGCGCTACTACACTGTACCAGTTTTATTCAATGCAATCTCAGCCGGTAATCAAAAAGACTGCACAGAAGAGATAGAATCTTAACCCTCTGCTACGTGTTTTCTGACCTTCTTGTTTTCTTAGTTTCTATCTTAACCCAAACTGTTGAATGAATTCATTGCAGCAGATAGAATACAAGGTATCAGATAAGCGATGCATCTAGACCCATTGCGAATAGTAATCTCTAGCAGCTTTGAGAGCGTCTTCTACTTTCGAGACTTCAACACCGACCCCCTGCGCGCCGTCCTCTTTGCCTCCGGCCTGAGAAAGAAAATGAGTCAGAAAATCAAGTGAGAGAAGAAGATAATTCACTAACCTTGCCACCAACAACCTGGACAACCGCATTAGCCCATTCACGTGCATCGACGCCCTTGGATTTGGCATGGCTCGACACGGCGTTGACATGTGCGACCTTTCCATTCTGTGAGTCGACGCTGAAGACATAGGTGCTCTTGCTAAGCTTCTTCGCCTGAAGAGCAACATTTTGCAGAGCCTGATAGCCTGAATTCAGATAGAACCAAAGATCAACGGAAGATTCCTTCATACCTTGGCATTGCCCTCCACGTCTAAGATGGCAAAGTACGCATCATCGTTCGGATGTTCTTTGAAGAATTGCAGCAGGCCATCCGCAGCCTGAGAAACACGAGTTAATGATTAGACGTCAGATACTTTCTAAAGTGCAATCGTGACATACGGCTTTATTTGCAGCAGCCTCCTTCTCCTTCACCGACTTGTCGAAGGCTTTCCGAGTTGTCGACAAACGATCCTGAAGGTCCTTCTTCTGCAACAGGGATATATCGGCCTGATTAAGTTCCTAAAGAATATTCAATTGAAGTTGTGCGACTATGTAACCATGGATAGCAGAGAACCTACCACCGTGTAAGCCTTCAAAGCCGCATCCTTTTCCTTTCCATCCAGGGTATCGATATAGTCTAACTTAGCCTTCAGGGCCTCACCTACCCGTCTGACTTCTTTCGCCTCGTTACCAGTCACCGCAATAATTCTTCGAATACCCTTGGCAATACCAGATTCTTCTGTGATGACAAAGTCCTTTATTTCACCGGTCTTGGCGACGTGACTGAGGGGAATGAATATGTGAACGATTAGCTACGTAACACTGCCACATGAATATGTTCAACACTTACGTTCCACCACAGAACTCAACACTGGTTTGACGCCACTTGGAGTTCTCGATATCGCGAGCAATATCCTCAACATCGAATTCCAGTGTAACGACACGGACGGGATCAGGATACGACTCCCCGAAGACTGCACGCAGACCGGGGATTTTCTGTGCCACACGAAGATCAAGCTCCTTGCTGTACACGTTGACGTTATGACGAATCCAATCTTGGCTCAGTGATTCAATTTTGATCAAGTCGGGATTAGAGACTTGAGCCTTATGCGAGAAATCAAATCGAAGCTTGGTCGGTGCGACAAGAGATCCTTTTTGATCAATGTGATCACCTAGGATCTCTCTAAGTGCGAAGTTGAGGATGTGTGTAGCAGTATGATTGTTGCGAATAGGCCAACGACGAAGCTGAAGCAAACAGTCAGAGTAATGGTCTACACGAGTAGGAAACACCTCGCCATACCTCATCGTAAGAAGATACAACTTCGTCACCAACTTTCAGGGAACCATACTTCATCTGACCAATATGAAGCACATAGCCGTTGAACACTTGCACATTGGTGACCTCAAATTCTGCTTCCCCATCGATGACGATGCTGCCAGTGTCGTATTCCTGACCTCCAGACTCTGCATAGAAGCTCGAACGATCAAGAAGAATACCGAATGTGACGTCCTCCGGAATTACGGAAGTGGTCTGGAGGAAAGATTTGTTGTGGTATACTGCAACAATCTTGGAGTCGACATTGCCCAGGCCTGCTTCGAGTATCAGTCATTGAGCATGTACTATATTCGTTGCAGGACATACCGTATTTCGCAGAGTCGTCCGTCTTGGGTACAGCAGCGTTCTTCTCGAGAGCGGCGATATCGTGAACATCGAGTTTCACAGCATCCTTAGTATCCTTCTTTTGGACTTTACTTGCCTCCTTCGAAGCTGCCTGAGCCTCCTCGAACTCCTTGTCGTCAAATGTCAATCTAAGTTCGTCAGCCATTAGACGAGTCAAATCGACAGGAAATCCGTAAGTATCGTAGAGTCGCCAGACGTCCTTGCCAGACAAACGATTTCCCTGGTTCTTAGCACGAGACGCGTATTGATCGAACATCTTCTCTCCGCGATCGAGAGTTCGAGCGAACGAGACTTCTTCCTCGTCAAGCAGTTCCTTGACTTCGTCGGGCCGTTTCATCAGCTCTGGGAAGACATCTCCCTATGACAACGAACATTAATCACAGGAAACGCAAAGCTTTGAAAAGAAACAAACCATCTGCTCGATCACGACAGGCATGAGTGAGGAGAAGAAGGAGCCAATGGTGACACCAAGCTTCTTTCTAGCATACCGTGCACCTCGTCGCAGAATTCTTCTCAAGACATACCCACGACCCACGTTATTCGGAACACCACCATCGCTCAATGCAAACGTTAACGTTCGAACATGATCAGCAACAACACGGTACGCGGTGTCGATGCCATCTACATCCTCCTCGCCGAACTTGCCTTCATACGGACGAACACCGGTCAACTCCTGGATGCGAGTGAAGATCGGTGAGAAAACGTCGGTGTCGTAGTTCGAATGCTTCGTTTGAAGAGCGCTGACTAGACGTTCATAACCCATACCAGTATCGACATGTTTAGAGGGAAGGGGTCTGAGAGTACCATCATCTTCTCGGTTGAATTGAATGAAAACGTTGTTCCAGACTTCTACGACAAGAGGGTCATCCTGGTTGACAAGATGTGCAGCTTCTCGACCACCAATGTGATCGTAGTGAATTTCACTAGCATCACAATTTCAGCGAAACGTATCAGAACGAGTGAGAGTTCTGACTCACCTGCACGGTCCACAAGGCCCGGTAGCTCCCATCTCTACTCAACGTGAGCTGGGGAAATTGCCTCCGAGAGGGTGAGTCACGTACCCCAGAAGTTGTCCTTCAGGCTTCCTGGCAAGACGTGACTCTCAGGGACACCCTGATCAATCCAAAGTTGTTTGGCCTCCAAGTCAGGCTCAAGACCAGTTTGAGGATCTCCACCGAAGTATGACACATAAAGTTGGTCCTTCGGTAGTCCATAAACTTCGGTCAAGAGCTCCCACGAGTAGGTGATAGCTTCTTTCTAGCAAACAAAGAATATGAGTTCAGAACAAAATGCACAACATGGTGCAACGTACCTTGAAGTAGTCACCAAATGACCAGTTTCCGAGCATCTCGAAAAATGTGTGGTGATATGAGTCCTTCCCGACATCTTCGAGATCTAAGCACGCGACCACTTAGCACCATCGTCTGGTGAATCTTAACATGAACTTACCATTGTGCTTTCCACCCGCACGTATACACTTCTGACTGTTGAATGCACGTTTAACCTTGGAAAGGTCGGAATGGGGATCGACGGTTCCCAAGAAAATCGATTTGAACTACGATCACTTGTCAATTGGGTTCATCCATTTAACCGCCACATCACTCACCTGGTTCATACCAGCATTGGCGAAAAGAAGCGTAGGGTCCTCATACGGGATAGTCGAACTCGAAGGTACGAAGGTGTGTCCTTTCGATCTGAAGTATTCAAAGAATGTCTCCCGTACTTTCTTCGCGGGCCAAGCGGTGGAGGAGCTATGATCGGCCATGGTGTGTTTTAGGCGGACTCGTAGGGCAGAGGACCAGTAGTTGACTCTAGTACTGGTAGGGGTATGAAGGGAAGTGACTCGGATGGATAATCTCATCCAAGTTGACTCTTATCCAAGTCACATCGCGTTGCTTTTTGCAGAATAGAAACGGAATGCAGAGAAAAGCAAGATAAGATAAGATCTTCGGCAACGCTACCCGATCTTCTCGCGTAGGCAAAGTCCAGATGTCGCAGGTTCGATACAATTAGACATACTTAATCTATATCTAAGTAATCTAGTAATGCAAACGGGTATAAGATCGTCTGTCATAAATGCAGCCCGAATAATAGTAGTGGTGGTCTTTGGCCATGAACGCCGACTCGGACTCGAGAAAATGTAACTACTGTGCTCTATTCGCACAGCTGAAAGGTCCTGGGAAGCCGCCATTCTTATATCCTACAGATTCCATAATTTTCAGTCCAAGTTCGGACAGAAAGCAAGGTGTCTGTGTTGTAAATTGGGCGCTTCGGCGACTCATGGAGATTAGCGGTCGGAGCATGAACCTTACGTAGATCGTAGCATACACGAATCCGTAGCATACTTGTTTTCTTTATGCATTTGCAACAAGACTACCGTTACCTGTCTTAAGCCAAACGTACTTTGTCGTTCATCCTCCGGGCTCCCTGCTGGTCGATTTTCATCACAAACGCATCGCCCGCTTGTAGGCTATACAAGCTGCCCGGTGGATTCCTTTCCTTCATTCGGTCACTCATTCCCACACATCGCTTCTCATGTCTACCAACATCAATTCGCTCATCGCCTCGATCATCAAACTCAATGGGTCGAACTACTATGATTGGAAGTTCGCCATGCAGATGATTCTCCGTCGCGCCGGCTGCTGGCACGTTGTTAGCGGCAAACTCTTACGTCCAGATGATGACCCTAAGAAGGCTGCGATCTGGGATTTGCTATCTGAGGATGGTCTCACTGCGATCGGGCTTGCTGTGGAGCAGAGCGAGACGGCGCACATTCGTGAGTGCAACACTGGTCCTGGAGCCTGGAAGGCTCTTGCCGCTATTTACGAGCGGAATGGTCGCGCTACGCGCATCATGCTCAAGCGTCAGTTCTACATGTTCTCCCATGAGATTGAGAACCCCATCATCGAGTATGTCACTGGTATCACCACCATCGTCAGCAAACTCAAGGCCATTGGCGTCACCATTGAGGATGAAGATGTCACCGATGTCCTTATCTACGCCCTCGCACCTGAGTACACTGCTGTTGCGACTTCCCTCATGCAATCGACTTCTTCCCCTTCCATTGCCGACATCACTGCTAGCCTCATTGAGGCTGAGGAGCAGATGAAGAAGCTCACCCCCGAAGGTGCCCTTGGTGCTCTGAATGTCAGCACACGTAAGCCCAAGTATTCCACCAATAATCGTGGTTCCTCTCCCAAGTGCCATCGTTGCTTGAAACTCGGTCACATTGCTCGTTATTGTCGTGCTTCAGCTCCAGTCGAGGACACTGCTTTGGAGGATGATGTTCATGCGAAGATGGCCTTCACGGACCCTCATTACCCTGGACTTCAGTTGTTCTAGACAACTATCGCTCGACTGCAGGATTCAGATCATGCCGACGTGGCAAGTAGGAGTTTGGCAGAACTCATTGTTGGGTCACTTACTCGGAGGGTCAGTCGCTGGAAGATGCTGGATATGTAGGTTGTGGATAGGTTGATTTTTGTTGTTTGTTGTGTTATCTCATTCAGTGGGTGACTTTGTTATTCGTCGCCTTTAGCGAGTGGGTGTGTTGTAAATTGGGCGCTTCGGCGACTCATGGAGATTAGCGGTCGGAGCATGAACCTTACGTAGATCGTAGCATACACGAATCCGTAGCATACTTGTTTTCTTTATGCGTTTGCAACAAGACTACCGTTACCTGTCTTAAGCCAAACGTACTTTGTCGTTCATCCTCCGGGCTCCCTGCTGGTCGATTTTCATCAGTCTGGACATACCATCAATAATGCTAATGATACTTGCATAAAGACCCCCAACCATGATGAAGGCAGCCATCTACAGCACAATCCCGCCAATAAGTAAACAGATGCAGGTCATGAGGCGAGAGGTTTGTATACGAAGATGGTGAAGCCCCAAAATAATGTCTTGAACTTCTGTTTTGTCGTCATCCAGTATTCTGATCGCGGCGTAAGATGGAACCAGAACATGCCCTGTAAACTGCACTAAGTGTATGCTTGCATGAAACTGTTTGATGCATACTTACAGAAATACCGTAGGTGAACCAACTAGTGAATAAAGCACTGATGATGCCCAATAAACCATTGAAAAAAGGAATTCTGTTTGATGTAAAGTCAAGTACACAATGGGTCAAAGGATGAAGAAGAAGACTCACACTTCGGCGATCAGAAAGGCTAATAACCAGATGGCGAGGCAGATTCCGGTCCAAGTCGCCCAACCGATGAGTGAATTTGAAGTCATGTGTCTCGATGTTGCGCCATTGCGGCAGAAGCTGAATGAAAATAAGGGAAGTATTAGCATTTCCTCGATATGGTGTACTTCAAAAGCCTCACATCCTGATGAAGACTAATTTTGCACAAACATGGCCATTGACAACTCCCGCAATAATGATGGTCGGTAAAGCGACACCATATGCAACCCTACGCAAAGTTACACTGGTATTGCCGAGAGTGGGGGAAACTGCTGTAGATCCAATGAATGCATATACGATGACACCAACGATGAGGTACAGGGTTGTGTCAGCAATCTGTAGGAAATAAAGAGCTTTCAGAAAGTCTTCCGGGTTCTTCATCTCTGCGATGAAAGTGAAGAAGGTGACATGTCCCGCGTAGGCAAACACCTGAGATTAGGGAGCAAGTGAACTCCTCTATTGGGTGTACACCTACAGAGATAGTGCGACATACGATATTGGTGACGGCGAGGAAGCCTCTTGCGAATGATAAGTTGGATGTAATGGTGACAGTTCCCTGATGGCTGACGACACCTACACTGATCATAGTAATGAAGACGGCAGCTGGTCGAAAGATGAGCTTCACTTCTTGAAGAGATCTCGCTTAGCACATACCGAGGATTGACACGAACGAGACAATGCTCATGTGCGAGATGCCATTTAGTGTACGTGGAACAGTACACATGAGGCAAATAATGGTGGATATGGCTGCCCACAATACCGAACATGAGGCCCCAGCAGTAACTATACAGAAGTAAGATGAGTGAATGCGAACAAGGCAGAATACTTACTGGTATCAAATGCGATCATGCCCGTGAGTACATGGCTTCCACAAATGAACATGAGAAAGATGACTTGAGCGGCACCGAGGACTTCTCTGCCAATAGGCCCTGCAAGAATTTCCCCAGCATCGGCCATGTTATGAACATGTGGATATCGAATCTTGAAATTGCCAATGATATAGCCTGTAGCGGTAGCAATAGCACCAAGACCCTTAAAAAATGCCTTCAATGAGCACAGGCAGTATGCAGTGTCTAAATAGTGCTTACAATCATGAGAATGCAGCCGGCAACCATACCCAGGCTAGCAAAGGCAGATGGAATGGAAAGTATCTGATAGGTGTCAACTCAGTAACTTCTATGTATTCTGAACGACGACGATGTACTCCGAGCGAGACAGTCTCAGCCAACATAAGAGCGGCCGCTTTCCACCAAACCATTGTCCTGTACTTAACTACAAAAAAAAAAACCGGTGAATATAAAACCAGCTACCAATGAAACACGCAACATACTGTCCCCCTCTTGCTCATCTCCATACACATCGAACTCCTTTGTGGTCGCCTTCCCATTCACTGCATCAGGATCACTGGTGTCAGACTTCTCATTATTCACAGTGTCATTGATGGCAGTAATATCACTGGTATGATCAGAAACAAAAGTCCATCTGTCGCCTTGTGGCAATAGTCATGAACTTGTATCTTCGGATGCTCGGGGAGAGGCTGCCATTCCGCCTGAACCGGGGTCCTCAGATACTATTGTATATGGTTATGAAACAGGCAAGGATTCATAAAAGTAGTAAAAGGGAAAAGAATATGGGGGTGCAGAGAGGTGAGGTACATTTTATGCGTTGCTGACTGGTACGTCGTAGTGGAATCCTTTCAAGCACTCCACTCGCCAGCCGCCAATGTTCTCAGTTGCTAAATTTAGTCCTTCGGCAGTTCCCGTTCCCTTTTCCGAGATAAACGGACACCAGATATACAAAGTGCATGCACCTATGGTGCAAAACACCTAGTCACCGCTACTTTCGGACAGTGGCCAACTTGGGGTCACGACCAAAACAATTGATATTTCATGTCCAGCATCGGCGCGACATAGTCGCGCGAGCTCCTGAAGCTTTAAATATGCATTTTCCTCACTGGAAAAGGTCCGCAGCGTAGTCCAAGAGTATGTTCTCGGAGACTCTTGTGGGCGCTAAACATACCAAATAAGGTAAGTGGCCAAATTCTCACGAGCCCTGGGAATAACTTCTGTAGTTTTGAGAATTTCGACAAACCCTCTGACGAATCGATTCCTGTTGCAAAAAGGAGTGTTTCTGCAAGAGGAATAAAAAATCTGGCGCTTTGTGTGAGCGCTGTTTCCGCCGTACAAAAGTAGCGGTGAGTAGGTGTTTTGCACCATACTCCTTCCGTATGGTCAAAGTTGTTTATATCACTCGAGTGCAGTCTTGAGTCGGTAATTATACACGAAGGCAACAACATGAGCTGAGTCAATACAGTTGGAAGTACGGCGTGGAGCACGATTGGTCATTATCTGATTCTAAGCAGTCTACTGATACAAAGTCTAAGATATTGTCTGTCGTAAATGTAGCATTGATGCCGAGAGCAATATTTTCTTTTGGTCGTTATTCATGAACACCCATTCAATCGTACGAACTCAATAGAAGGTTATACCAATGCACTACTTGTGCAACTGAAGGGCCCTTTGAAGCCTCCAGTCTTGTATCCTGCGTGGTTTTTGAGTATACGAGCGCATAGGAGGTAAAGAGTCCGGACTTACCATCAATAATGCTAGCCACACTTGCGTAGAAACCCGCAACCATGACGAATGCGCAAAACTACGGCACAACCCAACTAGTCAGCGATCGCAAAATGTGGCGGAGAACATGGACATAGTACAAGGATGACGAAACCCCAGAACAAGGCTTTCAGCTTCTGCTTAGTCGAAGACCAGTATTCTGATCTTGGTGTAAGGTAAAACCAGAAGATGCCCTGTGAGGTCGATGAGTATGTACGACAATGAAGGTGCCTCAGGCAGACCTACAGAAATACCGTAGGTGAACCAAGTCGCAAACATCGAACTGATTATTCCCAACAGGCCGTTGAAAAATGGGATTCTATTCATGTGAGATTAGCCATATGCCATGTCTGAGGCTGAAGGACGGAACTTACACTTCAGCAATCACGAAAGCTAGCACCCAGATAGCGACGCAAATGCCAACCCAAGTCGCCCAACCGATGAGTGAATTTGAAGTCATGTGCTTTGACTTTACGCCATCACGACGGAAGCTGGGCGAAAGACATGGATCAGACATGTCCTCATAGATTGGGGACCTCAAAGAATTACATCCTAATGAAGACCATCTTCGCACAAACATGGCCGTTGATGACACCGGCAATGATGATGGTCGGCATTGCGATGCCATACGCGATCTTACGAAGTGTTAAGCCAGTATTGCCAAGAGCAGGGGAAACGGCGGTTGATCCCACGTAGGCGTATACAACGACACCAACGACGAGGTACAGAGTTGTGTCAGCAATTTGTAGAACGTAGAGAGCTTTCGGGAAGTCTTCTGGCACCTTCATCTCTGCGATGAATGTGAAGAATGCAACATGTCCCGCGTAGGCAAAAATCTGGAATAGCGAGCAAGTGAGCTCTTATGGAGTAGAACGATGTTGTAATGTGACGTGCTATATTGGTGAAGGCGAGGAATCCATTCGCGAATGACAGGTTTGGCGCGACGGTGACGCTAATATTTCCTGTATGACCAGTGACACCCACACCGATCATGGTAATGAAGACAGCAGCTAATCGACAGGCATGAGCATTGTCTTTCTGGAACACCAACTGAACACCTACCAAGGATTGACACGAACGATATAACACTCATGTGCGACATACCATTCAGTGTACGTGGAAGAGTGCACACAAGCGAGACGATAGCGCATATGGCTGCCCACAGCACAGAACAGGACGCTCCCGCAGTAACTAAGCGCAAGTGAGACGAAGGAACATGTACTGAAAAAGGTATGGATGAGTTACAGGTATCAAATGCGATCTTGCCCGTAAGCACATGACTTGCGCAGATGAATACCATAAAGACAACTTGAGCAGCACCGAGGAATTCTCTGCCAATAGGGCCAGCAAGGATTTCACCGGCGTCGGCCATGTTATGAACATGTGGATATCGCAACTTGAATTTGCCGATGACGTATCCAGAAGCAGTTGCGGCTGCACCAAGAGTCTAGGGAATATCAGATTAGCAGGGGCCAGCGTGATACAGAGGAGAGAGAACCCGTACGAGAACGAGAATACAGCCTCCAACTATACCAAGGGTGGCGAATACGGATGGAAGTGAAAGAATCTGACAATTAGACACTCAGTAATAGGTCTCCTACGATCAATGGAAGACCCCACTCCAAGTGAGACCGTCTCCGCTAACATAAGAGCAGCGGCTTTCCACCAAACCATTGTCCTGTATTGGACTGCACGAGGTGAGTATTAGCATCTATTATAAAATAGGCGCAACGTACTGTCTGCAGCTTCTTCATCTCCATACACATCAAACTCATGTGTAACATGACGCGTTATTGTCTTTCCGTCAACATCAACGTCGTGTTTCTTCTCGTTAAGTGCTCTTCCGAAGGCTGCGGTGACATCACTGTTTTTATCAGAGCAATTTACCCTTACGTCCGTTTGTGAGAGCCGTGAAGTGTCTTGAGATGGCCGAGGACTGGACATTTTGCTCAGGTTATTTTGGGAACCTCCTTCAAGAAATCGACTAGAAGGGGATGCTGTATGCCAGGAGTCCAGGGGACGTGAAGACCATGCAAGAGAAGATATATGGATGCAGAAAAGCAGGCCATATTTTGCACTCGGCCGAAGGTCGCATACGTTGCATCGTTGTCGAAACTTTTCCCGCTTTTTTTCCTCAACTGGCCACAAACTTCCTGAACTGCTGAACGTAGTACCCCGGCAAATCCCGAGGTAAGCGGAAAAGAACAACTTGACGCCACAAAGCTCACCAACTCCTTACATGATCTCCTTGCTTTAGTTACTGACTAGTACTCGCTATGTCAGATCGTTTATACCTTTCGTTGCACTTGCAAAACGGACAGCAAGACGCTCTGCGTTGTCCAATGGTATTTCGAGACAGCTCCAGCGAGTTCCATGCCTTGGTCCGAGTCGTTCTTGAACAATAACCCGGGGCCCACGTAACAGCCTGAGCTTCGTGCCGCTTCACCGGGCACCTTCATAGTTGCATCGCCTGTCTCACCATGTGCTTCACTGGAGCCACGAAACTCGTTTCTGTTACCGGGCTTAGTGCACCGTCTTATCATCATCTTTGTGACCATGCATCCTTGTCTGTTGATCAAGAAGCTTTGATTTTCTGGGCGTTCAACAAGAATAGCGAACAATTTCGCTCGCCCTTGAAACAGGACAAGGAAAATTGGGTGCCTTATATTCTCATCCTTGCTGGTGGTCAGCTACGGTTACACGTCGAAGTCGATTGGATATGCATATGAAGGGTTCGTTCGAATTGTCATGATAATCAGGCTGAGCAGCATTTTGCACTAGTAAGTGATCTACTGCCTAGCTGCGATCATCGTCTCACACAATGCTATACATTCGCTAGCTTCCGTCTTTTCAAACCTTGTACCAAAGAACTGTTCCATGAAAGCACAATTGACGGTTCACAGATGCTTGGAAGTCGCGTGAGTTTCCGCGATACCATTCACCAACCTTACACTGTGAGAATGTTGTCTGGTTACAAAGAACCCAGAAGAAATGGACGGTATGTCTTCCGGATGACCTCATTCAATCCATGGGGTGAGAAAAGAATGGCTTGAAGAGGAGAAATCGGAAAAGTACGAAGACACGCAAAAGGTATTGGAAGTTTTCCTGACCTAAATACGTTTGTTTGACGTTTTCAACCGAAACAAAAAGGAATCGTGCTTTCTGTCTTCTGGTTGTTCATCAACTTGTATCCTGCAACTGCGGGGATTGATTCCCCCTGTAGAGCGATCTGCGTAGAGCTAAGTTTGATGTGTCATCCTAGAAGGCATTCATGTAACATATCAGGCATGGAAGGGTTTGCGATCTGCGACGGAAGTTTTCAATCCCTTAAGTACGCATGCTTCTTGCCCTGGCTGTGACTTGTAATAGTCATACCTTCTCACATAAGTGTCCGCCATCTGCCAACACTCCAGTTTGTAGAGCCAGCTCTCCTTGCCGGGCGTTGTCGCCTTAGTCTGCACCAAACGTCATGTCGGTTTACTATGGGCCTAACGAAGATGAAAACACTATTCTTCTTGAGCGAAACTTCCTTGCCGGGGATATCGTCTGTGGTACAGGCTATGGTGCGTCAGTATCCTAATCGGAACGATATATTCACTGACTCACTAACCGCTACAGGTATTCAGATAGTGCTTTATGTCTCCTGCGCACTCTACCTGTGGAACACGAGGAAGGAGCGCAAGAATGCTCTCTACCTCCTCGCCTATATCACAACTCTTATTGCTATTGAGACCATATTCATCATTGTCCAGGCTAGGACGGTGCAGGTCTTGTATGTCGATAACAGGAACTACCCTGGCGGACCTTGGGCATATTTCCTGGCGACTCAGAATTTGGCCATCAACGTTTTATTCTATGCAACGCTCTTTGTGCTCACATTCTTGTCCGACTGTCTCGTTGTGAGTACATTCCGCCTCATTGTCATTGGAATATTTGCTGATATGTTGCTTATCACTTAGCTTTGGCGATGCTGGGTCATCTGGGCTTCCGCGGGTCGAAAGCTGTACGCTTATTTAGTCAGCGCTTTCCCAGCCTGTATCTTATTGGCCTCGTTCGGTGAGTTTCTTTGGACATTCATGGTAGATGATCTGACCTTATCTCGCCAGTGATGGGAACCCTTTGGACGCTCCAATCAAGTCAACCCGGACTCTCGTTCTACAGCGCCCTGCCACTTGCATATGGAACGTCGTACTACTCCATCTCGCTCGGATTGAACATCATTCTAACCATACTCATTGTCACCCGTCTCATCCTCTACCGTCGTCATATCATGAAGAGTCTTCCGGCTCAATATGGTGCCCACTACGTTTCGCTCGCTACCATCATCGTCGAATCTGCCGCTTTATATTCAGTCTTTGCTATTTTATTCCTTATTACCTACGCTGCCGATAACCCAACAAATCAAGTATTGCTTGCTTTCGCTTCTGCAGCGCAGGTTTGTGTTTCACCTGCTCTCTGCGAAACCTCGAATACTCATCTTACTTTATAGCAAATCTCGTCCTACCTCATCATATACCGCCTCGCGGAAGGTCGTGCATGGGGTACCAGAACCCTATCGGAGCAAACTCTGACCGCTATGGATTTCAAACCTCGCAGTACCCCTCGGAATGGTACCACTCAAACAGACCATCTTGAGTTAGGGACGTCAAGTTCGGCGTTAAACTCTTCACGGTCGAGGGAAAGCAAGATCTTCAACATACACTCGGACTAGATTAGTAAGTCTCTTAAGTAATGGTAATCTGACTCTTCTTTCTCGTGAGCGAAAGGATAGAAGGGAAAGGACTATATTTTTCAACTGTTCCTTATTTTGGACATTATTATTACATATACAGTCTAGTTGCACTGCAATGAGACCGTCAGATTTCAGGGTGCTATTCTACTTGTGTCAATGATCATATGACGATGATCATTCAACAGCGACAACCTGGTAACACGCACGTCTCTCATCCACCTTCAGTTCGGCCCAAGGCACCGTATACCGAGTCAACTGAAGGCTTGCGTGCACATCCCGAATAGAACAGACGGCTCCACCTATCGTATGAGCTCCTTCCGAGGTGCATACTGAAGATTACTACCGACAGGATGATCATTGGCATGACTATCACAAGGAATGCTTTCGGTTGGTTCACAGTCGCGTCATGAATGAATTGACGACTCCATCGGAGCCTTGTCGGGGAATGTGCTAAGTTCGTTGAGTTGCTTCCGCTTTGTACAACTTGTTCACTCGAAAATGTGGCTCTAGGGTCATCTTCGGTCTTGAATTCACATAAGTACATGCGGATATAGTCGGGCCATTTTACAGCTGACTGCCACTATGCAGAATGGAGACATCCTGTCTCAGCCGCTCTAGTCGGGACTCGGAGACGATGCGGGTTGAGAATGTATACTCGGAAACGTCCAAGCACCGATCTTCGTCCGCTTTGCACCCTTGAACACCACTCGCCTGCAATAGACAGCATGGTGATTAGGAGTAACCTGAGAAAACCTGCACCACTTCTCGTCTATACTGGATCGTCAATGATTTCACAATAAACTTGTGGTGGTCAATGATACGATTAGTGGAGTATGATGTAAACATAGTCATACCGTTCCTACTTTCGCTTATTGCTAATTTAGCGACTTCATTGCAAAAGCATGTCAGTATCTACGGTGGTCGGAGCGTACGGTCCTATTCGCCTAGAGCTTTGCTACTGAAGGTAATCGCTCCAGGATGACCATGCACATCAAAATGCTGCACGTCATCTAATCGCTGGGCCACCTCATTGCGTCGTCGTATAGTGAATGGCTCCATACTCCCGGGTCAGTAGTTACCGATTTCAGATTGGCCGTGCACTCGGGTCTCGGCCTGCATTCGAAATTCGAGGCAGCCCAGCATCATATCGTGCTGAAGGCTTGTATCAATGTCGATCCTCTTATGCGATTAGATTACAGCAAGAGTATGATGTGCGTGTTTAACATACTGCAACAAAAACCCCTGTCTTCGATCGTGTTCCAATGCGAGGTAGCCATCGTTTTCTTGGTTACGGTATGAAGTTGGGTCAGTCGGTGGAGTTGTACTTGCTGAAGCGAAATGAAGAAGTATCCCCAGGCGGTTTGTGTCTGCCAGTCATCATGTTGCATAGGCATCCGTTCCGGGCTGGTGTGGCAGATTCCAGACAAGACTCCGGCGCGAAGAAAAGGAGGCGTCGCGTACTAGATCTTATCATGCAAGTGACCTGCCATCCAGAGCATTGGGGTTCAGGGTATGTGCACGATAAGACAAGGCTTTGGTCTGCGCCAGTGCATCCGAGAGCTGGAGTCTAGGCATAAACGATAATGGCCTGGTTGCGCGCAAAGAGCGGCCGTTGAACACCTAAAAGAATGCCACGCCATATGCGTACATATTGATACATTGCTTGAGAAGTACACCATTGATCAGCTCGCTTAAATGAAATGAAACAAGAACTGAAGTACCGGGTACGGGTTGTATGTCCTCTGGAACAAGCCGTACTGTAGTCAGGGGTTCAAGTTTAGTATCGTAAGCCTTTGTATAAACCTGTCCCAAATCGGAACAGTAGGATGCATTGTGTTAGATGACCATACGCAGGTGTACCTCCTGGCACCAACGTGTAACTTGGGTTGAAAACTGAAAGTCTGATATACCGATAACGTTTGTAGCTTGTGCCGTTCACTTGCACGGAAAGGCCGCTCGACAACAAACACGCAGTGTCTAAACTGCTGGTAGGGAGGCAAATACAAGCTGGAGACAAGGAATGCTGTTGGCAAAATGTGAAAGTGAGCTACGATATTCAGACCTAGTATATAACCATAGAAACTTACCGGCCACCCCGATAGACAGACTGCGGATCCGAAGGCATGTTTTAAATTGCCAATCCATTCAGGCGTCGTCAGTTGCCGTCTCGAAGAGGCGCGAGAGAAATACTCTGTCCTAGAATCACATCTCGCAGTTGTCATCGTCACCCGTGTGTGCACCATAGAAAACAATTGGAAATGTCATCGTTTCATCTTGCATATCCGTTCCGGCAACCTTACGATCTCGCTGCCTCGCGTTTCTGGGATATGAGATGGGTGGCACTGCTGCCTGAGAATACGATCGGAAAAGTAAGGCCTACGACGATCTATCAGTATATGCATTGTGAATTATCGATAGATAGGATATATGAGATACACCACTCACAGCGCAGTCAATTCCTATGATGATCCACCAATACGCCTTCTCTCTCGAAAGTCCAAGAACGGAAAACACGCACGAACCGACTAGGCCACCAGACGATCTCCAGGAGATATAGATCTAACATGAATCGATCCATGAATGATCAGTAAGCGGTACAGTCACAATTGACACCATATTACGGTACAAAAAGCCTGATTGTCGTATCTCCCTTACCGATCCCAATGGATTGCTAGCCGATTTCGATGAATCGTATCTTCCCAGTCATACCTACACCTTGGTCCGAGCCGTACCCACATTGTATGTGAATATGACTCTATAGAAGGTGTAGCCATGCATTTAGTGTGTTGTCGGATCCTAGGATTCGAACGATAGGCTATAGGTTATCGATCATAGGTCTTTGTCTTCCAGAGGCATATGTTAAGGGTTCAGCTCCAAGTAGAAGTAGTGAAAGGAGCTACTTGCTACTTACTAGATACGTCCGATCTTGGAGAGATTACAACTTGAGGTAAAGCTAAACGCTTGAACGCGCCAAGGTCCACTTCTTCCTGCATACCTCCGGAAAATGAGCGTCAGTGAGGGGAACTCCCGAAGTTTTGTCGAATTGTTACTTATAAGCCATGGGGCCATCCATCCAACCTTCTTGAAGCTACAGGCGTCTCCTTTATCGGATCTGGACAAACGCGGTCACGACACTATGCTAGTTGGGGATTGGAAGTCAAGATAAACCCAAGCTCCCATGGATGAGTGAGATACATACGTATGCACGTATGCACGTATGGAGCAAAGAATGAAAAGTTGCTAGAAAACCCACACGAGCGCGAGAAGTCTCCGAGTATCGCGCAACCAAATGCCACTCATCTTCAAATCCTCTAGCAAGGAAAACACCCGAGCAGTGGTTACATCCTGCGAATGCTTGAACCTCGGCTATAGCTATACCCGATGTATTGCACCGAAATGAAAAAGGACTCCATGAGGGTTGGGGTTACATAGAAAATCGCAAGCCCTCCGATGGGAGATCAGCCGCCCAAGAATAGAGATTGGCTTTTCCATGATTACGCAGGTGACCATTCAAGCCCTTGGTCAGATTAGAGATGTGTCTTCGGAGCGGGCCCATGATGACATATAACGCCCGAGCATGAAGTAATATTGAATATCGAGCCACCGAGAAGAAAGTTCGAAATAGAACATTAGGCTTACTGTAGTAGCTGAGATTTTGACACATTCAAGGGTGTACCTCGATCTATCATCTGTTTTGTCCGATTGAACACGGGGTATTGAGCCATTGCGGGAGAAGTTGGACGAGTTGCCTAAGGGAGCAATACGTTCAGTAGCGTTTGCCGTCTCTTGTGACCTTTTTCTGAGTGAGGCGTGGGAGTGGTATTGTCGAAGATGGGTGTACTGGGCTTGGCCTAGGCGCTTGGAATTCGTATGTTCTACATTGCAACTTTGCTCTATAATTGGAAGTTATCATTGCTGTGAGGGTTCGAGAGTCCACTAGATCAGAATACAGAATACTACAGAATCGTTCAAGACATACCTAGCCTTGACCATGCTCTGTCCTAGGGATTCATAGGGGATATCGAGTCAGTCGAGTCAGTTTAAGGCTGGACTTGAGAAAAGTGAACCTTGTATGGGTATAGAAGCAAATGAACCATTCAGCACAGCAATCCGCTGCAAAGCACATACCTTCCATGCACTCAAAAAAGAACGAACAAACGAAAGTTCACCCATTCTCGAGTCAATGCATAAGACTCCTTTCCAGATTTCCAAAGATTTCCAAACTTCCAGGCAATCCTCCGAGCATAAGCGATCAGCAATCATAGATACGAGAAACCCTGGGAGACGCGGTCGGTTGAATCCAAGGGGCGACTCTTCCATAGTCATATTTACCGCATATAGGCGCGTCACTCGTCTTAATTATAAACTTGAGCGTTCAAAGAAAGCTTCCAATCCAATCCGGCGCCTCCCAGTAGAACGAATCGAAAGCCTGGAAATGATCAAGGAATCATTGAAGATGATTAGGCTCTAGGGGCCAGCGTGTGTGTGCCCCTGGACGTGCAGGAAACTGAACGCATCTGTCAATTGTGAGGAGAGTTTGTGCTTTGATAGACAGATTTAGTTCTATTCTGAACATGACATACCTGCTTGGTTCCATGTGGCATGGCACACGCGATTTCTAGTGGAAAACTGTATGTTTGTGGCACGGAATAGGCCTAGGAGCAGTTGTATGTGGTGGTGAGACCATCATGATCATTGACAGGAGGAACACGAGGAAAAGTGGAACATAGCGGGTTCTGCACGTTTCTCGATTGTCTCTTGGTGTGTGTGTTTTCTTGACAGCCTTCTTGTTCTACCTGTGCACCTATGCTTCGTCACACGTGTTCTGAGCAAGCCAGACTACGAAACAACGAGACCGAGCAGAAGGATTCAGACATGGCGCGACGAACGCATGGTGCATCCAATACATCCAATAGCAAACCTAACCTAGATCTAGAGACGATGTCTTAACTTTGAGTCAGCATGCCAAAGCAAAACCCGGAGTCATGAACAAGCAGAAGCATACCATCGAACATACCATCGAAGGACCTCAAAGGGACCAACGCTTCTTGTCATTGAGTTTGAGTTCTCCAAGCACCTCCTTAAGGTTAAGTATAACGGCTGAGTAAGGAGCTCGAGAGTAGTGACTGAGTACTGAGTCAGGGTCAGATTCATAATGATCAACGAACCCCATGGGTAGGGTACTTCTTAGCATCATAACTCCGAGGCAGCCTGAGATCTTAAACCAATCTCCTAAATTAGCCGGACCCCCCCAACGACCATGTGCACAAGATACAGTAGAAACCGCTGCGAACTCAGTTAGTGAGCGCGTTTGTCATCGTACGACTGAAATTGTAATAGACTAGTCTTAAGCTTCTATACGGGCTATAAAAGGGGGTTGCTCACTAAGAGACCGGTCTAAGCTTGAACAAGGCGCCGTCCGATCGAAGTCCGATCGAATCAGAGTTTATTGCGGACTCAATCTTGCGATTGCGAACCGGATCGCGATGAGTCGAAGCGATGGTATTATTGGCCAGAACGGTGGGGTACGGGAGCAAATCGCAAGGTGCTCATTGTAGCAGCTGTAGCTCATTGTATATGCGCCGTGTACATATTGCATGTGGTCTTAATTGAACTGTAGCTGTAAGAGAGCATATCGAAGCTTTGAGGCCTGGAAAACGTGAGTGTTCAGGACCGAGCCTATGTCATTGTTTGATCTAAAATGAAGAACAGGCGAGAAACAACGTTGTTCGTGCAGTATCGGTATTCTGCGCGTTTGTAGTAGCTATGAGATCATTATGAGGCGTGTAGAATAGCGCGGTGAGAAGTAAAGTTAGCTCACACCTATTGAGGCCGTAGACGGAAGACAGCGGAGATGGACTTCATATGTTCTCTCACCTTCAGTTATGAAGACATTATGATAGTGTGAAGCCCACGGCCCAAGAGCCATGGTGTGAAGTGTCCGGTAAAGTACTTATGGCGAAGAGAAGGTGAATAAAATAATCCCGTGTCTCGCTTGCTCGTCCTCAGCCGAACCGAAAACGCAACGGTAAACGGTAAACGCTCCGAGACATAAATTTGTGGGCCATGCAGAGATGGAACACGATCGGAATCATTCCCGCAGAAAATGACAGAGATCAAAGGATTGAAGCAAAAACAGTTGAAGAGCTTGTGTGTCCATGCATGGACGTGTACTAGCCGAAAAGCATGGCAGATAAATCACATAGATTGGCATCAGAACTCATAATGGAATCACAAACGAAAATTGAGCCAGGTAGAGTGGATGTATGCATGAACAGTTGTGCAGGTGGACATTGCTGAAAAGGGTAGTAGTAAATGAGAGCAATCGGTAGGATCGGCAGCAATCGAAGCAATCGGCCGAGCACAAGGCGAGACAAGGGGAGATCGATGTGCTGTTGTTGCCTGCAGGCGTTGTTGATCAAATGGGTGAGCAGGAGTTGGGAGAATAGGCTTGTGGACAGACGAGCGGTACGATGGCAGCGGCAGGAGGAAGAGCTTCGGTGAACGCCAGCCTTGGGTGGAAGATACTCACGGACGGAAGGGGAAATGGGATTCCGAATTGCGGGTAGAAACGGTTGGAGGAGGCCATGGGATCCGCAGTGTTTGTGGAATTAGAGATGGGAGGAGGACTGGCAAAGGAAAGGGACGAGCTGGTCATGAGAACGGCGCAAAGGAGGAATATTGGAGGACACGCCGCAGGGGTGAGTATCTGTAGAAGACAAGCAGGAGGACTGAGCGCAGCATGAGCCGGCGAGTGGACCGAGATGGCAACGGGGTGTGGTTAGGGTTTGAAGTTCGAAATGTTCGGGCGGCTGGGGGTTACGCGGAGGCTTACGAGAGCGGTGGAAGGATCGGGAGTGGGGAGCTGCCATATTGGGATGGCGTCTAAAGAGCCCATCCGCGGTGGCATGGTGGTGGGTTCCTTGCGGAAGGAGAGTAGAAGAGAGCCGCGGTGAGGGTAGATAAAGAGCCATTAGCTACCCTTTGGCACGCCCCATCCCGCGATTATCCCCAAATCCCTGCTGCCCTTCGCTCTACGGTCCGTGTCAGCTGCAATCCCTGGCTAGCGTTCTCTACGCCCTTCTTCACCCTGCTGCCCTCCATTTATCCGCATCTCCCCTTATCACACTCACAGGCTGACGCTTTCCCCTCCCAGATCCCGATCAGCCCACATCTCTCTGTCTTGCCGTATATAGTCCTGTATGCACAACTCCTCCAATCCCTCCTCCTCCTCCCCAGCTATGCCTACCATGTACGACCGCAGTTCCCCTGCCTCACAGCACTCCTCTCTCCACTCCGCTCACAGAGCAAAGCGGCGCCACAGTCACCGCTCTCACTCGCCTGCCCCTCGCATATCCACCCTCCTCCCTCACCATGGCTCTTCACAATACTCGCCCTCCTCTCGCGCAGAGGACATCTCCAGACTTCTAGATCCTGCATACTCCTCTTCTTCGTCCACCGCCGCCTCGGCCTCTCGCGCCTATGTTGACCACCGGGGCGACCTTCACGACCCTGACTACCGCGACTTCCCCGTCCTCCGTTCAAAAACAACTCACAAGCAACGGCGCACCAGCGCAAGCAGCTCACGTTCTCTCAGCGTTCCACGCGATGGATACAATCGATACTCCAATTCTTACTCAATGGCCACACCCACAGGTGTGCGACCAGAGTGGGAGCGTGACTGGACTGCGGAAGGTGCGGACGCAGAGGAAGACGAAGAGCCAGAAGATGACGCCACGACGTTTTCGTCTCATTCTCACTTCAACCCCTTCGTGTCCGAGTCGAGGACGCGTCGATTTGCGCCTCAGTATTCGCCGCCACGCTGGTTTGGCGAGCCTACTCCCTTGTCCTCTTCTCCCGTGTCATTAAACGATGATGAGAATGAGGACAACGCCCTCCAGCTCGTGTCTTCGCCGTTCGAGAGGCCGCTGCGTGAGACCATGGATGACGAACTTGAGGATGACGAGCGGAAGAAGCCACGGAGACATCATCACCGTATCCGTAAGCCTGTTTGCAAGCGTGAGAAGGAGCAAACTATGGCACCTGCGGATTCGGAGAAGTGTCGAAATGAGTCTTCCTTAGAGGGTCGCGATGAACGCATTCATGTTGAAGATAACGACTTTGTGTGAGTACCTTCGATCTTGGTCGTCTGTCGATCATGCGATCTAATCTCCTCCTTTTACAGACCTTCGTGCACGCATTCACTTCGTAGACAATGGCAAGCAGTATCGCTTCGCTTCCGGTTTAGCGTGTTCCACGTCAAACAGCGCATCCGACGCAGCTTCAGGTAGAACGTAGAATCAACCCCCCCCCCCTTTATTCTACTCTATCCTCTACCGATTTTTTTGTCACGACACACTACCATTTGCGATGCCTTCACGACCTCACACAATCACATACCAAGTCTCAATTTCATCATCACACGCGCAGCATTCCACTCTCATACCATCACACGCCTCAGCAATTCATGTCTCACTTTATATCCGGACTTTCTTGCTTGTCGCTCGCGCACACATGCACGCATGCATACACTGCGTATACACGCTAAAATGGTCCATGGTTACGGTTCTATCCTTATGACCTACCTATCACTATCGCATATCTATCTCCCCCCACCCGCCGCCCGCATTCCCCATCCGCATCCCGCATCCCCCCTTTGCGACTTGCTCTTCCTCTCTTCCCTCCGACTTTTGCACTACACCGAACACTCCTGCCCCGCTCTCCCATCTTCATCCGCATCTCACGATTTTGTTGGACCCTCACGTGTTACGAACCTGAAGCAATCAATTGTACTCTTATGCACGCATTTTCTTTTTGCACGTACGAACACTTCACATTTTATTCCCCGCCCACTTTTCTTCTTCTTTTCCCCCTCCCCGACATTATATCCTTTTTGTGTTCCGCACTGTTTCAGTGTGGGTTGTTGTTTAACGTCCTTTTGCATCACTTTCGCATTCTCAATGTTGTATTTTTGCTTTCCCCAACTTTGCTTGATTTGCTCTCACTTTAGTGAGATACTTTCATACGATGATGAATTGTGATGATGATGATGGTCTTCTTGGTTTCATGGGTTCACGGTTTACGGTTTTTCAAGGGTCAATGGTTGGATTACGAAGAGAATGAGTTTATAGTCACACCCCAGTACAGTAGCAAGCACTAGACACTCAAATGCATACAAATAAACGCCTTAAACCACAAATTCCTCCTGCCTGCCCATGCCGTTCCTCTCTAAATCCACACTGAGCAACCATGAGTCCTTTCGACCCCGTATATACCAACCCCACAACCAGCTCAAGTTGATCTTCGCAACGGAGTCTTTTCATTGGCTATGGGGCTATGAAGACCTACGCACACGTCAAGCCTCGAATATGACTCGTCGCGCACAGCTGCTTAGTATCCAAGTGGTCACTGGTCCCATGATTATACATAGGTTCCTCGTCAGCTCCGAGAGGGGACACGACACCTCTCTCTCCGGGTCTGCCGACTTCACCCCTCAGTTGCTCACAGGACCTGAACGCCTGAACTGAGAAGAAAGCCAAGCGATTGGATTACTGTAAAGTTTAAGTCGCGTTGACTCGGAGCGGCCGAAACTGCCTTGAACTTTGTTTGAACTGAACTGGAGTGGGTGGATACTCCGAGGCTTGAGTAAGGAGTGCTTACGAAGGAATCATTGTTATACTGGTATGAGTATACGTACTCCATAAGATGGGGCTATAAGTAACGCAATCGCGAGAGAAAATCCGACTGTAAAGGATCATTCTGTAGTATGTTCGCAATGATTGGTATGATTGGTATGATTAGTCTTTGTCAGAACACCGTCCTATCCGTTCAAGTAAGTAAACGAGACAATATTAATGGGAAAATGCACATTAAGCAAGTCAAGCTTCAGGTTGAAATGACTCAGTCGAAAGATGGGGGCTGGACCCGCGGACCGTCGGACTCCTCCAAGAACAAGAAACGAACTTGTAAAACTCTGTTTTCGACTACGGCGCAGCGCCCAGCAGGACCTCGGAGAAAATAGGAGAAAATAGACCCTGTACTGAGTAGTCGTTACATGCGCGACATTGGTTACACACACATTGCGCTGCGGAAGGACTGAGCGAAAACCGGATTGACAGTGAGTTTGCTGCGAACTGAGCATTAGGGGTGGAAAGAATTCGAAAGACCAGGCAACCAGCTCTAGAAATGTAGTAGAACTTCCAAGTCTCATTGACAACAACTCGTGTTTTCCAACTGACCGAATAGGTTGCTTTTTGCTTCCGTTATTGAAGTTCATTTTGATTCGGTTGAAGACGGCGGCCGTGGTCTGTCTGGGTTAGAGCGCTCTAGAAAGCGCAGAACAACGGAGAGCCGTGATTGGCCCCTTAGTGAGATTGGTCGCTATCGAGTTCTCCTGAAGACTGAGGGGTAGGATCTGAACCTTTGTAGAATCGAACGGTGGATCGAGATAGAGTGCTCATTGCAAGACGATGTGCGAATGAGGAAAGCGTCATTTGTGCCCGCGGCTCAGTTCAGCATTCGAACCGACAATAAGTAAGGCAGAATTGGAGTCGAAAATTCGACAGAATTACTCCAAGTAGAATGGCCGGAATTCCTAAACCCTAAACCGGGCACATCGGAGAACCTAGTTCAATGGAGTACTAAGAGTAAGCACTCTCCACATATTGCACCCAGAGTGCGAAAAGATCGCAAGCGAGACGGAAACAATTCCAACGATACATAGAGAACGTCATCGGTAGCAGCCGCAAAAAAAAAGAGGCCCAAAGCCTGGAAACAAGACACGACCATTCTTGAGCTTGCAAGATAACATGAGTATACTATACATAGACACGTACGAATTTCAGATCATCCGCTTCAGCGGAGGTGTTGTGGGTCTGAGCGACGTACGGACACGACGCACAATACATCCGAAAGCTCTTGTGAAGGTTTGTTGTTTCCGCACCTTGTAGTCGCTGGCTCCACGATGTGCATGAAAATCGGAAGGCATCAAGGAGCGTGAAAGTCCATCATCGTTCACCTACAAAGGTCAGTTAGACCCGTATGAGCTTCTCCAACGGTCCCGTTCTGTCGGAGAACGTCGGATACGTCGGGCGAAGTGGTAGAGGTGAACTTGTACCGCTTGTGGAGAGTCGGGCGTCGGTGACCAACGAACAGCCAACGGTGAATATCGGAGATCTAAGAGACCAATCTAATCTTATCACCCCGGGATTTTGTGCCTGACAACTGTATCTTATCTGGCTCCAGTATCCTCAATTTGAACTCCACAACGCCAGCAGGTGGGTCGAGAAACAACGTTAGGTTGGAACTACAATGGTTCCGAGCTGCGTAGGATTGTGCGTAATGGTGGGTACAGCTAAGTTCTGATATCATGGGTGGGTATGATTGAATTGTCTGCACTCCAGCTGTCTGCTCACGGCTCAGGTGAAAGACCGACATGACATATTGTGGGTCGTGGAGTCTTGGTCGTAAGGATAGGGTTATACAAATGATTGCGGCACGAGTATATGACTCTAGCCTAGGCCATAGGTCGAGCTTCAAGAATGAAACCTTGTAAGGCATCTCATTCGTCATTCACGCTCATACATTCCACAATCCTACAGAACACTCTCAAGAATTGCACCCACGCTTCGCTATCTCCACGTAAATATATTCAACAGGAGATCCCTGTGGAACTTCGCATGGGTTGTTTCTCGCAGATAGCATTCCATTTTCTGCTGTACCTGACCGGCGTGAAGTGGACATGACATATGACGCCGACTTATCTCTGCCGTTCTACGAACTACTATTGCTTTCTACTCCAGGTCCATGTGACGCTTTCCTCCTCCCGAGACACACATCGCATGGTTTCGACGGCTTACATTCTCCTGATACGGCGTTGAATCTTGGTGAGCTGCTATTTACTGACGTCACTTTCGCGTCGTTTTCTTCGTCTGCGTCTGCTCTGTCACTGAAAGTCTCGACCCTTGACCTTATCTTTGAGAACACAGGTAAAATTATGTGATTTGGTGCAACGAGGTCAACCACATCGCCGACGATGCACTAAAATTAACAAAGTTTAGGTCCCACTGTGCATATCCGAACATGAATATCTCCGATAGCGGGATATACTGGCCTCTCATATTGGAACACCTTATTACGGTAGCGTACGAAACTGCAAGCTTCAGCACTGGAGACTGAAGGCTGCGGTTTGTATTCACTACGTGCCTGTTACTCACCGTGTTGTTTCTAGGCCCAGGTTTTGGTTATCTGGAGTGTACGATTTTTCTCATTCACGCTACGCGACCTAGACTCCTCTCTTCGAAACGCTCCTGCACGGGATATGACTTGATGGTTTCCAGGCAGGCAAAATTGACTTGTTCTCAAGGCCTCCCAGTCATGACCAATTCATTCAGATGGGATTACAGGCCGCGAGATAGTGCGGAAAAGCGCCACGTATGTCGTTGTATTCATTCGTCTGCACTGTGATGACTGGGACGTATCGACATTGATATTAAATGTATACGTTATAAATGGTTCGAGGGAAGAGCGGCTTATACATTCCTTTACGGTCCCGTTCGCTCAGCTTCCCCAGAGCGTTCGGGATTTATCCTGGGTGACTTTCTTGATTAGGAACTTCACCGTGCCTAACCATTGGAATATCCCAAGGCTACTCAAACACGCGGCTTCCTCACGGTCAGCATCTCAGAGGATTGTCAACGAGAAGGAAATCGGCTCATGGGCTGTAACCTCCAACGGAACTCAGTCGGAGCGTTTGCGAATCTTCGCATTCCAGAATGTACGAGAATGTCGAAAGTGAGTTTCTACGTTTATTATAATGTACTTCGCCTTCGAGGTTGTAATCGCGGCTGCAGTTTGGCCAACTGCAACCTAGGAAACCACTCCTCAAACGGGTATTGGGTCTTTATATTGCATCCCAAGGCTTCAGATAGCATCCTGAGAACGGTGAACACCGCCAGTTCTACGTAGGGTGTCATACTTTGCATCTTATTTGCCACTGTGTATAATTCGGATGCGTGCAGCCTGTAGCCCATCTGGTTGCGTCCGCTACGACCGGCGAATCGATGCGGCCAACTCACGAATACCTTTGGATCTTAGATCATACGAGGGGAGGTAAGTATCCTCAAATGATTCCCTTTGACAGCTATGCGCCTTTTGGAGGTATATCGAATATCCCGACAGTCGGAGCACCGGAAGTCATTCTGAGCTATTGAACTGCGCTCGTCGGAGAAGACAAGGGCATTAGTCAAACATGCATTCTCCTTGCACCTCGCCGTGTGCTATTGTGATTTCGTTTTGGACTCTTTACTCCGAATTTCCTACTCTCAAATCCGGGAGCACATCCGCTCGCGCCTGATAATCTACGCTACTCGGTCACCGCCTCGTACAGCCTCTACGCATGCAATCCTGCTTGCACAGTGTGATCTGCACTGGTCGGCTATCCTATTCAATTGGTGCCACCATTCCATCCCAGCTTTCCCTGTCAAGGATATTTCATCACGCCTCACCATCGATACTAGTACACCAGAACGTTTACTGAGCATGTTTATTTTCATCGCCTACATTTACTTCACACTCTCGGCATTTCCTTGCCCCGCATGCGCGACATCTGACTACAATAAATCAGAATTTTGAGGATTTTCTATCGCAGCGAGCGGCAGACTCTTGACGGCGATACACGATTATGGTAATATAAATGGCTCTTGTACCTCGAGGATGCTGCACGGCCTCCTTCGCAGTTTTCTATCATCAGCTTGTCATACTGATGTGTGGGGAGTAGTCCCCACATTTCCCCCGCATTTTGTTCTGATTTTCTCTGGTGACCCTGAAGTCGACACACTTGTCATCGGTCTACCTGCCTCGTTGCATGACAAGGCATATCTAATCTCTTCGTTCTCGTGGCCGGACCAAGGTAATAACCAGACATGCAAGCGCATGGTTACACCGGTATAATCTACTTATATCTCGTATTTCATCGCCTGTCAGGATGTGTGCCGTTAAGCTTTGCACGTTTCCTCAAAACCCTTCAAACACGATCAGATGATCTGCGTCATGTTTCGCATGAGGCAGGCGTTGGGAAGGTGACGCCTCCAAAGGGTGTGAAGAGGTTGTTTGCCTACTTGTAGGTGTTGTGTGTATCACTTTCTGAGAATGAAAATCACGTTCAAGCGGAAAATACTATATCAACGAGAAAGAAGAATCATGCTGGTTATAAAAGCCGCGATGCTAGATGGTTCGAGACGGGGAATAAGATGTAGCGCAGTTCGTAAGGGTTCTCGAAAGCTGTTATCAAGCACGTTTACAAAGTAAATGCAGTGTTAGAAGACGCGATAACAAGGAAAGAAAGTAAGTCGGGATGAGCTAGAGCAAGACCACAAGGAATTCGATCTGGCTATGTAGATGGGACTTCAACGAAGTGGTAACTGAACCTAATCGGATATTCGATCAGACACCGACGTTCCTATAGGGAATAAAATCGGAAAAGTCAGCCGCGAAGCGTGACTTAGCATCGTTTACAGCTTCCTCCCTGGAAAGCACATCCTCTGTAAGGGAGGTCCTGATAGGTTTCACCCATGCGATCCGAGTTACAGCCTCGTCTGCATTCTTGAAGCAGGCTTTCTCAGACGAAGAAACTTGAATGCATAACGCCATAACACGGGAGAGTCGTCAAACTGGGTGTCAAGGGCCATGACACATGGTCCGAAGGTGGGATAACATCTATGTAAGAATCATTAATGGTGCGACCATGCCCCAACTGATGTGCAGAGGACGAAGAACATACATGTCTGTCTACAACTCCGAGCCCTCTTCGTAACTAACCTCCAGCATTCCTTTGCTATGCAAATTGGGCAGCCTGGACGCGAGCATTGGCCCAAACTCATTTGGATCCCTCAACCGCAATCCTTCCACTTGTGAATGCTCTGAATCCCAGGGAAACCGGGCAAATACAAATGTCACAGGTTGTGCCCATGAAAACTGTGTCAAAAAATTGTCCCAACGCTGGAATACTGTATCATGGCCTATGATACCAGGTGGTAAACTGGGGTATATAACCCAGTGCTTCGGGAAGCGAAAGCATAAAGAGCGAAGAATTCGAGGAAGACGCTCCAGTATCTGCAGAAGAATAGACCAGTTCGCTGGCACAAGGGGAGGCAAAATGACAAGAGGTGTCCATATTGTGAACCTCTGCAGCGCGGTACAGACGGATATACCGGAAAGTCCAGCGGCCCATCTTTCATTTTCTGTGCATTAGAGACGTTAATGATGGGACGACATAAACTTTGCAGCACATACCTGCTGTATTGAAGGACGGCGTATAATGGAGATCAAGATATTGTAAGTGAGCTCCGGCCGCGCGTACCACCGTGAAAAGCGACAGCGGTATACGGAAGGAAGCTTCGAAGGAAAGTCGAAGTAAAGGGGATTCTGGGACCGATTGAAGGATGTATTCCATAAAACAATCTGCCATCCAGGTGGGCATCTCACGGCATTGCAGGTGGATGATGCGCGGCCTAGTATACGATTGTTCAGGAAGGATAGTCCCGGACGACACTGTAATATTTGAGCGACCGATCGTCGAAATCGATAGCGACATAATTTCAGAGAACATGCTCAGAATCCCAATGAGATCCATGAAACCATCTGAGTCCTTGGAATTGCAACAATCAACATGCAGCACCTTTAAGCTGAATCTGCTTCGTAACATCGACGTCTCCGAAAGGGATCCTCCATCAACGTAACAACCGTAAAGATACAGTGCTTCTAATGCTGTCAGGGAAGTAAGGAGGGAGCCAAGAAGATGAGGGCGCATTTGCCTATCGTCTTTTCCTGTCATATGCAACTCGCGCACCAATGTTGCGAGATGAGGTCTTGCTCCCATGAACGATGTAAATTTGTAGAAGGTAATTAACGGGACTGCCGTCTCTGAGATATCCTGCACACGTATGGTGCGGAAGAGAAAACGACGGCTGGCGTACATCCACGAAGATGAGACGAGCCAGGATGAAGAGAGAGCTGAAATATCATCACGTAGATATTCACATATTGCGTCAACAAGTTCCTGCGGAAGTGTAATCATACCGCTTGGAGAGCTCGTAGTATGGGCTGATGCGGTTGGTGGCCAGTGCTCTCGTGGAAGTTGGGGAGACGTTACTCATATGCATAAACGCGCGGCCTAAAGTGATCACAAGATTTGCCATACAAAACAGTACAGTGGAAAGCGCGCACATATATGGAAAAAAAGGGTTTTATATGCGAGAGAATGGCTTTCGTACGAGAACATATAAGCCCAACACCAGTCGTTACTGGTTGACACGACACTAAGCATGTTCCCCTAGAACTACATTGTAGCGTAGGAAGAGACTCCGCGTCTCACGATGCACCTAACAAAGACACCTAGTAAACATTATAAACTGGCAGCAGCTCCGCAGATCTGAAAGTCAGTCTCAGTAACGATTAGATCCAAGGCAAAAAGAAACGTACTCATTGAAGCTGAGATGTATATAACGTCATTTGCAGTTTCAACATCTTCTTTGCATGCAACTTGGGCAGGCCACCAAAAAAGACGGTCATCCACTTGGCGGAACATTGTCTCCTTGTCCAGCTCAGGTAGCAGATATCTAGACACAACACAGCGATATTCTTGAACCTGGAAATGATGAAATTGAGGAGAGGAAGATTTCGAGGCAGGCGTTAGAGTGTTTCGTTCAGTACGCGGCATCATGGACCTCGAGTAGATAGGTTGAGTCCGATGGTCTGCAAGATATAAGGTCAGACTGACATCAGCCAACAAAGCTATTCACTGAAATAACCTGAGTAGCATTTAGTTCAGTATTGGTCTTGTCGATACCGACTGAGAACACTTTCGTGGATGACTTGCCTGCCAGGTTGAGATAAAAGCCGGATTCATTTAATCCTGTGAACCATAAGGTTTAGCGGCTTTACGCGACAACCCTTGTGGCCACGATTAAAAAGATAGGATGGAAGGCGCCGGGCTGTTTGACTAGACATTCACAAGTATTATCCATAAGTTTTGGGATGACGCGCATTGTGTATAGCGTGTACAGGGTCATTATATGAGCCGGAGAGCAAGAACAAAAGAAAACCAATAAAGGACACAAGATTCACAACAGACAGCAAGAAAACAACAGTTCAAGAGTCGGATTTCAAGTTGTTATAGACATAGTAGGAGTTTGTACGAGCACTAGCGCATAGCCACCATGGCCACGCCGAATAAATAAGGGTCTTGCATGGTCTTGTATCTGATACATTGATTAAGAGGTACCTTTGGCCTGCGTCTGAGCCAATCCACGGAGCATTGTAGACTGGTAGCCTTGGGTTTGCATAGATGCTAAGGGGTTGTTGACTTTGTCATTCTCCTTGCCATAGAAGTAGTTTGGATGCTGTTGAGTCGTAGTGGAAGGACCAGAGGTATCACTAGCAGGGGCATTCTTTATAGAGGACGAATGAGCAGGGGAAAAAAACATAGACATCAAATCGGAACGGACCTTTGAATTAGATTGGGAAGACATTATGAAGAGGATAGGAACACTGGAAAGTAAGGTCTGTAAGATGTGATCGTGTTGGAGTGGGAATTTCGGGGGGTGGGGGTGAACGGGAGAAGTGAAAGCAGCTTATATCCTTTTCTGCATTCTCGGTTAAGAAAACCTTTGACTTTGCTGTGACCAGCAGTACAAAGGACGGAGTGGCAAACAGTGGTTGCCGAGCCAAAAGTGTAACCAAGCGCCCCTCGGTAAATCTTACACATCCCAGAAGAAAGAACTGCAGACATGTAGAGACGACTTCGATCTAGAGAGCTAGACCTAACGTTCACGAACAACGGTCCAGAGATCAATAGCCCGAGCATGTCATTGACTCATTGAGACAATTAGCTGGTGAACGTACTTACATGAAGCCACCTGCACGGACCTGTAGCAGTAGGGGCCACGTTTATTTGATTTGCCTGGTTACCGACGGGGTTACGGCAGATACATGGTCAATGTTCGCGCTACCGAGTGGCCACAGCGGAACACGAGTTGACCAGGTTGCCCTATGATATGCCTACGAAGGATTATGTTCACCAGAAGAGTGTAGAGAGCCATAAATTTACTGGATTCATAGTGTGGTCTTCGAAAGGACGTATAGGCGGTGGTGGTCAAGTTGAAAGATGTAGGTTGTTGATGCACTCAGTGAGGCGCTTTTACTTTTGATTCTTGAAGAACGCCCACCATCATAACGGAGGATTGGCATCGGTGATACATGCGATGCAGGCCAGCCTCTATGCCAGAGCTTGATTAGGTAGGAAAACTCTACTGTACGTTAATCCTATCAACGCGGGCCCTATGCTCTGAAACCCCTCGAACCGAGAAATCCATACTTGGAGTATACGTAGCAATCGATCCGAGTCATTATCTCCCGATCATCCACCCCGGAACTTGAGACAACTTGCTTTGAACCAATTAATTTCTCCATAGCGTAGTTTCGAACTTCTGGAGGCCAAGAAGTGGAGTTTGTGAGTTTAACCTTTTAATTGCTGATATCCGGCATTTTGACAAAATGACGTCGATATCAGCGTCGCTGTGATCGGACACTTACAGCGACCATGGTCAAGAGCAATGTTACGCCAGAGGATCCCATTGACGTTCAACCTGCCATCGGGCTAATAGGTATGGGAGGTATGGGCACCATGTATGCGAAATATCTCTCAGCAGCGGGTTGGAAGAAGTACGTCACGTAACACAAATAAGACCTTTGTCAAACTATCTGAATCTTATGAAATTGCTTAGAATATATGTCTGTGATCTTCCTAGTAAGTATGACGCATTGAAGCAACAGTACCAAGGTCAGACTGTCTTTCATCTCTCTATGATCGCTCAGCACCCTTACCATCGCGGACTAGGCACACCAGGTATCACTGTTCTTCGTGACGGCCATGGGGTCTCGCGTATCTCGGATTGGATCATGTACTCTGTCGAAGCGGAATTCATTGACAAGGTTGTTGCTGAATATGGTCCATGTACGTTTTTAATCTATTCGCAAAGCAGCTGCAAAAATAACATTTACTCTCAGCAACGAAGGTTGGAGCTATTGTTGCAGGGCAGACGTCTGTGAAGACCCCTGAGAAGTATGAATTCGAGAAACATCTACCTGAAGACGTACAAATTGTTTCTTGCCATTCACTTCATGGACCTACCGTGTCCCCGCTGGGTCAACCTCTGGTAGGCACGATTACTTACTTGAGAATAGATGTGACTCATTTGTTGCCCAGGTACTAATCAAACATAGAGCCTCAGATGATGCACTGCGACTTGTGGAAAACATTCTGCGTCCGCTCGGATCACGATTCGTATACATGTCCTATGAGGAGCATGACATTGTAACAGCAAACACCCAAGCTGTCACTCATGCTGCTTTCCTGAGGTTGGTGTTTATACATATACGACCTTTTATACCGCACTGACTGCCTCGCAGTATGGGAACAGCATGGGCAAGCGCATCTTCTTATCCTTGGGAGCATGGCTACTATGTCAAAGGTATCGAAACAGTCAAAGTGAACATCATGCTCCGAATCTACTCCAATAAGTGGCACGTCTACGCTGGCCTCGCAATGCTCAATCCCTCCGCACGGATCCAAATCGACCAATATGCTCGCAGTACCACTGAGATATTTAAACTTATGCTAGCAGGTGATGACGTCGGTCTTACAAAACGCATTTACGAAGCGAGAGATAAAGTTTTCGGAGGGAATGGCGCCGAGGAGGGTGTAAAGCACCGTGCACCTATCCTCCTTTCTGAGGACATCCTCAATCGGTTTAGTCTAGGCAAACCCCGAGAAACTTCAGGTGGTTCAGCAACTCCACCTTCACCTACAGGCGGTCTCCCAGCAAACTCCCACCTCTCACTCCTAGCCATGGTAGACTGCTGGGCCCATCTAGACATCCAACCTTTCGTCCACCTCGACCTCGCCGCAACACCGATATTCAGAATGTGGATAGGTGTCGCTGAGTATCTCTTCCGATCCCAAAACCGCTTGGATGCAGCGATCCATGCTGCGTTATATGATGTTTCGCATCGTTCGGACGACCTCGAGTTTGTGGTTGCAGCTAGAGGGTGGAGTCAATGTATTTCATTCGGGAGCTTTGAGCTGTACAGGGAGAGGTTTGAGCAGACTGCGAGGTTCTTCCAGTCTAGGTTCGAGGATGCTACGAAATTGGGTTCAGCGATGATCCAAGCTATCATGGATAGTTCTTCAGACGAGAACGCCCAGAAGGCGTGAAGAGCATGATCTTGGTTTTAGGTTAGGATGGCGTTTATTGGGTATCTATGGTCGGACATCTTGCATGTAATAGTAACCCCGTGTTTCTTGACACAAGCTAAAATTCAGCTTCGGTCCGGGTAGCTTAAACTACCAAGCTTTTGCTTGTTATGACCTCGATGGCGGAGTACAGACACTGGATGAATTCGGTACAACGATGCAGTCAGAACAAACCCGTCAGTGAAGAGCGTTTAGGACCTGGTACAGAACCATGCCGCAATACCTTATTACCAGTCTTTTTGACGTGTATGAGGAATCGCAGTTTAATTTGATATTGTATAATCGTACGCATTCGGGTATTCGTAGCCAAGAAACGCTTGTCCCGTGTCCGTGCATGTTTGTTTCATAAAATGAAGGTCTAGCACATGACAAGTTCAGACAGTTTGGTAATGGTAACCTCCTTGTCTTGCCACAGCAGTGAACTTGAGGTTGTCCAGCTGCTTTCCATCACTGTCAGCCAAGACACACTCGATCGCGTCACCAGGCTGGACGGGCCCAACACCCGACGGCGTTCCGGTCAACAGCAAGTCACCCTCCTAATCATAAAAAATCAGGTCATATGGACCGTTGGAATGCCATCGATACACACCTCCAGAGTCATGATAGAAGAAACATGTTCAATGAGACGTGGAATGCGGAAGATCATATTTGCGGTGCTTCCATTTTGTTTGACCGCACCGTTGATCTGCCCAAAATGATTTGAACTGAGCCCGTTTCACGAAGCTGTGCGAGATGATCGTACCTTCAGCGACAAGTTCAATTTATGGGGGTCGGGGATCGCTGCCGCCGGAATGTACGATCTATTGACCCATAAGGGTAAGTACAGCACAAGAAGCTGGTGGAGACGCCTACCCAATGGGAGTGAATGTATCGAAGCCCTTGGCAGCGGACCAGGGAAGACCTTTCTTCTTAATTTCGTCTTGGAGGTTACGTGCGGTCATATCTACAGCGAGCGCTGCAATGTCTATCTGTCAGCCCGTAACCGACATGTTTGGGCACGATGCGAATCGCGCACCATAACCAGCAACATGTGAAAGTGCATCCTGTTGAGAAATGTCTCGTCCCGTCTTGCCAATGACTAGGCCCAATTCGACTTCGGGATGGATTTCAGCATGACGAGCAACGGACGGGGAGAAGAGATGACCAAGTACCTTCGTGGTGTGCCAAAATTCCTCTTGGAATCTCTAGCTTACCACCGGAAGGCAGATAACTTGTGGTCGGCTTCAGGAAGAAGAAAGGTTCTTTTGGAACTGCATTGTTTAGCTCCTTCACATGGTCAACATAGTTTCGACCGATAGCAACTATCTGTTTCAAAGCTAGATTAGATGAGAGGCTTTGCTATGCGGTGTTTCGCCAACCTTCTTCCCTTGCCTGACAAACGCAGCAGCAGCCATGGTTGGATGTGGCTTAGGTGTTCTTGAGGACAGCGAGCAGTGATCAAAGAGGCATGACCGGTTGAGTCCGAGGAAGTAATCCAGATCGCTGGGTTGATCGCGCCATCAAGACGATCGCTGTTCCCCGCGCCGACAATACCGGAGTTTTTCACCCCTCTTCAATAACCTCCTCGACGTTATCCAGCCTCAGCTCATCTACCAAACCGCGGCAACACCCAGCATGATCTACAGCTCTGTCAACTCTAAGCGCACTCGTACCAAGAACCTGCTTTATTATTCAAATTTCATGGAAATTATACAGAGCTGAGAACTCCAGCCCCTTGGCTATTATATCGTGGGTGATTTATGCAACGAGGAGAACTGCTCTTTTGGTCTCCCAAGCCCACTCTGGTCTTCTTGTTCCGGTCTGCCGCCCGAATCTCAGCAACCTTCCCTTCTCGAGTCTACTCATCACTCTTGGCGAGATGCCGAGCACGGCGGGCTGACCTATCCTAGCTGTGCAATTTTCCTGGCAGGCGCAAGTCAAACTATGGTAAAGCGTACAGTGCAATATATTCCTGTTTCGTACAGACAAGGATGACGATTCTGACAGTGGCAGCGGTTGTTCGCTCGGCTAGCGGGTCCAAGCATTGCGGGTCCTGGAGCACACACAACCAACATTGGAACTATCCTGTTCCTTGGCTTGCCAAGATATCTCCCTTATATGCTTGGCGCTGGCTGCCGTCGTCCTGCCTCCTCATTTATAGTTTCCTCACCCTCTGTGGGAGTGCAGCCACTCTTTCTGTGCCGCTTCTATACTCGATCTGTACCCCTATCCGCAGTCGACATCCATCATGGCGTCGACGACCTCCGTACTTATTATTAGCTATGCTTTGATTGCCATGGGTGCGCCTCAGGGTATCGATTCAGAATTGTAGGTCCAGTTGTTTGAGCTATCTTAGGAACTGGTCTGACTGGGTTCCTCTCAGTGATGATTTTCCTGAAGATCAACCTGAAGAGGGCCATTTAGACAAAACTTGGGAGATCGTCTTAGGCGTAGTTCTGTGTATGTTTTCCTCGGGGTCATCCGTCTCTTGCTCCTGTTCACACTCCGTCTGCGTTATAGCGCTTGTCGTTTGCGCCGTCATCGGCACAGCGGTCTGGGTCAGGATACGGAGAAAGAAGCAGAGAGCGCGAAGAACTACCGGGTACTTAAGAGGCAGCAATCCAGATCTGTCTCGTATGTCGGAAGAAGGGAAACACACTATCAAAGTAAATTCCCTGTCAGAGGAGGATGTAATAATAACTGTGAGTCCACCTTGCATTTCTGTTCCTTTCTCGCTTATCTGAGTGGTCGCCGTTTCGCAGCCCACACCTGCTGCAAAGAACCAGTCACGACGAGGTCCCTATAGGTGATGAGCGTTTATTCCAGAGTGACTGAGTGTCAACAACGCTATGTACGGTTTTTGTGGTACGCAATAATAGTCCCCTCCACCAGGAATAGAATCCTTGATCACTAACTTCCAATCTTGCACAGGTGGAGCTTATGGTATTTATGTTTGAAGCATTATCGCGCCAAGGGACGGTGAAGACCAGTCAAACTTCATGGGTTCATATCGGCGCGCCGAGTCGGAAGATGCTGTACATTCTTTCTCAAGATATTGTATCGAGCATGCAAGCTATAAAGCGGGGACGGTCGTGAGAGTGGAGGAGGAGACGTTTATACGGATGAAGGCATGCTGTCGTGCTGTTACATTACCTGTGCAGGGAGTTATGACGGACTTTGGGTGCTGATTTCGAGTGCTTTGTGGATGTTCGTTCTTGCTTTCTCGTTCGTGTATTTTACCTATCTCGGAGGATGGAATGAAAAGAGCAGCTTTGTGCTCTTTTACAAAGTCATACTTGTGAGCTTTGTGCGAGAATGATGCCTTCGGATTTATTCGGATTTCCCGACAAGGAATCAGATGACAGGACGTGACTCCAATAAAACATAATGAGCTTACATAAGCAGACTATAGCACCTCTTGAAGTGACTCAGGATTGAATTTTCCCCGCGCAGACTCCAGTCGCTCTTTTCACTCTTTCCTCTCTTCTGCCTCAGAGCTCTCTAACGGCTCTTCGCCATGTCTCTCTCTGCTGCCAAAATGCGCATAACGAGCGCACCCAAAACCTCGTCCGCCATCTCCTTTTCTCGTTCGAAATCGACCAGGGCGGCGAGTTCAACCTCATCAATGCTTGAAGCCAAAACCAGAGTGCGGGAACATGCACGCAATATCAGCCGTACATCCACTCGTGAGGCGTCTGCAGCTCAGTCCGTGTAAGCATTATCATTCTGGAGGTGCATTGCATTCAGACTAATCCTGTTCGAATGTTGTGCTTTATAACAGACGACCTGTACCCGCTCCAGGATTCCAACAAATGCCTACCAGGAATAATGTCCCATACCCTCCTCCGGGACTTGGTCCTCATGCGGAAGGTCCTATGGACCATTCGTTCGTTGGAATGTCGGGCGGCCAGATCTTCCATGAGATGATGGTCCGACATGGTGTCAAGCACGTCTTTGGATACCCTGGGGGTGCCATTCTCCCAGTATTCGATGCTATTTACAACTCACCACAGTTTGAGTTCGTCCTTCCAAGACACGAACAAGGTGCCGGACATATGGCAGAAGGTTATGCCCGCGTGTCAGGGAAGCCTGGTGTCGTTCTCGTTACGTCCGGTCCGGGAGCGACGAATGCTATCACTCCTCTGCAGGACGCTTTGAGCGATGGAATTCCTATCATCGTATTTACTGGACAGGTGGCTACTTCTCTCATTGGGTCCGATTCTTTCCAAGAAGCAGACATCCTCGGCATCTCCCGCTCATGCACGAAGTGGAATGTTATGGTTAAGGATATTTCAGAGCTTCCAAGGCGGATCAACGAGGCATTCAAGATCGCTACCTCAGGACGACCAGGTCCCGTATTGGTTGACCTTCCGAAGGATGTGACTGCGGCTATTCTACGGACACCTCTGCCGTACAAGGCTACCACGCCTGGTACTCCTCTTGGTCTCCCTACAAACCCTTTGCAGCTGCTGCAAACTCCCACCGACCTCATCATGGTCAAGCAAGCCGCTGACCTCATTAACCAAGCACAACGCCCTATCATTTATGCCGGCAATGGCGTTCTCTCATCACCCCTTGGTCCCAAATTGCTCAGGCAATTGGCAAAGGAGGGCAATATCCCTGTAACAACAACCCTCCAGGGCCTCGGGGCCTTCGATGAGTTGGACGAGATGAGTCTGCATATGCTTGGTATGCACGGTTCGGCGTACGCGAACCTCGCCATCCAGCAGGCCGACGTTGTCATTGCTCTCGGTGCTCGTTTCGACGATCGTGTCACCGGCAAGGTTGACACTTTTGCACCTGCAGCAAAAGAAGCAGCTACCAGGGGTAAGGGTGGCATTATCCACTTTGAGATCCAACCCAAGAACATCAACAAGATCGTTGATGCAACTATCCCCGTAATGGGCGATGTCGTTGCGAACATGGCTGCTCTCGTTCCTATGATTCGTTCATCACCGAGAAAAGAGTGGTTCGCAGATATCAAGACGTGGAAAGCGGCGTATCCATTCACTTATGAGAAGAGTCCAGAGGGAGGCTCTATCAAGCCTCAGCAGGTGATTGAGGAGTTGGATAGACAGACAGCAGACAAGAAGGAGGACGTGATTATCACTACTGGCGTTGGCCAACATCAAATGTGGGCGGCGCAACACTATCGATGGAGAACTCCTCGCTCGATGGTCACTTCTGGTGGTCTTGGCGTAAGTACCTCTCCATTTGTACGTACATTTGCATGATCTGACGACCATTCTTAGACAATGGGCTTCGGCCTTCCTTCAGCTATCGGAGCTAAGGTTGCAGCACCGAACAAGATTGTTGTCGACATCGACGGTGACGCATCTTTCAGCATGACCGCTATGGAACTCGCCACCGCATCACAATTTAGTATCGGTGTCAAGGTCCTCATCTTCAACAACGAGTTCCAGGGAATGGTTCAGCAATGGCAAGATCTCTTTTACGACTCTCGCTATGCTCACACACGGATGGTCAACCCTGACTTTGTCGCGTTGGCTAAGGCAATGGGCGTACATGCTATGCGGTGTCATTCGGCTGAGGAACTTCCGGCCAAGATGAAGGAGTTCTTGGAGTATGATAACTCGAGACCTGTGCTCCTGGATTGTGTTGTTGACTCCGCGGAGCACGTTTTCCCTATGGTATGTCTTTGATTTAGTTTGCTAAGTGTATCATAACTCACGGCTTTATGTCTTTCACAGGTTCCTGCCGGCAAAGCTCTCCATGAGCAGATGGTTCATCCCATGCTAAGAAAAGCTTACGATGCTGCCAACAAGAAAACCTGATCTACGCAAACACATTCGTGTTATCTCAACACACAATCGTTATACCTTAAGATCACGGTCGTTCCTGTCACTGATACCGCCTCGCATCGCGTCTTTTGCTGTTGATTGTGGGAAGTTGGCCTTAGTATCCTTTGCATCATCTTTAGTTTCGTATCTCATGTGTCATAGTTTTGTTTGCATCCATGCTGCGGGGGTTTGGATCTTTATAGTAGTTGGAGGAGCAGCGAAGGGAGAGAAAGAACAAAAGTCCTCATATGGGACACGATTGTATCCAGTATAATCAAATGATTTGGTTCTGTTCCGCCTGCATCTCGTGTTCATTTCAATATTTGTGAGGTTCAGGATGTCTGGCGATACATAGAGAGAAATCGGCCAGAACTTCTTGTTTCTCTTAACAGCGAAGTCGAAGGGTTCGTTGTTCAGTGTTTGTAATTGATTTGAAGCTTAATGAAGCTTTGAACAGTGCAGTTGGGTCGTGCAAAGAGACAAGAGGATTATAAGTTTACAAGCTTTTCTTTCTTGACGAATACCCAAATATGTACAATATCGAACCACAGCTGGAATTCCTTCCTAACAGACATCGAAACAAACGAGTAAAGAAGTATTGTATTGCTATGCGTCTCTACCAGTCCGTTCATGCTCTTTGGGTGATTCACTTACTCGCCCAGGTCCTAGATGCTCATCCAACGAGCTCGTACTCGAAACGCTGTCAAAACTCCAGCTCCCTGGTGTCGGTGACAATGTGCCGACACTTTCTACAGTGCCAGCACTCTGGAAGTCTCCAAAGTCGCCGAAGTTGTCAAATGAAGACTCTTCGATCATCTCCTCTGTCGCGCCCCCTGATGACGAGAGTCCGAATGGATCGGTAGTAGATGTGCTTGGCGCTGCGGCGGCATCTGTGAAGGGTCCAAAAGTATCCTGTCAAGTCCAAATCAGGAATCTGAATCGCCGGAGAGTATCAGTAGGTAGGCTTACATCGTCGAAAGGATCTGAATATGTTGGTTCCGTTGATGACGACGTGGGAGCGAATGAGTCCTATTCATTTGATTAGTTTACTTAGCTGATTTCCTTGGGAAACACTTACGTCGAAGCCACTGCGACTGGGTGATCTCTGCGGCCCGTTATGCTGGCGAGTGGATATCGTTGGAGGTGGTCGAAGCTCGAATGATGAGTGTGCGAGCCAACCGCCATCTTCATCGTCATCTGATGCCTCATCGGAAGAGAAATGTTCTGACGACCCTTGCATCTCTTGCGCGAGGTAGCGAGCGAACTGCATTTCCGCCGTCAATTTCAAAGCAAGAAATGGACAGTAGAAAGAATAACTTACATGTGGAGGCCCAGCATGGAACTCATCATCATCGTCTTCCTCCATTGGAGCCGCACCGAAATCAGCACTACCTTCCCTGGCGGTTCTAATATTCCTCCTCAGCTCTCCCCTACCCTCCTGTTCAGCCTCCCTATCCCGCTCTGCATTAGTGGCTGCCCCAGTATCCGCCTCATCAACTTTCCACTGAGCCGCGCCACGCATGCCGGGTGCGATGACAGGTTTTCCACCTCCAAGAAGACTTGAATCCTTCTTCTTGGTCTCTTTGTACCGACCAGTGACGTACTCATCCCATTCGGGTTGAGGAGCATGTTGAGCGATTATGAGACGTAATTCGGGAGGAAAATGTTCGAGGGCGTTGATCACATCTTCGGAGATGAGGGTTAGGTGGCCCATATAGCCTAACCGAACGCCTTTAGGTTTTGCGCTGAGATGCAAAGCCAATCAGACCGGATGCTTTGGAATGGGCATATTGCACATACCTCTCAATGTCATTCCGTTTTGAGCCCTCGATGATGCGGTGCAGTAATCGAGCATCTCTGAATAGACCAATCGTGAGTTCCCTGTTGTAGCCACCATCTACACGACCTGTGAGGACTTGGTGTATCAGGTCGTAAACGATACTGTGCAGAAAGTTATTCCAAGGGAAGTCGAAGAAGAGGTCCTAAATGTTGGATGATTGTACAATCGTGACCATGCATATAAGGATATACGAACGAAACATACCAGAAGTGTCGAAGCGACATTCGTATCGAGGAATTTTTGCTTCAACCGTTCTCCAAGAACGAGCGGGCCACTAATATTATTCTGGCTACCCATCGTACTCGACCTATGTGTACTCCTCCGAGAACTGCTTGACCGAGGGCGGGCAGTTGAGTTACCGGAATCCGAACCAGAATTACTTCTTCGCGCCGCCAGCGACGAAGTTGGATCAGATAGCGAGGAAGAAGGAAATCTCTCAAGTGGTGTTTCAGGAAGCGGTGAAGTGCTGTGACTAAATTCATTAGACTCGTCGTGGATTGCGATGTCCTCCATGGCTTCGTCGTCAGAGCTGTCTGGTTCGTCCCCACTCATGTCGTCATCCGAGTCAAGTGAGACAGAGTCATGAGAAGCAGTTGAGACAGGAAACTCGTGAGCAGGCTCGATTTCGTCGCTCTCGTCGTCCATGCCTTCCCCGTCTCGCTCGTTGCCGGCACCGATTGCGATCACTTGGGCGAGTTCCTCGAGAGCAGAAAGGCCACCTTGAAGACGTCCTTCCGCATCATATAAATGGTCGTATTCCGAGGGGCGGTTCAAGAGAGACATATTTGAGCAATGCAGAAGTTCGGCATAGAGTTCGCATATCCGGTATCGTTCGAAGGTTAATGGTGTCAGTGCCCCAACGGTCGTTAAGACCGGTCCTTTCTGTTCATGCAAGATAAAACGAGGCCCTCCTACATTCAGCACGATTCAACGCCCGAAACAGAGCAACAGCTTACCATAGAACGGGGATTCCGCAAGTACTTTTGAAGGTCCTCCAATTTGTCAATCATGATCTCCAAGACAGGCCCGAGGTGAACGACACCCATGCGGTTCACCATATCTTTCATAGCCTTTTCTAGAGCTGCGCGGCCATCTTGGGTATGCATCTGTAATTGTTGCTGAACATGAATGAGCCGATTACGTAGGGTATGGAAGAGATATGGTTCGAAGTAGTCAGAGTTGTTCTGTCGTATCAGCTCGATGATGATGCATATTGACTGTACAATACTGGATGTCGTTGACTCCGCGTTTGGTAGCGGCGGCTCAGCGTCATCCTCGTTGTCTTTACCTGAGTCGCCAGTTTTATTTGGGGGCTTGGGAAAGTCGCTTAGGATGTAGCTTGTGAGCTTCGCCACACTGTCCCGATGTGCCAATTCCCGTGCAAAGCGATTTGAAGCAGGGCCATTGCCCATTCCATCCGAAAGACCTGCAGCAGGGGAAGGCGCCGCCATAGAAATGATACCCTTGATAAGATCGGCGACGACTGTGTGCATATTCGCACTCTGTGAAGGTGCTAAAAGGTCTATCAGTTTGAACATGAGATTCTCTTGAGACAGCCACTGTATGCCACTGGGTAAGAGCTCTCGCGATGGAAAAAAGGAACCAAAAGCAATAGGCATACTTCTAGGACACCTGCACCAGCCGGTAGTTCGTCTAATTGGATGATGCGCACTAGAAGATCGGCGAACGGTGGCGTTTCAATATGACGAAGTGACCTGTCGACCACGTTGGGTTGTGCTTGAATGAAAGCGAGCATCTGGACCAAATGTGAGTGGTGTTCATTTCCGTGTCACAATAGACACGAGGGAAATGAGGCGGCGAACCTCGGCAGGCTTTTTGCTCAGAAACACGGCATTAATTTTGGCAAAATGGGATGCCATCACCATCTGAGTCTTCATATCCTCGGATGACCTGTCGAGTACTGTCTCCCAGAATGGCGTTAACAATTGCTCCGAATTATTGAGGCACGTCTCGACTATAGACCATATCTCGCTGCACAGGACTTCGGTGGCGACATAGGGATATCTATATATTCAAAAACTCAGGGGAACAATGCCAGCATGACATTGAAACTACTCACTTGAATGCACCCTTGTCCTCCCCCTCTATCTGACCGGTAACGTAGCCCAGCAACCGCTGCAATACGTCGACACGCGAAAAATAGTCGATAAGCCTTGTATTCTGGGCTTTGCATTCTTGGAGTAGTTCATCTTCATCTAGAATTGCCTCGAGCGAGATATCCTCCTTGTCGAGTAAGCTGTCGATAGTAGATGCATTATGGAAGCCAAATCTGCACCAAGCAGTTTAAGGTCGAGTGATATCTCGACTGGAAGAAGTCGAACAGAAAGTACCTCCAGAACATGTATGACTTATTGTCTGCTTTTTGGTGCGTTCAGACCAGCAAGTTCAAGGAGCTTTATGCGTTTATTGGCCTGAGCCGCTGTCGCTGTTGGCAATTGAATAGAGGACACTGGATAGTGTGGAAACAGAGCTGAGAGCGGGCGTTCGGCTCAGTAGTTGCTAAACTCAGGCACGTCAGATAGTCTCAGACCGAGGTTTGTTTGTGACCCTACATGTGAGTGTAGATCCTTTGATGATGGCAAGACGTTAGTTGGATGATCAGGCGACAGTGAGGTGAATGGTGGTAGATGTTATGCCAGAATAAAATACACGAATGAGTAAACTACATCAGCGCCCTCGGTCCGAGCAGTGCTAACAGCGATATGACGATTGCCACATTGGACCCCCTTCTCAACTTGCACTCTCAATTGTCCCAGAACCAAGACACCAATCACCATCCCATAGTACAGCAACCTGACCTGTCGCGACCCCTAGTTGAGGTTCATCACATTCAATGACCATCGAATTCTCCGAGTTCCTGTGATATTCTGGTAAGCGGATACATGAACGTACGACCTGCACAAGACCTGCCTTCGAACAGTACATAAAGCATCTGACATCCGATGTCGGAATCTTAGCTGAGCTCGGTAGCCTTGGGCATTGTCGATCTCGAAAGGAGGTGCGTCTGACCATATCCATCTCCAATCTCGTGCAAAGATAGTCTTCTTCATCAGCGCTGGGTGTGTACTACACAACGAAAGTCAAAATCGAGTACAGCAACAGTTGTAACAATGAACGAACCTTCCGGGTACAATGAAAATATCATTGGTCTTGATATCTTTTGCGGAGACGTACATCTTCTCCTTCATACCTCTGACTCGAGCATTCTGGCCAATCGTGAACATATGCAGGCCTTGATGCTCGCCAACAACTTCACCGGTCGTTTGGTCGATAATGCGACCTGGTTTGGGGGGTACGTATTGCGCTGAAATACAGCAATGAGAGATTGTATGCAGAGCAAGGAAGCGATTCCTTTACATAGCCAATCATGAAATCGTTTCTTCTCGCCAACGAAACACAGTCCCATGCTCTCTGCTCGACTAGCTGTTGGAAGCTGCCAGTCCTGTGCCAGTGTTCGGACGACACCCTTCGGATAGTCTGCTATGGGAAATAACGTCCTAGCCAAAGCGGATTCGCTGATAGATGAAAGGTAGTATGTTTGGTCCTTGTGTCGATCTGACGGGCGGGTGAGCTTTGGACGAGGAAGGATTGAAGGTCCTGCTTCTGAAGAAGCCGGTTCTGACCATGACTTGCTGGCATAATGACCTAACAGAAGGGTCAGAAATCCTCTAATCACAAGGATCCAATGCGTACGAACCAGTGGCTAGCCATGCATCCTTGACTGGAAGGTGATCTAACAAAGCGCCGAACTTGACTTCTCTGGACGTTCATGGATGAGATAAATCAACTGAGGCAAAGAGCTCAGACTAACTTATTACACCAAACATCTGGATTTGGAGTACCACCTTCTTCCCATATTCGTAGGGCAGGCTCAAACACTCTGACCCAGTACTCTTTTGACAAATCCACCTAGAACCATGGAGTCAGGTCTAACAAAATGGGAAAGTGAATAAGCGTACCATCTTACAGGGTATATCGAGTTTCTTACAGACACTTTGAACGTCTGCCCAATCCTTCTTCCATTCGCAGCCTTCGTCTGTTCCTGATTCATCCCGGGTATCCCAATTGCGCATGAATATTGCAGAAAGATCATAGTCCTAGGGTCCACATGTTATAAATACGTCTTCAAAGGTCTGTATATCGGACTGACCTGTTGTGCTAGTAATCCTGCAACTACGGAGGAGTCTACTCCGCCAGACATAGCAACTACCACTGAAACCAACAGTCAAAATCGATAGTAAACCATGTAATTTTATTATTACCTTTGTCCCCTTTCTTTGGGTGTACTCTCGTGGCAAAAGTGCGACATGATGGAAGTGAACGTCTGAAAGACGAGAGCATCACGCAGAACAGAACTTCTGCAAGCCCAAAATCAAAATGGACGACTTGAAGCGCCGGTCCGACCACCCGCGTCACGTACACGTGACTTGACGCGGGCCATAAGCGCCAACGGACCAGGGGAACAAGCGGGAGCGTGTGAAGAGTGCAGAATCTGAACCTTGCTCCTCTCCGTCCTCGACCACAACGATACTTTCTGGCCTCCAATTGACCATCAATGCCGACCTCTGTGCGGAAGAGTAGCATAGGAACATCCCGCCCGATTCCACAGAAATACATTCCGTATCATGCGGACAACTATGAGAGGGGAAAACGCACTGGAATCTCAGTCGATTATGTTGAGACCTCGGACGATTTTGAACCTTTCGACAAGGTTTTGAGTCAGGCAGATAAGCGTACACCACCCAGGCCCAAGATACAGAAGAAGAAACGAAGACCAAAGACTCCCAAAACGCCCATTGTAGAAGAGGAAGAATTTGATGAAGATGGAGAAATGTCTATGGAACTTGAGGACAGTGAGTGATAATCCGGGTGGTACATCAATATAAACCAATGTGTTTGGACTCCATAGGTACTCCAAGAGGTCCCTCGGCATACTTCTCCGCCGCACGGGTGGCTATTACCTCTAGTCTACAGAAAGCTGGATCGTCCTCTCGACCCGTTCACCGGTCGTCCGATATGGACTATGACAGTATTCCGTCCCCACGCGCCGGCTCTTCCTCAGCGTTCTTGCGAAGGCAGTCTATTGCCAATGGAGGACGGTCATCTCATGCGTCCCGCCTTTCTCAGTCTACTGTGGCGCACGAGGACTTCGATGAGCCAATGGGCGCATTCGATGATGTTCCCGGACCTCCTTCATCGGATGACAGTGATAACGAACCTATGATATCTCCGCCTCGCAAGATTTCGAGACGTACCAGCTTCCAACAACTTGATAGGGATGAAGATGACCATGACAGAGAAGAAGAACAGCAAGTTGATACGCAGATTACTGGCCGAAGTCCTGCCTCTGCCAAAGCGCGCGGAAAGCAGCGTCAGCTGCAGTCCCCAGAACCACCCGAAATCGACATAGAGAACGATTTCGATATAGATATGCCTATGGACGACGAACCTCCTCCCGAAGAAGAACCCCAGGAAGAAGCGTCTAGGGGCAAGAAATCTCGACGAAGGGAACCTAGCCCGGTGAGGGAGAAGCCAAAGAAGAAGGCACGTAAGGAAAACGATGGCCAGACCGTATCTAGAAAACGCAACGACGGTATTCTCCAAGAAGGTAAGCAATTGAAAGTACGAAGTCTCCAACATACATGCTCATGGTTCACAGTCATACAAGATTCTAATGTCGAAGAACACCCGGAAGGTGTGCGACGTTCACGACGCGCTCGCTTCGCCCCACTGGAATACTGGCGTATGGAGAAAGTCGTCTATGGACGCCCGGAGCATGGTAAAGCGGTACTACCTGTCGTCAAAGAGATTCTCCGCGTCCCCAAGGAAAATCCGAAGCCACTTGGGGCGAAGAAGAAACGACGAACTCGAGCGAAAAGCCAGACGGCCGAGATTGCTGAAGACGCGTACAATCCGGAAGAGGGTTGGGATGAGGGAACAAAGAGCTACGGCATGGTGTGGAGCGTTACAAAAAACGAAGAGGTTAACAAACGTGCGTATTCGTGACATTTTTACTATATTCCAGGTGAATTAAAGCGAATTGATACCTTGTCTTAGGGGTCGTTCACTTGCAGGGGGACTTCAAACCAAGACCAGCCACAGGGGGAGGCTTTGAGTTTGAGAAGATCTTTGGAGACGAAACTTTCATTGCTGCAGGGCAAATTAAGATTGCTCCAAAGCAATCAAAGCCGACGAAGAGTACCAAGGATAATACTTTCGTGCGTTGCAAGCCTTTCTCCTTCCTATAATCGTGTTAATCATACCTATATGTCGACAGGTGTTCTTTGTCGTCCAAGGCGCGGTTGATGTTCATATACATCAAACTCTTTATAGGATTACTACAGGAGGTTCATTCATGGTTCCCAGAGGTATGGCCCGCTCATTGTACTATATATGCATATACTCAACCTCTTGTGCCCAGGTAACGTGTACCACATTCGAAATGCTGGAAGGAGAGACGCCATTTTGTTCTTCGCCCAAGCTCGCAAGATCAAGGAAGGTACGGAACCAGTCACTGATGCTGAAGCGGAGCAGACCGATGGCGAGTCACGATCTCGGTCGCGCTCTCGATCAAATACTTTGGTGCAGAAGGGACGCTCATGACGTGTAGGATCATAGTTAGTACGGCATTTCTTTTCTTTCGCGTTGTGGAACATGATGATCTGTAGTTGTATGACCCGTCTCTTCTGTATATCTTCTACGCATTGTGACTTATGCCCTAGGCAAACTTACCAACTGAGTTTCTCGGTATATTTTTATTCAATCACCTAAGTACCTGTTTAATCCTTCTAGCTTGTATGCCTTCGAGACCTTGCAGATGCTCAATATCATTTTCGTCATTGAATATCCTAAAAAGGCAAATGCTTTAGGATCTAACACGGTCAAATCAACTCTCAGGCCAAGTTCTTCTTTCCCAACTCTTACTTTGCAGATGTCTTCGCCGCTTGTTATGTCGACGTGATGCATACTAGCTGAGTATTCTGATGCAAGGCGCTTGCTTCCCGTCAAAGGTTTCCTTCCACGACAAAATCTCTCCACTCTGTCTTACTAAAATGAGCGGCTGGCTGCACACTGTTTCTCAACTGAACCTGTCGGACCACCTTTTTGTTTATGTTGGACATCCCGTTCCGCTCGATGTGCAACTATGCAAAGTATCTTTGCCACAAGCTCCGTACAATACAAACAATGTACAGTAGCCACGCGTTTACGACCAAGGTAATTTGAGGATCTGAATCTCCATTTGTCCTATCTCTATGGTACTTCACTCGATCTGTCTGACTGGATTTTGTGAACAATGCCGGTATGTTGCGCTTCTTTGGATTAAAAACTTTCACTGATGAACTTCACAGTGTTGTCTGACTTTGCTGTCGACTAAGTATATGCGGTCTGAGTTTTTTTGCATTCTTTATCCGAGTGGCCTTCAGACTTGATGTGATGGTCAATATATGGTATTTTTAGTGAGTCTCTGTCTTTGTCCAAATGACGCCTCGCCTTTGCGGTACCACTGGCTTTGGTCCTTTTGTTCTTTGATCCCGGAGGACCTTTGGCTACTCAATGGTCTTTGTGACCATTCCTTTGACTCGACAGCATGCACAAAGGGTGCATTAAGATCAGGGTCACAGCGCTCGCCGCAATTGGGTATATAAAGACTTCCACTGGACCCGGTCCTATACTCAGAATCCGACCTCTCAGTACCCCACCCCCAACCTTTGTTTCTGAGAATTCACTTACTGAAACCGCCATATCCTGCTACCATGCCAGTCGAACGAAGCCCCAAGGCAAGTCATACGTTCATGAATTTAGGAAAGTCTAACGACCAATGATACATAGAAGCGCAGATCCTCACAAGTTAATTCTTCACCGACTTGGCTGAGGCCGATGAGTCGACCAGACTTCGACGTTGCCAGAAGGCAGTCAACAAGGGACGCCATCGAAACTCAATCTCCTGAAGACGAAGGCAGGAAGACTGCCGCGATGCGGGCCTTAGGCCTTCCAAAGGCTAGTGAAGTGTCACTTAATACCCATCCCTTCGATTGGCCAGCCCTCGAAGCCACTCTTGAGGAGCTGAGATACATCAAACTGTCGGAGTGTTCTCCTGAAATTCAGGGAGATATATATTGTATACCGTCTGTTCGTGCCCATCTAGAAATATGCCTTCACCCTGTTAACATTTCTTATCTCAGGGAATATCGAAAAAGACGACGTCATGCGTTGTCGTGGACTACATGAATGCACCAGGTTGCGACTCCATTACTCCAGGCCGAAGCGGTTATCTTTATACGAACTCCAAGGTCTTCGGGGGCTTAGCAGCAGCTGGCCAAGAAATTGAACTATGCTGTCGCTCTGGGGAGTCGGCCAAATTCAGATACACTGGTATCTACCAGATACATGCCACAGATGTCGAACTATCCGAGAGTGGATGGAAAGCACTTCGACCCCAGGTAATTCAACATTTCCTCCGGTTACCAACAGATTTGTTGACTATCAAGTTACGTATAGGCTCATCGACAACTGTTGGCCATGGAAGGCTTAGGACCAGGAATCCCCACGTCTGTGCCTAGGCTTCGTTTGTTTATTCTGGAATTCGCACGCCACAAGAAGTTTATGATCGATATGCTCAACGACAAACAAGTTCAAGTGAAGTACCCGGTAGGCATGACACCTTCAAGTCCTCGTAAGAGCCAACCATCACCTTCAAAGAAGCGTCCTTAGAGTTCAGCGAGGTTTCTCTATCTCTTACGGCTTGATGTTTATTCTCACTGTATTATGATCCGTGTATTATGTTCTACAGTATGTTTCTCAATGCTATGATTCATGTCACATGCCATTCCTGCTCTCAGTCCTAAGCCCGTATAAGACTCTTACCTCACACCCGAATGTCTGGCAGTGGTATTATTCAACCTTACTCGACACTGAATCCAAGCCCATTAAAGGCGTTCGTTGAATGTGAAGACTTTGCAAGACGGCACGACGAGATCAAGTAAGCATAGCTAGAAGACGTCTGTGTAGGTCGTGTAACGGAGCAATTAACCAAATAGCGACTAATTTTCTGGTAACGGTAAGGAAAGTAAATAGTATATCGAAGAAAGTGCCAGTGAGCGGAGGGGTAACGAAGAGGAAAAGACCGAATAAAAACCTCCGAATGAAAGTAAGATATATTTGCAACGATGATGATGATGGTGATAAGCATAAGATGGAAAATAAGATGAAAGCAAGAGTATAGATCAAACTACTGCAGACCGCTGTTTGGCATGTGAGTTGGCTCTAGAAGGAACGGTAGTTGGCCTTCCAATATCCGAAGATGCGTATCCAAACTCAGAGTCTGGCGCGAGAAATGTGGAGGGATATGTATGCGGCGCAGATGACGCTGGACGTCGCTGGCCCATAGCATTAAGACTTTGCCCAAGATGCTTGGAAGAGACTGGAGGCACTTCATCTGGCACGGAGGGGAATGCATCAAAAATGTCCGGATCATAGCTAGAACCGGTGGTTTCAATGGATACCCATGAGGAAGGCCGTTGCTGCAAAGAAGACGTAGAACTCTCTCGCACAGGGGGACTGCCTGGGACAGAGGGTAAATTGAATGGAGAGAGGTGTGTCGGCGAAGGTCCACGGTGCGGGACGCCACCTACTGATAGACGATTATCACCGTCTGCAAGAAGGTGAGCATCCGGCTTTTTGCCAATATCCTCCCTTGGGGATCACTCACCGGCATTGACAACAGTCACACTGGAGTGTTTGTTCTTCCCTCTGCGCCAGAGCCGGTCCATGACAGAAGTCGCACGGCTTAATCCCTTCTCCTTCACCCCACTCTTCCACGATTTCGTAGAACTCATGATGGAACTGGAGTCTGAACCTGCCATGCTCCGGGAATCATGATCATGAGGCGGTGGAAGCGGAGGCGAAGGTGGAGTGGCAACCAACACGGAACTATCCTCCGAAGAGACACTGTTACGAGGGGTACCTGGCATAGTAGGCCTCCGCATTAAAGTGTTGAGGTAGTTGCGAGGGGATTTAGGCGGAGGCGTTGGAGGTCTCTCCTCACTACTACGAGACAGATTGTGATGTGAAATCGTACGCAGGCGTGTAGGAGCCATACGAGAAGGACTGGGTGAATGTGACACGGTGCGCATGCGTACCGGTGTCCCAGAAAGACTGTCACGAGACGGTGATTCGTAAGAGGTCTGAAAAGCTGCGGGAGATTGAGGAGGGGTAGCAGCAAGATATGGTAGACTTGACGAACCAGGATCGGGTAACGCGACCAAATCAGGATTCCACGATCTCGTGAAGTGAACCTCCATTTCCTTCGCTAGATCTCTCTCGACCTCTGACGGACCATCCTCTTCAACAGACTCAGGAAGCTCCTGCGAAGGCTCTGGACGTTGCTGGAGCTGATATTCAGCGAGAGAGTCAACTCTCACAGGTGTTCTTGGAGGCTCGGAAATTAAGTCCGGCGTCTGAGGGGTAGGAGGGGCTGCAACCGACACCAGTTCGGGGTTTACGGATTCTGAGGGCAGAACCAAGGGAGCAGCCTTGCGCGGAGGTTCACCAGACAATTGCTCCTCCAACAGCGAAGCATTCAAAACCAATCCCGCGAGGTCATCGAATTTCGGAGAGTCCAGTTGAACCTTTGCTATATTTTGCACATCATTTATACGGCGAGAAGGAGTTGGTCCATCCACCGGCGAGGATGCTGCGGAAGACGTTTGGCGCACTTTTTGGTGTACGACGGAGTGGAAGGATTTTCTGTGAGACTGGTTATCTATTAACCAGTCTTCAGACGGCGTAGGCGATACTAAAGGAGCCAAGTTTACGCGCAGAATAGGAGAAGACGTCGACGACGAAGAGCTCGCTTGCGATTTCACCGTATTGGCAGTCAATGGAGTGACTGGCGGCGATGGGTTGGGAGGTCTCGGCGCTGGGATGAGTTTGCCTCGAGTGACAGTAGGCGAAATATACAATGGGTCAGACACGATCACAGCTTCGGATGTGTCCAACGCCAAACTGTCTTCGCCGACTGCATCATCAGAGGGTGCACTGATAATGTGACTGACAGGCGGAGGTGTCCGAGGAAAGGCTACTTGCTCTGAGGATGCGGACAGAGGGGTTGCAGGTAGACTGTCACCAGCACTAAGTGGGGCCGCGGGGGCAGTGAGTGAAATGTCGACTGCCACGGAAGAAACTTGGCTAGCTACGGAGGCTTCGGAAAAGACGCTATCGGCAGGTGTACGAACAGGTGACGGTTCAGCAGATGTTACGTCAAAAACGGACAAGCTCTGAGAAGAGCTAACAGGAGATATTTCCACTTGAGTGATAATGGGTAGCTTATCCACAGCTACCGTTCGCAGCGGTGATGGACCAATGGATGCAACATCCGATGGAGTGTCATGAGGAGACGGCGTGAAGTCTGAGGGTGTTTCACCGACAGTAGACGGCAACTCTTGACTTGGAGACCGACGGTCAATCAGCAAATGAAGGGACGTTGCCTGTTCTCCGCTCAATGGAGATTGCGGCTCAGAAAACACTGACGCTGTACTGGGTGTTGAAACACTGGCGTCCACCGCAGCGGTGGAGACCTCTGAGTGAGCTTCAGCTGCTGCATCAAGAGGACTTTGTAGCGCCTCCTCAGATTTCTCGAAGGTTGTGCTAGAGGGACTGGGACTCTCCGAGTGTACGTCAGGCATACTGATACTGGATGACGAATTAGTCGACGACAAAACAACTGCGCCGGTGTGATCTAACACAACATTTCCTTGATCCTCTGCTGTGAATGTATAATCAGTCGCATCAGGCGGCGGTTGCGAAGGTGTGTCAGCCTCCATTGTTTCGGGCGACACCACAATTGCTGGTGCATTCGAGAACATAGATTCCACTTCATGCGGGGAAGGTGCCACGGGATCGTCTGCCGGTATCTTGCGCGTCGCATCCTCGGCGAGTGACTGTGCAGAAGGCGAAACAGGATGCTCCTCAACTGTCTCCGTGATCGGCACATCGTCAGAACCGTAGGACGCCTTCTTTTGAGGTAGGACGTCCGATACAACACGACGCCCGGCATTCGGTACTGTTGACGGTAATTGGGCGGTACCATTCCCACTGAGATTGAAGAGACTTCCGGACCCACTTGGTACCGGTGGTATCGGTTCCACATCCAGTCCTTCTGCGAACGTTGGTGTTACAGGTCTCGAAAGTGAAATAGAAGACGACGAAAGATGTGAACTCGACGCTGTTCGTTTCCTGGCAGCAGGAATGCTTTCGATGGCCGGTTTGGAAAGTCCCGGGACACGATTTCCATATAGTTCACCTCTACGTTTCGAAGACCCATCGTCAACTGGAGGTGCGCCGATACCAAAGCTACCCCGAGGTACCGGAACAGCACCCTGCTTCTCGAACGTTGCTATTTTGTCTCGTAAGCTTCCTGTCGTCCCGAGAGACGTAGAGGAAGACATGACAGACGTTCCATGCTGGGCATGGGTGTTTGGGATGACATTACGCTGTTGGAGAGCTGCGATACGATCCTTGAGATTGACTGGGGGTACAGGTGGTCGTGTGGATGTCCTGTGCATGTGCGGGTCAGCCACTGTTGGACAGCTGTAGGCATAGATATGGAAGCATAGAAGTCCACACGTACATTTAGAACAGAAGAGCAGAACCAGACTTTAACAAGGATTTGATACTAAACGATTGTTTGAAGTCGAAGTGAAGGAAGGTGTTTGAAAGGATGGTGACGGTAAACCAGTGCGGCTGAACTCGAGCTAGCGATGACCGCGATAGATCTAGCGCGTCGGATTGTATGCAACCGCCCGCACTGTCAGCGGATATCGAGCACAACGGCGACGGTAGCTAATGTCAGTTGCGGTGAAAGGCTGTAGCCCTCTGTGATGATAGGATAAAGTAAAGATGGTGGACAAAGATGTGTGTGTGCAAGCCGTCAGCAACAACTTCCCGCCTACGTCGAGCGCCCATAACTCTTCAGCGGCTGTATGATATTCCTCACATGGCAACGGAAGCAAAGCACACAGAAAATTGAATAACTCTATTAGTAGGGTATGAATAGTGCGCATGCATGCTAGGTTACTCAGGTGAAATGACGGCTGCAGAACGTGAATCGATACATACCAGGGATAAGACGGAAAATAATATCAATCAATTATCCCCATGTCTACGCCTTTCGACAACCAAAATGATCGTGTCCGTTCCCTCTTCTCAGATGCAGGTCCCTTGATCTCGCCCTCATCCCCGTCAACATCGTACTCGCTTTCCTCCTCACTGACCGCATGTGCATCGTAGTCATCTGTGCCAACATTCAGATGCACCGAAGGCTCAGGATCTGGGTCTGGGTCGAGCTCGTCCACTTCCTCTTCACTCGCATCCGAAGTGAACACAGTGTGTTCGTCTTCAGGCTTGCCTGTCCGTCTCCGTTTTATAGGTGGTTGGCTATGAGGTTCACGAACGTTGGCAATGCCATATCGACTTTCCTCTTCTTCGTCTGACGCGTGAGCGGCCGAGTGATCGAAGGAGTGATCCACGTCTGATTCATTCCATGCGGATTTTACGCTCTCTTGCGCCTCGCGCGAGCGTGTTTGAGACATAGGTTTGCAGCGACTGCTACTCGACTTGTTATTACCGTTTGGTCGTTTGACTTCCTCAGTCACAGGAATTGTTGGCTCGACACCAAGCATGCGATGTAGGACTTGGCTGTCATAGACCTCTTGGACTAATTTCCGGTGGTTTATTGTCTGACATAGCGAGACATTAGTGTGGCTATATACCGGCGGAGTAAGAAACACGTACCTCTTGAGTAACACCCATGACGCTCGCCAAGATACTCAGATCTTCCGGGTTATCGTGACGGTCACGACCTCGATTCCCCCGGCGGGAACTGATAAACCCCGCGTGAAGATATGCGGCCGCTGTCATGATCCCATGAGCACCGGCGAGAGTCGTCCGGACCTTCATGATGTTGTACGTCCCGCGAGAGATATCATTTGCTGAGACGTGTTCACATGAGCAACGCCACCATGTCAAAATGGATTACGACTCACATGCATCTCCAGGATCTTCGATGGACAACAGGTAACGAGAGCGATAGTCATACCAACCCCTCTGCTGCTTGTTGTAATATGAGCCGCCATCTCGTAGTGAGATGCCGACCTCCTCGTAGTTGAAGTAACAGCCATAAAGTTCGAAGAACTCCATCATCAATACACCCAGATTCTTCGTCGGGTCAATCTCGCCCCTCCGAATCTTAGGGTGCATCTGCAGAAAGCTGATGGCAAGACAAACAATACTATAACTTCCAAGACCACCAGTGAAAACCTCGTTCATACTTCGCTGTGAGAGGAAGGACTTGATGATGAGGACGAGAGGTCGGAGGGCAGGTAGTTCACGGAGAAAATGTTTGATGATCTTCCCTGCTGCAATACCGTTTACCTGGTTTATGCTCATGTCGACTGAAAAACGACCGTGACGAGTTTGGAACTTGATGATAGGCACTTTGGCTTTGTCGATTATTCGCACCTTGTCCGTGAGATTTGCTCGCTTGACCGTATTAGCTAAAGCACGCAAGACGTTTGACGTCTTACTGTATGCCATTGAGTTTGAGATGACGACAAGGTCAATGTCGCTGTCATAGGGTCGTAAGAACAACCATGGATAATACGCGAAGCGCAACATACCCTAACGGCAAGTAGAGTTTGGTTTCGTAACTGCCAAACGGCAAGACTTTGGCATCGGGGAATGCTTCAGTGACGGCCCTACTGATTAGAGCGACAGTCATAGTTCTTATATCTTCCTCGACTGGCGTTGGTGAGATGAAGTTAATGAAATCATCAACTTCCCGATGTAACCTACACCAGCAATCAATCATTTCTAGCCACAGACGCATAACAAATAAATAGACATACATCTCTGCAACGTTATTGCAGCTCTCCCAATCCACATCCCATACCCATGGTGCTCGTCTTGACGCAGCGTCAACCCTCTGCTTCTTATTCAAGTAGTCATCGTTGAAATCGAGCTGCTCCGATTTCCGTTTTTGACCAGCTTGACTGCGAGAGTCTTTCGCAAGCATCCTGCTCTTGCCTTTGTCCCATTCCCGAGCGTAAGGTTCCTTCTCATTTTCAGTTTGGGTATCGTTGGCCTTTTGCTTTCCTTTGGAGTCCACGGCTTCTGGTTCTTCGTAAAGTTCCGGCTCGTCGTCAAAGGAGAATGGAATGAAGTCTGATTCTGGGAACGTGCTAGAATGCCCATTCGCTCGCATGCTTGACCCTGAAGTTGATGAGGATGCTCCATTATCGTTTGGTGGGCTGTCAACTACAGCGTTGTTGGAGTTGGAAGGTCCGGCTTCAGATTGGGTGTCAACCTTCTTGTTCTTGTTCTTTCTTCGTGATTTGCGACTTTCCGCTGAGCTTGATGCACCTACAGACGTTGACCTCGAAGCAGAAGGAGTTGGCTTAGACGACGCGATGCGAGCTGACTTGGGTCTTGCGGGTAGAGATGCCATAGTGGCAACACGTGGAGGCCCAGTTGTGGCGGCTAGTTGGAGAATTTGGATTGAAATGGGCGCCTTCCCAGAGAGGCAGGTGTACCCCCGAAAATGGACATTTGTTTGGCAAGAGCTTCTGAACCAAACAAAGTTAAGACCTTTCAGGCGTCTAAGATGCTCCCGTTGACAGGTCTGAGAAGGGTGTATATGTGGAGACCAGTACATGCTTCTGAGTCCTTAGAAGGTTTAGAAGGGTGCCATGATCGACACACGATCGTTCTCCCCTGCGTTCATGTGTAAGGTTAATCCATCCCACAGATACAGACGTGCAATAAACAGGTATCATATTGTGGTGTAGAGTAGATATATCCAGCCCGAATAAATAACTATACAACAAGATCACTACACATCTCACATTATCAGAACTGTATGAATATATCGTCATAAGTGTGATGGGTCAAGAGAAGGAAATTGCACGTACTCGAATTTGATATGATCCACTCGCCTTGGTCAGGTATCGTACCCACTTGATACTATTATAATTGCTCTTCTCGAACACCTTCAAAAAACGGACGATCAAACCGGAAGCCGTGAACATCAAGACTTGGAAGTCAACATCGATCGGAGGTCGAGCCCAGACCTGTCGATGAGTGGTGCTTGTCAGGTGCGCAGTTGCAGACAAGGAGATTTCCTGGCCTCCTTGAATACGAGGAACCCTATAATGATTACATGAAGCGCAGTGAGTTTGACTTCCCCAACCAATAACCATGTTACGCACTTCCATACGACGACGTTCTCTGCGGGAACATACTTCGCTTTCCCACTAGCGACTTTGGTATCCACACTAGTTGTGTTGAGTGGTGTGGGTATTCGAATGACAACGTTCGTCGCAGATAGCTTGTTGCTGAAGTTCGTCTTCACTGTTACGACATATGATACTTGTGAGGTACCGATTTCGTTGACGGTGGGGATAACCCTCAGCGGCAACTTGACATTGGACGTCGACCGATACCTATGCACAAAATGAGTTCCAGCCATCATGTTTCAGTCCTCTCTAGAAACTTACTTCATCAACTCGAACTCCCCATCGGGCGGAATGAAGCTAATCGTTCGAGTGGAATCAAACTCGTCCAACCTCACGCATTGATGGAATCGACAATCATCCAATTCCACGGCATCCCCAATCCCCCGTTCATTCTTATCAATCACTAGCTTGTCATTTAACCCAAACTTGCACTCGGGTGTTCCAGACAAATAAGCACGCATCAATATGTGACCATCAACGTCTGCGCGGAGGATGGTGCCCTTGGCACTCATACTGAGATTGACGGTTTCAACGACATCTACGAAGGCTTCGTTCTTCTTATACTTGACGTCACCTCGTCTCCAGCTGATAGCTCCTGTTGCTTGGGTCGTGATCTTGGAGGATTCCTCCTGGATGAAGATAGTTATTCAGTTAGTTGAGACTGGCCGCAAAAGACGACAAGGTTGGTTTCTCACAGCCGGTATACTTGTCGACATCACACTCTCCGTTGTGATGTAACTCTTCAGGGTATCAATCTCGCTATTCTGTGGGTAGCCAAAGTCATTGATCTCTGGATTCCATCCAATGAGTATACACAAGACTTGATACAAAATTCATCACTTACCGTCAATAAGCTCATAGATTAAAACGAAGTTATTCTTCACAGACTCTTCGTCGACCTTGCCAAAGTAAGACTTGGCGATCGCAATGAAGCGGTAGCAGTACTCGAAGACCAATGCCGCGTTGGCATTGCACCTGACAATCTATTAGTGAGCCTATACATAAGCTAAACCGAAATGACGCATACTTTGTGACCGCAACTATGTACAAGTTGTTAATTCGGACATGAAAGAAACTGGTAGACCCAAGCGTGATGATCGGTGAACGAACATCACTGTTGGAAATGACTTGTATCCTAAAGACGTCGGCAATGGAGCGTCTGCACACAGTTCAGCTATACATTCAGGAACCATAGATAGATACAACGCACTTGAGGTCCGTTCGGTACAATCGCGAAATGAGAACCTGTGAAGCATCTGTTCTACGTGTTCTTGGGTTCAGAGACACCGATACTAAGCGCTGCGTACCTCTCCTTTCTGATTGAATATGAAGAACGCCTGTGAAAGTTTGTTTAGAGCACGTTCGACATCCCAACTTAATCATTACGCACCGAAATCATGGAGACTACTCGGCTTTTGAGCTTTTGGTCGTCGGAGGAGTGCGAGTGCGAGAGTGCGACTATGTAATGAAGCGCCCGTCGATCACGATTGGCTAGTTACTGGACTACACTAGTAGCGGTGTTAACGGCCCGACAGGCCGTCATTATTCTTCCATTGATCCTCAATCCTCTGGACCGCCGACTATCTTTCCCACTCTCACTTCCTGACTGCCACGTTGACTTTGCTCCGTAAGGCCGTTGAATGGTACTCTAATTCGGAATTCTTATGGTTAATCGATGGAAACGGAGCTGCGGCCTCATAGGCAATGTGATGTGATGTGAGCAGGTTTGCCTCCGGCCCTATGCAGTGGGAATGAATATATTGACACCGAATTACACGTACTCATACTGCTGGTATAGGACACACTGGATATTCCTACGCCGTCTTGAATGTTTGTATAGCACTGTCCGCTGCTTTTTGAGATTCCCAGAACTGAATCTAGCTTTGATGAAATGAACTGCTGACCGGGGAGTGCTGTTTTTGCCTCCGTCGAAGCCACCGTGGATCCTTCCCAACGTGCAGGAACAAGTCCTACTGAGTTTTTGCGTGTTAATTGTTGAACAGCAATAGTACCGGATGCATTCGACGGACAATCGTCGGAGACATGACCATTGGTCGAAGACCGTGCATTGCGTATAAGAATCTCCTTTAACATCTCTCGCCGCGGCCCTCGCCTTGACCTCGACATTGTCCACAAGGTGGTTAGCAAGAGGTACGTCCATTATCTTTGACGAACGGCCATTAGATGATCGTTTGCCCTGTTCCGGACCAGCCTGAATCGCCACTCATTGTAAGCTTACTTTTGTCAACTTGAATTTCTACCCTGCACCCCCCGACACGGAGTATTGAGTTGTTATCCACTACGATGGTATCACTAGTTTGGCAACTACTCGTCGTGTGCGGTACCGCCACATTCGTATGTGGAAAATGGAATACAACTAAGTTTCTATTTGCTTTCGGGGACTCGTATACAACCGACGGTTTCAATATATCGGCCGGTGTGGATTCACTAGTACCCGGCTTTGTAAGTGATTATCATTGCTTGAGGTTCTATTTCATCTCAACCTCCTTACTAACTCCGAGTTGTGGCTGTTTAGACCTCTTCCAATGGTCAGAACTGGGTTCAGTTTCTCGGTATGTCAACAAATGCCGTTGACAGATCACATCGGGCTCAAATCTCCGTAAATCTTCAGGTGGAACATACAACGTTACGAACACCAAGGTCCGTGAACTACTCGGGATACCATAAGTATACTTGACGTTCATATACACGTGGTGAACACTAGGTTTTCGATCTTGCCTCCGGTGGCGCTACTATCGATGCTGCGCTGGTACCGCCGTTTGAACCCACGGTGCTGTACGTCAAGATGATATTCATGCAACTAGTGACTGACTTTATTGCTTCCTGCCCGCGTTCTTAGCTCGATAGTGGACCAAGTAGGCCAATTCAATCAACTTCTAGCGCCGAAGCCTGTGAGCGCATCATGGAATGCGTCAAATAGTCTTTTCGCATTCTGGATTGGTATAAACGACGTTGTTAGTGCTAGCTTTTCATACACGGCCTGACGTTTGTGTTAATTCCGAATCGTGGTTATTAGGGAAACTCGTTCGGCTGGGTATGCGTGTTCATTGCTTCCCTGCAATGGCTTAGTGATTCGAACCCGTCTGCCTCAGACAAATGTCACATCGCAGAGCGATTTTCATCGGACTCTCATGAGAAGATTGTTTGGTCAGGTGAGCCCATGCCTCCTTTGCGACCGTTACCGATTTGACGCAGCAGTATTTTTGCTTGGTTTCAGGTGGATAGCCTCTTCCAAAGCGGCGCTCGCCAGTTTTTATTCCTGACAGTCCCGCCTACTAATCGCGCCCCGCTGCTTATTGATCAGGGTCCTAAAGCCGTCGCGAGTATTACATTTGCATTGGCAGATTTCAACAACCAGCTGGCTGCCAATGTAAAAAATTTCCAGCAGCGACATCGGGGCGTCACCGCGAGCGTTTTTGACACTAGACCTATCTTCAATACCCTTCTTGACCATGCCGATACATTCGGATTTGTCAATGTGACTGGGTTCTGCGAGGCTTACCAAAATGGTACGCCTGATATTAACACGCAAATTCCACCGTGTGCTCCGGTGTCCAGCTACTTGTAAGTGTATCATGGGTTCAAGCACGCCTCCGTCTTAGCGTCTTCACGCAGCTGGTTGAACTCTCTACATCCGCTCTTCACCATCCACAAGTAAGCTGTTCACTTACACAGTTCACGTATGATGTAGTGCATGACGTACTAACTACATTTGCTGGATATATAGCACTCTGGCTAAGGCCATTGCAACATCATTGAGTGCCTAAGCTTTGGAAAGTTTAACAAATGCGCAGGCACATCTACACTCCAGGACAGAAGCATGATTAACGGACATGAATTGTGTACATCGTTGACCCGTAGAATATCAAGTCTCACCCCCTTCTGCGCGCTTGTGATGATTCGCAGTGGCACGCACTGCCATGATCAAGATTCATCACACGCTCTAAGGGGCGGTGATCCTGGGATAAGGAGAGGGACTGTGAAGAACTGGGAGTTAGCCAGGCTGGAAGCAGAGCACAATTATGGCTCCGTCATCAGTGACGTCCAGGTACCATCAAATTAAACGTCCTGCAGCCCTTTCCAGAGGGGCCAAGCAGGGCCACGGGTACTCTGGAAGCGTCGTCCAGAACGAAATGTAGATTGTCGTGCTCGTGCGTTCCAACGGATTGCCAAAAAAAAATGTGGTCGATTCTTAGGTTGATAAGGTCCCTGAGAAGTAGGGTTTCTTCTGGATGACCGATTGCCCGAGGATTGGGGTTGCAAGCTATTGTCAATATGGACATAACGGCAATAAAACGAAAACGTCCAGGATGGGACAGTGATGGGACCAGGTGAGCCATTGGAATGGGTGCCACACGGAAGCCCTGAAACACGAGTTAGAGCAACCTAAAGATTTCCTTTCCTGAAGCTGCAAGTAGCTCACTAGACGGGGATGCTAATACTTAAATTAGCCTCGTTGTGATTCGGATTGAAATACTGCCTTCATTTCGGAGCCTGAAGAGAGAGAAGGTGTTGCCTTGCGAAGACCGCAGGAAGTAAGGTTGAAAGCTTAACGGACCGAAAAACAGCTTGGCCGTCCTGTCAACAAACTATTTGGTGCAGGGTCATAGACCACACAGGGGTCAGAGACGGCGGAAAGCGAGCGTGATATAGCGACGGTGAATTAGATCTAATAGGATGACCATGAGACAACGCAAGCCAGTCAAATTGTAGCACTCTGGACATCTATTAATGCGTCCGACATAGACCCTGGTATTGCTGTTTTGGAGGGCGACTAGAACATGTTGGCTCGATTGCGTTGGCTGTGAGTATTGTGTCCCGCAGAGAAGAAGCAGAAGTCTCGATATACCTCACGAGCGGACATAACACTCTGGTCCTTCGAGTATAGTGGAGTGTAGAACCCCTGCAGCCGTCGTCGGCCAGCGCACGTTGTTATAAATGGTGCAGTGAGCAAAAGTCACGCGGATAGAATAACATGGAGGATCCTGTTATCGTCATGCAATGAGGTGGATCTGATGGATACGGAGAGCTTCGGGTCTTCTTGCTTAGAAGCCCCGGAGAGGAAAGGATTACAGAGAGGCGTGATCGCGATGGCCTCATAATCACGGCGTTATGGAAGTATCCCAACGGTCAGCAGTCCAGTGGTGCAGTGATTAGCGAAGCTGCATGACACGTAAGACATGCGAAAACCTGGGGGACTTCAAGCGGCACGCGAAAAACAGCAGGTGTATCAGCACTATCCGCGGAGAAGAGAGCCGCCTACCCGCGACTCCACGCTTGCTAACATTGTCGCCGAATGATTGTTGGTCCATAGAGGCGTGCAACGGTAGTATGCTGTACACGGCCGCACGAGTCTATCAAACAGCGATACGAAGAGGGAGCAGAACGGACATGTTAGGTCCAAGCGAAGTAGCACGAAGAACGTGCTGGGCAGCGACGATAGGCCATGTGCCTATCGCGGCGTAATAGTTGAAAGCGTAGAGCTGAGGCGTACTTGAAGCAGCTCACCAAGAGTCTCGCTTAGCAAGGTGAGTAGGGCAAGATCTTCGGCGTGCGGTTCATCCGTGCCGGAACAATGGGCTCTTCTCACTGTGATAGGAGCCTTAGAGACACCCTTCGAACATACTCCACCGTACAGAGTCAATCAACCGTAAACCTTCGCCACTCGAAGCCAGCATTGCCGTGAGACAAAGACTTGCAGTTTAATGGAGAGGTAGAAGAACCTTATCAGACTGGTGTAGACCAAGGCGCATCAACTCCATGTCGTCGCCGTCGACCTAACGGCATAGCCAAGAACTTTTCAAATGCGGAATTGACTCCGTCAGGTCCTGAATATGAGCAGCCTGAGAACAGAAGCAGATGGCAACCCACATCGGAAACTCTTTCATGGAACACGCCACATTACGAACCCTCATAGCGCCTTGATTTGTGCGTTATTTCAAGCAGGTGATCCTTAGTATCCAAGAAATGTTATATCGATGAACGGATGCACTGCGGCCTGCGCCGATCAGTGAATAAATGAACGTCTCATCGGCCGTTTGAACGCTTTGGGGGAAGAGCTCTTTGAGGTGAAAGCGATCGTATGGGCATTAACAAGTCGTCTGCACGATGAATTTGAAATATTCAAATTCGACAGACAGTGTCTTCAAGACTAGAGACTAGGAGGATGTCTTGTAGAGATAAGTTATGAGGACTCTCTTGCGGCACGTCGATGAAGAAATATTGTAAGGACGTATCCCATATTTCAGGCAAGTAATAGTCACGTCAAAGCTAGAGTTCTCGTTGTGCGATCTCAGGAGGCCGCTCCGGACAAACATGAGCATTCGTGCACAAGACGCCAAACCGTGTGCGCTCGTGGCTGAATGCATGGGGCATTCTTTGAGCACAGTACCTAATACAGGCTATATTATGATCATCGTACCTCGATATGATATAGAATTGCTGCTAGGATATCATCAGCGGCAGAAGAACTGTTATTGTATCACATGAATACCTTGTTATGGGAGAGGCCAAGCTATGATGTGTGGTACAAGAGCAGCAGGACAAGACGGCTTGGTCAAGTCAGGAAACTATTGCCCGAATGATTGCGGACGGGGATAACATTATCGTATTCGTGGGCAACGGCAGGCCGTTAGGACACAGCCTTGTGCTCGGATCTTATTGGCAGCAGGGTTGCCAACTTGCAGCGTGTGGACCGGTCAATTTATGGGTAGACATACAGCTCAGTAGCATAAGGATACGAATAGCATCTCAAAAGGCCGTCAAACAAAGAGGCAAGCTGTTGAACAGTGAACACTCACTTGTTCAGTGATGATGTCGTATAACGGCCCGAAAGGACCTAAGCTTCGTCATGAAAGGGTGGGATGAAGTGTCAAGGGGTCACACCGTACTCGCAGATCTGCGAGGCACGATGTACCAGTAGGGATGTCAATTCGCCATGGATGGATTCGGCTGCCCACGGAGATATGCGCAGATAGATGGTGAGATCCATGGACTGTGCGGCGACGGCGAATACAATGTATCAATAGGTGAGCGTGGACTTGGAGGAGAGGATAGCCTCTGGAAAGAGAATAATCAGTAGATTCATGTCGGATAGTATTCTGAGTCTGAAAAGGTTATTCGGTCGCTAAAGTAACCATATATGGGACAACGGCGCATCAAGGATCAGCGCTTCTCAGAGTTGTTCCGCAATTGTAGCGGTCCCGCCGTTCGTTGTGTATTCCTGTCCAGGGGGCGCTGTTAGTAGCATGGGAACAAACTAGCGCGACCTCGGAAAATGCAAATCTATGGCAGGTCGGAGACTGCTCCCGGTCATGCCAGATATGTCGGTGCATTTGCAATTGGTTCCGTGTAGCTCGGTGCGAACGGATGAGATCTGGGCATCACAACGGAGATTACACGGCGTTGCTTGTCGCTCGGACAATCAGGTCGGTCAGTGCCGAGCCAGAAACAGTTTAAAGTATATTGACCCCGATTCCCCGACAGCAGGTCCGCGACACACCTAAAATGGAGACATGTTGTATTTTTCAGGCCTGAGTGCCTCGCCTATAACACGTTTGTTCAGTGCTTAATCTCTCTTGTTCCATACATCTCGGACGGGACACTTCCCAACGCATCACGGGGCAACGTTGTCAAGGAATGCTAGCGATGCCATCGTTGCCGGATATTTGACGCGCAGGTACACCGACCGATCTGGCATTTACGGAATGTTTGAGCGCAGGTATAAACTCGATTTCATCTTATCTTGCTGCATTTCGTTCAAAACATGTTCCCTTTCCTTCTTCTCTCATCCACCTTGGTCATCCTGTGTCCACGAGACCGTCCCGCCTAGTGCGGCTTCTTCCACCCATAAATCATCCTCCCAAATTCTCTCCCGCACGTTCGCCTCTCCGGCCCTTCCCTGCTGCCCCTTATATCCGGCCTTTCTGAATCACAGTTGACCCTTCCCCTCTCCCCCCATTCTATGGATCCAGGCCGGCCTCGTCATGAGCATTCTGCGCACCATAGTCCTCGCGATTCACCATATGGTACTGCTCTGCCTCCTAACGTCGACGAACGAAATGTCGCGTCCTCCACTTCCCCTCGCGTCATGACCTTGCCTTCCATACATCATTTGCACCCAAACCTCCCGCCTGCGAGCGCGCCACTGCAGCAGATAAGCTCAGGATATGCTTCCCAACCTCTTCCAACCTATCTTGCGAGTGCAGCTTCACCAGGAAATTCTCCGAGTGAGTGCTCTTTGTTCGACGTGATATCATGCTATTGGTATACTTATCTGGACTGGGATTTCGGGAAATCACGTCCATGATCATCAACTAAGGCACTCGCAAGGCACCTTATGATTCAGATCCGGAGGAGCCACCAAAGAAGAAACGTCGCAGACAGGCGTTAAGCTGTACAGGTACACACTCCGCTCGGTTTTTTTAATGTGCTACAGGCTGACAAACATTGTTATGTTAACATCCAACTCGACTTGCTGCGCGTACTACCCTCACTTTCACTAATTTATGCCGGTGCATCTCACTCACGCTAGAGTGCAAGAGACGTAAGATAAAATGTGACAGGTCTGTGATGTTTGCTTACTAGTCATTCACCATTTCGAGATTAACTGATGGCCACCTGTAGAGCGCAGCCTTGCGGACCATGTGCTCGCCGTGGTGAGCAGCACAAGTGTCAATGGCACATCATCGAGCCCATGTGAGTCAAGTACTCTTCCCAATTCAATTACTCGTTGATATACTGCTGTCAGGGAGAAATATGTAACCCGAGCGGAGTTCGATGAGCTTAAGTCCAGAGTGGACGAACTTGAATCGATCCTTACTCAAGTAGCTCCCCATCTTATACCCTCTCATCCATCCCAAGTGCCCGGACCGTCATCCACGATGCCCTTAACCCCTGGACCGCCAGTCGACCCCATACAAGGCACTGCAATTACGCCTTACCATCAAGCACCTATAACGACAGGTCCCGGAATTTATCACAATATAATACCGTCATTGAGATCATCCACCCGTGGAGATCCGCCACCCTCTCCTCACGGACGTCTCACAGGACCTTCGCGTAGCCCGTTAGCGTCATATCGACAAACACCCCTGCCGCCGGGGCCGCCGCCACCTCGCCCGATGCCACCTTCGCAGCCGCAAATACCACCGCCTTTGCGTTCTTCGTCGATATCACCTGCGGTTTCGTCCAGTTCCCGTTTGCCCCCTACGTCGTCGACAAGCAGGACATCTGTAGCGGCCTCGAGACGCGCATCGCTTTCGGTGCCCAACTTAATTACCCCCAACCCTCCTGATATGGCCTCTCAGAACCGACAGTCAAAAAATCTGAGAGCGCAGGCGCCACCACCGCTGGGCCAGCGTCTGCGCCCAATACCAGTTCATTCAGGCTCAGCCCCCCACATGTTTTACCCTCTACTTCCTCCCATTCTCAAGCCAATCGCCGTCGTTCCATAGCATATGGAAGTGGAGAAGTATCGCCACCAGGTTCCGGTTATGTCTCATATCAATCTGAATACGTACGACTGAATCCTCCGGCACCGTCGTCTTCGTCTTCAGGTTCATTACCTGCAGGCATACACGCTCGTCGATCTACCATAAGCGGTCCTTATTTGCAACATCCTTCTGGGGAAACCGAAGATCAGGGCGGTTCAGCCCCACGTCGTAGTTGATGATCGCACCATCATGGTTTGACTGACACTCCTTGTGAGGAGTCGGCCGTAAGGAGTTTGGCTCCTCACCGTTGACTTGATTGCATCTTTCGTTTTTATAGTAGCAATACAGTAGTATGTATTACTCAATCGTGCTCTAGTGTTATATTATACCCTCTGTGCATTAAGGCTCCCGCTCACTTTTCTAGTCTTCTCATACATTTGAATGAAGGTGGGACTGTATTGCTGGTTTTCTTGATACCCTAAAATACACTTGACACTTCGTCTCATGGCAGCATACCTCAATCATACTCTACTTCATGGATGACTGTCTAGATATTTCTCTAACCACAGTTTGATTACAAAATAAGGCATAAAATCTAACAATCTATTCCATGCACACTGAAACTACATAACTGTTCAGGGAAAGTAATCATAATGATCGTTATCGGCATCTTCCCTCTTCCATTGGGTGGTGGAGGAAAGGCGGGAGGCAAGAAGGGGCGTTCGGAACAAGCGCACGTGTGTGTCAAAGCACTCGAATAGCGGACATACAAGCCTTGGCGACTCGTCTGCGACACGTCCTATGCAGGATGCTGCAAGGTACTGAACGCAGACAGCGTCCAACATCTCGGCAAGGGGGATCGGAGCGCCCATCTGAAAATCATGCATGCTGGACAGTCAGGAGAGTTCCAATTACGGAGACGATGATGGGCGAAATGGAGGAACACCCCTTCCAAGCTGTCATTGGCGTGTCGCAGGGAGAAATCGCGCCATAACCAAGACTGAGGTGGGGGAAATCACAGGCCCATTTACAGTCCGTTCAACTAGAACGTCGTAATCCCGGATTGTGTACCCGTGTACTGAGACTTCATGTCATCAACGTCGGTGCTATCGTCTTGGCTCTTGTAATCGTACTGCGAGATGCTGCCCAAGTCCGATGCGCCTGCCAGAGAAGAGAAGGAGGCACGACGTCTGAGGCGATCAGACTGCGAGTAAGCCAACGAGCTCGCCCGATCGGACATGCCAATGGCACTACCAGTAACGCTTGCGGTGTCCGTGCCGCCAGGGCCAACATCTTGTGAGATGATTGAGCTGGCATAGCTGCCATATGTGCTACGTTTTGCTCCATTAGACCGAGGGATACCAGGGCCGAAGGGACTGTTAGCGGCGAACATGGGCAGACCGGATGAATAGGTGGCTTGTGACCGGAGGGACTGCATATCGGATGGAATATAACCCAATGCATCGTGGGTGCGATAGAAGCTTGCATCAAAGCGGCTAGGAGTCCCAGACCGTCGACCTTTGTTTAAACTCACATCAGCTCATGTCACGACCGCTCAAAAGTTATAAGACTTACTATCATTCATCATTCCATTGCCTAGATAGTCGCGCGCGATGGTTTCATGTCGACGGAATTGGTCCATAGCCTTCACCAAAGTTCGGCGAGGCTTGCTAAACTGTATCATGCTCGGTTGTAAGTTGTTCAGCGGACCTTCCACCAAGGTGTTCTTCTCCTTGTAGTGAGTCAGCAGGTAGTGCCACAAGGGGTGCTGCGAGATTCGATGAGTATAAGTTAATCAGCTTGTGGAGACTAAACAAATTAGCTTACCTTGCTCAAGACCTTGGGATTGCCCAATATAACGACTCCATATTTCGCACGGGTCAGGGCGACGTTCAGACGTCTCGGATCGTTCAGGAATCCAATTCCTTGATGCTCGTTGCTCCTGACGCAGCTGAGAATGATATAGTCCTTCTCCCGTCCCTGGAAGGCGTCGACGCTCGCGACCTCGATTTCCTTGTACAAATCTTTCTTGAGAGACCCATTAAATTGCATATAATTGACGATGTAGGAGCGTTGCCCCTCGTAAGGTGTAACGACACCAATTTGGGTAGGAACAACACCAGATTTGAAGAACTTGGTTACAATCTTTTCAACGTTAGACGCCTCAGTTCTATTATGGTAGACACGTGTCAGCGACTCCAATACGTAAGAGCGACTACTACACATACCTGTTCAGGAAAGACGTTCCGCTCGACGAAATCTCTTCCTGCCCCAAGTTCTGATAGAAGAACATGGGTGTATCAGGAACGGGCCATGGGAAGTCGACATTCTTTCGTAACCGCTCCGGAGCGGTAACACCGTTCTGCAAGGTACCTTCGTAGAACATGTTGGAAGGGAACTCCGACAAGCAAGGATGCATTCGGTACTGGACTTGAAGACGAATGGGGCGATTTCCAAGGACAACCAACCGCTCGAACAAGGACTGCGTGAGACCCGCGCGCGCAGCTTTCTTGTTCATGATCACAGGGCCCAATTGCTGTCATGCAAAAATGTCAATATACCTCAGAATACACGAGGTGTGATAATATACGTACCTGATGATCTCCGACGAGCACGACTTGTTTGCAGCCGAGCACAAGGGGAATCATACATTCTAGAAGACGGAATTAGACGTGACATGACAACGGAAATAAGAAACGGACATACCAGGCTCCGCTGCCTGAGTGGCTTCGTCTATAAGAACCGTTCTAAACTTTAACTTGCTCAGCCGCGGGTCCCCAGCGCCAACGCAAGTACAGCATATGACATCAGCAGCGCTGAGAATCTCTTTCTCGCATTGTCGAATAAGAGCCTTGTACTTCCTCTCGTCGTTGGAGCTCAGTTCTCCCTGCTCATTCTTGAGCTGGATGAGCTTCTGCAGCTCAACATGAGTCGTATTATTTGCGACTTGTTGATGAAGAGTCAAGAAAGAAATGGAAGAGTCAAGTGCCTCGCGTGATTTGGCAGTAAGGCGGACAACCTTAAGACCAGTAGCATGAATCTTCTCCGTCAGCTGATCCACAGCAACGTTGGAGGGGGCGCACACGAGGACTTGGCCAGGATTCATCTTCGCCAAATGATAGACGATAGAAGCGGAGGTAACAGTCTTGCCAGTGCCAGGAGGGCCCTGAATCAGACTGATAGGCTTCTGCAAGACGCTTTTGACAGCATACATCTGCGAGTGATTCAGTTCTGGAAGGCCCGGCGCAGAGAAACGCTTCGGCATCTGTGTGCGGAGAATCTGGGGTTCGAGCTCATGACCGAGCAACTTGTGATACTGAAAATAACCATCAGGATAAGAAACGAGTGGTGACAGAAAATAAAAGAAAGAACGTACGATGTATCCGCTAACGCTCTTCTCGTCAACAGCGAATGTTTTCATGGCGAGCTGCATTCGATCAAAGCTTGTAGATTTCCAGACGAAGTCAGCGGTGAAGTTGTGCGTTACGTCGATAGGCACGCCCTCGGATCTTCGTAGCTCCAGGCCAATCTCATCAGAAATGTCTGGAAACAGAATGATGACGGGTTAGAGAAGAATCATACATAGGAACTGGGTAACTCACTATTAGGGATCTTAATAACATGACCGTCACCCTCCCAGGGTTTATGCAACGAGCCCGTATATTTCAGCCGAAGCTCATCACCGACCGCCAGCCGAACTTCGCCGCTCTCCAACTTTGGAAGACAAAACCATGCGACACGCTTCTGGTTAAGACCCAAATCCCATCGCACCGAAATGTCAGTTTGAGTTTGAGACTCCTTCAGCCGCTTATCGTAGTCGGCTTCTATCTTGACGAGCGGGCCAAAAATATTCTGATACTGATATGCATCCTCATAACGCAGTATGACGGGCTGAGGTTCATCGTCAACACCGGGCTTCTCCAGATCTTCGAGTGTGGCATTTGCATTATCGCGCCATAAATCTTCAAGCCGATTAATTTGCTGGAACGATATTTGACGGGATCTGAGTTGTTCTGTCTCGCTAGGCGGCTTTACAAGCCACGATAAGAACGAACGGTCGTCGATGAGGGGTGCCCACAAGGAGGCGTTCCAAGAGATATCCTTGGAAATTGCCGCACAAGGTTGACTGAGAAGAGTAAGCGAGGTGCAAACGGTTACAAAGCTTAATAATCACTTACCGACAGAGAAGCACGACTACAGTGTCACTCTTGGCAGGAATGAAGCCGAGCATAAAGACGTTCTTGCTACCGCAGTTGTAGCACTCAGGGACAGTTTCCCCTAGAGGACTCTCTGCGTGCAAGATGACCTCCTTATGCTTGGCTCGCACGAGATGATTGACGATGTGCGAGGCGGAGGTGTTGCCACGGGAATTGCAGAACCATTTGGAGCAAATGAGACACTTGACTACGGATGCAGGGGAATGAATACCGCAGTAACTACGAATAACAGCATTAGCATTAGCAAATGGGGATTGAATGGAGTGGTACGTACCTGCATGCATGAGGCGGTAGATCAACTTGTCCTTCATCCTTCAAGTCATCAAGAACCGCGTCAAAGTCATCATCTATCCCGTTCGTGGACGTTCCGTGATGATGTCCGTGCTCGGAGGCACCGTTGGAAGAGGCGATTACTGAGCGGTCATCGGCGATCGACAGGCTCACCAAGTCCACGGTTACAGAACTTTGGTTGGTGGTATTCGCAGTATAAACCGAGGAAGTATCGTCTACAATGCCTATTCCGCCGCCATAAGACGACGCAGAGTCGTACTGGAAGTTTTCAAAGGAGTCCATGGTGGTACAGAGGAAAGCTGAGCTGAGCAATGGCTGAGTGCACTTCGACTCTTTGCGGTACCGCCCATGCCAAAGCCACGTGGAGAATGAAACAGGTAGCGCAGGCTGACTAAGCGCCCTCTATCCACCATGTCTCGAAGCAACGGACGACCAGAGGCAGAGGTCATTGTCAATGTCTGGGGTCTTCGTTCGTTTATAACATACAGAATGACTTATGGCGGTGTTTAGTTTGCAGATGGGATGTCCTACAATAAGGGCAAACTAGAGGAAGCATACCGATCCGGTGGTATTCTTGAGAAGCCAGTGAAGCATTCCAAGGAAGCTCATAGCGCGAAACGAGAGGATATTGATCTCATAGTGAGTTTTCTCTCATTTAAACAAATGCCTAGAAACCAACAATTGCAAAGGTACATGAACTAGACCTTACACGGGCGCAAGCAGAGAAGGTGCTCGCTGAAAGCGGAGGAGACGTTCGAAAGGCATTAGAAAAGCTCATACTGTTGTAAACACGTGAAGTGGTCTCGTTTCAACTACCATAGCCAAGGTTCCAAGCTATTGAGAAGCAGGTTTGCTCGCTGAAATGAGATTCGAGAGCGTCGACAACACCTTGCCGGAGTCAACTGGCGTTTCATCCAAGGATGGAGCAGCTGGTTTCTTCGGCTGCACTTTGAAGATTCCTATAGGGAGGTTCTTTCCCACTCCTTCAACCTGTGCGACATACTCCCTCGACCCTGGAGGATGTGGATTGCCCTGCGACATCCCCCCCTGCTCGCCTACCACCTGCACAGTGGCTTGAAGCGACGTGTTGACAAGGTCTTCAGGATGTTCCCCAACGGTTTCTGGCGCGTTATACAGCGTAGCTTCGACCAACCGCATTGGTGCAACACCCTGCGTAGGATTGCGATCGCCCGAACGAGAGAGCTTCGTCCAGTCCATGGGACCACGTTGGTCCCTCAACCCAGCTGGCAAGTGGGCAGACATGCCGGCAAAACTGGCTCGCATGTTATCAGTGTTACTGCCTCGTGCTGTAGAAGAACCTTTCGAGAGAATACGTCCGGGCTTGGGAGGGGAGTAGAACCAGGACTGCATAGTGTTGTAACATGAATACGTGAGACCGCCGAAACGATGAGGCTGCTGTTCGACAAGTCGAGAGCCCTCCTCCGTGTATTTCTTGTATTGCCTCGAGGAAAGGAAATCACGAGGAACCGATGACGACTTGAGTTTGTCAGATATCTCCCAAAAGGAAGGCAGAGGTTCCGGTTCAGCATGCTTCGGGGATTCGAACGCCACCTTCGCCTGCAGATATTTGCGGAATTGTGGGCGAAGAGCTCTCAGCTTCCGCAAATAAGCCTCGAACTCCTTCTCCGACATGGCACTGATATTTGGTGTCGCCACATCGCGAGCAAACACACCTTCCTCCCTCGCTGCGCGCGCCCTCTCCGACTCATTCTCAGGAATATTTTCCTCCCCTAGACCACCAGTGTATTTCCCAGAGGGCACTGTGTTAGCGTCCTTTGTAGCAAACTCTGAGTCAACCGTCCACTGCAACTCCGCAACTGGACCAATTTTGTGGATCCATTGAGACTGATCGGACAGCTTCGGTGGCATGCCAACTTCATCATACATGCGAATCCACCTAGACTGTTGCTCTGCACTTTTCCATTCCGTCTGCTGCTCCCGGGAGTCGATTGCTTTAACGGTGATATAGGCCTGGCGTTTGCGAAGAGGTAATGGTCGTTTCAGACCCCAATTGCCGCGAGATGCGTCTCCGCCGAAAGTCGCGTAGACTTGGCCAATGTGAGGGTCATACGAGGCGAATTTTGACCTCCTGAGCAGCGCCGCAAATGGCGACGCAGGAGGTGTGGGGGCCATAAGCAATTGAAGACGGTGAAGTGCTTTAACGCAACATTCGTTCTGATTGACTTCGTTAGACTCGATAGCAGATAAGGCAAGTTGTTCCCAGGATGAGTAAACTTCGATGTCCGCCGGCATCCCCCGCTCGTGTATAAAATCTGGGACTTTGACGTGCTGTCGCTTCACATAAACCAACGACGTCCAAATTACTATCCTATCCTCTGCTCTGCCTTTTGGCGTTGCTTTCTCTGTAGGTTGGATGGTCCAGACAAACGTCGAAGAGAGATCCATTCGGAGGATGTCTCAAAAACAATCTACGCTGATCGCTTCTCCCTCTGGTTGAGAGGCAAGGACGCGGGATCACCTGGAGATCATCTATATATCGTTACTTGTGTAGTACATTCGTTGTACGTAGAAGCTCCTCAATACATGTGAGTGTTCACATCTGTTTGTCTTGAAATTTCTTCCCAAAGATGATAACCCTGGTAACATAACGCATCCCACATCTTTGAGGAACAGCCGCCTTGTGTGGTTGCTTCTGCTTAGCCCTTATGGGCTGTGAGGGTGCGGGTGAAGAGTTAAAGGCGAGGCTGAGGGTTTTTAGTTCAAGCTTCTCTTTTGCTTTGTGTTTGCTATGGTTGGACCATCATGCTTACGCCTTTCCCTTCAGGTCAGTTTAACACCGCACTGTCCGCGAGGTCTTCGCCGCGTCTTGATGTTATTTATTGTCCATCGAGGAACGTCATAGCTTGTGTATCTGCCGCCTTCTCGCGCCTCTTCCTGTCTTCACGAATGGGTCTTTTGGCGTATGTGGCCTTGCCTTTTCGCTTCCGTAGTCCCGTAATGTACATAATGCTTGCGTGGTCGAGATGACAAAATGAGATTCCATGCACCCCGTATCAGAAAGATCCAGAAAGAGCTATACGCAAACTTAATTGAGGGCGCGAAATTCGAGTGAATTTTGCCAACTTGCCAACCGAGCGAAGATTGATGCATATGTTTGAGCGGCGGGTACCGCACGCTGCCTGTCTTTCCTGCTCACGGTCGCCGTCCATCACTGTCCTGTTCACGACCTGCACGGCTGGCGGTTCAGAGAGTCGCCCTAAATTTGTTTCACGACCCTCGTCGTTATCGGCTATACCACTTGCACAGCTGGTACTCCGAGTGCGCTGCCCCGGACCCTCGGATTGACCAACATCACTGTCGACATTACCCTCGCCACGTCTTGACGTTTTCAACCTTACGCTTCAAACATGGAACGCATGCTACCCAGAAGAGTCTCGTCGATGCGCGACGAGTCTTCAACAGCAGCACTCGACATTCACCACCGTCAATATCCCACAGGACGGATGAACCCGCCATCGCCTGTGTTCCTGGACAGTCCTTCGATGAATCCTCGTTTGAGTCCACGAATAACACCCTTGCTTCCATGTACCACGCCAGACACGTCGCCTCTCCAATCTCCAAGCACTGCTCAAGGCGAGAGCGTTGTTGACACTTCACCAACGATCTGTGGTATGCCCCTAAAATACGTTTCGTAAGCTTTCTCATGTTCGTTCTCTATGCTTCATTATCTTGACATGGTCACCCTCACCTAGTTTGGTGACTCTCGCGGTGCAGAATGCGGCATTGTCAATCGTCATGCACTATTCACGCGTGTCGATCCCTGCGGCTCAAGCGTATTCCCCGGCATCAGCGGTCTTATTGAATGAGCTGTTGAAGGGTTCAATATCCTTCGTGATTGCTCTATGGCGCGTGCTAAGTGCGTCGGATGCAGCGGGGAGAAGCCTTGTAGGGATATTCGTCGCGTTCAAGCGAGTGTGCAGGGAGATCTTCAGTCCCGACTGTTGGAAGCTGTCGATACCGGCTCTGCTCTACGTGGTCCAAAACTCCCTGCAGTTCGTTGCTATTTCCAACCTCCCAGTGGCGACGTTCCAGGTCACGTACCAGATGAAAATCCTGACGACGGCTGCTTTCTCTGTCGCACTCCTTCGCAAGAGGTTGGGTTCGACAAAGTGGCTCTCTCTATTCTTTCTCGCCATCGGAGTTGGCATTGTGCAAATCCAGTCTACAGCTGGTCACGCTCCGCAAAGGCAAAACATCCCCGTCGGCAGTGCACACGAGTCCGCACCTCTTCATATTCACATCATGAGCCCTCTTAAGGGCTTTGGTGCTGTCACTGCTGCATGCTTTACCTCCGGTCTCGCCGGCGTGTACTTCGAAATGGTGCTCAAAGGCTCAAAAGCGGACCTCTGGGTCCGTAATGTTCAATTATCATTATTTTCGCTTATTCCTGCTGCACTTCCGGTATTTTTGGAATCGCCTTACCCTCATGCGCCTTGGAACGTCATGAACACGATGTTGAGGAATTTCGGTGGATGGGCATGGGCGACGGTTGCGATTCAGGTATTTGGCGGGTTGGTTACCGCTATCGTCATCAAGTACTCGGACAACATTTTGAAAGGCTTCGCAACGAGTTTGTCGATCGTATTGTCGTTCATGGCTTCAGTTGTCCTATTCGGCTTCAGAATCACCCCGTCATTCCTCATTGGGTCTACCACCGTGCTGGTGGCGACTTGGATGTACAACCAGCCTCCGGGCAAGGAGCTTGTCGCAATCACAAGCGTAATGCCTGCGAAGAAGTTGGGGATGTCTTCTTTCCCCGATACTCCCATTAGTCCGAACGCGCCGATCCTCGGTCAGTTCCCGTCGCAGAAGAAATCCTCTCCTTTCGGCAGTCCTCGAGTCATCGCTACCGCACTTGGTCTCGGAAATAGCGAGAAGCCGGAGTCGGAAACGCAAGGGTACTTTGGTCAAACGCTGGATACGTCGAGATACCTCAGTGCTCCTTACGGTTCTCCCTTCCCCTCGAGGACACCTTCGCCTGTCCCCACTCCTCCTTACCGGCCTCCTTCGCGTACAAGCACGCCGCCTTTGAGTAATCTCAGGCGTCAATAATTCTGTGTATTCTCTTTCACAACGCAGCCTATTTACTTCTTCATTACTCTACGACCCAGCCTATCTTTCACGTCAGTCGACAACGATACCCCCCAGTGTCAGCGCACAACAACCCCTCCCTTGTCGCATTATATATCTGAAAGACTTTCGCAGCGATAGACAATGCCCCACAATCCCGTTTGTTACGAAATCTAACTACCAATTACTAAGTTTGCATATACTTGTCCTCGCTCACCGCGTACGATCCTCACCTTAGCTACCTTCATCCCTCCATTGTTGCCATTGTTTCACTTTTTCCAACTGTTACTTTCGTTAACGCAACGCATGGAGTTAGACTTAGATATGGTAGATACAATTCCCTGTAATCACTTAGTTTTCTGAGGTCCGCACACGATACCCTTGTTAGTGTTTTACTACGAGCTCTAGTTTTCTTCCAGTTTTCTCCCTTGCGCCTTGCCATCAAGAATGGCCGTTGAATTTCATAAGCTCATTTCAAGGAATGCAATACGACGTGATAAGCGCCCATAGGAGACTTAAGAATTTTTGGGAAGCGCTCGTATTTGTAGAAAGATGCTGAGCGCAGTTGCAGCACGAAAAGCTCGCCTCCAGAGCCAAAGCACCTCTCAAAGTGTTTCACCTGCCCCAGAACCCTCTTTGCCTCCCATCCTGCCACAGGAAGAGGTCCGAAATGCAACAAAACGAAAATCGAGCACAACTGTAACATCTAAACCCGCAACTCAAAAGAAAAGGAAGAGGATTCATCGGACACAAGATGAAAAGTCTGTACGCTATTTCCAGGAGGACCCACTGAAAGATCAACAGGATGTTGTAATCCTTGACCTCGTCTCTGACGATGAAGATGTAGAGGAGGTTTCGGGAGATGATGTTAGCTCGGACGAGCCTTCTGCTTCGTTCATACCCAAACCGCCGGTTGCCCCGCAACGGAAACGAGCATGGTCTCCCAGCATACCATTTGAGTCTTCCAATGATGTAACAGAAGGCTTCACTGCAGGTGCCGTTGTGCAGGAGGTTGTAGAGCCACTTTCGACCTTCCATCCGGTTCCCGGGACAAATGCGTTCAAGCTCTCCTCAGAAGAAACAAACCTCACACTGGGGCCTTGCACTGTTTCTGCTTCAGTGCTCATCTTGAAAGCTCAAGAACGGTTAGCACTTCTCGGGACATATAAGTTATATGTCCTCCGTGGGGCCGTGTCCATTGCCGGGGTTACTCTCCATCCTTCAACTCAAGCACACAACATCTTTGCTCCTCGGTCTTCACCGATCCCTATCATTGAATCCGTCCCTCCGTCTGGAGTGCCTGGCAGTATACCTCTCGTACTCCCACCCCGGATTCGGAATATTATCGAAGAGGCCGAAACTGCAATCCTTATCCAAGAGCTTCAAACCGGTGTGTCGGGCCTGGGGAAAGTATGCGGCGTCTTTGAGAAGAATTTCCAACCTTTGCGATGGCAGGACAATGCAGCTTCCACGGATGTCGGTATTCCAGGTGTTCAAAATGTGCGGGTTTTTTCTGTGTTGTTACTTGAATGCAATGTAACTCAAGCACTTGTTGTAGCTTACAAGACAATCAAGCGACGTATACCCCATGATCATACCTGAGCCTTGGGAGAGGGCACTTTCGACCATTGAACCATCGTCTGATGGACAACACCATCTCGCGGCAAGCGGAAGATGTACCTACATTGTAAGAGGCGCGAAGAAGTCCGGTAAGAGTACATTTGCCAGGACATTGCTCAACCGCTTGACAACACAGTAAGTCCTTTTCCTGCTATTCCGTTCGTTCGAATTACCAAAACTTCACGTTCATAACAGCTACCGCTATGTCGCTTTCTTGGAGTGTGATCTCGGTCAATCTGAGTTTACTCCAGGAGGTATGGTCGCGCTGAACATCGTATCAAGTCCCCTATTTGGTATGTATGCTTTTATGTAGGCATTTCTACAGTCATTGCTCACTTGATACCCCAGGACCTCCATTCACTCATCCGAGTGTCCCATACCAAGCACACTACATTGGAGCAACATCCCCACGCTCTTCCCCTTCGCACTACCTTGACGCAATCCAAGCTCTTCTGCGAGCTTACGAACTTGATGTTCAGCACGCGGGCTTGACACATGACCACAACAACGACCAGGATGGGCGTATCATTGACATTGTTCCACTCGTCGTCAACACCATGGGTTGGACAAAAGGCCTTGGTGCAGATTTGTGCAGAAAAATCGAGGATACTCTCCAGCCTTCAATGATTTTCGATATCCTTAATCCAGCAGTCGACGAATCGTATCTCTCCGGTCGCTCAAGCGAGACGGACACGTCTTTCAACACCCATGTCGTAGACGCGATTCCGCCGACTTTAGTTACTTCGCGACATTCTGCTGCCGACCTTCGTCAACTCTCTATCCTATCCTATTTCCATGCTATATTCCCCAATATCTCGACACCCAGGAACCTGCCTAGTGCTGTTGCAACCGCGTGGAGCACTTCATTACCATTGTGTGCTCAGTTGCCGTATCAGCTTGACACATCCACTGCACTGGATATGATTGTGTTGTCCGGCGTTGGCTCTGAAGATGTCGTTCCTTCGGAGGTCTACCACGTATTAAATGGCGCGATTGTTGCACTTGTATCATGTGAACCGGACACACTGGATTTCGACGATACACAGAAAGAGGCCGAAGACACAATTGCTAGACTACCCTACTCCCAAGGTGCAGCTCCACCTTCCCCTTCGACATCAACATGTCTTGGACTCGCACTCGTTCGTTCCGTGAGCACGCTATCCTCTTTGGAACCTGCGCAGCTCCAGATCGTGACATCTGTACCACCGTCCTTGCTTGCATCTATACCGCCGCGAGTCATTGTGAAGGGAGAAATGGAATTACCGATATGGGGTTTCCTCGATTTCCGTAACGAGGGTCGTGTTGCTGGTGTACCCAAGACCCAGGTTCCTTATCTGAGATGGGGTAAGGGCGAAGGATTGGGCGGAGAGAAGAGGAGAACAAGGAGGAATCTGATGAGAAAAGGCCAAGCGTAGACTAGTTTTGTACATAACTTACTGCCATATGCTGCTTCGTCAACACCATGCATATGATTGACTTTACACCTTTCCTTCGGGTGTTGCCGTCTGCTACGATCAATCGAGGGAATATTATTCAAGGTCAAGTTGTTGCAGTTGTGGACGATCGTTTGAGCCAGTCTGACCTATTCTTTTCCACACTCACTGCTGTTTACTCAGCTTTATTATTCTTCATTGTGAATTCGGGAAGACTTGCCCGATCTCAAAAGTATACCCAACATATTACGACATGTCTATTGACTTGGAATGGAACAAACTAGACTCCTCACTGGCATTATCCTTAGTCGACGTGCTCAACAGGCAACTCGCCAATACGCCGCGTCCCTCTTTTATCGGACCAATAGAAGTTAGTTCTCTTGATTTCGGGACGACGGCCCCCGACGTAGAACTCGTCGATCTCCGTGACATATATCGCGACTTCCTCGAGGACGATGAGGAGGAAGACGTGGATAAAGAACCTATCAAGGTCACCGAGGGTCCTGGAGGGGAGGACGAGGATGGTTTTGAATGGGTGTCTAGGAAAGCTGCAAGGGCACAGACTATTGCAGAGGAGATACCTGCGTATTCCCTGCTGCCGCCTCACATGCGGTATGGGCAAGGGAGACCACAGGACATGTTCGCGTCCACACCAGGTCTTAGGTCACCGAGGGATATGTGGACTCCTGCACTTGCGCATTTGACAGAGCTCAGACCGACATATCCTTTTGCGCCTGGATATGCTTCACCCATGTTCCGTTCAATGTCCGCTGGAGCATTTCGACCACCACTTGCTCCTGCCCTTTCGCATTCTCATATGCCGGATGTTACCCCGGACAAATCATTATCATCTGAAGAGGAGACCCCGACGAAAGCCAAACCACCCACACAGCCAAACCTACAAGTCCACCTTCACGTAACGTGGCATTCCAACCTTCGCCTTACTTTCACGACGTCCCTCCTCATCAATTACCCTTCTCCAATGTTCATGTCCCTCCCAATTAAACTTTCTGTAACAGGCCTTCTTTTCGATGGCGAAGTCGTCGTTGGATATGAAGGCGAACGTAGACGAATACACCTCTGCATCGTCGACGAGCTCGACCCATATTGTCCTCTAGCAACTGATCGTCCAAAACGTGATACCCCTTCGTCTGGTGGTACGCCACCTGAAGATGACGAGGGAATCACACCGGGGTCAATGGCAAGCCATAATCGCCAGAACAAACCTCTCCCTGTGGGACAACGGCTCTTGCCCACTATTGAGATTGAGAGCGAGATTGGGCAGACTGACAAACATGTGCTGAAGAATGTAACCCGCGTGGAGCGATTCATCCAGGATGTGATTCGGAAGACCGTCGAGGAGGAACTCGTATTTCCTAACTTCCACACGCTTGTCTTACCTGATCCTGAATGAAATTCGCCTAACATCATCGCTGTTACCCTTCATAGTTTGATAAGCAATACGGTCAGTGATTACACTGTCATGGTACGAGACAGCTACTGAAAAGACTTTCTGCTTAGCCTTATTAAATCCCTCGTCGAAGAGGAACCGTACGGCTTGCACGATGCGCAAATGTGTCCTGCCTCCCACATATTATCAGGTCGATCAGCGTTGCCCCTTTGTCGGCGGGCGGCATGTCTATCTGACTAGCGTTGTATTCAAGCCTGCAACGTTAAATAACGCGCATATAGTAGCAAGGTTTTCTCCCTCGATGTTTCTCCACGGCAGACAAGAGGTTGAGAGAAAGACGATTCATTTTGATTACGGATAGTCCAAATGTAAGTAGTAGTATCCAAGTGAATGAAGTACGAAACGGAGCTGTGATTAATAAGAGGAAAGTGAGGAGAACGACAAGACCCAGAGATAATTCATTGTAACTACAATGTCCAAAGTACCAACACCAGTTTTCCACCGAAGCACCGTCATGATAAGCTGTTAAGTGCCAAAAGATAAAGACCTGCTCTATCAAAGTCCTGACCAAAGACAGCACTTGGAAACAAATCCGAGATTCAAGTAGCAAGCAAAGAAGGTCGAAGAAACTTTTGCATTGAATTTGAGGGTTTAGAGGAGACTCTTCCAACCCATTTCACGGCATTTCTTGACAATCCGTTTGACTTCTTGTGATCGAGCACGAGTGGTAACGAGAAGCGTATCAGGCATATCGACGATAACGAGATCGTCCACGCCAAGCATAGACACCAGTCTTCCTGACCCAGGTACGACAATGCCGCCGGCGACTTGTTCGGTGAGAACTGGATAATAGAAAAAGCGAGTAAGTAACATGGAAGGCTGTCGACACGTCGAAGTACATACCAAGTCCGCTATCACCGAGTACACGAGGTTGGTTGGACTCGGCAGGAAGAAGATCCGCCAGAGATGAGAAGTCTCCAACGTCATCCCAACCTGGAACCAGAATGAGTGTATGAATGGAAGGCGCATATAATGCGGTACTCACCGAACGTTGCTGGCACCACAGCAACTCTGCGATCTGTTGCTGCAGGTTCGGCGACGGCGTGATCAATAGCAATCTTCTCCAAGTCAGGCCATACTTCGTCCAAGGCCTTCTGCCTCAAACTCTCATCATCCCACGCAGCAGCGATCTTCTGCAACCCACCATGCAGCTCCGGCTTGTACTCCTTAAGGAGTTCCATCAGGAAGGTCGCCTTCGTCACGAACATGCCAGCATTCCAACGGTAGTTTCCCGTCTTGATGTATGCGGCAGCAGTTCGCGCATCAGGCTTCTCCTTGAAACTTGAGACCAGTCGCGCATTAGGTGCGTCTGACATGCCGAGCTTCTCTCCGAGACGGACATAACCAAAACCGGTACTGGGGTGAGAGGGAGCGATACCAATGGTAACGAGATAGTCTTTCTTCGCTACCTCCACCGCTTCTGCGACGGCCGCGAGGAAGGCATCGTCACCCGAGATCATATGGTCTGCAGCGAAACTGCCAATGATAGCGTCAGGATCGCGCTTCGCTAAAACGGCCGCTGCAAGACCGATGGCGGCCATGGAATCCTTCGCGCTAGGCTCAGTGAAGAGATTATGCGGGAGTAAGTCGGGCAGTTGTTCGTTTATGCTCTTGACGTGAGCAGGGCCTGCAACGATGGTAGTGCGGGCGGCGGAGGAAAGAGGGAGTAGACGATCCCATGTTGCTTGGATGAGAGAGCGACCTTTCAGCGTAAGATCGAGAAGGAATTTGGGGTGGTCTTCGCGCGAAAGTGGCCATAATCGAGTCCCTGCGCCACCGGCGGGAATCACGACGTAGAAACCGGGTATATCACGGACTCCAAAGGGAAACGCAGTCAATGCGTTGTCACTCATTGGAGATGGAACATATAGACTCGGAGGCACTGCGAGGGAAGGTATAGAGTTGGGAGTGAGGAAAGGTGATTTGGCTCGCAATTGCGGACTGTTTGGTGCAGGGGTGTTCCAGCCAGTGCCTAGTCTGGTGCCATTATTCTACGACGCGTAATAAGTATCGTATTGAACAATAAGTGAACATCTTGCAGTAACGCACCTGTAGGCCGTCTCGAATCTGACGCTCCAGGGAAGCATTAGCTTGACGGAGTTCATGGGTTTCAGCTCTTAACTCAGCAATTTCCAAATGCTGTATGCAGACGTGTCACTACTTTCATCCATTGGGCATTCTGAAAACCACTACTGACCGACTTTTGGACAGCGTCCAAGATTTGCTTAAACATGAAATCGACTGCGACGCCATTCCCCTGCGGCAGGGCTTGACTTGGGTATGTGCTCATGACCAAGAGGTATTTGAGAGAAATGGCAAGATATAAATGAACGACTGTCGGATTAAAGAGTAAAGAGGAATTAGGGAGAACAGGGATGTCGACGTGTCGGCTTGACTGAGCTTGAGTCTGGCCAGAGAGTCTTTCCACAACGCCGCACTATACTACCTGCGCGCTTCGTCCCTCGGCTTTCTCCGCACGTCCACCTGGGGCATCTTTCGAGGTTGCGAACGGTTTCGAAGATTTTCTTCAGACACAAAATTTTTTCATCGAATCAGCATCCAATTATGCCCGTTTGCAGGCTTCGTCACCTTGGTTACTTATGGCTATAGAAAAACATAGAAAATCCTGCCAGAGATTCAGGCAAAACTCTAACGGCGAGTAATGTCCGAGATGCAGCATCATGTTTTCGGCGACTCTTTGCACTGATATTACGGAGCATAGACTCCGTGCTGCGAGTACTGTACAATATCTATGAATGAACTTCACAATCAGGATCCGAGTCGGAAGTCTACAATACAAGATGCAATAGCAACAAAGGCTCGTGATAATACAAAAAAGCGAATATTCTCCTTATAGTAGGGACTTGCTCATATATGGTCCGTCCAGCTCATAACCTAATCGTCGATAGTAATCTCGGGTACCCACACCTGGAAGTCAAGTTAGCAAGCCTTAAAGATTCTAGTCAAGCGTCAACCAACCTGAAATGACAGCGAGCTTGACGCTTCCATGCTCCTCTCGGGCTATTCGCTCCGCCTCCTCCATTAACAGCGTACCGAATCCCTAGAAGTTGTCATTAGATCAAGGAAACGGTGTAACGAACTCGTGTACTCACTTGATGTTGAAACTTCGTCGGATCGCGTCCATGTACGGGGACAGCAGTTCCATACACGTGGAGTTCCCGGACGATACTGCAACCGCCCTCCTCTTTCCTCACCAACTCGGGTCGGAAAGTACCCTCATCTGAGCACTTTCGCAACCGAAGAAGACCGATGAGGATGTCACGCTCAGGGTCTTCGTATGATAGGAAGGTCTCCCAGCCTCCGTTGGCGGTGTAATCACGCCGAAGGAGTTCAACCGATTCTGGTCGCACTTTGTGGTGAATCTCGTGAACCTACATTAAAATGTTAGACTGGTTTGAGAGCAAAAATAGATGAACAGTACATACTCCTACTTCCCGAAATCGTACATCACGACATTCGGCTCCAAAGTCTTTCATTCGGTTCAAGGCGAGCTCTCGCAGGTTACCTGAGTTCTCGCACCCGCTAGTCACAAGAGGAAGAGGGATATCTCTGCACCAACGTCAACAAATACACCAGGATACATCCATCAAAGACTTACCTTTGCACACGGTACACCCTAGTCCAGGGCGGTACCAATGCCAGAATTCTCGCTACCACATCCACTAGCACATTGGGGGTATAATTCTTATACCTTCCCGTTCTCCATAACTCATATAATCCGGTACCTCGAATCACCAAGGTAGGGTAGATTTTCAAACCGTCACTCCTGAATGCCGGGTTCTCGAAGTACTCTTTGAACTGTTCTAGATCTCGTTCGACACCGACGTTAGGGAGATCAGGCATCATGTGCGCAACAACTTTGAAACCTGCGTCTTTGGCTAAGTGGAAGGACTCTGAGACTGCGCGAACTGTGTGTCCCCGGTTTGTGTCTCGGGCGACGTCTTCATACACAGATTGCACACCGATTTCGAGACGCGTGCAACCGTAGCGAAGCATTTGGCTAGGCAAGAGTGAGCAAATGTATAGATTATAGCCAGAGACGATGTGTACCTAAGATGTGGTCGGAGACAATAGTCCGGCCGGGTCTCAATAGTTATTCCAATTGCTTTTGATTTGCTCTGCTCCGAAAACCTACAAACTCGGTCAATTACATTTGTCCTAAAAGACTAGCAAATCTACTTACCGTACTGCTTCATCAACATCAAACCCCGTGAATCCTGATAGTGCGTTGTGCAGTTGTGCAATGAACTTATTCCGGTAATCTTCTGGCATACTCATGAATGTGCCACCCATAATAATGAACTCGACCTGAAGGCGACTCAATGTCAATACCTCAAGTAAACTGGAAGCCATGCTGTATCATACCTTGTCAACATTGTGACCAAGACTCTTCAGCTGTTCCACTCGTCCTCTGGTTTGTTCATAAGGATCATACCGTGCACGAATAGCTCGCATACTTGTTGGCTCATAACCTGTGTAGCTTTGTGTGCTGTAGTCAAAATCAGAGTCTGGTCCTCCGGGGCAATATCTGCAAGGTTAGTAAATGTAAGCCAAAAAAGAATTGTTGAGACTTGTAGAAATTCTCATACACGCAGATATTTCCTGTCATTGCAATATGTGGACACCGATGTGGTTTGCACATCACAGCTACAACAGCGATCTACAACAAGAGGTCAATACGGTCCTAAGGAGCTGATTCAAAGCCAAACATACTCCACTGGCAGTTCGGATAGGTCGTGCCTTCAACTTTGGTAGCAAAGCTTTCTTGTAATCATCAGGGATTGCACTGATAATGTCCACAAGTCTAGGTACGCCTCCGAACCCAAACTTCTTGCTCATCTTCGCTCGAAGTACATTGAGGGAAACAGTTTGGTTGGCATCGTGCGCTTTTATGAGTTCAGCTGCAATACCTGCAGTGACTCGAAGTAGTTGTTCTGCCTGTGAAGGGCCTGTCTTCGTAGAGTATGAATTCTTGTAAGTCAAAGCAAGGAGTTCCGTACGAACCGTCTGTTTTCGTCCTTTGAACCATCTTCGGAGATCAGGGAGACGTTTTAGGTAGTCTGTAGTTTGATCACCCGAGTCTTTCCAAGCTGTCAGAATGGATGGAAGGAGAGAAGCGAAGTAAGAGTCGAAATGATCGAAGGAAAGAGTATTGGCGAAATGGAATCCTTGTGACTGGTTGTGTAACATGGACCCATATTGGGGAAGCGCTTACCCCGAAATAGGAGGGCCGTATGTGACGTGGTCACAAAATTCCAGGGCTCTCCAGGTCTCTGCTCGCCGTTGTCCTCGACCTCGACGTGTTCGACGTCCCCAAAATCCATTGAAAACCATTATTCTTCGTTGGCGTCGCTCCTTTGAATACGACTGCTCATGCTGTAGATGCCACCTCCCACTGTTGTCGATCCATGGCTAGCATCTCGACGCTTCGGAATAGTCATTGATGCCGGTTCCTCTGGCTCAAGATTGCAGATATACAGTTGGAGGGATCCTCGCACCGTTCGCTATGAGCAGGCGGAGAGAACCCTGAATTCTCTTCCGACCGTGGACAAGGGTGTGAGAGAGGGTGAGGAGTGGGTCACGAAGGTCGAGCCTGGTATGTTGTCGTGTAGAACTGCAATGTCACGTATAGTACTTCCGACTTACACGTGAATATTCTCGGTACATAGGTCTCTCATCCTTTGCAGAAAATCCTGAGGGGGTCTCTTCGTATTTGGCGCCGTTGCTTGAGCATGCGCGAACACAGATACCCCCTTCACTGCAACCCGAGACACCATTATTCCTGCTTGCTACGGCTGGCATGCGTCTACTTGCACCAACTCAGCAAGCCCGTGTCCTAAAAGAGACATGTGACTTCCTCAAGTTTCATTCTCACTTTCGCATAGACGGACCCTCTGTCGCTGGCCCATGTGGTAATAGTGTACGAATTATCACCGGGGAAGAGGAGGGTTTGTTTGGCTGGATAGCTGTCAATTATCTCATGGATGGCTTTGCGAGTACCAGTGACCAGCCTACAACATACGGCTTTCTGGATATGGGCGGTGCTTCCACCCAAATTGCTTTTGAGCCTAGCAAGGAGAAGCGCGAGAAAACAGACAACCTGATAGACATCCGACTGCGTTTGTTGAATGGGAAGGAAATCTACCACAAAGTCTTTGTGACTACCTGGCTAGGCTATGGTACAAACCAGGCACGGGAACGCTACGTCGGGAAGGTTATCAATGACTACGAGGCAATTCCTCCCACAAACGCGGGGCATGTTGTCAACGACCCTTGCTTACCGAAGGGCCTCAGGTTAACAGAGTCGCCGGTGCAGCCTTCGTCAGCAGATAAGCATTCGAAGGTCCCACACACCTTTGTGGGCACTGGTTCCTTCGAACACTGTTTACAACGCACGTCTCCACTTTTGAATAAGGATGCCCCTTGTCCGGATTCGCCTTGCCTATTCAATGGCGTTCACGTTCCGCCCATTGATTTCTCCGCATCCCATTTCATCGGTGTCTCGGAGTACTGGTACTCATCTGACCATATCTTTGGTCTTGGCGGGGCATATGATGTCGTACAATACGAACGCGCTGCGTCCGAGTTCTGTGGGCGTGACTGGTCGAGTATCGTGGAGGAACACGAACGATCACGCCAAATTGGGCATTTGGGTGGCGACGGCGAAGTCGAACAAAATGGTCAGGTTGTCGGTACTGGGAAATGGGGTGACAAGGTAGAGATACCACGCCTGCAGATGCAGTGTTTCAAGGCGGCCTGGATTGTCAACGTGCTCCACGATGGCATTGGTTTGCCGCGCATCGTTGATCCTGGGGGTAACAGTACCACGAATGGAGACAAGGTTGCTGAACAAGCAGAGAATAAAGGTCTTGGCAGGCCAGCCTTTCAATCCATGGAGAACGTCGGGGATATTGCAATTAGTTGGACCCTTGGGAAGATGGTACTCGAGGCAAGCAAGGAAGTGCCCCCATTGACTGCAAGTGCCCGACCGCTAGGTGACCCACTCGATGATATTCCAGAATCCTCTCATTCTCCGATTCAACCTATTCGCCCACCTTTTTTGGATTTCGACGCCATTGAAGACCATATCTCACACCGACTTCCATCGTCTCTAACTCGACACTCTCTTGGATTTTCTCCCATCGGCTTCCTGTTCTATATGATCGTCGTTTCGTTATTGTTTGCAATCATTTATCGCATGCGCCATCGAATTAGGAGCTCAGTGCGCCGTTGCATACGTAAAAAGGACCGTCAGTACATTGCAGAGGGTTACTTCATGGAGGAAGGGCGCCCTCACAATGGTTTCCCACAGCACCCTTCATCCCCAACATCGCGTTTGTTCTCGAAACTCTTTGACTCAAGCGTTAGGCTAACATCATCAGGAACACGGTTTCCGCGTCCCTCGCCCTTGTCTGTTCATTCTGGTGACGGAACATTGCGATCCGGTCAATCTTCACCCCGTCGTGGTTCTCCCATCCACCGATCGTTTTCATATCCCACACCAAATTCGCCCATTGGTGTGAATTCCGTGTTGGACTTAACATTAACCAATGGCTCAGCCACGTCATACGTTCCTGGATCACCTCGGCTTCATGACGGCAGTATAGTATCGAATGGAAGTGTAGCCTCCCTCACTTCACGCTCTCGTAACGCCTCTCGTTTGGACCTATCTGTCACGCCGAGGTAGCCCATCTCACGGACTAACAGCAATCTGCCTTCGATCTGAAGGGTCACTGATGATTGAACTCACGACAACGTTCGTAATGACCGGAACGTTCTTTTGACACGACTTACCATAACCTATTAGGATCATGCTTTTTATGATCTGCTCTAGCTCTCGAGTCGACGGACTGGTTCTACGTCTAGAGCCTGCAAATTCGTCGATGTCTGGACTTTCGCCTCATCGAAAACACCGCTCCTTCGCGAACACCTACCAGAGAACTTTGACGATTTTTATGGAACTGCGCACGCCACCATCAAGTTGGCACCCATGGAACAAACATGTTCGGGTGCAATTGCAAACAGAAAGCACTCCTGCTGCACTCGTCGAACCTTCGTCCCAATGTCGAACCTTCCTCGAAAGATGGATATGTCACGATTATGTCTTTATCAGATAGTAAGGTCCTTCCGCACAGCCTTGTGGATTCTTCGCCATATGCTCCAACTTGCACGAAGGACGTATAATACGCCGTCGTGGGATGCCGGCGATGGGCTCGTTTCTGTATTCTGACACAGGCTCCAACTCCGACGAGGGTGTACGAAATAGAAGGTTCGAAGAGGTCTGGGAATAAGGGCCATCATGCTATTGAAAACTTCACAGCATGTGCGCGAAATTAGGAAACATCCGTGGTTTACCGAGGAGTTCTAATTGTTTGTTGCGTCAGTGTGGAATGCTTATTAGAGGACGATTCTTTTTGGTTGGACCTTACACGGATATATTTATATGGACATGTCGGTGTAGAATATACTATAGTAGTACATCAAAATTCGGATATCGTACATACGTGACGGAGTTCCGTACTTGTTGATAGTGTGCCTCCTGTGAAGTGTCAAAGGTGTGAGACGACAGAACTCAAACTTATAATTAGGATCCGTTGGACATAGTATCTATATATACCGTCGGCACAGGTACGGGGCTCCTAGGTTAGTACGGAATTAAGAACGAATTTGCTATAGAAAGTAGGGTCTGAGTGCATGATGGTTCTCGGGTTCCTGGAGTAGGGCACTCACTTCGGTAGATATACGGCAAGTCAAAGTCGACCAGAGCGTAACCTTGATTTCGGCTGTGAAAAGGTAGAAGACCGAGAATGTCCCAACATTTTCTTATTGAGGCCTCTCTTGTAAAGCACGATATCATGAACCCAGTATCTTTCCCGCGCTTTCTCCTCCGCGAGATGGTGCAGTCGTTCTTCCTCCTCCGCAGATAGTAGTTCAGGTATTTGACGCAACCCAGAACGCCACAAAAGTAATTGCAGCACTACCTCGGGCAACAAGATATTGGTGCAATACTATTGGTGGAAAGGTGCGAATGTGAATGAGTGCGTTGATCGTGGTTTGCTGGATGAGCTTACCGTGATCTGCTCAATTTCAGACAGGGTTGAGAACGACTTCCGCTGACCAAGGTGCGTGACCTCCTGGAGAGCCGTCTCGTCAGCGAGATCGTGAGTCGTTTTCTCAGCATGTGCCGTATCATCCTGAACTTCGTGATTAGAATGTGGGATTCCGCGAGCAAGAAGGCTTACCTTCTCCGACACAACCGAAAGTAGCGAGGAAGGAGGGAGCGGTGCTTCTGACATGGCGTCCGTCTGCGGAAGGTGGGTCAATGTCGTGCAGAAGAGTGATCATGAGAGTCGAACGGACATCTGTCGCCTCTCCGGATGCCTGTGAGAGAGGCATTTCGAGGGTATCGTCGCTTAGGAGCACGTCATTTGATAGATTTTCTGCCTGAGGGAATTCTTGAGGGTCATCTGGTAGAATCAACCCAAGTTCCTGTCGTTGAGCTCTCCGGCGTATCCACCGCCTAATATGGGCACTCAATTCTTCTACCTCGGCGGCGGTGAACTCGCCTTTCTCGTGTCCAGTGTCGCATACTTTTCGACGAGTGGCTTCGCTCTTCATGAACATTTCATGACGAGGCTTTACAGGAAGGTACCTCTCTTGCAGGATAGCCGCAAGAATTGGTTTGGCATATTGGAATTGTTCATAGATGTTATAAATGAACGCAAAGTCGTCGGGCGGGGGAGTTGTTGGAGTAGGTGACGGTGAGCGTGGGTCGTCATCTTTATCAGGAGATGTACTCGGAGATCTATTGTCAACCTCATCCAAGCCATAGTTGTCCATGTCATCTCCCATCTAATATGTCTGTGTTAAGTCAATTGATATCAAAGAAAGTTGATACACCTTACAATGCAGTCTTTGAAACCTTCGTCCGTTTCCATGTAAAATAGATTAGGAGAGATATTCTTCACCGTGCCATCATAGTACAACACACGATATTTCTGCTTCTGGGAAGGGTTGGTGGGAGGAACGTATGCTATGATTCTTGCGGGCCAGTACTGCGTGGATTTTGTAGTTTCTTTGGCTAGAATGAGTTCTCCCGGTATTTCGTACATCGGATTGCACGGCGGGGGTTTCCAGTCTTCGTCATCATCTGCAATTATCGGAGAATCCAGTATTGTCTCCACCTCCTCCGAGGAATCACGTGCGTCGTTGGTTGTGTAGTAAGATAGCATCCGAGGGAATCCGTCATTGTTCATGACTCGGTCAACCTCAAGCATCAAACGGAAGGCATCTTCCCATTTTGCATGCAGCTCTGCATCGAATACCTTCTGCCGCTTTCTGGGAGACACGAGACCCGAAGACTTGTCCACGAAACTTGCGTAGTTCCTTGCATGAAAGCGGAGGTTGTTGCTTGGAGTCGTCAATGATAACACAACATGGTCAGAAGACTTCGAGATATCGACTTCAATGTTACTGTGAGCTGCATGGGTGCATGGAGGCTTTCCGAAGAGTAAGACTCGTAGTGGCGATGAGCGCACAACCTTCATGGACCATCAGAACTACGTTGCAATATAAATCGCGACATGAGACAGACCTTTGCCGGCCACCACATGGTATTGGTCTCGTCTGGGCATACACTACCTGAACGGTTCAAACGAACCCATACAAGCATATCCACCGCATAGATCATACTAGTTATAATAACGTCCTCATCATCAGAGCTGGATATCGATATATGCGAAAGCTCTCGTTTTGCGGATGAGGTCGACGAGGTAGGAGCAGGTTGGTTTGCGCTTTTGAGGACGGATTTGAAGGTCTGTTCGGGAGAGGTAAGAGGGCTTGTCTCTCCGGTCAGCGCGTTGCTTGAGACCCCGTTGGTTACTTCAATAGGAGGTGAACGACGACGTTTCCGGGAAGCTCGAGGTTCGGGGAGAGGAGACTTCAGTGTGTCTGTCAATGGTGTTGATATCAATATGAGAAATTATTTGGCTAGAATTAACTTACTAAGGTTCTCAAGGTCAGAGTCAGAGTCTGAAAATGAAGGTAGGCTGCGCAAGTATAAATTCGGAGACTTCTGCACCAATTCCGACTTGTCTGAGCGACATTTCGATCGTTCGTGAGAGACAGCCAGCTTTGAATCTAAGTCAACATTGGTGGATTTGCTCGTGCGAGATCTACTCCTGCGTGAAGTCTTTCCTGATATTCCCGCTGTCCCATCCTCGTCACTGTGGGGTGGAGAGCTTAACAATTGCTCCGAAGCTAACATAGCTGCCTTGGTTGCTGCAGCGCGACGGGGCAAAATCTTCTCAGGCAAAGACCCATTACTCGGAGACATGGCTTATATCTAGAATTCCAATACGCCTTCGTCCCCTCCTTGACGCGTACTTATGTCTTGACACAAACAAAAATTCTGGTGGAAGTCTAGAAGATCCCTCAAGTGGTAAAAGGTAGTGTGATCGGGGTACGTACTGTCAAGAGAACCACAAAACAGCAATAATTGGAAGAACTATACCGTAGAGGAATCAAGCAAGCAGAGTAAGACATATATGGTCCCACTGGCACATCCGGCCATTGGTGTCACAGTGCGCGTACAGTCACGAAGCGTCACATCTCCAACGCGACGCGTCACAAAGCCTGTTTACGCGACTCATTAACTAGAGACATCTTGTGCAAAAAGAAAATGACAACACATCTGCTATATCCCGGAGGATTCATATTTTATACCGGATATATCACCTGCAATAGATATAGTATAGAAAACTATTATCCCAAAACTAGTAGAGCCACCCCACTTGCAACCCAAACCAAATAAGACATGCCCATTTTGACGGCCCCACTATTATCGCCGGGCGCAGTATTACCAGCAGGAGGGGCGGACGTTTGGGAAGCACCTCCAGATGGAGTCGATCCCGCCTGTGACCCTCCGGATGCACTTGTGCCTGAAGGAACTCCAGAGGTGGGGGAGGAGGTCACACTAGGGACGCTACCTCCCGAAGTCAAAGCTGGTCCACCCTGGATTTCGAAAGGAGCAACAGTCTCCGTGACAAAATCAGTGCTAGTGGTTCCATCTACCGCAGCGACCACTGTGCAGTCTGCCAGATTGCCATTGATAGCACAATTTTCGTTCAGGTCCAAACCGGCACCATTATATATGACCTGAATATCGTTGGGACCCTGAATAAGCGTCGCTGTAAGTTGCATAAGCAGTGAGTCAGTTTTCATTTTGGTTACGAGCTCCAGATATAATGTACTGACCAGTGCCAATGAGGCCGAAATCGTCGAAAGATCCACTGGTAACACCAGGTTGGAGTTGCCAAGTCGTGCGACCATCCTCCCCAACGCCAACTTCATTGGCAGATATGGGCTGAGGATCAAAGCCCGGGATGTACAGTGACGTCTGTGCAACGACATCTGTGAGAAGAAATCAGCACACATTGTAACAGACATTCAGCGACAGAAAATGTACTCTGTAAGAGACCGCTTGCGAGAAGGGCAAAAAATATGCGAGTAGGAATCATTTTTAACGTTTTCTCTAGGAGAAGAACTTGAAAGGAATGGCTTGAACTTGAACGAGTGTACGATTCCAACAGCAAGACCGAAGAAAGTGAAGGTTAGGTTACCAGTATCGGATTCTTGAACAACTCGGAGCGGGATCCTCCCGCCCGGACTGTTACTAATTATATTGACCATCAACGCTATAGATGATTCAGGTACAGACTTACAGATCAATGACTCGATGGATGTTTGTACCTGTACTAGATTCATTTGCGGGCCGATTTCTGTACTTACAATCTCCTTTGAAGCAGACCACACGACAACGCGACAGCACGTTCCGACTCGAATATCATCAAATTGCAAAGAGGAACATCCAACTAACCGGAGAGACTGCCCACTCAATACCAGACTGTACACTACATACGGTATACAAGACACGAGGACAGCAAGCTAAACAAACACATCGATACTATAGATCGAAACAAATTATCCCGAAACCACACACGTACGGTAAAGAAAAGCTATATGTACATTTGCTGACCAAATCGACACAGTCAAAGGGCAGAATGTCCTTCGCCTAGGTGGCTATCGGAATACCATTATGCTGGGGATCAAAAGCGACGTCGATCCTCTGTTGGGTGAGCTCTCCATTCGGTTTCCCACCCCGGATCGGGGTATTGGTTCCGGAAGCATAGGGAGAAATCCCCATTCGCGGTGTGATCAAACCACTGCCTCCAGCACCATAGACGAAGCCACCGCTGAGGCCTTCCAAACTATTTGAGTAACCTAGATGACAATGGGAATAAGCATCTTTGCTCATCATCACAAGAGCGGGATAAGACTTACCAGGGACCAGAACGTTGTCCCAGAAGCTCGCACTGAGGATACTGTCCATCGACAACATGCTCATGTCCTCTGACTGCTGTGGGGCCATGGTCGGAGGGAAAGTCGACATATCAGCCACAGGGCCCATCTCACTGTCGAAGTTGAACTCTGACAGAGGATCAGGCAAAGATGTGTGAGGGGGTAGCATAGTGGACGTGCTGGCACCATGACCGGTAGCAGACGTTTGAATGGTCCCGCTAGCTCCATTGGAATGCTGCATAGGCTGAGAAGCGTCTGATGGCTCAGTCTTCGCAGAGAGAAGAGCACGAAGAAATCCGCTATACAGGGCGGGCGTATGTAAAGGACCTATAGCAACGGATTCAAGGGTATCTGCCACGTCTTTGACGATAGCAATCGTCCTGGGCTCGTGGTCGAGATAGGCTTGGAATTCTGGACGAAGGAGCTAATGATAAATGATTCAGCCCGCGGCGGACATAAGCAATTGAGTAAATAGCTGACCTTCAAAAGACTCAGGACGGCGTAAGAAGCCTGAACGAAGTTCGAATCTGGGGCATATCGAAGGTATCCCAGAGGGCCAATTTCATCACGGAAGAGAGTTGCGCACGCAACTGCGGATGAATGACAACGAGCAAAGAAATGTCCGATGTCAACCGCCGATCGCTCAAGTGCATTTTGCAAACCGAAAGAATTCACGATGAGCATCGCGTAGTTGAAGTAGAACTTTCCGCTGAGTTCGCGATACTTGCGCACATGGTCAGGCTCGCCTAATGTGACGACCGCATCAGGAATGAACGATGCTTGAATGTTAAATGGCTCACCAATCCCAACGTGCCGGATATTCGCCCATTCGTGCTGCCAGGCGAGGATCTGGGTCTCCATTGTCGTAATGACAAGAAGATAATCAGAATCCATTTGTAGGCCAGAAGCGGTGTTTGTGCCCGAGTACAAGAGATCCAGGCTTCGAGTAAGGATTCTTTGGAGATCCTGAGAAATTACGTGTTAATGTGTGATACTTTGTTATAATAAAGTGTACACACTGCATATGCAGCCAACGAGATGTCCGAGGGGACGGAAACTGGCGAGTGACACCACTGGGAAGCATTTCGGATAACGTAGCTAGAACGGACATCAGCATGCTTCGCAATGGTATACATGACACCACGTACTCTTCCTTGATGGTGTACGGTTTGCCCATTTGTGCGCTGAAACTTCGGTCGAGGATGAAGCAGAATATCCACGTCCTCTCCCGATTGTGGACTTCTCTATCACGCGCGCGGCCTTCCGCCGTGTCTGGACTTGTGACGGCAGTCCTCCGATGTAGGTTCAAATCCGTGGCCATCCTGAAAGTAAACGTAAGCAAAGTGATCGACCACAAGGAAACGTCAAATAGGATTTAGAAGGTGTTTTGGAACGAGAAGCACTTATGGCGGTAAAGCGGGAGAGTCGAACCTGATAGCCATGCCAAGCAACATCCAGGTGCGATCTTGCTCATACCGCTCTACGGGGCCACAGCCCCACAGTGTATTGAGAAGGTAGGCCTGGACAATCTCCACGGATTTGTACCCTTGTGCGGGTACGCTGAAGGCCAGTTTTCGGGACAACTCCGACAGCTTCGCGTGAAGTTCGGGGCGTTCTGTGTAAAACCTCGAGGCAATTGAACAGACTGGTACGAGAGGTAAGTTGGGGTACTACATATGATGATAGAGCCGACAGCTTACTTGTAGTGAGGAGAAAAGGGGAACGGGAACAAACCAGTGACGGCGTATGGAAACTTGGATCCAGGAGATTGCAATGGAACTGAGTGCAAACGTCAAACAAGATAACCTAGTGCCAACACAAACGTTCTTACATTCATATTCTCATAGTATCTGCGTGTGTAAAGGTCAATGACCGACAGACGAAATGATTCGAATTTTCTGCTTACATTTTGAATAGAGCGACAACCTCCTCATTGCTGACGAAGCTCAGCATCTCCGGTTGGATCTGCCGCTCGATAAATAGTCGCCGTAGAGGGAGTATCGTCATGGGCCCTTAAGCATATAATCAGCCATCGGTAGCAATGGAATCGGTCAGCGATGTTCGAGAACTTACCGGGCTTGAAATAGGTAGCACTAGCAACGCCGACCTTTTGCTGTGGGTTCTGTGAAGAAGTGGAAGCCAACTCAGACCTGGATGCAGCTTGTGCTCTTCGGTTAGCAAGACTTGCTTCCGCAAGTAGACCCAGAGGATTGAGAGTATTGTCCGGGAGGGAATGTAGCTTCGGAGAACTCAAAGGCCCACCATGCGAACCATGGGCAGGTGATTCCGGAGGTGATGGTGACCCAAGCAACGCCTGCGTAGTTTGGGCCTGAGCTGACGGCGACGGCGATCGAGATATCATAGCTGAAGCTAGGCTTTGGGTTCCGATTGACCGCAACACTGTCTCAAGCGTGCGCTCCATTTTACGAAGCGAACGAGACAGTATTTCATGTTTTCTAACACAAAGCTCAGTCAATATTTCTTTTGGAAAGAGGTATTCGCCCTACTTGGTTGACCTTTTACCGCGATTTGACTCTTCAAATATACATTCGTGGTTGCCTGTTTGACAACGCTTGCAGGGCGGACCCTGCTCGGCACCCACGCATTTCATCTTGAGACGTCGACAAACAGTGCAAGCTCTGATCGATGTTTAACACAGTGAAGGACAGATATTTTTTCCACCTTACCTTGAACCTCTCGTCGGCTTGGCCTTGGCTTCTTCCGCTTTCCCAGAGACCTCACCTGGAACTTCACCGTTGTCCTCTGTGCGCGGTTTCTTTCGGCTGTCATTTGTCCGTTCGCTTGCCAACGAAGAGGCGGGGCGCTTGCCATTGACGTTCGCACCGCCATGGAACGAGGCAGATTCCACCGGAGGAGTGCCTATACTATCTGAGCCTTGCGATGACGGCGAAGAGAGGCTGACTGGGATAGCCAGCTGCTGGTGAGGTAGATGGGGTTGCGGATGTGGATACGAATAATACTGAGGAGAATACAAAGCAAGGGAAGGGTCTAGCGGTATTGATGGGGACGGGGGAGCTTGCATTTGGTGCGACATGGCGTGTTCGTGAGGGTGATGTAGAGTGATTGGTTGCGAAGAATAGGATGACTGTTGACGGCTCGGAGTCATGTAGTACTGCGAGTAAAGATGTGAGGACGACATGACCATAGTAAGTACGGGGACATTCAACAAGAAGCGAGAAAGCTGACTTTGCGCAAAAGCTCCCCGACACGAGACCGCCCGGATTAAAAGGAAGCGGCAAGAATTAAGGGAGGAAACAGTGGATCGTAGGATATAGGTCCACGTGCGGATACAATTCAGTGACTCCGGATATGATTAGAGGAAATCTTTGGGAAAGAATTGAACAATCGAAGTGAGAACGAAAGAGCTGAAAAGAGAGTGAAGAAGCCCTTCGGCTGGTGGGAACCTCGCAGATGGAGGCGGTAGCAGACCAACCCGAGTGAACGGTACTACAAGCCTATAAACGGGGATTTCAACTTTTGCCACAGATGGTGAGAGAAACGAGAGATGGAGTTCTCACTCTGTCGTTCTTCCCAGACGATTGACTTTGGCAAAGTAGACGTCCGGGTTAGAGTCTCGCTTTGAGCCTGAGTCTGGGGTCGATGGTCAAATCTGGGGTAAATCACTGCACTATATTGTCACTCGTCACATCCCGTAACACCGGTGCCCCTGACTCAGCGTGACAGCGGATCCTGCCTCCGGTCAGCGAATATGGCTGTCAAGTAGGATGACTACGGTTGGAAAACGCGGGGAGTCTTCGAATAAGGAACATATTACAGGCTCGCTTCAAATTCTCTACCAGCAGCATTCATGCTTACTTTCTCATTTATCTTTTCGCCCAACGCTCACATCTTCTCACACACAGACACAGATGACAGTTTGACGGTGTATCCGCAGGCCATTCTTCGGCGAGATTCGTTTTGACCCATTCACAGCTCCCCAGGATTGCACATCCTCTTGCCGAGCATGATGCGCATGACGACAGGCCTGACTGCCGTTGGGAAATAGCGCGAATAGAGGAATTTTCCCCTCCCAGTCGGTCCCGCCCCGTATAACCTCTTTATTTTGGAGTTTGCCGTCGATCCACTCATATTTCTCGATTCGCCCAGGCACAGGATATCGAAGGAGATTCAAGAAATAGTACCAGATTGTGTCCGCTTTGGCACTTGCAACCCGTGATAACGGACCTTACGAACCTGGGAATGCTTTGCTGACACAACTAGGACGCCTTAGTGGATCGGAGACGCTATCATAACAAGCTCGCAAATCTTATCCTCGACTAGGCCGCCAAATATGATCGTGACCGAGGTCGACATGCCCCTGGTTCATTCACCGAGAACTCGAGGCCTGAGGATGCCGTCGGGTGTGCATCAAATCATCCAAAGTCAATCTTTCAACGTTCTCGGTGGAATTGCAAGACGCTTGGACTTGCGTTATATGCAGTTTCCCAGCGTTCAGTGGGCGACTCTCTTGATGCCATCTCTACGCTGTATGTCGTACACATTCCTGGTGGTCCCCAGGATAGTCGGATGCCCGGTGCGTAATTTATAACTAGCGGCTCCCGCAATTACCGGCCTCTTGATAGTAGTGAATGTTTCCAGGATGGTCATTCTAGCCCAATCGCCAGACTAGTCGACATTGTTTGCATGACCCTGAAATTGACTTTGTCGACGACAGATATAGCGTGGACCAGCGTAAAATGGTCGGTGGCCTCCACACGCCCGTTTTGGCCCGACGTTTCCCTTGATGGGATAGCTCCCGAGGCGTATACAGATCTCCGTCCATGACAATAATTCTACCTGACATGGCGATAGAAGACAGGTGCTATCTCATGTTTTGACAGCGGGCCGTCTATCACAGGACTACCTCGTGTTCTTAAGCTTGAGGGTGGCAATATGTGGAAACGTATCCACCTCGTCCTTGCGGCCGCGGAGATCTTGGTGCGACCTGGATGGTGTACATCCCCAAATAAGCAAACCTTCCTCAACTATCCTAATCCACAACTTTTGCAGTGTTTTTCGTGGCCACTGGGCGTCCACCGTGTTCATTCAAGGTGAGTGGCCTCATTTCTAAGTTTGGTTCCATGCGCAGAAAATTTGCATTTCGTGACAGCCACCAGCTGGAGGTCGGAGACTAATTGTATTTCCACCATTAGTGGGCTGAAATGCAATCACTTGAGAAGTGTATATTCGACAAGGTCGACTCTCGAAATGCTGCTTTTGATCGAAGCCGACACTTGCTGCAGGCTTACAACACGTAATAGCTTCAACTTTCTTTGTCGAGGTTATTCTGATTGCTCTCTCTTCTCCAGACTTCTGATTGACAGACGGGCATTGGGCCGTCTAGTGAAACTCATGCGCTTAAACTCAAGAATGTGATTTGCCTGCTAGCCATGTCCGCTGATTGGCTCGTACAAGTTGTGATAACTTCTCAACGCTACAGTGTCGTCGAATTTCAAACTCTCGTATATGTCACCGAAGATGTATAACGTATGAGTATTACTATATACTACATCAGGCACCTCTTCCACCACCCGTGATTCACGATATCCTATGCAGCTGATTGGGGGTTGCTTAATCTGAGGGACTCGCGATTCCCCTTGTCAGTGGCAATCAGAGTTTTCTCATTGCCCATGAAGAAGTGCAATCTCCAAAGTGCGCGCGATGAAGCGGATAGCCTGGGAACCCGCAGAAGAGTACGCGCTCCTCCTAACATACTGGCCAGGAAATGCGCCGCCGAAGTCTCACTGTCATCGTTCAGCTACATACGCGACGCCAACCACTGGAATCGTATCTTGGACTAATTTCTCCAAGTCATGCTTACTTCCATACGGCTCTCCACGGTCCGACTACCACAATGCTGTCCAGGAACACAACTTGAATGTCTAACAACGGCCACCATCAGAGAGGTGATGAAGCATTGGCATGTATTCCATCTTTACTTTTTGGGATAGACGTCCAGGCCGCCATCGCAATTCTTATGTCACCCGACTACAAGTGCAATCTCCTTTATTCTATAGCTTTCTGACGTTGAGCCTCGACACATCCCCGCTCCACGAGATCGATCCAGTGCCAAATATCCAAGTCGGTACTCTTCAACGTTTCCAAGGACGCGGTATGCTGTCCCGATCACCAGGAGAGAATTCTTCGTCTGTTTCATTACTGGATTTGGAAGTATGTACTGCAGGTGCGCTTTGCTCCACTCCACTGTCGCCTGGTGAGTCTTGAATGAAGCCATCTTCCGTCACTCATACAATGTTTTCTTTAGATGCTGATCAGAGTAACATATGACTAGAGTGAGCTGAGTCACCGAGTCTGTTGTGGTAGATAAGCGATGCTTTGCATCCATATGCTCGCCAATCTTCTTAGAACGTGATTGTACGTTCTCATGCGCACTCCATATGGCTCAGCTGTCTACTGCAGCTGTCCAGTCAAACATCTCCAACTCTTTGTATCGTACGGAGATCGTTCCCAGGACTAATTGCTGCTTCCTTGTCGCTACAGAGGGCCTGACAAAGCCGTCGACGCCACTGCACATGAAAGGTGAAATGCCTACTCAAGTACTCAAAGCTCGCCGTTCGAACTTACCATAGATTTGTCGCTCCTGAGGGACTGGTAAAGTGCAAACGCTCATGTGCCATTGTTAGTTTGCATCGTGTCCTATGAATTTGTAGTATACTGGAATTTGTTTTCCAGGAATGACATTCGGTTGTCTCTGGACTGACATAAGCCTTTCTAGCAGAATGCGCAGCCCTTGGCTATACGTATAGGAACTATATGAAGGCGGCATTAATACGTGTAATGGCCCGTTACATCCCCATAGGCGTTTTTGACTATTCAAGGTGACGTTCCTCGCATGATGGTTCCGAGGAGTTTACGCTACTACTAATGCTCACATATCAGACGTGCAAATTATGGAGGGCACCGAATATCGTGTCGCGACTATCGCGTGACCGTATTCCCAACGTAAGAATCAAGGTTCTTCGCGGCGCTCTGTGTATTGTTCTGCACGACGGGAGGTCGAGGTCGCTATGTCGCAGTCATTCAATCGCTGTGCACGGGAGCTTTCACACCACATACGCGGTTGAAGTTCACCTAGAAGTCTCATCCATCTTCTTAGTACAGGGAAGCAGGCACTGCGCTGGTTCGTTCTGCTCACTTCTTGATACCCCGCTGCTCACCGGGTCAGGTCACGGTCCAATAGGTATCAAGGTTCAGGGAGCCGCGAATCATCCTGGCATGTCAATGGGCTTGGAAAGATCCGAATGCACCATCTTTGCCGGCACTTCCTCACAGAAAGGTGCTAGCTTCCCCTTATCGTTTGCCCCATCTATCCAGCTTGTGGTCTGTATGGCGCCGAAAGATTGTATTCAGACATGTTGAACCTGCCTCATCTAGGAAACTTCAGTTCATGCCTTCCGGTGGTCCACGCGGCACTAACGCGTTCATCCGACTTAGGTACTTGACTTGTTGTGTCCAAGAATACTACGGTACATCAACCCTTTCAGGACAACGTCATCGCTCACGCCTTCAAGTTACCGCTTCCGTAGTCGTGATGGACACGATGGATGAATAAGTCCTATACCAGTTCCACAAGCGGAACGGAACTCAGAACGTTTACAGTCGAAGGTTTCGATACCAGGTCTCCGACGGCGCATAGTCTCCACAAGGGCCTATTGCTCCAACGATATTAACGGAGCGCAACGGTGGATATTGGTTCTTTTGATCTGCCTCTCTGCCATGGATGTGATTCGAACGTTACCAAGTCGACCAGCCTCCAAGTACGGCGAGCGTATGCATCTATGCGAAGCGAAGCGTCCTGGCCGTGATGCAGTTTGTGCCACACGCAGAATTAGACGGCTATCCTCTCAGGCCCCGTTCGTATTCTTCTCGTATTGTCGGATCATCTACGATTAGGACACCCTCTGCATGCGCTCGATGTTGCGTCGACTCTCAGGCCCGAGCCACGAACATATGCCTCTCAACTGCAGGACTTGCTATTCTGGTAATTCGAGTCCTAGTGGGGCTAAACATAGGCCGGGGTTCAATCCATGTTGTGCTCGTTGTGCACCCGCTCGATGACCGAAAGTGCCATCCCGCAATGCTGGGACGAAATCTCTCCACGGTGTCTTGTGGACTCACTTGTGCCTCTCGACTAGTCTATATCCGTGCTTGCATTTCTGATAGGTTGATGACATGAGCTTCTATTCTGCTCACTCTCATGACGTCTCTGAAGTACAGCCTTGGTGGGAATTGGGGCTTAGCAACAGCCATGAATAATATACCGTGGGTGCCTCCGGCGGAGGACACGGATGTTCACATCCGAGATTTTCAAGGTCAGGTACACAATCTTCAAAGTATAATTGACCAGGGGCAAAATGTAGCTCTGTGAAAGAAAAAGTGAATCGGACGTAAAAGAAGCACCATCGTCCTGCAGTGAAAAGTCTCAAGCTCGAGCTTTCCGATGCCTGCCAGATGACCGATTTCGTCCATGTGCACATCAAAAGAAGCAGTAGTGGATGTGATCCAGAGTAGAGCGAACCTTCAGAACCTTCCAGTAGATGTTTATAACACAAATATTGCCACACAGAGGGATAGACTCGGGCATGAACTGGCCACTATCAATGCGAAAATGATTAATAGAGGCAGATTCAGACTCAAATTTTGCTTGGCAGTAACCAAATCTACGGCCTAAGGCCGACGACGTCGTCGGAACCATGGACTGTAACACATTCGGACCAGAACTGTAAGATGGTTCAACACCACAATATTGGCAGTTTCTCAACACCAATTTCTCATCTGCCTGTACCGATACCGCCGTGGTGTTAAACCAGGGCTCGCCAATCGTTCGCGCAGCAAACGGACACTTGCGAGATTGACGAAGGATGGAAGACAGCGCTTGATCCATATTGTGATCGACCCCGATTAGGTGCATTTTTGTTCCCGCGATTATAGGATCTTCAGTTCCTTACCGCCGGACTATGTCAATATGTATCAGAATCACCTCTAGAAAACATGTTACCGTAAAGCCTGTAGCATTCTCGGCGGAGTCTTAGATGCAGTAACTCTTTGGGCAGTGAACGGGCTTTCAGAAGAAATATTAATTAATGTGACAAAAAGGGTGTAAAAATCAGCGCGAAATGGGGTGAACGAACAAGTATACCTTCCATAGAAGTCCAACGTGTGTAATTCTCGACATTCTGACAATGCGTTGGCACCCGCGGCTATTCTTATGAAGTATCGGCCGCCGACCAGACTGTGTACTCGACACTGTTAGACCTGTGCCTGATAAAAGATAGCCAACAGAAATGACAGTACGTGTCTTTCAGCAAGTCCTTCGTGACCACGTCGTGATTTTTGCCCTTTTCGTCTCAGACGTGGGCAGCACAATATACCTGTTCCTAGATGACTTTACCGCAGTTTATGTATAGCCTCACCATTGCTAGCTGGCGGGTGGGAAGACTCGGACCTGAGTGACCAGGACCATGTCTATATAGAATGATGCCCTGAGCAATGAAATCGGCCTTTAGAGCTCAATCGGAATGACTAAGACATACTACATTATTGTTCTCAGTGTCGATTATCATGATGTAAAACACACTTTCCGCACGTACGAAGAGGATACATCGGGTCAACACCTGCACTCCCAGTTGACGTTGCACCCTTGACCGCTCGCCGCGAATGAGTCGTTACATCCTTACAATTTTGTTATCCATTCTTGAGTTGAAGCAATGGATCGCTTTCCTCTTCAAAGCGAGGTTCGTACCGGGCCTATGACCATGATTCCGCTGGGAGAGAGTGTACGCTCCATCCCTCAAGCCAAATATTTGAATAACTATGCAGAGTCCTGGGATCAGGACATGGTTTCGGCACCAAATGATGACAGTATAGATGCGGGAAATATTTCCAGGAAACACGGAGAATTCATGTCAAAGATGCAAGGTTACCATGAGTCATATGGAACGATAGGTAACCTAGTGGGTTGGCGTAGATTCAGTGCAAACTTGCCTACATGCATATAAGTATGATGATACAAACACTGCATATGGGCTTACCAAAGGAATCAAAGTCCACATGGAAACCAACTGTTCCACAGTATCATATAACGAAGTCCCTTTGCTAGTTTAAAGATGCCGTTGTATAAAGAATGAAGGGAATGCGTAAAGAATCAACTTGAATCCAGGCAGGTGTGCCACTATGAATTTGAACCTCCGCTTCGGCACGTGCCGGCAAACCAAGATGGGACAGTTGACGCGCTCGGGTGTCCAGCATCTCTCGCGCCGTGCTCGACGAGCACGGTCACTCTTTCACCATGAACAACCAACAGCGACCAACATTATACCTCCAGCCGTCGGTTAACACCACCACGTACGTTTGCATTGTGAAATAATAGTCTTCAGGTTCTGACTTTGTCGCGTAGGGTGGTCACGACGACTACAACAACCACGACCTATGCCCCGATTCCCCTTCCCTCTCTTCCGATACCATCTTCGCCCAAGGATCCAAAAGTCTATCCTCTCCTTCATGCGCACCTACCGAAGTCGTTGCGACAGTTTCCTCTCCTCTTCCCCGGTGGAGCTCGTGCTACCTTTCGCGATGGTGAAGTGGGAGAGGAGGAGATGCCTGAAGAGGAGGAGCTGTCTAGCGGGGATGGTTGGAGACAAGTCAAACGCGGCGAGGGACCAGATCCGCCCAAAGAGGTTGGTCTTGTGGAGGCTGTGGAACGGTATGGCCGGAAACGCACATACAGTAATGAGAACATGATGGAGGGTGTCGAAACAACAGGGGGATTCGCTACCCATCCACCCCGCAAGAAAGCTAAGTCAACACCGCTACCTCCGCTTGCAACACAATTGAATTCTGCCGCTCCTCCTTCTCCCTTGCCGTCTCCCCACGGTTCCCCGCCTCCTCCAGAGAACATTTGGCCTTCTGCACCTCCTAGTGGTCACTCCTCCCCACAGCCTCAAGCCCCAATTCAGCCAGATACATCATTGACCACACTACTCACACTGCCATCATTACTCTCACATTTCTCCAATCTTCCTCCGCAACTGCAATCGCACGTCCTCCTCACTTTCCTGCGACATTCCCCCCTTCCTGTACTTCGAACATTGCATTCTGTCCTGACCTCCACATTGGCACGAGATTTTCTGACTCTTCTTCCCGCAGAGCTTGTCTCACAAATACTCAGCTATCTTACCTATTCAGATCTTACGCGCGCGTCTCGCGTGTCTAAGACTTGGCGTGCTATCATAGACTCAGATCCTGTACTGTGGCGCGATTTGTTGAAGAGTACAAATATCTGGTTCGACGGACATTCGGAGAACGCATTTGCGGACGCTGTCCTTGCTCGTCGCAGACGCGAAGACCTACCTCTTCTGGGGTCATTAACGTTGCCTCATCCATACAAAATGTTACTCAAATCACGGCACCTGTCCCGCATGCGCTGGGTGAATAACCAGAACCCGAAACATATCTCCTTCCCTGCACACGGTCGTGCAGTCGTAACTTGTCTTATCTACTCGCATGGGCGCATCATCTCCGCCTCAGACGACCACTCAATACATGTATATAGCCCGACGACGGGTGAGCAGCTACAAGCCCTCGATGGGCACGAAGGCGGTGTATGGGCATTAGCCGCCACCAAGGACACTTTGGTCAGTGGTTCCACGGACCGAACGGTCCGAATATGGGACCTCTCCACAGGTCGATGCACGCACGTCTTTGGTGGACATACGAGCACCGTTCGCTGCCTTGCTATTGTCAAGCCCGAGTGGATAGACGTTGAGCATGAGGGTAACATCGTCACCCGCGAAAAGTGGCCTAAACGGCCGCTCATTGTGACAGGCAGCAGAGATCACTCCCTCAGGGTTTGGACATTGCCTCGGCCAGGTGATGACGAATACCGATGTTACGGTGCAGATGATACTGAAGTCGATCCATCGGAGGTAAGTCCGCATTCATTAAATATGTCATGTTGCAATGTTCTGATCTGGTTTTCGTACAGGAGGAAGCGGAAGACAACCCGTACCATAGACTTCATCTCACCGGACATGACCATGCTGTACGTGCATTGGCTGCGCGTGGACGTACCCTGGTTTCCGGCAGCTATGATTGTACTGTACGTGTTTGGGACATTATTACCGGTAACTGCAAGTGGATTCTAGTGGGCCACACACAGAAAGGTGTGTTCTACCTATTCGCAAAGATGCTCCTGATCTCATATACTCTTTGTCTTGCAGTTTACAGCGTGGTTCTCGATATCCACCGTAATCTCGCCTGTTCCGGTTCCATGGACAGCACGGTCCGGGTTTGGAATCTGAGTACTGGAGAATGTCAGCATACGCTCAATGGACACACGTCGCTCGTCGGTCTATTGGGTTTGTCCCCGTCCTACTTGGTTTCGGCCGCTGCAGATTCCACATTGCGAGTGTGGAATCCTGACACAGGCGAACTGTGTCACACCTTAGCCGCTCACAATGGTGCTATCACTTGCTTCCAGCACGATGAATTCAAAGTGCTGAGTGGGTCTGATGGCACCCTCAAGATGTGGGATATTAGAGACGGGTCTCATGTTCGTGATTTGCTCGTCGATATCGTCGGGGTCTGGCAGGTAGTTTTCGAAGGGCGATGGTGCATTGCTGCCAGTAATCGCGCCGATTCCACGGTTCTCGACGTGTGGGACTTTGGCACGGATAACGACGACGGTTGGGTCGGTGAACCACCTGGCGGAATCTACGACGAAGATGAAGACGAGTATGATGAAGAGGAAGACATTGAACAGGCTGAGGTGGATGACATGGAGCAGGACATCGGGATGGCTCCATCTGACACTGATGATGTTGACCTTGAGGAAGCCGGCATGGAGGAAGAGGATGATGACGATGACGATGACGCATGGGCGCGACGGCTGAGTGGTCCTCAGGCTTCGTCGTCTCGACAACCAGCATCATCTCATAGAAGTCGTCGCGGGCGGCTTCTAGTCGCACCTAAAAGCGGATTAGGTGCAGGCTCGTCTCGTCCGAGAACGCTGCCTAATATCGAAGAGACCCCCACCCGTCCTAGAGTTCGACATTATGGCCCTCGGCGCCGTTAGCATGATCCATGTTCATCCATATTCATACTCAAGCATTGCATTATTATTGTAGTAATCGCACTCTGTCTCCATCTTCATGATACCTCCTTAGCTCACTATGAACGATTTATGTGTAGGCTGTATAGGTTCGTTCAATGCCTTCTAGGAACACTTTTTGTAGCATGGGTAAATCTGGAAGTATCATTATCCTTTTACTGGCAACTGCACCTACACACTCCGCATCGGGGCAGAAGATCTTGAGGAATGAATTAACGACCCCGGGACTGCCGATGAAGGAACACCGACGATCCTCATGGCATAGAACTTCATGACGTCGACGTCTGAGTTAACGGTATCTTTTGGACCGCATGCGTGCATCCAGAGTCGCCTTCTGCATTGAGTCCCAGTCTGGGGGTAAGCAGCTTTGTTGGGCACTATAGAGTACTTGGTATGGCAGTGGCCAGAATAAAACCGCTGGATGGGGCTTTAGAATGGAGGGTGTGAAGAGCTGGTTCAATGACGAGGAACTGCGACATACAATCCTAGGGCAGCTTGTGGACTTCCGGCAAAACGGACATCCCAGAGAGCCAATCGGACGACAGTGTACTTTGATCAAAGAAGCACGACCGCATTCAGTAAACATTGGCAACACTCGCCTCATGCACTCAGCGGTCGCATTGTTTGAGGGCGACCAGAAAGTTCTCACCTATCGCAATCCATATGCTTCATTCATTCACTGGGAACGGTAACAAACTTCTCGAGGAACATGATAGGACTTTCCGATCCGTTGGTTGAAAACAGAGACAGGTTTGGTATCTACCGGTAAGATACCATGGCCCCGGTGTCTTAACGGCTTACGCCGACTGAGTGCCTGTAGATATGATAGGAAAATAAGCGCAGGGTGTCTAAGGATTATGGCATGCTTCGGTGAAAAGAAGTCATAATGCTATCCACGCTACTATCTAGGGCAGTAGTCAATCTCCTTGTTACTCCGGTGATACTCCAATGCAGAGTCGTGGCATTCGGAAGTATGTTATGTGCGATGAACAGAAACCTCTAGAACAGATGTCCATCAAGTCATACTGTTCCCTGTGAGAAGTATGCGTCAAGTTGACCGCAAAGTAGCGAGCTCTTGATTTTGCCTCATGCACACATACCACAAGGTCCGGTGAAATTTGACTGACAAAGGCCACACTCGGTCATGGATAAGACACAGTATAATACAATTTGGAGCAAGGACGTTGGCACTTTCATACGACACGAGCTTTATAAATCTTTACGTCTTCCCGTGGTCTGAAAACTCAAATGATGAGAGGTCGTTGAGGGGAAGGATAAGTAAACCTACCGATCCTGGGCATCCGTGGCGACGGCACCGAGTCGTTGGACCACCCGCATGCCAGAACTCACTCGTCCAAAGATGGTGTGCTTATTGTCAAGGAACGGCGTAGGGGCCAGGGTCAAGAAGAACTGTGAGCCTGGGGAATGCCGGTAAATATCAGCTGTATCGATAGTTCTCTTGGGTGCCTACCGTTAGTGTTAGGGCCAGAATTTGCCATGGCAAGGATACCGGCTCCGGTAAAACGAAGGTCAGGGTGAATCTCGTCTTGGCTGTAGCGGTGTACCGTCAGCGATCATACTCATGCGCTCGAATATAAAACATCACATACAATTTCTGACCGTAAATACTCGTTCCACCTCTGCCTGTTCCGGTAGGATCACCTGTCTGTATCATGAAATCCTAACATCCAAGTTAAGTAAGCCTGCGAACCATGAAAAGTACCGAACTGTGAGAGGAGTACGCACGGCAATGATGCGGTGGAAGACGACACCATTGTAGTAGCCTCGTCTTGCCAGTTCCGCAAAGTTCTTGCATGTCTATGGTCAAACCCTGATAGGTGAATAGAACTGAACATAGCAGAGTTTATTGATCTACCCGTGGTGCGTGGTCCCAATATAGTTCCAACTGAATATCACCCAAACTAGTTTCAAGGACGACAGATTCCATGTTAGTATATGTGGCGGACGGTACCGAGGGCGAGGTCACTGGGTCGTATTGGGGTCGGACGATGAAGTCGATGAATGAAATGATGTTGATCTTATGAAGTTACGATTGAATTGATCGGCAGTATATTGGACGTTTCTTCCCACCACCATTGATTTCCTTCCAACACTCTGGACTCGTTCACTTTTTCCTCCCACTCTCTTGCCAGTGTCATCTATATTCACGGAGACATCGTCGAGCGATAATCAGCCGGCGAGACTCCTTGTTCATTCGACTTGATAGTCTATTCAATCCCAATTTCAATCTAGAACGTTATGAGGGCAGTCCTTCAACGTGTTGCATCTGCCTCCGTCACTGGCGAGTAATGTGTGCCCTAATCATTTGCCAATTGTACTGAAATGTCGGCGTCGCAGTTGACAATGAAGTAATTTCCTCCATCAGTCGTGGTGTGATGGTCCTCGTAGGCATCGGCAAGGGTCTGTATTGGTGCCAATTGAACGGCAAAACATCCCGGCTGAACAACTACTTAGACAGACGATAATGCGTCCGATATCGAAGTTTTGTGCAAGAAAATGTGAGCGTCATTCCTCGTATGTTGTAGTGTAGTGTCTGGGCTCTATGACATTCGTATTGATCGTCTGGTCTGTCGCCTTCTAGTCTCTCTCTCAGAGTGTTCCAGGACGAGAAAGGAGCATGGTGGAAATCGAATGTCAAGGACATTGGTGGCGAGGTCCTGTGCGTATCGCAATTCACTCTGTTTGCGAACACCTCGAAGGGGAATAAACCCGACTTCCATCGTGCAATGGTAAATCTGATTCCTATTTTTGATTCGAATGGGACACTCATTCAATTCGTCGGTGCCTATTTGGACTATCCTTGTTCGTTCTATCCCAGGCGAGTGAAGCGTCGCGGGACTTATACACCACGTTTCTTTCAAAAATGGGCGAACTGTACAGACCCGACAGGATCAAAGGTGAGCGTGCCGCACTTTACCTATCACTAGTATCGCCTGAATCATCTTGCATCCTGTTCATAGACGGCAAGTTTGGTGCTATGATGAATGTCACCCTGACGAACGAGGTGCGTGACAAGTCTTCCAAAATTGTTACCAACAGCAATCCTTGCATGGATGCTTTGTCTGACTATATTTATCTCTGCTACAGGGTCCTGTGACGTTCACTCTCGACTCGCGCAAGTTTGAATATATCGACGCTCCCACCAATGGAGCTGGACGTTCTGCAAAGACAAATTCCGATGCAGCAGATATTCCTTCAGCCGGCGGCAGCTGACTCGCAGGCGGGTGTTAGAACATCATGTTAGATTAACACGAAGCATGGATATCAAGAGAATGTCTTGCTTTATTAGATGAGAATGCATTTAATTTATCACAAGACTGTCATGTGCAGAATGAACATGAACATGACAGTTCGATAAGAGTTCATGTGGACTTCAATGAATGATGTCTCATTGCTTGCGCCCTCTCATAACTATAGGAACCAGTGTGCCTGTAAGCATTCATGTGACTCTTCGTAGCCTTTCGAATTCATATTTACGCCACAATAATTTCCGTGGACTGGAAAGACGGAGATGGAATGCCAAATTCAAATCGGCGGTCGGCCATGCAAGGGCAACACTCCTGCCCTGGATATGTCGAAATTCATGTCGACAATACGCATGACTCGCAGGAACAACATCAAAGCGAATGGGCAGATAACCTCTAGGTTGAACAGCCGTGACAGGTCCAGATGGTTTAATTTAGCAATCCCAGCAGTGCCGTTCACAACGAGGCTGGAATGTATTTTATCTCCAATCGCCGCGGGGAGGCGTATTTGAGTGCAATTACAGCATTCCACCTATAAGAGCCACCAACGCCTTCGTTCCTATCCTAACTTTCCGATCACCGCCATGCCAAGGGCGTGTATGCGCCCTAAGTCCCTCAACTTCCTCCGCAAGGCGTTGCCGAAGTGTATTGGAGGAAGTTACCAGGAGAAACGAAAGCTCGGTATCGAGGTTAGCAGAACGTGAGTTGAGATTGGTGGAGCCAAAGAGGGTTATATATGGCGTAGACGTCGGTGTAGGCCGAACCCATATGCCTGATGATTAGAAAGAAGTCAGAAAATCACTTCTGAATTCGATGGTGATGTCGAGACGTAGGGGAACAAACCTTTAGCATGATATGTCCAGCCGTCTCTTTCCCACTCTCGCAGTTGCACTCCAGACCCAGAGGACTCAGTTGCGTCATCTGGCCATTCTCTGCCTGATTTCCGGACGGCATTGATGAACCGCTGTTCCAGTAGAGTATAACCTTCAGGTAGACGTCCTGAAATGCCGGAGGACCCGTAGAAGCCGTTGGCCTTTGTTCAACATCAGTTATGAAAAGGTCATCTTACGGCAATCAAGCTCACCTTGGGACTGGAGGCAATGATCCGGCATGCAAGTTGTGAGCCCAGGACGAGGTCGCGGTATGGACGATATAACCCGAAGTAACCGGTTGTCAAGTCAATCAGAGGATCATTATATGGGATCTCTTTAGAGTCTGAGGGACATTTGCCGCCAGGCAACTCATCGAACAGTAAGGACAGTACACGTTCTTCCTCTCTTATATCAAACTGTCCAGCCTGAATGATGGGAAATATCAGAACATCAGGCTCTCCTCCATCCTGGCTGGACGTGTCAGGCGCCGTTGAAGTCCGGAATGTAGAAGAAAGTCTGTAGGTGTTGTGTAACGTCGTGAGCGCGTTATGAGCTTTTCGTTCGATATGATGCGGGTGTGTTTTGGAATCCGGCCACGCTAGTTGGTACTTTTCCTTCGAATCTTGCGAGGCAAGTAGTTTGTACGAAAAGCTTTCCGAAACCTGAAGAAATGAAAGACAATATTGCGCTATGGATGGTTGCGACGAGAGGTGAATGTACCGATCTTGTCGATTGGTAAAGTAAGATTCATTAAGGTTGGCACTGACAAAGAGGTGAGATCCTCTTTATTTCTGATAGCTTGTCCTTTCCGATGAAAGTCACTCACCCACTGATGAGGACTTCATCATCTGCGCCGTAGATTTTTGGATGCCACGTTCCCCAGCCTTCATTATAGCGTGGAGGAACTAACTTGGCCATAATGCCTTTCAGTTTTGGACTTCGAAACATCGATACATGGACGCGATCTGGATATGCTTGAAGCAAAGGAAGCAACAACAGTGCTGTCGACTTGGGACCTGGTCGGGTTGACCTATTCAAATCCAAATGCACGCGCACTTGCAAGGAAGGATTTGTCTCCAACGCAGTGCGGAGAGCCTCAATCTGCCAAATACATGATGAGATGAGTAACTCCATCATGACTCCATCATCAATGTTCACATACCAGCTCAGTTTCCTCCGAGCCGATGTAAAGTGAAGACAAGAAGACGCGTCGTTTTGCTCGACGGATCATGTCCTATTCGGCAACATTTCAGAAAGCAGCTCAGGAGACAGGATACTACCAACCAACAAGCACTGATAGAACTGCGAAGGTTCATGCATGATCCTCAGCTCAGATGAGGACATTGCGAAACACGGTTGCAATTCAGCAAGTTTGTGAACGAATGTCCGAATAGTAGGGTCGAAACTAGATGTCGTCAAGTTTTTGCTCCGAGATTTTGTGTGAAAGCCTGCAACGCCTGATATTGGAATGAAGCGAAGCGTTCTAAGAGAACATCTTGGCAGCATTTGAGGAGTGCAACTTTCTGAAGTCGCGTATCTAGATGAAGTATTATGCTTTGCTACAACAAAGCTGTAGACTTGTAGGTCAATGGTGGAATTATTGAATGTAGAGTAGAATGAATCCAGAGATGACTGGAATGCAGACACAAATTCAAAGGAGCAATGTTGCAGAGCGCCTCGAGGTTAGGGTAAGCGTGGGAAGAACCGGAAAAGGATGTTTTGCCGCCTGTGTGAGGATCGTCAACGCTTTTCTCTCTCAACGACAACGATGGCCCTTTCTTTCATCGGGTTCGCATTCAGTGTCTGCGCTCAGCGTGCACCAACTGATACTGCGCCATCTTAGAAAACCTATTTCTCTCATTTCTCAGTCAGATGTTCGATACAGAGGTATCCTAGCGGGCATCGACCCCGTCCAGTCGACGATCCAGCTCTCAAATGGTACGTGTCATCGTCGCTATGCATTCGCCTTGGTCTTTTGACTGACTCCTGCACTTTTCGTATAGTATTCTCGATGGGTACAGAGTCTCGACGGTGAGTGTCAGTATGAAATAACTATATTTCTAGCAAGATGAAGTCAATACGGATGCAAATGAGCAATGCTCAGGTGTCCGAGAGCGCATAAACACCATGTGGATCCTTCCGTTGCCTTCCTTCTGATCCTCCCTTTACGCATTCTGTTTGTTGCATGCCACATTTGCTGACGAGTCCTCTGTAGGCCGCCGACGGAGTTCATCCCTCCCGTGCAGGAACCATACCAATACATCATCTTCCGTGCGTCGGAAGTGAAGGACTTAGCTGTAGATGAACCAACACCTCGTCGCAGTGTCCATGATGATCCTGCAGTCCTTGGGGTGAGTATCACATTCTTTGTTGCTATTTTTTCGTTGATGAAACCATTCACGGATGTACGAGTATAACTCAATTGTCCGAGAGCGCATAAACCTCGTGTGGATATCCCGTTGCCTTCCTTCTGACCCTTTTGATTTTGTCATCGCCAATTGTTATGATGCTTATCCTTCGTTCTTTAGGCATCTGCACCTATGCCGCAGGGCTCTTACAACTTCACCCCTGGTGCTCAATCTTCACCACAGCCAGCTGCGCAACAAGCGCAACAACAACGGCAAGGGTATCCTCAACAGCAAGGGCCGCAGGGGCCTGGGTCACAACGGACACCTGCACCTACACAGGGTGGCTCTTCACAGGCTAGTGCTGGCTCATCTACGACAGCGAAGAATGGTCGACCTAATGCCGTAATCTCTGCAACCGCTTCACTCGAGACCGTTGAGCGAGCGCTTGGTGATCTACGTGTAACCCATGGTGCTGATGGCGTACATCATCAGGGACAACGGGGTGGAAGACGTGGAGGCCGTCCACATGATCGCCAGGCTGCTCAGATACCCGTACCTACGACAGATTTTGACTTCCAGGGATCCAACGCGAAGTTCGACAAGGCTGCACTTGCACCTCGCAAGTCGCCTTCTGCTGAGGCAGAGGAAGGTGCAGAAGAGAAGGCTAGGGAAAAGGCCGAGGCGGAGGTCGCATACAACCCGAAGAAATCTTTCTTCGATTCGCTATCGTCGGGTAGTAATGCGCCTACTTCTGATACACGTGGCGGACGTGGTGGGCGGCGAGGTGGAGGTGGACGCAACAGGCGAGAAGAAGAGAGGGAGAGGAACGTCGCTACTTTCGGCGAACCTGGAGGTATTGGTTTGATGGGTCCAGGTGCTTATGTTGGTGGATGGGGAGGATATGGACGACGAGGTGGAGGTAGAGGGCGCAGGGGTACTGGCGCACCTGCAGTAGGAGCTCGATGACAGACCCGTTTTAGTGCCTCAGATTCAGTCGTAACTTGTTTTCCTTGAAGGTCTTGGTGTTATCGTTCGTTCGCAGCAGTCATAATTTGTCTCACTTCTTTGTGGGTTATCGCGTCGTTTTAGTCGTGATTGTAATGCATATCGTGTTGTCCATTCATACCCAAAAGTCCATTGAGAGTATTCAAAACTAAGAAAGTTGATATCAAGTCCTTCTTGATCTCTTCTTTTTGACACGACGAGAACGTCTTATATGGGCAAATAACAGTGTACCGAGTGCTGATACCAAACCCCACGGTGGAAATAACCAGCTCACTCTCCAAGACCAGCCGGCTTTCCTCTCTAGCTTTTGAAGCAGGGTGTCAATCTGAGGTTCGAGTTCCTGTATTGACCCCGAGTTGTCAATGACAAGGTCGGCGTATTCCAACTTTTCTGCTATGGGCATTTGGGCATTGAGACGAGACAAAGCGTCCTCTCGTGAAGACCTGTCACGAGTCATCAGCCGTTGCAGCTGGATTTCATTTGAACTACAATCGTCTCTCATGTTAGGATCATGTTTGGAACAAATGAACGAATGGATGAGGCCACTCACCAATATACCACTACCACCAAACCAACCCACTTCCACAACCCGCCTTCAATCAGAAGAGGAACGTCAACCACACAGATCTTGTCGCCTCTCCACCAATGCCTCATAACTGCCCAGAACATCTCACGAATAACGGCAGGGTGAACGATAGCGTTCAGTTGTTTCCGTTTCTCTGCGTCATTGAATACGATGGCACCCAACTTGGGTCTGTCTAAGTATCCGTCAGGACGAATGATGTCCTCGCCAAAGACTTTGACTATCTTCTTGAGGGCTGATGACCCCGGGAGGACTACATCGCGAGCGATGACATCTGCATCGACTAAGGGAACATTGCGAGATTTGAGGAGGGAAGAAACAGTAGACTTTCCGGTCGCGATCCCACCGGTCAAGCCGACAACTGAGAATACGACTGGTTAGATTAGTTCAGTGAGTACTATGATGCGCGAGTACCTAACATGTGGAGCCTTAAGACCTTAAGACTTCCTTTCTCGTAGCTGCGACGAGCACTGGAGTACTGAGTATTGAAGGATGCGATATGTACTTGTAGTGACAACGAAGGAATGACTTGCGTACTACATGCGTAGATGGACCTCTCTAATGATATACGTATCGCGCCGGGCCTCCGACTCATATTCTTAACGTCTCTGTTCAAAAGCATCGTGGACAAAAATGGCTACTTCTGTGGTTCAGTAATTTACTATGTGTCTAAAGGATGCCCATCTAATATGTTGTTGAATGTACTAAATCCATGTGTAGTCCGTGTATAAAAGTAATTAGATGAAGGGGGAAAACTCAAGGCGTCCCAATCAATTCCTTCTTCAATGCAATCTCGTCCCGAAGCATGGCAATCCTCATCCCTAATCTTGAAGACAAATCTATACTTTGTCCCGAAATCGACAACGCGTGATCCAATTTCTCATCAGCATTCTTGAAGGCCTTCAACCAAGTGACCCTCTTCGCCTCATCCAGTATATTGTCGGAACCAATACGAGCATTGATCTGTTTCAAGTCCAGAACGGCGAGTTCGAACCATGCAACGCCGCCTACCCAGGTGCTGCTCTTGACTTCGGATTGACGTTGGGTTGCATCGGTTAGGAAAGCACGGGCGGCGTCGAACTCGCCGGCTGTGCGATGGACAATTCCAAGAAGGAGGGAACGTACAGCAAGTTCGTCTTCAGTATCTAAGTCAGGGACAGTCGAGGAATCCGAAGAAACATCAGTGGCTGAGATGAGGGGGCTCTTTATGGTGACTGAAGGCGAGTAGGAGGACAGTTGGTTGATGTGCTCTTGAGCGACCTCTTTGCTGATGCGAGCATGAGTATTCCAGACTGAGGGTGTTGTCAGTGTTCACAATCATTGTAACCTCGCAAAGTAAATTGATGAATGCACTTACAAATGGCGAGCTCTGGATAATAAAATTATGGCGTCATATGAGCTTGGGATTTGCGCGAGAAGAAAATCACGTACCTTCAGCAGGGCTAATCCTGATACTGTGAGCAAAGTCCTTCTCAGAGCCAGTCCTCCGTTTCTGCTTTTCCTTGTAGAATTGCACTAGCGCATGACAAGGATCAACACCATCCACACGTCAAGAGCAAAACAAAGGACATAAACGTACGTTTCTTCTTAATGAAGACCTCGGTCGGCAAGTCCTTTCCACCAATCTTCTTCTTTTCCACCAACTCGGGCACGGCATCAAGCAACGTCTGAGCTTGAGCGTAGTCCTCCAAGGAGATATGACAACCTGCAGCTATAAAGTAGTAAGTACCATGACTCCTATAATATATATCCAAAGCCAGTGAACAAGGTTTGCAAGTATGCGAATAGCAGAAATCATACCAGCTATTAATCTCAGTAACTTTTAGGAACGCATCAGCAGCTTCTTTGTATCGCCGTTGGGACAAGAGCGTCCAAGCTAACTCGAAGATAAGCTGTCGTTACAACAAAGGTAAATGACGCATGCTCTCGGAAGTAGAATATGGGTAAACTGACTAGACCATCCGCCTGCGCGAAGGTATGGGGTCGATCTGGGGTAAGACCAGCTTGCAAGACGTCGATGGCAGCGGCGGTATCGTAAGACATGCGCAGAATCTTTGCCTGGACATAACATTGTGTTAGTATCAAACCTCCAGTCAGATTACGTTGTGAAGGCTTACCCTATTCAATATCCATAACGATCCTGTTGGATATCGATTGTCGATTCTGAGTGGTTCATGGCACGTCAAGGCTGCATCGCATGAGATATGGATGTGGAATTTACTTCTCAACAATTGCTCGATATTGCTTGAGGATATGCTCCTCGTCAGCTTGATACCCTGCCAGCAACAAGACGACGCCATAGTACGTCATGAGCGTCAGTCTGCGTATCCTACGGTCAGAAGATGGACTACGTAGAACATGGCGAAACTGACCCTGCGAATACAGAATGGACATCGTTCTGAGCGGCGGACACTGCCAAGGCACGCAGGGCAAGTCTTCGGTCGTGTTTGAACCCAAGGAAGCCCACAACGTTACTACATGGTTATGAGATGTATGGTGTGATGTAAAATTGGAGTGAGAACTTACCGTACAGACGGCGGTAAGAGGGAGAATATCAAGTTGAACATGCTTAATAGTAGCTTATTAGGATGCTGAAATCGAGGATGATCTCATTGAGGACTCACCCGTAACCAAATGCGGTACCAGACATGATGAGTTCTTCAATAGGCCCCTCCGGTGTCGAAATAACTATATTGGTCGAAGGAACGCTGAGACTTGAGCCTGTAAATCGCGAAAAGAAGCCTGATCGGGCTTTCATTGTAGTGGTGGATGAAGCTTCTGAGTGGATACTAGGGGCAGGAGAGGGTGCTTTGGACGTAGACGGCGTAGCGTAGTTATCAAGGCCATTAGGATAGACAGCTTTGTACAGTCTGGTTTGACAGTAGAGTGAACATCGGGATATCTGGATTAAAGTGTTGGTACTCACCTTGCAAACTTGGAATGCGCGCTGGACAGATATTTGTAAGGTGTGAGATAGATATGAAGGAAAGAACGCCTACTTGTTCAGCGCATAAAGACACTGCAAATAGCCCATGTATGATTCACTGTACGAAGGTCGCGTCACGTAAGGACTGAGAAGACGATACATAAAACCGACCTAAGTGCGTGTGTAATACCATGCAGAATGACAGCGTCAGAATGAAGCAATTCCCATTCTGTGCCTGCAGGGAACCTGGAAGCCGAAGAAGCAGTCTTCGCAGCTTTGAGCTCTTTCTTCGCACCTGCCTCGGAGAGAGCGAGTAATTCGGCAGCCTGAGTGACAACTCCGGCCTAACAATAAGGACAAATCACTCAGGATTCAGTTCGATCATATATGAGTCTTCTATACACAAGGACCTACCTCCATGCCGAGTGCAGCCTCTAGGAAAACACACACGCCAGCGCCCAATAAGTGGAAAGGGGACTTTTCTTCTGTGAACGTCTCTTGGGCTGCTTCGAGGTCATTGGAGAAGAGAAAGTCGAAACCGTCGGTTGCGGAACGCAGACTCTTCGTCACTTCTTGTTCGGGGGAAGCCATGTGAACAGCTGGTCAAATGAATACTGACGTCGTGTAGTGATGCGAAGTAATTATTATGAAGCCGCTAGTCCCAAACCACGCGATGTCAGTTGGATACAATAGGCATAGTCAATGACTTCTTACCTGTATATAAGCAGCCAAAATATAAAGACGGTGAAGGAGGAGAACGAGCCTACGCACTTTGACACTGCAATCCGTAGGTGTATTCTTGGCGGCCCGACGTGTGCACTCAATTGGGTAAGCTGTCGGCCCGCCGATGATACGGGCGCTTACAACATGCCCTTGATCGGGCGTGAGGCTTGTAGGCCGTTGCAGACAGTCCGCAATGACTGTTAACGTGGATCTCTCTACTCTCAAAAGAGTCAAGAACAGTGTCATAGGAAATCCAACGGCGAAGGCTGCATACGCAAAGGATGAGAACTTCATCTTAAAGTAAGCAGTTTATAGTCACCTCTCGGCGCATTGTACGACTCGGAATGGCGTTCTCATATTTTGCTCGTCATATTCATAGACTGGTCGAATGCATAACCAACCCATTACCTTACCTGGAGTCTTCTCAGGGCTCTCAAGACGACATACGGATAGAAGCTGCACATGTTGTCTCGTCACTCTCATATGGTGCGTCGCATCTTGTTGTTCGTGTCCCGCAACGTTAGATATCAACATAGTATCAGGTTCAACTGATGCATTGAAGAGTCTCCTTACTGCAAACGCACATCAAGCATTCGTCTATGCCATTTCTAACCTGCAACCCACTGATCAGCCCGCGTTAAAGGCTGCTTTCGCTCGTGCGTTGAAAGCCCTTGGATCAGCTCTCGCAGATGTGGTCGGCCCTTCACAGATGGGTATTCATGACTACCCTGTCGATCTCCAAGAAGATGCGCGCAATGCGCTTGACTATCTCTTTGAAGTACTGTGTGCTCCAATCATTGCTTGATCTCTATTACCTACGAATCATTGACCTTGTGCAATAGGTTGAAGTACTTGACATATACCTGCCCCATTTGGTGGATTCGTCACAACAGACCGTGATCTCTATAGCGCAGCTCCTCGCTTCTGCCTTGCGATCACAACCGTACCGTGCAGCCGTCTCCGAATGGTTACCCCAAGCCGAGAGACACAAAGAAGTCAAGGGAAAGCGGGGCTGGGAGAAGACTGATACTGCCAACCCTCTGGCCAGACAAGGTGGTTGGGTCGCTAAGGAGTTGGTTTCTTACCTCAACAAGAAAGACAGCAAGGTACAATTCAATTGCTTGTATTCGGGTTCTGCTAGTTGCTCACAGAATGTTAGCTTCAAGAAGCTGCGTTGTCCGCTCTGGCTTCCTTAGCGAAGGAGAACCCTAGTGTCGCTTCGAAGTTGGCAAAGTCTGTCGACCAGCCTTGTAAGTTTGCGTACTTGCCACATGTCCGGTTATACTCAAGCACTTGAACTTAGCGCCACTGAACGTTATCTTGTCATTATGCAAATCGAGATTGACCGATTTACAGGTTGCTGCTTGCTTGTGGTATGTAATGACTTATTCAGTCAATTCTTGTATTAACCTATAATTCAGTGCAACGAGTATCATCAGATCTGGAATACCCAGCTATGTTTCAGCCGAACAACCTACAGCAAAAGCCGCAGCTATGACGGTCATCCACTCGATGAACAATCTCATATCGTCGGACTTGGACGTTCGAACTCGGACTAAAGCTTGTTTTGTTCTCTGTATGTTCTTTTCTTAGTGTTTTTACGTGCGGAGTGATACTGACAACCTCCCGATGAAGGTCATTTGGTATCAGACGACAAGGATTTGTGCCAGCTTGCGTACGAACGTGGTTCGTTGAATCAATTGGCAGACCTCGTGAAGTCAATCACACCAAGTGAGCCGAACGTACAATGGGATGAAGATGAGCCTGAAAGTCAGGCATGTCTTCGTGAGGTAACATACACTCTCCGTTCCCTTATCGATGCACTCTGACTTTTTTCATTATAGGCCGCGTTTACCACCATCGCATCGATAGCTCTCTTTGACAACGACATTCGCTGCGAGATCACTGACAATCTTCGTCTGATCCCCTATATTCAGGCTTCTCTTACACATCGTCATGTCGGGGTTCGATACTCTGCTTGTCAATGTGCGCGCGCGTTAAGTCGTGCTGTTGCTGTATTGAGAACCAATATTGTGGACACAGGATTGGGGTTAGCGGTGTATCGGATATTCTTGAAGGAAGATGAGGACAAGAGGGTGACATATGCCGCCAGTGCGGTCGTTTGCAATCTTGTGAATGATTTCTCGCCATTACGGAGCGTGAGTGATCTCTTTCCGGTTCTTCGTTTCGAATCTGCCTTACTGATACTTGAATGGTAGACTTTACTTGAAAAAGGCGTGATCCCGAGATTAGTGCACCTGCTACATTCTGGTGATCCAGGCTTCCGATTGAACGCTCTATGGACGTTCAAGAATCTACTCTACAAGAGCAGTACTGAAGTCAAACGGCAGGTCATGGAAGGGTTAGGATGGCATGAGTTATCCTGGTACGTAGATTCACGTATCTCATCAGAACAATTCGTGTAGAACTTAAAATGTCCGTCAGTCTCCTTATGGACTCTGACCTGAGTGTTCAAGAACAAGCCTTTCATGTCGTTCGGCACCTTGCAGATGGAGAAGAAGGAATTGAGATGGTTTTCGTGGAGATGGGTGAACAAGTGCTGCTTGGGTCGTTGAGTATAGCATTGGAGTCTGAAAACGAGAATGTCGTTTGTCAGGTTAGCACGCTTGTTTTATCTCGTAAAGCATTGCTTAATGCATTCTTCCGTAGGCTGTCTGCGTGCTGGGCAACCTAGCAAATAGCATGGCCCGCCAAGACAGTATCCTTACCCATCCCCGAATACTTTCAGCACTTCGCAACTGTCTCGTTGATGCGAAAGTAGAAGTCCGAAGACCAGCTGCATCGTGCATCCTCGAACTCGTCCGGGCGAATCCGCACAGCCGGGAACTATATGAAGCAGGAATCGATTCGACGCTCAGGCATATTTGTGAACATTCGAGTGGGCTGAGTGGGAGCCCGACGACGAGGTTAGCTATTGGATTCCAGATGGGTGCGGAGGATGATCGCGAGGTGAAGGAGAAGTGTCGGGAGGCGTTGCAGTGGCTTGAACACGGTAGCGATATGCTGTAGCTATGCTGTAACATGTGTACTATGATTTCATGTTTGTATCGTAAGCAACCCAATTGTATTTCTATTGAGAGTGGTTCGAGTTGGGTTTCGAGTTTAAGTACTGGGGACGAGTAAGCGCGCCTGTGCTGGCGGCACGAGGGCACCCGGCTCGTGAGTCGTTTATCTTTGCCCCCAAACGTCTGCAGACACGTCTGACACGTCCAACTCACCACCAACCACCAACCTCTCCTCGCCATGGCCTCTCTCGCTCGGATACGTCCTCGTCTTCCTCGTAAATTGGTACGTATAACTTTATCCACAAATTCCAAGCGAAACGTGACGAACTGTTCCTGACGAAATCCGTACGGAATCCGCGCATTCCTTGTCTTTTTTCAGCCACTAGCTATAGCCCGCGCGCTCAATACGTCTGCAGACTCTACTCAACTCTCGGAGGACGCTTCACATTCCGAACCCTTCTCTGTCAAGCTCCATGATGACTCTTTCCGTTCGTATCGTACAGAGACGCCTGGCTTGGACGTGGAGGTGACGAAGGATGGTCTGCTCAAAATGTACAAGGGTATGACGACTATACGTCGCATGGAGATGGCAGCGGATGCTTTGTACAAGCAAAAACTCATTCGTGGTTTCTGCCATTTGGCTATTGGCCAGGTGCGTTGCTACTTGTGTTTTGCGCTTTATGGTTGGTGGCTGAGGTCATACGTCACTCCAATAGGAAGCCGTTTCTGTTGGTCTTGAATCTGGTATTACACCCGAGGACCGTGTCATTACTGCCTACCGTTGCCACCCGTTCGCTGTCCTCCGAGGGGGTTCCATTAAAGGTGTCATCGCTGAGCTCCTCGGTCGAGTAGACGGCATGTCGAAAGGAAAGGGTGGATCTATGCATATGTTCACCCCCTCTTTCTTCGGAGGAAATGGTATCGTCGGTGCTCAAGTTCCCGTTGGTGCCGGTATTGCTTTCGCGCAAAAATACATGAACAAGCCAGTTGCGACATATGCTATGTATGGTGATGGTGCAAGTAACCAGGGCCAGGTGTTCGAGGCGTTCAACATGGTGCGTAGTAGGTTCCTATGACTGTTGCAGGCTTGCGTGCTGAAATAGTATATAGGCCAAGCTCTGGGACCTTCCTTGCGTTTTCGTGTGCGAGAACAACAAGTATGGTATGGGTACTTCGGCGGAGCGTAGCTCCTCAAACACCGAGTACTTCACTCGCGGTGACAAGATCCCTGGTATCCAGGTAAGAACTCTTGATTCCGTTTCCACACATGCTTTACTGACGCCCTGCCGTGCAGGCCAACGGTATGGATATCATCGCTGTTCAAAAGGCTGTCCGGTACACTCGTGAGTGGGTCACGAGCGGAAAGGGCCCTATTATTCTCGAATTCGTAACCTACCGTTACGGTGGTCACTCGTAAGTTATATTTGTTCTCGTTCGTTGAATTTATCTCTGATTCCTATTGCAGGATGTCCGACCCCGGAACCACTTACCGTACTCGTGAAGAGATCCAGCGTATGCGTTCTACGCAGGACCCTATCCGTGGCTTGCAACGCTACATTGAGGAGTGGGGTCTTGCGTCTGAGGGGGAGCTTAAGGTATGCCGCGTTCGTATTTCACGTAGAGTTCATCAACTGACCGCAATTATAGAAACTTGACAAGGAGGCTAAAGCTGAAGTCGATAAAGCTGTCGAGGAGGCCAAGGCTTCACCCTTCCCCGAACCCAAGGATCTCTGGAAGAACGTCTACTACGCTGGTACTGAGCCTGCCTACCTGCGTGGACGGGAGCGTGAGGAGGTGTGTTTCAGTGCTCTTCGTTGTTTGATCCTCCCTGACATTTCCTTGCAGATTCACTACTACTGAGGCAGGATACGATACCCGATGCTTTTAGGATTTGTGCTTTGTTGTTTGCAGTGGTTTCGTTTAGTAGGCCTAACTTTATTATCGCATAGACGTTTACTACTACGTTTCTACTATACATGTCGATCTTGATGCAACTATGGTGTCTTCAGGATATAGTCCCATACTGCAACATGTTGAAGACTAGCTCGAGATATGTAGTGTCCATTATGTCAAATGAGATTACAGGTAGCGGAATAGGTTGCAGGGAAGTTATGCGAGAGGTCCCGAACGTGTTCTGATGTGAACTATTTGTCCATCATCGGTAATGACTTTGAATCGTACTACAAGCAAGTTTAGGACGTATATCGGTGGGTAAAGAGCAATAGACGTACAGATTGTAAAAGGTTCGCCCTTTGCCTTTCGTATGCTAGTGAAATAAAGCGTGCCAGCTCCTGAAACCCACGCCAGTCTGTCAGCCGGATAACACAACTTTCTGTCTAAGACGGACCTTTGGGGCCCTTCACACGGAAGCTTAGGTCAACGCTGCCTTGCATTAAATGAACCTAAGTGAGTGTTAGTTGAACCGGAACGAGGGAGAGTTCACTATGAACATACCCCGCCACTAATCCATGGCTCTCCATTCAACCACCAAGCGGGTTCAGGTCGGATAGCATCTCCAAGAACAGCCTGCAGCTCAGAATCATCCTTTATGGTTGCCACAATCTGTTTGAAGACCGAACTGGCCAACTTCTCCTGGTTCGCGACGTATGCATAGAAAGTAGCCCATGCACCCGTCCCGAAGACCCCAAGAGCAAGCAGGACCGGCCACTTTTTCTGTAGCAACCTTTAGATGATATCAGTGGTAGTGTTCATATATTTACTTCACCTGTAACGGAGGGAGAGCGCGTGGCTGGGGTCGATCGTAGTACGCCCCAGGCTTGGCCGGTGAGGAAAAGGTCTCCGGCTCGGGCTGCTTTGAAGGGGGTGGTCGTGGAAGCTCTGTATACGTGGCATATGTTCTCCTGAATGTGTTAGCTAGAAGCCTGGCCGACGAGCGAGACGATGAGGGGAGTAGGGACATGGTTTGAATGCAAGAGTATGTAACGGCCGAAACAGCTTTGAATATATATCGCGTCGATGATCGAGGGTGGCTTCGTACGGCTAACCCGAAATCACACTTTCGGCTGTCATCTTGCCTAGCCATACTGGTCCTGCCTCGAGATACTTACAACTAACTTCGTCATTGAATATTTGAAACATTGACAGCGAGTCCATCTACTGTAGTGGTTGTCAGAAACGAGCTTAAGTTGCAATAGGAAGCTACTGAAACCAGCGCATTCCCGCCCAATTCATTTCAGACAGGGCTCACACGGAACCAGTTCGGTATGCTCGCCGTTTCCCCAGCCTCCTCCTCAAAGACACCCAACTCGAGTGCTCCGCAGCCTCAGAACCCGCTTTCAATTCGGCTTTACAAGGTCCTTGCAGCGAACTTCGATGATGAATCTACCAAGGAAGCCTTGAACACGCTCGCTGAGCTGTATGCACCTCCGGCCACGTTGTCTGCCATCAATAAAGGAAAAGGCACGCAGAAACGAGAAAGCGATGATGAAGAGGAAGAGGACGAGGAACGTGTACCAGCTCGCTTGGAACGTACCACTGTGTTAGTCAATGAGACTACTCCTGGAGATATTGCTGCTCGAGCGAGGAAGAACCTCAAGCGTGATGTCGAGTCAAAATTGGCTGAATCGAGCCGGAAATTCCTGGATGCGTTTGCCGAGGTGGACAAGGTATGTTTTGTTTGTCTCGATTGATGTACATGAACTCAGAGGTCAACGTAGCAATTAGATACCCTACATGAGCATATCAATGCGATGCGCACACGTTGTGACGATGCCCAGTCGCAACTGCACCAGACGAATGAGGCCTGTAAATCTTTACTAGACAGAGCTGGTAGCTTGCGAGAACAGAGGTACATCCCACTACCCAGAAGTAAGCGCATATACTCACACATTCACACTTTTGTAGACAGGAAATCGCTTCCCGACAATCAGTCATATCCCTTTTCCTTGGTCGCTTCACGCTTACTGCAGATGAGGCTGAAGCCATCACATCGCGAGAAGTAGCTGTCGGGTCTCGCTTCTTCTCTGCTATGACGAAAACAGAACGGATACGAGAAGACTGTCGTGTGCTCATGGCTGCCGAAGAAGGTCCAACGCAAGCAGGGTAAGTTGTCTTCACTGCTTTATGGGTTATGTCGAACTTAAGTGTCGCTTCAGTTTAGATATCATGGCCGCTACTTCATCTTACCTCGAACAAGCGTACGACAAGATCTTCCGCTATTGCTCTTTTGAGTTCCGTCAAATGGGTCGAGATGCTCAGTCAGAAGTCGGACCTGTAATGCAGGAAGCTGTCAAGCGATTACAACAACGGCCGGAAGTCCTCACGTATGCCGTAGCCATGATAGATCCTTCAGGGTGATACTAAAGTTTTGTTGTAGTGAGGCCCTCTCGATACTGTCACAAACACGTCAAGCCACACTTCTGACTGGCTTCATGGATGCCCTGACCCGAGGCGGTCCAGGTGATCTACCTCGACCTATCGAGCTTCACGCTCACGATCCACTACGGTATGTCGGTGACATGCTTGCATGGGTACATCAGGCTATTGCAGCGGAGAGAGAATTCCTGGAGTCTCTCTTCGGCATAAAAGGTGACATGCGAATGGTCGGAAGTGTACGGACATTCCGTAAGAGCGATGAAGAAGAGTGGATGAGCGAATTGATGGATGCGGCTGTCGGGAAGCTCAGCTCTTCACTGAAGGTACATTTCGACTGTGCCTGCAGCACGTTTTTATACCGACTTATGGTGTCCATGCAGCTTCGCGTACAGCAGACTGTTCAGTCCCAAGAAAGCAGTATCACGTTGTTCAAGATTGCTAATCTACTTCAGTTTTATTCCCTCACGATGCAGAGAACTATAGGCGAAGAGGCTGCTCTCTCGAAGAGTCTGAAAGAGTAAGCCAACGTCGAAATATGCAGTGATTCTCTCCATTGATTCATGCTACAGGATGACTGTCATGTCTTACCAGACCTTCTTCGCTGCTATAGATACTCAGGGCCGTTCACTGCTACGCATGCCCCTGGTAAGTCATCAACGAGATCTCCGCTGTCACGCATTCCTTATGTCATACTTTAGGATCTCGACGACCGCAGTGTTTCTCCACCTCTACCCATACTCGATCATCTCCAAGTGCTCCGAGAGATAATGCTCGTCTATCAATCTTCCATGCTCGAAGACGTAGACGCAGACACGCAAACAGCAGGCTTCAGGGACATTCTTGATAAAATGATCGACCCCGCGATCGAGATGTGCATGGCTTCTTCTGAAGGGAAGCAACGCCTGCGGCCAGGATGGGATAGATCAGTATTCGTATTGAATACACTGACATATCTCCAAGTGAGTCCCCTTGTCTTGGTGAGTTGTGTCTGGACGAAACTGAATGTGAATGTGTAGAGTGCCCTGGAGCCATTTGCCTTTACCACGGAGAAGCAGGGTGTCTTGCAAGGTCTTATTGAGACAAGGGTGTTACAATTAACGGAAGAGCATGTACGTCTAATTCCACTTATTCTGTTGATATCAATTCTCAGTAATATGCCTTTTAGTATGCCAGCATTCTTATCGATACCGGTCTTGGAGAAATCATCGAAGCTTCGAAGAGCCGCAAAGACAATGTACGTTATTCCTGCAAACTTCCAGTTGGATCCACACTGAGCATTGTATAGGAACCACTTTCGCGACTTCCGGAGGCCTCGCCTGCAAAACTACAAGCAGCACTGCACCAGTTCTCGGAATGGCTCACGTCTCACACTGTTGATCAATCTCCACGTCTTGCGGAGCTTACTGTTCAAAGTCTTGCTGCTCGTATACACCAGGCAGCTCTCGAACGTCTAGTTCATACATATCGCTGGTTGTGCGATGAGGTCAAGAAGCCAGAGAACAAGTATGAAGCCGCTTCGACAATTCTTGGCAGCTCGAGACCTTTCGGTCAGACACATCTCTTGTGGCAAATCTTCGGCGTAGAGGAGAAGGAGACTTGACGCACTTTCATCTCAACTTGTTTTTCTTTGATAACCTCATCAATGTCTGTTATGTTCACTTGCCATTCCATGGATCTATTCTGCAGCTATGAATGCTAGCGTTGGGCAGCAATATCAATCATCGCATTTCTGGGTGACCCATTACAAATAGGTAAGTGTAGCGTGCGAGTCGAGACGATGGTCGTGATCGTCTTCCTCTCATTGCAGTGGTGCCTCACCAGTATGTCGCACGAAAGGAGTGACAAGAGGAACCGCTGGCATTGTGGTGTGATTGACAGGATTCACATTGTACAGACTCATTAATTGCAGTGGCAGCTGTGCAAAGTATCGTCAGATTGATTTGCTTTTCATGGAACCTGTAAGGTGAGGATGTTCGATTATTCGGACACGAGGACGACGTGCTGACGAGAGTCCTTCGTCGCTACGAGACTTCGAACAACACAACGTTGCCCTTTTCGGAGGGCGCCTTTCCAAAAGAAGAAGTAGGACTCGGTGGGTCATAGCACAACTGGGGCGCGGGTATAAATGTCGGAGAATGCCACATTGTCTCTTTGTTCTTGACCATCACCGTCAGACTATTATCACTACTGAAAGACACAAACTTTTACTTCCAAGGACGATGCTCGTCCTGCCACTTATCCTCACGGGCGTCCTCGCCTTCTGGGGGGCGTTCTGCGACACTCTTACAGTGGCTCTAGTCACCCATACCCTCGGACAGACCATCGTCTGCACCATCTCTCAGGTCCCCATTGTCAGCTTCGTTTTGGATACCCATTTTCAATCCCTATTCGGACCAAATAGTCTATCGCCCACTCCGTTCGCGGCTGTCTGTCCTGCGACGGTTTCCGGACTTTGTTCATTACGGCATTCTCTTTTAATCCACGCACTCTCGGAAAATGAGCCCGACGCACAACTTTACGCACCCAGGCCGACCATGATAGTTCCTTTGCTATCTTCCCTCCCCGCCACACGAACTCACACAGCGGCACTTCCCTCCCCGACACCAAAGCCGGAACCAAAGCCTGATCCACTCGCAATGCTCTTTTCGGAGTTCCCTTTCCTCGACCGCGAGATCCATCCGATTCTTCCTGCCGGTCCAGGAGTGGCCTCTGCGCGCGATCTTGTTGTTGGCGCCACTTGGCTCTTCATGCTCATTCACGTCTACTCCAACAATAGACGACCTATCAGGCTGTTTGCAAGGCGGCATGCTAGGGTTGCCTCCTCGGAAGTTGAGGTGGAAGATGTCGGCGTAGCGCAAGCATGTTTATCTCCGATGTCGAGTCAGCCTATTGTGCGCCACATCTCCTCTGTTGTACCCTTCCGACACTCACACTTATGCCAGACCCCGCAAGTCGAGTATCAACTCACTGCAGAAACGGGAACCACAGATATGTCGGAAGACATGAGTACCTGCGCCACCCCGGCTGCTACCGCCACCGATGACCAAGTTTCAACGTGTGGCGGGCAAGCGCCACTTGCAGGTACCGTGTACTCACCAACAACGACACATTCTGTGAGTTTCTATCATCCACTACAGTTTATACGCGTTCTGATTCTCATGACAAATTATTCTAAGACAACCGTGACCAGCGACCTTGGCGAGAACACGTTCCCATCGATATCCGAGTCGTGCGACGAGGCTCAGGTATGAACTACGTTCCCTCTTAACGGAGTACTGTCATTCATAGGTCCAAACAGATGGTGCAAGTTATTGCACATGGGCCTTCTGGCGCCGACGAACGGGATGGAATCGTTGACAAGGCCGCAGTATTCCACTCGGCTCAAACGTCTATTGTCGAGGACATCGATTTGAAGGATACGACTGCCGTGCCACCCACGGACTTGAAATTAGTACGGACGATTTATTTGACTATGTCCTTCAGTTTATTGATGGACTCTCTAGGTTGAAACTGAAGAACTCACGAGAACTCCCGATGACCTCGCGAACGGACCTCATGGCGGCAAAACGGAGGATTCTTCGTTGACGGCTGAGATGCAACAAGAGGCTCAGGTATGACTCATGTTTCCTCGTGGGGTTACACCACCTAATATTGCAAACAGACGGTGCACATAGTTGCACATGAGTCTTCTAGCGTCGACGAGGAAGCTTCCACTGAGGCTGACAATGTTGTCACCTTAGATTCTGCCCCGATGTCCAATGGCGACGAGGATGCGGTCACAAGACTCTCCGCGGATTTCGAACACGTGAGTGCAACTCTTTGTAGTAGGTTTTCTTGTTCCTAGTATGCTTACATTTTGTTTTTCAGGCGGACACCGAACAGCCGGCCTCGGGAGATTCGTCGCAGGGTAAGGAGAAGCATAGCCGACGTGGTGGTCAAGTCGAGAGCGCTAAGAAATATTTTTCAATATTGCCAGACTGCTTCTCTGACGTCCGGAAAACGCACCATTTTACCGGTTGCACTGCGCCATGGACTCAGGAGGAGATAGCGGCTGGTATAGCAACGCCACTTTTTGTTCAAGAGCCTCGGCGAAAGAATAAGCACTGGAAAGCAAACCAGGATCTACTTCATACGGCCCTAGACAATACCATCGACGATGATAAGCCAGAAAGGTCGTTATACGCCAGTATCCACGCTTGTCCAAAGGTAAGCCTTGACGTTGAGTAATCTCTGATACCCGTTCGCTCACATCTCTCATAGGTTCATTCGGAAAACGCGAAAGCGGACACATCGGATTCAACATGGAAAGCATCGTCATCGAGCTCTTCCTACCAACAACAACATGTAGCAGCCACCTTCGATAAACAGGCTTCGAGCTCCACATCAGGCAGAGGTCTCAGCGCAAGTATCCATGCTCCCTCAGCACCGCACGATGAGGTAAGGAAGTTGTAAAATAATGTTTCTCATCACTCTGACAAGTCCTGTTACCAGCATCTTGTCTCAATGGCGCCTCTCGTTGGGAATTACTCTGAAAATGCAGAGAAGCGCGGCCCTACCCCCTACACTGCTCCACTTTCGACTGCTGCTCCGCATATTTCACCAGTCACTGCCCTTCAAAAAATTGCCGATGATTGGGATAGATTGCCTGACAGAGGCTTGAACACAAGTATACATGCGCCGTCGGTTCCCCGGGAAGAGGTGAGTATCAATACGCACTGTATCTCTTCTATCCTCCTCATTTTCATGCTAGACCGCATCGCTTGTTGTGTCCTCATCCCACCAGGTCCCTACTACAGGCAGCCACGACATCGGAACCGTGGATTATGAAGAAAGTGACGAGGCATTCCTATACACACCTAGCTCGGACACGAAACCAGAGTTCGCCAAGGCTACGGAACACGACTCCGATGATGAGGTCTTCCTATATACCGGTGTGGATGCACAAGGCACACTCTCCTCTGGACCCGCGAATAGTGACGATGCTGAACAAGAGGAAGATTTGCTGGAAGACGAAGCATGCAAAATGGTGGAAACTTCGGTAACAGGCGCATCTCAGGACAACGAATCTCAATCTGCCGGATCTCTTGCTGATGACACTCCATCGCAAGGTGTCGAACCTACTGAAGATCATGAGCCATCGCCTAGTGCCATTAAGGACAACAAACGAGCCGAATCCGTTACAGCCACCGATTATATTACAGATGTGAGTGATTTGGGTTTTTATTAATGGTCATTCTGGTCTCATGCAGTTTAGCAGTTGGATTCTGAACCTTCTATACCTGTCGGATCAACGCCTCTCACTGAGACTGACCATCCTGTAAAGGTCGAGCCGATTGGTAACGACGACGCTAATCCGGAGGCCGAACCATACATGGACAACAACTGGGAATTGCCTCTAGAGGAGCCACTCGATTTCGCCACGACCGCGGTACCCACTATGGACGTGAGTGGATTGGTTCTTGACAATGCTTATCATAAACTCACATGTAACTCAGCTCTTTGACGCGGTTGCACAGGTCGAGTTGCAGCCCAGGAATGACCACCTGGTTGATGAATCAGATGAGGATATAACTACCAGTCACGCTGGTGACTCGACGTCTGGCGGAAGCTCCAAGGTACGTCGTCTCTAAGAATTTGATGATACAGATACTTACTTCCTTACAGAGGCGGCGCAGAGGCTGCAGGGGCAAGGTTAAGAGCAAAGGCAAAGGCAAGGCGAGGACTGAGGCCAGCCCGGAGACCACCGCGTCGGTGTCGGGTCTGAGCGAGTCGATTCATGCCCCGCGGACAGCCGATAGCGGGCTTTCTCCAACGACCTCGCAGGGAACCAGACGGGGTGACGGGCCAAACACTATGATACGGAATGCAAGCCCTTCTTGGTCACGATCCTCCGTGAGCCCTCAGGTACGTGTTAGCTTCTTTTACCTTAGTGACGCCCGTTCGTTGACAATGCCCATAGCCCATAGCAGGACCTTCGAGGCAAGTCGAGAGACGCGTTTTTATCAACAGGAGTAGCAAGAATGCCCTGCTTGCTCACATCGGGGCAAATCGAACTTAGCGAGAACACGGGGTCTGTTTGGTTGGTACCTTAATCCTTCCTGACAATAATTTTCGTACTCACATCATATTTTAGATGCTCCGTCTTTACATCATGATGTCTACATTGTTTCCGGTCTATTCGCTCTTCGTTCGTAGATTAGAAAGGCGTTTATGCTCACCTGTGGGCTGGGTAGCACCTCCTAGCGCTGCGAGGTGTTATCCAGTTCATGGGTCGATATCATTCAAGTCTGCTCTTCACTTCTTGTGTCTCAATTGTCTCTGTGCTTTCCTGATATAGTGTTAGCTCAACCACTGTTTGTCTCGTTTCATCGTAATGTTTTGTATAATAGTTGCATCTTTCTCTTCGTTGTCGGTACGAGTATAGTGTTTCCTCATGCTATCCCTTTCATCTGTACATAGAATAGTTTTTTTGGTCGTTATTGTTACAAACTCCAGTAGAAGTTGGTGAGTTGCCTGTTGCGGAATGGAGCAAGTGATCGAGGTGAGTATCCATGATCGACCGAGAACCCTGTCTCTCTCCGAGAGGGGTGAATCGGATACATCCACCACCTCTGGCCGCGGGTATCTAAGGTCCCTTTTAACATTCGAGGACGATGTCTGCAAGTTTGATACCGCACCCCTCTTGTCTCTCGCAGTCAACTCTCTCAGTCAACTCTCTCCGCGTACTCTGTCCGACTTATACCAAGCAAGTTCCTTAGCTTTCTACTTATACTCGGTTAGTGACAATCTCTGAGTCATTCCTCGCTGCGTGCATCCTTCTTGCGAAGCAGCATACCCAAGGCACCTCCCCCACCGAAACTGAATTCTCTGACCTCAGTCTCCTCGATCACTATGGATTCCTCTGGCGCCCCGCTGTCTCCACGGATGAGGCCACGTATTACTATGCTGGCATATCGCCTTCCCCTCCCAAGCTCGTCTTTCGTACGTCGAAGCAGCCGTGGGTCAAGCCCACCGGGCCCGAGGCATATCGCCACCTGAAGCAGCTGCGTCCCGTCTATGGGCACCAGTTGAACGACCAATGGGACACCATAGGTCCCCAGGTTCTTGGTCTCCTGGACGAGCAGGGGGTCCGCTTCTCCTCAGTCGACATTGTTCGTTTTCGCTCGGACACAGACGCAAATGTCGTTGTCAGTCTCGTCGTCTTGTGGATCGGCGTTCTTCCGGACAGTCTCGTCGGCGAGGACGCCTTTAACTCGGCAAACGGCCTCCTCGACCTCCTCAAGAGCCATGGCATTCATGACGTCGATGTCGAGTACCGTGAGTCCGTCTACCGACGCTCGACTGGCCCGGAGCTCTACGCACCGGCCTCGGACTTCAACCCAACCAAGAACGTCATTGATCCTCTCACTACTTCGCTTCCGCTTCCCATTGCTAACGCGAAAACGTCTCACTTGCAAGGCACTCTCGGTTTCTACTTCGCCGAAGGCGGCGAGAGTGAGGACATCTTAGCTGCTACCGCCCGCCACGTCCTCTTCCCGCGAGACGAGGACAATAGCGAATACACCTGCACCAACACCAGCAAGCCTCGTAATGACGTCCTGCTCATGGGTACCAAGGCGTGGGACGATTACCTCCAATCCGTCCAGATTGAGATTGGAAACCTCGGCATTACGGTGGAGATCCATGAGAGACATCTCGCGACGTTGAGGCCGAAGGCGGAGGGCAGTACCACTTCTGCCAAGATGGCTAAGGAGGAGCTGAAGGAGACTGAAGAGCTACTGAGGAAGATCAGAGAGGCGATCAACAAACTTGAAGAGTTTTATGACATGACGAAGAAGGAGTGGGCCAAGCCAAGCCAGCAAATCATTGGACACATTGTCCGCTCCCCTCCCATCTCTGTCAATACCCCTCCGCACGGTTTCACCAAGGACGTCGCCATCATCAAACTCGACAAGGAGAAATTCAAGAACGTTGAAGGGCCTATGAACGTCTTGGACTTGGGTGCGTTCTGATCTATCTCACTAAAGCCGTCTATTATCCTAACTGTTTATATCTACCTAGGGCCGGAGATTGACGGCGCCAAGTTCACGCGCACGATCTACCCTCGCGTCGACACCCAACCAGAGTTCGAGTACCCAGGCGATCGCCTCCTTCCGCTCAGGGAAATCATTCCGGAAAACTTTCTGCACCATCCCGACATGCTCGACATTGACGGCGAACCTTGCCTCCTCGTCATCAAGCGCGGCCTGACCACGAAAACCACCATCGGCAGGGCTACCGGCATCTTCTCCTACATCAGGGAGTACTTCCCTAACGGAACCCACCACACGTCCATGGAATGGGCGATCCTGCCCTATGACGGTGACTCTGGGGCCTTTTCCAAGGACGGGGACTCTGGGTCGATTATCGTCGACCGTCTTGGACGCTTTGGTGGCCTCCTCACTGGGGTTGCTGGTAAGACGCCATCGTCCGATGTTACCTATGCTACGCCCTTCTTCTGGCTCTGGTCGCTCATCAAGGACATGTACCCCAATGCTCACCTCTCCCCGGTTATCGAGTAGGTGCTGCAACGTCCACGAGAATGACAATGGGGACGCTGGCAAGGTGGCGAGAGTCGGAGTTGTCTCATTTCGTGCATCTGCGACTTCTTCTCTCATCTCCAGGCTCCTTTTATCTTTGTTTCTGTGACTTCTTCTCCTTCCTCTACGCTTCCGCTTGTTGAGCATGAATGATGAGCATAGGTATCCCTTTCTACTTCACGAATGGAGTGGTTGGCTGGGAGCACTCCATCCAAAGTTGAAGGATTCATGATTGCGAAAAGAAATGGATCAGGCAAGAAGTAAGACTTGACAAAGCAGGAATGACAGCTGGGGGTTGGCCTAGAGGATGAGGAAGTTACGGATAGCCCCCGAAGGACGTTGAGATCGGGGAGAGCGACTCAGGTTGCGATGACGAAGAGTGGTATGTAATAGGATCAAGAACGTCATGGTACTGGCACGGCAAGAGAGGATGTCATCCGGGTTACTGCACAAGGATACAGGACAAGCTAACACATACAGACAGAATAATACGTCAGACACATTAAGGTATGTTCCGAGAATAAATGAATGTGGAAGTAGATCCTAGCAACGGCAGAAATGAGGAGAAAGATACTGATAAAGCAGGAACGAATGAGGGACTGGTATCATCAGACACAGCACGACGAGAGTTGGAAAATCATGAACAAAGGAAAATCAAGCTAATAAATATCAATCAATATATAGGGACTTTACGGGAAGAGGAGGCTGTAAGCTTCCATCATTCGCATTCAGTGAATTGAATCCTGGAGTGAAAGGCGTGAAAGGATCCAGCCTCAGTGTAGGGTCAGACATGTGGTTACTGTCAACGCTACCATTTTCCTGGTCAATGGCTCGTAACTTCGAGCCAATTCGATAATCCTCTTCTTGCGTCTCCTGGATATACTCCTTTGGCGGACGAGGCATAAGTGGAGGTGGAGCAGGAACTCCGTTCGGCCTAGAGACCGCACTCAGACTGGGTAATCGTTGCACGCCATTCTGCGACAAGACAGGTGAAGACACTTGAGAATAGGCTGGGGCACCATTCGGCTGAGAGTTCTGACGTCCTTCCGCTTCATACATTGCTCTCAGCCGGGCCTTCTCCTCAGCAGCAGTCAACGGTTGTGGACCTGACCCGCCAGGTGGAATGGGTGGAGAACGAGGTGTAGGTAACGCTGGTCGTGTCGACCCAGATGTGCCATTGACAGTATTACCGCGCGGACGTGGAGGGGGAGGTGCAGGCGGACCGCTGGATGTAGCCGCAGAGTCTTGAGCCTCATACATTTTCCGTAGTCTCTCCTTCTCAGCAACAGCACTCAACAATTGCGACGGTCCTTGCGGTACTTGGGGTGGTGGTGGACTTGCTGATTTGACATATGCAGGAGCGTTCATGGGTAGTCCACCGACGGCACTCAAAGCCGGAGATGCTTGTAAGCCGGCCGCGGCCGCGGCATCCTGCGCTTCGTATGCACGACGTAACTTCTCCTTCTCGGTGAGGTAGTTCGGTTGCGGTTGTGATGAACCTTGATCGAAGGCAGGGGGAAGGTCACCATTGATCGGAGGAACAGGAGGGGCAGTAGTGGGGGCGGGAGGGTATAAAGCATCATAGGCTATGGGTGCGGAGTCCGGAGGTTCAAGGTCAGGAGAAGGTGAATAGCTGGGGGAACCCTGGCTTCGGTCTACAGCAGCTTTGGCTGCTTCGTACCTCCGCAGAGCAGCTTTCTCCTCTTCAGCACTAGGATATTGGGGCGTTGGCGATTTAATAGGAAGAGCCGTAGTTCGTGGGGCTGAAGAACTAGAAGCAAGGGCATTGCGATTGATTGACGACATAGCTTGTTGGTACATAGCTGCACCAGCTGACATGGATGATTGCGGTGACGCAGCAGCACTCCTACTAGGCGCAACATAGGAGGATGAGGCTCCGGCGTCTTCTTCAAGTCCTTGTAGGCGACGTGCGGCAGCCTGAGCCTCGTTGAAAAGTCGCATCTTCTCTTCTTCTGCGGTCGGCCATCTGGATGAGGACGATATACTGCCAGGAGAACCATTGGCTTTAACAATCGGACCAGCGTCCTTGTGTGGCGTTTGCTGTCCATAAGTCTGTGATATATGTTAGCAGCCGTAACATCTGAGGACAAGAGAATAAGATGTACCTCTGTAGGTGGACTAGGCGCACGAGCCACACCACCTTGAACACGCTCAACCTGGGCAACAGCTCGATCGTACAATCGTCTTTTCTCTTCCTCAGCAGACAACCACTGGTTGGTCCTCGATGATGAAGACCCAGCAACACTAGATTGTCTTGCCTGCAAAGATGCTTGCCGCGCATGAGAGCGGGCATTAGCAACTAACTGAGCAGCTTGCTGAGCTTGAACAGCTTCTTCAGGGTTATCTTCGTTATAGTTGGCCACAGTGAGCGGTCTGTTCACTGCTGCACGTCCGCTCGTCCGAGTTCTGAGCTGACTCTGTCCCTGATTATTACCGGATGAAGATGATGCATCACTATTTGCAGGATACTGAGCAGCGGAAGGTCCGACTTGGGAACCACCTATTGTCTGCGGTTGCGCGGGCTTATTTGTTACGCCCCATTCATTTGCTTTAGGATACCCATTAGGCACAGGGGCAGTGTTAAATCTGGCGCTAATGTTAGTATCGCTCATGGGCATGCTTCCACCACTAGTAGGCCGCTCGGAGACAGTTGTTGAGTATGGATGTGTTTGAGACAATGACGGACCGCCCGCAGGAAGAGAAGTAATAGTAGAGACGGGAGAAGTAACGGCGGGCGGGGGAGATATCGCGCCACTGGTTGTAGCTCCGAGTTGGTGGCTGGCCTGACCATGAGGTGGGGCCGCTTGTGGGTGTCCAGAAACATTTGGGGCAATGCCAATTCGCCTATTCAAAGCTGTCAATAAACGTCATTGTGAACACATAGCTGCAGGACTTACTTCACTGCTTCAAGAGATACCGATCTATTGCGAGAAAGCTATGAATAATCAGGATACGAAGATGGAAAAATTATACGCACCTAGGCCAGTTGGAAATGATAATGGGCAAGTCCATGATTAGAGGTTTGCCAGTTCCCATGAGGGCACGCACGGTGAGCACATAGTTGATATCAATATGCCTCGCCGCATTCAATGTTGTTGAAGTATGATGAGAAGGGACTGTCACCGCCAGCTCGGCCTTGTGCTGAGTGCCACCATACAGAGTCGCATTGACCGGAACCTTTTGCTCGCCAATGTTGGATACCTTGACTTGAGGTGAACCTTTCTTGCCGGGAGTATTTGGCCCAGCGCGAAAGACTGTTGTCTCGCGAAGTGAGAATTCGAAGCCACGAAGGATGACCGTGCTAAGACTGTCAGATTTGACTGCTGCCATCACTGATATACGGTCTCCTGGCCCATAGCATGTGTGTGTTCTTTCAACGGTGAGTGTGACGCCATCTTGAGTGAGCTTGCGACCTTCTGGTTGGGTATATACAGGCCATGTTGAGTGTAGTTCGTGCTTGTCAATGATAATTGGAGCAGACTGAGAAAGGATATTGTGCTTATCCCGGCGTAGGAAACCTCTGGAAGGGTCTAATCAGCAGATATTTGATAGCGGAGGAATGACGACGTACTTTTTGCCCTTGACGCAAACCGTCGCGATGAGCTCATACTTGACACCGGCTAGCATAATGTCGCATCAAAGCGGATTCACAGGAAGTAAGACCCGATGCTTACCGCCCTTCTCCAGCGCAATGCTCGGCGGTATGGACTCAGGTATACGAATGTAAAATGGGAAGTCTGTCTGTAGAGAGTAATCCATTTGAGGATAAACAATCAAACTATAGCACGGATCCAGGACTCACTGAGCTCAGTGTGCTATACTCTGCGCCCGACTGCCAAACATGAATGGGGCTCTGACCCACAAAGTCGAAGAATGTGTTCGTGAGGCCACCGCCTGGCAGTGTCTCGACTTTCCGAAGCTCTATTCGTACCCATTTCGCCTTCACGCCCTGTGGACCTGCTCGAAATTCGATTGCCTGGTGGTTCCGTTAGCTCCTGACCGCAAAGCTTCCAAATCTGCACGTACGCCTTTGACAGCAGCCTGTGGCCTATCTGGTGCGCCAGGTGGTATTCCAGGATACCCTACGACCTGCTGTTAGGCCCATGCTCGTTTACGCCGCATGTCTCGCAGCACTTACCCTGCACAAAGTCAATATTAGGTGGTGGTCGTAAAGTACTAGGAGCGCTGTTTAGCTGGTATTATGCGAAATGCGTAGCGGATACTTACAGCTTTGGCTGGGACATGAATGGGGGCAAGAAGAGAACGGTGTAGCCGCTGCGACCGAGCTGGAGAGGATATGAAGCACGTTCACGCGGGCGCCTCCAGGCACATTCCTCTGCACCGCCGCCCGACAAGATTGGCGCGGCTTCGGGCCTCTGCTCTTCTCTTCCATCGAATTGCTCAATTAATCCCATTTTCTGCGTCTCCTGCCGTTGATCATCTGTTCTCTGAGATGTTTGTCGTCTGATCTTTTGATTCTGGGATTTTCTCTGGAAGTTTGCGTGCTTGGAACAGGCTTGCGATGTTATCGGAAGATGACTGCGTTTGTCGCGAGTCACCACCATCAAGACTATCGAGGGTGTACTCGTTTGATGCCGATAATGGCTTTCATTATTCTCGGGTCCCGTTCAGGACCGACTCTAACGTACGCTAGCCCTGTGTGGGCCAGACTTCGTTACGGTGTTTGTGCTATCTAAACCTCCTTCTCGCAATCTCCCGTACATCGAGCTACTTAGTCTTCATTCTTGACAAGGAGCGGTGCAGCTCATGGGTCTCATTGTCATATGCAACGTTTCATTTACCGCTTCAACCTTCAACCTTCAAGCATTTAGATGGGTTTCCCAAGTCGTGATGCTGCATTTGGTGATTATTCGCTGCAATATCCCAAGTACTACGATCTACACCGTCTTCCGAGGATCGAAACAAGCCGAGTGCTAAGCTAATGACGAATCATCGTTGCATTCAAATTCAAATTGCAATTGAAGCCAACCTTCCGTCACATTGTATCTCACGAAACTTCTCTATAAGCGAAGCTCTACAGTAGTAGTGACGTTTCAATCAGATTTACATGTACATTTAGTATTCGAGTTATGCAGAGAATAAGATCAGAGAACGCAGTCCGTATGTGAGTACGATAAAGACTACAAAATAGACAAGGAGATGGTGGATGACTTCTGAATGGGGTGGCGTGAATCTGGGGCGGCTAGAAGTACACTTTCTACGATTGAAAAATAACATCGCGCACAGAATACGAAGGCGACGATGGAAATAGATGGTGAACGATGAAAATTGAGTACAACGACGACGTGGGGGAGGGGGTCCATGAGAAAATGCGAGACAAATGCAAAGAAGAAAAAAAGTGGGATACAGAAAGACGACAATGAGTCATTAGCAAGCTCATCGCCGCCGCTTCGCCTTCGGACTATCTTCGTTCAGAATGAACGGTGTCGGCAAATCAACATCCGACTTCCTCTTCTTCCCCATCTCCGGCGTCGTAGTCGTGGTCGTCGACGTGTTAGGAATCGCCGAATGCTTATCCATCAAAGGTGAATTTCCCGCATCCTCCAAAAACGCCGTCAACTGTTCCTGTTGCGCATCATCCACACCCGAAGGGTCAATACTGGCGACAGGGTCAAACCGCGTCGTCCCTCCCGAGTCCACCATATCCGAATAATCCGCAGGCATCGGTCGACTTGAAAGTTCATTGAAGAACGCATCGAAATCGAAGTCGATCGACGTCGGAGGGGTATCTGTGTCATCGCTCAACGTCAGCGAAGGAGTGTTTTCTGGACCACTAGAAGGGGTACCTGAACCTCCTCCTGTGGGCGCACCTCCGCCCGTTGCCTGATGGGCAGCATCTTCCGAAATAGTTGTGATCGCTGTAGGATCCAACCCCAGATTCTCAATCAGTGAATTGATGCTAAACTGCAACGCGTCCACGTCTGCATCGATCTGAGAGGCATCTTGGTACGCTTTATGGAGCTGTTCAGCGCTATGAAGTAGTTCAGCGTTGTTGAGTAGCGGTCCCAGGGCGTCATCGGAATCACGTCGTGTCAAAGGGGCTTGTGGTAGAGGGGGAATTGGCGGATGTTGTAGTTGTGCTGTCGCAACGGGAAAGGGAAGGTTTCCGTTCGTAGTCACATTGGTAGGACCGTATGGGAAGCGAGACCAATCGTGAGATTGTGCACCATACGGTCCCACAGCGTTCATGGTGTTGGAATCAACAGGGTACTGCAGATTGCCTGGTTCAGACATAGGCGGCATCGGGTACTGCTGCTGATTCGCCAACGCTTGCATTAAGCGCTGCATCTGATTAGGTGTACTGAGCATCTGTTGCAATGTAGCCCACATCTCTGGCGTAGATGCATTTGGTGGCATGTTCTGCATGGCCAATGCAGAAGACATGGACTGAGGAGAGAGACTCCGCGGCGGGCCATTTTGATTTTGCGCAGCAGGGGCTTCAGGAGGCGATATGTGGCCATTGTTCGAAGGATTTGGAGTCGTACTTTCATTCATTTGAGTTCGTGGGGGTGAGGTAGTGGTGCGATAATTAGTAGTGGAGGTATCGGATGCCGGGGGAGAGTATGTTTCACTTGGCGCGACAGATGGTGAATGGACGATGGGCTCGTCGAGGGTGGCGAAGGTAGCTAACGCGTCCGTCAGTAAACCGTCGGATAGGAGAGGACAACCCATGCCATACCGGCATGTTCGCCCAATAACCCCTCAAATACAAGAGGGGGGAAACTCGGACGAACAAGCCGTAACGGCAGAGACGGAAAAGAACCTACATACCAGTGGGCGTTGAAACACTACGTTTGTCGTCATCATCAACGACTTCCTCAACTGTTGCGGCTTTCCGCTTCTCATTAGTTGTGACGTCACCAATCATCAACCGCGGTCGCTTGCGCTGAATGCTGTCGGGCGAACCTTCGTGTTTGTGTTCAGCTCCTTGCCCGAAGACACCAGCCAGAAATTTCAGAATACGGTTAATCGTGTCTTGGTGCTTCTTATGCCGTTCGCGGGCCGCCAGCGCCTCTTGCCAAAGATGCTGATTCGAGTTTTTCAACTCGTTGAGGTCGGCAGAGATAGCCTGCTGGTGTCGTTTAATAGCAGCGATGCCGTTTATGACCGAATTTATGTCTAGGATCTGCCCTTGTGATAGATTAGCAAGTTGAGGGGTAATATGGGCGGTAGCTTCGTGCATGTCTATATGCATATCGTCGACATTGCTCTGCTGAGGCTGCTTCTTCCGCTGGATGAGACAAAGAAGATCGGGTTGGCCGCGATGGAAATGGGGGTGTTCGAAGTGCCAAGGTTCGGTGTCGGTATCGCTCCGTAGGACACCTTGCTGGAGGTGTGGGATCTTGTGGAAGCCATACATATTGAGCTGACGCACAAACGATGTGAACTTTTGGTGCTTGAACCAGCGTCCTAGGACCTCCCGAGCAAATCGTTCATGATTCAAAACTGCAAACCATGTAAGCAGTACATCTCCGGACAGAGGGAAAATAAGGACAGACCATAGAAGGAGTCTCCGCTCTCTGACCATCTAATCAGCTCATCGTTTTTGGGATCGTTTACGATTCTGTGAGCACCAACCGTAATGAGCGCATGAAAAAGAAAGAGAGGGCTTCAAACCCACTCATAGAGCTTCTGAAGAAACGGAGGGACAACCTGCCGAGCGGTTTTGCTCAGGTGGGTGGACTGGCCTGTAGTGGCCCTCGCCAGGGCGAGTTGTTGGTCGGAGGACATACAAAGACCCAGATAGAATCCGAGGAATATGCCAGAAACGACGTTGAAGGACGAAGAACAAGAAGAACCCGAGGATGATAGGAGGCGGTAGAAGTGTAATAGGCGAGAAAGAAAGAAGTACTTGTTATGTGTAACGCCTCTCGCCCGAACGCGTCAGTTTGTGACGGTGAGATTGCATCGTTCTAACCCTAGCCCAGGGTTAGAACGTTAAGACTTCTGGTCCAGCCTGTCAACATTCTCACTACCGGCAGAACCGATGTCTTGGAACTCGCCGTGGCTCGCAGCGACGGGCATTCTTCTGGTCGTGGGTTACACTTTCTTTCTCAGGAGGCGAACAACTCCTGTTGCTCTATACTTCTGCGAGCATGATGTCGTCGGAAACAATGCGCCCCATTTTAACCTCGGCGATTTCGTAAAGCAGAAGGTTCCAGTGCTTGCTGCTGACTTTAAGCCGGTCTGGTGGCTGCCTGAGTGTGCACCTCTTCTTTTTCACATTTATTACTTTGGACGCTCATATACACGCGATAGAGGAAACTGTCAGACTATATATACTTCGTTGGCAGACTTCACACACGTTGATCACGTTGTCTATGAACGGTTAGACACGATGGTTCTCTTTCACTCAATGAAGCATTGTTGACAGGATTATAATGTAGCAAACTGCTTCGCGTTGCAGATGGAGGTACATTCATCTATGTACGTCTCATATGACAAGGGTATCTGACTACAACATCATACGCAGGCGTCATTGCAGTAGACATATCGCCGCCTCTACACTCGCATCCAATTCAGCCAAACGAGGCTATTGTTGTCATCGCACATGGTCTAACAGGCGGCTCTCATGAACACTACGTCCGAGCTGCAGTCAAGGGCCTTACCGCACCGACGTCTGAAGGCGGCTTGGCTGCACGGGCGATAGTCGCCAACTTCAGAGGATGTAATGATAGCCCTGTCGTTACACCCAAATTATACCATGTACGTCTATTGTCCCTCCATTTTCCATCTCCCTATTTTATTCGTTTTTCTCGCATTCTTAGGCTGGTTCATCAGACGATATCCGACCCATTGTTCTCTGGGTCTCATATACATTCCCTCAATGTACTATCTTTGGCCTCGGTTTCTCTCTAGGCGCAAACATATTCACCAAGTATGTTGGCGAAGAGAGCGATAGGTGCCCACTGAGTGGGCTGGTTTCGTTAGCAAACCCCTGGGACTTCTACGAAGGCGGGAAATTTAACGAGAGCGGGTCATTCGCTAACCGCTTCGTCTATCGGTTCGTTCTTGGCGGCGCCATGCGATCACTCTATCATCGTAACCGAAATGCCTTCCTTACCTCGTCGTCTTCACTCCTCCCTAATAGCTTATTGGAAAAGCTCTTCTCCATGCCTAAGCTCTCTTTAGTAGAGTTCGACAATCTAATCACCACGAGGATGTTTGGTTTCGATGATGCTTGGGATTATTATACTCAAGTTAGCTCGTGCAAGGTTCTGAATAAGATTAGGATCCCTGTTTTTGGGATTAACGCGTTGGATGATCCGATTTTGGGGACAGTGGGATTACCCTATGAAGAGGCGAGGAGGAATCCCTGGCTCGTATTGGCTACCACGAAGCATGGGGGTCATATGGGCTGGTTCGAACGTGCTTCTAGTGGTGGGTTAGCTAGGTGGTATGTTAAGCCTATGACTCAATTTTTCCAAGCACTTCTTGAGGTACGTTGTTGTTCATAAACTTTTCGTGCCCATAAAGTTACTGATGTCGATGCTCGCTCCATCAGTGCGATCTGCCTCCCCGACCTAGACCAGTTATCCGTCAGAGTCATAGTGGTCTATTCCAAGAGGAAGGTAGACCCGAAGTCGCCTTTGCCGAGGTCCATCCAGAGACTGTTGACCTCTTTAGCAGCGGCGATGGGGAATCGAAATTAGTCTCGGGTTGGTGAGGCCATGTTCTAGTGTCAGGGGGCGGTGATTAGATCTTCTAGAGTTGCTGGTATTTATTTGCTTTGGGCTATGAAACGGAAATATTCGTGCTTTGATTATGACTTTGATCTGCGTGATTGGCTTCAGCAAGGCGTTCAGCATAACGGAAGCTGGTTCGGGTACGACACCGAGGCACACTTGCCCATGTATTCAAGTCCAAAAAGGGCAGGCATAGTATTCAAGCATTACGTAAGCCAATCATTTTGTCTAAATACGTAAGATAGAGGTAGAGCGTTGCAGCCAAAAGGCACACGACGACCAACTGAAAACGCCGCCCGCGTCCTGCCTTACGAGCACCTTTCCATGCTACAGTCATGTCCCGCTCACCCCCAAGCTCGTCGTCACGACCGATGACAGGTTCACGTTCACTGCATGGTTCAACATCAATACTTGGAGCGAGTAGCTCCCGCCCCTTTCTGAACATGCTCAACCCGATGGGCAGAACGTATCAAGGTTACATGCAAGCTAACCAATCTGTTCTAGAAGAAGAAGAAGAGGAAGAGAACGATGAACATGGGGACGATCTAGAGTCCGGCAGCCACGCAGACCGCAGTACGCTCTTCAAAAGCACCGTTTCGAAGGGCAAACGTGTGGCTTGGGGTAAAGATGGCGAGGCGTCAGAGATGAGCGTCCTCAGGCCTAATATCCGTCAAGAAGATAAGATACACGAGAATGAGTCCTCAGATGACGAGGTTCCGCAGGACTTCATGATCGAAGCTGCTACACCTACTGCTACACGCAAACCTTCTGCACCGCGTCAGACACCTGGGAGACGGAGACCACTGTATTCTACTAATCCGAAGACTCAGCCGTCGATATTGCCTACCTCGACACCTGTATCTATACCACCACGACCCTCTGAGGTTGAAACGAGAGAAGCCAGTCCGACGAGGCCATTGTCCGATCACCAACCAAAACAGATGCGCGGCCTGGACGCTTATGAACGAGCTCTATGGAACTGGGTGAACGTATATAACCTGGATGCGTTCTTGCAAGAAGCGTACTACTACTATGAAGGCAAAGGCATCTATAGCATCGCCTTGTCTCGTGGACTAAATCTTCTGTCGGTAATCATCTCAGTTCTACAGTTCGCTCACTTGCGTGTCTTACAACATTTTTCACAGGACAGTTGGCTTTGTGATTGGATTCTCGACGTTCCTGTTAGGATGCATTGACTACTCGCGCATTAAACCCGAACGAGCCACTCGACTATCCCACGTAGTCGTCAGTCGCTGTGTATCCAAGTTCTCAGGATTCACATTCCTGTTCTTCTTGCTGTTTACAGCTTTCCTCGCATGGCAAATCATGACTTACGTGTTGAGTATCATGAGGCTTGTGGACATGTACCGCTTTTACACATACCTACTCCGCATACCTGATGTAGGTCCAATACTTTTGTCTTGGCTATGTTAATTATTAACGCATCACTTTAAGGCAGATATTCAGACCATCTCGTGGCCGGAGGTTGTACGTCGCATCGGTACTATCCGCGAGGATAACCCTATCACTGCCATCTCCTCCAACCAACCCTCATCCTCAGTAACGGCCAAACTCGACGCCCATGATATTGCGAACCGAATCATGAGGCAAGAGAACTACCTCATAGCCCTATTCAATAAAGAATTACTAGATCTGAGAGTGCCTTTACCGCCATTTCTGAAGCGCTTTGTCGTCCCTGAAGAGGGCAAGGGGAAGATGCTAACTAGGGCGTTGGAGTGGAACCTGAGGTTCTGCTTGATGGAGTACTTGTTCGATCCTAGCGGACGAGTGAGGAAGGTGTTCTTGAAGAGCAAGAATCGCGCAGCACTGATCGGAGGGTATGTGTTGCAACCGTAACGTAACGAGTAATTCTCATTATCTTTTCAGGCTTCGAAGACGATTTATCTTCATGGGCATCTTGAACGCGATATTCGCCCCTTTCATCGTGCTCTATCTGCTCATGTACTCGTTCTTCCGATACACTGAAGTGAGTTCCACTTTTCCATAGATGGGATCGTACCATCTTGACATTCCATGTCTATCTAGGAATACCATAAAAATCCTTCCAACATCAGCGGTCGGCGGTATACTCCATTTGCTCAGTGGAAGTTCAGGGAATTCAATGAGCTTCCACATTTGTTCGCTCGGAGGCTCAATGAATCGTACCCGATGGCGAGCATGTACATCGGACAGTTCCCGAATGAGAAGCTCACCATTCTAGTCCGGTCAGTCACGCCGTATGGTTTTCTCTTCTCACTTTTTCTTACTTTATTTTCTTAGATTCATAGCATTCATTGCAGGTTCCTTTGCTGCAGTCCTACTCCTGGCATCCGTCGTAGATCCGGACCTAATAGTTCACTTCGAAGTCACGCCTCATAGGACAGTATTGTTCTACTTGTCAATATTCGCATCAATTCTTGCTGTCGCTAGAGGAATGATCCCGGAAGAGAACCAAGTATTTGACCCGGAGTTGCTCATGACAGAGGTTATCCAGTATACTCATTATATGCCGGATGAATGGAAGGATCAGCTGCATTCCAAGAAGGTGAATACAGTCGTTTACCCGTAGTTCGAATGACAACTGAACGATGTGCATGATAGGTACACGAAGAGTTCGGAGAATTGTTCTCTATGAAGATCATGATCTTCGCTGAAGAGATCCTCTCGGTCCTGCTCACTCCTTTCGTACTGTGGTATTCCTTGCCACCTTGCGCGCCTGCTATCATTGACTTCTTCCGGGAGTTTACGGTACATGTTGATGGACTGGGCTATGTATGTAGCTTTGCAGTATTCGACTTCCAAAGGCATGGAAACATCAAAGTAAGCATCTTCCATGCAAGAGTACTTCGTTTGGTTGCTGATGATCGGATCGATAGTTCGGTGCACCGACCAATGTCAACGATGAACGGCTCATGTCGAAGGAAGGCAAGATGGAGAAGAGCTTCCTTAACTTCAAGGTACATTGTCAGCTTGGAGTTGTTAGGCTTCAGTGCTAATTGTATCTGCAGGCTGCCCATCCGGAATGGATGCCCACCGACCCTTCAGGTTCACTTTACCTAAGTCGCATGGCCGACTTCAGTGCTGCACATCCTCTAGGTCTCGGTCGCCGTCGTCTCTACCAACAACGAGGCACAGAATTTAACCATGGTGTGCAATCCACCATACTCGATCGTGGCCGTGATAGGCCAGAAGACAAGGCGAGCGAATACGACCGTGCTCTCAAGGCAAGCCAAATGGCCCGAAGACGGGGTGGTGGAAGCGTTCTTATGCAAAGCACCCGATTGGGTCCTTCGGCGTCTTCGATTTTCCAGAGTAACGCTGGGTTGGCACAGACGGCTGTCTTGGGTGATTCTCAGGGAAGCACGTTTCCTCAACAGCAACTGCCGCATGGACAGGAGAGCGTCATTCCTGAGGAAGATCTCATGTCTGATGGAGGGGTTGGAAGTACGTTGGGAGAGTCGTACGTGGATGGAAGGAGACCGCAGGCTGGTGCTTCGGTTGGCCAGTCACAGAGGGAGGAAGATGAAGAGTTGGAAGATGGTGGTGTGATTGGGTTGCTGGCGCAGATCTACGGGACTGGAGTGAATCTTAAGGGACGAGGTCGGGGACCTCCACGAGCGATTTAGGAGGTGCGATGATGGATCCTTCGTCAAGACCATTTATTTTGTACTTTAAGTTACTGATACATTCATGGATACCATGACACAATGACATACAGAACGATTCTGATGTTTTAACGGCAACATCAACGGTGTTGTACAATTTTTGTCCATCCAATTCAAAATTCCCCCATTCCATACTCAGCATTCGCAGTCATAAACTTCACTCCTTCGCGAGGATCTCTTCGACCCGCTTCACTTGGTTCTCAATGCCCGTGCCGGGGACGATCTTGTGGTCGACACGAGTGCCAATACGTAAATCCGTATGGATGCGAGGGGCACCCTTGGCATGTACAGCTACATGGCATTCCTGAACAGCCTTGACGACGTCGTCCCAGGGACCCTCTGTATATCGCGTGATTCAGTACCACGGAAGACCGTATAGATTCATGTGGTAAACTGGGAAAGGGTCAAAAGATGACATACCAATGTTCGTTCCATAGCCACTGTGGACGACATTAGTGAAGGCTCGTAACTCAATAAGGGGTAGATGTGAACACGCACTGCACCTGTGAGATGCGGCATAAGGTCATTCCCAGGTTGTAAAGAGGGGTACACGGATACGAACATGATATTTGAGACCCGACTTCTTGACTACTCGTACACATTCGGCAACGTATTCCGCGATCTGCAGAAAAGCAAGGCGAACAAATGAGGCTCAGCGCAGCAAGCTGGACATCAGTCTCAACGGACAGATGCTTCAGTACCCATGGGGTTCAGGCAGAAATCTATGGTGAAAGTGTGTTCAAGCGGCTTGGGTATCATCACATTGCAAACGGTTCTGTACCTGCCAAAGCGTACATATCCTGACTCGCCATGTCAACTATGTTAGAAAAGATAGAGGTGATGGATGGTTTGAAGCAAGCCTGAGGGGGCGGACTCCTGTGTACGCAAACTATAAGTAATGTGTGGAGACGCCAAGTTACTTCCGTCCAGACGTCATCCCATTCATTCGTTCATTATAACGTCCCTGCAAACCGCATAGCTTTGAGCCGTTTGATGTCCCATGGTGACGGTAGTTCTTGAGGTGTTTTCGAAAGAGGCTTCAGTTACGAGTCGATGCAGGGCGCATTTCGAGTCTCAACAACTTCTTGTATAGGTAACACTAACCGTACACATTATACCATTTCTACTTCTTGGGTAGGATCCATGATGAAAAATTAGCGGGGTCTAAGCTGCGCTATCTTTGGCAAGAATGTCTTGCACACGCTTGACTTTGCCCTCATTTCCAGTGCCAGGTTCGATTTCTCGATCGACCCGGGTGCCAATGCGAATGTCGGTAGCTATGCGCGGTACCCCCTTGGCATGTACAGCAGCGTGACAGTCGTGAATGGCCTTGACGACTTCTGACCAAGGCCCCTCTGTGCGGCATTTTGAGTTTCGCGGAGGAAGAGAAATAGACTATCACAAACCTAGGTTGGTACCATATCCGCTAGAGATAACATTAATGATATATTGCATTCAATTAACTTTATCAGTACTTACTGCAGCTGTATAGCAGAAGGAGATGTCAGGGATATGGTACATCTGACGAGAGCTTCATGACATATACTGACCTGATGCTTTAGACCTGACTTCTGAAGCACCCGTGAACACTCTGCGATGTACTCGGCCACCTATCACAAAGATGTTCAAAACATGCCAGACCCGCAATGCAATAAAACACGTACAGATGGTTCGCCTGTGCCCATAGGAATGAGGCAGAAATCTACGAAGACACGTCAAGCCCGATCGAGTACATCATGATGCACATCCATCAGCACCTGCTACCGCGTACAAGTCCTGGCTCGGAGCGGAGGTGCTGGCCATGTCGATAGATATGGAAATAAGTTATACAGGTCTGGCAAGTTGAAACAAGTTTGAAAGAAATGCTTCAAGGATGCTCCTTGAAGGAGTTTCGGTTCAAAGTGCTGCGCCAGGAAGCGCCAGACTCTGGGCCGCCACTTCCGCGCAGGTCATTCTGGTCACAGATGCTTGCCTTCTACCTCCACCGGTATACTTTGATCTATCTCTCTTTCTGCTCTCATGGCCTCCACGGAGGTTGCTGTTGACATTCAGTCTAGGATACACGCATTCGAGGCTCTCTCCAGTTGCACCTCGCCGAAAACTGCGGTCAAATCAAGTCCGAACTTATTGGATGCACCCAATTCGCCGACCTCGACGTCTTTCCGTCCTATTGTGCCTTCCCCAACTAATTCTAGTTTTAAGAAACCAGTCTCAAGGTCCCCTTCACCGTCTCCACCTATTCTAGGTCGGAAAACGTCCTTGCTAGACCTGAAAGATTGGGTACTGGATGTCGGTCCAGTTTCTCAGGGTTCTCCTCCGAAGAGCCTATCGAAGCCCAGTTCAGGAGAGCCTCAAGGTGCTCGTCCTCCCACTCGACATGTGTCGGATTCGAGCTGGCGTCTGCATTCGTCAAGCACGCCTCTAATCAACCTTGACACAACTACGCTTTCGAAATCCACGGCGCCGCCGCTCCCACCTCGCAAGGCATCATACAGCTCATTACGATCTATATCGGTCTCAAATTCTTCTACTTCGTCGCTGGCAAAAAGTCCAAATGCATTGCCGCTACCTTTACCTTCTCAGCCAAGTCGACGGAAGTCCGATTCATTGACTGTAGATCATCCATATGCACCCTTACTCGGCACGGCGACACCAAGAGCGGGACATGTACCCGCATCTTCTATCTCATCCTTCCACTCTGTGTCGCTGTCATCCGATGGTGGGACTGATTGTACTACTCCGGGCTCAATATCAAATTTTGTTGCGACATATCCCATCGATCGAGATGAAGGACGTTTGGCAGGCGATGGAGAGAATGGGCACGAGCGAGACGACATCAGTTTGGACGATTCGTACGAAAATGTCTCCGCGTCCGCCATCAGTCCCTGTACTTCATCCGTATCACACGACTGGGGTGAGTACATGAAACGTAGAGCGGAACCACCGAAGCTACCGCAGCGGCCAAAACCTCCATTGAAGGTTAACTCATCACCTACCACAACCATTCGCTCAGATCCGACCTCTCCTCGCATTTCTCCACCGCTTTTAGTCAAACATCCTCCACCCCCGCCCCCACCTCGCTCGCGTGGCCCGCCTCCGTCAAATCGAAGTTCCCTTGCTTCCACAATTGCATCCGATCGTTCGTCTATCCTTAGCACCGCTACCTCCCGTACGAGCATATCCAGTGTACGCCCTATGCTCTCTACGAAGCCGTCACCAATAGCTATTCCTCTGCAACGCCAAATATCCCGCCCAACACCTGTACCGCCTGCCGCGCGAAGGCGGTATGAGGCCGTCTTCTGTGCGAATGTCATTTCCTGTCGTCGAGCGGAGGCTTCTGAACGTGCGAAGTCGCCGCCTCCGGGTCGTAAGTCGCGGCAGGCGGCAGGTTGGCGAGGGCTTTCCGTCGATCTCATAACGAATCCGGAGGAGAATCAGAGTAGTGAAGAGGCGGGTCCAGAGGTACTCGACCAGGAAGTTGGGAGCGATGACAGATTGGATGGTAGGATGATAGCTATGATTTGGTCGGCGTCGAAGTTGGATCGGTCGAAGCTTAAAGAGATCTGGTGCGTTTTAACAATTCTTTAACCGCCTTTTTAAGACGCTGAGGGAGGATTTATAGGCACGAGTGCGATCCTAATAACGTAGGAAGTCTCGATCGAGATGCCTTTGTTCAAGGCATGTGGAGGATTGACGAGGAGCTTCGCAAAGCTCGTGCGAAGCCAAGTCTCTCTGCCCGGTATCGTCAACCCACTAGTCATTCTATGTCATTGTTGCTTTAATGGACCTATTCACTGATATGTTGTGTTGTATACCCTTCAGCATCTATTTAGACTACATACCCTTCATCTTGGCCTTTGTTTATTCACCAGTACTCTCCTGTATTATATTAATTACTTGACAAATTCAGATATGTGTTGTATGACACTATGAAACTTGTGTATGGAATCTCTGAACAACATCTCAAGTGTATTCTATACCAACACTGATATACCCAGTAAATGAGATTAAGATATTGCAAATCAGTACTCTGCACTTCCTACATCTGAAGTTTCATCCATGTCCACTTCAGGACTCTGCTCCCTTTCTTGTTCCTTCTGTTCATTCAGCTTCTTCCAATAAGAGACAAGTGACTTCCCTAACTCCCTTCCAAGTGCCAAAGCTAGTGGTACAGGAACAGCATTACCAATCTGCTTGTATTGCTGTAAGGATATTTAGTGTTTGCCTTGATGCTCAGGTGAAGCCAACACATACATCATTGATTGCTGCTGTACCAGTTGTCTCAGACAGGAGCTTGTAACTGTCAGGAAAACCTTGGCATCTGGCATATTCCCTGACAGTCAGAATGCGCTTTTGCTAGAACACATCTTATTATGAGATTGCATTTAGCAAGAAGAATGATTATTACTCACACTTGGATGCAAAATATGTCCACCCTTTTGGTTGGGGTTGACAACAGTCATGACAGTCCTAAAGGCCTTATTGCCATCCAGCCTGCCAAAAAGAGCTTTAAATAGTTAGCAAGCTAGAGTGAAGGTATTTGTGCAAACTTACTTCTGTAATCAGATTTTCCAATAGCTCTATGTATCTTGAGAGCTTTGGGCAAATCTATGAGAGAAAAAAGTGTGTAAGGATATAACCAACAAAAATGTCTAATATAACAACCTTCATGACAGGCCTCAGGAATCATTGGAACATTGACAGTTCTGTAAACATATTATATGAGTAAACAAACAAGCAAGTTCAGTGATACACAGAACTCACCTTTCAACCACCATAGCACCAAACTGTTTGGTGTAGTGATACCTGACTGTTTTGCTACCATCTTGTCTTGACCAAGCCTGATAAGATGTAAGAGGACCACAAGGATACTCCTCAGGTTGATGAAATCCAGAGTATGGTCCACCTTCCTTGTCAGTCACAGCTGAGAATTGTATGATCCCCTGTTGCTCTCTGGAGGCAATTTCCTGCCTATCCTTTGCAGTAAGTGGATATGTCTCATGTGGATCAATCCAGTCAAACTTGGGCTAAAAAAATTCTCATGTAAGTAGTTATTAGAATTTGAAATTGGAATACTTACAAGATCTCCAATAGCATCATTGACAGTCCTAAAAGGTAATGGTGCACATTGATGGTATGTCACATTACCATTGGCATCTCCATCAGGATGTTCACGGCTTGCAGGATATAGTTTCAATTTGTTTGAGAGAGAGACATTGTGAACTCCCTTTGGATAGCAGTAGACTGGAATGGGAAACTGTGGAAGTGGAATGTCTCTCTTGGCACCCCAGAAGATTGCCCTAAGTCTTCCTTGTGGAGCACCATGCTGGCCAGCTTGCAATAGCTTAAAATGAACTTGATATCTAAAAGTGGATCAGTTTTGATCCAGGAGATTTTCAATAGAACTTACCCCAAATCCAATAAGGCTCTGAGAACAAACTTTACTGCAAACATCTGTACCTCATCACCTTTGAGGCTAAGAAATCCTTCCACATTCTCTAGAAGAAAGTATCTTGGCCTGTAGAGCTCCACATAGGACAACATATTGGCAACCAAAGAACTCCTATACAAATATTAGAAAGAATAAATGAGCTATCAAAGTAATTGACCTGATATCATTTGATGACTAGTGAATAAAGAACATTGATAAGCTTTCATATTATAACTTGAAACAATTCTTACTCTGTGATGGTTCATTCTGGAAAAACTCTGGCAGGGTGGACCTATTTGACAAGGTAAGCTGTAGGGATTTTTTACAAGAAGTTACAACTTACCACCACAGATAAAATCAACCTCACCAGGCATTGGCATGGGAGGCAACTCTTCTGGTTCTTTGTGAAGAGAAAATAAAGGCTTGGAATTTCTACCTTCAAAAGTATCCATGGCATACTTCAGAAGAAGATTGGATGAGTGATTGTAGACAAGTGTTTCTGGATGATTAGCTCTTCAAACAAAATGCATGAATATAAGTGCATAAATCTATGAAGCAAAGACTTACTGATATGAGAGAGCTGCACTTGGATTAACTTCCACAGCCCACTTTGTCTCAACAAATCCAGACATCTCCAAACCAGTGGAAAGGCCTCCAGCACCAGCAAACAGCTCCAAGCATCTGATGGTTCCATTCTGAGATAAGAGTGTTGTCTGCTCCTCCTGAGAGAGCAAATGAGAATTAAGGCAGCTTTTACACTTTGGAAGATCTATGGCATCTAGGTCCTGAATAGTCTTGATCTTCAATGAGGGTGCATGAAGATTACAGATGAAATGATCAGGATGCTGAAGCCATGAGTCTTGAAGCTTGGAAGGTATGAAGTCAGGATGATAAACAAAGGCCTTTCCTTCTATGCAAGAGACATCCACATCCTCTTTGATCTTATTAGTAAAAATAAGACATTTCTATAGTGCTCAATCAGTAGAAATATTTCAAACTTGAAAAAGCAGGCACACCTCATTGGCCATTCTAGTCTTCTTTCCTCTTTTCTCTGCCTGGGCTTTCACAATTGCATCCTGTCTTCCAAACAATCTAATATCAGCTGTAAAACTACCTTTGCATCTAGAACTGGAATAGAAGTTGACAATCTGGCCAATGTCATACAACTTATTGTGACAACTGCTGAATCTAAGATAGACAGCATCACCAGGATGGTAGTGAACTCCATAATGAGACAAACCACCACCAGGAAGTTTTGTCCATTGTGACCTTGACTGGTGCAGCCTTTTTCTTCCACAAGGAATGCACTTCTGCCAGAATTTGCAGGTCTGCAGAGCCAATTGAATCTCAGTCTCTGAAGGCTCAATAAAAGCAGCCTGAGTCTCATTCCACCAGGATCTAGATCAGAAGAAGTATAAGTTAAATTTCACCTTCAAGTGGAGAAAAATAGGAAAGTCACCCAGAGAAGAAGTTATTGTCATTGTCAGAGGGTATGAATCCACTCTGATCATCTGTGGCTCCAAGCTGTAGGACATTGCACTTGGAGTAGATGGCATCCAACTCAATGTTATCACATTCATCAATGAGAAAGAGACCATTAGGATGTGCAGTTTCTTGAAGAAGTGTTTGGCTGCCATGTTGATACCACTGGCAGTGAGCATATTGCTTTTTGCCCCTCTGGAAAAAGTAACAAATCACAGCAAACCTAACCAGTTATCAGATGATGTTGAACTGAGATAAGGTGAAAGAGAACTCACCACTTGGTATTGGCAAGTGTATTTGTACTCCAGCCAGCATGGGCATTTATCTCTCTGTTTGTATGTTCATCTTCACCTTTCTCCACAATGATAGGGTCTCCAGCCTGTAGAAGGTATTCAGCAGGTTTGAGAAATATGAACTGGTCCACATACCTTGTAGGTGACTCCATCAATCACAACTGCTGTATAGTGGTTTGGTACTGTTCTGCTACTCAGAACCCAGTGAATGGACTTGGGATTATCCTCATGAACAGCATGAGATTTCTCCAGAGTGCTATTGAGATGATGTTCCCCTTCCGTTGTGCCCACACTGTGAAGAGTATGTATGAAAAGAGTTTGAGCTATCTGCTTCACTCTGGGTGTAACAACTGGTGCACTTGGAGCAAGTGCATTATTTGAAGCTAGCATGCTCTATGCAAGGATGAGAAAGATAGATAACTTCAGAATGCAATATACTCACCTGCACTAAGGGAACATCTTTCAAAATTTTCTTAATTCTTGTATATTTCTGCAGAACTGTAGAAAATTTATGGATAAAGTAGACCATCTTTCAAGTCATTGTCAATGGTTTGTAGCATCTGAAATTTTAGTATCTACTCACAGTGCCCTTTGAGGTCAAATCCTGCTTCACTAGGTCCCGTCCTATCACTGATCTAGCCAGGAGGTTGAATGGCTGCTCAGGAGCTTCCATATAAGCGGCAAAGGATTGCTGGGAAATACGAGGATTTGAAAGTGCCTTGCTTATTACGAGGTGAAATATGCGATGACGTATCCAATAATCTTCAAAGGCCGGCAGATAAATATCCGACGGTAAAGCAAGGATATACCATGCATGCGCTGTCCGAATATATATTTTTCTACATGGAAATCAGTATTGTACAGGAAAAGATAAAAAAGAAACATACGGATTCAAGTAAACATAGTCATGTTCAGAGTCGAAGACATAATGCGCATCGAACTCAACAATCTCCGTGAGATTGATCCAATAGAATTCATCTTCGTCGTTGTCTGTTAATCGGTCCTCGTCCTCATCGCTATCTTCTTCCCAACGCTTGACTCTGCCTTTAGCAGTCAAACCTGACACACCGTCCATCAATTTGGACATTGGAGCAATGTCCATGCTACCCATATGATAAATGGTGAAGTCCGTCAGGAGTCGAACAGGAATCTCGCCACAAGCATCTTCCCCTGCAGTCGTTTCGCCAGGGAGCACCAAAGTGGCAGTCTCGTCTAACTGGCTGGGTAGAGATAATGACCTGCATCTATGCGAGAATAAGGAGAAACTGTTAATGAAAAACGAAGCAAATTGATGTCGTAACCTACCGACGCAATGGCGCCCCTACATATAGGGATCGTCCCGGACGAAAAGTGCGAGGGTCGCCTAGATCGCACACGTAAGTTGACCGTTCGACTGGAGCCATTCTAAACAGTCGACGACAATTCGCGTCAGGTTTCGTTTTACTAGTAGCGCGACACAACTCAACCTCAGGTTTGTCGCGTCCTGTCACGGCCGGTCACAACGAGACGCGTCGCAAAAGTCACGCTACGCTCACACTTTCCTACACACCTTCACCATGGCACTGCCTGTCATCAACATTAACGTTGATTATGAAAGCGAGAAACGTAAGGTTATGGTGTTATCTGCAGTTGTTGAATGTCTGACACGGTATACAGAGAAAATCAGCCAATTCCTGTCGAGTTTCGAGGGACAAGACGGTGACCTAGCCAATGGCATTGCAGACCTTGACCTGGACGGCGATGGGGACGCGACGAGGCTCAGGGGGAAGTACATGAGGCAACTGGCAAGTACTACATATGCATATTTTCTCATGACGGTTTGCTACATGGACTATGCAGCAACGAATAGCAAATCGCGACCAGCAGATGCTTGTGATCGACCTGGAGGATATTACAGACGTGAGTCCTTGTTATGGAGGAACTCTGAACTTAACGTGATATGATATAGTTTGAGAAAAATGTTGGGGAGCTTGTCCATCGCATACAAAGCAACACTCGGCGCTATGTAGAACTATTCAGCGACGTCGTGGACCGTATCATGCCTATACCCACCAAGGATATCAGCGAACAAGACGAAGTTATCGATGTTATCCTTCATCAGCGACGGGAGCGGAATGAGCGGCTTGAGGGAACTCAAGACGGATTTCCTGCCCACCTTCTACGACGATAGTACGTCTATTTGCGTTCCTTCGTCGGTTGTGTCAGAAGTTGACGTTTGAGAACAGTAACCTATACTTCAAACCATTACTCTCTGACATTTCCATGGCCGTTCGCGAAGTCAAAGGTGCACACCTTGGGAAGCTCATTACTGTCCGAGGAATCGTGACACGAGTATCCGAAGTGAAACCTCTTTTACTAGTGAACGCGTATACTTGCGACGTTTGCGGGTCCGAAACTTTCCAGGATATCTCCGGCAAACAGTTTCAACCTATCTCCGACTGCCAAAATGAGAACGAATGCAAGAAGAATAGTATCCGTGGTTCATTACACATGCAAACCAGGGCGTGTCGTTTCAGTCCGTTCCAGGAAGTCAGAATACAAGAGATGGTGAGTTTCAAGTCTGATATTCAGCATTTGAATCCTAATTAATTGACCTTCCTCACAGCCTGATCAAGTTCCGGTTGGACATATACCGCGTTCTATGACTATTCATGTTCACGGAAGTCTGACGCGTCAGATGAACCCTGGTGATGTCGTCCAGCTCGGCGGAATCTTCCTACCCATTCCATACACTGGTTATCAAGCAATTCGTGCGGGTCTCCTGACCGACACCTTCTTAGAAGCGCATTATGTCAATCAGCTCAAGAAGCAATACGCGGATATGGAGACAACACCGGAAATTCGGCAAGCTGTTGCAGAGCTACAAAGCGACCCTTCACTGTACCAAAAGCTCGCGCAGAGCATTGCACCCGAGATCTACGGTCACATTGATGTCAAGAAGGCACTGCTTCTGTTACTTGTTGGTGGCGTGACGAAGACCATGGGCGACGGTATGAAGATTAGAGGAGACTTGAACGTCTGCTTGATGGGTGACCCTGGTGTGGCCAAATCTCAACTTTTGAAATACATTGCGAAGATTGCGCCTCGGGGTGTCTACACCACAGGTAAAGGTTCCTCGGGAGTCGGGCTAACTGCAGCTGTCATGCGAGACCCAGTGACGGACGAGATGGTCCTTGGTATGAACGACGTTGACATTACCGTATATCGACTGCAAGGCTGACTTCTTATCATAGAGGGTGGCGCGCTGGTCTTGGCGGATAACGGTATCTGTTGCATAGACGAATTTGATAAAATGGAGGAGACCGACCGAACAGCTATCCACGAAGTCATGGAACAGCAAACCATTTCAATATCGAAAGCCGGTATATCGACAACGTTGAACGCGCGAACGTCAGTTTTAGCCGCTGCGAACCCGCTCTATGGACGCTACAATACGAAGGTCTCACCGGTAGAAAACATCAACTTGCCTGCCGCCTTGTTGTCCCGTTTCGATCTATTATTCTTGATGATCGACAAACCTTCTAGAGATGATGATGAGAGACTGGCGCAACATGTTACACACGTTCACATGTTCAATGAGCCTCCAGAACTGGAGTACGACCCAGTCGATCCACTCCTTGTCAGGTTTGTAGAGCTGAATGATCTGGCCGTATACCACAACTGACAGAGTTTGTAGGCATTACATTGCTGGTGCCCGACAGATCCGCCCAACGGTTCCGGCTGAAGTCTCCAACTACGTAGTCGAGTCCTACGTACGTCTGCGAAAACTTTCCAAAGAGGAGGAAGAGCAGAACAAGACGCATAGCTATACATCCGCACGTACTCTCCTTGGCGTCCTCCGTCTCTCTCAAGCTCTCGCTCGCTTGCGATACTCGCCTGTCGTCGATCAAGGTGACGTTGATGAGGCGCTTCGACTAATGGAAGTGAGCAAAGAGAGTTTGTACGAGAGTGAGGACAATGACTTCGATCATGACAGATCTGCTGTCAGTCAGATCTATCGACTCATTCGTGACATGGCTGTTACTTCGAGGAAGTCTTCCAGACGGAAACCCAAAAGACCGCGCAGATTAGGTAAAGGACCTGGTGGCGAGCGGGACGAAGATATGGATGAAGATGACGAAGATGAGGAGCTGTCTCTCGTCGATGTTCGAGCTCGTGTCCTCCAGGCTGGATTCACCGAAGCTCAGCTTATGGAGACCGTTGTTGCTGTAAGTCTGTTTTGTGTTCATTTGCCCATACCCTTACTTATATTTGATCTTGTAGTACGAGGACAATGACGTATGGATGCGAGTAGCCAATAACACAAAACTGCGCTTCATCCAGGGAGAGGTATAACATACTTGTATTTTCCTATTTTCCTTTGCTGTCTCAATGCTGTATGTTTTGCTTTGTATGAGGGTATTTCATTGTATCGTATAAATAAATATACCATCCGCTCCCAGATAGAACAATAATGAACAAGACCTTCTACATGGGCGGTGAATCCAAAATGATATGAGGGAATAAGTGAGTATGATATCATCGTGTCTCTGAGGCGTGTTCCCAGCTACCATCTCCACTTCCGCTATCATGACTCTCTGGACTATGTGGGCGCTCCAAATGCCGCTCAGGTTCTGGATGATCGGGCTCGTCTTTGTATCGAGACGTCGGTGGGCCACCAGCCGTCGAAGGTGCGTCGTCATCTAGGAAGCCAGAATGATATGACAGCCCAACATTCGGTGACCTCTCCTCCATACGACCTGGCCGCAAGCCAGTCTCTTCATCAGCATCCTCATCGTCAGATACCTCACCAAACGCGTCGTAGAGCTCCTTGGTCCTTGGACCAGGGCGTCTACCTCCCAGAGAACCCATAGCAACATCGTCTGCAGGAAGACTGCTGTAATTCCTTCTTCGCCTGACTGCACGTCTCCAGAAGAATATGCCAACGCCTGCACCGAAGAGCGCTACTGCACCTAAGGCAACGAAGAACCAAACTTGGTTTGTGACGAGATTGGAGAGGTCGGAGAACCAGCCTTCGTCAGGCGTCGGCGTCGAACTACTGGTTGCAGGGGAAGACTCAATAGCTTCGGACGCGTCCGTGGGCTTCGCATTTTCAGTGCTTGTGCCACCTGGGAAAGCGGGTTTGTCGGCTTCGCCTTCTGCAGAACCGTGGTCACCTGGGAGGTCTGCAGTGGGTTTGGGGTGAGTCTTGCTGGTAGCCGTAGGTGTTGGCGAGGACGTTTCGTCATGCGAGACCAGAGGAGGAAGGGTATCATCTATGAGAGGCACTTCGTACTCCTTGACATTTGAGGCATCAATGACAGAACCCCATAGAGTCATGGTCCAACCAAGGAAAACGCCATTCTGGTCTTCCTTGTCTTGATCTGACACTCGTATGGTCCATGAACCAGTCGGGTCTTCGTCCCTACGCCAGTGTTAGGACTTTTATAAGAAAGGAAAATACATTAAACGCACCAATGCTTTACTGTCATGAAAGTCCAGCCAGGGAAGCCGCTATCTGAAGAGTCCTGGTACCGTTTGGCTGCCAAAATACTCCTGATGCCATTGGGACTGACTAACTCAACCTCTACATCGCCTCTTCGGGTATGTGTGATCCAGACCTTCACCGTAATGTGTTCCAACCTCTCAAAGTTTTGTTGGTTCAGCATATCCTTGGTCACCTCAACAGTGCTAGTAACGCCACCAGGTACAATATCCACACCTCCAGACGCAGAGTGGAATACATCCATAGTACCATTATTGAGCTGGACGACCGGGAGATCTACCCATGCCTGAGGCTTGACGAGCTGCCAGTCCTGTGCCGCCTTGATGAAGTCAACGCCATTCAAACTGCCGTAACCGTACTTGTAACTGAATGGGCGACCAACGGCGGTCATTTCCCAGTCGGGATCGTCGGGATTGACATGCAAGGCGGTTTGTACGCAGAGGTGCTGAATATCGCGCCAGCTTAGATCAGGACTACGGAAGCAAATTCAGCGTTGAGCACTATGCGTAGAAATACTACTACGGAGCGTACCGAGCACTGAGAGCCAACGCGAAGACACCCGCTGCATTCGGAGCGGCAGCCGATGTGCCACCGTGCGTGTGTGCACACTTGTTTTTGCCGATGTCTGTCGTTGTCTATTTGCCATGTTAGGTATACCACGAAACATGCTTTTGGAGACGCACAATGTGGTTACCGCTTCCCGAAGAGTACGCAACAACCATATTGGCAGCGCAAGGTTCCGAGTAGTCTGGGTGAAGACCTCGATAGTCCAGCGCTGCCACGGTGACGGAGAAAATACTGTTTGTATAACCATCGAAGTTGCACTGGTCGCCGTTCCTGCCTCCATTCCCGCTAGCAAAGACGAATACGGAGCCCTTGCCAGATCGACCGTTCTGAATACCATTCACCATGGCCTTCTTGATGAGATATCCCGGTCCTTCCATAGCTTTACCATTGTCAGGAGGACCCCAACTACACGAGTAAATGGAGGAGTTTTGGTAGCCATAATTAAGCGCGGCTGCTTCGTCGATGTCTGAAATTGGTCCTGAGAGTATCCGAATACCGGCAACCTTGGACTCGTAAGCAATGCCTATACCACATACGTTGTTCTTCACTGCAGCAATCTGGCCAGCACAGCGAGTGCCGTGATGATCGTCGAAGAGAACCGGGGTGGGAAGGTCGACATGGTCGTTATAATCATGAGAACCTGATGCATCCTAAATGTACGGGCTCAGTGAATAACTAGAAGAGATAGTATATCTACGATACGCACGAAGTTCGCAGCAATATCGTCGCTGTTGTAGTCCAAACCATCATCCACAAGGGCAGATATAACACCCTTCCCCGTAATACCCATTTCCCACACCGCAGTCACATTCATCATATGCGCAGGGTACTCGTCGTTCACTAGATGCCATTGTCGAGGGAATTCAGGGTCCACTATATTCAGTCGTTGAGCAACTGAAGCTACCTTCTCGGCGTCATGAGGATGTGGGGCAGGTATGGGTGGTGGTGCACGCTTCACGCGTTGTCGTAAGTCTTGTCGAGACAGATATTTGACAGCAGACGATAGCCTCTTTCTATGCTGTACATCTTCCGATCTGCTTTCGAAGGGCGAAGCAGCACTACGGCGAATCTCTTCTAGTGCTCGGATTACACGATCCTCGGAATCTCGAGCACTAAGGTTGTGTGAACGAGGTTTCTCCGTCCGTACAAGCCAATGGTTTCGTAGTTCTCCCGCTTGTTCAACGACCTCGACACCTAGTGATCGTGCGGTTTCGGCCAGCGAAGCACCCGCGTGAGGGTTGTGTTCCAAGACATAGTAATCATGAGTAGAGTAGTGTCGTTTTGAAGGTCGTGAGGCAAGGACGGGTTCGTACGCAAGTAAAACGAGAAATAGAGAGAAGGGCAGCAACCTCATTGAAAACCAAAGACAGACCAGACGAAAACGAAGGTGCGGGAATCCAAGGAGAGACGGGAGCAAAGATGTGGATGAGAGCCTACTATGCCAGACGCCCACAATTCCTTTAAGGCGATGTCCACTCCATCAGGTATCAGATACCAAGCGTCTCCCACTCATTCAAGTTCCCTCACTCTACCGTGTTTCAAGCATGATGACGGTTCCGATGGCAGTAACAGTCAAGAAATATGTATTACACCGTACATAGCCGTAATAGATCCCATCCTCCCAACTGTCCTACGACTCCACCGCCGAATGGAGAAGAGAATGATTTAAGAATACATACGCTCTTTCGTTGCGTTTGTTGAGCCAACTGCCAATCTCGAATTGTACGAAGGGAGTATTTGGTTCCAGCACTCTTCCCCTCTCAACAGCGCGATTCACTTCCTCCAGGTTGCCAATGATTGGTGCGAGTCTCTCCCGGAAATCTTCAAATGCATCGAAGTCTTCATGAAAGTCAGCTGCTTCCAAACCATCTAGTAAGGAATTCTACGACTATATGAGCTTCAAGTCAAGCATGGTGCTGCGAGATGACCTACGTCATTCCTGTTGATAGCTATTATTAATGTGTCGCCATCTTCGTCCTCAATCATGAAGAAGAATTGATACCGGGGCACCACGGACGTATCCGACATGTTGTCAACACACTTCGTGCATATCCTAAAGCCCTTGGGGACGCTATGGACCAGAAATTATGAGTTAGATCGTGAGAAAGTGGTTACGGACAGCTACGCACTCTTCTTTGCATCCAGTACAATGTAAGACTACACAGTCTTCCAACTCCAGCGGGTACAAGCTTACAATTCGTGCACGCACAAGAAATCTGGCGGGACAAGTGGTACATCGCTGAATTTGTTTGATGGTCATGGTACCAGGAGCAGCAGTCCGTTGTGGCTTCTTCGGTGCAAGGTCGTCGCCCATCGTTGCTTGAGGTTCCTGCTTCTGTTTACGACCATTTGTCATCTTACCGTTAGCTTGCTGAGCTATCCCTTGTTCCGATTTCTGCTGGACCTCCCACTCTTCTTTGCGCCTAGAATCATTATTAGCGGATGCGTTCATATCAGGCTAAGGAGCACGATACATACTGTAGGAGTGCAATCAGATCCTCGTTACCGGTCCCTTGCGCGTTGAGTTTGAATATCAACCTCTGATTACCTCCCATTCGCCCAGTGAGTCTGACCTCCCCCCTGTACTCGCTAGTCCGCAGCCTGATATGCCGCAGAGAAACAAAGTCACCAGGCTTCAGCGACTTCGCCGTCTTGGCCTGTTCATCCAACAGCAAAACTTTGAGAATACGATCGTTTGGAACCAGATCCCCAGGCTGTCTATCGAACCATACGGATGCAAAATCATTTCTGCACGTGTAGTCGGTGGCGTAAAGATAACTTCGCTCATCGTCTTTGTGTGAAATCCCAAGGACCTAGAAGTTGTAGGGGTTAATACGGAAGCGAAAAGTACAAAAATTAGCTAGGTATATAACACACTTGTACAGTGCAACGAAAGAACTTGTCTGGTATCGTCTCTTCCAACAACCTATGCGGGAACTTGTTTTCGCCCTGCTCCTCGGCCGTCCGCTGCCACTCAGCTTTACGTCTAAGAGTCATTTGAGTATAAACGCATCAGGGAGAACATGGCAATACTCACTGCAGCAACTCAGCCAAATACGGCTGACTATCCAATTCGTCCACATCCAACTTCGTGATCTTGTTTTCAACTAATTTCCCTGCCATACCTCCGCCCTGGCTATACCTCATCCTCACATTACGCAATAGGTAGAACTCTCCAGGTTGCATGTCTTCCGCCGCCAGTGCCGCGTCGTCCCACATTTCGATCTGCAGAACGCGATCGAGTAAACCCGGCGGGCACCAATCCGATTGTTGAGGGATGAATAGCTCATTTCGCGTGTAGTCAGTCACGTAAAGATTGTAAATACGAAGGCGGTTGTTTGTGTTGTCGTATTTATAAAGGACCTGTAAATGAAGTTAGGAAGATGCATAAGCGGGTGGTCAAGTGCTAATTCATACCTCAACGGTACAATCGAAATAACCCTGCGGTGGAGCATCAGGCGAAGCATCTTTGAGGAGTCGATGTTCCCTATTCTGTCTTCGAGAATCCGCGCGAATCGACGTAGCACCGATAGCACTAAGGTCATGATGAATCGGCTGGTTTGATCCCTCTGGTCCATGTTCCTCTTGGACAGCATTCCACCAGTCATTGAGACGTATACAGTACTGAATCTCTTCCTGGCAGGGTTGGAAAGACGAAGGACTGCCAGCGGAGGAATCATCTTGGTGTCGTCGAAGAGATTTGAGATCCACGACTGCCCACGTCCACTGTCGCATCGAAGGTGCGAGGTACTGTAAATTGCCCTTATATTCTTGGACCTATGAAATATCAGGTGTGCACTAGGTGAATGAAATGTGAAGAAACGTACTCGAATATCGCGTAACAGAAGAATATCGCCTTTGGAAATCCCATCTGGAAGGTTGTGTTGACGACTGGCTGTGAAACAGTTTATGGAAAGACCCTTTTCGAGGTCATGAGAAACTAAGTTCGAAGGATCTACCAGCGTGACCCTCCTGCAGTACTCTGCAGTAGCGCGGAAATATTTCAGTCAGCGAGAGCGTGTGGCTTGTAAACCAAAGCTTAATTACCTCCTTTTCTGGTTTCCCTCAAATCCCCAACGTCCAAGATTATGCCAATCACGTTCTGCATGGAAGGGAAACGCGGCAAGGAAGCGAGGGAAGCTAAAGGGGCATATTGTACATCATACGGGTGCTACAAAATGTTAGTCAGGGTTCTCGATGTTTTCAAGTATCACATTACCTTTGAGACGGAACAGCCCGCTCGCAAGTTGAGTGCTGGATCCCCGTGAGCACTGTTTTCATGCTTGACAGGAGTTGGAGTAGGGACGGGTGAGCGAGCGGGGATTAGTCCATTCAAATCGTGAATCGTAGGTGGAGGTGTACTCCGCCCTGATTCAGACACAACCGAGCCTTTCCCAGGCGATACAGATATCGAAGGATGCTGGAGGGAATTCGATGCTTGAATGTCCGATTGTTCGAGTGATGTCTGAACGGCCAGGGTCTCCTTATTCTCTATGACTGCCACTTGAACCTGTGGGGGAGGCGTCTGACGAGCCTGTTCTGTAGCCTTAAGTGCTGCCCTTTGCCTCCGACGAGCTGACTTTTCAGCCTTCTTCGATAAGTTGGAAAAATTCGTCGTTTTTGGCTTAGTTGTATGCTCGAGAACAACAGCCTTAGTTGCTCCAGGCACCACAGCGGACGAGCCTTGTACAAATTCTGGAAGGCTGGCGGAATGGCTGTTGAGCGAAGAACCTGGATTAACCGAGCGCACGGAGGTCACGCTAGAGGCTGAGGGTGATCTCTGCTCTGGGATGCCAGGACGAAGATATTCACTCTTGGAAGAAGCTACGAGCGTGTTTTGCCTGCCTGAAACGGAGTCCACGCGCTTGATTTCATTGGAAGTTGACTGTATTGCAAGAGGCGTCTTGACCTCAGCATCATGGAATGGGCGCGGGATTCCAGGACACTGCGAAGATAAAGGCGGCTGTACGACAACGTTCTGCGTAGAGAACCAGTCATCTCGAGGTACCTCGTGTGGGTGAGGAATAACCTTTTTCACCTGTGTAAGACCTATGACATCTTTCAAAGTAAGAGATATGGAAACACTTTGTTACTTGGACATGTACCTGCAAAAGAATTCACTGACTGTAAAGGGTCAACAGCGCGACTCCTGGATACAAATTTGAGCGCCACGCCATCGCGATAATTGAGAGATAGCCCTAAAACGTTGGATTTTGACACAGTTGACGCCTCAACGATTGCTCCGTTTAACGACAGTTGAAACCGATCACCAACGGAGAAGTTGACACCTGACGATACCAGGAGTTTCGCGCACCCGTCAGCGAACGACACGTCGAAACGGAAGGTATTTCCGTTCTCCTTAGTCTCCATGATCAGCTGAACCTTTCCACCCATGGGAGGCCATTTCATATGGACGCGTCCTTCCAGGTAACCTGTTCCGTCAGAACCAGACTGGCGAATATCTGAAGCTCTACGCTCTTGTGATGGTTGGAAAAGTACATCGTCTTCGCCGTTGGAGTCAGTATGTTGTTCGATATGAGCCGCTTTGTGTCGTTTGCGTTCCAAGTCCAGTTTGCTGTCACCGTTTCGTTTCATGGCAATGGGTTCGACCCACAACGGCGGTGGATGGCAAGCCTGCGACGCGTCGCGACGCGCTTGTCAGGAACGCGCGACCGACGATCGAGATCTAATCTAATCACCCTCGTAATGCACTGTGGCATTGTTTACCGTTCCTGCAGCCTCTTGCAGCTATTTCCTGAACCACTACTACCACCATGTCAGAAGTACCGCTACCCATTTTGTTTCACCGTGCTTTGCAAACAGCATCGAAAGCCGCTAACTTGCCAACAATCGAGGACGAGACCCAGGTTGGTCCTATAGCTCTATTGAACTAACGAATTTCTCAACACACTTCATGCTACTTCTCTAGGAGCTCATTCAATCGGCCGTGGATGACCTACTCACTGTTCGCTCCCATATCACTGATTTGTCGCTATTCAGTCCAAACGAATCCATTGGAGACATTGCTACTAAAGATCTTGTCTATCTTTCTGTCCCTTTCGCAATCGCGCAGGTACAGAAACGCGCAAGAATCATCGATCGAGAGGAACGCATTGATCACGCTCTACGTGTTTTGGTATGTAAAGCATTCCAGATGCTGCTGGCGATACCAATGTCATGGTAGTAGTCCTATTTCAGGTCGTTCCTCTCGATATTGGAGACCTATGACATCGTTCCCGAAGCGGAGAAGAGTCTGTATGAACGCCGTGCTTCTTCAGTCAATGATCCCGCAAAACGGAGAGAACTCAGGATCAAACAATTTCAAAAGGAGAAAGAGCTCAAAGCGAGGATAGAAGTAAGCCTTTGCCGTCGAAACTGGCCCTCATTCACGATTCCTCACCTTACATACCCATCAGAGTCTTCGCAAACGTCGGAAACAGGGCCCATCGGACACGGAGCCCTCCTCGGAATTTGAACTCATTGCGTCTCTACTTCCACCACCGTCATCTGAGAAATCTGCTTCTGGCGAAGAGGAAGATCCCGAAACTGAAGACATCTTGCGCGAAGTTACTCTCGTGCTATTGCGCCTTTTCTACGCTCAGACGCATGGAGAAGTAGACAGTTTACAGCAAGAACTTGAACTACTGAAGAGTGCTCCGCCGACACCGCCTAAGCTTCCTATTGATGATTCTAGGCAAGGGAAGACAAAGGAGCAGGATGAAATGTGGAGATTAGATGCCCCTCCACTTATCGGAGGTCCAGGTGGCAGAGGACCTCTACTAGATCCAAGCGGCAAGGTGATCATCTCACATCATATTCTTGCTTTCGAAGTATTGACGCGGTCGTTGGTCTCTATCACCTAGCCACTGAGGCCGTTCACCATCCTACCTTCCAGTGCTGCAGATCGAGCTCGTCTTCAAGCACAAGTATTCCAGCCTGATCACAGACTTCCGACAATGACCGTTGATGAGTACCTCGAGATCGAGGGACAACGAGGGAACATAATCACCGGTGGAGGGTAAGCCGTGCAACGTAGTCTAATGTCCTATTGGGTACGACTAATATCATTTCTTCCTTAGACCACAATCTGAATCTAAACCAACGACATCGGAACAATTGCAGCTTGATTCCGAGATGGAGGGGACAGCCTTCAGCGAACAGAAGACTGAAGAGAAACGGCAGAAGGATGAGAAATGGGCACAGTACACCGATACACACCCCAGGGGTGCTGGAAACATTATGAATCGAGGTTGAAGGTCGACTAGTAGTGTATGTACGATATCGTGAAGTTCCACAATGATGTACAATATGGTTTTGAATTTCTTCAGACGACTCTACGTTGAGCGATAACCAACACGAAACAATTTTACAAACTTTTATCCAAACTTACGCATGCACTGATTACTCTCATTTCACGAGAGGATCTTCTCCGTCGAACAAGAAGGTCCATAGTGCATCCTTACTCCGGAAGTCATGATGTACGATGCTCACCAACCACCTCTTCGTCCGTACACCATCCAGTAATTCCCGTTCTGGAGATTTGGGTGGGTAATATGATGCCCATTCTGCCCAAATCGAGAAGGCCTCATCCGCCCATGCGAGGAACGACTCCTTTTCGATGATAGTGGACTGAGCGATTTCCTGACCAGGGAAGACTCCCCACGTTACGGCATTCCGGCCACCTTCTGGGACGTTCGTTCGACATTCACCCTGTACGTATCACATCTAAGTTAGTATGGCAGACCCACATACTTCAGTTGCAGACGACTGACCTGAAGATTACCCGCGAAGTAATCCACCCAACCGCCGCCGCGTTCCCTGATCTTCGTCTCAATCTTCTCCAAGTCTTGCTCCTCTACAAAGAACTCAACGAAGCTTTTCTGATAGACATAACCACCTGTTGGTCCCCATCCAACAACCTCATCCGACGAGTCAGCTCCATTGACGGCTGGCTGTGAACCAACAGTCCACCACCCATTCTTGGTGAGTTTTTCAACATACGACAAGATAGTGAGTGATTCTGGTGAAAGGGGGAAAGGCGAGAAAGGTGTAGTAGGTATCTCGGAGTGTAGGTACCGCAGGAATATGTTGGTAAGATCGTTGAATGTCTTCGGATGACCCCATTCCTGAAGACTTTGATGCTATCGAAATCTCAGCGTGCGTCGGCTGTCAGATTAAAGAGAAGAAACATACGGGGATGACAGAGCTATTCCACGGGTTTGGATCGCCATATGCGGGACTCTTAAAGTCACCGAAACGACCATTAGGAAACTCGTCCCAAGTTGCAGCATTGTTCACTTCTCCTTTCCCGGCATCAATGTCGATTGGTGGATGGTTAGTAAGCTTGCTTGCTGCCGAGTCAAGAGCACTGTGAGGAGAGATTATAAGGTCTGAGTCTGGTTGTGGGGCATGGATGATGGTGCCGGGAGTCTCCTATAAGAGCGATTAATAGGATAGAATAGAGTGGGAGTGAAGCAGTGCGTACTGCAATGAGCTTGTTTGCGACCTTCGGGCTACTGCTGTTAGTCCATTGTAAGCCCTCGATCACACGTTGGACGCTCTTCTCCAGATTCAACGTGCAGAAATGTACACCAGGGATTCTTCCTTCCGTCGTAAGTCGACGAATCATCTGAATCGCCAGCTTTACGCCATAATCCTTGACCTTCTGATCATCATGCTGGTAATCCGGGGAGGTGTATCTCAGTCATGCCCTACGTAGAATGTATACAAAAGCAAGAGAATACCTTGATCTGTTCCAAATCTTTCAGCAGAAAGTCAGGCACACGGGTACCACATAGCTTCGTGAGTCGTAAGAAAGAAGAATAGGTCTGCAATGGCATGATTCCTGGTATGATGGGAACCTGGATGCCTATAGTACATCAGTACATGAGCGACGTTCAGAATATGACATTTCATATCACTAACCTTTCGCTCTGACTTTTCCAACCCATCGAAGGAAATTATCTACATCATAGAACAACTGTGTAATGATGAAGCTGGCACCAGCATCAACTTTCGCTTTGAGATGTTCAATCTCGCCATCTTCATCGGCATCTCTGTCCGTATGTCCGTCGGGATACGCTAATCACTCTGTGAGCGATGAGCTCGACTAAACGGAAGGACACGGAGATGAGACATACCAGCAACACCGACACAGAAGTCCGAGAATTCAGGCGTCGATTTAATGTACTTGACCAGATCTACGGCGTGGCTGAACCTTGGATCGGTAGGAATCCAGTATTCTTCTCCGCGGGGAGGATCTAGGAATCACCATAAACGAGGCGTAGTCGCCATTAAGGTGTTACAACTCGCCTCCTCTAAGAGCAAGAATATTCTCGATTCCTCGCTCCTTTGCGGCCTGTATGGAGTCGTTCAACCCACTGTGTTAACAACATCGTATAAATGATATCGACTCACCCTCAAAGCCGAGTCTACGGTACCCTGCAACATATTCGTGCAGGTAAGATGCATAATAGTAACAATTCCAAACTCCTTTTGGGTCAATCCTGCTAGATCGAGACTTCGTTCCATGGTGCTGCCTCCAGCACCCCAGGTTATGCTAACTGCCAGAGGTTTCAGGATAGCAAGACGCGAGATACGATCAAGCAAGTTCTCAAAGCCCTAGAGAGGTGGTCTGAGAGCATATTCAAATTCACGAATAAAACGCCTCATACCTGCTCCGTTTTGGGTGGAAAGAATTCGAATGTGTAGAACGGGTGGTCTTCATGGTAGCTCGCGATCTTGTCTAACAGCTTCATCTTGGCGAAGCGGAGAGAACGCTAACGGAAGGTGGCCTCTGCAGGATGGAATCGCAGCTCGTGGACGATAGCGGACGCTGTCTAATCTCCGAATTGCGCAATGATTACTCTGACGTACTGTATATACTCGGAAGTGCTTTCACCCAAATATGCCTTCTTGAATATATCTAGCTTTGAAGCTTGATCCAAAGAAATAGTGTAACGGCGGTAGGATGTTGTGTATGAAAGGTGTGCACCATCAGCCGAGAGCACGAACATCAAATAGCGAATGCAAACGTAACGCGATCGTACTTCCGGGGAAACGTCCCGGGACCCAAGATCATTCACAGCTTTGACTTCGACCACGACGACCCTCTGAACGAATTTCTATAGTATTAGTCTGCCGTGTTATTGACTCCAAACCTGCTGGGAAGGTTGTTTGTCTAGGCTAATTGCACACCGGAGACCATTATGAGTGCAACATCTCCAGTAACTGCGGACTTCTCGTCACCGCCGTTGAAACGTAGCAAGATCGTGCTACTTGGAGACCAGAGTGTAGGAAAGACCAGTCTTATTACAAGGTTCGTTCACAGTCTCTTACGCTTAGAAACAACCCTCTCGATGCTGAACCTATATGCATGTAGATTCATGTATGACACCTTCGACAACACGTACCAAGCAACCATCGGCATCGATTTCCTGAGCAAAGCAATGTATCTTGAGGACCGAACGGTGCGGTTACAGCTATGGGACACTGCGGGCCAGGTATGTACATCGCTCAGGGACTCATTTGGAAACTGACACGTATGGCGTTGCAGGAACGGTATCGCTCACTAATCCCGTCATATATTCGAGATTGCTCAGTTGCGATTGTTGTATTTGACATCACAAGTGCGTGCGCAACGCTTCACTATGTTGGTCTTGCCTCTAACATAAAGCTCAGACCGCCAGTCGTTCCTGTCGACATCGAAATGGATTGATGACGTCCGGTCAGAGAGAGGAAACGATGTTATCATTGTATTAGTGGGGAACAAGGCCGACCTTTCTGACAAGCGGTATGACTTATCCAAAGTTCACGCGACTCCCTCTGGTTGACCGAGTGCTATAGACAGGTAACTCTCGAGGAGGCGAACGCGAAAGCCACGGAGCTCAATATCATGTTCATGGAAACGTCAGCAAAAGCGGGACATAACGTTAAGAGCTTGTTTAAGAAGATCGCTATGTCACTGGTAGGTATGGAGAAAGAAGGTGAAGCCGCTGAGCAACAAAACACCAGTGAGTGAAACTCTGCGTCATTCGGAACATCCATTGATGACCAGATTTCGGGACAGAAATTGACGTTACCTCACCAACAACGAACGAGGTACCTGATGCATCACAATGCAACTGCTGAATATGTAGCGCGTTTATTGGAGGTGATTAGGGTGACTCTTCATTTGACATGCCCTGATGGAGGGTATATCGTTTACCATTTGCGCCGTTTTACCAAGGTTTCACTCGTTTTCTGCTTGTTTGTAACTTCATAGATTACTTCTCTCGATATTTTCTCTCAACTGGATGTACGAAGTAAAACCGAGAGCTCATCAGGCCATCTTTATTGACGGAACTTGAAAGCTCGTATGGGTCCGACATCAGTTGTCGTTTGGACACTCTGGCCATTCATGGGATTTGTGCAACTTGCTCTCGGTGCCCAATTTGGTTTTCCGCTAGCTTTCTCCGTTTCTAGGCTTTTCGTCTTTGCGAACCACCTCAATCTACTATTCCATATAAACAGCAATGGTTTGAGTGATAATTGTGACTATGAAGACATATTGGTCAGTTGTTGCACTGTAAGTGTTGCTTAGCTAGTTCTTCTATGTCCAAATGGATGTTCTTAGAATTCGTAGTTTACACGTCCGATCATTTGATGCCAAGTGCCGATCGCGTCGACTCACGCGTTTACACATTTACCTCCACCTCCAAATCCGCCATCCTGTTGTGGTTTTCGTTGTCTCAAATTCTCTCCTCAGTTACAACTTGAGTTAGACTTCTAAATCAAAATGTCGACTGCGACACCAACGCTTATCCCAAGAAGTCCGGTTTTCCCGAATGTCCTTCCAATGCCGCCACAACCTCACCCAATACCCTTACCTCCTTATGGGTACCCTCCGAGCCGATTCCCACGTCGACGTGATCTACACAGAGAAATGAACGACTTGAGCGATGAGGAACAGGAGATGGAGGATTTGGTACGAGCATTCCATTTTGGCTGCGCTTTCACATATGAATGCTCACCGACTATCTACGTGTGGTGCAGAATGAGGAGATCAAGAATAGAGGTGCTAGCTTCCTCATACCAATAGGTCGTCTAATGACACAGCAGGAAGAGAAGAACGATGTCGGTGTTCTCTTTCCCATTTTTGAGTCATTGAGTCATCCTTGCTCACAATCGGCCTTTCTACACTCACAGGCAGACGAGGCTGAGGATGATGACGACGGAGATGGAGACCACTCTTCTTCCGAATCATCAGAACCATCTGAAGCTGCACCGTCCGAGGAAGAAGAGAACGAATCTGAACAGGATCTTGATGCTGATATGGAAGATATGGACGATGAAGCCAACGTCACAGCCGAGACAGCAGATTCGGACGACATGGATGACGAGGAGTCAGAATAGCTCAGCTTCTGCATGGGTGGATGCTTTGTCATGTCTTTCGTACCATGTATATTACCGGTGAGCAACTATGCGATTTTCCTGACAAACGATTCATCACAACCCAAAGCTATCATACTTTTTATCAGTTTCATGCTATCAATGACCGGAGAGATCGTCTATTCTGGTTGGAGATATTTTATTTGAGTAACATCCCGAAGGCACTATGGCCGAGTGGTTAAGGCGGTAGATTCGAATTGCCATTCGAATACATCTACTCCTCTTTGAGGGCGCAGGTTCAAATCCTGCTGGTGTCGTTTTCGTTTTTCTTCCACCATTGTCTAGCACATCTAAAGGGCCGCTCATATGAGGACTATAATCTTCTTCTGCATACCTTACAGCGGTAGATATTAGCCAACGTGATTGGTGAATTTCGACACTGCACTATTTTTAAATTAATTCGAGATATTGCCTGGAACAGCAACCTCATGGATGGTCTTGCATAACATGTATAAACAAAACGATCGAATTCGTCACCAGTGCTCTTGCCCATGCAGTACAACTGTAATCATCCTACCTCATAGTCGGTCTATCAGAAATGATTTACCCATTCCGTACAACTGAATTGGCTCTGAGAGACTCTGCATGGTCCGAAGTTCTGGAATTGTACCCTATCTCGAGCCGGGCTTCCTGTCTCACGGACTTGCACCGACGCTATCTTTTACCAATCGTTGAACCATCTCTGAATGCGGTCACTGAAGCACGGATACACCTGCACAGAGCTAAACATACTGTGTTTGCTTCGCCACACATCAATTCCCTTCAAGAGCCTTCCACGCTTTGCCTCAGTATTCTTGGTGCGCTGTTCTGGTTTATCTGCCTTCGACTATGTTCTCGCCGCAGGGCAAAGGAGATCGACCCCACGCCAGCGCTGAAAGCACTCTCTGCACTTGTTGTACCTACCCGTTCTCGCTGGCCTTCCGCGTTTTTGCATGTTGCTCGCCACGCTTCTGCTTCCCGAGGCAAGACCATAACGCTTCCTTTCCGAATGCTCTATGCCCATACTCGTTCTGGAGAGGTCGAATTCAGATGGGACAACGGCAGCTTGCCTGCTTTGATGTCGAGCCAATTGGTTGTCGATGGATGGCAAATCCGTCTGGAAGTGGAAAACTCATGGAGGAGACTTTTGAGCTGGCGCATCTTCACGTCGCGTCTATCTTCTTTGACGTTCGAGGTATGCATATCGCTTTACATTTCTGTAGATGCCCCGTCCGTACTGAAACAAATATCGACAGCCTAATTCTGCGTTGCGTAAGTGCATATATGCGGTCTTTTCCATCATGATTGCACCGTTGAAACTGACATGATATGACTTACCTTGTATCTATATATAGCTTCGGAGACAAAGAGCGAAATCTTGCCTAATGCCGCTGTGGATGCCCCCGGGAGTTGGCCAATCCGTGAAGTCGTTCTTGACGCTGTGCCGGCTTCCCGCCTGCCATCATTCATCCAAGCTATTCAACGTCGATCTGAGAAATCGTTCATCCTCAGTTTTTCTACTAGAAGCACTGCGGAGCCTCTCCAGGATGTGTCATTTGTCCTAGCTTCACTGCCATTCCTGTTGCGGCGGTATCACAGATCCATGCCTATGGCAAGGTCCTCCCGAGTAGCCACCCCGCTCTTCACCCCTATCGATGCCATCGTGAAGATCCTCTCTTCAGGGCCTTCCCCTTTTGTTGTAGAGTCCGTGAAGAACGTGTCTCAATACCACGCGAACACGCTTGAAGCCTATGTCGAAAGCTTGGAGACCGAAGTGCTCGTGCGAACGCAGTGTATAGAAACATGTGGCATTGATGGATGGAGAGAAGACCGATTCATGGCCGCCTGGGAAGCTGCGTTATTCACCTCCGGCCTCTTGTCGCGTTGGGCTGTAGTAGTTTCCAGACGGTAATAGTGGATCCCGTTTGTTACAGTCCGCTGCAGAGAACGATACGCTGACCAGTTTCGCATTATTGATGAAATATTGTCTACCTCCTCGCTATCTCCATTCTCCAACGCAGTCCGACAGTCCGAGTCAAAGTCCTTCACCCACTTCTTCCGATGCTTGGCACTTCAAACAACAAGCGAAACAGGATAATTCCGGTTAAACGGGTAACTTCTCGGACCGACGGCGAGAGTCGGATCGGTCAGCGCTTACGTCACTCAATCCGATAGGTTGATGCACCAATCCTTGTTCAATGTTCAATTTCCAACATTCCATTCGCGTGGTGTGCTTTTTAAAGCAACCCTATCTCTGGCCAGTATATTCAAGACATCAACAGCCACCATTATTCGGTACAATGTGATGCCTGCTATTGCGTAAACAATGCTCAAGATTGGACACACCCTAGTACGCAGGAGCTATCTCAAACTAATTGTCCTGATTGAAGCCCGTATATCATGCACTAGGCCATCGAGGAGCATTCGATACGGTATCTAAGAATTGAAACGCTTTGGAGATCTTGTTCCGTGTCGTTTCCGCATCTCTGCGACAGAGTTCAGTCCGGTTGATCTTGCTCGGCCGATTTCCTTTTCGAACACAACGGTGAGGCTGCCGGAAATGTCCGATCCCGATTAGGAGCGAAACCTTCCCTATAAGGTATGTAATTGCTTAGTCATCGAGGAAACTGGGAGAAATCGCGAGAATGGGTAGTGTTGTGGCGAATTGACTCAGGCGTCGAGTGAGAAGGGGTATTCGTCGACTAGCATGCCCCCCGCTTGCTCCCGGCTTGCAAAATAATATATAAAGTCCTGCCCAACGTCATGTACGTTTCCCTTACTCCTTTCGACCGCGCATTTGCGCACCGTTCTTAATTTCGCCCTCCCCCCTTCTTCTCTCCGCCAAACGCCCCCCATGGAGAGCACCCCTCCCAGTACTACGCCTACGCTGACGGGTAACGACGATAACGAGGGGCACCACCACCATCACCACCGTCACCTTCCTCACGTCTCCTATCCTCACCCAGGCCCCCATCACGATCCCACTCAACCTGATATCAGTTTCCCTTTCCAAACTACCAATGTTCAGGAAGGAGGTTTCACGGACGAGTACCGTGTAGTATCCGACACTGGTCTCATTTCCGCCGATAAGGCGTTGCGACCGATACCATCTCACATCTCGATAACTCCGCCTGCACTTCGGGATCCAGAGAAAGCAGAGCAACTCAAGAAGGTCAAGCTAGTCACTTTCCTCGAAAACGATCCGGAGGATCCGCGAAACTATTCTAAAGGCTACAAATGGTGTAAGTACAGCGCCTGTAACATGTTGTTCCCTGCTGATGGGTTTGTGATGTAGTTCTCACGGGAATATGCGCCCTTTCTGTCGTTTCTGCTGCGTTCGCCAGTGCAGTTATCTCTGGTGATTTTGCGGATCTCGAAGAGGAGTTTGATATTGGCATAGTTGTAGTCTCTCTCACGGTTAGTCTCATGGTCTGCGGATTCGGTGTTGGACCTCTCATATGGGCACCAATGGTAAGTCCTTATTTCGATCCCTAACGCTCCTACGGGTTTTATAATCAACTACAGAGTGAACTCATCGGTCGACGGCCTGTTTGGATTGTCCCAACGTTCATCTACGTTCTCTTTAATATTCCTTGTGCCGTCGCCAAGAATATAGAGACACTGATGATCGCACGATTCTTTTGTGGCGTCTTTTCTTCCGCACCATTTGCTCTCGCTGGTGGAACAATCTCAGACATCTGGGATAACGAAGAGCGTGGATTCGCCATTGCCTTGTTCGCTGCTGCACCTTACGGTGGGCCCGTTCTTGGTCCCATTGTCGGTGGTTTCGTAGGCCAATCTATTGGTTGGCGGTGGATTTTCTGGATTAACATGATCTTTTCCGGAGTTGTCGCTCTCGCAATTCTTCTCATTCCTGAGACGTATGCACCTGTTATACTGAAGAACCGAGCTGCGAGGTTGCGAAAGGAGACGGGCGATGAGGACATTAAGACTGAGCAAGAATTATTCCCGATGTCCATGTCTGCGCTACTTCAGGAAACACTCATTCGCCCCTTCGCTATGCTCGCGACCGAACCAATCCTGCTTCTGCTCTCGTTATACATCTCGCTCGTCTACGGTCTGTTGGTATGTGCTTCGTCTTCATGTTCCTATCGCAAACACTGACCTTCGTTTATCTAGTATGCGTTCTTCTTCAGTTTCCCGATCACCTTCCTTGAAAATTACCATTGGAACGATGGGCAAACTGGTTTGGCATTCATCTCGATCTGGATCGGTCTTTTCCTGGCGCTTTTCGCTACTCCTCAGCTCGAAAAACGATACCTTGCTGCCTCTAAGGCCAAGGGTGGAAAGGCTGATCCGGAAGATCGTCTACCTGGCATGATGATAGGGGTTTGGTTCATTCCAATATGTACGCACCTTATATCTTCGCACATTCGTATTTGCAGTGCCTTACTGTGTTTTCTTTTAGCCTTGTTTATCTTCGGCTGGACTTCACCGCCTGCCGTTATGCCTGGAGGCGGTAATTGGGTTGGCCCTGTCAGTTCTGGTATTCCATTTGGCTTTGGCATGGTCATTCTTTACTTCTCAGCCAACGCTTATATTATCGACGCATTCCCTGGATACGTCGCGTCTGCACTCGCAGCTAAAACGGTTGTCCGTTCTGGTGCCGGAGCGGGTATTCCTCTGTTCATCCCAGCTATGTACCACAACCTTGGTATCGGTTGGGCCGCGACTACGTGGGCATTCATCTCCATCGCAATGGTATGCTCTCTTCTCCGTCTCGAACATGAACGCTTGACACTGACTCGTTTGTTGTCTAGATTCCTATACCTTTCTTGTTTTACTTCTACGGCAAACGTATTCGTGCTTTGTCGAAACGTGCCGCTCCCGCCTAAAAATTCGAATCGCTCATGCTTCCCACGCCCTCCTTCATCCCTTCATTTCATCCCTTTATTCCTTCGTCCCTTCATCACCTTGTCGTGTCATCCCTTCGTCTATAGGACCTCTGTTCTCGCTCAGCAATGCTTCTTTCTCCCTCCAACTTCCATAGATGTTTCACGACACAAGCAATTTGCTCTTCATCTAATTAGCCATACATTCGTCTACAATCGCATACTAGATCTGCATTCCATCGCTAGACAGTCTGACATCCTCAACTATCTTATTGTTTCTTGTTCAATATGTATCATAATCACGGGCTCGTGCGGGCAATACAAAAGTTGTTAATAAAGACTGAGTGATTACGTTGTCAACTTTGCTATGTTGTCAATAAATATTGTGTGGTATATACATGTGTGGGCTATGTTATTATCTTCCCGCGTCGGACATATCAGTATGTCAAAGTCCCCACGATAGCGTCCACAATTCGCAGAGGGTCAGGTATATAGAACTTTTCGTATTGCATTGGCACTGGGGTACTAGGGGAAAAAATCAATGCCCAAGTTGCCACGCTAAGTAAAATCGACTCACTCCCAAGCCGTAACCCTCTTGACTGGCGCGTGCAACTTCAGGAAACACCGTTTCTGAATTTCGGCAGCGATCTCAGAACCGACGCCTCCAGTCCTACTGGCCTCGTGGACAATGACCAATCGACCAGTCCGCTCAACGCTCTCTGCAATAGTCTCGACATCCCAAGGAAGAATTGTTCGCAAGTCGATGAGCTCTACTTTGGCCGAACGAATAGACTGGGGTATGTGCTTAGCTAAGGACTCTGGCGGAGATCGAAGCATGTGGATGGCCGTCTCGCAGTGATAGACCGGGGTACCCCAGGTAAGTAATGTGAGGTCTGAGCCATTGACGAGTGTTTCCGCTTTTCCTAGTGGGATCTCGAAGTCACCTATTGGTACTTGTTCAACTACGCGCGTATGTGAATGAATAAAATACAGATCGATAATATAGTACAACACACCAGCGGAGCGATAAAGAATCTTCGGTTCCATGAAAATCACAGGATTAGGATCGCGAATGGAAGCAAGGAGCAAGCCTTTCGCTTGTACGGGCGATCGTGGAATTACGAGCTATATATGCTTTAGTTTCTCAAGAAAAAGTACGATTGAAGTGAAATAAAGTACCTTGAGGCCGGCTGCGCCAAGGAAGAATCCCTCCGGACTTTGAGAGTGATAGAGACCGCCGTGTCCGACAGACATTGTTGGACACCGGATCGTGAGACCACCAACGCCAAACTGACCACCTGAGCGGAACCGATGTTTTGCAGCTTCATTAACAAGCTGCAGAGCTTGATCAAGGATAGGTTTCAGCGCAACGTATGCAATGACTTACCTGATCGAAGGCCGGATAGATATAGTCGGCAAACTGAATTTCAGCAATAGCGGTATGTCCCATAGACGCAAGGCCAATTCCGAAGCCTGCGATGCCTTGCTCAGTTAACGGGGTATTGAATACACGTTCGCGACCTGTGCACAATTAGTGACATCACTCAGTCATAAGATGCTTCTTCTCCTACCAAACTCTTCAGCAAGACCCTACGGTTGCGAGGTGAATATCGGATGAAGCTCAGCAAAGATCAGAGGGTATTACCATGGTGCATCTGAACACTCCGCCAAAGGCAACGTCCTCTCCAAACACTACTGCGGTGTCATCTTTCGTCAAGGCAATACTGTAGTCAAATTCGCGTTAGCATAGAAGTTAGCACATTTATTCCCCCACTGGAGGTCATTACCTCATAGCATCGCGTACCGCCTGGTATAGATTCATCTTTCGCGTCTCGCGCTCTGCAAGCGCGATATTTGGTGGCCCCGATAAACCATCATCTGCCCATTGCAACCCCGGTGCGCGCAATGCTGAATCCGGAGTGGTTCGCAGAAAGGATGAAGTAGCGACTGAGGGTAAATGACCTTCAGCCGGCGGCGGCTCGGCGCTCGTCGACTGCCATCGACGATTAGACTATAATTTGAACATTTAGTATCGCGTTTTTAGATAAGACTGAGATATGCATATGCATACTCTTATCGAAAGCACATTTCTGTGAGGGATTCGAGCTAGTTTTGGGGATTTGATCATGGCAGTCGAGGAGAAGGCTTTCGTCCAAGATCCGGGTCTTCCTGTTTCTTCCTTCACCGTTACCGCCACTACGGAACTCCCAGACGCTGCTCGTTCAGGTACCCATGCGATGAAAACATGGAGAACGACTGTACCTTCGTCGCTCCCGAAGGTGTTTATTCAGTGACTGAAGAGCATAAGCCCTCTGTTCTTGGCCTACATGCTGCTAATGCTACACCAAATGTTCACCTTACGAGGTTGACCACTGTAGTCGTCAAGTTTCCCGGCTCCAAGGGTGCGAACTCACCTCAAGTGCTATCACAGCTACTGGGCGGGACTAGGGAGAAGGAATACAAGAAGGAGAAGGGTCTATCGAAGGAGCGTGAAGATCTCAGCGGCAGCGTATCGAGTAGTGATACACCCGACGATCCCCCTGGCTCACCAGATGTTACTGTGTCTCCAGCACCAGATGCTGTAACATCGACGCCAAATCTTCCTCATGAGCAACACAACACGATCTTCTCCCATGCCCCAGCGACCCTTGGAAAGAAGAAGACCATCGCTCGACCGAAACACAACATGCGCACCACCTCCTCCACGTTCATAACCCGACTACAGAATGTGGATAATTTGAACAGGCATCTACAGTCTAAGCAGGGAGAAACAACGTTCTTGTTTTATAACTCTGCGAAGACGTTCATCTGGACTGAGGCTGGTACAAAGCCCAAAGTGTGTTAACATCCACACCATAACAGAGAATAGTCAAGTGATGCCATTTCTAGGAACCCCTTGCGCGAATATACTTCTCGGCATATCCTACCTGTCACGATGTGAATCTGGCGACCCTATCCGCAGACCGAATAGATGTGATTGTTGGATTCAATACTGGCGACCTCTTGTGGTTTGACCCAATATCATCGCGCTATGGACGACTGAACAAGCAAGTACGCCCTCAGTATATGAGACTGCGTCATTTCGCTGATATATTTAAGTAGGGTCGTATATGCAATTCACCATGTACGGCCATTCGTTGGGTCCCGTCATCTCCCAACCTCTTCTTAGTGTCTCATGCGGACGGTACAATGCTTGTCTATGACAAGGAACGCGAGGATGGCATCTTTACACCTCAAGAACCTACTGGTCAGCCTAACTCTGGAAATTCTGCTTTCGACGCCAGCGTTATCCCAGGTATCCCTCCAACGGGTGAATGGAATTCATTCGATAGCATATTTGTCACTATGCCTCCATGGCATCCTGTCACTACGACTGCTGGTGGCGGAAAGGGCGAGAAGGAAAAGGCAGCCAAGAACCCCGTCAGCCACTGGAGGGTATCCAAGAAGACCATAATAGGTCGTTGCGTTTCTACGTGGGGAGACATGCCAACTGATTTCGGCCATTGTAGACTTTGTGTTTTCACCTGATGTGAAGTTTGTGGCCGCAATTTCTGAGGACGGTTGCCTTCGGGTAATTGATGCCATCGCAGAACAGTGAGTTGCATCAACATTAGCTCGTCTGCAATACACTGACGGTTTGAAAGACTAGTTGATTGCTATGCGTCATACTTTGGTGCTCTCACCTGTGTTGCATGGTCACCAGATGGACGCTACATAATCGTGAGTCAACGCTCGTTGTTATTAAGCACCGTAGTTGACATTTAACAGACTGGTGGTCAAGACGATCTGGTAACCATATACTCCCCTTGGGAACAACGTGTGATAGCAAGGTGTCAAGGACATTCGTCATTTGTCTCAGCAGTCGCATTTGACGATATTCGCTGCGACGGACGGACTTACCGTTTTGGTAGTGTCGGTGAGGATAATAAATTGATTCTTGTACGTGCTTCATCATTGTTGTAAGCCCCGTTTTCAAGCTGATTGTTTGGTTTCCAGTGGGACTTCTCCAGTGGTGCTCTGCATCGACCAAAGATACATGTATGTCTAGAATATCTGACCTCTGCGTATGCCAGTCTGATAACGTCCATTTCAGGCTGCACATCATCAACGAATGTCAATGACGTCCACTTTGTCGTTAGCGCTTCGACGACGGGGGGAGTCTACTGTCTTCCTGGCTTCATTAGGGTCTCCAGGAGATTCACATTTAACTCATTACCATCCGGCCCCCTCTCGTAATGAGGTCGCTGTTGTTCAGCCTGTTCTGGTGAGTTAAGCCTCCTCCGATGCTCTCATAGGGTGTTGCTCAGAATATTATCTATAGATTAAGCACATCGAAGGCGATCTCTTGACTGATATTGCTTTCCTGCCCCGCGGGTTACTCACCGCAACAAGGACAGGACATGTCAAATTCTGGATCAGACCACTACCTACTCATCCTCGCCACCTGAAGAGCCGCAATGTCAATCGTCACAGTAGTACACTCGATGCTCAAGATTGGGGTGGTTGAATCACAAGTCACATTCGTTCCGCGGTTTACTTCCTATTATTTACATCGCTATTTGTTTATGTTTATTGGGCTTATATTGTATGTTCTCCCTCGCTGTCAGACCACCAATGCCACTGTGCGTCCTTATTCTCCTCTTTTGGTTCACACATTGGCTGATGGGTGAACAGCGACGTGACAGTGGGAACAAACTAACTTAGAACCTGCGAAAGCCACGCGTCTTTTGATAGCCACTTGCCAGTGTGCACGTACGGGCACCATAAGCTTGCTTCTACAGCTTGGACATCCAGGCTGTTTCTAGATCATGAGCAAGAGGTGGAGATTGTTAAAAGCGATCCTGTGAGTTCACTACGCGTAATTTAGACTATGTTCTCAATCTGTACTTCAATGACGCCATTAGTAAGGTTGTCTCTCGTGGACACTCGGTTCGTCCATATGACGGACAAGTTCCACCAGCACTTGATGCACCGTCCTCGTGCGAGCTGCCTATCGAAATCATTCAATACATCTTCCGTCATCTTACAACTCCATTTTACCCCAACGCCTTCGGGTACGAATGCTTGTATCCGGCTTTCGATTACAATCTCAACCTTCTGGAAGGGACAGACAGCAGCCAGCGTTTCCTGCTTATAGTACTGAAGGTCTCAAAGGCATGGAACACTGTGGGGACGAAGATGTTGTATTCCAGGCCTTTCTTGATTTCCCACTGGAGAGTGCAATCGTTCGCGCGCACCCTCGCTTCGAACCTGTCGCTTGGCCGTTTGGTGAAGGACGTATATGTTCTTTTTCAAAGTCGGCATATATATGCGACAAAAGTGTCCGATACTCAGATGGAAGCCTTGGATATCGTCACTCGCTTTGATCTCATCCGAGCGTTACGTCTCTGCCCGTCCTTGCAGACCCTTGCAATCAGCAATCGCTCTCGTTTGCACCCTGTGATATATCCCGTCGATAAGGTGTTTGTGGACGCATCGCGCATCGGCAGAAGGCTTCGCAAACTCACGATCCATGGTTGCCCCTCCATCTTCTCGGCTTATTTCCGACCTATACTTTCTGAGGATGCCTCACTTCCACAACTCATGACCTTGTGCCTTCGAGAGATTTGTATCATTGATGGGTTTCAATTCCTATTACTACGTAGACTGCACACCCTACAAATAGCCCAAAGCTATCGATGGCCGCAAAATACAGATCGCGTCCCCAATTTGACCTTATCCTCAGCCGTCATGCCCATGTTAACAACGTTGGAAGTCTACGAAAACTCCTTCATCACCAGACTGGATGTCAACGGTATGCGACGATTGAGGCGTTATCACTGCCTCGGGCGACCTTCCGTGGCATCTTTCCCTGATAGAAACGTCACGGCCATTCTCGACGGTTTGCGGCACCTTATGACAGCAGGATACCTTATGGAGGAATATAATAAGGATAACGTCCAATGGCACCTTCTGGATCGACTCGAATCCTTGGTCCTTGTCATTGATCCTCAGACTCAATATGCTCTGGCTGGTTTGAGAGACCTCATCATGAAAACGGAAAGCGATGGAAGAAACATCGTCTCTCTGACGGGATTGGTCCTGTTAGCAGATTTGTCCGTGCCAAATCAAGACATCATTTTAAGTAGTCCTGCTTTCGGCGACCTTCGCTCCCTGTGTACATCACGAAACATTAACTTGCAAGTTGATCTAAGTGGTATGCAAGCCTTTGCATATCCAAACATGTCATTCACTTTGGTTTTAGGTCTGAATGATTGGATTACGCGTCGGCTCGTAGGACAACTTGAACATTCCCACATGGCATGAAAAAGCCTGATGAAAGGTTGACGTGATCTTTTGTGGATAACTCTTCTACCCATTCTAGCACCATGTTTTTCTTGAAAATTTAGAATCTAGGTGAGAAGAGTTAAAGAATGGTTATTGGAAACTGTTCTCAAAGTGTTCGCTTGATCATTGCAGCCTGAAGTTATTCAAATGAATCCACCACTGTCATGAAACTGAGCAGGAAAGAAAGAACCGAGGATCTTGGAAAGTTTTCTGCTCGATTTCAGAGGCAATCCAGCTAGTAGCACCTGTTGTACTAATAGTAAAGAGGATATGGTATGCGTATATCTGGGTCGTTAGACGGCAGATCGGGTGTCATGAGCTGAAAACCTGCTTCTGTTGATAATCATTGACAGATATGAACCCACCGTGGCAAAAGTCGGCATAGAGGGAAACGTTTGTAGGAATGTAACGCACACAGTCATTTCTGAATATCATGTCAATGACTATTTGATCGAGTTGTGAAAGAGCATATGTAGGCGCCAACAGTACTGTACTTCGCTTTATTACTGCTCTACTCGAATCATCATCTCGACTTTCTCGGCTCGCTACGACTACAGCTTTGACTCTCTAGTCCCGCTGTCGAGGAACATTGAAACATAAGCTGTCAGCTGCGCCCGTGTGCTCAACCGATCCAAAAAGTTGCGTGACATACCGTGAAACGCACTATGGACTGGTGAGTGGGAGATTCATGTGCCAGTCCGTTCAAGTTCTATGACCGATTTAACGTATCAACAGTTTGGAGATCAATGTTCGCCAAATGATCCTCTGTGACCTTTCTGCAAACATCGAAGACTTCAAGAATGAGCAGCCGACTCCGGATTATTTGTCCGCTATTGACCTCATCACTTCGAAAGTTGAAACCAGGACTCGTTCGGGAGAGGACAGCACGTTGGAGAATGGTGATGTTTGTGGGACCGAGAAGCAGCAACGGGTGTTCATGGTAAGTACAATGACTACAGCCTTGATAGAATGTACCTTACTCTGGATTTGTCAGTCAAATTCCCGCATTCAATGCAACATTGGTTTCGCAGAACTTGCTATCAGTCTACCTGACGCACATGTGGAGGCAACCGTACCAGTTCTGGTTGATCTACTGAGAGACATTCCCTACATTGACTTCGACCATTGTCTCGCTTGGGAGGGTATGCCAATTGTTCGTTTACGCTTGGTTTTACTCACGTTTCTCGCTAGATTGGGCATTGCCCGACCAGCTCGTATTTAAGACTGTCTCAGCCTTACTCAGAATCTCTTCCGTCCATACCGACTACCGCAAGACTGCTACTGACGCCATCGTACAATTCGCGGAATGCATCGCTTCTATGTTGCAAGCTGGCGGCTGTACGTGTTGTCTTGCGCTTGATATATACGTTTGGCTGACGAGCTGGTTAATCTCGGTATAGCAATGGATATCCTTACTCAATTTGCGCCGGCGTTCCACGGTTTTTACCGTGCTATTATTTCTATACCCTTTTCCTGGACTATTTCAGAATGGACGTCCCTATCAAGCCATCTTAATAGCTTACTTTCAGCTGAAGCCGTTGAACACTTCAATCGACTTTTAATCGACATTCTCAAAGCTGAAGGCGAAGACCTTGACAGAATACACTTTGTCCAAACTCATCTCTCTCGTTACATCTCTCGAGGGAGACCTTTGAGCGGCTATTTCATCGTTTGCTGTGTCTTAGAGGCTCAATGGACCACTTTGGCTCAAGCACTCACGCCTTCACATGTGCGGGATGGATATCCAGAATTTGCTGAGGCTGCAGCTGCGAATAGGGCGTGGCAGAGTCTTTTGCGTCAACCCGTCGAGGAAACATCTGACGACGAAGATTACAGGGCTGTTGTTGGCAAAACCATGGAGAATACGATGCAGACTTTCACTAGTCTACTCATACAAATTGAGGAAATGGACGCTGAACCTTCAGAGGACAGTTATGCATGGGAAACTATGTCTGAGAGCTTGGTAAGTTGGTCTACCTTGATTCTGTTATCATCATTGAATCCTTGGACAGAAACTGGCGGCGATCTGCTCGGTAGCTCGGGGCGAGCTTGATAATAAACTTTATGCTCGCATCAAGCTTCTTCTGAGCGATGAATCACCCCTTTCCGATAATTTGGTTCAAGAGGCTGCTCTCAAAGCTACCGCCATTCTCGTTCGCAAGTATGTACTATTTATTGCTGTTTCGTTATCAAGACCATAATCTCTATCGTTGCCAGTTTCCCGGAAATTGCTCTCAGAATGGCCGGTCACCTAAGACGGTTCATCACCTCTCCGCTTCCGATATTCGAGTTCGAGTTTGCAGCGGGCACGCGCACGCCGCCGCCTTTGGTTGCTGCGGCCAAATGCTTAGCCCTTTGTCTCGACGTAAGTTGTCCGTTATTGTTTATAATATCATTATGATGACAAGGTTTCAGCTCGCACCAGGAGACGATATCGGCATGTCATACATGTATTCATTGCTGAACTACATTGCTGCGACCAATAAAGATTCATACGAAAGCGCGGCCTTCATCAACGTCAATCCAGCAGACCAAGCGGACTATTCGGCTCTCTACTCTGTAGAAACTGGTTTGCGCGGCCTGGCAGAGGACGAGAAGAGATTGATTGGTATTAGTACGATTTCTGTGGTTACCCGACTTGCGCTTGAGTTTGATGGTGAAGAGGTATGCATTCCTGGAATCTGCCCACTCCCATTGAGACATTACTCGGCACTTCATAGGTCGTCAAGCTTACCATCTCTATGCTCCTGCAACGTCTGAGAAGTGCGGAGCCGACGGTAGAAGCGGCAATCTCTTATAATCTCGTGGACCTCGCACTGGCTGCTCCTGAAAGTGCCTTCATTGATATCATTCGGGCCTTCTCTGCCATTAACCGCTCAGCAAACCCGGATGATCCAAGGTTCTCTAATAACATGGTACTTTCAGAATCATTTGTTTGCACTCATCATTCACCGAACTGAGAGATCGACGTTCCAGGTACTTGCTGCGCAAACCCGTTTAGCCCGAGAACTGCATAAACGCCCCGAACTTTATGAAGTTTATTTGGTTGAGTTGTTGACGCTATTCTCTGACAAAGGTGTCGCTATCCAGAACCTGTCAGCTTCGAATCATCATGCAAAGGTGTTTAGAACATATAACAGATGCGTCCCATGTACTGACTCTGTTTTGAAGATAGAAGACATGACTGAGCAATTAGCATCACTTTTACTGCCAATCGACGCGCTCCTCAGTCATAGCGATTTTGACATTGACTCGGACGCGACACAATCGATAGTCAACCTATTCCGCAACATGTGGTTCCTCTGTGTACTATTCCAGTTCACGGCTGCCGATACAAAAGATCATCCTGCTATGGCATGGCAGAAGCCAGCGCTCGCGAGGATTGCAGTGAAAACGCCACCGATCGTGCTCGAGAAGGCTCATGACTCTATTGCAAATGATCTAGAGTACAATCCTGTAATTCGTCAGGAATATGTTGAAGACGTAAGCTACTTCCCACCGTTGATTCGGCCAATACTGACATCTGTATAGATTATCAGCAAGCACCGCCTCCTTCTTCAAAAACATATACCACTTCGAGCCACGGAAGTCCGTGGTCTATTTCCTGGCCAGATTATATTTTTGCTCACGATGCACGACGTCGAGAGCATGAGGTCTGCAGCTGGTTTACCCTCCTCGCTTGTCTCATACTTCACCAATAACGGGTTGAACGCCAACGCTGGACTAGCACATTGTATGGAAGCCGTCGCTGAGAAGGTATGACTTTATTTTGTTGCCCCATTGACCACCATGGCATCTATCGCTATTTTTTTCCATAGGTCATCCGCGGTTCTTTGGTGGACTTAAACAGTCAAGCATCGCAACAGAGTCTTCCAACCGAGCTATCTCAAGAACTCCGCTCCTTGGTGGTAGCAAGCACCCATCGGATAGCAAGACCCAGAGACATTGCGTCGAAGTACCTGGATAGGCTTATAACATCCTTTCCTTCTTTGATGTGCGACCCGCCGCTCGTGATCGCCATCCTAGAGGTCCTGACATTGTTGCGTCAAGCATGTGAAAATGAGTTCCTTGACGAGGTGAGGATTCCAATCAATCTGACGCGAATCCACTGACAAGAACATCAGGACAATCCAACGTACACATTCACATCGGAGAGGTCGAACATCACACTGCAACTTACCGACGATTACGGCGCTCGTAAACAGATACTAGCTCAATTGCATCGTGATACTAACCGATGGTTTGAGTTGGCGCTTGGTCGAGCTCCGCTTGAGTTACAGACCACTCTGCAGGTCAGCTACCCAATTAGAGTGTCTTTGCTTATTACTCACGATATTTTAGAGACATCTGGCTTTGAATCAAGTGACTTCTGCGTCGGATTTATCCGATCTTGGCTCCTCCATCGCATTAGACTTCGGCAGGGCGATTGGCCCAATTGATCGCAAACTCTGTATGAGAATGTTGCGCTCGCCTTGCCTTGATTTTTACTTACAGCCTCACAGCTTCCTTGTCAAATATGCTCAGTACGAAGATGGACCGTACTAAACTGTTTGTGAGCCAGCTCGCTTCGAAAGGATATTTTGTAGGAGAAGCTGCTGGATACAATCTAGCTCCTGCCGGCAAGTCGTCTTAGTCTATACGTTGACTCTGAGATAAATAACGCCACATAGGCACGCATGAATTGGGCGCGGGCGCCCCCGAGCCTACATCTCCTCACGAAGTGAACATAATAAAGACGAGGATGTCGGAACACATTCGGGATATTCGTCGAAAGAGGAGTTCTTTGACGATACAAAATCTCAGGCGCCTTCTCTTCCGTGCTGCTGCCATCCTGATATCTTCTCAGAAGGTATGTCATGTGTCTTTGTTGGCCATATTTTCCTGAATACCTGTACCATCAAGTGCGACTACGATCTTTTGCATTATCTGGTCGCGCTGCCTTTCGAATCTTTTACGCCCTCAACAGTTTCCGCTGGGGTGGAGGTTTGGTCATGGGTTATCGCCGAGAAAGTTGATTATGAGGTTGCCCTCACGTCGGAAATTACTTCCGCTTGGATCAGCACTATCAAGCATGGTCGAGGCATGTTTTCGACATCACTGAAGTATGAATGCAATTTGCTTGCTTGCTGTATTCCACTCATACTCCTTTGCAGCGCGAACGGCCCTTTCTGCCATTCAGTGGAGTACAGCCCATCTGACAGGGAGACTATCAGCCGCATAGCATCTCAAGCAACTCGTCTTCTCACTCCGCACAACCTCATCTTGAAGCTTTTGGTTAGCAGACTGCAAGCGGCCAGATATCGCAAATCTAGTATAATGCACCTCATGCAGCGATTGGCGTTGACTTCTGCTCGTGCACATAAGCATATGAGGTATGCATCACATCCTGAGAAAGGATACTCGCGCTGATTGACGCTTTAGTACACACCCTCTATCGAGAGAAGCACGATTCTGCTTTCTTCTATTCGGTTTTGAGACCCTGCGCAGCTCTCACCTTGATACTGGCTGCGAGAGTCAGCTGAGAAGCAGTCTCTACAACGCTTCGCTGTCATGGTTCAGTGTGCGCCCACAGTAAGTACACACTACGTGGAATCTCCGTAGGATGCTAATTTGTGCAGATGGACATATGGCGCCAACCGCGTGCAGCTGGACGTAGACATCAAGCTGCTATCCGAAGTACTTTCGTACCTCCAAGCCGACGTCGTTCGAGGATATCCAGTGATCTCGAGTCTTCACACCGCTCAACACTCCAAGGCTACTCGTGAGTTTGATTTCTTTAATACCTTGATCGACAATTCGCCTAAGTGATCTATAGAACATGTCACTGCACTGAAAGCGTTGAACCTCCCTCTGAGAGTCTTGGTGGACGACGAGATTTCTAGGCTCACCGTTTGGGTCAACGCTTGTAATGACCCAAAGCGCGGTCCTGATCATTTTGGGACTGTGGATAAGACACTAACCGACGTATGTTTGTGCAGCTTTACGAGATACTCACCCTAACAAGTCCATACAGAACTCTTGGCAAAGCATCGTACGAAATGCGTGGCAAGTTGACCCTGCTGTCGCAATTTTCTTAACAGAACGGTTCAACGTGGCCTCCGTTCATTCTGAGGCGTCGAAACTTGTGCGGTCGAACACCCGGGAGGCGCTCGATATTCCGGAGGGCCTTCGTTTCCTGATCAGTGATACTACACAGTCACCCATACGGCGCGATTTGAAGGTAAGGCCAGATCAATCTGACCTGGACTATAGTTAATGATTTTCCAGTACCTGGTTGCTTGGGCTCCTGTACCACCCGTCATAGCAATCACGTTCTTCGAGAAGCGGTATCAGAATGATCCTCTTCTGTTGCAATATGCGCATCGAGTACTAGAAGGCCATCCAGTGGACTTAACCTTTTTCTTCGTGCCGCAAGTTGTGCAAGCTCTCCGCTACGATGACCTAGGTTATGTGGCTCGCTTCATCTTCGAGACAGCAAAGATATCCCAGTTGTTCTGTCACCAAATAATTTGGAACATGATGGCGAATTGCTACAAAGATGACGCCGCGGAATTGGTGAGTGATTCTCCTCGGCATATGTGTAGCGAACTAAAGAGGTACACCATAACAGGAGGATCCTCTGAAGCCAACGCTGGACAAGATGGTAGACCTGCTTGTAGAGTCTTTGTCGGGGGAAGCGAAGAACTTCTATCAAAGGGAGTTCGGGTTCTTCAATGAGGTGACCTCGATCTCAGGCAAGCTTAAGCCTTTCATCAAGAAGACTAAGCCGGAAAAGAAAGTTAGTCTACTCTATGTACTCAGCACTGTATCAATGCTGATCTTCAATCAGGCCAAGATAGACGAGGAGATGAACAAGATACGCGTCGAAGTCGGTGTATATCTCCCAAGTAATCCCGACGGTAAGGTCGTCGATATCGACAAGAAGTCTGGTCGTCCGTTACAGAGTCATGCCAAGGTGAGTGCAAAAGCATCTTGGTCAATCTATTGTTTGGTAAACCTATCCTGCAGGCGCCCTTCATGGCAACCTTTAAAGTGCGGAAAGTGCGACCTATCATGAGTGATGACAATGGAGATCTTGTCGGAGACGACCCTCAGGCTCAGATTGCTACGCAAGAGTACGATGTCTGGCAACAAGCCATTTTCAAGGTTGGCGATGATTGTCGTCAGGACGTCCTTGCTTTGCAAGCCATTGCAATGTTCAAGAACATATTCACCAGCGTTGGGCTGACCGTTTATCTATATCCATATCGAGTTACGGCTACTGCTCCGGGTGTAAGTCAAGGTTCACATTGAAATGCTAATTACTAAGCAACTTCACCTTCAGTGCGGCGTTATTGACGTTGTGCCAAATGCCACGTCTCGAGACGAGATGGGTCGTGCTAAGGTCAATGATTTGCTTGACTTCTTCGTTGCGAAGTATGGAGGGGAGGATACTGTCGAGTTCCAGAAAGCACGACTCAACTTCATCCAGTCCATGGCTGCATATTCCGTCGTTTGTTATATTTTGCAGGTCAAGGACAGGCATAACGGTAATATCATGATCGATGGTGAAGGACATATCGTTCATATTGGTGAGTTCGTCGAGCACAAAGTTGCAATGCGTCATTGACGCCGCTTCCAGACTTCGGTTTCCTCTTCGACATAGATAAGTTTCGTGTTCATCCGTTCTAGCGCATGTAGGCTAACCTGGTTTCTGTTCGATGATTTACGTCCTGGAGTAAGTCACAACCGTCAATTTTTTTTTCTTTGATAGTTTTGCCTGACTCTATGATCAGGGTGTCAAATTTGAACCGAACTCGTTCAAGCTCACTCATGAAATGGTGATTCTGATGGGTGGCCGGTACTCTCAAGGCTATCAGCTTTTCCAACAACTCACAGTGAAAGCCTTCCTTGCCATACGGCCTCATGCCGATCAACTTGTTAGCACCGTTCAGCTCATGCTCGACACCGGGTTGCCTTCATTCAAAGGCGAGCCAACAATCAAGAGGCTCAGGGACAGGTTCGCCCTTGGCTTGAATGAAAGACAAGCCGCAGATTGGATGATGGCTATTATTCGCAATGCCCATGAGAATGTTCGAAGCACTGCGTATGACGAGTTCCAGCGTGTACGTGAATTTATTACAATATTCTGTTTGGTTACTGATGATGCATGTTTTACAGCTTCAGAACGGTAAGCACTTCCCAAAGTCATATGAGAGGGAGTGCTATAACGCTGTTCTTCATAGGCATCCCGTACAAGTAGCGTACACTTCATTTCTAAAGTCGGCGTACCCAAGATATCGCCTTGTATGCGGCATATAGCTAGCCCACTAATGTTAGACCGTTGGAATTGTGATCCCAGATGAGAGCTGACCTTTATTCCAGTCATCGCCTAGCATATATATTATAGGTCATAAGCAGATGTAGTCTAAAGAGACGAGAGACGTACATATCGCAACAATCGAGACGACAATGTTTCGCCTTCGGGTTCCGAGTTTGGCTCTGGCTTGGGGTCATCGCCATAGCTTGGAGTCCACTGGCGGCGGATCGCACCCTCTCTTGCGAGTGCTTCTTCTCGCTGGTACGAACATTGTTGGCGTTTCAACTGCTCTTTACGATATTCAGCCTCGTATCGAGTCTGGTTCATAGCCGGCTGCCGCTGCCATTCTCTCCACTCCCGCTCACGTTGCTTCCGGATCTCTGAAATCGAGAATATACAGCGTGGATATATAATGCTCTGCGCAAAATCACATACCTTCCTTCTGTTTCTCGCGCACGATCTCTACCTGTTTTCCGTATTGAACCTCGCTTGCAATTCGCTTTGAGTCGCTTATCGAGGTTTGTCTCAGGATTAGCTTCTCACGAATAGTATGTGCGTGTCTTCTCTTGTTTTCCTGTTTCTGAATTCGAAGATTATGTCCCTCGTCATGGTCCTCTAGTTAAATTTCAAAATATTACCGCAGGCTGCATGCTTGAAATCGTCTACATACCGACTCGAAAGAAGCGAATTTGGTGGGTCCTCCTCCCTTCTATCTCATGAGTTAAGGCTTGAATGTACTGCTCTATGCGTCCAATAGCTTCAGACACCTCGCAAAAAGAATTCAAGGCATGAATCTCCTTCGCGGTCAAGATTGCAAGCGATTGTAGTGACTTGACGATCTCGCCGTTGGATTTGTATTCCCGTAGGACTGCTTTGAACTCCCTCTCATGTTCGGGGCAGCGTGATGATCGATGCATGGCGACCGCAGTGCAGGCAGTGGCCTCGTCCGAAAGTAGAGCATCGCATAATGTACGCTCGCCTCTTCTGACTGAACCTCTGCGAGGCATTGTGAGGCGGCATGAAAGAGACTCGGTAAGCTAGGTAGAGTCGCAGTTCCATGCAGCGTGCACGTCAAATGACGCGCCCAGCTGTCAATTACATGGGAAGAGCCGGTTGTAAATCCAATGTAAGTTACTCCATATTGGAAAGTAGCCAAGCTGAATGCAATATTATTAGTAACAGTGGTTATAGCCACCCTGTAGTCAATAGTACAAGTCTATGTCATGGACGGAGCACATTCCCAAAGGACTTTCAAAATTCGAAGGCACCCACAACCTACCAAAAGCAACGTAATTAACGTCAATGACATGTACGTATCGAAAACTCTTGAGGACATCATTCGTTAGATATGGACGCCTCTGACGTCCTGCACTGCATATAACCGGGAGGAGGGAGGTTCAGACGAGCTAGATGGTGAGTCGCAAAAGTCCAAGTTGAGACGGTCAACGTCGGAAGAGCGAATCTACCTTGATACTCAATTGGTCATCGCAGGAAGCATATTCAGGTAGCTGGCTTAAACAGCTTTGAGAATCTGTTTGTCACGCCCGTCGCACATGAATTCATGGCTGAGCTCAAGCTGAGCTCAATCCGAGTCGTGGACTTATTATTTGGAGATAAGTACATGGTAAGCTGGTGTGAAGTATGCGTGGGAAAATGGGCAATATCAGTATTACCGTGATCGGGTTGCTCAACAGTCAGACAGAGATATCCTGAGGTACGAAGGTTGAACCTCTGTCTACACTGCCTGTGGGAGACTAGGTCAACATGGCCTTTTCAAAAGCAGCTCTAAGTCTTGGCTTATAGCAAATAAATTTGTGAGCATAGAAGGTTGCCCTCGGGAACTTGTTGCTAAAAATACCATCAAACCAACTTCTCAAGGCTCCCGTGATCTGCATGCATGGCATACACGCCCAGTTGTAATCATCAGATCTCTTCTTGTCTCTAGCAATATCGGTTTAAGAGACCGTCCAGTCCAAGGCTCGTCGAAAGTATGGAGCTCAATATAACAGCGATAGACCGTGCGGCGTCTCAATGGGACGTTAAGAGAGCGATTGGGTCATTCCTTCATAACGACGATTTTTTCAACCCTACAGATCCCAATGCCCGCTTAATGTGAGTCAGTTCATGCGATTTGAAGTACTTACCTTACATCAAGCTCGATCCCAGCAATTTCAAAGTGACATTACATGAAGGCCCCGGTGGAATACATCACAATGGATCAGGGACACTCATCTTACCATCAGCCAGGATCGGTGACAAGTTCATGAGAGAGTTATACAGGTATAAAAAATCAATCGAGGTCAATGGGCGCAGGCTTGGTTTTCAGAAGACAGGGAATACGGTGAATTATCAGCTCTCCCAGACTCTAGATAAGGCTCCGTACCTTCCACCTGAACTGGAGGAGAAACGAGAGGATATATTGCGCAAGCTGTCCACAAGCCTCCACGTCGATAAGGTCCAGTTTGGTGTCTTCTATCGGCGTCGAGAAGATGGTCCTGATTCATCTAGGCGGTTTTCCAACGAGTATGAGCTCAGCCACAGGCACAAGGGTGCCGGTCTGTTGTGGTTCGAATACGAGCATAAGCTGATTCGCGTGCAGGTATGTTTTCTAGTTTTTGTCATGTCGCACATGCTGATTATTTGCTAGTTGGGAGATCCGATGCTGGAGGAAGAAGCGTACAATATCGCACTCTCCTTCGCCAACATCAAGAAAATTGCCCTTGGGCATGATTCCTTCGGAATACCCTGTGAGTTTGGTTCGTCATATTTCCCGCTATATTGGTGCTAAGCGAAGCAGTTCTGTGTTTCGACCTCTTTGTTCCGCCGATTCTGCAGCGCGAGCATTTCAATCGTTCATTGACAGGCGACGAGTGGGAAGACAACCAGAAATTCCGGCAGCGTATTGACAGCGTCAACCCCTCACATGCTGTTGTCGCACCATATGCTCATCAGGTTCGACTTGTTCTGCATCATGAGAACGATATCAGGGACTTCTCAAAACTCTGTTTCGTCGCGGAGCTCCAGCGGCCATTCAGAGCCCAAGTTGAAGCAGATGCTATGGGATTTTTTGCACACAAACAGCTGTACTGTGTTCGTGTCTGGCTGCAACAGTGCAAATGGCCCATAGCATTTCAATTGGAGGCCTTGCTTCGAAATGGGTTGTTGAACACCGATGAGTTGCTACATGAATTGCGAGGACCGATTCAAGCATTAATTGACAAGGACTCCGACTTGGCTGCTGACCATCTCAGAACGCTCACAGAGGCCATTCGAACGAAGGATTCCTCACAAACGGCGATGGATTGTTTGACAGCGATCTGTCAGAAAACCTCCGCGCCGCTGCGTCCTCGCCTATCCGCTGGCAATTTCCTTTGCCATCATGTCACTGTCACCCCTACACGCATCCTCTTAGAAGGACCATACCCTATCCAGTCCAACCGTGTGATTCGCCGGTATGCCGAATACCACGACAACTTTATTCGAATCGACTTCCGTGACGAAGATCGACTTCAGTATCGCTGGGAGCCTGATGTACGTTCACTTACGCTTCTCAACACGTGCTTCGCATGTTGATTCTTTAACAGGTTGATGGTACTTCACTTTTGCAAAATCGCGTCGGCGGAATCTTGAAAAACGGCTTAGAGATTGGCGGACGATTGTTCCAGTTCCTGGCGTACTCGTCATCCGCACTGCGCCAGCATGCCGTCTGGTTCATGCACCCCTTCGTTGATAATGGCGGCAACCTCATCGATGCTGCAATTATTCGCAGCAGGCTTGGAGATTTCTCCGGTGTCATCAAATCACCTTCAAAGTATGCTGCCCGGATGGCTCAGGCGTTCACTGCTACCGATCCATCAGTGAAGGTTCCTCGACAGTGTGTCGAGGAAATGGAAGATCTGGGATCTGACCCTTATCTTCATACGGATGGCGTTGGTACCATCTCCAAGGAATTGGGCGATCAGATTTGGGATGCTTTGTGTAAGGATCGAGACGAGCATTACCGAAAGACGGCAGTGCAACCATCAGCTGTAAGTCTCATCCGGTAGTAAATAGTGCAACCTCTAACTATAAGTTTAGTACCAGATTCGTTTCCTTGGTAGGTACTCGTGGGGCTTTACCCACATTTCCTTTCCTGACATTGCTGTTTTCAAGGATATAAGGGTGTAGTGGGAATTGACGAGCGACTGGAGGGTATCAAGATTCGTCTTCGACCTTCCATGAACAAGTTTAAGATTCCTGGAGATGATGAAGCCGAAATCGAAATTGCTCAGGCATTTGAACGCCCTGGAATGACATATCTAAACAGGTGTGGGGTACTCGAACTCTTCTAGAACTAGGCTGACATTTTGTTCTTGTAATAGGCCACTCATCACGATCCTCGAAGATCGTGGTGTAGAGAAGAGCGCATTCCTAAAGCTCCAAATGGATGCTGTTGCCGACATCCGTGCAGCCGGCGACACAATGGAATTGGCGCGTCACCTTTTCAGGTCACACTCACTGGGTACAAGCTATCGTATTCCATACATCATACAATGTTTGTCTGAACTGGGGTTGGGAATGAAGGATGAGAGGCCTACCCATATTCTACAAGACGCATTCTTTGATCGTCTTATTTTGTTCGCGAAGAACCATGTTTTGCGCGACATCAAGCATGCTGCCCGGATTCCTGTCCCGGATAGCTATATGCTGGTCGGCATCGCAGATGAAGGACCTGTATATGAGAAGGAGGGTATCGAGAACGTCTTCATGCTGGAAGAGGGCCAAATATTCGGTGAGGATTCATTCAGCGCTCATGTCAGTTGTTCAGTGCCGATGCTTTTGGCAGCATGTATCCACAAGGCAAACGAGGAACCTATTTACCTTCAAGGTATGTGCACCTCTATCGTGTTTGCTTTATGATGCTCACCAGTCAATTGCAGGTCATGTTGTCATCTCGCGTAGCCCAACTGTACATCCTGGGGATGGTAGGTGTCCGAGCTATCTCTGGCTTTGCTTTCGCTGACTCACGCTCTAGTACAACGTGTGTGGGCTATCGGGAAGCCACCTGCAGGACAACCATGTTTCTTCCGTAATCTGAAGAACGTCGTTGTTCTTCCCTCAGTCGGTAGGTTGTCATCATCCCACGTTGCACATGTTCCCTGCTCATGGTTACTCGAGGTGCTCGATCCTTGGCCTCTTTTTTGGGTGGCGGTGACTTGGATGGGTGACCTTTTCAGCCTGCTTTCGATTTGTCTCAAGCAATTTCTCATCTGCTTTCCTTCAGTGATCTATACTCCTTGATCAAGGAGCCCTCACTGCTGCCAACTCAGCACGTGCCGCCGGCAGACTATGAATCTGCGGGTACGCGAAAGCTGCCTCACGATGGTGACAGTACGATAGAGGATGTCTGCGATTTCGTTGTTGAGTATATCAACTCCGATGTCTTGGTATGTAGTACTATGTGCAATACAACACATACCTGCGCCTGACCTAGTCTCCTTTGCTGAACAGGGTTTACTATCTGATCGTCACATCATCATAGCAGGTGGGTCCGTACCCCAGTTTGTATACTGATATTGTCCTCACCTGCATTTCCATCATCGCTCGTAGATCAGAGCAAAGTGCGTCATTCTGTTGGCCAGGCGATTTTTCTACTTACATTCGGTTATAGTATGGTACTAATGACCAGAAATGCCTCAAACTGGCCCAGCTTTGCAGTCAAGCAGTAGATTACCCAAAGAACGGAATACCAGTCAACATTAAAGATTCCCCATCTCGTTTGATACCGTACAAGCCGGACTGGAAGCAGGCGGAGGAAAACGTCACTCGCGAAACGGACTACTACGAATCCACGCGTGCTCTGGGCGAGCTCTACCGTAGCGTCGTCATCAAGAAACCCGAACCAATCCGGGAGGCACCGAATACCAAGTTGCCGGAGGCATTGTCGGACGAGATCTCACAGGCATTGATCGCCATTATCAGGAAACATTTGAGCAATCATGTCAATAGAGAGGGTGATATTAGAGAGATATCCCCAATGTTCCACAGTTACGCCCAGGAACTGCGGTACATGCGACTTACGCACTCACTTTCCGATTCTCCCGATAGTCGTCTGGAGGAAGAGGAAGTGGTAGTGGGCACCATCCTCGCCAACTGCAGCCAACATCGATACAGGTCGGATCGCACTTATCGCATGCGTCTACACTCTGTCACGGTCGTCCGCGATATACAGAGGAAGCTGTACCAGCCAAGCGATATACCGGATATTGGAGAGTTACGGTATGGACTACAACAAGCGTGGTTGGCTTGGGACTTCGGGATGAGGCACAGGCAATTGCCTGGTGGTAATAGCTTTGCCCTCATCGCCCTCGGTGTTATTTGCAACATTCTGGAAGGTTTGGGTGAGATTGTCTTGAAGAAGGGATCTGCTAGTGCTCCCGGCGCAGTGGACGAAGTCCGCGACTAAACTTTCTTTCACAGCCATGATGGCGATGGCATCACTTTCGAAACCTTAGGTACGCTCTGGATGTGTAGGTCGTTGTTGTACGAATAGATAGATACATGGCAGTTGTTTCTTGATCTTGGTTCGAACATAAGAATCGGTGCGAAAGACTTGCGTTTCGGAAAACATTAAATCCAATGTGCTGCGGAAGGTGGCCAGGGTTAGGGTCTAGCTTCCTCAGCCGAGAGATCACTGTTCCTCAGTTTGACATTCCTCGTTCATGCCTACAGCCAGGATCTTCATTGTTCGGCATGGAGAGACCGACGCAAATCGTCAAGAAATCATACAAGGACAGCTTGACACGGAACTGAACGCCGCTGGTGTTGAACAGGTCCAGCTGACCTGCCAGGCCCTAGAGAAAGTTCCCTTCAGCGTTGCCTATTCAAGTGATTTGGGTAGGGCAGCCAAGGTGAGTAATGTAATAAAAAACCTTGAAACATACGATACTAGGCTAGAGTCTAAACAGACCGCAGAGATTATCCTAACCAAGCACTCGGGCGTTGAACTGAAGAAATGCAACGAATTACGAGAACGAGTAAGTATCGGACAGCTTTTTAGCTTCTCAAACAATTTGGGTCGTCTAAAATCCTTGTTGCACAGTATATGGGCGACTTACAAGGCCGCCGTCTCTCTGAACTCCGCAACACCTCACCGGCGAATGTGGAAAGTGTGTCGGATTTCTCGAAGCGCGCGGTCCGTTGGTGGAACAGCATTGTCCAAAGACACGTCTTATCTGTTCAGCAAGAAGAGCTTGAAACGCCCCTGAATATCCTGGTGACCACCCACGGGGGCCTCATTCGTATCTTGTTACAAGGTTTAATCGGCAGCCGGAAGCTTCGATGGGGACAGGGTGTGAAATTAGGAAGGTGCTTGAATGCATCCGTTACGGTCATCAACTTGGAGGGCAACGGCAAGGGCGAGGTGGTGAGCTTCGCGGACACAACGCATCTAAACGTCGAGCTAGTGGAGGTCAACGCGGATACCGTTGCGGAGGATGTCGTAGACGATACCGGCGGCGGAGGCAGGGTATGATGGGCGCATCCGGATTTCTGGAATTGGCAAGGCTGTGTATTACGTCAGCGATATCCGGGGTCGTTTCGTTCTTGGCCAGATTTAGCCTAACGCCAGACAACGCGCTGGAGTTATTCCACTCTTTCCCTTTCACCACACCTGTGGCCATGGCCAACTCTCACCCAGATGAAGCTACTCCCCTCCTAGAAAATGGCAACGGTGTAGTAGTACGGAAACCATTTTCTACCCGTGTTGCAGACATTTTCAAAGGAGACGGCCAACCTTCCTCATTGGTCTCCTTCAAGTTCTTTTTCTTTGGATCATGGCTCAACGTTCTGCTTATCTTCGTACCTCTCGCCGGTCTCGCCCATTATTTGGACTGGGATGCTGCCCTTCGTTTCGCCTTTTCTTTCGTAGCTATCATGCCACTCGCGTCGGTAAGTTTGGGTTAAATGACTATCTTTGGAATGTAGCCCTTTCTGAGACTTGTGAAAGCTCCTTGGAACTGCAACCGATCAACTTTCTCTAGAGCTTGGTCAGACTCTGTCTGGTCTCCTTAATGCGTCATTCGGAAATGCAGTCGAAATCATTGTCGGTATCACTGCGCTCATGCAAGGCCAAATTCGAATCGTACAGACTTCTGTGCGTTTCTTTAACTTCATCTCTCTTTGGCCCACTCTGATCTATGGCAAAGCTTCTCGGTTCCATTCTGTCAAACTTGCTTCTTGTTCTAGGCTGTTCTTTCCTCGCAGGTCAGTACGAATCTGATACACAATGGACTTTTCTCCAACTCATGACATGATAGGCGGTTTAAGATACTCTGAAAGTAACTTTCAGGTTACAGCTGCCCAGGCGTAAGTTGACAGTATAATCATATGAAGAGTTACATTGCTAATTTTCCGACTACCCATAGTTCAAGTTCCGTATGTACTCCAACATGACGTCGTCGGATCATTAACATTAACGTTTTCTTTTTACTTAGCTCATGACGCTCACATGCATCAGTCAGCTCCTGATTCTTATGAAACGGAGAATCGAGTTTTGACACCTTATTTCTCTAGCCCTCGTCATTCCGGCTGCCTATCACAGCTCCAAGTCTCACGGCGGGGGCTTTGGTAATAGCACGGACTCCGCATACGCCCACCAATCTGCCAAATTCCTGCTCAATTCTCTCGACACCGTAGTCGATGGTACCGACCTTGATGGTCCATCTGAGAGTGGTCTCAGGATTATTTCTAGGGGCACCGCCATCCTGCTTTTGATTGTCTATATTGCCTACCTATACTTCCAGGTATGTATCACAATTACACCTCATGTGCTATATGGGCTCACCTTATTGCAGCTTAAGTCACATGCACATCTCTACGAGGCCGCCGAATCTGACGAGGAACCCGAACATGCGAGGATGAACACTGTGTCTGCCGGCGCTTCGTTTGTGTCTTTTGTTAGCTCATACGATAGTAGTCGTACTGATCAATGTCTAGCTTATTTGGTGTCACCGTCATGACAGCGTTCTGCGCAGATTGGTGTAAGTAACGTGCCTTGACACCTCGGTTGTGTACAGGACTAATAGCATATTGTTCTCAGTGGTCGCCTCCATAGAAGAAACCGCTGAAAGATACTCTATTCCCAAGGCCTTCATCGGTCTTATTCTTCTACCCATTGTGGTTTGTCTCATTGATTTATTCAGTTTTGATTAAGTTGTGATTGACGATTCTGTCCATAGGCTAATGCAGCGGAACACGTCACAGCTGTTTGGATGGCACTGAAAAATAAGATGGAACTGACTATCGGAATATGTGTTGGTAGCTCAATTGTGAGTTTGACGTTGTTCTTCTGAACTAGAGTAAAGCTGACGCACTGCTCCCAGCAAATTGCAGCCTTTGTCGTACCATTGCTGGTAATCGTTGGCTGGATGTGCGTAGGTATCCATAGGGTCATGCTCGGTATACTGACATTTGGCATAGCACTCGTCACGACCTCACTTTGTTCTTTGCCGACTTCGAGGTCAGCCCTTCTTTGTGTTTTTATCACACTGTCATTGTCCCTAACCCCTTCACAGACCATTGTTTTATTCGTCTCTGTGCTTTTGGTCAATTTCCTGATCCAGTATGTCATGCCTGTTCCTATCCGGCCAATGTCACTAATACTGATTGTAAACAACAGAGATGGAAAGTCGAATTACATGGAAGGTCTCATGTTGGTCATGTTGTACCTGGTCATTGCCCTCGCATGTATGTTGTTATGTCTACATGTCCTCTGCCATTCGCTTACTTATTCTCCTTTCAGTTTGGGTTTCCTAAGTTATGGAGGGGATTTGAGGTATAAGGCAACGTCTCATATTATCCTCTATGCACGCGCCCCGCCCTCATTTGCGACACCCCTTGTTTATCCATTCGTATCACGTCAATGCGACCCCTGCATCCCGCCTATACCACTTTTTGTTACTTACTCTGCTTGGACATTGTTGTATCGGTTGATCTGCCTGGTGCTTGTTATACAGTCCTATGCCGCGATGATCCTTGTGATCTTGCTTTATAGAGTGACGAAATCTAACCTGACCTGACCAAACTTCCAGCTCTGTAGCTGCCCCATCCATGATTGTGCAAGTTCTCATGCCCGTCCGACTATTACCTCATAGGTTCTCAGTTGTCTCCTTGTCCATGATCTGAAGCGACTCTCCTGCAATACTGCTTATTTCGGTAACGACATATCCATTTCCGGTAATTATTCGATGGTGACCTCCTTTCCGACGAAATGCACGTTATGCTAAGCGTGATTGGGCCCGTCCACGCATTGTACAAACCAGTTGACTTCACCAGCCCCCGTCTTTTTCTCGCTCACATCCACCCCAGTATTCCGTTACGTCTGCCGCAACTTTCAGCTCTCCGTAAGCTTCCATTCATCTTCTGCCCCGTCATCCGGCCGAACATCGTACTTACACTGGTCATTTAAGGGGAAACAACGACGCTTTCGTTAGTTCCAAGATAACCTGGCGCCATCCAAGTGGCAGCCAAACATACCTCCTGTATCGGTAGAAGTGCCGCTTATCTGACAGTTCCGACGTGAGTTACATATATTAACCACCCTCTTCTTTTCTTTTCTGAACCTTATATACAGTAAGGGGTGCATATACGCGTGCATCTTCGCGAATTTCCGTTGTCTGATACCCTTTCGAGTTCACCGAACGCAGTCAGCAGTCTGACCGTAGCTCTAGCATCAGCAGATCCCTTCCCAATGCCGACTGAGTGAGTAAAAGCGAGCAGCTTCTTACCCCAACACTGACGGCACCTGTATGTAGAATAGGGTTCAAACGTTCAGCAATTAGCAAAGACTTGAGCATGATTAATTGCCGTCATCCGCCCAAGCGAGCGATTCCAAGGCTTGCGCGACGCGTTTGGCTATTATTCGAAGAGATTGGACTGAGAACTCTGTGCATCTCCCGGGAGTATGTTGTAAATTAAAGGACAGACCTGAACGCGGCTCAATCCCTTGATAGGTAGCTCCACGGACTAAGTCTTCATTGCAAATTTATTCGCCGACGTGCCTCTCCTGAACCTTTCCAATTTCTTCTCCGTACGTATTGTATTCTATCCGATGGTCCCGCTTTCGTTCAGATATGGTCTACTACGTCTCCACTACGACTCGACTAATATATTCGCCGCGTCGTAGACGCCCAACATGCAACCCCCCCACAGGGCCAACATCAAGAATCCCCAAACCCTGAGCGTTCAATGGGACATTCTCCACCTGATGCTTGCGAAGCCGAGTATCGTATGTACCCAGCGCATCTGCCAAACAGGCTCCTACTTATTGCTGTTGTAGACAAACTGTTCCATGGTTGTAGTTGCAATTACGATGAAACCGGCTCGCCCTCTTCGACGTTCTCGGAGACATTCAAATCATCCTTAACTAAGCCGTGCCCGGTAACGGGGTCAGTTTGAGAACTCATGATCTATGAAGTACGGATGTGGAAAGTTAATCACCGGCCTACGCGTTGCACTACGGCTTACCATTTGCTATTTCATTGGAAACCTTACAGTATAGCTTACCTCAGACAGTTGACCTCACGCAACTCTCCGTGTGGTTTATTCAGGACACACTCTGCCCAATAGCTGCTGCGGACATCATTGATTGATACTGCTGCTATCTGCTGGGAAACAGAAGCAATAACATCACTGTACAGTTGGGTGACGCTTTGCTACCATGGCCTAGTTATCGGCCGGCCTAACCTCACAGAGAAGGTATGTGACTGCATTAATTCACACATCCGACATTCTCCAGTACGTCGGAATCAGATTGCGTGTTATGGTAGTATTGATATTGATATCTAGGTGAGAATAAATACTTTAAAATCAGGATTCTTCCGACCTCATTTCTTTACGAACTTATTCATAACACTATGGCAGACTTGGACACTATACCTCCGAGGGTTGCAATTTGGTGAGCATTCTTGTCTTTCAAGCAACAATGCTTCCACTCACTGCATCACAGTGGTGGTGGAATAGGTGGCCTTACTTTAGCTGCCGTATTGCAAAGGTTCATTGGCGATAAGAAGTTGTCGATCGACTTGTACGAAGCTGGCCCGAAGTTCACGGAATCTGGTGCAGGTATTACAATCTGGCAGTCGACACGTTTCATCCTAGGTGCACTTGGACTCGGAGATGCTCTGGAGCAAAAGGCTCTGTCAACTCCTATGACCTTCAGGAAGAGCGATCTGCAACAGGGGTTCACGTTCTTCGATGTCGAGGGTATGTATCATCTAAATCAATGCCGCTATCTCTCAGTAGGAGGTAGCTAACGCCTCTTTGTCTTCAGAGGGATCTACAACTCTTCCTCGCAGGGAGCTCCTTAGCTTATTCGCCGATCAGCTTCTGTTGGATGATGGATCTGTCCTCCATACCCACTTTTCGAAGCGTCTTCTTCACTATGAGCAAAATGAAAAGGGCGTAAACATGCACTTCCAGGATGGTTCATCAGCTTCGGCTGACCTCCTCATCGGTTCTGACGGAGTGGGATCGGCTACACGCAAGACAATGTATAAGCAACTGTCAGAAAGAATGCGAGGTACTGATTCAGAGACGGCCGATGCTCTGCTCGGATTCATGCTTCCCAGTTGGACCGGAAGCTATGCATATCGTTTTTTGATAGATGCTGAGAAAATCAAGGCGACTCATCCGGATCATATTGCACTTACGCGGGGAACAATGGTCAGTCTTCTCATTTCTGCGACCTTTCGCGACCATTCTGATATTATTATATTTAGTGGTGCGGGGCAGGCAAAGTAATGTCGTACCTTGGTCTAGAAGAACGCTGCTAATTCATGACGCTCAGAATGGAATCTCGTATCCCATCTCACCAACCGTAATCAATGCGGGGACTATGGTGATGGTTCCAGGTGGTTTAGGAAAACCGCTCGAAGGAGATTCGGTTGTCAAAGCATCCGCAGAAGATGTCGCCAACCTCACCCAGGATTGGGAGGAGGGCTTTCAGGTCCTGGTGGACGTTAGTTTTCCATTGCCTCCCCATTGAAGATGAGGTCCTAACCTTATCACATTTCTAGAACATCAATGAAACATCTAGATGGGCCGTTAGCCAGGTCCGTGGCCTTCCACAGTATGTCGACGGCCGAGTCGCTCTGCTCGGAGACGCTGTACGTCCCCAACTCAGGCTGAATTTACGAGGATACTGATTTCGTCCAGGCCCATGCCATGACTCCTCACCTTGGGGCAGGGGCGGGTCAAGCTATCGAAGTGAGCTCAGATCGCCAGTTAATGTTATCAGTTTAGGTGCTAACATGAAGGATGTCCAGGATGCATACATTCTTGCCCGCATTCTTGCTCATCCTTCGGTCACGAACCAAAACGTACCCCAGGCGTTAAAAGTGTACGACGTCATTCGCAGACCGATTGCGAACGACATCGTCGAGCGGTCTCTGAGGCAATGCTTCATATCAACGCTTCATCCCGATTATCTTCCTTCAGGAATAGATATTGCAAAGCTGCAATCTGGTGATTCTAGCGAGTGGACAAAAGTGAGACAAGACATGCAAGACATTTGGAGTTTTCATGGTGGCAAGATGCCAGATGATCATTGGGAACATGCACAGGCCCTCTTAGCTTCGACATTGGTCTAGCTCGATAAAGCCATAGGGAAGCATTCGATGGAAGTCGATAGAAGATACTGCGAATATCATTGTTTGATAGTTGGCATTACACCTTCGGTGATCAGCCTACAATAATTGCACTTTACACCTAGGCATACATCTCTACAACAAAGGGAAATTGTCCGCCAAAAATGATGGATGATGATTATGCACGACAAGAGAACAGAATTCGGAAACCCCACCAAGATACGTACCACTATACCACCGATAGTAACGGGTCATCGATTCATGTGCGAGCGTCCTCCCAGCTTCCTTTCACTAACCAATACACATGGTCTCAGAGCAACGCGAGAATATCTTGCGAAAGATTCCGGACACGAACGTCCGCCGCAAATGTGGCTGGTAGTGTGTTAAGCACAGCGCGAGCGGAGCTCTCCTGCGTCGGCTGCAGCGGAGAATTGAATTGCTTCGCAGCGTAAACCTATTCAATAGATTTCGTATCAGTTCCGGAAGGCTTGTGACGGGAAAGTAACTCACGATGTTCCCAAGTGCAACAAGAGCGCGGTAAGCCGTCTCCGCATCTTCGGTCTCATTTTGGAGTACCTACAAATTTCTAAGCTTCTATGATATCGACAGGTCCAAGACTCAAAATGCCATACCGAAAGAACAAGAGCAAGCAGTGCCGATCGCAATCCAGGGTCAAGCTGTTCGCGTACGCCGCGACATGACATGCTGCACAATATAGGGTCAGAAGAATGACACAGTAGACAGTGATCATATGCGCACTTGAAGTAAATAGTGCTCAAAGTCATTCGTGTTTGAGGCTTCGTGAAAGCAGCATAAGGTGCTTGCTGGATCTTCTCAAAAATCTGCAAAAAGAGGGTTGCATTAGTCAACGCAAAACCGTCAGCTCTCAATCCACATGACCAAACCAAAATCGCAAAACACACCAATTTGATCCAAGCACCATCTCCTATAGTACTGTCGTCCTTGAATGCGTTTGCAAGAGCACGGAATAGTAGCAAGATGTTGGTTTCACGGAACTTAGGCAGAGGAAGGGGAGTCCAAGGTTGTGACCATTCCGCACCTTCGAAAAGGGCATTGAAAAACCGGGTTGTAAACTCGGGTTCAGCATACGATTCGGGCGCATGGGCGATGATCAAACGTGACAAGTCGAGGACTGTTGATTTGCATCGGTTAGAAGCCAGAATGCAACATATCGCCATCCAATCGTACCGGGGAACCGTTGTGCCGAAGGCCACTTTATGAGCAGATGGATAAGAACTTCGATATGATTTGGCGTTACTGGGAAATTCGGCTGTGTTGGTGGTGTCGCAGATATCTTCGTGAGGAAAGAGAACATATCATCAAGATAACTCAAATCGCGATTGTACAAGGCAGCAGATGAAGCACTCTAAGCGCATATAATCCTTGTGAGTAACACGCTGTACACACGAAGACGAAGGGACGCAACTCACGATTTCTTGTCTTAGAAGATCATTGAATTGATGGAGCTTCGCCTGCATAGCTGGAATATTTGCTTGCAGGAAAAGGTGAGGTGTATGCTATAGCGACACTGATCAAGTACTGTCTACAGGTGTAAAAATGAGGAGACGTACGACTGGGAGCTTAGCAGCGCTCTGGGTCTGGGGACTAGCAGCAGCGGCCGCATTGTTGGCAGGACGCGAAGCGCCAGACCATGGCTCTGCCGTACTTAGAGGGGCAGGAAGCGATGAAACTGACGGCACGCGATAACGCGAGGCACCTAAGAAGCAAATAAGCCCCCACTTAGTTGAATGGCTTCAAGCTTCGCTCACCAGTGAAAGGGTCCATGAAATCGCCGCTAGAGGCGGGGGCGCCTTGCGAAGCTTGGTACCTCGACGCACCTACAGATGTCCAAAGTCTGAGCATGAGATAGCTGTGGATTGTAACATAAAGACACGAACCGGTGAAGGGATCGGAAGGTGCAGTCGCGGATGAACCAAGTGTAACACTTTCCGCACTTTTCTGGATGAAAGAAACGACCTGATCCAAGAAGTGCATCGGCAGATCGTTGCGTTCGAGGAACCGCTGAGCTGCGGTGTATGGATTTTCTGCAAGAGGGTGGTCTGTTCAAGCAACGCTCGATGAGTAAGTATATGCGGTCAAGATACTCACCGGTAATATTGTAAGGCAACTTCAGTGAAGGCGCGCCTTCTTGGATATCGACATCGAAAACGTAGTCATATTGCTTCCCCTCGAACGTCTGCTTATTTGAAGTACCAGGTGCGTCGGTGAGGTTTCCGACCTTTTCCCATTTGTGTCTAATACCGTCCCACTTTGAATCAAAAGGATATGTCAGAATCTGACATTACTGCAGCATATATGGGCTTACCTGATAAACCTCGCCTACACCCCTGTTGTTGATCATCTTGACGTCCCCGGACTTCAATCCTGACAGACAGGAGAAGCTGTTCAGAAATCATGGGGTACGCTAGCCATCTCAAAGTCACGCACCAGGGGTAATCAAGGCATCCATTCCTGGAAGAGTATTGACCTTGACACCACCAACTGTAGGGGCAGGAACAGCATGGGCTGCAACGTCGACTTCAAAATTTCGGACCTCTTCATCAGAAGCCCATCGTTCTTCTACTCTGCTAAACACACGAACAAGACCGTCGCTGCATCCAGTCACGATATCAGTATTAGGCAGCGTCGATACAGCCCACACCGAGATGGCGGGGTGCACGATGCTCTGGACACATTCGCCATCTAAGCCGGGGGACAGTTGGATATAAGTGGTTAACATATAGATGATGAGTAGCACACATAGAAACATACCACGCCAGATGCGCACGGTTCGATCTTCGCCACCAGAAATAATATCTCCACGGGAGGTGACCGCGAGGCTGTAAACGAAAGAAGTATGACCGGATAAGATATGGACTATGTCGCCCTCCATAGTCCAGACTCGAATTGTACTGCAAAGCGAAAATAAGAAATGTCCGGGGAAGAAGCGTGAAACTAGAATCTAGCATACCCGTCATTCGCACATGAAGCAAATCCGATTTCCGGTATGAGGGCGAGTCCGCGGACAGCTTGCGTGTGACCAGTGAATGTCTTGACCGCCTTGTTCTGGTGCCAGAGCTTGATGGTGTTATCGGCGGAACCTAGAGAAACGATGAACAAATCCGGAGAACTACGGCAAATTTCTCGACGACGTACCGGTCAGGAATTGGGAAGGATCGATGGCAATGACCGCCCACACAGATTGCTCATGGCCCAGAAGCTCGTATGCTTTCTCGAAACCCTTCCAGACCTTGGCCGTCCTGGAAGCTCGAAGGATCAATAAGGCGAACCAAGAAAATGATCGAGGATCACATACTGGTCCCAGGAACCTGAAATAATGGTCCCATCGGGAGCCGCGGATAATGAGCAGACGTTCTGCTCATGTCCTATTAGGATGTACTCGGGTCTTTCACTGCTAACCGCCACATTATATACGTTCACAAGCGCGTCTTGTCCTCCCGTCACCACATATCCTTCATCCCCGTTTAGTCACCTTTCAAAGAGAAACCAACTGGGTGTTGCGGGAAAACACACCTTGTGGTGCCTCTGGTAGGGGCGGAATGTATGTGACTGAGCTAACGAAGCGTTGACCCGGCTTGAATACTTGAGACTTGGTAAATGCAGCATCTGACGATTGGCGTGTCCAGTAGATCGCCGTTGTATCGCGTGAAGCTGAGAGTATGAGATCGTCCCTGGGAGAGCACACCGCCCGGACCTGGTCTTCGTGAGCAAAGAAGTGTTGAAAGCATGCCTCAGTGGTAAAACCTACATCGCCTTTGTGCCCTCTGAGCGTAGTTGAGAGTTTATAGGGCATGAGTAGAAATGGAGAGAAGGAAAGAAAAGGTCGTGAAGGGAGTCGTTAAAGAAGAAGTGATGGCTAGGGTTAGCGAGGGCTAGAATTGGATTCTATAGTCTGAACCCCGACAAAAGGCTTGTGATGGACTCAGTATATGGGCGACAAGTCACCACACTCCAGACCATTCTCCAGAACTTTCGTTTGCCAACCCTGTGCTAGCCCTCCGAGTCTCTTCCTGCCGCTCTCGTATCCGGATCTCTGTACAAAATACACGCGTTTCTATCTATTCTCTCCATTCTTACTCGCCATCCTGCCGGTCCGGCCACAACGCACCCCACAAGCCACTCACAATTGTCGGACTTAGATGGGCTTAACGATGGTAATCATTCCAACCTTCGTGGCTAGTTACAATACACGCCAAATGAATAACTGTACACCACTCTAACGAGCCCCAAATCCGTGTACAGGCAGATTCAGGGAGATACGGAGGTGCTAGTCTATGCCTTGCACCATTACTTCATCTCCTGCGAGTCCCCACGAAGCAGATCATCGTTCGTTGGGTTGCGAAAACGACAAGTTACCAAATCGTGAGGGGATAAAGGAAGCCACAATGACCTCTTTCCGGATTTTAACGCCTCCCGTTCAGGGCCGGTTCCCTAGATCATGTTTCCCAGATCTCGCTTACAATAGTGCAAAGTCCTGTAGCCGACATTCATTGTCACACCCAAGCGAATGTGAACATATAGTGCCCATCTTGATCGACAGATCTTTCGCGTGAGGACAAGCGGAAAGCGTACGCAACTGGATGAAAGTACATCATACTCATGTACTTATTGCAGTCCAGCAAGAAGCTGCCATTTCTATGAGTTGCGGAAACGGGGTTTACTTGGGTGAGAATTATCTCGTTCCCCTGCACTAATCCTCGGGTGTACGTGACCACCTGATGATTCCCACAGAACAGAAGCGGACCCTTCTGGCGTCTCAAGGCAAATCATACTAGAAAAGTGGAGCTGCTGAGAACGCGCGAGGGTCGTGGCGTCCCATTTTAAGCGTTCTATGACTTGACATCATGCTGATCAGGATCAGATAGGTCATGTCGAAGTTACAATTCGACGGTTTCGTGTGCGAAAATGACCCTCCAGGGCTAAGAATGCTACGTCACGACGCGTACATTCAACCGGTAGAGCAATGATGAATTCCAGCAGTAGTCTGATGGTACGCCGCTTTCTGATAAGATAACAGTGCGATGAACCAAGGTTGTCTCGTTGTTCAACATCCGAGGGTACAGATACGTTCTGTGTGGCCCATATGACTCAGCTGAACTAGATGAAGACGTCACTGAATTGAATATGGTCGGCTTCTTTGTCAACATGCAGCAGTGTGATCTCAACACTGCGGAAGATTTCGAGTGGAGTGAGGGATGACATCAATCTAATAGCATAGTAAATCGAGTCTTCGATCAATGGTGGCAGGAGATGGCAGTGGCTCGCCATATATCGAACGTTCGCAAGAAGATGTGACAGAGTCCGTTAACGTCGACGAGTGGCATTGATTTGCAGAATATATCACCGTGCGATTTGTAATATTTGAGTTAACCTTGGAGCGCGACTTGACCAAGGCTCCAATTCCATGGGCCAGCCGAGTCAAAGGGCTTGGGTCGAAGAGTGTGGCGCGATGGCAAATGTGCACCCCAAATCTAAGGTGAGAGTCTTGAGCGGCGGAAACACATTTGCTTGAGCAATACAGGGAGGCAAGCGAAGTTAAGCAGGCGAAGCGCCACTCAATCGATAGGCCCGTGAGGGCTGTCCCATCTGAAGTCATTGTCCACCTATCTTGTACGTGCCTTTAGCACGCGCAGCCGAGATACAGAGTTGTCCATCTGCGAGGTGCGCCGGAGTAAGAAAACCAACGGTCTTGCGGCCTCCAGGATGGTCTGGGCAGAGAGGTGTTTGTAAAATATGGTCAAGGCCATTCATTCGGTGAAATGCAGAAGCGCCTTCTCAGAATTCATAAAACATGCCTAGCTGCGGAACACAATGGAGGCGCACTCTTGAGCTGCCTGGATGAGGATGGCAGTTTGAGTGGAAGGAGTACTACGACCAGTGGGAGCAATAGATGATAACAAACAAACAACGTGTGAGACGAACGCACCGAGCGAATACCTCCGTATAAATTCTATCACAAAGGGTTGCTTCTAGCCTCGACGTGATAGGGTTTTTGAGCGACGATAGGCGATGACAATGAGAAAACGTAAGGATCGCGGAATGAGCCATGAGGTCCACCCTGCTCGCCCTGGGTCTAATTTTCCGAGATTGACCGACACATCTCTGCCCATAACCCCTGAACCAGGTCCTGCTCTCTTTCTATTGGGCCTAGCCCTCCAGGCAACTTATCTGACTATGAACTTTGGCACCTGGAATGTCGATTCTCATGATTAGCGAGCAATACAGTATGCATTGGCCGAGGCCGGCGAACCTAAGATTTGTTCCTTTTTTCCCGTGGACGGACCAGTTGTGTAAAGGAAGGTAGGCATTCGAAGGAGACATATCAACATTCACAGGAGATAGCGTCCCTGGCAGTGCGGCGGTGGCGTGTCGTACTTCTTGAGGCCAGTGGATAATAGGGAAGTGAAAGTCCCTGGTCCCGTGCCAGCGAATAGAGTTCACCTAGCGACATCTACGTGGAAGTCTGGCTCCCGTTTATGAGTACTAGTGAAAGCTTGATAGACGCGAGAGCCGAAAACGCACGGGCGCACAGGTCTGTTTGACAAGACATACAAAGTCTAGACGTAAACACTCAAGCCGCCGTACCTCCAACGTTTGTGGCTCGACGACCCGGCGACCAGCTGCCATGTTTGTAACGCTTGTACTGGTCCAGGGACACCGCGAGCCCGAGAACAACCCAAGTAATACATGAGGATACGCGTCCAAACCTTCTCTCTCTCTCTTCCTGCTTCGACTCAGCTGGCTGGTGCTTACTATCACGCCGCTCGGAACTGCTGCAAAATGAGCAAGGACTCCTCCTTCTCACTGGCCGCATCTGTGCCCTTGGATTGAACCAGCAGCTGGCCCTAAACGTGTGAGCCACCCAGAGTGCTTCTATTTACGAACCAGTACTGTAGCTGATTAATGGGCTGCCTCGGTGCTATTTCCTGCAGCTCAATACAGATGACTTGAGCAGGTATATATACCTGCGCCAACGACCTTGTTCGACATGGTATCCAGGTACCACACCTATCTTTGGGACGGTCCCTCGCTACAACGATGCACGAGGTGTATACCCCACAGAGCCAAGCCTGGTGGTCTGGGGTTGTCTCGGCGCGTTGAGCGATAACACCGCACACAGGCTAAGCGATGGAGTATTTGTGGAGCACCGTTTGATCCATTTTGACAGGCTAAGAAAGTGCCACTGAAAACACACGGGAATTCTCCAACTTTGACGCACCTCCGATTGACCTCACCACATGTGAATACGGGTGGCCTATGTGGTAGGCAGAGCCACTGACACATGGAGATCAGTGTACACTCTTATACGTGGAGCTCTGTCGTCATATGGCTACCGACGTGTGAGTCTAGCGAAGAACTGCCTCTGCGACAGACTGCAGTGGTGGAGTTAAGCTGTCTCTGCTTGTGAATCAACCTTCCTGTTGAGGCGAGTGCATCGATTTCAGATCTCTTTTCACGAGTCCGTTTTCAGAACCACAACGGCTCCCTTTTGACGTGTACGACGTGGTTAAAAAGACAGACTCAGTGAGAGGGAATGATAAGAAGAAGGTGTAATCCATAGCTTGGGGTGGCTTGGAGTAGATTGTACACTGGCTACTGTCGTACTTATCTCCTCCACCAAACCCACCAAACGCGTCGCGATCAGGTGATATGCCAAACACGTGCGGCCCCACCGCGTCGTGATCGTCGTACGATCGATCAGCGGTCGCCCACAAGTAGTTCATCCTGCTCACTTACGCCCTTATTACTAACTTGCTTCAAATATGCCTAGAAAGAATGAAGCCCCAGGTACGTAACCAATGCTTTCAAGCTCAATGCAACTAACATGTCTATATTGATAGCCCCTGCGACACGAACGCGTGTTTCTCGTGCTCGAGCAAAGGTTGCTTTTCGCGAAGCTGACAGCTTCGCCGAAAGTATTGATGAGAACCAGGAAGACATAGATGTTGAGGATGAAGACGGCGGGGATGAAGATCAGTAAGTAATTTGTCCTATTAATCCATCTCTGTGACTGATCCATAGACACTTCAGGATGCTAGATATGATCAATATGCTCAAGGAATTCCAAAGTATGTTGCATTCATGAAGAATATACTATCCAGACGTATAAATTTTCCTAGAGCGAAAGGCCTCAGCGAGCTCGTCTCGAAATGCTGCCTTTCAAAATAAGAAGAACTCGTTATATGCGGACGCCAGAAAGAACGCCGAACTGGTTGTCACCGAAGGCATTGCCTACGTGTATGTGTTATGTTCATCCCTTACAACATTATCTGACATCTCACTCCTGTAGAGAGCAATTTCGTACTAGGATTGCTGAACTGCGAGCGAACGAGGTCCCAAGAGATCAGCATCTCAAGCAACTCACGACAATCATGAAGAGCCTCGATGTATGCGCCCCAAACCCCTTTGCGCTTCATTGACAGTACTCATAACTATATCAGGAGCCAGTTAGAGAGGTATTGAATGTATATCCGAACCTCTTCCAAGACCTATCCCGTCGCCGAGCGGGAGAGATTAACGAAACCAGTGCAATGCGTACGTATTCAGCCTTTCCACTCATTTCGAAGGGCTGAACACCAGGAATTCTTTGCATACATACGTCCTCAACAGTGGAGTCACACATCGTAGAACGCCAGTACTCTCGTCGAAAGATGATCAAGAATGCCAAGGTGCGGATGGATGATGGGTTAGAGCAACAGAAGGTGAGCGGTCAAAAGTTCAAGTTGGGCTATTGCGTTACTCACCGAAGCTTTGACTTGGATATATGCATTCAGCTTGCAACAGATGCTTCCGCCCTCATCAAACACTATAAGGCTTTGTTATTAATGTAACTGATACCTGCTGTATTTCTCGTATTATCAGTTTCGTCTCGAAATTACCCGGATACTCCCAAGTGCCGTGTCGGAAAGCAATAAATACATCCATCCGCGAACGAGCTAAAGATACATATAGAGGACATATCATCACTGGGTATCACGACAGCGTGGACGACAACAGCAACAAAATGATAAGTGAGAGAATCAACACGATGACGCACGAAGAAGGGATCAGGAACGTGTAGTTTACGACACCAGACTATCACCCTGTAATTCTTCGAACTTTCTCCTAGCAAGCCTAACGTTTAACTTTAAGGCGGCGGTCTCTACATTGGGAAGAATCAATACATCAGCCAAGACAGTTTAACGGGTGTGCTGAATGACATACCAATTGAAGGATCATGTACGACGATCAGAACATAAGTATTCTTGGTTAGCTCGTCCAACACCGCTGTAAACTCCGGTAACTCCATCTCAAGTGCATGGAAATCCTCTCGTACCCTCGCACACGAAAGTTTGAACGCCTTGATCAATTCCGACGTCCGTTCGTACCGTGTCGGGTCCATTTTATGTGGGCCAGAATCGTATACACCATCCTGCCCGTTGTAGAGATCGCTTGTATAACTGATACCTGTAGACTGGGATGAGGTGGTTGGGGTCGAGCTTTGTGGTATGGATTGAGTGGATTGAGTGGATTGGAGTGACTCAGAGGGTGTGTGAGATTGGGAAAAGGGGATGGAGGAAGTGGATGGTGTTGATGGTGTGGAGGTGGCGATTACGAGAAATGTGGTACGTTCGAAGAGCACTACTTCTGTTGCGCTGCATGCGGCGGCAAGGGTCGTGAGGTGTTTCGAGAGTACTGCAGCATTTGGGATTAATGTGTGCACTATTCGTGACCATGCCTTTGAATCGAACATTTTTAGTCACAGTAAGAAACTGAGGAATCTGTGCAACTCACCTTATACAAGCTCTCATCATAGATACTCGTCCCAAACACCGTGATAGGTGTATCTTCGCTCGCCACTCTCAATTCCTTGCTCTTCTTCTCCAAAACCTGCACCTTATTCCCCCTAACCAAATCCATCTTATGTACTAACAAGAACACAGCAGCTTCCGGACTGTACTTCCTCAACGCCCTCACGCAATCTTTATAGTATTCCAAGTCTTTGGTCATGTTGCGACTCTCGACTTCGAATACATATATGAGGACGCCAACGTGCGAGAAAATGGTGGATTGTTGAGTAGAGAGGTAGGAATCCATGAATGAGTCTTGGCCACCACAGTCCCAAAGGTTGAGAATGAGGTCTCCGAGGAAACGCACATGGTTCTGCTCGACATCTACGGTGGCCCCCAGTCGTGCTGTTAGAGATGCAGGATTGTTTGAACTGTATGCAATAGTCAGAAAGGTACTGTTTCAGGGGATTGAATATGACGGACGTACAATATGAGGGAACGCATCGACGTCTTTCCGCTTCCCGATGCACCCATAAGTAACACCTAAGGGTCAAAAATCATAAGTGTGTCCTCCGCATCAAACAATATGGGGAAACATACCTTCTTCTTCATGTCTACTAGTCGCGAAATGTAGCTGTAGGACTAACGGACTGGATGTACAGGAGGCTTCTGGTGACTTATCAGCCGCCGGGGAATGATATCACGGAGCAAAGAGGGCTGTCCGTGGTCGAGTCAGAGTACTCAGCGAGAGTTGGTCTACCCTCTTATACGAATAATTGTGAAAACAGAGAGCTAGTGACGGATGAGAGCGGCGCATATTGAGGTTGCAACCCAACTTGAATTATGCTCAAGGCCAGCGCTTCGGAAAATACCCGATCTTCGATCATTGACGTCGACGACCGCGTTTTCAGGTCCCCAAACCATAAGAGTAACACGTTTTTCTGTGAGAGTAGGAGGTGGACGCGTCCAGAAGTTGTACATTTATATATACATTTGATAGTTCTCATTTTACAATGTCCCTAACATCTCTCTTTCGTATGCTTATCCAGTCTACCTGACTCTTTGACAACGCAGTTATGCGAGCAGGAATTCCCTAGAACTTTCCCTCAGACCAGCGCCGAGTATGACTCGCCATCTCTACAGCCGCCAACGCCCAATCCTCGCCATGGTTGTGACCCTTGCTTTCCCCTCTACCAAGGCCTGCCCTCTCTAGTGCCTGGTCATCTGTTAAGGCTGTCAACACGCCAAAGATGACGGGGACACCGGTATCCAACTGTACTCGCATTAACGCATGCGACACAGTCTCGGAGATATACTCAAAATGCATGGTAGCACCCTTGATGAGCACACCAATAGCAATAACCGCATCAAACGGTTGGTGAGGCATAGCAGCAACCATTGGTGCAGGAGTGGCAGTCCGTGAAGTCGGATGGGGAGACATAAGAGATGGAGTAGACGAGCCTCCCAGGTTTAGTCCACCTAGAAGATCGGTAGCAGTCGCACCGGCTTGAACATGAGAGCCAGAGATCACCCTACAGTTTATAAATAAGGGAGACACAACGGAAAGTGAAATAAAACACACTTCGAACAGGCGAGAGGCAACTCGAAGCTCCCTGGAACAGACTGCACGGCAATGTTACTCTCCTTCACGCCCTGCGCTTTGAGTGTAGAGACCGTTCCAGCGACCAGCGCGTCAATGACAGTCTTATTCCAGCGTGAATGCACAATGGCTACCCTGAGACCGGAGCCATCGAGTTGAGTGGGTGCAGGGGCGGGTCCTTTGATAGTCGTGCTCATCGTGTCGGACGGCGAGCAAGTACTGTACACTTCGACTTAGCGCCAGTGTAACCGAGAGAATAATAGAAGCGCCCATAATCGATCCATGTTTGCATATATTTGTGGCTGTAGAAACTTCGCGGGTGCTCGCTCTGATTGGCCAGAAAACAGGGCTTTTGTGTCTCTACGACTTCGGACTTGACTGCTCACTTTTCCTTTCTTTCTTTCCGGTCACTGTATAGACAGGGTGTTAGACATGGCGCGCACAGACTCTGTAGACAGCAACATTCCCAGTGAGTGCGCAGTTGGAAAGGTCTTCATAAAGATTGCAATATTGATGTTTCCTGACTTTCAGCGACATATACCCTAATCTATTCGTTCCTCAGAAGACGAACACATATGAAGGCAGCTGAAGCCGTAAGGAAAGCTGCTAAGGATGTCGTAAAACTTAAGGACGCCGAGGATGAGGATAGTGTCACGCTAGAACGCGTCGTACGCGAATGGAAACTCATGACCAGTGCAGGTGCGCATTCATACGATCCACACGTAGTTTTGACTGAACAATATCCTAGGCTCATTAGCCAAGGTTGGAGACAGCTCAAACAAAACCAAAACGAAGGCGAAGAAGTGCAAAGAGCCCAGCTCCAATCCGAAATCTGACTCCAAGGACTCCGATTCTTCCTGTGCGTTTCAGCTATCTTGTGCACATCTTTTGGTTGCTGATTATATCTCTACTCCTCGTTGTTTAGCTTCAAGCTCAACATCGGACTCAGACGATTCTTCCTCGTCTGATAGTGCATCGAAAAAGAAGGCAAAGGCAAAGAAAGCTTCGCCTGGTCGCTCAAGTAAAACATTATCCGGCTCTTCCGATTCTTCTAGTGAAGAGTCGTCCAGTGATGCCTCTAAGGCGAAGAAGAAGGCGGCGAAGGCGGCGAAGGCGGCGAAGAAAAGCGGCACCAGCAGCTCCTCCGACTCCTCCGAGTCGTCAGATGCTTCATCATCTTCGGATGCCAAGGCCAATGTGAAGAAAGAGGTAAAGGCGATTGAGAGCAAGACGAAGGTGGATGAGAAGAAGGACGCGTCGTCGAGTTCCAGCTCTTCTTCCTCATCTTCGGACGATTCGGATCCAGATTCGGACAGCTCAGATTCAGACGCAAAGAAGACAGATGCAAAGAAGACAGATGCAAAGAAGAAAGACGCAAAATCAAAAATCAAGGCCAAAGCTGAAAGCAGCTCCGGTTCTGGTTCAAGTGACAGTGACAGCGATGAAGAGAGCAGTAGCGAGTCCGATAGTAGTGGAGAGGAAATCTCGAGTACAGACGAGAAGATAAAGGCTAAGGTGGCGGCCGCAAAGGAGAAGAAGGAGAAGGAGAAGGGAGGCAGTAGCGGCGAGAGCAGCAGCGACTACAGCGACTCGGATAGTGACTCTAGCGATTCAGATAACGGGGGCTCAAAGAAAGACGAAGAAGAGAAGACTTTTGCCCCTGTTGCTGCTCCTGACACCAGCGCTGCTGTACCTGCAGGTCAGAAACGCAAGTCGGGCGACGCTAATAATTCGGATTCAGATTCCTCACCAGAGTCAAACTCTGATTCCGATTCCGATGATGACTCTTCGTCTTCGTCTTCAGCGGATTCCGACGAAGTAAAGGTCGTCAAGAAACGTCGAATGGAGAACGGGGATGCTGTCCCATCTGCTACCGCGAAGGAAAATCGACATGACGAGGACGATGGCTCGGGCGGCGTCAAGTCTTCATCTCAGAGCAATTCGAACGGAAATGCAGAGACGAATGGCAACGGAAAGGAGAAGAAGAAGGCCCCGAGGAAGAGCAACACTCCATTCCAGAGGGTCAAAGCGGACACCATCACGTTCGACCACGAGCGGTTGAAGGATATGAGGTTTGAATCTAGGGTAAGCTTTCCGTTACTTTCCTCTATGAATACGATAAAACTCACATTGATACCTCGTTTTCCTAGGGTGCGGCTGAGACTGATTACGGGGCCAGGGCCAACAAAGACTTGATTGTCACGCGCGGTGCAGGATTTAGGAAGGAGAAGAATAAGAAGAAGAGGGGAAGCTATCGGGGAGGAGATATTACAGTATGTGATTTTTTGCTTCCTCTGACAATATGACATTAAATGCGGTTCTTTCTAGATGGCGAGCCATAGTTTTAAATTTACTGACTAGATGCGCTAGCATTTACATTCTCTTCCTACCGTACCACATACCAATGCATCTTAATTTCATTCGCAGTCCGTACTTTTTCAAGTCCATTTGCGGATCGGTGTCCGATCGACCATGTCCTCGATCATCACACGATCTTCCCACATGCATGGTGCATGCACCCTTCATTGACATCCACTTACCATCGACGATGCACTGTTGATGGCCTCAAAGCTCAACTCACAGCCAGTAACTACTACGATGATGACATTCTACATGCTGCCAGACGGCGCCGAGCTCGCATTTGACGTCTTGGGTGCTTCCCACATCGGGACAGCTACACCACTTATCCTCGTATGCGGAATGAGTTGTCTCGGAAGCGATTGGCAACGCCTTAGTATGGAATTGTCAAACATTCGCCCTGGTGAGTGCATGCAGCGTGCTGTAGAATAATGTACTTCATCTAGGACGCGTAGTGTTGGTCTTCGATCATAGGTACGAGAACTGCACTGCTTCCATCACACTTCGTGAGCCTGGAATGATAACATGTCCTTTTCAAGGGGCATTGGACAGTCCAAATATTCATCTGTGAACAAGGGTGGCGACATCACGATTGAGTCTATGGCTCGAGACCTGCTTGAATTGATTCATTGGTTAGGCTGGAAGGAGATCATTCTTTGCGGTTTCTCAATGGGAGGTACGTATCTTGTATGCCTGCCTTCTTGCTGTCGCGAACAGGTATAATATACACATCAGGCGTTATTATCCAACAACTGCTGTTACTTCCTCATCACCCTCTGCGTCCGACCGAACTTCCGTTCCGGGTCACCCATATTCTACTCACCGCCACAATGGCTTCACCTTACTTTGGGCTCCGCCTCCCTGCTCCTCCTTCACGAACGGCGAGTTCAGAGGAGAAACACGCATATATGAAGCGGGTTGTTGAAGGTTTCTTTTTCGATCCTGATTGGGTGAAGGACGAGGCCAATCGACAGCGGGTGGGTTGGTGGGTCGGGCACACCTTGCACGGAAGGTGAGTACACTGGGCGATGTGGTTAATGTTATGTTTCATGTGTATGACTTGACCCTGATCTAGACCGCAACATACAATTCGTGAGCATTCCTACCAGACGCCACATATTTCTAACGATCAAATTTACTGTGTCCTCATTTAGGCAAGCAACAAAGGGCTTTGGTAAAGTTCGACTTTGGATCTCTCCATGAGAAGATATCTGAAGACCTCCCAATTCTCGTCATCCATGGCCGCGTCGACGCAATTCTACCGTACTCGTGTGGCGAAGGAGTCCTTAAGCGCATACCTACAGCTCGCTTGGTCCCAATAGGTGATCAACCTGGAAGTATTCCGCACGATCACTTCGGGCATTATTGGTGGGAATACTTTGATATCGGGGTGTGGAGGGATGTGATCGAAGTCTTTGTTGGTGGTGTGGACCTATCAGGCGAGAGTCAGAAGGCTCGATTATGAAACCCAACTATGAAATGATGTTTCATTGGAATACTGTCAAGCTGGGCATGTTCATTGATATGAAGGGTAATATGAGTATACAGGATATTGGAGATATGCTTACAGCTACAGCTGTCATGTTGGGTATATATTCTAGGTGTTGGTTTCCTATAGCACAAGTATATAAGGATTAGAATTCAAGATAGTAACCAAGACCAAGATGTATTCACATGCAACTCAATCACTGTCACTGTCCTCCTCATCATCTTCATCAGAGTTATCAAAAGCAGCAGCAATGGGATCCTTCCACTTTTCCTTTCCTGGCCCATCAGTGTCAGATGGACCCATTGGTTGTTGGGGTATAATGTCATTTGGGTCTACATCTGAATCTGAGTCTTCAGCACCAGGCTGTCCAGAAGGTCCTTGTGGCTCAGGCTGAGGGGTGGATCCTTCTGCAAGCTGTGGAGAAAATGCTAGCTGGGCTTGTTGTTGCATGAAAGTACCATCAGATGCCATGGAATACCACATGAGTCCAAGTACCCTAAAGTCCAGTCACTAACAATTCATGAATGTTATTGAGGGGCTTCTATAACTCACCTAGCATCATTCCCTGCACATGCACCCCTTGCTGGTAAACCTTGAACCCCAAGATACTGGGCATTACTCAGAACAGTATCATCCTGCAATACAACTGACCTAAGAGCCTTGATAATCATGGTCCTTAAATCAACCAGATGATAAGAAGCCCTCTCAGGCTGAGCTTGTGCATGTACAGGTGATCTTGGATTGTAAGCTGGGTAGATAGTTGTAGCCTGATAATAAGAACCAGAGTATGTCCTTCCATTCTCTCTGCTTGAAGTTGGATTGAATCCATATGCACTTCCCATGACATTAGGTTGTAGAAGAGGGTCCAGAGCCTCCAAATCAGAATGCCATGTTTCAGTGTGGACACCCAGAACTTTGTCCAGGATATCTCTAGCCTTGAGATAAGATTGAGGGAAGTCATGGATGAATATGACTGTTGGCCTCTGTCCAGCACCATAAAGAAAGGTTTGAAATTGGTTAGCAGCCTCTGTCAATGAGAGTTTCTGAGACTCTCCATATGCAAATTGCTTTCAAACATTGCAAATATTACGAGTCAGGCAACCTTATTAGTCTATCAGCACAAGTCTTCACTCACCGTGGACTGAGGGTTCTTGAGAGTAGAGTTCTCTCTGATGATGACGTGCTGGCTGGAAACAACTTGTACGCCAGAGGACCCTACCGATGCGGTAATAGTGAATTCTGACCAGCCAAGATCAAGAATGATGGGATTCAGTTTCTTCTCCGCAATGCCTCGACTATCCATTTGCCACAGTGAGAACGCCAATGAGATGAATCGTGTGGTCTTTAACGCGGGAGATGGGTCAAGCGCAAAATGGGACGGCATAGTGAGGTCTCCGATATACCCTCGCAGTAATAGTCTGGACGTGAATTAAGACTAGATCGACTTCATTTACATGTAGAACACTTACCTCTGCTTCTCAAAGAGAGCCCGGGCTTTACCAAGATCAGTCGGTTCATTTCCGGATGTTGCATCGAGGCCCTTATTGGCTTTGCTGTTGTCCCCCTTCTTGCCGTTCTTCGACACGTAGTGTGAAAGACAGGACTCGAGTTCTTGAAGGGTCGAGAAATGGACAGGCGAGAGTGAAAGTAACTCGGTTGACGATGTTGTTTTGGGGGTACGGAGCTGTCTCACGTCATCCGGCAATTTGGAGACAGGAGTATACATATACGTCGCTCCAGATGGCTTCACACCTGGTGCATGCTTTGTTGACGGCGCACGAGGACATGATGTAAATCGACATTACCGAAAACAAGATCGAGTCCGCTACCGTCCTTAGGCCACATGATCCTAGCAAGGTCCTCTGGTTTCGTGTTCCTAGTACTCATTGTAACCTCTCCTGCATTTGCTTTCAATTGCTTGGATGTCAAACTCACCAGTTCATTACGCCATAACCTCCCACCTGGTAATAGCGATGAGCCATCGTGAATGAGACTTAGATTCAATATCGTAAGCTATTGCCCGTCGATACACGACTATAACAACCAAAAAGTGAGCACGATTTCGTATGGGAGCTAGTAGTATGAAGACTGTACTATGTGCGACGCGTCAGGCCTCAGGGTGGGATGATCGATGTACAAAGATCGTGTTTCTGGCGGCTAACTTAAGAGACGCGATCGTAGAGCTGATTCAGCACCTCCGATCGCGACAAAACGAAAGCAATGATAAGCATTGAAAGAAGGCGAAGAGGGACCTTACATATGGACTACAATGTGGTATGTACATCATACAGCAACTGAGGAAAACAGGAACTAACGACAACAACGTCCGGGGCACCGTTCCGCGTCCATGTGTGCTAGTGTAGCTATGCAAGATGATCATGAAATGTGAAAAGAAGAGGGGAGGACAAAATAACAAGAGGTCGTCACCGCAAATAAGAAAAAACGAGAAGAAGAAGAGAATAGATATAGCGCTCTACTGGCGTGGGTGGTCGTACATGAGTGGTGATAGGAAAGGCGTTAAGGGAATACGCATAGAGATTAGTGAAAAACCGTACAGATTGATTTGTTTCTCTTCTTTCTTTCTGTGTTGTCGCACGAGTCTATATAAGCGTCTAGAATCCAGGCATGCCACCCATGCCCATATAGTTCTGTCCGACTTGCGACATAGGTCCAGGACTTGGATGACGCATGACACTTTGCATCGTGTGAGGGTTGGCGAACTGTGCGCCCATGCTCATCTGCATCTGGAGCATCGGGTTCATGCCCATGCCCATACCCATGTTCATACCGGGCATTCCCATCTGGGCCGCATACGCCAGCGCAGCGGGATTGGACATAGCGAACGGATGTTGGCCAGCGGCGACGTTGCCTGGTGGAGGAGACATGCCTTGGGATTGGCCGACGCCTTGTTGAGCCTGAGCGTTATTTTGCACGGGCGATGGTCCTGACTGTTGCATCTGGGACGCGCCTGGTTGCTGAACTGTCTTTTGCATCGCTTGAAGCTGAAATGACGAATATGGTGAGTGATGGTCGACTCGACTCGACGCCTGAACTCACCTCGTAAAAAGCGAAATCTTGGAGAAGCGATGTTCGAGCAGGATGAGTGTGGAAGATACGGAGCATTTCTTGGCCGGCCTCCGGAAGGAGTTCTTGCGTATCACGAGAGTTCGTGACCGGCTTGCGCTCCTGTGTGTTGCTATGGGAAAAGCATCAGCTTGAGATAGCACTCGAGATAGTATATTTGTACATACTTCAACCGAATGTGACGGAGAGAAGCATTGGGAATGTCGCGGACGAAGATCCACCTGACCTTGAAGACACCCTTCCATTTGTCGGATGCCCAGACGGTACTGCTTCGTGTGTAGTCAACAGGCGTCAACATCTCTGCCATGCCGCAGAAGTGGCCGCTAGCATTTACACTGAAGAACAGATAGATGGGACCTCGAGAAGCGGTCTCTTTGAATGCCTTGTCCAATCGCTTGTTACCGGGATCTGTTGAGCTCCAGATTTCATACTTCAAGGACTTGTGAACATCGTCCTCTGTGTAGGACTTGATAACGAAGTAGCGAGCCTAATATAACGAGCGTTTCAGTATCAACTTAACGATGGAGGGCAATCAGCATGAACGTACGAATAGGGGCCTGGAATCAAACTCGACAGGGTTGTAACCCTTCGTGGCGATGAGCGTTGGCACGTCAATCGGTGAGCCGATGTACCCATCTGTCGACGGATTCTGCGAATGACCTTGACTTGTTCTGCCAGAAGGCTGTCCTTGTGCATTAGACGGCGTGGTCGCTCCCAACCTCGGTGCCTGGCCTTGATTGTTCAGATACTGTGCCGGAATAGCAGGAACGCCAGGGATATTGCCGCCATTTCCGTTCTTGCCGTCATACACATGGTGAAGATTGGGGTTCGATGCTCTTCCGCCAAGCAGACGTTCTTTCTGGTCCCAGGTCGTGGTTCCTGTGGCGGTGAGTGCACGTTCCCGTTGACTTTGTTGAGAGTAGTCTTCGCGCTCTTGCTGGCGGCGTTGAGGTACCTGCTGGTTCGGATGCCCGTAGACATGCCCAATAGGTGGCACATAGGCTGCTGCACTCTGTACTGCGTGCGACTGGCGTTCATCGAAGTCAGTCACGATCTGCTGCAACTTGCGAGGACCACCGCCATTGCGTACGTCTATGAAGTTGAGTCAGCATGTCACTGCACCCACAACATCAGATGTGTACATACCCTGCGAATAAGCACCAGTGTTGCCATACTGTTGATTTAACTCCAAGGCAGACAAAGCGCGTGAAACGTCATCGACTGTCCCAGAAGCCAAGTTTTGTCCGGCGTTGCCCCCAATCTGGGAACGCCAGTCGTTACCTGCACCAGGCGTGCTCCAAGGTGAGGATCTGCCCATCGGACTCTGTGGGACATACTGACCCTGCTGGGCAGGAAGACCAAAGTATGAGTCTTCATCTGTACGTACGCTCTCATTGTCGTATTCTTCGTCCGCATTCGTGGGACTGGGACTCTGAGCTCCGGCGTACCCACCACCCGGCTGGCTGCCTTTGATCGGAGGTGCTTGAAGAGTCCCCGCTCTTTTGAGACCAGTTTGGAGACGTCGAACATTTCCAGCAGCAGTAGGATAGTTCAAGCTCTGGTGTCTGCGTACACCAGCTGCGCCGGAAGCCGGAGGCGGCGACGGAACATTGGGTGGCCCACTACTGAAATGGGGAGAAAGTGGAGAAGCAGAGGATGATGAGTGCTCGAGGGCTTGATGCCCTTGATCAGAGCCAGATAGAGCACGCTATATGCTATTAAGTCAAGCGTGTCATAGTCGAAAGATCATATGCCTACCTCCTCTTCGTTGCGAAACCCTCGAATATCCTCCTCCCACTCCTCGTCTTCACCTTCGTGTCCCGCAATGGCTTGTAGGCTATTCAGAGTCCTCGGTGTATGTGTTCCAGGCTGTCTGGTTCCCTGTCCGCCGAAGGCTATTGTGGATGAGTAACCACCTGACTACAAAGAGAAGCAGGACATACCTCGGTGGTATCGGGTGGGAAGTGAAGCTTGTCGATGGAGAGAGGACTTCTCGCCCACAGCACCAATCCCTCCGACCCAATCTTGGTCAACGACTTCGTCATCATTCCATATCTGTTCGTTCTGCTGGTCGTCTAACTCAGAGACACCTATCTTTGAAGTTGGGCGAGTATTGCGAGAGGAGGCAGAGATTGTATGGTGGCGACGGACGCCAGAAGTATTGCCAGACGAGGGCGGAACTGGAGAAGGAGAGATAGATTGTCCGTGCTGCGACATGATGACAAAAAGAAAGGAAAGATATAAAAGAAAAGAATAAAGCTTGATTGATAGAGGAAAGCAAGAGGCAAGGAGGAAGAGTCAAGACTGAACTGCATGCACAATCACCAAGATCATTATTTCCAAATTTCCGGCCGGCGCTACGGCAGCGGCGCGGGCTGTCTCGCCGCGACATTGCCTCAAACGGCCAGGTCACTCCGGCCCAGGCCGCGACACCAAACTTCGTGGCCTGCGAACATAGCAGATCTTTTTCAGTCACTAACTTTTGGGTTCTTCAGGACTGTGTTGCACTAGCGCACATCGGCTGCTGGATGGTCTATGTGCCGCCCATTACCCAGGCCGAGTTTCTGCAAATATTGCAGAAATGCATACCCCCCACCGGATGGCCGAAGAGACTAGGTATGAAGTACCACTTTTGCTATGGACATGCACTCACCGGGCTTCAGCTGTCGCTAATTCTGGAGGACCGGACTCAACATGTCTTCTTTACTTGATGTCTTCTCTTATTCGAGAGAAGAAAGGGAAACCTGGGCTGCCTCAATCCATCGTGTCGATCCACGTAAACCACAAGCTTCAAGCGGCAGCCGACGACATGGCGAATCATGCTGCTAAGACTGCAAACATACTCAGCGTCCCTCATTTTGGTACTGAAATTCCTTGGGGTAGCCACCCTTTTCCTGCTAAACCGGTCGATGGCACTCCAATGGAACATCATGCCCGCCGTTCTCGATTTAACAGATTGTTCGAAGCTATGACAGCTTTGAAAGCGTCATGTCTCGCGTTCGGTCAGCATGCCGATGACCAAGTCGAAACAGCCATCATGCGATTGGCAACTGGTAGCGGAGCCTTGGGTGCTAGTGGCATGTCACCCATACGTAGATGGGGCATGGGTGGGATAACAGAGCTGGAATTCAATGGTTACGAGGGAATGAATCGTTTCATCATTCGTCCTTTCTTGGAAGTTTCAAAGGTTGGTGCCAGTTTTGAAGCCGGTACATTTGTAGTAATTCTGTGTAGGACAGGATCTTGGCCACATGCGAAGCAAATAATTTGGAGTATGTCACTGACCATACCAACTTCCAACCTGACATAGCTTTACGAAACAAGATTCGAGCCATACTGACTGAGAGGCTCAAGTACCCAGTAAGCACATTGTTCGTGTTACTGATATAAAATGCTAACTGTCTGATAACATAACTAGAACCAGGACGACACAGAGTCTTCCGCACCTACATCTGTATCCGAGCAGGAAGCCAAGTTCCACAAAGCTATCAGGAAGTTGGGTGATGAAGCTTTCCACACCGAAGGACGTGCAGGCCTGTACGACTCGGTCAAACGCATCAGCGACAAGGTACAAACTATCAATTTGAAAGGTGCCGTATTTTAAACCATTCTCCATCCTTGCAATTACCCATCCCGATATATTAGTAACCAACATCCTACGCCGTGTAAGACTTCCATCTCCGCCGTCAACAATCCTTATTTCTACGGAGGACTTGCAGACAATAACAGATGTTGAGGTAGCCATTGCGCTATCACGACGAATCATGCGTCACATCTCACCGTTTCCCTACGGTCACATCTCTGCTGAAGCCAAGGGTAACCGTAGCGGCTTCGAGGACCTAGTACGAAAAGTCTGGAGTGGCGGTATGGGTGACGACGAGAAAGATACGCATGCTTGGTGCTTCGGAAGCCACGTCCTCTGGTCACCTGTCACGTTAACTGCCAACGGTCGAGTGCGCTGGCGTCCCCCAAGAAGCCCTGACGAGAAAGCAGCATGGTTAATCTCTCGAGAACCACCGATGTCCCCTACTCGATGGCAACAAAACGGCAAAGTCGACCCCTTGACTACCGATGTTACGCTCATATTGAACAAGCGTCTTGTCGCTGGAGATACGGCTCGGGTTTTGTACGATTGTCGGTTCCTGATATCGTTCTTTGTGGATCGCATGCCCGATTCCATAAAGGCTTCCTTGGCTGATCCGGCACAGAATGCTTCGATCGTAATTGAACCTCATACGAAATTCTATCTACCGAAGGTCGTGCTGCGACGGGAAGGGTATAAGGATGAAGTTTTGACTGTGGCAGAGTGGAAGATGGGTGCTGCTTGGGACCGATGGAAGTTCCACTTCCGACCAGCTACTAAAGGGTGGATTGGTGTGAAGTACGTTCGTCCGTGGTCCCACATTTGAGGCCGCTTACATGTCAAGTACGTTCTCTTGAACTGGACGGATTCGAGTTGGTGGGTGTGCATGTGTGTAGATTAGGATACTATATATCGTACATTATTTGGTGGTTATACTCAGCCACGCTAATGGGCCACTGTGATCCTAAGTGTGATCAGCACACCTTTCGCTACGCAACAAAGAAGCAAGGAACCAGAAATGAATACGCTCGCGACTAGCGCGTCTTCTCATCCTGTTCTCAAACGCCCATTGCTCTATCGGTCTCTTTCCCGTTTTCTCCTCAATCGCAATTTAACCTCTCAAGCTACACGACGAAGGGTAGAGCAGAGGTGGAATGTCTCTGCTGTCGGATAGACAGAAGGAAGAACTGTGGGTGTTCCTTCAATTCGTTGTTTCCTCATGCAACTTCAGAGCGCGCCTACTGATACTACCGGATTATAGTCACAAGTCAGTTCTTGAATACCTCCACGCCAACAACTTCACAGATGCTTTCAATTCACTCAAATCGGATACTGGGCTCGATTATGCGCCAGACCCGAAGTCGAAATATGCGGGGTTGCTAGAGAAGAAGTGGACAAGTGTGATTCGGCTACAGAAGAAGGTGCGTTGTATCTACGCTTCCGGTAGGGGCACGTTCCTATAGATTCCTATAGATTATGGATCTGGAGAACCGCAATGCAACCCTTCAAGAAGAGCTTTCACTTTCTCCTGCGAAGCGTGCTGCGATGCAAACGGATTGGGTGCCGCGCGCTCCAGCTTCATATGTATTGCAAGGGCATCGGCTTCCAGTTCTCAAAGTCGCGTTCCATCCAACATTCAATCTTATTGCATCCGCAAGTGAGGATACAACTGTGAAAATATGGGACTGGGAGACAGGAGAATTCGAGCGTACACTTAAAGGCCACACCCGAGCGGTGAACGACGTTGATTTTGACAGCAAGGGAAATCTTCTAGGTGCGTTCAGCCGTCCCTCCTAGGCATACTGTACATTGTGATTCAGGGACGTCTGATGATAGTTGGGTATGACAGTGACCTGTTCGTCCGATCTCTTTATCAAGATATGGGATGTACAGAATGAGTGGAAGAACACAAGGACATTCCCAGGACACGAACATACGGTGTCTTGCGTACGTTTCATGCCAGGCGACCAGCATATTGTCAGTGCAAGTCGAGATCGAACAATAAGGATCTTCGACGTGGCTACTACGTTAGTCTCCAGACCCTATTCTTCTCCTTGCCCTCCTAATGTGTCATAGGCATCTTGTTCGGACAATTTCTGGTCATACAGATTGGGTGCGATGTGTCGTGCCATCTGACGACGGCCGTTTGATAGCAAGCTGTTCGACTGACCAAGTGAGTGACTGCAACCCGACTTGTTCACTGTTGTTGATGATATAATAGACAGCGCGAGTCTGCGATCCGTTGAGTGGAGAATTGAAAATGGAGTTCCGTGGACATGACCACACAATCGAGGTCGTGGTTTTCGCACCCATTGCAGCATACGCGGCGATCCGAGAATCAGCTGGTATTCCAGTACGGTCTTTTTTTTTCACTACGAAGCGGTGGCTAATCTCAACTCCAGAATACGGATAGATCGAAGAGGCCAGGTGCATACATTGCAACGGGTTCACGAGACAAGACAATTAAATTGTGGGATGTTCAGAGCGGACAGATGCTGCGCACTCTCGTGAGTTCTTTCGTATGACTGGGAAACTTACCCTGACGACGCGTCTTAGGCTGGTCATGACAATTGGGTGCGAGCACTTGTCTTCCATCCAACAGGCAAATTCCTGTTGTCAGCTTCGGACGACTATACCATTCGAGTCTGGGAACTTGCGACAGGTCGTTGCGTCAAGACTGTTCAAGCGCATTCTCATTTCGTCACTTGCCTTGCTTGGGGTCGTCAAACAACCGCAAAGTCGACCGGGGAGGGATCGTCGCATACAAATGGAGCTTCGGATGTCAAAGTTGATGCAGAGAAGATTGTGAATGTTGTGGCATCAGGGAGCGTAGACCAGTCAATCAAGATCTGGCTTCCATGATCATCACTTCTTTCGCATTCTACTCTTCGGCCGGGAGGATTCTGTTTGCTACTAATTGCATGTTGTGGGCACTATAGACTGTAAGTTCATGACATTCACTTTAAACCTCATTGACGAACTCCAACCAATCAGACTACTAAATAATGACCGTGGCCGCTCTCGTACTTGGAATTGTTGTTCTCTTCATAACGCTACGTACCCATCACGGATTTGTCTTTGCACGAAGTCGTCTCCTTACCATCGTTCAAATGTTTTTCTACTTTGCTGTCCTCTACGCCTTTGCCTTACACTATATCAATCGACTTATACCCTTGTCAATATTCAACGCCTGTGAAGGTGCTGACCACCTTTCTTTTTCGGTCTGTAGTGAGGGCCTTTGCGCTAGCAACTTGCAGGAACAACATTTACCACGAGTGGCAAGTGCACGTGCCTGTATCGCGTCGCGTCGCGCGTGTGGCGGTAAGGAGTGGCGAAGGCCCTTTGTTAGCACTGGGCCCAACAAAAGGTTGCCATTAACAGTCTTGTTTCCATACCTCCATCATCACTGCTTGTATCCCTTCCCAATTCACATACAGCATCCGTTTGACTCAGACATGTCTCCAATCCGTCCTAAAAATCTGAAAACTGTCAAAAAGTACTCGCCATACTACAGTGGCGAGGAGGCGGAACGAATCCGTCGCAGAATTGGTCAAAAGCAAGTGCCTATTGCTCCTCCTCCTGAAGTATGAGCCTTTGCATTCGGGCATAACCGTGATTGACAGCCCTTCTCACAGTCTACTACACTCCACCCATCGATACATGTTTCTTCGGAGATACCACAAGTTACCCCTTCTTGGCTGGCGCGATATGAATGTATTCGCAGCATCGGTATATATGTGTCATCTGTTTCTAAATTGAGGACTCACAGCAACCCCTTGTATCCAGGTAAAGGGTCGTTTGGTGAAGTTGTTGTAATTCGTAGGAAACCGCTGAGCAGACCGCCTACCTTGTTCGCTGCGAAGATTTCTCGGAAGATGCTACATCGACGATATGAAAAGGTGTGTACACTAAACCGTCTGCCAGACTTCGCCTCATGATGATTTTGCAAGATGTCGATAAATGCAATTAGAACCAAGCAGAACACAGCACAGCGAAAAGACGATAAGAATGTCGAGCGGAGGATCCTCGCCAGTCTTCCCTGGAGCCCATTCATCGCTGGCATCGTTAACGCTTTTGACGACAGCCGGAATCTCTATCAAGTCCTGGAACTCGGTATCCATGGCACGCTGCATCAATATATTCACCACCGATCTCTCAGCCCCGAGCACTGCAGATTCTACTTCATAAACATAGCCCTCGCTCTTGAATTCCTCCACTCGCATGGTATCATACATAGGGACTTAAAACCAGAGAACATCGTCATGGGTGCCGACGGGTATCTCATGCTCACCGATTTCGGCAACTCGCAGCGAGTCGATTCAGATAATCTTTGGGACGAAATGGGGACCCTGCATTATGTCGCCCCTGAATGCATACTCAATACTGTTCGCAAGGAGTGTGTCACCGCTACTGACTGGTGGTCGGCGGCTTGTATCCTTTTCGAAATGGCAGCAGGCAAATTGGTATGCTGCTGCGTTTCTCCTAGACCTCATCGCAATCACCGATGCACTTGATCTTACAGGCTTTTCCATTACGACGTGCCAACAATGATGTCGAAGCTCTAACCAACTGTCGCACGCAAATCAAAAATGTCGCTTACAGATGGCCTCGGCGAACTGCATTTCATCCTGATCTTCGAGACCTAGTGGATCGGATGCTTGTTTTGGAGGTCGAAAAACGGATAGCCAGTGTCACCGATGACACAGGAATGAACACTCAGTTACGCTCTCATTCATTCTTCCAAGAGAGTGATTGGAAAGACATTAAGGAGCAGCGCATCCTCGTGAGTTGTTCATTATTCTGATATGGGGGTTTAGCTAACGTCAGATTACTCATTGCAGGCACCATATGTTCCACCTTCTGGGTGTGATCCAACTCAAGAATGGTTAGAGAATGGTGTACCTTGGCCAGAGGAGGCTCCGGGATTCACCATTGTGAAACCACCGATCGGGCAAACATATGATATCCGGACTACCTACAAGAACTTCGCACCAGAAAGACAAGCGCATCTATTCCCAGAGCCAGAATTATTCTATTATTAGATCGGACCTTTTCATATTCTCTGTGCTGTTGCAGTCTTGGGGTTTGCAATATTGTATCACTAATTGTAATTGACCTTGAGCTCTCCACGCATTTCAATTTTCATCATTGCAGGCTTTAATTGTTGGTTCATTTGCATTTCATCTCACGTCACAATATGTAGGAGTATTAACAAGTATTCTTCGCCTATTTCTGTTGTCTTCTCGGTCAGCAAGTATGCAGTATGGGAACAGCCATACTCTCAGAAGGGCTGCCGAGTCGACTGATGTTTGACCTCAAAACGTTGACACTGCTTGGCACATCAAACATTAGACAAGTTTGCTCAAAACCGTCGAATAGCAATACAACGCACGCAAGTCAGCATTTGACACAAGCTATCCAAAACGTCTCACGAGAACCATCGGTCAGGTCGTCACAGCGAACACGATGGAAATCTCTTATTATCTTGCTCGATACCTAAGCTGTGAGAAGATATACGGTACGGATTACCAAATGACAGAGTACTACCATGCCTCGATCAGAAGGATACAATGATATCCATGTGTATTCCGGACAGTATACTGCAACGTCTTCCCGCGGTCTCACAATAGTGAATATCAAAAGAGAGGGCTGTCCGTGTCAGAGGTGAGATGTAAATGGACGAGATGTATAGAGAGCGTTAGTGGCTTGTCGGGCTCGGGAAAATGCGAGTTAGAGCAAGTAGCGGATAGTACAGTTGAACTTGAAGCAGCCAGACGAAGGTGGAGAAGGTCCTGAGGGCAGCGATGGTAAGTAGACGTCGTTACTATGAACGCAACCTGGTACTGACGAAGATGTAGGTGAAAACGTCTGCCAGATTAAGGCTAGTAGAATATGCCCAATGCGAATGACGGATATCTAGATAGACCGATCCGAAGTGGCGATTGGGAGGGTTACAATGTCGAAGGATTGTACAGATGGTACAAAAATATTGAGGTCGTCGAGGATTACTCGCTGCGACCTCTGGGAGATGGAGGAACAAAGAAGGCTTGATGTTGTGGGGCTGAAGCCTGAAGTGTGGGGTCAGAAGTGGCATGGCCGAGACGACGAGAAACTCGGTTTCGTCCTCTGGCAGGTTCGAAATTAAGGCTAGTGTTCTTCAAGTCTTGCTCAAGCTCCATCTCGTCTTCGAAGCTTATAGACACGCTGGTGGCTGAAGAACACTTTTCAAAATATTCCAGATCTTCGTCTTCACTATCGTAGCTGTCCTCACTGTCATAATCCTCGTCATCGTCATATGACTCGCCACGACCACGTTTCCAACGTCCATACCAACGGCCAAGGAAAACTTTGATCTCCACACCCATACCGAGGTATTCCACATTGCGTGCGAGACCTTCCCAGTTGATCTCTCCGCGATCCAGAGCATCCTCCAGGTAGACAGTAGAGCCGAAGTATATGTAGTGAATGAGAATGCGGAGGGAGGATGGATCCGGAACAGGCAGAAACAATACGGGTTGACTCGGTGGTGATGGAAGAAGACGGGGAAGGTCGTTGAACGGACGCGAACGAAAAGCGGAGGGATGATTGTGTGACGCTTGGGATGTTGAAGGAGTTGGTGTACAACAGCCAGATGGCGTCTGCATACACAGCTCAGGTGGATAAACGCCACTGAATATGCCACGGAAGAGTTTAGACTGCGCAGATAAATAATCCATGTGCAGCTGCGCAAATACGTTAGGTACATGGAAATTGATGAGACATAGTGCATCTTACCTTCATAACCATACGGGGAGCAGGTCGAGGCGTCGAGGTAGATGTTTGTCGACCTGACACGTGTTGGGTAGACAGTGCTGGGAAGAGTGGCTCAGGAGAGTTACTACAGGGTCGGGAGGCCCGCTCAGGTCCTGGTGGGTTTAACATAGGTAGTGGGACAACTACAGAAGGATCAGTTAGGACGTCAGCATCGAGAAGATATCAGAGCACATACTAATAGTACAATCAGCGGTTTCTGGCTTGCTCCAGTAATTAGAGGCCAAGCTGTGGAGCTGGTCCACGATATATTCGACTGGAACGTTAGCCAGGGCTGGAGGAGGGAAAGGACGTGGAATAAAGTGTCGGTGAAGCACTCTTTTGGAGGCCTGAATGGGATCTGCTGCACCGAAGGCAGAAGTACAAATATTGACAGGGGGGCCTGAAGCAATCGCGGATGTCCGAGAATCCTTGCGAGCGAATCGAGGATCAACAGACAGCCTTTTAGCATCAAACGAAGATGCATTGTCACTATTGTCATCGACCCGGATGACCACGTCCGACATGCTGTCTTTTTTGTCCTCTGGGGAACGTTGTGTGACAGGCGTTAAGAAAGTCCACCTTACAGGGCTGCAAATGGAAAGCGAGCTCCAGACAAAAGGGGTTTGACCCGAGACAATTAGGAGAGAATGTAGAAGTTCACGAAGATGTCGAAGTGCGTAGACAAAAGTTAGCGGGGGGTGCTATAGTAAAAGCAGCGTAAGGAATGAACAAAAAAGTTGGGATAAATATGTTACGGAGGGAAGAGCGAAGCGTTGGTAGTAGCAGGAGGTCGGAGGCAACCACCCACACTTACGGCAAGCGTCTCCTGGGCGCCCTGCCTTTCAAGATCAGCGAACCTCTCCTGTTATTTGGGTTGCCCTCCCGACCCTGCCGCTTTGAGCACTTGTTATTGTTCTGTCGTACAGTGGTTCAGGTTGCGAGCCTCATGGCTGCCATGCGTTCCCCCACAACTGGTCGTAAAACTTTCAAGCGGCACGCTTGACGCCCGCCGACCATGTCCCATTTGGCAAACTCAAAGGGTTCCATCCGTAACTTAGTGGCAAAGCGTGGAGGTGGACATGAATTGTATGCCACATTCAATCGACATGAATTATTAAGCTGTTGTGCATCTAACTCAGTTTCCCTCCGTCTCGGGGTTCTTCCCAATGCAGAGCAAACCCATTTTTCTCTGGAAAAGACCTACAGAACAGTAGTTCAGCAACCGGCGGGTAAATCGGCCGTCTTTATTTTCAGGTTCAGGGTCCTGATGCCATTGTCTGGACGAGAGTTTCCACATGTTTGAGGAGTCGTCCAGAATCAATACGTCAACTTGACTCTCAACCATATCATGGCGCCGCCAAGATTTGACTTTCAAGATCGGAATCGAGATGATCGAGCGAGGAACAACAACCACATCGGACGATTCGGATGGCGGCGTATCGATCGCAAGAGCGGATGAGAAGCCTGGCCGATATTGAAACTTGAAGGCGGGGTCTAACCAAAAATGACCGGAGCCAGTCGGATGATTTATATGAGTGTCGTGAAGGGCTTGTAGTACTGGATAATCTTTCCAACGCATCGACCGTTATTGATGTTGTAGGCTCCTATGAGGCCGGCCGGGGCCTCCGAACAACGAGGTCAAGCAAGAAGTTCCAGACACGGAATTAGGTGTATCCAGTGAAGAATCAGAAGAACGCTCAAGTACACAGCGAAAGATGGAAAGGCCTGATCTTCGCCGACAAACAAAGAGGTCTGTCAGTAAAACGCGTCCGGAGTCGACCAGTAATTTGTTGCCATGCGTAATCTCAAAGCAACTACGTGTATCACATCGATCAAGCCGTCATCGAAGAAGTCCATGCGGAGGGGTTTCACAGAGAGGTCCAGATATATTGGTCAGCCTGCGAGGTGAACGGAGGACACAGAGCTATCCTAACAATATCTGTAGACTCAGGGTTCGATGTCTGCCGGATATGAGTTAGACACATCAGCTGCTTCGATTTTGATAACAATGGACGTGTCACAGAAGGGCTGAGAAGCTACAGCGCTCAAGGCACCGCAAGTCTCATAAGCAGACCGGGGACAATCAAGCAAGGTGCACTAGTTGTGCACGGAGGCGGCGGTTGAATGGATGAAAGCCGCACAGACGTGCAAAGCGAAGTACCTAACGAAATAAGATCTGCATGTTCTTGCAACAAGAAGATCCGGGACGCTCGGGTGTCAATAGAAGTCGGGATTGCAGGACGTTTGTTCAAAATTGGGCCTCGAAATGGCGAACCGACATAAATGGTCGACATTTGGATACCATTTTCAGCGATCGACGACGTGTAAACATTGAATCCATATTCTGGAGCAGAACCCAAATACGCCTGTCAACTTGAAGCGATGGAATGGTAGATAACGAAAATTGCACGCTTCATGGCGTGGATCAGCGTGTCATTAACAGCAAAGAATCTCACAGACCCAGTTACAGACGTAATCCAATTCCTGCTGCGTCGCGCAAAGCCCTTCGGAGAACCTGTAAGTCATGCGGCAGCCAGAGAAGGTGGGGTTATTTGATTAACCTTGGATGAAAAACTCAATACTCACATGGATACCGGCAGAGGGGCATGGAAGAAGCCACAGAAGTAGACAAATTCCACAGAATGATTTGCTTAGAGGCTGGATTTGCGGCACAGACTTAGAGTTGCCACGCAGCAGAACGCATGTTGATTATCGCATTGTGGGCGCATATATCTGACAAACAACAAAAGACAATCGTGACCGCCGCGTACTCCTGGGGTTTCTAGTGAATGCACGGAGAATATGGTGTAACAACTTCGTCATCCTGATGATAGGGTGATGGTGCAAAGACAATAGAATGTGTCATTATCGTGGAAGCAAGAGCCGCAAATCTGGGCATCTTGCGAGGCATGCTGGTAGCAAGGCTGCAGGGTCATGCACAACCCTTGCATAAACAACCCTCGATTCACCCCTGCTTCCGGGGTAATCGACAATGGGTTTGTCTCATTGTATTGCATAGACTGCGATTAGGCGAATGCATCACGGTTCAGGGGGTAAACTCCATTACAGCGGCGACTCTAAAGTAAGTAATCGCTCACCGATGCAGCTGGATACACTGAAGAGACACATCATCGTATTTGACAATGATGTTTGAGATCTTTGGAGAAACACGCAAAGATGCGGTCATATTTTCGCTATACGGAAGATGTGAATGCCTCATTTTTTTCGTTAAAATTCACTGAGGGTGTGGCGCATTATTGATGATCATGGTTCTTGTCTCCGAGTTTGAGTAGTTTGAATGACTCCTGGAAGACGACCCCTCTGACATTGAGATTCCCTTGTCCACTGTAAAGAAAGGCCTGGCTAGGCTAGGAAAGGAGACTTCAGAGTTCGAAGTTCGTTGTCAAATTCCAATCAAATTCGCAGTCAAAATGATAAAGATCAAGCGCCCATGCTGAAGCACATCCGAATCGGGTAACAACCGCCTTGACACGGAATCCCACTGGCACAGAGTCTTCCGTACTTTCACCCAATATTCGCCGCATGCGAGCGTAGAACATGATATTGTGTCTGCTTTTCTTGTCTTTAAAAACTAATCAAGTTAGGTAGACGGATACCAACTTTTTTTGCAGGGATGTTAAGTTTAGCGGGCAATTGTCGTGAAACCCAGGTTGAAGGTACAGTCTTTTCAACATGTAGTCAACGAACCATATTGACTTCGTTCAACTAGCTGTACCTGTCTGAATATAGGTACTTTGCAACATTGACGGCACAGGATTTCAGCAGAGTGCGGTCCACATTGAAAGTATGATCGCGTGGTACCCGCGATCCAAGGCTGCTGTCAGCCTCTTTCATGGTGGCTTGAATTGTTTGCCCGGCCATTCTGCTCAACATCTTCCCCTTACCGTCCGTATACCATCTTCATAATTCTGCATTTATACAGGTGGTCACTATGCGAGTCATGAACTTCAACGTTGGCTCGGATAGGACCTCTTCGCCCTCCTCGTTTACCTCTACTTCGAGACCATCATCACCTGCGCTCTCCGTAGAGGACTTCCTCTCTTCCATGGCTTCTCCTTCGGATGTGCGGGTCACGCCCGATGAAGTATCGTCCGCCGTCTCCTCCGGAACAGTTTCCCCCCAAAAGCTCTTCATGCAGCCCGATCCATACCTGGTCCCCGCCGGTCATACAGTTCGCTATGCTCAGTCGCATCCGGACGATGCATTTAGTCTTGCTCAAGCGCAGATGCAGAGAGCGATGATGCTTCAAGCTCTGGCGGCCCAAGCTGGTCACCCTCCCCAAACCTTTCCTATACCCCCGACGCTGTCCATGCCCATCTTGTCAAACCCTCTTCTCGATCAGCGTGCTGGAATTATGGCGTTTCCAACCTCCGGCTCGAGAAAATCTGTTAGAGCATTAATGCGCAAGGAGGGCCATCCAAGAATTCGAGTTGAGCAAGCATGCGAGAAATGTCGTAAGAGAAAAGTCAAAGTATGTTGCGAACCACCTTATAAGACTTTGGAAAGTCTTTGATACTTGAGCGCTAACGTCGCGAACAGTGCACAGGTGCTCGTCCTACTTGCGCTCGTTGTGATAATAGAGGAATCACTTGCGTATATGCGCCGGAGAAAGAGACTGCGTCCTTCAGGTCGTTACGTGGCGTGGAGAAGTCTCGCATGTCACGGTCTAATCGATCTCCGCTTTACCACACAGGCGTTGGACTTGCAGGGCTTCAACATGCTCAGTACTTCGACTCTGTACATGCACTCGCTGCCGCACAGTATTTTGCATACTCAGGCTCGCCGGGGACTGTACTACCCAATATCGCGGTTGCTTCCGAAGAGTCCCTGCAAACTCCAATGCCTCTTCAGCGACCGACGGGCGGCTCTCGTGGAGGATCACTTTTGAATTTACTGAATCCCATGCCGCTTCCGCCGGGCCTCGCCATGATGATGAACAACACTGGAGGCACTACGAGTGCTGCTAGTATGCAATTTCATGGCGGACCAAACGACCCAGCACCTCATCAGCCTCTGGACGCTTCCTCGTTTGCCACAAGTGACAGTCAGCCTCCCCTTTTCATGACTGTCGGTAATTCGATGAGTTCTTCGTCTTCGTCTCCTCCTGTTTCTGTCAGATCCTCTCCAGCTGTTTGGCCTGCCGAACCGCCTCTCCTTTCTGCTACGAACTCCCTTTCAATATCTCGTTTGTCGTCGTCTTCGCTATCCGAGTCAGTGTCCTCTTCCATTGGCGAACATCAAGGTGTTGGCCTGGAACAACCAGCACCCCAGACTGGCATAAACGGTGACATGATTTGGATGGAGAGCAGAAGCAACGTGAGCTCCGATAGCGATAACTCTTCGCTGGTCGCAATTTCCGAGGTTCAACATGGATCAGAGTCCAACACATCCAACGAATCCTTCAGGTTAGTAGTAGCGTTCTTTTGTTTTATTATTCGGACCAATTCTTGTTCTCTGTCGACCATAGCTTTGCGCCTTTTTCGGCGGTCTCAAGCGCGTCCAACCTCTCCTCCGCATCGTCACTTGCAGCCTATCCGCCATCCTCAAATCCTGGCTCTACTGATTCATCATTTAGTAGCTCTGTTGCAACCAGCTCCTACTCCTCAGAACCTCCGGCCAACGTATCAACGACAAGCGCTGCCGAGTTGGAAGCCTTACTCGCGAATCTTCTTACCCACAGCAATGAGTCGGACGTGGCTTTGACCTCTAATCTTGCGGATAAGTCCGACATTCCTTCTGCGCTTTCAAATGCTCCATCTCAGGAGTCGAGCTTGTCTAAAGCCGTACGTGCCGCTCTTGGTGACATACCTCCTCCAGTTATCGCGAGCTCAGGCACTTTCCACCACCTTGCATTCACTGGGGGCCTTGCGCCTTCGAATTCCCTATCTGACATGAATTTACCTGAGCCGGGTTCTCTCACTGGAAGCGAAGAAATGGATGTCTTCGAAGAGCTCAATCAAAGTGGTGCCCTCTATGTAAACGCAAGCATCGATAGTCTCTTCGGCTTTCCTTCCCCCTATGCAGAGTTGGATTCTCTTCGACCTCAGACCGACACCTCGTTGCCAGTTGAGGACCTCGAGGGTTATCCTCTGTTGTCTTGTACGCGTACTTCGTCAGCTACCACAGCCGACTCGGAACTTCTGCCTACACCTACGGAAGATACTGCGCTCATGGGAGAGTGGTTGGACCTTGATGAAAATGGAAAGAATGAACGTAGGGCTTCGACGAATATGCTCAAGGCACAGGAAATGGACCCAGTGCTGGTGAATGAAGACATGATGCTGGTGGACGTTGAATAAGCGTTACAGCTTCCTCTCGGTGTGTGCGGTTTTAATATCATTTATACATATATCTACCTATACCACATGTGCTCTCCATATATTCTGTATGTAGCCTTCTATGCTTACACTTTGGGCGAAGTAGTCTAGAAACTGAGTTGTGAAAGTGCTAGCTATTATAGTTCACGTGAGTTTGATGCGCGTGATGTGCGTGATGCGCAAAGAACTGTCGTTGATGGTGCGGAACCCCACTCGCATCTTGGGGTGTTCACATGCGCAAAGTCTGTGAGTGAAGCAAGGCATTCAGACTAACAAGATCGACGTTGCAGGCAGAAATAATCAGCTAGTGGACATCTCGATTGTGGATGTCAACGTAGAAAGTAATTCGGATTTAGTAACCCTACTGTATGGTTTACGGGGAAAGTATTGAGCGGTCATCAACGGGGTCTGAAGAATTTATAACAGACTGTTGACGCCTTCTTTCGGAGTTTGTAATGCAATGTAATGACAGGTTGAAGGGCCGACGAATAGAACCTGTCCAATGGACGCTGGGGTCGTTCCCACCGTTGTTTTCACGTTTCGTCCCCTTCTCATCGCCCGGACGACGTCGAGGCCGTTGAGGGCATTGACTCTATCACTCTCTGTACATTATCACAATGGCGCCCTCGCCGTCTTCGAGCGGAGGGACGACCTCAGTTCAAGTCGGTGCGTACGAATTATTCATATTTGACAGCGGCAGCATGCTCAGCATTGATTCATATCAGCTCTTCGTATTCGACCCACTACCACTCAGGACACCAGCTCCATTCCCGCTCGTTTTCAAAGGACAGTCATTAACGCGATCTCGCCAACAAGCGTCTCAGTAGATGCGGTCTCTTCAACTCCGGCTTCTGTCGGTGCTAACACTGCAGCAACTGCACCTATTTCTTCGGCAGCTGCGTCCAAGAAGCAAATATTCACATTTGACCAGGTCCATCCGCCTGCCACAACTCAGCATGCTCTTTTCACTGCGACTGCTCAACCGCTCATCTCGCGATTCGTGGAAGGCTTCAACTGCACTATTCTTGCCTATGGACAGACTAGCAGCGGCAAAACGTTCTCCATGACAGGTATCGACTTGGACGCCGACCCGACAGATCCTACAAATGGCATAGGAATCATTCCGAGAGCGGTTTCGACTATTTTCACTCGTTGTAGAGAACGGAAGGAAGAGAAAGGCAGTGCTTGGAATTATAGCATCAAGGGGTCCTTCATTGAGATCTACAACGAGGATCTCATAGATTTGTTGAGTTTGGATGAGGGAGGTGGAGGAAGACGCGATGTGCTGATCCGTGAAGACAAACAAGGTCATATCATCTGGGAAGGTCTGCGCGAAGTGAATGTGAAGAACTCCAATGAAGTCATGACGTGAGTTTTTCTTTTGATGGGTAGTTTGTCCTCCGTGACGTATTTGACATTCTGACGATTCTGATTTTGCATAGTTTGATTCGCAAAGGCACCTCTATTCGTCGCACAAATGAGACAGACATGAATGCACAGTCTTCTCGGTCCCATGCGATCTTCTCTTTGACTCTTACACAGAAGAAATATGTTGGTTCAGGCCCTCCGCCTCGTTCCTCCTCTCCGCTACCGCCTGGCGGTCGATCCCCTTCTCGTCTTGCGCGACCTGGTTCCGTCTATAGCGCTGGCGCTGCTGGGGGCCGTGTTTCATCGCCCACATTCGGCCGCCCACCAACTCCCAGTTTTACAGTTGCGATGGGCCGCGGCGGTGCCAGACCTGCCAGTTCTCTTGGTCTACTCACTCCCGATGGCGGTAGAGGTGCTCCTGCCAAGGATGATGAGGAGCATGGTGAATGGGTGACAGTTGTTTCTAAGTTTCACTTTGTCGATCTTGCCGGCTCTGAACGTGTAAGTCGTGGTTCTTCCTATATATCAACCGTCTAACACATGAGGTCTAGCTCAAACGCACGGCTGCAGCAGGCGAGCGTATCAAGGAGGGCATATCAATCAATAGCGGTTTGCTCGCTCTGGGCAATGTCATTTCCGCTCTAGGAGATCCTGCTCGTGCCAAATCACACACAGCTTCTTACGTTCCTTATCGCGACTCGAAACTAACTCGACTTCTGCAAGATTCACTCGGTGGAAATGCGCATACACTCATGATTGCTTGCGTCAGTCCCGCAGAATGGAACGCTGCAGAGACGATCAACACATTGAAGTATGCTAACCGTGCTCGGAACATCAAGAACAGAGCCGTCCTCAATGAGAAGGAGGAAGGTTGGGATGACGTCGAATGGTTGCAAGGTATGGTCACACGGCTCAGGAAGGAGGTCAAACAAATCAAAGAGAACGGCGGTGTCACTATCAACGCTACTACCGGAGCCGTCTCAGACCCTCTCGAAGGTGCTGGTAAGAAGGTTCTTGCTCAGATGGCAGAACTTCAGAACAATTACGAGGATCTGCGCGAGAAGTTTGTAGAACGTACCGAGGAGCTCACACGCCTACGACGAGACCTCGCTGAAAAGCAGCGCTCTTCCAAAGGCGGCCATATTGGTGGAACAGCCAAGTATGAAGAAATCGTTGGTCCCGTTATCGAGGAGTATGAAAAGACCATCAGCGCGATGGAAGCTGAACTGAGCTTGAACCGTGCTGCACTCCGGCATACGAATGAGATGTTCGAGGAGAAGGAGATCGAGCTATCGCAGCTTTCAGAACGACATACTACCACTGAGATGTATGTGGAAGAACTTAGGTCACGCGTTGCTAAACTTACCGAGCGAGAGGCATCTACGGAAGTAGGTTTCTGGGATCGTGCTTTTGTTTAACCAAACGCTAACTTACTTTCGAAGGCATACATCCACGATCTAGAGGAGAAGGTTAGACTCTACGACGAGTCCAACATTAGCTCCAGCGGTTCTATAACTGATCTGAAGCGAGAGATCAACAAGTACAGAGATACCGAAACACACTCGACACAGTACATTGCCGACTTGGAGGCCCGTCTTGCACGGTCTGACGAGTCTGTCCTTGCTCTTCGTGAGACTGTCGAGAGGCTCGAGCAAGAATGCCAACGGCGACGCGATGAAGCCGAAGCATTCCAAGCTCGTTTGGAGGCTCTTACTCAAGACGGTCAGAGCTGGCGGAGTGATTTGGAAGAGCGAGAGCGCAAGGTCCGTGCCCTGGAACAGAAGATGGCGGAGTGGGAGGCGAAGAAGAAAGAAGCCAGCCAAGATCGGGATCGCTTGGGTGGGCTTGTTGACGAAGTTGCAAAGGCTCGCAAGGATCTTGAAGTGGCTAGTGCCGCAAGTTCCATCCTCGCACCATCTGAAACATCTTCTATCAACGAATCCGATCGGTCTTTGGAGGCTCAGCTTCTGTCTCTGCAGCAGACCCATACTGCCACCCTCGCTGATTTATCTTCCGTCACGGCTAAGTACCGCGACTCCTTGCGTGAAATTGCCGATCTTGCCGCTCAGCTCCAAGAAGCCAAGGTGAATGCTCCAACTCCGTTGTCTGAGCTGTCTGAATCCCCCGAGAGCTCGTCGGAGGCTTCATTGCCTCGGAGGCGGTTAGCCAGAGGGACCTCTAAGGATGGACTGGATGTCCAATACAACGGTACAGGTCGACGCCTTTTTTTCAGGCAGGCGGCCTCGGTAGAATCTCTCCACTCGAGGTGAGTATAGTTTTTCGTTTGCCATGTTACTCCAGTATTTACGTCGAAAGTCAGGTCACTTTCGCAATCTGTTTCGCTATCGCAGGAGCTTTCCTCAGCCAGATCGCGCAAAGCCTCTATCTCCAGTCACGGAACCAGTAGCTCAGTATCGCATTCACCTTCCCACTCGCATTCGCATTCTCGACCAAACCTCTCTATCTCTCTCGGCGTTAATCCCAATGAGCGCTCTGTTTCGAGCCTGGAGCAGGAGATCATGCGTCTTCAAGAAGTCCTCAAAGAACGTGAGACCGAAATCACTGCTCTGGAGAGTTCCTTGCGGGAGTCTGAGGCAAGAGGACGGGCAACTTCGCGATCATCATCAAGTCATTCGCCTGTAACACCAGTGAATGGCGCGCAACCGCCATTATATGTGAACGGCGGTGATGTCACTCCTAATGGCGAATCTAATGGCGACGCAACGTTACATCTTTCGCCGAAAACTATGAGCCAGTTCCAAGCTTTGAGACGTAGTATGGATTCATCACATAGTCAGGAAACTCCTGTTTCCGATCCCGATGAGTCCTTAGATAGACTAAATGAACTAATGAGGTACGTGTGGCGTCGCCCTATTTTAGTTTGAAACTTACTCATGAGCTGCGGGTCAGATCTATGGCTCAAAAGGAATCTTCTCATCGGGAAATTGTTGACAACCTGAACACCGAGCTTGCCCAAGTGCGGAGGCAACACGAGGAGCTCACAGTTCTCGCCCGTGATCAGGTTTGTCTCCATTACCCAACCATATGGGTGCCTACTTATGATGGGATTTAGACCTTGAACATGTCGACCGAGATCGAGGCTTTGCAGAGGAAGCGCCAAGAAGACCTCGCCGAATTTGAACAAATCAAGCAACGCGAAGCTGATCTCGTGGAGTCTATTAGGAAGGCGGAACTTGATCATGCTGCCTCTATCGAGACACTCAAGGCGCAGCATGAAGAGGCTTTGCATGCCAAGGAGGCTGAAGTCGATGCTTTGGTTTCTCGTCTCAAGGAAGAACACGAAGGCGAAGTTCGCTCGTTGCATGATCAGCTGTCTGGAACTATCTCTTCTGTTGAAAAGGTGCAGGAGGATCACAAGATTGCTCTCGCTGAGTTGCAATCAAAAGCTGAAGAAGTGTCTCGTCTGAAGGAAGAGCACGGAACGGAAGTCCAAACCCTGCGCGTACAGCTTTCTGATGCTTCAGCAGCGTTAGAGAAGGCCCATCAAGAGCACAAGGATGCATTCGGTGAACTTCAATCGAAGCATGAAGAGGAGCTCCGAAGCCGCGCTGAAGAGGTTAACGAATTGCTGGAACGTACACGGAAGGAGCACGAAGAGATTCTCTCCATGACCAAAGCCGAGTACGAGCAGACCATGAAGGAAAAGGAGGAGACTGCTGCTGCTACTCTCCAACGTACCGAGGAAGAGTACTATGAGGCCTTGACCAAGCTCCGCAGTGATCACGCTGCTGCTCTTGAGAAGCAGGCTGCAGAAGCTGCAACGACTTTGGAGCGACTGAAGGACGAGCACACCCGGCAAATTCGCATGGCCGAGATCGCCCGTGAAGGGTCTCTTACCCAGTCGCAGTCCGCTCGTGACGTTGCCATGAAAGAACTTCAGGAAGCCCACGCATCTGCCATCATGCAAAAGGAGAGCCTATTTGCGCAAGACTTGCAGAACCTTAAAGACGAACATGCTCAGCTTATCCAGACCAAGGAAGAGCAGCATCGAAACTCTGTACTGCGTCTGAAGGCTGATCATGCCGCGGTGTTGCACGAGAAGGAGGCGGCGCTGGAAGAGAAACTCGAGCAACTCCAGAAGGAACACGAGAAGGCGTTGAATGCTAAAGAGGCTGAGTTCGCCGCCTCTCTAGAGCAAGCGTCACAGGATCGCCAACGGGAAGTTAGCCAAATACAGGAGGAGCTGACGAAGCAAGTCGAAGATTTGACTAGCGAAGTGGAGGTTAGTCAAGCCACGCTGGAGACTGCTAAAGCCGAGCATGCGAAGGAAGTTGAAGAGGTTCTGCAGAACGTCAAGCAACAACAGACCGTCATCCTTGCAGAGGTTGAGCGTTCGCATGAGGAAGAACTCTTGAGGTTGAGGACAATTCATGAAGCTGCTCTGGACAGTTTTGCGAAGGAGGCTGAAGAGCAACGCTGTTTTCTCGTTGAATCTCGTACGCAAGAGATTCTCAAGCTCAAGACCGAGCATCAGAATGCTCTTGCTGAAGCCCAGGCCGATCTCATTGATGCTCAAGAGCAACACCGTCAGGAACTACTCGATGCTCAGTCACGGAGTGAGAAGCTTCTTGCCGAGGAGAAGGATCGTCTCAAGAGAGTCGTTACCGATCTTGAGGCCCAACATGCTGCCGAGCGCGAGACTCTTCGCAAAGACCACGAACTTCTCCTGGAGGAAGTTGCGTCTTACAAAGCTGCTTCGGACGAGTTCGCGGTCACTCGCGAAGAGATGCGTGCGAAGCACGAATCAGCATTGGCTGAGAAGACTGGTCTTATCACGAACCTCCAGGAACAGCTTGGTGTATCTAACGAGGAACGAGATGGTCTTCAGGCCGAACTCGCCCAACTCCGTGCCGAGCTGGAAAGCACCCGATCACGTACAAGTGAGCTTGTACGTGAAGCTTCCAAACGTGAGTCTCTCGTAGAGGAACTGGAGAAACATCGGTCGGTCATTGCAGAGATGCAAGAAAATCTGCACAAGACCAAGGACGAAATGGATTCGCTTCAAGCTGAGAAGCTGAGACAGGAATCCATCTTGCGAGAATTGCAAGCTCAACTAACTAATAGAAGTCCGTCGCCTGTATCGAGACCTATTGCCTCACGAGCAAATGGACTTCCACCTGCGAAACTCCCACCATTGTCGCCACCACCCGCAGTTCCGCCGCCACCTGCACCTAGATCCATGCACGAGACTCATTCAAGCGCGACGTCAACTATCTTGAGTGCGTCATCATCGCGGAGTGTCGATTCCATTGAGTCGCCATCGACTCCAGCCACATCTATTCACCAGTCCTTTGCCAATGGCGTGTCAACTCCAGCCAATGTGACCCCCACTGCAACTGCGGCATCTGATAGCAAACTAATGGCGCAAGTACGAGACCAGGCTAAGCAACTGGATGAACAGGAGGCCATGATCAAGACGCTCAACAAACAGCTGTCACATTGTGAGAGCGACCTGCAGGCACATATGGACATGGTTGCTAGGTTGGAAACCTCTCTGGCAGATTCTGAAAAGAACCGTGAGTACCGGATCCTTTGAATGTTAAGTATGGTTTACTCAATTGGCTTCATGGCTTCTTGCTTTCTATTTACGTAACAGTTCGTAAAGCCCGAATGCAGGCGACCGAAATGGCACGCGAACGTGATAACTTGAACAATCAGGTCACCGCATTGCGCACCGAACTTCACGAGGCGAAGAACGAGGTCGTGTCGGTTCGTCGGTCGATAGTGGAAGAGAAACAGTCGTTGGAGAGTCGATTGGATGAAGAGCGGCGAGCCAAGGAACGTGCTCGGGCGCAGTTGGACAGTCGAATGGACGAACTTCAACGGAGAAAGTCAAAGTTCGCGTGTCTGTGATGTTCTGTCGGATCGTCGGTGCCGATCGACGACTAGGCTTGGAATTTCTCTTCTTTCCTTTCAATCATCTCTGGCTTCTTGGATATCGTCTCCCTATCGCATGTCTCGGCGTCGTCCCCGGTGGACAACTAGTCCTTCTGTCCCTTCATCGACTCGTCCCTTGCATCGTTGTCCTCGGTCAAATTTTCCTCGTTTCTTCTCACTTTCGTCATTGCCAGGTTGGATGTGTACATTCTGATAATTTCTCTCTCTGACGTCTTCGGACGTTTTCTAATTCACTGTCGATCATCGTTTTCTGTTTTGCGTTTAAGCGTTGTGTTCGTTGATTTATTCTCGATTAGTAGTATACCTTGATACTAGTTTATAGCTACTTGCTCGGCTCCTGCGTTGGGATACCCCTCACACTCTTTTTACCCTCATCCATATGATCCCCCATCCTGTAGAGTCTTCAAATTTCCATGAGATATGCTAGCTACGTTGCCATATAGAGAGCCAAGGATATTGCACCGAATAAGACCGATCGAAAATGCGTATGATCGAAAGCGTACACGTGGAGAGCAATCGAGCAAGGAGGCCAGGAGGCGACAAATATTCAGCATATCATATCAAGGCGTCGACCGGAACACGCGTGTCGGAAGGATAGAACGTACGAAGGATGTCGACGGACAAAAGTGACAGAGAACAGTGCCGGCAATCGAGAGTGGGCGAGCGTCTGGGAGGTCATCTGGGCAGGACAAGTTCACAGGCGGGACAGCTACGTCTCACAGGCTAGAGGACGGATCTTGTCTGCGTTTTCCATTGGTCAATTTAATGGTTTGTGAAACGGTGGAATGATGTGCATTGCTGGCGTCGCCAATGAACACGCATGTCGCCGTGGCCTGGTGGAGATCCCCTGCTGCTCTGGCGACTGGCGAAATTGCAAAGCTGTTTCTCCCGCCGCGCCCCAACAAGACCCGTAACGCAAGCTCCCCTCTCGCTCCTCCTTCGCCTTTCGGTCCGGACGCCAACAGACTCTGAGCCAGCCAGCTTTATCCTCCATCTCCTCAACCGCCATCCCCAGGTCTAGGCCGAGCCCCTCTTCACCTATAATTCCCCCTCCTCCTCGGTCTCTTCCCGAACTCTACCTCTTCCTTCTCCCACATCCTCTCCACCCTCCATCGTCGTCTCCCTCGTCGTCCACCCCCTTCCACACGAGGTTGGCGAGTCACTTGCCCATCCACCTCCACGATGACCTCTCGATTACTCTCCCGGACCATTCAACGTCCCATCGCATCATCCTCGCGAGCCCGTCTCCCCTCCCCATGCCCATCTTCCCGCACCCCCGTACCGCGACAACTCTTCCAATCCCGTTTCAACTCGTCTTATGTCTCATCATCGACTGCTACCGGAACCTCTACCTCCGGCGCATCCTCTGATCCAACATCATCTTCTTCCCTCAATGAAATCAATGCATCCACCCCGGATAGCGCTCCTGTACACAAGAAGATTCCCAAGGCTTTGGCTGCTTTCTCGATGGCGAACAAGGTTTGTATGGTAACGGGTGGTGCTCGTGGACTTGGATACGAGTTTTGCAAGGCATTCGTCGATAGTGGATGCACGGATTTGGCTATTCTCGATCTCAAGGAAGATGAGGCTCAAGCAGCAGCGGAGGAGCTCGTAAAATCAGTATGCGGTCAGTTCACTGTTCCTTTTGGTCTATTTTCATTTCTATTCTACACCTTCAATTACATTTTTACTGCGTTCGCAAGGACTATTGCTGATAAGGTGTGAAGTTGACAGTGATTTTGAACCAAGCGACTATCGCGTAATGGGCATCGGATGCGACGTATCATCCGAGTTGAGTGTCCACCTGGCGTACAGACGAGTCATGGATAACTACGGCCGAATCGACTCTGTCGTCGCTTCCGCTGGTATCGTCGAAAACTACTCTGCCTTCGAGTGAGTTCTTTTCCGAGTTTACTCCATTCTTCGTCGTCCAAGGGGTGTCACCGAGCGAACTTGCCCGCGGCGCGTCTTTTCTCGTTCTAGAGCCCTGGCTTGTTTAAGCGCTCCCCTTTTGCCTTGGGTCCAGTAGTGGCCCACATGATGCGTGAAGTGACATCACGCAGCCCTCCCCTCTACACATTTCTCGACGAATTCATTCCATATTATTCCTTGGCGTATGGCACACGATATGCCCGACTCCATTACATTCTACATTGCAAACTCCCACACTATTCAAACGTTCCTCTCATCTGACCTCATCTTGTGTCCTGAGATGAACGCGGTGCTAAATTTACCTTTACAGTTACCCGTTCGACCGGATAAAGCGTCTGTATGATATCAACGTTCATGGCGCGTTCTTCACTGCGCGTGAAGCTGCGAGACATATGATCCCGCAGGGCGGAGGAAGTGTCGTGTTGGTTTCTAGCATGTCTGCCAACGTGAGTTTGATTTTCAAAGCATTCTGTGTGATTAGGATGGAGGTGCTGATGGTGGTTTTTGGGTTTAGATCGTGAACATCCCTCAACCCCAGACGCCTTACAATGCCGCCAAAGCTGGTGAGTGGCTTAGTTCTGCTTCCCATTTCATATTCATCCCCATCGGAGCCATCCATCGTATTTGTGTTCTGCTTCCTGGCGACGTGTGGGGTCCGGTGGGGTTTGTGATGTTATCTTTCTCCGTTCCGTCTGGAACAGTTTCATCTCGCTATCTTACTGGAGCGTGATGTGTTGGATCCCCGTTTGCGGCTCCACTAGCAGATGCCGACGCTTCCCTTGTCCAGATGTGACGCGTCGCATTAGGTGGATATGGTCCGTTCGATCAGCGTTTGCTGTGTTGCTTCTTCCGCGATGGATGGCAACAGGAACACGGGATCAGCTTGTTCGTCTAAAAGGTTAAACGCTTGATAGCCCATAAAGTTACTGTGAGGGTGTAGCGGGTTTCATGTTACACGTCCGACCGGGCGTTGACATGGCGTATTTGCATTTTCACGTCTACCCCGCGATCTTACCCCGCATCTTTGATGTGCTCTATTTCATATACGCAGTGTCAGTCATTATCGGGCCTGGGTGGTCTGCGACCGATGTCGCATGTGGTTGCCGTTCTTCAATAGGCATCCTATGTTTCAATCATCTTCCTGCAATCTATCTGTCATCCTGAAGTCCAAACACTAACCTTACTTCTCTGCGCAGCCGTCAAGCACATGGCTGCATCGCTTGCTGTTGAATGGGCTAAGAAGGGTGTACGGGTGAACTGCCTGAGTCCGGGGTACATGTTGACCAAATTGACGAAGACGATCTTGGCGCATGACCCGGAGCTGAAGCGCACTTGGGAGAGTTTGACTCCGATGGGACGAGTATGTGTTTCTTCCACATGGATTAGGCAAGATGTGCTGACCGTGCCTGCTATAGATGGGTGACCCTGAGGACCTCGCTGGTGCTGTCGTCTTCCTTGCGAGCGACGCGTCGAGGTTCATGACAGGGTCGGAGATCCGAGTTGATGGTGGATACTGCATCATCTAAATGATGGTGCTGGCTGCATGACACACGGACATGGCCTTTTCATACTCAGTCTCCTGGTATCGGTTTCTTTCATAGGGTTTTGAAGGGCAAATGAATGTTCAATTTCTCTTTTCCCGTCTCTTGCTGTCATTTCCTCCATCTTCCATCTTCCATCTCACTTCATCTAATTCCTAATCCAATGCAAACAAAAGTTACATATCGAATACTCACGTGGACGTTGATAGACTGACTGACTCATTAGCCGTATCCTGTTTTGTCGTTGTGTGTACATAAACGTAGATTGTTCTTCTCGGTTTCTTTGCTTTTCTATAGACTGTAGCGTACTTGAATAGGATTTAGTCGATCTGCTTTCCATCCCAAGTTTGTGTGCCCTTGTCGTCTTTGAATTTGAGGTTCATGTCGCCGAATACGATCGGTGAATAACAGCAGTTGCCATATGCAGGTGTGAGCGACCCGATATGGTTTCGGGTCTTCCAATTTGAGAGCGTGTGCCGATCTGCTGCCTGAAGTCACTCCAATTCAGGGATGGATCATTCACAGCCAGGTAGTAGACAGCGGAGAGCAATGAGAGTCTCCGAGAGAGGAACACGATGGAGCGCGGGCTTCTTCCAATGCAGGCCACGACGATCAACCATTCGCGCACGATGAGCAGCTCTGCCTCTTTTCCCGTCCAACGAAGCCCGCCCCAGTCCTCGCATGCCGTCTCTATCTCTCCTGCTGGTGCTTCCAGCTCTGCACTGTCCTCTGCGTTTGGGCCGCTTGTAACGTACCCACACACTCATCCTAGCCCTGTCAATTCCGGTGGGCAGATCCAGAGTACGCCCTCTTCTGCAGGTAGCAAAGGCTCCGCTTTCGGTGGTAGCAGTTCTGGCGGTGCGAATGCGAATGCGGCTCCTCAGACGACCCAATCTCAAAATCATTCCCAGCACCCAGCCGTCACCAACCTCAGCACTCAACCGCAACTCATCCAGCCTGGTCCTCCCATTGTACCCCAACCTATCTTCGAGTTTACGAAGCGGAAACGATGGGCGGACTTGCTCGTTACTCAGCTGACCGAGGCTATCGTGCTTGTGCTCTCCCCTTCGGCTGAGGTGCTTTATTGTGGGAATGCGGTTTGGGGGTTGTTGGGTTGGCAGGATCATGAACTTGTTGACAAGTCGTTTTTGGATTTCATGAACCGTAAGTGGAATTTGTTCTTCTTGTAAGTATTCCAGCGGTGCTAATTTGAAGTGACTGGTGAATATTTGAATGGTTCAGTGGACGATCGAAAGACGTTTGAGAGATTGTTTACGGAATCCGTCTTTAATAGGTCAGAGTTGACGTCTTATACACGGCTACAGTATAAACCTACCAGGAACGCGGGCTCGGCCTCTATGGCACTCGCTAGTACTGCTGCCAACCTTGTTGGAACTACTGGTCAACTCCTGTCGCACACTCCACTAGTGCCCTATCAGCAACATGCCCAAGGACAACAGTACTCACACCAGTCGTCTGGACAGTATCAGCAGAATTCTCCTCCACAATATAGACCACAATCGAGCGGCGGTCGGTTTGGATATCAGTCACATCATGATCAGCCCACTGCGTCGCGGAGATCTACACAACAATCTGCGGGTGAATTGGAGGGGAGAAAGGAAGTCTTGTTTGAGATCATTGGGTCTCCGTATTTCTTGCCTTTGCATGATACTTTCAAGTGTTTCTTTGCGGTTGCGAAACCGTATCCGAGTCGGAATACAGCCATGTACGTTCATCCCACTCACATCTGCTCCAACGTTCCTTTTTTTCATGCATAGTCATTCACTGGTGGAACGTCAATGCTCACTCGGTGCGTTGCCTGTTATATTGTAGATTGAACACCTTTCTGGAATTGAAACTCGAGAACGAACGTCTTCATGAACGGCTCGCCCAACTCAAGATCGCTCGCGAGAAACTCGGACCTAACACATCCAATACATCCAAATCCTCTCATTCCCAATCAGGCGTAGCATCCAACACGTCCTCCGCTTCAGCTTCAGCTTCTACTTCTACTTCTCTTCCGATCGTTGGCCCGCTTTCCCTCACCAGTAACAACGCCAACCTCACACATAATCAACCTCAAATCCCGGCAGCGACGTCATTCTTCAGTGGGACCTATGACGAATTGATGTCTTTACCTGGTCAGAATGCTCAGGGATTCGTTCGAGGCCCAGGGAATAGTAGTACTGGTGCAACAACTACAGGTGTAGAGAGAGTGGGAGGAGGAGGGTTCCAGTTTGATAACATCTTTGATGTTGAGGGAGGTTTGAGTGCAGGTGTAGGTTCTAGCTCTAATCTGATTACGGGTACGAGTACGGGTATGGGGTCTTCTGGTTCTGGTGGGCAAGGACAGGGACAGGGACAGGGACAGGGACAAGGTGCGACTGTGCATATACCTTCGTCGGGCTCGGGCTCTGGAGGTACGACTCGTATGGGGAACGGAGGAGAGGATGAGGATGAAGCTGCGCATAAGAAGGTATGTTTTTATTTTCTTATTTATCCGCCAGATATTTGTGCCGGTTTATTGATGCTAACATGATATTGATTTTTTTATTACTTTGATGTGTAGGCTAGGAAGGTGTATATGCCTGAGCAGTATGTGTGTATGACTTGCGGGAGGACGGATTCACCTGAATGGCGCAAGGGCCCGTCGGGACCCAAGACTCTTTGCAATGCTTGCGGCTTGCGGTGGGCGAAACGCGAGAAGGAGAAGAGAGCTGCTAATATGGCTTCTGCGCCGAAACCTAACTTGTCGAAACTTCAGAAAAGTGGTGGGGCTGGTGCCGGTGGAAGTGGGAGTGGTGCCAAGTCTTGAAGATGATACTTGTGCAATGATCCCGAGGGATGATGAAGCGTACATGGGTTGTACAAGGGATATGTGCGTTGGTAGTTCTCTTATATTGTACTTGTAATGCCATTGGCATATTACGTTGTATCCGTTGAAGGGAAGAAAGAAACTTTCTTGGTTGTAATATATGCCTTCGGAATGTATGTGTACACGTCCCATCCATTATCATCGAGATTACTCCTACGTCAGTTATCACAAGTCCTCCTCAGCAGGCAAACCACCATCTGGTGAAAATATTCCTTCTACCTGATATGCATACCACCCAACTTCCCCGACAACCCAGCAGCACCTAGAGGACTCACATTCGCCACATCCCAAACAACAAGTTTCCCATCCACACCACTTGTACTGACTTTCCTCACATCTCCAGGAACACCTTCATACACCCTAACCTCGGTGATCGTATTCTGATGAAGCGTGAAAATCTCACTCTCCCCTCCTCCACCTGCACTTGGAAGCCCGCCACTGCCGCCTGGCGACGTCGGTGAACTAGCCATAGAAGCAAACCCACGAGTATCGGCGTTTCGGAACGTAGTGAATGCTGCGCTGCTCAACCGACCAACGGGCGATGCACCCGCACCCGCACCTGCTGCACCGAACCCACGTCCTCCACCTACACCCGTCGAACCTCCACCCGCATGTTTATTATCGTCCAAAGTCCCAGCAAGCTCCCACCCAGCTTCCCCACCTCTGAATACGAACGGTTGACAATCATGCCCAGCAGCGATGATTTCGTCTTCTCTTGTCCAGGTGAGTGTGACTAGGGGGAGATGGGTGAGTTTGATGGTGTGGATGGCGTTGGGACCGTGGGCGGGGTAGACGATGGAGATGGTGCTGTCGTGAGAGGTGAAGGCTAGGACGTCTCCGCTTGGAGAGAACCCGACGGAGTGCACCCAGCCTCCGGAGGGAGAGGTGTATTCGCCGCAGATGGTGTTGAAGGGGAGCTTTTCACCCCAGACGGTAGGTGCGGGACTAGAGCAAAAAAAAAACGAGAATCAATATTATTTTTCTCTTTCAAAGGATTGGAAAGTGGATATAAAGGAGGTGGAACGTACCGCTTGTCAACATCCTTGATATAAGCACTCAATACTCTTGCTTTCATATCCGCACTCCCCGCTGCAAGGAGCACATTGTTTGGATGCCAATCCAGACTCAAGACTGTGCTCCTTATGGGCTTCTTCAATAACCTACTCACCCACCAATCACCCTCCGGATCAAACGAACAGATCGCAATCGCTCTCGCACCACTGGCGACGGCGAATTTATCTTCGTTGGGAGACCAACGGACAAAGGTGGCTGCACGATTGATACGGAGGAGAACTAGAGTCGGTTTCCAGATTGTGGTTCCGGTTTGTGGGTCGGGGGTTAGGGACCAGACGTAGGCGTTTCGGTCTTGAGAGGAGGTGACGATGCGATTGGAGTTGGGGGCCCAGTCGATTGAAGTGATGAGTTTGTCGTGCTGTAATTGAGCATTTACAATGGGTTTGTTTAGTAGAGTTGGTTGGAGATGAATGTTTGGTTAGGGATATACCTCGGATAAAGTCTCTCCTGCAGCCCATTCCTGGCCTTGGCGATGGAAGATGGTGACATCGTTGGAGTTCAAACTTACAGCGACCTCTACATGACAGAACGTGTTCAGTTAGTTGGTCTTTCGATCTAGCTTAAAAGTCGAGGTCGAGAATGAGAAGGTGAACGTACGACTACGGTCTGCGTTGAATGCATGAGATGTAATGGGAATCTGGCCGTGAGGGAGAGGGAGGACTTGAGGAGCGGCCATTGTATGCTTTAGGTTCGCTGAGATTGATGGATTTCGGGTGCAGAGGACTCTAGCAGTCTACTACTGCACGAATGTTCACGAGGAGATCGTCGTCGTCGAGAACAAGATGCTGCGACGCGCCGTCATGAACCTGGTAATTAGTCCGGTTCGGTTCGGTTCGGTTCGATCGTGTCTCAACGTCATTGGTTCGACTTAGGTTGCTTCGTCCCACCGCTGTCCCACCTCCTTCAGTCTCTCCTGCTGGACCACAACACGGTGTCCCTGAGGCCTGATCAAAGCTGAAGGCTTTACTTAAATCACTCTAATACCCATGCTTAATTGACAGACACCGAAAAGATAAAGCGGCTTTGAAGCTTGACTACTCATTGACACGCTTCCCTTCGTCACGATATAGTGCTACAATTCCAATCACGAACGGCATTCGTCGTCGTGATTGCAACCGTAGCATCATGCCATGGTGTAAGCATCTGTTATGTTCCTCGTCTGATCTATTGGTTCTGCACTAGACATCTGGGCTACAGGTTATATTCATGGCTTGGTACATCACGTATGTCACATTGTTCCGAAGAGTTCGCACTGACAATTTATGCACCAAACCTACTCTCTGTCCCTTTTGCAGTCTCACAAAGGTTATAAGCTTGCAGTTTGAAAGTTTGTGAGGAAAGATGGATAATCTTTCGAGTCATTCATGCCAAGCGCGCGGCACCGAGGGCATTCATAAACGCAAAGCAGATCGTCCACCTAACACTAACTCGCCAACATGTCAGACTATCAGTTAGTAAACTTCACTAATCCAGATGACTTCGTCGAGGCTACCAAGAAGTATGACGATTGCTGGATGAACTTCGCATTTGGTGCTCTCATGGATAGCTTGGACGCGAGTCAGGCTGAGGGTCAGCGGAGATGGGGTCCTCAAGAGAGGACGTTAGTCGCTGTATATAAGGGGGACAGCTTGTTGTAAGTACTCTCGCTACTGATACTATCACCAACATAGAATTAAAACACGTGGACTATGAAGGGTCACATTGACGAAGATTGCAAAAGACTTCTCTTGGGTCCTCTCACATCCTCGAGATGCTATCATCTCCGAAGATGAGTTCCCATCAATCGCTCAGCTTCTCGCGACTTCACTTCCATCCATTCTTTCACCCACCACCCCACCCTCCTCATCCGATCTACTCAAACTTGATAAAGTAATAGGCCCCGAATCACTCGTAGACACTTTCCTGAACACCTGGGTCTCTCATCTCCCTTCACTCAACCCACCTATTCACCTCCAGCTCATAGACCCACCATATTTCCAAAGCAGGTTTTCCTATGCAACTATTGAAACTGTCCCGCCGCCCTCACCTGCCTTCTCATCAGAGAAGTATGATATCGCATTGGCGAGTACTGAAGAAGACGCGTTGGAACTCGCGTCTTTCTACGTAGAATTCAAGGCGAGAGGTCCGCTACCAGCCACCCATGAAGAGGGTCTCGCGATTATGAAAGACGCAATCAAAGGGAAGCGTTTATGGTGTTGCCGACTTAAGGACTCTTTGGAGCCATCTGCTATCTTTCCTGAACATAAAGATGCAGGTATTACTAGGATTACCGCAAGCGCGAATTCAAGTGCTATCGCTGGATATGTCATGGTCGGCAGAGAAACTCCACGTACGATCGCTGTCCGGAACGTCTATGTCTCGCCTACATTCCGTAGGAAGGGGGTCGCAGAAGCCTTGGTCCGTGCTGTGACGAGGTATTACCTTGATGCGCAACCTCTTGGGTTTAACATCCGAGGAATCCAAGGACACACGAAGGACGATGCCGAAGAAGGGAAACTAGTTGAAGGTGTCATCAGAAAGCAAGAAGTGTGTCTGAATGTGGTGGACGAAGGAGCGAAGAGGTTGTATATTCGGTGCGGCTTCTTGTTGGATGATAATGCGAGGGACCCGAAGTCGGGTAGGTCGGGATACTTCCCGAGTATCTGGAGGGGTGTGAAGCCTATTCGGGAGAACTAGACGAAAGAGAGGGCGTTAATAGGACTGCCAGCGACGAATATGTCTTGCTACGGTGAGTGCATAGCTGATATGGCTGCATCGACCAGTTTCGCCATGTCAACTGTAGATCGTTCGTCGTCTTCAACGACTCTGACATTTGATACACCCCAATGCATCAGTGCAAGTGAGTAGACGCCATGTGGGGCTGGAGCAGGAATTCGTATTGGCAAGTACATTACCGCACGGACTCGTCTGCGCCTGTTGGTATTTGGCCATATCGCATCATAGGCTTGTCTCAGTAGCCCCTTCAATGGTTGGGTCGGGAGAGAAGAGGAACTGACTGCGCGTCCAATGTTTTCTTCATCTCGCCGTCAAACGACGGCTAGTATTCTCCATCGCCCAGTGACCTCAAACACGTCGAAATGTCGGCCGTCCCTAGCAGCTTGAACCTTACCATTTATTTTCAACAGACCTTTTACAGTACTGAAAGAAGCCATCTCCGACAAATGGCCTTGTTCGACGTCCATCATGGTACGAGTAAGACCACGCGTCCGGGCCCAACATGCACTTCTTCGTCGTCGGAGACCAGGTGACCTTGTTGTTCCAAATATCATTACAGAACCTAATTTAGAGTGAACGCTGATTCGCCGATGAATTACCCCGCACTGATCAGACGTTTCGACCACAATACTCTACCATGGCTTCGTGGAGATCATCGTCCAGTCCCGTCTGTTTTCCTTGGGCTCGAGCCAATACATAGGCTCCAACGTGTCGGAAGCACTTTTCTCTGTTCTGTCCCGAGAATTAACCCTTGTGCTCTATATAGCGACAGCATAATTCCCTCAAGTTCCCCAGTGCTTCGAACATTCCTACCACTCACTTCGCCAGCGGCGTACAATCTCTCGTAGTTCCCCAGGATGTTCTCCTTCGTCAAACTCTACAGTGCCCTGGTGCTACTTGCCACTATTGGCTATGTTCAAGCTCTCTCAAGTACACTTCAGCAGCTCACCAACTTTGGAACCAACCCAACCAACGTCGGCATGTTCTACTACCGCCCTACTCAGCTCGCTACTCCTCCACCTCTCATCGTAGCCATGCACTACTGCTCCGGAACAGCTCAGGCTTACTTCCAGGGCACTTCCCTCGCTCAGCTTGCAGATCAACACGGTTTCATCGTACTCTATCCTAATGCCCCCACTGCTGGCGGTTGTTGGGACGTTCACAGCACTGGAACCCTCACCCACAATGGTGGAGGTGACTCCCTTGGTATTGTTTCTGCCGTTCGTTGGGCTATTACCAACTGGGGCGTCGATGCGTCGAACGTCTTCGCTACGGGTACTTCGTCTGGCGCTATGATGACCAACGTCCTCATGGGAGCGTACCCTGACGTGTTCAAGGCGGGATCGCTTTACTCTGGTGTTCCGTATGCATGCTTCCAGGGGGCGGATGCTTGGAATAGTCAGTGCTCGACTGGTCAGTTGATCCTGACCCCACAGCAGTGGGTGAGTCGCATGTCCTCGAGTTGTCCTTTCTTTCTCCCTCCTGTTGTGCATCTGACCGACGTTGCTATAAATAGGGTGACCGAGTGCGAAGCGGATACCCTGGATACACTGGTCCCCGGCCTAAGGTGCAGTTCTGGCATGGTACCGTGTACGTAGTTGAGCTCCGGTCTATGAAGTGTTTCATTATTAACGCCTTGTTTTCTGATGTAGTGACACCACTCTTTACCCACAAAACTTCTGGGAAGAGATCAAGCAGTGGACCAATGTCTTTGGTGTTAGCCAAACACCCACATCAAACTTGACGAACAACCCTCTCCCTGGATACTCTCGTGCATCTTTCGGCGATAACGTCCAAGGTATCCTTGCTCAAGGTGTTGGACACACAGGTAAGACGTTCCGTTTCTTAACCATTTCAATACATTCTAATTTTCGTCATCTCCAGTCCCTGAGCGGGAGACCGACACCCTCGACTGGTTCGGCTTATCCAATCTTCAACCAGGTCAAGGTCTGCCTAGTGCTCCAACCAGTGCTCCGACGGGTGCGCCGACCACTGCTCCACCCACCACTGCTCCACCCACCACTGCTCCTCCCTCGACTCCTCCACCTACCTCTGCTCCTCCCACGTCAACTCCCCCTCCTAGTAACGGTGTTGCGGAGCACTGGGCTCAGTGCGGAGGTTCGTGTACATTCACATCTTTCTGAAAGTTTCATATGAGGCTGAGGGCGTCTTCACATTCCTGCAGGAACTGGATACACAGGCCCAACAGTTTGTGCCAGCCCATTCACTTGCACTGCTGTCTCGCCACCTTACTACTATCAGGTGTGTTGAGCCTCGCTACCCCTACCATCCACATTTCGGTGCTGACCAAGAATTACTTTGCAATAGTGCCTGTAAAAGCCTTTGTTGGCCATCGAGGCGTGATTGGATGGTTGATAATTTGTATTGCGTTGAATCGAGCAATTGTAATGCGTACGACTGCGAGAAAGAACCCCATCGCGCGCATTGTCTACTACTGAGGATGCACTCATCTGAGAGTGTAATGACCAGTCCTAAGGTGGGGGTGAGGATACTGGAGAAGTGCAATGAGCGAATTTGAGGAAATATGTATCGCGGGGCTGCTGAACTCCCTGGATCACTCACTGATCAGCGCATAATCGTTTCATCAGCAGTGGTTTCTGCGTATGGACCGGTAAGGTCCGCAGCAGGTTGTTCGTTGATCACGGCCCAGACAGATGCTTTGAACTGTAATGCATTAGTGGCCATTAGCGCAACTAGAAAGAAAGGTGCAGAAAGTGGAAAGCGTACTAGCGTGAGCACCAAGCCCATCTTCATCTCGAGTGATCTCAGCTGTTTCAGCAAGCTTTCATCAGGCGTCTCGCTCAGTCTACGCGTCTCTGCTACCAACTACTTATTCGGGGTCAACCTCAAATCCTGATAATTTTTTGCACAGGAACTACTCGCCTCTTTGATGTTTTGAGACAACTTGGCATACTGCCAGAGCACCTCTGCCTCCAGATCTGAAAGATTTGGGTGACCCTCATATGGATTTGTTTCAAACAATGAGCTGGTTAAAGGCGTGGACATGATAAATCACATAGAGGGTCCTGGTTTAGTTGTGTCCTTTTGTCGATGGTGGACGTGAACGATGGAGTGAACGCGTGACGTCACGCGTCAAAGTCACACTTTGAACTACCATACCTACTATATCAGGTTATCCTCATCAACGATGCTGCGTGTCGGTGACAAGAACGCATTAACTTTGTCCTCCGTCAGACAGAGATATCCTGAGGCACGAAGGTTTGCATCTCTGTCTACTCTGCCTTGGGGAGACTATCTTCTCCCACTATCCGAACTGGAATTGAACGGTATATGGAATGCAGCCATGATCAACATGTTCCTACAGGTCCTCTTGGAGGCGGTATGAATCAATGTGAGTGATTTTTATTCATTGTTACCAGACGCGCAATTGGCGAGCCAGCCAATGGGGTGATAGGTAGACCAAAATGGTACCGCATTAGACTAGTGGGGAGCTCTCTACGCGGTTGAGAAGGAAGCGGTTATCAACGGGACGTGGGTTGAAACTGTAAGGGAGGAATGGAAGCCAACAGAATGGGAGCGTGAATTAGTCAGAACGACGGAGCGGAAAATTCGGTGCGACCTATCCCCTTCTCGAGGGCGATTACATGAATCAACGTCCAAACTCGCCATGTAATGACACGTTCCAGGAATGTATCACGGCTCGAACCACGAAACCTGATATATGTGGTAACTCCCATCAGCACTCGGCCGAAAATGGTCCAGTTCATTCCTCATTCTCTTGTTCGTTTCTGGGGCCGTCTAAATGAACTTCTGCTTCCCTGTTGTGTTGGCAGGATAACCGACACATGACAAGTCGTATCCACCCGACAAGGTGGGTGATATAAGAGTCGGCGAAGGGTGTTCAACTCACACAACTCCTCCCCATGACTTTAGATCCAGAAAACATACATTACTCGGACTCTGCTGAAACGCTGACGCGTTCTGCTAGCCAATTTTCTAGCTCTTCCTCGCAAGCCACCCTGAATGAATCGAAGGATTATGAGCCTACGAAGCTGGACTTCCCTGCTAGTAACGATCATCATGACAGTTCGCTGGATGCCAATTCGCATTTCCCGTTGAACATCTCCAGGCTCGGAATGGAGTAGAGAAACTTTGGATTCCTTCCGAGCATTCGAAGCGCAGCCGTACGTTGGTGCTGTGCTTCGACGGCACGGGCGACCAGTTTGACTCTGATGTACGTATCTTATTGAGTCCAACATACCATTGTAGCATGTCAGGCTCACAATGAGGTAATTCCTAGAATTTCAATGTGGTCCAGCTCGTGTCTATCCTCAAGAAGGATGATATCTCAAAGCAACTTGTATATTATCAGGTTCGTTCACAGCGACGCGTTATTGACATTGGCCTTCGCTCAACGTGACTTGGTAGCCGGGTATCGGAACATACGCAGATCCTATTCTCAAGGCACCCGTATTCGAAGCGGTGTCCAAAGCTCTCGATGCGATGCTTGCAACGAACCTTTCTAGCCACATCAAAGGTATTGCATGTCATGCTGGCCTTACTCTAGCTCGAAGTAACTTTGTTTATCATCGTATCAGCCGGATACAGTTTCCTGATGCAGAATTGTAAGCAGTGAATGATATTGTCCCGTTTTGAAGGCTGACATTTACTTTCCCTAGATACGTTGGGCGATAAGATCTGCATATTTGGATTCTCGAGAGGAGCGTACACTGCACGAGCTCTTGCAGGCATGCTCCAGAAGGCATGAAACAGTTGCTTCCATGTTATACTCTATTTCCCGTCATTAACCTTCTTTTTATGCAGGTAGGTTTGCTCTCGCCTCATAATCACCAGCAGATCCCCTTTGCATACGATATGTACAAACGTGAAGATCTTGAAGGATTAGAACTCAGCGAGACATTCAAACGTACTTTCTGTCGTGATGTTGCTGTTGACTTCCTCGGAGTCTGGTAATCTTCCAACGTCGTTTATGCATTTCTGTATGCTTATTAACCGACATGCGTTCAAGGGATACAGTGGCGTCTGTTGGCGCTATCCCTCGTTACCTCCCCTTCATATCAGAGAACAATGGGACTCGCTATTTGAGGCACGTTTTGTTCTCGGAGATTTACCAGAACGCTTACCTGCCGAATGCATACAGCCTTCTCAGGGAAATCAAGGCCACAACACGTTCCTGATGGGTATACAAGCTCTGTTGTCATTCTTGATCTATCCATTCCTTCGACTCTTCGCCATTCTAAGCGTTGTCTCGTCCCACCCAGCCCGACACGTCCATACCCATTCCGTCAAACCGGAGAAGCGTCAAGTCTTACCGGCACGACACAATGCGTCCTCATACAACTTCCTCAAACATACGCCTGCTGAGGCAAGGCAACACGAGGCAGAAGAAGAAAGGAAGGACGCGTTGAGTCCGCTCTATGATCAGTTGGATGCTAGTTGGGCTTGGCACGTACTGGAGTGGATTCCCCAGAGGGTGAAGAAACAAAAGGCGATTGTAAAGGGGTGGGAGAAGGGTGGATATAAGTGGATGTAAGTGTCTTTTCATACGGAGGTGAGCATGAAGCCAATATGACAATCTCGACAGGTGGAACAAAGGTCAAGGTCGCAAGATCTTCAAGGACGAAATGGATCAAGGAATGAAAGTTCATCGGTCTGTCAAGACAAGACTCGAAGCTGGGGAAGCCTTCGCAGAGGGGTTGTATATTCCTAAAGTAAGACCTAACTTACCTAGGAACGATAGGAAACAGGAAGATGGTGGGAAGATTGCAGGGAAGAAGATTGCAGGTAGGGAGCCCGTAAGGTTGAAACATGAGGAGTGGAACGTGGAAGAGCCTGTTCATTGGGAGTGGGTTGATTGACTGAAACGTTCCTCGTGTCTCGATAGTATTAGAGGACAGACCATATTGTAACCATGAGACGGGTTAATTAGAAAGCCATAATGCGCCACAATACATTCCAAGATTCCAGAGTTCCAAAGTTGGTATTGTACATGGGTATAGTTCCAGATGAGTAAACTATATACGTACAAATGCTCTACAGCTGCTAAGTGCAGCCAGCTCATTGTACATGCATGGTCTATAACCGATCCTTGAAGTCCATATTGAATTCACGTCCAATAAGCATCCGTCTAATCTCTTGTGTACCGGCGCCAACTGCGTATAGTCTAGAGTCGCGAAGGATACGGCCTACGGGGTAGTCTGAATACGGAACGTCAATTAGCAAGTCGACATGACATGAGGAGTGAGAAACGAGTACCGTTGATATATCCGTTTCCACCGAGACATTGTTGCGCTTCTAGTGCGACCTCAATGGCTTTCTCAGTAGAATACAAAATCGCTCCAGCACAGTCCTAGAAAGCACAACGCTTGAGAAACAAATGATAAATAATTGAAGATACATTGAGCATACCCTACGGCTAACTTTTCCAGCATCGCAAGCCCGAGCGACGCCATACACGTACGAACGTGAAGCGTTCATCTTGGTGTACATATCCGCAACCTTAGCTGTAAAGAATATTATACACCGGTAAATAAAGAGATATGTAAGAAGAGACGAACCTTGCATAAGTTGGAAAGTGCCGACAGGCTGACCGAATTGCTTTCGGTCGTGTACGTACTCGACTGCATAGTCGAATGCAGCCTGCATCAACCTATGGTAGAAGAAACATAATTAAAATGGTACTGATACGCGCAAGAGCGGGGAAATATACCCCAAAGGACCACCACTCAAAACAAGTCGTTCAAGGTCAAGACCAGACATAAGAACGGCGGCACCCTTATTCACCTCTCCAAGAATATTCTCTAGAAAGCACAATACGACATTCAGACCTCAAACGAAACGTCAGGAAAATAATACGGACCTTCCGGGACAAAGCAATCTTCAAATACAAGTTCACAAGTATCACTTCCCCGCATACCAAATTTATCGAGTTTCTGGTGTGTTGAAAACCCTGGGAAAGTCTTCTCGATGATAAAGGCAGTGATACCTTTGGAACCTTTCTCTGGTGCTGTCTTGGCGTACACAACCAGCGTAGATGCGGTAGGCCCATTAGTTATCCTGAAATGTCCATTCCTCAGTATTGGTGTGACAATCGGAGAGGAAATAACAAAAGCCTACCAGAATTTGTTCCCGTTAAGTTTATACCCGCCTTCCACCTTGTCGGCCCGTAGTTTCATGCTGACGACGTCACTTCCGCTTTCGGGTTCGCTCATAGCCAGACTCCCGACTTTCTTTCCCGAGACCAGATCCGGCAGATATTTCTCCTTCTGAGCTTTGGTTCCCCATCGGTGAATCTAGTAAGGTGATAATATCAAGTTCACATACTACGCAACTCAAAGAATAATGACGCATACTTGGTTGACACAGAGATTCGAATGTGCTCCATACGAAAGTGCAACGGAGCCTGATGCCCGTGAGAGTTCCTCCATTGCAAGTGTATGGTTGAAGTAGCCGAGTTGTAGTCCACCGTACTCAGGTGCTACGGTGATACCTAAGAGGCCCATGTTACCCATCTTCTCCCAAAGATCCTGATAGAATAACGTCATGCTATGAATGATACTGAATGTTCGATGAAACGCACGGATGGGAAATTATTGCTTCTATCAATGTCAGCTGCTCTTGGGGCGACTTCCTTCTGAGCAAATTCAGTAACTGCATTCCGAAACTTTAACAGATACGTATCAATATTCTATAACATGCGCAGAACGAAAGCGCTGAATACCTCTAGCTGTTCTTCTGTCAGTCCAGCAAGGTCGACGTTGTAGAATGACGCATGCCTTCGCTGGATCGTCTGCACGCCTGTTATCGAACGTAGACGAGGAACAACGCGTTGTCGAGTGAGCGATCGAAGCGAAGATGAGAAAGACATTGAAGCAGACGTCAAGTATTCCTGAACAAGTATTGAAAGTTTGCAAACTTGCGGTGGTGGTTGGGGAGGGATTAATGCGGGGAAGACGGGCGCTACCCCGCATTCATTACTGAGATCTTGAGATCCGCCCGCTCGACCACGCGACCAGTCTATTATTACATCCCTCTCTTCAGCCAATCAGAGACTGGACGTTTGCACTTGAAGTATTTATGAACATTGACATTGATACTCGTACTGTAACGTTAGTATGCATGACTCGTACAGACACGTTAGTACAGAAACGACGTTTGGCAGGGGTATCAAAGCTGTAGATATTGTAGACCAAAAGGAAAGCTAGGGTCCGAACGAGAGAACACAAAGAGACGAATGCAGTACTGTATCTCTAAACAAAGCCGACAAATCATAATGCGAGAATCAAAGCGATGTAAAGCAACAAGGCTGCGGTCACATCTATAAAAGTGAAGGTAAGTTACTACTTGAGAATATCAAAAACACATGTCCGACGTACCTGACGCGCTCTGCGCTTGGCTCTAAGCTTGGGACCAACATATATGATAAAAAATATGACCGGAAAGTTAATGAAACACAACGCTCCCAGAATGACATATGTCCAGCCTATACCAACAGCCTTGATGATGAAGTCTATGATAGACACTAATACGGCACCCATGGAGCACCGAATGAGATTATTCTGCAAATCCTGTCAGCCAAGGCAGATAGAGAAAGATATTAGGAGACGCACACATGCCGTGATTGAGGAGCCCTGCGTCGGTGCCAAATCTATGGTGAGTGTCTGTACCGTGTTCATCATGCCTATCACCGTGAAACCCACTTCACAATGGTGTCAGTACAGAATGTTATGAAATGAAAAGTGGACCAAAGACGTACTGATGAAGAGAAGAACAAGCGGAATAGCGATGTTCACCCTCTTCTCTAGGCACCAGCCATAACCGACGCACGCAATGGCAGAAATAATCAGATAGGCCGGCATGATCCTGAATCTCGCCACCTCAATGGGAAAGTCTTCGTCCCTGATCTTCACATCCGGAGGATCGGCCTCTGTGTCAGCGGCCTTGGTGTTTGCGTCGAGCTGGCCTTGGGCTTTCCGCACTAATTTGGCCTTGATATTCCTATATTCCCTATCCAAGATCTTCCCTGTTAGTGTGCCTCCAATCAACATCCCGCCTCCGATACTCAAAAAGCATAAGCCGATATCTGTCTCATTCAAGAACGGATAGACCTCCGTAAAGAGAGACGATATACTCGCGATGACACCATAGAATATAGCGTTGATCATCCCAGAGAAAAACAAGAGGACATCCACGTCTAGGTTGAGGAAGAGGCGGAATGGGTTTGCGAGTGGCTTGGGTGAGGGTCGTTCGGTGTTGACATTGGGCTGGTGACGGAGGAGAATTGGTATTAGGGGTCTATGAGATAGCGGCGCGGTGATACTGCCGTCCCCAACCATAGCGCGAAGGGTTTCAGGGAAGAACCTTTTGTGGAGCTCAACTGTAAGAATGCTCATGAAAACCGATGACGGAACGCTCACAAAAGCATGATAATAAACCAAACACCAGAACAGATAGACAAAAACCAGAAGATAGATCTTTTCGGGAAAATGTCAGGAACATGGTGTAAAGGGCAAAGTTGCGCAGCGATGACTTACCTCCATCCCAAACTTTGAGTTAATGCACCGCCAATGACAGGACCAATGCAAGGGCCAAACTATAGCAACAATCAATAAGCCATATTGCTTCAAGCCGAAAGGTAGTAAATCCTTACCATCGGACCAATGCTGTAGATCCCATAAAATCCCGCCCGTTCAGACTGAGCAGCAATGTCCGCAATCACTCCAGCACCTACGGATACGTCACTCATCAAAAGCAAGTGGTATGACTAGTCCAGAATGATCCGTACCAAGGGCGATCGTGCTCGCAGAGCCCATAGCTTGCACGCACCGCAGCAACATCAGAAGCCAGTAGGCATTAGTAGGGGTGAGAGCCACTCCGACACATGACAATGTAAGGACAAACAAACATGCGAGGAAGATGAGCCGTCGTCCCCATCGGTCGGCTAAAGGTCCCCATATCATTGGCGCTATTCAATGGTCATGTTCAGGGACATTTTAGAGTAAGTATAGAGCTTAGGGGTCAACGTACCAACACCTTGAAGTACCATGTAAACGGTGACAGTCAAGTTAATTAACTCGGTAGACTTGTTGAAAGCCAGAGCCATCGTCGGTATAGCAGGAAAGTAGCTATTCGATGTGAGAGGGCTACAACGACCGATGCATTTGTTTAGTGAAAGAGCACTTAAGTGCACTAGGTGGAATTTCTATACCTAAAGAGACCACCAACGGCGGCCATAGTGACGATGAGCCATTTCTCAGTTTTTGTGAAGGCGCTATAAGGTTTCTCAGGCGTGGTCAATGATGTGTCTTCTGTCTCTTTTCTCTCCACGTCAGGCTCCTTTTTTTCGTCTCCAACAGTTGCAGAAGGCGACTTGTTGACATCATGAACGTTCTGAGAAAGTGCAGTTGCCTGATTGGGTATAAGGGCGGTGGTTTGTCCCGGTTCATTCGCGCCTGCGGTCGGATCGTCTCTAGACATCACTCGCGTTTGAGTGAATGAAATGAATGTGAGGTTCATGTTTAGGTGTAAGTGGAAAGGTGTATATATATCCTTTGTGAACCTGGGAAGCTGTAGTAATTGAGAGTTCTTTCGGGTCCGAAGTCCTCATCGGCCGAGTCAGCTGAGTAGATTAGATTAGATGTTAGTTATGGACGGGAGAGTCGAGAAGGAATTGTTCATTTGTTTTCGGAATACCTTGATAGTAAAAGGAATGTAGAGGTGATGAAGCTAACTCACCGACGTAGGGACTAATCTACTCCTGAGAGTAACGAATGTGGAGAACGAGAAGTATAATTAAGTGGATTACTGTACTTTTACGACCGTTTCGTCGGGGGTTGTGACTGTGACAGGTTTGAAGCATCGGGTGGATGGGGGCTGAGTGATGTGTGACACCATCCGGAATATATGCAAGACCAACCTGGATGAGAGCAATGACGGGCCCGGTCAAGATGATATATCGCTCAAAGACCTTCAGCTTGAAAGTGCCGCGGATGCTTTCAACGGTGAAAGCACGTTGCGAATATCGGAAACACCTCTAGAGCCCTCGTCATTGAGCACATCTGCACCGTCCAGGCGGTGGGTTTAGTATTTTCGAGGGTTCTGGCTAGACTGGCGGAATGTCCAAAGACATGGATTATGGCGTAAAACGATAAATTAACATGCTCACGACTCCGAACTAGAGATAAGAAATGAAAAGATGCCACTTACGAATGTTTCCGAATATATCTAGACACTGAAGTTGATGGGCAATCATACAGCAGAACGGGGCAAAATGCTATAACGAAGTATGACGCACCAGCTTGAGATGGAAAAATGAAACCTGTCTCGAGCCATTCACACCCTGTATCCTCGAGAGGTCAGTAGTTACGATGCCTGCACAGTGGGGGACAGTCTATATCTTAAACTGTTGGACGTCACGGTACAAAGTACCCAGTGCCATTGCTTGGTTCCGCATTATTGCCGTTTGCACAGATGGTCAGAACACTCAAAATCCTTAAAGGCCATAAGCAAGGGTATGCATAACACTTGGGCCATATATAATAGGGCCTCCATGGCATCTGTTGAGGAGTAAAGCAGGCCGTCGTAGAAGAATAAGAGGACGAGATGGTGGCAAAGGAGAAAGATGAATTTGACGCCGGACAGTAGGAAGCCAAGGACTGCCGAATGCTTGGCAAACATGCCTTTCTCTTCAACCACCATCTAGCCTTTCTGAATGTTTTCACAATCGCTTCAGACCATTGTGTGATTCTACTATGGACACTGTTTCATACACAGTACTCACAGCGCCGACGGCGCCGACCTCGCGTACAAGGGTAATCCATTTCGGTACTTCGGTCGAAAACCCTTGGAATTGTAACGGCATTCGATTCACCTCCGATTCACACTTCTCGACATACGATGCGCAAAGTCGCCAAAGCGTTGCCTTCGAAACCCACTGCTGTTCAGATCACCCTTTTCTCGGATACGGGTTGTCACCGCCAGCCAACTGCCTCGCTCTAGACGTGTGTTCAATCTGAGCACAGATAGCAATTCTCTCGCGGTCGATTGGTGCCGCCATCCTCGGTTGGTCATTACTATAGCCTCAATGCACAGATCTAGGTGAAACGGCGTTCATCATGATTCATGACAATTTCATGTCGGAGAAAGTGTCGCACGTCTGACCTCGCTGATCATCGCATCAAGCAGGTCTCAGTAGATGGCTGATTCTTCGAGGGTCCTGATGAAGGGCAGCAGAAATTTCTCGACGAAGAACAGCAGCTTTTGGTTGCTCATCTAGGTCGACGATCGACACGCTGAAAACACGAGAACGCGACGCGTCTTGCACGCGTCGTATCACCTGACTCCGCAATTTACCGGAGGACTCTGATTGGCTAAACAGGCATATGTATTTTCCAAAAATAGCCTGCCCTAGGCTATCAATAGAAGGGTCGCAACAGGGAGATGGAAAAGCATGAGCAGGAGCAGTGCTTTCGTCCTCAATTGGCCTATACTCTGACGTTCGCTTTTAAAAGAGCGCTGTCCTTCTTTCTTTCCTCCCAACTACCACGTTGCGCTATATAACTCTCCTCATCCCGTCATCCTCAAGCACTCTAACGAACCAGCCATGTCACATACCCCACAGTCTGGCAGAGCTACGCCTTTGCACTTCAGAGATATCGTGAGTTGTCACCTTAGCCCATGGCACTTCCACTGTCACTCTGGCCCGCTTTCCCCCACGGAGACCGCTCACGAGATTCATGGACATGACCATACCCTCACACACGCCAAACATGTTGGAGAGCACGTACTGAATGTTCTCTCACAACAGGTTCACGATGTCATGAGACACTACAAGAGCGAGAAGGAGTCAGAAGCTCACAGGGTACGTCTACGTCAATCCTGGAGTAGCATCGTACTGACTTCGTTGCTCCTTGGCAATCCTAGATCTTCCGTGAATCTGCGGGGCACAAGCCTAAAGGCGTTCTCCCTCAGACCGTGAACCCAGTATGTCGTGCTTGTACATTATCCACGCTTGATTCATTTGTTCATACTGTAACTCAGGATGAGGAGACGGTACCAGGTATCAAGCACCCTGGCAGTACCGGTGTTATTTACTGCTCCGACCGTGCCATGGCCAACGGGTTTTCGTATGCGTCTTCTCATGAATGGGCTAATCTGGGGCAAGGCGCACCGGAAGTTGGTCAAATCCCCGACGCGCCTCCAAGGCCTACTGTGGTTGAGCTGCCAACTGATTCATTGGAGTATGCTCCTACTACCGGTGTCAAAGGTATGTCACAAAATTCCAATGGAGACACATGACCTTGACGGCGTTATTTGTTAGCGCTGAGAGAGGCGGTCGCAAACTTGTATAATGTCACTTACCGTCAGGGTAAGAAGAGCCAGTATACCTTCGAGAACGTTTGTATCGTTCCTGGGGGCCGTGCTGGTCTGTCACGTGTCGCAGCCGTCATCGGTGATGTCTACTGCGTAAGCTATGTCTCTCTGTGTGCTCCAAAATCATTGCTCACTATTTTTTTTACTCGCAGTCATACCAAATCCCGGATTATACCGCCTATGACCAGGTTCTTTCTGCGTTCAAACGTCTGGTTCCTGTTCCCACCGCGTAAGTCTACTTTCGCAGTATCACTGGAACATCCACTGACACGTCACTTCAGGCTGGAGCATGAGGTTAGTCCATTAGCGTCGAATTGTCAGTCCAAATATTCATCAATCTTGCCCAACAGAACGAATATCGTATGGATTTGAAGCAAATTCGCGTACGTATGCTTCTTTTTGATGAACCCATCGACACCGATCTTCTTACGTTTAACGTGTTATACAGAAAGACATCCGAATCCAAGGTCTCGAGGTCATTATTGCGTCGAACCCACGTAACCCCACTGGCCAAGTCATCCAAAACTCTGAACTTCAGGATTTAATCACGCTGTCTCATGAGACTAGCACTACTGTCATACTTGATGAGGTACATCAACATGACACGTTCAGGTGTAATTCATTAACTGTTTCATCTTCCGTAGTTCTATTCGTGGTATATCTACCCCGAAGATGAAGCCGACTTCGGTAAATCAGTCTCCTCTGCATCGTTCATTGAGGATGTCAACGAGGACTCCGTCGTTATCGTTGACGGTCTTACCAAGGTTCGTTTGTGACGATTCAAACGGATCTGGACGTAACTGAGATAGTGTGGTGTGTAGAACTGGCGTCTCCCTGGTTGGCGTGTCTGCTGGGTCATAGGACCTAAGAACCTAGTTACTGCGCTTTCTCAGTCGGGGTCCTTCTTGGATGGAGGGGCCAACCACCCGTACGTTTCCGCTGTCCTTGCATAATATTTCACCCATGTTAACGCGACGTCAACCTTAGACTTCAACTTGCCGCGATTCCTCTTCTTGACCCCAAACGTGTCGAAATTGAGCGCTTGGCATTGCAAAAACACTTTAAGCACAAGCGTGATCATGTCTTGAAGCGTCTTGAGAACATGGGTCTGAAAGTCGACATCCCTCCCCAGGCGACATTCTACATCTGGTTGAACCTCGAGCATTTACCTGCTCCTATCAACAACGGATTGGTACGTATCTTCACGTAGGTTGTAGGAATGTAATGCTGATATTGATACTGTGCAGACCTTCTTTGAGGAGCTCTTGAAGGAGAAGACGATCGTCATCCCTGGTATCTTCTTTGATATCAACCCTGCGCATCGACGCAACCTATTCAACTCACCTTGCCATCACTTCGTGCGGTTGTCTTTCGGACCGCCTCTGGAGGATCTGGACAAGGGTACGTTCATTTGTATCCTTCTCACCTGACCTTCCGTGCGCCCCGTGCTGACATTATCTTGCGGCGCTTTCTTAGGTCTTGACGCTATTGGACGCGTGTTGAGGAAAGCCAAGAAGGACGGGATGAATGCATTTGGACATAGCTATAAGAAGAGTGTGGATGGTACTTTCACACCTAAGTTTGTCTAAGCTATGAAGAGGCGGGGGATAGTACATGAGAGCACAACAGATACCTTAGAATTTCTTGGAGAATACACGACATACACAGGTTGGTATGTATCTAATGAGCTTCTTCCATTGGGCATGTATACCAGTAACTCTTGTAATGTGTACTATGGCATGGCAGAATTCTGGCTGCATGAGCGTTTCGCGTCCTGGAGCGTTGTCATTGTGATGGTCTTGCTCCTCCTCGAGTCTCGAGACACGTCGTTCATTTGGATTTATCAGATTAGATCAAGAATAATGCCCGTAAGAACGGGTCGGATCTCCACAGCCAAAGAAAATGAAAGAGGGCCCGAAAGACTGGAAAAGAGGCGACGACAACAAACGATATATATATGACGGACGGATGCATTTTTGTGGTCTTAAGCTTTTATCCAAGTACTGTCACTCCTCGAGATCGAAGTCAAGGACCCGAACTGTATCTGATATCCTGAATCTGTAACAATAGTGTTATCTATCAATCATGATCATGGCCACATCTACTGAGTCCTCTGTTAGCCGATTCCTCCCTGATCCAAAGTCTGTTGCGGTACGTGTACTTGTTATCTTCCATTCTATTGAATGACGTACTCACATTACATATCGCTTATAGATTGTGGGATGCCCCTTCAGGTGAATTTGAACACGTTTTAATAATGACTATGGGATAACGATACTAACCATATGTTAACGCGTTCTAGTGGTGGCCAGGTTCGTCTCGGTTACCCTCCTGCCAACGATGCAAACTCACATTCTATCTGATAGACAAAAGCTGGCGTAGATAAAGGCCCCATTTACCTCGTTGAAGCTGGCCTTCCCCAACAACTCGCTGACCTCGGTTGGCAAGTCCAATTCGACGGACATCACCAGTTCGAAGAGATCTCAGCCGCATCCGACCCTCCCATTGGCAAACTCAAGAACCCCCGGTTTGTCTCGAAAGTATGCCAGGCCGTCGCTCAGGTCGTCGGCGGCCATGCGAAGAAGGGTCAGTTACCGTTAACACTGGGCGGGGACCATTCATTGGTGAGTACAAATCAGAACTAGGAATTTCACGTCGAGAAGCTTAAGGGTTCTTTGATAGGCTATGGGAACTATTTCTGGCACCCTAGAGTAAGTGGTGAACCACTTGATGAACCGAATTCCTATGAACGACTTATTGCAGTACATACCCTGACGCATGTCTCGTTTGGGTCGACGCTCATGCGGATATCAATACCCCTCAGACTACTGATTCTGGTACGTCCCCCACATCTTACATCCCTAATACACCCCCTCCTTACCATTTCTGAAATCATGATCAGGTAATATCCATGGTATGCCCGTCTCCTTCCTCCTAGGCCTCGATACCTCCGTCCCCGAATTTGCCTGGGTCAAACCCAACCTCAAACCCAATAAACTCGTCTACATCGGTCTCCGCGACATCGACGCAGGTGAGAAGAAGATCCTGCGTGAAAACGGTATCAAAGCCTTCTCGATGCACGAAGTCGACAAATGGGGAATCGGGAAAGTCGTGGAGATGGCCTTGGATCATGTGAACCCCAAGAGAGAATCGCCTATCCATCTTAGTTTCGATGTGGACGCATTGGACCCGAGTGTTGCTCCGAGTACGGGTACTCCAGTCAGAGGTGGTTTGACTTTCAGGGAAGGGCATTATATATGCGAGGCGATCTATGAGACTGGATGTCTCGTTGCCCTCGACATTATGGTTCGTGTCAGATCATACGCACTCGCTTCTCTGTTGTTGATATCTTTTGGGTTTGCAGGAGGTCAACCCATCCCTGGCAGACGCAGCTTCAGCTGTACAAACTGTTGCCGTCGGCTGCTCGCTCGCTCGTTCCGCACTCGGTAAGTTTCTGTCTGCCTCACCCGTCTTAAACTACTAACTTCTACGCAGGTGAGACTTTGCTGTAGACAGCCCTCTGGATTCTGAGTTGGGATAATAGAAGAACACATCAATACCGTACAGTCTGTTGCCTCCGAGCATCGTGACATTCACAATAGAATAGTCTGGACAAACATAAAGCTCGTTACATGAATACCAGAATCCTCCCTGCTGAGAACTCTAAAAGGAAGAGTTTTCTATTCGTCAAAATACACCGTAAGGAAATGAATTCCTATTACAACAATGCTCTGTCATCTCAAACCATCATACTATGCTTACATTTATCAAAATCAATCAGTAATAATAGGGTACAGTGTTGTGTTCAGCGCTCCTAAGCCCCGGCACATATGTGAGCTGGGACAAACAGGAGTGCGATAGGTGCGGCCTGAGACGAGAGAAGCAAGCTACTCCGGCAGCACACAGCGGTCGGCGGAGAGGCTGATGTCATTGCCCCACCATACAGGGAAATTATGTGCTGTTCCTGAAGCCCCGAATACGGCCTATCCAAGGTTAACGCGGTGTCAGTATCAATTGGCGAGACATGGAAAGTGACGTACAAAGTTCAGGATGAAACTGATGACTTGGGTTCCACCATCCAAAGCAGCAGCCATGATGTAGCTAGAAACGGCTGTCAGTATCGAAGGGAAGCCAAACATTCCCGTAATATGAACTTACTTGTATTTGGTGAACCATCTCGGATAACGAGTTCGTACCCACCATTGTGAGAAGATACCGAGGACCATCGCGGGGCTAGGCAAGAATGTCAGTCAGCTTGAACGTTTCGGTTAGGGAGACAGAGAGTAGCCTTACTTGACGGAAGTGTTGATACCAACAGAGAGGTAGCAAGAGTACTGCATGATGATCGATGTGTTCAAATTGTTGAACCCAGCCTTAGGCCACAAACGATGCTAAAACAACACAATCAGATGCCAAGATCGTACCGAGAATGGGTATATGCGCATGCATCCAGACGTACCGCAAAATAGAATGGGAATGGCAGGAATATACCTATGGCAAGCGAGATAGGGACCATCTTGTATGTTGCGTGAGGACCGAACATTTGAGGAGCGAGGGCACCCCATGATATGGCGTTAGCTATAGAAGAAATAACATGAGAACGATCGAACGATCATAATGAGACTATCGAAAACAAGGAGGACATACAGTTATATTGCTGGGCGTTCTGGCCAGACCACAAACGTGTGCCCGCAACCGAAAGGAGCGCTAATAAAACGGTACCGTAAGTCAGTTATGACTCGAAACCAAGTACAGCAGCGGAGTGGCTGATATACGGATGGACCTACTTACCCTCACGATTGCTGTTTATGATGGATAACATCATCACATCTGTGAACATATATAGAACCACGTCAGCACACTGAGCACCACGACGCAATACAGGCACTGCGATCAAAAAAACCGAGGACCCTGTCGCGCTAGCACACCGGGATACATAGCGGATACAGTGGAAAGTGGGGAACTCACAGTTAAGGATAGCGCCGACGACGGTACCGATCATTTGCATCGAGAAGGTTACTCGAGGCGCCAACTTGATGTACTGGCCCAATTTTAAGTCTTGCAAGAGGGCGATGCCCTGAATCATAGGGTGTTGACCGTAGAGTGCTCCATACATGTTAGCAACAGGACGTCCTGGGACGATATATGCTGACAACATGAAGAGCATGAGCAATGTTGAGTGGAGAAGCAATGAGAGGTCGAGTTTTACCCGTGATCATCTGGAAGAACCCAGTACCCGAAGACGAGAATTCGTAGAACCCAATAGTCGCAGCGAGCATGCCGTACAGAGCACAGAAAATGAATGAGATAATGGCAAGGACAGTAAGAGCCCACCAAGGCAAGCCAGAATGACCAGTATAATTCGTCGCTTGTGCAATGGCATAGGCAGCGATGAGAATGCCGAGGAACCACCATCGAGGAATGGGCTTGTAGACTTTCATCTTCTCATAATGTTCGTCGTTGATTACCATGGGAGTCTTGTTCCATGGGTTGAGAGACTGGAGGAAAGGCTTGAGATCGTCCCAGTGGTAGAGTCCAACGTGGGTAACTACAGCGCCAAGCGACAAGTTGGAGGTGATGAGGTAGAGAGCGTTCGTCGCAGAGAACCAGGCGGGCTGAGGGAGCGGAGGTGTTAGAGCAGATTAAGAGAAGAGAAAGAGAGACCTACGCCGAGCTGCTCGTACTTGATGGGGTCGAACTTGCCATCTGTTAGAAGCGCAGTCTGGTTGTACTGCGACCCATCTGAAGACTATAGATACAACAAACATCAGCACAAACCAAACTCCCACTTGATGGCAGGTGTCAACTTACGAAGATAGCTTGACTCATGAACGGGAACTGCTTCGCATTCCACAGATTCCCATAATACACTGCGCTCATCAGAATATACGTGAAGATGATGCCGATATCCTGGTTAATCTGCAACCATAGAGGGTTGTACAGACAATTGGAACCAATCAAGTTCCAGTCGAAACTCCAGGAAAGGAGACCCATGCCCTCGTTGTTGCTTGCGCCACCGAAAATGTTGCGGAACACCGGGGAGTGGTTATTGGCGAGACAGAATATCGAGACACCGGTTAGTACTGGGAAGATCCCTGTAACAGAGACAAATTTGATGAATACGGTAGCGTGACACGAGTATATGGACATTGTGGGGCTTACATTGTGGGATGATCTCCCAGACGAACATCACACTGAAAACGGTCCAGAAGAGGCGAACACGCTTGGAAGTCATCTGATTATCGTAATGCAGTGCTTGGAACAAGTTGGCAGGGGAGACTGGGATAATACAACGCATACAATGAGTAAACAATTGCATATGAGCATAATGTTGGTGAAGATCACGTACTATTGGCTGGCCAGAAACACTTAGTAGGCTTTACTAGGACGTCAGATAGCAGACCTGCATAACCATAGCCCAGAAGTTGCGAGCCGATTAATGTGAAGATAGCAATTCCAGCATTCTGTTGAAAGCCTATGAGTTCAGAAAACGGGTCGGACGTCACGGCTGATACGGACCATCTTGTTGTTGTAGTATACTGCAGAAATAGAAATGAGAGTGAGTATACAAGCCGAGCAAGTTAACGGGTGCTAGCACTTACGGTCTTGAACCGAGATGACCTGAATGGCGGTCGCAGAGTTTGCAGCCGTGGACGACATGATGATAATTGCGACATGCTCTTTGACTGAACGGATGTGAACACATTATTTACTCCTTAGGAAGAAGTCTGAACGACGTACTGTTGAACGGCCCAGGGTTGAACCACCTGAAGACACCCTTGTCTGGGATCAACATGTGCATGGCATTGCCGAACCAGTACGAAAGTACAAGCAAGAACAATGTCGAAACAGAGAGCGTCTGAGGCTTGAAGTAATAAATCTGTGCAAGAACACTGGAGAGAGTAAATCGAGTCAGATCCAGAAAGAGTTGACCAATGGACAAAGCGTAACATACGCCCCGAAAGCCGAAAACCCGAGTCCCAAAAATATTGTACGGAAGGTGACTGCTTTGAGCTCAGGGTCGTCCCTGGTAGACAAAACCTGACGGAAGGTATCAAAATCGACGAAGCTTCCAAACAAGGCGATGCATAACCTTACCTTGATGGCAACATCATGGGCATTTTGAACAAGGTATTCTTCGTCGGCGGCTTCATCATGGGCTAACCGCTCCTCGAACGCTTCGACTTCCTGGAGGTGCTTATCGTCGACGACGTCGACATGACCCTCGTCGTCGAACTTCTTCTCGAGAGAATCGTCCGACTCAGAGACGCGCTTCTCGCTTTCGTATGTCGGCAGTTCCGAGGTGGGTGCAGACATGGCTGAGCGGGGAAGGAGCCTTGGAGGAGCCCTGAAGAAACCTCACATCTCTTAGCGGATTATAAACCCATCAGAACCGCTTGTAGTATGGGAGAGTTACGCCCATGCTGTAGGTAGGGAGCACTTTGGGTATCTGCGGCGCTGTAGATGGCAATTGAGTACCATATGCTCCCCGGCGACTTGCCGTCGAATGAGATAACATTCTTAGTCCAGATTCCCGGAAACTCCTCCAACATCCCTTCCTAATCGGGCTACGCGATCGGTGCAAGCCACCGGCCGGCCATCCTCGACTTATCCCATCGCCACTTTTGCTTTGCGACTCGGAACATACGTATGTCTTTTCGTTCTTCTTTTCCAACGTCCATGTTTCTTGCAGACCGATGTCAAGGTTGCGCATTATATCCAATTAGTTCGAGTCTTCAGTTGCCGTTCCCTCGTCTTGAAAATGCGCCGACTTTGCACAGTATTCGTACAGCATGCAGTTCCATGCATATGGGTGTACGAAAACTTCCAATGCTATAGATAGCGGGCTAATTTGCATCACCCAGTTTCCGGAAACTAGAGTGAATTGAGACCTATTGAGATGGACCGTGACAGCGTCGTCTCCGGTCCTCTGGACCAGTCTTCAGGTAAGAATGCTCCCAGATGGCCCATACTCGTTACCACCTCGAAGTTCTGGAATTTCGACAGATGCTGCATCCCATCTTCTCTTCGCTTCCCGCAGCATCACATCCTCGGTCTGTAATCGTCAGCTTTCCATTCGTCCGCCATCTGCTGTGAACAATCTTCCATACGATGCCACACTCATGCTGTATCCATGCTTACCACGCTGCGATACCATCCACGCGATAAGCCATGTGGAGCTTAAATTAGCGTCACCCGATAGTCCCTGAGACTCTTCGTGCGTCGTGCGTGGTATCCCCTAGCAATCACCCGATCAAGAAGCCCTGGTAAGCTGTATATTTTGAACACAAAATCGCGCCGACTCCGCCATCGCGCCTTCTTTACTCATCCTTCGTATCAAGGTTGGCGTCACGTATTTTTGTACGGAGAAGGGTGCAGTAATCGGCCCAGGACCCATTTGAATTCTTTGCTGGACCTTTATGTCATTCTATGACGACTTTGTGCTCTCTTCTTGCATCATGCCGCTCCGTCTGTCCCCCAATGGTGTCGACTCCATTGAAACGGACCGCTGTTTCATGATGAACCCATCCTGATGTATCCTTCCCAATGCCGCATATATAACGCCTCCGAGGTTTCCGTTCGCATCGAATCCTGAAGTTCGTTGTGCCTGGAAGATTGTATGGGCCACTCTATCACACTAAAGCGTCTCGCATGGCTCGATCGTCAACCTGTATCACTCTCAGCTTTTCCAGGCACCAGAGGCAGGGCTCGATGAAGCATTTTCATGTTTCTAGAAGACGTTCGTTTATTCATATGACTTTCCCGTTGGGTACCCCGACGATTTTAATACTGACCGACCGTGCAGCTCTTCAGTCGCTTGATTACTTCACCGTAGATCCTGAGTTTTTCCGTGGAACTCCCTACAAGTCCATTCTCCGTGAAAGAGTGCGCTTGCTCACAAGAAATGCCGCTGCAGCTTTCCACAAATACATCATCACCAAACGGCGCTATCTCTGGCCTTTTTCCTTCCTCGCTAGACCACCCGCGATCAGCTTTCTCCACGGACAGACTGGCGCGCTCGGTGGAGATACTCTTTCACCATGATGCAAATATTCGGCCGCCCTCTCATGGGTTTGAATGATTTCTAATACCTAAGTCATCTTCCCGCGAATGTGGACAACTTCAGTAGGGCGCATGATGTCTTGGCTATTGGTTGGATGCCAAGACTACCTGGTTTCGACGGCTCTTCAATGGGCTGAAGTATGTTATACAAATATAGATAGCACTAAGGCTGCTAAACTTGACACGTAACTCAAATAGACTATTCGTCACCTTTGGCAAGTCTTGCGACTGCTTCCCTGTCACATTTGATGCTTTGCATTTTCCAGATGATTGTTGGTCGCTTGCGCTTCATTTTCTCTCGATCTTGCACCTTTGACATGGGAGGTTGGGATCAGGCTCACTTTCTCATGTCAGGACTCGCCGAGAAAGTGTACCGCCATCCACGTAACCGCAGACTCTTCCATAGACATTCAATATTCTAGGTGTATCAAACTCTATTTCTCCTGGAGTAACTAGATGCGCAAGGTGTCCACAAAAACCACCGATTCATCAAGTTTGCCTTCATGGTCGACCGCGGTAAACCATTGAATGGCCGACTGGGGTCCGGTTACGATGGTGGCGACCAGTGTCCGAGCTCATTACTCAAATCAAGCGTGAACATAAACGTCGAATATAATAGCAGGTCGGCAAACGTGGAGAACGAGATGCCATAATTTAATGAATACCGGGTACGCGCCGCAAATGCAATAAGTATCACATAGTGAGAAGCATAAGATAAGTCGCACTATGAAAAGAAGTTAAAGCGTAGGATCAAACTTCGCAAATGCTGCTTTGAAGCTTTCTGCATCAGCCTTATCTTCCTCTTCGGACTGTACACATTCCTTCCAGTCGAAACGCTCCGGCATGCCCAAGAGGCTGACCAGTACATGTCTTGAAACATGACACATAATTAATCTGCGCTCGCTCAACGATTCAAAACAAAGCCAACTAAAGCACTCACCTTCCGAACTGAACACTAAACGGAACACCATCCCTCATCCAATGAACCAACCTTCTCCCATCAGGCAAATCCACTCGGAAGTATCCTCTATCTCCACTTGTCAACGGGTCCCCCGTCTTTTCAAACTCAAGCTCTGCGCCATGTCGCGCGGCCTCTGAGAGAAACGCCTCGGCGATGGCATCGGAAGAAAAAGAATTGGGCACGGGGACCACCTGAATATGAGCATGACCACCCTTGGCGCTCAGACGTCCAACTTCGAAGGAGATGGGTTGCGCATCATAGGTGGCGTAGAAAGACTTCAAGGCAGTTTTGAATCTAGACAAGAATGATCAGTGTCATTGAAGATGTGACTATAGACTATGGGGTTCCTGGGCGACGTACTGGTTTGTCTCGTCGAAGATCGGCTGAGACAGGTCCGCGGGTATCGTAGAGTAGGTAGGGTAATGAGTAATCGGCACGATGAGGACATGACCACCACCGGGTACTGCAGGGACTTTGGCACTTGGATAGTCGCCAGCGTTGTGTGTCGGAACGATCTGTCCCTTAGGCAGCGTCACGTAACATTCCGAACCAATCGAAACAATTAGGTGTTTGCTATGGAAAAGTTCCGACGTAAGTCGGGGACAAATGTCACGAACCATGTGGAGACCTACGCAATGTTGGGATTCGACAGACAGAACCAACACTCGGTCGCTAGATAGGCCATAGTTAATTTCACATTGACAGGCATGATTTCGACATTCACTTACGGGTAATCTCCTTTGGAGGTCCCCGGGTCTGTGCGTGCGGCTGATTGGCGACCGGGCAGTCTTGAATGTAATGCAACTCGCTCCCGCAAGCTCGGCATACATAACCCTCTCGTGGTTTACGACCACCGGTATCACCTACTGCATTCTTCACTGGGCAGTCGCGGACGAAATGACCAGACTAAGAAGACAAGTCATGAACAGTATAAGAGACTTGAATATTGCTGTGCGGGAGTAGTACGTACCTCATTACATATCTTGCAAATGTAGCCTTCCTTGGGTTTGGCACGATCTGGGCAGTCGGAGATGAAGTGCTAGAGGATGCAGTCGATATGGAGGGTAATACATGTTAGACGAAATAGTGACGCACGTCTGGCGCCTCGCAGATCTTGCACTTGTATCCAGGAGGAGGTTTCCCGTCGTCCGCCACTATGAACGACTAATGAGCAGAGGTACGGACACGAGGAGATACTACACTGACCGATTCTAGTCTTCTTCCCCCTCTGGTTTCCGTTTCCCCATCTAAAATCAGGTGCACCTTCATGTACGCTTTCCAACGGACGCTTTGTACCCCGGTTTAAACCCCTGGCGGTGAACGGATTGGCGGTGGCGTTCGCAGGTTTCGGGGGTGCAGGTGCGTTTGGGTCGTGTGGCGAAATGTTGAACGCATAGAACCACTATCATACGCTCGTGTGTGTTAATGAATGGGTGGTAAGCCTTTGTGGTTCGCTTACTCTCTGTTTCTTACCGGTTGAAGGGTCAGGTCCCCCGCCGAACGAGCCCAAGCTCACAAAACGTGACACCCGTCCACCTTCTTCATCCCAAATGAAAGGTTCTCGTTCCCAGAACGTGGGCGGGTGTTCCCCGCCGCCGCCAGCGACGAAATGGTAGCGCGGTTTTGTACGTCTCACGATTTCAGAAACAGGTTCTGCACCACCTGTAGGGGGAAAATCCGGAGAAGGAAGTGGAGCAGCTGAGAGTGCTGTAATATTGGTTGGGAAGGAATTGGTTAGTAGAATATCGATGAGCTGTGGTGTGCTCGTGGCTGTCTTGATTGCAGCTAATGAGCTGTATGAGCTTTGTATCTTCGGGTTTGACTGTGTTGAGGAGATCATGGTATTGGCCAATAGCTTCTCTACTGTCTGACTCGTGAAGTAAGGTGAAGTGAAGCCCTGTCGCATTGACGTCAGCCATCGGAGTAGAGCTTACGCAGAGTGAACGACTAACGTGAACTGAATCTGAAGCCGAATAGAGGTTGGAATCATAAACGCCTCCAAGACATGCGATACGCAGCCCATGCGCCGTTGTGATCATACCCGACTTATCTGTAAGCCACGGTCAATGTACACGGTAAGGGTCCATATTTTGTAATACTCACGAAGAAGGAAGACGTTCTTGCTCAAAGCACCAGATGTCTTGGCGAACTTCTCAATCACAGGCGGCGGTAACGGATGTTCCCCTTGCATGATGTAACATTCTACAGGAGCTACAATGACATATGGGTAAGTGAAATCGACATTTGCAAACCAGAGAATCAACACCTTCAAGAGAACCGTTAAGCAGCTGTGTCACTTCGTCATCTTCGCCATACTCCTCTTTCGGTGGTCCAAACAAGTCTCCTGTACATAGTGCAAGATCGAATTTCCCATGCTTCGCATCAATAGCTTGAATCTTGGAGAATATCTCTCGGATTGAGCCTGCAGCAGAGCCAACTGTTAAGCTAACAATGTTGCGTTAGCTGCGCATACATGGGACAAGAAATGGGTGTAAGTACATTTTGACGGAAGTTGTTCCAGACATCACAGTTTGATGTGAGGCTCCAGCAAAGAGTCAATATTATGGATGGAGAATAAACAAAGAGTAGACGGTGCCCGAAGGTTTTGAAAGTGCATCCAAGACACCAGCTTAATGTGAGCTTAATCGTTGAGTTCAGAGTTAATCTCGAGCCCGCGGCCGAAAGCCTGAAGGGTGGTGCGCACGGAGACGCCGGATCGTGTACATAATGAAATAGGCAGGTCTTAAACTTCAAATTAGGATGTTGAACGCTGAACTCAGGCTGGACGTTGTGGCTGGGATAAATGCACAACGACACAGTTGCAGAGACGATTGCGTTCTAAGCGATAAGATTCGGCTCAAGTTATGCAGTTGGTAATAAATATCGATCAAATTGAGACATCAAGTATGAGGCTACAACGGAACGTAGGGAAGACATGAGGATGAAAAACTGACAGCAAACCTAATATGGCTACAACGGTGTGTTCCGTACCAAAAAAAAACAAACGGAGAAAACCCAATAGAAGAATTAGCAGGCGTTATGTATAACCTGGAGACGACTATAGAATAAAAACGGAAAACGTGTCGTCAGTGCAACCCGTCGACAATTGCTACGAAAGGACGACCCATAAATTGCGGCAAAAGTGTCCGTTCGAGAGCAGTTTAAGTTAGAGAACCATTAAATGAATGTAACGAGTTTGACAGAGCAGAGGTGAGACTGATGCTCTAGAGGCCGAGTGTTTGGTAGTCGTATGGAACTGCTGCGCCCCACAAGCTAGGATCACAACCTCCAACAGGGGCCTCGCCAGAGGCGCCGAGTTGAGTGGCGTGAACGTTGCTAGTACCAGCAGCAGTCCAAGTTCGGAGGGAATCAGTGTTGGGGTTTCCAGTCCGGAGGAAAGCGCTGTAGCGTGCTTGTATTTCTTGGATAAGTGCTGCTTGTGCTGGAGTAGGGTTTGGGGCAGTGCCGAACTACAAGATAAAGTGTTCAGAGCTTGAAAAGCGAATATAAGACAAGGAACAAGACGTACAACAATCTCTATGTCGTCCTGATGGCAGACGACGCCAGAATCAGTGCAGAAAGGTACTTCCTCGTTTCCAGGGTAGGATGCCCCAACTACGAACTCTCCCACGAATGCCCTGCCACCGTTGGATACCCAGTTCCTAGCAAAGGTCCATGAAGGACATCTCCAAACTTGGTCTGTACCCATCTGTTGCAACTGGGGAGTAACATCAGTCTCTCCACCGTCGCCGTCGGTCGAGTTCGCAGAAGCCGGGACCGCATAGTCAGCAAAAGCGAGGAGTGTGGTAGCGCTCTTCTGCCCGAAAGCACTGTCAACCATAAACTCGTATGTGGCCGGATCCAAGCCTCCGGGGCCAACACCACCATAGATGGTGAAGCCAGCTTCGTCATTGACGGTAGTGATCAAAAGGGGTTTGTTGACCCGAGGGAAAGGCGTGATTGGGGTGAAGGTGCTAGTCACGAGAGTACCATCGTGCACTGGGCGCAGAGGTTCTGCGGGGTTGGCAGCGGGTGTGAGACCTGGAGCGGCACCAGAGAGATCGCTCTCTGCGTTGAGGATGTCAGTGAGGGATAGAGCATTCAAACATGTCGTGTCGGTTGCACTGCAAGAGAGTGATGCCTTGAAGTGGTTGAGTAAGGTCTGGTGAATTTCAGGCGTGTAGAATCCATAGTCCTTGAAACCCCATATAAGAAAAGGTTTGAGACAACATGTGAGTTAGCGCTCACCATGGTGTCAGATTGAAGGATGGCTTGCTTGAACAGGTTTTGTGCAGAAGGGACAGCTAGAAGCGTCCTGATCATGGAAGCACCTGCACTTTGACCGGCAATGGTGATTTGTGACGCATCGCCGCCGAAACTGGGCAAGACTCTCTGCAAGAAGGTCATCGCCGTCATGACATCCTTGACAGCAAGGTTGGTCTCTCCGCTCGGTGCGTAAAGACCCAACTGCAGTATTCCTCAATAAATGCAGGAGACATGAGAGCAAGAGAAGTACATACAGCTCCCAGACGATATTGGATGACTGCCACGATGGAGTTCGTGGCTGTGGCAAGCTTGGAGCCATCAAGACCAGGACCATTTGCGGAACCGAAGGTGAATGAGCCACCATGGATCCTAACTAGAGCGTGAACATCAACATTACGACATCGCAGAGACAGTACATACCACATCAGAGTAGGTGCTTTACTTCCAGACTTGACGGAATCTGGAACATAGAGGACCATGGACAAGCAATCCTCGACGAAGGCTGAAGAATTCAGGTCTGTCTGTGGGCATGCCATGGGCATCGCAGTCGGGTCGCTCTGTCCATTTCTACCTCAACAGCATTAGACGGATACTCTCACTCAAAGGTCATTACATACGGTAGCAGCCAGGATGTAACAACGGTGGAAGCTTGCCAGCGATTATGGTTGGCATATTTGACAGCAAAGCGCGTAGTACCAGAATCATCTGAAGCACCGTGAGCATTTCCAAAAGGCGTTGAGACCGTCAAGGGTGAGCCACCGTCCTGTCTAGGACAGAGGAAACGCTGAACAACTGGAATCGGGAGTCCACACAAGATCCCGCCATGGAATACGGGAGGAAGCCTAGGAAACCCAGGCCTGTGGTCACCGTGAGAACCAGTTGGTAATGCATATGATGGAATGAGGAGCAGCGAAGCGAGGACAGTAGAGACGAAGAAAAGCATGATGCAGAATAATATAATACCAATAAGATAATAACCTGTCAGCGAATGCGAAGTGAGCAGAAGGTAAAAGCCTCGCGGGAGAAATGCTCAAGATGATCCCAAGGCTGCTGAGGGGATGGAACGGACGAACGTTGAGCTTTATGTAGAGAACGACGAGGCAGCCCGTGCCTGCGACCCTGAGACAGACGAGAGATGATGATGGTAAGGAACGTCCAGAGTTGTTTTCTCTCACTTAGAACAATGGCCCGAGGCATGCACAGCGCTACCGGCAGATGCCACGAAGGCGTTGAATACCATACCTTCCTTTCCAGGAAGCCACATTGTTCCCCATAAGGCCACCTTCATCAACGGTGTTCCTGAGCATGCCTCAACAAACCCGTCAATTTCACAGCGAATGTCATTACGCAGTTCTCTGGTCCCCATCTTCCAATCTAGAGACGATTGTGACGCTCACAATTGGCAAATATGCCTTCCGAAATACAGCCTTTATGGTAAATAGAACGACAGTAGGATTCTCCGAGACGGCATGCAATATATTGCATCTTCTGCCGTAGCTATTTTCATTTGCAAAGCCATATGTGTTGTACCTTTTGGTAAGTCCTGACAAGAGAGACTAACCGGTGCATGCAGACAGGCACCATTACTTACTGTTTATCGCTTTTCGTTGAAACCCGCTGAAACCCGCTTTGCCGGCAAGGATGTCATAATTGAATATCACCCGGATGCCCCTGTACATCTAGAAACTCTATTCGGTCTACCAGATGCCGCGGTAAGGAGTGATCGATGGTGCCTGACGCAGTATAATCGCTCAACGCCTGCAATTATGCATAGACATACTTACTGCACCAGCGTCTTCAGGACGTATTGTCTGTCCCTCTACTCACGAAAGACAATCCTATTCCCCAGTCGCGAGATGAGCATTACGAAACATTCATGATGTCCACGGTGGCTCTGAGCTTTTAGGATTGTGCTATGTTAAGGCCATCTCGTAGACAAGGAGCCTAACGACGGTGTTTTCATGGAACATCCTTTGTTTAATATCTGCGCTCCCACGTACTTGCCTCTGTATGTAACCAAGGGTTGGGTTCAGAATAGATGAGAAGCAAAAGACTAAGTTGTGCTATCAATCCCATTCGATGGCAACGAGCGTTGTGGTATCAATACGCAGACCGAAGGGCAGCGAACCGAAGGTGGACAGGCGTCGTACAGCGTAGAGCCTCAGGCCCTCAATGTCGACCTGTTTTAACGCCTCCGATATCATCTGCGAGATCAAAGGATATTCGACATAGCCTGTTATCGGCATGATACTCTCTACAGGGAAAGAACATACCTTCCACTAGTGTCGCGTTGATGAGGATGCAGCCACCTGAGAGGCAGAATCGCTCTTCGTCGGCATACCCGCGATCCAGAAAATAGTCCAAATGAACCTTGTAAAATCTTATCCTAAGAAATATGCAAGCAAGCACTACTCGAGTAGTGATCAGTCACATAAATCCAGAGAGAACAAAGACGGGTGATGATGGTTGCAAAGAGGATTTCGCCCGAGGGAACCAGGAACACACGCAGAGACCTGGAAGGAAATGTCCGAACTTCCGTCTCTGAAGTCATCAATGGGGGATTCTGGGTCAGTGGGAAATTTTTTCACCTGAATATACTGATCTTCCATCGTTCACAGGTGAATCAGACCAGCGCAACGAAATAATCTCGCTACCCTAGGCGCAGGTGGGTTCCGCAATCCCTGCGGAGAATAGATGACAGGGCTGATCATCTTGCTCATACCTAGGCATATGAGCGAAACAATCGTCAATGCCATGGCATTGCTGGTGAAATGGGATTACCTTCAACGGATGGGCGGCCAGAAACACCCGGACAGAGACTGAGAACGATTGAATCATTGTCCCTATCGTATCAAGACGAAACGTATGACTATGGAGTCGTTGAAGTCAAAGAGATCCTGGACACCCTAGGTGAGTAACAGAAAGCGTCGAAACAAATGACTTAAGCATGTACGCGCTGGTGTTATAGCGGTCCCAATTAGTAGCCTCCTGCATTTTGTTCAGCATAAACATCGACACTCCGTCTCGATCAAAAGGGAACGACAGAAACTCAGGAACTACAGCATAGATGTGTGAGATTGGCTCTCATCACCCATTCAAACGATGAACGTGGCTCGTCATCTTTCTGTATGTCTTTCTTCGGGTAGGCTATATTGTCTACGATTCCGACATGTGTCTTCTAGCACTCGTGTTTGAATAGATGTGAAGTTAGCCTTCATTATTCACTATCGATTAGAAGTTCAGCTTACCTTGTCTTTGGTCTAAACGAGATCAAAGTTGGGAGACAATAATGCCGTTGGCGTTTATGATAGAATGAAGCATTGCGTAATGAGATGATTGACCAAAGAGAATGCTACGGTAAGTAAAGCACAAGTGTGAGGGTCTTACCTTCTATCGGAAGAGACAGAAACAGTAAACATAAGGATGCATTCTTTAGGACGAATATCCTCACGGCGAGATGTCCGAAGCCTCCCAGACTAGGTACAGACACAGGAAAACGGAAAGAACCATGAACCGTCCGTGACCGGCGTGGGACCAGCACTTGATACGGCTGGGGATCGTCGTAGTGAAACTCATGTGTGGAAAATATTTCGAAAAGGTACAGGAGAGGCTCGAGTAGATGCTCCATCGGAGCTTTGTCAGACCTTGACATCAGCATAACGTGCGATGATCATGAGGGGGAATAGTTTCGTACTCGTAGATTCCGTACTAATCTTCCCAATTGGGAAGATACATTACAGCTTCGCATTCTGAGCGAAAGTGTGCTCCTCGATCTCATTGAAGATGTCAAAATTACGCTGCAAATCAATATTCGCAGCGAGCTGCATAAGTGAGTTTCAGCGAGGCCAACGGAGGCTATCAGTTCACATGATCATGAATTACACTCACCCCTCCACTCGTAAACGTGATTACACTGCGATGCCGACGGCCAGGAGATCCATTCCTGGTCTCATCGCCCTCATACGTTAGTGTAGTTCGCCCCTGGTCGTCCTTGGGCAATGCCCGCGGATTGATAATCATCCTTCCAAAAGGGCCCCTCGACAATTCTTCTACGCTAGCGCGTTGATCAGGAGTATTATTCAAACCTTGTAATATGTCGGACAGGGTGGTCAAAAGATAGAACTGTGGAGGGAACAGGGCGATCTTGCGTGCCTTGAACTCTTGTATTGCGGCAGATGGATGCACGAAGCGTGCCGCGATGACTTCTTGGCTTTTGTCTGGAGTAGGTAGTCGTTCTTCCTTATCGCCTGATGAGAACCCTATTGAACCTGCCGCGTTTAGGAAGACCACATAGAATTGCGTGTGGAAACGTCTGGAAACATCAAACGGAAATAGTACAAATGAGGCACACTAGAAATGTTTAAAAAAATACCTCGGAACAGTCGGTGGTGTTACCCATTGTGTAATGGGTAAAAGAAATCGTTCATCAATGTCCAGCTCATGCTGCGTAAGGAAGTCCTTCAATAAGAGTTTCCGTGAATGGATCGCATCACGCGCTTCGTCCAGTACGTGGTCATTAGGAAGCGTTCCTTTACGCGAAGACACCAGTAATAAGCCGGTCTCTTCGAAGGTTTCCCGTACTGCTGTTACAATTAAGGAATCGTCTTGCGTTGAATCATAATTCCCGCCTGGGAAGACCTTACAGTTTTATGCATGAAACCGACGGACAGCGGACAAACCAGACGTAAGACGTACATGAGCCTTCGCAAATGATCCAGCATTCGGGTTTCGGTGGACCAAAAGCACCTCATTTCGAGGATTGACAACTATCAGACTTGCTGAAGGCCGAGGACGACCGGGCGGCTTGGAGCCTGACCTTCCTTGTGACATCGTACGAACCAGATTATGAACGTGAAGGTAGTTCTTGAGGCCTACTGTGCGTTCTAGTGGCCTTTTAACGATTCGTAACACTTGTTGGAAATTGTAAAGACGAAACATTCCCATTCAAAAAGTTTATTTAAACCAAGCCCACGAATTCGATTTAGGATTGAGCGCTTGTGATGGATCGGAACATTGAAGAAGCCGGGACCCATATGCCACATTTCACGGATGCGGCTTGCTTCCTCGATGCTCGATTGGCAAGATACAAATAGATTCTGTTCAACCAAATTGGGATAGCTGAGAAGACCCATAGGGACCAATGACAACACATCGAGCATAGACTTCAACGAGACTGAAGAACATGAATGCCAATATCCGAGGTGAAGCAATAGCCTTTCTTCTCTTGGGAAAGGTATTTGAGGTGAAATCTTAAGTCAGAAGTGAGTAAAACAAGACTACAGTTCTGACCTGACCGATGCAATCAAGGTCGGGATATGCTACAATAACAATTGAGGTATATTACAAGCCCGTGAGCATAGCAGAATAGTGAGGGTATGGTATGCGTGATTGCCTTGCTTTGCTATGGAGGAGCGCTAAGAAGCCCAAGTAGCCCAAGAAGAACAGCTGAAGACCTTGCATGCAATAACTCAGAGGTACGATTTCTAGCGTTCCGCCACGAAAGAGCACGAGCCATATCTGCCGGATAGTTGCTTTTCTCTAGTTTGGTGGCAACATACGAGCGACGTGTTTCCAGTCCTGTAACGTACGACGAGCAATCTGTGAAACGAAACCGTTACGCTGAAACTTCAGAACTGACCTTGTGGTTAACGTTGGTGAAATCACCATGAGTATTGGCGATGTGCACTAAGTACCGCGCAACCTTCTCAAGCTCTCTGTCAGCCATGGCCGGTGGGGTATGTGCATCTTTGAAAGCCGATATCTTCAAACCTTGGTTGGGGTTTAAGGCGAAGTTTCGACCCTAGGTGGAGATTAGTGTGTTGGGTGACATAAGACCGTTATCACAGACTTACGAGGTCATCGACATGTATCGTATTATGGGGTCCACTGTGCAAATATATATGAATATACTGATATAGAGCTAGAACTCAGACTTACTAGTGTGGGAAGTGATTCCAGATGATCTGGAGGGCTTTTACTGAATGTTTATACTGTTTGCCTTCCCTGGTAGAAAATACAGTGAACATGCATGTCTTGTCAAGAACTATTCCCGATTAGCAGAACGTCAGTTCTTTATTGAGACAGAGAGGAGAACCGAGCTTACCAAATGAAATCTATAGATTATGGTTAGCTTTCGTACAGAGCATCATAAGCGAGGGACGGGTAACGACGTCACCTGATAGTTTCGAGTTCCCCCTAGCATGCCTAGTTCAACAAGTTTCGTCTCGAGCCAGATCCAACTTGTTTGTGACCTGATGAAGGTTTTTGTTAATATTAGGCGTATTTCTTTTCAGAATGACGTACCATATGCAAATATCATAGTGTTCATAGACGGCCTCCAGGAATTCGTGAAGACGGGGTCGTGCACACTCATGAGGAGGAAGGGCACCAGACGTCAGGGGCTTCGTATCCAAAATAGCTGTTGCGACATGATATCTCGAATCAAATTCAGCAATACATTGGCAACGACGTCCTTACTATAGTCGATGTCAAGAACCAGTAGTCGTTTGCCTTCTCGTAATGGATGTATGATATTGACCTTCAGTCTCTCGGTATGCTCCTTGACTTTGCGGATATTCCTCTGGTCGTTCTGGTATGACTTGGCTGCCTTAGGATCCGAGCTGAAGTCGATATCCAGATCATTGACCACGTCAGGAAGAAATTCAAGCTCTGCATTGTGGAATGTCAATGGTCAGACACAATATGGAAGGTGTGGATCGATAATTGAATTCGAGACTCACGAGAAGGGTCCTTTATTTCATGCCCTTCAGGAGTGCCGATAAGCGTAAACTTCTTCCCAATGGAAAGCTTCAGGTCACGACTACAATATATGATATTCAAGATTAGTACGCCAGTCATAGTAAATCTAGAGTGTGTCACGAACATAGTTACTTCATCTGAGGGGAGCTTCCCCTTCACAAGGCCCAGGATCTTCTGACGTTCTGGCGGCACATTGGTCTGCTCTTGAAGTGCCGCTTTCAGGTCGAAGACTCTACGTGGTGTTATACATTCAGAGAACGAAAATATTCGGATTGAAAGACTCAAACCTGTCAGATTCTGCCATGCTCAAAGAATATGGCTTGCCTGACCAAGCAAAGTTGAGTTTGATCCATTGCTCATTCGCGAGTTCGGGGTCTGGAAGGTTTGTCTGAACTTTCAGAGTAAGTACACTATCCCATACCGAATAAATCAAGTCATACCCACCTCTTCTACAACCATAATTGTCTCAGTGATAGTCGCTTCCACCGATCCGTTCTCAGGATCATCAGTAGGCGGTACATTGCTCGTTACGACCTCGGAAGGGTTTTCGGTTTGCGAATCTGTGACAGACAACATTGAAGCGGCCCTATAGAAACCTGGAGAACCGAAAAACAAAGGAAATGAAGTTGGTCCAGAGTCGTTGTTGAGATGTTGGTGGCATCAAAGATGGACGCGTACCAGAACCATCACGATCACTCTGGACACGCGCAAGTCGATCGCGATCGTACGCGAGAACACTTCATTCTAAAGTACAGTTGCAACAGGTTGCAACTCAGGGCCTGAGGATATCGTGGTTGGCTAGTCTATTTAACATTCAAGGCCTCGTCCTGAATGCGTCCAAACAATATACATACTAAATACACTACAACATTAGACAAAACCTCCGAGAAATCGATATATGACAATAAAGAAAATCGTGATCGGACCGAATGCAGGTATGAATGTAGCAGAGTCAAGAAGATGGCGATCGTGTGCGGCGCATCTTCTTGAATGGACGAGGGGATGGTAATAGGACTTCGACGCGTTTGCGTGACTTGGGTGTTGTGGATACCAGACTCTCCAGTGAATCAAGAGGAGTAGCCGGAGGGATAGAATTCTCGTCAATATCTATTGACATATTCGAGGTAGCCATTTGGGTGCTTGTCTGGCTCGGAGCAGGTTGCTGATGTTCTTTTGGCTCAATTTCGATGATAATCTTCTCCACTTCCTCGACGTAGTCAGACTCAGGAGCAGGAGTTCGCTTTCGTCTTCGCCCTGGTGTAGTAGCTATGGTATGTTTGGCCTTCGGTTTTGATTTCTTCCCCGAGAATTTCGGATCTCCATCTTTCTCTGCAACGAAACAAATGTCCACCGGAACACCCGCACGCGCGAGCACGTCTATCCAAACCTAGAGCGTGCCTTGTTATTCTCAGATCATCTTGACGTCCACTACTTATATGCATACCTTTTGGTTCTCTTGGAGGCTATCACCGGGACCCTTAACCTCAACAAATTTGCACAGATTCTCCTCAATATTCCATACGATGAGGTCGGGAACTCCAGCGGTACGGCCAGCATAGTCTTCGCAGAGTAATTGGCAGATTGTGGCCAATCCTTCTCCTCCAAGACACTGCGGGGGAAACATGTAAACAATACATTACGCTGCATCTGAAATCAAATGATACCTCTGAAATCTCAAGCAGGTCTTGTTTTTGGAACAATTCCCACCTCACACCAACGCACATGGTTTTCGTCTCCCGATGCTCATCGTCAAAGCGAGCAATGATCTTTGGTGCCTTGCCATCCCGAATCTCTTTGAGTCTTTCATCAATCATATCTTGCCTCGAGATATAGAATGTGTCTTCAGCGATATCAAGAGGGGCAGACTGATACGAAGTCTCGAAAGCACCAGGAATGGCTGCGAAAAGAACATCCCAGAAAAGGAGACCGAAGAGAGTGGTGACTATGCGACCTTCGCAATGAAACCTGGAAGGCAATTGTATGAGCTAATATACCGGAGGTACAATGAGGACATGACATACCCTTTGAAACCACGTTCTTCGTAGTGCCGCAAGGCAAATATCTCGACCGTAACTTCTTCGCCATCCCGACCCTCCCAAATAGACTTGCCATTAGTTTTTTGCTCTAACTGTGACAATTGAGTAATGCAGTCCCTCACATCAAGGCCTCTGGTACCTACCTCAGGCTTTATGTTCGACTTTGGGTCGGGGGACCTGAGCAAAGATAAGTCGAATACCTTCAACTCGGAACGTGTAGATTTTGTCGGCGAACTGACGATCTTGAAGTTCTTATCCAATTTCAGAGTTTGGGCTTGATGCTGCACTCTAGTCCCAATGATATGTACTTCCTCGGCTTTCTTGAGCACGCCTTCACAAACAAAACGCTCATGAGGCTGGAACTTGAGTTTGTTCTCTAGACGTGTGAGTCGTCGCACCAGGGCAGGTCGATGTACTATAAATCGGGAATAAGCGCTGGTAAGCACTTGTGAAGGAAAGCAGTCGAAGGAGAGGAAACATACCGATATGTGTATCATTGTCTTCCAATCCTGCAGTCGTTGCCTTTCGAGCCTCTTCATACATGTCCTTGGTTTTCTCCGTGTGAGTCATGAGAATCAAAGCTTTTCGCTCATGCCATCTTCCACGCCGACCCCGTCTCCACTTCCTCTGAGAAAGCAACATCTCTAGAACTCTCAGCTCTTCCCCAAATTCTTTGAGAATACCAAGCGCATATGTGCCCTTGCAAACAATACGAGTTAGAATATGCCCTGTGCAGTGGTCAGTATCTGTTTGAGTAGTGACTCGGAGAAACGCATACCGCATTCAAAGCGTCGAAGAGAACTGTGCCGTTCGTCTACGTATTCGTCTTTAGTGGTAAGAAGAATCTCCCACTTTGGAAGAACCTCTTGGAGGATAGCTTTCACAAATTTTGCCGCCTGAACTCGCGGGCTATCTTCCTTCACCTCCGGGACATACTCTACACCATCATCTTCGTTCTGTCCTCTTGTTGAGCGCCGTTTACTTGGACTCTCAGTCGGAGGTCTGCAACGAGCAGTGGGAGCGGGGGTCTTGCTTGCGACGCTTCTGAAACGACTTCTATTAGATGTAACGCCGTCGAAATGGGCATCCACTTGTGCTTCAAGCTCAAGCGCCTTCTCGTATTCCAAAAGAGCTTCTCGGGTAGGCCAAATGTCCAGCGTACGTTCCGCTGTGTATGCTGCATAAGTTCTTTTGCGAGCTTGAGCAAGTATAGAAGGTGTGAGCAAGGTCGAAGTGTGCTGAGTGCTGGATTGTTAAATCAGTCTATCTATCTGTCTTGGTGCGAACATTATAACAATGGCATTACCTTCGGAAATATACGAGATTCACTCGTTGGAACAATTTCACAACGTCGTTATTGAGATGAACACAATGTTCTGAAGGTAGAGTAAGTGGATTGCTCAAAAGTGCATAAGTCACTACGTGTACTCACGAAGGATTTTCATGACAATGACTCGTAGCAGACCGAGTTGAGTTTGCCGCTTCTCAGTCGCATTTAAGGATGTGAATGTCAGTTTAGTTTGAATAAACCCGGCTTTCTTTGATTTGACTGGTGTGGTTGATAGTTTTGCGAAAGGCAATGTTGATTGGGTTGAAGTAGTCTTTAATAGGGCCTCAACGATGCGTGTCCGCTACACGAAAAGTCAATCCGGAGGTGGTATTACCATGATAAGTATACTTACGGGTCCTTTCCAATCCGCTTTCGTCTGCTTCGCGACCTCTCGAAGCTCGTCCAGAGTCAAACAGTCCAGCAGTTCGCAAAGTTCTGCTCGTGAATCGTCATCGGCAAAGTCGCTGAGGTCGGGTTCGGCAGGTACTGGCGGCGGCGGCGGAGGTAATTTGGATGGACCGGCAACAGGCTGGGAGCAAGCCTCGTCGAGCGTCAGGTCAATGGGTTCAATCTTGACCTGCTGAAAATGGGATGTCTTCTTGGGGTCTCCTCCGCACAACTCTCGAATGGCATCCGGAATGCCGTCACCTAACTCGCTCCGGTATTTGAGGTTGCTCAGCCGATGCCATTTATCGTTTTTGCGTAGACAAAGCCGTATCAATAGATATCGAGCGTTATCTGAGTAGAAATATGAGTTTCGGTGACCAGAAATGAATTTATCGACGAGACGTACAGCTAAGCTCAGAGTATCGCTTGAAGCACACTATTTCCCGAGGTGAGAAGAGATGCCTCTCATTCGCAAGGACAGTCTTGAGCGCATCTGCAACATTCCCATTAAACAGAATTAAACGAGGGTGATTTTGGAAGGTACATACCTTCAAACAGAGTAACATACATCGATTCCGGTTTACCAGTTGCAGCCTCTGGCTCAAATCCCCCCTCCGAGTCTAGGTCCTCGGTTGTTTTCTCTTCCCCCTCACCCCCATATATAAAGCTGTTTATTCTTGCTGTTGTCGGAGAGCCTATACTCATGTTTCGATGAGTAGAGTGAATGGTAAAGCGTGAAAATCGGCAGTCGATATTTCGACTTTGGTTCACGAATGAACAGCAGACTATTCAAACGATAGCAACAGAAGGGCTGTTGTACCCGTATCTTCGAGACAGGGAGGTAAAATGATGGACAGCGGTCGCTTTGCTAAAAGGGGTGAGAGAAAACACTGACAGTCTGACACTGACAAGAGTCAACGAATACGCGAGTCGTCACGGTCGCGTTGTTCACGTGCTTCGTGACTCGGTGATGTCGATGAGGACGCCCAGCGCGAAACGCTTCAACGCACAACAAGGTGAAAGCAAATATCGTAAGGTCGTTGCAGGATCGTCAAGGTATCATCAGGACATACAATAACATAGACTATCATCTAAGAATTGGTGTGACCGGCAGGATCCAGTCAAGAATCAATAACCTCTCCGCAATCTCTCATTCTCTTCCCTCAACCGCCTATTGTCATCCCTAATTTCCTTCAACTCCTCTCCCCACTCCTCCATCGCCTCCTTCATCTCTTTCCTCCAACTTCTTCCCATGCGTACCAAATCCAGATGCAGACCAATGATCTCGGCTTTAGTTTCCCTTCGGAAATCATACAAAGCGTCGCGAATGAGCGTATGAAGCAGATCGTGAGCTGGGTTTGACGATGGTCCGGGTTGACCAGCAGTTGATGGACCATCGTTCAAATGTGAGGTATGAGAATTACGGAGCGGCGAGGGTACGGCCGTCCATGTCGACGATGCTTTTGTTTGGGGAAGCGGTCGACGAGGCGAAATTTGAACCGTGAGTTCGATCTTAGCCTCTTGAAGTTGTGGACCTGTGTCATCGCTACCTGGCGAGTTGTGGTCTGAGCGCGAGCCTGAACTTGAGGCTACTGGTGCGGTAGAATCCTCAGCGAATCCTACCCGTCGGCCTTCCTTTTTCTCTTCGTCCCCAGCTTCGACCCATCTGCGAACTTCAGGCGTACCCAATCCCAAGATATTCAGACCGGCATCCATCTCCCTTGCTTTGCCTTTATTCTTCTTGGGCAAAGGAGTGACCGGAATGTTATCAGGTATAAAAAGATCAGGGCTGGGAGAACGCGACTCAGAAAACCTGATCGAGGTCAGCTGCTCTTCATGGAAAGCAGCGGGCAGCTTTGGAACGGGCGGGATAGGTGAAACGGGGTCGATAGAGGGTTTCTTTCCTAGAGTAGGGGAAGTCTTGGCCGTTGATGTGGAAACTGCACTACTGCTCGTACCGGAGGCTGTTCGTGAGGAAGTAGACGTGCGAGACGTAGATGAGACAGTACGTTGACGTGCACCCGAACCTGCTGAGACACGAGACGTCATTGAAGTAGTACGGGTCCGTCTGCTGTCTGTCTTTGGATTTACATTCTCCTTCCGCGTTTTTGGGAGATCAAGCAGGTCCTCAGCAGAGACTATGAGGAGTGTTAGACTGTAGATGCTGTCAAGCAACTTGACTTACTAGAAACATCCAGTTTTCCATCTGCGGCAGACTTTGTAGCTTTGAGACTCCTGCCGGTATTAGACTCAGACGAATTCGACGGTTTCATCGTCATTGAGGCTCGTCCAACCACAGTGGCTGGCCTTGCTGGGGTACTGACAGCTCGTGTACTAGGTGACGTAGGGCCGATACTCGAAATAGTTCGCGTTCGTATGGGAGGCCGTGGAGTTAGTGTCAAATTCGTCGCGCTAGTGCTCCGAGGCTTTGTCGATGCTGAGGTAACAGAAGTGGTCCGACTACGGGGAGGAGAGATGGCCGACGCAGGCTTTAGTTTCGTAGGGACTGGGGGCTTCTTCTCAGTGCTCGCGCCAGCTGCTCGACGGATAGGTGTCTTATTCACATCCTGCGGGGCGAGAGGCTTCACTGTTGACGGCTTTGGACCTTGCCCTGATTTAAGCTTCCTCTGAAAATCGCGTCATTACCTTGCAATTTGCTGATACGCATGGAACATAATTCACCTGTACAGCCATGCATACTACGCTTTCCCCTCCCTGGCTGATGGAGATAGTTTTGGGTGGTTTGTCAAGTGTACGTAGGTCAAGTACGAGAATTTTTCCATTCTCAGTGCCTGCATACAATGAAGCGCCTTCTGGGGAGAAGGCTAAGGTTGTTAAAGGTGCTCGAAGCGACAGGCTTCGGAGCAAGCTGTTGACAGGATTACGTCACAAACCATTTGTATGTAGAATAGATGCACTCACCCTTTCTCCTTATCAAGGTCAACAAGACCAACTGTCCCTCCGCTGCATGCAACAGCAATCAGGCTTTTGCTAAAAGGGCTGCAGGTAATAGCGACAATGTGGCCTTTAGCCTTGTCCACGGAAATAATCCTTGCATGACTTGAGGGCCTAGATGTGTCGTAGATGGCCACCTGAGTATCGATAGCGAGGAGGAGGCGCGTTCGTATATGTGGGTGAAAAGTGCATGTCGTAATCTCTCCAGAAGGTAAACCTCGGAGAACAGTGTGAGATGCGAGAGTCAGATTATGTACAAGTACAGAGTCTGTAGACGTTGAGGCAAGGAGCGTGGTGTCATTCGATAACGAGAGTGAAACGATAGGCGACTTATGAGAGTCAATCTTCTGAACGACTTTGCTCGAATGTGTTTCCAAGATAACGATTTCGGACTGGCTGCTAAAGATAACAGTGTTTCCTTTATCTCTGCATGTAATAGCAGTTACAGGATGGTTCGTTTCAAAGATGGTGCCAACGTGGTTTCCTGCAGGGTCGAGCTTGTGGATGGTATTGCCCTGAGATACAAAGATGAAAGAGTTGTCCGGGGACCAGGTAATAACAGATGGTAAGTCAAGAGTAGTTGTTGGGCTGACCACCGTAGGTGAACGTTTAATGGTAGGAGAATCAAGAAGCGTGAGCGTGGAAGAGGTGCAGACGGCCAGCATAGTGTAAGTAGTTCCTTCAACCAGATTTCAAAAGCCTGAGAAGAGAACGCAATAGTCCACCGATTCTGTATGTGAGCAGGCCGCTTAGTTATAATGTGTTTTGGGTAGAATGTCCTACTTACATGGAGGTCAACTGAACGGCCATAATCGAACAATATTTGAACGCGATGCGCGACGCGTCACGCACGTGTAGCTTACGTAAGTGCCTTCAGCCTACGAAAGGAAACTCGCCTCGTTCTGTAGCTATGTAGAGAATTGGATATTCTCATCGTTCAGACAATATAACCAACGGGAGAAGCTATAAATTACATAGTAAGACACCAGTACCGCTCTATGGTTACAAGACGAACAATTAGCCCTAAAAGTAATGTATCGCAACCTCTAATACAACATCTAGATCATCATAAATTATGAGCAGACAAAACATATGTGAAGAGTGTCATGGAAGCAGCTGTAAACCCCAGCAGACCTGCAACGGACATTCACAAGCAGGAAACACGTAGGGTACCTCTTCCCAGGAAGTTGGGCAACCGTGACTCAAGCTCCCTGCGCACCTCACCCTCCAGGGATGAGCCGCATTCCCTCCTGGTGCAGTTTACGTAGAACCTCAATAGCAAACCGTTGAATTCGCGTCTAGAAAGTTCTCGATCGATCCTGAGCCAATCCAGCGATTGCAAATCGCAAACGTCAGGAAGTTCCAGTTCGAAGATGACTTCGCGAAGTGATGAAGAGCTAATCTGGCCAAGCATGACTGCTACCCACGTGAAAAGGCGGTTTGAAAATAGTGTTTGCGTCGCGGCAGCGGAAACATCGAGACCGCCAAAGTGAAGTGTGCGCAACCCGGTATTGTGAGAGAGCGTCAACTGGTTCTGCAGTAATACTATGATGGCGAGCGTCGTTGATACGAGTAACGAAAGTGATAGACTAGGATGCTGCTCACCTTCCTCTGATAATCCGAAAGGGAACTCAATCCTCAGACACTCCAGCTCAGACTCACTGGCACGAGTATTCTCTATTTCTCTCCAGCACAGCTGAATGGTTCTCAATCGTTGCTCGGAAGCACGATTCAGAAGCCATTCCGTGACTAATGTTGGCGAGGATTTAGGGTCGAGGAATAGATATGTAAGGCCCATGCATTTCGCAACACGGCCGCCAGTGTCCGAGACCTGTGAGGCAGGTGACTCACGATCCCAAGATACACCGTGGAAGTAGAGCTCTGATAGGATAGGGAACTCGAAGAGAAATCCTAGAACGTCGCCTGATGCATCGAATCGTACCTCGAATAGAAGTAGCATCTTGACTGATTTGAACACAACCGCGAACGCGCTCTTGGTCTCTGGCAGAAGTGAACTCCACTTCACCCTGGATAGCGCTAGCGTGTGGACTCTGTAAAGCTTTGACAGTAGAGTGGACATCTGGTTAACCCAAGCGTCGTCCTCGCATGCCCGTCCGTTGGAATCGACACCCTTGTACTCGGCACTAACGGTGAGCTTACGAACGCAATGAGCAATAACGGGTGAAGCGTCCAGCAGAGCCGATAACTTTGTACAATCATCAGCACTCCGCACTCGGACAGTACGGAAAAGATGAAGACGGCTTGTTGGGACCCAACTTCGACAGGTCAGACTACAAGCCTCCAGGGCTTCGTGGTCATCCCATAAGTGGTCGATCGCCTGGTCGATCAGCTCCGGGGGAAGAACTGGCGGGGTACTAGACATGACCGGTGACCCCTTCCTTCTGTGCATTGTTGTCAGAGACATGTCAGCTCAGCGGGTATGCAGCTAGCACTTACTCCGTGGACGAAGAGCGATAACAGCTGGCAACAAGAACGCTAGAGACTCATATTTTTGGCCAATGCGTAAGCGCTGGAAAAGCATTGGAATTCAAAAAAAAAAAAACTTTGGACTGAGCGTTTCATTGAATACATGAAGCGTCCACTGATACACCGTTCGACATAAACCATGAGAAACGATACTGCAAAGAAAGCGAGTCAGTCGCAGTGTCCTTGATAAGTCATGGAAGTTCAAAGTATTTCGGTAAGAGTACAAGTCGACGACGCCTATGTAGATAGCCGTAAAACTTCTATATTTGGTCTGTGTCTGGACCCGAGCCTGGCAGCGTGTAGCCCGGTGTGCAGCACCTCCATTTCGACTAAAGTACTCGACTTGTCCTATAACTGTATTCTCTCAAACTCTTTGCTGGTGACCTTATCGGACAGCAACATGTCCGGCTCAATAACGTGTTCCACGCTGAGGTCAATGGGCAGGCCTTTGCGACACGCAGCGCGCCCACAACGCTTGCCGATCCAGTGTGCACTTCGTCAAAATATGTTGATCTTCGCGCGACAAAAGTCAACAGCAAATGCTGGACCTTCTTTGGCATCAAAAACAGCGAGCAAGCAAGCGGGCAGTACGACAACGAAACCTGCTCCTAGCCAGGCAGAGAAGGAGTCATTGCCTTGGTCAGAATACCTGGCTATCCGAAGGCGCAAGCGGAGATGGGAGACAGTGAGTAAATCTCGGCTTGTCACTCTATCTGTTCTCTGACCGGTACCTATGTTAATTGTAGGCTGTCACCATTCCGTTGACTATTGCTGGATTTGCTGGCGGTGTCATGTATTTCGGGAGTCTCGAGATGGACCCTACGAAACCCATCTTTGTAAGTCTTTCGGTGCTCTCTGTGACGCCGTATTTGACTTTCAATCCTCGTCATCAATCAGAACGTTGATCCGATGGTTGTCTACGGTGTAGCCACCCTTGGATGTGCAGGTACGTGAATTCTCTCTCAGGGATGATGACGCATTTGAGACAAATCCTCATCACAAGGTTTGGGGTACCTAATTGGACCTGTCATTGGCTCTGCCTGCTGGCGAACAACCCACCGACGGTTGATGAAGCTTATTGAAGCACGGGATAGGCAATTCCATGACCATATCGTCAAAAACCGCGTCGACCCTGCGGCCCAAAGCGCCACGAACCCCGTTCCAGATTTCTACGGTAAGGCCTACCTCTACAGTCTGTAGGCTTGATAGCCTGACGCATTCGTTGAATAGGCGAAAAGATCGGTTCTCTGCATGATTACAGACAGGTAAGGCACATATCTGATCTATGATTGTTCTACGTTCTCATCGCCCTGTGTTCATCAGTGGCTCCGGGATCAGTGCAAGTACAGGCGAAAGGCATTCCTTCCCGAAGACTAGGCTCTATTCTGTCTACATCTGTCCATGTATCTGTGCAGGTTGTCCTTTCGACTACTCTACCCACCATATTAGTATATTGGCATTTGGCATCCTAGAGATTACTGCCTGAATGTCCCACCTGGGGCCTTTTTAAATAGCCAATGCACCGCCCGTTCTGATGTCTTGATGAGGGTTTGCAGTGCAATATCCAAGGATGTCAAAGACGGGTATTGCCAGATGGTGATCATTTCCGTCAGAACAGTGTCATTCGTGGCATTTCGCTGCTTGTCTGCAGCGAGGATCTTCCGACAGAAATTCTGTTCAGTGGTATCCTGTGTAGTCCAATGAACCAAAGCCTGCGGGCTGTACATTCAATATGTATAAGTAGACCCGCTCGTGCAAGTCGCCCCTTCAGCAACCACTGGCATCTTCTCCCCATGGACGACATTGTCACTTCGTTGCAATCCCAGTGAGGATTATCACAGCAGAGCACACTTTTGATATACTGAACCTATTCATTTCAGACAACTGCAGAACTACTTGAATGTCGGAGTGGCCGGTGAGTGTTGTGTGAAACTGAATCTCGTGTGCTCACCGACCGACATGGCTGTAGCTGTGTACTTTTACGAATATGCGCTGACACTTCGGTTGCATATCCAATGTTTTTGGCAGCGTAAAACTACCCCTATGGCCTTCATACTTTATCTCAACTGTTACGTCAATTGTGTTGTATGCATCTTCACTATGATAGGGCTACCTGGTGCAATCAGGGAGGCATCTGGATAAGGTATGGATATTCTAATGATAGGATCTGTGTAAAGTAAAGAACTGACTGTAATGGCTGTGTTACTCTTCAGCAGGATATCACTCAGCCTCTGTCGTATCAACAACCTGAACATTTCAAGATGTAAGATATGGTTCTACTTTGGTTGGACCCTCAGTATTATTGACACTCTCAATTTTCAAGGTAATCTCTAAAGTATTTCCATACATTTGTGGCCAATTGACTGGGTTATCATTGTCTAGCATTTTGTGCTCTCAGAATATGGGCCATTTGTCAACAGAAGTGGCATCCTGTGATATTGATATGCATGGTTGGTCTAGTTACAATCATAATGAATGTGGTGAGCATGAAATATGAACATCTTTACAATTTCTTCTCTTCTGAACTGTAAATATATAGATTCTATATGCCAGACATACAACATTTGTTATTGAGCCATTATTTGGTTGTAGCAATGCAATCAGAATAAGCAATCAACTTGATCTTCAGTATGAACTTTCTCAAAATGAAATGTCAACTTATTCATAACAAATTCTTACTAGATGTGTGTACACTGCCCAGGATCATCTCATCAGCTTAACTAATATAGCTTTTCTTTATAGTATCATATATCAACAAGAGTGCTACAATTGTGGGTGAATGCTTGGCCATTGGATTTGTTCTATGGGAGATAAAAGATATTGTCATAAATGCATATCATGCTAAAGTGGCTGTAAGACTGACAAGATTTATTATGGAAGAATGTAAGTTTGGCATATTTGCATATCTATCTCTATATTGATATCTTTATATAATCTAGCAATAAGTGGATTTCTGTAAAATTAGCTTTATAACTTAATAGCATATTCTGATTACTAACTTTATGATGATAGAATACTGCTACTTATGAGTGCCTTGGATATATGTTATTTGAAGTACTTTGAGGTATGCACTTTTTCTTATATTGTGTTAGTCAGTATAATCATATATGCAATAGATGAACAATCCACTGCCAACAGGATTTGACTTGTAATATGCTCATTTTCTTTATCAATAATTACTAATCTGAATTTAATCTGCCTAGAATCAATGCAATGCAAATTTCCAGTTTTCTCTATACACTTCGCAATCTTGATGGAGAAAAGAACTTGGAAGATAATTCTACTATTGTTTCTATAGATGGAAGCATGTTTATAAGAGGAACCTTCAAAGACTCTACCTTAGGATCTGTTGTGGATATAGATCTGCCAGTACAAGCCTGGAGTATGGACACTGAAGACATTTGGGAGGAAGATATATCTGTTAATGATGGAGATATAGCAGATGCACTAAATTATGTGTACTGGGGATCTAGGTCTCATGAAGCATTACCTTTCTATTATGGAGATAATAATAGTGGAATTACAACTTTTACTACAGACTTCACAGTATAGAACTTTTTTTTAACTATGTATACTACAATAGACTTTTTTTTTTCTATCTATGTATATAAAGTATTCAAAAAAGAAAGCAGATTTGATCTAGCAGCTATTTCAAGTTGAATATGTATATAAGTTCAACACATGGAGTCACTGATCCAACAAAACAGAGAAGACAGACCTTATTACTAAATACTTCAGTGATGAAATATTCACATTTCGTACAAATTACATCTGTCCAAGATCTCACTTTTAGACAGGTCAAAATTGCAATAACATTAAACTTCAATATCATATACATGCACGAAACTAGAGTACAAGATTGTGAAATGATTGGCCAAGAGAGATAGTCCATGAACTTATGATACAATTGATGTAACTTCTGCCTCAATATTACAAACTTAATGCAGCTCTTCCTCATGCTTCTTCTTTTTCACAAGAACATAGGCATCGGCATCGGCAGGGGCTGGAAGAGCTTCAACTTCTCCAGCAACATAACCTTCATGAGGTGGTTGCTTCTCCCGACGCTCAGCGCGGATCTGCACCCTGTATCAACAACACTCATAGGTGACAGACAAGTAACACAACGCACCAGGTCAATCTCATGGGTAAGGAATCCATGACCGCCGACAGGGCCCCAGTAGTTGGTAGCTGCAAGTGAACCGATGATGCAGCTTCCGACGAGAATAGACAGATAAAATCGGTATTGAGAATACCAGTTCGGAGCTACGAGAACGGCGAAGGCATCAATATGCATCCATAAGATCCGACTCGTGCGACAACGTACTCCACCCAGCGCTGGTCGTCTTGAGATCGGCATACCAGAGAGCGGTAAATCCGGTCCACTGCAAAATCAAACCGATCATAGGGTCAAAAGCCAGGGTAGACCAGGCCCACACAACGGGTACAGCTCCAAGCACGAGACGAGGATAACTTAACAAAAAGTCGATCAACAAACGTCACTCGTATGCGCTCGGGCGGGTATACGTACTACTTATGTCCTCCGTATCCAGCAAATTCAAAGCCCCAGTGCAGAGCGCCGAGGAACGAAAGCATGACGGCACCATACGTCATTTGGATGTCCAAGGCCTGGTGAAGCATAGTGATAGCGACGCCAGGGTCGATGCTCGTCGAGAGCCCAGCGGCCGCGATACCCGCTTGACGAGCTAAGTAAATGGTCGCACCAGATGCAGCGAGATACGGGAGACCACCGGCGAGACCGAACATGATATAGGGGGTAGGGACCTGATGTGCGACTGCGTTGGTGATACCGAGCTTCACAAGACGAAGATTAGTGAACAAATGTCTATATACTAAACACCATGGACATACGAAAGTTTGTCGAGTGGGGTCCGTTGCCACAGCGTCTTGGAATACATTCCCGCCCGCAATACTCTTAGCGAGATCAGCGGAAGAGCTTCCAAGCTCTTCTCTGATATTGGTAGCAGCATGCTCGAAAGTTTGCGAGCCTGGACGGCCAGAGACCTGACTTGCCACAGCGCGAACAAACAACTGCCCATGGAAAGGCGACGTGTTTGCGAAAGTCTTGCTCGCTGCTGCTTTGGACGAAAGGAGTGGGTTTAAAAGCCTGGTCGACGTCGAGAGCGGACGTCGTATGTACAGAGGAGAGACACGGAGAGGAGTGCGGAAGGCGTTGAGTATCATGTCGGTCGCGGTCGTATAGGGGAGAAGAGCAGAACAGTAGACGGGCATCACGTTGGTTTATGTACCGCCTGAGGGGGTCCATTATGCGGAATGTGACGTCACTGGCACTATCGTCAACCACTGCTGCCTGTGTTGGACCTTGGTTCGACCCCACCTCTGGACAGAAGGCTGAGCTGAGATCCACGATATTTTCGGTACCCGGGTCGACGTCATATCCTGACAGTTTCCAGCATATAATTCGGTTAATACGAACATAGATTCCAAGGCGCTAAGTTGCGACACATCCTGGGACACATGCGTTTCGACAACATGCAGTGGCTTACACGTACGGCTTGGCCTATTCACGACATAAGCAACAAGTTTGATGGATTGTCTTGCTGGACCTGACCTCCTGCTGAACGTGGCACTTCAAGCGACCCAGCCGTGCTCGAATGTCCTTGTAATCCGAACCGGCATAGAGTGGTAGCAGTGCAGGACTTCAAGCTACTAGTAAGTGGGAGCATCGGGCATGGTAATACACAAGCATCAGTCGGATGGCACTAGTAACGTTAACGTATCCTCGGAGAGCACCGTCAACGAGCCCAATGATTGAATGTTGAGATCCTGTTCACAGAAGCAATAGGTCAGCATCCGCCAAAAGTTCTGATGTTACGTCGATGGAAATACTTCATGGAGCTATGCTTGTACACTCTACGGACTCGAGAAAACTTCACTAGCCAGAAGAAGTATGTTGAGCAGGTGATGAGACGACACTATTGCTGTGGTTGAATTGACCAAAAAAGACTCGGGAGAACCTAGAAGATCCTAGAAGATCGATATCCGTTTGGCGTCTACGCGACCTGCTTCACCCAACTTCCGATTTCCGGTTCTTGCCATGATCATCCTCATTTTGGACCAAAATGACAGACCCATAGAATGTTGCCACTACTTCCTGAGGTTCAACGCAAGGTGGTCATATGGACTTTAAGGCACGTGTATAATTGTCTGCCATCGGAGAGCTCAGTGGTGTCTTGCTGCAAGTAGCGATCGAGCAGAGCATGAGGCTGATGACACTACCGTCATGACAGTTCGCTCCTTCTCATTGTAAGTTATTGAGATTTGTTTGGAATTTCTTAAGGCAAGATGTTTACAGCCTTCAAGCTCGGATCACCCCATTTGCCTTCGTAAATGTGTACCGCAGTTGCACCCGCATTCATCGGCGGATGGCCCCTAGTCCAATGCACTGACACTTGGCATAGGGGTACTTTGCAGTACTTATATCTATAAGCCCTCCGCCGGTGGTACGGAAACACATACTTCTCCCGTACTGCCATGTCAATCCCTCTCGACGAGTTTACAGCGTTCGTTTCCGCTGCAGGCTACCCTGGTAATGCTATCAGGCACTTCTCTGTGGTGGCGAGCCACGATTCCGGGGAGCATGTAGGAAGTATCTCTGGCTTTCTTCTCAATAGGTTGCAGTGCAGAGGCAGATTCCTCCAAAGGGTTGATACCTCTGAGTACTGCGAGGAGTTGAGCAAGTTCACTCACAAGCTATTCGATAATAATGGCTTGCTCAAGCAAGAACTCGTCGAACAACCATACCACAGAGGTACCGGATGTTGGGGACACGAAGTGGATAAAGGAATGATAATATATAATCATGAGATCGAGGTCGAGGACACGGTGAGGCCACACAAGTTCTTTTCGAGCACTCTGAAATTAATCGGATCTCATTGTAGTTCCGTCATATGGGCTTAGGCTCCTTCATGCTCAGAGAATTATTCAAGTCTGACTACGTGCATTCTTCAGACTTTGTGTTCGCCCAGGACGTTCCTGTGACACAAAGGCCTCTGTCTTTAGACGAATTTCAGGAACGCCGTGAGAAAGCGGAAGCTTTTCTTCACAAGGTTGGACCTCCTTTTCTATTTTTATCACTAGCATTGACATGTTGGGTCGGGCGATAGAATGGCTTTCGACGCGTCGGACGAACCAATTATATGGCGTACTCTCCTAATCCTAGACACCCTTCTCGAGCTATCCCAGCCGATCAAGATGCCCAGAGCAATATACAGTTCTCTCGTGGCGAAATTAATGATGACTCATTTGACGATGAAAGTGACCATAACACTATCGAACATGCTAAAGTATATCCCATCCATTATGCAATCGCCACTGCGTCAAGCCAGGAGTCCTCGCGGCATCGTAACGTAAGGACATCACTCAAAGACACAATCAGGAATATTCACGCCGCCGATCATGGTTCTATTCATTTGCCAGATGAGGCGGGTGCAACTCCCCTTCACTACGCTGCTAGTAGGTGTAACTTACTCGCAATACGAGCTTTGCTGGAGTGCGAGAGTGAGGGCGACCTCCGAACCGATTTGAAGAGACGTGACAATATTCTGGGCACTACTCCCTTGGAGGCTTGCGAGTGGGCCATGCGAAACATTCGTGAAGACCCTGAGTCGTTAGAAGACGCCTGGAGTGGGCATCCTGACGAGGGTCTGCGGTGTTCTTATATACTCCGCAAAGCCGCAGGTGAGAATGTCGGGGATGAGGCAACCTTCATTGAATCCAGACGGTGGGGCTGTACGTGTGGTAATTGTTTGGAAGGATGGCTGTCGCCTCGGATGCGCTATCGCCTGATGTGTGAGTTCTCGTTCTATCAGGGTATCCTTCTACTCACCTCCTTCTCTGCAGCCGAAGCAGCCGAATTATTTCAGATGATGGACGATAGTCGCCCGCTTTTCAGGCGAAATGGAATGCCTGAACCCGCCCAAGACTATATCGGCATGTATCATATTCCACAGTCCCTCCGACGTACCATGACCAATGCGACGTTCGATGCCTACCGTCTCTTGGTCGCTTCTGTCAACATTCTGCTCAGTCGCAACACCATCCCTACTCCGGAGGCCATGATCACTCATTCTCAGGGCGATGCTGCACGCCATTTCACCGAATGCGGCGGGAACGTCGAGTCTGCGTTGAACTTGGTGATCGACACAGCGAAGGATCAGTCCGTATTAGGTGATAGTGAATGGGACGATTCAATTGCCGATAGTGACGACGACGTGATCAAAGAGTGGAACGAGTTACCTAAATGTGCCAACGATTTGGATTTCGGATTGGTGAGAGCTAGGTTGGGCTTGTCATCCGTATCTACTGGCCCTGACCGGGGTATGTTCGACTTTGGCGAGGACGATTATTTGGACATGGGTGGTTTCGAGTATGACGTGCTTCCTCTGGACGGCGTAAGCAATCGTTTGAGGGGAATACTTACTTCTATGGGTATGTAATTGGTTCGTCCTAATGCTTCATGGCTTGTAATTGCTTGCATTGGTTTGGCATTGTATAATAGGGCATTGATCTATCCGACGGTTTAAGGGATTCCTGGAAATCCGCGATTTGAATTATTCGTGGTGCGTGCATTCTGCCTAGCTTGTAGACCTCCAGCGTGGATCTCTCGATCCAGTAAAAGGTGGTTAGCAAGTACTCACCGATAACACTCGGGGGAACGTACAGCTTGGATTTTGATCTCCTTTTGTCACGAAGGCTCGAACTGTAGAGGTCCCCCGGCTGACTCGGCAGTTTCAGGTCTCAGTTCAGTCGCTCATTGTTCTCTTCTTTGTTATAACCTGCTACCTTGAACGTTGAACGCGCGTTTCCCATGGATGGACGCACACAGATTATGAAAATGGGCTCAAGACTCCACCGCAATATCAGGCGATGATCCAAAAACGCCTAGTAGCTCCATTTGATCAGGATGCTTCAGGCGTGTTTGGAATGTCGTAGGGGAGCGTGATCGTCAGTTGCTTTTGGAATGCATGACAAAAGTTGTCCACTCTCGCGCTCAACACATCAGCCGGCGAACACGAATGAAATCCTGAAGTTCTAACGCTCGATACTCTGTATAAATGCAGCTTCGCCAACGGGAGACAAGCTGACCATCAATGTTCTTCCGTCTTGAGGCTTGGCTATCGGGCTGATCCTCGTCAAATTTGCCATGCAGGCCTCTATCCCGTTCTACAACTACTTCGCCTGGACCAGTCCTACTTCCACTCCAGATGTTTGCGAACGAGGAAACTACACTGCTGGGGTTAAGACGAGAGAATGTCTACCCAATTTCATATCCTGGTTCGTACCTGTGTGGAAGGTACCAAACAGGATCATGTCGCTTTGTCGAGAGGCTGATTAGAGACTTGCTTCCAGTCCACTGTATTCTCCCTGAGCCTCATCGAAATTTACTTGCTCCTGTGCCAACTCTATCCCAGCATGAGCAACGAATTGATTTCGTCATATTTGCTGCCAACTCCAAGAGCACATCGAGCAGCTCATGTCACCGAGCTTACGCCTACTTTTGTAGCAGGGTACCTCTTGCTCGCCGCAGGTGCCACCACCCGCGTGTGGTGCTATCGACTTCTTGGCCGTCATTTCACCTTTGAACTCGCTCTGCGGAAGGATCACAAACTGTACACCAAGGGTCCGTACGCCGTCGTACGTCACCCTAGTTATACTGCCGCGCTAGCATGCGTCGTCGGTTCCGCTATGTGTACATTCGGGGCAGGTTCTTGGTGGGCAGAGTGTTGCTCGTTAGACACCACATTGGGGAGATTCGTTCTGATCCGCTGGATTATTTTTGCGGGACTGTTGCTGGTCACCATTTTTACTAGGGTTAGAAAGGAGGATATGGTTTTGAAGGCGGCATTCAAGGCTGAGTGGATAGAATGGAAACATCAGACTCCATATGCCCTCTGGCCGTACTTATACTGATTTTACAGTTGCAGTTGATTTATTCTGATATAGAGATATAGAGAGTTTCCTTGGACTTGCAGTACGGAAGGATACATAGTCTGCCAAACAATGTACCATTTCTATTTTTGGATTTTTACATTCTATGTGCATAGTCAAGCGCGGCTTGAGTGTCCGCCGAGTCTTGGTGCTCTTTGCAAGACCTATTCCTTAGAAAAGGTCTGCATAACGTTTTATAGCTTGAGGCCTGAATAGACATCATAACATGGTGCAGAAACTGTTTCGATGTTTGTCTCCCAAGTGGACCGATGTTCGCGTATTATGCCTGACTTGATTTGTACTGTGCATGCAGTGACCTTAGCTCCGAGAACTGTGGTTATCTGATTTATCTTGCGTATGGTTCGACGGTGCGAATTACACCAATTTTAGTGACGAACGGAAGGCGTTAACGCGCCTTTGTTTTTCCGGGGCCGAGGACCATCGTCTCCTCAATATCTTACATGAAACCTTCTCCACTTTGCATTAATTGTCTCGGTCACGATGAGAAACCGAGACCACCGTGACCTGCAGCTGCCATGCATCAAGCCTTTTTCTAGAAGCGAGTGAAGGCATGTGGAATGTTCATGACATACCTAGCTTCCCGGCTAACGCTAACGAACCTTTGGAAAACGGGGTAAAGTGAGGCTTGGAGAGCCTCATTATGAAGACGGCTGTGGAGTACAACAATAGTGATAGCAATAACAATACATCTCATTCTGTCGTATATCATAAGCATCACGCAACATAACTGAAGCATTATAGTTCATGGAGGGTCCAAAGGATAATGTATGACTTTCCGGACTAATTGCCAAGCCATTCCGAGTCCTCTAAATGCATAAGAAACGGTCGTACGAGCTGGCTCGGGAATATCGAAGGAAAGAATGTCGAGCTTTAGCGGCCAGGAGAAGGGAAGACTGCGCAGGACGAGAGCCTCAGTCTCAGAAGGAGGTAAGGCGGATGAGCCGCTAGGAATAATGGGGATGCTTGGTGTGACGGTAGGGATGGAGGTTACTGAGGGAGTAGAATGAGGTAATGATACAGAAACCGAAGAGGTTGATGTCTCCAATTCGGTCAAACTGGAAGTATCTGAGCCAGGATGCCACCACTTCGAATGAGAGGATGCTGTGTAAATAGTAGCAGTCGCAGTAATTGTGACAGTCTCCGTTAGATCATGACAGTCCTCCGGCAAAGCATTAGAGCAATTATAGAGAGCCTGTTTTGTGTGAGCGAGCTCAGCAGCCAGAAGATTCTGGTTACCAAGCAGCACAAGGGCAGCAGCAGCCGGTAGGACGATAGCAGCGGTGTGGATACCGCGCCACAACGAGGGGTATGAGAATGCTGCTGAGGATGAAGGTGTGAAATGAACTGAGAGTCGGGGATAGAAGAACTCCTCCAAAGAGTATTGAGATAGGCGCCTTCCAGAAGATGAAAGTTGTTCATGTGTGAGGTTTGATCGTAGCGCAGTGATCTCGAAGCCTGAAATTTGAATTCAGCATGAAAAAATGTTCAAGGAAAAAATTACAATGTAACATACCAGCCTGGCCCTCTAAGGTAACTTCCAGCATCCCAACAGGCAGGGAGAACGTCGGTAACAATACATTCAACGCACTGTCATCCGACCTCGCTCTACCCTTCCCTTTCCACCAACTCTGCGTCGGAGCTTCCTTGCCAACACCAGTCATGCCTCGTACAATATAAACAATCTGTACGTTGCCACCACCCGCTTCTCCAACGCGAACTTTCACCCAAGTGAGCCATTCACGAGTACTGGTCTGCTCGAAAGGAACGCCGAGACGATCTAGATCTGCGCTGAGTTTCTCGGGCTTAGAGGCAGCAGTGGCTTCAAACTTTACGGGTACGCCTTCCACGCTCGCGCTAGCAACCTCTACTTTGGGCGGACCAGCATCAGCCGATGACGTGGAGCTGGATGAGGAGTCGGATGGTAAGGCGAGACCAAACTCGAGCCATTCTGAATCCGCGTCACTGGGAGCTGGAAGCGTCAAACGCACAGCATAATCCGTAGGCAAGGAAACTGCATCTCGTCCTTCACCCTGCACACGAGTGAGCAAAGGCGTGACAGTGGCAGAAACGGAAGGGATCATCAACGGGCCATCCCTTTTCGGTTTGAGTCTCGTGCTAGCACCCGGAAAATAACTCTGTCTCAATCCCGACGAGGAGTCATTCCTCGACAGCATGCTGTTAGATACCCGAGAACGGTTCACACCCAGTTGCTCTTCAAGACTATCATCTCCGCCTCTGCGCGAACTTCGATGCATGGATGAATAAGGCCGAAGAGTAGATGGAGGAGGCTGCAAAGCACGAAGCGCGATCCTCGCCCCCTCGCTGCTACATTTAGTTTGGCCTCCGGGTTGAAGGATGGTTTTCCTGGTTTGAGGGTTTGCGGGGCTACCCTTAACGTTATACACGTCAACGGCGGCATCCTCCAAATTGCTCTGCAAGACGATTGCTGTAGTCTCCAATTCAGAGTACAATACTCGGAACTGTGGTAGGAGGACAGGCTCAGCGTCATCTGACTGGTCACCTGAAGATGAAGCAGACGGGGTGGGTGAAGCAACACGAGAGTGGTTCAGGAGGAACAATGACACCTTGCGTGGAGATACAACAACGGTACCAGAGATAGTGAAAGTGAAGACGTTTTTTGATGGAGGACCAAGCTCGTTCATGTTGATATGGACCGTGACAGGAATTGTGGGTGGCCTGCTGGCAGCCTCGTCGCTGTCCGTATCGACGATGCCATTGGCAGAGGAGGCCCGACTTCGCCTGTCACGTTCAGGGCTAGACGGGATTGTGGCTAGTGAAGCAATGGAAGAGATAGGCGTCGTATTTGGTGAGCTTTCAAATGAGTAGTCATCACCATTCTGAGCGGGGAGAGGCGCGCGTAGAAGGGAAGTAGACGGGGTCTGGCGCGTGGGGACCTGAGATCTGCTGGTCGTAGTAGCACGTCCGTCTGGAGAAGAGGGAAGGACGAATATCGACGGTGTGTCAGCAGATGATTGTCGCGAGACTGAGGGTCTGCGTGATGGTGGGGCACCAGTTGCGAAGCCTGTAAAGCCACTACTGCCGCTCACACTCCATTTTTTGTCACCGTCAGGAGCCCAACTGACGTCGTAATCGCCTGCATCAAGTCCCACATCCATACCCAGCATAGTCGCGACGCCGGGAAACCAGACACCATGACACGTCGCGGTGTATTCGAGTTTCATGATGATACCATTTTGATCTCCAGAAGTATTCCGCCGTTTACCTTTTATTTTGTGTTTCCCAAGGATAGTACATGTCAGGTTTGAGTCAACTTCTCTCACACCAACTCGTCTTCTACCATCAGCCGTTTCCGGAATATCGGAAGACTTCATCGGCTTGGCCCACCGTATGCGAATCCGTTCAGCACTTTGGAATGTACCTTGAATACCGCACCCATCTGGGAACCCTGTAGTAGACGAATCACTAGATTCATCGTCAGCAAAGTGCATGTAAGACTGAGAATTAGATCGGGAGCGTTTCTGAGGAGTTGTGCCCTGCGTAACGTGAGGTTCTGAGGTGAGGTCCCAGGAGTTGAACTCCTCCTCTGCAGATGATATTGAAGCAAGTGAGGAGGAAGTAGCAGCAGGTGTCGTAGGAGGAAATATGCGCAGTTTGACGTAGTTGTGTAGACACTTCGGTGTAGGAATGGATAGCTAGAAATAGTTCAATCAACGCATATGCTACATTAGTCACATTTGACTTACGAGATATGGCGAGAGAGGAGGTTTTGACAAGAATGGTACCCAGATATCGATTGCAGCTACGAATTGTATATTCGTCGCGTTCGATGCGCGCCTGCTAGATGGGCTACGAGTCGTCAACTCGCCTATGCGCGACGGAAATTCCTTGGGCAAGACAAAGGAAACCTGATATCCGCTTACAAGGATAAGCCCGGTGTACTTGTCGTCTAGAGGAGACGCGCTGGAAGAGTTAGACGAGGCGGACGATAACAGCGAATCAAAGAGTGACAAATAAGACTGATGCAAGCGTCCTGGAAGGTTGAGCGCGCGGGCAGCCTTGTGTAGGAGAGGGTCAAGCGTAGACGAGAAGTTGTATGGTGCAGAGCTGGCGTTGAGGGGGTGGACCTTCGAGTACAGGATTTTCACGTTCTCCTCTACAAAGGCATTATTTCATATTTGTAACTATTGTTTGCGCAGGGCGATCTTACCTGGGAACAAGGGTATAGTCGCACCTGGAGTCACGCTTTCTAGCGGTATAGCAAGCTAGACGGAGATTCAGCCGAAGATCGATCTCGAATGGACCAAACACGCACCTTCAAGTACATCTTGATGGCGGCACCATCTGTCTTTCCCTCCGATCCCCTTGTCGCCTTTCCCTCGATAGCCAGACGCGTCACAACATTCAGCCTCTGTTGATTAGCAGTCGTTGTTGAGTACGCGGAAGACAAAGGTGGACTACTCGTCGTGCGCCCGTAGCGCGAAGAGGCGGGCATAATTCGTGAAGCGTAAAGGACAAGTCAAGGGGCGTGAGGGAGCCAGAACAAGTTGTACGCGGGGGTATCAGAGAAATTATTGGCCATAAGCGAGTCTCTCTCTGTGTCCCATGGGCGCGACCATAGTTTAAACTCCGCCAACCCTAATCGAGTCGCGTCGGTGGCTAATACCGACAAGTCATTCCCTCAACATTCCAATTTTACGTTCTTCACATATGTGAAGGCGTACGATTCCAGTCAATGATCCGTATGAGCGCAATGCCCAAGTAATGAGCCAGGGAATGGACGAAGAAGACGACCTGCTTACCGCTTTCATATAAGCGCCCCAGTACTCCAGCGAGAACAATTCCGTCTGAAGTTTCCTGGCTACCAAAAGGTAGTGGAGCTATAAATTAGAATGAATTTATTCATTTCTGGACACGGAACAACGAGTCCACCTTTTCCTGTGATGGAGAGCTTTCAAGGTGGAAGTTTCAGCGCGTTCCAACTGCTTACTTGCCTAATCCGGATGTATGCGCGTTACATAATCAAGGGCTCCTGTAAATAGCCGACACCTTGCTCAACGTCCACTACGGTGACCAAGCTTCCCACATCGACGACCTCAGCCCAACTCTCCTAACTTATACTCTACACACTACTTTGCACACTGCGACACAGAAGTTATCATGGCTGCTCTCGCTTCGTACGTTCTCTCTTATGTTCTTGAAGGTCCATGACTAATCGTTGTCTGTTCAAAGAATTCTGCCACAGCCTGTTTATGCTCCATCCGTCTCGGATGAGGAAGAGGAAATCGTGCAAGTCTCCAAACAGGTCGCCGAAAGCTCAATACAACCCAAGTCTGTCATCATTCGTGCTGCTGTACCAGCATATGGTCAGAGGAAGGGATGGAAGCCAACATCGCAAGAAGACTACGGTAAGTACATTCGTTTCATTTCTACTCTAGTCGCTTTTAGCTTACTTATTCCTCAAAGGTGATGGTGGTGCCTATCCTGAATGTCATGTTGCACAATATCCTCTTGGGTTGGGTAAGAAGAAGGTTCGTTTGCCGATCACTCAGTATTTGCCATCTCTAACTCAGATTATCCAGACTGCAGCAGGAAACACACTCGCACTTCAAGTGGACAGTGAAGGCAATGTCCGATATGATGCCATTGCTCGTCAGGGTCAACGGGCAGGCAAAATCGTCCAATCACAATTCAAAGATCTTGTTCCCCTCGCACATCGCAAAGACCTCGACGATACAGAGCGAATTTTGGAGAGGCCGTCGGAGGATGAAGTTCAAGCGACCGCAGATAAGACGCGTGCCGCACTCGAGAAGCTCGTAAACGGCAAGATCAAGGCTGCCCAACCGAAGAACGTGCCTGATAGTCAAGGAAAAACATCGTTTATTCGGTATACTCCTGGACAGCAGAATGGTGCAGATGGGTTGAAGCAGAGGATTATCAAAATGACGGAGGTCGTTGAGGATCCCTTGGAGCCGCCACGGTTCAAGCATAAGAAGATTCCTCGTGGTCCTCCCAGTCCACCGCCACCCGTACTTCGTAGTCCTCCCCGGAAAGCTACTGCGCAGGAGCAGAAGGAGTGGATGATCCCGCCCTGTATCTCGAATTGGAAGAACAACAAGGGATACACCATTCCTCTTGATAAACGTCTCGCGGCAGATGGCCGAGGTCTCCAAGACGTGAGTTGCCCATGATTATCTATACTATACACTTTTGCTTATAGCATATCACACTTTTAGGTTCACATCAATGACAACTTCGCGAAGTTTTCAGAATCTCTCTTCATCGCTGATCGACATGCACGTGAGGAAGTCAGACAACGTGCACTTATGCAACAGAAACTCGCCGAGAAGGAGAAAGCGCAAAAGGAAGAGAACCTTCGTCTGCTTGCGCAACGTGCCCGAGAAGAACGAGCAGGCATTCCCTCTGCTCGACCAGTTGCGGAGATCAAACCAACAGCCGAACGCACAGCGGCAATGCAATCAACACTCGGTGCATACGGTAGCGAAAGCGAAGCGGACGAAAGTCCGAGTGAGGAAGAAGAAGACGAGGAGGCTGCGAAGATTCGTGATCGTATGCGTGAGGAGAAACGTCGTGAACGTGAACGAGAGATGAGGATGAGCAACATGGGTCAAGAACAAAGGGCGAAGATGCTTGCAAGGCAACAGAACAGAGACATCTCCGAGAAGATCGCTTTGGGTCTGGCCAAGCCGACAGCATCAAAAGAGTCGATGGTGGATTCCCGGTTGTTCAACCAAGAATCCTTGTCTGGTTCATTCGCAGACGAGGATACCTATAACCTTTACGATAGGCCTCTATTCCACGGTTCGAGCGCTGCTAGTGCCATCTACAAGGCACGGGGTAATATTGCGGAAGGGAATGAAGAGTCGTTTGGAGAAGGAACGGAGGAAGGTATCAGCAAGGCGTTGGACAATGATCGGTTCGGTCTTGGCCGTGCAAGGATAGGATTTGAGGGTGCTCAAGACCAGGAAGTTAAAGAAGGACCTGTGCAATTCGAGAAAGACACTGGTGATGTGTTCGGTTTGGACAAGTTCTTGAGCGAGGCGAAGACTGGGAGGAAGAGGGGTTTGGATACCGAAGGGTGAGTTCTGTCACTTGCATCCAATAGTCGTGTTGTGTTAATGACTTTCTTCATCAGTGGTTCTCGAAAACGGCAGCAGCTCGAGAAAGCTTCGGAGAGGGAGGGTTAATCGGTCTTTTCAGCTTCCCACATGTTTTTTCGGCATTTTGTATCACTGTTGTATATGTATACTAATGTTACGCTCCATTCTCTGCCCTTAATAGACTGCTGCAAGCGACTAAAACTATACTGTGAGTCTTCTAGTATGAAACGTTACGTACGCTCTGCAATCAGAATCAGTCCGTACCAACATCATTGGGCATGCTATCAAGGAGCCGTTAAGGATGGAAGGCCAGCTTTCTTCAGGGGGTCTCATGCTAGTCCACAACAATTGGTGGATACCGGCTATCACCCTTAATCGGCCACCAGTTGGAAGCCCACACAAGTGGAGTTTCCTGCACCAATGTAATCATTGCGCTGGATAAGCGGGTATACGATCTGAAACACAGCCACATGGAACGCAGCGTATATCAACCGAGCTATATGTCCTTCCGAGTCATGACAAGTCTCTCGCATGTGCAGGCGTTGACCAGGCTTTACGCTGATAGTCGAGAAGGATGGGGATAAAATCCCACAGACCGAACTCAGGCCAGTACCCATCTGTATATTGGATTTGGGTGTCTTCGCATCCCTGTATATTCAGGCTCAGCCAAAGATCCAACACACTCAAGAGTCATGATAGAATTACCTGCCAGAGGAGATAATCACTGAGACGTTTAACGCCACTCGTTCGGACCAGAATATCAAGAGGTGGGCTGCCAGCAGCGTTCGTCATGATGTGAGCGTCGATGTCGTCTTCGGTTATTTCACTATCGAATACATGTACACCAATAAAGCAAAATTAGAGTAGATGCGGGAGATGAGCGTACCCGAAAGGAGAATCCGAATCCAACTTCTCTTGAATGGTTTCTTGAATTGCAGTGAAGATTTCATCCCTCGATGTGTAAGGCATACAAAGATTGAGGATGGCCCTGTAGGATTACGATAGAGCTGAGTTAGGACTAAGAATTTATATTTCTTTCCCATATACCTGTTGTTCTTGCGTGTCATTTCTTCCGCCTTGCGCGACGCTGCTTGGAGTCGAGGAGGGAATAAAGTCTTGTTTCCGATCACATTCAAGCGTATTCCATGCTCATCCAGCAAGTCACTGCATTGATTCAATTATAATACACTTTTGACGTGATAGAAGTCGGGCTCACCCATATTGACATATCTCTAGTAGCTTCTCCTGAACCAGTGACAGTAAGTCTTCAACTTCTTGAGGTGAGCGCTTGAAGTTCTCTATCGAGAATCCGTATACGGAGACACAGCAGATGTTTAATCGCATACATATCTCTAGAACCTTCGCACAAACGATAAATACGGAAGAACCTCTTTATTAAGTCGAAACCCTAAGGAAGTACGTACGCGTCGTAACGCCACATAACCTTCAGCGTGTCCCGCCTTCACCTCCTGCTGATGCATGCGGGCATAACGACGGTTACCATCCATGATAAAGCCGACATGTTTGGGAACAGGGCCCGAAGCGAGGATACGAAGGAGAATATCTTGTGCTTTGGCGGATACCCAGCCAAGGCTGCGTGAAATGAAGTCAGACATCATCGGAACCAAAAGGATAGAGCATTAACCGTGGGAAAGTAAGCTACCTTAACTTTGACCTCGATCAAAGGCGCATCAATTCCTACTGAGCCGCCTTCATTGACATCGACCTTTCACTTTCTAGCCGCCATGGGTGCCTACAAACGCAAAGCCGACATTGTTATCAGCGACGACGAGGATGACTATAGAGGCTGGGTGCCCACAGTACCCGCCCCAAGCACTTATTCAGCCTATGGTTCATATACTGGATACTACCCAGGGGCTCAAGCTTCGACAAGTTCCTTTCGTGCCGGCTCGTATACCAATCCTATAGTGATACCCGACTCTCCTCCTCCGGTACCAGCTGCCAAGGCACCCCCTGCTAAGCGTCGGAGGAAGCAGAAGGACCCTGATACGCGGATTCCAGAGAAGCGGCTGGCGATATTTAAGAAGAAATGTCCAATGGCAATACGCGAACGTGCTGAACGTGTTGCCACCCAAAGGCGCGCTTTATGCTTTGTTCTCTTCGTTAGTCTGCATGTTGACATGCCTGTGCAGGATGTATATGATTGATCGGGCACGAAATGGGGCAGAGCTGAAGGAAACATTCAGTGTCCTTGGGTCTACCGGCAATGTCGGTTATTGCATTTGTTTGAAGGTCTTACATTCTGACGATATTCTAGGTATATACAGTGGTTATTGACAAATTACCATCATGTAATTGTGAGTAACTTGCCTGTATGATGAAAAGTTGTTATACTGAGCGCGTTTCTCTAGGTCCTGATGCGCTGAAGGGAAATCATTGCAAACATATTGTACGTTTTGTCAGCTGTTGCTATATGACATTGTCTCATGTACCGCCAGCTCTTCATATTTCTCAAAGGTGTGCAATCATGCCGTGCTGTGCAGGCGGAAAATAATGTTGTTTCCAGTTCTTCAAGTAACACAGGACTCCGGATACTGGTACCAAAAGTGCGCTATGTCTGGCTTCTTTCATAGTCATACTTCTTATCTATCCATATTTAGGGCTCTTCTGACAAGCGAATTGGATGATATCTTCTCGAACGCACCCCTGGCTCCTGCGTCTGCTGTCAACACTCGTGTTCAGGAAGCTTATGCCAGTGCCACTGGCAAACGTGCCTCGTCCTCGTCCCAAGGAGTCAAGAAGCGTATGCCAGAAAAGGATACCGACTGCCCAGTGTGCTATGAGAGTATGTATGGCACCGCCGAGAGCACTCTCGTTTTCTGCGAGAGTTGTGGTAATGCTCTACATAAGGACTGTTTCCAACAATGTGGGTTGAGTATCCTTTCATTTTCATGGCATCTCTGATTAAATCTACACTCAGGGGCGAAGGCAACTAGGGGTAATGTCAATTGCGTATTCTGTCGAGCACCCTGGGCACCAGCCACGTCTGCTAGTGGGTCGAGAAGTGCTTCTGGTGGCATCCGTACTTCAGAAGGCTACGTGAACCTTGCGGGCGTCGCAGGTCTAAGTCCCGTGCGTGACACCAGTACTTGTATGTCGGTTTTGCTCCATGCATAATTGTGCAAATAAGCTGATACATGTTCCCTGCAGATTATCACGGTCCTCGAAGAGGACAGACGCACTATGGATATGAAGACTACGATTCATATTATTAGCTTACTGCGTATCTTCTGTTTGGATCGGGCTCATGACCATACTTAAAGCATTAAACATTCCTAATGACATCTCTCCTCACTTAGTACTTTAGTTTTGCTTCTTTGATACACCTGGATCTTTAACTTAGACTACACACACTATTTTCTTGATGACATATTCTGTAACACGCTAGCCTGAAATCAACTTGGCAGGACCCACCCACTACGGGTGCCTTGACAAATCTCACCGTTCCTGGAAGGTTTCCTTACTGGGACACCTCGGCAACATCCATGCCAACGTTGGTACTTTGCATGAGCGCTACCGCGTACTTTCTGTTCGCTCATGTCGACCAGCTCGCATGGAGGGGACAGCAAGTTCCCCGTGCCAGAACAACGACAACATTCTGGCGTAAAGGCCGCGCTACGGTATACAGGAATACCTCCTTCATGGCTTGACAAAAGACCCAGTCTTCCTTCTCGAAACTGGCTCATATTCCTCGGTGTCACTTCAAGTGTCACAGCGTGGTACATTTACGATCGTAGACAATGCAAAAAAATTCGTCAAGAGTACGTGGAAAGGGTCAAGTACCTTTCTGAAGTGCCTCTGCATAGTTTGGACTATCCGAGAAAAGTCACGGTTTATGGATCGAAATGGCCTGGGGATGAGGATTCCGATCGAAGCATGAAATACTTTCGGAAGTACGTCAAGGTTCGGGCGTATGCTCCTTTCCTTTTACTTTTCTAAGGCTAATGAACTTGTGTATAGCCTGTGTTTGTCGCTGCTGCAATTGACTATGAGATGATCAATGGCCGACGACACGGGGAGCTAGCAAACCGCATTGCAGAAACTATCAAAGCTCGAAGGAGACTAGACCTAGGAATCGACCAACTACCGCAGGCCGTCATGGTGCTACCGGGCACTTCCCCCGAGGAAAAGCGTAAACGCGAGCTAGAGGGTGGCCTTGTCATCATTGGGCGTCCCACCTTCAAGGAGTTCATGGCTGGCTTGAAGCGTGGATGGACTGAAAGTCTGGAGAAGGTGGACAGGGAGGAGCAACTTTCCAAGCATTTGGAATTAGACGGTCGATTTGATGAACCACCAGAACTGGAAACAACGGCAGACGTTGGAGACATTGACGGCGAGCCAATACCTACACCATCAAAATTGCCTCCGTCGAACGCGTATTCTGTGTTCACTGCGCCCCGTTTGCGACAGCAGGAATCTGCTCCTAGACTCTCGTCAGACAGTTCCATTCCGTCACATCTCAACATCCCTCCGGAAAAAATCCCACCAGTACCACCTATCCTCCTTGTGGACTTCGTCAACTATATTGGACTCACTCAAATCCCTCACATGATTTGGGAGTTCTTTAACGAACGTTATAAGGTCCGCGCAGGTGCCGAGGCAGCTTACAAATTAACTATGGGCGAAACACGGCCATTCGTTGGTCCGTCTGAATCCTCGTTTGATTCATTGCTGGAGGACCCTACAATCTCGCCTGCTCAACCTTATCCCTCGGAAATATTGCCCCAACCTACGGACCTCCGTTTCGGCAAGGAGACCGAGTCTTGGTACAAGAGCTCCACTGTCAAAGCCTTTACCTCAGACATCCAGAAGGCAAGAGAAGAGTACTATAAGGAGCTACCGAAGAAACTGGAGACTGCTCGTGCACTTGCGAGAGGCACTCGCGAGCCTACCAAGGACGAGAAAAGCTATCCTCCGCCTACAGAAGTTGAGTTGCGTGCTGAGCGGATGAAGAAGGAGTTGAGATGGACTAGTGACGAGGCCGGGTGGGAGATCATCAAGCCGGAGAAGGAAGCTGAGTGGGATAGAAGATTCAAGGATGCACTTCGAGTGTTCACTGAGCCTTCTCGCCAAAAGGATGAGACTGCTAGAGGTCAAGAAGACTCGATGGCCTCATGATTCGGAGTCCACTGCTTATATAGACGTCGGGATAATTGTTACATTGCTCTGCTGGGTACCATACCTCATTTGCTATCTAATCGTCCAATTTGTCCACAATAACCACTGACCCGCTATTATACAACCAGTCCTCAAACTCCGCTAAGTCGTCATGAAAGCTGTCGTCGTCTGGTTCCGCCAGTATCTGTGCCGGTCTCTGAACAGACGTGGTCGCAGATGCTTCGCGTGGCTGGATATTGAATGATTCAGCACGGAGTGCGCCATGCAGTTCGGGGATCAGAGATGGTGAATGCTGCAAAGTTGTCCTGATCGGAGGGCATTCGACACTTGGAGCTAGCGATGATGAAGGTACAGCGGCTGGCTCTACATCGAAGAGGCTTTCATCCAACACAAAATCTTCATCATCTTTCGGTCCGGGAGGAACATAAGCCCCGAGTGTCTCCTGCAGATGACCCGCGTCTTCCTCAGATCCAGAATCTGGAAGGAAGAGAGCCGGTTTCTTGGAGGTAAGTGTCTGTGAACGAACTCAGTCAGGCTTTTACCGGCGACCAACATGACGTTCCTACCTGCCGTTCTGAGAATGATTTATTTATCTCCATGGCGGGCCATTGGTTGGAAACGGTAGAAGCTTCTTCGTCATATTTGCTGCGCTTCGGCACATGTTGTGCGTTATAATCGTCATGTTTTCGTTTCTTAGCAGGCGGAGTAGCAAGATCAATGACTGCAGGCGGAGAGCTACGAGCAGGAAGTCCAGGAGAGGACTCTCTCCTCGGGATAGAACTGCCAGAGTTTCCAGGGTTGGGAAGGTCAACAGCGCGTATCAGAGAGTCGAAGCCAGAATCAGAATAGTCCGTTTCAGTGGGAGTCTTTTTCTGTCGCTTCGCAGGAGTCTTCTTAAAAGAGTTCAGCAGATCAGTAGGTTCAGGCAGTTCATCCGAGTCACTAAGTTCCGCGACATCCGGTAGTAGTGGTTGTCTGACGTCCCGAATATCAACAAAGTCGACGTCGAAGCTAGCAGCAGGTTTTCGCTTCCCATTGGTGAGATTTAGACCCGTGGGTGAGCGTGAAAGGTCCAGTTTACCATCATCGATCTTGATACGTTTCCCATTTGAAAGTTGAAGACGACCTCTAACATTGGTACTCGCATGTAGATCGTCCAGCTGCTGCAAGCGTTGATCTATTTTGGTCTTCGCCTTGGATATTACCTTGCTGACATCGTCGGCACGAATCTGATGGACAGTCGAATCATTCCCGGATAATTTGGGGTGAGATGCATGGCTGGATGCAACGCCTTCATCCGACGTAACCATCGTACGGCCCTTCGAAGTTGGCTTCGACACCCCTTCATGGCAGCTGTAGATTTGACACAGTCTTCAGCGATGAATGTGCTAAGCTTGAGTGGTGCGCACGCACCAAGAATGACGGCAACTTGTCTTGTCTTTGCACTTATGGTTGCATCTGCTAAGTGTCAGTCTTGAACGATACAATATATGACATGGATTACTCGTAATTCCCCTTGGGTATTTTCTTCGGGACAGTCGAATGCTTGTCGTTTGCGATTTTGGTGTTAGCATGAGCATCTGTGACAACACAATGAGGCAAGATTAAGAGTCGACAGGCAAATCAACTACCTTGCGTCATGGTGAGATCCTTTATCGGTACCTTTGCATCGTTAACGACATCGTCCATATCGTCGTCTATAGACATGTTCCAAAAGTCTGGGTCGTCTTCTAGGCCTTCGAGATCTCGTTCCTACCAGTATTATATTAAAAAATCATGAGAGCGAAAGATGATCTGACAACCCACCATCAAAGTTAATGGTCGAGTATTCATTGTTGGATACAGGTTGTGTGGCACATTCGGCTTGTACGTTTTGGAGACTGCGATACCAGCGATTGTTTCCTATCTTTACGTCCGAGGCCTGTCCACATTTATCAGAGTAACGTAGTGCTCACCGAGCTGATCATAACGGTCAATGACTGGCTGGGTTTGGTCAATTCGGCCACGATGCTGAATGTCTTAGAACCCTTCAGTACGCGAGTCCTAGAACAGCATCAGCAAGAGACTGACAGCAACGTAAGGAGCAACCTCACGGAATCCTGCGGAAGTCTACGAAGTCCAAATCCGAGTTCACCGTTAGGACCACTGTCCAATCCTGACCTTTGCTTCTGCTTTTCTTTGGCTTGGCACCGACACCTTCATCATGTAAAAGGCCGCATTTGATGGACAATTCCACCTCAACTGGCCCCTCTCCATTCTGGGTTGCTACATCGACCTCGGACACTTCAAGAAAATACTCGGGAAGTTGCTTCACAGACGCAAGCAACTCGTTACCAAATGGAGGTCGGCGATTGAGGAGCTATATGTTATCGTTAGCTGACAATACCTCATGAATGACAGACTTGCCTGTTCTAGTCTTAATGTATCTTGTTTCCGAAGCGACGTTAACGTCGAGATTCCAAACTGAGCTAGCACCTACGACAAAAATTGAGTTGTGTGCGTGAGGAAAGGCTATAAAAGAGACTGGCCTTGATCCTGAAAGACAGAGTCAGCATAATGGAAGACTGGAAGATTTAACAACGCTCACGATTTCTCTCCAATCTGTTCAATTTGACGAAGCACAGTTGGACGGTCCTCCCAAGTCTTCGCAGTAAGACAACGCAACCTGTCATCTAAGATTAGAGATGGCCGTGATGACATTGAAAAGGAATAGTCCGAACAGCTCCAAGCCATGCTTCACTTGTGCACCGTATTGCTGTTCGATGGCGACTTCGACCAGGGCTGTATGCGTTTCAGAGAGTTTAAATCATTTACATCACACGCAACGTACCTCGCGCTATTCTGGAGACATGTCTAAAGATTGTAATGCATTCAAGCTGAGGCTGATTATCACCGTTCTTGTATTCGGGATCATTCAGGTTAATGCCCCCAAGGACAGCCTAGTATTGGAAGGTCAATCCGAACGTCAATCTCAACAGGCAAATTATTACCTGAATATTCAAGAAGATCTTATCAGACGCCTTTTCAATCTTCTTTGGCTTGTAGCGAATATCGTCATGCGTGCGAAGTTTGCCGTAAATCTAGTCGCGTGAGTGAGTCCACAATGGACTGCTACATATTCTCCCTGGCGCACCTGCTTCTCTCCTGAGCGAATCTTGATGTCGGAGAATCTAAACGAATATGTATTAGCAGATGCTCTGCATGTTGTTTTCTGGCTACCGACTCTTCAGAAGCACATATGCCCTCCAACTTCAACGAATCAGTAGCTGGTATGGCCGAACAGAAGCCTGAGATACGCACCAACTCTCTGATAGATGCACGCGGTGGGAGTTTGAGGATAAGGCTCATCTAGAGGTATCATTGACGATAACACATTCTGAAGCGAAAACAAAGCTTACTGTGTTTTGTCGCACGTAATACTATAGCGTGTTAGCTTATGTTAGCTCACTTAGGACTGTTGAATCTTCTGGAACGTACCTTGCTCATGATGTCGCCGTAAGCAGTCGAGCACAACGATTCACTATCACCTTCCGATTTGGCAACCATCTCGTTCGCTTGTAACGTCTTGATGCTACCCGTGACCATATCATCAATCTTTTCCTGCCATGTCTGAGTGCTTTCTTTGCCAATGGCGTAGTGCCTCGTATTTCTCTGTATCCGTTGGAAGAGAAACGAGTTATGCAGCCACGCCTTAGCTGATTCGATGCTCGTTATCGTTCCCAAACCGATCTCGGAATTGATATGCTCGGAGAGGTTCTTGTGCAGACAGCTTTCGAGGTTGGTCTGGCCTTGAACAAGTGCCTTGTATTTGGCCTCTAATTGGGTTTCACACAGAATGACGGCCACACCTTCGGTATCTGCGGAAACGGTGAGGCAACGACCTATGAATTAACCATAATGCTATTCCTACCAAATTGCGGACGACCCTGTTATACTCCCGCTGGTTACTTTTGACCGCCAGAAAGAATGACACTGATACTCACAGCACGCCCCATCATCTGGATGATATCAAGGTCAGAGTACTCTTGCGATAGGTTGTTTTGGAACATCTTGACGCCTTTGATGACAACGGTATGGGCCGCTATCGTGGGTACTCCATCAGCACACCGGAACACTGGACGACATTCAGATCACGCACGTAGGTTCACTCCAACGGCCAAAGTCTACCCCGAAAAGTGAGCAAAGAGCACAGCTGAACTTTCATAAACTCACAGACGTCGCTGTTACAACACGTAGCGTGCCTTTCAAATACAAATCTTCGGTAAGTCGGCGATCATCCATCGTCATACCGGCGTGATGCACGCCAATACCGCAGACAGCCAATTCTATCGATATCAAGAGCAGACGGACAAGAAGAAATACCAAAATATCACATACTATCAAGCCTTTTGTCGTGGAAGGCGCGATCAATCCTAGAAACAAGTGGTTGTCAATTAATACAATAAAGGTGCCTGACTCTCACCACTACCTTCGTGGTCTAGCCCAAGGAAGCATTTTCTTCTTTTCCGTAGCGTCTTCATATTCCTTCAGAAGTTGTTCCGCCGTGGTCATCACACCTGGAAAATCTGTCAAGCAAACAAGATAATTCAGAGAGTGATCCTATTTACCCTTTCTGGTTGCGCAGAATACAAGTATGGGTTTGTTGATGGAGTGCTGTTGAAGGATCCCGTACAAGCGGTAGTCGAGAATGCGAGTGAATTGAAAGTCATTTTGATCTTGTTTGCGAGGTATCCCATAGATATGGCGAGTGAGCTTGCAAGGTCGATATTCTTCGCCAAACTAAAAGGTGGTCAATCGAAGAGCGTGATCCCTAGGACAAACCGTATGCATACCTCTTTAACAATGGCGGGGCCACCGTTTGGGCCCCTACCGATCCAATTGGCAACGTCTTGAATGTTTGGCACCGTGGCCGACACACACATGAAACGAACGCCAGTGCCTCGGGTTTTCATACGTGAGATAACAACTTCTAGGGTGCTTCCTCGGGAATCATTGAGAATATGGATCTTTGTGGTCATGTTATTGGTAGAAGTATTGAAGTGACCGCGGGACACATACTTCATCTACCAGAAATAACTGGATTTGTGATAAGATATTCCCATGTTCAGACCTAATACAAGTCACACGAGTAAGTTGGGCGCATGTATGCTAGAAAACACTTACCAATTCCTGGTTAAGCTATCCCACTTCTCCGCCGTAGTGACACTGGAGTGCGTTGAGTCAGTCAGTCTCAACACTAGGACTTATCATACGATCCTACATGATAGACGCATCCCGAGCATCACCCCAAGCACTCTTGCCGAAATGAACGGTATCTCCGGTCAGCTCACAGCCTAAAGAGACATTAGGTAGGTATCAGAATATGGGCGGCAAATGCATACATTTGATACCGAGAGGCTGGAATTTGGTCGTCCAATCACGGTATTTCTCAGAGCAGAGGGCCTATCAATCAGGTGAGATCAATTTGCATACGAAACTTATTTATGAACCTTGGTAGGGGCAACGTAAATGCACTTGGATGCACGCCCATGAGCCGCGGATAGCATGCGGATGATTGAAAGCTCAAAGAGCACAGTCTTTCCACTGCCGGTAGGAGCTAGAAACCTCTGCATGATGCCAGATATTTGACAAAGAGTCTAACGTGCTACGTACAGCTTATGACCTAATGGCGACGTTAGAAACAGCCAAGCTAACCACACGATGGACCTACCATGTTGTCGTCATGATGTATAACCTCGTCGAAGCACTCAGACTGAACAGCATTGAAAACTCCGAACTTGAATAATGTTCTGTAGATGTCAGCTTTGAAAGAGTGAGCATGGATGTATCAGTTTCAGCAGCAGTGGTGAATCTGCGACATACGTAGGTCTAAAACTGGTCGCAAACGGATACCGGGGTTATCTCCCGTTCGTGACTGTAATTGAGCAGAAGCCATTGTGGGTGTACTATGTTGATCAGATATGGCTACAGGCGTTTGACCGAACGCTCTGCCTTGCCCTGACCCTGGCTGTATGCGTCGCGACTGAAATTCAAACGGTGCAGCTCGAGGCTGATTGCGTAGCGCTATAATTATAGAGGTTTTTACTCTGAATCTGACATCGTACCAAATAGCTCACGCTGATACCACTGAGATTGGGGACGCTGGAAGGATGTTGCGTGAGCACGAGTATTGTGACCAACATCTGAGTAGCCAAGGGTGGTATCGTCGTCAGGCGGCGTCATATTATTTCCATAGCAGTCTCCGACGTTAATGTCTCGCTGCAATGGATAGGACTGTCGATAGGTAGAAATATCGTTTATTGAGCGAGTGCGTCCCGGTGGACACGGGGATGAGTGTTCTAGCGTTGTTGATCAAGTTGCATGAGGGAAAATGGAGTATGAGAACAAATTCACCTATTTCACTCATATATTCACCGGAATCTCCTTCAGCAGCGTACGTGTAATCGTGTTGCGACGGACCCATACCAGAGTCGCTGAGATATGACTCGTCAAAATCACTTGGGTCAAACCCGCAGTCTCTGGCCATCTCTTCAAAGGTTGGACTGTCCATCACAGTAAGGGCACATCAAGCAGACGGGGTTATGATGGTGGATTGAGACCAACCTGCCGTGAAAAGCGGTAGATTGTCGAGCGCGTCCTGACATGTGACCATGATATGTCACAGCAGCTGCCTGTGACGGCACGCGTATGGAGACCGGGCCTGGCTCTGCAGTGTGCACCTTGCATTTGATCCATATAGTACACTCACTCGGATACACCATTTTGGTATCGACGAAATACAATGAGTAAGAAGGAGGACGTCGACGCAGCGAAGTTAGAGGAATACATCGAGAAGTCGGCTTGTTATCCTTCCCTCACGTTCATATCCTTAGCTCACGCTACATATCATTGATGTAGGATTCATTACTCAGAACGATACTCGGACGAGGAATACGAATATCGTCATGTTATCCTACCTCGACCTCTCTTCAAGATGATTCCCAAACAGTTCTTCAATCCTGATAACACCGGTACCCTACGGCTGCTCACTGAACGTGAATGGCGAGGAATTGGAATCACGCAGAGCCTAGGATGGGAACACTATGAGGTGCACGGTGAGCAAGTTATATTGTCTTATGCATAGTAGTGACTCCGTATTGAACGCGTCAAATAGCACCCGAACCACATGTCCTTCTTTTCCGACGACCAAAGAACTTCGATGAGCAGATCATGAGACAGCAAGCTGAGATGCAACAATTAGCTGCCGGAAAGGTCGGGAGGAAGAAGTAAACCATCATTCTTTTGCAAGACATCAATGGGTTCCCCCTTCGTGTTTTTCACCCGCCGATTTCTGCTATGTTGGTCTTTGGCAACCCCCGCTTTCTGTCACCGTTTAATTCGTATTCCTGGACTTTCTGTTTTATTAGATTCCGCGCTCTGTAGCACACATCGTATTGCTCTCTATCGCAATCTCGCCTGACTCGAATTTGTCTTTGGGTTTATTGGCCTCGTGCCTTGTCGTCATGTTCTGCGTATCCCAATTATCATTACTGTGATCTATTTGGCATAGATACTTGGCCTGGCATGAGCTTACATCTGCGTTGCTTCAAGAGTGACTTCTATGTCTAAGCATCATGGTAAAGAATGTGGCGTTGAAGATCGAAAGTAGTACACGTGGAATGAATGAGGCTATTGTTCGACACGATAAGATTAGATCGCTTCTCATATTGTACTCGGTTCAACCAAGAAGGTACTCCGAGAGCCGCTTGCCGTCATCGCGGGGTATACTTACGAATCGAATTCGCAGGGCTCGAAGCTTGAACCAGAACCAATCGTATTGTATGCAGCGGCTTCTGGCAAGTCGCCCTATATCCTTTTCGCCCATACTGCGACGACCCTTCACTCGAAATAGATTGAAACCACCGCCACGACTTTTCCTTCGCACAATGGCCACACCTTCCCAGGATATCCAGTGGCAGCATGTTCAAACTAAGGGTCCGACACCATCATATAATGTCTTCCCCAAGCCTGTTCGCAAGTCAGAAAACGATGATCGAGAATACAGGATTATTCGGTTAGAGAACGGTTTAGAGGCTATGGTCATCCAAGATGCTACGGCGGATAAAGCTGCCGCCAGCTTGGATGTTGCGGTTGGACATCTTCATGACCCCGTGAGTGCCAGTGATCCTTAAATATTTTGAGAAGAACTAAATGGTTCTCAGGATGATATGCCAGGCCTTGCACACTTCTGCGAGCACTTACTTTTCATGGTTTGCAAATAGTTATCTACCTGGCTTCTTCAGAATCTCATCGAATTATGCGTCTAGGGTACTGAAATTTATCCTAAGGAGAATGAATACTCAGAGGTATGTGTTTTCAGTTCGCCCTTTGAATGAATATCTGAACATTACGCCATCTGTAGTACCTGGCAAAGAACAATGGCTATTCGAATGCATTCACAGGCACCACGAATACGAACTACTTCTTTACAGTCTCTACGGGAGCGCTGTCTGGCGCTTTGTCCCGCTTTGCGGCCTTCTTCCACTGTCCACTCTTCGACCCTTCATGCACGACACGCGAACTCAATGCTGTGGACTCCGAGCACAAGAAGAACCATCAGAATGATATTTGGCGTATCTACCAGATCAACAAGCATTTAAGCAAAGAAGGCCACCCTTGGAGGAAGTTTGGTAGTGGTAACAAGGACAGCTTGACCAAGGTTGGAAGGGAGTTGAAGGCAAAAGGCTTATTGAATGGAACATCCAGATCTGCGACAGGAAGCCTGGCTGCTACGCCTAGTGCCTCAAGAGTTCCCTCACCAGCTCCGTCTGCTGGCGAGTCGGAGGATGACGGCGGTGTTGTCGGAAGGGAAACTAGAAGGCGACTTGTCGAATGGTGGAGCAAGGAGTACGATGCTAATCGTATGCGACTATGCGTCATAGGCAAAGGTCTGTCGAATTGCTATCTAATTTACTTGTCAACATGCCATGTTCATGCAGCTTTATTTTATTAGAACCCGTTGAGGAGCTGTCTGATCTTGTTAGCAAACTGTTTTCCCCTATACCAAACAGTAACCTCGATCCTTTGCCAATGATTCCGGAACATCCATTTGGACCTAATGAAACAGGCGTATGTGAACGGCTCATAAGACGATGTACTGTTACTGATTGTGTTTCGTCTTTGGTAGACCCTTGTGTCCGTTCAGACAATCATGGGCTTCCATGCGCTCGAAGTCTCCTTCCCTCTTCCGTATCAGCCTCCGTTTTGGCGTCATCAACCTGGAAATTTCCTCGCCCATTTCATCGGTCATGAAGGTCCTGGTTCACTTCACTCGTACCTCAAGCATAAGGGTTGGGTCAGTGCACTAAGTGCTGGTCCTCAGCCTCTTGCGCGAGGCATTGCAATGTTTAAAGTAACCCTTCGTTTGACCAAGGAGGGCTTCGGTACGTCTGGATTTCTCAGTTGTTTACACCTTTTCCCTCAAAGTTTGGATAGAAAATCACAGGGAAATTACGCTTGCTGTATACAAGTACCTTTCGCTTCTCCACTCGTCTGAGTTCCCGGCTTGGTATCAACGCGAGATTCGGACGATCCGGTCCATGCAGTTCCAATTCGCAGAAAAGCGCCGACCGGAGGATTACGCCCTTTGGGTTGCGGAACATATGTCATGGCCTGTACCTCGCGATGCGATCATTAGTGCACCTCGAGTGGTTGAAGATTGGGATTCCAAAAACCCGCTTGGACCTGGAGGAGGTGAGAGAGAAGTGCGCGAGACATTGGAGGGCCTCAATGTAGAAAAGGGAAGAACAGTTTTGATGGCGAAAAAGGAAGAACATGAGAGAATCGCTGGGGTGAAGGACTGGCAGACCGAACCATGGTATGGAACTGGGTTTGCAGTAGAACGATACGATGAGGAATTTGTCAAGCAGGTCTGTGTCTTCCTGTTGATACTTTTTGTGACGCTCATCATCTCTTCAGGCACAAAGTCCCAACGATATTGCTGAGCTCTTTTTGCCTGGGCCGAATGAGTTCATCCCGGAAAATCTTAAGATCGAGAAACGGGAGATTGAAACGGTAATTTATCTGTCATTGACTCCACACATTTGGTGCTGATTTACCGTAGCCAGAAAAACGACCTCATCTTATTCGGAAAACACCGCTATCTGAACTTTGGCACAAGAAGGATGACCAGTGGTGGGTTCCAAAAGCACAGGTCATCATTGATATCCGAACGTAAGTGCGGATTCCTGCGATGTGTTTTTGAATCTTAGTTTTGTGCAGGCCAGTGGCGAACGAATCTCCGCGAGCTTCAGCTATGACTCGGTATGTGAATCAGGCAACTTATTCCTCTTCCTTGAACCTACATAGTTCAACTCGCTTTCTTCTAGTCTTTTCGCTGAACTAGTGACGGATTCCCTGACCGAGTACTCTTACGATGCCGATCTCGCTGGATTGACGTACTCGTTTGCATCCCACAACCTCGGCGTCTTCGTGTCTCTCAACGGATATAACGATAAGCTTCACGTTCTTGCGAAGGACATCTTCGAGAAGGCACGTACTCTGATCGTCAACCCAGAGAGGCTCGAGACGAAGAAACAAGAGCTCAAGCGGGATTGGGAGAATTTCTTCTTTGAGCAATCCTTCCGATTGTCGGATTACTTCGCGAGATATGTTCTCACTGAGAAACATTGGCTCTTGCAGGAGAAACTGGATGAGATTTCAAGTGAGTAGTGGAACAGTGATATTCAGGTGTGACTGAACAAACCTCTTCACCAGCCATTACTGCGGAAGAAGTACAAGCTCATATCGCAAGGCTCTTGTCCGAAGTGCAGATTCGTGCGTTGATAGTTGGAAACATGTACAAAGACGTATGTCTCGCCCACATTGCACATATCGCTGATTGACGTTTACATCAATTCACAGGAGGCAATCCGCCTTATGGAACAAAGCGAGGAAATTCTTCAAGCGTCACCAATTTCCTCCGATCAACTGTATGAGACTGCTCTGTTCCCACCCCAAGGTTAGTCGTTAGGATTCAAGATCGCATCTGCTTCTGAACGCAGTTCTTTCCGCAGGTTCGAACCTTATTCTCTCAACACCGGCGTCCAATCCAAATGAACCAAACTCTGCTCTGACGTACTTCATTTATGCGGGCAGCCTGCTTGATCGCCGGTTACGAGTTATCTCTTCTCTGGTAATCCAACTCCTGACCGAGCCTGCGTTCAACATCCTGCGCACCAGAGAGCAGTTGGGTTATATTGTATCATGTTCCCCATGGACATTGTCAGGGGACGGAGTGAGGGGAATTCGTATCGTGGTTCAGAGCGAGCGCTCGCCTGCGTACCTTGAGCAACGAGTGGACGCCTTCCTGGACGAAATGAAGGAAACTATTGAGAAAATGCCGGAGGATGAGTGGGAAGCGCAAAAGGAAGGTCTCAAGCATAAATGGGTCGAGAAACACAAAAATATGAGCGAAGAAACCAATAGTTATTGGCCTCATATCGACTCTGGCTACTTGGATTTCCTTCGCCGTAAGTCACTAATGGTTTCATATTGGGTGACTTATAATCCTCACTTCATCTATCACAGGCGATGAGAACGTTGAAATTCTCCCCAGCGTCACTAGGGAGGAAGTCTTGTCATTCTTCAACACTTACGTTCATCCTGCTTCATCAAGCCGTGGCAAACTCTCAGTGCACGTCAAGTCTCGGAAACCTCGACCAGCGAAGATCAGTCTTCCTGCCATCGACGCGATATCAGAACTGGTCGCAAGCAATGGCGTCACGCTCGACCCGCAATTCAAGGAAAACCTCACGACCGACGGTGAACCATCTGTTGAGCAACTAACTGCTGCTCTGAAGGATGCGTTCGTCTCTGCGCAGGTATCCCCCGAACAATCTCAGCAGATTGCTTCTCATGTTTCCGCCATTTGTGAGAAATTCCCGGCAGACAGCGCAGACGAGGGTCAGTTGCCGGAGAACGCGAAGGTGATAGAAGATCCTAAAGTTGTCAAGGCAGAGCTGAAGAGATCGGGCCCGCCAAAGCCTGTTACAGATTGGGGTGATCTACCTATTTCTAGATTCTAGTTGTCTTTGAAGGTCTATCGATGGACTTTAATGTATTTTCCGTATTCTAGACATCTTTATTGTGTAACTCCTTTGGATACGCAGTCAGAAACCCCAAGCAACGTGTTTGGTAGATGCTCGCAGTGACGTTGTTGACTAACTTGACTTAACCTTCGAGTCTTTCAACAACGTTGCATCAAGACACAAGTGCACATGTGCACCATAGTACGTAAATAGACAGTAACTTCTCCTACATTTTACTACTGATTGTCATCCGAGTCACATCTACAAGCCGACAGATACATAAACCACGCTAGCTCGCTAGTGCACCTTTTCAGTTTCTCCTGCACCCGCCGTAGTGCATTTTTTCGGCTATAAGTATGTCCTCACCGCTGCCATCTCTCGAGCAACTGGAGTCTCTCAAATCTGCGATAGTCAAGAAGCGGCCTTATTGCAGCGGCACTTTACGGCTGCCTGCTGAGAATTATCTCCTTTTCTTCGCCAAAGGAGAGGACGGCCAGTACGTGTTGTTCTGTTTACAATCAACTCCGGCGGCGGGTTGCTGATCGTATAATTGTAGTCGTCTTGACTTCACTAATCCCGATAAGGTGGTACTCGAGGAGCTCGCTCAAGCATGCGACATCGCCACCTTCGGTGTGAACCAACAAGATACCCTTGACGAGTCTTATCGCAAGGCTGGAAAGCTTGATTCTCAATATTTTGCACCAAAGTTTGATCTACAGCGATCGGGGCTTGTGGGACTTATCCAGGATGACTTATTAGAGGGCCCGCGGGCCAGTAATGAGATTCGTGCTGAACTTTACAAGCTGAATGTGTATGGTAGGACACTCTCACACAGTCGGCAGTATTCTCGATCTAACTTCAATTTATACAGGCCCTGGATCGTTCTTCAAGGCCCACAAGGACACACCACGAAGTGAGAAGATGTTTGGTTCTCTCGTACTCATCCTCCCCACCCCTCATGAGGGTGGATCTTTGGTCCTTCGTGACAATGGCAATGAGTGGACGTTTGATTCCGCGAAGGCCGTCAACGGGACGGATGGTCCTGAAATCGGATATGTCATCTTTTATAGTGACGTTGAGCATGAGGTTACCGAAGTCAAGTCTGGATATCGCGTCACACTCACCTACAACCTTTACTTCGAATCTCCTACTGCGGAAACTAAGCATAAGAGTCTCCACGGTCACGGCCAGAAACTGAAGGAAGCCTTCCAGAATTTGTTGGCGGAGACAACATTTTTGCCCGATGGAGGTAACCTTGGCTTTGGTTTGCATCGCCAGTATCCAATAAATCTCAAAGAGAAGAGTCTCCAATACCTGCTCGAGTGTCTCAAAGGCAGTGACGCTACACTCTATCGTGTTTGCCAAGAACTCGGACTCAGCGCTCAGTTCAACCTTGTGTATGAAGAACGCGACGAGTCAGGTGCTGTTCTCTGCAACACGTTGCCCGTTGAGCTGGAGGGGGCCTACGTCGAGATGAACCTGCTCACGCTAATCCGCGAAGAACATGGAGGAAAGATGATTGAAAGAATAGACGACTACTATGACGACGATGATAGTGAGGAGGGCGGCGTAGATATGGAAGTGTTCTGGGTGACAGAGCTCAGCAAGTTGACGAAAGTCAAAAACAACTATATTGCCTATGGAAATGAGCCTAGCATTGGCTACATCTACGGCTATGGCTGCCTTGTCGTCAAGGTCGGACCGTTTGGTAAAAGAGAGACTGTGTAGTATAGGATTAATCCTGTATCATTACAGAGTGTTTCCTTGTACATGTACGGTAGGTGGAATGTTTGATTCGGTACTTACTCGCTTGCTAAATCGGTGGTAGTTCGTGACACGTCACACACTAGTAAGTTGTTATCTGGCTTTAAAATATAGTGAAGTAGTGTGACCGTGATGGTTAATGGATGTATTGAGGGAAAAATAGGGTAACAAACTGGTAACAGTCGCTTGCCTTCCCAGCGACAGCCAACAAGTCCGTCCCTCCTCACTCCTGGTCCCCTTCCATTCATTTAAACACAAACAGTCATGACTTCCACTCCTGCTGAAGAGATTCGCGCCAACTCTTATGTTGGTTTCGATACTATCACCCAGCAGATTGAGCACAAGCTCTTGAAGCGCGGTTTCCAGTTCAACGTAATCGTGGTTGGTTCGTAACTGGAGTTACATCTCAGTTCATGGCATACATCTGACGTGACGACCATCTTCGTCTCTTTAGGTCAGACCGGTTTGGGAAAGTCGACGTTGATCAACACTATCTTCGCGTCGCACTTGATTGACTCGAAGGGACGGTTGGAGGCTGATGAGCCAGTCAGACAGACGACTGAGATTCACCCGGTATCGCATGGTACGTCAATCTGTTCTCGTTTCTCCCCTTTCTCTCTGACACACCTTCTACGCAGTCATCACTGAGAATGGCGTCAAGCTGCGTCTGAACATCGTCGACACTCCTGGCTATGGTGACCAGATCAACAATGAGAACTGGTGCGCCTTCTCTTCGCTTCCCAATCAAGCACCTGCTGAATCTTTGTAGCTGGGACCCCATCATCAAGTATATCAAGGATCAACATAGTGCATACCTCCGCAAGGAGCTTACTGCTATGCGTGACCGACACATCCAAGATACACGTATTCACTGCTGCTTGTTCTTCATTAACCCCACTGGTCACTCGCTTCGTGCCATTGATATCATTGTCATGAAGAAGTTGAGTGAGGTTGTCAACGTGGTTCCCGTCATTGCTAAGTCAGACAGCCTGACACTCGAGGAGCGGGACGCGTTCAAGCAGAAGGTGTGTCCACTCTTTCACAACTATATTCCAAACAAAGGTTTATTTGCTGCTATTAGGTTCGCGCTGAACTGACCTACCACAACATTCGTCTGTACCCCTTCGACACTGAGGAGAACGACGATGAAGAGATTCAGCTCAACGAGCGTATCCGAGTAAGAAAAGCCTGCTAACTGAAGGATGCACATGCTAACGCTTACTGTACAGAACATGATTCCCTTCGCCGTTGTCGGGTCAGAACGCGAAGTTATCATTGACGGCAAGCCCGTCCGTGGCCGAAAGAACCGTTGGGGCGTCGTCAACGTTGAGGATGAGACTCACTGCGAGTTTGTCTACCTCCGAAACTTCCTTACCAGGTTCGACCACTTTTTGACGCTCTCGATGTATATTGGTTTAACCAGTCTTGTAATTCTAGGACACACCTACAGGACCTCATCGAGACGACTGCTCAGATCCACTACGAGGCATTCCGTTCAAAACAACTCCTCGCGCTCAAGGAGCAGACCAATCCTCGCCCACAGTAAACCTTTTACAGGCATCGTTGAAGCGTTTCGTTCGTACTATCTCTCCTTGCTGGAACGTGCGGTTCCGTGTGTTGTTGATACCCCAGGTTGTCTTTGCCGTGGAATTTTCTTTGGATGGTTAGTAGATGGCATCAGTACTGGTTGTCCGTCTTCCTACATTCTCGCCCGCTCGTTTGCCTTCCTTTTCAGCCTTTTGTGTTGAATGACTGCGCAGGACTATTTCTCTCCGTTGTTTGTCGTTCCTGATCTGCTGGTTCTTTACTTTGTCATCATACGTTCTTTACTCTAATACCACTATCTCGACTACAACCTGCCAGAGAGTACTCAAGCAGGCCCTTGCCTTGGCGCGCGAAAAGAAGGGTGAAGTATGGATTGGAAGGCACCAAGGTTCATACTCAGCCTAAACCACTACAGTTCCATTACTGGCTCCCAGAGTGTCGAAACAGGCTACTGCACTTTGAACCCTGGAATGTATTCCAACTTCTTGGATTCAAGCCTGACTGACGGTGAGATATGGAGGCGTCGACTAGAGTGAATGAAGGTGGCTCTTTAAGCTTCAGCTGCTGGCACTCGTGTACCAGACCATCCCAGTCGAGCGCATCATAGCACCATGGGATCCTACTTGAAAGTGTCATATGAAGATCATCATATGCCTCGATTTCAAACCTCACTTCTTGTAGTGACGGCCATTGCCGTACTTGATGCAGCAACGAAAGGACGACGGTCCAGGTATCGGGGGAAATCATTGGCATCAGTCCAAACGTGAGGACTCGAACGTGAGCATAGATATGGGCGTGTAAGGCCTGAAACCCGATCGCACGATTTTTGGCACATCTGTGAGTCTACATGAGATACTAACCTTGTATCGTGAATAAGAGAAGTTGACTCACCATTCGCCCCGACGAACATCCCTAGACGAAGATGTTGCAGATGAGGTCCAACCTCGTACATCCACTCGGCGACACCAGCTTCGAAGTATTCCTCAGAACATACATGGATTAACTGCAGGGCTAGGGATGTAGGGGTGGACTGGACCCCGCCTTTCCTGAACAGCGATATCCATGCATGCCACGACCAATCCGGTGTAAATGCCTCGGTGACATGTTCAATATGGAGAGGTCCTGGGTCCGTCTCTATGGATGGGACACAGTGCATCACCTCGTCTAGGAGAAGCTCGCGAACGTATGGTATATAGTACAACAAATCGAGAGCAACAGGTATAGGGACCACACTATCGGGTTGGACCAGCGAGAATCTGAATAGAAGTTTATCCAATGATTTTGTTGGAGGCGGCCACGAATCCAATCCGCCATAAAATGAACTGCTGGTGAGCTCCGAATCCCAATGCAAGGAATCGAGGGTAAGGGTCTTCAGAGACGGAAGGAGGTTGAGAATGGACATGAGAAGAAAAGCTCCGATGATACTTATATCACTGATCGAGGTCGCTTTCTATGTCATCGGGATTCTTGCGCCTATCTTGTATGGTTAAATGGCGAACATCGCAGGCGATATATAGGTAGTCATGCAGAAAGCCGATGAAGGACTCGAGGGATCTCTCGTCGTCACGTTCAACAGTTCCAGCGAGGCTGAGTGTAGTAAAGAAGTGATACCTGCATGCGTTAAGCCATATCCGACTGACGATCGAACATGTGTTCAGAGTCTCTGGGTCATCATGGAGATAGTCAATGATATTGTCGACCAGTTCAGGAGGTACTGTAGTATGGATGACATTCTGTCTGTCGACTGTGTTAGCTTTTATCGATATACACTGAAGGAGAGCCGATACTGGATGATTACCTTGAACGCGAAGTTTCTCCACAATGCAAGTGCGCACGGCAGGCAGAGACGTGGACCTGAGGCACAAAGGTGTCTAGTACAAATGCTGCCCGTGGGGTGCGTGTGAAACAGAGTGATCGATGGCTGTATTTGAACACAGAGGTAGATTATACTACCATGGTAGAGCCTGCATTTCTCAATTCTAGATGCAAGATGAAGGCATACGTAAGCCATCTGAACCAGGAATGGTGCTCTAGGCAGTTTCCTCAGCTACTTTGGCAAGGTCTTTTGGAATTTGAAGTTGGATGGCAAAGGTCGAAAAGTTACCCCTGGCAGTAATCCATTATTTTGGCTCCATGGGGCTACATTTCTGCCTTTCATGCTTTTCTATGTGTGTATCTTCCTACAACAATTCTTCCATTGCTATGCATTGAATAACAGGCGGTGATGGGCACTACTAAAGAGGCAGGACTATCAAAGCTCTTACACAACATACACAAACATATCGAATAATAATTATATTATTTCCACGACGTTACTGGTGTGCAACCGGGTGCTGTACAATTGCAAGAAAATATCAGCTTGACGCTGATCATGGGTTTGCCTATTTAATTTGGTTCTAGAGATAGTCAACGACGACGATGAGTGAGGAAAGCGATGGAAGTTTCGAGAGCCTCTCCTGCCGAACAATAAGCGCGGACTCCTACGTCAAAACGAGGTTGTGCGCTTCATCCCCGACTTTCCTACACTCTCATTCGATTGTTTCTTCTTACTTTCTTAATTCTCACTTCAATACTTGAAACTGCAACGATGGCTACGATTCCTCCGAGCATGGCACCCTCGACTGCCAATTGGCATTGGAAGAACAAAACCGTCACTCCTTGGGCGAAGGCGTGGTTCGAGCGCGAACTTGTTACGCTTTCGATCAAGGGAGAAGGTTCAGAAGAGGCCGGTGTTTCAGAGGTCGTCGATTTTGAAGGTGATGCTGAGTTGGGTCAGCGAAAGTCGAAGTGCGTCATACCTTCCATGTAGCTGATCAACTGAACGTTCAACGTTCATTCGTCTTAGATTGCTCACAATTTATGACTGCCGAGTGGGCCTTAAATGGAAGGGTACTGCTTCGGATGGCACCGAAGTCGAAGGCAAAGTGACGATTCCTGAAGTATCGCATGAGAACGCCATTGATGGTATCTCGAGTTACATTGTATGTATCAATTTCTCATTGTTTCAACTGTGCTCAATCTTAAGCATCATTCAGTACGAATGGTCTTTGACCACACCCTCCACTCCCACCGTAGAGGCTCTATTCAACTTGGTCAAGGCTCGTCTACCAGTGGCGCTTGAGACCAAGTTTGCCGAGTTCCCTAGCGCAATCATTGAAACTCATGGCAAGGACTTGACGGTCAGCGCCGATACCAGTCGTACTGGCACTCCCGCACCCCCAACATCTAATATTCCTGTCGCATCTGGCGCGTCCCTCGCAACGATTGCAGCCGCCGCCGCCAAACCTGCACCGAGGACGGAAACGAAGAAATTAAACACTACGACGGTGTCGGTAGATGCAAACTTCATGGCTTCAGCTGATGATCTGTTCTCGATCTTGACGGACGAGAAGAGGATTCCTGCCTGGTCGCGTGCGCCTGCGAAGGTAAGCGTGGAAGCCGAGTACGGTTGGCTGTCGTTCTAACAGATTCATATCACAGTCTAATCCTCAACCCGGCGCTGAGTACTCATTGTTCGGTGGTGGCGTCAAGGGTAAATACATATCACTTAACCCTCCAAAAGAGATCAAGCAAACTTGGGCACTCGAGAGCCCCACCTGGCCAACAGGTCTGCCCGCATATTCCTAGTTCAATTCCTAAGCTGACATGTTGTCTACGCTTAGGTCATTTCGCCACCCTGACCACCACATTCGACCAGTCCTCGGATTCTACAAAAGTGACTTGGAGCCTGGAAGGCGTCCCAACGGGTTTCGAGGACGAGATCACACGAAACCTCCAAGGATACTAGTAAGCAACGCCGTCTCGTTGTTCGCGTTCTACATGTGCTAACATACGTTCTTAGCGTACACGGCCTCAAATCGATTGGGTATGTACAAATTTCCTATCACACTCCCCCTTCCTCCACGAAATCGGACAATGCGCGACAAAAACGAACGAGCGCCAAGCTATCGTCATCTTCCTCTTCTCAACCTTATGTAGCCATTGGTCTCGCTCTTCTGGCCCTTGTCGCGGCATTCTCCATTCCCTATCTTTCTCAGTAACTTTCTTTGTATCTTGGGACAGTTTAATTAACTTCCTTGGCGTTTTTTCTTGTTAGGTTGGGTTCTGAACTATGATGCGGCGAACTCCTCAACAGCGCATGCTCGTCAACGGAAGGCAAGTCGGGTCTCAAGTTCATTCAACCTCGGTCAAACAAAGACGGACTTAAGGATGAAATAGAGACGGATATACAGTACGATAGGATAGAAGTTCTTGTATTCAGGGTCTTGAAACCCTGGACAAATTGTACAACGAAATATATACATACATCATTTAAATCACAACACAACGAGTCTCAGAAGGGGAAACTACACAAGCTAGTTAAGACTGTTCAGCATTCATTAATATCGTGAAGTTCCATATGCGAGAACAGAGAAAGCCGAATTGATACAGGATGGGATTGGAGTAAAAATACGTAGATGGCGAGCAGCGGGGAATATAGGACAATGCAATGATACTTAGATGCTGTGGCGAGGAATAGAGAACGAAGACGAAAAATATACTTAGACAACATGGCAGCAATAGAAATCCAAATCGACGAAATGGTACTAATGCGAAGACGGCGGATCGTCATGCGGATGTATAGGTGGGGATGTGGGAGGCTTTTTCCTTCGTATCGATTGAGGTAAGGAGAACGATGGGATGAATGAAGATGCGTTCCGTTTCCGACGATGAGCTGGTGCACTACGTTCAGATAGATTGCTTTGTAGTCTTCGTAGCGCAGGTCCACCTTCTTCCATTGCGAAGTCAAAGCCATGATGGACAGAACGAATGCCTGTGGACATATCGGTTCGGGCAGCAACGCCTTTGCGGCGGAGATGTTGTGAACGAGCACTCGGAGTGCGTCGAAGATGGGCGACACCGCCTCTTTGCCGGTCACGAGCGAAGTCGCGCTCTGGATGCAGTTTGTGGATGTATCGCACGGTATCGATATCGCTCGGTGTGAAGATAAACTTGTATGCTTTTGCGGCATAGCGAGGTAAGAGGGAGAGTGGGATGACAAGGAGCATGCCAAGCCAGAAGTAGGCCGATGTGAAGAGGTAGTGATCGTTGCCAAAGATAGGGGTGGTGAACCATCCAGGAGAAATAACAGAGTAGATAGCCTATGCCAACACGTATTAGTAAAGTGGGCGCACATTGGGAAAAGTTCAACTTACAGTGTACGCCCAGATCAAGACGATTTCTATACCTAGCGCCCAGAATACCCAGACTGTCCAGGCTGCGATATTCAAACCATTGAAGAGCGTCACAACCATGACGGCAGCAATGGCAATCGTCTACAAAGAAGTATGTCAGGATCAACAATATGACGGAGCAGTCGTTATCACTTACTGTCGCAAACTCGTACTGGTAAACTGCATAACCGTCAGTCCTGGAGGTCGTCGTCCAATAGGTGTACACCAGCAGGAAGAATATGATGGCCGACTGCATTGGCGATATGAGCAAAGGCAATAATTGAGCGTAAGATAAAGGACTAACCTGGTAAACGCCATCGATCATATAGATAACAAACAACTTGAGGCTAAAGTACTCTCCTCGTCGCGGGTGAGCATACAATTCAGGCAGGTCCATCAGAACATGATCGTCTATAATATTCGTCAGTGGTAGGTTCGCTCAAAACGAGTTCCGAAAGTGTGACTTACCCACGATACGGTCGAAGAGACCCATTGCAATGACGGGAAGGATAGTCCAGAATGAGTTCCAGAACAGGAGGTAAGTATACTCGAAGAGGCTGCAGCAAATGGTCATTATATGCATGGAAATAGAATGAGAGGCCACTCACTATTGACTACTCCAAGCGCAATAGATCATGAACCAAAACAAGGCGCCAACGCAAACAATGTTCTTGTAGAAGAAGTTGACGATCATATTCCCGTTACGATAGTATGACCAGTGCCCATGGACCAGCAGCAGTCTCTTCAAGAATCGGAACTAAGGACTGGATGTCAACATACATCTCACCGAGGAAACAGAAGTGATACGAACCTGCGCGATAGCGTAATCCGAAGAGTTGACAGCTTGAAGACCCTCCTCACCAGAGATACCAACACCGACATCAGCAGCTTGAATCATACTGACATCGTTCGCGCCATCTCCAATAGCCAGCGTCATAGCACCCAAACCATCCTTCACAAGCTTCACGATCAAAGCCTTTTGTATTGGGGACACACGACAGCAAATCACACCCTCGCAGTGCATAGCCAAACGCAGCAACAAGTCCTTGTGAAGCTCGTCACTGAACGCGTCCGCTAGTGCCGATCCGTCAATGACGAGAACGAACCCTCCAGGTCGTTGACCGTTATCGTGTCCGACAATGTCGGTAACTCCTGTATTGACTCGGTGAAGTGAAAAAGAGTCAGATGGTCGAGAAGCAGTTGGCGCGTTCTCCTGCATGTTTTGGTCTGACAGGATAGTGCTGTCAGGGAAGAACTGTTTCACCGCGCCCCACATTTGGGAGTAGACGTCTCGCGCGCCACCACCACGTACGATGATGATGTTGTCGTCTCGTCCAATGAGGTTAGTACTGTGACCGATAGCTGCAGAAATATCGTATTAGCCTCGCAATATGTAGTTGTAATCATTGTGACTTACCAATGGCAGTCTCTAGCTTGTCACCAGTGGCGACCCAGATCTTGATTCCCGCTTCCTTGAGATCGGCGATAGTCTCAGGAACACCGTCTTGCAGACGATCTTCAATAGCAGTGGCACCAAGGAGACGCAAATCATGTTCGAGCTCTTGAGAAAGCTCCTCCACTCGTTTCTCCCTATCGTCCAAAGAGACGGTAGCCTCACGGTAACGCTCGCTCCACTCCTCGTACTCCGCGTCTGGGAATCAATGTCAGGACAAGATTTTACAGTGCATTAACACCAGAAACTTACCTGGAATGACGCGGTACGCCAAAGTAAGCGTCCTCAACCCGTCGCTCGCGAACTCGCCAAGTTGCTTCTCAGTGATCTCCTTCAGCTCTTCGTTCCCGCGGCCGAGTCTCTCAAAGATAACATTATCCGCACCCTTGGTCAGTAATAGAATCCTGGAAGGCTCCTCGTCCTGTTTCCTAACGATGACACTCATCCGCTTCCGAGTCGAGTTGAATTCTAGCACATTGAGGAGCTCATATCGTTCAGGTTTTTCAGAGAAAGGTGTTGTGAGCGTGAGAATTTCTCGCTCGCGTCCCCGAAAGACGAACTTGACGTCAGCGGCTGCTTGCACAAGTGCTGCCTCGTCAGGAGATTGGGCTTTGTACTCGATGGCTTTAGTCTCGGGATCGACGGAAGTGAGCACCGTGTGACACAAGGCTAAGACGGTCCAAAAGCCGTTGAGTATTCTAGGATCTTGAGGAGATCGGGGAGGGCTCTCAGCAGCAGCCTTCAAGTCCGTTGTCAAATCCGAATCTCTGAAATGATGCAAGACACCGTCAGAGAGCTTGACAGCCATGGCCTTCTTGGGGTCCGTTGAGTCGGAGTCCGTCCCCGGTGAGTTGCTGCCAGACAACTTGTGCTGTGACCCAGAAGCATTGTCCTCGGGCACGGGATATCCTTTGGCAGGCATGTCTACCGAGCTCATGTCATCTATAACCTCTATCTTCGTCACAAATTCCTCCACACCTTCAGGTTCCGGATCGCCCTTGTACACCTTCCCACCAATACTGCACTGTCTGAACACCATGGCATTTTGAGTCAACGTCCCTGTCTTGTCCGAAAAGATGTACTCGATTTGTCCTAGATCATCTGACAAGTTCCAAGACCGAGCCAGAGTGGCCTGGTCAGTTTTCTCGTAGTAGATTTCCTTGTCGAAATAGATCCAAAGTGCTTGGACCGTACGAACGGCTTCGATGGAGATGTAGAGTGATATGGGAACGATGTTCTGGAAGGTGATCAGGGCAAACGCCCATGTGACGAGACCGTTGATTTTAGGGTTATCATCGTTCAGGGTGGCACCAAAAAGCCAAGGTGCACCCCTAGGATAATTACGTTGTTCGAGGATGGCATCGACAACACCACAGGCGACGGCAGCCATGGCCAATAGAATTAGGTTGATGAAGCTATGCGCAGACTTGTCAAGCAAACTCAATGTAAGAAAGATGGATGATACTTACACTTGCGGGTTCATTTGCCTCTCGACCCGACTCCGCTTACTCGGTGTGTTGCCCGAATTCATGACGATCTTGGTATCCTGACCTGTGAACAACACAATCCCAATCACCCAGTCTGTATTCCGCAAAACTGTTCCCCGTAGCAGCATCATGGAGATATCGACGGGACTCTTCTGCTCATCCGGAGTTACCACTGCCGCCTCCACTCTGTATAGATTCGTGTCCGGCGGTCCACATTCTACATGGAATGCGCTCTTCCGAGCTGCAGAGGCTTGTGCCGAACGGAGATGGGTGAGCACGGGAACGGCGGAACGAGACTTTAAGTTGGTCTCGCCGTCTAGATTCTTGGTCTCGACAAACGCGACGTTTTCGTCTTCGGAGGAAGCGCAGATGAGGACGTCTGCAGGAATAGATTCGCCGTCCATGATCTTGACGACGTCACCTACTCGTACATCTTCCCAAGTGGTCAACTTCCAATGCGGACGTTTCCTCCACTGACCTGATTCTGATCGGTGAAGGAGGTGATGCCGATGATGACCAGTGCCTTCAACCTCCTCTCCGTCATCGTACTCGATCCCTTCTTCGTCAGTGTACTGAGGCGGAGGATATTCCTCAGGTTCCAACCCCTGAACAGAGAACCCCTCAGGCGGAACCCCATGTTCCAAATATTCAACCTCAGCAGCAGCCCCACTTCTCCTCCTGCTCGACCTGCGCTTTCTCTTCACGAATTTCGGAGTAAACCCTCTCACAAAGGTTTTGCTCTTGCGCTGCATCGGGTTCGGGTTCTCCCAGTCACCACCGGCGAGGACCCTTGTTTGGGAGTAGTTGACCGCGCGATCTGACTGATGCCGCTTGATGTCTTCGTATCCATCTTTGGCTGCGGTGATAAATAGGACAACGAGGAGAGGGAGGATCACAAGACCTGGGGACACCGTGGAGAAGATGGAGAAGAATTGTAAAATGGCGATGGCAAGGAAGAAGCTGTGAATAATGTATCAGCGAAATCATAAGTGCGAAACGAAAGCACAATGTGTGAACACAAGGAGAAGAGAAGGTAGTGTTAGCATCCTCGACGCAGACGAGTTCGACATCATTGACAATATGCAGTATGATATATGATACGGGAACCAGGGCATTTCCATCAAGAGTTTCGACGTCGTTGAAGTGCACAATCCCCTGCGCGCCACCAAGCTCGATAACATCCCTGCGCGCCGCCGGGGGCTATTCAGACGCTGCTCAACACCACTGAGCTCCTTGCCCAGAAAGAGCTGCGCCTCCCACTTAAGAACGGATGACGACTATAAACAAGGGTCCTATAAAAGACCAGGCACTTGAAACCCCGTTGAATGAATTCCAACGAAGTTGAGACAAGAAGTGGTATGGAAATGAATTCGAAGCTCAAGAACAACACCGCAATGCCAAACCGCACCCAACATGAGATCGAAAGTGTTATCAGACGAGACTCACCAGTTTGCAATCCTCCGAAACTGTTCTAGGAGGTTCCGGGGCAAGAAAGTGATGATGGTGTACTTGGAGGTGATGACCTGGTTCGAGGGGTAGACATACTCTTTCTTGATCCTATTCTTGTGGTCATAATAGTGCGCTGGCAGTGGTTCGTGAACAAAGACTGCCCGAGGAGAGAGCTCCTTGCGCTTCCTGGAAAAGAGAGACTCTACTTTGAATGCGGAGAACTTATCATACCAGACACCGAGGCGGTGAAAGGGGGACATTAGGGGAGACTGTCGACGACGACGGGGACGACGCCGACGATGGCGAAGTGTAGAATTATAAAAGCCAGGATGGAGGCGGGAGGAAAGTCAGCAGCATATGTGCGGCCGACAGGGAATTTCGATGCGGACGGAGGCTCTGCGGCAGGCTCAGCCAACTGACATCAGTTCAGTGCTGACTCCAGCCTGCTGACTCATTCCGTCCCCTGCCGAAACACGCTCTACCCACGCCGCTCGCACTTAGACCTCGGTCAGACCCAGATAGCATTCTTAGCTCCATCTCTTCGCAGTAACTTGTCTCGCTCTCCGGTCCAATCTCATCGCTCGAGCTTTCAAGCTCTACGTTCTTCTACGTTATGCTTTACACCGATAGCCGGCATTTTACTCATCTCGATCATATGCGAATTGTCAATTTGATCGAAACATCACACGGCCCCCTCCGACGCGTTTGGGTAGCCGAGCACCAGCTGCCGCTTTCACGCGTCGGCCATGGTGCACGAGACGGCTCGCTGCTTGCATCCATGGATTTTACGTGGAGCAGCGCAATAGCTGCTTAAGTAGCTGTCGTTACTGCGCAGCAACGACCCCCTATATATTTAGTGGGTCTGAGGCATTGGAACTCAAACGCGCCAAGGTTATTCAAGCTCTAGCTGAGTGTTGCACCAAGTGAATGAGGTTAATTATGGCAACTTGTTTAATTGTCCCTACCATCACATATATACCCCCTCCATTCCCCACCAACATCGAGACATATTGTCAATACTTATGTGTTGTCTGCAGTCTTTCGCCGCCGGTAGCCGTTTTTGGCAAACCTTTCACGTGCATGGACCCACAACCATATACATTTTCAAGTGAGACATCGCCGCTGTTGCTTTTTTGCTTCTTTGCATTCTGAGAAGCATCGAGTTAAGCAAACTCCACACATTGACGATGAAACAAAACCTTCAATAACATATCCAATTTCGCTCGTACGTGGCATGTGTCAAACATTTGTTCTTACGCAGGCAAACATGACGTTCTCATGTCATCCGGGCCGCCGGTGACATGTGGGTTCAAGCTGATAGTAGCTCTTCCGCTTTGCAGAACCAAGATATGAGTGCAGCATCGCATCAATCTGACACTGACAGAGGTCCGGGGGAATAATGCAAACATATGCCTTAAGTCCGGTGTGGACAGGGCTTTGGCTGGCTGGGGGTGGTAAATTTAAATCGCAAACATGTCAGCCTCACAAACTATAAGTATCCCTGTGTCCAGGAAGACACATCCGAGTCAAGTCTGACTCTGACCTGTGTGCTCACAATGTACAGCAGATCCACCCGCACTCACTGTAGATCGACCCTAAAGAGAAGCTGGTTAATCATAACCAACAACATGGACTAGAGCTTAGCAGATCGATGTGTGAACCTAGACTAGCAGGAAGATTGATGAACGAAGCTCAAACATTGACACCATGGATATTACACTCGGAGTGAATAACTCAAGGGTGGGCAGGGCCTAGGACGCGTTCGTAGCAGCTTGTGTTTCTGACTACTGGCCGTGTAGTCACGGTGGAGGACAAATGTTTATACAGGCATAGAGCAACAGCATGTAGAAACTCCGCCAACAGGATCAGAATCCGACTCTGACGAATGGTACGTTTCCTTCTCAAGGCTCCAGAAACACAGGATTGACATGTGGAGACAGGGCCGGTTTGGAAAAACACGCGGAAGGCCATGCAGTTATTCTTAACTCGTGAAGCTTGTGCAAGACACTTGAAGAATTTCGGTCTAGCCAAGTCGATATTGCCCCTGCACAGACAAACCAGATAGTAGTTCTTCCTCTCAGACCCGAGGTAAATTTTCTTTGATGAAATACAGTAGTCCCGGATGATGTCGTCCTTTCGTAGTTTGAGACCTGGTAATCAACCTATGTTTGATTGACCTTCGCGGGCCATATGCTGTTGAATCGGCCAGACAAATGAGTTGTTCTATGCTACGAGAATCATAATTGCTCATCTCATACCAGTTATTGAAGAATCCGACAATATCATAGACGAGCCCTTGCTTTTGAGCGAAGGCATCGCTGCGTCCTTCGAATGCCCTCTTTTTTGAACCAGAAGTTTTGACACATGTTGGGTGGACTGGCGGCCACGGTATAGTAAGTATATCAACACATATCGCGGCTGTATAACGCAACAGTGAAACATACGCAGACATACACCAGACACCAGAATTAACCTAGTCGTGTCTCCGCGTTGTTCCACTTCCATGTTGTTGATCCCGCCTTCAACCCGATGGCGAACCTTTTGAGCTAGCTCCGTATCCTCTTCAGGTCTAAGTTAAATCACCATTAGCAACAAATTCATTGCTTTCGTCATCACCTTCCCATCAAGATGTCTATCATATCTGCACTGTGGTCCGGGAACTGTCCATATCGAGCTAAGTACTTGTTTGAGAATGGTCGGCTTCCATTTGGATTGGGGTTCACTTTATTGAAGTGAATAAAACCTTGCACATTGAGTCATCAGCACTGAAAGAACGACAGGCTAATGTGTAAAGGCAGTGGATATGGTATTGGAAGAACAGCGTGGTTCCAAGTTCGGTATGACAGAAAGGCCGGTTAAGACGTGGAAGAGAAGAGAAGCGAAGCACCTAGTCAAGTAAGGTTCCACTTGCGACCGCTGTCATTAAGTAACAGTTTCAAGACTCGAGAACCAGACACTAGCCATCGAAGACAACAGAAGAAGACTTGCGAATTTCATAGCATAGTTATAAGTCATACAGAGATTGTAGCAGAACGAGCAACCAAGCCCAGCTGTCCAGTCCACAGGTCAATCAGAGCCGAGGATAGTTGGTGATATTGCCCCAGCGAAGACGAACAAGAAAGTTATTGCAATTGGTTCCCAGAGGCAAGAGTCCATCGAGAAAGTACTTCCGATTAGTGTCGTCTCGGAGTTCCACGCCTGGAACATAAGTAAGTGGTGGTGCGTTTTCACCAGTCATATACTACAAGACAGAAACAAATCAAGCACTTTGAGATTCAGCTTGTTATAGAGTGTTGGCAAAGCGCACTTACCTCGAACCGGTCGTTAAGATAATCCATGACGACGTTCGCTGATTTCCGTCTGTTGTTGAAGGCCCCTTTCCCTCCGACGATCGTTCTCTCGTTCATTCGGAAGGCGTACGTAAAGGGTGGATACGCAGGCCACTACGTTCGAGGACGATAGTCAGATCTCGCAAATGAACGAAGGCACCAAGATACGCACGTAGAAATGCACAAGAAATTTACGCACGACCCTGTTGTGCATCGGCGCCAAGCCATCGTCAACATCCAGTGGTAGTCATTCTTCCGCTTTCGGGTCGTCACTGTATCTTCTGACACGTACGCCCTATGTTTTAGTAAGTGGACAGGTTCCGTCGATATGGCCTTCATCGCGAAAAACCGTCACTGAAGGCAATGAAGTCATCCATACTCGTACCAGCAAAGAAGTGACTGTAAAAATCGATATGCGTTGGCCGCAATAGATTCCGTATGATCGTGTTCCAGATGACCGTGTTGATGCAAGGCTTGACGTCGACGATGTTGAGTACCGGGGGGGTCTTCGTGTATTGGATTCAAGTCGTGTGGATTGGTTATCGACGTGCCGAAGATCCAATTGAATTCAGATTGGACTTCATGAAGGAGACCTCGGAGTTGTTTAATCGTTGATTTGTCTTGTTGCATTTCCTTGCCTTTGAGAGCCTTGAGTTTCTTTAGAGAGTTGCTCATGTCGTTGGCGGGAGAGGACATATTCACAAGAAAGTTTGAAGGTTAACAGTGACTGTTGTGTGGTGCGGTGGCTTATTAACACGATCAGTATTTATACTCTCTTGGATACTTTGGCCTTTTGACCTTTGGCATACAGTCAAAGATCCGGGTTCAGCGTGCATGGGTCTGCCAGCGAACAAGCATAAGTTGACACGCTTTCGACGTGTGTATCCGTAGCATTGGTCTAGTCCCATCCGGCCCGCAGCTAGAGCCAAAGCACTGAATGTCAATTGTGCCTGTCAAGAACGCCGCAGAATGGCGCGGCAGCTTAGGTGAGTGAGCGCCGCACTTCTGGTCCTGCAACAGATGCCATCCAGCGTGAACCTGAACATCTCAATAGCGACGAGTACTCACCTACTAACCGCACGAACCGACCTCTAATTCAGGTGTGCCCCTGTGAATGGAATCGTCACCTACCGAGGGGTACGGATCGAGGAAGAGCTGGGTAGCAATCCTGTATAGGTCAAGGTATCGATATTACACATGATCATAATGGAACATCCTATAGTACATCGCCAAAACATTCAATCAGACAAAGCAACAGCAGAACAGAAGTACATATGGGTGTACGAGCCAGTTCCGAACCCCACACTTCGAGGACAGTCTACTGAGCCCAAGGTGACTTCAACAACGTCATCAAGTGCTGACATTCTTCTACGTAGTTGAGCGGGAGGACTTTCTGGACACCATATCGCAATTTCGTGGCTTCCTAGAACATGATTACAATCAGCGACAGAAGCCAACCAGAGACGATTCAAACTCACGTTATAGGTTTCCTGCTTAACACGACACGTGAAGTTGAACTGTTGTCCGATGGTTTCTTCCATCACTTTACCAAATTTCGTCTCGTCCTCAAACTGAATCATGATAATAGATCAGATAAGTTCGGGGTATCCAATAAAGAGGCAAACCTTGATTTCCATCAGCTTGTTGGCAGGACGATGGAAGATGACTTCTCCGGCTTCGTTGAATCCTTGGAACCATGCCTGCTGGGTGTGATCTGCAACAGCCATTGTGATGATGTATCTGCAAGCAGCAAGTAGATCGATGCTAAGCAACCTCAGCATATATCGAATCGGTCAGAAGTACTCGCCTGTATTCAGGCTTCTCATAGCTTCGTTCGCACTTCTCACAACGCCAGCCATCATGTTGCTCGAAAACTTTCTTGTTGCAGGTAGGGCACGCCGGATAGGCGACGTTCTCCTGCTTGATGTGCATGATCGTTGCACGAGCAGAGAAGTACACAGGCTTCTCCGATAGATCTGTCGTTGTGTTGCTCAGCATATCGTTTACCTCCTGCAGCGACTTCATCTCTGAGCGGTTGAATCCGGACAATGCACCACCGGCAGCGCCGGAGAAGCTATTCGAATGTGCTTGGAAGCTGGCTTGATTTCCACCGGCGTCGTACCATCCTCGTAGAGCATGGGCTTCAGGGATATCAGGGTTGATCGTCATCATGCTCGAGCTGAACATCGACAAAGATCGACCACCAAAGTCGCCCACTTTGACGCCTTTGAACGCGACCACAGGTTCATTCATCTCACTGTACTGCTCGGCTTGCTTGCCCCACAACGTCAGGCGGACACTGAAGTTAGACTTATCCACAAGGGTGAGCTCTCGCTTTGTGACCTGCAAAAGGGTCATCAGCCAATCATTCAAACCATGTGCGTCCATCATCTTACCGTCTTGCCGAACTTGGAATTGATTGAACCGAGCTCGCCAACTTCTTTGACTACACCGATAACGTCTGCCGCCCAGTGAGCATACTATATTAACTGGCCGCTGAAATACACGTACCACAAATAGCGTCTTTCACAAGGTCCTGCAATCCAGAAAGCGGGACGAAGTTGTAGCGAATCGTAGGCAGACTTTGTGTGTCGCGACACTGTACGACAGATGAAGCACTGTACTTGCAATGAAACACCATGCACTTACCTCTTCGACTTCGGTGTGACGCTCAAAGCCTAGCTCATATTCGTTTGAAACAGTTGTAAACTGCTTCTTTGCGAGCTGTACCTTGGCCTTGGAGATATAGTATACCTTGCCCTCCTCGAGTTTGTCGTAAAGCTCATCGACGGCATTGTTGAATGCAGTACCGCGGATTTCGCCGGTCTCATCCATGAGAGTGACATTGAATAATTTCCCTTCACCCCGCTGATTTGACCAAGTCCTGACATCAGACTTGTTTGTAACTCGAGCTTTGATCGTCCAGTTGTTTTGATAGGGGCTGAGGCCCTCAATAGGGAAGATGTTTTGCCTGTTCAGACCAGCACGGTTGCTTTGGCCCTGTTGTTGTTGGTGCTGCTGCTGAGGAGCAGAGGTAGATATGGTCGACGTTGAAGGCACTGGTGCAGGCGTAGCTGCTGAATGAGGTGCAGGTGTCTGCTGAGCAGAACTCGCACCATCCCCAGGGGTTGGCTGCGCGTTATCGGGCTTGCCTATCTTTTCATGATTTTTCACTAGGATTTGCATATCCAATACAATCAAGAGGCTACAACTATATTAAAGATCGCATACATCTGAACACGATAATATCTTACCGTCTCTCCTGAACAAGATTGCAGGTGAACTTGTCGACACGTATGATGGAGTACTTTCCAACGTGTCCTTCGTCCACCAAATTGTTAAGTTGTGTTGCAAGCATCGCTTGAAGGAAGTGCTCTCCATCCGACACGATAATACGATACCTGTCGACTTGGTTGAGGCCACCTGGGGAGGAGACTTTCTTTACAGAGAGTATTTGCATCGTCGGTTTGGAGTTGAGTACCTCATCGTAATTCTCAGAGGAATCAACAAGCCGAAGACATATTCCGGCCGTGAGCTGAACGTTTGACATGGCGGATGGTGATGTTTGGACGCGACACTGGTGGTTGTGGTCTAAGTCGCGCTGATTGGGGCTGCGCGCCTGACAAACGCGTGAGCACGCGTTGAGTACGTAAGCCGTCCCGTTTGGGCAACCATGCCAGTAAGACTGTAAGTACCGAAGTCCTAAGCTTGTAAGCACTCAGTCGAATCCACTGGGGTCTTTGAAATACTGTCGTTAAATTCCCCCAGTATTCTATTTTTTTTTTCAAATCCTCTCAAGGCATTCTAGCTGCGGGGAGACATACTACATCATCGGTGCCAGTACGGCCATATTTCAATCTTCCGATGCGGTGGCTGGTTGCCCGAAGATCTCGTGTTGTTCGAAGCTGCTCAAGTCGCACGTTCTCTCAGCTGAATAACTCTATTATAGATACACTTTCGCGGCTACTAAAGTGCCACCGATTATCGCGGTACACATGAGGCACCGGGAGCTGTCGCGTTATGTCAGGTAGGCGAAGATTTCTAGCTGACTCCACCTGACATGGATTGTCGGATTTATATCCAAAGAGGAAGGGCCCGGTCTGCGCATGCGGCCCTTCAACTATGCCGGATAAATTTTGGAAAACCGTTGAAGGTATACATATCCGTGATAGAGGCGCTATCTTCGCTAGGTCCTCTGTTTACCACACAGGTCATCGAAGCATGCACTATGCACTATTCCCCAGGCATTTGAAGTGGTTGTTATTCTACACTCATTTTATATAACCAATGTGGACCAGGTTTGCCCACTATATATTCTAACATCAGTCTAGTGCTAACAGGAGAATATTTGGATGCTATGGCTAGGACATATGGCCTATGATATAGGTATTATAGAGTCATAAATGGTGTCCTTCAGTGAGAAGTAGGACATGTAAATAGTGAGTAGTCCGCTCAGAGTCGACAAGGTCGCAGTTCAAATAATAATACACAACTTTAGGTCCATTCCATCTCTGGTTTATCTTTTCACGCATCTGAGAGCCTGGTGCGTTGAGTAGCGTCACGCGACGCCTTGAGGGTCACGGAGACCACGTTGCCGCCTGTTCCCACAGCGGGTCCGCCTTTAGGCTCCTCGACCGATATGATACCGGCGCTGGCGGGTGGTGTCGTCCTGGCCTGTGTGATGACATAGAGAGTTGCGATTTTCATGTGCTCATCTCGAAGGCGTTTCAAGGTGTCTACAACAGCGTTGTATGGCTCTCGAAGGTTAGGTGTTGCCTCCGCAACTTGCCGCACGTTCCGTGGCACTGAGCCAATCCGGTTCAAGTATTCACGGTGTGCCCCCGGCATGTAACGTCTCATCCTTTCCATGAAGCCATGTTCAGCCTTCTTGTTAGCTTCAGACGGGGCTGGCTGACGATGATGAACGAGTTTGTGATCTACGTCAAGGAAGATGTCGAGAGCATGCATGACGGAACTCTGGCCTGCCGAAGGCCCGGCGAGATCAAAGGATGCGTAATTGGGAACACCGTCGAAAACCCAACCGGGTTGCCCGTTTGCTTTGGTATCAGCACCATTCCACCATGGACGAACAATCCAGTAGAAGGAGTGTGGATCAACTGCAGAGCGGATCGAACGGAAGATCTCCGTAAGTTCTTCCACAGTTGTCTTGAGTTGGCAAAGATCACGATAAATTTTCGCCACAGAACTGTACTCCGACGTATCCGCCAGATTGACAAACCCTTCAATGATCTGCAACATCTCTACTCCTTTCAACTCTACAGCTGCAGATGCCGTATAGAACGCAGCCTCTGTCTCCGTTCCTGAAAGGAGGTTTACATAGCGCATATTTCCAACGGACAGCGGTTGCTCGGGATCGACGAATTCCCAATTCCACAGGACCACGTCGGCGAACGTCAGCACGGGTGCGATATTGAGTTCTTTCGACACCGCTGCAAGCGGAATTGCTAACGGGGCGGGAATGTGAACCAACGCATCCTTATTTGCCTTTGGCATTGAATGCACATAGTAATGCAGATTGAACGCAAGCACCATGTGCGCCCGCTGCAGGCAACGCAGATTGTCGCGAAGATCACCAATATTCAATACCGGCCACTGTACGTACTATCCGTCAGCATACATGTCGGCAACCGTTCATTCGAAACTCACCGAGCGGACATTTGCCCTCCATCTCTCGCCGGCAGTGCGTTTAGCAACAGCAGCAGGAGTTTGGTTCTCAGCCAAACGCAGTGCCTGCTGTGCTCCAGCCAGGGACTCTTCCCAGATGGAAAATGCAGCTGGTAGATGTGGAAGTGGTCGCGGCGGAAAGAAACCCGTCTGCGGATCTACATCGAAATCCTGAGGACGCATTCCCTCTCGCCTTTGGTTGCTTCCGTAGATCGCCCGCTCTAGGGTAGTCAAATCAAAGGTCGAGCGTGCTCGGTCCAGAAGATGCACAGGAGACGGAATGACGTTCATAATAGTTTCTGTGTATGGGAGAGGAGTTCTACGAGGTATGAGTGTCTGGTGAGTTGTTGAGCTTCCTGGGTCATACTTCCCTTTATATACGATCCAACTGAGCTGTTGGGTCACTGCCTGGACTCATCTCTGCAGTTGGGTGGATATTGCGGTTCGTGATCCTATGGACAAACCGCCGTTGTTTGAGCGGCTTCTGTCAATACCTCGACACACCTTTCGGAGGGGACCGTCCTTTCACTGCCGATAGATCTTGCCGACTGGGTTCGCAGCCCCCTGCCAGCCAGATCTTTGCGTTCAAAAACATCACATCAGACAGATGATGCAGAACGGTGGGATATTGAGTCTTGCTCCGCCTTTCAGGTTTTCCTTGTAATCAAGGAAGTGAGTCAAAACCGGTAGTTGATGACATCTACCAAACTCACTCCATCATCTATCGTCCCAGGATGCTCTTAGCATTGTCAGTATCTCTGACATCCTCCCTCGTCGACAAATGTGCCCACACCTCAATTGCCCTCGCCAGTCGGAGACAACGTATGCGCCGAAACGAGCCCATGCGTGGCGGGTTTCAAAATGTCCTACCCGCATTTTCGTATCTAAGTACGTGGACGTATAAACAGTCCTCGCATGCGCGCCAGTTGATCATGGTTTGATGAAACACAGGTAGTCGGGTGCGCCCAGTGATGAACTGCAGAGTTTGGACCAATTGGCCTATGCAGGTACGAGTGTTTCGTAATTAACTCCATCCAACTAAGGTAAAAGGGGCCTGAAATAACGGAATCCAAAGGAAACGACTACGGCAAACCTTGTTTGTTGACGTATCGGTCGGCGTACCCCACCTGCGCGGGAAAACCTCAAAAGCTGCACTCGTATTGCTCTACTGCTAGCTGGCCGCAGCCTGTGCATTTGCATTCTCAAGCGATGACATCACAGAAAATAAATCGAGTAAGCAACATGCACATGCATATCCTTGATGCGATTACCCTCCTAACGACATCGTTATTGCTGAATCTCGCAATCGTTTGACAGTACTGCAAAGTGGTACATTGTAGCACTTGTCAAATACATATCCAGCTAACAGCGATTGCAATACATCGCCGGCTCTCAAGCCCCGTGGAAGTGAATGTCGTTGTAGCGCATATCTGTCAACGAACCCATGCCAAATACTTCATTCCACTCGTTTTGTCTTCGACCTCTTTGCATCGGCGTTGAACTACCTCCAAAACCTTCTCTCGAACGCCGTTCTTGTGGTTGCGTAGATCTTCAAACTTCTTCACGAGTTCAGCTGAAGTAATTTGTGTGGAACCACTACTGGGGTGGCTACCAGTCACCATCTTGCCAATCTCTTCCTCCGTCGGAAGAGCCCAGCGCATTGGATGAGCAATTTTATAGTCCTTGGGAACCAAATCCTCTGATACAGCAAGCGCGGGCGCATTGCCTTGAGCAGGCGAATACTTCTTGAAGAACTTGTTTACGACATCCGATTGCGAGACTTCCTCCAATGTTGGAGGTGACCAACTAGGACGTCCGTTTTTCAGTTTCTCCACGAGTACTGCTCTTACCCCGGTCACAAAATCAGGGGTCTCACCGTTCTAGATCGGGGAAGAGATGAATACGGAGCATGTATTAATTAAAGCAGGAACTTACGCAGATAGCAGCGGCAAAATTAAGCTCCATTTGCAGAGCTTCCAATAGTGTCATAGTCTTTCCCCGTCTGATTGCTGTAAGTGCAATTCTCAGACTAGTTGGGCTACGCAAGTGCAGGGTATCCAATGTCTCTTGGGCCCATATCCTGACATCTTCAGCCTCGTGTTTATTGCCGATGGCCTTCAAGTCTTCGACGATGGATTCGACCTTATCATGACGAAAGGCGAAGTCCAGCGCAGCCCTCTTTGCACCGACGAACGAAGATGTAGGCTCATCCGGCTCTCTCTCCGAGTAACATTCCTCGATCAGGCTGTCAACATGAGCAAAAGTTGGGTTGTCCAAAGCATTCAAATTCTCAATGAGGCCAGGGATCCGTCTGGACGGAACGAAATGAGTCGCAAGACCGTGCTCGCTACCAGTCCGGTTCCGATCAATGAGGATTCTCAGAATGACTCGAAGACACGTACAAAACGGCTCTGCCTCCAATGTTTTCACCGGTGAGACCGAGATAGGTACCAAGTTCGCCGTCAACTCGGGAAAGGAAGAAACTTGCACCAACATCGGGCGCATAGCCAATCTTCGTTTCGGGCATTGCAAAAAGGGTCTTCTCAGTTGCGATCCGGAATGGTGCATTTGCAGATAGACCAACACCTCCGCCCACTAAAAAAAGTGAAATATGTCAGCACTTCATAACCCTCGTTTAGCCGCTGTAGCGTACTCGTTATACCGTCCATAACAGCGATGTAGGGCTTGTTGACGGCCGCCAGAAGATAATCCAATTCGAACCTGCATCATTGATTAAGCAGTGCATCAATGCCGATTGTAATGTCGTACTCTCGGAGAAAGAATTCAACAGCTTTGCTCCTAGTCTCCACCTTGGTAGCATTATTTGCAACCGCTGCAGGGATGATGAGAACAGAATTTCTCAGCGCAAAGGAAAATTACCTACTTGCGACATCACCTCCAGCACAGAAAGCACGGCCTTTTCCAGTTCCGACTAACACTTTGCCCAGGTCTGAGCGAACAAAATCCTGGAGGCATGATAATCTCAGTTCAATAACACCTGTGTAGCATTCCACGTACTTCGACATAGTGCCGGAGAAGATTGAGCATAGGCTCGTTCAGAGCATTTAGTTGTCGCTCCCTGTTCAGAGTGTACTTCCTGACATGTCCGGCGGATTCGAAAAGAACGAGGTTCTGTAATATAATACGCTCAATCTATTTCTACCAGGACTAGTGTGAAGCCACTACTTACCTCATCACCAACCTCGACCTTGGATGCACGAGAAGAGGAAGAAGTAGACATCATGTGTCGGGATATCGCCTGTGTCCTCTGTGCTGCTGCAAGTCCGGTCCTGGACATTCTCCCGACGCCTCTGGCCAACATGGAGAAGATAAAGAAACCCGAGAGACTAACTAAAACCAACGGGTGTCCGCCCTTGGAGCGTGAAGGATGCAGTGATAGTTCGCGATCAGGTGCCAGCTTCCACCACGCGCTCGCCGGCGCTTGTGAACGAGTCGCTTTTCCTGCCAGTCCACCACCTGCCGAGTTCTGTTCTTCAACCACTGGTGCATAATGGAGAGCTTGCATTCTCCTCAAGTTGGCAGACGTATCAATTATGCCGGATACTTGGGCACGATCAGATATGTAGGACCTGTTGACGGCACGCAAGGCGTATGGCTAGGCGTAGAATGGGACGATGCTCACCGCGGAAAGCACGATGGATTAAAGAATGGCAAAAGATACTTTACATGTCTGTAAGAAATATATTATGCTCTATCCATAACCGACATGGTCTTTTGTGACTATCCACTTTAGTGTACCGAATGCAGGTAGCTTCATCCGCACGACTGCACAGATTTCATACGGGACATCCTTCTTAACGGCGTTGACGGAGAAGTATATTGAGAATCCTCGCAACTCCTCCTCTGTAGAAAAGGTTATCCTAGGTTCTTCCAACGGCGCTATCGAAGTGGAGGCCGTCGGCCTGGATAAGATTCGTGCTAAACTATCACGACTAGACACTCTTCGTGAAGCCAGTTTAGATAGCAGGAACGTAGCAACTGCAGGTAGTTCCGGGGACATCAGACGGACATGTCCTGGTGAGTATCGCATTTCTGACAGACTGAAATTCCGAACCCGTCATTCCATGGCGACATAGATCAACGAAACAGAGAACACATACCTTAACTGACGGCTACCATTTCGTCCAGATATTCGTGGACTCGATTTGTCAAAGAACCTCCTGCCATCATGGGATGTCGTGGCGCTCATTGCAACAGAGCTTGGTCATCTCGAACGGTTAGCGTTAAAGTACGTAGTGTCCCAAACATGTATTGACATTCCGTTTCACTGTATCTAAAAATGAGTTTTGCGCAGCCAAAATCGAATGACACTTCCTAGGAGTGCTGCCATCATAGCCGATGCTTTTCGCCAACTGAGGGAACTGCAGCTAAACGATACCATGACTACTTGGTACGAACTCCGAGTCGTCATCAGGTACATGCCCGAACTCCAACACGTCGAGGTGGGTTACAACCGCCTGCGAGCTCTGGAGATTCCCAACCAACTATCGAAAGATCTATTCGAGCATCCAAACATCCGTTCAATAAATTTTGATAGCAATGAGCTACACTGCTGGGCCGAGATCTGCGAAGCTCTCCGACCGATAACTGCGTATGTCCACCATTTTGCGTCCTAATGCGAGGTCGATCTCAACTGCGATCAGACTTGACCGATTGCTGCTTTCTTCAAATCAAGTGGGAAGGATCGAGCCGATCGCAGACGCTACTAAATCACCAGTTCGGAACCTCAACCACCTTGCGCTATCCTTCAACGCCCTGGCGGAATGGACCGATATTGATCATCTAGTGCACTGGTGTCCGCACCTCGAATCATTGAAGCTCACCGGGAACCCCCTCATGGAAGGTAATGATCATATCATCAATCTGTCCCTTACGAGGTTCGCTCATACGTGATCAGGGACTCAACCTGGAAAGAACACACGACAACTGACCATTGCGAGAATTGCAACGTTGCAGACACTTGATGCAGCTGGGGTGAGTACCTGAAAGTCTCGTTTCTAGTTGCATTGCCACTGAAGGCAACAACTTCCACGCAAACGCAAACTCATTTGCTCGATCAAGATCTCATCGAGAGAGCGCACCGATAGCGAACTTTATTACCTTTCCTATATCACCAAACACGGCCCCTCAGATGAAAGCGCCAGATGCTTAGAACACCCACGCTGGAAAGAGCTATGCGAAAGTGTGTATCTTTCATTTTATAATGCGATGTCTATGTTTCATAGCTGACCTCTCTCATGATCGGCACTCATCTCTCCGCTTACACGGAAATCTTTCGATGGACTTCTTTAGAATACGGAAAGCCCGACGAACAAGCGTCATCTAGTAAAAACAAACGTGATACCCTTGGGAACCGCCTCCTTCGTATGTCACACTTCCTGGCGCCTTCTTTGGTTCTAGTGGTATGTGGTAACATTTTTACTGATCACAGGCATCAACATCTTTCGATGTTCGCGATCGACCTCAATTCACTCTTCTACGAACGCCAAAACCGGGCCCAACTCCGATCTCAATCTCTCTGAGCCTACAGCATTGCGCGTCCTGCCATCTATGTCTATGCGCGCCTTCCATCTCAAGGTTGCCAAATCTTTCAAACTTCCCAAGGGCACACAAGCTCTCAAAGTGTGGTTGAAAATGCCAGATGATGCATTGATTGAACTTCCGTCTGAAGACGATACTCATGATTTGTCGTGGTGGGGCATTGAGGACGGCTCTGGAGTTATACTGAAAGAAATCCACGACTGAGTCTTCTGAAGTATGAGGAAGGATGTTGTTTATGCATATGTATTATTCCATGTACAATTGTAAGTACAACCGCTATACAGGAACGCGCGCATATATCATGATGGAAGGCGAGAAGAACAGTCAGCAAGATTCCTCGTGAGAGCATACACTACCCAGAATAGCCAGATCCATCATTCAAATTCCAGGAAGACGTAATTTGAGGCCTCGAGGCGCATGGCATTTTGAACTCGGGAAAGCGATACCGTACCGTCTAGCCAGCTCAAACGGCAAACCTAGCAATGTTCCTCACAAGCGGGCACCCGGGGCATACTTCAGAACGCACTCAGGACTTCCGATGCCTTGCGCACCGAATTCGCGGAGACCAACTTGAGTTGCTTGATCGTCCTACCTCCACGGTCCCGTGGTAGTCGGGAGAATCCTTATGGCCCCATGGGAATCCGAACCATGAACGGTATGCGAAAGCGATAATAACCGATCGAGCAAATAAACGACTCCTTTTGGTACAACGACTCATGGCCAGCAAGCAAGCAGCAACTAATCCAAGAGGAAGCATGTCCACCAACAACGATTTTCGACCAATTTTTTCTGGGAAACCCATTCAACGCGGTCCAGCGTGAGGAGAGCATGTTTGACAAAAGGAAAGATGACAGTCCCGAAACCGGAAGAACCTGACTGCGCGCGCGCGAGAACCCCCCGTGCGTGCGGACTGCCCAACAAAAAATCAACGTGCCCAGCCACTATCTCCATTGGCGTGTCTTGGAGGTCGCTCCTCCAAGCGATCGTCCTTCTCATCTCGCCTGCGGTCGTCCCGACGTCTGTCATCGTCCCTACGGCGGTCATAATAAGGGTCAGGTGCTCTTCGGTCATCATAGCCTCCTCGACGGTCATCGTACCGTCGATCATCGTAACCCACAGGCCTTCTATCATCGATCTCCCTTTTGTTCGCGGGAGGAGACCTGGGACGACGGTCGTCAAGATCGGCACGACGTGGAGGTGAACGGGAGCGTTCGCGTCTGTTGTGAGGGGCACGATCATCCCGATTGTAACGGTCATCTCGACCGTAACGATCATCGCGATAGCGGTCGTCACGCCTTTCTTCACGACGATCGTCACGGCGGTAGTTGTCGGGGCCAGAGCGCTACCAATGAGTTAGGAGATGTTGATGACCAATTGCGAGACTTGTGCCACTCACACCCTCATCAAGACTGACACGGACAGGTTGGCCGCGAAGGTCCTTGCCATCCAGTTCCTTCACCGCACGCTCGGCGTCGTCGCGGGAGAGATATTCAAGGATACTGCGTAAATGTCAGAGACTTTCGCAACGCGTCAGGTCGATGGAGACGCACCCTTCACCGGCGTTGTCACGATCGATGTCTGCATAGGAGACGCTTCCGGCTTCGCGACCGAAATCTTTAAGATCCTGTGATCGGACAAACGTCAGGGAATCCACCAAAAAGCAATACCGAACCATGGCACGGGAGACGGTAGCCGAACAAGGACTCAGAAATTGGTCCAATTCGGCATCAGTCCATCCAATACGAAGGGGATCACTCCGATGGCGTTTGAAGAAAGGGTCATACCTGCCAGCTCGTGTCCCGAGAGATACCGGAAACCACCAAGCGGAAACCAGGAGGCCGTCTGGCACGAGGAGCTCGATCGGCTTCATAAACGTCGCGATCACGACGAGGTCGGCTCTCCTTTGCAAACTCTACAACAATGCTACAATATCAGAGATTAGTACGAACTGTTATGACCCAACCGCGCCACGTCATACTTAGTACCCATAAAGGCCTTGCCGTTGAAGTGGTGAAGAGCGTCTTCAGCATCCCTGGAGCTCTCGAACTCGACGAATCCGAATCCTAGAGATGAAAATATCTCAATAAGTGGCGTTATTGTTGTCCAACGCCCCAACCGACCTGTCATTACGCGGCAGTCGACGATACGCCCGTATCCGTCGAAAAACTTGGAAACATCTTCAGCGCGAGCATCAGGGGGCAATCCTGTGATCCACAGCCTTCAATACCTCATGTCGAAAATCTAAAACGACAGAAAAAAGGCGTACTTCCAAGATAGAGACGTCTGGCCATGGTGGTTGAGAGCAAGTGATAGAGTTCAGGATTTGGGCTGAGTTCGAAAAGACTGGTACTATATGCGAACCTGGTCCGTGCGCAGATCCGCACTATCTCACTGGCTGATTGTTCGGGCCCTGCACTGGCGACGAATTGAATGGATTACGGGGTGAATAACAAGTCTTTGTACATCGATTTGTTTTGGAATAGCACCGTTTCTGAACATATCCTCTGCAGTGCCATGAAAGAGTATCCGGCACAGGGAGTCGTGGACGGTCGGCCGATGGCAGTTGCGTAAGCGGACAAGCCGGGGGAATGGAGCACGTTTTACCCGCATAAGGTTATCAGATAAGTACTTGGACATCATTTGCTCACGAGCTGAACTTGCTCAAGCACGCCCGCCATGTTGTCAAGAGTATCCTCCAGCGTCGCCTGCAAGTCTGCCCTGCGCGCTGCCGCAAAACGAACAGCAGCTATTGAAGCGCGAAGGTCGTTTGTTCAACCCTCTGGTGCTGACAGAGCAAGTGTCGTCGACTTGCCTTCAACATATCAAGAGGATGGATTCTTCACACCACGAGCAGGCAAGCATTTCGTCTTCAGAATTGGTCTCGCTCTTACCTTGTATTCCAGATATGCTCGGTTTCAAACTTGAGATGCCTCGCAGAGAGGATGCTATTACCGGAAAGGCGCGGCCAATTTATCTAGACATGCAGGTGCGACTTGTCTTTGGCTCGTGCAAGTCCGAGATTCTCACGCAATTACAGGCAACAACTCCAGTAGACCCAAGGGTGCTTGATGCAATGCTACCATACTTTACCGACCAGTTCGGTAATCCGCATAGTCGGACACATGCGTACGGCTGGGAGGCAGAGAAGGCGGTCGAGGATGCACGGCGGGTAGGTGCGCTGTAATCATTTAATGATAAACGCTAAACTTCTACAGGAAGTCGCAAGTCTCATTGGCGCTGATTCGAAAGACATCGTCTTCACCTCTGGCGCAACCGAGTCCAATAATATGGCTATCAAAGGTGTAGCCCGGTTCCACAAAGAAAAGAAGCGGCATATCATTACCACTCAAACAGTATGTTGTTTTACGACATCCTGGGAAATTCGGTCTAATATTCCCTACTAGGAACACAAATGCGTGCTTGATTCGTGCCGGAAATTGCAGGAGGAAGGTTTTGACGTCACATATCTTCCCGTCCAACGCAACGGCGTTATCGACTTGAAAGAACTTGAAGCAGCGATCCGACCTGATACATCGCTGGTTTCAATAATGACCGTTAACAACGAGACTGGCGTGATCCAACCTATCAAGGAGATTGGAGCGCTTCTCCGAAAACATCGCGGAATCTATTTCCATACAGACGCTGCTCAAGCGGCAGGCAAAATTCCATTGGACGTGAACGAGATGAACGTCGACCTCATGTCACTTTCAGGGCACAAGCTCTATGGTCCGAAGGGCGTTGGTGCAGCTTATGTGAGGCGGAGACCTAGGGTTCGATTAGAGCCCATTATCAACGGAGGTGGACAGGAGCGAGGACTTCGGAGTGGAACCCTGCCAACAGCGCTAATAGTTGGTCTGGGTGAATCTGCACGGATCGCAAGGCTAGAGATGGAGGTGAGTTCAATATCCCGATCTCTCATGACATTACTTCTTCCACTTCTGCTACGATGAAACTCGCACGTCAGTCTCACAGCAGACGCGGAGTTTGGCGGACAAGACGCTTGGTACCTTCTGGTCTCTGTGCGCAGTCCGGCCGAGCGATGATTCTACGTGCAGGGGTACTGAGCTTTTGGGGTCTTGCACCTTCCTGGCAGACTACGCTATACACTATGCTACGATCAACGTACTAATGACCCTTCTATTCTTCTAATCTTCATCAGCGAGATCATGCTTGGGTAAAATCCCTCTCAGATCGTCTCATCCACAAGATCAACGCCCAAGTAGAACATGTTGTGCGGAATGGTGACCCATCTGGATACCCCGGATGCGTCAACTTAAGCTTTGCATATGTCGAGGGGGAGAGTCTTTTGATGGCACTCAAGGTATGCCCGTGAATATTAATTGTTTCCGCATCATTGTTCTGACCAGACTCTCCACTGGGTTTTAGGACATAGCGCTATCTTCTGGTAGCGCATGCACCTCGGCGTCTCTCGAGCCATCATATGTTCTTCGCGCCCTTGGTAAGTATTCATTTCATCATCTCCTTCACCGTGGTATTCGGACTGCAACTGAGACGCCACCTTTTTATTTATTTTGCCCCTGTAGGTGCGGCGGAAGATATGGCACATTCTTCATTACGATTTGGCATGGGAAGGTTCACGACGGAGGCTGAAATCGATTATGTCGTGGAAAAAATCGTGGCTACCGTTCAGAAGTTGCGTGATATGAGGTACGTTTTCTATCTTCCCGTTGTGTTTGTATACATGGCTCACTTGACATGCACTTCACATAGCCCGCTATGGGAGATGGTCCAGGAGGGTATCGACATCAACACTATTAACTGGGCACAGCACTAAGGCTCTTCGCGTCTGTGCCTTTCTTCCATATTGCGAATTACTGGTTCAACCAACTATCTGTCAGCCTGGGTGCATTGCGGTGCTTTTTTTGCATCAACCGAGGACGCTGTAGGGCGTCATACCATTCTCAGTTATCAACGTTATGAATTTGCATTTCTTGCATCTTGCAGCTATTCTATGTACTTCTATTGTGGATTGTAATGAACAACGATACAGCATTATTCCGATTTGTTGGCTCTTCGCTGAACCAGGAGGCGGGCGTAAACTTAAGCTTAAGGCCGATGACTGGGCGGAACTGCGACAGCTGCTGCTCTATTCTTTTTTTTGCCACTGCGCCAGGAACTCGGGTTTGAAACAAGTAAACGAAGTAAAACATCTAACAGACACGGATTCCAGAATATGACAAGCTGGAGGTCAAAACAAATTTTAGGTTGCGATCAAGAACATGTACAGCTACTATACAGGCAGTGTGAGAGACTACACAACCATGTCAACTTTACAGCGGGGGGTTAGCCCGGGAAACAAGGGTCTGGAAATACTCCTGGAACCAGGTACCAGCCTCAGGAGCTGGCTGATCAGCATCGGACTGTAAAACATTACAACTAGTCAGCCTCACACCATAGAACAGTGTCAATAATAAATGACATACCAAAGCGCACGTAGAGTCAAATCGAGGCGATGAGCTGTTGCTAGTACCATCGCACTCTCCTCCAGGCTTGACCCAAACGATGGAGTCGATAAACTGAGAGCCAGTGTTTGTCGTCGGGCGGGTACCAAAACCGGCATTCTTGATGTTACACCAGTCACCCCATTGTTGACGGAGGTTCTGCTGACCGGAACGACCTTGGTCGACGATGAATGTGGCGGGGAAACCTTGCTGTTGGAGGACGGGTGCGAGAGCCTATAGGCAAAAAGATGTCAGCCGTGGTGCGAGATAGGAGAGATGGGATAGAGACGTACGTTGATGTAGTGGATCTCGTCGTAGTTTGCGTTACCCTGAGTGATGGGGTCAGGCGAGGCAGCCGAGAGGGCGTTGTAGTTGGCAACGTCTACACAAGAAAGCGAATGAGTATCCTGGTCGAGCAAGGATAAGTACGGTTCTGAGCTTACTGGTAGCGAGACCCTTGATGAAGGGAGAGGATCCAGCGTCCTTGAACACTTGAGCGAAGAGCTGAGCAGCGGGGGTCAGGTTGGCGGGCCAGCCGAGCCATCCTGCGTGACCAGCATCCATATACTGATAGACGCCGACACTAGCAAGCTGCTTGAGGGCGTAGTTGACGCAAGTCTGCATAACGAAGACGTCGGTGTTAGGGAACTATGTAACTGATAGTATGTGTCTTAGACTTGCCAAGTAGGTGGTCTGGGCATTAGCACATTTTTGGACGTTCAAGTTGGTGACTAGGTTGGCCAAAGAGTCGGGCTCAATGACAGCGATGACACGGACATCAGGGAACTCTGTCAATCAAGAACATTGATAAGGATACTGTTCAATACTTGAACAGATGAAAGACGTACTCTTGATCTGAGCAACCAGTTGATCGATGTAGTTGTAGTAGTTAGCTTGACCGTTGTTAGCAATGCTAAACTCTCCATTGGAAGCCTTGGCAGCGCAGTCACGATCGGGGAGATCGTAGACGACGATCTGGACAACCTGCTTCTGGCCGGTGCTATTCTGGATGCTCTGAGCATCGGCGAGGTATGTGCCGAGATCTGCAACCTTAGAGACAGTGTCGAACCACGTGAAGGTTGGGATATTAGCTACTGAAGCCGCCTTCGCTTTGAGGGTTGCGTCAGAAATTGCAGCAGCAGCTTGCTGGACTTCATTGGCGTAGTAAGGACTCAAGTATGGCTTAGGAAGAATTATAAGTCAATTAAAGAAATATGAAGACAACTCTGGTACACACTGTGACCCCAACGAAAGGGTTGCTTGCAGAGGGGGCACTGGTGGGAGCAGACGTGGGCGCAGAGGTAGGTGCGGAGGTAGGAGACCCAGGTTGGCTTGTTGGAGGAGGAGTGTTAGACGAGGATGGAGGTGCGGCTGTACCAGGACTGAAGTTCCATGCGTTAGATGAGGACGAAGAAAAACCCTACATATAATGAATACTTACATGCACTGAGAGTAATAGTCATTCAACTTGGTGCATGTCGAGCCGGCCACACAGGACGTTGAGCCAGCTACACAAGTTCTATCAGTATGGTCCCTTGGAGTAGAAGTACGTGTACATACTCCAATCAATGCCACCACATTGTCCCCATTCGGCTGACTGAGCGCTGGCCAAAGCAGGGAGCAGGGCAACAAGGGCGTAGAGAGCAGCGAAGGACTTCATTTTGCCTGTACGGTGTGGGGACTGGATCCTGAAGAAGTTCCGAGCTTTCAGATGCATTTTATAGCTCGAGCCTCCAAGCGAATGGTCCGACTACACTAGGGTCGAAAGCTGAAAATAATCCGGCGTTGAACCGAGCGAACGGGCGGATACACGTCGGGAGGGGTCAGTTGCTATTGTGGAACTGGAGAACATCGGGGTCATATGAGAGCTGACTGCTCAGCCGGACGCTCTTCTTGACGATGAAGGGAGACATGTCAATGTTTGATCCCGAGACTGGTCGCTTGTGGACCATTAAGATCGGTTATAGCTCGGCTTCAAGCAGCTGATGCTAATTTTTCATGATTTTCCCGTCCGCTGGCCATTTCACTGATTCGCATCGACTGTGGACAAAGTCGTCATTGCGGTTTGTGTTGAGGATTCCAGGTTTGTCCATTTGAAAGAGGAGAGAGTTTCGTCGGAGGCAGCTCGCGCACTTCACGGTAGGTATCCTGAGCTGCGTGAACATGACGAAAATATCCCAGGCGCAATTGCTTCCGAGGTCCTGGTCTTCTTCGTGGAAGAAGCTCGAGCTCACCGTCACCGAGCAGATCAAACAGGTCTCGAAAGCACGATCACTTGACAACACGGTTCAAGTATTTTCGTGGAAAGAGGCGTTCGTGACCTCGGGGTCTGTGATGAGATACATTGAGGTACGCTACATTGTACCAAGACGACCAAGAGGGCTCAATAACACAATAATTCTTTGGTCATGATTTACTGACCTCGAGACAGTGATGCTTCGACGGATATCAATTGTGAGCATTCGAGAGCGAAGCCCGCACGCCATTTACACTTCCACTGTCCTGTTGATATGCGCTTACATGTTTCGACATTCTGAAAATCCATCGGAAGAATCACGGTGCTTGTATGAGCACATGCAGGTTAATTTGCGGATACATTCTTGTTGTGAAGGCGATCGCGGGGAGAATGGGTGAAGGCCAAGCAAGCTATGCCGCACTATTTCAAACGTAAATATTCGTTGAATGAATATCGACCACCAACGTTCGCAGTGAGGTGATCATGAAGGCCAAAAAGATCCATTGAGTCTCCGGCCGGCCCGGGAAGGATTCGGCGTAGTTTGGCGTTAACGTTAATTACTTGTCTGTACAACTAGTCTCTCGTAAACTGCACTTTAACAAGCCCGTTTGTAATGTTATATGCTCTTCAATGACTAAGGGGCAGGGGACTGCTATCCTCTGAATTCACCTCCGCATGGAAAGAATTCAAGTAGCAAAACATCAGTTTGATAAGGTTTGATATGGTCCCGTGCTCGTACCCGACAAGACCATGGGTCGAGGACAGGATTGTCAGTTCACAAGGCGAATCGATAATCCTGTAGGATTCTCTTTTGACGTTAATGACGGATAGGGGCTACTCACATCCATCCACCAACCTCTCTCACGGCAGATCTTCTGTCGAAATGTCGTCTATTGTCTTCTCCGATTCCGCGGTCTTTGAGACCTCTCGGACAATCAACGGCAGGTCGCTGAAGATGGTTGCCAAGAGGTACACGACGAACCATAGCCAGAATGATGGTATGACTCTTCTTCTGACCCATTCCAGTCATACTCGTAAGTCTTCCTTCATTGTGCAGATATGTGCGTATTCAGTCTCGGTGAAACAGACAAGGAACATTGGGAACCGACTCTAGACTGCTTATTTGCGCCGCACGCCGATCAGAAGCTTATCCGAGGCATTCGTGAGATTTGGTCGTTCGACTGGTTCGCGCATGGCGATTCTGCTGTCGCAAACCAAGAACTTCTACATTCTAATGAATTCATTCCTTGTACGTATTCACTACTGCCGTATTTTTAACCCTTTGCTTTATCGATATATCAAAGCTACGGCGGAGTGGGGAGCAGCTATTGCAGACTTTGCCCGATCGCGTTTAGCTTCTCATCACCTTGTCGCTATTGGCCATTCAGCAGGTGCTTCCGCGGTGTAAGTGGGCCACCCGTCTTACAGGAACTTTGCCCCTCACGGAAATTATACACATAGGCTACACTTTGCCAACAGTCTCGGCGATGCTCGACAGAGCTTTCTCAGATCTATCGTGCTCGTTGAGCCAATATTCTTCAATCGAGACGAATTTGCAATGTTCGGTGAAGCACCTACAGACCTCATGATCAAAGGTATAGCTGCACAGCGCTTTCAATGGGATAACAAACGGAGCGCCTTTAACTGGTTCAAGTCCCGCGTCCCTTGGAAAACTTGGGATGAGCGTGTGCTTGCTGTTTACGTCGTACGTTATCCGTAGTTAGAGCCAGTTCTTCCTTAACTCATCGCCAGGTTACCAGAACCATGGCTTACGGCCCCTGGTAGCTGATGATCTGTTTGGACCAGTGGTCACGAAACTGTCCAAGAAGTACGAGTCATTGTGTTTCGGCGACGTCGAGTGCGAGTGCCATTTCCAGGCTCCGGAGCTGGTCACGGCTCTGTGCCGTGAAGTTCCGATTCATGTAATCCAAGGGGTGAACAATCGCGACCTTGTGTAGGTCTTTTCCCTTCGCCTGGTCTCGATTGCACCCTGACTTAGTATTACCGCTTACAGTCCGGAACCTTCGAGCAAGTGTGTCACAGACGAGTCGCGAGGTAGGTTTGTGGCCTCTCACACGTGGGTCCCTCGTGCAGGACATATGGTTCGTTACTGGAAACAGTCCTGTTTTCTTTATTGTTGGCTAACATGGACATTCTAGATCGTGCAGCAACAGCCTGAAGGTTTGGCACGAGCACTTGTGCGGGTCTTGAAGGGCGAGGCTTCTGGTACTGTTACTCTCCAAGAGGATACGCGGTCGAAGCTATGATATCTCGCTCTCTGTTCCTCTGATCTCTTGGTTTCCTTCATGTTTACTTGACCTTGTATATTCCAACTGACATTCACTAGCCAGACGATATCTTTGGACCATGTGGTATGCATATCATTGTTAACCTAACTTATACCAACGGCGCGGCCACAGAGACGTTTCTTTGGCTTCTTCAGGTCCGAAAAACGTTACCGCATTCGGTCGCCTTGACCCTTGATTCAACACGAGGCATGTCAAAGCCACTATGATAAGAGGCCTATAAAAGAGAGCCATTGGACAATAGTCTCATAACCTTCACCTACATTCCGCATCTCGCATTCCCTTCGCTCTATCTCCCCTATAGTTATTCACAACTACAATTGCAATCAAAATGGTAACTTGCAGCAAAATGTGGCGAGATATGCATCCCGCTCCTACGCTCAACTCCGCGGAGGCTCCAGAATTCTTTCTCAACAATGTCTTGTTTAACGACCTTAAGGTTGACAATTCGATTTGGAATACCAGCTATCCGTTCTCCATGTTATCCTTGGCCACATTCGGGAAGAAGTACACTATCGAACAAGACTTGATCCAATTCAACCTAGGAGGTTGTGCTGGTATACCTGCTACTCTCGCGTCTTGTGACGTGCAAGATGGTGATTCTCTTGTTGACCTCGGAGTTTCTGATCGTGAAGATGTTTGGGCCTACTTCTATGTGAGTAAGGACCGCCCCTCGACTGTACACCTGTTGACTGACCTACAGTGCCTAGTGGCCAGCTTACCCAGGGGTTGTCTTCCCCGCGAATCTCCGTCACGCATCTCCGTACACTCGTCAAGAGCTCGCTGAGAACATCCTCCGTTGTATGGAAGACTGGCACCAGGCATGAACGGATTCCGTACACAAACTAATCGTTTGACTTGACGATTTGACTTCTGTCCCTTTTAGCACATGGTCTTATCTGAAGGCTGTATACGTCGTTGCAAGATCAAGCCCTTAGCCTTTGATTCCTGGAACCTTTCGTCATTTGTTGTGGACGGCCTCTTGCCATTAGACGATGAAAAGAAGCATTACCTCGTATGCGTCACTTGGGGAAGGTATAACAATCATCCTCACGAATAGAGCTTATGAGCGGTGCCGTCGCTCCATTACTCGGCTTGACCTCCCCATTCGCTGAATATGTGGTTATACGGTATTCTGTTTGACTCTGTCATTACACTAAAATATACATACTAATACAGTAGGATCAACGATTTCTCCGCAGTCGATTCGAAGTTGAAAAGAAGAAAGAATTGGTAAAGTCTCAACTCACAAAAAATCATCCTCATCGCTGTCCTCCTTAAACCAGGAGGTTTCCTTTGGTAGACCCAATTGTTGACGAACGAACCCGAACTCGAGATCGTTTGTGCATTTGACCATATTGTGGAACTTCATCCCGAGCTCACTGCCTTCCTGAATCAGGTCATCCATAAGAGAGTCCCATTCATTATCGCCGACCGGGGATTGTTCTTCGGCAGCAAGAGTGACAAGGTCCAGCGCATACTTAACCTTTCCTCCCTTCTGGATGAAGGAGCGTGCAGCACTGCCAGCATCAGCGAGGACGGCATCTGATGTTGGAACTCTCTTGGATTCAATAACACGGTCAATAGCAGGAAAGAGCGATAAGTAGGAATTGAACAACGGGCGCGTGAACTTGTTGGCAAGGCGGGGCGGTAAGGTGTCAAGTCCAACAGCATAATCAAAGCCACCACCTCTTTTGAATCTGGGAGGGTCTTCCCGTATCATATCGTGCCAGACAGTAGCTTGCCCTGCGAAGCAAGGTCAGTCAGTCATGACTGGCACGACTGACCACAAACAAAACTTACAGGAAATCCGATAACCCATCCTCGGTGACAGCCAACCGTCGACGCACTGTCCACAGGTACAACCCCACTTTTTGGAACGTACGTACGTGGTTTCATCCCCGACCTCTTCACCCATAGCCCTTCGAAGCTCGTAGGCGCACCTCAAACCCTCATCGGGATACCCGTTCCAGGCTCCTAGCATGGTTTCGCGAAATTCCTTGTCATTACGCATTTCGCGTTCGCAAGCTTCTAAGGGAGTAACTCCATCTGTATTGTCCCGACGCTCTAATTCACTGCGGGCATTGTTTGGCCCCAGAGAGGGACCAAGCAGTGCGCGTAGGGCTCGTAGATTGTGCATACCCGCCGCTAAATGCAAGGGCGTCATGCCCTGCTCGTCTTGCCTATGAATAGCATCCGGATTGGTGATGTTCACTTGAGCAATGGTCTGCTCGATTTGAGGTAACTGGGCGAGCTGGGGAAGCATTGGCATACCAAGTGGACCGGCCATCGTTGCGGAACTGGCAGCTATGAGGTGATGGAGCATATACCTCTGCATGTGCGCTCTCATCCTCTCTTCTTGTTCCTCTGGGAGGGGGCCAATGTCCTCTGGAACTGGGACGACGTCGGGCTCTTCGTTCTCACGCGAGAAGATGGCGTTACCCTCTGCATCTTCGGAAATGGGAATCGCTCGAGACGAATGGTTCGAATCAGGAGAGTAAGCAAAGAATGGGGTTCTGCCTACTCGACGGAAGTTGTTCTAGAGGGGTATGTTGGGTCATGGAGCTTGGGTTCAAAACAAGATAGGAACTCACTTTCCGGAAGAATGCCACAGCGCGATCACGATTGTAATTGAATTGAGCACGCGTTATACCGCCTTCTATCGAAGTAGGCCAAGCGAAAGCATGGTAGTTAGTTCCAAGGTGAGGGGAGCTCAGGAGCTGCTGCATGGCCCAGCTGCCGACACCAGACCTGTGAAACTATGGTTCAGGTACGTAAGTAATTGATCACTGAACTCGAGATTACTACGCACATTCTTATTAACCTCAATAGTATCTATATATACCAGAAGGCCGTCGTTGACTTCCTCTCCCCAGCAGCCGGTACCCCTATGATAGTCGTGCTCGATGAGCTCGGGCTTTAAGAACCCGTTCTTATCAAAGAGTTTTTGGGAGAACTGGTGAAGTTCGTCTGATTCGCCGTCCAGTATTTGGAGGAAGGTGCCTCTCAGAACGTTCCTGTTGACCATAGTGCCTGATACTGTGGCAAGCTCTCCATACAGGGGATGAGTTATTGTTCCGTGGATGTGGGTGAGCGCTGTAGGACACTCAGGGTTAGCACTGGTCGCAACTCTCGCAGTGCATGCGTCAAGAATATTAGCAGCCATGGTAGGACTGGAAGGAGAGAAAGATGATGGTAATGGTTCAATAGGAGTTCGATTGAAGGCTTCCAGCACGGGTGAACTTACGTACGCAGCCCGCTCCTGACTCGTCATACGGTTTAACTGCTTTGCAAAGCGCAATTTGTGATTTGTGTCGATCTCCTTCAATATACTGAATTCCACGACATATTATGATAAACGATAAACGGTCGCCGAACCTAACTTCATGAGTTTCATTGATAGAACCGCGCTCGAGAAGCAAGTCGAACTAAGTCTTCCTGATTTGGACAGCGACCTGGTCGGACGCTGCGCGCTATGCCGAGGATCTTTCTCATTTCGCCTCATCCGCCACTTTTTGTGTCCCTTGCGGCACTCACACTCACCAACGTCTTTATTTACATGGTCATATACTACTTTTAACTAATGTTTCACGAAACCCTTCAATGCTGCACCGGGTCGCCACTGTCGCACAGTCAAGTTGCGGATCCGCTGTTCAACATTCACAAGTTCCTAGCTGCGGGAACTATCGCAATATCACTGACCCCAAATTATGCGCCGAATATCGTCGTACATGTATCCGATCTCTGGCATATTCTTCCAGGATTATCAGCACTTTCGGCCCTCGTTCATCCCGATGAAATTGCCTTCATCAGGATACTCGACTTTTTATCTCAGCACCATTTCATTCGAGCGACTTGCCGATTCGGCCATGGTAGCCTGTCATCCGCGCTCCTTGTGAGGATTTATCTAATACCATACGACCTTGCAAACGTGCAAGGTCAACTTCGCATTCGAGAGGACGCGATTCTTACTGCAGCGCGACGATATTTACGTATTCTACTTCCACGGATTGTTCAAGATATATCAGAATGGAATGGGGGAGACGCGCAATCATCTACATTGAGAAAGCTATTTTATGGACTATCACAGGTCGGTCGACGATGTACGTACGATATTCATTGACGCACTCACCTTTTTTGTCGGCAGGACGATCGCACGATGGCGGAAATTTATAGCTCTTTGCCATCTCCTGTTGCCAGCGAGGTGTCTCCCCTGGCAAATGCAATTCTGGATGGTACCACCACGAGGCTCAGAAGCGAGCTTCACCCGTATCAGCGTTGTTCGGTCATCGCGATGCTTGGCAAGGAGCTTTCACCTCATGGCGTACCCGATCCTCTGTATATTCCGATCCGTGGAGTGGATGGTATCGAGTTCTACTTTCAACCAGCAACATTCGAATTACTGTCCGAACGCCCCATAGTGCAACAGATGCGAGGAGGCATTCTATGCGAAGAGCTAGGTGCGGTGATATTGCTTCATTCCGTCAGCGCTGGCTGAATCGTATCATAGGGACCGGCAAAACTGTAATGGTGCTGGGCCTTGTTTGCGCTACGGTCGATCAGTCGTCTTCACCCGAAGAGTCGCTCTTAGACGACCGCCCCGTTATGACGCCGATTTCGTTCAATTCTCTTACATCCCCGTCTTCTATCGCCAGCCGCCAACGCCTCAATAGGGTCATCAAGTCTCGGCCAGCGAAATCCAATGAAGCTGAATCCCCTCAGATACCATCGCTACGAGCAATTCTCTTGCATTATCTGCGCACTCACCCAGATGGTCTTAATGTTCGATATCACCACGACGATCTTGAAGATCGACAACTCCTACAAGCATATCAAGCAAACGTTCCTTTCTATCTTCATTATAATGAGGAACCTCTCGACACGAATTGGTCTCGCCGACGACGGACAGAACCTAAACCAAGAATAATGTATTTGACGACTGCAACTATTATAATTGTTCCCGTCAACCTTCTATATCAATGGGAAATGGAGGTACTCAAGCACTGTGAAGATCCGCTACGCCTTCTGGTGATCAGAGATACAAAGCCTTTGCCGCCAGCTTCAGAGTTAGCATCTTTATATGACGTACGTTTTACTCGAACACCTGTTGATCATACCTACTTATTCATGTTCCCAGATAATCCTTATGAGTCAGACAAGTAAGTCATCTATGGTCTACTGATTCGAGACAACCTAAGCATTAAACCGTTTGTGAAAAGGATTCTCAGCCGAGGCTACCAAGGACTGTCTCGAAAAACTGCATACTTGGAAGCGATGCAATTGCCCTCCCGTTCTCTATTCTCAAGTGACGATCACGAACTGTCAGTGTCACCGGCATGACGATGTCTCGCCTCTCTTTCAGGTGCGCTGGAAAAGGCTGGTAATAGATGAGGGGCATGTAGCGTCCAGTTCTACTACCAATCTGGTATCATTAAGCAAGAAGTTGAGCATCGAGAGAAAATGGATTGTGACGGGAACTCCAACAAGTATGTGTATATCACCTGTCGTTGGGTTGCTCTGATTGTATGTCATAATTCAGCGAACCTCATGGGACTTCATTTTGGAGAAGGCTCTGAACTACAGTATCCTGAAGATGTTGCTAATTCTGCTGCCAATGATGTGGTGGGTTTACCAGGGGTGAGATAAATGGTGTTGTACCTTGGTGTCAATTTTCTCATTGGCATCTGCTAGTCACCTCGGAGTGATATCAGTAGCAGTGACCTATCCTCTGCAGAAGAAGAGCCTTTCAAGCCTATCAGAGTCTGGACCAGCGATGACCGCCAGGATCTGAACAAGCTGGCCAACATGATGGTCCATTTTCTCCAGGCTCCACAGTTTGCTTCAGATTCCAAGTTATTCACTAATTTGGTCATCAATTCTCTCATGGCTCCTTCAGGACCTCTGCCTCACTCAATTGAGGTCCTTACCCAGGTCATGAATACTGTGATGATCAGACACCAGTATGTGCCTTTAGATATCTGAGTCTTAATGGTAGCACTAAAAGATCTCTTCAAGGATTACTGATGTTGAGAAAGATATTCTCTTGCCCATTCTCAGTCATGAGACTGTTCTGCTGGACCTTGATCCTTATGCGCTCAAGACCTACAATGTCATGCAAGCTACCATTGCTGTAAATGCAATTGACTCTGAAAGAGTGGACCAGGTATGAATGTATCTTCTAACTTGAGTAGATGTGCAAGGAACTGACAGTGTACTTGCTAGGACTATCTATTTCATCCAAGAGTATGTTCTTTCTTAAGAGATTAGTATGGATTTTACTGATCTTCCATTTGTATCAGAATGTGGGGCACTTACAACAAATTATTGAGAATATGTCACAGTAAGTTGCTTCTCTTTTAATCCTCACTTCTTTGCTCATCCATGTATTTTCAGAGCCATGTTCTGGCACACTGATGAGAACTACTTCAATGCTGATGAAATCTTGAAAGATAGTGAAGGCTATCTGAAAAGAACGGCAGAAAGAGCATCTCAGCAAGACCTTACTCTATTGAAAGATGCCCTTCATCACTTGTATATATTTTTCTAGTGTTCTGTGTCCAGGGACTCTATTGATAGTTTCATTTTAGGAAATCAGCAGCTTCAGATCCGGTCTGGAGAGCCCTGTTATGCCATGCGAATGTTTTCCACAGGGCTTTTGGCATCCCTGAAGCCATATATCAGGCTTGGACGCCGCTGCCTGCCTCAGTTTCTTCAATCACCGATTTCTTTAGCTCAAACCCCTATTCATTCTGTCACCCAGAACACCTGTTCAAACTACATCAACTCATCTCCAAAAGACCTTTGCTCAATGAGGCAGGACTCATCGACATTGGTTATGCGGTCCGCAAGGAAGAGCTGCTTCGGTACAGGTTCAACATGTCTCGGTTACAAATGAGCAAAGCCGGAAAGCGTCAGAAGGATCATCTCTCAGACAAGACCATGAAACTCAAAGAATTTGACTTGACTTCGCCGGGGAAACTCAAGCACATTCGTCAAGAGTTAATCGACGCGCAGGATCGAGTCCAAACCATTTCCGCTGGCGCTACTCCTGGCGAACACGTCGCTCCCCACGAGACTTATACCACCTCTCCTCTGTTAGCCAAATCGCCGCTGGCGCAGGTTCGCATCGGGAACACAACATCATCAAAGCTTAACTACATCATAAATGATATCCTTCTCCACGCAAAGACGGAGAAGTTCCTTATATTCTCTCGGTCGCCACTCACTCTGGCGTACATCTCGGAAGCCCTCGATGTCATTCGTGTAAAGTCGCTCCACTTTACGTCAAAGGTAAATCTGAAGACACGCGAGCAGTATGTGACGACGTTCGAAACCTCAGATACGTATCGAGTGTTCCTGATGGAACTCAAACATGGCGCCCGCGGATTGTAGGTCCAATGTCGATCTTGTTGACATCAGGCAGCTGACGCATATAATACGATAGAAACCTTGTCTCCGCATCTAGGGTAATCTTCTGTGAACCGGTTTGGCAAGCTGACGTTGAAACACAAGCTATCAAGGTGCATATTGATGCCAACATTCGCAGAGCCGTACTGATCTTCCTTCGCATATGTAGCGAGTGCATCGTATTGGTCAAATACGACCGGTCATTGGTTAGCTTAATGACAATTCCTTCGCCGGCTTCATCGATTACTGACTGAACTTTGTAGTCAAAACGCTCGCGATCCGGTTAACGTACGAAGAGACCATGGTTTCTCGAAGAGAGGCCCTAAGAAGCGGACTGGGGAGCTCAGGTGGTAAGCTGCCTGACATGACAGACGACAGGACGATGCGTGATTTCTTGGCGGTACGTATTATCTCGATGTTTAGTCGCCATGATTAACAAGTCATACCTGTGTAGAACCCAACCTTTCTTCCGGATCCACCACCTCCAGAGATTGAACTCGATATACCGCTTTTGGGTGACGAGGCCGCACGAGAGAGCAACAGGCTTGCTTCCCTCCCCGAGGCGGGTGCGAAAAAGCCTCTGCGCTACATGTTGCGCGATGATGACTCGGATGACGACTTTGACAACTCTGCATCAGCTCATGAGGAAGGTACCTCGATGCAGATGGCACCAACGCATTCCAACCATACGGCTCTTTCTGTCAATTTCGACCGCTTGCACGCCAGCTCACGCATTTCACCGACGATCAAGAGGGTGCGTTTGATTTTGCCCCCGGAGCCAGCTAGTCGAGATCTCCAGCATGCCATTGGCAGCAATCCAGTGCAGCATGAGGATCCCGAAGTTCGCCCAAGAAAGAAGCCAAGGCTTTCCGTCCGCTTTGCTGTTTAACATTTATAGGTAAATCGGAAACCCATTGTACCATACCAACCACGTAGTTTAGAGTTTCGCGCCTCAGTTCATTCAAACATCTGCATGTCTATATTCCGTGTACCATAACTTATTCCATATCTTATACATTCAACATTCTCATCGAATCACATACGAATGACGCAACAGTTTTCGTCACCGCAAGTTGAAAGAGATTTAAACATGCCAACGGGCTCGAGATTCTCTGAAACTCCCCTTGTGCAAACAAAGAAGCTTCAACGTACTTACTACATATTATCCATAACAGGCCATTTCTGGCGGCGCTTGTGCTACGTTGTTGACTCACTTACTACCATCTGGTTGAGGATAAGTACCATCCTTCAATGTTGCGCTGTTGGGTACTTATCTTTGGTCCCCATAATTGATGTCATGGTCGACAAATTCCGACGCAGTATTCTTTAGAAGGACTGCATCTTGATACGAGCTATCCAACCTTGGGCTGGCCGTGGTCCGTTGAAGGTCCATGCTGTGGCCCTCACTGTAGTGCTCGAGCATTGTGAATGTGTCGCGTCCACACTGTTCCACTCCATGGTTCCAAAATGAAGTGCGTCTAAGAGAGCCTGAGACCACAATATTTCTGTTGCTAATTTTTGTTGGTTCACGGATTCCATGGACCTGCCGGATTGTTGCTTGGACGCCACGAGCCTATCCGTAACGTTTATCCGGACAGGAGGATGGACCTCTTTTGTCCGACATGAAGATTGGCGAAATGTTTAAAAGGCGATGGTCGACCCCTACCGAACTCCCCACATTCTCTCTCCCCTTGCTACATTTAAACCCGCATTTCACTTTTTCCATATACCGCTCACTGTTCTTCGTGCTATACGTACACCATGCAACGAGACACCATCCCATCCCGCCCTGTTTACCACAATGGCGTTCCCCTCCCTAACGCTTCCTGCGGTGTCGAGCTCTACGGCTACTGTGTCTCCGATGTCTGGATGCAACAATACGCTGAAGCCAACAACATCAAATGGAAACGTTACCATGCTCCACAGAAGGGCATGCTAGATACCGAAGCTAGAGATCTCGCCGTGATCAATCATATCCGCAATGCGGTCGTCCAACAACTCGACCGTCCTTTGGATGACTGGCAGGATGTCTTGTCGACTCACTTCGTCACCGAAATCCCCGATTACGTCAAGGTACTGGATTCTTACGGCCCAAAGAAGACGGACGTGCACAGGCTATCTTGGACTATAATCTATATTGGGTCGAACGAGAACGAAGAATGTATCGACCGGGCCTTGGAGGCTGAACATATGATCAAGGCGCTGCAAAGTGTGTTGAAGTGCGGGCACCAGGCTCCCGAATGGATTCCTGAAGGAGAACTGTTGCGCAACCAGGATAATATTCGTGCGTACATTATATGTTGCTGTCTGTGTCTATGATTAAGCTGATGCCACTTGTCCTGCTTTCTAGCTGAATGGTCTCCACGGAGCATGTAGGACCAGAACAGTTGATTCAAACGAAGTTTCAGATCGTTTAGGGAGTACTGTCAAGGCCCAAGTCTCTGGCCACGCCGTGTTTCTTCTTCTTTTAGAACCTCTCTTTTACTATTTATTTGCTTCTTAAAGGTACCTTGAAACGCTCTATAGAGCTGGTTTTTGTCCTTTGTACCGTACGCTGTGGTAGTTGGAATGTCTCTCTATATATAACACTGGCAACAAAGAACTGGAGTGATTGCTGCAGAACTAAGGTAATACGGTATCGGGCTGAATCATATACGTTTTGTGATTCTACGGTCACCATACGAAGGAACGGTTGCCTTCCGAGAGTATCTAGAGGTTGGAAGTGAGCTTAAATCTAGTGTACTTTTCTGCCGGCACTCCTCATCTCACTGGCGCTTTCCAATGGCAACCGAAATACATCGTCATCCCTTCCTCAAATCGCTGATAGCTATGTCAATTTGTCGCTGAACGCTAGCGATCGAACGGTCGTTCAAACGTTGAAGGTGATCTACACCCACCGTACGTACACGGAATAGAAGTTGAAATTCAAATTGAACGACGACTTGACTCAAGACGTCGTCATTGACACTTATCAGGTACGGGTACACCACGTTGAACATTCGCTTGAATCTACATACGAACCAAGCCTGGCTGATGATACAAAAATTACAACCGAACCATGTACAACCGAACGACCCAAACAACAAAGGAAACGGACGTTTCGTCAGGCACAAAACACAACACACACACCCTTAGCATGAACACAGTAACCGGCATCACAACGCGTAGCATGAAATAAGTCAAAGAAATAACGCTAGATGTTAAAAGGCAATCTGCTAAAGGCATTACGGAGAATAGGAAGAGCACCAAGGGGAATCGTGAGCACAAGGGATTGGTATCGGCTTGACTAAGATACGCGTGGCTCGGGGTATCGGGTGAAGTGTCGCCTGGGAGGTAGACACGGATAGATACGGAACAGCGGGGCAAAGCCATGTGACGGGTATGTTGGTGAGTGCAAAGGAATGGAAGGGGAATAGCTGAATATAAATGATAAGGATAAGTATGGAGAACAGGGTAGAAATGTGAACGAGAAGAGGGCTGGATGGTAGGAAACAAACAAGTAAACATCCAGTGAGGCCAGTCGATGGCACAGTTAATGGTTACAATGAATTCTGGTGAAGGCAGCGTGAGAACTGAAATCTGAGGGATATCATGAATCATCATACCTCCTAGTAGCGAACAGCATTTCCGTGTTGAGCAGCATACAAGCTGCTCGCCCTTCTCGACATTCTCCAATCGCCAGTTCCCTGCCCAAGATACCCGCCTTGGACTGGTCCATGAGGCATCTGCCCATTTCCACCCTTATCCAAGCATTCCAAAGGTACAACGCCCTGTTCGCCCCTAGCATTGGCGCACAAAGCCCAACCATCATCAAACTCGCCTAGGACGCGAACCATCTCGCCTGTGCTGATGGACAGCTCATCTGGCAGCGAAGGTAGGAACGTGCAACGAACGTAGGCATAAGCGGACGTAGAACGGACACCTGTAGCAGGTGTCACTGAAATCACCGGAGAGCCTGGACCTAAGGCCTGAGACAGAGGCACTGCAGGGGAGCCCAAAGACGGCTGCAGCATGGGCGGCGGGGACACCATCATTGATGGTGAAGGAGGGGGCAGATTAGCGTAACTCGTCGGAGGGGGAGGAGGGAGCGCAAACGCGCTCTGATTTGCCATTGGGGTGGTGGCGGGAGTATAACGGGGCTTCTCCGGGAGTGGAGGTGCATAGTTATCCACTTGTTTCTCGCTCATGTAGGGAGATAAATCTGGCTTCGGGTATATGCCAGCACCCCAAGTATTCCGCTTATTCTTCCGCCTGCGCAGGAATGCCTTGCGCATCAAAAAGATGGCAATTGCTATTGCAACGATGAGGGCAGCTGCAACGATGCCTCCGACCGCACCTCCAGACAGACCCTTCGAAGCCGAAGCAGCGGCAGTGTCGCTCTCCTTTGCACCCGCAGCTATATCAGATGAAGTAGTAGAGGCTGAAGACTGGGTCTGGGAAGTCGAACTTGGAGACGGCGTAGGAGTAGGAGTAGGGGTCGGAGTCGCAGACGGAGTAGTAACTGGTAGAGAGCTTAAAGAGGTAGCGGTACTACTTAAGGGTAAAGCTCTACTGATGCTACTGCTGGTAGCAATAGAGGACGACGTAGGTTTAGCGGAAGTCGAAGCGGGCGTGGAGATTGGCTTCACAGGGATGGAAGTAACGAGAACAGGAATACGCATGGTTTGAACCTCCACCTTGGTGGTGCGCAAAAGCGTGAAGGTCTCCGTCAGGAGTCTCGTGGAGATCGAGAAACCAGGAGGAACATCCGTGTCATCATCATCGTCGTCGTCGTCGTCGACCTTCTGTTGACGGCGGTAATGGCGTTTGTGAAGACGCATATGAGCATGGGAGTGGTCGACGGGGAAACCTCTAGAGTCCATGGTGGTTTCTGATCGAATGGTATATGCTTTGTGAGCGTAAGTCAATAAGGAGCGTGAGTGGGTCCTCAAGGAACCCGTGGCTTTTCAAGGACAACGTTTCGGACAAGGATGAGGATTGAAAGAGGTCGCAAAACGAAAACAAAAGACTCCTCAACTTGCCGTGGTGATGGAAACGCCTGTGACATTTGTCACGCACACGTGTCACACTGGTTTCTCAGGTAGCATGCGGCCCGCTCATGCTACGACGCCACTGGACATTGAACATGATCTTGGTCTCCAACCTCCATATTAACTCACAAGAACTGCCTTCGTAACTCTCTAAATAATCCTTACTATTCCCCGAATTAAAGCTGTAGTGACACTATGATAACTCTTGCGGACGAGGGCTTTACTGAGTGCGATGCTGGTAACATGCGGAACGCACAAGACCTTCTATTGAACATAAAGTCGATTCGAGAAAGAGAAGGTGCTTTGTATTCCAAGCTCATTGGAAATCCACTTACAGTCTTGCGCAGACCTCGTGTATGCCTTGCTACATTCTCTTCCAAAGTCAAGTCTTGCCAGCATCCAACGCAATATTGAGCCCATGCTGCAGCTGGACGTTGTCGGAGTACGCCCGCACTACAATCGCGTGCTTAGCCTTAATTGATCTCCTCTCTTTAGTTGCTTCCTGATGAAGTCGCTCTTCTTGTTTACTCGTTTCTGCCATGGCAATCTCTGTTGTCATGCGCGCTAGTCAATCGACGATGGCGTACACTGGCCAACGATACCACTTTGTGGCGCGACCTCTGTGCTGAACGAGAATGGGAATGGCGACCTCAGCAGAAGCAACACGACGTATTCTCTTCTTCGCCTGACCTCTCTATCAACTCGGACGATGAAGGTATGGGCGACGATGAAGAAGAAGACGTTGAATACATGCTCCAAGATGATTCGGGCTTTGCTTCCATGGCCATCGAGTCGTCCTCGAGTATGCTGTGCACCGAGACACCGTCTATACCTCTTTCACCTATTTACAGGGACACTAGGCCTTTCATCCACCTATCAGGTTCTAACCTTTACGGCTCGACATCCTCGCATATCTCGAAACCAGACTACAAGCTTCTATTCTTGACGCACATCCGCTTGCAGAACCGTATGCGTTCTTCCTCTTATCGATTGTCTAGTCTCAATACTCGTGGATCACTCAACCCGCATACAAACACTATCTACTGTTTACAGCTTTACACCTACCCAGATACAGGGAAACAAGTCCTATTTACAGGTTCCAAGGACCGAACTGTTCGGGAATGGGATCTCGAAACCAATACTGTTAGTCGTGTCATCGAGGGTGTACACGAAGGCAGTGTACTCAGTATCTGTGTCTACAATGGTCTTCTGGCTAGCGGCGGAAGCGACCAAACAGTTGCTATCTGGGACCTTGCGCGAAACGAGCTTGTTAGGGTCATCCAGGATCATACAGATAGTGTGTTATGCGTTCGGTTTGATGACCACAGGCTTGTATCCTGTTCGAAAGGTGCGTTGTTCACTTTGGAGTAACACACGTCGCCTGAGTTGTCGTTTCACAGATCGTACTCTACGATCGTACTCCTTACCCAGCTTCCAGTTCCAGTACGCCATTGACGACCATCGTGCGGCCGTCAATGCTGTCTCGATATCACCAGAACACATTGTCTCTGCATCTGGAGACCGTTCGATGAAGTTGTGGAATGCAACAAACGGCACTTTGATACGCACCTTCGATAGTCATCATGGCCGAGGGTAGGCTTCTTTTGTCCTGGGCATCTTCTACCATCTAATTTATTGCCTTTAGAATCGCGTCCATCGATTTTAAACCTCCCTACATACTCTCAGGCTCCTCCGATAAACACCTTAGACTGCTTGACACCAACAGCTTGCAAGGCTGGTCTACTTCACCAGATTTTGACCCTCAGACTGGCAATGTGTCGGAGGGCGTCTGCGAAACATGCGGGAACGCTACCAATGCTGCGACAACTGCGGCAAATCGGAATCGCCTGCGTGCACACGGGGATCTCGTGAGGAGCGTGGCTCTGAACGCGGATTTCGCGGTTAGTGGGAGTTATGATACGACAGTGAAGGTGTGTATCTTTCACGTGTCCCTTGAGAACCCGGTGGCTCATTGTTATCGTTCCTTTATTGCTTTGTGAATGACCGGAATTGCGTATGTGATTTCTGAACGTTGGAACGTGTAGATTTGGGATCGCAAGACTGGTGCGCTGGTCGCAGATTTGTCAGGTGGTCATGTCAGTAGAGTGTTCTGTGTGGCGATAGATAGTACAAAGGTATGCACGTTTAGTCCGCCGTTTTCCAGCTCATGACTTAACCATGGATAAATGTAGGTTGTATCTTGTGGTGAAGACCAGGTTCGTCCACTACCCTTCCTTTCTAAATTTTACAAGCTAATTTACTGCTTTGGATGTAGAGAATTTGCATTTGGGACTTTTCACATGGCATCGATACCTCGTTTATCAGGTTGTAACTATATCATATTCACGTTTTCCTACTCATGCTATTGCACAGTTCGAGTCATACATTCGTTCATTTTGCCGAAACATGGGTTGTGGACTGCTAGATCTCCGATTACAATGCATTGGCATGTGGACTCGCGTAGAACAACGGGTTTCCCTGCTTTCACAGCTTAATCTTTCTTCGATGTTGCCGAGGTTTCTGTTGTTCTTTGACCTTCGTGGTCACATCTCCCTTCTTTATAGCCAGTTGTACCCTCATCCTCTGCCCAAAAGGTGAATATGTCGCAACTCCCACACTTCGTCCTCTCAGACCTCGTCGGGCACTGCACCTTTCCTCTATGCTTTCACCAGCATGGCGACATCACCAGTGCACGGTCCTGGCTAGACGTAGGTTGCCCTGAATTCACGCCCAAGCCGCGCTCAGCTCTCTGTGGTCTCGGATCGGGAGTCCTGACGGCCTATCGTTACTCATACGCCAAAAACGACGAACGTCTGAGAGTGGTCAGTGATTTCATGAACCTCCTCTTTCATCTGGATAATGGGGTGAGGAGGACGGGAATGGAGGAATTGGCGGACCCGGTCACGAACGCAGTTTGGTTCCCTGAGAGGTACTTGTCGACGAGTGCGTTGGGGAAACCTCGCTCAGAGGAGGAGTGTAGTGCGGGAAAGCTTGCGCGAGAGTGAGTCTATGCAAAGTTCATGCGTGGCATGAGCGTTGTTGATGTGACTTTGCAGCTTCTGGCAACGGTGTGTGAAACACGCGAAACCAGGACCTCAAGCACGCTTCAAAGAATCCCTTGCCCCCTTCTTCGAAGCCATACATTGGCAGTCGCAGTATCGAGACGCCGGTGCTATTCCAGACTTGGAGCCTTACATTTAGTTGAGGCGCAATATAAGTGGCTGCAAACTTGTGTTTGTCATCGAGTATGCGTTGGATATAGACTTGCCTGAGGTTGTCATGGACAATCCGGTGATTAAGGCTCTTAACCGGGCTACCGATGACTTGGTAACTTGGTCGAACGTGAGTGCATTTCATGCACATCTTCTTTCGCTAAGACCGTGCAGTACAAGATATCTTTATTGAACAGTCCAAAGGGGACACTCATAACGTACGCATTCTATTTGTGCTCGTTTCCCTTTCTTACGTGACTCGTTTCATTAGATGGTGGCCATCTTGATGAGATAGATTTGACCTTCAATACGCAATCGACCACGTTGGTTTTCTTTGTAAACTCACGATCGACGCCTTCCAAGTCAACCGAAAGCTTATTCCTGCCTGGGGTCCCAAAATAGACCAAGACGTAGCCAATTACGTCGAAGGCCTTCAAGACCGGATCGTCGGGTCGCTTCACTGGAGTTTCGAGACCAGGCGTTACTTCGGATCCAATGGGCATCAGGTGAAAGTAACCCATGTTGTAAAACTGCTCCCTCCAAGGGAGATGGGTAAAAAGGATAAGACGATGCACAAGAAGCAGCTGACTCCGCTGGCCCAAACGCAACTTCGCCCCGATGCATTGAATCACGCGTGAGCCCAACATCGACTCATCTCCAGAATCACTACTAAGCTGTTCCTTGTCTAGAACTCTTTTCTATCAAAATAGCCCATGTTTGCGTTTAGGTTTTCAGTAATCTATGCTTCTCATTCGTTGCTTTCGTAACGTATCATATTATCCTCCTAGTTAGTTGTGCAATATTCGAATCTGAACGTCTCAGTCTTCTGGTTCTCAGTATCGTACTAATGAGATAGACAGTCGTTTAGCATGTGCTTAGTTTCCGTGATGTACATAGACTATCCTTTGCCGTCCCGCTGTGCGTGGCGTGCTGTCCTCTAACCTTCGTCAAAACATTACTATTGGGCCGTTCCTCTTTTCACGACTACTCATCCGACCCAGAAAGTATCGCACATGTCTCATCCACAGCTACGGGAGCTTCAGGAGGATCGGCAAGGTATTCGCTCGCGTGCATACTTCCATCCAATTCTTCCGGATGAGCCTCTCCGAACCTTTCATCGTCATCTTCTGGTGCTACAACATCGTCGTATTCGCCTTGTTCAGCACTGTTTGCTGACTCTTCGGGGTTATATTCGAAACCACTAGCGGTTCCGGCATCGCAATTTGCACTTGTACGAATCCTGCCTGCGTCCAGTCCCAGCATCATAGTCACCAAATTCTCGCTCTTCGTCAAAGGCTGCTGACTCTTGCCCGCCTATTTCGTGGTATCCGTCGTCTTCAGCCTCTGAACTCAGATAAATCAGTCATTTAACAGATTCCGAAGATGTTACTGAACCTACTAGTATAATGGTTAGTCGAACAATTCACTTTCATTTTAGACATTTCCACCTAATGGATATAGTACTAGTGATTCGTTGCATACTTGCAAGACAGGCAGCAAGAGAGATTTCGTTGTGGTTGCACGTTGCAACGTATCTGAGTTCATCCACCCCACCTTCCATTTCTGAGACTCCACCTGATGATCGATCGCAATCGGTAAGCCTTTCTTGGCAATATCATGAATCACACTGCTCGAGTTTTGAACTACTGTATAACTTGTATGTGGGTTTGGATAAAGTTGATAAATCCCACAATACCGATTCCATACATATTGACTGACGGAGGCTTTAGATTTCAACTTAAATGAGAAAATATGGGGACCTCCTCACGAAATCTTAGGCCTTGAAAGGACCCCGCCCCCTATTGCGACACATATGACGCTCAAGCGACGAGTTCGACGTCAATTCGAATGTCCAAGAACATGGATAAGCGTCCATACAAATAGCTCTTTCACAGCCAGAGCGCAGCACCCTCCTATTGTCACCTTTTCACTGTACCGCCATCTTTCAGTCTCGAAGTCCATATCGTATTCGCTATGACTGTCCCTGATAAGATGCAGGCCCTGATTACTCAGGCCAACAAGACCACCAAGGTGGAGACAGTACCTACGCCTGACATTGACGATGATGAGGTGCTCGTCAAAACGGTCGCTATAGCGTTAAACCACACAGACTGGAAACGTTCGTCTTTCTCGCCCTGTATTCCTACCCTGTCCATTGACGCAGAATCAATTTTCTCGGTTAGATATTGAATTCATTAACAATCCCGGCACAATTGTCGGTTGTGACTTTTCAGGAACTGTAGTTAAAGTCGGGAAAGCCGTGACTACACTCTTTGAGGGAGACCATGTTGCTGGATTCACCCATGGCGGAACATTCAAAGATCTCGGAGCCTTTGCTGAATATGTCAAGAGCCCAGCTGACCTAGTCTGGAAAGTTCCCGGTGGTACTTTGAGCCATGAGCAAGCAGCTACTTTTGGCTGCGCGTGAGTTCCCTACTGGTTTGGTATATTTTTTTCAGTCACCGGAATATGGGTCCTTAGGTTTTATACAGCCGTTCAAGCATTGTTCAACCCCAATCGACTCGCTCTCATCGAACCTCCCGGAGAGGCTGCCGCCCCTGAGTGGGTCCTCATTAACGGTGGAACTGGTAAGTTGGCAATGTGTCGATGTTCTGGATGCGAGCCAACTGTGCATGGAATCGTTAGCGTCTGTCGGCATGTTCGCTATTCAACTTGCCCGCATCGCTGGATACGAAGTCCTTGCTGTCGCCTCTAAGAAACCTGAATTGGCGAAGTCCCTGGGTGCAAACGCTGTCGTTGATGTATGGTTCAATTTGTATTCTTTCGGCAAAGCCGAAAATTTATTCATTCCGTGTATTCCAGTATAAGGATCCTGAGGCCGTAACACAAATCAGACACGCCACTCACGAGGGGATCCACAGCGGTCTCGACGCCATTGCTACAGATGACACTCAAGAATTCTCCATTAGATCATTCGGTCCTGGCGAGGGAAAGCTGATCGTGACTCTCAACGCTTACAAAGGTGCCCAAGAACTTCGTCCCGACGTGGAAATTCAGAGTACGTCGCAACATGCATATCTTTCATTTCGTGCTTCTTTGTGCTTACGACACCTTGTGCTCCTGCAGGTACCCTGGTGTACACCGTCTTCGGACGTAGCTTCGACTTCTTAGGCACTCATTACGACCCCGTTCCCGACGACCGTGAGCATATGGCCGCGTTCTTGCAGAAGCTCCCTACTCTTGTGAAATCGGGTCATTTGAAGCCAAATCCTGTGATATTGTGGCCAGGTGGACTGCAAGAGGTTACGGATGGCTTAGACTTCCTGCGGGAGGGAAAGCACAGTGGTGAGAAGGTCGTTTATCGTATTGGTTGAGGAATGGACTTGTCGGGTTCGGCTTGAACCACGGAGTGGAATAACCTGATGGACGATATCTTTCTTGTACTATCATTTTGAACATACTCTTCAGTGCTCAACCAATATTGCATTGGATGTTTTGAAGCCGGTCGAATGGACAAGCTAAATTATTTCACCTCATTTCACCTTCGAACTGATTTCGCATGGCTTTGAAAGACCTGCCGAGGAGCATATGACATTATTACTATTTCTTGCGGCACCAGAGCTTGTCTGTTTCCCCATGTTTCCTTAATGCCAATTGTCAATTGTGCCTCAGCGATGGTTCCTGCATCCGGCATCCCATGGTTCCCGGTTCGCCATGATATGTACGATGAGAACATTGCATGACTAATGCATCATGTATCCACACACTGAATCCGAAACTGCAGAACCCGAGTTGCATAAAAATGGAGCCCTGGAGCTTGTACACACACATATACCTGCTTTTGCAACTCGTTGTCGCACGACAAGGACCCGGATAACCTGCTAAAACTTCAGATTCATCTATCATGTCTACCCCGCAAACTATGAAGTCATTGATCACCCAGGAAACCAAGACTGTCGCCGTTGAAGAGATACCCGTGCCAGAGATTGACGAAGACGAAGTCCTCATTAAGAATGTAGCGATTGCTTTGAACCCTACGGACTGGAAGCGTATGTCCTTACACTGCGCCACGTACAGTAACTTGCAGAAGCACTGATCTTCTGTCCAGACGTTGACTTTACCACCAACGTCGGAACGATCCCTGGCTGTGATTTCTCAGGGACTGTTGTTCAGATTGGCAAGAGTGTTACCAACTTTGCGGTTGGCGATCATGTTGCGGGCTTTACCCAAGGTGGAATGTACAAAGATCGCGGCGCCTTTGCAGAATATGTGAAGACCCCCGCTGATCTGGTTTGGAAGGTGCCTGAGGGCACTCTAACCCATGAGGAAGCTGCTACCTTTGGATGCGCGTGAGTAGAGTTCACTAGAGTGTTGCACTTTGTATTCTTAAACGTTCTACTTTGCTAGATACTGGACAGCTGTTCAAGCATTGTTTAACCCTACCCGTCTTGGGCTCACTGAGCCTCCCAACAGGGCAGCCACCTCGGAGTGGATTTTGATTTACGGCGGAAGCAGTACGTGCCACTCGAGTCCTTCGTGACGGCATACTGAATTAACTGATTCGTACCCGTATAGCATCTGTCGGGCTGTTTGCTGTCCAGCTTGCCCATCTTGCAGGTTATAAAGTGATTTCCACTGCATCTGTAAAGAACCATGAACTTGTGAAGTCTCTCGGCGCAGATGCAGTCATTGACGTTCGTGTGGCCTCATTAGCCTCCTGTACGATCATTATTGACATCTTCACATACAGTACAAGAACCCGGACGTCGTGGACCAAATCAAGCAAATCACTGGAAACTCAATTCACATCGGTTTCGATACAGTTTCCACTGAGCCGTCTCAAGAACTCGCTATCAAGACCTTCGGCCCAGGGTCAGGCAAGCTCCTTATCATCCTTGGTCCTTCCAAAACTGCCCAGGAATTGCGCTCGGATGTTAAAATCCAAAGTACGCTCATATTGAAATCATTACACTCCGTAAATCGAACTTAAGCACGACTGCTGACGACGCTTGAAACCTGTAACAGGCACGCTTATATATACCGCCCTTGGACGCGCCTTTCAATATCGCCAGTCCCGCTATGAGGTCCAACCTGAAGACCGCGCGCATATGGCGGCGTTCTTGAAGAAGACTCCTGAGCTTGTGAGAACGGGTGCGATTAAGCCCAACCCGGTGAGGTTGTGGCCTGGAGGTTTGGAGACTGTCAAGGATGGCTTGCAATATTTGAGAGAGGGGAAGAATAGCGGTGAGAAAGTCGTGTATCGCCTTGCTTGAGCTTGAACTATAAATTGCCATATGGAACTTAAAGTGTATCAATAGCATGTATAACTTCCCATTGGAATCGCGATTGGTCTATGAGAGCACACAATCGTTTCAAACATGCAAGAGCATCCAAAGTGAAGTCAATGTTTAAGCTGTCAAGGTATAGATACGAATAACGATATATCCGTTGATTGGAAGTCCGAGGTTTTACAACAGTTCAGTAGGGGAGGGCTGACTAGCAGTACGAGAGATTTTTTTAACACCAGCCGTTGCGCGCATCGCTATTTGCATCGCATCGGATTGTGCGAGGCAGCATACCGGAGACGTGTGGCCAGACGCTACCCCGCTAAGAAGTCGAAAGTTAATAATTTATTCGATCCAAAAGCAAGCCTAAAATTGAACTACGACCAAAAATGTCAGTAGTTACTACTTGACTTTTAACTCGAGGTTGGAAACTCACAGGAATGAACGAAAACAATAAATACTTCAAAGCAAAGGGAGCGTAGGTTTGACAGAGATGGGCTCTTCAATTAAGAAGAACTCGGGGGTATGCAAATGCGTTTAACAACAAATGAGGGCGGTAGGCGCTAAATCGTCATCGTAGGCTATGACAGGTGTTCGTCATCATGAAATAATCGTCGCATGGTATAACCAAGCAGAAAGGTGCATATCGAAGTACGGCGGATGACAGATAAGGAGTGACGGCCTCAGTATCGCAGGTTTGACTGAGAGTGCGATCCCCCAAGAGAACTACCCTTCTTGTGTTTCGGAAGGGAAGCAAGGATCTCTGGACGTTCCTGAAGACAGAACCGAGGGATAACACCTTTCTCGGCATCGGGCTTTCCAATCCGCTGTACCAAGCACCACTCATCTTCGTACTCCTCCACCAGTCTGAGTGTCTCGCCAACTTTGATCTTGAGTTCATCTGCAAGTGATGGTACAAAGGTGCAGGTGACGACCATCAACCGAGGCAGTTTCTTTCCATTGATCGATTTTGATCGCGGGCGGCTGGTAGCAGGCGTCTTCCAAGCGGAATCGGGAGCATATGCGCCGTATGAACTTGTGCGGGGACTGGGGACTGGTGAAAGAGGGGTACCAGTCTGGACAGTCAAGGCTGCCAGGGTAACGGGAGGGCGAGCGGGAACCTCAACCTGCAAATTGGCCTTGCTAACCAGTGCAGGTTGAGGAGTGGCTTGTATGGGAAGAGGTGGGATGACTGCGACATCGTAAGAGGGCGGAGGATAGTTGGACTGGGTAGGGGTAGATGTGGACTTGCGGGAGAAGGAAATGTGTCCAAGGAAACGGTTAGTTCCCTTCTTCACGGCTTTATTGGGGGAGTGAGCGGGAGGAGGAAGCGGGAGTAGTTCAACGGGATAAATCGCTGGCATAATGAAACCCGATTTCTTGTCAGATGCCTTCCTGTCCAAAGTAACCTCGAGAGGTGCTGACTTCTCAAAAGAGGATAGGCTAGCAAGGACCTTAGAGGAAGCAACATGACGAGCGCGAATCCTCTTTCGCCGCCAAATACCGATTCTCCAAGCGGCAATGCCTAGACAAGATATCAGCAACTTTGCGAGAGTTTGGGAGTTTGCGCACATACCGATCAGGCAAACACCAAGAACCACAATAAACCCAGTCAACGCCTTCACCGAGGTTGAAAGTGGTGCAACCACTGGCTTACTTGATACACTGGGTGTCGCAGCGTCCTCAGCGCGTGCTATGACCGGAGCCCTAGTCGCGGTCGAACCGATGAAGGAATCAACCTCCCGGTGCTTGATTTCACGGGCCCAATGCCTCCGCGACGAAGCAAGATGACGAACGTTGGAGGAGGCCATTAGATAAACTTTAAAACTGGATAACAAGAAACTAAAGGAAAGGAAGGGTTCGCCGCCGCCAGACAACAAAAAAAAGAACGCAGAAACGAAGGAAAAGAAACCGTTAGGGATACCGTGACAGCCTGTCTGGGATATATATCTTCGGGAGCACTTCGGCGTCCGACATCAGACAACGGACAGCATCGGTCAGAGATATGTGTTTCATCAAACTTACAACATGATTCATGTCGAGGGGAGGGGTAAAGCGATAGGACATACCGAATCAAGACATACACTATCCCTATGTGGCAAGTATAACAGTTCCAAGTGCACTGAATAGCCAGGAACCAGATGTTAACAGAGCTAACATATTTGCAAGGACGGTGAAGGCTGTCCGACGTAACAGGATTATCACAACCGACTGGCATGAGGGCGGCCCTGATCTCCCATAAAATGATGAGGTGGACAGAATATATCACAACTGTCATCGATGGGTTTGACCAATCGACGGCCTGCGCTCATTTGCCTGTTGGGTGTACTTTGAAATTAATATATTGTGTCCAATAATTGAGTAGAAATGGCTCGGTATAACGATCTCGCACCCTCCACAGGGACGTATTCTTGGAGAGAATTCTGGACCAACTTCTCCACAGTGGCAGATGGTAAGGAACGCGCATCTTCTCCAGCAAGCGCGTACAGCGCCTCGGCCGCGATAGCCATCTTCTCATCTCTAGTAAAAGGGACAAACGGAAGAACAGTGGTCACTCGTGAGAGTAGCGAAGGCTGATGTACAGGGTCAGAAGACAGCATTTGTTTGCGTCAAGCGATCTGAACTCACCCCGAGACGCTGAGAGACTCCCGGACGTAATATGCCCATGAGATCCACATAAGCCTCTCTGGACATGGACTCTTCGGGATTTTCACGCGATGCCTGATGCTCGAAGACGAGATCGTGGCCGATGTTGGAGGTGCCCAGCCAGATCACTTTCGAGACATCAACGTGACGTTTGCCAGCCTCGAACGAGCAGCGACCTGCATTACACATTAGACCTCCACGGAGACGCGTAGGATGCAATGTGGCGCACCTAGCTCCCATGGCATCAGCAATGATGATAGGTACGTCTCGTTCTCAGTCTTCTCGATCTCCTAAGTTTAGAATGCATCTAGTGATATGGACAATATTTCATTTGGACAGCCACTCACATCAAGCACAACAACGCAACGCTTCCCCTCGTTCTCAAGCAGGAAGTCCGCCAGGGTAGATGTAGAAGGCTCCTGTAGGAGGGCATCACTATCAGTGACAGCTCTCGAAGCATAAGTGAGAAACACGAACTTCATAGGGATTCATAGAGTAACTACGCCAGATGTCGTGAGTCGACCTTAGGGTAGTCATGTTAACTGTATGAGTCGGAACATCCAGAAGAGATCCGACTGTTGCGGATGAATCAGCATCCCCCAAGCTATACACGTCATAACAAACTCACATTTCCGAGCCAACAAACTCTTCCCATGCCCACTCGGTCCTGTACAAGTTTAGTAAGTGCGAATATATTAAACCTATCAAAGGAACCTACCACACAATAGCACGACGATGGGCGAGACAGTAGGCATACTAAGTACGCGGAAAAGCTGTTCCAAAGCTCGATCTTGACCAATGAGATCATACCGGACTTTCGCAAGAGGGCGGAAGAAAGACCGATGAATCAGAGCAGATGCGCGTCGAGTCTGCGGCGCTTCCGCACGAGCAATGTAATACCTTGTAGCAGGATCTGCCTTCTCAAGCACACTGCTTAGAGCGGGGGTCACTCTTCCATTGTTGTATCCCGACTGTGCAGGAGACGAGGAGGAAATATTGTCTGAATCCCTCAGAGTGGAGGGGTTCGCACCGTGCGCAAGCAGTAACTTGATAATCTCCATCTTGTGATGTAAGTTGTTAGCAGTCAGAGTAAACGCAAGGGCCGACTGTGGTCCAACGTCATCGTTGGGACCTGCTTCACCACTTTGCAGGACTTTGCGAACTTCGTCCACATTGTCACTGGCGATAGCGAAGAGCAACGTCGGGCGTGGCGTGGCTATAGCATGAATTGGAGAGCGAAGGACAGATGACGGTCGACTATAGATAGGCTCAGCCGATGAGACAGCAACGCCACGGATAGTGTCATCGACATCAGGCTCGTCATGTTGATAATGATAGTCGTCGTCATCTTCATCGTGTTGCGCGAAGTCGACCTCAGCACGCTCGTCAAGCACACTCAAACGTTCAGAGAGCCTGCTTGAGGGACGGAGATTATTAGGTGTAAATAAGGGTGTCGAAGCACGGGAAGAGCGTTTTGAGTCAGGGAACCTATGCCAAGAGGTGGGGCGAGAGAGAGGTGCAGAATGAGGCATGGTTTGGTAGGCGTCGTCAAGATGACTCCGGGGTTGTCTTAAAATGTGGGTATGGTTATCATGATCGGGTATGGACTGGGATCGAGAACTTGAAAGCTGGGTTTGGGTTTAGAGTGGTTATATCCACAGTAAGCAAAGACTACACCTACCAATAGATTATGAGAGATAGAATATTCAGATGATACAGTTGGAGACGATGGAGTTAGTGCAGATGATGGTGCTGGAAAAAAGCAATTTAAGCAGGACGGACGACTTAAAACCCAGTCGAACATACCGGTTGTGCCAGTAGTGAGAGATGGTAAGCCAGAATATGCAAGAGATGACAATGCGGAAGACGAGGAATTGAGGATCATAGACTGTAGACGAAGAGTCAATCAGGGGTAGTAATACAAAGATGGAAGAGCACTCACTAAACGAAGAGGTTTGAGACGACTGGCCCTTGAAGAAGATCGTTGGGGAGAAGATACTCGGGAAGATGCCCGAGAGTCGATGATACCCTCCAACGGACTACTCTGGCTTGACCTCGTTTCTACCCACACAGGACGTCGAGGGCTTGTAAAAGAATCCGGGGTGCGCGTGGACGCGCGCGATGAATTCCTTGAAAGGGACGTATGTCTAAAGCCAAATGGGACCTTGGTAGAAGAGGCGGGCCCAGGAGACTTAGCATCCACATCCGAAGCTGAGAAAGCGGCGGATAACCGGGAAGAGCCAACTGCGCTGAGAGGTAGTGGTACAGCTTCTGGAGCAACTCGCTGTTCCACACGAGGCGAAGCAATGATCAACGAAGAGGGCGTAGTACGACGCGGTTTACTGAAGACAGAAGGCCGAGGTGACGATACCACGGGCGAAGACCCAACAGAGCTGTCATGTGAAGAAGGCTGTGCGTAATAGCTATCAAACAACGTTGTGTTGCCTTCGGTAGGACTCTGTGCATTATTCGAAGGATGTTCGTCTGTAGTCTCGGGTTCTGTGACTACCAATGTAGTTGAATGTGCATCAACGTCAAAGGAAAGCGACTCGTCAAAGCCTTCGTCTGGTAAAGGAGGCGTTGAAGGTGGCTTGACTGTAGCTTCAATGTTCTGCTCTGTAGGAGGATCGCAAGTCTCAGACAGTCTCCGTAAATGATAATCCGAAGGACTGTCGAGATCATCATCATCTACTGGTGGCTCTTCTGGAGGATCCTCGGGTTGTTGAGATCTAGGATTAAAAAGATTTGTAGCAGGCCAAGCTGCAGCTGAAGAAGGAAGGAATGTCGGGGAAAGAATGCGCGAGGGGGAACGAAAAGGAGAGGAAAGGAGAGATAGAGTCGAAACGCGTCTCGGACTGCGTGGAGGGGGAGATAAAGCGAGAGGGGAAGGGCCAGTCCAGCCGTCCGCATATCCGGAGTCTATGGAGTCTTCCCGGTGGAAACACGCTTCGAGTTGGCCGATGCGGTCTACAGCAGGTGGGGCGAGTGTAATCTCTATGGGAGATAAAAGCGTAGAAAGCTCACTGGGGGCCGAGGAAGGAGGCCGTTGCCGTTGCCGGCGCGTAGGCGGGGTACAAGGCGTAGTTGGAGCACAGCCTACTGGTGTTACCGCGACGGCGTCCGTACGTGAGTGCATGGAAGGTTTAGGCAAGGCATCCCTAGACGGAGGAGTGTGTGTTGGTCCTGGAGCGGGATCATCAGGCACATCTTCGGAGGGTTCTGGTGAAGGTTCTCTGTCGTGTGCAAGAGTAGCGACAAAAGAACTCGGAGAAGCGACTTCTGACCCAATGAACGAAGCAGTAGAAGGTGAGTCGACTTCCCTATGAGTGAATTGGGGCGAAGTCTCTCTAGGTACAGAAGTGCCTGCCATGGGTTCCGAAACAGCGTCAGGAAACCCGTCTGTAGCAGGTTCTTGTGAAGCACCTCTATCAGCAGCGATGGAAGATTTTGACGAGGTGCTTATCAAATTAGACGGCGAACCCGAGACTTGATCCAACGGCATCTCTTTTACCTCCAATGGTGGTGTCATGACGGAAGGTGAGAGTTCCTCAGCGTTTTCCACCTCTGCTTCCAAACCTTCCTCCTTATACGCAAATTGTGCCGGTGAGCTAACAACGGAGCGTTCCGATAGATAATCTTCATCATCTTGTTCAATGGCATCGCCAAGTGCCATGAGCAAACTAGACAGTCGCGGTGAACGAGGCGGTGAACGAATGGTGGTAGTCAAGGGGGACGTCAACGGCTTTGTAACCGGCGACGTGAAGACGTCGGGCGCGGCGCGTAGTACAGATACATCCTCGTGTATCCGAGCCTTGATTTTGACATCGTGAAGAAAATTGCAAGAGTCTGAAAAGAGACAACGCCCTTGCGAATAGAATGGGCATGGTCGCGCTACAAAACAGTATGAATGAACGCTTTGATAGTGTCAAATGAGAGCTCTGCTCACTCTTTTGCTTCCATGGTGGGTCTAAAGTCGTCATGGGTAAAAAGTCATCGAGGAATCATAGAAAACAAGTCAAACGTCGTGACAGTTCGACGCCAAGTCAGTTGAAATCCAAGTCCAACACTTGGTCGTTACCTTTCGACATTATGAGCGCTTGTTTGAGTTTATGAATTTGCGGGCCGGACGGGCCAGAGAGCCGGGTTTATCTGTTGTCGGTGTTCAAACATTGATAATTGATACTGTGCCACTTCCGCTTCATAACTTGGTGAATGGCGGCGAATGTTGCTCGGCTTGCTCGTCTGACCTTGTTTTCCGGTCCCAATTGCTCTCTCTGTGATGTAAGGTATCAGTTCGTAGCTACTGGCTATGGCGCTCATGAACCTTCCACAGACGGCCAAGGCAGAGCTTGCCAAAGTGCATCAACGACGACCATTCCAACTCGAGACGATCAATATCCAGGACAAGGGCCAGGAGAAGTGGAAGCGCAAATATGTGTATTGGATCCCGGCCCTGCACATCGAAGGCAAAGAAGTCGCGAAAGGACGTTGGGACGCTCAAGTTGTGAACGAAGCTCTAGACGAATGGGAGAAGGATCAGGGTTCAGCGGGCACGAACAAGGCTATGGGATAGACAACCCTATTCCTGATATTTTGCCCGTTTATGTTGATGTTGAGCCTCGTTATGGCCTTGATGCAGTCGTTTTTCCTCCCTCGTATGACTCTTACGGCACAGCACTTGGGGCATACGAAGATGACACGAACGATCGACGCTCCCGGCGTTGCTTCAATTGTGGCTCTCTCGATCACGCAGTCTCAGAATGTCCTACACCTCGCAACCCAGGTCTTATATCATTGTCGAGGCAGTACTACGAGTTCTACAAGGACGACAACGGTTTATCTAGCCATCGCTTGCACGAAGTTGAAGACTGGCGACGACAACGCATCGAATGGCTGGAAACCTTTGAACCTGGTCAGGTCAAGGGCGAACTACTTCGAGACGCGCTTGGTCTACAAGAGGGAGATACCGGAGAGCACGTTGAGTGGCTGCGTAACATGGCCGTTTGGGGATATCCTAAAGGTTGGGTCGGGTCCGTAGACCCTCGCCTACGCGTATGGAAACGCATCATGCGCGAAGATGACGACGCAGATGCTCAGTCAGAGGTGCCAGAAGAAATAACAATATTTGGTGAGGAGGGCGAGGAAGAGGATGTTCTCCTTCCTCCAGATACCCTCATGCGTCCGAACTTTTCATCCTTTGACGAAGGCGAAGCTTCTTCTAGTACTCTCTCTGATAACCATTCATTATCGGAGGATTGTGCAATCGAAGATGAGAGTTCGCGATCACCTACACACCGCTGGGTCACCTATCCTGACACGTATTTCTCTTCGTCTCGACTACCGATATACAATGGTCTATCGTTACCACCAATAGGTGTATCTATGCCCTTCCCGCCTCGTCCAAACTTCCCATACCCTCTTCCAGGAGTTCCCAGACTCCAACCATACGAGCGTCCTTCATCATGGCATGTTCATGGTAGGTTTGTTCCTCCGCCACCTTTGCCGCCACCCTCGTCACCGCCCCCATTACCTCCTGGTACGCCTCCACCTCCACCTCCACCTTCTTTTACTCGTCCACATTTGCCTCCTCTGCCTCCCTTAGACCTTCGTTCGCATGGTTCTCGTGATGACCCCATATATATCTTGGATGATTCGGACATGGAGTTTTCAGATTCTGAATAGATACCTTGTATAGTATTCATAATATCCTATACGCTCAACTACTCGTCTATGCGTCGCCGTGTCTCAGACTCACATGGTGACAAACGTTTGAGGTGGTCTTGCGACGTATGCGGCTGTTGCCGAACTTTCTCCAGACAGTGTCTGGAGAAGTTTGACAGTGCGGTCCCGATTGAAATGCAACCACTCTGCGGCGAATATCATGGTCACATTGTGCGGCGTCATCTATACTGAGGCAAAAGGATCTTGCCCGAACTTTGCTGTTCGCTGAATTTTGTCTCATTACAGGATTGACAACCGTTTTCTTACATCTTGATGCACCACAACAATAGCATTTGCTCGATAGTACCCCTCGACCTCAGTATCAAGATTATTAGCACACAGCTTCTTGGATTGACAATGCTTTATATTAATCTCGATGGCCGTTTACAGGCAATAGTGAAAGTATGATACACTGTCCCATAAACCAATTAGTGGAACTGCTCTATGACGATACAGATGAACAATGCAGAGGTTGGAATAAAGATACAGCGATGTGATGAGAAACACTGGAGAAAAGAGGGGCAGAGTACGTAGTATGAAAGAGCGTGAAGTGTCCAGCATCGTCGTGGAATAGTCGTCGTCGAGAGAGGAACGAGATAGCTCATGAGGGATAACGTTTATAACGCAGTGTTGCTCGATTTGAAACGAGGCTCTGGCGTGCCTGCACGAGTAGCCTCGCTACCAACGGAGTTTCTGCGGGGCTGAGTAGCGTAACGAGGAAGAGTCTCGAGTGGCTTAGAAATGAGGAAACCTATCCAAGTGCCAAGGATCAGCTTAAAGTTTTGATTGGTATCAGAAGAAAAGTGACACACCTTTCAGTCCTGCAGCCTTCTCGCCCTGTCTACCGAAGCCAAATCCAGCACGGTGATCCTCAACCTTAGTCTTCTCACTGCTTCCCGTGAACAGGGCAGATACGAAGCCAGAAGAGGGACGAGCGAACTTGGGTCGCATATCGCGTGTGCTAGGAAGAACACCCTTCGACTCAGACTTCCAAGTCGTGACGGATCGTTTATCCTTTGCCCTCTCGCGGAAGATTAGCCCAAGGACAATGTTGAGACACCCGATGGAGAAGAGGAAGAATGCCGCGACGAGGGTGAAGTCGTCCACGTGATGTGAAAGGATAGTGGCACCAATGAGACATTGGAAGACACCAAGAGGTCCGAGACCAAATTCACTTCCGAGAACCGGGAAGTAATGGTTGAAGAAGGCGATTGGCCAACCACACTCGGAGAGGATAAGGGCGATAATCTCGAAGAGGATGAACATGCGATTGACCACCGCCCAGAAGACGCCAGCGGGTTGATTGGGAACTGTGCTGTTCCTGCACGTAGAGAAGAGAAACGTAAGTAAGATTCTATAAGAATGTTTTGAATAGACGCACTCAATGTAATCGCAGTTTGTCATGTCAACATTCTCCGAATTCTTCATGAAGTGACTGACTGCTTTGATATCCATAACGAGGACGAAGATACTGCTGGCAAACACCAAGAGCATTGAGATAATACTGAGTATCCTGATGACATTGAGACCAATGAAGAAATCTAGATCATTACGAAGTCAGTCTCGAGACGAAACTAATCCATATAGGCCACTTACAAGCGCGGGGAGGGAGAGGCACCATGATAGAACTAGATTGAGTTCAGGGGGTTGTAGTGATTGAAGTAGAAAGAGCGTAAAAACAAGAAGTTCACGGTGATCTGGGACGTGAATGAAGAAGAAATGTGGCAGACGATGTCAAGTTCTTCCAAGTGAGTACTAGTAGCGTGAGGGTGTCCCAGCACCGACGAGAGTGAATGTGAAAGACCTGACCAGGAGGTTGAGAGGGAAAATGTTGGGGCATCTCAGCCTTTATACATACAATTTTTAAGTGCCCCTTTGACACGCAAATATGCCTATTGTCCGCTGCGTCCATTGTACGAGAACAATAAGTCCATGGACAGGCCGAACGCTGCCATCACAACGCATGCCTTTTGTAGCGAAATTATGTAATCAAGCTGCGTGCAAACAAACATCAACTATATAGACGCCTAAGCTCAGCTCAGCCGCAAAAACATGAAATTGACATGAGTAAACTGTAGTGTTAAAATATTATGCAAGGAAGATGCTACATGTATAAGTACAGGCTGATACCGTGGGCTAAAAGCAGTACAAACTCTATTGATCATGACAAGTCGAAACCAGCATTTGAATAAATGGCCTGTAGAAGCTTCTCGCGCAGTGTCCTCTCATTCTTGTACCTCGGCAACTGGAGAATCGAGTACCCGTAAGTCAGAAGTCAAATTGTATCAAGCACAGTGTGTTTCCACCCACCTTGAGCAAATTTACGCAAGTACTGGCGGTCGGTAACCGATTCTCGTCTGAGCCGGCATCTCGTATGGCGAAGTTGGGAATGAGCTCCTTGAATCCTCTGCGACATAAGATCAGCACTGACCGGTATAATGTTTGTACTCAAAAACTTACAGCAAAGGCGGTCGACTACAACTCGTCGCGAAGCGCAGAAGCTTTCGGCGCTCATCCTGATTGAACGAATTGACAACCTGTCAAACAAAGTTAGGTCAAAGCCGTTCATGGGCGGCACATATTATATTATTTGACGCACTCTCCAGAAAATTTGAATAGTGGGTTCATGATCTTCGAACAAGCCACCATAGTTCGTATGTTTCCGCAGATCGTCAAGGTCGACCGGGGAGTCAACACCGCCCAGAAGAACCTGCAGTTCTTGTTGATTGAACATCCTAGATGGAATTCAGTTGGTCATCAGTATGAGAAGCGTGACACGATGATCGCAGACGTACCGAAGCCATTTGGGGTCAATCATCTGGGATAGACCGTCGAAGAATGCGTCGCTTTGTTTCCGAATCTGCTTGTTCAGCTTGTAGTGCGAAACCAGGTAGATGTACTGAAGGCGATTCTCTCGAGTAACAGGAATCTGTTCCCCATTCGGGACCAATGGGATCGACTTCGTCACACCAAACTCTACAGAGAGACAAATATCTTCAGGATGAGTGGCTGAGCGGCATTGGTGGATTATTTACCTTCTTCTGTAACAGTGAAATTGAGGGAAAGCTCTTCGGGATCGCCCGTGTAGTGTTTCAGGAAGATCAGGCCCTGGTACAACTCTGGATCCAGCGATGATAGGTCATCCAGAAAGCTCTGTTTTCCCAGCCACTGCAATCGTCGTCAGACAAAGGACCTTCCCCCTGAACATTGAAACTTACCTTGGCAAGGAAGAAACCGGCAAAGGCGACATCAACGAGTATACCTTCGTATAGCGCCTTCCCCAGTATTCGACCGATGAAGCGGTACCAGTTGAGACTATGGGCTATGACACAGTGAGCGAGCACTTCAAGATGGAGCATAAGCATACTACTCACCTTCCGTTGCGTACGAATGTGGGTTTGGGTATAGTTCGTGCTGCTTCGTCGCAAGCCAGAGACCACGATCTGTGTCGAAAACCTCTTTACAAAGGGATGTCAGGAATTCTTTGAAGACGCCTCCACCGTCGATACCAGCCCTATACGACAGAATGTCATTAATCAGTGAAGCTAGAAGAGAACACAAGGAAGACTCACTCTTCGGTCCCAAATTGATCAATGAAAGTAATCTGAATAGGTGCCTTTAAATCAACATCTTGAAGCTTATCGAAACCATCCTCTGCAATCCTTCCTCTTCGAACTACAATTCTTGTTCCAGCACGGCTGTTATATCGATCATACCCTCGGACTACCATATCGTTGACTATGAAGTGTCGAAAGATTGTAACCCGGACATCAAACGGGATGGCGAAAGGGATATTGTTGAGGACACCTAGTCGAGGAGCCATGGAAGCGATTTGTCGCTTCGAAAGAGGACGGGAACCTAGCGGTTGGGCGAGTTGACGTTCTTCGAGCCTGAAGAGAAAATGAGTGAGACTCTAGAATATAAGATATAATACTTACACGGCTGCCTCCACGAATGGGGCGATGTCCACTTCGGAGGTCACGAGCCAATGCCCTTCTGGAGTGAACCGCTTTCGGGAGCTACAGTGAAAATGGTCAGTCGGAGCGGCCCATGCAGCGATTCTGAATAATGCCTACTCTCTAGCATGAATAGCTTGAAGACACTTGGTCATCTTGTCTCTAACGCCTTCCCACTTCAAGTTCGGCATACCAGACACACCACCTTGCATACTCGCCTGATCATGGTGCCAATAGAGCGTGAAAGCAATATTTAGCAGCTGCTTCGAAAAGGACGTGAGTTCGTCCAGAGTCAACGGATTCCGAGGCGCGCCATTAGTCGTTCCTTTCGAGAAAAACTCGTCATCGCCCATTGTGAGCAGAGCTTGAGTGTATAACTCGACAAGGAATAAGAGCGGCGGCCACGAAGACGCATGGGAAGGATCTAGAATGTCATACCCACAATGAGTGCCACATTCTCAGAAGATGAACTTGGTGCACAAGAGCTCACCCATAAGTGCAGTATGATTCAGGTCCTTCCCCAAAAGCGAAGGCCTAACGTACTCTCGGTACAACTCCCTCACAAGTCCGCCTCCACCATAGACAACGATCGCCCCGAGGATCTTATCCCTCCTTTCAGGCCAGATGTTGCTCAACGCAACACACCACGAATACAAACTCCGCCGTATCTTCGACTTCCTTTGTGTAGCTTCTAGTAAGGAATTGATATGGGCTGGAGATGCTATTGTTTGCAGACGAGTCCTGGTCTTCGGGTCAAGCTCGGGAAGAACCTGTTTTGGTTGGAAAGACTTCACGACAGTAACCTGAGGCTCTCCGTCAGAGTCAGATTCATCATCCCAAGTAGATGTCTCCTGGGTTTTTGATGATTGTTGCAATGGAGGTTCGAGCGCATGCATGGGTAGAGAGTACAGTATCATTGAGATAAGATTCAAGTACACCTCCATTGTTTCCGGACTGAATGTGCTGTATCTCGGTGGAGCGAAAGCTGCCAGATTAGCGAGAAGGTGTATCCTAGATTCAATATTCTGTGTATTCTGAATCACGCGATCGGCTTTGATCAGATATAGTGCATTCAGAGGTAATCGTGGGGCGAGAAAGGTGAGGGAAGCTATTGGTAGTCGGTTTGGAAGCAGTGGTGTAGTGAGAACGAATGAAAAGACATCTTCTAGGGATTCTGTATATGGCGGCGATGCTCCGGGGAAGACAGTGAATGGAGAAGTAAGAAGGGTAACAAGAATGGGTAATGCTGGCGACGTTGACTTCGCCGATAATGGCTACAGAAGAGACTATAAGCCAGAGTTAGTGTGAAGTTAACAAAAATTACTTACGATACTTGAGATGGCTCTTCCCAGCAAGGAGTAATACCCATGGGTGAGGAGATACGAAAGGATTTGTATTCGGGTGTGTCGAAGGATCGGCGGCTGGGGTGGAAGCTGACTACAAAGCAGTATTTCCAACACGGCAACGTGAGCTGCAGAGGAAGTTGCTCTGAATGCACATTTCAGTATAAGCACTGTAAATAAGTGTTGGGAACTTACAGTGGTTGGTCCGCGACGAATTGAAGTAAGAGGAAGGAAGCCCTTCGAAGAAGTGTAGCACCATGAGGATCGATCATGGTATTGAATATGCTATCTGAAAGATTGTTACACGACCGAGGGTCAGATGGACAGTCACGACTTACCTGGACCACCAGAGAGCATTGCTGTTGACCATCTCTCCAAAACGTACTCATCCCGACCAATGAGCACAAGACATCGAAGACCAGTGATACCAGCGACGTCTTGTTCGAAGACTGCCTGCAGTTGCCGCTTGACTAACCTGAGTTGCAGGTTTGCTTTCCACCAGTTCTGTATCCGGATGGCACTTTCTTGCCTCCGTCGTTCTTCGGTACGCTGAGCACGCCTTGCATGCGCATCCTGTAGAATGGATGCATGTGCTCTCGTAACATTTGTGCCGCCAAGGTTGATTTCTCTTCGTCGTTTCGTGGGATGGTCTCCAAACAACGGAATCTCCATGATGGGATGATAGCGTACAATAAAAGTCTAGCAGGAAGTGTAAGCGTACAAAGAAAGAGAATAACGAAAGCGGGTGCTTCGAGCTGAGAGGTTACGTATGTAAGCAGGTCCTACACGTGACAGACGCGATCGAGAATTGATCGGAAGCCGCGACGCGCCCTACTTGCGTCGATCACTACGCTAACATAAGTAAAATAATAATACTGTATGGTATAACTTCTCTCGGGAAAAGTCCAGAATGAGATCCTAAAAGACATAAGAAGTAACTGATAGATAACTCATTATTCGTGCATGCATCATTCCTCATACGCAGGAGGAGCCTCTCCTCCAACAGTATCAGCGCCATGGGGAGACTGCTTGTCATTCCTACGTTTCCGGAGCGCATTTACTTGCACGACCGCATCACCACTTTCTTGCTGTACAACTGGACGGCGTGAAGAAGTCGAGCCCTCTGACTGATAAACAGCACCAGCATCTTGATGTTGAATAACTGGCTCGGGAGGGGGAGTGGACTGCGCAGGAGGTGGAGAGGGCAAAAGCTTAGCCGAGGACGACTCCGCGTGCGGTTGAGTTACCCCGAAAGAGCTCGGACTTGAATTCGCAGGTAATCCATGTATCTCGTATCCGGTATCCGCTCGTAGGTATATGGTACGATCCTTCATGTCACGAGGGAATGTCGCATCGGGACCGGGATTCGCTACCGTCAGTGGTGTATGGGTATTGGAAGGTTGACTAGGATTCAGATTACTGCCATCTGTACGATACGTTGTCGGTGGTGGCGAAGAAGCTTCATGGGGATAACCTGGGTATACGTTAGGACCGGCAGGGCCCATACCGCTTAGAACAGATGGATTAAGACGGTTAGGGACCTGCTCGTTGTCCACATAACCAAAGTATCCGTGAGGTGTGGCCGAACCCATGCCGTTCACGGCAGATGGATTGCGATGGTGAGAGGCAGATGAATTCTCATACGGTCTCGGTGGTGAGGATGGTGCTCCATGAGCATACCCGTAAGTGCCTGTCGGACTCAATTCGGATGGCCTGCGACGATCGATGGGTGAAGTGTCGAATTTCGAAGGAGGAACGGAATGCGGGAGGCCAGACACTTGTTGAGGTTGCCCTCCTGCAGGGGTCTGATTGTTGTTAAGTCTCCCGTACATGTATGGATCTGGGATGGGACCATCAATCTCGTCTGAGCTGCTCATTTGTGTATGATGTGCCGGTAAGGGTGGGAACTTGATATCATTGAAGTTGTAGTCCTCATCCCTTTTCTTTCCTCGTCGGCTAAGGTAAGGTCAATTTCAAGCCGTCATACGAGTAGATCCCGAACTCACAAGCAGAACCAGACGATCACAGCCAACACCACTAGTCCACCCACACCACCCCCAACACCCGCAGCTATAGGTACAACGTTGTTGTTACTAGACGAACCAGCTGGTTGTGTAGACGATGGGATTATGACATAAGTTGACGTGTGTTCAACAATGACGGTTGAGCCTGCAGCATTTACAGACGTTGATAAACTGATGGAGGCAGACGTGATCGGAGACAGCGTCAATGAAGGCGTCCATGAAGGCGTTGAAGAAGAGCTAGTAGGAGGTGGAGGTGGCAAAACTTCGCCGCTACTAGCACAAGTGGTCGAAAAGAGGGTGGCCGTTGGAGAGCTGGAGGTAATCACGAATGTAACAGGAACGGGTACAGAAATTGTGCTCACTCCTCCTGTTGAGAGATTTCATGGTACTTAGATCAAATCCTGTCAAAATGTTTCTGCAGTTGTGAAGAACTCACCATCGATAGTGCTAACAATGATGGTGGTGCTACAATCAGAAGCAGTACCATTAGTTGTACTTGCTGTGGTGCATATGGTCGAGGTCAATGTCGTTGTCGAAGGCGGGAGAGTAGTAACCTCATCTGTGAACGACGTAGAGATGCTGTCCGTGGTGAACGTGCCAAACTCGGTGGCCGTTGGAAATGATTCGCAAGACATGACGGTGGACAAGAAAAATACTACCGCTTCTCCAGGTAGAAGGGAGTGTTATGGGGCAATCCGCGGCAGATAGCAGCACTGAAACAACGCGCTGCAAAAGAGTACGAGGGAAGACGGGGCAAGTTACCCATTGGGCGGCTCTTGGACAGGCGGAGTATGTTGAAAAGGCCAAGTACAGTCAACCGCCTCACCGCGGCCGCGTTATCCCAGTTCGGACGTTCTCCACGCGATCGAGAACGTTTCTGTCCTCTTCCGCGTGACCCGAAAGTAGTCTTCCGCAATTCTGCCCTAGGTTTTTGATTCCACTAGTGTTTCATCTAAAGCTGAGAGAAGGCCGTAATGTTCGGAGGGAACTGATACCCAGGGAGAAGATTCGTAGAAATGAAAGGCGATTAGCATGTGCTACACACTACTTTGACAAGTCCATTCAGACCGACGAATGCATGGAGGGAAGCACAACTCCACGTGGAGTGCACAGGGGTCTCGATCCGTCTCGATGTGTGCAGTTCTCAGCATTGCTCAACAGAATGCCTGCAATGGATAGATAGAATCATTCCAAGGCTGCCTGGGAAGCGAAACAAAAACCTGCTTGTCGTTACCTTATCGGTCGGCGTGCAACATACAATACTGTTCCTGGTGGTATATAGTGGAATACGCACGGACTACGCGTTCAATTGCAAAGCGTTCAAACCTTCGCAGAATCATTTGACCATCCAAGCCTAGTAAGTCGGCAGATTCTAAGAAGATACATAAGATCCTTGAGATCGAAATGGCAGACATATAGCGTGGGTACGACTAGTCTCCAAAAGACAAAGCAGTTAGATACGCAACCCTCATGTCTCAGGATATCCGATCTGTCTGACCACACGACAGAAAGCAAGACTTCAGAAAAGCCAGCTTACGTAACAAATCAATGCTACTGATCAACAGCCCGAAATGGGCACTTACGAACTTGAAAGCATGCCTTGGCATTCTGTTGCATACAATGGAACTCCATGGCCGTGCAAGATCGCTACTCAGTACTTATCTCTTACATCGACATCGACAAATTGGGTCGCAGCACCTTTCCTACGCGTGAAGCGGACTCATGGGTTGTTTGATTCTTACTTGACTTGTCCCGCATGGCGGATGATCCCTCTACAATCGGAGCACTCCTGATAGGGGCCTTAGTATCTCTGTTGTGAGTGACGGACCACGGTGATACGTTGCGCTGTGTCATGTTAATGGGTTTCAATACACTCTCTAAGTCTCTCTGGCGTTGTGTCCATGCAGAGCATTGTCTATTATCAAGTGTACCGCAGCGATCGTCAAATGATCAAATGCCTGGTCTGGAGTCTAATTCACCTCGTTTCAGATGCTGTACTTATGATTCATTCCATTAGGTTACTGCTATATGGTACGGCGGTTACTTGGGTGTTAAGGAGCATACCCGCTTGACTTCACATCCTTAACAGGATACTCGACTTGGCGCATTCTGGCTTCCTCTGCGGTACAGATTGGATCTATCTAGTTTTGAATCGAACCAATGTCGACCCTGTAGCAGAGATATCGTGGTACGTACTTAATAAAATATGTTGTTGCTTACTGACATTCCACATACCCTAGGACTGTTATAGTGAGCTCTATGCTTTCAATGTTGTCCTTCTCCGAAGTTGACTTTATCTGTTTGCAGGTATCTGTGGCGTTGACGGTCAGATAATGGCCACCATTCTTAATAAATTTACGGCTGATTGTCAGTCATCACTTTCCCAGGCTACAATGTCATTTTTGGTCCACTCGTGAGTACTGTCATAGCGTTGACTTTCCCTGATTGATTCTCTTGCAGGTTCTATACGCATAGGTTATGGATGTGTATGTTGTGGTATTCATAGCCTGTTTTTCTGTTTGTTCATCGACAATCGTACAGTAAGCAACGGAAACCTGTACCTTATTGTCCCCATTGTACGTATTTCCGCAATTCTCCATCCATGTTGCTTGACTTTTGCCTACAGGCTTCGCTGAACCTCCTTCGCATTGGTGTGTGTGATATGCTTGCCTCCTGAAAGTAACCGATTGAACTTACAGGACGATATTTACAGCTGCAGGCTACGGTAAGTAACAAACTTGCGGTCATCGTCCTTTCGATTTCTGATCAATCGACTAGCCAGTAGCGCTGAGATGTCAGTCATTTTCTACATCCTCGATAGCTTATGGTCAGGCTGAGAAGATGAAAACAGGGCAAGGAAGGATACCTGGGATACATTTTTCCATACAACGGGGGTATGTACTTCCCCCAGCGTATTTGATTATCATTCACTCATCTCCTAATACTACGTAGTGGCTATTCACTCTGGGCCTCGTCACCTCTTCAGTACTCGACCTTGTCGTTGGCCTCTCGTTGATCCTGCTGTTGAGAAGGAATCGAACCGGATTTCAAAAGTTGGTCTTTCACATCGTTACGATTTCAGACGGAATTGATGGCCCAATTACAGCATGGATCAGGTCATCCGGACACTCACGCTTTTCACCATTGAGACCGGGATGCTTACGTCGTGAGGCTCGTGAGTTGTTTCCGGAAATCCAAAGCTAAACAGTATTTTGGGGCAGGGTTGCAATGATTGCTGCACTCGTTTGCGTGAGTTCACTCTCGTACAAATAAGTAAGGACTTTGCTGACACTGCAGTTCTAACAGTGGCTCTCTATGCCTGACAACCTGATATTCCTGGCTTTATACTTTACAATCTGTCATCGTGTGTCACATTCATTTCCCACATATCAATTGATTCGAGCATGACCCTTAGTCTATGCAAATGCATTCCTTGCGACGTAAGCACCTTTCATTTGCAATGTCTACGAAACGACACAGATGTGCATATTATTAACCACGCTCTGATTTCCTACGCTTCCAAGGCTCAACGCAAGAAAAGCAATACAGCAACGCTCTCGTGCCTCTTCGTCGAGCCTACGGCCTACCCCTCACGTCATTGACATAGTAAACCACCAGGTTTCCAGAGGCGAAACTAGCAGCGTACGTTGCCTCACATCCTCATCCATTTCAGTTCGATTGATTCGCTGTATTACCAGGCTAGGGATACTATGCAAAGTGGTAGTTCGAGACAAGGAGTGCGTTTTGTCAAGGCCCCTCAGTCAGTCTTCAGTCTGTTCAATAGCATCCTTCGCAGTTTCTTGCGAGTCTCCAGAAGGCTTTGCGCCGCAATACAGACGAACTCAAGCCTCCAGACCGGACACTTCTGTATTCCACACCAGCAGCACCAGCTGCACTTCACACTATGTAAACACCCGCTCTACGTCTATCATCTCACTTGCATCGGCACTCCGGGTATATGCAATCTGCGACATGTACATACACAAAATAATGTGTACCGAAAACTTCTATCCCTCAAATGTCATTTATGCAGGAGCTGTAGTAGGATCGGCTCCCCATTCCTTGACAATCTCCTTGGCCCTTTGTTCAGCCCACCGATCGTTCCCCCAGAATCCCCACCCTGCCATGAAACGATACCAGTCAACAATCGCGAGCTCCCAATGTTTCAAAAAGACGTCAAACGGATAAGGACTAGTGTTTGTCTCCGCCTTTGTCTGATCTCGAATTACTGTCAGGAGGGCCGAGTGATAGTGCCGAAGCAAATTCATCTCCGATGAACTTGACAGTAAGGATGATTGAATGGAAGTCCCTATGAAGTAAACCAGGTCGAGGGTAGATAGACCAATGCCGACATACTGGAAGTCGTAGAGAGCAGCTCTGAGAGGTAAGTCCTCAGAGACGGGTGCAATGTGGGACCTCGATCTCGCAGGGCTATGGCGGGACGAGTCGTAAGGGTTCCTGTTCAAAAGTATATTCGCACCCTTCACGTCGCCGTGAAGCAATGTCCCATATGTTAGAATCTCCTTGTCGATGGCGTTGTTGACCTGGTTGTGGAATCATATTCAACGTTGACAAACATGTAATATATTGAGTCTGGCTGCATACCTTCGCAATCCAAGGCATCAACCAACTATATTCTTCTTCGTTCATCTCAGAGAGTTCCTCTCTTCGGGTGTCCAGATACCAGTATGTACCCCTCCGCCATACTCCTTTCACTGATGTACTTGCATGCTCGAATTCTTTCGGAGGGGGCACGAGCTCTAAAGCTTCTCGACCATGAACTGTGAAGAAGGTCCCATGGAATCCAGCCAACCAGTCTAAAATGCTCAACGTAGGTTGTTTTCCCAAGCTGCCATCTGCAGGGAATGGAAACTCAGTTGACAGATCCTCGAGAAAGAGGTTTCCGTCATCCTCGTTTTTACTATCGAGCTGTTGCCTAGTGAGATACACTTTCGATACTTTGATCTGCGAAAGACGTAGACGAGGAGCTAGATGATGATAGAACCATCGTTCAACCTTGTACGAGAGGAGTTTTCGAAGATGAGACTCTGAAGCGTCGTCATTAGAAGGTGGGTGGATGGCTTTGAGGATGAGCGGTTTTGGAGTGGTACTAGAACTGACATCTAGGGTCAAACGGTAGATATGACCATAGTTAGACCACAAGGAAGCTATTTGTTTATATGAAAGTAATTTGAATTCAGGCGGTAAGATATTGGAGATGGAAGTAGGAGACAAAGTCATCCTTCAACACGCGTTCGTTCAGAAGTCACCGAGAAGCGCGATGGGAATTTGAAAAATATACACACATCTCTTATATTCCAGGAGAGCAATCTTATAGAGAAGGATATCGCTACAACTGCAAAGGCTGAAGTACAACATTATATTCCGCAGGTCAACATAGAACCACCTCCGTTCTCTAATCCGTATCCAGAATCAATCCACTAGCAAGAGAGCCGAAGGTAGCCAGAGAGGAAGGCCCTATGAAGATTCATTATGTCAAACATGAGTGCCTGTAGACAAATTCCCGGCGAAAGAGACTGACCAGATCTAAAGCCATTGGTAACGACCGGTGTGCTTCCAGAAGCGGAAGGAGCGAAGATCTGGGTTTGAGCATCATAAGACCAGTTGAATTCGGTTGCAACTGAGAAATTAAAATCCAAGTTCGGCGTCATTCGCGTAGATGATAAATAACCAGAATGCTCACCAGAAATGGCCTGCTCGGCAGTGAAACCGAGATACGTCTGGACGACGCTTAATGGAAGCGAAGAATAGGCTTTTGACAGAAGTGCAAATGTCTTCCTTCTGAATGTATCTGTGGAGAAGTCAATATCGAATGTTCATTCGCTACGAAAAACATGTTAGCCTATAAGGTAGTAACATACCGACAAAATTCGTGGTCAGAGCTCCGATTACGGCCGTGAGTTCATACCCTGGAATTTGGAAGGCCTGAGCAGCCAGAACAACTTGTTCCGCTCGTACATATATCTTTTCGTAGCGTCGCTCTGACGTCGAGGCGAGGAGGTTGAATAGAGCGTGAGAGATTGGTTGGGATTCCAGCGATCGTGGCAGCCTCGACAATGCGAAACGCGCCGGAGGGCTGATACCACGAGGAATTAGTATCTAACAGTTCACACGATATTATAGATCCAACCTACAGGTCATCAAGGATCAGGTATCCAAGAACTAAAGGTGCAATAATGAGCAGGCGAGAGGGATGATGGTCGCCTTCAGCCTGTGTAAATATGATAAGAGTGTTTAGACAAACAAGACATAAAATTAGCAGGCACACATTCCAATCGGCTCGTTCTGCGACGTCTACAAGCTCACGATAGCTACCCTTCGAAGCTAGATCTGCAAGAGTCGGGAACAAAAGCTGATAGACATTCAAAGATTGGGTTGCAACCTCAGGAGTTGAATCGGGCTGGACCGTTGGTTCGACAGCGATAGGCTCTTCGTTTTGAGCGTGGTCTGCAGGTTCAGCGGCCGTTGTTTCGGACTGTGCAGCAGCAGGTGGAGGCACAGAGGCTTCGCGCTGAGCATCTTGGATCTCCAAAGCAGACGATGGAGGAGGAGTTGGAGGTCCAGTCATATTCTCAATATGCGATCCGTGCGCAAATAAAGCCAATGTTCGAAATGCTGTCAAAGACAATGAGCAGGATGTTGCGGTGAACGTTCAAGAAGATGAGGAACGCGTACCATCAAAATGATCGATCAGGCTATAGTGCTCCTTGGGTGGGCGTCCAACACATGTTGTAGGCATAGCATCTATCACGACCTCGAGCACCGTGCATCACCACTTTGTCTTTTGTTAAGAACCTATCATGGAGGGCTTTGGAGATGATGAAATCGAGAGTATTCTCTATATCGGTAGAGAAGTATCTGGTATGTACATGGCTCAAGTCGGAGATATCGTTGGGTTTCAAGACGATCTATAGTATACAAGATTCCGCCGCTGAAGGCGAACGAAGGTCATCGGGCACAGGAATGGGGCGACTTGGCAAACCCTTTGTGGAAGGGTCGCATACGTATTATTGAGCGATCGAGAGGAGTAGCACTCCAGTTCGAGGACGCAACGACCGGTGAGTAGTCTTTCCTGTGATTGAATCACACATCGTATTAAAGCGACCTCAATAGGTGAACGTAAGCACCGTTATGCTCGTCGGTTCTTTCAGATACTCCCTAACCTATGGTACAGTCTTCGCGAAGGCGGACTACGACCCAGCGAAGCCATGTGTTGAAGCTGTGCTTGACTCGTCTAGGTACTTTGTCGTGCGCGTTGAGGACGCGGGAAAGAGGGCGTATATCGGAATGGGATTCCTAGAACGTACAGATAGTTTTGACTTCAGTAAGTATGATAACATGTTCTCGATCATCCACTAACTTCAGTATTCGCCCTACAGACGTGGCATTGCAAGATTACACGAAGTACGTCGCAAACCCGATTCTGTGATTTAATGTCCAACTTGAAATTTTCTATAGGCGATGGAAGAATCGCATGAACCCCACTGCTGAGGAAAATACACCGTCACCTCATATTCCAGCCGGTCCAAAGAAGGACTATACACTCAAAGAGGGACAAACATTTTCCATCGCTATTCCGGGACGAGGAGGAAAGAGCAGCTTCAACAACAACGCAACCACAGCCCCCAACCCTACCAGCTTTGACCTTCTTGGAGGACTCTCCGGAACTGGGACTTCCACTTCTACTTCTACGGCATCTAGCGGAGGTGGCTTCCCCTTGCTACCTCCTCCGCCTTCCAGCACGCCGCGCAGACGGTAGTCAGAGGTCAACGGCTTTCGGGTTGAATACTTCTTGGTCTCCTATCTCTTCGATACCATGTGGCTGATTGTGTAAACTAATAGACAGCTGGATATCTTACAATTCGTACTGTTGTAAAACAAGAAAGTGTATGTAATATATTCGGTACGGAAGTTTAAGCCATTCGCTATAAAATAGCTTATTGGTGGTTCAAGGTGCAAGCGTAGCCTATGTAACATACAGATTCTTTCCAAGGCGAAAAAGAAGTGATAGCTGAAAACTGGTGAGTAGTGTACTGCGGCAAGCTTGGTACGTCTCGAAAGGCAACTGCCCTAGGACGGGTTCATAGCCGTTATCGAGACCTGGTACAACATGGATTCCCCCGACCTTCCCAGCCTGATGGCAAGATCAGGTAAACATAGCGGAGGAGGCTGATAAAATAGCTAGTACTCTCTTCTACCTTGGAATTAACGACAACAGGTAGTAACCAGTGGTAAAGCACTCTTCGTTTAAGACCTCCGGACCTTTAAACTCCAGTGGCACCTCGACTGTGATTAACTTCTTTGTCACTTTGAACATTGGAGCTATTTATTGGCCACTCATTACAAAAGCCTTGACTGCGGCGTACAAATCTTGTGGCGGTGGCACAATGCAGCTGGATTTGGACCAAATTGACTCACCCTTTTCTCGAACGACTAATCTCTCATACACCTCAACGTTTTCCCCATTCCACTGCATCGCCAGGATGGCCTCAGAGCCTCAATATGTTGTTATTCCGCGGCCCTTGTTCTATGAAGGTATATCGCTACACAACCCCAGGCCTAACGTCGGCAGCAGTGACCGGGTGGAACTCTACGGATACAGCCTTTCAGAGAAATGGCTGGAAGATTATACAGATGAACGCGACTTACACTGGCAACGTTTTCGTCGTCCATACTCGAGTGACTTGGAGGCTAAGCAACGCGCTGCTATCGCACACATCCGTAGAAAAGTCTTAGCAGGTCTCGGAAAGGTGTATGGAGTGTATATCCCCAATATCCTTCCGAGTCATCGCGTGTCCTACCCACCTGTCGGATCGACGCTGAGGTCTGTTCGGGAGATAGAGACGGGAGATCCAGAACGCGAAAGACATTCGATTATGCTCTACTTCGCTACCAATGAGGACAGTCGCTGTATTCGGCGATCAATGAACATGCGAGTGGTCAAAGCTTTCCAGAAGGCATTGGGATGTCCTAATCTCGAGCCTCGGTGGATTTCAGAAGGGCTGCTGAAACGCTATAAGAACGATCTAGGTATGTCTTTGGTATGCGGTTCGCCTTCGCGTTTAGTCTGAACTGTTGTAATATTCTGGTAGCTGAATGGTCGCCATACCATCCAACTCAATGGCCAGACGGAGGATTGAATGACGACCAGCGTTTCTATTATCGAAGCTTGCCTGAACGGGTCCGTTGGGAATAAGCAGCTACAGCGCCGACGTTATTATCTAAAGCCTAGCAATCTGTATCATATTTAGTATTTTGCTTCATACTTAGCACTGGCAAGAAACGAGGTTTCTGAGAAGCTTCACTAAGGTCTACACACAAACGGGGAAGACGCACATAATGTATGTACCTACTGTACGTGAAACCGCTCTCGAAGCCGTTGCCATAAGTGGATGTGAAAGTTCCATATTAGGTGGCACAGATCTGGACACCGATGCACTACACGTTGGCTAACGCATGCCGACCAAGGAAGGCATGTCTAAGTTGATTCCGGATGAAGCCAAAGCTCTCTTTCGGTCTCTAGTCTACCTTCGGAAGATAACGGTCGTTCCTTCATACATAGATATTCTATCAATAGTAGTCATGTCCATAGATCTACCTCATATTAGACTCACGATTGTTGCAAGGCCTCAAAGCGAATATCTCCTGCGCACAAATAGTAGTTCTGAGCTGTAATCAAAGTCCGTATGATGATTTAAAACATGCACGTCATCATTTCACGAATCTCGAGGTGAGTTTCGAACAGAAGTTTGGAGCCGTGATGTTCAGCCATTCCGACTATGCAATAATGTTGTTCCTATTGCGCTGCAGTCATAGCTGGATCCTGAACATTAGTAGGTAAATATGTGGTCCGATATGTGAAACGATATGTCGTTGAAGGCAAAAGTTTGACTCGCGAGCGGCAGTCACAGAAATGACGTGACATAATGCGTAAGCAACGAGAGAAGTAGTGACGTCACGCATCATTGGTGGAGACACGCCACCATGTCGTCGAGGGAATACGTCGTTGGTGGACTTGTGGATCCAAACGTAAAGTTAAGAATAAATAAAATGGCGCATCCAACGTTAACGTATGCCCAGAATATTTTCCCCGTTTGCCAAGCCTCACTTACTCTTGGGATCGGCCTAGCTAATATCCCTCAGCTGCAATGTCTCTTAGTATCCTCACCCTCGTGGGGAGTTTATCCCTTTTCTCAGTCGTAAATGCTTCTCCAGCGCCAGGGCCAGCACCTTCCCCTGCACCTGCCCCAGTTCCGGCACCACAGGCCCTCTCCAGCTTGTCCTCCGCGTTCTCCAGTGCTACCGGCGCCGTAGCCTCCGCTTTACCGAGTACGTAGTATTATTTACATTCTCTCCCTTGCAGTTGACTGCTTTTTGCCGTTCATTAGCTGTTATCGGAGATTGGCCGAGTTTAAGTGACATCGAGGATAAGCTCGACTTGTCAGATGATGACCTCGCGAATATATCCATATCTGGCCTTCTTATACCCTCTTATGCTAATTTCACCAATAACGCGTAAGTGTCTAGTCTTTACAATGGCTTTCGTTCAGACTCTGAATTTATGTCTCGACTTCATCACGTAAGTTGGAATGTTCGCTTCTACGGTCTAGCGTACAAGTTGCCTAATATCTCAACCTCCGATCTTGACTCTATCATCAATGACCTGCAAACAGATAACCTTAACCAAACTCAGGAGGCCCTGCTGCAAAATCGCACGCAGGACCTTGCCTCCATTCCTGTACCTCATGCTAATTTCACCGCCATTATCTCCGCAAACGGCAGCACAGTCACCAACTCCTCCGGGATCCAACTCGCTACTGCAGATGATGCTGGCGAGTTCGACCAGTTCGTACCTATCCAAGGTCTAAACCAAAATTTCACTTCTACTGAAGTGGTTAGTACTGCTATTTTAAATGTTACCGGTCCTGGAAATGGCACTGCCATACTCGTGCCTACGAGTGGCATCTCGATCGTTTCGGATATCGACGATGTCATGCGTATCACCAAAGTTTATGTGCCCAACCAGGGTCTATTCAATTCGTTCGTTCAGCCTTATGTCAACGTCCCTGGTATCCCCGAACTTTTCAACAAGTGGTTCCATACCCTGCCAGGAGTCGCATTTCACTACGATACAACTACTCCCGTTGAACTCACCCGGACGTATGTGGACTATTTGTTTAGTAACTTCCCAGTAGGAAGCTTGGAGATGAGGCCCATCAATATTAGTGACCCGACTCAAATATTGGAGGCGAGACAGAACAGCCTGTTGAAGCTTTTCCAGACTTTCCCTCAACGTAAATTTGGTGAGGTGTTTCTCCCCACCGGTTGCCTATTGATGCTAACATGTCTTCTGATAGTGCTTGTCGGCGATACCTCTTCATCGACCCTCTTAAGTGCATACCCGCAAATTGCTCAACAATTCCCAAACCAAATCGCCTGTATCTTCATCCGAAACACATCCGCAACAGACTCGGATGACAAAATACCCTATAGCACCAAGGAGTTCCAGTCTCTCGATCCTAACCGATATTTCTTCTACCGCACTGCTGATGGTATGTTCATTTCCCTTATCCTTCCTTCTATGTTTCCTTTGTCGTTTGAGATGTCGTTTACTAATGAAGACTTGTTATAGATCTCTCACAACTTGATATCGCTGTTGGTCAATGTAGAGACCAAAACGTGCCCCAGAATATCACTTTCGGCGAACAAGGTGGTGTACTTGGGAACAACAGCGGTACTCTTCATGTGATCAGCGGATGGGAATGGCGGGTTTGGGTTATGACCGTTCTCGTCAGTGTCGTCCTAGGCACAGCCGCGTTGTGACGGAATAACTTCCTCACGAATGATCTGTTGCGTTCTCCTTCTCCTGATGTTGTCTTCATGAACTCTTCACGTAACACCTATCCACGAATCACTGCCATCAATATACCTACATCATTGTAGTTTTGACGCAATTAGAGACCATTTTGCTAGAGTTGGTGAATTGTTTCAAGCATATAAATGTAGCAGCAAGTATTTCAGTCGATACAAATAAGACAGGGTGCCTTTCGAGCTAGTATTACATAGGAAGCACGGTTCAGCGGAGACAATCAGAATGAGGCCAGTACACGACGATGGGTGGAGTAATTCCTTATGTCTTCAAAGGAGTTTCCGGGACCCGCTTAGGCAGGTGATTGTAATATACGATGTATCCATTTGTTAACTCTTCAGGAAAACTGAAGGGGTTATACGGAGACCAGTCAGCTGTAGATATCAAGGCAGGATGAGTCTCTCACACAATCGATCGCATAGAGTCAGATAAGGGGACATACGCAAGTCTTCACGGAATCGCTTGTGAGTACCTTCAGGGATCCACTGAGGGTTTATGTGCAAGCAGTTGAGGACCTTCTGCAATGCCACCGTCACATCTCCAGCTTTGTCCACTCGTTGTAAGGTCTTCTTGCTCTCATTTGTAGCAACGTAGATAACCGTCCATAAGGAATTCCGACTTGGAATCGTTGCAAGCTCACTCTGAGCCTGTAAGATTGACGCGCCAATATACGCCGGTGGAGGCTGGAACAGGCCACAAATGGGTACATTGTTACGCAACTCATCGGGCATGTCTCGGTTAGCCGGATGTTTTGAGAGTTGTTCAAGGACCTTCCTACGGATATGGTCGAGAGCAATACGGGCCTTGGCTACACCTATCGCCAAGTTGACGTCCGTGTCACCATTCGATCTATTGGGAGACGAAGACGATGTCACATCAACTGGGAGTTGGTGTATGTCGGCGTATTCGGCGAGGAACTCTGAGGAGAGGCAGAAGCCATAGAGTAGCAATTCTCCGTCGTTCTGGGAAGGTGGAAACTGTGGTTCATAAAGGGCTATGCCTTGGGAAGGCTTGCATTCGATAGTGGCGAAGTCAGAAGTTGAGCATTCAGACGAGGGAAAGCAATCCATGCTGAAAAAGGAAAAGAGTGCTGGGGGAATATGATAGAGAGCAGGTCAGGGCCTCGCCTTTTAACCCTTCCAGAACAAAAGAGCGGTATGATGTAATCATGACCATGGGTCGCTGGCGGACCAGTGGCCACGTAGACATGGAACAAAGGGATGCAAGGGCGTGGTCAAGGACATTTTGAGTTGGGCAGTTTCCATCTCGTCGGAGTGACAGCGAAGTGCCCAGTAGGCCTTCTTGAAAAATACCGGTCAGTTCTCTAAATAGATGACAGTATACTCGTGCAGTTCTGCAAGGATCGGTCAATAAGTGAAAAACATCTCAAACAAACAAAAAAGAACAATGCCATCTACGCACCCTATCCATCACAGTCCACGGTGACAGAATCGCTGCTATGTTGGTGCAGGCCAACGAAGATTTAATGAATGGTGTATGTTTTCTTTCCTTGGACAGTGGGTCAATTTATTCGCCCCATGATACAGGCAAAATAATGGGCAATACGGTAAATTAACTATCATGATCCTAGTAAATGAACGAGCCATGCCTACAACAGCGAATATTACGCCGCGCTAACACATTATCAGCATTGAGTTGAACTGGGCACAACAACAGCTTACATTCTGAGCGATGAGGAGTCTTCAGACGCCACGGAAGCCAGAGAGCTTCCTGCATATCCAGCGCCATCTGGATTTTTGCGATTCTCCCTTCACCACAAGCTAGGACCGGCGCGAAAATAGGGAAGTCCTATTGAAGTTCTGGAGTCCAATTGATAGGGTTGCGATCAGACTGTGTATCGTGTTCAGAGACTCTGCCTGCGCAGTGTACAACAGCTGCATAGATAAGGAATCCAACATCCAGTCAGATCGCCATGGAGGAGACATCTCCCTTGCAAGTTAAGTCTTTAAGACGTGTCTTGTGTTTCTGGACATATTCAACCAAACATTCAAAGTGAACACCATATCCATAGAGTTCAATAGGAAGGTACGATACAACGACCAGTGCATGACTAGTGACTAGTATCGAGAACTGTGAAGGACTGTGCTGCCTTCCACTGGCATGATGCATGACCGTGTCCTTCTGGAACGCTTAAGATGGAAAAAACAAGGAAGAGAAAACGGCCATCCAGATTCTAAAAGGGACCGACTGAGAGTTTGATTTTCAAATTCGAATCGATCGGTTCGACAGGCGTCCAACGTCTGTCTTGGGATACAGTAATAAACCTTTCAGATTCTCCCCACAACTCAGGACGTCTGCTGACGACCAAATTTATGAACATTTGAACTCCTGCAATGTAATTGGGTCATCCTCAATAACAGACCCGCAGATCTGCGGAATACTACAACTCCACCATATCATTCTCAGCTCTGCCCTCGAATTTGGATTCCCGCCGTCTATGCTGAATACTCTATCGGTGCAAGAAATTGCATTTCAGTGCAGCATGAATAGAATCCGTGACATCGAGGATCTTCGCCGCTAGCTGGAACTTCAGTTGTTTTGATTATCGCCTCGTCCTGCGTTATGCACCGCCCGTGTCAACGAAGATTCATGTACAGAGGATTTGACAATGCTATCATAGCACACTGCACCGTCTCCGTTGCAATGGTCGACGTTTGTTGCGCTAAGAATCACAGTGGCAGAAGCGGGACATACAACATCATATTGTCAAGGACATGGAAGGTACGAGGGTTACATTTCTTACAGGAGAAGAAAAACTCCTTATGTCCCAAAGACTTCTCAGATTACAGCTTGAGTTTTATAGCTGTAACCAGATGATTCCCCGGTCATCAACTCATCTTATTCGTTTACAAACACGAAATTGCACATACCATACACAGAATTTGGTCTCATACGTAGAGCTCCGAACCATTAGGGCTCCATCTCATTCTCCGACTCGTTGATACCTAGCACGTCTTTCAGAGTTTTCACTCGGGTTTCGTCAGCCTTATTTGCGTCATCTTTATCATTGGTGTAGATCCAGCGCAATCACATACTGTCTCGATCTCGAAGACCCTCATCAAGGTAGCACTCTATCGTAAACCTCACTAACGCGCTGAACTCCTAGCCTATTATCGAGGGCCCAATGAAGCAACGAATAAGTATTTGAACAGAAATACATTGACATCCATAGCATTTACCTCAACTCTGTATGTCCTGTGAAACTGATTTGAATCAATGAGAACCGATGTGTAGCGAGTCCGTGTAGAATGAGAAGTGACATAGAGTACAGATATAGCTGATCGTGAGTCATGCGCCGGCAACAACTATGTTCATTTCTCCGTGTAAGTAGGTGGGACATCCACTAGCTCTGAGGCCTGCCCAAGATCATCGGATGTTGAAGCCTCCACGGAAGACTCGAAACGAATCCCTGAATCGGCATGATATGTAGTTTCCGGAGGCATCGACAACAAACCCGCCTCGACGGCTTTGCTATGAAGCTGGATTGAGCTCGCGATCAAGTTGTCATGAGTCGGGTTCGCTACAGAGAGCACTGCGCTAGAGGTACGATGACTGACGCCCTGGTATGTGAAAGCACTCCTGCTCGAATCGTCTCTAGGGCCGGATTGAGGCGAGGAGTTGCTCTGGGGATCGTCAATCGTAGGAGCATATTTGAATCTAGAACGTTGCGACGATGACCTTGTGGTCGTATTTGGAGGTGAGGGCGGTGTTGGAGTATTATCGATGTTAGGTTTCGTTTCTGATAATTGGGGCAGTGTACATAATCATTCCAACAGACAGATACAGAACTAAGATGCTTACCATCGTCAAGCAGGCCGCTAACATCTGTCAACCTATAGAGATACGGTTGTCCCCGACTCCGTCTGCGCAAGTAATACCATACACCGCCCAGTATTGCAACGCACAAAACTATGCCACCAAGAACTCCGCCAACAATGGCGCCTGCGGGAGAAGAACCTTTTGAGGAGCTTGACACATTGTCTGGAGAAGTCATAGTGGGCGAAGGAGAGGGTGTAGAGGCGGATATAGTAGATGTCGTGGAAGCAGTTTCCAGCGACTCGTAAACAATTGAGAGAAAGATGAAGGGATTGTGTTCGGAACATGAGGTCACATTCACGTGCAGCGTATGTTGCCCAGGAGAGAGTGCTGGTGGTGGAAACCACTGGTTAATTGGCTGATAGTCGACATCCGTTACGTTGTGAGCGATATGGTTATCTGCGCTGGAATCGTCGAACGTAAACGAAGCCTTGAGTGAAATTGTTTAGATCTGTGCGAAGGACTCCCCCCTTTACAGAAGCGGTAGTACCTGCAGATGATTACGAGGCATGAGACATTGTATCCAAAAGCTTTTGACATGCGTACCAGTGACTGAGAAGGTGAATCCAGAACCGGGGGTAATTGTGAAGCTGACTGTATCATCGTCTTGTTGTTCATGACTCCAGAGTCCGAAATACTTGATGTTCGGGTTGTCATCAAAACTTCGACTTGGTGATTTCCCGCCATGTCAATGTTGCATAGGGAAGAGTAGGAACTTGGGGAGAAGAGGAGGGCGAAAGGAAGCCACAGCCCCGGCTACAGCGGTCTCAGAGAAGAGTGATCAACTTCCTGGGACCCAGGACCGGTATTCTCGTCTTTTTCCCGGGCGTCAGAACATCGACGAGGTCTTCGAATTCAGATATTCATGTCATCGCCCTCGCAAGGGAACCTAGTGTGGCACCCTTTGCAGAAAGGGGGCAGTTGGAATATAGGTGTAGCGCAATTAGGACCTAACTGAGTTTGAAAAAAACATAAACATGTGCAAATAGACATAACCTTTCTAGGTAGGTGACCTACTAAATTCGGCGGTCACATGCCGCGTCAAAAATGGCTGTCGAGCAAGAGAAATTGACCTCTATCATATATCCTGCTCTGTGACTTCTGTTTGATACTCTTAGATACACCAAATGATTATGGTCTGTCTAGGATAGCAAACAGAAAGGTCATTTTCTCATTTTCTTATGAAAATTTGCCCAAAACACATTTTTGGCAGGGAGTTGATATGTATTCACAGAGATTTGGGCCTTCTGTATGCTAGGTGCTTCTGGTGAATGTCCAGAAGACTGATTGAGATAAGGAAAAAGCTCCAAAACTTAGGTTTGAGGCTGACAAAATGAAACAGTGGCTATCTGAGCATGCCAATGCATAGCCAATATCTGGCGCGCGCAGCGCCGCCCCTCAGGGTTTCAGCACCCATATTCTTTCATAAATGCATTGCTTGAATGCAATTGTCAATGGGAAGCATCATGCATAGTCTGTCTTGTAGATTGGTTATTCTCTCAAGTGTCACTCAAGAGCATGCTTTCTGGAACTCAAATGTTTAATTTTCTGTTCAACTTCAGCGTGCGCAGCGCCGCTCCAAAATCTATATGCATATTGAGACACCGTTCTCAATGCTCTCGAAACAATTCAAGGTTGGTTGAAGCCGAGGTAGGTCAATCAGCCTCAGATTTCCCTATTTCTCTCCTCTGCGCAATAATTGATTTAATTAATTTCCAGTCAGCCACTACACCTATATTTCAACTGCCTCTGCGGTGCCTTCTTTATGTGCCAGTGCTTATCCATACAATCACCCAGTCATTCAATAGTAAGACGACTATTGCGAATATGACAGGATCTCGGTTGAAATCAGCGCTCTCGATGATGGGAGGCGGTGGTAAATTAGTTTCGCTTCCATCTGGGCGTGGGACGGTCCTATTCTTGTTAACGTCAGCGTTGATTCCTGGTACGTCCGGAGACGAAAAGGGTAGTGGTTCAAGGATGGGGTGGTGCGAAAACTACGAGCGTGCGCTCGATCCTTCAAAGGAAAGAGTGAAATAATTGCATACGGCTCATCCATACAATCAGACTTCTGTGGAAATGCTTTGGCGGGAAACACCTTATGCAAGACCTAATCACGACCTCGATATCGAATGCATCGCGATATGTGAATGGTAGCGCCGATTCGGAGTCGAATTTCGTCATAGGAGTCTATGACAACCACCAACCTCTTAAACGATGTTGTATGTGGCCTGTCCGGATATGTAAACGTGAGATAACTTTTAGCAGCACGGCTTGATAGCGAGCGAGACATACCGGAAACCTCGGTCGCTGACTACCGCTTCGCCGCAATACACCTTTGAGAAGCGCAGAAATTTGCCAAATACTTCAATATCAGATATGTCCAGTAGTGCCTCCGAATTGATATCAAACTTCCAAGCCGTCGCTCCTCTAGGAACCTGGATATTGCCAGTAATTTTGCATGCGGAGATCTCCTCTCGTAGCTCGTTGTACTCAAGGTAAATGACCTCTGTGCCGTATGTACCACTTGCACACAACCACAAGCCTTCCAAGCACTTGGGGTGCCACTGTGGATCGTCCATAGAGATCGCAAGATGATGTTTGTGGATGCGCAGGGGATAGTATCTGGGATAGACCCGCTGACGATCGTGATTGTGCTGTTCGATATCTGGATCCCAGTAGGTAACGTCACGAAAATCATCTATGCCATAGAAGTGTGGGGTGTGTAAATTGGAGATCTCTCCCGAAGTTGGAAAGGGATAGATTGAGAGGGCAGGTGGTTTAACAATCGTGCCTGGGGCGCCCATGAGATAATCCCTAGGAATGTTCAACGGGACAAGAATTGATGTATTATCAAAGGCAAGCGAAGGCTCCTCTAGAAGATGAGGGAGATCACGTTCGCTGTCGTACCATGCATCATTACCACTTCCGGGAAATTCTGGGTGTAAGGTCGGCTTCGTTAAGGCACGATGCAGCCAGATAGATTGTCGAGTGGCGGATAGACGATGGAAAGTAGGCTGATGATCTTCAACATAATCGGCGTATCCCTGATCGACATGCCAGGATAGTCGAGCTGGACGTATTTGCGGAAGAGCGATAATACGAGTGTCCTGAAACTGTTTCACATTATATCGAACGCCAGTGACAAGCTCTATATTCAGAAACTTGTGATACGATGGTAGCTCAGGAGCGTATTTCTTTTCGTTCGTCATGAGATTGTCGAGGGGAATAGTGGGGAAGCGCCAAACTTCACCGATAATACCATGGCGGAAGTAGCGAAATTCCATGATATTCCCCTTGAATGGATGATCGTTCGCCCATAGTCCAATGAGAGGCCCGTAGGTGTGAAGGAGTCCAGCATAGAGCTGGTAGAATGTGATATTCGGTCGAAAGACTGACAAGTCGGTAGCACCGTATCGGGAGCAAAAGACCTTCCACATAGACTCGTCGGCCATTTGAGTATACAGGAACCGCGAGGTACACAGTAGATTGACAGCATCCACGACATTAGCGAGCGTCGTTACCTGCAATCGAAGTTCGTAAGGCAACGCTGCAAAGCCCATGCTATTCTGAGATTGAGGAAGAGAAGATTCCTGCATTTCCCCCAAAAAGACAATATCCTGGATGTGATGCAATCGGGATGTCAGTGTATATACAGCACTTCACTTCTTACGAACACACAGATTTTGATTCTTGAGATGAACCGGAGACGTTTGAAATTGTCGAGAAGCTGCCTAGATGTACTACTGGAGAGAACGGTATGTTCAGGGCTCACTGGCGCAAAATTCGAGCTTTTGGAAGTGGAGAACTTCATTCAGGGTGCGAAACGGATGATGGATGCAGGATGAGAAGAAATTTGTGTAGCTTGGTATACGCAGGTGTACGTAAAAGCGCTCGAACAGTCAGAGTGCATCTTTCACTTAACTTTCACTTCGTTCATCGCCATGTCTCTCAAATTTATGTCTTCAATTGAGGGTGTGTTAACGGACTCTGGAGCTTGAAGCTTTGAAGGCGCAGCACGCTGGAAAGAACAACACGTTTATGTGAGAGCCGCCATCTCTTATCGTGTCAACGGCTATTGTGCAATCGCTTTTGTCCGATACCTACTCACGAACGCTATTCTTTCAGAGTTCAAATGTTCGCACACTAATCCAGGTCTTGTCTTTTGATGAAATATGGCAGATCGACTTGTGAGGTTTCATTGGCGATTGTCCACCGCTGATGTTTTCCGAGTGGCGGTTACCAGCCACACTCAAGAGTCAAAGGTCAATCTTTTTGTTCGAACTCCTCTCAAAACCACACGAACTTTTGATCCTGGTCTGTATATATACCGGCTGGCTGATCTTATATCTACACGATAACGATCTCCCTCTTCGTGTCAGGTACACGTCTTCATTCCTCTCTATCTCTTCCTCCTGTACGAGCACCTCGGTTATGCATTCAATCAAACGAGAAGTCGATGAGTCGAAGGCTCAATGGGTCCTAATGGACAGACCTACGACTCCACTGTCTGAGGAAAAAGACGAGTTCGACCCAATTTCGATGCCTCGCAGATTGCTCTTCCGAATCAATACCTGGTGCGATGCCAGTGACACACCCGGTGTCCCAATCGCGTCTTCTTCTCTGGTTGAGGATGCTCTACTATGCCCCAACGACTCCATCGTGATACCATATCCTTCTATAGTTGTTTATCTAATGGTGGGTAGTCTCCAGCGCGGGGAGTTGGCTTGCTGAATTGCTCTGTTTCGTGCTCAGTGGCGACCTTATGGTCCTATGCTCTTCCCGGTTGAGATTCAAACCGGCTCACCAAACAAGCGAATAACTCGATACAAAATGATGAAGCATTTATTCGTTGCGATCCAGCGATGGCACGAGGTAAGATTCGAATAACACCCTATCGTTGCACAAACTGAGTTCGTATTGCATAGCATCTCGTTGAATGCGACTATCGTACGGTCACTGCTCACCACTTCAAGTTCTCGTACGATATAACGGGGGTGCAAGTGGATGAGCTAAAACTCGATAGACTGGTACATTACCGCGGCCGACGTTATGTTGCCCAACTTCATTGTGAAAAGATGAAGTCGATGTCTTCGTCTAAACCCACTCCTCGCCATTCAATAACTACCCTTGAGGACAGTTGTTGAGAATTCATTTTCTCTACTACTTTAACACACCCTAATACTATAACATACCAATATCCCCATACTAAAAATACAAATCCAATGATCTAACATGTTCCTCATTCATGGTTCTCCGTATCCCAGCTGAGACTGTCGAACACCGGGTTGAACTTCCTCTTCGGAGGATACACATCGACCCTTGTACCGACGATATCTGAAAGCTCCGTTGGCTACACCCCATAGTATCCTGATGTCATCCTCACGGACGATAGCGACCATAATACCCATTTCCCGTCTGTGTTTACTTCTACAAGAATATCAACGGGCGCACTTTCACGATTGAGACCAAACTTACGGGTAGCCAGCACTGCAAATATGACCACGGCCCCACATAAACATACAAGATCCAGGATCGAGTCCAGCGAAAGCTTCCAAAGAGCTTACTGCTGTGGCTTCGGATTTGAAAGTGAAATCCAACTCCCAGCTAACAACACCTCTGGGCACGTTCTCGTCCCCAGTTACCTTCCACGCCCGGACAATGTTGGCCGATTCTCTCCACTCCAAGTAGAGGACTTCTGTCCCGTTGGGCCCGTAAGACCCTAGCCATAGTCCTTCAAGGCTGGCTGGATGCCAATTGGGATCATTTGGATGGCGTGCGAGGGAAATAGGAGAAGGATAAGTGACAGGGTAAGTGATAGGGTAATATCGACCAAATACGGGCTCTCCAGTTGAACGCCGTCGTCGACCGCCTACAAATAAGTCTTGACCTAATGGACGATGACATGGATCATGTAGACGGAGAGGATCAAAGAGTCCACAGGGTGGATAGACACTAATCGCTGGAGGCGTGAGATGTCGAGTTCGCTCGGCACCAATGAAGCGAAGATCTTCAATGGATATTTCTGAGAGGACGATATCATCCGACGGCTCTTGTCCCAAACGAGGGAATCCACGAGCCTGGTCATACCAAGGAACCGAAAGATCTTTCGGAGGAAAATAAGGATGTGTGTTGCAGTCTGTAGCATTCGATCTGATCGAGCAAACGGCTGTAGCATATTGGGCTGGTGCTAGGAAGTGAAGAGATGGTCGATGGATCTCTCCCTCTTTCTTCCAATCCTGGAGCTGCCTGTCATGTATTCTCCAAACCACACTCGAAGCGCTACGCAAACGAGGTGGATTGGAACCTACAGGGTCCAAGGGGATCCGGAAGGACTCGTAGTATCGAGGAAGCGAGGGTTCGTAAAGGCCAGCGTTTTCACGGTCAGGGCCGTCGAACTTCCATACTTCACAAATTATACCATGCCACTCTCCATCCTCATTGATTCGACACTCCATTATGTTTCCCCTGAAAGGATGATCACTTGCCCACAGACCGAGGAGAGGTGCAAATGTATGTAGCAGTTGGCTATACACCTGAAACCAGGTCCGATCACCGAAGAATGTGAGGTCTACAACTCCACATCGTAAAGATAGCATCCTCCATATGCTTTCTTCAGGAAAATGACTCCGCAAGGCCTTGCAAGTACTCAAGAAATTCACGATATCGATCGGGTCGACCAAGCTGCACAGCGCAAGGATCACATCGAATGGTAATTTTAGAAGACTGGAGGGATCGTGTTCCCGAACGGAGGCAGAACCTCTATTGGTTACCATGGGACTTGTCCTCATCTCACTCATACACAAGAATTGGTGAAGATCAGGTAGAAGCTGACAGCTATGCAATTCAGTTGTCCGCCGCTTCGATGCAGGGAGACTCACTTGAAATTATGCACGGCCGCTCAAGGGAACCCTGGTGTTCGTCCAACAAGATATGTTCAGTATAATACGGGCACGTTTGGCTCGAATGGAATTAGTTTACTGCCTGAAGCTGGTGGTAGTTAGCAACAAGTACTGATCGGACTGAGCAGAGCTGATATGGATCGAGCAACCGGATCATTCCCGTGAGAACAAACTCCCACTTGAGACGCAGAATCTAGGAACTTCAATATTATCGCCTGGGTTGTGCCCTGTCGACGTGCAGAACGTCCAACGTTTGTGTGATACCCTTCGTCGTCGTCGCTCACGACGTCCAGAAGTCCACCTTCACATATACCCCTCACTTTCCCTTACAACGCCAATCATTCCGTCGCTCTTTTCAGCATTCTTTCTGTCATTCGATCGGGTCAATCCATCATCAGTCACCGCATTAGGCTTGTGCCAGTTTGGAAATCATTATTCTTTTCACCTCGGCTTATCTATAGCAGGCACGGTCCTAGAGGACTTGTTCCCCAATCCGAATAGAATGTCCTCAGAAGGTAGTGTCGGAACCACCTCTGTAGGCTCTGTTTCTACCATCACGCAGTCCAGGACCAGTTCCAGCTCGGCCAAGTCAAACGTCTCCCCAAAACCCTCAGTGAATCGTAATGTTTCCACTCAATCCTCACGTTCCTCCCTCACGGAGTCTTCATCTGAAGTGACCCCACACAGTATCTTACGGTCCACTTCGTTTAACACCTTGTCTCCCTCCTCGTCCTCGTCATCTGTCACCTTCGCGCCACTGCCAGAAATCGGCCCCCGGAAACGTAATGCTTCCTTGCAACTCGGTGTTGGTGCACGTTCTCGCATGCTACGTAACCGTAGAATTATCATGCAACAGACTGCACTTGCAGCAGAAGAAGGAGAGGAACTGCAACCGCATCACCTTCCACCCGACGTCGCTGCTACTATCAGGTGGACACAGGGTCCTCCCGGTGACCCTGGGATGGCAGAGGATGCAGTTGAAGACGCGTTCATCGCTCTCGGAAAGATGATGAAGAGCGCAGGGAAAGGTCTTTGGCGTCGGGTGTCTCTGAAGGATTTGAAGGAGAAGGATAAAGACAAGGATAAAGAAGGTGATGGCGAAAGTGAAGGCGGAGGCGAAGATGGGAGTGAAGGTGGAGGCGAAGGTGGAAGTCAAGATGTCAGGGAGGAGAAGGGAAGAAGGAAGAAAGACAAGAAGAAGACACAAGAATGCACCGACCAGAATCCGGAAGAATTAAAGACATCGTCTAATGCTCAGGGTGTCAGAAAGATCAAGCATGCAAAGTCATATCCCCGACGACGGCGATCGACCTTCGACCTTGCAATACCACCACCAGTACGCAGATCGTCATCCATGGAGGAAGAGGAAGGAAGGGTATGGGAAGAAGAAGTCAGCGAGGAATTCAGAAAACGACTCTCTGGTATTGTCGAGCCGAAGCCCCCAAAAGACGCATCCTCTGAGGTGCAGAGTACGGTTATCAGTGTACGAACTGGTACTGTTGAAGCACTCGCTTCCGCGAAAGGCAAGCCTCGAAGTCCACGATGAGCTTTGCCTTCATACTACAAAACGCATTCGAAATCATTGGAAAGGAAGTATCGGTTTCTTGGTTCGTCGGTTTTTGACTTCATTTCTGGAGGAAGGCATAAATTACTTTACTATTCATTTTTTTTTCCACATATGCAATTTCCCGTCAATTTCGTTCAGTGGTTCAGACGTTCAGGTCGCACGGTCATCATCATATATTGTTATTTTTTGCTCCATCGCATACTCTCCGGGATATACTCACTGTAATGCTCTTCGCAAGAAGAAACCACTCTATTCTACATAGTGCAAGTTTATTTATTGCCACAGTACAATATCTTGTCGAACTCTGTACTTAAGAATATCTTAGGACGCGTCGAAGAGGCTAAACGGAGACGCGACGCAACGTTAACCTTCATGCATCATGCTTCAGAATATCTCATTACAGACACTTACGCATCGGCGGTTGAACACTGAACATCCAGGTAATATCTCAAGTGCCGAAAATGACCTATTGAGACGCCTCACACACGAACGAACGAACGACGAAGGATGCTCAACTTAAAGAACATCTGTATTTGAGAGAAATACAAGGACGAAACATGACAAATTTGAGCACAGCGTGCATTTTAAAAGGAAGCGAAGCCTAAGCCATAGCCTCACGCCATGCCTCGCTCATGGGGTCTTCGGTCGAAGGAGCGGGAGAAGGAGGCGCAACAACGATGGTGATTGAGTCTGAAGAACCGTTCTTAGATGGTTCCTGAAGTTATAATTAATCGTGAATGGACGTGGCCATGGAGATGCAACGGGTGTAACTTACATAGCCTGCTATTTTCAATAACTTGGACTTGTTCTCGGCGGAAGTTTGAACTGGTTTGGACATGGTTGTGAGAGACTCGGCGAGATGTAATCGAGACTAGGCCGGCAGGGTTGGTTATACAGACTTTAAGGAAAGACAGTTAGTTGCGCCACATATGGTGGAGGAGCGTTAGCGGAGGACATACCGGAGTAAGGAAGTGATGGATGTGAGGCAGACGAAGAAAACTGAGAGTCTTAATATAGGGTTGAAAATTCAGTCATTTGACCAAAGGACTGTTCACCACCTAAGACTGGTGAGACAACAAAGACGGCCAGATAATAAGGCCACGGCACTGAAAATGCTACGGTACTGAAGAGGTCACGTTCCAGTTTCAGTTGCCAAGCCATTCAACACCAGTAGACCACAAACCTTTCAAGTACGAACGACAGTGCAGATTAACCAGCAAGAGAAATGGCATAACTCGGTGTACTCAGCGTTGATTACAAGTGTCATTCCTTGAGCGGTCTGACGTCACAGAGAAGTATGATGGCCGCGAACGGGTTATTGTCCACATTTCGTTCGCCGTTCAACACAAGTTTGGCCGTTCTGAATCCCAAGTTACGTGAACGCCTACTGGAGCCGTACGAAATGAATCGACCGTCGGCTTCCGAACGAGACGGGCTGCATCCTCTGACTCCACAGGGTCATGCATGAGTACACGTTGCCTGAGTTACACTTGACCCCTTGACCCCATGGGTTTAGACTTTAGGTTTCCGACTCTATGCGTGTGCCGAAATCCAAAATAGCCTGCAGCATTGGGAGGAGTAACCCAAGGCACAAGTCACCATGACCCATATAATCTTACGCACCGTACTGGAGGTCCATCGATGACCTCATGGGGCATAAGCATCGAAACAACGATGCCAACATAGTCACGAGCGAAGGTGCCTTGTTAGCCTCTCACGAGTATGACATTCATGAGAATATACCCGAGTCACAACAGGCTTGCCGAGGAAAGCGACTCCTCGAAATTTCGAACTGATTGAGAAAACCATATGCATTACAGGGTTGAAGGAGTTCGGCAGACCTTGCGAGGAACATAGATAGATGCCATATGGAGGAGCCCGAGGCCGCAGGAGACCGCTGAACCCGATGATTGGCCAGATCAAAGATATCAACCAGATAACATTCTTTACTTCTCCTGATCGTGGTCCTTTATGGTCGCGACTGGTCATGTCGTCGTCCAGAAGCTCTTCAGAAAAAAATACCGAACCCTGGGCCTTTGAACGCAGCAGGAAGTAGAAATGGAATTCAGATGGGAACGAGTGCTGAACTGTTACCCAGCTAGATAAGATAATCGAGACCCAAAAGTTGCACCTCGCTGCGTCATTGCGGTATCACCGATGGGATAGGAGGTTAGTACAAAATCGTACCAGATCAAGATAGGCCGGGGCTCGTCCACGGATTGAGTGGCGTCAACGAACGTGTTCGAGCTTGGAAAACCTTTACGGCCGCGTGTGTCGCATCTTTAGGAGTTAGAGGGACCATGAGATTGTTGCAATTGGCCAACGGAACCAACATTGATATTCAATTCCAAGAACTGTCCCATTTGGGCCAAGTGTGTACAAGCTTAATTGGCTGCAGCTTGGAGATCCCGGCGTGCCTGGGAGAGCCTTGAGAGGTCAGGAGTTTAAAAGAATATGAACGTGAGTTTTCAGAATGGTACGCTATAGGGTGGTGAGTTCACTCCAACTAGGCCTCAGGCTTCAGGCCTAGGGCTGCAACTTCAAATTGACTTCAAACGGGTGTGATCGATTGTGTGCGTGCATCGGCCTGCTAACTGACTGACACGTTGAACCAAGGACCCGGAGACTTGCTTGAAAGACCCGATACAGTACGAACGAGACAGTAAGAGGGCACGCAAGATGGAAACCTACTAGTGCTAGCGAGATATTGGTGACAAGTCAAAGGGAAACTACCAACCGGGGAACGATTCGTAATGTTGACAGTAAAGCTTCTTAGATGGGTACGCGTGCCGTGGCGAACGAACGCGTCGAGGAGCGTTGAGTCAGAATACGGCTGAGTCAAGAATTGTGAGTTGCAAAAGCCCCGACGAGAAACACTCGATGAGTCAGCCGATCGCATCGTACGTGTTCTGCCATTCATTTTCACGCCGACGAACGCGTACGCGTCTCTGCCTGCCTGACGCGCTAATAGGGTCAGACCGGACACTACATCGGACTCGGACTGGCAGTTCATTCAATACGTCATTAATGATTCGCACAACGCGTATTCATTTTCGGATCGGAGGCAAGTATGTCATTTTTACCGAAAAACAAACTATTGGTACAAGCATTACTAGTATGCGCTAAAGGTAGAGGGACTGACGATGGTGGTATACTCTAATTAAAGACTTTGTTGTTACAAATTGCACGAATATTATCGTATGCAGACAGGAGGAAATGCGATGGGTGAGACGAGGGATGAGATGAAATAACAATAACGAAAGTGTTGCGTGGCGGCACAAGGTAAGATATAACGGCTCGCCAGGGTCGAGAGCGAAGAGGAGATGACGACGATTTAAATATGAACGAGAGGAGATCAGACTGAGACAGAGGTAGTGCGTAGTGCAGGAGCTGCGAAATGCGCAGGCTTGCATCCTCGGAAAGGTATTGAGAATGAGGAGGAAGAGGATGATGTCGATCCTAATGAAGAGGATGAACTAGTAGCGGATGACGATGCCGACGACGTTGTCGAAGTGTGATGGAAATGAGGTAACATTGGGAACGAACGGAGGATTTGCAGTGCCGATGAGAGTCGCTGATGGCTCGTATGAGAGTGCACGCTTGCCGACTCCGCTTTTGATTTCGATGGTGCGGAAGCCAGATGGGCATGATCTGCTGGTGACAGCTCCTCTTTTGATGAGGTGGGTACGAAGGAAGCCGCGTCAACTTCCATAACCATCTCGGGTGTCCGTGGTGATGACGACTCGTCGGTAGAGATAGACTCCATGTCACTCGAGTCCGAGCTCCAGTGCGACTCCGGCGAAGAGCTGCGGAGCGGAGAGAGGACGGCAGTAGCGGGTGTGCGGGTGTGGTGGTTAGGATTCGATAGTGACATGATAGGTGCGTGGTGAGAGAGGATGTCGTCTTCATTGAAGCCAAGCTCGAAGTCGAGGACATCGAGGAACTCGCGCTCTATCCGACCAATATCACGTTTGCCAAAGACACCGGTGCAAAGTGCCCAGTGAACGTTCTTTAGCGTGGAATCATTGGTATACTGTTCATAGGAAAGTCAGCGCTTGTTTTTGGTGCTTGAAAGAGAGAAAGAAACCGTACCTTGTTAGCAAGTATCAATGCGCCAAGGAACACACGTTCGTATGCCCATTGCTCGAGAGCAATTTGGAGATGAGGCTTAGCCCGGTCAATGTAGACGAGCATAACCAAGATGACCGGGACTTTGACTTCCGCCTTCCGCAGGACATCCGTAACAAACTGTGTGAACTTGACATGCTCATTGAGGCGCGTATGTGAGCGACCTCGAGAGGAGGACGGACGCCCCATAGCGTAGTGGACAGTGTCGACTATACACTCGACAACATATTCTACAAGATATCGATAAGTAACGCGCCTCTAAAGATAAGAAAGCGTTCTAGGACACTTACCAATCAGGGAACGAGACATCTCGGTCTCGAGGAGCTGAAGCATTGCTGGTGAATGCAGAGAGGGGTCGATGAGGCTAGCAGTGTGGACAGGAGTGTACGAGTCGATCATGGTGGACAGAGGTGATGGTAGCAAGTCGAGGGATGGTCCGCACGAAGGCGGTGGAAAGTCCAAAGGGGGAGGATGAGGAAGCCAGACCGAGAGAGGACGGAGGGTAGATATAGGCCTTGCATGTTTTGAGAGCTACGGTGAGGCTCGGCAGGGAAGTACGGAGAGAAAGTGTATCGAGATCTGAGATCTGGCCAGTCAGGGCGGGCAATGAGTGGGCTAATTGGATGACTGTGCATGCTGAGGAAGAGCGCCGAATGAGTCGACCGCAGTCTCTCCGATTGGCCGGTTTCCCCCCAAGCCTGAATTCCACGCTCAATAATGACTCACCAGCCCCTCTTCCGTTGCATGCCGCCCCCCATGCCGCCCCCCTCCGTCCGAGCTGAGTTTGTCGGAGTCCCACCCAGCTCGTACGTTGCTCAAAGCGCTACGTAGCACTCTCGCAGCCCCCCACGTCGTCCCCCGCAGTCTCTATCAAGAACGCCTCTCAGCATGCCATCACGCAGAACAAATGCATAAAACCAAACCAGGGCCTAATTGAAATGTGGATGTGACGGAAAACGTGCGAGACGTCTCCGACGTTCACTATACCGCTTACCCAAAATGGAAGTACCGCTCTTCCCGGAAGATCGAAGCAGCTCCTCGGTCGTAGTAAGCGACAAACTATGTCTGCTCCTTTGCTGTGTCAGCACATTCTTAGGCAGCATCCAATCACGACTTAAGTACAGTAAGCTTATGGCTTCGACGATTCAGTCTAATCTCACTAGCTTATACAGAGAATGAGGCGCCTGATGTCAATGCAACTCTAATGTCGGTCCTTCACGAACCCCTTTAGGCCGAGTCGGGAATATCGATCGTGTATGCAGGCGTCGCGCCCTCGTGTTTCATACCTTCGTGACAACCGTACCCCCAAACAAAAGGTCAAACAGTCGTCGATAGGCCGACTATTCTTGGCTACTTGCCTTACAATTGGACTGCTGTAGCTGGGCGATACAGCCTCGGATAGATATCTCATTGAAATATCCCAAATTCAAAGTTGCATTCCGAGGACCAATCAAGTAGGTTACTGGTGGGATGCATTCTATCGAAGTCGCTCGTAGTAAAGCAAGCTGTCTAGGAATATTCGTATCAGTCTTCGATTGTGAAAGCACCCTGCATAGCATGTAGCATCTCACTTCATTTCATTGCAAGACAGGATCATGTTGGTGTCTATGACTATTTGAACTCGATTCCATGACTACTCCTGCCTCCCCGTATCGAATACTCGCGGCAGAAGCCCAGCCCGCGACGTGACCCACGATTGATAGTCTCCAATGAAATCATTTGCATCTAAATATTGAATATATATCTCAACGCGCTCAGCTGATGTGACAGCGACGTGTTCCTCGGACTCAACACAGAAGGCGCTCATAGGTTCTATTGCCATAACACCGAATTCGACGCTGCCTTGCTGTCTTCTCGAGCGTCAGTGTCAAAGTCCGAGGCCACCCTGCAGTGTCGGAGGCTCAGTCGAGCCATATGACCTCCAAGTGTCCTTCGACGTCGCTTGGAGAATAGTTGGCGAAGTTGGACGCCACATTGACTGGCAGCTCTGTCAATGAGAAGCGATGGCAATGAGTGTACTCGGAAGGAACAATGTGAGTACCTTAGCGAGTGATATAGTGAGTAACATATCCGTTCTTAGTCGGGATCAAGCAAGGTCATGTCACAAGTCCAAAAATAATGCAAATCCAAAGATCGTACATACATAGCAGCAGCAGCAGCAGCAGCATTGAACTCGAAGCCCAAGCCTCCCTCGAACTCATCAGTATGACCACTCAATCCGACTCGCAGGGCTCAGTCGCTTGAGATACGAAAAGGAGAACCAGGGCTCCAAGATGATGCAGACGCCCGACGTCAACGGTCCGAACATGAAACGCCTCTCAATAACAAGTCCTACCAGCGCCCACCAAGTGGCGACCACTCCCAAATTACCCAGTCAGGTAAAGACCAAGGAAGGCGACAACCTAACGCGGGCCAGCGTAAGGGCCGACATCAGGTTCAAGGCGGCGCCGGAGTCTCTGCAGGTGCTGTCGAACTTGAACCTGGCGCTGCGGCGCCCTTGTTAGCGTTGGCACCCGGAGCTTTAGGTTTGGTCTTGCTCCCTTTTGGTCGTCCGCGAGGACGCTTGCCTGTCGGTTGGCTTTCTGCTGGTTGTTCCTCTGCTGCACGTTTCGCGGACGCTGTCGATGCTGCCAGTTGTTCAGCTTGTAGACGAAGCTCTTTCAGGTATCTGCGCAACTTGTGCATGAATTTCATGAAGTTAACATAGCTTCTAGAAGCACATACTGTGCCGATTTCTCTTCAATAGTTGCTTGGACGCCCGGCAAAGGCGGTTGACCGAGTTCTTGCCGTAACCGGTCTACGTCTACTTTGGCTGCGGCGTATTCACCATTGGTGATGGATTGAATTTTTGCGTGAAGATCTGCACACCTGGAAGCAGTTGAGTTGGCGTCTATCATTGTAACTAGAAGTGAAGACGAACTCTTTGTTGAGCGTCACCTCTAACATGTCTGCCTGGATGCAATTCAGTCAATACGTCAATTCGAAGTGGACAAGCGGGCTCGACCTTATCCCGATCTTCGTTAACCTAGGATGTGTCATTCAGCATCGAAGCTAGTGTGAGATCGACTCGTTCACCCACTTCTCGGAGACAGTTCAATAATCGCGCTCGTTCGCTTTCTAGTCTAGTAGATGTCAATATAAAAGCGGCCTAGACACTGACGCGGAGAGGGAAGTGTACCTGTTCTTCTGTTCTTTCAAGTCTTGTATGGCCTTGTTTTTCTGATCTAACGAGGCATGTGCAGAGAGAATATGGGCCGTATGGAGTTGTAATGTGAGTGCATGCTTCCTACCTCCTTCGTCAGTAATGTGAATTCAATCATTAAAAGAAGAGGGGGGTAGCGAATTAAATATAAATGAAAGCAGTAGATCATTGTCCGCTGCAGGCCGAATGCCTTCCGGCCTAGATGACAATAACGGAAGGGAGTCCCGATTCATTCCACGTCTGCAGCCATAAACGAAGGACTGGACCGTGATTCTACTGTCAAGTCTTCCAGGCTCGTGAATTGATTGGATGGTCTGGGCTTTGAATGCCATACGCGCCATCCACCAATAGAGCGCGTCATTCTAGGCCTCCCCGTACCCTATAGCGAGGCATTGACCCCGGTTCAGCGATACAAGGAGGCCTGGAGGCAGAAACGGAAGGCTAGATGTGTGTACCACCACTAAATGTCCAGACCGATTTGACTGAAAAGCATTCCAGAACTTGCGGTGCCCCGACACCACGCAAGTATGACCGAAAGAAAATGACATTCAAGCCTGAAGAACTCGCACACAGTGCTGAGGAAGGGATAAGGCTTGAAACCATAGACCCACTTAAGCTCGGCAGTCTTCGCCAGATGGACCAAGTTCTTTGTCCAATCCCCCTGTGCAAGAAGTGGGGTAGGGTGAGTGGATGAGGATGCACCGGAAGAACTGGCCATTGCTATTGGAGGATTTTGGAGGTGGTGGTGACCGAGAGTGTGAGGGGTCTCGTTGCCGTGACGAAGCCTCCGGAAACTGCCATTAATGATTTTTCGACATCCATTCTGGGACATCGAGAAGTGCTTAGTCAGCATTCCTCACCTTAGGTCTACACTTGGCGAACGTCTTTAAATAACTTGACTCTCGCCTCGTCTTTGCCAGCTGTTCATTCTCCATGGCTCTCTGTGACTAGTCGCTCGAACTTCCCCTTGGTCTTACTGATTAGCGAGCTATTGCGCCCTTCGAGCTGCTTTCCTTCGGGCGAACTATCGCTCCTGAACGCGACAAGGCGTCTCAGACGCGCTGCTCCTCTAGTGGATAAGTTTCAAGGCGGGTTGGCTCTGAAACTCGAGTTCCCGGTTCATTCAATTCATGGTCACTCAGAGCGACTCGGATGGCTCCTTACCATGGCTAACGTTGCACCTGGATCCACAGTGTTGACCCGCATTACTCAGAGTAGCACGGGTGGAGATTGTTGCTTGGATTCATTGCAAAGTCCACTTGGGTTTCCGAGGATCATGCTTCACTCTCGATCGGGTTTCATGTTGGTACCTCTGTACGACTAAGAGACATCCCGCAAGTGAGTCATGAGCCCTTCAAAGCCGTCGGTATGACACGTGCGACCAAGCATCTAACCTCAGACAATCTCCACCTCGTACGGATCCAATCTTGTGAGTACCTTCTGCTTGCGGCCCCGTCGGTGCCCTTATCGGCCTGTGGTCTATTTGGAAAACTACTCTGGTCACAGTCTCAAATATGCCTGAGATCGGTTGATTAAGTCCTCCGCTATTATTCTCGCAGGCATCTGCTGCGTTGTACAGGATATGTGACGCACGGTCGTGGATAATTCAACATCAAAGTCAACTGCGACTCTATACCTGGTTCGGTCTTTTGGAACCGTCCGAGTCTATAGGATCGCAGCTGTCTATATCGCAGTCTAGTAACCTAATCGCTCTGCCCTATATGGATCTTGTCTGATTAGGGCGTAATTCCAACGTACTCATCCTCCAGCTTTACAGAGCCTTGCAGGATATACCGGGCTTTAGGATTCATACTGTCTCACCTGATGGCTTTGTATATGCCCTAATAATTCCTCTGGGCCGTGATGAGAGACAAGACGTTACTATTCCATGCCATTGTTCCGTCCACTCTTGGCTTCTAGGCTGCATAACATGGTGATTTCCGCTGCGCACTATCCGCTGTCGTTCTATCTCTCCCACCTTGTCGGTCGATCGCGATGCACGCTTTCTTTTGGTTACTTCACATCCACAAGCTCTGACACAGAGCGCTGACGTTGCGGAGCTAACTCCTGTCCTCGGCCGCATGAGCCGCGTCTCCCTGCGGATGAAAGCCGAGTTAGGCGCTTGAGCTTACGAGTACGCCACGCCCAACTGCACACAGTTCGTAGCGATGGAAATGCTTCCTCAGTTCCTTGTCATCGGAGTTTGCGATAATTGGCTGACTGGACGGACGCGAAGACCCGATGAGCAAGGATTCCTCTAATCCATCACTACATCCACTCAGCATGCCGATTTCCTATATCATCCTCCCCTCTCTCAGTTGGGGTAGCCCTTTTCTCCAACTGACCCCCGCATATCATACCTTAGGGTTGATCAACCGCCCGCCCACCGTTACATTGCATCACTCGCATCTGAAACGCGACAATGAGTTTGAAGGCAGCGAAGGCAGGCTCTGGGATTCATCCTGCTAGTCAAGTCCACTATTCAATGCACACTTCTGCATCACTTGAGCTGTTCGAGATGGGGATGTCTCGTCCTTTTATAAGTAGGTTGATGCTCTATCTTTGCGCTATTTCGGAGGACTTACAGAATGGCGAACAGAGTACGCTGTTGATTGCGTTCTTGAAACCGTCCACTATGCACTTGGGCGACCTTCGACTTCTCGCGGTCGCCCACATTTTCGAGATGCCGAACGAACGAGCTTCCGGAAGTTTGTAACAGACGTGATCACAAGAGCAGAGGTTACTGTCCCCGTGCTCATGGTCGCCCTTGTCTACGTGCATAGGGCGAAACCAAATCTTGACATTGCTACAAGTGAATGGGCCAACGAGCGCACTTTCCTTGGAGCACTCATCTTGGCAAACAAGGTTAGGCGTTTGATACTTGCCCGATCTGATTAGTAACTAACTCGGCAATTTGTTACCAGTATCTGAATGACTCGACGCTGAAGAACATTCATTGGGCTCTTGCGTCTAAGGTCTTCCGTACCCGTGATATCGGCCGGATCGAGCGCGAGTTCCTCGATGTGCTCGACTTTGAGTTGGGTGTCTCCGAAGCCGATATTCTATATCACCATGGTGCTTTGCAGGCGTTTATGAGTCCTAACGAGCACATTATTCCCAATACAAAACATGCTCCACAGTCGACTCACACCACCGCCCATTCTCCCGCATCACATTCAACTTGGAGTTCGAATGAGGGAACTTTGCTCTCAGAGTCACCGGCGGAGAATCTGCAAACTGTTTTGTCTCCTCGTCCGGCGCACTCCGAGACAAATATCACTCTACATCCTACCCTCATGGGCTTCGTGACTGCTGAGTCCGGTAACCTGACTATACCCCTCACGCCGGCCGAACCTGCGAGTTGCAACGCCATTCTTGAACCGTCACGGAGACCAGCATCCCCAGTTAAAAAATCTTCCCACCATCGCCGTCTCTCCTCCGCTATCAACATGCTTCGTTCCATATCAATATCAATACCCTACCTTCACAACCGTTTACCGTCCCCTTCGCCATCGGATTCATCCAGTTCAGAAACTTCAATATCATATGCATCATCATCCACACAGTCCGTGTCTGGATCCGAATCCGAATTCGAACCGGATTCGTCCGCTACCATGCCGTCATTCGATTCCTTTCCTCGCCGCATGGGTGCGGAGCTCACGAGGCCGGTTATTGTACAATTACCATGAAGGACCGAGGGCGATTAAGTCCGATTGCCTTGTTGATCGGTCGGACGAGGGAAGCAAGCGTATATGTTACGATTGAGATATATGTAGCTGCCTCGGTGGAACTGTTGGTACTTTAGGGCATTGACATGAATGCCTATCCCGTCGGGGATAGGACTGTATACAGAATGAACGTAATACTATGGTACGATCGCAATAACCATGACTTTGTCCTACACACGATGTGCTCCGATTCAAGCTGGATATATAAAGTTGTCCTCTTTCGAAATACTACCTCGTTTCTACATAGCCAAAACGAGTCTCACGGGAATAGCCGGGATGCAAAATCACCCAATTGGAACCGTCTCTCCTACACTCAATCCTCCTCGATATCCATCCATGTCTTGCCATCTTTGAATCTCAACATTCCTTCTGGCCAAATGGGTTCACCGTGGCTTAACTGCGCATGCTATTTACTATCTAACACCTGTCCTGTCTTAGTATGGCTGAAGCATATTTGTCCTCCCGGTACAAGATGAACTAAGTTCTATGTCTTTCACCACATTGAAAGCCTACTTGCGCATAAATTTGCGTAGTCGGCAAGAAAAGTATTATCCTCGGCTTATAATGATTTTTAACTTTTGCAAGGAATGTTTCTCACTTGCCTCGAGTTACGTGACACTCTCGAGTGGCAGCCGGTTTTCTTTGTTCTCTTTCACATCCTGACGACCGCCACCTGCAACTCCCTTGCATTATGGCCACCTCTTCAGATTCTACTTCAAAACCTTACAGGTCTCAATATTATAGCAGCTCTAGTCCTTCTGTTTTCTTTCAAGGTACTGCGTTGCAGAATCAGAGGACACATCTCGACACACGATTCGTGCCTCGGGTTCGCCCTTCTGGCCTACGTTCAAGATTCTATAAAGCCATCACACGTTTGAAGGGAGTTCGCGTCGGCCGTCCGTCCGTCAAACCTGCACTTCGGCTTCGTGGTCTCTTTAAACAGCGATCGAACAATAGCTCGGGATGTTCTTTCTACTCTTTGACCTCTTTGTCCACACTCGACTTCGCCCTCATGTCTCAGATTGGGCTCTCTTCCATTGAGTCCACTCCCGATGTTTCTGCAAGCACGACTTCGACTACATTGACGAAGTCAGCTTCGGTATGCATTTGCTGACAAGTTCGTGCTTTTACTGCCACTCATATCGGTCCTCAGTCCGCATTGGCTGTCGACGATACTAATGGAAATGGGTCAAGTGCTTCTCATGCTCCATCCTCCACGTAGGGTCGAACCGCATGATCAAAAGACTCTGATAATTTCTCTCCTCTGGGTGTGGACGATTCATTCGCTTAATGTTGCCCTTTGACTCTACCATCTTGACTGTAGCTCTTGATTCTTACACATGTGAATTTATTCTGTACTTGTGCTGCTCGGAATGTTGAACTAGGATATTGTATCGTATGTTTGTCGAGTCTAAGGACGCAGCAACAACGGAGGCCAAACGGAGGCATTTCCATTCTTGGTCAGCGCTTGGCGATCGAAGACATCATAGGACGCCGAAGCGGAAGGATTACCAGTGCACGTTTCTCAACAACCACCAACCTGCACTGCAGCTGGCTCCTAAGTTACAGGCTTATATTATCCTTTCTCTCGCCCGATGGTCCTATGAATCACTGAACTATGAATTCCCATTCAAACAGTACCGCTGACAATGGCAGCTTGTTCTCCGCAGGGTACAAGTTAGCTCGTCAATTTCTAGGTATTCCTTCACGGGTCGTCGGACGACTACGTAAATACGATCAGGTTATAAACATGGCTCAGAACCCTCCTACCAGGACATTGGAATCTACTAGAACGCCTCAACCAACTGGGCCGTATTCTGCCCAGTACCACTCGGCGGGTTCCATATCCTCCGTACCAGGTCCATGGGGTTTCTTGACGTCAAGGTACTTTATCGGGCTGTTCATCATGGTAAGTGCTATCAGTTTTCTTGCATCTTACACGCTGACCCGTCACTAGGCATTTATCCTCAATCGTGTGCAAAATATTGTGGTTCCCCCAAGAAACCCACTGGCATCCCATCACCGAATGCGCCACTTTCCCCCCGTGCGGAGAACTTCGATCACATCATATATCCTTGCATCCATATTCCCCTTAGATTTGACCTCGTCCTTCTCTCGCCTAGTCTTCCGCGTGCCATCCATTTACCTCCTCGGCAAGACCCTCCTACTATGGACGGTCGTACTTCTACAGACCGCCCATATGTATCCTAATCGAGACTGGATTTGGTTGCAGACGATTGGAGAATGGGCAAATCAGAAGTCAATGGATGACATCTGCTGGTTTACATTCACGTCGGTTTGCACTACTTTGTTCGTTGGGGCGCTCACTAGTGGCATGGAGGGTTTGGATGGTTCACACAACACCCCGTTCAATCTTGTTAGTCCATTACTTCTTCGATGTGTTGTTTTGGAATTGACTCTTGCCTTAGTTTGCATATTCATTCGTACTATATCTCTATACCTCCCCGGTTGTGCAGGTCGAACCTTCTCAAGGTGGAGGCCCGCTCCGGCCAGACAGGCATGCCATTATTACGATGATCTTACCACTATTTCAGGTACGTTATTAAATAGATCATGGTTAGAACCTTGGTTTACTGATGTTGCTAGCTCGCTATGATCCACTGCATGGAGATTCGTCAGAAATGGGCGACGCTCAGACTGATACCGACCACTGTCGTTGGTATTCTCTCGCTTGCCCACTTCCACACAGTATTTTGGCTTTACCCAGCATCATATCCATTGCCAAACTACGTGCCAAATCTCGTGGGCTCTGCGCTGCTCGCCATCACTTTGTTCACACTATCGCTTAATGCATTCACTCAGCTGTGTCTGACAGGAAGCGTCTCAAAGCCTCTACTTGGACATACTGCTAGTCTTATGCCGAGGTTGGATGAAGATTTCACCATGGTACTCTTCAGACTCGGAACCGCGAGTTTGGAAGCGACAAGTGTCGCTGGACTAGGTAACGAGGTTGGTGGTGTTGGTATCACTTCTGCATCCCACCATCCTTTGCCTGATGATGATCGCCATGGTGTCGTTGAACTTTCTCGGAGTGGTGTGGTATCTGTGACCCCTGGCCTCTCGGACAATCAATATGAACTAAAGCAAGGTTTCTTCAATGAGATCACTCAGGTGAAGGCGAATCCAACCCGGACACACCTTTTGGTCGACACTGTTATGAATGCGTCTTGGCGACGAGAATTCGGGAGGTTCATGCGAGCTCTTTGGCATGTCATTAAAGGAACCTGGCTATCTCTCACATCCAGGAGGAACACTGTACCATCGAGTCCCGGTACGGTCGATGAAGATGATGACACGGAAGAATCCGATAAAGAGGTGTATGACAAGTTCTTGCGAGGAGAGATAATGAGCGATGGCGAGGATGAAGCGTATGAGCCAGATCTAGGCCAGATTTCGGACGACGAAGAACAGGATCCCGATGAATCGTCATCTGGTGACGGGCCAGAGATAGCCAGTCTATATGCAGACCTCTCGGATGCAGCTTCTACGTCTTCCGCCGCACCAGTTCTCCTCGCCCATATGACGAATGCATCGTCTTCACCTCTCACTCGGCGACGATACACCTCACTTGTGAACATCCCCACACAAGCCGGACCACAGCCATATGATACCAATAACGAGGATGACTGGGATACCTTTGTTCGAGCCCGGAGGGAAAATACCCAGCGAAGACTGAGTTCGAATGGAAATGACGATGGCGCGATAATGCGTAGCTGTGTCGTATGTACCGTCGAACCCAGAGAGATCATATGCTGGCCTTGCCGGTGAGTTGAGCCCGTCGCTTCTCTGTCACGACCGTGTGTCTGAATGTGGCTCTGGTAGTTGTCTGGCGCTTTGCGATGATTGTCGGGAAAATATGGCCTCTCGATCTGCGGCATCTAAACATAGTTGTCCGTGCTGCAGACGGAAGTAAGTCTAGCCTTCATATCCACCGCACTGCACTAACGGCCCTATTCTCCGTCTCTAGCGTTGAGGGATATTCGAGGATATATATTCCATAATTGAAATTGTATACGTTGTATTGGATTAAGGTCAGCCTGGAGGAGTGTATTTATACTGTTTTCTGTGTTGGTGCTGTGGATTTGTTTAATCCGTTCAACGCTACCTTCCTGATTCGTGTTCAAACGGTAAAACGCTGGTCCTGTGGCATCGCCACAGCACATGCGAATGGAATCTACGTTGTGGCTATATCGGCGGACGAACACGTACAATCTAAAGAGGGCGACTTCCATATCTCGGCATGCTCTCAGCCTTTCTCGCCAGGAAGAGTAGAACAGCCTCAGGTGATCCGGTAGTACAGTGTCATCTGGTCTTGCTTACTCTCATCGGCTAACTATGCCATTCTGGAACTCTATATATAAGAGGAACGTAGTATGCTCTTGCAACTCACCTCAATCATCTTGTCTCACCAACAACGATCATGAAGTTCACGAATGCTCTTATGACTTTCACGCTTAGTCTCTTCGCACTGCTGGGCATGTTTGCAGCGCACGTCTCTGCTCTTCCACTTCACGAAGACTCTCTGGAGAAGAGGGATGTATATGTTCCACCAGTGCTGTATCCCCATACTGGCACTGTCTGGAAGAGCGGTCAACGACACAACGTCACTTGGTGAGAAGTGAGTATTTTGATAATGAATTCGGTACTTACGCGCGAATACAGGGACATTTCCAATCCTCCCGTAAACATAACTAACAGAATAGGCTTCATTCTGCTCCGATCGGGCAAATTTTCTACTCCAGGTGCGGAGCATAATCATGGTATCGCACTGAAAGCTAACATATTGAAATCATTACCAGTTGTTCTCGCACACGGCTTTGACATCCTCCTAGGCAGAATAGAGGTGACTGTACCTCTAGTGCTTACCAGAAGTGACTTTAGCGTTGTCTGTAAGTCCTTCTGACTCCTATCCTCTACATTTAAAGGCGTTTATGCTCATGTTTTCATCTCAGTGTTCGGCGATTCTGGCAACTTTAGTCCTCAGTTCCAGATCTCCGGCCTTGACCTCTAGATGGGGACTAGATAATAATGGAAGGATTACGAGCTTGACGAAACAGAACAATCACGAACTTTGAATGCCAACCTCGCTTTTGGACTCTGCAATCACGGACTCTAGTACAATGGACGCAGTTTGGATTATACTTAGTATTATTTGCTACTCGAACTTTGAACAATAATTAATTCGATGTTTTGTAATGATAATTCTCGATTTGACGTTAGAAGTTTGAGTCAAGTTTGATTTTGAGGCCTGATTATGAAGAATTGGCCAGGGTCTTAAACGACGAATATCGGGTGGAGATTATACGGGTCGTCCCTCCTACTCTCCATTGATAGACCTGTATAAACGGCTGCCTACGGGAGACTAGGGATCCACCAGCTTTAGCGCCTGCCTACTCTGCTTCGAAACTGATCTTGCCGTTCGATCCAGTACGGTATGACACTACTGGACCCTTTACAGTCACAGAAAGGAGCTCTTATTTAGCCCCACGCCTCTTGTAGCTGGCTACTCTACTATGACCGGTGCTGAAGCTATTCAAGCAGCTCGTAATGCCAAGTCACTTCCCTATGACGTTCTCTTGGATTTGTTCACTTTCCTAGATGCCACCGACATAGTGAACTTCCTGAGCAGCTCCAAGTTGCTTTACTCTCATATCCTGGATGAGACCATATGGCGAAAGCTTTCTGCTCGTTATGGCGTGCGAGATCTCTCCATATTCGGCGGTCACACCTGGTACGATGTCTATACTTGCCTCCTTCACACTTATGGCCCCCTGTTGGGCTTATGGGCGAATGACTACCCATTCAGAGGAAACATCATGGAATGTCGTATCAATGTGGATCGGAAGTGGTATGGGATTATTTGTGAAGTATGGAAGTTTCCAGCAGGTAATGATCTACCGGACAATGACCGTGATCCATCTTTGCCTTCATATCACGAGTCATTCCGCATCGTTTTGACTAGGGAGGGAATTGATGCGTCCGGGACTGGATGTCGCACGCGAATTCAGTGGTATCCACATAGTCAACAAGGCGTTTCGTTCGACGATATGGACAGACATCAAACACCGTCGCTGCACCTTCTCTCTCCCACAAATCAGGCCACGTTCGTACACATCGGAGAAAATATCGCCATCCTGGCGGGTGGAGAGCATCCTCGGATGACAGGCCGGCTTCCTGACTTCCCAGGAACTGAGACTGTCTGGTATGAACACAGCCGTGAATGTCCCCGTATGCCTCAGGAGCCATCATTTGAATGTTTGGATAGCCGAGAATTTCTTTCACAGAGTGCTCGAACTCGTGCTAGCTATATGTATTCTGCCCGCGTAGCTCACACATTCCCCCCAGCCTTAAGCATCTACCCGCATCCAGATCGTGGGGATCCTTTGCGACTTCATACGCCACAACTACCTAGGATACTCCTAGATTTGCGAGGCACTTCCACTGGAGATGGTGGGAGTAACGTGCCTGTCAGGAATCGCTACTACCCTCTTCGAAGTCCTGTCAGAGAGGCTCCCACTACCGATGTTGGTGCTTCAGACTGGGACCCGACAGTTCTGGAAGGGATCTGGCTCGGAGGGTATGGGGCTCATGGAACAGAAGTACTATTCCTGGAGTGGAGCTCAGAGGGGAAGGAAGTTCGAGCATGGAAGGTAACAGGCGATGTGAACGTTCCTCGTGGGGCTATAAGTTGGCGATTCGAAGTGGCAGAGGACCAGCCTGATATTCTCGCCAATGCCTTCGAAGAATTACATCCAAGAGCGCTATACAGGGGAGTGGGGACGATTAGCAGCTTTGGTTTCCTGTACGTCCAAATAATTGGATTTTGGATCCAGCCCCATATTTACGTTAATCTGCGTGCGGCAGACCCGGTGAACAGGCCGAAACGCCACTATATGTGGCATTAATGGACTGGGATGACATTAGGGTCAGATGGCCGGAGCTGCTATCGACTTCCAGGTTCCGGCGGTATAAAGGGAGGGATCTTGCATCTGAGCAGGTAAACGGCGGCATGCGCAAGCCAACACCATGGCTCTAGTTGCGATCAATAAATATAGATGGTTAGTGAATCGAGATCAAGTGTCCTGAATAGGCGTTTGACGTGATTATCTTATACGAGTGCTTAGCGCAGGATCGTGATACAAGAAAAGGATACTTTACACAGCAGTCGACAAACGCTAATTCAGTGCTTGGGGACACGTCTGCGTCTCTCTATTCCACAGAGAATGCAGACACCCACAGAATGCCTCACTTCCCAGCTTCTGATCCAATATTGGTGACCTTTATCAGGAAGAGTACATTGTATGCCTAGGTTTAAAGGTGAGAGATTTGACATGGCATAGGATGCCGCAGCCTTATGCATAGCAACAGCCATGACATGTTATACTTACCGGGAACCATATGATATAGAATAGAACTTATCGAAAGATGTAAAATCCCTCATATTCATTCAAGAAATGAAGTCAACAGCCTGAACGCCGTACTCTGCTCGTAGGCGGGTGAACTCACCAGGTGATCAGAACACAGACTGGTTCTTCGATGTTGCTGGATCCTGATATTTCCTCAGAGTCAGCAAATGGCAAGAAGTTCATGTGAGATGGCCGATTACCTGAAGAATTCTCAGCCTGAGCAATGATACATTCTCTATTGTTCGCCTTTGAATCGTTCTACACTGCAGTGGAGGTGGAAGGAAATATCTTGAGATGAGAAGGATCTTCTCAGTGTCACTAGAGAATAATGGAAGGATCACGAGTTTGACGAGACAGAACAGTTACGAACTTTGAATGAACTTACTGTAAGTACAGTGGACGCAGTTTGGAGTATACTTAGTATTATTACCTAGCACTTGTACTTTGAACAGTAATTGAATGTTTTGTAATGGTGATTCTCGGTTTGACGTTGAAACTTTGAAATCTGAAGGATTGGCTATGGTCTCAAGTAAGTCTCAATTGGCGACGATTTGGTCAAGTCGATGGACCCACAAGTCTTAGCGCTTGCTTGTGACACTCCTCCGACTCGAGTACCACTGTCGTGCCCTTCAGCCTAAGTCCAGTACCGTATGATACTACTGAATTGTTTACAAGCACAGCAAGGAGCTCTCATTTAGCCCGACGCTTCTTGTAGGTGACCACTCTACTATGACTGGTGCTGAAGCTATTCAAGCAGCTCGTAATGCCAAGTCACTTCCCTATGACGTTCTCTTGGATTTGTTCACTTTCCTAGATGCCACCGACATAGTGAACTTCCTGAGCAGCTCCAAGTTGCTTTACTCTCACATCCGAGATGAGACCATATGGCGAAAGCTTTCCGCTCGTTATGGCGTGCGAGATCTCTCCCTATTCGGCGATTATACCTGGTACGACATCTATACTGGCCTTCTCCACACTTATGGTCCTCTATTGGGTTTGTGGGCGAATGACTACCCGTATATAGGAAATATCATGGAATGTCGAGTCAATACGGATCGGACGTGGTATGGGATTATTTGTGAAGTATGGAAGTTTCCAGCAGGCAATGACATTCCGGACAATGATCGTGAGCCGTGCCTGCCTTCATATCACGAGTCATTTCGCATCATTTTGACTAGAGAAGATGTCAATGAATCCCGGACTGGATGTCGCACACGGATCCAATGGTATCCATATAGTCAACAAAGTGTTTCGTTTGACGATATGGACCGACTCCAGACACCGTCGCTGCACGTGTTGTCTCACACAAATCAGGCCATCTTCGTACACATCGGAGAAGATCTCGCTTTCATGCCGGGTGGAGAACATCCTCAGATGACCGGTCAGTTTCCCGACTTCCCAGGAACTCAGGTTGCTTGGTACGAATACAGTCGTGAATTGCCCCGCATACTTCAAGAACCATCGTCTGAATTTTCCGACAGTCGAGATTTCATCTCACCGAGTACTCAAGCTCGTGCCAGCTATCTGTATTCTGCCCGCGTAGATCACACATTCCCACCAGCTTTAAGCATCTACCCCCATCCAGATCGCGGTGATTCTTTACGACTTCATACGCCACAACTGCCTAGAGTATTTCGAGATTTTCGAGGTGATGGCTGGAATGACGTGTCTATCAGGAATCGCTACTACCCTCTACGAAGTCCTCTTAGAGAGACTGCCACTACTGCTATCGGTTCTTCAGGTTGGGACCCAACAGTTTTAGAAGGGATCTGGCTTGGAGGATATTGGTCTCATGGAACGGAAGTAATGTTCTTGGAGTGGGACTCAGAGCAAAAGGAAGTTCGAGCATGGAAGTTAACTGGTGACGTGAACGTGCCACGCGGAGCTATAAGTTGGCGGTTCAAGGTTGGAGAGGATCTTCCTGACCTTCCGGTCGATGCATTCGAAGAAGTACGCCCAGAGGCGCTATTCTCAGGGGTGGCGACGATCAGCAACTTCGGTTTCTTGTATGTCCGAGCACTTGAGTTTAGGATTCGTTTTGGATTTAAGCTAACCCGCACTCGACAGACCCGACGATCGGTCTGAAACGCCTGTATATGTGGCCTTGATAGGGCTAGATGATATCAGGGTAAGCTGGCCAGAGCTGCTCCCGACTTCCAGGTTCCGGCGGTATAAAGGGAGGGATCTCCCATCTGAGCAGGTGGTGGGGGGTGTGCGCAGAGCAACACTCTGGCTCTAGATAAATGGCATACATGGTTAGTAAATCTGATTAGAGTGACGTCGATGAGTATGCGGTGTCTTTCTCTTGGAGAAGTGTTTAGTGTATGATCATGATGCACGAGAAAAGGTACTTCACACAGAGTCGGATATTTAGGGAATGAAATAACTACGTCGGTGTATATATTGATTCCCTAGATGATGCAGACGGGCGTTGAATGCTTTTCTCACTTCCGAATCTATACTTTCTGTCCAGGATGTATGATAATGGATGATATGACAGGGTTAAAGGTTTGGATTGATCTGACATGACATAGAATACCACACTCCTGGATGCATAGCAGCAGCCATGACACGCTACAGTAACCGGAAGCCATATAATACAGAATAGAGAACTTAGGAAGGTGTAAAATACCGCATATCGATTCAAGGAATGTAGTCAGCAGCCCGAACGGGGTATTCTCTAAATATGCAGTTGAATTCAGAACACAAACTGGTTCTTCGATGTTGCTGGGTCCTGATCGGGCCACCTATTTCCCCAGAGTCAGCAAAGGGCGGGAATTTCATGTGAGATGGCCAATCACCTGGAGGCATCCTCAGCGATCATGCATTCTCTATTGTCTACCTTTGGATCGCTCTGCACATTGGAGGTGGAAGGAAGTCTCTGGAGACGAGAAGGATCTGCTTTGTGCCACGGGGAAGGCGAGAGTCCACCCGGTTGGACGTCCACTGGAGTCTGGTCGGAGTTGGACGTGGTAGGAGAGGCAGTCTGAGAATCGTTGGAAGACATATTAAGTTCTGTGTAAAGGAAGCAGATGGGCTCGTCGACTATCTTGCAGCCGATTGGGAATACTGGTTTTAGCGGTAACTGACGGTGCCACTAGTGAGATTGAAATAAAAATCGGATCGTAAAATGTAGTCACTCACAAAGTCAAGTGTAGATGGAGAATATGACTCCAAGGTTTCTTCACGAAAATGCTTGGGAGTGGCGGTCGAAGCGGTATCTGTTTGAGAAACGAGCTCGATGGAGATTGCGGAGGTGACCGAGACCGAGTCTGAGCGAGATTCGTTCCTCAGAGGGAAGAAACGAGGAAGTTGAAAACGGTAGGGAGCAAATGCAGGGATGATTCGAGGTCTTTTGAAGGTACGAAAACGTTTGATGGTCTTTGTGCATATAGCAAAAAAAGCAAGAGGGCGTAGAAGTTCCGAGTTTGAACAGTGAGAACGAGGTTACTCTGATGAGAGGCGACGGGGAGGAAACTGGAGAGAAACAGAGAAAAGCTGACCGACTTTTATATCAGAATCCATTTTTGCTGGCTTTGACCTTGACGTCCTTTTCCGGTATGGGATGTCAAACGTAGAGAGACAAAGCCCTCGCGAACCAATTACGCGAACTGACAAAGGACAATGGGTCGCCACTGGAGTGTCAAACGTATCAAAGTATGGTTGCCCTACCGTCTCAGATAGCAAATTAAATTTCAATATCTGAACGTAATCCATTGTCAGCTTTCAGTGCACACACAAGTAGTTTCGATGAACACTCACAGAATAATAGAGTAGTAGAGTATGTGGATGAACCGGTGGCAACAAGAAGTAAGTCTATAGGGGTGGGAATGTATGCATGGGCCTGCTCTTAAACCAGGATGAAGTTTCGAACATGAGGACCCGACATGCCTCGGAAGTTCGGACGTAAGACACAACGAGGGTCAACACGACATCTACGCGTTCTTTGCAAGAATGCGGCAATGGGCTGGAAAACACCGAGTGCGGATATTTCACATCTGGATCTGAGTTAGCCGACAATGTGATGGATGCCTTTGACCTCTTTGACGATAGAAGGGAGAAGACTTCAAGAGAGTGAATCACTGTCAAAGCCAAAGCCACAGCCAAAGAGAAAATTAGGCGGTGCACAAATCGAGCCTGGACCACGTTTGTGGTAGTCTGACGAATGCAGACGATCAACATGAGGACATACCTTCATATCATTAGCAATTCAGCGTCACTAGTAGATAGAGACTGCTTTCCATTGGTATGTCAGAGCAACAGGCTCGACTAAGGATCTCAAACTCGTCGCTAACGCTGACGCCTCAGCCCTGTTGTTTGTGATCTAGACGGGCAACAGTATGTAGAAATATTTCATTACTAGAGGTATCGATAAGTTGAACAAACGCAACTTTGTCTAGTGTCTGCTGGGTCTTCTCTGTCGAGACCTTTCAAATTCGGGCTTAAGGTCAAATGTTCACTTTAGCTGTATTTGAAACTCACTTTCTTTGATTCAAACTTTTCAGTAGATGTTATCACCGATCTCCTCAGCATGGAGCTTCAATGCAGTTATGACCGCAGTTTCGACGACATTTGGACCATAAGATGGTTAGAACCGAAGCAATTAGGCGCCTGTATTGGCTTCCACGTTTTTGAAGTCGTGGATTGAAGCTGAACTTGCGCTGAAGGTTCGCGAAGAACGGCCATGAATTCTGTCAAGACGGATGCCTGGACTCTCAGAATACAACTTGATCACAAAGAATACACCAGCGATGTCACTACTATTATGATACAAAAAACTTCGAATATAATGATAGGTCCCAACAATTAGTCAAGGAGGAACAGCCGCAACCGGCAACAACAGATGGCATCAAAGCAGAATCGAATTCCATGCAAGTGAAGAGAAGAAGCAAGGGTACCGTCTGGGAAATGTAAAAGTATAATGAATGCGCTATGATCCCTCAAGTTTTCCCGCCACTCCGGCAGCCTCGTCCCTAGCTTGACCGAGTTGCGGGTCAATGCCCACTTGCGACTGCGGAGGGTTCGTCGTTAGGCTCGGATCAAGGGATTGCGGGGGAGCATTTGGCGCAGAGTTAGGTTGGGACACACCATTGGGTGCTTGCGGCGACTGTTGCTGTTGCTGGTGCTGCTGTGACTGCTGGTCTGGAACAATCCCAGTTCGGAATGGTGAGGGCGCGACTAGGCTACGGGCGAACCTTGAGCGAAAATCATTCGGTGCTTGCGAAGGATCGTGAACGAACGGATGGGAAACGGTGTGATCAGGCTGAAGGGTGGCATAGGAAGCTGTAGCTGCTGCCACCGCGGCTGCGGCTGCTACAGCAGCAGGATCGGCGGATCCGTCAGGTGGTTTGGGGGCGTTCGGAGGAGGCGGAGGATGTCCATACATACGTCGCTAGATACCATGACGTGATTGTCAGTTGCGAAACGTGTCAATGATATCGCACATACCTGTTGGTCCCACTGATCCCACGCATGCGCGATGATGGGTTCAAGAGAAGCAAGTTCCTCATTGGTCATATTGAGGTTTCGAAGAAGGTGTTGTTTCAGTAGGGGCGCGCATGAGAAAGAAAGCAGGAGGGTCGACGCGAACGTCTGCCCGCCAAGAGGTTGCTGGTGGAAGGTTGGTTCATGTCCAGGATGGGAGTGTGGGTGCATATGTGGTGGGGGAATTTCGTGGGGCATAACAGTTTGGTACTGCCCGTGGTACTGGATCTCCTCGACCCCATTATGGGAAACATCATTACCCATATCGATACCAAGCTCTCTCAGTTTCTTCTGTTTTACGAGGGCACGATGTTTCCTCTGACGTTCTCTGGCGGACGCACGCACGCGTTCCTGCCGAGCAGCTTCCTCTGGGCTCAGGGAACTATCCGTCTGCTCGGGCAGTGAAGGCGGGGCAGACACAGGGGTCTCAGGCGGCGGGAAACCAGGCTGCATCTGTAAGATAGGATTCTGGTTCTGCTGCTGGCTAGCTGCGCGATCCCTCTCGCGTTTTCTACGCTGCCTCTCAGCAGCCTTTTCTCGCTTTTGGCGTTGCTGGGGAGTCTCGTTCTCTCTGGAACGCTTGCGAGAGGACGAGGGGGTGGGAGTCAAGTGAGTACTTGCGAGATCCATGCCCTGCGTGAACTCGTTGAACAAATCTATTGTGTCCTCCGTCGTCGCGAAAGGATCGGTTACGGTGGGTGACCGTAACGTTACCGCGGTGTCTTTCTTGGGGGGCCCGAAGGTATGCGGTCGCAGTGACAGTCGTGACGAGAGGGTGACTGAATCTCCGCAAACAATGTCACGTTTCCCTTTATACCGCCCACCCGTGGGAACTTCCCCGGTGTCATCCGAGCTCTCTCAAACCAAAAATAAAATCTCTTGTCACACTAGGGTACTTCTACAATGCGTCCTTTTCTAGTTCTTCTCTATTGTAATCATGCTCTCTCTTCCCGCCCCTACACCTATCCACTCAACAGGCACATGCAGGAACTCCTCGATGAAACCGACGTATTTTTGACAGTTAAGAGGGAGCTCGGCAAAGGAGGTAGTGGATGCAATCGACCGCTTCCATCCTGGTAGTGTGACGTATTCAACCTCCACCTGTTCGAGAACACCCAAGTCCGCTAAGAAGCCTTTGTAAGTGTCGGTTCGAAATTTAAAGAACACGGCACGCGTACCTGGGAATCCGGGAAGTTCCTCTCCATTGACGAGGTATTTCACTCCCACCTTGATCTCTTCCAGGTTGTCCAACACATCGAGCTTCGTCAGGTTGAAAGAATCATAACCGTTGATCAGACACGAGTGCTTCATCACAACAAGGTCTAGCCATCCACAACGTCTTCGGCGACCAGTAGTGGTTCCGTATTCTCGTCCCTCTTCCTGTAGGTATACACCGATGTCCTACGGCCATAAAAACGCGTAAGCTTCCTTCAGAGGGAACCGGGTGAACAGACGTACATTCAACTGCTCAGTGGGGAATGGTCCACCTCCAACGCGGGTAGTGTAGGCTTTGACTACACCAATAATCTTGCCAATTTTCTTTGGTGGGATTCCGAGACCCGTGCACACGCCGCCAATAGTCGTCTGAGACGAGGTGACATATGGGTATGTACCAAAGTCGATGTCGAGCATGATTGCATTCGCGCCCTCAACGAGGACACGCTTGCCATCGGCAATAGCCTTGTGTATGTATGATACAGAGTCGATGACATAGGGTTTTAGGCGTTCTGCTAGGACCTACGCCATAATGTTAAACATCGTTTGTATGTGAAGACAGATCAAACAAGACATACTTTGTACCTTTGAATCTCGCCTTCGGTGTCGTACTCAAAGTAGCCATACCGCTTGAAGCGACCTTCGACAATTCTACGGAACTTTTCGGCGAAAGTATCGTGATCGAAGAGATGGTGTACGCGAAGACCAGAACGAGAAGCCTTGGCAGAATAAGCCGGACCGATTCCCTTCTTAGTAGTACCAATGCTGCAAAGGTCAAGCGTGGTCAGGTGTAAATGTGGTTTTAAAAGCAAGAAGGCACCCACCTTGAACCCCCGAGTTCGACCTCCTTCAAACCGTCTACGATTTGGTGGAAGTCGAAGACGAGATGCGCGCGGTCGGAGATGAACAGGCGGCCGGTGCAGTCCAAACCTGCCACAAGCTATGTCAATAATGATGGATTATTCGCAAGAAAAATCTCGGTACCTTGAGCCTGTAGAGCATCCACCTCCGCGAAAAACGAAGGGACATGCACAACGAGGCCGTTTCCAATGAGTCCAACACACTTGGGGTTTATCAGTCCTGTGTGACAATTTTTCATCAACACTAAGGCTTCCCAACGAGCGCAAGAAAAAAAGGAACGCACCGCTGGGCAAGAGATGGAAGGAGAAAGTTGTCTTGATCTTCTCAGGTCCTATGGGTACCACAATAGTATGACCAGCATTATTGCCTCCAGCGCAGCGAGCGCAAACATCCACTTCAGCAGCAAGGATATCGACCAGTTTGCCTTTTCCCTCGTCGCCCCATTGCGTGCCGAGAACGACGGACACTAAGCGTCGAAATAGCATATAGTCAGTAATTTCGAGAAGAACAAGAATGAGAGACTTACCGCTCATCGTTCAACGAGATCCCCTCGCTGTTCAATGTGCTACGTTGCACGACGAACCAACGGTGAGCAACTTCTGAGAGGTGGTTTTAAGGATCTGATAATCGAGTCAAATGCAAGAACTCAATCGCATATTCCTTGCAATTTCCGGTCCGTTTTCTCCGCCACTTCCGTACGCCGAGCGTCCGTATCACAGTTCACAACCTTCCCCTGCTCGTCGTCGTGAACCGCGGTGTACTCAGTCACAGTGTATCTTACTCAATTTTTTCACTAGTCGGAATGCCTACCTTCTCGTCCAACCCGATCAGCTCGAACCCCATCCACAGGACCCTGCGCAAACACCCCTCGTTGTTCGGCCTTCCGTTTCTTCTCATCATGATTGGTGCTTCCTATGGCTTGCAGACATTCACCCAGACCAGGTATGAGTTAGCAGACCAGAAGGTCAAGCAGGTGTGTCCCGTGTCAATTGGTTTTGGCTAGTGTAGGACGGACGGGATGCTGACGGTACAATGCGTGATTTTGCCTTGGCATTTATGTAGATCAACAAGGAAGAGGAGTTGGGTATGAAGAAGGCTCGAAGGAAGTTTGATATCAGGGAGGAATACTTTGTACGTTCTTATCTCTTTTACCAGCATGCTTTGCTTCGCATCTCTGACTTCCCGTGTTATTACGTGTACAGAGGTTGAGTTCTGCCCAAGACGAGGACTGGGACAATAAGCGTATTCCACGACCTGCAGGACTTCCAGAATGGGGCGTCCCACCAACGGAGCCTCAAATACCTCCGCGCTCTTCTAGTTCGAATTCCAAAGCTTGAACCATTCCCCAAGTTCAATTGAAGCGAATCACATTCAAGAAGCTGAATATATGGATTGCTGCTATCTACTACAACTACAAGCGTCCTCACAACCCTGCCAGAATGGGTATTCAATGCAGAACCTTGCTAAGTCTCTGCACCGAGTTCAACAGAATGTCTCCTTGTCGGACTACTGTCTCGTATTGTGCATTCTTCAGCGATGGTCTGTTGGTCTCTACCACTCCGTGAACCTTGTCAATCGTACAGTGAAGACGGCCGGAGGCGATGAATCGGGAGAGTTCGCTGTTGACATAGTGATAGGAGGACGAGAAGTGACGTTGGTAGAAAAAAAGGAAGGGGAAACATATTAGTATGGTGTCATCGAGTTCGACAATGAATGTAGCACGTACTTGTCAACAAAGTCCACGCTGACGCCGAAGGAGAGAGCTAAGCTGTCAAGCGTCAGACTACGATATGATTCGAGTAGTTGGCTGTATGCGAGAATGCGCATTTCTCGGACATAGAATCGGGTATGTGGTGCAAGGATGCGCGACGGGAGGAGGTAATCTTGCTCAAGTTTTGCTATACAGAGAACAAGATTATAGTTAGGATACCAATGTGAGAAAATGAAAGATAGCATACCAAGCGCAACGAAGAATTTATCGTAGTGTGAATCGTAAAGATTCCTGATAAGTTCGGAAAGGATGGGGACGTCCGGGAGGACTTGGTTTACTTCGGGGGCGTTGATGAGCTATCGTAGAACGCCAGTGAACACTTTGTGGCGTGACGGGAAAGGACCAAGCTTACCTTCTTTTTCAAGTCCACTCTGCTCAACGTCAGTACTCCGGCAATAGTAGTGAGAATGACAAAGTCATTGTACGAAATGAGCTCGGTCGCAGTGAACGTCGACAATGCATCAAGCAGCAGTTCACCACCTCGCTTGAATTGACGTATGGAAAGTAAATGGAGACCACGGTAGACTTTGAGACGATTCCTTCGGTCCCAGTCGCCACCTTGTTCAATCAAGCTAGAAGAAACAATATCAGCACCACTACCACCCCATTACATGCTGGGATATCTCAGCGTACTCTTCTGCTTTCGCCAGATGTGTTGAGATGAGGTCTTGATCACCGAAGAATAGTCCAATTCGAATGAGAGTGAGTACGATGTCTATTCGTTGACCAAGACCGGGCGTCTTCTCGAGAGCAACCTTCTGGGCTTCTACAGCCTTGTCCTACTCATAGTTCCTGGTCAGCACCGTACTTTATAAACGGAGATGTGGTCTACTGACCTTCTCACCAATGCGCGTAAGGTAATTCGCCTTTGAACGCAAAGCATCGGCAATATCAGTCTCCCCTTCAGTCTCTTCGGCCTCCTTTAATCGCAGATCAAGTTTCTCGAGTTCTTCCTTATTCTGTTTCTCCATTGTTTCAAGCAGAGTGGCGTCCAGAGGTAATACATTTGTCGAAGTGACGATACGGTAGTAAGGTGCCATCTCTAGCAGCGCGTTGTCCTATATGTTAACCCCCACGTATAAAGCTGGTGATAAAGCAATACGTACGATCAGCCTGAATACCCTTGAGCAATTCAACCCGCGCATTGTCGTGTAGCCTCTGCAAGGATGGTGTAGAGAGGACGAAATAATGCTGGGCAAGCTCCAGGTTCGGGATGGGAAGGACAATATCTTCGGACATGGTCGGGTATTGTTTTGTGGTTGTAGGTGGTACTGAAAGGAACGTTGTAGTCGAGATGCTCAATTCAATTTACACTCGACGCGTCAGCGTAGGTCTCCCACGCCCATAAGACGCGTCACCCGTCGCGCTCGACCTCGTGCTCTCCGTCTTCCATATCCTCCTTACCCGTTGCTAGTACTACTTTTCACTGTGCTTTACAAATGTCTTCTACGGAAGAAATACTGAAGGAGGCGCAGTCCCTCGCTAGCTCGAACCCTCAACGGGCGGAAGCGCTGTACAAGGAACTCCTTGGTATGTGGTCCCCAATATATTCTGCCCAACCGACGAAATCGACCACTTTGTTCAATAGTCTCGACGTCTGGAAATGGTGTTCCAAGTCGGCAGAAGGACGAGGTTTTGCGGCATCAGGAGAATGCACTTGTCAAACTCGGCGAGCTCTACCGGGACCAGAAGTATGTCTCATTTGCGTGCAGGATTCGTCTCGTTGACTGTATACACCGATTCGAAGGAATGCACAGGGTGTCGCAGAAGTTATCAACCTGTCCCGGTCATTCATGTCTTCAACGGCAAAAGCCAAGACCGCGAAACTCAGTACGTTCCTTCACTGTGAAAGTTCTCTCGAGTCCGGTATTGACTCTTAGACAGTCCGAACACTCCTTGATTTCTTCACGACTATACCCGACAGTCAACAGATTCAAATTGAAGTCCTGGAAAGCAATATTGACTGGGCCAAGAAGGAGAAGCGGATATTCCTCAAGCACAGTCTCGAAACAAGACTAGTTGCACTGTCAGTCAATGCGACCCTACGTTGTTCTCGTGGCTAATCTTATGCGTGCATACAACCAGGCAACTCGAATCGCTGCAGTACAAGCCAGCCATCGCCCTCATTGATACTCTTCTAACGGAGCTGAAACGGCTAGATGACAAGATGATCCTTACGGAGGTCCATCTACTGGAGAGCCGAGTATACCGAGGTATCGGCAACATGGCAAAGGCAAAAGTATATCCCTCTAATCCATTCGTCTTGGACCTGGATTAACGGACTTTGTAGGCTGCACTTACTTCTGCCCGAACTGCCGCCAACTCGATATACTGCCCACCGCACCTCCAAGCCCAACTTGATTTGCAATCAGGTGTTCTACATGCCGAAGACAAGGACTATACGACTGCATACTCTTACTTCTTTGAGACTTTCGAGAACCTCAGCGCCCAGGATGACCCGAACGCCTTGGGCGCATTGAAATACATGCTTCTGTGTAAGATCATGTTGAACCTGGTTCGTAGATTTGTCAAAATGGATGTCAGGTATTGATGAGAACACTTCTGTAGCCTGAAGATGTCACCTCTCTTCTTTCGATTAAGCTTGCGACCAAGTATGCGCAGCTGCGAGATGTAGAAAGTATGCGTGCAATCGCTCGGGCGCATCAGAACCGAAATCTCGCAGACTTTGAAAAAGCTCTGAAGGATTATCAGAAAGGTAAGTATTTACTTCTTAGACGGAATGCCTCGTATGAACCCGTCCCGCTACCTTTTAGAGCTCTCATCCGACCCGACAATCCGAACCCATCTATCAGCACTCTACGACACCTTGCTCGAACAGAACCTTCTTCGAATCGTAGAGCCATACTCGGTTGTCGAGGTCGAATATGTGGCTCAACAAGTTGGTCAAGGGCGACAAGCTGTCGAACTCAAGTATGTCTACGTTTGAAGTGCTCTATTTGTTGTATCGCTGACAAGGTGGTAATAGACTTTCGCAAATGATTCTGGATAAGGTTTTCCATGGGGTTCTTGATCAGGGCCGTGGGTGTCTGCTCGTATTTGACAAACCACAGGAAGACGTACGTGAACCATTCTCCTTATCTTTCATATCACTCATCGAATCTGGGTTGGTTTTGGATGTATAGAATACATATGGCGCCGCCATTCAGACGCTAGAACAGGTGGGAAAGGTCGTAGACTCGTTGTACGCAAAGGTGAGTATTATTGTTCATATATCTTTGTCACTTTCGGCTCACAGGGTTGTATATAGACGGTGAAGATCGCGTAGTCCTCTCGGCTTAGATATTATATTGCATCATTCTTCGTGATAGAGTGTGCATTCTTTCTTTCGGACCTTGGCTATGTGAATCAAACAAATACACAATTTGCCTGGACCCCATCCAGCTTCGATACTCATAAGTATCCAAACCTCCGCATTGCTTCCCTATTCCAGAAGGGTATATGACCTTACTACTCATAATATAAAGGACGAAGTGCACACTCTGTCTGTCACAGAATCACGAAGAACTGGATGACACTACATGGGACTCAAAGATCACATCATCGGAAGACGGTAGTAGTACAATGTAGAGAATATAGGCTGCAACAGGGCAAAGCCTGCTCGACTCAGGCATGGTCGGCTTTGATGATATCGGCAGCTGTAACAAATTGATAAGTTGGGATGACGCTGCTGAGCCAACTTAAACAAACCTTGTTCGGCGATGGCATAAACGGAAGCTTCCGGTTGCTCAGCGAAGATGCTTTATACACAGAGTCATCCGTGAACATACCTTGGGGATGAGTAGACACTAGGATCGGCATGATAGAGAGGTCGACGACTCGGATGTTCTTGGTGCCGTACACCTGAACTCGGCAGATTAATGTCCAAAAGCCGTATAAGCAACGTCTACCGTACTTTGAGCTTCGGATCGACGACACCACCCATATCTTTAGGAAGCATAGAGCAAGAGCCCGACACGTCTAAAGAAGGCGGAGGAGTCGTTCACATGAACCCAAACGGAAACCCATGTACAACTTACGCCAGGATGTTCCGACGTTGGACTTGATATGATCTATGCCATGATTGTGTTTGAGTTAGTACGAGACATGTAGTGGTAAGCACAAAGACGTGCCCTTAATTTGCTCGTCAGTGACGACTTCTGGACCAGGCTTCGCTTCCCTCGCAATGATGTCCTTCAGAGGAGACAGTTTTGCCGCCTCACGAGACGTCTTGAAACCCGCGACCATGATCTCGATGTCAACCTCCTCTTCGAACAAATGAGCATCGATGATAGGGGGCTCGCGAGGATCGGTAGAGGTAATGTGCTTTCAGCAACTCAGTATGTAGCAACAACCTTCCTTTTATGAACTTACGATTGTTCCCCTAGAAAATGGACGAAGCAAGAAAGGCGCGGTATTCACGTAAGGCTTTCCAGGCGGCCCTAATGATACAATTTTAGGAATTTGTACGCAGACAAGCAAGACATTCGAGACCTACCAATTGGAAACACTGAGAAAGGCACGACCGCTATTTCGATATCGGGCACATTCTTATCTTTGAAAAGCTCCAATTGAACGCGGAGTACTTCACGAAGACCAGGGCTGTAAGGCGAGGATTCGTCATTGACCTTTGCGCTAATCTTATCAATAAGGGCTTGAGCGTCCACATTGGTCTGTTGAATAGAGAAGAAGGCAAATCCTGTAATCAAAAGTGGAAGTGGGCCCTCGATTTCCTTGCTGCATTCGAGATGAGATGAATCTCGTAAACTGAACCCATCGACTTACTAGGGGTCCTTCAACGTTGATCTGAACTCTGGATTCGTCATCAAATCGCTAGTGATAATGTCATGACCATCACGAAGCTCTAATAATGAATATATTCAGAGTCACATAGGCAAGTACGAACCAGGAACAAGACTAACCGTGGGCAGGGCCTGTGATTGTGTAATGGTCTTGGGTGTTTTCTCCGACCGTCGGCAGATGGATTTTCGTCTGGATTCCAAGCGGTTCAAGGATCCCGCGATCACCGATTCCGCTCAGCTCGAGTATCTGAGGCGATTTGATTGCGCTACGTGCCCTCACTCAGCAACTATAGCGCGGCGAATCAAAAAAAAAAGGACACTGACCCAGCAGACAAGATGACCTCCTTGCGGCACAGGACGCGATAGATCTTTCCATCGTGCTCGAATTCAACGGCCTCCGCAGTCACGCCTGTTTCCTCAGTACCAGAGGCGATAACTTTAGTCACCAGAGCTCCCGTGAGCACTTGAAGATTGGATCGATCGAGTACTGGGAAAAGGTACGCCTGTAGCACATTTGAATATATTGAACGGAGTATCAATGATGTTCACGGAAACCTACTTACGTTCGCAGAATCGGTCCGCGTTTTCTTCTCAGGGTGTAGACTGGCGAGAGCTTGATATGTGCCGCAGGTCTGCAGTGAGTCAACCATCATACTCATGCACAGGTCAGTCAAGAATTGAAATGCACCTCGCCACCGAACTGACAATTTGTAAGTGACACTCAACGGAGACAGAATGTAGTGCAGTGCTTACAGCCTTGCTTGTCGTCTCTATGCCAAGTTGATGGAGGCTCTGGACTCTTCGTGAGTACGCGTGCAAACCCGGGCGTACGTAAATACAGACCTTCTGGAGAGGATATTCGACACCCGAACTGACCGGAGTAAACGAGAGAGGAATGGGTCCTGATCGAACACGTGAAGTGAAATTACAATGAAAGGCAAAGCGAGCTTACCATCGTGCCCCACGTCTTCGGGGTTGTACGTGGGTTGATACACTCTCGTAGGCGGTACAGGTGCATGAACACTGAGGAAGACTGATCAGATCATAAGGCATTGCATCGCGAGCATCCATACGTTTCAGCCTTGTTCGAGTATCGCTGGAAATTTTCCCAGTTCCACCCGGGGTTCCCCAGCTTCTCAAAGGCTAGATCAATCGGGAGGTGAGGAAGGATTAACATAAACACCAGCGACACGACATGCCATCAATGTCTCCCCGGTGTGGTTTAAGCCAGGCAAGACAGTTTATGCCTGAGGAACCGCCGAGGCCCTTACCACTGTGATGAAGTCAGTGCTGTATGAGGCATGAACAAAACGCTGAAGCGGACCGGAACTGGAACAAGCGTTGGTCCTTTGAGCATGGTTGAGGCACCGACTGAAACCCCCAATCATATTCAGGATTGAATAACTGGGGCACCCAGCCAGTGGGAGATACTGCAGAGGACACGAGTGAAAGAGTGAACATTGCACGGCCAACGACGAAAACCTGACTTACGAACGATTGGGTCGTCTATGTGAGCATTTCCAGCCTCGAGCACCACAACGGAAGTGTCGCTGCTTTCACTAAGACGGTTAGCTAAGACGAGCCCAGCGGTCTGGATAGGATACAATTGAGGGAAACGGGATAGGGTAAAGCAACATTGTGGCTTACTCCACCGCCTGTACGACAAACAGCTCGAATCAAGTATTTTCCGTAATGTTCTGAACATTCTCACCGACGATGATAAAGTCGAACGTCTTTCCCGCAATGTCATTAACTACAGCAATGGGCATCTTGTTTAGAATGTCGTTCCTGCTGTGAAGGTTTAGAAGCGATAGATGGAGGAGGGTTGTGTCTGAGGTGGTGAAGTGGGGAAAGGATTAAACCGCCAACCGTGTCTTTCATACTTCCCTATCAGAGGTCCCTTCCTCTATGAGCGGCATCTGAACATCGGAAGATTAACATTAGACCGACACGCCGCGCACAAACCTCTCAATCAAGGCCCGGTTAACAAAGACCTAGCGTCCAAGAATGCACACCGACGAATAGCAGTCATATAGCATCAATTGAAGCCTCGTGCTAATGCTACATCAGCGACTACCTATCACGGAGGAAGGATATACATCACATCTGTTGTAAAATGAATCAAAGGTCCGAAGCCAACTTACCCGGGTTAGACGAACTCAAGTTGAGGATCAGAATGTCCATTATTGTCGATCAGTGTGTAGTGCAGCAGTGTGAACGTGAACAGTTGCAAGTTGTGAATACAACGCCAGAAGACTAGTGTTGTGATGCTGCGGAACGCCAAGACGGATTCCAAAAGATAGAAGCAACGTTGTGCAGATCTGAATATCTATCCTAGGGTGAGTCAAAAGCAGTAGGCTTGATAGTGACAACTTGGTAACCTCTCTCGACGATGCGTTCGGGTCTATTAAACCGTAGGTGTTGAGGCGAATAACGTTCACCTAGAAGAGAAGCTTCGACTCCGGCCACTCATCTTGTGTCCGCTCTATACGTTACCTCGACGGTGTGGCGCAGTGCTTTAATCCTTGAGAAAATTAAGGATACATCGTTTTCTGTGCTTTCAGTCACCTTCGAGCGACATAACTTAGTTTGAGCTGTGTCTCGCATGCATCTGCAGGATGTTTCGTTTGCATTCATGAGGTGAATGCTATCGATGGTATCTCTTGAATACTCACAATGCGCGCAGGGATACAATCAATCATAGATACAACGCCTGTCCATGCAGTTATCCCCGCAGTCCTAGACACGAAATCCCTTCAGACGGGGATCCCGGCCGCATTCATCGGTCATATTGCCACAGGGTCACTCATCCAGGGTCTCTGATCAGCGTAGCCTGAGATATCCTTGTGGTGTCCATGATACCGTAGAGCGTTCTCATTCTCAAGGTAGCGAAAACGATCAAGATGCTCCCACATCCAGTCTGCGAAATTGGACTCTGTATTCCTCGAGGAGAGGGTAGACATTTACTTACGTCCACGAATCGGTGAAGTCCTTGATATCAAAATGTAAACTCCAGTGGCTGGCTGGACTCAACGACACTGGCTAGCAGGATTCCATCATGGCAGATAGTGGCATTCGATGAAGAACATCTTCACCCGATCTCTAAATCGGGGATATTGGAATGTCACTGATCCTTATTCTGCGGTGGATATCATCACTTATCCATCTTTCATCCGGCCGTCATCATCTTTTCCCTCCTTTACTTATAATGGCTCTTTCAAGAGGTCTACGCCAGCCACCAGACGGCCTCTTTTGCGAACACGTTAGACTCTTCATGACATCCGTGCAAGCCACCCCTCATCTATCTGTGCTCACGTACGTTGTCGTCTAAAACACCGAGGTGTTACTTCTACTAACCTGTTTGTCCAGCTCGGGTCCACCTGTCAGTTGTCGCTTGTCGCTTGAATTATTATCTCTATAGCTGATGATCCCTTCAGCTCGTGGGTGCTTATCTGGCATGGGGATCGGTGGGCATACTGCTAGTTCAAGTTTGTGAGACCCTTTTCCTATTTTTAAGAGACGTCCTATGCCACAGCACCTGCTTTGACTTTCGTGCAACGCACGGCCGTTACCTATCACATGCAGTGAAGTCTCAACTGTCTGATGATCACTGAGTCTTTACGCCACAGATATATATCATATCTTTTTTCCAAGCGATGCTGTTGGGTACAAATCTCTAGGTCAGTTCAGCCTCCGCCTTTCTATCTTTAGCGCTGCATCTGACAACACGTGCCAGTCTATTTCGTCTTCATCGCAGAATGCGCGCAAACCTTCCTCCTGTCCGCTGAGGCCTTCGAGAACTATGTTTATCTTTTTGGGTCCCCAAAGAGCTGGACCTCCTATCCCATCTCATGGTTGGCCGTTCCGGTCATTGGAGGTATCATCTCTGCAGTCGTGCAACTGATGTTTGCTTGGTGCCTCTGGTTGCTGTCGAACTCCCGAATTCTCATTGGATTCATCGTGCCGGTGCTTCTTTATGAACTTTTTTGATAACGTGATGAGGAGACTAATGAATCTTACCATGCAGCTCGCATTGTGTCAGAGTGCAGCCGCCATTGCCACTGGGGTCCAGGTATCGATCTCTGTTGTCATTTTTGGCCCTCTTCTGATTTTTTGTGTAGCTGAAGACAATTCCGGCGATTGAGGATCAGAGTATCGTGGTCCTCTCAATAACTGTACGTGACATAAATAGCATTTGTTATCTTGGTCGATAAAAAAAAACCTGAACTACTCAATGCAGGTTTGGCTCGCTGGAAGTGCACTAGTCGATGTAGTAATTGCAGTGTCTATGACTATTTATGTAAGTCCACCCCGCAGCGATCAAAGGAGATGTGTGCATTAATGTCGACGCTTCAGTTGATCAAAGCCAAAAGTGGTCTTCGACGAACTGACGCCCTTGTCAACCGACTCATTCGGTTGGTTGTCGAGACTGGCACAATTACAGGCATGTCCCGTGCTTAGTTCTTGGACGAGTCTGTCCTAATCTGGACATGTCTAGCGAGTTTCGCGATTGTTGACCTCGTGCTGTTCCTTACGCTTCCCGTAAGTTTTCGACCTCGATAGGCACTCGCTTTAGTGCTAAAGTTGCTTCTTGAATATAAGGCTACACTTGTTCATGCTACTGTGTACGTTATCCGTTCATTTATCTCTGCCCATAGTTGACACTCTGACGCAAAAACATAGCGGTGCAATGCTTACGAAACTGTATGTATAGTAATATGTGCTGAACTATGTTCTCATTGTTGATCACGTACATACTACCAGGTACTCAAACTGCCTTCTTGTGGGGCTCAACAACCGTGCCTTGGTGTCACAGGGTAATACCCTTGTTATCGACTCAACACAACCATTTTCTTCTGATGGAGGCTCCACCACACGGCTCGGTCGCCGTGGGCCAAAAGAGAGTACTGTGCGGGTAGACGTCTTTCAGGAAACCACTTCGGATCATAACATTGAACTACAAGAGATGCAGGTGCGTTCAGATGTATATTTACCGTTGTCAAATTTCTCACGCGGTTCGACGCTCATTAGAAGTCATTTCCGAAGGGTCTGCGCCGATCAGCCTTCTGTGACGAGTCTCCAGCTTGAAATGATGTGATCTCTATCTCTTCAACTCGGATTTTCTTCGAGCATCCTTGTGTCTATAATTCTGCTCCTTCGCCAGACTTCCTCTTATCCTTGTCAAATAGTACGATGCAGATATGGTAGTGGATGGATCTTAAAGTAAATAAAAATGACAAATGACTTTAGACCTTGTTCAAAAACAAGAACAGTTACAGTTGTCATTGCAGCCATTTGCAGAACGGTAAGCCACTTTTTGACAATACGATTGCAGTTTTCTAAACTGATTATGAAGGCTTTGGAGGGTTCGTGGAGCGTAAGTACTCGCGTCTCGGCCATCCTGATACTGCATGAGTATCACCTCTCGAACGACTCTACGCTGTATTGTTTGCTAATGTGGTCGGTAAGGCCGGGGTCACACATGGCGCCGACATGTCATTCTGTCTGCATGGACTCTGTATCCAACGAATGCAGACATGCTCATGCTTCACTTGCGTACTACTAGACCCGATATCAATGTCAACCATCACGACAGATTGGCATTTAGTCAATTCCCATTGGACAAAGATAAGCGCATAGTGTGCAGTATTTGCAGGATTTAACTCTCAAGTTCGACGGGAAGATCACTTCTGTAGATCAGCTACCTCACGCTGAACAACATTCACGATCGCCTTAGAGCGAGGCAGAATCCTGCAGCCGAATGCCTTAGGATGTCTGTAAACGCACAGTCTGTCAGTTGCAAACTATACAGCCAGTCCCTGACCTGATGGCGTCTGTACTCCATTCCGTCTTGGGAATTATCTCTTGTCCATGAACGTCCATCGCGGGGCGAATATCGAAGGTAGCGAGGACACGAGTCATGTTGATTCTTATAGTTTTTTCTGCTAAGTGCGCACCTGGACATCGTCTGCACGAAATCTTTCAAACATTGTCGAGGTTAAGATTTTGTTCATGTATTGCTCGCGTCACCAACTCGATGCTAGTAATTGAAGTCACTATTAAATTAATCTGAGTTCGACGCAGCTCAGGCTGCTGTACATCGATTGAAGACCAGAGCCCGGTAATTTGATGATAATTAGTATGTGAGCGACGTACATTGAGAACCATACACCAAGAACGAACGCTACTGTATATGAAGACAAAGAAGCGAGTGTTACATGTGATCAGCTTTGATGATATCACCTGCTGTAAAAATATCATTCAGCTTATCATTATTTCTTCAAGTTGAGTGGATGATACACACCTTGCTCGGCAACAGCATAAACAGTAGCTTTGGCATGTCAGCTGTCAGAACTATTAATTCCGTTTGGAGAACATACCTTGGGGATGGGTAGACACTAGAATCGGAAGAATGGAGAGATCGACAACTCGAATATTATTCGTGCCATACACCTGTACTCGGTCATTAGTATCCTACTATCCATACTAGTGATATTGTTCACTGCGCACCTTGAGCTTCGCATCGACAACGCCACCCTTGTCTCTGGGCAACATAGAGCACGATCCCACCATATCTAAGGCATTCGCAGTCATGTCTCAGAGTGTTTCGAGAATGTAATGAACAACCCACGCCAGACAGTGCCAACGTGGGACTTGATATGTTCTACAGCATGGTTAAATTAGCGTTGTCCATAGTTCATGTCAAGAACGAAGACGCGCCTTTGATCTGGTCATCCGTGACCACATCTGGACCGGGCTTTACCTCCCTCGCAATGATGTCCTTGTAAGGCGAGAATTGAGCGGCAGCACGAGACACTTTGAAGCCCGCAGTAATGATCTCCATATCAATGTCCTCTTCGAAGATATGAGGGTCAATGACGGGAGGAGCAAGAGGGTCGGCCGAATTGATGTGCTGCCGGATCGAGCATTTCAGTATAGCAACATGTGGAATAAAACCTGGATCTACCACTGTGCCCCTCGAGAATGGGCGGCTTAGCACAGGCGGCACATTGACGTATGCTCGTCCAGCAGGTCCTGTAGTGAAGATTCAAGTGTGCCGCCCGCGCGTAATGGGAATAAATGACACCCACCCATGGGAATAACGGAGAACGGAACGACCATGATCTCGACATCGGGCACATCCTCATCCTTCAGAAGTTCCAACTGGACGTGGTAGACCTCACGAAGACCAGCGCTGTAAGGGGAGGCCTCGTCGTTGATCTTCGCACTAATCTTGTCGATTAGCTCTTGGGCATTGGCTGCAGCTTTGTGAAGAGGGAAGAAAGCATATCCGGACATGACGAGGGGAAGCGGACCCTCGATCTCTTTGCTGTGTTCAAGATGAGCAAGCCCATGAAGAACTAGATGATGTCTTACACATACTAGGGATCCTTCAAATTACCTCTGAAGTCCGGGTCAGCGATCAGCTCACCCGTAATTATGTCGTTGCCATCTCGAAGTTCTGGGAATTTGCTTAGAGTAATGCAGAACATTGGTATCCTAGCTAACTAACCATATGCTGGACCAGTACAGGTGAAATGGTCCTGGGTATTCGTCCCAATTGTCGGAAGATCAAGTTTGGTCTCGATGCCGAGTGGTTCGAGGATGGAACGATCGCCGATACCACTAAGTTCCAGGATTTGGGGAGACTTGATTGCACTATTAGATGGCTGTAAAAGCATGCGGGAAAACAGAAAGGTCGTGACATGTACCCTGCAGATAAGATGACATCCTTCGCACACAACACCTGATAGAACTTTCCGCCATGCTCAAACTCTACGGCATCCGCAGTAAGGCCAGTCGCTTCATCCCCAGAGGTGACCACTTTCGTCACAAGCGCACCAGTGAGCACTTGCAGGTTTGGACGATCGATGACCGGGAAAAGATATGCCTGGAGTAATGTTATAGAAGCAGATGTTTGCAACTCTACAAAAACCGCTTACATTGGCAGAGTCGGTGCGTGTCATCTTCACAGGGTGCAGACTAGCGAGGGCTTTGTAAGTACCAGCAGTCTAAGAAAGTTAATAGTTGGATTATATAGAAAAGATTGTTCGCTGAATGTTACCTCGCCTCCGAACTGAGGTACTATGAGTTGGGTGATGAACAGGGGATACAAGAAGAACATACCCCAGTACTAATCGTCTCTATACCTAGTTCGCTGAGACCCTAGATAGGTTGTCAGTACGAGTAATGAACAAACTTTGGTGGAAATCAACCTTCTGAAGGGGATACTCAACGCCTGACGCAATCGGACAAAAAGAAACCGGAAGCGGTCCTGAATGATCAAATAAGTCCTACTACTTCTGTGTCTCGGTGACCATTTTGGCTTACCATCGTGTCCCACATCGTCATGGTTGTACGTCGGTCTGAACTGTCTGACCGGCGGAACGGGCGCATGGACACTGTAATGCATCGTTAGCTGACAGCTCGCGCTTGATCAATGAGATAGGCGAAACGACGTACCTCTCGGCCTTCTTTGAATATTTCTGGTAGTTCTCCCAGTTCCATCCTGGATTTCCCAACTTCTCGAAAGCTGAGGCAGCCGGGGCGTCAGTAAGAATGGAGACATCAAGAATGTCACAACATACCGTCGATATCCGCGCGATGTGGTTTGAGATAGACAAGACAGTTGATGGAAGAAGATCCGCCGAGCCCTTTGCCGCTGCTGGAAGGTCAGTGTCCCAACCGACACCACCGTACAATTTCGTGCATTACATACCGGAACTCGAACAAGCGCTGATCTAGAGAGTGCGGCTGCGGCGTTGATTGAAGACCCCACTCGTATTCGGAGTTGAATAACTGGGGGACCCATCCAGTGGGAGAAACTAGATATCCGTATCCATTGAGGAATCAGCAACGAACGTATTGAGAGTTCAAATATCACAACCTACGAATGATGGGGTCGTCGACGTGAGCATTTCCCGCCTCTAGCACTATAACGGAAACATCAGGGTTTTCGCTGAGACGGTTCGCCAATACTAGTCCAGCCGTCTGTGCAGATCTGTAAGTGTCAGAGCATTGTCGATGTAGAGGATGGCGCTTACTCCACCACCTGTGAAGGAAATGGTTCAGCTACGCATCGGTCCACGATACGGCGCATTCTTACCAGCTATGATGAAGTCGAACCGCCGTCCTATGACGTCTTCGGGGTTTGAGAGGAGGGGCATGCTGTCGTCACTGGTCTGCGGTCACAATAGGAAGCATGGAACAGAGCCAGAAATGCAACTTAAGTATCAGATCAGAGCTTGATCAACTATCGGCGGCCTTTGGTCGGATTCATTGCTTATGGCGGCAATCAAGGCTCTGTAGAATCGAAGACTCTGGCATGTGAAGAAGTCCTCCCCGATCTGTATTTCATGGATCTGGGGTATTCGAAGCCTCTAGGATAGAACTTAGAAATCCCTTATGGAAAGGCACCCAGTATCATCAAGGTCAGATCGTGGTATCAGTGTAGAGATAGAGAGTGGTGAGCGCAACCCTTTCCTCTATGTCTCTTTGATTAGATGCCCTGACGACGCGCTACGTATATTCATTGCAACATAAGAACATATTGAACTTGAAGTAACGAGGAAGCACGGCTTCAGTGGTGCCTTGCGTCGATCCTGTTATGGCGCCACAGCTCTAGACCTCGTTTGTACTCCTCCTTCGTCAGCGCCCTTCTCGTATCGGCAACGTAGTGGAAGGTTAATCCTAGGGAGCGACGGAAAGGGTAAGGAAAATGCCCGCCGTTGACGTGGGATGATCTTACCTAGGAGTTCCTCCGTGATCTCGTTGCTCATTTGAGAGTCGAAGAATAGCTACAAATGTCAGATTAGCCGAGCTTTGGGGTGAAGAGGGCGAGATCCCAAACCATTTCCGAGTAAGGGATCTTGCTCCACCTGTGAATTCGACGGAGGTGATTCTGCTTGGGCTCTGTTAATGTAAAAGTATGATGAATTTTAACTTTATTAGCTGCCGTCGTTCGTGTACAGGTGACGAACCGTTCACTATTTCATCGTATTTGATGAAGTAAGTGAGAGGCCTCGGTTTACCATGCTTATCCTTGGCTCTGAAGTGCCACATCGCTCTATCACACCTACTGGAGAGTGAGATAATGTTTGAAATAAAAAATTTGCGAGCCTCACAAGTCTTTGTTCGTGTTCCGAGAGACGATGGCAATCTTGACATCGTGCGAATGGAGATCATGGATAATCCAAGGAATATCGTTGGCCAGATGAAGAGTGTGCGAGTGGTTCCTGTATGCCCAACGATTTATCAGACAACATGTAACGATAGACCAGATATACTTTGGTACCTCTTGTCCCTAATCGTTGTTGGATTGACAAGTTCGAGGTTATTCCTCAAATCGCCATGAACCCATCCGTGATCGCCGAACGTCTTGTCGCTGAGGTACGAGGTCCAGATGGTTCGACTAAGGACATGATGGTTAGAATGTGGGTTGAGACAGAGGAATGGGATTCATGCGTACTCCAAGTCCAAGGCTACAAGCTTAGGATATCTGGGAGACATCGAGTAAAGTTGCTGGGCTGGAACTGGGTAGGGGAAAGACTCGTGTACGCAGGAGAAAAGGCATGATGCTGGTGTCCCTATGTAATTTTCGGAACTCGGAGACCATAGCAGTCATGGAGATGTATGGCTGTGGATGTGGAAAGCGACATTGACAGGCTACGCTTCGAAGAATTTTGGGAATGCAGTGCGTCGGCACACTAGTGATTGACAATTGAGATCCTGCATAAGTCGATTACCGCCCACGAACAAAAGGCCAACTTCTCCAGCGCAGGCACAGCGGAGACTTAAGTAAGCGAACTTAAAAGAAATATGATGGAATGGTGTCTTTCACAGGAAACATGAACATCAGATTGGACGACGGCTTCAAAGTGCATATGGTCAGTTGACCAATCATCATCTGGAAACGTAAGCATTCATCATAAATCTGCCTCAATAGATATGGTGCTAAGATGTTCGTCTGCATCTGTCCAAGCCGCAGAGGGTCTCTTGCATACCTGATTAGCCTGGGAGGTTTAATTGTTGTGGTGAAAGGTGAGAACATGCATGTGACGGCATGGACAGCCTGGGGAAAATGAGAAGGCCGTCCTCCGCTGTTGACGTACTGTACTCGTATGTTTTCCATTCGTTTATGACAGAAACATGCAGTTTGACGACGTAATGACTGGTACTCTAGGCTGATAAGCCTTCTGTACCCCGGAATTTCTCAGCTCCGACTGCTCAAAGTATCAAGTTCTCATGCAATGGCCATAACCTCAAACACGACATGAAGAATGGCGCTGCCTGTCACGGGTGATCCAGCTCTGCTTCTCCTTTAATCCTTTTGGAATCGTTCTCTCGTCCTCAACAAGCGAATGCGCAGCTGGAGACTTATCCTATGTTCATTCCTCCTGCTTCCGGTGACAGCCTTCTTGTTCGTTCCTCCCGCTCCGAGTAACAGCCTTTTTGTTCTCACAGACGTGAAGCACGCTATGTTGCTCAGCATTCGTCCACCCCGGGTTGCGGCAACAGAAACACCAACACGAACCTGGAAAAGCGCAGTATATAAGCCAGGGTTTTCTTCACTTTTGAGCCCTGGAGTAGTATAACTTGACTCTGTTCGTCATTAGCATGCGTTACCCCAAGCTTGTCGCTCTGGACCTCGAGTGAGAATCTTCTGGAAATCTCCATTTCTCACTCACTTATCCCACAAATAATCCAGCGGTACTGTGTGGTATCATTGGCTCAACGACAAGAAATTCAAAACGCGAGTTACTCGCGACATTGCCGATAACCTTGAACCTGTCGGCCACGATAAGGTTCGGGATAAGAAGTGAGTTTTCCATTGTGCATGAGAAGGCATTTCCTTGACGAGTCTAGGAACCATGCCAATGTTATTACCATGTCCCCGGACGTTCCTCGCATCATAACCGAGCTTGCATTGAGGAAGATCGACATCGCTATCGTCTCGCGGAATACCAGCAAGGCGCTGTGAGTAATTCAAACGGAAATGTTAGCCTTAAGCGCCTTCCTAACCATCTTCCTACTCTGAATCACGTCAGATGTGACAGAGCCTTGTGGTACTTTAAGGCTAGAAATCCGGAGACCAAGCAGATGAGGCCAATCACGAGTTTCATTAAATACGACGAGGTCAAGGATGGTAAGTACACAGATTGCTAGTCGTTTTATAGCCTCCTTCCTGAGTTCGAATATTCCATAGAATCTAAACAGGAGCACTTCAAGAGAATCAAGAATTGGAGTGGCTATGAGTATCATGATATGGTACGTGCACTTGCCCTTCCCGCAGAGTGAGTTTGAGAGTGACCACTGGAATATTTTCAAGCTTATCTTTGATGACCAGCCTCTCAATCTCGAGGTTGAAACATGGGAAGGTTCGTCACCATTGATTAGAACATACGACTCGAAAGTCTGAGGCGCTATTTTTAGGTGTAACATTCAAACTTGTAAAGCACCACAACGATGGCCTAACCTGGCAGGACTACCTCGACGGCTTAGATGAATGGAGGAAGAATCAATATATTCGCGTGGCTCAACCCCCAAGGCTTATTGATCCCCATCCAAACAAGATGCTTATAGGATATGCGGGGACTGACCGCGAGACCGCACTGCTGTATGTCCAAGGAAAGAGGCGCCAGTTTACGAAGCGCCCTGCACGCTTTGGCTACGGGCTCTACGCGTCGGACAATCCGCAAATGTACGGAGTTCCCTCCCTCTTATGACTTCAACTCTAATGAGAAATATCAGTGCCATGTTCTTCAGCCAGTGGGGAAGAGATAACGGAGACAAGAAAGTCTGCGAGATCTTCGTTCGGGACAAGGATGTTTTTCTGAATGAATTGAAGAAGGTAGGACTTCTATTCTCCTCAAAATACTTTCATAACCATCCGCCAGATTTGGTTCTATCCCAAGACGGGGTATCTCACGAATAATCAGCATTCTAAGGCCGAGGATATTGCCAAGATGCAAATCAAGCGCGACGAGTACATCCACAAACATCACCACGTCGAGAAGCCGTATATCCTCTTCTCGCGACATCACTACATGCATGAGATGGGAAAATCTAAGTACAATATCGTCATAAACTCGAAGAAGAGATTCAACGAGATGGTCATCTATCCGCAGGTCCAGGATGCGTTGATGTTCGGCACGACGCTCTCTCTTCCCCAGGCGCGGAAAATGACCAGGACAGGAAAGTTGAAGAAGCTTCAACATGAGAAGAAGGTTTCCGCGTGGGGCATTAAAGTTCCATCCGAGACCAAAGAGGACAGTACGAATCACGGCGAAAACCATTACTTCGGATAGATAAGTTAGTTAGGATTGACCAGAATTTGGTTTGACGCAGGTCGATAAAGATAGATATGCCGGGCTTCTCTAGACGAAACAGATGTTGTATTATGACTGAAAGTATCTCCTTTCATGTAAGTAGTATCAGTCGATATTAGTTCACATGGATATAAATAAGCACCCATGAATCTAGTGCAACTTGCTCCTACCCCGTGCTCTTCCTCGGCGACATGTCGCCAGCACTTTAAATGATTCTCAGCCCATTTTGAGCCTAGTATGCATCATATTTCACAGATCGAATGGCCGTGTGGGGATCTTTTCCAGGTCCAACTGCCCACGAGGTCATATCTTCTTGAGACTCCGACGCCCTTCGATGCCTTCTGTCATCTGTCAAATGAACGTTGACAGTTGAGAAGCATAGGTTTCAACTGTTCTCCTGCCCAGGCTCAAAAGATCAGCCAACGATGATTCCCCTTCATTCAACGATATGCCTACCTATCCCAAGCTCGTTACATTTGAGGTCGAGTGAGAATTGCCTTAGATCGACCTCTGTATAGGGCTTGTCATCCTGACCTACCCTCCATCCAGTGATGTGATCTGGTCCCCACCCCTCGACGACAAGAAATTCGGTAACGAAGGATGGGTCCGAGGCGATATTCGAGAGAACTTTGAATTGGTAAACCCTCGCTTGTTGAGGGATGTAATGTGCGTTGAGCATTGTGCATCGCGAAGAACGTGATGGTTGAGCCTAGCACAGGAACCACGCGAACCAGATATGGATGTCCAATGACATTCCGAAGATCATCCACGACCTCCTCTTGAACAACGTCCCGATCGCCATTGCCTCTCGAAATGCCAACAAAGATTTGTAAGCGTTTTGCTTGAACTCTCAGGTGGACCAGGAATAATGCTTTGAATATAGGTGCGACAGGGCCCTCTGGCATTTCAAAGCTCAAAATGCAAACAACGAGTGGAAACCTATCATTGAATATGTTATTTACGATGAGGTCTTCTCAGGTAAAACCTTCGACCGGCTTCTCCCTTCAAAAATCTCAAGTCTTTCTCTGACGTCTCTGATGAAAGCGCGAAAAGCGGTACATTTTAACAACATCCACGGTTATGCCGGGGGGAGTATAGCCTATTCGGACATGGTAGGATCTTCCGATATTTGATTTTATGACAAAATCCCTGACGCTACAATACTAGTTGTTCTTCGACACGCCGTTCAGCAGAGACGACGTGTATCGAGACCTCGGTGACTGACATCTTATCCACTACTGTCCCGAAGCTGACAGATCCATAGGAATTACAACCTACCTACCCAGCGACCTCAACAATGGTCTTTCCTGGATCGATTACAGCGCAGGCCTTGACTTGTGGAGGAGAAATACTGGCAATTAGGCAATTAAACTGACTGCCAATGTAGGTCGGGCCCACCGATGAATAATTATGCGCCCAGGGAATGAACCGAGTCTTCCGAAGCCGGACGAGCATGCTGTTATGGTGGATATCAATCAATCAATTCAACAGACAGTGAAAGAAGTCATTACAAAGTTGAGCCATGTTACGAGGATAAATGAGCGAGAGAGAAAGCAGCCAATACAGTAAGGGATACGGCATTACAGAGCATATGTCGTCACCAGAAGAGTGAAATCCAAAAGCAAAATATCGAATAAAGCAACGCGAAACCAGGGACATGTGAAGTTTCACAGACGATCACCCATTGGAAGAAGGGTCGGTGTCTGCCTTCTTACCCTTGCCATTTTTTTCCTGCGTCAACGAACGCCTCTGCTCAAAACAAACAAGGCATCTTCGTCTCTAGAGGGGATTCACATACCTTCGCGGCTGTTCGAGCACTGAGCCTCTCCGCCCGGCTCTGTTGCTTGGGCTCATTCTCAATCATGTCGCTTTTACGTCGTTTGCCTAATTGAGCTGGAGTCTTGACGTCCTCCATCCCGACGTCACTGGTACCAGCCTCCTCGAGCTTGTCGTCGGACTCATCTGGGGCTCTCTTTTTATGGCATCTGCGGTCAACAGAATATCGGCTTTCTCGATGCCGCAAGGTGGGAACGATGGGACGTACTTGATGGCGGTAGTAAAGGAGTTCCAATGCCGTCGTCTCACGAACTCAACGCGTCAATGATATTGCGATTGGCCGCACGCGTTTCATGCCACACTTATAGGTGACCTTTCCGATTGGGTTGGAGTGAGGCTTGGGATAGACACTCAGCGTACCTTCATCCTGGACGTGCTTGGAGGGTGAAGCCAACGAATTTGAGAAGAGTGAGAAGTAAGACATTGACAGCCCATACCTGGTAACGAAGGCCATAATCGAGCCAAATTCAGGTCTGATACAAGAATCTCAGTCTGTTGTCTCGACAGTGAAGCGAATTGCTTGCCTGCAATTCAATTATTCGTGTGGGAAGCAGGCATCCTAAGGAACGCACTCCCGATAGGGCGACGATTGTCAATACAACATTTTGAAAGGAGGAATAAATTTGGAACTTACCTGTGCGCAATCCCTACAGGCTTCACTACAATCATCTGCCGCATAGTGTGTCAAAGAGATCAGCGAACGAGTGAATACTATCGAGGAGAGGCTGGATGTTCCCCGGTCTTTGCTTGTCGATGGCCGTTATGATGGTGTCATATACGATGGTGGGTTAGATGCCTCTCGTTGTCGGAGGACTCTATCTCATAGTGTCAAATCTTTTCAGACAAGGATTCGAAGGGAGAAGTGAGTTTATAACGTACCATGAACTTCGCCCGCCGTCTCCCTCGCTGTAATTCTCAAACGCATCTTTGCCGCCTAGGGTCCAATGAGCCAAATACACCTTTCAACGCTTTCATCAACTCATCTCTAACGATCTCTGCTTGTCTAATTCGTTCTTCCACCAAGTGGATATCTTCGTTCTGAAGACGAGTTCGGCCGAGTCGACAGGTAAGGTCATCTCCCGATCCGGAAGGCGAGCTGAAGGGGTAGAAGGGGATGGCAGTGGCAGACATATCTTGATTTTCATGCCACGGTTATCCCTTGCTACCCCCGCCTCTCCCATCCCTGATGATCGTCCCTGGCGACCTAAAGAAGTCGAAGCATCTGACGACTGCGTGAGCACTCAGCAGTGAGGTTGCATATTCTATATCGTCTTCTGTACCTATGCCCTTCGCTGTTGATATATCCCATTCCCGGTCATGGAAAGTCAATCGCTCCGCCACACACCGGTGCAACTGCCTCGGGAAGTGAATTGATATTCAGGATCAAAGCTAAGGAACGATGTCTTCCGAGAGTATACTAGAGGCTAGAAGCGAGCCTAGATCAAAGCGAGTTGTGACAAATGTAATCTGCATCTTCCTTCAACCAACCACCACAAATCAGTTCACACTGCTCTGGTACATGATGAACGCATGATCTTGTTAGAATTAAGAGCGAGCGCGCAGCGCGAGTCGGGTGACGAGCGAGTAAGTACGTTGGTATACGTCGGGTTTGTCCCCTAGAGTACGTACAAAGGCGGGCAAACGCGTGAGGAGTCGACTACGTTACGCTACACTATATAGCTACTACGGGAGCCCGAAAGGTCCGAACGCGAGATAGTGGCGGCGGCGCGACCATGCAAGTTCGCTTGGCGCCCAGGATTTCAACAGATCTTTACCTCCATATGATGTCTATAAATGGTTTGCTCCTCGGATATTGGTATTGCTGTTGCGCATGTCGCGCTCTGACGTCTTGCGGTGCCGTATGAGGCTTCGCCTTGCTTAAAGTCGGCTCGCTCTTTCTGTCTTCCACTCGCAAATTTATACCGCTACAGTTGACGCCAAGGCCACTCGATGAATCTTCTGAAGCCTGCTATCAGTCGAAGCCTGGATCTAGTGAAGGAGGGTTCAGGCTGCCGGGACGCTATACCAGGATTCTTCGTCTCTAGCGCTTTCTTTTAACAAGACTTTCCATGAGGCGTGTCAAGAGGCATGTGTTCATCCTTCTCATATCCACAGCGATTGTACTGATTAGGTCGAGTGGCGTGCTCTAAGATCTTGTCTTCAACCGTTGCCGTGAGTTCGGTTTCACCGCGTGAGTCGGCGGCGACCTTAGAGGCTGTAGTCAATCACCTCTTTCTGCCTCAGAAGTCGCAGGAGGGAACTTCTCCTAACCAGGAGTCAAAAGAGCACACCCTGATGGCCCGCTTATTACTCGAGTCTGCGAGTTCCTATGTCAAGCTGCTCGAAGATCATAGTGATATCCGGAATTCGGCCTTACGGATTCTGCAAGCAGTCAGGGAGCATGTCGATCCTCCGCTAGAGAAGTTTTGGCCTTAAGGGCAGATACCCTTGATGAAAAACGGTGGCAAGGCTCGAGATATGGTAGCTCATTCATGCCGTGGCGAAGGTCGCCGCTCTGGTTGGTCTCGCATGTCGCTCTACAGACGACGTGGCACACTCGAGATGAGTACAAGTGCCTCATCATGTACCATTTAGCGAGAGTACTGGAAGAGGCGTTGAAACGCCACTTCTCCTGTGACTCGCTATTTGTTATGCGAGCAAAGATTGCCCAGTAAGACATACAAATAGACGACGTTTTGCTCACCAGGAGAATGCGCTCGTCAAATTCGCAGAACTGTACCGGGACCAGAAGTATGTCTTATTTGTATGCAGGAATTGTCTCGTTGACTGTATAACCCCGATTCATAGGAACGCACAAGGTGTTGCAGAAGTCATCAACATGTCCCGGTCATTCATGTCTTCAACGGCAAAGGCCAAGACCGCGAAACTCAGTACGCATTTGACTGAAAGTCTTCTTGCACGCATATTGACTGCTGGATAATTCGACCACTCCTTGATTTCTTCACGACTATACCCGACAGTCAACATATCCAAATGGAAGTCCTGAAAAGCAACATCGACTGGGCGAAGAAGGAGAAGCGGATATTCCTCAAACACAGTCTTGAGACAAGATTAGTTGCACTGTTAGTCAATATGACATATTTTCTATATGCATGCGAATAGGCAACTCGAAGCACAACAGTACAAACCAGCCTTAGCTCTCATTGATTCACTCTTAACGGAGCTGAAACGGTTAGACGATAAGATGATTCTCACCGAGGTCCATCTGCTGGAACGTCGAGTATATCGAGGTGTTGGCAACTTGGCAAAGGCGAAGGTACAGCTCTTCAATTCATTCGTCTTCGACCTGGATTCACGGAATTTGTAGGCTGCCCTCACATCTGCTTGAACTGCCGCCAATTCGATATACTGCTCACCACACCTGCAAGCCCAACTTAATCTGCAATCGGGTATCCTACATGCAGAGGACAGTATGCGTGCAATCGTCCGGGCGCATCAGAAACGCAATTTGGCGGATTTCGAGAAAGCTCTGAAAGACTACCAGAAAGGTAAACATTCACTTCTTAATTGTTTCATTCCGACGAAACGCCTCGTCTAAACCTATTCCGCTACCTTTCAGAGCTTTCTTCTGACCCGACAATCCGAACCCATCTATCAGCACTCTACGACACCTTGCTCGAACAGAACCTTCTTCGAATCGTAGAGCCTTACTCGGTCGTCGAGGTCGAATATGTGGCTCAACAAGTTGGTCAAGGGCGACAAGCTGTCGAACTCGAGTATGTCTACGTTTGGAAGTGCTCTATTTGTTGTATTGCTGACAAGGTGGTAATAGACTTTCGCAAATGATCCTGGATAAGGTTTTCCATGGTGTCCTTGATCAGGGCCGTGGGTGTCTGCTCGTATTTGACAAACCACAGGAAGACGTACGTGAACAATGTCTATTTATCGTTTGTTTGCATATAGCTCATCGCTGGCTTTGCATTGTCGTTACCTTACAGAACACCTATGGAGCCGCCATTCAAACACTAGAACAAGTGGGCAAAGTTGTAGATTCGTTGTATGCCAAGGTGAGTTCTATCATTCGTCTTCTATCGTCACTCTCGGTTCACATGCGTGAATAGACGGTAAAGATTGCGTAGTCCTACCCGCATAGACGTTATATTGTATCCATATTATGGATTCTACATCTTCCCTTTCGAACTTTGGTTAGGTGTATGAACCGCATAAATGCTCCTCTATTTGCCTTTAGAGCCTGAAGTCTTTGATGGAAGTATCCAGACCTATCTGTCCACTGTCTATTCCGTGAAGGACAGCCTAGCTTTGCTAGTCTTAGAATTGGGCGTGTTTCTTTCAAGGTCACGCTGAAGTGCACTTCTGTGAACTAGGACAGCGAGTCGTATAAGAACAACTGTCAATGAAGAAGACTTGATCAGAGCCTCTACTAAATTTCAAAATTTCACGTATGCTTAGGTTTTCATATGCAGGTTGAGATACTATCTTCTGTGTGGTGGTTATAAGACTTAAAAAAAAGTCATTGCAACACGCAGCAGGCGGATAGTTGAAGTTACCGACCGAATCGGCGGGCGCTTCTGTTCACCTATCGATTGAACTTGGACCCACAACAGTGAAACTTATTATCTCTATGTTTCGAATGGGCTATCAATTCACCATTGCCACTCTAAGCAACTTTTTAGCGGAAAGTGGCCTTAATTCTCGTCATCAGGTTGTGCGATGCTGAAAGAGTGCTTTAGATCGATCATCACGTCGTCCTCGGTCATATTGAAAGGATTCAAGGAGCATTAGAATATTAATGGAAAACAAGGCGTCAAGTATAATCGTGTCAATCACTATGCAGTGTAACGCTGAAAACCACGAGGCACACAGTATACATCAGGAGAACCGCTTCAGCTGTCTTTTAAACCACAATGGGGAAAAAGCGCAAAACCAAGTCAACTCCCGCAGAAACTGTTACTATGCCTCGAACAATTGACGATCCTTTCCTGGCCGCTATAGATCATTTGTTCATGCCGCCGTACCTCCCCCAAGAGGCCCCTAACGAAACCACGCAGCGTTTGGTCAGTGTTACGATCGCCCAGATCAGTTTGGAAGCCGCGCAGTGCTATGCCCAACGTTTGTATGGTTTCGATGGACAGATCCGTTGGTCTCACATCGTCAAGATGATCGGACACGTTACCAAAAATGCCCGTAATTCTCTCGACAAGGAACAGATCCTACAGGATCTCACTAATATGGAGATTGGAGGTGAGTTCGCCTTCGAAGCCGGGGCATGCTTTCCTTCTAATTCAACCTCAACACATCTTAGATGTACTTGCGTTCCACATTGAAGCACAGAACGCTGGTCTGATCATACGCCGTAAGGCGACCACGGTTGTCTTTGAGGTCTTCGAGGTCTCTCCTAGGAATGCGGCGGTCATAGGTACCACAGGAAAGCTGATTTGCTCCTTCCCCGGCCCTGCCGTTCAAATTCCGGAACAGAAGTTTGTTGTCCGAACATTTCAAGAAGAGCTTTCCTCCTTTCTCGCACAGATGGATGTTGATATCTTGGACTCAGCGCCTACAACGAGGAAAGCCGGAAGTACTGTACACGAGGTTCGTGACACCGCGGATCCAATGTACATCTCACAGCTACTCGTTGGAATCCTTCGTGGGATGGGCTCCTCGGTGGACATACAGCGGATCACGAAACGGATTGGCGACGATGTGCTCTGGAAAGATGCGTACTTGCCATGGCGCCGAGCGCCGTTATGGCTCGTCATTCGGGTGGCGTTGCAGACAAGCCTAGTATCCCGAGAGGAATACAAGGAATTTATGGTCTTTCTGATGGCTAGGACATTGAAGGCTGCTGTAGAGAAGGGATATTCCAGCGAGCTCCTTTCCACAATGAGAGCGAAGGTCGCTCAGAGATTTTACAAACTCTCTGAGACACCTACGCTTCCATTTGTTGACACTGCCGTAGAGGGAGCTGTGGATACGGCCGGAAGATTGCTTCAAGAAAGATGGGATGAAGTACAACAACAGCAGGTGCAATCGCAGTCATGGGATTCAGCAAGTCTCGACTACAAGTCGGCGACAGTAATGACATTGCTGAACTCCGGCCCTTATATCGAACGGGCTTTGAGGCGTAACGTCAGCCCGCCTGTGCTTCGAGCATTCTCGCCTGCTGAACATGCCCGCCTCAGGGACATGTGTCAATTCAGTCCCTACAGCGATGGCGGGCTCACATCAGCATTTGATCGAAATCAATCTCTCGCGTTGATGGATTTCGAGGAGTCCGTTCAGACGCATTTGGATCGCTGGACGTCTGACAATCTGGACAATGATCAAGCCATAAGAATCCTATCCTCTTGTCTGGATCAGTATCATCAGCTTGCCCGATTGGAGTATAATAAGAACCCGGAAGAGGAATCTGTCATGATCCTCACCATCATGCAGCTTTGGGTTGCTCTGGATAAAATGGCAACTCATCGGTGTACTTTGCTTTTGGAGTTTTCACCCGAGATTCCACCAAAGTTCCTGAATCCTCTGCTCCTCAGGCGAAGCTCGTCGATCCGTCATGCCAATATTATCGAGCAATACCTTCATCGTCGGCACTCTGCAACTAAATCACATCGTCCCTCGATTTTTACTGATAACTTTACGGCATCGTCATTCGCTGTGTCATTCTTCAAAACTCGTTCAGAAATGGCGTCGATCAAGGCTCACATTGAATCTGTGGCGCGGAAAGCTCGAACTGCGAAAGAGAAAGAACTGGCAAAGCTCAATGACACGCACGCACGCCTTGTCTCTCGGGCAGAACAACTTAGTCACGAGAAAATGTGGGTGACTGATGATTGGACTGGGAAGACGCGTAAAGAGCACGTTGATACTTGCCAGAAATGTGAATTGGAGAAGCAAGCAAACAGCCTGTCGATTGCCGTCCACGAGTGGCCATTGCCTCGGGACCAATGCAAAGCGGAAATGGTTGTCTTTGAACTAGCTTGCCCGCTCGAGTTCCACATCTGGCGCGATGTCACATTCAAAATTCTTCGAGATATTGGTGTCGCATCGAGACCGACATCTACAACTGCCCACGTCATACTCGAAAGCTATGAAGATCTGCGCAAGTGGTCGCAAGGGAAGACAAAACGTGTGACCATCGCATCAACCACAAAGCGGTTCACTCAGTCACATTATAAGTCGTGCCGTATACCAACTACTGCATCTCGGGTGAGCGTCAACAATGGCTTGACGTACCGTCTTTTCGATACTGGAAACCGGATATGGACGGCAGGATCTTATCAACAGACAAGCCTAAAATCTTACGGTACATATCAAGCTCCTGACCGGAGTATCTATCTCTATCAGTGGCACGCACTGGAAACGACTACACATACTTCTAACGAAGTGCTAGCAACCCAAAATAACTGCCCGAGTACTATGAGCTTGCACGAACACGTCGCTTTTGGAACATTGCGAAGTGGTGGTCGCTTGCAATGGATGAACATTGCACGTGAGATGACTGCGAACGCGTTATCATTCGGTCGCGAGGAAATCCGTTTGCTCCTCATGCAGGCGGCATGTGAGCTCGGTCCTTCCGGGATTGGACTTGATGGCCATGTCACAGGAAGAGATTGGCACGTTGATTTGGAAGGCGACGGGTTCTGTGCCTCTTTACTGAGTTCACTAGAAGATATGCTGAACAGCGTTTCCTCGAATTGGAGTGAGTGTGTGACCGTAGGGACAATTGGTGCGTTAATTCTCATTTTTCGCTAACTAATGTTTACGACTGCGCCCGCTTTAGTGTCACTTACATCGCGTATCCTTGCGGCTCAGCAAGTGAACTCCCTCGTCGCTACTCAGGCGTATCAGCTACTGAACAACGCGGCTTGCGTGACATACAAATGGGTGCACGACTTAACGGCTCTTCTGCAAGCGACCGTTGAGGAATCACAAGTCCTCGAGTATGCTGAGCAACTATATGCGGTGGCAGTAACGTGCCGAAGTGCTTTTGATATCGATCCAGATCACCTACAATTTGTCCTTCGCACTCCAGAGTCTATTGCTATTGTGCTCCACTGTGCAATTGTGACACATGACAACCGACCTAATACCCCCACTCAAGCTTCGGCTCATCTTCAAAGGCTACTTGCACGCGATCGTCGTCTGTCTCACAGCCTCGAAGAGTTCTTGAATACTCATCTCCGGTTTACTACTGCCGGCCTCGACCTCGCTATTCGAGAGGTTTGGCTTGGCTACCATCGGGGCGGCTCACCATGGACTCAGGCAGAGGCGTCGAATACTCGTTGGTGGAGTTGTGCTGGTAGCGAGGGTTTCCCTCAGATACACTTCAATCTCCTGGATGGTATGTTACTCGTGAATGGCAAACCGCTTAGTCGACTGCCGAAGGCGATTGTTACACACCGGACCTTCCATCGGATTTTTGGACAGGTAAGTCAGTTGCGCACTTGACCGAATTTGTATTGATTCTGTTTGCAGCGAATACTGGACGTTGTTCCCGCAGCAGTTCCATCCATGGAATTCACAATCCGTGAGAGTTTTGGCGGATACCAGGTATTTTGATGACCAAGACAAATCTGTTCTTACATGAGCTGATGCAGTATTAGGTACACCTTGCAATCATACAAGATCATCTCGTGATACAATCCCAGAACCTGGACAATAATGAGACGTTGGAACTCATTCCTCATGCCATCCTTTCTGCTGATCTCCCAGAACCCCTCACACGCGACTATACACATTGGCTGAATCTCACAACTGGAGATATTGAGTTTCGTCCTCTGTCGGCGATGTGGCGGTCCAGCAAGGATAATTGGACTCTCAATTTTCTCCGGTCAAGAAGAATGGTTCTTCCCGGAGATTCAGCATCGACATATATGGTTGACATGTATAGCAATGTCTTTTCCAAGTTGTCACTATGTTTGCGGCCTTTGGACTCTCCACAGCATATCATCATCACGTATTCCGAGTCACCGTCATCCCAGGAAGTACTGGTCCGCCTCTCTCGATTCAATCTCTCGTTCTTTTTGAACAGCGCTGATCAACTGGAATCTCGGGAGCTTCGAGGAAAGGTCGTCGATGATAACCAGTCATCTGGGGCGATGTTTGGTTTGGAAAATCAGCTTATCCTGCATCCTGCTGATGTCACAGCTCGTATGCTACCTGGATCACGACAAATCATAATTCCTTGGGGAGAAGTCGAAGTGGCTCGTTCAGGTTCTTCCCATCATGTGTCAGTGCACGTCAACACAGGAGTCACCAACCGAGTTCCATATCATGTATTCTCAGTGAACAACAATCTGCGTTGCCTTACAGGGGCTGGAGGTTTGACAGGTTGGCTATACATGATCTACCTACATGCCGTTACAAGCCACTGTCTTCCGGATCCTCTTACAGGCCGTACCGGAACAGAGGAGGCACTGTATTGTTTAGAAAATGCTCGATCTTTCTCCTTCATGCACTTGGAAGTGACAGATGTTCTTCTGTTAAGAAAGATTTTTGAACTGACGCCACCACGAGCATACTACCCGGTGCATCTGCGGTCTATGCAAACTGTGCACTGGTCAAATGACCTGCCGTCTACGGCTCAGCACCATGAATTCTCTTCCAGAGTAGAAGCTATTCTGGCCCACTTCAAATGTTTCCAGGTATTCCATGGCGAAACAAACTCCCTGCAACTCACTGATACTCCGTGCGATCTTCTGCGACGTGCGGCCTGCCGGGACAATTCACGTTACACCAAGAATACAGAACCAGTCTTTACTTGGGAGGACACCTGCCACAAAAGCCGCGATGTACTCTCTGAAGGAGGTTCTGTTCGAGAACAGGTCTCCTTTCGGGTGTCCCGCTTCGTCCAGTATGACCGAGAGCAACTTGCACAATTCTCACAACCTTTGTGGGAGCGCATCTCCTCGTGGGGTCAGATCGGTGACCCACCAACTGCGGATACTATAAAGTCGCTCTCGTACACCAGGGTGTGGTTGTCCATCAACCTTGCAGGAAACTGGATGATACTCAATCATCTCTGTCATTCCACAAGTCTCAGTGATGAACATTGGAGGCACAAATTCGCCTTCAGCCTCCCAGCCATGGTGTTCGCTAACAAGCAACTTGAGTATGTGGCCCACGTTCTACTAGCTCTTGCTACCAATGATCGCGCTCGTACCATTGATGTACCAACGGCAACGTCATACCAGCTGACTGATGGGTTTGAACCGAATCGACAGACCACCCATACACTAATCAAGAGGACCACCCTGAGTCTCGACAGCACACCTGCGTCTCAGCTGGAGCGCTCTCAGAATGAGTCCGGACAACAATATAGCGCCAGGAAGACAAAGTACTATCGTGGTCAAACCGTTTCAGCTGTGGCAGAGTTGACTAGCATTTTGCTGTCGCAGCAATCCATGGCACAATTCAGACCAAGACCATCCAGCAACTCTGGCCAATGGTTAAATGTGTCTACAGCACTCTCTGCTGTTCGGGCGTATTTCAGGAGCTGCGCTAACAATACGCAACTCAAAGATTATCTCCATGCTCTTCAGATTGCGCTACGGTCTGCGGATGATGTTACAACAGTGATCGGGCAACATGAATTATCTGATTGTTATACCTTTGATCCGATGTACGAGGTACACCAAGTATGCCATCCTCCGTCCCTGAATGTGCTCTTTCATCGCCGACCCATGCGGTTAAGGAATGATGCCGAACCCCCCTGTGTATTTCAGTTTTCTCCCACCGGCACACATGTGTATTCAAAGACAACCGATACCAGGCAATTGACGCACCTCTTGGAAGATTTTCGGCGAAGCAATCCACACCCACTGCATAAGGCGTACGAAGATGACTTATGGACCAGCTGCGAGGCGTTCAATAGGAAAGCAGATTTTGTCCAGCCAATGCAGCTTCCAGAAATCTCCTCATTGGAACAGTATCTTGATGCATGTAGTACGCGATGCAGCAGTATCTTGGCTCAGATGCAGGAGGCGTTATCGGGCCGCCACCTCCATGCAGATGTCCTCCTGAAATGCAAGTTTTGGACAGATCTTTCTCCTCGGTCGCTCTTGCAACAGCTGAACTTGAAGAATCGACAGTCCCTGTCCCTTGCATGGCGTGATACCCTCACGAGCTATGCTCATTCTATGATTGAACTGCAACGAGCGCAACGGCTCATAGGATTCCATCTACAAGGGAAGCTAGATGATTTTACCAAAGAAGCCGAGAACCACATTTTCGACAGAAATAATGCACGGTGCCATCCGGACTGGCTTCTCATACAGGTATGTCTCTGTGTATATGATTGATGTATCTTCGCGGTACTGACTGGATATTCAGATCGAGAGCAACTTCTTTGTGAGGCCTTTGCAAAAGGAAGTCGCGCACGAAATGACAGCGCCGCAATCGGGAGAGAATTCCGTCCTCCAATTGAACATGGGCGAGGGCAAATCGTCCGTCATTGTACCTATTGTGGCATTGACACTTGCGAATGGCGAGAAACTCGTGCAGATCATCGTACTCAAGGCACTGTCAAGACAGATGTTTCAGCTTCTCGTAGAACGCCTCACGGGCCTTTGTGACCGGCGAGTCCTATATATGCCATTTTCTCGAAACCTGAAGGTGGACGTTGCTCACGTCAATCAAATACATAGCCTGTACGTGCAGTGCATGAAGGAAGGAGGTGTCTAGTCATACAACCGGAGCACATTCTCTCCTTCAAGTTGATTGGTATTGACCACATGACATCAACCCTTCCAGGAAAGACTGGCCTGACCGGCGCACTACAATCCTGGATGAGAGTGATGAAATCCTGCATGTGCGTTATCAGCTTCTTTACACGATCGGGCAGCAACAGCCGATCGAGGACCATCCAGATCGATGGCGCACAATACAGCATGTATTGCACCTGGTCCATAAACATGCTCCTGCTTTGAAACAACGGTGGCCAGACGAAGTCGAAGTGGACATGGATGGAAGAGGCACCTTCCCGACCATTCGCATCTTCGGTATTTCAGCCGGAGTAGAACTCACTCGCATGATTACCGAAGACGTCATGAAGAACACCATCCCAGGGTTGGTATTCGCTGTTGCACCTGCAGGTCTGCGTCTTCTTGCCCGCAGCTTTATCATCGACAAGGACATACGCATCAGTGACTATGCTCTACTGAAAGGCTTTTTCAGTAGGATCGGGAGCTGGACAACCCTACTTCTACTTCGGGGCTTGTTGGCTGGCGGTATTTTGCAGTATGCGTTAGCGGAACGTCGCTGGAGAGTTGACTATGGGCACGACTTTCAACGGTCTTTACTAGCAGTACCTTACCGTGCCAAGGTATGTTTGTTCAGGAACAATATGGCATAAATGATTGAGTCTAAGTTATGCCTGGCAGGATGTTCCAAGTCTCCGTGCAGAGTTCGGTCATCCTGACGTCGCATTGGTGCTAACCTGCTTGAGCTATTATTACGCCGGTCTCACTTCAACCCAACTCCGACAATGCTTTGAGCTCCTGTATAAACTCGACAACCCACCTCTTGAGTACGCGTCGTGGGCACGCCAAGGTCATCAAATTCCAGACTCCCTTCAGAGACTGTCCGGAGTTAATCCTGACGACGCGCAGCAATTCACTCGCATGATTGCTCCTCTTTTCGCAAACAACGCAGCGGTCGCAGATTTCTTCCTGTCGCAAGTAGTTTTCCCGAAGGAAGCAAAGGAATTCCCCTACAAACTCGCTACCTCCAGCTGGGATCTTTGCGAAAGAAGCACGCATGTTACAACGGGTTTTAGCGGAACCAACGACAATCGGTTCTTATTGCCTACCAGCATAGCTCAGAATGACCCTGCTAATCAGCTCAGTACAAATGCACAGGTATTGGCGTACCTTCTACGGCCAGAGAACTCCACCTATGTTTGTCTCAAAGGGAGAAATGGCGAACCTTACTCGGCGCGTGAATTCCTGCAAGTACTGAATACGGAATACTCTGCAGTGCGGATCTTGTTGGATGTTGGTGCACAGATGCTGGAGTTTGACAACAGAAGCCTTGTCCAAAACTGGCTAGTCCTGCGCTCAGACGTATCAGCAGCTGTGTTCTTTAGTGAGTCGGATGCACTCACAGTATTGACACGGGACGGGAGAGAGGAGCCATTCCAATCGTCTGCCTTCAAGGATCAATTGGACGATTGTATTGTTTACCTAGACGACGCTCACACACGTGGAACAGATCTCAAATTACCTCGAGATGCCCGAGCAGCAGTCACTCTCGGACCTAAGATGACAAAGGACCGTCTCCTTCAAGGTATGAATGTAGTACCTAATCTTGAACTCGATTACTGAGATTTTGCATCAAGGTTGTATGCGAATGCGAAAACTCGGTCACGGCCAATCATTAATGTTTTGTGCACCTCCAGAGGTCGATCGTCGGATCAGGAAAGCTAGTAAGCAACCTGACAATCATCCTGGCGTTGCAAATGTCCTGCAATGGACTATGATGGAGACCCTGAACGACATCGAGCATCACATTCCGCAATGGGCACAGCAAGGTGTCGATCATGACCGACGTCAAAGAGCTTATGAGGAATATTCTGTCTCGCGAGATGTGGGCAGCTTGAGGAATGCTTGGAGGCGGCCGGAAGCGAAGACACTGGAGGAGCTGTACGGCATTAAGGGGAATAGTGCTTCGACCCTGGATAGTGACCATCCGACGTTCCAAATACCTGCTATCCGTGAAAGATTGGAATCTCTCGGATTTACCACACTTTCTGACACCAGTATGAATGAAGAACAGGAGCGCGAAGTCAATCACGAATTGGAACTCGAACGTGAGGTCGAGCGTCCACCCAGAGTCGAACCTGCATTGCACCGTTTGCATGCTGACGTCGTCCAATTCGTCGAATCTGGCTCAATACCACATCAGTCTCCACAATTTGTCCTAGTCTCGAGACTGTTCCCGTTCACACTCCCCGCATGGTCTGACAAGCTCTACGTTACCCGAGATTTCGTCCGAACAGTTGACGGTTTCTCAAGTGAACTCCACGACTACATGCGCCCCGTCAACTGGGTGGTGTCTGCATCAGCAAACGGCAACCAAGTGTTCGTGCTAATGAGCCCCTACGAGATCAACAAACTTCTTCCCAGTATTCGAGTTTCAAATGCGGTTCATCTCCACATCTATACGTCTCGGGTCACAGAGTGGATGAAACCTCGTTCAGACCTCTCCTTATACACCGTCCCTAGAATTCAAGCAAGAACTGTCAACATTCCATTGCAAATCCAGGTGCAGCTCAACTTGTTCGCCGGACAGCTATACGTCGATGACGATGGGATGTACAAGGAAGTTGAACGTTTGCTCAATATCCGGCGGATGGAAATTGATGGACAAGCGGAGATCAAATGCGAGCAGCAGATACTGGACGCGTTCAAGAAGTTGGTAAGCTTGAGAAGGAAGGGAATGGGCTATATGGCAACACACATGGGGAAGATCCTACATTTTCAACCGCTGACCGACGAAGATTTTTCTTAGAAGCTTGAAGTATCTGCTGAGCGCTGAAAGGTTACCAGGTTAAGGTCTTGTATAGACATCATTCACGTTCGTTCTCACCATTACTAGAAATACCAACGTCGAAAGTCAATCCATTCTTGTTTCTGAATCTACAGTGAATATTTCTTGCTTTCAATCTGTATAATCTGTTGTAACATACGCACTTGAATCTCTTACCGCGTTGACTGTTTATCGGGACCTTGACAGACTTGAAGGCGACAAAAGGTCTACAGGAAAACATTGTAACTTAGCACGTTCGATGTGAACTGCCAGAGAGGACCGAGTGGGCCGGCATACGGGCCGAGCCAGGACCACCAAACAGTAAGTAGTTCTGACCGTACCTCCTGGAGACTCTTCATGTAGAGTGACAGCACCCTATGGAGAGTATCTTGTCTCTGTCGCACCTTAAGATACAAGGTGTGTATATTTTTTTTGCTCGAAAGAACTCTCCTGCTGCTGATACTTTAAATACAGGACACTCGACTGAGTGGGTGTCCAGCGCCAGGTTTGATATCCACCACTGGCAACGTATTGCACGCGTGCAACCTGCTCACTCTTGCAGAAAATTTCTTGACGGCGAATGTATCGAAGAGTGTCGTGATATACGCACTCTGACGAAGTTGGCTCTTCATGCCACTGCCTGGTGGGCTCGCCTCAAGGGCGCGTTTACCTTAGATATATTCCCAGAGCACTTTTACGAGTAACGGTAAGCACAAACGCACAAGGCTTGAGAGGATTCGGTTCGATGCTACAGAGTGTGTCTACTTACAGACTACCAGAACCGACTGCTCTTACCTATGTTTTTTGTCCCCAATTTATTGTCGTCCCCGAGGGCCGCGCCCTATGTTAGACAATACAAACAACTATTCAAGTTCTATGAACTCACAGGGGGAATCCTACCTATCTTGGAACATCGTTAGTAGCCTGGACCCGTCGCCTTCGTTGCAACGGACCCAGGTTCTCTACAGGTACTAGTAATTGTACCAAGTGTTTTTTTTGGGACGCGTGAGGATATATTCTATTTTTCTGCTCTGGAATATTTATCAGCTAACCGGTAGCGTTCCAGACTACGCAAAGAGAACTCGAACGTCCTTACTATATGCAGGATACAATAGTCACTATTCGCTGATAGCTTCCATGAATCAGCTCGATCACAAGCAACTATCTGTGCCCGATAATACCGATCCTTGAAAAGGGCCAGAACTCCGCACTAATGGTGATAGATTCGCACTTATCCTATCTCTTGGGTCCTCTGGATCTTCTGGCGAGACCAAGATCACAGCTGTCTACCCTCCCCGAGAACTGATGCAATTTTGCATGTTATTGTTTCGGACCCCCGAACCTCTTCCAGCCCTTAGGACAATGAGGATGAATCTCATCATTTCCCATTCAGATCTTCGAATGAAGATTGAAATTTGTTCGAGGGAGCGGACGGTCGGGGTATACAGAGGTTCGTTGTTGAAATATATTTGTGGGACATGACTGAGCTCGTTGATTATAGCGACATCTGTCAACTTACACTAGACATATTTATAGGATCTACCCCACAGGTACACGAAGAAGGTCACCTATTTCATACACCCTCTTCGCTGCGCAACCAACGCTTTTCACTCGTTAATTTCCGTTGGCGCGTTTCTCGATGCTCGAAGTACTCTTAAGTCCGCTCATGCCGACATATTCTAGACCGTCGTCTTTGAATAGATGATATCGTGCGTTCAGACTTCGCGTGGCGTAGGCTTTTCTCCCATCTCATCGCTACCGAGTTGCTGAGATCTAATAACTGTTACTAAATGGACCAGCTTCTCGTCTTCATCATGGGCCATTGCTACTATTGGGTGCCTTATGACAAGTCCTGTATGACGCTCTTAAATTGGAGTCTGGACCGCTGGTACGATCCTTGCTTTTGGACATCCAATCACGTCGATTGGCTGGTCGATCATTAGATCTAACTGTCAGGGCGTCCGAGTCTAATCCGGGAAATCTGGCCACCGGGTACCCTACATTCTTGCGCAAGAACGTCGGACAAAGTATCGTGGAGTTGGCGACTGTGCATGAAGTCAGAGACTCTCACAGTCTACTTCCTGGCATGCATGTCGTTGATTCTGGGGCACTCTCACAAAATGTGTCAGTGTTTGACAGAAGTCGGACCGAGTTTGCAAGCGTTGGGGGGTTCAGTTAGACGAAGGTGGCACTTCTCTGAATGATAAGAGTGGAGCTGTCAGAACTTCGGTACCATTGTAGAAGAGGGCAGTTTCGATTCCCAGATTGCATGAGTGAACGTATGCGATACACGTTCTCTATTGTACAGCGGAGAGCGATAGGGAGAGCTATGTACATAGTGCGATCCAAGCAGCGAATTGAAGCAGGGACTCTCAGCAAAGGGAGATGGATCGGGGTCTAGGCATGCATAGACCGAGTGCCTGGGATTCGAGACCAAGAATGGCGTTAGAGGGCAGAAAGCGATCAGAGAGCGACGGGAGAGGCTGAGATTCGAGACTTTCGGGCGGAGAAAGGCTGGAACGGAAGCATGCGATCTAGACTTTTCTCATCCATGTTATACGAAACGTTTCGTCTTGAGCAAGAGTTAGGTCGAATGGCTGAGAGTGAGATTCATACTGTACGCGTTGGCGAGAAAGAGGGCATATTTGAGAGGGCAGAGAGATGGATGGCGGATAGCAAGCGGAAGGAGGAGCCGATGAGAATAGGGTTAGACCGATAAAGACATGTGGTGTTGCACCTTTCCTCCGTCCGTCCACGAATTGCGACCATTCACGATTCACGACGAGAGGTTGTTGCTTCAGAGCCACGTCCGATTTGTTTTTTCATCTCCAACACGGCTTTAACGTCGGTTGTTTCACCAAACGGGCTACATTCTGGACCCTGCGCATGCCACCATGGACCATTCCAGTCGCTACTCTTCCTCCTCATCTCAACAACGCCTTTTTCAATCCCAACAACTCCCTCCGCCTCATCAGCTTCCTTCCTACGCAGCCTCCTTCTCTCGCTCAAATGTCCTTCCCCCGATATCCCAGATTCCATCCTCGGGAAGATATCCGCCACCGTCATACTCGCATCCTTCCTTGAGCAATACAGCGCCTGCTCCCGTTCTTCCCGGCTCTTCACACCTTCCCTTTTCTACCCACAGAACCTCAAGCTCGAGAGATGAACTTCCCCAGATCTCCCCTCCCCTGCGCCATTCCGATTCACGATCCAGCTTCCGCGACCGCGTCGAGTCTCCTCGCGAGTCGCACCATCCGCGACAGCCCCCACCCCAGTCCGAACCAGTACAGATGAAGCAGGAGGTGGACGATAACATGCCCGCCACCAGTGACTTTGTCAAGAAGCTTTACAAGTGCGTTCTTGCTTACTCGCTCCCTGTATGCGTACTGATCTGTCCTAGAATGCTCGAAGACAAGTCCTTTTCGCATGTCGTCTGCTGGGGTCCTCAGGGCGACAACTTTGTGGTCAAGGACATGAACGACTTCACCAAGACCATTCTTCCACGCATGTTCAAGCACTCCAATTTTGCGTCCTTTGTTCGTCAGCTTAACAAGTATGACTTTCACAAGGTCAAGAACACTGATGACAACCAGTACGGCGAACATGTATGTCTTTTTACAACTCCATTCTCACCTTTAGAGCTCACGCTTTGCAGAGCTGGACGTTCAAGCACCCCGACTTCCGTGCCGATCGACGCGATGCTCTGGAAAACATCAAGCGCAAAGTCCCCGCCGCACGCAAGTCCACCGGTAGTGTTGCTGCTCGCGGTGCCAACTCGCCTACACCATCTGCGCCGAGTGCTTCAGTAGATGCCATACAAGCCCAGATGGATCGCATGCAGAGGACGCAAGACGAGATGGCTACCCATATAAGCAACCTCGAACGAAATTACCAAAACGTGCTCAACGAGATGGTCAACTTTCAGAGGAATATGGCACAGCAGGACGGGTTGATGCAGAACCTTATTCAATACTTTTTGCAACTGGAAAACGGTAATTACTAGTTTTTTATATTTCACCCGAAATCCATCTGTCGCGTCGGCTCTTGTGATTTGTTCGCTAATTCTGCTTCAGGACGAACGAAAGCGGAGGACCTCTCATCACATGCAACTCAACAAGGCTTTGCGTCCGACCCCAACCCCTTCCTCCCCGTCACAGAGGCCCAAAGAATCATGGGCGGCGCGTATCCCGACGCCGACGACCTTGCGCGTGCTTCCCTAGCTCAGATGAACGAAATATCCAGACGCGCTGAAGTGGCCGGAATGACATTCTCTACTGAGCCCCAGCCGAGTCAGAACCACATGAACGGTTCTGCGCCCAGTTCATCGAGGCAGAATGGGAACGCGGAGGGAAGACCATCGAGTAGTATGGGTAGAATCATGGAAGCTGCGATAGGACTTTTACAAACTGACGACACGCCTGTCCGACCCATGAGTCGACAAGATGCACTTGCGAGGATCGAAGAGTTGACTCGGAACCGACCTGCCTCCGCACAAGGTCTTGCGCAGCCTCCTCAGCCTGCTCCAGATATCGGACCATCCAATACAGCATACGAAAACGAGACGTTTGGTCATATACTCAACCCCATTGAACCCCCAGCGCAGCCGCAACCCTCTCCGAGCGAGGTCCATCCGGATTTACGATATGGCGTACCTATGAGCCATGGTTCACTCTCGCATGAGGGTTTGCAGGTGTTCACTGTCGGACATCTGATGCCCAAGTCGAATATTGAAGACGCTAACGGGAACTGGAGTTTCGACCCGAACTCGTTGAACGCCATGGTTATGCCTACGCCACAAGGTATGGGCGGGGACCCCCCACAAGAAAGTGAACGCCAGACCCAAAATCCGCTCTCCATCGCCGAACTCACTTCACCTACGCCTTCACCCTCACCCTCACCTTCGTCTTCACGAACTGCTTCAACCGGACGTCCTGGAAGCGCGCAGACATTACGTGTCAGGCGTAGTACATACGTTCCTGGATGGGCTGTTCCCCCTAGAGTGTTGCTTGTGGATGATGATGTGGTTAGCAGAAAGTTGAGTAGTAAGTTCTTGCAGATCTTTGGGTGTACGATCGACGTTGCTGTCGATGGTGTTGGCGCGGTTGAGAGGATGAATTTGGAGCGGTATGATTTGGTGCTTATGGTGCGTTTCCGTCTGCTTCCTTTGCGGCTTCTTTTCTTTATTGACCTGGAATCGTTGTATATATAGGATATCGTAATGCCGAAGCTGGACGGTGTATCAGCTACATCGTTGATTCGACGGTTCGACCATATGACACCTATCATCTCGATGACTTCGAATTCCAGGCCGGCAGAGATCCTCAAGTACTACTCATCGGGCATGAACGATATTCTGCCCAAGCCGTTCACCAAGGACGGTCTTTTCGATATGCTCGAGGTTCGCATGTCGCGCTACTCGTAATGACACACACACTATATTCACTCATACATATCTTTACAGAAACATCTCATGCACCTTAAAGTCATCCAAACCATGTCCAAAGTCCCTCGCTCAATCGGCGTACCACCACTCTCCGACGCGTCTTTCGACCAGGCGCTTGCAGTCCAAGCATCCACCATGGTATCCTCCCTTGATCCTTCCTCGTCTACCTCCACAGCCGGCTCATCCTCAACGAACCTCACCAACCCGTCCAACGTCATGAACGCCGGCGGATTCTCGTTCTCATTAGGGGACGATGATGGGAAGATTAACCCGTTGGCGGGTATGGGTCTGACGGATGAACAGTATTCGATGATCCTTCAAAACCTGGTTAGTGGCGAGACTTTCATGGGTATCGGAAGTTCGTTGGATGGGATGGGTATGGGTGCTATGGGCATGGGTATGAATGGTATGGGTATGGCCGGTGGAATGACTGGTATGGGTGTCGGTGTCGGTGTTGGGATGAGCATGGGTGGGGATGGGTTGAAGAGAGGATTAGATGATGTTGGTGATGGAAGGGATGGGAAGAGGGGGAGGTTTGAAGTGATCGAGTAAGTTGATCAGATCGTACGTCGTCACAACCCTCGGCCAGGCCTCTACGTTCTCTCCCTACAATATATCCATAAAGTTTCGATTTGTACAAACTGAACTCTTGTATACCTACGATACATTTCGTTTTACATCTGCCCTTGTTTCTCTTCCGCCTCTCTTTCTTTCTCTTCATCTCTCTTCTTAACGCCACCTTCAGCTTTCTCCTCACCATCATGCTCAGACCTCAATACTTGTAGCATTTTCGATAACATTTCTCCTCGGTGACTACATAACCATGCCACATTCATACCTACTCATACTAACGCCCATGTTCTATGATCCCCAATTTCCCCTTTCAACTTACCTCTTTTACCCCTCGTTTTTCGTCCCTTATCTACCCTCAAGTTTATATTCCTTTTCTTCTCGCTTTTTTGCTTTAATGACTCTTGACTTTCTCACAAGCTACATACGAATTTTTTGCATTGAGTACTACTAGCAGTCGGTCACACTTATGTATCGAGTACGAGTATACGGTGTATTTGTACGCTTTTCGCTCGCGATTGTTTTGTCATAAGCGATTTTAGTATAATACTACTTATTTCTGATTCTTTGGAGAGTGTGTTGCAGCGAGAAGTTGTGTAGGAGGTAAGTACTAGTAGTGAAGCTTGACGTGACGAAGTGAAGGTCCGCATAGCCGCTGTCCTTGAAAGTCTTCAACGACAAGCCCATGCGCATGTCTGACTTGGGTGATGTTCGTCGTTCGACAGACGCTCCTGTAGTTTACTTATATCTCTACTAACTCTCCTCTGAGACTGAGAAAGATAGCTAGCATTCTTAGAACCATATTGTTCGATACGTACAGAAGGAACCGAGGGGCGATATCAAGAGGAAGAAAAAAATGAAACAGAGAATACGGGGTAAAAACAGGGCTCAGAGCTTCTCGTGTCTAGGATTTCAATGATATGGCTAGTGAAAATCGGCTTCAGATAAGGGGTGGAAGTGGAGTATCTTCCCGATATGCGTCCCTGAGTAACCCATCGCCTTTCGTCTCAAGCTTACCAAACGCTTGACTATGTCCACTGGCAATGCACCTTCATCACTTTGGTTTCCGTCGATCCCAAGCAAGCGTTTGGTTTCATCATACATCTCCCTGCCATCAACGTACAGCTGACCGGCCCAAATGCCGAGTTGAGCCTGGATTTGCACGGAGGGAGGTTCCACCACAGGCATTGATGGTATCGTGTAAAAGGTGAGATTGGAGAAGGAACGCATAGCTTTCGTCACACGAGGAGAGTAAATATGCAATCGAACAGCTTTGCTTTGACGTATCATAGGGAGAAGATGATTGACCTCGAAGGGACTCATCACGACAAAGACGGGGGAGCTCATGCCATCGTTGCCGGCAGAGATGATCCAGTTCACGGGTCGCATGTAGTCGTTGATACGAGGGTCCTGAGGGGCTGGTACGATGGTGCGAATAAAGTCGCAAGTCAAAAAGATACTATTGCGAGACCATTTCGAGAGTGTTTCTTGAGGCGGGAACATGCGCACAATGGTGATGAACTGGTCGGAAGAGTCTGGTATCGACCCAGATCGCACAAACTGTCGTACATCTCGATGTACTTGATGTTTCGCTGGCGTCACCTTTGGTGGACGCTCGACCTCACGTTCCTGTTCCAGTTCTTGGCTAACTTCGCGCTCTTGCTCTTCGCTCATACCGGAATTGGAGAGTGACGTTACACCGAGCGATCTCAAATGTTCGCCAATGACAGTGTTCTGGAACGCAGGGTGTTCCGTATTCGAAGTAGATGTCTTGCGGCCATAGAGCTCTTCCAGAGATTTGGCCTCTTTTTGTACCCAAGCATCTCTGAGTGTGGCAACATCTCCCGTCATGGAGTATTCCTCGCGCGCAAATACTCGTTCAGCGTGGTCTAATCCTTGTTGAGCCCATTGTGGAAGGTGGTGTTCGATATCGGCAAGCGTTTCCTGAATGGTCCAGCGTAGAATATTCGCGACTTCGATGGGGACGTCATGCTGAAGTTCATTGACTTCACGAATGCGACGGTCAACTTCCGGCGGTGCACAGAACATGACAGATTGTCCATGACCCAACTTTCGCATTCGCATACACCCTGTGAAGAAAATTAGAAGTTGTTAGATATACGTCATCTCATATGGATCTCACCTTGTAGCAGTCGATCTTTCGTGACTTTCGGCCCTAATGTCACTATGGCTCGAGCATCGTGAGGAAGTTTGAGATCTGTGCCCCGGGTGTGAGCATCGTCCAGGTACACGATACACTCGTCGAGTTGCTGCTGGAAGGGGGAACTATGCAAAGGAATGACCCTTCCATCTTGCGTAAGAACCGTGAGGTCATCTAACTCGCTGAAGAAAACACCCGCGGGTATCTCTGGGCGCAGAGACAACCAGGCCCCCACGAGACTGTAGTTGCTGTACTCGAGCATCTGGGCCCCAACATCCAAAAGAATCCGTACTCCGGGATAATCCCTCGTCAAGAAACTTAAGAAATTCTGAGTCGAATGTGATGGCATGTCATGTTCTTGTAGAGGCACATAGGTGCTATTCTCCGGCTGCAGAAGAAATTGAATATTTCGAGCATTGGTGCTTTCCTGATCAGGCCGGTTGAGCTGCGAGATGGAAGAGGGAAGCAAGAATTGGTTATCGTTTGTTCCGCTAAAGCCTGTTGTGACATGCTTCTTCTTTTCAACGAGATCCCAGCTGGAGGTAGAGAGCTTGTGCGGAAATTCTTTGGCTTCCTTCGGGAACACCACTTGGGACATGTAGAAGTTCGCTACGGCAGAATTCTTAGAGAACAAGGCCACAAGCTCTTGGAATTGTTCTGCGTCATCGAGATTTACGCCACGTAGGGTTCTCAAGGATTCGTGGATGTCGCCATGTTCTTGCGTCCATTTTTCATATTCACGATCAGGATTGTCCTGCTTTGATAGAAGCTCGAAACATTGACGGAGCTGATCTGAATCCAGTCCCGCATAGTAGTAGCTCAAGCAAGTGAGTACGATTGCGACATCAGGATGTCCGAACTCAGCGCGGAGGCTTGGGACATCCTATACAATGTAGACTGCGTAAATTCAGAATGCCAAAATGTCACACACTGACGTACCTTAGCACGGTAAGGAACGGCTAAAAGGGACCGACGAAAGTCATGTCCGTAGTCAACCTTCCAGCGACGCTCTGACAGAGCATACCGCAAAATCCCGGCACCACATGCCAGTAAGCCACGGAGTAAAAGCAGCCCGGACCAAGTCGTCCGATTACTAGCATTGAGAGAGGCGTATTCCTCTTCAGTGAGATCCCGGGTGCCTCTGATGAAGTCGCGAAGAAGATCACGCATGGGTTCAGATTGAATGAGACCGAATGAAGCACTGGGGACTTCAATCTCATTGTTCAACACGTCTTTACAGATCAAACAACTGAGTTTTTGGCTGGCGTGCGAACCGAAGATGCGAATCATTGGAAACGTTCCTGCTCCTTGCATGAACACCTCCACTTCATCGGGATATTGTTCATGTAGCCTCGTTGCGTGCTTGCGAGTGAGAGACAAAACCCATTGGATAGTCTCCCACCTGTCCGGGTGATTCTCGATAGACTGCTGGTGACCCATTGTATAGATGAGTTGATAGCGAACATGCAATAGCTCATCGCTTTCGTCCAAGATATCACGGCTGTTTTCGTTCAGCCAATCTTGAGTCCGGTGTAGAGCGAGGGCTGCATTGTCTCCGGCTTCCGTCGAGGTAAGGAGATCTACCGACATCAGCTTCAGAGAAAGAATGTGCTCGGGCTGGATTAGGAGAATCCCGTATTGACTGAGGCACTGCTCATACAGATCTTGCATCTGCTGAATTTCCTTGACACCCATACGAAGGCTACGGGAAAATGGCATGTAGAATATTCGTCGATTGCAGAGCCCTGATAGACGTTCGACAAGAAGCCGGTGCATTTGTCTTGCCAATGGCTTCAGTATAACAACCCGCACGAGTGTATTGCCGTGTGCCAGTGTTGATGCTACGATGGGAAGGATGACTGATGACTTGCCCTCACCCATGTTCAGTTGAAGCGAAGTGCTATTTCCCGACTCAGGTGCAATCATTTCATGCGCAATTTCGGTCTGCTCAGGTCTCATGAGAAAGTTGCCTTCCACCTGCATTCGTCATCAGCACCAACGTTGTTTATACCGAAAGGGTCGGAAATTCGCGTACCTGTATCAAGAGCCATTCTGGATTGCGAACGGCTTCATTTGTATCAAAGTTAGAGTTCTGTGACTCCTTCATGAATTCGATCTCCATATTCTGAAAATGATACGCCAGGAGTCGTTGCGAACGTTGCAGTTCAGCCAGAATCTGAGCTACATTGATGATACTTTGACGCCATTCGGGCGACAGAATATCTTGGTCCTGCGCATACCTATTGATGCACTTCAGCAGCGACCGGATCGTGACTTGAGGCCAGAGACAAGATTCACGAAGAACGTGGTCATGCAAGCCGACTGGAGCTAAGCACGCCTCCAAACTACGTAATCTGTGGTTGAGTCGACCTGCGCAAACTTGAACGTAATCCCGAAGTGTCAATGACGCCTTCCGGCCACTCGAAGCAAGCGCGGTTGTGCTGGAGTGCAAACCATCTACATAGCGCCTCTGCAGAAGACCATTATCGCCTCGTGAAAGACTCTCTAGCAAATGCTGGAGTCCCCCGGTTTTGGCTGCGTTGTGATGACCAGCCCACTGGAAAGTTGGGAACTGGGATGCAGGTAGTTCGAGGAGATCTGCTGTTGGGGAATTCTTTTGAAGTATGCTCTTGAGCGTCGGAAGTTGCCCCAAGACTTGTACGGAGGTTCGATTCGGCAGAAAGGCACAATCTTGGTCATTAGGCTCCAGGAGATCGACATCTGCACGTGAAAGACCATCCAAAGCATATATGTCGCGGTCCAAGCCCTCAACATACTCCTTGAACTGGTTGTTTTCTGAGCAATGGACGAAATACCTCTGTACACTTGATGTGGCCGCACCGACATCCAACCAGGAGGAATTTCCAGGTGAGCTTGAGAGTGACACGCTCGGCCACTGTGCCAGCAGGCAGGTCGTGAAGTGTTCAACAGCCGCAGTGGTGTTGTTGTCAAACATCCTCCTTTGTCTCTCAGAGAGACTCCGATCATCCTCCCGGGGTCCCCTGGTGAGACGGAATGCCGGAGTATTTTGGAAAGGTAGAACCGCGTCCTTGACTAATTCTCGAACACAGTCTCTGTTGGGGCTAAAACGATAGTGGAGATCGTACGAAGACATTGGCGGTATACTTCGTTGACAAGCCGTTTGGCTCATTGAAAGTGTAACGAGAATTGGAACGAAGGGTAGAAGTGTACTGTTGCCAAACACCATTGCAGCCAAACTGAATGCAAGCTGGTACCGACGGCGAGATGTCGAAGCGTCTCTGAAACGACAAAGCCTGAGCAATGTGATCCAGCCCTCAGCAAGCTTGATGGAAAGCCAGTTTCTATTGTAAGAAAGAGACGCAAGTTCGTAACCTTCCTGTTCTAGGCCGATCATTCCCCAGGAGGAAATGCTATCCCAAATCGATTGCGAGCAGTGTATCAGGGTGTCCGTGTTGCGTTGAGTCAATCGAGCGGTAGAGAAAACAAAACTCTTCTGCCGCGCGTAATGTTCATGAACCATATCCTGAACATTGTGGCCAGAAGTCTCGAGTACGTGATCGCGATAATAAACCTTGCTACGGTGCGAAGCACGCCGATGAAGGTCGCTATCCTCCATGTTAAGTGGCTTGCGACATGACGGACGGTCGTAGAACATATCGAATTTGGCAAAATGCGAAAGAATGTCATGAACTTTGATTCTGAATGCTTGATTTTGACAAAGCGAAGGCAGAGCGTCGTGCCAACCAACGGTCTGCATCATCCGGCTACCTGTGGGGTGATATTCACGGGAGGGCGTGAGCTTGGCAATGCTAGAAAGGATCTCATTGTCAGACTCATCCAACCGTATCGCGGAATATGACCGAGCACTGCTCAAGGCGTAGAGGGCTTCTTCAGTTCCCGTTTGTCCAGTGAGTGGATCAGCTAAACAATGGCTCGTCACTGAATGAAGGTATATCAGATAGAACCAGCTCGTCAAACTCCCCGTTCCACAGAGACGGCCAAGATCCTCGTCTATGGTGAATATGTGATAAGACATGTGTGGATCAACTCCCGTGTTGATGGAGACCAAGACGTGTATGGGACGAGTTGTGATAACCACATCGCCCATGGGGACGATGACTCGACGAGAACCATGCTGATCACGAGTTTGTTCATTCTTATTGCGTAACACTAGTTGGTTGCGTAATCCAAACATAGTGCCAGATGATTGATTTTCATCAATGACCTTTCCACGCAAATCTCGAGATTCCAGTCGGTGGCCACTGTTGACGAAAAACGAAAGCTTGTATCGCGGGAGCTCGACAGCCACAACAGGATCACCCGAAGGAGTATAGGTAGCGATGATATGTCTTTGTGAGTCAAGCGGGCGCAATGAGATTTCGGCCATATGGAATGCAGGGCTATGCAAGTCAATCAAATGCGAGCCCCCCAAAGAGCACCCAAGCACCATCCTCCGAGGCGCCTCCTTGTAGTAAAGTCTCCATATGTCCTCCTGTGGCTTCCACATGCTCGTCAGAGGTCGAAACTCCATGATACCAGTATTGAGGTTGAGCCAATGAGAATATTCGGGAATGAGGACATTGGGAAAGTCTGGGGAGAGAATACGATAGGGTATGAGCTCGAGGATGGCATCCTGTTCAGGATCCTTTGCTTGTATCAGTAATTGTTGTTTAGCCATGGCGAAGTGGACCTAATGAAAATTGAATTATATAATCGGAGTTGAAGCTACGAGAAAACTTACTTCATAGTCGCCGATCAGATCACGAGTTGCAAATTCCATCGCCGGTAGTATCGAAGGTATTACTTCTAATATTTGCTGCAAAAACAGAGAGTTCAGTGTTCCGCAAGCTATTACAGAGTCATCAGCCATACCTGACCGAACACCCGTTCGTAAGTTGGATGAGTGACGAAAGACTTTGGAAGTCGTCCGAGGGGCTTTCCGTTCACCAACAGTTGCCCGGTGAGTAAATTACAATGTACGTCACCAGTCGAATCATTGCTGGAATGCCACCAACGATCATTCGGCTCTGGAAGTTGAGACCATGTCGACGCATTTCCCAAGAACCGTGACCACAAATTCCCAATTGCACGGTCCAAACCTGCGGAAGTCCCTTGAAGGAGAGCATGAAGGCGTTGCTCCAGAAAGTGTGACAGTCTACAATCGCGATGAAGAAGCCTCTGTAGATAGGCCGGAGCCTTTTTGATGGCATGCAGCCAGTTGTTGTGGATGACGACTGCGCAATGTATCGCCATACAAACATCGGTACGTGTTTGCAAAACTGACGGCAGATGTAATATTTCAACATCATATGTACTTCGGCAGGTCGCAGCAACGGCACACATTCGCTGAGAGTAAGCGAAGATTTGTGCTTCCTCCGTAGTTCTCTGGAGAGCCTCTTGCAAGTCCTTCAGCCACTCATACGTGCTATGACGGGCTTTTCGTAGTAATTTGTATGTTCGATGGGCGACCTCACAGGTGTTCGAGTGCGAAGAAAGGACACGAGCCGCTAGGAGAACTGACCAGTCACTCAATCAGTCGCTGTGACGGCAATGCAGTTCATGAATACCAAAGACGTACTGATACTCCTCACAGTCGCACATTCTTTCCAGTTAGACTCCACACTGTTTAGCAGCTTTTCCAGCACGTCGAGCAAAACCTCGCAGAAGACGTCATCATGAATGGTGAGGTGCCATTCTCGCAGTGTTCTGTCGTCCGCTAGAGGTCCTAACTGCCAAGCAGCTTGGAGTAAGAGCAATTGCACATCCTCGTGATTGAAGGTCAATGAGTTTGAAGCCAGCTCACGGGCGATGTTCATCCATTGCAAGTTACCGCCGGCTCGCAGGGTCCCATAAGCTATGTGTTCGTGAAGCGAAAGCGAAGGTGGGCAGTGACTCTGTTCCGAGAGAATCTCGTTGGACGTATGGGTCGTTGCCGCCAAAGTGCGCTCTAGGTAGCGATAAACGCTAGTCTCGGGAATAGTGAAGGTACCATAAGATTCAACATTCGCGTCATGGAAGGGCTCTCTAATCCATTCTCTGCTGTTTCGATCGTATAACCGGTAGACCGGGCCATGGTTTACACAAACATTGTGTACGTTGGCCGGAATTTGCTGTGGCTTGAGATATGAGTCATTGAAGGACTGTCGGTCGGAACAAAGGCCGATATGTCTGAAGTTGACATGCAGAATCCAACTCTGCAGAGCTGCATAGTTGATCAAATCTCTATGCACGTTAGCGACATCCTTAGGCCGAGACGTGGATGGAGACAGGCTGAGAATTCGAAAAGTGATATTTCTCCACAAGATAAACTCGAGCGGACAAGCCAGCTCGAAGACCACCCTTTTCGCTTCGCCCTCAACTCTTGGCAGAGGCCATTCGTATACGGAAATCGACATATTACCAGCCTGTGCTTCCAAACTGCACTTCCTGCAGTACCAGGAATGCACGTTGTAGGGGCCATTCCAGGCAATCCTCGATTCCCACTCGCATGAAAGTCTGGCCGCTTCGTTGGTCAAACTAGCATGCCGCTTGTTCAGCTCCTTGAGCTCTTCTTCTTTCCTCGCACGTTTCTCCTGTGCGTCGGACTCGATATCGACTTTGATCTTCTGCAGTTCACACGATAATCCAAAATAAGAGACCGCGAACGAGGTCGCTGATGCACTATTTGAGAATATCGATGGATGATCGTACTTTGTAGCAGCAGAGTGACGATCCTTAAGATACTGTTCCACTGAACTAGCTTGGTCGATCAGCGTAGACTGTCGAAGGAGGAGGGGATGGAGGAATGAGGCTGGAATCTCCGGAGAGTACTTTGCTAGTAATGGATACTGCTGGGTAACCGCCTTGTCCAGGACAACCCAGAGTCGCAAAATCGTGACGATCATTATGGACTCGTCTTCTGGGTTGGAAGCGTAAAGCTCCGTGGCGCTATCATAGTACTGCTCTATACAGGACGACATGATTCTCGGAGTCTTCGGATCTGCAAGTTTATCCCTAGCCCAGTTGTCCAAGTGGTTTCGAACGCTTTCTTCAAAATCGAATAATGCGAAGCGGCCATTGCGAGAGACTGCGTCTAGCAGTTGGCCGTCAGTGCAGGATGAGAAATCCTTGATGTCCTTTGAACGCAGCTGTTCTGACGGAATAAAGGGGGAAGGGGAAGGACGTTCTGCGCTACGTTGCAAAACACTCTCGATATATGGGCCGGAGTTGGGCAGTGTGATATTTGTCGCTGCTTTGAAGTCAACACCTGAAAAGTCGGAAGGCGGTGACTGAGCTTGCGTCTGCTTGACCCTATCCCATCGCTTCTCCAATAACACCCCAGTCTCTCCCACGACCTCCTTCACGATAGTGTTGACGAAGGGGGGCGTAGAAGACTCGGAGAGTTTTGCAAGTCTCCGAGCAACCTTCGCCCTCATCGTGAACAAGAGGTCACTGGGAAATTCCCGAGTGACAGCCAACCTCAATACCCTCGACATCAGGAATACCATGAAACGCTTGTATTCCTGCTGTGACACAAGCGTCGTTTGTAGCGCTACGCGAATAACAAGCCAGAGAGGCGATCGTCGCCACGGTTTGTGCGCCTTGTACCATAGGACATCGTCCGCAATTCGTTTCGTTACTCTCCGCACATCTGCCCATTTGCCCATGGCGCGGAGCGTCTCGACGAGCAGGTGAGTAATGTGTTTGGGGTCAGTTGTTTCCCTGATGTTTTGGACTTCAGAACGAGCTTTGATGGTCGTGGGAAGTTCCAAATGATCTACGTCCATTTGGGACAGAACCGACGAAAGCTCGTACTGGAAATCCGGATCGAGGAAGACAGCTTCCGGGATCTCAACCGCAGGACCTGGATAGGAACATATGAGCTTGCCAACAGTGTCGATAACAGCTTCATTTTTTTGCGATACTCCGAACGCCTCGAACACTGCACTCTGCTCACTCTTGCGTATGATGAAGCCTGCGTTTTGAGCGCGGATGTGTAGTGCGCAAACATCTAGATGTAAGAGGGCACGATCAATTCAACATATCTTTTGTAAAGTACATGTCATCCGTACCTCCATTCAACATTTGGGATAAATGGTTTGAGAGTGCCTTTGTCAATAGTGTATTCCGGGCGGTGCTTGCTAGCTGTTCCACCATCTTATAGATGTGGCTCCATTGGGTTCTCTCTGACTCTGCCACGATATTCTCGCGGTAAGCCTCGACTGATTGGCGGACAAGAGTTGTGAGTTCAATAGCGATATTGCGCTCTTCGTCATCGCTAGCCGTACTCTGCGGTAACTTTGGAGGGAAAAATACGTGCTCTACGACACTCCGAAAAGTATCTTCAGGAGATGATTCAATCATAACTGAGAGGAACTGAGAGGAGTCGGCAACGACAGATAGGACAAGGATATTCGCAGCAGTTGATAAAGGAGGAGTAGGGAGGAGCTGCGGATGTTATCTCAGCCTCGTGCAGCATCATTGAGAAAGAAGACTTGCCTCAGGTTTCTTGGCGTCACGAAGATCGCCAGGATAGTCTCTCCTCCTGCAAAGAAGAGTAAACGCATGGTATTGGCGCGAGATCAACCCTGCAGGATACATGGTTTGACAGAAACATGTGGCACATGTCTAGATCTAGGTCGAAGGACGAGCGGTCCCCGTCCCAGGAAAACCCAGGGCAGTGGGAATCAAGTGCTGTATCCTAAAGAAAGAATTAAGATGATGAGATTGAGTCGAATTTCAGGTTCGCGTGGTGGGGGTAACCACTAGACACAGACTGGCCAATATGGCCTATAGATCAAAATCGAGTAAATTGGGACCAAATGAAACCTTCGTTGTGCTATAGGGTGTTGTATCGCACTGCCAGGCATGATGCATGATGTTGGTGTACACATGTAAGTAAAAACCACGACACAAACATCGACGAGCAAGCGTCTATTCACGTCTATTCATATTTTCCTTCACGAGCGCTTACGGCCACTTGTATGCCTATTACTCTCCTCCAAGCTCCAAGCTTCAAACAGTCTGCCGTATACTAATGGCTACTAGTCGGATGGTAGGATTGACTCTCTACTTTACGTCCATTTACTGTGCTTCATCTGATAATGATAACTTGCGGATATGAACCTCATTTTCAATGCGCGATATAGTAGAAGGACATGCAGAGTACTTACGTTTTGTTCGATTCTGATCATTGGCTTTTTGTACTTACTAATAGACGAACTGCCGATTTCATAGTGCTCCTAGTGATGGCGAGACGACTCAGGGTGGAGGCGGCTTTTGATAACTCATCCCGTCATTTGTTGCACGTAGAAATCCTTCCCATGTCAAAAACAGAGGTCTAGGCGAACATGCTTGTCGCTACCGCTTGGACGATTTCCAAGGAATCATATCAAATTGAAGGAAAATCATCATAAAGTAAGTAGACAATATGTGGGTACTCTTCTCAGCAATTCACAGCCGTGTAACAAAACTACAAGCTTGCAACAGGTGTAAGGATTGATCAATAGGCGATACTCACACATTTCCCCTCCCACTTCTGCCAATCCTCCAACAAACCCTCCACAATGTAATGAGCCACGTCCTTTCTCGAGACCGTATATGGGTTTTTCAAATCCCCTTCCTGGACCCTATACGCCTCCTTCCCTTTACCCTTACCCCTCCCCTTTCCGGACGTATCCACCTCGTCGGCCCGACACTCGCCATCCACAAGCATAGCGGGCCTTACAACGACAATTGTAGCCACGTCTTCTTCCTTTGGGAAGCCTTCAGTCTTCTTCCACCCTTTCCCTAGCACACCGCCGTCTAACTCATCGCCGGCCGCATCCTTGTCTGGCAAGTAACCCCATTGGGCAGTCTTCCCACAAACATGTCCTAACACTTTCTCGAGCCCGATTTTGTCGCGGTGTGCTGCGACGAGCGCGGTATTGTGGATGGGTTTGAGCAGGAAGGGAACAGAGGCATGTGAGGAAGAAGTCGTGCCTATCGAGGTTATCGCGATGATTTTTGGCGGCGCAGATGGAGAAGGAAGAGTTGTCAAGACATTTATAATGGCTTGTGTGCACAAGTTGGGCGGGTCGAGCACGAAGCCATGAGCTAGAGTGAGTCGGGGTGTGCCGCCTGGCAAAAAGATCGTTGTTAGCATTGTGTGTTCGCCAAGGTGAGACGGATGAATGACATACCGACGGTGAATAGTATCAAATCGACGTCCCCGTTCTCTCCTGCAACTTCCCATCCCCGTTTCACGTCATTAATGTTGAGTGCGTCTCCTTTGACAATATGTGCTTGACCATGCGAAGAGGAAGAGAGGTATGGTTGGATGGCTGGATCAGACTCGAAAGCAGTTGGGTTTCGTAATAGGAATGTAATGTGTGCGCCTTTGGCTACAAGAGTAGGATGATGTTAATGGGCATACAATAAAGGCAAAACAAGGAAGGGAGAACGAGAATAGGAATGCCAATAGGAGACGTACCAAGCAAACGGAGGGAAGCAAGGTAACCAATATTACGGGATGCGCCGAGGGCGTAGACGTTCTTCACAGTCGACATATTCTGGTGTGTATGAAGTGCCTGAATCTTGGATGAGCAGACAAGTCAGCCCGACTGTGGGCTAAATATCTTCTCGGGGGACCGTCAGAATCCTGTGCACGGTGTGGTTGGAACGCCGCTATTGTCGTCGTACAGGATCCAATTATCATGCCGGCCGAGAAACTGATACTAACATTAGTAACAAGGCGACGTGTTAGGCTGCGCTGTGAATGATATGAGAGGTCTAGTTGAACGTGGATGCAGGACGCATTCAATGTCGACTAAATTAGCGTGCCTGAGGGAAATTGGTGGAAAGTGTATTGATCTAATGATGCATAAACAGTGAAAACGGCTCTCAGTCGTGGGTAAGCGCCTTGCAGGAAGTCCCGGGGTGACGAATGCATGCTGGACGGCGAACTGCGGCCTCAATGGGAACTGCGCGCACAGTCAAACACGACAGATTTGCATGAATTGATGTTACAAATGGCGTTGAGGATGTCCTGGCATAGTGCGCTTGAACGGAAGATGGAAAATCGCGTTACTTAACCTTGGTCCACGAAGGCAAAACGTGAAGTCTTGCAAAAAGCTGAGCATCTCCGAAGCTCAATCGAATGTATTCATTAGACTCTGGACTCCAACGTTATACACGGTATTGAAACTAGTGGTGTTGGCTCTCCTTGGCGACTTGAGCAGCGTAGGGGTTACGAGGGTCGTTACGGAACTCCTCCGCTATCAAACGAGTCAATGGAGCGTTCGTCCGAAGATAATCGGAGACGTACATTTCACGCCTGCCTCCTGTGCCTTTGAAACGAGATATAACGTGATGCCTGAAGCAGCGACGAATGGCCAGAGAGGCTTGGCCACCTGTAGAATGAATGAATGTTCGGATTCTATTCAAAAACAGAGGGATGGAGGAACGTACGGGCACGGGCCACTTGCGGAGACCGAGAAATGCCATTTTATACGGTAGACTGAGGGAAGACGGATGAGAGAGGGAAGATGGTCAAAGGAGAGCCGGCGTACTAATGATTGCTCGAGGGCGATGTACTCGAGAACGTTGTTGAACACCACTACCACGCCAGCGGGTGACAATTTCCCTGGTCCTCGGGTGTTTCCGGATGCTGCGGGGATTTGCCGATAATGCGATCGGGACTCATGCACTCATGAGTTGTTCGCGGTGATTTTCTGACATCTACGCCTGATCTATACTGTGGTGTACAGCTATGATGTGTTCCCTATGCTACACATTGTCCTGACTTATGGTCGGATTCACTCATTTCCTCTTCTGTCTAGACGATTCGTCTCTTCTCCTCAACACCAAAGTCTTCACCTGTGACCCCTGCAGATCCTGAACGAACGGAATCCGAGATGGCTTTGTCTCGCGCCATGTCATCTTTGCTTGATTCTTCATAACTCAGTGGTCGATTAGAGAGCTTCTCCGACACAAAGTCTACACCTGTGAACCCAGAATAAGGATGTAGACATTTAACACCCTGATTTGTGGATTCAAAACACGTACCCTTCTCGTGTACGGCTACCCCCGCAGTTCAACATTAGCTTACGCTGTAAAGGCGACACTGAAGTACAAACATGCTCACTCTTATCCGCAGATCTCGCCGTCGAAATCTTGTCGAAATCTTGTCTTCCTAGGGAGGCATTAGCGGGTTTGTTATATAACTCTCACCCGAGGTGTCGAATTCGTGATCGACGGGTGGTTTGCGAGTAGTAGTCTGATTATCCGAAGTGCTCATGGTCCAGAAAAATGGACTGTATAGTGCTTTGTACAGTAAGTCGCAAGTCGTGATAAAGAGGTCGATGTCAATGTATTCTATGTGAAGGAGCAGACTGAGTAATTTGTTGCTTGCAGCTCCAATATACAAGGGACTGGAGATGTGTGGGGCCGACTCATCATGATCGCTTCTATCTCTGAACTATGCCACTTGCTTGTATTGGCATCTCACTTTGAACGAACACTCGCTACTGGTCACTGTATAGTCCGACCAGCTTCAGATTTGGAAAGCGTAGGATGAACGAAGTCCGCGTATATCCCGGTAAAGACTGAATGGGTAAATGATTGAAGATATAACGAGTGGTGACAACGATGGTCAGGGTGTGCTCCATTGTCGAACGCAGCTAGAGTCAGTCGTCCAGTAACCGAATAAACTAATGATGTGCGATTCGCGTGTAGAGTCCAGTCGCAAAGCGATCATCGATTAGAACTTGCAGCTACGGCAGTACCGCGATGTTAGTCAGGACCAAGAAGGACAGACATACTCATACATACCTGGCATTTGAGATGTTGGAAGTGAGCTTTGGAGGCTCAGCACCGTTGCTATTACCCTGCCAGAGAAGTTCGTATCAAAGTTTAGTGACGATAGAAACAAGCACGATGCGTTACCTCGAAGGTATCACGCACAGACTTGACATTGGTCATAGTGAGACTGGACCTGCGGCAAACCGGTCAATATAACCGGGACAATGGTATTAGGACTTCACTCTCACGTAGTGATGGTGGCCACATCACCGAGCTAAAGGTTGAAATTGAGTCACAACACATTCTTTGGAACTTAGGAGAACACATACGCTAGAGTTAACACCGGCTAAAAGCTTTCCGTCAGAGGCGATAACGTTCGAGATGGAGAAGGTCTAGCATATAAATATATATCCTCATCAACCATCCGCTCAAACTGGCCGAGTAGAAATTGTACAAACCCTCTTGTGCCGTGTTTTACAATTACCGCAGGATCGGTAGAGCTTGCCAAAGTTCTGTACACAGTAGTTTGTGATAACGACGTTCCCGCCGCCTGCGTAGAACAGCGGGTGAGTTGCCGAGGGTTTTAGACGTCTAGCATAGCTAAGTCCCACCGCTGTGCTGGACGACCTTGTCATCCGCGTTCTTCGCTCCCCCACCATCAATGAAGTACCAGAGTTTTGCTTGATTGTGATCGCATCCTGTAGTCGAAAGGTATAGTCAGAAGAATATAATAAAGCGATATCATAGAGCATGTTCATACCTCACAGACATCCTCAAACCAAACTATGTTGGGTGGTCATCGCAACCGAAGTAAAATAAAAAAAGCAATGCCAGATGACATACCATTCTTCAGCGTACACGAACCTGAAAGGTTTATTAGCATCCTTCTCGGAACTAATGTTTGTGAGTATGATACATACCCAAACAGTGAATGCCCTGTAAGAAGAACGAGCGAATATGAGCCTTTCTGGGGTCGAGACAAAAGCAAGTGCATGCCTCTGCCTGGTCGGCACCGATTACAACGTTCTGAACTGTAGCCCCGTCTTGGACAAGGAACACAGCGGCAGAGTCGCCACTCTCCTTCTGACCCTCACAGGCGCCAGCGCCGCGGTCGAAGCGAACGTTACCGCCGTCAAAGGTAGTGCCAGCAGCAATGGTTTTAGGAACCAATAGACTGGATGTTTTCGGTGGGGGTAGGGAAGGTGCAAGACGCTGCACGTCTCTCGGGACCGTGGTAGGAGGGCAAGAGAACCAGAAATGGAAACAAGACGGAATAACATAGAGTCGAGCGGAAGTCGTTATACTTCGCAGAAGTGAAGAAGGATAGGATAGAGATTAAATGGAGAAACCACTTGGCGAGACGGTTGTACTTATACTGTCACGAGGATAATATGTTGCGAATCATTCTGATGCCGTTCTTTCCTCTGTTTACTCCCGAGTCGGTTATTGAAAGCCCAGAGCACGCTTGAGAGTGAAGTAGCCATTTGCCAAGAAAACGGTTATTCTCGGCGCATCCAATGCGTAGGAATCCTTGTCAAGCAGAGCGGAGTATGCCCCTTAGTAAGTTGCGCGTGGGCGATCACCGCATACAAGTTGACAGTCTCTACTCGGAGCTGTGAGAAATCACGCTCATGCAATCGGTCCCGCGAGTCCTACAAAATTCGGAGAACGACAAACAGCCTTTCGGAAGGGTTCGAGAAATGAACTATAACGCGCTGACGGCGCGACGTTTGAACTGAAGAACCGTATGAAGACGTTAGATGGAGACACATCATAAGGACACACACATACCGTACCATTTCTTTGCTGTCTGTGGTTGATTATGTTGAGTCTCTCAGTACGTTGTGTATCACAGAGGTCGAAGTTTTACAGTACTTAGCGACTCTGATGAAGAATGGGCTGCCAGTGCTCAACGCGTCTGTGGCTCGCGTTGTTGACGCATGTTTACAAGCTCGTCATATGCTTGACGCGTTATATATCTCGCTAAATTACGAGTGCAACGCTAACGGTGGGTTTACCAAGTTTCTTCAGGTTGTTGTCGATAGGGCTTCCTATATTACCCGTCAGCTGCCTGACTGTCCATGCTGCGATACTCATCCTTGTTTGCGTCGCTATACTACAAAGGTTGTCCAATTACAATGGCTGCAGAGGTTGGCCGCAGGAGAAGTCTGCGCATATCCACCGCAGGGGCTGCTGTACAAGCTTCCACAAATCGGCAGCCTGAGCCAAAAGTCACTCCATCCTCTCGCAGGCGCCAGAGTACTGCAGTACAAAGTTCGAAACGCGCCCCGAAACGAACAAGACAAAGTCATTCGTCCTCAGCTGCGAATGCAGCTGAGGAACAGCACGCCGAACCTGAGCCTTCTGAATTACCGAAGAAAAAGAGGAAGAAAGCGGAGGTTGTGTACACACTCGATGACTTTCTACCAAGGCCTATATCCGACTGGAAAATAGGTCCCCATGTCTCTGCTGCCGGTGGCATTGAAAACACAGTCATAAATGCAGCCGCCCTCGGGTCAGTATATTTCTACTATAGCTCTTCGAATCAGCCACTTAATTATCAGCATAGAGCGACAGCATTTGCGCTTTTCTTGAAGTCTCAGCGCAAGTGGACGGCTCCTCCATTCAAACCTGAGTCTATTTCATTGTTCAAGGACCGCCTGAGGGAGTTTGGCTATTCTCCAGATCATATTCTTCCTCACGGAAGTTACTTGGTCAATCTCGGCAATCCTGACGAGTGCGTTTTTCCTTACTCACGAAGTCCACCGAATTGATTGTGTCGGTGTTGGTGAAGAGAGAAGCGTCAAAAGTCATACGAATGCTTTCTTGACGAGTTGCAGCGCTGCGAAGAATTAGGTCTGAAGTTGTATAATTTTCAGTGCGTAAATTACCTATAGGGGCTGCTCTTTCAAAACTGATGTCGATGAAGTCCGGGCTCTACCGTTGGAAAGGCTGAAATCGAGGAGTCGCTAACGTATATCGCGGAATGCATTAACAAAGCTCATGAGGCGACTTCTTCGGTGATAATCGTGATAGAGAATATGGTAGGAATACTCTTCAAAATCCGCTGGCTATTCACACAGCACCCTCTGTATAGGCAGGTGCGGGGAACGTCGTTGGTGGTGCATTCTCAGAAATTGGAGGTATCATTAACCAAGTGGAAGACAAATCCCGAATAGGAGTTTGCTTGGATACATGTACGTTCGGGCCAATCGCAATTCTGCAGAATTTTATGCCAACTTTTATTGATAGGTCATACATTCGCCGCGGTAGGCTTGTAAGCAGTTCGATGGTTAGAGTTCACTGCTTATGATTTCTTGTTAGGGATACGACATCAGAACGAAGGAAGGCTGGAAGTACGTCGAGTCGGATCTGCTCAGTGCCCAACCACTAAACGTCATGCCTTCTTCTATCACAGTGCTATGCGTAAGCTGCAACGGCGATCTCTGCCATCAAGGTCAATTTTAATCATAGTGAATAGTCGACGAATTTGATCATGAAGTTGGCTTGAAATACCTTCGGGCAATGCACATGAACGATTCAAAAGCCGACCTTGGAAGCAAGAAAGATCGTCACGAAAATATCGGCCTGTGAGTTGCTTTGTTCATTGACTTTCCCCCGAAGTTCGAACAACAATAACATCGTATTTTCTTGTGCAGTGGTTACCTCTCGCTCTCTACGTTCGCTCATATTGTAGTCGACCCCCGAACGAAGAACATTCCACTCATCCTTGAGACGCCTGCCTTCGATAACCCCGGACCAAATGTCAGCGACGGCATGGACGTGTGGAAGAAAGAGGTAGACATCCTCAACCGACTATCAAACTGTCAAGACGCTGAAGATGATGCTGATGCTGAGAAGCTGGACGAGTGGACGGAGGAGATACAGGAGGTGGTGAATGAGGCCAGTGCGAAGAAAAACGCCAGGGGTGGGAAGGTTGGGTCCAAGGCTGTGGGTAAGAAGAAAACCTCACAAGGTGGCAGCAAGAAAGGCAAGAAGAATGTCGTGGAGGAAGAAGAGAGTAGTTCAAGTCTGTCAGACGTGGATTGACCGTTGCTATGGAGTATACCGCACGTATTATAATCCACGAGCTGCCGGTATAGGCATGCGACGTTCACAGGACTTTCACGCCGAAGGTCCCAGGGTTTAAATACTGTTACTTGGTACACCTTGGAGGTGAACGCAATTCCTCATCGTCCGATTTCTGTGAATTTCCTTGCGGAGCTGTTTACGAGAGAATGGAGTGTACTCACTCAATCGCCTTGAGGAGGATTTTTAAATAAAGATCGAACGACTGTTATGCTCCCCTACGAGCCCTGAATAAATACGTCAACGGTCTGTGAAGTTATAGATCCGGCTCCTCGATATCGAATTCCCCAACGAAATGGTGTGCGAGTCGACGTACATATTCACGATAGGGAACTACCGAGATGTCGATAGAGATAGTGAGATAATGACAGCCTCGATTCAGGCCGACTTCAAGGGCCAGTCTGAAGGAGGATTCCGAGCGGCTGCCTATCAAACATCATTGATAAGTGAGCAGTTTCTGATGAACTCGTCAGCAATTCATCAACCCCACAGATGCAGATTAAAGCTCAGTGTGATCATTGATCAGTAACCACTATGTATGGAGGGAGGACCGGAAAACACGAGCATGCCTATGTCTAAATAGGTCTAAATGTACCGTGAGCCCGGTTTTCACAAATACTATATGACTCACAGTCGCATTGCGAATTTCTGATACCCTCTCATTCATTTTGAGAACAATGAACATAAGTGGGCCCGAGGTCCATTTTGGCTCTGCAAGACGCGCATACGATCATGAGGGCGACCATATCAAGTTGATCGCGTTTCGCGCACGCAAAGCACACCACAAAGTGCGATCCTTCGAATTCGGCACCCTACAGTCAATGACCTTGTTGGTCCAAGAATGGTCGCCCGTACATCGCCCACAGACGCAGAACGAATGCCCATTCTAGGTAAAGTTGGTATACCAACCAACGATAGATCGCCAGCAAAGCGACCGAAGAATGGCAAGCCTAGTTGAGCACGAGACCTCCTCGAGGCTGTCTAGCATATGAAATATGACCTAAGGAAGATTCAAGCGAAGATCTATGAAAGGTACTGGGAGGGATAGTGTCCTGGGAAGGAGAAACATATCCAGAAGGGCGGTTTACGTGACGCCATGATCATCACAGCTTGACTATCTTGAGCGTGCCAGAATGTTGTCTGAGAAGGTCACGATGAGCGTGATGGACATGACACTTTGGTCATGACGGCAGAGGAAGTGCTGCAAATCGTCAGTAAAATAACATAAGATGCACGTGAAGATGTCCCCATCAAGTCGATGGCATACAGGCAGGACGGCATGATCGTAAAAAGACAAAGAAAAATATAAATGGGCTTGTAACCTCGTACGATCGCGACCGATGACCGTACGTCGGAGAAATACATGAATCGAAAACGTTCAGATTCAGAGCACAACATCAGTCAACGTCCTATTGAGTATGTCGTCCGAGTCGCATAGCAACACCACAAAGACAGCCAGATCCGAAACAGATTACTAGGGGGGTGGCACCACCTAATAGTGAGCGTGCAGAAAACACCTGATGCGCAGAAACCATTCGCCCCAACTTGTCCAACATCACCTGAGAAGATGAGGTCGTGCCAGCGACAATGGGACTGAGGATATTTCTCCGAGGGCTGCGGTGCACTGGGCGAATGACCTACTACTACAAGTCTATGACTTGGTCACCGGAGGAAACTGAAAGTGTAAAGTTTACTCGAACGAGGAGAGTCTTCGGAGGTCCGAGTATTGAGGCCGAGCGTAAGAAGATATATATACAAACCTCCATTGTTGTTCTGGCAGATATATGCAAATGCATTACGAGAAGGATTGCTGCAAAGGGAACAAGGAGCAATGTAAATATATATATAGACGAATATACATGCCGGGAATTGTTGAACCGGACTTAAAGAAGCTTTGCGTATTGTGAAATATTTGCTTTGAATCCACGTAAGTTGACACGTCGGGGAGCCTTCAAAGCTTCAAGAAAGAAATCTGCGAAAGATATGGTTGGGAAATCCCAGTCAGCACGAGCGTCCCCGTAGGCCGGCATCACCGAGCAGAATGGTCACACGACGCTATCACGAAGAAACTATACAAGCAGAAGACACTGAGATTGGGATATTCAGGGCAGCTGCTACTGATGGAACAACGCATACATCAACAGAGGAGGCTACGGGTGCAATGTTCTGTAGACACAAAACGGGAATGGAACATGTACGTCTGTACGGTGGGAAAACGAGGGTGGATTGCTTGTGCGCAAAGTACAGAGCGAGAGTAGGCATGCCTTTGTAGTAGAACGACAAGGTGGGTACACTGTAGGTACACTGGAACCAGCAAGAATAATACATCACGACAGAGCTTATCATCATCGGGTGGGAAGTGTTGACAGAGGAGGGGTGAAGTGTGTGTCAATATCGAACTGAGGAAATTGACAAGACATCGAAAAGAGCAGAACGCAGAACGCGAAACGGGGCAAGACCGCTATAAGTATACATATGAGAGAGGCAACACGATCGTAGGGTACGGCCAGGCACTGAGCAATAATAAACATAGGGCGATAAAAATTCCAGGACCAACGGAGGAGAGGGGGAAACGTCAAGTTCGAGAAGGGAGTGAGCGAATGGTATCGAGCCAAGCAACAGGCTTAGATATTTAGGAGGGAGGGCGCATACATAAACCGAGAGTGATGAAGTTGGCCTTGTCTAGTGTGAAGCGTCGAATGAAGGTGACCGACGGCTTCACATCATCATCGCAGCGAATGCATGCCCATTGCCGCCTCCACCCACGCTGATCGTTGGAGCTCCTTTCAACATCCCTCCCATACCGCCCATGTTGCCCAGACCACCCATGCCCCCCATTGCCTCATCCCACTGGCCAACGCCCATACCGCTGTTCATTCTCCTGGGGAGAGCACCTTGCCCGTTCGGTCCACCCGACATCACGTTCGGCAACTCGTAACTGCCCGAGATGCTACCTGACGGGGACCTACCGCCAGCAGGACCGGACGCGTATCCACTGCCTACGCTGTTCATACTTCCGCTACGTTCTCTACGCACCGCATTCCCAGGTGCGGACCCGACCGAGGAGGAATCGTCACCGTCAACGGGGCTGCCGTACATATGACCACCGTGACCGTTCAGACCCATGGGTCCCGAAGACTGGAGCATGGCTTGCTGACGCTGCAAGTTCATCAGATACGCGGCTTGTTGCGTGGTGGGAACATTGAGCGGGGACGAACTGTTTCCACCATGGCTCGACGTCGGAGGAGAGAACTGTTGAGGTCCGTGCATACTGCCATACATATTCCACGCACCCGGAACCTTGTCGTTCTCAGGTTGACCGCCTCGAAGCATACCAGGGTGCGCATGGCCACCGTTCATGAAGAACCCCTGGTTGTTGACGTGCATCTGGTGGTCGTATATCATTGCTGGGTTTTCGAATGAAACACCGGTCGGACTCTGGACGATCATGGGGCTGGGTGCACCGTGACCAGGACGAGGGAGCAGGGTCTGGACGTGAAGCCCGTTGTGAGGTGCACCGCCGTTGGAGACACTGTGTGCGAATGGAGCGACGTCCGGACCTCCGGTCTTGAGAATACCTCCCATCTTTTCAGAAGGATCGTTGCCGTTTGCCATCATACCGTTGGAAGGGTAGTCATCGTCACCAAAGTTATCGTCGCCGTATTCGCCTGATTCTTCCTCATCAATGGGGGCACTGATGGCTTCGACTTCACCGCTCAGAATCATTTGGAAGGCTTCACCGCGGACGGGTTCTTCGACGCGAGGGAGGCCAGAGCGATCGCGCCACTCGTTGAGTTCGCGGCGAAGAGCATCGGTCTCGAGCTTGAGAAGACGGAGCTCGCGAGAGGCAAGAGCACGGTGACGGCGAGAAGCATGAATATGAGCGATGGAAGAGTTGACGATGGAAGACTTGGAGGGACGACGAATTTGGGAGAGATTAGGCAGCATGCCAGCCAAGTCCTGTGAAAGAGTAAGAGTAAGATCTAGATGAGAGATTGAGTGCTTGAGTAGACACACGTACCAAGAAACGACCGTTCAAGGTCTCTCGGCGCTGTCTTTCGACGGCATTGTGAGTAGCCCTGCGCTCTGCGGTGTTGGCGCGACGGCTTGGCTTGCGTTTTGCCTGGCCGGGAGCAGGCTTGTCAGCTCCGGCAGCAGGAGCGCTATCGACAGGCGGGGGGAGGGCGAGCGTCTGGACAGCATTGGGAGAGACGGGGGTCTGAGCGCCGTCTGTGGAAGGAGGAGTGTTGGCAGCCTCCGGAGAAGAAGGGATTGGGACAGAGATCGTCATGGCCATTCAATATATAGAGAACAAGAGTGTTTATGAGGGATATATGGGGAGACTTTATATGCCGAAAAAGGCGGGGTAGTGCAGATAGGTCTAGAGAGCTGAGGGGGATCGACGAAAGCTGCAGAGTAGGGTGACTATTTTGCGGAGGGGGATGAATGGAGGTAGGGGGAAGACAGTCCGGGTACGCGACGAATCAGCGGAATCCGGAAGAGTCAGGCGGGCAAGAGGGACGTTGTGGGCTTGGTTGGGTGGGTTGTGCCAGACGATACAGAGTGCGAGAGCTAGTAACAGGCTTTGAAAAGGTTCTGGTTAGGTTTGGTATGCTTGCTTTGAGGTGGGCGGATCGAGAGAAGCCGGCAAGGGTCGCGAATACTCTGCATATACAAAGCGATAAGACAGCTGTGAGTGACTTACAAGGTGAAAAGAGCATACCAGCGGTATCCTTGTCACGGCAGGGGAGGGCGGGGAGAAGGGAGCAAGACGGGGAGAGGGGAGGATGGCAGAAAGCCTTCAACAACCCAAGACCATACAACGAAGAGTGAGGAGGAAAAGAGGACGAACGCTCAGTCCACAATCCTCCTCCTTCATATCACACGCCCGCCAAGTTCCATCTCCGACCCTCGGCTTCCCCCTGCCCCCTGGTCACACCATCCGACCCTCTGTGACCGACGTGACCCCTCCCTTTCCTCCACATCCTCCGCAGGCTCAGGCCTCCGGTGCATCCTTGTAGGCATTAGCATATGCTCACCCTCATATGCTACTTCTGTAACCACTACTACCAACTCGCCTCCTAGCTCACCTCCTCCTCGGCACCACCTCTCACTGCCATTCCTGATTTCACTTCATTTCCCCGTCGCTACATCCTTGGTCTCATCTCGCGCTCAACTTTGCTTGCTTTTCCGCCGTCTTCCCTTCTCTCACTGCAGTGCTCAGCTGTGTCGAGAACCATCATCATCCGGACTGGGTTTGAACCTTGCCCATTGCTTGACAGTCTCGCAGTATCCGGCCGAACTCTCGCCTGAATGATCCAGTGAGCTGTCCAATCCGGGCCACCGATCCCTCCGACTTGGACTCCACCTTCCTAAGCTGACAGTCACTCTGAATCACTCTCTTCCTCCTCCGCACTGCCCATTCCGGGTCAATTACATTCATACGCATAATATGTAGCGTGACATTCCAACTCCAGTCACGCTCTCTCTTCCTACCTCCTCGGATTTCGTCCTATTGTCCACTCTGTATCCTCTCGCATCCTCCTACCTCCTCTCGCTTCTTACATTGTACTATCTCATCTAATCGCCCACTACCCACTTCTCCCGAACGATTTATCTCTCAATGTCTGTTTTCTCAGGTAAACCATGCGTCTCAATCTCTTCCTCCACACACCTATATCCATATATATCCATTCCGTGACGCCACTACCATCGGTTCACCGTGCTACCCTCTACTCGCAATCAAGCTCGCAATGGTTCTCTTTTCAGGTCGCGATAATTCCTCTCTTCGCTTGTTGTCCGTCACTACGCGCTGTCACGATACAAACCCCGTCATCTTTATTGCCATCTTACCCTCGAATACAAATGTCAGAAGGTACCCTCTCCGTGATTTCGCCGGTCCGTCCAATAACCAGTCAACACCCCATTAATCGCATATTGCCAGCAGTCGCTAGAGAACCCAAGGACCGGACTGATGCATCAAGTCAGACCTGAACCAAATCGACCTACTGGTGCTAATAGTGGCGGCTTCAATTTTCTGACAGGCTCCTTCCCGAACCTGATCCCACTGCACGGGTTCCAAATATATCGCTTTCCCTTCGAGACCTGGCCCATTCCCCAATTTCTTTCAGGTGCAGTGAAGGTACGCGCGTACTATCAGCTTCAGCTGTCGGCGGAATGACCTTAGCCACCCAAAGCGTACACACTTCGTCATCATTCAAACTCACGGTCAGACCGCACTTTCTCCCCTACGGAGTCAGGCGCAATACGACAGATCCCTGAAAAACAACGGAAAACAAAAGGCTACTCTATTGGGCGAACACGCCTGATTGATTGCGGAAGGGCATGCTGTAAATCGTTAGCAAATCACTACTGAATCTTGACTCTGTTTCCCATCAGTCGTCTTCGTCTATTCCGTCATCGCTTGTGTTCTTCTTCTTAGTTTTCTATGTACTGCAAGGCCCCAATACAGCAAGATTCTAGATCTCCAGCCAGTTCGGCTTTCGAACGGCACTGTTTATTGTGCTTGCCATTTGTGCAATATTCTACTATATCGACTTTCCACAACTTCATTCTGACGATCTTTAATCCACATTGAAGGCACAGGCCGCGACTATCCCTGGTTCGTAGCACGATAAGGCTGTGTGGCGCCACAATGGCGAAGCCTTCAGACTTCTGCTCTTTCTTGGAGGCTAGGCAGGGCACTGTTAATATAATGGCGTGCGGGGATGTGCGAAGTAGAACTTCTCCAGGAAGCTTTCCAACCCGGGTACCTTCGCACTCGTCTTCCGCGTTGCTCCTACTGTGCGTTTCAACCTTCAATCTGTTGTTTCAGTCAAGCATCATAATTAATGTTCGGAATTCACGAGGCCCTCTTTGCTCGTACCCAATCATCACCCGTGCAGCGGAAGCCAATTGTCCCTTGGTTTCCAGAATCTCCTCCCAGAGCTGATGCGTTAAAGTGCCTCTAGTGGCTGTATGACCGCAGTGGCGGCGGACATTAGAAAGACTGCTGACGTTCGGTCCCGAACACTTTCTATGTTCTCACAGCTTTGGCATTCTCTTCAGGTCATCAGTTTCTCCGGTGCAGACCTTCACGACGGGATATCAAGGTCCGGTGGATAAGGGAGGCGGCAAAGCGTTTGGTCGTCTTGTCTCCAGCGGACACTGGACGTCGTCGCTGCTAAACCCTGGCTTCTCACTTCATATCCCCTACTCGGATCATTCCTTGTCGCCGTCAGTTGATTAAAGTCCGAACCAAGCAACCTATTGACAGATTGAACCTACACACCGCCGGAGTGAGACTCTCCGGTTCAGTACCAGTGATCGTGGCCACAGCCTCCTAGATCTTCAATTCAGAACTCATTGACAACCCGGTTACTTCTGGCTGCTTTGACCGTAGATCTTTTACGATCGTGGCCGGCTATCATGGAACCTGCGAAGACTTAACAATGTTGAGGCCGTGTGGGTGCTACGATCATTGATCGAGGTTGTTGTACGACTCCTGAGTCCGACGGCTTTGCTTCTTTCCTAGCTCTCAATCGGTGCCGTCCAACGTTTTAGCCGGCTACTCAGTTTCCGCCTCGGAGATACAATACCGGCACATCCTGGAGTCGTTTAGCTCTTATCTTCGAAGTTATTCATGAGGAGTTGAGACCTGCCGGCGCAGAGGTATTCGTTGCGATCCGGAGCATTCAAATGTCAGCACGATGTGTAGGTACCGCTATCTGGTGGAAATGACTGGCTCGATCCAATGAACTAAAGCAGATTACTTCAACGCGGAGACCAGGAATGCGTGTAAGTATGATACCGTTTTTTCATCTTGCTTGCATAACCATGACACTATAACTTATAACGCACGAATAGGCACTTTCTTTCGTTCGCCCATCATGTCATTAATTTACATAGGACCGCCATTGAAATATAGTACTACGATCTACGGAATGGCCCCATTCATTTGTGATGGTCAATGATCGTTGTCTGTCGTTTGCAGCATCCACATAAGTCCTATGTTCCTGGTGACGTGCTATAGTCATGTAGGTTTGGTTTTTGGCAGCTTAGACTGATCTAATCCATTTTTGTAGACTAGAAAGTTTATCCCTTCCATACGAATACACTGGCTTTCTGGTCGTCATCAGCAATGGACTTTGATGAGGTGTACACTGGTGTACAGGTCTGGTCATCTCGCTTAATTGATCAAAAGATGAAGTTCGAGCATTCCAAAGGAGTCAAGGTAGACAGAGACATGTTGTGGTTGCGCCGATCAACTATAAGGGCAAGATTTTGACTCGTTGCTGCAACAGCTGCAACGAGTGTGACGAAGTGGTCAGTCTGCATACCAACCATGGCTGCTGTTGCCACCCTGTTGGCAGGCCACGACGAATAGAGTGTGTTTTGTCCCGCCGTTTCACCACGCTAGAGCCCAAAGAATCTGCAAAGAAGATTGCGAATTTACTGCGCATCAGAGCCACTGACGTTCGTGCAAAAAGTGATACAACTGTCAAAGTTACTAGTATCCAGATAAGAACCTGTTCACCTTGAGAGAGGGACAGACGACCTCAATTGAGGGGAAACGGTCTGACAGCGGAACATAATAATCATGCGGAGGTTTGTGCTGAGTCCTGAGGTATCGGAAAGTGCTTGCGGTATCCAATCATACTGATACAGAGTAAAATATACAGTAACATAGGGTTTGGCGGTGGATGGCGGTATCTTTTCATGTAGCCGATGGATCGTGGAGAACGGCAAGCAGATAGTGACCATCTATGAAGTATGAGCTCAAGTGTCTTACGTCAAAGAGGCAAGAAACTACGTACCTGGTGAAATAAGAAGCTCATGTCGTTTTGTTCGTATCCTCATGAAGCGGATGTCATCCTTCAGTTGAGGTGGTCACTTCCTCGTTGCTACATGTTCAAGAAGTAGTCGCGGACGTACAACTTCGCCGGAGTCCCCTGCAACCTCCTCCAACCCGGTATGCACACTTTCCACAATACGCTCAACCGCGTGTGCGTATTTTCTTCCCTGTTCGCCTTCGAATACAACTCCGGAATGTCGAATAATTGCCACCGGCGGTCCTCTCGCCAAGAGCAGGTAACCCAGCACAGATCGGTGAGATGTCAGGAGTGTGAAAGTTTGTTCCAGTTCCGGAGGTAGTGTATGCGCATTTGTACTGTTCGTACTCTGACCCTCGGGATTCAACATTGAGTGGTTTGTGGGTATACTTTTCAGAGACATGACGGAGGAGAGGAACGTTGTCGAAATGCTATGTCGACAATCTTGGAACATGCGCGTCTAAAATCTTATCTTATCTTCATGAGCTTTGGAGCCGAAGTTTACAGTGGTATGAGAATAAAAGGATGTTAATGTATAGAAGTTGAGATATGGATAACTGTATACCTTAGATCCTCAGTATTAACTTTGAGCTAAGATGTCTCGAGCGTACGCGCAGTGTAGCTCAGATGAAATCTCAGTCAACGGGCAAAGGCAGCACAAGATAGTTCTTGGATATTAACGGAAAGAAAAGAAAATGGCAGTACAGGATACACGAGAATTTACTACCTGTTGTCTGGAGTTGAGGCTCTCGGGCAAGATTTATACAGTTGAACTTGCTCAACTGCCAAAATGGGCTGCGGGATGTGAGACTGACATCAAGCGCCGACTCACGTGGCCGACGCGTCGAGTTGCAGCACTGACAGTCGCGTCTCTGCAACTTAAGTCACTTTCTCCTCGGCTCCTAAAACAAGTCCGACTGCATCTACAAACGGTGTTTCCCATTTCATAGGACATGGCGTCCTTCGATCTTCAAGAAGAACTTCAGGCACTACTAGACATATCAGACTATGACATTCCAAACGAACATAACATCTCTTCATCAGATCCACGCTCAATAAATGCCATTTTAGAGCGTGCGGTCGAAGCTCTTGCAGAGTCTACGGATGCAATCACTGAGCCAGAAGTCTTTGACGCGTATCGAAGCCTGCTCAAACACGCGGAAAGCCTCCAAGGTGTTATCATGAGCAAGATGCTAGATTCCATATCCTCTGCATTCCAGGCCCAGGTAGAAGCTGCCCTCAAGGATGTCGAACATGAAGATCCTCAAACATTCATGGCTCATAAGACCCCACTCGAGATGTATGCTTTCCTGCTGCATTGGTTTGTCTCTGCTGCGGAGAAAGTCAAATCTTCCGGAGAGGAAGAGGCCCCTGCGCCGCCGCCCAAGTCACGACGTGGTAAAGGCGGAAAGGCTGCCACTTCCCGTGCCGCTGCTGCCAAAGGGTGGACGTGGGAGGACCAGATCCCGAACACACTTGCCGTGATAAGTAGAGTTCTGCGACTCAAGACGCAAAGAATATGGACGACTACTGCTGATAAGGACACGTTCATCAAGTACGTTTCGTCGCTGTACAGCATATCCCCCAGTCTCACTGATTATACTCTAGTTGCGTTACTCGCCCAGCTTACCACATTACTGAATCCGAACAGTATATGAAACAACAGACTATTCGCCTCGGTGTTTACAAAGTCATCTGTCTCGCGGTCAAACACCATGGACATTCCCTGGCTGCTCAAATCACCATCATGCAGTCCCTGCAGTACTACGAACATCTTTCCGAACCTATGGCGGAATGCCTCACTGTCCTTGCGAAGGAGTTTGACCACGCTCAGTTGGGCGATGAGATTCTACGAGAAATTGCTGGGAAGAGTTTCAACGCTCAAGACTCGAAAGGGCCTCGTGCATTCTCGAGGTTTCTCATCAAATTTGCAGAACTATCACCGCGCTCTGTGTTAAAACAGATATCGCTGTTGCTCTCGCATCTCGACTCCGAGGTAAGCATATGTACTGTTCCCTTTCGCTTGTTATAACAACCTAGCACTGTTCTCAGTCATACCCTATGCGCATGGCCCTGGTAGAAGTCATTGGGTGCCTCATCCGCGAACTTGTCTCATCTGACGTTAACGGCGACACGCAACAACAACTCCAAAAGCAAATCACAGGTCTCTACGACCTTCTGCTTGAAAGAACTCTCGATCTCTCTTCCTACGTTCGAACTAAGGTCCTCTCAGTCCTGGCCAAACTATGCGACCTTCCCGTCAAGTTCCCAAAACAGCGTCTAGCAATCACCGGAGCTGCAGTAGCCTCCTTGGAAGATAAAGCGAGTGGCGTACGCAAAGGCGCCGTGATGCTTTTGGTGAAGTTGATTGTTACCCATCCATATGGGCTAATGCATGGGGGATTGTTGAGCCTGAGGGAATGGGAGGCGAGGTATAAGGAAGCCTCCGATGAGCTGCAGAAGATTGGTGCCAAAGTGGGGAAAGCTGTTGAGAGGGATGACGATGAGGAAGTTGATGGCGAGGAGCATGAGAATGGAGAGGAGGTTGAAGGTGACGCCGAGGATGGCGAGGGTTCGCCGAGTCGCAAACAGAAAAGCGCTAGAGCTGACGACGAAATGGACGTTGATGAGGAGGGCGAGGGTGAGGATGAAGGTGGCGATGAAGATGAGATGGATCAAGATGGTGAAGGTTCACAACCGCGCACGCCCAAGAAGAAAGGCAAGAAGAAACGTCGCAAATCCGAGATAGACTTGATCGCTCTAGCAAACGAACAAGAAGCTCTTGCGACGCTCACTAGCAACGAAGTCCTGCATTTGAAACTTCGCAAGCGTTACTATGCTGAGGCTTTGAACTTCGTGAGGCAGATCGAGCATGATGGGATGGAAACTGTCCAGAAGTTATTAGCGTCGACAAACAAATTGGAAGTCTTGGAGGCTATCGAGTTCTTCAGGGTGACGTACGAGTATGCATTCGACGGTGCTGAGGTGAGTAGTCTTCTACTATCATCGTGTTCGCATAGCCGACACATGTGACTAGGCTGGAATTCGCAAGATGCTTCACCTCATTTGGCAGAAAGACAACTCTTCTACTGGAGAAGATGGGAAGGAGATCAAGGGCGTTCGTTCACGTCTCCTTGAATGTTACAAAAGCTTGTATTTCGAAGCACTCGCTGACATGGAGCCGAAACAGCAAGTCAACCGCATTGCTAAGAACATGATTGAGTGAGTACTTCAAGGGTTACTAACTCCTGTCTTTCGTTTACATTTGACACCCGGGGTCATAGGCAAACCTACCATGCTACTTTGGCTGAGCTGACCAGTTTGGAAGAGATGATGCGTATCATGATGGAAGACCGCCAAGTTCATCAAGATGTCATTGGAAAACTGTGGCAGGTTTACAGTGGGTCGGCTTTCTCTTCACTGAAGAAAATTGACCATCTCATGTCTTTATTCAGGCTCGGAGCGACCGCTCCCTCGAATGCAGAGGCGCGGAGCCATCATAATTCTTGGCATGCTCGCTCTCGCCAAACGCTCAGTCGTTTCAGAGCGAGTGGAGGTGCTCGTGAAGATCGGCCTCGGTAACTTGGGAAAGGTAAGGGCTATGGTAACTACCCTGTGCATTGAAATGTTGATTATATTCCTAGGCTGACTTGACGCTTGCTCGATATACCTGTGTTGCTCTGCAACGGCTTAATGGTAGTGTAAAGAAAGTCAAAGGTGCGCTTAGTCTGCAGGCGTAGTGGCATAGGCTTTCATGACATGTTTTCCAGGTTCGCTTTTTAACGAAAATATTCGTCTTGAAATGGACAACCCCATCTTTCGTAAGCTCCAAGATGCCATCGAACAACCGTGTCGCTCCAAGGAATGGTTTGGAATGGCTGAGCAAGCGATCAATACCATATACGCACTCGCTCAACGACCTGACATCTTATGTGACAACATCATCAAGAACCTCACGAGGCGGGCGTTCACCCCGAAGAAGGCCGACAAGCAAAAGGCCAGTTCGCAAGATCCGGATGCGATGGTCGACGAACAAGACCCAGAGGAGGCGAACCGTACGGCCACTCAGGGCGGGGATGCTGAAGACAAAGATGTAGGCGATGCCTTCGAGCTCAGCCAACTTCTCTTTATTGTCGGACACGTTGCAATCAAGCATATCGTCTATCTTGAACTAGTGGAGCGCGAATGGAAACGCCAGAAACATGAACGGGAACAGGGTATAGCTCGATCCTATTCACAATTACACAGTCTGGCTAACGACCTCACGGTTACAGCTGAAAAGCTCGCAGCAAATCGCAGCAGTCCCACACGGGCATCCAAGGACACTGAAGAATTGGACCAGGTTGCTGGTAACGCCGAAGACGAGATCGGTGAACGCATTGCAGGAATAAGGGAGACAGAGCTATTATATGGCCCCGATTCGCTGCTAGCAACATATGGCCCAATGATCGTTCACATTTGCGGTAGCCCTCATAAGTTCAAGGTTCGTCCTCACATATGCACTATGCTCTGAAGCCTTCTCACTGCTATTCCCGTAGAATCGTACCTTGCGTGCTGCAGCGACATTAGCATTTAGCAAATTCCTTTGCGTCAGCTCCCAGTTCTGCGATCAACATCATCGTCTGCTTTTCAAGATTCTTGAAACGTCGAAGGACGCAAGTATCCGAAGCAATACTGTCATTGCTCTCGGAGACGTTGCAGTCTCCTTCAGCAGTATCATCGACGAGAACAGTAACGAGCTGTACAAAGGCCTGTCGGATGCAGATCTTACGGTCAAGAAGAATACGCTCATGGTTCTGACCCATCTCATTCTAAACGGCATGATCAAAGTCAAAGGTCAACTAGGAGAGATGGCGAAGTGCCTGGAAGACCAAGACGAGCGTATCTCTGAGTTGGCGAAGCTGTTTTTCTCAGAACTCTCGACCAAAGAGAATGCTATTTACAATAACTTGCCTGACGGTGAGTATTTTGTCGTCCCCTGTACCACAATGTCAGACCAACGTTTCTTGCAGTCATCAGTCACTTGTCCGTTGGTGCACATTCGGTCAGCGAAGAGATCTTCGAGAGCACAATGAAGTACATTTTTACATTCATTGAAAAGGTTTGTCATATAATCTCTTTCCTGCTCAACGTCCTCACCGTATAACAGGAGAAACAAGCCGAATCGATCGTCGAGAAGCTCTGCCAACGTTTCCGATTGTCGGAAGATCCACGACAGTGGCGCGATATCGCCTACTGCTTATCGCTGCTACCGTTCAAGTCAGAGCGGTCGGTGAAGAAACTCGTGGAAGGACTTCCGTTTTACCGCGACAAGCTTCACGAGGAGACGGTCTTCACTCGCTTCCAGGAGATCCTCACCAAAGCTCGTCAAAACAAATCGTCGAATAAACCCGATGCTGAGCTGAACGAGTTTGAGGCGGTACGCCCGAATGACACACGTATGCTTGTCGCGTCTCTGATTCTTTACATAGATCCTAGAGGAGCACAAGAGGCAAGGTGAAGAAGATCAAGCATTTGAGAAGAGGGTCGAAGGGAAGAAAGCTCAGGCGAAGAAACGTGCAACTCGTCGATGTAAGCCTTGTTCTTCGCGGAATAGACATTGAGATACTGACACATCCCTGTTGTAGCTGCAAGAAAGAAGCCGGTTGAAGTGGAGGAAGACTCGGAGTGAATGTCATTCCGTTCACTGAAGTATCCTACTGTATAGTAGTATTGTGTTTGTATCATCATTTCTTGAATCCGGTGTATCCATACAACTCGTAAGTCTCAAAGAGATGTGGCGCAGCGTCTCAGATGTTGCAAAACCGGCGGGAAGTAAAGATAGATTGTTAACAGAATACATCAACACAAGATATACACAACATACACAACAATGGGGAGACAACGATTATTGCAAGCGGGGAGAGAATAAAAATATGATGAGGTAGATCGAGTAACGACGGCGTTTACTCGTCACCAATTTTGGGTGCAAGGTAGTAGCGAATGTGGCCTTGGCCAAACTCGTACGATACCTAACCACAAGCATCAGAATGTGCGGCGGAGAAAGTTTCTGAGCGTAGAAGGCTTACGAGAAGTGGTACATCATTGCTCAGCATTAGTTGTACGATGCTCGACAAGCTCGAGCTCTTTGAGAAGTTGACGAGGTACTTCAAGCTGAAGGTGAGGTTGACGGCTTGGTTCATCTCGATGCGAACGCCGTCGGGAAGCTCTTCCGCTTCGTCGTCTTTCGATCGCTTAGCCTTCTTCTTGCCCTTTGCCTGGTCAGTGGAGTAAACGACGGGTGAGCTGTACCAAGTACCAAAGTTAACTCACTTTAGACGATGAAGGCCGCTTCCGCTTCTTGGATGGCGATTCATCCTCTTCTTGCTCCTCTTCACCCTCGTCATCGCTACCACCCTTGTACTCATCCTCGCCATCCTCCTCGTCCCCGTTCATCTCCACATCACCGTCTTCCTTCTTGACCTTTTTCTTCTCCTTTTTGATTTTCTTCGGCTTGTCCTCATCCTCATCTTCGTCTTCATCACCCTTCTCCTCGTCCTCTTCTTCTTCTTCATCTGCCTCCTTCTTCGGCACGCGACCAATGGCTTCGCTCTGCTTTAGGAGGACGCTACCATTGGCAGCTTCACCTTCGCTAGTGAATCTAACACCTTCCTTGGTGATCTCGATCCGGACTGACTCGCCCAGTTGGGACAGGTCGCGAACGATACGACTGAATTCAGAGGAGGGCATTGTGACGCGTGCGTCATAGTCGGTCTCTGGAATACCGAGTTTGTCGGAGTCGATGTCCATGAGCTTGAGGTCGTATTCAGCAATACGATCCGAGTCTACGTGGAAGACAGAATCAACACTACAAAGCACAAGAAAGCTGTCAAACAACGCGTACTTCTTGCCTCGTAGGTGAGACTGAGTGTATCTGCGCCATCACCGCCTGCCTTGAGGGTACAGACATCATCGTCTTTGGCACATTTGAGAACCTTTGTAAGGGATGTAAGGTTAACACCAAGAGGCATTGGCCTGTCGCATCTGTATTCTTCAAAACCGTCCTCTTTTAGGAGGACGGAGACAAGCGCGACGTGGGAGTTATCCATAGCTTGGAGTGTCTGGGACGTGTCAGATCATTTGAATACGGCATGAAAGAGAGATACTTACGATGCCCTCCTCGGTACACTCAAAGTTCGCGTCTGCGACCAGTTCTTTGATAGCTGTTCTGGAGGTGAGCTACGAGGATTTTGGATTGGTAAGTGACCTTACCATCGAGGAGACGCTTGAGAATAGCAGCCTGTTCTAGTTTGGCTTCAAGCATTGTAACGGGGTATGTGAGTAAGGTGGGATGAGGAGAGGAGACGGTGGCAAGAACGAAATGGACGCGTCCGTGACTTATATTCTGGACGCGCCTGTCACAGCGTGTCACTTTCTGTCACGCGTTAGTCTGCGCGTGTTGCTTGGGTGCATCTGTGGTAAGTAGCCTACGTACTAGAATGTATACAGCCTCTCCGTAGCTTGCATAACTTTATAGCTTGCACAACTCTACAGCTCGCATGACTCTATATGCATCGCACTTTGGAACCGAATGCCTGAGACGGGACTGCCCGTTCCCGCACATCCTCGGTCGGCGACGCCAGCCGACGGTCTGAACTGGAATCGCTAAAGCTTCGTGCCCCCCCTTACTTCGTCTTTCGTTCTGATCAACCTCTATTGACCTTCGTCGACCGAAGTCTTGCTCACCTTGCTCCGTCTCCCATTGCTATCTCATTGCTTTCTTCGCTTTCGCAGCTCGCCAACTATTGCTGGACAAGCATTCTTTTGTTTTCAACTTATATGTCTGTCTCTACAACTCCCGATTGTGGTCCCGAGAATCCATCCAGCGCCGCCTTACCCAGCTCTACTATCGCGAAGGGTAAACCGGAGGAGAGTGAAAAGTTTAAGATGCGCCGTGCAAGGATTCGGAAGCTCGAGCAGGAGCAGGTAGTAGAGGACGAGGTAGCAGTTAGGGTGATCCAGGTGTGCACCTACGCTCAAGCAACGACAGTTCAATTGACCATGCTGCTTTCTTCGATGTTATTCTCACTGCAGGCTCTTCATTCTTCGACAATCATGCCTATCGAGTCGTGCGTGAGGACCGACTTTTGTGACTTGGATGGCTTGTCTTGGTCGGATCCTTCGGTTCAAGACCAGACATATGTACGTCTCCCGTTTTATGACCTAACGTCCTCCATCTTATTCATCTGGATAGGATTATCGCTACATCTTGTCACCCGTACCTGACTCTCCTCATCTCATCACTCCTGAAAATGCCCAAGAAGCTGATGGTCTTCCTTGCTGCTCAGGGCTTGCCATTGCCGAGCTGGCTTACAGACCTCCCATCTCCCGCACTGAGTCCGAATTGACTGTTCGAGGACCGCCAAGTCCGAGTCTCTCCCCTCCTACTTCATCGTTGGTACCAAAGATGACTCGCACCTCATACAGGTCTCCTCCAGGTCTTGATATTGACAGTCTGGCTGAGCACGATACAGTTCGATTTCCGTCCTATATCGGCGCTCGCCACTTGCTCGCTCGCTCAAAACACTTGGGCAATGTGAAGCGGATCACACCGTCTCGTATGCTCGTTGCGATGCCGAGACTACAGCAGAGGTCGCGGTCTGTTCGTTTGTGATCGTGAGAGGGGTGATGTGCTACATTTTCACCCTGTTTTAGATGTGTAGTTCACACAAGAGAATCGAACTATCCCAGCGACATATATATATATGTGTATTCCCTTCACCTTGCCCTTTCTCTTGAGCAGCTTCAGGTGTGTGAGTGCTCGGTATCTTCAGATGTGGATGACGACCGCAGTATGTTTATGACACGTTTGTGGAGATGATGACGGCGAGGAGGAATCTCTAGTGACTAGCGTTGCACCTAGCTTAGCTGAGAAACTGGAGACAAGCCTACTACACTCTTAGGTCAAGCGCATCCTCTACACCTGTTCCACCTCTACTCACGTCACTCGTGGAAGAGCCCAAGGCGAAGAACTCGCTGCCTACATCTCCCCCGACAGTAAACCCACCAGAAAGCTTGTCTCAACCTACGAACCCACATCCACCAGTAGCTTCTTTGTCTCCACCTATGTCACCGCCCACGGTGACATATCCTTCGAGACCTATTCAAATTGCCACGCCCGATCGACAAAGTGTCGCGTCTTTCGCAGCGAGTTAGGGTAATGCAACGAGCTATTCAAAGAAAGCTCGTCCAGAAAGTTTGTTGGTGCAGATTCCAGAAGGGAGGTTAGTGATCGGGATAACGTTGGTGGATTTCAACCATCTGGCGCGTCGTTACCCTCTTGTGTCTTTCTTACCGTCTCTCAGTATACTTGACAGGTCGATCTGAAAATCGAGTTCAGTCGAGGCGACACTTTGACGATGAAGAGATTGCCAAAATCTTACCTTTCCTTGTCACTTACCTGAATTGACGTCATTTATAGACAACATAAGACTACTCATATTTCCGTTGAGTCCCGTCATCGCCAAACCCAACAGCTCTCTTTGGTATTTCATGCGTTTCCAATATATCCTACCCCATTTCATTGCCTCCATTCGAGTACACACTTTTCTCACTCCTCTTCCCTTCTCCCCGCCGCTATTTGCAAACTTCCTCTTACACGTGTTCATATCCGCAGGTGCAGTCGTCAAATCAAGTCTTCTGAACTTCTTTACAAGGAAGTAGATGTCACACGCTCAACTGTCTAGAAGGCTGTCGTCGTACTTGCCAGTAAACCGGTTTTCGATCCTATAAGGTTCGTCCACGCTTCCGTTCCTTCTCGCCTTTTGTCATCTTAGCGTGCTTACTTTTTAGAGATCGCCTGGGTGTCAGCACGCATTTCGCGCAATGCGATTTTACTGACTTAAGCATCTTGGAAGCGTTCTATGAGAGTTTAGAAGGGAGCCTGAAGAGTCAGCTAACAGAGAGTGGCTTATACATGGGCACCAGCTTGTAAGTCATCACGCGTTTGAAAGGATGAATGATCAGGACCCGGTTTTACATGTACGGTTCGTCATAGGCGGGAGCTTGTACATACGTTCCGCAAAAGGACGCTTGTACTGCTCAAGACACTCATAATTCAGAAGAAGGTGACGTTTTCTTTCTCGTCTATACGTCCATCTAATTGACCATGTTATTGTTGTAGATTATGTTCTATGGTCATCCCGTCGAGGAGTTGTGTACGTACCAATATTTCCTCGTTACTCTCATTCCAGGTCTTCTGCACAACCTAGACGACAGTGGATCACCTCCACTGGATTCACGAGCGCAGGCTCTACAACGTCCCACGGAGCTGAAGACTAGTGATCACAACAGTATGCGGGCGTTCGTCGGCTTGCCTCTCGAGTTGTTCGGCAAGGTAATGTTACATCTACGATTTTTCACGGGGTGGAAATTGAAGTAATAACAATTTGTAGGACGCGTTCTTCCAACCATATCCACCGTTACAACAAATGGACTTGTTGAAGGACACGAAGAGTTGGCTTTGCGGAACTACAAACTCTATCGTAGCCCAGCAGAAGGAGGTCGATCTCCTCATCAACGTAGGTTCACCATGACATCTTCACCGCAGAAGCTCATGCTCCCTCGTGCTAGATTGAGACCAACACCTTTGAATTCCGGGATCCGAGACTCGAGCGATCGGCAGGCTTGACGGCTGCCGATCGTAAGGGGATGGATGGATGATATCGCCAAGGCCGTCAACGACGGCTGGGTAGAACAGGGTGCCGCAGGGGCTATGCACTGCGTCCACAATGTTCATTGAATCCTCATGTATTTGTGAACTGACCGCCATATTACCTCAAACTTCGAGGGAAGTGACGACTATCTGAGACAGAAGGTATGCCCGAGGGCCATTTCTGTTTTTTTTTTTTCCATTAATGTTGATGTGGCTCGCTGCAGTTTGATGAATATATCTCCGTTGCTCTGTCTTGTGTCAAGTACGCCGATTTCATGTTGAAGGATCAGAATAACGGTGTTATGATCTCTGACAGTTTGGGTGAGTTTCCTGAGCTTCTATAGACCCTTCTTGGTATTTATATGTAACGTTTAAAGGTGATCCTAATTCGGTGAATGACTTCAATATGTTTTGGATATCTGAATTCAAGAAGACCAATGCGTACGAAGTCCGGATTAGGGTGATTGATCCAGTGCTCTTCGATATCGTCGAACCTCGGTAAGATCTACTGATGAGTTCCATTGCTACCTGATTATTGATAGTACATGTCTAGGCATCCATGCGGCGAACATCCGTTTGTCGTTGCAGATATTGGACTTCATCTATCGGAGGGAATACAAGAACTCAAGATAGACCAGCAATTAGCACCAGCGCGCGAAGCTGTCACAAACGTTGACCGCCGGATCCACGGGTTTCCTCAACGCCGTGGAGGGTGTTCGCGGACGATGGGTGCAACATTCTGCAAGTTCGTCATCAAGTACCAATTCAATGGGTGAAGCAACGAGCGCGACAAGCAGTACTGTCGAGGTCAATAAGCGTCCGAGATATCAGACTTATTGACCTTAGGTTATGGGGACTCTCGTCCGACCCTAGGGCTGGCGTAGAGTCGGGCGCCTAGGGCCCAGGGTTGGGCGGCTGTGGGCCAGGGTTGGGCGGCTAGAGGGCAGGGTTGGGCGTCTGTGGGGCAGGGTCGGTGGTTGTGGGCAGGGGCATATGGACGTCGGTGGTGTGAGGCGAGCGTTCCATCCAGGACGGAAAGAGAGAGCGGCAGACATGGGTGGGAGAAGCGCCGAAGAGATGGGTGCAGAGATTCCCTCCTGGACGGAATTCTGTGGAGATGGATGTAAATGCAGTGAGAACGGAATTCCGGTGGGGCTGTTAGGTTAGGTTAGGGGGGGAGAAACACACGAGCGAAGCGAGTGTCCGCGGAAAAGGAAGAGGAGCTGTCAGCGAAAGCAGACAACAGTGCTGGGGGATTCCCAACAACACCTGTTTCGCCTTTATACGGCTCATCAGGTCTGCTTAGTAACACAGGGATCGGAGAATTAGTCACCAAAGTCCGAAGAAATCAGTGATTAATCATCCAAACCAACTTCCCCGACGAGGCCGAAGGCCGAGATCGGGGAATGTGTCAGCCAAGAAGATCCGAAGATCCGCCGAAAGGCGACACACGTGCAAGAGAAGCCGGAAGCACCGCACCGAGAGCCGGGCGACCGGGGTGACCGAGATCACCAAGAACACCGGAGTGCCCGAGATGACCGAGGTGACCGAGAAGGCCGAGCACCGATTTATACAGAAAAATGTATTAGAATCAGGGTTAGGAAGCCGTCAGGGATTAGGGCGAAGTGGACGAGCGTCTGTGGAGGGAAAGCCTAATCTGGTTGATATAGAGGATAAAGGAGTTGAGTAGTTACGAAGTACGCATGCGGATTTTGTTGAAGTGGAGAGATGATGATGAGATATATGGTAAGATGAAGCAGAGATACGAAATTGGACAAGTATGCAGGATGGAAGAAGAGGTTGATGTGAAGTACGCATGCGGATTTTGTTGAGTGTATGGGTCAAAGTACAGATAAGATATGAGTATGGACTCTGGTAAGAGCAATGTCGATGGAGTGATTGAATTGATGGAAGCCATGCATTACATTGAGAATGTAAATTGGTGAAAATTGAAATGGTGCATGTACGAGGTGTTGACACAATCCGTGTGCGGATTATGTTGATGCGGATACAAGTAATATTATTATAGACGCAATCCGTGCGCGGAATTCATCTCTCCATACCAAATCCGTATGCGGAATTCATCTCTCCATATCAAATCCGCATGCGGAATTCATCTCTCAAGGCCAAATCTGCACACGGATTTTATTGAATTGATAAGTGATGATGGAACGAACATTGGAGGTTGTCAGATGTGGTAGTTGATTGGTGGCAGTCTTGACATAATTGTGAATATCTGTGTCTCACTAGCAGTAGATAGCGTGGGTCACCGAGAGATGGTTAAAGAGTGTTATATTTGCTCATATATACTGTATTATGTATAGGACAGAATGGATAGAGATATATATATATATTCTTTGGTATTGCATTATACCCGTAGAGGCCGAATGTGGTTAGGGTTACATTGATGGCGATGTGGGCGAAGGATGGAGATGGTGAAGTTGGACGTGGTGAGGAACTGTTGAACTGACCTTCACTGATCTTGACCGATAGGAGATGTCAGGCAAACGAAACACAGGCAAAGCGAAGAGCAGGAGGCGGAGTAGTAAAGGGAAGATGAAAGCGAGGAGAGGCCGAAAAGAGGTATGTCGGATAGAGATTTCAGTGGATAGAATGAGTACTGATAGGAACGGTGAGGACAGATGGAAGAGATTAGAGAAGAGATAGTGGAGAGTGTGAGCAGAGAGATGATGGAGTCAGGAGAGGTAAGTAGATGAGGATTTGTGTGATTGATTGGAGAGCTGGGGCTGATTGATGAGAATGGATGCAGGCAGAGATAGACGGCGGACAGATAGCAGGGACGCCAGAAGTAGTTGATGCTCGAAAGATGGTGGAGAAGATAAGGAAGAGACGGCAGAGAGGAGTGAAGAGTACAGGAGAGGTGCGTAAAGAAAGCAGTGGGTGAGAGGAGACTGATTGTGATAATACTGCAGGGGGTTGAGTACGGGAGAGTGAGTGAGGAGATGATGAAAGCGGTAGTGATGCACAGTGCGGCAGTGGAGGGATTCCTGGGATACAGATTGGCAGTTGTTGTGGGATCGGGGGATCGGATGGTGTCTCGGCGGGGAGTTTCATCAGAGGTCCAGAAGAAGAGGGTATATTTTGAGGTTGAGGAGATTGGTGAGGGGCGAGTTGATTCGGAGCGGGTTGAGGAGTTGGCGAGAAGCTTGCGAGAAGGAATGGGGGCGGAGTACGTGAAGAACCGAATTGCGATTGGGGTGTATGCGGAGGAGTTGAAGGAGGGATGTCTGAGGAATGAAGTTGTGGATGTTGGAAAGCTGAAGTATGTGGAAGGGAAGGGTGGGGAGGGGAGGATTGGGGGAAAGATGTGGGTAGTGAATGGAAAAGAATACGGAATGGCTTGGGCGAAGTGGGACGATGAACTGTGTGGTGAAGCGGAACGGCTGGAAGAGGTGATGGGTGAGTATGGAGAGGGAAAGCGAGAGTATGACGAGGAGTACGATAGGGCAGAGAAGAGAGTGAGGGAGATTGAGATGACGGTTGGGAAGTACGGGACATGGGTGGTGGAGGTGTTTGACGAAAGTGAGTATTCGGGGAGTTCTGTGGAGGGAGAGAGAGCTAACGAAAATGGGATTTGATTCTGCAGGGAAGGTTGAAGGGCGGGTGGGGCTTGGAGAGTATTTGGGACGGAAAGATCGGAGGGAGAGGGTGGAGGAAATGAGTGGGGAGCGAATGACGCGTGCATTCAGGAAGGTGATTGAGAAGTCGAAGGAGTTGAAAGATTTGGGAGTTGAGGCAGGAAGCTCGAAATGGAATGAGGGCGTAAAGAAGGTGGCATGGGTGAAGGAGAAGAAGTGGAGGGAGGTGTTGAAGGATGAGGAATGGATAGAGGTGATGTCGCGATTGTTGGAGTTTGAGTATTTCTGGAGTGGAGGAATATGGATGGGAGGGATGGAGGAGTACGATGTGAAGACAATGTGGGGTGGGGTAAGTGATTGCGATAGGAAAAAGAAAAGAGAGAGTGCTGACCAGGCATGACATTGTTGCAGGTGATACTGCATATGGTGAAAACGGCAGTGAAGGAGCTGGAGGACCTGTGTCGAGTGGGATTTATGGGTAGAGAGGAAAGGGTTCGGGATGTGTTGAGGGAATGGGAGGAGATCTCAAGGCGAAAGAAAGGGCTGTTGGAAGGAGAAGAGTTGGATCTGGAGACCCGTATGCGGGTGATTGATATTGGGGAGGTGGGAGAAGAGATCCGGAGGGATTGGGGCACGACGAAGATTGATGCGTCAAGATACGATGGGTTGGCTCTGGAAGAGATTGACAAGACGTGGTGGGAGATCTTCGAGTTGAGGAAGGAGGGAGGGCTTGCGAGGTATGAGAGCTGGATGGAGGCTCGGAAAGAGTATTGGGATGAGGTTCGGGGGATTATGAGGAAGAGGTGGGTAGAAGGAGGGGGGGTTGATGAGGCGGAGTGTTCGAGCAGGCTTGCACGGCTTCAGTGGCATGAAGGGCAAGTGTATCCGGCGACGGAGCTGCTGACGACGGGGTACATGATGCGATCTGTGGAAGAGTTCTCAGAAGCGAGTGAAGCGATTCAATTGGTGAGTGCTATGATGCATTGAAAGGGTTCGAAGTGAAATCCGCATGCGGATTTTGAAGTGTATGGATGAGGCAAAATCTGCATGCGGACTTTGTCGACGACTGCGCGATGAGCCACATGTGAGAGGAGATGAACGAAATCCGCATGCGGAGTTTGTCAGCACTTGGGATCATGAGACAGGATGTAGGGAAGTGAGAGACGAACTCCGCGCACGGATTTGGTTGCGAGATGACATATGTGATTGTGCTTGGTGGAGTTGATCGCTAATGAGGGGATGATTGGTTACAGGTTGGGCTGATGATTGAACCGATGCTGCCTTACATTCAAGGGCAGCAGAAGCATGGATATGATACAGCTTGGCACTCACTGAGAACGGTGCTTGGAAACTCGAAGAATTGGGTATCAGATACATGGGAGAAAGTGAGTATGAGCGGAAGTCTGAAGCTGCATTTGAATGTGATTCTGATGCATGGACATACAGGTGATGGCATTCATGCTGACAAATAGCAGATTTCTTGAGGGCGTGCAGGAGTTACTGAGGTGGAACGTTCCTCGGGCATTGGCGAGGCTGATTCATGTCACACGAGCTGAGGCGAAGGCATTTCTGGCACGGGACGACGAGTCGCTGATGAAGGATGGCCTATTTGGCATGTTTCTGGACCCTGAGGGGAATATACGCATGATGGCCGGGATGAGGGAGCAGGTGAAGAGGGTGCAGGGGTATTTAGATTCCAAGATGAGAAGAGGGGGAGCGCCATTCATGAACATGACGGCGGAGGATCAGCACTGGATTCCCGAGGTTATATTGGCTAAAGGAACGAATGAGCCATTCTGGGTCAGCGCGGGGGGGACGACATACCAGAAGAACAACAAGGCGGCAGCGCCAGTAATGGTGGTGACATTTGCGATGATGGCGGCAGTATTGGGAGAGATTGGTGGAGAAGAGACATTTATGGAGATGTTGGAGATGCTTCATGATGTTCTGAGGCAATGTTGGAAGGACGGCAGAGAGGAATATGTATTCTGGTTCGAGGGAGAACTTCCGAAGATATCGAAGGAGTATTCGAAAGGGGTGGAAGGGAGGAAAATCGTGATGGGGTTGTTGGATGAGGCATACAGGGGAACAAATAAGAGGTGGAATGCGGAGACGCTTGAGTTGAAGATGGAAGAGTATAGTCAGTGTATGGGAGGATTGGCGAAGATGAGGGAAGCGTTTGTGGAGAGTGGTGCAGGGGACTTCAGGTGGAAGGGTGGGTCGATTGAGTA